GTATAAGTAAAGTAGCTTAATTATAGCTTTAGCATAGGCAAACTTTTAGTTAAGATAGGTTGCTAGATAACTAGGTTCTAGGTATTTTTAGGCAAGACTCTAAGTATATTTTTAAACTTCTACTATTTAAGCACGTTTAGAAGAGAAATAATCTAAATTAAGGTTAAGTTAGTCCTAAATACTAGCTAGCTACTAATAAAAGGTTAAGTTAGTGCTGTTATCTAGGGGCTTAATCTTAAAAGTCTACTTTAAGAGCTTAGTATAGATTATTATTATAAAGGCTTTAAACATTTTATAGGCTGTAGAAGGCAGTATAAGAGTTAGTTTAACTATAAAAAGAAAATCTTTTAGAGGCAAGGTCTTATAGAATTTAGTAGAAAGTTAGCAAAAAGCTAATTCTTAGGCAATTTTAATTATTAGAGCCTAGAAGTTCTAAACTTAAGTAGCTAACAACTCTAATATAAAAGGCAGCTTGCTACTAGCAGGTTAAGCTTGCTAGAGCTTAAAAAAAAAAATTTATAAAAAAGAGGGCAGATTTTCTATGTAGAGGAAGAACTAAGCTACTATTAATAAAAAGATAAGACTTATTTAAAGCAGTAGTATTTTTTCTTCTATAGCAAGTGTTAAAGGATAGGCCTAACATTACTATTCTAATATAATTTAGGTAGGTTATTAGTAGTTACCTAGTTTCTACCTTAGCGTAGTCTTTTACGTCTTTTTTAAAGGCAATTTAACTTAAGAGGAAAGATAAGGCAGAAGTTTTAAACTTAAAAGCTTTAGTTATTAGAAGTATAGTTAAGATCTTAACTATACTGTAAGTTTTAGAAAAGCGGCGTATTAGTTTAAAAGTATTCTAAATACAACTACTATATGTTAAAGGTTTAATTTTAACTGTTAAACAGAGGTGCAATATTTTATAGGCTGTCTCTAGTAAAGAAGAGTTTTAATTATAATATAATAATATAGGCTTAGTACATCTCTAGTACAGCTACAGGTTACTTTAAATAATAAATTATATAAGGTAAGAAGTGCTAAGAAGAAAGAACTAAATTCTTATAAGTTTTATATAGAAGGATAATTAAAACTATCTAACTAGAGTTAGACTATTTATAGTCTTTATACCTATAGTTACTAGCAAGCATTTAAGTAGCGTTTTCTAATTATTATAAGTATCTATAGTGTTTTAAATATAAGTAAAAGATAGATTAATTTTTTATATATGCATTTAAAAGTAGTATGTAAAGTGCTTTTTATTAAAAAGCTAAGCTGTTGCTAAATAGCACCTAAGTAAAGTGTAGCTAAGTTAGAGCTTAACCTAAATATAGCTAGTAGCAGGTTAAGCTATTATTGTAATAACTTAAAGTGCCTTTAGGTATAGCTTAAGTATATAGTATTGCATTACAGGTTATTTACTATAAGTTGTTTTTTACCTAGCATAAGTTTTAGAATTTTCTATTCTAATTTGCCTTTATCTTCTTTAAAGTATAAAGACTTAGTTGTTACATTAATAAATTGTGTAACCTTATTCTTTAATTAATAGTTTCTAGCTATATAGCTAGTTTTACTATATTTGTAGCAGGTAATCTCTTTAAAGTTTTTGCTTTTTCTATTATATCTTTTTCTTTTATTATTATTTTTAGCCTTAGATAGAAACGTTGCATTAACGTTACGTATCTAGTTTATTTTTTTAGTATATTTAACTTTAGGTTAAACAAAGACGCTGCAGCCTCTTCTTTAAAGAAAATAGTAAATAGCTTTTTATATTTTTTTATAAGTAGACTTATAACTATAGATTTTTTTGATTTTTTTAGCTAACTTAAACAAGTTATTGTTAATGCAGATAGTTTCCTTATAGAGTTTTTTTATTAAGTTAAGTTTAACTCTAGATCTTATAAGTTTTTTTTTAACTTTAAGTTTAAGTTTTTAGCAGTAGAGCGCTATAAGTGCGTTATTATTTTAGTTAGTCTAAACTATGTAGTGTTAGAACTTAGCAGCATAGTTAGCAGCAAACTTAAGCTATTTAACACGTTAAACTTTACGCACTGCTTTGTTTTTTTTATTTAATACTTTAAAAACTAATAAAGTTTAGTTTTAAACCTCTTTTAATTCTTAAATAGAGTAGTAATTTTCTTGTTTTTGTTATTATTCTTGTTATTGTTATTGTTCTAGTTTTTATTGTCTTTGCTTAAGTATTTAGTAAGCTAGAGTGTAATTTATTTATAAGCATTACCTTGCATAAAAGTAGCTGTATAGGTAGCTTTATTAGTGTTTTTAATTTTTTTATTAAATTTAAAGAGTAGCTTAAGTTGTAGAATCTACTCTTTTAGTTTAACGCGTTCTTTATAGTAGAGGTTAGGTTGTTTTATCTTAATACTAGCAGAGGTGTTATTATCTATAATAAGAGTAAGGGTAAACTAGCTAGTAGTACTAAAGCTAGACATTTTAAAAGTATTTATAATATTAAAGTTTTAGAAAACTCTAGTTAGGTTTTATAGATGTCTAGCAGGTAACACTAGAGTAATAAAGGTAGAAGTATAAAGTAACAACTAGATTGTATTTCTAAAAAGTAGGTTATAACTTAGAGTAAATATAAGAAGCTATAAGAGCTTCTTGCCTACTAATTATATACATGTAGTTAAAATAGTTAATTACCTTAATTAGTCTAATTAGTACTACTAATTAAGCTAATTACTAATTATATTACGTAATTTCTTATTATGTAATAGCTAATGCGGCGTAGCTCTGTAATTTCTAAAACACTTACAGTAAGTAAAAGTAATTTACTTTAGTATTATAAGAAGCTTGCTTCTAACATCTAAGGTGTTTGTATTATAATTTTAACAAGTAGTAGCTATTACTTTTTAAAAAAAATGTATTTTTATAACTACTTATATATAAGTAATTATTACGCGTTATTATTTATATATATAAAAAAAATTTAAAAATTTTTTAAGTAAATAATTATAATAAAAGCTTATATTAGTTTTATAATAAATGTACTTAAACTAATAAGTTTTTTTAGTTTAAAAGTTTTTTATATAATAAAAACTTTAAGTATAGCTTTATTTTAATACTTCTTTTTAAGCTTTATTAAAATATATATATATAATTATTAAAGTTTTAAATATTTTTAGTTAAGTTTTATAAATAACTAGTAAGTAATACTAAAGTAATAAAAGTAAAAGTATAAAGTAATAACTAAATTAAATTTTTAAAAAGTAAGTTGTAACTTAAAGTAAATATAAAAAGCTATAAAAGCTTTTTACTTATTAATTATATATATAAAGTTAAAATAGTTAATATTTTAATTAGTTTAATTAGTACTACTAATTAAGTTAATTATTTTAATTAGCTTAATTAATACTACTAATTAAGTTAATTATTTTAATTAGTAGTACTAATTAAGCTAATTACTAATTATATTATATAGTTTTTTACTATATAATAGCTAATATAGTATAGCTTTATAATTTTTAAAATATTTATAGTAAGTAAAAGTAATTTACTTTAGTATTAAAAAAAGCTTATTTTTAATCCTTAAAGTATCTATATTATAATTTTAATAATACTTTAATTTAAAAGCTTATAAAAGTATAATTTATTACTTAGCTTATAAAAGTAACTTAAATTTAAATTAATACTTAAGTATATAAATAAAAAAAACTAAAATATATAAACTTAAAAAGTTAATAATTTTTATATAAACTAGTAAGCTTTTAGTTTTTTATTTTTTTTTAAATTTAATAGCTAAATACTAAAATTATTTTTATTATTAATTTTTAAAAAAAGTACTAAATACTAGCTTAGTAGCGTTGCTTTAAAAGCTAAAATAATACTACTTATAAATAATATAAGTAATATAAATAATATATTTTAAGTATTAATTAAGCTTAATAAATATTAATTTTATATAATATTATAGTATAAAATTAATACTTAATAAGCTTTATATATACTAATAAGCTTTTTACTACTATTACTTAGTATGTATATTTAATTTTTTACTTTAAAGCTTGGCTTAATATTTCTACTAAAATTTAGTAATTTTTAATACTAAAAAACTTATAATAATTATTAAATATATAATTATTTTAGCTTTATTTTATAATTTTATTACTTATTTAAGTAAAATATAGTAAAATTACTATATTTACGTGCACTAATTTTAATAATTTAATAATTTAATAATTTAATAATTTAATAATTTAATAATTTAATAATTTAATAATTTAATAATTTAATAATTTAATAATCTAATAATTTAATAATTTAATAATTTAATAATTTACTAATTTAATAATTTACTAATTTAATAATTTACTAATTTAATAATTTAATAATTTACTAATTTAATAATTTAATAATTTAATAATTTAATAATTTAATAATTTAATAATTTAATAATTTAATAATTTAATAATTTAATAATTTAATAATTTAATAATTTAATAATTTAATAATTTAATAATTTAATAATTTAATAATTTAATAATTTAATAATTTAATAATTTAATAATTTAATAATTTAATAATTTAATAATTTAATAATTTAATAATTTAATAATTTAATAATTTAATAATTTAATAATTTAATAATTTAATAATTTAATAATTTAATAATTTAATAATTTAATAATTTAATAATTTAATAATTTAATAATTTAATAATTTAATAATTTAATAATTTAATAATTTAATAATTTAATAATTTAATAATTTAATAATTTAATAATTTAATAATTTAATAATTTAATAATTATTAATACTAAAAATTACTTAATTTATAGCTTTAAATTATAATATATTTAATACTAAATTAACGCTTACTAAATATATTATTTATTAAATTATAATGCTTTATATTTATTAAAATATAAGTAAATTACGCAGTAGCTTAATACTACTTAAGTTAGTAGTTTTTTTTAGCTATTATAGCTTAGTAGTATTAGTATACCCCTTTTTAGGCCTTGCAGCATCCCTCTTTAGGCTAACCTAATAACAACTAAGGGGGGAAAAGAAGGGTTTTTGTTTGATGATGGTTTGTTTTCGAATAATGCGTGGGGTACACGCGATTGGCGATCTATGACGGTAAGCTTGGGTGTTTTGTTTTAGCGGCTTCTTTGCATGTTGTACGTATCCTGGTATGAGGGTTACTAAGAGTTGTGATGTGCGGTGAAAGCATGATATTTTACTATTAGTTGTTGCATTTTTTGAAAGTTATGAGTGTTGGACACATGTAGGTATTTATTTGGAAGTCGGTTTGGAAGTTGGATCGTATTTCGCTGAATGTTAATGGATAGATAGCTCAGAGCAAGTTTGATGGCGTGGTGATCAACATAATTCTGCGAGTATCCTGTTGGATAGAACAAGAGACACGGAGGTGCAAAATATGACTCTCTGTGGGTTGATGAGAATAAATTCTTAAAGTACTATGAATCTATACAATTGGGCCTTTCGTATCAATTCAAAGCTGAGAGTTGGACAGCATTTACGTACCAAGAACACAACGGAATGTCGGCCGTCCAGACCAAAAGCATTTCCAAATGAAAACTATATAGATAAGAAAGACCAGCGGAAATCCGCCATGAACCACCGACAAGTTCTCCAAATCAACACAGAACATCATTAGATACAAAATAAAAATAAGCACAGCGCGAATACCCATACTCTCTGAGAACTCAACTAAACCCAGCAATATACCTATGTTCCCCCGTAACCTCCAAAACCTCCATCTTCATCCCAACCTCCACCACACCCAAAACCTGTCCCTGCATCTTCTCTTCCCTAGGCACACAAAGCATCCCAAAGCACGGCTTATACTTAATCCCCTCATCCACGCGTCGGTACTTCATAAGCTCGTTCCACGGCTGCCGCGTATGTTTCTCCGCCGTATCCGGATCGACATTGGGGACCTGACAGCGCGCACAGCGCTGCGTGATGTCGAGCACGATAGCAGACCCTTCGCTAGAAGCAGTATCGGTGGGAGACGGCACCAAACGGACCGTCTCCCACCGATCTTCATCCCAGGGCTCATTTCCTTTGACCAAGATATTTGGTCTGAACCGTCTGATGTCGACAGCGAATTGCGCTTGCTCAGTGGATGTGGGGTCGGAGGTGGACGTTTCAGCAGCGCGTATTCTCTGATTCAGTTCGTTTAGGCTGCTCTCGCAGCCGATTAGGACGGGCATCATATCTGGGAAGCATGTCGAGGCGTCGCGGCCTAGGACGTCGGCGGCGCCGTTGGATCCTAGTCTACGTGGAGCTGCGGATGGATCGAAGGGTGGCTTGTAGACGAGACGGACTGGTTTGCCGAAGAAGGAGTTGAAGGGCTCGGTAAGGGAGGCTGGGTATGCGTAGGCTGGTGTGCGTTTGCCCCAGATCTCGACGGAAACTGGGGTCGTGGATGTGTTGAGCTCGGAAGAGGTAGGGTGTGCGGAGATAGTAAATTTAAGCGGGGGGTTTGAAGAGGGGGAAGATTGGGAAGGGACGGTAATGGTTAGGGTGTCTGTTGTTGCATTGTAGATGGGTGGTGGATGTGCTGGAATAATGATTTGAGAAGGGTTGGAGGACGTAGAGGTTGGAGAGGTGACGGTTAGAGTGTCTGTGCTTGGATCATAGGTGGGTTTTGGGTGGGCGGGAATTGTGAACTGTTGGGGTCGTGAGGAAGTTGAGGGTGAATCCGAGGGAGAAGACGGAGCAGTGACAGTCAAGGTGTCTGAGGATTCATCGTAGGACGTCCGAATCAACGTCATTTTAGAGAGATTGCGGACTAGGATCTTAGTCAACAGCTTGAACTGAGAAGAGATGTGAACTGTTCTGCGATACGTACTCGTGAGAAATTTGAAATCTTCTTCGGTAACCCACATCCATTGTCGATCTACCCATGTCAGTCTAAGAGTCGAATGAACGCAGTGGATAGAGTGTACCTAGGTCAAATCCAGTCGGCAGCAGTTTCGCCTTTTTAACAGTCAATCCGTGACAAGATTTGATCGGATGTACACTGAAATCACAGGTACGAAGCAGTTAGTAAGATCCAAGCCAGTAGACGAATAGTGTTGGAACATCTCCAGGTCGTGTCCCAACATGCGCCTATATCCCAAGGGAGAATACGTACAATATACTCGTGATCTCCGTTGGCATCGGCAGCGGTCCAGCGTCAACAACTTTCTTCTTGATGTCATACTTCACTGCATTGCTCTGTTTCGCCTGTTTCGAACTCCGACCCCAGTACAGATACGTAAGAATTGGAAGCAGAAAGATTGTCAACACGATTGCGCCCTGCGTAGTCGCCGAAAAAGCCATTGTCTTGCCTTTATTGGTGGATGAGGAAGGAGGAGCAATGTGAAGATATTGGGAGATATATAAGTACACAGAAAGACACCAATGCTTTATCCCATCCAGATACTCCTCCATTGTGGACCAGTGGGGCAATATAAAGACTTTTTCAAATTGCTTTCAAATGTTGCAGGGTATATTTCGGTGATCAAGCAGCTTATGAGTAAGAACGGTATGATACTTTCCAGAAATGACCCAGGTAGTTGAACACTTGCACAGCGGATTATTAAATCTTCCGGCCCAGACCACATTACTGCTTTGTTACTCATCGACAACGATGACGATACATCTAGCGTGTCCCGCATGACTAGCGTCCAATCCCATAAGCGGGCGAGTTTGCCGACGGCAACCACCAACCCTCTTGAACTCCTCCCTCCCAACATTCATACCCTCTCTCGAGCTTCACATCACCAGAGTCTACATTGCTTCAAAGCAGAGCAGAGAACGACCAGATTCATAAATGTTTCAAGATTTTTTCAATTTTGTACTTGTATGGATTATTAAAAGAGGAACCATCCGAGCCCAAGCCATTAACTACTCATGACATGATGACGTGTGGAACTTCGACAGACAGAAAAGGAAAAAGCGTTCTTTCCAACTCAAGAAAAGGTTGATGGGGGTATTAGATTGCAAACATACATCAAAATGGACACAAGAGAATACATTATGGGTATACCTTGCTTCGAACAGCCGTTCTTTTCTTTTCCCGCGCGGGTGCAAAAAAACAAAAACAAAACGATGACAATGAAAGGTTTCAAAAAAGGAAAAACTTGGACGCAAGCGGTAAATGGGTAATATCAATGAGAGATGAGAAATGGTAGATGTTGCCGTGGAGGTGACACTGTGCTCGTACGCCTGGACGGAATACGAGGTTCGGAATCACTTTCTCAGTGAGTATATTGGTTTTTTGCTTTCTTTATAAGGAGAGTGTGTTGTTGTGCAGAGCCAGGACCAGCCCGGGTGCGACGGAGCGAGACCAACTCGACCAAATGAAGGCCGGCCAGTGCTTCAACCCCATTGAAGTTCGTCGTTCCATCCAATGTCTCGTTGCGATACTACTGTGTGTTGAGAGATGTTGCTGGGACGCCTACGCAGGATCATACGAGAGAAGCGGTTCATGTGCGGATCCTTTGGTGGCGGTGGAGGGGGGTGGTCCATGGCCGCCGAGGAAGACGGACGGCTCGAGGACGGTATGCTGATCAGCTTCGGAACGTAGCGACGCGAATCTCTTGCGTCAGGTGCGTGGTGCATGAAGTTTGGCGGTACGCTCTGCCTTGGGAATTGCGAAAAGTTGGCATACTGCGACGTGGGAACCGACACAACCTCCTTGGGGGGCTGGTTGTAGTTCATGTATGGACCCGGCTGCTGGAAGTTGACCAGATCGGGCGTCGACACAAAGCCCGCGTTCGGCCAGCCAGATTGGAACCCTTGATTCATCGGCTGGGAGAAATCTGTTGGCATTTGGGTCATTTGAGGGTTGAACTCTGCGAAAGCGCCCATGTTGTGGTCCGTGGTCATACTCGTTTGGCTCATAGGCGCGTGGGACATGTCGCTAGTGACGGGCCATTGAGACGACTGCATGTCTTGGTGCATACTCTGCGCTGGCTCCACCGGATCGAGATCCATCAAAGCCTGTTCAGGTCCTCCCATGCCATGAGAGCTGGAGAGTCGATGATCGTTGGCAAAATCGTAAGGCTCCATCTTGCAGTCGACAATGTCTGACCCGTCCGTCAGATCGGGAACCTCGGGCGTAGACTCATTTACGGGCTCAGGAACATCGTTTGGTTCGATCTCGGCCAAATCATAGGTGTCGGATACGATCTTGTCGACGTCAAACACGCGCGTGTCCCACTTGGTCTCGAGCTTGTATCGTAAACGGTTGCACTTTTTGGATTCCCATGTCAAACGAGGCCAGTTTTGCTCCTCGCCGTGCCTCTGGGTCATGAGGCGGCTCCAGGATTCCGACACGTCCGTTTGCTTAAGAAGGCCAAGAATGACATTGGTGAAGTTCCACTTGTTCTTCTTTTCCTCGAAATGCATGGCGATGTGCTCGCATCTTTCTTCCCACGTGGTCAAAAGACAGGCGCAGAATCCACAGCCCCAAGCGTCCTTGTCGTGCATGACAATTTCATACTTCTTGACACAAGGCGACGCTTTACGGCTGGTGGGTTGGCCGCTTTCTCGCGGTTGCTTGCAGTTCTCACAGCCCTGCGCAGGTTAGCATACAGAATGACGACGGGAGGGGAAGAGGGGCGTACGTGGAGCTTGGTGTGATGCTCGCGGAACCGTTTTCCGGCGTGGAAAATCTGCTCGCAGTCCGGACATCTCCATGTTAGTCGCTGCTCGTGGAACTCCTCCTCGTGCGATTTCCAGTAGGGTTTCGACTTGAGGGCCTTGTCGCAGAAGGTGCAGGCGAAGTTCTTGGGAGCTGAGGTGTTGGAGATGGTGGAGAGGCGCGAGGATGCGGTTGAGAGTCTGGAGGAGGCGGCGCTGTAGTGGGTGAAGGAAGAGTCGGTGGAGGCGATGGAGGATCTGGGGTCAGAGAGAATGCTAGCCCTGCTTGATGGCACGCTCAAATACGAAGATGCTCGGCTACCCAGCGTTGATATGGAAGACCGGTCCGGGCCAGGAATGCGTATGCGATCTGGTAACACAGGTTAGCGCGCAATGACGAGGAAACTGGAGAAGAAGGGAACAACGAACCTCCGCTGCGGGCTGCCTCAAGCAGGAGCAGGATGGATTTATCGTCGAGATGCTTCAGGCCATTGATGTGTTCGATGACATCCGAGGTCAAGGAGGCAGCGTTGCCGGACAATCGCGGCGAGGGTGACGCGCTTTCGGTGACACTGCTCAAGGGAGTCGAGTTCTGGAGACTGCGGCGCGGGCGCTTGAAGCTGTTGTTGTGCTGAGGGGTGCTGTATTGATACAGCTGGGAGTCGTCGGTGTCCATGAGCGGGCGTCGCGTCGTGGATTACTGGGAGAGGCGGACGTGGACCAATTTCATGCCGGAGATTGAGTGCGGAGAGGCGTGGCCTTAAGGAGAGGGCGCGCGACGGAACGAGGGCTTCGACGTGAGGGAGGATGGATGGGACGGATGATAGGAGGTTAGGAGGATTACGGTATTGACTACGGGCTAGCGAGCGAAGGAAGGAAAATAAAAAAAAGAAGTAAATAAGGAAGCGCGACGGTAGAAATGGGCGGATGGTCAGAGATGGATGGATGGATGGATGGAATGATGGCGGGTGAAGGAGTGGATGGCCAGTGAGGTAAGTAGGGTACAGTCGAGAGAGTACAGAGTACAGGTGGTTGTCGTGGATCGTCCAATCTCCCGGGCGGAGCGGATGGCTCTTGTTTTGAGGATTACTTGTTTCATGAGAAGTCGGATGTGAAACTGGCTTGGCTGGCGCGCCCGCCATCCCTGCGCGCAGGCAGGGCTGTCCTTTATTTAGCACAGGGAATCCACATAAGCCCAGCGTCTGTTATGCACCGCCAGACGACGCAATTTCCTGCCCTTCGTGATGTGATGATGCTGCTGCTCACTGCCTCGCTGCAGCAGCAGACGGTTGCGCCTCGGTTCGTCCACCCGCTGTATACATGGCCATCTCCATGTGCCGAACCTCGTCCTGGCATTCGACGCTACCCTCCACCAAGCGCTGGTGGACTTACTCGGTCCCCATCGCCCGCTGCTCGATCCATCTCGTTCCCTCGCGGTAGTCTTCACGATGGTTTGTCAATGGCTTCGTCTTTCGCTCAGGGGTAGCTCATCTGAAACACGCGCTAAGCCCTCCTCGGCCGCCCTTTCTGCTCGCCATGCCGTGGGCGACAAGAACAAACACCATCGTGAACTGCACAGGTTGCACAGCCCATACGTCCATCCATCCTTATCCCAGCCGGAGCCGCATCGCCTTTCGCCTCTCCGTCGCCTTCATCCATCCCAAAACCCCATCCAGAGCCCTCGCTTGCTCAACAGCTGAGGGAAACCATGCCTCACTTACCTCCTCCCTTAATCCCACATCCACGTCCCAACCTCCATCATTGGCTCAACGCCCGTCTCATCTGTCCTGCTTCGTGTCTGCTCCCCCGCTCGTCCGCTCTCGCCTTTGCACAATTTTTTTCTTCTTTCATTCTTTCTGTACGTGCGTGCGTGCGTGCGTGCCGAACCATTAATAGACGGATGCACAATCGTCGTTTTCTTCCTCCTCAAGATTTGCTTGCCGTAAGAGAATGTCTCGCGTCCCTGCACTGTGATGTGACATGGAGCTACATGGCCGTACGCATGTAGCAAAAACACGGCAGGCTGGCTGGCAATAAGCAGCGCAGCGCAGTGCAGCAACTGCGATGCAATGAATGGATTTATTTAGAAATTCGGTCCGTGGAATACGCTGATCGATTCGGAGAGTTACCATCGCGGAATAGTCGCTTGGTGCCCGTTCGTATAGATGCGTAAGCCTCTTCGTTCACCACCCTCTTTCTCTCGCTGGCGGGTGGCGCGAGTGAATGGACGACATCACGTGTGGCGCGCAACCGCGTGTCAAGCGCGTTTCCCCACCCGCACCATCGTCGTCATCCCACAATCGTTCATAAAAAGCAGAAAATTAACAGCCGCCAAATAGCGTAGGGAGTTCTGCATGACGCCAGTCCAGTGCTTCCTTCTCATGGGAGATCCCCCCGTAGCTCGAGTGCGTGCGTTGCTCGTCCTCCTCCTAGCGGCTTCGCCCCCCTGTGCCGTGCTGTGGCCCCCTTTCGCACAGGCCCTCCATTTCTGGGGTTGACAGTTTCGACTGCACGTAAGCGAACGAGGCAGCTATTTTCAGACACCTGCCATTTCAAGCCTGAAGAGAGAGGTCCAAGTTGGAAGACGGGTATCAAAAAGGAGGACCCGACCGAGCCTTGGAACATCAGGCCACGGCCAGGCTCGCAATCTGTTACAGGGTTGACGCTCGTTCAGTCGCTGCCACCAGGAATCGTTCCATCTAAAACGAAACAAACCGGCAAAAATCTAGACAAATCAAAGCCCACGCCTCGTCTCGGTGCTGATCTCTCCACACGCGCACACCTATCGCGGCAGTTCTCTACCCTGTTTGGCGTCCCTTAGGATTGCTCTATTAACCCTTTCGCTTCGCTCCATCCCTCCCTAACCATGTTCCAGATAGACTAGAGTCGACGCTTGATGACACTCGCTCTCGTACCTATTTACCTCCTGCGATGGCTCACCGACCCCGAATCCCCTCTACGCGACTCGCGAATCCGCACGCCGTGGGGCCGGCGTTGTTTTCAGGCCTTCTGGAATAGTTCTGGATAAAACACGTCTCCCACGTTGCCTGTTGGTCTAGCTCAAGGAGCCATGCCGCCGATGCATGAATTCGACACCCGTATATCAAAAAGAAACCCCCAGGCAAACACCTACCACCACCATATCGGCAGCTGGACCCCGAATGGGACAAGTCCCCCCTAAACAAGAATGATTCGGCTCTAATTGTCAATTATATCATTGGCCCCGCAAATGTCGGTGATCCTCCCGTTAGTAAATCAGTCATATAAGAATGCGAGCCGAGCGGTTTCCTTAATGGGAAGAGCGACCGCCGACTTTTTGTTTCATCGTCCATTGTCGTCACATCGTCAAGAATGGCTCTGTGCTGAAGGGGGCGGCGTCGGATGGTTGCATTACTCGCGAGTCTTGAAACCTGCTTGAGCGTAATGTCATCCGATGGGTTGATTGAGGGATACTACTCAGGATGCCCAACTTACGTGTCTGAAGTTACATAGTTATGTTGGTAGTGACACCCTCTCTCTCCCTGACTCTCACACGGCATGTGGAGCGGGAGGTGGAGTGCGGACATCAAGTGAGATCAGCCATAAGATTCCTGTTTGTCTTCGAGATCCACAGTCAACGTTCTAGAAATAAATCGGCTCGCCGAAATGATTCTGACAGTTTTCGTCAGCAAGGTCGCGGTTGGCCTCTCACTATGACATCTGGACGTTGGAACGTTACTAAGCCCAGCCACACCATCTACGGCCGACTGCCGCCGTTGCCCGATCGCATGAACAACAATCTTAACCAAAGCCACAACAAAGAATTATGCGATTAAAAATAGTAGAAACATTTGGAACGAACTGCTCATACTAATCAGGAGTGCCACATGGATCGCTGGGATTCCCACTGCCCTCTTTTTTCTTCTTTCCTTCTCTTCCCCCCTTCTACGTCCATGTGCATTATGCACTACTCAACTCTAATACCTCCAATCTCACTGTATCCTCCTCTTTTCGGAAGACCAGCGTTTATTTCAGCTTAGTCGATGTTTGTCCGTGGCGCATATTCCTTATTCGGTAAATTCTCTCGTGGCTCGTCGGCAGGGTTCTCTCGATCATGGATGTGCACGGATACACGTGTATTTGAGATTTCGTTTCTCTTGGTGGCATAAACGTAGAGGTTGGTGATGACATTGTCAATTTTCTGTGGCTATGGCATATGATTAGTTCATTTGTTTTGCTGGCGTCAGAGGGGTCTGTGACTCTTCGATGACGACAGGGCGATTCAATACTGTTCTTGTTATCATTTGATGAAGAAGCTAATAGAGGTCGACTTGTTTTTTCTCGGATAATGCGAGAATTGTAGAACAACAGTAGCAAAGTTTTTGGTTTTTTTTTTGTGTTGGAGATGGACATGTATCGGATAGTATCTCGATTGGGCTTGGATATAGATTCTCTGCAATAGAATAAACAGATTAGAGTATACCTAAATCTCACCATCCTCCCCTCACCCAACTACAGCACATACAACACAAACCCATCGTTTCCGCTCAATTTAGTCCATTTAATCAACCTCTCACAACAAGCATCCCCTTGATACGACTCCAAAAAAACCACAACACCACAACACCACCTCACTACCTACTTACTCCCACTCCCTCCCCCACATCCCCAAGAGACACCCAAAATCACCCCTCAACTACCCCCTCCCTAATCCTCTTCACAACCTCCGCACAATCCACCACATCCCCAAACAAGCACATATTCTCCAAACTCGCATTATGCAGCTCATCCGTCCGAGCCGCACACCCATCCACCACAACAACCACATGATACCCCAACTGCATGGCCTCCCTCACAGTACTCTCAACACAAATATTCGTCGTCGTGCCAGTAACAATCAAAGTATCCACCCCCGACTCCTTCAAAACGCGATCCAAAGAACACGTCCCCGGCGTAAACGCACTCCACCGCGTCTTCTCCAGCACGCGATCCACAGCATCGACATCGAGCAGCGGAAACAACGCATGCTGCTCGCCGCCCCGCGTGAACGCAGCGCGGATCCGTTCGCGTGCAGCGGGCGTCATGCGTCCGTAGTGCGACGACCACGTGTTGGCCTCGTGCTCGTCGTACGTGTATTGAAGGTAGATGTTTGACCCGCCCGCTGCACGCAGCGTTTGCGTGATGAGGTTGACGTTGGGCACGATGGCGCGTGCAGTGGGGATTTCTAGCATTGCTGAGGGCTGCATGAAGCCGGTTTGCAGGTCGATGATTAGGTGGGCTGTTTTCTTGGGGTCCAGGGGGAGGGGGGCGTTGGTGCCGCGGAGGTAGGTTGGGCGGGAGAGAGCGGCTGGGGAGATGGTTGATTTGTGCATTGTTGGGGTAGGGGAGGTTGGAGATGGAAGTCTTGAGAGAGAGAGGGAGGAATTGATTGCTGTGGTTCGGATTGTCCGTGTTGTCTTTGGGGTCTGCGTATTGTTTGATGTTTATATATTCAGGTCCTCAGGCCGTACCCAATGGATAAATAGAACCCAATGGGTTGTTCTCGGTCGTAGCAGTGTAGCGGTCAATCGTCACCGTTACTTCCTATCGGAGGCCTTTAGCATCCGACGGGGTAGTAATACGAGATTGAAAAATTGGTGTACACCTGAGTCTATCTCAAGGATTCGGATGTCGGTATCAAGGTTCGGTACATAGTATCGTCCGAGGGCGTCGTTGATCGTGACTAGCTGGAAAACTGAGTCATCTCGGACGTATATTGGAACACTGGGATCCGAGGAAGATATTCTCGCGCCGAAGCGACGTAGTAGATGGCTCTGGGCCATGGTTAAGGAGTATCACAATGTCCGTTTGGTGTTCTCAGTAGGTGCCGCTGTATACGTGAGGCTATAATGTTCCATTGTCTTGAGCAATCATTCCCGGAGTTGGTAGGCGATAATGTATTCTCATTGCCTGATATTTTTAACTGCTTCCATTATGCTGGGTATACTATGCCTGGGTTGTAATGAGGTGTACATAGGCGATATATGGACGGTCGCAAAGATACACGGAGAATAGTCGTTGCAGACTGATGCAGGATCACACTAAAATGAATAGAATGGCTGCATTATTAGCAAAAGGTTAATTCTCGCGCAGATGTTCCACGTTATTTACGAGTTTTGGTTTATACACTCCACGTCAAGATCTGAGAAAATCGTGTTGATCAGTGTAGTGAGGACAAGAAGTGTAGTTGGCGATGTGATCATCAGGTCGGTCTTTGCTGTTCCGAGGTATGGAGCTAAAGTGGTGGCGCTAGCTCAAAGTAGCTTACCCGACGCGTTCTCGCGTTCTCCCCGCCACGCGCAATAACTTAATTGATTTCAACATCATACCTTCAAACACCATCTTAAACCACTTTTCCTATCATACCTATTCCTCACTCTGAATTGATATCATACGTTCGAAATCATTTGTGTTTCACCCAAGGAACCATCCTTCCATCGATTTTCCAAAGCTGAACGCGTTCTGCCCTGCTCATAACGCGACTTCTCGGTGGTGCATGCACCTTCAACTCCTAATTTTCTTCTGTACATTCAGCAACTATGAAGACTGCCAATGCGTTGTCCATGTTGGCAGGAAATGATTCAGAATCCGAGGCAGAAATATCACAAGCCCGAAAACCTTCCGGCGGACTATTATCGCGGCTACACACTCACAAGGACGATTCTTCCGAGAACGATGACGAAGGTAGTGACGCAGCTTATGAGCGCACAATGCAGCGATTCAAGTCTGCAAAGACGGCCAATGTCATCAGCAGCGACGAAGAGTCTGAGGACGAAGCCGACGCGGGCGAGGACGCGTACGAGCGGATGAAGAAACAATTGGCGGCTAAACAAGCCGACTCAAGCACGATCGAAGAGAGCACCCCCAAGGCCAAAACTCCAGCAGTAGTCAGTAGCGACGAAGAGGAAGATGTGCCTATACGAACCGCTGCTGCTCGTCGGATTAGACCTGCGAAAGAGAGCAGGTCCTCCGCCCCTACATCCCCCGCATCTAGCATTCGATCTCGTCGTTCCAGTCCGGGCCTGTTTGTCACCCCGAATGCCTCGCCCGTTAAATCCCGCGTCAGATCGCCAGACGCCATCGACGATGATTCAGACCAATCCACAAGTCCAGTCCACAACGCCGACTTCAACGATCGCGTGAAGAGAATACGCGCGGAACGGGTAGCACAGAAGAATAAGGAGAAGAAAGAACGCGCCCAGAAGGCGCCTCAGCAGATTGAAGAGGATTCAGAGAGCAACTCCGACGGCGAGAATGGCAGGCGACTCACACAGCAGTCGAAGCCTACGCGTAAGGCTGGCAAGAAGGCAATGGAGGCCATGATTCGGGATCAGCAGAGGATCGTCCGCAGCATGCAGCTCACCCACCAATCCAAGACAAAGAAGCGATATGGCACAAAAGACTTGCTTGCGAAGTTTGGTTTCCCCACCGGCAACGATAACACAGGTCTTCCTACCCCCGATTCGAGTTCCCAGCCTGCCTCGCCAGATGCGGAACCCGAGCTAACCCACGATGCGCCTGCTGCGGTTCCTGTCCAGGAAAATTCTGCCGTTACTTCACCATCTTCCACTGTGGATAAGGGCAAGGGTCGAGCACCCGAGTTCCAACATCTTCCCCCGAAAATTATGCCCACAGACATAGTCGCTGTTCAGAATGTAGCAGTGGACGTGTCGAGACCTACACACGCCGACTCAATGGTGGAACTGTCCGAGTCCGATGATGACCTACAAGTTGTTCAGCCCAAAAGCAGGCTGGCTGTTTTTGATAAAATTCCTGAACGCAAAGCACAAGAATCGTCGTCTTTGCTTCACCTCCGCCATCTTGCCCAATTAACTTCTGGAAACGACAGAAACTCAAAGGGTCAACGCTCAATGAACAATGTTGAATTAGGAATGTCTTTGCAACAAAAGGCTCGCCTGCAGAACCGCAAAGCACGCGAGGAGAGGCTTGCCGAGCTGAGAGCCAAGGGCATCCACATTGAGACAGAAGAAGAACGGGAGAAGAGGCAAGCCGAAGTTGAAGACATTGTAGCTCAGTTCGAAAAGGACCGAGAACGTGATCTGGCGATTGCAAAACAGGAGAGGAAGAAGGCGAGGGAAGACGGCGAAGCAGGAGATGGATTGCCTTCTAGTGACGAGGAAGACGAAGACTACATTGGAAGTGAGGATGAGGACGTCGCTGCAGGTGGTGCAGATGATGAAGACGACGAGGAAATGGAGCTCGTGCTATCCGGATCAGAGGAAGAAATGGAAGAGGAAGAGGAAACCGTTGAGAATCCCCACAGTCTCGTCGATGACCTTGCAGATGAAGACGACGAAGAGATGGCTGTCGAAACCACCAACGATATCCTACAAGATGCAGATGATGAAGAAGACGCCGATTTAGCAGCACCTTCTCGTCGTCATACCACAAAGCGTGCTAAGCACGTGGTAATTGATGAAGAAGATGAAGATCAAGAGGAGGTCGTGCCACAGGGCTCGCCTACACAGCAAGCAACACCTAGTGATGATCCTTTGGCTGCTTTCAGTTTTGGGAATGCTGCACCGGCTCTGGGCCTCACCCAAGCTTTTGCAGGCACGATGGCAAGTCTTGATGCCGAATCTCGGGGCCAGTCACCAGAGCCAGAGCAAGACTCCCTACAATTTCTCCGGAGTCTTCCTGACACGCAACCTTTGCTCAACTCTAGTCAATCAGCCGTCCCCAACAGCCAGCCAGAAATGTCTCAAAGTGAGACTCAACCTCAGATCGACCTAGGATTCAACCAGCTGTTCCAAGCGCAGCCAGAGTTCTCGTCAACGCAGCTCTCGGAAGTACCCGAACCTACCCAAGATGCTGGCTTCCTGTTATCTCGTTCGCCAGCCGGCCTTGCGCCCATGCCATCCACCATCGACACCGTCATGGTGCCGATCGCGGAATCGCCTATCAAGAAGAGCAAAGGTAAGCTTCGTCGTGGACTGGCGGAAGCTCCTGTTGAGCTTTCTGACGTCGATGACGATGATATGGAAGCAGCCGGACTTGGTTCCGACGATGGTAGACCCGCAAGAAAAGCCAAAGACGTATTCAGCGTTATGAAGAAGGCAGCCAAGAAGCAGCGCAAGATTGATGACTTCAACAAACAAACCAGCTGGGCAAAGGACATTGTCCAAGAACAAGCCGAGGAATCCGAAGACGAATACGCTGGTCTCGGTGGCGCCAGCGATGACGATAGTGGCAATGAAATGGACGAAGAGCTTGCGAAAATGATTGACACCAACGATGTTGTGGTCGACAAGTCGGGCCTCGAGCGTTTCTACAAGTAAGTCCTTCGTATCTTGGAATTAGAATGTCTGCTAACAGTTCACAGCGAGCAAGAAACGAAGAAGCATCAGCAAGACGTCGAGCAAATGTACAAGGATGTCATGACCGGCGGTTTTAGAAAACGCACAGCCGGCCGTGACGCGTTTGACATGTCGGATTCAGAAGACGAGGCTGAGATGAGGCGAGCAAAATGGCAACGCGAGAGGCAACGCATGAGCAATGCTATATTAGCTGATGAACGTATTGGAAAGCTCGGTGAGAACTTGTACTTCTGTAGCAATTGAACGGACACTAATTACATTACCAGCACAAAACGCGAAGCAGCAAGCTTTCATCAACACGATGATCGATACCTATGACGACTCTGAATACGGCTTCCTCAATGAGCCAGAACACCCCGCACCAGAATCCCAATCCCAATCCCAGCCAAACGAGCCAGCAGATTCCGGTGCCATGAACGACCCTGATGAAGACCTATCCATTCCCGACTCTCAAGCCTCCCAGCCTAGCAACCCTCTCAAGCGCAAATCCCCTTCTTTCGAGTCCCAAGAAAAGGAGAACCGACCCCCAGCCAACCAACGCCGCACTGCCGCTCCTCCTCTAAGCAATAACCCCTACAAGAAAGCACGAACCCTCCCCGAAATCCAACACCAGCTCTCAGAACTCCTCGAAGACTCCAGAGTCATGGTGCCAGACTCACAATACATGTCCGACGATAGCGACGACGACGCCACCAACAACGACGCATTCGCATCCCGCAGACCGACCACCATCATCGACCGCCTTTCCCTTTCCCGCTCCTCCACCACCCTCTCCGAATCCAATACCACCACAGGCGCAAACCCCACAGTTGCAGGTCAGACCATGGCGTTCGCTTCCACTACCACAACCATGCACGGTGGCTTCCGCGTCCCGAGTCTCACGCGTCGCGCTACGTCGAACTTCTCGACCGTCTCTGAGCGCTCCTCGTCTTCTTCTTCTACGGTTGCGACTGCGGCTGTGGGCGGTGTTCGTCGCGGAGCCACGGGGAAGAGCAATATCCACGCGCAGGCTAGAGAGGCAGAACGGAGGGCTGTGTTGGAGAAGGCGGAGGGGAAGAGGAAAGAGGTTTTGAAGAAGAAGGTGGGGAGGGCGAGAGGGGTAAGAAGTATGCTGGGTGGGTTGGGTGATGGGGGGTTTGAGTAGTTTCTTTCCCTTGTTTTCTTCTTTCCTTTCTCTCTTCTCTCTATGGATATTTTGTCATGGATGGATTCAGGTTTACTATTGTATTTGGCGTTTTTTCGATGAAAGGATAGGATAAGAACATGGGTCGGAGTTTATAGTAAATTCGGGAATCTTTTATTCCTTGTTCAATTCTAAAGAAGATTTGCATTCACGTTGTTTGCTTCTAAATTTTGTTGTTACAGGGGTGATGCTATAGTACAAGTATATACAAGAAAACATTGTCGTCCTCGTCGTCATCCATCCACTTTATCATACATCACACGATAAATCACAATCACACCTTCTCGCTAATCCAAATAGCTGTTCGGCAACCCCCTCTGATGACATTCGTCAGCAACTCATACGGTCTGGCCTCTTTACTATCATTCTCCACAGCATGATCCAAATGCTCCAACTCTTCATCCCTAATCCTCCTCAACTCCCCAATCAACACCGTAAGCTCCTCTCCCAGCGACTCCCCACGGCTCTCCATTTTCTCTGCCCAATCAAGCAATACGCGCACCTGCTCGTTGTAATGTGAGCCGATTTCCGTCTCAACGGCCTCAGTACACGCCATAGCAGCCTCACGACCCATGACGGCGGTACCCCAACCTAAAGCTGTCGCGGCGGCGTGCCACACAGGGTACATTGCGGTCGGTCGAATACGGTGTTTTGCAAGCAAAGAGTTGAAGTAGTTAAAGTGGCCGGCTTCCTGATCGTGCATATGCTTCATCAGAGGCCGGAGATGCGGGTGTGAGCGGAGGAGGGGAGGGGTTTGCGCCGAGTAGATTAGAACGGCGGCGAGTTCGCCGGCTTGGTTGACGCGTAGAGCGGAGTCGAGGAAATCTTTTTGAGATTGCGTGAGCGGCGTTGTTGGGGCGATTGGGGTTGTGGTTTGCGAGGACGATGATGGATGGGATGGAAGGGCGGCGGCGGCGGCGGTCGCCTTTGCGGAGGCGGTTCGCTCGAGGGGATTTGAGGGTGTGTTGTGGATTGAACGCGTTTTCCGGGCCGTGTGAAGCGTTGCAACTAAGAAACGGCATCGTGGAGAGGCATTGCGGGCTACAAGTGAGGCCATTTTGTGTTGTTGGCTCTGGCGGAGAGAGGCGGGAATCCGGTGACAAAAGAAAAAATTATTATTATCTCCCGGGTTCTATTCAACGTGTACGCATCGGAAGCGAGTGGAAGGATTGCATAATCAGGATCGTATTCAGGCAATGGATAGTCGTCGAAGGGAAGGTGAAGGTGAGTCGGGGTGAGGCTAGATATTGTACGGTGGATGAAGAATGAATGAATGAACAAGAGACGAGACAATTGGATCGAACCACTCATGAACCCAGGCAGCTAAAGTGGAATGCGCACGTCACAGGCAGGCGCGCTAGCGAAGGTGCGAGGAAGGTGCGCCCAGCCCCGAGAGGTGCTTTCCTGATTGGCCGAGCGCGACGAGCGCGCCTTCTTTTAACTGCTGCCCGTCCCTTCCCCATCTGCCCCCTCTCTACTTCTCTCAGTCTTCCCTTCCCTTCCCTCCCAACTGCCAAAAGACCCCCCCTCGTCCGCCATCGCCTCTTTATCGCCCAGTTAGACGACGTATACCCGCCATTTTTCGCCATCTACGCCCATTCACAAACTAAAAGTTGAGCCGTTGTCGCCATGGCTGATGATCTTGACGACGAGCTCTTCGCCCTCGCTGGCGGGGACGATGAAGGAGACGTGGAGGAAGGCGAAGCGTGAGTTTGCTCCCTTCTCTTAGCCCCTCACTCACCCAGTCTGCCCGCCCTATCTTCCTATCTTCCTGTCTTTCCGTTCGTCTGCCTGCTCGCTTGTCTCTCGACTTCCCCCCATATAAAGACGCCGCCACCTGTCTGCTCTCCCCTACTCATACTCCACCACCCTCTTACCGCATCATCGTCACCCGCATTCTCATCCAAGCACGCCATAATGACTCCTCCTAGGTCCTCAGTAGCCGCCTCGTCGCCCAACTCCCTCGGCTCTGATGCCATGGACGAGTCTGACTCTGACCGCGATGACGACGTTCCCGCCGCCCGAGACAGCGACGTCTTGTACCCTCTCGAGGGCAAATATCGCGACCTCAAAGACAAGGCCTACATCCAGGGTCTGTCGCAGCTGGAGCGCGAGGAGATTCTGGGCCAGCGCGCAGAGGAGATGAGCAAGGCACAATTCTACGCACAAGTCGGCCAGCGTGCCGCTCAGCAGAACAAGAAACGCAAGGCCGATTCTGAGGAGCCTGATGACTCCGGTCCGCGCCGCGCCGTAAAGCCCAGGGTCAACGAGAAGCTCGAAGCCTACAAGCAAGCCCGTGAGCAACGTGGCCAGCAGCAGAGGGACCGTCAAAGCGACCGTCGGGACAACCGCCACCGATCCAGTTCAGTGAGCCGTCGTGGCGACTCTGATGTCGACGCAGAGGGTGAGAGCGAGGTGGAGTATGACGAGCGCGATCGATCCAAGCCCGCCGCTCGCGAGGAGCTGCCTGCCAGCCTCACGCACTTCGACTCCGTCCGAGTTGGCCGTGGCTTCTTTTCCGTGGTGTGCTTCTACCCCAATTTCGAGGAGGCCTTGACTGGCGCTTTCGGTCGCATCGGTGTCGGCCAGGATTCACAGCGCCGGACGCTGTATAAGATGGCGCAGATCAAAGGTACGCTTCCTCGTGTTCAACATGATATCTTTGTTTCGTTGCTAACTTCTGCCGCAGGTTTCACCACAGGCAAACCGTATGTTTTCGAAGGCAAGAATGGCAAGAAGCTTGCTACCGACCAGTACGTGACTTGCCAGCACGGCAACGTCAAGAAAGAGTACCAGTTCCAATTCCTCTCCAACCAGCACTTCTCCGAGTCCGATTTCGATGCGTACAAGCAGTCTATGGCCGATGCAGGCATGAAGCTTCCCACGCAATCGGCTCTCAAGAGGAAATTCGATGACCTCAAAGCTCTCGAAACTCGCTTGTGGACCGATGAAGATATCAACGCCCGTATTGCCAAGATGGCCAAATTCTCCCACATGCTAGCCAAATCCAAGTCGGAGAACCCCGCACCTAGGATCCCTACACAGTCTGAAGCTGCAGCCGCTCGCCTTGCTGAGATCAACCGACAGAGCAAGCGTGCAGAGACTGAACGCATCCGCAAAGCACAAGTCGAAGAGCGCCAGCAGAAGCAACAAGCACGGAAGCGAGCGGAGATTGAGGCACGCAAGAGGAAGGCTGCTGAAGAGGAGGCAAAGAAGGCTCAAGAAGAGTCTGATATGGCCAAGGGACATCTGGACATGGATGCCTTGTTCGATGGCGGCGATTCATCGAGGGCCACCACACCGAAACCCCAGGAGAAAAAGAAGACGGAGCGGAAGGGATTGCCGACCTTCAGGAAGCCCAAGATGGACGACGACATTCTCGCCTCCATGGACATTGGTATTGATATTGAGATTTGAGATGGCACGAGCTGCCTAATGGTCAACTGATTCAGGTCTATTTCTTCTCCTGTTGATGGCGATCTACCACCACTACTTTTCGTTACTCCTTATACCCCGCTCCACTACACCCGTTGTGGATAATGCATGCAATATCGAAATATCGCACGCTCATCCAAATTCTGTCGTGGATTGTAGGCCGGCAATATTAAGCCGGCATCATCCTACAAGCTACTCAAATTCACAAAACGCTATTGCGTAGTGTCTATGCACTTTGTTCCCGGTCTTTTGGACAACAATCAAATCCCCCTTCTTCCCCGTGTCCTGCACAGGCCGGACTTTCACTATTTGTTGCATCTGCGAGGGCGTTTCCTTCAACTGGGGGTTTGCATGACGAACCACGGGGGCGTTTCCTTCTTTGTCTATTTGCTCATCTTTTCATTCTCGGATCTTCTGGCTGGCACAGGAACCAGCAGAATCATACCCGGGAGGATGATGGAGAGAAAAGACGCTGCTGAGGTGTCAGTCGTTGAAAAAAAAAAATTGAGTTAACCACCAAAAACAATGGAAAATGATTATTCTGGAAGTGTCCTTTGCCAATTTGCTTCGATACTAACCACGTGATGATTTTGGTTCAGCATATAGCCTCGCATTTTCATTTGCTTCCACGTTGTATACATGTGTTGACCTTTGAACTTGAGAGAGAAGACATTTGGTTAGCATTTACGCTGTTGAATTTTCTATTGCAATCTGTGTTTCTTCTCATCATTTCATTTTGCTCTATCCATCCTTGCCTCTATCCAGTGCCTGCTGCTCTCCTCCTCACTCTCCTGTTTTCCATCCATGATTTTTGTCTACTTTTTTTTGGTTCTGTTAAAATGGAAATCCGCCCACTACCATCATCGTCGTCATCAAGATCGTCATCGTCATCGTCATCGTCATCGTCATCGTAAACCACGCATAAACACACTTTCAACACCCCGCAAAGACAAAGAAATCAATGTCCGAGAGAAAAAAAAACGAGATAATAGAAGACAGAGAGAAAAAGCTCTAAACTACTAAGCCTCCAACACATCGACAACACCCTCCCAATCCCCCCTCTCCCTACACTCCCAATACCCTTCCTTGCCACTCTTCAACCGCCAAAGATCGGCGCCATCCTCGCCAGCCAGCGCAGCACCCGCCTCGTCGGGCCCAATCTTGGTGAACCACTTGGGCGACCATTCCTGCCCGTGCTCTTCCATGACCTTTCTGCGCCCACGCTGGCGCTCTTCGAGTCGAGCTTTGAGCCCCTCGGCGCGATCCATGTCGCCCTGCTCGGCGGCGCGCTGGTCGGGACGCAACCGCGAGTCTGTAGGCGGGAGCCGCGAAGCCTCGATGGGGGTGATTGTGTTCAGATGGGCCGCGAACGCCGTGAAGCCGTATCGAGCCGCGGGTTTGTCTACGAGCGGGCCGACCTTCCAGATCGGTTTCGAGGGCTGGCCAGCCGAAGAAGTGAGCTGGAGGTCTGAAGTCCATTTTCCCGCGGCACCGGCGGGGAGAGGGGAGTTTGAGGGATCGAGGGTTTGCACCGTGACTTCTTCGCTGCGGCCCGCGAACATGCCGCCGGCTTTAAAGGTGCAGATTGCCTTTGCGCCCGTGGTTTCGCAGACAATCGTCATGGTGCCCGTGGGCTCGATGTACTTTTCGCCGGCGATGACGTTGCGCATGAAGGAAGTGGCAATGTTCCACGAGTAGTGCTCGCCCGCGTCGTGCAGGAACACGCGCACGCGTCCGTCGGTGTTGATTTCAGAGCTCTTGCCCCAGAATTTCTGCGTTGGCGCCGGGGATTGGATGAACGTCCAGGCGGTCGATTCGGCGTGGCATGCCATGCGGAAGGGGCGGTGGATAACCTTTTCGGCGACGAAGCGGAAGCCCTTGTCCTCGCGGACGAGTTCGTACGTCTCGCCGAGGAGTGGCGTGTAAGGTTTGCGCATGGAACGTTCCTTGACGCGCATGTTGCTGAAGCTGGATATAGCGAATGCAGCCATGTACACGAGACGTTCGCCTGTCTCGCTGGGGGCGGTTGCCGCGGCGTCGAGGAGTTCGCTGTATTCGAGTTGCTCGGCTATACGCTGTACGGCAGATATGGGTTCGTTGAAGGTCACTGGCATCGCTATGGTGGAGAGATCCTTGCCAACGTTTTTGCGGAAGAAAGATATGAGACTAGGAGGGGGACCATTGGTGGGTGCAATGTTGGAGACACGTTGGACCGGATCATGAGGAAGGGGCTTGAGAGAGGTGGGTTTAGTAGGGAACAGGGACGGTTTGACGTCAAGAGACATGCGTTGGTCGAAGAAGCCTCGCTCTTCATGTTCAGACGACGACTCTGATCCCCCGTCCGAAACGTCGTCGCGTTCATTGTTGTCTCCGCTATCCCGACGAATGGTCAGGAGTTGCGACTTCGCGGTATCACCGTCAACAGCGTCGAAGAATTCATCCGCAGACTCATATGAGTCAATGCTCTTGCGTGGAGAGGGAAGCGCGGGCATTCGCCTTTGCCGACTTTCTGCCAAAAGCTCTGAGAATCCCTTCACCACGGAGTCGAGATCTCTCAAAAGCGCCATGCAGTGGTCATGAAGCGCCTCTTCTTGGGTCTGGACTACCGCGCTCAAGCGGTTGTTTCGTTTGGCGGGCACCCCCAAGGTTCCATTGGGCAGTGCAGGAACAGGTGGGATCGTACCCGGCGAAGCCACTGCAGTCTGAGCGGCAACACTTCTCCTGAACACGCTCGATGGACTTTGGCTTCCCGAGTGGCTGGATTTTCGTTTCCAGAAGGATTTTTTGTCTGCACCTTTCTCTTCTACCGGCGGAAAGTAGTCGAGCGATTCCCCTTCTGATGGACTGGGCGACAGGCTGTCTTGAACCCCCTTAAGACCTAGACCGGTGGATGCGGCGGTGTACTTGGGATCAGTGTCCTGAGCTAGTCTTCTCACAGCATCTCTGGTCCCCGCGACCCTTCCTACCAGGGACTCTACCCTTGCCCACTCGCTCTCCTCGGCTTGGTTGACAGTGTGCGATGCGCTTCTGGACTGGCTGGCAGGAATATGCAAGGTAGGTGAGGCCGAGGCTCCGGCACTCCGCGAGGCGCGATCGAGAGCATCTTTCCACATGTTGAAGTCCTTCATGTTGTTTGCTCGGAGCTGCCAGACTTCGGCGCCCGAATCCACTGAGATTTCTCTCGTATCTCCATTAGCTCCTACAGCGGCCAGCGAGAGGGGGATGGCGCCACGCAAGGCAGAAGAATGGTCATTTCGGTAATAGGATAGCGTGGAAGATGTGAAATCGAGAGAGAAGAAACGTCGTGCGTAGCCTTGATTTCGTTTCCTCCTCTTTTTCTGGAGCACGCCCGTGAGGAAGGATGAGTTCAGCGACGGAGCAGCGCTCGCCGACACGTGTGACGATTTGGGACGGTCATTCAGGGTCTGCGAAAGAGATTCGGAGGACTCGGCGGCCATGGGTCCCATTCCTGGGCTCGATCTGCTTAGACTTGTGGTGCTTGCGGCTCCCAAGGCTTGAGTGTAGTGGGTATGGTGACCGGATTTTGGCGCAGCGTTGGTAGGGTACGTCATGAGGACGAAGGTGGCCGTCTTGGAGACGGTCTTGGAGAAGGTGTTGTCTATAACCAGCCCATACATGCCACCTTCGCCCTCGGGCACATCGTATGTCCCCATAGAAACCTTTTCAGCCTCACATTTGCCTACCCAATGGACCTGCTTGAGGCCAATCGCAGAGAGCTTCTCCAGCACAAATGTCCTGTCATTGCGGGATGTAGAATTGGAGAGGCCACGGCCACGGCCGGTGGATGTAGGTACTTCGAGGGCAGGGGTGCCAGGAGCGTCGAGGGTCGCGGAGGAGGTGGAATGCGAGGCGATGGAGTTGCTGGCGGCGCTGGGGTGCTTGAAGACGCCAAAGTTGATAGATTTTTTGTGAGGTTGGATAGACCACGAGATGGTGTGGCCAGCAGCTACGTTGACCCAGCGGACGAGGTACGACTAGAGGGGGAGAATGTTAGCAAAGTGGAATGATGCTGATGGTGGTGATGGTGCCTAGCGGGGAAGCTTGGAAGCTTGCTTGCTTGTTTGGTTGCATCAATCGCATGGGAAACAGAGGGTGGGAGGAGATGATGCAGACGTGCCTTGCTGTGAACTTCGAGCTGTTCCATGCCGGCCATGGTGTCGGGGTGCTATCGGGGCGGCCGGAATGGCACAATGCAGCGAGTGGGTGACTGAACAAACGGGCAAATTGGTGGTTGAGGCCAGAATAGCAACAAGCGAGGGGTGCAAAGATGCGATGTCGATGATGATGGATATGGAGAAGCGCAAATGCCTATGTAAATGGTTTCATCAAGCAAATGAGCAGCAGTACGACGACGTCTTCTTTGTGTGGATTGTTGAGGAACGCCCAGGAGACATGTACTACCAATCAATCAATACAATATAAATATGTCTTGTATGCCCCAGTTGCAAGGCAGATATGATGATGACACGGGCTAGAGGGGACCTTTTGAGCACGGCGTTCCCCCAAGCAGACAATGGATCTGCTTGTATAAGCCTTCGGATTTGCGGTTGCAGGCAGAGCTATGCTGCAAAAGCGCAAATCCTGTAAGCTGCGCTTGAATCTGACGATGGTTGCAAGGGACAAGGTCGGGACGTAGCGAGTAAGTCGGAGGGTGGATTTGGGCCGCCGCGCGAAAAAAGGACCGAGGCGGGAACGACAAGTTTCCAAACAACCACCACGATTTGTGAGCTTCCGAGCTGTCCGCTTTCTTCTTCTTCAAATCTTCTTTTTGCTTCTGGACAGGTTGACGTGACTTTCAGAGGCTGCTGACTGACTTGGTTTCTTATGTATGGGCGCCAGCCCTGCTTGGCCTTGTCTGCGGCTGGGATCCTGGTTGATTCAGCCCTGGCCAAGAACATTTCAGCCACCCGTCTTTCTCTGATGACGAGCCACCACGGTCCACTCCACCACGGTCCAGGGAATCGTCGGCGTATACCGTATTCTAAACGCGTACCGTCCCTGCCAGGCCATGGGTCGCGCTGCCTGGTTCGTCGTCCGGACATGTGCCTCCTCCCATGGGGTCACGCTCCACCACCAGCCCTACATATGCACCGTACCGATCCGATCCGATCCGAGTACACAGTCGACATCATTTCGGCCGACACTTGCTGCATACTTGTTTGCAAACCTAGCCTGCTAGACGTAGCCTGCCAACACATTTAGCGCACGCGCAATGACATGCTGCTCTGCCTCTGGAACAACGACTATCTACTCTTTTGTATAACATCACCAACTAGTGCACGCGCAATGACATAGCGAATCTTGCTACAGACTTACATTAGAAGAAACTCTAATGATCACCGTGGAGAAAAATATCACTCGTCTCCCATTGCAGCTATTCCATTACAGCTCTTATAGTACTCGGATCTGGTCTGACCGACGGGTCGTGCTGCTCCGTTTAATATCAATTCATATAATTCCTCCGTTCCGCAGTGCTAGCTAGTCAATGACCCTATACCGACTGCTTTGCGTTATATATCCACAGCATCCGTAGAAAATGGTTCTCGATCTATCAGATCTTCTTGTTCATCTTGACTGGGCTAACCTTGGAAAATTTGGAAGATCCAGCAAAATGAAGTTGACCACTGCCGCCGTGGCCTTGTCGGTTACTAGCCTAGCTAACCCGATAGAATGCAATACGAGATCAGTCTCTTCGTGGTCTGGATGGGAAAATGTGAAGAACCTGTTCATTTTGTAAGACTTCAACAATTCAACCTTGAAGTTTATATACTCAAACACTATATTAGCGGAGACTCGTACACGCAAACTGGGTTCGATGTTAAAGGCACCCAACCAAATGCCCAAAATCCTCTGGGGAACCCAAGCTACCCGTGAGAAACCCTACTCAAGCTCACCGACAAGCAGCTAACATATCTTACAGAGGGTGGACCTCATCCAAGTATACTACTCCCCGTCCACCTCTACACCCCCTTCTAACTCAATTCTCAGCGGACCCAACTGGGTAGGATTCTTGACAACCACATACAACGCCAGCTTCATCAAGACCTACAATATGGCGTACGGCGGCGCGACCGTTGACTCTGCTCTCGTAGCCCCTTACACGCCTACTGTCCTCTCCGTCCTCAACCAAACCCAGGATCTCTTTCTCCCAACCTACGGCGCAGATCCCACCTCCGCCGCACACCCATGGACAGCCCAGGATTCGCTTTTCGCCTTCTTCATCGGCGTCAACGACGTCGGAAACTCGTGGTGGCTCGAGAACACCGAGACCTTGTACACAAGCATCTTCACTGTCTACGAGGGGTTGCTAGAGCAAATCTACGAGACGGGCGCACGCAACTTTTTGTTCCTGAGCGCGCCGCCTGTTCAACTTGCTCCGCTGACTCTGGAGAACGGAGAGTACGCTATCGAGAACGAGGGTAAAGCTATTGAGCTTTGGAACGCGAAGCTCAAGAATATGACGGCTGCTTTCAAGACAAAGCATGAGGATGCGACGACCTTGGTGCACGATACATGGGGAGTGTATAAGGACGTGATTGATAATCCAGCTTCGTACGAGCAGACTGCTGGGCTCAAGAATGTGACGGGGTATTGCAAGGCGTATGAGAAGTAAGTGTCCTTTGTTTTGATATTTGGATGGCGTGTGCAAAGAAAAGACATCGAGCCATGCGGGATGAACTGAGTGAGTGCTGACAATTATTGAAGTGGTGCACCTACTTGGTATACGAAAGATCCTAGCTGCGAGTACGCTGTCAACGAATATCTGTGGCTTAACAGCTTGCACCCAACTTTTCCGCTTCACAACGCGACAGCTGCGTCCATTGCCAAGTTTTTGAGTTCGTAGCACCGCTGACAGGATGGATGGAAGTACATACACGATAAAGTAGAATTTCATGCTTGCTTATCCAAACTCATACATATATGGTAGTATGATTGATGTTAACAAAATTGTTGAAATGAATGGGGTTGGCAGATAGATGATTAGTCATATCGGATGAATGCTCATTGCACGTGCACTCGGGAACGCCATGAATTGATTCCATGCATGCAGATGTCTTCTACTTCACACATACATCAACATCGGGTTTCCACAGAACCCACATCGCGCCGGCCGCGCCGTCGCATATGAATTGCAAAAGCCCAACCTCCGGTAGTCCATCCCAGGAGCGGGTCCACCAGCAGCGGATGAATTGGCGGGTAAAATGAAAGTTCGCGGATCATGGTTGCGGCTCGATTGAACCTGCAGGCGTGCAGGCAGCCCTACATCCTACACAGTAACCAGGTCTACACTCTCAGTCGGTTGTACATATACACCACCAAGCAATGCCCCGACTCAACCCGCGCCTACAGCCTCGCGTAGCTGACGTGGGGCTTGGTGTTGCCCGCCCACCTCCAGGCTATTGCATCCCGTTGGCTAAAATGGTTAAATTGGTGGGGGTAATGGTTTGTTCAAGGGAGCAATGGATGATGGTGGCGGGGTAGCAACTAGCTTTCATAAAGCTCTCATATCTTTACCGGTGTTTGTTTGTTTGTTATCTATCTACTTGTACTGATTCCGAGAAAGAAGGAGAGAATAGAAAAAGGAGACACCCACCACCATATATCCAATCCCAATCCTTCTTACAACTGGCCGCGAAAACATCGTTCGATATACAAGCTTCAACAGTGACGCCGCAACCATGGCCGACAAACAACCCATAGTCTCACACCTCTACACCGCGGATCCCTCAGCCCACGTCTTCAACAACCGCCTCTACATCTACCCTTCCCACGACCGCGAAACCGACATCAAAGACAATGACAAAGGTGACCAATACGACATGGCCGACTACCACGTCTTCAGCATGTCTGAAGTCGGCGGGCCCGTAACCGACCACGGCGTCGTCCTAAAAGCAGAAGACATCCCCTGGGTCTCCAAACAACTTTGGGCCCCAGACGCCGCGCACAAGAACGGGAAATACTACCTCTTCTTCCCAGCCCGCGACACAGACGACATCTTCCGCATCGGCGTCGCCGTAGGCGACTCCCCAGAAGGCCCCTTCAAACCCGAACCTAAACCCATCGCCGGCAGCTTCAGCATCGACCCAGCGAGTTTCGTCGACGACGATGGCGAAGCGTACCTGTATTTCGGCGGGCTGTGGGGAGGCCAGCTGCAGTGCTACGCAGGCTCATCCTTCGACGCGTCGCAGCTCGGCGCAAACGAGCCGTCATCCGGCCCTGCTCTCTCCGCAAAAGTCGCCAGGCTCTCCGACGACATGCTCTCGTTCGCCACCGATGTCACAGATGTGCAGATCCTGGACCCGGAGACTAAGAAACCCATTGACGCCTCCGACCACGCGAGACGCTTCTTCGAAGCGGCCTGGTGCCACAAGTATAATGACAAGTACTACTTTTCGTACTCGACGGGCGACACGCATTACCTTGCCTACGGCATCGGAGATAGTCCGCTCGGACCGTTCACGTATGCCGGACGCATCTTGGAGCCTGTGATTGGATGGACGACGCATCATTCCATTGCAGAGTTTAATGGGAAGTGGTGGTTGTTTTATCACGATGCGACGTTGAGTGGGGGGAAGAACCATTTGAGGTGTGTTAAGATTAGGGAGATTGTTTATGATGCCGAGGGCAAGATTGGGTTGAAGGATCCGCAGCCCGAGGTCGAGGCGCCGCCGGCCAAGTTGGAGGATTGAGGAGGTAATGAGACAAGGGGGGTTTTTTCTGTAGATAGACGAAGAAATAGGGATACGAGGTTTATGAGCATATTTGTATGTTTAGAGAATGAGAGAATGAATGAACAAGTGACATGACAGTAAACATAATTCTCACCGATGAACCAATGACTCCTTCTTCCACGACCTATCTTTCCTGCATCCAAGTCCATTGTCCCTTGAAACCTCTCTACAAAGCTCCGCTGTAGCAGACGAACAGTGTTCGAGAAGAAAGTCTAGTCGTAAGATGAGAATGTGAACAGTGGCGAGTTCACAGCTCGCGCGCATTTGATACACTCCCCAGGCAAAGCTCCAGCAATATCGTACACGAGAACTCATCGAGTATCCTCTACACACCAGAAGATCTCTGCGACCTACTCTCCCCACGCCTAGAGCTTCTCAGCCCCCTAGACCCCCCTCGTCTCAACCCCCCCGAGTTCTCAGGAACAACAGGTAGATCATCACCGGGAAACCTCACAATCGGTCTGCCAGGCGTAGCACCGGGCGCCAATGTAGTGCCCGAAAGCTCCGCTCCACGAGCCGCGGTACTATTATCCGCTTCGAAGAAGATCCGGGCATCGAGCTCCATGGGGTTGTTTTCACGGTTCCCTTGTAATTCGAGATTGGTTAGTTTTCTCTGTTTGGCTGGCTTCCGCCGCTCGGCTTTCTCTGCGAGTTTCTTGTGGTTGTTGTGGAGTTCGGCTGGAATGCTGTGGCGGCGGTGGTGCCAGTATATGAGAGCTGCGGCGAGTAGACCGACGCTGACTACGCCTGCGCTTATCCCACCGGCTAGTGCAGCCGTGCTAGGTGATTTTGATTTCTCGAGTGGGTCTGGGGAATTTGGGAGGTTTGGGGGGTCTGGGGAGCTGGCTGGTGGGGGAGCAGTAGGTAGGACAGGAGATTCGTCGGGTACTGGAGGCTTAGAATCCCAGGTCGTTGGGACAGTCCATCTGGATTTCCAGAAAATCCCGTGTAGTGTTTTGCTAGACCATCCTGCTTCAGGCTGGCCGCTTTTTGCTTTGCCATCAGCTGTTCCGTTTGTTGATGAGAGAAGCTTGGGTGAAACTTTGAAGTCGGGATCTGTGGTCACGAGACTACTGCTCCAGTTCTCTTTGATCATATGAAACACGCCGACGCCTTTCTTCTCCCAGTCGCAGTTATTATTCGTATTGGTGTTGTTTCCCCCTACCGTGATAATCTGGCTTTTGAAATAATGGCAGTTATGGCCCCACCGTGGACTGTTGTTTTCTGGCCAAACAATCTTCCAGCGGAAGGATGGGAGTGAGAGGACCACAATGTCGTCGTAGTATTTTGGGTTATTCTGAGTTGGATCCCATCCACTGTACACGTAGATGTGATGGCTGGAGTTGTCGGCCGCTGATACAGTCACTGTGCAGAAGTCAATACGTGGGGATGGTATATCGCCCGTCGTGTTCTGCTGAAACCACGTTCCATTCGAGTCGGGATTCTTGATATAAGAGTCAATGTCAAAGACGTCTACGGTCTGGAAGTCGATCTTTGAACCGAGTCAACAGGGTCCATTATCTTGCAAACGGCTGCGTGATCAGCATATGACTTACAAGTTGCCCTCCATGGCTCGAAGCTTTTCCATCTTGATCAAGCGCCGGCTGTATCTGGCCACCCAGAGCCACCAAGATACCACTATCACCGACAGAAGGTATGTAGTCCAGCGATCCACCTACTCTTGACAAACTTTTCTTCATCGTTGAAGTAGACAGATTTTTTGCAGCGGAGGACGTATGGACGAGATCAAGCACCAACATACCATGTACGGGTTTGTAGAAACTCTGACTGGTGTCGTTGAATTGCGAGTCCGTCCTGGCATCAGTGCCCTTGTCAATCTGTCCGTTGAGATAAAACCCAAGACCTAGATCGGGAGCGTCCGCACCAGCGCCGTGATTCGGCATCCAAATCTGATCAACGTCGTACTGATCCCATTTCGTGTCCGACGAGCCTGAGCCAGGAGAGTAGGACCACAGTGCATTTCTCGAACTGTTGGGAATAGTCCTGGCAACGAATGTCTCGTTGAGCAAGTAATTTGTTCCCCCAAAGGGGAAAACCTTAGATGTGTTTTGCGGGCCAGAAAACATGTATCCTCTGAATAAGCTTGGTATATTTGTTCCAGACTTGGGGTTGGTCAAGTTCTTAGGTTCCCTGGAAATGTCCAAAAATTGGGGGTCTCCTTCAGATTTCTTCCAATCCCAGCCATTTGCCAGCGGTATTGTCATAATATGATCATCTAGACCGCATCAGAATAAATCGATAATGAGTCGATGATAGGGTACTGGAACTGACTGATGCCCATGTAGGAGCTTTCGTCGTCGAATTTTTGGACACCACTGTCAATGTATAGTGTGTCGTTTTTTATGGTGGCTACCCAAAACGTCAATGACAAATGGTGACCGAGGGACAAATAGTTCCTTACATTGTGACCACCACCTAGAGCAGAAATGCTCGACTGGATCCGGACCGGCTGGGCCAGGGGATGGCGGCGAGTTCTGTGCGCTAGCAAACGTCAAAAAGCATAAGATAAGTAGACGTGACATAGCTGGGGTCATTGTGAAGGATTGTCTGGTTAGCACGTCAATGACACATCCCGTTACCAAAGAAAGGGTGAAAAGAGTGACGATTCTGGCTGAGCAATCGACGGTCTATATTATTCATACTGACGAGGCTGCGGATAAGGCCCCAAATAACACCCATCGGGGTTCTTTGCTATGTCTATGCGCATGGATCGCGAGCAAAGCAACACCAGAAATGAAAGGCATGCTGGAAATCGCGGTCTTTGGCCCCACACTCATGGTATTTTAAGCTCTTCACTCGTCGTATTCGCGTAATTTGAGAGAGGCCAGGCTAGTCACAACCACGGAGTCGGGTTGCAAGATGGGCTGCAGTATTGTATTGCATCCCTTGACATATGAACATCACAGACCGAAGGTCGGTCTTCCCATGTTGTTGTTTTTTGAACGAAATGTCTGTTGGTCGACCCGACGTAGCTACCATGTTACCAAACGAGGATATGTGACAAGGTCCGAGGACGTGATGTAGAGTGATGCGTAGTGATGGTGTAGGACCACCCAAACCCACACCCAGACCCCAACTTACAATTCGATTCATGGTACCATTCCCCAAATGGTCATAGATATATTTGAACGTCCGCACACTTCGCTCACTAGATACCGCTAGCACGGATGACTATGCGATCTGTTCAAAGAACCAGGTCCGAACTGTCGCAGGGTGGTTGTAATCCAAAGGCGTTGGCGTAAGAAGATATAAAGTCAGTGGCCAATGGTAGTTGATGAATCTGGATGACTATTTGTGGTTGTCCATCAGTCATCAGCAGTGGCTGCTTCAGCCTCGTGTATACGAGCGTATGTGGCTTTCGCTTGCGAAGTGAAGGCCGTGGAAACCTCCGTCGTGGAAGGCAATTTCCTTTACGAAGTTCGATCAAATCGGTTACTATGCAAATTGTATTTCGATGAATAGAACCTCTTGGAATTAATGTGTTTCATCTATAGGAAACTTCTTCGATCGATTGATTGTGTGGAGTTGTCCTGCGATGCATGAGCATCCACGGAAGGCCGCCCCGGCTCGACGGGATCGCCAAGCAGCATTCATGCCCAGCCCGGTAATCCAGATCTTGCGGTGTACCGGACCGCCGATGACGATAGAGAAGAAGGCGAAGAAGGGGGTGGTAAAGAAAGGAAGAGGAGAGACTGAAGCGGACGTGAACTGGGTTGATCGTACATTAACCGAATTCGGCCCTAGCTTGGCAGGGACCAGCAGTAGAGTACGACAGTCAGTACAGCGCCTTGCATTCTTCTCGTCATCGTCGCTGATGCTTGTCCGCATACACATTACCCACTCTCTCAAAGCTGAATACATATCTACTTAGTCATCTACCCCCGTTTTCCTTTGTGTTTGCTACTTCTCTTCTCGCGCGTTTCCACTGAATACATATCTACTTGCTGTACCCCGCGATACCCTCACTTTGACCCCACCAGCAAACCCTCCACCCTACAGCATTCCCACCTGCAGCGCCAACGAACAGCGCAAGTGAATGAGCTATCGTTGGACTCGCACGGAAATCTGATCGGGTCAAGTTCTTCAGCTTAGTGCAGATCAGGGAATTATAAAAAACCACCTCCATAAGCCTGCGGGCGCCCCTCAACCACCAGATCCGCCGCCGCCACCCCACCACTCAACTCAACCTTCATCGTTCCCGCCACATCCCAGGCTCGAGCCCACCGCACGCTATGGCCTCTTCTCAATCTGCCGCCGCAGGCCTTCTCGCTCGCCAGCTCAAGCTGTTGCAGAATGACAAGGACATACCGGGCATTTCTTGCGGGCTTGTTGACAACAATGTCTTTGAATGGGAAGTCATGCTCATGATCAACGACGACACAAAGTTTTACGGTGGAGGCTTTTTTCGCGCCCGTCTCACCTTCCCGACCGAATACCCGTTGCTGCCGCCCAAAATGCGCTTCGAAACCCCCATCTTCCACCCAAACATATACCCCAACGGCGACGTCTGTATATCCATCCTGCACCCACCCGAGGAGGACAAGTATGGTTACGAGTCGGCGTCGGAGAGATGGTCCCCTGTCCAGACTCCGGAGACCATCTTGCTGTCCGTCATTTCTATGCTTAGTAGCCCAAACGATGAGTCGCCCGCCAATGTGGAGGCCGCCGCGCTGTGGCGGGATAACACGCCCGAGTTCAAGAAGCGCGTGAGGAAGTGTGTGAGGGACAGTCTAGAATTTGAATAGAGTGTTGATATGAGGAGACTATTTCTTATAATCTAGCACAAGTGGCGGGTGACGGTGTCATGTTCCATTACTCTGACTGTACGACAGACTGTCAGTTTTCTTTCTCTTACTGAAACGCATTGCATTCTCAACGATATAGCACAAGGCAAATAACTTACATTCTTCATGATTGAAAATATGGGACAGCGGTCACTTACTTATTGCAAATCCCAGTGCGAGCGTGTTCTTTCAAGAGTCTCCTGATTCCAACAGTAAAGCAAAGGAGTACCCAAATTACCCTAGCCAAACAAACCGCGTATAACACGCAGGAGACATGAAAAAGGATTAAAAATCCGTCAAATTCCTCTCGCAGATGGCAATACACACCCTTCTGGTTGCGTCCTGATGTTTTTTTTGTTCCTTTATCGTTGTAAACCCATCGCTGTGTGTAGGATCACCCAAACTCCGACTTCGAATACATTACGCCATAGGAAAATGTCGGTCCTGCCTCCAGAATAAAACCATAAAGAGGATCAAAACTGGCCACAGTTGGGGAAGTTGCTGTGCAACCCACCCGGCGTCATCTACAGTGACTGTCGACCTGCACTCCTCATGTTCCTCGCACTCGCGACTCGTAACCTCCGTTTTTTCCGGTTCTCCTTCTTTTAAATCAGTGTTTTCATCAGAAGTGGATTTCTCAACAATGCCCTCCAGTTGTGGTGAGTGTTTTGAAGGCCTGCGGTAAAATGCCGATCTTCTGCGCTCGCGTTTGCACCGTTCTCTTTCCAGAGACACAATCATGCTTCCTGGTCTGTCGAAAATGATCCCGCTCATCGTGCTATCCTCTTCGAAGTCGCTCGTTGAATCTGCTCATCTTAATTGTTAACACCATCTTCTAAGCTAGAATCGAGCGTGTGGGGGCTTACGATCGGACGCTGAATCTCTTCGCTCACGCTTGCGTCGCGCCTGTTCTAGGTGCTCAATCTTGCTTCTCGGCTTGTCGAATATCTCTTCTCTCATTGCAGTCTGCTCTTCGACTTCCGTCATCTCCAGTGCGGTGATTTCCATGTCGTCGTCAATTTCAGCTTTTCTTTTTTTAGCCGTTTCAATTCTCTGCTCCGCCACTACCCTCTCTTTATCAGTCATCAGCGGCAACCATTTCTTATACATCTTATCACATCTCAAGCAAAGGTTGTCTTTGTTCGCCTTCACGCACTGCGGACACTGATGCATCTTTGTCACAATCTCGTCCATGATGACGACGCGTTTGGTGGCGAGATAGTCTTTACTCCAAGCTCGTGTTCCGGCAGCTTCATCCTCGTTATCATCCTCGATTGCGAACAGTCTGTCCCAACTCGCCCGTCGAAATGCAGCGAGTGCGCGGAGGTCGCCGTGGTTACCGAAATCTGGTTGTACGAGCGCTCGTAAAGCGACAATCATGTCCGGGGCATCGAGCATCACCACATCATCGTCTCGATTCGACATCGAGGATGGGTCACCGTTACTCCCGCTCGCATCGTCGTCATCATCACTTTCCTTCATCTCGACGTCTTTTTCTTCCCCTTGTTCAGGACGCCTGACCACTAGGATACTATCGTTCGCATCTTGCTTTTCTTCATCGTTTATCACCTCGGTTGCCTCGCCAGAAACCATTCTCCAGAATACTCCGTCTTTCCCTGAGCGACTGGAGTTTCTGATAGCGAGGAGGCATGTGGGTGACATCATGTTGTTGCTGCTGATGCTGCGGGCTTGTTCCTGCCTTTCGTTTGCTCTGCTCATGATGGGTGGGAGGTTGAGTGTAGGCGAGAACGGTTAGAGAATTCGTTGGGATACTGGTGCGATGGCGATGTAGTAGTCTACAGCGTAGTGCGTAGAATGTTTCTGCAATCGTGTATAGTTGGAGTTGGTATTGCTGTCATTGTTCTTCTTTCCCTAGGTCAGGATTTCGCTGGGTCATATATACCCTCGTAGTTGAATAATCGATTTTTGAACTCCATTTTCTTGCTCCTCGCTTTTGTGCCGAGTTCAACCGTGGTTGTAGTTGGAGGGATAGATCCAATCATGTTGGAGAAATTTCCATTGTATAGGTGATTAGGTACCGTGGGTACGATGATGGGGTCATGGGTTAGGAATTGTTGTCGGTTGGTTCGTTGGATGATGGTTACGGTTAGAATAGCGGTTCATTAATTGGTTAGCGGTCATTTACCGCGTTCCCACTTCGCTTCGACTCACTAAATTGAGCTCCGTCGTTGTTGTTTCTGTGAGAGCGGTGAAAGCGTGCTTGATACTTAGTGGGGAGTGAATCGGGACGGACAAAAAAAGGCGGTAAAGCTGCCAGTTAATAAGTATCAGACAACTCACATAACTAAAATGACATGAGATGTTGTACAAACTTTCTAGTTGGTTTTTTTTTCTACATGAACTAACCCTCCTTCGGGTCAAGAATGGAAAGGTGGACGAGCATTCCCAGACATTACTAACAGAAATCAGTAGAGATCAACAGAGCCTAGCTGTTCACCACATGGAATACCTGATGACAGGAGACATGTTCGAAAGTGTGTAAAATCCATTTTTTTTTTCTAACTCGACTGAAATCCGAACCCCAGAAAATGCATCCTCTAGACCAAAGCTAGAGGAATGAAACCAGCCCAGCCTAGACGCCGAAAGTGTGTCCCGGGGGTATCGCAAAGGGAAAAGAGATATACAAAGGAAAGTAGGCAAGTAAAGAGAAGAAACAACATCCCATCCAGTTTCAATTTGTGTCTCCCATGCTCATGCGCCGCCGAAAGACCCCAGGGTATCCACGATGGCAGAGAAGGGTAACAAAGGGAAAAAGGGAAAAAGGGAGTTGACCAAAGAGATTCCATCCAGCCCAGCTTCAACCAAACTATCCATATGTAACCCATGCGCTTTTCTCCCGAGATTGATGTCCACCAGCCGAGCTTCAAACCTGTCGTGTCCAATATGTTCCAGAACATACTGACCCAGCCCTGAGCAATGAATGCAAATTGTGATGGAAGGCAAGAAGGAGTTCGAAACAAGATACCACACGGGAGATGATTCAAGAAGGTGGCGAAATTACACATACTCTGGTTGCGATTTTAACTTGTCCGGATATCGAGTCTTGAGTATGCGCTCATGGTGAACGCGGCAACGACAATTCATCCATACGAAATCAAACTGACATGGAAACCCTAATCTAGGATCTTCAGCAACAGCGCAGTCTGAAAGAGGTTGATAGCAGACATTGTTGCGGATCGTCCATGCATCTAGGCGTCGGCGTCGGAGTGAACTTCGACCTTGAGTTTGGACTTGCCAGAAGACTTGCGAGACGATGATTTGGTGACCTTGCCCTTGGAGGAGACGCGGGAGGAAGAGGCCTTCTTCTTGGAGACCGTCTTCTTGGAAACCGTCTTCTTTGTAGCGGGGACGCCGTAGGTCACGACATTGCCGTTCCTGTCGAGCTGAGGAAGGAACTCGATCGAAGGAACATTGGCGGTCTCATCGTTCTCGAGCATGTCCTTAATGAACGCAACGGTATTCTTAACATCGTAGGAGGTCTTGTTCTTTCCCAAGTGGCCGTTAGCCTCCAAATCACGCAAGACGTTGATCGGAGCCTCGAAGTTCTTGCCATTCTGCTGGGGCTCGACCATCTCGGCGGCCTTGTCTTCGCTCACACCCATGGTGATCTTGCGGGCGTAGGTGTTAAGGCGGTTCTCCTCCGATTTCTTGAACGCCACGTTGTATAGAGTGCCAGGGATTTGATAGTCAATCTCGTCAAACTGCTCAAGGATGAGAGAGATCTTCCGAGCCTGCCAGGCCTTGTTGTTGTACGTAGCGCGCTGATAGTGCTTGCGGCAGAACAAGGGCCAGAAGTCGATCACGCGGGTGCAAGCTTTGTTGCGGCCGAAGTGGTCGGAGATGACTTTGCGGGAGAGGTTGATCTTGTACTGGCCGGTCATGCAGCGTGTCTGCGCATCGTTGGCGCACTCAAATTCACGATCGTCGTGATCGATGCCGTCGGAAGCAGGGATATCTTCAGAGATTATCTGAACAGGCTGGGAGCTAATCGACTCGTCCTTGAAAGAAGAAGGAGGCATCTGCTCAGAATCGTTCTCGGCCATGCTGGAATTGTCTGCGTGAGCTGTCTGAGCTGGATCTTCGGATGTAGCAGCGACATTCATGGCGTCGTCTGAAGCGACCTGAACGTTGGCTTGGGAGTCAGAGTCGTCTACAGCGTGACCAGCCGAGACGGGTTTCTCGTCGGCGGGATCGTCGGAAAACTCGTCGGCGGGCGGAGTATGGTTGACCATGTTCGCTGGAGGAGCTGTGAATTTGAAAATCTCGGGCTCTTGAGCAGGCGGAGTCAAGATATGAGTGAGCCTCATGACGTCCGGGACGGTACCGTTGGCGGGAGGGGGAGGAGTCTTGATGATGCAGGACATTGTGTGCAAGTTTGAGTTTGAACAAACAAAAGTAGTGATTGTGAAAATCAAAGACTGATCTTGAAGAGACAAAGCTGACCGTGGTATAGAGATTTTGCAGGAAGGTATATGGGAAAGTTGAGGATCTGGAGCGAGGTGGGCGAGCGCGGGGTGGGCTTAAATGAGTGAGGACAGAGGGCGCTCGGACGCCCCTACGTAGCTCGTGGGCGGGGTTCACCAGCAGGAAGATGAAGCGCAGGTGAGGTGAAGAGGAGTTCCTATTGTGTTTGATCTATTGTCTTCTGATCAACTGGCGTGAATTCGCGAGACCAGCCGGTCGATGGCAGCTCTCTTCTGTTCACGTCACAAGTTCAATAGGGCGGCGCGGCTGATTTTGGGATCAAGTCAAGATCCGTATTGTTCAGGGCATTGGACAATACAATGTGATTAACACAGCGCTCGTGCTAGATTGGCTGGTGGGCGTTTGTTAGAACAATGTGAGGGGGAGACAATCCGAAGGCTTAGCCAACAATAGCAGGCCGAGTGAGAGCTTCGCGCAGTCGGGGATTGAGCTGTCACGCCCTTCACGTCGATATGTGATGCACAGTTCTATCCGAATGTTAGAAACTTTGGCATCGCTGTCGATGTTCGAGCGGGCAGCAATCAAAGTGCGTCGGCCCTATATGCTGCATCTGACGTCCACCTCCACACGCATCGTGTTTCAAAGTCAGTGGCAAGATAGCATCCTAAGTAGTAGAGTGTGGAGATATCCCACACACACACACCTCCAAGGGGTCCTGGCGCTACTATCACTCGACACTGAGGCTGACCGCAGCCCGCTTGCTTGTGCGACATCAGAGTGATGAAAAATGGACAGCAAATTTAGCGGGAACATCAGAGACAACTCACACGCCCGTGAACTGGGTCAAAGAATGCCTGGAACTAAACGTTTGACTACACTGATGAATCTGCATTGTGCGTGTACAATTATATCGACGCTCTCTGCTCATCCAGGGCAAATTTATATTCACATAACACACAGAATATGGCTACGATGGAAGGAAGGTGTACTTGAATATTACTTGTGAGTACATCAGGACTATCATCGAAGGTCTTCATTTCTGTGTTGCACCAATATAGACCGCTTGCCATTCACAATGGACGCTAAAGCGGAGGTCAACCGAGCAAATGCTAATCCTCATCATCACCATCACTACACAAATCTGTGACTCGGAATTCCACATGGCTCCCGTACTGATAAGCTTGTGTACCCACACGGGATTGGGAGAGAAGTTTTGGTGCGCAGTGCTTTCGCCACATCACCGCGGGATAGAGTGACAGCCGAATGTATCCGTATGCTAGTATATTGGTTCCAGGTGCTAGATTATACAAGATCCAGAATGACACTAGAGTGTCAGCTTGTGTATGTAGACCAACCCATAACTCAGGTTTTGCGGTGTACGAACAGCGAGAGCAAGTCTAGAGCTGCTAATGCATCAGTAGGGAGGGGTGCGATCTTTTGTACATTTACATTACATTAAAGCAATATATTCTGTTTGAGGTACATCCCAGTTGGTTGTGAGAATCTATCATATTGCACTGCGCCAGAGCAAGAAATGGCCATCTTGATGAAGATGAGATGTCGTTGAATGCATAGTCAGTGATTGGCTGCGCCCGTTTTATACGCTAGTTCGAAACGGGCTAGTAGATCTGTCTGACCATATACCAATCTGTGGGATCTTAACATCTTCACTCAACACTTCCACACCCGTGCTTGTCCACTTAACCTACCTTTTCCTGAGTCCCATACTTTTGGTCATCAATACCAGTGCAGAGAAGCTCGGTGCATGGAATCATCACCTTGAGTGGTAGTCCCGAGTCGAGAGAGCTGCTTTACGTCACTCAGGATCCGGACGGTCCTTAATCCAGCTTTTAGTAATCAGGTCGGACTTTTTGGTATTATTTCCTCTATCACATGTTGCATGCCATGTACATCTATTCGCTACTGCATCGTCTGTTCCATCCTAATTCCCACGGAATTTGAAATTGCGGACCACCTATTTGCTATACATAAACTCATTCTAATAGGCACGTAATCTAGGCAGTATTCTTTATTTGCCTCCTGCACCCTTTCGAGCTGCACAACTATATAGCCTGCCATTCCCATCATTTTCGACCGGAATTTAGCACTTCCAACCAGCACCTCCAGCGCCTGAACTCTGTTCTTTGTGGACATCACCTATCTCGACTTGTAACTCTCGTTTGATTCCTGCCCGACACTCAGCCCAACCGCTAGTAACCACCCGCATCGAGTTGCTTCTACGGAATTCTTAGTACCGGGTCTCGCTGGCACGATACCTAATATATATTTCCCAAGATCTTACACTCTGCCTACACACGTCCTACCAACGAGCGCGAGCGACTCTCGAATAGATTGCAGAAAGTATCAACATGAAACAGGACAACCTTAAGACCGATATATACTCCATATCCAAAATGAACAGCGGTAATGCCCAAGCAAATAAAATTGATACGGTCTCCGAAGTTGTACAGCCAGAATTGAATGTGTATGCATCATCGTTCATACCAGAGATCTACAAGGATATCAACCGAGATGGCGGGGTGGTGGTTGATATCGATTCGAAGATTTGCATTGACTACTCGAGATATATACAGAGCTTTGTGGGCTTTTCCTTTGTTCCCTCAAGGCTCCCTAAACCGAATCAGCACCTCTTCTCCGCCTCGAATCGCCAATACCTACGGCACATGCGTGCACTGTGGGATGTTGAAAAGGCCGCAAAGCTCCTCGAGGACGAAGGGCACTCTCTATACAGAGTGCTGTTGGGAGCTCGCATACTGGATGACCAGAGGTTTCTTACATTACAAATCCCTGGACTGAGAGAAAACAGCCCATCAGTGGAAATAGGGGACACTATACAATTACGGCCTCTTTTCGTCGATTCTAGTGGGAATCTCACCGACGTCTATATGCACTTCAATTACCCCGATGTCCAGATGTATCCTCGCCATTGGACGGGTACCATTTGGAATGCCTCAGTCCACTATGTCCATCGAGCTTCGGAAACTGTGTACCTAAAAGCGGATGACCTTAGAGAAACCTGGATAGCGAACTTTCGCTTCGAATTATACGTAAACGTGGTTTTTCCGCCGAAATCGAGGCATCTGAAGGCAGCCCACGAAGCTCTAGTCTTGATTGATACCATTCTAACAGAGATTGATGCCTCCGAAGGCGCCGCTAACGGAGCCTGGGAGCAACACACCAGAACTATGAGCGTCACAAACGGGGCTTCAGGAGGACAGGATCCTCCGCTTAACTCTCAAAAATCCGCGTCTTCGCCACAAATAGAGGCCATCCAACGCCCAAATAGTTGGACACGTCGAATCCTGTTTCCCGAAGAATCAGATGGTCAATGGCAGCGACAGCTACGCCGATATCCAGATCGCAAGCTATTCGATCCCCAATTGAACTATGAACAGGTCCAAGCTGTCAACTCTGTTTGCAAGAACGATTATGGTATTTTGCCCTATTGTATATCCGGACCACCAGGAACTGGGAAAACGAAAACATTGGTCGAGCTCGCTATGCAACTTCTCGAAGGCCATACGGTTGATCATATCTTGATCTGCGCGCCCTCAGATCAGGCTGCGGATACACTAGCCCTCCGCCTTAAGAAGTACCTTACTCCGACTCAGCTTCTCAGACTCATCGGACCCTCCAGAGCTGAAAATGAAGTGCCCCTTGAACTCGTCGGCACAGGCTATACATATAGTGAAGATGGCATGTTCTATATCCCTCCTTTCCAACAGCTGATGAAATATAACGTTGTCGTGACTTCCTGCAGAGACGCTTCCATTCTCATGCAAGCACGAATCACGAACGCGGATCTGTGGGCTATAGAGCAAAGCATGCTCCAATCATTTCGCCCGGAACAAACAACTCCGTCTCCATCCCTTCATTTCGGAGCCCTTTTAGTGGATGAAGCTGCCCAGGCTGTCGAGCTCGATCTGCTTCCCGCCATCAGCGTCGTGTGCCCACCAGCCGCGTACCCGTCATCCATGCAGCAACCGCGCTTCGTCATGGCTGGAGACGAGAAGCAGCTAGGCCCACAAACAGCATCTCGAGATCCAAGGTTCTCCCGTTCCCTCTTCGCCCGTCTATTCACTAGACCCCTCTACCAAAACCATCCGCTCTCCCGCTCCAACATGAAACCCTCTACACACCCACCCGTTCTAACAAAAGACAAACTTCCAATTCTATACCCACCCTTTGCGAATTTAACCCGGAACTATCGCTCTCATCCCGCCATAATCAGCATCCCAAGCTGCCTCTTCTACAACGACACCCTAATCCCAGAGAAGAAACAACTACCCCCTCCTCCATCCTCAACACCAACCCTCCAAACCTCCCCACTCTTCAACCACGGCAAAACATGGCCCGTCCTCTTCGTTCCAAACACCTCCCCCGACGAGATCGAGCGCGAAAACGGCGGCTGGTACAACGTCGGCGAAGCAATCCTCGCCTGCAACATCGCCTCCCACCTCCTCTCGCATGCCGCATCCCTCCCACAATCCTCCATCTGCATCATGTCACCCTTCGCCGCTCAAGTCCGTCGGATCCGCGCTCTGCTCCGCTCATCCGCGTATAACCTGCGCGACGTCAATGTGGGTCCTGTCGAGGCGTTCCAAGGACTAGAAAAAGAAGTCGTGATCCTATGCACCACGCGCTCTCGCGCAGCATTTCTAGATTCGGACATCAAACGCGGATTAGGCGTTGTAGGGTTCCCTCGGAAAATGAACGTTGCGATTACGCGAGCGAAGGAGGCTTTGTTCGTGTTGGGGCATCCCGGTGTGCTGGGTACCGATGAGGTGTGGAGACAGTGGATGGGGTTTTGTGCGCGGAATGGGCTCGTCTATAACCATGGTGGTAGTGGCGGGGAGGTTCTTGGGGCGATGGAGGGAGTAGGAGGGGAGGTGGCTAGTGGGGCTGAGGAAGGGATGAAAATTGGAGTTTTGGAGAGAGCGCTTGTTGCTAAGGGAAGGAAGATGGTGGAAGGAAAGGAAGAGAGGGTTTTGGGAGGTGCGATGGATATGGGGATGATGCAGCTGGATGATGGAGGGTACGAGGCGTGGGTGGAGGGGTTGCGGGAGGCGCTTGAGGAAGAGGAGGAGACTGACGGGATTGAATATGAAGAAGAGGGGGAACAGGATGATGGAGCGGAGGAAACCTAGGGTATTGAATACGGAAAAGAATAGATTGTGAGCGGACACGAGGCTGACAAGTTGGGAGCACTGAATGAGGTTGGATTTTCGTTAACCCATCTCATCGCTATTGGATGTACAACAAGACGTCATCTTACAGTTATACAATGAGGTACACACTCATAGTTCGTACAGATGATCGAAATGGCAGAATGTTATACAATGCGTGCGAATTCCTTTACTCAGAACCACTTTTGGAATGTGAGGTCTTTTGCCCTTGTGTAGTGATGAATGACGGGTATGTGAATTAAATACTCATCTAAATATGTTACCTTTTCTATATATGGGTAGATAGTGTCGGTATATATGAAAGGTGGTGGAGGAGAGAGGATATCGCTACTGGGGGAGCCTTCCTTGTACAGATATCGTGACCGAGAAGAAAACAAGTAGAGAATAGTAGTCATTCAATGATAACATCGGAGGGACAAGAAAAGGTAGAAGGAAATTATAGATTTCAACTTCAGGTTGCGTACATCGCAACCCCTACCCCAAAACACCACGAGACGAGAAGGAAAAGAGGACATAGATATCATGATGCGAAACCTCTCAAAAACGCCCAAAGCCCTGCTCCGCAAAGCACGGGGATCGTTAGGTTATCATCCCACCCAAACAGATCAATAGCCTCGCTCGTGCTCGCCACAAGCCCAGCAGCAAGCGACACAACTCCCAGCGCCCACCACCCAGTCACGGAAGCACTGGCAACATCCAGAGACAGTGTTTCGCGAACTTTAGCAGGAAGCGTGAGTGCGCCCTGATACGCGAAAGCATTTTCACCAGTGTCGTATCTAGCGAAGCGGGGCGCAATGGAACCCCAAAAGACAGCGGCCGTGATAACACCAACAACACACGCCGCGATGGACCCAGCGAGCGATTTCCCTTTGCGAACACGCCATGTGCGGTGGCCCCAGAGGCGACCGAAAGTCGACGCCGCAGTGTCGCACCAGCTGAGTAGGAGCACGCTCATGACTCCGACGTCCTTGGGGAAAAACCGCAGCACGAGCCATGCGCCCAGCAGATACGAGATGACGCCGTTCCAGCCGTCGACTTCAGACTCACGCATCAGCGCGCCCAGACACCGGATGTAGAGGCGGTTCACTTGCCACCATTTATGGCGGATGACGTCGGAGAGGGTGATGGGAATCAGAAGCGTGAGGAGGACGGGGTGGATTTGAGAGGGTTGTCGACCCGTGCCGTATAGAGCGAGGGTGAGAAAGCCGATAGAGGTGTGGAGGATTTTGCGGGGGACTTCGTGGCGGTGGATCTGTGGATATTGTTAGTCGTTGATACAAGAATAAACAGTGGAAAGTTTTTTTTTTGTCTGCGAAAGAAGACCAGGAACAACTTACAAAAGACCGCCATTTCTGATGAATCGGAATCAGACCGAGGGGGCTCGGGCTCCTACTCAGCTCTCTCCAGTAGTTCCTGTTGGCCGCCTGAGGCGACAGATGCCCATTGACCGTGGACCCGTTGGGTAGTTTGAGGTCTCCTGCCTTGGACGGCTTGCCGTTTGCCTGTCTCTTGGCTGCGAGACCGCTCATCCTCCGTCTCCTACTTTCATATATTGGACTTCGACTCCTGGCTCTGGCTCTCTTATCCGGATCAGAGCCTGACGAGTCCTCTTCGATGGATGGCGGTGATTGCAAGCGCTGTTTGCGCGCAGCAGAGCGCGTGGTTGGGCCAAAATAGCCGTCTTTTGCGCTGGATTCCGAGGGGTCTGGCGACGGTGAAATGACGCGCGGGGTTCGCGGGACCTGGTATTGGGCTGAGGACGCCATGACGTGGGCGTGAGGTGCGCACTGGAACGAGGGGAGCGGAGACGTGCGGATGAGACCAGAGAGCGATAAGCAAGTTTTCAGCCAAAATTGCGAAACACTGTCGAGCAGAGAGACGCGACGAGGTTCTGTAGTAGCGGTAGTCGGAGTGGTGGTGAAGAGTGTCGCAGTGGAGTCAGGCGGCACAATAAGATTAAGATGGTGGCAGTGGTCCTGCGCGGCTTCGAGATCAGTTAGCTGTGACGCGGATTCGTCCGGGCAGCCCGCATCGTCCGACGGTGAGGCAAAAGAGGCCACAGTTGAGATACCGCAGAGGGACGAGAAGTAGATGATACCGCTACCACCACTTCTATAATAACAATGGGTTATAAGGGGGAGGGAGATTGGAGGACGGCTTTGCAGGCCAGATTTTATTTTGGAGAGTTGATGACCCTCATGCTCCGTGTCCCTAAACGCGTCGATCGTGACCGGGGTCGTTGCTTGGCGTAGTGAGATCACAGTGCGGTAACAGCAGTCGAATCAACGAAACGGAGCGGAGGGTGTGTTTTATCCAGCTGGTTTGAATGTTCTAGTCTCATATGCCATATCGTCACCCCAAAGTTTGTTTACACACGTTGACTGTCCACGTGCAAACTCGTGTGTGCCCCGAAAAACAAGCTGGATAAGCTGGATTCAAGCGTGCCTGGGTGTTATTTGAAGCATGTGAAAATGGGTGGATAGCACCGCCACAGCCCAGCCACATCCACTAGCCACAACGCCATAATTCCGAATAATTTTCCAAAATCTTGTCGGAGAAAATGTTGGCCGCTAACACCAGCACGCTGTAGCCAGCACAAGAATCGAAGGGGGAAACGTACCGCAGGAACAAGAAAAAGGTGCTGCAACATGCCTCCACAATCAAAAATAGACCGTCAGTGGAGCGCTCTTACGCCTCCTTTGTCAGAATGGATACTGGATGCTATATCTGCCATGGGCTTCACCAAAACCACACCCGTGCAACAAGCTGCAATTCCCATGTTTATGGGGAACAAGGATGTCGTCGTAGAAGCCGTAACTGGCTCGGGGAAGACGTTGGCGTATGTTTTGATCCTTCCATCTTGCACATCATTCACTGACTTTGCGAAGATTCTTGATCCCAATTGTAGAGCGTCTGCTGCGACTCGAGACGCCAACAAAAAAGCATCATGTAGGCGCTATTATTATATCGCCCACTCGAGAACTGGCCACCCAGATCCATTCTGTTCTTGTATCTCTCCTCAAATTCCATGCGCCTTCTGCCGCCATCATCAACACTATCGACGATGAAGATTCCGATATGGTGGATGCGGACGCGCCACCAGTCCCAACTTTCCCACCGGGGACTCTCAAGATTGTTCCCCAGCTGCTTCTCGGAGGCAATGTCACCCCAGCCCAGGACTTGAGTGCATTTTTGAAGCAATCGCCAAATGTACTTATCGGCACGCCTGGCCGTCTACTGTCACTTTTAGCATCCCCCCATGTTCACTGCCCGCAGTCTTCTTTTGATGCTCTGGTGATGGACGAAGCGGATCGTTTGCTGGACCTTGGATTCAAGGAGGACTTGCAGAAGATTCTCGGCAGACTCCCCAAGCAGCGTCGAACAGGGTTGTTCAGCGCCAGCGTCAGTGAAGCAGTCGATCAGCTCATCCGAGTCGGCCTACGGAATCCCGTGCGAATCGCCGTCAAAGTCAAAGCAAGGCCTGCAGCAAATGGAAAATCAGGTGAATCAGGAAAGGTTGAAGATAAAAAGACTCCCGCGAGTCTGCAGATGTCATATCTTGTCATGCCTGCCTCGCACAGAATACCAGCCATTCAAAAACTACTCACAACGTTACAACCACCCCCACAGAAAGCCATCCTATACTTAGCAACATGCTATTCAGTCGACTATTTCCAGCACATCCTTCCGCTCGCATTCGAAGGCTACGCAATTGTCCCGCTCCACGGAAAACAGCCCGACAAAGTCCGCCGAAAGAACTTCGCCAAGTTTGTCGACAGCGTTATGCCATCACTCTTAGTAACAACTGACGTTGCAGCACGCGGCCTAGACATTCCCACCGTTGACCTTGTCCTCCAACTCGACCCCCCTAGCGACCCAAAAACATTTATCCATCGCTGCGGTCGCGCTGGACGAGCTGGACGCAAAGGTCTAGCCGTCACCTTCCTTACGCCCGGTCGCGAGGAAGATTACATCGAGTTTCTACGCGTGCGTCAAACGCCTGTAATGCCACTCACCACCCCCACTATCACCGTGGACCCCGCCGAAGCCGAAGCTGTGACTCGCAAAATTCGAAATGCCGCCATGGCTGATCGTGCAATCTATGACAAGGCGCAGCGTGGATTTGTCTCATCTGTTCGTGCCTACAGCAAACACACCGCCAGCTCCATCTTCCGCGTCCTCGACCTTCAATGGGAAGACCTGGGTCATGCGTGGGGTCTACTCCGTCTACCTGCTATGCCGGAGCTCAAGAAGTTTCACGGGGACAGGGCGCTTGGATTGTCCATCGATTTTGACGCTCTCGCATACAAAGACAAGGCGCGCGAGAAACAGCGATTGGCTGATCTCAGCGCGGAACGCGTCGCAAAGGAGAACGGCGACGACGAGAAGAAGATGGGAAAGAAGAGGGAGGCGCCTGCATGGAGTCAGAAGATTGAGCAGCGTGCTACGAAGGAGGTCAGACGGGAAAAGAAACATGCGAAGAGAGAGGCGGAACGCGTGGCGAAGCTGAGTGCCGAGGAACGTAAGAAGGAGGAAGAATTGAAAGCAATGATCGGCAAGGTCAGGGAGAAGGTTCAGAAAGAGGAGGAGCTTGAGGAGTTTGAAGGATTCAGCGATTGAGATTGCATGTTTGATTGATAGGAAGCATTCAATGCTGGCGACCGAAGGCATGAAGTTCTTCCACTGTATATACTGTTGTATAATCTTTCCAGCATAATGTATCTATCTATGAAGACACCAGAGCTTGGTAGCCACTTGGAGAAGATCCATGCTCCAAGATCATACTCGCGAGTCTTTTGAGTCGTGAAGAGCCATATGTGAATTGTTTCTACCCTGAGATCGCACGAATCTCCTGGGGTTTAACAAATTGATAACTCTATCCTGAAAGACTATTTACCCGAGCAAATTAAAGACCTCAATCTTCGAAGATGATCAACATGCCTAAATATTGCGTTTCACAGCCTCCTTTTAACATCAAAGGATCTCACATCAGAATACTCTGTTGGTGTTTCTAGGCATGCTGACTTCTCTAGATGTACGACTTGGCGTTTACCTATAAGAGCGGAGCGCACGAGAGAATCTCTTATATCCGACCTATACATCTTTGGCTACAGGGGTGTTACCCCATATTGCCGTATAATTTCTTATAGCAAAGCGTAAGCCCAAGCTCCCTGCCACACAGACACACGCGGACAATGACGCGGATCCCATTTAGTCGGAGCCGAAACGCCTTCCCGAACCACGCATGGCCTTGGATAGTACATGTACAACTTTGATTGTACATGAAGAAATCCACATATATAAAGTATATTGCAAGGCTGGTAGAACCTACATAATTTCACTCCCCTAGAAACCGAAACAAGCAAACACAGTTTTTTTCATCATGTATTTTTCTACAATCTACCTCGTGCTCCTCTCCTCCCTCCATCTCGCATCTCCCTCACCCTTCTCTCCACCACCCGCAAAACGCCAGCAACTCGACACCAACTCCACGCAATGGCAAACCCTCGCCCCAATCCCAACGTACCCGCGTCAAGAACACACAACAGTCTTCCTCCCACCGTCCACCATTGTCATCCTCGGCGGCATAATCCCCGCAAACGACACCACCGTCTTCCCACCAGTCCTCACAACCCCAATCATGCAATTCTACTCGATCCCAAACAACACCTGGACGACCCCCAATGCCACATCCCCAGCACCCATGCCGCACGCCCTCAATCACCTCAACGCCGCCGTCGTAGACGATAAAATATACGTGCTGGGCGGCATGCAAGAAACAAACACCCCGTCTCTAGGCCGCGCATGGCGCGGGACCCCATCGTCATACATGTACGACCCAGAAGCCGATACATGGACGCCGCTCCCCGCGGGGCTCGCCGCGGCCGACGAAACCCGCGGTAGTGCAGCGGTCGGCGTGTACAACGCGACGATTTTCCTGGCGGGCGGGGTCACGGATCTGGAGTTCTACGGCAACGCGTCGCAGCGCAGCGTGCGGGCCGTGTCGGCGTTCGACACGGTTTCGCGGTCATGGGTTGCGCTGCCTGAGAAGGCGCGGAACTTGCCCGAGGCGCGGGATCATGCTGGTGCCGCGGTCGTGGGGTCCAAGATGTATATTTTGGGCGGGAGGGCGTTCGGGCAGGAGAATGTAAAGGATACGGTGTTTGTGCTTGATCTTGAGGATCTTGCGGCTGGGTGGCGGACTTCTTCGGCGCGCATGCCGACTGCGAGGGGGGGTGTTTCGACGGGCGTGGTGGGGACAAAGGTGTATACGCTTGGGGGCGAGGGTAATGTGGGAAGTGAGAGTGGGGTTTTCAATGAGGTGGAGGTTTTTGATACCGTGGACGAGTGTTGGGAGGCGGTTGATGAGGGGATGAAGGTTCCCAGGCACGGGACGTATGCTGTTGGTGTTGGTGATAGGGTTTATGTGCCTGGCGGTGGAATTATGCAGAGTGGTGCGCCGGTCGACGATTTTGATGTTTTTGTGGTTTGAGTTGAGAGAGGGAGGATAGTTCGTCGAATGATTAATATAGGTAGGGTGGTGTCTGCGAAGGAAAGATATTTGTCATAGATCAAGGGTACAGGCGTGCAAGAAGTATCTTACTTTTTTATCCTTCTTACAAATTAACAGTCAGGTCCGAGAAAAAGTGGATTGGCAAAAAGTGAAGAAAGACCTTGCGATATGGCTAACTTCTATGTATTATTTCGCTGATTTCCATTCGACAGCGGAAAAATATCACAGGTGAGCCACGAGCTAGAGATCTATGCAAGGGAATATGCAGAAGTGCACGGGAATCATATTTTACCTGAGGTCCGAATCAGAGCATACCTTTGTATGGTGGAGAGGGGGTGGGGAATGCCAGATTTCATACCGCTTCTCAAGATTGACATCACTAGTCGTACGGGAGAGATTTTGATGTTTGTAAATTTGAATCCTTCTTCTTTTCGTAGTCAAAGTCATCTATATAATCGTATATCGTAAAGGTCGTATCGTTATAAACAGGTAAGAAACACAAACAAGCCTAATTCTATCATAGGGGGTTGTCCTTTTTCGCTCGTGGGAAAACGCATCATACACACCAAGGAAATGCAATTAGCCGCCGCGTCATGTAGTCCAAGAAAGCGCGCTTTTGTTTTTTGGGGATAAGCAAAGGACCGTCCCAACTCCGAGATGGTAATGAAGACGGTGGACGACAGTGGGGATTTCCTCCTTCACAGCCTCGCCTTCTCCCCAACCACTTTGCAGTAGCTGCTAGGGAACCATCCTCGCACACCGTTCAACACGCCGTCCCACCACCCGCTCTCGTGCTGATTGACGACTAATATTAGGTCGCCCGCGAGAACATCGAGTTCGGTGTTTGTTGTGGCGTGGAAATTGTAGAGAGCAACTGCCTCGACAGATGTGGAAATGGATGTGGTGTTGTCTGCAGCTGGTGATCTCCCCTTCCTCTCTTCTGGCTGCGACGGTGAGGATGATGAAGAGTCTGAACCAAGGGCGCCGGCGCTCTTAAGCAGATTCCACACCTTGACGCCTTCGATCAGACCTTGATCAGCCTCGATGGCGACGCTGCCGTCCGGCTTCATCGTTCGCAGCTGAAGCGCATGCTGCGTACCCCATTCTACGTCTTTGCCAGCGACAAATCGAGCAAACAGGTCATGGAAGGCGTGCCGCGCCAGTTCCTTTTCCTTGTTGCTCAACCGTCCGCTCTCGCCCCAGAACCATATGGAGGCGGCATCGGTGCCGTGCGTGACACCCCACTCTTTGGGAAAGTGTCTGTCGCAGCATTGCGCCCGCCATTCCACTCTGTATCGATACAAGAGATGACCCGCACCGTGGTTTACGAGCGCGTTCGCCATGCCGCGTTCCAGATGATGAATCTGAATGTCGGCGTAGATGTGTCCAAAAGCATCTTGCCAGTCCTTGTACAGATGTGGCAGCTTGCGGTCCGGGAAGTAGTAGTGCATGAGCGCTGTGCATGCTGCTAGGGAGTAGTCGGCGCGAAGGCGACGCATTAGGCCGTTGTAGCTGTTCTCTGGCGTTCTCCATTGCCGGTAGACCCAGTGCTCATCTCGGCATTCACCCATCATGAGTTTGACATTCCTGCGTTTCATGACTTCGGCTAGCTTGCCATTGTATAGCTCAGCAAGAAGGCTCTGGTGGATGAAAGTATCGTCTGTGACGCCGCGGAATTCGTGGTACTTCATTCTCGCGCTCGCGTTGATCAATGTTTGTGGGTCTAGGGTGCGGAGCGTAGCCAGCTTCTCGGCAGGTGACATATCGGCCGGGATTTCCAGCATAGTGATGAGCTCGTCAAACTGCAACTGCGCCTCATCCAACGATTTGGGCTGCATCCCAGGGCCGTTGGAAAACATGAGGGCACGTCGCACAATGGCCTTTTCATCTGGCTGGCCCAAATCATACGCCAGTTGCTGGAATGTGGAGTGGGCTCCTGCGGAGTAACCGCCAATTGTGATGTTGGTTGCATCGCCGCCAAAATAGTGGATGTTCTTCCATACCCACTCCAGGGCTAGGCGCTGATCCCAGAAGCCGTTATTTGCCGAAAAGCCAAGAACGTTCTGCTGATCTTCCTCGAGCAACTCTTTCGAGGCCAGGAAGCCAAAGATATTGAGACGGTAGGCGGGTGCAACAATGATGGCACCGAAAGCGGTATCACTCAAAAGATTGCAATAATCGGCCTCTGTGCTGCCGTACTGCAGGAAGCCTCCATGATACCAAACCAGCACAGGCCAACCTTCAGAGGGGGCTTTTCCAGTGGGCATCCAGATGTCGCACTGTAAGCAGTCCTCATCCCATTCATAATCAGTTTGTGGGAGTGGCTGTGGGCATAGACCGGTGGCTCCTGTGAAGCGGCCGGGGTTGGCCATTGTCCCGTAGCGGTAGCATGGTGGCAAGGGACGAGGCCTCTGAAATCGATAGGGACCTGTCGGAGGGAGAGCGTAGGGGATCCCCCCGACGAAGTGGCACAGTTGGCGTTGTGATGCGTAGTCGAGATATGTAAGGGCCTCTATGAAACCTCGGTCCTGGAGGTCAATGATTTGAGAACGAGAGAAGGTCTTGGTTATGGTCATGTTGGGGGGAGAGAAGGAAGAAGAAGAGGAGGAAGAGGAGGAGGAGAGGAAAGAGTGGAAGGGGAGTGAGGGAGAGAGAGGGAAAAACGAGGGCGTGATGAGGGCATAAGGTGGTTCAATAAGTAGGTGAGATGGAAGGATGCAGGGCAGCAGGGTCAGGTGGTTGGCCTGTTTATTGTGGGGCGCAGAGGGGGCGCCTTCATTGGCCCACCCCACGAATGCTTACCTTGCAAAGCCGTGTACCTTCTTTTCTATCGATAGTGGCCCCGGCCCGCCCGCTGACTCGGCCTCAGCTATTCGTTCGACGACGTCTTCTCGATGCATAACGCATGGCATTCACTAACCTCACTCCCGCCCATTGCGAAACACATGTCTGCACCGCAGCGCCTGTACCTTCGGCCCATCTCGCCATCAGCAAGCCATCATTGGACGCTGCTCCTCCTACTCTTTCCCGCGCGGCCAACTTACCGTGCCTGACGGAGTGACCACACTGACTTCACGCGCGGCACAAGACCCGCAATCTAGACTCGAGCCAATACGAACCCCCAGGAGCGGAGCCTTGGTGGAAGACACCACCCACTAGTTCTTCCTACACTAGCCATCGACTATCGTGGACGCGGTATGGTGGTGGTTCTTCGCCCCGCAAGCGCAAAACTCTTTCGTGAGGTGAGAGGCTGACTCGACCACCTCCAAATCCGATGGCCATTTGTTCGTCGTCCCTGGCTTCACGACACCACCGCGCTACCTCATGCAGGGCGACAAAACCAGGGCCTTCAACGTCCAGTAGACTCGTTACCCTGAGAACGCCACAGTTGCTTCTTCCGTGCTTCATGCTACAGTGTCTTGGTGGCTCTGCTTTTCAACATAAGCAGTAACTGCTGATGAAGGGCTGTTCTGGGGCCATTTGCGCAAAACTCGGAGTACCCATCCATCGTGCCATCTCACTTCGTCCCCACCGATCCACTCAATCATCGATACGGGGCCTATCACGATTCATTTTGGCAACGCGATCGAGGCGAGGCACACTGCTTCTTTTTCGCCAATCCCAGTTCATCACATAAATATATCTCAACCCTGTTATTATATCGGACCACAATGTACATGACCGCCAAGAAACTCGGACTACATCGCCCCCGCATCACTAACTCGCTTCCGCCGAGAACCAATCAACAGCCGAGAAATTCGTGGGAAAGAAAAAGGAAGAAAAAGTCATATATTGATTCTATCGTCCCACTGCATTCGCCAAACTGCATAGATACACAACAAACGGAGCATGCAGGAAGAAATCCGAGGCATTTCTCAACGAGCAGCACGCCATCGAAAGACCTGACATCTTTTCATCCAGAACCCCCGTGGAACCTTCTATATCCACGCGTGTACCTGTCTTCCACGCACTCAAGTAGCAGCAGTAGCATGAACTCAAAATACAAACTTTCCAAGCTGAATATATCGACACCTTCGATTTTCTTTCCACGCGCAAAAGAACACCCATGTGCTATCGTACGATTCGCCCAAATCAGAAATCTTGCAGCATCCCACGTTTTCTGCTCCCACTCTTGCAGGGATAGCAACCTTCCCGAAATGGCGCTCGGCCGCATTGTCTGCATGCCGATAAGCAACTATCGGGGCACCGATTGAGGGGACGACAAACCATACAATGACGGAAGAAAGCCTCAGCTCGCCGATTGGACCAAGTAGGAACGCCCCTTTGGGTCGCCATGCGTCCTTAGGCCGTGTTCGAGGCACGCACGTGTTTGCCTGTACCGGTAGCACTTGAGAGACGTTCATGCATTGTCCATTGACTCGCTCACTCGTTCGCAGGGTCCACTCTAAAACGTTGCGGCCATGTGGGATAGAATGGGAACCACGTTGTCTTCGGGTTCTTCTTTGCACGTGAACTAGACCGCTCTTCTCTCTAGTTGCATTCAATTGGCCGGTGAATCCTTCACTACCTACTGTCTTGATGCACCTGCATATCTTGCTAACCTGGGTAGGTAGGTAAATCCATTTCTTACACTCTTCTCGATGCATTCTGTTGACTTCTTTCGTTTGACCTAGAAACTTATGATGCTCGGCCGGCGATTCCCTTGATTGTAGAAAATGAGTAGGTGTTTTCCATGCATGTGTCGAAGGGTGGCTAGAAGGACGTAATCCCTTGAGCGTATATGCACATTTCCAGTCTGGGCAGTACTATTAGTGTCTCCGCGAGCAGCTGGAAGATGGTATCTCCTAGAATTTGTCCAGGGTCGCTCCTACATTCGAATACCTGCATAGGCCGGACGGTCGTCAAATTAATGACCGCATGACGAGTGATGGGTATTGGTTGGACGGGGGCGATGAACCTTATCGGCCTATCATAAGGTTACCTTGTCGTGAATTTGAAACGCGAAGTTCTGATATCAGCCTACTCTTAGGTGCCTTTTGGCTACCCTTTAGATTTCAATATTTATTGCTTATTCAATTGTATTATCGGATTGGCAATTGACCATGGTACATGGATTCACTTTCTGATTCGAAGCTTTTCTGTTAATAGATGTAACTGTACTCATAGTGACGGCAAACATGACCACGAATAGACTCTTGCTTCTCAAAGAGCGGTCCAAAAGCAATCAATCTTTCTGAACCTGGTCATCTCAATGGCTAAGCCGGGCTGCTTGCGTGTGGTGCTTTGCATAGACAGGGCAAGTGAACCAAGTGATGTCTTTTGACACTGACTTTCGAATTTCCTGGCTGTATCAGCGCGCTCGGCGACGTCTCGAGATCGATGCAGGACAGGATGGACTTTCGAAATCGCCGTTTGAGGGCATTTCTGGCAGTCGGCGTCCGACAATGAACAATCTACCCGATAACCACTCCATTGTTCCTAAGCCGTAAGCTCACAACCCATGACACGCGCCAAGACGAACGATCTATCCTTCAAGTTCCGAAAGTAGGGTGAGTTGGCGGATCAAGGCGACGGTCTGTTCCTCATATTCGCGTTTGGCACTGGTTTGAATTCGAAGTTTGGATGCTGCGTTTGACTGATGGTCTGGACAGATATTGTTGTCGTGCAGTCGCGCCTGGAAGTGCTGCTGTTGAACGCTGCACGAAAGAACTCCGCCCACTCCAGCGTGATTCCTGATAAATTGGTGCACTTTCTCATCGCAAAGATCATCTTGACTTAATGCGCTACATACGTGCTCATGTATGGTTGTCAAGCGGTAGTGATTGTCTGGGGAAACCCTTTCCCTATCGCTCAGCCCCCCGCCGACCTCGCGGATTATACTGCAGATGTGCACTAAAATATAAATTTCCAAAGCCAATCACACATTCAAGCATTCTTTGATTCTGCATGTGGAGTACTGAAAATTCATAATTCGCACCTATCAGGTGCTTTCAGCGTAAGTGATGCATCTTTGCTGGCGCCATTCTGTGTATTCAATGCTCCATGATTGGCTGTCCATTTCCAACATTTGAACATTCTGTTTTCTACGTTGCGAGTTATGGGGCTTCACTGAATAGTATAAGTAGGTACGCAGCCGTTCTGCCTGGTCTCAAAAATTTCTACAATTCGACAACTCATCCATCTCCGCCGAACAATAAACGAACTTCCAGTCAGTCGCCCCACGCCAGCTCCATGTTTTCTACATACACAATGAAAATCCAAACTCTCGTTCTGGCGGTCCTCTCTATAGCATCCACAATTTCTGCTGCACCAATAAGCAACCTGACAGCGGTCGAACCTACTTCCAACGAGTCTCTTATGCGAAGAAATGCTCCTCATCCCCCTGGCGATACACTTGTCGAAATTGACAAGATGTGGGGAATGCCCTGTGCGGTGAGTGTGCAATATCCATCATGTTATATGTAGCTTCAACGGACTGACAGCTAGAACCAGAGAAAGTGTTGGCATGAAATATTTCCCGAAATCGAGAAGTGGCGGCAAGACGTTTATTGCCATCCTGACCTTACCTGGGCTTATCACAAGTATCATCGCCGCGTTGTACCCTGTATCAAAAAGAATTGCGATTGGAAACGCGAAGCGGATCTATTTCAATACGACTTTTCAGTTAGGTTCTGCAAATTCTGTGGCTGGATCCCCAAAGGGGCTGGAATACCTTGCGAAACATTGAAATGGCATGAGGATGGAGATGCGATGAATTGATGGTAAGGGCATCCAAAGATGTCATAGATACAAGACGTGTGTGCAATAACAGGTCGATGGGGGGAATCTGGTTAGCTGGGGAGTTTGGAGTGTTTGTTGTCTCCAAGAAGGAAAGTCCAGTGTGAGGCATGACGCATACATTAGTATACTTTACCCCAAAGAGTGTGTTCCTTCTACATCTGCTTTATGACTCACAGACGCGTCCTATGTAAACGCGTCGCCCGGCTTTCTCCTCCGTCTCTCTTCACCCAACGCGTGTTTACTGCCTGACAGCTGTTTTTCACTGCACTCTGCTACCCTGCTGCTTTTCTGCTGCTACACTGCTACACTACTTTCTTCTACCTCTCCTGCTCTGCTCTGCTACCTCTCCTGCTCTGCTACCTCTCCTGCTCTGCTCTACTTCAGCTCTGCTGTTGCTTCGCTTCTCCTCTGCTCCTCTCCACACCGCCCTCCTCTGTTTCTGCTTCTCGCCCTTTTCCTTTGTTTTTTTCTGGGTTCCGGTTTTCTTTTCTTGGTTTCTTTTCTTGGGTTTTCTTGGGTTTACTTTATTCAACATGTTTTTCGCTACCATTCGCCCGGCCACCAGGGACGTCACGCCTTCTTCGGAAAGGAAGACACCCCTTCAGCGCCTATGCATGGAGCTCATATACTTCTTAACCGTCATTAATCTTATGGTTCTTCCTTTGGCACTTCTCCTGGATGCGGCATTGCCGATCTACGCGATTGGCGTACGACTCATGTGTAAGTTTCTGCTCCATCACCTCCCAGAAAGATAACTAACAACCTGGCTAGAATATCTTCTGGATTCCCCCGGCTTTACGGACGGCACCGCTGTTCAAGATTCGAAGACGCACCTCCGTACCGCGATCACAATCTCGGTGATTTTTGGCATACTCTGGCTTTCATGGATACTTCCTCTCGGATACTGCCTCTGGTCGTACTACTGGGTTGCTCAGCGGCGGAAGCCGGTTTCGACGTCATTGCCCAACAAGCAAGTTGACGGGAAACACGGCGAGACACGCATATGCTACGTTTGCAACATCTACATGCCAGCTCGAACCTATCACTGCGGGCCGATGAGGAAATGTCTCCCCCACTACGATCACTTCTGCCCATGGTGGATGGGCGGAGTGTGGGTGCATAACCTCAAGGCATATCTGACCTTCCTTGCGTTTCTTCCTCTATATCATGCCTTCGTTTTCGGAGTTGGTATGTGGGTCGCAGTCGACAAGGACAGACGCAGCCATGTCAAGGTTTTGATGGGAACTGGTATCGTGTGTGGACTTGCTTTTCTTCTTTCGCTTGGGATCATGATAGGGATGTGGGAACGCCTCGTATTCCGTCTTTCTCTAGAAGCGGAAGATGAAAATCCCTGCTTCTTGGTGGATGATGAAGGAGTTCCGCAGGAGTCCAAGGATCCCTGGAGCCAAGGATGGAGGTAGAATCTCTATTCTGTCTTCGGACCTGCCTGGACTTGGCCATTTTTCTGGACCAAAACTCCTCTCATGCTCGCCACAGAAGGTTTCCTACAATTGCCACAGGAAGATATCGAGATCCGGCCTCTTGATTTCACTTCCCACAGACGACTCGGTTCAAGCACTGGATACGAGGAACATGATCAAAGGCGTGGCTCACTTCACCGTCGAACGACCTCTTCCTAGCTTCCTTCTGCCTAGGCTGGCGAATGGGCTATACCTAACCATAGCTGGGTTATCTGGTTATGGTTATAGCTATTATGGTTATGGTTATAGCTATTATGGTTATGGTTAGGGTTTGGCTATGAAAAAAAGGGTTATGGCTAACTTATGGTTATGGCGATCTAAGAATGGGTATAGTTATGGTTAGGGTGGCCTAAGCGTAGGTTATAGCATGGTTATATAGTTAGCTTATAGTAGTACTTACTAGCAATACAAACTAACTAGATATATTAAGTATAGACCCACGCATAGCCTATATCTTTGAAACCATACCTAAGCCATAACCTTTTTTTTCATAGCCAAACCCTAACCAAAAAAGCAAAAAAAGTTTGGGTTGGGTTATAGGCTAGGTTAGGGTTATCACGTGACATGACCATACCATAACCATACCGAGACCCATTTACCACCCTACTTCTGCCTCCCTCACTACAGGTCACAGTAGTCTCTCATCTCACGACCTCTTCTTTCCGCCTCCATCACTACAGGTCATAGTAGTCTCTCATCTCACGACATTCTTCACGATTGGGACGGATCGTTACAAAGACCTGGTTTTTTCAAAAGCGCCTCCTAGCTAAGGATCTACCGGGCCCGATTGCAGGTCACAGCAACCGGCCTTGAAACCCCCTCACGATTGGGATGGATCGTGAATAAAGAAAGACCTGGTTTGTTCAACAGCACCTCCTAGCTAAGGACCTACCGGGCATGGCAAGGCGAGATGGAGCTGCGGGGTATCGTACGCGAGCAGCACTCCAGCCTTAGGTGCTCTTTGCCATTGCATTTTGGAGGATGGACGGAAGGGTTTTGTTGATTGGTTTGGGCTGTTGAGCAAGCTAAGTATATTCCCCCCTGTGTTTTCGCACTTTTGCTAACTTTCAATCAAGTGTATATTTTTCTTATGTGTTGCCTCGACGGGCAAGGTAAGTCACCTCTATCTTTTTTTATTGTCTGTTTTGTTGCTAACTTTGTATTTACTTCTTGTTCTTATGTCATAGATAGACAGGTAATGTAAGTAACTTTGTCTTCTTCTACTCTGTGTCGTTGCTAACTTCCCTCCACTTATTATAACCAGTGCTCTCCTCTGGGTCCTACGAATACGTCAGAGTAAAGATAAGGCGGAGCATAGCACTTTCATTGGTTTTGATCTTTGTGTGACACGGACGGGTTGAAGGGTGTCGAAGGGGAGTTTAGTTGTGGTAGTAATTTGTACGATATAACTTTGGGGGTTAATGGAAACAAAATCTGCGATAGCTTTAAAGTCTATGGAAAGTCTTGCATCATCGTTGGAAGGAAAAAGCATAAAATCGCAATACAAGCTCAGCATCGTAGAATTCATAATCATGCACGATAGATGTGTAAAATGGGGAAAATCACAATAGGAAAAGGGGTGGGCGTTTCATTGGACAGTAACTCATTTTATCAGCAGTCTGTCGTCGCATACTAGATGCAGCACAAACAAATAAAAGAAAAGAGATACCAAACTTCTCCCAGCACACCTTGAATAAAGAAAGCACCTAGACAATTCCCTACTTAACATAGTAGAGCCCGCCATCGCACACCCTCCAAGCATCTATTTCCCCAACTTCGTTTCCACTCTTACCCCTCTCTCCAACTCCCATCAAGCAACCCACCTCCTCGTCCCATTCCCCGCCAAAGCCCACCCCTTCCAAAGCTCAAAAGACTCACTCCTCGCCGCCGCAAAATCAACTTTAACCTGTCCCTGCGCAGTATGCTTCTTGACCTGCGCCGCAGGATTCGTCTTCAAATCAGGGGCAGCAGGGTTAACCGCCCACCCAAACCCAGGAGCAGTGTCAGAAGCAGCGAAAGTGGTGCCGTCGGCGAGGATGCACGAGCTGCAGAGGAAAGTGTAGGTCCAGTGTGTAGCGTTTGTGTAGGTACCGTTTGCGATTGGGTGGAAGATTGTAGTTGGGGTTGTGGAGAGGGGCGGGGAGCCGTATGAGCTAGGTGTTGGTGGAGTGTTAGTTGTCTGCGATATGGGTGTGTGTTCTTGGGGAAGGCAGGAACGGGAGGGGGTAAAAACAAACATGCTGGAAGGTGAAAACATTGCAGGATACTTACGCTGTCTTCCGGAAAGACGATACGATGCTCTGCCCATTCGGCCATGCTACTATAAGTAACTTGTTCAGCATTCCACCGCCTAAGCTGACGCCGCTCCACCCCGTGCCTTTTCCTCCAATGGTGGCGATGAAGTCTTTCCCTGTTGTTGGGGGCAGCGCAATGCCGAAGAAGTAACCCGTAGCTGTGTCGGTGAAGGCATTGAATTTGATGCCTGACTTGGGGTCGGTGTAAGGGGCGGCGGTTGGTGCGGCGAAGGTTGTCGGGAGGAGTAGAGATAGGAGGGCTGGAATAAAAGGGGCGAGTTTCATTGTGGATGAAGGGAGAGAAGTTGGCTGGCGAATGGATGAGGGATTTTGAGGGTCAGTATGTGTATAGTGATGATGATGGGTTGGAATGGAAAAGGAGTATGATACTTTTTATATTCTGCGCTCTACTGCGATGGTTCTGCCTCTCCACCATCGCGGGCACAGTAGGTGGCTGAATCATGGGTATAATCATGGGTATTCAGTCATCTCTAATTGGCCATGAGAAAAACCCGTACTCCTCACTCCATCGCAATCGCTCATGTATTTCCTTGTCTCTGGGTTCAATTCGTCATTACCTTCCACTGACAATCGCCGTTCAGAAATTACCGGTAGATGGGATGATATATGTCATGATCATTGCCTTGCTCTGGATTGGTCACAAGCTTGCAGACCTGCAGCACAGAGGAGGTTTGCGAACCGGAGATATAATAACGAGACCATGCATCTATCGTGCGCCCATCGTGGTGCTGGGCGAGCGATGCAAGGGCGACATGCAGCGAAGCGAGATGAATCATGACGACAAAGTAGATCTCGAGATAGAGGGAAGCAAGATCGGCAGTCGCAGGATTACATGGATCAATCTGTGATTTGCAATTATTCGGTAAATCAATCAAGAAGGGTTGTGACTGAACCTGTAATTGGACGAGTTTAGCCTGTTAGGACGGTGCAAGGAAAACGTGATTGTGAATCTTTATTCTGCCGTATAGTACAATGTTTTTCTATCAATTAGTATGTCCCGTTCAAATCACTGCGCGACGGTCGTAGAACATCGAGCACTTCGAAACTGCGAAAACCAGTCGCCGTCCCCTCTCCCATTCGGGCTCTTTCCCTGTCTCTGATCCTGCTTTTCCGTTCAGCACGCCGTCTTCTGTCGTCGCGCCACGCCACAAGCCAGTCCACAATAGCACCCCCGTAGAAGGCTAAGAAGATAGAGAAGGCCACAGTCGCTACGGTAAGACTCCCTGCGACGATCCAGAAGAGTCTCTGCGTCCTTTCCATGTCGCGAATGTCGGAGAAGTTCATGCCGAAGAAAGAGGAGACGAACGAAAGAGGAAGAAATATGATGGTGACGACTGTGAAGACGAGGATGGCTTTACCATGATCTTCAAGACGTATATTGACGAGCTGAATGGTGCGGTTGATGAGGGAGTTTGAGTTCTCGCGTAAGTCGCAGAGATCAGTGTATTCACGCTGGAGATTTTCAAGAAGCTGTGCACAGGGATCGGAGAGATGGCTAAAGGATAGTTGGCGGTAGGTTGCAGAATCAGTGGTGGGAATAGAGTCGGTAGGATGCTGCTTTAGGTGTCGTGAAGAGGTGTGGGACAGAGCTCTAGTGCGGCCTCTTTTCAAAGTATTATGGAGGTTCTGAACTAGTTCAATCTGCTGACCCATAATCTGGATGATGATGTTGAGCTCTTCTTGGACCTGCAGGAGATCCATCACAAGTTTTGTACTCGGGCTCCTGTGCAGGCGGTACTGGAGCTGGCCAAGATAACTGGCAAACCGATCCGACAGACAGAGCGTTATATCCGTCCAAAAGCTCCGGTGAAGCATTCCTAAAGCGCCACTGAGGGTAGTGATGACATGTGTTGTAGACGTGTAGTCCTGCTCGGTCGTAGCATTGAGGAAACTGTTACGTATGCCTCGGAAAGAAATCTCCATGATACGTGCGGATAACTGCAGAGGAGGCCAGCGAGATTTCCACGACTGATTACTCGAAAAGGTGACAATGTGTCTAGAATCTATGACTAGAATCCACAGCTCATCCACGTTCAAGCTTTTGGGGTAGTGTCCGTACCAACGGCGCACCTTCAAGTCCAAATTGCGGTCGTTTTGCCAGGGTTTGTGCCTCGTGAATACTTGCTGAGATTCCCGGTCTGAAGTGTCCTCCAGGCGATAAAAATGCTGTAAGATTGATCTTAAAAGATGCGAGGAGCTTTTTGAAGATTGATATCCCTCTCTCGGGTCGATCTGAAATCTCAATGGAGGAGGGGTGCCTTCGACAGACCAATCCAGGAAGGGGACGCTGAGCAGCATTGGGCCATTCTCTTGGCTTGTCTTTCCGTCACCATCCAAAAGGTGCTCGAAAAAGGGGGCAAAGTACCTCCCATGTTTCGAGAAGCGCTCTTGTCGGTGAATGCAATGCTCAAGCCGATGCAAAGCGGCAACCGTCTCAGATGGGTTAGAAGTCCAATCTGAAAGGGCAAAAAAGCAGCCAGAGAGATACGATGAAAATTTGCTCGATATGTGTATCCATCGGCACATCCTCAAATCATCTGGATCATTGATGTTTTTCTGGACTCCCTTGCTGCGCAGGCACTGCATCCAGCCGTACTCCGAGGCCAAGTTGTGTAAGTGGGCCTGCTCGCTACGATTTTTGGTCAGGCCCTCTGTATTCAAAGAATCGGCGAGCTGATCTCTCTGCTCCAGGGCCGGGAGCAGAGTGGAGGATAACACTTCGCGCATTTCCAGCATGCCATTTTCGTCGGTACTTCGTATGCCATGTTCAAGGCGAATGTCATGGATTTGGAGTTGAGCAGGTGTTAACCGCCGATTTCGCCAGTACTGATCAGCGTGCCAGTCAACTTGTACTGGTGTGTAATCCACAACCATGACCAAAGCATGTCGTACGCAATGGCGAGTTCTCGGAGCTGAACATGATGGCTATGAGCCGAAAGGGGGCTAATTCAGCCACACCTTTTCTGACCAATCATAGAGGATCAAGCCACATGTCGATCTTGTATCGATCTCTCTAGGCTCACACTAGGTGAGATGATTGAGAGTTTGGAAAAGGCAGCATCCATCCTATCAGGAAGAAATATTGTCACAGTCAGTGGTTCAGATGCTCAAGGAAACACGAGATGTACGCGTGACGTCGACGGTACACACAGGTATGATGACGAATCGATTGACTCTGATTGGTTAGCGCCACAACGGAGCGGAGAGTTGACAGTGATTTGTGCTTCGGCTCTCCATGCAGGCAACAGGTAAGGCAGAGACACCACATTAATAATCACTTCTTCCCCTCCTCAAGCTCATCATCGAAGGTGCAATCGTACTCGTATCTTCTTTCTTGATTCTCCAGGTGTTGTCACCCATCTTCTCGGTCATTTCAGTCTCAACTCTATTCCAACCGCCAACATGAGGTATGCAGTAAACATTGGGATAAACAGGACCCATGCTGACAACTTGCAACAGCCCCGTTCACCCAGCCACTGTGCACTTCCCCATAACATTCACCTTTTTGGCGGGTGCTTTCGACACTCTATATCTGTCATCCACTTCTTCGGATGCGGTAGGCAGCGCTTGTAAGCTAGCTCCAAGATTCCCGTCATGCCACTTGTATGAACCACACCTACTCACAGTCCCCAGTCAAGACCCTGGGTGTCCAGCTTAGCCCTGCAGCCCTGCCTGCCCTGGCATACTACTCCAACATCCTCAGCATCGTAACTGCGGTACCCGCAATCGCCTCGGGCATCGTGCAACTCGCGCCAGTCATCCAACGCGATGGATTCAGCTCCAAGAAGGCACAGACGGGTGTGATGCACGCTCTCATCAGCGATTTGACCGTGTTCGCCGCAGTGTACAATTGGTGGTCCAGGCGGGATACCGCTGGCTTCTTGCCCAGTACAACCAACGCCGTCGTCAGCGCGGCTGTGGTACCCACAGTCTTCTTTGCGGCCTTCTTGGGTGGCCAACTCACATACCAGTTCGGAATGGGAATTGGAGGCGGCAGCTCCAGCACGAAGAAGAAACAGTAGATGGTGGGTGGCTGTAAAGCATGTAGAAAGCATCTGTGCCGCCTCTACAGCGCATGCTTGTCCGTAATGGCTATAACACGGACTGTAGGAAAGGTATAAGAATAGTTGGCGAGCTGTTGTTCAACAATGCCCGCCCGGGAGTTAAAACTCCATCAATTGCATCCATGACGGAACTGTGCAGACCGAAAAACGTGCCATTCTTATCTTTTGCTTTGAAATTCCATCCGTCTACTCCTCGGACCGAAGCCTGCGATAAGCAACGTGTGTTTAGGTTATCGTGGAAAACATGTGGGGAACTTGACAGGCCGCTATACCGTATCGAGGTGCCCAATCCAACTCCACTCCACAACTCCACACCGACTATTCCCCTTCCCCAACCTTATCGGCTTCAAGAGGGGGCGTTTGTCGTTCCAAGCAAGTCGCCTGCCATGTTTTCGGGATTCCAGTAATTCATCTTAGGTAACGCCACTTACGATGTGTGCCTATCATGCAGATAGACGTGCTCGCAGGCATCTCGTCGCCTCGGCCTCTATTCCCTGATTCCCTCGATACCGTGCCGTTAGGAATGATGATCTTTGTCATAACTTACAATCACTCATGAGTCGGAGGCTCGCGGGCCTCCATATCCTGTACAAGCAGGACGAAAGAAGCGCTTGGCTACTTGGTGATATGGGAGATAAAGCCGGAACCGTGACATGCCTGCTTGTTCAACATCTACTAGCACCCAGTTGGTGTGCGTGCATCTCAATTCTTACTATCGGAGTAAGCTACGAGTCCAAATAACGTCAGTTACTTAAACGTATATATTCCTACATCCGCGGGGACAGGCCCACGCATTGCCTTGTCTCCATCCTGCCCACCGTCCCGGTCAGCATACAGGAATGGCCATCTTCCAGAGCCTCGGTGCTGCAGCACTGCTGTATAGTAATATTGCGACCGCAGCTGTCACCTCGACCGGATTTACTGTTGAGCTGGGGGATATATCGTATTTCCTTCCGCCCAAGTCGGTTGCTACAATCGATGTCACCCAGTGCAAGCAGTTGTTCGGCACCGAGTCATTTGTGCCCATAACTGTCGTTCAATGCGCCGAGTGCCACGAGAGTGACATTGCTTCTGCCGCCGCGAAGTACTCACAGGAGGACGATGTTTTTCAAGATGGATTCTTGGAAGGTCTGTAATTCTTCGAAAGGTTTTGTTGGCGTAATGCTCACTGACTTCTACAGCTATATACACCCAAGGGTCAACAAACAGCGAGTCCTACCAGATCCGTAACGTTTCAGCTACCGCTATCACCGGAGAAGCGAAACTAGCACCAGGTCCCTACTTCTTGAATGCTCTTGGCCAAATCTATGAAGCCTGGAGGCTGTATGCCGACACTACGGGCGCCTTCACTGAGTCCTGCATCGCCAGTGGCAAAGACGACGGCTCGTACTCAGTTCTTCCAGCCGGTGTGGTGGGCCAAAAGTCTGCTATTGCCGTTCCATCTCGTTTGTATCACCAGGCGACTGAGGAGAAGCCATTGGCTGGTGTTCGTATTGGTATCAAGGATATCTACGATATCAAGGGACTCCGCACTTCGAATGGAAACCGCGCCTGGTATTGGCTGTACCCGCCTGCTGAGAACACTGCCACGCCCGTACAGCGGCTGATTGAAGCTGGAGCAATCATTGTTGGGAAGATGATCACATCTCAATTTGCAAATGGTGAAGTGGCCACAGCAGATTGGGTTGACTACCACGAGGCTTTTAATCCGCGAGGTGATGGATATCAAGACACGTCTTCCAGTTCATCAGGTGGTGGTGCTGGTACTGCTGCGTACGAATGGCTAGATGTAGCTCTTGGATCAGACACTGGAGGTAGCGTTCGCGGTCCAGCCCAAGTCCAGGGATTGTACGGAAACCGCCCATCTCATGGCCTGGTATCGCTCGAGCACACGATGCCACTGAGCCCCACACTCGACACGGCGGGTCTCATCGCGAAAGACCCTCTGATCTGGAAGAAGACAGCAGAGGTCATGTACAAAGGCAACATTACAATCTCCACCTCATACCCTACCAAAATTAGCACAGTGTCATGGCCAACCGCCCCCAATACCGTCGGAAACACCCTGCTTATCGAGTTCTTGAATAACGTGACCTCCTTCCTCAATGCCACCACATCCCCCTTCAATATTTCCACCGCATGGTCCACCGACAACCCAACCGCCACCCCCCTCGAGCAGCTCCTCAACATAACCTACACAACGCTGATAACGCAGGAGCAAGTCCCGCTCGTCCGTGATCCCTTCTACGTCGACTACGCCGCAGCACACTCAGGGCGCCGCCCCTTCGTCAATCCTGTCCCCCTCCTCCGCTGGGCATGGGGTGAATCAACCACCGCCACCCTCCCCGAAGCCCACGCCAATAAAACCGCTTTCATGTCCTGGATCAACTCTACCGTCCTCGCACCCGTGGACTCGACCTGCTCAGACTCCCTCCTAATGTACGTCGGCAGCGACGGGAACTCGACCAATTACCGCAACCTTTACCGCCCCCAGCCACGTCCACCTTTTGGCTTTGGCAAAGGTTCCATTTCTGGGATGTCCGACGCCCCTGATTTTGTGGTTCCCATTGGCGAAGCGCCGTATAATTCGACCATCACTGGACATGTGGAGTATTTGCCTGTCACGGTGGATTTCATGGCCGCGAAGGGTTGCGATGGTATGTTGTATGGGTTGATTGCCGATCTGTATGCCCATGGGCTTTTGAAGACGGCCAAGTCGGGGCAGAGTGGGATCACGGGTGGTGATGTATTATTCAAAAGAGGAGTGTAGACCTCCCCCTGTTTCTTTTTCTGCGTTCGCAGCGAGTTGATAGCCAAAGAACTTTATAAAATACGATACCATGATTCCAATACACGAGCCCACTCCTCGACCCCAGCGCTCAGATCAGCAAGTCGACATAATCACACAAACCGAACCCCAATCAAAGCTTCGACTCCCCCCCTCCACCCAACCCCTCAATCTGCCCTCTAACAACCCCCAACGCATCCTCCAACACATCCCAACCCTCCACCAACCTCGTCGCCCTCTTCTTTCCCTCCCTCATAACACACCTCAACACCCCCAAACCGCCCTCAACATGCACACCCACCAAACTCCTCCCCTTCCGTCCCCCCGCCCCTCCTCCAGCCCCCGCTCGCAAAAACTCAATGTTAACAAACATCACACTCCCCAGCACCGCCATCTCCGCGGCATCCCACCCTTCTCTCTCAAGCCGCGCGTTCAGCAGACGGAGAGCGAGTGTGTAGTGCGAGTTCGCGAAGGCATGTGGTGACGTCGCATCATCTAACCTATCTCCCTGCGTACTGCTAGTCGCGGCGGGAGATGACGAGGAGCTGGAAGAAAAAGAGGAGTCATAATGCGATCTCGTCAACGCGCTGATTGCCAACGCAGCGTGCCATGCGAATTCCTCGTGCAATATCACGCGCAGAATCAAAGGTTCCCAGATTGGTGAAGTATAGAAGAGGGAGTACTCTGGGGCGCAGACTTCGCGGAAGAAGGAGAAGTGGGTTAGGGTTGTTTGGTTGTTCTGGTGTTGGTGGTAGGGGAGTGTGGTGAGGGGGGATTGAACGAGAGTCGTAGCGGTGGTGGTGAACGAGGGCGGCGTAGTTGGCGGAGTTGTTGCTGTTGATGTAGAGAACTCGCAGTTGTGGGATAATGTCAGGCATTGAGTGCAGGATGGTCTTTTTTCGTCACATTTCTTGTGGCGGATTCTAAGGACAAGGAGGGGGGCCTGTTATCTACGTGTACGAATCGTGACTCTTCGAATTTTCCTCTTTCAAAATATCTCCTTTAGGGCGAGGATGTGCGAAGGAAGAAGAAATATATATGAGCTTCACTTACTTGCAAGTCAAACAGCCGCTTTTAACGCGTTTGATGTGTCTGGCTCCCGGGCGTTGCTTTTTCGCTCCACAGCGCGCTTTCGTAGGCACATCCATGAGCTGTCCCGTATCAGATCAAATGTGATGTTGGCAGCTTCCGTACCACTTGGTGAATATTCAGGTTGTCATGGCTGAGCTTTTGTACGATAAGTGGGTCGACGTCTATGATCCAAAGTCCCTCACGGCTGACAGTCTTTCAGTTCATTGGTTGGTTCAGAAAGGAATGCGCCAACGTGCTCGCTGTGATTGGCTACAGCGTAAGTTGAGACGGCGCTAGTATGTTTGTGGATATAAGATATACCTCGCTTGCTTTGGGTTTGTACACGAGATAGAGAGTCCAAGTTGGGATCCAATAAGTCGAAATTTTCTATATAAAGCTTGTCTTGTCTCTCCACGTCCGATAGCATTCTCGGTTCGCTCGATCGCAGGGCCAGTACTCAAGTCACTTCGTGCCTTCCTCCTTTGTTCTCGAGCTCCCCCCTACGTCTCCCCATTGCCTACCACACATCACATCCACCCTGCACCATCACAACATGTCAGCCCCACGACCTTACGAGATCAATGTTCCTGATGAAAACATCGAACGTCTCAAGCAGAAGCTTGCTTTGACTGATTTTCCTTATGATGCGGCTGATTTCGACGGCACATCTTGGGCACAGGGACCGCCGGTCAGCGAGATCAAGCGCCTTGCCCAGGTTTGGGAGAAAGAGTACGTATGCTTATACGCCATTTATCGCAGCGTTCTGAGAGCCCATTAAAATATTATGGACTCGAATTGCTCAAGCTGTACTGACTTTGACCTACTGTGTAGGTACGATTGGCGCAAGGTTGAGAAGCAACTCAACCTATTGCCACACTATCGGGTATCAGTCCCCGTAGACAGTCTCGGTCATACATACGACATCCACTTCGTCCACAAGAAAAGCCAGCGCAAGAATGCTGTTCCCCTTCTTTTCCTGCATGGATGGCCTGGAAGTTTCATCGAAGTTACGAAGATCATTGACGGCTTGACCGGAGGCCAAGGCGATAAAGGACCGTTTTTTGAGGTTGTGGCGCCTAGTTTGGTGGACTTTGGGTTCTCTTCGCGTAGCACGGTGAGTATATACATCATTCTATAGCAGATATGCGCATAGATGGCTGGAAATAACTGACGCAAAAAACCATTTTCGCGCTGAGCAGAAAGGTTTCAGATTTCAACATCATGCCGAGGTATACCACAAGTTGATGAAGACACTCGGTTACGACCGATATGGTGAGTTATTACATTCTGATCTTGAAACCCTTAGAGGCCTCGGACTGACATGACGTACTCGCAATAGTCGTACAGGCAGGAGATGTAGGATCTCTTGTCTCCCGCTATATGGCTAAACAATATGGCTCATCCGGATTCACCGCCTACCACACCAATACACCCGCACCAGCCGAACCCACAAAAGAACAGCACCCGGAGTTACACGCAAAACTCCAGTCAACGTCTTTGACAGACGCCGAACAACAATGCCTAGCAAGAACCGGCAAATTCATGTCGAGCGGCCAAGGTTACTTCACCGTGCAGTCCACCCGTCCAACGACCATCGGCTACAGCTTACGCGACAGCCCCGTCGCGCTCCTCTCCTGGATCTACGAAAAGCTAAAAGACTGGAGCGATGACTATGCGTGGACCGACGAAGAGATTTTGACATGGGTCAGCATCTACTATTTCTCTACAGCTGGCCCAGAGGCGTCTTCCAATGCGTATTACGCCATGGTGAATGACAGCCCACCAGCCTTTGCTGCTGCCGCTGCATATGTAGACGTCCCTATGGGCATCTCTAGGTTCCAGAATGATCTTGTTGTCTTGCCTAAGCTGTGGAATCAGACGCTGGGTCCGATTGTGTTGGAGAGGGAGCATGGTCGTGGTGGTCACTTTGCTGCGTGGGAGAGGCCTGATGCTATCGTTGAAGATGTGCGTGGAATGTTTGCTGCTGGTGGCCCTTTGGAGAATATCTTTGCTTCCTAGACTTAGATAGTATGGAGAGCTTACAGTAAAGGGAAAGTAATTTAATGGTACGAGAGAAAATCTGTGAGGACAGCGTCAGATATATGCACCATTGACCCAATCATTGCTTCCTAAGGAAGTGAAGATGAAAGAAGTGAGAGATACTTTATACAATAAGACGGGAAATTGGAAACTATAACTCTCGCAGATGAATGGTCTCTTCCTCCGACCTATGGGCTTCTGTTCATAGGATTCCTGATTCTAATACCTCACGCACCCCACAACTTTTCTTTCTCGATAGTTTCGGTCAGAACTGTAGCTGTAAATCAAATCAACTGTTTCAGTTCCTCATCTGTTAATCAGTCCTGTTGTGCATCATGATATCGAGTAGAAAACCCATCGAGAACATTCAGTTACTGTCTCAGGATGAGAATAGGGTAGGTGGCAAGTGTTCTTTCCGCATCTGTTGGACCGAAACAGCGCACGCTACCTCGATCTCAAGTCCTAGTCCAAATATTGCATCCCCTTGAGATCGAAGCTGGGGAAGCTCCACCAACTCTTCGTGAACTGACAAGTATTCAGTGCGACCAAGACCTTCGGCAACTTTCCATGCCTCGATGACCCTGGGCTCGAAGTTCAATTCCCAATTACCCTTCCAGGTGATGCTGCTATCAGCTTTGCCACTCTTGTACCGAAAAACAGCGGCATGTTCTGAGTCTGCATTCCAGAGCTCCATAATCTGAAGCTTCGACATCTTCTTAGATGTTTGTGCTGCCGCGCAAAACAAGTTGCTGATCTTCTCTCGTGCTTGATTCGGCACAAGGTCGCGAGAGGTGAGTGATATTGTGGTGAGTTGGTCCCATGTCCAAGTTTGCTGGCAATTCTGCCAAAACAAACGCGCGTCAACTAAAAACGCCACTGATAGATGTTGCAAACCAAGGCTCGCTTCGGCGACGTACTCAGTGACGTCTGGGCTCGGCGCGTGATTTATTATCATACCCTGCTCCCAGGAAGCATCGATACCGGGCATATGTGCAGATACCATTGGCTCAGGCGAATTCAGGAATATAGTTAATTTCTTGATGTTGGATATCATTTGCCTCAAGAAGAGTCTCAAAGCTTTCGCGACGGGTTAGCAGTCCGATTAGAGTCTGTGTGGGGTTCGGCGGGGCTGTCAAATACTTACATATTTTTACGGAAGGATATGAGAACCCCCACCATCCCCGCCATGGCTCATAGAACAACTCATCTGTGTTTGGGAGACAGTTTAGCAGGTCTCCGACGTTTATTGGATACCATTGACGGCGCGTCTGCCGTCGCAGCAGTAGACGGGTAACGCAGGGAGCTTGGGGCATGGAGGACCAACTACGGTCATTATCAAGATCATAATCCTCCCTTGTTGAAAAAAGTCTGGTTATGGGCCCAACAAGTGAATTTACCGAGATTGGGCCATGTCCCGAGCGGCTGCGAGGTTCGGGTTGCGGCTGTTTCCTTGAGTAGAGTGCGGTTGCGGGTTCGAAACTTAGGTACTGGAAGTGATGCTGCAAATCGGAAGGAGAGAATATAGTGATATCGAGTGTCAGATGCCCACGTAGTGGATGCTTGCTGAGTGCGTCTAGCATCTCATATAGCGAGCTTCTCACGATTCTTTTGTTGATTTCGAGCTCCTCTTCAGATTCATATAGGTCACAGGCTGGACAACCGTACTCTTCGAGCTCGATACGGTACCAGATATAGCGAATGAGGCTAAATGTGTGTGAATCTATTGACTCAATGATGGGCATGTCCTTGGATGTAAGAGTGAGAGAATGGAAGTTGTGTTTTTCGATGGCAGTTCGCCATTCTTGACATACAGTGGCGCAGTATGCCGCGTTTCCCTCGTCGATCAACGCTTTGAGGATCATGCATCTGATCTCTGGAGGTAAAGATCCCCACTTCATCGATGGTGAGTACGTCGTGGTGGACATTGTTGATCTTGGCGTTGCAGGTTGAGCAGTCCAAGCGATAGAGGAGCTGTACAGGAGATCTTGTCGGAGGGGGAGGGGAGGGGCTCGGATTATTCATGCGGTGTAGGTATCCGTGAATGTACGCTAACCCAATTCAGGTCCAACAAAACCATGAGACGATGAATACTAAATACTCAAATAGCTACTCGGCTACTCCATGGATGCCGATCAAGTTTAAAGGATTGAATAAATTCTAGGTAGGTAGTTGCATTTCGCGTACTGACAGTCGCACTCCTATTTTTCGTGTCTATTTATTACCCTCTAGGTCTAATTTACTGAGTTCATACCATGCGTTGTGACACTACGATCAACACCAACAGCCCAATAGGATGCATCAATTTTACACGAAAAGATTTGTCTGAAACATAAAGAGGAGCAATTTTTTGTTTGAGAAATGAAGCTTCTACGTCGCGTTGCGTGGACACGGCGTAAACACATCGAGTACCAAAGGGCACTGTGCACTGACTATTTTCTATAGAATGAATTTCTAATCTTAAGAATATGAGTATTGTTCTAATACATCCCTGGTACATCAGTAAAAGTTGTTGCTCAGCCGTTAGCTAACTGCCGCGAAAAAAGCTTCGCATAGCGTGTTAGAGAAGTCCTACTTCAACGCAAAACGCCTTGGACAGCTGCTGGTAATTGCTACTAGATCTTGCGGTGTGTATGCTCTTTAGCATAGTCTTTGTTTTCTGGTCTGTCAAGTTCCCTGTCTCCATGTCACTGAACCCTGCCATTAGGGTCGCCCCTACACTCAGGTTTTCCAATTGCTGCCTGTTCTTATTTGCAGGCACGAACCCTCCAAGCCAATCCCAATGTCCTGCACGTGGCTCTGTCATCGGCATAGCTCCGATGAATGCTAGTGCCGTCCGTCGTGAGGGGAACACGAGAGGCTCTGCTTTATGAACCTCGGTTGGTAAATCTTGCAACATTGCGGAGGGATGCTGTCTCAGAAATATCTGGCGTGGCAACTGAAGAACCAAATAGCAAGATAGCCAGACTAGAGTAGAAGGAACTCTCTCACGATTTTGAGACTCTCCAGACAGGCTAGCCAGTGCAGCTGCTTGGATTGCAAGCACTATCAATAGTGATCGACAGATTGTTCGAAGAAGCTTCCGATGCCGTACTTGAACCACAATGTTCGTGAGCGCGCGCAAGTGTGATGAGTATCCAACAAGGACGTCAAGCTCTGTCGCGTTCCAGTTTTCGGCTACAACATGAACGTCGGTGGCGGCGCCGCTCTTGGTGGTGAGCTGCGAGTCCAGAGCAATCGCTTGTCGATTTCCGAATACGAAACTAGTGTAGGTTTGAATGATCTTGAGTAAAAGGATCCCCAGTGTCATGCATATAAGCGCAAGCGCGCCGGAATATAGGGCACACTTGTACATTTCAATCGTTATTACCAGTAAGATGGTGATCTCCAGGTACAGCCACAATCGAGCCCACCCGGAGTCGGTGGCTGGAGGCTTCTCGAGCGGTGTAACATATGTGATATGTAACACAGTCGAGCGATGCGCGTCTTCGTTCACTTCAGTCGATTCTCGTGAGCGACCAATCAAGCCGAGTTGTGTGAGTAGTGCAGTGTTAACGAGTGGAAAATTATTGCCGTGACGTCGGCTGGTCGCCACCCAGGAAGATCCATCCGAGCTCGCTAGGAGATCCTTTGTGGAAAAGTTCCATAACAAGTCGATATCTTTGATACAACCAGTAACTGCAGTGATTGGGGTTCCTGGGCTAGCAACGGCATGTAAGAGTGATTTTCGCAAGCGAAGAGATTCTGCGAACAAAGCGATGGGAAGGTAAGGTATGAATTGGGACATGGCAATCGTGACACGGAATTATCCCAAAATTGAATTACACTTGTGTAACGGGGATAAGACGATATTTTATATATTGATTCCTTTGACGGGGTGCCTGAAAGGTAGATCGCTACCCCTCCATCAGCGGACAGCCAGTTGAGATTTCTGGCCAATCACGACACTGCACGTCGAGCCTACCACCCTAACATCTAGTATATCGAAATGCCTGTAGGCAACAACAACTTGTCCCCATACGGCGTGATAGTTTCCTTGGAAGCTCTTCATAATATACGCAAAACCGTCGCTTGCAACTGCTACAAGCCATAATTACGCAGCCAAATCCGTGTTCGCCACCGGTAATACCCTTTGTAGCTGACAAGAGCCAAAAGGACACCTACAACGTATCCTACTACGAAAGACGGTCCTATAGGGATGACAAAACAGGTGTTTATGTCATGCCCACGGCATAGTTGGGAGAGCGCACTTTCTGCACAACAGACAGAGATACCAGCAGTAATGAATCCCACGTATAAGCAAGCCGTGAACGGGGTAACAAGGTGAGCTTTGCGAAGCTCTATTGACGTGAGTTTGGTGTGAGGACGATCATCTGTAGGAGCAAAGTATCAGCGAAGTGAAGTCAGGACATCATAGATCTTCGAAAGATGGGTGTGATGAAATGCTCTGTCATTGAAGCAACGGGAGTAATGCAGAGCTTACCGTTCTTGACGTAAATCTCCCGTTTCTCCTTTTGGCTATAGAACTTCTCGGCTTTGATTTCCACCATATTACTAGGCGTATCGGCTGTGTCTTTGCGTGCATGGTGATAATCCCACTGCCAGAGAGTCCAGATCTTCACAGGACAATCATACTCAACGCGAATGTTTGTGCCATCATCCTCGAGCACACTGAAGCGAGCACCCCGGCCGCGGTACCCAATTATGGTGTCCATTCCGTAGCTCATATCCAGAATGTATAAAACCTTCTGGCCTTTGTTGAACTCGCGTTTGCATTTCTGATATAGCCTTGAACGATCAGCTTCGGTGATTCGCGGTCCGAACGCGGGTCGCGGAGGTTCATTAAATTGCTCTTTCAGCCAAGTACTCCGTTTTAACCTACGATGTGGCAGGAAACACTCAATGACAAACATGTTGTCTACCCCTTCACCGCTTAAATGTAATTTATTCAGCGTTCTTGAATTGAACTCGCCATAATTGGGGTTCTCAGAGGTCAGAGCGAGGTGCCGATACTCCCACTTCTCCACCCAGATAGTCAGATGTGACCAGCAAGAAGTTGCGAGTGTTGCTGTCGCTTCTTCTTCAACTACTTCAAGGGCGCTGCCACCACGCAATGAATCACCTCTGATTTCTGATGGTATCCATAATGAATGCCGTGGCCATATGTTGCTGATGATGTTATCCTCGGTATCGTGTGCTTGGCCATCGATTTCTGTTCGCTGCGAAATATGACTGTACTTGTATATCGCTGTCTGTGTGTTGAACATAAGTGACAACGGAACTATCTTGCAGCTCTTCAGAATGGCAGGTAGTTTCCAGCGGCTTTCTAACTTGTTCAAAGCTGTTGCATCGAAGTCAAGGAGATTTGCGAAGATGATAAACGCATCGGTCGGTCTAGTGGCGTTACGTCCCCTCAGATCGTTCCATACATGAACGAGCGTCTCCAAACGTCTTAGATGATAGTCTCTCTCCTTTGAAGTGACCGTGACAAACCATCCATCGCTTGTCAGGTTTTTGCGGTTCTCGTTTAATTGGTCCACAAGCTTAGACTTCAGTGGTACCCAGAATTGGCTAATCTGACTTTCGATGGGTGTTATTGGCTGTTTAATACGCAAGAGATTACGAGAAGCCCTCTTGAGTTCAGTACTCAGACTTGATCGCAGAGGTTCCCCGTCGTCGAAAATTCTAGCATCCCACAGCCTTGGATCACGTGATCCCATGTCTCGAAGAAAAGCGGGCGCGCCACCACCGAGCTTAAAACGACAAGCCTGAGCCGAAGAGCCTTCTTGAAAGGTCCAAGCGCGATGAGACCACTTGCCTCCTAAAATCATCGCCGACACAAGGTCATTCGAAGGATGATCTAGTTGCCCAAGCTCCCAATCTAACACCAGAACTTGCTGTGCAGCCTGGAAGATTGGAGTGATGTGCCTCATTGCCTGGTTTCGAAGTATCTGCCTAGGTGCGAGTGGAGTGAGATATGATGTCTGATTGTCCTCGGGTTCTGTATCACATTCATTACTGTCTGAACGAGTCAGTCTCGGGGGTCACGTTCCGGGAGGGGACATTGGCTGGTCGCTAATATTCGGATTATACCGGGGAGGTATGCAAATGGTATCCAGCCAGAATAGCAGCTTAGATTCGTGCCGAAAGGGCCAGATATTCAATAAACGAACGTACATCGACCAACCGTTCATCCAAGAGTTTCGGACCCGTTCTCTCCGGAGTGTTTCCAGCTCAGAGGCAATCTTGTGAAGCTGGCACCGGTGCACCTGGTTGTTTCGATCGTTTCCCATACCATCACTCCATACGTGGGAAATGGCGGTATACCTCTGTGTGCCATCATAGGCTTCCACGGAAAGGTTGAGATCCTCGTCGCTTTTTTTGATGGAAAGCATTGGTATCTTGTTGTCATGAATGATATTATGGAGCTTTGTCTCAAATTCAGTTAGTAAATTTGGGAGTACAGGGCAACTTCCATCGCAAGTGACACTATGCTTCGGCTGATAAAGTTGTCGCTCTTGACTTGTCAAATCATATGCTCTACAAACTTGCTCATTTTCGCATTCGTAATGTTTGCCAGGCTTCTCAAAGCGTGCGATCCGGGCAAGGTAATACCAGGTGCTATATTTTTCCTTGCCCATAGAACGGACAACCGCCAGACACCAGCCGTGCTCATCAAACCACTTTCGCAAAAGGCGGGTTGTGCAGGTCGATGCAAAGTCAGTCCCTGGTTCCATTGCCAGGAAGTATGTAGTCCGTTGTTCGAAAGTATCAACCTGGTGAAAGTCTCCATCATACGCGTGGACCACATTATCGGCTACTTTCAAACTGCTCTGGAACCAAGGTTCCCGAGAATGATGTAGGTTTGGAGTCCTCGACCTAAAAACATGCGCATCCAAAACTTCGCACATGTACTCGATGAAGAGTTTAACGCATAAAATGGTACATGCTACGGGAAAATCGAGTTCCGTTGCTTCCTGACCCCTGTCTCGCGTCGGACATGCATCTAGGAGGTCTATAATGACGGCTGCCGCACGCAGCAGTTCTCGCGATTGCTGGATATACTGATTTTGATCATTCTTACTCTGTAAACACAGATTTCTATGCCAGGGGCGAAGCAGCCCGATAAGCTTGTGCTGGCACAAGCGGTTGTTGGAGAATACATCTTGCTTCCTTATGCATCTGCCAAAGATGTTGGAGAGCAAACCATAAAATACCCATGATTGTGCCAATAGTAACTTGTCTTCTCGATTCAAGTATGGGAGCTCGACGTGAGTGGGGATAGTAACTGGCAAATCAGGAAACAGTTCTTCTGGGCAGCGGTAATCGACCTGCGACCAATCGCAGTCAAAGCCCTCGCCGAAGTCGACCTCGAACGTGACTGGGTTGTTGTGCGCACCTTCGGGTACGGGTAACAGATCGTCCAAGGGGTGTGGCGCCACTGCTTCACGAACAGTAGCAGTGAGTTGCATATTTATCTGACACTCTCTATGATCGATGCGTTATGTGGGGTGGCAGTTGCCATCTCGTATCAGTTTGAAAGAAAAGGAGTGTTCATACAATTCTACTAGGCTAAATACAGTTTAGTCTAAAATGGCTCTCTCACGTAAGACATGCTTCCAGATGTCTGGATGAAATGAAAGCACTGTTTAATTCTATTGATCGCAATGAACTCACACTCGCAAGCTACAATCGTTCTTCATCACACAAAAAATGCAGGAAAATCATTTGAAGTACATAACCACGCCATGATTTGCTCGTGAGCCCCAGGCAGGACCTATTCACACCGTATGTCACGTGCGCTAGTTGGTCAGAAGCCGCCAGCCATTGTAGCGCGAGCATTTGGACAAAGCAATGCAAGGTCCTAGACCGTCTAATGAGTAGAATATCTCCATCAATGATTCATTATTGATTATTGGATAATTCCTTTATGTCGTGAGAAAATTTACCTTCCAAGATTGTTTTCTTCGTACTCCGGTTGGAAAAGAACATATGGTCTCAAATCTATGAAACGAATTCACAAATATATGGTAGCATTAAGACGAACCCTAACTAAGTGGTAGTAGTAAATCTCTAGTTGCGTTTTCTGCTGACACGCATGTAATTGATATACCTGAACAAACTCTAATGTTGAAATGTTGATAGCTTACTCTACTGCTTGTTGCTTGGTTTACTTGCCCTCCCTGTATATTGTGCCGTCCTGCCCCACCAATTTTTCAAACTCTAACCACTCTTTCTCTTCAACTTCCCTTCCCATCCTTCCTTTACTATACAACAACTTCCCATTTGTTTTGATCAAAGGGTTGATCCACCTCGTCTCTCCATCCGGTCCTATGACCTCTTTTGACGTCGCTCCAAGACCTGCAAGAGTGATTAATACCATCATACAAGGACATGGACTGCACGCATTACACCTACCAGTAGGATGATAATTTACATATACTCCTTCCCAACCTCCAGCAGGACTTAGGAATATCTCATGCATGATTCCCAGCCACGGGCGTCCTTTTGTAGCTTTTACCCAACCCTGCAAGGTAGCCGTATGCAGGGGACCATGGGCGTAGGCGTGTACACGCTCTTCGTTCTCAAAGTAAAGCATAATTGCGGTCTGATTCGATGTAGTGCGCTCTGTGTTGATCCATGCCGAAGCACCGAGGAATCCGTGTTTAGTCGCTTTAGCATTGAGATCTTGGAGCATCTCATCCATACGATCGCCGGTCTCCTTGTATCCTGGGGCAAGCATCCCGAGAGGGTGATGCGACACAATGGAAAGAAGAATCATGCAGATTGGGCGGTCGCCAAAGGTTTGCTGTCCCGTTTCAGAAGAGGGAAAAGCTACCGTTGTACGGTGCGGGATCATGGTTTTGAGGGCTGGAACAGTGGTTATGCCTGCTAGTTGGAGAAGTGTGTTGATGGCCTGAGAGGCTATAATCAGGATTACAGGAAGAACCAGGACAATATTGCGATAGGGTAGAATGATGTGCAACAAGCCTTGAATGAGGGCGCCGAGAAATATCCATGTGGTAATAGGAAATTGGTCACGTATGATCTGTACGCTAGATGAGTTCATGAGTTATCGCGCGGGATTAAAGATACAGACTGCATGAACTTGTGATGGCGCATTCTGTCGGACTGTGGCCGCCGGTCGACTAGTAAACGGTTTGAAGATCGGCTGTAGGGCCATGGTTGTCCTCTAAAAAATAGTGGACAGATGTGAGCAGAGGGGGTTATCTGTTGGTTATTGGTAATATGTTAATATGGACGTGATGTATAGCTGGGTGCAATAAGATGAGGCTGGAAATGAAACTTTCGCACGCAATAATATTATGCTTTGGAATAACCCGATAAAATCTTCAAGAGGTAGGACTTATTGCCAGTAGCCAGTTGCTCCTTATATACACCATTCTCGAGTAGCAGGGCGAATACTACTAACCCATAACGTGATATGTACAAGGATCCCATCTCGCATCCTTCACGCAAAGACTTAGCGAAAATCTAAAATTATATCTTTCGTGCGTATAAGCCTGGTCAGAAGGGTTGGTCATTGTCTTAGATATCTCTGAATTTCCATCGTAGGGGTCGACTGGTTGCCGTACCATGTCGTAATACTGCGTTTTTGGGCTTCGCGCTTGAACATCATAGCAGGCCGACTCCATCAGCAATCCATCTCTATTTATGTATTTCGGTGTCGCAAGTAGCACATATCATTAACTGATAATCAGAGCCGCGAGTCCCTGGACTAATCTCTGTTATCGTACTTGTGCTATGCCGGGTCTTATTGATCAAGATGACTTTATATCGCAAGTACAGTCACGAACACCAGACAGGCGATACCTAACCAGAGAATTATCCAAGAGACCCACATCACACATATTTAATCCTGTAGTGATATACTACCTAAGTAGCAGTTTCGCTGAGACATAGCAAGCTTTATGTCATGTATTGATATGTGGCAGATAGAAGTCATTATACAACACGCATATGGAATATTTGAATCGACAGAGCTGCAATAGGACGAGTGATTACGGAAAAAAAATTTGGGCGAAACATTTGTTCATCGTTCTACTACTAGTAGCTCACCCAAATAGGCCTCCTGGAATTAGAACCTTAGTGTTTCAACCTTCGGTTTAGCAATTGTCTTGTACTGACTGCGCATTTGAAGTAGTAATATATATAACGTCCTAACAATCTAGTAGAGATATACAAATTTCTAGTGTTAAAGTTAAGAACTATAGTGTGCTCGTCGCCCTCTGCTATAAAAAAAGGGGAGGGTTCTTACAAGGCTTTCTACTTCCATCAACCCTGTCTAGCCCAGTTAGAATCACCACTACGCTCAATAGCTTTGTAAATATTGAAGGAGGACGTAATATCTCTTCCTAAACTTTCTGCCAGTGCACAAGCTAGGCATCAAGCCGTTAGGCAGGGCAAGATTTACACCAAGGGTTGGCGGGTGGCAATACCCCGTTTCGCCACCGCTGCAGGACGAAAAGTTGGGCATTCGTGTACAGCCGTCTTCTTGGAAGCAATAAAAAAGTGATGGGGACTCGCAGGTTGAGTTCTGTCGTGCACCGAGCGTGGTAGGCGCCGCGATAGCGCTGCTGAGGACGGCACCGAGAGCGAGAATTGACGTCTTCATGTTGTCGCAGTCGCTGTTATTACCGTTTCTGACCCTTGGTGGGAATAATCAAGTGAATATGCGGGAAAACTAGTGGACGAAGATGACTTTGCCGATACCAGAGTACTGTGTCGACATGACAAAAGTGTCCGCCTTTTTTATACATACAAAACTCCCACACCTATTACCCCGTCAACGTCTCCGATGATACATCGTCATCGCGATACCCTCGTCTACGGAGCTCCCACTTCGAAACTCTGTTCATACTTTGTGTTCCGCAAACCTACCATGTGCTTTGTCATTTTGATGCCGAACGAGTAAGACCTAGAAATACGCCACAAGGCGATCGCATACTGCCCTTCCTGTGCATACGTTCAGTGGTGCGAAGGAGAACAGATCTAGTGAATAGCCAGATCAATTCGTACGCCAAGATGAAAATATTACTATCTTGCTATTATGAAAAATGCTTATCTTAATTTCAGGCGATGCAGTAGCCGAATCGATGGGGAAAGTATGAAGTTCATTGCTTCATCCTGTTTGATAATTGGACTGGTTCGGCGCATATGATGGGGCATAAACACTTATAGTCAATAGTGCATTAGGAAAAATCTCTACTATCTGACTTGAGTATAAATTTACATATATGCAACAGAATGTTCATATTTCCCTGAATGCTCTCCGATGTGCTTTATGCACTACCTAGCGATATATTGCACATCACCGCCCTTGAGAACAACAACAAAGGTGAATGTACCTAGGTTCGAAACATTTTATTTGTTCCATGTTAAAAGAATGCTGGGGTCTTAATAATTTTCCATGCCCCTGACCTATGTGTCGTGGTAGATGTCTATTACCACAGGATCATGAGAGACTACTGCTTCGCACTCAAGCTACATAAGACGAAAACTGCGGTTGACTTTCACATACGATCATAGGAACTTGAGAACAAGGCTTCCCGTTCGCTCAGCCATATTTAAGCAAGTTACCGGCAGATTAGTAGTCAGGTGGGTGACCACTGGCGAATACCTGCTGTTGTATGTTTTTTGTTTTTGCCATACCCTCCGGCCCAGGCTGGGTGCCTCAAATCTTTCTGGCTGTGATAATATAGTCGACTTCTGAGGTCTTGAGCAATTTTTATTAGATTGAAGGACAACAAGTACAATGCTTCGTCAAAGTAGTGTACAGTGGAAATCCGGTAAATGATAGAGCGGACCAGTCTCGTAGAGCTAGGGTTAGTTTCCAACTTTTAGGTCCAAGCAGCACTTACAGGCGCAGTGACTATGTCTCAGAAGTTCATTTTCTATTACAGTAACACTACACAGTAAGGAGTCATAATGTTTAACTCCCCTTTTATGTGCTGGATGGAAACTGTAGTACATATCATAACTCAATTTAAGCAGCAGCCCACGCATAAGAACACCGCACCGCGGAATTCGTTCAGAGCTTTTTGCTTCCAACACAACCAACAAGGGATGAGTGGAAAAAGCACGCATTAAGTACTTTGTCTTGAGACGATTTCCGGAAACGGGACCAGCTTGCATTAACAGCAAATGTCCATGTTGTGTTTTGTTTAGGACTCGAAACACACATACCACACGGTTGTGGTAATTAGGACTGGCGCGCATATCCTCCTCTTATCTATTAATACTTGCAGGTGCACAAATATCTATATCCTGATAGGATTGTATAGATGTGAGCGCGCTGACTCATGCTATAAGCGATTCGTGAGTGAAAGCAAACGCTCGATTCAATCGCGTGGCGGGGCTCTAGCTATCCAACACTATATCATATATACCACTGCATGTCTAGCTTCAATATAAAGTGGGATGTACTTGATTCCATCGATTGAGATGACCTAGAATCCATCAACCACTCAATGTGGGAAGACCTGCTTGAACTCCCCGTAAAATTACCTCCGCAATGCACCATTTGGCAGCGCACTGAGCCGCACTGGGGCTACAGATCTCGCGTCTAATGGCCTATGTTCTTTAAGCTTTGTTTGAATATGAGAGGCTGAGAGCATGCGTCTGCGTTTTCTGAATCACTCTTGACACTCACTAACCTATCGCTCAGTGAATGTTTACTATGTGTTTGCAATACTAGTGTCCTCTCACTGTATAAATTTCCCTCTCTCTTTCTACGTTACTAGGTGCTATCCTCTCACCACCGTCACTACTCTACTAAAGGCTTTCTACAATCTCACCCCCACACTTTCTTCCTTGAAACCCCCCAATTCGCCGACTTCGACACACATAGCAATCATACGCTGGAATACATTAAAGGTCTTCAACATGAAAAGCATACATTTTTTCATTTGGTAAGTCCACACGCTCACCGAGTCTGAGATCGACACTTGAAGAGTATCTCATCAGCCGACAGCTTGCTTCATGGTCTGACCTATCTCGTTTGGGCTGCTCCAACAGTCCTAAGAGCCGCGGAATCAGGTGCTGCGGCGGCATCGACTTCGCCTTCCCCTCTTACGCAGTCAAACCCGTCACCACCGGTTTTCGTGAAAGGAACAATGAATACCAATACAATGACGCTCCCTGTCACCCTTGAAGAGCGATGGATATCCAACCTTTACCAGTATCCTGTGGGTGGTGAGCCATGGCCATACACCCCAAAAATAAACCGTGTCTTCATCCGATTTTGCTACGTCGATCAGCAAACCAGAGACGCCGCACAATGCCTCGTCGGGCAGGCTATTAGCCTCTGGGCCCAAGCTCTCGGGGGAAAGTCAAGCGCAAACACTGGGCATGCCATTGCGTTCCATGAAGCTAAAACCCCAACTCAGCCTGTCTTGTGCTACGAAGATCCCGGCCGCACCGTTTGGACGAGTTATCTGCCCGCCGATACTTTGGCTATCTCAATAGATCCTAGTGCTTCGTCAAGCTCGGCATCTTCTGGTTATCTAAATTATGATCGCGCGGGGAGGCATACTCTAATCATTTCTGGGGATGTGATAAGCAGAGGGGAGTCCTGGAGAATTGCACATGAGATTGGGCATGTTTTTGGCTTGGGTCACGAGCATGTTCGAAGAGACAGTAAGCGAACCAAATCCCTTTCAACTAAAGGAGAGATGCTAAAACATTTGGTCAGGAGATCAGCACATTGAGTACAGATGTGATCGAGTATTCGGCTTCCAGAATGCATATAACAAAGCTAAGAATGATCCGCCCAACAGTCATCTGGCAGATCACGAACTCAAGAAAGCACTTTGCGAAGACGAAAACTTTGGTCATAGATATGGCTTTGATGTTGGTCTGGCATTCCATGTCCGTCCGAATTTCGGTGTCAACAGCTACTTTGACTGGGACTCAATTATGCTTTATGGATCGGACACAGCCGCGCAAAACGACTGTAGACACGACATAGATCAGTGCCCTATGCTGAAGAAGGACATTGATCCCACAACAGGCAGCATCTCGTACTCTAAATTTGACGGTGGACAGGTACCTTCAGCGGCAGATGTTGCGTTTGTGAGGCAAACCTATCCATACATTCCTCCGTCTCCTTGAAATACGGACCACGTTTTCTGTACCTGGGTGGCTTCAAGGAAGATTTTTGCCTGTGCGATTGTATACCAAGTGTTCATGCCGCATAAAGATGGGGTAATCACGAATAATGCCAAGTACATCCTATCATCGTGATTTCGACGAATACCAGAGTCTTTGGGACTATTGGTTATTAGATCGGGCATAAACAAACAGTTGTTTTGCCCTATGGCTTCTCTTGGGTTTTGATAGATCAATAATGTAATAGTATCCCACCAGTTGACTCGCAAAACTCGCTCCGTGACTGACTATATGGTCACGTTCACTGTCTTGTATGCGAAACATATCGATTAAGGTGATCATTTGACTCAAGTCTAAGCGGTAAGTAAAAAATAAAACGGTAATGACTGACTATGAAATCAACAAAAGTCCAAACGAATAATAAAACAATCAAGAATCCTTCAAACCGACAGATGCCGTGCCCCCATAAACGGCATTTGCATTAGAGCGCGCTTACATCTAGCAGCCCTCACCTGGGCTCACTGTCGGCTCGCCAAACATATCACCAGTCCAAGTATCGACTATATCGGCGGGCTTCATCGCGTTGTCCTTCATGACAGAGATCTCACCAGCATATTTCATCTCACCCAATCCCGCAAAGAGGAAAGTGTTGTCAAGGCCTGTAAAAATAGAACGTTAGAGTTTCCTCAATGATCTCTTTTCTCTATGATCATGACGATGGATAAAACTTACTCTGATGCAGATAGAATAAGAGTGGGTTCTTAGCAAAGCGACCGAGGGCTTTGTGGCGAGCCAACAAACCTTCAGCTCCGCCTGCCTCCTGCGTGAAGACCTCCTCCATAGTAGTGGCGTGATCAGTGTAGAACTTGGGGTTAGCGAAAATGGTGTGGTAGGTTTGGTAATCGCCGTTCTTGGCCAAGAATTTCCTGGTCATCATCTCGCCTTCTCCGCCCGAGTTGAAGACAATGTTCTCAGGCGACAGTCTGTTGGCAGCAGCCTCATTCTTGAGCCAATCGTACACTTTCTCGGCGTTGCCAATATCAGATGCTGTACGCTTGACGTGTCCGCTTTGTTTGGGGCTGCAGGCTGTCGGGGTGGGAGCAACAGAGGAAGTCTTTGTCACAGATGGAACAATCTTCGATGAGACAGATGTAACAGATGGTGATGCCGAAGAGGTCTTGGAAATGGAAGTTGCGGAGGAAGACTTGGAAATGGAAAATACAGAAGAGCTCTTGGACGAAGCCTTCGATACTGATGTCGCAGAAGAGGTTTTCGAAGAAGGTTTAGACGTTGACGTCCCAGAAGATGACTTGGATGAGGTCTTTGAAACTGATGATGTAGAGGATGGGCCAGAAGACGACTTGGACGAAGACGTTACAGACGATGACTTGGAGGATGTTTTGGAAGTCGACGTAGCTGATGAAGATTTAGATGAAGATTTAGATGTGGGAACCACAGATGAAGTTTTTGAGGTCAGCTTGGACGTGGGAGCCACAGATGAAGTTTTCGAGGTCAGCTTAGACGTGGGAGCCACAGATGAAGTTTTCCGGGTCAGTTTGGACGTGGGCACAACCGAAGACTTAGAGGAAGACTTGGACGTAGGAGCCACAGACGAAGACTTGGAGGAAGATTTGGACGTAGGAGCCACAGACGAAGACTTGGAAGAGGACTTGGAGGAAGACTTCGAAGTTGATGTCGCAGTAGTCTTAGTCGCTGGAGGAGCCTTTATCTTAGTGGTAGTGGCCTTGGTCTTGGTCTTGGTCTTAGTTGAGGGTTTCTTGATCTTGGCTGCTTGGAAAGCATTCTCCACGATATCTTGAACAGATTCGTCCTCCGAGGTTACTTCCGCGGGCGGGGTCCCAGCGTCAACGACCGATTCAGTCAGCTGCCTTTTGATCTTCTCAAATACTCCGAGGTCTCTCGCGGCGAGTGAATTCGAATTAGCCGGGGCTGCGACAGCTGCCTGAATAGCTCGGGCCTCTACTTCCAGCCTGCCACTCAACGTGGCAAGCCCGGCAAGAGCTACGAGAGAGAAGCGCATACTGAAAGTCTTGATTTTCGAAGTTATAAGAGGTATTCTTGATTGTAATAATAATCGAATGAAGTAATTGGGTCTATGAATCCGTTCAAGGACTGTGAATGAATGAATTTGAACGAAGAGAACGAAGAAACGAATGGCAATCGCGCTGAAAAACGAGTGAATGAGTGAACAAAAGAATGAATGGATGGATAGACCAGTGTTGGAGAGTTTGGTCCGCTTTTATATCAATGTATCTCATGTTTCTCTTCGCAAAACCTGCCATCGTCTATGCTCCTAACGACAATCATGTAGGCTCCGTTTCCACAATGAAGTCCTCAAAATAGACCCCGTCTATCTCTCCGCTTCACGGAACTCCAAAGCCAAGCTTCCCATATCACTGGTAAGGAAGTTTCGCGTAGAATTTGGAGAGAGTCGTCCAGTCTGTTTCTAGAATTCCTATCTCCGAGATGGTTTGAGCTGACGGGCGCATTGGTTGTAGCACACTAGTTTCGTCTACTTGCACTTTTCTGTCCTAAGTTGCTGACGGTCGCGCCTACTTGCCTAGTACGCGAATATTAATCCAGCCGACTCGAAATCCCAAATGGAATCTTAGTAGTGTTATGGTTTCTCATTATCTATTCTTCGCCAGTGCTTGAACGGAATAGTTAAGACCGTTGGCCAATGTCAGTCTGTCGTCAGTCATGTGCGCAGTCCCTCGTATACTTTTTGAGATAGATTAAATCCATCCAACCAAGTATTCGTATGCCATTGACCACATCAGTCAAATGCTACCGATAGTAGCAGAGTCAGCTTACTTTGCCAAGCTTTAGTTCACATCGTAGGGCAGTGCTTAGGCGACAATGTGTAAAGTACCTTGTTACTCCTATCCGGCGAGACCGAGGTTGGCACAGCCCCCCACTTACCTATTCTGAAATTATTCGAACAGGAAGCTGGGCCATTCCACTAGAATTCTCTCCTTCTCCCTCATTTCCTCTCTTTTGGGCAGCCGTGAACAGGCGGGATATCACTAATCATATTTCATAGCTCCACCAAAATGGTGGAGGCGCTCTATAGCATGGTACCGGCGGAGCTGGTGGACATGATACTGGACCGGCTATTACTATCTTGGTCGTTTGCTGAGCTTGTTGTATTCTGTGCGCAAGCCTCATTGAGTGCGGAACCTTCTGGCCTACTTTTCAAACGTTGGCTGCAAGTACAGCAAGACGATATTTGCCTACGCCCATTTTCCGGAACCAAAGGAGAGTTGCTATTCTTGGAGGAACACGTACAGAGTAATTATCTTCCCCTATCCTCTTTTCATTGCATGTGAATGCTAACGAGATATGTGTTGTGTACAGTTCTTCGCACATTCTCCGTCTCTGTCGTGTGTTACATACCGACATATAAGGATTCCATTGGTCTTATATGGCGGATGACGCGCGACAGCAAAAACAAGCCCAAAAGCTGTACAGTGACCGGTCGCCATGATTGGGGCTGTTTGGATCAGCTTACCCTACACGACACTTCAGAATCGCGCCACAATTACCTGTTCATGCTACTACAAGGCTACCACGCATGGGCAGCAGATTTGACACCAGAAGTACTACAGATCGTGAGATCACAACTAAGCCCGATCACCCAAAAAAATTCAGTCGGCTATCTACATGCCCACGTGTACAACTGTTTAAGCGATAGAGGATTTTCTGGAGTTGACGGCTGCGAATGCTCGGGCAAGTGGGTGGCATGCTCAAAATGTAAAGAAAACGGTTTGAGAAGATTCGTGGTTTTCCAAGGAGATTGGAAGTTAGGATGTGTGCGCTGGCACATGAATGAGAAACTCCCTATAGGTGAACCTTGGTTGCGTTACGCAACTGCCTTTAGGAAGTTGATGGCGGCGGACCGAGCGGACATCTTTTTCGAGCATATGCTCGAAAAAACGTGCCCAGGAGATCCTGCTGATCATCTGTGCGTGTTCCATGGCTTGCAAAAATCTGCACTTTCGGAGACAAGAGAGAATGTGGCGAAAGGCTGATCCATATATCTACCGGCCTTAGTCGATATTTGATAGAAAAGAGATGGAAGTATATTGTCTACGTGTCTAGTTGTAGTTTATATCTATAAGAATCCCTAGAAACGAGCGCCCGCATCACGACAAACAAACAAGAGATGATTGCCGAATTCTCCGCACGTGATGATCGGCAATCACAAGAAATTTAGTGAACCAGAAGAGCACCATCGCATGGGAGGCAATCCCAACATCAAAATCTTCCGACATTCTCCGCCCTTGAACAAATGAAAGCACGGAACAGCCTCCGATCGGGCACGTGACCATCGGGAGAGTACAGGAATATTAAGAATGCAACACTTCGAGCGTCTTTTCACCTTTTCCACACAGTGCCAACCTCTACTTTCTCTTTTATGATGAATTGAAATTTGATCACCATGATGTCTAAATCTGGACATTCTCCTTCTTATATCGTGCCACACTTCTCCCCGCTACTTCAGTGCCGGTCTTGGGAACTGCATAGCGAGACGCCCCAAGACCACCAGTTTTGATAGCCGGATGCTCTTTCTTGGTCTGGGGAGCAGTGTAAACTTTTACACCAGGATACACCTTCCTGATCGAGAGTTGCTGTTTTGCGGTTTTGGACGCCTGGTCTGTGTCAGGATTTGTGTGGTTCCGGCTGTAGGTTTTGGGGGCGGGCAGCGCCTTCTTTTGCTGCTGGTCTTTGGCAGGTTCCGGGACGTCGTTTGTTGCATTAGGGGAGGGGGTAGTGTTCGTGGTCGTGGGTGATAATGTAGGAGATGGTGTCGCGGGAATGGAATTCTCTTCGTCCATTGTAAAGAAGACGGGTTCCAACTCATCTTCATCATCCTCAGCTATTAGTACAGGAGAATTAACAGGCGGACGCTGAGAAACAAGTCGAGACGATGTAAGGGCCTTGCGCGTCTCTGGTTTTGGGGGAGGGGCGGAGGAAGAAGCGGCGGTGCGGGCACGGAAGTGAGCTTCGAGCTTCATGTTGCGAGCTTCGCTTGGGTCGGAAAGAACATCATGGGGCGGCATGGAGACCTGAGACGTCTCGTCTTCATCTTTATCTTCTTCTTCCTCTTGATTCTTCTCCTCTTCAAGTTTCTTCAGTTGGTTTCGACGTTGCTGCATCCATGTTGGGCCTTGCCTGGTCAACGCCTGCTTTTCTTTGTACCACTGGGGTACTTGTGTGAACCCAATCTTTCGCAATTCCTCCATGGGAGGGATTTCGTGTTTATACTTGCACCCTTGCGCAATGAAGTTGCACTCGCCGGTTTTGATCCAATGCGTACAATATACTTTCTTGTTGTGATCGGGCTCGATACCAGATGGATTGGGACGATACCCTAGACGTTGGGCGCTGTTGGCATAAACTTTCGCGAAATCGTCACTGAGAGACTATTGTTGAATTAGACACGTTTCATTAAGTTCGTTTGTTGACTTGTTTACCTGAGCACTATATGTGGAAGCTTGAAGCCGTCCGGTGTCAGATTGGGTGCCGTATGGGCGTGGGGAGAGGCTGGATTGAGGACGTGGTGATGGAGCGGTGACCTTCTCAGCGTCTGACAGTATGGCAATTGGCTGTGTACCTGTGCTGGGCTGGGCTCTGGAAACTTTCTTGTAGATGCTTGATTTGAAATCGCGGTCTGGTGCGCGAAATTTTGACGCATTTTCGCGAAAGCTTGATGCATTCTCAGAAGAGTGGGTAGCTGGATCATTAAAGGTAGTCCGCTCAGTGATTTTTAAAGGAAGAAGGGTGGCAAGACTGTAGGTTTCATCTACGAACTTCCAGCCTTCATCTGACATCTGTCGGTGGGTCAGGATCTTGGGGATTCCTTGGACTGAAATAGGAAGCTGATCTGCGGGGATGAGAGGAATCATGGTATTATCGGGCCTCCGCACGATGTAGTAGCGAGCGCTATCGGCTGCGGTAGCGACTTGAGTGCTGATGGCCATGTGGATAACAAGTCGGCAATGGGTAATATAATATCGTTGGCTTGTTGTTCAACTCAAAAGGAACTGGATGTTATAATTTCTCAACGCCGGGATCGATGAGTGATAGATCCGAGTGAAAGAAAGATGGTGGTACTGATTATATACGTCCACAAGAGTGGAAGCAAGCAGAGAGACTTCAGCCACAGACAGTTGATTTGCGTGGAACAAACAGCAAGCAGTGCGTCAAAAACTGTCTTAATAAGTGGCATCTCTTTTTGCTTGTCTCATTGCTTTTTGACGAGGTCATAAGCGGATTGCTGGTGCGTGCAAGACATCTGACTGACGCTAGCGGCACCCTGCATTCGGAATTGTCCTGAATTAGGCGGGTGAAGTACAGCTTAGATCTCCCAATCTGTGCCGTGATCGATCTCATCTTCTGGCCCATGTATCTGATATCTCTCGTGGACATCTGATGCTTTTAAGATTAAGATTTGGGTGTGTGTAAATAATGGCTGGGTTGTGAGCTTTGATTGCATTCAGCGTCGGATGGTGCGAGCTACGATTGCGAATGCGCAATAAGTGCACAATCATACCGATATGTATAGATGCATTCACGTGCTGCTTCCTTGAATTCACTGTGCAATGGGAATAAGGCTGAGTCATCTCAAGTAAATCAGATAAAAACAAGCATGACAATTGACCGAGCGACAGATCAGTGTCTCGCAGTGACGCCGGTCCCACAGCTATGATAACTCGAACGTCTTTTACATGTTTCAATCATGACTGAGAATCGCTGGGTCTGGACTGTGGAAATTAACGGCTGTCGCCGCACGTTTAAGGTTCTGTTGGACCAACAAATCACGGTTTTGGCACCGTCATCTACGTACCAGTCCAAAGATTATACATGCATTAGGTGCCTACTGTACAGGAGAGGCAACGAAGACAAGATGAAATTATACGTCACCCCCGCAAGAGCACCTATACTTCCATATCTTCCCGTCACTTCATCGACATCTGCTACATTGAAAGTCAATTGGCTAAATTGAATTTATTTTTCCATTCGGGCATGTCGACGCATGTGGCACGGCAGATGAATACGGAGCAATGTTCAATCCCCTCACTAGCCTTAACCCTGCAGCCACTGCATGCGGATAAACTTTCAAGCTATGCCTTCACCATGTGCAAGCTAACCCACAATTATGATCTACAGGTTCCCACCACCCCTCGCCATTTGCCAGCTTCATCTACAAAATGTGCTAGCGTCGGGAGCAACGTCTTGAAAACCGCCATGCGAAAATTCAGGGCCCGGATGTTCATGCAAGGGCGGAATACAGACTACTCTAGACTTTCCCCGTTGGGCTCTGAAGGTATTACTGTTTTGCGGCTGTGGTATACTCTTGTTTAGCGACTCCCTTCATTTCGAAGACTTCCAAGTACATGATACCTGAGCAAGACTGCTAAAGTCGACCATCAATGACCACGATTTCGTTTCTTTATTCATAGTCAGTTGACAGTAGAAGAAGAAGACGAAGAGCAGGGATACTATACTGATATGGAGAGTCGCCAGAATGACGTACTGGGAGTTGCGGCGTTGTTTTTCCTCCTCACCTGGATCACAGTCAGCCTCCGCATCTACATACGCGGTGTTTGGTTGAGAACATGGGTGAAGGACGATTGGTACATGCTTGCGGCTTTAACCGCATATTCTCTGTACCTTATTTTTCAGATTGTAGCTGCGGGCTACGGCACAGGACGGCATCGAGGGGACCTTCAGGACGAAAACGCTAGAATTGCGTTATTGGTATGAGTTCAACTTCTCATCTACAATTTTCTTACGCACTCACGATTAGTAGTATTCGTACCTTGGCGAAGTCTCCTACGTATTGAGTAGCTGCCTACTCAAAATCTCTCTCGAAGTGTTATATCTCGGCATGGCTATTCGGCGTTGGCATATCTGGTGCATAAGACTACTCATCGCAGGTACGCACGATCTAAGACAGGGTGTAACATTGAGAGACATCACTGACTTCCCACCCACAATTTTAGGCACTGTTCTGTTTGGCATAATAAACTTTTTCCTGGTGGTGTTCCAATGCACCCCCGTATCTGAGTTCTGGGAAAGCCATCCTGCTTCAGACAAATGCATACCGTCGGCACCACACCAGGGTCTCACATACTTCCTCGCTACCGCAAACGCTCTCGCAGATTGGACCCTCAACATCCTTCCGTTCTTTATCGCATCTTCGCTCTCCTTAGAGACTCGAATTAGGAATCTAATAACAGCACTCCTCGTCTTTGCCGCGATAGCGAGTATCGCCGGAACCATCAGAATACCCTACACCGCCTCCCTGACCAGCGGAGGACCAGACTTCCTCTTCGCCACAGCCAATCTCACAACCTGGTCTACAGTCGAACTCGGTATCGGCATAACCGCTGCATCGATCCTCACTCTCCACCCGCTTCTTCAAGCCGTTCTCTGGCGACTTAATCTGACACGCGAGCCTTATCCACCCTCTTTACCATGTTGTTGCCGTTCAGCATCGCCACGCCATCCCCGCGACGCCAGCGCCTCTCCGTTCCAAGGAGACGAGAAAGGCAAGATCGGGAATCGTCGTGTATGGTACCGGCGCGATTTCAAATGTACTTCAACTACAAAAACACTGCCTACTTTGCTGCCGGTCGTGCAGTGTAAAGCATCGATGGTAATCGCGCGGCCTTTGAGTGTGGCTAGGAGAAGTTGGCATCCGCGTCCGCGATCGCACATCCCACGAGCCATGGATCATTCTCTTGAAACCGGAAATGCGGAAGCCGAATTATCAAGAAATTTTAGCCAGAGAAGGATATGGAAAGTTGTAAGGGTTTCGCAACATTCGCAGTTGCAGCCGCGACAGCCTGTTTTGGGAGGGCGTTATGCGGGTGACTGGGGAGAAGGTGGGGAAGACGAAGAAGAGAATGCTCCACGGTTACAGTTGGATGATAGCATTTACTTTAGTTTTGTGAGAGGGAGTATATTGAGCTTGAGGCAGTTGATTCAGGATGTTAGGAATAGTGGACCAAGTTCAGTTGTTTCAGAGGTTCAACAAGTGCGCGAATGAATGGTATCGTCGCATTCCCTTTCCCAGTAGTTACCATGCAAGGCTTCAATGTAGAAGAATCTCAAGTACATACACCAAGAAAAAATTGTTTCTCTCTTTGTAAGAGCCTCGCTGTATGACCATTCAGACCTCCTCGCAGAAACGAAAACTCAAATGACCACCAACCAACCCCTCCCACTCCCCCTACAAACCCTCCATCTCACAACCGTGACCGCACCTCCCACAACCACCAGCCCAATTCCCCCAACGCACCCAAAAACCTTCTCAATACCACCCCCCTTCTCCAATGCGGCAGCAACCCCCAAAACCCCAACAGCACCCCCAATTCCAATCCCAGCACTAACAACTTCCCACCCTCTCCGCCCACCCCCAAGAAAAACACAAGGAACATAGCCCCAAATAGCCATCACCCCGCCAACACTTAGCCCCCAGAGCAGTACCGAGACCACAACAAGAGGAAAAGACCGTGACAGAGGCGAAAAAGCCACGCAAAGAATGGACAGCGAAGTCAAGAGTGTGGATAGCAGGAGTGTATCCAGCGGACCAAGACGAAATGTCCGCGTATTCTCCGAGGGGAAGTATGCAGCTGGTATAACAGCAGCTACGAGGGCGACAGAGAGGATAAGGATTGGTGTTGTGGGGTATGTTTGATATGTCAACGGTGTAGAGGTTAGCACGAGGGGGAGGTACACTGGGAGCGTGTGAATCGAAGGCGATAGAGCGATTATAGACACGACAAGAATCCAAGCGTTGGCGCTCATTCTAATTCTGGGGTAATTGTTGGGAGACGAGATTGTATAAGGGGAAGATGGGGATGGCGGTAGGGGAGAAGAGACAAGTAATGCCCACGCGGAGAATAGCGAGATGGCTATAACAACGCCTTCTACTACGCTCGCGGCAATAATGTTCTCGGTGCTAAGGTAGGCCCAGATTCCCAGGTTCAATACGGCGCCTCCGCAGCAGCCCCAGAATGCAGCTTGGAGACTGGCGAGCGCGATGTCGTGTTTGTAATGTGCAGCGAGCAGGCGAAGTGTGGTACCGCGGACATAACCCAACGAACTCCCCATGAGTACACCCCTAACCAGTAAAGTGGCTAAGAACGTGGCTGGGAGATGCGGGAGAATGAGGGGACATGCTGCTGCGGTTGCGCTGGCGGCGAGGATATGGAAGTGTTTGGATCGGGCGGATAAGATGTTGAAGAAGGCTGTTGGGAGCAGAGAGCAAAGGAAGGATGTGAAGAGCGGAAAGCAGTAGAAGGTGATAATTTCTAAAGCAGGGACGAGCGAGAGAAGATTCAAGGAAGTTGTTGGGAGTTGGGTAGTGTAGGCGTAGAGGAGGTGGATGCCGGTGGAGAGGAGGGTGCCGTGGGCGGCGAAGAGGACGAGGGCGTTTGCGGTGTAGGTTCTTTGACGGCTTGTGAAAAGGATTGCCGAGGGCATGTTTTTTGAAAGAGGATGTGTGAATAAAGCGGTCGGGTAGAGGAGGGTAAGCTTCTCTTCTTGGGTAGAAATGAGTGGCTAGATTGGAACGTGTCCTGAGCAAATGTGTATAGTATGGAAAGGTGGAGCGAGAGAGGGAGCAGCAAAAGAAGATGTATCAAAAAACTTTTGAATCTCTCTTCCTCATCGAAAACGCTTTGGTGGGTAGGCAGGTTGGCAAGATGTACCAAATGTGAATGATGGGGATGGGGCGTGAATTTGGTCCAGAGGGTTCCACGAGGTAATCGAAGAATCGTAACACGAAAGGGATGGTGTGAATGTCTCAGATCTCCAACTGTATGATTGTGTGAGAGGATATAAACAACTGCTGTCATGGTTAGCCAAGAATCATTGTCTTGCTATATGCACCTTGCTATATCGTAAAAAAAAAAGTCGCTCCGAAAAGGCGATACCTCAATTTCGCAGAAAATTGTTTTCAATTTTGCAAGTGAAAGTGAAGTACTAGATATGAAGCTGAGAGAGTAAACGAGTCATGAACAGGGTAGCACCGCGTAAGTGAAATTGGGATGTCATGTCCATCGCCCACCATGATCCAACGATTCCTGAACGCCAGTAACCCAGAAGAAACAAAATTGATCAAAGATATGGTAATTCCTTGTGACGGACTCCGCTCGTTGGTCCAGCACCACTATGTGAACACTCTGCTCTTTTCTTCTCGTCGCTTGGACACCCGCCCTTGGTTCTCTTTCGCCTCATTACAACTTTCCTTCTTTTGCTTAGAAAATTCCATTCACAATCTTGCTACCAATGGTAGCACCGGCACCGAAAACGGCGGCATTGCCCAGCTTCTTACCGAACTTCTTGCCACCCTCCTCAAATTTGCCCGGCTCCTTGTTCGGTTCGGCGTTGTTGGCAACATCGAGAGGCGCATTGCCGTAGTTGCTGGCGACAGGGCCAGGGGAAGCAACAGGGACCATAGCCTTGCTCTCCTCGCGACGAACATAGCTGGCAGGGAAAATACCCTCCTGGCCGGAGCGCTCATTGCGTCCCTTCCACCACTCGTTGTTCATGTACTCAGACACAACAATCTTGTCATTGGGCTGCAGAGCCAGATCTCCGGCGTCCTGGGCATTGTATTGGTACATGGCGGTGGCATGGCAGAGAGCAGGTGGGCCGACGGGAGCAGCAGGAGCGGATGGGTAGGCGGGTGGGGGCGGGTTTGCGACGTTATCAGAATAATAGCCAACATTGTTGCTCTTCTTCTCAGGCATGGGCTCAGGAGTGGGCGAGTTCAGGCTGATGCTAGACAGCTGGGCGGAGGGAGGGCCAGCGCGGGCGCGGGCAGAGGAGGCATTGGCGGGAATCTGGTTGATGATGGCATCGTACTGCTGCTGGGTGATGACAGCGGCGTCGACGAGAAACTCAAGTTCCTGCGAGCAGCAGGTCAGCGCATTACTTTGTTTTAGTGGAGGACGGGGAAGGGTACATTTCTGACGTTCCCCAACGAGCGGTTGATCATGGCAGTGCCGAAGGCGTCGGACATGGTGCTGGCTTGTTGTGGTGAAAGGTGTGTGTTGAGTGTAATGTGTTGATGGTATCACGGAGGAGCGGAGAAGGTTGCACAAGGTAGGGAAGTATTTCCGGGTATTTAGAGGAGAAAGCCAAGCGAGTGACGGTTATGCGACACACGCGCGAGTGGGGGATTTGTTTTTAAGAGAGGTGGGTGGGTGGTGATTGGGATGGACGGAGGAGGAGAGGGGAGAGGAGAGAGACATGTACGAGGCGGGTGGGTGGCCGCAGCAGATGCTAGTTTCATGTGTTAGGTAATTCACCTATTCAGCGCCCAAGTCTCCAATTTGCTCTACAATATTTCTATTTACTGGTACAGGCACCTGCTTCTAAAATCTCGCACATCAAGGCATTTTTTTGGTTACATGCAGAGTTATTACATTGATTGTTGCTGTCAACACGCTGTTCTTTCCCCGTCCAGCATCCTTCAGGGTCGTCTATCTCGAACGGGGCTGTGCTGCTGCCGGACCGGTCTTGCTTTAGTCAGCAGGTCTACCATCCTACCATCTGATCCCACTGTCCGTCTTAGACATTGATCCATCGACATCTCTCTCATAGCTTGTTCATTTTGTGGAAAACCTCCTGTCGCTTATTCTCAAACGTCTCAAATGCCTTCTCTACGAACCCAACAGGCACTTGTTCGTCCCCCTTTACAAATCTGGCCCACGAATCCTCCGTGAACTCGGCCAGAGGCATCCCAAATGAATGCCCGTGCTTGATATCGGGTTGGTGCTTCTCGTCGTGCAACTCGGTCTGTACTGCTGGTGGGTAAATCTCCACAATCTTGACTTTGGAATCCCCTCTCTTCAGCTGCTCTCGCAGCGCGAGAATGAAATGGTGTAGAGCGGCCTTGGTGGCCGAGTATCCGGGGCAGCGAAGAAGTGGGACAAGAGCAAGCCCTGATGATGTATAGACCAAGGCAGTTTCCTTGTCTTGCTTCTGCAAGTGCGGCAGGAAAGCTCTCGTCAGGTGAATGTACGCCGTGTAGTTGGTTTGGAACTCGAGGTCGAACAACGACAGGTCCACCGTCTCAGGTTTGGTGAAGTCGAACCCACGCTGTATCCCCGAGTTGATTATCACAGCGTCCACGTCTGGATGCTTTGCGGTGACGCTGCGCACAAACTCGGGTATCTTTGTGATTTTGGAGATATCGAAGACGAATGCATCGGCCTTGTCTTGTCCATGTTTCTTTACAAATTCGTCGAGGTTTTCTTTTCTCCTCCCGACAATGACCACCGCCTTTCCTTCCTCGACCACTTTCTCTGCATAAGCAAGACCAATTCCTGACGTAGCTCCGATAACGAGCACTTTGTTGTATTGAAGTGGCATGGTGCTGGTTGCGAATTGAGTTCTCAATGTTGTGTTGGTGTCTGTCTAGGAAACAAGGGACTGGGGAAGTATTTATATGGCGAGCTGTGGCGACACAATTACGAGATGCTGCCACCATAGGATCTTGCCGGATACTATCAACTCCATAACATGCGCTAGAACGACGACAACACCAAGCTCGGAGAAGACGCAATTTTGTGTCCCTTTCACCGGGCGAGAAGATTAGTTATCTCCGCTCAACCAAGTCCCGTCTCTCAGGTACTGGTTATGGATTGGCTCCCATCTCCTCATTGTCGGTTCAAATGTACTCCTGAAGTCTTCAATGTGGAGCGTAGTCATGCCGTGTAGTATCTGAAAAGTCGTCGCGTTTATACAGAACTGATTAGCTAAGCATCGGCAGTTGTGAACGGTATTCTCCCACCGATAATAGTGGACAAGCGCTTGGAAACAGCATATGTAGACTTGGATGGATGAATACGTGACTGAGCATGGGCTATTTTGCTACACCTTAGGCAACTTCAACAATTTGTGAACAAATACGTCTTCGATACCAACTGTAGCTGCATCCATCAAGAGAGTAAGCGGTATGGCCCAAAGCAGTTTAGGCTGGCCGTCTGGGCCCAAGTAGTTGCTCCCTCCCCCTGCCACGCATTTTTCTGCTCAACGTACAGATTTATCCGTCGTGCCTCGAATCATACAAATGGAGGAGGATGCTGGGTCTTTGACGACTTCTGAAGTCTGGGAATCCTCAGAGAGATGTGGACTGTGCAAAGCAACTAAGAAGGGATGCGATAGAGGCTTACCGAAGTGTGGCAGATGCGACAGGTACGATTGCAACAACATTGGAGCATTGTATAAGTCTCGTGTTAGTGCGCTAACCTTACACTCAGGCTAGACCATGAGTGCATATATCCACCCTCTGAAAAACCGGCAAGGAAAAAAAGAAAGCCACTGCCACGCACTGAAGGAATTGACAAGTTGATGGTCCACCAAGGTGAACAATGGGCTAACACAGATGCACATACACACACGTCAGATCCCCACTCATCCCTATCAAACTCCCGTTTTGAGGAAGTTTTTTTGCGTCTCCAGAGACTCGAGCAACAAGTCTTCGCATCCAATCATAGCACAATCACCCCTCCCAAAAGTCATACAGAAGAGCAGGCGCCTATTTCTCTGGACACCCCTCCTAGAAGTCAGATAGAAGGACAGACACCCAGGGAAATTACCAATGATAACTGGGCCCTCAAACCAGGCTTGCTCAAGACCACACATGTGCAGCTGGTCCTTTTTGGTACCCTTTCCCCGGCGCTCAAAGCGAAAAACACCACCTGTCAGGCCGTCGCTCATCAATACTTTCGAACTGTTGGTAGATGGCTGCCCATGATAAGTCGAACCAAAATTGACAATGAAATTTCCGCGTTCCGCCAACTCGATTCGAGCAGCAGGTTTCAGCTCCTAATACTAGCCATGTTACTGCTCTCTGATCGCTTGGATGAAGAATACATGGTCACACCATCTGATCATCCTTATTACCGAGCGTGCAAGTACTTCTTCGCACATTTTACCGCCCTAGGAACACCATGCATTGAGTGGATCCAGGTCGGGATGCTCATCGCATTGTTCGAGCACTTCCAGTGCGTTGACAACCGTGCTCCAGCGACGCTGGGTGTTTGTATACGATTAGCATACGATCTGGACCTGGATGATGCAGTGGCGGGGCAATCAAGCTGCACACCGGGTGAGATGACGCCTCAGAGTGAAGAAATGGTACTCACGTGGTGGGGTCTTCAGCGATTGGAAAGGTAGTTATGTACATTCACACTCGTCTTTTGTCCAACCCTAACAGACGTTACAGGTATTTCAACATGCCTCCCACCGGTCGTCTAAAGCCCCTCTTTATGCCGTTACAACACAGTTCGGATAACGTAAACGGCCGCTCCTATGCAGGCCCGCCGGTCAGTGGTTTTGCTACTGTAGATCGCGATACCCTTTTTGCCTCCATCACTGAACTGGAAGCTTCTCAAAGGTTGGGCCAGGTTCAGATGTTCATGCGCAACAACTGTTCTTCGCCATTGGAGTCAATTGCCGAAAGTGGAGCCTCTTTACTGCGGAGTATCATGGGGTACTTAGTAATGTTGAAGGTGCAAATGCGAAACGAGGTTTCGTGGGCAGGTGTGGCTGTGGTTTTAGAGTATGAATTGCACCGTGGATCCCATGACCGAGACACTACCGCTAACCAATTTCATTCGCCAGGGCGGCGCTCGAACTACAGCTTTTTCTGCTGGGCAAAAACGAGGACGTTGGGGTTGATGTTCTTCGATCCATTCACTCGACTCTCGAACAGATGAACGAGGTCGTGCAGCATTGTCGAGTTGTCAATGGTTTCACTGAAGATTACATGGAAGGTTTGCAGCCGACTTGGTTTTCAATAGCCTACCATGCACTCCGCGGATACCACAAAATACGAACGCTGGACACACAGTCGGTTCTTCCGGCCATCGAATTGAAAGTTGGCATGGAGTACTTGCCCACAATGTCAAAAAGATACAGACTTCCAGGTGAGACATATAAGTCATAAGAGGCGATTGTGCTTCTAATTATTTCGGTTTCTAGGTAAATATCTGGAGTTGCTCGCGGAGTGTACAGAAGTGTGAAGCAAGAAACTCAAGACTTGCCCGCTACCTTCTTCCATCCCTCCTCGACTGAGAGGGCCTTGATCTCCGGAAACATCTCGTTCAATAGCGGGGATTTATACTCCACATCGCCATCTTCGATGGAGAGCCCATAAGCAGCCAAAATCATCTTCACCGCCGCGAGACCCTGCTCACCGCCACCAAAATGTTTCGCCATTTCAGTGTAGGCTGGCATCTCAGAAACCTCGCCTTTCTTTAGCCTCTCCACAGAGTCGTATTTGACATCAAACTTCACGCCCTTTGCCTTCTCAGCCTCAGCCACAATCTGATTGAACGTCTTCTTGTCACCTTGGATGCAGTAGTAATGTTCCCATTTTTGCAGATTGAGCAATGCAGCAACGTATTTGCCAATGTCGTGCGTGTACGTCAGTGGGATACTAGTCTCGCCAGTTGCGGGAATGCTAGCTGTGTTCCAGCGCACGTCCACGATCATGCTGTTCAGAGTGACGTACGAAGGCAGGCCTTCGACGAAATAGTCGAGGAACAATCCTGGTCGCACGGCGGCCCACTCGATGTCCGACTTCTCGAGTCGCGAGATGACGTTCAGCATGCCTCCGGCTATAGGCATCGCAGCATGTCTAAGAAGTCAGTGTCAGCATTCCAGAACAGTATCATCGAAACAGATGTGCGCAACTCACTTCTGCGTGAACGGGATCAAAGACCACAAATTCGGGATCAAACGACGCGTCACCTTGGACTTCTCAGCTGCTTCCACCATGTTCATCTCCCCGCTGTTATCGGGTCCGAAGGCAATTGTCGAGATCAAGGTATCCACTTTGTTTTCCTCGAACACGTTGGTCAATGATGTGACGTCTTTGTAGTCGACGGCGTGGGTCTTGACGCCAACATCTTTTTCGAATTCGGCGTTGACCTGTTGAAGGATAGGATGTTAGCCGTCTGCTCATTGTGAAATGATGGCATAGTATACGTACACTTCGTGCTAGGACTATAACCTGGTATCGTCCATCTGCTTTCAGGGCTTCGACGATGGCTCGGCCGAGGCCACCAGTTCCTCCTGCGACGGCGACGCTAGAAGAAGACATATTGATGCTGATGATAATGCGAAGGTTTATCGATGATGTACAAATCAAACAGAATAAATAGTATCGAGCAAAAGTGATTCCGACGACAGTGAATTCAAAATATAAAAAAGTATTTTCTCGGTAATCGAAGTAGTCTGCTCGCTGTTGATAATCTCTTGAACTGAACTCGTTGATATCTCTTCTATTCCATTCAACGACCGCTCCCCCCATCCCTCCTATATACCCTCTCCTCCCCATTCTCCAACTTGCATTACCAAATCGTCCTCGTCCACCTCCCATTACCAATTCATCCTCCTTCGCCCCATAAGCCCAACACACCGCGCTTCCCCAACAACCAACCATACACCTCGTACAAGCCAAGATGAGTATGTAAGTCAAGTCAGTAGTAAGCAACGGCGCAGCGTATGTGGGGCGGCCGCCCGGTCGGCCGCCCGCGCGCGCCTCGTGGGTTCCGCTTTTGGAGGTACGCCTTGTTTGAGCGCAACGGTCGGACTAGATGGGCGGACGGAGACGGACGGACGGACGAGTTTTCAATCGTGCGGGTTAAGATTATTCAGGCTCTGGGTGTGGATTAAAGAATGTGGATGAAGGGGAACAATCTTCCTCTTCTATGGGGGATTCTGTTTTCGTTGTTCGATGATGCTTGGGAAGCGGGAGGTGCGGGAGGAGGAGAGCGCGGGGATGACCGACCAATGAGAGACGAGAGGGAGTTTGGGTGAGTGATGGTTGAGCACTGGATTGGGGTTAGCGTCATTGGAGGCTTACAGTGCGGATGGCGGGATCTATGGGAGGATGTTCTGGAAAATGTTTATTCGTTTTATTATGGTGGCAATTGAGTGTTTATCGCGTGTGTATGATCTCTCGCGGCGTGGTGTTCTCCATTTGTTTCTTTGGGCCTAGAACGGAATTTAGAGTTTCAATGAAATCTGTATCAACATCTTTGATGAACGAACACTACTTAATGATCCTCGAAGTGAACTGCAAACGTACGATGCGGGTGGTTCCATACATGTTTGCTCGATACTGGAACTCATATCTGTTGGGTATCAACAAGACCTTACCATAGCCATGAAGTTGTATGCATGTCTATTCGCCACATCCCACCTCCGGCGTGACTCAAGATTGTTGGACCGCCATCACACCTCAATCTGCCGCACGGATCATATTGAATAGAATGTCGTCTTCACACATGCATACATATGCACATACCAATCTCGCACAGCGAAGCTAAAAAAGCAGGTTCCAGACGTGCAGAGAAGCCAACAAAGTTTGCAGGACAAAATGATAACGTCGAAATTCACCTCTTTGTATGGTCGTTACCATGCCAACTTCGCGATAGTAAACCATGGTTGTGGAAAGTGGGCTTCCCGCGCGTAATCATAGTTTTGTAATTTGTGCATATGCATGTGCGTGGTTTATCATGGGTGTGTAGCTCTCTTGTTCGGTAGATCATATAAAGTCGTTGGTATTTGACGCATAGGAAAATAGGTGTAATTTTCTCTCTTCCTTGCATTTGGTAACTGCGCTGCCGCGACGCTTCACTAACCACTACCATGATACGATAACATCAATTGGTGAGAAAAAGGAAAAACACGACGACTTTGATTGGATTCCAGGGATGGATTGAAGAGGTGCTTGTGGAAACCTGCTAAACAATAATTAGGCATTACCTGCTGTTCCTTTGCTATCGCTTCATAGCTTCTCCACACTCAATATTGGCAACGATCGCCTCGAAACTACCTCGATCTTTTACTTGCGATGGAGAAGAGGACGCTCATTGTGTTCCAAGTTGGGGAGTACGCGAACCGGGTTTGCGAGTGTAAAGAAAGAGGAGGAATATTGGATGACGAGAAAAACGCCGAGATGCAGAAGCAACAGTGGCAAAGTGAGAAAGACACTGAGATGGGATCCTCGCAAGAGACTTTGGTGGTAGGAGATAAAGATTTCGACGGAAATAAGGAAGAGAAAGATGAACAAGTTGCAAAATTGCCATTCACGAGGGCGCGGTGCATCGCGCTTGTGATGACTGTTACCACTGCCGCGTTTCTGAATGTATGTTATCATCCACACCCACGAATGTCTATCTCTCTACCCTTGAAGACTCAAAGGCTCAGAAACATACCATTGATTTGCCATTGCTGACACAGAACAGACAATGGGTATCCAAAGCGCAGTCATCATCCTGCCCGCAATAGGACGCGAGCTAAACATACCAAACACGCGTCAACAATGGATCGTCTCAGCCTACAACCTCACTTTTGGCTGCTTTTTGCTCCTCTGTGGGCGTATCGCCGACGTATACAGTAAACGCAGCATCTTCATATGGGGGTCGGCTTGGGCGACGCTTACGTCCATCCTCGTCCCTTTCGCACGGAATGAGATTGCATTTGACGTTTTGCGAGGCCTCCAAGGTCTTGGGGCTGCCGCCATGGTACCGACGGCTATAGGAATATTGGGCGTCACGTTTCCGCAGGGCAAAGCGAAGAACTATGCGTTTAGCTGTTATGGGGCCGGTTCACCTTTGGGAACTATCTTTGGGCAGATCTTTGGGGGGCTTGTGGGCGAGTATCTCGATTGGAGGTAAGCGTTATCTATTCTCAATCTTGAAACATACCTAGTTGTCTGTGATTTGACTGACGGGACCTCGATAATGCAGATGGGTATTCTGGATCTTCGGAATCTTAGCCGCATTATGTACCGTCTCCAGTATTTGCTTCATCCCAACTCTTCCTGCACCATCGGTCGCTGGTACCGTTACCACTTTGACTGCCCCCAGCACAACTCGCAATTCCATCGACTGGCTCGGCGGAGCTATCATCACCACCGGTCTTGTCCTCCTCCTATTCGCCCTCTCCGAAGGAAACGTCGTCGGCTGGCGCACGCCCTGGGTGTCTACGATCCTAGTCCTATCGATTCTTCTCATCCTCGTCTTCGGCACTTATCAGCACTGGCTCGAAACCAAAATCACGAGGAACCCGAATGGCAACAACCAACGCCCATTGATGAAGATTAGCATGTTCCGAAACGTGCGGTTTACAGCAGCCAACATAGTCATGATGCTATATCTATCATCGTTCAATAACTTCCTGATCTACGCCAGCTTTTGGTTTCAAGAGTATCAGGGGCTCTCCGTTATCCAGACCACGTTACGTTTACTACCTTTAGGCGTAGCAGGATGTATGTACATACCCACCCCGACTTCTTACTCAGTGATTCTTCTTCTTATCCCAGACATTGCCCTACCCTTTACCTCGCAAAAAATGCAAGCAATCACTAACAAATCCCTCCCTCTCAACCAAAACAGTTCTAGTATCCCTCCTAACCTCCATTCTCCTCCCACACCTCCGCACCCGCACCCTTCTTCAAACAGGCACACTCTCCTTAACCGTAGCCTCCCTCTTATTTGCCCTCCCGCTCCCTTCAAACCTCACATACTGGGCCTACGCCTTCCCCGCCACCATCCTTGCCGTCGTAGGCGCAGATACTCTCTACCCAACCCTCACGCTCTTCGCATCGCACTGTCTGCCGACGGAAGACCAGGCGCTGGGCGGCGCGTTGATAAACAGTGCGGGACAGGTTGGACGCGCGATTTTTCTGGCCGTGGGCACGGCTGTGCAGGCTGGTGTCATGGAAGGAACGAGGTGGGGGGTTGGAGAGGAAGGACTGAGGGATGGGATTCGAGCGACTTGCTGGTTTGATGTTGGATTGGGAGGTTTAGCGCTTTTGGTGGTCGTGATATTTTTTAATGGGAAAGCGAGGGTTGGGGGGATCAAGGGGGGGAAAGTCTGACAAATGATTTCCCTACCCATTGACTTCTTGTGATTTTCTTGTATCTCACTTTTCTTTCTTGGGTCTGTCAACTTTGGTGGCATAGCTATGAAGCGGCCGTGCATGAATATACTAGAGCGTTGCATATGTATTAAAGATATTATTAGCTGAATGTTTAATTCTTCTTACTTTTTCTTTCTGCCCTATCAATGAGTTACACAAAGAGCCCAAGGAACGAGTCTCAAGATAGTGCATACATTCTCATTCAGGGTGTAGCAAAACAAAATGAGACCCTTAGTTTCCAGTCGACACATCCCATTACCCCGAACTTCCCGACCACAACGTGTCCGTTTAATTCTTCCCAGACCCGAAGCCAATTAGTAACTCGAGAAAGGCGCAATCAAAACACGTCAACTCTCAAGTGGGGCAAGCTCTCTATAGGGTATGGTATGTATAGCTACGTTCTTGACGACTCTACATACGCGGTTTATGATTGGTTTGTTCGCTTAGAACCTGATCCTGCGCATCAAATTCCTTACAACTTGATTGGGAGATGGAATGGTATGTACTATGCCCTGCAAAGTAGACGACTGGCTACACTGTTCTTATGACTGACATCATACATGCATGCAGCTCTCAGATGTATATATACATCATACAACGCACACCTTATAGCAAGAAACCCTCATATCATCATCATCACTTAATAGTGTCAAGAAAATAAAATCGCCAGCTATTGCATCTTTGCCGATCAAAAATGTCAAACCCCCACCTCTCCATCCTATCTGAGTACAACTTCGGCGATACAACAGCCCGCTACACCACTAACAAAGCTTCTCAAGTAGGGCTCTGGCTGTACCCTTCCCAACTGACTTCTAAATTATCCCCCCGTCGCGAAACAGTCGCCAACGAGTCCTGGGTACGCGATAAATCAAAGGCAAAGCCCGCAATTGTGGTTGAACCGCTAGTCCACATCAAAATAGTTGGGGACGACCAACCGGGACAATTCGGTCCAGGACGTACCACGCTATGGGCGACTACCAATGATCGGTTTGCACTGCAGAGTCAATGGCGAGAGGAAAAGGATGGAGCGGTAGTCACGGTGTTAAGAGAGGAGAGCGGGATGGTGGTTGAGCATCGATTGGAGTGCGATGCTGGTGCGTTGAGGAGCGAGACGAGATTTGTGAATGGATCTAGACGGGCAGTACGGCTGGAGCTGTTGACGTCGTTTGCATTAAGTGGGATTACGCCTTTTGCGGGAGATGATGCGTCAGGAAGACTACAGGTTCATCGGTTTCGGGCTGTGTGGTCTGCGGAAGGGAAGTTGGTGAGTGAGTCGATTGAGGGGTTGCATTTGGAGAGGGTGTATGCGGGCGGAATAAAGTTGTCGGAGAGATTTGGTCAGGTGGGATCCATGCCTGTTAGGGGGTGGTTCCCTACGGCGCTCGTAGAAGATGTCGAGGCGGGTGTCGTGTGGGGTGCGCGTTTGGGGTGTCCAACGAGCTGGCAGATGGAGGTCGCGAGACGTTATGATGATGTGGTACTTGCAGGAGGGTATGCTGATCGTGAATTTGGGCACTGGACGAAGACAGTAGAACCGGGAAAAAGTTTCACGTCAACGCCAGCTTGGGTGACTTGCGTGGCCGGTTCGATTGACGACGCTTGCAACCGGCTTCTAAGTGTCGATGTCGCAGCAGTCGATTCACAGCCGGCTATAGAACATGACCTGCCCATTGGATACAACGACTGGGGAACGAGCTGGGGAGCACCACGCGAGGACAAGCTGCTTCAAACAGCCGACTATCTAGTTTCTCTAGGAGTTCGCTACCTCGTGATTGATGCTGGATGGTATATGCCCAATACCGACTCCGCACACTGGGCCACCACCATGGGAGACTGGAAGGCGAACGCATCACGATTCCCTCGAGGCTTGGCCGCAACAGCAGCAGCTATTCGTGCAAAAGGTCTCGTTCCTGGTCTTTGGATGGAGCCGGAACACGTCGCGCGCGATTCGCGTGCTTTCCATGAGCTTGACCATCTCCTCCATCGCGATGGACAGCCTCTCACCCTCGAAGTGCGTCGCGCTTGGGACCTTGACGATCCTTGGGTCAAGGAGTACATCGATGTCCATGTGATCGGCCTCCTCAAGGATGCTGGGTTCGAATATTTAAAGCTTGATTACAGCGAGACATTGGGTATAGGCGTCGATCATGAAGATGGTTTGGGTGAAGGTCTACGGCGCCATGGCGAAGGCACCCACGCTCTCTTCACCCGAATACATGACGCATTACCGGAACTCGTGACGGAACTCGTTTCAGCCGGAGGAGCACGCATGGAAGCATCCCTCCTCCAACTGAGTTCAATGGCGAGTTCCACGGACGCCCACGAGACGCTTGAAATCCCAATCATTTCGGCCGCACTGCATCGTCTCGTGCTTCCTCGGCAATCGCTAATCTGGGCCGTGTTGAACCGTGAAGATACCATCAAGCGTCTTGGATACACGCTAGGATCTGCATTTCTGGGACGTATGTGTTTGTCTGGAGATGTAGTCGGCTTACGAGAGGAGCAGTTGGCGTTTGTGAAGAAAGCTATAGATCTATACAAACAAGCTGTACCGGCAATCAGGGCTGGTGTAAGCCGCTACTTTACAAAACACCTTGGACCCAGTTGGCGGCATCCAAGTGGTTGGCAGGGAGTTACGAGGGCAACGAACAGCCAGGTTCTTGCTGTGGTTCATTGCTTCAAAGATTCTCCCGAGAGTGTTTGCCTGGAGTTGCCTGATAGTGGTAGTTGGCGACTGACTAACACGCTCACAGATATCTCGGTGTCCATTCGGGGGTCGACGCTCGAAGTATCCGATATCTCTGATTTCGATGCTCAAGTCATCCTGCTCGAGAGAGTGTAAAACGTCGGAAAACTCGTGCATATATCAAACCGATTGTGATTGCTTGATATCAGATTCGATGAAAAGACATTCGCTTGATAGGTATTCTAGAGGCCTTGCCTCGAGTTATCATGTTCCGTCATTTTGCGAGTTGCAGATGGCGTATGATCTGACACGCCGGAATATGTATTCGAAGTCTGTTCAACATTCGCATTCTCTCCATATCCTGGCAGTCTGCCTTCTTCATAGTCTTGCCTTGTCACTGCACCAAGCGGTATTGTTAGCCCGTCAATAGCCTCTTGATGATGAGATACAGTGATATCGCTACTATTTGACTGGTACGGCGGGGGGGCCTCTCCTTGTTCGTTGAGTCCTTCTTCCTGTCTGACAATCGCAGCGGTCTGGTTAGGTCTCCAGGTACCGTGAAACCATCTTCGAGTATTCACCCAGCCTTCCATGTCCTGGGCTAGAGCATTTCGACCACTCATTCTCAGCTGCTCTTTCCGCTGTCGGCGCCTTTTCTGGAACCACCAGAGTAGCACAGCGATCAAGACACCAAACACAGCAAAGAAGAGGAAGTAGTAATTGATCACACCATCGTTCTGCGAGTTAGGATCCGAGGCTGGGTCGGAGTTCGCATCGGAAGAGCGAGAAACAAGCCCCAGAAACGTTTTAGGAGCCTCCGTAGTCTCAGTATGAGCGGGAGAGGACACGATGGGTCTGAGAATGGGTGATACTGCAATCCCAGGCATCTTCGAGCGAGATGTAAGCCAGGAGCTTCGAGTGGAGGGATGATCAAAAACGTTTGAGGCTACAGAGACGATGGAGAATGAAAACGAAACAAATGTGACAGAGCTTATCGGGGAAGAATTTGAGGAGTCTTGACTGCGGGATGAGCGGGTATCTTGAAATGACAAGCAGACGCGTGTCCCTCATAAGAGGAATTGAATTGAATCCATTGAATGGTCGGTGTAACTAATCCCAGTACATCCGACTGATGCAGCAGGCAGCATCAAGTTGGAGAGATCAAGGAGGCTGATTGTCGACCATGATTCTTCAGAAAAACGAGAATGCAGGTTTTAATTGTGCATAGATTATATAGTGATGAATTGTGATAGATCCGTAGGCTCCCACTTGCGGAGGACGGCGGAAGCTTATCTGCTGGTGCGCTTGCCCATAGGCGGTTAGGCCCAAGCTTGATAACATTCGAAATGTTGAGTGAGCACCCGAGAGAGCAGATTCCAACCTGTACACCAACCTTAACCTAACGACCGCCTCTCTCTATCTATACTCTGTCACAAACATGGTGAAAGCTGTGCGAGGTAAGATCGGCCCAACAATTTCAGCCTTCATCTCAGCATCAGCTAAATGAACAACGCGTAGGTGTCATGGTCAAGTGCGACGCGTCCATAAAGGCCATGTTGATCAGCATCGACAATGACAACAAGAACGATTTCATCATAGAAGACCTTGATGAGGAGCATCTTCTGGTTAAGGAGACGAAGATAATGACTCTCAAGAGCAGACTTGCAGAGGTAACGCCTCATCAAACCTCGGGTTCCATCTAGTGCTAAACGCTGACATTGTCTAGATGATGAAGCAGCGACTCAAGGATCCCACCGAGGAAGATGAAAGCGGCAAAGAGAATTGAGAATACTGCAAGCTATTCACGTCTGCATTCTGCGTATCCTTGTGATCTGGCTACATGATCTTTCCCTCACCAACCCATTCCAACCCGACGCATACGCGCTCTACATCTTGTCCTTCTGCTCAGCTCCCTCAAGAGCTGAGACCCACGATACACGACCCGAGGCATATAGCTCCCTCACAGGCTTGAGGTTTTCAAGGGCTTTGGGATCATCCAGCGTGCCGAGCTAGATTCTAGTCAGCGTAACAATCCTGATTCGGAACGAAAGGAAAGCATACCTTGACGATCACCATCCCGGGGAAAGCACCCCCATCACGCCACATAGTGGATCCGCAGTCAGGGCTGGAAGACAATCAGTAATGAAATCTATCGACATACATTTACAGCATACCAGAAGTAAGAGGTGATGGTATTGCCCGAGTCACCTTTGGTCGAATGTGTCTTGGCCTCGCCTTTGGTGACTTTGAAGCCACTGCTGGGGTATACTCCGTTGGTGCTGTAGGTCGAGCCAGAAATTTTCCGGCAATCCTTGCAGTGGCAGAGTGCCTGCAAGACGTTACTCAAGCCTACAACTATGGTCTCTGTCCACGTACCTTGGCCACAGGCTCTCCTTCAATCGTGTAACGGATGCCGTCGCATACGCAACCTCCAGCTTGGGCCATTGTGTATTGGATAGGGTGATAGGAAAGAATTGGGGAGTCACAGATATGTGTGGACGACGACGTGGAGTTGAGGGGCGGAAACTATTGAGTGGTTTGGTGGAGGAACACGAAGCTGTTGCAAGACCCACGCGGCCTTTTGAGCGGGAACCCCTCCTACTTAATACGCCGAAATCGAAGCTAGTTCGAATCCATGAACGGCACAAAACAGTCGAAACTGCGGAGCTAGCAATTCGGGATCAACCACGAGCAACCACATGTTACCCCGCCAAGCAAAGGGGTGACAATAGCCAATCACTCGGATGCAGCCTACGCACAAACTCTGAGGTTTCAAGGTCTCGACTGGATATTCTCACTTGACTGCTTCAATCCAGACGCACGCGCGAATGATAAGCCGGCATACCGCCGAATCGCCCGTGGAGCATGTTGTATTACGTATATGAGCAGAGGAGGATTCAAACCAGCGCCAATGGGCACGAAAATTGAGCCTGAGAAACTCCGCACGCGGAATTCCGAGGACTGTGCAGCAATGAATTCTGATGTCTCTGCAAACACTGCGTCATCATACTTCATTTTCATACCGATTCGGCTACCTATTCGGTGGCATATCGATAGTGATGTATCGCCTCGGCTACTCGGTACCCTGTATGTAATGAGAATGCCACACAAGACTGTATTTGATGATTTCTGATCATGCGTTGATCTTTGGATTCTTACATAATGATTCATAATCCTCGTCGATATGGATACATATGTTGATCCACTCAGCATAGGCTCTATGATTGTCAAATTAACGCACTTGTAATTGCACGGCCTCAACTATCCATCTACCCATCCCATTGCAAGAGACAAGATAATGTACACAACCACAGGTACAAGTGATGGTACGAACCCCGCGATTCGTCAATCTTATCGCGTCGCTATCGATAAGGTAGCGTGTTCGTTGGCTGGCTCGCGATAGACCAGACCCTTAGTTTCATCACCAACGAATGTAACATTCATTCCAGGTGTGGCTGTCTGGATGTCAACCTCTCGAGCGCGTCTACCTCCCTGACGCCTGATACACGAGCCGGCCATGGCCAGCAATCAACCTCCAGACGTCTGGAGCCAGATGAACTACGTCCCACCCCGCGGCCAATGCAACTTTCGCCAATCCCTACTATCGCCCAAATGTCCCTGCCTCCGCTTCATGCTCCACCCTCTCAAGGTACGACCGCCAATGCCTCCAAATGAATGTTCATTGATCGCTCGAGCCAATTGTGGACTTCTTTGGTTGACATGAACATAATAGAGCTCCTCAAGCTACGAATGCGATGGCTGCGCGCACCATGCCTCCTTCCACAGCATGGAGAATAAAACCGAGGACGAAATCCGAAAGCGCTGGGAGCAGGAAGCCAAAGATAAAGCGCAGAGTGAGAAAGACGCAAACAAGAGACCTCGCAAGCGGTTACGCGAAATCGAGTACACACAGGGCGGTGTTGGAGGAGCTATGGCGCGTATCACAGAGTCTAGTGGTATGGTGACCCCGGACGAGGACACGGCGAGCGAATTGGCGGACGGTAGAACGAGAGCGAGCACTAGGCGAACTGGGCGCAAACAGAAGACGGAGGCAGTTGGGAAGTTCCTGAAGGGTCAAAGACCTGAGCAGGTTGGAGAAGATGACGATTACATTGAGCTGGATTAGGAAACCTTTGCATGCAGTATTGGGAGAGCAAGGCGGAGCAAGGACATTGGATATATGATACCCCATCAGCATTTACTCGTTCTCGGAACAGATTAGGTTTGCGACAGCGAGACGTATAAAACACAAGGTGTATGCACACTTTCAACATGTACTTGGAGATAGACAGGCGTGCCAAGCCCTGCATGACTCGCGTGAGCTCCGAACCGCATTCCGCATCATCAACTTTCACTCAACTATTCACGTCCAGCAATAATGTCAATACACTGCCTACCATAGGCCTAGCCCTCACCTTTACCAACTCAGTCGCGTTATTTCGACCACCTCCCCATAGGAATATCTGAAAATGGCGACTCCGACACCTTCCACCAACACGCCGCAAAAGCACCTGATGGCGCTTTCGTCGCCTGCACCCCGCAGCGTCCCACCCATGGCTTTCGATTCCCCGGCTGTACTGAACATGCTCAATGAAGGCGGAATTGGGATGGGCATCTCCATGAGTGGAATGGGCATGAGTCAATTGGGGCTCAGTCAACTGGGACGGGCCGACGAGGACGAGCGGCGGCGGCGCCTGGAGGGCATTGTCAGCATGCTCAAAAGTCGACCGGGACGTGTCAGTGAGGAGGGGATCGTCGCTCTCTGCAAAAAAGAAGGAATAGATTTCGAGCGCGCAGTGGAGCGCGACGGTACCACAGTTCTGACTCTGGTCATCGGGAATGAGGCCATGTGCGACATCACCATAGCAAAGGGCGACGTGACAAGCGTGAAGCTGGAGTTGGCTTCCGACGACGATCACATTTTTAAGGATTCTGGATCGCGTATTCTCTTCAGGTCCCTGACTCCCCGGCCCGGCGCCAATAAAATCAATCTCATGCTCGATCAGTTTGCCTTGAATATGGATAAGCTCCTACGCATGGACAAGCTGAGCGCGGAGAACGGAGGTGTACCCTGCTTCAAAGCCATATTTGCCATGCACAAGAGTCTCAGGCGGTTATTTGAGCACGAGAAAAAAATGGCGCTCGCTCTCGTGGAGGCAAAGGATGCGCCAGATGCAGCATACAAAGCGGAGCGTGAGGTCTTGTGTAAGAAGAGTGGGCGGCCGCGGCTCAACGCAGGAACATGCCTGGGGTTGAGCTTGGAGTACTGGATGGACCGACGACACTTGATACGCAAGAAAGCCAAGTCGTCCCAATCTAATTCAACGCAGAGTGAAGAGGAGGCGGTGGACGACGAACACCCAGAAGACGCGTTTCCTTCGACCAATAAGATATACTCCCTGTCCATTGAATGCGAGTCCTCGCCGTCCTCCATGTACACCCCAATCCGCATACCAGAATCGTGGATCTCCGACGCAATTGAGGCGGAAAAGGCGCCCGACGGCCCAGACGCTGTCATCAACCACATCCTCAAAAACACACCCACGATAGACTGGCTCGACCCTAAACCGACCTACCTCGACTCTTCAGGCGGTGCGGGCGACCACTCGGCCCTCAATATCGAAAACGCCTCTGGCCGCCTCCCCAACATCCGTTTCGTAGCCCGCTTCAACCCACCGCTCATCGTCCCCGTAAACGTCCACATGCAGATTATCAACTCGGTCGGGCTCAATGCCCCGCAGGATTACCATCTTACGACGTTTGTCGGCCTCGCCATCCGCCCCAACGACCCAGACCCTGGCTCCAGCAGCACCGCGAATAGTAAAACCATCGAGATGCAACACTCGCGCCGCGTCCTCGTCGTGGACAAGTCCACAGGCAAAGAATCGCTCCGCCACCACACAAACTCCCTATACAGCCCTCAACTCGATTACTCGCGTGCGCTCGAAAGCCTCCCATTCCAACACCCACGGCAACTCGTCGAACTCCTGCCTACACTGCGCCAGTATGCGTTCACGACGTCTCTGCTGCAGAATGATTTCGTATCTCCAACGACTACTCCCACCACCTCCGACACCAATACCGCCAACGGCACTACTCACCCATCTTTCCCAGTGCGGGCAAAGCCCGTTACCAACAACTTACCTACCCCATCATCCACACCCTCCCCTTCTTCCCCTTCCACGTCTAATAATAAAGACAATGATACGACATTGACGGCACCGTTCCAACTCGACGTTGCGGTCTCCTACGCACCACCCGCCCCCCGTCTCACAGTCACTATCCCGCAGCGCCACTCTACCACCTCCTCTTCTTCCCCCAACAACACCAACGACGATGATATACTAGCATATCTTCTCTCTTCCTCGTCCAATTCTACCTCGACCCCAGCACCTCCAACAACCCCGCTTAAAATGGTGGTAGATGTGCTTCCAAACGGCGAGCTTGATATACAAGAGGAAGGACGCAGTCCCTTTGCGTCTAATATCAACAACATTGATAACGTTCATGAAGATGGTTCGACAATAGCGGCATCTAAACCACAGCAACAGCAAGGAGAAGAAGAAAAAGAAGACGAGAAAGAAGAAGGGGAAAGCGGACAAGGCAAAGCTATGAGTCTTCCTGTGTTGGGGAAAAACCCTTCTTCTTCTACTGCTGCTGCCAATGACAGTGAAGCAGCAGGAGCTGGAGCAGATGCGAACATAGACTTGGACATGAACGGTGACGCCCCGCCGCCGCAGCCACAATCTTCTTCTTCTCCCACTGCGCAGAAAGACGGCAAGAGGAAAGCAGATGGAGAAGCGAGTGCGATTCCAGACATCACTGTTTTGAATAATGGTGTTGGTGGGGTCGATGCGAAACGCCGACGCGTTGCCCGCGCTTTGGATGTCTGTGGGGATCTGGGGGTGTGGGCTGAGTGGTTGTTGGAGCGGTCATGAGGTGGAAGAGAGGAAGAGGGGAAGAAGGAGGGAGGAGGAGTGGCTTATTTATTGTATTGTATGATGTTTTAACTATGGAAGTATTTCAAATGACATGATGGTTGAGGGGATGAGTGCCAAGTGCGTATGCATTTTTTTAGCTACATCTTCCTCTACACTTCCGCTCCTCACACAGTCCCTAGCATGTCTCGCAATGTACAACTTGATGATTGTCGTTGCAATATAATATTGATTGCACATAGAGTTTATCACGACTAACTCTCATTGAGTGGAATAACTAAGTCACGTACATCACGCAAGAAGGGGCCCACGGCTATGTTGTTTTAACATTATTCAAATCGGTCTTTCCATTTCATTTCGTCTTCCATCTCATTCTTGCTGAGATGGGCAGGTAGATTACATAGCATAAAGGTAGTGAGGATTTATGTCTCCAAGAAAAGGACAGGCCATTCGAATCCGAACCAGAAAGATACGAATCTTGCTTTCGCTCTGACAGCTGGAAAGAAGGAAGAAGGCAAGTTGCGGTGGTGGGGTATGGAAGGGGTGTGTGTGGTGTATGCAAGAAGGGAGGTCGTGGTCGCGGAACAAAAGACGCCAAGCAAAAAGAGTCATCTATCCCGATGCGCAAATCCAATGTGATATCATAGGTCTAAGAGGGTGAGAGGGGGTATTCGGAGGATTGTAAAATTTACGGCTTCGAGATGGGGACAACCATCTCAAGCTCCTCTCCGGGGGCTTTTGAAGCGAAAGCGGCCACATCAGCACCCTCGACCTTGCCGTACATGGTTTCGCACATGATGCCGGTGATCTGGTATGGGTCGCCGTTGGAGGCAGGGCGGCGGTCCTCGAAGTACCCCTTGCCCTCAGCAGCAACGGAGCGGGGAATGCGGACTGAAGAGCCACGGTTGGCGACTCCCCAGGAAAACTTGTCGTACGACGATGTCTCGTGAGCACCAGTCATGCGGAGCTGGTTGTCCTCTCCGTAGACGGCCATGTGCTCCTTCTGGCGGCCGGCGAGCTTCTCCATGGCGGCCTCGATGGCCTTCATGCCACCCTCGGCGCGAGTCTCCTTGGTGGAGACGTTGGTGTGAAGACCGGCACCGTTCCAGTCGCCGGGGATGGGCTTGGGGGCAAAGGTGACCTTGGCACCAAACTCCTCGGCCACACGGTGTAGCAGAAATCGGGACATCCAGAGCTCGTCGCCCACTATGATGTAATTAGCATGAGTAATGATCGGCGATGGCCAGAAAAATAATTGGAGACCAAGGGGGCGCTACGTACTGCTAATACCGGCGCAAGGGCCGACCTGGTATTCCCACTGGGCAGGCATGACCTCGGCGTTGGTACCTGAGATGTTGATGCCGGCGTACATGCAGGCCTTGTAGTGAGCCTCGACGATGTCGCGGCAAAAGACCTTGCCAGTGCCCACACCACAGTAGTAGGGACCCTGAGGCGCAGGGAAGCCGTTCTTGGGCCAGCCATATGGCCAGCCCTGGGCGTCGAGGAGAGTGTATTCCTGCTCAAGACCGAACCAGAACTCGTGCTCGGCGTGCTTCTCTAACACAATGGCGGCGTCGTGGCGGTAGTTGTACTTGTTGGGCTTGCCATCAGACGAATACGTCTCGCACATGACGAGGACATTGTCGCCCAGGCGGAAAGGGTCGGGGTAAAAGGCAACGGGGCGGAGGTAGACATCAGAGTCGTGGCCAGGGGCCTGGCCGGTCGAAGAGCCGTCAAAGTTCCACTCTGCCAGATCGGAAACCTTTTCGGGCTTCTTGTTCATGGTCTAACGCCAAGGTTAGCATTTTGGTGTGCTTGGAAGGCATGATGCGATGACGTGAAGTGACGGTGGTGATGATGGTGACGATGGGGGGGGTGTTGGAATTTTCCTTGTCACATCCCCCGCCCCCGCCCGCCCCTGCCAGCGCCTTGCATCGGGCAGGCAAGGTTTTCGGCTAGCGGCTGACAGGGCCTCCGTCATGCCACCAACCACCACCACTGCCACTTTCGATCCTCCATCTCTTATCGCAACGCATGCACGATGATGGTGGTGGTTATGGTAAGGGAAATGTGAGCAGATAAGGAAGTGGACGACTTACTTTGCACTTGGAGCGCACGCCGTTGGAGCCGTCTATCCAGACGTACTCGGCGATGACCTTGCCATTCTGGGGGAGCTTGAGGTATTTCTCGAGGTTGGCGGTGTTGGAGAGAATTGTTGAATCAGCCTGTTGGAGACTCGCGTGAGCAGCTGTTGGGTGGAGGAGAGAATCACAAGAATCGAGTGTCGACCATGAGAGAGCAACTTACCATGACTGCGGTTGTGTGTGTATGTGGGAATGTGCTGTGTATGGTATATAGAAGAGCAAGAGTGGGAGGATGGCTTGAGGATTGGAGGGAGGAAGAGTGGATGATAAGAGGAAGACGATGTATGGACTTGAATGGGGGTGGAGGAGGAGGGTGTTTATAGATGTAGGAGTCAACCGCAAGAAGGCAGCAAGCCACAAAGGATGCAAGGATAGGGCAAGGTAGGGTAGATTGAATGGGGAAAAGCGGTAGGTGAATGAGTGGAGAGGAGCGATAAGGGATCCGGGGCGTGGATATGCTTAAGTACTTTGGACCCGTAGTCGGGTTCGTGTGCGCGTAAAGCTGAGTGTCTGTGTGTAAATGTGTCGCCGTGGCGGGGCGGCCGACAAGATAGTAGAGGATGGATGGGTGGATGGGTCGTCGATTTGGGAACCCTTGTATGCACGGTAGCAAGCAGGCATCAAAAGCGTAGCGGAGGGCTTGGTTTGTTATTAAAAACCCGCAGCGACATAATCAAAAACAAATCCGTTAGTTGACAAAACGCCGCCTAGGCCAGGAGCCGTCGCCGCACTGCTGCCGTGGGATGGGGACGACCGACTATCTTGCTGCGACTAGGGACTCTACTGATGCCACTGCTATTACTACGTACTTGATTTGACTATCCCCCAGTAATTCGAGGGCGATTACGTACGTACTCATTCAGATCCATCAGGCAGACCTGCCAGAGTCTGTGGATTAGCCATCAATATCTCAAACAGAGAATGGGAGCAAAAAGAAAGCACCAAAGGAGTACTGAAAGAGAAGACAAAAAGCAAAGGTATCAATCAATGGCAAGCAAGGGCCATGCAGATGCGGTGCATTGCAAATACCCCCCCCTCCTCCTCCGACTTTGAACCCCTGCGTAAGTCGACCAAGAGCATTGATTTGCTGGGATATGCACTGAACCGCAGCCTTGGATGGATGGGGGTGCGCAGACAAAATATCCCTCATATGGCCCACACCCAACATTCCAACCCCCCATTCTTTACATACACATGCATACATGCATACTTGCACGTCGTGTGAATACAGTACTGTATGATTGATACTTGTAGCTTCGACTATTACGTGGTAATGCTTTGAATCCTCCTCCTCCTCATCATTTGGTCCTCTTGCCTTCTCTTCATCCTTCAAACTCTCCATGGTTTGCTATCAGGGACACCGATGACGATTCCTACAAGGACGGCGGACTGACTGAGGCGAGACACGGTGAAAGCAAACACAGCCACGGCCAGACAAAGCACGCACCGACAACCCACAGACATTTGCGCAATCGAAAGTAAAAAGAACCTTTCCCACCCTCCGTACAGCCGGTTGGGCGCGGCTGTTATTGATCGATTCCAGCTAGAACCAAAAGAATTGGTAATAGTAATCATAAAATACCGCACCCAGCTCGTCAACAGTGTTCCGTTTTTGACCGCTTTGTCCTCGGGAAGCGTCGCCGTCGCCCGTGGGCAAAGCGAAACTAGGGGGCATTAGCAGCTTTGAGTGGCTCGCTCATGAATGTTCCGATTGAGCTCATCGAAACCGAGGTGCCAACCTACTGTTCTTACTAAAATTAACCCAAGTCGTGCTCCACTCGATAGTATGTTCCCATGTACCGATGCAATTCAATACAGCTGGTGAAGCTACCTAGCGGTGGCGATAAGATAAGCCCTGTCGGCCAGTCAGCAACCAGTCAGCAGCGACCTCCCTGGGCACCATCATTGCACCCGTCATTCTCCAAGCAACGAATATTCAACAAAAATATCGCTTGTTGGTCCCCTTCTTTTGCTTCTCTGCAGCTTCTTCCGTTAGTTAGAGGGGCATTGCTGTTATTTTTAGTCGTTCAATACCTTCCTCATCCCTCCCATCCTAGGACGGGTGGTTGTTGGGTCATTGGAGTCACTAGACCGTCTTCCGTGCTCGTTCCTAACCGCTTCACCCTTCCATCGTGTTTGGCATACCGCCTCACGGCCGATTATTACCGCAAAGCACGTAGGGTGCTGTTCCAGCCCGTTACACGATGCACCCACTCATCCATCCTCGATGCGAGCGTGGGGCGGTCGTCCGGCTTTGCATATGATACCGCATTGTACATACATATGTACCTGTCACCATAGCATGACCCATTCACCCCCCAACGCTGCTTCGTCACTCTCTTTGTGCTGCCCAGAAGTTGCGTGTCTCACAGGCCGCGATGCCCCCGTTTCATCGTGAACATCTGCCTGCCATTTAGCCGATGCTAACCCCACGGCGTGAATAATGAAGCCAGCGTTGCCATTGTTTGTTTGCAACTCGGGAAAGTGGTTGCGATGTCGGTCGGTAGGCCACGCTTTCTAGCCCGGCCTAGTTCCCCGCAAATCTCGCGCGGCGCCCCACACGACTTTGCGCCGCAAACCGTGCCAGAGATAAGGCCAATATCGCGCCCCTGATTGGCCGCCGATGATTGATGTTCAAACGTAATGCTCGCCGTCTCCCCTGCCCGTCTCTCGTGATGGGCATTCATCGCCCGCCAAATCGCGCCCATTACACAAATCAATCGTTCAAGTGTCGGCATGCCTGTGCGGGAAAATGCCTCACGTTGGGCCCAATGTCAGGGGCAGAGATAAAAAGAAAGAAAAAAAATCGAGCATTGGCGCATCATCTCGTTCCGTGATCAGCGATATTGAACATGGCGCTCATGTCTTCCGCATTTGGTAAAGTGCCATTTCATCCCACGTGCCTGGCATTTCCCATGTTCACATCTTTCCGTCCCCCTTCAGACGTGTACCTGCAAATGCCCAATGGCTATCAAGTAGATGAACCCTCAATGATGATGACAAGCCGGGAACTTCGCCAGTCTTGTTTGAACACCATATCCGCTGCTTGATCCCATCAGTCGGAGAAGCAGCACCCTAACCCCTTCGCTCGCCGACCCCTTCCACCTTCTTTCCCATCTACTGAACTTCCCTGACGAACCCTCGTGTAGGGTGTCCTGCGCTCAGGCCTGGTGTTCAGAGTCCTAGCGCCCTGTTGCCGCAATGCTCGTCAGGATGGAGCCCATCGGGTCGCCCCGCGACTAGACATCCAATGGGTTTCCCTATCAGACACCTGGAATTGGCGAATGAGGACACAGACAAAACAAAAAGCTGACGTCTCTGTGGAGAGCGGCGGTACCTGCAGCAGAGGCTGAGTAGGAGCAAGGTGCAATCCAGTCTTGCCGCGACTAGCACACCACCATCAGCCTCCTTGCCACCTGCCTGGTAATCTGGGGTACGTGGGAAAGCTCGGATGGTGCCTGGATTGCGGGCCCCAATACGACCTGATGTTGCAGACCAGTCTTGCTTGGTATGTGTTTAGTCATCGTTGTGATATGGTGTTCCCTTGTCGCTCATCGCCATCGTATCCCCGTATACCTTTTTCCGTTCCAATCTTACAGCCATCACAGCCTCTCTTGTTTAGCACCGATGTCTCCGATTCCACCCGCACTGTCAAAGATCGCTTGGTGCAGTGACTGATCCCCAGGGCGGGGCCATCGCAGTGGCCCGGATGCAGCCGGCCGCTGTGGGGCGAGTGCTCCGACTCAACTGGCAATGCTCGAACTCCATGTCCTAGTCTGGAAGTTGTATTCCTCCCATCTTTTGGTGGTGTGCTCCGTGAAATAGCGACCTTTTTACACGGCGAGGGGAAAACGGCAAGCACGGATGGTCGGGACATGTTCCTGGCGGGGTTTGTTTCGATCTAACGGTTCGGGGCGCCATGTCTTTCTGACCCTTTTTTTCCAAGTGAGGCCAGCACACTGCTTTTCGTTCGTGTGTCATACAGCACGTGCTGCCAGCGCGACCCTATGTTGTTCGAACCTCTATCTTTCAACCCTCAATCGTCATGTAATTAACCGCAATTGCTTCGTTCGCAACACGTTGTCTTTTCCCCTGGATTGCGTGGTTTGAAAGCTAGAGCATGTCAGTTGGTCTGAGGTATTGCCGATCTGCTTGATTGCTTCGGCCCCGATTGCTCAAACTCCCCACACGGACAGTTTATCTTTTTCCAGAACAGTCCATCATCGTGACCCGAAGTGCGTGGTGGAGCAGGGTTCGATGTGAATGAACAATCCCAACCAAGAGTTTGTGCTTGGGTATATATGGATTGCGCGCTGCTCAGATCGGACGGCGGTAGAGGAACAATGCCGGAGTTTGCATGCGAGATTATACCCACTTGCCAGACGCCTTGCACTTTCGGTCGGAAAGTCTAGACGTTGGAGATTTCTCAAATTCGCATCGCTCAAATTTCGCAGAGTCCACTGGGTCAGGAAGCAACAGGAGTACAAGACATTCAACTGCGAGAATACCAAGCATGTGCTACACGGAGCAGATATTTCACCGGCCGTGCTGCCACTGGGGCCGCGAAAAGTTACTCCCATGCTGCCGTTCGAGAGCAGTGAATGAAGTGCACACTGGTTGCAGCTACGTCGAAAGTCTTGGCTCGGTCAACTCCAGCGATTGGTGTCACAAATGCAAGTACCGCATGGCTCAGGGTGGAAGTTGGAGACCGTTTACCCCCATCGAGGCCATCGGGGAACAGGAATGGATTCATGTTGAAGGCAAGATGAGGCAAGATGGCAACAGTAAGTCGTCCTCTATGCATGACGGGGCCCATCAATCTGACGAAGAGTACCGATAGGTATCATATGCTCTATAGTTAATTCCCGTTCGTAATCTCCGCCTGTGTTGCACAAATCTGTCAGTATACATTTGATAGAGTCTGCCATGGGACCTACCATATTGGATAACGGTAACCGGGCATTGTGTGCTCATGCTGCGTCAACATGATTTGTGTCACCCCGGTGAGGCTAGCAACGGCAAGCATAGTCTGCTCCATGGCCTAACCGTTGAATCTTCCCAGTACATTGAACACTGAATAACAGATGCAAGAGCAAAAGAAATCGACCACGACATGTAGTCATTTCAAAGTTGGGGGAGTCAAGGTGGAGAAGGAGGATCAGAGGCTTGAAGTGGGCAGGGGCCATGGCAATGGACCAATCAGGCAGCGGTATGACTAACAAAAACCAATGTTGCTTTTTCCATCAATGGTCATATGACATCCTTGATAATGTTCCTTTTCTCATACCGTCTTTGCCGTTTTCATACATTATTGCATGTGTTTCATCAGTTCGGACCGCTGCAGGAATTTTCATTGGCTTCGTGCAGTTGCCATACACATGTCATACGCTCAAGCTACATTGGGTCAACCACACAGTGTACAGCAGTTGGAATCAAGTAAACCAGCCACGTACAACGTTTCCCAGCTGGCGGGTGTACCATTCCGCCATGATTGTCATCAAAATGCTTGCCAGCATACGGTTGATACGGGCATATTACGATGTGATGGGAAACATGTACATATGCCACTATCCCAACCAGCAGAACGCGAGGAATGACCATCACTCTCCTTCGTATCAACCTCCAGAACGTTGAAGCGAGAATTTTTTTCTTGTGGCTTCTCATCCACGATGCTTCTGCGTGGCCGTTTGTGTATGGCATTCTGTCTTATGTACAGCATCAGCATCGCGTACGCCGAAACTCATGTAGTGGAAGTGGGCAGCCCAGTGCATACATTCAATCCTGATACGATCACTGCCAACGTGGGAGATGTAAGTATCAAAAACCGAGTTCAATACTTGCCCGTTTTAACAATATCAAACAGACGGTTCAATTTCGGTTTCATAATTCGATGCATTCCGTAGTCAGAGCTGCATATAGAACTCCTTGTGCGCCATACGAATCAGTAGAAGGAGGCGGCAAAGCAGGCTTCAATTCCGATCTTCAAACACCCCAGGGAGACGAGGTACTTCTTTTCACTACTTCCATCAAATACCACACGTACGATACAAGCACAGTTCAGACATGTATGCTTCTATATTGGGTTTGAAATATTACGCCGCATGCAGTCTTCGCATTTGCCCGGGTCACATATTGGGTTTGAAATATTAGGACACATGGAGTCTTCGCATTTGCTCCGGTCACATATCCGCTAGTGACATTTCGCTGACTATCATCACTTCAGATCTTGACATGGGATTTGAAGATCAATAACACTGAGACCCTGTTTTTTTATTGTTCTGCACCTGAATCATGCAATCACTATAGGATGGTAGGAGTCATCAACCCTGTATGTACAATTATCACCGGGAGGTCATCAGTGTACTGACATCTGTATATAGAACCCCAACGAACATTTGGACGTACAAAAGGATCTTGCTGGAAAAACGACCACAGTCCTTCAGCCAGGACAGCCTGTTGCGCCTGAAGGCGCAGCTTCAAAATCAAAGCACATTCACGTCACCTTGCCTATACCAGCAATCATTGGCATATCAGTTGGAGGAGCTTTAGTCATCGGTCTCGCAGGTGCACTTCTCTATCTTGTTGGCCGCTCGCGATCCCTAGAAGACGAAGCCAAACGTCGCGAAGCAACTGTTGAACGCAAAACCTGGGAATCGCCGCGCTACGAGCCCTCGATGAGCCCAACGATGCACACATGCAGTGCACCCCCCGTGCTTCCCAGTTACGACATGCAAGACCCTAAGTACACAGCTATGGCCTACCATCAGCCTTACTATATGCCTGGAGCTGGCGATGCTCAACAGTTGCGCAGCTCAACAGCGAGCCCGGGGACGGAATACGGGTTCGGAAAACCTGCAACTTCCCCTGGGGTGATGGATGCAAACAATAACAACAATTACACGGCGCACGAGTTGGATGTGGGGAGTGAGCGGACTGCCAAATGATGAGGGACTTTAGTTTAGCGGTCGAGCCGTTGACATGCTGCACACGTGGCATTTGTCATATCCGGCGCCTTGCAAGCAAGTTTGCTTTTTCATGCATCGGCGGTTGACTAGCGTTGACAGATTGAATATGTTCGAGTTTCATGGTGTGCTAGCGGCAGTCACTGGAGCATCCAGCAAGCCATGTCATTGTTAGGGTTTCTTTTGACAACTGTGGTACGACGATTTTTGTTCTCGACCGCAGCTGTTGACGCGGGATGTTCGCAACTTGGGAAGATGGACGAGGCCATGGTGGGTTTTTCCTTAGCATGTTGTAGATGGCTTGACATGAATCAAGGCTGGCGTAGACAATGAAAGTTAGTAGGGAGCGCTAGGCCCGACGCAGGCGAGGAATAGAGTTCTGGCTGGCAACTAATGCTCGTAAGCGATTTGAGTGGTGTTCACTACGGTGCTGCCATGAGTCGCAGGAAGTGATGCTAACTGCAGAAGGTGAACGTGTGGAATTGAATGAAGACGGGCTTGGCTCATCGACTGGTGGTGGTACAACACGGACGATCAACCATATATTATTCACAAACAGAGTAGAAGGCTCCAGTAGATTTTTAGCAGCTCTTATATTCGCGAGGAGAGTTATAATACACTATGCTTCCGTCATGTGACATCCCAATGCGACACCCTCCTGTACTACATACATATATGCTGTTTACGAGGAATCCATGGTTGACAGGCATCAAAGAAACCTGACAGGTAAGTAACATGTGAAGCAAGCATCAGCGTGAAATCATTATACATATTGACCATCCATCATCACACATGGCTCCCCGTATCGTGATGAGGTGCCGCAAGGGTCCGTGTTCTAGGCGTCCAACGACTCGGTTGTACCCGTAAAACACGCTCCTAACGCCATGATTGACGAGCTTAAATCCTCTCTCCTGCTTTTTCCTTCGCATCAACGTCTTTGCACGTTTCTGTTGGCCTGGTTTCGGGCGTTGCGCTCATATTGGCGACGACTGGCCCGCGGAGCAGGGACTGGAGACAAGCGTCGGGCATTCCCTCATCAGCTTATTCCTCTGTCCCCCAGTAGCCTGCGTAACCTCCTCGTCGTGTCGGGATTCAAAGAGGTCGCTTCACATCGCATCCTGGCCGTCGATCCACGTTAGTCAATGCCGAAACAGATCCATCACCCCCCTATCCTCCAGCCAGCCAGTGAACGATCCCTTTAGAGCGTCCTCTCTCGACTTGCTTGCCTGTGCCCCATTCACCCCATACACACATGGCTACCACTTACTCACGCATACTATCTTTATCCATCACATCGCATTGAGTCGCATCCATCGCGCGGTCGCGTTTCATTCGGCCTTCTTTCTTTCTTTCTTTTCTCTACTTTCCCTTGTCTTCCCACCCACCCTTCATCCCGCCATTCCCTTGTATACACACATACACGTACATATACACAAACTTACACAAGCCTGGCATGGCTCACTGAATGAGTGCGACACGTACTTAATAACAAGCCTGCCGCTGCATCTCCAGAGCCATTGCCTGCCGATCTCTCTTCCATCTCCATTCATCCACCAGCCGACCTCATTTGCGCCGCTCCTTGATCCCCGATTCCCGTCGTTTCGGCACCCTTGTGCTTATTCACTGCAACCTGCTCTGACTGCCATTGTCATTGTCACCGTCACCAGCCAGACAGGCACCCTTCTCCACACATCACTCTCCCTACCCACCCATCCAAATCATTGTCGCATAGCATTTGCTGCGTCCATGTACATGACCCGGCCGGCACAACTTTAATCCCAAAACGCCTACTTCCTTCTGCATACATAGGCTCGTTCTCCGAAAAGTCCCCGCGCGTCCCGCCGGTTCGCAGCAATAGATTGCGCCGTCGCGTAGCACGATCTCCATTAACTCGACATTAACCCGACCTCCCTGAGCCGGCTATCTTCGCCATGGTGCACCACCGTGCCCGCAGCGATGCTGGTGAGCTGAGCAGTCCTCGCTCCAGCAGAGCTCCCAGCTTCAGCAGCGACCGTCCCTCCCTTGCTGGCTCCGCTGCCACGTTCCAGATGCCTACCACCATACGTCCTGCACCTGCATACATCGCCGCTTCGGTCGCGTCGCAAATTGTCACCCACGACCAGAATGCCCAGTTTCGCGATGCCGCTGGCGACCCCGGCTCCGACGAGGACGACGACGATTCCGCCGTCAATGCTCTCTTCACTGAGCAGGCCCTTTCTTTGTTAAACGGCTTTCTCGACCACCTCCTGTTCGCCATCCTGTCCACTGCGCGCTCTCCCTCCCTCACGCAAATTCGCCCAGCCGTCACCGATGTGCTCAAGCCGCGCCTGGCTCGCGACGCCATGGCCACCGCTGACGAAGAGCTCGAGGGCTTGTTGGCTGGTGAAGACGAGGATGAATTCCCTGCTCAAACCCAGCTTGAAGGTCCCAAGTGGGATATCGAGAAGGTATGGAAGAGGACTCGGTTACGCATAATGGTATATACACGGTTGGGCGAGCTCGAGGACGAGGATGAAGAGCGATACGTTCAGCAAGAGCGTGGCCTCAGCATGGACGAAAGCGAAGACGACGAGGCTGGACTTGTGTCGTGGGCTTCAGCCATTTTCCTGACTTCTATCATTGAGCACATTGCCGAGCAGACATTGCTCATCTCGGGTCAGGCAGCCTATACTCGTGTGTCTATGAAAATCAAGAAACAGGCCCGCCAATCTTTGGACGGGGAAGAACCAGTCGTTGAGCGAGTGGTCGTCGAGGACCATGATGTGGAGAAGCTTGCCGTCAACTCGGCGCTCGGTAGACTTTGGAGAACGTGGAGAAAGCGCGTGCGAACCCCCGCTGGCGCTTTCCACTCTCGTGGCGTGCGATCCATGTCAAGCTTCACGAGTCTTCACCGCCGCAAAGCAAGTCTCGAGAGCGCTCTCGACGAGAACGTCCCCGAGGTGTCAGAGCATGAGCCGACAGAAACAGAAATCGCCGCCAATATCCCTCTGCCCTTGGGCACCAACGACGTCAACGAGATCGAAGTCCCTGGCCTTGCACGCACTTTCGAGGAAGAGGACGATGAGACACAAGAGGCAGACACACCGGTTGCAAACACACGCAGGCCAAGCAGTGTTATTATGCTCTCTTCCGTTGATAGCTCTAGAAAACGACTGGCCACAGGACGCCCCATTTCAATGCCTCCACCACCAGCTTCTGCTTTCGTTATGCCTGCCGAGCTCGCGGCGCCTGAGAAAACTGGGGAGATATCAGCAGACGACGAGGAAGAGATACATGAAACTGAAGGCACCACTCCTTTCGAAACTCCCATGGAACGATTTCACTCTGATGACGACTCATACATTCACGATGAACAGCAAGAGCATGATATCGATGGAGAGCCGGATGCAGATGCAGACATGGTGGCATTTGCGGCCTCAACCGGGATGGGATTCGGGATGGGTCCCAGCATGAGTTCAGCGCGCCCCGTGAAACCCAGTAATTTAGATAGGAATGGCGAGTCAGACGAGACTTCAGCACTGGATGCTTACGATGGGCGTCCTCAGGTGCTGCAGTCGAAGCGCATGTCCATTGAGAAACCCGGTACGCCCGGCATTGTGCGCACTTTTTCCACAAGAAGTTCCAGCTTAAAATCTCCAGGTGCAACCCCTCTGGCTACACCAAAGCTCGAGCCAAAGTCATTCCTCGACGATCCTAACGATAATGACGATATGAGTGGTCCTGATGCCATTGGGGTTGCCCACACGTCTAATATGCCCATTGCTACGCCGTCTCCCCCCGTTGATCATGGCTCTACCGATCGAGCACATTACGGACACTCAAAGCATCCATCCCACGGAGGATATGTCGAGGTGCTTCCACGACAGACTGCCAATACTTCGATTCAAGTCCGCAACACTCCTACCCCTGAGGCGGTGCCTTCGCCAGTGGAGGCTATTGCATCCCGCAAAGAAGTGCAGCGTAAAGAAATACCGCGCGTAGATGCACCGACCAGCCAGCCCCGATCTCGGGATATCACTCCTCCACCTCGAGTCCAAAGATCGCCACTGCCCTCAGTTCAAGAGTCTCCTGTTGTTCCCGACACATCAACACCACAGTCCTCACGTAACGGTTCCAGGCAGGTTTCCTCGCTCCGCTCGCGGGATTCTCCTGTTCCTGTCGCTGTTGCTGAGCGTTCGTCGAGGCCTCAAGCTCTTGACACTACAGTTCGTTCCCGTTCTGGCACAGGCGACAACACACCTATAGATAGGTCTCCTCTACAGCGTGTCTCCTCGGCTTCATCGTCCACCAATAGATCGGTCGGAACCTCGATTTTGCAGACCGGGCGTAACTCTACGACTAGTTTGGACGGCCGCCCAAGAGGCTTAAGTACCCGCATGTCAGAGGAAGATCGACAGCGCGAATTTGATTCTCTGGTTAAAGGAGATGAAACCGTGAAGTTTACACTTACGCCCCAAAATGTACGGGACGTTGCTGTGAGTCGATTGTCGTGTTGCTTCGACTTGTTGTTCTTCAGTCACTAACATTTTTCAGGAATCATCACCTGTATCCACCAAGCGGTTCGACTCGAACAAGGCCAGCTCTTCGCCCAAAACGCACAAATCATCCTCTTCCGTCACCATCTACCCTCGTGTTACTGCTGACAAAGAAAACGAATTTGGATCTCAACATTTACCCACCAGGTCCACTTCCAGAAGCAAAGGTCCCATTCCTTCTTCGGGGCAGTCCGGCAAGAGGGGTCCTGTGCCGAAGGGCTTGGCTAGAGAGCCGAGAATAAGAGATGAGTCGATGCAAGATTTTGCAGACTTCATTCGATCTACCGGCCCATCTCCCGGACAAGAACGACCAGTAAAGCCTTTTGTGCCTCTCATTGGATCTGAGCAGAAGCAGCCGAGCAATACCTCAAGCTCGTCCTTGGGGGGGCTAGGACGTAAAATGTCGACAAGAAAAGGCTCTTCGCACTCGAACAGCAACTCGATTGCTCACGATGGCCCGTCTGCAAAACCGCGCGTGCACATGGAGCCTCGCAGCCCCGCTGGACAGCGTAGCGGCAACGATGATCTGATCGATTTCATCAGGCAAGGCCCACCCGGTCCGAACAATGGACAGCCGCGAATCCCTCGTTCAGTGGCTCCTTTCCGGACCACTGTCGATTCAGATCAATTCGACACAATGCTCAACGACAATGGAACTGTCGAGTCCGCCTTTGGCTCACAAGTCTCGTCTACTTCGAAGCAGTCATTCCACACATCCAACTCGAGAACCGATCTACTTCCTAAGCAAAAAGTCGTTCAACCCGCCTACTCAAATACACCGCAGAACCTCTCGGGCAACTTCTCAGGCCCAGCAGAGCCCGTCGTCACAAAAACACGCCGACGCATCAAGGACCCTTACGCCATCGATCTCTCCGACGAAGACGAAGAAGACGACGAGGACGACGATCTTCTCACCGCGTTGCCAAAGAACACCCAACCGGCTCCGAAACCCCACCGCGACGAAAGTATGATGGACTTCCTCAACAGCATGGAACCGCCATCCAACAGCCAACCCCAAGCCTTCATGCTCAGCCCCGAAACCATCGCAGCCGCAAAAGCCCGCGCAGCCAAAGGCAACGCCAATCCTTCCCCCGCCCACTTCAGCTCCGGCGCCGCCGCCGCAGGCAACCCCTCCCCATCCACCACCTCTTCATCATCCACGCGTAACCGTCTCGCGAAATTCACTTCCCCCCCTTCTTCTTCCTCCGCCCAACCCGCCGTCTCCTCATCCGTTCTCTCCAACGCGCCCCGCGCGCACAAACCCCGCCTCCAGGCCCGTGATCCCACGGCTGACTCAAGAGGCGGTGCTGGACGCTCCGCCACGAATGATCTTGCCGACTTTCTGAGAAACAGTGGACCGCCACCTGATATGATGGCCAATAAACCTACGCCACTGGTGCTTCCGCAGAAGAAGGAGGAAGGAAAGAGGAGTGCGGCGAGGTTCTGGAGGAAGAACAAGACGTATGGGGATATGCCTTGATTCTTCTTTTTTGTTTTGACTTTGTCCGATTCTTACTTTTCTTCTGCCCCCCCCCCCCTCCCTCTCCTCCCCGCCACCATTCTTGCTTCTTTTGATTTGGGGGAGGGGTGGCTTTTCTATCTTGGGTGAAGAGATTTTGAGAGAGATTTTTGCTGCGGAGATTTGATTTCCCTCTCTTTTTATTTTCGAGTAGGGAAGGTGTGAGTGGTGGGTTGAGAGGGGGTGATGCCATTTGTGTATTTTTTCCATTGCATGTCACGAGATATGTACTGGCCTTGTGTTAGAGACGCAGATTTTGTAGTAGACGTAGCTCTTGTACTTCATTCTTTCTCCCTCCTTTTCCCTTGTTCTCATTCCCCCATTTCCCCATTTCTTTTTCTCTTTCTTCTTCTTTTGAACAAGATGACGATGGATGTGTTGTGTACTTATACTGAGTACGCTACTGTATGTGTTTGTGTGTTTGTGTGTGTGGATGTGGCTTGATATAGGGGAGTTGCACATAGACAAAAAACCAACCAAACAAACAAACAAGCCATGACGGCTCTTGGGCCTAGGCGTCGGCGGATCTTTTGTTATTTCTTTGAAGAAGAAAATATAGATTCTATTCTATTCTTTTAGTTTTGATGATGATTGCTTTCACGTCTGGCTACTGATGTTCTTGTTGTAGAATTGGGATTGGTCTGTTTGTGCGATGTGAGTACTAAATCCGGACAGCATTTGAATATATATGTAGGGGTTAAGAAAAGCAGAGGAGGTGCGAGATGGGGCATTGTAGATGTTGTGGAGTACCCACTGTAACTTACTTTTGTTGTTTCAGTTTCTCATGTTTTTTCTTTTTTCCCTCGATTATTGGACGATGAGACATGTGCACTCTCCCTCGAAACAAAAAATAATGGCAATAGAAAGGTAGAACACAGCACCACTCTGTGCGTACATGTGCGATAGAGTGTTTCCTGGTCTTTACTAACGAATATTCGATTTTTCAAGAAGAGGATGGGGGGAGGGAAATAGAATTAGGAGGTTTTAACCCAGTTTTTTTTTTGTTTTTTCTTTCTTTTTTGACATCGCAATCTCAAGTCCAACTATTCCTCCTGCTACCGAAAGGGAGAACAATCATCAAGATGTTCATGTGAAAATTCGAACCAAACGTTAAATGATTAGAGATTGATCTGAATTTCCATTTTCCTCTCACTCTCCACGTTACCGTGTTCCTGGCATAAAAAAACGTCTACGACACTTTGCAATCGTGATCAGACTTTCCCCCCTAAGAAAATAGATGATATACAAGTATAGAAACCACTCTATAACCTTCTTCCATTTCTTCTACTGACTCCAACTACGTTACGCTCACGCACTCTTCGCGGCCTTCTCCAGCTTCTCCACTCTCTTCAAACCTTCTTTAGCATGAACACTGCCCTGCTTAAACCCAGCACGATACGCAATCCGGCCGGCCTCATCATAAAACTTGCGTGCTTCCGTAAAATCCCCTACCATCTCCGCGAACTCGCCGAGATTGTGCGTGGCGGCTGTACAGCCTGTGTCGCATTCTTCGTCGCGGGTGCTGGAGGAGATGGTGGCGGCACGTGCGATGGCTTGGTTGGCCCATGTTTTGGCTTGGGCGAGGAAATGCGCACGGGTTGGTACCGGCGATGGAGGTGTCGTTGATTCCTTGGATTTACTGTGCGTGGGAGGGGGTGAGGGAGGGAGCTTTTGTTGTGCGAGACATGTTGCTATATTGTTCACTGAACATATGTTAGTGTCATCAGTTCAGTATTGTAGTGGTAGGAGTCAGTGAGTGGAGTGGATCAACGTACTCAGGATAACAGAATGGCAGGATTCTGGTGGACAGTGATCTAGAGCGCGCAAAAACAGCGGCAATGCGAGGTGATGAGAATCGTGCATCTCGTAATGTGTGCCCAAAGCCTCGAGCGTTGGGCCAATTTCGGCTTCGTTCATGAAGTCGCCCTCACCAGGCTTCAGGCCTTCCTTCTCCCTGCGCTGCAATTCGCCCAGCATTGTCTCAACAGCCCACACCAAACGCTTCTCAGCATTTTTCGTCTCCCTGACATACTTAATGTCGTACAGTTGACCGAGCTTTACGGTGGCTTGTATCATATTCTTCAGTACGCGCGCGCGGTTGCCATCATTCCAGTGTTTATCACTCTCTTCCTCGAGCCACCTCTCGCAGTCGATCCGCATTTGCTCGAGAACTTTTATCGCTTCCCCGTACATTTGGGCGCGCTCGAACACGAGCGCCGAATGGTATTTGATAGCCATGACATGGTCACCGAAAGCATCCAAACCTTCCATTCGCGCCACAATCAGCGCCTCACGAAAGTATCGTGCCGCCTCGAAAATATCCTCGTTTGGTTTCCGGGTATAGAACATGGCGCGTCGCAGCTTGTTCGCGACGGGGTCGGGATAGTTTTGGAAAGGTTTGATGATGACGTTTTCGTAGTACCATGGGATGTACCAGATGCTCCAGCCGATGAGGCCTGCGACGCTGTTTTGTAAGGTGGCTTGGTCAGCTGTGTGCAGTCATCTCATGATGGGTGGGTGGAATTGATTTACCTAATTAGAGCGAAGGGGAACAAGACCGGATTGCGGCGCACTTGCTCCTTCCAAAATTCTCGTGACGGAGAGGCTCCCGAGGCATTTCTTCTGATGATCGATTGCTGGATAACGAGGTTGGGTCGCCATGCTGTTCGAGGTGATAGCTTGGAGTATGTGCGTGGCGTTAAGGACGAAGCTTCAGCTTCGCATTGAGCAAATCGCGAGGCCCGCGCCGAAACGCGCGGCGCAGACCGTGCGAACATGAGTATCCGATTCAATTTTCTGTGTGTGAGAGACAGGAATTGATCCTAGGGGAGGTGGTGGGATGAAGGAATTGTCGAGAGAGGTGGAGGTGAGGGATGGAGGAATGACGATGTTTGCGAAAGGCTCCAGTACCTAGCGCCACAATCGTAGGGTCAAAGATGCGCATCATGTCGGGGCATTGATCGCCATATAGTGGGCTGCGCCAACAATTCTGCACATAATTATTGAAGATATGCCCAGTGAAGCATCCATTCACCAAACGTGACGAGGAATCATCAGTACTGATAAACTTGAGCCTCAAGTAATGTTCATAGTCGACATTTGAAGGTGTGAGGCGGTCATGTGTTCACGCGGCCAATCACCGCTCTGCAAACCTCCGCTGCTGCCTCTTTGAACCAGCCTGTGCAAGGATAATCACGACATCATCGAACTCGACGACCTCATTCCGAATAAAACCACTAAGTATACTTGAGAACGACAGCATGTGCGGCCGCTATGCTCTCGCCTTGGTGAGTTGGCAGGATTCTTCGACAATTCATCAGCGCTCTATCGAAATGGAGCTCCGCTTCAACCGGTTCTTGCTCACTACCGAGTTATGTCACGAGGTGTACTAACAACCACCAAAGCGGCCTTCAGAGGTGCGGATCCAGCTCGAGCAAACGCAAATGCCAGTCGACCAAGCTCCTCAAGACGATGAAAGTGGTCTTCGCCACACGTACAATTTTGCTCCAGGCAACCACGGTCTGGTCTATCGAGCAGATTCACCCCATGATCATGTAAAAGAGGAAGATAGTGCAGACTATCCCGACGAACAACACCATCCCAAGGCGAGCAAAGCCACATACAAGCTGCAAACTATGAAATGGGGTACGTTGTGGCAGCTCAGAATCACACACTACACTGCACTGACACCGTAACCTGCAGGACTCATACCCTTTTGGACAAAGCGGAATCCCGACTTTGGGTCCATGATCAAGACAATCAACTGCCGTGATGACTCCTTGTACGAGGACCGCGGCATGTGGACCAGCATGAAGAAGAAGAAACGGTGTATCGTCGTGGCACAAGGCTTCTACGAGTGGCTCAAGAAGAACAACGGCAAAGACAAGTTGCCGCATTTCACCAAGCGCAAGGATGGCCAGCTCATGTGCTTTGCGGGTCTCTGGGACTGTGTCCAGTATGAGGGCAAGTTTTGCTCTCTTCTTCCTTGCCACCGACCCCGACTGACCGTGGATACATTCCATAGATTCCGAAGAGAAGTTGTACACGTACACCATCATCACAACCAGCTCAAATAAGCAGCTCCAATTTTTGCATGATCGCATGCCCGTCATCTTAGAGAATGGATCCGATGCCATCAAGGCATGGCTGGACCCGAACCGCACCGAGTGGAGCCGCGACCTGCAGTCGCTCTTGAAGCCCTTTGAAGGCGAGCTCGAGTGCTATCCCGTCAGTAAAGATGTAGGCAAAGTTGGAAACAACTCGCCCTCTTTTGTGGTGCCCATCAACAGCGCGGCCAACAAGAACAACATCGCCAATTTTTTTGGTACCCAACAGAAACCGGCGACCGGTCACGATCACGGTGCGCGCCCCGACGACGACGATGCATCAAGCAAGACGAATATCAAAGCAGAGCACAACGCTGACCACGATGGTGATGGTGATCCCCGTGAGACGACGAACCTCGTGGGAGGAACCGAGGACAATGCGCCATTGCCTGTGCCAGAACAAGTGAAGGGCAGCCCAGGGCCTAAAGAGGGCGAGCTGAGTAGCATCAAGCGGCAGGGCAGCGAAGCAAAGGACCATGAGGGTGGCACAGCAGTCGGTGGACCCCAACAGAAACGGACCTTTTCCGACCCGCATGCGCCATCGGGCAGCCAATCGCCAGCAAAGAAAGTGGCTGCAAAGAAGGCTACAAGAAGCGCCACGAGTAACGGGAGTGCAGCAAAGACTCGTTCCAAAGGCGACGGCAGCCGGAAGATCACGTCCTTTTTCACCAACAAGTGAGGCGGCGAGCAACCCTGGGTAATGTCTGGGGAAGAACGATGGGGGAATGGAAGGGCCGAGCCTGACGAGATTGGCATTACAACGATTGGCGACGTGTCGTTGGCCAGTTCGGCATGCACAAGTATTGCGCGCAGGTAGGCAACGGTCGGGGTGAGCGATGAAGTTGATTTAGGCGTGCGGCGCAAGCGCCAACGGGCACGAAGATGGGCATACAAGGGCAGGTGGCTGTGATTGGCGGTGGGACGCAGGCGGGCAGCAACAGTTGGAGCAGCGTGACTTTGTGCTGATGCGTGTCATGGACGAAACCCGGATGGAGTATGGCGAGGATATATGTACATGATGTAGGCAGGTATTATTAGCCTGTCAGATGGAAGGAAGAGGCGGAGATGGCAGAGAAAGAGTGAGAGAGAGGAGGAGTGGGTTGAAGAGGTGGAACTGCTGCAGGGGGCACTTGTACCCCCCCATGTACCCAAGTTGGTACTTGAATATATACGCTGTTAGGGCGTATGTATTTATACAAGTACCCGTGTACGCAGGCTCGATGAATACATGTATGTATGTATGTATGTATGTATACTCAAGTACACATGCAAGGACACAGTCATGTATCGATATACATATGTATGTATGGCTGTGGGGAGAGGGCTTAGTCCAGAGATGGGTAGACCGACACAGCTAGCCGAAGCCGCCGCCCGACGCTTCGCTGGTTCGACGACTTGCTTGACATCTGCACTCTTTCTGCAATCAAGCATCCATCTCCGACAGTCACCTTTCCCTTCTGCACCCGCTTCCTGCCCTGATCTTCACCTTCTCTCTACCTAGTCAGCCATGTACATACATAGCACGTAGCGACACTGGTGCTACTGCAATCAGTTACCCAGTTATGCTCCCCACTCATATGTCTATCCCATCATCCCTCCTGCCGACCCCCATCACCGACCCCCAGCTATCGTCTCTCCACACTTCGTCCTCGCTGGCCTTGCTTGCATGATATTTCCTCGTCTCCTCGTTTTTTTCTTCTCTTCTTTCCTCGTCCTCTCCTGCAAGCCCCCGACATCCTCCCTTCCTGCTGTTTACCCGCCATCCCAACTCTCACCGCCCTTCCATGTTTTCTGCTCCTCGCCTTCGACCCAATCACGTTTCCTCTCCTCCGTGAGAGGTGGGGGTGCAATTGCAATACATTCACTACTTTCGCCCCATTCTCTCTGACAACGACAAAATGTTATCCCTCCTGGAGCTCGTGACACAGAACCAACCCCAATTCCAGACCCACAAGGCCCTCCTCATCATTGGACTCCAAAACGACTTTGTGCAGCCCGAAGGGAAGCTTCCTGTCAACCTCCGCACAGGATTCATCGATCGCATTCAATCCATAATACCCGCCTTTCGCGATCCCATGCCCAACGTCATATGGGTCAAAACCATCTATGAAGCCGATCGACTTGCCCACGACTCTGCTGGCGGAGAGGGCGATGCCTTGGTCGGAGGTTTGATAGATGGAGCTGAGAGCAGCACGGATGATGAGGACGATCTGCCGAAGGATCTTCCCTTGCCCATCCAGTCAAGATCCGCAAAGCACAGAAACCGGGCACTCGACCTTCTAAAACGAGTGAGAAGACGTACGGCGCAGCGCGAGGAACTCCAACATGTCGCCGAGGCCACAGAAGCCGGCGCCCACCCCGACCAAGATGAAGAATTATTTCTTCGCCAGTCCGCCCCGTCTGGCCCGATATGTTCTCTCGACACTACTGGCGCCGATTGGGCCGACCAAATAAAGTCTGAAATCCAAAAGTCGGACGCCGTTGTGACCACAAGCCATTACTCGGCTTTCCAAGAAACGTCGCTGCTTTTGATCCTGCGGGCCCGTCTCGTTACGGAGCTCTACATATGCGGCTGCATTTCAAATGTGTCGGTCTTGGCTACAGTGGTCGATGCAGCCCGTCACGGGATCACGATTAATGTGGTAGAAGATTGCCTTGGTTACCGAAAACGGTCTCGGCACCGCCTTGCCTTGAAACGCATGGAAGAGTTTTTCGATGCCAACATTATCACAAGTGCCGAGGTACTAAATCCCAGAGAGGAGGACGACGACGACGAAAACGAAGAGCAAGCGGAAGCGGCTGAAGGGGATGATGATTTATCCGGGGATTTTGTCTCGCAGGAAGAGCAAAAGTTGCAGAGTCTAGTAGACAAGTTGCGGTTATCCGACCCCAACGCTCCCCCCACCCTACCCCTCAGTGGCCGTCAGCGGAAGCCATCCACTTCGGCTACCGAGAGCAGCGACATTACCAACAGCCGGTCGCAACTCGATGTCGTCGACGACGATAACGGCGAGGACGAACGATTCGCCGAAAAACTTGTGCGTGGTGCAAAAGTACCTGGCGCCGAAGGAAGCAAACCTGCTGCAGCAAGAAACAGCCTGGTAAAGTCCAAAATACGCATGCGCTCGCGCACCGACAAGCCCAAAAAGGAAGGCGAGAAGAAATCCAAAACAACCTCCAGCAAGAAGACTGCAGACATCAAGAGTGACCACAGCCCGCGCCATTCCACAGCCGCCGAAAAAGCGCCCGAGACACCGGTCAAGTCGCCGAAAGGATCGTCGTCCGCGGACAGGCTACTTCCCGCCTCCATCACAAAAGCGGGAAGTAGCGACAAGCTGCGCGAAACGCCCACCAAAGGGGATCGTTCACTCAAGTCTTCGGCTTCTCAGCCCGTACTGTCCGCTTTGCGGAGCGAAAACAAAGACAAGTCGTCCACCTCCCGTGTGCGGCTGGCCTTGTCCCGATCATCAAGATCCGAAATCAAAGAACAGGCAGCAGCGCAGCCAACTTCGTCACCCCCAAAGACCGCCGCAGTGCCGTCGAGCACCGTTTCCACAGAAAAGATGAAACCTATACGAAACTCGAAAGTTCAGTCACTTGCAACACTTCCAACTCTAGGACCAGGGGACACCATCGCAGAGGGCGACTCGCGCATTATCCACGACTTCTTTCCTCACGACTTCTACCACCCTTCCAATCGCTCAAAACCTTTGAAAGACCTGGTCTTCACCCAGCTCTATAATGAAGTACGATGGCAGAAAATGATACATCAGACCGGCGAGGTGCCGCGGCTGGTCTGTTGCCAGGGTGAATTTGGCGCGGACGGATCGATGCCTGTATATCGGCACCCTGCGGATCAAACTCTGCCACTCTTACATTTCTCACCAAAAGTGCATACGATACGAAAGCGCGCCGAGAAGCTCGTTGGTCATCCTTTAAATCACGTCCTTATCCAGCTATATCGCTCCGGCGAGGACTTCATTTCTGAGCATTCAGACAAGACTCTTGATATTGTCAAGGGATCGTCCATTGTTAATGTCAGCTTCGGAGCCCAACGCACCATGCGCCTGCGCACGAAGAAGGCCGCGAAAGCCGGTAACGAGAGCGAAGAGACATCCAGTACTACCGCCACTAACGAGCGCGAAACACAGCGTGTTGCTTTGCCCCACAACTCCATGTTCGTTCTCGGCTTGAAGTCTAATGAGAAATGGGTTCATGGCATCATGGCGGATAAGCGCGCCATCTCAGAGCGTAGTGTAGAGGAAACATCGCACTCTGGAATGCGGATATCCCTCACTTTCCGCAATATTGGCACCTATCTAGATTCACAGAGCAGCACAATATGGGGCCAGGGGGCAACCTCCAAAGACCAACGTGAAGCACGTGATGTAGTCAATGACGACGAAGAAGAAACAGAACAGCTGATTATGGCTTTTGGGCGAGAAAATCAGGATGCTGACTTTGACTGGGAAAAGTGGTACGGCGACGGCTCCGACGTGTTGCACCTGCATTTGCCTCCACCCAAAGACCTCCCGATTCTCTTCACAAACCAGCACACCGTCGAAGGAGCCATTGTGCGCATCTTCCTCGCCGAAGCCAAAGTCCCCTATACGCTTTGCGAACTGCCAGATCTCCCGCTCGACTTTGAAGTCGACCGCCAAGTCCAATTCCGCGACAACGACATAAACCACACCGAAGTCTCCATCCACGCTCCCATCCTCGTATATCTCGACCGCTACTACTCGCTTGACACGGACCCGCGCGGTAAGCCATGCTCAGCTGAAGGCTCCGACCTCGTTATCCTCATCACCACTCTCCTCAAGTACTGGGCCCACCGCGCTGTCCCCACGTACGGTGCCGACTTTGCGGCTCTCCTTGACACCCTCGAGGACCGCATGGGGTTTGGCCCCGGACCGTACGCCGCCGGTCGCCGTTTCAGTATGGGCGATTGCGTCGCGTGGGCTACGCTCGATGAGATTTTATCTACCGGATGGGACGGCTGGACTGAGGAGCGCTTCCCCGTTCTCACAGAGTACTATCGCTTTCTGTGGAAGAAGCGGAGATACTTGCGCGAGCTCAGGCCCGAGTTACCTGACATCCCTACGCAGAGCTACGATGTTGACCCGCCGATCGATCCTCAAGGGGTTCCTAAGGGAGATGTCAAGGGGAAAGGTCGGGCGGTCTACGTGGAGGCTATCGAAGCGGATGATTAATTATGAATAGGGAGATGTTGATCATTTCGCTGATAGATACTTTTTGACGTTTTGTCATCTTTTTTACATGCTCTTCTTTCTCTTTCTTCATCTCTTTATTCCTACATATCTCGATATACCTCGGAGGAAGATCTTGCCTTACTGACTGCTGATCACTATACATTCAGAGAACGATATATAGATGGTATATAACACCGTTCGATAATCTAATGGAAAAATGCATCGTATTCACCCCGTTTTCTGTTCAAACTCAAGCCTGAGCTCGCTCTCTCCCCTTCAGACTTGATTGCGTGTCTGCCTAAAGGACCAGACAGCACACAACAAACTACACTCACGTGACAAAGCCGCGAGCCAGTCGCGCTCCCACTTCGAGAACCTTCCGACTCACTTAAACTACCTTCTTCCTTCTTCCATCCTCCAATCTCGCCCTCACCCTCACCACATATCTTCCAAAGCTTCTTTTCATAACCTACTTTTGCTCTGAGCACACCATACACCTACGGCTCTGCGACAAGGTCTCGACGATGGCGGGAGCGCCGTGCACAGTGTGCAACAAGGCTGATGCCTTGCGTTGTACGCGCTGCAAGAGCGCTTGGTATTGCGGCAAAGACTGCCAGGCCAAGGATTGGGCTACGCATAAGTTGCTTTGTGGCGCTTTTGCGGAGTTTGATATGGAGAGCAGGCCGAGTGCAGAGTTCGATCAGAATGGCAAGCCGAGTAAGGAGTTTGTTCAGGCTGTGTTCTTTCCGGTCGATGAAACAAAGCCGAAGGTCGTATGGCTTGAATGCGAGTGGGGTGAAGACTGCGGTTTACACTTCCAGCTCCCTGATCTCAAGACTTATCTTGGAGGATTCGGTAGACACACGATGGTCAACACGTCGCAGATCTACTATCGCGACGGTTTTCTTACTGATGGGTCAAAGCCAAACAAGAGCATCGAAGCAATTACTCGTAGGAAGAAACAGAATCGTTATCAATGGCGTGGTCCGTTCTTAGCGGTGGGTCGAAAGGGATCAGATCCTGAGTCGGATGCTTGCAGAGACATCGATCTGACCGACTTTCGTCAAATCGCCCATTTCTTCCTCACCTACCGTGGATTTGAACCAGTCGTGGTACCCTTCTCTTTCCCCAGCTTTCCAAGTGAACCGATGGTTCAAGGTGTTCGAATCAACTGCACAGGCGATATGAAGTTACACCATAAGCCGCACTTCGAGCCCATCGAGCTTTGTCAAAATCACACTTTGCTCCATCCATATGTCAATTCTGAGGTATGTTTTCCAGCATTCACAGCACACTTAGATATCACGTTATGGTTTTATCATATCCTACCATGTGGGACCTTCTTTCAGCTTTGACACTTAGCTGCCTCTCTCCTTGTGTACGACGCTGACTTTGTATCTCTTCCGTTTAGGTTGCTCAGCGCGCTGGCATTCCAATGGCCACCCTTCGCATTCCACCAGATTCAAAATTGACACGTCGTGACGGCCCTGAAGGAGAAACTGAAGATCCCCTTAACAACCCAGACGGTACTTTCTTACATCTGAGTTGCGATCCGAAAGCCAAATTCGATCATCCAACCAGGACCATGGGCTTCGGCCTCGCGCCTATGCAATACCAGAGTCGCGTGGGGAGTATGTTCGTCATTCGTCAGGATGGGGAGCCATTGCTTCCTCTTCATGTCGAAGCAATGTGTGGATATTGCCGATATGAAGTCAGCCCTCTTTTCTTGGGGGCAGCCCAGATAGATGAAGATTCGTCGGAGGACCTCAAGAACAGGGAAGCGGTTTTGGACAAGATCAACTCGGCTGCATTCTTGGCTTACTGGTCCAAGATGCTAGAGGAGAAGGGTCTAACTGGCGACAGGAAGCCCGCTGCTCCATCTGTGGGTTGAGTGGGTTACGGGAGATGCTTATTCTTGGTGCTATGGGCATTGGAGTGGTTGCGATCGTACAGATCCAACTTATATTGGGCGTGTACTTTGGGGGGACTGCAATTTCCTGGTGTGGAGGATGCGAATCCGAATTTCATTGAGTCAATGTTCTTTAATGGGTGGATGGAGTGGAAAGGGGATGCTGAATATGATGGATTGGCCCCCCAAAGAAAAGAAATAATCAGATGGACTGATGAAAGAATGCCTGACTTGGGCAACTTGGAAACACATAACTGAGATGAAAAACAACAATCCCCCACCCCGAAACTCCCCATAGTAAAAATTGCATTCAAAAGTATGTGATACGATGCGCCCTCAAAAAGCCTCCTATGTCTGGAAAAACGTTGAAAAGGTAGCAAAACTTGAAAACCTCTTGTTTGAAGACATCTCCGGCTTGCAACAACACGTACATGGCTACACAATCAAATTTCTCATGATTCAATTCGTTTAACTGGATCTAATATATACGGGGACAAGAACCATCATCCACGAAAAGTCGTAACGGAGAACAGATCTCGATTGCCACTAATAATTTTTATACAACGTACTTGATACATTCAATCATACAATACCCCAGGAAGATTTCCGGACAGGAATTCCGCCCTAAAACCTCTACTTCCGTCTCGCAGGTCCTGAGGGAGACCACGGCGCAGGCTGCCACTCCTCACCCGGATTATTCTTCGGCGCCTGTTTCCACGGGGAATCTTTCGCTTCACCCTTCATCTTTTTCCTGCTTTTAATCTGTCGTTCTCTCTCTTCTTCTTCGACTCTCTTTCTCTCCTGTTGCGCCTCTTCCCTCGCAGCCTCAGCCTCCATGTCCCGTCGTTCCTGTCCCACATTCATCTGCCGTATCCCGGACGCCGCATCTTGCGACTGCAACATTTGAACTGGCTGTTGCGTCTCCGGCGCCGCATCAAGCGCAGAAGGTTTCGCAGCCCATCTAGCATCTGCCTGCGCAGCGAGGATCTTCATGCGCTCTTGTCGTTGGATTTCAGCGTGTTGGTCGGCTATGGTTGGGGGTTCGAAGCGTGTGTGGCGGAGCCATTGCATCCATTGTGCTTTTTGTTTACATCTTAGCCAAAATCTTCATATGAAGGGGTTCTATGGGAGGGGGCACGAACGAGGGACGTTGACGTCGCCGTAGTGTGTGGAGCGTGTATATTCTACGATTCGGCGGAAACGGTTCGAGTTGAGGTTGTCTTTGAATTCCCAGTATGTGTTACCCTGTAGGTCGTAGCCTTTGCATGGTCAGCAAGATGGAGTCGAGGGCGGATAGAGTGGTAACATTCATCAAATCAATTGATGTTGTGTTTAGTAGGGATGGCCCCGTCGGAGGAGAGCGGCATGTGAGGATTGGACATACATACCCACAAGCCAGCGCTTCCGCCACGGCAGCTTCATTGTTCGCCATTGGAACCATAATCTCCGGACCAGGCCGGGACTGCCCGTCATTATATGGGCGTGTGTTTGTTTGTTTATTTGTTTTGTTTTGTGTTATGGTTCTAGAGGTTTACTCCGGGAGAAAAGTAGCAAGGTAGATAGACGTGAGAAGAGGCGAAGCGAAATCGTGAAGGTTCCCTGTCCAATGACGACAATCCGGTGTTGAAAGTGGCTGGGGTACGCAAGCCACATCATCTTTCGTTTCCCATTCCCCGCCGCCCGCCGCCAACTCTCTTGCACGCTGGCATGCATCTTCGACTCTGACTCTTCACCCCTTCCTTCTAGATATTTTCTCTTTATTGTACAAGCGAATACACTACTTCTACCCAAATAACCACCTCCTCTGGGTCACGTTCGAACTCTATTTTGGCGGGATCCCCTCAATCGCCGGCAGTCCGCCGTTCAACTGCTGACACCCAACAACAACATCACAACGGCCCACCGCAAACATGGCTTCCGTGACGTCGTTGGACCAGGACATGAAGAGACTGCGCATGGGCAGATACACACCTCAGGCTGCGAACGAGGCGCGAGCGTGGATAGAGGAGATTCTGGGCGAGCGGCTGCCTGCTGGAGATCTGCTTGATGCTCTGAAGGATGGGACGGTGTTGTGCAAGTACGCGAACTTCCCTTTGTATACATATAGCAAGCGCGACGCTAATCAAGTCACAGGCTTGTCAATCTGGCAGTTCCCAACCCTGGCGTCAAGTTCAAGAAGTCCCCCATGCCTTTCATACAGATGGAAAACATATCACATTTCCTCCGCGCCTGCGAAGTCGCGCCCTTGAGCATGCCCTCCCACGACCGATTCCTGACCGTCGACTTGTACGAAGCGAAAGATCCCGCCCAGGTCCTTCAATGCTTGAATGCCTTCAGCAGAGTCGCCAACAGCGTGAATCCTTCTCACTTCCCGACCACGATCGGTCCCCGTAGAGGTGGCGGACCGCTGAGCCCCAGTACGACGGGGGCGGGTGCAGGCGCAGGAGGTTTCTCAAACGGATCATCGCTGTCATCGTCTGGGTTTGGGCGTAGTAGGGGTAGCACGACCAGTAATACGAGCGGTTCGAGTACTTTTAATCCGCTGTCTCGACCACAGGCCGACCGGGCGCTAAGTCCACATCTGACGGGCGGATCCAATTCCTCCAAAGCTTCAAACGGGATACCCAAATCGCCTCCAAGCAACGTGAGCAGTTGGAGCAAGAAAACAGACCATGGCGTCACCTCACCGGCGTGGAATATTCATCAGTATGGATACATGGGTGGTGCCAGTCAGGGCAACCAAGGCATCGCTTTCGGTGCGCGGCGGCAGATCACTAGTGCTGGTCCCAATGTGCCAAGTTTAGCGGAAAAAGAGCGGAAGCGAAAAGAAAAGGAAGCAGAGGACGAGCGCCTGCGGATTATGGCAGAAGAAGCAGAAGAGAAACGCCGTGTCGAGCGTGCGGTTGAGGAAGAGCGCATGTGGGAGGAAGAATCACGGAAACAGCGGGAAGCCAAGCAGCACCGCATCGACCAGCAGAAGCGTGAGTGGGAAGAGCAGGAGAGGCAGTGGCAATTAGAAGAGGAGCAGCGGCAAAGAGAAGAACAAGAGGCACAAGAACGATTCGAGCAAGAGACCCGGCGTAAACGTTCCGGAAGCGACGCCAGATTGAAGGGCCAATACCTGAGCCAGTACCAGGCAGAGCAGGCGAGCAAGCCCCGGAGTCGACGAAACAGTCAACACGTACCGGCAGAACAGAATGCGGAACAGGATAGAATCCAAGAACTGGAGCGCCAGCTTGAAGAAGCGAAAGAGCGTGAGCGACGATACCAACAGGAGCGTGAAGAACGATCGCGAGATGATGAGCGCCGGAAGATGCGGTCACGATCTAAGAGTCGCACTCGAGAAAGATCTAAGAGTCGTTCTCGCCCTCAGCCTCCACCACGCGCTCCCTCCCCACAAGATAGCACTGCATCGTGGGCGCAAGCCGATGACCGTGAATATCTGCGGAAGCAATGGACAGAGACACAAATGCTACCCCCAAGACCGCTACCAGAGCCCACCACACCACGACCTCTACCCGACCCAACTACACCGCGACCACTCCCGAGCCCTACGTCTAGACCTCTCCCAGATCCATCCGCATACGCGAAACAATACCGCGCAGAACCTTCATCCGGCTACTTCCCATCCAAAACCCCTCCACCCATCGCTCCCAAGCCCACGAAACACATCCCACAGGAACTCACATCGACCTCGGAGCATGCAGCCGAAGACGCGCGCCGCAAAGCCTCCCAAACAAAAACCAAAGCTCTCGGCGTCGCAACCCGCTCGCTTCTCGAACGTGAGATGGAGCGCGAGCGTGAGCGCCAGCGTGAATGGGAGGAAACTCAGCGCGCTATGAAAAATGCGCCCAAAGATCCCAACGCGGGAACTTCTGAGGGACAGTCGTGGGATGTCAATCAATATGGGTACATGGGCGGTGATAGTCAGAATAAGGTGGGTAGCGGAATCGGGATTGGGGGGAAGAGACAGATTTTGGGACCCAGGCCTTTTGGGCCAAGATGATGTGTCTTCTCGGTCGTGGAACTGTGGCCGTTTTCCTGTTTCCTTCCATTTCTTATTTCTTTTCTTCTTTGTGCGGACTTGGTAGGGCAAGTGAGCGAGCGAAGTGGGATTTAGGTGTCACATCTTTATCTTTTTTGTGTGCTTCCATTTTTATTAGGTTTAGATATCACTTCTTGCGAATCACAGTTATGTATCTTGATACGTAGCTTTGGATATAAAAAGTAGTTCAAGGGCCTTTGGACGTACTTGAATGCATTGTTGGGTTCAAGTGTTCGATATTGATGTCAAATTCACATGTGGAAGAAGTGATCGATTGAATAATCTCTTGCGGAATAGCTGCCCAAGAGATGTTGTATTACTAGAGAATCAGTATTGGAATACTGATAAATCGAAGTATTATTGATCGATATTCAATGTAGACATTCACCTCGCGTGCTTTTGAAAGTCCGGATGCGATTTGGGTCACGTGAGATGACAACCTGCCGGGTAAAAGACGGGCCGGCGCGACTTGCTCTTCCGCAACTTCATGCGACTGCAACGCCGACAAGAACTACGTCGAACAGCTGAACCGGGCTCGCCATCTAAAATATCTCATACTGCACTTGCGCGACTATTGCAATGCCCAAATATAAGTACATCCCTCTCCTATCACCTAGTGTCAAGCTAACTTTACCTCACTCTTCTGTAGGTTCTACAGCTTCCGAATGCTATCCGTCCAACTAACAGCGCGCAAGGCGACTATTGCGATGTGTACCTCACGCACGACTCGATGAGCGTCCGGAAAGCCCACAACGCGGGACGAAATCATCTGCGCAACGTGCAGCAGTACTACGAACGTGAGGTCGCCTCTGATCCCTCAATACGAAGCCAGTTAATGGCATTATGGAGTGGTTCGTTGTTGTTGTTGAGCTGCAATTTGTACATTGCATTTATTTGCTTTTATGATTGTTTACAGTTTTGCACAAGACGTTCTCGCGGCATTGGTACAGGAATTGACTGACAGCGACGACAGAGATATCTAGCGAACAGACACAGATCGTGATCAATAGTATTACGGATGCTTACAATGCGGAGGGTCAGGCAAATCCTATGAATCAAGGACCAATGGGGGGTTTCGGGCCACCGCCGGGTGCTTTCCCTCCACCAGGTACGACAGTGAGGAGTTCCTATTGCCTCTGATAAACTAATTTAATCAGGAATGCCCCCGATGCCTGGCATGGCCGGAATGCCTGGGATGCCCCCACCACCATTTATGGGTCGTGGAGGACGTAAGTTGGGACGTTCCGCGTCAACCGATCTTTGTGCTAAACTTCGCATATAGCTCCAAACATGCCTCCTATGCCATCGAATATGCCTTTCCCACCACCGAATATGCAGGCTCCGCCGAACATGCCACACGGCATGCCCCCTCCCAATATGCCTCCCAATATGCCATTCCCTCCTCCAAACGGCATGCCATTCCCGTTTCCCCCTCCAGGGCAAGCTGGCTCCCCGCCTGGTGGCATGCCATTTCCTCCACCGCCTATGGGCGCAATGCCTCCAGGTCGATTCCCACCTCCTTTCCCGCCCAACAATGGCCCTCCTGGTGGGCCTCCTCCTGGTCCCCCTGGCGGCTATTAGGGACAGACGCTGGGTGAGTCAGGGAAGAATAAAAAGAGGAAGAGAAGTCCTAGTTTGGGCAGACGATAAGGCTCAGGGTCAGCCAGTCAGCCAATTATGGCGCGTGTCACAGGACAAGAAATGCGGGGTCGCGGAGAGAACGTAATCCTGATCAACCATGGCTCAAGTGTGTAGAAGGAAAGAGCTGGATTACGATGAATAGAAGAAAACTTTACTATTGTACGTTATATCTCTGCTTCACTTGACCACCTTCTCACTGTGCCTTCGTAGAATAGCGTTAGAAGTGCACGTGTTCGGCACTAAAGCCAGCAACAAAAGTTTGGACTTGAAGCTCATAGTAGCTCCTTTACACATGTCTCCGCATCCCTGAGTTGAACTCCAAGTCTCTTATCTAGAGTGAGTTCTTTGTCCCACCAAACGCCAGGTCCTGCGAATACGCGGCGATACTGCTTGTTCATGTCGTCGGGGTCTTTTTCCATCTCTTGTTGCAAATGTGGAATCGACCATGCTTCTCGCTCTACTTGCTTGCCTGTGACACGTTCGACGATATCCGCAAACTGCCTGTAGCTGATGGTATCGCCAGCAATGTAAAGGACTTTGTTCTCAGCGTCACATTGTCCCGCCAGAATGGGCGGCAATATCTTGCCAATGTCTTCGGTATGAGTAACAGTGACTTTGTGGTCCCAATCATTGAGCGCTCGGATCTTGATGCCAGTGTCTCGTTTCTCAAACGTTCCAAAGCCCGGATCAAATAAGACGCCTAAGAAAATGCCGGTGGATACAATCGTCCACTTAACGTGGGATGCATCCGCGCCCGCTCTCAGAATTCTCCGAACCTCTACTTGTGCCTTGAATGTAGTATGTGCACCGTCAAGATCGCCAGCAATATCGTAGTCGACCCCCCACTGCCAGGGGAAAAACCATAGTTTTGATTTCCCGGATGCCTGGCGTATCTTTCCAGCTTGGAGTACATCCCGTACGAGCTGGGTCACACCATCAGGACCGGGGCCGAAGCCAGCGGCCGAGATGATGATGTCGAAGTCAGCGTAGATTGGGACGAGATCTTCAGGGGGACTTTTTGTATCAAGGGCTTGTAGTGTTACTCCTGGCCCGGCAATGCTGGCATAGGCAGAAGGGTTCCGAACACCCAATGTGAGGGTTGAGTTGGGGATCTTGGACAAGTAGGGTATGAAGGCAGATCCCAGTGCACCACCGCCAATGAGGAGAATCTTTGTGGCTTGCGATGTCATTTTGCTAGTGATTGAATGGTATGGAGCAGAATATGGATAGGGTGTTGATGATATGCATTCATGGTGATTTCTACAACTACTTATGTTCTATGTTCTGTGTGAACCTATGCGATCCTTGAACGTCATAACTTGATTTCAAGTGCAAAACCAATATGCAATTGAACGGAGATACCCGGTATGCGGTGTTAGACGACGGGTTTAGGATAGTTGTTGCGAGCTGATTTCTAAAGTCAATTTGAATCGAGAAGCCATTTGGCAATACGGAAATATACTACAAGGCGGGAGTGGGACCTGGCTGGCTTTTGCAATGTTTGCAGCTGGGTCTTCCGAAATGGCGCGGCTAGGATCATTGGCCTAGGAGGGTGCCAAGAGATGGAACGCTTTGCCGGATGGGGCTCGCTAAGCGACCGAATTTTGGAACCGCACTCTTGCTTTGCTCACTTCATCAACGGCGACCAACTTTCGACCTTGCGATAACTTCACCACTCGAGTGCGCCCACTGTCAACTCCTCAGCTTCAGCCACTCTTCACAATCATGGCCGAGCAGTTGGTTCTCCGTGGTACCCTTGAGGGCCACTCTGGATGGGTCACCTCCCTCGCAACCTCCCTTGAGAAGTACGTTTTCCCCTCGTTGCAGTCCATGACCAGCAGGATGCAGGAAATTCTACAAGGAATTGAAGCCTCGCATTCACAATGCTGACGCGATTCTAGCCCTAACATGCTTCTCTCGGCTTCCCGCGATAAGACGTTGATCATCTGGAACCTCACTCGCGACGAGACCGCCTACGGCTACCCCAAGCGCAGTCTGCACGGTCACTCTCACATTGTCTCCGACTGCGTATGTCAATTACCCCCACAGAAATATAAGAAGTAGAAGTAGACGAAGACAAAGAAGGACTATCTTTCGGGAGAGCGGCTTGGGCTGACAATTTGGGAAACAGGTCATCTCCTCCGACGGTGCCTACGCTCTCTCCTCCTCGTGGGACAAGACCCTCCGTTTGTGGGAGCTCTCCACTGGTGTGACCACCCGCCGCTTTGTCGGCCACACCAACGACGTCCTCTCCGTCTCTTTCTCCGCCGACAACCGCCAGATCGTCTCCGGATCTCGCGACCGCACCATCAAGCTCTGGAACACTCTTGGTGACTGCAAGTACACCATCACCGACAAGGGCCACACCGAGTGGGTGTCATGCGTGCGCTTCAGCCCCAACCCCCAGAACCCCGTCATCGTCAGCGCTGGCTGGGACAAGCTCGTCAAGGTGCGTAGAGCTATCAACCACCCCTCCACAATCCCCTGCACATCTTTATTTACTGCCATCGTGATGATTTGGTATAACCTTATGTATTTGCTACTTCAGAGCCGCAAGGCAATGAGACAAACAATCACCTTTTCCTGACCCGGCTTTTTTGTTGTTTTTGCGGATACAAGATTTCCTCCAGCAAGAAGCTAACAAAATCAGGTTTGGGAACTCGCCTCCTGCCGCATCCAGACCGACCACATTGGTCACACCGGCTACATCAACACCGTCACCATCTCGCCCGATGGTTCGCTCTGCGCATCTGGTGGTAAGGACGGAACCACCATGCTCTGGGACTTGAACGAGTCCAAGCACCTCTACTCTCTCACCGCCGGTGACGAGATCCACGCCCTCGTCTTCTCGCCCAACCGTTACTGGCTGTGCGCTGCCACTTCCTCCAGCATCATCATCTTTGATTTGGAGAAGAAGAGCAAGGTTGACGAGCTCAAGCCTGAGTACATGGAGGTTGGCAAGAAGAGCCGGGAGCCAGAGTGTGTTTCGTTGGCCTGGAGCGCCGACGGCCAGACCCTGTTTGCCGGTTACACGGACAACAAGATCCGTGCCTGGGGCGTCATGGCGAGAGCATAGATGAAATTCTCATTTTTCAATGTTTGGTTGGGCTGGCGAATGATCGTGTAAATTTCATGCTGCGTCCCTTCCAATCACTACATTGATTGGAGGTTACGCGCGCTCTAAAATCTGGGGATGAATCATGATTTCCACAATCTGTAGCAATGCCAATGCATGGGAACACGACGTGATGGAGGGGTTTTTGGGGAATGCGTGGTCGATACCTCGCGGGATCGGTATTAGCACTTCCAGGCGCTCAGAGTCAATGAAAAAATTCGTTCAATCCACTTCTGCTCATGATATACGGTGTGCCCTTGGAAAATCTCTGCTCGCGCTTGGTTCGATTAGCTGACAACATATATTCGAGCCTGACCTTGAACTAACATTCATCCTCAACACACGGAAGGCTTCCCATTTCAGGGTCCATCACCCTCTTCAACCTCGAACCACCTTCATTCACACCCAAATTTTAGAGTACTCCACATGGCCGTCATCATCATTGATCTCGCCTCAATCGACATTGCGAAAATAAAAAGACAGGCAGAACATTTAGATTTATTCCAATGATCTTTTGTCTAACTAATCCCCCCCCCCCCAAAGAAGAGTCTAACAAATACAATCCACCAGCCTAAAGCTTACTAAACACACTCTTCCTCTTCTCCAACCCTCCCAAAAGTGCCTCCCCGACGTCCGAACTCTGGACCATTGACATGTTCCAAATAGCCGTATACCTCAGTCCTTCCTCAACGCTCCTATCGCGACTATAATTCAACAGCTCCTTCGTGCCGACCACTGCAACGGGGCTCTTCTCCGCCATCAACCCCGCGAGCTGCAATCCCTTGGCCACGGCCTCAGCTTTGGATGGTAAAACGTGCGACACGAACCCGTGCTGCAGGGCTTCTGCGGAGTCGAAGGGGCGCGCTGTAAGCGCGATTTCCTTGGCGAAGGAGAACGAGGAGACTAGTTTGGGCAGGCGCGACAGGGTGCCTATGTCTGCTGCTATGCCGATGTCTACTTCTTTTACGGCAAAGGTTGTTGTGGTTGTTGAGAGGCGGATGTCGCCTTTATGTAAACATCGAACAATTAGCTCATGACTTTTGTTCATGGGTGCGTAGATTTGGAGGCTTGGTAATGTCGAGAGACAGAAATAGAAGTATAGAAAGAGAGAGTGAAGAGAAACGATGGAGAAGAGAAACACAGAAAGGAGAACGTACAAGCACATCCCAAATCCACAGCCAATCCATACGAAATCCCATGATATACCACAATAACGGGTTTCTCGCACTTCTCCACCGCCGTAATGCAGTCCTGGAATTCTAGAATATGTCTTCGGAGGTTGTTCGCTTTGCGGGCAACGTCTTCTTGCTGTTTTCCTGAAGAAGGGGATGCAAGAAGACCCTGCGAGGCGGCTTTTACGTCGAGACCTGTTGTGAAGGCGCGATCGCCGGCGCCGGAGAGGACAATTGCGCGGACAGAGGGAGAGTGGGAGAGGCGGTTGAAGATTAAGGAGAGATTCAGCCACATCCTGGAAGACAGATATTAGTTCTCTGTGTCTTTGCTTATGGGTGAGGAGAAGGAATTTGTGGAATGTTTCACGATGTGTTGATATAGAATGTAACACTTTGTTTTTTACGTTCATCCACTTCTTCTGCCTCTCACTCACACACATGTTCATTCCTCTAGCTAGAGAGCTTCGACACTGTGGTGAAGGTGCAAGAAGGAAAGCGAAAGGAAAGGAGGAACAGGGTAGGTCGATAACTCACTTTTCAATAAACGCATTCAACTTCTCTGGCCGATTGATTTCAACGTGCGCCACATACTCCGCCGGGAACGTAATGTTGAAGTACTCGTACTCCCATTTCTCTTCTGCTTGGTTGTTGGATGGTGACATCTTGAACGGGACTTATTGTTATTGGTAAGATGGAACGTTTTGCGAGGGCCTGATTGCGGTATTGTTGAGCTGTCTGGTAGGGTCTTTGGGATAGTTTCTTCTTTCTAAATTCCTGCTAGAGCTCTAAAGAATTGAAGAGTTATTGCTATATGCAGTCGTCAGCTAGGTATGTTCATACGTAGCACCCTCGAATCGTATCCCGTTCGTTTCGAGGTCTATCATTCATCTTCACATGCGTGCTTACTTATTCGTTCGCTGTCTTAATTCCTCTGAATGTCTGCGCTTGCAAGCTGTGTAAGTGCAGAGAGGCGCTGGTAGCTTAAGTATCAGGAGCTTTATTATAGCAGAGAAAAGACAATTGTCTGAGAATGAATATACTGACTGCAGTTGCTGGGCCGATCTTGAGACGTCGTTCGCAGTGGAGTTGCCGAGGTACGGAGTTAGCGCGGTCGGCTGAACTTTGATTGGTGTCGCACATTTGTGGTCGGCATTGTCGCTTTTGTGGTCTTAGAACTCTTGCGAGGGTTGTATTCATGATTTCTTTGGGGAACGCTATTGAAAAAAAGTCTTTTGAATATGGAAAGAAAATGCGATCAGGTATTTGAGGTATCGATGTGTATGCTCATCAGTTCCACCCACTTTACCAAATACACCCAACAGTCCTCCACGATTTTCTTGTAGCAATCGTATCATCATAAACTTCGGGTGACTTTAGAAGAGTGAGAACATAGTACGAAGACTGAAGTTACTGCAACTTTCAGCTTATCACGCTCATCTAAGGAATCAAACGTGGATTGGCCTTCGAATCTTTATCCCGATTATGACCGAAGCCTGTGCCGGAATCCAGATCCTTATTCAGACTTGGCCCTTGTTAGAAGGTTATTAATCATGAGACGCGGGATCAGGATAGATATAGAGCATAATGGAGTTATGTTTCGTTTGACGTAGTTGGGAAGGGGATTTGTGTCGAAGTTGTACGCGGTACTTGTTGTTTTGAACAACAGGTGTCTTTACTAACAGCACACACTCTTACTTCTTTATTTTTTTGCTGATTTACTCATGTTTTGAATACGCAGGCCATCCAAGTGTATGTTGCTCTGTAAATGCGACGATGATTTGATATTGCTCTGATTGGACCATGGTTTTCGTAACGAACCAGTGAATACTAAGAAACAAATCAGAGGCCCCCCAATTCAAAAAATAGAGAAACTCCCCAAAAATTTGATACATTCATCATGGCATTCTTGAATGAATCTTGTTCTATGCATCATTGACGACTATGGCTGACCTCGACACTTAAACTAGATTGGCTTACAGTCCAGAATTCGGCGTCATGATATCATGTAGTACTTTGCATGGAATGGCATCGTATCATCTTGCGATGATTACGTCTCTTATCAGACACTAATCAAATTGTTGAATTGATCGATAATCAAGATAATTTTTACTTCCAACCGGTCCACGGATTTTCATCCTGGTCAACAACAATATCGACTTTGACATTCAAATCGCAAGAATCCTAACAAAAGCTGCACACGATGTCTAACAGCCGATCTTGCAAGATGCAATACCATGAGAACGAGCCAGATAGGTGTGCAGTAGATATAGCATGTGAAAAACAACAACGCTGACTTTGATACAGTGACAGACAGCATGTCTTCCCCATTATGCAACTTCCCGGAGAGCTCCGCAGAGAGATCTTGAAATATGTATGTGGGGAGCGTATCATGCTAGATGCAATAGAACCGCAAAACGGCAAGCAACTACACGTCGTGCTAGGTTCCAAGAATTCCAACGCTTCGCCGGCTACAGCCCTCTCGCTCCAAAAACGTCGGGATGGCACCAGACTCACCGAGACCGACCAGTATCTGATCGAATCTATCCCCACACCGAATTATGCTATATTTAAAGTCAGCAAGATAATCCGGGAAGAAGCATTGTGGGTAGCATGGAAAGCGTCTTTAAAACACTTCAACGATCCATCGACTTCTATAGAAGTCGTACAGTTTGCTGTCCCACCACCTGTGAAGGACTGGCTCACAAAAATCCGATTTTCCTTTACTCTTTGCCAGTTCATGACGTTTTCCGGGGTTAAACTGAATGAGGATGGAGCCCTGAAGCATACTTATGCATATGGAATGATTGACGGGATAAAGTCTGTCAAAACTCTGGAACTGGATTTGCCGGACCCGTATGCAGAAAATGCGGAGACACCTTGGACCAAGTTTATACGGAGACATTGTCTTTTCGATAAGGCGAACCAGCAACGATTTTCATGGATGCGAAAGTACCCCTGCTGGAGAGTCATGATGGACTGGCTTCTCACCTTCATGTACTCGTATATGAAGGAGATACCCTCAATCAAACTACTGGGATGTATCAAAGATTCCACAAAGAAGAAGTGGGATACTATCCTTTTTGAGAGAAATCGACCCTACAAAACGATCGAGTATGACCATCAAAGTACTTTGAGGGATATCTTTGATTCCCCAGCGCAGTCCTTGTACGTATTCCAGTTCTTGACCCAATTCAGCATGGCTAAACTAACAATACGATAGGCCGCCAGTATGCGAGTGCCCTTACACTTGTTTCAAGGATGATGAGATCTGTGGAACAGACATGTTTGATTATGCTGACACGTTCCATCTTCAGTCTAGGTGGCAAGATGAGAATAGAGGAGCAAGAGAATGAGAGGACTTGACATTATAGATAGTGGGGTACTGGTAAATCAGAAACCCAATTAAATGGTTCCTTGTAAATAGAGATTCGTTGATGCGGGTTTACGTGAGGCTGATACTCAACCTGGAAGTTGCGCCTCCCATTCACCGGATTGCGGATTCTCATTGAGCGAAGATCTTACTGTACAGCTATACCTCGTGATTGGCTTCTTTGAGAAGCGGCAGTGCAGGATGCCTGCCGTATTTCAGAACATCATTTTTCCTGGCCCCCTCGCTAGAACACCAGCGCCCAGCCTTCTACCACTTACCGCCCATCAACATCACACCCCGCAGTCACAGACATCATTGCGCTTTCTTTTGCAACTAATAACCTTTGGAGCTGCGCTTTCAAAGACATGATCTGATATACGCATCTCCCATCAGAACGAGCCATGTCTACGAGAACGCCGTTGCTACTTTCACGAACCACACAATCTCACGCTGAACCCGATGACCGGCCTCCAACTTACTTTTCTCGAAACGCTCGCAAATGCCGCAACGGTTGCGCCGGGAAGACTATACAGTAGGATGGGTATGTGCGCTTTCAATCGAACTGGCGGCGGCGAAAGCGCTTCTGGATGAAAGACACGAGGCTCCAATCGATGATATTGAAGACGATGGAAACGTATATTGTACAGGGTCTATGGCTGGGCACAATGTTGTCATTGTTTGTCTTCCGGCAGGGAGAATTGGGAACAACCCAGCAGCAACAGTAGCGACGCAAATGCAGGCATCGTTCAAAGGAATTCGATTCGGTCTGATGGTTGGCATTGGAGGAGGCGTTCCAAGTCCGAAAGCAGATATCAGACTTGGAGACGTAGTAGTGAGCGAACCATACCGGACATTCGGTGGTGTGGTCCAGTACGACAAAGGCAAAACTACAACAGGTGGATTCGAGCGGACTGGATCTTTGAACTCCCCCCCGCAAATACTGCTCAGCGCGATACAGACGGTCAAAGCGAATCATGATATTTGCGAAAGCCGGTTACTTGAGTACGTTTCCAAGCTTGAGCGGTTGCCTATTTTCCGTCGCCAAAGAGCGGGCCCGGATGTGCTATTCAAGGCGACCTATGACCATGGGGATGCAGACTCGTGCGAAAACTGTGACCCCAATGAACAAGAAGATCGAGCCAAGCGCTTAGACGGAGAGTTGATAGAAGTGCACTATGGGACAATTGCATCTGGAAACAGAGTAATTAAAAGAGCTATTAAAAGGGATAAAGCGAGCCACAGCCTTGGAGGGGTACTGTGTTTTGAGATGGAAGCAGCGGGCCTCATGGATACTTTTCCCTGTCTTGTTATTCGGGGTATCTGTGATTACGCAGATTCACACAAGAATAAGAAATGGCAACCTTATGCGGCAGGTACAGCGGCTTCCTATGCCAAGGAAATGCTATCGGCCATTCCCACGGCCAAGGCGAAGAGAATGTACACAGCGGACGATATCATGCGGGATGCACCTTCTGAGACCGGCGAAAGCTTTTCGAGCAAACGTCGAAAGACAGAAACAAACCGTTCTCTACAGGACTTTATGGAGTAGGTCAACTGCTGTACATTTTCTTATCACATGTGATCGTAACAGCACTGACTGTGTCAGACAAGACAATGATGCGCGTACGTACGTAATCTCTATCAAGGCGGAATACAATCTAACAATTCCCTGTAGTCGTTGCGAGCCACCTGAACCAAGAATCTGTGGATGAGGGGAGAAAAGAGCAAAAAAGAGACCTTCTACAATCTTTGATGTTTGACAAAATCGATTCCAGGGAAATGAACATCGGAAATGCCCACGCAAAAACATGCAGATGGCTGCTGGAAAAATCGGAGTACTTGGAGTGGTTGGACCCTGAAAAATCAAGAGATCACAATGGATTCCTGTGGATTAAGGGAAAGCCTGGAGCAGGAAAATCAACACTAATTAAATACGCCCTCACGCATGCGAGAAAAACAATGGATGGCTGGATCATTATTTCATTCTTTTTCCACGGACGTGGCGAAAGCCTCGAGAAATCTACTATAGGGGCATACAGATCACTACTTATTCAACTCTTCCAACGGCGTCCTGCGAGCCAAGAGCTTCTCCTCTCATTAGGTGTCACTGCTGTGACAGCTGGTGCGAAACACCAGTGGACCATTGAGGCACTAGAAGCGCTTCTTGAGGATGTTATCCTCAACGTAGGAAAGTCTCCCATCATCCTATTCATCGACGCTTTAGACGAATGCGAAGAACAGCATGAAATACGAAACATGGTTTCATTCTTTCAGAGGATAGGTGGACTAGCTATGTCTGCTGGCATTCGTTTGCGAATCTGTTTTGCTAGCAGGCTGTACCCCCATATCACAATCAACAAGGGACTACATCTGATTCTGCACGATCACGACGAGCACAGACAAGATATTGCCAGCTATTTGGAGTCGGAGTTAAGGATAGGAAATAGCAACACCGCGCAGGAAGTCCGAAGTCACATTCAAGAAAAGGCTTCTGGGATCTTCATGTGGGTCGTTCTCGTCACGCGAATACTCAATACAGAGTACGATCAAGGCCGGATGCATGCACTTCGCCAGAGGCTTAGAGTTATACCCCAAGATCTTCACACATTGTTTTTGGACATGTTGAGCCGGGATATGGATAGCCGAACCGAGCTCTTGCTTTGTATTCAGTGGACGCTTTTCGCAAAGCAGTCGCTGAGTCCCGAGCAGTTGTACTTTGCGATCTTTGCTGGGATCGATCTAAGCGAAACATCAGCATGGGACCGAGAAGAAATGGCCATGGAAGATATAGAGAGATTTCTGCTCAATAACTCCAAGGGACTGATCAAGATCACAAGATCCGAATTCCACCACGTTCAATTCATTCACGAGTCGGTACGTGACTTCTTTCTGGAAGCAAATGGACTCGGTCACATCTGGCCCGAGTTGAAAGAGAACCTTGAAGGTCAGAGTCACGAAAAGCTCAAACAGTGCTGCCTCAACTACTTGACCGTCAGTATATCCGCTGTTCGTCAATATTGCGAGAGTATGCCGGACGCCGCGGTATCTCGAAACCAGATCGAGGCCAGATATCCCTTGCTCGGATACGCCGTCCAACGACTCATATCTCACGCTGACACAGCTGAAGCAATGGGACTTTCTCAGACAGCTTTCCTCAACAACTTCAATCTCGCAGAATGGATCTCGTTGCACAATTTAATCGAACCAACCCCAACTAGCAAATACTCGCTGAATGCCAGCTTGCTATACATTCTAGCGGAGCACAACCTACCCCATCTGATAAAAAATCACGAATCTACCACATCCTGTTTCAAAATCGAAAACGAGCGCTGCGGATGCCCTCTCCTCGCAGCAATGGCAGCAGGAAACGGTGAAGCCATCGAAGCCATGCTAGAAAGCTTTGTAATAAGCCGCTCCGCCAATATTGACCCCGAGGCCCTATACAGCTACATCACTATCGAAAACTGGGGTCATCGTTTCATCAAGACCGGGTTCAAATTTTGGAAAGGAGGAAACGTGCTGTCATACCTTATTGAGTACGATTTTGAAGTAGCGGTCGTCATATTCGTGCAATCGAGGGAGTTTGATGCGAATTGCGAGGATCATAAGGGAGACACACCAATTTTCAAGGCAATAGCGAAGAAAGATGAGAAGTTGGTCAAGTTGTTGCTCAACTCGGGGATGATTGATGTTAATCGCAGGAGGCGGTCAGGGGATACGCCCTTGTCCACGGCTCTGTCAAAAGGTTACAAGGAAATCACTCGACTACTGTTAGAAGAAGATACTATTGACATCAATATTTTAGATTGGCGGGGAAGAACACCATTTATGAAAGCAATCTTGGACAGGGATGAAGAACTGGTCAAGTTGCTGCTTAGGACCGGGAAAGTGGACTTTAGCGTCGAGGACGCGGCAGGAGATACGCCGCTCTTTATCGCAGTAGCTATGGGAGACGAGGGCATACTCAGACTACTACTACAGACTGGGAGAGTTGATGTCAACACCAAAGACCATGATGGAAATACCCCGCTATCAATTGCAGTTCGCCAGGGATTGGAAGGGATAGCCAGGGCGTTGGTAGAAACACGCAGGGCCGATATCCAAGAAAGGGATTCATACGGAAGATCACTACTCTCCGTAGCAGTATTCTGGGGCCACGAAGGAGTTCTAAGATTGCTACTAGACACAGGCGGAATCGACGTCAACGCAAAGGACTTTGTTGGAGAAACGCCATTGTTTGTAGCAGCAACACATGGGGACGAAGCACTCGTAGGACTCTTGCTGGAGAGTGGAGACGTGGATATCAATGAGAAGGATAACCTTGGGAGAGGAGCCCTGAGTCAGGCGGTAGCTCTTGGGCATAAGAAGATCGTCGAATTGCTGTTGGATACTGGCAGAGCTAACACCAACGAGGCGGATTATTTCTATGGAATGACACCGCTTTCAGTGGCGGTGGAGAAGGGTTATGAGGGGATTGTTGATCTACTGGAGTCGTTTGCTCAGCTTTCACTATAGGTTAGAACCGCTGTACATACTATATCACGGAAGTTAGGATGTAACTTGATCTTATTACCCAAGTTTTTTTTTTTTTTTTTTTTTTTTTTTTTTTAATTAACTATTCCTGCGCTCTTTCTTACTGCAGGCAAGCAAAAACAAAATTGTAACAAGAGACAAGATAATACTAAAATTGCAGAAACCGCCAACCTCTTAACAAAACAACACAAATAGAGGTACAAAGAAACATAATATGGTTTATTTACTCCTTTTCCCTCCCACTATCTCTCTACACGTTGACCTGCAGAAAGAGAGAATGTAACACAACTAGTAATAAAGAACAGCAACAACATATAAAGAAATAATCGCAACAAATATTCACCCTCCCAGAGACTTCGACAGACCATCAACAAGGTGACCACCACCATCTCGAAAAGAAATACACGTGCCAATTACCTCATAGGACTCCTAAACCCAACCCTTCCAAACGCATTGCCTTTGCGTGGCGTAGTCAACACACCACCACTTCCACCTTCCCCGGGCTCAGGCGTGTCCCTATCCCCACCGCCACCACCGCTAGCCTTTTGCTGATGCGATGAGGTCGATGGCTGTGCTTTGGTCTCGCTACCGGGCGCACGAAACCTCACTTGACTCCCCGTCGCATAGATATCATCGAGCATTTGCTCCAGCACACCCGCATCTGAAAATTCCTCGTACTTGCGCCACAGCTTCAGCGCAGTAGTTGCGTCCTCAATGGAATCGTGTGTGTCTTGTTGAATCTTCTCTTTGAGGACGCACCATGCTAGAAACTTCAGATTGAGTTTGCGGTGGAGAGAGGGCTTGAAGAAAAGATCAACGGTATCGACGACTTGTTTACGGGGGACGTGCATATTGATGGTTCGGAAGTCGTTGGCAAGGGAGTGGCCTACAAAGACGCAGCCGAGGTTGAGGAGGAGCCATAGTTTCTTGTAGGCATGTTTGAGCGAGACGAGCGCGTGACGCGAGGTCTCGCGGTTGAGATCACCCGGGGAGATGCCAGACCACGCTGTGAGGTAGTCGACTACATGCTCTGCGACGGCAATGTAGTCATCGATGAAGGGAAGTCCTGCTTGTTCACCTTCGCCACGACACACGGATACTCGAGCAAGGCCTTTGCGGTCTGGACGGATCGTCTCGCGCGTGCCATCTGCTTTCATCTCAATTTCCTCGGATTGCAGGCGGATGAACTCAGCATCGATCGCTACAGGGTAGCCGGGGCGTGGGGTCTCAATAGTTGCGTCCAGTAGCTTGAACTTTTCATCTGGAGGAGCAGGGTTAGAAGACCACCACCTGTACAAGATCGATGTATCGAGATTGTCTTTCCAGGAGTCGTCAATTCGGTGCCGTGCAGCCTTCGACTGGAAAGTGAGGATCGACGGAAGTTTCCAGCTCGGTTCGAATCGCAGCGCTTCCTCTTTTGGTATAGGTCTAACCAGGAAATCGTTGAATAGATGCCATTTGTCTTCGGTCTCTGAATTGCGCGAGGATGGCGTTGTGTTGATGGTGGCAACGAGGTGGGGCTTTTGATGCTCGCCACTATTAATGTCCGCTACAATACCGATGAGCTCGTACACCATAATATTAAACACGCCCCGCTGCAGGTGGAGTTTCAGATCCTGCCCTTCAAAGCAATAGAATTGGCCTTGATCTACTATGATACCAATCTCTTGTGGTAACCAATTAGGGATGGACCACAGAAGTTTTGCCTCATGGGTCTGGATGGCGGCATTGAGAACGAGAACACCAGGAATGGACTGTATCGTCTTCCTCTGCACCATTTGTTGGTATCTATTGCACTTGTTGCACCAGCCTCTAGTCTGGTCCTGGCGCTCGACACTCGCTTTGAGGATCTGAGAAAACGTGGGCCTCGGTCCTCGCGAACTCTTGATTGCGTGCTTTGCAGGATATACAAGTTCATTAACAAATGTTCGTCCACCCCGTATTGTCTCGTTGTGGCACTGTGCACACCTCATACTAGCTCTCGCTTGCGTTTCCAATACCTCGTCCATCATAGACGGTCCGCTATGGTTAGGCAGCATTTGACGAAACTCCTCGGAAATTTTATCAAGAAGAAAGCGTCCAAAGGCTTGAATCATCGTTGTCAGCGCGACATTGGGTGCGAATTCTTCGAGAAGGTTGAGCGACACTGCATTCGAAAGCCCGCTAAACGTTTTCAGGAAGTTGGAGGCTTGACAGTTGAGACCAGCAGCTTTCTCCAGCATGTCGATAAGGAATCCAAGTTCACATAGAAGACAGGATTCGAACAAACACGGTGAAGCAGTGTGTCGGAGCGCTAGGTTGCGAATCATGGGTGTGAAACGGAAGAGCTGCAGCAGCGGATTGGCGTATGAATTGGAGATGTGTGTTTCCAAGCCTGAATACTGGGTCGAGTTGTAGTAGGCAAAATCAAAGTCGTCGACACCGAATTTACTGTATTTGATCTCAACGTTGCCATACATGGCCGGTACGTCTTTTCTAGTCACGTGGTCCAGATGCAGATCGGTCAGCGTTTCCATTGTCTCGGCCATTTTCGTATCCGTCTCGCTCGAAGATTGTGCAGCGCGTGCCTTTTCACTCAGGAATTTAGGAGCGGTCAAGGAATCGCTTGTGCGATCTGTCTGGCGTGTGTTTTCAACCTGATATCTGCGCTTTGTGCGAGGATTCTTTGCAAAGAAACCAACATCGGTCCGGGTCATGCTGTTCAATATGGCATTATCTATCTTCGGAGGCGGTGCACCGACAGCAAAGACCATATGGCTCGGCCAGCCCGAAAGAAGCTGCTCCTTGTAGAACGGCATGCCTACAGTACTGAGGGGACTTGTACAAGTTAGCTTGTTGAATTGATAAGATGTCATGATGCTTACGTGTCCAGTGACCAGTCCATAGTCGGAAGCGCCACGAGAGCGTCAGAAAATTCTGTGGGGTTACTGTACTCTGGGAAATGTACTTTGGAGGGCGAACCCCACAGATGAATGTTGCAATTGGAATCGGCCAGAGCAAAGGCTTCTCCAGAGGGAGCCATTTCAAACCCGGTCAGGTATGAATCATACAGATTGATCTGGCGGAGGTTGGCCGAGTCTGGATTCATGAGGTCTATAACTTGCATCTGCCCATTCTGGGATGCGATAATGGCAGTGGTGGACATACGAGGATGCATACGCACGAAGGCGGCGCCAGTATGGAAGGGAATGGGCGGAAGTTGTTTGAGAGTTTTGAGTGAGAAGACATTGGTGAAGGGGTCTAGCATAAAGCCAAACTGCTGCCTCGGAGACCAGCCGCAGGTCGCGAGAAAGTCGCCCTTAGCGTCCATATCGCTTATGCTACCGGTGTGGCCCTCGAACATCTTGATAACAGAGAGAGTGCCAGAGTCCAAGACGTGAATGCCTCCATTCTTAGTAGCAGCGCACAAATATTGGCCGGCCCTCTTCATGATAGTGTACTGAGCTTCAGCATCCAACTACGGATTGGCGGTAGTATAATCAGCGAGGTGGTCTGGGGGATTCAGGTTGAGAGAAAGCTCACGGTGTCCGTCACCACGCCCTTTTCGACGTCGATCTTGAACATCTCGTCTTGACATCCTGCTACTAGTATCTCACGCGTGCCTTTGGAGGTGAAGTTTACGCAGCGCAATTCCTTGAACTCGGAGTTTCTGACAGCGATTAGCACTATCAAGGCCTCGACGTGCTATTGTACGACGTACGTAAGATGCCATTGTGTAATACCTCGCCGCAGAGAATAGTGAACGCTTTGTTTAGAGACAGAGATGATGCCTTTATCGGTAAAGAGTATCTGCTTGACAGCGCCTTCCGAGGCGCCGTGTGCGCGATATGACGTGTAGCGTTCGAGCGAGGGTCCGTAGAAGGATGTGACTCTCCCCTGTACGTGTTAAGCTGGTTGTTTGAACAGTAGATATGTATATAAGCGGAACCTACATAGTCATTACCAGTCCAGAGAAGTTCCTGGGAAGTGTCAAAGGCGAGGGTTGCTACCGGGGTGGCAGGGAGGTGTAGCCCGGGTGGCGGGAGCTGGACGATGGCAAGCTATGGATACGTTGTTATTCTCAATGTTTGTCGAAAACATATATGGTCTGCGTTTGCCAGACCCGTGAAGGCGACAGTCTATACGAGAAGGAAAGAGGAGTTTTCAAAGTACACGCTGCCAGGCTGATCGGGGGTATGTGTAGGTAGGCGTGCATTGCATAATGCGCAGAGGGGTGAGTGAAGTTGTAGGATTATTACCTCATCCCAATCAGCCTCCATGATGAAGGCACCTTCACCGTTTGAATGGACCAAGCTGGCATGCCTTAGCAATTCGTTTCATGTCTCGCAGCGCATGGAGGCTCAGGTCGAGGTCGGGGTCGAATGGTGATGGCAAGTATCTATCTGTGTAAGAATCGATGCGAAAGGCGGGACGGGACGTTGCAGTCGTCCTAGTGGGCGGAGCTCAAAGACCCCGGTCTGCGGGCAACGTGATTGGCGGGGCATCTGCTACCTCCGCTTTCATACGTGCGGATACGACAAAGACATCACTCAACGGCAACAACCATGCACGCGTATGTAATTTTCAGAATAACATGTAATTCTCTCGTGACCATTCCTTTGCCCGTGTGTCTAGCCCATCATCTCCACCATCCACTTTGCGCACATAAGCGATTCACCACTTTGTTGTCCTCCATCGAACGAATCCATGGCGATAAAACAAAAGACCCGTGGTTGGCAGCCACAGGTCACGCAAAGGGAAAAGTGATGTTTTCTTCTTACCTTGAAAGAAGCTGGCTTGATAGCTGACGAGAACCGCATAAAACAGAGAATGGTCGAGTTGGGTATCGAGCGCCTTTCCTGCTCCGTCCACCATGTTTAGTGCAAGGCCGCAGAGGAGACTTGGATTGTGGTTTCATACCGATGCAAACCGAACGCCGCATATGCAACACAGAAAAGGAAATCGTAAAGCCCTACGTGAAACGGGCGAACCAGTGTTGAGAAACAGACCAAATCGGCCGGTTGTCTGTGTCGATTAGCGCAAGAACCTTCTCTCATTTGCCATACATACCGAGATGCGAAGCCTCAGAAGCGTTCTCGCTTGGTGTACGAAGATTGGGGAGGCGGCTGGGAAGCAGCCTTCTTGGCAGCCTTGAGAGCCTTTTCAGCGGCTTCATCGGCGTCCATGTCAGCCTTGGCGTTGTAGCGAACTCGCTTCTGAGATTCGGTCATGCCATTGCCTGAGCCCGTGAATCCCACACGACTGCCAACATTGGTGGACGATCGGAACATGGAGTCCTTCTGCGCAATCTTCTTGCCGACGCCCTTGGAATTCCAAGTCTTCCAGCTGTTGACCGTCTTATCCAGAGTCTTGCGGTTGGGGATGTTGTGGCGCCTAGGCATGGGAGCGTCGTCGGCGACTGGAAGCTCTACCTTGGCCTTCTTTACCTCGGGATTGAGACTGACAGGACCAGAGATGACTTGCGGAGTAGACGTGACTGGAGCGGCGGGCTGGGCGGGAGGCTCGGGCTCTCGCTTTCGCTTGATGGGGATTGCGCGGACGTTTTCGCGGTCCACGGTCATAGAGTCGTCATACTCAATGAACTTGACGAGGTACTTGGGAGCAGATCTGGAGCCTAGAATCTGCTGGATCTTGGCTTTGTACCATTGCTTATCCCGCCACTGCGCCTCCACAACATCGCCGGTGTTGAAGTTGACGGGGGTATCTGGTTCGGCATCGGTTTTCTCGACCATCTTCTTCAACACAGGGTGCTTTTCGACATCGAACTTGGGGGCGCTGGCGCCAGGTGGCGCGGGAAGTTTGGCATGCAAGTCTTTCAACTCAGCATATAATGGCTCAAGGATGACTTTGATTTCGTCGATGCTGTTCTGGATCTCTCCCTGGAGATCAATATCGTCTGGCGGTTTGTATCCACCACACTTGACGATATTCTTGAGGTTTACGAGCTGCAGTCCCCGAGTTAGCAAGCGCCGCCGTAAACGGGAGTGGGGTTAGGCTACTCACCTGCTCTTCCCACTCAGCGAGCTGACCCTCCTGGTCCTTAACTTGGTTCTTGACCACACCTATGCGGTTCTTGACCTGCTGGATGTCGGCACTCATGGTTGCGGGGAATGTCGTTGCTGATGATGTGCTGTTGGTAGCGAGGTTGTTTGTCGCGATGCGCCGCGATAAAGTCGTGCCTAGCTAGAGCGACCTTTCCTAAAGCGGACTAGCGCCATTACCAACATGCTGTGAGTATATGTGCTTCTCGGATGAACATTTTGAATGCATCTAGGTTTTGGTGAATTTGTTAGAAGATGCTGCGTACCAGCTTGAACTTACTCTCTCACTCCTGCCGCATTTTCGGGGCTGTGAGTGGATGGGCTGACATTGTAATGGTATACCCGGAGTAATCGTGCTCTTATATCCGAAAAACCCACTCATGCACATTGAACGCTGATGCCAGTACTAACATATCACAGCGGACGCATATATACCTATTGGGTCGGGTCTTGCATGGTTTTTGTAGGCTCAAGAAAGCCAAATGCTGTACCTATAGATGCTCTATCCGTCCCAGTCCCATTCGTCTACGCGACTTGGAGGGAAGTCTCACGCTTATCTTGGCTGTTGCACCATGTCGAGTGCTATTTGGTCATGCTGCACGACCAAGACATGCGTACATATGTAGGTATGGGCAAACAGGGCGAGACAAAACACAGCCGTGTATGCAGGGGCGGAGTGGTCGCTTGTAATCCTATGGGGACCCGCTGTGTACCGTGTACAATCTCCGATGAAGATGGCATTCCCTGTCGACTACATGCACACTGCTGATTGATTGATTGATTGATTAAGACATATCATCCAAGGCAGCGCACTCGAGGATAGGTGCTTTAACAGTTCCCAGGCGTGCCGGGGTAAGATATTTGCGTCATCGGCTGACGCCTTTGATTCATCCGTCATCGGACGAATTCATCTCACACTTCCGCCCGTACAAACGTCTGCCTTCCATCAATGTCTTGCGGTAAAAAAAAGAAGACAGATCGACAGTCATTGAGTCGCCATTCCAACATGGCTTCTGTCGATCCATGACCGACCTGTTACATTTGGACGGGGTGTACTGTGTAGGATGTAAAGCAGGGATCATGGGGTGGATGCATGCGGCTCGTTCCCCTCCGTCATGTTCGCCTTCGACAGGCTTCGTCCACGTTCCAGACCCGATTGGGATGTGTATTGATAAGCAGCTCTACTAGTGTCCACCACTCGAAGCCTCACCCCAGGCTCTCGCACCCTGCGCGCCGCCCTTTTCACTGCCTGACTGTCCTGACTTGACCCTGCGCCAGCTTGAACCGTCAAAGGGCTCACTGACTGACCAGAAGAAAAAAAAAAAAACTCCCCGTCAGAAAACCGGCTAGGTAGCCGACTAGGCCCTGGTCTGCTTTGTTCTACTTTTTGCCTCTGCTGCTTGTTGCCTGCCTCCTACACCATTTCTGCCTCAGAATATCCTCTGCGTTACTCCCCCACGCGCACGTCATTCTCTCCTTCAATAGACAGAACTGGAGCGAGGTGTAGTCTGGGAGAAACGGGAACAGGTACGGCTATCCAGTCTCTCTATCCACTCTCTCATTCGTTCGTTCATTCATTCACCCGATCCACCCATTGTACGAGCATCGCACCACCACCCACGTATGTGAGAGCTGTATCTGTATAGGTAGTCATATTCTATTCACCAATCGTCTTGTTCCTGTCCTCGTCATCTCATTGCTGCACATTGATTTTCTCTTCCTTTGCCTCATTCCCTCCATCAGCACTCCGCTCGTCGTCGTCGTCGTCTTTCCGGAGCCAAGTGGAGTGGCAAATCTGCGCTTCGCCCGTCGTTCGGCTGATTGTCGCGAAGCCAAGGCGCTGACCCCCAAACCTCCAGATCGCCAACTCTTCCTCCTGGACCAACAACTTTCCTTCACAGACCCACCTACTCCCCCTGCCTACCTCAGGTACACATTCACCACCTACTGCGACTGCCACCACATCTCTGCACCCGGCTGGAATTGGCCAAACGTGGTCTCCTCCCTCCTCAAAACCCAGACCCCGCCTCTCAGCTGGCATTTGAAGCGGTAGCCCCAACCAGACCCTTTCAACCCCGCACTATCCGCTCATCCTCAGCACAAGAAAGCAACAATGGCGGGCCCGTCCACCACAAACGACTTCCAGAACAACGGCGCTGCCTACTACCTCGATCCAAATCAGCAGGACCTCTTGCTCGCCGCTCTTGCCTCCAACAACCAGAACCCGGCCGACATGTTGGCCGCTCTCGACGCCCCCACGGGCAATCGCCAGGGCGCCCAGAATTTCCAGTACCCCATGGACAACCTCGACCCTGCCGCCTTCTTTGCTTCTCCCCAACAGGACATTGGCACAAACTTCAATAGCAATAACAGTATCGAGGAGAGTCCCTTTGTTGACTACCTCGACGGCGACAATTTTGATTTCGACAATGCCGACGACGCAGACTTGATGATTGGCGCCCTTCCTGGCGACAGCCCGGAGAAGTCGGATGAGACTTCGGAGAAGCGCAAGAGCCCCGACGACGATGTCGAGGACCCAGACGGCGGTGGCAAGCGGAGAGAGGGTGAGGACAAGCAGGCTAAGAAGCCTGGCAGGAAGCCTCTCACGTCCGAGCCCACAACTGTACGTTGAATTTGTTTCGTCACCAGCTCGTCTATGTGTCTCGTGGCTTAATACTCACCTGCTACTAGAAACGCAAGGCCCAGAATCGCGCTGCCCAGCGTGCTTTCCGCGAGCGCAAAGAGAAGCACCTCAAGGATCTCGAGACCAAGGTCGCTGAGCTCGAAAAGGCGTCCGACGCTACCAACCACGAGAACGGCCTTCTCCGTGCTCAAGTGCAGCGTCTCCAGGTCGAGCTGCGCGAGTACCGCAAGCGTCTCTCGCTCAACAGCGCTGGTGCCGGTGCCGGCGCCAACCGTTCCTCATCGTTGATGGGCGGATTCAGCTCTCTGCTAACCAATGGAGGTGCCAATGCTAGCAATTTCCAGTTCGAATTCCCTCGCTTCGGCGGTCTTCCCGGTTCACATATCCTCGACAATGGGCCTCTTTCCCAGAAGAAGTCGTCAGTCCCGACTGCCAGTACACCTTCGACTGCTACGCAGACTCGCCAGAACAGCACTGGCCGAAGCCTGAGCCCAAAGAGTGCAACCAACTCTGCTGGCGCCAGTCCAGCCTCAACTACCAACGGCAATGTTCAGCGCTCTGGTAGCACGGGTGGCTTCTACAACTTCAACAACGGATCCACTACCACTGACGCATCGCCTGCTCAGAGCCGTGTGTTCCACTTCAACAGCAACTCGTCGACGCATTCAGTCGACTCGCCGGCATCTTCCAACTCGGCGGGCCCCACCTCGTCGTGTGATACGTCGCCAGAGCCTAGCCACGCTTCGCCCAAGAACCCAGACACCATCGCTGATGGTTATGTCTGTCATGGAAATTCGGAAGGTGAGGTTACCTTCTGCGAAAAGCTAAACATGGCCTGCGGCAACCCGCGCGACCCCATCCCCCGCGCCCTATCCGTGTCCAAGTCTGACGACAAATCAACCCCTGCAGGTACCCTCCCAACTCCTGCTACCGATTTCAGCACATTGAACTCCTTCGACTTTTTCGCCAACCAGAATGGCGGTGGATTTGATCCAACCCTGTTCGGCGAGTATCGCGAGTCCCAAGCTGCCATCGTAGGTGACGGCGAGTTCACCAACGGCTTCTTCAACGATGCATTCCCAATGGCCGACTTTGGTAGCCCCTTCCACTTCGGTGACACTCCCGCTGTGCCGAAGTCCAACCCGCTCGAGGAGATTGAGCGTTTGCAAGAAGGAGAAGATGAGGTGGTTCCTGGCGAGGACGTCTCGCAGATGCTCAACTGCCACAAGATTTGGTTAGTCTTATATTGGTTGGACTATGCTTACTCAGACCTCGTCACTAACTTTCTTTGCAGGGACAAACTGGCCAACCGAACCGACTTCAAGGATGGCACTATCGACATAGACAACCTATGTTCCGAACTGCGCGCAAAGGCTCGCTGCTCCGAGAGCGGAGTCGTTGTGGACCACAAGGACGTAGAGGCAGCCCTCCAGCGTCTGCCCAAAGACCAAGTAAAGGCGTAGTTTGGGCTTGGTACGATGAAACCACACGACTATATGACTGCATTTACAGAGCAAGCAAAACACGGACTAGGCGTAGTTAGGGGAAACTCGATACGGCACTTTTGGCCTATGGTTGGGCTCAGTTCATTGATATACCTTTTCCTCTTTTGTTTTTTCTTATATCGATATTGATGGAATCCAGGGTTCCCGGGGAAATCTCCTCTTTTCTATCATTCTACCTTGGTCAGTGAGCACTGTCTATTTTTTGTTTTTGCGTGGAAATGATGTGCAAGTGGCCAAGATGCTGTCGATCGTTAGCTTGCTTGCTCACCCTGGATCAATTAATCTTTCCCAGCATTTGGTTCAAGAATGGAAGGATAATTCTAGTATTCAAGCAACGGGGTGGAGTGGGGTGGAGTTTAGCATGACTTGAATTAGGGGGTTTGGTTGAAATCAATTCTATGTTCTTTTGATCTCCATCATCGTAACTGAGATTGCACATTGGGCCATTTTCTTTATCTTCTTATTTCATCTCTGAATGCACGAGTTAGCCTTTTATTTGCTGGCCATCGAGTTGACTCACCAGACGCCTGTTGCAAATCACCCGCCCGTTCTGATCTATATATGCTGCACATTAATTACATACACCTTTTGGCAATCGCCTGTTTCTTTTTGGTTCATTTATTGTCATAAACCTATCGTTGTATGTAGTATCATCCAAACTTCAACTTACAATATGCAATGGCATACCCATCTTTATTCCGATATTCGAGATGATTTTACTAGTACAATCCCACCCACTTATCCTAAAATTACATCAACTCATACACCAAACCCTTCACGCGCACTCTCCCTCGTACTCAAACATCTTTCAAAGCTTCAATATCAACAATCTCCTTGACCGCCTCAGTCGTAAGCACAATGTTCCCTCCTTCCTCACCTCCCACGCAAACACAATCCTCAATCCTCATCCCAATCCCCCTCGCCCAAGCCGGCCACCTCTCATCACCCTCCGGTACGTATATCCCCGGCTCAACTGTAACACACATGCCCTCTTCAAAGGGTCTCCGTCGACTCAATCCAGGACAATCATGGACATCCATTCCCACGTAGTGTCCGACATGATGCGGGAAGAGTGTAGAAATGGCATCGGAGTGGGATTTCATATCGAAGCCTAGATCCTCGAGGCCAGATGCCAGGGTACGCGAAGCGATGCGGTGGAGCTGGTCGAGGGAGAGGTTGGAAGTGGTTGAGCATAGCGAGACGCAGCTCCTCTGTACATCTAGCAGCAACTTGTAAAGATCGCGTTGAGCGGGTGTGAAGCGTCCTGAAACGGGCCATGTCCGTGATATATCGGCGATGTAGTGCGCGTATTGCGCTCCTGCGTCTACGAGGACGAGGGACGATGGGTCGAGCGGTTTATCGTTTGTAACGTAGTGGATGGTATTTGCGTTGCTGCCGCCTGCGACTACGGGGACGTATGCGGGACCTTGGAGGTTGGGGTCTGTAGTGTGTTGCGTGAAGCGGTTACAGAGGTAAGCGTCGAGCTCTGCTTCGGATGTAAAGGAGCGGCGCATAGCGTCTGTGATGGCGCGACCTGATAATTGGCCCGCGCGACGCATGTTTTTGATTTCGGCGGGGGTTTTGAGGACGCGGAGATCGTTGAGAAGGGGGCGGAGCGGGTTCGGGGGTTGTGCGTGGGCGGTGCGAAGTAGGGATGCGATGCCACCAGCTTGGTTGGGGTTCTCGATGCCGGAGAGGTAGCGAGAGAGCGTGTTTTTGGGAACGCGAGAGCCGGGGAGATCGGTATAGACGTGCTCAGCACGCTTTAGAACGGCTTCGAGGGCGGTTGGGAGTTGGTCGATGTCGCCGGGTACGTCTGCGTTGAAGACGTCGGATGCGGCTTGGACGCCTGAACGCGCGCCCTCCCATAGCTCGGCATGGGCATCTTTGGGTCGTACGTAAAGGTGGAAGATGGGTTCATGATCGTCGATCTTTTCTGAGGGGGACTTCTATCAATTGAGGTTGTGGTATGGAGTGAGGGGTATGGGTTGGCTGGTTCGTACCTATTATGGCGAGAGCATCGGGCTCATTGAATCCTGTTGCGCACAATCCCCTCCTTGCTTAGCCAATGATTTTATCGCTGCTATGAAAAAAAAAACGAGGAACATACCGGTCAGATAGAGAAAATCTGAATCCTGGTGGAATTTGTAGAAGACGGCGCCGGAGCGGTACTTGACATCGGCAGCGGCGAGGATCGCGACGGACCGGGCAGGGAGGGCTTGGGCGAGCTTGACGCGGCGGTCGTAGTATTCTTGAGCGGTGATTCCCGGAGTGACTGTCGTATCGCATCAATGACATTCCCTTCGATGTGGAGGTACATTGGAATACATACTCTCACCAGCTTGCAGCAGATGAGGATGTGTCTCGTGCAAAGGTTGACCGAACTGCAACTCAGCCGCCGAGATGGACGATAAAGTTCTTCGGGTATTGTTACATATGGGTCGCTGCCACTTCCAGGCTGGTCGCGTCAGAGAGCGGAGGGATCGTAGGGGAGGAGGCATATTAATAGCCAAGTACCCAATTCAAAAGAGCGAATGACGATGAACAAATGATGATGAGATGGAAACTGAGGACAAACACTCGTCTAAGATTGTCTCCGCCTCTTATCGATAACAACCCCTGCTTGTCCTCCCCTCCCCATCTATCACCAACATGCCTACTCTCGAATATTGCTCAGCTGGAGGAAATTTCTTCGATCATTACAGAGAAAGAATAAAGGCCCTGGAGACTGCTGGACAGCTGTTTCCCTGTGTGGTTCCTGCAGTTGCTGCACCACTAATCTATCTACTTGTCACTGCCCGGTTCAACATAAATCCGGGTTGACGACATCATTAAATGTTTACAAAACGCTCTTGACCATCACCTAAATGTACTTCTGATATCTGGCACCGCTAGCTTCTTTCCTGTAGCTACCCCGTTTACTCTATACGACTAGTTCTTACGACGTGACTACTACTTGGGGGCAAGAGACTGCGACAGGCATCGACCTGCAAGTTGCTGCCTGACTGCCTAGCTGTCACCTAAACACTCACCAGATTCGGCTTTTCTTGCGAGACAGACTTCAGCTATAAGTACACGGCTCGAACGTATGAACAGATCCACACATTCACCACAGTAATTGATATCATTACCGCGCACAACCATCTACAGTTCAACACCGCGACAATGGCTCTTCACACCGCGAGAGCCTCCGTTGTGCCCCAGGCTGATCTTGAGTCCTTTCAAGCGTGCCTGAACTCTTCAACTAGAGTTATAGCCCTTCTCGGTGCCGGTCTCTCTGCTTCGTCTGGCCTTCCCACTTTCCGAGGCGCTGGCGGTCTATGGAGGACTCACGATGCCACAGACCTCGCCACCCCACAAGCTTTCTCCCAAAACCCCGGTCTGGTATGGCAATTCTACAGCTACCGAAGACACATGGCCCTTCAAGCGAAGCCAAACCCGGCTCACTATGCCCTGGCCGAGTTGGCTCGCCGAAAGGACGGATTCATGACCTTGAGTCAAAATGTAGACGGTCTTTCACCGCGGGCCAACCACCCCGAAGACAAACTCAAATTGCTACACGGATCTCTCTTCAATGTCAAGTGCTCCGACTTCTTCTGCAATTACTTCGAATCTAACAACTACACCGACCCTATCGTGCCCGCCCTCGCATTACCCACCCAGAATGGCTCCGACCCAACCACTACCGAAGCCCTAGCCAACCGCGAGCTCGACATCTCAGACGAGCGAGTATCTATTCCGGAGCTCGATCACTCGCACCTTCCCAAATGTCCCCGATGCCAACATGGCTTGCTTAGGCCCGGCGTCGTGTGGTTCGGCGAGGCACTACCCAAGCAGGTCATTGGCGACATCACCAGTTGGATGGCCGACAGCGAGAAGATTGACCTGATCATGGTGATTGGCACCAGTGCTAAGGTGTACCCAGCGGCTGCATACGTTGATTCGGCCAGGGCAAAGGGGGCCAGGGTTGCCGTTGTCAACATGGACAGGAATGATGAACCTGCGAGTGGGATGCGTGACGGTGATTGGTTCTTTCAGGGAGACGCCGCACAGATCCTACCTGAGATTCTGAAGAGCGTGATCGGGGAGGTCAACACGGATGAGGATGCAGCGTCTTCGGCGCAGCCTACTTGATCCGGGCACAATTGTGTGTCGTTGACGAATTGAGTTTACGCATTTTTTTGCTTGTCTGCTCATTGTCTGCATAAGTACCGTTGGGTAGCACAAGTTTTCACGTTAGCGAAATGGAATGAGTCATATTTTACACATCGCTCGATTTATGTAAAGACTGTTTGATAGAAGCAATGTGCGATACATAGCACGTATATTGATGTACTCTTATTGTTGATGCCCATGCTTTGTGTACATTTGAGTCAAGTCACTGAGTGGGGTTCATCTTATCGATGCTATATATTGTGTGGCTTCACGTTGCTCCGATTTGCGACTAATGTCATTTTGAGATCTCTAAATACTATTTGACTTGTGCAGCGTGTGCACACCTTAGTCAAACATTGAACCCCTCGTCGAGTCATCACGATAGCAGCTACCCCTCATCCCCACTACCCTTTCAACATCGCAGCATCGCCCAGGGACGCAACTATCCTCGACCATCAGCACTCGGAAAATCTTCTTTCTGTCGTCCATTCATTTATTTATTTCGACCTCATCACGTTCTGATTTGATTTACGATATTCTTAATACCAAACAGGTTACCACATCAATCAAGCTTTCTGGAACAACTAGTCCAAACATTCACATTTTCTTCCATCCACAAGAAATCAATTTCAAGAGCGGAAGATATTACACGCAAGATGTCACCTCACCCCTCCCTAGACCACCTGATCCTCTTCCTTCCCCCCTCTCAACTCTCCTCACCCTCAACTCCTCAGATACCCTCCTTTCTATCCTCAAACTTCACCCTTACGCCCGGTGGTACCCATGCCGACGGCCTAACCGCGAATACCCTGATCCTTCTCGCCGATGGCTGCTACATCGAGCTCATCTGCTTCGTTCCACCTTCAGACGACGAAGCCAAAGCTCAAGAGGAAAAACTCGAAAAGCACTGGTGGGCTTTCTCTCCAGCCGCACAGGCAAGGAAAAGAGTTGGGTGGGTAGATTGGTGTCTCACTACGCCCTCTTCAGTTGCGACAGCCGAACAAAATTTCGCGCACATTTCTACCGGAAGCGCACGAGAGCGATACGCCCCTCCCATCCCAGGATCCCGGCTTCGACCCGATGGCATTGAAGTTAAATGGCATGTCACGTTTCCCAAGGGCGAGAATGGTGGACAGAAGTTGAGGGGAGTGGTGCCGTTTTGGTGCCATGATGTTGGGGAGAGAGGGGCTAGGGTTCCGATTGTTGATGGCGAGTCCGGTGATGAAGGAGCAGCGATTCGACATGCTAGTGGTGTAACTCATGTTAAAGAGCTCACCATATTAGTAGGGGAGAAAGAGTTGTTCGAGGACATGAGGGGTGTTTATCGGGAACTTTTTGGGGATGAGCATGATAAAAGTGATGGTGCAGGGGCGGATGCGTGCGAGTTTCAAATTGCGAGGGTGCGATATGGCGGGGGTATTAAAAACGGGGAAAGCGAAGGCGCGAGGATTGTATTGAAGCCGGCGGGTACCGAGGTAGAAAAGGAGAAATGTGGGGGGAAAGGGTTCTGCTTTGGGGATGTTGTGTTTGGGGCAAGTGCTGATGCTGTAGGGAGGACCAAAGGGGAGAGAGTCAGATTGGATGGTGGTAGTCAAGACTTGGGAGGGTTCTGGGTCGATTATGTTTGATCATCTTGTTTGCGATGGCAGTCCATGATGGAAGTGTTCTGTTAGAGATCTAAACATTACAAGGGCAAACCCACCCTAAGATCAGCTATCAACACTCATTTAAGGCTTCATGTTATGTCTAGATCCTATTAGCAGCCTTTTAAAACTATATTCAGATGCTATTTAACAAGGTATTGAAGTAGAAAGAACAGTTAACACCCTATCTTAGGCTGGGGCCTCTCAGTAATGGATGTAACAACACTGGCCACACGTGGCTCATCTTCTGATTGATACTTTTGGACATTTAAATTCTTGTCTTATGTACATCTGACGTTGAGCTCTTTCGCTATGAAGAGATTGTGTGTAAGGCGTTTTCAAGGTAAAAGGCAAAGCTTGCTATTTGTAGTTTGTTCCCACTCACAGCACTCTATCGGTGGACAATTATATGACGTGCTCTCGGTCTGCATTTGTCATTCATCTACATCCATATAAAGAACTCGGAGATGCCACTCAAAGCCTTCATCATCTTGATCTTTCAGTCCGAAGAGTCCATAATCATTTCGTATCTCATTACGGCGCGCCCTATATATGAATGTAGTAAATTGAATAGAGATCGATATTGGTTGGCATCTAATGTACAATCTCCGAAAGTATGCCTAGAGGATCGAAGCAAAGACACAATATAGTTTTTCTTATGCTATTTAAGAAATGGTCTTTCAGCAGGTCACAGTTTCATTTCCGCGATTCTAGAGTCGTACCATTTTCATCAAAAACTATATAAACTCTGGCACTAAGCTCTACTATTGACACGAACTTTTCAAGTTTTCTAATTATTGAGATGTACTTTTCGCTTTACGTTGAGAAGCACGCCTCAAACCAAACCTTTAGCCACTCTTCACGCCGCAAACCAAGGTGTTGTTAATCAATCAAACCACGACAATAACGTTCGGAATGGGGGTTAATGCACCTCATCCTTGACGTACGCATCATCGCTGTCAAATTCCAGAAGATCCCTTGGTCGTAAGCTGTCCTTGCACGAAGCCGGGCAGTGACATTCAGGCACATTGAGGATGCTCGGCGGATTCAACATCAACCTCTGGACTTCCATTTCGTAGCTGAAGCTGCGGTCGGCTTCATCCAGATGCTTCTCTCGCTTGGCTTGTGCTAGAATGGCACGCCATTTCTCTCGTAGGCAAGTCTTGACCGCTCCAAGTAGTACGATCTTGGGGATTTGTTGGATGAATGGGAATGCTGCCAGTAACATCCAGTCCACGACGACCTTGAAACATGGCTCCACGTCGACTTCATCGTAAGTCATCCCGCTCTCGCTCCTAAACTTCCGCCACGGGTTTCTTTCCGCGAATCTAGATGGTTCCCGTCTCCGATCTCGTGAGAAGACCACCCACGGGGATTGGACATTCAACTCCAATACTCTTAGCGCAGGAAGGCGCTTGAGCACAGCAGATCCGGAAATACCATCATGGACAGTGGTGAACTGGAGAAAAGGCTCAACAGTGACCCCGAAGAAATCGAAGAAAACTGTCAAGTCCATATCCAGATGGATCTTGCCGAGCCAGTTCATCTGCTGTGGCGCCAAATTTCGGATCAAATCACCCAAGACGTGGCAATCCGTGAAGTGCTTGGTTGCCATCCGCGCCGCCAAAAAGGCCTCTTTGTTGACCGCTTTGGAGACGAGTAGAAGATTGTGATTGATTGAACCGCGGGCCAGCTTTCTCTGAAAATCGTCGAAGCTTTCGATATCATCTTTCCATGTATCCATGATGGACAGCTGAGAATTACCGTGTCGATCGCTTGTTTTGAAGGGTGATATATTTGAGCCCAGCGCATGCCTCCAAACGATTGAACGGATCTCGGCCGGGAGTGTCATTACAGGAAAGTGCTTCCTGTTCTTGGCCCACCATTTTCCCTGTGCTTTGAGTCCGGCAACCGGATGCTTGTAAAAAGCCCGACGTTCGTCATACGTCATATCGCACGTTCCGCGTTCGTATTCTGCCATGGCCCAGTCAATGAGCCACTCTTCCAGCATCCGCCATCCAAGTCCAGGAACCCGGACTTGAATGTGGCCTACAGCAAGTATCTTTGTACCCGGAAGCAGGCGGACTGGAAAGGTATGCGGAACTTCGTGGGTGCTCTGCTTGAACGCGTATAATTTGACTGTCGGGTTTTTGTCGTGCGGTGGCCAGAGGCGAGAGGACGTCATATTGGTAACGCGAAGACTATGAGCCGCGACGTACATATTGGTCTCATTGAGTTATCCAATTGCACGAAATATAGTGTGGAGTACAGCATCGTTGGAAGGTCCGAATTTGGTGAGGCTGTACACGTACTCGTCTGGTCGAGTCCGCGCTTTGTCTTCTGGGAATGGGCAGAACATGAGGGTGAACGCCTGGGGGTGACCTTCTTGGGAACGATCGCGAGTCACTTCGCGAAGTCGCTTCCACAGTGAGTGTCTCTGGTGATAAATCATTGTGGTTTCAATAGGTTTTTGACGCGAATGTTGTAGTGGTCGGGTCGAGGTATAGGTTCTCTGCGACCAGTCTAAGGGGGGTATTTATAAAGACGTTCCCGCGCTAATTACCTCATTCACTGTACTAAATGAGAGCGCAAACAGCGATACATGGCTCTTATCGTGATTGACCAATAAGGACATTTGAAGGTGTTTGCAACAGTGAATGCAAATCAGCGCGCTAGTGTCTAAGTAAAATTATCCACAAACAGACAATCAAGGCGGCTGCGAGCAAAATACAAATAGCAGCTGTGTGAACGTTCAATCGGATGGGTTATTTTGTTGGTCCGGTTTCCCTTTGTATCGTGTCGAGTAGTCGTTGATGCTGCTGTTCAAGTTGGAGGGAGTGAGTGCCGGGTCTGGATATCATACCTTTCTGAGCGAACAAATATGCAGTCAATCGGATAGATGTATTGAATGTTGTGTCTCATCTTACTCAACTAGATAGAATGCTTAGAATGGACGTACTTGTGTGTCTCGATAGTCGGGACTACTGAATAGACCATTGATCGAAGCTGTTGTTAACTGCACTTGGTGATGTAGAAGCATCGCAGCCAATAGACTCGTTACAACGCCAGTAAGACGATATTAGGATTCAAACATGTTTGAGAACTTGCAACCCCCGAGGTGGCAATATAACATAATGGAAGTAAAAGATCACTGTTGTTGCTTCCCTTGCGCAATCATCAAAGGTATGACCATGCAAGTTCTCGTGGTACCCAGTTAATCGCTTCGCCATCGAAATAGAGTTTCAAATGGGGCGATCTTTTTTTTCCCTTTGTCAGCAAGCTCTTCTATATGTTTGAAGCAGTCAATCTAGATGTAGATTGATGTTTTGACTTGTTTGCGTATGTGGTTGTCACTCATTTGTAGACTAACCATAGACTAACGATGTGCCCATGTGCTAGGGTACAGCCAGTAAGCGATATGCGGGGTGGGGATGACCTTGCGGGGGACCACAGCACAGACACTCTTGTTCGCGGTGGTTTGCTCCGCCCTCAGATTTCACTCGGAAGTATTGAATTCAGCAGAAGAGAATGAGACTCATCGACTGTTGTAAGAGTCCTTTTCGGATGGAGGAATTCATGACACCCCCTGAAGAACCTTTCGCCATACTGTCCCACACATGGCAGGATGAAGAAATAACATTCCAAGACTTTGCGGACGATGCCTTGCGCACCTCAAGGAAAGGTTGGGGAAAAGTCCAGAGAACATGTCTGGAAGCTCAGCAGCTCGGATATAGATATGTTTGGATTGACTCTTGTTGCATCGATAAGACGAGCAGTGCCGAATTGACGGAGTCTATCAACTCCATGTTCCAGTGGTACAGCGATGCTGATACCTGTCTCGTCTACCTTTTCGATTTTCATTCGAGCGTTAGTGGCACCAGCATGTTGAGTAGCGCCCGCTGGTTTTCCCGGGGATGGACCTTACAGGAATTAGTGGCTGCAAAGAAGGTCAGGTTCTATGATGTCTCCTGGCAGTTCTTTGGTACAAGAGAAACCTTGCATAATGAGCTGGTACACATTACCCACATCAGTCCAGAGGTCCTTTCGCCACCCCCGAACATCCAGGTTCGAGATTTGTTAGATGCCATCCCAATCGCCAAGCGCATGTCTTGGGCGACAAACCGATTTACCAAAAAGCCCGAGGACATAGCTTACTGTTTGATTGGACTATTCGATGTCAACATGCCTCTTCTGTACGGCGAAGGGGCACAGAAAGCCTTTGTTCGGCTCCAAGAAGAGATCATCCGCGACAACAACGACCTAAGCATCTTCGCATGGAAGTCGCGCGATGAAGATTCCAGAACACTCCGAGGTATCTTTGCAAACAGTCCCTCTGAGTTCTACGATGCGCAAAATCTGATACTTGATCACGATGTAAAGTTCAATCCGGACTATGTGATTTCGAACAAGGGCCTGCGGATCCAGACATTTTTGCATCCAAGGAAAAATTCGGAATATCTTGTGATGCCACTCCGATGTCGATCCGAAGGGGCAATGAAGCCACAGCTCGGGATCATTCTTACAGACATTGGCGCCAGTGTCTATGTTCGAGCGGAACCTCATATCTTAGCCAACCTACGCCTAGATACTCCTTCCTTGGGCGGAAACAGTATATTCGTATCAAAGAAAGCTGTTGCAAGAATTGGACCGGTGGCGGAGAAGTCTACAGCTGTCGATAAGATAGGCACTATCAACTTCAAAATCTTGGACAGAAACAAGCACGTCGCTTCGGCAACGCTACTAGAGGCGGAGCCGAAGGAACTGTGGTATGCGCGAAATCAAGTATTCGTTACGCGCGGACTTCGAAGTTTCACTGGATTTCTCAGATATCAGATTCTTACGCAGACGAATGTTATGGGGACAGTTGTGGTCGCGTGCGGGTTCACCGAGAGAGGCGTCGCATGGGTGGCCTTCGAGGATAATCAAGGCGATATGATTGATGCTTCTCTCAAAAAGGACCTATTTAAGATAGCCGAGATTGGTCCTCGGACAGGTAGCTTGAAGAACCGGAAACATGACTTGACTTTTGGGAGAAAGCAATTACAATTTGGCTGGGTTAAGATCAATTGTGAGGTACAGGCTAACGACGGTGAGCTTGCTCTGAATGTGAGTCTTGACTTCCAAGTTGCTGGGTCGCAGTAGAATCTCGAACTGTTTCTCGTGATAGAAAATAAGCTGTAGCTCACCATCTCCGCTGTACCGTTCTATGCGTCTGTGGTGGATACGACTAATGCGAAAAAAACAAAAACTATTTGCTACATCTCGCTAAATATCGTGTTGTTCTATTGATTTATATTGCCGAGCTTCGTATGCCTGACCCAAAACCTTTTGGCCCAAGACTCAATGAGCAGGTGCATGCGAAAAGAACGACTTGTAAAGCCCACTCTTGGCTTTTGATCATTCTGTCCCTTTTCGCTTCACGTCCTTCAGCATCACTTTTAATTTTCTAAACCTCCATAAAGCTTACCTTTCGGGAGAAAACTTCACAGTGAATTCTGCCGACAAATCATCCCTCCGCTCCAACGGCCCGCCCAGTGTTCTAGGCTATGCACGTAAGCGAAAATCCGGGGTAAATACTATTAAAAATTGCGACTATGAGCGATCAACTTTATTGAATCTATTTTTACCAAAGAATATGACATGTATGCATTGTGGTTGTGGACAGATATATGGCAGATGTTCCCCTCCACGAACTTGAACTTCCTTCTAATCTTTATCTGATAGCGACAAAGGAAAAATTGCCAGTCACCATGGGTCGATTCGCCAGAATTATTGCACTTTTAGTGTTGGATGCAAGGCAAGTACTCTATACCTTAGAATTAGGAGGGTAACTGACACCTTGGCAGCTGGCTAACTGCTGCTCAGCTGACTACATCGACTTCAAGGGCATGCGACTGCTTCACAGCAACAATAACTTCTTCACTAACAGGTTGCGGTGTTCCACAACCATGCCAACCGTGTATAAAAGTAGAGTATGTTTATCTCTTGTTGCTAAATCTTCAGCTTTTCCAATGGACCCGAGACTCAATGACATTGTCCGTTCATCACTTCACCACACTTACGCCAGAGATAAAATCTCAGCTTGCAGCTAATCCATTCACCAGAACAACTGTCATCCCCGGTCACAACAGCCGCTGCTCAGAAACCCCGACAATTACATCCTATATACCTTGCAGCACACAGTGTCCTAAAGGCTGTCCCACTTCTATCTACACCTCTACAGCCCGCTACACATGTGCTCGGCCCACCCCAAGTCTATCTTTGACATCTACCTTGTCTGCGGCCTCTAACTCACCCACGCCAATCCCAAGTTCGGTCACATCTTCGGCCATCGGAAAAGAGGGTGACGCATGTGGTCGCTTCAGGATACCTCGCGATCCCCTGTGCGGCGCCGGATTAACATGCGTACTCGACGATCCACGAGTCCCAGATAAAGGCGGCATCTGCCTACCGAGCTCGGTGACGGTATCGCATACCCCAACCCCCAAACCGACCTTGATAATTGGTAAGGAAGGCGACAAATGTGGTGCCTTTGTACCGATCGGAAACCCGGCTGGCGCTATCTGCGATACGGGCCTCCGGTGTGTTTTGACGGACCCTCAGATCCCCGATTTAGGTGGCATCTGCAGGAAAGCAACATCACAGTCGCCCCCTACAACAACAAGCTGGATGACTATAACCTCGTTGACATCATCTGAGCCAGCCGGTCCAATTACGAAAAGTACCCGGCCCTGCCCAACGAAGACTGTGACGTCCCCAGATCACTGCCCGGAGGATTTGCTTGGATGCCCGTACGACTGCATTGCTTTGAGCACGACGACAGTGCCTCCGACGTCGATCATAGGTTGTCCAACTACGACACCAACAAATACTATCACTATGTCTAGATTCTGCAGGTATACTTGCTATGGCGCTTGTAGCACAAGCTGGATTACAAGTACAGCCACGAGCTGGTAGTGTGAACGTCTCTGCCGGTAGTGGCGCTCGGTTGTGTAATTCTGTGGCGAAATTTTGATAGTTACTTGACGGCGTGGAAGCGTCGCGATAAATTGATACAGCTTGAAAGTGACAGTCAAAGCATCCCACCCGAAGTATTTTACCAGCTTTTTTGTTAGGATGCTATGAGTGGCATTTGGGGATTATTTGCCCTTTCTCGACTCCAAGTGTCTAGCGCATCCCAGTCAATGCATTGTTGCCGTGAAGTTGAGCTTGAGTCCAGAAACTTCGAGTCTTTATCCTCTGGCCGAGAAAATATATAAAGGCTGAGATCAGGCGAGCACATAACTGAGGCCCGGAGCATATCGATACAATGATCTAAAGTTCGTGTTAGCCCGTTTGGAATCATGATGAAGGATTGCTTCAGTATTACCTAAGTGAGTTCTCATCTCGAACCCATTCTCTTCTGTTGTGTTTAATTGAATCTCGCCGTATAGATTTTTTCGAAGTTTACTCTAAGATGTTTCAGCCGCGTACATTGAATCGATTGCGAAAGGTAATTACCAGGCAATGCAGGTCATGATAGATGCCTAATGAAGATAGATAACCTCCATCGTCATATTTAATCATATCCATGGGACTGATACCCACAGATTGAACCTCCTGGTTCGATGCATTGAAGTACATAGCTGACAAGATTTAGTACTTCGCTTGACTCAATTCAGGTGAAGCTTACGTAGTAATAGTTGGTGCCATGCAGCTTCATTATCGGCATTGGGCAGCCCTGAGTATTCGCTATGTTTTGAGTGCTTCATGGTACGAGCAGAACGTGTTGTTTGGTTGAAAGTGTATAAATCTGAGATTGGCACACCTTCAACACTAGCGTAATAGCCCGTGTTATGAGGAGGTTCATTTGAAACGCAGACTTCTGGGACGACTGGATGAAACCATTTGAAAGGACGAAGTTGAGCGAACAAAGATGCGATAAGCAAAGAATGTATCAAAACCAGGTAGCATACTCCCCAAAAGCGGCAACTGATGTGTGACTTCGTACTACGACTTCGAGATTCTTCTATTGTCCAAGGATTCGTCTCCATGTCTTCTCTGCTTAGGCGGTAGGCTTTTGCAAAATAGTAAGAAATCGGGACCGCAATTTCAAGGATAGAATATTGGGAGCAAGGTGTATATGGAGTTTCTAGGAATGGTCCATATCGAAATGGAGCCCGCTTGATTACCGGGCTGAGAAGGGCAGCCATCCATCGAGACTCACGCATCGGTTTGACCCAAGCTTCATAGAGAAATTTAACCACATAGTCTCATATCCGGATACGATGGATATCGTGATCGCATGTATCCAGTGTGACATGCAAGAAAAAACCTGTTTTTTTGCTCAAGTCAATGTCCGTTGCATCGATGCCGTTGATGCGGGACTCGCGCAAACAACAAAACTATTGGACAGCGGCGTCTCCAGGCCGAAATGAAAATGAAAGTCCATATTTTAAGAAACTTCTTACATCTGAAACGTGCTTGGCATAGAGCGCGCATGTACAAAATCGTCTAGTCAGCAGCCACGCGAGAACAAGGTTGTTGTCTGCATGACCGGGCTGGTGGATTCCAAATCCGTCCTCAAAGGGTGTCTCGTACATACCAGTAGCGTCTCAGTATAAGTATTGATTCTACTCTCGATAAGGTAGTCTGGTTACCGCGGTCTCGTTCAGGTCATATCTCTCATTTTTGCAGGACCTTTCGTCTACGTCTACAATTCCTTCATTCAATTTCCTTACTACAACAATGCGTATCGGTAATGTCATCATGGCTATCATTGCCACATTTTATTCAGTTTCCGCTGCCCCAGTTCCGCAATGCACCGTCGCTTGTCTCACGAGAGGCATCACCACCCGATCGGCTTCTGTGGTTGGAAACTTGAGGCACGAGGGTGAGTAGACGCTCCCCTACTTTTCAATGACACACGACATACCGGACCACGCATAATGCGACATTTGAGATAACTTATTTTGCAAAGACCTAACGAAATTACAGAAGAAGATAGAACGTCAAAGCTGGCGGAAATATCTAATCAGCGGGTCGGAATGAGAATATTGTTTGCTTGGTGATCACAATCGAAAGGTGCCCCAGAAAAGCAAGATGTCAAAGAAGCGGCTCGTTGTATACCACGATCTAGTAAATGTACCGGAGTATGTGGAGTTTTAGTCCTTGATAAATACAAAAATAAATATACAGGCTTGAACTCAGACAGAACTGTTGGAACACTAAAGATCAAAATACCACATGTTTGCGTTCTCTAGCCTTGATGATACACCACCAAAGTTTTTAGGATAGCAATCAAGCATCATCAAAGCCGAAATGTAGAAGCTTGAGTGAATCCGGGACACCCAATTAACACAGAAATAAGGCCACCAAAGGACGAACGCTTAGGATCTACCGATAATTGAGGTTTTGCTGGAATCCGAATCTTATTACCGGATCTAGAAAAGCTCAAGTTCTACCACAAACAAATTTAGCACAAGATGATGACTGTAGGAATCGTGTTGCACCGATCGATGATTTTGTTGGTTTTGATGACTGCGCTCGCTAAAATGCTTGGAGATTATCCGCGGCCACGATCTACTGTTTTAGGTAAATCATGAACAATCGAATAAAGCCTTGCCAAAACGAGGTGTATTCATAACCTGGCAATGGGGTGGAGACAGAACGAACATATAAGCGCAGCTGAATTCAACAGTCAGCGCAAGCCTCAGGGGGCCAAATTGCAACTCACCAACGAGTTACACAGCCGACAACCCACATAATCGTCGTGTATGCAACGCACGATTCACCTGGCAAAATTGTTTCGTGGGTTGAGTATTCTAGATTTCTTTACGCAAACACTGTTCATGATATCAATGAATCATTGCCCCATCCATAGCTGTAGGGTTAGCATTGTTTCAATCCCACCTTCCTCCATACATCGTTTGCCAGCATTCGTTCACTTCCATTATGAAGATGCTCATGAAGACACCAGATGCTGCAGCATTCATAGGCATTACCACTACGCTCACAGCTGCCTCCCTGGTAGTGGTGGCATTACGATTCTACAATAGGCTCAGAGTGAAGCAGGCCATATTCATCGACGACTGGCTCATGGTACCATGCATTGTATGTTCATGTATCTTCTAGCCAATTTTTGAGAACTGAAAAGCTAATATACTGCAAGGTCATGATCATTGGGCTGTTGGCGATTGTTGGACACGGTGTAGCTACTCAAGCGCTTGGATACCCATCTCCACTCATGCAACTCCAAACTCAAGGACTAAAACCCCGTGGTTCCGACCGCTCCGCGATAGCACAGATAGTCGATCTGCTATCACTGACCGCGAAGCTGGAATACTCATTTATTTGCATAGTAGTGCCATTACTTGGCCTCATCAAGATCAGCGTCCTAGCTTTTTACAGAAGGCTATTCGTGATCGAGAAAAGCAACGCGAGAGATGCGAGGAACCTGATCGTAACAATATCCATGGTATTCGTCGCTCTCTGGGCTATAACTTTCGATCTTGCTTTTATATGGATGTGTAAAGGCGACTTCAATGCAGCATTTGGCCCTCCAGCAGAGGTGGCGGAGAAATGCATCGATGCACCTCTTCTGGCATATATTTTCTCGATATCGGATTTCATTACCGATGCGCTCATTATTCTTATCCCCATCCCTTTCGTGAGTACTGCAATAGCGCACACGTCGAATGATTTTCTGCTTCTAACCGATTTTTCAGGTTTGGAAGTTGCAACTCTCGGTTCAGAAGAAGCTTGCTGTCACTTCCATATTCCTGCTCGGAATCTTGTGAGTGAATATCTGAAGCAACCACAATTGATGAGCATATATTGACATTTTTAGTGCCTCCATCGCATCTCTGATTCGTCTGATATGGTCAGTCTGGTCAAGAGAAGTGGGATTCGACCCAAGTCTTGATGGCGAACGTGAGTATCAACCAAATAGCGCCATTCATTCTCAAATGCTTCCACGCTAATGGGAACGTAGTAATCACAACATCGCTGCTCTTCTGGTTCGTGGTTGAAGCCAACGTAGGAATCATTGCTGCGTGCCTACCAGCCGTCCGCGGGCTTTTCACGAACGAGAGGTTTGGGATTTTCTTCAGCGGCATCCGATCGAAATGGTCATCCTACACTGATTCGAAGTCACCGAACAGCAAAGAGTATGAGCAGTTTGACAGCGAGACGGATTCTCACTCCTATGCCCTGAAAGAGATTTGGATAAGAGATTCTGCTGTTTGAGGCATGGGGATATAGAAAATATATCTGGAACGGAGTGTACAGCTGGTAGATCGTAGCATTATATATGAACGGCAGAATTGTTTTGTTAAATGCTCCCCGTCGGGTACATATGTAAGCTTTGATGGAGCGTCGATAATGGGCTCGAGAGTGCCTCAAGCCCTACGCAGACTCCCTCGGTAATGCATTGATAAGAAGTCATATGCAGACTGATTTCATAAAGGATTGATTGACTACCTAATTGACAGGAGCCAGTGACTACCTCGTGATCGTTTCCCCTCGATGCTAGATATAATGCAAAGGCGACGGACGTAATGTTCATCGCAAGTGAAGGGAATCAAGGGTCAATGATGTGCCCTCAATAGCAGATGAAAGAAAGAAAAGGCTTGCAATGTTTTTCGGACAAGTGCAAAGCTAGAACATGGGTATATCCTTAACGACAAGCAGACCAGAAGCAAACCGACCGATATACACCCACCATTAACCTCGCGACAGTAATCTGGTAATCATTTATGGGATACAAGGACTTGCCTTCAATGCATGAGTGCACTTTTCAGACCGTCCAAAGGAGAGAAAGAAAACAGATGAAGTTGTGATTTGTATAAGGGAAAGGGGAGTGGCATTGGGTGCTTTGGGGGGGATTTACTACCTTGTCATTCCATCAGCAGCCTTTTGGCCTGCAGAATCCTGCACAGCGTCCTTGTGGTACGCAACAAGCTCCTGGTAACGCACCGACAGCGTGTTCATATCCTCCATAAACTCTGCATGTTCCATGAAAAGACGGCAACCTGCGAGCTTGTTGATGTTCTCCTGAATCTCACTCATCTCTTTTAGTAGCAAGGCTTTTTCCAGTTTTCCAGTGATCCATTTAATCTCTCTAAGATAGGTGTCAAGATCCATGGACTGTGCGCGTGCTGAGAGGTCTTGGATCTTCGCACTCAAGCTTATGGCGGGGATAGATTGATCAACTTCTGAAGTATTCGTCGAGGCGTTTCTGTAGGTTGGTGTTGATGTGTCCGTTGCTGCGTCTTCGTAGCTGGGAACCTCCATACTGGTACCTGCGTTTCTGTACTTTGGAATTCTCATATTTGTTCCTGAATCCTTGTACGTTGGTCGATTCATTTTGCCCTGGGGACTGCCGGTAATGGATGGAGTGAGGCCATAGGTTATGTGCTCAGCGAAGTTGGTAGCTCCCAAGTTGTCATTGCCGAAAGGTTCGTTTTTTATTCCGGGTTGCCTAGGCGGGAGGGTGGCATAGGAAGGCTTGTACGTAGAGCCTGTGGGATGGAAGGAATCAATATGGTCACGATAATCCCAATAAGGAGGCGAGTATTGCGTCCGAGCATTGGTTCGATCAGAAGCAGGACCTCGAAGCGCCTCACGATCTTTGCCAATCATCGACTTAATGTTAGAGGTCGTATAAGTTGAACGTGATTCCTAAAACCCGGGTTGAGCTTTATTGGCAACGATATCACATGGCCGACCAAGATGGGCCGCATAGCCGTGGAATGGGCAGATCCGATCGCATAGAAGCCATTTCCGTCGGTGAGAATCGTCCGCTTTCTTGAGGCACCGGAGGCAGGAGGTAAACATGGCAGACTCTCCTGCCTCCCTTAATGCTGCGAACATTACCTCACGGGGGAGGTTGGGGTTCGCGAGAAAAAATTCCGAATGTTTCACTTCTGAATCATTGGAATTGAACTCGGGCTGTAATGGGCGGGGCGTATCTCCAACGGAGGTACGAGGGTTTTGAGGAGCTTCATCGGCCATCTTGAGAAATCTCGAGTCGAAGACGTTGATGGTTTGGCAATGCGAAGGGGTCGGCTGGGCAAGCAGTGATGCACTGCGTTGTTTTGGGTATGCCAAGCTGAGAGGTAAAGTAGTGCAGAGTGAAAGCAGTAGTCAATCGGTTGTCTGTGAGCTCTTGATGCTGAAGAACTGCCAAGCATTTAGAGACCAGTCACGTGGCGTGCGAAAGCCTGGTGAGCAAACAGATAAACAAACAACATTTGGATTGAACGGACGATACGTGCACGTGCACAGCACCAGCACGCTAACGAATAGGTATAAGATGCGCCTGACGTGTCTAAGTGTTGAAAACTGGAATGCCAAAAAGGGACGCAAGATTGCGGAGACATCATAGGATAGGTTTTCCAGAGACGTAGAGACTGAAACCGTACATATCACTATGCACGATGAGCGTAGTCTCAAAAGTTGCCTGAAGATTCGAAAATTAGTTGTATGCATCAATCTGTTGCCGTTGTAAATCAATATACTGTGCTCATGGGCTCATATATACTTGGTTTGACTCCCGCAGTCCGCCGTCGCATCCTTTGGTATCAACTGCGACGGATGGAATTTCTGCCAAAAGTGCGGTATAGACGGAAAACGCTTCCCATCTTGGGGAATCAGAATTGTCTCATCCATTCGATTTGGCAAAATTGCTGACTATGTTCATCTTTCGACTTCCAAATCCCAATAAATTTTGTGTATAGCTGTGTCGATCGCAAGCTCAACTTGAGACTAATAGAATATGAATCAAGCGATTTGGTTTGTTGGCTTCTATTCGAAATTGTCACATTTTAGAACTACTGGCCGACAGGGGAATTATGATCATAGAAATAGTAGAAACCCGAGCTGCAGAAAGGTTAGTCTTCAATTGTATTTTCATCGGTGGACACAGATATATATACCGCTCCCGAGTGGTACTGACTTTCGATCATGCGTTCTCGCCCTCATATGACATGGCTCTCGTCGATGAACTTCGGCAGATTTGCTCATGGCAGGTGCGTATGTTGATGTATCGCGGGCTGTGAATTAGTTTGCAACACTCCATTCCCTCAACACAAACACAGATAGGGTCATCGGGCAGCGTCCTGCGCCATGTCGTGTGCTGCGTTCCCTTTGTGAGATTCCAGTCTGATCCAGTCATGCTTCTTCACGAATAGCACCCGGGAACCAACAGTCAGTATTTCGGAATGATGAATAACGATTAACAACCGGCTCACTCTTGCGCTTTCTTTTTTCACTCGTTCAAAGGAGCAAAAGAATAGATGGATTCACATAAGCATGTCTTTATATGCGTGCAAATGACTAAGCTCGTACGATAGGTCTTGCTCTGCTTACTTTGAGAACACATCTCTCCCTGTTGGGCACAAGGTCTTCCCAGAATATCGGAATGGTACTTTACTCATCACACCGACTAATGAGATCAGTACAATAAAGGATTGGTCGAACACATCACACGATGGACCACAATCTCTGCCAGCCGGAGCGTCCAAGAAGCCTTCAGAGCACAAGAAATATGACGTGTCAAGTTATCATCTACTGGGTTGACTGCTAGCTTCACTCGCCACACAACACCAGGGGTAGCACAGTCTAAACCTTCTGCTGACTTGCGTAATTCCCCTTGCCCAACAAAACAAGAAGCAGATCGGAGGATGGCAAAACGGCGCATGCGTCCGAACCCCCGAAGAAAAAAAAACAATTCGATCACACGCGCGAACAGACATGGGAAAGTGGTCATAGAAAACAGGGGTCCTATTCCATGGGAAACCAAGAATGCCATGATCCGTTAGCTAGGGCCTGAGGAGGCAGAAGGTCAAAGCGATATCGAGGGGAGAACAACGCCTCTGATATAAACATGATGTCTTTGGAAGATCTTGTGGGGGATGAGAACGTGGGGGTGCTCCGACGAGAACCAATGACGAGGATGCTTCAGCCCTGTGTGACTGGACATGTGTGGGTCCCCGCCCCCGCTTCCCTGCAGCGCCAAATGCGGAACAACGGCTAGCGCTGGTGGTCTGGTCACTATGATTATACAACCACAACGACGCCATCGTGAGATTATATCGTTGCTGTGGTCAATTGACCAAGCACCGCCCGCTTCTTGGGCCTGGTGATCTTCAGGGCGCGTGACGTAGAGCAGGACTCGCGGCGTATTAATGGCTGCTAGAAAATGCTGAGCGAAGCGCTACATGCTGGTCGAATTCGCTAGTCGCCCAAGAATTGCGAGTCTGCATACGCAGGCACATCGTGAGATTGTAGTAGGCGGGTCTCGACTTTTTTTTCCTTGTGTTGGTTACATCATATGTTGCCCGGGTGCGGTGGCAGGTATAAAAAAGTCGTCAGATGAAGAATGGACCTTATGCAACCTCTTTGTCCACGAATTCTTCTTTCTTCTCACCCGCACTTTTAACTTACTCACACAAGGTCCTGAAATCTCTCCAAAAAATACAGACCGCAATAATGACGGCACTACCTGCCGGATCGCTCGCGCGCCAGCTTGCGAAAGCACCCGCCTTGCGTCCACGACCCCTCTTCTCGATGCTCAACACCCACCAACGCCGCTTCGAGCACTCGACACCCCGCGCGCCATATAGTAGGACAGAGAATGTCGGAAAGCAGAACTTTGGCCAATTTGATGTTGGTGGCAAGGTTTTCGTTGTGACAGGTACAGCGAATGGCTCTTCATTATACACCGCAAGCTAAAACTATCAAAGGCGGCGCACGCGGACTTGGCTTGTGTATGGCTGAGGGTCTGGTCGAAGCTGGCGGAAAGGTTCACTGTTTCGACCGGCTTCCGAAACCCGACAATGCCTTCAAAGAAGCCAAATCGCGCATCTGTCCCGAGTTCGGTGGCTCGTTGGAGTATCACCAGGTCGATGTCACTCATGACGAACAGCTGGAGGAGATTATCGCCAGCATCGCGGACCAGAACCAGCGTCTAGATGGTTTGATTGCCGGTGAGTAAGCCTAAGAATATAGCATAGCGTTTCGCTGATGTCGCTCCATCATAGCTGCCGGCATGCAGCAATGCACTTCGGCGCTAGATTACCCCTCGACCGATATCGCAAGAATGTTGGCAACTAACTACACTGGTGTCTTCCTCTCTGCACGCGCCTGCGCACGACAGATGTACAAGTACAAGATCCAAGGGTCCATGTGCTTGGTTGCTTCTATGAGCGGCACGATTGCTAATAGAGGCTTCATCGCTCCCGTCTACAACTCTTCTAAGGCGGCCGTGGTGCAGCTTACACGAAATCTAGCCATGGAGTGGGGACGTATCAACGAAGATGGATCTGGTGGCATTCGCGTCAATTCGTTGAGCCCGGGCCATATAGTGACGCCAATGGTCGAGGAGAACTTCCGTAGAGGCGAGGCGGATCGAGAGGAATGGGAAAACAACAGCATGCTAGGTAGGCTCAGCACTCCCGAGGAATACAAGGCCGTCGGACTGTTCCTCTTGAGCCGCGCTAGCAGCTATATGGTAAGTAGACACTCCTTACAACCGCATTCTCAGCCATTTTCCTAAGAACTATCCCCTCGTGGGCCATTCAATCGAAACCCTTCCTTTGAAGCACCATGCCCTTAAGTACCAGCACTACGCCGAACGCTATCTCTTTCACACGGTTTACGCAAGAACTAATACTTACGGACTAGACCGGACACGACTTGAAGGTTGATGGAGGGACGACAGCGTGGTAATCCGATCAACAAAAGCTGATGTGTATGCCCCCACGTGCGAGTTCAACGAGCGAGTCTAAAGAGCGATGCATCTGCAAACGGCGTTTTCGATACTAGGGAAAAGCGAGATTCTTTCTTGGCAACGCATTGTCTAACGATTTTGTTCTTTCATTCGTCGCAATATGGAATTTTTACGGTTTGGCGTTCTGGATGATCACATACGCAATAATTCCGCGGTAACGAAACCGCTTGCTCTAGTATAGCGCACAAGCTGGGAAGAGTCTTTTGATCAGTAAAATATAGTCAAAGCGAATTTAAAGTCAAACAAGTGCATATACAGACAAATGTATTGGTGGTGGAAGAGTGGAAGATTCAACCCCACGCGCTACTACACCCTCCTACTTCCCCGTTAAAACGCTCTAACCCATAATTAGCCTAGCGCATCATCATTCGGACCAACTGGCCTTCTGTTAATCTATCGACAGCCCATCGAACGCCTGTGTAAGCTGTCTCTCCTTCACGAAGCAAAACCACACATCCCGCCGCAATGGACCGAATAACGCGATTGCTGAGCTGCGTGCTCCTTTTCCTCTCCGTCCCGCTGGCTTCGGCCCTCAAATTCGATCTCCACGCTGTGCACGAGCATGAGGCCGCCAGGCATGAGCGCTGCATCCGCAACTTTGTCGCAAGAGAACAGCTGGTCGTGGTGTCGGTCATTATGGATGGCTACCGGGGCGATGGGCAAACTGTGAACATGCACGTACGTTCATCTTCTATCTTACTCTCTCGCATCGGGGAAAGCAATTGGTAGATGGGCGGGTGTGATATAAAGATTCAGCGCGAATCGATCTTGGACTGGGAGAAGGGATGGACAAATGAAAGACACAGGGCTATTTTTCGAGGGAAGATGTGGAATAATCGCTGATCATGCTGTCTGCAATATACAGATCCGCGATGCCATGGGTAACGACTACCACCGACCCAAAGACGTCTACGGCGAGAACCGCTATGCCTTCACCTCGCACGCCGACTCCGCCTTCGACGTATGCTTTGAAAGCGTCATAAGCGGAAGTATGCCTTCCACTCTCTTCTCTCCCCCTCCCTCCTTCATCACCCATAACTAACCACTCCCCGCCCTGGAAACAACAGAAGTCCAATCCTCCACAAACCCAACCCGCCACGTCGAGCTCGACATCGATATCGGTGCCGACGCAAAAGACTGGTCCGCCATCCAAGCCGGCGAGAAGCTGAAACCCGTCGAAGCGGAACTCCGTCGCATCGAAGAAGTCGTGGGCGAAATCGTCTCGGAAATGGATTACCTGCGCACTCGCGAGCAGAAGCTGCGGGATACGAATGAGAGCACCAACGAGAGGGTCATGTGGTTTGCGCTTGTTACCATGGGTATGCTTGTTGGATTGGGCGTGTGGCAGGTTGTGTATTTGAGGGCGTATTTCAGGAGTAAGCACTTGATTTAGGTTGGGCGTGGGGATATTTCTTGGGGGTGAAGGGGGGAGGAGCAGTTGGTACATTGGTGAGAGGTGGAAGGGAAGGAAAAGGAGACTCGGGCTGCCCGTATTCCATGCATCGGTATATCGTCAAGCATGTACGAACAAAACGACACGGCGATGAGTGAGCCGTCGAACCCAGGAAAGAAGCAAAAAACGAGAAAGGGAGAGAGGGGAAGAGGGCAGGGGGAATTGAGAACAGAATTCCGAGCCAAAACGATCCATGAGCGATGCAGAGATATCGAGAGAGAGAGAGAAAGAGAGCGACAGAAAACAATACACAAATTCACTACTCAGACTTTTTCCCCATCCACACAACGTGGTTTCCCTTGCCTCAATTAATCACTTTGTTTTCGAATCATGGGTTCACCTGATATAGGGAGATCATGCTGAATGCTTGCTGACAATTGGGCAGGAATTAAAGTTACACACATACCCCCATGTATTCGAGTAGGTGCTTAGGTGAGTGATATATGAGATGATAGGTGCACACCTAGGCTGTTCTGAGTGAATTGTGTGAATCGACCAAATAAACAAAAGACAGACATGAGAATGGGATGGGTTGCCATGCTGGTGTTTGACAAGATGAGAGAAACAACGAGGCCTGGATGGAATGGTCTCGGACGTACCAGTCAAAGGCGTGAATCGATTTTGAGAGTACTTGGGAGCATTTGTTTGAATACAAACAGCGAAAAGATAAGTCACATGGTTTCGGAAAGGGCAATGTGAATTTGTGGAAGCAAAGGTTGAATTATTTTTCTCCTTTCCCATGTGTAATAGTAAGGCGGACTTTTTTTTCCTACCGTAACTTCCATCCAAAAGAAAAAAAAAAACATTTGAAGTAATGGTAGCACAAGACACGTGCCACTTCAGAACAAGAGGAACTCTGTACATGCAATATGCGAACTATTTAAACTCCAACGCCGAGAGCCCCACCTTGCCCAGACGATTCGTAAGAAAAACATGCAGACAAACAGACAAATACAAATAACATCCCATTTTTCGTAGCCCACTCACGCCGATCGATGAACGAGTTTACTTCTGGTTCTCAGGGCGGAGGCTGCGAACAGCCTTTCCGGCGCGCCAGATCTCGAGATCATCAATCTCAGCCAACTCCTGCTTGTACTTCTCGCGGTAGTCAGGCTGAGAGTTGTACTCGAGGGAGCGCTTGGTCTCGCTTCCGTCACGGACAGAGTCGTAGAGGTCGTTGAAGACGGGCTTGAGCGTCTCCTTGAAACGCTTGCTCCAGTCAATGGCACCACGACGAGCGGTGGTGGAGCACGCGGCGTACATGTAGTCCATGCCGTGGGCACCAATCAAAGGGTATAGAGACTGGGTAGCTTCCTCGACGGTCTCGTTGAAAGCCTCTGAGGGAGTGTGGCCACGCTCACGGAGGACTTCGTATTGAGCAAGGAACATGCCGTGGATGCCACCCATCAAGCAACCGCGCTCGCCGTAGAGATCAGAGTAGACCTCCTTCTCAAAGGTGGTCTCGTAGAGGTAGCCGGAGCCGACGGCGACACCAAGGTGGATGGCCTTCTCTTTGGCCTGGCCACTGATGTCTTGGAAGACGGCGACAGAGGAGTTGATGCCGCGACCCTCACGGAAAAGACTGCGCACGGTACGGCCCGAACCCTTGGGAGCGACGAGAATGACGTCAATGTCCTTGGGCACATCGACCTTGGTGAGGTCCTTGAAGACGGGGGAGAAACCGTGAGAGAAGTAGAGGGTCTTGCCCTTAGTGAGAAGAGGCTTGATGGTGGGCCAGGTCTCAGACTGGGCAGCATCGGAAAGCAAGTTCATGACGTAGGTGGACTTGTTGATGGCCTCGTCAATGTCGAACAGGTTCTTGCCAGGCACCCAGCCATCCTGCTCGGCCTCCTTCCAAGAGGCACCGTTCTTCCGCACACCAACGATGACGTTGAGGCCGTTGTCGCGAAGGTTGAGGCCTTGGCCGTGGCCCTGGGAACCGTAACCGATGAGGGCAAGGGTGTCGTTCTTGAAGAACTCCTGCAGAGAATGTTAGTTCTGATTACCTGAGAGAGCAATTGGCAAGGCAGTAGATGCAATTGATGTCGCCAATGCCATTGAGGATGCAGTATCGACTTACGTGAAGCTTCTCCTTGGGGTAATCTTCACGTTCATAAACAACCTCCTTGGTGCCAGCAAAGTCGATCGTCTTGACACCACGGGTCTGCTGCTGGAACGGAGCGGCGACAGCAGCCTTGGGGGCAGCAGCTACAGCAGCGCGAGCAGAGGAGCGGTTGATGGCAGAAACGAAGCCACGCTTCTGCGCAGGGTTCACGGCCAATTGGCGGGAAGCCTGGCGAAGGGCGCGGGCAGCAGGACGAGAAGCCATTGTGCTAAGATGTGAAAGTGCGTAAGGGAGAAAGGGAGGGGAGGAAATGGAAGGATGAGGTATTTGGATTCTGAAGAACAGGAATTGGGATACGTGGGGGAAGGGTGATATTTAAAGCGTGCGAATGAGTTCGGTGTGGTTCTAGGAAATCTGGGGCGCCATTTTCCATGGGAGCTCGGGCGGCCGAACATCGGGCTGTTGATGTCATCGGACCAATCACAGGGCGCTTTGCCTGCGCTGTCGGGGAGAAGTTTGCGTCTCCGACGAGTGGCTCCAGACCGACCTGGCCGCCGAAGGGCGGAGTCATAGCTATAGTACTGCTCCAGGTACTCTGTTTGGTAAAGAAGCAGTTTATCCTTATCCACAATGATTGTACATCATCATGCATGTTACCGATCTTATAAAAGTCCGTGACACACATATCCATCGTCAATCACTACATACATATGTACAATTAAACCTAAGCGCTACTACCTCGGTCACCGTCTTGCTTCGCCCTGGTTTCATACCACTTCTCGTGCCACTTGAGAAAAGATATAAAGCTTATTTGCAGCCCAAACTGGACTTCCTCTCGTGCATTGGTAGACTGATTCATTGATTCCAAACGTCGTCCTCCCGTCTATGTAATGTATGAAGGCAGCTATGTAAAAGTTATAGTACCTGACCGAGGGGTGCAAAGCAACCTTGTATATGCCAACTCCACGCTCCTGTATACGCCGTATTCTCAAATGCTCACTCGCAAAAGCGCCGATTCCACACCCTTCATGCTTCCTGTACGTATGTGCACGTACAATCGCTTCTCGTCCTACTTCGTGGCCCGTATTCGCTTTGCCAGTACATGCGACCGTTCGCGCCCCAACCTTGTCGTTTCATCCCCTCACTTGAGAACTCGGTCGAAACTCTGTCCCTTCACGGTACCGCCACCTATTGACGATCTCACATTGCGCTTGAAGCCCTCCCTGTTGAGCTTGAGATCCTCAGCGGCTTCCTTGTTCAGTGGGTCGCTTGCGTTGGGTTCGAGAAAGAGAAACTGTCCGCTTATCAACACAACCTCACTATTACTTTGCATGTCTTTGAGCACAAACCTGTAATCCAACAACCACGGCGTTCAGATTCAGCACAGGTTTCCAGTCCTCTCGCAGAATATTCAGGCACACATTCCCCTCAAGATCGATGTTCGGGTGATAGATCTTCTGCGTGCACTTGACCTTGGGCGGGTCGTGTGGGAAGTTTTGGTTGATCTTGAAGTCAAATTCGAAACGTCCACCCTTGTACATGCCCTCATCCGGATCGATCGTAAGCTTGAAGTTGAGGATATCGTCGGGGTTCGGGAAATGCGTCTTCATGGTCGTGCCCAGTGAAAGCTCTTCGAGATCTATGGGATATGCGTGAGAACTGGGGTCACATGCAGAATGAAATAGTGTCGCGGACCTTTTTGTGCCCGCAGCTGTGCAGGCGTGACTTTCTTCTTCTTGTTAGTCGCCGCCGCCGCAGCCTCATCTTGCTGCTGCTGCTTCTTCTGTGTGGCTGTCAGTGTCCGTATCCACAACGGAAGAGATCCTGTAGATAATATGCGTACCATGGACCATATTTTCATCATCGTGGCGGTATTCGTAAGATTCAAGGTCGCAGTCGGGCCGGTGTGGGCTGAAAGATGAGTTGCACGCTGTAGCTGGTGATATTTGAGAGAATGCGGTAGTCGATATATAAGAGATCCGATTCTAGCACCAGATATATACGTGAAAGTAGGAGAATGTCGAGGGGATTGTCTATGGAGAAAGTCCAACCAGGTTTGTGCCAGCAGTGAGTGACGGGCATCAATCATGCCGTGGGGCAACTGACGGCCGGGGTTTTGCCGCATCGCTGCCTGGGTGGGATTCCGATGAGTCAGCGCGCGCGGGGGTTGTCGCTTGCTGATTGGTCGCCGCGATCCGTTCCATACTTAAGCAGTCACTTCTTCCATCATCCAACTGTGGTTCCGTATTCGGGATCAAGGGAATCGAACCATAAGCTACTTGCAGCACTTAACAATTCGAGTCAACAAAAGTCGGCATGGCCAACATGACCAAACCTCGCGAAGCACTTGTATTCCCCCCCGACAAATCCTCATCGATAGACCTTTATATCCCACCGTCATCTACATCATCCCAGTCAACGCCTACCAAACCTTTTGTCACATTGACCTACGCAACCTCCCTCGACTCCTCTCTCGCTCTCTCCCCTGGCGTTCAGACCGCCCTATCTGGTCCGGAGTCGAAAGCAATGACGCATCATCTCCGCTCTAGACACGATGCTATTCTCATCGGGTGCGGAACTGCCATTGCCGACGATCCGAGCTTGAACTGTCGAATTGAGGGGGTGGGTGGGTATGGAGGGAAAGGGCTGGAAGGGCAACCGAGACCTATAGTATTAGATCCGAGGGGAAGATGGGATGTCAACCATGAGAGTAAAGTTGTCAAGCTGGCCGCGGAAGGGCGGGGAAAGGCACCGTGGGTGTTTACCCTGGGTGAAGTAGGACATGAGAGAAATCATATTTTGGAAGATGTCGGTGGACAATTTGTCAGGATTGGGGGTGGAGATGTGCTGGAGTGGGACGACATCCTGAGGGTCCTCGCAGAGAAGGGGCTCAAGAGTGTGATGATCGAGGGCGGCGGCCATGTTATTAATTCTCTACTTTCACCCAAAACCGCTCATCTTGTTGATACGGTAATCATCACCCTAGCACCCACCTGGCTAGGGAAAGGAGGCGTAGCCGTGATTCCAGATGAAAGGCGGGACGAGCAGGGCACCAAGTTGGCAGTAGGGAGACTAAAGGATGTGAAGTGGGTTCCGCTGGGGGAGGATGTGGTGCTGTGTGGGAGGATGTGATCACGAAAATAGCGAAGACCATCCTCTAGACAAGGCCGCGTAGAACGGTCCAGCGCGATTACGTCTCGAGTTCTGTTTGCTGCGCCCAAGGAAGAAGTTTTGAAACCACACCATCCACCACAAGGGCTCTCACGGTTGATTCCAGACCCTGGGTCAGTTGAGATGCTACCGCGTCATCCCACCCACGCGACTTTCTCTTGCTATGCAAACCCTCGCCGATTCCCAAGGGGTCCTGCTGCCAAGGTGCAAACCCATATCGTTCTTCACCTCGAATAGTCTCCTCATGATCAGCTTCAGACATGACGGGATCGATTCCCTGCACTTGCAACCGAGTTGACGGCCAGTTGATCGCAGGACCATGCAGGTTTAAAAATCGTTTAGCCTTGAATGCATGCGTAATGACCCGAATCTGTTTGGGATATCTACCTGTGGTGCGTCGAAACAGTAGAATGCTAAACAATAAATTCTGCAGAGAGTCGGTCGCATGCTCTTCCAACAGCAAGCGGCCTCTGGCGAAAAGCGCGTGTGCTTGTCCACCTCCTGGATTGCCTTGAGCAAGCTCATGGGCAAGTGCAGCGTGATAATACGAGCGAGCTTCGCTGAGAGTAAGTGTCGACTTCGTGGCACCGCCGCTCAAGACCAATACGGCGCGGCCCGCAAGTGCTGCGCTTTGCAATGCGTCACAGCCGGCCAGTACATGCGCAACAAAAGTCTCATGCTCGCCGGGCTTACCCGATTCCTCGCTGGATTTTTGGAAGGGTGCAAGATGCCAGTTGCGTTCATCATGCGGACTGTGTAAAGGGAAGCTCGGAACGGAAGCGTCCGGGTGATATATGGCGTGGCAACAAACAACGACCAGATGATCGATCTCGTCATAAGTTGGCGGGGGAATCACGTGTTGGGGATGTTGAAAAGTTGAGGTGTTGTCTGGAGGATCAGGGCATGTGCTGGGTGGACCTTGGTATTTGCTGGCATCTAGGGCCTCCCCAATTTGCTGTTGATTGCGGAATCGATGGGACCTCGATTTGGGCAGTGTTCTGGAAGGTGTGGCTGGTGACATGTTGGAAGGGGAGGAGTCGTGCGGGAAGTCAAGCCAAGCTTGATTACCGACTGCTTCGGACAACGGTGTAGTTGGAAAGCGGATCCTGCCTGTCAGCAAGGGTGAATGCACACGTAAGTAGACAGCCGGTGCGCTGAGGCTGGCTGATTATTGTAATTCTAGTTTTGATGGCTTCAATAGGTGAGGAGAGGTCGGTTGGTTGGTAGGTAAGTAAATAGCAAGCAGCAACAGGGTACTGTTAATTTGAAGTTTTGAGAGCAAACGTGGGATGTTGACCGTTCACCATCATCGATATCATGTTATGTACATAGTCATGCATAGCGGGAAGTGGCGTTCCGTGCGCTGCGAAGAGACAACGGTGCACCCAAAGTTTGTAAAGGAGAGTCAACGATACTTTCCATTAGAGGTAAACAACAATGACTGGAACCGACAGAGATACACGGATCCACATGAGAGCAGATGCATTGCATGAATCGGAAGTGGAGATGGATGCGAATCGGGCGTGGTGGGTGTGGCGCATAACCATTTTAAAGGGTCTGACGGGATCAGCTAACGGGCATACTATAGGCAGACGATACAAGCCCATTCTTCTAATTAGGTGGTTATAATAGGGGGCCACATGGTTTGGACGGTGGGCCTGACTCCATCGGGGGGATTATACGAGAAACTTGTCAGGTTCGTTGTGTGTGCTGTTCAACATGGACAGGTGGTTGCACAACAACAACAACAACTAGCTAGTTATGTGGAATAGAGGCACAGTTCTCTCCAAAGGGCACACCGCATTCTTTGACCATGGGGGAATATATCTTTCGTCTGAATGTCTCAGCACAGGGGATGGCACCGGGGATTTATGCTCTCCGGAACCGATGGCAGATGCAGCCAGTTTTTCCATGTTCAACATAGGCGCAAGAGAAAAGAGAGGAACTGCACACGACGACAGGCTGAAGATCGGCACAGGGAGAGGAATGGCAGCCTCACTCTCATTTGCTGCGAGGGATACGCGGCGCCGGGGGCCTGCCCGGCTGAAACAAAAATTTCTCGTCGCGAGAATGAAAGCAGCCGATTGTCCGGGGAAAAGGAGATGAAGCAGAGGCGACGAATGATTTGATTGCGTGGCATGTGTGGTTAACGGCCGACCGACATGATCCAAGGTTTCGGATTCAGGAGATGTTGGAGATGGAGATGCGAGCAGAGGAGAACAGAAGGTCGCCCATAGTGTCACAGTCTGTCTCGCACGGTCACATTTGTTTGCTTGTGGTTGCGGTTGACGATAGCGATGGAGAATTGTTTTTTTCCCCTTTGCCTGTTTGGTGCACGACTGTCTGTGTCTGGCGGGTGAGGCTGAAGGGTGGTGGCAGCGCTAGTGGCAGAAAGGGTTTGGCGCATGTAGTCAGCAACGATGTCGCTCGCTGACTGATGAGGGAAAAGGATTCGGAATGGATCTGACTGACTGGCTGGCGGGTGGAAGGATCAGTGAGGGAGAGGAGAGGCAGCTATATTTAGGCGCATTTATGCAAACTATCTGAGCACCTAGCCTGCTGTTGTCTGTGTCTATCCAACTGCACCGCACCTAATGTATTACCACCGACGGCACCAGCCAGCCAGCCAGTTGACTACGCCCCCCGGCCGCTGTGGTCCCCGACAACCAGCGGCCAGGGAGAGTTGAAGGAAGGGGGAAAAATTGATATTGACGGTACCGCGCCACAGTGAATCGGGAATTTGAATGTATACTTAGCGAAGTGTGCATAGCCAGGTCCATATGTGTTTGTGTGTTGGAGGTGGTGAATGGAACGGATGTAACCCCTATCTTGGGGGAAACGTGTGGACGGGTGACGCAACGTGCCTTGGAGCCATACAACCCGCTGTTGCATTCTTCACGCGATCAAGAATGAAGTGAATCCAGAGACGACGTCTCACGTAGAAAATGTCTCTTTCTTGTCATTTGACAAAGGAGTCGCGCCTGAAACAGGGAAATCGGATGCCAGCAGCCAATCACCCGCTCTGCGCCCGATGCACCATTTCACCGTCAATACACGCAGCCCGGCCAATGCCCGCGCCCGCTCGACGCTTACCTCATCCAAATCCACATTTCCGCGCAAACTTACCTCATTTCCTCTCTATCGAACCCCCCCGCAAGGCCAAGCTAGCCCTTCGCCGCTAAACCGTTTGGGGATCGCTGCGGCCTCTCAGCTCGCCTGGTCAGCCTGCCCTGCCCTGCCCTCCTCTTCTTTGCACTTTCTCCTTCTTTTATCAACACCATCAGCCCCAGCTGCTGTCTCTCTTCCCTTACTTCATTCTCCCCTTCACCAACCTTTTCTTTCCCAGTCTGTCGCTTTGCAAAGGCCTAGCATCCCGTCTAGTGCCTACATCCTGCTTGGTCGGCTGCACCTAAACAAACCACCCCCTTGGAAATAGATAAGTGAAGTAGACCACCACCATGGCCTACAACCCGCCTCCTGGGGGCCACGGCGCTCCCGAATATGGCGCTCCCCACGCTGCAGTGAGTACCTCACCTTCGTGTATTCATCATACTTGCCTTGCTTGTACTGACTCTCCGCTTCAGCACCCCTATGACAACCGGCAACACGAAGAGGTCAACCAGTCGCTTCTCCATTCCAACGCCGCTGGCACCCACCAGGGTCCATTCGACGACCACCACGGCGTCTACGGTCAAGGCCCCGATATGCGCCCGGCTTCGACATACAGTTTGACTGAGTCGTACGCTCCCCAAACACACCAAGCCCAATATCCTGCTCAATCGAGCTCTGGCTCTGATGTTTACTCCGCCACTGGCGGTTACGACCCGGCAACCGACTATGGCGCTCCTCAGCGCGTGCCATCGCCATACTCTCGCAGCGAAACCAGCTCTACCGAGGCATGGAAGGCCCGACAGCAACCTGGCGGAGGTGCCGCTACTGGTGGCGGTCTCAAGCGCGGAATGACGCGTAAGGTGAAGCTCGTCCAGGGCTCCGTTCTTAGTGCCGACTACCCCGTACCCAGTGCCATCCAGAACGCTATCCAGGCCAAGTACCGCAACGATTTGGAGAGTGGAAGTGAGGAGTTCACACATATGCGATGTATGTCTGGGCTCTTTGTATTTGTCCACCCTGCCGGTGGTCCGCCATATCTGAGACCTGCTGACTTTTGACAGACACTGCTGCGACTTGCGACCCCAACGACTTCACTCTGAAGAATGGCTACAATCTGCGTCCAGCCATGTACAATCGCCACACTGAATTGCTCATTGCCATCACCTACTACAACGAAGACAAGGTTCTTACTGCGCGTACCCTCCACGGTGTCATGCAAAACATCCGTGACATTGTGAACCTCAAGAAATCTGAGTTCTGGAACAAGGGAGGCCCAGCCTGGCAGAAGATTGTTGTCTGCCTGGTTTTCGACGGTATCGACCCCTGTGACAAGGGCACACTTGATCTGCTTGCCACCGTCGGAATCTACCAGGATGGCATCATGAAGAAGGATATCGATGGTAAGCCCACTGAGGCTCACATCTTTGAGTACACTACGCAATTGTCTGTCACCCCCAACCAGCAGCTCATCCGCCCGCATGACGACAGCGCAAGCACACTTCCCCCTGTCCAGATGATTTTCTGCCTGAAGCAGAAGAACAGCAAGAAGATCAACTCCCATCGCTGGCTTTTCACTGCCATTGGCCGAATCCTCAACCCCGAAGTCTGCATTCTACTTGATGCCGGTACCAAACCCGGCCCCAAGTCGCTCCTGGCGCTTTGGGAGGCTTTTTACAACGACAAGGATCTTGGTGGTGCTTGCGGTGAGATTCATGCTATGCTTGGGAAAGGTTGGAAAAACTTGATCAACCCGCTTGTTGCTGCCCAGAATTTCGAGTACAAGATCAGTAACATTCTTGACAAACCCCTTGAATCCTCGTTCGGTTACGTCTCTGTGCTACCTGGTGCTTTCTCGGCTTACCGTTACCGAGCCATCATGGGTCGACCTCTGGAGCAATACTTCCACGGTGACCACACGCTTGCCAAGATCCTCGGAAAGAAGGGTATCGAGGGCATGAACATTTTCAAGAAGAACATGTTCTTGGCTGAAGATCGTATCCTGTGTTTCGAGCTTGTCGCCAAGGCCGGTTCCAAGTGGCATCTCACATACGTCAAAGCCTCCAAGGGTGAGACTGATGTGCCCGAAGGTGCTGCCGAATTCATCGGTCAGCGTCGTCGTTGGCTCAATGGTTCTTTCGCTGCCGGTATCTACTCGCTGCTCCACTTCGGTCGCATGTACAAGAGTGGTCACAACATCATTCGCATGTTCTTCTTCCACATTCAGCTCTTCTACAACATCTTCCAGACCATTCTCTCCTGGTTCTCCCTGGCTTCTTTCTACCTGACTACATCCATTATTATGCAACTGGTCGGCACTCCCTCAAAACCCGGAGAGCCCAAGCGTGATGCCTGGCCGTTCGGTAACAAGGTCACCCCAATTGTCAATTCTCTGCTCACGTACATCTACCTCGCCTTCGTCGGACTGCAGTTCATTCTCGCCTTCGGTAACCGTCCCAAGGGTTCCAAGTGGTCATACCTCACGTCCTTTGTGGTCTTCGGTATCATTCAAGCCTACATTGTCGTTCTCTCCATGTACCTGGTGTACCTCGCTTTCAGTAACATGGGCACCGACTCTGAGATCAAAACCGACAGCGTCGAGACCTTCTTCACGTCGTTTACCAACCCGGCCGGTATTGGTATCATTGTTCTCGCCTTGGCTTCCACCTTTGGTCTCTACTATGTCGCTTCATTCCTCTACTTGGACCCGTGGCACATGTTCACCTCATTCCCCCAGTACCTTCTTGTCATGTCATCCTATGTCAACATCCTCAACGTCTACTCGTTCTCTAACTGGCACGATGTTTCCTGGGGTACTAAGGGTTCCGACAAGGCCGATGTCTTGCCTTCTGCCAAAACCGAGAAGGGTAAAGACGGAAAGACGACAGTCATTGAAGAGCCAGATCTACCGCAAGCCGACATTGACAGTCAGTTCGAGGCTACCGTGAAGCGAGCTCTTGCACCCTACGTCCCTCCTGTCGAGAATGATGAGAAGACCTTGGAAGATTCGTATAAGTCTTTCCGTACTCATTTGACAACCGCGTGGATCGGTATGAACGCTCTTTTGGCCCTTGTAGTCAGCGTGGATAACTTGTCCTCTTTTGGTTTCTCTGTAAGTGATGAATACGTCCCAACGCTATAGACCGCCTACTAACACTATGATAGTCCACCGCTACCAGCCGTAGCAGCTACTTCTTCACGTTCCTACTGGTGTCCACGGCTATCCTCGGTATCGTTCGTTTCATCGGTTGCCTGTGGTTCTTGGGTCGCAGCGGTATCTTCTTCTGTGTCCGCAGGAGATAGAAGTCTTGTCGGCTTTCGCAACAATTGGGTGTGTCGTGTCAGAAGCCACTCGTGGGCGTTGACCAGTGTGGAGCATTTGATCTTGTTGCCATGCCCGGTCGTTGGCGTTTTGGATGTCATTAATCTCGCCTTTCCCTGGTATACAAAAACTCCACATCGACACTCGTACGGCCGAAATTTGTATTATCGTTAGGACGTTTGGCTTTTATTCCCCTGATTGTATTGCTCACGTGTGCGTGATCTTGTATGAACAAAAATGTGTGTCTGGATGGGGAGGGTATGTTAAGGTGGAGAGGAGTCGTTGAATGAAATCAGGTGGTTTTCTTTTCTCATCCCGGTGTGGGCTATCTTGTTCCCGCGCCTCATTTACGACTTTCCCAAAGCGATCAAATCACGGTGTAATTTTGGGTTTATTTTGGATTTCCCGGATTGTTCCATGGTAAACAAACAAACCTCATACTTTATTTAGAATGGCATATCATCTTTTCTCTTACCCACATGCGATCTGAATATTGCAGTGCAACTTCCTGTTCCTCGTCCTACGCACCCCGCCTACAAAGGGCAATGCTCTGTCGTTATCGCGCAGTAATCTTCTTCCCATGTATACGCCTTACCTCTCAAGATACTCATTGCACCGCATACAATTGTCTTAACACGTATTGTTGTACTACAGGATAGATTATCCGCTGACAATTTCTTCGCGTGCTATTAAATAGCGCATCAGCATAACTAATACGGATTAATCTCGTGTTGTGTATATAGTAACACTTTGCATTTGTCCCTCCTTGATCCTCTTTCCTGGTCTTTGCTATAGTGGATAATTCTCGCTTTGTGTTGTTATCCATGCAGCGCAGTTTTGTGTTGTGTTAATTGACAAACAAGTACTTGGAGAGTGTTTTCTTCTGGTGCTGAGTTCTTAGGATTGTTTGCTATAAAGAAGAGTAACTGCTTTGCGTTATTGCAGGGTAGCGGGCTTACAGTATATGTATACATTGCCACTGAAGCACACATTAGGACTGACAGATATATATATATATATATATATATATATATATATATGTGTGTGTGTGTGTGTGTGTAATAGTGTTATGTTAAGGGTACTTTTATGTACCAGAAGTGGAGTGTGTGATACGTACTATCTACTAAACACACGTGCGCTACAGTCACAGAGACAAACAAACTCAATGGAACTTAGTATTCTCAGAACAACGAACGCATAATCGCTAGGATTTTTTCTTTTGTGCATGTTAGTCCCGTGTCGTTTGTTTTTTGCTTATGCAGCCCACCGCTTTTTCTTCCCAACATAGCAGGGATTCTTACTTTGTTATTAACGCCGAAAAAGTATAGCGTACTTGAAAACAACGAGAAAGAGAGAGTTTCATTTCAAGACAGGGTTTCCTTCTCCTCTTAGAATTACTTATATATGTGTTTTGCGTGCCATGTGTTTCACTGATGGGCGTTGATACCATGATTCAATCCCAAAGTTCTTGAGGTAGAGACATCCGATTTCTTTCAAGTTGCACCATATACTATTAAAGTGCTAGAGCATCGCCTTGCGGAATTTGTAAGTAATTGCATATACTTCTAGCAGGTATACATTAAATATCCCCCTATGTTTATAAATCAAGAGTCACCTTAGCTACTTGTTCACTCTAGTCCCCCTCTCGAAGACTAGCAATAGATAAACGATACGAAGGAGGAGTATTTTCTGGCGCTGCCTATAGTCATACAATTAGTGCTTCGTTTGAGTAACTCAAGTGTTCATGGGATGTCTTGTCATGTTGATATCATCTCTGTCTTTTCATGAGATGTTTGGTTCCGTGACTTTCCACCACTGACAACTGAACGTCAAACAAAGGATTTGCCCTTGTCTCAAGCACGATCCAGGCGCAAACCTTTGCGATTTCTTTTTTGTTTTACCTCTGTACAATCTTAGTTCAAGTATCAGGCAGGTGCTCCTTGGTATGTATATAGAGAACGTTGCTCAATCAAACTTGTAAGCCACCATCACTCGATTACCTCCATTCAGATCAACCGCTACCACTCATGACGACATCACTTGACAATCCATCCGCAACTTCAAATATCTACAACATGCCGGGATCTCAGTTAGCGCCGCGCCAAGCAGAGAAATCATATGAAGTTTTCACCAGCGTGTTCCACCTGGGATCAAGCCCTGAACCGATATCGGCGTTGTATATACGTCTTAGCGGACACAATCTCCGGCCTAAAAACCAACCAGTTGGCAACGATGAATGCTGGCGGTTTTGGGTCTCGAGCATCCCGAACGAACAGAATGAGGTATCGACTATCGCGGCACGATCCCAAATCACACCGTCCCAGAATACAACGTCCAACGATTCCGACCCAAGCACAGCAAACAACACAAACACATCGAAGCAACTGAATTCGCGACCTAGTATATCGGAAAAGAAAAGTACCCAGATTAATCTAGGTTATGTGAGCTGTGGGCGCCTTGACGAGCTAATGAAGATCTGTTCCAACTTCCCGATTTCTGCCGCCCCCATGAATGAAAGAGATTGTTTTATGGACTGGATGGAACGCCTGAAAGCAGATGACCGTTTCCAGGATTGCGTTTACCAGTTTCCTAGCTCTATTTCCGGGTAAGAACAAACCTTGGACTTTGTTGAAATGCTCTTTGTTTTCAGTTCGCCGCGCTCTGGAATGGCTGGGGAGATCTTCATCGTTTAGGCCTTCTCCATTGTATCTAAAAATCGCCACCGAAATTACTGTGTCTTCCTAGAAAAAAAGAGAAAATATGGTCTGAAGAGAGGTGCATATGATCCTTTCGCTTGTCTGCGGATTTGATCGTTTGTTTTTTCATTTTTTTTAGTCATTGGGCTGCTGGACTTCGATGACATGGGGGTTTAGTTGTTTGTTATTCGGCTATATTGTGTATTCTACACTGTGTATTTTTAGAGTCTCGAAGAATCTTGGGGATGCTTTGGTACTATGTACAAAGGACTGGATGACGATGGGGCCCATAGCATGTACAAAGGATATATTCGATCAAGTCTTTTCCTTTGTTCTTAACCCGAGCAAATCTGAAAACGGGAGAGGAGAGCGAGCTGCGTATCACCAACAAAGAGTGGAACGGAAGCATAATTTAAACAACTATTCCTACCCATATTGGACTATCTCGAATTCGTCTTTTCTTACCGCTGCTTGACGGTTGGAGATATCTTGCTTGACTAGTCCAGCAATTCACATCATCTTTGGCTTTCCCCATCATGATTGATCTTCAAGAATCGGCGATTCGTATTTGGGGTTCCACCAACCACGGAGATGTATTCAGAAAAATGGTGAGAGCTTTCACGAGGAATGGTCCTGGTCACGAGCCTCTTCATTCTTGGGTCGCAACCGATTTCCCCTACTATAGATCCGACCTCCCATCCCCATTGCCTACAACGGAAGAGATTATGGACAAAAACAACGAGAATTTCAATTCCGATGGGGGCCTACCAGTGGTGCGGGTGCGTGATTACGTGGTCAAATACGCTGGTTCCCCCGAAATACTCCAGGTGATTTCCTTATCCATCAGAACGAAAAAAAAAAAAAACTGCATTTACTGATGAGAAAAGTACAGGAGGCAGAGAACATGCTATTTCTTGAGAAAAATTGTCCCGAACTCAAGATTCCGAAAGTGTTCGCGGCTTACCAAGAATTGATAGATAATGAATGGACGGGTTCATTCATCGTTACAGAATACATTAAAGGACGTACTTGCTGGACAGGTGAAAACCCGCCATTATCCCCTAAGACCAAAACCAATGTATATCGTAAGCTACGCGAGCAACTACAACTCTTGAGATCTGTCGTTCCACCTGAGCCTCGTTACTACGGTCGTGTCTACCACCAGCCCATCAGCTGTAAGACCAACCTCTGGCTGTCAAAATACGCTTCCGACGATGTCTGGTACGGACCTTTCAACTCATACCAAGAATTCACTGATTTCTGGTTCGAATGCTGCTTGGAAAATGCGACCCTGGACAGCTTGAACGACGAAGGAACAAGTACGACGTTCACCCCGAACGTTAGTCCGTACGTTGAATACTTCAAGCCCATCATGGCGCGTGCCGGCGGACAGAATCCCGTGTTAACGCATGGTGATCTTCAACTCCACAACGTCATGATGAAGGATGTACCAGAAGGTGGAGACCCAGAAGATCCGGAGATTTATATCATCGATTGGGGCGGTTTGGCGTGGATGCCCGCCTGGGTTGAGACAGCGAGGTCGCTCATGAAGTGTGCCAATGGCAGTAGGGAATATATGGCTGAAGTTCACAAAGGGGACCCAGAACCACACTATGACACTGCCATGTTCATAGCCAAGTTCAATGATGTCTGTGGTAAAACAGCTGGAGGGTGGGGAACGTTGGTTTGAGGCTTGTGCTACCGTTTTTCCTATTTTGTAGATTTATTATTATTTGGTCTCATTCATCCAGTTTTCCCGGAATAATTTGCTTCCAGAAATAATGGGTCAATAATTGAAGTTTTTTTTCGAATACATTGAAAAGCTATATAGACTTCTGGTATGACCCGGAATACTCGCGTTCGCTTCGTGTCAACACTCTAACGTCGAAAACACGTCCAATTTGAGAAATATCTCGATGTAACGATGATGTGAACCAGATTTGGGCCTCACAGTTCGACCGCCGGTGTACTACAAGTGCAAAACCTGTGGATATTCACAAGGCTTGTGAGCGGCTGGAAAGGTCTTTCTATTTTAATACCTAAACAGCCAAGTTATTTGAAATAGAGTTGTGCAGAGTGAATCTAGTGGTATAGAAACACCGAACTCATGAGATCATTCGTTATCGCGATCGTTACCTGTCGCGCACGCTTTCTTGTATCAGATTTCTTTGATTGGATATTGTAAACTAGTCACCCGTCCGTTCGTGTCGAAATATGATTTTGTTTTTCCAACTTATCAGTGCGACAACTTGCAAATACCGACGAGCTGTGTGGCTGATTGCTGTTCTGGACCGTGGTTTCCACATTTGCAGACGCTAACTACAAAAGGGTAAGAGAAGATGAAGACTATATAAGTACTTCACGGCGGCCCTTCGAACCCACCCTTCACTTCCAAATTCCCCAAAACAATCACCTCACTCACCTCACTCACCTCACTCACCTCACTCACCTCACTCACCTCACTCACCTCACTCACCTCACTCACCTCACTCACCTCACTCACCTCACTCACCTCACTCACCTCACTCACCTCACTCACAACCTATCATCATGAGTGATAATACTCCCGAATCCTCGCCATACCACCAATCAGACGCGTTCGTCACTATTCCTGACGTTCTGATCTCCCACGCAACTCTGATCTATATCGGACTTAGCTCAGAGAAGGCCGATGAGATCTGGGGCAAATGGACGAACTGGCCCCGAGACTCCGATGCCGACCCTATTCGCGAAACCGATCCTGACAACGGTACTATTTCCACAAAGCCCAACTCTGAGTATTTCAAGCTTGGCTCCTGGGAAGAAGTGGACGAATCACACGTGCTCCATGTAGGCATTGATGGAAGAAGAAGAAAAGCCGTTCAATACGTCTTCAACGGGGACGAAGAGGGCATTGAATGGCTGGAGGAGAATGGGGCTCAGAAGATCGAGGCTTTTCCATACACCCGTGATTGACTGCGCATTTGACGTAGTGACTAATACAACGTCCCAACGATCCAGTAGAGATGTACAGGGGGATGTCGCATTAGGATGTTACATAACAGGAGCATAGTGTACTATAACTTTCCTCGCAAATACAAGAGCTGCTAAAAATCTACTAGAGCCTACTATTTATTAATAATAGATAGTATACCTAACCTCCTGAGTTGTAACATCCTGATGCGACACCCCACTGTACATATATAAGTTATCTGTAGTGTTGAGTGTGTTAAAGAACCATGGTACGCTCGTCGCCCTCGCTGTATATATCCATTATAGAGGTACACCCACTCCTATAGTTTAGCAGAGTAAATTAACAAGCTATGGGAATTCAGGATTTCATACCAAGTCTATTATGATATGAGATCTCTATACGAGTCCAGAACGCTAAGCGTCATTTCTGCCGAGATTCCACAATCATCAAGCTGGACTTTCAGACCTTCCGGAAATGGTTTCATTGCCAAGACTAACAGCACGATCTCGACGTAATTACCCCTCTGCTAAGAACTTATCGACATGGGAAATGCAGGGGATTGCGGTCGAATTTCTAGATAAAGACTCGAAGCTGCAGATAGTGGATGCGTGGGAGTCAATTCTTAATGGTTATAAATTGCTGTAATGTGCTCGAGCAATTCACATAACACATTTGTCTGAAATCATGAGGTTCATCGTGTTTCTCTCGGCTGCGCCACTCATATCGGCTTCGTCGTTACTTCGTTCTGAACCGACTGTGCGAGAGGCGAGCGTGAACTACAATGGTCATCACGTGTACAGCATCACGCCCTCGTCTCGCCAAGACGCACGCAACCTCGTGAAGCGGTTTGAGGAGTACCCTAGCCAATTCTCACGAAACGATTTCCACGTGGTTATACCTCGCGATGAAATTGCAACATTCAATTCTTGGGGGTTGAATAGTCGCCTGCTAGACGACGATCTGGGCAACACGATTCGCCTATCGAATAAACCCTCAATGTACAAACGGGGAGAAACTGGGACTGGCAACCTGCCAGATATCTCCTGGTTTGATGCGTACCACGCGTATGCAGATCACCTGCAATACTGGGATGACTTGGTTTCTGCGATTGGTCAAGCGCACTCGGAAAAGTTCTCCATTGGACAGAGCTATGAGAATCGCACAATCTGGGCGTACCACCTATTTGGGGACCGAGTCACAGATAGAACTGCGGACGCAAAAGCGCAAGAGAAGCCGGTTATTCTTTGGCACGCCACGGTTCATGCACGGGAGTGGATTAGCACTGCGGTGATTGAATATCTGGCATACCAGTTAGTTGATGGGTATCTGAAAGACGATGCGGACGTGGTCTCATATCTCAACAACTACGACTTTTATCTGGTTCCATTCCACAATCCAGATGGTAAATGCCCACAAACCCCTCCCCCCCCAGAGACAGAGAGCTAACGATGAAACAGGATTCGTATACACTCAAACTACCGACCGCCTTTGGCGAAAAAATCGCCAGCCACGAGCAAACACAACATGCATCGGAACAGACGGGAACCGAAACTGGAAATTTCAATGGGACGCAGAAGATCCCGAAGGCGCTGCACCAGCAGGGCCCTGCGGCCAGACCTTTCGCGGTCTTGCACCGGGCGACACCCCCGAAAACAAAGCGTTGAGTAGCTTGTCGCAACGCCTCTCAGAAACCGAGTTTGGTATACGCTCTTTCATCGACTGGCACAGCTACGGTCAACAGGTTGCCACACCGTACGGGTACACGTGCGACTCTTATCCCGAATCTCTACCGCGTATGCTGGAAGTGGCAAACGGGACTGCGAGCGCGATTGAAGCGGCGAGTGAGCGGGGGAGCGTGTATGAGTTTGGTCCTGGATGTCAACTCATCTACTTCGCGGCGGGCAACTCGAGGGATATTCATTACCGTGTGTTTGGCGCGAATCACTCTTGGACGCTCGAGTTGAGTCCCCAGAGCGCCGGTGAGGGTGGATTTGTGTTGCCCCCTGAACAGATTGGACCAGTTGTCAGAGAGCAATGGGCTGGACAGCAGTGGTTGCTGAAGAATGTGACGGAGAACTGATGGCTCATCAGTTTCGTGATAACTACGGAACATGTATTCTGCCTGAAACTCGAAGGCAGATTTATCGTATGATTTATCAATACCAAATGTTTGTGCCGCATAGAAGATGTGACGATCCCATGATAGACTTAGTACTGGCGCCATACACTTGAAAATCGTTGATTCTTAACACCACGGATTGCGCTACTGCGCAAGAAAATGAACAATGAGCCGACAAGTCGTGATTTACCAAGGATCACTGTGTGCCTGTTATTTGCGCGACTCTACGGTATACAACTATGTACGGAGACGAAGTGCGCTAACTCAAAGCAGGTAGATAGGAGGACTGTAGCAAAGGCTGCGGAGGACTGCGCCAGGGGCAAATTATAGAAAAGCTATGTATGGATTTGTATGGATGGTGTATTCGCTTCATGATTTTAGCCTTGGCGCAGTCCTCCACAGTCCTCCTGAGGCCGACCCATAGACTAGGCACTTGAAGCTTAGACAAATCTATAATTAGACAGACCTATTCCTCGAGAGGATTTCCCCTTAAAAAGGATTGTACCGTCCAACTTCTCTCCAATTCGCGCTGCCTGCAACCAATTGACGATGAGAGTCACTTCCTTACGGGCTGCCACAGCCCTACTGCCTGCTATTTGTCTTGCACAAGCCACCACGACTCACACTTCACCCACGGCTACTACCTCCGCGACACCAAGCTGCACAGCTTCGCCCATCACCAAACTATGCGACTATCCAGAACCAGGACCAGAATTCGCCGTAGCCTCGGAGAGCCGGGCTTCCTGTTGGAGTTACTGCAACGCGCACCAACCATGCAGCTTTAGCATATTCGTTGCCGGAAACCCCAATACAGGTACAGGCACGTGTTGGCTATATCCGGGAAAAGACTTCGATGAAAAGGCCGGTAGCACCAACTGCGGCAATCCCAGCTTGTTTGTTGACAGCAAGCCAGCATGCGCTGGCGGAACTCCAACATCTGGCGCCTGTACTGCCACCTCATCACCCTCTGCTTTGGCCTCGGTATGCGGCTACCCGGCGCCTGGTGATTGCTTTGAAGGATGCCTTGCTAGCGATGGTGCATCGAGCTGCTTGAGCTATTGCGCAAAAGCAGAGGCGTGCAGCTATGCAGTTTTCAATCCAGGAAACCCAAGCAACTCCCCCTTTGCGTCAGGCAATTGCTGGATCTATCCTAACGGCACCTTCGATGCTCAATCTGCATCTCTTTGCAGTGGCCAGCCCGAGCAGTTCGTGTATAATAACGCGTGCCCTAAACCCCCATCGTCTTCATCGCCTTCGCCTTCTTCATCGCAAACATCTCCCTCTCCCTCTCCATCCTCTACCGGGCCTAATGGCACCGGAGCTGCGAGTGCTGCCGAAAATCAGTCCAGTGGCAATGAAGGTCCGGCGTCTGGTGAATTTCCACTATACAGCTGTTTGATCACCAACATAGCTTTGCTAGTATGGCAACGTCGTCAGTGATTACTTGCATCTGCTTAACTACATCTATTTCTCGAATTTGGATAGTTTAAGTCTGTGTATGAGGATTCAGACCGCAATTAATAGTTTGCGATACTTTACCTAAAGATTTCATCTTTATATGTCTTGCTTGACTCGCACTGAACTGCGACCAGCAAGTGGCGTTGTTTTTGGCGTGCCGACCGACTAATTAAAATGGTACTTCGTGATCACTTGTGTTCAACATTACGATATAAATGCACACTTCATCATACTATAATTCATGCAAATAGCATAACGAAAAGAAGCGCATGAGAAACCGGACCAAAATTGTGATCGAAGCATCACATAATCTAGGTGCAGTGCCGTACTATGATTGGCCATGCTGCTTGTTGCTTGGGAATTACTCAAATCCTGTGGCTCACGTAAGCGGAAATCACCGTGGCGTTCTCAATACTCTGGAATTTACTCTGACTTACAACACATTACTCTTGATTGTACACATTCTCTCCATGTCTCCCCTTTCATATCTCGCGTCGCTCTTTGATTGGATCATTCATGGTCCCGTGGCACTCTCGAACCCACCAGGATCACCACCATACCCCAGGGATGCCCTTTCGACACCTTATACAAATCATTCAGATATCTTGATCCTTCCAGACGGGCGCAAACTCGGGTTCTCCCAATATGGATCACCGACTGGCAGGCCCGTTATTTTCTTGCACGGAATGCCTGGCTCGCGCCTCGACGCAGCGCACTTTGATGATGTAGCGAAAGAGCTAGGCGCACGAGTCATTGGCATTGACAGACCTGGCATTGGATGGAGTACCCCTCAGTCGAATCGAAAATTACTTGATCATGCAACAGATGTTGAGGCCGTTGCGGATCACCTAAGATTAGATAATTTCCGTATAATGGCATGTGGCAATCAGCCATGAAGTCTTCCGATTCATACAGCTGACGACTCGTAGGGGGTATCTGCTGGAGGCCCATATGCACTTGCTTGCGCAAAAGCGTTGCCGCCCGAAAAACTTCTGGCCGTGTCGATAATGTGTGGTTTTGGGCCATTGGAAATCGATACCAGCTTTAGGGGCTATGTGGCTAGAGTCATCCTAGCTCTAGTGAGCCCTCTGATTCCTACTGCTATTCGCCTCATCTTCCAAAGTAGTCCTGTCGGGCGAATTGATCTCACAGACGAGGCCCGCCTGGAAATGTTGCTGGAACAAGTCGTTGCACACAAACCAAGAAATGCCGCCGAGGAAGTCGAACGCGATGCGACGATAGACGATGCTGGTGGAGCATTAAGAGCTATACAGTCTTGCCGAGAAGCGTTTTCCCAGAGCTTCACGTACCCTGGGCTCGACGGACAGTTGATTGCAAAGCAATATGGCTTTCGGATACAGGATATCAGGAAAGATCTGCCTTTCCACTTGTGGTATGGGACTTTGGATGGCACGACGCCAATCAACCACGGAAGACAACTGGCGCGCCTACTGGGCAAGAGGGCAAAGTACCATGAATCTGAAGACACACATGGAAGTTTACAGTTGAGATACAAGCGAGAAGCTTGGGAAGCGTTGCTGAGGGAAGGATGATTCATCATCATGCTACACCTGATCACGGAAGAATGTATAGATAGTTAGCCAATCAAATGTGAGGCATGTTGTGCCTCCCTATTCTCAAGCAATAATGCAATTCATTTCGATGTCTTTGATATGTCCTGAAAGCAAGCAAACACTTGCAGCTTAGGCGAATATCCAAAATGGCGTGCAATCGAACTGGTCCATTTCCTTTGGTGTCTCGAATGATGATAAAAGGTGATCATGAGTGCGTCGACTACCTTAGTTGTAGAAAGCCACCATTCAATATGAAAGTGATTATCATTATTAGCTAGTTGCGACAATAGTCTAAAAGGCATCATGGCTCATCTATTTCCTCGGTTCATTACGTCTTTTCGTCGATATCAAACTGCTAGACAGGAATATTGAACCATTGGTTGAACCTGTCCTTCGGATCCACCTGCTTTTTGATCGTGCGCAATCGGGATAAGCTGTCCCCATACACGACTGAAAGCTCGTCATCTCCATTCGCAAAGTTGATGTATCTGACAAGCATTAGCTCAAGCTGATTGACATATTCGAGTTAGGGTCCAACTTACACAGCATCTTTTGTAAGTCCATCGTTAGACCTCCAAAGATCCCTCGCCGCCTTTCCAAAATTGATAGCTTCGGTATCATAAGATGCATCATAGTACCATGGAATAGCTACAGCGTTGAAGTTGACACCACGGTGGGGAAAGGAAGTGGATGAAGAGGGAATTGAGCGCGCCTTGTCCAGAGAGTACGCCTCGAGAAGAACGACACTGTTCTCTGCACCAGGTTTCTTCTGAAACACCACGTATTTGTCCCAGATTTGGCGCCAGGCGCTTGGTTCCATCGTCTGGAATCCTGCGCTGAAGGATGGTTTGCGTCCACCACGCGTGCAGAAACCGTCAGCGCCAGTGTTCCACTCGGTGTATGGTACTACGGCTGTAGCGTCCTGAATTGGACCGATAGCGTACAGGCTTGCAAAAGCCACTTTGCCAGCGGCAGCATCTCCCTTGTAAAGGTAGGGCGTCAACAGAACCACGGGCGTGTTGGCTGGCGCGCCGCTGGAGATAAAGTACATGAAGATGTTCATCTCAGGTTTGAGGTGGAGGTTTCCAATGGCTTGAACAATTTGCTCAAGCTTGTCGGGACTGAAAATGAGCGCTCCGGTCCAAGCGGAACGGTCTGCCGCAGAAGCGGGAGTTCTGATGATGAAGGTTAACAATTGCTCCAACTTCACAATCTCGATGAGGTGCCATACGATTTGACTACCGCGGAGGTCACAATACCCATGTTAGGACCAGCACCACGAATGGCCCAAAAAAGGTCAGGGTCGGATGCAGTGACGGTCTGGATTTTGCCATCAGCTGTGACGAGACGCGCAGAAATTATCTGGTCAACGCCCATGCCTTTCAATCCCATCAAGTTTCCATAACCGCCACCTAAGTAGGCGCCTAATGTTCCGACGCAGTTACAGTTCCCCGTGAGCACAAGTGCTCCGGCCGCATCCGCAGCTTGGATAGTCGAATTGATGGACACTCCGCCTCCAATTGTTGCTTGAGTCTTTTCCGCATTGAAAGTCACTTGGTTCAGTCCGGCCATATTAATGATAACGCCGTTGTTGTTCATCTTGAAGGTAGTTGACCAGCCGGTGCCGCCATTTTGAGCGAGGAAAGGAATGCCGAATGTGCTGCAAAATGCAACCTGTTTTAACAATAAATGTTAGCCCGCTCTGGTTTCATGAAGCTCTCGCCTGTGAAGCTTACCGTAAGCTGCACATCGATCTCGCTTTTCACATTCACAATGACGGCAGGGTCTGGCGCCGCATACCAACTCCAGCGATTCGCATCCGCATCATTAAAGGAAATACTCGCGCCGACTGAGAGTTTAGGCTTCAATTCAGCCTGCAGCTTCTGGAGGACCTGCGCCGCTGTGAGTGCAGCTTGGCACAAGCACGCGAACACCACTAAAACCAAAAGCCGAAGGAATGCCATTTGGTGTGCCAAAGAAAATCAACAACTGAAGAGGTGAAAGGGTGATGAGCGGTCACGCTTTCGCCATCGGGCAATGATTATATAGGTAATCATGCGTTCCATGTAAACATCGCAAAGCCACGTGGTGGGCGGCACAGGGACAGGGATGTCACGGCAACATCTCCTCGAGAGTGGTCAGAAGAGAGAAGGCCGGAAAGCTAGGGCTGCCGTCAGCCACCAATAACGAGAGTCCGTCATGCATTGTTATGTTGGGCAGATTGTCCGCGCAGGGGAGACATGTGGAGACGGCAACACGAGCTATCGATGACTCGTGTATTCCAGCCGCCCGCTATGCATAATACACCAATGCTACCTATACGAGGAATATCGTTGTGGCAAGGTCTAGAGAACCATCACGAACAACCAATTCATGACAATTAAGCATTGTTTACGAATAGAGGGATCGTCAGCCGCACTCTCACTCGGACACGTTCGTGTATCAAGGCCTCGCTGGCTCAGGATGGCCGACTATCGTAAGCTCTACCCACTTCCTCCAACTGAAAATAGCATATTGCTTACAAGTTAAGCTGAGAACCAGCTCTAGAAGCCTTTTCACGCGATTCTCCTAGGGGCATAGCCTTCTCAATATCCTGATCATAATAAGAGATCAGCAAACTTTCTAGGGACAGAATTCTTCAGATATGAGATTCGGATCCAATTACTTTTGGAATATCTGTGACAATTGTAGTGAGATATCCGATGCAGTCATTGCTAAACAAATCATAAGTGGCAAGACGCCTTCCATATTATCGCGAGGGAAATCTTGAAGTACTATAGTAGTCTATATCTAGCCATCATAAAGCGTATCATACTCGTTTCCATGCCGTTTTAGAGGCTATTACCCTGAAAAGGCGAATGAGTTGCATCAAACGGCTCACGCGGGTCTCATATGATATTTCGCACGCTTTTCGTTTCCACACTTGTGTGAACCGATATGCCACCTCTTGGGCCCGGGGGAGTGGCAGTTCGCTCCGCAATCTCATTGCCGCTATGATGCGGTGCATCCGTTGCTTGAATGGAGGTGTCCACACCGGGAACCAAAGCATCCGCATCATCAATCTCTGTCCATTGTTCAGAGGCAAACTTCTTTGACCTTCTATTTCCAAGCTCATAGTCTGTGTTTCCGAGATTTGTTGAGGGTTTCGATGGACGGAAATGCGTCCAGATTGGACGGAGAGTGGGTAGACACGACGAAACGACGGCAAGAGAAAGCTCAATGTTGGTCCAGAAAAATACAGGGGAGGTATAATCTAGTAAGAGTCAGTACAGTACTCGGTAGACCATCGATCTGCAGGTTCTCATACAAGTAGCGTCATTGAAGTGGACCGCGAATTCCTCTGAGATTTTTATCAACACGACCAATCTAGTCGCACTGATCGCAATCACCCTGGAGGAAGTTCAGTCAGCGAAACAAAATCTTTGTAGTGGGTGTGAAAAACCTACGATGAGCCAAGAAGAAACATGCCCATGATTCCAAGTTTCTGTTGCCAGGGCAGCTGGAGTCGCACCACCATAGGAATCGGCATAATAAGGATGCCCACGTCAATGATGAGATCTGTGTATACAACAGAGAGCCACATGTCTATAACGCCAGAAATGCATTTGTTGCCGTAGAACGGCTCAATCAGAGGGGTGACTGGGTAGCAGGTGAAGAGGTTTGCGAAGGAGTATGCCACAGTCCATCCCACGACAAGGAACATCATGACCCACACGGCCCATTTGAATGCGCGCGTGCTGAATATGTTCTTGTAGAAGAGAAGAATGGAGGCTTTGATCAATCCTAGACTGACAACGCTAAGAATGTTTACGGCGAACTTTGTCTTCGGGGGGTTGTTAGTTTGTGGTTGTGATGGTAGTAGCATGCGCGACTCATGGCTTCAACTTACTCGTTCATAGACCAGAAACTCGGGATCGTCCAGTATTGGCATTCCTTTCTCATCGACATTTTGATGTTGTCCAAGACTACCGTGAACAGCCGCTGCACGACTTCGTCAGCGAGAGAGGTACCGGCTATCTGGACATGGACCTTACCAACGACTTGAAGTATCGAACATGTGAGTGCCACAGCCTGGGCGCCATTAGTACGCGGAAGAAAGTACAAGTCTCACAGACATACCAAAGCTGCGAAGCACAAGTAGTCTTCCCAACCTAGCCTGCGCGCACCTAGAAATTTCGCCCACACTCGAAAGCAAACAAAAGCCACGGGGATGATCATGAAGACGACACCAAGTCCAATCATCAGCCCCTGGCTGTAGTCTTGATTCATGGCCACCATGATTGCGATCCCCCCCAAAAAAAAGTGTTCAAATTGTCAAAGTGGAGAATTGATTTTCAGCGCACGATGTACGAAGCTCACATAGCGATGATATGCATGATATGCAGCAACCTCTAATTAAGTGCCAAGATTGCCCCTCGGAGTCTGCAACACTTGTTGGGTCACGGCCTCGTATCACGTAAAGGACTACCTATGAGCATCGGACATGGACATGATATCGATGACAGGGAGGGGCGTTGGAGAAGGAGGGGAATGTGGTTAGAGCATGAGAAGGAGTTCATCTGTCAAGGGTCGAGAGCGGACGAATCCTCTAAAATTGTCCTACGGTGACTTAGTTGAGCCGAATAAGACTACGCCGTTCAAGCCCACCCAAAAGATGGTCAGCGGCTAACGTGTACTGGCTGGACTGTTCGTGTCTTATCATCACGCAATGACCTCGACCCTTATCAAGTACTGACCAAATGACTGGAATGAATTGCACCAATTCACGTTGTATCAAGAGCACACGCGGACTGAGATATCGGACTCGGACTCGAGCAGTGTGAGATGAAAGTGAGAATCTGTGGGATTATGCTTGACTGGGTGGTCTAACTTCAAAAAGAGCATGTTGGTCTGCGGAGTGCGGAGTGAAAGCTGATTTGAGTTTGTGCTGGGGGGCCTGCAACCGATGGGAGTGCGGCGTCGCCAGACACCAATTGCACGATCCGGGAGCCCGGGCCAGAACCAGAATGATGATCAAATCTCGATCGTTGCTTGCCTGACATTACCGAGACATACAGGAAAAAACATCCGAGGTAATCAGGAAGTGGGTGCTACGCATGCATAAGACTACATTCGACTTGAAATACGACAAGCACAGCCAATCAGAGGTGCTACGTAATAAAGTCAGTTAGCTATGGTCGAAAGCGGAAGTGATGGCCATGCGTGACGGGCTTACGCATCACGAACAGAGACCCGAATCGGCGCCGACGCCGGAAAGCTATGAGGATCAATTGAAATGAAGAATGTAAGAAATGCAGCGTCCTGTGAATGAAGAAATCCGTGTTGCATGGTATCATTGTGGTCTTGCTAAGGTTTGGATTGAGTGAAGAAGCTACTGCGTAACTAGCTACTTGAAGGTAGTGGCGATTTATCCGTGCCGTGCCGTGCCGAGCGGTGCCCACCAACGCAAAGTAGTCGTAGCGCTCACAAGCAAGCTTTGCAAGGTATCTCGATATGTCCCTCGAAGAACTGGTTACTGACGAGGTCTAGCCGACCAAGAGTTGCGCACCTCATCGTCGGCGTCCTTGGGTGTAAGCTGCCCACGCGCAGACCACGAGTTGCGCACGTTATCGTCCGCATCACGTGAGACCTGTCCACGGGCTGACCACGAGTTGCGAACGTTGTCGTCAGCGTCTTTGGTCAACTGGGTACGCGCGGACCACGAGTTGCGCACGTTATCGTCGGCGTCTTTTGGCGAGAGCTGTCCGCGCGCAGACCATGAATTTCGAACGTTATCGTCTGCATCAGCTTCGCGGACTTTGACTGCGCCGGGGGCCGCTGAGCATTCTACGAGTCAGTCTGGAATAGCCATAATCTACCAGTGCTCAAGGGTACAGTGATAACTACATACCCGAGTTCAAAGGAATAGCAAGGGCCGAGCCCAAAAGGAGGGAAACGTAGATGAAACGCATCGTTGAAGTTAGGAAGACAATGTGTTCACTGGAGTGCACAACCGGACGGCTTGATGGGCTCGAGTCAGGGGCTTCTGATAATCTATATGTTCTGGAGTGATAGCAGTCAGCGGTACCAAGACCGAGTATGGTTCGCGCTGTTCATGGCCTTCTCATCTCCTCCGCTCAGTCTTGATCGTTGCATGTGCATCCCCATCTGATTCACTGCTGCAATGCCAATCCATGCAGACAAGGTCCTACATGCGCCTTGTACTTTCCCAGAGCTCTAGTTCACAAACTAATGTCTGTTGAAGCTGATTTGCATTTATTACCTGCACATAAAAGCGGGGGCATTCGGTCTGACCATACATGCCTCTGTATACTTGCTATAGATTGGAAAGCACTTCAATTTGACCTGCCTCATTTCGTATGAAGCGGGCGGTGTGATGTTTAGAGGCAGATGCAGTAACCCAATGATCATGCCTGCTGCATGCGTATTTTGCAGCAAGAGTTGGCCTTATGAGTGAAATGTAATGGAACACATGACCTGCTTTCGGTGTCCGTACGATACCTAGTACATGCAGACTATAGAGTTGAAAAAGTGAGCGCCACGTCGACAGGTCACTATGCCAGAACAAGCCGTAGAAGCTTGGAGTCAACATTTCCTTCCGGATACCCTTGAATTGAGGCGCCCAAACTTTCAGTAGTGAATGGATTACAGCCTGCGTTCCATCAAAGCAGCATGATGAAGCCCGAAAACAACGAGGAGAATGAAGAGAACGAGACGCTTCTGCCGTTGAGTTATACCTATAGAGATATACCAAAGACCGTCAGCAGCTATAGTCGGTGGGCGATTTTGGCATTGTCGTTCATCTTAGCAGTCACAGCTGGCTACTGGATAGGTAGACAGCAGATTCCAGCACAGGCTCGCAATGGCCTCTTAGGTAGATACACTACAATTCCAAACAAGTTGTTTCTTTCGCTAACGAGAAAAGTTCCTCCTGGATCTACACATCAGAAGTGGCATCACAACCTTACCTTTACCCAAAAGCCAGATGATGAGGCCGAAGCTGCCTGGGGATCCATCATCCCAGTTGGCCGCGGCTTCATCACGCATCCTCAGCTTGCACCAGATGTTTCCAATATTGCAGTATTCCATCAGATTCACTGCCTCGTAAGCTTTATACTCCATAGTTCCTTTCATATGTCCTCGACAATCACTGACCTCCACCAAGCATGCCATCTATATAGCTTATTACGACGCTCTAGCGAGCGCCGCAATGGACTTGGACGAGGTGCCCGATTTTGACAATACAACTGGCACACGGACAGCTCCATTCCACATACGACATTGCTTCGATTATATAAGACAGGCACTGATGTGCCATGCAGACACCAACTTGGAGGTATTGGATCCAGTAAAGCATACAACAAATGGCTGGAATCAGACGAAAACCTGCAGAGACTACTCACAGGTCAAAGATTTTGCTGAGAAATATGCCAATTCAAGCGATACTGGGATTGTAACGTAGAACGATGTATATAATAAAAATATTCTTTTGACACCGAATTTTATAATGATGTCCATAAGCCACAGAGGAACCGGAATCAGTTGGCAGAAGTATGATACTAAGAGTGCATAATATTGAAATCTCCCCTCACAAACTGTAGACCAGATTCTCAAAGACTGTCAAAAGACATGAAGTACATCATATATTTGATTGAAATTTACTAGTTTCCGAATGGCGAATCTTCAAGGATAGAGCGATCACTCATATCTACCATCCTCTTCCTCGACCACGTATCAAATGCTGTCCAGTCCACACATTCGTTATCCGTGTATACCCTTGAAGTCGGATATCCATCACTCTCACGCCAGTAGAACGTTCCCATGGTGGTATCTCCCCTGCACATGACAGACTCGCGCCAGTACTCCAGACAGTGATCTGGGGTTTGTCAGTCGATGTTGCTATTCGTTGACATGCGTGTATATTGGAAGAGTGAAGTAATGCGCAACTTGAACTCACCGATATGGGTATCTTCCGTCCTTTGTTCTTCCTCAGTAAGATTATGGTAGTAATAGTCGAAGAAAATATATCGGCGGATACGTTTCTGGAGCCATTAGATTTGACAATGCTCATTGCTACCAAGAGAACATACGTTGCAGTGAAGTTCGTGATAGGCAGCCATTTCAGCTATGTATCCTGAGCCATCTCTCAGAGCGATTGATGTGTCGCCTTCAGAGAACTTCTCCAATTCCTCCGCGGTAACCTTGATGGTCATGGCTGCGGAGCTTTCAGTCAGATTGTAGACGAGTATGCGGTGATGAAATGCGTACGTTCAAGAAGATCGTGCCAGGCCTTATCCAGCTCCGGACGAGGCACGCCTGTGAATGGGTTTGGGCCATCAATGTCCCGCCATAAACGTTTCTTTTCGTAGCGAATCGCTTCGGTAGCAGGTGCTTTATTCTCACATCAATATTCACGTTGCAATCCCAAAAGACTGCGAGACTTACAGAAGGTCAATTGAGGTCTGACACAACTGCTGTAATCTGTGCCATTCTTCTCTTTGGCCGTGAGCCAGAGACTCAAAAACACAATGTTGGTTGTGATTAACAGCGAATACAATATGGTGTGCTGTAGTCGCCTCGTGAATCTCGGTGGCTTGAGGTCTTGACTGTCACTAGAAGAAACACCTCCCTCGGTCCCCCAATCCTCAGAATTTCGAAGCTGCGAGTACTTTGTCTTGTTCATCTTGTCCAGACTGGTGAGCAGTGAGGAGGACCCAGGAGAAACATCAGATTCATCTACCCCGCTATGAGGAGATGATAGTCTTCGCACACATTGCAGACCCAAGTCCTTAGGCTAGGCCGGTGGCAGTGAGAAGCCAGAACAGGAACCTTGCATGCTCTATGCATGCTCTGATACTTGCATGCGTGACCTCGAACATTGCAGTTCAAATGGATCAGCCGTTGCAACGTAGCAAGGTAAGTATGATGATCCCGGGCAGTCAAATCCAGACATCAACCTAATGCAAGTCTGTTCACACAGGTAAGACTGCGCGAACAGTCGCTGCATTCATTCCACTCTTCATGTCACTGTCTCCAGATGATTGGTCGAATACTGGTGCCCCAAATCATCGTTACTCGTCTGAACGTCAAGAAAAATATCGATTATAACTACTTCTCATATCATACTGAATGTAATTCCATTCAAATTTTTGACATGAGCGGAAGCCATACCAGAGAGTTTGTGACATCTAGTCGTGGTAGACATCAATGTCAGACCGTTGGTTGTCAGCCCTAAGACTTGACGCCCTCGGCCGTATCCTCGTACGGAAGGACTACATGCAGAATTACCGATGCGGCGCATGTATCATGCGATAGTCTTTCGTGAGGGGGTATCTCAACCAGGGGTCGAAGGCTGACGGAGCCGAGCTCGGGAACGGTGAAAATTAACCGGAATCCGACAGAAGTCTAACAGGCCTGCACATGTCGCCTGTCACATCTGCCAACGCATTCATGTCGCGAGCGAGATTACCTGCAAGCTAGTCATTTAAGCTTACATGCAAGGTTGCGAGGTAAGCACAGATACTTCTACTGCATTGGTACGGTTATTGAGTACTTTCATGTCAAGGGGAACGGGATGTTCAAGATGCGCGTGCTAGCGAGATAACCAATAGCGCCACAATTCAGTTGGATCTTCCGACCCTGCTTCTAAAGTGACGAAACGACAAGGAATAATCGTATTCTAGCCGCGTGAGACCTCGAACACATCCCCATTTTGATAACGCGAGATGAGAGACTGCGGGAGAGAATTGGCGACTTGACAAAGTCGGTCAAGCTAACTCGATACAATTGCACCCAAGACCTCGAATGTATACTCATTTTGATAACAAGAGGCGAGAGGCCGAAGAGATACTTGCGGTCGTAACTAAGAGGGGAATAGAACCTCGACAACATCGGATGAGCTGACTAGATACACTTGCACTTGAGCTGATTCCATGCCCTCATCGCGCACATGTTATTGGGAGTTCTTCCGTGCAAGTACCAGAACCACAGGCCATGTCAGGACTGACTTCGTATTCTTGCCACCCATCGCATCCTCCAGAGTTTGAAAGTGGGCCTCCATTGTTGCATCTGCACTTTGCATATGGTCGGGTTTCGGGAATATTGCCAGAATGAACTTCTTCAGCATGCCAATGTCCCACTCAACCTTCCAGAAGTCAGGGATTTGCTCTGCAACGACAGTATCGGTTCGGCCGATAGCATTCTCGGGCTCAACTTCAAAGTCGCAGGCGTCTGGACCGAAGAAAGCTAAACGAGCCTTGGAATTATTCCACTTGTGACGCAGTACATTGTTCCATTGCTTTGTCGAAAATGGAATGTAATCCAGCCAGCTCGCCATACCGTCGGCTGCGTGTTTCCAGTTTGCACGTGCTTGTTCACCTCCACCTGTCACGATTGGCTTGAACGCATGGTCGAGCGCTGCGTATAATGTGGCCTGACACTTTTCCGCGTGGGCTGACCGGACGAAGATTGGTGGACCATAGAACCAGATGGCGAGCGTACCCTCTGGGCGTAGTAGACTGTGAAAGCAATCGAGCGTTTTGTGTGTGTCGAGCAATGGAAATGTCAAGGCGCATGTTATCATATCAAACGAAGAAGGCTGATGATTTTGCGTGAGATCTTCAGCTTTGGAAACTGTCCATGACAGTTGGCTGGATGGGATATGTCGATATCTCTCTTTTGCGAAACCGAGGCTGATGGTGTCGTTGTCACTCGCAACCACGCGTTGGAAACGAGAAGTCAATAGATTCAGCGCAGATCCAGCGCCTGTACCAACATCAAGCGCATGATCGAAATTTTGATTCTTGATCGCATGGTACTTGAAGATGGGATCGAAAATTGCTGCGTCGTATTTTGGTCGAGTGGCTATGTAGTCGTTCCAGTAAGCTGCTTCGACATTTTGAAGCTTCCAGACGCTTTCAGCTGATCCGCTATTTGACCTCTGGGACGTAGTTGTCAAACGAGGTCGGATGCGTGGCACTCGAATTGTTGACCGGAGAGACTGAAATGCCATTTTGACTTGCTCTGGAGTGAGAGCTGCTGCATGAAAGACAGAAGGGAAATTGCCCTATGTTTGCGATCGCATGCCCTTCAGTCACATGATTTAGCGCAATTTCCCTGTATCCGTACATATGTATACACATATGTATGTGGAAAGTTTGCTTCGTAATCCTGTTGCACGCAGTCCTCGCCTGTCGGTGCGGTACGGATGCTTGTAGAGCTTACGGGCCAATCGTTGAGATTTTTTACAACACTGAAAGTACCTGCACCGCATCAAACATGGGACGAATCATGACTATTCAATCGAGTCCAATAAATTCTTGTCAATATCTTACTTACAGCACCTGCCTAAACAAGCCTAGAGCGGTATGCGTACTGTGCGACTCCACGCAATCTTTGCTGCTAATGACCTGCATGCGTACGGCGGAGCCAGGATAAATACCTACATAGGCTCCCAGGTTTGGAGACTGTTCCTTTGGTTATTTTTCAATCAGCTACTGTATTGTTTGTGATTGCATCATGGCCTCCACTGTTGCAGACTACATCATTGTTGGGGGTGGGCTGACGGGCTGTGCCATCGCCTCGCGGTTGGCGAGTTCTTCTTCTGCGCCCTCTGTCGTTCTTGTTGAAGCTGGGCCGGATCCAACTGGTGAGCCAGCAACCGACACAGTACTTGCTGGTTTGTCACTTATGGGCGGCAAGCTCGACTACTCCTACCAGAGCGAGCCTGTTACTGATACGGCTTCGCGAGTACACACTCTACCGGCTGGCAAGATGCTTGGTGGCGGCAGTATGTTGAATTATGCCGGCTGGCTGGTCGCCGATGCGAAAGACTACGATGATTGGGGCGAGTCTATTGGAGATGAGAGATGGTCATACAAAGGGCTAAAGCCATGGCTGGAGAAAACAGAACGCCAATTCAAGGTTTCCGCTATTTCGGAAGATGTTGAACGGAAGTATCCGTTGAGGGAGCCAGTAGCGGGTGCTTGGAAGGAACTAGGCTTGGAGCGAACAACGGGAGAGAATGGTTCGATGACGGGCTTGGCAGAACTGAAGGAGAATATTCGTCCTGATGGGGTTCGACAACCTTCTTATCAGGCTTATCCTCTCGACAAAGTTGTTTTGCTTACTAGTACAAAAGTCGATCGGATTCTCTTCGAAGACAGAAAAGCGCATGGTGTACAGCTTGATGATGGCCGTCAGCTCATAGCAAACAAAGAAGTCATCATCTGCGCCGGTGCATATCGAACTCCCCAGCTGCTTTTGCTGTCAGGAATTGGACCTCGAGATCTTCTCTCTAAGAATGAAATCCCGCTACTTCACCATTCCCCGGATGTCGGCCAAAATCTCTTCGATCATTTCGCAGTTTACATGGCCTTCAAGCTTCGAGATCCATCTCAGAATCTGGCCCTTGGAAGTCCGGGATGGACAACCCCGTCGCTTTTCAAAGGGTTACCTTACGACTGGGTAGCAAACGAACCAATTCCCAAAGAGGTCATCCAGCAGTATCCATCGGATTCAAAATTTGCGAACAGAAATTTAGCCGAAGTGCTAACTGTCTACGTCCCTCCTGGTATCCCCGGTATCCCTTTTGATGGGTCTCACATTGCCACATCAACCATGCTCCTTCTGCCTACCTCGCGCGGTACTGTATCGCTCAGCTCTTCCTCACCCAATGATCCCCCAAAAATCCAGCCAAACTACCTCTCTACTGCACTCGATCGTGACGTGCTCAAGTATCATGCGCGTCGAACCCTTAAAATGGTCCTCGGAACAAAAAGCCTTAGTGAATACGTGGAAAGTGAGACCCCTCCTTCAGGGCCGGGCTTAGATGGACTGGTACCACTCACTTTGGACGTCAGCGATGGAGTATTGCAAGAGCGCATCGAGAGATCGGGCATGCAGCATCATCACTCTGGTGGTACAGCCGCTATGGGGAAGGTAGTTGATGCAGAAGGAAAAGTCTTCGGCGTCGAAGGTCTACGAATAGCGGATGCAAGTGTGCTGCCTCTTCCTTTGGGGGGACACCCTCAAGCTACATTGTATGCTATGGCGGAGCAGATAGCCAGCTTCATTGTTGGACGTGACTAGTTCAGTTTGAACAGCTTGATGGAATCAACTCGGCTACTGATAATTCACAACGATATTGACGCAATGAATTCTGCTCAAAGCCTCGAAGCGTACGCATCTCTCAATTCTGTGACAAATTCACAATTGAAAAACACAAAGCCTTCCTCGCCATTCAGCTTCATTTTTGCGTTATCCAATCTCAATTTCAAATATAGGATACTGCTTTGAAATGTGCCAGTTCCATTTGTGTGCCTGAAGTGAGTCTGCATAGTGTTGATTGCTCCAAACTCTTCGTGCCGCATCCATGTGCGATGATTGCGACTACTGACAAACCATATAACTTGCCGCACAATTATCTGCCTCTACCAAGATTGCTGTGTAATAATTCCTGGCTGCTGCGAAGGAACTGCGGGGATTTCTATGGCATTCGGAGAAAGTTGACCAAGTACATTAATTCGATCGTATAGCCATCCGCTTTTGGCTTAGGCCGTACGAGTTGATGACGAATAGCACTAGAGCCGATTACAAAACACCAAAGTGGCTCGGAAATACTTTCCAACCATCATTCACGAGAATGCACTCCACATTTTGGAATATACTTCGATAGAAGATTCTAAGCCGCAAAATGAAGAGCAAAATGAAGAGCTTAAGAAGACGCGACGGCTGTTCCTTTACAGCACTACACTCCCACAACTTCGCAGTCAAACACTAGTGCATCCACACTCAACACAATTATCGCTTTGAATTTTGCAGTCCGAGCATAAACGTTCCATCACTATAATCATATCTACGATTGACCGTTTCCCCCAGCTTCCTCTTTTCGGATATATAATCATGGTTTCTTGGGCGATTACTGGGGCTACGCGAGGCATTGGCGTAAGCTTCACAATATGAGCCCCACATATAAGCGCGCGTGCTAACAAGACCTCATTACAGCTTGAATATGTCAACAACCTCGTAAGCCAATTGTCAACCACGGGATTCTTGCGAAGCTTTGATACTAAACTTGCTATCTTAGTCTGCCGATTCGAACAATGAAGTATTTGCCCTCATTCGGAGCCGTACAACCGCTGGTGCGCTTGAAGATCTTGCCGCAGATCGCAAGAACATCCACATCATTGAGACAGATATATCCCGACCGGAGAAGTTGAAAGAAACAGCTGCGGAGATCTCGAAGAGTACCAACGGTTCCCTCGATGTTGTCATTCTCAACGCTAGCTCTCCCGGGCCGGATACTTTCGCGTTATCGCCTAGTGATTTGTCAGTATCTGCGACCGATGCAACTCAGAAACTATAGCTAATGTGCAGCAGTCGCGGCAAAGAAGAAGCACTAGAAAATGAGTTTTACGAGAATGTAGAGTCCTTCCACCACTGTTTGGCTCATGAGTCGAGGACTGACAGCTTCATAGGTCAAAGCAAACATCATCAGCAATATATACGTAATCGACTCTCTGGTGGATCTCATCCGCAAAGGACACGAGAAGAAGATAGTCTTCATATCCAGCCAAAGCGGAGATATTGAGTTCAATCGGATCACTGGACTCACTGCTCAGATTGGCTACTCTGTCAGCAAGGCCGGCATGAATCTAGTCATGACGAAAATCGGAGCCGAGCTAGCCCAGGAAGGAATCAAGACATTATCTCTGAGCCCAGGGTGGGTTAACACAGACGCAGGTAAGTTAATGCCACGTGAAATTTTGTCGATGCAGATGATTGACATCGAAGCAGCTAAAGCAGTCACTGGAGACCCAGATGTGCGCAAGTGGATAATCGGTGCGTTTCACAAGGTTGACCCCAATGTCGAGGGACCCAGGCCAGTAGAAGAGTCTGTTGCAGACCAGCTTCGGGTAATTGGCAACTTGAGTGCGGCAGAAAGTGGGAAATTCTTGACCCATCATGGGAATCATGATCAATGGTTCTAGTAGTCGGATGGAGTGAGTGATTGAAGCGGAATTTCTAGGGGGATGGGGTTAGAGGTTATGCATATAGACGGACATTATGAGCTCTGCAATTTGAAGGTTTTCGAATGCAGTTTTTCTATATAGTTGATTCTCTCTGATTTTGGCGATAGCAATCATTGTGCTGTATGATGTCTTTCCACCAGAGGATTATTTCGAGCGGTCTACCCCACTCAGGCAAAAGGCGGAATGAAAGGCAGGCCACCCACCACCGCATCGAATATCGTCATATAATCCACTTCACCCTCGACATTTAGGTCATGTTGGTTCCAGACAGCCTCTACCAGATGCTGAATCAGATTGATGTGGCGCGACCTCCGTCTTTGATCATGCCTACTCTGTTCAAAGACGTTCAAGATGGCAAGCCGTTGATCATCGTCAACGGCTTCGCATGCAATGATGAACAGAGGCCACGCACTCTGGCAAGTGACCATCTCTGTCAAAAGCAATATGCCTTCACGCACTAACCTTTTATGGCGGAAGTCGGTCTCGGAGACATTGTGGACCGCGCGGTTGACGTAGATCAAACTCGCGAGCCGGTGAAGGTCAGATACCATGGTATTGCGGTTGATGAACGCCCTTGATTGTATGGGTATGGGCCCATAGTCCCCGATCTCTATCGAGATCTTCTTTTCGAGTGTCTTTGTTCGCTCCAGCGCAGCATATGTATGATTCATTCTAGGGGAACGAGTGACTATGGCTTGCCTACACGTGTCCGTTACAAGTTGTAGCACTTCCGTTGGACAGCCGATACTGTCTTCCATCTGCGAGGCTGTTAGAGTAGCTGGAAGTATGGAAGATTGTTATTTAGAATACCTGCGACTGGCTGGCACCGACAGCCGTCTTGATTGATCTAGCAGTGGGTGCAAAGCCGCACCCTTCATATGGAACTTTCCAGTGTCTAACCGTAAACTCGGCGAGAGTTTCATGATAGAATATCCAGTCCAGAAAAACCGAGTACTCTTCTCGGACTAGTTTCTGGACTGAGGGAGATGTATTGATGATATTCTTCACTGCACATAGGTAAGTCACCCAAGTACCTTTTGAATCGGACTCGAGAGATAGCTGATATAACTTAATTAGCAAATTAGGGGCAAACAGCTCGAATAGAATCACCTCATAGTGGTAAAGAAGCATCGTTGCCATTAGATTTTGGAGCAACGTCCGTTCGTCAAGCCAGTCGATCGAATCTTTGATAGCTGATATGGTTTGTTGTTTGTAGCGATAGCTCTTCGTGTTGCCGTTGATCTGTAACGATGCAAGCGCGAACACACCCTGCAAAACCGGATTGGTCGAATCGGACATGCTTGAGAATGCGATCCGCAAGATGAATTTGGCTAATCCTTCCTCGTCGGTGGGTCCTAGCACCAATGACCTTGATTCGTTGACTAGAACGATTCGGTGAGTATTGCCGCTCGATTTTACTGACTGCCATACTTACAGAAGCCTAGGAGGTGGGACTCTTCCCTATTCACAACGATGGGCGACAAGTAACTCGGCCCTGGTAGCCTCATTGTACGAAAGTAAGTAGCTAAAGATGGTGTCCATAGATATGAGCTTCGGGCTCATAGTTTAGGCGTTGAACACGATACTTACCTGGCAATCTCCCGTTCCCCAATTCCTCTGATAATGCAACATCCCAACCAGATACATTCAGGAATCTTCTTACGTTTGCGTGGATTATTTTCACCGTGTGGTGTTTATCTCGGAGAACGACTGCTCTTTTCTGATCGCCAGCGCGCGGCCAGGACAGCTGCATACCGTAGCCCTGGCAAACTCGCTGCCCTTTCGTGCAGTTGCCACACGCCGGCTGCTGTAAATCACATCGAACTTTGCGTTCTTCGTATATGTCAGCCTATCGGTGTATAATGATGCAGAACTGTTGTTCTACCTCTGCATGTCCAGCAACCCTTGATTCCCATGGCGTTTAGAGCGTCGCCCGCTGCGACTGGACTGCTGTTAACGTGTAGATTCTGACCAGGCTTGATGTTGATTTTCAACAATAGTCAAAGATCGTATAACGGATCAGGCTGAGACACGATGAGCTAGTCCTCAATAGTACAACGCCAAGACACCCCCGCTATAAGGAGTCAAGGACCGCACCCAGTGAATATCTAGTTGTTGTTGCAACTGACGGTGAGAGAGTGACAGAAGTGATGCGTATGAGAATTCTCGGATATGCTTTCTCTGCTGGGATTACCTCGCGAAATCCGCGACAAAATCATCGACGAAGTAGTCGCAACCCGAATCGCACACCCCGCCGACACTACACGCATCTGCAGGAATTTCAGGTCTCAGCTTTACGACGATAGCACGTCTGAGGAGTCCCAGCCTGTATCTCTGGCCTCGTACACATCTCCATCGCGCTCTATCTTCATGGTTAACAAACAGCTGCGGTGTGAAGATATGGACAGCATAGATCGCAATGATTTAGTCACTACTGTTCACCTTGCTTTCATCGACGAGGAATGGGTCTGGCCCTCCTGGACCTTTATATTCCCTCGCTTTAAGACGATCATTGACAGGCTGGACGTGGAGCTCCTCTTTGCGCTGAGTGATGATTCGGCCGGCCAAGGGCTAGTCCCTAATACGCCATTCGCGCCCTTGGGCTTTCTCAACCGCGTTTTGGTTCTAGGCCCATCACCAATTCATAAACCTCCCGCGACCGATCGAAAGATACATGTGCAGGAATTACGTATCAATGTCAATCTCGAGCACCCCGGTCCATTGTACTCCGAGGAAGAGATACCCGTTCGTAATGAGAGATACAGCAGGCTCTACCCTCATTACGGTATATTCACTCAAATATACCTCCGCGAGTTGGCCAAGCATGTGGAAGAGCTCTCAGCTCAAGTGCCCTCACAAGTCCCGCCACTCATAAGCCGTGTTCAACGTATCGTTTTGTGTTCCAACGGCAAAATTCAGTACACACATGACTCGCCGTCTCCACGCGAGCAAACAACCATCATTCAAGGGCGTTCCAGACGCTATCTCTCACGCTGTATCGATACCCTGTTTTCATCCAAAAAATTTGCGAAAATAAACCGAAAGTTTCATGCGAGCAATTAGGTCGCGATCTATATCTTCACCGAGTATACTGCGTGGCCTAATTCGGGTAGTAGCCTGGATCACATGCCAGGGAAAGCTGGACGGGTAAAAACCATTATTCTCGGCTGGAGAAGCCTCCCGCAAACATGGCTAGTTAGTCTACGGACAATATGGTTCACTTGAACTAAGACAGAGAATTTGTTGGGTCAATCATAATTCCCGATCGAAATTTTCTGTCAAGAAGCGTTGCTATGTTAGCAATTGAGTTGTGTTGGATCTCATTGATCGGAATGGCATCAAATCACACAAGTGTGAACATGGAATGTTCAAGTACGCCCAAGATCTACGGTGAGATGATTGGTTCATTCGTCGCGTGAGCGGCCCCACATCGATGAACAAAAACCTGGTTAAGGGAACCGAGCCTCCATGCGTACGGTTAAGGTTATGCATCATACATCGAGTAAGTTTCAGTCAATCTTGACAAGAAGCTATCTTGGTGTTCTTACCCTCGTTCTACAGTTCCCTAAGAGCAGGTAGATCCCAAGAAATAATTTCCTTTAGGCTCCTCCGTGAGCATTTTCTGTCGATAGCCATGCTCACGTCATCTATTACGGCTTGCATCATGCTAACAAGAGCACACTACGTTCATAATTGCAAGCCATATATCTGCAGAAAAACCAATGCTAGAACATCACTGCAGCGCACGGCGAAAGTCACCCTGATTGATTGGTTTCATGTCGAGGCTCGCAGTTGTCTGTTTTCTTCAAGGGCTACTTATCGATAGACGTGGAGAGTCGATTACCAATTATCAGCATGATTGTAGCAGGGCTTTGGCGGACAAGTTATATCTTGTTCCTGGCATTAGTGCCGCTAGCAGCATGCCAGTGTAAATGTGTTAGTTCCCAACGCGGCAAAACGTCTCCTCGATCCAAGACCGCATCACTCACCAACCAGTCAGACCCCCAACCAAGCATGCTGGCCGACCGAGAATGAATGGTCGGAATTCAATCAGACCATCAGTGGCAAACTGATCAAAACAGCACCTGTTATGCTTCCTTGCTACGTCGGACCCAACTACGATGCGGCACAATGCGCACAGCTCAACGACACGCTGTTCTACGACCCGAAATTCGAGGCGCAGCATCCTGTCGGATATGACTATCCACTGAACGAGACATGTCCACCTCCAATGGTTACCGATGCCCCGGCCAGTCAGTGTCAGCTTGGTAATTCACCTGTGTACGCTATCAACGCAACGACAGAAGCGGACATCAAAGATGGCATTCGCTTTGCAAAGGAAAAGAATATTCGGCTCGTCATCAAATCTTCAGGCCATGACTTTGTTCAAAGGTAAGTCGCATCTGCGCGATTAGGCTATCAACCGACTAAGCAAGAGTAGATCAAAGGGCTTTTACGGTCTGTTGATTTGGCTACATCACTTCAGAAGCGGCTTCACCTTCAACGAACCAGCATCCATCTCGGATGGACAGCCAGCACAAAATTGGAATGGTACCAGCCTCACAATTAACGGCGCATACCCCTGGTCCGACATCTACCCCACAGCTTGGGAGAAAGGCATCATGGTTGTCGGGGGCAACGCAAACGTTCGTATCTACCAGCTCAAAGCTCGGAAAGTACTACGAAAGACTAACACTTACACAGGGGCCTTGCTCCACCGGTGGCTGGACGCAGGGAGGAGGCCACAGCCCCAACACTCGCGATTTCGGTATGGGTGGCGACCAGGTGCTCTCTGCAAAGGTCATTCTTGCATCCGGCGAGGAAGTCGAGGCCAGCCCATATATCAACCAGGATCTTTTCTACGCTATCCGCGGTGGGGGTCCCGGTACTTACGGTATCGTGACACAGATGACTGTCAAGACGTATCCGAATCGAAAACTCAACCTGTTCTACATTGTGATGGGTGCCCAAGGCAATGGCACAGTCAGCAAATTCTTAGATGCCATGACTGATGTGTATTCCTCATACCCCAGTCTTTCTGAGAAGGGATTCGCCGGGTACGGAAACTGGGTTGCGAATTCAGCCAACGGCCTGCACGAACACAAGTTCACCAACGTCTGGTACGAAGCCTTTACAATCACCGGTAAAACAGATGAAGAGGCACAGAAGCTTTTCCAATCTTTCGAAGACATAGTACTCTCTTACAACTCCACCGAATTTGGCATTCAAGTCAACCTCACCAAATCCAGCTTCGTCGACTCCGGCGAATACTTTGCCAACAAGTGGGGAAACAACGTTTTTGTGGGTGGAATATCGGCTCTCTCATCTCGATTTATCGATTCACATGCGCTAAGCGGCGACAAGGAGCGGCTGCGCACAGCCATAGAAATCATGGGAGGCGAGCCAGGCAAGGCTGTCTATCACACAATTGTACACCACGGCCTTGAGACCACGCCCAAACTGCACTTCAACGATTCTGCAATCCAGCCCGGCTGGTATAACTCCATTGTCCTCGACATCTTCGAGCGCGACGTGGTCGATTTCAGCTACAAGAACAACATCGAGCCGTTCTCTTACATTCGATCAAAGGTCGAAACTGTCTACCGCGATCTTACACCCTCGCTTGGAACGTACATGAATGAGGCCGACTGGGGAAGTGTGAATTGGAAAGAAGATTTCTATGGCGTTCATTATGATCGTCTTAGCCCAATCAAGGAAAAATACGACCCAGACGGTCTCTTCTACTGTATCACGTGTGTTGGGAGCGACAATTGGGTGGTTAAGGACGACGGAACGTTGTGTAAAAGCACTTAAACCTGGTCACATCTATAGAATAGTCGATTCGTTTACCTTGACTGTGGCCAAAAAATACACATTGCTCTCCGTGTTTTTATCTTCTTTCGCATCTATTCTTTTATTTGATGATGCAAGATCACGATTAAAGGGATCCGACACAGCACAGGTGTAAAGACACTGTAGTCGTCTATTATATCCCGATAGAATGCAGTCATGTCACTAGTCTTTCTTCGAAACTAGTAGGATGAATTCTAGCAATAATCTAATCATGTCTATGCAGGAAATATAGCAGTGGGAAAGATTCTCGTGTCGCAGAGAAATGCCATGCTTGAACGGTAAGCATATAGTTTAAAACGCTTTTATAAAAGTAACAATTACTCTGGTATTGTTCTAAGTTGATCATAGTCTTAGCCGCTAGTTATAGAATACTATGAGAAATATTTTCAACACAATAGGAGAAGGTTCTAGTTGAATACTTGTATTGTGAATGTAAATCAAGACCTTGCTCTCGTAAGTGACAACAAGAAAAGTACATGTGAAGTCTTCTTTTCCAGTCACCGTGTCCATCCTCAGCAAAGCTTGCATTTGTATTCAAGTCAGGAACATTCATTAAATCCTGTCGCATAATTCCAAAGTTTGAGTGAAATGACACAAAGGCCCTTTGTAATTATTCATAGGCATCATTCGATTGAATTTTTAGTTATCGCTCGGTTTCTTTTTTTTGGTTTATTTATCGCCGTAACCCATCGCTGTGTGTAGGGTCACCTATACTCCCACTCAAAAAAAAAAAAAAAAGCAATTATTCATGTATAGAAATTTGCTTGTGCCATCAATACTAAAACTATGGTTTCGCTTCTGTTTGCGGTTTCGAAAGACGACTGTGATGTGGATTTCCTTCCGGAGTTACGAATGCCTGATAAACGTTAGCGATTTCATCAGTACATACTGAGATAATAGACTTGCTTTCGTTAGTCCACCATCGACCACCAGCTCGGTAGAGTTGACAAAAGAGCTCGCGTCGCTAGCCAAAAAGACTGCAGCGCTGGAAACCTCCAGTGGTGTCCCCCAGCGTCCCTGTGGGAGATGAACTTCCCTGCGCAATCTTCGGGCTGTTTGGCCCTTTGCAGGCGCGGGCGAGCTAGCAGAAGAACCTTTGCTATCGTCTTCGCCTTCCAGGAAATTTTGTAACATGGGGCTATCTAAGGGCCCGGGGCAGAGCGAGTTGAAACGGAAACCTTCCCGTGCGTGGACAATACCCAACTCTCTGGTCATAGCGATGACTGCTCCTTTGCTGGCAGTATATGCTAGCTGCGACGTGGCGCTGCCAATGAGGCCTGCCACAGAACTCAGATTGATCACGCTGCCGTTTTCCTTGCCGAATCGTCGCATGCTGAGGATCGCGTGCTTGCAACCAAGCCAGGTGCCCAGGACATTGACTTGGTGTGTTAACTCCCATGCGCGAGCCGTCACCGTAACAGCGTCTCCGTCGATATCAGTGGGGAAGACGCCGGCGTTGTTGACCATGATATCTAGCCCTCCATGCTCGTCAAGTTTGGCTAGCAATCCGGCCACTTGCTCGTCATTGGAAACGTCACAAGCTTGGAATAAGAATCGCGTCGCTGCACATGATGGAGTGGAATCCAAGGTTCCCCGAAGCCGGTCTAGCGCTTCGGTAGAAACATCAGAGAGTAAAATTGTACTCGCACCGGCTTCAGCAAAGCTGATGGCGATATGAGTACCGATGGTCCTGTGCCGCGTTTTCAGTCAAGGATACTTCATTTTCCGTGTTCTCGCGAAACACGACTTCGTTGTCGCATGTTCCCGTTAAAGCATTTGGAAAGGAGGGACAACGCACCCTCCGGCACCTGTGATGGCGGCGTTTTTGCCCTTCAGAGAAAAAATGCTAGTCATTTCGATCTAACAATAGCTGCATGGAAAGGATTGTCGATGCGTCGCGCTGCAGTTTACGCATATATTCTTGGACTGAGTGTCAAGCCAGTTACACTCGTTCAGCATAACTCAAAATGCATTTACCAACCGCCTATCTCGGTATCATCTTGCGTTACGCGCTGTAGCTGATCAATCGCTGCAGCCTCGGCATGATATGCATGAAATGCAGTAATGTATTCCAGATGATGTGGGGCTGAATTGATTGTCACAACTCAATGTAGTTGAAAAGCAGGGTTTACATGGGTCACTGGTACTATGACGCAAAGTGTGGTGAGATGTGGTGAGATGTGGTGAGCAACATCATGTGACCTGTGCTTTTGTTGTTCTCAGTCTCGGAAGTGGCTCATCGTGTTTCGGTACTGTCTGTTAGTGTATGCGCATCTAATGCGCTGATTATGTCAAATATCTTAAACAATGCTGCGAGATTTGCGTTGCGAATTTTACGGTGAGAAATAACGAGCATGCAGCTGGAGATGCAAGTGTGCGGCAGTTCAACATGGCCCGGTACATGGCCATCACGAACAGACCACTCACAGCCTTTCATTTCACCATAAACGTTTTTTACAGATCGGCTGTCAACTTGAATATTCTATGTGATAAGAATATGGGAGGTTTTGGTGGTAGAGCAATATAGATGCATTGGGGTGTAGTACTGTGACAACTGTGATGCAAAGGAACATTTGTGTTTTGGTGAAAATCATGTCGTGTTCAGCGCCCAAATAAGGCTGGAGAACATCGGCCCTTTCCAATGTACAGGCAATAATTCACCACGGTAAAGTCTTGCCTTCGAAAGTAAGGAATTTCCCTGAATGCTCCGCCGTAGCGTCGTCAATGACTTTGATGATGCCGGAAACGCTGTCCTCAAGTTTGGTCGGGGGCATCTCGATCTTGTAGTCGATGGCCTTGAACGCGGACTGCCATTGATCGACAGCAAACTGCCCAGTTTCTGTTTGTACCCATCCTGGATGCAAAGCAATGCAAATGAGACGTGTGTCGCCCTTTGTGCCGTTGAACTCGAGATGGATGGAGCGCGCCACCCAGTTCTGTGCCGCTCGGCTTGGGCCGTAGCCGCCGCCACCAAATGGATCCATGCCGCCAATGCTCCCGACCGCAGAGGTGACCGAAATGACTTTCGGAGTCGATTTGGACTGCAGCAGATATGATTTCAGTCCTTGAAAGACGAGCAGAGGCGCGATAGAGTTGACCTCAAAAGCTGCCCGCATGTCTTCGGCTTTGGTTTTGCTCGGCTGGACCAGTGGCAGCGCCCCGCCTGCGTTGAGCACTAGAACGTCAATGTGCCCAATGTTCAACTTCGCAAATGTGCTTTTGACTTGGTCCGGAGGAACGGCTGTAGAGAAGTCGTATTTTATGATTTCAAGCTTGCTGCCTGTCCCTTTCGGAACGCTTTTGGCCTCGTCTTCCAGTGAGGTTTTGGCTTCCTCGCTACGAACCGTAGCAACTACCGTGTGTTGGGGACGGGCAAGTAGTGTTTTCACGATGCCGAGCCCAATGTTTCGATTGGAGCCGGTGACAACATACACCGTGTTTTCTGTGGCGCCTGACATTTTTTGTTGACGAGGAGTAGCAGGAGCAGTGTAGAGGAGAGACTGCGGAGAGGTATGCGCGAAATTATGATCCAGGCTGTTCAAGAAGGTTATGCAACGTCTGATTGTGCCCACTAAATTGAGATCCCAGTTAGAATAGAGAGAAAAAATGTGCCGCACACAGCCATTGCTAGGTGCATGTATGCCTTTAAATACTCGGACGTTTAAATGAAGATCATCACGTGATCGCATAAGCGCCACGTGCTCGGGGTGTATCGCCATCCCCACGAGCTGTCAAATACAGCACTCACACTCCTGACGTATCATGTTTCTTTGATTTGAGATAAAAATTTGCTAGAAATATTATTGGAGCATCAGAAGCTGATGCAAGTCGCGTGGCCTCATGTGAGTATGCCCTGTATGTTACCTCTTGCAACTGATGTCATTTTGAAAGCACCGCGGAAATTCCAGAAATGCGACAACATAGTTCTATATCTCCAGTTCGGTTCGAAAGAATATACATGAACGACTGGCCAATCTGGACCCCCTACTTAGTCTCTATATGATAGTATACGATAAGGTACAAGATAGATCCAATCGGTTCTGCTTCTATGCCCGACTCTCATGTTAGTTTTGCTCTAGCTTGTATCAGGCTTCTCACGATTGACATCTTGACTCTGTTCCTTTGTGTTCGTCAAGTTTGCCGAACCATCATTCACGTTGTCTGATACATTTCCTGTGATACTTTCTACGACAACTTCCTTTTCCTTCTCAGATTTGAGTGGACGCCATGGAATGAAGGGCCAGGCGAGTACAGAAAATGTGCACAACACTGCCGCCATGAGAAACACTTTTTTCAAGCCCGAGTTGTAAACGTCCAATGCTGTCGCCAGGTTTTGGTCCGAGATAATCTCGCGCAGCGAGCGAAAGTCATTAACCAATGTATCACGCGATACACCAGGAAAACGGCCTTCCAACTTGAGAACCTCTCCGAGAAAAACGGCTTGCGCAATGCTGATAAAAATGGAGCCCCCGATTATATTACCCAAGAGCACGGCTGATGTCCCGTAGGCAATATCACTGACTTCCACGGATGCTTGCGCGTTGACGATAGATTGTTGAATGCCGATACCGTAGCCCGCACCTAATATCGCTTGATATCCTATCCATTGAGCCCTGGAGATATTTGGGTGAAACGAGGACAAGAGACCAGCACCAATGGAGGACAGTGTTGTAGCCGCAATGACGAATGGAGGTAAATAGCCGACAACTGGAACCATCGCTGCTGCTGCGGTCGCGATCACAACGTCAGATATCACCATCGGTAAGATACGAATTCCAGATCCCTCAGCCGTCACTCCCATGATTGCCTGGAACCATACTGGAAGCTAGTCACTGTCAGCTCTATGTTTCTTTCCATCTGCGGAGTATCTTAAGTGGGCGACTCACATAATAGAGGATGATCCACATGCCACTGGAGATGCAAAATCCAAACCATAGGGATGCCACAAAGGCTTTCCTTCTCAACAAGCGCGTGGGAAACAAAGCTGCATCGCCCAGCCTGGTCTCCCAAAATGCGAAAAAGACAAAAGATACGAAGAAAACGACAAACAGCGCGATAATCCGACCATTTCCCCAGGGATATTTAGCGCCTCCCCATTGCAAGGCCAATAGCAAACACGTGATTGAGCCTATGATAACACAGCCTCCAGTAAAGTCCAACTGTCGAATTTTTTCAAGTGGTGATTTAGATGCATTGGCGTCATTGTCTGATGTCCGGATGGGCTTCCGAAACGCATAGAGCAAGATTCCGAATAGAACAACGCCAAAAGGAAGGTTGATCCAGAATCCCCATCGCCATCCAATGGTGTTCGTGATGACACCACCGATAACAGGTCCTATGATACTGGAAACACCTTCTAAGCCGCCAATAATGCTGATGAACATGGCTCTGTATCGCAGGGGCGTAATCAGCGCAGTGATCCTAGAAATTGGGTCAACCAGAAGCTCATGATACAGAGTCTTTGATAGAAACCTACGTCAAACCGCCGGAAAGAATCCCTGCGCATCCGAGTCCAGCAATCGCTCGCCCCACAATGAAAGTTGGCGAATTTCGAGCAAGAGCGCACATCAAGCACCCAATTTCCAAGATTGTCAGAGATATCAAGAAAATATTTCTCGGCATGAAAATGGTAATTAGCTTGCCAAAGAATGGCAAGGTAGCGCCAACCACGAGGAGGAAGACGGCGCCATACCATCCAATGTCCCCACCTGATTCGAATTCAGCTACCAGGGTTGGATTGATGGTAGCTACAATGGTAGAATCCTACGCATGACCAACGGAGTCAATGAATGCTAGAAATGAATATACAATCGAACTCTTACAAGAGAACCCATGAGAACCACCAGGCCGATCGACCCGATTGTCAAGACGCATTCCATTGTGGTTAACGTGGTGGGTTTTGCGTCTGAGCCAGGAGATGAAGATGGCGACCCTACACTCTCCTCGGGCCTCATGTTGTCGACTGGAGCTGGCATGTTCGCTTCAGCCATGAGTAAAAAGTTGCAAAAGACGTGGAAGAATCAATGCATAGGGGAGGTGTTTTCGAGGTAGTGGCAGCAGAGCATTCCTCAGAGCTTCCCCAGAGCCAGTTCTGGTCGATTGAAGGCGGCGTAGGTGAATCATACCATCTTGCACATTGTGTGGAAAACAACGTAGTCTCGCCTCATGCTGAGGTCATGCGAGGATGAGTAATCAGCGTGGCATGGGTGATGTTGAACACGATTACACACAATGCCTTTGGTGCGACTCTTGGGGAAGGCTGGCAATCATGTCATGCATTTAGACGGTAGTCGATCATAATCTGCTGGATGATATTTCGCTTTTGGGGGTGTGCGTCGCCCCTTGGAGATCAATTGTGAAAAGTTGTTTAAGCTTATGCGGTATAGCCACTGCGCGGGTATTCCACTCTCCTCTGTTGTAACAGTAACTTTGATCCCGAGAAAAGCTGCTGGCTACAGCGTGAAACTGAATCCTCTGTTGTATTGTGATATCTCTTTGCAAACCCCATTTCCTACCTTATCGTCTCAACCTGGAGTGTTAAACTGTCCTGCGTGGCTTGCTAGTTAAACTGGTAGTAAGTTGATGGCCCCCAGCGCAACGGTCGTCATCATCCAGTATCTCAGGCCATAAGTAACCCATTGACAGAGATTCAACACGGAAATCATGACTCGAACTTCGCCGTCGATGTCGGACAACGCGGTGGTTTGCAAGCTGCCCGCGTTTCCTGGAAGAGAGGAAGCTTCCCGGGCCGTCGCAAGCGAGGCGCTAAAGCTAAACGCGCCAACCACGGCGGGTTCGCTGTCGCCGGCCACTGTCGAAGCTGCATGGGCTGCAACACTCTGCTTGTACACCAACTTATCGCACATCAGCTTCCACGTCAGATCCGCCGATGGGGAGACTGAGGGCCGATCGTGCGAGATACTGGAGACAACTGAGGTGCAGGCTGTTCCAACCAGTCTTCGTAGCGATGCCATCGAGCCGCGTTCGAATGAACAGAGTCGCGTCAACACGGCCATCATATACACGCGTGACGATGACCACGTCCCTGCCGAACAAACTACAATCGAGGAGCATGGCGGCCCTCAAAAATATATGTGGCAAGGCATCGATTTTGCCATGCTTGTCAAGCCGTCCACCTACACACTGATCTTCCGTCGCAATTTTATGTCGGATCCCGAGGCAAACAATTTTGGCACAACCTTTGCCTCAACGCTGGCTGCCATTCTGGAAACGGAAACACCCACGCTTTTCAAGGACCTCAATATCAGCCAGCAGGATTTACAAAGCATCTTAGAATGGAACAAGACAGCTTTTAACACCAAGAAATCACTGCTTCATGTCGAATTCGCGAAAGTGGTCGACTCCCAACCGGGCGCTGAGGCCATCGATGCTTGGGATGGCCGATGGACATACAGAGAGCTCGATCATGTTTCTACCGACATATCTAGGGAACTGCGTTCCCGCGGGGTTGGTGTCGGATCCTGGGTTCTAGTTTGCTTTCATAAATCTCGCTGGTCCGTGGCCTCGATGTTAGCTGTTCTCAAGGCAGGTGCAGCGTTCGTGCCTCTTGACCCTAGATTTCCAGCATCCCGCATACGAGAAATCATTGAAGTCTCAAAGGCCAGTCATGCAGTGGTGGCCGAAGATGATCTTGCGGTATTACTGCACGAGTCTTCACCAGAACTCCAGATCATCCAAGCTACTCGACCCAATGCCGAAGACCAAAATACACCCAAGCACATTGAGAGTGTTGCACCACAACCCCAAAATCCTGCAATATGCTTATTCACGTCCGGAAGTACTGGAGTTCCCAAAGGTATCATCGCCTCGCATGCTGCAGTCTGCACTGGGGCCTGGGAATATGGGAGAGTTGGCAACGCAAAGCCTACGGATCGCGTGCTGCAGTTTGCGTCGTTCACCTTCGACATTTCCTACGCGGATATATTTACCGCCCTACTGCATGGCTCAACTCTATGCTTGCCATCGGAGGAAGAGCGCATGGGAAACTTGCAGGAGTTTATTCAACGCGCACGCCCAACATGGGCAAACCTGACGCCAACAGTAGCCCGGTTCCTCGACTCGGCTGTTTGCTCTTCCACGATCAAGAAGCTGCTACTAGCTGGCGAGCTAGTAAAAGAGTCGGATATCGCTGGCTGGATAGATTGCGGTGTAGAAGTTTATAATGTCTATGGGCCGGCCGAAAATGTTCTCCTCACGAGTGTCGGGCGTATATGCAAAGGCGCCGCATATAATACCACTCGCCCAAGAAATACTCGTGCCTGGATTGCCAACATGGAGTATCATCGTCTCATGCCTGTCGGCGCTATTGGTGAACTTATATCTGAGGGTCCGCAAGTTGCAGATGGCTATCTGAATGATCCGAAACGAACTGCCGCTAGTTTCCTGGACAACGTGGACTTTTGCCCCAACCCAACACCAGACGAATCGTTACCACGGAGGTTCTATCGAACAGGCGACTTAGCACGGCAATTTGTCGACGGCTCTATTGAGGTAATCGGTAGAGCAGACTCACAAGTCAAGATTGGTGGGCAGCGAGTAGAACTCAGTGATATTGAGGCGCATATCAAACTATGCAAAGCGGTCGTGGTGCTTCCAAAAACAGGCCCTCTAGCTAAGCGCTTGACGGCGATCCTCCAAACAAAACAAACGCCAGATACAAATATCTATGATTTTACAACTCTCGACACTGAATGGATCGAGGCCAACCGTAAAATGCTTAGTGAAAGTCTTCCTCAGTTTATGGTTCCATCGCACTGGCTGGGGATGGACAAGTTCCCGTACTCAACGTCGTCGAAGCTCGATAGGAAACTTCTCTTGAACAAGGTTGAAGCTCTCTCGCAAGAACAATTACTTCACCTCACGCGAATGGAAGACGACTCACAAGAACAGGAGGATATATCCCTCAACGAAGAGCAAAAGCTCCTTCAGGACATTTGCAGTCATGTGCTGAATCTGCCAAAGAGTAAAGTCATCATGACCCATTCGTTCACGAAGCTTGGAGGCGACTCCATCACAGCCATGCAGCTTTCTGCCGCAACTAGAAGGGCTGGGGCTGGATTTCTCTCCGTCAAACTCATACTGACATCTCAATCGCTTTTGGACGTTGCCGGCCAAATTAACGAGCGAACATCATCCCAGTTAGAGATCCCGCTTGTCGAGACACAGCAACCTTTCCATCTCTCGCCTATGCAACAATTTTTCGTAGAGACAGCCCTATCATCATCGGCATGGCACCACTACAATCAAAATGTTCTACTGCGCTTGACGGTGGCTGTACAACCGGAAATCATCGAACGAGCACTTGCAGATGTCATCGAGCGACACCCAATGCTGCGTGCGCGATTTCGTCCCTCCCCCGATGGCGAATGGATGCAGCATATTGCTCCTGCACCAGACGCTGGGTTCAAGTTGGAGATCGTATCAGAGGATTTATCGAGAAAAGATCAAAAACGAAGAATGCTTGAAGCGCGAAGATCTCTGAATCTCTTTAATGGCCCAATTGTGCGTGCCCAGTTGTTCAAAGGTCCAGCTGAAAAAGGATCTTTGCTGTTCATTGTTGCTCACCATATAGTCATCGACTTGGTTTCCTGGAGAGTTATCGTGGAAGAGTTGGAACAGTCGATCGCTTTTCTCATTCAAAACAGCGAGGCAGTTCCGTCGGCCCTACAAAACCAGTCGCAATCAATTCCCTTCTTTGCTTGGGCTGAGTTGCAAAGGCAGTACAGCCAGCGGCTTAGTCCCACACAGACACTTCCATACGGCCTATTGGTGCCTGATGTAGACTTTTCATTTTGGGGGATCTCGCCATCTCAGAATGTTTACAATGACGTTCGAGAAGTCCGGGCCTGTCTCGATCCGACACTTACATCCAAGCTCCTTCATGATTGCCATAGTGCACTACGTACAGAGCCCGTGGATGTTTTATTAGCAAGTATCTTTATATCATTCAGCAAGGTATTTCCGGAACACGGGTTTCCTGCAGTCTTCAACGAATCTCATGGAAGAGAGCCATGGAATGATCAGATCGATATATCGCAGACCGTTGGATGGTTCACGGTTGTCTCGCCAATTCTTCTGGAGAACGTGAATAGCGAATTTCATTTGGACGTAGTTCGTCGCGTGAAAGACTGGAGAAGAGCAATGCCTGACAAAGGATTCCAGTACTTTTCGTCGAAGTATTTGACCCAAGAAGGACGATCCGCTTATAAGAATCATCTGCCAGCTGAAATTCTTTTCAACTACGAAGGTCGCTACCAATCCTTAGAAAAGAAAGATGCTATTCTCAAACCCGAATCGTGGACAGCGGGCGAGGAATTGGATGACATGGGCCTTGACCTCCAGAGGTTTTGTTTGTTCGAATTATCGGCTGCTGTACTTTCTGACGGCATATTACATCTGACAGGGGCTTGGAACTCAAAAGCCAAACACCAGACTCGGATATCATCGTGGTTAGAGCATGTTCTGCCATCAGTTATACATGACGTCGTGGGCTCAATGCTCAATGCAAATGAGGAGTTGACTCTTGACGACGTCGGAGAACGCAGTACCATGGATTATTCAGAGATTGATTCCATGACCCAAGCGACATTGGCCATCCCGAGTGTTGAGAACCTCAGTGATGTTGAAACAATCTTGGATGGCTCTCCGATGCAAGATTCTTTGGCCTTGAGCCAGTTGAAGCTCGCCAATCTTGACGCCTATGAGGTCGACTTCACGTGGGAAGTTTCGGCAGCACATACCGAAGGAGTGCGACAACCTATCGACTCAAAGCAGCTCCTATCAGCATGGCATGAAACGGTGGCTGCCCATTCTACACTCCGAACGATTTTCTTGGAATCTGAAAGTGCTACGGGTTCAGATATGGTTTACCAGATCGTTCTCAAGGAACATATCCCATGTTCCGTTCTTCTCAAAGCAGAGAACTCCGAAGACGCATTGGAGCAGTTGCGTAGTTACACGGCTTACAAAGATGAAGGTCTTTTCGCTGACAAAAGGGTCCCCCATAGGTTCCTCATTTGTTCAACCAACGATATGAGAACCTTTGTCAGGCTGCAGATCAATCACATCGTCTTTGATGGTATGTCTCAGATGCCGTTATTACAAAGTCTTTCGAGCGCATACAGCAAGCGCGCAGTGTCTTTGCATCGCCCGCGAAATACTTTCGCTGATTTCCTTAACTACATTCGCCAACCGGGCCGCCGGGATCGAAGTCTTTCATACTGGAAAGACTACCTGGATGGTGCCAAACCATGCCTTTTCCCCCACTTGTCCGACACAAGCATGGCTCGCGAATCGTCTAAACTTGAGAAGTCACAGAGATGCCAAGCGCTTGTGCCTCTAGAAATAAAGTTGTCGGAACTTCAGCGGGTCGCAACTGATTTGCAGGTTACCATACCGACTATAGTCCATTTGGCATGGGCGCTTGTGCTGCGACTGTACACTGGCGAGAATCAAGCTGTTTTTGGATACCTCGCTTCAGGGCGTGATGCTCCAATCGACGGGATAGAAGAGGCCGTAGGCCCCTTCATTGCCATGCTGGTCTGTTACGTGAACTTTGGTCGGAATCTCAACACGACTCTGCCTGAATTCATGAAAAATATTCATGAATCCTCCGCGGAGGCCATCGCTCACCAAGGCACTTCGCTCGCTGAGATCCAGAGCACAATGAGCTTGCCGGGCAATTCCCTGTTGTTCAATAGTGGTGTTTCGTTTGCGAGCAGGCCTTCCCGCCAATCTCAGATTGATCATGGTCATGATCTAATATTTGAAACAATCGTGGAGAAAGACCCTACCGAGTTCGATTTGTCCCTGTTCGTCGACATAGATGAACCAGAGGGGAAAATTGAGATGCACTTTGACTTCCTGAGTCCGGCCTTTGAGAGTGAACACGTCAAAAATGTGGCCGGTTCGCTCAGTCACATTCTGTCAGAACTGGTACGCGATCCCCACCAAAGTCTCAGGGGTATGTTGAAGCCGAGTCGTCGTGATTTTGCCTCACTTCTTCAATGGAATGGCCCTCTGATTACCCCTCTGGAAAAATGCGCGCACGAGATCTTCGTCGAACGAGCAACAACTCATGCCAGCAGGGAGGCGATATACAGCTGGGATGGAGTCATGACGTACAAACAACTTCACGATGCTTCCACTCGCCTTGGTCTACACTTATCCCGGAATGGAGTTGGCCCAGAAGATTTGATTCCTGTCTGTTTCGAGAAGTCGCTTTGGACAATCGTTGCTATGCTGGCTATTCTCAAAGCAGGGGCGGCATTTGTGCTTCTAGATCCGGCGCACCCAGAAGCACGGTTGTGGAACCTTGTGACCGAACTCGAAGCCTCTATCGTGGTATGCTCGCCTTTAACAGCCGATTCTCGTGGCTTCAAGCATCGTGCAGCTGCCGAGGATAGGACAGTCTCTGTGATCGAGGTTGGTCCCGGGCTCGATGATGCACTAGTCGGTTCTGAACTACGGGAACCAAACAATGTCTCGATACCGGGATTAGTGAAACCGGATAACCTCATGTACGCGGTTTTCACTTCTGGTACGACAGGAACTCCAAAAGGTACCCTGATTACCCACCGCGCATTTGTCACTGGGTTGGAAGATCTTGCGTCCGCCACATGCATGACGCTCCTAGGACCGGATACAAGGTGCTTGCAATTCGCGTCATACAGTTTCGATGCGTCGATAGGCGACATATTTGCTACCATCGAAGTTGGGGGCTGCATTTGTATCCCGAAAGAAGAAGACCGTAGCCCAGTCGAGCTCACGAAATTTGTGGCACAGAGCAGAGCTACTTATGCCGGGTTCACTCCATCCTTCGCTGCTCTGCTGGACCCCTCATCGATTCCTACTCTGAAAACTCTCGTCCTGGCAGGCGAACCGCTTTCTGTGCCGCAAGTGAGCACATGGGCTAGTCGTCTTCGATTGATCAACATGTACGGTCCTACTGAAGCTACCGTAGCATGCTTAGCGCACTCAAATGTCACTCTAGAAACGGGCGCATCTAATATCGGACGTGGATTTCGGTGTGCTACGTGGATCGTTGATGAAAATGATCACAATGTTCTTCGGCCAGTGGGCAGTATAGGCGAACTGCTCATAGAAGGCCCCATACTGGCCAGAGGCTATCTCAAAAGACCCGAAATCACAGCTGCAGTGTTTATTGATAGTCCAGATTGGCTTCGAGACATTCGACCGGATAGCAAACTCTACAAAACCGGCGATCTTGTTCAATACAATTCCGATGGAACAATAAACTTCATAGGAAGAAAAGACAGCCAAATGAAAATTAACGGTCAACGCGTGGAAGCTGGGGAGATTGAAACTGTACTAAGCTCAGGTCTTGACCAAGATGACGGCCCCATCTTCGTCGATTTGTTGAAGCGAGCGAGTCTCGGCGAAGCTGATATCCTGGTCTGTTTCGTCTGTGTCAAATCTAAGCCAGAGAAGTCAAAAGAACCCCCCGGGAGTGAGACACTCATTCAGGTTGATGCAGACTCGATCGAGAAGTTACATTCGGCGGTCACCAAGATACTGCGTAAACAATCTGCAATGTCATCGCTCCCACAATACATGCTTCCCCAAGCATATATTCCAATCGGCAGGATCCCGTTGTCGATCTCTGGCAAAACCGACAGACGTGCCCTCAAGGTAGCTGCTTCAGAATTGACGCGTGCTCAGCTCGTGGGGTACACATCATCACTTGCCATATCGACCGATGGCGAAGATATTGAAACGGACGAAGAGATGCTCCTATGCCAAATCTGGGAAAAGGTTCTAGGTGTTCAAGTGGTCAGCAAGAGAAGTAATTTCTACAATCTCGGGGGAAATTCTTTGATTGCTATGCGACTCAAAGCCGAATGCCGACGTGTTGGGATGGATATTTCTATCGCGCAGATCTTCACCAATCCGTGTTTAATGGATATGGCAAATCTCTTGACCAGTAACTCAACCACAATCTCTACTTCCGCATCATCGGAGCTTGTCTCATCTCGAGCGTCGACAATAAGCGAAGACTCTTTCAACACGCCTTTTGCATTGCTAGATAACTTCAACTTCAAGTTGGATGAGCAGTCGTTTCAAGAGATCTCGGCGGAATGCTCACTATCCGTCGAGGATATTGAGGACGTTTTCCCATGCAGTCCTATGCAGGAAGCGTTGATGGCAATATCCTCCTCAAATACAAAAGATCAAGCATATTGTCTACATGCCGCATTCGAATTACCTCATGATTTGGATATCCGCCGTTTCCTTTTAGCATGGGAAGAGACTAGTGCGCGCTTCGCGATCATGAGGAGCCGAATTATCTTGAGACCGCATGGTAGCTTTATCGTCGTCGCACGACCGGCTTTGGCAGCCTACTACGTCACCGGAACTTCAGCCGCCGAACAGATGGCAGCACAACGGACTCAGGAATTTTCCTACGGGTCTCCACTGGTACGCCTGGGTGCAGTTTCCGGAGAACCAGGTAGCCCCGGTTGCTTCATCATTAGTATTCACCACGCCGCGTATGATGGCTGGTCAATGGAACTTATTTGGAACACTGCACTGGAAATATATCAGGGAACTTTGGATGCAACCCAAGCCAATCCACCATTTCAGTCTTTCATCAAAGAACTGAATTTGAAGAACACAAGAAGCTCTGAAGAGTACTGGCAGAACAATCTGGCTGACCAAGACGCAAGTGGACTCAAATGGCCATTCAAAGCGAATTCTCACAAGCCATCTGCGAGTTCGAGCAAAACATTTCAACTGAATTACAGCGTTGAGGCTTGTCGACATCTCTCCGTCACCCCAGCCGATCTGGTCAATGCCGTGTGGGCCATGACTCTAGCCAAGTATTCCGATACTACATTGGTGTCCTATGGCGTAACATTATCCGGTCGAGATATCGCACTTCCTAATATCGAGGAACTCGTGGGACCGACCATCGCTACAGTGCCCAGACAAATCAGAGTCCAGCATGATGTGCTGTTGAGTGATTACTTGCGGTCATTGCAAAGAGTAATTAACTCAGCTCTGCCTCACCAGCACCTTGGCCTGCAAAAGATCCAAAGCCTAAGTCCTGCTGCGCGAGAGGCTTGCGATTTCAACACCTTACTAGTCATCAGTCCAGGGTCATCCACACAAAACGCTCGTCTCGGTGAACTTGAAATCGTTCCCATACCTATCGATGCAGCTAATTTCCATCCATATCCTCTTGTTCTTGAATGTGGCATTGAGGAAGGTTCACTCCATATCGAGGCTGCCTTTGATTCTGAATGCATTGATGAAAAGACTCTTACCTTCGCGATGCAACAGTTTGACCACATGCTACAGAACATCTGTCAATCCGCTACTGACCTGGAACCCAATGACCTGGGTAGCCTCATGGTTACTGCGCCCAGTCACATTGATGCCATTCTAAACTTGAATCCGGGACAACAGCAGTATATTTCGCCAAAATTTGTGCACCAGATCGTGGAACAGACTGCTCATGAGCAACCATCCACGATGGCTGTATCGTCTCATGATGCAGTTCTGACGTATCATCAGCTAGACCAATGTGCGAATACTCTGGCGCAATACATACTCCAGCGAATGGCTTATAATGGAGAATCCCGTTTTGTCGGTTTGCATTTCGACAAGTCAGCAGCTGCACTGGTATCGATGCTTGCAATACTCAAAGCCGGTTGTGCTTTTGTACCTCTTGACCCTACCCAGCCGGCATCGCGTCTAGAAGATCTCGTGAAAACAGCCAAGGCTGGGATCATCTTAACCTCCCCGAGACATTCCGAATTCCTCGCAGATTTTTTTGTCGGTCGTTGTATCTTACCAGTCGATTTAGCTTCCCTTCCACAATCGTCACCTGAATCGAGTCATTCGAATCAAACCCACAGCAATAGTTCTCCTGCAGCGCAACTCGCATTCTTACTCTATACATCTGGAACCACAGGCAAGCCTAAGGGAGTGGAGATCGATCATGCAGCTTGGTCGAGTGCCATTGCCCTCCATCAAGATCATTTCAAATTGAACCGGAATACGCGGATGCTCCAATTCAGTAATTTCACCTTCGACGTCAGTCTATTCGAGATTTTTACTACATTCGCCGCCGGAGGCTGTGTCTGCGTCCCATCTGAGCAGGCTCGCACGGACGATTTAACCGCCTCTATTCTCGAAATGGATGTTAATGCACTAGCGTTGACACCAACGGTTGGGCGACTGTTGAATGGCAGTACATTCCCAAACGTGGACCTTGTGGTTTTTGCCGGCGAGAGTCCTTCACAGTCAGATCTCGATGCTTGGGCACAGACCGGACGCCGCATTTACAACGCGTATGGTCCCACTGAGGCATGCATCTATTCGATTGTTAGAGAAGTTGTGGCGGATGCCAATCAGAAAAGCTGTTCCAACATTGGAACGGGGGTTGGCATGGACACGTGGGTGATGAGTCCAGAATCAAACACCCTCTTACCGATTGGTGCAGTGGGTGAACTTTGTCTTAGTGGTCACCAGTTGGCCCGTGGCTATCATGGCATGGAAGAGGCTACATCGCGCTCTTTCATCACCGTGTCTTTCGAAAGTTCCCTTGGATCATCGCGTGAAGAGCGAGTCTATCGCACGGGAGACCAGGTTCGATATGAGTCAGATGGGACTCTTGAGTACGTTGGCCGACGAGATGGTCAAACCAAGATTCGTGGTCAGCGCATTGATGTGGGTGAGGTGCAGCATCACATCCAGAATTCGATGAGCGCGGACACGCTCTTTCGCTATTGCACTGTCCAACTCTGCGATCCACCATCGATGCGCCATCAGCCACGCTCAACCAAAGCAGATCCAATATTGGTCGCATTTCTTGTCATGGAAATCGAATTCATGCACGAGCTAGATGGTGTGCGCTTTTCGTTTTTGCGAACTGGGAGCTCTGACTATCCCCACAACATAGCCAACAAGCTGCAACACAGTCTCCGCTCGGTACTCCCATCATTTATGGTGCCCTCTACATTCATTGCGCTCAATCGGCTCCCGAACACGGCAAGAGGCAAACTGGATCGTGGTTTTGTAGCAACATGTCTCAGCTCCCTAGACTTCGACAGTCCAAATAACGAAAACGGGGAAAGTCTTCGTCCGCTAAATACCAGCGAGAAGATGCTATGCGACTGGTGGGAGGTTTTATTGGGGGTGAACAAAGATGTTTTGAATGTAGACAGCGACTTCTTCTCCTTTGGGGGTAACTCGCTCTCTGCAATCAAACTAGTCAGCTTAGCGCGGTCCCATGGCTACCAGACCACATTTGCTGCCATATTCTCAAACCCTCTTCTTTCAGATATGGCAAACGAAATCGAGCCAATACAGAATCGATTATCCGCCACTAAGCTGCCCTTCAAAGTGTCGCCATCAGCGCAATTCGATTTGATCTCCGAAACCGAAAAACAAAGTGCGATTCACTCCACACTACCGATGTATGGATTGGAAATCGAAAATGTCGAAGACATATATCCAGCTACACCCATGCAGGAGGGCTCCATGGCCTTGACCGCGAGGATTCCTCATGCATGGCTCATGGTTGTCAATATGGACATACCCACATCCGATCTAGTGAGACTCAAAAACTCGTGGGAATCAGCATTCCAGAGATTCGAGCTTTTGCGAACCAGAATCGTTCCAGGCCAAGAAAGTGGCGCCTTGCAGGTCGTCAGAAAACACTGTGCTCTGACATGGGAAGAAATGCCAGATGTTGAAACATTCGCCAACTACGTGTACAACAATCACGGGTATGGCCAGCCGCTAGCTCGTGTTGGACTCGTGAAACCAACTTCTCCACTGAGAAATCCCCTTGATACGAGTGAAAGAGTAACTGTTCTTCTGAGTTTGTCCCACGCCCTCTATGATGGGTGGTCTTTAAGTCCTGTCTGGTCCAGGCTATTCTCCAGTCCCTCATTCAAGTATGACGATGATACCCACGATAAAGCTACACCATTCAAAGAGTTTGTTAGATATCAAACAGAATTGGATCCTGCGGACGCCATCGCATTTTGGAAGAAGATGCTTAAAGGTGCATCTGGAGCAGAGTTCCCTGGAAAACCCGCAGGTGTCGCCGCAAGCTACATGCCTATGGCTTCGTCGTCAATAAAGCAAAGGCTGCCGTTCCCATCTCCACACCTAACTCGCCAGTCAGGCGCTACTGTCCCTACCATTGCGCAAGCAGCATGGGCACTTACCGTGGGCCATTTTACGGGAAGCACTGATATTATCTTCAGAAGTATCTTATCCGGTCGAGCACCCGCTGCTGCCAGCATTCCCGATATAGAGAATATGACCGGTCCAACGGCAGCTTTCATTCCTTACCGCACCAACATCGATTACAGTCTTGACATTGCATCTTTCCTTGCCCAATGCACGAAGAATCACCTTGAAGCTATACCGCATGCTCACATTGGATGGGAAAGAATATCGCAGATTGATGAAGATTGCAACAAAGCATGCAAATTGCACAGCTTATTTAACTTTCAAGCTGTTACATTTGATGATCTTGATGCTCAAACAACGGGCGTCTACTCTCCACGTGTGTACGAGAATCCAGAAGGCTTGTCACCAAATGCTCTCGACGTCGATATCGCAGTACTGAATGGTGGAAAAGAGATGATGGTCACCTTTGCTTATGATCCCATCATTCTGCAGAGCTCACACATCGACAGCATCATGTCGACTTTCATCTCGTTATTTGAACAAATGTTATACAAGCCATCATCGACACAAGTCGGCAATCTTAGTCCATTCTCAGAATCCCATGCGGAGAGCCTGCGACCCCCACAAGCTGGATTCAATGGTAAATCCAAGGGAAACGTCGCATGCAACGAAAAACATATACACCATCTCATACGAGATCACGTCGATAACAACCCATTTCATCCAGCTATTGAGTTCTCACAAGATTACATGACATATATGCAGCTCGAAGATTACTCCAACTCCTTGGCTGAACGATTAGTTAGGCAAGGCATTCGGTCTAATCAAGCTATCGGCATCGCTCTCGATAGATCTCCATGGGCCGTTGTCGCCATGTTAGGCGTCTGGAAGGCTGGAAGTCATATAGTCCCTTTCTGTCCCAACACCGATAACAGAGCGATTTCGGAACTGCTACACCGAGCGAAGATATCTACAGTCGTGGTTTCGCCATCATATGCTTCGTCTCTTTCCAAACTGTCTGATTGCCGATGTGTTGTCGTCGCCGCAGATACTTTACCGGCACCTAATACGGCTTTCCTGAAACCGGCCTATCGCTCTCCCGTAACCCCCACGTCATCTGACTATGCCTTTGGATTCCTGCCTCTCTCCGAAGACCCAGTTTCTGGTCTCAGCTTTACCACTCATGGAGAGTTATGTGCTGAGTTGTCGAAGTTGGGCAATCAGATGACAATGGATACGGACACCCGATCGTTGATGTACAACGAACTATGGTCCACCACAATGCTAGTCGACATACTAGCCCCTCTTGCACACGGTGGCACCCTCTGTTTTCCGGAGCTGGATGGCAGCATTGCCAGTCTGACTAAAAGTATCGAGACGTGCCGCGTCAACGTTGCTACAATTCCGGTGGCTGTATCAAGAGCACTAAACCCACATGATTTGCCGACTTTGCGGCATCTATGTTTGTACGGCGGCATTCCGACACGCCAGGACACAGCTCAATGGAGTCGGTTCGTCGGGCTTTACCTAGCCTGGGGTGTAGCAGATATGGGCACTATCGCGTTTGTAGGATCCCCTTCGCAAGACCACCATGGAGAGTTTGTAAGCTCTGCAGTTGGAACACACATTTCCGTCGTCAATCCGCACAACATATCCGCGCGCATCCCTCGAGGGGCAATCGGAACCCTTAAACCTGTGCATTCCTATCGTTCCGAATCTGGTGATAGGGAACCCAGAACCGCAAAGCTGCAGCAGTTCAGAGCCAATGTAGATGGGTCGCTAAGTCTCATTGAGTCAACGACTGAACAGAAGCAGACAATCAATGGCCATAGATTTGAGGTCAGACATATCGAAAAAGCAATACGAGATCACCTACCAATTTTCGCGGACGTTGTAGTAGATCTATACGCTCCCCAAGCACTGGGAGATGAACCCCGACTTGGAGCCATTGTGATTGCTAGCAGCTCCAGATCCTGGATTAGTGGAGAAGGCGCTACAACACTCCGATCCAAACTCCAAGCGTTACTACCGCCCACAAGCATCCCGACCTTTTTCACGTCAACGCCTACATTCCCGCTGACAACGGCCGGCGAGCTTGATCGAAGCCGTCTCCAAAAACTCGTACGCAACGCAGCCATTGAGTCCCTAGCCATCTTTCCCGAGGCAAATGATGACAGCGACGCTGCACTATCGTCAACCGAACGTCTACTAGCCTCTCTGTGGACCAAAACACTACACCTGGACGAAAACATCCAGCTAAGCAGAAATGACGACTTCTTCGAAAATCTAAATGGCAACTCACTCCTAGCGCTGCGGTTGGCCGTCGAGCTCAAGCGTCACCATTGGTTGCTCCGTGTATCAACCATGTTCGAGCAGTCTACACTGGAAGCCATGGCTGCTGCGATGGAACCGGACAGCTCATCATAACAACTACCGCCTTGAGCACCGGTTTCTCCAAAAGCAGACAACCCTTGCGTTGTGCTTGTACATAGCTTTTTCTCTTGCCCTTTTCTTATTCCGTCTTTTCGTTCAACTCTTCACTGCCTTTGGACTTTATCATGATAGTCATCTTCTTAAAAAACATGTTTACTTCTTCGGTTTCTGTCTTTAGTTGAACTTTATATACAATCTATAGCGTGAAAAAATAGACGATCAGTTCCGAACAAGACTTCCGATGCTGTGAGGGAACAGACACTTTGAATGAAAATTACACATAAATTCTTCTTGAAAGAAAAGGCACGCATAGCTACATTGTCGGAAGAAAGGACATTGAGAAACATTGATTGAGTAGCACGGAGTTCCATATGGGCATACATGATAATATTTATTTATTTATTTTGAGTTGGAGCTTAGGTGATCCTACACACAGCTATGAGTGACAACGATGAATAAACCAAAATAACAAGCGATAACCAAAAAGACCAAACGAATTTTGCCACAAGATAATATATATATATTATTGAATAAAAATATGTATTGAATTACTTGGGAGAACAGAAAATCGCTGGGGGTGCCTGTGGGAATCCCGATCCTGAAAGACGTGTCACCTGCATCAGATCAGATGTTCTGCCAACATGAAACGCGGTACTCTACGTTACAGCACTTGAGTTATCGGCAGGGTCTATAGAATTGCAGAGTGTAGTACAGTGCATTGCAGCGCAGTGCAGCGTAGCGTCCTGGCCAGTAGTAATGGAGGTTATACGCACGCGTATTCCTATAGCCAGATAGACTAGATGAGATGGAGCAGATATTACTGCTGGTAGGACTTTTTACTGTTCACATGCGTGACTGGAAGTGGGCATTGTGGGAGCATTTGTTGTCACAAATGTCACGTGATGGAGTTGTAGCATGTGCATTCGATGTTCACATATTCAAATGTTCGGTATCCCCAGTTCTCTAATGGTCAGATACATCTTAACTGACCCATGTACACATTGTTTTAAGATTCTAATTTCATTCCAGGTTTTTACTTCATTTAAATTCTTCTCCCTCGAAGAGAGATGTATCTAATGCCCTGAATCGTTCAGTCCGTGAATAAAATAGATCAAATCATCTCAGCAAGTGTTTGCACAGATATCTTCATAGAGATGAGCGAGAGACCAAAGAAAACGTGAGGAGCGGAAAGGCTAAACGAAAAGACCAGAGACGATTAGCTAGAAACATGTTACATCACATTCGCACCGTACTCAAGTAAGGTCTTCAGAATCTCGATGCGCTGCAGCTTGACGGAAAGATGCAGAGCCGTCATATTGTGGGCATCGCAGGCGTCTATGATGTGGGCTAACAAACTAGATCTGCGACCTGACAACGTTCGAACGGCATTACTGTGCGTGGGCACCATAGTCGATGCTGTCGAAGTGGGATCTGGACTGGGACTAGCAGCAGAAGTGAGGGGAGTTGGGAGAGCAGCACCAGGCGGATCTTTTGCATTCATACACCAGTCAAGGAGCATGGAAACCATGGCCTCGTTCCCTGTTGTGACAGCCAGATGCAGCGGCGTCCTTCCGCCAGCTGTAGTGTGCAAGATATTCGCCCCTAGGTCGAGTATTGCACTGGCCGTCGTAATATCGCCGCGCCGAACACAGTGGTGCAACCAGGTGTCACCATTTCGGTCGGGCAAGTCGAGCTTTGCGCCGGAGCGGACGAGGAGGCGGGCCATTTCTATGTTTCCCAATGTAATGGCTGTGTATAAGGGACTGGAAGTTTCGTCGAGTATGGTCGTGGAGGCGGTGCTACTGCTGCTGCTGTTGATGTAGCTGGTGTTTTCTTCTGTACATTCGTCGTGGGCGACGACGGACCCTGGCCAATCTGAGACTGACGCTGATGACAAGGATGGCATGCGATGCGATGCAGGGCTCATCAGAATAAAATTGTCAATGTCACTGGGCGACAGTGCCAGTGGGGGCGTGTTTGATGAGGACATTGCACCATTGCAAGAATTGGAGTCGCCGCTGCTGTGCATCCAATCTAGGCGACCAAGCGACGGGTCCAGGGAATGAATGTCGTCTGCTGTTGTGTTGGTGTTGTTGGTGGTGGCGGTCGTCGTTGACGAGTCGGTAGAACCCGTGTTGCGGGTACTCCCGCCATCGAGATCAAAGGGCAAGCCATACTGCTCGAGGGTGGCTGCCAAGGCGTCTGTCGCTATATCATTCTGCTGGTGTGGCTTTTCGCATAGAATAGCTCTGGCGAGATCGATGCGCAGCTTTTGTCTTGTGCCTGCGATAAATAGGTATATTAGCAGATGTTTCATGATATTCACGGGTCTCTGCAGGCGTCCTCCAACTCACGGTACTTCTTCTGGGCAGCTCTATTCTGGGCTTTACGACGCTCATTGACATCGGCCATGGCAGGCGGGGTGTGGGGGGGAGATGGCATGGCGCCACGGTAGATAAGCTTAGATACGAAGAAGACTTGATATATAAAGCAGAGAAGGCCAAGTCTACGTTACCTTGTAGCAGTTTCAAGCCCTGTGGAGTACTCCTCCATTCTACGCACTAGTCCTCCTCTACCGTGGGCGGCAGTCTGTGCTGTGCCTGCTTACCTGCCCCTTCTGCTCCATTGCCTCCTTTTGGAGTTTGCCTTGAAGCTTTCTACCAGGGTATTCGCGCATGCAGTAGTATCTAGTATACAGGACTCGATGAGGAGTACTGCTAGTCTTTTAAGCTGCTTGCGAACAAGTTCTGTTACTTGTATTCAGTTCTTCGTGCCTTTGGGCTATTGTGGCCGCTCGAAGAGAGTACACAGGGAGCATGTAAGCGTTTTCTTCAGCTCAGACCTCGCACGTCGCACACATCATGCAGACGTTGTATGCATGCTTACGTGAAAATGCTGGATTATGACTTCATATGGTAATTGTCATGTAGGTAAGTAATCCTCTAGTCGAACGGCGCAGGGGTTATAGCGGGTCAGAAAATAGATAAATCACACCTTCGTCTTAGAAAGCCCAGGTTGAGTGACGGGCAACTCGCACGAAAGCACCAAAATTTACGAACTTAACCAAAACAATCATTGCCACCAACACGTCTCCGAATTCTATCGAAGCTTATCTAGAAGGATAATCGTTTCAATTACCTATATAGGCTATGTCTTCTCAGGCCTTCAGCATTATCCAACAGATGCCATCATATTATCTGGTTGCCGGAACTCTATTCGTCGGTTTTGTAGCAGTCAATACCAAATCCCTACCGCTAGCCTACACAGTTCGACTCGCCCCATCTATATGTCGATTGTTGAAGGCCAAGTGGTCTGGGCCAAAAAACAAGGCTTCTCAAAGCGCATCGGCGCATTCGCCTAACTCGACACCGACAAATCCGCCCCATGCCGCGCGGCCGACTCTTTTCAAGTATTGCACTTTCCAATCCACAGCAGTGGCGTTAGATTTGGATATCAACATCCATAAATCTAACAGCACCTTTTTCTCCGATGCAGATATTAGCCGCGCCGAGCTCATAACAGGTCTCTTGAGTCAATCGCTAGCCGACATGGGATCGCCTGCGTTCATTTTGGCCGGAGTGCAATGCAAATTCCAAAGAGAGATTCGCCCCTACCAGCGCTATGACGTTTCATCTCGCATCCTGGCTTGGACAGACAAAGCAATGTACGTAGTCACGTATTTCACGAAGCCTGGGACAAAGATTGGGGGAGATCCAGACCTCCTAGGTGGACCTCAGAACTTGGCGACGGATGTTCAACTGCGCAGGACATTATTTGCGACGTTGGTGTCGAAATATGTCTTCAAGGCGGGAAGGATTACCGTGGCGCCCGAGCACATCTTCCAAGAAGCGGGTCTCCTTATAGAGGCTGATGGTAAAGTCGGAACTGTGGGGATTGATGGATTGATCGGCAGTGAGAAAGTTGGCGCGATAGTGCAAGTTGGCTTGAGTTACATTGCACATTGTATGGAGTAGGTTTAGACTAGACAACCTCAACCCTCTTTAGTCGACACAAACTCCTCGTAGCGAAGAGGCGCGCACCACCCAAAAGTATCCAACACTCTACCATGTTTAATATCCTTGAGCATCTTAGATAGCTTCTGATAACCGGGTCCATTCTCCACGAATTTAAAATCACGATCGGTCGATTCGTGCCGAATCAGCGACACTGACACCAAACCGGCAGCTGTACCTACTGCAAGCACCTCGCTGAAGTTCGTGAGCTCATCTAGGCTTACCTATATCGCCGCATTAGTCTTGTTTTGGGAAACCAAAGCCGTAGGCTTACCTGTCGCTTAACAACTTCCCATCCAAATGACGACGCCAATTCGGACACAGTCACCGCAGTGATGCTTTCAAGGGCAGCGGGACTAGTCGCCAACACTACCGTTGTGCGTTCGCACTGAGTATCCGGATCTAGTGCAGTTGAGAGGGCAATGAAACCTGACGAACTAAACTCATCGATATACGTTTGCGTCTTGCTGTCGACATGCAAAAGCACACCCCAGCCACCGTTTTCCGGCTTCTTCGCTTCCCTCGACCACTTCATGACGGGTGCGTAGTTACCGCCAACTTTAAAAGAACCAGTGCCTCGAGTGGCTGCTCGATCAAAGTCCTCGCATACTAGCGCCCGCAGCGTTCCGTTGCCGTAAAGGTCAATGCCCTGGGGATGCACGAAGACGCAGAACATGTACTCGTCTGGCTGATCCAGCCCAATCTGGCACCCTGAGCCAAACTCAAGAGGTCGAATATACAAGCTTCCTGTGTAGTCAGCAGGTGGAACGAATTCGGCATTGCGGGCCACTGCCAAATGGACAGCCTTGAGAAAAAGCTCTTCGGGCACCGCGGGCATGGAAATGGCCTCGGCTCCTTGCTGCATGCGCTGTGCATTTGCCTCGGGGCGGAAAATAAGTATGTTATTGTCTTGCGTCCGTCGGGCTTGTAAACCCTCATAAACATGTTGGCCTACTCGCAGTTGGTTTTAGAGGTGGAGCCCATGCGTTTCGCATTAGCGTGGTAGACAATGTGCTCACCGTAATGCAATCCCGGTGCCAACCCATGCAACTGTAGGTAGGGGCTCGTCACAAACTCAGGCTCGGACCATCCCGTCTCTGGCGTCCATTTGCATTCACAATGTCCGTTGACTATTTCGTTAGTTAGAACTAACCCGCAGATATGCGTCGATCATGGCGGTGAAGTTTAACCATAAGCGAGATAATCCTTGTGCGAAATTGGCTCACCATTGTTTCTCTTGGTACTGTATTTATCCCATTCTAGAGAATGAAACACATCAATTCGGGACCTCGGCCAGGCAGGACACATGACCTACGATAGTCGGGATTTGGGGGCGGAATTCTTGCGTTGGTTGCTGGCATTGACCCCATTTTCACTTGATTGATTTTCAACTGTGGGCGTTTAACAAGGAGAAAAGAGTGTTCGGAATTGAGTAAGGTTTTGAGCTTGGAGAAAGCGAACACTCGTGATTACCAAAGTAGCTCTGACTTTCACGGTGTCTTCTTATAAGATACTTAGGTGGAGAGAAGATCTTCTCCATTCCTTCTGTATTAATACTGTATTATCGAGTTTTAGCTACAATGCATGAGGATGAGGCTTGGATAGCATTATCGACACAGTTTTGCCGTCATCGGACCTTAAAACTTGTCATTCGCCTGAAATTGCCACATATTTAACTACAATAGCTGAATGCAGCAATCTATGTGAGCATTACTTGTTGTTCTCGAGATCTCGATACGTATGACCGCATATATGTTGATATTTGGGGAACTAGGGGTACCTACTTGATCTAGTAACTCGGCGCTAGCATAGCAAACCATGCCACCTGGAAACTCGATTTTCCTCATATTAAAGGCGATTACGGGATAGCCTAGGATACCTGTCCTCTTAGTAGTATACTCTTGATTGGTGGCATATTAGGCGCAGCACCATCGCACAAATGTTCGCTTACCGAAAGAGAACAATGTCAAAGGATTTGGTTTGCTCCTTGAAACTCTCGTCATCTCACGTCAGCATGTACCAGAGATTGTCTTGGGTCAGTTCCTAGCACGTGATTTGGTCAATCATAATAATACAACATCAAATGATTACGTACAGTGCGGGTGCATAAATTGTTCCAGTAAGCTTTTCTTGAGCACTGTACGCTAATGCTTGTTTAAGCCCGGTCTTAAATGAGCAGTGAACCAATGAGAGTGATTTATGCCGTCGAGTGATTCAGCAGTGATAGTGAGAGACATGACTACGTGAGGCAAAATCTTGCCCAGGTCTTCCGACCTACGTTGAACCAAAAGACTGCGCGAGAGTCTGAGTAATTTCTCCTGCATCTCTCCCGAGTCATTGAAAACCTTCCAAGTTACCGTCGGTGATAGGTGCTCTGCACCGTATTCGACAAGAAATCATGCATCCTGATCTAGAACGGGAACTCACGCACACTCTGCTCATAGAATTGCTCGCGTACGTATCTATATGTATGTTCTGTGCATGAATAGTTCTAATTGGCGGTAGACATCAATTCACATTTCCCGTAAAGTGGTACGTTTCTCTACCGCAACACTGGGTGCATAGGCGAGATTCCAGGATAAAAAGCGAAGATCGAGATTTAGCCTTGCGCTCTTGCTGATTGAATTATGATCGCAGGATTGATACGCAAAATGCCATTCTAGGCCAACTGGGCGCTGAACGCGTCGTGGAGGTTGGGCCATCCAATGTACTCACCAATATGATGAAGAGAACGTGGAGCGCGGGCTTCAAAGAGCATGATGAATCGCAAGGCATCCAGAGACGCATTCTTGGACCTCAGAATGACCAGGATGAGATCTATTACCGCGAGCTTCCAGAGCAAACCAATAGCGAACAGCCATCGCCGGTCGATGCTCAGCCCATCCCACCAACTGAACTCGCGAAACCACAAGCAATGCCAGCACCGATCCCAGCAACTACCGCAAATTCAACTCAGCCGCTAGAATCTGTGAAAGATGTTGAAACGCCCACATCAAACATAGTCCTTACTATACTCGCGGGAAAATTGAAGAAGGATTTCCAAGATATACCATTAACCGCTTCGATCAGCAGTCTTGCGGCAGGTAAGTTATAGTGCGCTCGTTAAGCAAATCTCAACTTATGACGCCTTCAGGTCGCTCAACACTTACCAATGAGATTGTGGGAGACTTGAATGCCGAGTTCGCGGGCAAGATACCTGAACGACCAGAAGATTTACCCCTAGAGGAACTCTTTCGTATACTCAGTCTCAATCATACCGGAAGACTTGGTAAACAGACCGAGTCAATGGTGAGCAGACTTATCTCTGCTAAATTTCCGCCTGAATTTGCCCAGTCCACCATTCGTCAGACTCTGGAAAATCAGTGGGGTCTAGGTGCTATGCGGCAAGATGCCGTCTTACTTTCAATGTTGGCCGATCCACCAAGTGCACGCCTCTCAGCTGTAGAGGCACGCCAGCGCATTACTGTATGGGTTTCCAACTATTTCCAACAAGAAGGAATAACTATGTCAGCGGCCGAGCCCACAAATGACCAAACAGTCGTGGTTGATTCGGAAGCAATGCGGAAGATGGCCGAAAAATCATCGACTCTTGTGAAAGATATTCGGGAAGTGCTGAATTTTCACGTTCAAGATTCATCGCCCGCAAGCGGTGAGCCGAATCTCCGAAATGAAGCAGCCAAAGAAGCCATCGATGAACTGGATGTCTGGAGATCCGAGCATGGTGAGGTTTATGGTGAAGGCATCCTGGCCAAATTCGATGTCAAGAAAGAGCGCACGTATGACTCTTACTGGAACTGGAACACGCAAGACATTGTACGTCTAAAGCAACTTCTGGGTGCTCTAGATATAGAAACCCAGTCGACCCTGATCGAAGACCTTTCATTCCGCGTCATCAACAGAGCTTGTGACCGATCCATCTCGCAGATCGAGTATCTGATATCAAGAATCGATACCGGGTCAAAAGATCAAGCGATACTACACAAATCACTACAGTTTATTCATCAAGCTTGCCTCATCTCGAAAGGCCGCGATCCCGTATTCATTGATAGATCGAAATGCATGGCACCCCTAACCATGGTTGATAACGTTGGCAAGATTCATTTCCGGGAAATACCGCGAGTCATCGAAAAGTCCAAAGTCAGCAAGCTACTGTCGATGCCCTACACTGTAAGGGAGTTCAGCAATGGAGTTGCGAATTTCTCAGAGAAACTCAGTCTCATTCTCGCCTCTGACCTCCAGTCAGTTAAACGATCAGGCATATCTTTCGCTGGAAAGAACGTGCTACTTAACGGAGCCGGAAAAAGATCGATAGGGTTCAACATATTGCGCTTTCTACTAGAAGGTGGAGCCCGAATAACATTGACAACAAGCAGCTATTCTGCTGAAACCACACACATGTACCAGGATGTTTACAGAAGATATGGATCACGGGATTCAGTTCTTCGGGTACTCCCCTTCAACCAAGGAAGTCATAGGGACGTCAAGAATCTAGTCCAGTATCTAGAGTCCGATCCAGCTTGGGATCTCGATTACATTGTACCATTCGCAGCCATCTCGGAAAATGGTCGTAGTGCTGAAGATATTGACTCCAAATCGGAGCTCGCCCACCGCCTCATGCTTACCAACCTAGTCCGACTGCTAGGAGCTATCGCTAAGAGTAAGAAGAAGAGAAACATCAGAACCCGCCCGGCTACTGTAATGCTCCCATTGTCTCCAAATCATGGTCTGATGGGAGGGGATGGGCTATATTCAGAATCCAAGAGATCACTCGAAATCCTCATGGCCAAGTGGTATTCCGAAGATTGGGCGGAGTACCTGAGCCTTTTTGGCGTGGTCATTGGCTGGACAAGAGGCACCGGGCTCATGGATGACAACGATGTGGTTGCGCAGGCGGTAGAAGCGTTAGGTGTCCGGACATTTGCTACCGACGAAATGGCAACGACTATCGTGTGTTTGATGGGTGGTCGTCTCAATGCAGAATGCCAATCCGCCCCATTATTTGTGGACCTAGGCGGTGGTCTCGATTCGGTCAAAAACTTCAAAGAGCGGCTTGCCGCTATCCGCGGGGACTTGACTGCATATTCTCGTACAACAAAAGCTATCCACGATGAGATGGAATTGGAAACTTCATTCTTTCCTAAGCCTGAAACAGAGATCAAGATTACGAAGCTGGATAAGACTATAGATGCGAAAAGCAACATGCGCAATCTTTTCCCGGTCCTACCCGATTACGAAAATGAACTTGCTCCTTTGTCGATAGATTTAGAGGACATGATTGATCTGAGTCGCACCGTCGTCGTTACCGGTTTCGCTGAGCTCGGCCCTCATGGTAACAGTCGTACCCGATGGGAAATGGAAGTGGAAGGCTCACTCTCTCTGGAAGGCTGCATTGAGATGGCTTGGATAATGGGCCTGATAAAACATCGAGCAGCTACGCCGATGGATGATGACAGTGTGGCTGGCTGGGTCGACGCTACCACGCAGACCCCGGTTAAAGACAGCGACATTCCCAACCAGTACATGTCCCGGATTCTGGAGCATAGCGGTATCCGCAAGATTGAACCCGAAATTTGCGACAACGGCTATGATCCCGAGTTAAAAGAATCATTGCAAGAGTTGGTTCTCAAGCGTGACCTACCACCTTTCGAAGCTTCGGCAGAGTCGGCAGAAAACTTGGTACGGAAACATGGCGACAAGGCAGTGGTGTCCACTGATGACACTGGAACGTACCATGTGCAATTGAAGGCTGGCGCCACTATCATGGTTCCACGGACATCGCGTTTCAATCGAACAGTCGCGGGTCAGATTCCGACTGGCTGGTCGCCAAAGAGGTACGGCATATCTGATGATATTATCCACCAAGTAGATCCGGTCACGTTGTTTTCCCTAGTCTGCACCGTTGAAGCATTTCTATCATCCGGAATCTTGGATCCTTATGAGCTGTACCAACACATACATGTCTCAGAGGTTGGGAATTGCATTGGCTCAAGTATGGGTGGGCTTTCCTCGCTTAGAAGGATGCATCGAGATAGGTTTCTGGATAAACAAGTTCAGAGCGACGTACTTCAGGAAACCTTTGTCAACACCACGGGCGCTTGGATTAATATGCTTTTAACCTCTTCATCTGGTCCAATTAGGACACCAGTCGGCGCATGTGCAACCTCACTGGAATCCCTTGACGCCGCGTATGATCTGATTGTTGCACAGAAAGCTAAAATGTGTATAGTTGGTGGTGTGGAAGATTTTGTCGAAGATGTTTCATATGAGTTTGGGAGTATGAAAGCCACCTGCGATACTGATGCCGAGTTTGCTGCTGGAAGGAGCGCGCCAGAGATGTCAAGGCCGATGGCATCTAGTAGGAGCGGATTTGTCGAATCCCAAGGATGTGGCGTCCAGATTGTCACCTCAGCAGAGTTGGCTATAAAGATGGGCTTACCAATTTACGGCGTCGTTGCACATACAAGTATGTCGGCTGATAAGGCAAGCCGTTCTGTACCAGCACCGGGCAAGGGCGTGTTGACGAATGCACGCGAACAACACAACACTGTTAAAGAACTCCCCCGACCTCTGTTAGATCGCAAGCTAGATCTCAAGCATCGGCGGAAGCAGCTCGAACATCGAAGAAACCAGATAGCATCCTGGCGAGATGAGAGCATTGCATTCATGGAAACAGAGATTGATATGTTCGTACATCTCACTGAAGAGGAGCGCATTCAATACCGCCGTCAAAATACCACCGATATAGAAACAGAAGCACAAAAACAGCTGACAGATGCTACATTCAACATCAATCACCAACTCTGGCAGAAAGACGAAGCGCGACGGATATCTCCCATTCGCGGCTCTCTGGCAACATGGGGTTTAAGTATCGATGACATTTCTGTTGCGTCACTTCATGGAACATCTACAGTTCTCAATGACTTAAATGAAACACTCGTTATCGAACAGCAGATGAAGCATCTTGGTCGGAAAGAAGGAAACCTCTTACCTTGCGTCAGTCAGAAATGGCTGACAGGACATTCCAAGGGTGCGGCAGGAGCATGGATGCTGAACGGTTGCCTGCAGATGATGGATTCTGGCCTCATCGCTGGAAACAGGAATGCAGACAACATAGACACGAAATTACGGGAACGAGGTTATTTGTACTTCCCCAATGTCACCTTGCAGCCCGGCTCGGATGGTGGTATCAAGGCATGCTCAATCACCTCGTTCGGTTTTGGTCAAAAGGGCTGCCAGGCGCTCATGGTTCACCCCCGTTACCTGCTCGCCTCAATCTCGAAATATGCTTTCGAAGATTATGCAAGGAAGAGACAGAGAAGATGGCAGCTGGCCTGCTCTTCGTTTTCGGACGCAATGGTTCATGAAGACATGGTTTCAAGGTGCATCAAAGATCAGGCACCATATGAGTCGAATGAGGAGATTACTGCGTTACTTGATCCTCTAATGAGGTTCAAAGGTCCGTGATTGAGATTCAATGCGGGCAATTTGTTTTTCGTTTTTAGATTTCCTTTCTGCCTTTCCACAGAAGAACTTCAAATTCGCTTGTCATATTTCTCAATATCTTGTGGTGGGAAATCGGTTCAATACTGTATGTTGTCAGCTAGTTAAACACTCGTTTTATTGGATAGATAGTCATGTGCCCGCCATTGTACTTACAAGCCAGCATGATATGTTTCAAAATTTGAACCAATTATTATTGAATATATCAACAATCTTCTGTGAGCTGGTAATGTGTCGGTCGCGCCTTGTATGGGCAGCTTGTGAGGGCATCACAATTGTGACTCCGAGGTTACAAGACACAACGGAAAGCCTTGAAGATGCATCGGATTGGATTTCACGTTCTTGGTAAGTAAAGTGTTTCTCCTTCAAAATACTTGGGCAATTTTCACCGTGATTCTTATCTACTGAAGTTTGTGTCGCATGAATTCTGCCATGGATCACGTCCCATACAACACGTGGAGATTTGACTGTGAAGATTTATACACTGGTGTAGATCCCATTTACTACCTAGCCAATAAACTTTTGCGACCTAAACTAGTTCAGCACGGTTGAACTTAAGCCTCTTGCTACCTCTTCACTAGCATCCCTTACTCTGGCTATTCCAACAGAAATTTCCACTAAATGCATTTTGCCATCAATTTGAAATGCTATTTCACGTTACGATGTTCTTAAGCGTCGTTCTTTGCGACAGGCCTAAACTGGATGTAAGGACCATGCTTCAGACTCGTGAACGCCCAGAGAGTTTGATACACTCCCTTCTGAGTCCCTTTACCGTCTCCTACTTCTCCCAGCGATGACTCTGCGGGACGGAAATCGTACTGCCTCAAAACAGCAGCCCCAGCCAGCGTGATTTCGATCAACGCAATGTTCTTGCCGACGCAATTCCGTGGACCAATAGAGAACGTAGCAAATGCAGATTTGGCAGTGGCTACTGCTTCTTCGCCGGTCTCGCTTGCGATCCAGCGCTCTGGCTTGTATGCCCATGGGTCCGGGAAGTAGGCTGGGTTGTGATTGAGGGAGAAGATGCCTGTGCCTACTTCGCAACCTGCGGGGATGTGGAGATTCTCGGCTGGGATGTCTAGACCGCCTGGTCGGGCGACTCTCCACATGGCGCCACTTACAGCTGGATTGAGCCGTAGAGCTTCTTGTACACATGCACGGAGGTAGGTGCAAGACGATAGCTTTGGCCCTTGCGCTATCTCTTGATTGGAAGTGAATGTCTCGCGAACTTCTCGGGCGACTCTAGCATAGGCTTCGGGATTGCGAGATAAATAAAAGAAAAGCGCTGCGATACCAGTGGATGAGGTATCAGATCCTAAACGAGATGTTAGTCATACAATGCAGGCAGTGCAGGCCTCTAAACCACTTACCCGCTATAATTAGCAAATTACTTTCAGCCCACAGTTGGGCTTCAGAAAGACTTGCGCCAGTTTCAGGGTCCTTTGCAGCTAAGAGCTTGGAGAAGAGATCGTTCTTGAATCCATCACCGTCGGTCTTGTCACGTGCGCGTCTCGCCTCCAGGATTTCTCGACTCTTGCCGGAGAAGCGAATTGCTTTTTTGCGGGCTTCTGGAAATAATATACGATGGAACTGCAGCTCTTGAAGTTCTGGCAGTGTTACAAGAAAGCTGATGCGTCGCATTTGTCCAAGGACACCGTCGATGATCCAGTGATTGGCAGCATCGGTAAGAAGGTGGTAGGACGTGCCGAAGACCAATTGCGACATTACATCGAACGTGAAAAAGTCACCTAAAGGCGCGCTTAGTAGGCTATTACTCTCGATTTTGACGATATTCAACTAGACCAGCGTGGGACTCGTCACTTACTCCATTCAGCTAGATTCTTGGGAGCACTCCATTGGTTTTCGCCAGCTTCGAGACTGGAATCGAAGATGTCCTCAGTCTTACCAAGATTAGAAGCGAATAGCAAAGCCAGTCGACTAAGCTCCGAATCGATCGTACGAATGTGCGCGTCTGAGAGTCCCTGGTTATGAAGTCTTCTGAGTCTGCCGTGCTCCTTATCGTCCATCGTCGTCAAGGTTGGATGCACTCCTGGAACAAGTGAGATTTTCAGATGCCCTTTTGATTTGCTGACATTTTTTCCGTGCCCATTGATGCCTTTACATGAATTAGTCCAGTATTCGAAAGGTTAAACACGTAGGAGCTCGAAGTTCTCATACCCTTGAAACCCTCTCTTGTGTTGATCAGAAGTCTGTTCGGCCCGTAACGAACCCGATCACCTGTCCTGGTGATTAGCAACGGCGTTTCCTGCTTCATTGCTAGTATGGGTGTGACTCTGATCAACCTACCATATTTCTCGTGGCACCGGTAGATATCCGTGTGTAGATCCCCCTTGTACACATGATAGATGGAGTACCAACTTGTCAATTTCGCTAGGAAAGGTCCAGGGTACTTGGCATAAGGATGGAGAAATAGACGGTAGACGATCAAAACCAGCTACTTGTCATTTAGCGGGCTAATTTGCTTCTTATGTGACTGCTATTCGACATACCAATGCGCCAGTTCCTACACAGAGCAAGCCAGCGGCAATGGTTTCGACGCCAGGCACTCTATCTTGCGCGATAAACATAATCGAGTTTGTCAGGGTAGTAAACCAATGAGGTTCTGAAGCTGTTGACTGCAAAATGAAACCTAATAAAGGAAGGTCTTGAAATAGAATCAACCAAAGCTGCGAAAAGTTCAATAAATCTTCATTGAAGACAGGTTGCAAAAACGTACAGCATGCAACAGATGACAAGCTCTCGCATGCGATAATAGAACGTGGTGTTAACTGGTATCAAGTATGTGTGGATTGCTGACGATATCTCACGTCAGTACCCACCGAGATCTTGTAGACAGCGATCCGCTAACATAAACCAATTCCGGTTAGGCCGCACACCATATGCGATTTGATAGATGCTCATATAGTAAATCAGAGAATTAATGTGTATAGGTGCTCCTCATACTCCGGAAAAAACATTATTCTTACGATCCCCGAATTCCGGTGGAGGATAATAACTGCAGTGTGGTCAACACCAGTGCTCCTCTTGCCATCCGTTAGCTCCACCCACTAAAGCCTCGCGCGTTGGTTTCAATCGATATACCGCAACGATGGACATACTAGCCACATTATCGGACGATCCGAAATTCTGCTTGTTGGCGGGTCTTCCTCTAATTCTGGTATGATAACCTCTTACCTCGGTCGCTATCAAATTCATCTACATCTCCTTGCTTACACTACCTCAAGATTATAACTGTTACCCTAAAAACATTGGTCTTCCACCCACTCGCCAGATACCCCGGGCCCTTCCTTGGACGATTCACAGACTTATATGCTGGCTACTATGCGTGGAAGGGGACTTTACATGTCGACATGTACCGATGTCACCAAAAATATGGTAAGCCAACATCCTTGACCACACATTTCGTAGCCTATATGACACTTACATCAACACGCACACAGGTCCCATAGTACGATATGGCCCAAATCGTCTGCTGATCGACACGCATACCGCGGCTCAAGGTTTGTAGCCATGGAGCACCGACATGCATAATTTGAAAAGAGACTTAAGATTATGGCAGATGTACACTCGCACAGGGCGAACACGATTAAGTCGAGGGCGTATCAGGCTTTGGTGCATAGTGCGCCGAACACGCTTACGATTCGCCACAAGGAGGACCATGCGCGACGACGACGAGTCCTCAGTCTCGCTTTTTCGGATGCCCGGATGCTGGGCTACGAGAGTACTGTCAAAGGCTGTATACAAGCTTTGTGCGACAATCTGAGAAAAAGCTCAGTTGCGAAGGATGATTCGGCTCGGGATTCATTGATTGATATGTCTTTTCAAAGTGAGTAGATATCCGCAGAGAAACAGTTCCTCTAGGCTAATCAAAGCATTGTAAACAGGTGATTGGTTCACATTTGACATTATGTCTGAAGTGATTTTCGGCATGAAATACGAAGCCCTGAAGAACTCAACATATCGACATGTAACCCAAGCGATCCAAGACTCGAATGTCCGAGTAGGCACTCTCGTCCAAGCGTACTCTCTCACCACCGCCAGGCTGGACCGGTATTTGTTTCCTGCTTCCATCCAAGCAAGGAACGCCTTTCTCAAATTCATCACATCTTTGCTACGGGATCGATCCAAGATGACCGTATCCCAGGACAAAGGCGATGTGTTTTCGTTCTTGGAGACAGCCAAGGATCCAGATAATGGCAAGACGCTGACAAAGTCTGAGATACGAGCGGAGTGTGCTACCCTTGTCGTCGCTGGTAAGCCATGGATGTACAATTGAAGAACAGTACTGTAGTCAGTATGCTAACCCATTTCACAGGATCAGATACATCGTCTTCCACGCTCGCAGCAACGCTTTTTTACCTCAGTGAGAATCCAGGACCCTACAAAAGGGTCTGCGAAGAAATCCGTGGAAAATTCGCATCACTCGACGAAATCAAGCTAGGATCACAGCTAAATTCCTGCACTTATCTCCGGGCGTGCATCGATGAAGCTCTTCGCATGTCACCACCGGTCGGCGGCGCCTTGTGGCGAGAGGTCGGTCCCGGCGGTATCACAATCGGGTCTACACACCTGCCGCAAGGTGTCGATGTTGGCACTGGAATCTACAGTCTGCACCACAATGCCAGCTACTTTGACGAGCCGTTCCGCTTCAATCCAGAGCGGTGGCTCGCTGGCGAGAATGGGGTCAGAAAGGAGCAAGTTTCGCTCGCCCGAAGTGCCTTCCATCCATTCTCTAGTGGACCCAGGGGGTGTATCGGTAAAGGCTTTGCATATCATGAGATGACATTGACTTTGTCCCATATCATTTACCAGTTTGATTTTCATAGGGCCGAGCATCCCGCTGGTGGCGTGGCTGGCAAAAGTCAAAGGCCCATGGTACAGGGACATGTTCAGTTTGTGTTGAAGGACCATATCACAGGTGCGAAAGAAGGGCCAGAGCTTCGATTTATACCGCGATAGACCGGATTATGTTTTTGATGTGGCACTAAGTATATTATTTGATCATCGCATATTGCATGCGGCTTCAATGTGGAACATGGTTCCCGTGGATCCACGATCGAACCAAAAGTCTTCTGGAAGCATCGTAGATAGTCATTTCGCTATCATAGCTTGCATGTCCCCACCAGCGAGCCGTGAATTGGATATATGCTAGATTCAGGAAGATGCTATAACGGGAACGAAGTAGCCCGTACAGGCCTTTTCGTGGCTAACCCACCATTATCATCATTGACCTTCTCGGCACTACCTCTGCCGATCTTCCTGCCAGTGCCGCTCAGTAGATCTCGCTTCGTCCAGTGCCGCAAGTCAGAGTACACGTCAGCAACGTGCTCGTCCACTTCGGTGATGACATCCGTTGCTATATCTCGTAATTCTTCTAGCTTGGAATTGTACAATGTTTCAAGCTCCATAATATAATCCTGCTTGGCGAGCGCGATTTCCACGTTATAATCATCGACCTCTTCGCGAAGCTCGTTGATTGCAATTGCTTGCGCTGACGTTACATCATCGACGGTATTATCGATGAATGTTTGTACACGGTGTTTAGCCTGTGAGAGAAGAAGGGTATTGCGCGAGGTGAGTGCACGCGGAGGTTTTCGGTCCAACCGTGGAGGCGACGGGGCGACGGTAGAAGCGGGAGGGGACGGTGAAGACACAGAAGCTAACGAGGGACTGGTGCGCAGGAGGGATCGGACAACATCTGCCACCGCAGCCTCCAATAAGCCTGGGAGAACTTTTTTCACCTCGGCTTCGACGGCTTGCTGGAATTCGGGGGCTCTAGCGGGCGGCGAACCAGGAAGCTTGGGACTGGGCGTAGCAAGCTCGGTTGGCGAAGGAAAGGGCGGGAGAAGAATACGTTTGGGTGGCGGAGATACGTATTCAGGTGGTGATTTGGCTGTCGATGAACCGCGCGACCGAGAACGTTTGTGGGATGCTTCAGCGTAGGAAGGCGGTGCTTCGATTTCTTCTTGTACAGGTGTGAACACTGTCCAATCTCCAAAGCGACTCTGATCGGTGTCTTTGTTCGCGCGCGGGGTGCCGGTAAACTTTTCCAAGCGACCGATCAAATTTTCAAATCGTATCCTGTTGCTCTCATGTACCCAGCTGTAATCGAACAGAATGTGTACCTCGGTTTGCTTTGCGAGATTCGCGAGCTGGCTGAAACAAGGATCTGCAGCATCTTTGGGCGATATACTGTCGGAACAGGGAGGACATTTGACGACGCAGGGTTGTTTGAGACTGAGTGACAACGAGTGCAGGCGACAGCGACCGTCCCGCGCAATCTCCTCGAGCCGACTGGACGGAAGTACCTTGTTTTCGGGACCAAGGCGCGTCTTGCCAGGCACTAGATTGTCGGCATCGTAGACGAGCTCGAACGGCTGCTTTTGGTCGATGCCACGAATGTACACGGAAAATTGGAGATAGACGGTGGCCTGATGGTTGGCCTCCGAATGGGCAATGAACAACAGACACGACGCTATTCTGTCAGCTTCAAATGTGGGGGAAACCAGTGCAGAGATGCCTCTTTTGGGTACTAAAGCCATAATCAATCATTTCCTACTAGCTAACTGCCCTAATACATTAACAGGTACAAGATACCGAACCACAACAATCGATGTTGGCTATGAAATACAGCCACACTCAATGCCAACGGGAGCCAGCAACTTATTTCGTGGACCACCTAGCCCCAACGTGTTTACACCGCCAACGCCAGTCTGATTACCACCCCTTCACCTACGGCACCACCGACACGTGGGACAATGAAGCCGACGAGACCGCGCAGTGCGAGACAGAGGCCTTGTGAAATTCGCAAGGATGATGGAATGAGAACAGGCCGAAGGTAGGCAAAGACAAATGGGCACCCGGCGGCCAACGAAAGGCACGTGGCGCGTTGGGCGAGGGAGCAAAGTATGAGAGAAGAAAAGGGGCGAGACCACAGGCTATCAAAGGCTGCAAAAACAACAGCGATGACAAAGGCGAAGTGTGGTGATGGGGAGGGCGGTTGGACGATGTTGTTGATGAGGAGGTTGGGTGAGCGAAGCCAGTTGGCGCGCACGAGATTAGTCATTTCAACGCCAAGGCGCTTGCTCATATACGGAAAGGCTTCGGCTGAGGGCACGTGACACACCCGGTATCGCCTCCAGATGCAGATTAGGAATGATCAGTCATGATCTATAAAATAGTTGTAACCCCATCCTGGAGTGACGCAAATTGATTATTTTTTTCTAGGTTTCCATTTAGCCTACGTCTAAGCGCATCAATATCGGTACGGTTTCCGCATATACTCAACATTATCGCTGCACGTTTTGCTCCCGCTGCGCAAACATGTAGTACCAGGTCTAAGTTGCTCTATAATAGCGCTGTATATTGCTTTACGATACGCCTCATTCAAGTACATACATATGGCGCTCCGACTAACGATCTGCATCTCGACTAGAGCGCTGCCAAAGGTATTGTTGTAAGCCACTAGAGTTCCTCGTACATGTCTTCTATCATCTGCCGTCTCTAAGGCTCTTTCAAAAAGGACAAAAGGTCGTTGTTTATCTTTTCAGCTTCGATGTTCGGTAAGGCATGTGGCCCTCCCTTGTACACCTCCAACCTCCCATTCTTCAAAAAGTTGACAGTCTGATTACCCACGCCAAACGGAACAATCTGATCGTCGTCACCGTGAATCACCAGAACGGGAATGTCCAAGCTCTTGAGGTCTGGCCGAAAATCTGTCTCCCATGATGCGATGGTATCGTATGCGCTCTTGAAGGATGCCTGCATGCCCTGGTTATACCAGCTCTGGATAAGGCCTTTGCTGACGGTGGCGTTGGGCCGGTTGAACCCGAAAAATGGGCCTTCGGGCACATCGTAGAAGAATTGGGCGCGGTTTTCAGTTAGAAGCGCGCGTTGTTGGTTCAAGCCCTCCAGTGGAATGCCGCTGGGATTCCAATCAGCCTGCAGCAACTGTGGTACGATAGCGCTGATTAACACAAGCTTCTTTACCCAACTCGTCCTGTTCGATCCATAGGTGCCATTTCCGCTGTTTGCTTTGGATTTCGCGGCAAAGCGCAACAAGTCCCCACCACCAGTGCTGTGTCCGACAAGCGTCGCATCCGAGAGGTCGAGGTGCTCGAAGAGCTGCGATATGTCATCGGCCCAGGTATCGACATCGTTTCCGTTCCAGGGCTGATCTGAGCGTCCGTGGCCACGGCGGTCATGGGCAATTACGCGGTAGCCTTGGTTGCCGAGGAAGCTCATCTGGGCCTCCCAGTTGTCTGAGTTGAGAGGCCAGCCATGACTAAAGAATACCGACTGGCCAGTAGAGTTGCCCCAGTCTTTGTAGAAAATACTCACGCCGTCTTTGAGGGTTAGGGATGGCATCTTCCACCAGTTAAGTCGCTCGCCAAGAAGAATAGAATATGGGTTTGGGCAGTAGAAACCTAGGCTCTGTTTCTAGACCTGCTGGGACTTCTCTTATATATCCGCCCCAAATCTTCAATCTTCCTTAGCCTTGAGCTCTCATGCATGCAGTGGCTCGATTACTGAACATTTAAAGACTAGTGGCGACCGGAGTACGCGTGAAGGGATTCTCGAGCTAGCAGTAAGGAGAGCAGCCAATCTTTGTGCGCCATCTATATCGATTTAGGTCCGTTGATAAGGCACTCTGCAAAGTGATGTTCCTATCTAGGTTTCATATCAAGTTATGACCATTGGTCTCTACGCTAGGAACACAATAAGCTAGTCCTGGGTCGGATGCTAAGAGAAGAAAACGCCAAATCAATACAAAACTGCTTTGGCTGGGTAAGCAAGAACAACAATTCCAAATTAATACCATGCTACTTTAATCAGGTAAGCAGGAACGCAGGAACATAGCATACGCTCCGTAAGCAGGAACAACAATTCCAAATTCAGTTTGTAAGCACTAGTGAAAAAAAATGGAAGCGATTCATTTTTGGTCGGCTGGCGGATTCGTTTTGCCTACGTGTATGTACATGCTGTCATGACAAATATCGCGAGAGCACATGAACATTTTCCTGTACACGTGTGGGCAAAAAAAAAGTAAGACTTACTTTATGCGATTGAGTTTATCGTGATTGATAGGATCCGTCAGAGCATGAAGAGAGCAGGTAGAAGAATTGATCCAAAGACTCCGAACCCGGCACATTCAAGATATCAGGCAACACTGAATCACGTGAAAATGGTGGTAACGTCCATGATTATTCCGTGCAGATTGGCTGAAGCATATGGAAAAGATGGTCGCTAAGTTTCGAAAATAAAACTTGGGAGAGACATCTATAGCATGACTTCTATTACTGAAGCGGCAGTATCCCTAAGCAGTTTCAAAGACTTTGAGGACATGGCGATCGATGAGATCTAGCATAACGCAGTATAGTAAACATGGCGAATAGCCTTAGAACAGGTACATACATACGTCGCGTGGGGAGACGTGATACTGATCCGAGTCTAGTCTCTAGCACTGGCATTTACTCTCAGTAGATCACCCAAATGGGTGCGCACCCACCATCGCTATATGGGTGTACGCTAGGTAGCGCACTGACAGTGTTGAGCACCGCTGTGCTCAAGTCACGACAGCTGATCTGCAATATGCCCACACCGAAGTGTTTCTTCTATGGGGCCGGTCAGGTCAGTATCTAGGGATGCAGTATCGTATCTGCAGTCTGTGGTGCTCTTCTCATGGTGACTCCTGCGTTTACTTTGAACTGGCATCTACATCTACTGGCTACTCTTGCTGCCTACACGCAAGCATTGCAACTTTAGTGCTCTACAATCCACACAAAAGCGCGGCGGTACCAGTGGTGCTGAGCACTTCTAACGGATATGCAGCATCCTGGCAATTAATTAGTCTACAAAAGCGCACGTGTACTGCGGGGGAACATCCACAGCCCTTCATCAACTCAGTCCTCAGTATTAAGTAGCCACTACATTCTTCTTTGTTTCGGTCAGCATCAGTTTCATAATCATGCCACAATCTGAATCTAATGGTCATACGACCGATGATTCGGAGGATGCCAGGGCTACAGCCGTACCAAGTCATGTCGCGCGCTGGTTGGGTGAAAGACCTCGAGAGGAGTATTACCATGGGCAGTCGGCGGTACCTCCATTGTATTATGACTTGCCAATGATAAACGAAAACGAAGGAACAAATTCGAATTGCGCGGAGTTCCCTAGCAATCATGACCCGTCGGAAAATACCACAGCCTCAGAACAGCTTCTGGACAACCAAAACCGCCAGCTAGAATCTGGAGAATCCATACGGAATAGACAGCGCACCATTCACAGCCTATTAGCGCAACACATAAGAGACGGAAGAAGGCCGGTTGAACCACCCCCACAATCTGAAGACATCTGCGTTCCCATGACACCGGAATCCGAGGAAGATGTTATAGATTGCGAAAGCGAATTTCAAGATCTCGAAACCAGCCCCAGTTGGGTTCCTGATGGGAATGTTCTTTATTCCTTACAGTTGCAGTGTATCCAGCGGCTGGTAGAATCTTTCTATTTGCGCTCGTCATGTGCTTCCGAACAGGAAGGATCGGGATCCACGAATACATCGAGGAGAAGTGGAAAACGCCAAGCATCCTCGCCGCCTTCGGGAAACAACTCTCGAAACCTCAGTTCTAGAAGATCTACGAGACCACATGATGGTAGAAATAAGAAGGGTGGCCAAGGAGAAGATGACGATGAGGATGAAGTGCGCAATCCACCACTCAGGCCAGTGAACAACAGTACGAAATTGACCCAGCTTTTGGCCTGTCCCTTCGTGAAGCGATACCCGAGACATTACGAGACGTGCTACGGGCATGAATTGAGGAATACCTCGCGTGTTAAACAACACTTGGTCCGCTACCACAGCTTGCCTATATACTGTCCGACATGTACTGTCACGTTCTCAAAAGAAGACATACGCGATGAACATATACGGGAGGGGAAGTGTACCAAGAGACCCCCCAGGAAATGGCAAGGTATGACATCCAATCAAAGGAAACAAATAGGAAAACGTTCTTTATCCAGAGATTCGGAGCTACAGAAGTGGAACGCAATCTACGAAATTCTCTTCCCCGGTGATCCATTGCCAGTCAGCCCATACCTTGACCCGAGTCTCTCCAAAGAACTGCGAGCTTTTAGAGAGCACATCAACTCAGAGGTTCAGTCTGTTTGGGATGAGATTCTCCGCTCACAGTTGCCAGAGAATCTGCAACCACACTTGGGAGAGTTGCAATCGTTCCATCGTTCCTTCTACCATGCAGCATTCGATAGTCTTTACGAAAGTTGGAACTCTAAATCCGCGACTACGCAGCCTCTGACCTCGGGGCATAATTCGACGTCTGTATCAGGAGAGAACGAGGCTCAAGCATACGCACCCAGCAAATCAATTGCAGACTTATCACAGTCACAATCGGAATCAGAATCTACATTCCATAGGAATGTTGTTGACAGTGGCCAAATTGATTATGCGTCAGCATCAAATCAAAGCATACTGAACCATCAAAATCAACGATTCCCAGTACCCGAGGAGTCTCAAAACTTTTGCGCCCATCAACAGATACCCGATATACTTCTCGACACTTCTTATCTTGCATCGGAACCACCACTTCGCTTTCCGCTAGGGGAGGGCTCTGACTTTCCATCATATACGTCATATGGAAGCCATAGCACCACTATGCAAGCGCAGCACGATAATGAATGGTCGCATCTCCCGTATCATCCGATTTCTTCACCGGCATTCGGACACGTGTCAGAGCAGTCATGCGATGATAGTTCACTAGATGCACACGTCGCACACCCATCGGCATATCTGACTCTCGAAAACGCAGCAATCCAGCCGGACTCGACTTCGTTTTCGTCTTTTGAAAGGCCGATGACCTCAAATTCACAGCAAACGAGACCCTACCCGGGACTTATACGAGGATTCAATCATGTCTTATACTCCGAAATGAAGTAGGGTTATGGCGATCGATAAGATCTGAAACAATACTGTGCGTTCATGTACACCACTGATCAGCAATCGTACGATCAAGCGGACAAATAATATCATAAGGGTGCGCACGCAGTGAATAGTTGTTGCGTCAGGGAAAGATAGGAGAGTGGCGATGCGATCCCACTCTGTCGCTTGTACTAGGGGGTTTCTTTCATTTTTCGGAGAACAGGCAATAGGTCTGCTGGCTAGCACTGAATCCTTCTCCTCCTCCCGTTGATGAGGTACTGAACTTCTGAGACATGCAACAAATTGCACTTGGTCTGTATCGTCGATTGGCATGTCTCTTCTTCCTTAACGGTAGAAACAGGTAGATTACGCCCCAAATGCTCGTAGAGTCGTACTAGGCTTGTCTGAGGTTACCCCTCAGACAAACCCCTCGTTTTGTGTAACATCGCTAGCAAACAGCAACGCAATCAACGGCAAATTTCCTAGATGACTCTGGCATCACTAGGGCCTGGCTCTGATTAAAGCGTGGACTTTCATCCGAATATCTCTCGTTGAAGCTCATCGCCCTAAGTGTGGAGCGAGTCCTGTTTACCTAGATCCTGCTACGGAGTCCCAAGGTCACGCCCAGTGTGCGAGCTGCGAGGTCAAAGCAACCATGAAATGCGCTGGATGCTTGGACGCTCCAGTATACCCACCGGAAGAACGGGTTGATACTGTATACTGCAACCGCGACTGTCAAAAGGTACATTGGTCGGTGCATAAGGCTCATTGTCGTACCCTGGGAAGCCGCAAGAAATTACTCCGGGTCGCCGTCATACTCAAGGTCGCTCTGTTGACGTACAGAGAGGTTCGGTACGACATTGATCTCCGAAGGATAGCAGTTCACGACGGAGTGCTTTGTTTGTATCAGAATCAGAGGCCAGCCACCACTCGGTGCAGGCGTGGTCGCTTTCCCGCTCATCTCACCTCGAATAATGCTCACAGGGAGGCTGCCTTAGCAAACAATCAATGTACAACGGCTATGGCACTTCTCGGTCGACTCACACGAAAGCTTCTCAAAGGTAAAAAGCCACTGCAATTCTCTTTCGTAGATGTGTAGTAACCAAGACCAGGCGTAACTTCCACCATCAATATATTGGATGTTCAGATTGGAAAGCCGACAACCCGCACCAAACTCGTACCGGGCCCGGATGCTAGCAACTGTCCGCACACAGTGTTAAAAGTGAAACTTTCTGGTAATGAGGCATGGATTATCGATACGGCAGGATGCCAGTATGGATTCGAAGAGGTACTCGTGCCATTTGAGACATACATGACCGAGAAATCATGCACTATTGCAAGCGCCCCCGCACCCTACGACGCTACCGAAACTAAGGATTTGGACTACTTCTCTACTCTTCCTTTCATGAATAAGACCAAAGCGCAGCGAGGAGATAGAGAACAGGAACGCCGGGCACGTATGCACTTCGCTGAATTCGTCAGCATTCATGTTAGCCGGGATATCATTAACGGTTCTGTGGCCGAGTTTGAGAGGAATTGTGACAGATTTGCGCGAGATCTAACGGCCCATATGCTGGCTCTGACATGAAAGGGCACTGCAAAGGCTTGTTTGTTTCCCCTTGGCATAGCCCTACATTTTCGTGTAGGCATTACTTGCCATCGTATTCCAGTCTTCGTCGGCATTAGTTTGCGATCATGGCCCCCAACTCATAGTACGTGCATACGACGCCCTCAGTTGACTGGCCGTGTCGGAAAAAATTAGTGTAACTATAATCTGATTGCTGAGCAGCATCAGGACAGGATAAGCCCAGGAACGGCCGAAATTCATTTCAGACAACAAGACAGTGTGGAATGGTCGGGTTTTATCTGCAGTTGCAGTCTGCAGTCTTTCATTGAACAGGCGGCCATTCTGGTGTGCTTCTTTCGTGAAGACTATGAACTTCTAGAATATGTAGTCGATGCAGTGATCTAGACGATACGTGTGGCTGTTGCAACCCAACGCGACTTGAGTCCGATGCGTACAGTCCTTCTCACGCCGCCCCCACACTAACCACAACCCCAAATCCAGTAAAATCAATGCAGAAACGATTGAAACTAGGCTCTTCCTAGCGATAATTCTGATTCCAAAGCAACTGACATGTGCATTAGCGGGTCGAATCCGCCCTAATTGTGCCCACCACCGCTGCGCGGAGTTCAAGCAATCTATGTGATGTCCGGGCTCAAAGCTTAAATCCTTTCCCCTCTGGATATTCTATGGTTCGAATCGAAAATCGTTACGCGGTAGAATCGTATCATTGGCGCGTTCGTACAGGTTTTAGATTGACAGGGGGGCGCATAGTGACATCGATAGAGATCGCAAGTTATTGACATTTCCAGATATGCCAGTACAGGTATAAGTATGATAGATCCATGACCCACCACTCGCATCTCTCATCTGCATCGCAAGCAGCAGCATTTTCAAAATGCGTCCATTCGTTTTAACAATCCGAACGCTCTTTTTCGCTGTTCTTTTTATCACAGCCTCCTTAGCTGTTCCTGCACAGCCCAAAGACCAGCCCGAAGACCAGTCCATAGACCAGTCCATAGACCAATCCAAAGACCAACCCGAAGACCAGTCCAAAGACCAGCCCAAAGACCAGCCCAAAGGCAAACTCGTATGCTACAGTCCTAGTTCAGAGCCAAAAGCCCCTCCAGGCTGCTACATTGCTCAAAGCGCCATGGCCTCTCATGTGGCCGACTTCTGCGACCAAGTCGGGGGCTTGGACATAGCAAATCTGGAGAAAGGATACGCCACTGATACCTACAATGGAGCGCAGCTGCGCATATCATCTACCAAAAAAGTTTCCAAGGAAGATTGCGCATCGCGTATGGGCGAAATCGTCAATGGATGCACGCCCGCTGCCAACAACCCCATGAACTGGAAGTATGGTGGCGAAAATAGCCAAGACGAAACCTTGTTCAAGATCAGTATCGACAGTGGAAGATCTTGTCAACGTAAAGCCAATCAAGATGGGTCGCCTTTGCAAGCTGTGACTGCAAAGTGTGATTCCTTCTACCAAGCTATCAGAGACGAATTCTGGATTTACGGTGCAGGGTTCCTGGGAGACGATTTCGGGAAAGAGCTTCGCGATCAAATGAGCCACTGCACTGGTAGAGTGGTAGATTGGACGTTTGAGTACTACGAGAAGCCTGATGCGGACGGCTACGAGTGGAAGGCTTTCGGCCATACGACTATATGGCAGAAAAACTGTTTTTCGCCGGTCATCAAGGGCTCTGGAGGACCTGATATACCTTGCAATGGCAGCGGTTAAAAGGTGACCAGCTCGATAGATCGCAATGCGAGAGTGTTGTTGCGGCGGTGCAATGTTCCAAGAATACGACAAAGCTTAGTGTCTGTCGTTATCTGTGAGGATGTATGCACTTCTGAGTTGCTTTATTTTTTCCTGTTATATTCATAACCTTCTTTTGGTATCACACCAACCCTTTTGTATCCTTCGTTTTCAATATAGATTGAGTAGTCTACATTCGAATTACAGTCTTTTTGCTGCTTGTGAACTAGACCATCAACACTTCAACCATTGAAATCCCGTGAACCATTTGTACAATTAAATGTAAGTGCGATGTGCTTGGACAGGGTCATGGTGTTTACGTAGTTCTCTATCTATGCAGCTACCGTCCTCACTTCTAATTAGCAAAGTAACGGCTCACAGAAGGCTTCGTTACACGAGACCACGTTGCATTTCGAATAAATGCACCCAGTATCTTTCCTTTGGCGGTATTTAGGATATTTCGTAACATAAAACTTTCTTTTTCCATGAGCCCCATATGTGCTTTTCGTTCGATTTGATTATAAACTAGAAGAAGTGGGCATGCAGCAAGATTTGCTCCGAACCATCCTGAGTGGGGGTTGAGAAAAATGGCTATCACTTCCAAAATATTGCCGCATATGGTCTGCAGGTCCTTGGTATTGAGGATCTCGGCAGTTATGCATGACTCATAGCGTTCTGCAAGGGCTCGCTGCAGCTCAGTACACAGAAGAAGGCAGCACCAATATAAAACGATGAGTTGGGCGCTGGCCAGGTGTTCCACAGATGCTCGTCCGTCTTTCTCAACCATCGCCTTCCTGACATGAGACTCGGTTTTCGACCCCGTTTTGAGGTACCAAGATTTAAGTTCGTTACCAAGTTGGCGACAATCTGCCATTAGAGGCTGGATGAGCTCTTGTTCGTCGTCATACTGACTTCTTGTACGAAGTGTGTCTAATGTTTCGAAGAGCCTTGGTATTTCGATGAATAAATCCAACAAAAGATCCTTCGGCGTTTTGGATCGCCCCAGCCAAGGCACTGTTTTCCACTGCTCTGCTATCAGTACTGAAGACTTTCTTGTGTAGATATTTGCAGCAGCCTGCGCATATAGTTAGAGCGAAGACAATCATTTGAACGTTGGTCTTACGAGATGCAATCTGCCATCTGCAAATACCTGATGCGCTTCACCACTTTTGTACATATGAGGATTGCCACTGAGTAGTAGATTTAGTTCGCCGTGGTTGTGAAAAGTCCAGGCCTGTCCTTGTGCGCTGTCGAGCTGGTTTTCCAAACCAAAAAGTATCTGATGAAATATCATTAGCGAATAGAGAGCATTTCTAACGCCCACACTAGAGCTTACTTCGAAGAGGCTTAGCATCCTTGCTGATTTAACGAGAGCTAGCTTGTTGGTGTCATTTACGTTTTTCAATCCCTCCTTCAACTGCAGTATTGCACGACCGTAGGTAAGACGGCCTTCTCTTATGATTCCATCGTTCCCTTGCTCAAAGCCAAGCATACATAGAGAGCAGGCAATCACAGCGAGTCGAAACATGACATGCTTATCATCATGATTGGATTCTGCACAAGCTGTTACAATCCAGCTTACCGTAGAGCAATTAGGAATATTGGACAAGGCATTTTGGCTCTTTGGCAGATAGCCTTCCAGGAATAGGCTTATGTGTTGAGCTTGGGTTGTTGAGCGCTGTAGCGAGTGTGTAAGTCGACCGAGTGTAGCCTCTGGAAGAGAATGCTGACGCGGGGTGCTCGACGAAGTGGATGATATTAATAAAGTGCGGTTTTTTCCATTGGGGTCGAGAGTTGTTCTGACATTTGCCTCGACGAAAATAGTCTGATGCTTAAACCATTTACATTCGAGGCCGAGCCTCTGGCATTGTTTGCAGCCGGGACGCCGTAGATCGCACTACCGAATCTAATAAGTATGGAAGGAGCGACATACGTGATCAACATGCATTCGCAAGCAGCATTGACCGGGTCTTGCGAGAGATGAGGAGTAGGAAAAGTATTCGCTTACTGCCTTTCTTCGCCTCAAGCAGGTAAGGCAGGCTTTAGATCGCCCCGGGATGCCAACCATTATGTTTCCTCGAATTAGAGAGATGTCAGAGTTTGGATCAACATCTAAATAATCGTTAAGCTTTGTAAAATTGTACAATCAGAAGATTATCCCTGGGGACGGCGCTGATGATAATTTTTCATTCAACTGGAGTGTGGCAATGCGCTGCGCGCGAGTCGGCTCATATTATTTTGCGAAATCGACTTTTACCCGGTTTTCGGTCTTTACTAAGTCCGAGCAGTACATTTGTAAGATCACTTTCCACCTACAAGCAACTAATGGCCAATCGCTCTTCAACTGACTATTTTTGGCTCCTCTTTGCCTGTCCAAGATAGGAAACATGATACGCCAAGCTAGTTACAAGCAAATGCTGCTCGATACCCGCTCCAAACCTATATTGTAAGAAGATGAACGTGGAGAAGTCTGAACGATCAATTCAATCCGTAATCGCCTCTGATATGGCTTATGCCTAAGCAAAGTTGCGATTGCCAAATGACCCGATTTTACATTTTCTAGAACAGGAAACATGATGCGCGGAGTCTAACCATTCTTCAGGCAATTCGACAAGGACAATCCACAGCGCTCCGCAGTCCAGTTTCATGTTTCAATATAAATATCTGCCACCGCAGTGTCCAGCTTGGAGCCCATCAATCGACCACACCGGTTTGCAATCTTCATAACTTCGTTCATACAGAATTACCAACGGGGAAGATAATGTCCGGTACTTTCGCACTCACTTCTGACGAATTCTTCGACTTCGAAGTTTTGCGTCTCCTCTCATCTGTACGTTATGGCGGTGCAGACGTGGGAGAGATTTTGAAAACCGCGGCCCTTCTCAAACCCGGTGACTTCGAATCCTACCACGATGCTTTCAAGAACACCGCGCTTCGCATCAACAAGCAAGCCGACGCAATCAATACCGACAAGAATCCCATATCTGCCCGTGATTCCTACTTCCGTGTGTCGACTTACTACCGTGCTGCTGAGTTCTTTATTCACGGTCAACCAAACGATCCGCGCATTCGCCCTCTCTGGGACCAGCAGATGACATGCTTCAATAAAGCTATCGCGCTTTTACCTCAACCGGGCGAGCGCCTTCTCCTGAAAGGAAGTGACTTTGACATTCCTGCCATCTTTTACCCCGCGGCGCAAGGGGCTACAACGACCCCAAAGCCAACTATTATCCTTGGTAACGGGTTTGACGGTTCCCAGGAAGAGCTACTTCATGCTTTTGGCTTCGCAGCTCTCGAGCGTGGATACAACGTGATGACCTACGAAGGGCCGGGTCAACCAACAGTCCGCCAGCGCCAGGGTCTGGGCTTTATCCATGATTGGGAGAGGGTCGTATCACCTGTAGTCGACCACCTCTTCGCACGGCCCGAAGTCGATTCTAAACGTGTGGCCTTGTTCGGCTTGTCTATGGGTGGCTATCTTTCCGTGCGAGCTGCTGCATTCGAGCCTCGTATCGCCGCTACCATCGCCGTTGACGGCGTGGACGATGTATCAGCGGCTTTTTGCCATATGCTGCCACCAGCTGCAAAAGTACTCTACGAAGCCGGAGAAAATGATCAGGTCAACAAATTCGTGGAAGAGTTGTTTGCAAGCGGCAAAGCGCCGACTGCGCTGCGATGGGGGGTCGAGCATGGAATCTATAGCTTTGCAGCCGAAAGTCCTACCGATTTTCTGAATCGCACAAAGCTGATGACGCTGGCGGGTATTACTGATAAGATCAAGCGACCGGTACTCATTTGCGAGGCATCAAACGACCGGTTCTTTGAAGGCCAGCCTGCCCGAGTGAAGGAATCTCTGGGGGACTTGGGCACTTATGTCATCTTGACTGATGAAGATGCCGCAAGTCTACATTGCCACGTGGGAGCTTTTACTTTTGCGAATCAGAATGTGTTTGATAGGCTGGAAGACGCTCTATCTTCCTAGGAGCTGGAGCACTCGTGAATATAGTTCACATTTTTTCCGTAGTGTTAGTTGACTGATAAGCTCTTTTACTCCAGTCAGAGATCATAGACTACTCCGTTCATCAACTTTACGATATACTGTTCCACTTTATCGTCACTGGTGCCAATCATGTGCCTAAACTTAATCCCGGAATTACGTGGGAAGTGATCCCATTGGAATCTGGAGACGAGACCAGGTTGTCCTGAAGCTGCGGTTCCATATGGCGAACGCTGATTGTTGGGGCCTCAATGCCAGATTCAACTCCCCCATGAACCTCTTTCACTGTAGAGCCAAGCCTGCGTCGAGCGCAGGCTGCTGAAGCGTTTCGACATTACAGACATATGGGTGCTTCACGAGAGCATTATTAGGTGCTGTCTTAGCATTTTGTGAGGCATATAACAACTGCACGACAAACCCGTTGTTTACGCCGCCAGCATAGTTCACATGCTCATGGTGCTGATGCAGCTAATGTGGTTATTGAACCAGGATCAGGAGGGTGCAGAATTGCCCAGCTAGCAAGTGAGTTGAAATAGACTGGGTTTTGTTGGTTGTAGTTGGCCATCGATGGTAGGAATTCTGAAGCCTCGGCCCAATTATTCTGAGCTACGTGACGATGCCTATGCATGTACCTCTCCAAACAGCTTGTTGCGCAGCAGGCATGTACTCTCAGTGCGGCTGCACTGTAACAAACTATTCATTTGTTAATTTCGTACATTGAATCCGCAAAGAGTATGATCTGGATTTCATCTGGGGTTGGTGAAGAATACAGTTAGGTGGAATCAAGGCCGCATGTAAAGAGAGTCGGCAGTACTCAATGAGAAGTAAAATGCATATATTGTGAAGCTATTCTAAAATGCTGACAGCGCTTGTTTCATGGTCTTGAATGATTATAGTTCTAAGTCTATTGGGGCTCTAATTGGAAGCGTCTCCTTCGCTGACGGTTTTACGGTTGCTCTTGCGGAACTCAGCAAAGGGCGCGAAGAAAAAGGCGGGGTGGAACACGGTGAGTCCAATACATGCGATAGCAAGCATCCTAATAGATGTCAGTATAGTTGCATAATGCGGTTGTGAGACAAGGGCAACACTTACATTCCATCTAGCAGAAGGAATTCCTTTTCCTTGCGCATTAGCGGGTTGCCCCAACCCCCAGCCATCTCGGGCAACCGGTAGATACATCGAATAAGGACGGTAACGTAGGCAACCACAAGCATGCCCCCGAAGATATAGAGCTTCCTGGAAACAGTGCCCTGAGACCTGCTCAGATCGAAAGCACTCTTTTCCTGCGAGGCGTGGCGTTCGGCGCGGGCTTTGCGGTAGCGCCACAGGTAGCTCAGAACAAGGACACCACAAACACTCATAGTGGCGACCTGGAACGCGATACCGGCGAGGATGAGGTTGTTGCCGACGTTGACGATATCGAGATTATCGGAGCTACCTCCTCCAGCTGCTACTCCACCACCAATGGCTTGCATGACGATGGAAGCAAAATCGCATCCAACGAAAAGCCAGGGATAAAGACGAGCTTTCAGGAACGAGTGTTGTGGACCGCAGTATAAGACAAAATGCTTGAGAGTAAGGTAGATGGCGGCGGCGACAAAGGAAGGACCGAGAACGAGACAGCAGATTTGCATCTCAAAGCCTGATTTGTTCCATGGATTGCTATGCATCAATACACGACCGAGATATCCGAGTGCTTCGAGAAGTGTTCCTCCACCGAGTGCGAGTGTATAGGTCCATGTTTTGGACCAGATGCCAATACTGAGGGATGAAACGAAAAGTAGACCAAAAAGTGCCAGGAAAAACGCATTTGGACCGAGTTCGGGATAATATCCGTATGTCGTTGCCTCAACGGGACATTGAGGAGTCACTCCGTCGGTGCATGTTCGGTAGCTAGGCCGCTGGCGAGAGCGCTGCTGGGCTTCGGCGGGGGCAAAGAATTGCACCGCGAGGAAAAGTGCGATGGAGATTTTGGACGTCATCTTCGGCTGGGAGAATCAGCAAAAGTAGCCGCGGGGGGCGTCCAGGCTCCTTTTGTATCGGCCATGGTGTATTTATCATCCGAAAGTCGTCCTGATGTCGCTGACGCACGTAAGCGTAAGCGATGGGACTAGACTAGAAGTCCTTTCATCGATGATTCGTAGACTATACCCCATCCAGTAAGGTGAACGAAGGCCAAGCTCGATTGGACTACGCCGTTATCATGATTCTTAGACCGTCTCAGTCTCTCTCATCGAGTTTGCCTTGATGTTGCTCGTCCAATTGTTTGTTTGCCTACACGCACGGCGTAACATGTTGGCGCGTACACATGCCCTCTCGAATCACTCACTCCAAATCTCGCCATAGCTGTGAGAGATGTAAGCAAAGACGTGTGAAGGTAAGTAATTGCATACCTGTACATTCGACTGTCTACTCCGCCCAGCTATCACATATGCGTCTACCGATGAACTTGACACACAGCTGATTGCGAGTAGTGTGACATCAAGACTCCTTGTGGACACTGTCAGAGACGCGGCGAGAGATGTAGCCTGGTCTCTGACACTCGGGTGCCTGAATCTAGCCCCATCGTCGGAGGTGCTCGCCCAATCCCGTCCCGACATCCGAGCATCGCACGTGATCATACCCAGACCCACACTCACCTTGAACCCCTGGACGATTTCTCTTTTCTATCACTCTTCGTTCTGTCGGAGCAACCATCGCCAAGGCCCCTAACGTGGACGGAAGATTTATTCTTGATCAGCCACTTTACGTCCTCAACGTCTTATACACTATCTCATCGAGATGCCGACCGACATCTCTGGCGTGTTATGGTTCCGGAACTCGCAGTTGCACATCCGTTTTTGATGCATGGTCTCCTGGCGGTATCTGCTATGCACCTTTCTTACCTTCGACCTTTGGACAGAATCAAACACGAGACCCAATCCAGCCATCACCAGACTCTGGCTACATCTCAATTCCGGGAGGTATTGAGCAACATCTCGGCTGACAACTGCAATGCCGTGTTCGTCATGTGTGCCCTTTTGACGCTTATATCTATGGTTTCCATCGCACGGCGATCAGACGCCCATGTATCGAATTCGTTCTTTGTCGATGATATCGTGCATCATTTCATGCTTACGCGGGGCATCGGTGCGGTTCTCGGCCAGCACTGGCAGATTGTCTTGACCGGTCCGCTGAAAATGTTGAGTACCGAGCGCTTAACGCACCCGGAAGAGCATCGGTTACCAGAGAGCATAGAAGCTCGGTTCCACCAATTGCGATCTTCCATACTTCCTGATATCTGCAGATACGACGAGGCCAGTCTATTGACCTGCATTTCCTCTCTCGCCTCCCTTGAAACAGTGTACAAGCATATGCACTTCTTGCATCCGGACCTCCCTCGGCCTAAGCTTGAGGTTGGGGTCGCTTTGCGGTGGATGTCTCTTGTGCCCCTCGAGTTTATGACCTTGCTCAAATCTTCGCATCCCGGAGCATTGGTATTGCTAGCTCACTTCATCATTCTGTTCGAAACATTCGAAGATGTATGGTTTTTGCAAGGTTGGAGTGAGCATGCTCTCGGAAGGATCAAGGATGCGGTGGGCGCAGAAGCATCAACAGCGTTACAATGGCCATGTGAGCGACTGAGTCTAGAGAAGGAAAGGAAACGATATCAATAGCATTATAATTGTCGTTGTTTCTCAAATCTAATATGTTCATGATTCATCTCAGGGAAGTTCTGGCGAAACCATCTACGAATGTTTCTTCCGAACAAGTTGGATCGGTGATGAAATATGCGGCATCCGTGATGCAAAATACGCATCCACCGTGACACGTAATCGCCTGCACACGAACAACGGCTGCCTCAACTAATTCGGCTTGCACAAATGAACACGGATCTGAAGACATAGCTGTTGCCTGTCTACATCAACAGAACTTGCACATTGAAGATAGCGACATCACTTGCACGCAATGACAATCACCGAAGTTGGACGCATGGTGGTCAAGCCTGGACTTGATGTCATGGACGACAGCACCGAAGCAGGTCAAATCCTACGAGGGATCTACAAATCAGTCATCACTGCCCCAGGTGGTCCATCGCGTATATTCTGGGGAACAGAAGTCGAGAATCCGCTCAAGCTATGGGGCTTCATCGATTGGGACACGGTAGAAGACCACGAAAAGTTCGCGCGCTCGTGAGTAATCAATCAAGTCCTCTCTTTCTACTTCGTACTTGATAAATCGGACTAACTTTGTGTATCAATCAGACACGGGCAAGAATTGACTAAACCCTACCCCAAGATCCTGGAGAGCGGAGAATTCACAAAACACATCGTTGTCAAGCCATTCCCACCCAAAGTCCTGCATTCACCCGTGACAGAGGTCATGGTGGCTTACTTCCCATCAAACATTTCACAATCCACAAAAGACGCAAACTCAGCGCGCTTTCAGGAGTTTACAGAAAAGGGTTTGAACACTTGCTCTGAAGTTCAGGGCATCAGCTACGGATGGGGCTTGGAAAACGACTTCCCCCTGCGGGATCAAGAGAAGGACCAAAAGGGGACTATGTTTACGGCGTTGATAGGATGGTCAAGTATTGATGCGCACATGGCGTTTCGGGAGACGAATGAATTCAAGGAGAGTATTCATTTGCTGCGGGGGTTTGAGGAACTGGTTAAATTGGGCATGTTCCATATTCACTGCAAATCTCTCGAGAAGAAGGAGGACTAGGTATGAGGGGTTTTTGGCCTTTCAAAGATGATAGTCTTAAGCATCATTGTATCCAATATACCACGGCAGCATTCTTGTTGCCAGAGTAACAGAGTGATAATGCTCAGAGACAAAAGTCCACAAAGCTCGATCCCCAAGGCAATCCCTCTTATCAAATAATATCACGGATTCCTAGCCGTATGTTCCCTAATTTTCATATCCCCCAGTTTCCGAGTATCATCGTCCCTATCAAAGCTGTTTCTCATCATCGCGAGGTCCCCCATCCTCTCCGTATCACAATACTCAGCTTTCATAACCGTATGGATGCCTCCTGATCACTGCCGATTTTGTCTCTCTCAACCATGGTCATCACCAGCAAGATTGCAAATGCCTAAGAAGAGCAGTATTAATTCGCTGTTACTGTAGAGAGGAAATACTATCATGTCGATAAATTATTCATTCAATGTTCCCTTCATCCCAAAGAATGGCGTTATCTCGTTCAAGGGAACTATCCGTGTTTCGAGGTTGGCAAGCCTTCAGATGTGTCGAAGAAAATTCCACTATCCGTGTTCCAGCACTCGTACCGCGTCGGTAGATCCATTCCTGCTTGCGACATCCACCGGTGTAAGTCCATACATGTTCTTGATATCCCTTGTAGCTCCCATCTCCAAAAGCAACTTAATTGCATCACAATGATTTCCTTTTGCGGCGCAGTGAAGTGCCGAGCCCCAGCTCACATCGTTGATGTACTTGGGTACCTGGTTCTTCTCATAAGGTTGGCCATCAATGTCTGCTCCGTGCTTCAGCAATAACTTCATCGTCGCAACATCTCCGTTGCCAGCTGCATTTATGAGAGATTTGGTACCCTCCACACTTGCTCCATGTGCTAGAAGCAATGCCACCTTCTCGGAATCAACGGCTCCGCTCGCTATCTCTATGGCGCTTTGTCCATTATACGTGCTCCCGTTGTTCGGATCTGCGCCATTTGATAACAGGTGTGATATGATTGCAATGTTGCATCCTGCTGTACTTAGGGCACAACTGTTGAGCGAGATATCAAATCAGAAGCGAATTCAAGACCTAGTTGCTACTTGACTCACACGAGAGCATTCCCCACAAATTCGTAATGCTCGTTGATGTCCCATCCATATTCAAGGGCGAGATCGATAAAGGGTATGTTCCACTTATTGTACTCATCGGCGCTTACGATGAGCGAGTTCATGGTTTGCCATCCCCATTTCGCACCCCGTCTAAAAAGCTCTTCTGCAATATCGAGGGAGCCGCAATCAATAGCATGTTCGAGTATTCCGGCATCACTTTGATCGTAGGCTTCATTGCACTCGTCTAATATGGTTTTGAATTGATGTATATCGTTATCGTCGATCGCTGCGAGAAGCCGAGAGTCAAAATCGTTTACGTTGATTTCGTTATCGCTCTCCATGACGAAGACTACAATAACAAAGCGACAAAATCAAAGTTTGGGCATGAAGTAGAAAGTAGGTGAAAATACTTCAAAGACAGTCGATTTACTGAACTGCCATGTTATAGGTCATCGTAGCTGTGGCTGTGTGGCGGCTGAGATGGTCATCTCCAGATGTGGACTAGCAAAAGCGGTGTAGAAAGTACTGATATGCCCACCTTTTACCTACGTACATATGCATGTATGAGTTTTTCCACAATAGGATAAAGACCTCCGCTAGTTACCAATCTTCGTCTGGTCACTCGTGCGACGCAGAATTTCTACAGCAGCGTGAGAGTGAGTCGCAATGGCTGGATACTTGGGGCCGGTAGAAAGGTGGTAGATGTGGTAGATTCTGGACCGGTGTGGATTGTAAGTTCTATTAGATTAGGTGGTGGTGTGAGTGTTACGGTTGGTGATTTTCTAGGAGAGCATAAGATGTGGGTTGTTGGGAAGGGTCGTGTTTGGTATAGTAAGCATATCCAGGTAGAGTGTTTCGAACTGCTTTTTCTAACACGAATGCTTCTTGATCGTGTCATTTATAGAGTAATAGCCTTTATGTGTGAATCTGCGATAGTTAGTTCAAGTGATGGTTGTTCTTTTAGTGCAACTCGTTTGTATGATGATCAATGCGGTATGAACAGACCGGTTAGTCCCAGTTAGGTAATCACCGCGCTAGATGGTGAATACAGGGGGCGGGTGTAAAGCCATCGAGCGGGCACTCGGATGATTAAAATTCAAACTTTTCGGGGAGAATGCGTTACTTCTGACAGAGGAAATATCGATATTAGATTATATTACACTGTTCCTGAAAGGCTTACAGTGGTGGATGCTGTAGCGCCAGATTATCGCCCAGGTAACCGACGACAAACTAACCCCATATTTTTGCCGAGCAGGCACCAGTTCCATCTGGCACCCCCCTATGATCACTATACCGCGCCTTGCATCACCACGAACTTTTCTCGAATGCCGCATTCATCGTCTTTCTCATCTAAAAATTAATATCACAGAGGCGCGAGAGCATGGCTCCCAAAATGAACGCCGAACTGGCAGCAGCCAGCTTGTCCACAGAGGAAAAAGAACGCCTTGACGAGGTGGCCGATCTCCTACTCCGAATCTACAAGACACTTGTTGACATGCGCTATGTACCTGCGGAAGCCGTAATCGAGGGTCCCCATACCCTATCGGACGAGATACTGCGCACCTACGAGGAATGCGAACTCAGTCCCTGCATCATCTATCTCTACAGCATCTTACCTTACATCGACCAAATCGAGACTTATGTACAAGACTTTTTCCAAGGAGGCACGTTTTTCAATCCACTCAACAAAACACATGTTACTCGAGGAAGAGATCCACGTTATCTGTCCCCCGAGGGCGGGTTTGATGAGGAAAATGGGAAATACATGTACCCATGGTACACGCCACTGTCCGAATGTGGCAATCATTACAATTTCCTGGTGTATGACGCTAAAAGACATGTTATCTGGATCGTCGATCAAATCGAAGGTTCTACGACTGATCCTGCCTTCCGCAAATGGCACACTGAGGCCGACAGCGTCAAGGCGCAAAGCGATTGGGGTGAGAGCGAGTCTAGCGATGATGATTGGGTTGATGAATCCGACGAGGACGCGGGTGAAGCTGCTATGAGCGATGATGACGATGCATCTTGCGGAAGTAGCGAGTTCTGGGATGACAACGATGATCAGATGGTAGACACTCAAGAAATTGAAGGGATGGTCGCGGATCAAGATGAAGAGATGGACTACGAAGAAGGTTTTGAGCAAATCGAGGAGCTGGAGGAATGGGAGCGTAGCGAGGCTGCACTTGCGGAGTTGACCAACAAGAACAGTTTGGATGCTGCGAGACACAGGCCCGCTCGTGAAGTGTTGGAGGATATCGATCGCTGGTATCATGAACTGAAAGAATTTCCGGGTCAAGGCGAGCATTCCGCGATGCTAGAGCCAAAGATACTGAAACCTTTGTACCTGAAGTGCGGCTGGCCGGACAGATTCGATGGTGATAACTTCGAGGTGGAATACGCACGTGTAAATGCCCAGCATAACGCCCGATATGGTGCGGAAGAGCCCTTGAGGGAGGTTGAGTGTCTTGAAGGCTGGATCAAAGGATCCGAGCATGACTTGAAGAGGTGTCACGAAGATATCGCCAAAGCGAAGACTATAGACGACGAATGGCTTGCCCGCATAAAAATTTGGGAGGCACAAGAATCAATTGAAAGGAATGGGAAAGAACTGAAGGAGGCGAGAGAAACGGCGAGGAAGCTTTGTCCAGAGGGGGTCTGTCAGAAAGCTTCGGACTTGCCCCTGTGGGAACTGGAGCAACTGCGAGTGGTGACCCAGCACAAACGCGAGGCTGTAGAGTACAATTCCACACCTAGTTCGACATCAGTGAGCACTGATGCGGAGCGAAGCGCAAAAGCGCAACACCGCCGAGCCTTGCGGGAGGTTGAAGTATACAAGAAAGCTTTTCAGGCGTCGAAAGCTGATGCACAGCGACTGTGTCCAGGCAGAACATTTGAGGAGGCAACGGGTATAAAATCTCTTGGTCGACGGGACACCCTGACGCAGATTGGATCTGACAAAGAAATTATCGAGTACTATGAGAGAATCATCCCATCCATGCGCAGTTTTGCCAGCACGATACCTCAGGCGGCTAAACGTGCTGTCACGCAAATAGAGAAAAAGATCAGCGATTGCGAAAAAAGCTTGCAAAGCACCAGAACTTCTCTGGAACGAAACGAGAAATGGTTAGCCGAGAAAGGAAATACAGACTAATCCCGTGGGTGTTGCGGCTTGCGTAGTCAGGAGTAATGTACGAGAGTAACGAAGTATGAGGATATAATATAAGCTTGGCAAATAATGCACAAATTGGTCGCCGTGCTCCTCAGTAGTGAAAGATCAATGGTAGCTTATAGTTGATATTGAACAACATTTTCCGCTATTTCGTTCAACGCAGTGGGTTTGCACTTATTACTTGTGAGTATCAACTGTCTTGGTTGTTCGAATTTTAGCGTGTTGACGTTTGAGATTTGCCGTTTCTTTATGCCGCTTGGCTAGTGCCTATCAAAATATTGATCAATAAAAGATAGTGATTCTCACCATGAAAAACACTAGGACATCATTGAACAGGGACTTTTCCAACGCTGACACTTATGACGATGATCACGTGATAACACATGTATGCCCCACACCCGGGTTACTCAGATCAGACTCAAACCTGGGATAAGCTGAAAGCTATGCAGTATCAGGGTGCTGAATTCATCGTGGCAAACCCGCTTGCGGTACGGGAGAGAACGTGGGGAGGCGGGTGAGCCAAGTCCACCTCCCCGAAGGTCTCCGGGCGTGTGGGGGTCTTGGCTGATCGCAAGAAGTTCCGCTGTCTTGGACGAAGCTACAAGTGGGCCGTCCCCTGACTTGAGTGGACGTACATGGCAAACAACAAGTCACGGAGACATGAAAATGCTGAGGGAATGATACTAAGGTAGTGTGTGAGATTATGATAGGACGGAACTCTTGGCAAATGGACAGGGCACGGCAAGCGGATCCGGTACCAACAACCACGATGATACTCGTCTCTTTGTACACAGAGCGCAACTATCTTCATTATCTGCATTCTCAATGTTCCAGAACTCATACTCGATACTGAATGAAGTGTGCAATGTATCTCAGATGCGGGTCATAGGACAGGCGATGCGTACTCGTGAGTACATCAGTGTGCCATCACTCCACATTCGAATTCATTCCATCATCCTCAAAAGCAACAGCTCATTCGCAGCCTCACTCTTGATTTCCGTCGTCGACACTAATGTGAACCCTGATACCGTTACAGTTCATTGTCTGACTTACAAAGTAGTTACACCGGTACCGCAACTCAAGCGCTCAGGTTTCTCTATCTTGGCTGTCTCCACCCTTACTCTTGAAAGCGGGTCCGCTGATGCGATGCTTGCCTAAGATACATCTATGCGACCACACCTCACTGAACTCAATACCAGGTCTTCGAGTCGCAGTAGCAACCGCGTGCAGCCCGGATAACAACTGAATCTTGTTGTTCATGACTTGGCATCGCGACCTTGTCTCCACTTTGCGCGGCTCTGCGGGAATGCCAATCTTGCAGCCTAGACAACTTGGGATGCGTAAACACCAAATGCTCTACTTGGCTCGCCATGGCTTTCTTAATGAAATCTACCTTCGGCGTTGGCGCACGTCACAACAATTGGGTCACCGGAGACAGCGAAGTCTTTGCCTTGCCATATGCGGCAATCCGAGATAAATGCGCCCACTGTTTCGGATGACAGTTGACCATTCCACATGCCTTCTCCTTCCCCGTATTTACTATATAGCAGCTGGGGAATCTCAATCCCCAGAAAATCACTTTCCACCTTGTTCTACCCATGAAGATGTCGACACAGCCGGAAAACGAGAAGTTGCCCGACAGAGCCGGTGCGCCGGAGAAGCCTACAGACGAGAGGCGCGAGAATGAGGATTCTGACATCTCCACACCAACCAATCTTTCCGCAATAAGCTATGCTCCTGAAAAATCACCTCCGCCCACCACCTTCTGGGGAAAAGTGGGTCATTGGATGGGAGCTCTTCCGGAATGGTCAGTTGGCGGGAGGAAGCTATCGGGCAGGAAGCTCAACTTCTACATCGCTTTCATCGCTTCCAATGGCTTTCTCATGTTTGGCTACGATCAAGGTGTATTGAGTGCCCTGATTACTCTTCCATCCTGGCAACGGACCTTCCCTTTGATGACGCCCAGAGAGGTTTCCAATCCTGTCTGCTGGATCGATGGGGACAACACAAATGGTCCTGATCTCTCTCAGTGCACTGGAGATGCAAACCTCCAGGCTTTTGCTGTTGCTATCTATCAAATAGGGTGTTTCTTGGGCGCTGTTGTCATCCTGTATTACGGCGAAAAATGGGGGCGCAAGCCTTCTACCTTCTGGGGTTCTCTAGTCATGATTATAGGAACTATCATGCAAGCAAGCGCCAATGGCTATGCACTTCTTTGTGTAGGCAGAATCGTCGGTGGTGTAGGTAATGGAATGGTCAGTATCCCGGCCCCACGCTGAACAACATGACATTGACAACATCCCAGGTCACTTCAACTATCCCAACTTGGCAATCTGAATGCGCGCGTCCAGAGAGACGCGGTGTCATGATCATCTTAGCAGGCGCGGTCATTTCTGGCGGTGTCATGATTGTGAGTGACAGACCACCGAGCCTCCTTCATTTAACGACTTGCGCCACCTACTTATAGCATAACAGGCTTATTGGATTGACTTTGCTCTTTACTTTGCTGAAGGCACTGTGCAGTGGCGGTTTCCAGTCGCATTCCAGGCTTTCTTCACTATCATCGTCATGATCGGTCTACTGTTCCTGCCAGACTCTCCGCGGTGGCTCGCCATGAAGGGCCGTACGGATGAAGCGCACGATGTTCTCTCTCGTTTGCGCGGCGAGGAAAAGGATCATCCAGCTGTATTAGAGGAATTAAATAACATCCAAGAGTCCCTCTACATTCAGAACAGAGGTGGAGGGTTCAAGTACCGCGAACTATTTACCAACGGACCGTCTCAGAACTTTCGAAGAACCTTCCTAGGTGCTCTTTCGCAATTCTGCCAACAATTTTGCGGTATCAACTTGGTCGTGAGTATCCTCCCCATCGGATCATATTTGCATCCTCGCTGATTCAACTACTCAGACATACTACGCTACCTACATTTTTGAGAATTCTCTTGGTTTCGACGCTCAACTCTCGCGTCTCATCTCCGCTTGTAACGGAACAGAATACTTCATGGCTTCGCTTCTGGCCATTCCCGCCATTGAGCGCTTTGGTCGTCGCCGCCTGATGTTCCTCGGTGCTGCCGGCATGTCCGCTGCTATGGCTATTCTCGCTGGTGTAGTCTCTACTGGCATCATCGATGAAGTCACCGGCGCACCCGTCCTCGAAGACAGATACGGCATTACTGCTGTTGTAATGTTGTTTGTTTTCAACTCCTTCTTTGGTATTGGATGGCTCGGCATGTCCTGGCTGCTCCCAGCCGAATTGACGAACTTGCGCACCAGAATCCACGCCAACGCAGTGTCTACTTGCTCCAATTGGCTATCCAACGTAAGATATTATGACCCAGTCAGCCCGCTCACGCTCTAACGCTGACCTCTTTGACTCAGTTCGTCATCGTCATGATCGCCCCTCCAGCCTTCACCAATCTGACCTGGAGAACATACATCATTTTCGCGGTTTTGAACGCCGCTATCATTCCTACAGTGTACTTCCTCTTCCCTGAACCCAAGGGACGAAGTCTCGAAGAGATGGACGTCATTTTTGCCAGCGCATGGGCCGATGGAGTCAGTCCAGTCAAACGCGCAAAGGAGATGCCAAAGCTTTCCGGCACCCAGGTCGAAACCGAACTTGCGAAGTACTTCGGGGAAGAAGAGGCTCATATCCGGAGGAGAAGCTCTGTCGCTCGGCAGCAGCCAGTTGACACTTAACTTGTGTATGACGCGAGAAGGTGTCTGGAAATTCGCGCTCATTTCAAAAAGAGGTGCGGTATATGAGTTCTCTAAGTGAGACACCCCCTCCCGCACTTTCTGTTGCCTGCCGGAAGAACAATAATATAGACCTAGGATATAGACTACATAGCTAGGTACGTATCTCAAGATTTGAATCGAACAACAGTATTATCGCATAATCATCACTACTTTGTGACATATGAGTTTCCTGGTACTTTCTGCCAAGTAGGGCGACTTATGCTTGAAATATGCACTCGAAGTCGGGCAGCAGAGTAAATCCACCAGTACGCTTCACGTGGCCACCCGCCTAGATACTTTGGCATGATTTTTGTTACAAGTAAATCCCATGCTTACCACTTTTGAGTTAGTGGCCATGGCGATCTATTGAATCAAGCCTGGCTCGTCACTGTTCCCCGACCATTTTGCGAAGTAAAGGGCAGATCTCTGGCTATGTCCTGCTATATAGCTACAGCAATGTTCGCGAAAAAGCGTCCCATGAGATTTCTGCACGTCCTGTGCAGTGCACTTTCATCCTCTCAGGCGATATTCAAGAAGAGTAGCTGAGAGTATGCTTGATTCTGAACACGAGGAAATTATCACTAAGCCTTTGTCTTGATAACACCTAACGAAGATTTATTGACGCATCTAGCGTTCCTATAGCGTCCTGTAGAACTACTGTGCATTGGACGCCGCTTTTGTCTTTGTGAAGGCGAAAGTGACAATCATGCCCGAAAACGTCCATCTCAAAAATGTTCACGGTTGAAGTGCAACAAAGGCAAAGAAGCAAAAGACAAAGGATGCCACCCCCAACACCATGAATCTGGGAATGCAACGTGGGTTCAATACTCTTAAATAATTATGTACTCCTCCTAGTAGAAGACATGAGGCTTTTTCCACATCCATATCGTAGCTGTACATCGCCTACTTGACCAACGCAAGCACACCACCATGGACGACCTCAGCCAAATTCCCGTAATCCCACCACCCCCAGGCAGTGTCTCCGATTTCGCAAATCCACCCACTCTCATGACAGGCGTCATAGCCGGCACTGCCATCATTCAAGCCGTAGTTCTCCCTTTCCTCCTAACCCGCATCATCGTAAACGCAATGACCCGCAGATTCCGCCTCGAAGACGCCCTATGCTACCTTGCCTACCTCGCGATGATCGCGCAAGCCACGCTCGTAGTTTACGCTTCTGCTATCGGAGGCGCGCGGCATGCCTGGGATATTTCTCTTCTCACATTGGGCACGGTCATGCGCTACTACAACTACATCCTCTCTTGCTGGACCCTCAGCGCGTACTTCGGCCGCATCTTCATCTTGCTGCAATTCAAGCGCCTTTTTACTGCTAAGGATAAGAAGGGTAGCGTGTATTGGATCATTGTTGGGTCGATCATTGGGAACACGGCGTTATACTTTGCGTTTTTGATGAGCTATACTTTTGAGTGCTATCCACGAGAGAAAATTTGGAACCCCACGGTAGAAGGAAGGTGTGTGGCGACTACGAAGCTGCAGCTTGCGACTGGGATTTTGAGGTTCTGCTGGTTCCGCTATTCGCGATCTGGAGGCTGAAAATGAAGTTTGAGCACAAAGTGAGGATTTTTGGCGTGTTTAGTGTGGGTCTGATGTGAGTCCCTTCTTTCATATTGCCCATTCGGCAGAAATCACAGAAAACAAGATAATGACTTAGATCACCAAAATTAGCGCCATCGGTATCGCATGTGTTGGTCTTTGGTTACGCATCGAAACCGCAAGAGCTTTAGACTTCACATGGCCGCTTACGCAACTCGCTATAGTGTGGTAAGTTAAGTTTCGTTCATCTCAACCCCGCTCTTTCCATCTCCAAGGCCACGCGATCAAGCTAACAGGTTCTCTTGTTTCCCTTTCTTTAGCCAAGCCGAACTTGCAAGTATCATCGTCGTGGGCTGTACTCCCTTCATCCCTCGTCTGTTCCACTGGAAACCCCTCCGTGGTCGCTCAGGATACGCACCACAGAGCCCAGCAGCTGGGTACAGCGACCGGATGAGCAAGGGACAGAAGAGCGGTTCAGGCACAGACGCAGATGCCGAGGTACCAGCTACAGATGGTGAGAATGCTAGAAGTCCCGCTGGAGTAGTGGGACAGCGGTTTTATGCGAATCCAGCCGAAGCGCCCGTTCAAGAGGGTGAAAACAGGAAAGAAGCTGCCGGATTGGCTGGCCATCGATACCATGCGGCACAGAAAAAGGAGGGCGTCAAGAGCGAAGCGCAGGGTGCAGCCTAATGGAATTCATTGCGGATATTTCAATTTGTCTGATATTTGCGTTAATACTGTTCTCCAGTTGCTAACTACTACATTCCACACGAAACCTCTTCTCATTTATCTAGTTTTTTGCGACTAGATAGATATGCCTTTAAGTTTTCGAATGATCTAGTTTTTTTTTAGATAAAGCTCTAGAATCTCATCTTCGAATTAAATACCTACCCGTTCAATATATCTTACAACAACCTGGATGCCTTCTTCATCTTCAAATTCGGCAGGGTTGCCGAAATCTGCGTCGTATTGGTCCAGACACGTACCCGAATGGCATAACGCGCCATACGATCGAAATTTCAGACCACCGCTATGGTTATCGCCGAAGACGGACATGTCAGAAATGGCGACGAGTTCGAGAAATACTAGGCGAAGGCGCATATAGGATCGTTTGCAGAGAGACTTTGGTGGATGGAAAAAGCGACGTAAAAGCTCAGGCTGTAAAAGGAAATTGGGAAGAGCATGAGGGCCTCATACGATGTTGATTATAGCAGAGAGCTGGAGGCAATCGCGAGATATTCTCAGATGAAAGTCAGCTGTTTCTGCTCAGTCACGCGAGCGAGAGAGTCACAAAGCCACAGCATAGGCCATTCTTCATCCAAAGTTATGGATGGTACGAGTCCAAAGACTATATACCTAGGTATTCATCGCCACGGAATACTTTGAAAACGGTGACCTGCAAGCATATTTGTCAAAATTTGGTATGATGCTTGAAGAAGATGTTTGCGAGATTTCGCATCAGATATCGGAATGTCTCCACGAAATGCACTGCAAAAAATACGCTCATAGCGATCTGAAGCCATCAAATATTCTGAAACGTCGAGTCAAAAATAATAATGACGCGTGGCTACTTGCCTTAGCTGAGCCGGATCCCTAAACAAAGTTAAGGCGGAGGTCTTAATTTTCTTACAGCTGATTGCATACTCGAAATCTGCTATATGTTACTTGCTATGTTATATAACAAGCAAGATGTCGAGAACAGGATAAGGTGAACGCTACACTTGGGCATGCTTACATAATCATTCTAGTGAATATAGATAGTCTGGATTATAGGTCGTCGGGCAATTGCTCAATCACCGAAATTGTGTCCCAGCTTTCCCACCTAACCATATAACCGAACAGGTTGTATGAATGCTACGTCTAGTTTGCCATGCATAGCGAACTTGGCTAGCTTGAAGCAACTCGGCAGATAGTTTTTAGAGCTATCTACCTGATCTATGACATAATCGTGCTATCTAACGTAAAATAGCCGCCACCACCCGCTCGATATGAACGGGATCCCCCAGTAGCCCACTTCAACTTTCTTATCCAAGTTCAATAAAACAAAATGCCATCGATTTTAGGGAAAGAGATTGGCCCTATTGGCTACGGCCTCATGGGTACGATTCATCGACGATGATTATTACTGTTATCTTGCTCATCCATTCTAGGTTTGACGTGGCGTCCCGACCCAATCTCGCAAGATAAAGCCTTCGAAGCACTCAAAGCAGCGCTCAAGAATGGAATGAACTTCTGGAATGGAGGCGAATTCTACGGACCACCAGAGTACAACAGTCTCGTTCTCCTCGAGCGGTATTTTGAGAAATACCCCGAAGATGCCGACAAAGTGGTGCTGAGCATCAAAGGCGCCGTGGGGCACGACGCGAGACATCCCGATGGATCTCCCGAGGGCGTGCGAGCTTCCCTTGACAACTGCATTGCGCTCCTCAAGGGACGCAAGAAAATCGACATTTTTGAAAGCGCGAGGCGCGATCCGAATACACCCATGGACGTCACGTTCTCCGTGTTGGAAAAGGAATACGTCCAGACTGGGAAGATCGGGGGGATTGGACTTTCTGAAGTGAAAGCTTCCACGATCCGCGAAGCTGCCAAACTTACAAAAGTGGTCGCTGTTGAGTCGGAACTCAGTCTGTGAGTGCTGACTGAGAAACTACCTACGAGAAACATGTTGCTGACCCACCAGAAAGCTTTTCAACCGATCCGTTGGATAATGGCATCGCTGCCACATGTGCCGAACTGAAAATCCCTCTGGTGGCCTACTCTCCAATGTCACGTGGTCTTTTGACCGGCCAATTCAAGTCGGTATCAGACATCCCAGAGCAGAGTTTCCTACGCCACTTCCCACGCTTCCAGCCAGAAACTTTCCCTGTCAATCTAGAGCTGGCAAAGCAAATTGAGGCACTCGCTTCCAAAAAAGGATGCTCGTTGCCACAGCTCGCGCTAAACTGGATAATCGCGCTGCAGAAGAGATCTGACATGCCGACCATAGTGCCAATTCCTGGAGCAACACTGGTCAGCCGCATCGAGGAGAATTCAAAGATTGTGGATATTACCGAGGCAGAATTCGCTGAGATCGATGCCACGTTGAACAAGGTCAAGGTAGAAGGTGCGCGATACCCGCCTACTATACCTACGGATGGTTAAAGATTATTTGTCATCGTGAAAGAAGGAATGATATCATATCGGCGTAAGTGATTTGATTATAGAAGCCAGCTAGATACAGCTGCTCTACCTTTTCATGCCTATCACGCGTCTACGATCCCACGCACTTGTAGTTATTTTGATCTTTCTTTATGATATGTCAGATTGAGCGAGATTGTAAGACTGGAAGGTCCGGACGAATTTTACGACTTGACAAAAGCCAACAAATTGATTTATGCATTGAATTGTTTCCATTCTGATTCGTCATGGATGTCCAAGCTCGTTTAACCAACAGTGACGAAATGAGTGATGCGGTTATTGATGGAGTGAAAGATTGGGACTACAAGCCCAGTGGCCTACTTACAGGTGGGGGAGTCGTTGCGGTAGATATGGGGAGGCTCATACCTGGGAGCTTATTTCAATCCCACGTACAGTACAACTGAAATGGAACTAGGAACTGTTACAACTACATATATATACTACAAAACAGAGCTGTGATACACCGAAGACCTGCCAATTATCTCCCTCTACTCCAAACATTAGTAAGATAAATTTTATTCATAGCATATTCTTCCGCCATGCGCGCACACTCAATCTCTCGATACTCGCCGGATCAACAACCCCCTTGACTTCTTCATCCTCCAGCGCCTCAACAACAGCGTCGGCAACAACATCCGCCTTGAGTGGTTTAATCCCGCCCGCACCCATCAACCACGTCAGTCTTCCTCCAACGGCCGAGTTCACAAGACTCGCGACCCCACCTGCCGCGGCGATTGGCAGCGTAAATGTGCGCGAGGAATCGTACATGAATGGCGCACGGATAAATATACTCCGGACATCCGGGAAGTGCTTCTCCAGCAACGTCTCCGCCTCGCGTTTCGTAGAGATATACCTGGTAGGTAGCATAGGCGCGCCGGCTGCCGCAGAGATGTATACGTAATTCGGGACACGGTGCGTGTGTGCTTGCTTTGCGAGGCTGAGTGCTGAATCGCGATTCATGACTTCGTAGGTGAGCTGGCCATCCTTTTCCTGAGGCTTCAACCTCTCCTCGCCCCCCTCATTTTCATCTCCTCGTCTTTCGAGTGGGTTCCGCGTGCCCTGCTTGGTTGCGCTGAAGGCGCGACGCAGCCCTGAGACGGGGGATTCGCGACCACTGATGACTGCTTTGTAGTCTGCTTCGAGTAGAATACCCATACTATGTACGACGGCCGTAGCATCTGATAGATGCGAGTTGTAGGATCCGGGCGCGAGAATATCACCTTTGGCCCATGTTACGGAGGATGACCAGGACGGCGGGTCGGGTGATGCGGTTATGCTGCCCCAGTGAGGGGTGCCAGAGCGCGAGATGGAGGTTACTGCCCATCCACGGTGGGCGGCGGCCTTGCATATTCGGCTTCCTTGGGGGCAAAGAGTCAATTTTGAAGGAATTTGAAGGTGGGGGTGGGTAATAAGAGGTGGTGTGAGGGGTGTATTAAGGAAAGATGAACTCACCGAGGAAGCCATTGCCGCCGCAGACTACAAGCTTTTTCTTCGCGGCTGAAGCCATTGATGCTTATGAAGGTGTAAAATGAGCACAAAATGAGCGTTGAGTTGGCAAAGGCACCAGCCGAGGATACAAGAAGGGGATTGTTATGGGGTGATTGAAGCTATAAGAGAGTGTTGATGTCATCTCAAGAATGGCTGGCTGGCCGAACATTTGAACCGACCGGTGGGTAGCGAAGAACCCTGCAATAAGGCTGGCCGACAGGGGGGAGGGAGCTTGGGCCATCTCCGCGGTGGTTCTACAACTCTTACTTTCTTGTTCCCCGCGTTCTTCTTCCTCCATCAACTCTCTTCCGCTGCACTACGCCGCCAACGACAATCAATATGCCCGCGCCCCAGGCAAATAAGCGCGTCAAAGTACGAAATAGCCCCTTTTTACATGCGATCATGCTACACAACCATCTAACGACACGTGTAGAACAAGCGCATAAGCCGAAACATCAGTACGCGCCCGCCCAAACAACCCCCCGCCGCTCTTCCTCGTCCACCCCCCTAATTATCATTCGCAGTCATTGGATCCGAAGCATGGAACCTTCCGCCACCAGGCCATCCCGACCGACCGAAAGGCGTCCCCGAAGACCACACTAAGCGTTGGACCGTATATGTGCGCCAGCCTGAAGGCGACCCGTCCCTTACCACCTGGCTCAATAAAGTTCAATTCAAAATTTTCAGCACATACGAAAATCCACTGCGGACATGCGAGAACCCCCCCTTTGAAGTCACCGAGACGGGTTGGGGTGGCTTCTCCATCGACATCCGCCTGCACTTCCAGCCCATCAGCGGCGAGAAAGCGCAGTACCGCCAGCATTTTCTGCAGCTCGAAAAATACGGCGATCCGAGTTTACAGGAGATACAGGAGAAGACGGGATGTGTGCGCAGCGAGTTCCTCGAGGTGGTGCAGTTTAACGAACCGACTGAGGCTTTATTTGAGGCTCTCACCGCTGAGGATCAATGGAACTACATCATGCCGCAGTCTGCTAAGGGCGGGAAGAAGGCGGCCATGTTGGGGATCGGCGCTAATGGTAAGCCCAAGCGCGGATACCCTAACGGCGAGCGCAGCGCGCAGTTGCCGGAGAAGGGTGGCGACGACGTGCCGTTTAGTCAAGAACAAGAGGCCGGGCTCATCGACATGCTGCAGAAGAAGATGGCCGAGGTAGATGGGCAATTGGAGGCTGAGTCGAAGAAAAAGGAGGACACCGAGCAGCGACTAAAGGCTTTGAGAGAAGAGCTGGGCCAGGCGGCTGCTCAGCAGGCAGCGCAGCAGGCGAGTGGCGACCGGAGTCGGAGGAGGTGATCGTGGTTGGGAAAGCAAAATGGGAATGACGTCACTCTTATCTGGCGTTCTGGGTGCATTCACTGACAGCATTTCTGGTGTTTTCTGGTGTTATTGTCCGCTATTCTATACCATGAGATCCATTGTTACGATATTCTATTAACATCAACTGACTCCCTGCGCCTCCGATACCCCAGCGTCATTGAAATCCAGAACTCAAGCTATCTGTCCAAAATGACCGTCACAACTCCATCAACTACCAAATCCTCACAATCTGTTTTCCTCCAGAAACATATGCGCCGCTCCAAATGTCTCAGCAGCGGAATACCCGAAGTTCAGCATGTGCCCGGTCCTATCCGGCACATATACTCCAAATCTCGCACGCGGATACACCTTCTCCATGGCCGCAATTATCCCTTCTTTTCCAACTCCACAATCCGCAATTGCTGCTCCAGCAATCGTCCCATTACTGCAAACAAGCACATCATTTCGGCCCGTCATAACCAACACAGGCCCCTCAAACTCAGACGTCGTATTCAACTTCGGCGACGCCAACTCTCCAACCGTAAACGTATGCGCAAACTCGCGTTTTTCAAACTCAATCACCTTCTCATCAACCTCCCCCCTCTCAACAGACGGATACAAATACGTCTCCCATGCCGATAATTTTCCAGCCATATATCCATTCGGTAAATCCTTCGAGGATGGCGCAGTGTCAAAGACGCTCGCACTCCCTGCGGTAGCCTGACTCACAATCGCGCTCAGACCCAATGGATTCAACGCTGTGGATGTAAGAATATACGCGTCTGCTCCGCCGTCTTCACCTTTCGGGTTCACGATACTGAGTTCGCGTGTATGCAGTGCGCCGTACGAATGGCCCACCATAACCACTTTCTCGAACTTCGCGGGAATGTTGACCGGATTCAGGGTTCCGTTGCGTAAGCTCGAGATGATGGTGCGGATAATGGCTTGTTGGAGGGGGAACTGAACGATCTTCAGGGGATCAGGGTGAGAAGATTCTCCGTTGCCTAGGTTATCGATGCTGAGCGTTGCGTAGCCTTGCGAAGTTGCGTGTGCGGCATAGTCGTACTGGGTCGAGTAGTCTGGGTTGGGGTAGTCTAGCCCATGCCAGTATAGCTGTGCAACTCTTCGTTAGTCTCCATTACTTGTACGAGATGAAGAGATTGCATGGTATGCAAGCCATTCCGGAGAACACCATAGTGAAAAGTGAAACATACTTTGTTTGACAGGAACCCATGAAGTAGCAACTGCACTACCTCCCCTTCTCTTTCTTTAACTTTAATGCTCGGCTCACAGTACCGCGCTGAAATCTCCCATGTCCCGTCAACCTTAATCTTTGGCTTTGAGCTGAAATTGGACGCGGGGACTGTCTGGCCTAGGTATCGACCTAGCGTCGCTACGTCTGTGGCGTTGGCAGGATATGGAGGGAGGTCCCAGTTGAGTGCGCTCGCGGTGATGGAGAGCGTCAGGTCTTTGCAGGATGGAGGTGATGGTGTTGGTGGGGCAAGGGGCGTGTAGGGTAAGGCGTTTCTGCGAGGGGTTGTCTAGGCGTTAGTAGAGGTACAGTGGTAGTAAGTCGATGTTAGTTGGGGTTTTGGATGTAGGCAGACACGTACGAGGAAGTGATTAGAGCGAAAGAGAAAAGAATTAATGGAGTGTTTGAATGCATATTCAAGGTTGCTTGAGGAGAACAATAGCTGATTGATAATGGCGAAGTGCTTAACGACGAAGATTGTGGTTTGCGTGAGATCACTGTGTAGTCGGAGAGCGAAAATTGTTCGATGATGGGAAGACTATTTACGATTGCAGGCCACGTTATATATACTTCTTCAAGAACTCTTCAATATTCATAGCAGCGGTGCAGATGGTGATGACATCGTCCCACTCGCTCAATCGTATTCTTCCAAAATTGGAAGACTCGAAGGTAGTTCGTTATGTACATACGCAAGCTATAACCCACAAACAGCAATAGATAAACATTAGTACGAATTTCTCTCTAAACAGCTTTCTATCCATTTCCTATAAGAAAGACGTCCAAGAGAAGCACTCCCCGAATGCAGCTACAACACAACGAAAGACACCCAGACCGGTGAGAATTAGACAAGTGCGCTTACCACTGTACTCACTCGGATTGATACCCATCCGATTGCGGACAATCCAACAAATCCGGTGAGAGTCTGACGTGCGTGACGTTCGACTTTTTCTGGAAATCAGTAGTAGGTCCTCGGGGCTTAGTGCTTAGTATTGGAGGCTGAGATGCTTAAATGATAGTCACTATTTTTCACTTTAGCCCCCACCGGAGGTAATATCAACCGTGCGTGGAAACCAGGCCAAGAAGAGCACTGGCTGAAAGCGGTTTAGATCCTGTAGCCTGTCCATTCGTAACTCGTCGACTCGTCTACTTCGTATATATTAATCTGAAAGTAGGCGAGTGTCAAGAATGGAGCTGACTCATCGGCGACTTTGGTGCAAAGAGACGTTTTTCTCCAAGCAGTAAAAACCAGGGGGGTTGTTTGTTTTTATTCTCATTTGTTGTGCTGGAAGCACTCTTGTGATAACTCAACGTTCTTTTGCAACCTCAGGATGGCAGGGCAATGGCAATTCATACAATTGTGCACCAGCGATGGAAGGGTCGGCGACGCAGAATCACGAAGAAAAGTTCGCAAGAACGCAATGCGGCAGTTCAAGCGCAATGAGCGACTGGCAAATCGAGAAAAGCATATGCATCAGCAGCAGTTGGAGCTCGTCACCACTGCCCCTTTTCGACCTTCGCAGGAAGTTACACTGGAGCCAAGAGGCATCGAAGATATGCTGGACCCTTTCTCCACCACAGCTCTTCCCGCCAGTAAAGATGCTTATCGACTTCTTCATCATTGTTCGTGGATCCTCATCACCTTCTTAATCATTCACTCTTTGGCAACTAACCAAGCTACTCGCAGTCGTGACTGTCATTACTCCAGCTCTACTTCCGTTTGGCGATGGTCGCAACCTGCAAACCTTCAATGAGGTCTTCATACAGAGTGTACAGCAGGATAGAGGGGCAACTGCCAGCATGCTCTTTCACGCGGGATATCACCATGATCATCTGACCGGAACAAAAGGATGGAGCAGGCACACAACTGAATTCTATAGTGAATCTCTCCACATCGTAAGTGAGCGACTTAACGTCGTGAATAAGGAGAAGGTGGGGGATGAGCTAGTGTGCATGGTAGCATTTTTAGCCGCTACGGGGGTGAGTTCGTACTTCGATATCGCTGTCGTGAACTCGTGATAGGACCATGGGATCCGATGTTGAGCTATGATGGCATCTCCCGAGATCATGCCACATATCGATGATCTAGTCCCAAGTCAATTAATGTTGCGGGGCTAACATTTTGATAAAATCGATAGAACATAAATGGCCCGGATCAAAATGCTCTCGATAAACCACACATGACTGCACTCCAAACCCTCATCGGTCTCCGAGGGGGCATCCGCTCGCTTGGCTGGGGAGGGTCACTGGCATTGATTATACAAATGTCAGTCACATCTCCTTTCTCTTAACGCATCTTTAACGCGTGGCCGAAATCTACAGAGCAGATCTAGTCCGCGCGACCATATCTGGGCAACGCCCTTCTTTTCCCGCTCCGGACATTACAGAAAACCCACTCACGCCTATCTTAATATCGCCATCATTCCCCACCGCACCGGAACCGCCAAATCAAGACCCTTCCGTGCCCTGCCGTCTCAACCCCCTTTTATCAACAGGCCGTAACCTGGTCGCCTACCAACTCAGCCTACTCAGTACCACCAAAGAGAAAAACACGCAGAGCATACAGAACATGACGCATTTCACGGAACTCTGCATCGCATTCGAGCACTACGTGCTCTGTTTTTGTACCCCAGCCACCAATTCACATGCGTATCCTTCTTCCGGTTCAATCCCCTACACGTCGTTCATCTCCACCTTACCCCCCAAATCACGAACCCCGGAGCCTCATAAGGGTGCCGATATATCTGACCAACCACACGACGAATCGATACTGTTCCGCAAAGCAGCAACCATTTCGCTGAAAATCTGCATCTCCCTCATCTTCCGCAACTTGACCACCCGTTCCAACACCATCCGACGTCTGCAAGCACAGCTAAAGTCCTTGCTGCTCACCATGCTTCTAGCCGTTCGGTCATATGCAGCGTTGAGCTGGGAAGAGAAGAGCATATTACTTTGGGTTCTATGGGTGGGTGGCTCGACTGTAATTAGTGTAAATCAAGCGGATGCGGAGTTGTATGTGCCCCAGATTCAGAGCTTGCTAGGGGAGATGGGGCTTCGGGAGTGGGAGGAAGTAAAGAGTGTGCTGGCGGAAGTTCTGTGGAGTGAGAGGTGTGAGAGGGAGGGCGGATGCCAAGACCTGTGTGAGAGGGTTGGGGTGGCTCTTCCATAACGAGTTGTTGTCTTGTATTTTCAAGTTTGATTATCATCCTGTATAGCAAGAAGACATGTCCATGTCACGAAAATGTTGTCAATGGCAGAAGGTGTGATGATGTTTACCTTTCTCGGACGTTAGTAAGCTCTGCCTAGGTATTGCCCTTTCGGGGCTAGCGTAGGGTCTTTCGCCTCAATTAATGTGGATCTGGCCTGTCGCCCCTATTATTCCGGCGCTGTCAAATCTCTACCTCTGCTCTTATACACGCTCTTTTCCACCCTCGTGCTCGCATAAACAAAGAAGTACTCATCTGCTAACTGCAATTGGTACATCTCGTCGCTCTTTTTTAGTTTTTGTGATATAGTTTGTCTGCTCTTACAGCTCTTACCTATTCCAAGCCGGAACACGGATACGACATATCCGCCCTGCAACGGCGACTTCCGCGAACATTTTTCTCGCCCCCTCGCCGCTCACCTCCATCTTTCTACACCCACTTCCAGCTAGCAAGTAACAATGGATGTCGCGCTCGAGTTTCTTGACCCTTTGGTTTTTGACAAGGCCTATGCTTGGGCCTTGCCTTCTCCCGACATCGGCCTGAGCAACTCAACGTACTCCGACCTTCAGGCCGCCAGCACAGCGCCTACGTCTCAATGGTCGCGCGACAACATCTATCGTCAGATCACATCCATCCTTCTCATCACTCAGCTTGGCGCGACATCTCTCTACCTTATTTTCAGCGCTCTGTCGTACTATCTGGTCTTTGATCGTCGACTCGAGTACCATCCGCGTTTCTTGAAGAACCAAGTCCGCCAGGAAATCCAATCATCCCTCTTCGCCGTCCCCTTCATCAACCTTTTGACCCTACCGATTTTCCTGGCTGAGGTTCGTGGCAAAAGCTTACTCTACTCCAACACGAGCGACTATGGCTGGTCATGGTTGGTGATCTCGGCCCTTTTGTACATGGCTTTCAATGATTTCGCCATCTACTGGATTCATCGCCTTGAACATCACCCCAGTGTGTACAAGTACATCCACAAGCCTCACCACAAATGGATCGGTAAGTCTTCTGTTACCATTTTTGATCTCACGTGATAAGATTGTACTTTGGGATGTCGATACTAACGCCAACAGTTCCCACACCTTGGGCTGCGCTTGCTTTCCACCCGCTTGATGGGTACGTGCAGTCTCTGCCATACCAGTAAGTATCTCGCCACTCCCGTCTTCACGACATCTCTAACACCTGAACAGCGTCTTCGTTTTCCTCTGCCCAATGCAGAGGTATTTGTACTTGGTTCTCTTCGTCGGTGTGCAGATCTGGACAATCTTTATTCACGACGGAGATATGATCTCGGGCCACTGGACGGAAAAATTCATCAACAGTCCCGCCCACCACACTTTGCACCACATGTACTTCACCGTCAACTACGGACAGTACTTTACCTGGGCCGATACCTATTTCGGCTCGCACAGGGCACCAGAGCCCTCCTTGGATCCTATTCATGATGCTCTCAAGGTGATGCGTGCGAAGGGACTTGTGGACGAGCAGGGCAACCCTATCAAGCACAAGAAGAGCGAGTAAATTCCTAGGGGCTTAGTGGGAGATGATTATATTTTTTTTAGAAAAGGTGTTCAAAAGGCGATCTTAGAAATATCGATAATATCTAATCACAATCATGTTTATTTGCAGGTGGCTTTCGTCATTCGAGGGACTGTACTTTATTGGTTCAACCCCATGTCTATCTGCAATTGGAGAATCGCTACCTGCCTGTTCAGGCTAAGATGATGATAGGCACAACTTGGCAACCATCAATCAAGGTGGCGATGTTCTCTGCCCTGAGAGACTGTCTATCTGTAACCACGTCAGTGAAGAAATGTATCTCAAGGCTGTAGTTCTCGCGGTGCTGCTTCATGCAGCGCAAGGCATCGCTGCCGCTTCGCCGCGGCCAAAGCTTACCCCCGACGAATTGGAGAAGAAAATCGGGCAGCCAGGGTATTTCCCATCTTTCACATATACATCCAACGCGGGGTTCGTTCCCTAACTCATGCAGATTGAAACAACATCTACGAGCACTGGATAAAATCGGCAAGCAGAACGGGGGCAATCGAGCTTTTGGAACTGAGGGATATGCGCAATCGTCAGACTATGTCCTCTCACAGATTTCGACCAAACATGATAAAGAGCTCAAAACCTGGACACAGTCTTTCAACCATACTTATGAAGAGACGCGAGATATATCTGTGACGGGACCCGATGGCGAAGACGTGGATGTATTGTCTCTCATGTACAACAACGCTACCCCGCTGCCAGATGGTGTAACGGGTGAGCTGGTCGCAGTTCCTGTCGACGACGAACGAGGTATGTGAGCACAACTCTTATGCTAAAATGATCATCTATTGACAAATAATGTAGGCTCGGGTTGCTTCGAGGACCAATGGACCGGTCTCAATGTAACCGGCCAACTAGCCCTGGTCAAACGCGGTGTATGCAGTATATCAGACAAGCTCAAAATCGCAAAGAACCTAGGAGCCACAGGAGTTATCCTCTTCCACAACACAAACAGCACTCCCAACGCCGCAACCTTAAGCGCAGAGAACATAGGTCTCCTTGCCCCCGTCGGTCTCGTGTCCCAATCAGTCGGCCTATCATGGCTTTCCCGCATCGCCGCCAACGAAACTCTAACAGTAACTCTCCTCGTAGACTCCATCTTCGAACCCCGTTCCTCCTGGAACGTCTTCGCCGAAACCATCGAAGGCGACGCAAACAACGTCATCATGCTGGGCGCCCATCTCGACTCCGTGCAAGCCGGTCCAGGAATTAACGACGACGGTTCGGGCGTAACCGCGCAAATCGAAATCCTCAAAGCGCTCCGCGGTCTCCAAGGTATCAAGAACAAAATTCGTTTTGCCTTCTGGGGAGCCGAGGAACCGGGACTCGTGGGCTCGCTGTTCTACACTTCCCAACTCTCTTCGAGCGAAGCTGATAAGATCCGGTTCTATTATAATTACGATATGATTGGCTCGCCCGTCCCCGTATACGGTGTCTACGCAAGAGATGACCCAGGTGACAAATTCGGCGCGCAAATCCTGCTCGACTACCTCGTCGCAAAAGGTAAACCAGCGTACTTTGGCTCCTTCGGGACGGGCTCGGATTACGTTGGGTTTCTGGAACTCGGGATCCCAAGTTCAGGGATCCACACTGGTGGAGGTGATCCCGCAGACCCGTGCTATCATCTCGCGTGCGATACGTTTGAGAATATCAGTTGGGAGGCCTTGGAAGTTAATACGAAGGCTGCGGCGAGGGCGGCGGCGGCTTTGGCGCTGAGCGTGGAGGGTTTGCCGCCGAGGAATACTACGAGTGTCAATCCGAGGAGTGAGATGGGGATTAGGGGGTTGTTTGAGAATTGGGAGGGAGTGAGGTTGGAAGCGGCGGGTGGGCATTCGTGCGCGCTTAAGACGCGTAGGACTGTCTAGGACTAGAATGATGTTGGGATCCCGACTGGAGTTTCATGGCCGTATGTATGCTTACATTGGACTACGTAAGTCAAATAAGTGCCCTCGCAGTAATGGGGTAATGAAGCTCTGTAACGCGCAATAACAAGGCCTTGCAGCCTGACAAAGATTGAGACGAGACTAGACATACTCTCATCATGATGTGACGGTTTCAGTACTACCGTGAACATTGAGTGTGGCGAATCCAACGAGTAAAAGATGGATATGTTGGTTTGATCGGTCATTTCATTGTGCAGGGAGAAATTGTTATTGAAGCCTATCGGACTTCTAAGCAGCTTACCATGGTCCACCCCACGAGCAAGCAGTTTTGAAGTCAAATGTAGAATTTTTGCACCTTGATATATATTGAAGAAAATCACGATTCTCGGCCTGAGACCATACAATCATGGGAGACAGTTGTCAGACTAATATGCTCGAAATATTCCAAAGTAACTAGGAAGATTCCTATCTTTCATCACATGTTTCATAGTTCACTGATCAGGTGAATTCGACTCTTCTTGGCCAATTTCTTCTCGGAATTATTATCAGCTCTCCAAGTCCCAGCGTTCCGAGAACATCAGATTCATGGGTTGTTTAGGTCATACAGGCAAATATATGCAAACTAATGAAGATCTCAGAACTCTCGTGATAATTATGATAGCGGCAAAGCATGTCATGACCTCATTACGATACCCGGCAACCAATGATGCATTGATAAGTTTGACAATAGCTTCATAAAATTGCGAAATTCATTTGACAGAACCCTGCGGATCAACGGGGAATGGTAAATGGCATTATCGTGCTATGATCATGATTGGTGTTCGGTCAAGAAATCACGTTCAGACCAATGGCAAGGAACATGCTCCGGTGATCATTTATATATGCTTGTTAGGGAAATTCTTGGCCCCTATTTAGTATGCTAAGAGTATGCAGGACAGCCTTGGAAGATCCTTCGGAGGGATAGTTGTAATGTGGGGCAGAATAAATAATCACGGCACTTGTGCAGATAATATAAGTTTGCCGTATGAGAGATGGGGGATCTGGAGCAAGCTCAGGCTATTCCCCGCGTTTGATCGCTTCATATGTACGAGGTGCTGTGATTGACCACGAGGCTTGTATAATCGACGTGCCGGACTCTACTAAGACAGGGGTTCTAAGCTAATCTTATGCTTTCCTTAACTATATACACTCTACCCCACCCGAATTGGATAGCAGAACAGATATCATCAATGACGATTGTTTCAAGGGATATAATAACTTATTTGCCTTGGCACGACACACAGCTTGAGTCCAAGAGTTTCTATAATATATGAGCCCTTCGGCCCTCAATCATGTAGGGTATCGATAAACTGGGAAGCAAAAGCCGCACTGGAAACGATGCATCTTCAACTTTCCCTCACATTCGCTCTAGCATGTGTAACGGGTGTTTTGGGCGTTCCGTCACAACACCTGGAGACTCGGCAGCAGCCATTCAAGTCTACAGCCATCACTAGCCATGCCGAGCCATGGGCTATTGCTTTCCTGCCTGACAGCCGCGTCTTGGTCACCGAACGCCGAGGAAACCTGCGTCTCGTCGACCCTACCAAAAAGACTCAGGGCACTATCACCGGTGTCCCAACTGTTGCCTATGGCGGCCAGGGAGGCCTCCACGACGTCGCCTTGCATCCCAAGTACGCCGAGAACAGCATCGTGTATCTCAGCTACGCCGAGAGCGGGTCAGGCGGAGCCGGGGGCGCAGTGGCGCGGGCCAAATTGACGCTGGATGCCAACGGCGGCGGCGCACTGTCCGGCCTCGAAGTCATCTGGCGACACACGCAGAAGGCGTCTGGCGGACTTCAATTCGCCTGCCGCCTCCTCTTTGGCTCCGATGGCGCGCTATGGATCTCGTCGGGAGAAATCAACCAGATGACGCCCGCGCAATCCATGACCGGGAACCTCGGAAAGGTGATCAAGCTCTACGACAACGGCACTGCTTTCGCGGGGAACCCCTTCGCCGACCAGGGCACCGTCCAGGCGCAGATCTACTCGCTGGGTCACCGCAACCCACTGGGCATCGACTTCGATGCCGAGGGCCGTCTCTGGGAAGTCGAGATGGGCCCCATGGGAGGCGACGAGCTCAACCTGATCAAGGCCGGCGCGAATTACGGGTGGCCGCTCGTGAGCGAGGGTCGTCACTACGATGGTCGTACGATCCCCTCGCACAGTACGCGTCCCGATTTCGCGGCTCCAAAGGCGTTTTGGGTCCCTGTTATTTCTCCTGCTGGATTGATCATTTACAAGGGTGACTTGTTTCCTAATTGGAAGGGGAATGCTATTATTTCTAGTCTTAGTGCGACGGGGCTTGTTCGTGCGACTATTACTGGGGATACTGCGAAGGAAGCTCAACGTATCTCGATGGGCAAGCGGATGCGGGGGATTCGTGAGGATAAGGACGGTGCCATCTGGGTTATTGAGGATGGGGCTAACGGTCGGCTCATGAAGCTTACGCCAAACTAAACCTGCTTTCACTAAGATGTTAGAGATTTGACAGAAAGTGGCTGACTACATGTATATATGGGAAAGCTGTCGTGTTCAGATTCCGTTACTTCACATAAGAATACTGGCGAAATCTTCGAGTGGTAAACTGGCAGTGCATGAGAATGAGTATATGAGCTGCTTTATCAATGCGTCTATCCAGTACTGCGTCGGTAGTTGGGAGGCTGGTGCTATGAATGAAGGAGTATGGGAAATGTTTACCAAGGGGAGGAGATTTCCGTCTCATCGTCTGCAAGGGGTTGAGGCTACTTTTAACAAGCTCATGATAGTCGTATTACTAGGATGGGATTCATCCCCAAGTCCTTCTTGAGATCATCGCAGTGTTGTTCGTACTTTGTCATGTGCCAGATCTCATCGATCACCATAGCTTATTTCACGCAAGCATAGGCAGAAACAAGATAGGTAGCAGACATATAGACACGAATTAAAATGGGTCAAAGAAGAATAGATTCCAGCTTGAAGCGACAATCGGATCGCTATCGTCAGTTCTCCCTTGTGTCCGCATCTCTCCTCCTTCTGTTCTTTTTTCCCATCCCCAGTAACAACGGAAACAGCGTGCCATACGTGACCAATCAAGCATCGTGTCTTCGTATAGTGTGTAAGTTGCAGGGACGTATTGAGTGAGGAAAAGAAGTTTATTTTTTCTATCACAGAAAGCCGGAAAATAGAAACCAATCCTTTCTCCGTTGAAAAGGAGATGCCACCTTAAGCCATGCCAAGTCACCAGAGTTCCGTTATAGAACGCCGACGCTAGAATACAATGCCGGCCCAAAAACAAATGAACATAAAGGGTATGAAACTAGACAAAAATAGAATGATGGAAAAGAAGCCAGCAAAATTTAAAGAACAAAAAAAGACCCCACCTAGATCACGGAAAGAAAATTCAGCCGATCGTTGATGAAGGGTAAGAAAGAAGGCAAAAAAGAAGACTGCAAGATGGGGAGAATTTGCCCATGCAAGACAAGTGATTCAACCCGTACTCATGCCTCGCCGACGAAACAGTGCACACGGATCGTCCCGTCCTCACTGCCGCTAATCAAACGAGAGTCGCTCAGACCCACACAGTTCACGGGACCGGTATGCCCGGTAAGTGTGCGCTCATTCTTGCCTGTGCGGGGATCCCAGATCTTGATCATCTTGTCCTCGGCACCAGAGACCAGACGCAGGCTGTCCACGGCCAGGCTCCACACGCCTTCGATGTGACCAAAGAAGGAGTGAATGGTGCGGCCGGTAGGAACGTGCCAGAGACGGACGGTACCGTCCAAGGCGGCGGTAATGAAGTAAGAAGGCGGCGCCGGCCGCTCGGGGTCGTCGGGAAATAGGGGTTCGGCGCCATCCGCCTCCAATGGTGAATGGTGACGCGACGAGGTGTTGGACGACGTGTCCGACGAATCATTGGTGGCATCTTCAAAATCCGCTTCGTCAATCTCAAAGTCCCGGGGGAGAGGAAGGACCTGCTGAACCTGGCCAACATGCCCCTCAAACGTCCGGATGCATTGCTGGGTATCAAGATCCCAGAGTTTTACCGTCATGTCATCCGAAGCCGAGAAAAGTGTCCGCGAAGGTATGTCCAACTTGACACAGTTGACCCACTCCTCGTGGCCAACAAGCGCATACTTGGAGCGGCTGCGCACATCGTGAACAACGATGGTATGGTCAGTCGAAGCAGTTGCCAGGATGTTGTCTACCATGTGGACTCCTATCACGCCGCTGTTGGGAACACGGTCGTGGGAGCGAATGGTCGCCTTGCACTCCCCCGTCCTCCAATCCCATACTTTGACGGAGCCATCCAAGCTTCCTGTGATTAGAACAGTGTCGGTAAATTGTAGACAGCGAATACCCTCGGTATGGCCTTGGAGAGTTCGGATTTCCTTGCCAGTGGTTAGGTCCCATACTTTGACGGTTGCGTCGTACGACCCGGTTATGAGAATCTGATCGTCAAACTGGAGGCACATGACACCATTGGAATGCCCCTTCAAGATTTGTGTGGAGTAGCGGCCGTATTTCCAATTAGTGCCCACCTTGAAACGATCTTTGTAGACATCCTTCCAGGGCCGTTTCTTGGGTTGGTCAAATTCCGAGACTTGCTGTTCGTGAGGAGAGTCGTGGCAAAGGCGTTTGGCAGAGATCTCGGGAGACAGCGAGTCGGGAGCGGAGCGTTTGGATGCGATTGAGTTGGAAGAGTCTGATGTGTGAGATACAAGTGAAGCAGAAGGCGGGTTGTGCTCTGGCTGGAACGATTCCGGCATCGGGGTGACGTCGGGAGACCACTCGTTGAGTCCGCGACCGGATGCACGTAGTTGGATGCGCCTCTTCTCGGTCCGCAACCTGCGCTGATCGAGAAGCGGGAGGCCCCAACCGCACTTTGTGCATTTTCGGTCAATGTGTTGCTCACACATTTTGTGCCACACGACGTCGTCGTCGGCCAGCTGTCGCCATCGGCGGCTGACCTGGGCAGCTTTGCAGAGGGAGGTGGTGTCGAGGTAGCAGAGGATTTTGAAGCCGAGCTCAGTAGGGAGGGCAGAGAGGAAGTCGATCTTGATGAGGTTGCGCACATTGGAGGAGATGAAGGAGAGCTGAGGAAAGCAGCAGGCGGACAGGATTCCTTGTAGCATGAGATTGCGCTGGCGGGCAGGGGCGGCGGAGAAGAGCGACCAAACGTTGGCGATGCTCTGCTGGTCGGCTTGGGATTCATGGCCCAGTTCCTATGTGGTGTCAGTATATATCAATGGTAGGTGGGGCAGACGTGTGTTGAACGTACCTCTTGCAGCATCTCCATGGTGGGCTCGTCGGCTTGCTTTCGACACAGCATGTCGGGGCGGTGACGGTAGCAGAACTTTGTGTTGGCGCTGGAGCGGTCGTCCATCTCATTGGCACCGAGAGGGTTGTACTGTGAGGGGATATGGTGTGCGAGGTAGGGGGCAATCATCTTTTCGAGTTTTTTGGATGCGCTCTTCCTAACAAGCGGATCGTCTTGGTCGGGGTCGACAGTGTGACTGTGGTTATGAGTACGACGCCTTTTTGGGCTGCGGCTCCGGGCGGATAGGGGGCGGTCCTGGGTGTAATCGTTGGATTCGTGCTCGCTGCGGAGGGTTGCGACAGCGTCCGGGCTCTGGGGGGGAATGTCTGACGCCATAGCTAGCTAGGTGCTTGGTGAAGGAGCGGAGGAAGAGGAGAGAGCTTGGTGGAGAGAAACGCAAGGGTCCCTATGAAGGTCCCGGCGAAGGGCCGCTCATCTACGATTGCGCGGCGCGGTGAGAAGAGGTGTCGAGATGCAGAGGGAGGATGGCGTGCTGGGAGGGTTTGGCGGAGGCGATTACAGGGTCCTTACAAAGGCATTCGGAATATCGCAGTGGTTGGCCGTCTGGGCGGATGGCGGTGTGGATCCGATGGCAGCAGGCCGGGTGTCGTGCAAGATCAATGGCGAAAGAGGGCGAGGGCGCACGGAAGATATGTATCGAATAGCGCACGGGCGTGTGGTGTAATAAGTGTTCAACGTGTATTCAAAGTTATGTGTGGGCGTGAGAGTAACGAGTTGATTTGAGGCTGTCGTTGTTTGCGCAAAGCTTTGGGACGGAACCAGCGAATCGGCGGCGACGAGTACCCAACTAACCGACACCACCGCCAATGTGGGGGAGTTCCTTATTCATCGGTATAGCCAAGTAGCTGTGCGATGACTGGCCAGAAGAAACGGAGAGAAAAAAAAGAAGAAGAAAAAAAAGGAGAGACCAAAGGGCCGATAAGACGTTCTTCTCAATGTTTGCAATGTCCATCTGCGGTGGTAATGTTGCCAGACACTCCGCCGCCACCGGAGCACGAAAAGGCAGGCAGAGCACGCCATTCAATGGCTTCACAGTCGCCAATCACGCAATCGCTCACCACCGGCCGCCCTTGGAATTCCAGACAAACGGCTCGTCGGAAGCATGTTTGCAGATAATTTTCAGATCAGAGGGGTTACTGAGGCAGAGATGAACGAGCAGTCTGACAAATATGAAGCTCTCTATATACATATGTATGTATATACTGCATGCTGCATGCATGGATACATATAAGAAGAATGACGTTGCATGCGTAGCCGTGGGGAAGATGCGCCTGACTAAGCAGCTGTCCATATCGGGACTAGCGTGCCTAGAGCTCCAGGTAGGTACCTCAACTCTCGCAATCGATAACAGACAAAGGGAGCTCCCGGCGTTCAAGATGCCATCCATCGTCGACGAATCATCCCGTCTAGAATAAATCATGAAGAATTGAACGAGTGAATCAACGACTGCGCTTTGCATACTTCCAACCCATCTTTGATCCAACCCACCACATCCATAGCCTTTCAGTAGGTCAGTCAGTCATGCATGGTCACCATGTGATCCAGCTCATCCACTTCCATCAACTCCATCACTACATTATTATCCATCTTCTCCTGTAGCACACTTCTCCGATATGGCCTCTCCACCTTCGCCCGCATCTTCTACAAGCAGCCTCGCGTCACGCCGCTCCGTCGATGTCAACAAACCCCAGACTCTCCCGGACCTCGTCAACCACTTCGTTGCCTCGAAGCGCTCCCTCAACACACAAACCATCCTATGGCGAGCCAACGACATTGTCACCTCAGCCCGCGACCTGCTCGAGGAAAATGCCATCCTTTCCGCCAAAAACGCTTCCATTCGTAACATTGTTGATACCCAGGTCGAGAATCTGGAAGCTATCCGCCGCGGCATAGACGTCATAGAAGCCGACGTCCAGACCGAGTTCAAGGTATGAACACACCCCGCTCCAGTCGGCCTGTGTTTGGTTACACTGACCATCGCGAAGCAATTGCTGCACGATTTGGATACTTCCTTCGCCGGTCTGCAGTCTACCTTGGCCGTCCTACGCGATACCCCCATCGAGTCGGTTCTACAGCCGCCTAACGCTCCGCAAAAACACCTGTTCGACTTCATCGACAGCTCCACCGTCACCAATCTCAAAGACTCGCTGCGCGCCTGCATAGACCGCTACAACGAAGCTCGATCCTCTCTCGAAGACAGCAAGGATAGCTTCGATACCGCCCTCGAAAACCTGCATTCGTCGATTGACAATGTCCCCAACACTCCTCTCACAGCCTCTAGTCCGAGCCCTATACCGAGCTTATACCGCGATTTCGAGGGGCACGCAAAGGAAGCCGCCCAGGCGTTCCAGTCTCTGGTACAACACTACGATCTATGCGTGACTGCTCTGCGACATACTGAAGGGGGTGCTGCAGCTGCAACAAAGGCCACGGGCGATGAACCGGTACCTTCTGGTGATCAGCATGCGCCGCCCCCGGAGCCCATCTCAGAGGAAGAGCGCCAGGAAATGCTCAGTGTACTTGCTAAAGATGCCATCGAGGTCGAAGATGTCGTGTCCGAAATTAGGGATCGTGGGTCGGAAATGTCGTTCCTGCTCTCCCAGGTCGATAGTCACATTACACAGCTGCGCAACGAAGACTCGGCTCTAGGCAGTATTCTCAAGATGATATCCAGGGTGATGACCGAGGTCAAGTCACACATTCTGACTGCTCGATCCTTCCATGGCCATTGGCTGGAAGACACGCGCCCAAATTTCCTCAGCGGCATCGAAGAGTGGGAGAGCCAGAGGGATTTCTACGAGAGATTCGACCAGGCCTACGCTGAGCTGCTAGTGGAGATTTCATCCCGCAGGCGAAGACACGACAAGGCTAAGCGCAAGGCAGAAGAAGCCCAGAAAGAGTTGGATCGATTGCACGCCGAGGATGAACGGGCGAGAGAACAGTTCGCACTCACCCAGGGCGATTTCCTGCCTCTCGACATATGGCCCGGCTTACAGGATCCCCCACGGCGGTATGAAGTCCGCCCTATCTTGCACGTTGCGGAGCACGATGGTGCTCATGAAGGCGAGGGAGGGGAGGACGAGGAAGACGGAGTGGGCACGCGGAGCATACCGCAGTTGGGGCGGGATGCCGTCGAGAGAGCTTTGACGCGAGTCAAACGACGCATGTGAACAATTAATTAATACCCAGTGACTCTTATGGGGGAGAATTGGTACAGGATATTGCTTTGCAAAGCGATCAAGATGCATCCGACGTGCAGTACTTCGGACGGTTAGTTGTTGGCTTGTATCGATAACCAGTCACCGCCCTCGCCTAACGCGGGGCAACCCGCGATTTTGCCCGGGGGCTAGCGACGTGGACTCGGTCTCACTGAACTTTTTTTTAACAATGTATTATTTCTTCCCAATGCGCCACCTTCCTTCACATTGCTCTCACTGTTCTACTTGTTGACACAGTTGAGCAGATCGACTCATTCTCCCCGACCACCATTATCAACACATAACCTTACTAGCTGGAATCTAAAAACTTCGACAACCTCAGCATACAAATTACCCCGCCACACATCGCAGGCGGAGCACAAATCCTCCACTCTACATACACAACCTTCACGATGTCGACCACCGACCGACTTGCGCCTTCAGACGCCCCCACAAACGAAACCCCCGACGAAGAGTATATCGAGGATCTTTTTGATTCCGACGATGAAGACACCAACGACACCAACGTAACCTTCGCTACCAAAGTGTACAATCCCCAAACCGCTGCCCAGCCGAAGACACAGAAGCCCTCAGCCAACTCAAAGACCTCTATCGATGACCAAGTTGCCGCACTGGCTAAACATGCAGGCAAAATCAAGATTTCGGAAGGAGGAGGTGGTGGTGGCGGACGAGAGAAGGACAAGAGCGATCGAGCGACTAGCGACCAGGTGCTGGATCCACGGACTCGCATGATCCTGCTACAACTCATCAACCGCAATGTTGTTTCAGAGATTCATGGCGTCATCTCGACCGGAAAGGAAGCCAACGTCTACCACGCTATGACTATGACCGAGGACGACGCTCGGCCGATACACCGAGCTATCAAAATCTACAAGACAGCTATCCTTGCGTTCAAGGACCGGGACAAGTACATGACTGGCGAGTTCCGCTTCCGTCACGGCTACAACAAGAGCAACAACCGGGCCATGGTGCGCGTATGGGCCGAGAAAGAACTGCGCAATCTCAAGCGTATCAACAATGCCGGCATCCCATGCCCCGAACCCCTACACCTCCGCGAACATGTCTTGGTCATGGGGTTCTTAGGTGACAAGAAGGGCTGGGCAGCTCCGCGTCTTCGTGATGTCGTGTTCAACGATCTGAGTGCAGAAGAGGAGGAGCAAAAGTACAAGGACCTCTACATCCAACTGCTGTCTTACATGCGCATCATGTTCCACACCTGCCATCTCGTCCACGGCGATCTTAGCGAGTACAACCTCCTGTACCACGAGTCGAAGCTGTTCATGATCGATGTGTCTCAATCCGTGGAACACGATCACCCTAAATCCCTCGAGTTCCTGCGCATGGACATCAAGAACGTGTCCGACTTCTTCCGCTCCCACAACGTGGAAGTGCTCAGCGAACGTAAGGTGTTCGGCTTCATCACCGGCGCTGAAGGCGGCAACGACATGTCAGACATCGCAAGCCACATCCAAACCATGTTCTCGCGGCAAGAAGCCCTCACCGAGGACGAGCAGCGCGCCGAGAACGCGGATGATGATGTTTTCCGCACGCAATACATTCCCCAGAACCTCGAACAGGTCTACGACATCGAGCGTGATGCGGATCTCGTCAACTCTGGCAAGCGGGGTGACTTGATCTACCAAGGCCTCCTCGCTGACAAAACCGCGTCTGTAGGTGCAAACGAATCTGATGCTTCAGATGCAGCGAGCGACGACGAGGAGAACTCGTCTGATGGTGAAGACGAGTCGAGATTCGAGAAGGGCCCGTCGAGGGGCAAGAAGCATATGGATAAGGATGAGAAAGCGGCACACAAGAAGGCTGTCAAGGAGGAGAAGCGCGAGAAGCGCAAGGAGAAGATGCCCAAGGCCGTTAAGAAGAGTCTGATGAAGTCTTCTTCTAAGAGGAAGTGATTTTCCTCTCTACTCTTCTTTTGCTAGCGAATAACTCTTCTCTTTGTTCCTGCCTTCTGCAAAAGCGATAACAACACTCTCTTCGGCGTAAGAACAAAACAAAACCGGGCATGGTACGTTATAGCATCTTAATTTTCTTTCCACATTTCCCAACATGAAGAAGAAAAGCCTCGACGCGGTGTTGAAGAGGACGTTGTCTACTCCTCATCCCCCTTGCATCTCGGTTTTCCTAGCGATGAAGCTGGAGATTAACCAGGTCCGTGGTCGGGCGGCGGCTCCGACAGACGAACTCTTCACCTCACGCGTCGCCTAAATATCAAGTTTGCGGCATATGTCAAGAACTTTGAGGATCAAAGAGAGCACTGATTACATATGAAATGAATACATGATTTTCGATCAAAGACGACTGCCATTTGCTTTGAGTTTTGCCACTTGCTCCGCATCTGCTAATCACGCCGCCAGATATCTCGTGCATGCACCGCTAGATCTATCACCGTATCCACTGAATTACCTGCCCTCCGTGCAGTGATGCGTGATTTGGTAGGATAATTAAACTTCTCGTTCTAGAGGGATTGTTCTTTGTTTTCCTTTCTCAACTTCGCATCTATTTCAGTTATCGCATTTCCATTTGCGTAGTTATGTTAGAATACCCGAAATATACTGGTCATGCTGTACAATACAACTTATGCAGAGAGAGTCGTCAAACAAAATATTTCAAGCATACCTACCTCTACTCCCTGTATACGTCTAGGTCTATGGCATTTGTTAATTTGTCTCAGATGTTGCTTAGGCGCCAATGTCAGCGCTTCGGATTGCACCGCCACAACCGAGCGCTCTACAAACAGTCTTTGAATGTAAAATTCCTACCTACTTATCGCTGCACACAACTTTCCCTCCAAAATAGCAACAATCGTGATTTTTCTTTTCTCATATTCCTACCCATCAAAAATCTTTGCCAATCATGGAAGTCAGTCCCATCGCCGCGATCGAGCAGATCCCAGGCCTCTATATATCAGAGTATGTTAACACAGCCCCCAACCGCATTCCATACCAGGCAACTCAAATCAAAAATCAGTATAACCGTCCCCCAATCTCCAGATATCCTCGAGAAATACAACATAACACACATCCTCTCACTCACAGACAAACGCGACTGTCCGACCTTTGATCCAAACGACACAAGAATATCGCATTTGCACATTGACATTCAAGACAACCCCATGGAAGATCTGCTCGTATGTTTAGATGGCCTGTGTGCGTGGATCGCACACGCACTCGCAGCCTCGAATACAGCGGATCGTAGCCTAGACCCTTTGAACGGTGTACAGAATCACGGAGAAGTAAAAGCCCCTCGATCTTCCAATGTGCTAGTCCACTGTGTCATGGGCGTATCGCGTAGCGGCGCGATCATCGTTGCGTACATCATGCGCGCGCTCAATCTCTCCTACGATGATGCGCTTGCGCTTGCGAGAATGGCGAGGCGGAGGATTGCGCCGAATAATGGGTTTGCGGAGCAGTTGAGGGTTTGGAAGGAGCTTGATTACTCGGTGTTTGAGATGGTCAAGGAAGGGGTGGATGTGAGCGTATTTCTTAAGAGGGAATATGATGATTGGGACGATAATCGCGGTGTTTTGCATTCTAGGGCTGAGTTTGAGAAGAGGGAGAGGAGAGTGGAGAAGGTGAGGCGGTTAGTTGTTGAGTATGGGATGGCTGATTAACATCCTGAATTATTGTTGACGGTTTTCACGGAGATTAGATTCGTCGATGTGCAATTGATTTTTAAAACTATATAGAGCGGCTATGAAGACCGGCCAAGTCAAGGCGTTGTTAGAGGCGTCAGAGATCTTCTGTAAGCGCGCGCGACGATGTTCCTTCCCCATTCTCTGCGGGGGTAGGCGTTCGCATACATAACGAACTGCATTTCCTCCATAAACCGATGGAATGATTAAGTGCGATTTTGCGCCGATATATCGCCATAGTCGAGGCAAATTCCGAAAAGACGAATGTCTTCGTTATGAAATTGTCATTCTCAATCTCAATTGCAACATTACCTTGCAGCAACCAGATTAACCTGAGAATTCACATTCATATTGTACAAGGCGGTACGGATTGAGCGCGAACAGACCCTATATACAGTATCATTGTGACTATCCAACAGGATGTCAGAAGAACCTTGGACGGACGATGAAGAATACCCACTGGCCAGCGAAGATGGAGACAGCCCCCCTGGCGACGGCCTCATGCTCCAGGGTCCTCCCACTGGACTCGAAAAGATATACGACTACGAGCCCAACGGCCACCATCCACTCCATCTGGGCGACATTTTAAACAAAAGATACAAAATTCTCCATAAGCTTGGGAGCGGTGGTTATGCTAACGTATGGCTCTGCTGCGACGAAACCTACGATAGTAGGGCCAGTAGCGGACCACGCTACCTCGCCGTGAAAGTCATCATGGCAGCCGCGTCTAAATCGAGCTGCTCTGAGCTGCGAGTTAATAAACTTATCGCTATGGGGATTGCAGAAGATGTTGCTGCAGAGCTCTTTTGTATTCCGTTGGACCAGTTCAGCATCGACGGGCCAAACGGCACACACCTGGCGTTTGTGTATCCATTGCTTGGTCCTCGGGTATCGAGATTATTCAACAAGGCCGAAGATGAGGATTTCGAACACACTTTGAGGAAACTTGCAGCTCAAGTCACTCGCGGGATGAGTGCTCTCCATGCTCGTGGAATCTGTCACGGAGGTATGAATATTTCCTCTCTTTATCCCCGACTTCCTCATCTACTTCCTCGGTTTTCTCTCGCATATTTCCCAAGTTCAAACTCAGCTCACCACAAAGCAATCATCTCTCAGACTTCCGACCTGCCAACATCTTGACACGGATCCAAAACCTCGACCATCTCAGCGAAGCAGAACTTTTCGACCTGATAGGAATCCCAGAAAAAACCAACGTAACTACTGCTTCAAACACACCGCATACCCTCCCGTCGGCCCCACAATACCTGGTATATCCCATAATCTGGGAAGACATCGCTCAAAGTTCCACCGCCGAGCCTATCATCACCGACAAAGCATGCATAATAGACTTTGGCAACTCTTACATGGTGGACGACCCCCCTCCCCATCTCGGCATCCCCCAGATCTACTGCGCCCCCGAATACACGATTGAGAAGAAGATCGGGATAGGAAGCGATCTATGGGCACTAGGCTGCACTATCTTCGAAATCCGCACTGGGCGACGCCTCTTCGACACCTTTGACGACGACCCAGACGAAAACCTATGGAAGATCGCAATGATACTGGGACGATATCCAGAGCCCTGGTGGTCCGAAACGTGGACGGCGCGACGCAGTATATTTTTTGATGATGTGGATGAGGAGGGGAAGGTTGTTGATGTTTTAGCTGCTAAGCAGGGGGAGGAGGAGAAAGATGCCAACGTGTGGCAGAAACCTTGGGCGAGGTCGCTGCAAGAAGAGATCAAGGAGGGATTGGTGTACATGTTTCGGGATAGACCTGGGGGAGTTGAAAGGGGGATTTCGGGCAGCGAGGTTGAGTGTTTGGCGGATTTGTTGGGCCGTTTGCTGAGGTATGTTCCTGCTGAGCGAGTGGGTGCTGAAGAGGCTCTGAAGCATGCTTGGTTTGAGTTGTGAAGATATTATTTCACGATGGTCTATGTAAAAACGTAAGATCTATGTAGAAATTTCGACCGCCTCTCACTCCCTCTACATCATTCTGGTCGTTTATGCGTTTTCTCTCTCATTCTTCTATGATTATATAACACATTGAAGAATAGTCGAGTCCAAACTCTGAAGTGAGATTAAATCACTTTAGCATTTGGTATACCTACATGTCTTTCTCTATTCTATTTTGCCTGCTGGGTCTGCAATATCGTCCTTTCCTTCTTAGAGAGCAACGATCGTGAGATCATGATCTGCTACCAAGGGCACGGGCAAAGCATTAGAGAAGCGGCATGCAACCATATACCTTTCTCAGTTGTTCCCATGAGATATTATCCCCATAAATGAGCTTCACAACCCTCTTAGAAGCCCATAGGCTCCCCTTCGGTGGAGCCATGTACTGACGATGCATGACTTCAGCGCTTTCGGAGGCCATGTAGGTGGATAGTCGGGTAAGATGCTGACTCTGTTCCATATTCTCTTGCTGCTCATCTAAAGGTGTTGATTTTCCTACCCCTTTAGATATCTCATTCTCCATTTCCTTTAAGAACTGTATCACAAGCGTCTTAAAGTCCACGATTGGTTGATTTTTCTCCTGAGATAGCCCAGGGAAAATGACTAGTTCAGGACATACGGACAATTGTTCGAGTGGAGCTGCCTGTGCGTTGCTCCAATCAATCACTCCAGTCAGATTGTATTCATCATCGAATAGAAGATTGCCAAAATGTAGGTCAAGATGACATAGCGGGAAGGGACCTCGGACTCTATCTTCGATGACAGTGTGGGCTAGAGCTATTTTCAGCACCCAACAGGCCGTAAGCCAATCTGAATCATCTGGGTGCAAGTCGACGATTTCTCTGTTTTCGCCCTGTCTTTGATTGAAGAAATACTCAAGCGATGTTTCTAGAGGACCGGGCGAATGATGCCACTCCATGGGTATTATTTCGACCGGCTGATCCGCGGTCTCTCCAAACCAAAGTCGGCCAATGCGGCTAAATGTAAGGGCTTGGAGTTCTGCAAATACATTTGCTAACTATTTGGCTGCTTTGGGGTGATACTGTTGAGGTATCGAGCTTGCCAACCCATTATCAAGTTGACGACCACCGAGGCACTCCATCAAAATATATGGGTATCCAAAGGGCTGTTCTGCAGATATCTCGAATCCAAAAATGCGAGGTATGGGTATACTTGTACGTTGGCGAACGATGTTCATGGTGGCTATCTCGCTCAGCAAAGAGGTCTTGGTGCTGTCGTCGACAGTGCGATAGGGGATCCGAGCAATCCAATATGCGTTGTCAGAAAACGAGAGCTCAAGAACCAGGTTATCAAATCCCGTGGCGAACTGGGTCAGGTTTATGTGGCAGTCGATATCAGGAGACAGGTCTACTTGCTGTCTGCGCCGCGCGTCCAACGCGCACGTCTTCAAATGCTCAAAGTTTGCTGAAGACAATATGATCTTGATTCGCTCATACTTTTCCGACCTCGGGCTGAGACTTGCGAAGCCCGGCCAATCTTCACTTGGTTTTGCCATTGTGTTAGATGCGGTCTATGTGCTCGATATTGGTAGCATTTATACAAAGACTAGCGCTGGAAAAAGAAATCTTGGGAAGGGAAGATGCTCAATCCCCTAATACCAGGCACACCGTGGTGGAACAGTTACACGTCTGGGGGAAGCCAAGCAGAAGACAGCAGGCGAGGCGCGTCAGGTCGGTTTACAGCCTGGGTGAGGCAGAATAGTGGTGGGTTTATATCTATCGAGGCAGGCTGAGACGCCATACCGGATCGAGACTCGGTCAATGTGGGCACGTGGGGTCGGTTGGGAAAATCCGTCTGAGCTCGCTGAGAGGCCAACATCATCATTTCTTCTATCTACACCTACAGCAGCAACTCTTAACTCAGATTCGCCGGCACCATCTCCTTGACTTGGCTCGTGCAGCCCCGTATGTCATTTATATGACTTAGGCCGTCGCGATCAATGAGATCTGGCATAACACAGTACGAAAAGCATAGCGGTCAGTCCGGAGACTCGAGGCCCAATATGTCACTTCTTCAACTTCCCACCGAAATTCTACTGCAGATCTTCGTTTACGTTGGATCATCGTATATTCTCTCCGATTTATCACGCCTCACGGTCTGTAGGCAGTGGTACGAAGTTGCCCGTATCGCGTGCTTCCAAGAAGTCACCATTACTCAGGAGACAGTCCATCGCTTGATGTCTTCTCCCTATGCGGAATCAAATCTAGCCCTCGTCAAAGACTGCACTAAAACCCTGAACCTGGATATATTTGGCCATGGAGACTGGAGTTCTATGTTCTTATACAGTCAGACGAACGCAGAACTACAGCAAACCAGAACCGGGCGTCCCCCATCTTGGAATCCCGAATTGGGCGAAGCCTGCATCACAGGACTCAATAACCATCTCCTTCACCTCGCCAACGTAATGAAACAATCACGGAAACTGCGTATCCTAAGCATTGAAACTCTCTTTCACCTTCATGGGCTATCACCGATAAGATTCACTCCCTACCTTCGCTTTTCCACAATCCACGCCTTCTTATCAACCACCAACCTGACTAGCCTAAATCTAGATCTATGCGCTGCTGAACTTCTACCGCAACCTAGCAGCGATCATCATATTTGTACGACCATCGCCGCGCTCCTGGGGACGCTACGATACCTGCGTCTGCGCATGCGCAGTATATGCCCCGAAGTCCTAAAACCCCAACACCATATCACCAAACTCCATCTGAACGAGGTCATCATCAACCTCAATCTATTCTGCAAGTTACCTCTAATCGGCGTGCCATACAATTCCGATTGCTGCGCTTCCTTCTCAGGCGACTACCTTGCACGGAACGCGGGTCTGGAGAAACAGGCCCAACTTCTTGCAGCACAGACCGCGAATCCCAGGATCATAAGGATACTGGCCCTTTCGTCCCTGCGTACGCCCCCACTCATCGAATTGCAAGTTTTTGATGCCCTGACTGGCAGATATATCTCATCGCGTGAGGAACCGGATGAAATATTCAACTCATTTAAAATTGAATATTCTGATGCTGTTCGCGAGTTGAAGTGAATCAAGTGGGATGTAAGGTATAAGCATCAGTAGTAGGTAAAAAGCATTGTAGTAACAGGAAATGTCATGAATGTGGTTTCATTTCTATTCTACATGACGTCCTTGTCGTTCATAAGACATATACTATCCGCCGTCCCAAAGAGTCGGGAAAGTGGGCAACAAGATAGGAAACTCGTGGTATCATCCAAAGAACTTTGACTACATAAAAAAAAAAGGGGGAACGCTAATCAATGGTCGTGAGATGCAAGAGCCGTTTTGTGGTTGTTTTGTTTTGAAAAAAAAAAGAGATGAGATGAGATGAGGACAAGGAAAAAGGGTCTCAACCACTCGATAAACTTCACCCCGCGAAGTGTAGAGCTGCAGCAGTGCCCGCACGCATGCATCGGTAGCTCCAGCCGACGACACAGAGAGTCGTTGATGGAGATGTTGGGAAAAGTGGTGGTTTGATGGCGACATGTGTGAGGTGGAGCCAATCGGAGAGACCTTTGAGAAGGAGGGCCGGCCGCCGAAGCGCCAGTATCGGCTTGCTGCGGCGCTAGAGATGCAAGATGCAAGACGCAGGAGATAGGGTGGAGAGAACTGCCGTGGACTTGCATCCGATAGCCCACGACGCGTTTCTTTTGAGGGGTCCGGTGAAGAGGGGGAGATTGGAGGCGCGGAAAGGGTGGAATCTCGGGCAGGATCTCGAACTACACGACCAATCGCTCGTATGGAGATGAATGCAGACTACGTCTTTCGGAAGATAATAGGCGCCGAGCATGTTGACAGATGGACCGAAAGTGAGGGGTAGCATATGTGTAGTAGGCGCATACAAGTCGACGTTATTGTGGGGTAGCCAGTTGAAGTTACTCAACCAGCGCCACCGCAGTGCTTGATTGCGTGGTTTGAATCATGCCAACGAAGTGACAGGTAGGCCGCTGGCCATTCTGAACAGCTCAAAGGCCAGCCCGGGGGTTTCTCTCACCGCCATCTCGACATCCTTGCGGAGGGAGAGGGCGGGGTTGGTGCGGAAGGCCTGGATGACGATGTTACGCAGGCCTCGGTCCGTGTCAACGGTGGATTCGTAGGCTTCCTGGCATGCTTCGGGCAACTCGTCGCTGTCAAGGTGAAGCTCGATTTGCTGGGCGAACTTCTTCTGGGCCAGTGATTTCAGCCCTGTGACACCATATCTGTTGAAAGGGGGGGCGAATGTTAGTTTCGGATTCCGAATGGTTTTATGGGGACGGAGAAGTGGAGGTGAGATGGTTTCAAGCCAGGTAAAAAGCAAAACATGTTTCTAGGGAGAATGGATGACGGAGGAGGTGGACAGATTGAAGGGGCAAGGGTGGCGGGAAGCTACTGCAATGGGGGGTTGAACGATTGGCGTAGATCGCGGTGTCGGCGGTTTGTGGCTGCCGTGCAAGCGACGCATACGCAACCTAAAGTGCAGAAGGCTGCATGGAGCTTCGACGTTGGGATGCGGGCATGACGCGTAACAGATGCAAATGTCGGGGGTTCAGGGCAAAAAGAAAAGGAGGGGGGACGCTGTGAAACAGGCAAGCTGGGTCACTTACTTCTCGGCTATCGCATAGACTTTGGCGTGTGTGATGAGATGGGGCTTCTCCGCGTCCACCTCGGGCTTGGTTGGGGCCAGATCGAATGGGTCTTCCGCGAGCTGATCCGCCATGGGGGAATCGGGCATCTTGGAGGCATCCATGTGGAAGAAGTCGGTACTTTCGGCGTGCTGATCCGCCGGGGGTGTCAGAGGGTCTGACGTACCGACTGCGGACCCCATCATGGCAATGAGCGGATCTTCAATCATGGCCAGACTGAGCTTCTTTGGCGTCGAGCGACGCGTACTGTGCGGCGACGTCAATGAACCAGACCGGGCAGATCGCTGCGACGACCGACGCGATAAGGGTTTGCTAGTTAGGTAGTCGAGATGGTAAAAATCTAATCAATGTCAGGGTCCATTAGCGCTGCCTGCAGCTTCAAGGGGGCGGCGGTACTGGAGAACTTACAGTTGACCATGTACTCGACCGCTTCGGGGTCGTCTTCGCTGAGGTCGATGATGCCCGTCTGGGCCTCTTGGAAGGGGTTTCGGCAGGCTCCGTCGAAGAAGCTTGATCGTGAAGCCAGGAGAGCGCGGTGCACTGGGTAGCTTTTGTTTCCGCAGGCAATTGTCAGATCTGAATATTTGCCGGATTCAAACAATCTGGGACAGCTACTTAGCGATTGATGGGAATGGATTGGAGTTTGCACATACGAGGACAGCGCAGACAGGAGTTCGACCATGGGTGAATCCATTGTGGAGAAATCCGACATGACTTCAACTCGAGCTTGGAGGAGAGACGCAGCAGGGAGGGATGATGGGGACAGGAGGTATAGCGAGAACAATGGTTGGTTTTGAGATTCGAGAAGGGGGGAGAGGTGGATGATATATGGACGGCCAGGTGACTGAAAGCTGAGGAGGGGAGAAGTAGAGAAGATGTGTTGTTTATATGGGTGTGTTTCAGCTGATGCCGGAGAAGGTGGAAATATGGTAGCAGGGTCGCGGACTTGTGTTTGTATTTGTAGATTCTGCCTGCGTGACCAGTGAACATTTCAAAGAGGCGTCTCTGCGTCGGTCGGGCTAGAGCTTCTAGACTACAGATACGCTTGTGAATCGCGACGAGGCGCGGGGCTGGCGCACAAGATTGCCACAAGGCAGCCTGGATGGTCCAGGGCGCCAAGCCGACGCGCAACTGGGAGGGAGGGATGATGCATCCATGAATCCATCAGTGGCATGAATGGACGAGACGGGGTGGGTGGGATGTGTAGCGCGCTGTACTGGCACATGTTGGAGGTGCGGGCGGCGCCCTTGACAGCTCTCCCACCGACCTCACTAACTCGTTGGGGTCCTCTGACGCGAGACATTGGCGGAACGGAATTCCTGCATCGCCATGGCCTGGCACGCACTGGGTCTGACCAGCGAGCAATCGTGGTCAAAGAAACCCAACCCACCAACTCTCCACGTTACGCTGAGGGTCAGTCTCTGCAGGGCGACTAACGACTGGTCGAGCCCGCAAGCTTGCGAGGTCATTTTACGCATTCTGCCCAAACTCTAAATCGTCGGCGAATGCAGAATGCCGTCCGCCGTGGTGGAGAAGGAGGCGGGAAGCTTCAAACTGGCAGAAGAAAGAAAAAATCGATTAGTTCCCCTCTCGTTGTTGGGGAGCGGAGTACGTGTGTGTCAGTGTGTTGTGAATGTGAGTATGCGTATGCACACATATGCGGGTGCGCGGCAGAGGCATGGCAACGGGCACCAGTGTATCACCACGGAAGGATAGGCGAATGCTTCCCTCTGGTACACAGCAACAACGACGATGATCAGGCTTCATGTCATGCCACTTGGCGTGACCTGCCCTCTTCTTACGCGGCCAACAGCGGACGCGACGAAGGGAACGACAGGGCCGGCCCTTTCTCGGTCGTCGAAGATACACGAGCAGTATGACGATATGGCTGGCTGTCGACCCCTCTCGTTACGAATGATGAGCTTTGTTGGAGACTGACGAGTTCACCATCGCATCGATGGTACAGCACAAGACGTAGTCGGTGGTGAGTAGGTACTTGCCGGTAGTTGGAGCAGCTAGCCCGGCGAGAACACGAGGCAGAAGTGTTTCACACCGGCCATCACGTATGAATGATGGACAAAGAAACAGAGGAGATCCATGGTTCGACGATGCAGACTATATTAGCAAAGAAAAGAAAAAAAAGGGGTCAGTAGCCGTTTAGGAAACTGGAAAAATTGAAGACTGACAACTCGACATCTGGAACCCAGCGACGCCTCCCGCTCGCTACTCACGTGAAGCCTGCTGCAGCTTATGCCAGAACATGACGGGGGCATGATGGTTTACCCGCGACTACTGCAGTGTCGGTGTTTTGCCGTGGCAACTATCCACACAGATATGCGGCCAATCCTACATGGCGATGTGAGATTTTGCATGTTGTTGGCGCGAAGCCATCGTTGGACATTCAAAACTCCAGATGTCGAATTGATCGATGACGAAGGTCACATGACGCAAACCCAGACCAACATCAATCGTCCGACAAGCAACTCAAAAGATGTCATAGCCCACCTGACGTCACAGTGGTATGTGATATATACCCTCATGCCTCAAGTGCTACTATCCGTATGTGCCCCTTGATGACAGCACACGTAATCAGCTGCAGGAGTGGACGGATGGGGGAGGATGTATCAGCCACGCGGGGGCATCTGGGTACAATCAAAAGCCATTGATGTGCTTGCTTTGTTGTGGGGGGATGTAACAATCCAAGATAAGCAATCATGGATTGGATCGAGACAGGTGGATGGAAGCTTGTTTTCCTGAGACACGGGGCTGCGGGGTGGCGGAGAAGAAGGGGGAAGAGACAATCGGGATGCCGATACCTACATATGTAGAATTGATAAGCGTGTGGATGGATACACAAATCCACGGCAGTTGAAAGGCCAACCGATGTACCTTTGAAATTGAGCGGGCAGCGTTTGCAGCCAATTGATGTGCATATGTGCAAATATTGAATGTTGGTAGACAGGACATATGTATGCAATGCACCGTACACATGGGCGTAAGTGAGTGTGTATATATACCTAGGTACATTACATAAACAATAACTATTCAAGTCAACTAATGTCTTTTCTCTACATACAATCCTCGAAGAAACAAAAACTCCAAAGATTAGGTGATTTGTCTTGCTGTTGCAACATTGATATGCTCTCCAGTGCTGTGTGTACAGACGTAGGTATACCAGCTGTGTCATATGCATAATATCATCGTGTATTGATCGCATTGAATAAATCTACTGGATGGAATGGTTCAAAGGGAGACGAGATGAATAGGTACTTAAGTAGGTACCTACATGTAGGTACATATACACATACATATGTATGTACTTAAGTACCTAGGTATGTACGTGTGTAGGTACATATGTACTTCTGTAGTCAGCCAGCCAACCAGGTAAGAGTAAGCGAGACCGGGGGTGGTCGGTGACGCAGCCACCTGCCTCCGACGCGAACCTCTCTCTCACCACCTCATAGGTAGGTGCATTCCCCCACCTTTTGCCTTACATAAGGCCTTGGTTACTTACTTACTTACACAACCTACGCACATAAACTTAGTTACGTGTACTGCATGTAGGGAGCTGTACGCTATACCTATACACAGCATTCTCTATCATCTTATCCATCGTTTGCAAACGCCTTCCCGCTCTTCCCCGCGCCCACAAGGAGCTTTACACATACAGCTGGCTGATTGGGGCGACACGACATCCCCCCACCCTCAACTCCCTCCCTCTCCCTCTTCCTCCCCGCAGCTTCGTTCACCATGGCCGAATACAAGCTGTCGGCTTCCCTTCGTGGCCACGAAGACGACGTACGTTACATCCCTTCCCTCCCTCTCTCTCCCCATACTGTGACCGGCTACCATTCCGCCCTCAACATTACTAATCCTCAACCATCAATTGTACAGGTCCGCAGCGTCATCTTCCCTAGTCCATCCACCGTTGCCTCGGCCTCTCGTGATTCCACCGTAAGGGTCTGGTCTCTCCAGTCATCCAACCCTCCCAACTTCGACAGCGCCATAAAGGTACACGGCACCGCATTCGTCAATGCTCTGACCGTAGTACCCCCAACAGCCGACTTCCCTCAAGGCCTCATTGTCTCTGGCGGCAAAGACCAGATCATAGATGTGCGCCAGCCTACGAAAGCCCTGGGTGAGGATGCCGATGCCCTGTTGATTGGCCATGGAAACAACATCTGCGCTCTGGATGCTAGTCAAGACGGGAAGCTGATAATCAGCGGTGGTTGGGACATGGAAGCCAGAATCTGGACGGTGGGCAAGTGGGGAGATTCTACGCTGCTGAAGGGTCACCAAGGTTCCGTGTGGGCCGTTCTTGCATACGACGCATCCTCCATAATAACGGGTACTTCGCTCTTTCTCTTGCCTGATTTTCTTTCTTCTTCACCCCACCACTTTTGGCCACTCTAACCGTATACCGCTACAGGTTGCGCTGACAAAGAAATCCGCATCTTCTCACCCACGGGCCAGCTCACCAAATCCATAAAAACTGGCGACGTTGTGCGAGCACTATGCAGACTCCCTGCCAATCATCCCTCGGGAGCACAGTTCGCTTCGGCAGGCAATGATGCCATTATACGCTTATGGACCCTGGACGGTCGTCAAGTTCACGAACTGCAAGGGCACGAGAATTTCATCTACTCCCTCGCTGCGTCTCCGGATGGACGTTTGGTCAGCTGTGGAGAGGACAGGACAGCAAGGATATGGGAAAACCAGCAATGTATCCAGACCATAACCCACCCCGCCATTTCGGTGTGGACTGTTGCGATTTGTCCCGAAAATGGCGACATCGTCACAGGTGCAAGTGACAAGATCGTGCGCGTATTCTCGCGGGATCCTGCGCGCCACGCCGCCCCTGCAGCTATCGCACAGTTCTCTGATGATATCAAAGAATCGTCGATACCACAGCAACAAATAGGGGGCATCAACAAAGAACAATTGCCTGGTCCGGAGTTCCTCACCCAAAAGTCGGGTACCAAGGAAGGCCAGACTCAGCTGATCCGCGAGGCCAACGGTAATGTTTCGGCGTACCAGTGGTCCACGGCAGCAAGCGAGTGGGTGAGCATAGGCACCGTTGTGGACCAGGCCGGCAGCAGCGGTCGCAAGATCTCACACAACGGCAAAGATTACGATTATGTCTTCGATGTCGACATTGAGGAAGGGAAACCTCCACTCAAGCTGCCATATAACCTGTCGCAAAACCCCTACGAAGTCGCGCGAAAGTTCTGTGAAGACTACAAGTTACCACTCACTTACTTGGATCAAGTTACCAATTTCATTGTCCAAAACACTCAAGGGCAGACCTTGGGACAATCAGCTCCTGCTCAAGGTGTGGATCCATGGGGTTCCGAGTCACGCTATCGTCCAGGGGATGCAGCTCCTGAGACTCCCGCCCAACCGCCTGCGTCAAGACCCAAAATCCTTCCGCAAAAGGGTTATCTGGATATTCTAACCGCAAACCACTTGCCCATTTTCAAGAAATTGCAAGAGTACAACGAGGCGCTCGTGAAAGAGGGTCGCAAAGACGTCTCGTTGAACCCATCAGACATTGAACACTTGAAACAGGCTGTAGACCGCCTACAAAAGGGCAATGAAAGTGTTCCGCCCGATGCGGTAGATCTAATTCTCAAGGCCGCTACAGAGTGGCCGGCCGACAAGCGTCTTCCGGCTTTGGATCTTCTCCGCCTGCTATTCGCGGATCAATACAACACAGCCTTTTTGTTGAAGGAGCGTGATCTCCTCCAGCGGCTAGGAAATTCCGGTGCATTCGAGGCTGATTCACCGCCAAACAACACCATGATGGCGGTTCGGGCCATTGACAACTTCTTCAAGACTGAGGTCGGCCGGGCTGTTGCTGATGACGAGTTCGATCAGATACTTGGTTTCGTCAAACCCTTTCTTGCGTCTCCGAATCGGAACCTTGTCATCGCTGTGACCACGTTATACATCAACTACTCTGTTTTCCTAACAGAGCAGGGCAATGCCGACCGAACGTTGCACTTGTTGGACGACCTCAACAATATTTTGCTCTCAGCGAAAGATTCAGAGGCTGTTTATCGCGCGCTAGTTGCTACTGGAACGTTGCTCAGCCTGGGCAGTGATTTCTGTGAAGCTGGTCGGGATATTCTTCGGCTTGGCACTGCCATCACCACCGCCGAAAGCAGAGTCAAGGAGCCCCGCATCAAAAACGTGGTAGCGGAGATTCGCGAAAAACTCGAGGCGTGATTGATAGAACAAGGGACAGAGTGATTTTCTATAGCGTCATGCGACTAGCGATCAGCTTCAGCAGTATTCTAGCGACGAAAGAACACGAGTAGCAGCGACAGATCATGGCTGTATTATATATTTCCTTATTAGCATAGCATGGTTTCAATCTACCAGTTTCACACTCTCCCTGGAGATTGGGGGAAAGCCGAGTTATTGCCACTTCATTCATTCGTGCGATTTTCTGTGCGTAACGTCTAATTCGCCATTGTGTACTCGGTTCATTGAATCTATCCGATCACTTATCCGTGTTTGTGGATGTAACCTATCAATTCTCGAAGGTGTGAAGAGTAACAGGGTAGATAATAAAGCAGAGAACAACAGCAATAAGGTGTGCACCTCGCACTCCATAACCTACCTAGGTGCTCACGAACCACAGTAGTGAATTATCGCATTTCTATGCGGCACAAACACTTGGTATCATAAAACATGGTAAATCTGCCTTCGAGCTCCAGGCAGGAATACTCTACTCACTGAAAAGCAAGAATATTGATTCTTTTTACAGAAAGGACAAGAGCAGGAAAGAAATGCACTATAGGAAAAATGCACGAATGGCCTTTACTGATTTGTAGTAGCATTATCTTAGTCCATTAATTCCTCGCAGTGCTGCTTGTCGATGGTTGACGTCAGGACTTTGAATAATTTACCCACCCACCCTTTGTTTTTGGTGTCTTTCCCATGCAATTTGTTTGTATTGTACAGGTGCAGTCAGCAAGTTTGAATGAATAATTTACTCATGTCATGTTGACTGCTACATTGCTCGCTATTCCTCTCTTTTTTTGTGGGGAGGAAGCGCGAGTGCCATGTGGATATGTGACGACACCTGGAAAATGATGGATATTTTGTCAATGGGCTGGCTGGGATATGATAATTGTTTTTACCTACTTACTTCTCTCTCGGTTGAGGTCTGCAATTCTCCATCGACTTTTTCGAAATATTATTGTTTTACAATTGAGGAATCTGTGTTTAAGAGCAACAAAGGATAGAACGACGTACGCGGACAGCGATTCATCTGCGCAACATCTCATTGAGAAGAGGATAGGAAAATCATTCATCTAAACGGTTTCTACTACGATCAATCGCACGCACGTACGTATACTTTGCGCGAAGCCCGCATAGGACGACAAACAAATAAATTAATCTAAGAATCAAACGACAGAGAGAAGAGACAGGACTCACAGAAACAAAGAACAGCATGTCCGGCAAGAACCAACAAGGCGGCATGGACGTGACGCAGAAGAACGGCAAGTCAATCCCTCAATGAATTCACTTCCCCATCTCACCCATCCTCCTCCAACTCGAACCAAAACATGTATCCCCCTAACAACACACACAGTCCTCCAAGCCCCCCTCCACAAACACACAGCTTCGGGCTACTGCAACCCCAGCACACCAATTGCCGCTCTCTTAACCCCATCCTTCCTATCCTTCGCCTCCTCGCAATCCATTTCTCTCCCTGCTTCCCTGAAAGCGGGAGATCGGACGTGTCTGTCTACCAGGACATGGAAGTCCGCTACCGACAAGTTAGAAAGAGGGGGTGACGAAGGTGGAGTGCCGCGCGTGAAGCTTGAAGGAACACATGTCGCTGCTTTGGAGAATGTGGATTTGGGTGTGTTGAAGAGGTGGAGTGCGGGCGCGGATGTGGATAGTGGGGCTGAGTGGGGTGGAGATAAAAAGGGCGGGTTTGCGAGGGATAGTGGGGAGATTGGGGGGAAGGAACCTAGAGCTTGAGGAGGGTTATGGTGTTGTGGGATGTACGGTGTGTGAGGGGAGAGAGTGTATATGATATGCCTGTAATCTGGGCTTGCGAATGGTCTGAAACTTGTGAAGTGGACGACGAGGAGAAGGAAGTTCTAATAGTGTTTTGGGCATTTAATAGGGTGGGTGGTTGGGGAGTGCAGTTTTTGGGAGTGCGTCCACCGTGGCCATCCTCACCAAATAATATCTGCAATGCAAGTCGAAAAATCACAAAAATATGGACAGAATTTTCCAAGTCCTGTTTTCATTATCGTTCATTCATATAGTTTTCATGGCCTCGGGTGATATACTATATCGTTGACGTTAATCGCCCGCTTCGACATCCTGATCTCATGAACTACAGCCAGTGTAGCAAACTGCGTGACACCATAACTGAAACACAAGGCTTTCTCGCCCTCAAAAGGTATTATTGCCGGTATACCACATTTCACGACTTAGTCACTAATGGACTACCGGGTGAGGATCGTGAGTAGTAAGCTCACGCGCTGCTGAGACGCTGAACGAAGAGTCTCTATCAATGCATTAGCGGAACGAGTCATATTCCCACGAAGAAGAAAAGAGATGTCTTTATTGAATCACTCACATGAGCATGTAAAAGGCGGAGTGATGCATAACTGTCCATTGCAGCAAAAGAAGTTGGGTCCCAAACACGATTCACCGCTCTACAGATGAAAGGAATTGTCAGTAATTGTCTTGATTCATAGATGATTCGACACTTGAGAATGGTTTTACGCCATGGATAACGATTATATCTGATACAGGGGAATGTACAGATCATAATCGTTTGAAGTGAGTGGATAACTTACGGCTGCACATTGACGGGCCTGGAGGGTTCGCGTGGGTGTGAGGCCGAGTGATTGGGGAGGGGTCGGAGCTGCTAGAGTGATCGCAGAGGCTGATAGCATGATCATGGCTGTGACTAGCTTCATTTTCGTGGAATGCAGTAGTGTATAATATGTTTTAAAGTGGTTCGTGGGGTTGTACATATATCCTAGTTAGTACAATAGAGGCAGACAGCGGAGATTTTATACCGCATTCTGGAGACACCTGAGGTCATTATGAGAGCAGTCAAAAATCTACATGAGCGCTCGACGTCAGTTCCGAATCGCATAATTGTGATTAAGCCGTTACCTGTGCGCCGCACTGCTTGCGATGTGATGTTAACACTGCTTAGCCAATCCCTACTGGTCTGCGACTAGTATAAACTTTTGGTTTACTGCTTTGAAAGACTCAAGGTTTATAGGTAGGGGGAGAGTTCTCTGACAGAAGAACGTAAAATCTTATCTGCTACTTCTTATCGATGGACATGGAGATGTAGCTCCGCCCTTTTTATTTTTATATTTTTTAAACCAGATCGCAGTCTTGATGAATTTTGTTGATTTGAAAATGCAATATTATCATACGTGGATTCCGTTGATGATGAGCTTGATGAAGTCTAGCAGGCTTTAGATTCCCTGTGATCAGCATTGAAGAGATCAGTTTAGTGAGGCGGTGGTACAGGCATGGGAGGGTAAGAAAGTAGCCAATCCGATCATTGTCTATAGTGATGCGATGTCATTGGCCACGAGCGGGCCGAATTGCAGGTATTTATCTCTCGCCACTCTGCTATACTGTTCCGATGCTGTCCAATGACTATCTCTTGCAGGAATCCCCCTGTGGCATAAGGAAGGAAATGATAGAGAAAAGTTTCACACATCATCCATGGTGTTGCTTGGACTGATTCTGGAAGAGGAATGGTGCATAGTCCGACTCGACTCTGAGCTATTCAGGGTGATATTATAAAATTGCCGGTTCACAAAAATCCATTTTATTGCTGTTGTTTTCGAGTTTTCCTAACGTGCAAGAGTCTATATATTGATTTGTGATGTGCGCCTAGGATCACGGAGGATTGCGATTGTACATGCTTGGTTATCAGGTCCAAAACGTAAGCCAAGCCGGTTTTTTACTTCACAATCCGACGCGCAAAAACTTGGATACCCTTGCTGCGAGATATTGGCGATAGCATCATCCCGCTCGTCATGCGACTTGGAAATCAGGGTCCGGATCAATGGAAGAGCTTACAGAAATGCAGCGCGGCCATATTTATTGTGCGATTGTCTTGTCAAATACTAACGCACGACCATTCCCAACATCATCAGTACAAACGATATCTTGCAACGATACAAAAATAGGAATAGGCCCAAAGTGACGTTCAAAGAGTATTTCTAACCTCCGAGAACCAACGTTCCAGAACCGCCAATCTCGCCGTTAAGCCTCCACATCTTACGACAGCTAGCCTACAATCAGGGTCTCCCTTGCCCCACTACCCGGACCGATCCCTCAACACGTCAACCCGTTGGCTCCGATCTGCTACCATCTTGGAGTTGACCCGGTGATCGCCAAGATTGGGTTGTAGTCTCCGATAGATAAATAGAAGAAGAGAAGCGGGCGCGCGCCGTGAAATTTGGTTGGCAGTTTCTGTCTATTATTGAATACCGGAGTTAGGAGAGGCAAGAATATAAAGGTTCATCGGCGAAATACGACAAACTATCATTATCTGGCTTATGAAAAGAAGGATCTGGTTTCACTGGCAATTTAAGTCGCGTCTGCAGACTACGGGGATACGAACTCTCTAGGCGGCCCTAAAGGCAAACAAGAGTTTTGGAAAACTACTACATCGCCAACAACCTTGTCTAAATATCGAGGGGAAAGTCAAGAAAAGTTATATCATCAACACCCACGTAGCCTCAAAACAACATCGTATCAAAGAAGCACCAATCGGAAAGAATCAAAAGCAAGCAAAATGGTCATCCACGTTATCAAAACGACATACTACACAACATCCCCCGAGCCATCCTCCTACTCTTCTTACCGCTCTTCGCAACGTTCCATCTCTCCATCTTCTTCTACCACTGTCTCATCATCATCCGCATCTTCCAAATACTATAACCACCTCACCGAAAAGTCAGCCCCATCGGGAACCATCCACCTCACCCGCCACACCAGTCCACAAGACAGGATGACAGCGAAGACTTCGCCACCAGCTCCTCCACTACGCTCCGAAACTGGTTACGAAACGCGTCGCTACTGGGAGGCGGAGAGAAAATACTGGCCGGATGACGGGGAGGTGAGGAGAAAGGGAGAAGATCGCGGGTACGAGTATGTGAAGAAGCAAGTCCGATTCAAAGACGTGTAGGTGTCTGAACAGATCTTGAGGTGCGTGGACAATGAGGACCATCTAAGTTTGTGTCAGTCATGTACACGGAGTTGTAAAGCTGTATTGCACTTGGAGCTGGCTGTTATGGCGTTCGGTTTATAATGCGGGGATTTTCTGACTCACGGAGATCTTAATATTCTTAATGTATGTATCGGAGCTCTTGATGGAGGCAAGGGTGTGTCAAATGAATTTTTGCTTTCGCCAATCGATGTCGATCTTGGTGCCTCCTTCGCATGGAGGGATAGCGTTTGCGCACCCACTGTCGCGCCCCTTCTGAACGACTTCGGTTATTACCCGCTGAAAGTTTTCGTACTCGGGTATAAATGTCCAGTTCACATCTTCGAGATCTACGCTTTGATTGTGTTGGTGCTTATATTGCCCTGGTATCAATACCGACACCGGATCTGGGTGATGCCTGAATTCAGGCTTGATGTACCCCTCTGTAACTAGAAAGTCTAGTGTTTCATTCTTATCAAGCTTCTTTCCTTGACACGAATTGTAAAGTTCTACAATGGTAAGTTGCTCTAGTCCAGCCGCTTCTCTTTCGAAGCCAGACTGTGATAGTAGAGAGTGATAAGAACCGGGAACCTTTTTGAACACGAGTCAATAAATTAGCAGGATATGGTACCGCACTTCTCGGTACCTTGAAGTATGATTTGGCGTTGATGCAAGATTAGACCCTGATCAGATCCATGGGGTCTAGACAGCTTACCCTTAATACGGTATCCTCGATCGTCTTCGAGCAAAAGTCGACGATCAATTCTTGATCATCCCTGATTAGCTCTAGTATCATCACTGTCTTTTCAGATGTTGGTTTTCCGCCAGATATCTTCGGGCTACTCGCATGAGTGGTTTTCTGGTAGACCTCCTGCAATCTTGATCCTTCCTGGAAGAATGAAGAGAGTATGCTTGTCTGCACTAGCAGTACTAGCCACTTTCCCTCATGATCTTCGTCCGCCATTCGAATGCGACCAGCATATCGGGGCATGTAAAATGAACTCCTCGCTGCTCCTGACACAGTTAAGATAGGCGAATCGATATAATCCCCGAAGTCGCCACACTTTTCGAGAAGTAACTTGGTATATATGTCAAGTTTGGATGAATCAGGATAATGGTATCCTAATGTAAAGTGGAAAAAATACCATGCGATCGGTGCGCTCTTGAAAGGACTGAAATCTCTTCTCAGATGTGCTTCTTGGTAAAATTCCAGTAAGTCGATAACGAATTCTAATGTCTTTTCCTTTTCGCGGTTGCCTGTATTGTCCGATATATGTATCACCAGGCTATTTGCCATACTCAATCGTTGATCTTGAGGTAGCGACCTAAGCAAATGGTAAAATATCAGTAGAGTATAAGCTAGGGTCTTGCTGTATATCATTGGAGCTATCACGATACTGTCTTGCACCGCTACAAGCCTCAAGGTAGTAGTGTACTTTCTATGATAGAGAACTTACCGCATATAGTTAAGGACGTGCTTGCCAAATCCGTTCACCACGAGAGCAATGCTAAGCTTGATTACCCAAGCTAAATTATCGCGCTCGAGTGAGCTGATCCCCGGATCTATCCACGGGGGTGTTTGTGGGTGATCCCAGTTACACCTTCGTACGCGTATTGCAAGCAGAAGTTCAAAAAACGCCGAATACAAGACAGGATCTCGAATCTCTTGTCTAGCTGACCCTATATAACCTATGGCAAATTCGACTTCATGTAGGTTTCTACTGATCACTCCCTCACACAGCAAAGAGTTGACTTGCCGCAGAAAGTTCTCCCAAACGGATAACGTATTGTGGCTAAGAATACTGTGGCCTATGGCTGTGTCCAGGAGAAAGTCTTTCGCACTTCGGTGTATGAAACGGATATGAGTCCAATAGAAAAGCATGTATGATGCTTGCTTGTCATACTCGTGGGGCTGCGACGAGTGGTGGAGGTGTACAAGCCCAGCACATCTAGCTAACACCCGGGGCTGAAGACGAGAGCAGGCCTCGGTCAAGAAAGCTAGAGAAACGGGACTCCCTCCACCCAAAATGCTCTTTTGAATATTCAAGTCGGTTGCCAAGAAAATTTCTATGAGGTTGGGACCGACGAATGGCCGCGGATTGTCTCTCGTCAAGACATTCAGATAGAGTGCTGCCTCCGCACGATGAATAGACGTGTGAGACCCATTCTGTCGCTCCCACATCGCTTGATACATTTGATCAAGATCTGGCGGGAGGCTTTCCACTCTTTCGACAAGTGCAGGCCACGTTGGGAAGTTGTCCAGATCCGTGCGAATGTGTTCGACGACCAAACGAACCCACAAAAAGACACCCTGGGCACGCCGTATGATGTCTCCGGTCAGTTCTTGGAACTTTTCTTCTGGGATTTCGAATCCACAATCGAGCTGACCGAGACTGCTGGACACATAGGCACGGATATCGCGCGCGGTGAGATCATGAACCCGTAGATGGGGACATTGGCTAAGCTTCAACTCGAAGATGTGTTCTGGACGACTCGAGACGCAAATTTTGAAGTGCTCGAGAAGACTGATGCGATCTAGCCAGCTCATTAGGCTTCTAATTGTTGTTGGGTCGGAGCGGTCGATCTCGTCCAGTCCATCTACGAACACGCATATAGAGCGCGAAGAAATTTTGTCTAGAGAGATAAACAATTCGTTGAGCTCCTCGGATGACCAGTCGGTGAATTCACTTTTGGCTTCAAATACAATCTTGTTGCTTGTCATGGCGCGTCGACAGAGTTTTGCATCTTGGGCAAATGCTCCATGGAGTAAAGTACCCAGTACGCCAGCAAAGCTTCTCTGTTGGACGCTCCCGGCGCTCCAAATGAAAGCTGCAGTAAGTATTGGTTCTGAAGAGGTTTCATTGATGATGTCTCCTGTTCTTTCATCTTCAAGTAGAAACTTCATCAATGTGCTTTTTCCAGCCCCTGGCTTGCCGCTGATCCAGTAGATGCCTGCGCCATCTCGGAGCCATTTGCGGAAATTATTTTTCCCTTGAAAAGCGTAGTTGTCTTCGGTGGCAGTTCCTGACTCCTGGTATATCCACTGAAAAGTTTTGGTATGTGCCTACAATTTGGGGTACAGAGTCAGTGCAATCCAAGGAAGCATGTGTCAGAAAATTTCTAGCGTGATGAGGCGCCGCATCACGCCATGTCCACGTACCACTTGGATCGCGTTGCGCCTTTCGTTGAATTGTGGGAAACGGAAGCTCTGGAGGAATCGCTGATAAGCTGCGTCGCTGATGCGGTTTCGTTCCATGTCTACGATTAGAGCCTGGGTTTTCTGGGCATGATCTGTGGTATGGTCTCTTGTTGTTTGGGCTTCTTGTGTGACCAAAGTTTTGATATGTCCGGATTCGCGATCAACCAAATCTTCTACCCGAGTTGACCCATTGAGAATCTGAATATAAAAGTTCTGTAGGTCTTTGCCCAGCTCCGTCGTGCTCAGCTGCTGTTCCTTCAGAGTAGCTCTCAAGTTGATGAGCAGTTCCGTTTGCATAAGGCTTTGCAGCCTATCTAATTGACGGAAAAGCTTGTCCACATCGCCCTTTCGCTTCATCTGGTATGCAAGCGATTTTCCAAAACTGTGTAATTTTGATGCATTTTTGGAGGGCGTTAATTTTACGAGCTGCTCATCTAACGACTTTGCTACTGCGATAAGGTCTTCAGCAACCTGAACAAGCGCTGCATCGGTTGTTCCCGGCTGTAGTGATTGCTTCATGCTTGTAGTGGCTGTCATAAGAGACTGGCCGGCCGCTTTGACATCGGAGTCGGGTGGTTTGCCGTTACATAGTTGCCTGGTAAGTTTTATTGTCTCGGCTGAGAAGGAGATGACTTGCATGATATTGCATGCTAAAGAAAGTCCCGAAAGAGGATCCATTTCGGAAACTAATGATTGAAAGTCTGCTTTCCATACAGTTATTCAAGGACGAGCACGATGTAAAGACGATAGTCAATAGGTATGAAGTCGAAGCGCCGGAGAAGGGGTTTCTGTCAGCGTTATACGATGCAGGATTGACGAATCGAAGCAATGGGGCGGGTTTACGAAACAAATCTGCGCGTGACGTGTAAGCCTGACATTGGATGCTGTGCCCCATCCCTACATACAGATGTAGAGGCGCACCCCCAACTCCCCTGTAACGGTTTCAGAACAGTCGTTCATCGCTATAATTCCAGTTCGGGGAATTAGCAAGAGATTCCTGCCTGTTATTTCCCTTTCTGCATAAAATCACTCGTTCATGAACTTTGCAGTTGAGAGACTACCAACGCGAGTCCAGCATGACGGATTACATTACACATACAATACTTCAAACGCCTTAATCGCTTCAATCCGGACATCTCAAGAACATGCGTATACAACATTAGCAAAATTGAACTCGTTCCTCACTCTGCCATCCTCGTAACCCTTCCCCCATCACCACCCGCAGCACCCTCATCTAACGACTTCCCCATCGTCTCCTCCATCCAAAAGAAACAAACCACAACCGTCGCAAAAGTACACCCCCCAAACAAAAAGTACGCGCCGAAGCTACTTCTCTCCAGCAACATGGGCGTCGTCAGCGCGACCAAGAAATTCATGACCCAATTACTGCCATGGGCAAGACTGGTCGCGCTAGCGCGCGTACGCTGCGGCTGACTCTCGGCAACGTAGATCTTGATACCTACGGCCCACGAAATGGAGAAGACGACGGCGAAGAGGTAGATGGAAACAATGACGATCCAACGGCCTGCGCCTGAAGACTCGTGGACGGCGTTGCCGGCGTACAGACTGCCCATGAGGAACATGAGCAAGCTGATGCCGAGACCGCCGTAGATGATGCTTTGGCGGCGGCCCCAGCCGTCTGAGTAGATGAGCGCGGGGATGGTGACGGCGAAGATCACGATTGCGGAGACGCCTGAGGCGAGGAAGGAGGCGCTGGAGGAGGTTAGGCCTGCGCGTTGGAAGAGCATTGGGGCGTACTATGTTGAGTTAGCCAATATGTTTTTATTTAGATAACATTGAGGTGGGGGGAGAACTTACGTAGAGAATGCCGTCGATGCCGCTCATTTGCTGCATCCCCATGATGAAGATGCCTAGCAATGTTTTGAATCGTACGTCGGGTGCAAAGGCATCCAAAAAGCCCGGTTGATTTTTCTTCGGAGCAGGAGTAGAAGTCGTAGGAGGTGGAATCTCATCTTGCTGGGGGTTCTTCGATGTAAGCTCCACAGCGCTACCTGTAGTTAGATCTCCTGCTTCCAGCGTGATCTTCTCGCGGTCTGCGCTGTTCACTTCGAGAGTCTCCCACGCTTTTGTAGCCTCGGACGCTTTCCCGTGCAGAGTAAGCCACCTCGGAGACTCTGGAAGCCAGAAGAAGGCCGTGAAAGAAAACGAAAATGCCAACGCCGCCAGGATCGCAAAAGGCAGACGCCACGCCAGTGACGAGTCAAGCGTCCGCAATCCATAACAGATAAAGTACCCCAACATGAGACCCATGGTAGTCATCAGCTGCGGACTCGACGTAAGAGGTCCTCTCTGCCGCGGTGGCGCAATCTCGCATATATACCTGTGAAATATTAGTTCTCACCCCTCACATGGGAATTGGACTTGGAAAATGGCCAAACTCACACAACAAGTGCGCCCAAAAAGATCCCCTCTCCAACACCTTCAACAGCTCTCCCAGCAACAAACATACCCAAATGCACCGCAGCAGCTTGAATCGCTGCACCGAGCGCAAATACGAAGCCACCCAAGCTAATACACTTCGTCCTCCCCACTGCATCGGCGATTCGACCCGCAAAAAAGGATGAAGTAGCGGCAGTGACAAGGACGGACGAAACGATCAAGCCGTGAATAGCGGATGAAAAGGCGCCGAAGTTGGCGATATACTGCGGCATCACTGTCACGGGGCCAATGATGGATGTGTCCATTCTAGAAAATAGTTTAGTGGATAGAGATGGTGGTGAAGGCCGATGGGGTGTAAAGCGTACCCGAATATGAAGCCTCCGAAGGAGCAGAGTATACTGGCCGTCACGTATCGCGGTGGCCATTGTAATTTCGCAGGGAGATTCATGGTTGTTGTTGTCAAGTCTGGCGCCGGTATAGGTGTAATCTTGACAGTACAAGAGCAAGAGCACGAAGCTGAGTTTCTGGACACCAATTCAACGCCTATCGTCTACTATTTGGAAATTGTGCTGGAGATTATCGAAGGTGATATATACCCGCCCACCAAGCTTATGATAAGAAAAATGAAAATAAAATGGAGTAGGTGACTGATTCGGACCGAGACTAGACTTTGTGTAGAACAAACAAGAAAGCTCAATATTGTGGGGATTGCACAAGAATATATTGTGGGGGAGGGCAAGCAGAAGCTAACCATAATCTTACTTGCATCCACCTAAACAATCACCAAACGCCTAATGACGACAATGATGGAGTGCTACGATGTAAGAAATCTGTACTATTATAAATCAACACGTCGGAAGTATCGTTGATAGCTAAAGAGAATGAATTGACTTGTTGATTATTGGCGTCATGTTCGACGGATAGCTACCCAAATCATCGATAGCTCACGATCATTTTGGCTTGGTGGGTCAGAGGAGGGCTTCCAAAAGCGGTAATTTACACGCGTGCAGCGTATACAATCCCCCCCGCGTATGTGGGGTGCTAGGTCAACTCATGGCGGAGCGAAAGAAATGCAAGATGACTCCAATGCTGCATGTTTCCGTAGATTATATAAACGCCGCGATTCAAACTCGACGCGTAGCAATTGTACTTTGCGGAATTGTCAGCATGATATCATCGCGGAGATAAAAAGTATGCTTTGCAGGGTGGTTTTGGGGTGGTCGTGCGTCATAAGATTCACGTATCAACCGCATAGAATTCAAATGTACTAGGGATTTAGGATCAATACACCCCCTTCCATCACCATCGCCAAGCTGTCATCTGATGCTAAAGGGAATGGGTATTGGAAACATCATGATACAGAGTGGTAGAGTTTCTGTCGAATGCACTGCCAAGGCACACTTATCACTCAAACATCCCACCCAACCCTCTGCCCTCACTTTCTCGCGCCGACAAACCCCCTCTCATAGCCGACCACTCATCCAATAGGACCTGGATCTCTCTCCTGGCGTCCTCGATAATACCGTCCATTTTGATGTCATTCTTGTCATAGCCAAAGGGGTCTTCTAGCTGCTGACCGATACCTTCGATGCCGTACAGTGTGAAAGAAACGATAGCCACGATAGGGATGGAGTACCAGCCATAATCATCCACAACACCAAGCGGCAGAAATATCAGGAAGAGTGCTAGGACTTGTTTCTGGTGGATTCTGAGGTTTGCCACGTTAGAGCGATTTTACGGATAACGAACAGGTTCGGGGAGACAAGAGGACTCACAGGTGGGCAACGGGGATGGGCGTCGAGCGAATAGTTTCCATACGTCCGTATGCGTCGACCAGCGAGTTTACCTGGACGGTCATCTGGGAGGCTAGAGGAGCGTGGAACCAGCCTCTGTCGAAGCCGCGTCGAACATAACCTTCTACCAGAACGCTCAATTGCAACGGTAGACCGAGACCTTGGTCTTCATATCCCATGAGGCCCTCAGGCAGTAGGCTCGTGTATTCAGACTTTGCTGTTTCGACGCCGTGCTCCGTATCCAGATCCTCTCGTGGCCAAGACGCTCGACTGTCAGTCATATCATGATCGACGTAACTCGGCCTTCTAGACACGGGCTGCGAGCTATGTCCAAACGGCGAAGAAGGTGGGGGCAGAGAGGCCAAGCTAGCAGGCGGAATATTGAACTCTGCACGTAGATTATGCTTTATGGCGTACAAAATAGCGACGAGCACTCTCAAGATCTTCTCCGTATCTCTCCTTTCTTCCTCGGTCAAGTCCCCATCCTTGCTCTTGGAATTTACGAGGGCGATTCTCGCAATGTTTCGCACGCACGTGCCTATGGTGGTTAAGCAATTTCTTCCAGTCCAGAATCTGTCGTAAGAAGTCCCGTTTCGGAATACGAGCATGAGACCAACAACGATGGATAGTGAAGGGATGATGGTGGATGGAAGGCCCAAGGAGGTAATGATGTAGGTGTCAAGATAGACGATTAAGGCTGTGAAGAGGGAGTGTAGAATCACAGGTGCAAGAAGCAGGTGGTGGATTGAACCGCGGGAGAAGCGTAGCACCAAGGGAAGACGCCTGGGCTTCTTGCGAAAGGAGTGAGCCAGAGGGTAGGTTGGGGTGCGAGCTGGAGTGTGAGTGGACGGCATTGCGACTGTAAACGCGCTCAGGCTGTTTACAAAGGAAAAGAAATAATGACTCCTGTGGGAAAGGAGGAGGTTCGAAGAGAGACAAAGTAGGAAACGTGAGGTGAAGCTTAAGAGAGGTTGGAGATGGGGAAAGAGTGGGAGATAAACAAGAAGCCTGGAATTGGCACGCGGGGTCGACAGGGGTCTGCCGCACGTCAAGAGGTGTCGCAGCGACTCCTGACCGATCTCAAGTAGCAACACATTAGTCTTCAAACATGAAAGCAGGTTAGATGTGCACCATGTTCAACATCGACTTAGCGAGAATGACGATGCAGCACTGCAGCTCCGGATCGCTGGCAGATGGGGGTTCTGCATGTGATGGCTTTTGGGACCCTGGATCGGAACTAGCCAGCAACCTCGGCCACGCGCACCTGCGGATGGCGGCATCCAAACAAAATGCATGGAGCATGCGCAAATCATAGACCACCACCAACAACTCCTTTTTCTCTCACATATCTGGTCGCGGTATCACGACAAGAGGAAATACCATGGCAGAAAACAAGGAGCCTCCGACGACCACCACGGTCCCCTCCGAGCCCACCATCTCATCCTCGCCCTCGGCATCATCATCCACACCACCCTCTGCGCCCTCCCAGCCAAACCAAAAGAATGTCCTCCTAAAGTTACGCGCTTTGATACTGCACTACCTAACCGTCTCTCTCCGCAAAACCGACCGAACCATCCTCCGTCTCTCATCACTCCTGTCCAACCCAACAACAACAGACAACCTACTCTGCACAACCAGCTACACCCTCTCGCTCCTCCACGCTCTTCTTTCCCGCCTTCTTGCGCGACGCCTCTCTACAATAGCGACCTCCATCGCAGAAAAAGCCTCTCCGGTCCTCCTCCCCGGCGAAACTATCGTTGCGACCCTCCCCGCTCCCCCTCTCACGCAGCTGCTGGCGCAAACAACCGCCAGCGTGAAAGCTCTTGCGGGGGCGATTAGCGATTACCGTATCTTTGTACGGTTATGGGGTATGCTGGGAATTTACACGTGGGCGCGGGGTACATGGAATGAGCCCCTGCCACAAAACGCGGGGCGGAAAGAAACGTTGCTGAGGGGTGTGACGTGGGGTGCGATCGCGAGCTGTGTGGGGTTTCAGTTATTAGAGAACGGGGCGTACTTGGCCAGTAAAGGGGTCCTGACGGGAGAAGGGTGGGCAGGTGAGCAGGGGAGGAAGAGGGAGGGTGCATGGTGGATTTGGAGCAGTCGTTTCTGGGCTGCTTTTGTTTTGCTGGAACTCACGCGACTGGGCGTTGTGAAGTACTACGAGCGCGCCGAAACAAGGTCGTCTGTGGATTTGGAGGGTGAAAAGAGTGTGCTGGAGGATGGTGAGAAGGAGGCTAAACTGTTGAAAGAGGAGAAGAGAAAGAGTGCAGTGCTTTGGTGGAGGGACTTGGCGAGCAATCTGGCATATATGCCTATGACGCTGCATTGGAGCGTTGAAGAAGAAAGGGGAATATTGAGTGATTGGGGTGTCGGAGCTTTGGGTGCAGTTGCTGGCGGTGCCAACCTTCTTCATGCTTGGAGGAATACCGCATGAGTAAGAAAGGGCCATTGTAATAGTATTTGAACATGTACATGGACATTAGAGCGATCATGGGATTAAAATTACATTTCTTTACATTCTCCGCCTGAGTTTCCTACAGCTATCTTACATTGGGCTCCAAGCTATTGCGCACTGGTATATAGATTCATTCGAAAGCGTTGCCACTTGGGTCAGGGGGACTGTAACCTCTCTTAAGCAAGAACCCAGAGAGGCGATCCTCTACTCGAGCGAACTACATTTCAAGTAAAGTCAGTGCCAAAATACCGAATATCACCAGGGTAGTGCTGTGATCTAGAAAGCTAGGTTTGGGATGGATGCAGAAAAAGACTCACAAAACTTTTCCTCTCAATGATGCCATCCTTGACCCAGAAGCCATAACCGCCCATCAGATTAGCCATCATAACGTCTGTGAAGAGTCGGTCCCCAACCACAGCAATCTGAGAGGCTGACGTTACTCCGGAATCGGGCTGTCGAGCAAAATAGGACAGCACTTCATCTTTGCAACCCGGTTTCTTGGTCGAGTGTTTGAGCACCTTGACGCCCGTGTTTTTCTCTAACACAGCTGCCTGCGCTTGATCCTTGTCGTCATTAGTTCCAGCTGTGTTGGATACTATCAGAAGCTTGGAGCCAGGGTAGGCGCGACGGAGTTCTTGGAATTTGTCCTGCACGTCATTAACACTGGATATCTTTGAATGCAATGAGCAGTCGTAAGTAGACAAGTTGAGATGGAAAGACAGCATCACAGACATGGCTAGCGTGAAGAAAATAAATATTCACATTGACCTACATGATACGGTTTGTGTACCTCGTTAGTATGAGGAATAGCAAAACAGTTGTCTTTGTCTAGAATCACCGCCCTAATGTCGACCTCTTTCTCCCCATTTTTTGTAGGGAACGCCTTTGATAGTGGGACAGGAAGATGGTTGAATGTCGATACTGTATGTTGCGGAAGACACAGGGCTGGATCCCGGAAGAGTCTAAAGATGTTGACAGTCCCCGAGATATTCATTGGTAAAATGCAGAGTATCCCTCTGGTCGTCTTCACGATGGGCGAATGGGCGTTGAAAACCGGGGGTGGTATATGGAAAGCTGCTTATTAAGGCGCACTAGCGCAAAGGCCCAAGCTCCATTTCCGAATAACTTCAACTGCACAAAGTTGCACCACCTTGCGCCCATAACTCTACTCCACCGCTTACAAGGTCGTGCCGCTCACACATTCGATTTCTTCACGATGACGAGCACAATCGGTATCCCGATAAAGCTACTCAATGAAGCCGCTGTAGGTTTCCCGAGGTTTCGAAGAAAGATGCGATCGCATTGCTGACCCTCATGCAGGGCCACACCATCACCCTCGAGATATCATCTGGGGAGGTCTACCGAGGAAAACTTATAGAAGGTTGGTCTTCAATACCTGTTATGGCCCACATCAGCTAATCCAAGCAGCGGAGGACAACATGAACGTTCAGCTCAAAGACATCACCGTGACTGCCCGCGACGGTCGTGTGTCGCATCTTGACCAAGTGTACATTCGTGGCTCGCACGTCCGCTATTTCATTGTGCCAGACATGCTGAGGTATGTAAAAACAATAGATCTTACCAGGCTCGCCGTGCTAATGCATTTGAATAGGAACGCGCCCATGTTCCGATCTCGCGGTACCAGGGGCAGAGGTGTCGGTCTTGCGCGTGGTCGTGCTACGGTGAACAGAGCAAGGGGCAATACCCGCGGTGGTCCTGGACGTTGAGCAATGGATGTGGCAGACGAAGTTACGACACGAAAGATCCTTGATCTAGAAGCTGCGAGACAGCGCTCAGCCATATAACGTCGGAGAGTTGGGCTGGCTGGAATCTTGCGGGATGCCATGATTGAATTCTATGAGCAGCGCGCGCAAAGGTACGAGGCTCCAGAGGAGGGTGGTGCCGTTGCCATTTGGAATTATCAGACTGAGATCAAATTCAGACATTGTTGCCGCCTGCGTGTGCGTTTCCTTGCAAAACCATTGCACTTTTACGTCATGCAGGGTCTTGAACACCTTTCTAAAATATTTTCTGGCACAATAATATGAAAACCTGAAAATCGCGTCATCGCATCCTCCCTATATACATGTGGCTGCGTGAGATGCTTACAAGCAGGCCACTACTACCCCACACCACGAAAAGCCAAGACCTCCGAAACCTCCGCAGCATCCCACCAAACAACCACCACAACTCATGGAGATCCGGCACCCACGACGCATTCTTGCGCTCGGAGCGCCAGAATCGGGTGTTCTCTCTCTACTAAAAGGTACCTTTTTACAACAGCTCTTACATCTCGATGCGATACTAATCAACATCCTCCCCACCAGACCTCACAGGCTCCGCGCCCGAGCTCATAACCAACACCACCGCAGGCCTCTCGCACGAATGGCACCTCGAAACCAAATACTACACGGCCAAGCTCCCCATATGGATCGATGAGATCCCAAACGTAGGCGAATGGCGCACCGAGTTCATCAAGCCCGAAGCCCGCGAAGTCATCACCGTCCTGGGAGCCTGGGTATTCTGTTTCCGCAAACCCGTCACGACGGCCGACGAAGACACCATCAGGGACACGCTGAAAGCCATTGCCGATGTGATTGAGAAGGCGTGCGGTTACGGCGGAGATCAGATCTGTCTGGCGGTTGGTATGCCGCAGAGCACGACGCCGTATCTGGAGAAGAGCGCCGAGGAGTGGGATGAATTTTGCATGGAGTATGGGTTTGAGTATGTGGATAGCGAGGCGAAAGGGAAGAATGAGTTTGGTGAGGAAATGGGGGTGAAGAGGGTGGAGGATGCGCTGAAAGCGCATGAGTGGGAGGGTGGTGATGGAGGGGATGGGCTTGATTTCGACGACGACGAGTTTGGGGAGGGGCTTGATGCCGAGGAGAGGGAGATGGGGTCGGAAATGTTTGGCTTGAAGATGGCTGTGAATGGAGTTGAGGAGGAAGATGGCCCTGGTGGGGATGATGATGAGGCTGAGGCTGATCAGGTTGAGCAGTTGGAGTCGCTTATGCGGCGTATGGTTGCTATCAAAGGTATGTTTGATTCCATACAGGACTTCTCAACCTTTGGGTCTGCTGGATTGATTTACTAAGACACAACATAGAAACGAGCGAGGGCATGTCAGAAGCAGAGCGAAAACGCTTCGCTGCAAAAGCCGTCTCAGACTTAATGAAGGACCTTTAACTCCCAAACTCCTCCCATGATCCCTCGACCGTGAATCCTCCCCGCTCACCCTTTCCGTCCAAAACACAACAAGAATGGGAAATCCCTCTCCACCTCGCTTCCATCCTCGCCCTCAACCTTCTTCTGCATAACGAACGGCGTCTCAATCCTCACGTCTTCAAACCCCACCGCCCGCATCACCATCTCAATCTCATCTTTCCTTACTCCATGTCTCTCCACGCCTTCCCATTTTGCCTTGGGGTGAAAGGCCCGCGCCTCATTGCCAAAGTCCTCGTAATCCGTCAACGCTACACACCCACCTTTGCGCAACGCTTTATGCAACACGCCACACAACGCCGCCATGTCAGGAATATGATGTAACGTGAGGTGACTAACCACGAGATCAAATCGATACTTCCCATTGCTAGCGCTAATTTCGTTCCCGCCGTTAGGGCGTCGAGCAGCTAGGTCTGCGGCGGCGGCTTGCAAGTGCTTGTCGTCTGGGTCTTGAACGAGGACGTTGACGGCGGCGAGGTTGGGTGTGGTAGATAAGGCGGAGATCTTCTGGGAAAAAGTTGCGAGCATGCCGCTAGAGGTGTCGACGCCTATTAGAGAGCGCACGTGAGGTGCGAGCTTGAAGGAGAGGAGGCCGGTGCCGCAACCGATTTCGAGGACGTCGAGGTCTGTGGGAATTGCAGTTAGTTTTGGTTTGATATACGTAGATGTGGGTGCATATTTGTGTGCGGTCGCTGGGGGCTCAAGACCTCGTCACTACATGTACATATTCATGGAAAACAGTGCATGAATATGTAAGAGAAAACCGACCTTTTGCATCACCGCCCTCAGCGCTAAAAGCAGGGACATGTTGCTTGATAGCCTCAAAGGCCTTCTCAACGCCGTCCAGATGCTTTTCATCGGCATCCCAGGTAGCGGCCTCGGAGTCGAAGCGGGTTTTGCTGACCTCTTGGCCGGACATTGTTGTTCTAGATCTCTCTGTGCTCTCCGATTTTCTTTGATGATATCTTTTCCCCTTGGTCACAAAGCGATGGCTGTTCCTGGTCTATGAATAAACGAAATCGCGGTGCTGTTCAAATAGAACGTCCCTGTTGTTGCTGGGCTGTGGGGTGGGGTGGTCTGAATGAAAGTACATATGTCAGGTAGACAGCGGGGGGTGGATGGTTTGGAGTGGGGGTTTGAGCTAGCACGATTAGTGGGGAAAGAGAGAGTTGTGGGGAAGGGAAAGAGCAACGCTGGGTTGGTTACAGTATTTGTCACTTTGCATTGATGATAAGTTGATTTCAAAGTATGTGTAATGGCGCTGGATAGTCGCCGGATGGTTTTTGAACTTCATGTATAGGATGGATATACCTAGGCAAGGGAATAAGAGAGTGAGTGCTGTTGTATAAGACGCAAGATGAATTGGGCAGCGGGATTGGTCCATGGTGGCCGAAGTGGCTAACTGCATGTGGGATGGTTTACAGAAGGGGTAAGAACAGGGGCAGGCAGGTCGATACGACGAATGAATTGACAGTGTTGTGTAGTCCATCTATACATACAATCCATCCCCACTGAGGGTGCGAGATGGGGAATTCTCAAGGCAAGTTACCAGGCCCAGACTCTTGGAGGCTCTTCTCGCGGTATATGGAATGTCATTTCACTTTTCTTCAGAAGCTGTGAGTTGATAGGCATGAATGTACAAGTACGACTTGAGCAACTTAAGCACGCGACTTGGTGAAATTTTCTTGAATATATATACATTGGAATAAAAAATGTATGCGATTAATACGAACTACAAGAGCTGAAGACAACTCGAACACTACTAGCTTACCACCTTGACAGTTGGTGATGGCAGCCGATGCCGTCTTGCTGAACCCTCGTCGGCGGATACCGACGTGAGAGGCGCACTACAACATGTGGTCCCCACTATTGGTCAGATGTGTAGCTGATGGATGCGACGGGATGAAGCGATTATCATCTCCTAGACAGCTGATTGACGATATTTGCAATTGAACATGTTATCGTCAGCATCAACTGCCGGCTGATGTTAGTATACATGTATGTAGCAGTGTAGTGCTGGAGAGGTGCGTTGTCGTGGCGGCCCCCCCGGTCGCGCCTGGCCCGAGGTGTCTTGTCGTGCCCTGGCTTGTCCTGTCGGCGCCGAAAACAACAAACACGCCGTTCCCACCCCCCCAGCCCCATCCATCCACCTCTACTCTACTTACCTAACCCAAGTAGTCAAACTACCGCCCGTCACATCAACAACCCGCCCTCTTCCACCCTCCACCCTCCAACCCAGCGCCCACCTTTCCGCACCAGCATCGCCAGCTTCCTGTTCTCGCGCGCGCACTCCACCACGACCGCTAGCTAGCAGCCGCACCTCCACCACCACCACAGAGCAGCCGCCATGTCGGTCAAGTTCGAGAAGGAGACGGTCCGGACCACCGAGGCGGTTGCCGACGCAGCGACAAAGGGCGGCGACGATGTCCTCAAGACTGTGGGCGAGGCCATTACCAAGGGTGGCGGTCCCAGTGGCTATCTTGCGGTAAGCGCGCGCGCAATCACTTTGCTCTCTTGTACCCAACGTCAACAACAACGATACTGACATGTTCCGGTGCGACCACAGGCCTACCTCAAGCAGCTCCAATCCAACCCCCTGCGCACCAAGATCCTCACCTCGGGCACTCTTTCGGGTCTCCAGGAGTTCCTCGCCTCGTGGATTGCCCACGACCGCAGCAAGAGCGGCAATTACTTTACCTCGCGCGTCCCCAAGATGGCTCTCTATGGCGCCTTCATCAGCGCGCCCTTGGGTCACTTCCTCATCTCCATCCTGCAGAAGATCTTCCAGGGTCGCAAGAGTTTGAAGGCCAAGATTCTTCAGATCCTCGTCAGCAATTTGATCGTGAGTCTTTCTTTCCATACCCATCGCCAAAACGCGCTTCCGCTGACATGGATTGTTCCTACCCCAGATATCCCCCATTCAAAACTCCGTGTACCTCGTATCCATGGCCTTGATTGCAGGCGCCCGTACCTACCACCAGGTCAAGGCGACCGTCAAGGCTGGATTCATGCCTGTCATGAAGGTCAGCTGGGTCGTTTCTCCCATCTCCCTGGCCTTTGCTCAGCAGTTCCTACCTGAGCACACTTGGGTGCCCTTTTTCAACATTGTCGGTTTCATCATCGGCACTTACATCAACGCACACACCAAGAAGAAGAGGCTCGCAGCTTTGAGGCGAAAGCACTACGGCGACGGCAGTGGACGTGGTGGTTCCGACTACCCAAGATCGGGCGACAACTACGGGAGACCCGGAGACAATTACCCTGGTGGAAGGCCCGGAGACAACTATCCTGCTGGATCTTCTAGCGCCAGACCAGGAGAGAGCTACCCGCCTCGACGCGACTATTAAACAATATTCCCCAGTAACGATGTCCGACGATTTGTATCACGCGCCATTGCTAATCGCCATACCACGTATCGTTATGTATCGTATCGTGCATAATTAGTTCGAATTCCTAGCAGGTCCCACGTTGAACGCCCTTTGACAGAGAGGCAACACCAAAACTAATGGAATATCGGGAAAAAAATAGCGGAATGTGCTTTGTCACTTGGCAGGTCGATTCGCTCAAAGAACATGCATTGTTCCCATTCTGGACTCATAGTTGGTCCACCGCCGATTGTAACTTTTGTATATTCTCGCGTCATCTTGTGTAGTTGCTTGGTGGCTGTCTCGGTGTTTATTTTGGCCCGCAAATATATATCCTCTTCCCCTACATCATCCCCCTTGTCCGATTCATAGGACTCGGTGTTTACAATCTTGTGTTCATGCTGACAGCGCTGTACGTGTGTCGTACGTGGGAAAATCATTCTAACACGTTCCCACTGTCAGGTGGCCCGTAATATTTCCTCGGCATCCATCGCAGCCTCTCTTCTCTTTGGTGCATCTGCCTTTTCTCTTGTTCCTTATTGTGATACCAGTCTTGCAAGCTTCATTTTGGAATCTTTTCCGCCCCGGATGGGTTCCTTCGACTGGTTCGTGACAGCATCGCGGGTATAGTTCCACTATATCGCCGTTGTGAGTGACAGACAGACGTGGCAATGTAACATTGGATATCATTCTGGCTGGCTACTAACAAACACTAGCCCTTACTATGTACATGGACGCATAATTTATATAAACCCCAATGTCTCCACGGCCCGGGGTATAAACTCTGTGTCCTCGTACGAATGGCTCCATCCTCGGCAACAGCTACACCCTCGTCCACAATACCTAATGAACTACCCCCCATCCAACTACTTGTCGAGTCTTGACCGAACCTCGGTCGGAAGCTATCTCGAAAATCGATTGATCCCTTACGATTCAGAGCCAGACTTGTACTACCGTCAGCCTTCCGGACATGTACCACGGCCCCTTTCTTCCCTGGATCTGAGGAACCCTCAACTCAAATGCACACGAAACCTCGGATGGAACATTAGTTGGGCAGTCGCCTTCGTGGTTGACCGTCTGGGGGCAGGCGAATTGCCCGATGCAACGGAGGCCCTGAAGAAAATCCGTCTCAAAGCTGCGAGGTTAGAAAGAGAAGGTGATATCAACGACATTCCTTTTCACTTGTTCCACAAATTGGACCAGACACTGTTTGCTGGCCATCTCAAGAAAGCAGTCTACGTCGACATACAAGATCTTGGTCATGAAGTGTCTGGCGCCACCTTTTCTCAAGGATGCAGCCCGGATCCCGAGATTCGACGCGTGTCAATCATCCTAAATCACAGGCTGCTCAAAGATGTGGGATCCCAGGATATCATCGCCACACTAATTCACCATATGATTCATGCATACTTCCTGATTGCATGTGGGCCTGAACAGGAGAAGGAAGTTCACTACGGCCGCCTGGGCCATGGCCTGGCATTCGCAAAGATTATGACAACGATTAAAAAGATCTCTGCAGCAGAGGGAAGACCACTCCAATCTCTCGACTTTGGACATCCCTTCGAGCGATTGCAATACTTTGGCCCTCGCCCACCTCGTAGATTCAGCCGAAGTCAAACGGCCGACGAGAAATGGTACCGCAGTTACTGTTGTTCCGATGTAATTTCTCTAGCCTCGAGCCAGATTGAGGAGTGGTATGGAGAGGTGTGCCAACCGCTTTTCGACTTGCCCAAATTCTTGCGAAAGTCTCGAGTCCCAGTATTCAATATTCGGACCCGCGTGCTCGAAGAAATGCTCCGCGCCGAAACCAAACCTTCATCCGATTCCTGCGAATTCATCTTCAACGAGGAATCCTCGGTGCTCGTGCCCCAGAACTTCATAGACAACTACTACAGCGTCGCCCGTGCGTTCAAGAAATCCGGAATCCGATACATGAAGATACACAAAGACGTCCCCTGGGAAACCTTTGAACGCTTCCTCCAACTCTTACACACAGACACGTACGATCCCGACCCAAAACACATTGTCCGCACAGGCGACCGTGGCCCACCCATCATCAAACCAAGCAACGGCTCCCAACCCTACCTCCTCGCCGACATCCACATGGGCAAAATGGGCGACAAGATGAGCTTCAAGGACCTCAAGACGGTCGCCCTCGAACGCATGTACCGCCACAGCATCACCTCTGAAGACCCCGTCGACCTCCTCGCCGCCATCTACGACGGCACTGCCGAACCAGACAAGGATGTCAAGATGTGGGTGCGCAAGTTCCTCGTTCGCGGCAGCAATCCTACTCCCACCATTCAAGCCGCGCTCGATACGGACGAGTGGGTCGACGTCGGCGCTTCCCCTCCATCCACTTCCTCCCCTTACGAACCCTCCAATCTAGCAAAACTCGAGGCAGACATGCTGGGCTACAAACATCGGTTCGGGGAGCTCCTAGCCGGCAGCGCGGCGCTCAAATACGAAGTCGCGCGCGCGAGACAGGATCTCCAGATTTCCTCGAACCTTGCGGGGATCGGATTTTTGAACGGTACTGGTGCTGGACAGCATCAGAAGGCGGCAGCAGTGACAGCTATGATGTTGGCGGCGGCGAATCCGAATAACGCTGCTACGGCTATGCTCCCGTGGCACCAGCAACCCCAGCAGAACGCACTCAGTCTTGCCCGGGGTCAGCCACCGGTGAGGATCAGTGTTAATAATAATAATCAGAGGGGGTTGCCTTGGCACATGTCGTCGTCGTCGTCCTTGTCGTCGCCATCTCCTGCGGTTGCGAATGCTGTTGCTGCGCAGGCGGCTGTTGCCAACGCTGCTGGCTTTGGCGTGGGACTTGGGCTTGGTGCGAGTGCTGGGGATCCTTATGGGAATGGGCTTGGGGACAGTGGGATCAGTGATAGCGGCGGGAGCGGTTGGGATTGGTGAAGCTTTAATCTTGGGAGGGACCGATTTTTCTTCTCTTCAATTTTTGCACTTTTGCACTCTAATCTTTTCTTGTTCCTTGTGGATGTTGTTACTATTGAGTTATTTTCTCTTTAATTCTTTGATTGCTTGAGTTCAATTGCTGTGGGTTTTTTTTGTTCTGCTTCGTACATGTTATTGCATCAACGACCCTGCAAAAGAGTTCTGCTTTGGCTGGGCTATAGTCCGTCTGGGATGGAACCTGTTTCAACTACATGTTTCTCAAGTACGCATTCCCACGCAAGACTAGAGATTGACATGACAGTTTGTATTCGATATCGTGGATGGGTAATTGAATGGTTAGTTGAAGGGATAGACAGATAGAGAGATGGCTTGGCATAATAACCCTGGATCAAGCTGGTATGAGAAAATAATCACTCGCCAAAGCTCGAGTATCGCAATAAGAATACCTTATCGCCAGGATAAAGAGGAAAGTCGAAAGGAGAGATAGAAAGGAAGGAAAGATTTGATTCGCATCCGGCCGAAAAGAAGAAAAATGCGCGCGCCCTGAACACGCCCCGAAACCCCAATCCCAATATTTTTTTGTAACGTTCCACCGATGAAGTAGATAACAGGGAGGTAAACAGCACATTGCGGCTTTTCGAGGAAAGGACAGGTCAGGCAGGAGCGATCTCCATGAGCTCAGCAAATGGATATGAAGACGATGGTCGGTGCATGATTGATCCATCGAATGTTTGATCGCCGAGGGAGAGGAGATAAGAGAAGTCGAGAAAGATCAAACGCCCTGAAAGATGCAACGAAAGAAGAAAAAGGAAAACCGAGCAAACAGACAGATAGGAACCCGTAGATATATAAAAGGCAAAGCAAGATCGATACAGCATAAAGCCTCCGTGTTGCCACAACAACAAACAGACAACAAGACTCCTTTCTATCCCACCTATATTTTTCCCCATGATCGAAGCTCGTCTTCATTCATCTCAACAACATTCATGTTCGAGCATTACGCTCTCAATGTACAGCATCTCGACATCAGTCCACATTAATGGGAGGAAGCAACGGAGCGCCATCGGGCCCAGTATTTGATTCACCGTTCTCGCGAGCCCGCAGAATGCCCTGAGCCGCAGCCCGTCCAGCGCTACCGCTTCCATCCAACACAAATGGGCCCGCGTCATTTCTAGGCGTCATCGGACACTCGGCACCGCCATGGTCAGGACTTAAACCGTTGGACGTGTTGTGGTACAGTGGAGATAAACCCGCCTCGTTGGCACTCAGGATATTGATGGAGACGGGCTGGGTTACCGATGACGTTACAGCGGGGGACGACGCATTGCGGGATTGCAGTGGCTGTGGGGTCGATGGCACGGCAGCGGAAGCTGTGGTAATGTTTGTTGCAGAGGCGGTCGTGGGGGCGGGCGTGAGTTGGATGTTGGCGATTGCCGCTTCAATATCGGAGATGCCGGGCTGACTGCTTTGTTGTCCATTGGAGATATCTGGGAGGGCGAGGTGGGTGGATGATTTGGGTGTCACTTGACGGTCCTGCGTATCCGGGTCGTTGGATTTGGCATCACCGCTGGCAGGCGCATCATCGTCCCAGGTCTCAAACTCGCCCATGTCCTCCACATCAGCTTCTAAATCTGCAACGGCCCGACAATTGGGACAGAGGAAATTGGGCCACGTCGATCCGTTTAATATGGGTCGAATGCATTTGTAATGCCAGACGTGCGAACACGGTGCAACGAAGAGCGATTGACACGGCTGCAAGATGTTAGTTAGGCGATGCTACACAGAAGCGGAGGGGAAAATGGGGGAGCAAACTCACTGCAATGGACATGAGACAGATGGAGCACTCAGAGGAGTGCATGGAGGCGTTATCGCCATCCTTTCGCGATTTGCCGAGATTCCTCAGCCGCTGGTGGGTTTGTTTGCTGCGGCGGTGATCAGTGAATGTAGGTTAGGGTGGTAGTAACGGTACTTACTTGAATGTATTCAGCGCCTGCTGCCATCCGCGGTTGCACTCTATCCTAATCTTGACGCAGCGGAATATCATTTCCTCGCCGCCGCGGAAATCGATGCCCAACTGAATGATGTCACCATCCTTGAGGCGAAAGGGCTTGGATTCGACATTAGGCTGGCTAAGGCGGATGTGGTTCAAAAACGTTCCAGACGAGCTCTTGACGTCCTTGATGAACCAATTTCCATCCTTACACCAGAGCTCGCAGTGCTTGCGGCTGACAACTTTTGATTTGAAACCCACGGGGGCGGCCGAGGGGGCGTTGGATGGGGGCTCTGGAGTATTATCTCGCTCAGAGTAGCGTCCCACGCGAAGGGTGACGGTTTCGTCGGGCAGGGTACGGGTGATGGTGGGGAATTGCAGCGAGGGTCGCGGGGCGCGGGGATCGTTATGGGTAATGAATCGAATCGAAGGTAGGTTCTTGTTGAGGGTGTCGGCGCCCTTGTCGTCGGAACCTTGCGATTGCATGTTGGAGCTGGCGGGCGGTGACGATGCAGCGGGTGTGGGGCCGGAGTGGTTTCGTACTGTCAACTGCGGAGTCGCGGACTCGGTTCGGTACCTCGTCATTGTATTGTGGAGGCCAGATCGATTGGGTGCGCGCTCTTGGAGAAAAAGGCGGAGTTTGGGGGGTGGGTAGGTTGAGGGTGGAGGGAGGGGAGAGGAGGAAGCCGAAGAGGCTCGTGTGAGTTGAGGTTGGAGTTGATGTTGCTGATGTTGGAGTTTGATGGGGTGGTGTTATGGTGGCGGGGGCGGCGTTGAGGGCAAGCAGGAGAGTCAGAACAGGAAGCAGGAAGGTTGTGGGTTGACGTTTGGTGGTGGTTGCAGACTGGCACTTTTGACTTTGAGTTGCGGCACGCGGGCGTTTGGTGGTTTTGGGGGTCGCGGCCGGTGAAGGGTGAGCTCACGTGGGTGGAGGGCAGTGAGTGTCAGTGTCAGCGAGAATGGTTCCTGAGGAACGTCAGGCCGGCTCCCAGACGGGTAGAGTGAGACAGGCGAGCAGGGCTGAGAGGGGGAGACGGAGCTGAGGGTGTAAACATGGAGTAGTGAAGTGGTTAGGTAGGTAGTTGTGTTATGTTATGTTATGAAGCAAGCAAGCAAGAAGTAGGTAGTGGGGCCAAGCAAGGCGCGCCTGGCTGCCGCGGCCGGTGAAAGCGAAGCAGGTGAATTGTGCTGGGGAAGAGGTCCAGAGGGAGCATGAATGGCTGGGATGGCCTTGTTTCGACGCTCGTTGGGGGCGGCCAGAGTATTAGAGGACTGCGCAAGCAGAGCCAACACGAGCAAATCAATAATATTGAATAATACAAGACGTGCTCATTCACGCAATAGAGGCACTGTCAGCTGGCCTGCGTCCTCTGCTCTCATGGCATCCGCCTGAGGGATTATTGTCTCGGAGCAATATCTGCCTATCAGTGCACAATGATATACTGGGTGCCAGTCTCATGATGCAGTCAGTCCATGGCCGGATCCATTCCTCGTGTGCATCCATGTATGCATGTGTGTGTGTGTGTGTATGTATGTATGTATACAGAAGAAGCGAATCCTCCCGCAGAGGAAGACGGGCCAGTCCAGTAGTAGTAGTAGCTTTGAAGGCATAAGAGCTGCAGAGTCCCTGTGTATGAGGTTTTTCTCTGATCAAACGGTTTGAAGGGGCTCTAACTGCTGCCACACTCCGCCTCCGCCTCCGCGTCTGTCTGTCTGCTGTCGGTCTGTCAGTCCCACTGCATGCAAAGAAAACTGTCATGGAAAAAGTTTATGCGCATCCGTCACACCCAGCATCTGCGGGAATGAATCCAAATCACAGACTGACCGAGTGACGGCTACCAGCAAGACGGCGCGGCGGGGGTCTTTCTTGCCAGGACAGCCGACACTACTTACCACAAGACTCCCATTGCCGCCCACCCGGCTCGTTTCGGAAAAGTGCGGTGCCAAGACTCTACGGCCCGGAATTTTCGACATCATCAGTCAAGCATCTACTCGCAGTGCAATTGTTCCAAACATCGTCGTGAAGCACTCCCTCACTTCGCCGCCCTCGGATATGCTCAAGCCTGCCTCGCTCCGCCCCATATCAAGAGGTCTTGCCCAGACTTCTTCATCTCTCACAAAGTCTGCCACATCATGCTCAGGTAGACGCGCCCTGGCCACCGCCGTCGCCGAAGAAAAGGTTCGTCTGTAACCCTTTTTCATCCCATCCTGCCATCCTGCCATCCATCAATCCATTCTAACTCTTCCACCCCCAGGATCCCGTCGAGCTCGATCACATCACTACTCTCCCCAATGGCATCCGCGTTGCTACCGAGGCTCTCCCCGGCCACTTTTCCGGTATCGGTGTCTACGTCGATGCCGGCTCGAGATACGAAAACGATGCGCTGCGAGGTGTGAGCCACATCGCCGACCGCTTAGCTTTCAAATCAACTACATCCACATCCGGAGACCAAGTGCTGGAGAAGATTGACTCATTAGGCGGCAATATACAATGCGCCTCCTCGCGGGAATCGCTCATGTACCAGGCTGCCACCTTCAACTCGGCCGTCCCAACCACTGTCGGCCTTCTCGCAGAAACCATCCGCGATCCCCTGGTCACTGAGGAGGAAGTACAGCAGCAACTCGAGACGGCCGACTATGAGATTGGCGAAATCTGGTCCAAGCCCGAACTTATCTTGCCTGAACTGGTACACATGGCTGCCTACAAGGATAACACCTTGGGAAACCCGCTGCTGTGCCCAAAGGAACGTCTACCCCATATCAATCGCGCCGTCATAGAGGCTTACCGGAAGGAATTCTACAAGCCTGAGCGCATGGTTGTCGCGTTTGCTGGGGTGGAACACACTGAAGCTGTCCGGTTAGCAGAGCAATACTTTGGCGACATGGAGAAGTCGGCCGGCCCGTCTCTGATCGACGTAGGGCAGACGGCTTCCTCGGACGCCTCCAGAGCCACATTCACCGCCTCACATCCGACCCCCACCGGTGCACCTCCGCAAACATCCACTCTCCTCTCCAAGATCCCCTTCTTCAAAAACATCTCCACGTCTGCAGCTTCCAACGCCTCTGTGAACAGCTCAGCATCCCTCGATTTCCCACCAATCGACACTTCGATCCCGTCCCACTATACTGGCGGTTTTCTCACCCTGCCTCCGATCCCGCCTCCTCTAAACCCAGCCCTTCCGCGCCTATCCCACATTCACATCGCTTTCGAGGCTCTTCCCGTTGCATCCCCAGACATCTACGCTCTTGCTACCCTACAAACTCTTCTCGGAGGTGGCGGTTCCTTCAGCGCTGGCGGACCTGGAAAGGGCATGTACTCGCGCCTATACACCAACGTGCTTAACCAGCACGGATGGGTCGAATCCTGCGTCTCCTTCAACCACTCGTACACCGACTCCGGCCTCTTTGGCATCGCCGCAAGCTGCGCCCCCGCGCAGGTCAGCCAAATGTTGGAAGTCATGTGTCGCGAGCTCAACGCGCTGGGTCAAGAAACAGGCTACGCCGCGCTCAAACAGGGCGAGGTGCAGCGCGCCAAGAATCAACTCCGCTCTTCACTGTTGATGAATCTTGAATCGCGCATGGTGGAGCTTGAGGATCTGGGTAGACAGGTCCAGGTTCATGGGAGGAAGGTCGGCGTCAAGGAAATGTGCGCCAAAATCGATGCTGTTACCATCGCCGACCTGAGGCGCGTCGCGAGACAAGTGTTTGGCGGCGACGTACACAATTCTGGAGAAGGTAGTGGAGCACCGACTGTTGTTCTTCAAGAAGGCGAGCAGGAGGGCCTCAAGAGGAAGGACTTCTCGTGGGACGAAATCCAGACTAGGATTGCGAGGTGGAAGTTGGGCAGGCGGTAGAGTCTTTCCTGATTCATTCTTCTTGTATTAGTAAAATCTGTGTGTGTACGGGGTTATAACCCAATGTTACATGTGTACTATTTTTTTCATCGTCCCGTCTTTGTCATTGTATGATAATCGATATGGTTCTTACCAACCCCTTTGTTATCAAAATCGAGGTGGTCTCCTACCACATGTACCTTGCCTGGATGTGCACTGTCAAAATTGTATCAGAAGCAATGGGATCTTTTGAGGCATCTCGGTATGTAGGAACATCAACCATGTCCACTCATTCAACTGCAACAACGGGTGACGTCGTCTTTTGCACTCCTTCAGGTCTGAGGAAACATCTACATGGAAAAGGAAAAGAAGATCATAGACGTGTGGCACTTGCTTATAGTTTAAGTTGGGCGAGGGATCAATGCCATCTGGCAACAACACAGATTAAGAGCAGAACAGAGCAGGATAGAAACACGGGTAATCGATCAAAGATTCAGCTTAACATGTGTGTGAATGATGTTTGAGTTATTGGTAGAAAAGGATGAACAGATAAATCCCTTTGAATAAACCAAAGTCCAGGAATTGCTTCCAACCATTGCAAAAAAAAAAAAAAAAAAATTGCAAAAAACAAGATTACAACCCACCCAGTGAACCCTTCCACTGACCAGAGGTCAAAGACAAATATTGAAAAGAACAGTACATGTATGACAACGAATCTACTGGCAAACAGTCACCTCGCTCCACCACCACCCACGAAGAACGCGAGGGGGAAGGCGAGAAAAACCTAAGCACTGCCAGGCGGCCCGCCCATATTCAGCAAAATATCCAACATATCCAACCCGCCAACATCAGGTCCCATGGCCGTCTGATTGATATCCGCGCCCCACTGGTCTAGTAACGGGTCGAGTGGTAACGCGAGCCAATCTTGATCGAACCCACCACCACCATTCCCACTGCCATTGCCATTAACATTGCCGCTGTTACTCCAGTGCTGCCAGCTTCCTGACGATGAATCGTTCGAGTTGTTCGAGTTGTTATTGTTATTGAAGGAGTAATTGCTTGCGTTGAAGCCTGGCGGTGGCATGATGGAGATGGAGTTTGAATTTGGGTCGTAGGGTTCGGAGGAGATGCCGAAGAGGGGGTGAGAAGGTATCGGTGTTGCGCGGCCGCTGGCTGTGATGCCGATGCTGGGGCTTCCGGGGACGGAGGAACCCGTAGGTTGGGTGAAAGGGAAGCCTTGGGTTTGGTGCTGGGGTTGGAGTTGCTGGGTCTGGTGAGGCATCAGTGGAGGGGGTGGTGGCATCATGGGGGTTTGGCCGCGGGTGTGGGGTGGAGAGGGGGATTCGGCGCGCGAGATGCCCGAAGAGTTTGCGCCGCCACCGTTGACTGCAAGACGTACGAAGCGTCCACGGATGCGGTGGGTTAGCGTGTCCACGAGATCGGCGAAACGATTTCCTACATGTACATCGTCGACAATGGAGGTGCGCAGAGCGTAGACGGCGCGGTCGAGGAGTCCAAGTGTGATGGCTACGTCGTCTTCGGTGGCGCCGAGGGCAAAGGTTTTGAGGCATATTATGGCCACAGAAACGATGCGGAAGAAGGTGCGCACTGGGGCGTGTCGAAGATGGTGCGGGAAGAGATCGTCGACGACTACCTTGAGGACATTCCGTGAGGCATCGACGACTTCGCGGATGTGGTGTCTATCGTTGCCATACCATCTGACTAGGGTGCTGAACGGGATGGCACCTCCGTTGGAATCGCTGTTACGCGAACTGGGTTGCGGTCCCATGCCATTTGGTTGGGCATGTGGTTGTAACGGGGTGTTGTGCGTGCAGCGTTCTACTACTGCTTGCAAAGCTAAAGAATTGAGGTAGACCCGTGTATACTCATATTCGATTGTGAGGACGTGGCGAAGTAACGCGGGAACTTTGCGATTGTTAGTATGATCTTGGTAGGTTGCCAGGACAAAGTCATACCTTGAGGAGCTTGATCGAAACCTCGCTTCCAGTCGGTGATAGGAGTTTGGAATCCCTTCAGCACCTCTTCATATTTCCCCGACTTCAGCAATTCCCGTGTTTTCCGGCGGTTGGGGAAAAGCTTTAGGTTGCCCATTTCCATTGTCTTTGCAATGCGATCCCAGAAGTCGAGGACAAGATCCTGAACGGCATGCCTCTCTTGTGTGGCAATCGACTCCAGAGGAAGACGCTGGCCATCCGACCTCGTGCTGTGGTGGAGAGGAGGAGCTCTGATGAGCGCTTTCCGAGCATTGAACAGCTCAAGAGGAGTCTGCTGGGACTGTAATTCATCCTCACGCAAAGTCTTTGGAAGCATGGAGGTGAGACCCAATCGGCCACTAGTCTGTGTGACGTATATGACAAGCAGATTTTTGAGATGATTCTTCCGTCTGAAGTAGGCTTTGACGGTCGCATGGGAGAGGTGTTGGTTGGCTTCCTCGAATTCGAGTTCACTCGTTTCATCAAAGACACCGATTTCGTAAGCCAAAGACATGGCATTCCCCAACAGCATCCAGCACATACGATCGCTCCTCCAGCAAGGTTCAAGCCAACTGTCAATGCGTTGACCACTCTCGCCTTCAAGATTGGGTGCCCCAGGCTCCGCGGGCATCTCACCACCGAATACATCGTCTGTTGGAACCAGCTCATCGTCATCATCACCCGGAGGAAAATGAAGAGCCCGTGGATGCCACTCGGTGAGCAGCATCAAGCTCTCCACAGTACCTAAAGTACGCAAGCCTTTGCGGGTGAGAGGATTCACATCGGATCCAGGTTGCTGGCCAGCGCCGCAGAAGCCACCCCCAAACTGCTCCTGGCCGTATATGGTACGGTCTATCATGCCCTGAAGGTACTTCCAAAACTTGTCGTGGATCAGATAAGAGCGCGACACCGCACCGGCACGCGAGGGAGTATCTGGAGTCCTAAACCGAGATGCTATGGTGAGCAATGTGATGACCAGCATTGGCTCCTCTCTCAACATCTTTGCGTGCATGGCATGATCGCGGTAGTCGGGCACAACAATAGGCGTCAGCGGTGACAGGTAGGTGTAGAAATAGTCGATGTATCTCACGGCCTCCTTTGCGGTCAGCCAGCCAGCGCGCACAAAACGGAACTTGGACCACGCTCTGACAGCGTCGTTAAACGAAGCCTCGTTGGGGGGATCTGGCAGACCGGGAGACTGGTGCGATATGGCGGGGTCCACGATTGGCTCTGCGACAATGCGCGAAGGGTTGCGGGCATGTGTCGCCGTAACGGCTTGGGGACTGGCGAGATTGGTCTGAGAGCCTGGAGTGCCAATACTGGGGCGGTTGGCACTCGATGTACTGCCAGTACGGTGATGTTCTTGCAGATCCCTCCCCGCTGCTTGAAACAGTAGATTCAACGCATCGTGGCCGCTGTAGATTTCGCCTGTCTGCATAACAGCAGTAGCCGTATCAGCCATCTTGCGATCCTCCTCATCGTTCTGGGGCTGGGTGGCCGTGGTGGGGCGGCGCAATGGTTCGTAACGGCCTACAGAACCGCCGGGAGTGAGGGGCTGCGATATGTAGGCGGCATTGCTGGAGTCGGAGGGGTTGGTGGTGGCCGGGTGGTGCAGGGACGCTGGTTGGGAACTGGCATCAGAGGACTTGTGGCGCTTCCGGCCATTGCGCAGCTCGTAGTCGTCCTGCTCATCGTAGTCGTCGGCGCCGTCCTGGCCTTTTCGTTTGCGCCTTGTGGCCGAAAAATAGCATTCTTTGGATTCACGGCGACACCGCACACATGGTGGATCGTGAGGATTGTCGACGGGACCTAGGTCGCAGCGCACTTTGCGGCGGCGGCAGGGAATGCAGGCCTGGTATGTCCGGGTGTGTTGTTGGTTGGCAGCAGGTTGTGGTGGAGTGTTTTGGAGGTTGCTGTTCGCCATGGTGAGCTGGGCAGTAATGTGGGTAGATTGTTCGGGTCGCGTTGCGGCTTGCTGCGGCTTTTTCGAGGGAGGGGCACTCGGTGAGGTACTAATGTAGCGTCCATAAGATCGACGACGCCAAGTCGCTGTTGGTGGTCAAGTACATCCAGCGCAGTTCGCTACCCCGCAAAACCGCTCGGGAATAGGTGCGTGAATGGGGGGAATGGTGGTGGAGGCCGAGGAAGTTTGTGGTGGATAGAGGAGAAAGAGACTCAACAAGTGACTAATCATGGCATCGACTTCATTCTCATTGTCGGCGATTGGGTAATGGCAAAGTGAAAAGACAGATCACGAGAACAACCACAAGGACTACAAAACCTTGAGCTCATGCCAACATTTGAATCCACCAAACAAATCATGTCTGTGCAGAAGCTTGCCGTGCCCTTGCTAGTCCTCAATCCGCGTCTTGACTCTGTTCAAACCTGACCGAGCTGCTATCTGACTGCTGCCATGGCACGTGGACTACACCTCGTGCCTTGTCCCGTTCCAATCAATCCATCCCTCGCTGTCCATGTATCGTATCGGACGCCAGGCAGCATCATGGTAAGCTTATTTTCCATTGCCTCTCGCTCGTCACCAGCTCAAGCTCAGCCTCATCCAGGGGTCATGTCGATCATCAGCCGAGGCACATCTCACCGCATCTCAACACCCATGTCCGCCGTCTTCTTTGCTATCTCTCCGGTCTTGGAATAATCCTTGAACAACAGCAGCCAAGTAGATCCTAGTCCGCCGGGCAGCTATGTGAGACTACGCCTCACGCTTTGTATAGCTCAAGATGAAGTGGCGGGATACATTATCTGGAATTTCAAAATAGATTGGAATTGATATTTTAGACATGTACCAAGAGAAGCTTCGTACGTGCTACTCTTCTAAGCCTACTGATCCGGTATTATGTAGCTCAATTGCTTTGCTTCCTGCTCCGTCAACTCCATGACTACGTCCTTGGAGTGCTCCTCAATCCACGCTTCATCGCCCGAGTCATCATCGCCATAAACAATCTCGCCACGATTGCGCGCCGCCTTGGCCTCGAGCGACCTCAGCGCAGCCCTGCGCGCCTTGCGCTCACCCTCCGTACCCATTCTTTGCTGATATGCGTTCCACGAGACAAATGCTACCAGCCCTGCACCCATCACAACAAGATATTGCCATAGCATCTTCGATCCCACCAAATCCTGCACTTGCCCGATCCTTTTCATCATGGTGTGTCTGGTCGAACCAATTCGGCCGAATTGGTCAAACTTGGAGCGCCAAATGAATCGGTAGTAGGGGGCCATAAGTGTGTAGAGTCCAGAATCTGGGCAGGCCCATGATTTCACCGTACATTCTTGGTCCACATCTTCTTCCGGGCCTTTGTGTTTGCCAACATACGAATCCTTGACGCTCTTAATCTCGATGTTGGTGATGGCGTACGAACGCTTCGGATCCCGTGAGATCTTGCCGTTGGTGTCGTTGAGGGTGACGTGCAAAACACTCTGTTGTCCCACGTTCAAAACGTCATTCGTCGTGTACGCGCCAAGCCCCATGATGCGGAATCGTAGGGTAGGCTTGTGACTGAAGTATGGGCCCGTCTCGTGATCAGCCTCTACCAATCGGTCGTAATCCAACTCCAAAAAGTCGCGATGCTGCAGCTCATCCCAGCTCAACTCTCCCCTGAACAACCCTGATTTCGCATATGTGCGAATGATCTTCGAGGAAGTATCGGCGTGCACCTGGTGGGCGGTGATGTGTGGTGGTCTGTTGCTGTCTGCTACTGGAAGAATGGCTTGCCCATTGACGTAGAGGGTATGATTGTTGGCAGACATGGAAATGTTGAGGAGTACGGCGGATGGGTCGTCTACCTGGGAGTAGTACTCGCCGTTGGCGTGGTAGAGGATTGGAGCATTGGGTTTCTCCCTGTCCATGACCCAGAGAGGATATCCTGGTGTTGCAAGCTTGACGATGGCTGTCTGCTGCGGTTTGAGCCATACCACTTCAGACTCGGCGGACGCGTAGGCGGCCAGCAGCGAGAGCGCGAAAATGGTGGGGGAATACATGGCGACGAAGGCTCGGGTTCGCGGGACAAGAAAATGTCACAGGCGAGGAATGGTCCGGGGAAGAGTACCAGAAGAGCGATCAATTGACTCGCTCCGGGGCTGGTGAGAAGAAAAGAAGGGGATGAAGAAAACAACAAGATGGAAAGACAAAAAAACACAACATCGGATGGTAGCGGCCAGGCCCACATCGTCATCGAGCTAGGATTGGCTATAGACCGAACTAACCTGTTTGGTCATCTTTGCCGAATCCAGGTACCTTCATCCATCTCATCTTTCCGATTCAAACATCTTACATAGAATGTCATCGATTATTTAAATTCTACGATCATCTTTACGATTACTGCTCCCATCAGTTCTCTATTCGAAGCCCGTCAAGCGTGATTTGGTGCCCATCACACGCGACAGCTGCTCAATGTTGGAACATGTAGCTCGGCGAAGTCAAAGCGTGTACACATGTACTTGCTCGTTGCCTCATATCAATCAATCTCTGCGAACGACCAGTGTTTCAACCAGGAGATCATTGGTATTCATTCACAGTTACAAACGATCTTTGATTTGATACCATGTGTTTCTGGAACGTAGGGAAACCTATCGAAGCCGAGCGTTTTACATGCTAACCGGATTGTTACGCCCCCATCAGAGTTCTGCGGAAGTGTTCTTGATTCGGTAGCAAAAGAAAGCACTGTGAACAGGATACGGGCGCTCCGGCCACCACACATGGTTCTCCGACCGATTGTCGTGCGTGAATCCTACAACTGGCCCGTCTAGCCGCTTCGCTCTTCCGCATATATGGCTGCTAGCCTTAGGGGGTGCAACAACACCAACGCTACTCCAAAATGGTCCAACGGAAACAGACAACCGCGGTAGATTGGCGAACCAGTGTGGATATTGCCCCGTGCTTGCATCCTCTCGTCCCGCGCGACCTTTTATACATTTACTGGGGAAGGCCCTGCCCCAAGTCCACCTTCGTCGTTATACCCTTACACTTTTTGGGATAGAGAGGGACCATATGCCACCATGGTAGAGCCGATTTCGCCCCCTCATCGCCTGCCTGCAGTCTTTGCGGCTGTGGGTGCCTTCATTCTGTATTGGCTGGGCCTAGTCGTCTATCGTCTGTTCTTCCATCCCCTGCGCAGCTTTCCCGGTCCGCGCCTAGCCGCGGCTACATCCTGGTACGAAGCTTACTACGAGATCATCCAACGCGGGCAATTCTCCAGAAAGATCTCCCAACTCCACGACAGATATGGTAAGCAAGACTTCATACGACACTCGACACTTGACTGCAGTGTCGGCTTATACAAGTTCAAGGTCCCATCATTCGCGTGACTCCCAACGAGATTCACATTAGGGACTCTCGCTTCTTCGAAACTGTTTACCCAAGAAATGCCCATCTTGACAAAGAAGGTTGGAACAAGAAATTCGGCTCCGAAGAGGGCATCCTACCAACCGTACACGGTGCCGTGCATAAGCGCCGAAGGGCTGCCTTACTCCCATCGTATGCGCCTTACCCGCCACAAGCGTCGAGCCAAAGCTCATGCTAACCTTTCCAGATTCTCGAGACGGTCGATTCTGGAATTCATCCATATCATCCACCGACATGTCGACACATTTGAGGCCAGAATGCAGGAGTTCGAGGCCCGCAAGGAGCCTATCAATCTTAGTGATGCTTTTCCAGCGCTAACTGGCGACATTATCATGGATTATTTCTTTGGTTTTAACCAGGGCCAGCTCAAGAGTCCACAGTTCGCCTCCTTCCACGCCGCATTCAAAAACATGGGTACTACCGGCCATGTTGCAAGCCAATGGCCCTTCATTCTTCCGCTCATGAACAAGATTCCCAATAACATTGTTGAGTGGCTTCAACCGGAGGCAAAACCGTTGATTGACTTTAGACGCGTCAGTCCCACCCATCACTCACGTCCTTCATCTTCCGACTAATTTCTTTCTCAAATTCTAGCATAATGCGGAGCTCATTGCACAAACCCTGCAAGGCACCGACATCAAAACCAATGATGCCCCTAAGACAATCTTTCACGAGATCCTTGAGTCTAAGCATTTGCCACCTGAGGACAAAACCCAGCGACGACTCGAAGACGAAGCGCTCATTGTAGTGGGCGGAGGCGTCGAAACCACCGCATACGCTCTTGTTGTGGCGACCTACCATATCATCAACACACCCCACATCTACGCACGCCTTCATGCCGATCTCGTTGCCGCGTTCCCCAACAGCTCAGCTATCGATCTGAAAGTCCTCGAGCAGCTTCCATATCTCAAAGCCTGTATCATGGAATGTACACGCCTCAGCTATGGACTGAGCGCCCGCAATCCACGGACGCACAATGAGCCTGTTATCTACAAGGACTGGGTCATTCCTGCTAGGACTTGCTTGAGTATGAGTATTCCGGATCTCAGTCACGACGAAGAATTCTTCCCCAACTCGAAGGAGTTTCGACCAGAGAGGTGGCTGGGCGATGCGAAGACGGCGGATGGGACCCCGTTGGACAAGTATATGGTCAGTTTTGGAAGGGGCACAAGAAGTTGTCTAGGCATCTCGTAAGTTATTACCAAGTCTTCCATTTCTTTCTCGAAGTGTATTGTTTCCACAGGGCTTGCTAATTCGTCTTAGGCTGGCTTGGACAGAGTTGTATCTTGTGTTGGGCATGATGTTCCGTGGCTACAAGTACGAACTCTTTGACACTGACATCAGTGACGTGGAGATGGGTCACGATTACTTCATTCCTCATGTTCGGTTCGAATCGAAGGGAGTCCGGGTCATGGTCTCTGCTACGAAGGATTGAATGAAAGTATCACTTTCTCTTGTAATCTCATACCAGTGGCGTAGTTTGCTCCCGGAAGAACTCTCGAAATGACAAGCCAAAGTAATACCGTGTTGTGTCTCCAATACTTGTAAATTTTTCACTGAATCTACTGACCATGCTTGTCTGTTACAATACTCGCTCATCGCGATCAAGCTTCTACTAATACTGACACTTGTCAAGACCCCTCAAACATCAAAATTCGCCCCTTTATTTACTTTCCAATCTTCCAAAGTCTGTGAATTTGGTGAGGAATTTAGGTACCTGAGTACTCAATACGACTCCCGAGTCTCACCCTTTTGCGTCCCCTGCCCTTGCCGAACTCGCGCGTAGGTGAAGTTCGTGGGTATTGCGGCACTTGTGGTTTTAGCCGCCGCCAACAACGCCGAGGTTGGTCCTCCTCCTCATTGCTTCGAACACTCCCGACTCATTTCTAGGCCGCTGCTACCTTGTCAAAAAACAGGACAGATGCATTGGCCAACGTTCGGGGACTGTCGAAAATCTCAAACCCCGGTCACCCATTAGACGTCGAGCAGAGACAGGTATTCTGCACCTTGCGAGAGATTTGAAGAGACGCTGACATTTCCCCCAGAAATTACTAGGTTTCTCTTTTCTCTCAGTCTTGTTCGACTCGGCTCATATGGATCATGGATAACGCGGCTCATTTCCAAAGCCCTCAATCCTCTGGCCAAATCTATATACCCATCGCTTAGCGGCCAGCAGCAAGTTGGTCCTGATACCAGCGACTCTTCCTGCAATTCTTTCGAAGTTCGCAGATCATCCAACCCACTCTCTTTCTGGAACGCCGCGAGATAATCCTCTAGTACTTGGCTCAGCCCTTTTTCCAGATTCAAGCTTTCAATCAGCAAACCATGGGATGCTATGATATCACCTTTGTCGGTCGTATGTGACGATGCCATCCAATACCCCAACATCGTGCTTTTGGGCCTACGGCAGTCATTACCAAGCTCCCGCTTGAATCTACCCAAGAGTTCCAGGACAAACTCCAAGTTCAAATGGCATGTTTCGCATGGCTCCAGCACCATCGCTTTTATTAGACGTTTGTCCCTCGGGTGCACCAGAAGCCATCTTCCGCGTGACATCTCCTGCTCGAGATTTTGAACAAGAGAGCAAGCTTCTGTTGCTATTGTTCTCGTTCCAGTGGTCGACATTGATGATAGGTCGTCAGGTGCTATTGTCTCTTTCCACTTCGGATCCAACTTCAGTAAAGCCCATCTGAGGCTTCGGAGGTCTGTCCTAAATGTGACGGCTACGATCTCTACAACAATCCAGTAGAACACCCTGTCACGTTCGGACTGGTCTTCTTTGGCAATTTCGGTCAAATTAGGGTATGGAGTGGCTGGAAAATCTTCGTTGCGGTACTGTGCAGGCGATTGGGTATCATCGAGAACATCCTTTCTGCTGTCTTGTATCTTCTCTTCCAATTCGTTCGCGCTCGATTCGGCTTGATATGATGGTTTCCATGGTAGTTTCGATTTCAGAAAATTTATTTTTCTGCGTCCTACTTTTATTTTGTTTCGTGCCAGCTGTGAATTTTTCATTGGCACATGCGACGTTGTAAGGAGGAGGCGGATATCTTCGGGCTTTTGAGTGTAGGTCTGGAGAAATCTGTTCATCAATAGAGCAGACTGGTATTGCTTATATAGGTGCTTCTTGAGCCGAACTTTGGTTCCATCGATGATTGTTAAGCTAGGTTGGGCTGTTACATGCGTCAACTGTGATTAGCTCAACTGGCGATATTCATGCAGCCAATAGGCCTACGCTGAAGTAAAAACCCCCGATTAAGTCACAGATGACTACAAGAAAGGCGAGTTAATCAGGTTGCCAAATCACCGGCCAAAATGCTACCGAGAATCACTCACTGATCCATGGTATCAAGTTCATTCAGCAACTCAACCACGAATTGACCTGGCAGTGGATTATTAACGGGGTAAATCGGATGATAGCAACAGTTAATCATTACTTTATTGGCCCTAAAACTTTTTTGAGACCGCCTTCTCTCTCTAATGAAAATAAAGCTTTTGATAATGCGGAGGCTGCTGTGTGTTGTATTATTTCGAAAGATGCGGAGCGCTGGGTATATGGAGCTTGAATATGGAGGTGATGCTAGTGGCATACAGGTAAATAATTTGTGATACACTGCGCGCGAAATAAGTGAATAGAAACGCACCGCCAAATGCTTTACTGCATTTCCGATAACTAATAGTGATGAGGGAAGTGGGAGATACTTCGTCCCAATCGTTTGCGCCCCACGCTTGACAGCATTTCCCAATGCGTATCTTATGAGCTGAAGCAAGATATAAGGATGGGTATGTGCTAACATGTGTTTAGTGGGCTGATTTTGTGGTATTGGTCATGTAACTCATGGTGTACTGAACTCGACGTGCTTGGTGAACCACGCCTGTAGGGTAGAGTCCGCCTTCGCATTATATACAGGGCGCCATTATCCACATAGTCTTTCCCCTGGTATCTCAAGTAGTGTAATTCGGCCAACTTCCATGTGTCCAAAGCCCACGTTATGGAATTGAGTGACGAGATTTCGCTAAACCACGCACCTCCCCCGGATCCAGCAGGGGCATTCCAATCTTCCCGCTCCGGCAGTTTCAACCCCAGATTCTTACTCCTCATCTTTATTTCCCACGAGTTGAAGACATCTCGATGGATGCTCATGCGACCGCTATTCAGAACGCATCCGGCGAGTCGTTTGTCGTCGCTGCATCGTGTGCTTCCGTTTGTAGGGTAGAAGGTTCCGTTAGTTGGTGATACATATATACTTGCCATTCGATTCCGAGTCGGAAACTTCAATTAGTCCTCCCTTGCTTCAGCTTATTCCTTCACCCCACTCAGAACTTTCCGAATTATTCAAGAATGGCTCGTTGGCGGACCATGACTTTGGACCATGGCGACGATCTCGCTCGCTTGGAAGCGCCTGTCACGCTTTGAGGGTATCTGATTTGCGCGTTTGCTGCATTTGGGGGGGTACTGTTTGGGTGCAACTCCGGGTACATCAGTGGCGTACTTGCGATGAATTGCTTTAAGCAGGAGTTTGAGTACGTTTGAGGGATACACGATCGGCGCGTAGGCTAGAGGGTAACAATGATCAGAAACTATGATACTTCAAGTTCACCGGACGAACTCGATTCTATCAAAGTGACCTCTCTTCGGGTTGGAGGCTGTGGAAGATCAGTTCTAACTACTGAAAGTTTGATTCCATCTAGGGTGGATGCGTTGACATCAGCAACGAACTTTTCCGCAGACTCGATATTGCGGAATGCGAGTTGCCAGAAGCGCGCGGCTCCCAATATTTCGCCATTCGCCTTTCGCCAGTTGAGCCCAACCGCCCTGAGATCAGCGTACGCCGAAAAATGGCCAGAGACTCTATCAGGTGACCAAGGAGGAAGTTTTCCTCCATTGATACTACCAATGCGCACCATAGAAAAGCCATGGTTCTTAGGCAATTTAAACTGCAGATAGGGAAAGCGGCGGACGAATTGTCGATCAGCATTTGGCTTGGGACACATGACCGAGAGCAGAGTGGGGTTTGACGCGAGACCAGACAATACCAGCAAAGAACTTAATGCATCGTTAATGGCGTAGTGTCCTTTCTTTGTCCAGTGACGATCATTCAAGCCCATTGATTTCAATACGCGCGTGAGTCCTGGTTTTCCGTGTGTAGCAGTCATCGGTGCGAATTCGTGGTGTCGCTGCCACGCGAAGTCTTGTACATCCAGCCAAGCCGCAAAGTAGGAGAGAATCGTCGAACACTTTTCAGTTATCCATTTGAATTCTTGATGGAGATCGAATCCGACAAGTACGAGTGGTCCTTCGTACTTGGAAAGTATGCTCTCGATGGTAGATGCAACGTCTTTTGGCTCACTCTTGATGATCTGACCGACCAGAGTCTGTCTGTAAATTTTCCGTCGCTCCAAGATCTGGATAGTATACGTGTCGGCCCAGCCCTCATGATGTAGTTGATGAACACACTCATATGATCGGAAGCGTTCGTTGTTTGGTAATAGGACGGCTATTCCAACTTCGTTCACATCCGCACAAGGTTTCTTCCGTCCATTTATAGTTCGGCTGGAATTTTCGATATCCAATGCCACTAAAACAGATCTCGAATTGCTTTCCTGGAAATCTTTGAGGCTTGGGATCCGGGAGTTCCAAAGGTCTTCATCGATGAATTTTGGGGGCGCGCCCGTCTTGGACTTGTATAGCATGGTTGTATAGCACGCTTTAATGAATAAGCAGGAGATTATATAGGTAGGAGCTGGTGTGGAGCAACTAGTAGGGTTTGAGAGATGGAGTTTTGCTAGTTATGTACGCACTGTAATGGAGGTTGCAAATTGTCTCGGGCTAAATCTGGAAGAGGAGTTGACTCAGCCACTTTGGGTACAATCAATAGCAGGAGGTCGAAATGTAAGCTACCAAGTACGTGGTCGCCTTCGCTGAACATTCGTTCCAGCAACTAATCATTACAGAGATATATATAATCAATTATATCTCGATGATATCAGTCTCTCAGCCATAGGCACAGTATTCCCGTCGGAACATCCTCGAAGCTTACTGAATTACGAAGCCATGAAATCTCTAAAACCAGACCACTTCCGCTGTACAGATCTAACGCAATACCATCAGGCTAAATATCTAAATCGGCTCCGAATTCATTATACCTGCGTATGTAGTTATTCAAAAGGTGTGTATCTTGCATAGTGCGGGATTTAGATTACGTTTCTAGGACATTCACCTACATCAATTGATGCATCCTAGGTACACTTACATATGTACATATTCAGATTGCAAGATCGGGGGGAATCGTGTCATGACACGATAGGACATTATTCATTCCATTTCCACCGTACTTTGTCCTTGAGATTGGGGCTGGGACTTTCGTGACCTTGAGGCCCAAGGTACCTGTGGCCCCGATTACACCACCTGACATACTAATGACCGTATAAGAAATGAAGGTTCCTCCGCCAACCTGTCAATCTCACGCGTTAACCACACTCCGCCACACCGCTTTCGAAGGCTTTATATGCTATAACGAAGCCTGAGATGATATATATAATGCATCTGAAGGGCCTTCGGATAAAAAAGCAGGTGTCTCTGTGGACGTGGGGTGCTGTCTTTTGCACCTTCCGCACCTTCCCCAGGACCGGACGTCAAGTCAGGAAGTCACGTCACGTACCGAGAATACTTCCACTTTGAAAGACCACTGCTGAGCTAGCCTACTGATCGGTAGCCTTCACGTATGTATCCCGCATTTACTATGCAGTCACTATGTCCGGACTCGAGGTACCCAAGTTCCAACGTCCAGTACCATAATGTATGGAAGCGAATTGCTGACGCTGGCAATAATGAAGACTACGTTAACAGTCAGATGTGCAAAATATTCTTCATGGTTTGAGTACGTACCCGCTGATACAATGACTCGATCCTATCACTGATAAATCAATGCTTTCGGACAATGCACGGCTCAGCAGTATTAGCTCCACCCTTACAATGACCGTCATGCTACTAGAAGTACAGGAAAGATGAATTGACTTATTGAGTTTACATGGAATATATTAAAATCGGTTCTAGAGCTAACAGAAGTAGTACTGTAAGTTCGACTGTGCTAGTATTGGATGGCAGAATGATCAATACAGACAATTATGTGTACGTGAGATGAGTGGAATTGGTATCCTGCTGGTGTTTCACAGCATTAAAATCTATCAAAAGTTACCGACTAATAATGAATTGGTGATTTTTCTTCCATGGATTCATTCCTGAAGTGATTTCACTATTCAAGAATGTGCGCGCCTGTGATTCCAGACTCTGCGTGTCTTCACAACTGGCATTGAGACACTGGGCGATTATGCAGACATATCAACTCATAGTTACTACATCTCCCTGAAAGATTGCTGATCACTTATTTTTCCTAAATTGTAGTACTGTACAGGCTAATGATTGTAATCTAGAATAAGCCCACAAGTTTGAGGCCACTCTAGATAACGGCTTGGTGAAAAGATCATTGTAAGATAATAGAGAGTGTAGGGTAAAGGATAGAATCTGTTTCAGTGACAACAATGACGGGTACCCGAGGCGCCCGACCCTTTTTTCGGCATAAATCCCCCTACCCAGGCGCGGACAACCAACCAACCAAAATAACCCATCCATCCTGCTTTGCTTTGTCCGTAAAGTTGTGGTCGAACTTCTACGTCAGCCATGGCCAAAACCGTATCGCTCAACACGCCTGGCCACCTCTTGCGAAGATACACAGCTACCATGTCCATACCGTTCGTGATACCCCCTATTTTTCTAGTTAGCGATACGAAAGTTCCTAGGGCGACAACAAAATACTCAGACAAACAAAGAGTTTCAGAAGAAAAAACATACCACTTGTCCACAGCTTTCCCCCATTATCAATCATCCACCTCCTGTCCTCATACCACTCGGTTCCCGGGAATGACTTCTTCAAATCGTCCATGACTCCTCTTGTCCCCGTCGCCTTCTTTCCCTCTAGAACCCCCGAAAATCCCGCTACATAGACTCCCGAGCAGACGGTAAGTAGATCTACCTTCCCCTCCTCCACATGGGCTTGTACCCACTTGCATGTTGCAGCGCTGGGTCGTGTACCTGGCGGGGGACCGGGGATCAGGAGGATATCGACTTTGCCTGGTGCGACCGCTAGAGAGGTCAAGGCATGTGTGGAGACCAATGATACAGAGGCAGTTGTATCGCATGTACGTAATTCATCGGCGTTAATCCTTTTAGTCTCTGCATTCCCTTCGCCATTGTCTGCGTTCACGCCTTCGCCCTCTTCAAGGGGAGGAGAAACGACGTAGGAAATCTGGAAATCCTCATCGGGCAGCGCAACGTTTAACAGTGGGGAGGGCAGGTTGCAGGCTTCGAAGTAGGAACGGCGGAGCATGGCGAAAAGGTCGATGGGGCCCAGGTCAAGGAACTGGATAGGAGAAACCAGAAGAACCGTTATATGAACCATGATTCCTTATTCTTCGACTCTTATCTTCTGGGACTTGTTGAAGTCTATTTGCCGCAGTAGTCGCAGTGGTCGTCTTTATCTTTTATCTAACGAGTATGAATAACAAACAATATGAACTTGATGTACAACGATTTGAAAAGATATTTTTCACTATAAATAGAAACTTCGCTCAACTATTTTCATGCGCACACGCACGCGTATTTGTACTCAAACCGCGTGCGCAAACATCCCTGCCGTGGTAAGACGAGGACTAGGTGAATGTCGGATCGGCGAGTTACCATAATTCCGTCCCGACCCGTCCCGTCATCACAGAATTCTTGTTATCTCTCACATTTACTGCTGCCTTACGCTCAGAGCTGGTGCCTATTTGACAGATATCAATGGCCTATATAGTTACGTACGTAAATAGTATGTTGGGTGTGGATGAAGCAGCGCATACGGAGGCCGCGGCCATGTTTTGCTGAGAGGGTTCTACACCTGCGATCTGCTCTTATCAACAGATGTTCTGCGCGACGAGTAAAGAGATAGACTGCGAATAGAGTGTTACACCAAGGGACCATGGCTCTCGCATTAGCTATTGATTTAAAAAAAGTTCAAATTCATCTCAAGATTATATATACAATCCCGTCTGTACACAATCCCTTTCAGAGTGCGCTCTGTGTAATGCGGTTTTTCTCATTGGTATCTGGTAACACTTGAATCCATGATGTCTCAATGATTCGTGAGACAGCCTGGTATACGGCCGTAATAGTCTAAGATGTGATTGATAGCAAATTCATGCTCCGGTAATATTCCGAGCTGACGTGATTGCTGTCAGTCATCCTGGAGTGAGCATGCACAGATGCCGTCTTTTACGCTATGCCGGTCCGCTTTATTATGGCAAGCAGTTGGACCTAATTCTGGTTAATTCAGTGATAGCTGTGAGGTTGCCTCACGTATCGAGGCGCCCTTACCAACACCGCCCGAGTATGTAAGATCCCGATCGTCATCAGTATCGCTTGTGCGTGTAGGGGTGGGGGCGGGAATGTAGTACATATGACAGCCTCGCGCTTAGACTATATGCCCTCCACTGCCAGACTCATCGATTTATCCAAGCGGAAGCAGGCGCACAAGATTGGGTTCCTCGCCACGAGAAGCGCATCTCGGCTTGATTCAAGAGATCAACACGCGACTAGAATGCGCTTGAGCGCATATAACCATAATGCGAGTCGTGTTCGAACGACCTGTGCGATGCATAAACCAAGAAATATTATAGGGCCTCCTACCTCAAATCCTGCACATCGACTCGTTTTGTATTGGAAAGGGCACCGTAGTCGGCATCTAGAATGAGGCTATGTGCTCAAAATTCTTTTCGAGTTTTGATCTCCCGCTTGTTGATCCTGGAACATAGTTATGACCAATTGACTGGTGAATCCTCTGAGAGACTCTTTGCTACAGTCGCGTCACCAACATTTCTTGGAGGGTTCAGCGGAACCTGATCGGCATATCTTTAGAAGAGCAACCATGAAAACTATCTCTTGACACCGAGACGTTCTTGCAAATGGGGACCTTTAGTTCTTGGGAAATAACATGACAGGTCTGTAGCCCTCTGTTTTGAGGTTTTGTGTTCATACTCATCTGCAACAATTCTCAGAATATCTCATTACTCAACATATCGTATCAATCATGAAGGTCTCTTCTCCTTGGGTTTTCTTCTTTTTCGCAGCCGGCAAAGCAATGGCTGGCTGGTGAGCTCTACTACATATACCTTTGCAATGAAAAAAGAATATGCTAACAGCTCTTGACAGGACCTCTCTGGGTGAGCCAAGCTCGTTTCCATGCAGCGAAACCTGCAACAGCATCTCCCCAGTTTTCTCGGACAAGAATTTCGATAAGCTTTGCGAGAAGCTAGTGAAGAACGGGTAAGAGGGCATCACGTTCCGATCTGAACAGCACTGACAGGTATTACTAGATGTGATGACAAGAAAGCTGCCGTCTGCAAAGTCGGTGCTCTTGTGTTTGCACATAGGGACGTAGTCGGCTGTCAGACGAGCCGACCAGCCAGTTTAGAAGAGTGCAGACGTACTTTTTTGGCTGCCTACGCCGTTCCGGGTGTCACTCATGGCATGGGAGGTGCTCATGCCTGGTATGTCGATGTAAAGAACGATGGAGGCGTGGTACTTGGTAGGATCGGAGTTACCGGATCGTGTGCACCCGTTTCACCCGATCCGCTTGCAGGTTGTTAAGGTGCGGCGCAGCACTTGTGTAAGAGATGCGAATAAACGTTCTCACAACGGCTATATTATAAAATTAGCCCAATGAAGTCTCGTATGCCTCCCTTGTTGAGTATCACACACCGTGACGAGTGATGGTAACAAGGAGAGCTGAAGCGGCGATTGTAAGATATTGGAGCGCAAAGCTTATCCAGGCACCTTATTCTGCAACACATTAATCTCGTCGTTTTCTGCTTGAAATGCCGGTGGCTCGTAGAGAGTGTCTTTTACTATAGTGTGCTTTGCCGTTTTCATAACTTTCTCTGGGCTACCTGTATTCCTATGGTAATTGCCCACTGAGCAGGTAAAATCATTTAACAACCTCTGGAACTGCTCCCTCATTACTGAGTACTGATTATCGTCAAATCTGAATTCCTCAATTTCGCGGCGAAGGACATTGAACTTCTCTTGGATCTCTTCTAGCTTCCTTGGAAGCTCCGATCCATCTCCGGCATTCGCCTGGTGGCGCTCAGTCAGGTGAGATACACCGCTCTTCGAAAGAGCCTGATGACTAAAAAGTATCCCCTCATTTTTCCTTTCACCCAGGACTTCGGGGTGAACTGATGCATAATGAGAGGGAATAGCGTTTTGTTTCTGAGGTGGAGATTCCGCTCCCCTCCGCCGCTTGAGGAATGCCGCCCCCAACGGAGATTTCTCTTGGAGCGGTGGCGGTTCAAATGCTTCTCCATTGCTGAAGACGATGGGAAGCTCATCCTTGATATCCTCACACGTGCTCGAGGTATTGTGTGCATGCTTGCTGACAAGTCTTGAGAACATATTCGGCTTCCTAAACAGCCTTTGCTGTCTTGCACCCCAACAGTGCCGTCCCTGACACCTATGAGTGGAGGTAATAGGAGGCAGGAATTCCAAGTCTTGACCGAGACGCAGTGGCCCTTGTTTGTTGTATTGGCTTGCTGCTCCCAAGCTGGAACTGATGCGTTTCAAGCTGGAAAACTGAGAAATAAGAACGTCGTATCCGCCCGGAATCTTTGTGCAGTCTGTACACGAAGATCCTTCATAATGAGGTCGAATCACTTCCTCAAGACCGCATGCGAACAAGGTTGGAAGAGAGTCGATGATTTCGGGCCAGAGTCCTGCCGTATTCTGTAAAGTGACACTTCTTCCTCTAACTGGAACGCCTCTAACAATGTCCATCAGCTCCCATCCTTGAATAGAAGGTCTCCCCAAGGTCGATATTTTCTTTGCAGCCTTCTGGCAAGCTGCCAAGTGCAATGGAATCCACATGGATAGCGCAAGATCTGCGAGCATACGTCCTTTGGTAATTGAGATGTCGCATCCGCGAACATGGCTTTCCAGCAAGTCCAAGCACTCCTTCGAAGACTGATCAACGTAACTAAACATTATTCTAATTGCAAAAAGTTTCTCTTCGGTAAAGGTGGTCTGTAGCTTACTGAGAGGCCAATGACGTTTTATATCCTTCCATAGATCTCCGAGCGTGTTAAGGCGCCTCCAAAGTAGAAAGATTTCCGTGGGATCTATTCCTTTCGCGTGGAAATCAGCTTCCAGTGCACTGTCCGGGAGGTTCTTTGGATCGCGTCCGAGTTCCAGATCTTCACTTCGAGCAAGGGCAATGAAGGCGGCTTCATCTGCGTCTGAAGTATATTCGGCAAACGGCACATTACTCGGATCCAAAATGCCTTTCTCAGTGACACGCAGATGTATCATCTCCAAAGTAGGCTTAACGTGGGCACCAGCCAGGTCTTTCGCGCAGCAGGATCGTACAGGCAGCAAGTCTGACCTTTTGCTACCTCAAGCATCTCAGCAAATTTTGTAGAAGCCGGAGGTATCAATGAATTTGGAGGTAAGGTAAAAGCGGCAGTTCCATTAATCGAGAAGTAAGGCGGTGCGGGCGAAAAGACCCCTCCAACTGTGAGGGTAGACAATTCTGGTTGCCGGCGGTAGTTCTCTGTACGAGTCCAAGTCGTGTTCGGGCTTCTGGATATTGTTCCGAGCGTTATGTTTGACGTCAAGAACCCATTCAAATATGTGCACTTGCTTGCGAGCTTACAGATTTCGCTCTGGCGTACCCACAACTTCTTTTCCTTGTCCGGTATGTTGTCCCAGAAGGCAAATGGATCAGCAGCGCCCTTTGTAACAACAATGTGCCAAACTACAAATGCATTTGCTTCCTGGACAGGTACAAGGATGGTGTTAAACCCGACTAGAACTGTGACACCTTCTATCTCGATCCCCTGCCGGACGTGCGATATTGATAACATAACTTGGAATGGAATTCGGAGTCCCGGGGGTCCTGGTCGTTGACGCAGCATGTTGTCGTTTACGATCAGTATATTCTTCACAAGATCTTTCCAGCAGCTATCAGGATACCACCGGCAAATTTTCAGAGGCTCCAGGCGCATTAGGATCTTTCTTGAACCTTCAGTGTACGCTGTGGGCGCTGATGTGTCGAATCTCACCCTGGACAATGTGATTCCGTCGAGCTTTTTCCGTCTAATGGCAGCGGTCAACCATGCAATTGCAGCCGCAATTTCCAAGATGGTCTTCTGAGATCCTTGAACTATGGCACGAAACCTTTCTGGCGTTGCTTCCACCTCCTTGAAGTGATCGCCCACAGGCAATGGCAGTAGACCACGCTCTGACTCGGGAAATTGGACTTAAGAGCAGTTAGCTACAAGCTATACTATCTTCCAAACAGCATACCTAGATAGTTCAAACAGCTTTGAAATACTGCCAAAACAAGCAGGCCTATCTTCTGCCATCGTTCATGCATGTAGTTGAGAACGGTGTCGCATTCGATAGCATATCTTGATCCAGTAAAAACTAACATAGATTCCAGTCCAACGTGGCCGGATTCTTGTTCCAGAGCCTCCGATATATCCCAGAAGGACTCGAGCTCCGCACCAGTCGCGCCCCCATCGATGAATCTTCGTGGCCCCCATGGCTGCATTTTCATCAGCTTCTGCTCAAAAGAAAGGATTTCGTCATCCATTAATTCGTCAGCTAAATCATCTTCTACGTCAAAGCTGGAGGTAGCATCAAGATTCCGTCCGGTGCCGTATGATGGATTTGCAAACTGATCTTCAACATGGTGATGCGATGCTGAGTCTGCGTGTCGGGACTCCTCTGTGTTCTGGATAGTAATAGTGTATGACATATTTGTTTCGCATAGGAGATATGGATGATTTTGAAATGTTCCACATCAACCTGATGAGCTAGATCTAAATATTCGTTTCCGACTGTCAAGAACTTCTGCCCCGCGACCTCTGTCAGATGCCAAGAATTGTTATCGGCAAGCCACCATTCCATGGCGAGGCAATATAGTTTACCCGATGAGCTGCAGTTTGTCGCTGCCGGCCAATTTTCAGCTTTCAGCCTGAAGAAATGCGATGTGACTTGGCTTACATGCAGATGCGCATTGGGTCATGAACCCCCGCGCCGCATCTACTGCCCCAAAGGCTTGAATCCTCGACGTGATGGAAACACTTGGACGACGCGACCTTTGTTATCCTGTTTTTATCCACCGAGAAGCCCCGTAGTCTTCAAGATGCTGGGTCTTACGTACGTTCTCTTCTGTTAATCCAGGCGTACGTTATGACACTAGTACTAGGTGCAATTTGAGGGTGTTCTCAACGGGCGCTGAACGAATAATCGTGTATGAAACCCGTCCGCAAATGGCTGACCGGTTTTTGCCTTTTTTGTCTTGGCCGGGTGGGTTCACCGGTCACACACGACGATAGGTGCACGAAGAAGCCACAATAAAAGGACGAGGATGATCTGCCCCTTGCAGAAATAGGTAGCATACGGAACCTGTAGTGATCCTGCAGGTGTAGTTACTTATGGTTTACAAAGCTAGAACTAATCAACGCAACATTATCTACAATTACAGCGTTGATTCCCGCAGCAGCTTGAGCCTTGTTTCTTGTTAGACTAGAAGTTGCACTATCGTGATAACTGTACGATTCACCTACCTTAGCGTTATCAGGATCGTTGTTCAGCGTTTCAAAAGACCAGCAGATCAGTACAGCGTCCTTCGCAAATTGGACGAGGTTTAGGCTGGCGACGAATGGCTCTGATGACATTACGACGCCCGGCAGACTCCAACGCCGAGCAAACTAAGACTAATAGATGTCCCGGTATGAATAACCGCAGTGGGCGATGTCGATGACTGACGTTATATCTTGAACACGAACTTCGATTTTCGAGGGTCGTCGGTGTGAAAAAGAAAAGGCTAGTACGTTATGTCATCCAGTACAGGAAGGTCAAGGGTGCCAACATTTCCATTCAATCCCAACCCCGATACGGAAAAGGAAAATCCGATTTCGGGATACGGATTATTTGGATAATAGTGAAGATATGGCGTGAGGTTAATCGCTGGCAGAGGCTACTGGTGTTCAATGCTCCAAGATTGACGAAACGCGGGTGAAGATCTCGATTGCAACGGATGATGAGCTACAGGATGATTGGGGCAGGAGCCGAAGAATTGGAGCAGGAGCAGGAGCAGGCGCAGGTGGAGGAGGAGTTGAGAACGGGGTTGAGAGGGTTGCCGCAGCATGAGCATGACGAGTTGTAGACACCGCCTTTTTATGTTGAGAATCGCTTTCTTCAAGAAAGCAGCGTACAAGAGAAATCTGCAGCTCAGGCTACTATGTACTACCAAGCCTTGCGCACTGGACTTTTTGCGAAACTATGCTTTACAGTGAAGTTCTTTATTTACGCTAGGTTACATCCTTTTATAAACAAACATTGACAACACTATGTCACTTCACATTGATGATGTCCACGCACTTGATGCCATGGGCGGACCTCCCCTCATTTGAGCTGCTGCACAAGGAGATCGCCAGATTATAGATTATTTGTTGGTTCACGGCGTGGATTTAAATAATTTGGACCTCTAGTGGACCGGCGCAGTCTCTTACGCTGATGAAAGTAATTATCTTCTTTGCATCCGATTGCTTCTCGAGGCAAATACAGTACTGGGTCTAGGTCCTGTTTGACGCATAGCGTGGAGTAGAATTTGGGGAAAGAGGCTTACAGTGAAGACACTAAGAAGAAGAAAACTAGATATGTGAGGCAACAACTTGTTGATTGTAAAGGACACAACTACTGGTGCATGCAGCAGGTCTAGAGCAATCTTTGAAGTCACATTTGAGGTGTGAGCTCAACACGATGGACGAGAAGCGATTGCGAAATTTCCTGTTAGTATCACCTTCTGTGAAGATTGATTTATGCTTGAACTAGCAGGGTGCTATCTTTTATAAAGTGCACTTTTTGGATTGGGAACTGGATGAAATCGCATGACAGTTGTGTGAAAGTATCTCTAGAGGTGCGGCTGGATATAAGATGTGAATTTGACTTTCACTTCCACATACGACCATAGGACCATGAAAACAGAGCTTCCCGTCCGCTCAGCTGTACTTAAGCATGGTACCGGCGGATTAGTAGTTAGGTGGGTGACCACTAGCGAATACCTGCTGTTGTATGTTTTTTGTCCTTTTTTTGCTTTCTGGCGGTCCATTCAAACGCGTGTAGGCCACTATCTCTGACACTGACGAAGGTGTTCTTCCCAGTCGTTGTTTTTGGACAAACCGTTCCAAGCCTTCAAGCTTCTGGATAATACCTTCTTCTAGCGTTATCAAAGCTCTTGTCTCGGAAGAAAAGTCACCCTTCATGTCAAGATTCAGTATCAAAGTCTATGATGGTCGGCGGTGTGCTAGCGCCTGATAGATTCTCGATTTCACCTAGGAGATTCGCTAGAATCCTTAGATGTGCGCTAGGCTGTATATATCATAAAACTACCATCTTCTACCAAACCACTGTGACGTGAATAGGCTAGACAATCTCGCACCTGTTATTGCGGGCGAAATTTTCAGTCAACTCCTTCCGACAATACTGGTAGGAATCGTGACCGGCAGAGCCCTTCGCAAAGTTAATGTCTAATACCATTTTATCCAATTTGTCATTGTGATAGCACTGCCTGTTTGAACCCCACATGCACTTCCTACCATCGTGCACATATGGGCAAATCGTCGCCATATCGACACCCTCGCCGACCAAGCCCAACCGGTAGCGGGTCAATCCAGATTCGGACCAATAAGATAATTCCCTATTGCGAGTTTGTGGTTAGAGGGCAGGACTTTGAGTGTGCACGACTTTGGGGGATACTCACTCGAGTTTGACAGTACAAGGCCCCCAGACAGGAACTTCATCGTGGCAGTGAACTCGGTCATCTGTAATCCAGCCTGGCACTCCCTCCTGATCTCGATAGTAGGAGATGCATGGGTATTCGGCTGTAAATATACTCATATGGAAATCGTGATCTTTGGGGTGAACACGCTTAGCGAAGTTCATACCGAAATAGCAGGCAGGGTACGAGCCGTCAGTGATGATCTGGCTGTTGTCGGTTTTGCCGTTGTTACAGTCGCGTACGTTCTTAATCATTTTGTGAAGTTCGTCACCTTTCAAGCCGTAGTCGCCCATCAGTTGTAGGTACTTTTCGTCCAGTGGCTTAGCATCGACACCATCCTTGGCTCCTCCCCAGGGCCGGTGTTTGATCACGAGGCATGAGTTTCCATCTCTCAGTGTGCCCAGGGCTGTGCAGGGCTGGACCAAGCCTTCGTTCCACGCAGGTAGCTCCTGCTCGACATAGACATGCATCGCTGCCAGAAGATTGCCGATGAGACCTCGCTGGATATTTTTGAATCCTTTCTTTATGCCTGTATCGACTTGGCTCTTGTATACTGGAGAGAGCCAGTGGCCGCCTTTGAGCAGTTCGGAAACGGGCGACTTGGCATCCTTGTTGAGGCCTTTCACGCCTAGTCCAGACATTCTGCCAACCATTTCGCGAACCAGATCATCATTGGATCCATTTTCAGGCAGAGCGCCGAAGATGGCCAGAAGGGTTTTCTCCAACTTCTGCTGAGTACTCCCGAAGAATCTTCCAAGGCGATCGTTCATCACCGATGCAAGGTCTTGATACTCAGGGATTTCCGTTTCTTCCTCTTCCAAGTTGTCACTCACAGCCTACTGAATTGTCAGAGAGAGCAAAGACGTGTTGGAGCAGACTTACCCCGAAAGTACCGCCGATTAAGGATAAAAGCCCCGCTGCTACTGCTCCTCCTCCTCCGGGTATCATGCCAAACAGGGCAGACATGGCGGTTGGCCCTAGGTGTAAAGTTAGACCAAAATTGTAGTCAATCGAAGATCACGACCTACCAAGAGCGATATTTTTGAGTGTGAGCGCAGTGTCCGATCCCTTGGGTGGCTTGAGAAGGTCAAATTCCGATATGATAGTATCCACTTTCAAACTATCTTTGATGACTTGGTTTTCAAGATTGTCATGGATACTCCTGAAAGCCGAATTGATTTGAGCAGCCATGGTGCGAACAAAATGGTCTGCGTGAATGTTCAGCACTTCACATGTTGCTTCTCAAACGGGATTCAACTCACAACTATATTTGTCGCACTGTGCAGGACCCTGAGGTGCTGAGCAGCTGGTCGAGCTTATATGTGCGCAGTCAATCGCATTGGTATTAGATCCCAGTACGTCCTTGCTGAGTTCCTGAAGCCAATTGACTAGAATTGAGATGTTAATGAAAATAGATGGCTGAACGCCCTGTATGAATTTACCTGGACCATTTTTGTCAAGCCAGTTGCGCAGAAGTTTTTCTCCGCCGCTTGCAGCCCATGATGAGGGTGCGAAAGGATCGAGCTGGCACTTTGGTGGGTCTTTGGACTGAGGGAATGGGGTAGCCTGCGTACTGGCCGCCAAAAAAAGAGTGGCAAAAGTTGGGTAGGATAGAAATAACATGATTGTGCAATTGATGATGGAGGGGAAAAGATCGAAAATGAAGATTATTCAGTGCGAGATGTTGAAACCAAGAGTTCTAAAGAGATGCTTTCTGAACAGCTGTAGAGGTGAATTGAATCTATTATATATACCTACTGTTTATCCAAGACTTTTGAGAGCAGTACTGAGAACTGCACCCCATAGCTCTCAAGGTCGCAACGCTTATTGCCTCCAGGGCTGAGCTTTACGGAGTCTATACAACATAAACGCTACCACCACAAGGACGGGATGAACTGATGTGGTATCGCGATGAAGCACGAACATCCCTTGGCTGGAACCTGAAAGTTGAACGTGGGAGTGAACAGGGATGTAGGAGGGCTGAAGAAGATATAAGCGGGCCACCCCAGCCTGTGGGTCATCTTACTAAGAGGATCTACCTTTTATGTACCATTGCGCAACAACGCCACATAAGATTATAACAAATATAGATTTGATAGGTTCGCACTACCCAGCAGTATACTAAGAATTTTTACACCCCTGAATATGACGATTGCTACACGTTGGTAGGGCTCGATGCCTCCCTGGTTGACCAATCTGCTTGGCCTCTTGGACTACCCTAAGCCTCTGGCTTTTCTGAGCCTGTAAACCTCCTCCACGCGTAATATAATGTTGCCAATGTTAATGCCTATACTCTCGGCGCTGTAAACCTGCTGAAAGCTTTCTAGCTTCCTCTTTAAAATTGGTCGCCTGATGCATTACAAGCTGGCGAATAGTTTGATTATTAGGGCTTCTTGATAGATAATGAAGACATTTCTGGATAGTTTAAGCCTGGTTCTAAAGCTGATCTACTGTATGTAGTGTCTCAGCTGTCCACTGTCCCTCTACATCGCCTTCTACCTGCTGAGGTGGGCGCGGTAGGATGTTAGGAAGAGACGACAGCATACCAGATATTTTATGCGTCACACAGGGTAATTCCCGCTATCCGGTAATCAGAATGAACAATCGTCTCTGTAATATCTCCCTGGGAAACTTTTTATCGTGAAATTTTCCAAAAGATAATGATCTATCAAATCAACGCCCATCATCTTACAACTGCAGATGCTTCTTATCAACACACGACGAAGAGAGCAGTGATTCGACGAGATCTTATAGGAATATGGTTTCTGGATATTCTCCTTCCGATCGATTATCCAAAGCTAATAGACTTATCCGTCTCTCCTGTGTCATACGAAACTGAACTATCGCAGAAATTGAGTAATTTCACGCACCAACATCGACTTGGGCTTCCTTGCATAGTGTAATATCTATTGGCATTTTCCCTTCCCTTCATCTAGTTTCCGAACCATCGGTCGAGAATACCTGAATCGTCTTCAAAGCAGCATTTTAGGCTACCAATTTCAGTGACTAATATAGTATTACCTGTGTTTTCGGCAAGGTATCTCTCGCAAGTCCAGTTTGAGGCATTCGCGAATTCACTTGTATGAAGGCTGCTAGACTGTAGGGTGCTCCCAACGACCCCGTCAAAAGATATGAACCGGTCAAAGCGTAGAGGCTGATATCTTCCTTGGAGTCCGATTCTCCCAGAAAAATAAAACCCGCCATCCCTGCTAGCACTTCGTACCATGCACACCGTTATTTAGGCCTCTTAATACTGGAATATGCATGAGCGCATACAGAATAGTACAAAGCTCCGATAGCTGTGAAGATCGTTTCTAGCAGAATAGCAATATACCCACTCGACTTTTACCAGGAGATGGTAGTGCTATTCAAAGATTTTAAGACAAGCGGTCAATACAATTGCTCAAAGCTCACTCAAATTCTATTGGTCAACGGCGTTGTGGAAACGAGCTTGGCCAAATTGTTATACGTGAATGTGAAATAACCCTTACATAGATGATGATCCGCGTTCTTGCGCGGGCTTACATGAGTGTAACTTGGTCTGGGCGGACATTTAACGTTCAGCCGTACTTGACCCTAATCTAGTAAAATGCCTTATAACCATTGGTTCTCGGGCATCGGTTCCATGCAGCGATTTAGGCGTGCAGTCTGGGCACTTGGAACACGTGAATTAAAGTAGATTAAAGTGGAAACGCGGGAGGCTGAAGGTTGAAGATCCGATTAGGCCACCCCATACTAAACTGAACATTGTATCGCCCCATAAATTTCCCTGAACAATTGCATATGCTCTCGCGACTAGAAAACCACTTATTACAGAGTCTTGTAATACTATATATAGCTTTGAATATCTACATCGCCCTAATCATCTGCGAGTTCATATAACGATGCAGCGATTTTGAAGTCAGAGTGCACAACAATCTTTCGGTCCAGCTCTCCTTTTTATCAACGCACATACTTCACACCCTTCTTGTTCATTCATCTTTCTATTCATTGTTTTCTTAAACCCTCTTTCGTGAATCCATGTCATTTAAAAGTAACATGAGGCTTGCACTGCTCTTTTACATCGCGAGATTAGTCGCTGCGCAAGCGTCTGTCACCTCCACTCAAGAAATCACACTGCCAACCGCTAGACTTCAGAACGCTTACGAAGTACCCGGGAACTTTCCTAGCGTTGGATTCGAACATGGCTTCGTTCCTGGGTTCAATGATGATTTCTCCAGCAACTTGATTGACGATCTATCGCAGAGAATGAGCGAGAAACCTATCGTTCGAGTCGGTGGAACGAGCGGGTACGTTTTTGATAGCCACCTTTTCGTACCCAAGCATCGAAATCTATGTTGTAGGATATGAATAACCTTAAAACTAGCGACATTATCAAATTTAACCCTGGACAAACCGAACCCCACGTCTGCATCGAAAACAAAACCGTTTTTGTCGGCGCAGATATTTTCAAGAACTGCTCCCATAAATCCACCTTCATCCTCGGCCCTTCCTTTTTCAATGCGTTTACTAGACGCTACGAGAACGCTCGTATCTCAATCCAAGCCCCTCTTGACCCAATTCACAGCGACGACTTACCCAACAAAACCAACGTTGTCTCCTTCATCAAAGAAGCATACAATGCTCTCGGGGCTGATCGTATTGACGCGATTGCCATTGGCAACGAACCCAATTTTTTTGAGGCAGATGGGCTGGCTTACGTGCGCGATGGCCTTTCTGCTGCAAAGGACATTAAAGAAGGAGTCAACGCTACCGAAGGCCAAGAGAAGATCTGGGAAATTCTGAACACGGCGAGTGAGGTGAACCACGGTGGAAAACCCTGGGCGCACAGCTTGAAGAATATGGTAGAAGCATGGGAGAAAGAGGATAAGAGGATCAAGTATGTCGCAGAACATTACTATCAGTTTGATGGAAAGTCGCTGGGCATCGAGAAACATTTGCTCAACCACACCGATCTCGTCGAAGGTTTCAAGTTGTATCAAGACAAGATTGATTGGACGCGAAACGTGGCCAAGAGCGAGTATATTCTTTCGGAAGCTGGTGGACCATTAGGCCCGAAGTTTGAAGAGACGGGTCATTTCGCTATCTCGCTTTGGGGTGTCAACTTCATGATGTACGGAAGTAAGTAGCATTCTTCCCTATGTTCCTCGTTCAAAGCAAGCAGAGTTCTTGTTTCGTCTTTACATCGGCTTACTCTACCAAGTGAGCCACGGTGTCAGCAGAGCCAGCCTCGTCCAGCGCCCCGGCGTGATCAGAGCCCTCTGGACCCCCTTCCCCGTGAAAGGTCGACCAGGTCCCATGGTGCAAGCGCAATACTACACATATCCCTTTATCGCAGACTTCCTTGGCAAAAATATCTCCGGAAAACGCGGCGTCGTCAACATCGACCTCAATGATCCTACCCTCTCCGCCTATGCCATGTTCGAAGGTGAAAAGCTGGCTCGCATTTCTATTGTGAATCTACGCCATTATGATGGTACTGGCGACAGGAAAGCGGTGAATGTGGTACTGAAGAGTTTGGATGCGACCGTTAAGAAGGTGAGTGTGGGAAGGCTGCATGCGAGCGAGGGAACTGCGGCAGGGGGATGGGATGTGAATAAGAAGAATATTACCTGGCAAGGGCAGCAGTGGAGTCATGGAGTGAACAAGGGAAGAGTGCATGGCGAATTGGACCGTAAGGAGTTAAATGTTCAGGAGGGTGCTGTGGAGGTTGTTGTGCCTGACAGTGAGGCTGTCATTGTGTGTTTAGGGTAGAACTTTGTCTGACTAGCTCTGAAACTATGTTATCGGAGAAGATTTCACACCTGAGAAAAGCATCACTCCGGAGGCTAATCCTTTCGGCGCACCCTCTACGAGCAATGAGTCAGTGATATTGGATCTAGAAGACGCCCGCTTGGTGTGCGAAGTGAGAAGACTTTTCCTGGGCTCTTGAAAGATCTACTGTATAAGATATGATGCTTGCAGTAAGACCAGAGCAGCTGTTATCGTTAGTTGTAGGCTTGCAACACGGACAAAAGAAGGACAGGACTGCTGGCTGAGGTTAACAGTCGCGGACACGCTAATCTTACTTGTTGACGTCAAACTGATCTTAACCGAATATCCTTCATTAATTCCATTTTTTCCTGAAATAACAGTGTGATGTGGGAATGCGTGGCAGCTAGAAGTCCTTTCAGGCCCCATCGCAATAATTACGTTGGAAAGTCTATTTGTCACACTAGTCAAGCCCTCCCATCAGCTCTCCTGTGCATGTTCAAATGTTGTCAACTGACGGTTCGCTTGACATCACATGCAGACCACGTGCAGCAATAACCAGCTTAGTTCTTCCAGAAGCTGCCGAGGCATCCATTCTCTAAGATCCTGCCACACGCAGCACAATCAGTCTTCACCATTATTTCGCATAGCTTCTTTACTCCCCAAGGGCGTCAAAAAGCACGCCCCTATTGCTAGACAACTCAACCTGGGAACCAGTCTCACTCGAACTCTCGATTGTTTGGTGTTTGCTGGTGATGTCATGCGTAGCTGAGACACTAATTGCTAGGCGTTTGTTCATGGCAATCAGTAAGTCAGCATTGTCCATCTGCATTTCATTATCTTCAAGCCGCATATCAATACGGACATTGGACTTCTAGCTATGCACTTCTCAATCGACCCAGATTATGAGACCGACTAAATCGATTGCTTACGGAGAAACGAGCTTTGGCCAGCGTCGCTGGAGGTGCAAGCACGACTGAATTTCGGAATAGCCGCTTCGGAACGCACGTCGCGCAACCTCAACTATTACTGCATGCAGCAATGAGAACAAGAGCCAGTGCAATTGCAGTCGATCAGAGTGGATCAAAGAATGCCGAAAATCGAAAGGACCAAAGCAGCCTGGGTTTTCCCACATTCTCGGGGTCTATACAAGATCTTAAGGATGGAACGGCAACTTTCTTACACAAATTCGCTCAAATGGACACAGTCAAAGAAGTTGGAATATGCTTGATACGAGTACCCGGTGCAGAGCTAGAAATTCTGGAGTTTCGAAAAGCTATACTGAAGGATGGGGTGATGGCTATCTTCGAGATAGAACAAAATGCGCTCGGGTCTATCAAAATCACTAACAAGATTGGAGCGCTGAGATCAGCCGGCCAAAAGAACCGCAGGCTAGCAAAGGACTTCCAAACGGATAATCAGGAACAACATTGGAGCGACTCCGAACTGAAAAATCTGTTCAATGACTTTGGTACATCGACCGAGCAATTTTACATGATTGGCCCCACATGGATGCTGCCAGAGTATGAACCACTCCTAGATTCGGGGTCGCTCAAGGAGGCTATGGCAACAGACATACCCGGAGTGACGAGTGGGTACCTCTATATAAGTCCCGTGCCAGATAAACGCACATACACCAGACTACACAAAGAAGACTGCGACTTCGCATCCGTCAATCTAGTACTGGCTGGCGCACCCAAGGTCTGGCTATCCATCGAACCGGCGCACAATACAAGATTGAAGTTACAGCTACGCCGACACTTCCCAGAGTTGAGGAACAAGAAATGTTCAAATACCGTGAGCCACCTCAACAGCGTGATTCCTACCGGCCTGCTCGACAAGTGGAAGATCAATTACCGCATTCAAGTTTGTCGGCCAGGAGAGCTCGTTTTTACCATGCCTGGAACCTACCACCAAATTGTCAATCTTGGACGCAATGTGGCAGAGTCTATCAATCTCATGTTTCCTGGTATGAATCCTCCATCAATACATTACTTGTACTGTAACGAGAAGAGGTGCAATACCGCGGAAGCCATCGACGGGTCTTATTTTGTGCGCGAAGGCGATACTGAGCAAGGATCCTTGCATGGTACGAAAAGGCAGATAGTCGAGGGGGAAGATCGAAATCCTAAAAAACATAAAAGATAGCCCAATCAGCAATTTGAAGGTCACGATGACTAGGTAAATGCAAGGCTGAACTTTGATGTGTCTTCGGGGTTGCTGTGATAGCTTTAGATGAATTGACACACTTAAAAATGCTGATTGAGAACCAACAACAGGATAGAATATAATTGGGTGGGGAATCATGATGGAAAGCAAGGAGCATTGAGCCATGGAATAATCTCAACATCGTTAGCTGTCGTCGAAAGCTTATCAAAACTCATTTGTGGTTCTTCTTAAACCCAATATTTGACTTAATTCTCCCAAGACATGTCTTTCATCTTGATTGTATTTGAAATCGGTCACTAGCAAATGGGTGACTTGTGAAACCTCAAGTAGACATTTATTCGACGTAAACTGTTGATGGGAAACTATAACGGTTCCGTCTATGCCATTTTATTATCGTACATTCCATTTCGCGTATTCAAAATTGTTGAAGTCTAGAATCTAACCGTACATACCCAGCACAAGATAAAAATACAAGTCGGGGTTCATTGGTTTATTAGTTACCCCCTGTGGCTGCCGAATCAAAGCCTGGTTTTCCAATCATTCTCCAATGGGTACACCACGTTAACCGGCATCTCCAAAGGCTCTACCGGCGCCTCAAAAACGTTCCGAGCAACCGCCTCAAAGACCTCGCTCTCCGAACCAGTTTGGAGTTCTTTGGGGTTGAATGCTCCTTGTTGCGATTTTTTATGCTGGCGCTTCGTTCGGAGAAACCATAAGGTGACACTTGCCGTGGCTATAATTGCAAGACCGCCTAGTACACCGCCTACGATAGTGCCAGAAGGAAGTGTGTTCGATGATGGCATTCCCGTTATGTTTTGTGTTTTTGGAGTGGTCGAAGTCGCGACGTCTGGAGCTGGAGCCGGAGCCGGAGATGTAGGCGGAGCCGGAGATGTAGGTGGAGGAGTGACCAGAGGAACAGAGGGATTTGTCGCAGCGTCTGTCGAAGTAAGGCTAGCAAGCCCCGCTATTCCGGTACATATCAGCATACGGATGTCTGAGTACAATTTTTGAAGGAGGCCTATACTAACTTGACGGTGGCAGGATCTTGTATACCGTTGTGATTGTGTCTTTGTCTGCGCGCGAAGAAGTGCATGTGAGAGATGTAGTCATCCCATCAGCAGAGTTAAGGCCGTATTTTTCCAGCATATGATAAGTCACGCATCGAGATAAGGTAGTCCCACAGACAGATGTCGCAGACTCGGGACCGAGAAGCGTGCCATCGCGACAGTCAGTCCAGATTGGGCATGCCGAAGTCCCCAGTGTGGACAGATAAGAAACAGTCAAAGCCATCGTCGTGGTAGACCCTGTGGACACTGTTCCCGTGAAATAAGAAGGAAACAATGAACACCACCTTACATAACTGCTGGGAGCGATTGTGAATGGGAAAGATACCCCAAATGAGAGAGGAGCCCCTGTTTTCCTTTAGACATAGCCTAGGAACAGATACATTTACGTACACAATGTCACTATTGGGCTTTGCCGAATGTTCTCGCCATAGTAGTAATATCCAGCGGATACAGTGGTTGTCGTTATATGCACCGGGCGACTTGATGAGGATATGGGGTCCGATACGCTTGCTTGTCGAGGGTGCATTGCTGTCCCCCTATCTGCAACCACCGTATAAATCAGAGCAACAAAGAGGCAGTAAGAAAAGAGCATAATTTCACACGTTTTGTGAGTTTGAATTCAGATCTCAACGATCCGGCATCTCTAAAGGGCCGTCAGGTTGTGACTAGTCCAAATAAAAAGAGACAATGATGTTTCCAGCTCTTCTATAAGAAACCGAGACTCTAATTTCATATGCATAGCCCCCACGGCAAGCTAAATTGGAAAGCGAGGGAAGGGGAAAGTCTAATGCTAAGATTTTTACTAAGTGAAAGTCATCAGCAGGTAACAGGGGAAAGCGAGCACTTGAAGATCATTGATTGGCTGTCATGGAGTTCGATGAGCTTTGAGGGCTAGCTGAAAAATCACATTGGACCCCATCGTCATCTAAGATACGACCACCCTTAAACTACAAATGACGAAAGTTCAGCTCGTGAAAGTCTAAAATAGAGGTGAGACGCCCCGAAGTGAATAATAATACAAGAACCGAGCATCTGGCTAATCTACAAATGCTTGCTCGTTCGTTGCCGACCTGAACGTCCATTCGGCACGAAACTCGTCACGTGCTCAAAAGCCATGCCTCCATCTCTAGCAGCTCTGCCAAAATTTCTTCATCATGCTTAAGGGGTACTGTAAAATGCGATTCGCCTTCGTAAACCTTCAGAGTAGCATCCGGCAATCTCTGCGCCATCCATCTTGCTGACTGTACAGGCACATTCACGTCTGCTGTTCCATTCCATATTCGCACTTTCCCGTGTACGTCTGTCATGTTGAACCCCCAGGGTGCAAGTACCAGTTTCGCATCTAAAATAGCCCCATCGCACCCTGGACGAAATGCCTCGCGAAAACAAGCGACAAAGTCTTTTTTGAACCCAGGATTATGGTTCAGTATATCCCTCTCTTCGGCGGAAAATGTTCCAATAACTTTCTCCATCTGCTTTTCGAACGCGGCAATGTCGCCGTCACGCGCGGTTTTCCCAAGTGCCGTATTCATCATCCACTTTAGCACAGAGTGAGGTAGCCAGATGTTCAACTTGAAAGCCACCCATCGATCCCATGACATTCCTTGCGTTCCGGCCTCTGGGGGCGCGACGCCAGCCACGACTCCAGTACCTTTTAACATCGTTTTCGGGAGCAGAGCCGCACACGCCAATGCATACGGTCCACCACCAGAACCCCCAAGGACGTGAAATTTTGAAAGACGCAGATGGTTTGCTAGAGCAGCGACATCGCCTGGCCAGTCCGAAATCTTCCCTTCGGGTCGAAAAGTTGATAGCCCCATACCCCAACGGTCGACGCCAATCATGCGAACCCCTTTCTGAATAGCCGCAGCGTGCCAGTCGCCTGCTTCGAGGCGGCAGCTAGGTGAGCCATGGAAGAAAAATACTGGAATTCCTGTAGGATCGCCATAAAATGCATAGCCCAAGTTTCGCTTGTCGGGAAGCTGGAAGATGTTGCTAGTATTGTTTGACGTGAATTTTGAAGATAACGTTGATTGTGATCTACCAGATATCGCGGATGAGGCGCGACACAGATAACGTGAAAACAAAGCCATAACGGTGTTTCAACAGAGTCACTGCGAGCATGTATATGTACTTTGTTGCAGCCTAACTTTCTGGGCAATCGGTGACTTGGCGATGTCAATGCCCCCGGAGAATAAGCAATCACCGCACATGGTTAGATCCGTCGAGAATCGTCCTATCCAGCAGCACTCCCGAAAACCAACGAAAAGTAAAATTGTAGTACATACGCTCTATTCATCGATTGCATTCAAATTCCGTGCATGGTTATGGTGATGGTATAGCAGGAGGTCTTACCCGAAACATCCAATGAATATCTGCGAACAATCCTCGATCACGGTACATGCAAACTCTCTCGCACGAGAGATAGCTTGTAAAGGTATAAGCGTGACTTAAAATTCCAAGTCTATGGTAAAAGCCAGTCCATACTCTTCGACAGATAGCCTAATTCTTCATCTGAGCCGCTGCAGCTTTGCCAGTCGCCAACCATTCTTGTACCGCCGGTCGATTTGTGCATCTTTCCCACCAAGCACTCCAAGCTTTGCGACTGGTAACCAGATCCCCACACCCAAGCACAAACAGTCTCTGAATCACCGGAATATAGTAGATATCTATAAGACTGAACTCCTTTCCTGACAGATACCCATTCTGGCTCAAAGACTGCTCCTGTGTATCAAAGAACACTCCGAGAGACTTCAATGCGTTAGAGACGACGACTTCGTCAGTCGGTTGACCCAAGAATTTCACTTTGGCAAATTTCTCGAATGTGACTTTTCCAGAGGGCTCCGAGAAGTAGGACTTCTCTACGCTGGCCGCCTGGTCAAACAATGCCATAGCTTCGATGTCGGATGAAGGTGGTAGTAGCGGGAAAGAGTATTTTGTGGCGAGATATTTGCAGATGGCGGTACTTTCGTACAATGTAAAGCCATTAGGGTAGGATATAGCGGGTACCTTGGCCCATGGGTTGAGCTTGATGTGTTCCTCGGACTGAGGCTGAGTTAGGTCTTGTCATATGAGATTTGCAATGTTATTTGCGCAATGAGAAATTGGAGGATAGTTTAACACTTACTTTATGTTGTCCGGCTGGAAGATTGATGGTCTGGAGCTCGAAATCCGTAAAGCCACCTTCAGCGAGGGTGAGAAAAACACGGTCGGTCATGGTAGAGCCATGGAAGCCATAGAGAGTGAAAGCCGGCATGTTGCTGTTATGTAGAAGTCTTGTTGCAAATCGAGTGCTTTTTGCGAGCCCGGACATGAAGTGTGTTCAATGAACAAGCAAGATGCACCGCCCGATCGGAATTTATACTTCTGTTCAAAGTCCTATCGGCTTCTCTGAAGAACTCTGGATTTTCCTTGATTTATCAGGATTCTGGTAATCATGCATCGTGAAACCCGAAAAAAATAAGGAGCATCATACTAGAATGCTATATGATTGGTGGGTTCGCTCGGAATTACAAATCGGGCTTAGTGAGTTCCGTCTCCTGATCCTTCCAACTGTTCGATTCCTCAACAATGAGACTTCTAACATCACTAGGCGTCCTCGTATCCCCTCTTGGATGACTCATTGCTTAAGAATTCATCTAATTGTGTAGTCTTCTTGCTTCCAGGATTGCGTAATCACTGCCTTTGCTCCAAATTCTCGCACGACAAGCGAAGAGATCGCACACCGATACTTCGTACCAGTCGTACCGATGGCCGGAAACGCTGTGGAGCCCAAACGTCGCGCCAAACGTGGAACCAAGGTGAAGAGTGGGTGTGCAACCTGTAGGTAAGTTTCGGCAATATACCTCATCGGCATCTCCGTACCCACTACCTTGGAGTGATGGACGTTCATGAACAAATTGCGCTTAACCAGAAACAGAATCAGGAAGATCAAATGCGACGAGGATAGACCCTTTTGCCAGAAATGTGTGAAGACGGGACGTACCTGTGAGGGTTATCAACCTCCCTTTCAGATATATATAAACAATGCATTCAACAACCCTAATGTTGACGGCATCATGTCCACTATCAATCTGAATACCGCCCGCCCTCTCCCGAATCAGATCACCCCTCAAGACGTTGAACTGCTCAAGCAATACTTCTCAATCAAAACACTATGCCACACAAAGCTTTTCTGTGATGAAGAAGCTAAACAGATTCTACAAGCCAGTCTGACAGACCCTACAATACGACACGCGATTTCATCTCTCAAAGCCCTCCGGCAAGATCTTGAGACCTGTGGGGATGGACCAGAAGCTGTTTCGCAGCCAAGTCCAGTCTATCAATATGGACTCGAGCAATACAGTGTAGCTTTGAGAGGTCTCGCATCCCACTTGTCCACTCCGGACTCAAAAAGATTGAAGCCAGTACTGCTCTGCTGTCCAGTCCTGATCAGCATCGAGCAAGCAAGAAAGAACTATACTGCAATGGCGCAGCACATGATCGGGGGACTTAAAATCATGTATGAACATCGGACACGGCCATATTTTAGTTCCTCGGGCAAGTTGATGCCAGCCCTGCATGGCAGACTGCCAGCTCTCGATGTCTTCGTTGTCAAACAGTTCGCCGCGCCCTGCAAATTCGCAGATTCACCAACAATAGCACACGTGACCGGAGTCTTGACGACACCTCCGTCAGACAAGTCGAGCTTGAACCCTGGTAGATCCGATAAATCTCAAGATTTGCGTTCAATTGCTCCGAACATGCGAACAGAGCTTTCTAGCATCGCAGCGGCTACACTGAAATTCCTCGATGAAGTGCCGCATGTCTTGACAACGGAAGCTGCACTTGATTTGCTTGCGGAGAAAACAGTCCTTTTAGAATCCCTAGAATCTTGGATCGTCAAACTTGGCTTTGTTCAAAAGGATCTTTGGTCTACTGGCACCGAACCTATATCCGTGTCCTTCTTGCGCTTCTTTCATCAGACTTTGAAAGTCGTTCTTCTGGGAATATTACACGTAGACTCCTTTCCAGGATTTGCCGCTCAGATGCATGCCGAGAACGACGCCCTACAAGCCATTGCTGATAGCGTGGGTGAACGCGTCAAAGACTATGTGATATCCGCTGGTATCAGCAGAGATGTCAATTAGTACCTGTCGCACAAGAGCAATTCACTTGTGTTCACAGACCGAGGTCTTGACGGAAAAATTACTCATTAACTATCGTGAGCGCGGCCCATTTCTCATTCAGTACTATGGTCCAAACTTTGTTCCAACGGATATCGCTACTCCGCAACGCTGGGAACCGGTCTTCCCTGGTAACTCGTCCCGCGAATGACGCTACCACGACGAGACCCCGGAACAGACCCGCCATTCGCAATTGAATTATGCCTCGAGCCATACAACCCAGGCACAGCACTGACCCTTCTTCCGCCAACATCATCCCTAGCAGCGCTAAGCTTCTGCGCGAAGGGGCTCCTCTTCCTCAATACTGGGCCCTTCCAGTAAATTACATACACGGCTGCAACAAGCACGAACGAGATGCAGAAAAGAATCGTCGATGCGTATGCCAGGTGGTTCGGATCATCCGAGTTCGGGATGTTCTGGAAGAAAGGTGTTGCGGGCAGTGTAAGCACACCGGCGAGGAAGTCGCGCGCCCATCCGTTTCCACCGGTAGCAGATGCAGAGTAGGGTCCGTATGCGCAGATCATGTAGTCGATAGTGGCCATGTAGATCGCGTAATTGGCAATACCGACGACGGCAGCGAAAATCATGGAAGCGATCCAGGGAATGGGTGGCCCTGTCGAGGTCCATGCGAAGCCAATCAGTCCGATGGGCAGGCATGGTGCGGTGTAAAGTAGCCACCATAGTCGAGATTCGTACTGGGCGCGTTCGTCGTGTGGCTTCTCCTCACGCTCCTTCATATTCCGTTTGATAGCGGGGATAAAAGAGATCCAGGCCAGTAGATAGCCGATACCAATGGACACGAAAGCTAGACCGACGGCAAAAGGCTTGAAGTCGTATTGAGCATACACAAGCGCGAAGGACTGGATGAACATGAAGATCAGAGCATCGGAGAAACCAGAAAGAAGCGAGAGGACCAGCACAATAGGCTCGGTAAGGAACATACGGAAAGGTCGCACCCATGTGACGAGGATTTCGCGCATGGAGAAGCGCTCCTTGAATGGTGTGAGTTCGTTGGGACCCCAGATGTTGAGGGGCTTGCCGTTCTTCTCGCTCTCCGCGCGTCGTTTCTTTGCAATGCGGTCCATCATGATCGTTGTGCGGGTCTCGGGAACGAGGAAGAAGTGTACGATTTGAGTTGCCCCACCAAAGATGAGCTGGATCCAGATGTTCCAGCGCCAAGCGAGGAATTGCTCGACAAAGCCTCCAACGACTGGACCGAGGATGCTACCGCCAACAGATGAGAAGACGATGAATGCCTAGTCAGGATTAGCTTTAGATTGAATCCCAAAGAGCCGTTGCACATACTACTGCGTATTGCTGCGTATCAGCTTCCCACATGTCTGCCACCATACCCAACGTAACAGAGCCACCTGCAGTGGAAAGACCACCCAATGCGCGGAAAGCGAGGATAGTGCCGAAGTTTGGGGCTATGGCAACAGGGATCTGCCAGATGTTGACGAAGAACAGACTGAGCTGGAGGATAGGCCAGCGGCCGAGCTCTTCACTCCAAGGCTGTACAAAATATGTCAATGACCAATCCAAAACGCGAGTTGAAAGTGGAGTGTCAACTTACTGCCCACAGCTCGCAACCAAACGCGTACGTGATGAGAAAGATAGCAGCTCCTAGCCTCGCCGCCTGAGCGCTGACATCAAACTCCTCTGAAATCCCGCCAATAGCGTTGGAATACAGAGAGGTATTGAAGTTCATGGAGACTTGCACCGTAAACACGATACTCAGAATAGTCCTGTGAACAGAGACACTCGCATTAGCCGATACTCGAACACCATTTCTCTCAGCGAACGGGTAAGCAAGCATACCATTTCTTCCAATTAGGAAAACAAAACCCCAGTTCATCGTAACAGTCCTCTTCAGTAAGCTCGTATCGATCATACGTGCCATACTTTTCGTAGAATACACGATCGGCCTCTGTGATGGAACGATTCAAAGGATTCTCCTTGTGTGGCTCATTATCCAACAACACGTCCTTCTTCTCGGGGTTTGCGTCCTTTTCGGCGATCTTCGAGTCCGGCGTCGCGGCTTGTTCCCGGGCGCTCGCCATGACAGGCTGATCGACCAACGGTTACAACGTTATATAGGGTACAGTTTCGTTTAGATGTGATGAGATGTGGTAAGCGAGGACCACAGGCGAAGGATAGGGTAACCGCCTCGCAAAACAACAGAAACACAGAATGTGATTTGAGTCCCTGGCAAACGTTCAAAGTGACTAGAAGCGCAGCTGCTGGAAAGCGGATCCGGTCTTATATAAGTGCGCAGAATGCCTCGGAGCGAGCACGCCCCATATTCCCCACGCGCAGACAAGCAGAGCACTATCGGACGTCAGTCGAATGTGCGTACAGTGGGCACGGTTCCTCCGGGAACAAGGACAGGTCAGGTCACAAGCTCACACGGGCTCTGACCATTTCGTCATTGTACAGACGAGGAATTGGCTACTTGCTCGCTGACATGGTGAGAGGAATTGTGGGTACCCCCCCAACTCCCCCCGACATTCTAGGTTTCCCTCTACATGTCGCGTGAGTGCCGGACCTGTTATCGTTCACCAAACCAGACGGATTCAGTGGGTCCCCCTCTTTATCCCCGCGCACGTTCCCCAGGCAATACGTCAGGGCAGTACCTGCGCGGGATGGCATCGAAGGATGCTGGTTGTGCGGCGGTGAGCTCGCGGTTGCACAACTTCCATCCTATCCGCTGTGAACACGCCGAAATCTTCGCTTCGAACCACCAAAGAAAGAAGCAAAATAAGAAATAAGCTTTCAATCTCGAAGAAGAAAAGACTCGGGATTAACATCTTGGGCGTCTCTTGGACAGCAAACGCAAGCTTTCGCCACGCATCGCCATAAGCACCATCATCGCCCGCCAAGTTTGCGCCTCAAAGCTTTTTTAGCCCCAATGGTATTTATTCTCATACGTCATTCGACACTTGGATCCCTGCACCTCCCTTCATCTGCAGATTGCAGACTTGCATTCCGCTACAGCCTCTTCCGTGTCCCCACTTGCGGTCGAGCAAATCAGCACTTGGCTTCTGCAAGCTGGAGATCGTGGTTCGCCGCAGCGTAGCGTGGGTTTTGCTTGTCTCTTCGCAACGTTTTGCGACTCTTAGTGATGATTTAGTCTCCGATTTTCCGTTGGGTCCACCGGAAAACAGATCAGGTCACGGGGCGAGCGGATGGATTACGCATTGCAGTAGCATGGCAAAGATTTGTGGACATGGGGATGTGGGCATTCAGTATTGTGGAGATTGGGAGGATTCGCATCGTGATCTCGAATATATCAAGTCATAATTGTGGGCTCCTTTGACTACTCGACTTCGAAGACGACAAGATTCCCCGGTGTCAATATCCATCGCGAGGCTTCCATGCACCTCATACAACCTTTTCGAAGCATATAGAGTCTAGAACGAAAGGACTAGTGACACCATTACCCATGCTGTGACCTGGTACAAGAGAACGACTTTGTACAAAGGTACCGTGTCTGCCAAAACGAACTATACGGAAATAGCGCGGGATTGAAGCCGCGGCGTGACCGACATGCATTGACTAATCAGCAGAGGGGAGATCGGACGGGTAGCGTTGATACCAGACGGCGTCTTCTCCATGCGACAATGTTGGTTCGACGAGACTCAAACTGTAAACGAGATCTAGCCGAGGCAATTGTGAGGAAAGGGCTGCTAGCATCTGGAATTGTTCTACGCGTGACCTAGAGTTACAGGACCGTAGATATGTACCCAAGGTACATAAGCTGCGAAGCTATGGTGAAGGAACCTTGGGATGGAGAGTTGCAGTTATCTATCAGGTGGGCATGTTCTACCAGTTTATCGAACAAGGAACGTCGGGATGACTGGCTTTCTGGCAATGAGCTCGACAATACCGCGAATTGAGAGGGAGCACGTGGGGAGCAACAGAGGCCATTTCCAGCACTTGAGAATCTTTCTCTTCCATCTCCTCGTCTCTCGACGTAGCCGGATAAACTTCATGATTGTGCGTTTCGCGCAATCATCATGGAACATTTGATGATAACAGGGCTTTCGAAGTGCCACATGCGACCAGGGAACTGTTGGTTTGGCAAGATTGGAGCTGCATGCTCGAGGTCTAGACCGTATGTCACTGCAATGGAAGCTGCATTGTACATCATCACCATTGCGGAACAACCCGTCTATCGTGACAATTGCTTGCAATTCTTCAAACTCCACGCTATGGGAAAAAATCATGTCTAACCGCATTATCGCCTTTATAGGTTCGCGCCGTGCACGAAAACCTTCTTCTCCACAGGCAGCTTATCTTTGGGCGCTGGTAGCTCGCCAGCCCTGCCACCAAAGACCAATTGCGCCCTTAGCTTCCACTCGAGGGGAATCTTGTAATGCTCTTGAGTCTTTTGATCGACGAGCGGGTTGTAATGTTGAAGGTTGGCGCCGAGGCCTTCAGCTTCTAGAGCCACCCACAGGAAGTATTGATGCATCGCGTTGGATTGCTCAGCCCAGTCGCCGAAGTGGTGCGCGTAACTGGGAATGTTCTTGCGGAGGTTATCGACGGGTTCGGGGTCGGTGAAAAAGAGGACCTAGACGCGTCTTGTCTCAGTATGATGTTTTGGGGTCATTGGGGACTACAATATAGCGGGGATTGGACGGTCCGAATGGATTTGTATTGACATTGGGGACGCAAGGAGATGGGGAGGTATATAGAGAGCCCAGTGTTGACCGAGCAGTCTTCAGATCTTCCCGTTGATATATTAGACGTACCGTTCCATAGGCTGCCCTGAAGCCTTCCAGTCTGCCCTTGGAATCTGCCCATTTCTCTTCGGGTACTATTGGTTTCAACACATCGAGCACCTGGTCCCAAAACACTTCGTGCTCTTTGCCGAGCAATGTCACAAGTCGTGTAGATTGCGAGTTGAAGGCTGAGGGGACGTAATCGGCGGCGGTCTTGACAATGTCGACAATCTTGCTATCGGGGATGGGGGAGTTCTTGTTCAACTCGTAGATGCTGCGGCGCTCTTTGGCAGCGTCGATCAAAGACTTTTTGGATGCCATTCTGGGTACAGAGGTTGAGAAGGTGTTGCTGGAGGATAGTGAAGTGAGAGGCTTGCGAGTGGATGATGGGGCTATTGACTGGAGAGGAGAGTGGGCGGAGTGGGCGCTTTTGTATCTACCGCGGAGCAGAGCCCGCTGGGCGATTTGTAAGGAACTTCGCAGTGAAGATGCCATATCGTCTAGAGCGGGACGTGGAAGGGGTGGAGTATTGAGCTCCAGTGGATCCTTTGTGTATTGGACGATTGGGTCAGACAGCGGTAAGCTGAGCAATTGCTGAATCAGAATAGCTGCGACAAGGACGCCCGCAGTAAAGCCGAGTATCAAGGATCGGATGTGGGCGACCATAGCGGTATTGTACGAGCTCGGGATCCGCTTAAGGTGGCGGCTGTCGCGTAGAAAAGCATGCTGGGTGGATTGTTGTCGGACATATGAGTGGGTTGAAAGGTGTAGTCATGCTTGGTAAACATATGCGCCATCTGTTCGGCACGCGTGCACCGGCTTCCGAGGCTGACATGGATGAGACTTGCGTCGCGGAATTGGCCCGCCCTCACTGAAGACACCACCGATCATGCAATTGACATGGACAAGTCTTTCACCCTCGGTCTGGAGGAGTGTTGTTGGTCAGCTTTCTAATACATACGTAACACTTCAGAATCACGCGTAGAGTCCTCAGTCTCATCACACCAACCTCAAACAACGCTCGCCCACATACCCAGTCCCGCGCCCGTCAACAACAGGACACCCCTCCACAAGTTCAGCGTCCCCCATCTCAACACCAATTCTCTGGTATTTTCTTTGTCATCAGCCTCTCCCCTCCTGGCTCTTCTCTCTAGCTCCTGGATCGTATCCCACATCACAACCCGAGTGTATGGCGCGAAGCCAATCGTCACGGCGGCTGCTGCGATATATAGATTGCGCTTCGTCCATAATCCGCCCTCTAAGGAGCTCAGCCCCGGTGCAACAGCAGCGCGATATGCGAGAGTTGCGAATCCGGCAGATCCGGTCGCTGCGAGCCCGACCACAGGAGTGATTCCCGTATTGTAGAGAATGTGCCATTGCTCCGTGAGGACTGGCGGTTTAGCGTGGAGGAGAGCCGGAAAGGTGATCACGGAGGTGCTGAGGTTGGCTCCTGTGCGTTGTATGATGAGTTGTTCGATCAAGTTGCATGCGAATCATTGACCGCGGATTACCTACCTGCTGCGAGAGCGGTCGCAAGGATGCTGTAGGTCTGGATTGCCGAAGTGAGCAATGCCATCGTGAATGTAGAGTGGAGTTTCTGCAGACGAAATGTCTTGTAGAACGATAGGATACATCATTCCATTTAAACTTTAGCTGATGCGCTAGATTTCGGATCTTTGAAGTCTGGGCTCGGTGGAATTCCACTATACATGATCGGTACGCTGTCGTAGTTTGTCCAGCCCCCATAGGTAAAGCGCGGAGGCTTTAGTTGGATAGAATGTTGCCCTTGCTCTTCGTCCTATGCCAACTTATAGACACTGCAAAAGATGGTTATCTGTGAAACGAAACGCAGTATTCTATACAATTACCTGCCAAGAATTATGAGCAAATGTCGATTGGTCCAAAGCCGGAGGTTGAAAATTTTGAGTTCTGAAGACTGATGCCTAATGCATCAGTGGATGAGTGGTTGGTTAACCTCGAGTTGCGATGGAAATAGAAAGCGAACACGATCGAACCCCATACAAATATCAACTTCGTGATGTCTGGGAAGAATGACGGGGTCGGGAACGGTTCTAGTAGGAGACGTTGTACTCAAAGCAAATAGAGCGTCACGTGAATTGTTAAGATCCAACGGAAAATCCAAAGTGGGAATATTTTACTCTCGTCTGGAACAGAAAAGACTTTGGTCGTCATTGAGAAAAGGGTCAGTCTTCAATCAGTCTTCACTGTAAACGAGTCTCATGGGCAGCTCAAGTGCTTCCCTCAATGGACTTGGAAATGGGTCATTTGGGTGGTGCGAAGATATGCATTCGTTGGTGACGCGTAGGTCAAAAGGTAAAGTATATACTCAAGAATAGAAGATAAGAGAAATAAGTAAGGAGTGTGCTCCTCCAAGAAAATCCAACAGCTCACAGAGCTCGACCATTCGTGCTATGCAGCATCGGTCGCAACTTTTATCTGGATCTAACCAGAGACAGTGTACTGAGAGTTTCCTCCAGCGTTGCCCCAGCCCTCAGTGGACAAGGTCTGGTAGTTGTGCTGGCCCAAGTTCATGCCGAGCTTAGCCCAGGCATCGAAGTGGCACTTGGTGGTAATGGTTCCGCTGCCGGGCCTCTTGGACTGCCTGTTGCTAATGTACTGCCAGAAGGTGGAAGTTCCCTGGATGGAGGGCTGGTTGACCTGCTGGTGCTTCCAGATATCGTAGACGGAACCATCGCAGGTTACGCTGCCGACCTTCTGGCCTTGGGCACTACCTGCACCATTGCTGGTGTACTCTTGTACGTAGTACTCGATGAGGGGGTTGGTGGTCCAGCCGTAGACGGAGACGAGAACAGTGCCGGCAGACGCGCTGGTCTGACCCTGGAAAGTAATGTTTCTGTAAATCATTCGGTCAGCTGACTGTTGAGACTGCTAAAAGTGTAAGATAGAGAATTAAGTACCGGTTAGTTCCAGTCCTCCAGCCTTTGCCGACAACGAAGTCACCGGCGTTCGAGAATTGAACGGAGTAGCCGTTGTTGGTGGGCGAGAAGTTGACGTTGCCGCTGGTCTTATAGTTCTGGTTGTAGTCCTGGCGGCGCATCAAGCGATCGCCATTGAGGTTGAAATCGGGAGCATCGATACCTGCCTCAGCAACGGGGGCAGGGGCAGCAAGCGAGCCCACGACGGCGGAGAGCGCAAGGGCAAGTTGGGAGAAGGCAACCATGATGGTGGTAGAGAAGCGTCAAGCTTTTGGATAAAAGGAAGGTAAGAGATTGAAATTGTCTTGGAGAATGCTTGGTGTGCTTGAAATGCTTGGGAGGAGCAAGTCTCCCGGTTTATATATGCCAAGGGCAGTATGGAAGCGGGTAAATGGCAATCATGGTCAAAACCATCGCGTCACCCCTTAAAGATTACCTAGATCAAAAGCGTCAGTGAAAAAACCAATATGGTATTGGTGTGGGCTGTGTACCCCAGCTTGATTTTACTTCATTAATTTGGAAGTTTCACCGTGATATATTGCGGGGTGCATTTAATTGCCGGTTAGTATTGCTTGAAAAGCCGCGGATCTGTGCTCATGTGCTGGAGGCAAAAGCATTTGGTTTCGAGACCCCAACACATTTCGCTAGGAGATTTAAAAAGGACTGAGCCCTAATCACTTAGCTTGAATTGAAGTGGAGCTGTCTCAGTTGGAGGCAACATCGCATCATGAATCTATAAGCTGTATGAGAGAAGACATGTTTGTGTTCTGGGGATCGACGCGCGCACTGAGTATATGTTTAATTCACAAGGTTGATCCGTATATATGCATGTATACATCTGGGGTAATGCAGCTTGGCAATGCTTGCTTGATCTTGGTATTCGTACAAGGAAGCTTGTTAAAGTGGTGTTTAAAGATCATCTCTCGAGTTCTTCCGAGGCTAAAAGGTTCCAGTCCCACAGTCACACGCTGTTTGGAAAGTTCCAGCCACTGGGCCGCTACGAATCAAATCAAACAGCGCATTGTGAGGACAGATTGAGGAGTGAAATGACGCAAAGGGGTTCTTCCCTTGCTAGCGCCAACAACGAAGCGTCCCGTCTAGCGCGTATGTATATGACTTCAATGGCACAAGACTACAGATAACAGCATAATTGCAAATACATCTATTATTCTCCGGTCTTGAAGACGTCAATGGATATCCTGCATCCGGTCACGCAGCCAGAAACCTACACTCAATCGGGACGAGACTTTCTAATCACACTGGCCGCCATAAACACTTGACACTGAGGTCATTGCTTCTCCCGTCGTCCTTGCGATCGGGATGGTAACGCATATTTCTCGTCGAATTTGATTTTCAATTTACATCAAACTGGTAATCCATGATCGTCTAGAATAGGGTCAGGACATGGCATCCATCTGTGAGCAAAAGTGGATCCGTGGTACGTGCATCGCGTTTCAAAACAAAACTTCGCACCACCCATCGTGAACACCAAAACAACGTGGCGCTCTGATCGAACGTTCTAGCCGTAATATTATTTCTTTTCAAGAACCAAAGATATACGATGCGACAACATATCCATCCAGCAGCGTGAACAGCGCATCAAACACGGTAATCCTATCGAACCCTGTACCCATGATCCACCTTCCACTGCCAGCCGATAAGACAAAGTTCCCCCAAGCTTGACTGGCATTCGCGATTCCCAGAACTGTTAACGCTAGAACGTCCATATCGCTTTCGGGTGGGAGATCGTGATTCCTAGTGAGGCTCCAGAGTCTTATCCCGGCGAGTGCTACGTAACCGACGTTGATGTAGCCCAAGTAGGCCATGATATCATGATGCCATGCATCGCCTTCAGGCAAGGAAGAGACGGTTGGTAACTTCGACTTTGATCGCTTGCTGATTTTCCGCATTATGTATTCTTGGCGGAATGAGAAATGGATGAAAGCACTTTTGCAATGGATCAGCTACATCTGATTGATATACAGTCGGGATAAATAAGTTGTAGAGATGACGAGATTCTCGCTTCCGATATTGTGAATACTATTCACGAAATGCCACCGTATGCCATGGCTGAAATATTGCGTCCTACGATCTACGTACCTTGTATGCCAAAGCTAGGCCAACCATGTCAATTGTAATGTCCATAAGTACATGCTATCCCCGACTCACCATATTACCGGCATAGAGTGCCCTCAGAATATTGATGCTAGCCATCTGAGTCGCTGTATTGCTGAACTGCTTTTCCGCAAACGGATTACTTGGTCGGAAAAAAATATTTAACTGGTAAGTTGAGAACTCCCAAAACTTCGTTCTTCACGGGTGTTACTTCCCTACGTAGATAAATAGTCGGATTCATTTGCTAAGTCGGTTACCGGTTGACATGTGCATGATTAATAAACATGTTTTCCGTGCGCCGTTACGAACCTCGGATGTAAGCGCCAGAATGTTGCCCTAAACGGGATGGGAGCAATCCCACAATATCTCGTTGGTGCGTTGTTTTGAGCGAACACAAGTTTTAATCGTCTGCTTCGAAGTCAATATCTTGTCGAACTATAGTCTAGACAAAGCGTTATATAGATTATAATTGTTGGGTAGTGGACAGTTGTTTCCGCTTGGCTTGTATTCGTCGGTTGCTTTTCTGCGGTACTGGCATCCATCTTTTGGTCGATGTACGCACGTGAAAGCGTGGCGCCTACGCTGAGCATCGTCATTGAAGAGGAGCAGCTATGCTTGACTGTCCAGCGAGCACAGAAGCTATGTCTAGCCGGTTCATCTTTTTTCAACACGCGAGAAAGAAGAGCATCTTGAGCTGACATTCAAGCCAGGAATATTGATGGTAGTAAAATAAAAAACGAGAAAACGAGAACGGCGACAAGGGATAGTGCACGATGAATACTTGGCTCACTCGGAAAGGCTGTATTATCGAAGTTTATATACAAAATCGACAAAAGTTTGTGAAGGAGAGAAAGAAGAGAAAAGTACGCACGAAGCGCCACATTACCATCACCTATTTACGCGATGTTGTTAGCCCCAACAGCTCCTCCCATGTCATCATTCTCCCATAGAATACCTACAACGCCGCAACTGCAAGACCGAATATTCCAGCAAGCATAGGAGCCTTGAGACCCTGAGCCGATCCAGTGAAAGAAGGCGGCAAAGAAGACGAAACGCGAGATCCCGAAGGGACAACAGAAGAAAGCCTGCTAGATACACCACTGCTACCAGTTGTAGGGAAGCGAGGAGAAGAAGCAGCACCAGACGATGCACCAGAAGAAACTCCCGGAACACCGGCAGTCACAGTGACGGTAGCAGCAACGCAAGATCCTCCTGCGCTACCTGATGCTCCTCCTAGACCTCCTCCCGAGCCGGCTGATGTAGCACCTGAGCCAGTGGATGAACGTGATGATCCTCCTGAGCCTCCTCCGGTGTTTGCAGAGCCGCTGCTCGTGGCGGTGGGTACTGAGACAACTGAAGTACCGGATAGTGAGAGGTTTGGCGGAAGATAGGCTGTACACTGCATTAGCATTACTATACAAAGCTCGGAATCAGAAGGTCTTACTAAGTGATGTACTGCTAGCAGTCGTTCGGGAAGACGCGGAAGAGGAAACCGAAGACGATGACCCAGCGTTGATGGGGACTCCAGCTTGTGAGCATAGAGCACTGACCACACTGACCACCTTCTGCTGGTCCTCAGTGCTGGGGCAGTCTCCTTGCACGCAGGTGGTGAGAGCGGGTGTTAATTCACTTGACTTGCGGCATGCGCAGGCAAAGTCGGTGAGCCCGCATCCAACGTTTGTCGCGCCAGTTATAAGGCATGATGTGGCGCAGGTGGGAAGGTCGCTGATGCTCTGCCCGGCGGCAACAGCAATGAATGCGTAGACGAAAGTGTACTTCATGATTGATGTGAAGATGACTGAGGTAGGAAAAGGTTTGAAGTCGAATTGAATAGGAATTAGAAAAGTAAAGAGAGTCGGTGAAGTTTGCGTTGGAGATAAACGGGAGCGATGAAATTTAAATATTTATTTGAGATTTGGAGGTGGGAGGGGGGGATGGCTCTGGGTCGAGATTTGAACTGCTGACTCCGTCGAAGCATAAATGAGAGGGGTCTTCGAGTCGTATCCAAGCCCTCCATTTATATAAGGTGTTGCATTCGAGCCGTTGTCGCGACGTAGAACAAGGTTTCCGCTAACTCGTCACTGACTATTGTTCAGTGCTTGGATCGACAGCCAGGGTTGTTTATGGCTTGGGTTACGGGGAGGTCTTTCCAAACTTGAATCTCAATGCACGTCATCAGCACTTTATGAGCTTATCATGTAATGCGCAGCAGCCTAAAGTGAACTTCCTATCAGCTTGCAATGGTTTTGAGACAGATCGTAGAGCATGAAACTTGCTTGATCATTCGTGGTACATGGCAGCTACGGCAATCTGATTGTCTACCTTGGGTAGCGTTGTGGAGCTTGCATCGGCATCACGGCCGGCGCGTTTCAGAGACACTGTGGCCATTAGTTCGCACTAGTCTCTGGGAGCTTATGCACGTGTAAACTGAAAGGTCATAATTTTCCGGGGAACGCGTATGCCGTGTACACTGCTGGTGTGAGGCGATAAGCCGAGTGACTTTTGGCTTATATCGCTGGAATTGAGTAGATGTATAGCGACACGCGAATTCAGATAAGTATATCAGTTCATGAGCAAAACTCTACAATGGGCATGTGGCAATAATTATGCAAGTTGTGAAAGTGTGATTGGCGATCTCATGACTCGTCGAGAACTCAGTGGCAGCGGCTTGATCCCAGTCGTCAACTTTCACGCTCGTGCTACTGTACCCTTTGGAACTCTTAGCGGCACTAATGCAGTTAGTTAAAGATGCTATTGGTGGCGGTATTGAGGGACCACTGTACAATGACAGATTCAAGACATCTGCTGAAGTGGCCGCCTTCCGTCCTCCACCTTAGGATTGTATTCCTCTGAGAATTGAAACCCAGTTTTCACAGAAAAAAAGACAAACGGACATCATATTACACGATTGTTGACACTACGATGAATGTTCTTTGCCAGCAATAGTTTTTGGCGCATCCATATACGTCAATAATCCAGTCTTCACTACAAATTCGACAAATACTATGACATGAAAGCCAACTATCTATTATACTATCATTGCAACCAGTGGAATTTTCTCTAGCAAATGCTCATGCTGCGGGATGAGCCCCATGCAATCTACTCGAATTCATCATTCTTCGATGGTTGCTTTCATTCCCACTCTTCCAAAGCTATCCCAAAGTTCAACCTTGTATGTCTTGGTGTCTCCAACGTCCTTCTGTAGTACGATTCTATAGTCTTCCCCGACGTAGATTGGACTCATAGCCCTGTACTTGATCCTTCTTGGGAGAGCAATCCCTTCACTATTCTCGCTGATACCTCTTCGTGAATCCCTCCATAAATCCAAGATGTTGATTAGATTCAATGGCCCGTGGACAACGGCATCTCTATGACCCTCGACCTCGCGGCACCACTCGGGCAAGTAATGAATTTTGTGTCCATTGAATGTCAACGCCGAGAAACGAAATAAGCTTACAGGACTTTGCTTGAAGTCCCTGTAGTACATTCCGTCACCAACCCCTGGATTCTCGAATGCCTTATCCGCCAGTCGCGGCGGGACAGGCATTGGCGTCGTGATTTCTTGTTGGAAGACCCAGCTCCTACGATCCGTCAAAGCAACCCCGCATTCATTGCTGAATGTCTTCTCTACGCCAACCACAAGCATTTCAGCGCCCGTTTTTGACTTCTTGGCCTCCGCGCTGGTCAGCTTGGTCGTTTCCTGCACTGTTTGCCCAATGCGTAGGGCTGTATCGGGCGCTTGACTCCATTCTAACTCACCGCCTGCCCACATTCGTCGTGTGAATGGTCGGAGAGGGTTTACGGTCCGATCTGTGCCATCGCTGCCTAATTCGCTTTCTGATGCTGATGGAGTGAAATACACAAGGTGGTAGCCTGCAGGGACCGGGGTTCCGTCCTGCGGAGAAGAAGAAGAGGTGGACGCGCGGTTGAGCGTAGCATTCAGAAGATGCAGCTGATTAGCGTCCAGTAGCTGTGATCGTATGGATACAGGAGAGCTTCCGAAACGTGCAAAGAGTTCAATGCAGGCTTCCTGGGCGGATGCAGTCTTGAAGAAACGAGGAGTTGAGTGGAGGAAACGCCGAGTCATGAGAGCCATGACGTTCGTGTAGCGGACAACTCGATTGCGTGTACTCGACGTCGACTTCTACGGCGTCACTTCTCATGTGTCTCGCCGTGATGCATGTGTCAATTCCTCAAGATGAACGGTGGTTGGACCAATGGATCAATTGATGCGGGTGATGCGTGATGGGTGTGGGGTGAGCGGAACATGTACCGGCGGTAGTCCACCATCTAGTTAGCCGAGATGGTTTGAGCCGGAGGTCCATGTGCGTAATGCTGGGGTTCGCAGATATCTGTCTTCGCCTGGGGTATTGCAGTTCTCCACTCCATGTGTCTTTCCGCCAAAACCGAAGTGTGATGGTGAGGAATTCAGAGACGCGTAAAATAGCGCCTATACAGGTATCAACGGACTGAACACGGGGAGATGGAACTAAGGGCTTAAAGCCGACTGCATGACCTTGGCGCTACCCTGATAGACATAATTCTCCAACGCAAAGTCAATCGCAAGTTTGACCGTAAGCTTAATCCCTCTCAAGCAGTATTTACGAGCATTGATTGTGGTAGTCATGGTCAAAACATTTCACTTCGTCAATGCCGCATCCGATGATCGGAAAGAGAGAAAAGAGATCCGACGCCATGTTATGATGGGCAAGAATGCGGGCAAAACAATCCATCGCCCTTCCAAAATCAAGGCACTCAAACAAAAGGAGCTGGAGCAGAGAAATAGTAAGGGCTCTTTAGTGCGCATAGCAAAGCCAGTCTCGGGTTGGTATCCAACACCTTTTCCGAGAACAGACCCTCGAACCTCAGTGGAGACGGAGATGAAATCGATGGCATTTCCCGTTGAGCTGACTCCGCAATACATCGAGATCATCACAGATTGTATGCTTTATATTCATAGTCTCCATCCACAAAGAATTTGCTAATTCAAGGTAGTTTTTGCACATGTAGCAGATGGAATGTACCCTGCTCACATTGGAGTTTCGTTAGAGGCTGCAAAATGCACTTGGCTCCGTGTCATGTTGTTAGACGAACACAGTGGGCCTTCAGCTATGCATATTTTTTTTATCGCTCTGCTAATTATCCATAGATTTTCATTGCAGTGTTGCCTTGATGCAAGCCTGCAACGCAACTTTTCTATACGGAAAGTGGGATGCGCTGGTGTCTGCAACGTTTCTGACAAGCAGCATATCACACGTCCGGAAGAAGATTGAAAGTCCAGACGCTCTGTCTTGCTCTACAGTAGCCATTGTGCTATCATTAGTAACCCAAGAGCAGTTCAGGAATGAACACGAAGCTGCGCGAGTGCATTTGGGTGGTCTCGTGCGCATGATCAATCTTCGTGGGGGGCTCGATACCCTGAAAGAAACACCACAAGTGCTTTTAAAAGCCTGCAAGTGAGTAGAACCGCTGTTGCTGCGATTCCACTAGCCTAAATCGCTTCAACAGAACCGACATACTATTTTCGCTTGAGTATGGGAATGCACCCATATTCTTTCGGGATCGCATGGCTGACATTCGCCGGCTACACAAACTACAAGACTCGGTGCATGATTTGACCACCATTCCCTGCATCGTCCAGCATTGTCCAGATACACGTCTTTCTACTATTATCATCGATGTATTTGATACTTGCAAACTTTTCAACGACCCTCATCACCAATACTTCGAAATCGACCTCGAATCCTATCAAGAAATCATTGTCTCTGTCTCGTATCGCCTTCTCACGTTACGTCACATCCATCAACAACCCCTGTCCTCAACCCCCGAAACTCTATATCAGCTCGGTCTGATCATATTCATCATGATTCTATTTTTGCAATACGGTCGGCGACGGCTCCATCGCTTTGCCAGAATCTCGGGATTGCTTAAACATGTACTGGAGCTGCACTCTGTGCAATCTGACAAAGACTTGACATTGTGGCTCATGATAACAGGAGGCATATGGATGATGGATGGCGTCTGGACCCTTGATGCGCATAGTGGAGATTGGCTTCCACCTCTGATATCAGGGTTGGCCAAAGAGATGGGTCTTCAAACCTGGGACGACGCTCGTTCACATATCATAAAATATCCTTGGATCTATAAATTGCTTGACGGCCCAGGTTCAGAGATCTGGGAACGGGTACTGGCTTTTAGGAAGAAATCCAATGAGTAGGCAGAGTATAGAAGGAAACTTTTAATTTTTACTAGCACCTCTTGGATCATATGCTTGTCATATATAGGAAGCATGAGATAGAATATTAAACAGAGATCTTGAGCAAGGCATGATACGTTCGTATTTCTTTCATGTAGCTTAATTTCTTACACGATCAGGATGCAATGCCGAGAATCCATCATTTGTACATCCAAAAAGTGCTAATTTACCCTTGCTTACCAGGAGAATTTCTCCTTGGTCAGCTCCTCCGACAAATCCCACAGCCTGTCAGCATTCTCCTTGGACGAACTCTTAGGAGGCAACTTGACTAACTGGCAATCCGCTAAGAACACTAATGGCTCTTGCGTGCTCAAGTTGTCAGTGAGTTTGGGATCCAGTGCCGCAACCAACGTCGTAGAAGAGCCCTGGGATAGCGTCTTACGCACAATGGGCTGTTTATTGACGGCGTCTATCTGGTCATCTGTAGCACCTCGAGCCAACTCTGTCATGATTACTCCAGGATGCAAAACGAAAGACGCGATACCGTACTTCTCATATAACCTGGTGTTGATACCGACAGTGAACAAAGCATTCGCTACTTTGCTCTGGTTGTAACCCTCGAGATAGGTAAAGACGGTTTCATCGTTGATGTCGATTCCGAACAATTTGTGTAGGAAAGCACTTGGTCTCTCGTCTTCGGGCAAATCCTTGACCATCTTCTCAAAGTTCATATCGCTCCAGCGGATTCCAGCGCTCATGGGAGACCCAGCGCTAACGTTGATGATGCGGGTGGCCCCTTTGGGGTTCTTAGCCGATGCTTTGATGAGCTTGGGCATGATCAAGTTGGTGAAGAGCCAGTGTCCGATGTGATTAGTAGCGAAGTGGGATTCGATACCGTCTTCGGTCAACACTCGTCCCGCTGGCCCGAATCCAAAAATTGCGGCGCAGTTGACGACGATGTCGATGGCTTCGATTTCATCCCTGGACAAGAGCTCGGATGCAGCAGCGCGAACTGCTTTCTGGGAGGAAAGGTCGAGGTTTAGCGCGTGGTATTTGACATTTGGATATTCCGCTGCGAGTGCATCAATGCACTCCTTAATCTTTCCTGGGCTACGACTGGCGAGGATCAAGTTTGCTGGAGCTTGAGAGGCCTGGGTTATAAGTCAGTGGGTGATTATGTAGGGTGATGAGCTTCCTCACAAAAGCTTGAAGAGCTGAGAAGCCAAGACCAGTCTTATTGGCGCCCGTAACAAGAATAGTTTTTCCTAGAACCTTTCTTGGAAAAGCTTTGGCTACGTCGGCGGCTTCGGTTTTGTCGTCGAACTCCTCGTGGGTCGAGAGTGACTTGTTGATAAGATGCTGAGGGATCATACTGTTGAGAGCAACCTAATATGCAATGAACAATTGATATGAGTTGTTTGTATTGGAATGATGGTTTGAAGTGAGGCAATGCTCTTTATTTATACTTGAGAGCGTTTCTACGACTCTGCATTTGTTCACCTTCATGAGCAGGCGTCCAATGAGAGATTGACTACTTCTTACGGGTTAGCATTGAGTGCAGTGCTTAACTCCATGCGGCGTCGATAGATCCTTCATCATATCCAAGTGAAGCTGAGATTGTATATGTTCGTAAACAGCATATATCCATTACCGTTGGTTGCTCAGCCTGTTTTAATGCCGCGCAAAGTCCGTCGATGAACGGATGACGAGGTGCCGGTAGATCCTGACCAATGAGAGATCTGCTACCTGGTTTGGACTAGCGTGGTTGATGTCATCACTCTCGGCCACGTGATTGTTTGAGATACCAGCACTCACTTGAGATCAATCATCAATGCACGGTTTCAATCCCAATTTTATCGGCGCAATTATTCTATATCATGTAAAATATCACTCAGCCCATCAACCTTGGCTGTCTGACGAAGTTGAATCCTTCAGAGAGATTCAATAATGACCTGAGGGACAGTCACGTCAAACCGCGCCTAGCGTCCCCATGTATCAATTGACATGTGCGATTTTGGAGTATTCGCTTGTGTATTATTCATCTTCTTAATCTACAATCTTCCAGTTTCGGTGAGACTTGGAATGTATCTCTCTATATATTATACCGGTAATCTTAGGGTAGAGACCAAATCAATTTCCACAGCTTACCGCTGCATCGCGTACATACCTAGGTAACTACATACCTACATATAAGTATGTTCCAGCCGACCTCCATACTTCTTGTATCATTGTTCTAGTAGACTGAGAAAAAAAAAACAAGGGAGAGCAATTGATCTTCAATGTTCGACCTCTAAAAAGTGAAAGTGCCTACCGTCATGCCGACATATGTTTCGGTTTCCCCAAAAATGCTTCACCGTCGGGTCAGGCCTCGCATCGACAATCACATGACTTGTTCAGGCTCAGCTCCTATAAAACGCAAAGGTCCGATCACCTCATCTGTGAACCTCTGGTGCTCTACAAGATCCCCCCACAACGATCCACTTTCATCGATGGATCTGGTAATTGAATCCCCAAAGCCCCCACTTTCCAGCCCCCGCGGATGTGCTAGTCTACGCTACCCAAGCGAATATGCAAAGCTTGTCGTTGAACTGCCCAAATGGTACATTTTTCGTCATCGCATGGCCTAATCATTCTCAGTCATCAGATAATGTTCAGACGACATCTATCGTTTATAGTACTAGAGTTCGAACCCCAAATTTTTGACTATTGCACTCAATTTTGTCTGCGTCTCCCCTTCGTCAATAGTGGCCACCACAACTCACACGAGACATGGCTCCGCAAGGCGAGATTCCTCTCGCGGCCAACATCTTAGGCACAATCGGAACCGTGTTTTGGTGTGTACAGTTGGGTACGCATTTTCCCTTTTCACCATCTCATCTACCATTTACTCATCATGGATTGCAGTGCCTCAGATCATTCGCAATTACCGCACCAAGTCAACTGAGGGGCTCCCGGCCGCCATGATGTTCCTATGGTCAGTAAGTGGGGTACCGTTTGGTGTATACGCGATTGCGCAGCAATTCAACATCCCGTTGATCGTGCAGCCGCAATGTTTCTGTGCGCTCTGCGGTGTCAGCTGGGCGCAGTGCATCGTATATGGCCGGTAAGTCTTCCTGCTTCCCTGTATTCGACGAGATCTAATGGCAAAAACAGCAAGTGGCGAGCCTGGACCGCAACATTAGTCCTTCTTGCACTCTTCGCCGTCTTCGCAGGCGTCCAAGCCGGTCTTGTTTTCGCCATCCGTCCTGCCTACGCGCGTGGTATCGAATGGCCAGTCCTCCTCATAGGAATACTCGCGTTTCTTCTCCTCATCGGTGGATACTTCCCCATCCCGTTCGAGCTTCTTAAACGTCGAGGCCGCGTTGTTGGCATCGATTTCATTTTCCTGGGCATCGATTGGTGCGGCGCATTCTTCAGTCTCATGTCCTTGGTCGCGCAGACGGAGTTCGACAGTCTATTTGGCACTCTTTACGCACTTTGCTGTGTGATTGAGATGACTATGGTCATTAGTCACTTGATTTGGAGAGTGCGGACCAAGGGGATCAGGAAGCGAGCGAATGAGCAAGGAATGAGCTTTGACGAGAGCGAAGAAGGCAAAGAATGGCAAGCAAAGGGTTGGGATGTTGGAGCAAGCCTGAGTATAATGTTCTCTAGATCAAGATTGGGTGGCGAAGAGGAGCCAACAGAAGTGATGGAGGAAGAGACAGTCCAGACAAGCTCGAAGAACATGGTGCCGAACGCGGTGGTATAGACTCAACGTTGAATTTTCATCATGCGCAAAACCCACTTCGATCCTATTTCAATGCCAAATAACATTTACCATTCTACTTGGCCAGCGAATATCTGCATCCACTACAGTTTGGAGGACGCGCGACCCACAAAGCGCGACATTCTTGCCGGATGCCTGCAGTCGTTCGGTGTATCAGGAGCTTTCCAAATCGCTTCGAGAGTATCGAAACACCTGAAAACTTGGCAGTTTATAGTTTACTTGCTGTCGATATAGTCAGCAGTTCTTCAATCACATGCATCGGAAAGTTCTCCGGGAAGACCCTTGTTTCATAGCTTTGCGCGATGCGTCTCGCACCGGCACATCATGTGCAAGCCTGATTTGCGTAAATGTCCTGCAAAAACGCCATCATGCATACGTGATCTCCGTTTTCTCTGCCACTGGCTCAAATCGCTGGGTCACGAAGGTTTAGGTACCTTAATAGCAACGAAACCTGCGTCGATTCCGCCACTGAACAAGATCAATGGATCCACCTTTTAATGTAGTAATCAGTGGCCTTCAGAGCCCCTGCATTCAACATACAATCTGGTTCGCCTCTTGCGTGAATATGATTACAACCTGATGTGCTGCTTCCCCGCATCCATTGCAAGACACCAGCTCTTCTTCACACCTGAGCACGACAGAGATGAGCGGTAACGACGAGCCCTTCACAGCATGGGGTCCTTTCATCCGGCAGCCATATGTAATTCAACCCACGACCAGGACCGATCTAATTGTTGCGGGAATTGTGTTCGGCCTAGCGATGTTCTTCGCAATAATCGCCACATATTCCGGCATCCAGCAAACCAAAGCCTCGCGAAACTCACCGAGGAGCGCCTACATTTGGATGATATGGATTGAACTTGTAGCCTGCATCATCATTGCAATTCTATGCTTATTGTACCTTCTGGAGTGTATCCGGCCAAGTTTCTATTTCTATATGGGCATCTGTCAGTATCCCTACTACGTCAGTATGAGGTTGTACTATATCTCGTTGCGACAGAGATTCACGAGGAGTCACAGCATCAGTTGAAAATCTTGCTAACCTCTGGGGTCAGTGTTACTGTGGTCCATCCAAATTCAGCTTCTCCTTCAAATCATCATCAATCGTATCCGCATTATCCTCGCCGATCGCGAAAAGGGCCGCACGATCATGATCTCCGTCGCAGTCATCGTCACGATGCTCAACATAAGCGTATTTTGCGTATGGATGCCTGCCAGGTTGCAAATCAGTAATGAGTACGTGACTTCGTGGCAGGGCACACTGGAGAAACGACGGACTGGACAGGTTGAGACTGACGTCAATTAGGTGGATACATGCCAACGAAATATGGGATCGAACTGAAAAAGCAATATACCTCGTTCTCGATGCTTCATTGAACTGGTACTTTGTTAGTATATTCCCAGACCAAATCCCAGTGTTGAGAGAAGCTGACATTTTGCCCGCGCTTTCAGGTTCGTGTAGTCAAGCAGAATTTGATCATGAATGGATTGGAGAAGTACAGCTCTTTGGTTCGGTTTAATCAGCGAATTATCGTGGTTTCTTTGCTCATGGATGTGATGATCATCGCCGCCATGAGTATCCCTAACAGTTTTGTGTAAGTTGAATCGCGGCCTCGGTGGCAAAACGCCTCGTGGACCGCATTCGCATCTACTGTGTTTTTTACCCTGTGCATGGATTGCCTAACAACACCGACAGATATGCAATTTTCCACCCGTTAGCGTTCCTCGTCAAACTCAATATCGAAATGTCCATGGCCAATCTCATCAGACGGATAGCTCTCGCAAAAAACGGCTCCAACCACCTAGATTTCAAGACACTCGTTCTAGACGACAGCACGCAAGGTGTGTGGTGGAAAAGAATCTTCCATCCCTGCAAGCCATCGCAAGAAGAGATCTTCAGCAATCGCAGTCCTTTGCAAATTGTCAAGACTGAGGAGTTTCGCGTATCAACGCAAGCCGGGCTGTCCCTGCGTCTCGAACTAGATGCACTGGGGTTTAAAATGCGCACCGGGCCTTCTCGACGGAACTCTGCAAACCGAATAAGTTGGAATTCGTCTGAGATTTTGGTCAAACTTGACAATGAGGTGGAGCGACGATCTGCTGTCGATGATATCTGTTATGCTGAGGCTGGCGAGGAGATGGATTTTGTTCGTCAACCTAGTCCTGCGCATTTCTCCATTTGAAAGAGTCGGGGTCATGTATGCTACGTTGTACGATTAGTCGGATGGCGCTTTGAATTTGTACCGGGCACGGAGTGTTTGGAAAAGTCGTTTAGGTGTAACTGTCGACCGGCGATACGGTCACAGTACCATTCTTTATAGCTAATGCTGATTCCAAAGCCTTCCGTCGGCTACTGTTTCCATTCAATCGGACTCTGTTTGTTATTCATTGTGAGGGCTTCGTTTGTGTCTGCTATCCAGCAGCCGAAGGACACGAAACAAAGTTTACCGTTTTATCATGCTGTTGAACGCCTTAGCTTTCATAAGCAGTGCTAAGAAGATGCTAGGAGAAGAGAAGAGTTGACTCCCAAGGCGCCAAAAAGCCACATAAGCTTGCCCAGCGACTTAAGTGAGCACTGACGAGCCGCTAGATCGCCATACTCGATCCACGATGGGGATCTCAAATGGTTTGCAGCATTTGATCGCTATTATGGTGACCCATGTCTCTTTAAATACAACCATCGGATCCAGGAAGACATGGCCAGTCTACTTTAACTCTGGGGGCTGCGACCATGTATACAGAGGAGAGCGATCTGGATAGCTCGCTTACGGTAACTCGATTCCCGGCCCCACTTTCACGGCACAACCCCGAATCCTGCCTCATCACTCAACACAGCACCTCAGAGTCAATCCATCTACGAGCATCGATATGTCGCGCAAGCACACGTCGTTGCGTTATTCCGCGAAAATCGACCTATAGTCGGTTCGTTCTCCAATGGCACACCGGCACCATCGTTTGCGGCTCTTCGCATTCTGTTTGAACGTTGGACCTGCATGAGGACCAGACGGATCAACAGCACCTTGCAGACACAACTAAATTGGAAGGATGCATTATGGAGTCCTTCACGCCCGTGCAGATGCCAGTCCGAACGCACTGGGTTGGATGAATTCTATTGCATACCCCTCTGCGCGGTACTCATGGCAATGCACGAGTGCAGCCCTACTCTCGCTTTGCATGGGTGCTTGACGCTCAAAGACTGCTCCTGGTGCAGCTGTGAATATGGCCAGGGTTCAATGGCCACGGACGGACTTGCATTCGAATCTCGTCTGAAAAGGGAGAAGAGGACACACGCACGACCCACGAACAAATGTAAGACTGTCCTCCCGTCTTCTCGTACTGAACGGCGGCGTCGTTGCCAAGCTATGTTCTATCGCCTTATTGTTTGATCAACGCCGTGCCGCAACTCGAGATAACAGTCGGCTAACAAAGGCTCAGAAATACTGATGGCTAGCAGACGTCGGATTGGCTCACGAACTGAAGAAGATGCCCAGGACCCCGCAAATATATCTCTAAAGGCGCGCTTTGGTGCAAGCCAAGCGCTTGTGGCCGAGGCGTCTTGGGTAGTTCGGATAACAAATGCTTAAATGAGAAGGTGGTAGAATTACGCCCAGCAATTTTCAGCGCTTCAACAACTTGGCGACCACACACTAAGCTCTACCGAGCTCGAAAAGATATCTCCAACAATCTAGGCGGTATCTTGGCACTGAACCGATATCTATGAACGACCACATGCGCGCGCAACATGCCTGCCTTTACCGTCCTTCTGGGGCAAATACCTTGGATCTGGGCCTTGGTTCATTGGTGTCTGTCGTGTAGTGATAGGCTGGGGAGTAACTGAGAAAGGAAACTATGCACCCTCTCGGTGGTTCCAGTGCGGTTCCAAAGTCTTGGTTATCTGCGAGGCAATCAATGCGGCACACGAGGTTGGGTACATAAATGAGGAAGACCCTCACGCGGTCGTTACGCGTTTCTGTACCCCCTCTCGACTGTCTGGGCAATCACCTGTACACTGTTCGTCATGGCAAGCATTACGAAGGACACTCGCGCGAGTCTCGAGGTGACCAAGGGAGCATCTGTTGTTGATCCTGTCCCTTTGGCGGATACTCCCAGTACCACATCTCTTGACGATGCGGGTGAGATGCTGCTTGGTCCCTACCCCACTGAGGAGGAGTGGGCTACACTTCCTCGTGTCCCCGGCAGCATTCCCTGGACTGCATGGACAGTTGCTTTCGTCGAGTTTGCGGAGCGATTCTCATACTATGGTACCAGCGCCGTCTTCGTCAATTTCATCCAGAAGGACCTGCCCCCAGGCTCCAAGACCGGTGCCGGGTTTCTCAAGAAGCCGGGATCTGGAGCTCTAGGCATGGGTCAACGTGCCTCCACTGGAATGACAACATGTATGTCCTCGAACCTATACGGTAAACGACTCGATCATTCACTAACTTTGCGACAGTCAACCAGTTCTGGTCTTACTTCACGCCTCTCTTCGGTGCTTACCTAGCGGATCAGTACTGGGGACGTTACCTCACCATCCAGTATGCCAATGTTATCTCCATCATTGGGCATATCATCCTCATCTTCTCCGCAATTCCCCAGGTCATTGTGCGCCCGGACGCGGCAATGGGTATCTTCTCTGTCGGTCTGGTTGTCATGGGAATCGGTACGGGAGGTTTCAAATCGAACATTTCTCCCCTTATTGCCGAGCAATATAAAGATCAGAAGGCATACGTTCGGGTGACCAAGAAAGGCCACAAGGAAATCGTAGATCCCGCTTTCACAACAGCTCGCATCTACATCTACTTCTACCTTCTCGTCAACTTGGGATCGCTCACTGGTTCTCTGGCAATGGTATGTACAATCTCAGCTCGAGACGCTGCATCCAAGTTAACACGGCTCTCTAGGTCTACTCCGAGCATTTCGTCGGTTTCTGGCTCTCATTCACGCTGCCAACTATCTGCTACCTTGTCTGCCCAGTTGTTCTCATCTACTTTAAGAAGTATTACACGCTTGCGCCCCCGACCGGCTCCGTGATGGGGAAAGCATGGAAACTCGTGAGACTTGCCTTCAAAGGAAAGGGTTCTTGGAACCCCAAGACCTTGTATGTTGTTGTTCTCACGACTTCTCGTCCACAGTAGCACTAACGCAATCATAGCACCAAGAACATCCGCGACGACAACTTCTGGGACCACGTCAAGCCTTCCGTCATCCGCGCACGCGGTGAGACTCCTCCAGCTTGGATGACATTCGACGATGAGTGGGTAGACGAGGTTCGTCGTGGCGTTGTGGCATGCAAGGTTTTCCTCTGGTACCCGCTCTACTGGCTCGCGTACAACCAGATGATGAACAACCTTGTCTCGCAAGCTAGCACCATGAAACTTGGCAAAACACCCAACGACATCGTTGCGAAGCTCAACCCCATCTTCATTATTATCGTCATCCCGCTTATGGATTTCATCGTCTACCCAATGCTCCGAAAGATGGGAATCAGATTCACGCCCATCAAGAAAATCACGGCAGGTTTCGTCATGGCTAGTTTTGCTATGGTCAGCGCAGCTGTTACGCAGGCCTACATCTACAAGCAGAGCCCTTGCGGTTCGAACATCAATGCTTTGACCAAGGCGAAGAAGGACTGCTCGGTCGACATATCTGTCTGGGTTCAAATTTTCCCGTATGGTTTAGTGGGGATGTCTGAAGTGTTGGCGTCCATCACCAAGCTTGAGTAAGTTTAATTCTATGATCGACTATGGGGCATTGTTACTAACCGACTCTCTAGATACGCCTACACCAAAGCACCAAAGAACATGCGTTCTACCGTCCAGGGTATTGCGCTGTTCACTTCCGCCGTCTCTTCCGCTCTTGGTCAAGCTCTTGTGGGTCTGTCCGAAGATCCGCTGCTTGTTTGGAACTATGGTGCTGTCGCTGTGGTCGCCATGATGGGTGCCATTGGATTCTGGTTCACCTTTCATAACACTGATAAAGAGGAAGACGCTCTGAACAACTTGAAAGAGTCGAAATTCATCGGAAGGAAGAGTGCTGACGAAGAGTCTGAGGACGGAGCTGTTCAGGAGGTCACTCCAGTCAAGGACGAGAAAGCTGGCTTGTAGATGGACTTTATGGGGTTTTAACGTGGCCGATGGTCTGACTTATCATTAGGATCGACTCGACATGATTATATGACTCAAAGTTTTCGTTGGGGATAAAGTGCATCTTCTTTCCTGTATACGTCCGTCCCTGGTGATATTAATCTCGCAGTTCGTTTGAAATGAAAGTCTAAACAGTAAGGAATTCTATACCCACCTGAGCATACACAAACACCTTCATCTGTGGCGTATTCATTGCTTTGTTACTTGTCGAAGTGCCTTCCGTACCGGGTTAGCGTCAGGCATCCATGGGCACGTGCGAGGTTCCCAAGAGCCACCTGTAATCAGTTAGCACATCTTACTTACCGTCTCATGTGTCATATAAGCTATGACTGTTACCCACTACCTAACTACATATCAAGAGACTTCTCCTATTTACGAGTCCTTCGTTGCGACACCACCATGAGACTCGAACTGGATTCGAAGAAGTTGCGATCTTCTACACCTCAAGGCATCCTGGAATATTTCAGGAACGCACTAGAGATCTCGTCAGATGAAGAAGTAACGGATCAACTTCTTCATCTCATTGAAATAGATTCTCTCTCACCTCGTCCATTTATCCATCTGTGGCTCAAAGTTTCCTCTTCGCCTGGAGCGTTGTGGAAGTGCATGCAACAACGATTCTCTATCATCACACGAATCACATCGATTGTGCGTTTCGGGAAACGTCTTCAATCGTCGAGTTGGAAAGTATTTTGGGACGGCGTGGGCGGTGTTGATGGTCTCGTTACTCTGTTCAGCGATTTCTCCGAGTATGAAGTCAGGAGTGCTTGTCGTGCTATCGCGCATAGTTGGAGGGGTGGCGATGTGGAAGTCAAATCCAGGTGTTTCAAAGACCTCTTCCATGCCCTCCAGTCGCCCTCTCCGAATCAAAAGATCCTGGATGAACGGCCACTGGACAAATATTATCGAACTCTGCTTCCCGCATGTGTCGAGATAGAAGACAAGTCCACCATTCTTTCAATGGGCGACAGAGAGGAGAAGTTGTTTTTCAGGCATAATCATATCGCTCTGAAGAATCGATTTCTGGAATCCATCGTAGGGGAGAACCCAAACCGCGACGAGTGGTTATACCCAATTCTCAGCCGATATCTTCTCTACACATCATCGAGATGGGGGCCACTTGAAGCGATGCCATTTCCACTTAGAATTCTCCAAGCGATGGCGACGGTGAAACACCCCATTTTCGATTATCAGACCTTCATGAACTCTCTGGCACATCCCCTTCTGATGCGCGGTATACGACAAAAAGCGTCCTGGGCTCTTCTACAAGACATTATTGTGACTAGCCTGTCCTGGATCGAACGCCATGGACATCTCGATAAGCTTGCATGGAAATGCAACAGCTTTGTTCACCTGATCGCGAAATGCTGGTACAAGAAGCAAGACATGTTCTCACAACTATTTGCGAAGGTGATTGTGGATGGTAACAAAGATCTAAGCGCGTTAAGCTCCCGTCTGGGTCACATCAGGAGTGATTTGCCTTTCAGTCTGCACTATCATCAATTCCGTTTTGGCTGGCAAAGCTTGGGTTACAACGCAGATAACCCAGAGCACATGCGCGAGATATTTGCTCAGATGCGCGATTATATGGTTTGCAGTCTTGATCCTGAGGAATCGTCATGGCTTCTTAATCGCTTAGATGCAGCGAGTCTCGTCGAAACACCATCTCAATCAGCTACACAACCGCGCGCCCTACCCTCCAGATGGTGTTTCACCAAAAGCCCTAAGATTGATTTCGACTGTGGTCCGGACCTTCTACAAGTCATCCTCTTACATCGTAGCGGGCACCAAGAAGCAGCAAATGAGCTCGCTCAGATCAACATCCAGGAAAGAAAGAAGAAAGCAGTGTCTAGCAGTGACTCTTACTTCCGCGGTCAGCATGCTTGCGCTGTACTTACATTCAGCAAAGAAAGTGGATGTTTAGAAATATATATGAAGGAACAAATTTGGGCACGTCGGTTTGTGCGAGATCCACTTGTTGCAAGACAGCTGTGGGCTTCGACATCCCGATCTGAGATCGCTATGTTATCTGGTATCCCAGCGAAGCCTTTTTTAACTCCTGAATTGACTGTACATGATATCAGCAGAGGTAAGTACTCTTGATCGGAACTACTGTGGATTGCACGCGACTTCAATCGCATAGCATATGCGCGATTCCGGAATCCTGCGAGTCAAAGTATGCTAACTTCATTGTCTCTCAATGTAGGCGTTGTATCTGCCAATAGAGCTATAGTAGATCTGTTCGAAACGGTCGACATGGCGAAGCGTGAGCCATCGTACAATGCGCATGCTTATAGCGGTATGTACCTCTCGTTTGATACGCGAGATAAAAGACCGCCGCATCCAATGCTGACCGGTGCCATAGGAATTCATTGCATGCCTTTGAATGTTATTTTGGAGCGCATGCGCAGGCTTCCCCATCTCACAGAGTATTGCGGATTCTCTGATGAGCAATCTCGTCAAGGAGTAGAGAGTAACACCGTGACCATGTTGTTATCACGCGAGGAGAAACTTCTAGCCCCAGTGCTTTCTGAAAAAATCACTCGGATAGGCCACAAAGATCCATCTATATTACAGTTCGTGGACAACTGGTTGAAAGCGCGAGATGAATTGTGGAGAACCTTGCGACCTGTAGCTCTTCCCGATTTCGCCGAACTCCCTCGACCGTTTCCTCAAGGCCTTCCAATCCAGGTTTTGATTGCTCCATTCACGTTTCGTTCCGCAATCTTGGAAACACATATGCCTTTTCTGGCATCACGCGTAGGCGAGGTAATATTTGCGGATCCTCAGGAAGCCTTCCAGCCGTTTCCAGTAGGCGACGATGAGATGATGGATAGAAAGGTTCTCGTTGATCATTACCATAAGGCACTGGAGCTGTATATCCTCATGGGATCTACGACTCTTGAGCAAAAGGAACGCGCTCAGCGCGCTTGGAACTACGCTATTGGTCCATTGTCTCAGGCACGGTTGAGCGAAGCGGAAGCGATTCGCTACTGGAAAAACGAATTTGCTCAAACGAAAATTGATCTAAAATCTCCGACTGTCCAACCCTCTGTCGCTGAAGCTTGGCTTGTGGTCCCAGAAGTAGACAACCCTTGTAATATCGAGGAATGGGGTCTCCATCCGCCGACCAAACATATCCCTTCCCCGACGAAAGTTTTGAAACCGTTGGCTTATATTGATCTTGTCAAAATGACCTCAAACACTCGCCTAACCTCCTTCCCCACGATACGTAGTGTCAGCAAAACGATTATCAGGGTGCCAGGCGAACAAATTAAAGCAAGAGGTATGCTGCTTTTAGAGAGGATTGACCAAGCTCTTAGGGAGCCATCTGTTATGGACGGCATACTATTGACTAGCATTCTTTTCTTGGACGAAACAGGTGGAACAGGCGAAAGACTTCTGTCCAAACCATTTCCCGGCACAAATCCTGCGACGATCAGATTTCCCACGTTATACCTAGATGGAGAGACTCTTCGCGACCCCTTGTGCACGAAAGAGGAAGCATTTTCAATGCTTCGTAGATTGATTCATTATGTTCCTCCTAGTATGATAGCCAAAGGCGCAAACAGTGCGCTCGAGCAGTTGAATAAGACGGCTGCGAACATTGATGAACACAGGGAGTGGTCAAGCTTACTGTACAGATACCTGGATCTCCTCAAACGAAGCGATAGGCCGGCGCTTGCTGCAAAATTGGCGATACAGTACATGAAAAGTTCATCCGATTCCAGTACCTGGTATTGGATAGCTCTGTCACACGAGCTTCTCAAAAGACTATCCGCATCTGATGCACAAGCATGTATTCTGTACTTTGCAGATGCCATTTTCGATAAATTAGAAGAGCGTACCAAGATCCAAGCAGAACTTCTCACGGGGAATAACAGCAGAGATTCCGAAGTACTCGATTCATCGATGAAGAAGCAGCAACAGGTATATACGTCTCCCTTCATATGTATTTCCAGCCCATAAGTGATGTTTTTGTCCTCTATATTTTTTCTCCCTTCAACTTTATGCCCGGATGAAAGATGCGCTAACATTTGCTAGGATCCTTCGCCGTTACTGAAGGTGACCACCGTCAAATTACTAGTGAATAGTCTCAAAGATGCAGCCTATGTCTCCACCAAATGTTCGCTCTCCGTTTTGACAAAAGTTCTCGCCAAATTTTCGCATAACGACGTTCAAGGCGCTGTTGTTTCCAGTCTATTAGCAATGTATGGATCCAAGCCCTTGATGGCTGAAACGGATGACAACGTCCTGCACGCTCTGGAGACTGTCATACCAATCGCCACTAATTTGCGTGAGCGGGAGCCTATTAGTGCCAGCGAATGGAAAACGGCAGAGACGACATCTACACCACCCCGACTCACGGCTCAACTCCTATCTGAGAACGATACACCGTTGCTACTTTCTCTGTTGGACTTCCTCAAGGAAAAGATGGGGCACGTGGATTCCGATAAACAGAAGAATTACTTCACCTCTATCATTTTGCCTATTCACGCTGGATTGAAGGAGCAAACTGAGCGATGGATACACATTTTCATGCGCCAACATGGAATCTCCGGACCTTATCATATCCCTTACCCTCCATTTAACCACGACATCACACAAAGGATATTCCGAGACGCGTCCAGGCATGCGCCTCTGTCATTGTTAGATGACTACGTTAGATATGTTCACTTCAACATCACGCCTCCAGAACCAATTGCGTCTCTGAACAAGCGCCTCCAACCTCGCAAAGACAAACCACTCACACCAGCCGCCAAGTTCTGGCTCTCACACTTTGGGAGAGGACTCAACATCGTGGGGACAGCCATCACGGCTCTCATTACTCTTCTGGATAAATCGTATTCCCATCAACCGAGCGCTATCACGCCCACTCACATCCAGGAGCAATACGTGCAGCTCTTTGTTCTAACTCTGGACCACGACACGGAGCACCTTACTTACACGCGGCGATTTACAGACCGCTTGTGCAGCGCACTCGATAACCCCAAAAGCTCCTTTCCTGCTTCCTGGGGTACTCGGTATAAGCCGATCCTTGAAGCCATAATCGCTCACATAGAGTACGCGCGCAATTCCAACAATCCCTCCGGGTCCACCTCTGCCAGAATATTGCCCACTACTTTTAAGCTACAGATGTACATGATGCGATTTGCCGCGCGGTATTCAGACAAGCTACCGATTGACCGCCCAGCGAGCCGCGAAGAGCGAGAAGCCCATTGTGAAGCCTTCGCCGCACGTGTAATGCGGTGCACAGACGCTATGCCGGGGACCGTATACCACGAACAGTTTGCGCAGCTTCAGCTCGTGTTGAAGTTTCTGCAAGGTGATGATAGGTTCAGAGTTGCGTGCTACTTGGGGGATATTGGCTGGATGATGCAGGTTGAGTGGGAGATACAAGATGTGCTGCGGGTGGAGTTGGCCGCGGGATTAGCTAGGAAAGTGGGAGAGGTGGAAAGCGAGGAGTTGAAGAATAAAGTTGAGTGGATGATTCAGAGCTGGAAGGTCTGCGAAAGGGAAGAGATTAGAGCGCTGGGGATGGGGGCTGGGAAGGTGAATTGGGGATTCTGAGCCTAAGGAGTTATTTTTTCGCTGAAGAGATTGGGGTTCTGGAGGAGAATGACTGGAGATCGTTTCTAAACTGTAGCTTCTGCAGGTATTCCGAGGAGCTGCATCTTTGTACAGATGAGGCTCTGTCTATCCAACCCAGGGACTCTATGGAAGTCATGATACGTACATCAGTCTGTAGATGCCCAAAGCTGGGGATATACTCCGTGCCGTGAAATTCATTCGGCAGAATAGCGAGACGACTCCTGAAACAGCTAAGAAAAAACAAGAAAGAGCAGCGCAGATTACCTTCCTAGATACCTTCACCCAGCACGACACCGAAAGAAAGGGGGAAGAAAAGACTTACTCAAGACTCAAACCCACAAATCATGTCATTAATTGCGCTGAAAAGATGTCCATCCATGAAAGATTATGCCTTGCTCTCACTTCCATTCACAGTTGAGGAACAAAAACCCCTCACAACAACTTGACGTTCGCGATCCCCAGGAACAAATCCGCAATTTCAAACCAATCTCACGATCGTAGAGGAGTGGGGCGAACCCACGACCAAACAACATCCTCACGAATAATCCCGCAACGAATGGAAAGATTCGTCACCCCCGATCCCGTCCGCAACCAATACAACGCAGAGAACCATGATTGGACAAGGGAAATCGATCCGTAGAGCAATCACATCATATCATCTCACGCGAGAGAGCAGGAGCAGACTTGGCACAGCAGGATTACAAGTGGATTACAGTACATGGGGAAATATAGAATAGCCATGACTGACAGGCCGGAATTTGCATCCGTGGATTTTTTTGTACCCGTGACTTGGGTTCGGATGCCGGGTTTCGGATGGCTACGAACGCTTTGTCCTCCCTTGCTCTTCTGCATGTGGTGATGTGTGGGTCGTGTGGGTGGGGAATCTTTTCTCTGTTTCTTGCTTGATTGCAGGTTTGGGGGCGGTGTTGGAATTCTGGATTGTGGACAGTTTATTGGGTGGGCTCGGAATGTTCTGGAACTGGATGAAGTGTAGATAGTGAAGGACAGCTATTGTGAGAAATCAGATGATCGTGTTCGGGAAGAGTCATGCCATTGAGATGGAAAGAGATTGTATTGACCGGATAGATGAAAAGTGATTCCGCCATACGTATTGTGAGAGATTTCATGTTGAACTCAATCAGACATCATGTGTAAATTTGGCGATGACCGTTCGACAAGGCTGGCTGGACATTTGGCGATAGCTTTGAGGCAGGCATTACGATGCTTTCAACATGACCAACCTACATCAAAACCAACAAGGATGAATTGAAGAGCATGAAGCATTTGCAAATTTCCGAAGTCCCCACCGCGAGAGCAAATATTGAGGTGACAGACGGGGATTGTCGCCGCACAATGATTCATTTCTGAGTGGGGTAATTGTCCATGGTCTTATCAATCATAGCGAATTCACTCTTTTATCTTTTGATGTTCCTGTGACTTGATGAACGATGCGAAATTCATGTTTGGCCGGTCGGTAGATGGGACAGGCAGATGTTTGGTACGCATTCAGCAAACCGACTCAGGGTCCAAAGCAAATGATGTAACGAAAGTGGCAATTTTCAACGCTCTCCCAGTGCAGTGCTCCAGTCCACGATGCTTTCTCATGGGACCGGAAAGAAGGATATCACTCGGAGAATGACAAAAGCCAAGCCTGTTCCTTCCCCGTCATCCCCACCAGCGTTGAAAGGCCTCGAAACCCCACCCAACGCATCACTAAGTTTCCCATCAGCACAGACAACCGCGCAATCGAACAAGAGCGAGGCCAGTCAAGGCTGCTGTGGCCAGTTACCTCACTCGCTGCGTGAAAATTCCAAACTACGCGGGACATGCCCATCGCATCACTGCCTCATGGGGAAGGACGTGACATGCGCGCCATCGAACGATCGTAGGGCCATTCTCGGGCGCCGGCGCAGAGTGGGTGGCAAATGCATACGCACTGGCGTGTGTTGCATGGTCCGTGTAAGATGGGAAAATTGGAAAAAGCGGTGCTGCTGCGTCATGGGAAAGTCTGGGATCAGGATGGCTCGTCATCGAATTGTTTGAAATCAGGATTTTTAGCGGTGGCCAAGGTCATGGTGGGAGTCATGGATGGGTGATGGCCTTGCTGCTAGGATTAACCATAGTAGAGAGTTTGGGAGAGGGGTCGATCTTGCTGCCCCCGTACAAGCGCATTGTTCTTCTGCTTGCGAACTTTGTGGGAGCTGATTAATGATGGGGGAAGATGCCGAACAAGCGCGCGACGGGTGATGAAAGGATATGATCCATGTCCCTCTTTTTTGCCTCCTTTCTCATGCCCAAGTGAGCAGTTGATAGACAGTAGAGGCCCTTTGACATGATGTTCTCTTCAGACTTGTTGTACATATGTATGTTTACGTCGCTGGATCTGTTGACGGGGCTGAAGCAACGATGCCTGGTCAAATTCGGTGGGAAGAGGGGAAAGCGTGATGTGACACATTGAAATGGTTTGTGTTCGCCTTCCAAGCGATTGTTTCCGAGACAACGTTCCGAGAAGCCAAGCAACATGAAACTGGGACGAATGAGAAGCCGAGCAAGGCCCCGTTGCATGTAAGAGGTATGTATATAAGCGGTACTCAGCCAGGGTCGACAAGATGCGTGAGGGGATTAGAGGCTATGTGCATATTTCTCCAAGTTTATTCCGAGGCTGGTCTCTCACGATACAAAAGAATGTCAAAATGTTTGTTGTAGCACACGACAGCTCACAGTTTCCATGTCACAGTGCATTCGATATGTAGATTCTCAGCTGGTACAAGATGTGTCAACAACGATTTTGCATGCAACGACGACAGTTTGATTAAGACGAGTACCATGAGCCTAGAAGCATCGGTAACCCCACCGATTACTCGATAGGTGCGATTGGGACGGGCTGAACGGCGCCCCTAAGCCCAGGCGAGCCGAAGACTCTGAAAATATACGCTTTTCGATTGAATCAGTCCGAAGAGGATGCGATAACGCACAAAATCCTACAGCAGGAGACCCGCACTTGACAAGGTTGAGGGATGGTGAATAATCACGTGAGGGCTGGTGCGCTGTGGTTCCGCGGAGGCGTTTTTCGCGATCACGATCACGATCTGCGAGGACAAGCTCGGGCTGATCGCCCCAGGCTGCCACGCTTCAAAGCGACAGGGCCACGAGATGGCTTGGACGCTTGACGGCAAGGGGCGCTTCGATGATGCGACTGAAGGGCTTTTGCGGCTACGCTCAAGTATGGGAGGGTTGGATGGATCGCAAGCGGGAACAAGCCGCCTGGCTCATGGGAATAAACGGACAGTGAACGGCGAAAGCGAGGGACAAGGGACGGAAGCATGTGGGTGTTTATGTGTGTGCGTGCGGCTTACCTCGCCCAACGCCCCCCCAAACACTTCGCGTCAGCTGGTACACAAAGGAAACATCAGTGCACGATTACACGGCGACATGTTGGAGACTACGAACCAATAGTACGCGACATAGTTCGGACGGCCTCCAAGTTCATATTGCATAGCTTATTGTTTGTTATGGAGACGGCGGGGTGAGTCTGTACACTGGCTGTGCACCCAGTGTCATTGCACAACAGCACATTTGAAGGCTTGCCCATGTCCATGGCTTTTGCGTGGTCGCAGCTATGATCTACACAACCGTCCGAGAATTAGTATGTGAATCCACCCGTCACGAAGAAGACGACTGGGCGGGAACAGCGCACCGAGCAGCTGCGGCGGGATCATTGTGAGGGCAAGGGTGGCAGTAGTCTCTCAACGAAGCAAGGTAGCGACAAAGATGCATTTCTTCCCAAGTGCCATGGCCGCCAAACAGGTTTCCCATGATTCCCCCCATCAGCCATCATGATCCATCCATCCCTGCGCCCCCGTCGCTTGCACTCTGGCTGCCCTTTGGGTTTCTGCCGTGGGCTGAAGTGGGTTAGAGCTTGTCCTCTTCGGTTTTCACGTCACCGATCCATCGCACTGTTCTCGATCCCCAGAAAAGCATGCCGGATTCAAATTCCCATGCTGGCGCGTACATTAACATTCCCTTGTCCGCCTGTGCCAATGTCCAATTCCCATCCCCTCTGTCTGTTTCCCCCTCCCTTCCTTTTTGCGGACCACCGAACCAGACCATTTGCTTTCCCGTCAACAACCGCCCTCGCCACTTACTTACTCTTCCCTCACGCCCATCTTTCCAACGCTTCTCTGCTCCACTCCTTCCTACTCACTACTCAGACCCACGTCACTCTCGGGAGTTCCTGCCGCCTTCCTTCTGGAGCTTGAAACGAACCTACCCACGTATAATACACAGCAGGTGCAGCTCGCTGTGATCCCTCTTCATTCAGCATTCGCTACCACTACACCTACCAACAACACACATTCCATCACAAGCCCAATCAACCACTTTCAGCTCATCCCCACCCGCACAAGATAGTGTCGCCCCTCATGACTATGCAGCTGGAGCCTCATCACTTCGGAGGTGACTGGGCAAACGACGCATTCGTTGCCCTCAATCAGAACGATGCCCATTCAGACAAGTGGTCTGCTTTTGGCAGCCCATCCTTCTCCAGCTCAAGCTTCACAATTCCCCCGTCTCTCCTCACCCAAAGTGCCATTGAGCGATATGGCCAAGTAACCCCACCCGAGGAGCTTTCACCGGCAGAGCGACCGCGCGAGGTCCGAGAGGACCGAGCAACTTCCATCCCTGTCGAGGAGCTTAGGAATGAAGCTTTGTTCCCAGACCACCAGTTGCAGACCCTACAAGACTTCCAGCCCAAACCGGAGCAGCAGACACAACAGCAACAATCACCCAGCTCCTCATCATCACCACCCAAGCAAGACGAAGTGCGCCCATCAAAGCGCCGCCGGACGTCCAAGACTACTAGCCAGAAATCATCCGCCAATCAGCCACCCACCGATCCCCCATCCTCCCAACTACCCTCTGACAACCCGCAGCCACCCAAGCGCAAGCGGGGCCGTCCCAAGTCCACCCCGCAGATGGTAGAGGCATTCACTGCCGATGGATTTCCCTTCCAAGTCTCATCCGCCCGCCAATCCCACCTAGAGAAGAACCGTGTAGCGGCACACAAATGCCGCCAGCGGAAAAAGGAGTACATCGGCAGCCTCGAGTACCGAGCCCGTGAACATGCAGCTAAAAACAAAGCTCTCAAGGAGAACATAGCCATGCTCCGCGAGGAGCTTCTCGAGCTTAAGAACGAGGTCCTACGTCACGCTAACTGCGGCTTCTGGGCCGTCGACGAGTATCTCACGCGTTGCGCTGGCGATCTTCTCGGTATGCAAGCACCCGGCCTCGAGGCTGTGACAAGCTCGCGGATGCAGCAGCAACACCAGCCACAGCAACAGCAACAGCAGCAGTCACCCACAGCCATGGAAAGTCCGGCTATGAAGTCACAGTCTCAGTCTCAGAGTCCTGCCATGGCGACGCTCGAGCCTGGCAAGATGCATCGCGAGTCGAGCATAGACTCTCTCTTTAGTCTATCCGGTGACGACTCACTGGATCCTGATGATTTCAGTGGCTTTGACCTGCTCAACGACATTGATGAGGAAGATGAGGTGCAAGCCGTGTAAAATTCGGTCCCCGTCTTCTCTCGTTTCTTGTCGATAACGATCTTCCGTCTCTATCTTTCTCATATTTCCGTCATTGATATTGGCGGTTGAGTTGCTCGAGGAAACCTTTTTCGAATGCTTCTATGATACCCCCGACCTTTTTTTTTCTCTCTTTTTTTTTACCTGGCACTTTTTAACGACTCTTCTTCATGTGCGAAAAAAAAATATGTCTAGCCTAGGAAACACAAAAATGATGAAAAAGTAACTTTCGAGACAATGCCTCGTGCTGTGCTTGCTCTGTTGATCTATGCATATGCATCCCATTTTTACGTGCCTACGTTCTTTTATCATTGAATACTCAAAGCCGGCCATTGCAAGACCAATCCCGTAAATCTCGTATACGGGAAGCCGAAGCTCCTCTGAGTTGTCATTGGAGAGGAATACAGTGGGGTGGATCGGGTCATCTTGTGCGTGATAGCTTGGAACTGCATCGTTGGCGTGCTCTTCATATGCTATGCTTCAAAGTCGGTATGCAGCCCACCCAATCAATTCATGCCATGTCCTCTGTCGAGCCCCTCGCTTTGTCTTGATCGTCTGGAAAACTTACCCCTCTGCAGGGTCCCCCTCTCTTGGCATCATCATCCAAACATGCACATCATCCCTTCTACCATCTCCCAAATTTTCTCCTCGCCCTTTCCCCCAGCGAAGCGGAATCATTGTAGGCGCTTGTTCGATGCAGAAACGATCTATGAGACGTAACCACCCAATGAATGCTCATAGCGTTGCCAATTCTCCCCCGAGGGAAATTAGTGCGAGAAAATCACGTTTTTACTCAATCAAGAGTAAGCGCGTAAACCATCCCCAGCCAATCAATAGCTTAGAATAACTCTGGTGAGGTTGGGTGTTGCAAACTCTACGATTTTGTGTTGGCGCTCAGGAAATCAAAGTAGACTGTGTCTACATAGTATGCTAGTCAGTATATACCAGATCATAGAATATCACTCGTATTTGGGGGGGGGGAAGAGCAGGAACCTACCTCGATTGCACGTTTCGTTGGATCCGTTGTCATACCCCGAGTATGTATATATACATATGTATATATATATACTTTAACATGCATCTAGGCAAACATATACGCTCATAGCTGGGGAACGCAGTGGTATTTCCAAGAAAACAAAAGGCAGAGAGTATAACAAAGAGAGAGCAGGTGAATGAAAGCCAAAAAGGTAAAAATTCGACATGAATGCGGACGTAGAGTACTAAAAAAAAAAAACTAACTACCGTCTCCCTGCTTCCCCCCATCGTTATAGTCGTTATCATCATCATTATCATCATCGAACTCATGAAAAGTTAAGAAGAACAGCCCGTTGTTCCCCATCTTCCGTGACTAAATCAGGTTGGAGTAGAGCGAGTAGGTCCCTACCCTTCCGCCATTTCCCGTCAGGGATTGTGTGAAGAGCTGAGTCCACGAACAGTGACCAAATTCCCCGATACAACATCGCTAACATGACCCAAACCCTATCCATTGCACCGAGCTCAGCCGTGGGGATATCGTCGAATGGAGGTAAGAAAGGAAACACGGGTGGAAGGCTAGGATCCCCCACTCGCGAACCGGTCCGAATGCTGTTCATCACCATAATCCCCGCCTTGCCAGTAACTAGTCGTCGAGCTACCAGCAACACCTAGCGGGGTGGCCAGTTCGTCAGTTGGGCTAAGTTCCGCTTGCTCTGCCCCTCCATACCCATCATCCACAGGACTGCCCACGAACATTCCCCAGCTGTTTTGATCGAAGCTAGTTGTCATGAATGGATTGGGGTTGGCGTAAAGGTTGTTGTACGGGTCATAGAAAGGGTAGTGCCCCTCCGCTCCAAGAGGGGCGCCTTGAGAACTGGATTGTTGGTCAAACGACGCAGTTGTTGGTGTGAATGCGGACTGCGGCATGCTATTGAGGGTGTTGTATTCGAGACCAGTCGTGTTCGTGTGCAAAGAAAGCTTCGTAGGGCGGGCAGTGGCCGGGTCGGTCGCGGTGGATATCTCCGCGGGATGATGAGATGCTGCTTCTGCCAGACCCTCGATAATATCCCTGTCATCCCTCGCCCTGTTGCCTGCAACATTGGCGCTTGTGGTGAACCCTTCTGCAGACCCATGTGCAGCCTGTTGATTGCCCGATGTCATGTAGATTCCGGTATCGTCCTCGTCGAGTAGATGTTCGGCTTTTGTGTGAAATTGATTTCCGCTGTGGCGGATGATGTTCACTACCACATTGTATGCGCGCTCAGAGGAAGGATCCGTAGCACGCATGACACGTAGCCAGCGGACCAGCTTCCTTATTCTAGGAGTTAAGGAACTGTCATCGCCTGAGATATGGGTGCTCTGGTATGACAGTTCCAGAAGCAGGACAGTCATAGATTGCATGACTGGCAACCATATTAGTGAGAGCGGGATGGTACGGACAATGATTGAGAGACTGACTATGATGTACCATTATCCACCATGGTCCATTTTCCAATAGGTATTTCAAATTCAGATCTTCGGGGAGCAGATCTGCCATGTCTTGAGCTGCTTGGACGCACCTCTTGGCTGTTGTTTCATTGAAATCGAATGAAAAGTCACTCTGGCCTAGATTGTACCACTGGAGTCAGCTAAAAACGGTTTACTTGTTGTTAAGAAACTGGCCAGCGCACACATATTGCTAAACACCTACCTGTGATGCGCCGCTCTATTCTGCAGAGACATGGGCGCGTAATCAAGATCAGATTACTGTAATAATAGAATCTCAACAGGAAAGATTCCCTATCACCATCCGGTGGTGGGAACGGGTTCACGAATTTGCCATATCGATAAGGTAGGACAGCGCCTCGCCACTCCTCCAGCTCTGCGAGCAGTGACGGTATCAAAGATTGAATGTATGACCATGATCGAGTAGCCACCCGAGGTGCGTAAATACTGGAGAGAACCTTCTGGGTGATCAGTCCGATAGCGATATGAGCTTCGAGAGCAGAGCCAGGAACGCCAGTCTTTCGCACAGAGTCCGGAGTATCACTTCCCGTAAACGCTGACGAACTAGCTCCAGTGCTTTTGGATGTTTTGCTGTACTCATGAGTAGCGTCCTGCTGGTGCACAGCGGAACCACTCTCCCGAAAACTGTAAGGAAATGCTGCTGTGCAATCTTCAGGAGCAAGTACGCAGGGCCGCCCTGTCACGGAACTAACAAGACATTCAATAGCGTGTAGGCTCCACCTTGAAAGTATTAGCATATATTTATGTGTGCCGCCGCGTAGTCTCTGAATACATCCAAACCTACCATGTTCGTACTAAGGTGTCTTTCTTGCTGGCCGGCGTATTAGGATCCTCATTGCGAAGATGCAGACCCAGAGCAAGAGCAAAGCGTATAGCTATTCCAATCATGACCCAGGCACGACTGACATGGCCAATGGACATGTAGTAGAAGGACAGTAAACCTGTTGCCTGAATAGTGGGAAGGTCTGGAGCCGCGGCAAACAGAAGGTTGTCTTTCAGCCCCAGTAGACGCACCGCCCTTGTCATGTATATACGATGTTCCTTGGTATCGGTGTGGCGCTCTTGACCTGTCAGGGTCGAGTATTGTGATCCGACAGCGAAGCAAAGGTTGAGCAGTGCAAGCCATTTGTCCGGCACCTGGAATGCGCGTTCGGAGCGAATAGCTTCGAAGAATTTCTTGAATTGGCTTGGGAAGGTGCTGGGCGTGATTGGGAAAGATTTGTAGACTGTGCGCATGTAGAAATCGAAGAGTTTTTCTGCGACATCGTAAGGAGGAAGCTGGTAAGGATTAACCTGATACAACGTCAGTCAAGTACGAGAAGGCTGAGGCCTGGAAGTTTTGGAAAATTTGTACATACAGTGGCATTCAACTCTAAACCATCGGTATCGAGGTAAAAGCTAGTTTCCGTAGTCTCAGGCCGTACAGTTTGCTGGTGGCTTTGGCGCCTTCTCTCATGCAACGCTTCGGATCTTCGAACGGTAGAGTTGTAGTCCGCGCCCGCTGGTCCATACGGCAATCCATATGGCTGCCCATCTGCGTTCTTGACTTCTTTTTGAAGACTTCTCAGCCATGCGACTGTCGAATTCTTGCCTGCATATCCCGTCTCTCTTGCTTCTTTGCTCCTCAAAAGGTCTTCATCTAGCAGATCCAGATCTTCGTTTGAACCTATACTGGCAGGTGCGCGGTCCTCACCGGATAAGATGTAGGGGTCATCAGCAGATGCCGAAGACGGCTTGCGCCGTTTGCTAGATGTCGATGTGTGCGCATTAGTGTGAGAGGCAGATCCATCGTCCACGTGCTTTAACGCATCATCGATTGTCTGCTTGTCGGCATCGTTGACACGGAGTCGGAGATCGTTTAGGAGAGCGATGAGCGATTGATTTTGGTGAGTTGCGGAGCGGAGCTTGTCCCGTCGAGCTGGTTCGTAGTAACACTCAATTTCGGCTGCTTCGCAATTCAAGCAGCTTGGTTGCTCGCCGGAGCATTTAACTTCTGTATTGTGTCAGCATCACCCTCTCTGGTGAGTATGAGAAGGTGTAGAGCTTCGAATAGTTGACGTGGCCGAAAGCGCAGGTGTCAAAGTGCTTCAAAGCAGAAGCGGAAGCCGCTCGCATTGTTAGACAGTTACTCACTTCTTTTGCGGCAGTTGGTGCACTGAATGCCATGCAGTTAGTACCCATCTCCTTGTCCAAGGACGTGTTGGATGTGAAGAGCAACCGTACCGCCTTCCTCACCCTCTTCTCTTGCCGTCCATCTCCCTTTCTCTCTGCGGATCGATCGAGATGCCGGCGCTCCAGCCTAGGAATTGCTACCTTGGAGGCTTGATCACCGGCCGTTTCATACGTTGGATGGTGCATCGACCCTTCCCATGGCAAGTGTAAAGCCAATGTACGCAGGAATGATGCTGATTAGGATGAAGAGAATCAGATTTTTATCAGTCTCTGGTCAGAAGACGACAGAATACAGTCAGGTGTGATGGCGCGCGATGACGATGAATGACGGCGTGGTTGGCTAAACAGGTGGATGCAGTGAATTGGATCAACGCGTCTACACAGATCAGGGTGTCGAATGAATGTAGGGGACTCCGATCGGAAGAAAAACCTGAATCTTCATCCAGCGAACTTTCCAGGGTATGTGGGAGGGGATGGAGAGACTGAGAGATGTACGGAGGGAACTAATGCCCAGGCCACGGGAACACCAAGCCGAGCCAATGGGAGGGTTGAAATGGACTATCTGAAGGGACTGTATATTATGCGATTCCCGCTTCAAGTCACTTATTCGTCAGCTATCGATGCATATATCGTATAGGTTTCTCTGTCCAGCCATAGGTAATGCTCTCTCTCTTTCGCTGGAGGACATGTACGTATCTTCACGTACGTGTGGTGGGAGGTCGACTTCGCGCCGTGAATGCTCCGGCCAACTATGGCAGCACCGCACGTTTTGTGCTGACACACACATCCTAGAGTGTTCAACGGGATGGATGTAGAAATAGTCTGTGCCCCTGGAAACCCTGTCCAGACCCACTGCGATGCCCGAAAAAGACCCATAAAAATGCGTCGCAATATTGGCGTTCTATGGCCAAAGTCTGCTTCCTTCCTATCCTCAAACCATAAACTCCAACGGTCCATATTCCACTCACGCTGGTTCCGCATCAAGCCGCTCCAACGCGAGTGCCCCGATTCCCTTAAGAGAACCGCTCTCCCACTCCTCGAATATCATTCTGGCCACGCGACGCTGTTCGATGCTGGCTGAATACATGGCAGTGACAAAAAGAGGCGAATGAAGACGCAGATAAGAAAACCCTACGTCGCGAAGCCGCAGGTACCAAGCCACCGAGAGGATGAGGGCATGATGCTCTGCAACCGGCGACGAAGATGACCATGTTGGTGAAGACGATGAGGGAGAAATGAAGCGCACTGATGGTGGTGTTTTCACGGGCGGCGACTGCGAATTCGGACGACGCTGAGGCTCGCTGCCTGCCTGAGGGGGAGTGGATGGTGAGCATGAGCGCAAAGGCAGGGAAATGGTCTCAGTGTTGCTCTCAGACGGCGAAGCAATGTCCAGCAGCGCCCAACAAGCCGCAAAATATGCATACGTTAACGCGGTGAATGGGTCTCTGAACTCAGTTTGTCCCGTTTGCGCATTCATCCACATTAGCTTCTGGGTTTTCCCCGAGTGCCCATATTCCTCCCAGAGCTGATTTACTTCATCCTGGACGCTCTTGAAGGCCCACCTTCTCTGCCACGCGGAGAGATTCGTACTGTCGACAAGTGTAGCTAGGCGGGTAACAGGTCGAAGCAGACGCTGCATAAGCGGTATGTTCTCAAGCTCCCACCCGCATACATCCTCCAATACTGTCATGATGATGTCGTCTTGACGGAGTCGCTCTGAAGTACTTGTCAGGTAGACAAATGTCAGCTGGAAACGTATGTGGAAGAAGAGTCCTGTTGGCAAAGGTTCCGAAAAGGCACCAGTGTTGCTCTCACTCGCACGCTGACTCAAAGAGCCATTTGGCCCATCGGGGAGACGCGGTGGTGGCTGATCAAATACTTTGCTTGAAGGCTTTGGCATTCTCTTGAGAAGGCGTGCGACCATCTTCGCGGCACCCATGATGTGCTCGGCGTATGCAGAACTAGTGGTAGCCACGACGGCCTCAAACATGCCTAGTAAAATGCTCGTGCCTAACATCTCGACCGAGGGACGTGCTCTTGCGGAGTTTTCTGCTTCTTCGGCGGCCAATGCTTTTCCTTGCCCGCGCAAGGCTGCTCCATAAAGCCGGGAAGCATATTCTAGAAGAGAGACATTTCTTGTCTCTATACCACTGAAAGCTGCCGTAGTGGCGCGAAGCGCAAAGGAAAGTGCCTGTCTAGGCGTATCATCTTGTCCCTGTTTGTTGATATCGGCATGATTCGAAGCCAGTTTTGGTAGAACGTGAAGCCAGGTAGGCGTACGGCGTGGAGCGCCAGGCAGGTGGCGGCCGTCGGCACAGAAAAAACGCACCAGATTGGAGTAGAAGGCTTCGTGGAGAACGTATCGTGGGCTGACATGGACTGTTAGATCATATGCCAATTCATAGGGCAATTGATCATCAGTATTCCCTGAAACGGTTTTGGGGTCGTTCCCCTTGCCGCCTCGTAGAGAACTCGATTGCCCCGGACTCGGCAGATAACGGTTCTGTGTCCCAACATGAACAAGTGCAGTACCCTGTTCTCTTGCTGGAGCAGATGCCACCCTGGATTTCTTGGGTCTCTTTCCCGAGGGATAGGCGGAGTTGTCAATGAATAGTAGTGGTGCATCGGTTGGACCAGGGCACTGGCGTCCGAACTTCAGGCACATGGTGCAATGAGGCATGGTGGCGTCGCATTTGATTCGCTTTTTCCGACATATCGCGCAGGCTTTTGTGCGGCGTGGCATAACGATGGCGAATTGACTTGTAATAGGGCTGTTGCCCTATTGAATCTGGGGTTGAGATGGAAAGGAGATGGAGCTATGGTGTTTACGTAACTGTGGAGCAGTTCGCAGCGATCTTTCTTCGTATTCTTAGCGCTTTTCGTCGCCCTCCTTCTGTAGTCTCTCCCTGCCTGCAGGTTCTCGCCCTGTTGTCCACAGCCTATCGGCAAGGACTTGTTTCTGTTCGGTGCCTAGTTGCGGCGCCAATCGACTATCTTCAAGCGTAGCACTACCCGCTGGACATGCAAGTGCAGTAGGCGGGGATCCTGTCCCGACGCGCAAGAGGATGGCTTTCGTTCGTGATGTCACAGGATGCCCAACTGTGGCTGCTTTTCCTGGTGGTGGTGTTGGTGTTGTGGCAATGGAGCAGTGGTGTGCGGGAAGGAAGATATAGACAGGAACGAAGACACAAAAACATGGCGGCTCCATCTACTAGTTCTAGTCTCGTCTTTGGATAGCCGTTGCTTGTTCCCCCCCTGCATTGCGACCAGGGCTTCCGCGGCCATGGCTCGCTTACATGCCCCTTCTCTGGATAGTACCGCCGGATCGACCACCAAGATCTCCGGTCGGAGAAGGGAAGGGGTCGATATGATGACGGCCAAGTCAAAACCACCATCACCCATCAATCAATTCCGCCACCCGTTGCGGGACATGGAAACATCTGATTCGGTCTTTGAGTCTTCAAGTCTTGTTGTAGCCATGCAGTGCCAAACAAACCCCCGCCCAAAACTCCCAAAGGCTCCGGGCCGCGTAGCAGACCGGGGCTCGCATGACATAGATGCAGTTCCATCCCTATACATAGGCATTCGTTCAATCGCGAACTCAAACACCAGGTCAATGCTTTGAGCCATGGCACCACTATCGGCATAACTGCTGTCAACACACTATTCAAGACGACATCAACAAAACAGACAACGTCACTCCGATGACGTCCCCGCGCGAGATGCTTCGATGCAGGGCCCCTACTAGCATTCATTATCTGGTCGTCTCGCGGCAAGTGCACACGGACCGGACAAACAGCATTGATGACGAGCCTCAAGCTTCAGAACACCGCAAAACGCTGACTATCTAGTGCTACTGCCCCCATGCTTTCCAACTATGTAACTGCGTGGCCCCCACTCACCTGGGCAGAAAACACACAAGTGGTTTTTGCGACACATGACCCGTGAAATGGAATCTCTTTTTTGTTCCCAGCGTGTCATTTTGCTCGAACGAGAACTGGGTGATACTTTCTGCCTCGTACGGTCGACCCCTTTACTACCGCGCTCTAGCCCTCCATTGAATCCACACGCTAAAAAAGAGAAGTTCGTATCGAGATCCAAATGTCCTGTCATTCCTGCTGTACCATCAATGACAGCGCCCAAAAAGAAAACAAGACAGAAAGGGAACGCGCATGAACACGTGCCAGCAGGGGATCTTGTCTCACGTTTCATCCGAAACATCCGCAACATAGCCTCCGCGAAACACACATAAAAAAGCCGAGTCTGTTCCATCCTGGCTCGGCGCCTCGCCCCCGTAGGGCTGTACGTCTTATCTCATCCTTTCAACTGGAATTGGGCAAGCATAGACGAAGATTGAGAATCCAACACGAGTTGGCAATCCAAGAAGGCTGCCACCCGTTTCTAAGACACAACACCGCATCTTACGAATGCACTTCCTTTTTGTGTTCCACGATCAATGCCCGGTCAAGATCCTTGCAAACGTGTTCCTGAACCCACCTAGAATGCACACACGGACGAAGTCAGTCACAGAATAGCCACCACCGTAACCCAAAAATAAACCACATGAACTCCAGAGCATGAGAAAAGAAGAAGAAAAAAAAACCAGAGAAGAAAGAGGCGGAGAGAAAGAGAGAAACACATACCCAACAACTGGTTCAAAAACCTGTTCAACCTGCACCCCCAACTCCCTAGCCTCCTTCTCCCCACCCACACATACAACCACAACCTTCTTCAGCCCCTCGCAATCCCTCAAACAGCACAAATCAACACTCTCCACAATCTCCTTCTTACTCTTGACTCTCACCCTCCTCCTCCCTTTCCTCTTCCCTTTCATATTACCAAATCCCAGATCCCTCACACAAACCCCCGCGGGAACCTCAACCCTTACACTCCGCAACCCCTTACACAATTCTAGCAACTTCCGGCAGGTATGCGTCGTATGTGGTGCCCAACTAATATCCGATGAAAATGACAACGCTGCTATCCCGCTCGCAACAAGTAAATTACCAGGCCTAGAGAGGTAGAACGTTAGGCGCGATGCGGAGAGTATATCTGCGATGTGGATTTCAGTACCACGCAGAAGACAAGGAACAGATTCTGTGTAGATGGTGCGGCTTGTGTATATGAATTCCGGGGGGCTGGTGAGCGGGAATGTAGCGTGATGGGTGGAGGGAGTGGATGAAGCGGTTAGATTAGTGGGAATCAGTATGTTGAAGAGGGCTGTGTAGATTCTTCTGCGAATTTCAAGCGGGAGGGCGAGCAAGGGCGGGGGTTTTGGGGGATTGAGGTAGGTTGTGTTGCTAGTGAGTGATTTTCTAGATTTCAGGTGCGAGAGGAGAGATCCTTTCAGTTTGAGGAGTGTTGGACGGCGGGGAGGTTTCGTTGCTGTTTTTGAGGCGTGGGTTGACGGGATGGCCGGCATGACCATTGTCGAATGAATCCTGACAGATGGATAGTTATTGTTGGTGCTTGAGACGGCCATAGTTTGGTAGGATCTGTTAGAAGAAAGGATGTTTTATGTGAGTGTCTGTAGGTTTAATGGTATGTTGCATGATCGAAGGTGATTTTACTTATATCCAATATACTTTCTGTTTGATATGAACAGTAATGTGAATCGTGGAGAGGATGCTTGAAGGTCGCCAATATCTAACGACCGTGATTGCGAAAACTGTGAAGCAGGGTCGCAAATGCTACTGGATCGCCACTGCAAGAGGTAGTTCGTCTCGATCAAACAATAAGAGAGAAATATTCCGGTGTATTGAATGATACGCAACTAATCTACTACTGCTTTCATCTACTTCACTTTACATTTATACTATCACGCAAAGAATGATTCCAGCCGTCAGCGCATGTCAAATACCCGAAAATCTTCTCTTCCAAACAACGAAATATCTCTCGATTAATTTTGTACATTCGCGTAGCCTCTCATGAGCTTCAGTCACAATGCATTTGGGAAAGGTCTCCAATTCATGAAAGAAAAGCAAGCATAGACAGACCCGACCTATTCCCTATCAAGAAAGTTGGTCTGATCTAACGATGCGTACAGAATGTCGATTGATCTTGTGTGACGGGCACATCAATCACACTAGGTTGTGAATGGTGATGCGATCACTTGACTAGTCGAGACCACAAGATCGTATCTCGGTATACCCACGTCTGATCCCCAGCTCAAAGCAGAAACGATAAATTCGCGAGGTGCGTCGAATAATACTATGCGCATGATAATCCGGCTTGAAAGTATCTCCAAGTTATATGGTGCCTATAGCTCGGCAGAGTTGTGAGGTGTATACTCCTTAACAGCTGGGAGCATAGCACCTTTCTTCGCCAACTCTTGGGCGCCAACGTTGAATGTACGGTCGATCCGCCAGAAATGAACCTCCAAGCCCTTTTCTGCCTCCGTCTCGATCTGGCCCAGCAGCGCTTCCCATAGATCCTTGTTCTTGACTGGCGTTCGATTGGATGTTTTCCAGCCTGTCTTGACCCATTTCTTGATCCACTCAGTAGCGCCCTTGACGACAGTTTCAGAATCAATGGCCAATACCATCGATGTGAGTCCTTCACTGAACCAGTCACAATAATGAAGCGCGCCTAAAACAGCACGAAGCTCTGCCCTGCTTCCAGTCTGTGGGGCTTTGTCTCCAAATGGGCCTTCCTCCTCCAGACGGCCATTGACTCCCCTGGGAGATGAATCCGCGACAAGTTCACAAGGATCCACAATAATTCCCCAGCCTGCACGAGAATCAGCTTGTCCTTCGTCGAGACAAACGCCGCTAACGAAGACCATGCCTTGGGCTGAATTCTTGCGGTTTACAAAGCGAATCGCTGATGGATTAGTTGTATCCGCGGCGAAAAGGTCCGAAGGATGGGTATCGGGTGTCGGTTGTGTGAATAAGGTGGGTATGATCTTGCCAGTTCCACACTTGGATCTGGGATGGTGCTCGGTATGCTTCTCAGGAGCATTCTTAGATTTGAAGATATCATCACGCATGCTTTGTATATCAGACAGGAATGCCGCTCGCTTATTCTCGTGGTCCACTTTCATCGCCATGACCCTGTTCACGAGGGTGAAGTCGAGTTTGCATTTTTCACACAGGGCAAGATGGTGGTCGCGACAAACAGTTTGGCCGTCAGGTAGCGTGTGAACGATATCGTTGGTATCCATGAACCTGACAGTGATTCTATGAGTTGTGCTGCAGAAGACCTTGAATTAAGACTTGATCGGATATCAGAGCATAGGCAGCGAGGAGAGAGTGGCGAAGGAGGCGTTGATACAGGCAGGGTGAACGTACGAGGCACGCTACAGCTTTGTGAATAGCAACCCGTTCCTTTGACTGTGCAATTGGACGTTTTGGAAAGAATAAAACGAAAGGTCCAACAAAGACTCAACAGTAATAGACGAGGGGAGATTATGAGATGACCAATAATGTGATGTGAGAAAAGCAAAGGGGGATGGACTCGACGAAGACCAAATTCTTAGTCGACAGCTGATACGTAATCACCCACTTCCTTTTTAGAAACCAAGGGATGCTTTATTAAAGAAGGCGAGACACACCATTATCAAGCAGGAACAAACTCATACACCCCACCCGCCGTCGTATTGACCGCCACATACGACAAGCCCTCAAAAATTGTTCCATTACCTCCTCCAAAAGAGGGTATAGACGTCCCGTTTCCACTGCCACCGCCATTGGCAACTTTGAAAACCCCACCAGTCCCAAACGTAACATTCAGCGCTCCCCCAACCCTACTCAACACTCTAGCCCACTCGACCTTACCTTCACTCCACCTTGCACTAACCTCAAATCCCCCACGACCGACTAATCCTTCGAATGCGCCTGCTTCACTTCCAGGGAGACGCGCGGGAAGGACGTTAAGCACGCCGTTGTGCGATTGCAGCAGCGACTCAGCGATGGCCGCGCAACCACCAAAATTGCCATCGATTTGGAAGGGTGCGGGCGGGCCGGTGCCAAGGAGCGAGTTGTAGGTGTATTCTGAAAGGAGAGTGGAAAGAGAGGACTGGGTTTGTGCGCCGGAGTGGAGGCGCGCATAGAGGGCTGCGAGCCACGAGCGAGACCAGCCATTGTTGCCGGAGCCAGAGCTATTGGGTAGTTAGTTGGGAGTCAACAATAGAACGAACGCTGGAGAGAGGGGAAAAGTATAACATACTCAACTCTTCGCTTGATGAGGGCGATGGATGCGTTCCATATCTTGGGGTCTTGCGGCGTGATTTCTGAGCCTGGAAAGAGACCATAGAGGGGCGAGAAATGGCGATGACCAGGCTCAGATTCCTCGTAGTCTTCGATCCATTCCATAAGTGATCCTGTGCGGGGTGAGACTTGAAGGGGAGGAAGTCGTTCTTTTGTGTTTTGTATGTCTTGGAGGAGTGTGCTGTTGTCGTTCTTCCCCAAGACTCGCGCAGCTTTCAGGATGTTGTCAAATAGTTCGCGTAACAGCGAATTATCCATTGTAGGGCCGATGGAGAGGGCTACGTCTGCGCTTCCGTTTTTGTATGAGTTCTCTGGGGAGACTGACGGATTAGTAACCTTCCACCCGTTAAAGTCGTCGAGAATGTCAAGGCAGAATTGGGCGGCATCTAGCATCATTTGCCAGTACGTTTCAAGGAATGTTTGTCGCCAGTGTACTGATAATGCTCGAATACGTGCTGTAGAAGCCAGACATGCCCCATGGGCCAGTACGCACTTGCTGCATAGATGTCTTGGGGGGCTGTATCGCCCCAGATATCTGTGTTATGATGGGCAACCCAACCTCTGGCATTGTACATTTTCTTAGCTGTTACCTTTCCGGATTCATAGAGCTTCGCAATTAGATCAAATAGAGGCTCGGTAAGCTCATGCAGGTTGCCAACCTCGGAGGGCCAATAATTCATTTGTAAATTGATATTTATGGTGAATTTGGAACCCCATGCCGGATCAAGTGCAGAATTCCAGATACCTTGCAAGTTGGGAGGGAATGAGCCGGGACGAGAAGATGCAATGAGGAGATATCGGCCATATTGGAAGAACAGGGACAGCAGTTCAGGATCAAACGAACCATCGGAGAGAGCGCGACGACGGGCGCCGGTGTCTTTACTTCTCTGTGCGTCCGTCGAATTGCCCATGGACAGTGAAGTGCGGTTGAACAAGCCAGCATGATCTGAAACATGGCGTTCACGCAAGGTTAAGTAGGAACTTGAAGCCGCGGCCTCAACCTTTCCAACTGCAACTTCAAGCGGGTTTTCATGTCTCACTGTTGTTTCCATGTTTGCGTATATCCAGGCTTCATCAGATCCAGAGACTTGAATTTGGTCGCCAACCTGCCGCATCTTGCCTCCGGAGATTTTGACCTTCGCTGCGAAATACGCCACGATGCTGTTTTCTTGAAGTTTTGTGATTATTGTATCACCATTCTCCGCATACGAAGCCTCCGCCCAACGGTTCTGACCAGAGGTCGGTCGCTGAAATTTGATGTAGAAACTAAGCGCACCGGCCTCGGAAGCAGTGAGGTGAATCGCAAGCACATCATCCGGGTTACTCGCAAGATATTCGCGTTTATATGTAGTTCCACCAAGATTATAGTAGGCGCCAGCAGTTCCATCGGAAAGATCCAGCCAGCGTTCATAGTCGGTCGCATTCCCAGTCTGTTCTTGAAATACAATCTGGAAGTCTCCACCCGGCATGTATTGACGCATTGACGAGGGTACGCCCGAGATTCCAAGATCGGCTTCGAAAGTGGCATCGGGAATGGCGCCCTGTAGCAGCCATGGTCTAATACGACCGAGCGAATCTTGCGCGCTGGGATTTACACGATTCATCGGTCCACCACTCCAGAATGAATCCTCGTTAATGTATACCATGTCAGCAGGTATTCCGCCTCTCACCATTCCCCCAAGTCGACCATTGCCAATGGGCAAGTGCTCGTGCCATACGGTCGATACACCTGGAGCAGAATACCATAGTCGCGAATGAATGTCTTTCGAATTTGGTGGCGAGAAGTCTTGCGCTGTAGCCACCAGCACCGTGGTCAAAGCCAGCGTTACAGCAAAAGTCCGCATATTCGCCGAAAATCTACAAAGGTACTCTTCTGAAGTACACAAGGACTTCTTATAAAGACAATGCGTTGCTGCAATGACGCAGGTTTACGATCTGCAAATCAACCGTAACGCGGTTTGTGATTGGTGGGTTCAAGATGGAGCAAGACAGTTCTTCAGGCTATAATGTTCTGTTTAATCAACTTTACGCTCCTGCATGCCTACCACATCATATGAGCAATCGATATTGAGCCTTCTCCGGGTTAAGAGCGAGGAGATATCCGGGTCATTGGCCAAGAGTACCTGGCGTCGATTTCCAGTATGCACATACAGTATACGAGTGCGGCTGTTTGTACCTGATCGTCATGGTATCGGGTAATATATTGCTGGTGCTGCGGCTCGCTACCACGATCTGGTTGATTACGGAGGGGTGAGGTATGAGTGGTACACTCGTGGTCTGGATTGGAAGATGAAGTGCAGCTAGGATTTCATCAGTAGACACATTTTAATTACGCCAGTGCACAGAGAAGTACAAGGCAAGCTTATGAGGTTCATAGTTGGATAATTTCATTTCAAGACAGTCTTCTAGTCGCTCTCTTCACTAGAATAACTGCGACGATGGCGGCGGCGACTGTCACCCCTCGATGCAGGATCAGGCGAGCGTCTGGTGGGTGGTTTTTTGTCGTCCACCTCTCTTTCAGAGCTATGGCGGCGCCTGTCCCGGCTGCGATCCCTGCGGTCGCCATTGTGTCGGTGTCGGTCTCGATCGCGGTGGCGCTCACGACTTCTGTCCTCTGGATGTCTTTGCGAACTCCTGTGGTGATCTCTATCGTCTGCATCGTCGCCGTGCCTACTCCGTCTAGGCTCCCTGCTTGTATCCATTGCCTTGTCCTTGATCTCCTTTCTATCGCGATCCTTGGATCGGTCTCTCCTGTGGCGTCTCTCGTGTCTTCGTGACCGCTCCTTCTCCTTCCGCTTGCCCTTCCTGTATTTCTTGACCGCTGAATCAGCCTTCTCCTGCAATCGCTTGACCAGGGACTCCTTCATGGGGTCCTCCTCATCCAAATTATTGATTGCCTTCTCCAGCTCTACTTCCTCTGGAAGCAGGGGCCTGTCATCATCGTCGGACTCGCTCTCGCTTTCGTTGGTGCGCCGCCGTTTACGCCTTCCACCATCCTCGTCAAAGCCGGGATCCACCTCTAGCTCTCCCATGGTATTGTCCCGCATATCTTCATCATCTTTGGGCTTGTAGCGGGCGTGGTCTACCCTTAGCACCCGGTCCATGACGGTTGCGCCGCCCAGATTGTCGACGGCCAGGTCGCAACTTCGTTGATCTTCATATTTTAGCCATGCAAACCCTCGCGACTTCCCCGTCTCCTTGTCGCGCGCTAATTTCAGCCATACGGGCTCTCCATACTGAGAAAATATGGTGATGATGTCGCCCTCGGAGAGCTCGAAAGGTAGGCCACCGATGTTGATGAAAGCGGTGTCGCGGTAATCGGTATGCCATGAACCTTCAGGCGTGATGCCTTCCTCGAGTTCACGCTTGTTGAGCTTCTGGATAGAGCGAATGGAGTTCATATTGGAGGTAGGCGTCGACCGGAGAATATCTATGTAGGCGGCTTAGGTGATGTGTGATGTCACAGGCCCCGGGACGAGCACTTGAGTGTTCCGGGATGCCAGATGACGGAAATCACAAGATTATCAGTATATGTACTATAACTCTTGAGTGGCCAAAGCCGGGGCGACCATTGGGACGAAGGGTAGTTAGTGTTGGTGTTGTAGCTATCCTGGTGTTTGTCGATCGCGACGACGCCAAAATAAATTTCTTGGCGTTGAACCCCTGCGCGGAAAGTTGAAGACAGACGGCCAGCCAGCGAGCCTAGACACAAACGGTTGAGACAGGAGGAGAAACATCGCGACCTGTCCCCCACAAAACACCCCCGCCGCGTGCTTCATTGCTTCTTCTAACCCCCTCCCTCATTTATACCGCCCGGGCACCCCCTCATGGTTTACTTGCTGCCGTCGTAGACGCTCCGTTTCCCCGTACAGCAGTCGGCCAAACACGCCCTCCTACCACCGCCTCCCTCACACATCGCGCGACACCCCCGAACCTCTCCGCCCGCCCGCAATCATGGCCAACAGCTTCCGAAACTCCAATCCGCCGACGCGGAGGCCAAACAGCAAGGATAAGGATGATGAAAAGGAGGAGATATGGAAGCCCATGCTGGACAACATCTCCAGTGGGAAGCGACTGCCCGAGAAGAGCCTGCTGGTTTTGGGTACGTGTGCATAGTATACTCCTCCAAGTGTCAGAAGGCTAATACAACTTCCATCATTGCAGGTGGCACGTCGGTGACACAGCGGGAATTCCTGGAATCGCTATCGACGGATCCTACCAACAATCGCAGACCTCCCGATCGCGGTCGAAAGCCCCCCATTGCCAACCAGTTCGCCCTGGGATATACCTATCAAGATGTACTTGACACCGATCATGAAGGTACATTTCTCTTTTCCATCAACCGATACATGCGCGAGACGAGGCTGACCAACCTGACCCAGATACCCTCGCTCGCCTGTCCCTACACCTCCTATCCAACCCTTCGCTGTCATTCACCCCCTTGATCCGACCCTATCTGAACCCACGCACCTTGCCCCACATGCTGGTAGTCATACTTCTTGATTGGAATCACCCTTGGCTCTGGATAAGGCAACTTCGCGATTGGATACGTGTCCTGCGCTCGCTCATTTTGTCGCTCGACGATGCGTCCAAGGAAGTGCTAGAGGAAAATATCAATACACTGCAAGACAAAGGCCGGAGCATGGGTGGAGAAGGAAACCCCGCCATGGAAAACGTCAAGGTTCCCTTAGGCCCGGGGGAGTGGGATGAGCCGCTGGGCATACCACTCTGCGTCGTCTGTCAAAACGCCGATAAGATTGAGTCCTTGGAGCGGGAACGAGGCTGGAAAGAGGAGGAGTTCGATTTCATTTTGCAGTATCTCCGTACCATACTACTCAAACACGGCTCTAGTTTAGTCTACACTATGCCTACGGCACCGGGGTCATTGCGGTCGCTGGTTCACTCCACTCTGGGAATCAAAAGCCTCACAAAGCAAGAGAAGCTCAAACACAACGTCACGGATCGCGACCGCGTGCTGGTACCTCCAAACTGGGATTCGTGGGCAAAAATACGTATCTTGAGAGAAGGTTTCGACGTGGAAGGTGTGAGCGAGAAATGGTCCGTGGACATAGACCCTCCACGCCACATGAGACCGGCAGCCGATGGACAAGCCTCTGCCGGTGCAGAAGAACAGACGAATGGCACTGCGCAACACGAAGAAGAGGAAGTGGATTCCACTGCTACTTCCATCTACGAAGAGACTATACGCAATCCCGAGTCCGAGTTCAAACTCACCAGATTGCACTCGAGGCAGGCCAACGGTTTGGAGGTGGCCAGTCAGGATGCACAAGAATTTCTCAGTGAGCAAGTGGCAATCTTGGAAACTTTACGCCGCGAAGACGATCAAGAAGCAAAGGTCAAAGCCGCGCAGAAGGCACCGGAACCAATTTTCCGGGCTCGCACAGATGATTCTTCCGGTGTGGTGGAAGAGCACATCGGCCCAGTGCAGTTCAACATGGGAGGCATCCAGGTCAACGCTGACGAGATGGTCAAACGATTACAGGTGAGCTATTGAATGTTAACATTGAGCATGCAACGTTGTAATTCTAACAGATCAATAGGATCGCGAGGCTGGAAGAGCGAACGAACCAGAAACACCTTCGGCGGAGCCAACTAACCCCGATCCCAAAGAGATGGATAATGAAAAACTTATGTCGTTCTTCTCTGGCTTGATTAGAAAAGACGCTGCTAAATAGCGACACTTCTATGCCTAATTGAGGCAAGACTTAACAACGCGATGTCTATGGCAATATTTTGCGGGATCAGTGGGGAGGTGCGTTTCTTTTTTGTGTTTTCCCTCTCAGGGCCACTCATCTATCTGGCTTGCGTTATCATGGATCTTTCACCTCTTTTGCGACCATGCATGGTTCTATACCCGGGGCATTATCTTTGTTGTTTTCATCCATCTATAAAGCTTCTGTTCCGCTGCTTTGCTATCGTGAATGGTATATTGGACTGGTGTTGGTACTAACTCGTGCGAGTCGTGCCAGCGTTGGCCCTTGCGGCGTAATACACACGTGCACATCACTACATATGTAGTTACCATATGAGTTCCCTCTCACCATTCCTATTAACCATATCCAGCAGCGTGTCCAGCCAAGGTCACACTAGTGTTGGCTCTTACGGTGTGTGCGGATCGGCGCATGCCTCTATATATGTCCGAATAGAACGCACCTCTTCTTCGTTCATTCTCTTTCACTCATTACCCTCCACAACCACCATCAACTACCATCGCACTCATCATGGCAGCCCCAAATCAACCCAACCCTATCAGTATCCAGCGAGGTGACTACAACTGGACGCCCTTAGCTCCCCTTCTGATGTCTCTTGGACGCTTCCTCTCCATCCCCCTTCAATACTACATCATCAACAAACACCCACTCTCCAGCTCCCTTGATACACCCCTCCCACCACTCCACTTTACTCTCTTCCTCGCCATGACCGTCACTCTCGCAACCAAACAAACAATATGGCTCTTCACATACTGCTTCGAACGGATCACCATCCCCTTCGCAATCTCCGCAATTCTCGTAACAGCACTCTACGAATCTATCTCTGCCCTAATCTTTAGCGTCACTCCTTCGAACCCCCTCTGGCATCCTTATTTTCTATACATCGGCTTCATAATCCACTTGCTCGCCGCGCTCGCGGAACTCGCTTGCGAGCTCCCTCGTGCGAAATTCAAACGTGATCCAAGGAACAAAGGGAAACTATATACGAACGGACTTTTTGGCATTGTTAGACATCCAAATCTTGCGGCGAATCTGGTGTATGGGACTGCGTACGGGTTTGCTGGTGGGGGGCCGGTGTACGCGATCTTTACGGGGGGTTTTTATTGGGGAAATCTGACGGGGAATGCGATTCCGGAGAAGGAGAGGTATTTGGGAGAAAAGTATGGGGGGTTATGGGAAAGGTATACAGGGGTTGTTGGGTGGAAGATGATCCCTGGGATTTATTGAGATGAAGAAGGAAGGAATATCGAGGTAGAGGAGGAACTAGTATTTGGGTGAAGTGGGAGGGGTGGTGCTGTGTTGGATCTGTTTTTTTTTTCTATTCTTTATTTTCTTACCTCCCTGAGATGTAGATTAAATCATAGGGGTAACTGTTGATACAAGTTGATAATAATACTAAGCTATTTTTCTGAAGAACTATCGTACTCTGGAACTCTCGATGACTAGATTTGCCCCTAGTTTTCCTAGTTCATTTCGGAAACTTCCTCAACATATCAGCCAACTTGTCCACTGGTGCACTCAATAGTCCCATGACGCTCTCAAACGCCGGCTTCTCCCCAGCAGAAGGGTGACTTCTAGACGGCACAAACATTTTCGTCCTTTCGAACGTCTTAGCCAGTGTCTCTGACACTCCTTTATTCTCCGTATCCCGGACTAACGCTTTCTCGAGCGCAGGGAGATCGTCGTGCTCTTCCTCTTTAATGTGCTGTTGGAGGTCTGCGTAAAGTGCTTGAATTTGAGGGATATAATCTGGGTCTGATGAACGCATATTTTGGAACCTTTTAAGATGTTCTTTGAGCTGTTCAACGGATAGGTCAGTATCAGTACTTACGACGTTTCCATGATATCACGAAAGAGAAGAAGAAGGAGCATATACCCTATGATGCTGTCCTCGATCCTTTTCCGCCATCTCCTTCCCCTCACTTCCCAAATACTTCTCAAAAGCCGGATAGATAATTAACTCCTCGGCAATTGAATGTCGTGCCAGCTCCCATGTGAACTGGTTCCCATAACGAGTTTGGTGCTCTTGGTCCGACGAGTATACGACTTCGGTGTAGGCGGATTCAATGGCGCGGTGATCTTCTCTAATTGTGTCACTGACAGTTGTCTTTGAGGCCATAGAATATAGAGCGAGTTTTTCGGGGCGGGAAAGACATTTCGCGGTTTTGAGGGAGAGACGGGGAGGGAGGGTAGTTGTTGTGCGGAGGAGGGGGATTGTTAGGAGTTTTGGGAGAGCCATCTCGAGGGATTTTTGACTGTACAATGGTTGATAGCTGCTTTCCAGTTCTTGATCTGAAATTGAAAGAGAAAAGAATCTTGGAATAGAGATTGGTTGGAAGTCTATTTGGACTCCGCAGTGAACTTATACGTACAACCATAGCACCTGAGGTCATCTTTGCGCATACGTGCGAGCTTCGATGGTGATCCATGACGGCTGCCCAAATTTCGAACATCATTCACGTACTTTCTATCTATTTCGGAGCATTAATTCTGTCATCCTGGTTAAACTCGACGTTTGTGATGGCAATTCGCGAGGTTTTGATTGGTCGGTCGGTCGACCACCCCGATCACGATTGTCCACAACGTCAATGGCACATCACCATGTTTTGCCTCATGGGAATTTCGAATTTCGCATGTTTTCTTCCCGCGGGCCAAAATCCCCACCTATGAATTTCTACCCAAACCCACATTAAAAAATAGTCAGGTACGGCACCCTAATCAGTGACAGTAAGACAATGCTATTGGCCACATGATCGGACACCGGACGAATACAGAGACAAACACCAAGCCCACACATCGGATCGATTTATACCTGACGTCCTCCTGTCGTCGTCTTAATCTTCACCTGACTTATCGCCCCCCGTTCACAGAATCAGAAAGTCCACATTTGGACAGGACCTCGTAGTGACGGCACGTCAGCATATCATCACCTTGACCAACACCGCATGCCCACGAAACCCCTTGCGATACATTTACGACGCAATGGCGTACCTATCTAATTGCTATGTATCTCATTAAGCTCGCCCCTTCCCCAGAAAAAGGCAATCAGTTCTCAAACTCATGGACATTCCTTCTAGTCTAACATCTAAAATCCCCGTCATGTCTTCATCTACCGGCGCAAATACTAACCAGAACGACCCGATACAGCACCCGCTTGAGGCGACGGCGCAGGCCATCCGGGGAGCCGTTTCAGGCGAAGGTCGCGCTCCACGCCAGGCTCATCTGGGTAGCTCAAATGAGGGTCCAGCCGACATTATCGCGAAGGTGTCGGGTGCCGTGCAGGGTGGTATCCGGCAGGATGATAGCCCTTACTTTACCAACAATGAGGGTATTCCGTGGCCTGACGCGTGAGTAGAGGTAACTACAATTGTGAATTGAGTAAATGCTGACATATTATAGTGAGCATAGCAAGACCATAGGAGGTATTCCAGTAGCGAGCGATGTTTTTCTTCTCCAGTGAGCGGATTGATTGTGCGCACAATTAGCAGAAGCTCACAACTCATAGGAAGCAACAAACATTCAATCGCTCGAAGAATCTCGAACGCATGGTACACCCCAGTGGGTCTGGAGCTTTCGGTTACTTCGAGACCACACATGATGTTACGGGACTTACTGTATGTATATTGGGCCTGCTTATCACATCGACTGACCACGGAACTAGAAAGCAAACTTTCTGTCCAGTGTTGGCGAGAAGACTCCTATCTTCGTACGTTTCTCTACTGTCACTCCTGGACGTGAATACGCGGATGAAGCGCGCAATCCGCGGGGTTTTGCCATAAAATTCTACACCATGGAAGGAAACTATGACATTGTTGGTTTGAACTTTGTAAGTGTCTCCAATGACCTCGAAAATACTGCCTCTAACGAAGCAGCCGGTATTCTTCTGTCGCGATCCCATCCAAGGCCCAGATGTCATCCGCTCCCAATGGCGCAACCCCAAGAACTTCCTCTTCGATTACGATGCGATCTTTGACCTTCTAGCTTGCACACCCGAAGGCAACCATGCCGGACTCATGTTCTTCAGCGACCACGGCACACCGCAAGGATGGCGCTTCAACCACGGCTACGGCTGCCACACCTTCAAGTGGGTGAACGCCGAGGGCAAGTTCGTATACATAAAGTACCACTTTATCGCCGAGCACGGCCAGAAGCAATTCACTCAACAGGAAGCCACACAAATGTGCGGTGAAGACCCCGACTTCTCCAAGCGTGACCTCTGGGAAACCATTGAGAAGGGTCAGGAGCTCATCTGGAAAGCTCACGTACAAGTCATGCAACCTGAAGATGCGGACCCCGAGAAACTCGGTTTCGACCCCTTCGATGTGACCAAGGTCTGGCCGCGCAAGCAATTCCCCATGCAAGAGTTCGGCCGCCTTGTCCTCAACAAGAACCCCGAAAACTATCACCGCGACGTCGAACAAGCTGCCTTCTCTCCCGGAAGTATGGTGCCTGGCATTGAAGACTCACCGGATCCACTACTCCAGTTCCGCATGTTTTTCTACCGTGACGCGCAATACCACCGTATCGGTGTCAACCTGCACCAGATTCCTGTCAACTGCCCATTCATGTCTAAGTCCTTTGCGCCGCTCAACTTCGATGGCCAAATGCGCGTGGATGCGAACCACGCGGGTAACAAACAGTACGCGCCCAACAGCTTTGCGCATAAATTCCGCCCCGACACCGCGGAGGCCCCATACCAGGTGAGCGACAATGTGATGAGTAGGAAGAGCCACTACTGGCACGAGGGCAAGAAAAACGATTAGGACCAAGCTAAAGAGCTGTGGAGTCGTGTCATGACAGAAGAGGAGCGCCAAAATACCATTAAGAATACCGTCAACATGCTCAAGTTTGTCCATGTTGAGGTTATTCAGGTAAGTCAATATACTAATCTCGCACGCTAAGTACTGACAATACCCCGCAGAAAAAGTACCTCGCTCAAGTCTACAACATTGGCGTCGACTATGCCAAAGGCATCTACGACGGTCTCCCCAAGAAGTCGTTTGAATGGTCCGAGGTGGAGAAGCTCGCTCCTGATGCGCATCTTTGGTACAAGGAGGCCAAATTCAGGCCCAGCCAAGGCGAGAGGCTCACCGGCGTGCCCCCTACTGGAACGGTATATAACTAGATTTTCTAATGCATATACGCGAGAGTTCTTGTTCGGAAAGCTCATAGTTACCAGCGTATTATCTATTCCAGCAAATCAGCGATTTTTGAGATACTTGCTATATCACTCCAATCGCACAATGTAGTCTGTCAGGACAGATCATTTTCTTTCTTAATAAGAGAAAAGCAAAATTGAATATGGAATTTAAAAAACAACCCAGATTTATTCGCTTCCTACCTCCTGAAATAAATCTTACATGTATGTAAAAGTAAGGCTACATAGGACATGGCAGCCATGGTTTCACAATCGCTTGCAGCACGTAATTGATATTATGCTCCATGACTATGAATTAAACATGCGCCTGTGTGTAGGATTGGACCTCTCTGATTTTCCCGTATTGTCCAGAATCTACTGTGTCGTTTGTATTAGCTCGCGATGAAGCACTTCTGTAGACTATATGTAGGGGTATGGGTGATCCTACACACAACGATATTGACAACGATAAGAGTATTAGAAACAGGCATTTATCAAAAAGATTCAAGATGAACCACTTCAGACTCAATGACCTCCTTCCGCTGCTCCTTCCACATTGTTCAAACGAAAGATGCGCCAACTATCCAGCAACTTCTCCCACGCGCAAGCGAAGACTTGGTAACTTCATCAACAAGATCAAGCACGGACCTTAATATTCGGTGAATACATCCCTGCTGAAGCACATGGCAGACAATGTGTTCGGAAGATTTAAAGTTTGGTGTCCACCTCCTGGTTCGTCGACCTAATCTAGCTCCTCATGGAATTATACAGCCGTCTCATTAGCCGCCCATGCGCTGGTTTTACGAAACGCAGGCTACATCGGAACATTACTGATGTTTACATCACCCCAGTGAGCTCTCCCCAATCGCGGCAGTCATCGAGCTATTTTCTCGTGACATGCATAAAGTATTCTGCTCAAATTATATCGCGCGTGCTGCCGCTCATGCATGAGTGCATGCATGCATGCACGCGTTTCCAAGAAATTGAACGGCATACCTGCCTTACAGACGGGACTCCCGCGGGATCTTCACCATACGGGGATTTGCGGACGAACCAGCGGGGTAGGAGAGATTGACGTGGTGCTCCGACCTGAGAATGTGGATCGGGTGCGAGGAAGAGTGCGAGTGAAAATTCTCGATCTCACGATAGGGCGCGTCGTCACAATGCGTGGTGGTTACCAGCTGACTGGCTACATGTTCCACGATTCGATGGAGAATAGTCGGCGGGTGCTCAGTCTTTACTGGATACTCAGAGTCGTCTAAGCTGTTGTAGACATAGCGACTTCAGAATACCCAGATATTGTGGTGTGGGTGTAACGCACTTCTTCCCGTCCTCATTCTGGAATCATCGTGCCTTCCGCAATCTTCTGAGCGAGAAGCCGCGAGCTGTCAGCACCCCTTGCCCAATGTTAAACTTGATTAACGAGATTTGAGACCACCAGGAACCTACTTTATTATTGGTCACGATTGGCGAAGACAAGATGAATGCGTTGATGGTTGAGGCAATCGAGATGCTTGGAAAGATCGTTGAGATGGCACATCCTCGGGTGTGTACGACAACCATATAAAGACGGCAAGCTTGCAAGTAGCTAATCAAGCCGGCAATAAGCCACGAATCGCATGGATGCATGCGCAGGGAAACAACAAGAGAGCTTTACGACTGATCCAGACCGCTGATAATCCGTCCCGAATACCCTATTCCGGGTATGCCTTCATCGCACTCGGGATGATGGATACAGCTCTCAATAGGTACAGAAAAGCGGTCTGCTAGCTCCTGTCGAACCCTGCAACACGTGCGCCAGGTTTGAGCAGAGACCATGGTTTGCGTCTCGGATACACTCCGCTCAGTGCAAATGGTGAGAACTTGGTTTGCAAACGGATAGAGGCACCCTTGGCCCTTTGGAATCGATATATCTCCGTCAGTTCGTACAATTTCTCATGTTTTCCAACTCTGAAACCTTGTTATTTTGCCCACAGACCATACGAATGATCTTGTTACTATCATGATTCAGACAATGAGAAGAATGTCTCTATTGTGGATGATTCCCCTATGGGCTGTGCTCGCCGAGGGATCCCCGTTGCTACAGATCAACTCCAGGGATATCACGACCGGAATTGCCGGCACCGGCACACTCGGTCGTCTCGTCTACGGCATCATTTCTATGATCTCTCTATTTGGTCTGGCATTTGCTCTAGGTGTGTCTCGCCTCGCAAGAACCAGATTTAATGCTCCCAAATCTGACAAATAGACAGGTCTTCGTGTGACCCAATTCGAGAAGAAGAAGAAATTGCAGTTCATGTGGATCTTGTGTCAAGTCCAGACAGTATTGGCTCTCGGTCTTGTCGTGTCTGGTGCAATCCTGGTGTACGGCTTGAACCTCACGACGTACAAACAATGCCGAGCATCGATAACAGTCTGCCTGTTCCTGTATTTTTCCTCTAAGATCTTCCTGTGAGTAATCAATCCTGAAACCCGTCCCTAAATCGGTTTTAATAGCGAACGCTAATCAACATAAAGCTACATTTTCTATCTAGAACGAGTGCACCTCGTTCGTTCCCCAGATGTATTCAAGCGGAGACATGACAAGATTTGGGTCATTGGCATGATAACGGTTGTCGGTTTTTTCGGGGGCATGGCATTGTGGGCCATTGCCACGCCTCACGCCAGAATCGACATCAAGGACGGCCACTGTCGAATCGGAAGCGACATGGTTCCCTCCTACACCACCTTCTCCTCTGACATCATCATCAATATCGCCCTCACAGGCGTCTTTTGCTGGCTGATTTTTCCCATGCTATTGAACGACGCGCGCAACCCTTCACAGTGTGGGACTGAAGCATCGAGACCCGAACGTATTGATCGAAAACCGAGTGTCGTCAGAGGTTTACTAACCCGAAAATCTGCACGTAACGACCAACTTTCTTTGAGCGTGAAGAAGATGTTGAAGAGAAACATTATCGGATCGGCCTTGACGTTCTTTGCTGGCGCCATCAATCTCGTCATCTACTTTGTCGACGCAACGAGCCAGATCGCTTATGTCTGTTTCACACTATGCATAGTAGACGGTGAGTCAATGACCGTTCGTATTGGAATTGCATTACTAACGTAAGAGATAGTGGTTTTCGGGGTACTGGTCGTACAGTGGTTGACCTTCGGATCGACTAAAAGCGATGCTAACACCATCCGATCAACAACCAATACGGCAGCCACTTGCATGGAAGCCAGGTTCACAAGTTTATCTATGCCAGAACCTGTTATGACACCATTGAAATCATCAAGGTGAACAGGCGCAATTGAGTCAGGAAATGAACTTCCCCGCAACTTCCACCCCTACCGGCAAGGGATTAGGATCTTAATTTGAAGATTCTGCCAATCGGCGTGCACTTTCCGAACATCAATCGTGACTGATAGCTTAGTCGGATGACTTTGATTCTTACTCTGTATGGTCCTCCGGGATGGTTGTAGTAAATCCGCATTAATTGTAAACCGTCACGTGGGCTGACTTGCTGTGCATGCTCCGCTTCGTTATACCGAACTTTCCTCCGACCACTACTTTTCCTCCAGTATTCGAGATATTAGCGCCTCTCTATTTAGCTGTTTGAGATAGCTACGCGTACTATTGTACATACCAGTGCTGACCCTATTGGAAAAAGTCATGTATTTACATACATGGATATCTCTATCTGCTACGTGAAAAAACACACCAATTCTTCTGCAAGCATGTTAGGTCTCCACATGGGTGCTAGACAAAATTGAGTTCAAACTCGCTCTTGCTCGTTATACGATCCGACCAATCCGCATGCGCCACCGTTCTGGTCACTTCGCCGCCCGTACAACAGCGAAAGAAAAATATTGATCCGGCCACGTATCTGTGATCCATTTTTCTCATACAGAATAGGGAAAGTAGTGGGGTAATCTTGATACGTATACTGAGAAAGCAAGAGCAGGGAAGGTGAAAAGGGCCCGAAGAGCGAAAGCAAAAGTCTCCGAGAGGTGATATATCAACCACCACCTTTACCGCACACAGTTATCCACGAACCAAAAAAGCAGCAGAATATCGCCTAGGAATTTTTTTATCTTTTCAATCACTAAGAAGACATAACAATTTCGCCTCTTTTTTTCCATAAAAATGCCAGCCCCAACCTCTACCCACCCCAAAACAACAATCTACATCTGGCCAACAGGCCTCTTCCCCCGCCGCATAATCTACTATCTCCGCGCGCAAAAAATCACCCTCTCAGATTTGGCCGCTCAAAACATCCACCTCATCCCCGTGATCCTGGATCCGGAAACCTACAAACTGGACACGCCGGAGGGATACCCAGTCCGACCAGATAACATGTCGGTGCCGTGTATGCACATCGCCTCGTCTACAGAAGAAGGGGAGGGCCAATGGATCAGAGAATCCTTGACTATTATCCACCACTTGGACAGCATCTTTACTTCTGAAGAGAGTCAGAGTATCCTGGGTAGTACACCAACTCAGCGTTTGAAGACAATGGATATTTTGTCGACGTTCCCGGATATCCTTTCTACGTACCTAATTTCTTTCATCCACTCCACGCCAGGTACGGAGTCCTGGTCGCAGCTGCGCGAGAGCGAGCGTAGCGCGGGCGCAGCGGCTCACGCGACGCGTCGAAAGGAATTTTACATGGGAAGGTTGGAGGAGTGGATCAAAAGCGATGTGGTGGGGAAGGGAACTAAGAGTTTGAGTGGGGAGGGGAGAGAGGTGACGTTGGCGGACGTGGTGGTAATGGCGCAAACCTGTTATACCAAAGATGGGTACGGTGCGGATTGGTTGGAGGGGTGTGAGGTTTTGAAGGGGTGGTGGGAACGTGCTATCACTGGGGAGTGGTGGATCAGTGGGGAGGGGTTGAAGGAGTGTGAGAAGGTGGGGTGGGGAGCGGCGCTTGCTGAGTAGTGGTTAGATGGAGGACTGACACGTGCGTACATTCACGGGGACACAGGTAGAGAGAAGAAGAAAATAAATCAAATATTGGTATTGTTGTTTTCCTCCCAGCTCCATCATCTTAATGGGCAGCTCCATGCTGTCCAGTAACAGGACACACTTTCTCGTCGCTCGCAGCATTCACGCTGGGATGCTCATGCACCTTCTGCTTGTGGTGGCCCACTGTGGCCTTGGTGATGGGGCATATATCCCCTTCCTTAGCGTTCACAGTACTCGGGTGGTCGGGCGGTAGAACGGTGGTGGCAGTTCCCACAACGGGGCAGATTTCATCATCCATAGCTTGCGACTTGGGCTGCTGCACAACGTTCTTGAGAGCTGGGCACGATGTGGCTATCGGGGACTTGGGGTCGTCGGGAAGTGGAACGGAGGGATGCTTGGAGAGGTTGTGGTGGTGGTCGGTGGTTGCGCCTACTACTGGGCAGGTCTATAGGGGTGTTAGTATCAATGACTGGGTAGGTTACCAGGGAGGAGTGAGAGAAGAAAAGAGTTGGAATTTACCTGGCCTTCCTGGTTGAGGTCGATGTCAGGGTGGTTGGGGGGAAGAGTGGAGTTGGTAGATCCGATGACTGGGCAGGCAGTTGCGGCGGCCATGATTGCAGTTTGCTCGAGTATGTCGTGGGGGTTGGAAGTAAGTGTAGTGTGAAGATGGTGCTACGGAGTGATTCTTGGAGGCTTGTGGTGTTGTTTATGAAAGGTGTGGGGATGCGGCTAACAGAGGAGAGGGACAGGCCAATGGTGGCTCATGTGATGACGAAGTGGGTCGTGAGGGGTATATATAGACTTGTCGTGTTAGCCCCGACGACTGGCTGTTTTGGAGTCGAGGGCTGCATTGACTGACGGTGGACGGTGTAGTGAGGGAAGGTCTAAGGAACGGGATCATCCTGATGACGTCGGCGGTACCATTCCGGTCAGCTCTTTCGTCTGCTCTTTGATTGGACGCGTGGAATGTAAGTTGGGACCAACGACGCTGATTGGCTGACTAGCTCAAGGGCGACGTTCATCTCACCATGGTTTCCATTCCTTCTTTCATCCACGCCTACACCTAGCTAGGTACAGGATAACAAAAACACCAGTCATACGTGACTATGAATCACCGACGATGAGTACTTACAGATGTCCCGGGCGGGCATGAAGTGGCCTCTGGATGCAATGTCGTCGGCCTGCCTTTTACTAGATATCTCAAGACGAGCACCGACTCTTCTCCACCACGATACAAGCAAAGCCTTTTTGTCGCACAAGTCGTAATTCATACCGATGTACCAATTTCATGTGGAATGTGTTTTGGCCTGGGATGGGCAGAACACCCTGTGTGATCGCAATGCACTTACATCATCAAGTACCCACAGTCGAAATTCCCATCACATTGGATCAAAGATAGCATTCTCACCCCAATATTCTCTACTTCGACTCTATTTGCGGGGTATTTCACTCTTTCATTTATCTTCATCTTGAGATGCCTTGGGGTCGCTTGGCAGAACGCGAGCGGAAAAAACCTCTGGTGGGAGTGCGCCAATCACGGTCACAAACAACTAAATATCCGTTTCATCTTGATTACTTTCTTCTCTGCCAACACCAATGACGAAGCAACGTCTTGACATGGACCGCTGTGGAAAAGGAATTCGCTATACTTTATACAGCAATGCCTGTACAAACGTGGCGACTTCAACAAGTAGCTATAGTACTTTTGACTGGCGCCGAGCTCTATAATTGCCTTTTCCGCCTAATTCGTTCAACGCAAGCATCGTAAGATCAACCCTCAAATTTATATTGCGGAGAAATGGCGACCGCCTAGCCTGTATAGGGGACTGTGGGGAAGAATGTGTCTGGACTTGCAAATTTATAAAGACTGGCCAACAGAACACCTACTTTCGGTAGGCTGAAGACGCATTCGGTCCAATACAGGCACTATACTCTCCCGTATAGCTCACACCCAATCATGCTCTACACTTCCTTCCTCACGGCAGTGCTCGCACTCGCCACGTCTGTCACCGCCCAATGCGGTTCCGGCACACCAGATGTCACCGTCACAGGATCAGGAACCTTCACGGTGAAGAAGGGTTCTAGCACGCTGTACACGGGAACAGACTACAATGCGGCGCTCCAATCCGGAATCACCAACACGGCCAGCGGTCAAAGACTCGCCGTGATATCCTCGGGCTCCATTGGCACCAACACGCTTGTACTCAAGAGCGGCATGACTTTCGAAGGCTGTGGCACAATTAACGTAGGAAACCGAGCTGGTCGCGGCAGCATCGAGATCACAAACACGCAAGGCGTCAACGTGCCATATCTCAGCATGACCGGTAACCCCTACTTTGGCGTCCGCGTCTACGGATCTAGAGATCTGACCTTCGGCGCCATCACCATGAACCTCTCCGGAGGCCTCGGCATCCGCTTCGACCGCGACCAAGCCGCTAACTCCAACGTCAAGATGAACACCGTCAGCATAACAGGTGCGGGTAGCCATGGTATCGAGACATGGAACATCGCCGGCTTCAGCTTAACCACCTTCACTGGTCGCAACATCGGCGAATGCGGGTTGCTCATGCAGACCACGACAAACGCCCGCGTCGGAACGGTCGATTGCCAGAACTGCGCAACTGGAAACGGCTACGCCGCCCTCCGCTTCGCCAACCAAAACGGTAAACTCAACGGTGGATACGGAACGAACGTTTACGTAGACCGCCTGATTGCCCGAGGCGGAGGTCGCGGATTCTTTTGTGTCTCCGAGTCCGGTGGTGCGGAGATCAACAGCGTGGATATCAGCAACACGGGCAATAACGCCATCTTGATTGAGAACTGCTACGGTGTCAACATCAAGAGTGGGACTGTCAATGGCGGCGGTGAAGTGCGTATCTCGGCGCGGTCTGAGTTTGCGAATACTAGGGATATATCGTTGACGTTGAGGGTGGACAATACGTCTGTTAGGGAGTCGCCTTGCGGAACTAACATGCGCTTCTCCATCACTGGAAATGCGCAGAAGACGCTTTGCTAGTTGGTTTTTCCGTGCCTCGAAATCGAGTAATACGATATCGTCGTAGAGATACTAGGTTTTCGAAATGAATATTGGATCATGCTCCCCTCCAGTGTATCCGTTGTGTTGAGATGGTGATGAGTGTAACAATGGTTCCTGTTTTCAACGGGGTCGTAACCAGAGGACAATGTCTTGACTGAAAAGACCTGGAGAGTCTCGGGAAGTTCCGGTGCCAATTGTGTAGAGAAGTCAAGTCGTGAACGAATGATAGGCCACACCACGTGAGCCTCGTTATTACCGCGTAGCACACTTCTTCTGTAGTGCTGCTCGATCACTTATTATTCAACTCCAAACAGTGCCCAATCTTTCTGCTCTATTATTTTTCTCCCATCAATGCACACAATCACCTTCCTGTCTATTATCGCAATCTCTCATGTTGATCTTTTGCACCGCCCTCTTCATTCTCGAACCCACCCTTTTTCTGATTTCAGGGGGTTGGGAAATCAATCTACCAAGGAGATTAAAGGAATAATTATCGCAGGGAAGAAATGGTCAGGTTAGGTCCACACTTTGACCCCAGGCACATGCTCGCAGTCCCATAACTTGCACGCTTGTCTCGACGTCATGCAGATGTTTCGACAGTGGTCGGGATCCCACGAGTTCCAGAATGTGTTGAAGCTTTGTGCCTATAATGTGGTTCACGGGTAGGTTGGTTAGTTTGTGTAGCCAGCATCTTTCTTGTATGCACTTCCCAGACGCGTGGAATATAAAAAAAAAGAGCACAAAGACAATTCGTAAAATGTTCCCTTCTCACCACGAAACAAGATTGGAAGAGTTGACTAATTCAAGGAGTAGTAAGAAGAGAATAGTAAGGAATAGGACAGTTGCTTACTTACAATGTCTTGGACCCCCGTGTTGTAATCGTCTCTTAAACCTGGCGGCGTGACGTTTGGCACAACCTTTTGCGCGTCTTCGACAACGAGCTCAAATGTGTTCCACACCCCGCGGATCAAAAGCAACGATAAGAAGAGCGCGAGCAATGCGTGAAAGACGCGGGAGAATATCGAGAGGGCCTGTGAACTCGCTTTCCGCATTCTTCGAGGTAATGTCTTTGGTGATCTTGGAAACTCGGTGTATTTTATATGATTGAGCCGGCGCTTGAATGTATATTGGATGAGTTGGTTCTGATGGACGAGTGTCGGTATCAGTGGTGATGCCTGGACGGAGGTGGAGGTGGAGGATGAGATGAGTTGTTGGGAGTGCATTGAGGATGTGCGGCTGGAGGCTTACGGAACGCGCGTGTGGTGGGCCGTGTTCGGGCCTGTGGGGCGGTTTGCAAGGAATCCATGGATTATGGTTTATGGGAGAAATCCGATAGGGTGGGCAACTGCGTCCAGTATATTGATTGGGGCGTTGGTGTGTGACAGGTACGAAGACAAGTTGATTTGGTGGTGATGGCTGAGAGCTTCCAAAATTTGGATGGTCTAGCACTCGACGTGTCAATGAGATGTGAGAATCACGTGATTGAGGGTTTGTCGCCAGGCGGCATATTAATTATCTTGAATTGTGTATCATGGCACGATATTCACCTGAACAATTCTAATAACCATCATTTGATATCACAAGGAGCTCAAGTGGCGAGTGATGTTGAATTTTTCAATATCAATTGATAAGCCCTCACCCTGCAGAAATTCTCTCTTTCGATTTATTGTGCGTATTGCCGCGCGCAAACTCTTGTACCACTGAACACTATGTCATACTAGACACGGCGGAGAGCACCGACAATGGCAACTCCCATCGAGTAAGAACCCAGATATCCTTACTGTTCAAGACCCCACGCCGCATCCACATCCCTCCTCTCGAACTCCGAAATTTCGCTAGCAAACGCCGCTGATTCCTTCCCAGCCAAAAGTTCCACAACGAACAAACTTGCATCAAATCCACTGCTGACACCACCTGCTGTAACAATCTCAACCTCTCCCTCCGTCTTCCCTGCATGCACCCACCTCTTCTTCACGACCTTAACACCAGACTCCCCTCCAGCAGCTTTATTCGCATACTCGGGCAGCGCGTCGTAGAACATGTGATGCGTCGTGACAGTTCGGCCTCTCAATACGTCTGCTGCGGCAAGTATAAGACTTCCTGTACACACGCTCTGGAGGAACCTGCGTCCGGTCTCCTTGCGCGGAGGAAGCTCCGAGAACTTCTTGATCAGCTGCTTGATCTGCGTGCCGCCCTCACTGGCTAGGAGCTCGTCGATAAATTCAGGACCCGAGCCTGGAATCACCAAGATGTCGAATTCGGAAAGGCGGTCGAAGACTGAAGAGACGGTTTCATCCGGGATGTACTTCAGCATTTCGCTGTGAGATTGGACCGGGTTTGTGAGGGCAAACGTTGTTGTCTTGAATTTCCTCTCTGCGCCTAGCGGTTGCCCGCTTGTATATATTTCTAGGGGCCCGGTGAAGTCGATGGGGTCGGCGCCCGCATAGATGAGAACTGCCACGTTGAATTGAGGAGCCATTTTGATGGTGGAAATAAATTCTATGGATTCGAAGTATTGCAGAAGTAGCTTGAGGTTTTAAGTGTTTCGGTGTAGTGGTAAAGGCAGGCAAGTGAGTTGGAAATGCAAGGCAGATCTTGAGGCTCAAGATGATGCTGGTTTCTATACAAGGGCAATAAGCTTTATATGTTTGGAAGGTGACGGGACGGCACGAGAGCTGTTGCCCGGATTGAAGGTACTGGGGTCGGTACGGATACTCGAGCCGCACCGATCCGCTCACGTGATGAGCCCTTTCCGGAATAAGGTTGTACATTTTACTGGAATCGGCAATGGTGCCTACTTGGTGTGAAACGAAATGCGAGCAGAACGCGGAGATGGTACACCGGAGATAAAATACGGAAATCTGATGTTCGGTATAGGCCTATTGACTTCATTCGTACAAAGTTCAGATGTTGGCTCAATGGGGCAATAACGATTGAACATCTACCGCACAGCGAATCGTGCCGGAGACAGACAAAGCAAATACTAGCTCCCGGAAAGACGAATAAATGCCATTGTAGTGGTGGGATTATTGACTTCTGAGCTCCAAGCCTAGTAAGCTACTCATTCACGGAAGCACTTTTTTCAACACTTCCACCACTCCCTTGATTTCGTCCTCCGTGTTGTAATGGACCATGCTGACCCTTACCACTCCTTCTTTATCCAATCCCAAAACCTCATCACATAGCCTATTTGAATAAAAGGTGCCCCATCTGAACCCATAGTTCGATACCTTTTCCGCTTCTTCAACAACTTTGCGCGAGCTCAGTCCCTTGACCACGAAGCTCACTGTGGGGACACGATCTTTCGAATCGGCTGAAGCTGTTCCTAGAACCGTGATATCATCTCTGGAGTTGAGAAATTCGAGCAGAATGGCCTGAAGACGTCCTTCGTGCGCGGTTATGGCATCAAACCCGACCGAAGAAACGTAGGCAGTAATCTGTGGGATTGCCTGCACTGCTTCGTAGCATGAACCAGCAAACCCGATCTTATCTTCAAGCGTCTTGGTTGGGTTGAAGAAATGCCCGAGGGGTTTTACATGCTCCTGTGCGGCGCTGCTCGCGTACAAGATAGCTACGTGAGGACCGTAGACCTGGAATCCCCGTTATCAATCGTTCTCGTTCCACCGGAGTATATATAGCAAGGAATCGTATGATCAAGACGTACCTTGTACCAACTAAACGCGTAGAAATCGACCCCAAGGGCCTTGACATCAATCTGGCGATGCGGCGCATAGCTGACTCCATCCACACACAATAATGCGCCAACGCTATGAACAGCTTCCGCGATGGCCTTCACATCGTGAATCCCACCAAGAATGTTGCTCACATGAGTGCATGCGACAAACTTGACTTTGTTGCTCAACAACGGCTTCAGATTCTCCGGCGTCAACTTGAGCTCTGGTTTGTCGGACACCCACCATTTGATCTTCAGCTTGAGTCGGTCGGCAAGGACAAACCACGGATCCACGTTTGCTTCATGGTCCAGCTTGGAAAGGATGATCTCGTCACCGTCTTGGAATTTGAGGGCCGATGCGAGATTCATGAAGAGTTGGGTCGTTGAGGCTCCGATCACTATGGATTCCAAGGTTCCCTCGTTAGAATGCGGTGCAGATGATGTAGAAATTTATGCAACTTACCTATCTCATCTTCACCCGCATTGATATATTTCGCGGCTGATTTGTACCCCTCTCCATACTTCGTAGTCGATGTTGCGCTCGTGTGGTATGAAGCTCCGAGCTGCACATTTGTTTTCGACAGATATTGTGTTATTCTATCTCGATTCAGTCACTAGTGACCATCGCGATGCAGACGCTGTTCTTACGAATCTATCACGTCTCCAAGAGTTTGACTTCCACCAGCATTATCCAGGAAGACCTGGTCCTGCTTTAGCGCGGGGAAGTGCTGCCTCGCTGTCGTGACGTCAAACGAGCTCATGCTGATAAAGATATTTTCTTTTCTGCTTATATGAGAATACTGATTGCGAAGTACTCTATATGTATAGAGTAAATGGGGTAGCTTGTCTGTCGTAGGGCGTATTGTAGAAATCCTCCAGACGCGTTGTAGAAATCCCTCTTGCAGTCTACTCCACTGTGGGGCAGTCTGTCTCCAAAAGCATATGCGGGTAATGAGGGGCCTACTGCTGAATTAGGAAGCTCGTGAATGCACTACGTCTTCCATGCCGTTTCTAGACTGTCTGCCGCGTAAAAGGAGCAGAGTGAAAATTTTAATCTACAGTGCCTGCTTCTGCGTCTCGGTAAGAGAATACATTCGTTCTTGAGCTGCGTCAAGGGAACGATATTGCTGCTGTAGTAAATTCTGGCCTGTGTTGATACCACCACATGCGTGCTACTGTGTTCTGTTTGCCGCGCTTAACGAACCTGTAGACTCATGCTCGCAGAATAAATCTTCTCTGAAAAGAAATGTTATAATGCAATTTTGCGTGTTCTTGAACACAGCCGTACACTTATCACAATAAAGGTACCAAAGACCAGGCGATAATTTTTCCGAGAATTCTGATGACGTGTGAGCATCGCGATCAATCAATTCGGTACAACACAAGCACGACGACATTAAAGTTGCATACAGAATCAAGGCAGTACACCTTCCCCGTGCAGGGGAAGCATTGAGGTAATGATTCTTATGTCAATACTCTAATCGCTAGCAAAGAGTTGGTGTAATCAATCCAGGCACATTTCCTCTATTTGACCAAATTTCTCCATACTGCTGTGCAAAACTCAGCACTAAGGCTTTGCGAGACATCATCATTCCACGGAAGAATTTGGGTACAAAACATGTATCCAATCCCTCTCTCGCGATTGACAGCCCACTGAAGGTTAGGCAAGCCACTCCAAGTAAGTGTTCCTTTTGGTATCAAGAAATCCGCTCTTTCCACGTCTTCGGTGACGAAATAGCCAGCCAATGAATAGTTGGGAGTGACGCCCTTGGCGATACGGCCAGTGTGTGTGGCCCATGTCATATCGCCTACGGGGATCATCGCTTGTTGTTCGGGGCCGCCATTTGCGAACTGGGGAGAGAATATCATCTCGACAGTTTCCTTCTTCAGCGTTTTCGGGTTGTCTTGGAGAAGGTCTACAAGTACACGAGTGTAATCTTCGATGTTGGAGTACATTCCTGCCCCACCATTTTCCGATTCAAGACTCGCTATGGGCTCTGTCGAATCCACAAGGGTCCCATCCTCTTTTCTCACGCTCATAGTCATAAGTTTCTCTTTAACTTGAGGTTTGGATGCTGGGTTCCACGTGAAAGATGTGATATTTAGCGGCGTGGCGATGTTTTGTTCGACGTAGGTACCTAGCGATTGACCAGTGAGTCTTGATACCAACAACCCCGCCCAGTCGAGCGAGGCACCGTACATCCAGCCTTCTCCAGCTTCAAACAGACGGGGCTCTGGATACTTCTCGGCAACATCCTCGCCCATAACGAATTCAGGTTTGTGTCCTTGGGATTTCCTCCATGCGACGAGAGAAGGTATGAACTGGGTGTATGCAGCGCCGCTAGAATGAGTCAGAAGATGGCGAAGAGTGACTGGGTTTTTTGCGTCGTGGAGAGTGAAGCTCCCATCATCTTTGGTCTTAATAATTTGTTGCGATGTAAATTCGGGTAAATGCTTGTCCAGAGGATCGTCAAGCGCAATCAGCCCGCGTTCAACGCATTGCAATGCTGCGATAGAAGCTATGAGCTTTGTGCATGAAGCCACAAAGTAAGTTTGGTCGAATTGCAGCGGTGGTGCCTGTTCCGAGACGCCGTTGGAGCCTTGGACGTGCCTGTAAATGAATTTCCCTGTGTCTTATAAGTTTGGGTTGAACATCATGCAGATCTTGGAGGCGTCACCTGTCTTGTCTACGACGGCTACAACTGCCCCTGCTACACCTTTATTAGACCCTCTCTCCGTGGCTTTAGCAAGAGAGGCTTCGAAGCTTTCCATCGTTATTGTTGCTGTATCGTGCTTTTTTCTGAATGGTGTATCGCAATCAAAAAAAGGAGCAAGCCAGGTAATCTGTCATTAGTATAGTCAAGGAGGGCATTACTCAGCATATATGTTAGCTTCTCAACGGTACAGATCGGACCATGTACGAGTGTGCCGTTTTGACCGCCAGCTCTTGGCGACATGGGAACATCTCCAGAGCCTCGGCTGAGCTCTTTTTCTGATTCGCACCGTTGTTCCTTGCGCCACTTATACACTTACCCGAACGCTCCTGGCAAGGATGAGGATCTGTACCCATGATCCATTCGAATTATGCTAAACCAAGGATAGTATCTGCACCGAATAGGGTCTTGTACAACTGATCGTAATAGACCCCACAGTTCGACCACTTCAATCACGTAATCGTACGCCCCCAAAGGTTTGTGTATATAGTATATAGGCCGTGGCTTTTGATTGGAATTCAAGATGCGGAAATAAGCTGACCAATTCAAAGACTTTGGATCGCGTCTCAACAGACTCAAGTTGGATTGTTTCTCATGGCAACCTCGTCCTTTGTGTTCATGCGATGGGCCAATCTTTCTTCGCAGAATCCCATTATACTCTTCCCTGATTGCCCTGTTCTGCCTGTCAAGCCGAACAGTTTTTGCACATGTCCGAAAGGCTGTATCAACGTGCTGTCAGTAATGCCCGTAAATGTCATGTCGGATACGTCGAATTGATGCCGTTGTTCACTGTTCTGTAATGAAGTGGTTGTTGCATCCGAGGGACTATTTCTCGTCGCAGCGTTTATGATCAGCGAATTGAGATCCGGAAAATTCTCTCGTCTTCGGTCGTTCTTCCTTTGTAGTACTCTGAGTTCCGGCCCCATACACGGTCTGGTTATAGTTTCGTGGTACGATTTCCACAATTGACGTACGCGCTCTGCCACCTCGTTTTCTTGATTCGTGAACCCACTGGTAGCTGATGTTTCAAGCAGTGCTTCGATATGTCCGGATAGATCCGATACAGCTTCTAGGACTTCTTCAGATCTGGTTTTTTCGGAGGCTACGGCAAGATCTTTTCTTTTTTGATAGTTACGTTGCGCCTCTCGGACTTGTGCACGACGTCTCTGGCTTTGTCAGCGGGTTTCAAAGAGTGGAACACAGATGGCGATCATCGCACGGAGTACAGCAATGAATGAGCATTGGAACTGGAGGTAAGAAAAAAAGTACCCACTTCAGCAGCTGTGTCGATCGTACTGTTCACGCGAGGTCTTCCACGTTTCCGTCGAATAGGTACGGGAGCTGCTTGGGACACATCCGGCAAACTCGCATCTTGAGGAGGATCGGTGTTGCGGTTAGGGGGGAACCAATTTGAGAACGTTGGTTGCTTCTCCACATTGCGCATGCGGGGGTTGTAGATGCCGTTCATGATGATAAAATGAATGCCCGACACCTGGATCTGCGAAGCAATCGAAGGCGCGGAGCAGTGGATAAATGTTTGATGATCAGATAATCAGGTCCGTTCTGTCGGACGATATGAGGCCGCGTACACAGAGAGGCTGGGTACAAAGGTTAGCTAATCGATCCACCCCTGTCGTTCGCTTGCCGTGCCGATTGGCCGGATTTATGTTGGCCAGATCGGATATGTGCGCAAGAGACCATATTCAATGATTCTTCGATGCTGCCTCCTGGGGTCGATTTTTGGCCTGGATCTTATATTGTGCAGATCTCTCAATTTTCGCTATTAGCACATAGAAATATTTCCATGTTGCTTTTAGAATTGCAAAACTCTTAATACCAACCAACCTTCAACATACAACTTTGAGCTATCAATTAATTGCAACTTGCCTTGCATGTAACTAAGACCGCAATAATCAGTGCTGGAAAGTAGATTTAATCCTCAGTTTCAAGAATTCAAAACTTGACAGCAGAAAGTGATAGGAAACGCAAAGACATATTAAGTATCACTATAAAGTGCTACCATACCGTGCAAGATAATCAATGCCTGCATATTTCTTAACCTCAGTGGACATTGTCACTTTTCTGGTTGTACGTAATAGCTATTCAGCATCATGGATGATTTTTAATCACACTGCATGATATATTCAGTGTCGATTCAAATGTTGTGGCCAGTGAAAGTGGGGAGCTTCACAAGCCCCTGTTCACCCCCCACCCACCCCACCAAGCACATCGGCTACCAAGTTCTTTGCTCTTTTTTTTTTCTGCATCACGGGCCTCTTAATTTATATAATATCTAGTCTCTGGCATTGTCATTCTCTCCCAATCTTGCGCATGATTATATTGTAAAACATCTGCTCGATGCAACATCAAAGTGATCCAATCACGACTCAACATCAAACATCCTCCGTGGCGCAATTGGCTAGCGCGTCTGACTGTTAATCAGGAGGTTCGTGGTTCGAGCCCACGCGGGGGAGTTGGTACAGTTGACTTTTTTTTCCTTTCCAGCTTTCATCACATAAGTAGCACATTCTCTTTTTGCTCGCTTTAGCGAACTAGCGTGGTGTAATGCTCTTCACGTTGGTATTCGAGGTTCTGGATGTGGATTCGAATTTTGATCAAAACTCCGGTAAATTTAGGGTATTCATGATATGCTGTACATATATGACAATTAGCAGTTGTGCAATTTCAAGATAGTATATCGTAGGTGCTTGCTATGCCCAGAGAAGCTCGATTGGTGAGGAAGCAGTGCATCTACCGAAATCTCCTACTGCACACCCGATAAGTTGTCCCAGCCTAATATTCCCAAAGCCTCCAACCCGGATGGAGGCACCTGTGCATCCCCGCCACTCTCCCACTCGAAAAAGTTCTGCAGCGAATGGAGGTCGAAGATTGGGGGTTCGAGGCTCTGCATATCCGGGAGGTAGGGGGCAGGGAGCGCGCCGTTGGTGTCACTGTGTGTTTCAGCTAGTAGATTGGGTGGTATGGATATAGAAGGTGAATGTTCTGCGGGGTATTGGTCCTCTGGTGCCCCATCAACGTAGGCGGGATACGGAGCAACCGCTACTGAGGAGGGTTCAATCTGGGGGTCACCGAGCCCATGGAGGGAAGGATCTATAACCTGCAAGCTTGTCGTCTGTGACGGGAGCGGTGATGTCGTTTGTTTACTGTTTTGTGTAGCGGTCAGCTTAGAGTAGTAGGAAGTGACGACGCGTGATATACCTTCGAGTTTCAGATTCGTGTGCAGTTGGATCTGAAGGATCTTGCGGAGCTATATATGCTGTGGCTTGTCCGTGGGCAACTCCCTCACGCACTTTGTTCAGCCAGTCTTCTGTTGTGACATACTATCGAGATGTTAGCTTTTCTAATCGAGTTTGTGAAGTGGCGAAAGGTCTTGAAGCTGTGTTGAAGGGCTTCTCCTACCAGCGGCTCGGCGATGGGATACATCTGTGACATTGCTTGCAAGGCCATGTTGTTGTTCTGCACAAACTCAATGGTCTCGTCGAAGATTGCCATCGACTCTGGCTTTGTAGGGTCGACTGCATGTGCAATGTAGTAAAGCATAATACGGCTGCTATTATACACTAATGAAGGTACGATTGCGTCGGCGAGATACTTCACGCCATGCTTCAATACGGTCGTTACGAGAGTAGAAATCTGCCGTGCGTTGTCATAGCAAATAAACTGCATGTGCGCCATGAGCTGGCATTGTTCCGGTGGGAAGACAAAGGGCTGGCGAATCTTGAAAAGATCAGGAAGAGAGACCCGATGCAGATCACATAATACATGATGATACATGCAATGGAGCAGGAAGAGAGACCCCAGTTGTGACGACGCGCGTCGGATGTAGATATTGTCTGGGGAGAAATCCATCCAGGGCGGGTGGCTATTTTTCCAGACGTTTATCTCCTCGTGCATGAGGGCAAATTCTCCTCCCAGTACCCATGGTGGTTGCACCCCATCCAGATGTTTGATGTATCTTAATACCCTTTGCCAGATGTGGATTATTCGTAGATAGTAGGCAGACATGCCCATGTTCTCCAATGGCTTCTCGGGGATCTCATCAGCGGGGACGAAATTTAAAATTCGGCCTGGTTGAAGGCATTCGGTGACGTTGGGGATCTGCAGGAGAAACAGACGCTCATTGCATGGCAACTGGAGCGTGATATCTTTTTCGTTCAAGATTGTTAGACGATCCACGCCGCTCCCGGCCCACACATCAATCACGTAACACGCCCACATTAATCGTCTTCGCGATTCTCGCATTGACACCTCGTTCGAAGCACCTGTATGACCTTTGCAGAGAATATCTGTGGAGGGCTCTTTGTTGAGTTGAAGGGCATGTGCCATGCGAACTATAAGACCAGTAAGGAGAAACGAGCCAGCATAATTACCAACTCGAGCTTCATAATCATGGAGTAGTACGAGGACTTTCAACTTCACAATGGAAATTGTACTGTACTCGGCAAAAAATAGGTTTTCAGCAACCTTGGCCCATTGACCACCGGCATTCTGCGTCCTATTACAGGGAAGAGGCGCTGTAGACTCGCTATAGTCAAGAGCGTAGAATCGCGCACCTAGCGCACACATGATATGCAAGAGGGCCCGGTCTGCATTGTCGGTGAAGAGACCCTCGTCCATCATGCGCATGAAGGTTGGTCGATGAACAAACGCAAAAGCCTATCGAATCACACCAGCCCGGTCAGGTACATTTCAATGAACAAGTGGCTTTCTTGAGTGAAGTTCGGATGAAGCGTAGACTTATAACGTACCCGAATTGGATGGATGTTGTCAAAATATGCGTCCAACAAGCTCCGAAGCCTTGCACCGCTCGGCAAATCGGGTGCAAGCAACCTTGTTACGGTCAGCAAAGGAGACCTGGCACGCGCAGGAAAGATCGCGGACATACCACTCAAGTGAAGGCGGAAAAGTGGCTGGTTGCGGCTGTGGAGAACTGACCCCACCATCCTGGCGGAGAGGGGAACAATTCGAAGGGGATGCTGCAGATACATTTTGTTCAATGGGGCTTGCTACCCGTGGGAGAATTCGTGCCCACACTGGTTCTACCGCCGATGAAGCATCATAGACGCAGGTCGTGTGTTTTTGGTCGCATCTGGAACATGACGGTCGCGCACCCGAACATCTGAGCTTACCTTGGCGGCAGGGAACACAAACACGATACGTCCTTTTACGTTTGTTATTAGTGCTGGAACGAGGGCGTTCAATTTGGCCCGCTGTGATTGTCTCCTGAATGCAACTCAGCGATAGATTTTCGCAGTTCTCACAGCCATTGGGACGAGCATCACACTTGACCTATCTGCAGTCAGTGTCTGTATCATCCGGTTACGGGACAGGATAGGTGCAAAGGGGCAGAGAATGATGCATAGGCTCTGAGAATATTGTGTAATGACAGCAAAGAAATTGCCACACTTCACCAATAACCTAACCTACACATCGCTTCACCAATCATGCTCACCTTCCTCGCTCGACAAGTGGAACAAGCTATATAACAATTTAGCTTATTTCGTTCGGTTCATCGCTATACGGTCTCGGAAGCAACGTACCATTCAATGGCCGTTTTCGAGGGCGTCCACGGCGCTGTACGGGGTTCTCCGAAGGGGCAGTTTCGCCGCTACTTTCCATTCAGATGGTTGAGGCATGTATGACACAAGATGTAGAGTGATGATGGCGATGGCACAAACTGGATAGAAGAGGAGTTCTTCGATCGGCCCATCGCAAGAGCGGTGTGCGCTAGACTATCTCTGTTCTAGCTTTGATCCGACATCTTTCACATGATCACTTTCCATCCTAGGTTTTCATCTTGGCACTTGTCACTTCACACCTCATCACAAACTAGCATTCATCCGAGCGGTGTCAGCCAATGTCATCAAATTTGAACGAGTTTTAAAGAATAAAATACCGCTGTGGGGATTGTGTTTATACGATGGAAGCCATCGTTAGTCCAAGAAGAAATACGCATTATTGTTCAAGATCACCGCTTAACAAGTCAAGATAACTGCCAACGAAAAAAAAATCTTCATTAATAAGAACACTACCCAAAACCAAAGCTCACCTCCAGATTTCACAACGGTCCTGCGTTTGGTCATCTCAGATTGCAGGCTTTCGGCAATCTGGAGAGCCACAGAGACAGTACTCACCGTCCGCGAACCAGTCCGTTCCGTAATCGATGGTGATCTCCTCGCCAGACTGAATCGCATTGGCCATAGAGACCAGCTCTACTGCGTATCTGTCTGAACCAACGCGGCCCTTCGCGAGCTGAGCGTTAGGGCTGCAGGAGTGTGACGCGAAACGCATAAGACTGCCCTTCTTGGATCCGTCAATTCTGCAAAGAGTTTGACCACCACGGTTATTCTTACGCGGAGCTTCACAGTGGATGTTAGCCCAGTACGCCGATTCGCTAGCGGTGGCCTTCCAGGACGATTTCACCAGCTCGCCACGATACTCGCCTATCGAAGTCCAAGCTGCAATGGACTCACGTGCAAAAAGGCAGTAGCCCTTCCCAGGCGATTCGCGGATTGCCAAACGCTCGAACCAGATCTTTTGGGTTTTTTCGACCCAGGTTTCGTACTCACATTCGAAAAACGTCTTGTTTGACAGATCGCGCTGCTCGCACACGAGACAGTCAATTCGAGCAGATGGATCCTTGAGCAGTTGAGTTAGGTTCTTATTCTGAAAGCCCCTACTCTGATCAACCACATGGTCCGATATAACCTGCGGATGGAATGTCCGGCCATCGATGGCCGCGCTCACGCGTACCCGCGGGAACAGGGGGAAACCTGACTCGTCGTCCTGCGCATAGAAGTACAGCGGTGATCCATTCGGAGTATATAATCTCCGAAGCCACGCGCTCAAACGTTCTCGATTCTGGCGGGAAAGAGGCGTGCTCGCAGTGTGGTGAAGACTAGTCTTCCACTCCTCAATCTGTCGTAGCAATCGTATTTGTTCGATGTTTTCAGCCATTTCAACTGTTGATATCGATAACGATTGGTTTTTATCCGTTTAGGTTGATATTTATGATATATAGAAGATTCATTGTCTATAAAAATATATATTGATTGACGACGCTGCAACGTTGGAAAACAATGCTCAACCAGAAGTTCCACAATGTACATTATCAATCGTCATGATGCCCGCAGTGCAGATCTTGCGTTGCATGATTGTATGTACGATGTAGTGGCCGCCTGCCTTTGTAAAATATACATAAAGAGATCTCATGAATGGAGAGCAAAGAAAGCTTTTCCCTCAACGTCTGGATTTGCGGGGTGCAGGGGCGCTGTCCTTCGAGGCGATACAGGGTCATAAAGGCATGTTAATATAATGGAAGTTCAGCGCAGTAGACGGAAGAACAAATAATGACTGCGAAACAATAGAATGATGATGGGCATTGACTCCGCAGGAGATGACCTTTAAATATTCAATCTCAGTGGGTGAGTTGACCGTGGTCGATTAGTGAGACTAACAAAGCGTCTAAGACAATTTCACTTGCGACACAAGCAGGCAGGCAAACATTTGTTCCTTTTAACAAACTGCGCCATGATTCTCTTTTGTTTTAAGCGTCCTAGTTGGAAGTATAGCGCTTCGAGTGACATCAGGTATGACAATCGACAGCTATCACCTGAAATATGCCTGCGATCCTCCTTCTGGTTCTTCGAGCATTGGTATGAAAAGGTCTCACACCATGGGCCTCAAATGGTCTGGTATTGATTTCAACTGCTATGTTGATGTTTGATTAGGCCAAATTGATTCTAATTTCCAAACAATGTTTGACCAGCCAGTGATTGTCGCAGGGAGTTGTTGTATCAATGTCGTCTCTTATACTCAGGGTAGCAACCTATTTGACTCCAAGACACTATGTGGTGCAGCTGGGTGACACAGTTACGGCCTATCGAAACATGTTTGGGCACATTACACGGGATATTCACCCGTGATCGTAGTGTTTAGAGACGTGAAGACTTAGTGGATTATTTGGTTGAATAGTAAAAGCCTGGAATATCCCCAACAGTCAATGTCTATTTATCAAGCTCGTCTACTCTTGCAAATTGTCCAAGTCCTCGGGATTTCGGGACTAATTTGGGCAAGCCTTTCCCACTCCAAACAGTAGCAATAGATTTCAATGATTGTGCTGAGCCAGAGCGCTAAAATGAGATAGCAGGCTGCAGTAGTTGTAGGGTATCGACAACCTCGCAGATCGTAATGCGACACCATGTTAAGGTCCATAGGTGAGGTAGTGTCGGCAAATCATTTTTCTGGCCCGTCCTCTCACGGGAACGAATTATTCGGATAATAAAGCCTGTACGCCCACTATATAATTCCTTACTACTATAAGTAATTTATGCTATTTTACAGCTTTATAATTATTTTTTAGTTTTTTATAATATGCTAATACTACTTGTAGTACAAAACTACTAGTTTTAATTGTACTTTTAGTGTTTTTGCATAGAGCGTGGCGTTTATTATCCGACTTTTACGTTCCCAGGAGAGCCCGTCCTCCCCATCTCCCCATCCCCGGATAGTCATCATTTGACCACTATCATATCGACAACCCAACATGTTTGTCGATCATTAAGTAGTATCTGCTTCGTGGAAATCACCATGTATCATCGGAAGATACCGCTCGGCACCCTGTTCCTCCAATATAATCCAAGGCCTCGGCCTCGTTATCGACAACCAGTGGGTACTTCGGATTTGTGACCATATCCCATTCCAGAACGCGGGCAGGATCAATAACAACAACTGACTTTCCTTCCGCTAGAAGTCGATTTACGTCCTCGTGGACAATACGTCTTGCTATCGAGCTTAGGGAGTAAGCATCGCGGAATGAAAACACAACTGCACAAGCTTCAGCATGAGTCCCCGATCCAGGTTCTTCCGGATTCGGCTCCCCAAGCTCGCGCTCTATAGCTCGTGTGAGACGCTCAGAGCCTGCAAAGCGGACTGCACCTCGTAATTTGAAGACTACGACTTCCTTTGCGCAATGAGGATGGTGTGGTTCGTGCTTGCCGGCAACAATCGTGGCCACTGAGGTCTGCACAGTAGCTCTAGCGAGCTGTGAGATACCCATCATGTGCAACTCCATGTCTGCAGAAAGCATTTCGCAGATTTCGATGCCTCGCACACTATTCCCACGTTCATCTAGATTGGGCGAAAATGCGGCAATTCCAACTTGTCCTGGCAGTGCGCCGATGATACCTCCTGCGACTCCAGACTTTGCGGGAATTCCGACTCTCGTAAGCCAATCTCCAGCTGCATCGTACATACCGCAAGTGGCCATGATAGATAGAACCTGGCGCACACTCAATTGTGGAATGATTTGCTCGCCGCTCAGGGGATGTACTCCACCGTTGCACAGTGTAGCAGTCATCATTGCTAGATCTCGAACGTTAACATTGATAGCACACTGGCGGATATACCCGCGGACCACCTCTCGCGGATCACATGAAATGATCCCGGCAGCTTTGAGCATGTATCCAATAGCCATGTTGCGATCCGCATCCCTAAGCTCGGCCTCGTAGACTTCCTCGTCAACATGTAACTGCCTTCCAGCTAGCTTGGATAATGCTTTCAGAATGCGGTCTGTCCTCTCTTCTGCCGTGGAATTAGGCCCAACCACCAAAGCGTGAGCGGTGATCGCTCCAGCGTTGATCATGGGATTCATAGGGCGGTTGGTCTTCTTCTCAAGAGAGAGTTGGTTGAATTTGTCGCCTGAGGGCTCCACTCCGATCTTCTGCATTACGCGGTCCAGACCAGCATCCTCAATTGCAAGAGCATACACGAAAGCTTTGGAAATTGACTGAGCGAGAGTGGAACAAATACAATCAGTTTATTGGAGGTCATGTGACAGTCGTCTAAACCAATATTTTAAATAGCGTTGCTAGACTCACTTGGATGGAAAATTCAACATCGTCGTCGCCAGCCGAGTAAATTTTCCCATCAACCATAGCAAGTGCAACGGCCATCTTGCTTGGATCTGCTCTCGCGAGTGTCTCGATATACCCGGCTGGGGCCCCATTTTCATTGCTTCGCGCCTTTTCCAGAACGGCTTGCAGATAATCCGGCAGAGGTGACTTCATTGCGCTTCCCAGTTATAGTGTGGCTCTGTATGGAAATAATTGGCGCGTGGTTGCAGTTTCAGCGTGGAAGGACAGGTGCAAAAGTCGCGTTATGGTGTAAAACAAGTTATTTGTGCCCAGAATTAAATTCTGCCATCAAGCCTCAAAACATTTTCGCCAAGGACATCATCGTCAACGGAGGATGAGTTAGCTAGCGAACCGTAGCGCATACAATATGTGCGTACCCACTGTCTAGCCAAAGATGGTTAGAGATGCCAGCCTCGGACGATCGATTCAACCTGTAATGGGATCAAATCATGTGCTAATTAATGCACATGAGATCTGTCTGTCAATCTAGCGAGATCTACGCAACATAGGTAGACTCTGTATTGTATTTGATCACAACTTGGATTTATCAGATCACTGAACAACATCGTCCAATGCTGTCAAGTTAGCCGATGTTAGCCGACTCTAGCCAGCACTGCGCATCCATCGAGGCCTCTTCAAGTCACCCGATAGGACAAGCATATACATAGCTACAACTCCAGGGCTCTTCCACGGGGATATATCTTAGGTCTAATGATGATATACATGAAATCTGGAAAGATTAGCTGCTCTTTCTAGACTGTTGTTCTCCAGTGTACTCTTGTCCTATCAGGTTTTCGGACACTCCATAGCGCGGTCATACGTTTTGAGTTAGATTGCTTGGTGACTGTCCCGAATGATTTTTGCAGTTCCGGTATCGGGCTTAATATTTGGGACACACTTGCTTAAGGGGTGTCGTCGATAGGAGCTGTGTTTCATTCCACGCTGAGCTATCGTGTCTGAGATGGCAATGTGCATTCTATCCTGGGGACAAACATCAGGAGCAACGCAGCTCAGTAACATAGGTATTTAACAACAATCTAGTCGTTGTCAAGCGTGCATTTTAAATTAAATACGACCTCAATCTTCGTCCTGGCTTCACTTGCGACCCAAGAATTTCCCCCAAGGAACCAAGTCTAACCAGTAGAGAGTAATGACCCCTTTGATACCCGCGACAAGCCACAGTGATGGTCCAACAGATTGAGTAGACTTTGATATCCAACCGCCACAGATAGCTCCCAACAAGGTAAGAACAAACGCGATGAACCTTCTGTTCCGTTTCGCATTCTTTGTTAATCCTGTGAAAAGCAAGTCATCGCTCATCAGATCACACACCAAGCTCGTGATGACCACGGTAGGCACTTCTCCTACGCCGAGGCCACGGCTGTTAACAATTTGCCCCGCAGCTTGAAAACTAAGCAGGGCAACGGCAGCAAGTTCGGTGAAGTTGACGCGGTTGGGGTCCAGGGGCGGATAGCGATCGTCGATAATACCGCTCTGAATTATGGATGTGGCTATAATGACGCAGACAGTTTGTAAGAAGAACGAAAATATGACTGTACGTCGCAATCGAGAGCCTCCAATGAGTTTGTGTAGTCTTGCGAAAGCGATACAGCCGATAGCAAAACACCCAATCGAGCAAAGTGATCGCGCCCAGCCGTAGGGCTTGTTATTTTGGCCGGTGGTGCCGAGTGCGACGAAAATCGTATTTCCTAGGGACAGTTTCAGTGTGTTAGCTATTAAACGTGGAGGTGGTAGATACCTGTTTGCATGGACACGAATGTGCCATAAGCTAGCAAATTCTCGTCAGCGTAGGTCACTTTGGCGCTCCATATATATTCATACCATTGTATAAAGTTCCATCAGTCAGTCCTGTGGCAAAACAGCACACTAAGAGTGGCAGGTAACCATATTTCGTCTCAACCGTATTGGAGAAATGGTCGTGTATACGCTTGTGTGGAGATGGGGTGCTTGATTGTTCTGACCCAGAAGTCGGCTGAGACTCTAGTTTGTCTTCTTTACCCATCATTTCAGATGGGGGAGTGGGAGTGTTCTTGATTTCTTGCATTATAGTCACAGGTCTGTGTATTACGGTTTGCTTGGTATATAGAAACAAGAGAAAGGCAAAGTAGATATCAAGCTGAAAGCGACAAGAAAAGATTTGTCTTCTAGAAGAAAACAGCGGAGTGGGAGGGGGACAATCGGAAACGCTTTGCTGTCAGCCGGCAACAGTTTGAAAATGCTACACGAAGATTGCGTCAACCAGATCTCGGCACTGATGATTACCCTGGCCTTCAAGAATGTATCCGTTGAGTATGCCCAGTGACTCGGCATGCACCATGTGCATTTATACGATACTAAGTATCCTAGGAGCGGGTGGTGGAACGGTCCGCTCCTAGGAATCCCGTGCCAATCATATAACCCAAGACATTACCAAGGCTTGGTCTTCTCGACGCTTGGCACGGAGTTTGTGATTATTCGTGGACATTCTGATATAGGGTGCATCAAATGAACTATTTATCTCTTGGAGAACTGTAATCGTTCCCAGCAGAACGGTACTTGCGAAATTTGGTTTGACGATCGTCCCAAAGGAGGCTCCGGAGCTCACTCCTTCCAGACATTTGATCGGTGGGTGTTCATGGAGAGCGGCTCGCCGACTTGGCTCACTCGTCATCTCCAATGGCCAACTTTTCGTTCCCCTGTTCCGCTGTTTCCCGGCGCAACTGGCGGAACATGTGGATACCAATCCGTGCGCCGCGTTCGGCTACTCTCACCGTAACTGGCAACAATGATGAGCAAATTTTACATTGCAATGTAACCTCATCAGGCTAAAACACGACTTCGTTGTGTTACTGAGTAAGACTGTGGGTGCGCAGCAAACTCCGGTTGGACTAATTGAGCATTCGTCTAGATAATTTCGATTGCCGACACGCTTAGATGTTTCGGCAATGATTTTGGGGAAACCCGCACACAGCAGCGAGCCACGGTGTACTGCCAAGAGAGAAGCGGCTATTTACGACCATTTACACAAGCTTCAAGCTACACGTAAAGTTGTACAGATGCGTGACGTATCAAGAGGGCTTGCGTAACGGCACGGGCCGCGAATGGAAGCCGCTATTTTTTAAGGTTATGCGATTGATATGTAGGCTAACCAAAATACAACTGTCGTATGTGGAAGCCACATGGCCCGTAATGATATATGGAAACCTACTAAGTGCTTTCCTAAACATACTATCTCCAGTCGCAGTCTTGATCATACCTATGTATTCATACTTTGAAGAAAAAACTGGTCGAGGAAGTGATGTGGTGGGATTTCTTTGCCATTTCCTGAGTGTCACTGATTTGGCCCGATTCCACTCAAAAATAACGCACCCAGAGATAACAGTGCATAGCCAAGTCACCAAGAGATGCAACTTCGGCTGTCAGTGGGTCGCCTTCAGTATATACCAATCCGATTAATAATGTAAGAATGTAAGTCGACAGTACTAACAATTGCTTGACCTACCTAAATAATCCTTCCGTTCTGATGATCTATTTCCGGAGATAGTCATTCCCGTCTCCTGGCTTTACATCTAACATCTTACATACTTCCTGTATCTCTTATTGTGTGCTGAGATCGGCATTGCGTTCAGAATGTTGTAGGCAGCTGACCAGCGGCAGACTTTAACGAATGAAACTTGTTATTCTTCATGCGATAGGTTACGTGTAAGCTCTCGATTCGTCCCAGGACAAGTATTGGGGAAAGTGAATGCAGTGTTGGGCAGGTTGGCAAACGTTGGAAAACTGCCAAAGAAAGTCTGGGACGATGTGAAACGCTTCAGCGTTCGAAGGAGGATGTTAGCTCTCCAACTTCTTCAACTTCTGACAAGCCTTTTTTTTTCTCCTTCATCAAGGTGGATAATGCGACCGATATACCTCCGTAGCTTGCTCGCCATCCCCCAGCTATATCATTTTGAGTAGAACATAACGCACACAATAACATTGTTATTTCCTCACATGACCGTGTAAGACTCATCAAGAACCTATCGCTTGCCGGCTTTAACGCTCAACAATCACCTGCAGTGCTTCCGGTAAATCAAGAGTTTACCTTCATCGCTTACTCTTGGCCTTCTTTGGACACGGTTGATCAGTGTCAAAACGCACTTCTTCCGATGAAAGATAGAAGACGCTTACGATACCAAGGCCGCCTTGGCCACGGATATGCAGTGTGGAAGATCATATACTGAATTTCTGGGCATGTTGTGGAATCCGAAGAAGGTAACCGAGCACTGTGAGGGTGTGAGGACTCGATTCCTTCTACTATGTTGGCATATTCATTATCGGTGAAGTGTTATCTGCTTGTAGTAACATATTATAAGATACGTATACTGCGATTATAGGTATAAAGACCAGCATCGTTCGTGTTAGACTCGTCGAAGCGACCAGTCTCAAAAAAAACATCAAAATTCATCCTTCCTTCCATCAGCCCCCAGCCTGATCCAGTTTCGCATTCTTTTCTCATCTTCGCAATGGCTCCCACTCTGGAAGTTGAGTCGATCACCAGCACAGACATCAGACGTGGCTCTTTGTCTGAAACGAACGGGAAGCTTCCTCTTCATTCAGCAAAGGAACTAGTCAAGACCATCCCGTTCACAGCCCAAGACGAAGATATGTCAGTAAAACCTGCTAATAAGTTGAATGACATGTCATCCTCATCACCCAGCTGGCTTCTCCTCAACCACATGAAGGAGTTCTTGAATCAGCCAGTCTATGGCGCGACCAAGCTTCGAAAGATGCTATTCGAAACCAACGAGTTGATCGTATGCCCTGGTGTCTACGACGGTCTCTCCGCTCGCACCGCTATGGAACTAGGATTCAGCGCCTTGTACATGGTATGTATCTCATCGACGATTTCTCGTTTTCCACAGCCATACCAGTAGCTTACATAGTGAAAGACTGGAGCCGGAACGACCGCCTCGCGTCTTGGACAGCCTGATCTGGCCATTGCTCAGCTCCACGAGATGCGCGAGAACGCCGAGATGATTGCCAATCTCGATCCCTTCGGGCCTCCCCTTATCGCTGATATGGACACTGGCTATGGTGGCCCTATAATGGCTGCGCGTACTGTTGAACAGTACATACGAGCTGGTGTGGCAGGGGCACATCTTGAAGATCAAGTGCTCACCAAACGATGTGGACATTTGAGCGGCAAAAAGGTAGTAGGGCGCGAGGAATACATCTCGCGTATTCGCGCAGCCCATGCCGCACGTGTACGTATGCGCTCCGATTTCGTCCTCATTGCTCGAACGGACGCGTTACAACAGCATGGCTACGATGAATGTATTGCTAGACTACGGATGGCACGTGACGAAGGTGCCGATGTAGGACTATGCGAAGGCTTCACATCCAAAGAACAAGCCGCGCAAGCGGTCAAGGACTTGGCGCCTTGGCCGTTGTTGTTGAACTCTGTCGAGAACGGGAAAAGTCCTACCATAACCGTGGATGAGGCGCGGGCTATGGGCTTCCGCATTATAATCTTCAGCTTTGCTACGCTTGCGCCCGCATACCTGGCTATCAAAGAGACACTTCTCCGACTCAAGACGCAAGGCATCGTTGGAACACCCAAGGATGTCACGCCTGTAACTCTTTTTGAGGTCTGTGGATTGAAGCACAGTAGTGAGTTGAAAGCGCTTCCCGAGATTGTACAAAGCCGCTAACTGATGTTCTAGTGTCCGTTGACATGAATGCAGGAGGAGCTTCATTCAAGGAAGGTGTTTAGCGGTCCTAGTTATGGCTTCTTTTCATGTGTCTCATCCAATGTGCTGGTCATGACAATCCTGTTCCGGAGTTTCTCTCGTTATCTCTATCAATGTGTTTCCACAATACCATCAATCACAATTTCTTTTTCTCATTCAACAGCTGGTATCACGCAGTAGCCACAGCGCTGCATATCCTGGAATTTGAGGTTCTGTAACGTTTCTGTCTACTTCATATCTATAAGCTCTGGTGTCTCTCAATCGTTCACGTCTATTGCCACTTTGAAAAATCTCTATCATCCAAGACTCAAGTATTTGCCTATTACCCAAGAACGCAATATGTCAATGCTAGACGCACTTCCATGCATCACATACGCAAAACCTATTGATCTATATGCATGTGAAGTCACTTTATGGTGCCCTCTACCGAGCAACTCCTTCATAAATTTTCAGAAAATGGAGTTAATTCTATTTTATATAAGAATGTATGCTTTGCATAAAATGGGCGGACTGTAGTTAGTTTCTCAGTTGTGTTGAATCCTCATTGCACAGTTTTCTTGACACCCCGCGGGTCTACTGCACAACTTACTTTTAATCAGTATGTAGTGTCGACCATAATTTGTGATTGCACGATTCTAACCTAGTAGCACAAATGCTTTGTTTTCTATGCTCCATTGATTCCTATAGATCAAAGACAGGGAGCCTCTTGAGATACCGTAAATATCTCACAAACAGATCTTGGGAACAGCAGTCACTTTTTATATTTTATATCTTCTAGATCTCTTTTTTGATATATATGGGCACCTAATAAATCATTTCAAGGTGATAGATTATATGCTAATAAAATCAGTCTGTTGTTCATGATTTTATTATACCACTTTTTCAATGCCTGGAGAGGGACAATGCTCACCTCATATACCACAGCGTGAAGAGCGGATGCGCCCATCTTGCACAGAGGAGATTGAGGCACAGTAAGTTAGTATATATTCTTACTTTGTAGTAGAGACATCGGGTAGACCGAATCGTATCGTTAATGCAGTGCAAGTACCTGCACGTATTGCAATTGCACCATCTCACTATTTGTACCGCCACGCGAAAATAAGGAAAGAAAGGTTGAGTTGCGATGATCACACCAAGTCTAAGATACATATATATTCACCTCCGAAAACCCGCCCTAATCTTATCCCCCCTCCCTCCTCCCATCTCCGCGACTAACGAAGCCCAAGATTCAGGTCCAACCCAATATCCAAAGTAGCGGGATCTATACCGTCATTCCGCATATACTCGTTGTCGCCGTCTAAGTCCGCGAGCAGCGAATTCCACGTCGCCCAATCCATCTGCGAGGGATCCTCATTATTGAAGACATTTGTATCATCTGCAGGAGATTGAAAAAGAAATGAGGGACCTAGGGATGATGATAGCGGGAGGGGTTGAACAAATTGCTGATCTCCATGCTGCTGAAGTTGCTGAGGCAAGTAAGAATACTGGGAAGTACTTCCGGATGAGTCTAGAGCGTTTTGGTGGTATACGTTGCTTGTGGAGGTCTCCTCAGTGGGCATGGCAGATGTAGCTGCTGGGACAGTATGGTCACGGAGACCCTGTGATGTATGAAATTGGGCAGAATTTGCCATCGGCATTCCTTTCCCCTTAGATATCGCTCGCATCCTTTTATTCACCCACCCCCTCAGTCTCCCCACAAACGCAGGCTCTCTCTCTAACGGCACAACGCGAGCCGCAACACGCTTCTCCCACGCCCTGAGCGTTAGGTTCCCTACAGCCAGCAAAAATGCAGTTTTACTCGTTTCTGCGCTCAACTGCGGATGAGAGTTGAAGAGGATCTGTACTTGGTCCCACGCGTGTTGGACTTCTGGGCCCGTGGTGCGATGGCAGAGTTCAGAGAGGACGTGAATAAGGGCTTTCCATTGGAAGTGTGCATTGATGTGCCAGAGGTAGCCGTGGAGTGACGGGTTAATGTATGCGATAGTTTGGTTCTCGAGAATCGAAATCGTGTTTAGAAATAGTGTGTCATGATCAGATGATGAGGAAGCTGTGGGAGTTTCTTTGGAGCGGTTGCGAGAGCTGTGATCGGGTGTGTGTGCCATGAAACGCAGCATCGCAATGATCGACTTGATGAGTAAGGCGCAGATGCCGTGCCATGTCACAGATTCGTCGCAGTATCGCAAAAATTTGCGCGTATACATGGTCTCGAGTTCAGTGATTGCTTGTAACTTGACGTCTAGGCTAGCGGTGCTAGTCGTGAGTTTGTTCCAGACGCCGTCGAAATTGGAGGGAGCGTTGATTGTGGATTTGGAAAGGAATTCACCGAGATGGACACGAATGAGAAAGAACATCATCTCGGTTGCGCCATCATGTTCCTTGGGAGGTTCCTTCATGCCTGGGAATAGGTCACTATCGTTGAGGTTGAGTGGCGGTTTCACAGCAGAACCGATTGAGGTCCTGCCTGTCCCGGCCAGCTTTTCAGCAAAGCCATCCTGCATTACGATCTGCCACCACAATCTTCTTCGCATCTCGCTTTCGAATGGTGGAAGATTGAGTGTATCGGGATCACGGTGCAAGCCCAGTCGTTGAGCGATACGCGATGCAACGCCAGTCAAAACCCATATGACGCGAGGATCATCATTATACAAAGATGCAATGAACAGCGTAAGAGCCTGCAGCACCATGGGGTCTGAACTCTTCATGAAATTGGCATTCACCAGTGCCACCTGTGTAGCTGACCTAAACCTTCTACTCACTCCAGTTTTCGATTCATCCATGATACTCAAACACTCAGGCTCACTGAGTGATTCAACCGATACGGCATATATCGCAAACAGTAAGGCCTCGGTATTTTTCGGGATATCTTCGATACTACCCGCCGCACTCGAAACGATCTGCTGAACAGTGGGTGTATGAAAAACCTTTACGAGCGGATTGACGTTGTCGAGGTAGGTCTGCCAAAGTTTGAAGACCTGGGCTGGGTGCGGATGGAGGTAATGTAGGTCAATACCCGATCTTGAAGAGCTCAACAACAGGCTCCCACCGTTCGTGGGCGAGAAGGAAGAAAGAGAGGCCGAGCCGCCATCTTCATCGGACGAGCTGTCTTCAAGGACATCTGAGTCGCGGAACTCACTTTTCAAGCTCGTCCACAGCGTGTTCTCAAGATATCTCGACTTTCCAGATTCAGAGACCAAAAGTCCCTCATCGCATCTCCGTCCAGACTTCACTTCGTCAGGCAGCACGGCCTCGTAGAAATCGTTCACAGCCCGGCTCTCACTGATGGAGGCCCTCTTCTTTGCCCGATTCAACTCCTGTGCGACCAATGCCTCGGGATCAACGCCAAGTTTGCGCAGCACTTCCTCGTAAATGCGAAGTCGAGCGCGGCTGTCCACCTCTCTCAACCCCCGCTTCTGCCTTCGTGGAGGTGGCGGGGTCTTATATACACAATTCACACGTGACCTGATGCAGTTGGAGCAGCCGCCTGCAGTTCTGTCGCATCTAACTTTTCTTTGTGCGCAGAGAACACAAGAGAAGCTTTTTTGGAATGGCTGCTGTCGGTGGCTAGGCTCGGTCGACTCAGGCGGGGTAGGAGAAGCATCTGTAGACATCTCGGATCAATTGTGGTTTGGCCCTTCCTGGGTATGTCGACCTCGAGTACTGTAAAATGGCTTTGGCTGTGTACATGCAGTGTCGGTAATAACTAAAGGGAGGGAGAGTTGCTCGCATGCAGCTAAAACCATATGCAGGATCGAGCAGTCCTGATTCCTCAGCCAGCCAGAAACAATCAAAATTGACAATTTACAAATGTGTACGGTTTACTCAGCGCCTATGGAGAAACAAAGCATTATTAGTCTACGGTAGAACATTCTATAACATTTGATGTCCAGATCTAGAGCATGTGCATGTTGAGCCAACCACGTGATAGTATCCTAAATAGGCCTAACCTGATAAGCCCCATCAGAATTGCGCAGAGCATCTGTCTTGTGGCATTCTTCACGGGCATTAGAATGACTACAAATGAATTACATAGATAGATTTGACCAGTGGAGCAGGGAGCATCGGGGAACAAAAGGAAAAAGCCGAGTACCATCCTTCCTAGGTACATCAACCTTGTCACATATTGCGCGTCGATAGTCAGGGAGGTAGTGATCATGGGGAACAAATACATAATGATCGCTCAAAGAGATGATGAGATGTACATACTCAGCGAATACAGCAAGGAAATGGAAAGAAAACGCATCAAAATTTCCAGCGCCTAATCTAAACCGACCCAGCCCATACATATAATGACATACTATGGAACATTCCTATAGTATGCATGACCCAGTCAATATGCAAGTATCCGTCTCCAATAACTTACTCGCGGGCAACGCGGTCTTTGAACTCTTCAAAGAAGCTCTCCATCTCCTCGGCGACAAAGTCCTCGATCTTGTTGCTCAACTGATCAAGCTTGTCCTGAAGATGACCGCCTGTGCGGCTAGCGGCAGACTTGGCCTTCTGGTACTCAGCCTCGATACCCTCCTCGATGTCAGAGACAGAGGGGATGGTGATGGTCTTAGACCCCTCGTTCTTGGCAGTGTAGCTGCCCTTGTCGACGATGTCGGAGTAGTTGGAGGAGCCCCCACCGTTCCATGCGAGGATGTTCTTGGTGTTACTGGGAACATCAGAGAGGGCACCGACGGTGGCGATGGAGATGAGGTTGGCCTTGAGCTTCTTGGGGGTGATGTCGGCGACAGCGTAGGCTGAGTCCTTGGCAGGTTGGAGAGACAGCATGTAGGCCAAAAGACCAGCAATGTGGGGAGAGGCCATGGAAGTACCGGAAATGGTGTTGGTGGCGTGCTCAGAGCCGATCCAGGTGGAGAGAATGTTGAGACCGGGAGCAAAGATGTCGTTGCACTTTCCGTAGTTGGAGAAATAGGCACGCTCATCGAGAAGAGTCGAGGCACCGACAGTGACGGCGTTCTCGGCGGCAGCGGGAGAGTAGTTGCAGGAGTCGGCATTGTCGTTACCGGCAGCCACGGCGAAGTGGATACCAGCGTCGACAGCGGCGTTCACAGCGAGATCCAGAGTGGTGGACTTGCCACCACCCAAGCTCATGTTGGCAGCGCTGCCCTTGAAACCCTTACGCTTGCCATCCTTGGCCTTCTTGACCTCGGCCTCGTGAGCTTGAGCAGCGTACTCAACACCCTTGACGACATCGGACATGGTGCCGGAACCGTTGGAGCGGAGAACCTTGACAGCGTAAACGCTGGCCTTCTTGGCAACACCGTACTTCTTTCCGGCGACAGTACCAGAGCAGTGAGTGCCGTGACCGTTACCATCCTCGTCGGCATCGCCGCTGGGAATGGTCTTGCCCCAGTGGGCGCGACCCTCAAAGTCGACGTGCTTGTAGTTTGTGCCGGTGTCGACGACGTAGACATCGACACCCTCGCCGCCATCACCAGAGTATAGGTACTTGTTCCAGGTACCAAAGCTGAGCGAATCGCGGTGGGAAATACGGGCGAGACCCCAAGGAGCGTTCTTCTCGGTTTCGTAGTCATCCTTGTCGCCCATGGTGTGAACGATGGAATCCTTCTCGATGTAGTCGACCTATCATAACGACGATTAGCTGAATGCTTTCCAATAGGCACATGGCAATGTGTGGTTGCTATATGCGGGGATGAGATGAATGAGGTGTTTGCCGTTGCCGGGGCGAAGGCGTCACGTGCGATTACGTGGCTGGCGGACTGGCTCGGCAGAGCTGCCTGCGGTTGCGCCGGCAAAACGAGGAAGCTCGAGCAGCAGCTCAAGCGCCCGCTTTCAACGACGCAGGGCAGGATAGCCGCCACGCCATGCGCTCGCGCTACATGACACGGCAGAGGAAGGAAGGAAAGTAGCTACTCACATCGGGATGTCTGCGGATCTGCTCCAGCGTCTCGTCGTCGAAGTGGCCCGAGTAGCCCATCAGGCGGCCGGCCATGTTGTAGGTGTGTTTGAGTCCGTCAAAGACCTCGGTGGTCAACGGGAACTGCGATCTCTTGCGAAGCTCCATTCGCTCGTCGTTGCTCTTGGAGTGGACGCTCTGAACCCAGGCATGGTGCTCCTTTGCGTGGGTGTCCTTGACGTGCTTCTTGAAGACGATCATGTACGAGTTGGGCACCTCTTCGGCATGTACTGATGACAGCACCGGAGCGGCATCGTTGTGGATGGTGCCCACCTGGAGAACAGGCGAGGCAGCTGCGAGAGCAGGCAGCAGAGAGAGGGCTGAGTACCTCATGATGGATGGATGGATGAACGGCTTGGACTCGCACGGCGAGCTGTGGTAACAAAGAGAAAAGGAGGAAAGATGAATTGATAGAGATGGGAAGATGGTTTGGAAGAGTCTTTGACGAAGTGTCAAGGACAGATGGAGAGAGAAGAGTATGGTTGTTGGGGCAAGAGCTTATCTATAGCCTGGGGAAGCTGCGATGCACGGGCCAAGGCCGAATGACGCATCATATGGCCACGGGATGGCGCAGCCAGGCAGGAACACTCGAGGCGATGGCAACCACGCTCGAGATAGGCAAGTACCTTGGGTACATACATATGACATGCACTGTATACAGTGGTCGATACCTTGGTACCTATGTACCTATGTAGGTATGTATTTATTGGGACGTGTGATGCACCGCATATCCCTCTACAAAAGCGTGGATGCTGGGCGACGACGATGAGTACCTCTTTGTGTTGAGGGGGGTGTGGATACGGCGGTCGCGTGCAGTGGCATTACGGGGGAAGCTTACTAGGCCCCAGCCTTCTGAGCTGCTCCCGAAACACTACGCGCTTCACTCCACAGATGGTGACGCAGGGACTCTGGGAGCCTCACATTGGTGTTTTGCGCCTCTCCTCGCGTCTTTCGTTGACGATGCCGTGTACGTGCAGGAACAGGTTTGTTTGTTTATATGTATGTCTGCTTCCTGTGTAGAGGAGTTGACTGTGCCTGCATAAGCTGTTGCTAGGTGACTCCCTCCGAGGTACATACGATAAGATACCGTCATGGACCTTGCCTGTTTCGGATTAGCTCGACTCAAGTGGATCGTCTCATAGTCAGATGCGAAGCATCGCGTGGACGTGTTTGAGTGAGTGAATAAGTGCTCAAGTGAGTGAGTATCCGATGGAATGCATCATGGATAGATAAGTGTATACTGCACAATAATGAGTCATTCATAACTTCATCATATGTAGTTCATCCCAATCTACCAAATGGTATCTATTCGAGGGCAGCTGTTGATTTGTTTATGTCATCCCGTTTGAGTGCGGAAAAAGCAGCTGCCTACCACGATAGCATCAATCCAGGAAACCCCATGCCCTCAATCACTTACTGGTCTAACAAATACGCAGCATCAAACAGTACACAAGTTCATATTTGCTATCGTGATCAGGCCTGTGTAGGTAGGTAACTCGTAGGCCACCAAGTATTTCCGCCGCCAGGGTCCAAGCTCTCCATCTCACTCAAGGTCCAAGTGTAGAAGTTGGGTAGAACACGATGAGCAGCGAAACCACCGCACATCTTTCGCCCTCACCCTATCCGCTCCCCGTCCCCTCTTCCTCGTATACTCCAAACGCCCACCTCAATTCAGCCGTGATACACAGATTGAGATAGGCAAACGCAAACCCCCTGATCCAGCAGCTCGCCTGCTTGCTTGCTTGCTCGCTCGCCGCACTCGACTGCTGTGCCCCTCCTCATCTTCACGGTACGCACCTATGCAGCAGCTCTTCGCCGCCGCGACATGACAGACGCACGCATTGCCCTCCCCACCCCCGTCCCATAGTCTGTGAACCTCGACACAGGCAAAGGCTCTGCCGCGGCCATGGCCTCCACTCGTCCTCATCGCTCGTCGACGGCCGCATCGCGAGCCCCGCCCATGAACAACCAGATCGCCGAGCTCCGCAGCCTCTGTGACGAGCTAATTCGTTTATCCGAGTCTCCCACCACCCCCGACGTCCTGCAAAGCCAGAGTGACGCCGCCCGCCGCATTCGCCAGCTCCTCATTGAGAGCCACGAGCGTACACAGACCAAAGACGCCTTCCGTCATGTCCGCGGCTTCGACGTCTTGTTGCTTACCCTGCGCTCACTCTCCGGCTTCTACAAGCCCGCACAACTCTCCGCACCGGACAGAATCGACTTTTTCTACGTCATCCGAACCACACTCGAGGTGCTCTCCGACGCACTGGACCAGCACTCCGGAAACAAACGTTTCTTCGCATCTAGAGTCGAGGGCGATGGCTGGGGAGCTTTGGAGCAGGCCCTAGCCAGCACAGGCATCTTTGGCGGCCAGTCCACAACCAAGCGGGATGATGCTGGCCAGGAGCAGCTTTTTGGCTGCCTGTTCTCTTTTGCCCTTGGAGAGGAGGCCGTGACGCGCATCTTCCGCGATATTGACAAACGGGCTGAAGAAGACGTATCAGAAGAGCAGAAACCCTCCGAAGCGGATCCTAACGGATCGAGCAGCGAACAGCCTGCTGAAATTGTCGTCTCAAGCCCACGCTCCATCTACAGCGAGAATGATGTGGATATGGACACCTTGCGTCGTCAGGTCCGCACCGTCTTTAGCGGCAATGAGGTGCTACAGAATCCTGATATTCTGCCCATCATCCTACACTTTTGGATGGGTTTGTCCGGCGAGGAAGCCCCAGGGACACGATCGAAACCTCTGTCTGTGGCGATTCTCCTCGCCATACAGGAAATCATGGCTGTATCGTCGTATAATAAGGCCGCATTACATGTGACCGGTGTACTAAGCATTATTCTACCCTTGTTATTCGACAACAAGTGCGCACCCACAGAGGCCAATTTGCTGAGGGAGCTTGCTGAAACTCTTATCGAGCATGGCATCAACAAGCTGGACGACGCCTATTACCTCTTCCAGAAAGCGTCTGTGTCAGACCACGCCGCAGAGTTTCTGCACCTAGGCATGCGGAAATCACGTGGCCCACCCTTCATTCAATTCGATCTCTCTTTACATGGCTTCAGCGCTATTGAACTACCTGACCTTGGCCGCCCTTTCCCACCCATTTCACCAGGCAGTGGATATACGTTCGCTGCATGGATCCGCGTCGACAAATACGACACCAATTGCCACACAACTCTCTTTGGTGCCTACGACGACACGCAAACATGCTTTCTAATGGCATACCTTGAAAAGGACACACAGTGCTTCATTCTGCAGACATATATGGGTCACTCATCTGGAATCGTGCCGAGTGTTAGATTCAAGAAAGCTCCTCGGTTCAAAGAAGGCCGCTGGTATCATATTGCCATTGTGCACCGCCGCGCAAAGGCCATGACCCTCAATAACGCGAACAAAGCCTCGCTCTACGTCGATGGGGAATTCACCGAAACCATGAAGGCACACTACCCATCCCACCCTCCCGTTCTAGATAGCAGCCAGGACAGTTTCGCATCTCTATCGTCTAGTCGCGGCCACCATCCCATTCTCGCCTTTCTAGGCACCCCTCGTAACCTTGCCCCGCGCTTGGGAAGGAATGTGCTCTGCTCCAGACTGTCCGTGGCGTCTTTTCATCTCTTCTCCGAGCCTCTTTCCGATGAGCTAATCGCCGTGTATCATAAGCTTGGTCCACGATATTGTGGGAATTTTCAGGATAGACTGGGTTCCTTTCAGACATATCGCACCTCGGCTGAGCTGCATGTCCAGAATGAGATATTGCATCCTGGGAAAGAAGAGCGTTCCGACATTGTCACCGCTATCCGTACCAGTGCTGGGTTTCTAATGCCCGAATCCAAAATACTGCTCAGTTTCTCGCCTAGTTCTGTCATGGACGATGATGATCGTAACGCCATTGACGAATCGCAGTTGATCAGATCCTTGTCCAAAGAGTCCGCAAGAACCTTACACAAATTTACAAGATTGCACGGCACCCCCATCATCATCAATGCTGCTGTGCCATCCGTAAATGATGCCTTGTCTCAAACACGGGGTTTTGGCCGGCTATCAGGTGATGCTGTTGTCGTAGTCCCACAATCCCTCGACGATGCTATTTGGCGAATAGGAGGCTGCGCAGCTGTTGGCCTGCATCTGGTGCAAGCTGCGCAGACCTTGGATGCGGTCCTTCGTGCTGTGCACGTGCTTCTTGAGGCGGTTGAAGGTAACTGGCGCAATTGTGAAGCCATGGAGCAAAGTAATGGATTTGCCGTCTTGGCCGAGGTACTCCGGCAGAAACTTGGCGCCAACATGTCGGGCGCAAGCTCCTTGAGGGGATCTGCCTCGATAGATGCGAGCCCGGAAGAGTGCGAAGCCTTTATACTGAAACTCCTGCGTGTGACCCTTCGTTTCGTTGGCTACGACGAACAAAACCCTACAGAGTCACTCATCATCAATCCCCTGGCATATCGCGTGCTCCTCGTCGATCTGGAGATATGGCGCAAGTCGACCAGTTTGGAGACTTTGAAGCTTTACTATAATCAGTTCATCGACCTTGCCAAAGGCAGCAAGCACCACCACTATAACGCTAAGCGGTTTCACCGGATAAGTATGTGTTATCTGTATACAAGGGTCAATACGTTGCTAACAGACACCAGGGGTGGTCAAACGATTGACCGATGCTCTCAAGGGTGAATCGTTCACACACCAGACCCTCCCTCTGTTTTTAGCGGCGTTCAAGGTCTTGCTCCAAACTAATTTCAACGGCGAGAATTCACGATCATTGTCCCTGTTCGTCACTTATGCCCTTCACGATAACCGAGCGTCTTATGCGAAGCGAACTCTGCGGCCTAAAGCGAGTACTGTTCGTCTCCGTCGCGGCACACCGCCCAATCTGACTCCTGGGGCCACCCCTCGGTCACTGAGTCCTGGTCAAAACCCTTCTCTACCACCAGGTCTTCCTCTCGCTGAGTTAGGGGTTTCCGTGTTGCGACTTCTTTCCGAGCTGCTATGTGACCACACCAATGTCGGTGAGATTATTCGGTTTGCCAAAAATGTGACTGGAAAATGGCTGCTTTACCTACTCGCGGAACAAGATCACCGCGTGGTAGTGTTGGCTGCAAAAATTCTAGCCCGTCTCCTCGTCGCCAACGGTCAACATTATGTTAAGAAATTCAGCGAGAAGACTGGTGGATTCGTTCTACTGAAAAATCGGCTCCGTCACTGGTGGAATACGCCAGGTGTCTGGACGATATGCTTTGCCATTCTATTCGATCGGGACGTTGCGACCATCGATTTCGAACGTGACTTCGATGTGCATAACCTAGTAGACATTTTCATCATGCAGTCCCCGCACTCGAAGTTAAGAATCATGTATCCAGAGGTGTTTATGGTGATCGCGGCGATGCTCGACACTGGCCTCCGCACCATTGTGCGAGATCGTGCAAATGGTGAAAACGCAGCCCCTGCCCATGATCCCGCAGATGCCAATGCCACTCGCGGAAGGCGACGAACGATGTCGCTCAATGCCAAACAGCCAACTGTCGACACTCATACCCCGCAATCAGAACGGCTCAATAACTATGCCTCGGTATTGACCTCTGCTATACAGTTTCTATCGGAATTGCATACTCGGTCCAGCGAGTTCCGTGATTACGCAGTGTCTTCTAATTACGCGCAGGAACTCTTGTTCATACTTTACCCAGTCATTGTGACTTCTGACGCCGTGAGCGCAGAAACAGAGCTCCTCTCTAGGGGCTCTGCTTTGACTTTCGAAGGCCAGGATGTCGTCATACAACCTGTATCAAAGAGCAACGCTCACTCTGGCCCTATTGTTCGAACATCCAACGTTAATCTTTCGCCTTCACCTTCCAACCCGCGCGTAGTCCCGCTGAGACGAGCTTCATCATTCGTACTTGTGTCTTCCGATGGACCACCCCAGGACCAGAAGCAAGCACGGGTGCATCCAAATGGTGGACCACTAGCAGTCAAGATTGGCAACACAGTGGTGGAAGCGACGCTTGAAATAGTGCTGCTTGTTTTCCGTGACCAACTTTTCGAGCGCAAAGACTTCTCGGGGCTCGGGCTGTTCATGAAAACCCCTCCAGGATTCCGTGAGCATCAATCTTACTTCGAATCATACATTCTTCGACAGACCATTTCTTCCGTTACAAATGCTCTCCGGTTAGAGCAAAATCTTCTACATGAACCACGAGTCCTAACAAATCTGTCTCGTTTCATCACACATGTCTCCGAGGCTGTGTTCGAGGGCTGGTTCATGGACGGTGCCGAACCTCTCCTAGATTTTGCTGGGTTCCTCCTAGAATACCTTGAACGACCAGACATTGCTAAACTCAAGTCGGTCCGTCTGTGTACACAAGCTATCGGTGTAATACGCACCACTTTCTTACGCATCGTTCTGCTCCGCCTTGCAGAGCCCGATGAGTCGGATGGATTTAACAATGTGCAAGTCGTAGAAAAGATGGTGTACTGGCAACCCATCATTCTGTCCGCCGAAAACACAGAAGGGCAATTCTTGCGTTTGATCAGTTATCTGCTGTACACAAAACTCTCGTCCATTCATGAGACTGTTCGGCTCGCAGCAGCAAATTTCTGGCGGCTTCTCATGGTGCAAAAGCCTGAAGAATCAACGGCCATTTTGAGTCATGCTATACAAACTGATAAGAAGAACCTTTCCGATGGGTTTCAGAAATTGATGGAGTTGGACAACGAGTCGTTTCTCCTCTGGTTTGACGATAACAAAACTGACCTTGACAGCTTCTTCTATGGAACCATATCAAAGGTGTGGGAAGATTATGCGCATGAACAGAACAAGCAGACAGAGCACGCGTCTCAACGAAGAATATCCAAACGAAGAGACAAATTAAAGCAATGGCAGCACGAAGAGCTTACGAATGAGAATACCTGGGCAATCCACGAGAATTCAACGAACCACTGGCGGTCTAACATACACGCCTCTGAGCGCATCAAGCATCAGCGGGTACTCCAAGACCAACAAGAGAACACCACTTTCCTTGGGACAGTCATGTCTAAATTGGACCGCCAACTCAAAGGTCCGTGCGCGCTTTTTGGAGATAGTCCAACGCCTAAGTGGCGTCTGGACGAAACTGAAGGCCGCGACCGCAAGCGAATGCGGACCATTGTCGACAACGCAAGCAGAGACCAGGCATATCAGCCTAAACGCAAAGATACAGATCCGGGGTATAGCGGCAAATTGAAACTAGATACTGCGATCCCTACCATCACGGGCAAAGATCTTGGGCTTACACCTACATCAACAAATGTGCGACCCTCCTCTGCAATGGGTCACAAAGACGGGGTACAGGAAGATGACCCCGATAGTGAGGACGACTTTGAAATGGTGGATGCCATGTACGAAGATGAGGATGGCTTTGAAGACAAGAACCGAAAGGTGATGCGAAGTCTGAATCGCGGAGACCAAGTACAATATGTTTGTAACATCTCCCGCGTTGTGGGATTGGAGGCTATCGAAGGCCTGTTGATCATCGGAAAGGACTGTTTGTATCTATTGGACGACTTCTTCCAAAGGTCAGATGGGGAAATCGTTCGAGTCTGGCAAGCTCCATCCGATGAGCGAGATCCTTACGTGCAGGTAATTGCTGGCAAAGAGGCCGTCACCACCAAGAGACCACCGCCAAGGACACACGATGAAGCAACTCGTCACTGGAAATGGAGCGAGGTAATTAGTATATCCAAGCGCCGCTTCTTGCACCGCGATGTTGCCATTGAAATTTTCTTTGACGATGGCCGGAGCTACCTGCTCACTGCAATTTCCAACAATGTTCGCAACGACATCCACGGAAGATTGGTTCATCGCGCGCCACATGTTGTCAAACCAGAATTACTTGCTAATGCAGAGATAACGTGGCGCTTGGATTCCTTACGCAATCCCGAGGAAGCACCACAGTCGCTGGGATCACGATTTGCTTCAGCGTTCAGCTCTGTGTCTTCGCACCCAATCACCCGGAAATGGGTCAAGGGTGAAGTGTCTAACTTCCATTACCTGATGTTTATCAATACGCTTGCCGGCAGGACATTCAACGACCTTACCCAGTATCCTGTTTTTCCTTGGGTCATCTCAAACTATACTAGTGCAGAGCTTGACTTGACCGATCACAGGAATTTCCGTGATCTGACGAAGCCGATGGGCATTCAAAACCTACAACAAGAGGCTCTTATTCGTGAGCGATACAACTCCTTTCAGGAAATGGGCGATAGCGAGCATGCTTTCCATTACGGTACCCACTACTCGTCAGCTATGACCGTTGCCTCATATCTTATGCGTCTCCAGCCATTTAGTGGTGCTTTTTCGTTGATCCAAGGAGGCACATGGGATCATGCCGACCGCATGTTCTATTCTATCCAAGGCGCCTGGGATTCTGCGTCCGCGAAAAACATGGCGGATGTTCGAGAGTTAACACCAGAATTCTTCTTCCTACCCGATTTCCTCTCGAATGTGAACAGCTACGAATTCGGCCTACGAGCTAGCGGTGAGCGAATTGATGATGTTGCCTTACCGCCGTGGGCAAAAGGTGACCCAGCCATATTCATCGAGAAGCAACGGGAGGCATTAGAGAGTCCACATGTCAGCCGAACCCTTCATCATTGGATCGACTTGATATTCGGTTACAAGCAGCGCGGCGAGGCTGCAGTTGAAGCCGCCAACGTATATCATTGGACTACGTATCAAGGTGCTATTGACCTCGACTCCATCACAGATGAAAAGGATCGCGCGCAAAAAATCAGTATCATCAACAACTTTGGTCAGACCCCCGTACAAATATTCCAACGATCACACCCGCAGAAAGAGGAGCAAGCAACCAAGCTACGTAAGCTAGACACGGCAGCTGAGAGTCTGCATCGCCTTCCCGGTGCTCTCCTGGAGACTGACGACAAAGTTTCCTCGTTGGCATACATTGCTAAAAGCGACAAATTGCTCTGCTCCGCGCCGTTCCGGCATAACATTCCCCCCCATTACGATCGCTACATGGAGTGGGGCTTCACTGACGGAAGTGTGCGCTTCTACGATTCTGCCTCGAAGAAATTGGTTGGTCTCTTTGAGCATCTGCACTCTGGCCAACTGACCGCTTCACTGTTCGTCGATGGTCGAACTCTCATAACAGCCGGGACAGACTGCACGATTGCCATCTGGAATGTTCTTAAAGGCGATAGAGGCCATGTTGATCTTCAAAATGTCACCACACTATTTGGACACAAGAGTCCTGTAGTCACCCTCGCCGCATCCCGCGCTTTCTCGGCTTTCCTATCCGCATCGACCGACGGCCGAGTCTTTCTATGGGATCTCAACCGCTCCGAGTTCGTGCGCGAGCTGGATCTAGGCCCAAGTCAGAGGCGTCATCCTATTCCCGTACAGGGCGCCAGGATCAATAACGTCACCGGTCATATCGTGTTATCGTGCGGACCACGCCTCATCATTACCTCGCTAAACGGCGAGATGCTGCTGAACAAAGATGTTTGCGAAGGAGACGACGACGGCGATGTCAGCGCTGTGGCTATATACGAGGGTGTAGGGAACGAATGGTGCGAGCGCGAGTTGATCCTTACGGGACATCGGAGGGGTGTAGTAAAGGTTTGTGTTTTCCCTTTCCCTGTGGCCCCTTTGATGGCCAGTCCCCTTTTTCATGCGATCGTAAAGCACACTCACTCCCTATTTGTCCTTTTCCTGTCCCTTCTCATCCTGTACCTAACATGACTACTAGATCTTCCACCTCGCGCCATCTTCATCCGCCTCCCATCCACCAACATTGAATTCGACAGACGAAAAATGGAGTCTCAAACTCATCCAGCAACTCAACCATTCCGACACAAGCCGTGGCCCTGAATCAGGCGGCGCCAACTATCAAGCCCCCATCACGTGTATACTGCCGCTGCCGCACAATGTATACACTGGTGATGAAGGTGGCAGAGTGGTACGTTCTACTTTTTATTTTCTCAAGCACTGGTGCAGCAGAAAGCAGGGAGGTGTAAATCAGGTCGAGTGGAAAGGTGGGTTCAAAACGCGCGTTGTTTTGGTCGATGGTGAGAATAGTGGTGAGCTGGTCGGAGAGGGTGGTGTGCGTTCTTCCGATGAAGACAGTGACAGTGACAGAGAGGATGAAGATGATGAAGGTAGTGTATGCGGAAGGATCAGTAGGATGATCAGGAACAGTCTGTGATTGGCTTTTCCCCCGTTTTTTCTTTGCCTTTCTTGCCCCCCTCTCCTTTTCTTCTTTTTGCGTCATTCTTGACTCAGCTTTCTTTCTTGTCTTCGTCTTTTTTTTTCACGTTCGCGCTTTCTATCTTTTCAATCTGGGATGGGATGGTAGAGCAAGTCTTTCGTCGGCCATCACCGTACTAACTGCCACCTGCTGCTGCTGCTGCTGCTGCTGCTGCTGCTGACACCCATCTCCTTTGTTCTTGCTTCTGGGAACTATGTATGCTGACTTTCTTGCTTTTCCAACGCTCTACAGTATCAATGGGATTGTGTGCATCGTCACGCCGGACACTAGCCTTCTCACCATATCCGACCCATCGACTCGAACGCGAAACTCGAGATACGATCAAAGCACAAGACACGGAAATAAGGACCGCACTCAAGCGGGAAAAAAAAAGGCACGGGGATTTGATCTATAGATTTTTAAAATGGGAATATGGGATCTCGCAAATTTTGTCGTGATTATCAATTGCTCGGAGGGAACATATGATGTTGTTATTGCGAGCTGAAACTAGATCATATGAAAAGCGTCGATTGTTTGATAACTGACGCGGATAATTATGTGTGAGACGGTGATGTTTCCTCGCCCGAACAGCTTGGCGTGCAGAAGTATGTGATCTGGAGTGCTCTGGATGATGGTCGCGGCCCGTATTTTCTCATGGTAAGCGCATTGCCTGCACGTCCATGAAATGCTGCTCCCTCTCCATGTCTCGCACTGGTGGTGAGGGCAGACTTTACTAGCACCATCTGCCCGCTTATTAGTAAAGAGGCAGGTATGTAGGAATTTGTAGGTCTATAAAAGCTCCCCTAGTTAGGTGCAGCTGCTTCTAAAGTGCTTAATAGTATACATTATCTGCACCTGCTATATTGACCACTTGCTTGATTGGCTCGTATTCTTGGTTGTATAGATATTGTAGGAACAGCTCTACCACGGCTGGGTCGTCTTCGTCCAAGCTGACCACATTGGTCTCAGCTTCCTAGAAGATTTATCAGCGATAATTCTTTGAGGCTCTCGGTAGATACTTGTGATAGGTGGGGTTCATGGCAATCAATGTGATCTAGCACAACACAGTGCAAAAGGAGAAGATGGCGATATGCCCAAGGACTCAGTCAAGAGGTATGCGTACCTTCCAGTGGTGTTCAAACAGTTTGGCAAAGAAAGGCGATTTTGAGCCAAGGATTAGCTTATGAACCTTTTTTTCAAGGCTTCCGCATTTGATCGTGAAATCTGTGTATTTTCCAGCAGATAGGTAGTCACTGTATGTCATTGTCAGTTGGACAGTTGAGTGGAGGAGAAGACTGTAGTGTACGCACCCGTGTTCTGAGGCCAGAATCTTTTCCTCCTGAGCGGGATCCATGAAGGGCTGTGGTTGTGGAAGTAGAAAGCGTAAGGTAGAAGAGGAGGGAGGGGCAGATATATAGGCAGGCGAGAGCATCGTTACACAAGGCACGTGCGGCACGCTAGATGCAAAGCTTGCTGTGAGAGACAAACAAGTTAGAGAAGTCATGACCTCCAATTGGCTGTAGCGAGCTCACGGTGGGGACGGTGGTGTGCCCATACAGATCTGAAGGCAACTTCCATTGCACGTTACCAATGTAGCAGATGATTTATGAGCAACAAGCACCATTCATGAGTACTACCGAGGGTATATACGCCCCCAGCAAAGATGTTTCAATAGAAGATTCAAGTGAGCCAAGATTACCGTGACTTCCTTTGCTTTAAGGTTATGAGCCTAAATGGCGGGTTCATCACACTGGACTATAATAAAAGCAACTGATCATACGGTGCAGGCAGAGCCCCACGACTCCTCACGATACGTCCGTCTTTGTATCCACATCCAAGATTGGACCACTACTTTCCTATATTTGCGTCGTTTCCGAACTTGCGAGAGTATTAGGAATTCCGTTGCATAGTTATCCGTATAGTTGTGATATGGAAGTTGAGGTTATCCTGGCACAGAACATAGTTACAAAGGCGCAGGTACTAGAAGACGACCGATAACGAGTTTCCATTACACATGCGGGACAAAATTAATCCACTCAACATTAACGTAAGCACTGCCATGAATGTTCCTCAACTCTGCAAATGACTCCACAATCAGATACAATCTCGCTACACCATACACAATTGCTAGGGGCGTGATCGTGGCGAACTCCCACAGCAAAGGAAGCTCCGTCATACTTCTTTTCACAAGTGTTTGTTGTCTTTGCAACATGCGTCGGTTGTGCTTCCTAAGTCCTTCTCGATCGAATACATAGAGATATATGGCTTTCCATCGACCCAAACGCACCCATGATGCTATGATCTCGAAGAACCAGAAGGCGACAGTGATTCCGAATAATAGAAGCGATGAGATACGCCACAGCAAACGCTCAATATTTGTAGGGAAGTCAAAGTTCCACCCCGCGACATGGATCCCTGTGAAAATCAAAGTCGCAAGACACAACAGATACTCTTGCGCTCCATATGGATTCGTGGGGAATCGATCGTTCGGGATTCTTTGAATCGGCCGCTCTGGTGCAATCACTGGCATCTTCATGAACGGCTGAACGTTTACCGAATAGCCTGGCCCATTTTCGTCAACAAAATCTAGCGGGGTTAAGTCCCACGATCGATTCCCTATCATGTCCTCAAGAGAGTATGAAGAGTGAATATGTATAGGCGTCTGCACATCTGCAGGCTTATGAAGCCAAGCATACGATGTCATCAGCGAACATACCACAATGGAAAGCGCGTTGAGTTCGAGGGTTGTGATGGCTAGGCCTTGAATAGCACGTGCTATGCACTGGACGATAAGATAACCGACCTGGAAGGCTGTAACCACTTTTGTGAAGGTATCTTGCTTAGATTTATCCCAGACCTCTTGTCGAGTGATCTTAGGATACTCCACATACCCACGACGAACGAGCCAGCTCAGCTGTAGAGCGTTCAGAGGAAACGGGTCCGCACCTCGAACATGCAGGACAAAACCTCCCATATCGGCAAAAAACGCATGCCGAAGATGCCAATCGTCGCACCCAGAATCCTTGAAGGCTTTCACCGATTGCTTTGCGCGGCTCCATTGACCGGCGGCGTATGTAAGAGGAAACTATGGGCCCAAAATTCCAAGTATCATCCAGAGGATTCGTCGGCGGACCAAAGCATGCCACTTGTCCTGGGGGGCCGGCACATTTAGACACAACATGGTATATGTACTTATACCGATCGAAACGAGTGATGTCCAAAGTATATCGAATGTACCTCTGTATGGTGGCTGTTCGACCCATCCTTGAATGCGAAAAGTCGAATTGTCGGTCAGGAGTCTCGGGTCAAAGTCCAAGAATGGCGCCAGTCTCTTGTTGGGGGGTGATGGATTGGTAGTTTGTCCAAAGCAGAAGCCGACGAAGACTGCGGCAATAAGGAAGGTCCTTTGCGCACGAAAGGAGGAGTCCATGTTTTGCATAATGAATGTCTGCCTGCCATCAAAGGGGCATCGTGTTCTCCATAAACTACGCTGGTGAATAGAGAAGGAAGATTGAGACTGGATCTTGCCATCCCTATCTTACATAGGCTATCCATACGCCGCAGGCGCCAAAGTCCGTCAATCTGCAGTGTGATCATTGTTGACAATATGTTGCATATGCATTCGACGCGGGACGCCTGCATAACCAGGTGCGGAAATCCATACCCATAAAAAGCACTCGATAGTCTTATATGGACACTGATTGGACAAAAATAACGAAGGACAAGCTACAATTCTATCTTTGTCCAATCATAGCTCATACGAGAATAGCCTGTCGCGTCTCGTATGTGTCGAGTTTCCTGATGTTTGATAGGACGGTTTAGCGCTATAGTGGGGGCTGAAACACAACGTAGTTTCATCTCGTTTGCTCGACATCTCTGCTTCTTACTTTTCCGTACTCAATCCATAACTTCATTGACCTTTTACCTTTTCTTCCCATTCTCGGCGAACTGTAACTTGCTTGATCATGCCTACTGCCTCGGCTGTCACCACGCCACTGTTTGGCACCGTCGCTGGGATTGTAGCTGTATACCTTGGATTCGTATCTTTACTCACCATTCCAGTCATCCAAGACCATGTGATATACCTGCACAAAGTTACTTTGACATGGTCGCAAGATGTCAACATCCCAGAACAATGGGGCTTCCTCCGAAACCAAGTCACTCCATTTCACCTCAAGACACCCGATGGGGAGACCTTAAAAGCATGGCACATTCTCCCGCTTCAAACATACCACGAAAACATCGAAGAGCTCAAAAGAGAACCGATAGGTTTATGCGAAAGCATCAAAAAAAGCACCTCAATAAAACTTCTCAAGGAAGATCCAACAGCTCAGTTGGTTATCTACTTCCATGGCGCAGCGGGCACCTTAGGGTCTGGATGGCGACCGCAAAGTTATGGAGCCATGTCCGCCGCAGCACCAAATACGCACGTACTTGCAATCGACTACAGAAGCTTTGGGTCAAGTACTGGGTGGCCTTCTGAAGCCGGGTTACTCACAGATGCACTCACTCTCGCCAAGTTTGCTTTGGATGACGTCGGGATACCACCTGATCGCATAGTCGTCTTTGCTCAATCCTTAGGCACTGCTGTTGCAACAACACTCGTGCATACACTAGCACTACGACCATAACCCACTCTCTTCGCCGGCATCGTTCTTGTCGCACCCATGTCGGACGCCGCAACATTAACAAAAACCTACAAAATTGCCGGGACTATACCACTAATCTCGCCACTGGGTATATACCCACCCCTACTTGCCTTTCTACACAAATTTCTTGTTTCCAAGTGGCCATCTGTACAGCTCATTGCTGCTATGATAAGCCATCTCGACACGTCAGAGCATGAGCTCTCTCGACGAAGTTATGACATCACCATCATACACGCAGAGGACGACTGGGACATACCATGGAGCCATTCGGACACACTCTTCGCGAGCGCTGTGAATGCGATGTCGGGGTCTACGACAGAGAAGATGACACCCGAGGAATTTGCGGCACAAAAAGACAAAAGGAAGATTTCCCTCGATGAAGGTGGGTGGGAGGTAGAATGGACGTCGGTGGGTGGTGCAGTCAGAGAACAGATTGTAAAGTACGGTTTCCATGATCGTATCATGAGCTATCCAGTTGTCAGTCTGGCGATTGCGAGGGCATTTAAAAACGCCCAAGGGAATTTGTTGTAAAAGCTCTGTTGAGGGAGATATGTTATCGTCTGATGCATGGCTACATCTATTCAAGAAAACCCAGTCCAGGCGCCTTCTTCAAGCTTCTATAATCCAGTTTCGCCGAATAAGATGCTTATTGTATAGCTTGTAGACCGCCATTTAGGAGATTAGAAAATAGTTTTTGTGTAAAAGCTGTTAGTCTTGGAGCTTTCGCCATGTCAAAAACCCCTATCGCATGATCATCCACTTCATATACCCCCAGCGACACTATTACATGTCTCACAATCCACTGTCTAGAGATCTTGCACTTTCAAATTTCTTGCAATTTCGCATTATATCAAAGCAAAGCCTCGTACCCTCATGTACTACCACCAGGCTAGACGACAAATTTTCGTCTCTAATTCGCTATCTGTAATGCTCTGTTCTTGGCAAACTGGAGCAACGAATGCATCCAGCTGTCGATGAGGGCTTCCCGTATTTAGTAATCATGTGGTCAGCTTGCTCTGATCTCTCGAGGTCCTTCAAACATAGATTTGACATGACTATAAGCAGAATATAAAGGCTACTGCATAGCGTCTGTCTTCCTGGCGCATTTGTTCTGTATATGAGCAAACCAAAGCTAGCTATCTCATGCATCGACAGAAACTCCCAATATTAGGAGGCTGTTTTTCTTAGCATGACTGCCTTACTCTAGTAACACCCCAGAAATCGTAATGTACGATATCCCGCAGTCTCTCCATAAGCGCTAGCTACCTTCCAAAGAACCAATTTGTCATCACCATCAACCAACCGGGTGGAACTTCTATCGGACAAAACATGAAGCCAAGGCCACCAAAACAGAAAAATCTTAATAATCATCGGACAAATTTCCTAGCAAACAACATAATTCTTCGTACTCATTTGTGCGATGGGAAGGAAACGATGTGCGCTTGTTTGCCCGAAGGACGCACTTCCCCCATCGGGCAAGAAACGGCGGAAGGTCATTACTTGTTCAAAATAGGTCACATATATCTGGAGAGTTGCTTGATGATGAGTTTTCTAGTACAGGCTTAATAGCGCAGTCATTGCTAAATCCCTTACACAGCGAACCTTTTTGTTTTGCATCAGACTTGAGGTCGATATATCAAGACACCCATACTGATATAGACACACCACAAAATCAACACACAATGCCATTCTTCCAACCCTCTGTATCGCCCCTCCCGGAAAACATCTCTCTACGCGGCCAAACGGCAATCGTAACAGGCGCTAGTCAAGGTATCGGCACCGAAATTGTAGCACAGCTCCTCGAGCGCTCCATCTCGACCGTCGTCCTCGCCGTCCGCAATGTCGCCAAGGGAGAAGAGGCGCGCAAAGCGATTCTCGGGCGTCCCAGCGTGAAGAAGGGAATGGATACAAAAGCTGTTGTGAAGGTAATGAAGCTTGAGGCCGAGGATTACGGCAGTGTGAAGAGCTTTGCGGACGACTTTTCAAAGGAGTTTGGTGAGCTGCATTTGCTGATGTTGAATGCTGGGATTGGGATTTTGGAGCGTGAGTGATCTTTCTTTTCATCTGACATTCAACTACTCTTACTATTATTCATCGCGGGAACACCATGATGTGGTGGAAGACAGAAGATGAACTAGCAGAACGCGCACTCCTCCCTACCATGATCATCGTTTCAAGAGAACCCCTACTCACCATCCCCATCTGAAACAACAGGCGACATCCTCCCGACGACGCACGAAAAAACAATACAAGTCAACTACCTCTCCAACGTCCTCCTCCTTCTCCTCCTCTACCCGCTCCTCACAAACACCGCTACCACTACCGGCACACCAACACGCATAACCTGGACCGGCTCCCGCATGCACACCTCCTCCTCCCTCCTGACCGGCAAAAAACCCCTCGCCCCTTCATCCACCGTCCTCGGCCACTTCGACTCGAAAGAAAGCTGGGTCCCCTTCACGCGATACGGCGACAGCAAACTCCTCTGCCTCCTCTTCATGTACGAGATGACCAACCACGATGACGGCGGCAAGGTAGTGCAGAATAGTTTTTGCCCGGGGATGGTGAATACAGGTATGAGCGACGTTTTACCGATTTACCTACGCGTGCCCGTGAACATGGTAAAAGCTTTGCGCGCGAGGAGTGTAGACGTCGCCGGGTGGGTTGCGCTGAATACTGCGGTTGTGGTTGGCGGAGAGTCGCATGGCCAGTTTTATGCTGATAAAGAGGTTGTGGAGTGAGTTCCTTTTTTTTTTCTTTTCACTTGTTCTCCTTTTCTTCATACTTGAGAGGATTCTGGCTGACGAGATATCGATGTTGATAAAGACCTGCGCCGTGGTTCAGGTCTGCCGAGGGCAGGAGAGTGCAGAAGATGTTGTGGAATGAGACGGTGGATGAGATGGCCAAGTATACTAAGGTTCCGGCTTGGATGAAGAAGGTGTGATGGCGGATGCGATTGCATTTTCCAGGAGTTTGATACCAGGGTTTTGTGGTGGCGTGGACGGGTATTACACGCGGGGCTTTTGTCTACTGATGTTCAGTGGAGAAGGCTCATATACTCGTTTCATTGTGAGTATTTGATACTGCCATAAGAAGTTGAAGATCGCGCGCATAGCATGGATACATACATGCAAAGCACGCAGACATGTGAGAAAGTGAGAAAAGAAAAGACAGGCGAACAATAGAATAGGAACAGCAAAAGCAGGCTCCGTGGTCCATTCCGAACCTCCATGTTCGACCTATATGAAGTTGAACAACAACAAAGAAAGAAGAGGAAACCTCATAATACATACAACCTTTCCCTTATACCCGTGTCCCTTTGGATTATCATCTAGCAACCCTCTGACTCTCCTCGACAAACTCAAGCGCCCTCTCTTTACTATAAACACTAATCTTACTGTTCATCTCACCATAGGAAACAGCATAACACTTATCAGCAACATGCACCATCTCTGGTCTGAACGTCGTACAAATGAACTGTCCACCACCTTCTCCACCCTCTCCTCCTTTGCCAGAGAGCTTCCTCAGCATCTCGGCAACGGCAGAACGGTACTGGGCGTCGAGATTGGCGTCGATTTCGTCAAAGAGGTAGAAGGGCGCAGGGTCGCACTGTTGGATAGCGAAGACGAGAGCGAGGGCACAAAGAGCTTTTTGGCCTCCCGAAAGTTGCTGGATGCGCTGTTGCTCGTCATGTTTGGAGTTGAAGGATACGGCGATGCCAACACCGGTGTAGTTTTCGACAGAGGTCTTGCCGCGGGCAGCGGCAGCGGTGGCAGGTCCGTCAGCATCTGAGTCCGAGTCGTGTGCGGCGCCACGGGCGGCTTCGCGATCGGAACGTCGTTGGATGATGAGGCGGCCGGTTCCTGCGGGTACGAGTTGCACAAACACTTCTTTGAAGTATTTGGCGACTTGCTTGAAGGTGCGGGCAATGGCTTCGTCTTTGCGCTGGTCGAGAACTTCGATGAGAGTTTCGATGTGGTTACGGGATTCGCTCAAGTCGTCGCGCCGCGAGGTGAGGGCTGCACGCCGTTTGGTGAAGTCCTCGTACTGCTGGAAGGCTTTCTTGTTGACGTGAGAGTACTTCTTGAGCGCCTTGTTGGCCTTGTCCAGTTCGGTGACAAGCTGAAGAACAGTATTAGCAAACATTTGTGATGGTGAAAATCCAGAAAGCTTACCTTGTCGTTGCTCCACCTCGTGTACTTTTGATAGGCCTCGTCCGGCAGTGTGCCGAGCTCGCGAATGTCTCGCTGTATCGCCGCCAACTCATCCCGATACTGTGCTCGCTTTTGCAGACTCTTCTCCATGCCCTTCTTGTGCCTCTCAATCGAACGCGCCAGGTTGCGATTGCTCGTTTCTTTCTCCGTTCTAGCTTCCTCCAACTGAATCAATCTCGTGTTGACTTCCTCGCGGCGGGCTTCGAGCTCTTCGAGCCTCCGATCGAAGTCAGCGACAGTCTTGTCGATGTTGTTGAGCTGTCGCTGGGCCTCTTTGAGACGCGTCGACTGGCTACCACCACCTCCAGGACCTGCTTGTTGCTCGAGCAAGCGATCGAGGCTTGGTTGTAGGTTCTCGCGGATTTCAACCTCCATGTCGGATTTCCTCATCTCCAGTTCAGAGCGCTCTTCCGAGAGCGTAGCAAATTGTTTCCGCAGGTCGCGAATAGTGCCGCTAAGTGATTGCAACAGCTCTTCTTCGTCCCGCGTCAAAGCTTTCTTGAAGTCAGATGCTATCTCGTCCTCCAGATCGCTCTGTTGACTGCCCAGCACGTTGACTGCTGAGGCCAAGTCTGCCAATGTCCTCTCCATTTCCTCCAGTAGCGCCTTCTTTCGTCTCAATTCGTTTTGTTTCGTGCGAAGCTCGTGTCGCATGGGAGCATAGCTGTCCTCGGCGTGGTTCTTGCGATATTCTGCTCTCCGCACCTCGCTAGCTGCTTCGTTGAGTTCCTGTCGACACGCGTCCATGTCGTGTTTGACCCCGTCCTGCTTCTCTCGCAGCTCCTCAACGTGACTTCGTAATTCGAAGACCCGGTGGTATGCGTCCAGCTTTGAATTCCTGGGGTCAAAGTAACCGCCGTGATAGCCTCCCTTCTTCTGAGCACGATCTCCGTCAGGTGTCAGAGCTATCACGTCATGCGACCGCACGAAACTCTGGCATATGCTCAACTCCGGGCAGACAACGACATTGCCAAAGACTTGACTAAAGGCTTTGGTATATTGTGCCGCGAACTTCAGTTTGGGAAGCAAAGGCTGGGCGTCGGCTGTGTGTGGAACATTGCCCTGTCTTGCTTTGGCACGATTGAGCGGGATACAGGTGAGACGGCCACCTTTCTCTTTGTTAAGTAGGTTGATTACTTTTTCAGCCGTATTGTCGTTGTCTACTATTACGTGGAATAGAGAAGGTCCGGCGGCGACCTCTGCAGCAATCTTGTACATGTCATTGACCTCAAGGAGTTCGGCTACAGTGCCGTGCACACCGCTGAGATTGTGGTGTTTCTGAAGGCGACGTAATGTCTCCAATCCCCGGCTTGTAGCGTGATCGAGTAGATGTGAAAATTCACGCTCCGCATTCTGTAGTTTCCTCTCCGCAGTGTCGACTTCTGAGTGCATGCGGCGTTCTTGTCGAAAGAGTTCGTTCTGTCGGTCACGAACAGCGTCCTGGTTGTCCTTTGCTTTTTGCAGCTGCTCGGCCAGGTTGATACTGTTGTCGCCCTCGTTATCCAGGTTCTGTTCTAATCTTTCAATATCAGTTTCCAGGGTCGCTATCTCTTCACGAACACCTGCCGTGTCTTCGGTGGTCTGCATCTGTATGGATTTCCGCGTGGCTAGATCCACGGATATCTCGGCAATGCGCGCGCGCAGCGCATCGTCACGTTGGCGTTTATTCGTATACATCGCTGTGCGGCCCTGCTTGTCCTCCAGGCGTTTCTGCTGGCCTGCAGCTTCTGCAAGCTGAGAGCGGACTTCCATTTCTTCAGCTCTCTTCTCAGTATATTGTGGAACCAGGCTCTTAAGCTCCTTCTCACGGTTACTGATTTCTTTTTGTAGCTTCTTGATCTGGGTATCGCGCTGACGCTGAGCTTGTTGAACCGCAGACTGCTCGTCGGAGAGATCATTGAGCTGAAGCTCGATTGCGGCTTTATGGCGCGTGGCATCGTTGCGCTCGCCTTCGAGCTGGGAACGATCGGCTATTAGCATGTCCAGTTCGCCTTTTAGATCACCAATCTCGGTATCGATCTCGGCAATCTCTTCCTCGGTCTGCCGAAATTGGCTGTTGTGGCCATCGACATCGGCCACGCCGTTGTGTCGGTAGGCGTCGATGTTCTCGATTTTTTCCTGCAGTTCAGCCTCCTGACGTGCATTCATCGTATACAGGAGCGCCCTTCGCTCACGATCGCTCTTGTTCCAAGCTTCCAGCTCCTTCTTCTCGCCCTCCAGCTCCTTCAGGCGTAGATTGATGTCGCTAACGAGGTCGTCGATGCGCGTGCATCGGTTTTCGGTTTCGGTCATGAGCTTCAAACTGTCTGTTCGCCTCTTTTCGTACACGTTTGATCCCGATATTTCTTTTAGCAAGTTCAGTCGCTCTTCATCCTTCATGTTTGTGATGGCGGTAACACGGCCTTGGGGCACGATATAGAACGGATTCGATCGGGACAATCCGGCGGCTTCAAGCATGTCGAATACTTCGCGCTTGGTCGTGCTCTTTCGGTCCATAGAGTATTCATCCTTCTTTGCTCCAATGGTGCGGCGGAGTACGAATTCGGATTTGTTATTGTTCTGGAAGCGACCGTCGGTGTTGTCGAATACGACCTCGACGTAGGCGGACATGACGGCAGACCCAGATCCTTCGTGAAGCAAAGCCTGCCGTTCTTCCCTTCCCAAATTCTCATAGTCGTCTCCTAGCACGAAGCGTACTGCAGCGAAGAAGTTACTCTTGCCAGCGCCATTGCGACCGACGACTATGTTCGTCTTGGGCGAAAACGGCTCGATCTTGGTCTGATCCTTGTAGCTCTTAAAGCCCTGGATGGTGATTTGCTTAATGTACCCCATTGCGACCCGTCGCCGAGGGGCGATTTAATATCGTGTGAAGTTGTGCAAGTGAGGGATTGATCTCGGGATATTAGCTCAAATTCAGGCGACTTTAAACATGACGTGTGGAGGGGAGATGTGTGGTGGAGAGTGGTCGTGAGCAGTCCTCACCCGCCGCTTTCTGTTGGAGGACGCGACACGCGACGCCCGCCCGCGTGTTTTGCCAAGGCGCGCCAAACTCCGATCGGCGCGGATCAACCATCTCTCCCGCTTGACCTGACGTCCGTTCTGACGACGCTGTGATGTCTTGACGGCAGTTGAGAAATACCAGTGTTGAACAGAACACTGCGGTAAGATGCGAATGTAGACCTAGCTTCATGTGTTTCTCTAGGAACAACCGAGCATCATAGGCAGACACGTCCCGAATTCAAATATCATGTAGTAGTAATGGAAAGTTATCATGTACTCTTATTTCGTTCATCTATCTCCTCCCACATATCGATCTATACAACGTAAAGAAGATGCAGAATGCAAAGCGCGCAGAAAATGCAAGAAACGAGAATGTGGTATATAGTATCTACAAAAAAAGAAAAAAAGAAGAGGGAAACACGACCCACGCAGCCGGACATGGAAAGACGAACCCCCCGAAAAGAGCGAGGATGAACGAGAAAAGAGAATCTATACACATAGAGACACGATTTCACATTCAGGCCCGAAAGAGGAAAGGGAAGTTAAGTCTTTGTTTGTCTCCATCGCTATGCCCCATTCGCGCATTTACCATAAATGATTAAACATTCAAACCATCGAAACCATGAATATCCCTTAATATATGTCAGATCCATTGAAATTGAACATGGTCATCTTCCCGTCATGTCCATCTGCTACTCCGTTGTCGATTAGAACGCTTACAAAGCGAACATGGCAACAGCGCCGACGAGAGCCATGAAGGTTGATGCAACCGCGTTGCCAGAAGCGCCGTTGACGTTCAAAGCAGGGGTTGAGGAGTTTCCGGGCGCACCAGTGGGCTTAACGACACTGCCGGTGGAGGCGGGCGCAGTAGGAGCAGCAACGCTGGGAGGAGTGCGGCTATCGGTCTTGATGATGGGGTAAGGAGGGAGAGTGCTTGAGGTGGCGACGGGGGCAGAAGAGGTGGCAGGGGCAGAGGGAGGAGGAGTGCCGGTCATGGTGATGGTGAGGGTTCCCTCGCAGCCACCGCAGTCGGACTTGTCACCGCCAGCACCAGAACCGCTGGAACCGCCAGCACCGGGCTTGTCGATGGGAGCAGTCGAGTTGGAGGATCCAGCGGGAGCGCCAGAGGGCTTGCTGCCGGAGGAACCGCTGCCAGAGGCACCGGAGGGCTTGTTCACGGAAGACTCAAGAGGAGGGGAGGAGTCGCTGCCAGTGGCTGGGGCAATGACCTTGTCGTTGACATCAGCACCCTCCTTCTTTCCGGGCTCGATGACCTTGATGCTCTGGTAGGAGCCGGTCTTGTCGGTCCACTCGTACTCCTTTCCGGGAGAGTAGTTGATGATCTTGATGCTCTCAACGGTCTGGGTGAAGGGAGCCTTGGAGTAGTCGGGCTTGCCGCCGGCCCACTCAACGGTACCGGGGCTGTCAGAGTCACCACCAGCCCAGATTCCGATGCGGACGTTGGAGGGGGTCTGGGGGAAGTTCTTTCCGCCGTTGGCCTCGGCGTACTGCAGGGTGCGGACGGGCTTGTCGTCGATGATCCAGGTGATGGCCTCGGCGGTCCAGTTAAGGGCGTACGTGTGCATCTCCAAGTGGCTGGAGATGGGAGCCTCGATCATGCGGTCGTAGGTGGTGGTGTTGCCCTTTCCGAAGTAGTTCATCTGGACCTTGCTGGGGACGGAGCCAATGTACTCCCAGTCGACCTCGTCAAGATCCTCAGACTGAAGGACAATGGAGGAAACGATTCCGGCGCCAGCGGCGGCCTTCATCTTGACCTCGACGTAACCGAAGTGGAGGTAGCCCTCAGACTGGATGGTGGGGGCATCGCCCTTCTTGGCAAGAGTGAACTCGGCACCATCGGGGCCGTACTTGAGCTCTCCAGCAGTCTGCTTCCAGCCCTTGACGGCGTCCTTGCCGGCCTTGAAGTTGGTCTCGAAGGTGGCGGCAATGGCCGGGTCGTTGGGGCAGTCCTTCTCCATGGGGTTGCAGGCAGTGAAGGTTTGAGCGCTGGCGAGAGCCAGGAAGGCGCTCGCGGAAAGGTAAAGTGTGGAGCGCATGGTGGGTGGTTTTGTGCGTGTAGTTTTGATCGACGAGGTGGTTGGTTGTGTGTGGTTATGTGTATTTACAGGAAAGCAGGGGAAGCTTCGCAGAAGTAACAGGTCAAGGGTGGTGGGTGAAAAGGTCAAACAGAAGGTGTGTGAGTGAATGAATGAACGGGATCGAAGGAGCCCTGGGTGTGAAAGAATGAATGTACCAGTACGGGAAACGTGCTGAAGGTCGGAAAATGGGTTTCAAAGGGAGGGTGGACGAGCTGAGCTTTTAGAGAGCAAACCAGGCAATCCGTAGAGCAACGAGCTAAGGCAAAGGACGAAGAGAAATGGTCAGAAAGGGAAATGGAGCATGTAAGAGTCCGTAGGAGCGCGGCGGACAGGCTCGCTATTAAAAGGCGGCGCCGAGTCCGCAGGGTAATCTCCGCAGCAGAGCACATCACGGGCAGTAGGGGCAGGGCATCAATAGCAGGGCAGGGCTGGGGACTGTTTCGAAACCGGTGGCAGCGCGAGTGGACGAGAGACGCTCTGCAAACTTTGGCCTTTGGTCCCATGGAAGCCATTCAGTTGTGCGTTGCAAGCGTGTGGCGCCCGGCTGCCCCTGTGCCTGGTTTCAGCTCCCACGGCCATGTGGACACTGGCGCGCTTCAGAAGTCTGTCCTGTCAGGGGGGCCATCGCCAATCACTGCGCCGGCGTGCCTGGCCCTACGAGCTCCATATAACGGCCGATGAAATGCCAGACGACCCTTTGTTTTTTGTGGGCGGCCCGCAAACTGGTCGTGTTTTCTTCTTTTGCGCAATCTTCCCTTGGTCCCTAGTGGGTGAATGAAGATGGGTGGTTCTGGTGGTGAAGATGTTAGTGGCCATGTAGCTGGATGGTGGTGATGGGTCGGCCGTCGTGGTTGTGAAGCGCCAACTCGGCACCCGCCGGCAGCAGCAGCAGCAGATTACGAGAGGCCACAGCCACACCCGCCTGCCTACGTATGCATGCACACACTACGCACTGCATGCCTATGTTACCACCCAACCTACAACTTTAATCACGACGTGCAACTGATGAACCGCCGCTCCCCGAGTGCCCCACGGCAGAAGAAGAGCAGCAGCCGAACAAAATGATCCAACGGCCTACAGTCCCCAGAGAAAGTGGACCGCACACACGCGGCGGCTCGAACATCTTACTCTCCTCTGACAGACTGTCATCGAACGCCCGAACACGAGCCCCACAGAGCCTCATGTCGTGACATTCGAATCCCACGGCCCCGGATTGCCGCTGTGCGAGTCAAGGCCTTTTTTTTTTCCTTTGCAACCATGGAACCTTCCATCGGCTACGCGGCCTGCTCATCGCTATCGCCGTTTGCTTGCGACATCCACAATCACCTTTCCCCCTCGTCTGGTGCTGCCGTTCTTCCCTGCACTCAAGCTGTAATCAAGTGGCTGTGGCTGGCGAAGTGCGCGCGCGCCTGCGTCAGGGCTGTGAGAGTTGTGACGGTCTCTACGGAGAGGCCGGTGAACCTTGGAGGATCAGCAAACACGTCCTTCTCCCTTTCTGTGAACTGCCTTCTTCCCCGAAACAAATAATCTGAGGCAATCTTGCAATCGTCCTCGACGTGTGGCTGGCTGACTGGCTGACTAGAATCGCTCATAGTCTGATGTTGTAGCCCTGCATCAATCTGGTACATGCCCCAGCACTCGCTCGTCTCATACATCGCTCACCTCACCCTTTCTTTTCTTCCCCCGTCAGCCCATATGCTACATACTGCTAGTCTGACTCTTAGCATACACTGCTTATTATCGTATGCATAAACGCATTCGTGATATCGACCAGGCTGGCTGAAGAGACAAAAATTGACTGCTGCTGCTGCTGCTGTCGTAGACTCGTGGTGCCCATCGTTAGAAGCCGTAGCGTGCTACACCGCCCCAGGGCCGCGTGAAGACGGCGCACGCCACCAGCTCTACAGCAGAAGCACCCAATCTCCCCTCCATGACTCCAAGTGACGGCTGCAATCTGCCTGCCCACCTCGCGGGATACCTTCCTGGCGGCGCAAGCAACCAGAGACAGAGCAAACCGGGAGAAGAGCAATCGTGCCCTTACCCGCTCTCGTATATACTTAGCAATGCATGCTTTCGGTCATGGTGGCCGCCTGAACAGGGAGTCCGGGGAAGGAACGTTGATCACCTGCAGCCAATCTCAATCTTCAGCTTAATGTTACTTCAATCCCACAGCGCTGCTCAAGGGATTGTTCGAGGAATCGAGCAAACACACCTTCCCTTTGAGTGCGTGCAACATGGAAATTGTCATGGGAAAAGGTGCGAGGCTGTGGAAATTCGAAACGTGTAGCCAACTCTAGTGACTGTACCGACAGCATACTTGTGTGCAGTCTGGACCGCGCGCAAAGACAAGGCTGCCTGGCCTGATGATGATTTTGAGTAAGCGGAGATTTGTTAGCATGTACCTTGTTGCTCCTCAGTAGTTGTCCATCATCTGTGCAAGATTCGAACCCGCACTGCAATTACTTTTCGTGCGCAACACAGCTTCCAGTACTGGCGTGGTCAAATCATGACGCGATAGAACAGAACATCTGAGTCGTCGAAACACTTCATTTGCGTGTATTAATATATCGCACCTCATCTATCATCAAACAGATCAGCTCAGACGAACCCCGCGCACAACGAAGAAAAAATGAGAAGGACTATAAGACACGCCCACGCAACAACGCGGCGCGAGCAAAACACGCGGAAATCAGAGCTATCTTGGTTTCACACATTGAGGCCGGAAATAGAAGAAGATGCCGATGTGGAAGGACCTCAATACACCCACCTCCCATCCGTTGTCTCCATTTCATGGGTTATGGTAGAGTTGGGTTGCTAACAAGCCCGAACCCAATGCCAAACCGCATGATGGAAGAAAAGGATATAAGAGTGGGTGTGTAGAAATCAACCGGCTTCTTTCCTTTTTCGCACCTCTGCAGGTCAAGTGTATGGAGTCACCTCCAGTCATCATTTTTTGGCATGTCGCAAGCAAGGAAAGATACGATGAGAGGCACATACCGTGATACAGGCTTGGCCCTTGCGGCAGTGGAGATGTTGTTTGTTGTTGTTGTGTCCGTGGATGGGTTACAAAGTAAGCCGGTATATCCGGTCGACCCGCATCAACAGGTAAGGCGCGAACGATGATGGCAGTCATGGTTTCAGCCTCAGGATCTCGTGAGTAAAGCGCATTGTGAGGTGAGGTGTGCGAGGTCTGCAGTTTGATCAGCGTAGCATAGTAAGTGGAACACGGGGTTCGCTGTCTGTCAAATGCAAAATTCGGCCCGGCGGCTGAGTCATCAACGCCCGCCATCAACTGCTTTTCTCCCCGCAAAACACAACCTTGTACCCATTTCATCAGGCTTGTCATCATGTACATCATATGTGTGTCAAATATCGAGGTCTCAGGTTCGAGTAAACTCTCAAGCCTTGCTCTTCGTCGTTCAGCGAATGACTTTGTAACCTTATTGGCCATTCTCAAACAAGCAGTATCGGCATCATACCTCTTTTGGTCTTCAAAGTATCCCCCCACTTGAGAGGATTTTTTGCATAATCCAGATATCTCTTACAACCGTTTCGAAATTTAGCCTGTTCTGGCTCATCGATAGAACTCGTGCAAGCGGTTGGTCGCCAGCAAATCACAACGCCATATGATCAAATGACAATCAATTCTTCCATGCTGTTCGCGCTCATCCTTTGACCATACTAAATAGTGTATCGAACACCGATACTCGTTATTGAGCTCACCCCAGAGAACATTGATGTGACCGAAACTATCAATACCCTGCGATATCAACTTTTAATATTCACTGCTTCGGTGACGTTTCTGTCTCTTCCGATCTTACCTTCCATTCGCTCTGGTGTAATCATACTTCCCAAATCAACATGTTGTTGCGGCGCGCCTTTTTTTGTACTCATCTTGATACATGCATCCATACGGTACAAAAAAATGTTGAGGAAATGTCTCATATAAGATCTTGCAATTCGATGAGCCAGTGTCCGGCAATATACGACACTTGAGTACAGTTAGCGTAGCACATGAGGACTTGACAAGATGAACTTTCAAATGAGACATGGCGAATTATACACGTTCGTAGGTATTAAACGATGAGTCAAAGCCAATATCATGGTACACAAATCTATCGTCTTTTCCATCGATAGCAATGTGGTGCATCAATGTGAATAATTCCTACTTGCTCTACCGACCAGACCTACTCGAAATTTCTATGGTACCTGTAATGATGCGGGAATAACAAGGCTATCGGCCTTATTCACGGCGTGTGCGCATCACAATTCTTGGGTATTTAGTACATGACAGCTCTCGGTAGATCATCCATGCCCTCCTTCTGGTTCCAGGTCAAACCTCAATCGACATCAGACTTACACATTGGAAAGGTTTTCAATAGTATAGGTAATGTTGTATAGGGACCAGAAGGTACGATATCAATTCTCGCATGCAGAGATCTGCTGCAAAGCGCCGCCCTACTTCCTGTTTCACATGCACTGTGTATAATGCTCACAGAGTCGTCGCATCGATTATTTTCTTGCACACACTGTCATTCACGTCATTCTATTGGCTGTCTTTGCTGACAACGGATAAACTAACTCGTCTAGGAAATCAAATGACATCATTAACATCTACGAGCATCGAACTTAACCAACAGCAACTCAGTCGTTAGTTCGGCCAAATTTCGCCGCGTCGTTTGCAGATTTCTGGAAGTGGAATTAGTGTCGACTTGGCTTCAGGTTCACGGGTTTTCATAACCCCCGAAGAGAGGCTTCGGGCGCCATAAGGTCCCGAGTAGATGCAAGATAGGTGGGACAACTTTGCGCTACGATGGATAAATACACGATAACAGCCCCCGACTTCCAACGTCGCAAACTGTGCATATTACCAGACCATACTCTTAGACAAACTTTGTCAATCAACTTTGTTCGATTTCCTTTGTCCAAGGTTGTGAAGTGCAACAGAAACTACAATGGCGCAGAAACCTCTCAAAGTCCTCGTATGCAAACTCAATTCATGGCGCCCCGACTTATCTCGGTTGTTCTTTTGCTGATCAGCAATGACTAGATATCAGGCGCTGGCGTGGCTGGCTCATCTCTGGCCTTGATGCTTGCGCGACATCCCAAACTCACCACCAAGCCCATTGTCACCCTCATCGAGAGATCACCAGTTCCCCGCACTACCGGACAGGCCATTGATATCCGGGGCCCTGGAGTCGGTGTGATTCGAAAAATAGGTCTCGAGGAGAAGATTCGCGAGAAGCATACGACTGAAAAGGGAATTTCAATTTTGGGCAGGCAGGGCAAGGAAATTGCGCGACTCGACGCAACTGGGGAGACGGACAACCAGAGCTTTGCGACGAGCGAGTACGAAGTGCTGAGAGGGGAGCTGGTGCAGGTTTTGATGGATGAGATTCAGCTGACAAAAGAGGCTTCAAGTTCTGGAAATGGCGTGTATACTGTGTAAGTGCAACCCTGACGTAGATGTTTCTTGATTGTCATAAACTGGCTGAGGTACTGACCATGAAATCGGTGTATAGGTACGGCGAGATGATTGAGTCATTGAAACAGGATGACGACGGAGTCATGGTCAACTTCGCGAACGGAAAAGTCGATGCCCAAAAGTTTGACATGGTTATCGCAGCAGATGGCATGGGCTCCAAAACCAGATCAATGATCTTCACAGACAAAGCGTACCAATCGACAGAGTGCACCGCATCTCTGGGGTGGTACATTGGTTACTTCTCCGCGCCCCGACAAGAGTTTGATTCAGACTACTGGCGCTGGTACCATGCTCCTGGCGGATTGTGTATCCACGTGCGACCTCACCGTAACAAACAGACGGTTGGTGTGTATCTCTCGGTATGACTATCTACATGAGATCCCTGGATGTGACAAATGTGGCAATGACTAACCCCGTCACTAGGTTGTTAATTCAGAAAGAAGACGATACCCGGAATACGACGAGATACTCGCCCAAGGTGTGGAAGCGCAGAAGGCCCTGCTTCGCAAACGCTTTCAAGACATCGGTTGGAAAACCAACCACTATCTAGATGAGATGGATAGGGCAGACGATTTCTACATGCAACAGACCGCTCAAGTCCGAACGCCCAAATGGACCAACGGACGAAGTGCCATCATCGGAGACGCAGCGCATTGCACCATGGGTATTGGGACTTCTCTGGCATTCATGGACGCGTATATAATATCCGGGGAGCTTTCCAAAATGGAGTCAAATAGCAGCGAAGAAATTGCTGCAGCGCTGGAGCGGTACGAAAGTGTTCTCCGAGGATACTATGAAAAGAACTCGAAAATGCCAGCGGGTTTCCCGCAATTGGCAAATCCTCAGACTCAGACTGGAGTCGCTGTTCTGCATACGGTAATGAAGGTTATGAATGTGCTCAAGCTTGATAAGTTGATGCAAGGAGCGTTTGATCAAGACGAAAAGTCATGGAAGTTGCCAGAGTACGGTTGGTGATTTGCGACGGATGGTACGAATTGTGAACGAAGGATGGTATTTTTGTTGTTTTTGGTTACCTATACTTATTTTTTCCCGTAGCATCTTTTTTCTTAGGCAACTGCGCTTCATAATGTAAGATCATCCTCAGACACCGTAATACAAACTCGATTAATTCAACTGTTAGAGCCATAGAGCATTCGAAGACGCCATCAAGGACATTAGTCCAGAGCGACTACAGCAAAAATCATGGACTCAATCCAACACAGCGACATGGTTCCAGTCTCCACTCCACTCCAGGGACATAAAACCCGGATCAGGAGCCTCCCAACCTTCTTTGTAGCTACAACTCGGACTCAGAGGCCCCGAAAAACACCATCTTGGTGCCTGGTGGCCCTCCATAGTGGAAGCCTCAGCCGCCCTCGACGCCTTCCGGCACGGGGCTCCCATGTAAACTTGAGAAGGACATAGGCTATATGTATAGTGATTGCAACTATTTTCGCCAATCACGATTCCCATTCCCTGCCGCATTTTTAGCCATGGACATCATGTCTCCAACCAACCACGCAAATCAACGACGTAGGCATCTTAGCCGACCGCAAGAACTTCCGTCAGATTCTCGATTTCGTAGCAGGGAGGTTGTCCCTCGGCGATTGGAATTTCGTGTTTTCAAACAACATGCTCCTTATCGTGAAGACAGAATTCACCTCCAAGAGACACGCAGTCGGCTACGGGCACAATTTCGAGAAAGGTCACGTATGCTTTTCCCGGAATGGAAGATGCAACAAGCCACTATAGACTGATCAAACAGAGAATGGCCGCTAGTTCGAAGTCTGAAAACACTGTAAAGGTCTGCTCAGACAGTTAATTTATCATGAATCCAACAGAAGCTTTGAATATGCAAGCTGATAACGGCCTGGAGATCTTAGGGACGTTCCGACAGTATAAGAAGCAAGATGGCAGAACGAGATCCTATACTCTTGTCGATTATGCGCCCACAAGGGACTAGCTGCCGATGCTTTCAAGCAGCCCTGATTTCTCTGCAAGTCACTGGTTATCCCCAGGGTGTGTTATCAACGAGGTTTGCGCATCCTCTGATGTTTTCTTGTATTGCACAATATGACGAAGATTGACAGTGATATAAGTTTGATTTGATGAACCAGCATACATTATACTAAATCAATGCACATGAGAATCGTAACCATTTGCGTGATCCCAAACCAGAAAAATGACAAGACGTAAAATAAAACTCCAAGGCAGAATGCACCCGCTCCACAATGACTATTCAAAAAAGAAATGCGTTCGCTTCCGTAAAACAAGATTCCCATGAAACATCCTCCTTTCTCCAGTACCTCCTCAGTGAGCTCCCCATGCGCATCGGACAGTGTGCCCCAATCTTGTAGCTCAATTGCTGAAGCGACCTCTCGATCCACGAGCGGACGGCTTCACTTCTGTATCCGGCTTCGACACCGGCAACTAACAACCCAAACGCGAGATGCTTTTGAAGTCGGTCTACTTTGATGGCGACCTCAAGTTGGACCAGCAGGTTATCGGCATGGTCGCTTAGTTCAGCATTCATGGCGGTGGATTTTGGCAAGATGTCAAGAGCCTGCGCCGCCATGATGCAGTAGACGGCCATTGCTGATCGATAGACTTCGCCGATGGTGAGCCAATCATCATAGTTGGGCCCCGGCTGCGCCCAATCCTTTACGGAGAATTCGTTGATGCGCGTTAGGATTTCGTGAGCGGTTGCCGAGAATCCTTCGATCTCATGGCCGTTTTTGATGGCGAGGGAGGTCTCGTGTCGGAGATAGTGGATGCGGATCATTTCCTCAAATAGGGATGGTGGGGTGAGACAGTAGGGGAAGATCTCCTCGTACATTGTTTTGACATTGACGAGGTGCTCCTCCTTGGATGGGTTGAGAACCATTTGGTCGTAGGCTGGGGTGCAGCAATTCGCGAAAATGACCACACTGCAATTGAGTTAGGCGGTTGCAAAACAAACAGCATCTATGGAAGACTTACTAGATGAAGATGGTAATGCAAGGGCGAAGGTGGAGGCCAGTGTAGTAAACATTCATCAAGCCTCCTTGCATTTGAAGAAGGCGGAGGAGGCCATCGGCGTGTTGGCGCCACATGGATATGCCTGTCTGCTGCAACTAAAAACGGTCGTTAGCAATCAATGTTGCGGATACCACTCGTGCGAAAAGAATTACATACTTCGCAGCACATGAGCATACACACGCTCACCACGGTACTGTCGGCGGGGCTCTTTTGCGTGGTAAGGCGGCGACTTATCTCTCTCAAAGCTGAACCGCGATGATGCAGAATCTTTGTGGTGGAAGTAGCCGCGACCGCCCTGGATTCGGCGGGGGGGAGCGAAAAAGTGTAGTGGGATAGGGTCAGGCAAACAACGGTATGATGGACAGCAGGGGGGAGTAAATGCAATGCAGCTACAGGGAATATGATGAGATGCGGATTGGGTACCAGCTCGTCTGCAGTTTTGAGCTGAGGAAGTACGCGCATGTTGACTAGACACACGGATGGATAGATTAGCGCACCACGCTATGCATGAAGTATAATGCGGGAGGATCTGCAGGGTGTTGCAACATACAGTATTCTACGGACTGGACGACTTCGCTCGTTTCACTTCGAAGTTCATATGCGGGGACACTATCCAGATTCATGATTTGCAGCGCCAATGTTAATCTCTCTAGTGGACCCTTGGTGCCGTAAGGAGTTGATGTGGGCTTGACGCGCTTGCACCCTTCGATGGCCTTCTCGACAGCTCGTCGATTGGTTTTGGAGAAGACCTCCTGAACGTTGCCATCGAGCCTGTACTTGAAAACGACATTGTCAAACTCGTCAGCCAGCTTGGAAATGTACTCGGACTGCTCGGCATGAGAGCTGGCATCGCCATCTGCTGCAGGATCGGCTTGCAGACAGCTCTGGGAGCGGATCTGATGGTTCAGCTGGGCGGTTGAGGGGGATTCCTTGCGGCGCCGTCGCGACGTGACCTTGCCCACTGCCACCCACTGAACCGGCCTCTGCTCGCCATAACCAGGGCACTCTCTGCCTTTTGAGATGCACTTGCGGCAGTGGGGCAGAGTGAAATCGCACACCAGCCTCCGCTTGACACACTCCCAGCACTGGCGACTAGCCTTGTTGGCGGCGCGGTGCCCGGGCGGCGGGCTCATTATGATGGATGGATGGGTGCTGATGATGAAGGCGGCGTGGGGTGGAGAGGTTGGGAGGGGTAAGTTCCCACCAGGTGAAGCTAGGTGCGGAAGGATAGAGAAATGCGGGTAAAACAGGCCAGTTACTGAGGGCGACGAAGCCAAATGGGGGTAATACGGCGCGTATTGGACCGGTCAAGTGGATGGGCAGAGCGGATGGCTGGATTCTTTTATTTTTTCCTGCCTCTGTCGTCGTCTTGGAAGTTGAACGATAGGGCTGAAGCCGGCAGGGATGGCGGTCCTGCAGTGTTTTGCCCCGTTTGGGGATGGCGTCGCGAGTCTTCTCTCTGAACTGGCCCTAGTGAGCCTCTTGCCGCGATTCTGGGGTGGATGGGAGGCCGAGTCGCCGTTTCGAGGACCGTCCCGACAGCCAGACCGTTATCGAGGTTCGTGGGAACGTCGGTGTGCAGGACGAGGTATTGGAGGAATATTTGATTTAGGCTCTTCCCGCTCCCAAGGGGCCGTTCAGGCGACCTCAGCATGCACGCACGCGCTGCCCTCCCGCTATTGATCCCATCGACGCTTTATTTATAGGGAAATGGACTCCAATGGGGCCTTGCCCCAGAGATACGGGTGTATTAATGGCTCCTGTGCCTATACATAAACCTCACAATCACCGCAGATCGCCCACTACTGACTGCTACTTGCAAGTCTCTCCTTCGGTGCTGTAGCGCACCAAACCCCTCGAACCGGTCTTGTCCGCCAATGGAACGGAAAGACGGTCAACCGATCCGCGCTCTCAGCCACCACGCTATATTGGGTGTATCCTCAATAACAGACGTTTAACTCGCCTACCTACACCACCGGATCCTTGTACTTGCGCATCATGGGCCCCGAACTTCACCGTCTGCCCCTTCACAGCCTCCCCAGCCATTGCTGCGTGGCGAGTATACGGCAACGGTGTACCACGAGACTGATTCCGATATCAGCGTGGCGACTATGTATGCGCTGCATGTATACATCTCCGGTGGCGAATGCCCGGTCAACTGTGTCTATGTCCATGTGTCCAGATTGGTGTATTGCTCAACTTACAGACCCCACGCCGCCTCTACTCGTTATTCCCCATTAGGCCTTAGTTCCATTGTTTCTACACTCGCTTGATCATACCGCTTCTGATTGGCTACCCATTGCTTGGCCTACCATTTTGCCATTTATGGTTTAGCCTGACCTAAACTCATCTGAGGAAACACATCACCATCAATGACCATATCGTGGCTTTGAGGCTTCATGTTGACGTTATGACGCTATATGGCGCCGACTACGCTGTGTATAAAGTGTTGGGGGGGGGGGGGGGGGGGTGCCGTAGCATCATGGGCTCAGTCACTCATCATCACAACTAAACAACAAACTTTCGCGACCATGGGATTACCTGATGGAAAACCGGGTATGATACACAACTACTGGATCAAGACGATATCATCACAACTAACAATTCTTTTCCACAGTCCAAGGAAGCGTCTATTTCTATGCGCCTTCCAAGATCGCCCCTATAATCTTCACAGTGCTCTTCTTCATCACTGGCGCCTGGCATCTCTACCAATGCATTCGCCTCAAATGCTTCAAAGTCACGGGGCTCCACCCATTCTGCTGTCTCCTCTTCACAGTCGGATTTGCGCTTAGAAGTTATGGGGCCTTCAACTTTGACAATCTTGGCATCTATATCGCCAGTACAATATGCATCTACTGCGCGCCGTACGTATCATTAGGAAAGCAAGTCGCGATTGCACAAAAACTAACGAAAGACCTCCCAGGCCTGTCTTGGAACTCGCAAACTACCACGTCCTAGGGCGCACCCTCTTCTACGTCCCTTACTTCTCCCCCCTCCACCCGGGCCGCACTTTAACAACCTTCGGCTTCTTCTCCGCCGCCGTCGAGGTCCTCAACGCCCTGGGTGTCTCCTACCTCTCCAACCCAAACATCCCGCAATCCACCCAGAACCTCGGCCACATCCTCATGAAAACCGCACTCATCGCGCAAGTCGTCATCATGACCTCCTTTATTGCCATGGTTCTCTTGGTTCAGCGCCGGTGCCGTAGAGCGGGTTTCACCAACCGAAAAGTGCATGGCCCGATTCTGACCATGTACATCAGCACCTTCATCATCATGACTAGAACCATTTATCGTATCGTAGAGCACTTTGGCGTGTCCCGCGCGCCTGCGAAACCAGGACCAGACTGGGATCCCATGTCGCTGTCACCCATTGTGCGGTACGAATGGTACTTTTACGTGTTCGAGGCCATGTTGATGTACTGGAACTCTGTGCTCTGGAACTGGCGACACCCTAGGAACTACCTGCCCGAGGACTATCATGTGTATCTTGCGCAGGATGGGGAGACGGAAATCATGGGGCCTGGATGGAACGACGGCCAGAATTGGCTGGTGACGTTTATTGATCCGTTTGGGTGGTTTATTGGGAAGAAGGAGGGTACCGAGAGGCCGTTCTGGGAGACGAATGGTTTTGAGGGGGTGCCGCTGGTGAAGGGGGCGGAGAGGAAGAGTGGAGAATCTGTTTGAATCATCAAGACATTGCTCGATGCTGTTACTGTGCTTTCATGTTCGGAATTCGTTGAGCGTTTGTTCAAAGTATTTTTCTTTGTTTAGTCTTGTACGATATAGATCGCTGAGATACCTTTTCAGATTCGATAGAAGATAGAAGCCTCAAAGCATGCTACTACTCACGAGTCCCCTCCACCCCAACTCATTCTACTCGGACACCTCCACCTCCCTGTTTTGAAAATCAAGTCGCCTCGCCTCCCATCACTTCTACATGGCCCGATCCATCAACACACCCTCCGATCCCTACAACCCATACTTAGCATACTCGCAATCAATACAGTTCGGCGACTTGTGCTCCCTCGGAGATTCCATCATTTCAACCCTCGACACAGGTGGTTCATACTAATGAATCGGACATGCACGCGTCCCAAAACGAAGAACGATAGATCATCACCACCACCACCACTACCCCCGCTCACAAGGGTTTCGCAAACAGTTAGCTCGACCATGGTTTCCAAAACATTTAACGGCGACCATTGGCGATAGCGTCCAACCTAGATACGATGAATGTCTGTCAATCTTCTCCAGTTTCCAAAAATAGACGATCAAGATATGCGGGAAGAGAACGAATAGAAAACCCAGGAGTACGGCCACCCACTAGTTAGGAGCTTTTATCTTGTTTCTGGTAGTGGTACGTGCGCTTTAAGACAATTGTCTCTCCGGCTGTCTTATCCATTCGGTACTTTTCTGCAATCCTTCGTCTTGCCCCACAATATAAACATGAGTGTGGGTGGGGTGCGGGATAAGTCATGGGGCAAGCAAGATGAAGGAAGAGGCATGTGCATTCCCATGTACTGTGTGTGCAGCAGGGGGGATTGTTCGTTTTGGGGGCCAATGTCTCGAAGTAATTTCCGGGCTTCGGGGACAGGCAACCAACCTGGTGAGTCGGTAGATGCAGAGAAACCGACACATGATTCGGAATCAGAACATACCGATAGATGAACAAGGAATCTCGCCTATTAGTTTACTTTTTTGTTCAAAAATAGAAAAACTAGCAATAACAAGAGATGTGGAATCCCGAGGGTTTGGAAACGAGGAGAGGTTGCACGGTCCGAACGGGATAGAAAATGGCAGGTTGGAGCAAAGAAACAAGGAACTGGCAATTCCCATCTACACAAGCATGAATCGATAGATGACTAAACAGGACAAAAACATGCAATATTTAAGATTTGTGAGCGGGAAAATCGATCACGCATTCCTGGAATCGAGAATAACTGCTCGATGTCAACGAGCCCCGCGAAGCGCGCATTCGGACTACTCGGTCAAGACGGAAAGGATTGGCATAGGTTTATTGTTAGTTTCGACCCAGTTCTAGATCACCTCAAGAATTTCTCAAAGTTCTCTATCGATTGTATAGTAGATCTCGTTATTGGAAGGAAGGATGACGTACCAGGCCAATCGATACAATCCCCGTTACCACTGGCAGAGTCCCTAGCAATTAGATCCTTCGCAACTGTACAGCTATAACACCCAATTATCCGAGATCAATCAAATCATTTTCTTCGGTCTCGTATAGGCGTGTGCATGTGGTGTGATCTAGTGTATTGAGCGGAAAGTGGCAAATCGCTCAGTGATAGCGCCAGGGTTGGGGCCTTCGTACTCATGAACAACAGTGGTAGATGCGGGAATCAAATATCTCAAAGGATGTACAAGATCAGTTTGCGGTTAATGAAACTGGCGATCGCAATTCTCACGCTCTTTCAAGAAACCATACCCTCAACATACGACTATCAGTGCTTTGAGCTGGGGAAGGATTCGGACGAAAACGCATGAATACGCCTCGTCTGGCACTCTCCAATCAAGCACTACACAGCATCCAATCACTGAAATCTAGCCAAATTACAGATATTGTATGTATGCATGTTTCGTTCGTTCGGCTCCCAGCGAGAGCGAGCTACGGTATCCAATGCCCCCAGGTTCAGGGCGGACAGGACAAATGGACATCTATCCACCCACCGTTAACCAATTCAGTGACACAGTGCTGGCTTCGAGCGAATCGCCTCGAGACGCTAATGCCACTTGCACAACGTCTCAGTATTTTGGGCTCTTTCCAATCATAACTTGATAATCATGAGTCCATGGTCCCAGCCAGAAAATATACACAAAGACTTGAGCCTATCCTCCAATCTTGATAAGTATGCCATATCAAATCGAAACTAATCCCCATGTGTCATCCAATAGCCTCCACTGATCATGAAAGTGATTGCCAATGCTGTAATGATCGAGGCTCCGACTTGGTCACCTGTCGTGATCTCAGAGAATTCAAGAGCCGGGTATGCGTCGCTTCCCGCGGTACCCAGACCTGGATCTCCTTTACTGTCTCCTCCGGTAGCAACATTTTTCGGCGGCTCAGCAATGGTAACTAGATTGGAGCTGATGATGCTCAACGCTGCCAGTTGCTGTCCAACCCCAGTATTCTCGTCGGATCCATTCCAGTACCAGCGGTTGCCGCACGTGTACGGTGCAGGTACACCATCTGATGCAACACATGTTTGTGCCGCCGCCTTTCCAGACCGCTGCAAATGAGGAATAATCTGTGACGCAGTGAAAGGCGCAAGCTGTACAGCAACCGCCATCCAGCGCGAAAGGTAGGCTTTGAATGAGACTTGATCAATGTTACATTGCTGAGTGAGTTCGCAAGGCTCGACCATGATGTTGTTGTAAGTCTGGGGGAAGAAATATTCTGACTGATTCAAGAAGCCTTGAAGACGTTCCTTCCAAATGGGATCTCCTTTGGTATAGTTGTACATCTATGTTGTCAGCACAAGATGTGCGGTTCTTTTCGGCAGTACTTACGTATGCGGCGCCCCCTATCATTATACCATAATTGTACGTCCATTGAGAGTGATCCGCTTCGGTACAATTCTTCTTGACGTCGGACCCGTCGTTTATCTTGTAGTCGTCTTCAATGAGAGGGCTGACATTGGCTAACCAGTCATATATCTCATTCGCTTTCTGCGCATATGTATCATTGCCAGTATACAATGCCAATCGCGCACTCAGCTGGAAAAACCCTCCGTTGGACGCGAGATTCTTGTAGTCATAGCCAGGAAGCCATTGGTAGATTTGCCATCGCGTCCCACCACCGCAGGTCTTCATATCCCAGCGGGTGTTGAGTTGGTTGAAGATGGACTGCGCCAGAGCGAGCCAGCCAGGAACATTGTCCGGTGGACTTGGAAAATTATATTCCGCAGCAGACATGACAGTGAAAGCCCAGAACAGTTGATCGTCGTTGCCTTCATCCTTGGATTGGTTTGCGGGCATCTGCAGACCCGAATCAGCTTCGGGCTCGGTGGCACGAATCGGGGAGCAAAGTTACAAAGTTTCTATCCTCGCCAATCTGATGCACGATGCCAGCGCGCACCATATCGTTCCACTGGGAATCGCCGGTGTAGTACCAATAGTCTATGAGCTGGCCAAACATGGCGCCAGCCTCCCACCAGTAGTATGGGGGATAGGTAAGCAGTCCAGGAATGCCGGATAGGATGGCGCCCGTCTGCGGGTTTGCGTACATGGACATGAGGACTTGGGCAACATCCTTTGCTGCGGCACGAACCTGATCGGGCTGGGTTGGATCAAGTTCGATGGCGGATGTGGAAGGAATCAGGCAAGGGGCCAACAGTGTGAGCACACCCAATGCCTGGGGTAAAGTGATGAACCTCATAGCGGCATATATGTATGATGGCGGAAAAGAGTGACTGTATGGGCACCTGGGTGGGTGTATAGAGAGAATGACGGGTCGTGTGGCTTTAGGAAAAGAGAGAAAGAGGCGGCAGATGGTCGGTGGGGGTGATGGAAAGTGCAACTGGCCTGTGAATCCACATACGCGCGTATAGGCAGTGTTTACACACGCGTCCTAGTGTAGAGAATTAGGCAGGGACATGGGCAGCAGTAGTGGGGAGACGAAGTAGGAGACGTTGACTGGTTTGAGAGACGCAAACGGAAATCTTGTGGTGGCATGCAAACAGCACAGTACAATAGAGACCCGCAGCCTCAAGACCTGCATATGTATGTACAATAGGGCACACATATGACTTCATCACGAGAATTCACAGATTTGAAGACGTTCGCAAGCCGTTGTTGGGGCACTTACGTCACCGCATCTTTTTGCATGTGTAACGGTCCGTTAGCAGTAGATTTGGTCCAATGAGGTTAAATGAACGTCTGCCAGGGGAAAAACACCTCAATGCGCTACTCCAAAGGCAATTCCAACCATCGAAAAGGCGGGCCGATACTTGCAACCGCCGGTCATGGTGAGAGTGAAGGTGCTGTCTGTGGTGGTTGGTTATTCCCGTTAGCAAGACATTAGCAAGACAGCCCTGGGGTGCATCGCGCTAGTACCCTTTCGGCGACAGTATCCAAATGCGGCAATTCAACTTCTACCAAACCAATCCCCTTACGCTCTTTTTTACTGCCAACTTGAATCTCAAATAGACTACTGGTTGGCCATGTTCAATCTTGGACCTTGTGTTGCATTTGCTGGTTCTTTGAATGCACAGTTAGCAAGCCGGACATCACAATCTGGCGCTGACGACCTAGCTGTGTCAACACCTACATATGTACTCTCATAGCCCCAGGTTTCCATCGCCAAAGTCAAACTCACAAGACTGTCTATGGAACTCCGAACCAGAATGAGAACCACTCCAGAAAGCGGGTACATAGACGTCCACGCATACACTTGTAATCATCATGTATGTCTTGAGCCTCGGTTGACCGCCGTCCTCGTGCGTGCTAGCGCATTTCCCCACGATTCTGTCAAGCCCGCACGCTGGTAGCCCGCAAGTGGGCGGTGCGGTTATACCCGGCTCTCCAGCAACAACCCCAGCTTTCCTCCCAAAGCCGCTTTGCTTTCTCCAGCATCAAAATACAACTTTCGCTTCTACACATCCCATTCGTGCTTGTTGTGCTTCGAGACCCTCCTGATTCGATTCATTTATCTCCTCGTTTCTCGCTCCTCCCTCGTGAATGCTGTGAGAACTCTCTACCGCCTTAGTAACGACTTAGAACTCTGTCTTCCCTCTGTTTCCTCGGCTACCCGCTAAGTACTACACCCCAACAAACAGGATACATTCTTTCAGATGCTGACAGGACCTTTCAAGAAAGCCTTCGCCACGTCTGAGCCATGCCTCCCAAAGCACCGTCGCGTGAAGCCTTGACGCTCCTCAAGCATTCAGCCCGCCCACGCACCAACTCTACCCTTCCAGCGCATCTGCAATGGCGCCTCGCAGCATCCTCCAGTCGCCCTTCTCTGCAAACTAACTCCCAATTGCTCATCTCCAAGCCCATCGCTCGTGGTGCTGCGACGTATACGCATTCGCATCATGCTGAAGCCGTATCCATCATCCCCACGACTGTGGACACAAACTCCGAGGACTTCAAGGAGAACAAGAAACAACTCGATGAAGCCACAGCAAACCTGACCGAGCTTCACTCCAAAATCGCCCAAGGAGGGTCACAAAAGGCGCGGGACAAGCACATCCAGAGAGGCAAAATGCTGGTGAGGGACCGCATCACCGCATTGATTGATCCAGGCACTTCATTTCTCGAGCTCAGTCAAATGGCAGCTTACAACGTCTACCCAGGCGAGGAAGTACCGGCCGCTGGCATCATTACTGGAATTGGAACAGTCAACGGCGTGCAATGTATGGTAGTGGCCAACGACTCCACCGTCAAGGGCGGAACATACTACCCCATGACGGTCAAAAAGCACCTCCGAGCACAAGCCATTGCTCAAGAGAACCGACTCCCATGCATCTACCTTGTCGACTCCGGCGGTGCCAATCTCCCTCACCAAGCCGATGTCTTCCCAGACGTGAACCACTTTGGCCGCATCTTCTATAACCAAGCGCGCATGTCCGGCATGGGAATCCCACAAATCAGCGTAGTAATGGGACCCTGCACAGCCGGCGGCGCATACGTTCCCTCCATGAGCGATGAAAGCATCATTGTAGAAAATCAAGGCCACATCTTCCTCGCTGGCCCACCCCTCGTCAAAGCCGCCACCGGTGAAGTCGTGTCAGCTGAAGACCTCGGCGGCGGCAAACTCCACAGCGAGATCTCAGGTGTAACTGACTACCTAGCCGTCGACGACGCGCACGCTCTCGTTCTCGCACGGAGAAGCATCGGAAACCTCAATTGGCACCGCAACCAGCCCTCCACTCCTACACCGACCTTCAAAGAACCTATCCATGATCCAGCTGAGCTGTCGGGCATCGTAGGCACCAACCTCCGCCGCCAAATTCCCATCCATGAAGTCATTGCTCGTATCGTCGACGGCTCCGTCTTCTCAGAGTTCAAACCATCCTACGGATCCACTCTCGTAACAGGCTTCGCGCACATCTACGGGCAGCCTGTGGGCATTGTAGCCAACAACGGCATCCTCTTCTCCGAATCTTCGCTCAAGGGGGCGCATTTTGTTCAATTATGCGGAAAGCGACAAATCCCGCTCATTTTCTTGCAGAACATCAGCGGTTTCATGGTCGGGCAGGACGCGGAGAAAGGAGGCATTGCGAAGAACGGGGCTAAGCTTGTAACAGCTGTGAGTTGTGTTGACGTGCCCAAGTTTACAGTCGTGGTTGGCAGTTCAGCTGGTGCGGGTAACTATGGAATGTGGTGCGTATATACATCCCAATCTCTTCCTTCCAAAACCTTGTTTATATGTATTATCCTTGCAAGCTTCTTCCCTTGTACTTGAAACTAACCTTACCGAATCTACAGCGGCCGCGCCTACTCCCCCCGTCTCCTCTTCACTTGGCCCAACGCAAAAACTTCAGTAATGGGCGCCGAGCAGCTCTCCTCAGTCATGGAAGCCGTCGGCAAAACCGTCGACCCAGATCTCAAAGCGCGCATCGAGCGCGAGAGCGAGGTATCGTTCGGCTCGGCCAGACTCTGGGACGACGGCGTTATCCCGCCTGAGCATACGCGGAGGGTGCTGGGGATGGGCTTGCGTATGGCGTGTGGTGGGCAGAACCGCGGGGTTGAGAGGGAGAGTAAATATGGTGTTTTTAGGATGTGAGGGGGGTGGGATGGAGGCCTGGTGGGTCAATGAAAGAGGAACACGAGGAGAGTGTGAGTTGTAGTATTGTCCATCATGCTGGGGCTTTCTGTTCGTTTGTCGTTGCGTTGAAGCCCCCTTTTTTCGGATTCCACTTGGATGTACTACCTGCATACGTGTATCCTCAAAATCTAGCGAGTAAGCAAAAAAAAATACAGTCAGAAAGTAAGCGTTCCAGCGACCAGTGTTCTCTTCCATCCTGCACTCAAGCGAGAAGAATAATCAATCAATGCAGGGCTACACCCCTTCATTTGGACATGGAAAAGGGGCAGGACTCTTCGTGGCACACCACTTCAAGACTGGGTTATTGCATTTCACGTCAAATACACCCAGCGAATCAATGCCACATACATCTACATGCACATACACAAAAGTCAAACTTAGACGCGTGATCATACGCAGCCTAGCACAGAACAGGACGATATTATTACAAGGAGCAATCAGAGCAGGCATGGGAAACAAGCAGGTGAAGTATTTGGTTTGAATTAATGTGTAGCAGTAAAGTGGGTATTCCTACTTTTGGACAAAAAGCGAATCTTGGGAACTGTATCGGAGAAACGCAGTTTGCGCATGTGTGTAGAACGAATATGGAAGGTTCGCAGCAGGGGTAGTAAGGTTTGGTATGGAGAAGCGGAGCAATGAGATTAGACAGAAAGCAGAAAGACAGATAACAACAAACAGAACAAAAAAGCCGCAAATGACAAGAAAAAGTGTAAAGTAAGTATACAACTCCGGGTATCGTGCGGGGGATGGGGCGTCATGTGCCAAGCAGCAACAACTTTCCTCAAAAACTCTTTTTGTAACACCCCAGTTCCTCCACGGGACTTTGAGAAATCCACGCCGGGCCCAAGAAAAAAGAAATGGATGATCTCGGAAAATGATGCTCCCGAACACTCATCCGCATGTGTTGCTGACGCACAGCCATTGGTGCGCAGCTTGTCGGTGAATTTAACACTCTTGAATCTTTTGATGTGCAAAACACGAGGGACCACCCCGGAACGGATGTAAGAAAAAAAGGCTCACTCTGAAGACGGTGGCGGATGCGACGTGATGTCGAGAGGCGTGGATGATGTATCCAGAAATAAAAAAGGGTGGTTGTTGCACCCATTATGAAAACAATGGTATTTTGAAAGTGGGACTTGGGCAAGTACACACGATGGAACAAGGAAATGGTCGTGTCATGGTCGTAGCAATGCAAGCACAGCGATGGCGCATTAAGCTAGAAGCGAAAGGAAAGCCAGAAAGAGAAGATCCAGTCTTCGACAGTGACTATAGCAAGATGAGGTAATTGCTCGGAGCAATTCCAGTCTCGCCATTTGGTTTCTTGGCTTGCCACCAGCGACCACTAACGTCCGAGACTTCCAGGATGTCGTGCTTTTGAAAGCTGATTTCGTTGGCGTCGTCAGGATTCGCTTCGTAACTGTATATAGCCTTGGCGCGGTATGGGTACTCCATAGGTGCTTCCTGCTGTTGCTCTTCCACTGGGGGTTGAGTGATACCACCGAAACGCGGTGCTGTAGATCCTCTGGTGTCACCGCCAATGGGACCTCCCGGATAGCCGGATACGGGGGAAGAAGTTTCGAAGCCATTAAGTTGAGCTGAAGTGTACATTTTCGGAGTAGGGTTAGCGGCAGCTGCGGCTTGCGGGGTGCCGTAGGTGTTGGACATCTGGCGGGAAACATTGGAGGTGGGTCGCTCTTTATGCAGGGCGTAAGAATCGACGAAGGCACGGTGGCTGGCCTGTGGCTGAGATCCATAATAGAAGATCCAGACGATCTGTAAAATCAGCATGTGGATCTCGTGGGCAGTATATAGAAGCGGGAAAGGAACAAATGTGCATGTGCACGTGTATGGATGGATAGTGCTAGACATACCGAAACCATGGAGAGCAGTATGAAGCCCGCGGCGGCCGCCTCGAAGGCGGGCTTCGGCGAGTAGACGAGGAAGTTAACCGAGGAGGTGGTGTTGACGAGGCCAGCAGCGAGGAAACCAACGATCTAGGAGCCAGTTAGCATGAGCAGAGAAGCGGTATAGTATGGTATTCATTGCGACTTCTAGTGGTGCGGATGGAGGGGAGTGCGGTCCGGCGCAGGATGCTTACAGCAACGTGGTAGGTGTGCTCCGACTCGGAGGCGACGGTTACGGTGACGCCCACGATGCAGAACAAGTGGAAGACCAAGGCCCACCAGGCGAAGTTGGGGAAGCCGCTACCTCGAGGAACGGCGGCAATAATGGCACTTATGAAAGCGATGAGCCAGGCCAACTGTTGTCGCAATGGTCAGTCAAGCAGTCCCAATCAAGGGTGGGTGCGCAGGCGAGGCTGTACTCACGAATCCGATGGAGATGGTTGCGAGCGCAAAGGGGTCACCAATGATGCGACCGACGGAGAAGCCGGAGCTTCGCCTGCTGTGACCAAAACCGCTTTCCATTTTGCGAAGAGAGGGCGAGTTCACGGAGCCGTAGGGGGGCATAAGTAGAGCGCAACGGGCGCAGGAGAAGGAGACCGAGGGACGTGAGGCGGCGGCGGCGGCGGCGGCGATGTGAAGGAGCGGAAGGCCGACTGTATATGGAGAATGAGAGAAGAGGAAAGAAGGGAAGAAGAGAGTGTCAGGGCTCGACTGGCGAGCGGGATGCGATAGGCAGAGAGAGTGGGGAGGACGATGGAGCAGTTATGAGTGTGGGCGGACGGCGGTTGTTGTTTTGGGGAGGGAACGGACAGCGGCGGATTAGGCTAGGGACTGGGCGGAGACGTGGGGCGGGAGTAGCGCAAGTAACAAGAATGGGCGGGAGTGGAACAGCAGTTGGCTGGGTGTGGGTGCGGCGAGGCGGCGGTAAGATGTAAAAGTTGTTAAAAGGTTGTCAAGAGGGTGTCGACGACGCTCGGTGAAGGAGAACGAGGAGCGGACGGGCAGGCAAGACGCAACGACAGGCGCGCGGTGGCTTCGACCTGGCGCGGCCTTGTTTCACGATTTGGCGGTGGCGCCCTCGATTGGCTGGCTGGGCCCGTCCTTTGACCCCCGTCAGCGGCCTCATTGATGGAGGATGGATCCAACATCATCATCACCCATCATCCCCATCATCACCATCGTCCTATGCGTGCATGCATCCATGCACACATGCGCTGGCTGTCCGGCAGACAAAGACGCCGAGCATCAAAGAAGAAACCACCACGCCGAATCAAGGTCAAACAGCATCCTCCAGGTCAACGTGCCACGCTTTGTTTCGAGTCTCTCTTTCTCCTGCACACGGAGGCTGACAGCTGCCACACACATACACACACACATACACATGGCTGACGGCCGCAGATTGGCATCATTCGGTACACCTGTAAAATCATATTCGCAGCAATCAATATATGCATGCTTTGCAAAGTTTGCACGTACAATGGTACACCTCCACAGCTCATGGTTTGTCTGATTCGTGGCTCGGCTCCATCGCCGTTCCTGACTTGTGGCACTTCACCATTTGCCTAATCACTTTTCAATTATCCCCCTCCCTTTCACACTGCATGGCTGCTACACCATCAATTCATCGTCAATGCCGTCCAATACTCGTCTCCCTGAACTCTCCTCCTTCACACGCGAGATTAAAATGCAGCACCAGAGCGAAACCTTCTCATCGAGCATCGTGACCCCAGCTAGATGCCCATATAATTCTTCAGTGGTGTGCTAACACGCAATCTCCCCACCGCTCACACATGGTCAATCAATCTACCGGCAGCAACCCCACAGTTCCACCGAACACGTTCCCGGCAGAGTCGCACTCATACCCGTTAGGGCTCCCGACTCGACTCGACTCGACTCGACAGGACTTGGACCTGCATGGCTGGCTGGCTGGCTGCCCACTTCCGCCGCCAGTCGCTCTGGTTGGTGCTCCGCCTCTGTCCGGCCCGCCTCCTCAGCCTGAGACCGCCGTGAAACACAACTTCCAACACTCTTGCTCGCTGTTGATCCTCACCTATCCAACTTCTTTGTTGCTTCTTCTTCATCTTCTTATTTTTCTTTCCTTAGACAACAATCGCATTCAAACTCAATGCTATATTGCACCTTTTTTTCTACCATCCTTACAATCCCAACATGGTCTCATCCCATCCAGCCCACCCAATGGTACTCCTATCTGTTCCTTTAAAACCCATGCTTGACACTTTGTTCAACCTGCTTGACTCGATATCTTGCAGGCCGAGTCCCGTCATCATACCCCACCTAGACCGACCTAGAGACCCTATCTTGCTTCTTCATCTTCCCCCCCCCCCCCCCCCCCTCAGTATCCAAGGCTACTACTATGCTGTCTTCCATGTTCTTTTTCGCTGGCAGTATAGTACAGTACCCTGGTAAACGTCCCACTGTGTAGCTAATAGGCTTCCCAATCTTGCACTTGCTTGTCCAGCAATCCTTCGACCTGAAGGCATGGACAGTACTTCAATCGTCCCAAAACTCAAAAGCCGACCCGGCCCGTAGTGCAGCTGACGTCTGCCACTTCAACAGGCCCACTGTGACAGTGTGACATCCTTCTCATCGCAGTCACATCAGATGAAACTCTCGCTCATGTTCCAAACTACCATGCCATTCCAAATCCACATGGCAATTGTTACATGAGCTAGCTTGGCTTGCCACTGAGTTGGGTGAATGGGAAACAAGATCTAAGGCTCCAGAACATTGAGTTGCCTGGCGCGTCTCATCAGTCGTGTCGATGCTTCATAGTTCTTCTTCCTCCTGCTTGCGCCTGAATTCTTCTCGTCCCACTGTTCGCTGAGCCAACTGAAGCCGTTTGTCCCATTCTGCCCAGCAGCGATTCGCTCCGAGCACTTGAACGTGCTTTGCTCTCTGTACCAGCAGACCGCTCTGCTTTCTCAACAATGATATCTCCAGGGCCTGCTGCAAATGGCGCTCCTCTGCTTCGGCTACGCGTGGTGCAAGTTTGGCGAGCTTCACGAAACCATCGGTGGGTGGAATCTGTTGATCGTCCAACGCTTTGAGCTGTGATGCGGTGGATGCAAAGCTGGGTGCGCGCTCAACTACTACGACTGCCTTTTGCAATGCGTTCAATCCCGCTTCGTCGGTAGTTTCTTGAGGCTTCAGCACATCTTTGTGCTTCTTCACTGTTCATCCTTGATTAGACTGCGGCAATAATGATCTGTTGGAAGTCGTATATGCCTACATAGCTCCTGCGCCTCATTGAGCAGTGCCGACTTTGCTGACAGTGCCTGCAACGATTTCTCGATTCTCTGGATGCGCTCCGCTACCGTCTTTGGTTTCCCATCGGTGTTGGCAGGTGAATGCGCTCCGCCGAGCACGTACTCGATCCGATCCAATCGTGACTCCAGTAGGGAAAAGGTAAACAGGACGGCCTCCTCGTACTCGTCCATTTCGTGGGGTGGAAAAAGAGTGTTGTTGTGGTGCTGGTTGGAGCTGCCCAATATGGTCAGAAGATGCGGTGCATCTGGTGATGGTATTCTTAGCACGGGGTCTACCAGGATCATAGCACGAGATTAGCTTGGCGCGTGCTCCGGTCTTCCAACGTCAGCGCTCAGCAGCCGCTTCCACAGGCACATACACTCCGTCTTGCATTCAGCACAGTCTTTCGTATCCCTATCGACATCGGCGCATATACACACACCCGTTATTCGAATCGAACGAAAAGCTTCCCGTAGCTGGTCGCCTATACTGCATGATTGCGCGATAACTTGAACTGCTGCGTTCGTTGCTCGGGACAGCATGGCCACTTATTCCGCCATCGGTGCCGAGCCGAACGAAACCTCAGATCCAATGTCCTCGAGCACCGGTTCTTTGCGAGGGAGAAGGTACGATATGGAACTCTTCCACGGGGGGATAGTGAAACTGATAATGGAGCTTGTAGGCGCGGTCGGGGCAAACTTGATGCTGGCAATCATGGCCAGGCATCATGGATCTCGAGTGTGATCAACCTAGTCAATACCAGTACGCCCATCATCTCATCAAACATGGACTGATTGCTGAACGATGGATAGTTCTTGGGGCTGGACTGCTCGCTATGCCTTCGGCGCTCTCAAAAATGGGCATCTTCCTCGGCATATTCGTGATCGCGTGGGCAGGAACGACCGCAGCATTTGGCTTATATCTCCAAACCCGATGCGCAAGATATATCGAACGAGGACATGTGTCGTTTGCAGCGCTGTCGCAACTTACCTATCCTAATCTCTCTATTCTTTTCGATGCCGCCATCGCCATCAAGTGTTTCGGCGTGGCTGTCAGCTATCTGATCATCATCGGTGATCTCATGCCAGGCGTCGTGGTCGGGTTTGCGCCAGGAGCTGGGGAGATTGCCTTCTTGATGGACCGTCAGTTCTGGGTTACTGCATTCATGTACTTTTTCACAATTCCTGCGTACCACTTGTCCGAGATATTGACCTTTGCAGGCTCATCGTTATCCCACTATCGTTCTTGCGCCGATTGGATTCCTTGAAGTACACCAGCGTCATCGCTCTGTGCTCCATCGCTTACCTGGTTGTTCTGGTGGTCGCTCACTACATAAAAGGCAATACTCTGCAGGATCGCGGTCAGGTTCGCGTTTTCCGCTGGGCAGGACCAGTCTCCGCCATGGCCGCCTTTCCCGTCATTGTGTTTGCCTACACATGCCACCAGAACGTGAGTTTTATCCTTCAAGCTATGTGCATATTCACTCTGCAAAATCTTGAAAACTTGACTCTGCAGATAGTACACGTCGGATGATGTATGTTTCAATGCTAATTAATCTTTAGATGTTTTCCATTCTCAACGAAATTTCCGATAACTCACACTTCCGCACTACCTCCGTCATTTTCGCCTCCATTGGCTCTGCCTGTGCTTTGTATATACTTACTGGCATCACTGGCTACCTTTCCTACGGCGACAACATCAAGGGCAACATCGTCTCCATGTACCCTACTGCGGCCGCCTCCACTATTGGTCGTCTTGCGATCGTGATCCTAGTCATGTTCTCCTATCCCCTCCAGATTCACCCCTGCCGCGCAAGCATAGATGCGTGCTTAAAGTGGCGGCCACGCCGCAAGCCCCAGGGTGAGGATAGCCCGTCCCGGGGAAGTCTCCTAAATCAACCCCCCAAGCAAACCGTGAAGAACGAAATGAGTGATATGCGCTTTGCAGTCATCTCCACCGTCCTCATCATCCTCTCCTTTATCACCGCCATGACCGTCTCTTCCCTCGAGAAAGTCCTCGCGTACGTCGGCTCAACAGGCTCCACTACCATCTCCTTCATCTTGCCTGGCCTATTCTATTATAAGATTTCGGATCCGGATAGTCCCCACCATCAGCGCCTTGTCAAGGATGAAGACGACGAGGACGAGTTTGATTCCGCGGACGCCGAGGGTTATGTCATGAGTGATGCCCATCGGAGCAGGAATTGGCGCCGAGGCTTGCTGAGGAGTTTGAGCATGGCACTTGCTGTGTACGGGTTCTGTGTTATGATTACGTGTCTGATAACTAATATCTTCTTGGTAACGGCGCACTGATTCAAGAGGTAGCTGGGATTTTCCTCACGCTACGGAGACGATCATTTAGATGGGCATGGGTTACGCCTGTGTACGAACACGGGTGGCGTTTCTGCTTTGATGCTGTCCATGGGCATTTGCGCGGCGTTTGGACTTTAGAGCGAATCGTGTACTTGGGCTTGACCTTTCTTATTTTTCCTTTAGATGGGGTTTATGCTTCACGATTCATTTTCTTCATTCTTTTCCGGAACACTATTGATTCCGTTTTGATATTTTTCTTCCTTATATATATTACATATATGTACAATCCCTTGTCCATTTCGACAGTCGGAAGACCAGAGACGTGCCACAACCGTTGATTTTCTCTTCTGTTAAAAATCTACTCCCCGTGGGAGTTTCTGCTTTCGATTCATCCGTAACGCCGATCAATGCATCTCCACAAGCACACCTTACTCCTCTGGTCGTGCCCCTGAACGTGGACGTCTTTACGTCTACTTCGCATCCTACCAGAGCTTGCCCGATTGGAGCTTCTGCCCCTTGTTGTACAAACCACCGTGGCACTCGTATATCCAACAACCAAAAATCTCGTGAGAACTTTATGCTTCAACAGATGGCGCTGGGGTAGCCGAGGGCTTGATGATAGATTTCGCCGCAGAATCCGCCTTCACGACCTTCCCTTGGATCTGCGAAACACGGTATTGTGGTTCCAAAATGCCAACCTGCACCAGCCATATTGTCAGCCCAACTTGCCTCACTTGCCGAACAAAACTTCTCGACAGTGACGGGTATTCATACCATGCTCAAAAGCCTCCACGCGGTATCGCTAGGCTGCGCGCCCACACCGACCCAGTACCGCGCACGCGATATGTCCATCTTGATGTCTTTCCATGGGCGGCCGTGGGTGTCTCCTGGATGGGGTGCCTTGGGCTTTGGGTCGTATGTTCCGAGGACTTCGAGGGGTCGCGAATTCCGTGCTGTCCTGTTACCATCTCCATATTAGTCTCTTATTCCTCGTTCTATTTTCCTGTGCTGCATTGGAGAACTTTATATCGAAGGCTACGAAGTGGCCGCGGGAAGTGTATAGAAGGATTGAATCCGATCATGCCTTGATGCGAGGACGGCCGTGTTTCGCTAGGACGGAGGTGCACGGGGAATTGGGGGAGGGCGTCTTACCGTGCGTGCGCGACGACTATGTTGTAGAATGGCGAATGCTTCTTGCCGAAGCGCGCGAGCCGTATACGAAGGACCATGGTATCTTTGAAGATGGGGAAACGATTGCTTTGGATCGGATTGAGCTGTGTTAGCTGTTGCATGAAGCTGGAGAAATTTGGGCCGAAATATTGCCGGACTGCACGCTGACCGCAGGGCAGGGACACGTGATATTGTATGCTCGATCAATATACTGGTCATTCAAATGTTTTTTGCATTCTGAAAGCTTAAGACTTCGATATTTTAATAAATTAATATACCCTTTCACCAGTATAACGATCTTAGGAATGTTGGCAATAATGTAATGCTGGTGTTCACGAATCGTAATGCGACCAGTTGACTGCCATGCTGGGGCGGGATGTAATTGCGTCACCTCACAACACACAACACACAGCGTTGAGCTCAGAACAAGAACACTATCAGCATGGCTCTTAGAGTAAGTTCTAAACCTTTTATTTTCTGCAGTTCATCATTACTAATAAAGTCATCATCAAAGACTCTCTCGGCCAAGAATGCCGCGGCCCTTGATCAAGAGCTCATGTCGGCCGGCGCATTCTCCATTGATCAGTTGATGGAACTCGCCGGTCTATCCGTCTCACAAGCAGGTAATATGGACAAACCTCGTCAGCGGGAATATGTCTTCTCCGCCCAAGAATCGAGTGCTACTACTTTCTTGGGCCAGCAATCAACATCACGCGTAGCTTGGATGCCTCTGAATTCATCTGGCATATCTTGAACACGCAAATTTGATCAGTTTACTGACAACAACCAAGTCTTCAAACTTCAGCCGCTGAACAAGGGCAAGAGGATACTGGTTGCTTGTGGACCGGGTAACAACGGCGGAGATGGACTGGTCGCAGCAAGACATTTGCACCACTACGGCTACCAACCTACTGTTTACTATCCCAAGCAAAGCAAGAACGAGTTGTACCAGGTGAGTTTGGGGAAATAGTCATCTCCCTTCCTACACAAATTGATGCCCGCCTCACTTCCATAATATCTTTCAACTTCCACCCTGAGCCAGCACGTCAGAGAGCATAAAATACAATCATGTCTAATAAAAAAACAAGCGTCTCCGAAAACAACTCGAAGACCTAAAGGTCCCCTTCACATCAGACTTCCCCAACGCCCTTCAATCAACCGACCATATTGTCGACGCCATATTCGGTTTCTCCTTCTCAGGCGAAGTCCGCGAACCTTTCCCTAGTGTCATCGAGGCCCTGCGCGACACCAAACTGCCAGTTCTCGCCGTTGACGCACCATCTTCGTGGAACATCGAGGACGGCCCACCCAGCGACGGACCGGGAGAAGGATTCATGCCGGAGGCGTTGATCTCGCTCACCGCGCCGAAACCGTTAGTCAAGTGGTTCAAAGGAAGGCATTTTGTGGGTGGGAGATTCTTGAGCGAGGAGATGGCAGGGAAGTATGGGTTGGATGTGCCGAAATATGAGGGACTAGACCAGGTTGTTGAGGTGGATGTGGATGGTGATGAGGCTGCTTCTCAACTCTAGAGAAAGTTAAACGCAAGGAATGATTGATGATGTGCAGCTGTCAAGTTTCATTGGAAAGATATCTGTTTTGCCCTGCTATACATCCTCCGTTGACCTACTCCGCCAGGATTTCCATGCACGGAAAGAGTAGATAAGGCATAAAGTTGAAAGTCCTTCTATTCGTAATTACCGGGCCTGAGAATTCTGGCCTCCAGGAAGATGTCCCACAGGATCTCATCACTGTACATGCGATTGTATTCGAGGTATGGCTATTCTTATTTCTGCGGCACTTTGTCGGAAACAACACGCTCACATTAATCAAAATCCTGACCTTCACAAATATTATTTTCCACTCAACTCTATTCGCCCGCCTACTCAGTTCTTTCAAGAAAGCTAGCATGGTAGTGTAGCACAAGACCCTGACCAAACTCCCTTCCCGTTGCCGCTAACTAGCGTAGCCGACCGTTGTTTAGGAGAGAACGAGAAAAAAAAAACTTCAATTCACAGACCGAGTCCCCACCGAGGTCTCCACTCACCGCTCGCATCACCACTCTTTTCAACTTCAAAAAAAGAGATGGGATGTGTCCTACCGCTGTAGGTACACTGTGGTTATATATTTTGAATAATCAGTGATATTCAACATCAAACAACAACAACAACAACTGATTACATCCGAAATGGTCTAGTGGCTAGGATTTGTCGCTCTCATCAATTCAATTGAATGTAGTGCCGACAAGGCCGGGGTTCAATTCCCCGTTTCGGAATCATCTAAATGTTTCTTTTTTGTCTTTTTTTAACGTGTTTTGCCATGAGTTGGCTGTATGAAGGAGATGATCGAAGGTCGTCTTTTTTTGGTTTGCACGTGTAGTGATTGAGTGGAAATGAACGACTGCTTCCTCACCCTCATGTAGAGATCATACTCCTATCCATCCATCTATACCGTGCTACATTCACCTGATTTATTGATTTTTTTGGTGTGGTTCAGTCATGACCTTCTAACTTCTCGGGTTTGTGCTGCGCGTATGCGATTTTATTCATGTGTCGATGGATTATTGTTTAACAATACTTCTTCAAAATCAACCATTCGTATCTCACAAGAGTTTATAGTCTCATAATTGATTTATATCGATAGGTGAATTAGAACGTCTCTGATTTCCGACTTGTAGCATCGTACAAGGAGATTTTCCGGGATTGAAACTGGAGAGGAGAAGGAGGAGCTGGCACGTTCATCCTATAAATCTCAAGTGCTGCTATGATTCAAAATGCCACCGTATCTATTAGACAGTCTGGACATGTGACATAATTCTACTACAATTATACAGATTGCCCACAAGACCCTTTCCATCGAATAGACAAAGATGAAGCGTATGTGTATCTCCTACGCTGCTCAAGCCGTCATCCGTGCTCCTAAAAACGAACCAAACTGGGCGTTAGCCTCCACCAAATATGAACAAAAGAGGATTTAGACAAGTGAGATGGACAAAAATAAAAAGCCAGGGATAGATAATACGAAGTCCGCTACGCAAAGTTACCCCTCTACCCCTCCCCCGCCATCTACACAGAAACTCCCCCCCCCCCCAAAAAGTTCGCCGGGGCAAAAAAAAGAAGACTTTTAAATGAACCTAAGCTGATTCGAACAGCTAACCTTCTGGAGACTCCAAATTTGGGAATATCTGGAATCAGACGCGCTACCGTTGCGCCATAGGTCCGTTTACGTTTTCGATGTCATCTGATGATGTCAAAATTTCCCGCAATTAGTTTTATATCCCACTTCAAACCAACGAGAAGAGAGAGAGAGAAAATAATGGGAAATGTTGGTAAAGGACAAGCGTGTGCGGTCTTTTGACTCGGCTATGTGGGTCTGCCCTTTCTCATTTCTTCCGGGTCTAAAGGTGTCTAGCTTGCTTTGTGAAGTATAACCGTGGTACCGTACCATACGTGGCTGTTCAGCTAGCTAGCTCGTATATACAGGGGGATTGACGTGCAAGAGAAGCTGCTCGGGCATGTGTTCGGATCTTTAATCCTAGTACGATGTAGGTGTGATTTACAATACCAAGTGTTTGTGCCGCATAGAAGTGCGATGGTCAAATAATAGACTTAGTGCGACTTGGAAGAAAAAAATATGTTCAAGAACTTGGACGATACGTGTTGTTTCCATGTACACGCAAACTGAACAAAGTACGTTTAGAGTAGAGATCAGAAACATTTGGCATTCATAAATGGGTAACCACAACATAACAAAAACTTTCTATTTCGGACGTCACACTTTTTCATCGCATGCAGACGTCGCGTAGCAGGGGTATGTGCATGGGACACTGGAAGGTTCAAGACTGAGAAATTACCAAAACTAGCCTATAGAAAAGGGGGAAAGCGGTCTAAAGGGAAAAGAATAGAGAGGGTGGACAGAGGACGAAAAGATAGGCCAAGGCATGTCAGGAAGATTGATTGATGGGAGAGAAATGATGCAAAAACAAGAATAGAGTCCGTACAAGGGAACCCCGTTCAGGCTGGCTTGTCACACCCGATTCTTCCAAGCAACTCCTTGCGATCCACGTGTCCAGGAATGCTGATGCCGCTTGCCCTCGAACTTCCAGAACTTCTAGAACTTCTCTCCCTCCGCTTGGAGAATGTCAGCGACTCGACACCAACTTCTTGCTCCACAGGAGTCCACTCCATTCCAGTATTGGCCTCGTTGACTTGGTGGTGGGTCACGCGCTCCAGCTCCTCTTCTATATCTTCCTTCTCGTCTTCGCCTTCATCGTCGGATCTCACATCGTCGGCGGGCTGTCCACGGAGTACCTTGTAGATCACCTTAATGATCATTGAGAACCAGACAAGTATCAACACCTGGAGCGCCAGTAGCAACGTAAGGAAGCTGTAGCGGATTGTAGGATTCCAGCACACGGGTCCGTCGCGATCTGTGTATGCCTTGACAAGGTTGGGCCACACAAGATGGCCGCCGAGGGATTCGTATTCGACGGTCTGATTCGAGAGTACCACGCGACCGTCGGGGAAGTAGCAGCCGGGCTCCATGTCAGTAGGAGCGTGCTTGTAGATGGACCAGCATACGATTGGGAAGAATATTTGTCGGGTTATGAGCCAGGTAACCACGAATAGGCCGAAGAAAACGTCGCAGGCATTAGAGAAGCCGGTGTATTTGAGAAGTTTGGCGGTCTAGAGGCAGTCAGCGATTCAACTGTTGAGGGAGGAAATGAGCGCGAGAGCAAGACTTACAGGCAAGATAATATCTACGAGATCCATGAGACAGAGGATAACAATGCCAACGCGGGTGTGGTAGTACCCATAGGACAGGAAGAGAAGAATGCAGGTAAAAATATGGTGTGTGAACATCTCGTGATAATCTTTTCGCCTCTCTTCGATGTTGACGACAAGGATCTGCTGGAGCCAAAATGCGGTCTGGAAGAGATAGTAGAACTTGGAGAGGCCGGTGATCTCGCGGAAAGGCCACCCCCTCCATAGACCGTGGACATTAAACCAAAATTCAGAGTTGTAGATGATGTACTGTAGGTTGTCAGCTTCCCCCTTCTCAATATCCGCGCCGTGTCGTTGTACGCACCATGCCGAGCGACCACGAACAGACACAGTAGCAAATCAGCCAGCCCTGTTCCTTGAACCTCTCCACTCCTTTTCTGGTCTTGATTCCACTCCATCCAGCGGCCGGGCCTAGAAAGTACTCCATCACAGCGACCCTCAAGCCAGTGAACATGACAAGCCACAGGGCCACAAAAGGCAGATCGTCGGTGCCGCACCCGTATTGATCGGTTTCAGAATTGTAGTAGGAAAGTCGAAAAAATGTGGAGGTGCGCCGTCGAGCTCGGGGAAAGAAACTGTGTGTAAGGGCAAGGAGAAGTAGCAGATTGACAGCAATGCCTAGGGCGCAAAGTTAGCTGCTATGTTGCTGGTGGACCAATTGCACAAACGAACTTACCGAATTGATGCTCACATATCCGCGCACAAATGTATGCCAACAGGCTCTCCTCCGATGCCGGTTTCTTGGATTCCTGCCTTGGGTTGGCGGCGGTTTTCGATCGGTTCTTGGGGTCGAGGGCGAGAGGGGCGGCATGCGAGCCCCGACAGGGGGTTGTTATCTTGGTTGCCATATTGCTGTGAGAGTTGGCAGACGGCGTATCGAACGGCAATGGCGAGTAAAGGGTCGGGGAGCTGCAGAGAGAGAGCAAATGGCCGAGGGCTTTGAGGTGGTGGTGGGCGGGAGTAACGAGTGACAGCTGGTAAACGAGGGTGCACTGCGCACTTTGTCTAGATGGACGAGCTTAGGATTAAGCAGGCATTGATTTCGAGGTGGTTGTACAGGCGATTGTGGTGCAGGTACTCGGGCGGAGAGAGGCTTGTGTGTGCGTGGTAGCGGGGGAGGGAGCGAAATTCGCGTTTCAAAGGGCAGGTGGGCGGTGTAACTGTTCAGAGAAGCTCTGGCAAGCAATCTGGCACTCTGGCAAGCGCTGATGACAGGGTGAATCTGTGGCGGCTCGATCTGAAATGGCCGGGCTGGCAATGCGCACAGCAGTCGGCTTGGGTGCGGGCGAATTGGTCGGGCGGATGGTGCGATGCGGTGAGGAAACAATCTGGCGAGATTTGCACCAAATGCTGTCTACAGGAACAGGATGGCCACTGTAGCGTACAGGTCCAAACTTCAAGGTGCAATGATTGGCAGCAGAGGGATTATGGGACAAGGTACAAACGAGCAGACAGATGCAGCAAAGGGCGGGAGGAGAGGCAGGCAGGCAGATAGGTAAGTAGAGAAAAAAGACAGACAGCAGGGCGAGTGAGTGATGGACAGGAGACGGGACGAGGCCTGGAGGCAAACAAGCAAAGACCCTTTTCCCAACCAAGAGTGCGGAGGTGTCAAAAGATGGCTTTGGTCGTTTTGGGCAGGGCGGCCGCGATGCCTGGGGCCCGAGCGCATGATTTTCTTTTCTCTGCTGCTGCTGCTGCTGCTGCTTGCTTGCTTGCTTGCTTCTCCCGTTTCCTGCTGCTCTCACTCGCTGCCCGCGCATCCACCCTTTTCCCCTGCTTTGCCCGTCTCTCGCCAAGCAAGCGAATGCCAGGGGTCCGCCCAGAAGGGGGAGAGTCTGATAAAAGGGTCCGCCGCCGCGCTAGCCAATCACTGCGCCCATGTGCTCATCACCCCACCATGCATCCATGGCGTCCATACACATGTACATGTGTAGGTATACCATCACCACCACCATTGTTCAGCTACCAAGCAGTAGAGCCACGAGCATCACGCAAATCGATTGAAACCCCACAGTAGCAGTTATAATAATAATACCATCACCAAACCAAACCAAACCAGACCAACCTGCAGACCCAGCCATCTGTGACCCAGATCCATGCCCGCTTCCCACCTGCAGAGGAGCCCTCGTTTGTTTCTCCCACAGTAGCAGTAGTCCAGCCCCGCTCCAATCGAAACATGCACCTGTAACACCCCCACTTGACCTAGTACAGCCATCAAAACGAAACCGCTGCCGTCGACTCGACAGCAAAACAATGATACACGTGAAGCAAGAAAGAGGGGAGAAAACAAAACAAAGCAAAAGAACCCATCCACCCTAGTTGTTGTTGGATGCGTTGAGAATGCGCAGAATGGCGAGGAACAGGTTGATCACATCCAGGTACAGCGAGATGGCCGCCGCAATCTCCTCCTCAACGTGGTAGTGACGCATGATCAGCTGCGTGTCTACCAGGATGTAGCCCGAAAAGATGAGAGCGCTGACGATGCCATAGCCCATTTCGATCCTGCTGCTGTGCGGGAAGAACATGGTCATCATTCCGAACAGGATCAGCACCCACAGCGCCCCGAACAAGTATGGGATCCAGCTCGTGAAGTCGTATTTGCTCTGGCACGCAAACAGACTCAGTGCAACGAATATGCCAAATGTGAACAACACGGCCTGCAGAACGATCCTGCTCTCCGTGAAGGAAACCACAACCGAGATCGTGTAGGCTTCCATGGCTGTGAATCCCGCGAGAAAGGCCAGGTTGGTAGGGTAAGATTTGCGCTTCCAGAATGTGAGCCCGAGGAATACGAATGTACCGACAACAGACACCCATAGCGGCCACTGGTGTGTTTGGATCCATTTCTTGTACGATTCCGACGCCATCGAAACACCGCTCAAAGCCGCCGTTGCGAGGAGTTGTACCGTTCTGGCAGTCAGGTTAGCTATGCGACACTGGTACCCGACACAAATCTGCTGAGTGATGTACTTACAAGATAGCGTAGACCTTCCTTACGAATGCCATACGAATATCCAGCGTCGCTTCGGCCACCACACCTCCGAACTTGAAGTCATCAGGTAAGTTGTCGTCCTCGCTCCTGGGTGCTCCAGTTATCAACGCCTCGCGCGTTGGGTCTTGCTCCTGGTAACTGGGAGGCGCCTGTGAGTACGACCCGCCCTCGTCCAGGGAATCCCGCTGTGGCACATTTTGGTATTTCGGTCCAGCCATGGTGGTGGGCACGTTCGGTTTCACGTCTGTTCGATCGATGAGTTTGGATGATATTTGCGCGGCGGTAGGAGGTTGAGGTTGAGGTAGAGAGGAATCGAGGTCAGGCGGCGAACACCGCAGGCTGTGCTGGGGTATACCATATGAATGACGCCAGTCCACTAAGCGCCAAGACACCATTGCATGACATAATCACCTTCTTCATTCAACTGCCCATGCCGAGAAACCCAATCACATTGAATAGTTGTCAATTATGCATGATACCGTATAGTCCAAAAGTTCCGTTGGCCTATTATACTACAGTCTTCAAAAATCGCCTATATCCCGACCGACATAGGGCAATATCTTAGTTGGTACTAACCCCAAACATGGAAGCAAAGGATCCCCAAAACTTTCCATGCTAGACACAGAGTTTGATCGTGAAAGCAAATAGAAACCGTGAAGTCCTGTTTCACAAATCCAGATAGTGTCTCCAGCCCTCTCTATACACTATCCGTTTCCCAGCTTGGTCAATCCCGACCACAAATTTTTCCCATCGTGAATCCTGCCCTGCACCGACCACAATGAGCGTTTGACTGTCAAGCCAGCCAACCAGACCCTTTGTCGGACGCCCGCCGGGCACTCCAGGGGTGCTAGCAGTAAACGTAGGTGATCTGGAGTGCGGACCCCAGGTTAACGGCTCATCGCCCATTTCAAATTTGGTCGATGCGAATGAATAAGTATCTGAAAACTGACGAGGGAGTAAAGGTCCAGCCAAAGACAAAGAGCCCCATTTGTGTTTAGAAGGATCGGGTTTAGACTGCGAGGATGTCGGGATGTCGAAAAGATGGAGTGTAGACTTGTCAGAGGTAACAGCAAGAGTGGAACCATCTGGCGAGAAGGCGAGGGAGAAAATGACAGCGTCGTCAACACCTCTGCGGAACTCAGCGCGCTTGGTGCAGCTGGGATATGACCATACACGGATAATGGTACCCTTCTCGCTCGCAGTGGCTACCATGTCACCCTTCATACTGACGGCGATCGCGCGCAGCGGGGTATCATGGGCTGATATGATGCTGACTTGGCTGTTGCTGGGGCTGTAGAATTTGAGTTGACCCGGCAGAATGCCAGGAAAAACGAGCACGCCCTCGCTCAAAGCACACAACCCAAAGGGGTTGTTCACCGTCTCATACTCGGCGGTCTTCTTTGGGGGTATACTCATTTTGTATATCCCCACGCTATTCAGCAAGGCAATCACTAGATAGTCTCTAGTAATGCGAACCCGTTGAACAGGCGTTTTGAACTCGAGAGATGTGGTGACTTTCTCGCGGGCATCGTCGAAGATTTGCACCTCGTATGTGTCAGTGGCTATGTGAATCCAGCCGGCGTCCTCGGGACAGACCTTATTTTGTGGAAACTTGGGCTGTTTCCCTCCTCCGACTAAGGCGATGTACCTGGTGGTACCCAGCATCTCTGCGCAGCCGATGCCACCACCAACCTCTGTCTGCTAGTCAGTGTATGCACACCAGTGAATGAAGCACAGCAGAGCGAACCTCGGGTGACCTTTGTCTCTCCATGGCTCGAAGATATAACTCGTAACGTCAGCGCAAGCTTCCGAAATGGGCTTTGGAGACTAACTGCGGAAGCCCGATTCCAGCGCTACCGAGAAGCAAGAACTGTCTGCATTGAAGGAAGCTGAGAGAGCATGAGGCCCCGCATATGAGTCGAGTATAGGGCGCGTATTCATCGCGTGCGTGATCTAGATTGTGGGTTGTGGATGGCGGTAGGGAGGGGTTTGCAAGGTGGTCGTTCACCCGCCAGCACAATAGTGAAGTGTGATGCGCGGTCGCCGTTGGGATAGTGCTACTTGCAGCCTTGCAATGGGCGTCGAGAGCAAGACGTGAGGAGTAGACGTCATCTCAGGCCCATATCTGTACGCAGGGTGGAAGAGGCCGTGGATTCGATATGAAATCGAGTGGATTGGGTGAGGTGAGGGTATTATATCGTAGTTGGCGAACGAGAAAGTCGCCTTATGTCATGCCCATGTTGTCATGGGATGGTCGGACGGGGTTTGGGGTGCTGCCTACGCTAACCGCTTCCTGGCTGGATGGGCTTTCCACGTGATGCGTGCACTCGAGTGCTCACTTCCAAGAGTGCTCCGCTGCATATGAGCCAGCAATTGAATATTCAAAAGTTTCATTCCTACGAATGACTCAAAGTTACAGAAAATGAATGGGAGAATCTGGAATGAGCAAACAATATGGGCAAACACATGCACACATACACACATAAGTTGGGGATGGGGCTTACCACTACATATGTATACATGTACATGTACACATGGATCGATTGAAAGCCGCTTTCATCCAGCATGCATTGATTCAACGAAAGCTGATGTCTACGCGAGCAGTTATGATCGTATGAAGAATGTATGCACCGTCTCCCTCAATGTACAAACAAAAGCACACAATCCGATACCGTTTACCCACGTACCTGAGTGAGCTTTGCTACACCGGGAAGGGATCACCACAGAAAAAGGCGGGTCGTCCCCTTCGAGCCCGCCTCCAATGATCTGATAACAAACAACCGGCGAGCTGTGAGAAGAAACAATTTGATCCTGCTGGGAAAGGCCAGCATAGACAAGGCCGTCAGTGATGATGATTGCGGAAGAGAGCGGCGAGAGAATCAACACGGCCATCACAAGCGGTGCAACTGATGGATCGATATCGCGGAAACCTTCTGGTGAATGGCTGTTTAAGGTTCCGCGTGTTTAAGTGGCAGCTAGCGGCAGTCAAGGGCGGGCGCCAGGTGGCTGTTTGTCGGGGAGTCGATACTACTGGCGGCGAGGAGGGAGGTTGCGACCCTGTCACCCTGGTCGCTGCTCTAGCGAGCCCCTTTGCATCGCGCTGGGAGCTCCTAACTAACCCAACGTCCTAAATTTCCTCGACAACACTCCAACACCACCACCTCCTGCTCCGCCGGCGCCTTCTCGCAACCACTCCACGCCAATTCCATCCTCCCATCTCCTGTCCACCCCGTGCAGTCTTGCTCTGCCCATCTTACACCCTCCACCCTCAGCGCTCCACCGGCAGACACCATGTCTTCAGTACGAGATCCCCCCCGAAACACACATCCCCCCATCTAGCTCACGCCGACTCCACCCTGCTGCCCTGCATTACTTGTTCCTCCGCATTTCACCCTGGCCGAGGCGCGTGCGCTAACAACTGAACAGATGCTCAAGACGCGTAGAAAGAAGAATGTCAAGAAGGGAATCCAGTTCTGCCTGATGGTCTGCGGTGCCTCGGGAACAGGTGCGCCCTCTGCCAACTGTCTTCTGTCTCGACCCCATCACGCTGACCATCATTCTGCCAGGCCGAACTACTTTTGTCAATACTCTTTGCGGCAAGAAGGTGCTCCAGGGCAAAGACTCGGATGACCCCAGCACAGCACATCTCGAGGAAGGCGTCAAAATCCAACCCGTGACTGTCGGTACGTCAACCTCGCAACTCCCCAGTTATCACATTGTTCTGACCAGATACAATCAGAGCTCGATGAAGAGGGCGCCCGCATCTCACTGACTATCGTCGACACACCCGGATTCGGTGATCAGATTGACAACGAGGCTAGGTAAGCTGTTCCATGCATGGCCAGTATCACACGACACCGGCTGACAATACACAGCTTCGGCGAGATCGTTGGCTACCTTGAGAGGCAATATGACTCCATTCTCGCTGAGGAGTCGCGTATCAAGCGTAACCCCAGCATCCGGGACAATCGTGTCCACGTCCTCCTATACTTCATCACACCAACGGGCCATGGGTATGTTTCTGGATCTCTCTGGGGAACATCGCTGACATGACCAGTCTCCGAGAGCTCGATATTGAGCTGATGAAGCGTCTCTCACCCCGTGTCAATGTCATCCCCGTTATTGGCAAAGCCGATTCACTCACCCCCGCCGAACTCGCCGAGTCGAAGAAGCTCGTCATGGAGGACATTGAACATTACCGCATTCCCGTCTATAATTTCCCATACGACATTGAAGAGGACGACGAGGACACCGTCGAAGAGAACGCCGAGCTCCGTGGCCTCATGCCTTTCGCCATTGTTGGCTCCGAGGATGTGGTGGAGGTGAACGGTCGACGAGTACGTGCTAGGCAATACCCTTGGGGTCTGGTCGAGGTGGACAACCCTCGCCACTCCGACTTCTTGGCTGTGCGAAGCGCTCTGCTTCACAGCCATCTTGCCGATCTCAAGGAAATTACACATGACTTCCTGTATGAAAACTACCGTACCGAGAAGCTTAGTAAGAGCGTGGAAGGCGGTGCTACTGCGTAAGTATTTCCCTGGAATTCCATCCAAACGACATACTAACTTACGGAGCAGGGACTCGTCTATGAACCCTGAAGATCTGGCCAGCCAATCGGTCCGTCTCAAGGAGGAGCAGCTACGCCGCGAAGAGGAGAAACTGCGCGAGATTGAAATCAAGGTCCAGCGCGAGATAAACGAGAAGCGACAGGAGCTGTTGGCCCGAGAGAGCCAGTTGAAGGAGATTGAGGCTCGCATGAACCGAGAGCAGAGCGGACTGCAGGATGACCGCTCCGCTCTAGAGGAAGCTTAAGGTCATTTGCCCGAACAGGAACATGGGATTCGTGATCGCCTAGGTCGGGCATCAATGGATAGCGCGCTTGCAATCAAAAATGAAGAGCCAATGGCCACATCTGCACTGCAGCTGGCGTTGGCAATGGAAGGGTCGTATTGAGTTTCCAATACTCGGGGGGGAAGGGGTCGGAGGCAAGCGAAGGATCTTGCTCTTGCTTACCCTGGGGTGTTGCGTTGTCAACCAGATATCACATCTTTCTGTGCGTGCTCAGGCTGTCTTGGCCTGATTGACGCTCTTCTCATATGTTTTTCTACCCTTCGATATCTATTCCCCCTTCTTTTTTTCTTCTCAACTTCTCATGTACGAAGTAGTAATGCACCTTTAGCTGCCTAATAAAACCCCAGTGGTCAAAATCGTAGAACTGGGATGTCCAATCTTTTTCTATTCAGAGGGTGTTTCGTCAATATCATGACTTTGCACAAGTCAAGGTTGAACAGATTGCAAATGGAGATGATCTTATTTTCGACGCAACTGTTGCAGGGCGTCACGCTGTTCTTGCCATCTGCACACGTCTCGACACCATCTTTCGTGCATCTATTCTCCATTCCACCAACTTCCTTACTACATGAGCATCGCGGTATCCGAACTTGTCTGTCGTTTCCCCTCTCTCCCTGCCCCCCATTGCATTTGTCTTTGTAAGTTGACGAGTCGAACAGAGACGGGCCAAAAATCGCAGGCATGCGTTACATCATATTGCATTCAGGAGTTCTATCTCCCTGTCCCATAGTTGACATGGGTGAAGTGTGTCCAATTGCCCTGGTCAAATTCTAATATGCACAGTATACATGTCTATATTGGACTTCCTTACATATACACAGCTAAATGGACTAACGAACAGACTTATCAGATTGACTGTAGGTACAAGGATGTTTAGAAAAGCCTTCCAATGGCGAGGAACTATACAGCGGGCAAGTGCTCACCGATCAGCCTCGACGAGATAAACCGTCGCGGTCAAGAAAGCGAGTCTACCCCATATGCAAGTCTACACCGATGCGGGACGGGTACCACGTACGTGGGGCTTATCAAGAGAGCGAGACAGTCCTGGGCGTAGTCCCAATGGCTTCGTCATCTCTAATACAATCGCTGGCATTGCTTCCCACATATCCTGTCAGTGTACTGCCATCAACGGCAAATGCGCTTGCCGCAATCAACTTTTGATTCGGATGAGCATGGAGAGCATTCCCTTGAAACGGAGACGATCGGTAACCGCTGAGACTGAATACATGCCTGCATTGCTCCAGCCATCGTTTGGATGAAGGATGCAGAAAACCGTACCGATCGAACATTGCCGGCCTATCAGACACATCGAACTCAGTGGATCATCTTCCGGTCCCTTTGAATGGCTCTTTCGATGGGCACCTACGAAGGTAGGCCGAAAGATCTGCTGAGCAAGTCTGATTTGCCCACTCCGTAAATCTGATAAACTCTCATCATCATTGGTGACCGCACGTAACCGAGAAGCGTAGCTGAGAGGATATGGAGAAGTCAACATGTGTTTCACCATGTTCTATTGTTCATTATATCAAAATGAACTGGAGCTGCCATTGCTGTTAGGGCACATCATCGAAGAGTTATCACTTAGAGGTCTCGTACGTATAATTTGGCGTCTGAGAGGTGGCTACCCAATGTTCGTTCTGCGAGGTGGTCAAGTTGAACGGCTTGTTTTCGACCGTGCCTCCAGCTGATAGCGGTGTGGCAATGTCTCTCGGTTGGCCACATACTGTTAGCTATTTCACAGTGGTGTACATATATGCCGTCAGCACCGGCTGGAAGCATCTTGCCAGGGGGCTGAGAGGGGTTTGGCGATCCTGGACCAGTACACACTCTGCAAGTCTACACCACTCTTTCGTCGTTACCGATGTGGTTACCTCTTGCCAGGATCTCGAAACACTGTCACGAATCACGACTTGACCGATCCATTTCGGTCCGTTCAGTACGGTAGGCTGGGTTGATGCAAGTTCGGCGATCGGGAGATATGGACCGATGACTGCCAATCGTGCCGAACTATACGAAGGGACCCGAGTGATGGAATTGATAGCAAAGCAGTCGAGGTTGCAACGACCTCTTCCAGCTTCATAGAAGCGCTAGGTTATCTCCTCTGGATGGACACGCGTTGAAGGAGTGTGACTGCAGGTCAATGCAGCCCTGCCGAGAGAGAACAGTTGCTGACTGTCGAAGCGCAATTCCCCGATTGGCGGCTACACAGGTCGCATAGAGTCTTTCACAGCGCTTAGTTCCGACCAAGTACTCTGGAGGTGTCGGTCACCGTTGGCCAGTTCCTGACTCGAGCCGTCACCAACTTCCGTCTTTATCGGTGACTGTTGGACCTGGGCGAGAACGGAGTTCTGCGCATGGCTTAGTTCAAAGTGCCACGGCAAAGCGGTGTATAACAAGCCAGTTCTCGTATAAGTGTGTTGTGGGTGGAAGCGCAAGTATTGATGGTTGACATGGTGTTGTTGATGTCAACTGGTAGCATTTCCACGGGTACCTAGGTCAGCGAAGTCATCAATTGATGTTCGTATTGGTCGGCCGACGAAGGGTTGGCAAAGAAACAGCGAAACGCCAACCCCGCAACCTCAGCAAGTCAGCACTCCAACACCAGCGGTATACCCCATGGGCAGAAGTTCGTGGAATCGGAGGCTTGTCGCGGTTTGCGCGGTTGTGGGATTGTGTGGAGAGAGGCGAATTGGCCAACCTGTGCCCGTGCTGAAGCCCATGTCCCCCGGGTATGGGAAGTGGGCCACTTAATGTCTTAGGTACCTCTGGCTATCGCAAAAGAAGAGGGATTGTGGTCGACTCGTTGCCACGATTCGGCGAGTCTCGAGCTCTAGACTTCTGTTTCTCCACTTGATATTGCATCGTTACGGGGGGGCTCTTGCTCAAGAGCCTCGTTCGGAATAGATGGCATCGTACATGCACAAGTGTAATGGTTGAGAAGCAGTGCATGACGAATTGCGACCACCCTCGTTGTCCAGCATGTAGCTAACAAATACGGTCAGGCAGGCTCTTACCTAGGGGAAATCCTTTCCCCGATGATGCATCATGGCTCCCCGCTGGATCATAGAAGCCTGTGTCCGTGACCATTATACAACGACGATCTCACGGACGGCAGGCCTGAATGCTCGACCAGTGCGGCTCTGGGGTGCATACACAAGTACAGGACCAAGCAGCCACCAGTCCCCGTAGTCATTGTACCTGCAGAGTTTTTTTGTATTGCGTACGCATCAGCCGATGAGCCATTAAGCAATATGTGCGAAACGCTGACTTCATTCCTCGCCAGCTGATGGGGAACGCGCACTAACGACGCCACAAAAAAAGAACAACGGTTCCCCGTGCAGGATCGCATGCGGCGCCAGATCCCAACTCGGCACTCCTTTGGTGCACCCATCACCACCATGCTCGCCATCTGTCGCCTCTTTTGGTGGCAATACGAGACTATCAGAGTCAACAGCTACTCGTTGCTGAGTATGGCTCGATAAACGCCCGCCCCCTTGCCCCCTGTTTTATCTTCTCAACGTCCGTACATACCTAGTCATCAGCATTCAGGGAAGCTTCCTCCCCACTCCTCCATGGCTTCACACCACCATCAATCTCCATGACCATCTGACGCACCACTAGCATGAGGAACGTCTCTGTTTGTCCATGGGCAATCTGAAAGAGGCAACGTGCCTAGATCCATTACTCTTTCGCCAATCGGGTTGCTGATCGACTCCATAGTTTGTAAATGTCGATCCCTGTTCCCTCGTCTTAACCTGTCATTCTTCATCGCTCAACATTGTTGTAGCTTGCAGGAGTCGACGGAAGCCGGATGGCTGCCCCCCGATACTGCTATTTTCTCAGGAATATCCTAAGCTGGTTAAAACACGTCAAGCTTGGATGGGCGCGCTTCGCAACCTTTTGGCACGCGACTACGGCGGATAAGCTAGCAAAATGTGCTCCCTGGTACTTCGTCATGGTTCGACTACGATACGACGCCTGTTTAGCTCACAACAAGAATTAGGGGGCGCACCTATGCGATGCATGCTTCCGTTTGGCTCCGTTCAATTGTGGAGTCGTCCACTGCGGTGGGTTTTGACTGTGGCCTTCCCTTGTGTGTATACCTTTTAGTTCACATACCAGAGCCTGTTGATGCCACTAGTTGCCGTTGGTTATCGTCGTGGCTTTCGTCCATGTCATGGTGGAGTTGCAGGTACAAAGCAGGTCCATGCCAACCTCACACATCTAGTGACCACTGACATTCAGTATTTTTCCCCATTGCTGTTCCCTACCTGCGTGGCATTTTCCTTTATCGGCATTCTTCTATCCTCTTGACTCCATTCCCCTCTTCCATCTTCTCAATCTTGCGTATTCAGCTGTTCGTCTATATACCAATTTTATTTTATTTTTTCGGCTTGTTTCTTGTATCATGACGAGACCGCAAGAGTCGATACCGCCGGCAGCGAATGTTCTTGGAACCATCGGGACTGTGTAAGTTCGTTTGAGCAAACAGTGAACTCGCCCGTCGACTGATTATGGAAAATAGGTGCTGGTGTGTCCAAGTTCTGCCGCAGATATGGCATAACTGGAGAAGAAAAACAACCGATGGTCTACCGGGGGTGATGCTCATGCTCTGGGCTGGCTGTGCTGTACCCTTTGGTGTATACGCTGTCGTACAAAATTTCAACATCGCCCTGCAACTCCAGCCGCAATGCTTTGGGGGCTTGACATTGATCACCTGGGGCCAAACTCTGTATTACCATAACAAATGGAGGGCCTGGACGGCGACATTCGCAACGATCGGCATGGCAATGTTATTTGCAGGCACGGAAGCCCTGCTCATCTTCACCCTTCGCAAGCCCTACTATAAAGGCATAGAATGGCCTATGATGATGATGGCCATTATCGCGTCAGTTATGCAGTGTGTTGGGCTGTTGCTACCGTTTTGGGAGTTGGCCAAACGGAATGGTCGCGTCATTGGAATCGATTTCGGGTTTCTTGCAATTGATTATGCGGGAGCTTTCTTCTCTCTGATGGCACTGGGTACGTATTTTCGCTCACCCTCACTCTTTCGTCATATACAAGCATATGCTGATGAACATCCACAGTGGCCCAGCATACTTTTGATGTGCTAGGTAGCACTATGTACACTGTCTGGTTAGTACCCCCACACTCCCCGCCCCCTATCAGTCACCGACGGGTACCATTTCAGTGGAATACCAAAGATGTGCTAACATCCGCTCCCACCAGCATGTTTCTGGAGACGGGCATCTTCCTCTCCCACGCCATCTGGATGTGGCGCGTCCGGCACGTCCGACGCGAAGCAAAGAAAGCAGGGAAAACGTACGACGAGTTCGTGGCACAGCACCCGTCCTTGAGGATCGGTCGAACGAACTTGCCATCCAATCCGAGCGCGGAAGACGTAGAAGCCGCTCACCGCCAAACCCAGAACTCGACCGAAACCCTTGTACATGATAGAACGGCGGACGAGAAAGCAATCACGAAGCCGGAAAAAGCTGCGGTGGTGGACCATAAAGAAAAGGGCACACAGATTTCTGACAATGTGGACCAAAAGCCTGAAGAGCTGGGTGAGAAAAACATCTACAGGGAACAGCGCTGACTGATCTTCTTTCTGTGATTTCTTTTTGTTTCTTTGCCACGGTTTCCGCCAACCTCACTGTTGCGATTTCGTGTACGACTAGGAAAAGTTCTTCCATTACGCTAGTTACGACTTGGCCCGCCTTTGGGATATGACTGGAGAAGTTTCCCACATTCATATTGGAGCGGAATGTGTTCACGATCTACCATTCACCACGGCCTTTCTTGTTCCTCTCTTTCAAATTGTCCAGCATATACATGGATGAAGCCTTTCTATATTGTTTTCAAAACATGACTGGACTTCAAGGTATCATGTTATTTCCCACTTCTAAAAGCTATTTTTTGGTATTTTTTCGGCGTTTGGATACTTGCTCTGGATCGCTAGCTAAAAGCAGGGTGTTTGGAGCGGATATTGTGGCCGAGCAGAATGTTTTCAGTTACCGTCTTTCCATTTCCATTTTTAAGGCTGGATTTACAAAAATTGGTAACACAATTCTAGGGAAGAAGAAACGTTCTTTTTATGTTTAGTTCAGTAAATTTGACCCATTATCAGAGCCTTCGAGTTGCATTACGCTGTGCGGGCTTGACGACATCCAGTCCTTCGCTCTCGCATAGTATATGCACAGAAAAATATACACATGATGCAGGCACGGAGAGTTGGCGTTGACCACACTTGAAGAAGGAACGAGCGCGAGAAAATAAGATGACTTCATACGGGAATAACGACGCGCAGGACTGTTCAATTCCTCCAAATCCTACCCCGCCAACCCGCGAGATCCCTCGGCCCCCCAGGACAGCAACTTACGACGTCTGGTTAGTGGGGCAGCACGGCGCACTTCACCTCCCTCACATCCTTCACCGAGGTAATCCGTCAGTCAAGTCCACGACGATCTCGCTTCCGCATCCTCCCTCTTCCCACCAACCAAGATAACTTTCTATACTCAACGCCTTCAACCAACGATTTCAAAGTAGTCTTCTAGTCTCCCTTACCATCGTATACACGTCCACCAGATTTTCCACTGGCGGACTGCCACCTGGCTCAGCGACGCTGCACGTACGTTATCTACGCATTCACAAATTGACGCCCCATTCAATCTACTCCACTACTCGTCTGTATACCTGTCTGTCTGTCTGTCTGTATGTCAGACACACATACATATGCATGGTGTTCTGTATGATCGGTAAACATCCAAAACAGCTGGCTGATCTTGGGACTCGGTAGTTGGGTTTTATTTTGGCCCCTGCGTCCATACATACCGTACCGTGTCTGTCTGTGCCAACCGATTCGCGGGTGGCTTTTGAGTGTGAGTTCGGCTTTGCTTTGCCTTGGTTTTCAAGAAGGCGGGACGGGTGTGTTCAAATCAGGTGCGCAGATAAACTTGTCATTGAAAGTTCGGCATGCCGATGGCATGGTCTTCCTTTTTTTTTCGGAAAAAAAAAGTAGAATCAGTGTGAGGCTGTGGTATTGTCATCTCGATTTGCTAACTTGTATTTTGATCATAGGATAGAGTGTACGACTCATTTATTGGTTTCCGTTCTGATTCAACGAGGGCAAAGAGTAGATTCGTGGCGATACCCTTGACTTCTCGGGGAAGATAGGATAGAACTGGAGAAGAGGAAGCCAATCAATTGATATCAATATCAAAGACCAATAACGGAGCAAAGGACGGGAGTCATGGCAACACCTCAGAACAACCCGGGGCTGCCGAGCCCACCATTCTTCAACATCGGCAACATCAATAATCTAAGGGATGCCGCGCTGGCCGAGGGAGGCTTGAAGACGGAATCAGGACTGCTTGTAAGGACTGGAGTTCTATTTCGGAGCGCGGATGTCAGTTTTCTGGATCGGGAAGGGTGGGAGAAGGCGAGGAAAATTGGGTAGGTTGGCGCGGTTCCCTATTGCTTGCCCTTCCATGTTCATTTCTATTGGTTCTTCGAGCTATCAGAGGACCTGATTTTCGATGATGATATCTCATTCGTGCACCTTCACTTCGGTATTGTTTTGAGATGTATATTCATCCCCTTCTGACATGTGAACAGAATCGCACACGTCTTCGACCTACGTAGCAAGCCCGAAGTCGAGAAAGGCTGGAAAGGCATCACAGGCGAAGCTGCGAATCAAGAAGACGTAGACATCAGACTCGCCAGGGAAGAAGGCATGAAGAGTGCCGGCGTGCAACGGTCCTGGGTTCCTGTTTTCGAAGACACGGACTATTCGCCAGAACGACTGGCTGAAAGATACATGGTGCGCTGTCATACCTATTTATCCATCTCCCTGCAGCCGATGTTTGAGGCGAAGCTATATTGAGATGACCCTTACTGACCGAGAATGGGGTGAACAGCACTACGTCGATGAATCCTCCCAAGGCTTCGTCCAAGCATACCACGACATCCTTATGCACGCCGGTCCAGCATACCGCACTATTTGCCAGTACCTCGCGTCTCTCCCATCACATACCAATGACAGCACTACGACTACTGGCCCTGCAGCTGGTGCGCTGATCCACTGCACAGCAGGCAAAGACCGTACAGGCATCTTCTACGGCATCCTGCTGTCCTTCCTCGGAGTCCCCGATGACGTCGTCGCAGCCGAGTACTCGCTCACCGAGGTCGGGCTTGCGCATATGCGTGAATCGGTTGTCGAGAGATTACTCCAGGGTCCAGGGTTCGATGTTTATATGCGGAAGCTGATGAGCGATGATGCTGCTGCTAATGCGAATGGAGAGTTTCCGCCAGAGATTCTGGAGAAAGGAAAACAGGCAGCGTTGAGGATGATGGGAGCGAGGAAGGAGAGTATGCTGGGTGGGTTGGAGATGGTGAGGAAGGAATGGGGAAGTGCGGAGGGATATTTGAGGAAGGTTTGCGGGCTGGATGACGGGGAGGTGGAGGGGTTGAGGGAGGCTCTTTTGGTGGGGAGCTGACTAGGTGATGTGAAGGCTGTTCTATAAAAAAATGATGAATTTGGGTAAATAGAGTTGTAAAATCCTGGGATAGATGAGCGAAGATGAACGCAGGCGGTTGTGATAGATGGTGTTTGAAGCTTGATGGTGTGGTAGAGCTAACAAGCAGTAGATATAGAATGTACGCCGCACAGATTTCATAGATATATATCGAAATATATAAATCACCAATCATAAATTTAATAGCATTGCAGACATACGATAGCAACGTTCTGAGGTTCACCTCATTGCATCAAAGCAATTCTAACTGGTAGTCAAGTAAGCCCGCTACCATGCCACCCCAGCCCTCGCGTATTACACATGGTCTGCACTAGCATGGGTTTCACCAATGCACTGAGCACGTTTCCGCAAGTAAGAGGACTTGGAGAAATGGACACACATACGTACGTCCTCGCGTCTTCTTTGCTGCATTTTCAGTATCATTATATTATGAACATTTCGAAATTTCTGTCAAAACCTACCAACGCCCGTTTGGCTTAGGGGTACAGCGTCTCACTCGTATGTATTACGCATGACATGAGAAGATCCTCGGTTCGATTCCGAGAATGGGCAATGTTTTTTTTTTGCCGGTTCGACATCCGTAGAATGGTATCCATCATTTCAGTGTTCATTCATGTGGCTTTTTGTTCTTCTAATCTCTCTCCATTTCAAACATGAGGCAATCAATGAATGTGGCGTAGATGGATTCCAGGTTCCGGCCTAGTGCATCTTGAAAACGTGGAATGCCGATGGCTCGTAAGCTGTCGGACCGTATACAAACGCTATTATGGCACGAAATGACAGAAGAAAGGGTTGAGGGAGCGGGTGGCGGTGGAAGCCAGAGACCCTGCATATCAAGACGAAAAATAGAAACGATAGTGTGCGGGAGAAGAAACAATTGACAGTGGGCAGCAGAAGGTCACGCGGAACAATGGATTCTGTCAGGGGCTACAAGGTTTACACATGATGGTGGAAATTTGAAGCTGAAAGCAGGATATGGATGGTGAAGCGGCCACTTGGTTAGCAAGTCTAGCGGGGGAGAGAGGGTGAGGAAAGCAAGATGGGATGCAAATGGATCTTGTATAGGGCTGAAGTATGCTGCCCCCCCTTTTTGGGTCTCGGGAAGACCAAACACTGTACACCAGCAAACGCGGATTTGAGTAGTCGACCAAAATAGTGGTGTCGCGCACAACCTGCTGAATCTTGACTTGCTATCAGCATGTGAAGTGTACAAGCAAACTAGAATGTTTAGCGGAGTGGAGCAGGCGTGTATGAGGACAAGGCGAGTGCACAAGATATGCTGATACATGGAAATGATTCGGGGAGAAGAACCGCCACTGCACATGACGGTGCGATGATGGTGGAAAAAAACATGTTCAAGATGCACGGCGATGTTGGGTCAGAAACAGAAGAGTCTTCAGCAAAAGGGCCGAAGGAGAGCCGTGAGGGAGTGACGGGCGACTAACGGGTAGATGCGAAGAGTGAGGATGAGCTAGTGCTGCAGAGTCTGCGTGTTCGTTGCTCAATTAGGGTCGGGTGGGTGGCGCAATCGACTAGAGGCTAGCGGCCGCTCTTTCAAACACAGAACTCAGGCGAGACATGGTGAGGATGAGATGTTGTCGGGGAGCAGAATGTGGACGGCGAGCCAGGGCAACAAGAATGCAGCTGGATAGCATGGCCGGATCGGGAGCGCCCGAGACATCGGTGAAGGGAAAAATGGGGCGGGTGAAGTAATGGTAATTGCAGAAGGCCGTGTAGAAGAGTCTGGAGCTCCAGCAAGTGGAGCAGCAGCGCAGGCAGTGGGCGAAGGCCGACACAGAGGACAGCAACGTGCTCAGCGGTAGCGGTTGCGGTGCAGCTTTTCCGGCGGGTGTCATGCCACAGGGTGGAAAAGGGCGTGCGAGTGTGATGAATTTTGCGCAGGGGGTGAATCATGACATGGATGGGGTGGTGACTCCCACCTGGATATGCTATTGATGGCGGCTTGGCTACCGAGTGTGTCCATCTGGCGACGTTGAACCACAGAATGGAACAAGGGCGACGGGATTCAATGGCACAATGGCTAGCAGAGGGTCAAGTCAATTGAGGGGGGAAAGAGGGGGAATAAATGATGACGGCCAGACAGAGATGGCATTGCAGTGGGTACAGAATTGGTGGTGGACTGTCTCCGTGGAGATGTTTGAGCTCGCACGGCACGCAGGCTTCGGAGAGAGAGAGTTTGCGAAGGTGATGGGGCAGGGATGGTGTTAAATGCGGGGAATGGCCGATCAGATGGGCGCGGCCAGGGGACAAGACATGATGTTTGGATGATGATGAGGATATGTCAGCGGTGCCCCATTGACCCGTTGAGTGCAAGCGACATGGCGTGCTAGGTTTGCATCATGTCTCTGTAGTGCAGTTGAAACAAGGCGGTGACGGAAGGGGAAGACGAAAGGGCGTGTTGTCGTCGTCAGCGATGAGTAATGAGGGTGATGCGATGATGCGATGCGATGATCAGTCATGTATGCGTATATGTATGTAGGTACATACATACACAGGTATATGTGTGTGTGTGGTGGAGGAGCACTCTCTCACATGTACAGAGAGGAGAGCAAGGTCAGCAGGGCAGCAGGGCAGCCACGGCAGGGATGCGGCCACCCGAAGTGGCTCTAGCGCGCCTGCTCGCAAAGCTTGGCCTGTTGCGCCATGTCATGCCTGCTCGTGGCCCCAAAGAAAAGTCATCCAACGCCGGTCCACTCGAGAGTTTTCATCAAGTAACCCAGCTGTGAAAGACCTTCGCCGCCAGCAAAGTCCCTGGGTCGTGCTGCCCTTAAATACCCCCGCCGTGCCCGCCGCCTCATGTTTGATTTCCCTTGAACCCTCTCCCTCCGCCAGAACATGTGCTGTCTGCAGTCGCTGCTTCGACACCAGTTGAACGTCCACAAGATCAACTCGTAGCATCCTTTCAATTCTCCATCTACGTCTGCGCGCATATCGCTAGCCCGCCACCGCTCTGCCATTGGGCTATAGCTATCTCTGCACTGATAACGACCGCCGCCTGCCTGCCTGCCTGCACACCACCTTTCTCCCCCCGCATTCTTCCAGAAAGACACCACCCGCCCGCCTTTGTTGGCCATGCCGGGCCGCCTGCTTTCCCTTGTTCGGCCAGCGCCCTCGTCGCTGCCCACAGGCCCTTTCAAGCACCACGCCAGACCCAGCCCCGACGAACCAGCGCCGCTGTTCCCCCCCGTCTACTCTGTCGAGCGTCCCCCCAACCCTCGCTCCCGATCACAGGATTCTCTCGTCATGGAAGCCTTCAAGCGCCACAGCCTGGGCGCCCGCTCCCACTCCGACAAGAAGAACAGTCCCAAGTCTACCCCCAAGGCTGGCAGCCCGCGCCTGGAGCCCCACGCTGCTGCCGTCATGAACATGAAGGTCGAGTCACCCCCACTCGTCTTCTACAACAGCCCCCAAGAGTCATCCGGAGCCCTTCTCTCGGGTCTGCTCCTCATCGACGTCCACGATCCCTACATCACCTTGGACAAATTCGAGATGAAGTTGCTCGCCGTCGTTACCACCAAGAAGCCTGTTCATGCCAATTGCGCCGACTGCGCCAACCAAATCACCGAGATCAAGAAATGGGATTTCATTTCCGCCCCAGTGTCGCTACGTCATGGCAAGGACCATTCATACCCCTTCAGCACCATTCTCGCCGGCACCTTGCCCGCCACTACCCGCGGCCAGCTCGCCACTCTCGATTACTACCTCGATGCTGTTGCCACCTTGTCGAATGGTAAGACCATTACCTACAAGCGGAATCTGGATGTTAAGCGCGCCATCTTCCCCGGGAACGACAAGCACTCGGTTCGCATCTTCCCTCCCACCAACCTCACTGCCACAGTGAAGCTTCCTCCAACCGTCTACCCTATTGGCGATTTCCCAATCGAGCTGCGACTTGCTGGTGTCACCCAGAACAGTGGTGATGCACAGACTCGATGGCGACTTCGCAAGCTTAATTGGCGGATCGAAGAGACGGCCAAGTACATTGCCCCCGCCTGCGCAAAACACGCACAAAAGGTTGGCGGAGAGGGCAAAGGCATCCTTCACGAGGATACGCGCATCATTGCCAACCAAGAGGTCAAGACTGAGTGGAAGACGGATTTTGACGCTGGTAACATCGAAGCCGAATTCCGCGCCGCCTGCAACATGGCTTTGAAGCCCCTCTGCGACATGGACAGCCCCAACGGCATGAGCGTCAAGCATAACCTCGTTATCGAAATGGTCGTTGCCGAGGAGTGGGCCCCTTTGAAGAAGCTCAGCCAAGCCACTCCCACCGGAGCAGCACGCGTGCTTCGAACCCAGTTTCACTTGGTTGTTACTGAACGCTCTGGCATGGGCATTGCATGGGATGAGGAGCAGCCCCCTATGTACGAGAATGTCCCAGCAAGCCCGCCAAACTACAACAACGACACGACCGTTAGCGATTACGACATTGGTGCGTTGAGCGACGATACTGAGCATTTGCGATTGTAAACCCAGCATCCAAGCCACCCACGACTTTTCTTTACATTGACATCCACATCTTATTTCTATTTTTTGCATTCCGCGGCTTTGGAGACCAGTTGGTCTTGGAGGATATACCCATTTGTTGTTTCAACTGGATCTACACTCAGGTCTCATTCTTTTTCTTCAGCGTTGGAGTACCTTGGTCTGCCATGGTTCGAGCGTAGCGCTCCAATTTTTCCCCTCTCATTCTTTGTACCATATCCATGGTTTGGCGTTTTCGGAAACAAAGCATCACATCGGAAAAGTTCCTTGTCTCGCAACACATCTTGATACCATTCAACTTCTACGTAATTACTATTATTATTGTTATTAGTCGGTGATTCAGCCGTTCTGCACTCCACTTCTCACGCTTCCTGCATATGTTGAGCTCCGAGTGTCCCATTGTAGTTGGCCAAGCTGCCACAGCTCCCCACTTTTCCCTCCACCATGGTACCCAGTCGCGCGACGCGTGTCGTTGCATGTTTGATGTACGGAATCACGTGAGATCGCGCACACAGCATCCAAACTGTTGAAACGACTTCGAAATCGGCGTGTGGATATCTGCATGGGTCGCGTGTTTTGCGCTCCGATGGACACAGGCGAGGACCCCTACAGCTTCAGTAGACAAGATGCTCGCAAGTCTAGAACCTTTCAACACCTCCACCAGTCTCTCTACATCTTACACACATCACACCACCTATTCCCCACATTCCAGTGACAGTGGTCAACCACCTTTCTCATCACATTCAAGCCCATCCGTTTTTTTTTTTCCTTCCAAATTCTTCATGCCATGGATGGATCCTTGGTGATTGAAAACTTCTTTTTCTCCTTGCCGACTTGCAGTACTCCTGATCAGATTAAAAAAAAAATCTGCGCACATCATGCCCCACCCACCATTTTGATTTGCAGGTATCCATCAACAACACCCTTGCACGTACTAGTTATTTCCACTTTTTGAGTCAGACTGACGTTCGAGCTTCGAAGCTTCACATTTCCGCTTCGACGGGTTCGTACTATATGTGTGTGCGTGCGTGCGTGCATGCATAACCGATCTTAGTACACGATAGTAGTGTAAATGTACTAGACTAGTCATCAAGGTACTGTACACTAAACTAATGTCTGCATGGATGAACGTCGTAATGCATCTTTTTTTTCCTCCCTCCTTTTTGCACATTTTCTTTCGAAGCATTGGGAAGAGCGTATACTCTTTGCACCTGAGCACTGTGAAATGCATCATTATAGGTAGGTTCTCTTAGTATTGATCGTGTAATTGCCCTTTATTTTTTTTAGTTTGGTGTTGGATTACGCCTTGAGGTTTGGCGCATCGTTGGGCGGTGGATAGGGGAGAGGGAGGAACATGTCGAGCATCTGATTCAATCGATTCAAACATTTGAAGACATCCCCTAAGTATCGTTGTCCAAAGAATACACTCGAGACTTGGGATGGAGTATTAACGTACATTACTCTATGCGCGTTTCCTCTCTTATATCCTGGCACGGAAAAACCACTGTAGTTGGTCCATCATACAGCATTACATTACTCCGGCCTACGACGTTGTTCAGTGGGCAAGTTGTGGCAGAAGCATATATCCAGGTAGCTTGCGTGAGCGAGTGTGAGCGAGTGTGTATGTGTGTGTGTGTGTGTGTGTGTGTGTGGAAATAATACAGGAGAAGTTTGACATAGACGCGGATAATACCGGGTTGACCTGATTGTTGTTCTGGCACTACTTCTGCATTCTTTCTCCATCCAACTCCTATCGTTATGTGGAGCGATGAACATTGTGTTTCTGAATGTTCCCTTTGAGAGGGTAACTAGGTTGAAACTGGGTTGAATGGTGTTGATACTCGCCTGCGAACATCAGTCTCGGGCCTATCCACACAGCGGCGTCGTTATATATGCGAGATAAATTGTTCAGAGGTGGAATAGAATGCGGCAGCGAGTTTGTGGTTGAGAATTCCTGTGAACCTTGTTAGCCCACTACTTCCTTGCGTGTTATCCGCTCCCTCCTCATGTGTAGAAAGCAGATTGCTTTCCTGTTCTTTGATTACCTGCGGTGAATGTTTTGGAGCGCATCGACGGGAAGTAAGGCTTACAGTATAGTGTAATCAAACAGTAATAAGACGGGATCTATTTGCCCCCAAATGTTACTAAGGCAAGTAGGGGTTCCCGCAGCAGACCCCCGCGGGAGACAAGCCTCACGGCGGTACTCGAGGAAAAAGCCGTGCTCGTGATGATTTGCATGGTACTTTACATGCCATGACTGGATCTTCTTCACACCGGAGTGCAGTATTTCAAATCCGTAACTAGCCAGCTATCAATTATTTCGGGCGACGTAACTCTTGATTAGTGAGCAGATTCCCGGTTCCTATTTCGCGATTGGTATTTGCGAGAATTGATGATGGTTCGCGTTGGTCAGGCTCGTCCTTCAGTACGAGGTGGCATGTGTTTTCCTTTCCCGCTTGATGAGAAGAGGACAGGTAACGCGTCATGCCCAGTTTCCTAGACCGGTAAGTATGAACGAGGCCGAAAGAGCGAATAACCACGTATCTGGTAACGAGAATGTGAAGGGGGCAGTGATCTTGTAAGCATGCAGCTACGTTCCGGTAAATTCGGGCGACGTTCTGGGAAAATACGACAAGGACAATAGTGCGCAAAAGAGGCCATGCGTGAGTAATGTGAGATTGATGACTATTGAATCTCTACCATGCTCATGGTCAGGGGTATACGAGCCTTGGAAGTCAGCGTGTGAATATAAGGTTGCTCTCCAGTATAGACAGTGCATTCAACTGTTAGACTACTCATCAAGGTGGGCCTGTACTTTGTGACCGGATTGGCTCATCGCTACATATGCCACCCATTTAAAGTATTTTCTAATAATAGAGGTAGCATTAGGGAATGCAGTTTGCGTGGTGTACAGGCGGACTGCACCAGAGCAACACAGCCGCCTCGGTGCCCTACTGGTCTCTCCTGTGCGAAGAGTGAAGGTCGGATGCCGCGGCTTTTCCAACTGGGGCTAGACAATCGCGGATGCACGCACGGACGGATGGCCGCCCCAAAATAGAACAAACACCTCTGTACATGACGTCCAACGCAACGCACACTCCAGAGTCCACCAACACTTCTGGTGTCACTTGGAGCGGACATCTTGCGGAGCGCTTGCAGTCTATTGTGCCTGAGATGCCATGTTCCTTGCCCCACAATCACCCAAAACTGGACCATCGCTGTGTAATGAACAAGGCGACCCGCCTGGTCTCCTGAACGTTATTCTTGCTGCTGGTTCCCGCCGAATAAGATGCTTATGCGCACTTGCCACCTACAAATCCTCCCGAAAACACCTCGCCGTCTCACACAGCCTCACCATATGGTCACTGATGGACACAGCACAAATGCCTACCAGCGAATCATGATACCACGTTAAAATGTTACGAAGTCCGTTTGGCAACTTGTACAAGACTGTCAGGGCCCAAAACTATAGCAAGTATCTGCCGTCGAATTCGAAGACATGAACGGGTGCAATTTCCGACGTTGGCGGCAGCTACTTGGGTCATCCGAGCATAATCTTCCAAATATACGACATTGGCAACGGCGATCACTGCGTGGAAGCATCGTCGTAGGAAGGCCAGTGACCATGCACTCGCTTCCAAGAGTACAATCCGAAGTATGCAAGAGCTATCCGGCACACGCCAGGAGCACAGAACCTCCCAGGTCCAATCATCGGCATTCCTTCCCCGCTCCCAACTATCCACTGCTCGAGCTTCAATCTTGCAGAAGCGAAGGCTTAAGGCCTCCGGACATGGTATAGGATGGTCTATGTATATATCCCCCGTACAGGCGAGAAGAGCATACATGCCGTGCCACTCGATTGACCGTTGGAATGCCTGATTACGAGCCCACAACAAGGCGAAGGATCGCATTCTGCATGTCTCTAGCCACAGGCAAACATGGTTACGTCCGCGTGACTTCAAAATTATCCTGGCACCTAATGTCTCGCGCACATTAGGTGAAGAAGATGGGATACGATTGCAGGCATGTGAATATGCACGTGGATCCAATCGACGTGCAGAAACCGGAGAAGGGAGAATTCGCAATTGGGGCGAAAGCATATCGGGTCATTTGCCGTTGCATCACTCGAACCTTCGACTCTACTGATTTAGGCAGATCCCAAGTTTTTTCTCTCTTGGAGCGAGTGCAAGATTGCTTGTCTTAGAGCCTATCTATCGAAATCAATAGCACACTCTGGAGATGAAGGCATTTGATGCCTGTTGGCCTGAAGCGAGTGTTGAACGCGGATCCATAGGCAGATGGCGAGTATTCTCAATATATTGATGTCCCAAGCTTAGCAAATAAGCTACAGAGCCTCGCCTTTGTAACGCCCCCTCGCTATCGCGCACCCACAAGCGAAATCGGTCGTTAGATGGGTGTAAATATCAAGTTTGTATCATTCTTGGAGTGATAGCTGCTGGTCAAGAACATGGGATTTGGAGAGCGGACCGCGTAGAGTGAAGCGGGAAGACATTCGGAATTCCCAAGAACCTTCGAGCCTTAGCTCGCGATCACGGACACGATCGTCATTCGGCCATTTATTTAGCCGTGCCATGTTCTCGACTCGTACCTTCGAATGCGATTCAGAGGTAGTCGTGTATGAGGAGGTCGTATTGCACTCGCCTATCATTACATCTGAAACATTCATGAAAAGGTCCACCTATGATCCCAACGATTCGGATCGAAACGGAGCCGCTGCCCGACTTGTCTACAAACGCTTCTCAATCAAGTAATGTGTTGACCTAATCTGGTAGCTTTTGGCCCCGCCGATGCGGGCGTGCGTTTATAATTACACGACCGACAGCAGATGGTCTCTGGACGCGGCCTTGTTGATGCAAGGTCTCACGCCACACTCCTTGCGGCTACTAAACATATCCATGCGATTTCGCAACGGATGCTCTACAATCTCCACAAGCGCTGGCGTCAACGATTGGTCAATCCTTCTATAGGTCCGTGAGCTTCAGCAGGGAGAAGACGGGCGGGAGTATCTGACAGGAATAGTATTGTTTATGGGTGGTGTAGTGGGTTCCAGCTTCATCTAATCTGCAATTGGAACGCACTAGAATGGATTTGGGAGTTCGAGGATAAAAGCAGAGATACAGTCTTTTCGCCTACGCATCAACTGAAATTATGGGGCCAAAGACGATCCAGCGATCGCGAGGTAGTAGCAGAGCCGTTGTGGCGCCCAGCTCCGACAACGCGCCCCAATCATCATCGACCTGAAATAGAAAAAACAGAGAGATGTGCCTACACGATAACCAGATCCACCATGCTCAAGGTTGTTAGCCTGACCCACCCTTGCGGACACTCTCTTACCGGAAACCTTTGGTCGCCACATCAGTAGACAGTCAATGGCATTGGTACGAAGGCATTTGGGGGCTCGCGTGGAAACATTCCCCAAAAGGCAATTGCCCTACCCGCAACGGGAATAGCTCGACACTGGATAGAGTGAACGAGCCACTCGGTTGGCCTTTCTGATTGGATAGTTACCTCCTTCCATTGCATCCAAGCTTCCAGCACGGCACCACACAGCATCTTACATCTTTCTTTCCTCGCACTACCCCCCCAGTCTTACGTATGTCTCAAATCAGCAGAGTCCTTTCCCTGAGCGATCTACATCCCCCGAGAGTCCGGGCGTTCACTAAAGCTAACCTTCCAACGTCAACCACATAGCCAGCGTGTTCGAATGACGGCTTCCGTATAAGACATTACTGCTACCGGATTACAGGCTGAGTAAGGCTTTTCCTATACAGGGCACAAATACGGCCAAGGTTCTACACAAACACATGATTCGGAGCGAAAAACTCTTGTCTACATCCATCCCTCATTGGTAAAGGCCTTTTTTCGTTCGTATTTTGGGAATGTCTTGTCATTTCCGAGACCTGGACCCCCATCCCCCCACTGCCTTCTCGGGAGGACGCAATGGTAGGTGCGGTGACGGCAGCAGTGCGCGCGTGCACTGTGTCGTATTCTTGTGCAAAAATTAAGATGAGGCTCCAAGGTGGCCATTATCTTGTGCTACTTCTTTCTTGGGTAGGTGTGTATTCTGCGAACTTCAACTTTCTGAAGGCAAAAGGCAAACACAAAGTTTATGTATATAAGGATCGGGGAGCTGTCCTCTCTTTTCATCTTCACTTCATCGACACTTGAACATCAAGACCTCTAGAGCGTTTTCCCAATCACACGATTACGATATCAAGCACTGTCGCTTTTGGAGACGATCACAAACATCAGATCATCAGCATCAGCAAGCAAGTGACGCGTACGTACCTTATTGAAGTCTCATCAAACGAATCACGACAAATTCCAAGTCTGCAACGAAGATACACCATATATACGCGCACGCACAATCCCTATACTCCATTGTTCTACACAACAATAACAACTCACAACCTTCTCATCAACTATCCCTCTCTCGGCTTCACAAGGGCAAACGATTCACGCGCCGCGCAACAAAATAACCCACAATACACGACACGATCGAACACAATGCCTGCTGCCGCCCCTCACAGTCTCGCCTTCTCTCTGCTCCACAGCGCAAGAGTTGCTTCGTCCCACGAGCTGGCTTCCAGCACTACCACATCTACAGCTACCGCTCCGTCTACTACCGCCACTTCTTCCTCGAACACACCCAATAGCTCGCCCAACAGCAGCCCTTCTAGTGGACAGAACAACAGCGGGGGGAAATGAGCCTTTGCCACTTTCCCTGATTCTTTGCCCAGGGCCTCGATATGCTGCAAAAATTACTACACTTGTGCTTTTCCTATAAAAGTGGTTGACTGATGCTTGAAAAGACGATTTCCCCAAGTTTTTTCTTTCCTGGAATCTTTCGTCGACGTTTTCCCCTCCACCATTCCATGTGCTCCTATTTTCTTCTCTTTTATTCCCCCCCTTGATTTCAACGACTTTCACCCCTCTCTTGATAGCTGGTGTTCTTCTTTTTGTTCTCCATCCATATGTCTTCATTCTATTCCCTTCTTCCATCTGGGTTTCGGTCCTTCTTATTTACTACTCTTGGTATGTTGTTACACGGGCTACGAGGGCAATGAACAATGGGGTCCCGGTTTGATGATTGTGTATGGGAATAGGGTTTCCGCTTGAAACTCCATTCACTTTTCTTAGACGCATCTTAAATGATTCTGCTTCTCATAACTCTGTAAAATTCCACGTTCACTGGCGTACTTGAACCGTTTCATGTATTAGTAGAGTTTGGTGACGTGTGTCAGTGTGCTAGGCGCCTTGATTTGATAGCTTTGGTTCGAGACGTCAAAGTATGAATGTCCTGCAGCCAATCGATAATGTCTACAAATCCTTAGGTATGATTGCTCCAACTACGCGACCCGGATTGTGGACGTCAGAGAGAGAGAACATGCGGAAATAATAATATCAATTGATAGGGTAATGTACCCAATCTACAGTTTATCGACTCCAATGTGTTCGTGGTTGAAGACCAGACAATGAATAACACAGAGACCCCGACACCACCATAGAGTTTACAAACTCAACCAATTACCTATATAGAGGACAAATTACGGTGTATCCCCCATGGCTGCAAACCCTAAACCATATTTCGTCCCGATGATCGAAGAGTCTCAAAACCGATCGCGTAACCGCCTGGAGAGAACACCCAACGCAAAGTAGTCAGGCGCGCAGTTCCTACTGTCTCCCGGCTTTCTACTTCTATTAACCCTGTCCTACCTGCCTCACAATGGCACCCACTTTGACACCCACGCACCGCCACGAGCCCTTCGACATCAATATTGAGAGGCTGCCAACTATACTCGGACCAGAATTGAACAGCCCAACATCACTAGTGCGAGACATGGAGAAAGCCGTCCACACGCTGGATATGCCAACAACAAGATGAGACGGGAAATGCAAGGAGACAGCATGTCAACTGTATTCTATATGTGTAAGAGTGTAGAATGCCCTCTGGAGGCGTATCATCAGCAAGAGTCGGGATGGTATGCATATACTAGAGCACGCGCGGCTCACCATCATTGCTTCTCCGGCGGCCCAACCTATCAACGACTTACCATGTGGTTTTTTGACCCACCCCCCAATCCATCGCGGATGCCGTCCAATCTAGTTGATTCATGCCAGGATCAATCGTAGGATTCGTGATAGAATCCAAGCCAAATACTGGCCAAGGGTTTTGCAAACCATTCACGAACTCATTCGTGATCGTGTCATCAAAAGCAGCACCCCCTCCTGCCATACCTGCGAAACCACCACCATAAACGTCTGCACTCCCGCCGCTGAGCCAATCCACACCGACATCACTCCCAATCTGTTCTTCTCGCGCTCTTTTTTCCTTCGCAATTTTTCTGATCGTCGTGACAATACCTGGAACTTCATCGGGATCAAGGACCTCGTTCCGCCTTACAAGCACTTCTTCTTTCGCAGCCCACGCCCCAAGCACCAGCTTTCCCATCAACATGTAAATCGCATCCTGGTTTTGAAACACTTCGCTCAACCACATCGTGAAATTCGTGCTCATAACATCCCATGCATCGCGAGCATGCGAATCCAACGGAGCACGCTTTAGGTGCTTGAGTAGGTGAATGTACGCAGGGAATGGGAAGTAAAAGCGCGTCATCCATCGGAAAGGTTTTGTCAAGGGAGACGATTTGATGGTATTGTTGCATTCGAGGAGACGAATTGCGTGCTGGCATGCAGTGTCAAATTGTGTTTCGGTCCAGGATGATTCGAGGTCAGACCGGTAGTACTCCATTAGCCTGCACTTTGCGAGCAAAGACCTGGTTTCCCAAATAGTCATGAAGTGGAGCGGGTCTGAGGGGTTACAGAGGGAGAGGTACCGCGATTCGAGCATCTTTTCGAGGTGTGTGATTTGGTCGTTAGTTCCGGGGGACGAATGTACTGCTGGGGTGGGAACGAGCGGTAGAAGCTCTGGGGCATTATAGGCGAGATGGAACGCTGTATGGCAGATAAAGTTGCCCATGTTCGCCTTCACTACGACGTAAATTGATTCCGTGGGTTGTTCTTGAGCAACTTCTGGCGTGATGATGGTTGAGATGGGCGGGTCTTGGACACTGGCAGCAAGAGTCGAGTCGTTGCTATTAAGGGGGGTGCGAGTGGAGAATATAGGAAGGAAAGACTTGGTCTTTCCGCCGGCCAGTTGCGACACGCGTACGTCGAAGAGGAGAAGCGCCCACCAGAGTCTTCGCCGCATTTCGCCTTCAAGGAAGTCGTGCTGTGCACAGGCATATTCACTATCCAATTGCATGCGTTGGGCAATGCGGATTGCCATAGCGACGGCGGAGGAGAGCGCTTTGGGCTCGGAGCTGTGAACGTAGGAAAACAAATAGAGGAAGAAGGCTGTCAGACAATCCCGATCTTCAGATTTGAGAAATCCGCTATTTTGTAAGGCTTGTTGACATCCAAATTGATATCTTTTGAGCAGCTCCGGTTTGCTACCTGCGAATGTGGATCGGCAATCACTGTCTTCAAGGCTGAGGATTGCCATGGAGTAGATAGCGAACATGAGTGCTTCCATTGGAGGCTGAAGTGCGTATATGTTGCCTATGGCTTCTATTATGCGTACCTGCATTGTTGGTGTATGTATTACCTTTAGCAAAGGATTGACATTATCCAAAAATAACTGCCAGAGTCGGAAGATATGGGCCGGATCGGGGTGTAATGGGGAAAGATCAACAGTATCCTGGCGGCCAAACAGGAACGAACTGTCGTCGACAAAAATTGAGTCCATCGCTGAGTTGACAATATCATCAAGATACTCTTCCGTATCGGGGGAGTCGCCATCTTCATCGTCAGTGCGAAACTATCTCAATGTAAGCACACGATTTGCATATTTGAGATAGCACCGTACTCTTTGATTAACTGCGTGCCAGAAGCTCCTATCATCATTAGCATATATTTAGGAATGAGAGATCAACAACCATACTTGAGATCAGGTTTGACACCAGGGGAATGAATGGTGGTAGACGAGGATGCAGGAGTAATACCGCCATTTGTCTCCACATGGTCACTATAATCTGGTGAAGGCTTCGTGGTTGTTACTTCTTGACCCAAGGGTTCGAAATCGATGTTATTCTGTTGAAGAAGCTCTTCGTATGTATGTAGTCGGTCGAGTAATTCCTGCTCAGCGAACCTACGACGGCGCCTCCGAGGTATTTTGGTGGCAGGTGTACATGTTGTTTTCGACTTCGTACAATGAAGGCAAGGGAATTTTCGATCGCACTTGATCTTACGCTGCTGACATCCTACGCAGGCGAGGATCCTTTGCGGCCTGGTGGGTAGAAGATTGGGGTGATCAGATGACATTTTGGCGCAACGATGAATGAGGCTTGACAGATCGGTTGTGGCGATTCTCAAATGTCTCAACTATCTTCACGGTGACTGTGGCGCCTGGATCATGACATTAGAGCCTGATACCATCATCCAGCCGGTGAGTTGAGCGCAGAGATGCAAGCCGTGGGGGAGCTAGATAGTGACACAAATAAATCCTGGGTCTGTCTATAGAGGCTCATGTAACGAAGATGCATGCCAAGGGACGATTCAGCATATGGAATGCAGCTCGGTATTGTAGATCTGATGTAGTGGGTAGCCCCGCTGATCTCATCAATTGATTATGTACGTCAACACTCTTTGCCAAGCCTTTTCGGACCAGCCAACCAATAAAGGTTGCCCCAGGATTTTCCAATCAATCTGTGGTTTGAAGAGAACCAAACAACGGATATGTTGTATACCCAGACTATCAGCAAGAGATCTAATGCAGACAGTAGCCATGTAGTCGTATGATAATTGATCATAGTAACAATGTGCGAACCCTACAAACTTGACACTATGGTTGCATCGTTAATCGATGGAAGCATAAGGTTTGAGAAGCATGTAACAAAAAGACTGAATAACCCAGGAACGCTCAGAGACCAGTTTAAACTCAGGATGAGTGGTGCCCAAAAATCAGGATGTCATTAGTTGATAGTCGAAATCATAGACATGCAGTGAGCATTCAGTTTGATATGTAAGCTAATCCTGTTTGACTTAGTGTTGCCAAGACATACATCCGCGGATAATTCTTGAGAACCTCGCGCAGCATAATCAACACCCCCGAGTAGCGATGCTGCTCCCACGAATATTAGCGCCTGTAAGGGCATCTGCGCAGTCTTCATCACTGTCGATTGCCCCTATACGTATCTTCGACGCCCTCCGCACTGCCAATGGCATCTCTGCAACCACTTCCCCATCCCTCTCCTTCATAAGGAACGCCACGCATCAGTCCCAAGGTCGAGCCAACGGCGCAAAAGACGGACCCGGAAAGCGGTTAGGAGCAAAGAAGGCTGGAGGTGAGGGGACTCTATGATATACACTGGAGATGACTGAGGGCTGATACCTGAACAGGAGAATATGTGATTCCGGGTAACATTATTTTCCGCCAGCGCGGCACCGCCTGGTATCCCGGCGAGAACTGCAAGTTCGGACGCGATCACTGCATTTTTGCTACCGAGACTGGATACGTTCGATACTACCGTGACCCTTTGAAACACCCTGACCGCCAGTACATTGGTGTCGCTCTCAACAAGGAGGATACGCTCCCCTATCCTCGAAACGCACCGCGGAAACGAAGGCTGAATCTGGTTGCTGTGCCCAGAAATGTGGCTTTAGATACCGAAGCTGCTGTATCGGGATTGCCTGCTGACCTCGCTGGGCCTGAGGGTATCCGCCGTGTCCAGCAGGACAAGAAATCGTCGACGAACTTGACACTGCGCACAAAATATGCGTATGCAAGAACCAACTGGGAGATTGGCCGAGCAGCCGAGAGAGCCAATGTTCGAGTGAAGAAGTTTGTACCGGGAGATCGATGGACAGCATGGAAAAAATCGCGGGCGAGGATCCAGAAGAACGAGGAGCAGAGAAAGCTCCGCAATGCAGGCAAGAAGGCCGCAAAGCCAAAACAACGAAAGCCGAGGGTTATCAAGGCTTAGAAGGTTGTATTTTAAAGATGTATAGATATTTGTACAAACAATGCAGTCACTTGATCTGCGAGGTTGGAGTACAGGGTCATCTACTCAGATGGGTGACGGCACAGACTTTTTTTTCTGTAAATCATGCTTATAGCTTAACAGTATCTTTCAGCACGATTCCCTGGTTTTCCATGTCGTATTGCCTCCCCTTGGTCCAGCCAAACCACTGCGCCAGTGTGTCCTCGCCCCCCGTCCCAGGCTTCAATCCTTTCTCGCTCCAGCCACTTCCCGTCCATCCAATACCTTGACCTACAGCCGATGGTCGCCCGGAATCCCCTTCTTGTACTGCATAGGCCGGTGTCGATTTCAAAGTTACGGCAGGCCTCTGATCGAACCCTTGTTGTTCCAATTCAGCATTTGTAAACACGGGCGTGCAACATGCGTCGGTTCCGTCGAATATGACCTCCCATTCCGAGCGTGACTTCTTCTTGAACACACCAGTGAAGAATTGGGTGAGTTTGGGCCAGTCTGCCTGGTTGTCGCGGTTGCCGGGCAGGTCGGAGGGTTTGAGGGCTAAGCCTTTCAGGAGAGCGGCATAAAATTGAGGCTCAATCGCACCGCTACGAAATTGTCAGTATGCAGGCACCACATATCTGAACAGTATTCCAAAGGGCATAACTTACACGGCCATATACTTCCCATCCTTGGTCTCATACGTAGCATAAAAAGGTGCACCGCCATCCAACATGTTCGTCCCCCGCTCGCGACTCCACACGGGCGTCTTTAATCCCAGTCGCGGCATACTCGCCAGCACCGCACTCCCATCAACCATGTTCGCCTCTACTACCTGCCCAAAACCCGTCCTGTCTCTCGACAAGAGCGCGAGCAGGATCCCTATAAAGCACATTGCGCCTCCGCCCGCGAAATCCCCCACCACGTTCCCTGGGGGGTACGGCTTCTCGCCTTTGCGCCCAAATAAGCTTAGCACGCCGCTCACGGCAATGTAATTTATATCGTGACCCGCCATCATACTGTATTTCCCATCACGGCGGAACCCCGTCATGCGCCCGACTATTAACCGCGAGTTGAGCTTCAGCAGTACGTCTTCAGGAGAGAGACCCAATTTCTCAAGCACTCCCGGTCGGAAAGGATCAATGACGACGTCGACGTGCGGAATCATCTTCTTGATCAGCGCGATGCCCGAAGGGGATTTCATGTTCACGCATATTGAGGTTTTGCGGCGCGTCAGCTGGTCGTTTGAGGGTTGGATGGGGGCTCGGTCGAGGCGGAGGACGGAGGCGCCGTAGTCGGCCAGGAGCATGCCCGCGAAGGGTCCTGCAATTTTACACCGTTAGGCTAATGGTGGCTTTGCAATTGAAGCTTGCGAGAATTACCTGGGGCGAGACCTGCGAATTCGAGGACGCGAATGCCGGTGAGCGGTGGTGCGTTTGACGCCATAGTGGATATCCTATTGCGATTGTCGAGTTTCTTTTCGAAACTGGGGATATTAAGGAATTTAGGGTGGTTTGTTTTGCGATGGAGAATGTATCTTGTACATGATGCTCAACGTCGATGGTAAGATCAAGGCACGGTTTTCATTTTCCATTGTTGGCACCTGAAGCTCCAGATGAGCCGAGGTCCTGTGGTGGGGAAAGTCCGGGGAATGTATGTTTGGTAGGTTGGCCTGACTCGCTTCTTACTGGACACTGGACCTGCTCACTCAATCGCATGAATATCATCTTCTTCTCTGGGAGGTTTTTTTTTTTTCATATTTTCGTTCGATCCTAGACTTTTATCTGATCAAGCCACGAACTTGTACAAGATTCACAGTCGATCCTGCCAATAAATAAAGTATAGATTCTAAGTTGGAGTTTGGGTGGTCCCACACACAGCGATAGTTACAACGATGGGGGAACAACTCCGCGATGATATGACCCGGACCGGTCGTCAATCATAATTCGGAGCTTTCCAGAAGCGGAACATAATGAACGATGCAAGTCGATCAGACAAGACGCAGAAAATATGCTGAACAGCCGAATTGAGAGGTTGTGTAAGTCTAGTATAACTTAAAATCAACCGACCGGGTCAACCTCCCTGATTCCATGTCGCTTCTCCGGTGTTACTCACGCACACCCATATCCATGATTGATAGATATCAGATCCTAGCCGTCAATAAAGCCACATCGGTGCTCATAATCCCGCAATGAGCATGGTTCTTGTCAGGAATTAAGAAATTTGGGAGGGGGAGAGATTCTCATCTAACGAGGTGTGCGTCGTGTTTCTCCACATTGCCATTTATCCCTGGCAGGCTTGTCTGTGGGGCATTTTCCCAACATTAATCGGATATTGCTTCTGAATATATACCCATACCCCGTTTGGGCTGTAAGACCGGCATATACAATCCCTCTAGCGATCTTGTCGTGCTGTAAATGAATGAGATGTATCCGAATGGGAAGACAAAGGATTCAAGTGGATGCGGTATGGCGTAATCGAGCATTGTGATCTTGGCTGTTTAGATTAAGATAATAGACGGATGGAAAGATGGATGAGTGGTTCCCCGAGGATCAAAGTGTGGGATGATATTTGCCAGTGTAGATACCGTCGTGAATGCTGTGCTGTGTTAACTACTTTGCTTCTTCCTTAGCCTTCTGCGAGCCACCCATTATTGAGCTGCCTAGCCCAGAAATCCACTGAGAACAGACCGAGAAAAATAAGCAACAACTTTTGGTGTGGAAACAGCTCAATTGACAACAATGTTTTACGTTTCCGCCTCTTCTCTCGCGGCCGTCGCTGCTTTGTTACTACGCGTCCGCGCACAATCAAGCCTTGGTTCGGAAGACTTCATTCGTTTCGGATGCTCCCAACTCGTCGTGGAGCGCACCGATCCGCTCGTTAATCCTGGCTACAGCCCCTCACCTCACATGCATCAAATTGTGGGCGGCAACTCTTTTAACGTGACTATGGATCCATCCACTTTCGACCCGCCCCAAACATCGACTTGCACGAGTTGCATCTATAAAGAAGACACCAGCAACTACTGGACTGCTTCAATCTATTTCAGATCACCAGAGAATGGCACATTCAAGCGGGTCCCGCAAAAGGCGAACGGGCGTATGAATGGTACCCTATTACCACAAGATGGCGGTCTCACTGTCTACTACATGCGGCCGTTCGGGGGAGCCACGGGCATCAATAAGACGACGAGAGCGTTCACTCCTGGCTTTCGAATGTTGGCTGGAGACCCAACCCTACGCGCGAACAACACTAAAACACCCTTCGCAATCTGTCACCGTTGTCTGAAAGAAAGTGAAGGTATTATGGGCGGGAATGGCGCGCCATGTGACAGGAACGACACCCCGTATTTCCCCAAGAAGCCATGCCCAGGAGGTATCAGAGCAACAGTGATATTCCCAAGCTGCTGGGACGGCGTTAATGTCGATTCGCCCGACCACAGAACTCACGTGACATATGCCCAGGAGGGCGGCCTTGGTGCCCTTGCTGGAGACAAGTGCCCTGATTCGCACCCCGTCAGGATTCCGCAGGTCATGTACGAGATTATGTTCGATACGAGACAGTTCAATGATGAGAAATATTGGGCTGATGGAAATCAGCCGTTGGTATATTCTTTTGGAGATCCGTAAGTGTCAAAGTTCCTCATCGTTGATCTCCGTTCGCCATGCTTCCTTCGTTGGAGATTGCAACGAATATTTGGCTCATGTGCTTACCATAAAGTAGCACGGGTTACGGTGCACATGGGGATTACTTGTTCGGTTGGAAAGATGACGCTCTTCAGCGTGGCATGGACTCGCTTGGTAAAACATGCGGGTCAGAATACTGCGACCAAGTTCTCACGGTCCAAGATGGAAAAGATGCCATTGGATGTACCAAGTCTCAGCAGGCCAACGAGGATATAGGGGATGACAACTGTGAGTTTGGATCATTTTCATTCTTGACCACCGACCACCAATATGATCAGTGTGGGGCATGAAGTTTTGTACTCGAATATGCGATGATCACATAATAGACTTATAAGTTCTATACTAATCCCCTGAAGGGCTCGAATCCATTCCTGGAAACGTTGTTATTGGATAGACCAAACAGAAGAATAGACGGGGTGCTTCGTGTGAATAGGGAGCTGGTCACACGATATCTTCTTACAAATGCCTTCGAATCCGATATATGCCATTAGGGGTCATGACCTCACCAGAACAATCGCTTTGCCTAGCAGCCTTTGCGTGATATTTGGCTTCCGTCAACCACACTCCCACGTCTTAGATATCCAATTCTGTGACCACTTCCTTCCAGCACAATCGATATGAGATTCGAATATGCAGGTCATTTAATTGCATAAATGCTTTAGAAAGAAGCGACAAAACGTGTAGTTATTGTTCTGATTGGGCCATGCTCTTGACAGTGAGCCATGGTACATCGAAAGGAAAGAGTTTCAACTTCACAAATAGAAATGTCCATTCAATCACTAATGTGGCACTTCCAGTCCCAGTCTCTTTTTGTCTGGGTAAATAACTCGGCTTTCTGACACTTAACTCTTTGCCGGTCTGAACTTGATGACTTTCTGTAGTAGATCGTTGTTGGTAGAGAGACAGGCCTCTCTGAATTCGTTGATACCCGGCACTCGGAGTAGTTCTTCGTCGGTGGTAGGTGCCATAGCAACAAGCATATCCAATGTTCCATCTGAAACAATAGGCCTAGCATTCGGCGACCGTTTTGTAAGCTTGCGTTCTATCTGTCTGCTGTACGCCTGAAGCTTATTTCGGAAGATCTTGTTTTCCAGATTTGGCGTAGGAACCATCTGGATAGTGGATGGCAGTTCCGAACTCGCAGGCCGCTTTGAGCCTGCTCTAGAAGGCGGAGTAAAGTATATGGAAGAGCTCGGAGGACTGGAGTCGTGGGATCGAGCAGATGCTGGTGCTTGCGAACTGCCTGCCTCAGTCTTCCGGATTTTCCTTTCTCGTTGGCTAGAGGTGCTCTGTACATGTAAAGTCCGAGAAGGGGTCCGGACTTCTGTGCCTTTCTCATCATTGATTTCTATATCAGAAAAGCTGAAGCTTAGACCGGTGTGCAATTGAGGTTGCAGTGCTTTTGGAGTTCCATAAGCACACTCGGAATCAGATGAGTCAGATAAGTCTGGAAGCTGCCATTGAACAGTGGGCCGGGGGGTGACTAAGGAATTCGGAACAAGGTTTGGTGTGTGAACTGGCAAGCTGTCTGATATTGAGTGTTGTGCAATCACTTCCAACCACTCTGCGCCGTATTTACGCCGTTTTACTGGACCGATTCCTTTAACCTCCAGCAACTCATCATACCCTTGAGGACGTTGACGAGCCAAATCCTCTAGTGTATCATTATTGGCCACCACAAAAGCTGGTATGTCGTTGTCTTTTGCAAGGGCCAGACGTCGTTCTTTGAGCTTGTCGAACAGTTGCTGTGCTGATGCATCCAAGGGGTCGGCTAATCTCTTCTTTTTTGACGTCTGTTTCTCTTTTCGAGCACGGATCGAGTTTGTGGAGTCATTCACCATGGTTTCCTCCGCGGCAGCATTGTCATCTGCTTGATTCTCTGCGCTGTCGTCCTTCGACGCGAAAAATTCTTTGGCGATGATGATTTCCCCATCGTCCGCAATAGGGTGCAAACGAAGCGTTCCAATAGGTGCTCTGCCAAGACTCTCATCATAGTACTGCTCCGCAAAAATAGGTAGAGGAGGTGTCGGATCTAGGGCCTACAAAGATAAATTAATATAAGCAAACATTGAAATTCTCCACACAAAACTGCACATACCATTCTCTGGCAGTTCATGGTGTGAAAAAGCATAAAGCCAGCATAAGCATCAGCGGCAGCATAGTCAATCTGCTGTTGACTGAGGGGTCTGCTCCAGTTACTTGTGCGAACTGGGCCTTTTGACAAGGGAAGCTTGAGCTGATTTTCTACTTGTGTAGCTAAGCCGACAAGTTTGGTTGTGAGATGTTTCGGGTCGTTTGAAAAATTAACTAGCCGATATAGATGGCTGAGCTCGAATGCTCCGCGAGGTTTGAGGCCGAAGTGCTTTGATAGTCTCGAAAAGTCAGCACCGCGAATGTTGACGCCTGTTTTTGCAATGTGCTGACTCTCAATCAGTTTGCGGAGAGAGGGTGCGATCAATTGATCCGAGCAGGAGCCAGTATGGAGTCCAATATGAAAAAGTGCAATTTTGTCTTCGCAAGCAACCTGTATGAGACCGATCTTTTCCTGTAGCCGCTCGGTTTTGGGGAACATGGGCCATTCCATGTCGAATCCAACAACAGGTTCATCCAGAAACAATTGCGCTATGGTTTCTGATTGTTGCTTTGTTTTACTGTAAAGAACCTCTACTGATTTCCCATCTGGACCCTGGTAGAGGTGATGATTCCACCATAGTGCTGGTTTTGGGGGTTGTATCATGCGGTAGGTTAGATTTCCGTCCGTTGGGTCAGTTGATGTTGGTGCTGTTGCATCATCCGGCAAGATGGCTCCTGCAACAATCCCTGTGGAGCTCATCGCTCTTTGCCCACACCAAACGGTTCCAAAACGCTGGATAGTACCAGTGGTCGATTCGTCCCAAGTCTTTTGATTATGTAACTTACCACGTGCTGTCGGCTCATCCACGGAATGGCTATTGTTTGATTGACTGTATCCTCGAATAGATCCAAAAGGTCTCAATGCACATAAATACAAAACAGCGTAGGTATTGATTCTGGGGTTGATACATGTATACATAGAGTGTTCAACGGAGCGAGGTGGCGAAAGTACCAAGCACCCCACGTGCATGAAAACACACGCGACACGAGATCACGTGCATCTTGGCGTGCTCAAATATTCAACAGCACAGTTCTCTCTTCGAATACGTTAAGAGCGTCGTCTCAGTGTTTCACGTCTAACCGTTTGTGACAAACCCGAGCGAATGTTCTCGCGATGGTCTGGAATCGAATGTGCGGTGTTTCGAGGGCCGTTAACTGCGTCGGCCATCTCATCATCGCCATCCTTTCTACTCCACTGCGCTTTGCGATACACCTTGAGCCGGATCGTTGCGCCTATAATAACAGCAACTATCCCACCCTTCCACCACCGTGATGCATGTTAATGTGTCCCAAGCGTGCCTTGTCTAGATTTCTCGATGACGACGCAGATATATTAGAGACGAACACGCTCACCACCTTGTCATACCAAGGTTTCCAAGGCCCGTCGACTTGAGGCTTTTGCCGGATCTGTCACACACGTCATGCAATTGCGGCTTTCAATCCACATGCCGAGTCGTTGTCTCAAAGGATCCTGCACCCCAGCATAGGTATGGTTCTCGAGAGCCGCTACGCCACGGTATGGTCGATCATACTCCTAGTCAATCGCAAACATAACGAGGGTGTTTGCGAATTATTTGCCGACTCCGCGGGTATCCCGACCGAATTGATCGCTGTGAGAAGTCTTGTTGTTGTTTCGATAATTGGGACGGACCATCGTCATCGATCCTTTTCTAGTGGCCAGCTTTGGTCGTCGGTACGTCACTGCAAATTTACATGGTAGATTGCATGTCGCCCGCGACCATTTGATATCTTCATTGAAAATATCCACAAGATTCATTTGAGTCGCGCGCTTCCAAAATCTGTTATACAAGCTCAAATAGACAGGCAAACAAGCCGTCGTCTAGCTCTTGGCTTGTTGATAACCCATGTAGATCACCCACACCTCAAGCATAGCACGTTTCGGACACAACATTGGCATCCCCGCTTCGTCGGAGAATTCCTCATGCGTTAGAACATAGCGCACACCCGCATAGTGTAACAAGCAATGCGGCGGATGAAGCCGCTAAGCTTTTGCGGACGCGTACGTTATAGTAAGTTGCTTCCGACACATACCTAAGGACTACAAGAGCCTCAGTCGTGAAGCCTTCCTTCGCGAAAACTCTATCAGTTTTGTAACCATATTTTAATCCCGTTTTCACTTTTGTATCATACACCTACTTTCTACCTCCGCCGGTCGACCTTTTTTCTTCTTCTAGACATCATGTACTTCTCTTCTTCTGTTCTCATAGCTGTCTTGGTCCGTTTCGCGCTGGCGCAAACTCCCAAAGATTTTGAGCCCGCAGTAACGAGCAAGTTGGATGTTATGTTCAATACCACCATGGTGATGAAAGCAGGAATGCAGCTGTCCAAAGCAGGTAAGAGAGGCTCTCCACAACCATACAAATCACATCGATCACCGGCTAAACTCATGCAGAAACCGCTTCGCAGCCTCAAATCGCGGCATCCAGCTCTATGGTAGACGCGAGCAAATCATACGTCTTTGTTATGCTTGACCTCGACGTACCGCCAGCGCAAGGGAGCACAACCAGACGGACCCTCCTCCACGCCATGGAGACTGGCTTCAAAGCCACCTCCCAAAAGATCGCGGGAAACTCCGTTCTCCTTGCCTCGACTGAACAAGGTCCTGCAGCATACGTTCCTCCCAGCCCACCAGCTACGGATACAATTCCCCACCGCTACGTACAGATGCTCTTTGAGCAGCCTGAAAGCCTAGCAGTCAAGGCTTCGGATTTCGCAAACACGCAGGCTAGGATTGGATTCGACATCATGTCGTTCTCGAAAGAGAACAAACTTGGCAACCCGATGGCTGCAAACTTCTTTACTGTTGATGGGAAAGCCAGCGCTGCTGGGGGTAGCGGTGGTGCTCGCGGTACTGCTGGTTCACGTGGCACTGCTGCGGCAAGCGGAGCTACCCCTAGTCGCACGGCAGCACCTTTCACTGGTGCTGCAGGTAACATGGATGTTTCTTATGGGTTGGCTAGTCTTCTTGGCAGTCTTGCACTCATTGTATAGGAACAGGTGGTAGACTCGTGTGTGGTGGGAAACCTGCGTGGCGGTATATCGAAATAGTCCTAGTCTTAGCGAAGTGACCGTGCAAGAAACAGTTTGGGGGGGGGGGGGTATCGGATTCCATTTCCATAGACCTCTTGTTCTTTCTCTACCCATCTGCCAGATGTAGTTGGCGTGATATTTTACTACCTTCACATACATAACGAACGTGAACACTCCATACATCACGCATATTTGAAATCATTTTTGAATCCCAATTTTACAATTTTTCTATTTTCTATCAACCGTTATACCTTATGCGCCAGGTAATTCCAGTGATTCCTTTTTTTTCATATGCATCGATAGAATTGAACGCTGAGAACATGAGATTCCAATATCTCAGCGCCGATCTATACGTGTTCGCCGCCCAAGTCTGAGGTGATCTTTGCATACCTCAGCCTTTAAGCCCACATAGCTCTGAATTTGGTGTCAAAATCATCTTTCAAAGCCTTGAATGCCTTCAGAACGTTCAGCAAACCCTGGCCCTCCTCCCAAGCAGGCTTCTCTTCTAGCTCGCGAAGCTCAGCTGCGGCCTTTTCAGCATTTGCTGCAGCCTCTGCTTGCATCTCCTCCTCATCCGCATCATCGTCCCACGAATCCGCAACCTTCTTCTTTTTCTTGACTTGCACAGGGAGTGCATTTCGCCCAGCAGGGCCTCTCGATGCCGCAGAAATGGTAGAGCCGGTCTCGTATCCCGAGTCGTCGGGGAGAAGCTTGTCTTCTTGAGCCTCCTCCGCCTCTTCTCCTTCACCTCTGACATCGACTTCAGAATCGGCCGAAAGATTCATGAAGTTTGACAAACTGGTGTTGATGGTGGCAAGAACCATGCTGAAATCGTTCAATACAAACCATACGTCGCCACGTCGGATGCGGTTGGCTATGGCTAGCGCCTTCACATCGCCATGGTTGTAGAAGTCGTACAGATATGCGTTAAGCGGCATGTCGGACTTTTCATTGTATACACCCACATAAGGGACAATGGCCTCCTCAAGGAAGACTCCAGAACGTACAGTGGTGCAAAGATCATGTATGGATTCGATGTCCTCGTCGCTGTGTCCGGAAAGCGCAACAAACGGTGACCGAACGGTGGGTGGCGCGCGTCGTTTGAAATTAACAGTACTATTGGTACCCGAGTCACTGGCGATGTTCAGATTCGTGAGCGGCAAAGCCTCCTCGGGCTCTTGCAGGTGCTGTTCCGCATATGTGCGAACGTAAGCCTTGAAAACGCTCAGAGTTGACTCGTTGTGTTCTCGTAAAATTGTCTCTGCATCTTCCGGCATAGGAGGTAAGAAGACAATTGAAGGCGACTTCTTGACAACATGTTCAACATAATCGCGATCTGCCTGCCTACACCATTGGCGGCCGAAAAGGTGCGAGAGAGTCAACATCATTTCCTGTAACACAACCTCTCTGTTGGTATCGAATTTCGTACAAAGTCGGTGAAAGTAACCTTGCTTAAGCAAAGCGTGGAATGAAAAGCTCGCGTTTTCTGTAAAATATAGATGACTAACGCAGCCAGCGAGGTTCAAAGGCGCACCACTTTGATCAAGGAGGAACTGTCTTCGTAGGTATTCGATTGAGAACCGTAGATGATGTAATACAGTCATTTTAGACTCTTCGCCACCAAGATACAGGCGTGGTTGCGATAAGAGTGCGTTGACTGCTCGGATGGAGAAGGGTGCTTGTTTGGACTCGTTCAACAGTGCGCACAGCCTCAACACCAACGTTGTCGTCAAGGGGAAATGTCTGTCAAGATGTGTTAGCGCGATCAGTTGATGACGCTATTTCAGTAAAATACATACCCGTTTATGTCTGGCAAGCGAGAGCTAATCAGCCTGTGTATCTTGCTTTCCGAGATCCCGTGGAACACCACATTGCCGAGCATATCGAAGCCACGACGACCCGCACGACCTGCAGCTTGGCGATAGTTGAGCGCGGTAAGAAAGACCGAGTCGCCAGAGAATACTACGGTCTTACAAGGCATGTTGATACCTAGTGCAAGCGTGCCGGTGGCGACTACAACCCTGAGGTAGCCCTTTCGGAACAACATCTCGCAGACCTGGCGGTATTTACGGTTCATACCAGCGTGATGAACACCGATACCTCTTCTCAAGGCACGAATCAGCCATTCAGAGACGTCACGCCTCACAAGCTCCCGTTCATAGTTGTCCAGTTCTTCTCGCGTGAGCTTTTTGTTGTCAGCGAAATGGAATCTGTCTACGGGCCTTTCCGGATCAAAAGAAGCCCATGGATTCGCCTCGTTGTTAGCGCCATCGCGAGCAATGTCTTCTTTGGTAAGACCATCTTCGTCGTTCCCTTTCTTCTTCGACAGCTTAGGTGGGTTGCGCTTGTTGGCTTTCGCCATCACGGCCTTGTATTCTTCCCACTTCTTGAGATCAGACTTCCATTTAGGGCTGGTTTCTTTCCATTGCGTTTCCGCTGTTTCTAGCTGGTCTAGGAGTGTTAAGCAAATTCTCTCGCAGAGTCCACGATCATAGTTGAATATGATACCAGGAAGAGCATCTTGCTCGTGAAGTTTGACAAGCAATGGGAGAATGCTTTCAGCCTCAAAAGAGTCTTCCGGCTCTTGCTCGTCGTTTTGCTCGTCGGAACCAGTGGCTTGCTTCTGGACGAGGGCTTTGGGTTGATCTTGGCTATCGGATTTTCTGACCGGTCCGCTCAAGTCTTTCACAACTTGATTAAATGGGGAATTGGGATCAGCCATCCATTTTTTCAACACCTCCTTGAGAGATGTCTCCCATTTGATGATATCCAGTTTCTTTATGACAGAAGGCAGCACGGTACTTGGATCAAGGCTTTTGTCCACTGGATACTCAGCAGACTGGTATTTTGATAGCGTCTGCCAAAGACTGAGGCAGTCTACTGATTCGAGGGAAAAATCATCCGGTATGCCCCGGGATCGATTGACTAAGCTTGTCACCGGGTGGAGGAAGTTGAAGGCTTCGTTATCCAAGCCTAATCGAGCAAATGCGCGACTCTCGGGCAGTCCCTGGAACTCAGACACGTCGCTAGGTGTGTACTTGAATTTTCTCAGATCTGAGTATCTGTGAGGGTGTCGGACCATGGTCAACTTATTTCCGACCGCGTTTTGAGTCGATGTGAGCCAATCGCTGAACTCTTGAGGATTCCCGATTGTAGCTGACAGGGCAATGATAGGACAGGGAGCCATCAGTAGAAGCTGTTCCCATACCTGACCATCCTCGGCTTGTCCAATACAGTGGACCTCGTCGAAGATGATCCATTTCACGCGCTTTGCCCACGAACCAGCATTGGACGGTGCGAGGAGCAGGGTTTGGAGAATGTGTGGGACAGTCACTAGAATTTGGCATCCAGTCGGGTTGTTGATCCTGTAATCTCTTGTGTGAATTCCCCACACAGAGTTACCTCCATATTTATACGTCTTGGAAAATCGGCCTTGTACCTCAGCAGCGATCTGGTTCACCAACGCCTTCGTAGGAGCAACGTAAACCAAAACGTCATCATCATTCGACGCCAAGACCTGTTGCATGGCGTAAAAGGAGATGAATGTTTTTCCTGCAGAGGTCGGAGCAACAACCAAGAGCGAACGCTTCGCATCGATCTCGTCAAGAACCTTTCGCTGCCACGCATCGGGCTCGAAAGGTACTCTATGATCTGGCGCAGAATCCATTGACCGGTCGAAGTATGGTCCGCAATACAAGAGCTGGAAGGTGATAGGATCAGTAGGAAGTGCTAACGAGACCCCGGATATATCCGAAAGGACAAACTTGAATGCCAGCTTTCGATCGCCATCTATCGGAGCCGGAAGAGGTATTTTGGGAAGTCCAAGTTCCTTGATGGTTTTTTCGAGACAGAGAGAAACACTCTTTGTGATAGGTCGACGAAGCTTAGAGAAGGTGTTCAAAGAGTCGAAAACCAGAGCCGCTATGTGTTGGTTTTTCTCCTTCTCCTTGTTTTTACATGCCGCTACCCACATAATGAGTTGAGTGTTAAGCATGTAAAGCCGAATCTGAGCTTCGAGCACATCGCGTTTGAACTCGGAATTGAGCGTAGTCAGATACTGCTTTGCCTTCTGATATCTGGCAACTGGGGTTGGCTCTTTCTCAAGATTATCGCATGTTACGCGCCAGCCCGCAGCAACTGTTTCTGACGATGCGTCATCTTTTCGACTCTTGTCCTTTGCGATTTGAGCAAGCATAGCTTCTTTCCTTGATGGAACACCCTTCTTTCCAGACTTTGGGTTTGAGCTGGGCTTGGGAGTTGGTTTCGACTTTGGATTATCAACTTCCTTCTTGTCTAATTTAGCACCAGTTGTAATAATTTCAGGCTCAAGAGCTCTTCCCACGGCATTGGTAAGACTGGCAGCATATGTCGTCATTTCTGCACTATGATTAGCCTGTGAGGAGTTGATGAAGAGGGGTCAACAAGAACGTACCGGCCATGAAAAACTGATTACGCCTCAATGTCTTCTTCATCTGTTTGGCGTTCGATGCAACTTGATCTTCCCGAATTTTTGGATCGATCGGTCGCTTGCTGTTGTGCCAATGTGTTGCCTCTCTAAAGATTTGCGAGGTCGTGGCCGGAGGTACTACACCAGAACGATCTATAGCTAGCTTGATCGGCTCAAGATGCGGATCGATGACATTATTCGAGAAGGGCAACACTGCATACGAACCTGAACCAGCAGCAGGAGATGCGGCCGGAGAAGACATCTCTATGGAATATTGGTCAGTATTAGGTAGGTAGTATTGTTGAGGAAGTGGACATACCAGTCTGAGCTTGCGAGGCAGCGTTGTGCTCATCCACGGCATTGGAGCCCGCAGCTTCCAGTGCTTTTAAGAGTGTGCCATATGTTTCATTTTGGCCGATCCCTTTGTTCTTGATGCACACAGCAAGAAGGCGCCCATCTACAAGATCTGCGATGTCGCATTTGCATCCCCAATCGGCCATATTGGCTGCCCACTCTTGAGAGGACAGCACGAGTGATGCCTCGGTACAGAAGTCTTGCAGCATATCTCTGCTTTCGTCATCGAGATCATCTGCTTCTACAAGCCGGTCCGACAGACGGAGCTGTGAGATTAATGCTGTATGCCGAATGAGAGCATTGGCGAATTCGATTGAAACATCCTCGCCATGTATGAGGGCTAGAAGCACCAAAAGTGTGATGTATTGCCGCTCAGATAGATTCGACTGATTGTTGCTATTCATCTTATCCCAAAAGGAGCGTTTGAGGTAATTTGGTCGAGGCTCATCAGTGAGCTCGTTCTTGAACTCTATCTATAAAAAAACAGTCAGTATACTTGTGGATTCATCTTTGTAGGATCGCAGGGTTGAGGATAGTCAATTACCGTTGACGGAACACCGCTTTCCACGTTACGAAACTCCAAGACGTTCGAGATAACTTTCGTATCTTGAAACTGAGTTCCATTGATCAATGCAATACTCATTCCCCCTGACATAAACCAATGTATGATCTGACGGAAAGCCGTCTTGGTCTGCAGCTCATGCTGGTTTGCTTCATCATGAACCTCGTCTTGTAGGGTATCAAGATTCTTCTGCAGTAGATGTCTCCTGCGTAGAGCTTCTGGTAAAGCACCATCATGAGCCAATACGAAGAAGAACTCTACTTCGCGTAGATAGTTCGCAAAGGCATCGGAAGACACAGACTCGAAGACTTTGACATCAATCTCCGGGTGAATACTCGGCAGGTTGGCACGTAGGTGGCGAATTATAGCTGCCCTAGCGAGCAGATATTTCTCCTTGTTTCCCTCGTCGGAAACAAACGAAGGCACACACAGTTCTCGGTATTGATCAAAGAAGGCGATATGAAATTGGCATCGTCGCTTGATCAGGTCTTGCAGGAAACGCTCCACTGCCCACGTCGCGTGAAGCAATTGGAACCCTTGGTTGAAGTCGATATGTTCATCTGCGAAGCAATAAAGAAGGAGAGAATTCCCATCAATTAGGAAGTAGTTGTTTCCAACATAATCTCCAATCAGATCGAGTCGACGGCTGAAGGTCTGAGAGTACCACTTCAGAACAGCCGGTAGCGTCCCGGTGTCGGATGGAGGGTTGGTGCCCGACATCGCTCAATGGAAGGTGAGTGATATTTGAGGGCTTGAGAGAGTTTATGCCAGCATAACAAGGGATGCCGTATTGATTCCACCGCTGTTGTACGAAGGTCGTCCTTCGCCACAAATATCGGTTGTGAAGTTATCGTAGTGGGGTGAAGTTAGTGACGGTTTGATGTCGGCCCAGCGTTTGGCGCTAGCCGATCACGGAATCTTTAGCGAAAAGGTATTAGTGCAAGCTTACCCTCGTCCAATCAAAGCTCCGGCATTGTCACCACCTTTCCTATCTCTACTTTAGTATATTCAGCACACAGGCTTTCTCAGAATATTTTGTCCTCATACTAGTCTTTATAATTTCCACTATAGCGCTACGTATCATTTGTACGACAGCAATGCCGAGCCTATGTAACAGCTTTGCTGTTCCAGGTTTTACTACGTGTCATTCAATGTAGAGCTGAACAAAGTAGTAACAGCTACAATGCAATTTTCCGCGAGAAGCAATCCGAGACGCCACTGTCACACGCCAAATCAAAGTACTCCATAACCACCTCTGGTATATCGGGAATATCGTGAGTTACGCCAGCTGCAGAATATGCTTCGAAGCCGGGCCCATAGCTAGATCTAGTCCAACCCGGTCGTGGTGTATCCAGAGTGATTTCCTTCGGGATTTCAGTGTAACCAAACACGCTTGTCCATTGTTTGATTGTTTCGTTCAGGTTCTGCGGGTACAGTACGTTGTCTGCAGTACCATGAAGAACTTGAATCTTTGGTCGAAATCCGGTATAGCTGGGATACGCATCTCTGACAAGGGATGCCCATTGGGCGCCCGTTTTGATCACTTCGCCTTTAGCGCAAGGGTCGTTCCACACCCCATAGCCATCGCCAGCAAAGCATCCGAATGGAACACCCGCCCACGCACTCCCAGCAGCGAACACGTCTGGATATGACCCGATCAAGACATTCGTCATCATAGCGCCTGAACTCGTTCCGGTAGCAAACACGCGGTCCGAGTCCCCAGCATAATGGTCAAGTGTCCATTTCACCATGCTCACGATACCGAGAGCATCGCCACCACCATCGTGACTCAAAGAAGCGTTGCTGCTGACGTCCCAGCATTTGTCGGCCAGATTTGGAGAGTCTGGATAGATTGAGATAAACCCATACTGATCACCCAAGGTAGCATAGCTTCTATATCTGAATACGTCCTGGGCTGTCCCGTGACACCAGTGAGGAATCACTATGATAGGCGGGCTGGGCTTGAGCTCTTTGGGTACGTAGATGTAGAATGAAACATTTCGAGGGTTCGGTCCAAAATTGCTGATTTGCGTCAAATTAGAGCTAAGACTCTGCGCTTTTGTCGTTCCTGCTATCAAGCACACAGCTAGAAGGTTTGTGAGGGAAAACATATTGGGTGGTAGCATGAAGCAAGAATGTATTCATCATGTTGCTTCCCGACGCCTTTTTAAGGGTGCAATGAATTCAGTCTTGTACCGCTTAATTGAAGCTAATGCAGCCTCATTGCACTTGGCTGTATAGGTATTCACCCTGATATTTGAATCAGTGTGATGACGGAGCAGTGAGTACATTCGACGTATAGTGAGTTACGCTTCTCCGGATTTGACACGGAATTAATATGACCTGACCGGATCTTGGAATAGCGTATATGTACGTACTCTATGTCTTGCATTTAGCGACCGGGTTGTCGACCCTAGTCCCGTTCACGGAAATATATATTGCGTCTCCGTCAAACCTACTTCAAAATTCAAAAGCTAGCTGGCTGCGAGATGAAATTATTATTATTGTTGGACTCACAAGGTGAAAGATGCTATGATTACACCAGCGCAATATCCTCGCTTCAGCTAGAAATTTACATGTACAGGAATGTCAGGATGCATATGCGAAGCCGTTCCTCGCCCATACATGGGACCCTCAACGCATCCCCATTTTCGGCTTATGCGGTGGTGTTTACCGCAGAGTTTACAGTCTCCAACTGTAGGAGGACTGAGGATTTGTAGACTACGCCGATTGTTCAAACCCATTTGACAGCCTCGCTTCTTGCTAAGCCAATCATGGCTTGCTCGTCGATCTTGTCTTCGAGAACGCCCGCCTTCTGAAGTATTTGGACCGTTTTTCCAACTACGCTTTTGTCTACGCCGCGAACGTCATGTGCGAAACGTACCGTCTTCAGCCACTCTCTAACGTCTTCTTCAGAATAGTCAAGATGTGTGTAAATGTACTCCACAGCTTCTTCTTGGTTTTCTTCGAAGTGCTTCACCCCCTTGTTGATTTTATCCAACACATCCTTCAAATCATCCTTCACCGCCGGTTGTGATGCATTTTCCGATTGTGACCAATTGGCTGGGTTTATAAGAGCATTACTGGCAACGACCTTCCACGACGACCAAGGCGTGTAAATCTCGCCTATCCGTTTGATCTCGCCATTGTCGTAGTACTTCTTGCTGGTGAAATGTTCCTTTTGCGCGTTTAGTCAAAGATGCTATTGCATTGTCATGTCAGCACATTACTCACCCACATGAAGAAATCGGCGGTGCCATTGTTGACGCCCTCCCGTAATTTTAGGAAAGTGTTCATCGGTTCCACTGGGAAAGGGGGCCCAGAGCGTGTCTCCAACCAGCCCTCCTGGTCAGCCAAAACAAAACTCATCACGTATGACCCACTGCCTATCCTTGACACGCCTACCCTTTTTCCTTTCAGGTCTTTGACGCTATTGAGCTCCTCTCTCCGGGCTCCAGTGCTTATTGCCCAACACAACGGTGTCTCGACATATGTCCCAACAACCTTGAAACCAGCATCTTTCTGCGCTTCTTGCGCTTTGCCCATTGCAGCAACCCAGCCCTCGGTTAACCCCACGCCGATGTCGATTTCGCCAGATTGCAAAGCGGTGACCATATGTCCCGTTCCGGATGGGAAAGGTAGCAGTTTAGCTTGGAGGTCATAATGTTTCCTCGCGAACGCAAGAGGGGTAGAAAAGTGTTCTTGTAGGTAGTCAGCGGCTGCATTCAATCCCAGAGAAGTCTACAAACCGGGTACGAATCCAATCTTCAGTTGTGACATTTTCGCTTTGTGTGAAGAGAAAGATCTGAGCTGTCGCGTTGCGGAAGCAATTCGAGGTATGCGCGCGCTCAATACCATCGTTCTAGCCCCGCAAAGCTGAGGTCAGTGTCGCAACAATGTGCCAATGAGAAAAGAGCTGGCAAGAAGACAGTTGAAGAGATGGCAGCAACAGAATCAATTGCAGGTGGACTATATACCAGAGCCCCCACTATGCGAGAAGGTGTATCACGCTCGGGGGCGTGTTGGTGTCGGTATGGGAAACTAGGTGATGTCACACGCTAGGCGATTGTTCGGATCTTTCCCAGATTATTCGGCGTGCACGCGAGTTTGCGACGGACAGACCATGTACCAATCTCCTTCATTCCATGTCGTTTCGCGTTATTTATGAAGTCTTCCTCGATATACCAGCGACTCTGAATCAAGTCATGTTGGTGTTTTGTTGTCTTGATATCGTAGAGTTGTGCAAATAACAGGCACACCGCGCCCTAGTTACTAACGCCCATACAGTTAAACAATCGTCAATTCTTAATAATAAGAATCGCCCTAAGGATGCCTACTGCGTCTGAAAGTCAATCAAAACACTAAAAGTCGTGAATTACTAAGGATCGCGGTGTACTCGTTATCTGGGCAACTCTGCGGTAGTGCAACTCGTGTGGACTTATCTACCTATCTCGGGAATGTACCGAATTGCTCTTAGCATGGCCGATTTCGCCGCGATGTTGGCGTGCTTGCTTCATCCGTCTCTCCATCTCTTCGGGTCTCACATGTGGATATCGCGATCTCATCTCTTTTATTCTCTGTCCAGCCAATCGATTTAGCTCTCGCTCCCTTTCACAGTCATATATTCCAGATCAGCATTATGACTATAGCTGGGGCGATCTATCTGAGGGCCAAATCAATCGCTATTGTGGGCGCAGGACCATCGGCAGTAGCTGCAGCCAAGTACGTATCTCTGCATCACTTTCGACTTGTTCCCAGACAACTAATGGAAGCAGATATCTTCTGGCCGAGAAAGCCTTCGACAGGATCGAAATTTTCGAGCAGCGTGGGAAAGCCGGAGGAATATGGAACTATACTAATCACCAGCGAAACGAAAGTCTCTTCCGAATTCCGCAAACAAATCCTCGCGGGGAAAATCAAGATCCATTTTGGGAACCGAAATCTACCGATACAATCTCGTTGGGTGAGACGGATGAAAGTGAGAACTTCAATTTACAGCCAAATGTGTCTTACATCAGTCCAATCTACGATGATCTGGAGACCAATAATCCACGACCGCTTATGCAGTTTCAAGGGCAAGAGTGGCCTCCCAATACCCCATTATATCCACGGCACGAACTAGTTCTAGCTCACGTAGAAGCATACGGAAAGGATGTCCAGCACCTCGTGCACTATGAGACTCAAGTTGTAAATGTCGAACCCGTCAATGAGTCAGCCTGGGCAGTCACAACGCGCAATCTCCGCAGCAGCGAGCGTTCCACGGAAGTATTTGACGCTGTCATTGTCGCCAATGGTCATTTTATCGTTCCCCAAATCCCTGACATATCCGGTATACGGGAATGGAACAAGTGTTATCCCGGCTCAATAACTCACGCAAAGTACTATCGCCGATCGTCCGAATTTACCGGAAAGAAGGTCATAGTTGTCGGTAATTCAGCTTCTGGATCTGATATATCTTTTCAAATATGCCAGTCTTCCCAACAACCACTCCTGTGGTCTTGCAGATCTTCTTCTCCTGCAAACGCCATATCCACCCACCTCAGGCGTGAGCTGCCACCCATATCTAGATTCCTTCCGGAGAACCGAACAGTCGAATTCGAAGATGGCACATTGGAAACAGGAATCGATGCTATATTATTTGCTACGGGATATTTCTATTCTCTTCCGTTCCTAGAGAACCTTCAACCGAAGCTCATCACAGATGGGTCTCAGGTAAACCATACCTACCAGCATCTATTTTATGCCCCTCGGCCGACCCTTTCCTTCCTGGTTCTTAACCAGAGAGTGACGCCATTTCCAGTCGCAGAAGCTCAGTCAGCTGTTTTAGCACGTATACTATCTGGGAGACTCTCGCTACCAGACCAGAGCATCATGGAGGAGTGGCAGCAGAAAACCATATCCGAAAGCGTTGTGTCTCGTAATTTCCATCTTCTGCCCGCTCCAAAGGATGCCCAATATATGAACGAAATGTCTGATTGGGCACTTAGCGCGCCTCCGCGTGAGGGTTTGGAGAATGAAGGGCAGGGCAAGATTCCCCCCCGATGGGGTGAATACGAATTTTGGTGTCGTGAAAATTTCCCTTCTATAAGGAAAGCTTTCATGGCGTTTGGAGAAGAGAGGACGAACGTGACTGAACTGGCTGATGTGGCGTTCGGTTACAATGACTTTTTAGAACATAAGAAAGTAAGGTCTGTGCTAGATTTTGTGAGTTGAAGTTCTCTCGTCATGCACTTAGAAGGCTTTCGAAAGGTCGTTTCTTGTGAGCGAAGCGATTTAGGAGTTTCTGACTCAATGCCCAAGAAAAATGACATTAAGGCGCAGGCATATCGTTGCAGCCTTCATCTCTTGGATACATCTTATCTCATGGGGTTCGTCATCGCTACCTTCACACTAACCCGTGACTCTAATGGTGACTTGTTCTTCTTCTTCTTCTTCTTCTTCTTCTTCTTCTTCTTCTTCTTCTTCTTCTTCTTCTTCTTCTTCTTCTAGGTAGACAGAACCTTTCAAGGGTATATATGAACTGACTACATATGCACTCTCGTCACCCACTGCAATGTAAAAAAGTCCCCTCAAGTTCTCCTTAACCCCATGAACATACACAGTTGAAACTTCATTTCTCATTATATGGGCAGATCTTGCGAGATCCTGCCCAAGATGTTTCTCCTATATGTATGCTGCCTCACCTAGCCATTGAAAAAGGAGTGCGAGCCTAACGACAGGCAGTGAATAGTGGTTGAGGGCAACTACGAAGATATTAAATCTGGCACTATTATTTGCCTGAAGCTAAGTTCTTTGGTATGACTATGACTATGTGTTTGAAAATTATTGCATCCAATTATATTTACTTAGTCACCCAACCTTAATCTGGAATTGTGACATGACTGTATTGTTGCGTACCTGACAGTCACCCTTAATGTGTATTTAAATAGCTTTGAGTGCCCTTTCCAGCCTCGCTTTTGAATGCAAATCTCATTAGCTTAATTTATGATTTTCTAGAATCTATACATCTACGAATTTACTGAGTCACACACATAACACAACTACTAAAATTTAGCAACATAGTCGTCTACCTACAGAATTACGCAACCACTTATTAATCTCAGGTATTGCATCCCTGGCCTCTGGTGCTGAAAGCAAAACTCCTTTTTTAAAGCTTTTTGTTACCTGCCTACTTTTTGTTAAATCATTTTTATCAGCCTTTTTAAGTGTAGGAATCACTGTAACTTCCAATCAAAAAAAAAAACCACTTATTAATCTTTATTTAGCCTATAAGCTGCTTTACATACTCGCTAATAATGGACAATTAACCTCAAAGGTCGTTTTCCTTTAAAACAGAGATAGAACTTAACACCATCTCTATAACTCAAATTGCGAAAGGAACTTACTGCATCTCAAAGCAATACTGCACTGAGAATAGAACTGTTCTAACTGAAGATGCTACTCAAATCACTAAAACTGCTAAGTCTGACGTAAAAGAACCTTTATTTAAGTTTTACGGGAGTTCTCAGGACAGTAGGGTATGGGGAGAGATAGCTCAGGAAAGGGCTGATGCTTCTATCCTTATTAAAGCAATTAACAATGAGAATAGCGGAAATAGATATAACAGAAGATTGGACCAAGCCACATTGAAGAGGCAAGTCCAGGAACAAGCGAAGCTAAAGAAGGGGTGGCCTCCTGGATCTGCAGTCCCCAATGCTCCCTTAACAGACTGTGTTGATTAGCTTCTATACAAGACCCCCCCCTCTAAAAGAGACTAAATGAAGAGACCTTTTAAGACACAAAGATCTCCTACTAAAAGCAAGCACAATAGGACACCAAAGGTCACCAGAATTACTGCTATCAACCCTATCCCAACTAATTTTAATGTACCGTTGCCACCTAAACCACCTTCCGCTAGCAATGACTGACAAAAATCTAGTCTTAAACGTCCCAACGTTAGTTTTGGCGGTTTTAAAGACAGAGACAGGTAGGGGCTGGACGAACTGTATGATAACACCCGCGAAAACATCATACAGGAGTTATTTAAACTACTTTAAAATTAATCTTCTAGCGGTAAAGCTGAGCAACAATCTATGGATTTAACAGCTCTCTCTTAATCTACGGAGGGAGCAAAGCAAAGTAAACAATCTCGTCTAAAGGTCCGTTTTAGATCTACTAACGAAGTATTTTGGTATCAACTTGCTATCTATAAGCGCATCGTACATGTCCAAAGTTGTTATATATTGAACAAAAAAACAGCTAGTCTACAGCATCGGAAAGGGGGAAGGTGGATGGTACGGTATTTGAGCAAAGATAAGCATCCGCATCTCTAGGCTAGATATGAAGCACTTAGGGTACAGGACAATTAAGATTAGTATTTCAATTCAGGTTTCTATGTTTAGTGGCTTACTTTGTCTCTCACTTCTCATACTTTACCTTTTTTTCTTCCATTCTTTCTCTCTGTACAACGTTATAATCTTGGGTATTTGTTTGCTCAGTGGCTTATTTTGCTACCCCCCTTTCTATAATGTACTCTCCTTCTTTTTTTATGGCTAGAAGATTTAGACCAGATCACGCAAGCACATTCGAGTTGAATTATATGTAACGTAGACCCAGTTCAATTAGATATTACTATTAGTGTTTTCTTGTTAACTAGCTTTGGGTGTTGCACCCTGGCCTGGCGTTAAAAGCAAAAACTCTTGTGAAAACCTTTTGTTGCCGCCTACTTTTTGTTACTTTATTTTATTACCTTTCTAAGTGTAGAAAACACGTCTAATTTTAACTGCATGTAAATTTTTTTCTAAAATTTCTACTAGCTAAATAGAAATCTCTATTACCTTACATAAGATGGCGTCGTTACTAGTGGAGTTCTGACGGGATGCAAATTGGCACCCTTATTAGCCTGGCACGAGTTATATAAGAAAATTTACAAATTTGGATAGTTGGACACTGGTTGCAATTAGGCAATTGGAATGGTTGTTATTCTTAAGGGTAGTCGTGCACCTAATGCTGGAAACAGAGGCCTCTTAATCGCCGCAGCGAAAGCGAAGTGTCCAAATTTAATAGCTAAGGCGAAGAAGATGAAAAAAATAAGAATGAGGGTAGCCAATACACAATCTAGGCCTTCGATAAATTATGAAGAAGTACATACTACTAAGATATCAGAACGCATGTTGCTGCAAAAGGGTGTTCGATAATGTGTACTAGAGTTTCAGCAAACGATAAGGCAAAGAAGTGGCATAACACACAGAAAGACGTTCAATTCATGTTTCCTCAATTGTCCTTTCACTACAGAATGCCACCCTCCGCCGATTGAAAGCAATTCACACAGAAAACAGCCATCTAGATTTATACGTCAAGACAGTCTCTACCTAGGCAGTTTTTCCCCCCAACGCCGCGGCTATGCAAAATATAGATCAATGGTCCCCATCTACAAATGGAAACGACAGGAAGGATGAACAGAAGAGAGAGAGAGTACAATGGTGAGAAAGAGGAGGGCGTGAAGATCACCGCCTACCCCTTCCACCACCCTGGCCTGGCGCACCCCCACCTGGACCACCCATGCCCATATTACCCATCATTTTCATCATACTCGCCATATCCATACCGCCCATCCCACCCATACCGCCAAGAGCAGACATGTCGGGCATACCACCGGCGCCAGGGCCGCCTCCGCGACCGCCACCACCGAGCATCTTCATCATGGCACCGAGATCCGGCATGCCTCCACCCATACCGCCGGCACCACCCATGCTAGCCATGCGTTTCTGCATTGCGGCCATTTGTTGCGCCTTGTTGCCACCACCCATGGCGCCTTGCGCCTTTTGCATATTGGCCATTCCTCCCTTCATCTTCTTGGCCATGCCGGCCATCATGCGGTGCTGGGTGAGGAGTTCCTCGATCTCGCGGACTGACGTGCCGGAGCCGCGGGCGATGCGCGTCATGCGCGTGGGTTGCTCAACGAACATTTTGCCGTCGGATTCTAGTTCCTTCTCCGTCATGCTGTCGCAGATATAAATCATACGCTTCAGCTTGAGGCTACCTTCTTCGTCGTCCATACCTCCCATGATGTTGCTCAGACCAGGGATCATGCCGGCCATTTTTGACAATGGACCCATCTTCATTATATTAGAAAGTTGGTCGCGAAGATCTTTGATGGTGAAGATTCCGGATGCAATATGCTTCATGGTATCCTTTTGGTCGAGCTTGAGTGACTGGACATGCTCCACAAGTCCAGTGATGTCACCCATACCCAGCAGTTTTGATACGAAGGATTGTGGATTGAAACGTTCGAAATCGAGCATGTGCTCTCCGGTACCGAGGAAAACGATAGGCGTATGAGTCGCAGCGACGGCAGAAATGGCACCACCACCCATAGCGGCACCATCTGTCTTGGTAAGTACTATAGCTCCGAAGTCTGCCGCCTCCTTGAAAGCGCGGGAATGTCCCTCTGCTGCCTGTCCGATGGTAGAGTCGAGAACCATGATAGTCTGATCGGGTTTGACGGCGCCCTGGATCTGAACCATCTCGTCGAAAAGATCCTGTTCTTGCCTGTGACGGCCAGATGTATCAACAATGATGATCTCGAATCTTTCCTTCTTGAACTTTTCGACACCCTCTCTAGCCACTTCTACCGGATCTGTCTGTGTATGGCTACCGTAGTAAGGAATCTTTGCTTTGGTCGCGTTCTGTTTTAGCTGATCAAAAGCACCGGCACGGAAGGTATCCGCACAGACTAAACACGCCTTGAACCCTCTTGCAGAGTACCATCTCGCCAACTTTGTACACGTGGTCGTTTTACCGTGACCTTGGAGACCAACAAACATGATAACATTGGATTTGCCTTTCCGGGGTTTGAAGGGTTCTGCGTGGGGATCGACGAGCTTGACGAGCTCGTCGAACACAGCTTTTTGCACGAGGCGTTTCTTGTTCACACCGGGAGCGAGATGCTTGAAATCGACGGAGCGTTTGATGGAATTGCGGAGGTTCATTACGAGTTTGACATTAACATCGGCTTCGAGGAGGGCACTGGAGATCTCCTTGACCATGGACTCGAAAGCCTGGAACAGTCAGTCTTGAATGATGGCAGGGTTGCGCTGACTTTTGTTGAGCACACATACCTTCTCGTCGAGGTTCGGTGACCTCGTGAGGTCGTTGACCGCGGCATTAATGCGCCGCCCTAAATCTTGAAGAACCATGTCGACGATTGTGGAATAGAGGGTTCAGCAGGGAGGGTGAGGGTGAAATGCGATGTTAGTGGGAGGCGACGGCAGCGTTGATGTGTGGGGGGAGAGGTTCGCGGCGGGGAGCGGAAGTCTTGGCGTCGGGGTCAACAAGCGCCGATAGACAATAATTTTACTGCGGTTGGAATCGACTTTTCGCAAAAGACATTCACAGTAAATCACCACGATGCCGCCCACCACGACACAGAAGCGAAGACGTACCGAGGAGGGAATGAAAGGGAAGACGCCCAAGAAGAGAAAGAACATCAAGCGCCAGAAGTTCTACCACAGTTCGAGTGAAGATGAGGAAGATGAAGGCGCTGCACGAGATGCGCCGAGGAGAACTGAGCCCGTGAAGAAGGACCCGGTTGAGACAGGAGCTAATGCACAAAAATTGAATGAGAAGCCTGTGAAAGCAACTTCAAAGTCAAAGCCAGAACTGAAATCTGCGCTCAAAAAAACCACGACGCCGGCCAAAGCACGAGATGAGGATGCAGAATCTGACGACGATGAATTCGATGAGAGCGAAGACGAGGTAGATGATTATGGTTTAGAAGGCGATTCAGAAGATTCGGACGGCTCAGAAGCTTCATCGCTGTCGGAAACTTCTACCAACAATCCCGCTCGCAAAACGCGGAAGCGCAATGACCCCGAAGCGTTCGCAACATCTATTTCTAAGATTCTCAATACGAAATTAACCACGCAAAAACGTGCGGAGCCGATTCTTTCGCGATCCAAAGACGCCACCGAAACCAACAAAACCCTTGCCGATCATCGTCTGACTCAAAAGGCTCGCCATCAGGTGCTCGCAGAGAAGAAGGCTGCTCTCGAAAGGGGACATGTAAAGGATGTTCTCGGGTTGAATGACCCAACCGTGAGCACAGAAGCAACGACAGCGAAGGAGAAGGAGCTACGGAGAACGGCGCAGAAGGGTGTAATCAAACTCTTCAACGCTGTGAGAGCGGCACAAGTCAAGGGAGAGGCGGCCGAGCGGGAGGCGAGAGAGAAGGGAATGGTCGGGCTCGGAAAGCGCGAGGAGAAGGTCAAGGAGATGAGCAAGCAAGGCTTCCTAGACATGATATCCGGAGGCGCAAAAGTGAAGGAAGGGAGCGTGGAAGCGTAGAAGCGTAGAATCTGAGTAGGGATACCTGGATGCCATTCGATAAGTGGATAATGCCAAAACACCATATGAAATGCTTAAATACACCGTCTTCCTCCAACCTTTCCCCACAATTGCTATTGTACACAATGAGCTGCATATGCCCGCGTGTTGTACGCATTAAATCCCATTTACACAAACAATCATACAACGAGTAGCCGCCCATAATAGATAGTTGCCATACGGCTTTTATATCCTCTTTTCTGCAAAAGTCTCATAGGTTTTGGCTTCGAGACACAGAGACTTATTTGAAATCGCTAGCCTGCAGATTCCTCGTCATCGCGGGCAATTCCACAACCAGGCCGTCCAATTCCTTGCTCATCTTGACCTGACATCCTAGTCTGCTCGTTTCGGTTAAACCGAATGCCAAATCCAACATATCGTTTTCGTCGTCGGTGGGCTCTTCCATCTTATCGAACATGTTGTCATCTTTCACAATGACATGGCATGTTGAACAAGCGCACGAACCGCCGCACGCACCCTCCATTTCGATCTCGTTGGCTTGGGCGATATCGAGCAAGTTGTCGCCCTCTGCTACTTCGAATGTGGAGCTTTCGCCATCCTTGGTAACAAATGTGATTTTAAGTCTGTAATCGTCAGAGACCATCCTTCGAAACTACACGTGGAGTATAGATGGGGCGGCCAACATACTCCTCTCCCGGCTTTGGGGGGTCAAGGTGACCATGTCGAGCAATTGGTGTTGTAGAAAAGGACCTCCGGCTCTGCATTATAGACACTGGTGACGGGGAGATTGTTGTTGGGACCAGGCTCCGCGCTTGTGATTGGATCGAGAATGACTGACGCATGGAGGGCGTCAGAACCATGCTGTGAGCCTTGGAAAGAGTTGCCGCGGCACGCGATAATCTCTTCACAGCCGACATGTTGGAGATGATGCAGAGGAGTCGGTCGGAGGAAACGTCGGAGCGCGAACGGTGAAGGCGGAAGAGAGATTGTCGAAAATTGGGAGTGTGGCGAAGAAAGGCAGAAAGACAAGAGCACAGCGTCCTGCACCCGGACAAGGTAGGTGGGTGTAATCTGTACGATGCGAGTATTGATGCACTCTTGGTAGTAGAGGTGGATGCACTGCGCTGCAGCCAACCGGGACCGGGGGTTTACTGTACTCTCAGAGGAAACAAAAAATCCCAAGCGCACAGACAGCCCGCGTCACAAGCGCGCCCCGGCTGCCCGGGACTTTCTGCTCGACCTTCGTCAACGAACCCATGTAAAGATCGTGACAACCATTCATTGCACGCCTCCTATTCTCCTCCCCTCCCACCGCCCAATCAACCCAGGGGGGAACACATACATCGCCGTACTCATTCTCCATCATGGCGACCTCACGCGACGCCCCCAATCCGCTGCGCCCTTACTACATCCCGCCGTCCATCGGACCACCCCCGGAACAATCCTACAACACCACCACCGCCGCCTCCAGCTCTGCTCCACCAACATCAAGATCCTACACATCACGCACCCCCAAACCAAGCTTTGGAAGTCAGGCGCGAGACATCCTCTCTGACTTGGACTACGACTCGTACTTTTCTGATAGCTCTCCGGGCGTAGCGGAGCACGCAAAGAAGCTACTCGATCAAGCACTATGGAACTATACATCGGTGCTGTTGGCGCAACCCTTCGAGGTTGCAAAAACGCTGTTGCAAGTACACCAGGCTGCAGGGCAGGCTCCGCCCGGTCTGCTGGTCAACGGAGAAGAGCTGAGAAGTCGTCCCAGCTCGTTTGCGAGCGGCAAGTTTGAAGATTATCCTTCGGACGAATCAGACGATGATTCACCCAGCTTCTTCACCACCACTGCTCCACGAACACATAGTCCGACCTACCGCAGAGGAAACTCGCGATCGAGGAGCCCCCAGAAAAAGCATAGAAATACAGGAGGGCCGTCGCGAGATAGCACTCCCACACAACCGCCTCGTCTCGCACCGCGGAAGTTAGACCTCAAGAGAGCAGACTCGTTACTCGAAGTCATCGCACAGCTCTGGCAGAAGGAATCGGCATGGGGTGTATGGAAAGGCACCAATGTGACATTTGTGTACAACTTTCTCCTCAAGACAACAGAAAGCTGGACTCGAAGTCTACTCTCTGCCCTCCTCAATATACCGGATCCGGGTCTTATAGGGAGCAGCGCGAGCGGCATTGGAGGCCTCGATATAATAGATAGCCCATCCCCATTCATGTCCCTCGGTGTCGCGGTAGCCGCAACCGCCATCGCAGCAACCCTCCTCGCCCCTCTCGATCTCATCCGCACCCGTCTTATAGTAACGCCCACCTCAACCCCTCCACGCACAATATACCCGTCTCTATCTCTTCTTCCCTCCTTTTCTGTCTCCCCCACCATCCTCCCCGCAACCCTTTTCCACGCCATAGTCCCAACAGTACTGTCCTCCTCCACTCCACTTTTTCTCCGCTCCGCCCTGTCAATCGACCCAATCGTCACCCCAACCGCCTACTCTGTCTCCACTTTCCTTTCCTCCATAACCGAGCTCTTCGTCCGCCTTCCCCTCGAAACCGTCCTCCGCCGTGGCCAAGTCGCCCTCCTCCAAGACCACGAAAATGCCCGCCTGGAATCCCAGTACCGACATCACCCCACCGACGCCCCCCGCAGCCAAAAGAGCCCCATGTACGGCATGGAAGACGAAGATCCTTCTGTCCGCAGCTTCAGGACTATTGTAGAGCCTGGCGCGTATCGTGGTGTGCTCGGCACCATGTGGTTTATTGTCAGGGATGAGGGTGTCACCGTTGTTGGTCCTGGCGCTGTAAAAGCAAGTCGAGCTGGGGCTAAAGGAATGCTGCAGCAGCAGCAGCAGCAGCAGCAGACTCCGGGATTCTCATCGCGTACTAGGATACGGAAGGGGCAAGGTGTGCATGGGCTTTGGAGGGGTTGGAGAGTTGGGTTTTGGGGATTGGTTGGTGTTTGGGGGGCTGCTGCGCTTGGAGGTGGTGGCGGGGAGTTTTGATAGGTCGATAATCCATGTATGCGGAAAAAGAAAGAAAAGACGTGATCTTTGGATGAAAAAAAAGTGAGATAGCAATCAGGGTTGTTACGAGCAGGAAGTGGAGTTTGTGGAAAACAAAAAGAAGAGTCTGCGCACGCACACAGCCACAAAGTGTTGCTTGGGATCCGGTTTTCTGGTGTCTTCTCTTCCCAGTTTCTCCCTACTGTTTTGTTGGGTGTTATTTGCCGCGGTTTGTGGTGGTTCATTGCTTTTTTCATGGTGATATCCGCTTGTTCTCCCCCTCTCTTCTCGAACTCGACTCTTGTATCTAACCTCGCATACCTCTGTACTTCTATCTTGACGAATCGAACTACGAATATAAAGATTGAAAGAAGTTTGCAGCATATGGTAATTTCTGATCACTCAAATACTGGGTTTCTGTTTTCTTTTCTTGGTGAAAGATGAAGTCTTTACCGTCGAAATGTTGTGGTACATGTGATCAATGCTTGAATTCAAGTCTTGTGTCACTTCAAAGGATCCCCTGCTTAGTTGCATGCATCGTCCTTCTCTCGTATATGTATCTAGGTAAATGGGTATGTCTTACGGTTCTCGAGTTGTTTTTTCTTTTGTGTGGACTAAGAGTCAGGGCTGCTACTGTGCTCTTCATTTTTCTTTCGCTTTTTTTTGGTCCCAGTTTCTTCGGAAGGCCTGCAATGTCTTCATTGCGTTTTTGATATGAAGAGGAGGGAAGCGAACGTTGGACAATAAGTATGCATGTGTACGGGGTACGCCTTTCTATTGTGGGTTGTGGTACTGCGATCCTGTTGTGCCACAAGGTGTTAGCCAGATTACATCTTTGCCCGGTTGTTCTTTTCTTCTTCTGCTCAGTTGCTTGGCATGCTCTCGTTTCTGTGGTTACAAATCGTTGTATTTGGTTTTGGTTTTCTTCATCCTTCGGACTGTGATTGGATGTTGCTTTTTTCCATTTCAGGTATGCTGCACGTTGGAGGTGAAATCAACAAGAAATTTTGGTGAGTAGACATCTTTTACAGGATCCTGACTCATCAGGCCAGCCTGTCCCTGTCCCTTGCGTCTTATTTCTTCGATTACTTATGTTACTTCAGTGCACGCTTGTTCGTCAGGCAAAGCTCTCTCGTTCGCAGACGGAGAAAACTAGCAAAGAAGCAGGACTGGTACTGCTTCAACTTGATCCTGGAATGATGGCACATGGTAAAGTATCACAACGAAAAGACTTGGTATAGCCAACCTTGAAGGTAAGATGTACTTCGACTAAGCTGCACTGCCGCTCAACACCCGATGCCCGACGCCGATCGATTCGGGGCTTTTGAACGTCGCCATCACGTGTTTCGTCTGAAGCGCGTGGGTCAAGGTGTACGCGCCGTCTACATGCGGTACTGACCAACGGTTTCCGTAATCATATATTCCCGACAGAGGGGTACCCAGTGAGTGGGTGATATTCTGGTAATAACCGCTGGTCAAAACTCTCGACAGCGTGACGGTTGTGCAGATCAAACACCGATAACAGCATGTATACGGATTCGGCACTGTACGATTGCCACTTGCCACCGGGGACCAAGCCCCCAAGACAACAATAGAAGCATGAGATTCTGCGACCTTTAAACCTTTCGCAGCACAAGCATCAAATCCTAAAACCGCCTTACGCCATACCGCATCAGGCATCAGGCGGGGGCCATACAGGGAACTGCCTCTCTTTATTGGGTTACGGTTATGTTTCAAGTATCTAAGCTTCTCGTCACTAGCATTTGCTTCCGTCTGAGCCATGTTCAGGAAAACCAGGCAACAACAATGTTTGAGCGTTGCACAGCCTTGGGCCTATACTGTCCGCGCGTCGCCTCCGTTACATGTTATGATCCCCTTTTTTCCCCGCGGTGGTATAGATAGCGATATAAGAATTCCATCCTCATTGTCGATTGGGAATCTCACAAACATCCACTAAGACTATCTGTGCACCGATCCTACGATTATTTCACGAAGAGAGAAGCATATCACTATACAAATCGCTCAGTCGTGCTGAAAAGGCTATACACCCTACCAATATTTTGCTTCGCAAAACAGTTGTTTCTCAGCAATCATGCCAGTCTCCACAGCCCGCGAGTGCGACCTCCGCATGGCCACCCTCTTTGCCTTTGTTCCCTCTATCATTCTTTGCAGCGTCGCAGGCGCCGAAATCCACAACGGTGGGTACTACTACCGTAAAACGATACCAGCCATCTATTTTGGTTCGCTCGCAGCCTTCATCTCTGCTGCTTCCTCGAGCGTGATCCTTGAGATCACCAAGCGCAGAGCGTTGGGCAGATACAGCGAGGAATCCCTCAAGAAACAGGGCAAAGTAACGCTGATGTTCGATGCCTTCATGGCGGCTGGCTATTTGGCACTTCTTTGTGTCACATGGACTTTGGATATAGGGCGCGCTGGATCGGATGCTGGTAAGGGCATGTTGTTGGCATATGCGACCATGCCTCTTATGTTTAACTGGTATGCTCCTCTCCCCCGTTTCCTTGCCCTTAACATCCCATCTCCTTTGTTCCAGTCTCACGTACCAATACTAATAACAACCGACCAGGGTCGTCCATCTATACCTCTCCGCCTCGGATCTGCTTAGTGCCTTGGTCAACTTCGTCCGCACTTACCGCGACTCTTCGACTGGAGTATGCCCCAACTGCCAGCACTGCCGCCACCAGCGTGAGATGGCACAAAGTGGAGCTAAGCCCGACAACAAGGAGGGCTACAGCTTACTCCGTGCCGAAGAGTATGACGAGGATCAGGCTGAGAGCTCCGAGCCTAGGATCTCGGCGGATGTTTGAAGAGGCTGTTAGTGGCGGACGGTAGCGAGCATGCATTTGTGTGTGCTAGGTGATGATGTGGTTTCAGTGCCGGCATACGATGCACGGCGACAGAAGTTCACGGACCGAGGAGACAGGAAGTCAAATTGACCTATCAAGATTATGCGTGTGGGCCTACGGGTGGGATCTCAACGATTGGGGCAGATATGCACGACCTCACATTTCTTCATCAAATGTTACCGGACATTCTTTTTGTTCTTGTTTGTTCATAGCGTAAGATCATGTTTTCTTTACATCTTTGCGCTCTCCTATGCTTGCGTTCATTGATGGAAAACAAGGTCACAACATATAAATATAAAGGTACCAGCCTGTCCTTTCCGTATTACATAGCTTCATATCTGCTAGATCAGGCCTAAATGAGACTGAAAATGCAGTCACTGTGTTTCTAAGCTTGAAAATGTCATCTTAGGCTCACATGTACAATAAGAAGATCCGTGTTCTAGATGTGAGTTGTGGTGGACACTACCTTCGTACACCAGGAACTCTTACCAGACAAACAGTCGATGCTGTAACTGAACGAGCTTTCGTAGGTCACAGTCTACAATGTTTTAGTTCTCCTTCCTCCTCGCTATAATCACCACATAATTGCCTAAAAGATGCTGATAAAGACCGCCCGCACTATTCATCTACATCGTAAGTCGTGTCGTAGGAGAAGAAAAGGATATAAATACATTGTGGTGCCGAGGGTGTATACTTCGTACATGTAAAAAACCGACTAGAGCCGAATTTTGAACGGGCAGAACTCTTCACGAATGTGCGTCCACGCTTCCTGAAGTAGATTTTGCTGACATAGTGAGCAGATTGCAAGATGTAACCGCTGTAGGAAGTTCACCGTTTGCAGATTCGCTGTTCGCAGGTTCATCATTCATAGAAGCAAATTTGACTAACACCTCTCCTGACAAGGAGAGGTTCGCTATATGTACGTGATTTTCAGCGTTATAAGCGCACACTGCCTCATGGAGAAACTCAATAGCACAGCATACACGCATTAGACAAGTAGATGAAATGAGCGCCTGTGTCAGGTAGTTCAATAACTTTACCTACTTCAGCCTAATTATATATCCTATCTATATTAATAACACCGTGGAAATGAGAAGATCAAAAGATGCATAAATAATGGAAATGTACAATAAAACTGCGCATTCCTGTAGGGGATAAAGTGTAGTACGCAAAGCATGTTATAGTTCAAAAAGAGACTGCCTAACGAGCAACAGCACATTCCATTCAGTCAAGACAGAACATAAACAATAGAAGTGTGGAAAACGCTCATGGCTAAAGTGAAAGACACATAAGCAACTCTACGATAATCTGCCCTCCACACTGGCGACCAATCCAAGCATAAATCTAAACGCTCCTCTGTTCACACATAATAGAACCTTGTATCGCCCCAGTGACTACGCTTATGCCATCCTCATAGGCATAGATGACATGCCTGGAAGCTCTTTGAGCCCTGTATCTCAATCAGTATCTCTCCTTAAATACAATTTAGAAACGGGAAGAACTCACAAGCATCATGATCCTCATTGACGATGGACTTGACCTGGCACTTCTTCGCCACGTCGATGGCCTGGTTCTTGAGGTCCTTACACTTGGCACCGAAGCAGTTCGAGGCGTCCATGCCCTTCTGCAGTTCATCGTCTTGCCACCCGAAGACTATCGCGGAATTAAGTCAGTACTATCGCTGGACAATGGAAGGGATTTGGACTGTGTCTAGCTGAAGTAGAAACATGGCAATCTAGCCCGGAAATGGGGAGAGGAACACCAAAACGTCAAGACGCCACGTATGCGCACGTGACGACTTTCAATATCGTTGAAGTTGTTTTGAACAGAAATTGAGCGAAGGTACTTCGAGTATACGTACCGTAATCAGCATGTTGCCCATATCCTATTGCATGGTTAGTTGGGTGCAAGCGAAATGGTTATGGAGCTTGACAAACCGGTATTGTCTCCGTAGCTGAGATAGAAAGGTTGTGAACCATCAGCAGGCCATTCGGCCTTGTTGTTGAAGGGCGTTGTGTCCCAAACCACTTCGTACATTAACTGCGGGATTCGAATGGGGTGCGTAGAAGGACAGTTGCCGCCAAGAGAGAGGAAGTCAGCGGGACCAGAGGTCGGATAAGCAATGTGTTCACGGTGGTTGGGAGAGTCAAGGTTGACTCCATCCCAGCAGCTATCTCTTTCATCAGAATAGTCTTCTTTTTTTTCTTCTGGCAAAAGTTAGGACTCACGTGGGAAAAAGGATGTTAGAGCGGATGCCACCCTTGCAAACATCTTTTGGCAAGGCTTGAGTGTCGAGTCTATGGTATATTATTAGCAAAGCTCTCCTGCAACATGACAGGAAAAAATGTGATGGCGAGAACGCACTTAGAATCGGCGCAAGGCGCGGCGTTGTCACCTCCGAAGTTGGGCCCAGTATAGCAACGGTAACAGTTTTGTTTCTTCATCTTGGGATCGGCTTTATTGATGGTGGGATCACCGCTCAGCATACGGAAACCCTGTTTCATAGCGTTAGTATAGACGACAAAGGAGACGCGTTAGTGGAAGAACATACGGGCTTGAAGGCAGTGATGGATCCGGGCTTTGCTGAGACGTAGTAGACCAAGATACCACCCCCGATCTGGGTGCTAAATTGATCATTGAATTGGTTGGCAGCGCCCAACTGCTTCACGCGCTTGTAGGTTCCGTTGCGTGCTTTGAAGTAGAGATTCGCAGTCCAGTAGTTGCTTTGAAATTCAGTCAGACATGGCTTGCGCGAACGTTTTGGATGGAAGCGCATGAGGTATTGAACATAGGGAGGAGTGATTGATAATTAACAAAGCAGTACTCCAGTAGATGTGATGTAGAAAGGGCGGGAGTCAATCACGTGACCCGACATTCACGTCTTCGAAGATAATGCTCAGATTGCCTACCTGAAATCTTTGGAAAAGGCACAAGTCGTGCAGTCTGCGGTCTTGGATACATCGCTTGTAGTCATAGAAGCGTTAAACCCGTTTCCCTATAGTCATGCAGTCAGAACACCTCTGAGAACATAGATCACAGGGGTAACCCGAAATACGTACTCCTACGATCTGATGCTGATGAGTAGAGGGGATCGAGCCAGGGTTGACCAACGGGTCGAGACGATCAATTACGACCTGTGCGCATCCAAATCGCAGCATAGTCGTCCCACCTTGTCGTTTTGACAATGCCTTGTTGAACCATGTTTCACCTGGGAAGGCTTCGGCGACTGCCGCAAGAGCGAGAATAGAAGTCCAGAGCATCGTGTATTGATAGCTTTCAGAAGTTCACTGATGGGGAATGAAGGAGAGTTTCGAATGACAGAGCGCACAAAGAGCAAGAGTATCGCGGCACTCAAGTGAACATAAGCAAAATCCATTCCCTTTCTCCGGTCCTTGAACAAGGTATATCATGACCACTTCCCACCCCACAAGTGCATGCCTGAAATGTGCCGGGTTCTGGGCGCTCCTTGGTCAATATTTCATCACGAATTCAGGAAACACAGCCAATCTTTGTCCATCAACACGTCGCTCAGACCTCTGCAGTATTTCTCCCCACAACACCATGCGGCTGTAGTTGATGAATGATGTTGTGGGGCAATATGGAAGATATTGCGCGCGGAGTAATATAACTTAACCTAGCCAATAATTCAAGTTACCGACCACAACACATCGCCCACATCATGACAAGGCTATACCCGTACAGGTATGCACAGCTTTGTAAACTTTAGGATTCTGATGGTTGTGGGGACTTAAATTTTGCCACATGGGCGTCGGGTTCGCAAATTGAATCCCGCTGTTCTGCTGGCCAGAACAAATTGATTACGGCATTCCTTCTTTTTGCAACATTTATAGTCAGCCTGTGATGACCATCGGAGATCGGGCAGCAAGGGGACAACTACAACGCGTATTAAGCTCCGAGAAATTGCGAAAAGACATGCCCAATTAGCATCATCGAAGTGATTGATCCTACTCAAGTTGCAAGCACATGGGTAATAGCATATCTCTAGTTTCATTAGTTACGAGCCTGCATTTTGAATTTTGAACAGTACCACTCAAGATAGATCATATTGATGATGAAGGTAAGCTCATATATGAGACAAATGTTGGTGTAGTAATTAAAGACCTAAACATCAATCAGGTGATGCTCAGAATGTGGATAGAGAAATATAGCGTAATCAGACAACCAACAGAGGAGGTTGGAACAAAGAAGGAACCTCGCAAAGTAATGTCATGATCGTTCTTTACAAACTTGACGGTCTCAAATATTTTTCGTCTTGCCATCCGTTTGGCAATGACACTGACTTCCTTGAAATTGAGGGAGATTATCGTCCGTAAAGAAGTTGATTAAACGCCGTAAGCATGAGCTATCGAACTTGATCTTCGGAGTCCTCCGGAACACGTAGAGTAGGGCGCATTCAACACAGGAAGAGAGCTGCTTGGACATCTCGCCGCGAGCAAACCTCAAGACCTCGGCACTAGTTCAACTTGACAGCATGCTGCAATATTATTGCCTGACTTCCACCTTGATGAAGCTAAGGCCGGGAGTGGCATTTAACTTTGTCGCATACTCAAGCTTCTGCGTTTTCAGTGCAATACGCTTGAATGACACAGCTTTGCGGGAGAAACAAAGGCTGGTGGTAGTCCCCTTTCATTCGGCCTTGCTGATTAACTCCGGTAGCTGATAATCATGCTATGGCACATCGGTCCCCTGACTGTTCGAGGGTAAGCCGTCAAGTGCCGTAGTGCGTTGAGTGGTACTAGGTGCTTGTACTCGCCATATTTGGGTATGGTCGGTTAGGTAGTGATCTTAGTCCCGATTCCTGTTCACCGACCAGCGCTTCCAGAGCGTCTCTCGCACGCAATACCTGGTCAACACGTTGCCAATATCCACTTTCTTCCCATTATTTTCATCCCACGGCGGAGGTATCTCGACATATACTAGCATCAACGTCTTAAAGACTTGTGTCTGTACGCGATTCAGTCGATGGAGCCACCACCAATCGCGACTCGCTTTCTTCCGAGAAACAGCAGCGCGTTCTGGGTCTTCGGACCAATACGGATGAGAATATGAGGGGATGATCATAACAGCAAACTCGGCATGATTGAATGCAGGGCCCCTCAAATACAGAAGGTAATCGCATGCGAACTTGATGCCAGGACGGACGACCCAGCCCAATGATCTGAAATGATGAAGTACGACGTATTTCATGACGAAAGGGTTGTCTGGTGCAATCATGTTGTTGTCACTTTGGAGGAGCGATCCAGTGAAGCCGGGATCTTCTGTAGTCAAGAACTTCGAATGCCGACAGAACAGTCGAAGTAAGTCTGAAGGCTGCAGTGTGGAGTCGTCATGGAAGACTTCCAATACACCAAGAACATAGCTCAGAAAAAATGCTTCCTCAAACGTCAATTGAAGATGTTCTTGATCATTAATCTCTGCCCCAGACACATCATTACTGGGGACATCCTCTATGACTGCCTTGATGATTGTTTCCTGAGTGCCGTTTGCGACCTCGAGAGGTTTATCGGTACCGGTGGCGTACAACGTGCCCTTCGGAGATTCGGTAAACATACCCTCGTCAACAAGGTCCGCAATCTGAGTATCGGAAATCGTCTTCCCTTCTTTCCGAAGTTGCTCCTCAATTGCTTCACGCTGTGCTTTTGCACGCTCAAGCTTCATCTGCCGCCGGTCTTCCCGCCTGTTCCTCGTGTGTTCTTCGCTTGTTTGGATTGCATCTAGGCCACGCCTCCGTTTTTCTTGGTCCAGCCAGTGCGGCTCACTTCGACTCAAAGAACCTTTGCCCCAGAAACCCTGCTCCCACAGAGCTCTGATGAACTTTGGATCTGTGACATGGATGGACTGTGTTTCGGGGGAGAAGTAGGCTTTGTGGATCACGATATGGGAGCTGGGTTGACGAATGGAGTGTGATATCAGACTGACTGCTATGCGCACAAGGGAGATGGGGTTGTGCGGAATAAATGTCGGGAGAGGATACACTTCGAGTGGGAGTGATTTGGCATGAATCTCATTGTAAGTACGTCGCTTTGCGCGTGGTTTCTTTGGCGAGCTATCTGTATTATTGCTATTAGGCTTTGGGATTGTGACGCCCTCCGACACTGGTGCTTCTGCCTTCAGACTTCCTGTAGTTGAAGCCATTTTGCTTGATGAGCCTGCTTTTGAGCCTGTTAGCTCTAAGTTGCATGCGACTTGTGGAGATAATGCAAATATGGAAAGACATATCAGATACCGTTGTAGTCTATAATTTGAACATCACAGAACACGTGAGCCAGTCAAGTGAATGCCCTGGCTCTGTGCGCTAAGATGAAAATTTTGATTTCATCATTGAAAGGGATAAGAAATGAGGGATTTTATTACTTACCAGTGGGAGAAGGTGTCGCCTTCAAAGAGAATGAACGCAGTGAACTATCTTCCACGGCAGCATCAGCAGCGTCAGTGTAGTCACAATCGATGGTGATTGACAAGAAATGAGTATGGAGAAGAGTCACCAGAAGTTTTAACATAGCGGAGAAACAACGGACCGCCGAGCTTGGCAAGGCCTCTCATTGGCTCACTCAACAAGTCGAGCTGCGGCGACAAGAGGTGACTGTCAATTTCGTTAGTTCCGGAGGTAGCAGTTTGCACTGTAATTGTTTCTGTATTAGAAACACGAGGATAACATTCGACAAGCAATTTAGTTTCGAGCGCTGTAAACGAGAGCCTGCCATGACGTAGCCATCGCGACGCCGGACGAAAAAGATCTGACGCGCCTCAACTTATACAACCACAATACACCTTCTCTCTCTCGGTTTACAACAACACGCCTTGCTCATTGATTGACTACTTCTCATCTTCCCAGCTGCGACTCTCACACTGTATCGTTTTGCTAACGTCTGAACCTGCGATAAAGAAACAAGATGCTGCCCGTGGCAAGATGGTCACTACGACCGCCACGCCGGCAAATTCAGGCAATAGCATTGCGCAAACGTCCAACAACAGCGCCACGCGGGTATCTTTTAAACCCTCAAAGACAACAGGCTTTGTCGACCCAGCCAGGGAAAGACAATGACCCATCTGGCACGAACAAGAATGAGGCCTCCAGAGTAGAAGCTGTTTCAAACGCCCTCGCACAAACCCCAGACGCGGAAAACAACCTCGTCACGCCGGTATATATGCCCGAAGATCCAAACGCCGTCCTCAAAGAGACCCATCCGGCGATGCGATTGCTCGACAATTCGGCAATTGTGGTACAGCGACAGTTGGAGATGATGAATGTGCTCATGGGCTTCGAGCAGGCCAATCGATACGTTATTATGGATCCACACGGCAATCATATTGGATACCTGGCGGAGCGGGATCATGGCATAAGCAGCACGGTAGCGCGACAAATGTTCAAAACCCATAGGAGCTTTACAACTCATGTTTTTGATAAGGAAGAGAGGGAGATTCTGAGGTTTCATCGACCATTCAGTTGGATCAATTCTCGAATCCGTGTGTATGATGCCATCGCGCATAATAATGGCAGCGCATATACACCATCCTCAGCCTTACAAGGGACCAGTGTAGGCAGCATGGTCAATCAAACAAGTGCAAGTGTCTCCAGCTTGCCTATGACTGATATGAGGATCATTGGATCGGCAGAGCAAGAATGGGCGCCGTTGCGACGAAAGTACAATTTGTTTCTTGCGCGACATCTGCAAGATGCTGCACCAGGAATGCCCCAGCTGACGTCCGGCGACCTGCCAATATCGGAATCCAAAGCGGTTGTGTTAGCTGAGGACGACAAGAGAGAGGTTGGCATGGTTCAATTCGCACGCGTTGACGAGCCATTTTTGTCGTGGGATTTCGGCCTGAAGTCGGAAGATGACCATCTTATCGGCTCGGTGAATCGTAACTTTGGGGGATTTGCTCGCGAGATTTTTACAGACACCGGCGTGTATGCCCTCAGAATGGACGCTGCTGGCACACAGGAAGGCGAGCGTGTTTCTGGAATGACCCTAGACCAACGTGCTGTTATGCTTACAACTGCTGTCAGCATCGACTTCGATTATTTTAGCCGTCACAGCTCTGGAGGAGGATTATGGCCAATGTGGATGCCTTGGATGGGTGGTGGCACAGAAGCCGCAGGAGGAGCAGCAGCTGGCGAAGCCGCCGGAGCTGGTGCTATGGGTGGTGCGACTGAGACTGGCATCGCCGGTGGAGTAGGAGCTGCCGGACGAGGCGTGAGTAGTAGTGAAGCTGTCGGTTCCACGGTCACTGGTGCCGGCACCATGGCTGGCTACGAGGCAATGAAAGGAGCTAGAGGAGGCAATCAGGAGGTTGATACTCAATCCCCCCAAGCAGCTGAACCATTCACTCCGGATCAGCAAGCGGGCAGCCAAGACACGGGTGATATCTGGAATGAAGGTTCTGATCCGTGGGCAGATCAATCTAGTGAAGATGTCTGGGGTGGAGATCAAAGTGGAAGCAGTGAGGGGGGAGGTTCGTCGGGCGGTGAAGGAGGTGGCTCTAGCTTTTGGGATCTTTTCTCTGATGACTGATTCAGAAGGTACTCGTGAGGACGCGTTCACGTCATGTATTATTATAGTTTTGTACATACATATGTAGATATTCATTGCAATGAATAACCGCCCACACTTGATAGTACCTTATAGGAACGTGTCTCATATTCATCAATACTCGTTGAATCAATCAATATAATGCTTTACTATGGTGCAGTAAAAGATTGTATTATAAGAATCTTCATAGTTCACTTGATTACATGATTAATGATTGTTCCACTACGAAAGGAGTGCTGTGGACTTGTAGTAACGACCCGCACATGATTGGCTCCTCACCCCGCTACCTAGGATTCCACTGCAACACCTATTATAATTCACCTACAACACAACGTACAAAGCCAACTCACTTCATTCCATAATTCAATCACTGTTTCCGTTTCGCTCCGTCTACTCGATACCCCACTCTTCAAGTCCTATCCACCCCGCTAAAACCCCACCACTCTTCTAATCCGCCATCTCCCCCGAGCTCCGCATTCCTCCGCCACGCGCAACCCGACAGCAATGGCATCGTCCGCCTCAAAACGTCTGTTCAAAGAATATAGAGGCTTGTCCTCGGATCCCCCAGAAGGCATCACAGCGGGCCCCATAAGCGAGGATGATATGTTTCTGTGGGAAGCGCTGATCCAGGGTCCCGAAGGCACGCCCTTCGAGGGTGGTGTTTTCCCCGCTGAGCTCAAATTCCCCAAAGATTACCCTCTCGCACCGCCGAAGATGAAGTTTCTGGTCGATGTGTGGCATCCGAATGGTACGGTCAACATGCGCCCCTCCTATTCTCGCTACAAGAGAAGTTTATGTGTGATTGAATGCTGATCTGAATATGGGTGTAGTTTATACCAACGGCGAAGTTTGCATATCGATTTTACATCCTCCCGGCGACGATCCACATCACTATGAGCAAGCATCTGAGCGCTGGTCGCCGATTCAGAGCGTGGAGAAGATATTGATCAGCGTAATGAGCATGCTAGCCGAGCCGAACGACGAGAGCCCGGCCAATGTTGACGCAGCGCGCATGTGGAGGGAGAAAAGAGGGACATATGAGGAAATTGTCAGGACGAACGTACGGAAGAGCTTGGGGCTATGAAGGAAGAAGGGCGCGCCGGGCAACTCAAAGGCACCGGGAGTGAAAACGTTGTGATGGGGCTCAGGGGTACATGTTTTAGAAGACAAATGATTATGAAATACGAAGTCTCATGCATAGCGCGGCGCTTCACGGTCACTTGGGCGGAAATGCAGCACTCGAATCCAGCAGAGACGTTTGCAAATTGGTCAGTTCAGTCTTATTCCTGAGCTTCACAGGAGAAAATATATTCTTTAGTAAGGGATGCGGCGTCGAAGAATATAGGGTGTGTCTTAACTGCCTACGCCAAGGCTTGTAATTGTTAAGTAAAAATTAGACAACATGCGTATAGTATTTTTATTTATTTGAGTTGGAGTTTAGGTGATCCTACACACAGCGATGGGTTTACAACGAGGAATATACCAAAAAAACGAGCGATTACCAAAAAGACGACCTTACTATGTAATACCTAACTTGGCGTGGGCAGTTGAGACACGCCCAAGAATATGCAGTCCAGAGGTTCCGGAACGATCGTATCCTCTCAAACAATCTCCAAGTCATCCACTTCCCCGTAACCATTGTATGCCACGCCTCTGTAGTTCCACTCAACATCCTTTTCCTGGGTATTGCCACTCTGATCCGTCGCCTTGCTCCAGATCCGTCGTCCCTTTCCCTTCTCTACACGCACTTTCGCTGTCCACAGAGCCCACGCCCACTTCAACTCCGCCACCCCTTTGAACATTGTATGTGAATCGTCATACTTCAACAAGCTCGCCTCGGTCCACGTCTTGCCCTCGTCTCCGCTCACTTCCACTTTCACAATAGGGCCATCACCCCCACTAGGCAGCGCATACCCTTTAACTTCGGTCAGTCCCTCGTCATCGAGGCTAACGGTCGTCTCGGGCGATGGAATTGCAATCACAGAATTCACGGGCATGTCCTGCAGTGCATCCACTTTGTCCCACCACTGGTCCGCCTCTTCCTTTGTTTCCGCCTGTGGGGGTAAGATCTTGTAATCGTGCCTCTGGTAAAAATTGTTGCTCTCCTGCATCTGCACTGAGATGCGATCCAGCCACTTCACTGAGCGAGCCCCAGCAATACCCGGCGTCACCACACGTAATGGCCCCCCATGGTTCGCAGGAAGCGGGCCACCGTTCATTTCCAGCGCAAGCAAAATCGACGCATTGGGATCCAGCGCACGAGACAGAGGGATACTGGCTCCATACCACTCGTCCTCCTGTGTGGGTGTCTGAAAACAGCTAAACGCCACGTGGGCATCCGGCCTCTTCTCTTCGGATACATCGACGCCAGCTTTCTCAAGAACGTCGACGAGCAGCGGGCCCGTCCAGGCGCAATTCATCACCGCACCATCGAACCAGTCGATGCCGGAGACTTCTTTGAGTTTAGTGCGCATTGTGTGACGCCTGTTGCCTGCGCATTGGAGCGCGCAGATCACCGTGTGTTGTGGGAGTGACTGCAGATCTGATATGCTGAGGGAGAGTTCTTTCTTGACCAAGCCGTAGATTCCGACACGGTGAATGTCTGCCGATATATGGGGGATTGGTCCATGGTTCCGGTCGTAAGCTTGGCCATGTTGAGTTAGGAAACTGTAGGAGTGGATTGGTATGCTAGATCTGTTCAAGTGGTCCCATGATACATTACCTTGAGATCAGTTTGTCTAACTCTGGCTCGCGATTGAGAGGCTCGTCGACTGAATATTCGAGCTATCCGATGACGTCAGCTGAATCCCATCTTGAGTAGATATCATGCTCGTTGCCCAGTTACAATATGAGAATCTTGTAGACCTTACCCGAACCATTGCTGAATTCTTCGCCTATCCGCAATGTTTGGTTTGCAATGTCGTTTAATAAAAGAGCTCACAAAAGCCGTACAGTCATACGATCTCAGTCGGGCCGGGTCGTTAAATTTAGCGTCCAGCGATAGCCCTCGTGTTACTTGAAGAATTCCTGAACAAGAAGATGCCCAGTTAAAAAAGAAGTCTCGAGAAGCTATTCCCTGTTATTTGTAGTCATGAGTTGGGATGAACATGGCCGGCAAGATAGTGTTATTGCCGGATAGGTACAGTAGGGCGACGGGTAGTTGCGGCCCTGTCACCACCTGCTGATGTGTGTGGATGGAACAGGAAGTGAAAGCGCAAGATGCAGGTGCTATAGCGACATGGATGAGCTGGCTCCAATCAGAAGTACGGACCGATACATGATGGAGAGGTGCTTGTGATGGCGATGCGATGTAATGTGGCACAGCTCTGTCGCGGGAGGTTGAGTGGGATGTTTGTTTTCGGATTGCTGATTGGTCGCTTCATGCTACCATGGCTGGCTGTGAGTCCTGAACAACAGTGCAAGATGGGTTCTGGATTGGATTTTTCCATGCTATGTATGTGGGAAGTAATTTGATCCTTGCGTTTGTTGATCAAGACTTCGACAGGCTTACGCGCCGGTTCTACTGCTGTTCGACCGCAACGATTTATTGGGTCCTTCTCTGTTCAAGTACCAACGTGTATGCCTCGATATCTCGAAAGCATACACATAGCGATACAATGCGTCGTAGCTTCTTGCAGGTATTCCAGTGCCTATCAAACCCACCCTTTGATTTCTCAGATCGGCCGTCGAGATGCGTATTCAAATTTATGGCTTGTGTGCGATCCCCTTCGACACACCTTTTCAAACTCAGGGACTTCTACCAGTCATGTCGCCAGATCAAAGCAAAGCTGAACGGGGAGTATGGTAAGGCCTCGAGAGTCCATCTCTCGGACCCGCGCGAATAGATAAGGATTGGAAGAGGCATCACATGCGAAATAACCAGATATTCAGTCAATATCACATGTAATATGTGCGCTGAATAGACAGAGATAGTACCCCAAGTGCTGGGGCGTAGAACAATAGGAATGTCTAAAAAGAAGCTATCATGTTGTGGTTTGATATCACTCTTGAGCAGTTCATCATTTCTTCACATTGTTGATGATTCTGATTGACTAGAACATACTCATACCTTATCGTGCTACCATGAGTAGAAAAACGGCTGGAGACAATCATGCCGTTGTTGATACACCAAGAGAGATCAAAACTCCAAGCCGGTTCTACAGCATAAAAGAATGCACGCATTTCCCTAAAATGTGACGCGGTAAGCCTACAGGTTGTACGTAGAAAACGCGGAAGCGGACCGTAACTTAGTCTGGTTTCAACTCTGACATTCCCAAGCCCCCATGAGATAAGCCGCACCAAATCGCCAACACCAATCTGACAGCTTCATGTTTACGCTTGAGCGAATGCCCAAGGGGCAGAATCTGAGAAGCCAGGCCAAGCCTCCGATATCGTCTCGCCTTGTTTACGCGCGTCTGGAGGCTTGCGTAGGTAGCACCGATGACATGCGTTTCGAAGAATGTGAAAATCTTGGAAGGCTTGATGGAAGACAATTGGGGAGGACTATGAGGAAGATAGTGTTGGAGGTGGATATGGAGAAGTTTGGCGGGCCGTGGCGCGCGAAGCCAAGTGTAGAATGTCGACTGGGCTTAGACTAACTGGTGGATTGGATGCATTGATGTTAGGGTTCGAATAACGATTGATTGGCTCGACAGTGAGTATTATGATGGTAAGATCATGACGTGAATGGAACTGGCTTGGTTGATAGAGGAATGTGAAATGAATAGTCACTAGAGTAATGCCATTGTCATCGTATCTCTTCCAGAAGGCTCAATTACAAATATTCAGATGCCGATGCTGCTACCGTGACACAAATCCAGAAGACTGCCTTGCATGTGACGAGGATAAACAAAGCTACGAGATCCATCGAAATCTCAAAGCCAACCCGCGGGCACCGATACTGAATGGTATGGACAATGACGACGAACGTCTTCGCGCTTCACTGTAAAGCAAGCCAAGCCCTCTGAGTTATGCCAGCGAGCCAGCATCTCACAAGTATACCCTAGCAGAACGAAGAACCATTTGCCTACCCTCCACACTTCCCGATATACTCAAGGTAGGGATGAGACTAATATACCATGGGAATCGAGCTTGGCTAAACCAGTTTCTCTGGGCACATCAAACCATGTCATCAAGAAATCTGCCATCCCCGTCGCTTATAAAATTCATATATCAAGAAATCGATGCAAGATGCTTGAATCGTGGTTTCCATTTTAAGACCCTTATTCGATGCACGCTAAACTCCCTAGGGGATGGTGGTGATACGTTGCTGAAGTTAATCGAAACCCCGGGTATCCAATACCCCCAAGAAGTCATCTAGAGAGCCCCAGCGTTCGGCGATTTATGCGGGACGATGAAACCGTGGGGGATGTCCTCCGATCTGGCGCGGGCAATGCGCCAAAAAGCTTGAATACTCGAGGCCTTCAGATAAAAACGCTCCTGTGTCTCCCGGATTCAGAGACTTGGGAACGTTGTGCGCCGGCCTCAGGACCTTCTCCATTATACTCGTGAAATTTGTTCTCCTAGTGCAGTGGCCGGCTTTGCTCATATTCTTGTCACTCTTGTCTATCTTTAATCGTCACCCCCGTTTGGTTGCCTAGGTGCTGAGCGCCTTTCTTTTCTTTCCCTTCTTTCATTTTCCGTTTGTTTTGCTACAACGACATATGATATCTGCACGATGAATGCCGCAGCCGCACTCCGCAATGAAATTGTACGCCACTCGCAGCTATCTTTTCAGAGATTGAACATTGGCGGGATTCCAACGTCCAAGTGGCCAAACCTTAAACCTTTCAAGGCTGTCGACTACGCGGAATACCTGTCAAAAATGCAAGCTACAAAAGAAGAACTAGGACCATCTTACGACAATACATACGACGTCGAGAAGAACTATAAACCACCGATGAGCGGTGGAGAGAAGCTTTCGAGGATGTTCACAACATTCCCTTTACGAGACCCGGCGTACCTAGTCGTCATTTTCTTCATTATTGGTAGTATAGACTTCACAATCAACGGTGCGATCGGATTGATACCCATCATTAATCCTGAAGGGGCATCCCCTGAACTCATGGCCGTTTGGTTTCCCACGACGTAAGAGTAGCACACCCATCCTGTGGCCCTGGCCCCCGAGAAGTTGCTGACCTTGTCAACGATTTTAGAATCTTCATCGGAGCAGGATTCTTCCTCTTCGCGGGTATCTTGGATCTACTGGGCGCATTCAATGCCGAAAACGGCCTCATGGAAATCACCAAGAACAGCAATGGCGGAAAAGATCTCACCCATCGCCCTGCCCTCCTAGGAAGCAAAGAGTGGTCGTGGGGGACCAATGGGCGATTCATGAAACTCCTCAAATCCGATGTTGCCTTCCAATCTGGATTTTCACAATTCCTCGCGGGCTTGATATTCACTATATCGGCGTTCACCACTATTCCCGGCTTATTCGATCCCATGTCTCCTTCATTCCCCCTCATAGCTTTCTTCCCGCAGGTAGTCGGAGGATTCATGTTCTTTGCTGCGAATGCAGTGCTGGCATATGTTGAACAGGATCATTTTTGGGGTTTTAAGCCTTTCAGTGCAAACTGGCAGTCTGGCTTCTTGGGTGCCGGCGGAGGACTCGGTTTCATGATGGGTGGACTGCTTCTACTCCTCAGCGATTTTCCAGGCGCAGCATGGGCCTCAATGATTGGTAGTGTTTCTTTCTTATTAGGAAGTATCGCCGGATGGTATAGTGTTATGGAGATGGTGTAACATAATGGTCGACTTTGTTGAAGTGATTCTCTGCTAACACTTCTTGCTTAAAGGGCGAAGAGGAACGTGGACAAGTCGCTAGTTTCGATTTCTGTGTGTCCCTGTGACCCATCTCACAGTACGGCAGAGTTGCTGTAATACGATCCAGTCTGTTATACACCGCGTAGAGATACCAATTTTGTATTCAATCGCCCGTATGACCTCAAAATTTGTCCCCATATCGTGATTTTGTAAGCGAACTCCTCAGGCGGTTAGCAGGATACAGACATTCAATTTTTCAAAACACAATCATTTCATGTCCCATGGCTTCTGACGCTGACTTGTTGTGACTGTCGCACGTATCAGAACCCTGTAGATGATGCCTCACGGTGTGCGCGGGTCCCGTAGATCTTCGGCCCGACCCATCCCTCAGACAGAGACCAAGACCGAATGGAGACCGATGAACAGACAGAGTACATTGATTTGTGAGCAACTAATCGTTTTACCTGAGCATGGATTCTCTATAATAGTCTTGATTCATTCGTCTCTTCCATTGCGCGCATTCATTAATTTTATTTTATATTTTGCCTGAGGAAATTATGGCTGACGTCGAGAAAGAAGCCGTGTCAACGGCGGGACCCCAGCAGCAAGGGCCTTTACCAATTGTATTCGACGATGCTGAGATGGATAGAATGGGACGTATTCGACCGGAGGTGTTCAAGAGCGTTTGGGTGGAAATTGGCTTCGTTATATGTATACTGACATCCAGTATTGTCGCGGTACGTATAGCGCTCACAAATCTTCGACAATGGCGATCAATCGGATCTGGCATCCCAATCCGTCCACTAATACACCATACAGGAGTTTCTAATCAGTGGATTCAACGTCCTTCTACCGGTTGTTATAGAAGAATTGCAAATCGACCCAAACAAACGAACATGGCCGGCGAATGTTTTTGCACTTGTTGCTGGCGCGCTTCTATTGCCATTCGGTAGACTCGCTGACATGTATGGGGGGTATGTAATATTCCTCTTTGGCCTCGTCTGGATGGCCGCCTGGAGTCTGATTGGCGGGTTCAGCATAAACTTCATTATGCTGGTGATGTGTCGTGCGCTCCAAGGTATCGGTGCTGCGGCTTTCCTGCCAGCCGGTATCATGCTACTTGGCTCCGTATATCGACCCGGCCCGAGGAAAAACGTTGTTTTCAGTTTCTATGGCGCCTGTGCTCCTTTTGGATTTTTCTTCGGGATATGTCTCGCCGGTCTTTCCGGACAATACTTGACGTGGGGCTGGTTCTTTTGGATCGGGGCCATTTTGCTGATGGTTGTTGTTGCTGGTACAGTGGCGTTTGTTCCAAATGATCGAAAGAATCCAAAAGACACTGTGATGGATTGGTGGGGTTTGGCTTCCAGCTTCGCGGCCTTAATCTTTTTGGTGTTCTCCCTCACTGGAAGTGGACAATTTGGTTGGAAATCGCCGCAAATCCTTACTACTCTCATTCTGGGAATCGTGCTACTGGCCGTATTCATCTATATTGAGGCCAAGGTCGCCTTCCAACCGCTTCTGCCGCTCAGTCTGTTCTCAGTGAAGTACATGAAACTTCTGGTTCTATGTTTGTTCCTGAGCTATGGTTCTTTCGGGATCTACCTCTTCTACGCATCTTTCCAGTGAGTAATGCCACCAATCTAATTCGCCGGCAGAGATGTAGCTAACGGTAAAATAGTATGGAAACTGTCTTGCACATTTCTCCTCTTTTGTCAGCTGGATGGTTTGCACCGATGGCTATCACGGGCATCGTAATTGGGACGCTAGGTGGCATGATCCTCCACCGTTTGTCCGGCACTGTCATGCTGTAAGTTAACGTACCATTGAGAGAATTAGCGCGCTCGTGGTCCAGGTACTGATGATTCTCATAGTATGATTGCTACCATTGGTTTCATGATAGCGTCCTTGCTATTTGCGCTGACACCTGACCGTCCGTTATATTGGGCCTGGATTCTCCCGGCCATGGTTTGCGCTTCGATCGGAATCGACATTACATTCAACATTTCCAACATTTACATCACTTCTAACGTTCCGTCAGATCAACAAGGGCTAGCGGGAGCACTTATCAACGTAATATTATTTGTAGGAATGAGTATTTGGCTGGGCATTGCCGACTATGCGGTGAGCACAAAAGCTGGACTTGGACTAAAAGCAAGTTATAACGTGGGATTTTGGCTGGGTGTTGCAGCTGCCGGAGTCGCTTTGTTGACTGTTGTAGGTGGGATTAGAATCGGAAAAGCAAAGAGTGATTTGACGGTTGAGGAAAGGCAGGAACTGGAGCAAGAGATTTTGCGTAGAAGAATTGCTTCGGCTTCCGAGAATCGAAAATAGTAGCTGAAGATTTAGATTATAGAGATAGAAGGAATCTTAGACCTTGACTTTGCGACACTAGTTGTTTGGCTGATGAATGACTGATGCCTGATGGAGGTGCAGTGGAAGTGGAAGAGGCTCTTCGATTGGTGCGCACGGACCGTCATGATCTTCGCAGGGGAGTCGCGTGAGTTCTGAAAGAGACGTAGCAGACCTCACCACCATCTTCCACTGCACCCGTCACTCTCCATACGACGTACACTTGCACTCACGTACATGACTGTGCGCAATCACATCATGCGAAGATTATAAGAATCCACACGGCTACTCTTCCCTATGGAGTACACTCCCATCGCGGAGCTTCGACCGGAGCTACCGGGACTCGAATCGCAGCAGTGCCGAGCTGTCGTGACGCTCATATGGCCATATTCCTCGTCGGCACGACAATTCGCCTTGCTCCTTGCCGATCCGAATATTCGCCTCCGTCGCAACAATGGGCAGGTCAGGGCACGCTTTTTTGGGTCGAGTGCTAGGGCAATGGCCAGCACTGGTGTTGGGATTGGAGACGAAGTAGTGTTGAGTTTGCGCGGTGCTTCCTTTGTGCGCGAGGATACCGTCAGCACCCCTGGCAAGAGCATAGATTATGAGTTAGAATACACCCAGACAGTTGCACTTCAAATAAGTCGACATGGAACTGAACTCGCCACGCTTGACCTCGTCGATGTTGCACCCACACCTGCCATTCGATCGCCCGTTCGCCCTACCCCTCATAAACCCGCTCTCTCTGCCATCGAGGAGCCTGGGAGATGGTCGTCGCCTGCCTTTCTAAAACGTGCGCGGTTATCGCAAGGTCCGGTATTCGAAGCTGGCTACGACCCGTTCACGGACGATATAGAAGATGAACACGCGAGGAAGCGCCGCAGGAAGTCTTATAGAGACTGGAGCGCATGGAAATACTCAAATCGAACTCCTTCGCCCGAGAAAGAGGAAAGGAGCTCCGAAGATCTCGATGATGTCTACACTTCTCCTACACGCCCCACGAAGCTGCCGCGTACGCCTGTGTCGCCGCTAAAACCAGACCAACCCTCACATAAAACATCTCCGTCCGAGCAAAACCAAGTTATCGGCTTGTGCAATGATGATGAAAAAGAACATGAGGATACGGGAAGGGGCACGAACGAAGACCGCATCGAGCATAGGACAAACTTGGACCCCGACGCCAGAACCGAAGCTAAGAACGACAAAACGAAGACTCTATCAGACCAATTGGCGGACAGCGGATTTGTTCGCAACAATGATGATTACGATTTATATGTCGACCCCAGTGGAAGTCCTCCGTATGCTTCTCAACCGATTTCTCAATACCCTTCAGTTGATGGAAGCGTTCAAGATTCACAACGGGTAGAAATCTTGTTAGACGAGGTTGACGATGTTCCAGATGTGATAGCAGATGAAGACCAAGGCGAGCAAAATGAGCAGGCAACAGAATATATAGACATTCCATTACCCATGCACTCCCACGTTGAAGAGCCGTTAGGCATAGGTCCTGGCATGGCCACGCAGACAGGGCCCAACATTGAGTGGCATGGAGACTCTCAAAATCTGTTGGCCTTGGATGACAACTTTCCGATCGTTATGGCTCCTCCAACGCTGCCTATGCTGCAAACCGATTTTTCGACCACTCTTGCTCCGGGTATGTTGACACCAATTGGAAAAGAACCGCAAAGTCCGAGCCTGAGGCCACTCGATTCATCTACTTTGCCAATGCCATCCCCTTTTCCAGATGAGCGCGACGAAGCGAACACATCATATCTTGAACATGTCGACCACTCACAGTCAGCTACACAAACTCCAACCAAGCAGAAGCACGTGGCCCAGGACGCCGACTCCGGTGAGACCAGCTTTTATAGCTCTGTCAGTTCCTCCAAAGCCCCGGTCTTCCACGAATCGGCTTTTACTGATGTTCGTTTCACTTTCGGGTTTGATGGGTCGGCATTATCTTCGTTGGTTCCAGCTGGTCAGACTGAAATTTCAGAAGATGTGCAAATCCAGCCAGAAACAGTCGACGAGATTCCAAAGACGCTCCAAGAATATAGTCTCGTGGAGGCTGGAGGTACAGATTTAGCTGCCATGGATGAGGACATCTCCTTTGCGGAAGTCGATGATGAGACAACAAATGTGAACCTTGTCGCCCAGCCGACTCCAGAGAAACAAAATATCCAACCGATTACTGCAATCTCGTCGGAAGACTCTGAACATGTGGAAGCGCTTGGTAAAACCCAGTCAAAATTTAGGCGTGTGCTGAAGGATTCAGCCAGTGACGGATCCGCTGTTGACGGTGAAAATGACGATTCAGAGGCCAATGCTGAAGAATCTGTTAGCGTACATGAGCATGATTTCCTGGACTCGAATGATCCAGAGACACAAATTCACTTCGCTGAGGAATCTACAATTATCCCAGGCACCGACAGCAGAGAGCCACCTGCGCCTGCACCTGCAGCAGTCTCAGAAGTCATTGATATTGGGTCTGACTCCAGCGATGAGGGCTACGAAGAGGATCACAAAGAACCCCAACCTCTAACAGCCGATTCACAATCTATTACCCCAGCTTCTCAAATTCAAACTTATCCTGCAGAAGGTGGATCCAAAGGTGAAAATCCTGACATTAAAATGGAATCCATTGAGAGGGATAGCGCATTCGACTTAGAAGGATATGAAGCTACACAGCAAGAGACCGGGCCCAGGAAATCTGTAGGGCTTGCTGATGATCCTCCTGAAGAAATGCTCATTGAGATCCCGGAAGGTGATAGAGTTGATGAGAACCATGTTGTATCAGTACCAGCCACCGCTCCAGCAAGTAACACACGCTCGAAGACGAAATTAATGTCTTCTCCAGCCAGAGGCGAGATTTCCGTGCACAAAGGAACGCCACAAGCAAGTAAAGCGAGGTATTCATTAGAATCTATATCTCGGACAACCCGTTCACCGTCTGCTACCAGGTCGACCCTAGCCACGTCTCCAACACCCGTATCCTCTTACAACCTCCGTTCTCACTCAACACAACACTCACCTGCCAGCGTTAATGTTACAGAGTCCAGACCTGTCAGCTCACATCGACAGACCACCCAGCAAAGATCTGTAGAAACGCGTGATGACGAAGATGGTATGACTTCTAGTCAGTCATCCACTTATAAAGAACTGAAATCTCCTGCTCTGAACTTTATGCCATCACAAAGCCTGGGCGCCTCTCGAGGCAAGTACTCGAATACAGCCTTCGCCAAGGATTCTGAGGAAAGTAGCTCACATTCCGCAAAATATCTTCCTACTGCCCGGTATTCTGATGATCCGACGGGGAACCAAGATACTAGCAGTGAGCTAGAGGATCCCAAGGGGAATGAACCACGTGCATCTCCTGCAACGATGAAGACTGAGCCGGAGAGCCACGCAAACTCTGCACTAGTTTCTTCTCCGTCAGATGTGAGAACCAGTTCTGCCTCAAAGTCTTTCGCGAGGGCGGCTTCGAGCATGTCCAGCACTCCACGTAGATCGCGTCGCTTGAGGAAAGATGCGTACGATCTACCTATGGATGATGACGAGTTGTCTGATGCTAGCACGCCCAAGCAGGCCACGCGTAATCCCAGCGCAGCTCAAAAGACACCGCGTGATCGACGCAAAGGCGACCCATCTAGTTCGTTCTCGGTTTCCAGCGTGACAGAGGAAGCTACGATCAGCTCGCCCAAGCCGCCCCAATTTGCTCCGGTCCCGAATCAATCTATTTCAGAAAACCCACTGCTCGCAACTCCAGAAGCGAGTCAACTGCCACCCGGGTCGCCGTCATTTCCATCTGCTCAACGGGACTCCGTCCTACCTATCACACCGCAGTTGACACAGGCAAATTATGCTGGTCTACGCTCATTCAAAACATCGGACGAACCACTGCAAGTCGACAGCGACACAGTTGAGGTCGCCCACTCGCCGAAACCCAAACGCACACCTCACCGAAATATAGTCTCTACAGGCTCACCGCCCCGCACCGCATCTCCCAGCGCCAAATCAGACGTGGAAACAGAAGTGACGCTCGCCCCTAAACCCAATCCGCCATCCATCGGGCTCTCAACACCAATCGCATACTACACTCCGCTCAAAGACATCCACTACTTCCTTAACCGCTCCTCAAATTTCCACTCATCATCGAGTCCAGACGTGTTCGCCCTCGTGACAAGCGATACCACCGCCCCCAAACGAGCAGACAAGGGTCCCAAAGATTACTTCACTACATTTCAAATCACAGATATTTCGTTGTTCCCCACCACAACGACGGTGCAAGTTTTTCGCCCGTACGACACAGCGCTGCCGTATGCGCAGAAAGGTGATATTGTGCTGCTTCGCTCATTTCCGGTCAAGAGCTTGAATCGCCGCCCTACGCTCGTCAGTGGAGACGATTCGGCGTGGTGCGTGTGGAGGTATGGCAAGATGCTGTGGGGGACGTCGAGGGCGGCTTTTGCGGAGATCAGGGCTAGAGAGGAAGTTAATGGGCCTAGTGTAGAGAGGGCAGAGGGTGAGTGGAAGGAGGTTGAGAAAATGAGGGCTTGGTATTTGGGGAGCGTGAAGGCGGAGTTGGAGGAGAGTGGGGTTAAAACCAGGAGTCGGGATAAAGCTTAGGATAGCTGAGAGGGAGGAATGATACATCCAGGTAAGAGGGGAAAATATGTGATACTAGGCAGTCTTTTTGACATCACATGTGCATATATGGAGGGTAATATGATATTGTTCCATGTCGCATCATTTCATTTCATTTCGTATTCTTGTCTTTTTTGGTGTGTTTTTGTCATGGGTTTTCGTCTATCTGTAGTCTGTTTCCCACAAGTGCGAGGAAGATGTACAAGCCCTCACCGAGACGCAGGGGAAGACTCCTTGCATCTCTTTCGAGCAGCTTAATCACCCCCGTGTCACAAGCAGCGAGCAAAACCCCAGGAGTAAAAGAGCCACGACAAAGCCTCGCTCAAACGTGAAATTTCATAATGAAAGCCCAAAAGCGCAACGTCTCTCTCAAGACATTACCCATCCGACTGACAAAGAGAAATCTAAGGCTTCTCGTAGACCCAGTCGAAAGCAGTGGACTTCCAGGACTGAACTTCACCGTCCTTGAACCAGAGAGCAATCTCCTTCTTGGCGTTCTCGACGCTGTCGGAGCCGTGGCAGACGTTGCGGCCGACGTCGAGGGCGAAGTCGCCACGGATGGTGCCAGGGGCAGAGGCGAGGGGGTTGGTGGCGCCGAGGATGGTGCGGCCGGTCTTGACGGCGTCACGGCCTTCCCAAACCATGGCGGCGACGGGACCGGAACCCATGTCTTGGGTAGCATGTCAGTGCTGTGTAGCTGGAGGACGAGATGGGAATGTGGGGGTGAACATACAGGCAATCAGTCCGGGGAAGAAGGGCTTGTCGCTCAAGTCGGCGTAGTGCTTCTCAAGGTGCTCCTTGGAGGGAGTGACGAGCTTGAGGGCCACGAGCTTGAAGCCACGATTCTCGAAGCGAGAGATGATGGGGCCGACGAGTCCACGCTGTGTTGAAGACGGGATATCAGTGTGCGTTCGTGGGTAGATGTGCGTGGTGTTTTGCCCCTCAATTGCTACTGCTGATGGGTGAGGCGGGGTGTGGTAGAGCATACCTGGACGCCGTCAGGCTTGATGGCAATGAAGCTATGAGGAAACAATTAGCATCTAGAACAGAAATGTAAACACGAAAAGGGAGAAACTCACGTCTGCTCGGAGGACGACATGTTGTTGAGTATAGGAGTCTTTTGAGGTGTGAGTGGGATGGAGCAAAAGGAGGAGAAGAAGGTGATCGGATAGAGTAAAATATTTGGCGCTACCATGGTGGGGTTGGCGGGGGGTCGAGGAAGCACAGCGGTTGAATGCTGCCCTGTGATTTGTGCACGGCTGACTCAGCCCGCTCTTTGGAGCTTGGGGGCCGTTGTCGAAACACCTGGCCAGAAGGGAGCATCGGTAGCCCAGGCGTTTGTTAGCAGCTGGCTGGACAAGTTACTTATCTACATGTAGCGCTACCCTGTGAATTCAATTGCACAGGCAGCATAATCCACGCACTCCATCATGATTACCAGAAGAGACGCTTCCGCTCCCAGGTGGACGGCCGCGTTCTTGGGTTGGGCGACGTTGAGCTGTCTGCTCGTTCCCGCCGGTATGCCCGTCTACGCTTCACTATACCACTACCACCTCCAGAAATACTGATGAGGAGCTGCAGTTTCCGTCAAACACGACAACTTCAAGACTTGTGATCAATCCGGCTTCTGCAAGCGCAATCGTCAATTCGCAGATAATGCCACCGCATCCAGCTCCTGGGTTTCGCCATATGCCCTCGACGCCACCTCCATCACCTTCAAAGATGGCCAGCTAGGCGCCACCGTACTAAAATCTCTCCAAGACGGCGAGGAAAAGGCCAGGCTGCCCCTCACCGTCACCTTTCTCGAATCAGGCATCGCAAGAGTCACCCTCGACGAGGAGAAGAGACAAAAAGGCGACATTCAATTGAGACACGACAGCAAGGCGAGAAAGGAGCGATACAACGAGGCTGGCGACTGGGCTTTAGTTGGAGGTCTGGAGGTGTCCGAGGGCGCTGCCCTCAGCGAACAGGCAGAGCAGGGCTACACGAAGGTCTTCTATGGCGAAGGTGGGAAACATCAGGCTCTGATTCGTCACCAGCCTTTCGGAATCGAGTTCCAACGCGACGGGGAAACGCAAGTCAAGTTCAACGAACGCGGCCTCCTGAACCTCGAGCATTGGCGGCCAAAGGTTGAGAAGCCAGCAGAGGAGAAGAAGGAGGGCGAGGAAGAGAAGAAAGACGAACATCCAAAGGGCGAAGATGAAAGCACCTGGTGGGAGGAGACCTTTGGTGGGAACACCGACTCCAAACCTAGGGGACCCGAAGCCATTGCTTTGGACATTTCTTTTCCCGGATATGAGCATGTCTTTGGTATCCCCGAGCATGCGACTGGACTGTCTTTGAAGACCACCAGGTATGAGAATCGCATCTCACGCTCCGTAGCTATCTATTGCTGACCAATATTAGGGGTGGAGAAGGCAACTACAACGATCCGTACCGACTATACAATGCTGATGTCTTCGAGTACGAAATGGACAGCCCCATGACTCTCTACGGAGCTATCCCCCTCATGCAAGCACATCGTAAAGGCTCGACTGTTGGTGTCTTCTGGCTGAACGCAGCCGAAACCTGGATCGATGTCACCAAGGACAAGTCCACGGCAAACCCTCTTTCCCTCGGTACCAAAGGCCACACTGATACCCACACCCACTGGATTTCTGAGAGCGGTCTCTTGGATGTCTTTGTGTTCTTGGGCCCTACACCACAAGATTTAACCCGCCAGTACGGCGAGTTGACTGGTTTCACTGCTATGCCCCAGTCTTTCGCCATTGCCTACCACCAGTGTCGCTGGAACTACGTCTCCGATGAAGATGTTAAGGATGTCGATCGGAAGTTCGACAAGCACAAGATCCCGTATGACGTGATCTGGCTCGATATTGAGTATACCGACGAAAAGAAGTATTTCACATGGGATCCCCTTACATTCGTAAAGCCAGATACTATGCACGAACATCTCGACAAGCGCGATAGGAAGCTGGTGGCCATCATTGACCCGCATATCAAGAACACCGACAACTACCACGTGATCGACGAGATGAAGAAGAAAGACCTTGCCGTCAAGAACAAGGAAGGAAACCAATACGAAGGCTGGTGTTGGCCTGGATCCTCCATGTGGATTGACTGCTTCAACCCAGCAGCCATCACTTGGTGGAAAGGTCTTTTCAAGTACGACGCTTTCAAGGGCACTGCACCAAATACATTCATCTGGAATGACATGAACGAGCCGTCCGTTTTCAACGGTCCCGAAACCACCATGCCTAAAGACAACCTACATTTCGGCAACTGGGAACATCGTGACGTGCACAATGTCAACGGAATGACTTTCCACAACGCCACTTACCAGGCACTCCTCGAGCGTAAAAAGGGCGAGATTCGTCGTCCTTTCGCGCTCACTCGTTCCTTCTACTCCGGCAGCCAGCGTGTTGGTGCCATGTGGACTGGTGATAATCTCGCGGAGTGGTCCCACCTGGCCGCTTCCATTCCCATGGTGCTCAACCAGGGTATCTCCGGTTTCCCATTCGCCGGTGCTGATGTCGGAGGTTTCTTCGGTAACCCCAGCAAAGAGCTTTTGACTCGCTGGTACCAAGCCGGTATCTACTACCCATTCTTCCGTGGCCACGCTCACATCGACACACGTCGTCGCGAACCATATATTCCCGGAGCGCCCTACACCGAGTTGATCACACAGGCTCTTCGCCTACGATACCAGCTTCTCCCCGCCTGGTACACTGCCTTCCACGAGGCACACACCTCTGGTTCACCAATCATCAGGCCCAACTATTACGTTCACCCTGAGGACGAAGCTGGTTTCGCCATTGATGACCAGCTCTACATTGGTTCAACTGGTCTCTTGGCCAAGCCCGTCACCAGCGAGGGTGCCGATAGCGTCTCCGTCTATATTGCGGACAACCAACCTCACTACGACTACTTCGATTACACCATCTATCAAGGCGCTGGCCATCACACCGTACCCGCACCTCTTGAGAAGATTCCTTTGCTTATGCAGGGCGGGCACGTCATCCCGCGTCGCGACCGTCCCCGCCGTTCGTCCGGCCTGATGCGATATGACCCCTTCACACTCGTCGTTGCCCTTGACAAAGATGGCTCTGCAAGCGGAACCCTATACCTCGATGACGGCGAGACGTTCGATTACCAGCAAGGCGCCTTCATCCACCGCCGCTTCAGCTTTGACGGAAAACGCGCCATCCTCACCTCTTCCAACCTAGACAATTCTTCCCGCTCCGCGAAGCTCGACGCTTATCTCAAGACAATGGACAAGGTTCGTGTCGAGAAAGTGATAATTGTGGGAGCACCCAAGGCTTGGAAGGGCAAGGACACTGTCACCGTTATGGAGGAGGGTGCCAAGGAAAGCGCAAGGAAAAAGTCGGTTGTAGCTGAGTTTCACGAAGGAAAAGGCAAGGCGGCGAACTGGCTAGTCGTCAGAGATCCCAAGGTTGGAATTAGCAAGGGCTGGAAGATTGATTTCTCGTAAATCAAATCTGTGTGCAACGGGTGAATGCCTGGAGTGATCACCCACGCAGAGAACGAGAATTCCGAAGTAGGAGGTTGATGGACATGACGCGATACATCAACAAACAGAGCAAAGGACTGTAAAATAGGCATACGGCGCATGCTTGGAGGTTGACCCATTGTGTTTTGCGTACCTCTACAGTTTTGGTTAGCATATCCATTGTACGACTGCATCGTCATTTAGCGTAGAGGTGAGATATAAGAGACGGTACTGTCATATCCCCATAAATTTAAATGAATTCTTTGCTGTCCGCTCGGAACCCTAGTCTTCTCGCAATCTTGTCATTTCTTTCTTGCCTGCTCTTGTGTGGGAAGGATAAAACATATCGGCACTGCTATGAGGCCAGTCGATTTGGCAAGTGGCCATTGGGTTCGACTTATAAGACAATCTCACCACCCAGGTCAGATATTTCAATGAACAATAGAATTCTAAATCTATCTATTCATACTGAACTGCGTCAACAAATGAAGAAGACCAACTTCGTAACCACATAACGTCATACCCAACCCTGCATCATCACACCACCCATCGTCTTTCACGGTCAAAGATTGTATTCCAGAGTCTACATCGTCTTCAAAGAAGCAAGTAAGCTACTCTTTGCCTCACCCAACTCTACCACATCGGTAATCTCATCATCCACGTTCTTCAGATACACATCTTCTGTAACCGCTGGCTGCCAACCCGGGAGGCGTTCTTGGGTGTGGTGATTGATGATGCCGCTATGACATATCAGTCAGCACGAAATTTCGCTTCTCTACTCCACAGCGACCAGCATCGTGATTCATGAGGATGGTAAGATTGGGAAAAGGAAGAGATGAAACATACCTGCTGTTGAACATAAATCCAACTGCCCCTTCCGGAACATCTAGGATCTTAGACGCCTCCTTGAGCGACCAAATATCGATGTTCGTATCTTGGATCAAATCCCTAGCCTTCAGAGCAGGCGCGAGATGTGCGTGGAAAGTCGCTGTAGAGAGGTTGAACGAGATTCCGAAGTAAAACCCACGTTCATTGGCATCGATGGATTGGTTCGTAAGGATCTTGTCGACGAGGATGGCGTAGAGGGACGTCAGGTCTTTGACGTGAATTGTGGGAATAACCTACAGTGTTGAATGTCAGTGTGGTATTATCAGGTGAGTATGGAGCGAATAAGGGTGGGTACATACAGTGTCATTGGGGAACCTGTGCATCTTCTTTTGCTGGATGGCACCGAGGACGTAGCGAGGAGTGAGGACGGAGAGTTGGTTGTAGGGGCCTGTGCCTCTTCCGACTATGTGTACACGGTTCGCGTCAGCAAATTTCCTTTTTTTGGGATAGAAGAAAGTTGAACCAAAGGCCGGGAACAGTTATGACTTGGACTGACTTACCGACTTGACTAGGCACGACGATGAAACTCGTCACCCCGACTTCTTTGGCCTTCTCGGTGATTGAAACATCAGTCTGGCAATCTGTTAGCGAACTGATACGGGCGGAAACGATTTCGAGAACCCTATCGTTGGAGGATATCATTACTCACGTTGCGGATCGGGAACGAATCCCTCAGCTCCTTCGCCGTCTCAAACAACGGGTCGCGATCCGAAGTATTGCCCTCAGGCCAGCCGGTAGCAATGTAGAACGCGCTTAGTCCAGAAGTCTAGAGATCCGGCCTCGTGTCAGAATGCGCGCCAAAGAGAGAAGAAGAGAAGAGATGTGAACTAACATGTACATAGTACGTGGGTTTTCCCGTCTGCGCCTTCCGTTTGCCAAGTGCAGACACCAAGGGTAGCGACAGAGTCGCATTCACAGAACTCACAGTCTGAATCACGATATCGACTGCGACATCACGTCAGTGACTGTGGAAAAGAAACACTAGAGAATGCTTCGTGAAGAGTTAGAACTCACTTTCGTGTTCCAAGATCGCATTCGCCACGGCTTCCTCGTCATCAAGTTTGAGCTGTATAACTTTGACGTTCTTCAAAGTCTGTAGCGCGGCGACTTGCTCGTCGGAGCGCACTGCAGCTGTAATTTGAATGTTTTTGAGCGATGGGAGCGTGCTGGTGAGGAAGTCTGCTACTATAGAACCACCGCTGGGGGAGGAGGCGTGTTAGTTGTTGGTCTTTTTGCATTTGCAAAGGGTGAGGTAATTACATATAGCCTCCAGCTCCTGTTACCAAAATGTTGGTGGACATGCTGCGTGTTGGGTAGTGCGAGATGTGTTGTTCGATAGTGGATCTGATGGTAGTGTTTATTTTGGACGGACTCAGAAGGTCAATTGAATATCGGTGTTTAAATGCGAGGATGATATCAGTGCTCAAATAGATAGTTGGAGAGTTCAAATGTTGGTACAATCAAGTGATGGTCGTAAAGGTGCTTCTGTGCGGTGCTTTAATACTTCTTTTCGGTAACACTTGAATTTATAATTGATGCTGATGAACTATACATTCCATCTGCATCTCCATGCATCTCTCGTTTACACGGTACATGTTGGGTGTCGTCAGTTGTGGTGTCCATGACTAATTCCTACCAATGGCTGCAGCTTATATTGGACGAGGCAACTATTTTCGAGCACCGCATCCGTATTTCTAAGCTCGCAGTTGTCCTTTCCCTGGCTCATGGGTGTACATGCAGTAGTGGCACGTTAACTGGCTAGTCCATAGTAAAGTTGACGCTTATCGTATCGTAGATCTTGACTTCCAGACAGGCGGATGTTGATTCGATTTCACGGGGTGTGCACGTTCAATCGTTTGGTGTTGCTGCACGTGGGCCCGCTCAAGCAGTTGAGTTCCAATCGCGCGACCTACACACTTTCAATCTTGCAACATCGGAAACCACAAGCACCCTGTATCTACAAGGTAGGTAGATACACTGCTTTTTACATGAATGGGAATCTCCAACAAGTGCACTGCTTTTTGAACCGGTCAAGTCAGGCGAACTATATCATCTCACTTGCGCATTCATCGACTGGAGGAGAACGTTGCTAGGCCCGCCTGGGCTGAAAGGTAAATCGTGAGGAAATCTCAAGGCTACTTCTGCGCATAAGGCTACAAACGACCGAGGCTTAACTCCGAGTTCTACGCAATACGGATTTTGCAGCTGCCCGGCCAATGATTTATCCAGGTTGCATGTCCACAGGAGCCTTTACAGGTAACAGTTTTCCAGAACAATAGATCTCCTTCGATAAACGCCCAGAGCTGTACTCACTCTTTCATATCCGTGCTCTGGTTTTCTTTGCAACTCAACGTGCTGCCGATGAGGTTTGCGTGCTGCGCACGGAAGTAAGAACAACATGCTGCGCCGATACACAAAGCGAGTAGCTGCTTTACTAGGCTAGGTGCAATGCAACATTCCTATTGGTCAAGCGAACCCAAAAAGCTGCATTTGTCAGACCTAGGTTTGTCAGCTTAGGTCCGCTTTGTACTGAGTCGAAAGCCAGTTATAGCGCTACGAGGTTCATGTAGCCATTTTCATATAATTGAGGTTTGCAGATGTTGAAGCAATCTCAATTACATTCAATTTCGATACACTATCAAACAGTACAATTGTCTATCCCTCCCCAAGACTTTCTAGTTCAAATCCCTCAAACTCCCCAGAACATCTAAACAGTTTTTTTTTTTCAAGAAAAGAAAAAATCCCCCACATCAATGTCCAGCGACTCTCCGATCCTCCTCCTCTTCGGATCAGGTGCCAACACAGGTGCCAACGTAACCCGCGTATTCTCCGCCAAAGGCTACCGCATCGCTCAAGTCTCGCGCAGCGCATCCGGGGAAAACACTGCCGAAAAAATCTCAATCGCAGGCGACTTCACCGACTATGAATCCATCCCCTCCATCTTCGCAAAAGTCAAGGAGCAATTCGGCGGCATCCCCAGTGTCGTCGTGTTCAACGCTTCAGGAGTGACCCCCAACGATGCCTCGAACCCTTTCTCGTTGAAAGTGGAAGATTTAAACAGAACATTGAAAATCAATACTCTGAGCGCATATTCAGCGGCGAAGGAAGCCACCAAAGGGTTTGAACAACTTCCAGCGGATGCCTCGAGGACGTTTATTTACACGGGTAATATCTTGAACATGACTACGATTCCTACCATGCTGGACCTGGGGGTTGGTAAGACTGGCATGGCGCATGTAATTGAGTCGGCTTCAAAGGCGTTTGCGGACAAGGGGTTCAAGTAGGTCCTCGGATTTCGCGGGTAGCGTGCCGTCTTATTGACTTGCGATAGGTTCTACTATGCGGATGAGCGCTTGGAAGATGGGTCTCCACTTTATCAAGGTGTCAATGGCGATGCCCATGCGGATCATTTCGCTGAGCTGGTGGAGCATAAGACGCAAGGCGAGTGGCTGCAGACGTTTGTAAAGGGCATTGGGTACAAGAATTTCCGATAGCTTAAGCAGGCGTGCGAGTGAAGAGTCGTATTAGTCAGGGTGGCAGTTTGTGAATATAGCGCGAAGTATTCCATTCATTTGTGTTATCTTTCTGATCATCGTGGGACTCAATCGTGGATCGACTATGACTTTTCGTAATGCCTTGGGACTCCCGCCGACGATTCTGCTAGCTCAGTTATTACCAGCCCAGTATTCAACTACTGACCTGGTTGGAAAGAACGCCAGCTCTCGTAACGATTGGATATAATAAATTTCATTATTAGGTTAGGGTTCATAGATGTGGTGAACACACTTTGGCTATCTACGAGAAGTCCGCCGAGGATGATGCCGTCGAAAGGACTGAGCCTTTAATCGACCAGGCTAGACGTATAATATCAATAGCTAAACCGTAGGATATCCTCCAAATCTCTACGAGATGTTTTCATTCGATACGCCAAGGATGATTGAAAAAAATCAATGAGGGCTTTTGAAGTCAAGCAAGCTCAAAAATTTCGCGATGTCGCGAATGCAGATGACCGTCTAAAGGTATGTGAATGCAAGGCAACAAATGCAGTGATAGATGCTTGAAAACGGTGAACGACATAGTGAAGAATGAGTAAGATAACGAAGATTAGGAGAAATCGTAAAAGAGGATAGACAAACAAGAAAAGACAGACATCCTCCATTTGCGCTGAAAAGACAGGCTCCACACCCAGTTAACAAGATAAAAACAAACTTTGCCGCCATGTAACGATTTGCTGAAATGACAGATTGCCGCACCATAATCCGATAAAGAAAATACATTGCAATTTGATCCGCCCACTCAGAAAAGCATGAATGAAAGAGAAGACAGGCAAGGAAAGAAGGTAAAACAGCACAAAAAGGTATTACCACAATCGAAAAGAAGAAAGAAACACTAAACCTCGTCTTTAGAACTCGTGGAGCCTGACAGAGATACCCACTCAGTTACTGTCCGTAAGCGGCGTTCATGGCGGCCTTCTGTGCCTTCAGGTTGGTCAAGATACACTCCTGCCGTTGAAGGGCCTGCTTATGTTGTTCCAGTTGATCATCAGAGTCGCCCTCGGCATCCTCGGTATCGGACAAGGCAACGCATTCTTCGCTCACGCTACGGATCGAGCGTCCGTCCTGGGAGACGATACTGCCGGTGCTTCCTTTGCGTTGTGGTTCCCCGCTCTGGATGCCAAAGGCCAAGAGCGCGGGGTCGATCATATGCATCATGAGCGGAGATGACATGGGAGGAGACATCATGGGTGGAGACATCATGGGTGGAGTCGACATGGGCGTATATTGTCGGGACATACTGCGCAGTCTTGCGTCCTGCGATGGGAGCGATACGGCTTCCATCTCCACGAGGTATGTGCCATCGGCGGTCTTGCATGCGCTCTTCATGACCAGCTGCTGACCATCGTTGGTCATGCCTCGAATCTGTCCCGGCGCAATGTATTGGTAGGGGCGTTCGATGGTTTGCTCGATGGAATCCATGGGTTTGAAAGGCAGCTGAGGGATGGTCGCTGTGGAAGGCTGGACGTGGCGAGGAGAGTTGTGGCGAGAGTACGGGGTATAACGGTTTGGGCGAGGCATATTGGCTGCGGAGATTGGCGAAGTACAGAAAGGGTCAAGGTAAAAGTCAGGGTCGATTGGGGATGGTGGAGTAAGAGTGATGAGAGGGCGCAAATAGAAGAAGGAACGACTTTGGTAATGGGATTGGCGCCTGTTGGAAGGTATTTTGTAAGATGTGTTGAACCAAGGGGCTAGATAAGATGGTCTTGGGAGATGGCAGAGTTCGAAGTCTGGTCAAGGCTGATGATGGTAAGACAAGAGGTGGCACACGGCTGGCATTTATATGTGCCAACTAAGTTAGCTACGACCTTGTCTATTGAAGTGCATCACATCACCTTCCAGATCTACCCACCCCTCCGCGGCTATCCTGCACGATCTGTGTTACCTCTCAAAATAGCAGAGCTGCAGCCAAACTGGGCTGGTACAAGTCACTCAGCCTGTCCGGTCTGATTTACGCCCGCCTACTGTGGCCTTTCGGTTAGGGGACAACGTGCGGGCGGTCGGACCCGGCAGGTGGGAAGAGCATGCGTAAAAAAAGATGGCCAATGAGGCTTTTTTGTCGTGCAGATTGTTTCACAGGGAGGTTGGACTCGTTCTGTTTGCAGTGACGTGGGATGGCGGAGTCGAAGGCGGATTTGGTGATGAGCTACATGTGCTTGCGCCACACAGGCCAATCATGGACCACCACTCTACGCGCAGAACCAGAATGTCGGAATATACGCGCTGCATGAATGCGACCCGACCCTAAACCGGCCTGAGTGTCGTTCTCCTGCTGCCTTTGGCCAGAGCGTCTTGGTTGTTGGAGTTGAAACGGAAACGAACGCGAGAGTGAGGCTCAGCGGGCAATGCAAAGGTGGGCTCAATCAATCTGGAATAGAGTTGGAGACGCAGGGAATATGCCATTTGAGTATTGTAGTATGCGATAAAGTACAAGCAGAGCGACAGCACAAGGCTCTACGACAAGATTGTTCCGTGCAAGAGTACACAGTAAAGCGGAGGCGAGTTCAGTGACTTGCCCAAAGTCGTGTAATTGCCGCTCTTGATCCCTGTGCATTATCACGTACACTAGTGACTGGACTAGGCGATCCATACCCCATGCCTACTAACCATTTTGGTATCGCAAGCATAAATCAATCGAAATCAGTATGCCTGGAGGATTCAATGCGCGCGGTCCCAGTGGTGTCTGCAGCAAGAGGTCGGCCGGTAGTATCGTACATATGCGCAGGCAAACTTGCACAGTTCTGGTAGTCGAGTTGAGTCAACCAGGAGTACCCATCTCGGTCGCACACTTGTACCCACTGGGCATTGTGCTCTAGTGTGCCTAATCGACAGATGCCTAAATACACTAGGTCCGGAACTTGAGTTGCGCTGATGTGGAAGGTAAGGTGACCGTCTTCGTTGTATGAGAGAAAGCCGTTGGTGGAACGTTTGCTTGCCCAGAATGTCAGGAATGCCTTCTCTTCTGCGGGAAAGATTTTGAAACAGCGAAAGATATCCCTCTCAGCACCGCCGCCCAATGGCCGGTTTCGATCGAATGGTTTGGTGCGTATGCGCTCTTCAGTTGGCACCGGCCGTTTCCCATCAAATTTGAGTAGCCTGGGAGATGCGGGCGCTTCACTGGTGCCCGTCACTTGCCCGTCACCGTTCAAATTACGGGCCGCTGGCGCTGTTGTCGCCATTGATCCAGAGGTGGAATCAGGCAGGGGTAACCGTGCCATGGTGGTACTATGTATATCTTTTAGCGTAACGATGTTGACTTCTGGTGACGCGACTGACTGGCTCAAATCAATCAGGGAAGAGCAGTTGTTCTTCCGAGCTGTAGGTTATGGGATGCAGCGCGGAATCAAAGAGCAGTGCAACGACAGCAGCTTCATATAGTCATTGGAATCAGTGCTCATTGTTGAGATGTCGCAACAAAATGCTGTCTCCAGCCAGTGTTACCACTGCTTAGCCAGCCTTAGGTTGTGGCATGTAGCTGCAGCGTGCGATATGCAGCTGTTGTGTTACCATAAACTTGCATTGTGATCAGATACTGCTCAAATCATTTTCCGCTTCTGACCTTCGCTCTCGGTTTTGAGGAGATTGCAAGGCGGCTTAGGCGGAAAATGGACAAATCTCGAACCCCCTCGATTCCGCTCAAAACTGTATCAATCAATACGCATCGGATAGGTCTGCAAGACTATCATTTTGGAATTCCCGAAAAATGCATATGTCGCAAGAGAAAAACGAAAAAGTGACGAGGAACTGTAGACAGCGTAATGGAGGGTAGATGCAGGCGGACAGGGACAGGGTTCTTAGCGCGCGGGGGGGCGGGCTACGCGGTGATAAAGGATTCTCACAGTTTTGACAGGCAGGGGTTCAAGGGACACGGCATGTAGTCAGTCATGGTATGGTAGTCCGTGCGAAGATATGCCGTACCCTGGCGGATAGTTGATCCGCACCGAAAGCCAATCATGTCATCGCCGTGAGAACGGCACGGCCTTCTACACAATACTCCATTCGTCGACGAACACGCTATCGCACCACAACAACATTGCGTGCAACACTGCAACCGATCGTCACCCGTCTCACGGCTAACATAGCGCTAAGACATCAATGCGACAATGCACACAAGCGGAACAGATCACCTGTGGGTTCCCGTGAAAACACACAACAGCGATTTTCCAAAGTTGTGAAAAGTTGTGCGAAGACCACAAAGGCTTGGGGTTGCATATGTGCAAGCCGAGCGTTTTGATCACGACTTCCTCGGTCCCGGTGTAGTGGTTATCCAAAGCCACACGGACATCACCAAGTCATCGAGTCGAATTAGGCTTAGACATGAATCGATTTATGCTTGACCGGGGCTGAGATATATGACGTTCTTTGTGTCCTACTCATCCGTCGGCAAGAATTGCGAAGTGGTCTTATGCTTCCATGTGCAATTTGTACTGTGGTAACCTAGAAAGTAGCCATGGTTCACTGATGAAGGAGACAACGAGTCGCTCAGCCAACAACATAGTATCATACATATGTATGCAGTGCAACCTTCAGGCGAGTTGGCGAGATTCATTGACTACAGCTGGCCGGTAATGCCGCACTTTTGGAGTGGCCATTTGCTATATATAAGTCACAGCGAAGGCGTGACACACTCCATAGATACATACGCAGTGCCTGGTAGATTGCATATGCATCCGCGTCAAAATGGTGTTCAACAAAGCTAACGGTCTGGGGCCGCGGACCTTTTGGGCTCCTTCCAACACGTTTAGCCTGTTACCCGTGGAGGGCAGTGGCTACTGTGAATAGGGTGGTAAGGCGCCACTCTTACCCCCTACCGGCTGTCAGCCTTCCCCCCTCTCTCACCTTGATTTCTCTTCGACTTCCTCTCCCTCCTCACTATTCAAAACCCCGACAAGCTATCTACATGCATTCCACAAGGCGTACTTCTTTTTTCAGCACCCATTTCTGCTGTGACGTTGCAAATTCCTTCCATTGGACGTCAAGGAGCAAGACGCCGATTTCTTGCGTCGGTGCATGAACCTCCAGCTCTCGTTGTCTTTCGAATTCCCAAGACGCCCAACCACAGTTTGGAAGATTTTGGAAGGTGCTTCTGTTGCCGAACTGCGACCTCCATGTCATTCGAGAGTGCGCTGTTGTACCGCTCGATGTGAAGTGATGAGCTGACGGGTGACCACACACATTCTTTGTAAGTTTGCGGTTGATTAATGTACATACTCTACGGAAAAGTACGAGTAGACTATTTACATGTGCACTTGTCAAAGGTTGTCTGGTCAAATACAATATTTTAACGATGGCGTGAAACCAACGCCTACATGCCGCAGCATGGCTTTTGCGCTCCTGGCCCACAATGAGTTCCTTCATTAATCACTGCCATGAAGTAATCACTAAACTCTCAAGTGTTTTGTGGGTGTCGGATTTTGGTACTTCATACACGCTGCAGTGCTACACTCATTGCGAGAAAGTCACTGTGATAACGCATCTGACTCACGATCACTGAGGGGGATCACAGGAGCTATGAACTCAAGGATCTATCAACTCTCCACCAATATTTTGAACAATGATTCTTCATGAATCTAGAGATTGGGTAGTTTTCGTAGACTGCTGGGGCACTGAATCATCGGGTTGATGGCAAGACTGAACTTGATCCTGCAAAATGAACGAGGGCGGCTATATGATGACTCCGCCCAGCAGAAATCAACAAGATTCGAAGACTCATTGGCCAGCTACAGAACGCCCTCGAGGCGGTACCTGCCCATTTCAGTTGACTTCTGCCGTGTGAAGCCAAGTCTATTTTTCACAAGCGCTCACCGTTTCTACTACATTGCATCGAGACTATTCATATATCCCTGACGACAACAGCGCCTGGCTCCCGCCTACCCAAATAAATATCCATGTCTTCCGTAACACTATACCCCCTGTTCCAATTTCTGTATGTGGTAGGTAGGCCCTCGAGGGGATTTGCTCTGGCCTGAACCATTTCGCCTCCTTTGTTTCCTCACTCCACTTTGTGCCATTCTCAGTCATATACTTTTTATCTCACTTCGAACTCCATCAAAAGTGTTGTCTACTGTAATGATACAATATGTGCTCGCACTGATTTGCTTGTGTCTACCCATACTCAGCAACGAGACACATCAGGTAAAACATACGACACGTCCTATTCGATGCATTGATCCTATCTGCCAGAGGATACTCCGTTGATCCTTTGATTCCAACGCATTTTTCGCAAGAAACAGGTAAAAAAACTAGAAATGAGTCGTTATCATCGTTGAAACTTCAGCGGCTGACCCTATGCCTTTAGAGCTCTGAAATTGAGACGAAGATAAACAGCCCAAAATCCATCCAGCAGGTGCTGCCATTATCAATGACTACATCAGTCGCAAAGCCATACACCTCTACGATGATTTCGCTTCAAATCGCACAAGTCATACCAGCCCTCCGTATGATCATGATGTACACGGCAGCCGACGACCGCGCGCCTTTGCCAAGCGCGCGTCTCACGCACAGTCCAGTCGCACGCGCTTCACGATAGAAGATGTCGAGCGCGAGAAACTCGTCCTTCTTGAAACTCCGACCGCGCTCAGCTGATACCCACAAATTGCAAAAGGGTAGAAGATAAAGTGCAGACATTTGCAACAAACGCAAGGCGTATAATAACCCCGATGGGAGTTCAGCGGATTCTTTATAACGACAAAGGAATGCAGCACATCTCATCGGAGATAGACTGAGGGGATTCTCGCGGATCAACAGTATCCTGTTCAACCTGCGCTTTTCGCGGCACATCAACCTGGCCAACCAGCGTTGTCTTGTACAGCAAAAGCGGACTGCATATTGTTGGGACAAGTTTACACAAAAGCAATAATATCAGCTATCATTTCAAACATGAATGAGTCTGTTTGCTGCCGCGCTCTGCCTTTCCGACTCCGTATGACTCTCGAGGGCCTGTTGTTATTCGGCGGCGCAGCACAGAAAACCGCCCCAATGTAATTTTCACTGGACGTTGATATTTAAATCACATGACTGCAATCTCATGCATGCACGGATCAGTGCCATCTATCGATAGCTAAGCGCCCAGTCGAGAGTCGTTCGGTTAATTGTGCATATTGACGTTCAGATTCGGATGTACTCACATCCACGGTGTAATCTCCAGGTAAACAACACGGAGTACTGGGTGGCTTTTTTTGATCGGAGTACTAGGAAAACAAGCCGTTGTGTGTCGACTTAGTAGCTGCACATGTTTCTTAGTATTTTATCTTTCTACAAACAAATTCTGGAATATCGCACATCGTACTTCTCTTGATGTGACGTTGCCTTAGAAACAAGCAGCAGGGTCAAAACGGCCACAACAGAGATGGGGTTGATTCATATATCACTCGATTGCTGCAAGGACTAAACTGCAGGTCCCTTGTAGCGAAAATTATACACTGTAACTGTAGGATTCATCCTCGGGGTGTAGCCAGTAGGATATGTGCCCGTTGTTTGCCAGTCGGGGCTTCGAAAGATTTAGTGTAGTCGGCCAGTATTGAATATGTGTGTATCCTATGACACAAGACATCGTGAGGTCTTCCACAGCAGATCATGTGGTTTCATGATTCCTGTAGAAAATATTCAATTCGTCTGAATGTACGTATGTTGTTGCCTCATTTGCTTCTTGCTCCCGTCCACGGTGACGTCTCGGCGACGCAGCTAGAGATTCAAAAGAGATATCGAAATTGATACATTTCTCAATAGACCCTGTTTCATCATCATACACCCCGATCAGTATCGTGCGCTTAGAATTGATTTCGGACTTCATTTCACGAATCGCAAACACGCCAATCATATCGTTCACGGAGATTTACACCAATTCACAATTACAGAAAAATGGTACTATTGGTATACTCTTTCAATCATATGATCTGTAACTACACGAGGAGAAATCCCGCGAACAACAAATTGTGCCATAAAATTCGAAGCTCAAATTTAGTGTTCTTCTGGTGGACGTAGCTCGAACACAACTCGTTAGTGTTCCTTCTGGATACAGCCAACGAGAAGCCCCATGATGAAGCTTACACGCAGCGCGTCTTTCGCCTACAAACATTGGAAGAAATTTTCCCTCACAAAACTCAACTATGGTTCTTCGCTGCTTGTGTGGCTGTGTGAGAGAAAAATCATTCCACTCTCTTATTGTCTGTATGGTCAGTGGTCACTAGAGGACAGTGTGTTTTGCGGGCTAATGAATGACACACAGTCGAAAATGAGATATTCGTATCGTATCAGAAATGCTCCCTCTGATCTGATGAGTACAGCCAAACACGGGCCAGAGGATGGTGGTGATGTCTTAAGGTTGTGAGTTTCATACTGCAATAAATGTGGTCCATATCGAAGCGCCTCATCGCGCTGAGTTCGGCCCCGTTCTCCGTTCGAAAATAGCAGTATTTTTGGAGGAGATAGAAGCTGATTTTGATATTAGTGTGTTATAATGATGGCTCTTGAGCCGCACGTGAAGTGGAACGGCGGCCTGTCCAGTACTGTGTCTTCGTCGGCAACGTTGTAGGGCCATTATTGGATCATGTATAGTGTTGACTCTCATCTACCCCCTTCGACCAACAACATCTACGGATATACTCTTATTCACTCTTCCAGAAATTTGGTTGGGAATCCCATTGTGAGTTGCCGCAGACATGTGAGTCCACGATGGAGAAACTATTTAACTGTAGGGAATACCGTCTATCCTGCTGCTCTTGCGCAGACTCACTTCTAATAACACTACAGACTCAATTTCACAGCAATTCCCATCAAACCTACTGCCATCATCTACCAAGAACGGCCAGAACCAGCATCATCACCACTTTCTCCACCATTCCGAGATGAATTGCAATCACGCCAACTACTTGAACTGCGGACGGGGAATCACTCAGGATCAATACGCAAAGGAGATTCAAAGCACTAATGTGCACTACAATAACGGAGAATTTCTACCCGGCTTTGGCATTTTCCCATCCCAGCAGCAATTCCGGTATACCTTTGCACAAGAACCAGGTAACATTTGCCCACGGTGCAACACATTGTTGCCAGCGGGGGAGGAATGCGATTGTTGCGCGCCTATGATCTCTCAGCCTGAAGAAGGGGTGTCTGTACCGCAGCAGCCGCAGAATCAAGCCCAGTCCCAGCCTGAAGAAGGAGTGTCTGCACCACAGCAGCCGCAGAATTTTGCCAGACCCCAGCTTACTGATGAGCAACTTCTGCGTAATCCTGGCCGTCCAAAAAAATCTCCAGGTGATCCCAAAGCCAAGTACACGCCGCGGGGACAGAAGACGAAGGCGGCAAAGCGCTCCAAGCAGGGCCGCCCTAAGGGGTCCAAGGATGGACCTGGAGGCCGCGCCCCCAAAGGCGAAGGGATCAAATCCCTCCGAAAGGCCGCAAGGGAACGAGCTGCCGTCGCCGCCTCCGCCGCCAACCAGCCCGATCACGATGAGGTGGTCATGTCCTCGCCAGCCCCCCAATCATCACCACTATCATCATCACAATCATCACAATCACAATCACCACCATTAGACGAATTCAACCGCCACGACTTCGTCTTCGATACCGACTCCGTCTCCGATACCGACTTCGTCTCTGAACTTTTCCGACTGGGGATATCATCTGGGTGAGGGTTTCCCTCATGATATCCATCACCACGCCATTTCCCCCAAAGCATCAGCAACCCAAGCAATCCCAGCAGTACGGCGACTATAGTCGGGGCAGCAGGATGGCGCATCTTCTCCCTTTTTCCCTTTTCTTTTCTTTTCTTGTCTTGTTTTATTCGATGTTCTTGGTGGCGCTATAGTTTCACAGGTGTTTCTTGTTGTCTTACTGTATGTTTGGATCGAGGGTTGTATGGTACTACGGTCGGGTCTTTTGCTTCGTATCGTTTGTTCCTCATGTTTGTGCGGTATACCCGCATGTATGGAGTTCCCGTTGTTTTCCTTCTGATATACCTTAGAAGTTTAGTATATTTACAATGATTAGATGTGCGCTACATACTTTGGACTGCGATACAGATTTTTTCTTTCGGGTTGCTGATCGTATCGTGTTGCGCTTTCTTTGCATTAGTTAGTCAACGGTTGCGAGAATGAAACCATCCATTAATTCACTAAATGGTTTTGCTCATCTCCGAGTTTGAAAATGATAAAGGGAATTCGATGCCAAAAATCTTCCCTAGCAATCCACTGAAGTCAAACTTACAAGTTGAAGTTGGGAAGCCACAGCTCTTTCTCCCTGCGTCCAAATGCAACTGTCAACAGCACAGACCAAGCACACACTCTAAAACACCCATACAAGATTAATAACAAGTTTTTGACATGAATTACACCTTTCAGAGTTCAGTTAGAATGTAGATTGATGGAGTGAGGTTGGAAATTCAGGGTCCGATTTCGGTCGCACCCCGGAGATCTGTCTTGGCACATCTTACAGTATGCAGGGTCTAACTGTCTCCTGCTATGGCGGCGCTCTTGTACATCTGAGAAACTCATTTACTACACGCATATGGTGATGTGTTGGAACACCACTTTCATGTGAGAATAAATGATCTGCAGCTCTGATAATAACCTTGAATGTATTTGTATGTCTCCTGCCATTACAAGAAATAAAATAAACTTACAATACTAAATAGATCAGCGAGCAATTTCAGTTAGTTTGTCATACCTCGCTGCATCCTGTCTAGTTTTAGTCTATCTTAGAATCTGCATGCAATGCACTGGTGGAGTGTTATTTTTAGTAGAGAATGTGCAATTTTGACGAGAGACCGGCGTTTCTTGATTACATCTGCGGCATGGACTATTGGTTCATTGAAAATGGTACTATGGATCGCCAGGGCCAATCTAGCTGGCTAACACATGCGGCTTGCACTCTCCCCACCCCAACCGTTCAGCCAGAAGCTCCCAGCACGGCTCCGCGCCCACTCTTCCTACATTTCTAAGCCCAGCTGTGACGAAAGGCAGTAGGCGGTCGAGTTCTTTCCCTGCCATCTGAAGGTTGTCTTGGATACTGGGGGATGTTGCTATCCCAGTGGCCTCGTTAGCATTGTCCCGATCAGTGTCGGCGTCGCTGCCTCCAGAGTCCGACGAATCGTTTAGGTTTTCTGCAAGGGCAGGAATGAAGGATTTTCGACGAGATGGTTTGGGTCTCGACCTGGTAGGCTTGGAAGGGACGAGATCGGAGCCTGAAGCGGAAACTGCAACGGGCTTAGAGGCGCGTGACTGCGACTCAGAAGGGAAACAGTGTTCGGAGAGATTTACGCCGAGGTCGAGAATAGATAGAATAGCCTTATGAATTGGCTTCAAATTATCAGATAGCAATGCTTGCTCCTGAAGTCTTGCAACATATTTCATATGAATATTTGCCATGCCGTCTATATCATCAGCTTTGATCATCGCTGCCTGCATGTCTTCAGTTGACAAACGAATAACGGTTTCAGTGAGATAAGAGCGCAAAACATCTGCAAACCAAATGAGGCGTTGACGCAGCTTATAAGCTCTCTGGCGAAGGACTGGTGCGTTGATTTGAACAATCATTCGAGGGGAGAGTTTTTGGACAAGATATTTCATGCGATAAGCCTGCAAGAGAAACGTAAAAACTTGTTGATAGATGGGTATAGATGATCGCTGGATAATGTTTTGAATGGGCCACGGTAACTGATAAAGATTAGTACGACACTTGAAAATAATTGATCCGAACTCACAGCGTAGTCAAGCCCAACATCAGCCAGCCTTTTCACGGATCTATCCGTTGTTTTAGATCTTGCAGACCGCACTACGATTTTGTCGGCATGATGCTTCGGAAGAACTGTACTGAATATGCCCCGCGCCAGTTCTGTTAGCAGGAAGCGGTCGTTCCACCCTCGTACACTATTGTCTAAACGCTCGAAAACGGCATCGGCAAAATCCTGGAATACAGAGCCATTAGCCCCAAGATACAAAGTCTTGAACTCGCTCAGGATCTGCATGAGCCCGCCCGATGTGTAGAGATATTCACGCAGCGTGGACGATGCAAGTAGGTGTTTACTGCCAATCCAGGCTTGGAAAGCATCCTGGAATAGTTCCGGGAAAGGCGACAATGGAACGTCGGGAGTCTGTCCACATATACTTTCATAGTCCAGGCGAAGCTCATAAATATCCAGGCTGCTTGGCTTTTCATGGTACAAATGTAGCTCTTTGAGAAATACAACACTCTTCCCGGTATTGAAGATCTTCTGCGCAGCAGGCTGGAGGAAACTAGGAGATCGTAGTTTGTTCTGCTGCCCGCGACGTACTACGTAGCGATCGTGCCAGAGCGAGGAAGCTTCGCTGCCCGAATCATTCTCGAACACAAAGAACGTCTCGTCGTTCAGCCCAAGTTCTCCCGACTCCATCCACCGGCTGATGGGCTTGAGATAAGTCTGTAAAGATTCAAAGAAAACATGGGATAAGAACACGAAGAGTTCCCCTTCGAGCATCATCTGAGCCAGAGTGATTTGGTCGAAAAGTGCCTCAAGATGAACGAAAGGGTTGACTAACAGCTGTGGCTCAATGTCATCGACTATCCGGGCAAGTCGAAGAATAGATGTGCTCGACGTTTGAAGTTGGCTGTGAACTGCGAGCAAGCTAACTGCTACTGGCGCTTCAGGCACCAAATACTGCTGATGCAATGCAGCCAACGACCGGTCATAGGCCGCAAGCCGATTCCTTACCACTGATTCGAATGTCTGAATGAGTGGCAGAGACGATGACTTCAGGGTCCATTTTCTAAGACGGTACAACTCGCGTCCCATTTCGGCGAACTGCGCGAGTAGATGCTCGGCCGTCTTTGGCATTGCATGAGTAAGGACATACTTTTGATTAACTCGAAGACTAGCATTCCGTTTGTCGAGGTGATAAAGGGAAGTCTGAAGCCCTGCGAGCATAAAGAGGGTCTCTCGGATAGCATTTTGCTCAGTCATAATTATGCGAGCATCCTTGTCACCCTTGCCTTCTCTCCAGAATTGCGTATTTTCCAGCTCTTTGATAATGTTCCCCTCTACCGGTACAACACAGGCCTCCGGATCATAAGCGTCATCCTCGTGCACGCTCGTTTGCGGTGTATCCTTGTTGGCCCATTTTCTGGGCGTATGTCCAAACTCGTCCTCGGACGAATCCTGATGAAAATCGACATCCTTCCAGATTTCATCGTCACTATAAGGATCGTCTTGCAAGATTTGCTTCCATGTTAGAGGCGGAGGCGGGGCAGGAGGTTTCAGGAGCTCCAAAGCCTCCACCTCTGAATTCTCGGTCGGCTGATCGGACAGCTCTAGCAACAGATGCAGATACTCTGGGATCCATCTGCTATGTCGCTCGTTGATCTCCTTGACGCGTTCCCCGAGCGCATCGGCCAAGTCATCACGGTTCAAGACACGAAACTTCTCATCCAAGCCGTTGAATGACGACTGCACGTCGAATTGGTTTGTGCGGTTGTATTGGTGTGCGCGTAATCCCTTGGTCGCAATGTCCTTGGCGCGTTTGTACGCCTGGCGGTGGGCTCGAGGGTCGAATTTGATGATGGAGTGGATGAGCTCATCAGTGAGAGCTGACAGCCTTTGGTTCTGAGCCATGCTCCACCAGTTCCACAACACTCTAGCAGTCTATTTCTGGGGGTGTAGTTCCAGTAAACAGCGCTGTTTGACAGCAGATCGTATACGACTGCCCAGTCGGGAGTTGTGGATTGGCCCGAGATGAGGCGCAACGGCATCTCATTGCGGCGGCTAACCGCATTTGGATTGGTGAGCCATCGCCCTTGACGTACATGGTGCCACTAAGCAGCCGCGCAATGGGCGTGGAGCAACGTGCGAAACAATTACAACAGGCCGCAAAGACTCATGACTTTACCTTCGGAACAGCTACGTCGGAGGGGGCTTCACCCCCCACACGCCTAGAATTCATTCACTTCTCGTTCACCATGGCTTTACCCAGGGCGATGCGCCTACTGGCTGCCGTCACCATCTGCATTTTTCTGTTCCTCTTTCTACAAATCTTGCGGGCGGAACCAGGCGCCATCGTATTGCCCGACTCTGCACGCAAGGGCAAGGAGAGCACTAGCAAGCTTCAGAAATGGGATCACGACCCTCAGCTCGATCGTATGCTATCCTTTAGTTCCTGAGAAGAGTGGAAGAACAGCTAACCATCTGCTTTCCACACCTGTAGTATCTGGCGAGCCACCCGAGCCGTTGCGCAGAGTCAAGGGCGGTAACTACGACCCCGAAAACGAGAGCAGCGACCGCATCAATGCAACAATCCTTAGCTTGGTACGTAACGAGGAACTTCAGGGCATCCTGAACAGCATGAGCGATCTAGAACGGACATGGAACCGCAAATTCAACTACCCGTGGACTTTCTTCAACGACGTTCCCTTTACCCAAGAGTTCAAGCGGAAGACTACGGCCGCCACAAATGCGAAAACCTACTATCGTGCGTATACTGGTCCTTCATAGATAGGTGCACCGCTAACTCTGAAATCCACAAACAGACCAAATTCCGAAAGAACACTGGGAGATACCCTCCTGGATCAACGAAGATCTCTTCAAAGAATCCATGTCTCTCTTGAAGGACGTCCAGTACATGGAAAAGAAATCATACCACCAAATGTGTCGCTGGAACAGCGGCCTCTTCAGCGAGCACCCCGCTCTCGCCACCACGCAATACTACTGGCGCGTCGAGCCCAACGTGCGATTTTTCTGCGATGTCGACTATGATGTGTTTCGATGGATGCAGGATCATAATAAGACGTATGGCTTCAACATCAACATCTACGACAGCGCCGAGAGCGTGGCGACACTGTGGCCTGAAACGCTCAAATTTTTGCAGGATCACCCAGGTTATGTGAATGAGAGAAGCGCAAGAGAGTGGCTGGAAGACGGAACACATCGCCCAGAAAACAAGCGCAAAGCTAACGGCTATTCGACCTGCCACTTCTGGTCGAATTTCGAGGTTGGTGATCTGAATTTCTGGCGCAGCCGCCAGTACCGGGAATACTTTGATCATTTGGACCGTTCGGGCGGGTTCTTCTACGAACGGTGGGGAGACGCACCTGTGCACAGCGTGGCGCTGGGCTTGTTCGAGGATAAGAGCAAGATCCATTGGTATGTCTTTCTCCCCCTTCTTTTCTTTGTCCCTTCCTTTCTCCCTTTCTACCCAGCAAGGAATCTATCGTATCGTTAATCTCACAATTTCCCCCCAAACAGGTTCCGCGACATCGGCTACCAACACGTTCCCTTCTTCAACTGCCCCAATAGCCCCAAGTGTGGTGGCTGCGTCACAGGTCGCTTCACCGACGGCGAGAGCTGGCTCAACCGCGAGGACTGCAGACCTGTCTGGTTCAAGCACGTCGGCATGGACTAGTTCCCTTCTTTTTCCCTTCTATTCAATGGGTCACGATCTACTCTTCACGTGCGACACTAAAGAAATGATGGATCGGATCACAAATACACGCAGCATGCATGCTCGAAGCATAGATGAAATTATAGAGTTAGGGATTTGGTATGGGCTCGTGAGTGGTATTTACCACTCCATTCTCCCTCTCTTTCTACACTACTCTATCGAATTTTTCCCCGTCTTCTTCGTCTTTTTTAGTAATGTATAGAAGGGCATGGTTGGTTTCACAACCTCTGGCGTTCTCTTGGTGTTTTTTTCTTCTTCTCTTCTCTCTTATACTGCGTAGTATGCTATATACCTGTTACCTGTCGCATCAATGGAGGTTTCAATGATCCTTTAATTTTCCTCCCCATTTGGGTATCTCTCGCTCGCATAAACTTCTTGGATCATTCGTGGGGTAGGACCCTACTGTGATGGTTTGTAAGTAGTTGGCTATCTAGCATGTGTAATGCGTCAGCATGTCTGTCTCATCCTTGAGCGATCATCATCGTCATCGTCATCACAGCTGCATGCACGTATTTCGTTTCCTATAATGGAGATCATAATACGTGCGACATTGGGTACAAGGGCTGAAGCGATCAACTGATGTGAATGATACATACATGCGATGAGAGAGATGAGAACTAATATTAGCCTACATGGAACATCACTCCATGGACGAACTGATCGACTTCGATTGGCCTGAGTCGAAGACTAAGAGAATCAGAACTTAGACAGACTCAGGGGGAGAACAGAAAGTAGGGAATCAAAAGCTTCACATCGAGTGATTATGGCTAGCACATTAAGTGAACGAAGACAGACGAAGCCAAGCTAAAACAAGAAATTGCTCGCATAGAGTTATGATACAGATGCACCCTCTGGTTCCCCATCAGGGATATTGACTTCTATCATATTCCTATAACAATAGTGTCTACAGTCCGAATCCGAAGTTCCGACCCTATTTACAGACTATGATTTCACATGCACGTTACAGATAGTGAATTTACCACCTTCTTCCGTTTGAACAATGTAGATTTGACGAGATGTGAAAAACTTGTTTTTTGTATTTCTTTCTTAGTTACTCCGGGGTCTGATCGGATTTGGCAAAGGGAATTCTGGTAGTAGACTGATGGTATGTATGGCCAGAGAAGATTGGGGAAATCAAGGGAAGGATGGGGCGGTGGTTTTCTATTTCTCTTCGGGATACATGAATTCCTTGAGGGGAACACCGAGTTCCTCGCGGATGGGCTCGAGCTCCTGGAGGTACTCCTCGTACTGGCTCTTGTTCTCGACCTTGAATTTGATGCCTGGTGCCAGTATGTTAACAGGTATATCATTGCCGATATGGTGGTAATTGGTGACAAGATTGGCAGGATCCTACATCAGAGATGCTGGATACAGGAAAAAGGACCGGAAGAACAGCATAAGGGTGGCATACCTTCAAAAACGCGAACAGCGGAGGGGAAATCATTGACACGGCGAGCGGCTCGGAGAGCGGCGATGATGACCGAAGGAGAGGGGACGAGATCGTACGCGAAGCAGTTGTTCAGATTACGCTGTTCAATAAATAGCAACAACTGTTAGCAGACGTGTGCACCTAGACGATCGTCCGAGAACCTCGGGTGCAGTCGTACGAGGGACAACGTACCTGGAGCTCGAAAACATCGTTGACCTTGTCAAACTCCTTCTCGTATCTGAGCAAGACAGACTAGTCAGCCAAAGATATCTATTGAAAGCCGGGTATGCACTTTTCTGCAGTTAAATATTCCTCAATGGCGCGCAGGACTTTAGATGCTACCATGCCCCCCTAACCCAGTCTAATCCCTCCAGAAGAGACGTTTCATACCTGGCAGAGAACTCCTCGAATGTCTCCTCAGCATGCGCATCGCTGTACCTGGCCACGGACTGGGAGAAGGCACGCTGAGACTGCCATGCGATGGGGGTGGCTCGGTAGGTCGGGACCTTCACGCTGAGCCTGCCGGCCCTCGTCGCTGCGCGCACAAAAGACATAGCGAGTGTCAATGGGTAGAATGGAAGCTGCGGAAGCTATTTTTCGAACGGTTATAGTAGAATTGAGGCGGTCCGAGGGACGGTGTTATGGGTGGGCGCGGTAGTATCGATGGGTGACGAGCGTAAAGTGAGGTGAGGTTGAGCTTTCGGTTTTGTGCCAGGGCGGGCGGGAGCAATTCAATCACTCCACCCGGTCGGTATTTGTCACGTGCGCGAACCCACTTTTTACCGTGGCTGTTCCTAGCCTGACGACATTGTTGAATCAGAACAAGCAGGACAAGTTGAAATCACACTGCATTCGTAATAATATTCCATGGTGATTTATCAATATAAATTGAACAGAGTTCCAACCTTTACACGGATATGCAGAGTACTTTGTGTACCCAGGTACTATATAACGATTATAATTTATGTTCTCAACCATCTAAGCAACTGAATGCGATGGGCCCATGATTCAGCGGGCCGATAAGGTACTGTACAATTGTCCCACCTCCAGAGCAATATCTAGCGCCTTCCCTATGATCCTACATGCACTAACCCGTGAGCCGTGGCATTTTGTATTCGTTAAGGAGGGCCTAAAGACACAGAAACGACCAGAAAAGCGCGAGATGATTACAATGAAATATCAGAATGGCCCCCCGGCAGTCGTAGCGAATGGGAAGAAAAGCTGGCTATCCAACCTCGCTGTGGATAGTGCTTCCGTTGTCGAGCTCACCGACCGGTGTGAGCATATGAAGTTGACAAGTGATTGAACCTGTGATCCTTCACTCAGAGCACGCAAACCCTGCAGTGACTTTGATTGGAATTCCTCCAAAGCTAGATTCACAACAAGATCTGATACTCTTCACTGTGGTTCCATTTCTCTCTCTCCGGCGTTTCGTACTGTCTCTTAAGCTTTGCGGGAGCGAGTGGCGCGTCCATTGGGGGTGGTGGCCGCGCCTGTGGTCTGGGCACTGGCAAGTGCATGGGCACCCTGCGATAGTCTACGGCGCGCTTCTCCGACCGTAGGAACCTTCTCGTCTTTCATCTCTACCAAGGCACTCGTAGCCCTACGACGACCCTTGGGAACTGGCTTCTTGTATGTGGCGAAGTAGAACAGGATGAAAAGAACAAGGTACGACGAGAGGATGCAAATTCCAGCGATGGCGGCAAACTCCTCGCCTGCACATTGACCAGCGTTAGGCATGTGAGGCCAGTATGTGCTGGTGAAATACGTGTAGGAAGCGAAGTAGACAAAGCCTATCAGAGTTAGACGATGTACTGAACCAAAAGACTGTGTTCAACATACCGAGATCGAGGATGAACTGGGTGATCTGCATGATGGTAATGTACTTCTTCCACCAGATGCGGATACCGCGCGCGCTCTGAAAGTAGTACCAATACATGACGCAGTGAACAGCTAGGTTTAGGGTAATGACGACCCAGGAAACGGATGTGTGGCCGATGAGCTGGGTGTAGCAGAGAAGAGCTGTGGCGCCATGGTGGTATGTGTGGAGGAAAGCTACACGCGATTAGTGGTCAAGCCCACAAGTCTTCATGTGGGTACCAGTACTCAATGGCTTCTTCTTCAAGAACAGGAAGCAGGTATCAAGAAGCTCCAAAAATTTGGTCAGGTAATTGAGCTGCGGCGGTTGTCAGAATTCATGCAGAGGGTCCATGATATCGCCTTGAACGACTCACGTAATAGAGGATGACCATCTTGTCCGTCCATCCGCCAGCGTGATCGCAAACCGCGAAGAAAATGCCATGACGAGCCACGGTTGGTATAATCTGCTCAGCGAACAACACCAACAAGATGAAACTAATAGCCGTAAGGTAGAAGTTGTGCAGCTTGAAGAGGAAGTTGAGCTGCAGCGGCTCGCGGTTCCTCATCACTTCCCGACCCCCAAATATTATAATGTAATAGGCGATGAGGAAGGCGGTGCACATCTTGAACGTAGAGAGGGTTGTCTCGCCGGGAACGAAGCGGAAATCCTGGGGCTTGTATCCCATGATGGATTCGTAGGCCTTCTCGAAGATGGGCCATGCTGCGAGACCGAAGGGGCGATCGAGAGTCGGCAGGCCGATCTCAATCCAGTCGGGCTTCGACATGATGCGCGGTGGTGCTGTAGGGGATAAGGGAGCAGACCACAAACGAAGCGGGAAAAAGGGTAGCTAAGTGCTTGCGCGGGCGGACGACGCAACAAACAAAGCTATGTAAACAAAAAGGAGAAGAGATGTGCCAGTGGATCAAACGGGGAAAAAAGTGGCAATGATGGCCAAAGGAGTGACGAAAAAGTAAAGTAAGCCCTGAATTCGAGGTGTCAGTAAAGTCCTCGAGAAGCAAATAAGTGCGGAGAGGTGAGGATTTTAAGGGGATTCGCGACCGACAAGCAATCTCCCGCGCTTTCCGTTTTATTTTACAGCGATCGGTGCCGACACGCGCCCGATTGGCTGCCAGCGATACGGGCGAAGATTACAACTACACTAAGGGCTTACATACGTCGTCGCCGCCAAGCTCTTGCTACCTGGCAATCGGTACGTAGCAAGATGCTCGTGAAATTGGTGACTATCTAAAGGGATGGACCTCGGCACTTCCTCCTTGTGGTGCAAATGGGCTCTGCAAAATCCCAGGTGTCTCCCCCGACGTGTGGTCATGGCAATGTTTTTTGCACGTGTTCAACCAGAAATTGCTGTCTAGGAGTGCTACTTTTCGTCATCTTACGCGAGAAACGTCGCCAGATTGGCGCAAACAACGTAGGCGAGGCATTTACACAAGAGTCCTGCTTCCAGGGGTACTTCTAGTAGGCGAGGCGAAAAAAAGGGGGCGAAATCAAACAGATCAACAAACAAACAAACAAACAACGGTAACAAAGTAAAAGACCCGGGTAAGATCCGCTACAAGCCGCACATCCGTGACCAAGCAACATTGAACTCACAGCACGCATAAACGGCAGTCAGCAATGCTGGGAGAATACATTCAACGCATCACAGCCGCGACCGTTCTGCATTCCGTGTCTATCCAGTTTGCTGTACTGAGAACAAAAACCCATGCCCCACTGCTAACCGTCATCAACGCTCCTGCACCACTACGTCTTCGTCGCTAATCAAAACCTCTATGGAAAAAAGGGGGGAGAAAAGAGAAACTTGGACGCCCAGAACACCTTACGAAATCCCATCTCTCACTTTTGACAGGCCCTTCCGACGACAAATGAAAGGAAGCAATCCAGCTCACACAGGTACCCTGGCGGAAGCGCGTGGCGGCTGTAGTGACAATCCTCCATAGGAGGACAGCCTCACAAGAGTATACGAGGACAGACTCGGGAGCAAGCCAGGGTAAAAATAGAAGAAAAAAGAGTCCTGAACAACCATTTAGATGACTCGAGTAATAGTTGCCCCAGACCTCGATCGAGTGGTACCGTGAGCTCCTCCACTACCCGCCGAGTTGGGACGACTGTTGCTGCGAGGCCGGCCACCCGAAGACCGTCGAGTGTGCGATGATTGAGAATGATCTTCTTGCGATGGGCGGTGCCGTCGCTGCGGGAGCAAGCACACACAAGTCAGATTCAATGCCGGACCCAAATGCAATTCTTGTAACAACGAAAGGAACCCCAACAGTTTTTTCTTAAAAAAAAGAGAGGTCTAGGGATAGAAGTAAAGTACACTGATTCGGCCATAGAGAATGCTCGTTCAAGAGAGTTCCAAGGACTTAAGAATCAACGTACCGAAGTCTGGCTACTCTGACGCTCAAATTCCTTTGGTCGCCGTTCTTTTGGCGCACCGGCATCGTCCTGGAGACGAAGCGCCTCCAACCGTCCTTGACTTAGCGGATCAGAGTCTTCTAAGCGAGTTGGTGAGCTGATTTTGGATGCCGCTGGTTGATCCACCGCGGTGCCGTTCTTGCGTGCCTCTGCCAGCTTCTCGAGTACCTCCCAGCGATTCTCGCGACTTCTCTGGCGCTCGCTCGCGTTGTTCTGCAACTCCGCATAGTCGTGAGAGCAATCGTCGAAGAGCTGAGGGTTGACCTCCATGAACAGCTTCATGGCATTATACACCATGCCGTGGATGGTTCTGTGGGTATTAGCTTTGCACACCTGCTAATCGAATAAAATTCTTACCGGTTCCAATGGCCCTTGCTGTTCTCGTAGAGCGGCGCAAACATGATCGGGAGAATGACTTCGACATTGTCGCTGACGAGATTGCAGAAGTATTCGTTGTTCCAAAAGTAAAGCGCTCGTTCAGCGACTTGGAAATGAGGACTGGCCACTGACTTGGCCAATTGGTTGAAGAGCGGCTCTTGGACTTTGGCGAATTCCGCAGGATCCATTACCTCGAAAATATCTTCCACTTCGTTGAGGAACATGACCTCCTTCGTGCTGTTGACTTTTGGCCAGTACCTGAGGAGTCCGAGAACAACCTAACGAAAGAATTAGTACAGGAACAAACAAACGACAATCGAATCGACTAACCTCTTCTGTGAGAGCGGCGTCCTTTTCCAAGAATTGGACTATGCAGTATGCTAGTTGAGGGTGGTACATGCTGAGACTCTTGACTTTGTGCAATGGTATCAGCACCCTGGTCAGGAACAGCTTGTGTTCCTCTTTGAGCGGCAAGGCGAATCCATTGATAATAGATCCGAGAATCTCAAGAAGCTCTGCAATTCCATTGAAACGCTCTGTTTCGTAGGTAAACTGGAAGAAGACGTTGTTTATAGAACGGCGTATATAGGATCGCAAGTTCAGGAATTTTCCATATATCCTGTGCAGTGTCGTCTTTAAAAAGTCTCGTTCTCTGGGATCCTCGGAATCGAACAATTCGAGTAGCTGTATTTTGTAAGTCTACATTGCAATGATACGAGGGGGTTGGCACACACGTTAAGGACAAAGCTGTGATCGATGTACGCTTTTGCAATATTTGTGTTGAAATCTTGACTCTCAATGAACCGAAGGAAAAACTCGTAGACCACCTGGATGTGGGGCCACGCGACTTCCAAGACTGGCTCATCCTCTTCTGGATCGAACGCTTCACCCTGCGGATTCATAGGCGGAGGAATGGGTCGGAACAGATTCTTTGCAAACATCTCAACAACACGAGGATACATCCTCTCTGTGATGACTTGGCGATTGTTGGCGACGTAATCCAGCAACTCATGCAGCGCCAAGCGCTTGATTTCCTTCGACTTCATGTCGCCGGTCTGGTCATTGAAATCAAATATAATGTTGCACTGATCCAACTTTTGCATAAACAGTTCCTCGCGCTTGTTGGGGGGCACTTCGTGGAAGCCCGGCAGCTTGTCCAAGTCTCTTTGGCGTTGGTCGGAGATGTCAAATCTGGACGAATGCTGTCGTTTGGGCGTTCTAATACCTTCGACATTATCTTTCGGTGTAGCTTGAAGACGATCGAATATCAATGACTTTTGGCCAGCTTTAGGTGGAAGGAGGTCGCCGGGCATGGTTTCGGCAGCACCAGGTGGAGGAATGTGCTGCAAGCGCTGTTAGTACATGTCTCGCGCTCGTTTGTTTCTGATGCCGTTGCTCACCGGTGCGCTTGGGCTGATGACGACACTGGGTGCCAACGGCTGTCCAGCTCGTTGGGGAGTCCCTGGACCCGAACCGCCCGCACTATTGGCACCCATTATGCCCTGCTGTCCTCCGAACTGTGAACCAGCGCCCAAGGAGGCCGAGGAAGGCTGCTGACCCGGCTGAAGCGAGTTTGCGCTGGCGTTGCCATCGCTAGAGGATGAGGACTTGGTACGCGAATCGGCCAATTGAGTCTGCGACGAGGACGGTGTTCCCTGAGCAGAGCCCGAGGGCGAACTCGAAGCCCCATGTGATGGAGAAGCAGTACCGGAGGTGGAATCCTTCTTCTTGGATGATTTCTCGCTTTTGGCTCGAGAGAGCTGTTGGCAAAGCAGGGTTAGCGTGGGTGCAAGGAAGGCGCAGGGATGCGGTTATGAGTCGGGGAGCACGGGGGAGGGGAGGGGGGAGAAGGGGGCACGATGGGAACGCAGGAGGATAAAGATGGAGAGACGCACCCTTTGCCTAAAACCCTTCATTGCAGAGGCCATTGTCTGCGCAGACGGCGATGAGCAGGCGCTGCGGTGGTGGTGCGGGGCTGATCAGGGTAAAGAAAGCGGTCCGAATAGAGGGCTGGCCTCAGGAAAGGCGAACCACAGCCAACAGCGGCCAATGGCAACGTCGGGGACGCGCCGGTGGGAGAGTCGAGCGGTGGTGAGGAGGTGAGGATGCTAGACGAGCATGGGGGGAGCGTAACAACAGGCTGATGTATGCTGCCGATGCGGATGCGAGTGTGGATGGAGGCCGAGGCGAGGGTGGTGGATGGAGGTGGTGGTGGTATGTAGTGGTGGTTAGAGCTAAGAGATGCGATGCACGCTTGCTTGAGCGTGACCTTGAGAGGAGGGACTTGGGCGAGAGTCGCCAATCGAGGGGCTAAGTGGTAGGGGGGGCAAGGCGGTCTGGGGGCAGTTGCCAGCCAGCGAGCGAGGAGCAGAGATAGTGTCAAGCAAGCAAGCAGGCAAGCGTTTCGTGCGGGCTAGCTAGCCGGGGTGACAGTGGCGCGGAGAGAGAGAGAGAGAGAGGAAAAGAAAGGAGTAAGTAGGTAGGTAGGTAGGTAGGCAAGTAGGTAGGTGAGTGCTTAGGTTGGTGGAAGATGGAGAGCGGTTGGAGGTGCAGAGAGAGGTCAAGGCGGTGGGGCTGCTGCTTCACTACCTATGTACGTGTATATATGTGCGTACGTGCCTGCGTGCCTGCGAGCCTGCGAAAGAGGAGGAGGAAGTGGTGGTGTGCGTGCGTGTGTGTGTGTGTGGTGGCATCTAGAGAGGCAGAAGAGGACGTAACAACCTCCCATTCTCACTGGCCTCGACCAGTAGAAGCCGAGAAGCTCGACCCACACCCCATCCACCTCTATCTGTGAAGCGCACATGGGTGTGTATCAATATATATTCACCACCACCATCATTGCATCACTACATGAACACCATGCCCGCGTAGCTCGCCCAATTCATGTTAGCAGGCGACGGCTTACTCTTGGTGCATGCCGTGGTGGCCGGCGAATGGGTGAGTGTGAATTTGATAATTACCTCCATCTTCAATGGTCTAAATTCTTCGCCGATCAAGTACCCATCAACATACCCACCACACCTGTAACTGATACCGACAGTTCATCGTCTCTCTGCGCCAAAATCCTTGTCACCCAGCATCACCCGCCGTGGTAAAAGAAAATTCCTTCACAATTTCTTGTGCGTGGATACCAAAGGACCTGCGTACGTAGAATAGCACACAACAGAGGTCACTGCATATAACAACGTCTAAACACCGCCCGAAATCCGTGACACCCGGATATGAAATACAACATAAATATTACCACATAGTACAAAACCACTCTTCGACGTCTAGGTAATTACACTAGCTGTATCTATTGTCGTAATGGCAAACACCGCCGGAGAGGCGCCCTGGATGGAAATTCCATCGCGCGCCGTCTCTGCAGTCGAACATCCATGCATTGTCAAGAACGTCGACAAAGGCATTACCTCGCTAGGCGGTCCCATCAAATTAGGCAAGGTTAGAACATGTATCCGCTACTTTTCGATTTCCAGGAATTGACGTCGTGTGCTAGGGTTTGAGATCCAAGGTCGAGCCGGACGCTGAGGATGACATACCGAACATCATTTCAGCCTCATTGCGACCAGACGACCCCCTCGCCAAAAGATTACTTTCTACGCCCGTGACCACCACCAACCTGCTTCTCAAGGTTACAGTGCCAAAACGGACGGGTCGCAAGAGGAAGCGTGGCACAAATGGTCCTTTTCTCTCCGAAGCAGACTGCGGCCCCGCCGGATCGAACGCTTATGTGGATGCGTCGTCTCTCTATCGACGTTTGCAGGATAACCCCAAAAATTATACATCTACCATAGTTGGACTAATTGATGAAACCCATCGCTTCCGAAGTACGTTGTTCGCCCGCTACAGCTGATGATGTTGTTTCAGCAAAACCCTCGATGCTGATGTACGTAATAGATCTTCCCGATATACAATATGCTGCCTCTACGAACAAGATCATGGCCACTGTCAGAGATACAGTCCTGCCTTTTGATTGTACGTAAACTCTTTGCCTTCCTTCGATCAACTGGATATCTAATGTCGATACAGACAGCAAACTCATGAAATTCAAACTGAATACGGACGCTGGCATAGACCGAACTCAAGATGTCGGGCCTTCTGCAGAGTTCATACAGATGCCAATCGCCTACAACTACAAGTACGCTAAATGTCACATCAAGCTTATGCACAAACGGCTCACAGCCATGCAGATTCCAACAAAATAGTTATGTCAAGTATACAGACGAAAGTGACGAAGTCAACTTGCGGAGAACTATAACGCAGAACGGATATACCATCATCAAAGTCAGCGACAAATTTGTGCCTCAAGGCCCAAAATCAAATTTGCCTCCGGAGTCTCAACTCAGCCCCTTCTTGCAGTCACTTATAGCCAATATAAGAGCTGAACTCAAACAACGACCAATCATCACGCGGCATCTTTTGTATAACAGAATTGGTTGGGACAAGCGTGACAATCTGAGACAGGCTGCTATTTATTGTGGCTACTTCTTCGAAACCGGACCCTGGAGAGAAGCACTGATCCAGTGGAAGGTTGATCCACGATCCGATCCACGTTACCGTATGTTTCAAACGGTGTCCTTCTTATCCTATCGCAAGACTGGATCCCGGCATTACACTCAATACGACAAGAGCATTCAGCGGCTGGCCAGCATGCAGCCGCATGAGCTAGTTGACGAGCACAAGTTTGACGGAAAAAGTCTCTCAAGTACAGGCAACCTGTTCCAGTTTTGCGATATCACGGATCCCATCATACGAGGAATCCTCGATACCAAGGATGTTCGCAGAACCTGTGCACCGACTTCCCAAGGGTGGTACCACATTGGTACCTGGGCAAAAGCAACGGTCATCTTAAAACACAAGATGAACCGCATTCTCACCGATGGTCAAGCAGATGACACTCTATATGAACGAGTTATTACTTGGCCAGAATTGTGGGATGACCAGGAGCTTTATGGGCGGTATAGGTGGGAATTCTTTGACAGAGAGGTTCACAAAGAGAAAGCTGAAGAACATGCAATCATCCAAAACGTGAGAACGGCAGCTAGAAACCCAAGATATGCTTTTGAACAGATGGAGGCATCTTGGAACCAGGCTAGTGCGCAGGACAGCCAAGATGGAGCGGAGTATCAAGAGGTGGACGTGCCGGAAGACATGACTGAAGTACCTGAAACTGCGGCTACCATATTGAACGAGGGCAACGAAGAGAATGCTGAGGGGGATGTTGACGGGGACGAAGATGAGGATGCAAATGCTGACAGTGAGGAAGGTGATTTAGAAGATAGCGAGGACGATGGTTTAGATAATGGGGATGAGGTTGCCGTGCCGGCTACCCGTCAAGTCCAACATCCAGGACCATTTGGTGGACTGTTTGAAGACTGATGGGCAGTCGTTTCTATCGAGCCAGGTGTTGTTGTTCAAATCATTTCAAAACTCCGGACTTTCAGTGTGCCCTCGGGACCATTCATGTCACATCGATTGATATCATTCATCATTGATATGTAAGAAGTGCGGGGAATTTAGTGTGCGCCACATGCGCCACAGCCCCTCCAAACTCTTGACCCAAAATTTTTTGCCCCGCGCCGCTCCGATGTATTTCCTCAAATCGTAGGTGTGACGCCTTTTACATCCAGTCACCGCTCAGCAATCACCATGGCGTCTGGTGAGAGTCCCTACTTGGTTCTTCCTGGCTCCTCTGCCTTCTCCGAGTTCCGCTTGCAGCGTCTTGCCCAAGCCATTGGAGCGAAGAGTGTGCGCGCAGTGTGGATGCACTATGTCAACCCTCTACAAGAATTGAACGCCGCCGAGACGAAGACGCTGGAGCAAATCTTGCATTATGGCGAGTACCCGGATCTCCAAGACAGGCTGTCACAAACTCTACTCGACGCAATCCATCGGAACGGCACCCCTCGCGATAATGATACCGTCCTCTTTTACGTATGCCCACGTCCAGGAACAATATCGCCATGGAGCTCACTTGCTACTATGATCGCGCGAACCTGCACGCTCGAGGACTCGGTTAAGCGCATCGAGCGTGGCATGGTGCTGGCTGCTACTTTTGAGAAAGATCTTGCACCAAACGAAATTCCCAACCCGGATGCTCTTTACGATCGAATGACCCAAACAATAAGTCGCAGCAGCCCTAATCTTGATTTGATTTTCGGCGAAAGCGAGCCTGCACAAGCGACTACCTTGAGCTTCGAGGAGTACAGCAGTCCTCACGCGGCATTGGCCCATGCCAATGAGGAACTTGGCCTGGCTATGGACAATTCAGAGATTGAATATTTGGTCGAAGCATATACACAGGAACTGAAGAGAGGTCCTGTAGATGTCGAGTTGTTCATGTTTGCACAGGTCAATTCGGAACACTGCAGGCACAAGCAATTCAACGCCGACTTCACAATTGATGGCATGCGCAAGGGACACTCGCTATTTGGCATGATTCGCAATACCCACCAGAAACATCCCCAACATGTTGTTAGTGCTTACAGCGACAATGCAGCTGTTCTTAATGGAGAAGAGGCAAGTTTCTGGTCACCCAGTCAAATCACCGGAGAATGGAATGGTACCAAGGAGACTGTTCACATTCTGTGTAAAGTCGAAACACATAACCATCCCACTGCTGTATCACCTTTCCCGGGTGCTGCTACCGGCTCTGGAGGTGAAATACGAGACGAAGGCGCAGTAGGACGAGGTTCTCGTCCAAAAGCAGGCCTATCAGGTTTCACTGTATCCGATCTTCTTATCCCCGGTTTCGATCGCCCGTGGGAGCTGAAAGACGTCGGGAAACCGTCACATATTGCAAGCAGTCTGGACATCATGCTTGAAGCGCCTATCGGCAGTGCGGCGTTCAACAACGAATTCGGTCGTCCTTGTACCACCGGTTATTTCAGGACCTTACTCACACGCGTGTTCACAAACGAGAAGGATACGGAAGTTCGTGGCTATCACAAGCCAATTATGCTGGCGGGCGGTGTTGGAACCGTTAGGCCACAGCACGCGCTTAAAAACCCCGACATTGTACCTCCTGGCTCACACTTGCTCGTGATTGGCGGTCCGGCAATGCTGATTGGTCTCGGTGGAGGTGCTGCATCCAGTGTGCAGTCGGGAGAAGGCAAGGTGGAACTCGATTTTGCTAGTGTACAAAGAGGTAATCCCGAGGTTCAGAGAAGAGCTCAGGAGGTTATAGATGCCTGCCGATCCATGGGCGACCAGAATCCCATCCTGTTCATCCATGATGTGGGAGCTGGTGGATTGTCCAATGCCCTGCCAGAATTGGTACATGACTCTGGTCTCGGTGCCATCTTCGAACTCCGGAACATCGACAGTGTAGACAGGGGAATGAGTCCACTACAGATATGGTGCAATGAGTCGCAGGAGCGTTACGTCCTTGCCGTAGGTCCTGATGATCTGGAATTATTCAAGCGGATATGCCACCGAGAACGCTGCGGCTACTCTGTAGTTGGCACTGCAACGCAAGAGCAGCGTCTCATCCTCAAGGATAGCGAAGCCAAGGGTACCTCAACGCCCATAGATCTACCTATGCCAATTCTTTTTGGAAAGCCCCCAAAGATGTCTCGGATTGTCGACTCACGGAAGCTTCGGCTGCCAGTATTCGATAGCAGCCTGTCAATGTATCTGCCGGATACACCGAAGGAAAATCTATTACACGAAGCAGTAGACCGCGTTCTTACTCTGCCTTCGGTCGGGTCCAAGTCATTCCTGATTACCATTGGCGACCGTACTGTTGGCGGGTTAACAGTGCGCGACCAAATGGTTGGCAAATGGCAGGTACCTGTTGCAGATGTCTCTGTTACGGCAACCTCTCTACTATCCGGCGTCAGAACTGGCGAAGCCATGGCGATGGGTGAGAAGCCAACGCTCGCGCTGATTTCTCCTGCAGCTTCTGCCAGAATGGCGGTAGCAGAGTCTCTTATGAACCTGGCGGCGGCCAGTACATTTGATAGACTGTCCAGAGTTCGTTTATCCGCGAATTGGATGTCCGCTAGCAGTCATCCAGGCGAAGGCGCAGCGCTGTACGAAGCAGTCGAGGCCATCGGTATGGACCTTTGCCCTAAACTTGGTATATCCATACCTGTTGGTAAGGACTCCATGAGTATGAAGATGAAATGGAAAGACCACGATACGCATGAGGCCAAGGAAGTGACGGCGCCCATGTCACTTGTCATCACGGCCTTCGCTCCCGTCAATTATACCGACCGTACCTGGACCCCAGCTCTTGAGCGCTTTGAGGATGTTGGAGAAACAGTATTGATGTTCGTGGATCTGGCCATTGGCAAGAAAAACATGGGTGGTTCTGCATTGGCACAGACATTCGGTCAAGTCGGTGACGAAGCGCCCGATGTCCGGGATGCGGAAGATATCAGGAACTACTTTGATGCCATCGAGCAACTCCATGAATCCGGAATTGTGCTCGCGTACCACGATCGATCAGATGGTGGACTCTTCACGACGCTGGTCGAAATGATGTTTGCCGGACGATGTGGGATGGAGATCATGTTGGACGGTATCTCCCGCTCTGGTGATACCAGAGACGTTATTGAGACATTGTTCAACGAAGAGCTTGGTGCTGTTTTCCAGGTTAGGAAGAAGGATGAAATCGAATTCAAACGCTGCTTCGCCACTTGTGGACCACCGGCAGGAATGGTCAACAAAATCGGGCGAGTGCCTGAGGCATCAAAGCAGGGTATCTCTTTCGCTTTTGGCTCCAAGGTCCTTTATCGTAGCACAAGAAAAGAACTTCAGCAACGGTGGGCGTCAACATCTCACCAACTACAACGCCTTCGCGATAATCCGGCATGTGCGGACGCCGAATTTGCCAATATCTTGGATGATCAAGACCCTGGTCTTTCCTACAAAATGACGTTCAACCCAAAGGAGACTATCCTTCCTCTCAAGGCTACTATTTCCTCGGCCTTTACGTCGAAGCCACGTGTCGCTATTCTACGTGAAGAGGGTGTCAATGGTCAAGCCGAGATGGCGTTCGCATTCCATATGGCTGGCTTCTCGGCAATTGATGTGCACATGACAGACATCATCTCGGAGCGGGTCAGCCTTGCGGGCTTCGTTGGTGTAGCCGCGTGTGGTGGGTTTTCATATGGCGACGTTCTTGGTGCTGGTCAAGGGTGGGCAAAATCTGTTCTCCTGCATCCCAAGACAAGAACAGAGTTTGAAAGGTTCTTTGGTCGGCCCGACACCTTTGCTCTCGGTGTATGCAACGGCTGCCAGTTCTTGTCCAAATTAAAAGAACTCATTCCTGGGGCCGAGATGTGGCCATCATTCGAGCGCAACGCAAGCGAACAGTATGAAGCTCGTGTCTGCATGGTAGAAGTCATGGACACAAAAGCTCCTGATACACCGCCTTCAGTCTTCCTCCACGGCATGGATGGATCGAAGCTCCCGATCGTTACAGCCCACGGAGAGGGTCGCGCGCATTTCCCTCCAGGTATCACAGCCACGTCCTCCCCCGCTACAATGTACAATGAAGGCCTTGTATCTATGCGATACGTGGATAACTACGGGAACGCGACGGAAAAATATCCATACAACCCGAACGGCAGCCCACAGGGTATTACGGGTGTAAGAAGCAAAGACGGGAGGGTGTTGGCGCTCATGCCACATCCAGAGCGTACAATCTTGCGCGAAGTGGCTAGCTACATCCCGAAAGGTAAGATGGAGGAGTGGGGTGAGGTGGGACCATGGGGAAGGATGTTCAGAAGCGCCAGGCGCTGGGTTGGATAGTCGGGAAGGGTAGGGAGCCTGCAAGCGGCGGGTTTTCCCCCCTTGGGTCTGTTACCATCGGTACACACGCAAACACGAGGAGGAAGGCGCCGGCCTTGCATCTGTTAGTAACTTACTGAAAGGGCGTTTGGAAGCATATCTTGGTCAAGTTTTTGTTTTCCTTTTTTGTTTGATATATCCACTGGCCCAAAAAGGTTTCCCAAGTATGGGATTAGAAAAATACTCCATCATTTGTTATAGTGTTCGTGGATGGGAATCAACATTGTTGTAATTCGTTTCAGAAGTCCAGCGGCTCGTGATATAAATGGTGTCAACCGGTATTATAGATGTGAATACAGATGTGAATGTGACAATTGGAGTACCGCACGTAAATGAGCGAGGTACCAGGGTAGATGTAGCTCGCTTGCGCTAGCGGCTCACAAACGGCTGTATCGATATCCTTTTGGACCTATCAGACGGCGTATAGTTTCGGTATCGAATCACAGTCAGCTCTCAGGGTTCCCGCTGTGCCCCGGCGCTCTCGACGTTCGTGGAGAGAGAGCTCTTGCGCGATCCATCACCCGTCGACCACCAGCCCAGGTGGACGCGCCCACCACCTCCACCACCTTCAACAATACCCACCGCTGGGATTACTTTCTACTCATAACGATTGTAATGAAATTTTGGACTGCATAGTCCTCCCGGTCTCTCCTTCTACTATTTAATTCACCTCTCGCCAGTCAGGCTGCCGCGAGCAGCAACAGACCTACCTTACTTTGCGCCGTCTGAAGCCCACCGACCAATGTACCTTTGTCTATCATAGGGTATTGCTTCACGCATTACGTGCTTCGGTACACCGACGGACGGGCACCATCGTCGAAATTCTGAGCTGCAGCCGTGAAGCTGCGAGAGGCTTTGATCAGCTTCACGCGCAGCGCTTGCTGCACCCCGATTCGTCATGGCCGCGCACCACAACTTCGAGGCAATGGCCTCCAAACTGGAGGATTCAAACTCAGGTATGGCTCCCCAACCGTGTGGTTGCTCGTAAAGAAGCTGCCTACCAACGTTCTTTTTCGGACGGTAGTTGACTCGTGTGCAGATATGAGAGTCAAGTCAATCCAGCTGACGGAGATTCGCGATAACATCGAGAGCTTCTGTCAAGGCCCACAATATGGCGTGTTCTTGAATCACTTGATTCCAATCTTCCTAAAGATCCTCGATGGCCCCCCGGTGTTCATTTCCACCTCCCCCGAGCAGGTGAGCTTTTCTTCCCTGTCGCCCTGCATCTGGCTAACATCTACGTAGCGAGTGCGAAATACCATCCTCGAGGTCTTGCATCGCTTACCCATGAACCCTATCGAAATCGTCGAGCCGTATGCGGCTAGGATCGTGGACAAGCTCATGAGCTTGGTGAAGATTGAAAACGAGGAAAACGCCGTGCTCTGTATGAAGACGATCATGGATTTCAGCCGGAGTCATACCAAAGCCCTTGTGGATCGCGTACAACCCTTCCTGGATCTGATCCAGGAGATGTTTGAATGCATGGATACAGCAGTGCAGGAGACTTTCGACAGCGCGACTCCAGCTCCGGCCTCGCAAGTTGTGCCTTCGACGCCCAACACCCACCAATACTCACAATCTCCGCGCCCAAACTCGCCGGCGACGTCATTGACCTCGGGTTCTTCCGGGGAGATTGGAGCGGAGCATCAACAGACACGAATGCTTCTCAAAGGCATGCAGTCTTTCAAAGTGTTGGCTGAATGCCCAATCATCGTGGTGTCGCTTTTCCAGGCCTACCGCAGCGTGGTGAACAAGAACGTGAAGCTTTTTGTACCACTAATAAAGAATGTGCTGCTGTTACAAGCAAAACCCCAGGAGAAAGCACACCAGGAAGCTGCTGCACAAGGAAAGATATTCACAGGGGTCAGCAAAGACATCCGGAATCGAGCAGCTTTTGGCGAGTTCATCAATGCTCAGGTTAAGACTATGAGCTTTTTGGCGTATTTGCTGAGGGTGTATTCGCAGCAGCTGAACGATTTCCTACCTACCTTGCCTGACATTGTTGTGCGGCTCTTGAAAGATTGCCCTCGCGAGAAATCGAGTGCCAGGAAGGAACTGCTGGTTGCTATTAGACACATCATCAACTTCAACTTCCGGAAAATATTCTTGAAGAAAATCGACGATCTTTTAGAAGAGCGGACGCTCATTGGGGACGGCTTGACTGTGTACGAAACGATGAGGCCGTTGGCGTACAGTATGGTGGCCGACTTGATACACCATCTACGTGACTCCCTCAACAAGGAACAGATCAGGCGCACAGTGGAGGTCTACACCAAAAATCTTCACGACACATTCCCAGGCACGAGTTTCCAGACAATGAGTGCGAAGCTTTTACTCAACATGGCCGAATGCATAGCAAAATTGGAGTCGAAAGAGGATGCTAGATATTTTCTCATCATGATTCTCAACGCTATTGGCGATAAGTTTGCAGCTATGAACCGCCAGTACGAAAACGCTGTCAAGGTATCTGCAGCGTACAGCTCGCCGTCTATCGATGCTGCGGAAGAGAACCACATGCCAGTACAATCCTGCCCTCCAGATTGGGATGAGATCGATATATTCAACGCGACTTCTATCAAGACTACAAACCCAAGAGAGAGGAGTTCCGATCCCATAGCCGACAACAAGTTCCTGTTTAAGAATCTTCTGCATGGCTTGAAGAATCTCTTCTACCAGCTTCGAGCATGCAATCCCGCCAAGATCAAGGACGAAATCGATGCTTCTAACGCGTCTGCCAACTGGCATGAGGTCTCATTTGGATATAACGCGGAGGAGGTCGAGGTTCTGATCAAGCTGTTCCGCGAGGGTGCCAGTGTCTTCCGCTATTATGACTCGGATAAGCCTGCGGATACCTCATCATTATCCCCCGGTGATCTCATGGCAAATCTGCACATGATGACAAGCGGAAAGGAGGAGAAAGAGCTTCTCGAGACATTCGCCACTGTATTCCATCACATCGATCCGGCCACGTTCCACGAAGTGTTTTCCTCGGAGATACCACACCTATATGAAATGATGTTTCATCATCCAGCGCTACTTCATGTGCCCCAGTTTCTACTTGCATCAGAGGCCACATCCCCAAGTTTTGCGGGAATGCTGTTGCAATTTCTGATGGATCGGATAGAAGAAGTTGGGACATCTGACGTGAAGAAGTCTTCCATATTATTGCGACTCTTCAAGCTTTCGTTCATGGCTGTTACTCTGTTCTCCGCTCAAAATGAGCAAGTGCTATTGCCTCATGTCAGCAAAATCATCACCAAGTCAATCCAGCTCTCGACAACGGCCGAGGAACCCATGAATTATTTCCTCCTGTTGCGGTCTCTTTTCCGTAGTATCGGTGGCGGTAGATTTGAACACCTGTACAAGGAAATTCTTCCCTTGCTCGAGATGTTGCTGGATGTTCTGAACAATTTGCTGGCCACTGCGCGCAAGCCTGCCGAACGAGACCTTTTCGTCGAATTATCACTGACGGTTCCAGCACGACTTAGCAATCTCCTTCCTCACTTGAGTTATTTGATGAGGCCGCTGGTTGTAGCGCTGCGCGCCGGATCCGAGCTCGTTGGGCAAGGCCTTAGGACGCTGGAATTATGTGTTGATAATCTCACTGCTGATTATCTCGATCCTATCATGGCGCCCGTGATCGACGAGCTCATGGCAGCACTCTGGGAGCACTTGAAACCGCAACCATACAGTCATTTCCATGCACACACTACGATGCGTATCCTCGGTAAGCTTGGGGGTAGAAATCGCAAGTTTGTCACTGGTCCGCCTGCATTGGAATACAAGCCATACTCTGACGATCAGTCCTCCATCGACATCCGTCTCATTGGCTCGACCAAGGATCGCGCATTTCCCGCCGATATAGGAATTGAAACAGCCATTGCGAAGCTACACGAGGTCCCGAAGGTGCCGGCAGCTAAAAAATCTGATCCATTCCACAAGCAACAAGCTTTCCGGCTCATTACTGCGCACACGAAGCTAATGGTAGGTTTTGACAATCTGCCCGATGATTTCGCCCAGCTGGTGCGCTTGCAGGCAAACGACCTGTTCGATAGGAAGACGGATGTAGGAGGGGATCTTCTCACAATCTCGGAACGAGAAAAGTCCATCAACAAGAAGAACGTCGAGCAGGAGACTTTGAAGAAGCTGCTGAAGGCATGCATATTTGCTGTTTCGATTCCAGATCTCAAACCAGATGCAGATGCACTGGTCGGCAACCTGGCGAGACACTTCGCCTTACTGGAGCTTGGAAGCCACTTCGCACATATGAAACACCGCAACAAACCCTTCGACGTACGTTCTGGAGAGGGACCAATCGCTATTGAAAGCGACGTGTTCTCGGAAGCTCTAGGTGACTCTCTTGCATCGGAGCACGCTGAAGTGCGCGACGCGGCTGAAGCAGCTATCCTGACAATGCGGGATGCTGCCACAGCAATATTCGGAGGACAGGACAAACTGGACAGATTCCCTTTCTTTGAAGAACTGTCAAGGATCTTCTGCCACAATTGCCATGCCGATGATTGGTTCATGAAGAGTGGGGGCACTCGAGGTATTGAGATATTGATCAAAAAACTTGGTCTAGGCAGCTCGTGGATGAACAATCGGCATTTTGAGCTCACCCGCGCATTGAATTTTGTCACGAAAGATATGCCGACTGACCTTGATTCCAAGACTCGCGTGCAAGCCGAAGGCCTTCTCGAAGAACTGCTCCGACAGTGCTACAAGACCACGACCAAAGAAGAGTTTGATAAACCTAGCAGCATGCTACTCAAACTCTGTGGACAACTCGTCGGCGATCTATCCCACATGAATAAGAACGTGCGCGAAGCTACCCAGAAAGCGTTCCATGTCCTCTCAGAGGTTACCGGTCTGGGAGTTCATGAACTCATATTGCCTGTCAAAGACCGACTGGTGATGCCTATTTGGACGAAACCTCTCCGCGCACTACCCTTCGGCATACAGATTGCGTACATCGATGCGATCACGTTCTGCTTGAAACTCAAAAACAACATCTTAGAGTTCAATGATCAACTGAATAGGCTTCTGATGGAATCACTAGCGTTGGCAGATGCGGATGACGAAGCTCTTGCAACGAAGCCATTTGAGCAGCGAAATGCAGAACATATCATCAATCTACGAGTCGCTTGCATTCGTCTGCTGTCTACTGCTCAAACTTTCCCCGAGTTCTCACCCACTCCTACCACGCAGCCATTCCTCAAGATCATTGCAGTTTTCTTCAAGTGCCTTTACTCCAAGTCACCAGAAATCATCAATGCAGCAAATGTCGGGCTTTCGGGTATCGTTGGGTCAACCAACAAGCTGCCCAGGGATGTCCTTCAAAGCGGACTTCGACCTATCCTCGTCAACCTCCAGGATCCCAGGAAACTCAGTGTTGAGAACTTGGATTGCCTCGCACGCCTTTTGAAGTTGCTAGTCAACTACTTCAAAGTCGAAATTGGATCGAAGCTTCTCGATCACTTGAAGATAATTGTGGACCCGGTCAGTCTTCAGAAGATTTCGTTCACGATGATTGAGCAGCATCCAAAGATGAAACTTGCTGCCGGGATTTTTAACATCTTCCACCTCCTGCCCACTCCTGCTGCAGGCGTCTTCCTCAGCAAAGTGGTAGACAAAGTGATCGAGCTAGAGGCTGCATTGCGCCGTACCCATTACAGCCCCTTCCGCAAGCCAGTCATCAAATATCTGTGCAGATTTTCAAAGGAATCCATCGATCACTTCCTGCCAAACCTGAAAGATGAAGTGCAGGGTCGGCTATTTGCTCAGCTCCTGGAGGACCCCGCAAGCAAAGCGCTGAGGGACGAGCTCATGAGCGATATCCCAAAGTTCATTACCGCATTTGAATTCGAGGGATCCGACAAAGAAAAGTGCCAAGCTCAACTCAACGCAATACATGTTGCTTATTCACTGAGCAAATTCAACAACCTCGATAACGATGCGCTACGGAAGTCTGTTTTCGATGCTGCCCGGTCTCTAGAGAAGAAGCTTCGCCAGAATTCAATCGACGCAAGTCTGCGACTGGCTACTGAGCAGGCCAGCGAGCATGCCATGGCTGTGTTCATCAACTACTTGAAAAATGACCCACACAACCTGGACTTCTTCTTTGAGCTCATCGATGCGGTCACTTTAGAAGAGGTGAAGCCGCTTCCACAGTTGTTCAACTTCATCTATGAACATATTGTCTCGAGTGAGTCGGTGGATTATTGGAAGACATTGATCAACCGATCTATCGATATCTATACCAGTCGTACCTCGACTCAGCAAGCCAAGACTTTTGTTTTCCACTATATCGTCAATCCCATCGTTGCCATGGATGTCAAACGAAACTGGGATTCACTGTTCGGCCAATCGAAGGGCACGAAACTGATGGACCGTGCTATGAGCGATACTATCCATAATAGGTTATGGTTGCCACATTCTACGATGGACATCTCGGAAGACACTGCACAGATTGGGGTAGATCATTCCCGAATGGAACTGTTCCAGCTAGCTACTCTTCTCATCAAACACTACCCCGGGATGATTCAAGAAACTCGCAAGGATGTCATCAAATTCGCCTGGAACTACATCAAGGTGGAAGATGTTATTAGCAAATACGCCGCGTATGCGTTGACTGCTTTCTTCATCGCCGTATTTGACACGCCAATAAAGATTGTCGTTCAAGTCTATCAGACCTTACTTCGTGCGGACAAGAATGATGCCAAATCACTGGTCATGCAGGCACTCGAGTTAATGGCTCCTGTCCTCAAAAAGCGATTGGGCGGAGACGCGAAAGCGGCCATTCCTCGATGGTCTCAGTTCGTTCGCAAGATCTTGTCAGAGGAAAGCTCCAACTTGCAGCAGCTGACTAACATTTTTAACTTCTTAGTACGCCACCCAGATTTGTTCTTCGAAGCGAGAGAGTCTTTATCTGGAATCATCATCACCTCACTCTCCAAGATTGCACAACCACCCAACCCTTCGACCGAGGCCAAAAAGTTAGCGCTGAACATGATCAGCCTTATCAGGAATTGGGAAGAACGGGCTGCGAGTCTACCCAGTTCCATTAGCGACCGTGCTTCTCAATCCCCCCAAGCTACCAAGAGAAAATCGGACGGGCTTGCTGTCCCTAGCCCCAGCGCGCCAGCCCACAAATTTGTCGCACAAGCCAGTATCCGCATGATGTTGATTAAGTATCTCATCCAATTCATCGCCTACCTTCCTGAGCGCTATCCTGTTGCAACCCCGAAGGCAAAAGAAGCCACGGTGCTCACCCCGATCTCGACACAATCTACGGAGATTTGCCGGAAATCTATACAACTCCTTCACGACCTCCTCTCACCCCGATTGTGGAACGATCTCGACCTTGATGTCATGCTCATGAAGAAGATTGAAGAAATTCTGACGGCAGATAAGAAAGCGGAAGAGAAGCAAGATGCGTTCGATACTCGTATGATCAATACTCTCCAAATTTTCAAGGTAATTGTCAATGTCAAGTCGGACGAATGGGTGCTACAGCGTTTGCCACAATTTCAGAGGATTTTGGAGAAACCATTACGACTAGACAGTGCAGATGTACAAGCCAGTCTTCACGCGACAGACGATAACGAGACAGAGACAGCGAAACTACAGCCGACCCTGAAGCGTATCCTTGAGGTGATGCCCGAGCCAGTGACAGACGAAGAAGGAAATACAGAAGAGACGACCTCAACGGAGTTTGTCACCTTCATCGGCACGATCGCTACTGAGGCACTTTCCAATGGATCATACATTTGCGCCATAAACACCCTGTGGAGCCTTTGCCAGAAGCGTCCCGAGGAGATCGATCAGCATATCCCCCAACTCATGAAGGCTTTCCAGGGCAAAATGGCCAAGGATCATCTCGCTGCTCACGGTGGCCCTAACCCACCTGGTGGTCCTCCCGGTGTACGTCCTGAGAGCGCATCGCAGGATTCTGACCGTCGCGAGGTAGAGATTCAGACGGATTTGGTGCTCAAGGTGATCGACATTCTTGCCGCGCGGATGAATGAGCTTGGAGAAAATCGACGACCTTACCTAAGCGTCCTTGCCAGTCTTGTTGAACGTTCTCAAAGCAACATCGTGTGCATGAAGGTCCTCGATTTGGTGGAAACATGGATTTTCCATTCCACAGAACCAGTACCCACATTGAAAGAAAAGACGGCTGTGTTAAGCAAAATGCTGTTGTTTGAACATCGGCAAGACACTTCACTTCTCAACCGATTCCTGAACCTTGTTATTCGAATCTACGAAGACCCAAAAATCACGCGGTCCGAGCTCACTGTACGAATGGAGCATGCTTTCCTCATTGGCACACGCGCGCAGGACGTTGAGATGCGCAACCGATACATGACAATCTTCGACAGGAGTCTGAGCCGTACCGCAGCGAGTCGACTGAGCTATGTTCTGGCATCGCAGAATTGGGACACTCTCAGCGACAGCTACTGGCTCAGCCAAGTCATCCACTTGATGTTCGGATCTGTCGAAATGAACACGCCTGCTCAACTCCATGTAGAGGACTTCAAGCTACAACAGGCAGCTACCGTCTTTGGCACTTATAACAAGGATCCGAGGATAGTCGATGTCATGGTAGACGATGAACTGGAGAATTTTGTCAATGGCCACCGTCGCTTCTGCAGCCAACTCGGCGACGTCAAGGTCAAGGACATCTTTGAACCCTTGGGCCATCTCCAACACAACGACAGCAACCTCGCGCACGACATTTGGGTCGCATTCTTCCCTCTTGCCTGGACTGCACTGACCAAGGATGATCAGAGCGACCTCGAGAAAGGCATCGCTGCGCTGTTAACCAAGGACTATCATTCTCGCCAGATTGACAAGCGGCCCAACTGTGTTGCTAGCATGCTCGATGGTATCGTTCACGCTAGGCCGAGGGTCAAATTTCCTCCGCATATCATGAAGTATCTGGCGCGAACATACAATGCTTGGTACACGGGAGCCGTGTACATGGAGGAATCAGCCATCACTCCCATCGTAGATACAGAAAAGCTACGAGAGAGCAATCTCGACGCTCTCCTTGAAATCTATACCGGCCTGCAAGAAGACGACTTGTTTTATGGCACTTGGCGACGCCGTTGCCAATTTGTCGAGAGCAATGCTGCACTGTCGTACGAGCAAATCGGGGTCTGGGACAAGGCACAGCAAATGTACGAAGCCGCGCAAATCAAAGCGCGAACCTCTGTCCTACCTTTCTCTTCTGGTGAGTACATGCTCTGGGAGGATCACTGGGTCATCTGTGCCCAGAAGCTACAGCAATGGGAGGTTCTTAGTGATTTTGCCAAACATGAGAACTTCAACGATTTGTATCTGGAAGCGACTTGGCGTCATTTCGAAGCCTGGCAGAACGCCGAACAGCGTGAACAGCTTGATGCGACAATCAAAGCTGTCAGTGACGCGCCTACTCCACGCCGCGTGTTCTTCCAGACTTTCATGTCGCTACTCAAACTGCACGGCAAGACCGAAACACAACCCGAGTTCCACAGGCTGTGCGATGAATCGATTCAACTCTCAATCCGGAAATGGCACCAGTTGCCACGACGTATTACCCAAGCTCATATTCCGCTATTGCAGCATTTCCAGCAACTCGTGGAGTTACACGATGCTAGCGTCATCTGTCAAAGCCTTGCTCAAACTACAGCAGCCAACCTGGACCACAAGTCTCAAGAACTGAAATTGCTTCTCAGTACCTGGCGAGATCGTCTTCCAAACTTCTGGGACGACATCAATGCTTGGCAAGATCTTGTCACATGGCGTCAACACATCTTCCAACTCATCAATGGTGTTTATCTTCAACTTCTTCCGCCTAACCCAACCAACCCCAGCAGCAATTCTTTCGCCTATCGAGGCTACCACGAAACAGCGTGGATCATTAACCGGTTCGCCCATGTCGCCCGCAAGCACAGCCTTCCGGACGTGTGCATTCAGCAATTGAGCCGCATCTACACCCTCCCCAACATCGAGATTCAGGAGGCCTTCTTGAAACTCCGAGAGCAAGCCAAGTGTCATTATCAAAATCGTTCGGAGCTCAACAATGGGTTGGATGTCATCAATAATACGAACCTGAATTATTTCGGACCACAGCAAAAGGCGGAGTTCTACACGCTCAAAGGAATGTTCCTTGCCAAATTGAGCCAGGTACCCGAAGCCGATGAGGCGTTTGGTACAGCAATGCTATTTGATCTGAAGCTTGCTAAAGCCTGGGCTGAATGGGGCCGGTACAACGATATGCTTTTCAAGGACAATCCAGCCACACTAGACAAAGCGGAAGCAGCATTGAGCTGCTACCTTGAGGCTGCCAGTTTGTATAAGAATGCAAAATCCAGGAAGCTTCTCGGTCGCGTTCTCTGGCTGCTCAGCTTGGACACCCCCGAGCGCCAACTTGCTATCAAATTTGAGCAGTTCCAAGGCGATACCCCAGCTTGGTACTGGATAACGTATATTCCACAGCTGCTCAACAGCTTGTCCAGGTCAGAAGCGCCGGTTGCCCGATCTATTCTCGGGAAGCTGGCGAAAACATATCCTCAAGCTCTATACTGCCACTTGAGGACCACACGCGAGGATATGGTGGTGTTGAAGAAGTCCCACGAGGCCAAAGAAGCAGCGAAAGAGAAGGCGGCAAAGGCAAAAGCGCAGCAAGCACAGGCGCAAGGCCAGAGCGCACAAGGTTCACCAGCAACGAAGCAGGGTTCACCAGATGTTCGACCAGGATCCAGCGGTAATCAGCCAGCATCCACAAATGGCGACAACAAGCCCGCAGTCAAGGTCGAAGGTACTCAACAAGGCACTCCAAATGGCGCACCTGCAGATGAGGCTCCACCCGCACCAAAACGACCTTGGGATCACGTGGAAGAGATCTCGGCAATTCTCAAAACCGCGTTTCCTCTTCTCGCGCTGTCCATGGAAACTATGCTTGATCAAATTCAGAAGAACTTCAAGTGCCCACCAGATGAAGATGCCTACCGACTCATTGTGGCCTTGCTCAACGACGGCCTGGCTTATGTAGGACGATCGCCTAATCTATATGCCCAAGAGATACGGTTACCTCACACTACGGAAGCCAACATCACTCGATTCGCCGAGTCGGTGCTTCCACCGCACATTCGCAAGGCGTTTGAAAGCGACTTTGTTCAACACAAACCTACCATGTACGAATACATACAGAAGCTCCGTGTCTGGCGGAACCGCTTTGAAGAGAGGTTGGACCGAAGGAAGCTCAGTGTTCCTCTGGAAAATTACACACATCAACTCAGCGAATTCCGTTTCCTCCGGTTCGATGACGTGGAAGTGCCTGGCCAATATCTACAGCATCGCGACAAGAACTCAGACTTTGTTCGCATCGAACGGTTCCTGCCCAATGTCGAATTGGTACGGGGTGTTGGTATTTGCCACAGGAGACTCACGATTCGTGGACATGATGGAAGCATTCATCCGTTTGCTATCCAATTCCCCGCCGCGAGGAGCTCCAGGCGGGAAGAGAGGATTCTCCAGCTGTTCCGCATTTTCAGTGGCATTCTATCTAAACGAAAGGAGAGCCGCAGGAGGAATCTACAATTCCACCTTCCGCTCATGATACCCATTACACCTAGTGTCCGCATGGTGCAGGATGATGCTTCATATATCAGCATGCAGGGCATTTTCGAAGACTATTGTAGGCGCAACGGTATCAATAAAGACGAGCCCGTTCTATTTAGCATCGAGAAGCTGAGGGCTTTGCAGCCAGTATGTTTCCAGCATCCTCCTCCAAACGAAATGTATTCGATAGCTAACACCCCCAAGCAGAAGAACGTCGAGCACGCCGCGTCCGTAAAGCTCGAAACCTTTGCTGCCGTTCAAGAGAAATACGTCCCACCGACTGTTCTCATAGACTATTTCCGCGCCACCTATCCCAACTTTGCAGACTTCTGGCTCTTCCGTCGCACCTTCTCCTATCAGTTGGCCACCCTCACCTTCGTGACATATATCATGCACATGAACACGCGGTATCCGCACAAGATCAGTATTTCCCGCGGCAGCGGCCAGGTCTGGGGCTCAGAGCTCATCCCTAGCATGGCAGTCGGCAAGCCCATCCTACACAACAACGAACCTGTACCCTTCCGCTTGACGCCCAATATGCAAGTGCTCCTCGGGCCTCTTGCTCTTGAAGGCATCTTCGCGCCCTCTGTCATGAGTATCGCGCGCTGCCTCATTGAGCCAGAAGGCGAACTTGAGATGCAACTCGCCATCTTCATGCGCGATGAAATGAACCACTGGTTCACTAGCCAACACAAACCTCTCAGCGCCGAAACACTTCGCGAGAGCGTGCAGAACAATTCGGAAGCTATTGTACGGAGGGCTACTTCTATGGGCAGTTTGCCTGGTGGTGCAAATCTGCCGGCGAATCAGACCATGGTGGATCTTGTCGCGCAAGCGGTGCACCCAGCGAAGCTGAGCCAGGCGGATCCGTTGTGGATGGGGTACCTGTAGTGTGTTGTCAATGGTGTATGGTATCAGGCGAATGGCAAGGTGGGATGGAATGCTGTGTTTTCTTTCAATCATGTGGAGTTAAAGGAGGGCTATGTGTATGCGCGTGTCATTACACGTGTCATGTGTTATCCACTGTTCAACAGCAAAAGTGCTCTGTAGTGTGTTCTTCTTTTGTTTTTCTCCTTCTTACAATCTTCCTTTTCCCCACAATCCATAGCATCGGCGCTCCGAGTCTGTGGGGTCTGTTCTTCCTTTCACTTTATGTTCTCTTTTGGTGTTTTCTTTTTCCTTTTTTTTCGAATGCTATTATCGAGGTATTGACACGGCCGAAGATATCCCAGTATGTATAGAATTGAACATATTTATTAATCTGTTGTGTTTCCTCTCTTTTTCCTTTTCTGGTTTCTTTAGGTGATTGATGTAATTGAGAGCATCGTGCTGAATCCGTGGACAATACTCGGTGGTGTTGGTGGGTGGCAGCCATTCGTAGAAATGAAAGATGGCCCGTTTCTGAAGTGCGACGCAAAAGAGATCATTGATGGTGTGGACTTCCTTACCTCTCCCTATCTGATTACTTGTTTAATCACGTTTTCGGTTACACACGTGTCCGCGTTATGATTTTAAGATGCTGGGTGTGTAGAAAAGAGGTGAATGAGTAAAGAAAAGTTGGAGTTTGGGGAGATATCTTGAGGTATACGTGGTAATGTTAGGTTCGATTGCATACATTCAATCGTTGATCGATCAGTAGGAGATGCGTCAGATGTATAAGCCTTGCTATTGCTAAAGGTCCAAACAATCATTAAATCTCATATCGTGATTGCTAACTGTAAACTATTTAAAAATGGTAATAATACAATAACACAGAAAGACTAGTCATGTTTGATCTCACCAAAGGACTTTAACTGCTCCTCGGCAGCCTCAGCCATGATATTGCCCATGCGCAAACTAAACGCGTCTGATATCATCTTTCCTTGCTCCACGACCCACTTTAGTCTATTCACGGATACCGTCGAAAGGGACAGGAACAATCCGAGCGGCCACAACATGTATATCCCACCATGGATCCGCGTGGCTGTTTTGTTTGCCGCGAAATGGGCTAGGTAGTAGCTGACACCATCTTGCACAATCTGGCAGCAGTGCTGATGCTGTTGAGCATCATGCTGCATCGCAGCGAGGGTGATCAGGGTTGGATCCTTTCCGTGCTCAGCGCGCGACCAGTCGAGGAAGATATCTGCAAAGATGACACGAGTGCACTGTACAAACATCCACGCAGATGCCAACGAGAAAAACCGATACGTAGTCTCTGCGTTATTTTCATGGTCGACGGACTCCGCAGCTGGTCGCGCGTCCGAAACGTGTTGGCACAGCCGCTCACAGCGATCCTCAAATTCTTCGTGGAGGCGTTGCGTGCGCTCAAAGGTCTCGGCACGGACGTATCCATTGGCTTTTTGGTCGTCGCGGAGCGCGCAGAGGCTATCCATGATCATGAAGAAGTCTGGGTAGAATTCCTGTTGGGCCCGGCGGGCGTCAGATTCCAGGTAGCGGTTGATGGCTCCGGGGAGTTGGCGCCCGAGACGGAGGCAGTCCACGAGAATCATGTTACGAAGTTTGAGCCAGATGGAGTAGCCGAGGTCTGTGTGCATCTGAGAGTCTCCGCGTAGTTCTAGGAGTTTGACGGCACCGAGGAGATGGGTCATGTAGGGACCGTTGGGGACTGGATCGTCGGCAACGAGGGTCTGCAATTCTTTGTTAGTACACGGGTACTATAGAATAATCGAGGGGTATCTCACCTCGAAAGCCGCTAGTAGGATGCAGGTAGTGATGGAAGAATCCGATAATGCCAAGTCCTTGTCTTGTAGTTGCTTCGACAACTGTTGGAGTACCTTTAGATGCTTGACTCTAGCCGTTCTCACCAATTCCACGGAGCCTGTTGAGTTTCCAAGACTCGCTAGCCCGCACGCCATGGCCATCTCAGCTACAGGTCCTCCTGTCCGCAAGTCGGCTTGAATCACACTGGTAAGGTAGTCGAACCCGCCCTCCAACGGTCCGGATGCAGCAATGACTTTGTCATTGTAGAGTCCCAGGTAATGTACAATGGCCTCGTCGTTGATGACTGCTCGTCTTGAAGGTTGCTGAGGGGGCACTGTCATGAGCTGGAAAGCAGTATTGTCGCCTCCCTGGGTGTTTTTACGCTTCGTGCGTTGAACAACCGCTGGCGTTTCATTCTTGAATAGCAGATCAGTTTCGTTCCGGTAGCCTGAGCATACTCTGCTCTTCCTGATGCCTGCAAAGTCATTGCGTTAGAGTCACATGTTGCAGATTGATCTTTGTCGCACTTACATTGAGTACACGAGGGGAGCAACAGGTCGCATCTAGATCAAGTTAGAACTCATGCGTGTCTATTAATGATTAATGTTGCAAATGGGAAGAAAACATACTTTGTCCGTTTCAAACGACACGGTAAACAACCTTTGCTCAATTTCACCATTCCTCAACACAAGCCTCGAAACAATAGGACAGAAGGGCCGAAATCGGAGAAGATGAGCAATCTACTGTCAACCAAATCCAGTACCTGTGTGGAAACCTCCAGCTTGAAATCCCAATGATTGAAGATGTATATCTTCCATCACCGAGGATGATGCATCAGCTGTCAGAACTTGGCTTCGTTGCTGCAAGTCAGGATGATGGGATTGCGAGTGGAGTGCGTTTTAGTGATTTGATTGGGACGTAGTACAGGCGGGTGTGATGGGTAGATTGGCGCGATGATTATGGCCGAGACGCGTGCGAAGACAATTCTGCGCCGTCTTGTTTCCTGGCTCCCGTGGGTATTTGGCGAGATGGGTATGTACGTCTGATAGATGAATGCAGGTTGGGTGAATGATGAGACGGAAGTTGACGACGTTGGAGGGGAAAGTGGCCATGCCATGTCTGCCTAGTGTTTCCGGGCGATCGTGTGCGGCTTGACTTGTGAAGCGACCCCTGTAATTTCTCCGAGGCTATTCTGGCCCGATTGTCTATCCTGGTGTGCGCATCGGGTCTAGCAAGCGGTGATGCTGCCCGCCGGATAAGGGATTTCATCATTTGCCAGCACCACGTGATCTCCGGCGGCAGCACTTTGCCTTTGGCAAGTGGCTGCTATAGGCTGGACGGCCTGTACAGGGCCTATGATGCGACCGGCGCCTCATTGTTCCTCGGGCGCAGCCTTCTCGAGTTGACTTGATTTGTTAAAGGGGTTTATGCGAGGGAAGTGCATGAATCACAGCAGGGTGTCTATGTGCATCATAATCATTCGATCTGATAAACGGATCATCAGGTCAGACCATCTGCTCTGCCCTGCTACTCGCAGATAAGAGAGGTAGACGTGCCGCCTCTAGCAAAGAGGCGCATTCATTGAAACCACGATGGATCTGATCTCAACGCGATGGGACTAAGATCAAGCCGACGTTGGATCGCATCTGCTAAGGATGAGGGGGTAGAGGGCATAGTGAAAAGATGGTCAACAAATGGTTGCGGACGCGAGTCAAGCATCATGCTTTCCAAAATTTACTTGATTCAAAACACTTCGAAATCACATTGTCACGTCTCCGTGAGTAGCAGGTACAGCCAGCAGTCTAAGCCTATTTTGACCAGTATCCTCTTCCCTTTACTCGAGGAGAAGCCCACCGATATTGACTTTGTTTCAAGCATGCCATGCTGAGTGACACTGCCAGTTTCAATGGAAAAGCACGTTTGCCTGGCCCATGGCAGCAGTATACACGCTAAATCTCAAAAGCAAGGCGAAAGGACTAGAGCAATAGCGTACCATACAAAGCCGTCCATGTGCAGACTTGGGATTCAGCCTTGGCTAACGGCCTTCTTCATTTCCACGGTACGCCGTTGTTAGCTTCTGTCCTGACACCGTCTCTACCATGTTCTAGAACCAACTGTACCATCTATCGTCTATCTGGTATACCTACACGGGCTGCGCGAAACTGCACTATATAGACTTCAAATCACATAGCATGCCTGTGTTTACAGGACACCATCCAGAAATGAATTTCTAAACATATCGCGTCATACTGATCGAATGAGACACCTGATGATACAGACCTCGGTAACCAGATATTTGGACGCCTGCATGCATCCAGACGGAAGATGGGTACGCGTGACATGCCGTCTTTTCGTCCCAATGTCGTGTCGAGCCGGAAGACTCAAGAGGACGAGACGACCTGTCAGCAATGGGCTACCTCGACATACCGCCATCTTCTCTGATTAACCCGCTTGTTGCGTACGATATCTACATTGCTGCACCATAGCGATTGCCGATCATCTCACCACTGCCAGGGGAAACAACATTGCACAACACGCGTCTGGCTCGATGTACACGCTTCACCTGTCCTTGGTGACTCGGACCCATTGCCATCTAACAGCTGGCTAGAAAGCGCACAAGCGAGCGCCAGACAGTATTAGCACCATCGAATCTATCGAGTACAATTTCCGCGGACATGCATTCGTGGTCGTGAACGGTGGCCCCAGCACCTCCATCCTCGATTTCGATCCTCGACCGCCGCCTCGCTCAAGACAATCTGCGCATACCGCGGTGGAGTGGAGATATATTGAGCCTGAATGAAAGGGGAGACGACAAAGTCAAAGTCTGCGAGCGGTCAAAACAAGTTTACAGAACACAGGCGGGATGGTAACGGAGAGAGTCAGACGAAAGAATGTTGGACGCCATGCGCAGGCTCTAGTGGAAAGGCTTGCGGAGGGCATGAAAAGTGGATCCAGAGGTCGCACGGGTCCCTGATGAAGAAACTTGGAGGTTGTGCGCGGCAATTATGAGGCACTCGGCAGTATTGATTCTGACAAGCGACTAAGCGGGGTCCCGAGATGGATGGGCTCTGCGGTTGCTGCGCGGGTGCAGACAGAACAGCAGTTGGACGAGCCGCGGGCCTGAAACGACCATGGGCTGTCACGGCATGGACAATGCTTTGCTGTAGTGCACATTGTGGATGTATGGGATTTCGTCATCGATGCTGTAGTGCAATGGGGATATGGGGAACTGTGGTGAGGTGTAGCATGCAGGCAGCAAGGCGGAACAGAATGGGTGAGTGGACACCATGGCAGAATGCAGGGCCAGACCGTGCAGCAGGCGCGAGGAGGCCAGGGATGGGTGTGTCTGGCCGAATGAGGGAGTGCACGATGTGTGTGCGACGTGGTTGATGTGGACGAGGATGGAGTTGATGTGAGACGAGGATCCCCCGAAACAACGGGCAGGCTTGGCGAGTAGGTGGGCAGCAATAGCACGGCACGGCGCGCTGGCAGGCAGGCGTCCGATTCGGGAAGGGGTGAGGGTGGGTGCCCGGGGCAACGCCCAAGTAAAGTAAACACAACCTTGGACGGAGCGGAACGTCATGAGGCCTGTTATCGTCTCTCCCCACACCTATCTGCGCTATTGAACGCGTCCGCTATATGCTGCCTGTCGCTCTCTGGTCGGTCCTGGACGGCGCCTTGGACATACATACAGCTGCTCGTTGTCTTATTGCCTAGCAGCGACGACTATCGCCTGCCATTGCTACTCTACTCTACTCTACTACCGCTATACCGCTACATACCGCTACCTCTACATCCCTCTACCCACTGTCGCTAATAACAAGAATCCATTATTCATTCGCACTGGCTGCCACCCGACAATCTGTAAGCGACAGCAATAACAACAACCACAACAATATACGCACGCCCGCACGCGCACACACGCTCAATCGCTTCCTCCGTCCTCGGCCATCTCGCACCCTCTGTTCGCTGCCCACCGCACGCCGTCGAATGCCCTCCAAATAATCCCCTCCCGATTGCGCACACCACTCTTCTTTCCACCCACAACATACCGCGGGCATGGCGGGCTTGCCCACTCGGTTTCCCTGTTGGTGCAAAGCCGTATACTCATGGGGCGGTGAGGTAAGTTCACTCGACATGGCAGCGACCCAACACATACCGCCTTGCTCCGGCTAATCATGATTTACAACAGACGAAACGCGATCTGGGCTTCATAGAAGGGGATCTGATCGAGTGTTTGAACGCCGGCGATGGCTCGTGGTGGATGGGCCGCTTGAAGCGCGACCGGCGCATGGTCGGACTGTTCCCCTCCAACTTCGTCGAATTGCTGCCCGAAGACTACCAACCTTGGAGCCGCAATGCGAGTCCCATGACAAACGATGCCTCTTCGGCTTCGGTGTCGCGCCAGAACAGCTCTCAGCCCGTCAAGCAAACACCGCAAAAAGCAAAAACATTCAGGAAGCCCTTCACCGCCTATGCCGCCGCAGGCGCCCCCAATCCTGCAGCTGCCGCACGACAGATTGAAAAAGCGGGAGGGAGAATATCCACAAATGGAAGTCTTAGAACTCACAAGCCATATTCGTCCATGAAGAGGTCGTCTACGGAAAGCCGCGAGACTGCTTCTCCGATACCAACGGCGAAACGCGGTTCCATTCTTCGCGCAGTCTCGCCTCGACCCTCATCCACACGCCCACCATCCACCAGACCTCAATCGACGAGACTGACTCATTCCCGTGCCCCGTCGCCTGCTCCTCCTACAAATTACCCATCGCATTCGAGGTCACCCTCTCCGGCGCCACCAACGCACTATCAAGCGCATCCGCGAGCTGTATCGCCGGCACCACCAGCGCACTATCAAGCGCATCCGCGAGCTGTATCGCCGGCACCACCTCCCATGCACTACCGCCCTCAATCTCGTGCCATTTCTCCCGCTCCTCCTGTTCATTATGATACCCATTCGCGTTCTGTGTCTCCTGCTCCATCTTTTCAGTACCGTGCATACGACCGAGGCCCGTCTCCCTCTCCTTATCAAGACACCATTGATGATGCTTCTCCACCTCCTCCGCCTCCGCCTCCACATCGTGTTGTCTACAACCCGAGTAGAGCTCCGTCACCCGCACCTGTGGATAACGGCTACCATACACCTGAACCCCGTAGCCCCAACCCTCACTCGAAAGGTGGAAGATTCACGCCTTCGCCCTTGACAAATGCTATGAACGATGTCATGTCATCTCTGCAAGATATGAGCATGTCAAAGAGTGGAACAGAACCAGATGAGCCTCCTACACCTCCAGGCATCTGGTCGCCGGACGCCTTTACTGAGGTCTACCAAGCTTCTGCGAAGAAGGTGCGGGCTCAGACATCCATGGGAATTGGAAGCAGCCAGTCAGACTTTGCCGCTGAGGAGACAGACGACGGTCCTCCTCAAGTTCACAACTACGTTCAGCGCATGGAGAGTCGCTTGCGTCGGATGCAACAACAAGAAAAGCTCAAGGATGAACTGTTCATTCCTCCAGATGCTGGTGGCCCTCCACCTGCCGTCCCACCCAAATCTTCAAAATACAGCAGACCCGGCTCGTCTATGGGTGGCAATCAACCAGACGTGGAACGCAAAGAATCCAAAACGCTCAGACATCGCAAGTCGGCATATGAGATGGGTCGCAATGCCCTGGGTAGAACTTTCACCACCAAGACCACCTCTACGACGACTACACATACAAGTAACAGTACTAACCGCAGCCTGATGTCTGGTCAATCCGCCACAGCCATGAGCTCAACCAGTGCTGGAAGCTTTTACAGGAAGAAGTTTGCAAAAGAGCGACCTAAAAGCACAATGGAAATGAGGGAAACGGGCAAGGGCTACGGTTTCGACGATGAACGGCCGGAAACACCTTTCACGGGCGTCACATACCACTCCAGTCATGCGTCACAAGCGCGACCATCCACAAGTCACCAGGACCACCCTGAATCACCGAACAAACAGCTAGACGGCCCGGAACCGCTGGGGGGCTTAGTTTCACCGAAACCGAGACGCAGCGGGTTCTTTCGAAAGATGATCGACACTGCAAAAACCCAGGCAGCGAATGCTCGCAGCACAATTGCCAGTGGATCGATAAGCAGACCAGGGTCTCGCGCCGCCAGCCGAGCTGCGAGTCGAGCCGCAAGTAGACTAGATGAGCGAGGTCCGACAGCAATTTCGGGCGGATCGAGTGTACAGTCAGGTGCAGCACGTGACATGGGGTTGAATGGTTCGGTGGATTGGGTGCAAGTTCGCCGGGACGTCAACAGATCCAACTCATTAAGCAAAAATGAGAGGGTGGAAAGGTCCGATCGATGCCAGCTGATGGACATACCCGTTCTGAATCCTGTCGACATCCTCTACGATTCAGCCGAAGGCGACGAAGGCTTGGATGGGCTTCCTATCGCCGACCCGACAGACTTCGCGAGCAGCAACCTCGGACTCGTTGACAAGAGCGCCCGGTTTGTCAACAGCGTTCCTCTTGGGACAACACCTGGCACCTTGGCTCAATCATACGTTTGCAGGCCTTATCGCAGCGATGTCCAACGTTTGCGGGCCATATTTACCTGGGTCAGTGAGCGCATCGCCTGGGAGGACGATTTCGAAGGCGAGATTGATGCCCGACATGTACTTCAAAGCAAACGTGGATGCTCGCAAGAAATTGCAATTGTGGTTGCGGAGATGTGTGCTTCCGTCGGACTCCACGCTGAAGTTGTAAGGGGTTATCTTAAGACTCCCGGTGAGCCGCTGGATCTTGAGAGCGTAGCTCGACCCAATCACTTCTGGAATGCAGTCATCGTGGAAGGTGAATGGCGCTTGATGGACTGCTCTCTCGCAGGTCCAACAAACCCAAAGCGCGCCCAATACTCAAATGCTGGAGCTCAGGTAGCTGAAACCTGGTATTTCCTGGCACGGCCGATGGAGATTTGCTACTCGCACGTTCCCCTTCTTCCAGAGCAGCAGCACATATGTCCGCCTCAACCGCATGAGGTTCTCATGGCGCTTCCATGTGCGACACCAACATATTTTAAACATCGGCTGCATATGATAGACTTCGACACCAGTCTTCTCAACCTTGAAAACCTCGAAATGGCGCACATCCACGTTAACGTCCCCGAAGATGTAGAGTGTGTGGCAGAGGTGGAAGCAAGGGCCTACTCCCAAGACGCCGACGGGGACTTCTTCGAAAGTGGTGAGGTTGTACGCAAGCCTGCATTGGCGCAAGCAGAGTGGGTAGCAGGACAAAAACGATACACTATAAAAGCTCTGCTACCAGGCGACGAGGGCCACGGAGTGCTGAAACTGTACGCCGGGCCTCGCGGTCTCATGGTAAGTAGCCCACATCATAGTTTTTCGTTCTCAACTAACATATATCTTCTACAACAGCACTCCAACAAACTCAATCCACACGCTCTCGCTCTGGGCCTGCCCATATCCCACACGGGCACCAACCCACCGTACTCCTTCCTCACGCTTCACCCCACTCCACATGCTCAACGCCATGACCTCTATGTCGCACAACCACAATGCGCAAATATCGCCTTAAACAATACCTTTGTCTTCACCGTCCGACAACACCCCTCCTCTCTAACCCGCACTCCCGACCCCCCACAAACTCCTGGCGGCGCCGGCGGTCGCGCATCCCCCAACCCATATATGCGTCCCGCCTCCGCAATGAGTGTGCAGAGCATCTCCGCCTCGGGCTCCAACTACACAAACCCATCACAAACATCATCCAACGGCTCTTCAAACCCCGCTGCCAACGGTGGACCCGTCACGATGAAACCTGCCAAATTGGCTATACAGACCCCAAGTGGAAAGATTATCAGATTGACAAGGAAACATGAACATCTTTCTGGTGCGGATAGCGACGCCGATGGCACAGTTTGGGAGACTGTTATTAAGTTGGGAGAAAGGGGTGTTTGGAGGGGACTAGTGCTTGCGGATCGCAGTGCTAGGTGGTGTGTTTTTGCGCAGTGGGACTGTGCGTGAGTGATTGTTTGAACTGTGTGGCCGATTTTTCTCTTCTTTTCTTCTGGATTTTTTCTTTTGAAGGGCGAGGTGGAGGGCGATTGTATGTCGAAGGCTGTATGTGAAGTTGTAGGATAGGATATGAGAAAGAGAAAGGGAGAGAGACCAGAGACGCAGCAGCAAAAGAAAGGGCCTTTTGTTTTTCTCTTTGCTTTTCTATTTGAAGAGGCTTCTTCTGGTGAGAGGTGTATGAGTATAATAATGAACTCAAATTGAGTCTTCTTTTTTCGTTTCTTTGCTTTTTTTTTCTGTTCCACTTGCTTATAGCTTATTTCCCTCCGGTTTCGATCAGCGCGTACCAGCGACGAAATACCAAAAAGTTTGAAGTTATTTTGTATGCTCTAGAACAATCCATGGCCGTTTTGCAATTGATTATCTATGTTACTAGTGTGTGTGACGTTTTGACACTTTCCCTTGACTATCGTTGATCCCTGTATTCCAAAATCCATTCACCACACCCGCTGAGACTTCTCGGATCTTCTATTTACCCCTTGGAATCTGGAACGCAACAGCAGGTTCCCCATGCTTGAATGCCTTATCAACTCTATAAAACGCCTTGCGATCAAACTGGAAGATGTCATCCACCTTCAACTCAGCAACATTACAGTCTGCAAGCGCCTGCACCCTCGTCTCGGTAGTCTTATTCAAGAAATCATCCAAAGAGTCCTCTTCCTCCAATTTATCCTTGGTGATAAGGTAATCGTAATCGACGAGCTCAACGGGAACGAGTTCCTGGTCGGTGGAAAGCCAGTGGACTTTCTTGCTCGTCTTTTTGACGTCACCTTGGAGGTGGAGTTCAAGTTCGAGGTTTGTGACGGTTTTGAGGCCAGAGGGTTGGGCGAGGGGGTTGATGGAGTGGGAGATGTTGCGTACGATTGCATTGCCCCAGTTCATGAGGGTGATTTCTTCGTCTTGAGCAAAGGATGCGGCGTCTTCTTGCTCGAGGATGATGGATTTGCTGTAGACGACCTTCTTCTTACCGAGGTTGGTGTATTTTGCGTGTTTGTCTTTCTCTTCGGTGATGACACCTTCGCGGGCACCCGTAATGGTGGCGGTGACTTTGCCGGCGGAGGCGACGGCGGTGTAGCGCGAGGCAATGGGGTCGATATGCTTCTTGTTAGTGGCCCAGAACGCGAACCAGTCTTGCATGACAATGTTTTTGGAAGGACCCTGTTTGAGAATGAACTCGCGGAGGGCGGGTATAGTTACGCCACGACGTCGGATTCCGCGGATTGTGGGCATGCGTGCATCGTCCCAGCCAGTGACGAGACCTGAGTCGACGATTTTGGTAAGTTTGCGTTTAGAGAGCAGTGTGCGGACGAAGTTCAAGCGAGCGAAGTTCCAGTTATAGACACCGCGGAGCTTGAGGGTCTTGATGAACCACTGGTATTGGGCATCGCGATCATTGTATTCGGTTGTACGGAGTGCGTGAGTGACGCCTTCGATGGAGTCGACGATGGGGCAGCAAAGATCATATGTAGGGTAGATCTTCCATGTGTCACCAGTGCGGTGGTGCACCTCAGGGCTACAGCGGTAGATGACGGGATCGCGCATGGCCTTGTTGGGGTTGTCGACAGACATTTTGGCGCGGATGCACCATTTGAGACCCTCTGGACTGCCTTTCTTCATTTCTTCAAAGCGGGCAAGGTTGTCCTCCACCGAGGAATCACGGCGTGCGCTTGCAACACCGTTCATACGTTCATCGCGCATCTTCTCCTGGATTGTGTCATCCGCATATGCGGTGCCTTCTTTGATCATGCGTACACAGAACTCGTACAGTTCCTGGAAGTAGTCACTGGTGTAGGAAACCTTGTCGGCCTTGATGCCCATCAAAGCAAGATCCTCGATGATGGAATCTTGGAACTCCTGTTTCTCCTTGATTGGGTTGGTGTCGTCGAAACGAAGGATGAGGGTGCCCTTGTACTTCTCATGCGCAAAGTAGTCGTTTAGGAGGGCAGCTTTGGCGTGGCCAATGTGCAAATATCCTCTGGTAGGCGGTTAGTGGACCTGTATCTCAAGGATGATAAGGGATAATTACGAGGGCTCAGGTGGGAACCTAGTGACAATGCCAGTTCCATCACCAACATCCTGGAGACCAATATCATAGTTGGCACCGTCGTCCTTTTGCTTCTCTCCATCCTTAGCCTTTTCTTTTGGACGCTCGGGAAGCGCAGCTTGCTGCGGGTAGGCCTCTTCGATATACCTGAACCAGCGGCACACATTGGGCATCAAGTTTTGCTTGATGTAAGCGTGAGCGACCCGGTTCGCACGGATTGTCTGCCATACTGTGGTGTCGGCATCAGAGATAGTATAGCCCACGATGTGAGATCGCAGGGTGAGGTGGGCGTCGAGCTCGGCAAGTGAGGGCTCAATTTGCTTGAGGTTGAGAGGCTTGAGCGCTTCAGCGCGGTGTTTCCACTCTTCGATTTGGGCCTCCATGATAAGTGTGTATGTATATCTAGAAGTGGATGGGTGCAGAGTCAACTTTTTTGGGGCGATGAGTCTGACTGGTGCTTTGGCGGGGTTGTCAGTAGTTTGGTGGGGTGATGGCTTGGCACGAGTTAAACAACCCCATCACAGAAGTGAAGTGGGCACCGGACATTACTTACTCTGTGGGTGGTTCATGGTATACTGCATACATATGTAGCAAATCATTTGAAAGAGTGACAAAGTTGGATTTCGATTCCTACGTACAAAAGCGAACGGCAAAGCTTCATAAACGAATGTGATAGATGTAAGAAAACCAGCGAGCTCATGGCACATCGACCATGCTCAGTGATCACCACCCAAAGAGTGTGCTCGTGTACGTCCCCAACGCAGTCCCCATTGCTTCAGACTGTGTTTCGCAGATCAATTTGGTTCATCCACCTCCATACATACAACCTCCCTTTACCTCGAAGCAATCGTTACTTGCTGCTTTTCTCTCCTGGTTGGGTCATTCCCACGCGATTTTCAGCATCCTCGCGGCTGAGCACCTTGTGCTTACCGCTCCAGATGCCGAAACTCCTTTTGATGGCTTTCCAGCTTTCAATGGCCGCAACGTAAATTGCGACGCACCCGAAGCTGATGCCCCATTCCCACGTGATTGATCCATGCTTGAACACTTCTCGGTTGATGACTGGTAAGTATATGAGGGCGAACAAGATGGTGAATCCGGCAGTTACTGCCCAAAACAGGAAGCGATTGCGCCACACTGCTGAAAAGATAGAAAGACCGCGACGTTCACCGCTCTCGGGGTACATATTGAAGAGAGATCGGGAGAAGTGCTTGACTTCCCAGGCAGTCACCAGCAAGAGTAGCGTGATGGTAGTGTAGGTGGTAGCACGAGCGCGGAAGACGACACCACAGCTCTCATTCCAGTCGTCGTTGCAACCATGCCCGAGACCAAGACCCGCTGGATCAGGCCCCACGTACGCTACCAGTGCGTAACTCATCAAGCACAAGCTGCCCATGAAGAAACCGTAGATGAACTTGTCGGTGATGAGCTCGGCAGTGAAGACGCCAGTCTTGAGGCTGTGTGGCGGACGGAACATGGTATCAGGTTGTGCTTCTTCCAGTCCAAGACCAATGGCGAGGAACGAACTGGTGATGAGGTTGACCCAGAGAATCTCAATGGGGGAGAGTGGAAACGTGGAGAAGTTCTCGTTGTCTTTGAAAGCAAGACCGATCAGGAGGAGTATGACCTGTGCAATGTTCGATATGAGCAAGTGCATCAAGAACTTTTGAATGTTGTCGAACAAGCGACGCCCTTCTTCGACAGCCTTAACAATAGATGCGAAGTTGTCGTCGGTCAAGACCATCTTGGCGGCGTCTTTCGCAACGTCGCTCCCAGTACCCATAGCAATACCGACGTCGGCTTTCTTCAAGGCCGGTGAATCGTTGACGCCATCTCCAGTCATAACACAGAAACATTTTCGTCGATGAAGAGCGTCCACCATCTTGACTTTAGTGGCAGGACTGCAACGGGCGACAACCAAGGGAAGTTCATCCATTTGATCGATTTCCGCTTCGCTCAAAGCATCGAAATCCCGGGCGATCATTACGCGTTTATGTGTTACTTCCTTGGGCAAAGAGTTGTCAAGAATACCAACTTCGCGCGCGATAGCTTCAGCGGTTCCCGGATGATCACCCGTGAGCATATGCACGGTGATTCCTGCGATTTGGCATTCCAAGACTGCTCCCCGGGACTGGAGACGAGGGGGATCATAGATGGCGACCAGACCGATGAATTTGAGTTGTGTCTCGACGCTTGCACGATGTTGCAAGTCCGTTCCGAGTGACAGCGTCTTGTGAGCAATGCAGAGGACACGTAGGCCTTCGTTAGCCATGCTTTCAGCCATTTGGTTGATATTTTCCTTTTCTTCGGCTGTAATGTCCAAAACAGGGGACATGAATTCCACGGCACCTTTGGTGTAAACGTCGTAGTGCCCGGCTCGCTTGTCTTCATAAACCACTGTCATCTTCTTGACTGAGGATTCGAAGGGGAATTCAGCGGCCAGGTCGATGTCGAGTTTCGAGAGCAGATCTTGCTTCCCCATATTCAGGCGCATGGCCAAAACGTGGAGTGCAATCTCAGTGGGGTCGCCAAAGGCTTGCCATGGACCGGAAAGATTCCCAGTCAAGCTAGAGGCTGTAGTAGGGCGGGTATTGGTGGCTGATTGAATGGTAGAAACATCTGTACCGTCGTCGACATCACTGGCATTTCGTTCATTGATGGCTTTCTCTTTCTTGGCAGCTTTGATGTCGCCAGAAGGAGATGAGTCTACCAATTGTTCCACTTTGGACTGGTTGCAGAGAGCGATTGTTCGGAAGAAACGATTGGATACTTCGTTCCCCACGTAGTCATCGATGCCAAGACGGGAGCCGTCCAGGGTCAGGTATCCACTGGTGGGGTCGTGAGGATTATCGGTCCCCTCGACAGCAACAGTACCAAAGCCGGGAATTATGGCTTTCCTTCCAATCATGCGACCTTGGGTCAGAGTTCCAGTCTTGTCGGAGCAGATGTTGGTTACACCTCCCACTGCTTCAATGGCGGAGGAGACTCTTATGATGACATTTGCTTTCGCCATTGCTTTGGCGCCGACAGCAATAGTGATGGTGAGCACGGCAATGAGAGACTCTGGGATCACAGCCACAGCGACACATATACCGTATATGAGTACTTCGCCACCAACCTGAAATTTACTCGCTGAAAAGACGATGATAGCCAAGAGAATAGCGAGGCCGAAGAGCAGTAGAGCAAACTTACTCAAGGTGACCTGTAACGGGGTACCCTTGAGCCCTAGAATGTTCTTTCCGTATGTGGTAATCTTATACAGCACCTTTTGGGGCATGGATCGTTGTTCGGGCTCTACATCTTGTTGGCGAAGCATGTTTGCGATGTTGCCAACTTCAGTCTTCATGCCGGTAGCTACGACTATTCCGGACCCGCGACCTCTGGTCATTTTGCTGCCAGAGAAAGCCAAATTGGTCCGGTCGCCAAGGTCCAAATCCTCGTCATCGAATACCAGAGAAGAATTCTTCTCAATAGGCTCCGATTCACCAGTGAGGAAAGCCTCGTCAGTAGCGAAGTTCATGCCATCGATAAGGCGAAGGTCAGCTGGAATGATGTTTCCAGTGTCCAATAGAACGATGTCGCCAGGTACGAGATCAGTCGCTCGAATTTTGATAGTTTCTCCACCACGAACGACGGTGGAGTCAGGGGCAGTTAGTTTTTTGAGGGACTCTATAGTCTTCTCTGCTTTGTAGTCTTGCCAGAAACCAACAACAATGTTGAGGAGGATGACTGCGGTGATGACGCCTCCTTCGATGTAATCATTGATGCCAAAGCTCAATCCCATGGTAATGACCAGCACGAGAGTGAGACTGTTGGACACCTGCCTTAAGAAAATCGACCACAAGGATAGCCCTTCAGCTCCTTTAACCTTGTTATATCCATAGTGGAAAAGGCGAGCTGCTGCTTCATCTGCAGTGAGGCCATTGCTAGAAAGATATCAGCACATGCTAAGGCTGAGTGTAAAGCGCTCATCATGACAATAAGAATGGGCATTGGGAGGAATGAAAAGATGGGCACGTACCTGATGTCCACATCCAATCTTGCGGCTGCTTGTATGGCAGTAATGGTGTGCCAAGCCGCGAATGATGGGGAAGGACTTCCGTCACTGTGGGGAGCAACGGATGGTTGGGGTTGGGGTGGGGGTGTAGTGTTGTTGCCATTATACGGTCGTATAGGAGGTTCTGTATCCTGAGGAGCAGACTCCTCGACCGAAGGTAGTAGTTGAGATTCACCCATTCAATAAAGACAATCAAACACAGACGTGTTGGAGGAAGATACAGAATGGTGGAAAGGTGCCGATAGAAGCAATTATACCCGTTCACGACGGGAGGCGCGGGGTATTCTTCACACTAGCCGTAAGTGAAGATGCGTGGGTCGTCCAAGCATTGTATGCAAGTTCCCTCTTGGTACAGTGCTGTACTCGTCCAATGCCGTCTTCGCAATCCCTAGCCCGCACCAGCACATCATCATACTACAGACCCGCGATCACCACCGATTACGCTGGATTATACTTATCAACACCCTCTATTTGCACGATCAAATCAATGAAAAAGAGACATTCACCCAAGTACGAACACAGAGTGCCGCTGGCCACGTGTTTTGGTAGGCCACGTGACCTTGATCTGGACACGCCATCGTAATACTTGGCTGACGATCCCAAGAACTTCCTTTGTGCGATAGAGGAAAACGCACGGCACACAGCCTCCATGCCCAGGATCCTAGCAGTGTTGGCATTTCGCTACCAAGACAACCACTGTGATTTACCGATTGGATATGACACCTTCCGACAGCAGCTTTTGTGGACGCATAACATGGTTTGGATTCCTGCACACGTGTATGCTCAGTCGTATCGTAGACGTGTGGATTGATACTCAAGTGATGGTGTGAGCAGTAGTAGGTAAAGTCCATGTGTATTGTTACGTGAATGCTGATTGGCATACATGTCTTTGTAAGCTCGTTCCATTGGTTTCTTGGAGAGTCATCAATGGTCTTGGCGGCGACGAGTATCTGCTTATCTCGTATATACTGTGGAGCAGTGCTTGGTGGAGGAACCTATCATGCTCTTTGCCTATGTAAGGAGCTGTAATGGATGACTTGCGGACATCGCTCAGCGAAGCGTGAGGTTCCTGTTGGTACGGTTGGTTGTGTCTGGTACTACTTGTGGCTAAGCGATCGCTCAGGGGGGCGAATTCCGCAATTCGACAACCGGATCTGAATCGCCATCCAGTGGTCATCGTTCCAAGAGTGATCCTATGCGCAGTGCTACATGAGCCTCAGTCTACCTATACGTTGCAGCATTGTAAGAGTATATTGATCATAGACATAAAGATACAAGCAGCGAGCCGGGGGTTGGCCAGAGCAGCCCCGCAATGTTGACTGCCTCTCATTGGCCAGTAAGCGAACTGCATTGTGGTTGGTTGCGCTCCATCTTATCTTGCACACACACACATGTGACCTAGATGGGTACACCTCAAGTGCTGTGACTTGTGGAAGCATTCGAGGTAATGTGTATCTGGAGTTGTTAGTTGGAACATCACAAAGCAAGTTTAGGAACGAGAAAACACATTTTTTCCATTCAACTAGTCCATCGATATTTTGCTCCGATTACCACTGAGAACACCACCCAACTGCGACCCGATTGGTTCACAACATTTGAAAGGACCTAACACCAAGAAGAAAAATCCCTACTGCGATAATATGTTGCCGCTGAACGAACAAAAAACAAAAAACAAAAAACAAAAAACTGGGAAGAGCAACAATTAGGAAAGAAAAAGACAACGGCCGTTCATTACTCGTCGCCGACCACTGAGACTCAGATACTTCGAAGTGTCTCAGCCTCCGAGACGCCAGAACTTCGTCGAGGGGCGAGCTGTGCTTCAGCCTCGGCCATGGCAGCTTCAACAGACATATTGAACGTCGAGGCGAGGTATTGGGCGTAGCGTTGTCGGTATGCCGTTTGCATGTCTTCAGATGATTTGTGCAACTGTTTTGTTGGTGTGCTGCCTGCTAAAGTATTAGACGTACAATCGTTAATTGAGCGATCAAGTATACCCGATGCGGGATGAAGAACTATGGACGGCGTAGGCGAAAGTGTGGGAGACTGCTGAGGAGAAGGAGTGGAGGCGTAAAATGATAATGAAGGCATGATGACAAAGTGATGTGTAATACGATGATGGGTAGTAAGCGTGGAGTGGTTCGGTCGTCAGGTAAGAATAGTTCTTTGCGTCGATCCCGTCTAGCAACAGACCCTTGTTTGGTCTTGATGTTTTGTAGATGAGGATTGGAGGCTTGTTGATGATTGTTGCTTACTCTGGATGGGACATGTGGCCGCTTTTTATACACGGGCGATTCCCATGCTCCCATTCACCGCACAGCAGCTCCAGGTACAAGTCGATTCGCAGACTAATGACGAATTGTTCCACTCGAATGCCGATGGTGTCACATCACGATCGAAACCTAGACCCCGAGACTATTGGCGCGCATTGGCAGCTTACTACCATGGTGCATGTATCGGGTATAGCTGAGGCATTTCTGGTCCACACCGCAATTCCACCCAGCCATTCAAAACCTGGGGAAAACGACTACCATCAACCATTTCAGGGGCAGCGCTGAATCAACCTTCACGATGCATATCAAACCCTGTCGTCACGATATCAGGGCGCTGCCATTTGGACAGCAAAAGGTCACGGATCAGCAAACACCCAATCAGCGCTGCATGGGAATCCATCGAGCCAAATTGCCAGTTTTCATCCACCAGGGATCGCAACAGCGTGGTGGGAGTCAGTATCCGCCACGTTTCCAGCACTTCAGCTTCTGGAACGAAAACTGAGGACCCGGTGGTACTGCCATACGGACCAACAATGACGAGTCGCCCAACCACAGCTGATGTCCCACCTGTTGGTGCTACCTTGCTGCAGCGCCAGTGTCTTATGTTTTTAGCCAGCATACGCCACAGCCAGTCTCTTCAACACACAACATGCAATACAAAATTGGGACCACACTCTTGACCGTTTTGAGCCCACTTGGATGCAACTTTTCTCTAACCGTACTGCAACTTGTTTGCAACTTGTGGATCAGCGCGATAATAACCGCATAGAAGCGGCCCTAGCATCAAAACCTGTGATAACAAACTCCCACCCCTGCAGCTATTGCAAGCTTTGTTGCGGCCTCGTGGAATGAATGCCTTGGTTTTGCCGGCACTGATCCATCCAGACGTACCCATGATGATTGTATTGCGACAGCATCACACATTGGCGCTTGCTCAAATTACGGCATAGAATCCCATCGGGATCGCGAACAAAGCCTCCAAAACGTCACACAGTGTCAAGGTAGTGCACTTCCAACGAATTCCATGCAGGGTTTGCTATCACGAGATACGCCTAAGCGCCGGCGATCGCTACTATGCGGGGCCGCACCCAAGTCTAGAGTCGGCAATTCGGATAGAGCCCCTCACACCAAATCCTTCCTATGACTGATCCAGGTACAACGCTCAGGGTTCATCTTCCAAGTCAACTAAGCATCGTGAGATCGTAAAGCAAGTCTTCGAGTCGATCGAAAGGCACGGGAAATTGGAAGGCTGTTCTTTGTCTCTCCCCGACCGCCTTTCCAGGAATCCCAAAGTTTTTCAATCGGCCCGCAACCATCTCAGCCCATCAGCACAATAGTTACTCCTTTATTTTTGGGTCACGAGCGTATGTACTTGACTCTTGTTGTGTACAAGTTACCTAACTCGATGGTTGCAAATGCGCTATCTCCTCCTATCTAGACATGCACCCGCTCCCTCTACTCTCTCACAACAATCCAGCCTGTCCATCTCTGCAACAATACCCATCCAAACTAGTTCCACAATCTAAGCTCACCGACACAGGCCACGTCAATGAGGCATTTTCTCCAGCTAATCTTCTTCAAACCAGCCCACATTCGGTGATGCACGGTGCCCAATCTAACTTTAATTCGACTTCCAAAATTTCAGATGAGAGATCTACCTACAAGCATCACAAATCGCGCAAACACGAATCCGTGTGTGTGAAGTTTGCGGGTCAGAGGTCCGCAGCCTATAGATCTAGAACGGCGTTTACGGCGACAGTTTGTGTTTGGTACAGAACGACATCGTTGTGGAGAATGAAGAGCAGCTTTAACGTTTCAGTCTCGCGGTATATGGGTCTCAGTGGCGTCATTTCCACCTCTCCATCGATCAATCAATTTTGCGCGATTTATATACTCTTGAACGCAATCTTCAAACCCTCAACATTGGAGTCCACAAATCCATTCGGCGAAAAGAACATGTCGCGCACCGCTGATGAATCTACCGGCTATGGGGATGCAAGCAGGAAAAATAACTCTCGGGTTCACATGAATCCGTGTTACCCCCAAAGAATGGCTTCTCAACAGGTCAGCTCAACAGCTGTAAAAGATAGATGCAATGTGCACTACGGGTTCAATATTTTCCGAGACAACCACCAAAGTACAGGGTAGCCTACCTTTAGGGTATGATACATTGGGCTTAGAGTGTCATAGAACATCTTTGGCCCATTTATTGGTCGAGGATGGTGTGATATACCAGAATCCGCCGCGCTTTGAGAAACTGGGGACGAGGCATTATCCATTCACCAATACTCTAGCACATTCGGACGATCAAACGGTGCATGTGAGAATGTTCCAGGCCGAACAATACTATGATTATCTACGCCCCTCCCCCTTGAATAGGAAAGCGTCGCTGCCCGGCACATTGCAATCGAAGTACTCCAGAAATGCTTGGGGTGATCTTCTTAGGTTTGTGTATAGGCTCGAGCTGAGTCCATCTTCTTAACCCCGATACAAGAATACAAATGCAACTCATTTTAACATATGCTTCGTTAGTGCCCGACTATACACACACTCTAGAATACAAATCTATGTCAAGATCAGATAGATGCAGTTCAAGATCCACCAACCGCAGGATTTGCTGATCTACCCAAGCAGCATACGCTCTAGCAAGAACCCGAAGAGGAAACCAGAAGCAAACTCACAGCAAGCATCTGCACGCCGCTTTCCGTCTATGGGGCAATGTAACTGCACAAACACAAACACTCAGCTCTCCCCAAAGCGTCTCCCATATCATGGCCTCATATCCGAGAAGCGACCCAAGACGAGGCCCCACATACATAAAATATCCAACCCATATCACTCTCTTTCGAGACAAGGTAAAGAATCATGTATTCAAGCCACTCCCCACGCCGCCTACCAACTCGTCGCAAAGCAATGTTCGAAGTCGACACGACCTAGACACAAGATCTAGCTCTCTACTCACCTCCATTCTCTCCGACGTACCATCACACTGCAGCCACCGCAACCACTACATATGATGCTCAGCACGATTCCCACCATCGCGGGTCCGACTATCATCTCCCTCTGATGCACGATTCGACGCTTCTCTCCTCGCGCACGTCTGCATTGCTCAGGCGCAGCTCTGCACTTCAAGCGTCGCTTTCCCACTTGATGGCTGTAGTGGAGCCATTCAAGACCACAAAGATGGAACACATCACTGAGGCACAGATTGCGGATGTCTGGTTTGAGACAGAGCAGGTGAGAAGAACTGTCGGTGACGTGGAAAGGCAGTTGGAAGAGGTTGGAGCGCTGTTGGACGGGTTTCGGGGACGGAAAGGGGGAAGACTATGAGCAACTCGCGTGGTGTGGTTAAGAGTATGATCTCGAGATGTTGAAGTTGAGTTGATGTCTTGAACGGATCGATGGTACTGGTTAAACGGTTTTCCTTGGCGATTCATATTGACCTTGGCGGGTTGGGTTTGGGATATGAGGTCATTGGATGGCTGTCGTTTTTAGTTTGCGTCTCGGATTCGCATTCGCGTTGGAATTTAAACGGGGCCGTGGCTCTTGATGCGAATTGATTGGATTGTGTTAGTCGAGCGCATTTTTATACGTGCCACAATCATCAAACTGGTACCACTGCTGTAAAGTATAGTCTTTAGATGGCTGGCGGACCAGTCGTACACGTTTGGTAGCAGGATAGTCGACTGATCATCATACATTGCCCTCTTGTACTTGCGAGGCGCTAAGGAAGTTTTGTGGTTTTTCTCTGTGGCCACACATTTTGTTGGAAGTTTGAAACATTGGAATGCAAGTTGATATGGGGGAGCTTAGGCCCACCAAGAGACATCAAGTCATCAACACAGCAGCATCGCAAGATTGACAGAGCTTTACCGTGAGAGGGAGGCACACAGGAAATAATCCAGATGCAACGTATTCTGGTGCGTGGCGAAAGCATGCACGACGCGTTCGCATTCGTTAAGCTTGTACCATTTGTACCATAGCGGCCGACGAGTCGCTGGTGATCTCCGACATGTCCGGGCGTTTCATCGTCACTACATATAAAGAAGCTGCAGCCAGCGTTATCGCATTACTGTCGGTTAATTGTTGGTGTCGTAAACCCCTCGCGGTCGGCATCTGGACAGGACACATCATCTATCGTGAAATCGACAGACGTCGCTCCACGCAAAAAATGGGTCTCCTACCCAGTCTTTCCGTTTCGGGCTTGATTCTTACATGCAGCTTAGCGGTAAGTGGTCGCTGCGACAAACATGCGAGCTTCGCGAAAATACACTAATATGCACCGTACCAGGGCCTCCTACACATCGTTGTTCGTGCAATCTACAATCTTTATTTCCATCCTTTAGCTGGGTATCCAGGTCCAAGGCTGCGCGCAGCGTTCAATTCCCCACACAACTATAATATATTCAACGGCAACATTGTGTACGCGTGGGATGCTCTTCACGAGAAATATGGCGACTTCGTCCGCATATCGCCAAACATGCTGTCGGTGACAGATCCGAATGCGTGGCGTGGTGAGTGATCCTGTCTGCGAGGGGGAAAGGTGCGGTACTGACGCATCGTTTTTCGCATACAAGACATTTACGGCTACGGCACTAAAAATCCGATCCCCAAATATCATGACTTCTATTTCGGAGGCGCAGGCGGAGTGGCCAATATAGTCGGTACGTCTTGAGGTATCCCGGTTGTAGTTTGGGAGGCTAATCAATGGTATTCAAGCGTCAAACGATGCCGACCATACTAGGATGCGCCGTCTACTGAATCATGCCTTCTCCGATCAAGCATTGCGCAATCAAGAACACATAATTCAAGGGTACATATCACTACTAGTGTCCAAGCTCCGCGAGAAAGCTCAACACAATGCCCCCGTCGATATCAATGCGTTTTTCAATTTCACAACTTTCGACATACTCGGCGACCTCTGCTTTGGAGAGTCATTCCATGCACTTGACAAGGGAACTTACAATGAGTGGATACATAACATATTCGACGGAATTAAGATTGTGCGCTGGCTTCATGTGATGAAGGCCTACCCAATCATCGGGGTACCGGTACTGATGGTATTGAAGCTATTCCCTCAGGTGGAACGGGTTAGACACAGGAACCGCGAATTTGCCGTCGAGCGAACACAAAGACGAATTGAGAGAGAGACCGACAGGAAAGACTTTATGAGGTAAGTTTGCAATCCCCACAATCTCCAGCATGCCCTAAAAGTCTCCAGCTACATCCTTCAGCACAACGGGGAGGCCGACAAAGGCATGACTCGTCCTGAAATGGACCGCAACAGCGCGATCCTCATCATAGCAGGAAGCGAAACTTCTGCGACGCTCCTCAGCGGAATCACCTTCCACCTCCTCAAAAACCCCGAATGGCTCGAAAAGCTCACCCATGAGATTCGAACCACCTTCGAGCATGATACAGACATCACTTTCACTTCGACCGCGTCACAACTCAAGATCATGAACGCCATCATCATGGAGACATTCCACATGTACCCTCCAGTCCCTGCCTATCTACCGCGCTGCACCGGTGAGGGCGGAGCCACTGTTTGTGGGAAATATGTCCCGCCCAACACTGTCGTCAACATCCCACAGTATCCAGCGAACCGCTCGTCACGCAACTTCAAGGATCCACATACATTCGCCCCTCAGCGATTTCTCAATGACCCCGAGTACGAACATGACAAGCGCTCAGTTGTCCAGCCTTTCTCTGTTGGTCCCAGGAATTGTATCGGACAGGTCAGTCTCACCTTCATCTTGTACAGAGTTTGTCATCAAAGCTGATTAGGAGATGTTATACATATAGGCTATGGCATGGTCTGAGATCCGAACTATCCTCGCGCGTTTCATATACAACTTTGACGTCGAGTTGCACGATCCGGCTACATCGTCCGACTGGGATAATCAGAAGGTGTTTATCTTGTGGGCTAAAGCACCTTTGATGGTGCGCTTAACTGCGAGGAATACCACTTAGTTAGATTCTTTTACTTCACGACTACGGCGGTCTGAGTTGGAGATTAATTAAAGGAACGTAAATATACTAGGTATTCATGATGGCATTTGGAGCACGCAACGATGCGTATGCAATCTTTAATTCTGGTCTACTTAGTCCCCACAACACTAGTGTCTTACAATGAGCCACCAGTTTGTTGACTTGCAATCATAGGAATTTAATAACAGAAGCTATCATGCCGGCTCAAGGATTTCTGAGATCAGTCCGTTTAGCTACTTTCCGTCGTTCACTTTCAGATTTGTGTGTCGCCCTCTGACTCGCATGAGAACTCACACAACATTTTGCATCAAGCACACGGAATCACACGTCACCCTCCAGTGCTTCTGAACGCTTCCATCGCCCTCCAGTGCTTCTAGACACTTCCATATCGGAATAACGTAGTCCCGGCCGATAGCACGTGGTCTTGGCGCACAAAGTAGCAAACAAGTCGCAGCTCGTCTCCGTCCTCTCTTCCCCACCACCCTCCTTCTTCCTCCGTCCTCCCCCCTCCACCCTCCCCTCACCTATCGACATGTCACTTCCGAGTTCCTCTCTTTTTCCAGTGCATTAGTCGCTTTTCATGTGCGTGTGTTCGTGCGCGTGCCTCTTGACTTCGGTCAACCCATCGCGGCGCTCCTCGGGCGGCCTGCTTATTCTACTATCATTCTCATGTGTTTGTCAAAACACATCCTGGCCCTTCTCACGTGTTGGCAAACACGGTCGGATCTTGTTGTAGCGCTCGGGTGAGTGTCTCGCTTGGTCTGGTCCTCTGGCTTTAGTCAAGGAAGAGTCGCCATCCTACAAATATTCTCATGTGTTTGTCAAAACACACCGACCCTTCTCACGTGTTGACAAACACGGTCGGACCTTGTCGTAGCGCTCGGATGAGTGTCTCTCGCTTGGTCTGGTCCTCTGGCTTTAGTCGAGGGAGAATCGTCGTTCTACAGTTCTTCGTGATACTGCTTTTCAATTTATATGAAAGTTGCTCGAGTACAATTGAGGAAAGAGTCATCGTTCAAAAGCCGATATGGGGGAGGATCAAGACCCTGGCTCTCTAGCACGCAAGTGCAATGAGTCGATTATCTACTGGCTCTCGTGGCTATCGCTTCCAAGATCTGGCAGGTCTCTGTGGCAGACAGTACCTGCTGGTGACAGCTTACCTTACCCATAGTGGTTCGTTGTTCGCTAAGAGGGTGATAGCTGTGGCTCCAATCGTATTGGATGTTGCAATCGAGCGAGGCTGGTAGGCTGTTCACCTGGCGAGTGGCAGCGACGGTACCAACGATGTTGGATGCTGTTATCGAAACCGATAGGCTATTCACTTGCGAAGTGAAGCAGTCACACAAACTCGTTTTGGGTGCTGCTAGCCAAAATCACTTGTTGTTTACTTGACATGTAAACTTCGGCAGAATCAACAACGTTGCCAGCTGCTACCAAGGCGGATGAGGGCTGTTACCTTGGAGAGTGAAGCCGTGGCTCCAGAAGTGCTTGGATGCCGCTAGAGACGGAATGCTGATCACTTTACAAGCGACAGCGTAAACGTTAAGCCGGGCGATTATAGTATGGCTATAATCACTGTTAGGGAGGGGTGGGGCCCTATCAGAGACAACTTCAAATTGTTTGTTTTCGCCAGGTACGTCTTATCGATGAACTCACGATGTCAGTGAGATTTTGTGAAGCAGTTAAACAGCTACGCTAATCGTACTACAGTGAGGTTGTTTGATTTCGAAGCGACGCACAAGAAATTCACGTCGGGAGACAGCAGACTGGCAGGACATCGACAAGGATTTGAGAGACTGAGGAGAGTTTGGGAATGGCTTATTTTGGATGGAGCGGGAAGGGTCAAGGCTAGCTATACCTCCGTAAAGAACTTTTAAATCAAATTCCCCATAGAAAGATCTTGTTGCCCCAAATGTGACCACCGTAGAACACTGTATGGCGAACATAGTTATCTCGCGTATGGGACCTGTTACTTTCTTTTCAATAGATCATGAAGGACATAATGATGGAGTAGCAACTGCGATTTTTTTTTTGTGGAGTAGCTGGCCAAGTCAAAAATCAATCGGTAATAATTCGCATGCTAGCTCCCATGACTGTGGTTTTGTGTCGTCTTTTTTGGGGTTTGCCTAATGCGTGGTTTCAGTCGATTTAGGCATATAGAGTGACACGAGTCTTCAAATACTATCATGTGAACTAAAACTGAGTCAAGAGCCAGTATTTGAGTCGAATATATGACGATGTCTTATATCGCAAACCATGCAATGCCATTTGAACACACTGACATCTTAGAGCTTGCCTGTTGAGACATTTATGGCAGTTTTCAGTTTCTAAGTGTAGCGTACGCAGGTGTTGAAGCCTACACGTTCGCTTGATGCACTTTTGTCTACGTTCCACCTCTGCTTCAAGAGAATAGTTATGTGTTTTGAGCCCACAGAACTTGCACACATATCTCATCTAACCTTTACTCTCTCCTCCTACAATCCCCAGACATATTCAAGCTTCCATCCTCGATATGTGCCAGCCCGCCCCACTCTTTCCCCACCTCAACAGGTAGTATGCAGTTTGACCCCAGCAACCATCCTTGCCTTGCCTCTGGTTCCAATGATGAACTGATCACTCTGCATCTCGAAATCCGCCTTCTCCAAATTCTTAAACTCAAAATCGAAAGCGAGCACGATCTGAGCAATGACGAGGTACATTTCCGCCCAGGCGAGACTAAATTATGCATTGTCAGTAAATCGTCTCTCCACAAGACACCGCCAGTTCCGCTCTATCCAGAGAAAAGAATGGAATGGTGACTGAAAAGCAGGAAGAAAAGTGAAGGGAACGGAGCATACTGCATCCCCAAACAATTCCTTGTACCCTTCGAGAATGGTGCATACGTCTTCTCCAATTGCCTCCGCTTCTCTAGATGCATCCATCGCTCCGGCACAAACGACAGCGGGTCCGGATATATACTCTTATCCGTGTGCATGAGGATAGTCGTCATACCGACAGGTGTGCCAGCAGGTATGCGCACATTGTCGTCGCCGTAGAAAATATCTCGATCAGGCGCGATGCGCGCCATTCGGGAACCGAGAGCGGGACTTAGGCGCATACCCTCCATGATAATACATGTGAGATACTGAGATTGTTCCAGAGATCTGAGTTTGAGATCAGGGTAAGCGGGGAGTCCGTCGGCGGCTGAGGAGGAAGCAGCGAGGGGTGCGAGCTCTTCGCGAAGTTTCGCGAGGATGGGTGGGTTTGCGTAGATGTGGTAGATGATTAGACGAAGTGCGCTCGCGGTTGTTTCAAAGCCCGCGCCGGTTATGGTGAAGACTTCGTCTGCGACGCGCTTGTATTGCTTTTCGGGGGTGGGGAGCTTGGAGTTGTAAATTTCGTGGACTATGGTGCGGGAGGTTGAGGGGTTTGATGAAGAGGCTGCATCCTTGAGGAGGTTCTTGGTGTCTTGTTCACTCTCCTGGTGTAATGTCAATATGACTACAGTGGGAGAAACAATGCCAGATTGAGGCCCTGTGTACGTGCCTGAACATATGATAAGAAAGCTGTCGTGCCGTCATCCGCGATCTTGGTCATGATGCTTGGAGAAATGGACCGCATCAGTGGACCGAACCACGGTACGTGTTTTGTTATACGCCAGACCGAGCCTCCTTGTTGCAGCATGTTGGTAATCTGAACACTAAAATCTTCTTTTCTTAGGTTTTCATACGCTTTGTCCATCAGAAATTCGCATGCGATGTCGCGTGTACAGGCACTAGTAGCTGCTCCGAGATCTACTGTTCCGCCTGTCGCAGCAAATTCTGAGAGTCTTTCGCGGAGTATGATTATGCTGCGGTCCATCATTTCTTGTTGGGTGCCAACTCTCGCCTTGGAGAAGAATGGATTCAATGCAGCACGACGGGCTTTGTGGATATCGTGAGGTCCAGAACTAGGTTGAATACCAAAGTCATTGTTAGCTTCAATTGTGAACGAGGAAAACAGTATCGTGGGCTTCATTACCAGATCGCAGATCCTGGGGCACTGAAGGCTCTATAAGACCAATCATATTTATCCCAGCGGCCATCTTGACGGTAAAGCTTCTCAAAGAAAGCAGGATCGATCACATGCAATTCGTGGGGACTGATGCGAATTATAGGCCCTTAGCACCACCGAACACATACCAAGTTAGCGAGGCTGCCAATTGAGAGTTTCTTCGTGAACATACCATATTTCTTGTGCATTTCTGCAATCTTGAATGTATACTGCCCGTTGCGGAGAACGTCATAGTATACTTCATAGTAACGCGTAATAGCAGCCAGTTTCGGGCCTGGGATTCGAGCAAGTGGATGCAGTGTCAATCGGTAAATCGAAATAGTCACAATATACACCAGCACCATGGCTGCAACATTCGGCCAGGAAAGCACATGATCGCGGATGAAAGAACCGCCCTCCATAGTGAAAATTCGTGCAGGTTTTCGCAGCGCAGAGACTCGATGGTGGCTGTTTTGGCGCGACTGTTCCCGTTGTATACGTATATATTTATATAGCCTCACTCCCCATCACAGACCGGAACATAAACCTGTACTTGGTAACGGACCTTACCCGAATAATAACTCGATGCGATACGGAATGAGGAACTGTGTATACTCCACAGTTGAACTTTCTCTAGTTTACTTTCGTGTTCGCCTGCCCTTAACGAACTTTCTGTGTGATGCGCCGTGGGAGAATACGAAATACGAAAACACCTCCGCTAATATGAGTAGTTCATTGGTATTGTGTATATGTTGCATAGAATGGTTGCACATATAGCCAAAGTTACAAGCGGAACGAAAGGTATGGATGGTCCTTAATATATTGTGGCTGCAATTATCACTCAACCAGTCCTTCTCGCCTTCTGCCAGTGTTTGGCCACCTGTACCTATAACCCTCCTTATTTCACCTTATTCGCCACTGCAGAAACTCACTCAGATCTCCCTGAGGACTTGCCTGTTTGTTTTCTATAAAAGGGTTGATACTTTCTGAAGCGTTGCATGATTTTCAGCCCCGCGATTCAAGACACCTTCCCAATAGGCAAGGTATGTGTTCTTCCCCCAGCCATCACAGGCTCCTACCTCTATATATAAGTATAAACTCATCAGACTAAAGGAATAAACTTTGATGCCCTCCTTGTCCGTATCGTTGTACCTGTGTTTATGCCGCATCTTATTAATCTTGATGCCCCCAAACTGACAACCCCACAAACTACTCGCTTGTCCTCTGAAACGGACCTGAGTGTAAGATTCTCTCTGTGCGCAATGAATCCTGTAGGTATTCTTATACGTACCATGGACCCGGAATAATCAAATATGTAAATGAACACCACAATACGTCAATTCGTCGCTTGTCAATGTACTGAATTGTTCATCACTGATAAAATGGCATCTTAGTTTCATTTCACGAAATTTCAGCGATATCAGATGTGTTCTTTACCTAAGATTATAAAAAGCTACACCTTGCTTTGAATCTGGTATGAATCTGCGCGAGATCCCAGCATCGTGAACTGTACGTTGTAATTTGGGTGACCCTACACAGAGCGATGTTGTGACAATAATTGAACCAATTAGATTCCAGCTCTATGAGTTTGAATGACCTTCTAGTGCGCCGCTTACTGACTGCACCTCCTCACGTGAACAGATTTTAAGAACATTTGAATGTATCTAGGTACCGGGACCACAGAATCAATAAACGAACATATCACAGAAACGATGTATTTGAGTTCTCAGTGCAAGAGGATTTACTTGAAAATGCCTATACCTAAATCCAATCGCCAAAACCCCAGTGTTAGCTATTGTGTAACTCGAGGTTACAAGCCAAGACTATACCGTCGCATATGTCCAGCGCCCAGGATATTTGAGAAAGGAGAAACCGTCGCAAAACCCAAACATGAACAGACAATGAAATTAGAACAGATAGCTAAGACATTCCTCAGGCCCACACAGCGTCTTTGGCCCTCTTGCTCCCGTCTCGAAGAGGTGGCGTAGAAATGACATGAGTCCAAGCTTCCTTACCATCAATGAAGAGTCGGTAGTTCAGCAAGCTCTGCTCGCTATGACCAGGAGCGGTGATGTCGACGGCCCCAAACTTGCTATTACCGTCGGGGAGGTACTTGATGCACACATCCTCCTCGTCCATCTCGCTGTACGTGCGGAAGGGAAGGTAGAACATGGACAAGGGACTGGTGCTGAACTCGTGCACCGTCGCGCTGACGGGCCACTCGGAGTCCTTGGGCGGGGGGAATGAAGTGGCGGCAAATTCGTGGCGGTCACCGCTGAGAATGACGACACCGACGCCCTCTGTGGAACTGAGCTCCCAGGCTGCTTCCAGAATCGCTCGCCGTTCAGCTAAGTAGCCACCCCAGGTATCCTCGGTACCAAACCGCCAGTTCTTGGTGAAAGGAACCCCTGTGACGATGAACTTCCAGTGAACCCCGCGGGGTGGGGATTTGCGAATCCAAGCCAGCAGGTCCTCCCGTTGAGTTTCTCCCAGCATAGTCTTCGACTCATCGTTGGGATCAGGGTTGGCAGGGCTGCGGTATCGACGCGTATCCACAAGAAAGAAATCAGCTGGACCTTGGGTGAAGCTATAATAGGTATGCCCTTTTCTATGCACAGGTGGGTTGACAGACCCGTGATAGTGTTCGAATGCGTCATACGCGGGTACTGCTACACCAGTCATATTCCCACTCCAATCGTTTTGGATCTCATGATCATCAATAACATGGATCCACGGAAGATTCTCGCTGACGGCAGGCCAAGACGGGGACGAATAAACCTGTCGGTACTCGCGACGATAATGTTCTGCTTCTTCACCCAATCGCTGGGGCACGTCAATGTAGATGAAGTCACCTAAGAAAAGCATAAAGTAGGGACGGAGTTGAGGCAACCATCGAGCGAGGTGGTCCATTCCTGGGAATTGGAGTGCATGCTGGAATGGCGAGTAGGGCACGCGTGGCTTGATACAGCTCGAGTGGACGAAAGTGAATTTGTCGTCTCTACGGAGCGATATGTGTCCTGGGCGGGGAGGAGTTGTGAAGGATCCGGTGGTATTTCCGCTCGAAGTTTCGATGATGTATTCGTAAGGCGTGTCCGGGCGCAAGTGGTCGAGTTGAACGGCAGAAGTGAAGTCGGTGTCTCCGGTCAGCCAATAATCTGGTTGGCTTGCGGGCAGGGTCTTGTGCATCCACGAGCGAGGCTGCTCATCCACCGTCCGATAAAGAACCCTGATGTCGAAAGCGTATGGCTCCCTGACCAGGATATTGGCACTGGTATCGGAGACATAACCCAAGCGACCAAAAGATGCGTTCTTACATGAATGCAGCACCGGCGCACGGAAAATGACGTCGGCAACCATGGCTAACAATGCCATATTGATGCCAAAAGTAATCCAGCTCCACACGAGAGAGGATGGACTCGGCATTCCGGTGAGCAGGGTGCGAAGTATTTTTGGCTGCCGCTCCTCGTATTGGATTGTCTCCTCCACGTCCAATTCCTTGAGAGGGCCATCTTCGGCTCCTTCTATCAAGTCGACGTCCGAGTCAGAGTTTGTGCTGTCGATGGCCTCTTTGACCACGATGTCAAGCTCATCGGTGATGACCTTGAATGGGCTTGTATCTTGGATGCTCTGGAAGAAGGAGGGCACATAGACGAGGGTGAGAGCAGTCGCGAGCGGAGGGACAATCTTGTGGTTGACGTTAGGATCGAATACGGGCGGATTGAGGCGCAATGGGGACGATGCTTACGGTGGTTGGTATCTGGGACAGTCAGCGCGACGAAACCAATACATTCTGGAAAATTGGACAGGGTAGCTAGCTAGCTGAAGCTTCGACTCACCCATCTGAGAAACACCCAGCAACTGAAGCGCAAAGCAACAGAGCTGATGAGAGAAATGATGTCGCTGTATGTGGCCATGATGCTACGTGGCTACCGTGACATAGCGAGGAGAGGTGCGTGGACAGGTGAGAGACGATGGCCGGTCTCGAGGTCTGAGGAGTCGCGTAAATGGCAGCCCACTGACGTAGGTCTGACCTGACTGTGTACCCGGTTCCGCCTAACCGCTTCGGCTCTAGTCTACCATTACATATGTCCAGGAACGTTGCAGGTACCCACCCCTCATGTGAGCCTCAATCTATCAACATGGACTGCCTAGTAGTCCCATGCCTGTCGTCTATCCATGACCGTTGCCAATATTAGCCATCATCTCGTTTACAGATGGCGATCGTGCGTGGCTCAGATCGGGGTGGCTTGCCCGTCTGATTTGGGTCGACCCAGTCACCAAACTAAACACTTTCACCTCTTAGTTGGATAACCACTTGCCTTGTCCTGATATGCCTTCAGAACTCGGGGTTTTCTATCTAACTTGTCTTCGTGATGGGTCATGCCGAGTCATTGCACTCTACGTGAGGCCTCAGGTGTATAAGAAGAATGGAGAAGCCAAGGGACAATGGCATCAAAAAACAACAATACTCCAACAAGCTTGAATCTTCATACATTCGCTCTTGATAATCTTGATATCTGCCTTCTTCTGGATACCTTCGCTCTATCTGTCTTTCACACAACTATACCCAGGGTTTCTACGCTTCTGTGCCTGATTTGTACTTTGTAATCCCCCTTACCGTCGATCCACTACCGAGTATGGGCGTCTTACACAGTTCCAACATCCCTCCACCGCCTCAGTGCCCCCAGTGCGGCGAGCCCAAGGGGATCGACCATGTCTGCAGCAACACACCGTCTTCCAGCTCTTCGTAGAGCCTCCCTTGACGCAACCAACGCAGCCAACGCAACCATGGACTCAGTCATCTGAAGAGGAAGGAGATGCAAAAGACAAAGCTCCACGCTCTGGAGCCATCTTCTCCTATGACATGATGGAGTTCCACCTTCCCGGCTTTACCACATCCGATGTACGACTCCACTGTGGATGAGCATCCTCGCCCAATGTGCGTAGTCTACTGAACCCTGCACATTGGGCGAGGACCACTGAACCGGGACGGCAAGCCAGGTACTATCGCTAGCTCGTTGGATCTTACCTGAACACTCTCTGGTATCCTAGAGTTCCTTCCTAATTCGATCAAACGCCTCTCTAGCTCTAGGCAAGGATCTCTCACCCGATCTCCACGGCTTGTTGTTCCCGTTCCTCGGCAACAGTGCCCCAATGAACAAGCCGCGGAATTGGAAATTGACCAGAGACACATTGCAAAATCTTGGTATGAGCGCCGGTTCATTTCAAGAGAGAGAACAAGCGCCAAGGTATCTGGCGAGGGATTTTCATGGAAGTTTAATTATAACTCACTGCCGTTTGGGTTGGTTTGGGCTAGTGGCAGCCCCCACGGTTCCTGTTTCTGGGGTCCAAAGGATCAACACGAGCAAGGAATGCGCCTTGTCCGTTGTGAACGTACGCTTATACGGCTATTGTTTCCAATAAAATGGGTCCTTTTGTGTTTTGTGCTTCTCGGATTGGCCAGTTGGATCCGATCAAATAATGTTTAATGTCTCTGGGGCTGTTTCTTTCATAAACACGTGGGCTTGTTTCTTCTGCGCTGTCGCATTATTTGTTTGTTTTTCCTTCTTTTTCTATTGCTCACCTCGGCTCATCCTCTATCTATTCCTCGTCTTTCTTTCCTATTCATCATCGGAGTCTCACTTCTGCCCTGTCCTCTGTCAGCTATGTCTCTCCGCCTTATACATTCCTCGTAATCATAATATGCAGTTTCAAACTCCCTTCCATATCTAGGTAGAATTCCAACTAGCTGACCCACTTTAAGCCAAATACCAAAAGTCTTTGCATCCAAAACCTAACCAACCCCACAGACCCCCAACCAAACAACCACCCCGAACTCCGGTAACTTCGGTATGCCTCGTATCCCAACCACGCCACATCCAGCATCGCCAGATTTTTTTCTTTCCGAGTCAACAGTCGCCAAGATGCACCACTGAACCATTCCAGTACGGGAAGGTGAACACGCCCTAGACCCACATCGTCTACAACTATTTAATTCTACATCGAGCGTATCATATAGGATAGCGTGGTGCAAGTATACAAGTACGTGCCTGAATATTTAACAAGAAACAAGCTAGATAAGTATCCCCATATCGAGTAGTATATAGAGGAATCCTTCTGAAAGCGTACGCTAGTCGGAATGTAGGAGGTCTGTTATAGAAAGGAGAGAGATCAGCCACCCAATCGACGACCCGTATCAACAATCCTCTTGTGTTGTCTTCTAGACAACCGCTAATGCTTATTGGACGATCATTTAATTCCCGCAGGGGCTCATCAATGGTTATACGGCTTGTCTCGCGCGAAACTCCGTTGTACGGGACGAGGAAGGCAGCGTCAAAATTGCGATCACTCCCATTCCGGACTATAACAGAATGCTGACATGCATGGGTCTTTCTACACACTGACGGGCAGACAGTAAAACATGTGTTTATCGAAGCATACGTGCTGCTTTCTCTCTTGCTCCACTCAATCTATCACTGTGGATATTCCTGTGATTGCAGAGCAGAAGTAGTCTTGGTGTTTCGACTACTTTCATGCCGACATTACCATCAAATTTTCAATTTAATAGCTGTACCGCCCGTATTACAGAGTACCAACAGTAAGTAAAATATGTCAACAAAGGAAGCTCTTCAGATAGATAACGAAGAGCTGGTGAATCGATATACACTTTTTGAATGCCTAGTAGTTTTTATTATTTTAGAGACCTACTTTCTCTCCCGTCACGATACTGATCATAATGATGCTTATGTAAAAGAATCTCTTTGGGTGTTGCACCTTGGCCCGGTGCTGAAAGCAAAAAATCCTCCTTGTGTGAATCTTTTCTGTAACCGCTCACTTTTTGTAGCCACCTTTTACCAGCCTTTTGAGTGTAAGAAACACTTCAACTTCCAATTGAAGAAAAAAAAAAGGAAATAATCGCAAGAATCTCAGGATAGATCTACCTGTAGGAACAGAAATCACACTCTCTGCTTGACTTTCCACCCCGTCACCGCAACCCTCGCACACCCCATAATCCCCGTTCCCACAGCCATCATACTCGCCCCCCAAACAATAGCCCCAACATAACTACCACCACTCCTCTGCACCAGCGCGCCAGCAATCGGTGGCCCAACTAAAGTTGCAACCCCCACGAATGCCAACCCCATCCCCGTCCTCGTACCCACTTTACTCAAATCCTTCGTTAGCGTTGTCAACGTCGCAGGGAACAACCCTTGAACACCCGCACTAAAGAACCCGTACATGCTCGCAAACGCGTACAGAGATGGCGTAGAAGAAACAGCAGTCCAACAGTACAAAGTAACTGTAGTAGCAAGACAGCACGGCAGAATGGTGTTGAGTGGACCGTAGAGACGATCAGCTAGGAATCCAGGGATGAGGCGACCTAGTAGGCCCATGCCGTTCATAATGAGGAGGAGATTGATCGAGGTACTATATGGCGCATGCAGGACATCTCTCGCGAACGAAGAAACGTAGTAGAAAGCGAAGAAGACACCCAACATGAAGACTGAGATCCCAATGACGTATAGTGCGTACGGTGGTTCACGGAACGCTGATAGTTCGAATAAGGGTGCGGATTTTCTTGGAGGCAGGCGAGGAGTGAGAAGGAAGGCGTAGACGGAACCTACACCTAGCATGAGGAAGGCCATTGTGCGGACTGTCCATGCGAATCCAAGGATAGGTAGGAGCTGGCGGATTATGGTTGGGTAGATGAGCCCGCCGGTTGCGGAGCCCGCGGCCATAATGGAGAGGGCGATGCTACGGTGGGACGAGAAGTATGTAGTAACGAGGGAGAGCGAGGGCGCGAATTGGAGACCGCAGCCGACGCCGACTAGAATACCTTGCGCAAGGAAGAATTGGTAGTAAGAGGTACAGATGCTGGTCATAAACATGCCCAGAGAGGCCAGGAGAATACCTGGAACGACGGACCAGTGGTAGTATCCGACGTCGAGGAGGCGACCGGAGAACATTCCTGTTGTTTTTAGAGTTAGGATATCACTTCTCTTTTATTCATGCTGCTGATAACTTGAAAAAGTGGGGATATCGACTCACCAAGTCCGAAATGGAACAACATCTGCATACTTCCAATCCAACTAACTGCACTCGGCTCCATCCCCAGATCTTGTGTGTAATACGTTTGAAACGCACCGAACGATGAGATCACACCCCAGGTATTCACAACCACGAGATGTCCCATGGCAACCTGAGTCCAAGCCTTGAGGCCCTTATCAGGAGGTGGTCCCGGATCCGTGACGGTGGCGTTAGAGCGCGCAGTGATACTTTTGAATAATGTCGCTGGTATTGGCCTCTGAGACTTGTGGGTGGGTATTCTGGATATTTCTTCTCCTTGTTCTGGGTCATTCTGGCGACGGGGTTCTTGGACATGTGAAATCGATGGCGATGAGTGGACTGATGAAGCAGTAACATTGCGATCGAGTGCTGGGGGCCTGGCCTCTCCGTCACCATTATCGACAACGCCTTTCTCTACATCCGCCGTGGGCGGCGCAAAAGCGGACATATCCTTCTTTTGAATCTATTGATTGATCTGAGCAGCAGAAGCAAGTGCTGTAAGGGTAAGCCGATAACGGGTCCAAAACTAACAAACAAATGGAGTACCCCAGCCGTGCTAAATACTACTACGGGAGCGAACAGTCATAGTGTGGAAGCGAACAGTCATGGTATGGGGTTATCGTAAATCTCCACAATTGAGCATCGATTGACCCGAGCTTAATAATGCACCGCTTTTTCCGTACCTTGCATGGATCAAATTATTGTCCTCATTGGGTTTCGACATGCTAGTCTTGCCGTTCAATGCGGGGAGCGGTGTGCTTTTCCGACTGGGCAGACTAACGATAACAGACTGTCTACAGACGACTATACCACCGGATAATCGAGGCCCACGGCGGAAACGTCATGTGATTCGCATCAACATTGTTTCCCACATGCATTTCATACGTATGTATTGTTTTTGTGACTTTGAAAATGTCAACTGTATACGCTACAAACTACCAATGGTGAGTGCCAACCAATTGAATTATTAGATGTCGCGATCCGGGATGGCCATTGGAACTCTGGATGCAGATCCCACCATAACAGCTTCAAATGTTGGTGGGAGTCCGATACAATGGTCATAGGTAAGCAGCCTCACCTGGGCGGATCATCCAGTTTACATAAGCCACTCCTCAGGACTTCTACAATAGGATATGCGCGACAGTGCTTATTAATTCCGCAATCCTTCGAAGCAATTACACGAATGCTAAAACGTCATATGCTATATGCTGTACGATCATTGAACATCAAAACTGAATTTGACAGGGTACTTTTGCTGGCGAGGACTTGGAAACCGAACTATGTCATTGATGAGATCGATGGGTTAACAACGTACGATGATATGCTAGACAACAAAAGTGCTCCGAGTCATTTCTCTTTCCAACATGCGTACGAATAGAAAAGCAAGCCGAAACAAGATAGGGTGAAACTTTTGATACAACCGGTATGTTGCGGGGATGGAGACCGACACCTGAATGAGATGCCAACTTTTAGGAAATGGAGAACACATAAGAGCAAGGGATACAAAAGATGCGAAAGGGCCCAGAGCGGGCGGTGAACCTGGGAGAAACAGGAAAAATCATGTGAGGAAAACATATGCATAACATGATGACGCGCAGCTTCCACACTTCCCTTTCCGTCGACTTGCATGAGCCTTGACGTAGATTGTACGGGGAACATGTCGGGGAAGCATGCGACGTCGAATCGAAAAACAGCGATTGCCGCGGCGACTTTGAGTTTTCAGGGTAAGCAGTAAGGGCAATTGAAGAGATATGCAAAAACCCCAACATGGCTGAGAATATTAGACAATTGCTCGTGCTGGCGTGGGGCGTGTGGGAGACCGGTCACAGGCCGTCATGTTCTCCCCACGCTTGGCTGTAATCAGCTTCCATCGCGGAATGGAAAAAAAATCGTTTCATCGGTCAAAGCCACGGTGGTATCATCTGATTCGCACCTGGGAACAGTCGAGTCCATGCCACCTCTCTTTCGTCGGCTAACCAGGCTAATCAGGCGTAGACAATGCGCCATTTTCACCGTAGCCGCGCAAGGCAGCTAGAGCTCGTTCCAGCTCGCCATCACCCACGGTGACAGTGCCAGCGCGCGCTGTACTCAAATAACTCATCTCAACAGGACTCTCGAGCTGACCGGACGTGGCTCCTACTAAGCGCCCAGCAATGCCGCAGACGATGCCAGTGCTCTCCATTGGAAGTCCACGGAGATCAAGCATGATGGGGATGAGAAATTCGTCTTTGGCGCCGAGTAGAATGTCGGGGGCAAAATTCCCAAGCAGGGTTTCGTCGAGGAGGAGCGACGCGGGCTCGCTGTCGGTCAAGGTGAGCGATAAAAATCTATGATGCGGTAGCGAGATGAGGCATTTTACAAGCCCGAGGTGAAGTGCATCATCGGCAGCGCTCGTCGAGCTGCTACGATTTCCATTTTGGTGCATCCCGTTAGTGCTGTCTTTGCGACCCGCAACCTGCACCAAGCGCAAGTTGGGGTCGACTGTCGGTTGTATGTTGCAACGTTTGAGAGTTGCAAACGTGCGCGTTTGAAGCTCAGATACTGTCGCAGGAGGCGGCGTACCAGGAGCTTGCAGCTCGACAGATGGGGTAGACGATGTTTTCCGATTGTGTGCACTGGGGTTAACGTAGGACGACGTCTGATCTTCGAATTGAAATCCACGTTCCTCCAAGGCACGGACGACCTGAGACCTATGACGGTTGGAAACCAGTATATAGTCGGAGAAATAAGTCGTAATGAAGAAAATGGAGCTATTCACAGTTAATCTCGAAACCGAGCAAAAATTGGGTTGACGTCCTTACATTCCAGCCAAAGCGAGCGGGCTTGTTAATTCGAGAACACGCTGACCAGCGTCGAGGCCTTCTCCGTCGATCTGCATCACAACATAATCCTCCTGGGTGATGGATATTTGCTTCCTTTCATTTGGGTCCAACGCGTTCAGCACGGGGACAAAGAGCTCGTCTGCAAGCGCCCGCGAGCACACAACGGAACATTCGACAGGAGTGACGGATATGTTGATAAAAGGATGCTCGTAAGGCCAACCCTGCGGCGGCAAAACAGCACCGTTTCCATTGCATTGGACGCTGTTGCTGCGTGATTCATTGGGAAGTAGGAGCTGTAAAATTGGCTGGAGGAACCTTGGGTAGAGATTGAGAGGAACGTGAATAAGAGCCAGCTGGGTGTCCTTGAATGCGATCATAACGTCAGCAGCAGTTGGGATTTGGGGGTGAAGATCATATGGCAAAAAGAGATCAAGGCTGGGTAGGTGGAAGTTGGTGCAGCTATTACGAGATGGGAATGAGGCATTTGTTGGGTAGCGAGTGGGACAGGAGACACGGACAGAGAACATACCAGAAATTGTATATGCGCACTGAGCAATGTCATGGAAGCCTCCATTACGTGCCACGACTGATAGATAAGAATAGGGTCTGACTACGATTGACAGCCGAGCCTGTGAAGGCAGCGGGAGCCTACAGGCGTCTAACCGTTTAGGTCGGATCGGGACAAGGGGGGGAAGGCCGATGAGGCTGGGGAAGTACGGCCTATGGACGTTGGCCCGAAGCAAGAAGCAATCAACCAAACGTATCGGCTGCTGAGAAGGCAAAGAAGCAATTTGGTTTCGGAGCAAGCCGGGGTCTGTGAGACTGATGGCGGTAGTGGGATGTGACGGGATTTCTCTTTGGATATGCGGGGGTATCTCAGCGGTTTACGTGCTCTTGTCCAGGTTAGTGGCATTTGTGTCGTGAGGAATTCCAGAAACTCACCTTGTCCTACGGGCCAATGGGTAGTACTGTTTTTGAAGTTCATGCCAGTATATCACGGAATTTGGACGGGCTTGGTGGTGCAAATGCGGTGGAGCTGGACTATGTATAGAGGCCTGCAACAATCACGGTATTGACAGCAACAGTGGTAGGGCCGAAAGCGTGGAGGTGGAATTTGCAACAATGGACCGGCAAAGGCGTGGTAGGTTTGAATGTCAGAGTACAGCAAGCGCAGGGGCGTACCACGCAGCACGAGAGTCTGGGGTAAGAGGTGCAGCGTGGGGAGATGCAGGCCTGGCGTTGCACAATTGGATGGCCGAGTCGGCAAAAGCTCGCCTGCAGGAGTGGCTGCACCGTCGTTGAATCGGGACCTCACAAAGCGCTGCTAGCCGGGTGAGGGCGTGGGGTGGACACGATGGATGATGATGCTGTGGGAGCCAGGCACCCTGGAGCGGAGCGGCTGGTGGGCGGGTACAGCGGCTGGCTGGTGGAGAGTGAATGATGGGAGGCAACGATGGTGGTGGTGGTGGTGGTGGTGATGATGATGATGGAAGTGGCTGGTGAAGGGGACGAGAGCCAAGTTAAGGGAACAATGAAGCAGCAGCAGCACTCCCAAAGTTTACCCTCTACGACGGGGAGAATGGGAGTTTAATAGACGTTTCAGTGCGCCTGCGAAAGCGGAGCTAAGACTCATTGCAGAGAGGGAGGGTGGAGTGGATCTGTCCGAAATTTTCCTTCGTCGCTGCGCACGTCGTGGGCCGCCATGCTATGCCATGCTGGGACCGCGATAGCTGGCGGCTGGGTAGGGGAGAAGAGAAGAGGGGGTTGCCAGCGAGCAGACGAGACGGAGCATGACGCTCTGCTTCGACTCTGTTGTTCGCGCGTTCGTTGGACAGAATCAAAGGGCCGATGCACTCACTCTAATTGTCTCGTTGCTGCGTCTCACAGAGGAGTCATCGTCATCGGTAGACTTCCCCCCCCTCCCCTCTCCGCCCGTGCGTTGGAGTCGTCTTTCTTCCATCCGCCATCCTCAACCCTCCGTCCAGTCGTCCCAAGACGGCATCGTGACTTGGCCTGGCCATCCATGCTATCTCTCCCACGCTGTGCCTGTGCCTGAGCGTACCTGATTAACAAGGGCAGGTCGGCCTGCAGAGTTATCGCGACGTGATATAGGGCTGATACATGTACCCATCTAGCTATCTCGCCATTCATTTACTCGGCTGGCGACGTAGCCGCTGCCGTCGTCATGGCCACCATCGGCCGGTCCCTGGGCACACAGATGGGAGCGAGCGTTGCAAGTCGAGATGTGATTTACTCTACACCGATGCGACATCGACTTCATACACGAACTTGATTGTTGGGTAGATGAGGAGGGGTGCTACCCCGCAGTTGGCTGTCCGAGTCGTGTGCTCCCAACCACAATGTCATCTTTGTTTGTCCATCTATACATAGACCATAAGCATGCGTACGTATGTACGTACGCCCAGTTGTGAGCTCCTGGAGGAGCTGGCGCTTCATACAATCATGTGGTACGGATTTCCCCGGATTAACGGAAACCTGCATCAAGCGTCATCCACAGCAGCTCCCTCATATGGTAAGCCGACGAGTACACAGAGATGATGATGATGATGATGATGATGATGATGATGAATGTGCTGCAGCAACCCCTCTGCACCAAGCGAGCCTCTTCCCCGACTTGCATGCATCCCAGCAGGCTTCATTGCCGAATGAGATAATATCCAAGGTTTGCGCGGCTGCGAAATCAAAGATTGCGTGGGGGCACGAGATGGTTGGCTGGTCGGTTGGGGGGGGAATGGAACGACCCGAGACGAACGGCGGACTGGTTCGCTTCAACACACTTGGACCGACCTCACCTCACTTCTCTCTCTCTCTCTCTCTCTTGCCAGCTCATCAATCATGCAATAACTCGCGAGCCGCCTCCCCACTTCTATCAATAGTTCTAGCCAGATATTGCCTTGGGGAAACGGAAGTCATCCCGCTTGGTACACTCCCGCACACCTTTTCCATGCCCGATGAAGCATTGCATGGGACGGTCCTACAGTATCTCTCCTACCCCACGAAAGCCAAGACTAGAATCCGTTATTCCCTTCGCTCACCACAACCCCAACCAACCGCGTTGAAAAGAAAGAGAGGGACCACGGACAGATATAAGTGGAGAGGAACAAGCACCCGGGATCATCCCACCGGCTTCCTCTTCGTCATGACGCCAGCCACCCAAGAACGAGCATCTCCCCTCCTTTCACCGTTCCACAACATGCTACGATCATGCAATCGAGGCACGAAAACCCGCATCCAATCTGCAATCTCCTTTCTGTTGTCCTACCCTCCTTCTATCCCCTTTCCCTCATTATCCCATTGGTGAATGATCCAGATCCAACACCACGGCACTATTCGCAATACTCTCACGACATGGCAACCCGCATTCAACACGAACAAGAATCACATCTCACTGCATGTCTGTTTATAGTAATTCGGGTCTTTGTCCCATCCCCATGATGGGTGGCTGCGGCCATCAGCCACTCATTTACAGCCATGCCGTGATCGTTGATGCATAACATCCTTTTCCCTACATACATGCTTCTACCCCTCACGGCCATGATGTCGGTCGGCTCCGTCTGTGTGCATGTAGCCCAAGTCGCCGTCCGCACCATGCTGATCCCTCAATCCCCTTCGGCCGCGTACATTTGAAACATTGATGATGCAATGCCTCGTCTTCGCCAATTAATCGTTCGTTTATGCTGCACCCGTCATGACACCGATGAGTGTATTCAAAGAGAAGAAGTGGGTGAGGCAGAAGATGGGTGGATATGAATCTTTGTTGCTGTCTGTCCTACATAGAAGTGGGTTCGTTTCCCCAGCAAAGATCCAATCCCCCCCTCAGATCTTGAACTGTAAGAGAAAAAAAAATCCCCGTGGAATGAATTCAATCCCGTGGCAAAGTTGGTAATTGTGCCATACGCGTTGTCATTTTTCTCCTCTCGTGTATTCGCCCAAAAAAGAAAACTCCATAGTGAACGCCTGGATGGTATTCCCACACATCTAAAACATATGCTCACGCACAATCATCTCCCCTTGGCCGTTTTTTTTTTCTCGTTTACTGCTTCTCGGCGACCTTGTTCTCTACCCCAGTATTAGTATCGTGCCCTATTTTTTCCTTTTGCGTGCCAATCCACTAGTCATGAATGAGGCACCGTGATGAGACTCACTCTGCTGGGTCTGGTAGGGCAAGAGTCCGTGTCTCTTCTTGATGGTAACGCGGTGTCGCGAGTAGGTGTCGTCGGGGGAGAAACGCGCAGGGTGAGCAGAGTCGGAGATGACGCCGTCAACGACCTTCTTGAGCGTGTAGATGCGCTTGCCGTCGGCACCGGTCGTGTACATGAGATGCATCCTGCAGAGCAGAGAGAGGTCAGTATAAGCTGTCCCTAATTTGCAATCTCCAAGCTCTTTGTCTACGAAAGTGCGACAAAGTGCACATTTCCCATGATGCGCGCAGCAGATGGATCCAGGAAATACCTACTTGAATGAATGAATGAAGGGTAGGAAGTAATGTATATGACGGTAGTGTATGCGACGTAAGTCTGATTATGTCGTTGCGTGGATGTCGAACGAAAGCTCCCAAAGCTACACTTAATTTTTCGCGAATCCGCAAAAATTCAACAGAGCTCTGTCTCCCCCGAGCACCCGAGCTCTCTTGGCGCATTTGTCCCGTTTGCACACTAGCTCGCTCCCTCGAAAGCTCCACATCACCATCATCGCTCGACTCGTCTCCCCACCACTCTCACGAAACACCTTTCGCAACCAACACCAATAAGTTGTATATATCGAAGTATCCAACTCACGAAATTATTTCAAAATGGAACTCCGGACTATTTTCTTGCTGCTTGCAAGCTTCCTCACTTTCGGGGCAACGAACGCGCAATTCGGCTTCTTCGACCAAATGTTCGGTGGTAGCGGCGGCGGGCACCAGCAACAACAACAAAACGTACGCAGCGATGCGCAGTGGTATCAATCGCAATACGAAGGAGGTGAGTCCCTCCCTTTATACCTCTCTATTTCATTCCTTCCATCAACACAATAGTTCATCCCCTCATCAGACATGTGGAACACTTGAACTAATCGCGATATACAACAGCGCACTGCGACAAATACCTGTGTCCCGGCACACTCTCCTGCGTTCATTTCCCCCACCACTGCCCATGCGCCTGGGAGACTGTCGAAGAGAAGGCAGAGCTCGGCGATGGCATCTCGATTTGTGCGAGTAAAGGTGGTTATAAGGAAGGTGAGACGTTGAAGAAGATTGAGTTGGCTAGGAAGGGGCTGCTATAAGACCTCGGCTTGTTCTTGGTTTGCTTTTTAGACTTATGCGGTTTTCGTCGGAGCCTATTTGTTGATTGTATTTATTCATTATTTCGGGTAGATGTGGTACTATGAGAGCATGAGAAATGGCGAATGGCATACTTTCTCTTGCCTAGACTGTTGAAGGAGTGAGTTTTAGATACTGCGGAACTCGACATGTAACGAATTGATGCTGAAGCTCTGCTGGGCAAAGATTTGTAGGAGCAGATCAACTGTGAAAATCCCTCGAGTAAATGTTCATCAATTTCATTTCCTCGTAGCGGTCATTACCAATAAACACCAAATAGCCCACCACGCAACGCGCAAACCCTATGCAAAATCCCCAAAAACAAAACACGCATGCAACAGGAAGCAGTCAAGTATCCACAAACTCAGGACCGACGCACATACTTGTACTTATACCCCTGCCCTTCGTCCTCATCCGCAACACCAACTTCCTGTCTCCCCCATTCTCTCATCAGCGCTCTACCCAGCAAATCCCGCTCGCCAACAGCTTGGCTAACGCTACCCGCCCATTGCTCATCGCGCTTCCCCACGACGCTCTTAGCCTTTTGCTTAAGCACTTTGCTCACCATTGCCGCGAGTCGCTCATCCATTGCTTTGTTGACCGCTTCAAAGTCTTCTTCGCGTAGTCTTAGTTCGTTCGTGAGTTTCTCGTTTTCGCGGCGGAGCGCGGAGATAGAGGCATGGAGCCGGTCTTCGGCTCCCGCCGTCGACGTAGAGGAGAGTTGGTGGATTTCGGTTTTGAGGCGTATGGTTTCTTTGCGGAGGGAGGTTGTTTCTGATCTGAAGGATTTGAGGGTGGAGGATTGTTTGCGAAGGAGAAGGCGGAGGTGTTCGATTTCCGTATCCTTCGCATCGTCATGAGACGACGATAATATCGAGCTTTCTTCGTCGGAGAATTCCAGGTCGGTTGAGTTTTTTGCGTTCTCGGCGCGAAGCTGTTCAATGTCGTGGGTTGCTCTTTTCAAGTCTTTGGCAATCCTCTTCTTTTCGCTGCGTTCCTGCTCGAGAAGATGGCCAGCTTTCCTAACTGCGTCTTCGGCTTTGTCGCGCACCTGTTCCATCTGGAATTTGTAGTCTTCAACGAGCTCCTCGTGCTGAGATTTCAGATCGTTGAACCTAGATTCCAAGTCGTTTTTCGCATCCTTCGTCTTGGCTAGCCTTCTCTCGACGTCTGCTACCCTTCGATCCGCTTCGACACGTGCATCTTGAAGGCGCTCACCAGCATCCTCAAGATCTTGTTCGAACTGCTCAGCATCCGCTTGGGTTTTAGCACTTTTCTGACGCGCTTCTGCGATCTGTTGGCGAAGAGTGGCTACCGTCGCTTCTAGGCTTTGGGTGCGGCCGTGCGCAGTATTCAATCGTTCCTCGAAGTGTTCATGTTCTTCCATACGCTGCAACATCTGATGGTCCTTGGTACCTGCGTCGTTGCGGACTGCATCCAATTGCGCTCGCAGGGCGTCCACTTGAGACTCTAGTTCACGCATCCGTAGTACTTGTTTATCTTTGGCAGCAATTTCCGCTCGAGAATCCTCCAGACGTTTCTGGAGACTATCCAGGCGCTCTTCGTTTTCGGATGAGTCCTGCAGTCTTCGGTTTTGTGCTTCCAATTCTGTCTGCGCCCCCAAAAGCTGTTTCTGCAGGGAGTCCTCGCGAGAGTGTAGGTCTTCGACCCGAGATTGCAGAGTTTGATTCTCTGTTCTGGTGGACGTTTCGAGAGCAGCGCTCTTCTCAGCTTCGTGACGAGCAGATTGTGCTTCTGATGTCGCTCGCTCGAGTTCCGCTTGCAAGGTTTGAGCGCGCGACTGTAAAGTAGAAAGCTGTTTCTGCATGTCGTGCTGTGCTGGGGGGATTTCATGGTGGGTCATATGGTGTTCTTCTGGGAAAGTAGACCTCATGTCCTCCAGTTCTTCTTCGTGCGATGATCGGAGCTGACTCAACTCGGTCTTCATTCGTATGAGTAGTCGCTCCCTCTCTTCCCCTTTTTCGTCCGCAGCGCGTTTTGCATTTTCCACGGCTTGCAGTTGTTGTTCGAACTCATCTCTTTGGTCTTGTGATTTTGCAAGATGTTGCAGTCGCAACTCTTCTTTGTACTCTTTCATACGGGACGCCATCTCTTCTTCTTGCTTCTTCACTCGATCTTCCAGTTTGCCGCGCATATCCTCAGCTTCCCTTTGCAACCTTTCTTGTTCGCTTCGTAAGCTCTGGATTTGAGTCTTGTGTGTGTAGGTATCGTTTCGGGCGGTTTCAAGGTCAGAGCGAGTATAGGAGAGCAATGTCTCCAGTTCAGTTATGCGCGTCTTAGAGACTAGTTGCTGTTGCTCCAATTGCGCTTGCAACTCCTGGACCTTTTGTCGCAAATCGTCTCTTTCCTCTTCCACGATACGTTGTGGCGGGTGGTGTATCACAGTTTCTTGTGTCGGTTTCCGCGGTGTATCGTAATCCTCAACGGTGGGCTGGAGCGACCGTGTTTTTGCAACAGAGGGACTCGGAACTTGAAGCATGCTCTGCTTAGGAACTGGTCGCGGCGTGACCGGCAGAGGACGTTCGCCAACGCCTGCATCGGGAAGGGCACTGAGATAACTCCGGACCTTTTCTTCGTGCTCCATGGATTCATCGGACGCGTCTTTGCTACCAGGTCGCTCATGCGAGACAATTGTGGCTTGGGCGGGCGGGTTGGTATCTGCAGTTTGATCCTGGGCTTTTTCTTGATCATCGACAGTCTTGCTTCCTTCCGACTCTTGCGTCGCATCTCCGCGCACCTCGACGATATTAAATTTTGCCTCCTTCCGGGACTTGACTTGGCGTGTTATAGGGAGCTCCGCGGTCATCCAGTAAGTCATGTTCATGGTGAAGTCTTCTGGGCCATCGATGTCGCTCGTTTCTACAACATCAATCTTTGGTCGCTGGCTCTCGTCGAGCTCGGTCGATTCGAATGTGGAATTTAAACCTAGCGCGTCTAGGTCCATTTCGTACTGTGAACCATCTTCGGAGGGCTGACGCTCTGGGCTGCGCCGCGGTGATCGCCATCGCTGCGGGCTTGCCGAATACGTGGAATTTGTGCGTGCCATTGTTCATTCGCTCATCGCTGGTGAAGGAAGAATGCGTTCGCGAGGATGGTTGTTCGGATGTTGATATGTGATAAGAATTGGTTGAGATCGAGTCGTGCGTGTTTGTTTGTTGATCAAATGCTTTGACGTGCGCCACCATCCCGCACTTAGCGCGACCAAAGGCTGGGGACGCGTTTTCTCGCTAAGACTTACCTAGGTACCCACTGACATCAACGCTCGCTCTCTTACTTTCTCTCTCTCACCAACAACCCTCACATCTGACCATTCCTACGAATAATTGCTCTCTGCCCCGCATTCAATGGCGCTCTACTCAATTACAACGTTACTCATACGTGACTCTATTCCCATACATTTATTCTACCGTCATCCACGCAATGCCTCCTAAACGAGGTCGTCCGGCTAAGAGCGCCGTAGCAGCTGCTGCTGTCGCAACATCAACTCCAAAGCGGCGCGGTCGCCCGTCTCTCGCTGAAGCTGCCGCTGCTGTCGCGACTCCTGCGTCCATTGCGCAACCAAAAAAACGCCGTCGCCCCTCGAAAGCCCTCGAAGATGTCGTTGCGCCTACTGTCGCGCCCGCTGCCGAAGAGCTCAATGTGCGCCGTGGTGGTCGCGCCAGGAAACTGAACGAGATGGCTGCTCCCCCGCCTGCTGAGCTTCCCAAACGTGGTGTTCGAGCTCGTCAACAGCCTGCTGCTCCCGCTGAATCTGAACTCGTTGTAACGGAGCCTAAGCGTCGTGGACGTGCTGCAAAGACAGCCCAAGAAGTACCTGCAGCCGATCCCGCTCTTCCAAAGCGTAGAGGTCGCGCTCCCAAAGCCGCTGAAGTCCCGACTGTCCCGTCCTCCCCTCCCAAGCGCAAGGGTCGCCCTGCCAAAGCCGCCACTCTCGATCTCAACCGTGTTGCTGGGTCTCCACGCGTTTCCAAGCGCAATGCTGTTACCAAAAAAGCCACAGCTCCTACACCTCCAGCCCCACGCATGAACCCACTAGTTCGCTCCAAGTTGAGGACCCGTGTGGCACCCTCACCAAAGACTCAACCGCAAGAAGTTCTTCAGCCCAAGAAACGGGTTGGCAGACCCCCAAAGAATGCCGTTGCTACTCCTACAAAGAAGCCAGCTGATCGTATGACCAAAGGCGGTCGGGTCACCAAATCTACGAACACCGCGAAGACTGCTGCCTCCAAACCTAAGGCAACCAAGACTACCAAAACCGTTGCGTCTAAAGCTGCCCCCCGGACCGCCGCTCCAGTTAAACCGCGCAAGCGACGAGGCATCACTATTATGGAGGTTCCCGACAAGCATGCGAAATATCTACAGGATGTTCTGAAAGGTCTTCTTGAGCAGGATAAGGCTGATGCTAGAGCCGCCGAGGAAGAGGCGGAAATGGCAGACGATGAAGAAGACGTACCTCCACCACAGGAGCAGACGGAAGAGGCGGAGCGAGAGAATGCGGACAGCGATTATATTGCAAGCAAGTTGGCAATCGCCGCACAACTCAATGGTGACGCTCATGGTGGCGCAGAGGAAGATGACAACGCTCGCCCCGAAGACAGGATTATCGACTTGGTGGATGGAGCATATGGTGAAGATCAGGATGAGCTCGACTTGCCTGCTGCAGGAAAGCCTGCCACATTTTCCAAAAGCCGGAGTAATTCAGTAGACTCTGAGCACCTGACGGATGCGGAAGCCGCAGAAGAACAGCGAGTGGCCACCGAACAAGTGATTGTCGAAATGGACATTCAAGACGCTGAAGAGTTGGAACCACAAGAGCAAGACCGGACTACTGGAGTCCTCCAGTATCATCAGAACCAGGTGTCCGAAGTGATCGATATAACTGATGAAAACCAGTCGGGCAGTGAACAAGAGAACACTGGAGGCCCTATGAGGTTCGATGACATGGACCATCAGCTTATCATTCCGGGGGAGATGCAGCCCAGCGATGAAGACAACACCCCTATCAACTACAACTCTTTGTTTGACGAATCGCCATTGGCCACATCTACCCCGGCTGTCTGTGCTTCTAGTAAAGGTCCTGCACCCTCCTTCTCTACGTCCAGTGTCATATCGTCAGCATTCCCCTCGACATTTGGCTAGTTACGTTGAGATAGGCCACGGTCCATCGCTGAGATGCCCGTACGTATACTCTGCACAGAAGAATGTCGCATATCAGGACATGACGTAAATAGTACGCCGACAGTGCCCTGAGATTTGTGTAGATGGAATATGCTCATGTTTTACCCGGGACTCCAGGCTGTCTGATGTGCATCTTACTACGAGGATCTGCCTTCGTTGAGACCTTTGCTTGGTCCCTTTCTTTCATTCTTTCCCCACGGGATGGATGTTGCGTGGGTTCTTTTTTGAATACAACGATGCTACAATAGCTCCTTATTTTCTTTTCTGGGCATTGGTGATGGGATGAGCCATTTCATGCCCGGATTGCGATTGTATGATACATGGCCAGCGCGTCGAGCGAGTATTTTGTGTTTTGAGTGACGATAGAGCATCAATGGAAATATTACACGATGACTGAATTGACACGCGAGCTGAACAAGTTGTGAATTTATGGGTGAAGAAGAAGTACTCGTATACTAATTTGGTAAAGGTAGTGTCGATCACGCTTGACTAGATATCCCCGGATTGCTGAGAATGGGATACCCACATATTTTCAACTCTATCCGAACGACTTTTCTATCCCTGGCTAGGACTAGCCTACTGCATTCATACCGTGTTACATCATGAAGAGGAAACAGCCACAACTTGATTTGAACGATATAGCATACCCTAAAATCAGCGACCAATAGCATCGTGCAGCCCGGACGTGAGATTAGCTCAGAGTGGTTGTCGGACAGTAAACGTGAAGTGCAAATTCGGGTCTGCTTTTTTGCACTCTCATTGGCCTACCGTATCTCCATCCCGGAGTTACTGCCATTGATCCACACCCCACCCGACGTTTGCATTCAAATGTTGGTACGAAGCTACGAGCTAAACATATGAGATCCAGTATAAAGCTCAGCCGTATTCTTGCGAAACGGAAGGCATACATAAAGTCAATTCCATTGTCTACGAATTAAGCAAAATGGCCTCCATTGCAAAAAAGATTGTGTTGGTCACGGGAGGTAAACTCTTGACATGCACTTTAAACATCAATGATATACTAACAGCCTGGCAGCAAACAGCGGCGTAGGCCTTGAGCTGTCAGCCCAGCTTCTCTCCAAAGGCCATCATGTGCTTTTGGGACACCGGAATCCATCCAAAGGAACCACCGCTCTCCAGCATCTCCAATCTCTCAACCTCCCGGGTACCCAGGAACTAGTTCATCTCGATGTGACCGACGATGCTACCATCACAGCTGCCGCGTCCACCATCGCCAATACTCATGGCAAGCTCGATATCCTCGTTAATAACGCTGCTGTGGCTCTACCTCCGGGAACCACCGATCGCCTCCAGCTCCAGCAGGCCTTCGATACAAACGCCATTGGACCGTACGTCCTCACAAAGGCACTCCTTCCCTCACTTCTCGCCTCCACTGACCCCTCTGGAGCGCGCGTCATCAACATATCCTCTGGTATTGGTAGTATCGGACGAAAAATGGATACCACGTCGCCATTTCACAAGTTTGGTGGGGTGCCATATCGCTCAAGTAAAACGGCGCTAAACATGGTCTCTGCTTGTCAATATGTGGAGTATGGGGACTTGGGGATCAAAGTTTTCTTGTATGATCCGGGTTTCACAGTGAGTAACTTGAGCGAGAATAACACGGCGGAGAAAGGAGCGAGGTCCGCTAGGGAGAGTGTGCTACCTCTTATGGATGTGCTGGAAGGAAGGAGAGATGATGAGTGCGGGGGCTTCCTGCATAATACTGGGTCATGGCCGTGGTAGATGTGAGGATGAGCTTTATGCAATAGCACGTAGTTAAACATGGAAAGAGATTGCAATGTACCTCGTTAATTCCCGGCAATTCAAGTCAACAAGACCTGGTTTGGTACTCGCATCTGTCTGGTGCCCATGGACATGCTTATGCCACGCCACCTTTCCGCTTCAGATGTGGTTTCCTCATTATCATTATAGGCAGGAGCCGCGATATGACTTCCCATTACCAATCTTGTCTGAAGGATCATGGATCGTGCTGTACGACTTTTCTCTCATCCATCACACATCTTCTTTCACTGGCAACGATATTCACCTCCACAACAGTCTTACGTATTCTATCGTCAACAGCAAACCAAGGCCTATCGTTAATACACGCCTGCGTTACCGACTCTCTGCTTTCCACCAGGATCCTCTCTCGCTCCTCCCCCAAGGTCTTAGATTTCCTCGTACAAGAAATACAGCCTCAGTTACAATATGGAGCGTACAAGCAAAGAGAAAGTCGAGAGCTCCTCAGGTTCAAGCCAGCAAGCTGATCCCAGCATGCCTTCACAACAGCTCGAATCTACGAATCAATCTACCTCGGCTCTTAATCCACGCGCCCCGGCCTTTTCCCCGTCAAACTCGCCATCACAACCTTTGTCCTTGCCATCAATTTACTATCAACCAGAAATGCCAATCGAGGAATCGGAAGATACCGTATCAGACAATCTTGCACCTGCTATAGTCCATACTTGGCGTTGTCTTCGAATGATGTGTGAGAAGTTGAATGAGTCAATCGACGATTCAGGGACTCATGACGAAGTACGTGGATTCCAAATTACCTTATTGGACTATACACCCTATCACGACCCCCATCATTACAAGATCTCTGTAAGACTATCACTGACTGTCGAACTGAAGAAAGCAACGATGCCTCGATGGGTCGGTAATCCATGCATGCACTGCTACGAGCCCTCTGTCAATGAGTTCACTTTGCTTGTAAAGCTAGAATTCGTGTGGTTGCCGAGGGGTAAGGACTTTACGTTCGGGAGTTGGCAATGAACGGTTCGAGACACGGTATGTAAAGGTGGATCGAACTTCACAAAGCCTCGGGTGGTCGTTATGTTGGCACAAATTTTCTCTTGAAGTACAGCGCAGCTGTCCTTGTCGGTGTTGTTGTCGTGTTGCAAACATTGGTGAAGGTGTTCAAGGTACAGCATAGCTCATACAGATTCTCATTTTAAACACATGAGGACCTTCTTCTCGTGTGACTTTGCCTACAGAATGCGTCTTGATCTAATATTTTATTCGTCTTCGTCCCTGTATACGTCTGCGATGTTTGAATTTTCGATAATCGCTCGTTTTTTTGATCTAATTATCGTCATAACTATCGCTGTGTGTAGGATCACCCAAACTCCAGCTCAGAATTCCTTATTAGGTGCGCTAAAAATATGCTTATTATATTTGAGTTCTTCTCATATCTTCTCCTTTCTTTTCTTGGTTCCTTCTCAGGATCACGAGTACATTTAATAATGTCGTTCTGTTGCTTTTCCATTGCTCTCCACATGTATGACCCGGGGACTGACGATTGGAGAGTTGTGTGCACAATTCAGGATCACTTCAGGAATACGGTCATGGCGACAAGAAAGAGCGAGGGTAAATACCCAACAATTGTATCTGCGTATATCATAAGGCGAAATGACTGTCGATATTGGGGTTGACCCCAGCCAAGCTTACGATAAAAGGATAAAAGCGCCGACACCATGATTGATATCGGGAACATTATCCATGTATTTTCATAATATTACATGACTTCTTCTATATACTCAGCTTATCCCTCCCAGTACCACCAACTTCCACAAAACCTATATCATCAATCGTCACAAACATGACCACACTCACAGCCCACCACCAGCCCTCTGCCGTTCCCACCCCTCACCACCACCAACATCAATCCCGGCACTCCCGCCAGCGATACCAACCCCACCATTCAACCGCTCCATCTCAAACGAATTCGTCTCAGGTGGCGGACTCGTCAAAACCTTCTCTTCCCACGGCCCAACACCCCTCACCGCACCTCCGGTAGCAGCATTACCATCATCCGGCCCGTCCCTCCATACGAACCACTGCAGTCCTAGTCCTAAATCGCAAGTAGCCTGGAAAATACCGCAGATTTTAAACGCCCAGGGCACTTCGCCCGCAGGACTCGCGAAGAAGTACCACATTTTGAAAGTGTCGCCGACAATCCAATTCGCGATAACGCTGGGACGGAACCCTCTGCATCCACGCCGTTGCCAGTTCGCTAAGAGTTGTGGGATAGGGAGCGTAGCTTCGACGGTCAGCGCGATGTAGCCAAGCACAGTGGTATACGGGATGAACAGCGATGTATTGAGGAGGACAATATGCATGACGAACAGCGCGGCGGCGAAGTAGGTTATGAAGGACCAGTAAGGGCGGGTAGCGCGCCATTGCCAGAAGCTGTAAGGGCGGGTTGTGGATGAGGGTTGGAAGGGGAGGTGAGAAGGGGTCGGGCGGTTGGTGAGGGCGATGTGGAGGCAGAGGAGGTGCATAATTATCATGAGGATGGCTTGGACGAGGAGCGAGGTTGCGTAGTGGGCGCCGAACCAGTAGAAGATTCTGTGAAAGTTGGGATGGTTAGTCTCGAAACTGTGGGGGCAGAAGGGGAAAATGGTGGGGGATGTACTTGAGGATGCTGGCGACAAGCATGATGAGGGGAATGTCGAGCGAGAAGCCAGCTGAGCTCTTGGTGCGATGCATATTATAGATTTGGTCGGCATAGCTGGTGATGGGACTCGTCGCGATGCTGGAGGTGGGCAATTAGCCATTGTTGTGGAAGGTGTCCTCGTCGTCAAGTTCACGGTCATCATGGATGGCGGGTTGCACATACAAAATGGGCGCGACGGACGTCACAATGGCATTTATGAAGCCCATGGTTGCTGTTCCAGTGTGGTGGTATTAGGGCAGACCCCCGGACTGGTGTCTGTCGCGTGCTAAAGGGGCGTGCGTTCCGATGAGGATGGATGAGGGGTGATGACGGGCCAGTCAATCCGTCGGCCACCAGATGATTCGCTCGTGATCGTCTTTGTCGCAGTGTCTCAAGGAGACAAATTGGCGTACTGCTGCGAGTAGACTGGCTGCAATTGTTGAGAGACTGCTGAGTGAGGAGGAGTGGAGAAGTTGGGGAGTTGCCGTCTGGAAGGAGATGGGAAAAAAGGAGCCGCGGTATCCCCGTACCCGCCGATCGGGTTGCTTGTTAAATTAAGTGGAATTGGCTAAGGTGATCCTTCGTAATTGCATTAAGCTTCTGTGCATTAGTTCCCGCGATAAGGCTTAGTCTACCGACCACACAGCTAATCCATCGTTATTATCAACAACTTCATCGGACCTCCGATAAGCCAACGTCTCCAGAGATCCTCAGACACACAAAAATCTCCGCAAACCTCAAAAACCTGCTTCTCAACGCACCACCTCTTAAACTATCCCAAATTCACAACCATCCACCATCGTACGGATAAGCAATAAAAATGGGCGCACAACCCCACACAGCCTTCTTCTACGGCACCCTAATGTCGCCCACCGTCCTCGCTCTCGCACTGCAAGCTCCCAAATCCAAAGACTTGAATCCCACTCCAGCAGTTCTTCCCGCCTATACCCGACGTCGTGTGCAGAACGCTGCCTACCCCGCCATCATCCCATCCACTTCATCCCATAGCGTGCAAGGCATGTTGATATCGGGTCTTTCAGACGCTGATATCAAGGCTCTGGATCGGTTCGAGGGCGACGAGTATCAAAGAGTCGAGGTCAAAGTGCGCGTTGTGTCTTCTCTTTCTTCTGCTTCTTCACAGAGTGCCGAAGGAGAGGGGGAGGAAGTCGAAGCCGAAACGTATATCTGGATTGCTGGGGAGGATCACTTGGAGGATGAGGAGTGGGACTTCGAGAGATTTGTCAAGGAGGAGATGGGGGGTTTCTTGGCTGGGGAGGGGCTGTGAGGTTGGGTGTTGAACGGAGTGACTTGCTGATGGCGTTTGGTTTCATTGAAGAGCTCGTAGATTTCTATTAACGCCGGGTATAGAGTAGGTCGGGTGGGTCTGCAATCCATAATCGAGTTTTAATGGTGACAAGGTTGCGTGGCAAGGAGTGCCTGCTCAAACTGATCATCTTCTACAAGGGTCAGCAGAGCCTATGCGGTTTTGGAAAAGGCAAGGATAGGTCTAAAGGTGCTAGAAAGAGTTGCCGCCTAATAGGACATGTAGGCAACGCGGAATCCCGCTTAGACAGGCCGATGGATGAGATTGTCAATAATCGGGCTCGTAACGGGTCCCGAACAATGTGGGACTATCATCTCAAGCATAACACAGAGCATCATACATAGGTAAATGCCAATTCATGTTTGTGTCGGACCTTACGCTGAGGCCCAATGTAGGCTATAAAGATCAAACTCCTTGCTATGCGATCTTCCCCCTAGAAATGCTTGCAAGGAAAAACTTGATGCACAAGACCCACCACTCTATCCCATTCATCAGTCCAGCAGTCCATCAAGTATGCTCCCAGGAAAAAAAAAGGAGGAACATGCAATCATGAGAGAAGGAAATACATAAACAGATTCAAATCATGACAAAACCACAACTCCATGGGGACAACACAGATCAATGGAGCAGCACACCATCAGCTGGCAGACTCGTTGGTCTGGCTTCTGCCTCCGGGCTTTCAGGAATTTCAGACCGGTCTTTACGGCCTTTTAGGGGGGATGAGTATAGTCGCCGCCTGTTGAAATCGACACGATCCTGCTTGTATTTTGGATACCGCTCGAAGCCATCAGAGTCCCTCGGCTCAGGGGAGATTTGAACGGCTTCTTTCGAAACTCGCTTTACCGGACTCACTACGATAGTATCCTGCGAGTCATCGATTGATATAGGATCAGATGAACAGCCAGGCCCACCAACTGCTGTTTTGATTGTCTTGGTTTTCTTTCGTGGGGATTCCATTGAGCCATCGTCTTTCGATGGCCTCTTCGGCGCTACTTCTATTGCATTCGACTTGTTGGGACTGAGTACCTCAATATCGGAGAATAAATCAGCGTGCTTTTGCTCTTTTGATGGAATGAAGGTTGGCGACGACGATTTGATCACAACTTGCGGGCTTGACTTCTTGATTGGCTTTTCTGACTTGGGTTGGACATCCTCAAAGTTTTCGCTACGGCCATAGCGAGCTCCTCCAGGAGGGGTACGTGGGACATTATTGGTTTTGCCTCGAGCGCGTGCGGGTGATGTAGTATCATGCTTCGACGACGATCGGGGTTCGAACGGGGAAGCTAGCCTTGGCTTTGCAGGTGACATGATCTCGGTCGTCATGATCGAATTCAACTGGGGTGAATGTTCAGCCCTCGAGCGGCCTGTGCGAGGAGAAGACGTGGCTTGTATCGATACGCCGGGATTGTTTTGTTTGTTTGCATCGATGAGAATCGAAGCGGGAGGATCCTTCTTTTCTCGTGTATGTTTTATAGGTTTGGGTTGAATATTAGCGGTGGCAGCATCACTAGAACTTTTGTGCCGAGTAGTGTGAGCCATCTTGGCTGCATGTGCTCTTTTCCGCTCGTTCGTCTGTTCCTCATGCAGGTCAAACAGGATGCATCGAATTTTGTTACGCATTTCGGGAACCAGCATGTTGGGCCAATCCGTCGCGGCTCTCATTTCCCTATTGAGCACACGAGTTTTGAATCCATCCGGATCTTTGAAGAATTGTTCGATGTAGCCCAAAACATACACACCACAATCGCTAAAGTTGTCCTGCATAGGTATTTCGTGGGCTTTGGGGTAAACAGCATTTTGATCGATAACAGCTTCCATGCCACGCTTTGCTCGACCTTCCTCGCGAATGTAGTCTTTGAGGGCTCGGACAGCTTTGCTCCTGTGAGGATTTCCAAGGGAATCTAACATGATGATACACGGTTCATTTGGGTCGCATCGCTTCACAGGCGGAGCAGATTTGCGCTTTGACTTTTTGGAGAATGATGACGATGCGGTGTCGTGGGAAGGCCCGTCAGTAACATCCACGGCCATAGATGCATGTATATCTTGGGTGGTTTCCATATCGTCAGAGCCCTCGCTCAAGTTGATTTTGGGGGCGGCGACGGATTCCGTGCTCTTAACGGGTTCATAAGACTCCACCAAATCTAGACTTGATTCTGCGGTGAAAAGCATCTCGTCATCGTCACAACAAGGAGCCTCGTATAGAACTCCTGACCCATCAATCGGTTTCAAAGAAGCATTACGACTTGAGCTGGGTCCATCCTCGACTTCGACAATCTGAGTGTTATCCGGTTCACTGGATACCTCAACGGAGGCTTCAACAGAAGGCACGGGCTCTTCTGGGCTCTTGACGTGAAATTTGCGAGCAATGTTGTCAACATTGCAAATGATTGCAAGATACCAGTGTAGGTCCTGATTGATAGGAACCACAATATAGTCATACCCAAATATGTCTTCTTTGGCTGTCCATCGTGCAACACCGTCATAGTTGATACTGCCCTGCTTAAGGCCAGATACTTTGCGGGTCAGAGTGGAGAAGAAATGTGTGTTGAAGAAATACACTTTGTCTGACGGGAGATTACTGTGGTTGAATAGGTAGATCATGTAAAAGTCGATAAGCGAATCGTTGAGAAACTCTTCTTCGTCGAGTCGGTGAAGGTCCGCAAAGTCTATGACAGCTCGGCGACGTCCGGACCCATAAGTGAGTTGCTTCTGCCAAGGCGGGCCGAGTCCTCGTAGCTGGGAGAATTTGAGCGATTCAGCAGGTGTTGCTTCAGGCTCAACATAGTCGGGCTGTGTCGCTCTTGTAGCTCGTGCTGCGCGAGTGTATTTACGGCTAGTACCGTCAGAGACTACATCACTCGTTGATGCTTGAGTCTGTAGCAGCTTGTCTAATAACCCCGGTTTCTGTTGCTTCTCACTCGTTCCAGTACCAACCTGCGATTCACGCTGAGCTTCGAGAGAGACTGCAAGTGGACCATCTTGACGCCTAAGTGGCATTACTTTGTCGAAGATTCTTTGCATGTGTGCCTCATCTTTGGCGTGCACTCTGATGTTGGAAGACTTGAGATCGGATACTTTAAACACTTTGCTGTGATTTGAATTGGCAAAATGTAAATCGATCATGTCTTGGACACCATCTGCGTGCGAGGAACCACATAATCGGATTCGGCCGGATTCGTCAGCGTAAGCCAAATTCATCTTTGTGAGGTCAACATCGAATTTTGTATGTCGAAACCCATCGTCACCTGGACCGACCACACGCCAGTGATGCTTTTCTGTGCCGCTGCAGAGCAGAAGTTTTTCATGAATTGCTTTGTGGTTGGTGGCTCTTGCCCATTTCAATTGCCACCCCTCTTCTGGCATTTCTTTCCGTTTATAGATTGAGCCGGAAACTTTTACCTTCCGACTCATAGACGGGTCGGACCTCTTGGCCATCTTGTTCACACCGGCCGCCAGCTCATCCTCTGAATCACTGACATCTTCTGGTAGATGACGCTTGAATGCGTTACGAAGATTGTCCTTGTTGGGTGGGTTTGGAATAGTCGGGGGTTTGGAGAAATGCCGCGAAACCAAGTCTTCAGTCCTGGGCTTTGCACCACGGTGGTAGCCGGAAGGGATTCCTTGGGTGAATTCATGTAGCTGCATTAGCTTACTCGTGCTTGGTCTGCCCCGATCTTTTTCATCGTCAAGGTCGATTGGTACCGATTCATTATAACCAGCACTATTCTTGTTGCTCTTGGAGCTGCTAGGTCTTGTGTTGGCCAAAGAGACTCGCGGTTGTTTCCGACGCACATGTGCAATGTTCTGTGTGACTTCGAATTCAGACTTCGCGAAAGTCTTTGGCCACGCGCCAGCGCCTTGCTCGCTGCTTGCACTTCGGCGACTGGAATGCGCAGATGGTTGGGCTGGAGAAGAATCTTCAAGGTCGTAGACATCTCGAGTCGACTCCAGATCCACGATTGGGTGGCCAAACTTCTGTCTTTTAGGTTCCCGATCATCGCTATAGGGATTCGGGGGTAGTGTATCCTGATCGTGCGAATTTGAGCGTCTTTTTTGGTAACTCCTGCTGTATGTTACCATACCCGGCCGCTTGGGGTTCCAACTGAGTTCAGCACCGGGCTATATTGCGTCAGCTACTTCGCCTACCCCAAGACACTCCTGCACATGCTCACCTTCGCCATTTTGCTAGGCACACTTTGATACCCTGGTTTCCAAAATCGAGGATCAGGTACCGGTTCACCCTTGCAACTATTCACGCCTGTCAGCCCACGATCTTGACTGACTCTAAAGCATCGAATTCAACGTACAGGAATTTGACTCGAGGCGAAATCAGGATATCGCGACGATTGTTCAAGAGTCTCGCACTACTCGGTATTGACTCGGAAGATGACAGCAGCGAGGGCAATCGCTTCGGTGGGTGGGGAGGTGGAGAGGATGCAGTGATTGTGCAGGAGGAGGTGTGCGGTAATAGTTCCGGTTCTCGAACTGTAGATGTCCCGCTTCCTTCGGCATCGCCGCAGGTCTAATCACCGCGAGAGTCAGCCATGTAGTTCCCAATAATTTCTTGCTGTCGTCTTTTCAGATGAGGGCGAGAGGAACTTACCAGGGTTGAAGTTGTTTCTTCGGTGCGAATTCGCGGCGCGCTGTCAATATGAGCTGTATCCGTGGGCCTCTCTAGCAGAGACATGGCACGCTGCTAGCGCATTGAAGGGTAGTTGTGCATGGGTCGTGAAAGTCGGTCGTGGAGCGGTGAGTGAGGGAATCCATTTCGGCGGTGCGCCTGCCCGCAGGTGAAGTTGCGTGCGTTTGTATTGTCCGACTTCGAAGGCTTCGACGTCAGGGTGCACGGGCCATAACCTCGGAGGTCTTGCTGCTGAACAGACATGTTGAGATCGCGGCCACTTGATTCGCCCAATAGAACATTTGAATGACCAAAAGTCTCTCGCAACCATGTTCACCTTCAACAATAACACTTGTGTCTTCTTGTGATTAGCTTTTCTTTCAATTCGCGTATTTTCTTTCTTCCATCTTGCGCTTGACGCTCCTTCCACGTCCTGATAGAAATTATGATGAGTTTGCGGCAGTTTGCCCGTAGTCTATCACCATCATCAATCAATCAGTCCCCTGAAACTATCGAAGATTTCTTGGAGATTTTTGAAATTCCATATTACGAGTGTTGTTTCCATTTCCACTCTCTTTGCCGTAGCAAGAGCATACACCATCCCAAAATAGCAATCAATACATCACGACAAACATGAGGTACTCGATGCGAGTACACGTAAATGGCATACCGCAAAACACACGAAAGAATCCAAACTCACGAGTGACAGCAAGAAAGAGTCATATCTCCGTGGACTCGTTTCATATTCACATTCATGTTCAGCATAAAGCGTTTGACGGCTTGACCCATCGGACCGTTATTGAACGCACCGTCATTACCAAAGCTTCCAGGCAGTGGTTCAATGAGACCAGTAGAATACAAAACCTCCGTCAGAGGGAAAGATAGTCAAAGGTAAGCCAATACGTGGTAACCAAGAAAAAGAAAAGACGCTGTTAAATAACACCGTGAGCATGCTGAGAGGTTGACGCAAGTCCAAGGGAAGTCGCAAACTATGACACGTTCTTCTCCTTGGACTCATCTGCGGCGGGTAGTCGTCGCTTCTCCTGGTGGCCCTTATCATGTCGTGCTTGATCGATCGCGCTTCGCTGTGCGATACTCTCGTCGTGACTGCGCCAAATAATGTTGGTTCCTTCGGGGAGGCCGAGGACGCGCTTGACGGTTTCGCTGATACCATGGTCAGCATGTCTAATATGATAAAAAGCAATTGAAATCACTCACCGAATCTTGATGTTGCGGCCGCCATCGTTCTTGGTCCAGATGCTGAAGACATCTTCGCCACTTCGAACGCTCAGCACAAAGCCGCATACCTCGTCGGCTGCCTCCATGAACTGATCACCAATCAGAGCCATGAGCAATTCCTCCCAGTAACGGTCCGCCACGCCCTTTTTGAGGCGCATGATCCACTTGCCACCCCGCTTGTTTTCTTCATCTTCCCATACCGGGCGGATACCCTCTTTGAAAAAGTGATAGTCGGAAACGGTCGGCAGTGTAGATGGTCGGTTCAGATGAATAAAGGTTTTCCAGAAGTCCTGCGCCGTGCTTATACGACACAGAGGCTTGGTTGACTTTTCGTAATCTGAGTTTTTGGGCGTAGGAGGGCGATACCAGATCACCCAGGTGTACTTGAGCGGCCACGGCGCACCAGTGTCTGGCGGAGCCGAAGAAGTGGCCACCTCTTCCGAGGCAGCTGTGGACAGCGATTCCTTTCGGGAGCTTTGTGCGATTTGACTCGCCTTCTCCTTCTTGTCGCTTGGTGTCGAAGGGGTGCCGCCCGCTGCGACAGACTTGAAATCGAAAGCGGTCCCCGGCGTCTTGGGAGTCTTGGTAGCCGAACCAAACGATGCGAATGCGCCCGAACCCAGACCAAAAGCCGATGACCCGGCAGTGGTAGGGGAGGCGAGGCCGGTGCCGGTTATGGGCGAGTGGATAGCGTTGAAGGGGTTGCGGCCGCCGTGGGAGGATGTGTCGCCACCAAAACGCTTCGTGGCGGAAAAAGGGCGCTGGGAAGAATCGGGTTTATCAGCATGTCCTCCCGAATGGGACATGGACAGTGAGAGTTTGCTGGTGCTATGCGCAAACAGTCAGTCTCGGCCGTGGTGAAAGCAGTGGGGAAGTGCGCAGGCAGGGAAGTTGACGTACTTGGATCGACGGGTCCATAGATTGTCTTTGCTATCCATTGGCTGGTGGTTGGGTGCGAAAGGAAAGGATTGTTCAGGGCGCGAAAAGCACGCTCAAGCTTGGTGGGATAAAAGAGCGAACAAGCAGAGACAGCTGGCCAATGGCCGGAAGAAGAAGGCGAAACGCGGTGGTGGAATAGCTATAGGGAGGACACGGCGAAGGTCAGTCAGTGGTGGATGCGAGTACAGGTGGGTGTGCAGTGCGGGAGTGTTGCGTCTATGTGTGCGGGCGGTGAGGATGGGGAGGCGTAGGGTATAGCGGCAAAGAGCTGGAGACAGAAACTGCGAAAGCGGCGTGATGCGGTGGGCGTGGGCGGAGGTAGACAGGTGGGTGTTTACGGTTATGGAAATTGATACATGTACAAAGGTTGCTCAATGGAAAACGCTGGTGAGGTACGAAATCAAAGAGCGACTAACCGCGGGAGGAAAAGAAGCGGCCCGTGCGGGCTGGAAAAAATCAGTACTAAAGCTCATCGGCCGACGCTCCTCCCTCTCTCCTTCACAACAGCGGCCTCGCACTCAAATCATCGCCAGCTCGACGCAATCCACTCAGTTGGCGACTCCGATTGAGGCCCAGAACGACATACCTCTTCTAAAACCATCATCACGAGGGCCGCTTCGGCAGGCTTCCATGATGCGGTGATGACCTGAAAGCAGGGACACTTGTTTGTCACGCGCAGCCTCTTTTTGCTGCTGTACATACGAACATATTCATACGTACACATATACATTGTACATGGCTATCTATGTGAGTATATTTGAGAGAGAGAGAGAGAGAGAGAGAGTAAGTATGTATGTATGCTTCTGTCATTGTTTCCAGCCGCGACATGTCCTGGGATGACGGTCTATCATGGACCATCACTTCTGGTAGTCTGCACTCAGCCAGGATCTACACGTCGCCCCAGCGCGATTCCTCGGTCGAGCATGAAGTTCCAAGGCAAAGTCTGATGGGCATTTCTCTTCACGCGCTGGATCCGGTCACATTGCTGCCCTATGCCAAAGCACGCTAATGTTCCCGCCTAGAATATTTGGTTTTGAGGGCTTCGGGCGTTGGGGGAGAACGGAAGCGAGACGGTCGTGGCAGGGACAGGGCTCTTCTTGCAGTGGTGGGCAAATGCACGACATGAGAGTAAGATGATGCTTGTCATGCTCGTGGACTAGCCGTGGGAACTCCCCGATAGAACGGGACACAAACCGCCCATTCCATGCCTCGTTTGTTGTGTGTTGAATGTCACGTAACGAGGCACCCAGAACCTCCACACCTTTCATGTGTAGTTTACAACAATAGGAAACCCCGCATGGCTCTATTGCCATGATTATTACTATCGCGTGCTTTTCCAAGTATACCTGTTTTGATTTTCTATGAAAAGCTGTGACTGTACTACTTTGGCTACGTGAGTAAGTACATACTCACACGAGGCCAACTCAGAGCAAAGATCAAGCAAGGACTTGCCTGCCTGCTAGGCAGCTATTTGCTGTCGAGTCACCCACTGTATCAGTATCAGACCTACAGATGACTATATTCGGCTTGCAGCCCAAGAGTCAACACGTCGATTGTAGTATATATATCTGCTTCCCATGTCCATATCGGACTCTTGCATATGCTGTTCCTGCAGCCGTTTGTCCACCATTCCCGCTGCTGCCGCCTGCTACGTCACTCACCAAGACCCCTCACTACCACCACCACTCAAGCTCAAGTACTTAATTTACCTAAGCCATTGACTGCACCTACCACATTCCCACCACCCACCTCGCCTTCTACACACACACATTCATACACACATACATACATACACTGTTCCGTCAACCTCACTATCCCGCTTCAACTAGGGTCGACCGATCGATAACACCCCGCACTCGCCAACGTGCGCAACCCTTTGTTACTCGATCCACCTTCCTTCACCTCCACACAAAGCAACAAATAAACATGCCACACGGCTCCCCCAAGATGCACTCGCCAACTCACCACTCTGAGCGCCCCAAGGGTGAGTTACTCTATTGTCCCGCAGGTCGTGACGTGTTTTGACGTGATGCAGGGATCCTCAAGAACTCAAGTTCCTATCAGGGACAGCCACAGACATCTCCCATAGCCCAAGACATCCCGATGCCACAATCACCCCCCAGCGAACGACCTGCTATCGGCCGCGAGCTCTCCGAGAAAGAGATTGTCCTTGAGAATACCTTGCGCAACGCGGGACCTCACCGCCGCTCTTCCTCGAACCCCCACGGACCTGGCTCACGTCGCCAATCTGGCACAAGCGTCCAGGCCGACGAAAACGAGCCGAGGCTGAAATGGGACGAGGCCAATCTATATCTTACAGAGCAACAGCGAGACAGTACTATGAAAATCACCGAGCCCAAGACTCCTTACGCCAAGCAGTACGACCCTATGGAGGATGAGGAGGAAATTGAGATGCTAAACGCGGAGGAGCTCAAGGTCGATGAGCTTGACAAGCCAAAAACATGGAAGCCCAAGATGGAAGACATCCCCGACTTCGATTTGGGTGAACCGGGCTTGGAAGCTAGGACTTCCCAAACCCCAGAGGGCGAGAAGCGAGTTGTTGTCGACCCGGATGCTGAGGCCGATGCCAGTCGCCACGACGAACAGTTCGCGCACATGACCCCGGAGGAGCAAGAGAAGCACAGGAAATTCGAAGATTTGCGGAAAAAGCACTATGAGATGAAGAACGTCAAGGATCTACTCGGGTCAGTAGAGTTTCGAGCTGTGGGTCAATTGTGCGATACTAACAACTTTTAGTCATCCTGAAATGGACGATGATGACGATGACGAACAATCTGGAAGGGTTCCCCCACTGCCTAACGGCCAGAACTGATGGTCCCTCGAGCCTGTCAATCAGGATATATCAAGGCAGAAACGTGGAGATGCTGGCGCGCATAACTTGTTCATCTCCTACATTACGCTCTTCTTTCCGCCATATGCAGCCTACCTGTTGGGCAGGTCTAGCCTTCTTTTCTTGCTCGGGTTCAATATCTGTTTCATTGGTAATACCACTCAGCGGGGGAACATGGAAGCGTCTCATGATACTTTCGCTTGGTCCGCTACATTCACGTTTGCATCATGCATTGAGGGAGTTTTTAGCAGGAAATGGGAATACATGAGAGCCTGTTCTCCGCCTAACGCGGACAGCCAGAACAGTGCATCGTTAGCTAGCTCGGATGATATTGCAACTGTTCATGCAATGACGATCTGCCTTTCCTCGCCAGTTGACGTCCTTGCAATTGCCGCGTGATCAGCTTGTGAATCAGGCGCACCACGCCATCATTTGATTGGGCATGTGTTTAAGGTAGCTGGTGTTGATTCTTTCCGCATCCGGCAAGCTTGCGCCGCCTTGCACCGCCACAGATTAGCTGGACGGAGTTACATATATACGTACACCCGGTCCCGACTGACCATCACGCTCAGAACACTCACCTCGGTTGTCTCCGTGACTTCTTCCAAGCCTATACCGAACGTCTTCACGTCTCAAACATGACCAAAAACCATCCAACCCTCAGGAAATCCGTTTCCACGGCCGATCTGTACAGCGATCCGTCACCACCACCCCGTCATCCTACTCTCTCCCGAGCCTTCACCACCGTACATCGTTCCAGGGTCAACCCGTTCCTGCAAGCACGAGCAAATTTATCCCAGAGCTCTACGAGAGTATCAAGCACCGATGTCCGAGCTTCGAACAGATCCTATGCCCGCCCGACCGAGGAGTCCATACAAGAGAACCACCGACATAGTATCGCAGCTCCGTATTCGTCGAACCTGATCGATCTGAACGATGACTTCGATTCGGTCAAAGAGTACCAAAACCCGCCGCCTGTGCCGCCCAAGATACCCGAGATTCCAGCATTTGAGCCCAAGGAGGCTATACGGGAGAAAGAGAGGCCAGAAAAATACACCAAGCCGTTTACGGACTTCATGACGGCAAACCCGACTGTTTTCCACGCAGTTGACACTGTTGCTCGGGATCTGGAGAAGAATGGATACAAAAAGGTATCAGAGCGCGACAGTTGGAATCTCAAACAGGGTGGCAAGTACTATGTTGAACGCAATGGGTCGTCGCTCATTGCGTTCTCCATCGGCGACGAATACGAAGCAGGGAACGGTGCTGCTATTGTAGCTGGACACATTGATGCTCTCACCGCGAGGTTGAAGCCGATTCCCACTCTTCGATCCAAGGCAGGCTACGTTCAGCTGGGGGTTGCGCCGTATGCTGGGGGGTTGAACAATACGTGGTGGGACCGTGATCTCGGTATTGGTGGACGTGTTTTGGTCAAGGAGGCTAATGGGAAAATCGTCACCAAACTGGTCAAACTTGACTATCCCGTTGCTCGCGTTCCTACCTTGGCCCCGCATTTTGGTGCTGCATCGGTGGGGCCTTTCAATAAAGAAACACAAATGGTCCCGATCGTGGGTATCGACAATTCTGATCTCGGAGGCGCTTCTCAGTCTGATGAAGGCGAATTCAAAGCTGGGATAGTGGGTGGCGAAAAGACGTTTGCTGCTACGCAGCCAGAACGACTAGTCAAGGCTATCTCAGAAGAGCTGAACATCGAAGACTGTAAGTGGTGTTCCTTTAGTGTCCCCTTCCGCTGCAGCCTCGCTAACAATTTCCAGACTCAAGCATCGTCAACTGGGAGCTGGAGCTCTTTGATATCCAGCCCGCGCAACTCGGCGGCCTGGGAAAGGAATTCATCTTTGCTGGCCGTATCGACGACAAGTTATGCTCTTGGGCTGCTATCCAAGCTCTTCTCAATACTTCGACTGCACAATCCTCCCAAGTCAAAGTCGTTGCTCTGTTCGACGACGAAGAGGTTGGTTCTCTCCTTCGACAAGGTGCCCGTGGAAACTTCCTGCCCTCTGTGGTAGAGCGAATCGTAGACGAGTTCGCCGACAAGGGAGTTCGCAGCTTAGTTTCACGCACATACGCAAATAGCTTCCTCGTCTCTTCCGACGTTATCCACGCCGTTAACCCCAACTTTCTCAATGCTTACCTGGAGAACCATTCTCCTCGCCTCAACATTGGACCCGCGGTTTCCGCAGACCCTAATGGCCACATGACCACGGACTCTGTATCTACTGCCATCTTCCATCGCTGCGTTGCCCGCGATGTTGGTGTTCGCAGCCAGGATCCGAAACTCCAGGTCTTTCAGATTCGCAATGACAGCCGTAGTGGGGGTACGGTTGGTCCCATGTTGAGTTCAGCTACGGGTATCAGAGCGATCGATTGCGGCATTCCGCAGTTGAGCATGCACAGCATCCGCGCGACCACTGGCAGTCTGGATCCTGGGCTGGGTGTGTTTGCTTTCCAGAGCTTTTTGGAGAACTTTGAGAGCGTGGATTTGGAGTTCAAGGTCTAATTGTACTGAGCAAGCGGGACTGTTTGGCGTTGGAGTGATGGTATTGTTATCATGTTTTGTCCGTTTATCGCTTAGATATCGATGCAATGAACAATATTGATTGGAGCTTTTGGAGTTGGTATGCCTATGTTGCATTGTTTGTGATGCTAAACTGTATGTTGATGCTGGGTACTATTGATTCGAATGCTTCGCGGCATTGGTGGCAAGCAGTCATCATGTGTTGCTCGCGTGAAACTTCACGTTAATTGGGACTTAATGTCATACTAGATCTTATAAGTCCCAATGACCCCCGATTCACAATTTGCTATATACAGTGGGAGTACGGCGTAGTTGCTGAACATTGTTACGAATCCAGAGGAAGAAAGGTAAGATGTATCGGCACATCTTATCTTTCCTGATTCTCTGCTGGCCAGCCAAGAGCATAGCAACTCGTCGGCCCCTGTAAACGATGACTGATGGCTGGGCACGCCGAGGGTGTTGGTACGGCAATGTCGAGTGGCAAACTGCGACTCATGACCCGATGGATACATGGCGAGATGTGGACACCGCAACGCCCAGATCCACCAGGCATAGGCTTTGGATGTGTAAAGATGTGTTCGCGGATCGTCGCCATTCCTGTCCAAGCGTGCGAGCGGATGAGTCTGGACAGCTGGTGGAGTTCGCTAGGCGCAAAGAGCGGCAAAGTCGAACCGGCGCGCGCCTACCTAGTCTAGCACCTTGAATTCACCCACCCGTCCCGTGGGCCGTACCATCCCATCTCGCATGACCCTGAGAGTCTGTCTCGCGGGCTCCGGTCATTGTTGACTTTTTCCCCAACTTCTTAAGGTCAGCTCTGCTGCTCCTCCATCCCAAGCGACACAAGTGACAGACACATTCCCCTCGCTCTCATTCGCGCTCTCAGCCTCGCATCCATGTCTGAAACCCCCGCCCCCACCGCCGGCCCGCCTACTGGAACGGCGCCAGCACCACCTGCCACTGCCGCTGCCACCTCCACCTCTGCCGCGGTAGACACTCAGACGGACCATAACGATTCAGTCCTCACGCTCGAAGTCGATACCGGCGCGGATGGAGGCAACACCACCGAAAGCGATACTGATTCGGCTTACGAAGGCAATTCGACCGCCAGTACCTCACTTGCCTCGTCCGTCCTCAACTACGAGTATACCAATGGCCGCCGATACCACGGCTACCGTAGCGGCAGCTACCTGCTGCCAAACGATGACGAGGAACAGGATCGCCTCGACTTCGTCCATCACATCTTCCTGCTGATGCTGGAGGGCAATCTGTACAACGCTCCTATCCAGGACCCCAAGCGCGTGCTCGACATCGGCACTGGTACAGGCATCTGGGCCATCGACTTTGGTGATGCTCATCCGGGCGCCGAGGTCTTTGGAACCGACTTGTCGCCCATTCAGCCCAGCTGGGTCCCTCCAAACGTCAAATTCTACATCGACGACGCCGAGAGCGATTGGGTCTACCCACCCGATGAGCATTTCGACTTCATACACGCGCGCGAACTGGCCGGCGCCATTGGTGACTGGGATAAGCTATGCAAGCAATCCTTCGACAACCTGAAGCCTGGTGGTTATCTGGAGTTGCAGGAGCCAATTGCCCGCTTCGAGTGCGACGATGGCAGTTTTGCCCAGGCCAAAGACCTGTATCAATGGCAGGAGCTCTGCAACCAAGCCGCCATGAAGTTTGGCAAGCTTATGCAATCGGCCGGCGAGTTGAAGGGTAAGCTGCTGGCTGCTGGCTTTGTCGACGTCCACGAGAGGATTCTCAAGGTTCCAATCGGTCCTTGGCCTAAGGATCCAAAAATGAAAGAGCTCGGGCGCTACCATCGCGAGCAACTCGCTCAGGGTAAGCTCTTCCTCCTCTTGTTTTCGCGCCGCACCATTACTGATCATCAATTATGACAGGTATCGGCCCATATACCCTGGGTTTCCTAGGTAAAGTGCAAGGCTGGAGCGAGGATGAATGCAAGGTCATCACCGCCAAAGTCATCTCCCAGATGCGCAACCCGAAGATCCACACGTACATCAAGTATTATTTCGTACACGGTCGCAAACCCGAAAGCTCCACGAACTGAAGCCGACGATAGCATATGAGGGAATGGAATGACGTTGACGAATTTGCTTTGTGTTCATTCGACTTGCGCGTTGTGGAGAGGAGGGCGGGCAGGCGCATGGCGAGCTCTTACTTTCTTCTGCTCAAGAGTACTTGCTCGCGTGTTGTGCGCCACTTTGTACGTTCGTCTGTACATATCGCCCAGTAACATATCTAGAAATTCGTTTCAGCCTGCGTGTCATGTAGTGTCTTATAGTACAAGCTCTGGTGCACGATGTTGTATTCATTCTGTATATTATTGACGGTACTAACCGCATTTCTATTTTCCTTCCATAAAACGCAACAGATATTTCGACTTTACCTGTCTCTACTGTATGCCCTGTTGTGTCAACTATTCACCCACTTTAAACATTACCTGGATATGTCCGCAGCTCAAGTGCCCAATTTTTCAACTCAGATCATTTTTGTTGCCGTCTAATTGTTGTGTAACTTTTTTTTATCAGCCTTTTGAAGTGTGGGAAACACTTCAACCTCCAATTCAAAGAAAAACTCAACTCCGATGAGAATCCCGATGCGGAAATAATGGCCCATTTCTTCTAACATCTTTCGATGTACGGCAGACCTTCGATATTCATTCTGATTAGTGACTTGTCGAGCATCAGGGATCTTCCAGCCAGAACTTGTTGAATCCGGTGGGAATTTTGGGCACCTCCAACTCGAAGTTGTGCACTGCTTCAAGTCTTTGTAGTTCCAGCTCTTCGTACTCGCTAGTCTTGAGGGGATCGTTTGCGACCGCAAACTGCTTGTTCTGGAACTTGTTGTGGAGATCTCTCCTTTTCTGCATGCGTTCTTCCAACTTCCTTTCGTACTCTTCATCCCAGAGGGTACTCTCTTTGCGAATCTCTATAAAGGATGGTAGAGGCGGAACAGTGTCTGTCTGGCATTCGCCTCTGCGCAAGCGGCGCACACACCTGTACCAATCTGAGAAACTATAACCACGATGGCGTTCAATGGTCCCCTCGATATCAAATGTCTCCCCTGGGTCTATCTCTGTATCGAAATTGCAACGAATTCGACTGGATTTGCCTGTGGTGGTTTCCTCAACAGCTGTAATGAATGTTGAATTATGTACCCGGCGTATGTTGTCGCAAATCGCATCAGGCTGAGGAAGGTTACGTTTCACAGCCTCTTTGAAACATTTTTGGATAAAAGCTTGGTCCTGTACACATCTGAATGGCTGAGAGGCACTCTCTGGCGTTGGGCTACCGTCCAACGTCAATGTAAAGGAGTGAAGCGGCATTCCCGCGGCAGTCAGGGCTAGGGTTTCCACTAACCAAGGGGAGAATGAACTCCTCGCGACATATCTCAAGTCGATCAGTTCCGATGAGTACCTTACCCTTTCGTACAACGACTGGTTGCATGCAGACTCCTGCATCAGCATATTTTTCCATATATGAACACGACGATCTATGTGCAGACGTTTATTTTCTTGGCAAAACGGTATAAGTCCAAGGGCATGGGACTGGGGGTATGCCACTGCCTCGTAGTCTTCAACCAGTACTATCTCGCGGATGTGAGAGCGTTGAGACCAAGAGAGTGAACCCAGGAAGTGGATTGCTGCAGAAGCGGCTGAAAAGCGCCATTTGGAAAGATCGTCAGGGTTCCATCTCTGAGACCTCCAGTGTACGTCTGGCTGGTCGTGTCCAAGTTCACGGTTGAATGGCTGTAGAGGTGGACGTCGATGATCGTCTCCGGCGGGGTCCTCGTCCAGTAAATTCGCCAGGCGACGGAGTTCACTACGACTTGGTATATGCCACGACATCAATTCTGTGGTTACTATCTCTTTTAAGGCATCAATGTTGAATTCTTCCAGGATATCTAACAACGGTGGGGCAGAGAACCCGGGGAGACTTGCAAGCTTTTGCACAATGCCGCGGTTGATTTGACGTGTACGTGATCGTGCATCTGCCCAATAACACATTGCGCGCAAAAAATGCTTTCTCCAATTTTTGACGTTTGGATCGTCAAGAGCCTTCCAGTCTTTGGTAAATTCCGCAAACTCTGGATATGACTGGGAGAATTCGTTTTCAAGCTCATTAGTCACCTGCGAAGCAGCCTTCTTTAGCATCGCCTTCTGCAAACAGTACTGCTTTTCGAGGATGACATCAAAAAGCCCAGCGCGCAGGCGGAGCTCTTCTGAATAAACCGTTGTGAAAGTTAGGGTGTTGCAACTCAGCGGGATAGGCCACATCTCACGTGCCACGAGAGTACAGGTATATCCAAGCGCGAGGTCGACAGGCTCGTGGTCCATAGTAGTAAATTTTCTGCGTTCGAAGTCGTATAGGTAACCGCCAGGAATCGCCGCATAGTGCTTATATATCATGTCGCGAAGTTCGCGTGGAAGCGAGAGGAAATGGGAGCGGGAATACATCGATGCAACTTTCCGATGTAAATAATTCGATAGGAAAGGTTAAAAAGTGGATGTGGTGACCCCACAAGATCTTATCGTTTGTGGACGTTGATTTCGAAGGATGGTAGGATTGGCGAGATGATAATGAGCTGGAGGTGTTGAAGTTGTTAGATGGGGCGTCTACTTATAATGCTGGAAGTTCAGGATAAGGCAGGCAGGCAGCACTCTGGTCACGTGGCTGATTCATTATACCATCATCCACTCTTTCGAATGTTGAATCATTCGATACGTTTTGATTGGATGAACCAAGTATTTTTCAGAATGTTGGGAGCCCTAGATAGATGGTATTGGTACAGTCATCGAATAAAGACTGGGTGGTTGAAATCATCACACATGTGCATGCAGCTCGGCGGTTTGGAAAGGAAAAAAAAAAAAGGCCGTGAAAAGGGGTGTGATCAAAATAAGACCGTACTATACCACCCATATGATCTTCATGTTTAGCTGAATAACATCTCATCTGATATAAAGTTGCAGACCTTACACATCATGGCACCACTCAATCGCCTGGAGGGTCGATTTCAGATTGAAAACCTGGATGAGGTCATGGCGGCTATAGTCAAGATTTCTATAGAAATCGACTGGGTATTTTGTAGACACACTTATTGATGACGAGGGCCCCAACACACGCGCGATCTTTGGCAACTCGCTCCTTACAATGGGGGTATCAAGTTTCTGGGGAATATATCCACGAATCGCGGTTGCTCTACACTGACGTCAGTGCTGCTAGAACAATGGTTTTGATTCAGAATACGTCAATTCGGTACCAAATCAACATCTATCGCGACGAAGAAAAATTCAGATTCCCAATCAAGTCATCACCAGTCACTAGCATCGCGTTAATTGAGTGGGCTATGACAGACAGTATGATTCCGGCAATGACAATAGAGTAAGGCGAAGTAGTATTCGCTATGATATATCGACCATCGACATTCCATCCACCCCTAGTTTTCGCTCGCAAACCCCCCACACAGCATCCAATTTAGCTCCAACCATTCTTTGGGGCAGAATCCCAGCGTTTGAAAAACCTAATCTTTCTTTACGCCCACCTTGCCTGTCCTCCTGAGTCCCACGACCCCAACGACTATGCAGCACACCGTCAAGCAGAACATGGTCCAGAATCCCGCTCGATAGCCCTTGAGCATATCACCCACATTCTCCAAGAATGCCGTATCCGACTGACCTCCCATAACCCCCAGAGTGATGACCTGACAAATCCCAACCCCCAAACTTGTTCCAAACATGGCCACAGTACCAAACACAGCGCCTGCCAAAGCCTGCGTCTCCTTGGGGAAGCTGTCACTGACGATGATAAGCCCGACTGTGTATAGAACGTCCGCATTCAAAGGCGCGAGGATTTGTGCCCAGAGCTCGAGATAGTAGTATTTCCATGCTGGGTCTACGAGTGCCATCATGAGTGGCGAGAGGGCGCTTAGTAGAGAGGAACCCACTACCAGCCAGCCTGCGGGTAGCCGATCGACGAAGATACCAACCGTCAGGTTGATGCATACGCCGACCACGAGGCTGGGGAGCGTGTATAGGGACGCCGTGAGCGCGGAATGGTTCTGGATCTCCTGGAAACTGGGATATCATGTCAGCGGATTACATGTAGATGTGATTGTGTGACGACATGATTCTTACTATAAACTGGAGAATTGTGTCATGGCGTTATTCGCTCCGTAGGATAGTGCCACAACTGCGCAGATGCTTGCGAAGCGTTGATTCTTCCAGAGAGAGTTTGGAACGAGGGCGGATAGGCCTCTGCGCTCGCGGTAGCGCATCCACAGAGGAAATGCAATGAGTAGAGTGACACTGATGGCGAGCAAGACGATGGTTGTTGTGGATCGAATGACCAACAGGTCGGCGCTGATCATTCTGCAGCAAGTTCAGCAAGATATCATATAATGAGGATTCATGATCATTCCACTTACGCCAAAACGTAAGCCAGCATTGCCAGTCCACCGCTGGCGATAGTTGCTCCAATCCAATCAATCTCCCTACCCAGCTTCTTCATGTAGCCAACAGCGTTCAAGTCTTCGGGGCTGATCTTCACTTTGGGAAGCGTGAACCAGGATCCTGCAGCCGCCGTCAGAATTGCAGCCGCCGAGATGTAAAAGCCGGATCGCCACCCAATCTTTTCAATCATGATGCCACTCGTTACCATGCCAAATGAGAATCCTAGCGGTTGGCTCAACCCAAGACAACTGAATCCGATATTGCGCGCCCTACCCGGCGGAACGGCCGTGGAGATGATGGATACCGAAGCAGGAATATGCAAAGCCAAAGCAATGCCCTGTAAGGCGCGGAACACGACGAGCTGGACCCCGGTTTGGGCGAAGCCGCATGCTAAGATGAAGATACCCAAAAGGGCTATTCCGCAGACTTCAACATTTCGCGCACCTATGATGTCGGCAACAGAACCAGCTATCAAAACCGCAGCACCCGAGGTTAGGTTGTAGACAGAAGATGGCCAAAGATACAAGGACCGGGGAAGGGCTATGGCCGATGCTATCGTGGGAAGGCCGACGGTGATGATGCCGGACGAGTAGCTACCGAAAAAGTTGATCACGCAGGGTTGGAGGATCGTCAAGACCAGTTGGAGCTTGGAAAGAGAGGGCTGGTCCAGTGCGTCTGGGGAGGGAGCGTCTTGGAAGACACTGGCGGATTTGACCGACCTGTGGGTTTCGTCTAGGCGGTTGGCATGCTTTGGAGTATTTGCGATGAGTGATGAGCTGGGAAATGGTTGGAGTTCAATCACTTCTGTCGTCGTGGTGGAACTCATGTTGAATTATCAGTCTGGTCTCAATCCAAACAGAAATGTAAGTAGATTGATTGCAATGGGTTGGATTTGGGCTGCTGCTCCTGATCTTGAATAGAGTCCCGGTGATGCAGAAGAATCTCAAAACTTCTTGCAGTGCCGAATTCGCTGCCCGCTGAAAATCGAAGAAAAAGAGCCCAGCTGGATCAAAGCGTAGCAATGGCGAGCCTGAAAGGTCCACATCAAACTCACTCGATATATATTCCCGCTTATATAATCTCCAGCTTACTCTCATTGCCATGACTACCCGCCATTGTCGTTTCAAGCGACCACAGCAACAGCCGACTATGACTCACCCAACCTTGTCTGCATACTCCGTTATCTTATGCTGAAAATTAGATTTCCTTTTCAGGAAGGAAGAAAGAAAAAAAGGGGTACGAGCGGGAGAACAAGAGAGAGCAGGTTTTTAGGGTGAATTTGGGGCTCAGCTCGTCATTGCTTTGGTGGGGGAGGGGAAACCCCACGTTCGCGGGACCCAACCTCACTAGTCCACGCCCGTCGGCAAACAAAGAATAACTCGGATGCCAATTGCATATCTACAACATCAACGGTGTCAAATTATCATTCGTGAATGGCTTAACCTGATATGCAATTTCACGTTGTTTTGGGGCCTTTTAGAAGATTTAACTCACACACTGGTGCTACCTACCTAGATACCTACATGTGTAGGCATGCCGTGCATCATGTGCGTGTATGATTGGAAGAGCGCTGGGTAATTTGGACATAGCGTCATGAACGAAGGCCAGACTGCTATGACAGGATTTCGCCAACCGCATCTGATTCTCTCCTTTCCCTTTGACAACTCTTCCTTTGGCATAATTCCCTAGCCCAAATCGCAACAATGCTGTCGCGCCACAAACCTCAACTCTGCAGATATACAAACATACACTCAGGCGATGAACCTATTATGGCAAAATCTAGTATATACATCAAACTTTTATGGCAAAACTGAGGTGTAGAGTTCTACAGAGTCACAACTATCGAGGGATTTGAACGTCGATTACTGACAGCTACATGTTTACCGACGGGAAACTTCACCAAGCAAGAAAGCAGCTCACATCCTTCCAAACACCCTATAAAGTTCTCGATTTCACCCATCTCTTCGTACACCAGTTCATTATCGATCTTCTATCTATCAGAGATCTCTGAACCGCAGTAACAATGGATCACCCAGTCGTACACCTCTTAAAGCAACTCATGTCCATCATCAGCACGAGCGAACTCGAGCACGAGATTGGTTTATTCCTTGAAACACACCTCCAATCCCTAGGATACACCGTCGAACGCATTGCCATCGCTAAAAATTCTCCCCGCCACAACATCTACGCCTATCTCGGTAGCTCTCGAAAAACCCGCATCTTACTCACAGCGCACATGGACACTGTCCCTCCGCACATTCCCCTTACCATCGATGGCAACTTTATCCGCGGAAGAGGAGCATGCGATGATTTAGGTCCATTAGCAGCGCAGATCATCGCAGCCGAGGAGCTGAAAGAGGAACGTGCTATCCGCGAAGGTGATGTTGGACTGTTGTTTGTGGTCGGCGAAGAGAACGGCGGACACGGGATGGTCGCCGCGAACGACATGGGGCTGCACTGGGACGCTGGGATATTTGCTGAACCGACTGAGAGCAAGTTGGCTAAGGGTCATAAAGGACAGGTTGCGTTTGAACTGATCGCGAGCGGCGTTGCTTGGTAAGTCCTCAGTCTAACTTAACTTTCGAAAAAGAAAAGGGAAAAGAAAAGTGTGAACGCCCCTATATTCTTTGGAGCGATTGCTAACGGTTGAGTTATAGCCATTCAGGATACCCACATAAAGGAAAAAGCGCTACACTGTGTCTACTAAACATCCTAAACGACTTCACAGCAGCTTCATGGCCCTCATCCGACCTCCTCGGCCCATCAACCTTTAATATCGGCACCCTCTCAGGCGGAGAAGCGCACAATATCCTCGCGCCCTCCGCAAAAGCCTTATGCGAAGTACGCATGGTATCTGACCTCCCTCTCATCAAAGACAAGATCAGAGCCATCGTCTCCAAACACCCTGATATTGAACTGCGTTGGGTCTTCGAGTACCCTGAAGCGCTTCTAGATTGGGAGGGTTTTGACGGGTTTGAAGCTGCGCCCGTGGCGTTTGGGACTGATGTTCCGAGACTCGAGAAACAGTATTGTGATAAGCGGGTTTTGTATGGTCCTGGGTCAATATTGGTCGCACATGGGCCGGGAGAATTTGTTGAGGTTGGGGAGCTGGTGGGGAGTGTGGGTGGGTATAAGAAGTTGGTTTTGCATTTTTTGAATGCGACGGAGACAGATCGTGGTGGGAAGTCGCTGCAGCCTTCTAAATTGTAATAAGGCGGAAATGACGTACTCCTTGTATGTCAATCCGAATAGCTTACACAAATTGCGATTGTGTGCTCATCTATGGCATGTCAATTCTTATATGTGTATTTAGATTCTAATGTGTCGGTAGATTGACATGTAGTTATCGCTAACTTGATCGGAAATTATGATAAAGACCATCTCCTCATTCCAGCCCTGACACCAAAATACACAGAAGCACCCAAGCATGTAAGAATCGGAACTCCGTACACACCCAATCCAATCAAGATACCCTGTTCGAAGAAACCTAGAGACTTCCACTCTGCTCTCTTCTTCGCCTTGATCTCCATTGCTGCATCGGCCAACAGCTTGTCCACTTCTTTGGATGCGGTGCTGTCCAGACCAGAATGTGATTTCGAGCCCGCGACGAACACTGGACTGTGGCGGATAAATTGATCTTTTGTGTACCTTGTAGTTTGATCAACACTGTGTCCCACAGGCGCCGCGGGGCCTACGAGGAGGGATGTAGGCACGTAGTTTGCGAATGAGATGCGTGCTTTGATGAACTGGGAGAGGTATTTCGTGTGCGCGGGGGCGGCGAAATGGTAAGCGGCGAGAAGTTGGTCGTCCGAGTCAAGAGCAGCTAGGTCGACAGCGTGGTCCAGCGAGGTAATGGGAAATGAGGCGAAAATGGGCGCTGAGATTTTTGGTGGCAGAGGGGCCAGCGTTTTGGAAGATGTGCTCAGTATTCCGATGTGCCCATTCCATCCGTGAGCACAGCCGCTCATATTCCAGATTTTATCTTTCTCAATGGCGACCATGGTATCTACCATATGTGGTCCAGCGTAAGTGTAGTCAGACTGTATCTGATCATCATATTCTTCTGAGAATACTGTTGCGAAGAGGTACTGCTTGGAGTGTTCCGTCACCAGGTTCAGAAATTCGCGTTCCACAAACTCGTTGACAAGAATCACGTCAGGAGCGTACGGCGAGGTGCCACCAAACGCGAAGCGGGCTTTGACAAGCTGTTCGGCAGCAACAGAGAGATCAGCGGTTCTATCTACTACCGCAATTACTTTGCTACCGGGCGAAACAAGCTGGGAGTACGTCGGCTGTGGTGTTCCTTCGCCATGTTGCAAAACTGACAAACACTGAGCGATGGATTCCGAAGAGGGACTGGACGTCACGATTTGGAAAGTGTCAGATTCGAGCGCGTCCCGGAGGAGGGTCTGGAGTAAGGCAGGAAGAACCTGTGTCGTTGTTTCTAACTTTTCGAGAATTAGTCAACAGTCCTCGCCTCAGATTTGCGTCTGGTGAAAACTAAACCGCACGTACCTTCAGTGCGACGCAATTGCCAGCAGCGAGAGCAACACAGAGCGGAACTACCACGCTGAAAAACGGCGTATGTCGTAGTTGGGGCTCGATGTACACGACTCCCCATGGAAGCTTTCTGTCAGCTGCATTCTGTCGCTGTTGGACTTTGTATTCTTCATCTAACTCTTTCTCTGGATCGATGCCTGCATAATGCTCCTTGATGACTTTAAGCGTAGCAGCAATTTCTTTCGTAATTTCCGCATCTATTGCGCCTGTGTCTCCCTTCACAGCATTTCGTATTTTCTGGACGTTGTTGCGCAACTTGTCGTGCAAGGATTTGAGCTGTTGCTGGCGGAAGAACGAATTGTGGCAACGTGCGGCGCGAGCTGTGCCAAGGAGAGCCTCAATCGTTGCATCAGGGGACGACATCGCTCGCTACCCGTATTCTGAACACGAAAATCTGTCTGGATGCGGTGGTTATACAATGTATGTATAGTATGTGGCATACACTCGAACCACTGTTCTCGCCCTCGGAGCTTTGGACAAGCCGATTGGAGGCATCATGCCTCGTTGCGCTAGGCTGGGGGTCCATCGTTACCCCAGTCGCCCCCAAATTCTCCACATTCCGTAGCACGAAACGGCGGAAACTGACCTCGGATCACTTCATAGTGAAATCCAATGCCTGGTTATCGAATCGAGCATAATCCCCGTTGTTCGTTTGAAAGTTCCTCCAAATGTAAAGTCCGATAACGTCGACACTCTTGGCACTGCCTGGACCACCCATATCAACCAATTTACCCGCTCAGCGCTCACTGCTTCCTTTGAATCGCAAATATGTCAGTAACGACTACCGCAAACCCACAGACCTACAATCTTCGTACAGTGCTCGCAGACTACGAGCTCCACCACACGCCGGAGTCTGAGCCGTTGGACACTTCGCTAAACGCTCACCCAGAGCCCTCCACTACTTCTTCGTCACCGAGCAATCCACCTCACTGGCCTACCGATGCGCGTCGTGTGCCCAACTACCGACCTCTGAATAGGAATCTGGTGCAGAGCGAGCGGAGGGTATACCAGAATGGGGTGGAGCAGGCATTTGTGGGTGTCATGTTTACTGGAGTGGTGATCGAAGCGGTGAGTCTGTGCCTTGTTCTTGCGGTGCAAGGAGAAAAGAGCTGATACTGATATGATATTTAGACTCTGTCAAAAGTGTGGCGTGCAACACTGGGCAGGGTTTGGGACATCGCATATGGGAGAGGAGGGGAGTGGTAAACAAGTGGGATGAGACAATGGTCCGGGGATTCCGTTCGGAAGGCGCCGGAACGACAAGGGATTGTCATGTACAATGCAACATGCTTTGGTCGGAACTGTATATATGGTAAAGAACATATCAAACAAGAGTCTCTGAGACGTCGAATCTCCGTTTCTTCGATTGACGTTTTTGATTGTCGAGGACTAGCTTACTGTCCCCTGTTGGCAACAACATTGAACAACCACACCTTTATCACTTGATGCTATATCATGACCAGACCAGCGCAGGTCGTACCAGAATCCTTTCCTAGATATTTTTTGGTAGCGGCGATAATAGCGACTTTGGTTTTGGTAGGGTAGTTGCAAAATAGGTGCACAAAAAGGCAGGCGGCAGCAAACTGGATAGAAGAAACAGTTTGAAAAAGTCGAGATTCGATTGAGATAGAGAGCCTCTAGCCACTAGCGGTACAGAACAGTGATTGGCCTGTTATCAGCTCGCTTAGTACTACCGCCTCCCAAACCACGGGCCGGTGTTCCGCAGCTCGTCTGCTCAGGACTCTGGGAACATTGAAGATGTATGATCAGATGGATATGTCTCAATCACGCTACTTGATTCCAGCAATCATTGAAGACTTTGGAGGCAATTCACTCTAAACCACAACTATTCCAACCTCCTAGCGGCCTTCAGATCGCTGCCACCAGTCCCTTCAACGATCTTAGCCTCAACAACCTCGTAGATGGGAATCTCTGCCAGCCTTTCTACAATATGATGCAAAGTAGGAAGTTTTCTCGCATCCAGTGCCTCGATGCGAATCTCAGCTTTCTGTGCAATTGTTCTCCTTTCGACCTTCTTCATCGCATTGACTTTCTCGTCCATAGGAGATATGCACGCATACTCGACATCGGCACTGCGTTGCTCCTCTCCGTGAGCAGCAGTGGCAGGGATGTATTTGTAGAAGAAGAGGTTCTCGTCACTTGAAGCAGGCGATGCTGCATCGGTCTGAGCCTCGCTAGACTGGAGCTGTGTGAGCGACAGATTCAAGAAATCACTGCCCATCCAACCCGCCGTCACTGTCAAACTGTCTGTTGTCTTTGCCACATCCAAACGCGAATACACTTTCGGCATGCCTATCTCTTCTCTTCCGCTGATGATTGGGTCCGCTAGGTCTTCGAACAGCACGGGGAGATAGTCTCCCTCGACCGTTTCGCCGTTATTTTTCGTGTACTCAACGCCATGGATATACAGTCCAAGGTGGCTATACCCATTACCGCCCAGCCACTCGAGGTTTCCTAGGGAGGATACCGAAAAAGTGGCGTAGCAATTTGTATCCGATACCGCGAACCGGAACGCCTTGTTTGGGAACAATCCTTCAAGTAACGTCCGACTGGTTCGAAACTTGATGCTTGCTGTCGTGAACGTCGAAGCGCTCCAATCCCTAGCATTCCCCGTGCAGTCCTGACGAGGGCCAGGGAACGGTCCAAATGCTACCGGCATACGTCTATACGCGGTTGGATTTCGACTCCACTCCCATTCGCGTAGCTTCTGCTGAGTATGGTGCCACTCATCGTGCCCAAAGTTATCGTTTGTGTATTTTAGCCCGTCGAAGGGCGGTCCAGTTCCAAGATCCATACCGACGATACGGCTATATTCTTGTATCATGGAAGCGCGCTCGTACCTGCATTTCTCGTAAAGCTTGAGACGGGCGGGGATTTCAGAAGGTGGTGTACCGAGGGGAAGAACGCAGGCTAGAGATGCTGCATCTTCGATAGCTTGACCGGCGCCTTGCCCTTGATCTGCACATCACCTTCGTGTTAGCTGGAGAATTCCCGTATAGAACGAGTGATATGGCTTACGTGGAGTGAACGGGTGCGCGGCGTCACCTATCAATGCTAATCGATCCTCCGTCCAGGTCGGGAGTTGTTCCATGTCAAGAAGCTCCCACACCTTCAACGTATCTTCGCTAGCTTTCCCAAGCAACGCAAGGAGTGCTGGATCAAAGTCCTTGTAAACCTCCAGCAACTTATCCAAATGCCCTGTGTTCTGCCAATCACCACTATCCGGGTCATCCGACGAAATCTCCGAGTCCTTGGTACTATGTATACACACAAAGTTCAAAATCTCGTTGTGTCGCGTAGGATAGATCACCACTCTCCGGTCCCTGCCCATATACAGCGTCATCTGTCCTTCCGCACCCACGAGAGGCTTTGTAACGGGATCCTCCAGTGCCCGCGACCGGGGCATAGTGAACCGAAATGCGCTCTTCCCCGAGCCGAAAGGTCGAATCCCTTCAGAACCGGGCAATGCGTACCGTGTCTTCGAATGGACACCGTCCGCCCCAATAACGACATCAGCGCGGATCTCCTCTCCAGAAGCTAGCACAACAACTCCATCCGTAGTGACCCTCTCCACTCTCGCCGCCGTCTGCAACGTCGCTGGACGACCCACACCATCTTCCCTTATTGCCCCGCGCTTTAGCTCAGAGTGTAGATCGATGCGGTGAGCGAGGAGCCACGGGTGCTGCCATCGCCCTCGCGACCGCCATACAGGAACCTCGAACATAGTTTCGCCGTTGGGTTTTACGTTCTTCATAGTGAGACATTCCACGGCGCCGGTCGCGGGGGCATCGATACCCATTCGCGAGACTAACCCCGCGGCATTGGGCGCAATATGCACTGCGGCACCGACTTCATTTGCGAAACGCGATTGCTCGAGAACAGTGATGTTATGCCCTTGTTGACGGAAAAATATGGCAGCGCTGAGTCCGCCTATTCCCGCGCCTACGATGACGATATTGAGAGGGGTTGGAGCCGTTGGTGCTGCCATCGTGAAAGGGTAATTGTGAGAAAAAGGTGTTCAGATTACGTCGAAGAAGACGCTCATGCTCAAAAACCTCACAATTTTATTGCAAGGTTTCGAATTCGTCGTCTTCCCGAACGTTGTACATCCCGGATAAGATCCACGCGTACTTTGCCGAGTACGAATCGTACATAGATGCACGACTGTGCCGCTGTGTTTACCCACCCACTTCACCACTTACCCCACATTCCGCGCCTTTCTCTCCACACCCCCTCTCCCCCGCATGCTATCGTGCATTATCATATGATTCAAGAGTGTTCGCGTGAAACTATCAAGATAGTCAAGTTGAGGTTGTTGTCCTTTCGTCGGAAGTCGTGAGATGAGGCGTGTCGGTGGTGTGTAGGTGACGTTGAAAGCTAGTCTGAAACAGGCATAGACGTTATTGACGGGTATCCTGGAACATTGATTCTACAAAAACATGACTGCGAACTTAAAATCGTAAGCTATTGTCAATATGGGGTTAAAAGATCAAAACATTCTAAATATTGGTAAGGGTGTTTATGTTAAAGATTCTTGAGTTGATTTGGTAGCTTTGTATAGAACTTACTGTCGTGCGTGTAGGTGAACTATATAAGAGCTTAGGATATGACCGTATGCTAAGTACTTGTCATCCAGTAAACATTAATACTCATTGACGTAGTTAATATATGTGAGATAATGTATCCTGCGACGCTAAATACATTGAGAGAATCGCTAGGGAGTAACAGAAGAAGAAGACTTGAAATACTTCCGAATGCTGAGCAGTTGTTTAATATTATATATTCTTATATTCAAAGGAATATTTTTAGACATGAGGCATTGTATCTAGTTATGCTAAGTATATAGATCTAGATTTTCATAATATGCTGATCAAAAGAGACTGCAACAAACTGAGGATAATTGAGTCCCACAATTTAAAAACATCATGAAAGATTAAGATGTAAAGCGGATGTGTAAGCACCTCTAAAGTATGTTAATGAAAAAGTATATTATACTTCTCTAAAATAAATATCGTCACTTTCGCATCAAAAGATAACTGGTATCTTACCATGAATATTGCACATTCATGACGTATCCTAACCATTAGTACACCGTTACTATACTGTAGAAACCACAGCATGCAAAGGGTCGAGGCGGGTTCCAACAACCTCACGCTTTATTAATCAAATATTAAAAAAGAAAGCAAACACCACTCCTCCCTCACTCAGTCATTTTGCAGACGCATCGCCAGATCCCACGCTTGGTTGAGCGAGATTGTGTCCACCAGACTGTTGTCCATGATCCACTCGCAGATCGTGTTCAATGTTTGCTCGGGCATATAATCAGCATCAGTGAAGAAAAATGGGTCTCCACCACACGCTACCCACTCCTCGTGTCGCTGAACCAACCCCTCTTCGAATAGTAGACACTGCTTCTCAAGGACGTTGGCTTGGTATTTCTTGAATTCGACTTGATTCTGCTTGATCTTGGTTTTCTTGTACTCGTCTTCATCGAAATTGGGCCCGGCAGAGTCTACAGGGTCAGCCATTGATGGGGGCTCAATTGTAATTCGATTTGCTCCGAGGTGCGAAAATTCCGGTTGCGTAAGACGAAGTTCTTTAGTAGATACCAGGAAGAGATGTTTGCACACGGTTGCTCGCGTTTGCTGCCGTACGGGATGGTGGAATGTTCAGCAGAAGGAGGCTTACTGTCGGAGTGAAAGGCTGGGCTAGGCAGTTGGTCGCGTGCCCTTCGTAAGCGCTCTTTCAAGTGAACGAGGAGGTCCAAGCTGGTGTGGTCTTGTGCACTCATCTTAGTAGTCGCAAGGCTTGAGGAGATTGTTTCTGGGGAGTTATCTTCGATGTCAAGCCAAGTGGTGGCGGGGGGGTTGAAAACTCATGTGTCAACGTCCAACAGCCAGCTTCGATTGCCTATTTAGGAGTGTATGGATAATAGGACGATAGAGAGTCCACGCTACCAAGCAATTGCCATATGGCGTAGGTAGCTTGCGAGAAAGCGTGAAAGCTTTTCGCTATAAGGGGTGTTTACTTGCAAGCAAGTAAACTGGACACTTTGTTCGACGCTTCATTATAGCAGAGGCTGTGTCTCTGAACCGTTTGATCTTATGGGATGGTGTTTTGGGGCACCGTTCCAGAACCTCCAGCTCCTTTCCCAAGTCCCATTGTCCAGCTCTTCAGTCTCATCGTCGCGTATTTGGCCTCTCATTCGTCTCCACCATCTTCGCCAATTTTCCCCTTTCCTGCTCCAAACCTCTTCTCTGCCATTCCCGTAAACCACCCAACCTCCTCTTCTTGCCCTCATCGCAAAATTCAAGTAACTGATTAATTCAAAAATCCAGTATAGTATTACTAAGCCGAGCAGAGTGCAGAATATAGTGACAATAGATGTCAAGAAGGTGATCGTCGAGACTTGACATCCCAGCCCACTCGTTCTAGAATCAAGAGGCACATGATCAGTGAAAATCAAATAGCAAGGTTTTCGTAGGATGGCAGAAGTATGAAACACCAAGCGGTGCAGTATCTCAATGTACTTTGTGTTGGAGGAATGTACCTCAACTCAAACCTTTCCGGTCCAGTAGCGCAGATAAACTTGTATCTCAACGGAGCTAGCAGCGGAAAAGCCCTAGATATTGCATCTGTAGGTAGTGGTAAACACGTTTGTGACTATTTACTTTCGTCAGCATTCATCCGCAAACCCCCTCAATTATCCATTCTTGCCTTTCCTTCACCCCCGGGGAATGGATCTGCTCACGAGTGGACACCAGCCGCAAAACCCATCACTCCGATGGCAGTCTCCGCAGTCGTTGTATCCCCAACACAGCTCTAATCTGTGTCTATCGTCTTTTGGACTGCTTTCCCACCGCTCCTGTAGTAAATGCAGTGATAAACTGGAAGGAGCCTCGGATTGTTTGTACGCTGCAGAAGGACAATTCATCGACATGATAAGTGCTGATAAAACCCCCAAACCCAATAGAATAGGTTAGAGATCAAAACTCGAGATGTTCATCGATGATTGACGGATGAAGTGTAGCGGTAGGTCGGATCATGATGCCCATTGTCAGGATGTGGGGCTGGAGCGCTTGTCTTAACTAGGACTAGCTACCGCTCTCGAAACGAATCTACATCGAGACATCGCCAACGAACCCAAATGATCTTAGCCAAGCGACGTGTTCGATGTTTCCATTGGCTCCACTAAGAATGCGATGAGGGCTTATACGGATATTTCATTTGGAAATAATCATTCCAAGCTGAGCGTGGACTCATCCTCTCATGCTCGTCAAAATGCATACTATAGCACAGAGATGCGAAGATTGAGTATTGAAAAGATCCATTGGAACGCAAGATATATACAGGAAAAGGTATGAAAGAAAGTATTTATGCAAACGATGGTAATAGTTTCCAGGTCCACTAATATGAGCACACCATGCTTCAAGTTCGGAACTGACCCAGAATGTATGGCGATGAGCGCACAGATCTCAGCGATGTAGCCATACTTCCGCTGTGCGAGATGTTCATTGTACCGTCATAAATATCATGGGCCCGAATCTTGAGGTGTAAAGCGGAGCGCGTGACAGCGTACAACCATTCATGTGGCAACAATACTGCTATGAATTTTGTGCAAGCTATTTGAGCGCAAGAATCTTCTTGGCTGCGTGCTCAGCGACGGTGACAATGTACGACGTGGGGTTGGTAACAATCATTCTTTTGCAGGTCAGCAAAGGGTTATACCATGTACGGATACCGAAATCAGCTTACCCGGGGAAGATGGAAGCGTCAACAACGTGGATGTTGTCAGTGCCGTAGACCTGTGTGTTGGTGTCAACGACAGAGGTACCACCCGTAAGGCCGCTGTCAGTGCCGATCTTAGCAGTGCCGATCCAGTGGTTGGCTCGTCGGGAGCTAGGAGTCTTTGGAAGCTACACGACAGTTAGTGTCTGTATATGATTTGCAAACTGGGAAGCTTACACTAGCGACGTAGTCTTCAACCGAAACACCAGGGGCCGGGACTTGGAAAGTGATGGAAGGCAACTTGGCAATGGCCTTTTGCATGTTCTTGATGCTGGTAATGATGGCATCCGTGTCGGCCTGTGTCTGGAGGTAAGGTGCCTTGGACACAAACATACCGAGCGCGCCGTTGATGGAAAGTGCACCACGGGAGTTAGTTCCACGTCCAAGGTATTGAGAGATGGTCATGGAGTCTGCATTCATTGTCAACTAAGAGCATCAAAGACGTCGACGCAAAGATTGTCTCACGGGTATCGTTGGCTTTCGGGCCTTCTACACGGGCAGTCCATTGGATAGATCGGTCTACACCATCTGTGCCCTTGATAACCTCCCAGGCCAAGGGGCCGATGTTCGGCGCAGATTGAGCTAGTATACCAGCGCGGCTTTGGAGGTACTTGGTCTTGTCCGCCTCAATTGGATCAGTCCACGCCTCGTAAAAGTCGTAGGTAGAAACGTTGTTATGCTGCACAACAAGATCGGTGTTGACGTGGTCGTTGAGGTTCTGACCGACAGGGAGGTTGATCCACTGGGTCTCGTTGATCATGGTAGATCCATCAAGACCGCTCTTCTTGACAATGTCCAATTGATCTTTTGGCCCGATTCCACTTCGGAAGAGAAGCTTGGTAGATCCGAAAGTGCCAGCGGAGAGAATGACACGGCCACCCTTGTTAAGCTTGATGGTTCCACAGGTACCGCTCTCAAGCTCTACACCAGTCGCTGTCTTTCCATCGCGGACTACACGTCTGACCGCTGTGTTCTGGAGAAGCTTGAAGCTGGGTCGGTTAATAGCGGAGACAAGGTAGGTACCGAGAGGACCCTGGCGCTGACCGTTCTCGTACATGAATGGGGAGTGGGAGTAGACGCGGTTCTTCTGCTCCGGAACATCGTTGGCGGTAACTTGTTTCCACCCATCAGCGCTGAAAGCGGTAGAGAGAACCTCGAAGCCCTCCTGCATGTAACGCTTGTGGTCTTGGGATGGAGTGTCAGTGCCAGGAATGCGTTTGAAAACAGCATCAGTCGCTGCTTTCATATCTGCCGATTTCCAACCACTGGGGAAGTTGAAGTCCCAGTCAATGGGGACGGGCTTCCACCAGAGCGCAGCGTTAACGGCAGTGCCTCCTCCAAGAACGCATCCGGCCATTTGGTCGATATCGGTGCAGGCAATGCCCGTGGAATCCCTCCAGATCTGGTTGCAAAGACCAGGGACATCGAAACGAGTCAAATCGGTGCCTTCAAGCCAAGTTGGCTTCATCTTACCACCGAACCGTCCGAGGGAAGGAGGGCCCTTCTCGATGAGCAGAACCTTTTTGCCAGCCTCGGAGAGCTTATCGGCAACGGGGATACCTCCGGCACCGGCGCCAACAACAATGTAGTCGTAGGTATCAGTGGGAGCGGGAGTACCAGAGCACTTGGCCGGTTCCGTTGGTGTAGGGGTTGGGGTTGGAGTCGGGGTCGGGGTGGGGGTGGGAGTCGCTCCATTGCCAGCCCACTCAGCATATTTTGCGTTGCGTGCATCCGTGACGGGAATGCCGAACTGGGACTGTCCGTTGTTGTGGAAAACCCATGAGCCGCCGGCCGCGGGAGGCAGATCGCTGTGCTGTGCCCAGCCAATGACTTGTACGCCATCATCAGCGGGAAGTTGGGAGCCCTCGGCACCCCCTTGGTCCCACACCCAACAGTTTTCACATCTGTAAACCAACTCAAAGTGGGTGCTGTTGACAGAGTGAGAAATCTGAGTAAGGGTAACAGATCCAGTGTAAGGATCAGGAGCGACGTATCCACTATGCATGATTTTAGTAAGGCTGTATACATTGAGGGAAAACAGCAGACAACCTACCCGGCCCAGACAAATTGAGTCTTGACGGCATCTCCATCAGGAGAAGCCACTAGTAGAAGAGAGTTGGGCATACCGCCACCGTGGCTGATGCCTGACCATCCTTTCCCGCCTGACGCCAGAGAACCAACCTAGGTAATGGTCAATAAGGCAATGGCGGTAGATTTATGTAGAACTTTGGAGAATTAACACACCAAGTACCCAATGTACTCATTGTTGCCAACACCGGTCTCTGGTAGTACATAACCCCATTCTAAGCCGCCTGTGGTCTGGGCATCGGTGATGACTTGACGCAAGAACTCAATGCCAGTTCCGGGGTGGGTGTATTTGGAAGCCTGTGCCAGAGTCGTCGAGGCAACTGCGGAAGGGATTAGAGAAGTGTAATAAGCAAAGGCTTCATTGAGAGCGGCTCACAGAGAGGCGACAGCAGCGACGCGGCGTTGAAGAATGTGGAGCCCTTCATTATTGCGAACAGCTATCGACTGGGATAGACTGAGCAAAAGTTGGGATGGATGATGGCAAAAGAACGAGAGCAGTCGGCGCGGCCACGAAACCAAAGGCATGGCGGGCAATCAGAACGTCTTATAGTTTTTGGGTATTATCCAGGTAATAACAGGACCACGGTGAAATCTGGGCTCAACTGCCCTCGGCAAATAATGCAGAGGAGTACAAGCGACATGTCGACAGCTTCAGGACTCCAGGCCGCCACAGAGGCTCGCATAGATCCAGGAACCGGAACCGTGTAAGCTGGATCCCTGCGGCTCGTGGTGAGCGGGTGAGTAAAAGGCTGGCGGTGATTCGTGCCGGAGTCACATGGGCACTCTGGATGAGGGCGAGATGGCACGTCTTAATTTGTGGTGAATGAGCGACATGGGTGTTTTGATTGATGTAGATTGATTAAGGACGGATGCGCTGCTCCCCTAGCCGTCGGACCCTTGCTAGATCAGTGCGCCGAGGCCCACCAAGCATCCCCACACTCGCTTAGCTGCCCTACTTGGGACCGCCCGCCATTGCATTCCACCTACCAGACACGCACCCTCCACGGACCCTCCTCCACATTCTCCAATGTCTTCTCCAACGTCACCTACATGGTCGTCTATATTGCACTCTATATGCTGTTGCACACTACGGCGCTAATGCAGCACCTCATCTCCTCCTCGCACTTCCATGTCGGCTTTTCTGTTGCCATGTACCTGTGTACGCGACGGAACACCAACTGACAGTCACTTTTGTCCGTGGGCGCTCACCCGCCTTCAGGTCTTGGGGTACTTGCAGAGTATATGTACTTCGTACACGACACCGTTAAGCTTCTCGTATCCGCCGTCCCCCCTTGCTCCGAAGACGCCACCCTCAAACGACGTTACCCCCTTCGTCTATAAGGCTGGTTGGCATAGTATATGAACTGCCCACAAACAGCAATGCCAGCTCAAATTCCAGTCCACCTCCTCCTTGCATTGCCTGGATCTGGTCAAACCCATTGTTGTCGCGCAATCAATCCCTTGGCCCCTTCCACTCTGTCCGTCGGTACCGCTGCCCTTGGTTCCACAATCGACATGTCTATCCTACTTTCCCACCCACCTCGTGTAGCTTGGCTTGAAATGCTTTCCTATGTGCGTCAGAGATTTTTTTTCTCTTTTCTCAGCTTTTTCCTTCACGTCTCTTCCTTACACCATCTACGGACAAATCTTAGATCCTAAGTCCGCCTGTGAGCTCTTCGACTGCCCGATAAGGTGGCAAGCAAGGGCAATGATTCCTCCGCGATACTAATTGTCCCATCGCCCGCCCCGCCTTCCACTTCTTTCGTCCCGGGTTCCGGACTCGACTGAGGTTTTCACGATGCATCCAACTGCGACAACCTTTGCAATCAATTGATCCCAAGACCCGCAAGCATGCGTTCGCGCCCTGCTCAGCCAAGCATCACCAACACCCTCAGCTTGCAAACTTTTCGTAATTTTTACATTCTCACACCGCGTCCCAAACAAATGACTGAAGGAATAGCACAATTCCAGTCATATCAAAGCCACCAGAGTGTCTATACGACAATTGGATGGTTGTTTGCAGCCGAAACTCGCTAACAAGCTGCACACGTTTGGCGGGGGAAAACACGTCCCTCACAGTCGTATTCTCCAGTGCCTCGATTCGGCACGTGGGTGTCAAGCCGATCACTGCATGTGATAATGTGTTCAATGATGTGATTTGCAATGGCGGGTACGTACTCCCCGCATATAGTATCCGCGCATATAGTGTTTGTGCATATAGTCCTCAAATAGACTCAGGATCAACCCCTGCCCAGCTTCTGTTTGTCACTGTGCGAATTCTGCTCGGAGTTTACTCTTAGCTAACAGCTCTCGGCTGGCCACCTGCTGACCGTCGTTAGCACTGTATTAACACGTATTCCCAAATGCAAAAGACACCCACGATGCTGAAGAATCAAAACTTTGCATATCGTTGCATTACATCAGGCCAGTCAAGGGGTATCTGTCGAAATTGGATAATACCCCGACAATGTCTGTCACTGAGACTGAGAGATCCATAGCTCGCAGCAAACGGTGGTGAGCTGATGTCTTGGCCGACCGTAAACCAGGGTTTAGATATATCATAATGGCTAATGGATGGCGAAGAAGCTCATTGACCCTGTCAAAACTATCTTGTTGCCTTGCCGGGTTCCAGGCAGAGCAGTCAGTTCTTGTCTCCTCGTTTTGGATGCACTCATCGTTTCCCCCAAAAAATAAGAGAATACAAGGAATTTTCTGGACGCAACTTTATGTGGTAGTACAACGCAAGCAGCGGAAGTAGCGCGAAGCGCTTGACGATCAACTCCCCGGAGGCATACAAGCCGGCCGATATGATCGTCAGCCTGTACTGACCCGTGTACTAACATCGTATTCGATCCCCGATCCTACGACCCCTCACATGCCAATTTCAGCCATGTTAAGTGATTGCTTCGTGCGAGAGGTCGAGGGGTGAACGAACACTTAGCCGCGAACCCGTATCCAGACACTACCCAGAAACGGTCTCGTGCCCCATCAAACAGATTGACCAGATCACCGAAAGAATCAACTATCCAGCTATATATACATTGTTTAGATGAAGAAAAGATATACTCAACACGCAATACAATAACTCACGAACCTGTTCATCACGTACATTGAACAGCAGAGACACTGGTGACTGGGTAGCGAGCCAATGGCATGGAACAAGCCTCATTAACTAATAATTATCCGATTCGAGGCGTCGTCCCAGAGGGCAGGGGAAGCTGTGGCTGACTCTCTCCACTCTCCACCTGCCAACCTCTCTAGAGAGCTCCACATTTGCCCGTCATCCCACATGCCGTTGCCGCCAGCCTGCCAGCCAATTCACCCAGACACCCACTCCCCTCTATCCGCAACGAAATCCACCTACCCAACCGCTCTACGCCACAGAGCCGCATTCTATTCGATTGCCTTTGATTCATTGCTCCGCGAGTGCCAATATGCATGATGAACGTGAGTGGTGTCTTTTTATTTTTTGGTTCACCCCAGATCTGCGCTGCAGGACGGCAGACAGGCGCTTCATTCTCCCCGCTACCCATGCACGCGACGGCAAACATCAATACACACCTTCCAGTATACACGCCCCAAGACGTGTATTGTCGAGCTAGAGTGCGGAAACCACTTTTTGGTGCGCACCGGGAGCTATGGATGGACAATTGATGTCGCTGTTCGCTGCCCGTACATAACAATGAATGGGTGCTGGATGGCTGGTTGAACACCAGACGCATGCATCAACCCAGATCGATACCAGTTCCTTCCAATGCTATACAAAGCACAATAAAAGACAAAAGCTAACAAACATACCCAACCCCAAAACAGACCCCCACCCCCTCCTCGCACAAGTCCCACTAACAGTCTCCCCCTTCCTCTCCCTCCCGACCGCAACCCCACTACCCTACACATACAAGCAACTTCCCTCGACGCTTCCGCCCTCAGTCCTCTCCACAACATCGACTACTACCGCCTCTTCGACCGATCAACAGCAACAGCAGCAACAGAACGAACAACCAGCCTACATCCATAGCAGCACAACAAACACCTCCGCGCACCCCGACCAAATTCTCACTTCATGTCTGGCGTTGCAATCACATTTGCAAGCTCTTGAAGCCAACGCGAAAGCTACACTGCAAGGCTTTGAGGACCGGCGAAAAGCTGCCGAGTTGGCGGAGAAGAGGCGTGTGGCGCCGGGGTGGTTGGATGGGGACGTCAAGTTGTTGCGACCGGAAAATGTTGGGGATGCGACCACGATGGGAGGGGATGGGGACGGGAATGGCGCCGACACGGAAATGGGCGGTGTGATGGACGAGCACGGGCAGAGGAGGAGAAGGGCCAGTGTTGGCATCAAGGGATTGGTGGAGAAGAGGGATGGGGTGCCGGATGAAAGGGAAGGGGAGGCGCTCGATCGTGCGTTTGGGGGTATGAACATCAAGTAGAGGTATGGCGGAACAAAGAGCATCACGACAGTTATTCCATTGCTGGGCAAATCTGAAGAACATCAGGCAAGTATCTTAGCAGCCATAGAACATCATCTTTGACCACAGTGTCCAAAGGAACGAGTTAGCTATGTAGGTCAATATACCGTGCCATGCGTGCATTATAAGACCTTTTGTTTCCTGACGGCCCTTCTGGAGCGACTGGAATAATACACCCCCATGTATCCCAGCACTACTCAACATGCCCTGCCAGCTAGCGACAATCTCTGCTGTGCTCTGCTGGTCTCAGCCCTGCCATCTCTGCACAAAGCCCCCAAAAGCTCCTCGCGACGATTACAAACATATGGAAGGCAGAAAAGAGGGGAATCTCGAAGTTAAAATTAGGCCTGTGCTGCTGTGAGCCAAGCAAAGTGTGTAAGTGTGAAGAAGCCAACGCCACCGACGCCCTGGTGAATGTTTTAACGGCGGCCGTGCGAGCGGTTGCCAATGGTCGTCTGGAGTGATTCGACTTCGTTTTCGAGCTGCTTGATCATGGCGTGGCTGGCCTCGAGATCCTTGTTGAGGCGGTCGCGCTCGGTGATGAGCTTCTGCTCCCATTGTCTGAATCGCTGCTCCTCCACCTTGACCTGCTCTGTGAAGCGCTTGCGGAGAGCCTCTTCCTCTTCCTTGAACTTGGGGTTGTCGAGCTTCCGTGGGCGTGCCTCGCCAAACTTGCGAGTCTCCATCTGCTGGGCACGGTAGGCCTCGTAGTGGTTCTCCTCGGTGGTGTGAATCAAGTCGAGCATGTGGGTTCGGATGAGGATAGCACGGAGCTTCTTAAAGTCGCAGTGGTCTTCATTTTCAACCTCAGCAACACCCCAGGCGTACTGTCGGCCCTTGACGGATCGTCCGTCGTTGGTCGCTACATCCTTCTCGGATCCAATGACAGAGAAGGGCATGGCGTTGATCAACCCACGGGCATGATTGAGCGCGGCATCGTCGTCCTCCTCGAGCGGCGGCGAGTAAATCTTGATGCCTTGGGCCTCAATGACTGCGCTCACCCTCTGCTTGAACCTGGCCAAATCGGCGGGGCTCTGAGTGTCAGCCTTTGCGATGACGGGAATCAGGTTGACGCGCGTGCAAAGCTTCTTCATGACCTCAATGTCCAAGGGCTTGAGGGTGTGGCCAGTAGGTCGGATGAAGTACAAGCAAGCGTGCACGCGAAGATCGATCTTATCGGTGCGGCGCGGTTGCTGCTCCTGCAACATGTACGACTCGTGTTGGTCGTCGAGGAACTCGATAATGGGTTGCCAGGAGTCGCGGTTGTTGACGTAGTCGCCGAAGCCAGGAGTGTCAATGACAGTCAAGCGGACTGGAGTGATTGTTAGCATGACAGCGTCTCTGCCGAAGGATGCAGCCAAATACCTTTGAAGAACTTCTCCTCAAGCTCAGCCTTGGTGATTTCAATTTCTACCGTCTTGTCCATCTGCTTGTTGTGTCGGCGCTTGTGGTCGGCATAGTTCTTGATGGTGGTGGAGAACAGGGTGTTGATGAAGGTCGTTTTGCCCAGACCAGACTCGCCAGCAACCTAGTGCATTTAGTATTGTTATTTTGGAAACAGCATCAATAAAACTTACCATGATGGTGAAGGCAGCTCCACGCTTTGCAACAATCTTGTGTCTGTCTCTTGTTAGGCTTCATACGTGTCGTGTCCAAATGTAAAGCATACCGCTGGTTGGGGAGCTGCAATGGATTAGCAAGACGACAGATGCAATGCGGCGAATGATGTACATACATTGGCAATGCCAATTGGGGAAGCGGATTCGGCCATTGTGTATGGTGGTCTGGAGTTGACGATTGAAACTGGCTGGCTGATATGGTACGGGGGGTGGTGGAGAAAGGGTGGAGGCGCTTCTGGCAGGAAGCTGGTTAGCTGTTGTTATGGTTTACCATGAGTAGATTTCTTTGGAATGGCATACCACGAACAATACACCAGGCAGGAGACGGTCGGAGGCAAGCTCGATATGCTATGCACTGGGCGTGGGGAAGAGGTTGTGGTGAAGGCTGCGTGGTGTTTGTACAATTTGGCGTCCCCTTTCTCAACAGTAGGCGCGATTCTCAATCCGGTAAGGCGCGCTCAACGGGCCCGGCCACTTAAGACGCAGAACGCGGGCCCGAGCTCTTATCCCAAAAAAAAAGTTGAAGATATGAATTGTCGTCGTTCGCGCCCCCGCAACATGCGACAACTGTTCCATAGACATTTTCCGATATGAAGACCGATTTCCAAGTAAGGGTGACCTCCTGGTTGTGAGCGCGCCTCTCATGTCTCTTCTGTACTAATCGATGCGACAGTTCTCCAACCTACTGGGAACCGTATACAGCAGAGGAAACCTTTTGTTCACACCAGATGGCACATGCCTGCTGTCCCCAGTAGGCAATAGAGTGTCTGTTTTTGACCTCGTCAACTCGAAATCCTACACCCTTCCCTTCGCACACCGACGCAACATTGCGCGATTAGCATTGAACCCCAAAGGAAACCTGCTTCTTTCCATCGACGAAGATGGTCGCGCCATCCTCACCAACATTCCCCGCCGCATCGTTCTTTACCACTTTTCGCTCCGTGGCGAGGTAAACGCTCTTGCATTCGCTCCTTCCGGTCGTCATTTCGCAGTGGCCACGGGCCGTCAAATTGAGGTATGGCACACACCATCCACGCCAGACGTCGCCGATGGAGACCTCGAATTCGCGCCGTTTGTGCTGCACCGACTTTACCTTGGCCACTTTGATACTGTTCGGAGCATAGAATGGTCAGCAGATTCTAGATTCTTCCTCAGTTCATCCAAAGACATGACCTCGCGGATATGGAGTTTGGATGCCGAAGAAGGCTTTGCGCAAACCACATTGTCAGGCCACAGGCAAGCAGTGGTGGGCGCTTGGTTCTCCCAAGACCAGGAAACCATCTACACAGTCAGCAAGGATGGAGCACTCTTCGTTTGGAGATACATGCTTCGTTACGACGCGCCCGAGGACGCCGAAGAAACAGACGAGAATATGCAGTGGGGTATTTCGGAACGTCACTTCTTCATGCAGAATAATGCCCATGTTACATGTGCCAGCTTCCACCCTGAGACCAAATTGCTCGTCACTGGTTTTTCACATGGCATTTTCTTCATACATGAGCTCCCCGGATTCAGCCAGATTCAGAACTTGAGGTGCGCATTTTGTCTGGTTATTGTCTTCACATGCACTGGCTGACATATTCTAGTATATCGCAAAATAACATTGACTTCGTAGCCATCAACAAAACCGGCGAGTGGCTAGCGTTCGGAGCTTCAAAATTGGGGCAACTGCTAGTGTGGGAATGGCAGTCAGAGTCTTACATTTTGAAACAGCAGGGTCACTTTGACGCTATGAACACAATCGCTTACTCGCCCGAAGGGCAGCGCATAATAACTGCCGCGGATGATGGCAAAATCAAGGTCTGGGACGTCAACTCGGGATTTTGCGTCGTGACATTCACTGAGCACCTGGGAGCTGTCACAGCAAGTGAATTTGCCAAACGTGGAAACGTATTATACACCGCAAGCTTGGATGGGTCAGTAAGAGCATGGGATCTCATTCGATATCGTAACTTCCGCACTTTCACCGCACCGTCACGACTGCAGTTCACTTCATTGGCGATTGATCCTAGTGGCGAAGTTGTTTGCGCTGGATCACTCGATTCTTTCGATATCCACATTTGGTCTGTCCAGACCGGGCAACTACTAGATCGGTTGACAGGGCACGAAGGACCAGTGATGTCACTAGCATTTTCACCCGATGGCAGCACATTAGTGAGTGGCAGCTGGGATCGTACAGTTCGCCTCTGGAACATATTTGCGCGCACACAAACGAGCGAGCCGTTGCAACTCATGTCAGATGTTGTATGCGTCGCAGTCCGCCCTGACTCGCAACAAATCGCCGTTACAACACTAGACGGCCAATTGACCTTTTGGTCTGTATCGGAGGCCAGTCAGCAAAACGGCATTGATGGACGTCGTGATGTGTCGGGTGGACGAAAGATGACAGATCGACGAACAGCTGCCAACGTAGCTGGAACCAAAAGTTTTGATACGGTGAAGTATAGCGCAGACGGCACATGTGTTCTTGCTGGAGGTAAGAGCAAGTATATTTGTTTGTACGATGTTCAATCTGGCGTGCTAATCAAGAAGTTCACCGTCTCTGTGAACCTCGCTCTGGACGGGACGCAAGAGTTTCTAAACAGTAGACTTCTCACTGAAGCGGGGCCGATGGGGATGATCGATGAGCAGGGCGAAGAATCAGACAGAGAAAACCGAAGAGATTACACACTTCCGGGAGCCCAGCGCGGAGAAGGTGCACGGAAAACAAGGCCAGCTATCCGCGTCCCTTCTTTAGCTTTCTCGCCCACTGGAAGAGCTTTCTGTGCCGCCTCGACGGAAGGACTACTGATCTATTCCTTGGACACGACAGTCCAATTCGATCCCTTTGATCTCGACATTACTGTGACCCCCTCCACCACACTTCATACCCTAGCCGAACAAGAATACTTGAAAGCGCTTGTGATGGCATTCCGGTTGAACGAACGGACACTGATCCGTCGCGTCTACGAGGCCACACCCGTTTCCGATATTCCACTGATTGTAAAAGAACTCCCTTCGGTGTATCTGGGAAGATTACTTCGATTTGTGGCTCTTCAGGCAGACGAATCGCCGCATCTCGAATTCAATTTGGTATGGATCGAGGCTCTATTGAGCAAGCATGGGCGGTGGATGAAGGATAACCGAGGAGGCATGGAGGCAGAACTGCGAAGCGTAGAGAAGGCAGTCAGGAGGATACAGGCGGAGTTAGCAAGGCTGGCGGATGAAAACATTTACCGGATCGAATATCTGCTCGCGCAGCCAGTGGAGAAAACTGGTGGCGCTTTGGCATTGGATTTCGGCGTCAAAGACTTGGACAATGAGAGTATTGACGAGGTTATGGTGGACGGAGACGATGATAGTGAGGGTGAATGGCTGGGGTTCAATTAGACGCTCATGAATCTTAACATGGCAATTAAGGCCATGTTCATCTTATGCAATTGACGTATATTGATGGCCTTTTGCTCTTTCGATAGTCCCATGTTGAAACATGACTCGATTTTGGTCCTGGAATACCCGATTCGCTATAGTCATGATTCTTGCACCCTCTTCCAATTCCCAGCCACGAAGCACGCGAAACATGATCCATTATCCGACAGCAACTACCGGAAATGAGCCACAAGTTTCCGCCCTATTCGGCATGCACACCGAACAGAGAGCCATTCTTCTCGACGTTTCATCGAATGCTTTAGCCCTCAGGCAATGGTTCAACGTTTCCTGACACATGCCGGCGAGTCGGTTTCCTGTCGGCTTCGATTCACGCCACCACGAAACATGACGCCTGTGTTCCGAAACCCTGCGAGCCGCACCTGCCACGCCAAGCCATGCCGCACCCTGGCTTTTTTCAGACGTCAAACCGTCCAATGCGGAATGCCGTGATATTTCGCATACACTTCTACACAAAACAGGGGCTTGAGGTAGTTTGAAGCGAGCGGCAATGCGCGCTATCGTGAACAGACACGGCAGACAAGACGGAACAACCCTGGCACCCGATTGCTTATTCCCACAGTCGACCATACCCGCACAGCGTCAACTCCAGCCCTAAACCATCTCTGGTAATTCAGATAGCAGGGTAAGGTAGGAGTGCAACCTCACCATCGAAAGAGGTCCACCAAAACCCCACTGCATGATGGGGCCTCAGGAGTACAGAGGTTTTCGTAGGCGCTCTAGCCCACAATTCTCCTTCGCAAAGGAGTGAGTGAGGTGTTTATATTGCGGCCATGGGAGCCTCATTCAGGTTATTCACACCACCGAACTCATTCGTCGCTTTCTTCGCTTCTCAGGATACAGGAGATCCCTTCTTTTTTTTTGTTTCCTTTCGCTCTATTCATTCATTTCTACCAGAGCGCTGTGCGCAGTTCATACACACACACACACATCCACACAATGCATTACTCTTCTTCCATCCTGGCGGTTGTCGCCCTCGTCTCTTCTGTCAATGCCCACGGTGTCATCGTACAAGCCGTTGGTGAGCAAGGCGCAAGTCAAGGTTTCTTGGGTACGTAGCATTGATTCCTTCAAAGATGCTTCATACTAACGCCAGTCAAACAGTTGATCAGACCCTTGCTCGCAACTGCACCAACATCAGTCCTTGCCAGCAGGATTCTACTATCATCCGTGACTCGGAAATCACCCAGAACATCGTCAACTCATGTGGCCGCACCGAGATTGCCGGCAACATCGATGTCGGCGAACAGACAGAGGCTGAATTGGCTGCTGGACGCATGACCACAGTCACCAAGGGCTCTAAGCTCGCTGTAACCATCCATCAGGTCAACGCCGATGGTGCTGGTCCCTACGAGTGCGAGCTCGACGAAACCAGCAATGCTGCTACTAATTTCGTCAAGTTGCAAGTGGCCAACAACGTCCCTGGTGCCAACGGTCTCTCCGATGCCAAGGAGCAGAACTTCACCGTCCAAGTCACGATGCCTGATGACTTCAACTGCATCGGAGCATCGACTGGTGATATTTGCACAGTCCGCTGCCGCAACACTGCTGTTGCTGGGCCTTTCGGAGGCTGCTTCGCTGTCCAGCAAACTGATGGCACCGGTCGAACTGACAATTCCGCGAGTGGTAAGTGATGATCTTTCTTTTCGACACGTTTATTTCCTGCACATCCACACAAACTTCGTTCGAAGCGCACACACTCATGTTCCCCCCCAGGCGTCGAAACTGCGCAGACCCTCCAAGGCATCTCCGCACAGATTCTTCAGAACCAGAAAGATCTACCCATTGCCATAGCGGCCAACCAGGCTGTGGGAGCCGCCGAGGCCGCTGTCGCCAATAAAGACAACGAAGCTGGCATCGCTGCGATTTCTGGTGCGCTCATCCCTTCTCATTCGTCATCTCCGTCACCCACTTAGAATGTAGAAGAACCAAGAAGCTAACATGTTCAATCACAGCTCTTCTCGCAGCAAACCCTGCAGCTGGTGCGACCTCTACCTCTGCTGCCGCAAGCGCTACCCAAGCGGCCGGTGGCAATGGTAAAGGCAATGGCAATGGCAACGGAAACAAAAACAACGGAAACCAAAACCAGAATGCTGGCGGCAACCAAAATCAGAACCAAGCCGGAGGTAACCAGAATCAGAACCAAGCTGGCGGTAACCAAAATCAGAATGCTGGCGGTAACGCCAACGGTAACAAGGGCGGAAATGGTCAGCAAGCCGGCAATGGTAACGGACGAGGCAACAACAAGAAGAGGAGCTTCTCTTTCTTCTCTTAGGTCGCTGATACTTGTCGCTGGATCACCACGATACGCCATCTGGCATGATCACGGCAAGGGGTGTTCTCCTCGTCTGTTGTGTAGATAGAAGTGTTGGTGTGGTGTTGTTATGTTCGAGTCTCACCGCTGCTGGGTAGCTTAAGAGGCGTTGGTCGCAGGTGGTCAAGATGTATATTGCCTTGTGATTGTGTGTCTGTGTACATATACCTATTTGTTCATATATTTTTGTTTTATTCGGTGGAACAAACTTTCTCATGGTGAAGACGACTGGTGATTGATCTTTTCAATGTGAGGTGTGTTTGGAGCATGTTTAGCAAGTGGGAAGGTCTTTTCTATTCGGGATCTGGATATATGGAATTTTGATTCGAGTTTTTTTTTTCTGTTCTTTTTTTTTTTCGAGAACGTCTAATTACATGATTCCAGCTATACCGCTATTACCACATAGGCAGCAGAAACACTTGCAAGCGAAAGAGAAAGATGGAAGAAAATAAAAATGTGGAAGACAAGACAATACCCCCTTCCCAAATTAGCAGACACCCTGGAAAAACCAAACCCCTACCCAACCCACCCCCTTTTCCCCCATACATTTCTACATCTCAACCCCACCCCTCCTTCCGCCAACTAACCCCAAGACATCATCACGGCTAGGCATCCGACTAACAACCTCACTCCTCATCAAAAACTCCGTCGTCAACAAAATCCCTCCATCCCCCCACGTTCCATCCCGCTCCTCCTCGCTCCCTCGCAATCTCTCTTCCTCTTCCTCATCGTAATACGCTCCCCTGCTGCTCCCTCGACCGGGGTACCCATACCCAGCTGGCCAGATGGTCTCAGAGGATAGCGAGATAGGGGGTTCCGGTGTAGCTCTGCACTGCGCGATTGTGGATTTCAGCGCGGGTGTTGCGATGAATGGGAGGGAAGGGCTACGGTGGCGAGGGCGTGCGCGAGGGTGAGAACGAGATTGTTTCTTGCTGGTGCTGCTGCGGGGTGGGTTCGATGAGGGACGGGCGTCGTTTGATGAGGAGAGGCGGCTGAAGTAGCCGCGGGGTGGTGGTGGTGGTGGGTGAGGGTGATGATTGTTTGAATTTGAGTTTGGCGTTGGCGTTGGGGAAATGCTATGTGACGAGTGGAGGCTGAAGCGATGGAGGTTGCGCGTGAAGAGGGATTTCAGGGTAGGAATGCAGAGGGTGATCAGGAGGGCTTGCTGTTCGAGGATGGACCATTGGGGTGGGGTGAAGCGGGAGATTGGTGGGGTTGAGGGTGTGGTCGTGTCGATGTGTAGTGGTGAGGCGTGGAGGAGGGTGGAGCGGACGAGGTTTGCGGAGATGGAGAAGAGTGATAGAATTGTTATGAGTGTTAGTCCTAACTTTTCGGTGAAACCCCTGCATCTTTTTCTGTGCTGAATGGTGGTGAAGATGGTGAGGATTAAAGTGACAGTTATCCCAGTGCCAGATTCGATGTAGAATGCGAGCAATGTGTCTTCTCTACTAACACATTTTGCGTTCGGGTTCGACTCGGAATCCCAGTTGCTTGATATTGGTCGACATCGCGCTATCTGGAACGCGGTGTTTGCTGTGCTTGATAGAGCTTGGAGCAGTGCTATTGTGTAGAGTAGAGCGTGGCGCAGTGGACCATACCGTGTCTGAAGGAGCATGTATACTGCGCTGACCTTGGCGAGTACGATGGAAGGTCCATAGAAGAGAGATGATGCGAACAAAATATGTTGAGAACGGGTGTAGTCGGATTCATCGGAGCGGCACGAAGCCACCAGTAATGAAAATTGTATGATTGAAAGAACCTGATGATAAGATTAGTATCACAGAAAAGGTAGAGGAAGATAGGACCATACTCCTGCGATGGTAATCATCCAGTCTTCTAGGCCAACCCTCCTATGCTGCACTGAGACGGCCACTCTGCCTGCTAAACAAGCAACAGTGAAGAAGTAGAGCACGCCTGTGATGATGATACCCGTTGGCCATGTATTCGCCATCACTTCGATCTTAGTCTATTTCCATCTAAGAAAATAGCATGGAAGTTCAATGTTTCAACGTTCAAAAGAGGGTTAAGTCTGCTTCGCCTGTACCGAGAGTATCAGTTTATCAAGAACCCAGAGATTCAAACCCTTGAACACCAAAAAACAAAAACGAGTTCAAAAAAGAAAGAAAGAAGATCGATCGCTTTCAGCTCTACCGAAAAGCAAAAACAAGACGTCTGTCAGATTAATATCACGAGGGACCAGCACGATCATGCTAAGTCCACATGTTCAATACCTGCACGCATGCATGTCCATGATTAAACCAAGTCCCGTCCCTGAAGATCATCCCGACCCCTCCCTCGCTCTTCATCAACCTGCCCACAGGCAAAACCCCCTCAAGCGAGTCGAAACACTTATCTACCAACCAATCTGCAGAAGAAAACAAATCATCATGCAACGAAAAGGAAAACATGCTGCAGCGTTTCTGCATATGCGCTTTCCAATTCAGCCACCGTATCGCAAGAAACAAAACCAAGCGCCAGATTATGCAGCATCAGCATCCCATGCAGGCGAGAACCAACACGTGGATCCGCTGCCCTTTCGCTGCCCGATTCATTCATCTCCTGTTCGGTTAATTAGGTACAATCGTCTCTTGTGCACATCTTTGTCTCTGCTGCTTCTGCACATGTAGTATTTTGGCTATATCGGTATATGCATCTGCAACGACAATTCTGCCTTTTGCTCGTACATGACTCCCTTTTGCATTTCAGGCGAAAGCAGGTGGGCGTTGTCGATCTCGCGGAGTTCTCTGTTCTTTTTCCGGTTCTAGCTGGGTATATATTGCCAGGTGGTTGCTCCCTCGCTCTTTCTTTCTCTCGGGGATTTTTTGCTTCTTGATATAGGCATGGTTTGAGATAGGCGACTGACTTGGCGGGAGTTTAGCCTGTTTGGAGGGCAAGTTGAATGGCGTGCGGCTGAGCTCAGGAGATAGAGGCAGAGAACCTGGAGGATGATCGTGATGCTGATTGGTGTTGTCTTACTTTTTGTTGTGGCAATTGGATCACGTTTGATAGGCTGGGTTGTGGAGTTTCTTGTGTTCTGAAACATTGTGGAGTTGGATGCCCTGCAGGACCACGCTTCTCGCGCTCTAGGAAAAATCAGGCTAGAGTAGAACACTTATATGTATGATTTCCGGTCTTTATAGCTATAGCACGTGGTTTTGATACTTCATATGTATGCAAATGCGTATTAGCAGATCGGTAAACGCTGCGAACATACACGGAGATCAAATATTGAGAGGATCACTGGTGGTTGAGTGTTCAGGAGAATGGTTTATGTAGAATATTAGGTATGTACATATATGTAAAGATTTTCGATATTACTGTACACGGTATCGAATACACTGCTTCGAGGCATTGTATCGATATTCAGCTTTGGAAAAAGCATTCTCGGAACTCTAAACGATGGTCCCGATCTAGATGCAACACCTCAACAAGGCATCCTGCGCCAGTCGAAAGCACCAGGATTCTACTTACATGCCTAGATCGACCGCTTCTTTACAAGATCTTCTCCAGTCTTCCCTTCCAACCACCCTTTCCCCTGACTCGACCCTCTTCTTCTACAGCACCGCTACCACTCCCGCTTCCGCTTCCACCGACACTGACTCCATCATCGTAAATATCATCAGGTAAGACGGCAGTCTCGATCATAGTCCTTGTAGGAGAAAAGATCATGGACAACGCGACATACACAATACTGGTAGCCGTGAAACCCAACAACCACCCAAACGAGTACGGTCTACTGCCAACACCGACATCAATATCTGGGTTGATGCTGTTGATGAAGCCAGGCATGTTCGGCGCAACACCAACGAGAAAGGCAATAACGGCGCGCCAATTGACACCGCCCGTGTAGCGGTAGATGCCGTGCGGTTGGTACAACGCGAGGGTATCGTACTTTCTGCGGTGAATGACCCAAAAGTCGAAAACCATGATTGAGGCAATGGGACCCAAAAATACAGCGTACGCGGACATGAAGTTGAGAAAAGAGCCAGCGCTTGCGAGGATCTTCCAAGGGACTAGTGCCCATGCGATGACAGCGCAGAGGAGCTGACCGCGACGGATATTAACGTATTGCGGGAAGAGCGCGGTGAGATCGTTGGCGGCAGAAAGAGAGTTTGCGGAGATGTTTACACCCAAAGCCGCAAGCGCGAAGCTGAAAGCTGCAAAGAAACGGGCGGCGCGCGATTCCCAGTTTTCGACCAGAGCCATAGGGTCCCAATCTAGGTGTCCATACTTCACGGCCCCCGCTGAAGATGCGGCGATCCCGATGAAGGCAATAAAAGTGAAGACGATTGGCAGAAAGGGGACGTACATAAGCTGCCATTTGACGGAAACTCGAGAGTAGCGTGAGAAATCGGCCTGGCATTTGAGGGTAAGCATGACGACAACATTTTCCTCTCGTTCACACAGGCTTACCTGGTTGACAGATAGAGTCGCATAGTTTCCAATGACTGAAGTCAAACTGGACAAGAATGCCCAGCTGTACGCGCTGCCTTGCACGGTGGATTTGCTGGTGACGGCAAAAATGTCTTCGCCCTTGGTTGCCACGAAGGCCCAGATGAGGATCGCAATCCACGCCACAGGTACAACAGCACTCTTGACCATGAACAAAATGCGCAAGCTGTTGGGGTGCATGTACAGGAATGGGAGCTGAATAAGCCAAAAGATGAAAAATGAGACCATGGTGTTTGTTGTGATGCCCTGATCTTCTGGAATTGTATTTTCCAGCGTTAGGAATGACGGCCAGATAGCTCCCAGCATGACGCGAACCGTATTGGCACCGTTCATGGTCTGGATGGCGAACCAGAATATGGCGAGGATGGCACGGGAGATGATGGCAATGTAGGACCCCCAAAAGCCCCAGGAAGCGCGTGCGAGCACCGGGAATGGAGCATGGTCTATCCGAAAAATCAGCAATTGAAAAGATAGGACCAAGATAGCGAAGATGGCTGCAGTATACGTACGAATCACGCCAATGGCACCGTTGAGGGCGATGACGAAAGATATAATGAAGAAGGCAAGAGCTACAATGCCTATTGACTCGCGCCATGAAAGACCGATGGCGATAATGCCAGCACCGAATTGCCATGTTGCAGCGCTGCAACATTGTTAGCGAACAGATGGCATCAGATGCAAAGCGCTCATATATTACTTGACTAGAATCGCGGGCATCAAGTCAGTATGATTCAAACAGAAATTTCCCGGTGAGCTCAAGGTCCTCGAACATGACGCGACGCGGTTTATGCAAGATACGAGAAGGGCTCCTTACAGGCATCGCTAACCCAATAGGCTAGAAATGAAGTGACTCCCCATTTGCGCGCTTGAGGGGGAACTGGATCCAGGTCTTTATTCGTCCTATGAGGATATCAGTCAACTAGACAGTAACGAAAATTTGTAAGGAGGCAGATGGGCTTACCATCGTTGATTTCCCTCGGCGAATGCTGACGTCGGCTGGTCCACCTTCAGATGGGGACGCTCAAACACAGGCATGGCGATGAATGTGAGGCGAGAATTGAAGTGAGAAAGACCTGGGGAGTGGGAAAGCCACGGGTGGAGGCTTCTTTATCATATTTGTGCCGTCCGTCTTCCTTCAGTCGTCTATCCTTGCGCGGCGAAAGCTCTTGGGATACGGCCATGCTTGCGGGGGTGAGGACATGCATGATAAGATAAGCCTCGCTAGACCCCCAATCACACAAGACAGAGCTGTGATCGGGCATCTGTTTCTAGCATTCCTTGATTGCATGGCAAAGAGAGCCCCCACTCTCGCGCATGGTGAAAGAGAAAAGGCGTCTCTGTGTATAAAGAGCTTCCCGGTACATGACAAATACCATCAGCTCTCCTTGGTGCCTGTCTATCTGTCAACGTCGGCAGCTGTCACTTTTCAAAGCATTAGCAAACTCGGCCATTCTTAAATGCTCGTGCCAATAGATAAGCATCCCAGTAACGACAGCCACGCCAGCCACGCTACTCGCTAGTCTTTCCCCAGGTTCCTTCACGTCCGTTCCAGGCTCGGTCCCAGAGCGGAGAAAGCCCACGCGGTCGCGCGACCATCTCCGCCATGGAATGACATAAAACTCCATGCTTCTCTCTGGTCTGTTAACCGTCACACCCACGCTGCTGAACGTCAGTAACTTCCAAATCAAATCACTCATGATTTTGCGCAAGCTCCTTCTGAGCACATTTCATATTGTACAGCAACACTATATCGCCAGATGGCGACCAACACCGCAAGAACATCGCCTCATCGGCAGTGGTATCATGATGAAAAAATGTGCCGGCGCCCATGTGTATCCAATCTTCTCCCCCTTGTTCAAATATACGCCAGTGTGTGGTCATCGCGGAATGTGCCTGAAGCAAGCCCCGTTAGTAAATAATAACAATGCCAGGATACCAACAACATACCATTGACCCCAAGCGCCGCCTCTCCACCAGCCACAGAAGCTCCAGTGACCAATATCTCCCCTACAGCTTGTTCATCCGTGGTTTTGTGCGAGGCCGTGTCCTTCAGCTTGACTTCCAGGCAGCTCAGGGGCACACCGAAATGACTGTGCTTGGTCGAAGGCGTAGCTTCTCTGCGGTAGTCGTAAAGATTGGTTTGCGTCACTGCCCCTGCGACTGCACCTGCAGTCAAGGCATATATGACTCGAGCTTTTGAGTAGATACGAAGGTCGGACAGGTCTTCCGAGGTGAGCGGCGGTGTGTTGAGTCCAGCTCGCTCGGCGACGAAGAGGAGTCGTAGCTTGCCGGGCGTGCTTCCAATATCAGCTCGGGTAGGTGCATTAAGTCGAGAGAACAAGCTGTCGGTTGGTAAGCGGCCCAAAGCTAGTGCACGAGTTTCTGCCGAGTGAGCAAGTTTCTTGAGACCCCCCGTAACGGATGTGGCAGTAGTGCTGTGAAGCTTAGCGGCGGTTGCAGCAGACACGACTGCGATGGTAGGTGCGATAGATCGGGTTGCCAGAGTGAGATCAACACCTGGACCTGCGACCGAAGTGACTACCACATTTGCATGCAAGTACAGCGCGGCCAGAGTCAGGCATAGAGTATACGATTCGGTCAAGCTGTCGGCAGGAAGAAAAGTGTCCGAAGAGTTGAAGCGATGAGCAGCGGGCAAAGCGCTAATCAATGCACCCGTACCGGCGGCTATGTTCTGCAAAGACGTCAGTCAACCATCGAAGTATAGAAAGGGTTGGTGAACTTGCCTGCTGGGTGAGCTCGATAATCTCGGCAGGTTTTCCAATCGCTTCTTGCCAGAGAAAGACGACATTGGGTGCTTTGCTGGTATCTTGGGGCAGGCTTGTAGCCTCGCTCTTGTGATCCTGCACGAGTTGATGCCATACCGAGACATCGATCTTGCCCCCAATGCCCTCTGGAACCTCATTCCAATCCATATGCCTGCTCGTCTTTTCAACTGTCCAGATGATGTTCCGAAGTCCAGGGACGCCTTTCCTGACATCTTCAAGAGGGAGGGCCCCAGCGCTGGAAATAACAGTATCGACGTTGGCACGGTTGAGGAGCTCGATGAGGGTCGGATGAGGCTGATTGTAAGGGATGAGAACCGGGCTGAAGCCATAAAACGCTCCTGCGAACAGGGCCACCAGGAAGTCAACACCGTTGGGAAGATAGAGGCCAACTCTCTTCGCCCCATGGTCCTGCAGATGCTTCCCGATAACATTTATTTCCTTGGTGACGTCGGCAATACTGTGGTCGGTAATATCCTTGCCGAAGACGCTGATGATGTTTGCTGTGCCGCTCGAGGACTGACCTCTCTCCAACGGAATCTCTCCGATCACTCGGCGCCAGATATCTCGGAGGTCGCCATCCCTTCCTGCTGTGTACATGGGCGCGCCAGGAGGTTTCACTCCAAGGCCGGATCGAAGAGCATCTGCCGGGAGTCAGCGCGGGGCAACGAGCTATTGTGCGCCAGCTATAGCAAAACTTACAGCCATGAGGTGTTTCGGGGCTTCTAAAAGCGGCGGACTCCCCATGATTGCGTACATAAGAAGCCTGGGCCTGTCTTGCTAGCAAAAGAGGGTGAGTATCGGCGTCCTGAATGTCGAAGATGGTCCAGCCAATCCAACCCACTATAGCAGCGAGAAGTCCGTAAGTGTAGACATTGGAACCGGCGAGAAGGTCGCCAATAAGGCTGTCAAGTTGATCAATCAAGCCTGGCATATTCTGTATGAGTCAAAAAACAGCTGAAGGAAAGACAGAGAAACTACTCTTCTGTCTGACATGCAAATGCTGATGACGAATATATATGCCGGCTGCAGTGGGGGGATTGTTGGATGGATGGGATGGAATGATGAGAGATGGTCTGTGCGGCGAGCCGGGACCCCGAAAACAAACCGTTGCTGCGTCGTCTCTCTCTCTCTGGATATTATTGCTGCACGTCCGCTCCTTCACACGACATTTGCCCACTACACCCACGACACCACTACATTCATGAAGCGGTGATCCGTAGGCTCCACTGGGGGGAAATACTAACTACTAACTACACAGCATCCAGAATTATTATCGACACCCAATCAAGACAGGCAACCGCTGCTACAGCTCCAGTATCGGTGGTTGTAACCAGGGTAAACAAAGCACGCCCTCGAATATACTGTGTTCGACAATCCCCGCCACCATGAGTCAACTCTCAAGGTCGCTTTCCAACAGCGCACGCAATCCGGTCCCATCTCCTGCCAGTCCGCAGCCCAAGCCGAACATGCCAGTCACCCCCTCAACTCCCCAGGCGCAAACCACCCAGATGCTCACTCCGAACGGCACATGGAGACACCCCATGTTCGACGAGATCACGCGACGCCAGAATGCTGCCAACTTTGATGAGAGCAATGTCAGGAAGATTGTTGCAAACGGCAGCCTTTTGCTGCTTTCTTACGTAGCTAGAGGCATTCTTGCATCACTGGTAGTCCCAGGACTTACCTCGTATGTTCAATCCACGCAATCAACAAATGCGCATAATACTGACATCTGAATAGAGGCAAACCCGTCCTACAAGTCATTCCCGCTGTCCCCTACAGAGGTCTGATTATCAATTCCGTCCGCCTTATCCTCTTCCTGAACATACTCTACGCTTTGTACCCATTGGTTCTTAGCTACTATCCTGACGACCTCGCCGATATCCCTCTCACGCCCTCGCAGCGACTGAGTATGGGCTTAGATCCCAATGTCGCAACACCGCAGACGCCTGGCTCTGCGTACCAATCTCCCAACTACATTACTCCTCCCCGATACCAAAAGTCAACTCCTCGGAGCAGCTTCAGCAATCAGGGTTCGCACTCACCATTGTCGGGCAGCCCGCGCGCAAGCATGGGGAATTCGACGACCAACTCTCCTTTCTCGCCCAGTAATACTGGCAGTCCGCTCTTCCAGAAAGCAGTTGGTGGCAGCTCGGCGTCGCAGCGCCTGAGCTTCGGGGGTAGTTCAATGGGGAACAGCTTCTTCAGCGACAGCAGCTCGAGTGCCACCCCTGGGACACCGACACCGGGTGGAGGCAAAGCCAGTGTGGGCTTAAACAACAAGTGGCTGTACGAGAAGCGGAGGGACAGTCCTAGGAGCAACCTGTTCACTTGAGACGAAGTTGTTCAAGGACTTTGTATGCAATTGATGAAGAGGAAGCCACATATGAAAACACAAATGTCGCTTTATACCCAGGCATACTGCGTTTGGCGCATCACGGATAATACGGCGTTGCATTACCTTTCATACAATCAGCGGTAGTTCAATCAGACACCGCCTTTAGGTATATAGTTCAAAATCAGGAGTGGAAACAATCAGATACCCTAACCCCAAATGCAAGTGACAACATCCAGTGTCTTAATATACAGGCCAATCTTTTCTCGTTATTCCTGACACACCCTCCCAACGCTAATAGAACAACTCCCTTGGCCATCTGAGCAATTCCGATGTATTGCCCAAAGCCCCCCACCACCAAACATCATTCCCTCACGAAAACCGATCCCCCTTCCTACTTCTGAAAACATCGCTTGCTTCATACTTGCTCTTCTCCCTCACGACACCCTCCTCATCCTCAGGCGCATGCCTCGTCGGCGCCGGATCCGAGCTTGCCTCCTGACTCGGTTTCCCAGCTTCCCCCGCGCCCACACCACCCTCGCTCCAACCCTTCTTACCGAGCTCACTGGTAACGCTGCGCGGTGCCGCTTGCGAACTCGACGAGGACGAAGGGGAAGTGATGTGTTGCTGCTCGAGGTTGTACTGTCGGAGGCGTTTTTGGTGTTCGGCTTCGGCTTTTGCGGCGCGTTCGGCGTTGATGCTGCGTTTGGCGAAGAAGTAGGCGCCGCCGCCTGCGACTATGAGGGTACCCCAGCCATAGCTTTTGATGGGGGGATGGAGGTTAGTTTAGGGAATTTTGTTTGTTTCAGGGAGTGATAGGGCCAGGAGGTGAGGCGCGGTTATGGTGGCCGGACGTTATGTAGTGTCTTTTCATCTTCGTGGGAGGTAAGTATGTAGGGAGTGGGTGGCGTACTATACTGATTTCACCTGCTCTCGCGTTAGATGGAGCTGTTTCCCCGCGAAATTGAGAGAGATGGAGCTTACCGTGTTCATTGTGCTTGGAGATTTTGTGATGAGGTTTGCGATTGGGGGTAAGGAGGTGTTTATCCTAGACTTCAATCTTTTTGGGGCGGACGGAATGTTTTGCGCCAACGGAGCTGCTGTGGTGACGACGGAAGTGGTCTGATTTCAACGGCTGATGCGGGTTATCTAATCAGATCTCCGACTTTATGCCGTGTGTGTCTCTACCTCGATCTCTTCGCACTTCAGCATCGATGAGATGATAGGGTCTTTCAGCATACATATGTACATTTGGTTACGAAATCGAAATTGTCTAATTCGGTGATATGGCGCGAGAAGCGTCCGAATCAGCTGACACTGCACTATCCCATCCGATTGCTCACTGATGGTTCCTACATATGTAGTGCAGACATGCATGAATGCGTTGAATGTTCGTGTTCATCGCTAGAGAGTACAACTGATGTGGAATTATTGCGTGTGTGGCCCTCCGGATCAAATGGACGTCACATATGCCTGACAAGAGCAATTGAGTGCGCAACTCTACGGTGTCCCTTCATTTATTCTTCACCTTGACGATAACGCCTTGAACAATGATGGAAACAATTTCCTTTTCCTAGACCAACATATTCCATGCATGTTTCGCCGGGGCCTGGAATCTTCACTATGCAGTACTGTTGAATGCATACGTAGCGAAGCATGCAAAACGCGTCGTCTCCATTACGTCTCAGCGATGCCCGGCATTTCAGCTCTAAGCTCGTGAAAATCGATGTGGATCAAAGACATCAATTGATGATTGCAGCAGAGAGTTGAATTACGCACCTGTAAAAGATTAGATCGGCAGAGCTACTTAGTCCCATTAATCATGCCTCCCCCATGTGCCAGTGCGAACGCTTAATGGTCCGATTAGACGAAATGTCGGCGATTTTCCGCAAGAAAGGTGCCGATTTCTGTACGTGGCTAACATCAATTTGATATTCACGGACATCCCCACCTCTTTCTCCGAACATGCGTCACCCGACTGCCAGGTGCGACCCTTCCCTCGTACAGCTTCCTCTCTATTTTGGGATTTCACGATCGAGTGGTTCAGATTTCGAGTGGTCAAAGACACTGCCACACTGGGGAAACACGCGAGCACGAGATGGCCGACATGCGAATGACGTAACTTGTCCCGAACCATTGAGTCGTCCAACAATATGGATTATCCATTCCAATGATGAGTATCGCACTCCAGCAACACACTGATTGGTCCGGTACAGATAAAGTTCTTCATGGTCTGAACAATGCCTCAACTACTCGATAGGTCACTACCTCCAGCAGAGAAACAGCACGCTTTCTACCTCGTCCATCTCCGTGGTGCAAGTGCAGCTGTCAAAATGCAACGGTACTGTACAAGCAATGCACAACTCAGAAAGTCCCTCAGTATGCATGCACACGCAACGCCGTTCCACGACATACGTAAAAGTCATTTTTGTCCATGCTGCGGAAGAAAGACCTCGAATGGACAAGACTTCAAGTGATGTCACAAGCCTTTCCAAGAGGTCGCTGCCCGAAGCTTGCGTAGAGAGGAGTCGACTTTTGGTTGTGGCCAGCTTGAACGCGTAATCCAACACTGGTGGTGATTTGTTAGCCCGATTCTTGCCTTCTGGTAAATTAAGACAAGCGTGAATGTAGGATCATGGGCACACGTGCGCGTGTGTACGAGTAAGTGAAGTTGTCATTGACCAGAGAAAAGAGTTTATCCAAGCTGGACTCTTCATTCGGTTTAGGGCTGTGTATTCGCTGTTAACGTTGCCCTCACGGAACCCCATCCGGAAGCTGTACTTCGATGGCATGACACGGCATGTTTCCTTGGGTGTCAGATTCGTAAGACATACGCGACTGGCTCTGTGTGGTGAGCTCAGATTTTAGGAAGGTTTCTTGTGAGGTGGTCGGTTGGGGCGATCCTCAACTTTGCCGTGTTTGGTTTCGTCACTGTTTTCTTGTGCCCAGGAGAGGGTTTAGTGGTCGAAGGTTTCCTATATCAACGATCGCGTTCGCTCTGTTACCTTTTTGTTGACTCCCAGCAACCTCAGTCTTCAACCTCAGTCGTCAACCTTTTGCTTGACACCCGGAAAGCAGAATCGCGTTACACGAGCTCAAGAACAACATCACACACCACACACACCATATACCAATACCATACGGGACAGATCATACAACATCAAGATGAAGCTCTCAGTCCCGACTTTCGCCATTTTTGCAGCAGCACCGGCTGCCTTTGCAAACCCTCAGTACCAGGGACCTCCTAACTCGGATGATCCGGCCTTCAAATCATTCACGTCCAACTTCCCTTCGACTTTCTCCAACCTTCCAACCAACGCCCCTCAATTCAGCTCCCTCTACTCGTCTCTTGCCTCTCAGGGCGTCGTGCCTTCAGTCACTGCTCCTCCCTATCCATCTGGAAGTTACGGCGCAGGCAGCGGACCTTGGTGGGGACCTAACGCTAACGGCGGCGGTCCAGGACACGCCTGGGGTGGTCAAAACGGCTGGGGTCCTTTCGGCGACAAATCGTTCGGGCCTTGGAGCGACTGGAGCACTCGCAGCGATTGGCGCTCTGGAGCGTGGACGAGCTGGTGGGGAGGCTCCGCGTGCCCCGCGAGTGACTGGCCTGGCTGGACTGAAGGTCCCTGGAGCACAAGTGCACCCTGGACATCTTGGTCTGGCTGCAGTGCATCTACCACAGCTACCAACGTCGTGACAACTACGGTTTCTGGAACCGCTGCAACGAGCACCCAGTTCGGGGTCAAGGTCGCCGAAGCCAACGCTGGATCTGCTTCCACTGGCTCCGGAAGTGCGGCAGCTGCACCGATGAAGACTGGAAGTGCTGGTGTCGCTTTCGGAGCTGCTGTTGTGGGACTTGCTGCCTTTGGCCTATAAGAGGTTAGTGGGTGATGGTAAGAGACGTTTCTATTGTAAGGAAGTCGTCGTTTAGCTTCTGTCACAGAAGTGTGTGCTGGCTGCTCAAAGGTGTGGTGTAGAGATACAATATCTGACATTCGTTGATCAACATGTATATAGGGATTTGTTCCAGTTGGTAGTGCTCAAGTCCGAATAGAATTTATTTCACCATTACTAATAGCTGCCCGGCGCCGCAAGCCTGGTAAGCTAACATGGAAATCGTCGGTGTGTGAAGTGGAGGTGAAAGAATTTTTTTGTCAACCAGGGGTAGCCTGTCTACCAACACCCATCCACGAACAAGAAAGTCTTTGGATATATAAACAGTCTTGACATCAAATTTTCTCATCAAACAGCAATTGATCAATTGATCAGCTCCTAGAGCGTCATACGCCTGGTTAGCTCAATCGGTAGAGCGTGAGACTCTTATGAGTTCACTTTCTCAGAAAGCGATTGATTTAAGCACAATCTCAAGGTTGCGGGTTCGACCCCCGCATCGGGCTTGCTGAATTCTTTTTTGTTTGTTTTTGGGGATCTTTGGGGCTGATTTGAGGATGTGGTGATGGTTGAGGTGAAGGGTGACGAAATCGGGTCAGTAGGTGATCACCAACCATTTCACTTATATTCATGTATTTAAATTTTTGCCGTCTATTGCCTCGTGGTTCTTCTCGTAAACTGAGTGTTTTTCCATGTCGACATGCTTCTTGTGGGTGGTTTTCGGATTTTTTTTTTTGGTTGCAAGTGCTAGTGAACGGGCCGAGGTGAAATGATCCACTTCTCCCGAAAAACACAAAACAGTGACGCTAGAAGCACCACAACCCAATGGCCGTCTGGCTAAATAATCTGTTGTAAATTCCGGTACTCAACACTCCAATAACGGGCGTGAAAGTACAGCAAGCAACGTAGTTGAGACTTCTTTCAAACACCATGTCGTGCAATCAGGGAATACCATACAAGTATAATAATCATAGAGAGTGTCATTATTTACCAAGCTCAAGACTATCCATTTCACTGTGCTATTCCATGAAAAGCTTGGAAAGACGGCGTAACTACCTATGTATCTAGCCACCATGTACACGGTCGGTTTCAAATAGGTACCAATTTTGAGCCGGATCAACATCAACACAAATATCTCTCCACCAACCATCTAAACGTATCCAGAAGGTCTTGCGCAAGCAGGCTCATTAGGATTGCTCGTATGTACCAATCATGGAATCTACTAATATCGGAAACCGCGGGTTGAGAGAGCACACTAAAGATGATCTGGTTGATTCAGCTTAAAAAATGAACAAGAACTCAAAGCGGCGAGCTCCTGGGAAGCGTCACATCCATGCACATGTGGATGTATGCACGTATGTGTCGCGTGTTAGTGGAGCTCCAATGAGAAACCATTCTTGTACGACGAATTGATGAAAAGCAGCTAAGGTAATCTCTGAACGAAGATCTGTTGCCGTGTACGCCGTTGTGAGGATTGCACCAGGAGTCGTACCTAACTGCTGCAATTGAAGTTATGGGAACAGTGACCTGGAAGATATACAGGTACTGCAAAATCGTGGGTCAAACGATGGCAAGAACCAATCGGCAAGCTTCTACAAGGATTTTCTCTAAAACAAATAAAAGTAACGCTGCACCTTTCTGGATGGATGACAAGAGCGTTAAGGTTGATGGCTGCTGGGGTATGAGTGGACCCTGATGAAAGAAAAGGCTAGCCCGGATAAAGGCTAGTTCTTCCGCGGCTTGGCATATGCGGTTACCGAACATGTATTCGCAACCTCATTGAAAGCACCTGGCTGCCTGTCCAAGTGACCAAGTCTACTGCCTACATCCCCGATCTGCGCATCATGTTCCGATAAGAGATACGATACAGAACCTCCGACAATTATTATCTGCAGAATAACATCACACAATGGCGTCAGCGGTCTTCTTCCTCGACCTCAAGGGCAAGGTGAGCTTGTGGGGTATCTATCAGCAACTGCGGACTGACACCTAGGGGCAGACCCTTTTGGCGCGCAACTACCGGGGAGACATTCCCATGTCCGCAGTTGAAAAGTTTCCCGTACTGCTCAGCGAAGCCGAAGAAGAAAGCTCCGCCGTTCCCCCGTGCTTCTCCAACGAAGGCATCAATTACCTCTACATCCGTCACAACAATCTTTACCTTCTCGCTCTCACCAAACGAAATACCAATGCCGCCGAGATCTTGCTGTTCCTGCACAAGGTGGTCGAAGTCTTCACCGAATACTTCAAGGAGCTGGAGGAGGAGAGTATCAGGGACAATTTCGTCGTCATCTACGAGCTTCTTGACGAGATGATGGATTTTGGGTATCCTCAGACAACAGAAAGCAAGATTCTGCAAGAGTGCGCTTCCCATTTCCCGCGCTGCTTGTGTTGCTCTCCTAACGTCATGCGTTCACAGGTACATCACCCAAGAATCCCACAAGCTCGAGGTACAAGCACGACCCCCCATCGCCGTCACAAACGCCGTCAGCTGGCGAAGCGAAGGTATCCGCTACCGCAAGAACGAAGTTTTCCTCGATGTTGTCGAATCTCTCAATCTTCTCGTGTCCGCAACTGGCAACGTGCTCCGGTCCGAAATTCTCGGTGCTATCAAAATGAAGTGTTACTTATCAGGTATGCCCGAGCTACGACTTGGGTTGAATGACAAAGCTATGTTTGAGTCTACGGGACGTGCGACTAGAGGAAAGGCAGTGGAGATGGAGGACGTGAAATTCCACCAATGCGTGCGATTATCGAGGTTCGAAAACGATCGCACAATCAGCTTCATCCCGCCAGATGGCGAATTTGAGCTCATGAGTTACCGTCTTAACACACAGGTGAAGCCCTTGATTTGGGTGGAGTGCATAGTAGAGAGCCATTCAGGTAGCAGGATAGAGTACATGCTCAAGGTGCGTTGCCCTCAACCGGCACACCTCACTTCTTCTAACATGAAATTTCTAGGCTAGAGCACAGTTTAAGCGACGAAGCACAGCGAACAATGTTCAGATCTCGATACCCGTACCCGAAGACGCAGATACTCCTCGCTTCCGCACTAATATTGGCACTGTACATTATGCACCTGAGACGTCATCCATTGTTTGGAAGATCAAGCAGTTTGGAGGCGGCAAGGAATTCTTGATGCGCGCGGAGCTAGGTCTTCCCTCTGTACGCGGTGACGATGAGAAGGGTGGTGGTATGATGGGTGGCTTTGGCGGTAGCATGGGTGGTGTTGGTGACGGTAAAGGAAAGAGGCCGATCAGTGTCAAGTTCGAAATCCCGTACTTCACAACCAGTGGTATTCAAGTGCGATACCTCAAGATCATTGAGCCCAAGGTAAGACAAATCTGCGATCGTTCAGTTTAACGGACATTGCTAACAGTTCTTCTAGCTTCAATACCCTTCATTGCCATGGGTGCGGTATATAACACAGTCAGGGGATATCGCGGTGCGGCTGCCCGATGTGACGAAATAGATCTTGCTTTGATGATATAATACCAATTGAACATATGAATCATGAATTCATGACTTCAATTGACCGCTTCTCCCGCCTTGTTTTCATTGTTCCGTCTCGATTGGGAATTATTGCGACATAAGCGTAGCCGACAATGATTTTTACTCATACAAGTATTGAACAAACTGCTTGATGTCTGCATACTCTCGAAGATCTACACTTTTCCGACATCTATCTTCACACCGTCCAGACGCACCTCTAGGTCCTCGTCCCCCATCCCAACGAGCCCCACCAAAGCTTCATCATCAATCACATCCCTCACCTCTGGTTTTTCTCCCACCAACTGCCCATGCGCCGCCTTCAACTGCTGAATCTTCTCCTCGTCGAACTTCTTGAACGCCCTTGGGTTCTTGCGCTCACTACGTGCGTGATCCCCACTGCTAAACTGATACCCTCGCACCCGAGGACCTTGACCGGTCTTCTCGGGCAACTGGGGTTCATAAAATGCCGCAAAAGCCTCCACGTCTGCATCGAAGGAGCCACGTTCAATCGATACGCGGACTGCCTCGAAGAAAGCATTTAACACGGCGTGGTTGTGGATCTGAATCAACACCCAGCCCAACATCTCCTTCGCGGAGAGTAAATGCTGAATGTATGCGCGGTGGTGCTTAGCACAGGCATAGCAAGCGCAATCTTTTGACAAAGGCGTAACAGATGTCGCTAGATCAGAATCCCACATATCCACGCCGAGAGCTTGCCGCACATTGTCCTGCGACTTTTCGGATGGCGGTGGGAACGTGAAGTCGAGCGCAATGCCGGCGTCCGTCGCGGTTGTGACGAATGGAACGGTGAGAATGTCCACACCCAAGCCGATCTGTCGAAGCACTTCGTGCGGGCTACTCGGCACGTGAAAAGATAGACGGGGGAGGTGGTGTAGTTCGTCTGGCAGGTCGTCGAGGAGGTACGCATCGTAGATGGCCACGCCGCTAATCTTGTCCACCATATCGTCTAGTAAGTGTTCTAGATACCACGACTGCACATCCCGCTCAATCGGCAGAATAGGCGCAAATATGTTGAATTTCCGCTCTTCCTTCTCAATTGTAGCTTGTTTTGCAATAATATCGCGCAGCCAGACTTCCGTCCTGTCGCTCATCTTGTCCTTGCGTTTTATGCCCACGCGCGCTTGTCCGAAGGGGATGTCTGCGAGTCCAATGACGATGTCTGGTTGAAGTTTGCGCGCGGCTGCAGCGTAGTACTCGGAGCTCAACATCCTGAAGCCTACAGATGTCAAAATTGAGACTTCGGAATTGGTGTGGCCGTTTGGGGTCGCGATGGGTGGGTTGCGACGAGGGCCGAGTATAACGAGGGAGTCATTGGGTAGAGCATTGAATGTACGTAGAGGCTCTGGCGCTTCGAGCTGGAATATTGGAGGTGTTTTCTGAGGGTATTTCTCGACGACTATACGTATGCAGAGCAGAAATGGTCAGCTATTGTTACATACTACCAGGTGGATGGCTCCTCCGAGCTAGGCGATTATTTTACTTATACGCACAGTCCTCAAGGGGGATGTAAACCCCGTCCACGCCGCATTTTGAGTAGTTATCCTGAGATATATGTGGGATAATTCCTCGAGATGTGTTGCCGATGAAGGCGGGGGTCAGGGTAGTCTTTCGCCCCGAGACAGCCAGGCGTCCGAGACGCGGGGCTAAGGCTCCGCTGCTTTTGAGGATGGCGAAGTCGAGCATTTCCGGTGGGAGCTGGCTCAAGTTTCCCGCCGTGCCACTCGGAGGCATGATAATATTCGATTTCGGGTTCTTGGTTGTAGATATCAGACAGAGAGATTGTGATTGTCTGAAAGCCGATATCGATAATCGCAATTCGCTGGATGATGACTCGGTGGGGAATTGGTGTGTGCACGTGAGAAAGCGTCAATTTCGTGTTTCGCCATCTTGAAACTCTATGATGTGCTAAATACAACATCTGCCATTTCATATACGCGAAGTATGATCATGAGCAGTGATATGGAATAACACTTGCTCTGCGCTTTCCAGGATTGGTGGGGCAACGTCCCGAATTTTCACATGAACGCCAGGTCTCCAGCTTAGAACTCGATGCAGTATCAGGGTTCCATATTTCGTCGTGTGCCGACATTGATGCATATGGAATTCCGATACGATACCGAAATACCATTGGAAGTGATGTTAGGCTAATTGAGTAGGGGCAAATATCGGCATGAAGCCCGATGAAGACGGATAAGTATATCCTGGCGTTGATGCATGCGTAGAAAAAATCAAAAACATCGATAGTACTCACTTACAACGTACCTTAATATGCATGGTTACTGCACGACTGTACCGCTTGAATAGCCCTAACGCTGAATATGCGAAAGTGAAGAGCTTTGTAAACAGTCCCAGCCAACTGATGAATGATCCTAGTTATCACTCATATCATAGCACTATTACTGATTACATCCCATTGATCGGGTTGGCATGCAGTTGGTAATACCTTCCATCTTCAAGAGCCGCACAGACGAACATCATAGGAGTGAATTAGTGCTGTTATCAAAAATTAGAGGATCTCATAACAATTCCCAGATGGGCAATATCAAGATCACCGTCATCAAGATAATCCATGAAAAGCACGGCTCTGAAAAGGTAATGTATGTCTTAATGTACACAACATGTCGATACTTACATGTGCATATGTACAACCGCTCCAAACACGATGGTTCTGGGGGACCGACAGTCCAAACCATGACTCTTGAGTTAGACCCTCAATCCTTCATGATTTGTTCACGCAAATATATTCTCGTTCTCCTTCACCCAATCTTCGAAACGTGTCGGCTCTTTCCCGCTATAATTCTTGATATTTGCTGCTGCTTCGTTGTATAGCTTAGCAGGATACGCTTTTTCCTTGTCCAGCTGTAAAGCCCAAACGGTCAAAAGAGATCGAGCAACAAACTCGGGAAAAGGTGACTTCTTAACATAGTCTTCTCCGTCAATCTCAGTGACCTCGATGGGACGGTTGAGGACCTTCCCAATGACTGCATATGCGTCTTTCTGGGTCATGAGTTCTGGTCCACATAGGTAGACAATTTTGGAGGTCTCGACAGGCTGGTTTACCACGAGGGATCCCGCGACAGACCCGATATCATGTGGAGATATGTAGTCGAATATGGCGTCGGGGAATGGAATACTCGCGTGGCCGCTCTTGATCCCTGAAAGGTCGGTCAAGATATTTGTATTGAAGTAAGCAGGCCTAATTGCAGTATATGGAACCCCAGTCTCTTGGAGCGCCAGTTCGGCCCTAGCATGAACTCTGGGAATCGCAGATTTCATATTACCCTCATCAGATGCTGGGCCTCTTACTCCATACGAGGAAAGAAGGACGATGTAGGTGATACCTGCATCCTTGAGGGCAGTGAAGCTGGCTTTCATGTGATCCTCAATGTCGTGTACGACATAGACAAAGGCTGCTTTGGCGCCGGATTGTTTGACTGCGCTCTCCAGGGAGCTTGGGTTGGAAAGATCTGCTTGAACACGGGAATAGTCGGAATCTGTGTCTAGATCTTTGATAGTCTTGCTTGGGTCGCGCATTGCAAGCCATACTTTTGCGCCTCTTGAGTTTGCTGTTATCGCAGCAGTACATCCCACATTGCCAGTGGGTCCGAAAATCAGGACGGTTGGGTTGTCAGCCATGATGCTAAGCAAGAATGAAGTAATCTATGTGGAGATGGATTGGAAGATGGAGTCGTGGATGATCATCTCAGATACTCAACGACGCAACATTGAGCCTTTTTATATACATTAGCAACCTTGTAGTAGTTTATATTGGTAAGCAATCGTCCAAATGAAGTAGATGTAGTGGCTTTCTAAACATTGGGAACATGCCCTGCCCCATGAACTGCGCCTCGTACTTGCTTGAGACTTTTGTCTTATCTTGTAGGAGTATGAGGAATTGCTGAGGTACGTGCATGTGGTTCCAGCAAGCATATGTGATCAGGGATTCCATCCAATCAAGGTAGGGTTAGAAATGCTTCCGAGTAGCGAAATAGTTTCAGTCCAATAAGATATAAGCCCCGACCCCGAGACATCTGCCTGTTTTCGTACATTGTACGAAGATGACTAATTGCCAAGAGAGAACGGTGCCACAACTTCACCGAAATGCCGAGCACCGAGTATCTCACGAGCTGTTCTCTTTCCTTCAACCTGTGCTTTTCAATCTCTTTCGCTCTGTATCCGTCTCGTCAACTATGCCTGAAGAATTTTCCCTTTTCTTGCCGCTCTTCTTCACACTACTTGCTTGCTTTGGCAGCTGAATGTTTACTATCCATGGTAGTTGTTGCTGGCCTCCCTCCGCTCCTTCAATCGCAGCATTGACGAAAACTGTTTGTTCCGATTCGCATATCGCAACGTCATTGATTTCGCGATATCCTTGCCTCTGATAATCCCGTCGTCTGTTTTCTTTCTCTTCGATCACGTCTTGTGTGTCGAATTTGCCTCTGCTCAGTTTCGCCCTGCTATCAATTAGCTGGGACTTCTCGTTGTCGATATCCGTGAAATGTGAAGGAGGCTCCGAAAGCTCGTCTCGCCATGTGACCAGCTTTGCACCCCAAGCTTCGTGGATGTGACCAAAGCAATGCACTCTCGGTTTTGCTTGCGCAACTGCTCCAAAAAGGGAGGGTATGCCAGCTCGTGTTCGGCTATCGGTGTAATCCAGCACGCCCTGTGGCGGGCTATGGGTCAAGACCAAGTCAACCCCCTTCTCGATATTCCACTCATGATCTTGCTCATCGGGATTGTATTGAAATCCCCAGCCTTTGCTCTTGGATGCCGTGTAAGGACTGGCATATACAGTCAGTTGTGCGCCATTCTGAAGGTTAAAGTGATGAGTACCTTCATCGAGGAAGATAATGCCAGCACTCTTTGCATCCTCAGATTCAAACAATGATCTTGCACTACCAACTTTGCCGTATGTAGTGTCCAACAGCTGATCATCGTTAATTTTGTCCCGAATTTCCGAAAGGTGGGTTTCGAAAACATTTTCGTCGAGCGAAAAATCGTGGTTACCAGCAATGACAAGCTTGAGAGGTGCGTCTATACCTCTGAGCATCTTTATGGCAACTTGGTATTCCTCCAGCTTCGACTCTTCTGTTAAATCTCCACAGTGAATGGCGACGTCTACGTTGGTGGTAACAGGGTGTATTAGTTGGTCTCCGTGAGTGTCGGATAGAATGAGGAAGCTTGTGTCCACTCTTGATGCCATGGTTGGTATAAGTCGTACTAAAACTGTTAATGTGATTCAATTGCAAATAGTACACTTGATGGCGACGGAATAGTGAACTCTGCGAAGTGAGCTTGAGCTGGTTTGGATTAAAGAGACTTTGCTGCTCAAAAACCAGAGACAAATGGGCGGAGGTGCTTAAGTACTTATGTAGCGAAGCCGGCGACGCTAAATAGTAAATTCAATACTTCGTTGTTCTGCTGGTCGTGAAGCCACCAAGTAGAGGACGGATATTCGAAAGCCGGACATAATCATTGGCGGGTAACATTGGGAACAATAGGGCACCACACCACTTAGCAGCTCTACCGTGGTAACACAAATCAGAACTGTGATACAGAAGCGTTTTATTTCTTCGCATAGTCGGGTCATCTCACTCTTTACCTCTCATCATCATGGAATACTAAAACTACATTCCGGGGTTCCGATAGATGTTTCTGTCTTAATTGGAAGCGGAAGTGTTTTCTACACTTAAAAGGCTGATGGAACAATAGTCTCATGCTTCTTCTTTCTCGCTTATGCCCTGAATTTGGTTCTTGCATCGGAAGCTCATTGGTCTACGAAAATCTACGCATTCGTATAATACAAGTGTTTGTGTGGTCATTGTGTGCGACGAATTATGATACGTCTACAAACATTCTAACAGGTAAATGAATGGAAATGGGAGGATAAAACATGTCTATCCCCGTCAGGTGGACACATTCGTACATGCACTCGGACACGACAGAGAGATCATGTGGAATAATATGTGCATAGCACAAAATGAATGCGATGTATTGACAACACAGTGTGTTGCTTTCAACAAAGCCTGTCAGATTTCTAGGCGGCCTGCGCATTCATTCTGGGAAGAGAAACAGAAGTAGGAAAAGACAACAGAAAACCCCAACAGATCTCAATGAGGCCTTGAAGTGTTAGTTGAATAATAATGTTGTACCACACGTCACGACATCGGGATTAATTTCTGTTCATTCATGCAATGCGCGGACATGACATGATAGACGAAGAGGTTTCGGACCCACATCATGTTTCGAAACCGGTAAACGAGCTCTTGGCTGATGAACATAAAACGAGCTATTGGAACATGGATACATCCGCCAATGGAAGGCTACTGTGAAATGCCAATAGGGGCCTCTAATTCGAGTGGCGCTCACCTACATTTGCAGACAGCGAGCGGGTCGCACCGGCGTCTTTGCAATTTCGAGTTAAACAAAAAACAATGCTACCTCCGCAAAAGCGGAGGTGGACCAGGGTTACAGAATGATAAAAGCACCTTGAGGGCCTCTTTCTTTTACCTTCACTTTGCATCGCTTTCAGGTTGTTTTGGCCCGAAGTCCTTCGTTTCCCAACTGTCATTCTTTTATTTCTCTTTCTTGAGTTTACATTCGTTCAACAGGCCAGGATGCCTTCTTCACTTCTTCTTCAAGTCGCTGCCGCTGGCTTGCTGGCCCAGTCGGCTTACGCTTACACCCAAGTCAACATGGCTGTTCCGTTTATGACGAAGAACATTGATCCGCTGGTTTTCCCGGGACAATACGACAAGTCTCATCTACACTCATTCTTTGGATCCGATGCTGTCACAATCAACACCAAAACCTCCGCCGAACTGCAAAAAGGTTGCACCAACGCGGAGAACCCGAATGATCTATCGACGTATTGGATCCCCACACCGCTTTTCACGGCAGATGGTGGGAAGACGTACAAGCCGATTCCAGTGATGCGCTTCTCGGTAGGTACTTCTGCAAATAAACGGGTTTTCGTATTGGGAATCGTTCACTGACTGTTCAATCTACTTACAGGCCTACTACAACTTGGGAGAGACTCCTGCCGAGATCGCGATTCCCCAGGACCTGATGATGGTAGCCGGTGACGCCGCTGCTCAAACACCAGATGCAATGCCCAAGGATGCCAAAATCGAGTGGTTCTGTGAGGGCGATGCACCAGTACCAGCCGACGCGAACGGCTTTCCCAGCAAGACGTGCAGCACGCACTTGCAACAACTCCTCTTCTTCCCGCAGTGTGTCAACGAGAAAACGCTGGAAACAGCTTACAAGTCTCGGGACTTTGGCACCCCGAACTGGTGTCCCGAGGGTTCGAAGTCCATGCCTCAGCTACGCTTCAGCATCCGCTACGATTTGCGCAAGGAGTTGCCCAATGGTTGGAGCGGAACTGCGCCGATCAAGCTGGCTTGCGGTAATGCGTACTGCTCCCATGGCGATTTCATCAATGGGTGGACTCCGGAAGCGGCGAAAAACATGATTGCCACCACACAGTCAAAGCAGTCGTACTCTTCCGTGAACGGTGCTCTCGGAAAAGATGGCGACAAGATGTCATGCACGCCCAAGGACGCGGATCCAAGCCATGGTACAGGCGATTACGCGAAGAGCGTTGAGGCTATGAGCAAACGATCTGTTCCTGAGTGGGGATGGACATCAAAGACGAGACTGCCTCGTGCTTTGTAAGGTTAGCCATCGACGTGGGATTGATGCCTCCGTGAATGATTTGTGCGAACTATGTAGCTGTTTGATGCTTTGGTAACACATGCCGTCAGTCAAATATTTAGCAAAAAATCAGTATATCCATTCTCAAAATCCGTCGGGCGATTGTTTCCTTCCAGCTCATAACTGTTTTGTGCGTTCGATAATCCGACTATTTCCGGTACAACTTCACTGATTGTGTACCGTGACTGTGGGCAAGTCTTAATTGCAAATAAGGAGTATCATGGATTGCAGCGGAAGTTGTTCCCATGAAAGCATCGTTGTGCGAGGCTTGTGATTTGAATCTTTGTCCATAGAGACTCCATCTGTGGTGTCGCATCAAGCCTGTAATGATGCGCTATCATAACATTCCTTGGATTGAGCCACCTTGATACGCGCAAAATGACAGTTTAAAGCCAGTAATATACAAGTGAGTATAGACTAGGTAGTTTGTTAGCAAAGACTACTCAAATCTCCAATGGGCCGCCCCTGTATGATCTTATTGTGTGGAGAAAACAGGTTCCCCAAGATAAATAGAGAGCAAGTACTTTTCTAGTATCAACAGCTCATTGTTCATCATGTAAAAGCTCTCCGAAGCTACTGTATTTCGGCTTTGGATCGATGGATTGCTTGCAAGTGTATCTAGCCTCTCAACTCTATTATCTTTCAACTGTTTACCTGGTAACAGTGGAAGTTACTTCAAACACTTTCACTGTTTTCCATCTCGGATTTTCCCATTGCGAAACCACAACTAGCATTCACCTATGCAAATCGAGTGGCTGGAAGTATAATTTTGGAACGGTCCGTGAGGCCCATTAGACACTGGCTACAGAGGGATTGAGGTTGCCGATTTGCAAGACTATCGCTATCGCTGCTATCTTATACAAACCAAAACTCATTCCCCAAGAGTCTGGTCTTTTAGGAAGCTCATGCACAGCTGAACGGTATACTGCAGCTCATCAAGCAGTGCTCTGGGACTCCAACCGTTTAGATTATGTCTTGTTGCGATTACAAATGCAATTTTTTTGATAAGCTGCCAAGAATCCCCCAGAGATGAATTTGATTGCTGCACGTAATGATTCTGAAACGATCGATGTCTTTTTGGGGGGTCTTACCTAACATTTGAGGATAAATGGCTACTTCTGGACATGTTGAGGGCATCGGAAACGGTTTGTAGGGCGAATCATTCTTGCACTCAGTTGAATCAAAATTCAATGGACACAACTCTACCAAATACACAAATGCCATTTTTTGGATATACGAATACGTGGCTGCCTATTGGAGCACGTGCACTGGTCGAACGTAGCGGGAAGTCGCCTTCAGGTACCTAATTCACCCCGCCGCTGCCACCGCTCCACCCCACCTCACTTGACAACCCAGCATAATCACCACATCATCTCAGAATAACGCTACCACCATGGATCAAGTTATCGGAGATCACAATCATTACAGCAGCAAGGATCTGGCGGCTGCTGCAACCCTAGTTGGTCTCGGCTTGCGTGTTCAAGATGCCCCGGCGAGCAGCGAAGGTAAGCCACGCTTTGATCTGGCGACGAGTCGAAGGTCGGCACATGCCATCTTGGACATCTTGAATTTCATTATCGAGCCTGATTTCTGACGTACGCAGTCTACAGACAAGTGAAGAGGAGACGGAGTCGGCTCGATGAGCTGCGAGAACTAATTCGCTATGAGGAAGCGTCGTTGATGCCGATCTACGACGACTACATGGCGAATATACGGTATCGTTGGGCAGCTGAGAACCCTTCCACTCCTTTCCGGATTAGTGCGAGCCCTGCGGGCAGAGCAATCTTACAAGCTGAGTGCATTAAAGCTCGTACATGGCTTTTGGACCTCATAAAGCTGCATCAGAAAATCGACAGATCCCACACCTTACGTATCTTACGCTCTATGGTAGAGAAACAAGCGGGTATCGATAGCAGACCCATGACTGAACTCGAGCAATTTTACATGAAACTCACCGATCCGGATGAAGACGGCCACGATACTGAATGGGATTTCGAAGATCATTTAGATGCGACGTTAACATTGACAATACACAACAATTGGGCCGAAACCCACAAGGACACACTCGAGAGGCTACGTCAAGTTGCAAGTCGCGCGCCCTTCCGATCTCTGTCACCGAGCCAACTTATCACCCATCGTATGGTCCAGAAGATGCGTCGTACCAACAAGATCGACGCCTTTGCATGCGCTATTCCACTCTCTACTATCAAACAGCATTCTAAAGAAGAACAGCTGTGTCCTATCTGCCAGAATGAGTATCTTGACCTGCATAAATTCTCCATCAAAGACCTCATTGCGGACTATCCGGTGCGAATGAAATACTGCGGACATATCATCGGTAAATCGTGTCTCGAGACATGGATGGCTACCCCATTGGTGGATCCTGCTCGCTATCCTTATCGCACCTGTCCTATCTGCCGAGTTCCCATTGGGAAACGTTGCGCATCCGACGTGCCCGAGGCCATACACAATCATGCCTGCCACAACGCGTACGCAAAGAAAATTAGGCAAGAGAGAGACTTGGCGATTAATGACATCTCCGATGGCATATTAGGATGTATAAGCGAGGAGCTTGTGGTCCAGCAACTGATGGTGGAAGTTCGACAGCAGCAGTTGGATGGTAATCTGGATAAACTGAAGGAACGTGAGTGCAAAGAAGTGCTGGAACGATCTCTAAAGGCCCTGGAAGAGGAAAAGAGGATGTGGGGCTTTGAGGAAAAGGATATGAGCAAAATGTGGGAAAAGGTGAGCAGCGAATGGATTGAGAGTGGTGCTCATACTTGATATCATGGATGCAGTTGCATTCTCAGGATGTCCAGTGCGCCGGCAAGGCTGTTTTGCCTCAAGAAAGAGCATGTAACCATATTCTGGCCCCTACCACTAATTCCACGACTTCATTGTGCGTTCTGCCTTCAAACAATAGGCGAACTAAGATACCCATAGACATTCATCAACTTTCGACGGAACTAAGGATCTTCAGGTACATTTATGTAGCCGTTGACTCAGATATCTGCATATGCCTGATCGGAACATGATGTGATAAAGAAATCCCACTGTAAGGGTGTTGATACTTCTTCCCGCATGCCCTCAACTGAAACTTTGGTTGGCACAAGAGCTGGTCCGAAAAAGCAAATCTTCGACGTGACATCATCATACGATGACATGAACGCGTTGAAATGAACCACTGTATCGGCACAGATCCGAAGTGTGAATACCTGGCATTCTAAGAGCCGCAACACGTGGGTTCTATATAAGGACCGTAACAAAGTTTCAGAACCAAATACTGACTGCAAAGCCTAAAAAGGGTGCTGCCGATTCGTGAATGGTTTGTGTCCACACAGAAGAATGGCCACTCATTTGTTTCCATAGCTTGGCTTTTTCCAATTATGGACTGCATTGATGGATCGAATCTTCCATAGCCGAGACCAGGGTACCGGGTTCCAGGGGTGGTTCGCCGGAATGCCAGTTAGTTGGGGCGGCAACGGATGGAGCAAATGGTTCTCGCACGCAACACTATTCTATTCACAGGGGATACGCAAACACAGATGAATGCTTGCAAATTGTACATGGAATTATTCATGAGGGGCTTACCAGCAAGTTATTCGATTAGGCAAAAAAGAAAAAACTCACACACATGTCGTCTTTTGCACGAACCTCACGGCCGATTGTCGCGTTCTTTGCGCACGAGAAATCAGGAAAAGTATCATGCATCAATTGGTCTAACCATGTAGGTGTTTATGGGCAATTTCGGACATTTGCTACCACTCTCAAAAGTACACTAAATCCCGGACAAATGTCAGCATGGTTAGCGTATAGACTGATTTATCTGCCCCGGTAATGGGCATTATAAGTCGAGCATGCGGCAGCCTCTTTATTTAAGTAAGTCAACGCCCATCAGCTTCTACGATATCATCAACGAAACTGCATTAACACCTCGTTACGAGAATCCCACTATACGTCAGGAAACATGCTTTGGAGCGCTATAGTTGGTAATGGCAGCGCGCGCAAACATCAAAAGGATGATCTAATACTCTGCTTCAGGTACTGCATGCAGCATCGCTGCTGTCGCTGCGCAAGATGCGCCATACAAGCCTGGATCACCACCGTCGCCTTTTCCGAGCCAAGCGGCTGCCGCTCGTCTGAAGATCGATCCTGAGACGGCTTGCCAGACAGCTGAAGATGCAAGCAAGCCGCGTAACGTTCAATTGGCCGCCTGGGTTGAATGCCAGATCCTCGGTAAGAGCGCACTCATCAATTCTGCTCTACAGAACATGACTGACCGTCCACGATAGCCTTCTACCCATACCCACGAAGCAACGGTCCCGACTGGGAGCCCACGTTTCTCGAAGTTGTTGATCCTAGTGCTCGCCTCTCCTTCAACGGTACAAGGTACAACCAGGATGGTTTCCTGCAGCTCTGGAAAGGCTTCAACGCCACCATTGGACAGAATTTCGAGCAGTGGCAGCAATGGCGTGATTACTATGTTGCTTCCCCGGACTCTTGGGATCCCAAGAGCATTGGCGGTGTTGTTTCTGCCCAAGGATTCAATGGAGGTATCATGCGCGGAGGCGCGGTAATCCACGCGCCCAACGCCGCGTTTGTCATCGTGGAAGAGCGGGAGGGACGCAGAGTGATCACTGAGTTCAGGGAGCAAAGCACTCTGGCCAGCGCAGTTCAGCTGCCAAAGGAAGGACAGAAGTGGCCTTGTAATCCCGAGTTCCAGGTCTGCTAGATCCTTGGAGAGGGTTCTATCAAGTAGAGCACACGGATAAGCAAATATTCCAATAAAAATTCTTCCACCATAGAAGGCAGGCGTTTGCTCATACTTTCGCAGATGTTGATAGTCGGAATATACTAATTCAAGTTAACAACATAGCTTATTCCCCTGTATGGTCAAATAAAGCTGTCTCGTAATAGGTTAGCTTGAGATGGTTAGCGCGAGTCAGGCCGCCCCCAACTTTCTCGGCCTCTCCGTCTTACCTATGACAGGCCGTATCGTATCACTCAATCATTTTCTTCCGACTTCACGGCCCAAGACGATTTTTGGCCTTGATGATTCTCTTTCCCTTCCGATAGGCGACTTGGTTCATGCAGATGAATCCCGTCATCAGTCTCCACGTGCTGCTTCGATAAACCACCTCACCACCAAGAGAACGACCCCGTATCAGTTGATTAAAACATTGGGTTATGGGCTTGATTATTGACATTCTGGACATCAGCTACTATGCCCATCCCTGTGCTTTCATCCTTGTCTCTATCGAAAATTTCCAGGCGCTTCGTTTCGTCAGATGAAACTCCGATCTCAGCACAGGCCGACAAGAACGAGGTCCTTGCTCCAGAACAAGAGGAACGGGAAAAACATGTGGCGCAAGACACATTAAAAGCCTCTAAAGAGAAAACTTCTACTCAGTATCCAGTTCCAGCATCTCCCATCGTAAGTGATGATGTTGTGACTGATGCCATGCTACGCAGAGCTCGCGTAAGAGTGGGCACCGACCCGCTAAGAACCAACGGTGTATTGTACACCAATGTGACCCCAGAGCAAAGAAATCTCTGTGACTACTGTGCTGTCATCGATTGGCGTGCTCTACTGATAAGGAACGCAAAGCCTTCGGAGGAAGCGAGCGAACCGTCACAAGAATCTTCCCTTACACGCCTCTCCACCCGGCGATGGGAAGATTCCATATTGGGTAGTTGGGCAAATGTCAAGTTGCACAAATATACATGTACGCTTTGCGACCTACTGTATCGCGGTCTTATAGAGTTGTACGGATCGACTCCACGAGATGACGTTCGTACGGCATCGGACGATAGCATCATACTTCGAATCCGATGCGAAAACCCATCTACGGATCCGCCGCAATGGCCGGAGAAACTTTTGGAGCACTCTGAAATATTTGGCAAATTCCGACGTACGTAGTCTTCGAGCACGGGATGCGATGGAGACACGAAAGTGTGCAGGATTTCGATTGCTTATTGAAAAACTATACTAGACCTCAGACTAATCATACAACCACAATATAGTCAAGGTGCGATTCGAAGGCATAGAGATAGTTCGCAGTTTCGGTTCTACCTCATTCGACGACCTTTCGTTCTGCGTTCTCAACGATGTTACGAGGCTAGAGGGCGATTCCTATAGCGAGCTCAGCATCAAAAAATTGGCAATGCCCACAACCCAGCAAAATCAGATTGAAATCGAACTATTGCGAATTTGGGCACGCGAATGTCAACTTGAACACAGTCTTTGCCGCTCCGGATGGGGAGGCCTGACACGGAAGCGACGTCAAAAAACACGAAGCTACACCCTGCGTGTGATAGACTGTTCTAACAAAAAGGTCGTTGTAGCTAAAGGAGAGTGCCGGTATGCTACATTGAGCTATGTATGGGGTCAAACCGGTATGTTCCTCAGCGTTGATGGCGTGAGCACCCGGGGCTGGGACCTAACTGATTTGCCTCAAGACCAATATACTAGTCGGAAGCAAGACATTCTCACAACCGTGGATGAGGAACAGATCATAGATCTTTCCGAGCGTACACTCGCGGAGACTGTAGCCGACGCTATACTTGTCACTAAGGAGATGGGAATCCGTTATCTTTGGGTTGATACGGTACGCTTTCTATGGCTGAAAGTGCTGTGATACATCACGTCATACGGCACTTCCAGAGCCCAGCAGATACTTAGAATGTCTTCAATCTAACTTTACTGACTTGTTGGCTCTTCCAGGTATGCATCGTACAGGATGACTTAGAAGAGAAAAAAGAAACGCTTTCTGCGATGGATGAGATTTACAAGCAATCTGTGTTAACCATAGTTGCAGCTACTGGAACACATGCAAATGTTGGGCTTGCTGGCATCCGGCCCAATTCTCGGGTCATAGATGCCTGCCAAGGCTGGGTAGATGGACTGCATTTGCGCAGGTGCAACAAATATGATGCGGAGCCTAAGATTGAGGAAACTCCTTGGGCTAGTCGAGGATGGTATGTACACTTCTTCCAAGATTGAGGACCATCACTGTTCCACGACATCCTGAGGTTTTGGTCACTCACTGGGCACTGATTGTTTCTCCCACCCTGCTAACATTCTACCCAAACCTAAACCAGGACTTATCAAGAAAGCTACTTCAGTCCACGAAAGCTTATATTTGCCAACAACAGGGTCTATTATCATTGTTCAGAATCATCATTTGGTGAGGTACAGCCACTGAAAAAGGGGTGCTTCCGTCGACCGATCTTCCAAAGCCACTCGTCGACTGCAAAAGAACTCCAGACCATGCGTAGTACACCTACAGGTCCTTTCACTCTGTACGCTGAGCATGTGGAGAATTACAACTGGCGTACCCTGTCATTTCAGGAAGATGTCCTCGCTGCTTTTGCCGGCGTAGCCAGCGACATAGAACGTGCAACAGATAAACGAATGCGTCTATTCGAAGGACTACCCGTCGGGTTTCTTGCACGTGCTTTATGCTGGGAAGTTAAGAATCCTCAGCCGAGACAGACATCAGCTCGACGGCTCAGAAGCTCAGATAGGCGCCCGATATTTCCTACGTGGACATGGGCTGCTTGGAACATCGCAGTGCATTACACCCACCAATACTATTTCAACGAAGAGTATGATGCGACTGGTACGCCGAGTAGAATCGAACTTCGATGGCCATGGCCTGAAGGGGCCGAGTATCAGCTAGTCGAAGATCATGGCAACACAGCAGGAGACAACTGCGATTCATACATATACGACACTCTAAGCACAGGCATCTTAACGTGCAAAGCAAAGATTGGGTTGCTTGAAAAATCAGATCCCTTGTCCTCAATGCCTCATACTATGGACGATGGGACGATCTGGGAGCAAGGAATCAAACAGGTGATGTCAGTCGCCGAAGTTTTTGGGAGAAAGTCGAACTTCGGTGGCCGCGACTCTCCGCATCAACATTTTGTGCTGTTCCTAGTAGAAGAAGAGGGCATCTTTTTCAGGGAGGGGGCTGCATGGATGAGCGATATGGACTGGAAAAGTATCAAAGCGGAAGAAAAAGCAATCCGACTCGGTTAAGGAGAACACTCGGCCCAGTAAGCATCCTCGCGTTTCTCTCCAATTGACACTCTATATTTAATCTAATTTTATTTATTGACTTGTGAAGCAGATCTGGAATGCTCACTGGCGAGCAGCCAAAGCCTTCATCAGCCTCATAATCAGGTGTCACCTCAGCAGCCCCACATTCGTTTCCTCTGCACTTGTTAAAACCTGAACATCCTGGGACTCCTGATTCACACGTATGATGATCATCCATATCAGCCGCACAGCCTAGGCAAACCCTAGAACACTGTCTCTACTCACAGTTGAAGATATACGTATTTTCGTATCGGTCGCATTCAAAGAATTTCGCGGAATGGGAACAGCGTTAATGTATGCATGGCTCTACAGGTAATTTTTCGTCAAGTTTTATGGTATCGTTAAGAGCAGAATGTTCCATTATATCACCCACGAAAATGCTTCAACAAATTACATCTCATTCAGCATTGGAGTATTCGAAGCTTCCGCCGTAAAGAAGGAAAATAAGGAAAAGAAGGGGCGCGAATGTGGCTGTCGCATCACTTGTGATGTCTCTTTAACATGCGCGCATGTTGATATTTGTCGCAAAGCTTTGGGCCACCTACCACTTTGGGATCAAACCACACCACGCCAGACTCACGTAGCAGATATGTACGAGACCTAGAGATGCTCACTCGGTGCCTTCTTATCAAAAATTCAGCCTCGTCATCTTGGTGAAATTTCGGGCCTTTGCCCCTACGACTACGACCCTGTCCCACGAAAACTCGCGATTTCAAGCAGCTATTTCTTCTACTACTTCTTTAGAGCCGATTCCTAAGATGACTCCACTTTACTTTCGCTCATTTGTTCTCAGTGCCTGCGCTCTTCTCATCTTCTTTTTCCTAGCAGCAACCCCACATTCCAACATTGTCCGCCAGTCTACATCGACATTCGCAAAAACCCGCGAATGGATCAGAAACGACCAGAGAGAACGACTCGCCTATGCCACATTTCTTACCGGTACCCAGGCCAATCTGGACAACATAACCGCGACAGAAAGTACTTTGCGAGACGACAAGTACTTCACTGCCGCACGACTACTGGGCTACCATCTGATGCATAAACCTGCCACGCGCACACGTATAAACATACCCTTCATCGTCATGGTAACTAGTAGCGTGCCTACTGTTGAAGTCGACCGACTTAGAAAAGATGGGGCGATCATTGTAGTCGTGGACTCGCAGCCAACGGGCGAATGGTTCCACCCCAACACGGCGAGATGGAACGACGTGATGACGAAACTCCGACTTTGGCAGCTCGAAAATTATGACCGCGTTGTATTTTTGGATGTCGACAGCGCTTTGACGGGGTCGTTGGATGGTGTGTTTGATGATGCGGGGGCTAAGCTGGTTTCTACGGTGCCGAACCCGCAAAGCCCGCTCGATGTTGAAACGGAGAGTGCTATCCCAGAGATGTTTCTCATGGCAAGTGCACCTGAAGTGAGTGCTGGATCCCCTCATTCTATATCGTCGCAAGAAGCATCCAGGCTTACCATGATGTAGACCAAACGCCACCACGAATTCCCTCCAATCCGCAAGGATTACATACATGGCCCTGATTACTTCAATGCTGGGTTTTTCATCTTTTCGCCTTCGCATATGCTCCATGCGCACTATACGTCTCTCACATCCAACATTACAACCCCCAAGTTCAAGACTGGATGCCCTGAGCAGAATCTACTCAACTATGCACATCGGCGCAACGGACCAATGCCTTGGACCAACCTAGACCCCAAATGGAATATTATATTGGCGAATAAAAACGATGTGGAGAAGGGTGCAGTGAGCATGCATTTGAAGTGGTGGGAAGCAAAGGGCTTGTCGCAGTGGTTTGATCGGGAGATTGCCGAGATGGAAGGATACTACTTCGCGATGGATGAGAGAGAATAGGCAAATTTCTCAATCAGTCATATCAGGATTCCACTTGCAAACATAAGCTTTCAGAAAGCGTCAATTCATTTGAGTTAGTCGGAATATAAACTAGTATACAAACACTACTTGTAGCCAGCCAATCAGATCGAACATGGTACCTCCCGTAGTACAATGAACACCTCAAGATCTTTTCAACCTCCCGCTTCTTCAGTAGTCAAGGAGATAATGATCCGCATGATGAAATATCAAACTGTGACGCTAGCCTCTGAAACTGACAAGAATATACTTATCCTATCTTTTGGAGATTGGGCGGACAGGATGGCGATCCGCTAGGACCCCACTCTACTAAATGATCCGAGTCAAGGTCAGTGTACGAATCCACTGAATTGGAAACAAGACCCTCAGATCATTTGTACTGGCACAGCGGTTCCCTGATATTCTACATGCCAGAGTGAGGCTAAGCATCTCGGAGAATTACTGGACAATTCGACTAGAGTTATACAATCTTGTCACTGAGTGGACGGTTGGTTTCAGGGCACAAACACTGGATAGTCATGAAACGAGCAGGTAAACATATAAAGATATGTCACATTTCACTCGAAGGAGATTTTTCGCATCATTCAGTCTTTCATTCTTTGTTATTCTAGCAAGTCTATCCTTACATTCTTTCCACTCCACAACCTACAAAGCCACTCTTGTGACAAGAAAGCTTCATTCCTTCACTTCGTACCAAAAAACCTCACGTTCTTTTCTCAAACCATCATCATGCGTTTCACCAGCACCATTTTCGCTCTTTCCTCCGTCTTCTTCACAGTATCCCTCGCTGTCCCTACTATCCAAACCAACAATCCCACCACCATCGGCAACGTCGAAAGAGCAGTCGGACATATCACCGACCTCCACTATGACACCCCAAAACGCGAGATTCACCATGCCGCTTCCGCGTTCGACACCGCGCTTACGCGTCGTACCGATGACAACCCGCTCGTCATCCAGCTCACTAGCAGCATCGAGAAAGTAAAAGAGCACACCGCGTGCATCAACACTACGGTTGCCGGCGACCTCTCTAACAAAGACGAAGTCATCTCCTCTATAAAGGGCGAGGTCTTGACTATCATCCAACTCGTTAGCGGTATCTTCAGCGAAGTTTCTGGGTTTCTATCGGGCGGGATCGAAGTCAGTGATGAGCTCAAGACCCACGTTAGCGGCCTTTGTTTCGAACTCCTTCTTGAGATTCTGTTCACCCTGAAGGCATGCATTGACGCTCTCAAGATCTGTAAGTTTTCTCCTTCCTCCCAAGTTTTCTGTGATTGTGTTGCTAATGATTGTGTAGCTATCTTCGAACTCCTTGGTTCTTCCGTCTTCCTTCTTCTTTCTGTCTGCCTTCAGTTGATTACGAGCTTGGATGTCTGCGTTGAGGGCGTGCTTTCTGTTGTGTTTGGCCTCCTGGGTGGCGTCTCTGGAATCCTCGGTGAAGTTCTTGGGGGTCTGCTTGATTCATTCCGTGGCGTTTTGGGCGATGGTTTCAACCTTATTAGTGGTGCTCTTGGATGTCTCCTCTAAATGCAAATGAAAGGGCTGCATCGTGAGAATGAGTAGTGCCATGGGTGAGAGTATATGTGTGGATCGCAGATGCTCAGATCGCAGGCAATGTAGGGCTTTCAAGGTTTTCAGTCACTCGTACACCCGGGAAACTGGTCGTACATGTTTTTATAGTGAACACTCGTACAGAATACGAAGTATAAATTGATCGATACTGTTTCTTTCATGATGTCCTAAATTTCTCGAGAAATCTGTGCTCTACAATTCGCAACCCACCCGCTCACTTCAACCGCAAATCCTCCCACCGATCACCCTGAGGAAACCCCAAATGAAACCTCCCACACTTGGCAAACCTCAACTCTGTCTTCCCTTCCATCTCAAAATCCGTCACAAGCCCACCCTTCTTCCCATCCTCATTCAAGAAACACGCGTGAACGCGAGGTCCACTAACACTCCTCATCCATTCGGGAACCACAAACCCAAACAACTGGCCACTAACATCCCTCAACGACCCGGCCTCTTTAAACTCGACGCTAGAAAACTTGCCCACGACTTTGAACGGCACGTACGTGTTTACGCCACGGCCGAGCTGCAGCGCGGGTTCCTGGAAGATTTCCTGGACAGATTCGAGAGAAAGAGAGGGCACTTCGATGCGAAAAGTAGGCTGAAAGATGGTCACCATGACGAAGATGAGCCGGGCCTGCGAGTCCGCGGGTACGATGTCACCATTTGGTCTGATGGCGTGGGCCTCGCCGTCTTGGAAGACGAGGATGTTGCCGTTTTCGTAGACGCCCAGGCCATCGCTTCCGTGGGAAGAGAGGTTCGCTGTTTGTGGTTGGCCGTCTTTGAATCCTGCGTTTAGGGCCGAGTAGGTGGAAAATTGGAAGATGTCGTTTGGAATTGAGCCGACCATTTTGAGATCTGGATATGTGTCCTGCAAGTGAATTGATCAATGTATGAATGAATGAATATGATGCAGGTAGCATGATGATCGTGCCAGACTGTCAGTACTAGAAGTTCCCGGCGCGCGGAGGAGAGCCGGTCGGCTTGGTTAAGCGAGTCGTCGACTGCGGTTGCCCCACCGATAACTACAAGATCCCACTAATGAACTCAATCAGTCAAAAGCTTTGGAGGACCACATTTCTCCTGTTAGGTGGTTCTGTCGGAGGGGATAGCGTGGATCAAACTCCTCAAAGACACAAGATGACACAGATGGAAGCTACTCATTCAACGATATGTTTAATGCTACAAGAGATCATCCATAGACATAGTTAACGCTAACAAGAGAAAAGCCACTGATAAAACACTACCGTTGATCTTTCCCGTGCTAAGATCAACCGTAATTTTTTACTGATGAGCCTTTTCAATAGAATTAAAGAGTAGGAAACCCCCAATCTCGTAATAGATATCCATCCCTTCAGATTTTTGTCCACTTGAGTAGCACTCCTGCTGCCACCACCGGCAGAACACTCACCAATTCACCAAGACCCGCAAATTCAGGAGGGATCCGCACACGTACAAATGCACCAGATGCAAGAAGTACAGCGAACAAATTATACACGAAACTCCATCCAAAATTGAATGCAATCCTGTTCATTGCTTTGGAACTCATGTTGATAGCGACGAGAACACCAGCAAGACCGGGCCGCATCAGTACAATATCGGCAGCCGAACCAGCAACATCAGTTCCTTCGTTCATATGAACACCTATGGTGGCCTGGGCGAGAGCAGCAGCGTCATTGGTTCCGTCGCCGCAGAACATGACAACAGGTTGAGCCGTTTTTATGGAAGGGGTTCTAGATGCCGATGGGGCGAGAAGAGCTTTCACGTAGGCCTGTTTGTCCGCTGGGCTACAGCGAGATCGCCAGTTGGAGACCGAAATATCAAGTTCGGATGCCACTGCGCGTACCGGACCATCCTCATCGCCAGAAAGTATGTGAACTGAAATTCCTTTTTGTCGAAGTTTCTCCAGGGTGGGTAGAGTATCCTCTCGAAGTGCATCTTGCAGGTTGAACAGAGCAGCAAGAGACCCATTGATGGTGAAACAAAATGTTGTGTGTTCCTGAGAAAGGAAGTTCTGAACTCTGATATCTTCAGAGATACCTAGCTACCGGGCATTACCAGCACAGAGTTTCTCGTCTCCGGAAGAAGCCTCAATACCTTTGCCGACGAGATTCTGGGGATTGGAAACCTCAATGGTTTGGATGTTTTGCTTGACGAGATGTGCTGCCACGGCGAGTGCAACTGGATGTTTGGAGTTTTGGACTAGCCCTAAAAGAAGAGCCTTTGTTCTCGGGGTGTTATCGAGATATTCTTCTTTAACGATACCCAGCTGACCTTTTGTGAGTGTTCCAGTCTTGTCGAAAACGACATGGGTAGTCTTGTTTGCTACTTCCATGGCCTCGGAAGATTTGAAGATGACGCCTTTTTTGGCGACTACTCCACATGCAACTACGACTACCATCGGAACGGCGAGACCGATAGCGCATGGACAAGAGACTATGAGTACGCATATGGCATATGTAATGGCCTGGATGGTAGCCTCAGATTCAGACTTATTCTGGATAGTGATCCCAGTAGCCACCCAGATGCAGAAAACGATTACCGCTAAGAGGAGGACAATAGGGACGAAGTAGGATGCGATTTTATCAGCCATACCCTGTATTTTAGGCTTTGAAAGCCTTGCGTCATCCACCATCTTTGCAATAGTACTGACAGTGTTGTCGCCAGGAATTTTAGTGAGCCGGACGTTTAACACTCCAGGTCCGTTCATGGACCCTGCGATGACAGTGCTGCTCTTGTATTTTTCCACGGGTCGGAATTCACCTGTGATCATAGACTCATTGACTTCTGAACATCCTGATATAACCTGGCCGTCGGTCGGGATTATAGTATCTCCTGGTACAATGAAGATATCGCCGTACTGGAGTAAACGCGTGTCGACTTCTTGCTCTGTGCCTTTAGTCAAAATTGTAGCCGTAGGGCATTGTAGCGAGCGGATGGAAACCGACTCGATAGCCTTTTGGCGAGCCAGTGCAGCGAGATAGCGTCCGAGCATAATCAATGTGATCAGCAATGCGCTGGTTTCAAAGAACTCCCCAGTCGACAACGGTTTTTGGGTGACTAAATATCCAAAGGAGACGACTGAAAATACATAGGCAGCGCTACTACTGAGGACGATCAGTAGATCCATCTCGATCACTCTCGAGAATATCAGCGCCTTGATAGCATTCGGGTAGAAGGATCCTGCGACAACAAATTGAATAATGGTGGTAAGAGCAAGAGAGATGGAAGATAGGGTGACCTTCTTTTGCTCTTTACCAGGGATCGGGGCCCATCCCAATACCAGAACTGGAATGGTCAGTAGGATAGACAGCAGCGTCATAAGCCCGACCCAGCGAACGTGCTTTGCACCCACATCGATAGTCGGGTCAGCGTGGTGAGGAGCAAGTCGCACTGTGGACCAATGCCCGAGAAGATCCCTAGCACCGATAATGCTCGCGTCGAAGTGAACCCGTACTGCATTCTTGCCAACGGACTTGACGTCTGTAACACCAGCAGGCCATGTACCATTGACGATGTCGGAAATGACACCAGTACTAACCAAATCCAGAGTAGAGCCCTGCGCATGGAGTAGTTCGCATTTGAATTCTGTTGTCTTTTCGAGATATGCAATAATCTCAGCAGGAGACATGGTGCCATGGTTGTCGAATTCGGCCCTCGCGAGCACTAAGCTTGTTTTAATGTTGCTGAGAGTAGTAGGAATCGATGCCAAAGTACGGGATAGTTTGGTTTCACACCCTGTACATGTCATCCCCTGGATACTAAGAACGATGTGATCCTCGCTGGAAACCCCTTTCTCAAGATCCATGGAACTCTGAATTTGAGTGATTGGAGTTTTGCAACATGCGCTAGCACAGGTCGAGAGGTTGGGAAGTACACTTTTCTTCAAGCTACCAGCGTCGTTCAAAGGAGGGACCTCAGACAAAGGACCTTTGCTGCAACCCGAATCTGCGCAAGCAGCCGATTGCTCTTTCTGGTCTCTACAGCCGGTGGTCGATCCTGAATCCGATGAGGAACAACAATTCTCGAGCGGTAGATAATTTCCTGTCGGATGATTAGAAATGTTTCTTTGCTACAAAAAATCAGGGCACCTCGTACGTGATGGAGTGCAGCATGTTTCTTGGTTTCTGGCGAGCAGTGTCCGGCAAATGCAGCCCAATGTTTCTAGTTGAGCTCTGTATTTGCCCCATGCGCTTTCCTTGTGTTTTTGACAGGCGTTGCCTTCGCCCTGGGGATTTTCGCTTGGGCAGGCGTGATCAGTGTTTTCTGTGCCTTGCTGTCAGTAAGATAAAAACAGTGTTGTGTATGCAATCACTTACTCTCGGCAACGCATTCGCGGAGTGCCAGCCGATCAATGCAAGACGGTCCACAGCAAGGGAATGACTTTCCTTCGCAACAGCTAGGCACATTGGTGCTTTTGTCAGAGCAGCATTTGTCCTCGGGGGAGCATCCATCTTCTTGTGAATCGTTGCAGCAGCTAGCAGCTTCCTTGTCCTCGTGGTTTGCTTTGGACGTGGGTGACGAGCAGCAATCATCGTTGATTGAGTTTACGCTGATTGATGGGTCTTCGTCGTCGCCGCAGCAGTTCCCATCGGGAGATGGTGCCGTGGTATTGCATCTTTGGGGGGATTCAGGGGATTCAGCGCGGCTTTCTGCATTCTGGGTCACCGCCGATTGCCCTTGATCCTGTGGAGTGGAGACAGGCGCTTGCCCCCGCGAAGAGCCGCAGCAAGAAGAACCGCAGGCCATTGCCCTGAGAATTGTTTTACCAACGAGGTTCAATGTTTGAGACGCAGTGAAAGTAGTTGTGGACTCTTGTAGTTGCGAACAACATGGAAGGTGGGTTGAACCTGCCTACCCAAGGTCGCTGTTTCCCTATATATGTATGCATGGTGGATACTGGTAGCAATCTTTGAAACGGCCTATGATGTGTGATCAACCGCTTATCGGTAGTAAATCTGTAGCTTCACCCGCTGTGTGGCCATACAGCTGTAAGTAGAAAGTCTTGGCGATGACATATCGAGTATGGAGGACCAATCTCAACACTTCCCGTCACATAACCAAACAGAAAGGTTCTGTTCCTATGGAGCGATATCACTGACCATTTATCGAGCACACAATCATTCACACGAGTTCAACTGCATATTCGGAATAGTAGTTGAAATTATAGGGTGACATATCGGCTTAGCACATCTAGAATCTTCACACGTCTGCGCCCTGCCGCACCCCTCTTTCACAACCTTTTCTGTATGGCTCTCTCGCAGACTTTTTATTGTTGCCAGTTCCCTTCACAACTGTCTCTAGCATCATTCTGGTGTGAAAAAAAGGATACCGTTCAATACCGGCACTGAAGATGTATATCTCCACACGTCAGCACAACAATTAAACATACTAATAGAACGGAATGAAAGCGAATAGTGTTTCGTTGACATGGAAAGGCATATGGGTATGTAGATATAGTGTGCGCCTGATGAAAGCGAGCATCGACGCAGCCGTACTCCCATGTCTCCCCCCAACAAACTCGCAAAAGAGACATAATGCGCTATCAACTCGCTCTTCCACCCTCTCAAGCTTTATTTTGGTCTAGGCGCATCTTTCACGATAGGCGATTCCAGTTCCGCCGTATACTCGGTCGTGAGCTCGTACGGCTTTTGCGCCGGCCTAACGACCGGGGCTTCGTACACCGGATTGACATTATCAAGTTGTGGCGCGTGCGACGCATATATCTGCTTGGGGTACTGCACTTGCATCGTTGCCGACGATGCATACGCTGCTACTGCCTTCGCTTTCTTCCTCCGCGATAGTAGGAATAGGCAAAGAGCTGCGAGTATGGCGCCAGTCGCTAGGGCAGCTATGATGATACCGGCGATCGCGCCGGTACTGAGAGACGGTGATATTGATTGCGGTGGTGGTGCGGCTGGTGATGTTGCTGCACCTGGAAGACCTGCTGCACTGGAACCCGGAGTAGAGACCGAGCTTGTGTTGCTCACAGTGGCCGCGGTTGATGTAGATGATGACGAAGTCACTGGAAATGGCTGCGAGAAAAGGAAGAAACATGAGCCATTTATATCTCACAGCACTCGTGCGGATGTTGACTTACCTCCAAATTCTGTATACTCTGAACTTTGGGACTGCCGGCCTGTGGTATACCCGCGCTCTCGTTCATCTCGATATCCCACACGGTCCCCCTTGACTTGTCGCTGGTCATAAGAAGATTCACACCATCCAGACCCAAATACGTATTGTTCCCTAATAACCCATTTGTTAATGTCCAGCTATTCTCGTCCCCCCCATCGGCCCTTGTCAATATCCACTGTTGTCCAAGCCCTCCGTTTCGAGACAGCAATTTGGGTTCTTTCGCCACCTTCGACTCAATTCCTAACTGGAGAGCTCCGAGGTCATCGTCATAGTTGCGAATGAAGTAGCGCCCCTCCTGGAAGAACAGAATCCAGTTGCTCGACGACCATTCGTGCGCGGTGGTCATGCTAACACTCCCGGATCGCGTTATCTGTAGGCCAGAGGATATAGTCTTTTGGGAAAGGGCTGGGTTGTAGAAGCAGTAGTGGTGGAAATCAAAGTCGCTTGTATCGCGTCGCCATGCCGTGTTCGTGTTTACCATGTTGCCAACGCTGGCAATAGTGATCGGGAGATTATTATTGTATATTAGATTGAAATACTGTTGTTAAATTAATGGATCTGAGAGGTGAAAGAAGCGAATGACTAGAGGTGAGTTGAAGACTGGCGAGGCCGATCTTTGGGGTAATGTATTAGGTGGAAGTAGTCAAAAGATGAGATGGCCGGTGAGGGAAGAATAGATACTGAGGGGCGAGGTAAAGCGTGGCGCATCGACCCCGGCTCGTATTTCGGGGAAACCTGCAAATGGAGTCGCGTTCGAGTGCATAACTTCACCGTGTGTAATTTTATGAAGCGGGCGCAGCATACTGTATACTGGTAACAGTTCTTGGCTGCAGACAAATACCGAATCTTGAAAATACGGCATCTACCGTACGAGTCTGCAACCTACCTCTGCGCGATGTGGGTATCAAGTCACCTGCAGCAAAACCCATTACAAAAACCGTGAAGATGTTTCCTCGTGTATGCAGCGAATCAATCAAAGGTAAGACAGTTGTGACTCCTACTATTGAATATACGGCATTGACCTTAGGGCGGCGGTAATCTCGTATCTCGGGGCTAGATCTTCTTTTAGATTCTTTGTGTGTGGGGGCGGAATGTCAGTATATATGTAGACTGGCAGACTTTGTTTGTCCAAAGTTTCATATAACAATTGCCTGACCCAATATTAAGTCAACATACATAGAGTCGTGATTCACATAATCACGTCGAAAAAGTCCCGATAAATCACTTCGTTCTCAGGTTGTGGCCGGTTGCGCTTCATCGATGCTGAGGCAAAACACCGAGTACAGAAGGCGTCCTGACGTTACCCCGTGCTTACATGAACAACCAATTGCTTTCATGCCGTAAGAATTGGAATGGAGGGAACCAGGCTTGCGAAAGACTCTTCAGTCTTCGCATAGTTTGTGCTAGAAACCATACGTACATTGATAGGTAGACAGACAAGAAACCGTATTACGTTGTAGAAACGGAGCATATATACCTTCCTTATGTACCTCTCCCCCCCTTTCTCTTTTGTACACACAAAGCTGTGTGGGTAGTAAAAAGAGGAAGTTTGGAAGAGTAGAGAGCATATTGCTATACGTGCTTTCAGCCATAATAGTTAAGCAGCGTGCGTGCGTACGCACTGAGAAAAGTACATATAGATTAGGTCCCTAGAAGACACAAGCAACCTACGTAGCAATAGAGCTGCGTGGGCGGCAAAAAGAAAGGTGAAGGTACTAGAAAGCTCAAGATATTAAAAGCATGTGTGGTGTTTGCCGCGTGTGGTGTCGGGGAAGTACTTTTGTTTGCACACAGGAGCAAGGTGAGTTATTAGTATTTAGGTGATTGTGATGCTCCTCACTATAGTATAAACGAAGAAACGTGTATCAATACAACCCCCCCACCTTTTCTTTTGTTGTTCATGAACATGGTTTATCCAAAGAAATTCCACCACATGTAGCGGACGGATACATCACATATAGTCGTCTTCTGGTGATACTCGCAAAGGAACGACAATTAGTCAAAAGTTCAATATCCGGTTCTGTGGCTCATTGCTTCTGCCAGTGTATTACCCCGCGCACAATTTATTATTGGCTGGAGCGCACGGCACCGTTGATGATTTCAGAATACATGATCTTGTTGCCGACTGATGTAAACTGTTTTAAATCATGTCCCTAGCTCCTCCAAAGCGACATTGCTGTTCAAGTTCACTCAACTCACGACGTACACAATGCCCTCACAAAACATACTACCCATGTTCCATTTCCTCTGAACACAATTTTTCTTGCACAATATTCACTTGTGCTCCATCGCCCCACTCATGCACATGAAAAACTTTTATGATTAATTGATCAAGTTTGGGACCCGCCGTTACAATTCATCTCAACCATCCACACAAAAATTTCTAGAAGACGAAGATGTCGCGGTCCGTGATGGAAATTGATCGTCTTCTCGGATCCCCATCCTACAGAATCATTATCTTTGCACAGCACCCTTCTCAAAATTTATTTCCTTCCAGGACAAAGAGAAAGGAAGAACAATTCACCTTCTCCCCGAAAGTAGTATCAGCGCAGAAAGGATGGGTATGAACACCCCATCCTTCTTTCTTATCTCCTCCCAGCAAAAAAATCCTTCCCCTCCGAACTTCTACCAAAACCTACCACATGCACAAAAGCCAACCAAATCCCATGTGAAGCCACATGTGCAAAAAAACGTTCAAGTTCCCAACGGTTCCACCATCCAACACCCTCGGCTCCATACTCACCCATCCCATCCCAAGTCACAACAACGTTCGAGAACTTCTTCCAACCTCCCGGCCCCAATGACACAAACCCCCTAGCACGACACTAACGCAGGTTAGGATTAGCGCCCGCTTTCCTACGTCTATCCATGCGCCTCGCTTCCCGACATGGGAAATGGGACGAAAATTAATTAAGGGGGGAAGATCGAAAACTTGGCCGAACGAACCCGTCAAAAACTTTCAATGGCTTTTTGTGCTACGTGTGTGGCAGGTTGGCTAAACGGCGGCGCTGCTAGCTGCAGCAGCGAAAAGTGGAGGAAAAAAAAAAGACGGGACGTAGAGAATAAGAGTAGGTAAAAGGGAACGTGTATTTTTTTTAAAATATGTTATGGCGAGTACTCGAAGCACTGAATTGATGCATGGATGATAACGCGACGCTGCGCATTCTCTAGCGCATTTCGCCTTTTTCGACTCACAGGAAAAAGGGCATGTTCGCATTAGCAGCGGGAGGGTTGTTTTTATTTTTGTGTTTGTATTCCTTGAGCAGCAGTGGGAGCAGGAGGGGAATCCCTGAGGCTATAATGACCTGTAGTAAGCATTCTGTTATAGTTCTCTTAAGGCAGGGAAATATGCTTGGGTTGGGTGATGGCGGGGAAGAAAGGGGTTTCGTCGGAAGAAGGGTCATACATAGAGAGGGAGGGTCTTTTTGGTTATCGCTCGTTATTTTGGTATTTTCCTCGTTGTAACCCATCGCTGTGTGTAGGATCACCTAAACTCCAACTCAAAACAAATAGAGAGGGAGAGAATTTATGACGTTATTATGCGTTCGACTATACATGTGAGTTCTAGCCCGTTGTTTTGAAATCACATGGAAGAACCTAGCTTCAACACTCCAAATTGGAGGATACGCAATTCATGGAGAGGTTCAGAAAGAGCCAGGCTGGGCATCACATACGCATCCACCGTAGTGAATCAGAAGGAAAGAGCATGAATGGCACAGTAGTCTTGTTCTATTAAATTTTTTATTCCTTTTTGTGTTTTGATAGTGGTTTTCTATTCATGTGCTACAGGGTCTAATAATCGCAAATGAAAATCAACGGCAGGGACTCTAGTATTGGTAGGTGTAGCACAGCTTCTCGCTGCGGACATCCATGATATCCCTAATGCGAACATCGGGCCTGAGACCGTTCATGTAGACCATGACGTCGAGGGTGAGGGGGTTGCCGTTCTTGTCGTTTCCGTTGATGCTGTTGAGGCGCGTGTTGGGGTCACCGCCTTGCCAGTTGGCGAAGTTGCGGTCGACGTAGGCGTGGTGGAGCCAGAACCATGGGTCACCGGGGGAGGCGTACTTGTCGGCTTGGGTACCACCTACACCGAGGTGACCGTAGGCGTGGAAGGTTCCCTCGGCGTAGTAGGCCATTTCGCTGTAGTTGGGGATGGCGTTGACGGATCGGACGAGGTCCTCGGTGAGCTTGCTGGTCTGGGTGGAGTCGCCGGCGCGGGACAAGCATTGGACCCTGTTGGAGGAGCCTGGGCCGATGTTCAAGTTGCTGTTGGCGAATTTCTAGTTCGGGTTAGAATTCATGTTCAATTGTAGCGGGTAAGTCGGGAAAGAAAACTTACGCCATTGGTTACGCACTGTCCGCCGATGGCGATGGCGCCGTAGAAATCGCCGGAGAAGACGGAAGAGGAAGCAAAGCGACCAGTGTTCCTGCCCTCGTCCCACCATGGAAGAGCACGGTCAAATCCGCACTCGGAGCGGAGGATATCCTCGAAAACCCACACGAAGTATCGGTGCCAGACGAGGAACTTGGCATTGTCGTGAACTTGGTCCGTGACCTGCTGGTGCAGCCTGACAAGGTCCTCGTAACGGTTGCCGGCAGGGGGGAAGGAGCCCGAGGCAGGGCGGCTACGCAGGCAGTTGATTGCATTGAGGTATGCGTTCTTGTCGTCATTGGAGTAGCTGTCCCACTCGATGCGCACGCGGGGGTTGTTGCAGGTAGCAGCGATGGAAACCTCGTCGTCAACAGCGTTCACGTTGACTTCGTTGTTGGATTTGCTGGCAGCAGGCTTCGCCGAGGGGATGAGCTTGTCGAGTATAGTGCCGTTGGTAAGAGCAAGACCCTTCTCAACCAAAGCCTGGAGCAGCTGCTCGGGCTCAATGACCATTGTGTGTTTGGGGATTTCGTTCAGCGGCACGGGAGGGGCGACGCCTTCGGGGGTATCTGGTATGGCAGCCCCGGAAACCAGGATAGCTGGGCCCAAGAGGGCGGTCGCGATAGAGAAGCGCATCGCGGTGGTTTGCGATTAATTATTAAAAGGATAAATAAAAGAGAAGATGCTAAGCGAGCGTAGTATAGTAGGTGGTGAAGAAGAAGAAAGGTCTTCTGGGGAGGAAGAGAGCAGGAAATTGAGCCAGTGTCGGCGATATATGTACGGTACCATGGACAGGAGAAGGGCTGCAGGGAAACAAGGGTCCCCTTCCTGGAATCCCTCGAATGGAGGAGCAAGCCTCAGCGTGCGGCTTGCACGCTGGCGGGGCTGATCCCTATGCAATTTGGTACTGGATCAGCAGGAATCGATATTGAAACTTCGGAAGGCGCCCAATCACGCCGGGGGCTGGTGCGAAACCAACCCGAGCTGGGCTAGCCGCGGCCATGACCTAAGCAGCAGTACACTGCCCGCTGCGGTTAGCCGTGTTTTGATACGGGGTAAACATCAGGGATGCCCGCCGACGAGATGACATTGGGATTCCACGGTTCGCTCTCTTGCTGCCGCTGCTGCCGGGAATTGCTCACCTTTCTCCACACCACCCACTAATCCCGTCAGCAGCCCGTGTCTGTAAATAGACCTTCATTTCTTTTACACAATGAATGTCTTGCAGTAGCAGCATATCCATCCATGCAGACTGTGCACCGTTGCGTGCAAAACGGTGTGTACACACAGGCTTGTCCAACGGCCCAATCCTTCTCTTGACCACCTCACTTTGCCTTCGCGAGGGCGGAGGCCGTGTTCAAGACCTGGAGATGAATGTGCCGTTGTGGGCAATCGGGCTCCAAGTGTTCCCTCGACCTGCTTCATTTCCGCTCCCATCGTGGCGACCTGACCTCACGGTTTGGCATTTGTGCACTTGGTCGCCCACCAATCCTCCCGATGGAATCCCAAGAGTGAGTAAGATCGCTTGCATCCTATAGACCCGCGTCGACGCCGAATTGGATATGTGCAGGCAGTAGCTGCTGAGTGAGTGAGTAGCGATGTAACTCTCCAGGTACAGTCATGACGAGCTGCGTGCATAGCAACAAACAATGACTCGCGCTGGAAACCATTGGTTTGGCTGCTCCACGTGGTACCGCGTGATGTACAACCCATTCGGCAAGCATGGTCATTGATTTTCCGTGAGCTGGTGATGAGAAGGGCAAAAAACGTGTAGCTTGGCGCAGCACTCATTACCTTGTTGCATCGCTTACGGAGATTCGGCCTTGGAGCTGTCGGTCATCCACTTCGTCGAACAGCGAACACATCTGGGCATTGCAACATTTCGTCGACGCCCAGCTGGAGCGGTTTTTGGATCAATCTCAGACACAACAACACTGCCTCGACGAACTAATTGTCAGGGTGGCTCTGTTTGGTGTTAGTCCTCCAGCCACGGACCGACTGACAGCAGCTGGAAATTGCGTCCTAACCGAAACCTGCGAGGGACCAACGGCGCCGGCGGTCAAGCGTTTGGGAGATCACGTAGCACTGCAGTTGAGCTTCGAAGGCAAGAGATGATCTCACACAAGGAAAATGGCGCATATTCCAATAATGTCATGGCGGGTGGAGGCAAGGCAACCTGGAGAGTATGCGGTGATGCGGTGGTGCAGAAAACATCCGAGAATAAGCCATGGGGCTAAGCTAGTCCTTTCCAGGCTGCCGTTGACGACCAGTCGATGCTCTCATTGGCCTGCTTTCCCCAGCTAACCTTTTCACCCTCCTATTTGTTTATTCACGCACCCTCGAATCGGTTCCCAGCCAGTATCGCGAATTCCCAAATCCGGCGGACCGCTGTTCTCTCAATAGTACAATTTAATCAAACCTTGATCACCGCCCTGGGACTGGCTGGCTGATTGAAGAAATGTTGAATGCTGACAACACGAATACGAGTGGTAAGAATTCTCAATTAATATTACAAACCCCCCAGCCGTTGCCCTCTTTTCAGTCCAGCCGCCGCAGGGCAAAAAATCAGCAAGCCAGCAGTCCCTCTCTTCCTCGTTCGCAAACATGAGCGTAAGCTGCGCTGTCCATTTCACCGCCGCCAACATATATGCATCTAACAATAACAACAAGGGAAGAATACCCCAAAGTCCTCCAAATCCTTACCGAATTCCATCAAGTGACCATCACGATTCGGCGATCATTCCGAGTCTACCTGTAGAAGTGTACCTAGGCCCCCTGCTACCAATAGTCTCTGCATAAGACGAACAAAAAGTATCCTGGTTCGTCAAGCTCTTAGCGGTCAATCTTCACCTCATTTTCCATCTTTTTCTTTTCCCACGTGCTCCTAGAAGGGATAATGTTTTGTATTGGCTCGTGTTTGGATTCACCCCGCATTCATCATCGATGGGAAAAAATTGACATTACACCGAACTGCGTCATAGCTAAGCAATTTCTCGTTTACGATAAGCCCCGCTGTGAACTTCAACTCTCTTCTGCAGATGCAGGCCGAGGCTCTAGCGTGGTTGTGCTTAGAAGAGAAAGTGGTCGGTTCTACGGCACGGGTACAATCAGATGATCGTACATGCCAAAATACCTTACTTTCCCTGGGAACCTGAGGTTTGAAAATCTCCTAAACTTAGCAATTGAGCGCCGCGACCCGGGTAAAATGCGAATTGTATCGATGTATTCATACTTCCCAGAACAGAAGAAGATGACACTATCGTTTTCTCGTGTTGTCGCGGTGACTCGGCATTGCATTGCCGCAGCACGACAAATCAGTGCACTAGAAAACGACCGACGATGTTGGGAGAGAAAAGGTAAGATAGGAAAAATCGACGATATGCCGGCTTCTCTATCGAGACGTAGCAATACAGGACAAATTATTATCAGAGCCTGCCCTTTTCGGAGTCGATACATTTCCTTGTTTTCGATTGCTCCACTTGCTGGATTTTGGATCGTGTCCTTCCTTATCGCACAGTGAGATCTTTGCACATGTTTCCAAGTGTTATCATGGGTGGTAGAGGGCAGTGCATCATGGCAATGCTCGTCCTCTTGCTTCCCTTTGCCCGCGCAAACAGAACTTCTCTGAGTCGAATGGGTGTTGTTGGATTGCTATTGTATTCCTGCTCTGAAATACATGGCTTGATATCAATAATTCTCGTTTGCAGCAGAAGAAGATATTCCTTCTTGCTTAGTTTCAAGCCATTGCAGATATAGCTGAGAACGATCCACAGGTAGAGCTGGGCTCAGAGAGTTTGGGCGTAACGACCAGAACGGCTGTTGAGATGCGAGGGTGGAGATTACTCAAGGAAATGACCGGTACTACATGGAAATATGTCGCCGATGCCATTATCGTCGTCGTCGTCATCCGGAGAACGCAGTCATTGGACACTGGGTTCTTCTGCAGTGGTATGCAGTATATTAGCAGCCGTGAGTGAGCCTGGTCGCAGTGTGTCCAAACTTGTGGAAGACATCGCCTGCGAAGAGATGTGAGATGGAAATGTTGTATCAAGATCTAGTGAGGATAGGGATCGCAGCTCAGCGTTCTTCAGACAGAAAATGGAGGGATTTGTACTTCTGGCCGGAGATGAAGACAAGCAGAAGCTGTAATCAGATCAGTAAATGGTATTGGCACAGCAAAATAGCCGCAATTTGCTTGAAACGAGAGTTGGAATAAGCACTGCCCCAGAGACGCAGCTAACATGGTGGCGTCTGCTTGATGTTTGCAGCTACATGCGCCGTTCACCCACATAACTTAGTAAGCTGTAGTAGTCTGATGAGATACTAACGCGCCGTCACAAGGAACCTAGATTGGTCGAAAGCAGTGAGCAAGGCAGTAAGTGTCATTGCATATCTCGGACAGTGGAGGCTGTAGCCCTAGCAACGGCAAAAGCTCCAATGTCGTGGGTTGCTGATTGGGTCTGTTGCATTTCGATGGCAGCTGTCGCACCGGTATATTTGTGGAAGGAGATTGGGAATAGATTGAATGACGGAAGGACTGATTGATTGACCAGCAGGAATGAGCAGTGGCGAAGAGTATTTGCTTTTTGTAAGGGGAAAAATGAACCCGGGAGCAGTGATCAAATGCCAATCTCGGCTGCGGTGTCGAGGAGTTTGATTTAATCGATGACGGACGGGATGGTTGGAAAAGCTATGGCTGGCATACACTGCAGGGGAGCATGGTGATTGGTCCAATGGGTCTAGGCTCGGGTGAGCATTGGGATCGACCTCGCGCACGCACGCGGGTATGTGAGATGGGATCGTAGATTTGGGTTTGAACCAGCATGGAAAAGTGAAGAATTGGGATGGTGATGTAAACGACTGACGGGATGCGGAAGTGAAGGAGGACCCTGCATAGATGGGGGAAAGAAGCAAGCAAGCAAAACACGCTAGAGGAACACGCGAGCACGTGATGAGGGAATTCACCCGCCGAGCATGTCACTCACCGCTCTTCTGCAACACAGAGGCGCATGTCACACGCCAGTTACAGGCGAGTGGGCATTTTGAAGTGAGGAGGTCGATCATGGAGATGCACGGGCGCGTATGATGGGGATAGCAAACGAACTGGTGGCAGACGGAGGGTTGCGGGACATGTTACAGAATGAATTGTTGAGAGGAAGCAGCACCAGCAACACCATGGCAGGCGGGCGATCGGTCAAGATGGTACGATGCCGCTACTTGGCCATGTCGGAGATTGAGGCTGGGCGAGGCGGTAGACTGCTTGTATTCGCGTTTGCATCTGGTTTCTGCATGTCGAGACAGGGGTGGTGCAGTTATATGAGCGCATCATGGCGACATTCCCAATCGATAAACCTTCTTGCCGAGAAACCTGGCGATACCACGGTAAAGGGGATTGCGTTATGGAGGCAGACTGGTTGGCACGGCATCAAGCAAGAAGCATCGGAGGGGAATGGGGCATCTGGCCAGGGCAAACGCGGGTCGCGGCGAAAAGAGTGACAGAGATATATTGTTATACGCACAGCAGACGGACGATATGGTGGGAGGATAATAAAGGCTTTGGGAGTTATGTATGCAGGGCCGGCTCGCGTGTACCCCCACAGCCTCCAACGTCACGGTGGGGCTTCGGATTGCAAAGCCATTGTACCGCCGCCGCCTACGGAACGGATCCAAGAGGCAGCAGCACCAGCACGAGGAGGGGTAAATTGCATTTTCCGCTCCAAATCGCCATCCATCCATCCATCCATCCATCCTTTGCCTGCGTGAAGCGGCCCACCCGCCGCTCTGGCTGGGTGACTAGCGGCCCTCTTGTTGATAAGCTTGCTCGCTGGTTAGCTGCCTTTCCTACTACTGCGACTGTCCCTCCGACTATTAAAATCCTGATCGCCCTTTCTTCCCTCCACCACCCTCGCTCGCTGCTGCCACTGTTTCTCTGTTCTGCCTGTTCATCTTGCAGAACAACCTACTAACCACAATGGCCCCGCAGGTCGATCCCAAAGATGCTCCCTTTCCCACCAAGCAGCTCATCATCGTCGGTATGTTTGCTCACCCCATTCGCCTTCTGCTCCCACACCTGCTTCACTTTGATACTGATCCCCCGACACAGGAATATGCCGATTTTCCGAGCCTCTCGCCTTCAATTCCATCCTCGCCTACTCCTTCATGATGACCAAGGATCTCGGCATCGCAGACAAAGACGCCGCCTTCTTCTCCGGCCTCCTCTTGTCCGCCTACGCTGTTGCTGAAGCCATTACCGCTTTGGGCTGGGGTGCCATCTCCGATGTTTACGGTCGCAAGCCCGTCGCCCTCATTGGTCTGGCCGGTGTGGCCGCGAGCAGCATCATGTTCGGCATGGCCAAGACGTACTGGGTAGCCCTCCTTGCGCGCTTCATCGGAGGCGCCTTGAACGGCAATGTCGCCATCATGCAGACCATGGTCGCCGAGATGGTGAAGAACCCAGAGCATGAGCGTGAGCTTTCCCAGGACTGATCCCCCCCAAGTATCCTTTGCTGAAACCATCTTTGTAGCTCGCGCCTATGCCACCCAACCCTTCGTATGGACCCTCGGCGGCATCATCGGCTCTGCCATGGGCGGCTTCCTCGCTCAACCCGCAAAATATTATCCAAATACCTTTTCCGAGGATGGCCTTTTCGGTCGCTACCCGTACCTTCTCCCCAACCTTGTCGCAGCCGGTGGCATTGTGCTCGCCATTATCCAGGGCATGCTTTTCCTCGAGGAAACCAACGCCGGCATCTATGCTCAAGATGCTGCCGAGACAGTTAACCCCGCGGATGAGGTCAACGAGCGAGCACCGCTTCTCCAAAATGAGGGACGTGTTCGAGACCGTGGCTCCATGTCTTTCCGAGGCGCCCGAGCCCGCGACCGCGAGTCCATGTCATCTGCTGTCCGAGGTCGCGATCGGTCCATGTCGGTTCTCATCACTGACGGTCTCCGCCAAATCCGCAAGAAGCCGTCCTTCATGGAGGAGGGTATGCCCATGCCCATCGACACTCACTTTGATATTCGCCGATCCTCTTTCGCTACCATGCACAGCATCAAGATAGCGCCTCATGAGATTTTGCCTACCATCGTCCCACCGCCTTCTGAGCCCCCGCGCAAGACGTTCAACTACACTGTGATCATGATCACCCTCTCCCTGACCATCATCGCGTGGCACCAAATGGCATACATCACCAATTTGCCCATCTATCTTCTCGACGATTCCTACTCAAGTGGCATCGATTTCAAGGGCGGCCTGGGACTGGATCTCCACGATGTAGGCACTTTCCTCGCCGTGAACGGCTTCATAGCCCTCTTCATCCAAGGTGTCATCTTCCCCTTCTTCGTCGAAAAGGTCGGTGTCTGGGCCTCGTTCGTTAGCATGATCGTCCTCTATCCAACCACCTACCTCATCATCCCCTTCATCTCCGCGCTTCCCCCGGCCCTGGTATCACCCGGCGTTTACCTTTCTCTTATCCTGCAGGGCTTTTATGGCATTATCGTCTTCCCCTGCGCCCTTATCATGCTCAAGAATGCGACGCCCTCTCCGCTGGTCCTTGGTCGTGTCAACGGTGCCGCCATGAGCGCCTGCTGTTTGGCCCGTACGCTCTCGTCCCCCATCGTCGGATCCACATACGCCCTCGGTGGAAGCGCCGCAGCTTGGTTTTCTCTTGCTGGCGTAGCGTTTCTCGGTGTCTTCCAGCTCTACTTCATCCCTAACGAGCTGAAGAGCAGCCAGGTCAAGGTGGACAACGGGTGGAAGGATGTCATTGGCAATCACAACGAAGACCATCATGACAACGTCTTTGATGATGGAGACAGTGTCATGGGATCAGTCATGGAGGAAGAGTAAAATTGGTGAAAAAGCGCGTTTCCACTTTTCGAGCTCTGCATTGCAGGGTGTTTGGATCCGAATCGAACTTAATTGCATGGACGATAATGGCATCGCATGGCGTTTTTGGGTGTGAACTCGGGCACGATTGTGACCGGTTTGTATTCCTCTTTGGACTCTACTTCTTTACTTGACATTTTGCTGTCCATGGCTCTTTCCTGATGGAAGAGTGGTAAAAATCATCGTCATGATTTGATTTTCTCGTCCTGTGTCTCCTCTTGTTTACCGCATGGCGTTGGTGGGTCTGGGTTTTCGGGTCATTCAGTCAGTTAGTCAAGGTAGATCAGTCATGTTAGTTAAATCGAGTTGTGTTTCGGAGAGATTCCCATCAGAGGAACCTCTTTTTAACTGTTGCATTCTGTTCTCTTGCTTGCTCTCTCACTCATCTCACTTTCTCTTTCTGAGCTGACTTGTCTCCGCCACTGAGGTTGCTATGCGCGTGCGGCTAACTTGACGATGAAATGGATTTCAGTGACGATGGCCGAGATGGATGATGCACGGGTGGAAATAGGGTTGTCAAGGATAGGTAGATGATTGTCTTTCTATATTCTTTACCCGTGGGGTGTGCATGTCGTCGTGTTTGACCATGCATACGTGGCGCCTGTGTCTCGGGGGTTTACGACTGTGGCGCTGTCCGTGTGTTTTTGTCCTACTTTGCTGACTCAAGAATATCTTTCTTGCCTTCAAATGTCGAAACCAAGACAAAAAATCACAAAAAAAAAAAACTTGGTGTTGATACATGGAATAAGATGCAGATAGACATGGTTATACATACATTCCGTCTCTTTCTCTTGCCAGAAAGGAATTCTCTCCAGAGCTCTGTCGAATATCATACAACACAACTAATTTAAACATGCACAGTGTACAAAGTCTCTCTTTACCTCCCTTTCTGTAATGCAAAGATCTTCTCCGCCGTTTTCTCAAGTCATTTTAACGTATCTACGCGCTCAGTCCGTCCCCTCATCCAGGCACTGCTCAATCTCTGCTCTCACAGTCGCCAACTGGCTCTTGAACCGATTCTCCGCACCATTGGGCCTCGCACCCAGAACTTCCAGCGCCTTCAGCGCTTCCTGAAGAGCGGCAAAGATGCTCTGTTGCGTGGCCTCGGCTTCAGCGGGCATGGGCATTTCGGTATCGAGGACGGTGCGTGTGGTGCTCAGGGCGTTCCAGATAGGAATGAGGGCGTGTATGTGGCTTAGTGAGGCGAAGAAGACGCGTGTTTTTTCGTCAGGGGAGGGGAGGTCGGAGGGGGGTGTTGCGGAGAGGGTGCGGAGAGCTGTCAGGGTAGTCTATGTTTTTGAAGAATGTTAGGTCGCGTGTTGTCTTTTGGTTTTCTAGAACACGACAGAGTGGTTGTTTTTCTTACCTGTTGCTCGGGATCGAAGAAGCCCCTTTGTTGCAAGCCCTTCATTAATTTGCCGGCGTACTTCTTCACCCTTGCCGTGTCACCTTCGTGCCGGTAGGCTAGCTCGGCCGCCATCTCCAAGGGCACCGCAATGACGGATGGATGCGTCCTGTAATCCGCCTCACCTTTCGCTCTTCCCAAATGTACATCGTCCTCCATGAGTTCCACCACTTGCTCCGCGAACTTTAACGCCTTTTGAAGCTCCTCCTGCTCCCAGTCTGCTTGCGCCGCTATATTTCTTGCAGCCTTAAGCACCTCAACAAGGATATCCCAGTCGCGCAAGCTGATTCCCGTGGAGCTGGCGCGCTGCAGCGCTTTCAGGATCAAGTGCTGTGCCCCCGCTTCATTGAGGTGCCGAACAACCTTCTGTTTCCATTCCGGCTTCAGGTGGATCCCTGCACTCTCGTACCCTATGGCAACGCGGAGCACATTCTCCCAGTCCTCCTTAGTCTCGCTCAATTCGATAATCCGATAGAGATTCTTCCGTCGGCTCGGGATGTCGCGGTTGCGATCGATGTGCTCGAGCGGTAGTGTGACATCGCCCAGTGTGATTTCAATGGGATCGGCCTCGAGCCGCGCCTTGTTCCTTGGCTTGTAGATGAGCTGCTCCTGCTCTTTAGTGAGGAGCTTTGGCAGAAGGATCCTGCTGTTTGTGGTGGCAAGACGGTCGGTGAGTTCGGGTTTCGAAGCCTCGAGGTAGACGGGGAGAGAACCGCGGTGGGGAATGGGCGTCTGTGAAAAAGCGCGTCGGGTGGTGGTGGTGAAGATCGGAGGAGCGGTCCGGGACTGGAGCGCCTGGTAGCAGCTCCGTCGTATGCTGTACATGGTTTTGTGGGATGCAATTGAGGTGTGGATGTTCATCAAATGCTGCTATGGAAATTGTTTAATTGGGAGAAATGTTTGGCCAAACACGTCAAACATGCCAAGAGGCGGAAATCGGGGTTATGTAATCATCGCCGATGCATATGCATCAACACCAGCACCACGTCCCGAACATAGGCCCACCATTTGGCAAGTCGATCAAGAATATGGCGGAAGTCGCAGCTAACCCGAAAGCCATGGACAACGAACAGGCGACCTCCTACTTGAACCAGTTCATCGGCAGAAATCTCCGCATCCACGCCTCCGATGGCCGTGTTTTTGGTGGTCAATTGAAATGTACCGACAAGGTAAGCTTTCCCTATCCACAGTCTTCTTTTTCTCTTTATCAGGGTTTTTGAAGAAAATGAATCATCACATCCAATTGCGAATGCTTTTGTTCTGCACTCATAATTTATTAGGGGCACAGAACCCCCCTCCCCCTAGCAATAGCACCACCCCTCATATTCACGTGAACAACTCCCTTTCTCACATTTCTCACAAATAAACAGGATCGCAACGTCATTCTGGCCCTTACCCATGAATACCGTGCTCCATCAGCAGAAATGATCAAAAAAACCATCGAGGAATCCGGCAATCCTAAAGCAGTCGTAACCTGGAATAGCCGCTTCGTAGGGCTCGTGGTGATCCCAGGAGCGCACGTCCGCAAGATTGAGTTTGAGGAGAACCTGATGCCAGGGCAGAAGAGCAGCGTTACTCTATGAGGAGAAGAGACTCGCCTCTTTTCGTTGATTATGGGAACCCAGGAATTGGAGATAGAACGATCCCGGTGCGCGTGTGTTGGTGGGGATAGAGCGATCCTCGCGTTATCGATCATCATCGAAATCTGGAGATGACTTCGTGTTGCGTATGCGTTGCCCTCAAGTGCGAGGCACAAAGCTCGCCGCAGTCCATTCCTCCTACATCCGAATCACTCGACAATTTGACTCCCTCCGATCCGTCTGGTGGTGAGCTCGGCATCGTACACTACGCAGCTGATGAAAGACGGGGGGCTTTTTTTTGGGGTGCCTTACCTCCCCAAGGACGAAAAAGGCGTTCAACGCGTTCTTCTGTGAATGATTCTGTCAAACGACAGCTGCCCACTTCATTGCTGGCACTCTTAAGAGCCATATCGCAATACCAGACCGCAGGAACACAGAAGAACGACCCTATTTGCATGTTTGTAATCCGGAGTCATCGTGAACATGCCACTATCAAAATCATGAACCAAAAAGACATGGAAACAGTTGAATTCGCTCAGGAAGTATGGCGGAGGCGGAAGGCGGAAGGCGGGAGGGGAAGGGGGTTGACAGAGTTGTAGACTCTATATACACATCAAGAATTGCTGCAGTGTATACAACAACACAAAATAGAAATCTGGCAGAGTTTCAACAGTACGATACTTGCATGCTCTTTTTTTGCGGAAGGGAGGCAAGGGAGGGGCAATTGACTGGTGACGATGGGGACAGAAGCAAAAGCCCAGGTTCATGAAAAGAAGATTGCCATTCATTCATCTATCCATCTATCTATCTACTTATTCCCCACTACATGAGTCCCCAGGGTCGTAGCTACACACATTTCTTGCCGTCCCAGAAGTCCACATACACACACACACACACACACACACACACAGGATAACCAACAACTGCAGAACCCTTCCCCCATGTCCATCTTCTGTCATCCGAGCGACGTACCGTCTAGTCAAAACTGCACTCCACCCATCTCCCGCTCTCCTCCAAACGTTGATACAAATCCAATAGTCGTTAGGTAGGTAGGGTAGCCAAGGCCGTTACGATGTAAAAAGAAAAAGAAACAAAGAATTCGCTCCTCCGCCTCCAACAACTAGCTCGTTCGAGTAGTGCGCGGATGTTCTTCTTCTCACTTTCTCCTCTACCCACCCTTTCTTGGATGTTGTCTGGTAGGAAAAGAAGGGGAGAAATCTCCACTCTTGAACCCTCGAATCTCTCCAAAATAACAAGAGCGTAGACTGAAAGATGATGTATAACGTGAGAAGAAGCGTGGAAAAAAGAAGCGGGAAGGGGGAGCAAAAGGAAGAGAAGAAGGGACAATGATATGCAATTTTTCTATAAATGTAGATGAGAAAATCAAGAGGAGAGACTTCGTGAAGAGCGTGCGCACAGGAATAAGTCATGATCATCGTTATCCATTCATCATCATCAACATCATCTTCAGGTCTTGACGGAAAGTGGGAGGAAAAGAAGTTAGGGAATATAACGGCTAAGAAATTAAAAATTTCCAGCGTTAACGTAGGAGGAACGACATCGCGTAATTCGTTTGGAGCCCAATGGTACCAGGTGAAGAAGAGAAATCGGGTCGAGATGCGGAGCGTGCGGAGGGATATAAAACCGAGGAGCGAGGAGGCAAATACACACACCTCGCTATGCAGACGGACACAGCAGAGCAGTCTATGAGGAACGGGGGGTCTCGGCAAAGAAAAATGTCAACGTAAATCAGGATAGAATGAAAACATTGCGTCGACGTTAGGAAGAAAAGCAAATAAGTTATATAATATGAACATCAAACGCGATGGGGTATATAAGAAGAATATAGAAAACTCATTAAAAAAATGAAAATAAGATCAGAAGAATAGAAGTGGAAGCACTGCCCGCACAATGGGAAATCCAGAAAACCGGAGCTTGCGAGAAAGAGTGGTCAGAAGCATCACCACACTATCTCTGCTGGATATTCTCCAAGTCGCTTCGCTGCCTTAGGTACTGTTTGGCTAGAACATCGCCGCCCTTTTCACTCTGCTCCATCCAATGAGTTGCAATGCACATGATCAATGGATCGCTCCTGGTGCTATCCTGGCTGGCCTTGCGCTCACGGTTCAACAGCTCTGTCTTGAACACGTCTCTGGGCTTGGTGAGAGGCAGGATCGTGCGAGGCAGGAGCTCGGGGGATGTGAGGTACATGATGGCGAGTTCACGCTCCGCAACATAGTCACCTTCTTTGGCTGTGATGAGAAGCATGCGTGCCGCATCTGCGAGTGTGTAGCGGGATGGTAATGGCTGATCTGCGCCCGTACCGCTGGAAAGTTGATCCGAAGTTGCGGACGTACCGGGCGCACGTTCGACAACAGCTCCGCGAGAAGAGTTCTTTGCAATAATATCGTCCACGATCTCAAGCATGATCCGACACACATCTTGCTTGAGGCCGAGAGCAGCCAGCACGGTGTCCCAGAAGGCTTTCCCACGCGCTGTTTTGTCAAGCATCTGTGCAGGTACGAATGATGCAATGTACTGTAGGTCCCTGAACAGGGTCTTAGGCCGGATGCCAGCATCTCGGAAAAGACCCTGGATGACTTCCACAATCATGTCGGTGCTTGGTGGACCAACAGGAGATCGAGCGCCGCTGCGCATAGGCTGAGGCGAAGCATTGTTGGGGCGATCTTGGTTAATAGTATGTGAACGACGCTCTTCGCAGTTTGCAATTGCTTCTTCTAGGTTCTTTGCGCGCATCGTGTTGGTAGTCGGTTCCCGGGAGCTGAATTCTGGAACAGCACCCAGCGTCGGAGACTGTGGTATAGGAGGTAGCGTGTTGTTGTGGTTGTTGAATGAACGACTGGATCGAGAAGACAACGATGCGACAATCAACAGCTCAAGCTCGTAAAGCGCGTGGAGTTTGGAGTACGGATTAGGATGCGTAGCGAACTTGCTTAGCAGACGACGGAACGCGACATTATAAGGAAACTCCAGGATACCGGATTTCTTTGCAGCAGCAGTGCCAGACGATCTCGAGGTGGCATCACTCGAGGAGGAGTGTTCGCCGGCAGACTGATGCGTGTCGGAAGCTGCAGCATGTTGGAATGTGGCAATTGGTGGAGCTGCCTGTCCTCTTTCTGTGCGACCAAGTGTTTCCAACGGGCTGTTGCGATGATCCACGTGACCCTGCTTCCGTACGTTCTTCATACTCTTCTTGCGGGCGAGTTGTTTCCGGCGTCTGCGCTCTTCGTCCTCCTCTCGCCTGCGCTGGATACAATCTTCGAGAAGATCACCACTGAACCAAGCATCAGTTTCACTTCCATTGGAGAACACGATTGTACCCAAGTCGCTCAGCAGAAGACCGGTTAATGTCTGCTTCAAGTCCAACAAAAACCTACGTTTGTCTTCGTTGACGCTGATGGACTGTTTGAGCATCACAGTTCCCTTGGAAGATGAGGCCGTTCGCGGGCGAATACTCGTAGCGTTGGTTGGCGATTGAGCCTGAGTCTGGAATGGTGACCAGAACGTCGCGGTAGGGTCGATGGCTAAGATGGGACTTGTTCCTCCAAAGTAATCATGCTGTTCGTTGAACGTCCTTCCCCACGGGCTGTTGTCAAAACTCTGCTGCGACGTATTCTGGTGTGAAACAGACCGAAGGCTGCTCTGGCTTGGGCGCTGTGCGAAGTCGAGGCTGCGGGAGCCTGGTCGACCTTGAGTCTCATACTCTTCATCGCCGGCGATTGAAAGTGTGCCCACTCCCGTCAAGAAGAGGTCTCCCTTTTGACGTCCGCTGTCGAGAACTTCCTTGTCCCGTTTGTACAGTTCACTGGACCAAAGAACAGGACTGTCCATGATACTGTCCCCAACGAATCTGTTGACGCACTTGTCGATTTCGAGACAGAAGCGGTGAATGCGTTCCTCGCCCTTGCAGAAATTCTCGATACCGAATTGGTTGAGCCATTTCGCAGTGACATCTGATTGCTCGTCGGAAAGCTTGTTGGGACCGCCAAAATCCTGAGGAGCAGACATCATGTCAAACACCTGTGCCTCTGTTTTGAGCAAGAAATTGTTCGTGGTGGACTTTGAATAGTTTCTTGGTCGATGAGAGGGGAGAGGCTTCCCATCCAGAGACTTGGTTGGCTGGCCCATAATCTTGAGCGCAAGCGCAACATTCTTCGCATCTTCGTAGGTACCGGAATTGCGTACATCTGTGATGTACCACATCTTGTCTCGTAGGTTTTTCAAGTCAATCATCATGTCATTGATCGCAGCATCGTGTCTTTCCTGGGATTGCTTCAACCATACGAACCAGGCCTCAAATTCTTCAATTGCGTTTGCGGATTTGCCCAACGAGTCGCGCGGTCCACGAGAGAAGTAGTTGAGAAGAGCTGCGTACCCATTTTTGGTCAACGAGGGCGAAGTGAGTCGTTGGAGAATTTGTAAGGTCTTGAAGTAAAGGTGTGCATTGACGTAGTCGGATCGAGCTTGACATTGATGCATAGCCGTCTCGAGCATAGTGACGAGAACCGAATTGTTTTCCTGCTTCTCGGAGGCTTGAGTGCTGTTGTTCCTGGGCGATCGATGGCGACTGGGTGGGTTTCTTTGGTTTGCAATCATATTACTGAGCTGGCTTTGGCTCTGATTGTTATAAGGGTTGCGAGACCCGAAGGTTTCACTTTGAGTGCGGACAGGGCCACCACTCCTTACGCCCTTTCTGTGGGTCGATGTGCGGTTACTGAAGCTTTTGGACTCGCTGTCAGGTGCTAGCTCCTTTGGTATTTCGTACTCTTCGACCAACTTGCTAATAGCCTCTTTCAACTGATGGTAATCATTTTGAAGATCGAGACCATCGGATGAACCGTCGTCATCGCTACTGTCGCTGTCAGGGGAATCCTCGTCGTGTTCCTCCTCATCGTCGCTGTCTTTCCGCATGCGTGGCTTGAGTTGCTTCCCATCAGGCGAAATGTACAACACCGCCCAGCGCTCAGCACAGGGATGACAAGAACCGGAAGTGTCATCTAGTCCTAGCATTCGGCTCATCTCGGAGCACGCCATTCTCAGACGTCTTCCATAAAGCTCTGTGGGTGCGATTCTGGGCTCCGAGTGGCTCTCATCCATGGTCATACCATGGCGATCGAGCGGTACATCCTTTTCCAGTAATGGTTCCCTGGAGGTAGTATCGCTAGTCATGGAAGAAGCACTTGCACTCAGAATTGAGCTTGCATCTCCTGCAGATGCAGCATTCGTGCGGAAGGGCATAGATATCCCAGACATTGACGAAGCGGACGAAGCGAGTCCCGTACGTCGCTGACTCTCTTTTTCCATATGGCTCGACTGTGGGCGGCGCTCTGGAAATAGAGTGTTGACTAGAGTGATGATATCAGATGGGCAGATGACCAGGCAGGGCTGTACTTCAACAGTCTCGCGCGGTGAAGTAATTGCCTTTGCTGGAAGAAGAACGGGTTTTGCATGGGTTCTCGTGTGCTTAAACCTGGCGAGGATGCTCTCAATGTGCGTGCGGATCTCGGGCAGGATAGGCACTTGCTGACGCCTGCAACACGGATTAGCTGTGGAACAACGGACCGATCCATCGGAACTCTCGTACCAATTGTAGGTCATGTCCAAAACATGCTTTTGGGCGCGGATTGCAATTTCCTTGAGAATCTTCTGGCGTGCGTGCTCAGTAACATGGTGTCCGATCATGATGCCATGAGTCTACCAGGTATTAGTAAATGAACAGTTGAAGGCTGGGAAAGTCACGTGCCTCGGGATGAATGATTGCGTTTAGCAAAAACGTAGAAAACAACCAACGAGAAACGAAAAAGTTTTGTGCTCCTTTGCGGAGGTTCTTGGTCTCGTCCAATTTGCGCAAAATAGCATTGCCAATCTCCAGCACACCTTCGGGAATGCCACCGGCACTAGGCTCGTCATCAACAACTTCAAAAAGGCGCTTCACTGCCCGGTCAAAGAACTCGTCGGCTGCGATAGTGTCCTTGGTGCTCGGAACGGCTGGCGCGGTCCCGCGGGCGGACTGTTCCTCGGCTTTTTCCAGCAGAAATTGGCCGTCTTGAAGCATCTGCATGAGATAGAGCTCGAGGTTGGTTTTCCCGGGCCACTCTCGCATACCAGCCCAGACGTCCAGAACGGATTTGACGAACTTTTCTGTTCCTTGCTTTGATTCCATGATTAGTCTAGCACAAGTGGTGGCCCAGGCATCGGTACGGCGCAAGTCTTCAGCAGAGTCCGGACCAGAAGAATTAGCAAAGATGGTATAGATCAACGCGGCGAAAGGATCATGTCTTTGGAAAGAAAGAAGGCGTTCCACGGGGCTGGGGCCGTGAGAAGCCGGCTTCTGTGTACCAACTGCCTTGCCGCGGGCTTGTATGGCCATGACAGAGTCTATAGGATCCAAGGCTTGACGAAACGAAGTAAGCGAAGCGAGTTCTTGCTGAGAAAGACTATTGATACGGGCAGCGAGGAAATCAGGGTTGGTCCTGATTTCGGAAATAAAACCTAGCAAATCGTCCAAAATCTTGGACGGAACATCATTGAGAAAGGTAGAAAAAGAAGGAGAAAACTTGTCAAACTTGACGTTTTTAGAGGGTTTGCCCAGTTCGAGGTCGGGTTCCAGCAGAGCGTAGCGGCGCGTAGCATCGCATGAATTGCGCACATCGTTGATTGCATTGTACAAAGTAGCAAAGCTCTTCTTGTCATCAGACCTGAAATTATCGACTAATGTACGGTAGGCGAGCTCCCCGCAATGCACCAGGCGAGCGGAGAGGGCACTCGAAACCAGCCATCTGTGTAAACGGACTCGGGAATGGGCTTTGCGTTGCTCCTGGTAACCCTGGAGACGTATCAAGTGAGCAAGCTCTGCAAGCGAAGTCGCAGAGGTGGGTATAGCTGCGGTGGGCAGGTACGCATCGGAGTACGAGGAGAGGTCTGCAGGGAGAAGGCGAGGAAGACGACCAGCCGGGGCGGACATTGTTATGGGCAACTGAGGCCGGTGGGGAGAAGCTTGTAGGTGGTCATTCTGATCGTGAGTATGGCCCGGCCGGTTTCCCATGGTTGAATGCGACTGTTTGGAGAGGGGCGAAGACGACCTGGGAGGGGTGTAGAGCCGGGACGGAGGCTCTACGGAGAGGTCATGGACAGCAGATGTAATGGTATCAGGAGCGGAGGCTTGCGAGGCTTGCGAGGCTTGCGAAGGAGTGTGGGTTCTGGAGGAGACGTGGAGGTGGGCGGCAGGAGACACGGAAGGCTGCGGTAGTGGTGAAGGTAGTTTTGGGGGCGCTGCCAGAGTCAGTCTGATTGCCAACACATTGTGCTTTGGAGGAACGCATTGATGTATATGCACAAGCAAGTAGCAAGCAAGCAATTAAGCAAGCCAGAAAAAGCGACAGGAAATGACAGGGCCCTAAGCGACTGCTGAGGGTGCGCGGCGACAGGATGGCGGACGAGGGATGACATGAGATTGATTGATTGACTTGATGGGTGATGGGCACAACATACGAGTGGTGGTGGCCATGGGAGCGGCAGCCAGTGCGTGAGCGCTGGGCGAAGCCGAGCCCTCACTCCTCCTCAGCATCGTCGTCGTCGTCGTTGGCCGTTGTGTTGTTGTTGTCGTTGTCGTGTCCGGCCCAACTCACCATAGATGAATGGGTGGACAGGGCCGAAGTAGGCAAAAGCGATAGATGAGGATGGATCAGACGAAACAGCTCAGCGCAGGTGCAGCATGGTCCGGCACAGAGGTCGCGCAAGGCTAGCTGTGGGCGGGAGCTGGCGAGAGTGGTGGATGGATATGTAGCGAGTATGTAGGTATGCGTTGGCAGCTCTGCACTGGACAAGTCTGAAAGGGCTCGAGAGGGCGGGTTGGTTGGCTGGGAGGATGTCGAATGGCTAAATAAGGATGTAGGTAAGTAGCTCTCTATGGATGGGATGGGAAGCAGATGCATGCATGCACGGGATTTGGGACGATGTGTATGTATGATAGGGATACAGATGTATGTAGCCAGCGGAGGAGCAAAAGAAAGCAGCAGAGTAGCAGTAGCAGCAGTAGATATTCGAAACAGCTGTCACTGGAAATCACTCTACCTCGATAACTAAGTAGGTACCCATCGAAATGACTGACTGACCTGCTGGCCGGCCTGGTAGGGGGACGCCTGCGAATCGCTGTTTGGCGGGGCGGGGGGAGAGAGGCCATGATCCATCGAGTCGCTGCCGCCGTCGGCCAATCACCGGCCGCCATCCATCTCCATCCGCCTTCAACACCCTCCCCTCCAGCACCACCACGCCCAAAAAACCCGCATGTACCGTTGCAAACACCTGCGGTCCATTGGACGTCTCCCTCTCCACGCGATCGAACCGACATCTGCTGCACATAACACACTCATGCAATGATAGAGTGCCTACATACATACATGTATCATACATGAACGCTGCATACGGGCATTGGTGGCCCACTCTACCACCCGCCCCCCCTTCTCCCCAGCAACAGCAATACTGCTGTCACGGTATCATTATCATTATTATTATTATTGCTGCTGCTGCTGCTGCTGCTGCTGCTGCTATTGTGTGCGTGTATACACCAGTGCCCACCGCCCGCCAGCTCATCAGCCCCCGGATCCGTCCTGCCTTGCTGCCGTGGAACACGAGGCGAATCAAACACCGACATCTGCATCTGCCACGCCTGCGTCACGCTGCTTGCTGTTTCCGCCCAACCACCATGAAACTCCTGTTGCTCTTTTCATCCTCTTGCAGCTTGGAGCCCTCTGTGACTTTGGCCTTGCCGTATTGCCCGTGTACAGTGCGTTTCCCTTTCTACTCTTCCCCCAAAACCTATGCAGATAGCCATGCCAGCACGACGTTCGTCGTGTGAACCATCTTCTTCCGCCACACATTTGACGCCACACACCCACAAATTTGATTGATACAGTCACCCTCCCCTTCTTGCTCAACCCCATCAATCCGCCACCACTGCTGCTACACATAATCCCTCATCAGCCGCTGCCCGAGATGAGGAAGAAAATATTTCACACATGGGGAGCTTCTCGCAACCACTCACTGGGCTGCTGCTGGATGGATCCTCTTCCTCCACAACGTGACGCGCATCCAGTGGTTCGCCCATCACCCTGCTACTTAGTTAGATCGATGCGTTGGCATCTCCCAAGACCGCCGCGCATAACATCCCATGCCTGTGTGCGTGCGTGCACGCGCATGCCCAACCGCAGAAATACCGCTGCTCACTTGCAGCAGAGCAAAAATCGAAGCCCATTACCAATCGAGAAACATCCCTTTTACCATAACATTGCGTTGTCGTTGTTCCAAGCATACAAGATGACTCGCTAAAGCCTCGTAGTGGCCACCAGCCGCTGGCCAATCCCTGTTGCTCGACTGTATCTGACTCTAATTCTACTAAGGCTCCCCACCACGTGTCTACCTCGTGAATAGGATGGATGGCTCCACGAGTTGCCCAAACCGTCGTGACCGCTGGTTGCGGGTCTTCGATAGCAACCACAGTTGTATCTCCAGAGAAAGAAAAAAACCTGCCAGTAGGGCTGACCTTACATCTGCCCGATCGATCAATGGCATGGCCCAATTGCAGTGGCAATGGCAGCTTGGAAGGCTCTTCTCACAGCTTCATCCTGGCTGATGGGAAGCTCTTGCTGATGATACCCATCACGTCGTCGCCCAAAAACATATATATTCTGCCGCCTGAACCGATGGGCTGGGTCGATCTTTTCCTCCATCTGCTGGGGATTCTCTTATCGGGGGGGAGAGAGGACACATTTCTTCGATCTAACGCATAGCTTCTCTGAGCAGAGGTGCAACTCGTTTTCTACTATGCTGCACATTCTTCTGCCACCAGACACGCCGCCAATACCCGTCACCTCCACTGTCGTAACCCTCTCCTCCCGCACCACGCCACTCTCCGAGCCCTAGCTCGTCGTGCGAATCCGAAGCAAACTGTTTGGCTGAGGTTATGCCTGCATCGTTGAATGCCCAGACGAGGAGCTCTCTCCGGAACTCGCCTTCGGGCGATGTAGACGTGGTCATCAATGCGTACAGGTCGAGCTCTCGCTCTTCACAAAACCGCTTCAGTGCATCCAAGAAGGCATCATCGGTGGAAAAGTCGGACTGAGCTTCGTCTTTGGCTTTTTGCTGCAAGAACTCAATCGGCTTGACCACTGAACTGACGCCAAGTTTCCGACTTTTTTCGTCCCATTGTTTATAGTCTTTTCTCAATATATCTTGCAGCTCCAGGCCTGCAATGTCCTTCTTTGCCGAATCAATGGCTTCGTAAAACTTATCTCGATCAAAGTTTGCTGAAAACTTTGTGCACAACTTGATCTTGGCTTCAAGGTACTCAGCAGCCTTCCTGTCGTGCTCTGTGGTTTTGTCTTCGGATTGGAGATTGGTCGTATCAATCAAAATGCTGGCCAGCCCTAAGTGGGCTACTTGCGCATCCCAAGATTTGACGACAGCGTCATCGTCTGACAAGCTATCCCCCTGCGCGTGAGCGGCGCCAGATGAGGTGGCAGAGTCTGAGAGAAGATCCCATGCCTGTCGACAATAATTGGCAACAAGACTGGTGCAGCTTCCACTCTTCTCGATGATCCTAGGCTCGTCACCTGTGTTGTCAGGCACCTTGCGTTCATCATCATGATGGTCAACTACTCCAGAGACGCGCTTAGAATAGATTTTCCCCAGCTGGCCTTGCAGGGCATTGTGATCCACTAGTATCCATTTCGTGTTCTCCGGTGGCAGCTGCGATTCAATAGTCGATAGATCGGGCAGATCGTCCAGTGTGATAAGATGGCGGGATTCAATATTCGCGTACTTGAACAATTCTATGAACTCCGGACGCAGCTGTATCCCCGAAGAGGGAATATTGGTGATTGGTATATACAGCGGAGTGAATGCATTGCGTGGTGAAGCCATCGACCGAATATACGCAAAAAGTACTGAGCTTGTCATCGAATCAAGATCTACTATTTGTCAGATCTAGCCCTAGGGAAGCCGACATTGTTAACCGCTCACCGGCAGATTCATTCCCGATGACAAAGGTAACTTTCTGTTTCGACTCTATAGCAGTGCGTAGAGCACCTCGAGCGTGCGTCAAAAAAGCGCCCAGTGAATTCCTTGGAACAGTCATTAGAACTCTGTTACTGATGTGTGTTTGATCAGATGAGAAATAGCTCGTTTCGATTGCGAATGATCAATCACATGTGCAAACTTGGAGTCTTTGTAGATGTGTCGGGCACAGTTTGGGTGCGGAGAATGACGTACCTCCGAGTCGCGACTTTTTATCGAGGCGCCCGTGCGCGACGCGGGGCAACATCTGAAGCTTCAAACGAGGAATTCCATCTGAACAAATTGAAATCTCATTGATACTCATCTCATGAATGCTTTATAGTCATGATACCTCTACACTTCCCGCAGGCACGCCTTGCATACTACGTAGCCTCCTCGCGAAAAATTGCATGATGGGCATCATCTCTTCCCTGTTGCTAGGCATGCCATCCCCGTTCTTCCGCCACTCCTTCACTTCGATAAACTCGAACGCATCCTTTAATCTCGATACAGCACCATCAGTGACAGCGGATCCTCTTGAGGCCTTGCAAGCGAGAATAGGCGTCTTGCTTTTCTTGTTCAAAGCTTTCAGTGGCACCGACATGGACAAAATGCCACCCACACTGACCACGCCCCCCAACTCCCCGCCATCATACTCTGCTGCTACCTGCAACCCAACCATAGCTCCTTGCGCGTAGCCGAAGAGCACAATATCGCGTGCTCTATAGCCACATTTCTCTACTAGGCCTGTTTTGATGACAGTGTCGAGTATCAGCTTCGTAGAGGTTTTGAACCCCGTATCCATGTCCATCTCGCCCGTCTTCTGATCAAAAATGAGATCATCACCCCAGTGAAAGCCTCCCAGATCGAACGGCAGTGGATTTGGTGCTTGTACAGCGATACACGCTGTCTCGGGCAGCGACAACTGCTGTCCTAGTCTTGTAAAAGATGCATTGCTATCTCCAAGGCCGTGTGACAGGATCAGAATATTGACAGGTCGCTGAGAATTTGGTGCTGGCTTCGTCAGAACAGTTATGTTTCTTTTAGAGTTCGGGCTGCAACTTACGCGGGGTGATGCTCAGATTTACTGAAGATGGGAAATCATCCTTTTGGGGAAGACGACCGGGCATTGTAACTTTTGGACGTAGCTCACGGGGTAGCAGCAGACGCATAGGTGAGTTCAAAGTAGAGTTGGTAATTTAATACATAATGACGCATCACGTAATCTACAGCCCAGCGAATGAAAAGCGTGGCGTTGAACAGCAACTCTGAGCTGTGTTATCTACATCTCAACACAGCTACACTACACGAAATATTTATCAGAATCGACCTCCCTTAAGCAGCTATGAGGGATATTATGATTGGGATCGCGACAATCACTGGAGGTAGTTCATGCCATAAACTTACATTACAACCAATAACAGCGGTTGTGCATACTAAATTATAGTGCCACCATACAACCGTATGGCTCAGATGTTTGCATACTCCACGTGGAGTGGGTTCATTTAGAAGGATCGGAATTATATCCAGCATCTTTTTCTAGCAATGAGTCTTTAATATCTACTCCAATCCCTTCTCTTCAGCTAACCATAAGACATTTCCATGCCCAAACCCTTGTATCGTATACCAACTCATGATACTAGGATCTCAGGTCGCTTCCGAATCAATAGCGCGAGCAATGCCGAAGGTTCCGATGGTTCCGCTTTACCGCAAGTTCGCCTTGACAGCTCATTTCTTGAGCTCCACTGGACTCTCAAACCATGACAATTGCTTAGCCTTCGGGGATCACAGGCATTGGGCGATGCATAACAGCACCGCTCTACTTCAACCAACACTGTCACAAGTGCCACCCTTCCCCTTCTTTCGACACTGAAACCTCAGGGGCATGCGTAACTACGACTATGCGCTTGCGTATGATGACGAAGCTCTGTGGCTGTACTCCGCGGTTCAATCAGGCCAGACAAGCTTTCCAAGCGGTGCTAATCGAAGCTTGTCAAAGCTTATTACAGGTCGCGACCAGGATTGGATATGGACCCTATATTTGAGATATTTGTAACCGGCGAATAGTTTTCTTCGGTGCGCCAACCTCAAACTCCTTGATTGGTGGTCGAATCCCGACCCCTGGAGGTGATGAGGCGTCACAGCCGGTTAGCCAAACACCACAACCAACCGCCCAGTTTCCAACCCATTACGCACGCATCTAGACACTCAGCCCAACTTTCCATTTGCCGCCAACGATGCAAGGGATGCAAAGAAGAAGGATTGGGCTGATGATCCGTGGGGCTGTTCCCTCAACTGCGTAATCCATATTCACTAGTAATGTGGCTCAATGAGCTAGTGGTTCAGCTCTGTACTCCAACGAGCCACATCTGGGATTCCTCCGGTCAAGTGTGTTTGAGATGAGGGGCAAGAAGAGGTCCGGCTGATCTAAACAGAGGATTGAGCATGAAATGACGAAAGATGTGGACGAATAGTGAGCCAGGGTCCACCCTCCTCGACGACGCAGTACATTCGATCGGAGCACGGGGAACTGTATATAAGTTGGAAGCCGCCGCAGTCTGTAGCTCACATACAATATCTCGAATAACTTCTTCTTTCTCCAATACCAGTAACATCGCTTTTCCAGCCTACAAATCTTCATTTCAATTTCCATACTCGTGAAGATGCCTTTCGGTTGGGGTTCGTGTATCAGAGAGTTCATTCTGTAAACACACGTTAACCATTAAACAGGAGACTCAGAAAACGCCTACAGCCAAGTTTACGAGAACAACCAGTTCGAGGAGAACAAGTCAAGCTTCAGTCATGAACTCATAGCTGGAGGTGCGGCATTCGCTGGCTTCAAGGCCTTCGAAGACCACCAACGCAAAGAGGGTGTGCAGTATCCCCCACTGTCATCGTTACTGTATCTAACTTCAATCCTATAGGCAAGCCTGTATCCCATGCCTTCGCGAAGGAGCTCGTGGCTGGTTTCGCGGCCGCGGAGGTGGACAAGCTAGCGGAGACAAAGGGAGAGGACTGGTTTGACAGGGAACAGGCGAAGCACAACGCGAAGAAGAATGCAGAGAGGATGTATGAGGAACATTATGTCGAGAATCAGGGCGCGGACCAGTATGATCCCAACCAGTACGAGCGCCCTCAGCACTTTGACCGCCGTGGATGGTAGAGTGTTGTAGTTGTTGTAGTTTGAAGGATTATGAGTCGAGTTATCTGTAAATAGAGAGCAAAATGCAGTGCACGGTTTGTCTTGAACTTCGAAATCCAATGCCATTCTGATTATGAATTCTGTCTACTCCAGTAGACTGGCGCTGGACAGCATGGTCCCACCGAACAAGCTTGCCAAGCTCGGGAGCATCACTGGATCGTGTGTGTACTCTTAGTAGCGTTCTTTTCAGTACAAGCCCACCGACTGTCCATTGAAAGAGAGCATCGAAAACGGCAGCGGATCGGACGAGAGCGATTCGTATAGAGTTACCGGCCCTGGAATTTGATTTTTTGGCTTGCACCGTTGGATGACGCCACTGAGAAACGCTGATAGGGCAGGTAGATCAGTTATGGCCCGTGCGGCCGGAAATCGGATTGACCCCGTCGTTTTTATGATCATCGTTCCGAGCGACGAGAACCAAATAGAATTTGATGCCTACCTTGTATATCGGGACCCTTCTCCCATCTGTTCACCCGCGCATCATTCCTATACACACCACCGTTCGCTCATGCCGGTGCTGAGTGCAGCGCGCCGCACATCGTTACCACCTTCCCCTGTTTGGGGTGTGCGACGACGATATCGCGACCAAGGAATATGAAATTCGCAAAGTAAACAACATTCTCCCTAGTGACTATCTGCTGTCGCTGAAGATCAACTGACCCGTGTTGCAGGGAGCTGGACCGTGATCTCGTGCCTGAATGGAGAGTCAAGTATTTGGATTACAAGGTGAGACGCTGTCCTGGTGACCATAGTTGGCGTTACTAACGCTTCGTCTGTCAGACCGGGAAAAAGAAACTTAAGGCGATACGTCGCGCGCTCAGATCCGTCAATCAAACCCCCCGATTACGTCTTCGTGGCGGTACCACCTTCACACCGTCGCCATTTGATACCGCCCCCAAATATTCTTTCCTCAATCGCAACCATGGAAAAGCCATCGACACGTCGCGAGAACCCGAAAATCTGAGAGCGATCGCAATCGACAAGTCCAAATCGGAACACGAAGCGAATTCGTCTGGGAAATCGCGCTTGAATGGTGAGAATAAAGATGAGGAGGCGCCCTTGAACGCTCAGGAAGACCCGAGATACCCAGGCTTGACACGATACGGTAGCATCATTGGAACACCGCCAAAGCATGGCGCGTCTTTGGACAAGGCCAAACGTCCGCCTTCCCTGAAGCTACCAGGCGCAGCTCTCGATCCAGACAATACCTTTCCGGCAGTAGGACCGTCTGACAGGCGACATGCGAGCGCATCGGAGAGGCTCCCCTCAAGCAGTGAGGCAGGGACGGAAACCAACAACGCTTTTGAAGTGGGAAAAACAAGGTCGCCGACAGCCGCCAAATCTCTTCCGGCTCGATACAAGAGCATCTTCAGCCCAAAACGCATGAATTCGACTCCCAGCGTGCCGGTCAGCCAACCCCCTCGACCACTTGCAAAACGAGTCTTTTCCTTGGCCCAAAACACACCTCCGCCTGCGCATGGTGACGTTCCCCTTGAGGCTTATCGCGAACTTGATATGCGACAAGCCGAGTTCTTCCATTTCCTGGACATGGAGCTGGACAAGATCGAGACATTCTACAAACAAAAGGAGGATGAAGCTACAGAAAGGCTGGGTGTCTTGAGGGAGCAGTTGCACACGATGGCAGATAGCAGGTTGACGGACTTGATCGAACGCCATACCGCGAAGATCAAGGCAAAGGCTGATAAGCATACAGCTGCAGGAAAGCCACTGTTGAATGGTCGAGGTGGAGGTTCACATGATATAGACACTAACAATGGGCACAACGGCTCAATGATGAACCCAACATCTCTGATTGATTCTGCTTTACAGGCTGTGCAAGCCGGCAAGTATGGGAAGAGTACCAAAGCTATGCATGGACTCGCTACGCCGTCTGCCCTGCGTCCTGCCAGTTCTGATGATCGCGGCGACTACCAACGCAAACCAGAGAGATCACATATACCCTATCAGACTGCCAAAAGAAAGCTCAAGGTAGCGCTACAAGAGTATTATCGAGGATTAGAGCTTCTCAAATCATATGCACTCCTGAATCGCACGGCTTTCCGCAAAATCAACAAAAAGTATGACAAAGCAGTGAACGCAAGACCGTCGCTCCGATACATGTCCGAGAAAGTCAATCAGGCTTGGTTTGTAAACAGCGATGTCATTGAGGGACATATTCGTGCTGTCGAGGATCTTTACGCGAGATATTTCGAGAAAGGCAATCATAAAGTGGCTGTCAACAGGCTGCGGATTAAGATCGCCCGGGCCGGCGACTATACCGAAAACTCATTCCGGAACGGTCTCATGCTAGGTTTTGGCGCGGTTTTCGGTGTTCAGGGTATCGTCAAAGCTGTTGAACTCCTTTACGGAGACGACCAAACCCGGGTCACGAACACAAGCTATCTATTACAGGTGTGTACTTAACAAACCTGTTTCTACATGCAGCTAACTGGTCAAACAGATTTATGCTGGGTACTTTTTCATGAACTTCCTGTTCATTCTGTTTTGTCTGGATTGCCGTGTATGGAGCACTCACAAGATCAACTATGTTTTCGTTTTCGAATACGATACCCGCCATCACCTGGATTGGAGACAGCTTTTTGAGGTGAGCGGCTGTCGACGTTCGTTTGATGTTCATAACTAACGCTATATAGCTTCCTTGTTTCTTCCTCTTCCTCTTGGGCTTATTCATCTGGCTGAACTTTAGCCAATACGGGGATCCTAATATATTCCTCTATTATCCAGTCATTCTCCTCGGACTCACGGCAATCCTGTTATTCATTCCATTGAAAATTTTCTACTACAGAAGTCGGTTATGGCTTCTAGTCTCAATGGTATGCTCATTCAAGGAAAGACTGGGATCCAACTGACCATATCATAGTGGCGCTTGATTTGCGCGGGATGCTATCCTGTGGAGTGGCGTGACTTCTACATGGGCGACATGTTCTGTTCACTTACGTACACCATGGGTGTGAGTGTACCTCATCCCCCCTTAATTCAACGACTGACCTCTCCAGAACATTGAGTTATTCTTTTGTCTCTATGCTAACCAATGGGGCAATCCCACCCAATGCAACTCATCGAGTTCGCGCCTATTGGGCTTTTTCACTACTCTCCCCGGTATCTGGCGTGCATTCCAGTGTTATCGCCGCTACCACGACTCTGGCAATGCATTTCCCCATCTCCTCAACTTGGGAAAGTACACGGCAACAATCTTGTTCTACATGATGCTCAGCATCTATCGCATAGACAAAAGTACCACTAACCGTGGCCTCTTTATCACTTTCGCCATTATCAATTCCATTTACTGCAGTTTTTGGGACGTGTACTATGATTGGAGTTTGGGTGATCCGCATGCCAAACATCCGTTCCTTCGTCAGACTTTAGGATACAAGAGGGCTTGGTGGTACTACACAGCCATGGTCATCGATCCACTTCTACGCTTCAACTGGATCTTCTACGCCGTAATTCCACTCCAAGTCCAACACTCCGCCATAACCTCATTCTGCGTAGCCCTCAGCGAGATCTGCAGACGAGGCATGTGGTCCCTCTTCCGCGTCGAAAACGAGCACTGCTCCAACGTCGGCCATTTCCGCGCCTCTCGCGACGTTCCGCTTCCTTACGAAGTAGCTGCCACACATCAAGACCAACAGCAACAACAGCCTCAACACATAGATCCCCACACCGACGAAGAACAAGGCATCCCCCACCCGGGGATTACACACCGCCCAACGTACGACGGTGCTCACGCCACAGGTACGGACCTCGCACAGACGTCTTCACACTCATCGTCGTCATTCCGCCGCCGCCACAGCGCGTCCGATCAAACGCCTTACCAGCCATCCCCCCTCACCCGCGGTCTCACCCGCATCGGAACAATCATGCGCACAGCCCACGCCCAAGATTTCGAAAAACGCAAGAAACCCGAACTCGGCGCCTCATCCGCACACGGCGCGAAAGAAGAGGAAGATGATGATGACGACGACGATACGGACGATGACGAAGAAGAGAGCTCCGGAGAGCAGAGCGGAAGGTCGAGCGCTAGTCGTGGGTCTGTTGTTGCCGCGGCCGCCGCTGCTTCCGCGCGGACTGTTGTTGCTTCTGCGGCTGATGTGCAGAGCGCGAGGGAGATTGATGAGGTTAGGGGGAATTTGGCGGTAGGCAGGGGGGAGGGGTCGTCTTCGCGGTCGTGATGTGATGCCTTGAAATCTCTTCACCCCTCTTGCTTTTTTCTGGAACTACTCGTTTTGTGGGAAGTCTTGAGTTTCCGTATACCCGCTCTTATTGATGATGCTTCCTTGGTGTAGCTGTTTTCATTTTCATTTTTTGCTGTTATCAATCTTCCTCCATCCCCTTTCTCATGTCCGCATTGTTTGTTTTCATTGGATATATACCCCTTGCCCCCCTTTCTTTCGCCTCATTTACTATCTATTTTACCCTTCATATCCCTACACCCCGTCTGTTCATTTATGAACCGTCGGCCGCTACGTACATACTTGACGCCAAGTTCAAAACCATTCTCCTCATCGCCTAAAAATTGTTTTCGAGTTTCTTATGTTCATATAGTGCCACCAGAAATAGTGTAGCCTACGACCCAAGAAAATAACAAAACGTTTCAGGAATGAAGCAATCATCCTTCTCAACTAACAAATCTTTTCGAACACAAGGTAGGCTACTGTGCTTTAGGTGATATGGTACGATTCCGCAAACAGTGAGTTTTCCATAGATACGATTCTACCAAGGTCAACGACCATCTATCTACGGATGAACAGTGTAGCATGTGTTCGCATCTATGTAGTCTTTTGCCAGCGAGGATTCAAACGAAGTCGGGCATTCCCCAGCTCACTGTACCTCCCACCCACCGCCTCCTTTCCACCAAAATAAAAAGTCACCAAAAATATTAACTTTCAAGAAAAGACCAAAACAAAAGACGTTGCTATATGATAAAGCCTATCCATACACGAATGGAAGGAAAAGAAACACCGATGTAAATGCAGGCAAGTGAGAAGAACTCCAAACAACAGAAAAGCCAGACATATAGTAATAGATATCGCACAATGCTATATACATATCACCCAATGTATCAACAGCCAGCAATCAGCAATGTGAAATTGCACTTCGTCGCCCTATCGCTCTGAATGAGGCCACGATACAAGTGAACAGCAATCGAGGAACAACAACAGTGACACTACACTGCGCCAACCTCACCGCCTAAGCATATACCCCAGATCCGGCAATCCCGCCACAATGCCTCGTATTAGCTCATCCTCTTCATCCTTACGCCTTTGCGCCGAGTTAGTGGCAGTCATGGGTGGTTGCAAAGTCGGTGGGGACTGTTCCCGGGAAGAAGGACGAGCGAAAGATCCGGAGAGTGAATCTTCAGCCGTGGGAGTTCCTCTTGATGGGGGTGGCGTGTTGAAGATAGACCATGGGTCTGTAGGGTCTGGTGTTGAGGTAGAGGGCGGGATAGTGGGGGGCATAGAGGTTTGCGGAATTGAGGATTCGAAGATTGAAAAGTCTGCGTCTTCCCCCCATGACGTTGTCGTTATGGGGGCGGTGTTTTTCTCGGGATTGGACGGAGGTGAAGGGGTTGGCGGAGATGTTGTGGGTTCCGGGGTCGACGTGTCGAAGGCGGAGAAGTCGTCCTGTTGAGGAGGTGGCTCTTTTGGCGTCGGTGGCTTAGGCGGACTGACATTTAGTACCTCATCTAGCTGTGCTACGGGCGGTGGAGGGGTTGTGCTCTGACGAGGTGGTGAATGTGCCGAGGTGCTTCTCGATTTCAGCAGGCCAGGACCGATTGGACCTTGCTCGATTGAGGCGGGGACGAAGGCGTTGCGTTTGAACGTCGAAGAAGTGGGCGACACAGTTCCCTTTAAGCGTACAATAGGCGATGCGTGTTTGGATCCAGTCTGGATCAGATGTGCGTGTAGCGGTGACGTCTTCACAGGCTGTGGTGTAGAAGCTGGCGTTGATAGAGTGGCATCACCAGTCTCAAACGGCGAGTCCGCAGTGGATACTGCTGGCGATTCTACCATTTCCCCCCACTCATCATCGTCGTCATCTTGCGCGGAGGCTTCTTGCTTGGGGGGAGCGCTGGTATCAAGCGCGCCCAGGCCAGCCCACGGGTTTGGAGCATCATTGGGTGGAGACGGAGTTGATTGCGGTGCTGGTAGTAATGGAGGAATGATGGAAGTTTCTTTGGGAAAATCGGTGGATGTTGCTGTCCTCTTATGACTAGCTGGCTCTCTCGGGCTTGGAGAAAGGTCCAGGGATCCGCCGCGTCCTCCTTGACGCTGTAGTTTGGTGACTGCAATATGTTTGGGTGGTGCGGCAGGATAGGACGATGAGCGAGTATCGACAGTGTTGTCTTTCCAAGGATCATTCGCTATAGGAGAGCTCCAACTAAATGCCGCTGGGACGTCAGTTGAAAGCGGCAGGACATCCTGTTTCGATGGTTTGATCGGATTGGAGACTGCTACAGCGGATCTTTGTCTAGTATGAAGCGGCATTTTCTGCTCAGGCGGGGCTGGGGTGTCCCAATAAAAGGAAGCCCTTGCGCCGGGGCCTCGGCCTGCCATTCGATCTTCATTCGCCCACCTCAATACCGTTTTATTAACCTCGGATCGGATAGTAGACGATTTCCAAGTGACGCGAATGTAGTTATCGTAGTCCTGACCGGAATTGAACTCGCGCATTGTTGATTTTCGAGTGAGGCGATACCATGCTTTGCGCGTAGCCGAGCTCGAGAAAGCTGGGTCATCCGGAGCTTCTTCCAATTGCGCCCCTTCTACTTCAGTATCGAACAATTGTTTCATGAGATCCGCATCGATCGGGTAAGAGCTGGGTTTAGACTGAACAATAGACAGCCCGGTTGACTCTTGATGTTTTGTGCCAGATTCCACAATCGGCGCTTCTTGGGAAGATTGCAACATCTCGGTATCTACCTTGGGCTCAATGGACTCCTGGCTGGCATGATCCTCGAGTTGGCCGTCCACTCCACCATTTGTAACCGGCTGCGGTTCATCGAAAGAGGTGCGCGGTGACTCGGTCGTTGTTCCATGCTGACTGAGATCAGAGGAAGATATAGACGGGCGCGTAGACAGATCATCGTCGGGGTGCAGCGAGTCTGCAAAATTGGGCGTTGTAGGCCGTGGCGCCTCGTCAGGCTGTATTGTTGTTGCTGAGTCTGATGTCTCTGATACGACTTTCCCCGCCTCCCTCCCCAAAGCGTCCTCATGCACCATATCCCATTCGTTTACTTCATGCGACGGTTCTTCCATCTCTTTCGCGGGTATACGCTCGTGTTCATCATTGATCTTCGTGTCCATTTCATCATCATCATCATCATCATCACCACCACCCCAGCCCAGCGTTGTCTCTACAGAGACTCCCGTCGTTCCCACAGCTTGGACTTCACCAGCCCAGCCGCCCATGTCGTCCATTCCACTATCTTCATTGCCGCCCCATTGGGCATCATCGTCCCAGACATTGTTAAGAATAGTTGTTGTGCGCGCCGGCGTAGCTACTTTGAGTTTGGTTGGAGAGTCGGGTTGATTGTCGGCCCACGGGTCGGACCATTGATCCATCGTGGAGATACGAGCTTCATAATTAGCCGCGAGCCCGCGCGCGTCCGGTCAAAGGGTTGTTGTGAGAGGCGAGAGGTGATGGGAGAGAAACTGGGTACTAGATCGGCTGGTGTCGGGGATAGCTGGCCTCGGAGCGCGGAGGTCCCTGCCAAGCTAAGCCATCCTTTAGATTACCGAACAGATCCGGATATAAAAAGAAACGGATTGCATATCCATTCCAGCACCTCATGTGGAATTAGCCACCTCAGTACTCACGATGTTAAACATTCAAATGCTTTCCCTGCTTATGATTTATTACGGAAACACACCATCAACTTGATAGGGTTCGTCATATAGTATTTTTTCCATGGCATTATAAGGTAAAACCGGTATTCATCTGCAGCTACATAAATGGGTACCTACCTAGGTAGGTATGTGCATAACAACTGACTCTGAACCCGTGCCTCTTGAGCATGAGACAGCATTACTGGTCTGCTCATTCAACTTGATCTTGGGAAGTATTGAAGCAAACCATTTCCCGGGTACCGGTTTCATCCTGTATCCACATATTCACAATTCCTCCACATTGACGGGAGATATGAGCTCGCAACATAAAAATCGGCTCATTCGTCTAGATCATCTTCCAAGCCCTCCCATTCCTCATCTGCCTGCATGTTCCGAGCCTCCTCTACAGCTGCCATGGCCAAGGCATCTGCCTGAGCCGCCATAGTTTCCGACATTGATCTAGGCCTGGGCCTCGTGAATATCTTTGAGAGCTTGGGGTCACCGCTAGACATGCTGTCCTGATCCTCCACCTCTTCTCCATCGCTATCCAACTCTTGCCAAGTTCCCATATATCCCTCGTTCTCGCTCACAATGCTCTTGCCACGTCCCCTTATGTCCAGCTCTCCACGAACATAATCCAGCGTCTCCTGTCGAACCTCCCGGAACTTATGGACTTGCGGAGACGTCCCAATGTACACATCGTCGCTATCCTCAATTCAGTTCTTGATGTCTTCCAGCACGCGAGTAGTCATCGTCTTGACCTGAGTCAGAGAAAGCGGATGAATCATGTACCAGTGACCAGTGCCTTCGAACTCAGACTTCATCCCCAACGCAGCAGCAGGCACACAATCGATCTCTTCATAGTGTGCATGTGTCTGCGCCATGCTCATATCATCGAGCGCAGCTAGGTTCGGAATCTTAGTACGGATAGGTAGACATTTCGTCATTTGTGGTTCGGGTTTAGGACCGCTCGCCGGATTGTGGTACTGTAGTAGGTGCGCAAAGGCGTCGACGCGGTTGCGGCTGGCATGTCCTGATTTGGGAGCTTTGTAGGAGATAGCATCGGTGATGATGTTGACAATGAAATCCGTCACGTTTTTCAGTATGCGGACCATTCCAACTTGGGTGCCGTATAAAGATTGGTTGGGGTTGAGATCGCTCATGGCGGTAGAGAGAAGGTAGAAGAGAGGAATTGAAATTAAGACCCTGAGAAAATATAGGAGTGAGTGAATGGTTTGTCTGGTGAATGGCGTGCTTAGCTCATTCGTTGCTTGATGTGCCTATCACTTGATTGGAGTTCTGTACCCCAGTGAGTGGTCCTCGCGTGGCATAGCCGTTGGTGTGGCCTGGGAGGGTTTGTGCAGCTTCAACTGAGGTTTTTCAAATTAGGTAACGCTCATTGGAGTACCGCTTCAGCTAACAATTCACCCATTCGCCTGATGGCAGTAGTGCATTACCAGACCATTCCTGTATCTGTTTGCAACAACGGGGAATTCTCAACATGCAAACTTCGCGTTGGACAAGTACATCGTGGATGATATACCGTGTCACTACAACAGAAGGGAAATGTTTTAAATGCAACAACAAATGAGCTTATTCACTAGCTAGTGGTAATTGCACAAACAGATTTGCAACAGCATTTCCCACAGCGCCAACGCAAATTACTTCAAGCATTTTTACCACGATAGACTCTGCTAGTATGGGCGCGATCGACGTGGTGGGACAACATCCTCCATAAGATGCGGCGGAGCAACCTGCCCCTTCCAGAACTGGCGCGTGCGATCATCTGGGTTGATATTAGTTCCATTCACAGCATCGAAGGCCCGCTGTTCATGTAAAGCTTGCGACCGAGGTTCTTCCTGAAGCGACAAAGGCTGCGAGTATGAAGGGATGTGACAATCATATGTGCTACCGACGAAAGATTGACCCGCAGGTGGCCACCATATGTCATTGCTCTTACAGAACTCATTGACTTGTTTTTCACGGTAGCGTGGAAGATCCAATTCCCCCATCAGACCCTCCTTCTTCTGTTCGGTTGGTGACCTTGGTGCTTTGTTCTTCCCATACGCATCTGGAGCTCTCTCGTCGCACCAGTAATCTTGATAATTTCTGGGATCACTCCCGGTCCTTATTTCGGTTGGTATATCCCATGCTCCATTTCCATTCAAGGGTTCAGTGGAATCTTGCTCGCTATACTCTGCAATTTGATCTTCCTTCGCCGGACTCTTGCCAGCGAATCTTCCCCCTCGATCTTCTTTCCACTCCAGCTTTAGTTTGCCACAATCCTTTGCTTTGCCTCTCAGATATCTTTTGAGCTCCTCAGCAACTTCGCGTTCCTCGTGAATACGACCTTGTATATTTTTATCTCCGAAAAGGTACCATCCAGGCTCGGAACGCCTACCGAGACGTAATTTGTTCTCGAGGAAAGCATTGACCTCGAAGTCAGTGAGACTTTCTATGAACGTAACCAGCGATGTAACACTTGAATCGGACAAGTCTTTATGCAAGAATGCATGTTCCAAGTTCAGGTGATTCATCGAGAGACAGTTGTCTATAGAAGGATTGTCGCCGACATCCGATTCAGAGCCGTCGGCGAGAAAGCATCGGCACAAAGGGAGAGGCTGGTCGGGATCCAAAGTCTCTAGGAGTTCTTCCGAAGCGCGACCATCCTTTGAGATCTTCGAATAAAAATAATGGAGTTCACTATCTGACATACTTTCCCTCCACTCTCTGAGGCTCTCTTTAGAATCCCTGCCGAAGAAGCGCTTACGCCATTCTTGGCCGGTCATATTGAGTTGTGGATTACCCTTGACACTTCGACGAATGCCCTTGCGCTCTACGAGGAGGCCGTAGAACAAGAAAGGGAGTGCCTCATCGGCCGCGTGATCGAGAGCGTGCTTGAATGCTTGCTCACTCTCGTAGTCTTCGTCGTTTTTGTAGTCAGCAAAGATTGCGTACCATTCCTTTCGAGACAAGATCGTTTGGGTAGGCTCCCTGTAGGTTGCAAGTTGGTACCCGAATTCTGAGGAGCCTTTTACAACGTGTAAATCGCAGACTGCAAGGAGGCCCTGTAAATCGTCAGCTCATGGTTTCATTGAGGTATCGCGAATATTTTGAGACGCAAATAAAGACTAGCACAAGACAGAAATGACTTACGAGCTCTGCCGGATGAAGGGTTTTGATGAAAGCCAGAAACTTCAGGACGTTCGAGGGCCATTTAGAGCTAGAAAGCAGCCACTCAGCAGGCGTGTATCTTGCACATCCTCCACCCAAAGCGTCATCATCTTGAGCTTTGTGACCGGGGCTTCCACCGTGATCGAACGTGGTGTCATGATTCTCTTTTGCCAACTCTGAGTTGGGAAAACGATTCTGGTCGACTTTAGATGTTCCAGTTTTTTCAGCAGAGAAAGAAGCGGGACGAGCTCTTTTCCAAATACTAGGCGGCCTTACGACTGTATCAGGAACCCTCGTCTTCTGCATCCAATCCATATATCTCGCCCTGTGCGGATGACCATCGCCAGGAATGATGTGAAAGTCGCTATCTTGACCCAAATGATTCCTCGCAACTTCAATTTCACCGTTAATGTAGCGGTTGAGGTCCTCCTTTGACAGCGAGGCGATGGCTTTAAAGTATATATCCCAAGTAGGATCATCCATAGCATCATTTCGTAGCTCGTAACCATCGCCCTGCTTGATGTGGGACAGTGGAGGCTCGGGGTACACGGGAAGTTGCAAGGGAAAGGGTTGACCCAGACCCCCGTCTACCCACGCTTTTATCACTTTCGGGTCAGAATCACCGTTGGGCGCTTCAACTAGCAGCATAGTAGGCTCTGGAAGTAAGTCATCTGTTTCATCTGTTTGCTCTCGCAGTTTCCGCAGGATTCTAGCCTGGATGCCAGTTTGGTACTGTAAAGCACGGATCCCATCTTCTTCATCGCCCTCTACGCTCTGGAATAGCAGGTAACGAGTGCCATCGATATGCTGGTATAGAACGCGTAGTTCAGAAGGAGTGAGGTGATTCAAGGTCGAGGGCGGAAGGGGGTGAGCGAAGTAGAGAACTCGTGATGGACGACTAGAGGACAGAACGCATGCTTGAGTGGTAGGATCCAAAAGAAAGTCGGAGATAGAAACATCGCCCTCACGGAGAGCGAAGATACGATTGCCCACTATAAGTACCATTCTGCTGGAGGCCTCAGTTGAATGATCGACTTGGAGAAGCTGGTCCGCAAATGTTCAGATTTTAGCGCAGCGATGTAGCCACTGATGATATTGAGCAAGACCTAGAGAAATAATTTTGGGCAGTTGCGGGTTGCTACTTTATACACCACTGCAATCCAGCACCAGGTGCTTGCAGATCCACATATTCAATGTCGTCACTCGTGTAGCATATCGTATGAGCAACCAGAATGCTTGATATCGCAATGGCATTCACGACCAGCTGTGAAGGCACATGGTAGGAAACCAGTGACAACGAATCGCCAGACCTTGCATGCTTTGTATGTGACTCAAGAGCTTCGTATAGCTTGGTACGTGAAGTGGATAAGTGTGTGGATGAAGTGTCTTGCATCGTTTGTGAATCCCTGAGTGAGTTGTCAATTTGGCGTCGCCATTCAGGCATGACCAGGCGAACTGCGAAAACAGTTCGTTGGCTGTGACCCTATTGCATGATATTAGGCGACTAAAACATTGCAAGTGGTGTTCATTCCCAGAGTGATGGTTGACCGTTTCATTTGACGAATTGAAGCTACCACGAACCTGCACCATAAACTGGGGGAATGGTTTCCCTGCTCAGTGAGCACTCTTGCTTTTATCGAAACGAGCAAAACTGAGATCTGTGTGCCACTGCCGTTTCTACTAGTCTTGGGGTGAGGTTGTCCTATGCGAGATAGGAGGTACGCGCTAGATAGCATATTTCCAGCAAAACGTAATACTCCATCATACTTTCGACTCCAAGCATCGGCTGATGGACTTTTGTCTTTGCAGGATTCAGTTGGTGAATTCTCTCGGGGTATTATTCAGCGCCAAAGTAGCGCATTCGATATCGCGCCACATCCTACGATGATGTACGCTGATACTTCTCCGCATGACCCACACCATTCGTCTCTCCCTCTTCCTCGGCTACTTCTTCTCTCTGCCTCACTGTACCTGCGCCAGGACCCAACTCTTCCTCGCCGCCAATGACTGTTCCTGTGAAGTTTCCGTCCGCATCCATGAAATCGCCCATATTCTCCGCCGTGATCCAGCCTGTAGCGCCTGGTGCAGTCTCATCGAAAACATCCTCTCCATTTTCCTCGCCATCTTCGGGATCAGGGTGCAAATCGGCACATGTGTTCATCGCTGCGAAGATGTCCTTGATGCAGCCATTCTGGGGTTCTGGAGTGGTATACGCAGGCGGAAGAACGCGCAGTTCAAGAACGGAAATTTCTTCGGCAGAATTCACGGTGGAAGCGTCGTTGAGGGAGATGTTAAGAAGCAGTGCTTCGGTGGATGGGGTGTGCTTTAGGGTTGCGTGGAGGGCAATTGAGGGGTAGGGGATGGCAACGGCAGTAGGATTAGGTGTACCTTGAGAGAGTATAAGATTTCTGCCAAAACTGATTAGCACGATGTTTGTCCCTAGTGGGAATATTGTCGTACTCGGAGTTGACCCAGATAGCTACATCTCCAATGAGCGCGTCCTCGCCGTCGCTAGCAGATGATGAGAAAGCCGCAAAGGCAGCATCCTCCTTGAGCTGAGAGGCAGTTGCAGTCAAAGTGAGGTCGGTTTGGTGGGCGTAGAGGACGGGCTTGCTGCCGAAGAAGGTGGTTGGTGTCTGTTCTTGATGCTCTTGTAGTGGGGTGAAATCGGTTGCCTTGGGCACTTCCTGCAGATGTCGCAAAGCCATGACGGTGAGAATCGATCAATTTAACAGGAAATTGGCAGAATTAGGCTCCCGGCGTGAGAATATCCTCTAGAGAAGAGTACTTCCAGGATTGTTGTGATTGAAAAAGATTGAAGTCCAAGGCAGCATTTCACGTCATGGTACTTACTTACTCCGAAGTTGACCCGGGCAAGCTCCAAAAATCTCCGGTGGGGCATCCCTCATCATTCCTCACACCTCCGCATCACCCCCGAACGCCAATTACGCAGAAGTCCGGCCTCTCACATCGAAGTCGAACCTAAATACCAGCAGAGATGCCTTGAACGAATCGATCAAGCGCCATTCGCGAGAAGATGACACCCTTTCCCACGACCCCCATCGCCCTCCTCACAGGACACACAGCTCCTGTCCACGCCATCGCCTACTCCTCCGGTTCCGCCTCGTATATTCTGACAGGCAGCGGCGACCGTTCCATTCGACTGTACAACCCTTCCAAGGCACCTTTCGCTGCCGCGCAAAATACCACCGATCTGGGCCTCGTCAATAAATACTCCGCTCACGGCTACGAGATCCTATCCCTCTGCATCAACGAAGCCAACGACCGCTTCATCTCCACCGGCGGTGACAAAACTGTCTTTCTGTGGGATGTGGCTACTGCACAGACGGTACGACGATTTACGGGCCACTCGGGACGTGTGAATCGCGGCGTGTTTGGCGGGGAATCGGATAGTGTGATTGTCAGCGCTAGTTTTGACGGGTCTGTGCGGATTTGGGATTGCAGGTCGACTTCGCAGAAACCTATTATGATTTTTGATGAGGCGCGGGATAGTGTTACCGATGTGGTGGCGCTGGATGGGGAGATTGTCTCTGGGAGTGTGGATGGGCGAGTGCGGTGTTATGATATGAGGAGGGGCATCTGCGAAGTAGATGTAATCGGACATCCTGTGACATCAATCGGTGTGTCGAAGAAAGGTTCTGAGACTCTAGTCTCTTCTCTGGACTCTACTGTGCGGCTCATGGATCGCGAAAACGGACAGTTGCTGAAGGCCTACCGAGACGATGCTTTTGTCAACAACGAGCTGAGGGTTAGAAGTACTCTAGGGATGAACGATAGCGTGGTTGTCAGTGGCAGTGATGATGGATTGGTATTTGCTTGGGATCTACTTGAGGGCGAGTGCTTGCACAAGTTCAAGCACTCGGAACGGAGAGCGGTGAACGGTAAAAGTGCTAACACACCCAGAACGAAGAAAGACTTTGTTTCTGCAGTGGCATTCTGCAAGAGTAGAAGAGAATGGGCTAGTGCTGGAGGAGACGGAAACGTCGTAGTATGGGGTATGGCAAGGTAGTTTGTTGGCTTGTCGTCATGCAGTCACTGATTTATGATACCCATTTGTAATGCTAGATACAGACCAACATTGAATAAGGAAATATGCTTTTGATCACCGTAAACGCCTGTCTAATGATTGGTATCTAGCCCGATTCATTCCCCCCATTGACACCCCAAATTCCTTCACGTAGTACATCTAGAATCTCTTCCTCGAGTTAACGTTCCTCCCCGCACCAACCTTGGGACGACCCCCTGCCTTCCCTCTATCTCCGGTTAAGATTCCGGGAAGGTAATCCTCGTCCATCAAATCTCTCGCCTTGCTCCTCTTTCCTTCATCAATCTGCCTTGTATACTCCTTCTGATCCTCCGCCAACACTAGGTCTCGCCCCCAGCCACCTTGACCACCGCCAGTTCCCCTGAGCTTGCCATTCGCAGTACCAGCAATTGGCTTAGGGACGCTAAACACATTGCCCCTCTTATTCCACTGGTAATTCTTAGCGAGATGAATCCGGAAGACACCTTTGGCATCAGTCGAGCATGTGACACGCTGGAGAGTAGGACCACCGCAGCGCGGACAGAACTGCTTATCCATTTCGCGCGTGGTAAGGAAGCAGGCGTGGCAGCGCATGATGGTAGAGCGGATTTGGCGAACGCGCTGCATGGCAGGGGAAAGGAGGCGGAGGTTCATCTGCAGAAGCACGTTTTGCATGGCGTAATCGGTTGTCATTGTTGCGACGCGCATTTGCTTTGTAGCGGCAGAAATAGGGGCGTTGCCTGAGTCTTTGGCTTGGTGCTGGTGCAGGTTCGAGGGAGTTATCCAGTCACCATCGGAATCGTCTGAGTCGATTGACGGTGCTGCGGAATCGACGGGTGGAGAGTTGTGCAGGGTAGACATGTCTTGCTCGGTTTTTTCGAGAGATGGAGCGTCTTCAGTCGACTTAGTAGAGGGCTCCTCTTTTGATTTCTCTTGTTCGGACCTCTCGTTTGAAGACGGGCCGTCCTGTGTAGCAGGAACTACAGTGGAGGAGTCCGCAATATCTGCTGTAGTCTCTGTCTGCGAATTTCCAGATGTCGGGAGAACGATCTCAGATTCAACGGGCTGTTCTTCGATCTTAGTGTCCTTGGGGGTTAACTCTTTCTCTACTATATTGCTGGCAGGCGTCGACTCCAAGTTGAGCAAATCCTCAGTTGGATTAGGCTTTACTGTGCTAGATGACACTTCATCCGATGTCGTGGTATCCTCACCCTCAAGTGGCCTTGGTGGCTTAGGATCGTCATCCTCGAACTCGGTCACCTCGAAAACTTTCTGTTTGGGCTTGCGCGCCGGTTTCTTGTTTCTACCACCCCTCCTTCGACCCCCAGCTTTCTCCCAACCTCCATCGTCCTCCTCATCCTCGTCGCCCGGCTTCTTGTTCAACTCTTTTCCTGGCTCGTCCCTCAAGCCCCAAGTGCCGCCGTATTTCTCGCAATGAATTTCATATGCCAATGCTAAGATGCCTAAATCTTGCTTACTCAGAACTGAAAAATCTCCTGTTCGTCTAGCGAACGCTGAGACAGCTTCATAGCTCGCAGGTGTGGGTGTCTTGATGTTAAGGAACGGCAAAAGAGTGGTCTCAACTCGTGACCTGGTGGCAGCATCTCGGATCTCAGAGATGATGGCAGGGGTCGTGTACAGATGCTCTGCTGAGCCTATGATGGTGGAGATTGAGACAGTGTTGTTGATAAGAGGTCCAGTGTCGATAATTATCGAGTTGATGGGCTTTGAGTTTGGTTCGGAAGCCATTTTGAGAAAAGTTGGGTAAGATTTGATGTGCCCCGCCAACCGCGGATTTCGTTGTAACGAATCTAATTCAAATCCTCGCAGATTTTATAACAGTCCGGATGATGAGACCAGGATCAAGATGCCAGGGCAAACAGGTATTAAAGAACGTGAAGTGCCGGTTGAGATTTGTCGAGTGAGTGGCGATGCGTGGTTGTGCGACATGCAAAAATTGGTTTGATGTGCTCATTGGTTGACGGGAACGCTAAGCTCGAATGACTCAGCATACGTGTGATGGTTGAGGGTTCGAACGGATCTTCTATCATGACTTCATTTCAAGATTCTTGTCTCTTGAATTAGCCATTTTTTTTTCTCTCTCCTTCCATTTCTCTTCTAGGTGTCCCCTATCTATAGCTGTGCCTGAAGCTCGGCTACGATCCCGGGACCGAATGCAAGATTGCTGCTCAATTATCGATGGCTATACTGCTGGGTTTACTGTCTGGTTGTACATGACTGATGCATCTGAAAATCAGTTAATGTTATCGGACGCATCTTGTGGGCTAGAGTCGGAATTTCGATCGGGGAGCTGTGAATCGGAGCCGTTCGCTCATCACTTTTGGTTACAACATGTTGCACGAAATCGGGAGGGTGAACACTCGTAGGTGGTAAATTTTGACAAGCTTTCAAGCAACCTCCAAGTTGGCTAGCCAATTTGGTCTCATGCGTTTATTAATAGGCGAAGGTAGACGTTACTCAACACACTCTGCCCTCTCAATGATCGGTATCGAAACCCATTCGCGACGAGGAGGTTCATAACACAAGATCAGAGAGAGTGGACAACATCAGTCAAGTCTGGCCAAGACATATTAGCCTTGCGGACGAAGAATCCGAAAAGCACACGCCGCCATGCTCCTAGGAAGTTGTCGCTGCCCCTCTGTACCTGATGCTGATAATATGATTCCTGGGTCCTGTTGTCCTGCCTTGTCGCCGAGTGGACAGGACACATGCTGTTCACCTATTGGCGAAGACTGTTGGATCAAGACGAGGGCCGTTGTCACCGAGAGAGGGGCAATGCGCTTGATACAGTTGTATGTATGATTGGTGTAATGGACCTCGCTCGTGTGTCAAGCCGGAAGACAATGGCGTTGGCTAGCAAGGTACACATGACCGTGTACGTTGGCGACTGACAAGCGGCTCGAATGCAGGTGGAAAGAACGGAAGGGCCGAAGATGAAATGAAGGTGCGTCGCATCCGGTGAGACTAATATGGATGTCTGTCAGCGCGGTTCTATTGGCCATTGATCGACGAGTCCGGGGTTTGTAGCCCCCAAACAAGGAGTGGCAAGACGATACTGGGTCAAACCGAAGCATTGCTGTTTGAAGCAACAACTATGTATGAGCAGCCTTATTCGTCAACGCAAAGGTACCGCGGCCCAAAAGACACCGAAGAAAAGGCAACAAGGCAGACATGCAGACGTTACGCTTGAGCTCACATTGTGCCTGCGGCTGGGGTTGGTTAGCTCCTCCTCGACGTATGCCATATTTAAAGCTTACCCTTCGCGGTGAAGTCAAAACCGGTGGATTTTCTTTTTGACTCCTGTTCCCTTGACGGTGACCTGGCCCGGAGCTCAGAATTGGCTTTCTCTCGCGTGGCTTCTCTCGTCGTTGTTCCCTTCCATCGGTCCTGCTTTCCGGAGGTTGGCTTAGGTCGGTAGTGTTCCTACCTACTGAGAGGTAGTGCAGCTTACCATCCACTTCTTTGTACCCAACGAGCACTGATCACCTACCTCTCAGCAGAGCTGCATACCAGTCGTTCATTTCCTCGGATGTCCATGACACATATGTCATGGCTGTAACGTCATAAAATATCCATACATGTAGTGATTTCCCATGTCGTCCGATCGACTCAGACATGCCGCCAACAACACCACCTCCGCCATTACTCACTGCCAAATCTCGCCACATGCAAGCTGGATGCTTTCGCAAGTACAAAAGGGTCATGCAAATCAGGCGACTCTGCAAAGCAGGGGGTTGGCGTACGCAGGATTCAATGGAACACTACACGGAAACTAAATGATTCTCCATCTCGCCTCCTCTCAACGCCCAACACGCTGAGGTTCGTTACGTGCCGGTGACACAAGGAACTTCCCTGATTCTTCGTGGGTGGGCGTCGTGACGAATTTGCTGGTTGGCCGAACGCTCAGCGCCTGCATGCAAGATTCCACCATGTTGCCGCCCCGGCGGAATATCCACCCGGTTTACCATACTCTTCGCGCTCGACATGGTGGGTCGCCTGAGCTGCTTCCTTCGATATCTATCAAACGGAAGCCGTGCAAGTCTCTGTAAATCTCACAACTATGAATACTCGGTCTTCGCGGTTTCCACGGACCTCTTCTTCGCCACTATGGCCCTGTATCCTCAATCAAACAGGGTGGGAAGAGTCCGTAACTCTGATACATGGGCGGACCTACATATGAACGAGCAGCCCAACCTAATCGCGGGGTAAATGTATTGGTCGCCAGGATGTTGCTCCACGCTTCTGCAGCCGTATAAGATCATGCCGCGTTGCCAACCCCTATGAGTACCAACGCCTTATCTGCGACTTGTTATGGACCTCTCTACGAGCTAAAGAGGTCGGCTGATCTGAAATGCGATGGTACGTTGCGTTTGATGATATGCAGCAGAGCCGCATTCGCTGGGCGCAGGAATAAAGGCTGGTCATGAGAAAAGTCTGCCAGATTGTCCGTGGAAGTCGAGAGGTACTTTTGTGCCTGCAATTCCGAAACGAAACGCGCTCTACCTCTGTCGCTACTTGTCAAAGACATTTCTCTCGCCTAGCTCGCCATGTCGGTTAGTATAGGATCCGCCAGCCCCCGCATGTTCTAATCAATATCTCCACTCCAGCCGCCGTTTCTATTCCGAATTGACGAAGTCGTCGAGCATCAAAACGCCCCATATCATGTTGATAACCATGGACACTGGATGCCTTCCACCAATGCGCAGGACAACGTGAGGGCGAGAGGGGGCGCTTCTGGGATTTGGTGGTATTGCAATGGACAGCAAATTCAAGCTATACCCAATGCCACGCGGCCCCCTCAAGGCGCCCAGCATTTCAAAACCTTCTCCATGTTCTTCTGCTCCGGATATGGCTTCTGGGTTCTCAGAGGCGACGCGACAAACGCAGCCAGTCTGGCATCAGAGGCCTGGCACCCGCTCCGGTTTGACTACGAAGAAAACGACTACTCTACATACATAACCAACGCGGGGTCCAGAAGGAATTTGAACTGGACAAGACCGGACCAACGATGGCCGGGGATTTTGTTCCCAGATATATACCACAATCCGACGATGGTCACGCCAAACCTGCAGTACGGCGGTTTGAGGGGTGATCTGCCCATCTTCCTCTCCCTCATTGCCTTCTCAATGCGCCGCGAAGTCCTCGCACCCATGCTTCCAAACATGTTCATCAACGGCGCCTGGAATGTCCACAGTCATCCGTCTGGGCGTATGTTTTCAAATCTCCGCTTGCTATTGCAGCAAAGAAAAGCCCGTCGGGCGCTGACGTGAAACAGGGGTAGACAGAAGAGGTGTGGTGGTTTACGTGTATACCGCGCCGCAAAACTGGGCGCCTAATTCGACCATCAACGAGCTGCATCGCTACGAGGACGGCGTTTATTCCAACTACTACAATTGAGAAGAAAGACGGCAAAGGGGATAAGAGCTAGAGAAGACGTTGTGGTGTTATGGCCCCCGAAGTCTTGGCTCGGGAAGATCCGCCATCATACATTCGACCCTGCTTATTGCATTTCTTTCCCCGCTGCTGGCCGACCTTCATACACCTCATACGTTTATTTTCCCTTACTGCCTCGGCAATTTTTGGTCTCGTATGTTTGGCTTTTTTGGATTCGCGTGTCTTTCTTTCCTTGTCGAGAATATTTGAATGTTTGGAACAGACTTGTGACCCAACTTTTTTGATTACGGGCTATTCCTACAGGCACTGGGTAATAATCGAACAATACACGGGTACTCAGCTCTGTTGATAACGAACAGCTAAGGTTGCTATGATTCGCTGTCCCCTTGTGTTGGACAGAGGGGCACTGATTTATATCTTGCTCCCCGTTCTTCTTTACTGATTTTGATCTGGAGTTTCGGTGAAGTTGTTCTTTATATAGTCGATGAATCATTATTCGAGTTATCACAAATATCAACGTTCAAGTAGAGATGCCTTGTGTGTGAGTGATGCGGTGGTTGGGATGTATGCCGTATTCTCTTTCCCTCTGTTTGACCTACGATATGACGCGGATATGTTGGTGATAGGAGCATATTCACAGCGACTGAAGTCATGAATTGAGATACCTACGTTTTCAAAGTCTGTTGAACCTTGCAAAAAGATCCCTAGTATGATATGCCACTCTTTGATGAATGGACGGTTAGGTTAAATAGCCAGTCAGCTACGCGCTTGTTATTCCTTCTTTCTTCTCATACTCACAGCGAAGAATGAGGAGTAGGAGAATGGGGGATAGCGGAAGGCTGCAGTTTACTCCATGAGTCTTACTCTATCTTGGGTGCCCAAAGTTGAATGTGTATTTTGTAAAAGCGTATATAGACATACACATATATAAGAAAATTATGGCCAAGGGAAATTAGCAATATCCACTTTACGCGAGAGTGTATTCTATGATACCCGTGTTTTATACTTTGAATATTTCATCTATCTCAAGACTCGGCTGTGCAAAAGGGGAATGGAATGGGGGTCAGACATGAGATGGTGTTTATCAGTTCAGACGAAGCAACTGGCAAACCGCAAGGATGGTTTCCAGCATTCTCCGAGTGAGTAGTGCACTGAGGACTGAAGTTTTCGGTCTCGTCATCACCCAGGTATCAACAATAGCTATTGAAACACCGACAAGGCTTCGTTAATAGAGGTAGATTGAATATTTGTTTGGACGGGCAAAAGAGGACGAGAGATTCATCGCACGACATAAACACCAAAAGACAACATAGACACTGGAATGAGATGGAAGTGGAATTCAAAATTACATTTTCATATTCTCCTCGTGTCTGAGCAAGAATGGTGAGAAACGCCGCCCTAATGCTACAGCAGCTACATCGTACAGATCTGTCCTTCCAAGGTCCTCGATAAAGCTCTCTAGGCTGATGGTGGTGAATGGTGACATTTTGTGTGGTATACAACAAATAATATTACAAAGATCAAAGACCGATTGTGTTTCCGGACAATCTCTAGTCTATTTCTTTCTTGAACAAAAACGTGGTTTGAATGCGGTAAGTATGTGCCGTTTGAACTCGTCCTCTGTTGATTTACGCGATTGGTCGACTCCGCTCGTCTTCGGGCATTCTCTGTTCTTGAGTCAGCGTTTTTCTTCCGGTCATGACCGGTAAAAGTCAAAATATACACCCCCGATGCAACATGAATAGCATGATTGAAGAAAAGTACTCACCATGTACACTTCAATGGCGGCCGAGAACGCCGCAAAGCCTGCACATCCAACAGCCGCAGCCTGAGGACCCGCACCTCTAGCCAACACACCGCCCGTTATACAACCTCCCGCAACACCATTCCAGATGTCATTCTTAGCGCGTAGACCCTCGATCGCACACTCGGTTCCGCTGAAGATGGCGCCCACCTTAGCAAAGTTCTTTCCGGATGACTTGGATGATTGGTACATATCACGGAGACCGACTTTGAGCTGTTGTCGTAATGGAAGATCTGTGAGGGGAACAGAGGCTGTGGGAGAGAGTGTCGGGGGAAGAGGTGCAGTGGCGGCTGCGGTTGTGGATGCGGACGAGGATAGGGCGGCTGAAGTAGGTGCCTTTACGGTCGAGGCTACGGTGGATACTGTGCTTGTACCAGCGGGAGTAGTGGCACTTGTCGCGGCAGTCTTCGCAGTTTGCGCTGCTGCTGCTGTCGAGGCCGTGGCAGGAGTTTGTACGGGGAGTGGTTGCGACATTGGGGTATCGTAACGCATCTAGATGGAAAAAGTCAATCCCTTATATCCTGTCGCATAGGAGAATTCGTATATGGCCAGGCTCACCGAACTCATAAACAGACCAAACATGGCTCCCAGACCACCACCCATCACGCCGGCCATGACCGTCTTGCCTGCGCAGCTCTCCATGCTTGCTTGCATCTGTATTCAACGCGCATCAGTTTCTGTCCAACATGGTTTTGCATCCTTTCCTTGCTTGACGGAGTTCTGCGATTTTGTAACTTGCAGTCGTCGCGCGCGGAGAGATAGTAGAGAGGAATCGGTGAAGAAGTCGGGAAAAAGGGTGGCCATACATATTTCACCATCATCGCTTCCTGCTCCGACATGCCTGCCGTGGGATCCATGCCCGGCATGGTCGGCCTTCCAGGAAACGCCATTGTATAATAGAATTTGGGTGGTCGTAGGTGGTCGTAGGTGGTCGTAGGTGGTAGTGGTGTTGGCGGTGTTCCGTTGTTGTTGGGACGGTATTTTATTTTATCGGAGACAATGATGGGATGGAAATACGCTCAGCGGAGAAAGCGCGGAGGTCTTGGCGCTAATGAACTAGGGCAACTTCAACATAGTAATCGCAAACGCCTGAATCGCCATATACTTCAATCACAACACAGATGTAGCCAAATGACCAATAAAAAATTTATAAGTATTGTGCGAACTACGTCCAGGTATCATTAACATCATTAAGTAATAGCAACAAAAATGACAACAAGCTCGCTCCCCACTTCTATCCAGCCGACAAAGGCTGCGATTATACAACAAGCCACCTCTAGATCAACACTGCGTATTAGAAATAAACATTTCGTTTCGACTTTTCTATCTTGAACCGTTACGTCGTTATAAATGGAGCACAATCCTCTTGATAATTCTGAAATTGATGGCCCTCACAAGCAAACGTGCCACGACACAAACACTCTCCTCAGACACAACAGAATGCCGGCGATGCACAGTTCTTTCCGGGGTTACTCCTTTGACTGCGACATCAAAGGAGTAGCCCCGGAAAGAACTTTGGACCGACGGCATTCTGTTGCATCAGACGAGGGTGTCTATATCAGGGTGTTTGCTTGCAAGGAACCATCGTATAGGCCGTGAATGGTTATCGTGCTTTCATCGCGAGGAGCCAGCAACCGGCGAGATAGCTCGTCCGAGGTAATCACCGTGTGCATGGGTCGAGTCTCGGGACTCAGCAGGGGGCGTAAGAGACTTTTCCCATTCAGACATGAGAGTTGATGCAGTCTTCTTCAAGTTCGATGGAGAGTAGTTTTTGAGATCTGGCCAAGGGATCGAACTACGCTTCGCGTCGCGTACGGGAGTATCCTCGAACAGACCCGCGGAACTAGACGACGCTGTGAGTGTGGACGCTTTAGAATCATGGCGCTGGCTGTGGTACCTAGTGCTGGTCCTTGATGATGCCTGGTGAGACACCGGCGAGGATGGCCCGTCAGACTCATCCGATGAATTGCCCTCGCCTGGCCGAGGTCCTTGGGTGGCGTTGACAGCTTTGTCGTTGGGGGTGTCCCAGTTAGCCCACTCTTCGTCGTCGTCGGCTGTCGTGCTTTGGAGGTGCCTTTGAGGCTTTTGTGGTTGTGGGGTGCGGGTGTGCTTGAGCGAGTGAGTTCGCTTGTTTGTAGCAGAGGCCTTGGGCTGTGACAGACCGTGCTCGGACCAGAACTCCTCTCCAATGTCTCCAGCCTTGTTTGCTCCGGGTTTCCTCGAACTCGCGGCCCGCTGCAAGGTTGGCCTCGCATCGGACTGTTTCCTCGCTTTAGCGTTAGATCCTGTAGCTTCGGCGCCGATGAGCTCTTCCCCCACGGTGGCCTGTCGGATGTCCTCAATAAAAGTCATAAGACCGTCTTTGAAGTCAGTGGCCATCTGCTTGCCAGTGCGCAGCAGTTGATCGCGCTGTATATTGGTCAGACCAGCGAGATCGTTGCGTTCGCCGTCGACAGTCTGCGCGATGTGATTGGCAATGTCTGGGGTAGTGGAGTGTCGAGTCAATGGTGGCGGACGGGCGGGATGTTGTGGTTTTGGCATCAATGTGGGCGAGGGAGCGGCAGCGGTCTCTTCATGGAGATGTTGGGGCTGGGGGAACGAAGGCGTGTAGGCCTTGTCTGGCGACAGTAATGATAGCGTGCGTAGATGTTTTGAGCCGCTGAAGACTTTGCGTTGTGACGACCTAGCGCCACTGAGGAGGGCTTTCCTGCGTTCCATCTCCTTTTGCATCCACAATGCCGAGCCATCTTCATCATCTTGGTCAGAGCCGTAATTGGCCAAAGTCGTGTTGAGTGGCTGCAGCTGCGTGACTTTGCGCACCTCGTTGCGTTGCTTTAGAGCCTCTTGGGTGGCGAAGTGTTTCTTGAGGGTTTTGAGGTCTTGTTCGGCCTTTCCCAGCTCCTCCTTGAGCTCGAGGACGTAACGCTCTTGGGCAGCGACAACGGCCAGGAGGTTGGTTTCGGGGGTAGAGAGAGTCTCGGGGGACGGTACGGGAGAAGGAGCAGCGACCCAGGATTGTGGTCGGGAACGAGGCGAGAAGGCCGGGGAGGAATTGCCCGTCGATGGTTGGATGGGGAACTGAAGGCTTAATCGCTTGCCCGTGCGAATGACGTCGACTTGCGACATTGTCTGTGAACGATTGTGGGAACGAGGATTAGAAGAAGACATGTCGTCTTCGTCTTCCTTTTGTTGATGGCGGCGGTGGTGGTGGTGTTGTTGTTGTGGCTGTTGTGGGTGGGAAGAGTAAGGAGTGAGGGAGGGAGACGGGGGAGCGTGGTCGGAGTTGTGGGCTTCTTTCAGAGGTGATGATGAGCGGCCCCTGTCAGGGCGACCTCCTTTGTGGACTTTGTCGAGATTGCGGCTCTGTGCGCTCACAACGTCTGGTCCCTGGAAGAAGGTGTCCAGCCCACTATCTCGCCTTTTGCAAACGAGGGTGGAAAAACGGCGAGAGAGGCGGGAAATGCGAAAAAGAAGGAGGGAGGTTGTTCGGGGCGAGGTGCCTCGTATTTCCAGCAGCAGAGCGAGTAGCGCTGCAGGTACGCCGAAACAGCGCAGCAGTATCTGACCGCCGCGAACAAATGAGATCCAAGCTTTCAGAATGGCCTGGTGGCTCGTCGGATAAGATTGACCCATACCATGGCGTGCGAGCAGGGTCAAGAGGAACAACAACGAGACGCCGTCGTCGTTGAAGTAGAAGGAGAAGAAGAAGGCAACGAAGAAAGATGAAGTTGGAGAAGGCGGAGGGGCATCTTTGCAAACCAAACAAAGCAACGGATTGCTGTAACTAATTAAACTCCTGATGGATGTTCGCCGCCCGCAATGGACGCGTGATGGGCGGTCGGACCATCAACGTAAACAGACTGTCGCGGCCTCATTCCCCTAACTACCTAGGTAACTAACCAGTTCCCCCCCAACTAGTAGGGCCCAGTCTTGGCTACACCGACTTTTTTTTTCTACGAACAACGAATGTAGTACGCGGGAGAAGGCAGTCCTCGACGACTTTAAATCCATTCGCTTTCCCACACCATCTGTTGGCCGATGAGAAATGGTGAGAAAGAAAAAAAACAACCACCTCGCCTCTCACTATTTTCTACTTGCTGTACTAGGAACATTGGAATTTGGCTGCCCCTGCACGGCCGAGATGACAGCGGGAGCTGTTTCGAATGGTATTGGATCCTAGCCGGCTTTCCGTTTCATAGGCTCAGCTGGCTATACATGATATCCGTATGTATGTGCACGTTGGCTGCACGGAATCAAAAGGAATATGTATTCCGTGGGCAATTGCTATGCGCATTTGGCGTACATCAACACAGGTAGGACTCAGCTGTCAGATTGAACGCCTATACTCGTACTAAGCTGGTGAAAGGTCTGGTAACAGGCATATGGTGGTAATGAAGGTGCACAGGTGCTTGTAACCAGTGGTACCTCTGACGTCTAGAACCTGACAGCTGTGTATCCAGTCTTTTTATTCATGGCAGTGAACAGCTGCTTACGAGCTCAAACCCACAAGCCCGCATTGCTATGAGCGCAGTCGTCCCAGAAACCAGCCGCTAGCCATGACTCGTTGCACAAGAACAACAACATGCCCGCCATACGACCAGTTGCTTTGCTCCTGCGACCATCGTGTACGTAGGCCTCCTGGCGTGGCGCAAGTAGAGTTGGCCGTTTCTTTTTCTTTGTCTGCTCCTCTAGTCACGGGTAGGCTGCCAGACTCAGCCACCAAACTGAATCTCCTCCAACTTCGGCCATGTCCTTTGGCTTTGACTTGTTCGAAGTGGTCTGATTGAAGCAAGACATTGCCGATCGAGTCCGGCCTGGTCGTTGTATGGCCCGTATACCGGCGAAAACACATGCAACTATTGAAGAATCCGTTGGTAATCACGAAGCTTTTTGCAAGCTCTGTTCAGCCATGACTGGAAGTATGACGACGGAGTGGATGCGAGTATCGATCATGCAGACATGTAGCCGCCAGCAACCGGAAAATCTGAAGGCCCATTGCGGGGATATCCCCATCCCACCGCCAAAGAGTCATCCAGAAATCCGGTTGCTGAAGATGCAAGAGGTCTGCCAAAGATGGTGTTTGGTAAGGGTGACTGGTCTAGAATATACAACTTGTCCATGTACAGTGTACAGATACTGCCAAAGTCGTGGCCCTTGATTGGCTATGCTGGACTCGCTAGGCGGAATGGGGGCCGACAGCGCATCTTGGGCAGGTAAGCATGTGCCTGTCAACTGCTATGAATCGGCCGAGTCCACGAGATGGGTCCAGCAGACTCCACACACTTTTTTTTCTGTACTGTCTCGATGCTCGATCTGACGGGTAACGGGATTGTGGGTAAAGCAAGTAGGGGCTTTATGCAGGTGCAGCGGGAGAGGGAAAAAGCGCATATCGTTGGTATGTATCGTATCGTATGCAGCCACGGCATTGTTCCGCATTGGGTGGAATTCTGGGGTCGACATCCATCACCAATAACATCAATGTCCAGACAGCACATCCTCTGTCCAAAACCCAACTCGCAATGACGACAGAGTTCATTTCGCCCTCACTAGGCGGCAACGATAAGATAGCTAGCACAAGTAACACTGATGCGCTGAAGATCACTGCTGTCGCAACAAATGTTAACGTGCGCGAGTAGCTCCGTGGCGTGTGCGTCTTGTTATCCCCGCGCCCCGTCGTTAGGGCAACCGCGCTGCCCGTGAGCCCTGCCAGCCGAATACATTATACCGATAATTAATCCTCATCTGCTGCTGCTGCTGCTGCTCATTCAATTGCTACTGCGATCCCAATACTATACTCACCACCTTGATAATTTCTATTGCTATCTGTCCGACGACACCCCAAGGCGACGCCGTCCATCTTACTCGGCTGTCTGCCTCCTGCTGGCTAGAGCGACTTCGTTACCGTTGAAAACGCGCAGCTGGACCCCAACCCCTGACCATTATGGCCACCTTTGATGGATATCAGGTGTTGGAGGAGCTGGGCAGTGGGAGCTTCGGTGTAGTGTACAAAGCTATCGAAAAGGCAACGGGCGAGACGGTGGCCATCAAACTCGTACGTTTTGTCTCTCTTGCTTGCACTAGCGACTTGCTCTCGATTCAGAACATCCTCACTGACTTTCCCTGGCGCAGATTGACCTCGAGGACAGCCACGACGAGCTCTCCGACATCCAAGCCGAAATCAGTCTGCTCAGCACATGCAAGAGCCCCTACGTGACCGAGTACAAAACTAGCTTCGTTAAGGGCGTCAAGCTATGGATTGTCATGGAATATCTAGGTGGTGGCTCAGCATTGGACTTGGTAGATATAGTTCAAACCCCCCGAGAATTACGAGTCTCTAATCAGTACAGATGAAACCGGGCCCCTTCGGCGAAGCTCACATCGCCATCGTCTGCAAGCAGCTGCTTCTCGGCCTCGAGTATCTGCATGCGACCGGCAAGATTCATCGGGACATCAAAGCTGCAAACGTACTTCTCACCGACTCGGGCAAAGTCAAGCTGGCTGATTTCGGTGTCGCCGCCCAATTGCACGATTACAAGTCGCAGCGCCATACTTTCGTTGGAACACCTTACTGGATGGCCCCCGAGGTCATACAAGAAAACGGCTACGATTTCAAAGCCGACGTTTGGTCTCTGGGGATAACAGCACTGGAAATGGCCAAGGGAGAACCGCCCAACGCGCATATTCACGCTATGAAGGCATTGTTCATCATTCCCAAGGATCCCGCTCCCCGTCTGGAGGGAGACAGTTGGAGCAAGGATTTCAAGGACTTCATCGCACAGTGCTTGATCAAAGATCCGGACCGCCGTGCGAGCGCAAAGGAGCTACTCGATCATCGCTTCATAAGGCGAGCTGGTAAAGTCGAGGCCATGCGAGAACTCATCGAGCGCAAGCAGATGTTTGATGCTCAGCAGGACACCACAAAGCACCTCAGATACTACGAGGAAACAATGTAAGTGAATTCATGTTTGCTAATATCTACGCAGAAAACTGACCTTTGAGTAGGGTCGATCTGAGCCCCAAAACGGAAGAAGATGAATGGATCTTCGACACCATCAAACAATCCACAATAATCCCTGCGCGTCAAACTATGAAGCGCCGAAAGATGGCCCGAATTCCCTCTTCGGAAGCTGCCGATAGCTGCGCTTCCATGATGCAGCATCTTGATATGAACGCGGCTCCGTTGGGCAGTGTCACCGATTCTCCTATGCCCGAACGACGCCGTCCCGTTTCGAGAAAGTCTTCCTCGTCCACGCAGGTGTATACGCCAACAGGCTCAACACCCACCGCTCATCGTATCAGCAGCCCGTCGAAGAAACCCTTGGGAGTGGATCTGAGTTTTGGCAATTCTCCTTCCACAGTGAGACACTTTAAGCGGGTGTCATCTGGTGAACGCCGCGCAGCCCTCTCTTCCAACCCTCCAGTCAACTCGAATTCGTTTCATCCAAACCCCAACGCGAAAACCTTCCGTCCTACACCGCCCAACTCTGCGAATCCGCTGGACTTCAATGACGAAAACGAGCCTCCAGCCCCCGTGTACCAACAACCTGTGCCCATCACCAAGGATGCACTTTACGGTCGCCGCGCCTACAGCAAAGTTATGGATTCTGTTTTTCAAGAAGCTTACGCGAATTCGGCTTCCCCTCACCAACGAGAGGCATTGGGGGGTGTGCATCAGGCCTGGGCTCACCTTGATCAAGTCGACCCTCAAGGCGAATTTCTCCTCATCAAGGCTATGGTGGATCGATTGCAGAACGACTCGAAACTTGCATCCGTCCTCGGTGTCGCTGTCACCCCCGCAAGTACGCCCAAGCACAGTACCAAATCTTGCGAAACCAGTTTGAGTGGGGCTACAGTACACGGTACCAGCACCACGCGGATCCGATCGAGTACGACCACGACCTCGTCCACCTACAGCAAGGCATCTAGCGAATACACATCCACACCCGTTGGCACGCCTACTGGAACTTCTTCCGGCTCTCCTCTCAAAGGTCCCAAGCTCGTACTTGCTCAGAATAACCCTCACCTCAAATCGCACCGACGTCGGCAAAGCGCCATTGTCACCGGCGAGAAGCTCTATGGTCCAGACGGGTACGCCCTGGATGAGAAAAAGCTACCTGGGCACGTTGAGCCAGGCATGGAGCAGCAGGGGCTCCTCGCTGATATCCTCTATGGCCAGTGGATGCAGGGGCTTAAAAACCGTTGGCCCCTCTCTTGATCTCCCCCACGCGCGTACATGCTCCAATGTTGAGTGAGTTGTGCCGTGAGCATATCTTTCTGCTTAGACCTCGTCCATTTTGTCATTGCATATAAAACTGCATGTGCATACTTTGGGTGTCTCCGCATTGGTTGTTCTTCTGTTTCTCTTCCTGCATTTAAGGCGAAACGACCCTTTTTCACGACCCGGCCGGCAAAGTCAGTAATGATTGTGACTCCCCTCTCTTATTTCCCTCAGAAACGATCATGACGGTTGCCAGCGAGTTTGTTTTATCTTGTTCTTATCGTTCCCTTGTTGCATAGTTTAGCGAGCTTGTTCTTTCTTGAACCCCTATTTTAAAGGGTCATCATTTGGGCGTTGTTCTGTTTTGGGAAATGGACGGTATTTTCTGTTATTCCCCCTACTTCCCCTTTCTTCTGTCGTCGAAGACCAGAGGGGAAATCATTAATTCGTAGCCTTAGATTGATTGATTGAACAAAAAGACTGTGCAGAAACCCCCATCTGACTGGGGAACTGTCAACAGTGCGGTTGAGAGCGAGTTGGCCAGGTAAAACTGGCCAAGAGAGACAAAATTGTGTAGATAGATTGTAGATTGAGTGTTTTTCTAGTGTAGTTAGAATAGCTGTATGCAATAACATGGACTTCAAAACCTATTTTCTCTCGGCTGCCTTCCACTTCCATTCTTGATTGTCCGAGTTCTTTCATTCCCTATTTCGCGAATTTAAACCAGCATACCAAATCCATACTCATCCATCTTTCATGTCCTCTGCGACAACCCACTCACTCCTTCCCCTCCCAAGCTCCCCTCAAAAATTCCTCCGCATCAGTAAATTTCATATCAGGCAATAACTTATTCCACTCATCCGACACCTCAAACGCTCCAGCACGAACAGCCTGCAAAACACCCGCCACCATCCCTTTAGCTAATCCTTTTCGCTGCTCGGCCGGAATAGCAGGATGATCTAGAGTAGGCAGCCAGCTGCTCTCAAACTCGCCCTTTTGCAGATCAAACAAGGGGATTCTTTCGATATTGAAGGGTCCGCCTGTTGCAGGTAAGTGTTAGGTTAGCAAGACAAACCAAAGGTAAAACATGGTGGATGTAATGTTGAGCTTTTGAATCCCACTCAAAGAAAAAGAAAGCCACAAAAACAGGAAAACAGGAAAAGTAGAGCAAAGAAAAGTAATACTCACGGATTTCTTCCCCAAGTGCGACCAGTTCCTCGACACTCAAAACATCCCCCTTCATCCCTCCTACCACAGGCCACTCCCCTTCATACTCCACAGCCCTCTTCACCACGTCTGCGAAATCCTTCACCGTGACTAAATTGATTCTCCCTCCCCCAGCTTCGTCGACGACCAACGCACGTCGTCCGTGGAAGTCCCACTGCATCTGGAACGGGTGCACATGCGCACTCGTTTTATACGGCGCGGCAAAGTAATTCGTGAAGAGCCCGACGTGGAAGAGGCAATACTCGATTCGCTGAACGGGGTTGTTGAGATCGGAGAGGTAGGTCCGGATAGCGGATTTAGAAGTGTACCATGGCATGTGGTCGAAGCTTGAGCTGTGTTGTTTACATATGTATATCAGCAAGGCGTTCCTTCGGTGACGCGAGCAGCATACAAGAAAATAGAAAAGGGATTAGTAGGGAAGGTGGGATACGTTCAGAAGAAAAAGGAGAAAAGAAGAGAGACTTACGAAGCCCATTCGCTGGGCGCGAAACGTTTCACACCTGCTTTGACAGCTGCGTCTATGAGGGTTTTCTGCGAGGTATTTCCCGGATCGGATTGTGGGGTTATGAAACAGAGGACTGTGTGGACTCCCTTCAAGATGGTTGCGAGTTCGTCGACGCTTTGGTAGGTTGTTTGCGCGGATGTTACACCGGGAGCGAGTTTTTCTGGTGGGATTGCCTAGATGTAATGGGTGTGATTAGTGATTGGGGTAGAGAGGGAGGTGATTTGTTGGAACAGAGTCGTACGTTTCGGGAAAGCAGGATGATTTCGTGGGTTTTGGTCGAGGCAAGGACGTCGAGGATTTCTTGAGCTACGCCTGTGTGCATAAGGTTGTTAGTGACGCGAGTTTGTTTCTGGGGAGAGGAACTGGGAGAAGGCGATTTCGTACCTCCTGTTGCTCCGGAAATCGCGATTTTAACCATTTTGAATATGGATTGTTGATTTCACGTGTTGGATCTTGAAGTTGTATGCAAATTGAGTTCAGAGTCAATATCCGGAGAAACAACTGTGGAATTAAAGTTGGATGATGAGGACAAAGATTGTTCATTGAGTACTTCATGTTCACTTATGTACAATTTTCTGCAATTGTCAATCATGGCCTAAGATACGGTACAATCAGTAGAGTGCAAAAAGATGAAAGCTCGATGCACGCATTGCGGCGGAAGAAACAGTAAAATGATAAGTTTCCACGGAGAACTTGACCTTTGGTGTTGCAGCTCATATCACTGTAGTTCACTTATTGGAGGTTAGTGTTGCTCGATTGAGCGGTCCGGCCTTCGTTCGACCGCCGCAGAACGGCGGAAGAACGCGGTCTGTGGTCAAGCTGACTGAATCCTCTGCATTTTCCTTCCCCAACAAGCTTACAAATTTTTGCTTTTGACATTGTGCATCCCACCCCTGAGTCATCTGTTTTTGCAGTTCGTTTGCACAGACATTCACTCTTGCACCCTGCTCTAATAATCGGACTCCAATCGTGCGTTTGTCGGCGGAGCTGGCTGGTATCGGGAACATGCCGGAGATCTCAACCCGCAGCCATGGCACAGAAAGTCCAATAAAGAAGAAACTACGCAAAGGCACGCGAAGTTGCTGGGAGTGTAAGAGAAGGAAGGCGAGATGTAGTCTGTCTCAAACACAAAATGTCTCCGTCTGTGACGGTTGTAAACGTCGGGGAACGCGCTGTATTAGCCAGCAACATCCTGATGATCAAACGAACACCAAGAAACATCTCGGCGATCGGCTTGGGTATGTCGAAGATATTCTTTACCACCTTAAAGGAGGAATAGAGAAACCCCATGCGAATGATTCTGACCAATTGAGAGGCATGCGAATCGACAAGCGTGCCAATATTGGAAGGCTACATGTTCGCCCGGAGGAAATTATCGCCCAACACCACCGCTCAACAGGACAACCACGACATCATAAACTCACTGGAATTTCTCAAGCACTTCTATCGGCGTGGCCCACCCCAGATGATCTCGAAGCCATTGTCAGTGCACCCATGGGTACAGCCAGCGTGTACCGTGGACTGATATGTACTTCGTACGAAGTCTTTATGGAAAATCCCCTCCCTTCTCCTCGTGAATTACTAGTTACCCCGGAATCATCGCTAAACCCTGTTTTCGTCGCTCGTAAACTGCTGATGCTAGCAACGTATTTACAGAATCTCTCTCCGGCAGCCGTGACACTTGTCTCTGAGCAGCTCACTGTTAACTTTCGTGGGCTCATGGATAGAGCCTTCAACGCGGCTACTGAGTTAGTCACAAATAACGACGAGTTGACGGGATCAGTTGAAGGCATCGAATGCATCATGATGGCCGCATTATATCTCAATAACGCCGGTCGTCTGCGCCTCGCATATCTCGCTATTCGAAGGGCACTTACTATCGCTCAAATGATTGGTCTTGACAGAGGGTCGAACTCATCATTGATCCGCATACTTGACCAAGATACGCTCGAGCGCATTAGTCCAGAATTCATGTGGTTCCGTCTGGTTCAGACAGATCGATATCTTTCATTGCAGCAAGGTCTCCCTCAAGGATATATCGGGGATTCGTTCTTTGTTGGCAATCAGGCAGAGAATCTTCATTCGCCTGCGGAGCGATTTGAGCAAGTCGTCACCATTGCGGCGGGTAGGATCATCCAGCGCAATGGTGCTGCAATGCTCGATTTGAAGGCTACTCGGGAAATTGATGCAATGTTACTGAGCTCCGCCAACTCCATGCCGTCCCAATGGTGGCTATATCCGGATTTGACAACTGATTTTCAAGATGAACGCGACTTGCTTCGCGAGACCGGGCGCTTCATCATGCAAATCGCATACTATCAACTGTTGGAGCGACTTCATCTACCTTTTCTATTGCAGCAGTCCACCTCAAGCGAATATGACTATAGTAAGATGACGGCAGTCACCGCGAGTCGCGAAGTTCTATCGCGTTTCATTGTCTTCCGCTCTTCGTCACCGCCCAAAGGGACTTTCTGTCGTGGGATCGATTTCGTGGCATTCAGTGCGAGTGTAGTGACTTGTCTGGGACATATCAATGCGCGCTTGCGCCACAGTAACCAAGGAGCTCGGCAGGGCAATACTGTATTTGACTGCTTTGCTCATCAACGTCTAGCTGACCGAGCGATGATGGAACGCACGCTGACGTGTCTCGAGAAGGCGCTCCAAGACGACCCGTCAGATGGGATCGCGCATAAGATTTGCAGAGGGATGCGTTATCTGCTTGCAGTCGAAGCAGATGTTGCAAGCGGTATTGCATATAGGACCGAATCTGTATACCGCAATGAGGATTCGCGGAATGAATTGGAATGTGATGATCAGCTAAGCGGTGCTCGCAGCAGAGCAATCCGAATTCACATCCCACATCTGGGTACGATTAAGGTAGAGCCTCATGGCACTACTGGCGCACTTTTCCAGTCTTCGAATCCTGCCAGTATCGGGTCTGCTTTGCAGGATTTTGAGAGCGCACCCACCCTGGAGACATATTCGTCGCCGGATATTGCCATTGCAGAGTATACGGAAGGCCAAAATGGCACCAATTCCTGGCCAGTAGAAGATCTTGGTAGTCTGTGTTTTGGTCTAGATGAGTTCCAGGACAATCAATGGTCGATGTCTGGTAATGAATGGGGAGATACCTGGTCTCTTCAAGGGATGAATTCGGCTTTTTTCGACAGTCTCTTCACAGGGTCAGACAGTCTATAGGTCTATTTTAGAGATGTATCCTTCGTTTTTTCTCGTATATTAGCAAGGGAGAAGTATTGACAGTCGTAATTTTAATAGAAACCTGGATGCAAGGATTGTGATATAGCACGTAGAGAAGACCATAACCATGGGTGGAGAGGAAGGTTGGGCTTACTCGGCCGGCTGCTTCCTTTGAAGATATCACTAGTTCGAAGTGTTTGGAAATCTCGATTTCTATATGTCAGATTACCTTAGCTTACCTAGGTAACTAATGCATTCATTTATCAAGAGAGGGATGTTTGGAAGGATTCATTGCTTGATTGGGCGGCCCAGCCTTCGTCCCGCAGTCGGAGCACGGCGAATTCAACCCACCCAACAACGCGTCATTTCATCTTTCGCGTCCCTAGCACTTATCCATCATGTCTTCAACTCCTCCCTCAAACAGCAATTGCAGCCACTGTAACAAAACTCGCACTGAATCCGAACCAGCCTATCAGCGATGCAGTCGCTGTAAACAATCATTCTACTGCTCCGCAGCCTGCCAACGCAGCGATTGGAAACAACACAAAAAAAGATGTTCGCAAATCGAGTCGCCCACAACCCAGCCTACCACCGCTACCCGCGCCACGGTGCGAATGAACCTGAACGGTCTCCGCGGGAGCGCCGTCGAAGACCCCGATGTCATTTATTACCTCCGAGAATCGATCCCCCACACGAACCACATTGCCATCAGAGGGCCGTACTATCGTCTCGAGTGGGTCGTGCGTAATATGGCTGGTATGTTCCAGAACCACAAAAGCGCTGCTGGTCTGGACTATACCAAGCAGCTGTGGCACCAAGGAGTGGATTTTAAGGGCGTAGCTCACGTCAAGGCTCCGCTCCCAGACGGCAATACTATACTAGTTGAAATCATGCAGAGGGAGGAACCAGATGTGGCGCTCTACCTCCGAGGGAGTGCAGAAGAACACAAAACGGTGTATAACGTGTATGACGTGGTGCTTGATACTCACGACTCAAGAGATGGCTTCCCGTCGACGCAAGAGCGCAACGTTTCTGCTGTGTTTACGTCCAAGGATGCGGCCGAGGCATTTGTGCGCAAAACTGCTGAGACTTGGAAGGCAGAGCATCCTGGTCCGGACACGGAATTGGTGCTGGAATATGATGCGAGTGAGAATCTGGGTGGAGCCCTTGTCCTTCACAAGAAGCCCACAAGAATGATTGGAGTGATTCCTTTCGAAAATTTTGAGCCATCTAACAATGGGAAGTCGTAACGTGTGGGCTCTACGCTTCTAGGGTTGCAGTAGAAAGTGACTCGCTCGCTGGTTAAAAGAACTAACCAGTCTTCATGCATACTGCTTAGCAATGCCTCCGGTTGCCTTTAGCAGTATGCACGAGATCAGTTCAGCCCGAAAGGTCTCCCAGCCAAGCTATTCTACCCAAACCAATGCGTAGAATGGTGTTATTAGCTGGCTCACCGCAGCGAATGCGGTGGAGAATGACATTTCTGTCGCCAAGTATACAATGTCACTAGACAGTGTCTCATGTTAGACAAAGTGTCATCGGCTTCGGGGTTGCGATCAGAACCAGTCTAGAGATAATATGTAGGCATAAAGAAATAACAAAGAAGGTGGGTCAAGGAGAGGCGTCACACAAAGTAGAGACGCTGTCAGTGCAGAAGAGTCCTCGGAAATACGCCTGCTCTTTTACTTTGACATGATAAAAGAACGGTATTTAGACCTAGAAGATTAGCCCACCTGCAAACTATGTAATGCGTCAATGAAAGCTGGATTCTAAATTTAGCTCCCCACGAAAAGTGGATAGACACGCAGCTTTTTGAGAATGGCGTGTTTGCTGATTGTGATAGCGACTTGTAGAAGAAGAGGCCAATGCTGCTCTGATGAACATCCAAGTCATTACCAAATGCTGATAAACGTTCTGCATTCAGCAATAAAGATGCGAGGCTGAACATCCTCGTTCTAAGCATCATCTTGCAAACACCGAGTGGACGGCATTGCGTCGGGCGCGCCTCGCTGTTAGAAGCGAGCGCAGCAAAAACCCTCATCATCATCATCATCAGCAGCAAAGCAAAAGTACAGTCATCACCGCTCATGAACTCTGTGTTTCCTTGGCAAGGCAAAGAGAGCTGAGCGTTCTCAGATCCAGAAAACCATTGTGATGCGCATGGTGATGTTAGTGTGCACGAGAGAGTGTTCATATGGATCCCTGTAGCTAACGTTTGATCGTATATTGCTGTTTTGAGAACATCAGTAAACAGTCAGTACATCCGCACAGTCTCGATCGTTTCCGCCTTATTTTTTTAATATGTTTCATGTTTCATCATCAAATTAATTGTTGGTTCGCAGCTTAGGTCTCCCACTCCCCCTCACGTAATCACTAGACACTCTCGTCATCCAGCCGAGCGGATGCTGTCATCCCGTATTTCCGATGTGCGATTTCTCCGACGAGTGCACGGCTCGGACGGGTAGTAAGCTGGGTTGTTTGAGATATTCGTGGAAATTGAGAGCTGTGCCACATGTAGGTATCCGGACTGTGGGCAAATGTATGTGGCGTGGAGATACTTTTTTTCGTGCCGGAAGAAGACATTGGAGTGACAAGAAGTTTGAATGATGAAGTGTGGATTGAATGCGGTGATGCGTCAGGGACGTAGATTTGAGATGCGTTGTTGTGTATGAGCTCGGTGGGGAGCTCCGAGTAATGTAGAGAGATGGAGTATTGTAGCTGTGTTAGAGATAAACTATAGGCAGCATGATGCAATAAGAGCGAGTTCTAAGCAGTGTCTCCACCGATTCCTACGTGAATGGCCAGTGAACATTCACTCGTCGCGGATGCCCCATCCCCGACTACAAAACCACGAACAATTAAAAAAATGAACAAAAATTGAATAAACTGATGCTTTCGAGTGAGACTAAAGAGGCCTAAGCGACAACAACTTCGATTTCGACATGTGCGAGCGGTGTTCTCTCACTGTCCCGACTTTCACCTCAGCCATCACCACATCCTCAAATCAACCCCAAAGACCAAAAACAAACAAAAAAGAATTCAGCAAGCCCGATGCGGGGGTCGAACCCGCAACCTTGAGATTGTGCTTAAATCAATCGCTTTCTGAGAAAGTGAACTCATAAGAGTCTCACGCTCTACCGATTGAGCTAACCAGGCTGATTAGATGATTGATGCGACATTTTCCAATTACACAATTCATATAGTATAACAGCAAACCACTCGAGCGAGAGTTTTCAATCGTGCGAATGATTCTTAGAATGGCAAATGGGAGGGCACTGTGGTTCGGGATGAGAAAATTTGCGGGCGGCGGTGTGGAGCCAGCGACTAGCACCCTTTCGCCTGGCTCTGGTCCCCTGTTAGTCGGGAATAAGCACGGCGTACAAAGTAGCTTTAGTGGCATCAGCGAGCTTCTTTGAATTTTTCGTCTGACTTTGTTTTGAGGATCGTAAATATTCACTATGTGATATTGCAACTTTGCGTTTGTTCCTTAACGTGACCAATTGGTCTGCCCACTTCCCCCTATCCGTCCTCTTTACGCTGGATCTTTTCATAGCTGGCATCCTTGTGACATTGCGTGGTCTTTGGTTTGGATACCCATGGCTCAACATCGTAGACTTCCTACTTTTGCTGGTTCCCGCCTCCGCCTGATGGACATGTCCGCCAGCTCTGTGCCTTCTTTCTTTCTGCCCCCGGTCGTGACTGCGGAGGTGTTCAACCCTCTGTTGGGGAATTACAGTAACGAAGATTCCTGAACGATACTCTAGGCCGACTACGTTCTCGTGGCGGCGTGTCTTCTCGGGGGTTTCCAATTATGGCTTGAAGATACTAGGCTATCGAAGGGTTTGCGCGTGTGTTTGTGCTCGCGGCAGCATAATTTCATTGGACGTGCTGGTATTCAACGTTAATCTTCGTACTTGAATTTATCATAGAAAAGATGCATACCACGCGAACAAACTGTGTTTGTACCTTAATCCGTGGTCGTCCACGCTCATCCACATTTGTGGAGTCGACATTCGGCCGTGTGGCGCATGGTTTGTAGTACTTGCACGGGGTGGATATAGCCGGAATTGGCATGATGCAAGGCGTGAGAGACTTGATATCTTCCTTGATTTTCCTGTCTGCTGCCAATTGGGCTGCCGAAAGTCGGTTTGCAAACCAGTCGTTTCGTAGATCTCGGAGGTGGGGACGGATGAAACAGCTACCCTCATCTTGTTTCTCTTCTTGCCGAGACCGCCATTCCAAGTATCGCCTCTGTACTTGACGGTAGTGTTGTTGCATCTTGATTGATGTATCGTCGATGGGGAGTCTTTGAGTTGAGGTGATGCTCTTCTTATGTTGAAGTGCCGAATTAGACTGAGACTGGTGTAATGATGCTGATTCCATTATTAGATCTCGCGCGAGGTACCACTGATAGAGCGGCGCGGACAATGTTACGCCTCAGAGAGTTAGGAAGCTCAAGCTCCGGGGAATGGAAACACAGATGATTATTTATGGCACAGGCGGCGAAGGTGAGCCAAGCGTAATATGCCATTCCTACGATTGTGCTAACGCGGTGGCCCTCTCGATGCTTTTTCCACTTGTATTCGGACCGGCATTAGGTATGCTCTGTATACAAGTAATCGATCGAGAATGGCCATTATTAAGGCGCTACGTATTTACTCGGAAAGGTATCAGGAGCGTCGTGCATGGGTCGTATGCAATGCACGGTCATCTCGACATCCGGGCTTGAGGGTGGCACAGCGGGGCCACTCAGCGCGCGTGCCCTGGATCATCGTCTGACTGCCGAGTTCTAGTACGTATGTTATCACTCCACACCCATCATCACTGTCGTCAACATAGTAGGAATTACTGTGCCGATGGAGGCTTCGCTACATACGAGCACCCTGTGGGAGCATTGTAAGATTTGGGGCGGATGTGGGGCTGCCTGAGTGCATTGGCATTGCATGAGATCGAAGGGTTTTGTAGGGTATACATAACAAGTTGCGGGCTCGCACTGTCCGTCACTGTTTTTGTCCATAAGCAAGTTAGTTTCGCAAGGACTTTTAATTGAACTCTTCCGAATGCGAAATCAAAGTCATGATACCAATCGGAGATGATTGCAGATGGTTGATGGCCTGTTTTGCACAGACTATCTTACCCTCAGTACGGCTCAATCTCCAAGGATCAGTTGATCTAACGACAAGTACATGCGCAACGCAGCTCGTTCTTCATTACCTTTAAAAAACTGCTAGATGCCGACGATTCCGAGATTGTGTGGACTTACGGTGATTCTCTACCAGTCGTCCATAGACGACCCACTACATGTCAATTACTGCACCGGTCATCTAGTTACTGCCGAAGCTTAGTGGCCAGGTGAACGTGTTCCTGTCATCAACTCGCATGAACACATACTCCAGCTACCAATTCTTGGTCGGGCTTGTTCTTTCTTCCATACATGTGTAGATTGGCTGTTCTTCTACTTGACTGACTCTATCAATGGCTATTATCACCTGGTCTATATTGTCGTCGAACACGCAGATAACAAAATATATCACCTTCCGAGCCAGGGATCCTGCTCGCTTAGGATCAGATCTGTACAACACAGGTTTCTTCCCGCATGCAAACGAAACCTTGAGATAGTTACAGCACGAGTATCTAAGCTAGGCTTGGTTGGGTGAGTGATACGGGACACCTCGGTTACTTGTCGCAATGGAGGACTCGACAAAGGCAATGCCGTACTTAATGCGCACACACGAAACACCTGCCGATGAAAATAGAAAGCTTCGCGTATCACTCTCCGTCAGCCTGTCACTCCCCTATGCCTACCGGTAGTCCGAACGCCATACCGGAGTTTTATTAAGCTCTCCACCATGAGTGCAAGGATCACTCCATATGCAATTGCAGTTCCCGCTACTGCCCTCGCAACACTCCAAAAAAAGCTCTCGCTAGCAAGTCTCCCTGGCGAGACCAGTCAATCTGAAGAATGGGAATACGGCGCCCCACGAAACGACATCAAGCGATTAGTGGAGCATTGGCAGACGAAGTTCGACTGGAGACACGCGGAAAGCGAGCTCAATAAGCTCCCCCAATTCACTACCAACATCTCCGTGGAGGGACACGAATCTCTTCAAATCCATTTTGTCCATAAAAAAAGCAGCAGTCCGAAGAGCATTCCTCTTTTGTTCTGCCACGGATGGCCAGGCAGTTTCGTTGAAGTTGCTAAAATCCTACCACTCCTTTCGGCTGGTGACGATGAACCCTCATTTCACGTTGTAGCCCCATCTTTGCCAAATTTCGGATTCTCGCAACGTACGTCGAAAATTGGGTTCGGCATACGACAGCACGCAGAAGTATGTCATAAATTGATGATTGAGCTTGGATACAGTAAATACGGTATGCCTTGTTGTTTCAGCCCCCAAATTTGCGTTTGCTAACGTGCGCTCGGCCGAACTAGTCACTCAAGGCGGCGATCTGGGGTTCTTTGTCACTCGAGCGATGGGGGAACTATACCCGGAGTCTATTCTCGGTTCCCACTTGAACTTCATCGTGACAAAGCCTCCATCTCCGATCTCGTCTCCCCTACTTATTTTGCAGTACCTGACTGGTTGGCTCACTTCCCATGAGAAGGATGGACTGAAACGAACGCAAGAATACAACGATTCTGGATCTGGGTATCGGCATATCCAGCAAAGCAGACCGCATACCATTGGTTTTGCTCTCGCTGATAGCCCTGTTGCGCTTCTTGCGTGGATTTATGAAAAACTTCACGATTGGACTGACAACTACAGCTGGACAGACGACGAAGTGCTCACTTGGGTTAGCATTTATCTTTTCAGTTCTGCTGGTCCAGAGTCCAGCGTGCGAATATATCATGACCTCATGAATCCGAAGGCCGACATCAACATGGGCATCCTGTTGAAGTACAACAAAGTTTCCTTGGGCATCTCCTACTTCCCACGTGATGTCGTAGTTCTTCCTAGTTCGTGGGGAAGAACCTTGGGCCCTGTAGTCTTTGAAAAACGGCACGCAGAGGGCGGACACTTTGCTGCGCACGAGAAGCCGGAACTATTGGTGCAAGACATCAAAGCGTTCGTTCAGAAGTTGAATATTTCTGCAACGCTGACAGGCAAATAGGATCCAGTAGCATCAAGTAATGTGAGTTTGTTATTCTTCGAATTTAGACTGTTGGGGGAGTCTCATGACTCCACGCTCGTTCGAATATTCAATCTTGCACACAATTGTGTGCAATTTTCTATGGAAGCAGTGCTGTCACAATGGAGTGGATAGATTTCGAAGATAGCTTACTCGTCAGTCATTTATCATTCAGTGATGAAGGGGCCTTAGATAAAACCCTATTGAGCACTTCCACGTGGGCTGTCTAAAGGTTTTGTTATTCCTACACCAACATGTCGTTATTTGCATATGTACACCATGCGTGTCACGCCGATGCTGTGTACATGTATGCATTTCTAGCAGGGTAATACATTTCGGCTATGAACGCCAGATTGAGCCAATCAGGTCTCTTTGACGGTCTGATCCACCCGAGAGCCGCGGGTTATTCGGGAGCTCCAACTGCCGTGCATCTTAGTGTTTATACAGGTTCTATCTGGAGTCCAGTAGTTGGCATCGATTACTCTTCATCTCTAGGTTAATCGTTCGCGAGCCACACTGCAACAATGACCCAACAAGAGGTGCCGAGAAAACTATGGCAGCATCCAAATCCAGCCAGCACGTCCATGTACAAATTCCTCCAAACCAGTAACCATAAACATGGCCTCAATATGCGAAGCTATCGGGATTTGTACGATTGGAGCGTTGGTTCCAACCGCATCGATTTCTGGACAGATCTTTGGAACTTCGCGCCGCTTATTCACTCTGGCCATTTTACCGAGGTTGTGGATACAAACGCTCCCATGGAAACGATTCCACACTGGTTCAAGGGCACATTTCTCAACTTCGCAGAGAACACATTGTTTTCGGCTTCACCCGAAGATCCTTCCAAGCGGACAACAATCGGCAAAGAGGATGACAAGATTGCGCTCACTGAAATTCGTGAAGGCAACAGGGATGTGTGCCATATGACGTATGGACAAGTGAGGAAGAGAGTGGCTATCTTGGCTAACGCGATGAGAGAAAAGGGTGTGAAGAAAGGAGACCGAGTAGCTGTGGTTGCTTCGACGAGTTTCGACACATTCATCTGTTTGATGGCCATTACCAGCATAGGCGGGCTTTTCAGCAGTAGCAGTACTGATATGGGCACCAAGGGGATTCTTGAACGCCTTCTTCAAATTCGTCCGAAGTATCTGTTTGTAGACGATTGGACTGTATACAATGGCAAAACCATTGATCTCAGGCCTAAGATGCGTGAGATTGTGGCTGGTATGAAGAATGTTTCCGAGTTCGAGGGAATCGTTGCGCAACCCAGATTTCCAGGAAACCCCGCAGATGTCAGCGATCTCTCTAGCACAACAACACTCGAACAATTCTTAAAAGGTTCTGAGACCAAACACGATCTTGTGTTCGAGAGAGTCGCGTTTCGAGACCCTTTCGTGGTTGTTTACTCCAGTGGCACTACTGGGGTGCCCAAGTGCATTGTGCATTCCGTAGGAGGAGTGTTGGTGAGTAATATCAAGGAAGGTATTCTCCATCGACAGCTTGAGCCAGAGAGCATCATGTTGCAATACACCACGGTAAGGCAGTTTCATCAATATCTACCGTCAACACTACCAGCAAAATATGAAGACGCTGACAAGCTTACAGACTGGATGGATCATGTATATGGCTAGTGTACAATGTCTTCTATTCGGCACCCGGGCAATCCTCTATGATGGCTCACCTTTCATCCCTTCGGCAAAGTCTTTTCTATCTATCTTAGAAGAGCAGAAAATCACGCACTTTGGTACATCACCACGCTTTTTGCACGAACTCGAGAAGCAATCCATCATTCCACGCAAGTTATTCGATCTTTCGGCTCTCAAGTTGGTAGTCACTACTGGTATGGTTCTTTCCGATGCACAATTCGAGTGGTTCTATGACCATGGGTTTCCTCAGAATGTTCATCTTGCGAACATCAGCGGTGGTACGGATTTGGCCGCTGCATTCTGTTGCGAAAACCCTCTTGACCCACTGTACGTCGGTGGTTGCCAAGGTCCGGTTCTTGGGACCAAAGTGGAGGTGTATGACAGTTTGATCGAGAACGGCCCTGGAAAATCAGTGCCGGACGGAGAACCTGGCGATCTTGTCGCGACTGCTTCGTTTCCCAATCAGCCTGTATTCTTCTGGGACGATGACACTGGCGAGCGTTACCAGAATGCTTATTATACTCGTTTCCCGCATGTGTGGACTCACGGGGATTTCATCCAGACGCATCCGGTCACTGGCCAGGTGTTTTTCCTTGGACGCGCAGATGGTGTGCTAAATCCATCTGGGGTGCGGTTCGGATCAAGTGACATTTACTCGGTCATCGAAGCTCATTTCCCTGCCGTTGCAGACAGCATATGTGTGGGCCAGAGGCGTCCACAGGATTCTGACGAAAGTGTGGTCCTTTTCCTCAAGATGAAAGAGAACGAGCAGTTCACGGAAAGTCTGGTACAAAAGATCAAGAGTAAGATCGCCGAGGAAAGGAGCAGAAGACATGTACCAAGATATGTGTTTCAAACCTGGGATATTCCGGTAAGTCATACTTATTTTCTGATTTCTGTGCGGATACTGACCCGCTGTAGACTACAGTCAATCTCAAGAAGGTAGAGTTGCCGGTGAAGCAAATCATCTCTGGAAAAATCATCAAGCCAAGTGGGACTTTGGCCAATCCGGAAAGTCTCAAATTCTACTACCAATTCGCAAAGGTGGAAGAAATTGTAGAAGATCAACGGAAAGAGAAAGGCAAAACAAAGAGCAAACTTTGAGTTTACGATTCTTCACAAGAATTCCGACCATCACCATGATCATAGTCCGTCCAATTTGGCATCTAGCGTAGCGAACCAATCATAGTCCTCAGATTGATCCCCTGTATGTCAGACTGGTGTTTTAGCCCCCTCTTATATTTACTATGGTCTTCCACCACTCTACCTCCACACTTAACGACATTCAAATCATGGCGGACCTGCAACTTGAAGCTTTTTCATATAAACAAGGATACTTTTCTGAGGCAATCAATAGCCAAGTGGAACTGATTGAGATAGCGGGTAGAAGCGAACCGAAGCGCACCGTTGTTACACAAACCCTGGTGGATTCTTGGGCCAAAGCAGGCTTCCATGAGTCGGAAAAGGCAGACAAGTCTGAGAATTCGCTGCGAATATTGTGAGCCACCCTGCATCATCTACCTTGTTAGATCTCGTCTTACGAACATGTGACCGTAAATGAAGTTTCTCGTCGAAGCAAGCAAGATATGATGGCAACCTCTTGCCTTTGCCAATGCCAAAAACTGCATATGATAAGATCGCACTTCTCGCACGAGTTCCTTCAATTTATCTGGATACTATCAGGAGGAGCACTGCAATGCAAGTCCATGCTATGCCTCGGCTTGCTCCATCAAAAGTTCCTTTGGCATCTTCAATCGCGCGTAAAGAGTATCTCTGTAAGTATATTCTTATTGAATATTAGACCTGGTCATGACAAGAAATATCCAGCTTTTATCATCTGCTCTATTCCAAGTCACGAACTCAGCCATGGAGCATCATTCACTTACCACTTCCCAACACGCCACATGGACGTCTTCTTGCACTGCCGCAATGATTTTAGATGGGGTCAGCGCATCACATCCATTGAACGCAACGCCTCCGAATTAAAAACACCGTTCCTCATCCCCAGCCTTCTCATTAGGCATAGTATCAGTTTTAGACTAATGGCTTTAGATTCGTTCCACGAACGAATTTACCAACTCGAGCGGAAGCTAAACATTCGCTATGATGAGCACTCACTAATCGATTTCATGAGCACAAACTTTGAGATGATGACCAAGGACGTCAATAAGCTGAGCACGAATCTAGGGTTCCACGTGTGGGCAGTGAAATCGACGAGGCGAGAGCTGGATTTCCTGGATGGCGTCGCCGAGAAGTATTATGATATGGCCGTGAATAATGGCGGCGATCATGAAGAAGCTGAGGCAGTGAAATGTCAATTATTGGAGAATCAGGCATATCTTCGAAGCTGGAATAAAAGTATCGAAGAAAGAGCAGAGTACCTTTCCAAGCGCGCTCAAGCATTAGTACAGACCGTAAGCGCTCGAACACTCCGATGATGCGCGAACCAGATTGTCTAATCTTGCTCTCAGGTATACAGCGGTATTGCACAGCGCGATGCAGCGCTTTCACAGGGCGCTGCTATTCTTGCTGCGCGTGATAGCTCCATTATGCGGATCATTACCGCTATTACCATTATTTTTCTTCCCGCGACTACTACCGCCGTAAGTCGTCCTCAAAACCTCGGTTGAGTATCGGTAACTGAACAGCGTTAGACGTTTTTCAGCACTACTTTCTTTGACTTTGCGGCTGGACCAGACGAGAGTGTTTATTCATGGTGGCTGTGGCTCTATTGGGTCGTCACTATCGGTTTAACGGCCCTTGTGTTACTCGGCGCAATTTTATGGTGGAAGAAAAAAGAGGGCGAGATAATGGCGCTTGTTGGAACTACGGCGGTGCGAAATGAATCAAAAAGTGGCTGATGGCGGGCGGGTTAGCACTTCAAACAATACTCGAGAGATGGCTTAGAGAGTAAAAATAAAATCGCAACTAGTAGTGTTGACAAGGAGATTCCCCTGGCCCTTTTTCTCTCAACATCCAGGCTTTCATTAAGAGAGGACTTGAGAAATCAGTTGAAGAATGAATGTTTAATATTCTTGGATGGTCATGATTCGTTCCATGTTAAACGCAGCACAGACAGTTGGAATACAGAACAGTGCACTGCTATAAGCTCTACGCGGAAACATGAACTTCTAACAGAATTAATGGCGACTGTAAATTAAATTTTGGATAAATTGACGTATTATATGACATAAGAATATCCTATACTATGCTCATTCGAATTCTTGATGTTGTCCCATTACCACGTTAAATTTTGCAAGCCATCGCTTTCCAGATCATGTATATGCTAATAACGAAACGTCTCCTTGCCAGTTCAACAACACAACGACTAGCCCGGGCAGTTATCTCGATAATTCCAAATAAATATTCTGCCGCCGCCGTGATTCCCGTCTTATCGAAGCTAGCTCGACCCGATGCCTCCTTCAGATGCCGTGGTCGGGTAGTTCGGGCCTTGACTATGATAGGGACGTGACTGATGCGTACGTCGCCTACGGAGCGAGGATTCTTCATACCCGTGCAATGGGCTATGGGTTCTATCGACGAAATATGTGCCTTGCCGCTGAAGATGGGCGTCGTTAGGCTCTTCGAAATGTGTGTCCAGCGGCCCGTCACTTAACACTCGGGTCAAGTTACGTTCCGCACGTCTCAGATGTTTTTTGGCACACTTCCTATCATGCCTCGAATCCTCGTATGCTTTCATGTCGTTCTCCCAGTCTTCATACGTTCCATCGGCGCGGTAACTGTATATTTTGATCTTCCGTGCCAATTTCGCACGGTAACACTCCCCAAGAATCATACGCTTCAGACTCAACGAGTCAGTCGAAAGCTTGTGGAGTTCTTTCTGCTTACGTTCGACACCGGCCTCGAAAGAAGGAGTTGACGGAATGCTCTGTCCTTCTTTTGTTTCGCTGTATAAGCTATCTGGCCTAACCGAATGACTTCGCGCCTTGCTCGACGGACCCGCTGGTTGTATGTGAGGGCCATGTCGTTATCTGTGCGGGCAGCTTCTCGAGGAAGGGAATTCGAGAATGTATCTCCCGGCAAGACACGCTCGTGAGGCAGTCTAGGTGGCCTATAGCCACCGCTTCGCCCATCCGGAAAACCGTTTAGTGTCGAGATGTGCTCCAGATGCGGAAAGTTCGCATCGTTGAGATTGAGAGGCCGGTTTTCGACAGGACCACGTCTAGGAACGTGATTTGTATGTGTAGATTCCGGCCTGGTTTCACTGCGAGATTCTTGCAATGAGGCACCTCGCTCAGGGGTATGCCGTGTGTGTACGTTTCTCCCGTCAGGTTGTCCACGAGTATAATGAGACATGTTTTATTCGAAACTTTTAAGGTTGAGGTTGTTGAGGTTGTGGTCTGAATCGGTAGAGTTGTGGATTCAAAGAGCTGCAGTGTTCATCTCTGCATACCAGATACCTTTATAGTGCGTACGTAGCCAAGCGCGCGCACCCAACGACTCCGCAGAACAGAGTGAAAGGGGGCTCTTGCGTTTACAAATTACTCCTACATTTTGCTCGTATATATCATAGAAAACATATAGTATATCTGCTAATAGTTTCACATCGACTGCATGAGCAGAAGCGTTTCGGTACTCCAAGTATTTGTGGTAACTGAATGCGATATTCATCTTCAATATGAACAACAGCCAGTTATAGGTTGACTTTTAGAAGCTTATTAAACTTGTATATAGTATACAGGCTCATAAAGACGCTGAGTTGTAGTGTCATGAACTCTACATACCCTTCACCGTGAAGAGTCATCTCCTAGATGTCAATATCACGAGATAATTGGTCGATTACAGGCAAATATAGTTTCGAAACATTATATCTCTGGAATAGTTCAGTACTCTATATAATATGCGGTGCTGCTTAGCTCTTTCAATCAGACTGATTCACGATATAAATACGCAGGGTAAGCAGTGGATTGCTAGTCCGATGAAAGACTTCAATGTTTTCCCGTTGTTTTGAGCAAACCAAAGTGTTCACTGGCAAGCACATGTAGATCATGCGACAGGAATGACCAGATGAACACATATAGCAATGTGAGAGTTATGAATCCCTGAGATCATGGCCTATAGTTTAGTTACTGTTGCGCGTTTGTTTAGAAGCTATACGAAAACGCATTTTGCATTGATCTAACTACCCAATCAAGAAATTAAACATAGCAATAAACACTCGACATCTAACGCATTTCCAGAAATGTATGTTTTACACGCCAACCAGCATAGATAGTCATGTTCCCTTGTTCGAGCAAATTGATACTCACGACGGGTGTTACTGGCTCGAATAGACTCTTCAGATCGAGAATTCACAGCAATCCCGCTCAAAAAATGACTTAGCTCATTTCCTGCCCATTCGAGTTCCTCTTTGAGTCGCTTTCTATCAGTCTTTGCGCGACGATACCGTTGCTCATATCCATCTCTATCTTGCTTCCGTATATTGGCCAAATCTGACAGTCCTAAGATTTTACGACGAATCGTCTCTCGGCGATGGGATTTTCGGCTGAACATATGCAGTATGCTGAAATTCGAGGTTTCCATGTTGCGAAGCTCTCCCTCCTCGCGTCTAAGATAAGATACAACCCCATCGTACCTCATCCTCGATAACTGCCACTGGTTGTAGGCTTGGTTTTCCTCTTGTTTCATCTCTTGGAGAGATTTTTCCAAGCGAGCGATTTCCATCCTGAGGTTGTAGATCTTCTCATTATGCGTAAATCTGCCCTGTTGACGTGCGACATTGGAACGCACGTATTGCTCTTCAGAAATAGGACGTGTGAGCTGTGCATTTTGAACAGGACTTCTATATCATTGAGTTTGGCTTGGACGTCTGTAGTCATCATAGGGAGTGTGACGCTCGAATTCTGCGGCAAGGCTGACACGTCTGTGTTCCTCAGTGTGACTAGAGCGTCTATATGGCCGTTCATCACTCTGACGCTTATACTCAGTGGTGTGACCAGAGCCCTGGTGGTATTCTTCGGTTGCAGGACGCCTACGCTCCGTGCTATAAACAGAATGTACAAAGTCTTCTTCGGGGGTAATAGGCCTCCTTGACTTTATGTATGTCGAACGTCGGTAGTCCGCTTCGCTAGTGTGATGCCTAGGTGTCTTTACGGCGTGACTAGATTGCCTATAGGTTTCTTTAGGTGCATAACGCATGAATGTGCTAGCTTGACTAGGGCTTTTATGGGTAGTCGCGAGAGCGGGAATTCTGGATTCCTCAGCGTGTCTGCCGATATGGTGATTTTGTTCAAAATTAGAACGCATGTGGCTCTCGGTGTAACTTGAGTCTTTGCGACTCTCTTCCAATCCAGGGGAATTGGCCATCTCACTTGTGATAGAGATTTGATTGTTCTGTCCAGCATTGGCTTTGGTCGTAAGATTTTTGGATTCTTTGTGGACAGGGAAATGCGCGTGATGAGTAGTACTGTTGATGAAGCCTAACAGTTCTTCCTCATCATTGAAATCACAGTCTTCCACACTGGGGCTCTTGTAGCCCACTCTGACGGCGGGACGCCAGACGCTTGATAATCCGCGCCCTTGAGCAGAAACACCTTGTCCTTTGTACCCCTCTGGGCTTGCATCTTGTCCGCTTCTTTCACCCGAACTGAGAAGGCGCGTCTTGCGTTCCGCAGCCCCAGATTTCTCTTTTTGATCCGGACTTTCAGGCATGGTGTCTAGGTCAAAATGCACTCTGGGTTTTCTCGAAACACCGCGTGCTCGGAAATCCGAATGCGCCACTTGATCTTGTTCATATCTGTCTTGATTCCCAGGTCGATTGTGGGTTATCTCCCTATTCGCGGCGTTTCGCGAGGACATAGGGTATTCCTTTTCCTGCGACCCATATAGTGCTGGGTTCTGCGCCCGGCAACTAGCTGAACTCAATATAGTAACCTCATCGAACAAATTTTGGCTCATAGACTGGCTCTCTGGAGTAGAAAAACCTGATCTGAGATCTTTGCGCGGGTTGTTTGTCAGTGAAAAGTTGCCAATCAATGTTGATGAATTCTTCGTACAATATCTACTTCCGAATGGGTCACTATGATCTATGAAGCCAGCGGAGGTGCTTGTACCACTTCCTGTGCTGACTGAAGGTGGCGCGACCAGATTGTCATTTAGCTGCTTGTGTTTGATGGAATCATCTGAGATTTGTCTCTTCACCATTGCTAGTGAGAGAGCTGTTGTATGATACGTCGATAATTGATTTAACCATGCAAAATTGGAAAGGGGTGATCTTTTCGAGGTTGAAGCATCTCTTTGGTTGCGATGAACTTTTTAGAGGTTGATTTCTGTGACCCCCCGTCTGGTTGAGTGACTAGTGTACGTTCATACACCGCGCTGCTGCATTTGTTTATGTTTTATACTTACAGGAGTGCACGCATGACGCCAAACTCCAGCGGCCAATCAGCGCAGATGGTTTTTGAGTGAAAGGAAATCGATGGATGATTGGCTTGGGCCACTATCCCTAAATTGGCCTGATAACCCGCCTACTTGAGGATGATTGCTGTAATTGCAGACATTTGGCCTAAATAGTATAGTAGAATTGCTCATGCTTCTTACTTTCTTAAGCTATGGGTCAAGTGTCTTTCGATGATAGCCTTACCTTTTCATTTCGACTTATCCCTTTGTGAAAAAGCTGGCGGTAGGAGAATCAGAGGTACCGGAGGCACAGTTTTTTTTTTTTTATGTTTTTTTGATAACTCTAGAAGAAATACATAACAGCCCGCCTAGTCAAGTCTGGCACATAATTATTTCTTTGCAGGCATAGTGCAAACGGCAGCCAGCTCTACACGCTACCCAATATATCAAAGAACTCCATAAACAATGCCAACCCCAGAAAATCATATTATGAATCATGTGCGAATAGAAAGTTCCACTGATTCTGGCATGCCCCCGACTTATCTACCTAGTACCTCCGTGGAAACCAACCGTAAGGATGAACAAAAGCAGTCGGTTCGTTTCCCGAACCTTGCTGTTCAGGCCTACCCAGATAAGGCGGGTACGAAAGTCCAGATCCCATGGTGCGTGACTCGTACGGCGACTGTGCAGAGCCCGGCTGTGTAGGAGGTTGGTAAACACCGTTGGCGAAGTTGTTAGGCTGTTGTGCCGAACCCTGAAATGTGGATGTATAGACTGATCGCTCTTCGTGAAATGCACGCAACGATTCGCGGATCGAGTCGCTCTGCCTGGAGAATTCATTGTACGCATGTTTGGGGAGCCTAGACATCTCCTGCCTGAGATCTTCCAACCTCGATATTTGTCGGCGAGACTCCGCCATGCTCTCCTCAAAAGTATCGCGTAGGTGTTGCTCAGCGCTCAATACGGCCTGATTCGCTCTATTTCTCCTGCGTGTTGCAGCCTCCACAGCTTCAGAGACCTCAGATAAAGTTTGCGAAGCCTCAGTGAGATCGCGGATTCTGCGATTGGCTTGTTCCATAGCGCCTCGACGGATGTAAGATGAAATTCTTGATCGTTCGCTAGACACCCTGCGTACATCCGCCCCCCGCGTCAGAGAGGTATTCTTGGGCATTTCGTAGATCTATGAATGCCTCCGATTTCTTTCTATAAAGATCGGTCAACCGCCGTGCCGCGATGTAAGCCTCATCCCTCGCCTTGTCGAGTTCTGCTCGGGCCTCTTTCTCTTTCCGAGCTCGGCGGGAAATGGTGTCTTCGGCAGAGAAATTCTGTTTTTTCTTTTTGGTCGCGGACTTTTGGTAGTTCTTCTTCGGTTCATCTTCGATACTAACACTCGCTACTCGCTCCGCAACTTCGTCGATGGGCCGCGTAATGCTCTTCTTGTTTGTGGACTCGGATTGAACTTGTTTTGGTTGCGAGCGGACTTCACTTGATCCAGCGGCGGTGACTTTAGCAGACACATTGGTGGTTTCTTCTGTGATGGTGGCTTTCGTCTGTTTAGGCTCGCCAGCAGAAGCTTCTAGTTGGGTACTCCGAGAGGCCTTTTTGGAAATGTTTTCAGAAGGATCTTTTGGAACGAAGGCTTTGGAATTCTCCTGAATCTCGATACGGTCATCCTTCTTTGGAATCGCATGCGGTGTAGATTCTTCTTCGGGCGAGCCTTGCGCAATCTGTTTGGATTCCGGGCCAGAGTTTCCAGCACGAGGTGACTTCGTCTCCATACCAGAAGCATGGTATGAGGCTTCTTCTTCTGAGGAATCAGACGAAATTTCCTCTGCCCAGATGCTCGTTGACTGCAAGACTGTAGAGTGCAGAATGTCGGAAAGAGTGCATGTAGCGTCATGATAGCGAGTGTTTTCTGATTGGAGACCACCAGTACTGTCACGATTCTCACTCGTGGATTCCGCGACTTTAACAGCCTGCTTGATGCCAATGTCTTTGCGCTCATTAGGAAGAACTTTGTGTTCGTCAATGCGGTTGTCGGGCTTGTCACACTCCCGCTTTTGATGGCCAGAGTCTGTGATAGAACCGTCGTAGGTTTTGCCGCTTTCGTGGTCTTGTACCTTTGCTGGTGTCTCTAGAGTTTTACGGGACTCTGATTTGCGATCCTTGGCTGATTACATGTGAGCTTTAGCAGCTATTACAGATAAAAGTAGCTACATACATATTTCTGTCGCGGACAGATTGTCGGAATTCGCAGATACAAGCGTGCTGACATCGCCATTGTTAGGATCATCGGATAGCCCCTGTTTCCGGTTATTATTACGAGGCTTCTTCGCCATCTTTATGCGTTGGTGGATTGAAGTCGGTTGCAGTTGATTTAATTCGAGTGTTGTTGGAAATTCAGTTGAGGAACAGGAGAAAGATCGAAATAGTGGGATGCTTTATGTGAAAAGAACGCCAGTGAATGATATTTCGAAGATCTGGTGTTAAGCAAATGGTGGTTGAGGTAATTGAGAAAGTCGAGTGATGTGGTCGAGTATGAAACTCGGCAGTGAAAGGTTCTTATATTCGCAACTTCGAGTCAGTGCCCCACCAAACGAAGCCGTTCCTTCTCACTGGTGAATGTGGGTGAATGCCGATTTCTAGTACCTAGATCTTAGCAAGATGTTGCCTGTATATTTCTCAAACGTCTATAATCTTTGTTTCTTGGTCCGGTTGAAGGACAAGTTTACGGCTTCATCTTTGCTGAAGATATTTGAGTGCAATCTTCCCAGAACAAACCCAGCAGGGTCTATTTGTAGTAATCGGCACAAATGGAGCGATTGAAACACTTCTGTTGTACACTTGCCATTCTGTGATCGAAGTAGGGATAGGTTTACATGTTAATTAACGTGGAATAAGGGGTATTTGTACATGAGCAGTACTGATCACAAGCGTCAAGAAACCGTCGAGTATTGCGATATCTAGCAATGGCGTTAAGATTTACAAACACGATCTGTATAAATTAATGGCTAAACACGATATGGCGTCGGATTCGGTGGGTCACAGGGTGCAAAAATCTATGAACCTATCCACTGCTTCGTTAGCCAGTCAGGGCCTTCTGTGTCTTACAAATCACAAATTTTCCCCGGTTATGGGCTTCCCAAGTCAAATTTTCTTTATATGATTTCCATTGAATCAGCTACTTACATGCTATCTATTAATACCTCGGTGCTAGAGGCGCATCTAGGGCATTGAGCCCTCCATGCTTTGACAGCAATTACCCAAACTGACGAGTGAAAACAATTAGACTTTTATCTTATGTACCTTTAACCGAAAATTAGACAATACCTCTCACCTTAGCTGTAGAACTAAAATCTACAGTTACGGCTGTCAGCCCGGTCCGAATCAGTCTACCTCCGACTGCGACGAAGTCGCACAAAGCGATGATCAAAAGCAGACCGATACGGACGCACAACAAACATGCAATTCTCCAATACATCTCCAGTAGGCACATACGATCCTCTACTACCTCCGCTGGTGGAATGTTGCTGAGATCCCCGGTTCACACTCAGACTGTTGTAATTACTTTGCGGAGCTGATTGTGGAGTCCGGGGTCGAGTTATGTAAACTCGTGGCTGTGAATAGTCAATTTACCTCTGATACGTGTCCATGGGTGGCATTGACTGAGGTTGGTATTGTGCCGAATTGGGGGGTGGCATGTGCTGCTGCTGAGACTGATTTAGGCGATCCTGCATCAGTTGATAGGGTGAGCGCTCGTATCCATTACCGGGAAGCAGAATCGAATTACGAAGCCAATAAGGATCGATTTGGTGTTTTCTGACATATTGACCGGAAGTCGAAACAGCAGGTGGAGCATCATAGCGAGGAGGTGGGAATGCTGGAGGCGTTGCTGGACGTTCGGCAAAGCGTTGATAGTCGTACCTGGACGCGGCAGCTCCTTCTTCTAAGATCCTCAATTCTCTTTGACGGGTTCTTAATGACTCTTCTTGTGCGCGCCTCATATCGCTTTCGAATTCACGACGTGCATCCTCCTCTTCGCGCCTCCTGTCTCGAGCTATCCGCTTCGATTCACGCATAGCAGCAGCCATGCTCTCTTCGAATTTCCGATCTTCTTCATCTTCTGAGTCAGAGGATTGATTCATCGAGGATCTTCGAGCTTGTCTCCGTATGGTAGTCTTTGTCGATTTGGTTGCGACCTTTCTAGGCTGCCTTTCCGCTTCCTCGGGGCTCTCCTCTCGTGCCCTTTCGCGAGCTCTGCTTCCTGAAGCGGATTTGGATGTGTTCTTAGTCGATTTAACTAACCTCTTCTGTTCGTCTTTCGAAGATCTATGGTTCTCTTGTGGTTGTTTCTCAGGTGTATCCCCAGTACTCTCCATCTTCCGAGAAGTTGACTCCCTACTGGTGGGTGTGGATTTGTCTTCCTCAGCTACGAATTTGCTAGTATCTGGTGAATTTGAATATTCATGCGAATCTTGACTAGTAGAGTCGTTTTCTGACAGCATGGGAAGAAGCCACCCTGCCCAAGCGCTGGTGGAATCCAAGATTTCAGAATCATCCATGGTAGGTAGACTATTAAAAGCATGTTCTATAGATGCGCCTTGAGTTTTATCATGCTCTATAGATACGCCTTGAGTTTTGTCATGCTCTTTTCCCACCTGAGCAAGCGAAATGTGGCGAGCTACAGCCTCGTGGATAGCACTGGGCACTGTTCACTGGGTCAGATTGCGACGCTAAACAACAAGCAGAATTTTCGTACCTGAGGTCACGGGAGGTAGAAAGATCTCAGCTTGATAAAGGTTTGGAGCAGAGGTATCAACTGACCCCAGTCTTTGGTTCAGGTCTTTTCTTCTCCTGGCCATTGTGAAAAAACTTCCGATGGCGATGTTGTCAAGGTCGAATATCTGGGTTCGAGTCGGCAATGGTTGGAGTGGTTGAGAGATTTGCGAGGAAGTTCGAGAGTGAGAGTCTTTGGATATATGTATATAACGAACTGAGGCCCGTGCTCGGATCGAACGAGTTCTGTAAGTGAATGCATGCAATGCGCCCAACGGATGAACGCCCAGACCCCTATACTGCGTTGGATACGCTAGGGAACTCACCGCGCTACGTATGCGCGTATACTCTTATCAAGTTGAGATTGAATGGAAACTTTAGTAGCTTGTGCTATGGGCATTCCGTTCTCGATACTCACAGCCATTCGCATGTATTATAATGGTTTTCTTTATATAAAGAGTGGTGAAATGCATAAATCTGATTTCGAGGATCTTCGACTTGACACGATCCTGATAAGTCGGTCGAACGCGATTTATTATAACAGTCCAGTCATTCACCATGCAACCAACAATGAGCAGTACTAGTCGATGGCACCATACGCATTGTGTAATGTATGACTTCTCTGGGATTGATAAATGCACACTATGAGCCGGTCTTCAACTGAACTGAATCATTTATTTATATGCCAACACCGACTATAATTGTCCTAGGCGATGACGATGGAAACAATTTGCAGGCAAAGACAACAGATCGGCATAATACAGATAGTTGGGGACGACTCACGCTAAACTCATTATTTGGAACAAATAACTGAAGCATACAAAGAGCTCTAGGACTCAAAGTGAATTTTGTTTCATTGTTCATTGATTACACCACTTGCCAGGGCCCAAACGATCTGCCCAAGTGAAGACATCATAGTGCAACTATTTAGGTTTGTGACTTGTACTCAAGTTTGATCTTCATCTGGTGATGATACCATTCGCAAGTGTGTACAAATCACATGGCTTATAGCAATTGAATATGATAAGTTTTCTGTGCGTACAGATCACGGCACTGAAATCAGCTCGTGGCACAATTGGACAGATATCGCCGGTGAAACAATCGAATGAACAGGAATGGTCATGACATATCGCGATGAGAAAACAATTTTTTCAGCACAGGGTATCCTCCAACAGTAGTAGTGATCGGTAATGTGACGCTGACTCCAATCTTGCTGTTTCCACATAGAAGTCCGGTGAAGGAATTGATCCATTGCTTGAGAGCAAATTAACTCTATTTTTGCGCGTCTTCTTGCCACCAAAAATACTAGGAACTCCAGGAACCCATTTAGCCGGCCAGTTCAAGCATTTTTCGGAGCGTTAGACTTCGGTCTTGGGCTGTGCGGGGTTTGAGTCTTCGCAAACAAAGCCAATTTAAACTGCAGGTATGCTTCTATAGCGGCATCTTTGGAGTGTTGATCATTCGGGGAAAGCGTCGACTTCGAGTTGTACTCTGTCAGTGAGGACGACCATGATAGGATTGTTGATGTTCGTAGAGGTGATAAATATTGATGCGACGGAGCGGACGTGTTGGAAGTGTGGAGCATAATGTGATGAGATGGTGAATTTGGTTTTATCTAGAGTAGAAAAGGGATATCTGGCTTTATCTAAGGCCTCGTGGCTCTAGGTATGGGAGAGGTTGAGATTTAGGACCGGCAGGAGAATTATGACGACTTGACGAACAGGAGATGAGAGGTTAAACTTGGCCGGCCACGGCGGTTTATACGCTCATCAAGAAACCATCATCGCACTGTTTCACAACATCACACACTATGATTTCCAATCGAGATTATTCCCATACGATATTCTCGGCAAGCTAGACACTGACAGTTGCGAATTGACAAGCGAAGGCGTTCAGATCGGCCCTTCCAGAAACAAGCTAATAATCGACTACGTGCAAATCAAACACCCGAACCACGGTAGTATTTTCGAAATCTCGAGATGACAAATGATGGACGGCATTCAAATACTCCAGATGCGAAATGCGACCACGAAACAAATGTGCTACAGGGATGGCAGGAAGAAGGTAGGAAACGAGCGAAGAGATGATTCCAAATACATATGTAGGTATTACAGAAAAGCCAACGCTAGCGAGGCATTTGTCAAATCACCGCAACCTAGTCGGTCCCACACGACTTGAGTACTCCCCGCTATACATTATCTAAACATAAGACGTGCACAAGTCATGACTTCGCATATTTTGGAATCAGCTATTGTTTGGATCGTAATTTTGAGATCGTATACCATTCTGGAGCATGTTGAACAGTTTCTCCTTTTTTTGTCAGCATCAACGGCTCACTTACGCACACGCATCTCTCTCATTCTTTCACGATAGTAGACAGTCAAGTTGGCTTGAAGGATCCCGCCAGAGATAATATACGTGCGCCATCTTATGACCCAATCGAGATAGCATCCACTTCCAATCCCAGATACGGCGTCGTAAGCTAGGTTGCAAAATATTAGCTTCCTTCTTAATCAATATTTGAACAATAAGGTGTGGTAGGCGGCGCTCTAGGCTCACATAAGCGTCACGTGCTAGCTTAGTCTCACTACACGTGACGGATGCCGTTCAGCTCATTTAGATGTTGGTGCGGTAGAATCATATGTCCTCGCAGCATTGCAAACGAACGGATGTAGTTGTGCGCGTTAAAACGAAACGCTATCATATACGGGTCAATGCGTTATCATCCCACCATCACGAGATAGTGCTGTTTAGCTTAGATTATCAGGAATTCAATGCATTGTTTGAAAAAGATTGTTTGGATTCATGCTACTTTGGAAGAATAGAAGAGAACGCGCGCTCAAAGTGGTATACGATTGTTGAATGCATAACAGACAGAGTGATGGAAAGGTTGTAATCCAAGTAAGACAAGAAAAGAAGGGTAAGAAGTTGAAGTAAGAATTTACACTGTTTCCCCCTTCATAAAAGAAGGAAAGGAGGAGAAAACAGAAGATGTGGTATGGGTCTTATCCGTCTAAAACCGAAAGTGTAATGTGTGTAAATGTGAAGAATGCGCCGATGATTACAATTCCATAGATTCTTGAACACCGCATGGGAAGCCGCAGATCATGTTGCTACTCTGCAATGAATCGTCAGTATACCGCAGAAGACGATGTTCATGATAAGAAAGAGATGGGACTTACCCTCGTCCCCTTCGCACCGTTCCCGCAATCCCACTCCTCCTCATCGTTCCAGCCCTCAACCTCACACCATCCAGCTTTCCCAGTATCCACCCCGTCTTCGTTCGTCCATCTCGCACCGCCATAATTAAACCCGATTTTGCCGTCGGCACTGTCAAGTTTGATCTCCAGCGTATCGCCGTGAGTCAAGCTAGCAGCATGCCACGCGCGGCCTGGCACCAATTTCTCATAGCTGTTGAAGGCAGCCCTGGGTCTCCCCCGGCGCACATCAACTGCGAGACTGCCGTCCGCATTCAAAATCTGGTTAATCTGGAGGTACGTGACCGACGACGCTGAAACGGGATCGCACATTTGGATGCCGTAGGCGCGGAAAGTGCACGAGTTAGATGGAGCTTGTAAGAGCTGCAGTCTTGACTGTTGGGACCGAGGGTTTCCGGGCACTGTGGCTGCTGATGCTGCTTTTGCTGGAGCTGCGGACGCTTGCTGCACTGGAGCGGCTGCTTGTGCTTGAGCTGCGGCTTCGACTTCGGCTCCAGAAGCTGCCTTTGGATTTGTTGCTGGTGGAGCTTGCGCTACTGCCGGGCCGGCTGAGTATGAGATGGGATGGAGAAGGAGACCGAGATTTGGATTTGGAGCTGGTGCTTGTTGCGGATGAGGATGTCCTTGGTCGGGAGAGAGGTCGGAAGTGAGTTGCGGGTTCTTGTTGTTGGTGGTCTTGATGGTGGTACAGAGGCCCGCTGCTGGGGCTGCTATCAACAGGGTCGAGATGAGCATTGAGTATGTGAAGAGGAACAGAAATGACATCTTGGTGCTTTTCGCCCTTGGTAACGGCGCGAGCTTCTTGCTTTAGGATGAAGGCGATGGAATAAAAAACGTAGGCCAGGAAACAGAAGGCGTAGAAGTCGAGTGCGAGGCCCATGTTGAAAGTGGGAAAGGAAAGTTCCTTTCTATAACTTGCGTCCAGCGCGAAAGAGTGTGTAATGACAAGGGAGGGAAGTCCAAAGGTACCAACAGTATGGTGAAGGCGCTGGACTACGCCTTTACAAGTGTTGGTATTGGCTAATTTGATACTCTATGCAAAGGTACAGCCTCGTTCTGGGGGTTCTCATCTGCTCGGCCTGCTGAGTTACGGCGTGGTTACTATGCCGCAGTAATATTCCGTAGCGTTTCAAAGGCGTGAGTGTTCCCAATCGGGTAAAGTACTAGCGCTTCGAGTGAATCCTTCGCGGTGCGGTTGTATGGGCGCGTAGTTGCCTCCAGGGCTGTGCGATGGAAGAGAAAAGAGAGTGACAAGAGATAAATATACACAGAAGGGGGAAATATACACAATGGAGAAGAAGTCGAAAGGGAGAAACAGTTTCGGCGGTGCCTGGAGTTTATGGGGTTATGGGGCTACGGGGGGCTTTGATGGTTTCGGAGTCTGGCATTCGTTGCGTTTCAGGCTGCGTCAGGTCCTCGCTCAGCCGACGCACACTGATTGGTTTCTGCGCAACTGGAATGACGACGCGGAGAGCACGGGGGCGGGGCAGGAGGCGCGTAGTGTTGTAAATGTACCGTTGAGGAGCGTCAAGAGCGTGATCGTAGGTATCGCGTGCCGTGGATCTTCTTCTCTTTTTCTCCTTTGGAGAAGTGGGTCAGCGTCTTCCCTCTCCCCTCGCGCTATCGACAGCGACAAGTATATATAGCAAACAGACCCTAACAACCTGCTCTCGTATCCATCGGAGATTCTAAGCAAGGGCGCAAAATCCAATACTTTTCACATGCCAGCCAGTCCGTATCATCGTACTAAAGGCAGCCCCCGAGGAACTCATTCGCCAGACCTCTGATAGGCCATCGTATTTCGGAGCATAGTGTGCTGCAATTTGACCAATCAGAACCTGTCGTGTATAGTACACCATTAACCTCATCGAGCTGTACTTGTTCGTCGTCAAGAATCATCCATATGTGCTAGACCATCAGCAACATGAGAATATGAAGATGCGCAAACATCTCCCATTGATTCAAATGTGGGCATGGGTATGCGCGGTATTGTGAGCTGTCAAACTGTCAATCTTCATTTTTGGTTTGTGCGTTTGTTTCGTGGGCTTCGCAAGGGATCCTCGTTGGCTTATCAAGCGCTCTGATGACAACGCCATATTCCTTCGAGTCCTCCGCCGCCTGAGCTTGATTTTCAATGCACTTGTTTGACCTTGTTGACGCCCACTGGAGTAACTCTCTGATGCGAAAATCAATTTGTTCCGGTGCCGTGAGCACGTTGACATATCTCCCCATGATGACATCGGGAATGAACATTTCCCAGTCGCAGACACTCAAAAGCATTTCCGCGTAACTGTTCTCTGCCTGGCTACGCGGCCATTCACACTGCAAAAAAATCATCAGAGATAGAGGGGTATATCAGTCATATTGAAATGCTCTATGTACCCCGCTGAACCGTAGCCCATGCCCGTTCCCTTTTTGTTCGAGTCCGAGACGCCGTGAAAGTCGTGAAGGCAATACAAAGCGCGACATTTAGTCCTCGTCCTCATCGGCCTCGTCATCGGCGACGTTGTAGAAGCGGAGCTCGTAAACACCCTTGGAGGTGGAGACGACGCGGAGCCAGTCACGGAGCTGCTGCTTCTTGAGGAACTTCTTGGTGCTACGCAACTATCAGTATTCCATCGGCATCGTCCAGACTAGTGAATACATACAGGTACTTCAAGTAGCGACCGGAGAACTCCTGGTGGGCAATGACCTCGATCTTGCCATCGGCCTGCTGGGAGATGGTGATGTTGTCGCCGAGGTTGCCGGTACGGCCCTCAACCTTGATGCGGTCGTTAAGGAACTTCTCGAAGGCCTGGATGTCGAAGATCTTGTCGTTGACGGGCTGCGAGCAGTTGATGATGAACTTCTTGGTGACCTTCTGGCCCTTCTTCGCGGCGGGACGCTTCTACATGATGTACTTTAGCCTACTGTTCTGTGCGTGGGAGCGCTGACGCTCAACCAAGCGGACAGCAAAGCGATGTACGTACTGTGGCAACCATTTTGAATGTGGGATTGGGGGGAGATACGCAAAGAGGTGGATATCCTGCGCTGGGCGTGTGGTGAGTTGTTGAAGTACTGCTGCGGCTCGCGATCCAAAGTTCGCTTAGTATTTTTTTCTTTATAGTGGGCGGCGCTATACCATCTTCGAACGCCAAGATTTCGCTGAGCATCACCTTCCGATTGGACGAGATCCCTTTCACTATTCATCAGAGGAGAACCTAGTAGAAGTGGCCTATGTTATTCTATTAGGGATAATAAGATGAAATAAATGAGTTCAAGTCATATTCAAACTCGATGGATGCCTAACTGTGGGTTATTTGATAAATATGTATGCAGATCCTTAACTCGATATTACCTGCTTAGTTAGAGTCACCACGCATGAAGACTAGGATGAGCTTTTCAGCATAACACGATCTTTCTAAAACATATATACATAGATACTATCGGATAGTATATACTCTATATTAGGATTACAAGCATGCGAAAACAATCTAGTAACAAACAAAGTCAAAAGCCCATGCCAGACTTGGATACACTACTTGCTCTATTCCAGTCGGATCCATTCACTGAATGAATATGGCCATCAAATAAAATTACCCGCCTGACCTAAGCTCTCGTCACTCTTCCCCTGAGCTACCTACAACAGAATAGCAGCGGACAAAGCAGCAAGGCCGAGGAATCCGCTAATAGTAGCTGACGTCGCAGAGCCCAAAGAAGGAGCGGGCGAAGATGAGGGAGAACCGGGAGCACCGGGAGTTCCGGGAGCAGCGCCAGGAGTGCTGACCTCGCCTCCGGTAGGTCCACCGCTTGGAGCCGTCGCATTGGTTCCGTTGGTAGCAGCGGCAGCAGCCTTGAAGGCATCGAGGGTGTTGGGGCCGGAAGCAGGTGGGTTGATGACAGCGACCATACCCTGGGGGCAGTGAGGCATGGGGGCGTTCTGGGGGCAGTAAAGCCACATTGGCTTATCGTCCTGAACAGTCACGACGAAAGTCTTGTTCTGTAGATGTCTAAGTCATGGATCTCGGTGCATAGCTAAGCAGTAAAACTTACGGCGCGACCCTCGGGAACGGGAACGAAGCCAGAGAAGATACCGCCGTCTTTGGGCTTGCATGGGCTGTCGAAGTTTGCTTGGACAACGGCGTGGTTCTTGGGGAAGAACTCGAAGACGATCTGCTCGCCAACCTTTGCCGTGATGGTGTCGGGAGTGAACTTGAGGCCATTCTGTCCAACGGCTACGGTCTGGAGAGCTGGCTTAGAGCCACCAGTCGAGGTGGGTCCAGAAGGAGTGGTACCGTTGGCAACAGGGTACGAAGGAGTTGCGAAAGCAACAGGGAGGGCGGCGCCCATAGCGGCAACAATGAGAGTTGAGGAAACCATTGTGAATGAAAGTGTTTGAACTTGATGAATAACGAAGGTTCAATAGGAAACAATGAGATGTGAAGCTGAGAAGATTAGATGAGATGAGATGCTGGATTGAGATGTCCTATTCATCGTGGGAACATCCTCATATTTGTACTCTTTCATGATGCGCGCACAAGCCTTGAGGTTTCGGGTTGCAAAAAGCAACAGCCTTGGAAAAGGTCGTCAGCGTGGGTGACTGATCCTAGCTAACGTCAACTTGTGCCTGGTGGCCGGCGGAATACAACTGCTCCGATGTGCAATGCTGGAGACACGGCCACACAATGGGCTACAGTATAGTCGACTGTTGTTCGAATAGAGGCGATGCACTGTCTTTTTCCCAACTGCGAGCCGGATTTAGCTTGAGGCGCAACGGGTAGCGAGATTCCGCTGTTAAAGTTGGCAGTGATGCTGTTAGGTGGCGCTTAAACACTGGGCTGAGCACCCCCCAGCGCCAACCTACGAAACATCTATTATTGGTCGCCTGACAAGGTCGGACCTGCATGTGTAAGTTTAGTGCACCATTCACAACGAGTCAGCAGTATCAGCAGTATCAGCAAGTAGACATTTCAAGTAAATAAGTACGACGTTATGTTCTAGACGGCATCAGCACACCAACTGCTGACCTCAGAATGGACATAGCGCCCTGTTCTTTGCGGGGAATAAAAATAGAGGGACCTTACCAATCCAACATTTCGTGCGATATCTTTAAACATCGATATATCCAAGATTGAAACCATTATCTGCGTCCAACGCCATCCCCAATCCCTCGAATTTTGAATGAATCTTGGTCTCCCACGAGCCGGAGTAACGTACTAAAGGAACAACCCCTGGCGAAAGTTGGGATATTGATGGTTTTTTGACCGGGCCGACATTCAGAGGCGACGTTCTTGAGTACCCCGTTTCGTTCCGTTCTCGCTGTCAAATATTGACAAGATAGCATTCTTAGCGATCGTAGTCCGCGCACCTGTCTATACTGCCCAAGACTTCTCCTAGCGCATTGTCCGAGAGTTTGTCGATATTACTGGAAATCGGTTTCAAAGGCACCCAGAGAAGTCATGGCGTTGGGCAGCAGAATGCCCAGTAAGAGACAGTTCGATCGGTCACTATCAACCTTCATTACAGATATCGCATCCATGGAAATACGCAAAAAGAATTTCTTCGATTCCAAATGAAACGTGTAAGGCACTCCTCAATGATAGACTGACAACACAGAAAACAAGGTCTACCACTACACCATGACGCCTCCCAACCCTCATCCATCCCCAAAATACCTCAAATCGCACTCTCCCGCTGCACGCACGACTTCTAGATCCCGCCCGACTTACCAATCTGCCAAATTCCCCGCAATCCAGTCGCATCTACGCAGATCTAACGTGTTCTCGCTACCGAATCAACCTCCCTGTCAAACGTTGTGATCACCTCGCATGATCTATACGATCAATATATTATAGTATCCGGGGTAGCACGAAGGCTCCGACGCGACATCCAGATTGAGGCCGGCAAACCAAGAGCCGACATAGTGGCTGCTTTGCCGCACCAGAACACAGCCAATAGAAGCGCATGCGATTGGGGACGGCAATAGGAGTAGCAGCGTGGTTAATATGTAGATACTATAACTACTATTTCGAAAAACGAATGGAATCAAGGAACTGGTTCAAAGATGACTGCGGCCTATTTGTTCTCCATGGCAGCGCTATATTGTAAGAAGGTGAATGAGACTATAAAGTTGGGCACGAGTTCCTTCTTTCTTTCAATGGTTGTCGAGTTGCACGTTTATACACATTTAGGTATCGTGTTCAGTATAACATAGCAATGATGATGTTCTCCACCGCCATCACCGCTGTAGCTCTCCTCGCTACACAAGTCTCTGCCCACGGCGCAGTCACCAGCTACGTGATAGACGGAACCACCTACCCCGGGTAAGTCCCTTGTTCTACTATATTCATGCCTGATTTGTTTGCCGCCGAATCGATCCAGAAAATGGTATACTGGCGCGGCATTCCACTAAACACTTTCACAGCTACGAAGGCTTCTCCCCCTCCAGCAGCCCCAAAACCATCCAAAGGCAATGGCCAGACTACAACCCCACCATGAGCGTCACAGACCGCAAAGTCATGTGCAACGGCGGGACTTCCGCTGATCTCGTTGCGAAAGTGAAGGCTGGAGGGTCTGTGAAGGCACTTTGGAGACAGTGGACTCACTCTGTATGTAGATTCCCCATTCCCCACTATGCCTTCTCAACTCCTTTACGAAACAGAAAACTTGTTTTGCTGATATATGTGTTTTTGCGTCGGGGTGTAGCAAGGACCTGTGATGGTGTGGATGTACAAATGTTCCGGCGATCACAAGAGCTGCGATGGGTCGGGGAAGAAGTGGTTTAAGGTACGCCCTCCCCTCCTTCCCCTATCCTCACAATCGAGAGATTACGACTGACTCCATGTGCCGCACATGTAGATCGACGAGAAAGGCATGACGGCCCCTCCTCTATCCGGCACCTCCTGGGGCAACGACGACGTGCTCAAGAAGCTAGCCTGGACGTCCACTATCCCGTCTTCGCTCGCTCCCGGTAATTCTCCCTTCCCACCCACTTTCCATCAAACCGCCCCAATACCATCCATGTACATACAGATAGCTGACGAGAAAATGTCGGTGCAATCCAGGAAACTACCTCATCCGCCACGAACTCCTCGCCCTCCACCAAGCCAACGCACCGCAGTTCTACGCCGAGTGCGCGCAGCTCGAAGTCACTGGGAGCGGGTCTGCTCAGCCGTCTAGCGAGTATCTGGCAAATATCCCGGGATATGCTTCGCAGAGTAAGTTGATGCTCTGGAAAAGTGTTGGGATGGGCAGGAAGATAGGGATGGCATTACTGACGTGGAATAGATGACCCGGGGATCATGGTGGATACTTATGGTAGCAAGGCTACTACTTACACGACTCCTGGGCCTAGAGTTTGGAAGGGGTAGAGGGAGTGCGTGGCTAAGTGGGCTTGGAGGGGTAAGGTGGTGTGTGGTATGAATGGTGAAGGATTGAGATGTATACCGATCATCTCAATATGTTCCTTCTTGAATCCAAACCATCAAGGTTGATTTATGAGGGTGTGCGGTGACATATGAAATCTTTTGAATGCTTACCTAACACTCGTGAATATGACTGTGTTTAACTATCGATCCATTAATCTTCGAGTCCGTAGATAACAAGACAGAACAAAGCTATAAGTATCAAGCCCGCCATTATGCCACTGTCATGTTCATGAAAGCATACTTTGACTTGAAAATAATCACTACAGGTGACATTGACTGGCTATTCACGTAATGTTTTCTTCCACACAGCAGTAATGACCTACATATGTACACTTCTTTTCTTCACAATAGCAATTCCTCGAGAAGTACTTGACCTCGAACTACTAGAAGACACAGTCACGGTCACCTCCGTATCGAAATTTGTGATGTAGGTAGTTTTCATTTCATTTCCATAGTCCCAACAAAAAGTAGAAGATGAAAGTTTTACACAAGTTTTCCGAGATCCGAGAGATGATGCTCGACTCCAATTCCATAGAAGCCGATCGATCAAATATCAAATGGAGGGAGAAAAAATAGAGACATGCCAGAACGCCATTCACCCCACCAGTCGCGGGCAGATGCGCACGCCCGCGCGAACGGGAATAAGAAGAAAAAGGTCGAAATTTTCGTTGTCTTTCAATTCCGCTGTTCCCTCTACTTTCGCACCGTCTTGCTGGCTTTGACGACAACACCCTTAATGTTCTCCCAAGCCTCGTCCCATTCCTCTTTCTCTTCTCCACTCATATCCTTGCCCTTCTTACTCCTCTCCTTGGCGACCAATACGACACTGGTAGGCCTCTTGGTCGCGCTGGCCTCGCCGAGTTCCACACGGGACTTGACGAAAAGGTAAGGGATGTTGTGGTCTTCACAAAGCACGGGAATGTGGGAAATGACGTCCATTGGTGAGATATCGGCAGCTATGATGACGACGGCGGAGGGATTGGAGACGTCGGAGGAAGAGGGTGCATTGGTAGGGGACTTGCGCAGATATTTGACCACTTCTTTGACACCACGGCGGAGGGTCTTGGTTTTGGCAGCTATAGCCAGACGAAAACACGCAGCGTTAGCGCACAGCTCTTATACGGTGACAATGTGTTCGATTCGACTCATGGTTCCAGATATGGGATGGAACGGGCACAGACTTACACTTCTTGACGGTTCTGAACACCTTCTTCACCTCCTTCGCATCCTGGGTAAGAGGCTCAGCGAACGGCACCAAAGTTGTTGCCGGTGCGTCGACGACTCTGACGAGGCTCTGCTCGGGCTCCTTCTCGAGTTCCGCCTCGAGCGCATCCGTCATGTCAACATCGACGTCGCCATTGACCTTGGACTTCTTGTCCTTCTTGCTCTTCTTCACGCCATCAATGTCAGATTGGCGCCTCTCCTTCTTCTCCTTCTTGTCCTTCTTCAGCTTCTTGTCGGTAGCGTCCTTGCCCATGATGGTGATGAGGAAGAATCCGCGGTCAGGATTTGGTAGCGAAAGCGGTGTGAAGTAAAGGCAGAGGGGAAGATTATGCGCCCCAGTGGAGTTGCGTAAAAAGTTGCTCTACAAAAGAGGGAGATCAAAAGATCGGGGAATGTTGCTCTCGTCGGTAGCTTCACTGCGCGATGGGAGCTCGTAGCTGTGAACTTTTTCGCTTCAAAATTTCGGAAGGTGCAGCTCTTAGCGCGTCTTGGCATTTGAATTTTAGCACGTGTTTTGATCTTCCTATCGTCGAACTGCCCAGTGAACAGCAACTTATCATAAAAGACACGAATCGTTGCATGTGCCAGGGGAGAGCTGCAATCTTCAGAAGGGTATACGCCGCAAATCGGAATTTATTTATACAGAATTATTTTAGACCGCACCACCACCAAATATACCATTATCTCACACCTCACATCACCCACTCTCGCCAACGCCCCCTTCACTCGAACAAACGGAATCAAGCTATAGTGGTATATGTAGTGGGAAACCAAAAACAAGAAAAAGAAACACATCAGGAAAAAAAAAAGAAAACAGAAAACAGGCAAAAAGGGCAAAGAAATGCACTCAAGGAAGAAAAAAGGATCAAGCCAAGATAAGCGGTTGTGCGCACAGTCAGTGATGCGTACTGTAGCATAGACCGAGGCGGAACAAATGCGCTCATGGGGCCAGCCATAGAAACATTCCAGCAAAAGGTCCATGGGTATGATGAAAAGGAGAGTAGGAAAGGTATTATTGAGCGGCCCCACGGCCGTGGAGGATGGCCCGAGCCCGGAAGTGTAGAAAATGGACTTGACCACCCCCAATGCGCCATAATTACCCTGGGTCTTGAATCGAGAAAGGAAACAATCGGAATGAAGCAATGAAACAATGAGCCGCACCAGATATGCACCGCAAATATGAAAACCGACCACGGCTTCCGACACATGCTTCTCTTTCGAAAGGGCATGGCGGGAAACTGAGCGGTAAAGTCAGTCTAGTGAATTGGAGACAAGAATGGAAGGTCATAAGTCATAAGTGGCACAACAGAATACTAGTATGCCATCTGCATCTCTAGCACTTGCACGCCGCTGGCAGCCATGGAAGGCGTGGCGGATCCGGAACGTTCCGACATGGCATCTTCGTAGCCAACGAGGGCTTGCGAATGCAGCTTGAAGGCTTCGCCCATGAGTTTGGTAATACTACACAACAATGTTAGTAGCGATCGCAAATATGAAACGTGCGTGTACATACCCCCATACTACCACCTCATCAATCATACTACCCCAAAGACGTGCCACGGTTGAGCTTAATTTAGCACCGTAAACATCAACAGAGTCATCGTCGAACAAATTTCGCAGCTTGTTGTACATGGCCAGTTCCTCTTCTGTAGCGGGCTCTTCATCATGCTCGAGACGATAAAGCCAGAGGGTGAGGATGACCATCAAGTCCATTCCTGTAAGAGGGTGTTCGATACTCCAGTTGGTAGCTGACGTGCGAGCAACCCAACGGATACCTTGCGAGGCTGCGACCTCGATGCAATCAAAACATTCCTGAATGACCTTGATCATCTCTTGGGAGCGATGGACCTTGTCGCGAGCGTTGGTCATGGCAGCTGCGACCTCATAGGAATCGTGGTAGCGGAGAGCTTCCTGGACAGACTTGAGATCAACAACTAGTCGTGTCCGGGTGTTTCGATACATGGCCATGGCGTTGAAGATGAGTGGGTGGCCCTTGTGGGGTGCACTGAGCTGCACAACGACAGTTTCAGGTTCGCAGAGTTCCAAAGACTTTTCCCAAGTTTCCAGCGCGAGTCTCAGCTTGTACTCGGTTACAACATCCTGGAGAGCTTCCGGGCTTCGCTTGTGATACCAAACTTCCAAGAACAAGGCATTGATCATAACGCGAGTGGCGAATGCACTGTAGCGGGCTAGATCTCCCTGGAACAAATTGTCGTGGGCCTGGCGGAACGTGATGATGTTGGATGTCGACAGACTTTCGCGCCACGATTCCTCGTCGGACACTTCCATGGTCCAAAGTGACTCAGAAGCAGGCAGCTCTAGGGTATCGAACTCGTTGAACCCCATAGCCGGGGTGTGGTTGTATGTCAATGTCAAGAGACCGAAAAAGATGTACACGGCATAGTAAGTGCGGCGGCACTGCTCGTCGACGATCCATTCTTCATGACTGGGGGAAGCCCCGTCCCTGGCTTCGGAACGGAGCTTGAGCTCGTAGCGGTTTCCAGCGACCATGTTCGCCAGCAAGCTCTTGATGGAGCAAGCCCATTCGAGACCTTTCGGATCGCCACTCCAGCTTGCGAAGATCATGTTGAGTAGCGTGCTCTGCATTGTCCACAAGGGACACTTTCTGGAGCTGAAGTTTTCCTTGTTCTGTAAGAACTGGTTGACCAGAACCTTGGAACCAATGTGGAACATGTATGCCTGGTCTTGGTCGAATATGTACAGAGCGCCGATAGAGAGGACGGCGGAGAGGAGAGGCGCAGGCACCTTGGTAGGCTGGAAAGTGGCAGGATGCAAGAAGGGCAGATGATGGTGGAAGAGATCAAAGTACGTCTTCAGGAGGCGATTGACTGTGTTCAGGGGCGGCAGGTGGAACGTATCGAGGAGCGCATTCTCGCTGTCCGACTGTTTGACGTTCTCCATAATCATCGCGCACTGCTCCTCCGATTCGAGTTGGGGTGCCTTGGTCATCATCAAAGCCTGGGTAGGACCAGGCGAACGTCGGTAGTCAACGGGAGATACGGGGCCAAGCATGCCGGGGAAAGGAGAAAGAGCGCCAGGCGTTCCCATGTCAGCACCGGGTAATGACCCGTTCATCGATCTGAAAGTAGGCCCGAGAGCATCGCTTCCTGACATTTGGCGCTCCATGAGATGAGGAAGTTGGTGCGGGTGGGAACTGAGAGCACTGGCGCTGTTGAAAGCAGGATGAGTATCGTGTGCGCCGTTGCCCATCTTGGAATCCGGAACCATAGGCTCGTCACCCCAAGGCATTTGAGGCAGCGACATTTGTCCTGGGGCTGTATATTGAACAGGCGATTGATCGATCATGGATGGGGCGGTCGGTGGAAGGACGCTGTCGTGTTGCTCGGGCTCTTGACTTGCCATGGCAGCCTTAGCTTGGAAGTCGGTCATGAGCATGGCGGCCGTCTCGATCGCCATCTCATCATGGTCCACCTCGATGGGTTCCAGAGGACTCGGATCTACAGGCATTGTGGGTTTGGCAGGACCGGCTGTTGGAACTTCTGGGGCTTTTGCATTTGTTCGGCGCTTGACCTCGCTGGTCAGTGGAACGCCGCCGTCCTTTGCGTGTCTGATGCAAGAGTTAGTAATGATTCCTCTAGGCTAGGAGTTGGGTTGATACGTACACTGTGCGGTCATGACGGAGAAGTAGATCGCGGCGCACGAAGGTGCTCCGGCACTTGTGGCATTTGAAGGGGCGTTCCTTTGTGTCTGTGAAGAGCGTTAGCTTAGAATACCTCGGTGTCAGCGCGTCACGGTGGCGACATGCGTGGGCCTGTGGCCATGTACGTGGCATGTAGAGCTGAGAATGTAGAGTGTAGAGGGTGCGTAGAGGGCCGGGGCGCGAAGTGCAATGAGATGGGAGGTGATGATGATGGACAGGTAGATGGGACGAAGCGTGGCGGATGACTTACGCGACCGTTCGTGACGACTGCGGTGCTCGCTTCGACTAAAGGCACGATTGCAGAATTGGCATTTGTACTGTTTGATGGTCAGCGAGTGCATGCAAAGTAGAGCGAGGATGGATTGGATGGCAGACAAACTCACCTTCTTCTCGGGCGCTGAACCCGTTTTGCGCGCCGCGGGAGAGGCAGTGGTGGCGGCGGTCAGGGTCATGGCGGCAGCAGGCATGTGTGCGACGGAGACCTGGCTTGACCTGGAGATGGAGATATAACGAGCAGGTTAAGCAGATGCGCCGTTAAAGTGCGGATGGAGTGAGGGTGTAGAGCGTGTCGAATCGCATTCCTTCGTGTCGTGCTGGGCCTTTCGCATGAGAGGAACGGGCACCGGCAAGTGCTCGAGAGCGGGAGGGATGAAGGATGAGGGAGAGAGGGAGAGAGGATCGGGCGTGAGGATGCGGGATAGGAGGAGGCAGGATAGGATGGAAGCAAATGAATGGGAATGGGGTGTGATGATAATGGATGAGGTTGAGGTGAATAAGCGAATTTATTAGGGGAAAGCACGACGGCGACGAGGGGAGAGGGGTTGGCGACGGAGGGGAAGGAAGGGGGGGGGGATGAGAAAGCGACTAACACTTTTCCTAGCGGCGGCGGGCGGCCATGAGCCTTGCAGGCCAGCACTCAGGCCGTGGCGCCTTGCGGGACCTGTCACATTTAATTAGGGTTGGGGAGTGGGTGGTGGTGGTGGTTGCTTTGCTTTTTATTGTCTATTCATCCCTCCGTCTGCCGCTGCGCACATGTAGTGATAAAGTATATACGGTCGCGGGCAACGTTGATGTTTACACTGCGGCGGGATCCATCTGTCGCGTTCGCTGGCTCGATAGGCGCGATGGCGGGGCTTTGGCAGATTGATGGGCGGCGTTATCTACGTAATCGAGAAGAGCTGTGAGGGAGGATAGCTCTAGTAGCTCTAGGTATTGCCCCCCCCCCTCTTCGGCGCTATAGAAAAAAAAAGTCCAGACAGCAGCAGCAGCAGCAGCAGCTACCACGGCATCATCAACAGATCTCTCGTCTTGATCATCTCTCTCTTCCTGTCTCTCTCCGTGGTGTTGACTTTTCCCTTTGACTGGTCGGCTGTTGCCCCTCGGTTTGCAGCAACCTCTCTGCATCGCTGGTACCACCTGCCTGCCTGAACAAAAGGCGGTATGACTTCCCATCGCTTTACCTCTTTCGAAGACGACTCCGCTTCGTCTGCCAGCTTCAAAGATGCGCGTCTTCACACCGCCAATCGCCCTCGACCGACCGACCGACTCTGCGACTACCCTCATTTCAAACAGTACACAACATGTACACCTACATACACGCCGACCTCTTCTTCCCACATGGCTGATGACAGCGCCCCAACGGCAGGAACCATGGCGGGCAGCTGGCGGGGACGGGGATCCCCCTCCATTGCAGACTCATGACCCCGACAGCGGGAAAGGGGCAGAGGGAGCCTGGAATGCATTCGATTTGCTGAGAAGTGACTGACTTGAGAGTCTTAGCACGACGCTCGTTATAGAAATGGGCTGACCGCAGGCATTGCAACGAATGAATCAATCCATCAATGATGAGGCTGCTACCTGTGCTTCAGTGCTGCCGGACCCGATCGACGCATTTTCACCTTGTTCCTAGCGTCCAGCGGATGAGCTTCCCCGGACCCACGCCCATTAGCTGGCCTTCTAGTACCAGAAGCTTTGGGGGGAGCTCTCATGCCCCCCCCCTCTCTCGCCCAAACTCAACCGCAACAACCTTCTTCACCACCTCTTAGCATGGCCAATCCAACAGCCGCGGCAGCACAGGCGCATCGTATCGCTTCCTGTAGCCGGCATGCCCATTCTTCCAGAAAGGTTCTCGCATCCATGCACAGTAATCTGGCCTGCACGCTGCTATGCCCCGCCACGTCCCGGGATCTGGAATGAGGGCCAATTCCTTCCACTGCCATGTCATGGCCAGCTCTCCTTTTCCTACCTCGGAATCGGCGCTGCCACCAGGCTCGCGTGCTAATCAACACACCATCGTCATCGACATCAGCCACACCCTATAACCCATCACCGTAGTGCTCTTCTCCGTTGCTGGCGTTCCACGCTTCGCTGAACAGCTTTCGCGGTCCGCATCTCGAGCGCCCCTCTCTCACATGGAAGAGGGGAGGGGCACTGCTTTCTTCGAGTCAGCACCCCAGTCGCACCACGCAATGACTTGGTTTCATGTCATGGCCCGTGGGTGCCGGCAAGTGGACCGTCGCTCTCACGCTTTCCATGGAGGTGGAACTCGGCTATCCCCTTCCCTCCTTTGCGCCATATACAGTCCATCATGTACTCTGCCGCCCCCGAAGGCGATTCGTACCCAAGAAACCTTTACACATCTTCCATCTAATCTACTTATCAGCGTCTGTGGCTTTGCATCTGGCATGCTTGGCGAAAGACATTGCGTGGGATGCACAGTGGTCCAGCAGTCCATGTTGATCTCGGTGCAGGATCCGCAAAGGTAAGCAAACAAATACAGATGTGGGATGTCACCCCACCCGAGAACGATTCGCTCTCGAGCGACGAGCTGTGCCAGCAGTCGGTCCAGGCGAAGCCGCATCGCCAGGGAAACTCGCATGCCATCTCCACCGTTCCTCCCCGTTGAGCCGGTTGCTGGGCTCCAGACTCGCTCATTTTGTAAACGCAAAATGTTTTCAATGTGCTCCGTATGGCGTAGAGCAGTACAAGCCAAAAGCTAAAATGGGATGAGTGCTCACACAGGCGCTTCGTGTGGAATATAAACCATTTGGAAGTTTCATTCCGCCGTGGCATACGATCAAAGAAGTCGCCCTAGACGCAGACTTTCTTTTTTTTTTTCTTGTCCCCAAGAAGTGAGCCCTTGGTTGGTTGCCTCTCGAGCGGCTCTGCAGGAAAATCGTGCAAAAACAACCGTACAAGATTGGTTAAATTCAACACATTTATGCACGGTATCCATAGCACTTGCAACGTCTGGCGTAGACTACGGATTCCTGCGACAAGCCGCCCTCAGTGTGAACCGAAACCGCTGATGAGGCGTTATCCCGCTTCCACGCGAGCGAGCTACGCCTCTAGAAAACATGGGATTCCCAACACTCACCGTCGTGCCTTGGAGGGTCCCCTTTGCCTTATTTGTTTTTCTCGGCCGCTTGCGCGCTTCTATATTTCTTTTTATTCGTGTGTTGCATACCCATATAGGTAACACGCACCCTTGAACGGTTGTCATCATGTGCGCCATACACGATGTGGTGGCCAGGTTGCATACAGTACTTGGACGTAACCGAGTAGGCGGAAACTATGGCCTTTGTTCTTTGGCAGCCAGAACAAAGAGGTGCGCCTGTTTCTGCAGACTCGTCGGCCTGTAACCTGCTGTACATATTGGGCAGTACACACAATACGCCTTTTTGACCGCCTTCCTGCAACCGCGTTGGACCACAGGATCCAGCTAAGGTGAGAGAGGTATAGCAGTGGTGGGGTTTGTATGCCCGCCCATCCCTTTTGGTACAGCGGACAGCCGGCCTCATCCATCGGTTCGCTTTGACGGCGAAGTGCCGGCACCAGACTGCACTGCATTTTTGACGGCATGGTCCGTCTCAACGCGGCCCGTATTGCCTTCCTTTACTCTCTCCCCAGGCTCCAGGCAGAAACCCAGCCGTACAAAGAAGATGCGGTTGTGGCCCTGATGGAGGGTTGGTTTTGCTGTGTGATCACTCTTCGGAGGCCGAGAGACACACCTCCGTGTAGCATGTAGAAATAGTTTGGTATGATAATGCAGGGAACGGAGTTCGTGGGCAAAATGCCATATTCGTAATTGTACGAGCCCTCAACCAGTCAGTCAATCAATCAGATGCATCGAGTGCCACGGCAGATCACGTGCTCAGCTGCCACCAACTCCACATCTCCAGAACCGTCTCAACCCCCTCAACCCACCCTTCAATCGATCCACACCGGCGCTTTCCCCTCTGATCACTCTCGCTTTGCCTCTCTGCTCTTCTGAAGCCCAGGTCGTGTCGACGACCTATCTGTTGCTTCGCCGGATGTGAGCGCCCTGACTCGTTCTCGAAGCGCCGGTGGTGCCCGTCCCTCAGCTCACACTCACTCCCTACTCTGGCGAGCCCAAACACGACGAGACGACAACAACGATCACTCCCCACCCCTCCCCACCACCACTGCCACATAAACACCGAACATATTGACCGTCGTTATACGTCATCTTGCACGACAGGTCTCGCACTTCCGAGCATCAAAACTTTTCCGACACACAGCGGAGCGCGCAGAATCGCGCGGGTCCACGTCGGGCGCGCTTCGACCACCACTTCGCCATGAACGGCTTCAACGGAAATGCCCCACCACCGGGGACTATGTATGTCAGAGCATTGTACGACTACGAAGCCGACGATCGCACGAGCTTGAGCTTCCGGCAGGGCGACATCATCCAAGTCATCAACCAACTTGAATCGGGCTGGTGGGATGGAGTCATAAACGGTACGCATAGGGCTTGTTCTTGATCCTCCCCGGGAGTATGATACTGACCATAACTAAGGATGTCGTGGCTGGTTCCCTTCCAACTATTGCGCTGTAGTCACCGGCGGTGTGGACGATGCCGAGGATCACAACGGAGGTGCTCTGGATGAGCAGGACAGAGAGTCGCTAGGGGGTACTGATTACACCAATTCGGATACAGAGTCTATGAGCGGAAACGATACCATACTTCCTATCGAAAGGACAGAAACTGCGCGCGACGAAGAAGCTGCATTTTGGATACCCCAGGCAACGTCAGATGGCAGACTATTTTACTTCAATACCTTGACAGGGGTCAGTACCATGGAACTGCCCCTCGAAACCCCCTCTGCGAACGAGAACGGTCCAATAGAACGTGTCAATGTCTTCATACCAGGGTCATCGCGGCCACCACCTGAGCTTATGGCCTCGAGCTACAACGTGGATGACACCGACGACGAAACCTCGACCTCGGACTTTGAAGGTCCTGGAATGACAGGTTCACACAGCTCTCTGGTAAGTAGTGATGTAGTCTTGCTACTCGTTCAGATACTAATGGTGCCCAGAATGGTCGTAAGAGACTCTCGGACGGTGTGTCGCCTGCAACATCCATGGACTCGATGAATGCTGCGTCTTCCTTTGCTCCTTCCAACGAAACGAACGGCACCAGCTTCTCTGTCGCACATATTCCCGCCCTCGGAACCACTGCCACATCGTTTGCGAACGGCTCTGCCAATGGAATGGTGGGGACGGCAGCCGCATCTCGAAAGTTTTATCACGATATTAACCCTATACCGCTCACATGGAACCGTATGGTGGAGGACATGCGCAGGTCAGTCGAGCGTTACCGACAGGCCATCAGCAACAGTGACCGCGCCGAATTCGTGAAACGCGCTGAAGACATATCGGATCATTTACGACTGCTGTTGGCCGCCGGTTCAGGGACAACCGATAATCACTCCGGCAATCCCTCTATAATCTCCACGAACAAAGCCCTTTACCCTCATTTCCGCGAAACTATGTCAAGGTTTTCAAAGCTGGTCCTTTCTTCACACATCGCCGCCTCAGATTTTCCTCCACCCGACTCCTATTCAAAGTGTCTTAAGGAAGCCGATGGTGTCTTGAACGGAGTGTATGGCTTTGTAGAGGTCGCTAGGCAACAGCGTGGCGAAGATCTACCACGTCTTGTTCCTGGCTTTGTTATGGGCAGTAATGTCGGTGGCAACTGGCAGAACAATGGTATCGACATGCGCGATTCGGCCACTTCCATGTCGTTTATTGATCAGGATGACTTCGAGCCTATGGTCGAACCGACTGTGAAGCTCGACGCCCGTCTTTTGGAACGTCTGGAAGACCTGAAGAGGCTGATCGTTTCAAGCATTCGAAGACTGGACGAGCAGCTCACCGTTCGCGACAAGATCATCACGCCTCACCGCCACCAGATCATTGGTGACAATGTATGCAATGCTGCTGGAAAAGTGCTGGACGTTTGCCGCCCTTGGATTTCGACCATCGAATCAATCAACCTTTCCTCCCTTGGCTCCACCATGCAAGGCCAATCATTGGGGGAGTTCAGCGTCCAAAAGCAGAACGTCTACGATTTGTTCTCGGAATTGGTCATCTGCTGCCAAGGTGTAGCTGCACCTTTGGCTGACGAATGGGCAGAGATCCGCGGAGATTCTCTGGAAGATCGGATCAACGCATGCCGTGCCGTCTCTAGGGATCTTGAGACGAGCGTAGTGCAGCAGTATGGCCTTCTGCAGCATCTATCAGAAGCCATCGTGACTCCCGAGGCTCGCAGGATGACTGACAGCGATGTACCCGGCTCCCGAGCGAGAGGGTTATCAGTCACTAGGCCGAAGCTCGGCGACATGCCCCAAGCCCATACGTACAGCGAAGGTCAAAGTTTGGAAGACAAGCCCGAACCTGCTCGACCAATCAACAGCAAGAAGATCCAGGACTTCTTTGGCGAGGTTCCTGTGATTCCCCAAGCTGCCCCAGTGGAAGAAATCCCCGAGTTCTTGAGGCTAGACCACGAGGGAGAGATTTCGTACGATCATAAAGTCACTCCTCCACAGCTGCGCGGCGGCACCTTGCAGGGGCTTGTGGAACAGCTCACCAGGCATGATCGTTTGGATTATGCTTTCAACAACACGTTCCTCCTGACATACCAATCGTTCACCACAGCTTCTGAGCTCTTCGAGATGCTTGTCAAACGATGGAGCATACAACCCCCGTACGGCCTGGCCAAGGAGGATTACCAGAAGTGGGTGGACAGGAAGCAGAAGCTCATTCGCATCCGTGTCGTGAACATCCTCAAGAATTGGTTCGATAACTACTGGATGGAAGGCAACGACGAAGAGGCTCGAATTCTGATCCAAAGGGTGTACAACTTTGCTAAAGACCACGTCGCAACTACGAGTGCTGCATCTCTGATGACTTCAGTTGAGCAGCGATCTCGCGGACCGGATATGCCCACAAAGCGAATGGTTCTCACCATGAACGGCAACACCCCACAGCCCATCTTGCCAAAGCACATGAAGAAGCTCAAGTTTTTGGACATTGATCCTACCGAATTCGCTCGCCAGCTCACCATCATTGAATCGCGTCTTTATGGAAAGATTAAGCCTACCGAGTGTCTGAACAAGACATGGCAGAAGAAACTCGCACCCGGTGAACCCGATCCAGCGGCCAATGTTAAGGCGCTCATTCTTCATTCGAATCAGCTCACAAATTGGGTGGCTCAAATGATTCTGACACAACAAGACGTCAAGCGTCGTGTGATTGTCATCAAACATTTCGTTAATGTTGCCGACAAATGCCGCCTGCTAAACAATTTCTCTACGCTCACATCGATCATTTCGGCCCTCGGCACCGCGCCTATCCATCGTCTCAACCGGACGTGGAGTGCGGTGAATGCTCGCTCCATGGCAACTTTGGAAAACATGAGGAAGCTCATGGGCAGCACCAAGAATTTCGCAGACTATCGCGACACTCTTCACAAAGCGAACCCTCCTTGCATTCCCTTTTTCGGTAACTAGACCCCCAATGCGTCTGATCTTCGCACTATATCTGTAGAACAAGCTGACACTGTTGTTTCTAGGTGTCTACCTCACCGATCTCACGTTCATTGAGGATGGTATCCCATCGCTGATCAAGAAGACTAACCTCATCAATTTCGCAAAGCGAGCGAAAACCGCCGAAGTGATTAGCGACATTCAACAGTACCAGAGCACGCCATATCCTCTCCAGCCAGTGCCCGAGCTGCAGGACTACATCCTCACCAACATGCAGTCGGCCGGCGACGTGCACGAAATGTATGAAACCAGTCTTCAAGTTGAGCCGCGCGAGCGAGAAGACGAGAAAATTGCAAGGTCAGTCACAAGCTTTTTCTAAGGCAATTGGAATAGTTTGCTGATGCAAATACAAACATGTAGGCTTTTGTCTGAGTCGGGATTCCTATGATTGTTGGCGCGAAGTGGAAACCCGACCGCGCTCTTTGTCGAACTTGGATATTACGACTGATACCCCCAACCATGCGTGCACATGTACACGCCACATACGCTACGACTGCATGCCCCTTCCCGCTGCTATTGCATGAGCACAGCTATTTACCTCCACTGCCATCTTCTCGAATGTTATGACGACCTGGTACAATTTTGGCGTTTACGTTTTTCCGTAATTTTTTTTTTTCTTCTTCTTCTCATCTATGTGCAATCTTTTTTCCTCTTGGGTCTGGTTGGTCTCACTCTTACCTCAAGGGTTGGAGCACAATGGATGGATCGGCCTGGAAATGGGATGGGACGGCTGGCTCTTTTGTTCTACTCTTCTTCCCTTTTATTTCCATTCTATGTGGATCACGATGGCGCTCTGGTGGGGAATTTCCATTGACGGTTCTGGCGTGGTTCGTATTCTCTGTTTTGACCCTTTTTGTTCTTATTATTATTATAAGTATTTAGCAAGCGTAAAGGGGAACGCATCGCCGTGCTTCCCTGTTATTTTTTTTTCAACTTTTTATTATTATTTTGGTTTAGGGGGATGGACTTGGTTATATATCTTTATATATATATATATATTTGTTTGATCTATCTATCTAAATACTTTTTTGTCTCTCTCTTGATACGAAGAATACAACGTCTAGTTGTTGCTGCAGTGTCTGTTGCACTCCCTCCCCCTGTCGCGTCGATGATACAATGCGCATCATTTTGGCGAAGCGAAGCGCAAAGCGCTATGGCTAGCTAGCGTGGTTGTTGGGTATTGAGTAATGATGCTGGCATGCTTCTTCCTTAAGGCTGGATAGATATGATATTGTAGTAGCGTGACACAGGCTTCCTTGCATGGGAGGAAGAGGGGGGGGGGGGGGTTTGAATATGAAAAATGACAGGCTCCTGACAGGCTTGTGACAGGTGAAACACTGGTTTGATTTGTTTTTTTTTTCCAGCGGTGGTCCTTGTTAGCGATCTTGGGAGGTGGGAGGTGGATGGTCCTTTATTGAGTTGTAGGTTACATATGTATGTTATGTGTTGTTGTTTTGCTAATCGGATTTCACAGTGGTTGAGATTGGGTGTATTATTTCCCCCCCTCATCTTTTTCTCCGCACCTACATCTACCATTCAAAAGATTGATGGACGTTGCGAGGAAGAGTATTTCATCGAAATTCGACGTTGATTGCTTGACCAGCGCGCCGCGTCGGGGCAGTTTTCTGGATGCACTCGAGCCAAGATGTCGGACCGTGTTGGCAAAAGCGAGCAGAGGACCAGAGTTGGGAAAGGGCGTAATTGGCAGTGTGTCTTTTGGGAAATATTGTTTTTACGTATTCTGTTATTGGGGTGTTACCGCGTAGGAAGGGAGGGATGAGACGCGATGGTCAGGGGGGAAGAGTCAGATAAAGGGGGGATGGGTAAAAGCGGGAGGGGAGCGGATGAAGGGTGTTTGCATATATGTAGCAATATATAGAGAGAATTATAGATTGCTCGATGGTGGATGGTTGATGGGAGAGAGAGTTCAAAGTTGTCAACACGGTTTTGCAGTGTGAGGACGTTGTGGATACTAGATGGATGATGGACTCGTTGTTGTTGTTGTTGGTGTTGGACCGGCGCTGCAAAAAGTGGGCTCTCTGGCCGGATGGGTACAAGAGCCAAGGGCAGAGCGGGCGCGAAGGATTAATTCTCCGGGTGCGCGCAAGCGAGCGATGAGGCTCCATCTGACATGCAGACAGACAGACGACAACCTCATGCCTGTTGTTTGGTGTTTGGTGTTTGGTGCTGTGCACTTGTTCAGTCTTGTTGGTTCTACGGTTGTTGGCTGTGTTTGAGTGAATGGAGGCAGCAACGGAGAGAGAGAGAGAGGAGGATGGCAGACTGGGTGCGACGTGGCTTGCTTCCTCTTCCCCGGACGCTGGGCGGGGCTGTCCTTGCAGTGCCGCCAGAGTAAGGAAGCTGTCGCACGACCACACTGACCGGTTGCCTGGCTGATGGCTCCTCAACCAAGCAGACAGGTATCTTCATGTGCACGTATGTGTGCATGTATGCAAGAAAGAAACAAAGGAAGACGGAGGAATAGAATCATGATGTATGGTGTGAAGCCAAACTCTGTTTGCTCCCCCCTACCCAACTTGAACCACCATCACCACCACCGTGACAGCAGCAGCCAATATATAGCCACGGCGCGGCAATAACCACCAACCAACCAACCCAACCCAACCCCAGGCACTGCCAGGCAGTCATCGATCCACCAGCTCGCATTAACCACCACGAGAAAAAAAAAAGAATATCCACCGTTATTTCGGCATCGTCTCGGGGAGACCACTACACTGCGCTACGCTACACTGCACTCTTCGCCCTACGCACGCATTGTCCTGCTAAGGCTTGTGGCCTGCGCGATCGTCACCCCAACTTGCTTTTGCCCACGGCCGTTGACGCCGTTTTAGCTCCGCCCTGCCCCAGGAAACCCAACCAAGCCTACTCTCCTGCTTGCATTCGTTGCATGCTTGCATACATATATACTCTCCTGCTTGCTTGCTTGCTTGCTTAATCATTCACTCCCTGCCCTACATTTACCTGCCCTTCCGCACACTCCCTGCCACTCTCCCTTGCCCTCCTTCTTTTGGCCCTTTTTGTTTGTTTTCTTTCTGTCAAATGTCCTGACGCTTGTTTCCACATCACCCACGTTATACACACTCACACTCGTTTTTATTTACTTAATCATCTTAATCAATCCAAAACATGCGCGCCTTTCGCAGTGCCATTGGCTCCCTGCCGTGGTTGGTGCTGACCGTGTCTCGCTTCGGTATGTGACCTGCTTGCTTGCTTACTTGCTGCTATCAACCACCTCCAACCTCCGCCCTCGATTGACTGACGCTCCAAAACAGCCAATGCCGACTGCGAATGCGGCTACTCGGTCAACAAGACTTCCGACGCCCACTTCGGTCTCTTCACCGAGCTCCAGGAGAACGATTTCCTTCACCACAAAGGCGACAACGTAACCAAGTTCGGCTGGAGACCACAGGAATTCAACGTATCCAAGGGCGACTCCACCAACCCCTACGGCAAGGACTTCGAACTGCACAACCTCGAGCTTAACCCGCTCAAGGACGCCCAGAGTTGGTCTGGGGAAAGCGAGAATGGCGGCGATGCCGGCTTGAAGTTGTGGGTTCGCGGCGATCATTCGCACGGATATGTGAGTAGCGCAGAGCTGGCCAGTGTCCGGAGCGATGTGCTATATGGCAGTGTTCGCGTGGGCATGAAGCTGGGTCAGACCGGCACGTGCGGTGCTTTCTTCTACGTATGCGTCCCCCTCGATTGCCTGCTTCCATGTCATTGAATGCACTGCGCTAACCCTTCTCAAGTTCTTCAATAACTCGCAGGAGATCGACATGGAGTTTCTTTCTAGGGAATTCAACAACTCCCAGGGCGCCGTCAACCTCGTCTTGCAATCACCCGAAACCGCCATTACTCACGATGCTGTCAACAGCTCTACCTACCACGTCCAACACCTCGACTTCAGGCCCGACCGGGGCTTCCACGAGTACCGTTTCGACTGGACTCCAAACAGGGTCGCCTTCTTCATCGACGGCGAATTCGTCTACGATATGACTGAGAACATCCCGTCGGTTGGTGGGCATCTTCAAATGAATCACTGGAGCAACGGAAACCCGCTATGGTCCGGCGGTCCACCCAACGAGGATACGCCCATGACCATTTCCTACGTAAAGGCCTACTTCAATTCCTCCGAAACCGCGCCCCACGAAACCTACAAGGAGAGATGCCCGACCCTCGATCCCGCAAAGGTTTGCCAGATCCCCGATCAATCAAAAGCCCCCAACGGCAACGACGCCAAAACCTACTTCTTCAGTCAGGACGGGCCAGGCAAAACACCTGGACAAGAAACTTTCACGCTCACCAGCAAGGCCTCTAATTCTCTCGCCCCTTCGTTACCGCTGTCGATATCTGTCATCGTTGCATTGTTTGGCTGGGCTCTACTCTGATGAGGCCATCCACAAAAACCTTTGATAGCCACGGCTATCCACTCTTTTATCCAGCCCTGAGGCTTCACACACAGCATACTACATGCACAATATTTCCTTGATCAACCACCCTAAAACCAGGTCCGCTCTCTATATCCGAGAGCGCTTTTACGAAAGACACAAAGGCGTTTTATTCCCGGGCCACACCATAAGCATACTACCTATATCACCTTGTTCTCCCCTACCGACCATCATCCTCCGCCTACTTTCGATGGACTATTCACCGGTCGTTTAAACCTATATGCTAATACGTATTATTATTCCCCTTCTTGTACACACTTTTGAATTTTCTTTCTTCTACCAGTGCCCAATACCTCACAATGGGTGGTGGGGAAATGTTACGGCCTGTTTTCACCGATGCCCAATGGCTACTACTGCCACCAGCAAAGGCTTCTTTACTTCTTTGGTTTCCCTGCGGAGATCCGTTTTTTTTGTTTTTGTTTTTCGTTTTGGAGGGGCTCGGGCTTACGTTTACGATGTGCGGCACTGTTGTTTTCTATTGATACCACTGTTTTTGGGGGTGCTTATTTGCTTGTTGTGGAAGAGAATTGGATCACTACCGGAAAGGATGGGTTGGATTTGTCGTCATCCATCGATGGCACGAGGAGCGCGCTATTGAGTGGAAATGGGAATGCTACGGGTGGGAATTATCCATCAATCGCCGCCGCCCATTACCCACCGCCATTGCTACCACCGGCCTACCTACTGGCCGTTACCAGCGGGCACGCGTACAACGCCTAGGCTCCGGGCGTTGGTGCTATTGACTCGATCGCAAGATCGGAATCGTTAGCGCGCAGGGGAAATTGTGGGATCGATTGTCGGTACCTATTGGGGATGATTTGGAATAGAAGAACCCTCAGTTCGGACGACAACCCAGAATCAGAGAACAATCAGAAATGAATCGAGCATACCCATGTATACATGCAGGATCGTGAATATGGATGTGCATACTACATTTTCTCGGTCACGGGATCGCACCACCTCTGTCGGCCAATTATTCTAAGCTTGAAAGATGGAAGCACGGCGCATTGTTACCTGTGAAAACTTGGACTGTTCACTGGACCGGGCTTTTTATCTATTGATGCAGCTGACGTCTTGGGTGGCTCGAGCATTGCAAGAGCAAGTAGCATTTCGCTAAAGAGAGTGCGGCAGGGATGGTGCGGCCAAAAAGATCCAGGTATCCGTACGTGAGATGACAGGGCAGACCTCGAAAAACATCAATTGCTTTGACCGCCGCTACTGTAGTGCATGATCCGCCATATTCCGTCATCTTAGAAGAGAAAGACAGGCCATCGTTGTCGACATGTTGAGGGCAGGGCATGTCGGAAGTCTTACTAACCAGACCCAGAGGTCACTGCGAGTGTTCATCGAAATAGACCTATCTACCTAGGTACCTTTCATCAATCGCCATCACGACGGATCACAATTGCATCAACACCTATCAGCACAGCTCAATGTTTCGCACGTACGTTTGAAGGAACTTAGTTACTTGCGAACCATGTCCGGACCTCGTGTTCTTTCATCACCAAAGCCCCTGATTGTACCTTGACCCTTCGGCTCTCCATCTTGAAAACCTAAACACCACGAGACGCGAACGATCTTGCCAACGTCATCACACGCGTTCATTGCTGCAATTGTCTCTGCTCGTCACGGCTCACTCTCCACCGTGTTTCTGCACCGCCGTTGGAAGCGAGCTGAGGAACGGAGGTTCGTTGTTTGATTCTGCCGACATCTCATATGAGCGCGACTACATCACCATGCTTTGACACCCGTTTTACATGCTCGATCCAGTGGATTTCGACCAAGTTGAGATGCGAGTCGTCGTACTGAATTGCGTCTCTATGTATGTTGTACGCGGCAGTCCATTGGGAGCGCAGAACGGTTCACCGCAGACGTGAGACTGCTCGACGACCTAGGGTAAGGTAAGTTAGTAGTGAAATGCTGAAAGGATGTTTATCGAAAATGAGCTTCTCTGGGAAATTGCAACACACAAATTGAGCATCACACTTTCTTGGATGTCCATATGACGAGCCTATCACAATCGCCAGCTCTGGCGTCCGGACGCGAATGTTTGGATCCAAGAACCAGCGTCGGCAAGTCTTACTCTGCGTAGATAAAAACTGTTGAACAATATGGTACTGAAGACTGAAGACGTCGCCTTGGGTAGGAAGGCACCAATATTGGTACGGTACCACATGCCTCATTTCCCCCAGCAAACTCGGGCTTGTCTTCCGCTCGTTGTCTGTTGTTGCCCAATTCTTAAGAAAGTCAACAACCTCTCTCATCCTGTCTCGGCTTAATCGGACGTATATTGTCCCTCTACATACACTTTCCATCAACACGAACGTTACCACGAGCGTTCATTCTCAGACTCTCTACACTGGTTAGCAATTGCACTCTTTTTCCGGAATACTCTCTTTTCAGTCTTGGACTCTCTGTCCTGGATCAATTACTCCCTTCACCTATAACTGGAAAGCTGGTTCTTCTTGGATAACGATCACACTCCATTCACACCGCGTAACAGTATATTTTTGCGTATCGTAACGACGATAGACAGGATATCCGCGTCGCTCTCACGGACTCTCATTGTCCAGGATCTCTATTGCTCGATATCCCGATCCGATCAACGCATATCAAAAGCAGAGAATCTTCAAATAGATTGCATCATTCTACAATTCATCATGCGTGTACTTAGTATCAGCACGCTTGCAATCTCGTCGCTTGCCTTCGCTTCGGCAGTGGAATTAGCAGAGCAGCTGCGCTTCAAAACGCACTCGTCGGGATCATCGGTACCAACCCTAGAATCGATACCTACAGCTTCCTTGCTCGCATCTACAAATGCTCCTTCGGAAAACCTAGAGTACGTAGAACTATTCACATCGCCAGAAATCTTAAGCCATGATGCTAATGCAATATCCAGAGTGAGAGAGGCCAAAGTGGGAAACTTTCGTCGAGCTTGGGGTGCATGGGGCGCTCCATGGGGAAGACCTCAAGGACCCCCAGGCCAGCCAAATCCACCTTCAGCCTCTTCCTCATCTTCAGACAAAACTTCCGCCACCCATACCGCTACACCCGCATTTTCAGCTCCAAGCAGCCCTTCAACCACTTCCTCTGAGTCTTCTAATCCTGGTAGTCTTGGGAAGCCATCATCCGCATCCCCAATCGACACAGCAACACCGTCACTCCAACCCTCAAAATCCGACTCCCCATCAACAACAAGCATCGTCAACCCCTCCGCAACGACGCCTGAGCCCTCGGAAACAGTGGTGACCACCACGGAATGGCTCGAAACCTCGGACTCGATCTCGTCTACGTGGGTGCCCGCTACGTACACGTTGACGTTTAAGCTCCTGGGTGAAACGCCTGCTCCCGCACCGGGTAAGGGTGAGATTGGGCTGGGAAGTTTGACGGAGAAGGGAAATCAGCCTACGAGTGTTGCTGCTCCGAAGGGGGGCGGTGCCGTGCAGACTGGTGTACCGAGGGTTCTTGGGGTGGGAGTCGGTGTTGTTGGGGCTGTTGTCGGTGTTGTGGGGTTGATGTAAGAAGTAAAATTGTGAAGAATAGGCGTGGAATCATGTGGACTGCGGTGTGTTGTGTGTTACTAGCTTTCTGTCCTGTTTTGCAGGCAGCGCTGGACTCTCGTTCGCTTGGGGTTTCTTTTGTAACTAGGTAGTCGGTTCGTTTGCTGAGACGGTCGGTGTAGGCGAGTAGTAGTAGTAGTATATGTAGTTCGTGCTTGATGCAACAATCGTTGAATACATTATTTCTTTTGTATACTATAGATCTTGGATATTTTTCGTGCGGTACTTCCCTTCCCTTCTTTTCACCACCTTATTTTCTTTTCTCTTCCTTCTTTTTTCCTTCTTCTGTTCTCTTCTAAGCTTGAAGCTTGGATTATCAGGACGTGGCAAGTCATTCTCTGTTGATGCGCGAAATGATAACCACATGTGCATGTGCGAAGTAGAGTCGGCACGCAAGGATGACAGGTCATATTGTTGCGGAGATCTGAGATGATGGTATCGGCTAGCTGCCCGACTTCGTTACTGTCTGTATTGAGGCGTGCTACAAATACTTTGGCATGTAGATGCCAAGAGCAAGAAGAGAAACAACTGATGATGGTTAGAGCCCTCAGATTACGTCTGCCCAAGCACAATGTGAGTTCATTATCCATACACGACATAAGGGCCACAAAATGACTCTAGAGCGTCCTGGAGAAATCTCCTCAATGCTTCACTGCCAGATCCATGTATTCCTTTGCATCGAGACCATGTACATCAGCCAAGCCCTCCTCTGCGTCACTTTCATTCCGTTTTGTGTTGCTCCACGAGACGAGCTTCGATCTGATGCTGTGGACGATACTTGCAAGTGACTGGCCGTTTACCAGAGACTTGAGCGTAGGAAGACAGCAGCCAATGAGTGCGGATGCGATCTCGATCATGCACCATATAGCGATTTTTGTGTTTTCTTCCATCACGTCGCGGAAGCCCAACTTCGTTCCTGTTCAATAGTGAGAAGGATCTCTTTTCCGAGGGTTCTCCCATAATCCTTACCGTATGCAGTAAAACTCACAATGTACGTCCGGACTACCGCTGCGGCCGTGGATCTGCAAAAGTTAGAGAGTAGCTCGGGATGTGCATAATTTTCGTTGGGATCGGGACATGATGGTGTAATGAAATCAAGGTCAAGTCTTACAAAAACCCGAGCGCAAACACTCCGCACACTTGGATCTTCCGAAAAGTGCTGATGTGAAGTTTCCAAATCATGGGAACGGGCGCCGCAAGAATCATCAAATCGAATATGACGTCCGACAAGCACATTGCTACATTGAGCCCGCCCGGATCCGAGCAATACCGGAGAAATGTGTACTTGTTGGTCCAGAACGCTGTCGGGTGCGTGCCACATTGGAAGATTTTGGCAAAGGTGAATCCGACCCCCCAGATGACAAGCAGGACAATGAGAGCAATTCTGTACCAGCGGAAAGTTTCGCTAACAGCGAATATTCTCCTGTACAGCAGCAGGACGCTCAATTTTGTGATCATCAAGGTTGGAGTCGTTATAGATATAATCATCCATGCGTACTTTTAAAGATCAGCATCCTCTACTCGGGTTCACAAAGATAGATAGGTCTACTGACTCGAACATTGGGGCTCTCATTTGTTTGTATCATTGCGCCTGTGACTGGATTCATTTTTGAGTGTCCCCCAATAAGTCCTTTCCTGGCGCCTGAACCATTCGTTAGCTTTTTCTTTTCTTTCATTTCATTCCATGTCATGTCATGTCATGATACAATATAGTCTTACCATCAAGTACCAGCCCAGACACTGCCCAAAGACCAACCTGTAAAATCTTAGTCTGCATGATACTCGAAATAACGGGCGAGGGATCTCTCACCAGCCCTGCCAATGACGTCCAGTCATCTCCTCCCAGTTTTGCATTCTTGTAATGTCGTGCGTAAAATCGTGCCCCCACCACAGAAGTGGCAATGACTGGCATAAAGATACCCAGAATGCATGCCCCAGCTGGGTTGACTGACATGATTTCTGTGCTGAGGGTATATGGTATGTATCGAACGACCACAACGTCAGTGTTGGTCCCTGAAACCGGCAGGGGCGATGTGCTGCCATTTGTAGATACCTATATGGAATCTTGTCTCTCCTTCCGCCAAGTTAGACCCTTTTAAGACAATGTCAAGCTCGCAACGGAAGTCAAGTCCGCGTGGACTCGCATCGTTGACATCTCGATTTGGCCTTCTACCGAAAAGCTTGCATGCACTGATTTACTTGTTTGCAACCATATCATATTATTACGAGTACTCGGGTCCTGGAGGTGCATGAAGTTCAGGTTGCAAGCTTATCTTTTTCATTGCTACATGCATGCATTGCAGGGGGGAACCAAGGCGAGCAGACATTGGCTAGAGTTATACGAAGACACTGTCCGTTTATCTTCGGTGCCCGAAGCATCTGCCTTCATAAAATCCCTCGCCTGGCACTGAAACTTGGGCAATCAATAGATATAATTCTGTCTTCTTATCCTTTTAGCCTATTCTAAGTATATGTAATGGGTGGAAGAAAAAGAAGAAGCTTATAATGCGCCTTTCCTGTATGGACAGAACACCGGTCAAGTCAATACGAAAACAAGAAAGATATTCGGGGGCCAAATTTCCTGCTCGCTCTCAATGGCTGAACGCATGTGCAAGGAACCGTGTGACATAGTTCATTCTCCTGGGCTTCAGCAACAGTACCGTCAAATTGAGATATGTCCAATCATCATCGGCGCACGGATTCTAGACTACAGTGATGTGGCAAGCGAGGGAACAGCTGTACAGCTTTTCGGTTAGCTGACAGTTCTTGGGTTTCCGGCTCTTTGAGAGACAACATGACTAATCTGCCTTTTCGCTTACGGTGGAAGAATAACGTTACGTAGATGCCGCATCTCGTTCTGTCTACAAGGAACTCCACCCCTGCTGTGTGAATCCATTCTCCGCCCCCACACTCTAGAAGATGAAGTTGTGGTTGTGCATCTTGAGCGAGGGATCTGTCTACGTAATTGCATGGCTGTGGGAATGGAAGGAGTTTACACTACTTGCAGAGCATAGCAAATTCACATATCGAAATGAAAGAGTTCCAAGGAATGTTAATTGACATTGAATTGATCACCCTCTCATTCACAACTTAGGTCTCGACTGAAATCTGTAGAGGTCGTCGCATTGTTTGAATCCATTCCACCCAGTGTGCTTTTCTCACATAGGACAAAGATCCGTAGACGCTTCATCCGCAGAGCAAGCAGCAGAGACATCTCCATAATTAGTTGGAGCAGCAATACCCATTCCCAAGAATCCAACAAAAACAAGGATTGTCGTAAGAGAAAACTGCATTGTGGAGCCTTTCTTGTCTGGCTGTTCCGTTATTAGCTTCGCCCGCAGCTAAACAGTTTGGTAGTATCCACTTGTTCTATGCTTACAAGATATTGGAGTTGAAGATACGAAGTTTCTTTCAGATGGGTCGAAGGGAAGTGTATACGCGAAATTGTGGATTTGCTTGTTTTCGTGGTGGACGATCGAGAAAGAACGTCGCTGGGATGGGGTATTTGTATATCGAGTTTACATTGTGATGGAACCTGCTACATGCAGATGGCTACATCTTATCAAGGGTTATACAACCCTTGACGATGACACCCAAGACTTAGATCTGCGGGGGCGGTTTATTGATGTTACACTGCAGGATATATTCTTGCCTACTCTTGCCTCGTATCTAAAGCCCTGTATGTAGTGCAGGGTAGGCACAGCCTGGTCTGAGTTAGAACAGTATCCTTCTTGCACCCACCATATCCAATCTATGGTCTTCTCAGTCCTTTTTGTATTTGTCTTTCTCTCATCAAAAAGATCACAGAATAAGGTTCTTCTCTGGAGCATCAGCGATGGAAACTTCGAATGACTTAGTTGGTGCGCCGACAATGAAAGACGAATGGCAGTCCGACCAGAAAGATGACTGTGAAGATACCGAACCCTTCCTGGAACAGTTCCAGCAACAGCCATGGATATTCCAAGGCAAGCGTCGTATGCGACACTATGTTTATGCTTTACTCACAGTATCCTTGATTGCTGTCGTTGAATTCGTTCTGCTAGCACAAAATTTCAAGACCAAGCAATGTTCTTCCCCCACACCTTGTCAGTAAGAATCAAAGGATCGATCATGGCATGTTCTGACAGATTTGCAGATGGGCTAAGTTACGCAAGGACGGTCGAGCGTACGATGTACCTGGACTCAAAGTACACATCGAAGAGTGAGGAGGTTGCGTCAGAAGCATGGAAGTCTATACTCGCGGGGCACGGAGTCGTCGCACTCGAAGCTGATTACATTGCTGAGAAAAGTCTTCCTCCATCAACAGCAATCCCTGGCAGCGACGGGAAATTCATGTATCTTATCGAAGCGTACCACACCATTCACTGTCTTGTAAGTCGATGCTCTGCATACAACTTCATTTTTGGATACTGATAGCACTCAAGCAATCTATCAGAGCTCATTATAAAGCCCTAGAGCAAGGAAACCCATGGAACTGGACAAAAGGCCACGACGACCACTGCTTTGATGCTCTGCGACAGTACATCATGTGCAATATAGATGATACTCCCTTGTGGACAACTGGGCACCGGGAAAGTGGGGTGGGACAAGTAAAGAAATGCAACGACTGGGATGCCTTGAGAGACTGGGCAGAAGCGAGGTCAGCAAACTACTTTGATGTTGAGCCGGGGATGGGTATCAGGCATTTGAACAACTACCATGAAGGAGATGGATTGACCTGGTAGCCTTCCTCATGTACACACTACTAGCAATGCGATGAATATCGTGCACAGCCATAATAAAAAGGCAACACGTGATAGAACAACGACGCGTGACTCTAAAAGTACAATCTGGTGGTGCCTGAAGAAATCTCACAATCTCAGCTCAAGGAATCCGCAGTGTCCAATTCGTACGCTGATCTTGTCTAAAGGATCCTGTCATTCTACAAGTTTCCCATCAGGCCTTTCTAATTGGCTATGTTGCAGATCCTTAATTCTTACACAATGATGGCACGTACATATCATTTGTTGCCCGTGGACTGTGCCTCCTCCGCATCATATCGGGTTACTTTACTCGTACAATTTCACCCATTCATTGATCTTTCGAACTCCTATCATGTGTCTCAGCGCACGCTCTGTTTGCCTTGTATTTTCGCAGTAATTAATAATTATGGGTACGAGACCCTTTGCAGAAAGGCAAAAGGCAACTCTCATCCCTGTCTGTACAACGGTGATGCATATTGCCTCGTTGCTTAAATTATCTTTGCTCCAGGCTGCCGTTTTAGTACATACACGTAGCGATATTTACAGCAATAAAGTACCAAAAAATAGGCGATGATCAAACAAGACTCGCGGATTACCTTCACGCAAGGTTTTACAGCGCAGTAATTATGGGGACACCCTTTATGTTGAGCTTTAGATCGTGATGCGCGAAATAATAGCATACGCTATGCAGCGTGTTCTGTTCTAGAAGCCGTCTGCTTGAAACTGTGCTCTCTTATCATCATCAGCCAGCCCCATAGGTTTTTCCCTCAAAGGAACTGCCCCAGTTTTATGAGTTTCTTTCCATCAGGCGGATCATCTCTACGCGAATAAGAGAATTTCGGGTGTACCCGGACTGCGCGTTCCTTGCACTCACAAGCTGTCGGATCGGAAGATATCGAGACGGGGTGGATGGGGGTGGAGTGATCCCATTCTCGCCTCACTCGGCGCACGGTCCACACGTGGCGGTGTCCGACGCGGTGGTGTGAGTGATGACTTCTCTTCTCAACAAACAAGAGAAACAGGTCAATGTCTGACCACTCATGCGTGTGAGCGCGAGAAAAATAAGGAGATGAGATGAGATAAGATGATTGGGTCATGGTGATTCAAGTTTTTCGTTTTCGGATAGGATAGGGGGATGTATATATATATGCGCGGTGTTGTAGAGTGGATGCTGAGATTTATCAATTCATGATCAACGTCATCAACGACGATATCATCATTGCGAATAACATTGAAACATCAATCATCTTTACTTCGTTGACTACTTTCTACGATTGAGAAAGCTATCCCAACTGCACACCAACACTTATATTCACGATTGCCGACGACAAGAAGGAGAAATCGAACATCTAAAAAGCTCCGAAGCTTCCCAGAGGATTCGAAAAACCAAACGAAAATAAAAAGAAGTCCCAAAAATACCAAAGAACAATGGCTTCGTGGACAACATACTCGCACCCACGTAGAACCTCTACAAGCACCACCATCACCACCACACCAAAACCAACTCTACGCCTCCAAGGTCAAGATCCCACCCAACCACCCCTCCTTCCCACACCTACGGCAAACACCACAACCAACCCGCAAACAAAATCCCCCCTTTTCCGCCTCCCCCCAGAGCTCCGCAACGAAATCTACACGCTCCTCCTGACCCCGTCCACCGTGCCTCTCTCCCGCCTCGCTGCATCCGGCCAATCCCACCAAACAGGCACCCAGCACGTCCTTCTCCCCTCGTCATCTCCACCAAGCCTCTATCCAGCCATCCTCTCCACCTGCCGCAAAGCGGCACAGGAAGCAACCCCCCTCCTCTATACGTCCCACGTCTTCCACGCGCACAATTCCCTCCTTACTTCATTCCCCCATCTCACGTCAGCATCTCGCCCTGTCCTGCACCACCAAGTCATCAGCATGATCCGTCGCTGGCATATCACGCTGAGACTGGACACGGATCCTAGATTCACCGCCGAGCAGGCGAAGCTTGCGTTTTCCGGCGTAGAGTATCTTGAGGTTAGGGTGTGGGAGGCGCAGTTTGAGATGTGTGATTATTTGGTGCTGGGGCTGTTGAGCGGGGTTAGAGGGGTCAGGGTTGCGAGGGTTGGGGGGAGTGTTGGAGAAGGGGTTGCGAGGTGGCTGGAACGCGTTATGATGAGTGAGGAAGGGGTGGACCAAGGTGTTAAGAAGGAGGAGATTTTGGAATTGGGGAAGCAGGATTGGAGGGTTGCAGGGCATTTTTGTGGGTAAATGGATCATTTTATTCTCTCTCGTTTGTGTTTGGAAGTGTACTCGAGATACTTTTGGAGGCATGGTGTTTATTACAGAGATTAATGGGTGATGTAAAAGAAGTAGTGGACGGAATCATCCACCATGCTGTATCGAAACTTCAAATAGTGGGATAAAGAAAACGCGAAAGTTTTGCGACATAAACCCGTTCGCCTGCCTGTTGTGCACGGATTGCCCAAACTCCTACGTATACGCCGTAATTCATGTAAATCCATCTGAACTCACCGAGCGGGCAATATTTCCCATGCCTTTGTCCAGTGTGTTGACTCAACTGCTCGCGTACCCCGGAGGTGTGGGCTACAGAAGAATATAAACCCTTTCGACTCATTGCTGAGTGGCAGACCTCAATCCCAACAATAGATGTAACAGGCTCTCCACTAGTGACGGCAACGCACCATCTATAGCATCATGGTTTTGTTGTAGCACCTGCATGATCATAACAATCACATCCGAAGGAGCCGACAACAGCGCATCTGCTTCTGTCGAGCCGTAGCGCCTCAACATGGGCTGTCCGCGCTCGAAAGTGATAAACCTCTTCACTTCGATACACTCCTCGCAGTTGAGCCTGACCGCCACATCATCATCGTCACAAGGCGGTCTATTCTGGCTCGGACGCCTCAACATCCCGTAGGACCACAGCACTAAACCGGCATGATACACCATCATGGCGTAGAAATTGCGCAGTGTGCCTTTCGGCAGTGACTCTATAAGCCGTATGACCTGACCTGCATGCCAAAGACCTTGTCGCGCAGGGATCGTCGCCGCCCAATCTCTCAATGCAGGGTACGAGTGTCTGGCTTCCTCAGGTCCTGCGATACCGGCAAAAGTCTGGATATCGTCCATGGGCACGTAGATATGCATGAGAAGCACCTCCATCATAATATCGGCGTGCTTGTCTGTGGCTCTTGTACTAACTCGAAAGACTTCGCATAGCTTTAAAAGTTCTGTACAACGCGAAGGGAGCAGCAAGCTATTGCTTGTAGCGGGTGCTGTTGACATCAGCTGCAGCATTTGCCGATAATCGAATATCATTCCCCATAACACGTATAAGTATGCCAGATGCGCTGGTCCTTGATGGGCGACATGTCCCAAGCCGTGTAAACAGTTGTGAGGATTTGGTCGCTCTGCAGGTGGGTTTGCGAGATACGCTGTTTTCCATGCTGAAGCAGAAGGTGCATACCACAAATGATCGGAGCAGGGTATTGGCAATTGCATTTCAGAATATTGGATGAGTGGCGTCTTCAACAAAGCAATGGAGGACTGGCAGTCGAACTCGATATAGCGATGGGCTAGCCGGACCCATGACTCCTGAGAGACCCAATCCTGCCATTTCTTTTGTAGCTCGGAGCCCGAATCATTAGGATCAGGTACGATATTTTTCCAGGTATAGTGGCGGAATCTACCTCCGCGCCGAAGCATAGTGACAGGTATTTGGAAAAAGCTCTCGGCAATTTCCATCTTTCTGTTGATACCACTCCAGGTTGCAACCTCAATCTGGAGCATTTGTACTTGCAGGAATTGTATGTTGCGCACCGCGGAGTTATCATGCTGAACAACCTTTGCAACAGCGGTCATAGAAGCTTCTTGGAAAGCTAGACCGAGTTTTTGTAAAGCCACATCAGGCATTGAGAACGCGCCCGCAGCGACGATACAACTCAAAAGCTCTGGGGTGGTTGTTGCTAGTGAAAACGTCGGCACGTGGAACCACGATGCGGCATTGATCGATGGAGCGGTGAAAAATTTCTGGATAGTGCCATCCAAAAGGTCGAGAGATGGAAACCCCGAAGATATACGCTCAAGATTCGAGGGGTTTGAGGAGCTGAGAATGAGTGCTAGCAACTTGTCTCTTGACACAGAAGCAAGCCGTTCGTTGATTACTCGGCGGACGGGCATGCGGGGATGCTGTTGACGACTAGCATTGCCATCTGATAACGCAATATGTGACTCATCTGCAATCGAGGGATTGATGTTTCTTGACGGCTGGTATTTCCAGACACTGTCCTTGAAAACTTCAGCCCTTGCAGAAACGTCGTCATGGTTGTCGGGGTTGGTCATTTCGCGTTGGGGTGTCCGAAAGCTGTCTTGGATTTCCGTGGACAGCAGGTCCATCTGGGGCAGGCCCTGAGTATTAAATTGATCAAGCATGCCAAAGTCGAGTGCAGTAAAATCCATATCCCAATTGAAGCTCAGATCCATTGCATTACGGGGCGTAGCAAAACCGGAGAGACATGACTCCTGTTGCATATTACGGACGTAGTCTGGCAATAGTGGATCCATGGGCGACTGGTTATCAAACATAACAATGTTTCCATCCACATACGGGGTGATTGAAGCTGGTAATTCTGTGGTAGAGTGCGAATCGTTCGACATATTGATAGATGCATCTTCATTGGGGGCATCTAGGCTTGGATCAATCGCTGATATGCCTTCTGGTGGCTGGTATGGTTCCTCTCCGTAATCCTGCTCGGGAGGTTGCGAATGTGGATCGTAACCAGGATGGTGCGAAATTTCCAGTAGACCTTGCGCAGCATCCAGCGTATTTTGGTCAGATGAAGCTACTCGGCAGGTGATGTTCTTTTTCAGGCACCTCGTACAGGGTTTGTCGTCGGCTAAAACAGGTGAGTAGAGTTAGTCGGGTTCAATAATGATGTTCTTGGTGAGCCGTTAAAATCCTAGTGTCTCGCTATCTTTTGATTTTGTTTGGACTCTATCCTCGGAAGAAACTCTCGAGGAGCGAGATAGGATTGCGAGAACACCAGCGCAGCAAGCTAACATTGTGCTCTTACAGCTCGCTCACACCATTGCCGGGGTTGAAGCTTACTACATCGCAAGTGGAGATTCGAACACTCTTCGCAGGCTTGCACCACTCTGCTCTGACGAACAATCTCTTTCCTCGCTCTTTTAGATTTATGGTTCTCGCTGTGCCTCTTGAGTAGATCGCTGACGCTTGCAATTAGGATTGAACCTCGACATATGGACAGCTCTTTGAACCTTACATTCTGGCAAACCCCTTTTCGCACGTTGGGCATATGTATGGCTTTTCTTTGGTATCTAAATCGGTGATGAGACGTCTATCCCGATGCATGCATTGATTCGTCGACTTACGCGATCGTACATGACGCATGAGATGATCAATTCGCGTGAAGGAGCGCTGGCATGTACTGCATTGGAATAAGCGCTCTTTCTCATCGGCAACCGGGGTCACTATCTCCATTGTGGACTGCATCTTCTCGGTTTAGTGCGAGATAGGATGTGGAGGAGGAGATAGGGGAGAGATGGTGGAGTGAGGTGGGGGACGACGCGCTTGCGTTCTCAAACAACACCAGATGGTCAAAGCCTCGGCTCCTTGGCTGCAGGATGCCACCCCACATCCCGCAACTGCTAGAAAGACGCTACTATCATATATGCAATATACGCAATGTAAGTTCATTTACAAAGACCTCGGATAAGTGTACGAGTTTTTGCATCTTGCACTGAGCAAGGTCTTCCGGTGCTTCCATCACGTGATTGTCGCTTTCACTCACTCACTTCATTCATCAATTGATCATATCGATTTCGCCTTTTAAAATGCCTCTTGCGCCAGTTCACTTCTTTTCTCATGGCTCGACTATGATGCTGGGCGAGGAGACTCGCTCTGCAACATACTGGAAGCAATGTGGCGACGCTGCCCTTGCTAGGAACATCAAAGGCGTGGTTATGATGGGTGCGCATTGGGATGCCCGAGGCACTAATCGCATCGATGTTTCCATGCATCCTCATCCCTCCAAAAGCCCCGTTGCCTACGTTCATCCATCGAAATACGTAGACTACAAACTCGTTCCAGACCTCAAGACCGGCGCACGCATTGTTGAAATGCTGAAAGATGCGGGTTTCGACGCACGAGGGAACGAAACATTCGATTGGATCCATGACACCTATCTCATTTTGATCAGAATGTTTCCCGGAGGTTGTCCGCCTACAACGATTATTAGCATGAATGGCAGATTCGATCCACATGTGCATGCAAAAGTCGGGAGCGCAGTCGCCAAACTACGCGAAGAGAACTATCTCATCATTGGAACCGGCGGTGCAGTACATAATCTGTACAGAAACAATTGGGCGCAGATGGTCATACACACCGACAACCTAGCCCAGCCAGTCCCCCCAGAAGCTGCCATGTTGGAGTTTCGACAGAGCGTGGAGGATGTGCTCACAAGGAATTGTCGCCAAGGCAGAAAGAAGGGTGCTTTGGTGAATGCGGTGACGCGGTTGATGAAGCATCCGCATTACAGAGATGCGCATGGTACGGATGATCACTTCATGGCTGCATGCTTTTGTGCCGGTGCCGTGGATGGAAGCGAAGGAAGCGAAAATGACGAGTGCGAACTCGGAGCTGAGGACTGGGAGTTGGTCAACATGTGTAACAGTCAATTCACGATTGGGAACTGGGTAACGGCTCAGGCTTAGGCCGATAGCTTGGAGTTTCTTTGTACAATTTATCTTCCTCTCAATTTGATCCTACTCAACACATGCTCTATACCGCATTTTTGTTCTGTATGCTATGCTCATGATATGAAAGTTTCGTCTAGCAATCATCTTAACATACTTTTACTTACACAGAAGCAAACAATCACAAAGACAACCACTTATGACTGATAAAACATGTTGGAATAGAATTTCTCGATGTTTCATCTGTTCTACAGCTATTTGGGTGGAATTATAGGCAGCGTGACATAATTCACATAACGCTCACTAAAGCTGATATGATTCATGCCCGCAAACCTCTTCTCGCTCCGATCCTCGGGATGGTTGTGCTGGAAGATCCCACTCCCTTGTGTATCTCCACTGCTCACTTCAAAAACGATCTTACCACCCTTCTCCACCACTACGTTAGTCGGCCAGACCTCTACATCAACCGGATAAACGTCTCCTGAAATGACAGGCTGAACATCAGTACTGAAATAGTCGCGATGAGGCAACCAGTCACGGTGTCGGGGGTGCGAGGGATTCGTTTTGCGCAGTGAAACGCGAAGCCAGCCTTTGGCTAAGGGAATCGGATCTCCTGCTGTTCCAGTATAGTGAACCTCCTTCCCCTCGGGGGAAATGTACCGAAGCGTGAGGAAGAGGTCGATATCTGATGGGGTTGGCCCGGTGGCATGGGGTGACATGGACACGTTCAGATGAGCGACAATGTGACCGGTAATTTCAGTCTCTTCCTCGAAGGCCGGCGTAGTGAATTGCACGAGCTTTGGGTCCTCGAGGCTGCCGAGAGCTTCGTATGAAAGCTTTTTCGATGGCTTGATGATGGGCTCGATTTGTGTCAGTGCTTTCAATGGGGTCAGATAGAATTTGGTGTATCGTGTTCGAGCAATCGGCCATTCGTTTTCGGTCCTGCGCTCGAACACCTTTTCCTTCTCGGAGTCGTCGAATCCAACATCACCTTTCCTCAGGACCAGATCCACCGGTGGGAGCTTGCCTTTTTGGCTCCAGCCTACGCGATCATCGCCCTTGAGGAATGCGTCTAGGAAACTTCGCTGAACTTCGACCTCCTCTTTGTAATAGAAAGGTAGGTCATGTCGTCCAGTGATCACTCGGAGATATTTGAGATCGGATCCTGCCTGTGTGTACCCTTCAATATTCCCGCGAAGATGAAGAAGAATCCCGCCCCAGTTTGCAACAGAGAGCAGCGGTACCTGGATATCGTCCATATCATACTCTTTACTCGCGTAGTATTCATCGTCTCGAAATCGGTTATCAAGGTTGTCGATGTTCTGGTCCTGTCTGTTCTTCTCGCGTTCTTCATCGGGGAGGTCTCCGTCTACACCATCTGGTCCCCAATTCCTAGCCGCTCGGCCAGGTATACCATACTGATTCGACACCACCTGTCTGTTCCACCAGAAGTTTATGAACTTATTCGAAAAGATGCCGCCATGCCGACAACGGTCTCGATAGTAGTCGCTCATGCCTTCCCAAGGAATGATAGCCGACAGCCCTTTAGGCTGCCTAGCAGCGACGCGCCATTGTGACCCAGCAAAGTAGCTGACACCTAGCAATCCGACCTTGCCTGATGACCATGGTTGTTCGGCCGCCCATTCGACAACGTCAAAGAATGCTTCGCTTGTACCACGCGACATTGTGTCTAGAAACCCGGGAGACTGTCCCAATCCTCGCTCGTCCGCTCTGACTATAGCGTACCCATGTTTTGTCCAAAACCCAGGGTCGGGTGTCTCCCAGGCGGAGTGCTCAGAATGATGTTCTGGATTGACTTCGGAGAAAGACTTTGGATGGAAGCTTTGTAATTTGTCAGCTGGTTGAATTTTTCTCCAAGATTATGTACTTACTCTTTGTATGGGATATCTTTTCCATATGGACCATATGTTACCAGCACAGGACACTTCTCGCCTTCTGTCGCCTTGGGGCGGTAGACATTACATCGGATAATCCCAGACGAACTTGTTTTCAACGGAACGGTAGCATCTTGTTCAAACACATAGGGAAATGATGTGTCATCAATCTTATACGCGTCCTTGACCTCCAAAGGCATTGTGCTGGCTGATTGTACCCAGAAAAGATTTTACAAGGCACGCAGTCAACATATTATGTTATTTCACAACATAGTGCCAGAAATGACGATAGGAACTCGGGAAGGTGGGGGAGGTACAAAACAGTGTCGCCTCGCCGAGGCAACATTGTGCCCCTCCTACAAGGGTCTGCGTAAACGCTTAGGCTGGATATGCAGGGATCCATCGGAACCCCTCCAGGTGCTTTGACAGCTCGATATCATGTCTCACCAACGTTTTGTTTTGAAATTCGTTCAACCATGCCATTTAGGATAACATCGAGGAGTTCAATTATCACATGGCCCATTTGCGTGAATGTTGTTCTTATTCTGACTTGTTATACTCATAAGCTTCACTCTGAAGCTTTCACTCCCTGCATGTCTGCATAATCTTCTTTAAGTTCCTGGCCAGCAAGAACCACAGGTTGACAAGGCTGCAAAACAAAAACAATACGACTCCACTCAGTTGAAGAGTTATTGCGCCAAGCATGCATCGTCCCCCTTTGAACAGCGATATCTCCCCTCTTCATATGCCTCACTTCTCCCGAGTCCAGCACCAAATCAACCTCTCCTTCAAGTACGATGCCGTAATCCAACGATACCGTTCGATGCATCGGCGATATGGAATTCGGCGGTGCGTCCACTACGCGTAGAACAGTGCCTCCTGAAGCAACGAGACCCGGTGGGGAACTCAGAAACTCTTTGTATGTGTTCACATCCTTGTCTTCGTTCAATTGCGCGGGAAAATCTTTAGTCGTATACCCCAGTCTAAATACAGCGGCATTGGGGAGGACTTCGGTGGGATTTTGTTCGGGGAGTGCATTATGAAAGATGGCTTTTCCGGTGCTTTCGTCGTGAGTAGTTATGAAGCGGTTGATGCTGGGCAGCGGACACTCTGGTGTTTCTGGCGTCGACGACATGTTTGATAATGATGTAGATTGTGTGAATTCTGCAAAGATGGAAGTTTACAACTTTGAAAATGTGCTAGAGGTTGTGCTAGAATTCGATTATTTGTGGTCGATGGGTAGATTGGAGATGCTGGACAGAGTGCCTTCGACTGCTTGATCATTCCCGAGGTGGAGAGACTGACAAAAGTGCGGGGTCCATATGCCCCACCATGCACCAGTGTCATACGGCGGGCTCATCATTGTGGAAATGGAGTAAGAATCGACTCTGTTTGTGAAGCTTTGGTGGATGGTACCACTAAATCCGATCTAAGAGGCGTATGCCTGTCAGCACGCTATTTAGCTCCCGGTAAAACTGGGTCTACTCCAACACTAATGCTGGAGAACCTAGAAACTTGTGCTAGCTTATACAGGGAATACGCCGTACAGTGAATTGACGTCCCGAGGTGGAGGACATATGTATCGATTGATGTCAAGTTTCCGACCATGATCAACGAGGTTATGTATCGTAGAATGTGGAATTGAATACATGCACTCCTGAAGGTCTGATTAGAGTGATTCCTAGGTCAAAGTCGCATCGTGACATAGGATCGAGTGTTCTGGCACACTGGATTCCTTAGTACAGAGAGCAAAATGGCAGAGACTTATGCATCCCACTTTGGGATCAACAACATTCCGTATGGCATCGCAAGCTCGTCAAAACGCACTTCACCACAAGCCGTCACCCGGATTGGAGATGAAGTCGTCTTTCTCGCCGAGCTCGCAGAACAGGCAGCTTTCGAATCGATTTCTCCTCCATTGATTCCCATCTTCTCCGAGCAAACTCTGAACACATTCGCCGCGCTACCAAAACAAACATTGGCACAAGTTCGCTCAGCCATTCAAATCGCAGTCAAAGGTGGGCAGCATAAAGGGAGCTCCGAGGGTATCAAAGATGTTACTATGCATCTTCCCGTTCGCATAGGCGACTTCACCGACTTCTCCGTATCGCCCGATCACGTCCAGAACGCACCAGAAGCTCTCTTCGGCGTGCGAAAGTTCCCTGCTACATTTCACCAATTTCCAATGGGCTATGCAGGCAGGTGCTCTTCGATATACCCCTCAAGTACGCCGATATACCGTCCGATGGGTCAATACATCGAAGACTTCACAGCACCCGAGAAGAAGGTTGTCTTCGGCGCATCGAAGGGACTGGACTACGAATTCGAGATCGGTGCTATCGTCGGGCGGCCCGTACCAGCAGGAGCGGGGACATATGCAAAGGATATGGACGAGCACATCTTCGGGCTCGTATTGGTGAACGACTGGAGCGCTCGTGATATCCAAGGGAATGAGATGCGGGACCCACTTGGACCCTTTGCCGGAAAGAATTTCTCGACTTCCATTTCGCCTTGGATCATTACGCTGGAGGCGCTTAAAGCATTCGAGGTCCCGGCGGCGCCTCATACCGCGCCTGTCGCTGAGTTCCTACACGACCCCAACAGCATCTCGTACGACCTTACGGTGGAGGGTACAGTTACTAGAAAAGGAACTGTATCGAGAGTGTGCAAGGTTGGGTTTGCTCATATGTATTGGACTTTCAGACACATGCTTGCTCATAACTCCATCGGGGGGTGTGGGTTGAATACCGGCGATCTGTTAGCCAGCGGGACAGTTTCGGGCACAGCAAAGTCGGAACTGGCGTGCCTAATGGAGCTTACCATGAACGGAAAACAGCCATTCAAGTTGAATGATGGATCGGAGCTCAAGTATTTGGATGATGGAGATGTTGTTGGTTTTACAGTGAGAGCAGGCACAGAGGGTTCAGAAGTGGGGTTTGGGGAGTGTATAGGGGAGATAAAACCTTCACGAGGGTCTGCGGCTCATTTTTGAATGGCTATTGTGATCTGAAAACCTATACACACATGCAAAACATTTCTTGGGCTGAACTGTTGCGGAAATTTCACAGTGGCCAGATATGAATTCTCTGATCGCGCTACCCCCGAGCCTCAGACAACTTAACATATTCCTCAATTCATTTTTTTCAAGTACTACTACAAATAGATCATACAGTCATACTTATCAAGAAAAAATTGCCACGTTCAATATGAGTTTGACTTCATCAAGATTGTGATCAACTCTGCATATGACGTCTTTGGCAATGTGGCATTCGTCGGTTATTGAGGACTTCTCTAGCCCGCTGAATCTAGATCTTGACCTTCGCCGCAATCAAGTCCAAGCAACAAAGAGAAGCATCTAGATATGATCGGCGGTTTTGGCGAACCATAGAAGATTGTGCCGCATAAAAATGAGATGAATCAATAGAGCGCCTAGAACCATAGGAAAAAGCATCGTCGCTGAATCAAACAAGTTTAGAAAGGTACATTGATACATGTCTCATAATGTCATGCTGAGATCATGCTGCGCAAGAATGTGGTGGTGTGAATGCGTGCGATCAGTGCTATAGCTCGGAGTCTCCGATATCTACGCGGACTTACGTGTTTCTCCTTTCATCTCGAAACATGCAGCAGCTGAATTTTCATGCATGTGGACGAATGGTCCCTTGTTAGGCATGTCGTGAGATTAAACGTGCATGTGCAGTCTGGGCTGACCGCATGAGCCCCACAAGAGCTGGTGGCGATACACTTTCTTATACCTGTACAAGGCTTGTGCACGTTGAAAGTAGCCAACATCTTAAAACACATCACACATGGAAGAGGCGAACAGAACGCAGGCGCCACCTGGTCATCAGCTATAACTGGAAAGAATGAGGCGGAAACAGTTGATTTTGATATGCCGCTTCTATGACACCGCCCGCGCAACCGAATGTTAGAAACATGCGCGGCCAGCTCTAATGAAGCACCTGGGAATCTCTCTCCGCATCGCTAAATCGCAAAGTCCCAATAGGTAAACTCGATTCGCATCAATACAAAACGTAAAGAAGCTAGTGAGATGGGCATTGAACTGTCTGATGGATGCGTTGAGGAAGCGAAAGGAGACGAACGTCTGTTGAAAATTTTATATCGATAGCAAATGACTTGCACTAGGCCCATAATGGCTTAGTGTCCTAAGTCCGTCACTTACATCCGCTGCGACATGCATGCTTCGGAATCAACGAACATAACTTTTATATCCATATATAACTCATCCGAAGCTACCTACGCTTGAGGTCAAGAGATGGGAAAGGCATGTCCGAATGTTTTGCACGGAGGCTCACTCCGCAGTGTCGATAATCGCCACCAAGCCTGGCTTATTAACATTATTAATCCATCGAGACCAAGCAAAGCTCCCCGGAACAGACGACCCGTGGCCACCTGTTGCTTTATCACACACTTCAAATCACAAACTTCAACCGTAAAACCTACCATATCGAGGAACTGGCGATGGCGATGTTGGCGACGGTATTCCGCTTCTTGGCCGTCCAATCGCACAGTGAGGCACCATGCAGACGAGAGTTGGCGATCCCAAGCACACGTCGTTGGCTCGTATGGAGGGTATATTAAACGGACTTGAAGAGAGGCTGCATGACCAAGCGATTCAGTATAAGTAATTATTTCTGTACTTATAAAGCATATCGAGCCATCGCAATTGTCAGCTACAGCGTCTATTTTCGCAGCAAAGAATTGTACACCATGGATAAATCCGCAAAGACCGTATTCAACTTCGTGAACCTGACCCATCCGGATGAACTCAAGGATGAGGAGACGCAGTTACGTATTAGGCGCCTGGCCATGACCGAATTTGGGCGAACTCGCCGCAAGCCCAAGACCAAGCGCGAGAAGAACGAAATCGTATTTGAAGTCCGACAGCCTGTGGCAACAGAGCAGCCGTCTGTTCCTATCGAACGCTTCGGAGCTGGAGCAGTGGACCCTTTCAGTGCCTATCCCATTGAGCTTGATGATTCTTCTAAAGAACTCATCTCATTCAGTAAGTAATCCATCTGTGCCACCCTCCGCGTTTATAAACTTCAGCTCATGATATAATGCAGTCTTTCGAGATAACAGCGCTCACAGTCGCCAGCTCCGGGGCTCGTGGTATCCAGTCGGGTTGAGTGATAAAGTATCATTCCACAACCTGCTCTCCAATTCACGTCTTTATATGCTGAAGGAGCTGACCGGATCCTTCTTCCGACAAGACGACGTGCTGAGCTTGTCTCATCACAATTCCGCCTTACGGTTGATGGCTGACAAGATGCATGATCCCCAGCAACACAGCACTGACGAAATGCTTGCTTCGATTTCATCTTTCATGGCGCATCATGTAAAATACCTTTCTTCGCTTTCTCGTCGTAACTGATATATATTAACGCAACTCCAGCATGTTTTGGGAACATTCGTGGGCTGGGAACAGCATCGTCATGCTCTAGTGAGAGTCATTCAGCTACGAGGTGGCATAGACCGAATCACCGACGAGAATCTTCGCATCACAGTATCCTGGTAAGCGCCAAAAAATCTCCAAAGAATCCTGGGACTTACTCCGATAGGTGTGATCTTATCGGATCATTTTCCCAAGACATACCTTCGATTGTCCCCATGCCCCGCAAATGGAAGGACGATGCCAGTACCCCGCCAGGTTCTCCGCGCCCGTATTGTCATGTCTCACTGCAGTGGAAGTTGGAACTCCCGATGATGTTGGAGTGGATTACGATATTCGACGACATCGCGCAACTGATCTCTCTCGACCGTGCCTTTCGAGACAGAGACCTCCAGCGTGCTGCCACCAGCGGGTCGTGGATGGAGCCCATGATTTTCCGGCTTCTTGCTTTCCGCCCACTGACCCGAGGAACCGAGCGCGAGGACGTGATCGAAGAAGTATGTCGGCTGGGTGCCATGTTGTTTCTTGCCCCTATCTGGCGATGGCTCGGTGCCACGCCTGTCTGGACAAGTTGCATCTCGCAGAATCTGCTCATGGTCCTCTCGAACAACATGGTTGAGTGGGGGGATTTGAAATGTTTGTTGCTATGGACTCTGTACTTCGCCGCTCTCGAGGCTCAAGAAGCGCGAGAGAAGAGCCAGTTCACGTTCATGCTTGCGGTCTTGATGAATGGATCCTACATGGAAGATTGGAGTGAGTTGATGGAAATTGTGAAGGGCGTTCTCTGGGTGGAGCAAGTTTTTGCCAATAGCGACGATAGCATTCGAGATGATGTTCTCAGGATCCTGCACATGCAGGCTCGCAATGCCATGGTGGACACGGAAGATGATTGAAGAGAATGCTGCAGCATCAGGTTCAGCCATCCACATTCGTTATTTTGCTATAAATATTAAGGTTACCACCTGGTACATCATGAGAGACCTAGCCTATACATAGTTAAAAAAATAGATTCTTTGATTCTATCGCTTCATTCATATGTGTGAAGCCCCACCATCGAAATGCAGAAAGGTCGACGTCTTTTGTTTTCGTGGACAGTAAGTACCCACCAAATTAGCTACGGAAACAAAGCTGAAATGCTATAAGATTTGATGAATTCGAGGGTGGAAAATCCATACACCCAGATCCGAGCTCGAGCTGTAGCCAATCGAAAGATGCTGATTAAGGAGGCTTGGCGTTGAACCCAGAGCTTCAACACCATCAACCTCACAACACACCCTCAGGCTTACAGCAGATCGTCTGCGTCGATTCCACCCACAATGCTCGCCCGAACCCTCCGAGCGCGCACTACAGCGCGCATCTTCCCTACCATCTTCCGCGCTTCCTACTCGACGCCGGCTCCGACCGACCAGAAACTTGCCAATGACCCGGTAAAGCGCGAAGCCAAGCAGAACGTCTCAGCCACCAATGCGACCCCCACATCTTCGGAAGGCTCATTTGACAAGATACTGGTGGAGAGCGTAGAGAAAGCAGAGCAATTGAGGACGGCACAGAGTCCTAATCGACAGGAAGTCTGGAGCACTAGCCAGCAACCCCGGGAACTTGCTATGCGTGGACCGAGATTCGAACAAACCATCTTTGAAGACCAGGTACGTGCGATTTGGGCGAAGTCAGGAGGTAGTACGGCGAAGACAAATTCCATGAAGCTGGATCCGAGAACATACTCCAGCAGAAAGTAGTATGACCATAGAATTCCAATGGCTAATGAGATGTGTGCAGCCTCGTCCCTATGCTGCCATCGATTTGATCCACAGGCAGCCTGTCCGTTGGACTAAGGAGCGTGTTGTTTCCTGTGACGGTGGAGGCGGTCCCCTCGGCCATCCCAAGGTCTTCATCAACGTTGACAAGCCGCAAATCTGTCCATGCGAATACTGCGGTCTACCTTTCGTACGTTCCTCTCCGCCGAAAAAACTCTGTCAATTGGATAGAAGGGTAGCTAATGATTCCAGGCCAACGAGCACCACCGAGAACACCTTGCGTCCCTTCCCACAACTTCATATCCACTTGAGCCCCAAGGCCACCCAGCTGAGGTGGAAGAATCTCAGAGGATCACTAATGAGCCGCTTGGACAGCGGTAGAATGCGCAATAGTGATGCTGGGTCTCGTGTATATACGTAGTAGCAAGCAAGGACGCAATTCACATTTTCCCCAAAGCGGATTACTTGTACTAGTAGTACCAGATGCCAAACATTCCAAACAATCGATTTCCATTTCAAAGGCAGTCCTTTCCACACAAAACTCAGTCCAAGTACACACCAGATATTCGCAGGAAACTCAGGGCCATAACCGCGCTTCCCTCGTACATTCGTCCACAAATAGCTTCCCTCTCGCTAAATCCTGCCCTTCAGAACACCCCCACCAATCGGGGAACCCTGACGTCAACTCCCCAAAAACCTCCGAGAGCAATTCAACTCCAATCAAAAAAGTTCCCCCACCCATGCCTCCACTGCAACACAACAGCTCCATCTCCCCACTAACCACCTTTCTAATCGTCTTTGGCTTCCTACTCGCGCTCTTTCCATCTCTCTTTCACACCGTTATCTGGTCGCCATACTACTACGCGTTCCCAGACACTGACGCCTCGCGCAACCCCACATCCGTTCTCTGCAGGAGCCCCAATATCTGCGTACCCGAACCTACAATGTCTTGGTAAAATCCCTATTTCCAAACCTAATCGCTCCCCTCTCCCCACCCCCAGAGAAAAGAAAAGCAAACCCAAACAAACTAACAATCAACACCGCACGCAACAGGTCCCAAAAAACCCTCACCCTCCCCTCGCGCAGCCGCGGCTCCTACCTCATAACCGACACCATCACCAAAGAGCTCCCGGAGCTCAAGAACTACAAAGTCGGACTCCTCACGCTCTTCATCCAGCACACGAGCTGCGCGCTCAGTCTCAACGAGAACTGGGACGAGGATGTGCGCGCTGATATGAGCGATGCGCTTGACCGGATTGTGCCTGAGGATAGGAAGGGTGGATTGTACAGACATGACGCTGAGGGGAGTGATGATATGCCTGTACGTTTTTTAACCTCTTTCGTCATTTATGGGAAGAGCGAAAGGGATATGCGGGAGCAGGAATTTGGCTAATTTACGGGGTTCTGATGTTTCTAGGCTCACGTCAAGTCTGCGCTGGTAGGCGCCAGCGTTACGATTCCGATTACGAATGGGCGTTTGGCGACGGGTACGTGGCAAGGGATATGGTTTCTGGAGTTCCGTGCTGCGAAGCACTCGCGGAAAGTTGTGGCTACTATCCAGGGAGAGAAGATGTGATTGGTGCTGCTAGTTCTGGACACAATTTGGGGGTGGTTATTGTTGTTGTTGTTGTTTGAGCCATAGGGAATAGAAAGAGTGTGGACCGCGAATTCGACCGGCTTCAGTGAGAGAGTAATGGAGATCACAAGACAATACAATTTCAGGGGCAGTATATTTCATGGCTCGCTCACCTGAGATACATATGATGGTTGGATAAAAGCGCTTGAATTCCAGCGAAGTGACAGCGAAACATGAGAATGGATACCAGTCACCAGAGATGCATTGGAAATGCGACACATGACATCGATAACATCGAAAAAGTAGCTTTATTGAGTACAATTGAGCAGGCATCTTGATTAGTCTCCATCACGGCCCATACATCATCTCCGCTCCCGCTAGATCAGGTCAGAGTCTGACCAAATCCGTTCGAATCACATCCTCACAGTGAAGTCGGTAGCAGAAGAAAGAAAAGAAAGATAGAAAAAGAGATTGATCCCACAACGCCCAAATACCATGCGCTGTCCGGCAAATGCAGAATTGCCTCCTTAGGGGTATCTTGTTCCGGGAGTAACCTCATACGAGGTCACATAAGGAAAGGAATAATCGAGATGTTGGTCGTTAAAGCCGTGAATATGAAGATCCTGGAGCATACCGTATCGGGAAGTGTAGTCCGGTAATCGCAGTGTTGAACTCGGAAGCCAGAGCCCAGATCAACGACGATGGAAGCAAAGAAAGCCGTAATTTGGATTCATCAACCACTCGCCAGGCTGACATTCGTTCTCGATCTGGTAGAAGGAACGAAGATGCCATTCGCCTGTGACTTCCTGGCACCAGAACGGATCATCTGGTCGTGCATCAGCTGGTCGAATCAAGCGTGGATTGTAAGCGCCGCGACGCATGGCTTCGACCTGATTCTGATGCTGAACAACGGTCCGAGGTGGAGCGTTATGGTGGGCTGGTACATTCATAGGCGTGCCACCAACCGGAACCACGGGAACTTGAGGATTGACGACGCCTACAGCCGGAGCCATGGTTTGGAACGCATATGAGTATCCAGGAGCTGGGGCAACTGCGCCATGATAGTAAGTCCTCTGGTATGGGAAGTAATAGTTAGCAAATGTGCCGAAGCCCGCACCATACATCGCATACGGAGAGTAGTAGCTGTAAGAGCGGCAATTGTAATAGGAACTGGGATAATTCCAATAATTCCGTCCGTATGTGCTGTAGTATGTGTTTGGGCCGTAATAGTGAGGTTTCGTATGATAGAGGGAACCATATACCCCAGGGTAGAACCCGCCACCACCGTATCCCGCACCATAGCCACCGTAGCCCATGTTGTAGCCCGCACCACCGTAGCCATATCCGCCTGGATGAACACCGGCAGGAGGTGCACCGTTTGGAATTTGACCGTTGTGGACTAAGACGCCGCGTTGACCGGGTCGGGGGACGTGGATGTACGAGTGCCGAGGCTGTGAAAAGCCATGGCGCTGTGACATGACCGAGGTACAAGAGTTGAAATTATTTGTCTCAAAGAGCAGTCTGAAGTGTCGAGTTGATGGGTGCGGCGTTGGGTGCGGGCCGACCTAGGAGAGCGGGCGGCGATGGTGAAGGTTGAACTAGGTAGGTTGGAGGGCAGAAGGGTGGTTGACTCAGAGCCCTTGCAGCGATGACAATGTATAGAAATAGAGTTGGGGCTTGCGGTTGGGGGTGAAGCAAGTGGTAAGGTGAAAGGTAGGTGGCGGTGTAGCGTGCACGATAAGAAGGCGCGGGAACGGCAGACAAACAAGTGAACTTACCCTCGCGGCTGCCGATGGCATTGGGACCCGACCACCAGTAACATAGTGGCCTCGACCGTAACCGACACCTCCGTGAACGACTGATACGGGGCGAGGGCGCAATGCGACCCGGGGCGGCTTGTGATAGTACCACTCCTGCACCAAAGTCAGCAATGGTTAAATTGAAATGCCATAGTTGATATGAGTCGGACGTACGGGATAATATAGACGGCCGTGGCGTCGGTGTGTTCGAGGGCGGGAGACTACAGCGAACTCGTCATCAGAGCAACCCCGGAGAAGAGATCTCCAAAAGCCTGCAGGTTTGGATTCGTGCTCTTCACGAACAAGGTCGCGAGACGAGACCTTCGTGCGTTCCTCATACGTGTTCCCGAAACACATCGTGATAAGTCGAGTTGGGCGGAGTGTCCGCAGGTAGATAGTGGTGTGGTGGTCAAAGGTGTAGGTAGTACGACTAGGTGATCAGCGACTAGGGGACAATTGGCCAATGCGTGAGGACTCGTAGGCGATAGCACGGTGAACAGAGATACTAGAGCATTACAAAATATCTTGCCTTCGTGGTACTATACAATATTTTACTCCCCTCCGTATGCCGAAGAATACTTCAAGTACGCAGGGACAGTTCTGTCCAGCATCATAATGGTCCAGATGTCAGAGCGCTACGTGCGCATGCCACATAATGGGCCATCAAGCTCCTGGATCTTTCTTATGGCTCTTTGGAATCGCGCCGGCCCCAGTTGATCCTGTACCCGCTCCGGTCGATTCAGTACTTTTTTGCTTCCTTCTCGTAAAAACTCCCTTGAACCTCTGCAACACGGGTACAATAGCTCTTTGTGCAAACCACGGTGTGGCCCATACACTTGCAACAATCCTTAGAGGTAGTAGTGCCTTGGTCACGGCGTATGCGGTTGCAAATTCTACCACCAGCCTCACTCCCCCTTCACTAATACCCCAAGCTTTGTCTCTTTTTCTCATTTCCACCTCCAGCTCTGCTTCGTTGGCTTCTTCGCTGCGAATCCATCCCTTCTTCCTGAACCACTTCCCGAAGCGATCCACACCTTGAAGTATTAATTCGCCTTCCGCGAACCATGGCGGCAGCCAATGTGTGTAATGGAACGTCGCTGCAAGACCAAAAAGGGGAACAATGGCCGTAAGCTCGTGCAGAATAAGAAAGGACGTTATATGGGAAACAGGGGCTGAAGCAAGTGCGTTTGTGTATTTGTGGAGAAATTTCGGCATGCGGCGGTTGAAGCGCTGAATCCGCGATTGAGATGATGCCGTAGATGAAGCGGGGGAAGGTTTTGTATCGAAATGTCGCCTGGGGGGAGAGCGGGCGCAGAATCTAGTGCTGGCAGATGGCCGGAGAAGCAGTTTTCTAAGCATTCTTATTGACGATGACTTCTACAAATAAGCCGACAAGATATGTAGGAAGCGGGTTGGACAAGAAGATGAGGATTATGATCAGATGATAGTCCTAAAAAGCAAATGGCGTTCGTTATTTCCTGCGCCAGTCGCCCCGGAGAAATACAATCAACTTTCAACAGCACACTGCATGCTGCTCAAAGATCTGCACTGGCGAAGAAGATGTTGGTGGAGAACAGAGAAACTGGGAAGTTGCGGATCAGAATTGGTTACAGACAACGCCAGATGTCGAATTGAGTGACGTCTGAAGTCGCTTCAGCCCTATCGGCTAAGCTTCGTGGAGCTAGGCTAGCGAGGGTCCGTGCGCTGACATCTTTTACTTCTTGGACTGTTGCGACGCGCACCAATTTCATTGTTTATATCCAAGGTTGAGAGAATCGTTACCACACCCGCACAACCACCCAGCAATCTATTGACTAGAACACTAATTAAGCAGTCACTCGCTCAACCAGCTGGCGCCACTATGGCTACCAATATGCCGAAGCAGGCCTCTAACCGGCTCATGACCATGAAGGCAGGGAATGCGATTGAGTGCGCGCAACACTTGCTAACAATTTTATAGTTCATGCAGCGATCCGCCGGCAAAAACGCGACTTCGGAACCCTCTACGCCCAACGGTCCACCTTCGAAAAAGGTGCGCTTGTCGAATGGTGCCTCGGCGCCCGGTACACCTGATAGCCCGTTGGCTCATACAACCCCGATGTCGGCTGAGGATCGAAAGCGCGAGGAGATGGAAGCGCGTATTGGAGAGAGGCTTGGTGAGACAAAGTGGGTGTTGAGTTTCAAGAATCCGTTGCCCGCCGACGGAGCGCAGGCAATGCAAGTCAGACAAGCGGGTTTTGCAGTTATTGACGCCGAGGAAGATTCCGAAGACGACGAGGAGCAGAAACCCGTACGAATGCAATTTGGAGGAGGCGTGAAAAAGAGACAGGTGGTGCGTTGGGTTTCATCAAGTTCGGAACCTAGTAAGTGGACTGACCAAAGCTAGAAAACCGCAGCATCCCCAACAGCAGGGGGCGAAGATCAGGACTCGGACGACTCGGACGACTCGGAAGGCGAATCCGACTCCTCTGAAGACATGAGTTCGGATGAGGATCCCACAGCAGCGCTCATCCGAGAAACGAAACGCGAGGTAGCCGCAAAGGAGCGTGATGCTCGGAACGCAAAGAAAACAGCCAACAAGGCGTCACGTCGTTCTTCGGGTGTCCAAATCGACGAGGACATGGACCTCGGCGGCCTATCCAGCTTGTCTGGAGGCGGTCGAGCCACAGTAGACGATCGAGAGTGCTTCAAGTGCGGCCAAAAAGGTCACGTCAAAGACCAATGCCCTCGAGGCCGACCTGCTCTGCGAGGTACCGCTGGCCGGGGCAGGGTCAGAGGCAAAAGCCGCGATGGCCGACGTTAACTGTACAAGGTGACCAGAATCTTTGTATAACGACTGCTGAATGCAAAAAGATACCCATTGCGGGGGCTACAGCTACCCTGCTCAAGCCCGATGCTCAAGCCACCTTTTCTCCATTATCTATCAACATGATTTCATCCCCAACCATCATTCTCATCTGACTATCGTCCATGAAGTTGTGGTGGTCCTCGTTTAATGCAGCACCCTCCTTATCGTACAAGAACTTTGCGAGTGCGAGGTAGTCGGGAAATACGAAAGTGCAGATGGCGTCGTAATGCAGCAATTGGGCGTTGTTGTGCATGATGTCTTGGATCAGCTTCCTGTCGCGATGCAGGTGATATGTCTGCGAGAAACAAGCATCAGCAGCTGAATGTTGCGGGGGTGTGAGTTCGCCAGCAGGCAGGGGTTGTGATTAATTACGAGACTATAGCTAATGATGCCATGGCGCTGTAATATGGGGATGGCTTTCTGAGCGTGGTGGTCATTGTAGTATTGGATGAAATCATGGTCCGATATCCCTTCCTTCTTCTTCACCATTATGGTAGCTTTGACGACCTTGCGAAAGCCCGTGGTATCCGGGTAACCTGCTTCAAAGGCCTTGGGGACCATGATGGACGACGATTTGGTAGATAAGCGGGGCTCTGGAAGGATCCGCGCAGGGCAGAAGAAAGCGAGGCAGGGCTGCTGTTCCGCTAGATTTGGGTGCCGCCGCTGGTGTTACAATGAAGCACCTGGAGTGTACCATGGCCTATGTAGTCATGCGCGCCGTGTTCCCGCGCTGTGTTATGATTATGTGATGATTTATTCTCGCCCGCTGTTGCTCTCATTGACACACACGGGTAACTTTTAAGCCACTCATCGGCAGTACGCTGCCGTGCCAATCAGTCAAGCCAGCCCGTCCAGGGAAGTTTTGAGCCTCGACTTATTATTCTCCACGTCAATTCGCACGCGCGCGTTCGAGTGACTACTGAGTACTCACCACCCGCCCTTCGTTCGCCCCAGTTACCTTCGCAACCGATTGCTTCTGCAACACTTTCACCCTGACCAACTCATCCGTGTTTTCGCTTAGTTGCTGCTGTGCCGTACTGCACTGCACCCGCGTCAAACATTCGAGCCCTTGTGCTTTAGGTTTCGTTGCATCGACCGCCCCACGTAAACACACGGCACCGCGCCTCCAGCCTGGCAGTAAATGATCACAGCCGCCCAGCGCACACGATTGCTCACGGCCCTACCGCTTGGACGTCCCTCTCACCTATGCACTAACAGCCCTGCGCTGTGTACCCGCCACTCCACCCCAGCGTCCGCTTCAATTGCGCCCATCACAGCCGCTTCACACCAGCAAACCAAGACACCTTTAGCTTCCGGCTCTCCACGACCACTAGCTACCCTTCTGTCCGTCTATAAATCGCCGCAACCGTCGCCAGCGTCTGCCTCTGCCACCTCTGCTCCCCCGCGAGCTCAATTGACATCTCGCAATTCTGCTCGAGCATTCCACACCACCACCGCCGTCTTCAGCATGGGAGAATCTCTAGGGCGACATGTCGCCAGAACCAGGATAGAAGACTTGGAGCGCCCCGCTCTTGACGATCGCTCCTACAGAATCACTACCCTCGCGAACCAACTCGAGGTCCTTCTCATCCATGATCCCAAGACCGACCAGGCAAGCGCCGCCCTGGACGTAAATGTGGGCAGCTTCAGCGACTGGGAAGACTTGCCCGGTATAGCACATGCGGTCGAGCATCTGCTTTTCATGGGAACCGAGAAGGTATGCTGGCACCTCCGTTTGCGCATGAGTACGAGCAACGCTTATTGAAACCCACCAAAATAGTACCCGGAAGAGAACAACTACAACAAATACCTTGCCTCGCACTCGGGACACTCCAACGCTTATACCGCTGCCACCTCGACCAATTACTACTTTGAGCTCGCTGTATCACAATCGAATAACAGTGGGACATCTACGCCAAACCCCACCTCCGAGCAACTACCCGAGTCCAAAGAGCAATCGCCTTTATGGGGCGCTCTCGATCGTTTCGGGCAATTTTTCATCAGCCCCCTCTTCCTCGAAGATACCGTCGATCGCGAGCTCAAAGCGGTCGATTCGGAGAATAAGAAGAATCTTCAAATCGACACATGGAGACTGCATCAGTTGAACAAAGCTCTTTCGAACCCTAAGCATCCCTATAACCACTTCTCTACTGGAAATTGGAAAACTTTGCATGATGATCCGATAGCACGTGGCGTGCAGATTCGCGACAAGTTCATGGAATTCCATGCGCAGCATTATTCGGCAAACCAGATGAAGCTTGTAGTGTTAGGTCGCGAAAGCTTGGATACTTTGGAAGAATGGGTCGAGGAAATATATTCCAAGATCCCGAACAAGGATTTGCCCAACAAGCGGTGGGATGATGTTCCCGTGTATACAGAGAAAGAACTCTTGATTCAGACATTCGCTCGGCCAGTGTTTGAGACACGGACCATAGAGCTTTCGTTCCTCTACCGCGACGAAGATGAATTCTATGAATCGCACCCATCGCGCTATCTAAGTCATCTCATTGGTCACGAAGGGCCTGGAAGCATACTCGCATACATCAAAGGTAAAGGATGGGCCAACGGCCTTGGTGCTGGTGGCTCTACAATGTGCCCTGGCAGTGGCCTATTCCAGATCAAGATCAAACTAACCGAAGATGGTCTCCGCCATTATAAAGAAGTTGTGAAGATCGTATTCCAGTACATTGCCATGATACGTGAGCATGAGCCTCAACAATGGATTGTGGATGAGCAGATCAAAATCAGTGAAGTGGAATTCCGCTTTAAAGAAAAAAGCCCGCCTAGCCGTACCACTAGTGCTCTCGCATCTGTCATGCAGAAGCCTTATGACCGTAAAATGATACTCAGCGGACCCGCTGTGGTTCGAAAGTTTGACGCCCAACGCATCAGCGAGGCTATGTCCTACCTTCGCCCAGACAACTTCAGGTTCACAATCGTTAGCGAAAACTCCTCCGTGGAGTGGGACCAGAAGGAGAAATGGTACGGTACTGAGTATAAGACGGAAAAGATCCCTGCGGAATTTATACAAGAGGTCAAGGATGCTTTTGAGAGCAAATCACGCCCCTCCGAACTACACCTACCACACAAAAACGAGTTCATTCCCAATAAGCTAGAAGTGGAGAAGAAGGAGGTATCACAGCCACTCAAAGCGCCCAAACTTCTCCGGAATGATCCTTCAGTACGATTATGGTGGAAGAAGGACGACCAGTTCTGGGTCCCTAAGGCTAACGTTCACGTTCATCTGCGAACTCCTATTGCGTACACAACAGCACGGACGAGCTTGATGACTAGTGTCTATCGTGACTTGGTTAACGATGCGTTGGTAGAGTATGTCTACGATGCAGAGCTTTCAGGTCTTGTGTACGAAGTTTCCTGCGGCAGGACTGGTATAATGATCTCCGTTGAAGGCTACAATGACAAGCTTCATGTGCTGTTGGAGAAGCTGCTCGTTCAATTCCGAGACTTGGAAGTGCGGGACGATCGCTTTAAGATCGTTCACGATCGCGAAACACGCGACTTCCGCAACTGGAATTATCGCCAGCCTTATCATCAAATCGGAACCTACGCCCGGTATTTCCGAAGGGACGGCGTCCACACGATGGAAGATGTGGCAGACGAACTAGAGACCATTACGGCTCAGGACCTTCGTGAATTCATCCCCCAGGTATTGAGGCAACTCCACATCGAGGTTTTCGCACATGGCAACTTGTACAAGGAAGATGCCCTCAAGCTTGCCGATCTAGTTGAACAAACTCTCCGTCCGAAGATACTTCCTTTGAGCCAATACCCCATCACCCGCAATTTCATACTGCCTCCTGGAAGCAACTATATCTACGAGCGTCAGCTTCAAGACCCTGCCAACGTCAATCACTGCATCGAGTATGGTCTCTACATTGGTGACCGCCGTGACGACTTGACCCGCGCCAAAATCAGTCTTCTAGCCCAGATGACAGATGAACCTGCATTTAACCAGCTCCGCACCATCGAACAGCTCGGCTATGTCGTGTTCTCCGGTCCAACCGCCGGTGTCATCTACGCCGGTTACCGCGTCTTGATTCAGAGCGAGAAGGATTGCAGGTATCTGGAAGGCCGTATCGAAAACTTCCTCACACAGTTCGAATCGACGCTCGACAACATGTCGGACGAAGAGTTCGAAAAGCACAAGAGCGCCGTCATCTCACGGAAGCTCGAGAAGTTCAAGAACCTTGGTTCAGAGTACGAGTCCATGACCAACCCTATGGCGTCAGACATATACGAGTTCAACTTGAGTAAGTAACATCGCTACACTCCTACCCCCCTCTAAAGCACAGCTCGAGCCAGCAAAAAGATGACAGACTAACGATATAATCACAGACGAAACCGACGCCACAAACGTAGAAACCCTAACCAAACCCCAAATGCAATCCTTCTACAAACACCACATCACCCCGACCTCCCCGCACCGCGCAAAACTCTCAGTCCACCTCATCGCCCAAGCAAAACCAAAACAACCCTCCCTCCCAGACCTCCTCAAACAAGCCCAATCCGCCCTCGACACCATCCTCAAAGCCGAGAAAATCACCCCACCCACCGACGATCCCGCCTCCACGGTCCTGAAACCCCGTCTAGACGCCGTGAAGGCGCCAAAGGAAATCAAACCCGTCATCGAGACGTACTTCATCGAGGATTTGGGACTGGACAAGAGCAAAGCGGACAAGGTCGTTGACGAGGTCATGGCTGCGTTGGGGCTTGCCGAGACGGGGATTGCCGGGAACTTGGACGCTGCTGATGGAAAGGACAAGGACGGCGGCGAAGCTGTGGGACCTGGTAAACCGGTCTTCATTACAGATATCCCGGCTTTCAAGGCTGGGCTGCTGGTTAGCACGGGCGTCACGCCTGGTGCGAATCTGGATCGGTATATGGAGGATGCGGCGAAGCTGTAGATACATCGACTAGGGCTAGGGTAATGGATGGGACTGATGTGGTCTGTAGAAAAACAAAATTACTGTCTGCTATGAATGCTTCGAGGAAATACTGTGAAATGCATCTTCTTTTTTGTCGAGTTTCATACCTCTCCCGTATTCCGATCCGCCCAGTTCATGACACCGAAAACCTGATATCATCTATGTGGCCTGAAATCCTAACATGAAAAACATGTCTAGACAAGAGGGGGCAAACTTTTATCACTAAAAGAAGGAACGAGTACCCAGCAGTCAACACTAGATTTGGGCACAACTATACACAGTCGTTGTCACCAGAACACCACCGAAAAAAAAGAATAAAGGGAGCCAAATCGAACAACAACATGATTTAAAATGATTTATCCGCACACGCTGGCCCCGTAGAAATGATAAGAAACGCACATACACACAAACGCTCTTCTATAACCACCACCTTCAACCGGATACCAGAAAGCCACATTGGAAACCTTTCTAAGATACACAGATCCACATCCAGCTTCCATTGTCCCACCGCCGACACTCATATTTGCCTTGCGCTCTCGTTCGCTTATCGACTGACATTTTTCCTTCCTCAAATCGACTCCGTTGTTACTACAACCAAGAGTGTTCGTTCGTGAAGTAGGATAGGCTTCTCCGTTTCTTCAACCATTGAAGTGCCGACAATTCCCAATCCCATCGCAGATCTCGATTGACAAAAGATGGCGCGTCCCAAAGTATGCAAACAGGCATTTTACTGCACGGTGTTGACAATTTCGCTGGCCTTGCCCAAGCTCTCCACCATCTGCTGGCATTCTTTCCGTCTGCGAACCGTGTACTCACTCTCCTTGAGCAGATCGTCGAGCTCCTCCGTCTTGTACATGTTCTCGAGGAGTTCGCGTTGCATTTCCTCCTTGGTCCATTGCACGAGGTTAAGCATAATGGCCTTGGGAACCATGTCGATCATGGTGCGGCGCACAATATTAAAGTACGACGTAATGAGAAGTTCTGTCAATCAAGGTTAGCGATTTTGCACTCCGGAGACGCGTCTGTATCAACGTATGAAAAGGCAAAACTTACTAATGACTTCTACCTCATGTAGCTCTTTGTCAGAGAGAGTACCAGAAGCCTTGAGTTGCGGTGGAGGAGGCTCCATGGATGCCATCTTCTTCTTGTTCTTACTCGCGAAAAACGAACCAAAGAATCCACCGCCTTCTCCATTACCATCCATGGGAGGAAGCTGGGGCGATTGGGAACGTGGGGGCACATTGGGTCCAAGTGGCTTTCCAGTCTTGGGGTCTACTTGAGTCGGCTTCGCGGCGTTGTGACGGTCATGCACAATGGCCATAGCACGTGAGCCATTGATGAAGTCGGGGTGTCCGGTGTTGATGTATACAGATTCCATAGCCACAAGGTCCCTGACGAGCTTGTTTGTGGGGTCCATGGCCTTCTTGAAAAAGGCTACGACCACTTGGTGAAGCTTCTCTTTGAGACCCGGGTAACGCCTGAAAGATGGTTTTGCAAGAAGTTGTCCGAGGATTCGGATCAACTCATCGTACACCAAGCTTACACACTTTAGACTGGGGTCTTCTAGCCTCTTGATTTGCTGTTTGACAACAACTTCAAAAGCGGTCGTGCCCACGAAAAGCGCCGGCGATGAACCAGCAGAGTTATGAAGAACAGTGCGGATGTCGACGTCCTTGACCTGGTCAAATGGATCTACAGCCTTGACACCGTTGGCATATAGTTCGTGGTAGACGAAAGAGATACGTGCGCCGCCTGACAGCTCTGTGGCCGATAACTCTTGGTTATTTCCGTCCAATACACCCCGGTATTCACGGCTAAACTCGGTGATCATTTGAAGGATAATACTAGAGCTGTTGTTTCCGAGAAGTGAGTCGCCAAGTTGGGCGAGCTCTTGTTGGTATTTCTGAAGAGAGGAGGCAATGCGCGCTTTGATGTCAGGGAGGGTTTGTTTGATGTGCATCATGAGAATCTAAATGCGTTAGTCTGGTTTAGAGTGCACATGGCCTAAAGGTGGATAGAAAACATACCAAGTTCAGCTTACGTGCCAAGTATGGGGTACCACAGTAGGCAGCCTTATTCCGATAGGCCTTGTGGTTCTCGAAGAACTGCCTCTCGTGCTCCAGAGCAAAAGAGATGGCCTTCTTGTTCTCGATATCCCTCTGTCCACGATTCACGACAGGGACGTAGCCCAACCGCAAGGGGATGATGCGACCCGCCAGAATATCGACCACATCTGTGCCCTCATCCATCAGATCGACCTTGGTGAGCACACCAATTGTCCGTTGTCCCTCTGGATCCACCTCTCGCGCTAACATCAGACCGTCCGAGTTTGCCAAATCAGTATTTGCGGCGGTGACAGCGAGTATTATAGCGTTGGGCTTAGTGATTTGTTTCAGCACCATCTCCTTGATCTGGCGCTCGATATCGCGGGGCTGATCTCCGACGGGCACTTTGGTTAGACCTGGCAGATCGACCAGAGTAAGGGTGAGAACATTGGGCGAGTAGATACGCAAGTTGATGGGTGCCGGCGAGATACCCGCATTGCGTCCAGTCTTGGATTCCGTCTCGCGCACGATCTCGTCTCGTATCTTGCCAAAGTCGTGGAACTTTTGACCGGGGATGTGTAGGAATTCGCCCCACTCGTCACTGTTGTTCTCATTATCGGTCGTTTTAGGGGTCTCCTCCGTGACACCATTCGCTTGAGGTTTCGAGGACGCAGCACGGTTGATCAGCTGTAGAATGAGCGGTCTTCGGGTTACGATTCCGGATCCTCGAGGCAAGCTGTAGTGGTGATACTGTCAGCGCTGTTACCTAGTTTGAGGGAGGGGCGACAGATAAGGAGGCTTGGGGAACTCACAAGTCTCGCCCGACGATATTCTCCAATACGGAACTCTTTCCACTGGATTGCGATCCTACGACGGCAATTTGGGGTAGATCTATAGGGTTTTGAACCTGAGGTGGACATTAGCATGCGCTGCGTAGCGGAGGCGTGGAGAAGGGTCGACGTACCCCTACGGTAGTGAAGACATCCTGAAGCTTGTTGACGAGGGTGATGAGACCTGGGTCATTCACGTTGATGCTACAGAGGTGCAAGTCAGCTTGTTGCGTTCTGCGTGATATTTACGGGTTCAGGGCGAGGGGTTGCAGGCCAAGCTGGGGAGTTTGGGGGGGCCATTTGGGAAACGTACGCAGTTGGGTTTACGGCCATGACCAGGCGCGGGGAATGAGGAGACCGAGAAGGCTGTAAACAATAATGTAGAGCAGTGTGGGGTGAGGAGGTAGCGGGATATAAGCAGTCGAGGGTGATTGTAGGCGTGAATGTCTGTTTGGTGAGTCGTGTCTCAGTCGCAGTTGCTTGCGAACGTTGGATTGTTAGGGTAGGTATGAAGCCCGCCAATGAGCAGGGGTCTCTGCCTGTGGCGGTGCGCAGCCACTTCCATCCCTGCTGCCCGTGTTTGTGCGTACGCATGACGAACATCATCATAGGGCTTCTTCACACATCACGGCCATGCGTCGTCAGCCAAATTAGGCATCAGCATTCCAAAATGTACAATTCGTTCGCAGTCTATCAACCAACCCTAGTAGCTATGTAAATCCATTTCATCACAAGTCCCTGACACACGCGTCTCCAACTGAAACCTTCCTTACTCGTCGATGACTGCTGCAAACTTGTCCGTCATCTTCTGCAGCAGCTCCTCGTACTGCACATCTTATTAGCTTGCTGCCTTGCACATTGTCTATTGCTGGATATTGTGAGGCTTACCTTCTTGGACACAGCTTCTTCGCCGTCGCTGGGCAACTCGAATTTCATGCTGCGCAACTCTGTTTGGATCTCTGACGTGTTCTCGCGAATCTTAGGCCAGGCATGTCCCTGCGAGACCGCCTTCTGCGCTTCGTCGTGGAACGCCATCATGTTCTTCATCATCCACTCCGTCTTCCACAACGGGCAGAACTGATCGTAGTCTGAGTATCCATTCTGCTGCAAAAAGTCCTCCTTGAGCAGTGTTGCAACGTCCAGCGTGATCTTGTCGCCGTCGCCCAAAGCAGATTTACCAACCAGCTGCACCACCTGATCCAAATCTTCAGACGTCGTCAAAAGTTCCTTGATGCGATCGCGCAGCCGAGGGAATTCGGGGTTATTTTCGACGTAGTACTTATCGAGCGCAGTCGTGTATTTACTGTAACTCAGACCTGTGTTAATCGATGGGAAATGCTTGCGCTGCGCAAGCTTCTTGTCCAAGCCCCAAAACACTTGCACAATGTTGAGCGTACTCGTCGTAACGGGATCGGAGAAATCTCCTCCTGGGGGACTGACAGCACCGACGATACTGACACTTCCGTGTCGTTCGGGGCTTCCGAGCGCGGTGACGCGACCAGCGCGCTCGTAGAAAGAGGCCAGCTTGGCTCCAAGGTACGCGGGGAAACCTTGGTCAGCAGGCATTTCTCCGAGACGACCAGAAATTTCACGGAGAGCCTCAGCCCAACGCGACGAGGAATCAGCCATCATAGCTACATCCTTGCCCTGGTCCCTGAAATATTCTGCCTAAAGTACCGTGCGCGTTAGCAATGCTCTGTGTAATTGTAGTCATCGTTGTTACAGGGTCGGCGGAGAACGTACCACTGTGATACCCGTGTAGATGGAAGCTTCTCGGGCGGCCACGGGCATGTTCGATGTGTTGGCAATCAGTGTTGTGCGCTTCATGATGGGTTCCTCCTTGCCGTTAACATTGATGGTAAGCTGTTTATATTAGTATCAAGCGTGGCAATAGAGGCATGGGTCACAAACTTCGGGGAAATCCATCAACACTTCAGCCATCTCGTTTCCTCGTTCTCCGCACCTTTAGACAGTTAGCCTCCGAAAACCATAGGTAGTAGAGAGTTGAAAAGATGGACTTACCCGACATAGACAATGATGTCGGAATTGGAGAATTTGGAAAGAGATTGACTAATGACCGTCTTGCCACAGCCGAAAGCGCCGGGAATGCACACAGTTCCACCTTGAACACTGGGGAAGAGAGCGTCAAGCACACGTTGTCCGACAATGAGCGGTCGGTCGGACGACAGCTTCTCGGAACTGGGACGAGGAACACGGACAGGCCATTGGTGCATCATGCTGTATTCAGTCTTGGTGCCGTTGAACTCGAGCTCTAGGATCTTCTCATCGACGGTGTAGCTACCCTTGTCTGCGAGACGGGTGATGGTTCCCTTGGCGCGAGGAGGAAGCAAGATTTTGTGGTCGTTGAGAAGACTGTTCTCGACAACGCTGCCGAACACATCGCCACCGGTGATGTGGTCGCCAACCTTGTATTTGCCTGGGGTAAAATCCCACTTCTTTTTGCGGTCGAGGGCGGGGATATTGATACCGCGGGGAATATAGATGCTCTCTGCGGCGTCGGCAATGCTCTTTAGGGGACGCTGGATACCGTCGTAAATGGTTTCCATGAGACCGGGGCCAAGCTCGACGGAAAGAGGCTTGCCGGTCCTCACAACAGGATCGCCAACGGTCACACCGGCTAGCTGACTGTTAGCTGATTTTTCGCTATGCTGTTTGTGCGAGTTTGTGTTTACCAGTCTCTTCGTAAACCTGGATGGTGGCCTTGTCGGCCTCGATACGAATGACTTCTCCGACCAAGTTGTCGTGGCCAACGCGCACCTAACGGATTTAGTCTGTGATGGAGGAAGGTGCTTCAAGACAAGACCTACAAGTTCGTACATGGCGCATCCGATCATGTTGGCAGCGACAATGACGGGTCTGGGAAAGTTAGAATAGTCTCGAGTTGCGGTGCTGCTGCTGCGGTGACGTACCCGGAGATGGAAAAGACGGAGCCTGCGCAGATGATTAGCATCGTGGAAAGGCACAAGAGGTAGGAGCTACGAGCTGGAATCAAACATACCCGCCTGTTCGTCGCCATCATCCTGTTTCTTCTGCTGTTTCTGAGCCATGTCAGTTGCTATCCAACGCCCACCCCACCGCCTCCAGATGTCATGCAACTCACGGGAGGCATTTTCTTGGCGATAGAGTCCTCTCCTTCGCTATCTGATGTCTTTTCGGTCGGTAAAAGCGGCGGAGGGCTGACTACGAAGGAGATCTCTTCGTGGACCTCTTCGGGTGTGTCCTTGACAGGGCTCTCGGGCAGCGGGACCTCTAGTGGGAGGTCGGTCTCGAGGTTGGCAGGGCGCTGGGAAATCTTTGTGATATTTTCACAACGGACTAGATCTAGCAAGGAGGGACGGGAGAGGCGAGAGAGACGTGGTCTGAGGCCAAGCTGCATGCAAGGAGCTTGGGAGAGGTGGTTGTGGAAGAGCGGGTGCAGCTTGGAGAGACGGGGCAAGCTAGAGGGTTGCAGAATGACGCCCGCCAAAGTGGTCTGTGCAGAAGCTTCCTTTCACGACTTGTAACTCCCCAATAAACATGGAAATAGACACCTTTGCATTGCTATACCGAGTCCAAAAGCAACTGTTCAGCGGAAACCAGAGAGCATTATTTGTGACAGACCAAATGGAATAACAACAAACAGGACGCAAGACGGCCACCACTCGTCCCAAGAGCGCCCAGACCTTCAAACTCCCACATCCACATTCTGCCCAACGTAATTCCTCGATCCCCTATCAGACGCATTACTCCCTTCATCAATACGCTCTTCCTCTCCTTCCTCCGTTTTACTCGCTTGGCTTTTGTCCAAAGCCAGCATGCCAGGCTCCGCGTCCTCATCCCTCGCCGCCATCCTATCTCGCCTCGTGTCATAAATCCCCCATCTCTTGAATTGCCTGTGATCATTTATAGCGGTAGAAGATCCAGATCCAATGAGCATCGGGAACCATCGCATGAGTAGTGGTTTCATCACTAGGAGCGAAGCGCAAATGATTGCCACGTTGATCTCCGCAGTAGACCATATCAGCGCGTGAGTGCCAGCCTCTGTTATACATCCGATCAGCGAGTATATAGGCATATTGATGTGAGAACAAGCATTTTGGTGCAAGCATAGATGGTTTAGGTGGAAGGTGGTACAAGGCAAAAGTTCATACTTACTGGTCACATTCTTTTCTCGTGTCGCATCGTGTACAAGCACGAGACGCAGTACACTAACAACACACACCCTGTCCACAACAGTCAGTCAAGGTTCCCATCAACACCATATCAACTGCGATTCCCGGAGAACTTACAGTATGCCTAACCCGAACACCACAGCCAACCCTACCCTCTGCCTACCTCTTACCTCCAACTTCCTCACTACTGGTATTGGCAGCACCCAAATAGCCACGTCCAAAACAACCCCTAAAACGGAAGTGGACCAGAAATGCGCCTCGGCGTTGATGCAGTATCCGGGTATTTCAATCTCCCAGTACCTCTTTATCGGCCTACAGAGGAGGAGCACGCCAAAGAAGCCCCATGCACACGATACGATGGTGGTCAGCAAGAGTGCGTTGGTACATCTTATCGTCATTTTTGATGTGCGACCGAATATCCGGCGGTATTGGATGAGTATCGATGCTTTTACTAGGTTGACGGCGAGGTGGTAGAGGAGGGATTGAGCGTAGATGAGCTATAAAGACATTGTTAGTTGATGTTGCGCGCAGGGAGGTGTTGCTGGGAATACCTTGAGCATCATTTCCACTGGAGCTGCCCTATCCTTTCTGCTCTTCTGTCTGGTATTTATAGATACTTCTGAGAATACACAGTCAGCATAGCCAGGACTCCCAGGATGTGACATACCACTTCCTATCAATCCGCTCGTTGCTATCGAGCACGCCTATGCTAGTTAGCGTTGTTCTCTCTGTAAGAAAAGTTCATCCTACCAAAGCTGCGACGACAAAGTAGTCTTCAGTGAGGATCCATTTCGTCAGGCATGTGCGAGAATACAATCTCAGCGCAACCGCCACAAAAGCGAATGTAGTGAGTACTACTGCCGGGATTAGCGCGAGCAGCCCAATATCTGCCACTATGAGCTTCGATACTATGATCCAGTTAGGCGCGTGATTGAACATGTTGGTCATTCCACTTCAAAAACGAATACTGTGAGATGCTGCCCCGAGAAAAGAGATAGGAGTGGGCATTGAAAATGACAATATCATTTGATAGCGAGACATCATCTGTATACCTATAATCTGACTTCCGAGTCATTGACGTCTCGCCTTGTTCTTTGTTCGATGTCGATGAGCTGGACTGTATCTTTTCGGATGACATGTCATCATCGCACCAGACACCCAGAGGACTAGACCACAGATGATTGAGCGATGTATTGGAAGAAGCTGTAGGCAGGCCGCGGTAATGTTAAGCGACACAAGCTACGTTTACCCAAACATCATTGAAGGACCGGCTGCAGAAGATATTGGTTGCTCAGAGCATCATTCGGGTGTGAAGAGGGGAAAATTCGAATTTTCATTATTTCTAGTCAAAGAGTACATGCAAAAGGGTATAGATGATAGACAGGGTGTGACCTTCAAAAGTTGGTATCAAAAACCACAGTTGGGTAGCGGGGGGACCCAGACATGTGTAATCTCCATCAAATGTGGAAAAAGATAATTCTGGATCTTTCAGCGGCCCTGAAAGATCATCGCCAATCAAGATGCATTGAAGTGCTAGTCAATAGAAATACACCATTTGGATCTCGATTGTGCAATATTCGTCGATCTTCAATTTGCCCTCATGAAAGTTCACTTCATGATGTAGTTGACCCTTCGAATAGCGCGCAACTACACCTCCCAGAATGGGCCCTGTCAAATTGGTATCTAACATAGTGAAGCTTTGTCTATAAAACGAAACGATTAGCATAAAGGTATTGCCCTGATAATTTCCATCCATAAAACTATTGAAAGCGATACTGATCAGAAAACGAGCGTGGTAGGACATCAATGTTGCCAAGATTCAAATGAGAGCCATGAAATTTCATGAGCTTGATCCGGCTGTCTGACAAAGCTGCTATACGCCGTGAATCACGAATCACTGTGAGATGCGAGTGATAGGACATGTGCAACCAGACTTGGATTATTCCTAGCATGCAAGAAAGACATTTCTCAATTTGAGCTACAGGTCTTGATGCAATGACGATATTTTACACCCTGCGTCCATTTGGGAACTGCGTAGTTTCCACAGTTGTACACTTGACTTGCCCAATAAAGAAGGTTCAGAACATACTAGTCTACTGGATTAGTCGCTCTGATCCAGCTTGATTCCCTCACGATATCAATAACCAAGCTTTCCAATGCGCCTAAATGTTTCGATGATTGCGACATTCTTTTGCCCTATCGCTTTGATTAAACTATGGTTTCGGGACTAGTATTGAGCCGTATTGCATCGACCAGCGGAGTGAATGATTGAAGAATGTGAAATATCATCTGGCATGTGTCCTGTCTGGAGCTTTTGGGTAAACTATATTGTTTTTGGATACTCAGGGTGTTCACGCCGCACCTGACAGGCCACAAATCAGAGAGAAACAGGATTTGATGTAAAGGATGAGCTAGGCATATTATCATTCTAAAATGGCTATTTCTAGGCACCCAAAAGCTCATAAAATGATTACCTGCGTCAGTTTTGTTTTTATATCCTATCTTCCATGATCAGAGGTCTATGATGGTAGAATAATGATGCTCGGAATATACTATCATTTGTCTGTCAGTAGCATGAGTAAATCACTCTGTTGGTGTACGTGTGTCCTGCTAAATCTATTAATAGCGATTCTGCCACATTCTTAAGATTTCAAGTCTTGCCTGTACTCGATAGATAACACATATCAGGTAGAATTAAGTAATGGATGGAGGAGACTTGACGATGGTAATAGATAGATTCACGAGGCAGCGCTGTGGAACCAATTAATACTTATCTTAGATTTAAATAAGACGCGCAACAAAAGTATATATACAAGCATCTTAAAACTCATAAGTCTTCTATTCCAGCCTAATTGGTTCAAAAATTGAACATGCGCGTCGGGTTGAACACTCTAGAAGCTATTAATTCTTCTGTTGCTGTCCCAGCATCTCGCAATCTAAAATTAATCAATTAAGCTCTTAGCCACGCATCAAGGGAAATGTTTAAGCGAATGAAAAAAGTAGATTCGAAATATATGCAGAGTGGGAATCTCTAAACGAGATAACATGACGAACGAGAAGCACCAGAAAGAGGTCCTACAGAGAAACTTGCGTCCTTACTACTAGATATGTGTGTAATAAATCTGAAGTTTAGCCTTAAAAAGCTATATTTTGGCAAGACTTTAAGTCTGAAGTCTGTCTAATGGTAGCAGCTAAAGGAATCTCCTTGATATCGATTTCTTTGCGCTCAGCCATGGCTTCGGCGTAACCCACGCTAATGACATGACCCCTGTTCACGTAGGAGAATTTCAAGCCATTATCCAACTTTTTTTCAAGAGTGCCTCTAAAATCGCTTTCAAATCTTACTGTTTTGCTCTAGGCAGTACAGCGAACAGCTCTCCTGGGTAGAAGCATAACCGCGCCGCCTGCGGGCCAACTAGGCAAAGTTTCTAGAAACACATCTTCTAACAGCACTCTAAAGTAGCACAGACATAAAAAGCAGAGATAGACGCTAGTATGTAATCTTATTAATTGTCATCGCATTAAACTTACAACAAGTCAACCAAGCTGTTACTACATTGTGAATCTAAGGTCTGCCCTACAAACAGGCACTGATAGACTACCTTGCAATGTAATAGTAAAAGTGAGAATGAATATAATAGTGAAAGTGATAATGAATGTAATAGTAAAAGTAAGAATAAATGTAATAGTAAAAGTAAAAATAAATGTAATAGTAGAAATAAAAATAAGAGCAAAAATAAAAGCAAAATAAAAGCAAAAATAAAAGCACAAACAAAGGCAATAGTAATCCTGTTACTTGTAAAATCTTTCTACGGTGTAGTAGAAAGCCTTTCTTATAAGAGACTTTAAATGCGCATAATGTGCGTGTTAGGCGTGAGATCAAGCAGGTTCTACAACTTGTCCTCTTTATATGAAGATTATACCCTATAATTGCTCTAGTGTTTTTTTCAATTTTGGGTAGGTACCAAGGCTGCTTGTTGTTTAGGGTTAATCTCAATGTAGTCCTGTTTTTCGTGTCATATATGTTCTGTTTGCGAAACATACTCTCTTGTCTGTCGTCAATTCTAATTTACGTATGTATGTTCTGTATTTGCCACGTCGTGCAAGAGTCTAGGCTTTACCGGGCTGTATAATTTCCATTGTTTTTCGATCGAAGCCTCTTTGTATACCTTGAAACTATACGTATAACTGAAAAGCTACGATATGTACAAGCCCGACGTTTTATTACTGTTCAACATTGATGAAATGAACTAATCCCTTCCACTAGTCCCCTTAAGAGTACTAATTCATCATGCTGATATCGATGCAATACCAATTACCCGCTCCACACCTCCGGGCCAGGCGGCTTGTAATTCTCCAAGCCCTCATTGTAATCGACACCGTCTTCGTAATTGATGCCCGGGTCCAAAACATTATAGGCTTCTGGAAGCTTCACCGAGGGACCAGGGGAACCTATCATTTTGATGTCTTCGTTAGCGGTTTTCCCGTGTATGCGTGTGAAAAGTCGACAGAGGGCAACTGCCCGAAATGAAAGACGGGGAGAAAACTAACCTCCGCCGCTTCCGATAATGTTGACGTGCGCACAATTGGTATACCACTGGCTATGCCCTGGCCAGTCCTTGATAGGGAAGGGCAATTCTAGACGGAGAAGATCTGTAATTGCGTTAGCGTCGTTCACTCATTTACTTTTGATGACAGCGCGCATCCGCGCAGCAGGAAAAGAAAATCGGAAGAAAAGAAAAATCGTTACTCACAAGTCCCCGGCGGTGTCGACTCCGGCATATCGAAAAACAACTCCGTAGCCCGGTCGGTGCTCCAAGTCGTACTGCTATTCGGCCCCTGATACCCAATCTTGACCCACTCCCCATCCCCCAAATCCGTGCTTAAATCCTCGCTCTTACTCAACCACAACTGCGCGGGTCCCGGATGAAAAATGCCGAAGTTGTAGCTGTCGTCGATATAAGTCTTGATTGCGAAGCCGACTTCGCTGCCGGCGAGGATATCGGCGGTGAGTGTTTTGGACGCTGCGAGGTGTGCGGAGCGTCCGCAGCGGATGTCGGTCACGTAGGATGTGTCGAATGCGCCGTAGACGGGGGCTTCTTTGCCATTGTAAGCGTTGACTGGGTCGGGGTAGTCGGAGGTTGAGTTGGCTGGGAGGACGTCGCTGGTGGTGGGGGTTGTTAGGATAAATTTGGTTTGGGGGCATTGTTTTGGTTTGCTGGGGAAGGGAACGTACCGGACATATTTGAATTCTGGAGTTTTGGTGCCGTTTACGATTAGGTGGGGGAAGTAATCTGATTGATGGTCAGTTTGGGGGTAGGCGAGGAGGAGGTGTGGTGATTACAGTGAGCAGATGCAGTCTGAAGCGACGCGGCGAGTGCGATGAGAGAAGTTGACGCCCTCATGTTGGTGATTGAGGAGCTTAGACGAACTTATTAGAGTGCAGGTTGATGAAAGCTGATGAGGTGGGCAGTTTGATAGCGTTTCCAGGAGCCTTTATATGTTCTGTTGCCATAGCCCTCGCAGCATTCTCAAGAAGGATCGAAACTATCTTGCAGATATCACACGATTCAGTCTATTCAACCGATTCCAAGCCCTCCATTCTCGCTGTTGCCGTGACTATAGTGTGCCGTGATATCCTGTCTGACTATATTGATCTCTAGGAGTTGATGCAGAATCTACGTTGTCTACGTAACGAGGCAGACTTTCGGCACGTACATCCTGCCTCTCATCACATCGAAGTAGAAAAGGCATATACGCATTGGGAAATAAAGTAATGTACTACATTCAAATCGAGTACGCACCTCGTTCAAAGCTGCCTTTCTAAGCGAATGATCATCACACGATCCTACTTTTAGTCGGGATCCATCACGATAGCAGGAAGGAATTGGTGCGTGCAGTACGCTAAATCGACGACGACCTTCGCGAGTATGGTTTACACACTTTGTCTGTACACCAAAGTTGTAGTTCCTGCTCTTCACCCAGTTACAAAGAAACATTTGTAGCCGAATTTTCCCTTGCATCTTGTAAACCTTTTTGATCAATTTTGTAGAATTCAAACCGCAAGACGAGAAAGCAATGATAATCTTCATGGAAAGAGCTCGCACCCACCACAACATTCGCAGAACCAAAAGAAGAAAAACACAACAATGCATCTTCACCTCTCCTTAATTCACTGCCGTTTCCGTATACCCACAAAACAAACGCAGGAAAACGTATATGCTGTGTGGCGGAGCAAGCACTCTTCCGCGATGGTGCGATCCTTCGCTCAACGTAATTACCCGGTCGAAACGTAGGTAGACTCTTAACGAAACTACCCGAGCAAGCGAGTAAGGCGCAGCTGCACAGCCTAGGAAAAAGAGCAAGGGAGCAAGGAAAGGTTGTATTGCTAGATAGAATCGAATTGTTTGCCAATGTTGCGTGGGTGACGATAGGCATGCACTAGATTTATGTGCATGTGTTCGTGGTGCTATGCAACAAAAATGGATTTCGAAAGAGTGAATGGGATAGATAGGTAGTGAGTTGCTTTTGGTTTAATGAAGGAAAAGTCGAGAAAAGACAGGAGAATATAGCTAAACACGATGTGGTGACCAAGAAAAAAACCTCCCGCTTGATGTCTCGAAATGAATACCACCGCTTCAAACCCCAGCCCCGACCTCTGATGCGCCATTCTTTTTTCACGTTACAAACCAAAAAATTGGAAAGGCTAAGGTGTGTACACAGGCAACGCAGTAACATCGTCGTCACCACCGTCACCATCGTCTTCGCCGCCGCCCAACCACTCGTCGTCCCCTCTCGCACCGCGAACGGGAAGACTCGCATCCCACTCTGACTGACCCTGAACAGCCGGCGCGCTCCACGTTGGTACTCTATTCGAATTGACGGACGAGATGTCTAGGTTCTGGGGCTTCGCTTTGCCTGAAAATACCGCAATGCGTTAGTCAACATTCACCATGAATCACGAATAACAGTCCCCCCCCCCAAAAAAACAAGAAAGAGGGAAGCAAGAAGAATTGAAATATCCAGAAGACGTAGTATACGGGGGGAGACATACCAGTTTTCCCCAAAACCCTAGGGAAAGCACTAAGCGCCCACTCCTCCCCCGTTTCCAACCTCACGACTCCATGCACAACCGCATCGACATCCCACACGGGTAAGAGCAGTTTCAGAACTGGAAAAACGCCGCGATGCACCATTGAGTCGAGGGTGTGGTTGGAGATGGGGAAGGAATGGCGTTGGTGTGGATGTTGGGAGGATAGTAACGGCTGTTGATTGGATGTCGAGGATTCTTCCCAGAAGACGAATTCGCTGGCACGGAAGGGGCCGGTGCGTAGGAGGGTGCCGAGAGAGGAGAGGGAGGGGGTGTGGTTGAGGAGGCGTGTGTAGAGGCGGACTGTGAGGATTGGGGGTTAGCGAGGTTTTATACATGCGGGAATGGGGTGATGGGGGGGCTAGTAAAAGGAAAGGAGGAGTTGTATAATTACTTGGAATAAGATACTCCCCGGCAGCAGATTCTTGAATTGCAGCGTCGGACTCGGCGTAGAAGAGCGTTGCGAAGAGTTGGTTTACGATTTTCCGAATCACCACTGTATCGGTTGCACTCTGGATAAGAGATTGCAGTGATGTTATGCTAGATACGTTGTCCAGTGACGGTGGACTATCAAGCGCCGGATCAAGGCTTATAAAATTCGGACGAGGGTAGTGCGCTGATACATCGCCTGAATGCTCGGTGAAGACAGACCGAGTGTCGTCGGGTATTGTTTGTGGTAGCGGCGGCTGCTTTGACCTCTCCGAATTTCTAGATTGCGAGGTACTGGTGCTGATGATGGATGGTGCTGCTGTTTGCTTTCGCGTGCGGCCACAGCTGATGGAGAGGAGGATGTCTGGAAAGTCATTTGGGAGACCGTTGTAGATGGATTGACACTCATTTTGGGCTACTTCGAGCAGAAAGCGTTCTGTCATATCTTTCTTGAAGAATAGGTGGCCAAGGCGGGCATCAAGAAAGGGTTTGAACAGTTCGGTGTGCGCCATAGATGCCCTCGCACTATTGTAATCATCATAAGTGAATGGATTCTCCATGGGAGGAAGCAATCGCTTGGACTTACATATCTGAGACTTTTGGCTGAGAAGCGTAGTCAGTGACGGGATATAATGTATACGGCACTTTCGAAGTTAGTTGCGCATCTTGCGATAGATCAGGCTACTCATAACTCACAAGTAGGAGAGGCTTTTCGCCGATAGTTCGAGAACAATATCTTTCTTCCTGTGGTCGAGGACGAAAGAACAGCGACCTTTGAAGATCTCTGCATCGGATCTTCTGATGGCGGCAAATCTACGATACGCTGTTCGGGAAAGACAGCAGCAAGACAATCGTCTAACGCTTTCGCACGATATTTCGCTTGTGAGCCTGCACAGACAGGAAGTTTAGTTAGCAACAAGGAATCAAAGACAACGTCACAAAAGCACAGTCCTGAATACGTACCTCTGAATTGAAACGTGGGAAATCTGTGTACGTTGGCAGGTGTAAACGTCTTCGCGAAAATATCGCGCAAGTGTCGCTCGCAGTCGTCCAGGGTCCAGCCCCGTGAGTTCAGACCAAGAGCCAAAACACCACCAGTCCTGCAAGATGTTAGTGTTTGATGGTATATTTTCATGGGTATGCATTCGAGACTTACCCTTCTCCGATGATCATATCAAACAACGACTGTATCGGAATCCTTCCATCGAACTCTTTCTCTATCAATTTCAATACCTCGATCTGAATGATACTTCGAACACCTCCACTACACAAAAGTTAGATTTGATTGACGATATGAAGAGCTTCGGGACCAATCATACTTGTGGAGTGCAAGCACCCGTACACCCGCCGACTCCGGTCTCGTATATACGATATGCGGTTGAGTTTGTATCTTCTGATTGATCTCCAGCGGGCATTCCAGAATTTCGACCAAAGCATGCGCTTTTCGATGCCCATAAGCCTCTACACAATCCCTGCAAAGCATGTGTCCGCATGGCAAAAGTGCCTCCGGCAGTCCAAACAAACAACAGATGCAGAACACGGTGTGCTGCAGACCAACAGGTTCATTGCCATCACTTGATGGGTAAAACGCCGACAGTGCATCTGTCCGATGAAGAACAGCTGCAGCTTTGAGTTGGTCGACACCTTCGCGTGCAAGCCGTGATAACTTGTTCATGGATTCGTGAAACGTGACGAAAATATCGTCAAGAATCTGTTTTCTATGTTCTTCGAAGAAAAACGATGATTCGTACGCGCCTCTGGCGAAAACTCTTCCGTCTGATAATTGGTGTCTGATCTTGGGTATTAGTATCGATTGCTTGAAGGTTCGGAACGAAACGACACCCAAGGAAAAAGTGGTGTGGCACTCACCCTTTCGCGTGGTGCCCACTTCGTGAGTTTTGGCAACGCATTATCACGCCCACGGCATGCATACTCTGCTGAAATTGAAGATTGCTGAGATGAGTCTGGAGGTGCGGCGGGACTGCGCCTTTGACGTAGAACTCGCAGGGCCAATACCGATCGCCGAATTCGAGGAGCGCAGCGTCGATTTGGGGGACGTACTGCGCGAAGATGCGCTCCGCAGTGCCTATAGACGTTTAGTCTTGGTCTTCGGGAGGATGTGCAGAAGCACCTTTGAGATTGCTACGCATAACGTCCAGCGTCATGCAAGATGCTATCAAGTGGCCCAACTTCTGGAAGATGCTTGATGCTTTGGGTCGCGGTTTCTTCGTTGCCATTGATCTTGCTAATGCGAGGATACTTTCGCCGAAAGTGGTGGATAGGTGGCTGGTGAGATACGAGCATTGCACGAAGTCGAAAGGAGTATCCAAAGTCGAACAGAAGTGATCGAAAGCGTGATGACTGGCGGTTTTCAGTTGTCATAGTACAATAGATAATTTGAGGCGTTGAACGTACAGGTATGCTTGAAGTTCAAAAGCATTGAGCAACATTCGGGTTTGCGCTTTCATATTTCTTGCAAGCCGGCAAGCGCGCTCAATCTCGGCGTAGAGCTGTAAAGCTTGCTGCTCGACCAGTATTGGGCGACCGTTCGTAGGGAGTCTGATCACCTGGAAATACATCAGTGATCACAAACGAGTGTGGAAACGGTAGAGGCAGGAAGTGATACCTTGACTGCGCTGTAATAACACATCATCAAATCTTCTATATTGTTGATGACCTTCCCGCGCTTTCTCCAAAGCTCCGCATACTTCGAGAAACTAGCGTTCTTATCCACAGTATCCGCCAACGATGCTAGAAGGAGTGATGTAGACGTCTCAATGTCCCACAGTCTTGGATCAATGTCAAGCTCTGTCGCATTCAAAGCCACGATGGCGTATGGGAGCAAAGGCTGGTTGTACGTCGTCTCAATTGCGACCGACCCCCATTCAAGCAATCGTTCAAGTACGCCTTCAATCGACCTAAGCATGATTAGTGACAGTGGAATACTGACCCCGGATGACAAACTACCTCGGATTTCTATGCACAAAGACGACTACGTCCGAAAAGGCGAACAATATCCGGGGATACAGCTGGCTGGCCGCAAACTGCCTCGTCTGCTTGACCTTGCTGTCGTCCATCCAGGCGACCTCCCGCTCGGTGAAGCTTCGCGCGGTAGCAGAGTAATCCGACTCGGAGCCCAGAGATTCCATCTCTTCCTTTTCCCGCATCTTGCGCAGGTTCGCGGCAATGGGATCGCGCTCACCTCCATCGATGCCTTCGGAGTCGGCAAAAAGAAGAGGATGACTAGAGCCTGCGGTCAAGGGGTCCGCATAGAGATGGACATCCTCGGATGTTGGCAAGTCTCGCCCGGTGAGTCCGGGAACTGGTGAATGAAATTGTTCCCCCGGGCCAGATCGTTGATGCAGCTGTACGAGAAGTTTGATGAGGGTGCTCTTCCCCGCTCCCGTTTGACCGACAAAGGAGACTAAACTGGGGATCTTATTTGTGACGGCCTGACTCCCCGTAGATAGAGCGGCAGAGAATCTGCCGTGATCGCGAAACATAAAAGAGGGCTCGTCTTTGAACTCGCGCTCTAGGCCAAACCAGGTCGTTATTTCATCCTCTTTGTGAAGCCGCTTCAGGGTCCGCTCATCACCGGCGCACGCAAAAACCGTCTGGACGCGATTCGCAACGATCAAGTTGGTCTTCTCGTGTGGGATTTGGCCCGGCGCGAGACGCTTGCGACGGTGGGCGGGCTGGGTATCCCAACATGCGGAGCAGAGATTGACGGCGCAGGCATTGCAATAGTAGTCGGACAAGACTTCTTCGCAGTCCTCGCAATAATCCGAGTCGAGCAAGTCGTCTAGAACGGCGGCTTGCGATGCATGCGTCTTCGGTTGGCGGCCCACCTCGTTCGGAGGAGCAGCCATGTTCAGTTGAGCGAAACCCCACCGTCTTCGTTAGGCAGGTATCGTGGGGGCCAGGGGTGAGGGAAGCGTGGGGATGAGATAGACGCAAACGAGGTCGCTGGCGCTTAGAAGCGCCCGGTCATCTTACGAGATTATGCTGTGCTCTCTGGTGCCCGAGAGGAATTGATGTCGTATGTAAGCTGTTGAACAGAATGGATCGAGGTTTCTTGCACGCATCCTGCTGTCGACTATATCTAACGGGCGAAGAAAACAAGAATAGTTCGGAGGAACGGTCAGAATTTAGCTGATTTGACCGAGCCCTTATCTTGAACCAGGGGTTTGTGGTGGTGATTTGAGCAGAATCATCTCTCTCCTACCGACCTACCGTATCTGCAAGGGCGGCCGGCAGACTGACCTATGTGCGTGTGCACAGAATGAGCCAACACTCGACCGTTTCTGTTGCTCGTGAGGCATTCTCCATCCATGTATCATTGCAGGCGGTATGCGGCACTCTCCGACAGTTAGTCAAAGGGTGCAAGCGGTTTGGGCTTCGTAGGGCTTGCCCATGTCCAAGGGGAAAGGATGGGCACCCCCACACAACACCAAGCTTGGCTTGGACCCTGCACATCACCTCACTAACTGCAAAGACATCTGCGCCATCACCTTGGGCAACACCGCTGCCGATCCCGCAACATGCTTTTCCTTGGTGAATCATTCATTCCCATTATCATTGTCTTACTTTAGGGCTACCTGTCGCTGGGTATCTACCTAGTTTGATGAACGCCTTCCTGACCGTGCATCATGTCATTGCCCATCCTGGACTCCATCATATATTACCACGGGATATTCGAACACATTCGAGTCGCCGCGTTGCAAGCGCGAAGCTCTAGTCCAAAGGTACTCCTAGAGTACCATGCTTTTCCGCGTTCCACGGCGTGTTGAAGCACTTGAAGTGCGTGATCTGGCTGTCCATGCTTGACCAAAGCTTGGGCCAATCCTGCGTGATGCGGAAATGCTCATGGATATTAATGTTGCAGTCGACAACGTTGTTCTTGAAAGCCGCGCACCAAATCGCACAGTCGCCCTTCTTGATCGAGGAAATTGACGCGTCGCCTGGAAGGTAGGCGCAATACCCGTCTGGCAAATTCATCTGGTCCTCGTCTTGGTACCAATACCACTTTCCACGGAAGTTTGGCTCGGGGAATAGCTTGATGCATTGCTTGCCACCTTGGGGGCCCGATTCGGTCTATCTTTCGAATCAGTATGGCGAATCATACATGTTTGCGCGCATAACGAATACGTACCTCGTTGAATAGCGATGCGGGCCCCGAAGTCGGTGGAGGGTCGGTGTGCTTGCGGACCAGCTCAACTTTTTCTGCAACTTGCGGCTCGCTGGTGTCGCCGAGTGTTTCCTGGGCCGGGATTTGGATCATTCCAGATTCCGATTCGAGCAGTGCTTGACTACCATGGACTTTGAAGCACTTAACGCTGTTGATCATATCTTCCCATACATATCCGACATAGTCCTGCGTTCTAGTGAATTCGACATAAGTTTGCTGGATCCCCTGGTTGCACCTGACCGACGCGTAGAACGCACAGTAATGCTGCCCGATGGAGTGGTACTGAATCGAAGAGATACCAAACCCATAGCTGGGTAAGATTAGCAGACGTTCCAGATCGATTGACACATGAAGGACGTACGGGATTTCTAAACATTCTTGTGCATCCAACATGGAGCGGGTGTAGATCTTGTACCAGCCTCGAAGATGGGCATTTTGATATAGTTCCATCTAGGGATCATGTCAGGAAAAGATTTTCGAGAATACTGCATGCACTCACAGCCTGATCCTGGGGGCCACTAGCGAGAGACTGGCGTTTATCCCAATGGAAGCCATCGCTACGCCAGTAACAAGCCACCGTTCGAAGACGGTTGTCCCCTGCTGTATATTAGCTGACATGCCCCGAAAGTGTAGGAGAGAAACTCACAGCCAATGTTACGCAAGTCAGCCACATCATCACCAACCCAATTATGGTATCCGACATCACGGTCGCAGTTATCATTCCTGCTAGTGTGTTAGTTTTCAAGCGCTTTCCGATGACGGCTTCAACATACTCGTATATGTAGCAAGAGAAGCCGCGCCCGCCGTAATTCTCCTTTTCAAACTTGATGGCGGAGATGGTATTGTCACTGGAGAGAGCTGTCAGCAAAATTCCCAAGCATTGAGTGAGTGCATGTTTATTACGGGACCCGGGTGCACTGCGAAGAAGTCGGGGTGTCTCCCATCTCGCGAGGCTCGATACCCCAGACCTTGCCCTTGTAGTTAGGATGCTCATAGACGGTGGCGATACAGCCATGACGGACGGGATCATCGCCGTCGTTAGCTGCCTTGACTTCGCCTTCGATGCCGTGCGACAAAAGAGTCGCGTTGACGACTATCGTGGCCGGCACGGCAGGCTCCTTGACGAGGACTTTCCCAGCGCGGTGCGGGACCGCTGCAGCGAGAGCCACCCACCAGGCCAGGGCCAAAGTGAAAATGAGAGTCATCGTGTTTAGATCTTTCTATAGAGCAGAGGATATTGATATTAGCTGGGTTCCGCAAAAGAAGGTGGCTGATGGGGAGTGTGAAAGGCCCGTGTGGAGGGGTGAGGAGGAAAGAGCAGAAATCGAATGGAGAAGGAGCGGCCTCAAGTACGGGCAAACCACGCTAAGCGCGACTACCTAACTACCTAAGCAACTACCTAAACAGGCGGTCAGGAAGAAGGGCTATTCAAGGTGAAGTCGTCTGCATCCTAACGTTGTTGCTTGTGTGACCGGCCGTCACCATTTGTTCACTGGGCTACTCGATACTTCACACGGAAGCGGCCCACACCGGCCGCCAATCAAAGGAGCGGCTTTTCAAATCTTGAATCCAAAGATGTGGATGAAGATTTCTCCAATGGTGTTGGACATACCCGACGTTCCTCGGCCGTACTACCATACGCCATCCGATTGCGTATAGGGAGTTGACTAGACGCGGCCCACGCTATCCAACGGTTCAAAAACCATACAAAAACCATGCGTCGAACGGTTGTTTTAATCCGGACTAAACCTAAGTATAACCAGCGAGGTTGATAACTGCAAGAGATTTTACTGTCAGAATCGTATATGTCTGATGTAAATTGTACGAAAGTGGGCACCATCAGAACATGATTTTTCAGACACGGAAAGCATCGGGACTAACAACAAGTGTACATATGTGAGCACAGTCATGGGTACAAATAACGCTAGCGGGATAAAGTTATATATCGAAACAGTCGATGTGGATAGAAGGCCTGCAATACACCACTTCGCCAATAAGGACTCCGTTTCATATTGAGCTTCCCTCACTTGGAGCGATGCCAAACCAGATGACGGGCAAAATCGAGACGGGGGATTGGGTTTTGTCATTATTATAGTAAATCTATATCTATGGTATATACTTTGAAAGTCATCCAAAACGCCTGCCTTGCTTGTAGTGTACACACCGCTCATGCTCCTGATATTACTGCAGTTCCTGTTTCATCTTCACTACAACCTGAGCCACCGTAGTGAAAATGCGTACCAGTGCCTCATCTTCAATCACTCCAAACAATCTAGGGACCCTATCCGTATGCCATTTCATGCATTCTGCCTTCATGTATTGAAGCTTCGTCGCCGCATTTGCGTCCTGGGGCACTGCTTTTTTGAAGAACTCTTCCACCGAAGTATCGGAAACGTCTTTGTAGTCACCAGACTTGACGGGCCAGGGTATGACAGCACGCAGGTGTTCCTTTTCAGTGTGTTAGTAAGCGTGCACTGTTAGACCGCTGGATTCACATACTGAGGTGCCTTTTGCGCCATTTTCTGGGTGAGGATTAGCTTTTTTATTCAATGTGAGGCTTTGGATTGGTTGGTACTCACTCTTGATCTCCTCCCACCGTGACACGTACGGTATCCATAGTTTGCTCCATTCTTGCTTCTCTTTCTCGGCTTGCAGTCTTGCCTTTTCTTCGCGCTCTTTTCGCACCTGCTCGCCTTTCAAGCGAATTCGTTCTTTTCTCTCTTCTCGCTCTCGTGCCTCTTCCCTTCTAGCTTCTTGCTCATCCTTTTTACGCTGTATCTCTTCCTCTTCTCGTTTCTTCTGTCGCTCTTCTTCCTCGCGCTTCTTGCGCTGGCGTTCTTTTTCATCGCGTTCCTGTTGCCTCTGCTCTTCCTCACGCTTCCTGCGTAGGTTCTGTTCCTCGCGTGCTTTGCGCTGAATCTCTTCCTGGCGCTTCCTTCGTTGTTCCTCTTCTTGCATCTTCTTCACGCGCTCTTGGTAATGGCAGCTTTGCTCTGGTTCTTGCCATTTGGTGTGGAACGTTTCGTCCTCGGAAAATGTCGGGAAGTGTTGTCTCGGGGATTGCCCACTGCTGCGCGAGATCTTTGAAGCCAACAATTGTGCTTCTCTGATCAAGCGTTGGAGCTCTTGAATTGATTCCTGCATGTCCGGTTCCTTTTGCGCGCGTATCTGCTTCGTCCACGTCCGAACCATATTTTCATTCTGGCCCTGATGATATCTCACACATAGTGTAAGTCCCGCTAGCTGACGGAGCTGCGCGCTGATATCTGTTGTGGAAACGTCGATGTATGAAAGAGATTCTAGAAGCCGATGAGCTGATGCTCGGTTCGCCTGGTTGATGGGATTTTGGCATCGTCGTCTGCAGCTTGGTGCGTATCCGACACAGGTCATATGCCCTCTTGCAGGATTGATGATTTCTAAATCAGCGGTCGGATCCCAATGTTTCTTCGTAGAGTAGGAATCCGCGAAAGAGCCGTAGAAAGGGGCGGTTCTGATGCCCATTTTGCGAAAAGCCTGTGATTTGTTGGATTAGACGGACGAAGGGCTTTCTGATAGGCTGCTGGGAAAGGTGGGGGCGTGAATGGGTGTAGGAGTTCTGAATACACAACAGCCCACACAACCTATTCACGGTAATAAACCAACAGTAAACAACACACTTCTTAAGTCTTGAGAGAGATTGAACACATGAAGCTCAACAATGATCTGTTTCCGACAACTCATCTCTGGATTCACAGCCGTAGATATATTCCAACCTTCTCCAAGTATCCCCCGCTCGTACTCGACGCATGAACAGCTACGCCGCAATTCTCCGGGTATAACAGCATCAGCCACTAGATAACCAAACACCTGCACACGCATGATATATTAGCACAGCCTCAAGAGCCAATAGCACCGATCAAATAGTTGGATGTGGTTCGTTGGCCATGCTACACTGATGCACACCCCTGCAGCGAGTATACCCTGTCTTACACCATAAACGTTTTGGCTGTTCTCGATTCTGTAGAGTATGCATGCAGCAGTCTGCAGTATCCCACAATGCCCTGTCCAGAATATGGCGTTACGCTGGGATGCACAGCCTTTCACACCTTGTCAAACAATAGTTCGTGTTGAATCATGAGCGTGCCCATGGTGTTGCTTGATTTATCTGATTGGGTGGAAGCTCAGACGTACCCTGGTACCTTCTGTATCAGAGGGCGGACTTGGAAAGCCCGGGTACCTTTCCACCGGGTTTATCGTGTCACTACAGTTCGGTGTTAAGACGACTTTGTTCTCGAATTTGGTCCATGATCCGGTATAAGTACAAGGATACACGGCGAAACAGCGTGATCGCGAGAGACGTAGGGAAGCACCAATTCAGGAAGGGTATATTTATAGACGAAGGTTTTCTGTTACATCCAATGAACTGCTTTCCTGCGAGGAAGCCCAAGTGAATTCATTGTTCAACCCCTTGTTTGCGGTCTTCACGCAAGATGCCGTTGGATTATGTGTGATCGTTGGTTGCTGATCATCTGCTTTGCTGTAAAGTCTTTGTAAGATTCTTATCTTTGGCCATATGTCTGCCCTAGCATTTTCTATGAATCGATATAAATATCTTTGGATGCCAGGGTTGAGAGTGGGGATACCATGCTTCAGGAGAACGACACCGAAATGAATCGTTTCTTTTACGGAAGCTATATCATCACATAGTCATAATATGACAATCTTGAATAAACTAGAATAGAATGAGCAACGATCAGTAGAGATAGAAGACGATACCTTCGATGAATGTCACGACTGTTTGTGTGGATTATGTGCGATTTATTGTACTTACGTTAATCGTATACCTTGTATCCTTTTTCTTATTTCCCAAGCGGGAAAATCGTAATGACTGCTCAAAAAAATAACTGTTTTTTTTCTTTTTTTGAAAATCGTGTTGAATGCTGTGGGTTTCGGCACGGAGTTCCAGATGGCATGTCAGAACTTTACCGGTCACCGCGAGCCAAAGATGCCACAGCTCCTCCTAGTCAAACTGACCATGGCAAAGGTAATATGCCAATTGGACATTGCCATGCTGAAGTTTTCAGATCAATTGACATATAGTCCACATTCGGACTTCGCTCGCTCTCCCCAGGTCTGTCCCTGCCAAGATGGAACCGCGGCGTGTCACAACGGAGTTTAAACCGATTGGGCAACGCTAACCCCGGATCCAGCGACCAAGTGCCGTCATGACGACACATAAATTAGCAAAAAGCTTCATCAATTCACAAATGCCAATAATTTGGTCATTGAAAAATCTGAAGCTTGGTACTCCCTCGTCATGCTTTCGCAGTTCTTGGGGGATCTTCTCTCTCCCTCTCTCTACACTAACAGCACCAGGGCCCGACAAAACCAACCATGCCCGCTCAATCGTATGCCGTCGGGGCTCCTTCAACAATGGATATGCAAAAACGTCTGAAGCATTTCACGTGGTCCTGGTTCGAATGTACAATGTCCACCGGGGCCTTGGCCACGCTCCTTGGCCAGCAACCATTCAGCTTCACCGGATTGAAGACCATCGGGAAGGTCTTCTTCATACTCGACCTTGTTCTTTTCATCACCTTCAGCTGTTTGATAACATACCGTTTCGTCCGTTACCGAGGATCCTTCACCAAGAGCTTCCACCACCCTCATGAAAGCTTCTATTTTGGCACATTCTGGGTCAGCATAGCATTGATACTGTATTGCATTCAATTGTACGGCGTGCCGAGTACCGGGCCTTGGCTAGTCAAGACATTGGAGGTGTGTTTCTGGGGATATGCCGCGCTGGTTATGCTAGTTGCAGTATTCCAGTACCATGTCATCTTCGACCTGGAGAACCTGCCCGTCATTGAAGCAATGCCCGCATGGATTCTTCCCGTATACCCGTTTCTGGTTCTGGGCCCGCTCGCTGCGGTGTTGGAATACAACCAACCACAAGCCAGCGCATTGCCAATAATGATAGGAGGCTTGTGTTTCCAAGGACTAGGCTGGAGCGTGGCGTTTATTATGTTGACTATATATGTCACAAGGCTTATCAACAGCGAGCTTCCCGGCACTTCAAAACGCCCAGGAATGTTTGTCGCAGTAGGGCCAGCAGGTACATTATCCCACCCCAATATTTTTCGAGTAATTCACTAAGAACACGCAGCATACACATCCAACACACTTGTCGCTCTTGGGAACCAGGCACCCAAGGTCTTACCCGAAGGATTCTTGGGCATCTCTTCATTCTCGACCGGAGAGGTCTGGAAAGCCATTGGTGTTCCCGCCGGCATCTTCGTCTGGCTTCTCTCCTTCTGGTTTTGCGCTTTATCGACAGTCTCCGTGTTATGGGTAGCTAAAGACATGCAGTTTAGTATGAACTGGTGGGCGTTCATCTTCCCGAATGTGGGGCTCACCATAGCGCTCATTCAAATCGGCAATGTGTTGGACAGCGAAGGAATAAAGGCTGTGTGCTCAGCAATGACAGTTGTACTGTTTGTGCTGTGGTTTTTCGTGGCGGGCATGAATGTACGAGCCGTTGTCAGAAACGAGATTCTGTGGCCTGGCAAAGACGAAGATATGGAAGATGTTGAAGGGCACGGATACGAGGAAGAGGAGAGCGAGTAGAGATCGAACTGAAATTGGTTTAGGGAGAAACTGGATCTAAGATCAAGATCTTGACTCGACGGTTGTATGGTCACTCTCTTCGGCATGTTGTTGGCACATCAGGCAACAGCATTGCACTCCCTACCATTGCATATTACAGTCAATGTGCACATCGCTATCTCATCATCCTCCACACCAGATCCCAGGGACTACAGAAAGGTGTCTCGACGTCCTGGATACTTTCTTCCCGCACTACACACCAGAAAAACATTGATCGATATCGATAGCTGCACCCAAAACCGTAGCACATGGCGATTTCGCAATAAAAACAACTGCACATAAGAATCTACTACGATGGCTTTCCTGAATATCTTCGAATTCGAACTTGTAATATCATTGGATTCGGGGTATTACTGCTGCCTATACTGCGAGTTGACGCGACTCTGGAGTCTGGGTCCGAGGCTGAGATGGTGTGAGATACTGTAACGCGTGTGGTATAGCCATGTCTTGAAGCGTCATTACGACCTCTGCAAGCAATGCGAGAAGAAGTTTTGCGGGAGTTGGTGGGGTACGGTGGGCGTTATATTCTGTTTAAGGTAAAAGGGGGGTCGCAACTGGAGATATTGTAGGATAGGAACAACTAGCGAACAGGGGCCGCAGTATACCGATCACCGTATAGAGCAAATATCCAAGAAAAAAAGCAGTCAAAACGCAAAATTTGTCGAGAAATGCAATTCCAGCCCATGCTGTGATGGAAACACACTCGACCGCACAATGAAGAATCTAAGCACTATGTACCCACTTCAACTCCCTCCCAACCCCCTTTTCCGCCTCCTTCTCACACTTCCCCGCAACCTGCACCCGAATCTCCGGCTTATTAACCAGCGTCTGCAGCACAACACAATACCTCTCAGTCAACTTTCCCAAACTCTCAATTTCGCTCCCCCCTACCTCCTCTCCATTCTCCTTTACCCCGAAAACCACATCAAACAAAAGCCGAATCCCCGTGATACCCACGGGCGCAGTCCGATCCACACCCAACGTCCCGCGGAAATCCAAGTCCCCTTCTGCGGTGACGGTACCGCTGAGGATCGGGATCTGGAGAGCAGTGGCTACGGCTTTGAGCGTGACACCTGAACATGCGACGAGCGCGTCTAGAAGCATGTCGCCAGAGCATAATTCACCAGAGATACCGGGGTCATCCCCACCAGCTTTGGGGTGTAGGCCGGCGATCCGCGAAGCTTCTTTTGCGGAGGCGCCTGTGGAGAGTTTGCAGGATATCGAGGTTGAGTCGAGGGAGCCGGTTGATTTTAGAGTGACAAGGGCTGTAGCGGGGTCGTTGCGGTAGCCTGCTTTTATGGGTGCTTGCTTCTCGCGGAGGGATTGCGATGCTGATGACATTTTCGTTTTTTTTTCTCTTGGGCGGGTGGTGACGATTGGCAGTAGTTTTTAGTGTAGAGATGGCGACGGTCGATTTAAGGTTCTTAGTCGATGTTGGTGGTTGGTTTACTTAAGTAGTCGTCCATCTGCGTACCCCGCAAAAGCTTTAGGGCGTGGACGTGGTCTAGGAGAGGCGGAGGCTCCACATCTTCGGCTGCAGGGCGAGAATCGTTCCACTGGCCCGAGGAGGCCACTATTAGATACGCCCGGGATTTAGTGTGTGGCTAAGGCATAGGTAATGGTTGTCTGACATTTTCAGCCTCAAGTATCTGGGATTCTCCCCAAAGTCACCATGTCCTGAATTGGACGGTGGCTCGGAAGTTCATTATATTTAATTTGCACATAATATGTCTCGAGTATATGAAGATGGGAGTGGGCAGAAGATAGCTAAATTCGATAGCACGGATATACCAGAACCCACTAATACAAACCCAACGTCTCCCCCACAACACTCTTGAAGATCCCTTTTGGATCAAACTCCTCCCTCACCGCTTTGAATCGCTCCAGATGCCCGCTGTCTAGTCTTCCCTTCTCCACCGTCCACCGAAACACCTCACGCGTATTCTTCGTCCAATGCGGACGACACGGAAACTCCGAAATCAGCGTCTCCGCCAATCTTCCATAGAACGCCTCATTAAACCTCTCGCCATCCCCCCAGCTGGGCTTGAAGGTCGGAAAATCGAACATTAGCGCGCCTTTGCTCCAATCCGCGCCATCTTCCGTGTCCGTCGCGACTTGTCCTAAGAGGTCATTGTACGGTTTCCCAAACTTGATGTTGATGCCGGAGCGGTAGGTTGATGTCATTATGATACCTTTTTTGAGCTCATCGTCGAAAGCACCGCGGACGCGTTTGAGGACTTCGTTGGCGATGGTGACGGGGAAGGCGAGTTCGAGGGTCTCGCCTCGCATGCCGAAGTCCCATTGCGTGGAGTAGCCTGGGTACAGGCCGCCGATGAGCACGTCGTAGTTCCAACCGTACACAGGCCATTTCGAGATCGCTTTGTCAGTGCGTTTGTCGCGGAAGTTGGGCGGTGACCAGAGGGAGAAAAAGAGGGTTTCGGCGGCCATGTTGGACGTTGCGAGAATTTTGCCTATGGGGGAGTGGGTCAGTTTATGGTAGAATGAGGAGGGTGGGATTTTGCATACCGGAGTTCAGCAATCCAGTGGCGATATCTGCTTCAGTTTTGGTGACACTGAAGGTAGATTGGAAACCTTCTTGGTCGGAGAAGCCGTCGGGAATCGGGTCATAGTAACGGAGGTGGAACTTTCGTAGGTACGGCCACCACCAAAAGTTTGCAGTCGCGTATGGCGAAATCATCCCATATATGTCGCCTTCAAGAACCTCCTTCTCAATGAGACTATAATATCAATCGGTTAGCCATTAATGTTATATCGTGACAGTCTTTGGAGACGACTCACGTGTCTTGCTTCGCATATACTTTGAAATCCGGATAGATCTTGAATTTCACTTTCACAATCACACCGAGTAGCCCAAGCGATGTCGAAGCAGCAAGCCAGTCATCTTGGTTAGACCTCTTAACGATACGCAGATTACCGCTACCGTCGATAATGTGGAGCTCGAGCGCGCCCGCAGCGACCATGCTATCCTCCCGCAGACTGCTTCGATGGGCTCCCATTGCAATACTTCCGGCCAAGGTAATGTTCCAATTGACAAGCGTATAGCCCATGCTAGCATTGTTCAGATGCAGGTACTCTGCGAGCTGGAAGAATGTAACTCCCGCTTCAATCATCACAGACCCATCTTGTGCGCCTTCAGGGAGGGAGAACTCGCTGATGCGATTGAGTTGCTCGGTCCGAATGATGACTGTGGAGGGATCATCGGAGCACATGGTGTCGTACCACATATGCCCTTTCCCTGACGCTCTCACTGGCGTTTGGTTCTGCGCAGCGTTACGCACGAGGCTTATAGTCTCGTTGACCGTGGTAGGGTCGTGGACTGCGGCGACATCTCGGCAAGCAGGAAAGCCAGGGCCATCGAATGTGTTGAAGGGTTCTGCTCGAATCAGATTCGCGCCAAGCAAGAGAGGAATGATTGAAGCTAGATGCGACATGGTGGTTGGAATGACTACCATCGCTAACATTGATCTTGCGGTGCACGGAGGCATCACCTATCCTATATACTTGACTGCTTATATCGCAATTCAGATTCTATAATTTGCGCTGTGTAGTGTTGTATTAATGCTACCGAGGAATCTTTTCATGTGAACACAAAACCGCCGAAAGATCAGTCAAGAGTACCACCTTTTCCAGGTGCAAAGTTGATCGTTGTACCGGTTCGGACAGATTGGGATATCACGAGCATCGCTCTTTCTCGCATTTACTCGGCGGACCGAAAGAACATCGGACTTTGTCACGTTTTGGGAATCCCAAGAACTGGAGATTGCGGGGTCAACATGGTGCACCCCAGGAATAAAGGATTAACCAAGCTTCGCTTCGGAGAGAACGGCGTTGGTAAGGCTTGAAGAGCTTAGTTCGTCAGGACGAATGGATGGGGGTCTCATTCTGTCCTGATGGGATGTTTTATGTCCAAAAACGTGTATGGTGTGATTGTGAGCTGCGGAAGCGAGTCATGATTTCCGACGAACCATCATTTGCGTACGAATAGCGATCCTTGAATATAATGATGAGATAATATTCCATATTTTTGAGCTAGTACTCAGAAAGCTACTCCCCTAGAGGGCTGCGAACAAGACCATGTCTAAGTCGCGCTGATAGTCACACTTCCAGCCGTCAAGCCGTCAGACTGGAATTCCACCACGATATCCCCCGAAGCACCCTTCTCCGTTTTTACGATCGCCAAAAACTTTCCACTGAACGCCTTTCTAGTCGGCTCCGAAAAAACAGTCTTATCAGTGGGATCGCCATTATCAGTACTTACGATCTTCCCTGGTCCTGACGCAATACTAGCCGTGATGGAGTTACTCGCCTCAGGGACGATCGACCCTTCGCTATCCACCACCTCGACAGTGACGAAAGACAGATCCTTGCCATCTCCAGCAATACTGGTCCGGTCGGCAGTCGCATTCAGTGCTACCGCATCGCCAACCGTCTTAGTCTCAGCAGTGGCCCACTCCGCGCCATTCTTGTACGATACGACGCGGATGCTGCCTGGAGAGTACTTGACGTCGTCGAAGCGAATGCGGTACTCGTACTGTCCCCTCTTCTTGCGGCCCGCGGATTCGCCATTGACGAAGAGCTCCGCCTCATCACCAGAAGTAAAAACGTGCACGGGTGTTGTCTGACCTTCCCGACCAGGCCATGTCCAATGCGGAAGCAGATGCGCCATGGGTAGATCAGATCGCCAGCGCGCCTGGTAGATGTAGAAACGATCTTTCTTGAAACCTGCAAGATCAATGATGCCGAAGTATGAGCTGCGGCTGGAGTCGTAAGGCGTTGGCTCGCCGATGTAGTCGAAACCCGTCCACACGAACTCACCGGCCACGTATGGGTAGCGGTCGTGCTGCTCGAAGACTTTATCGGGAGAGGACGCCCAGCTAGGGGAGTATAATTCGTAGGCGCTTACATGGCGGTTCGTGCCGTCGCCACCCTGACCTGGGTTGTTCCCTACTACAGCAGTTTTATTGGGGGTCACCGGGAATAGATATTTGCCGCGAGAGCTGACGCAGGATGAGGACTCAGTACTCCATATCATCTTATCAGGGTGTGTGCTGTGGAAGTTTGGCCATGAGCTCGAAAAAGATGCGCCGTTGCCTTCGCCTTGATAGTTTGTGCCAATGATGTCGATCTCGTTGGCCAGGGCAGTGTTGGGACCTGCGCTGTTCATCGCGGTTGTTGCGAGTCGAGATGGATCCTCTTCGTGTGAGATGTCTTGTAGGAGTTTACCGGTTTCGCCACCCTGTGCGTTTGATTGCTCCGGGATTTCGTTTCCTATGCTCCAGGCGATAATGGAGGGGTGGTTGCGGTCGCGGCGGATGAAGTTGCGCATATCTGGCTCGTACCAGTCATCAAAGATGCGAGAGAAATCGTTGTCGACTTTGGGGTTCCTCCATGCATCGAAGAGTTCATCCTAGACAAGACCATCAGATCGCGGTTAAAGTGACTAAGATTAAAGAGACTTACCAATACAAGCATTCCAAATCTATCAGCCAATTCCAGCCATTCTGGTGCTGGTGGATTATGCGATGTCCGCAATCCGTTGTTACCCATTTCTTGAAGTAGCTCTATCTGCCGCTCAGCAGCACGGTAGTTGAAAGCAGTGCCGATAGCACCTAGATCGTGGTGATTGCAAGTGCCAAAAATTCTCACGTGCTCGCCATTGATCAGAAATCCTTCATTGGCGCTGTAGGCAATGGTTCGAATACCAAAAACAGTCTCATACGTATCGAAAGCCGTGCCATTGCTTGAAAGAGTCGTAACGGCCACATACTTATTTGGCTTTTGTGTCGGTGGAGGTCCCCACAGCTGGGGGTCAGTAACAGTGGCGGAAGCATTGGCAGATTGCTTCTCGCCTCCAGCGACAGTGACCGAGGAAGAAGAGAAAGCCGCAACAGCTTCCCCAGCGGGCTTCAATGACACCGGATCAACCGCATAGATCTCGGTAGCAACATCCACTCTCTGGCTGGCATTGCTCTTGTTCTCTACATCCACAACAATCTCGACCGTTGCTTCTGAGGCAGACACTTCAGGAGTGGTGATGAACGTGCCGTATTGCCCAACATGAACAGGGTCAACCGTGACGAGCCACAAATTACGATAGATTCCCGCGCCTGGGTACCACCGTGATGAGTCAAGAGCGTTATCAAGACGAACCGCAAGCGTGTTCCCACCAGCCTTGACATATGGTGTAAGATCCAATCGGAATGAGTTATACCCAAATGGCCAGCCACCGACAAGTTCCCCGTTTAGCCACACAGCCGCGTACGACATGGCACCATCGAAGTCCAGGAAAACAGATTTTTTGGAGGATACCACGTCCGCATCGATAGTTAGATTGTGGCGATACCATCCGATTCCGTTGATGGGAAGACGTCCTGGACCTCCTCCCACACCAGGCGCATCGAAAGGCCCTGCAATGGCCCAGTCATGCGGCAGATCAAGCTGCTGCCACGCGCTATCATCGAAATCGTCTTGCGTGTAGTCGACGTCAGAACCGGGCGCAGTTCCAGATGGGCGTTCGTATTTCTTGCCGTCGCTCAGAAAGCCATTGGCGGCGGGGAGCATCCATTCCTTGAGGACATCGTAAGACAAAGAATCCGGGTTTGACGTGAAGCGGGAAAATCGCCAGTCTTCGTTCAAGCTACGACGTTCGCGTCCCGCAGCTGCTGAAACATTCTTCAGACCGCTAAGTGCGAAGAGACTGAGGAGAAGAAGGTGTTTGGGGCGGGAGGTGAATTGGAACATTGTTGGCATGCCCGATTTTGCGTCACCAAGTTGATGACGAGCTAACACTACCAGCGCAGAAGCCGACGGTATTCAAGATTCGCGAGAACGAACTCTTGCTCAGATCGATTCGCATGTACCTATCTAACGGTACTTAATATATAGCACCACGTGCCAAGTCTCACACCATATTCTACGTCAATCGCTGTTCTGATACCCCCCTCTAAAAATCGATCGACCCCGTACCTTTTTCGAGAAGGCGGATATATGTAAGTAGAGGGGTACTGCTTATAGTATTTCTCCGCTTCGGTACAGTGGTACGATGGGCGAATTATCCACCACTCGTCTTTTTGCCATGATTTGAGCCGAAGTTCTTCCAGTTTAATGAGTGGTTGTATAGACTAGGGTGTGGTGTTGAGTACCTGCGATAATCTAGCAAGGGTAAAATGGAGGCAGCGGAGAAATACATGGATCAGGGAAAGCGTATGCGGTTCAATACTTCCCCGCATGCGGGATGACCGCATCGTTTTGCTACCATGGATTTTCTGTGACTGATCACGAGTTTGAATGCTGAAATCCCGTTTGTTAAGTATGTGACTGTTCGCGTAGATAGCGTATGCGGTACGAATACCAAGTGATGTTTATGAGTTTACTCCCGCATAATCAGTCGGCCGCGGCATAACTACTTGGTACACGAAATGAGCATGATAATATCCGGTACTGTGAAAGATGGCTTTGGAAAATGCACCGAGTATGAGGAGCTCTATTCTATGATTTTTTCTCTTGCGAAAAAGGGTCTATATACAGCAAAAATGTCCTCAAAGGAGGGTAAGAATTTACAAAAAGTATCAACAAACACAAACTCACTTAGCACCACTACCACCAATTCAACTTGCTCTATCTCAGCCAGATTGACTCAACAGATAGTCTAGGCGTACATGTAGCACATCCCATTATCCGTCGCAGACATAGTCTCTTTGACTTTTGGCTTGACCCCCAATCCCAAATCCATAACATCGTCAATCTCCGCGAGGGAAGGCTTCACATCAGGCGCATACTCCAACGGAATCCCCAAGAAAGTCCTATTCCCATCAATCGCATACTTGCGGTTCTCCAGATCCTGTCCCTGCCAAATCGCATAGAGGCGGTCAATCTGCGCATGGAGCAAGTAAAAAGCGGGTTCGTTGGTCGTCGAGAACGGATCCGCGCCGTCCTTGCCAACAAAAGTGTGGCTGTTTTTGTGCCAGAGAAGATCCATGTTGTTGCGATGCTGCGAGATATTAGGCGCGCCAGCGATCTTAGTCGCGTTGGCCCAAGTCAGCACTCCCGCGCTGGATTTCGGGTCGAAATTGCGCTTGAGACAGCGCGGGTTAGGCTCTAATCCGAATCTGTTCTTGGGGTCGATGGTCTCGAGCGCGACAGGTCCAAGGCTGATGGTGAAGTTGACGAATGGGCCCGTGGTGATGCACCCGCCTCCCGTGCCGGGCGGCTTAGGAAGCGTGAAGTTTTTCTGGACAAGGCCTGGGAGGATGGCTTTGTAAGGGCCGTGATCGTTTTCAAGGTAGACTCCGTTGCCGCCGAAGGATGTCATGGAGCCGTCCCAGACTTTGGACTTGGTTTGATCTTCGCTGAAGCGTGTGTTGTCCCAGTACGGGAGATAGGATTTGTAGCCGCATTCTTCGCGCATGGCGGTTTCGAATTGCTGGAGGAAGATGCGGTGCCAGGGCAGAAGGTAGCCCTGTGGTTTGTTAGAAAAGGAGATTTGGTAGACTGGTAAGTACTAGCTACATACGGAGTTGTGTATGATGTTGGTTTGGTTGATGTGGATGTATGTGAAGTCATCTAATCTGTTGACCACACCCGGCGCGAGCTTCTTGTCGGTCTTTGCTGGTTTAGCTGCAAGGCATTTGATTGCGCGAATGAAATCTAGGCGGGTTTCGTTGTCGATCTCGTCCCTAGAATAATTGAGCCGTTAGTCAAGATTCTATGAAGCCTTGCAGCGAGCTCACATACCATGACTTGCGAATAGCGATGTTCGACGGGGTACATTTGTCATTCCCCTTGAGCGAAGCCAGAGTGTTCATCTGATAGTCTCTCTGCAAATTGGCAAACTCTGCAGTCATGGGAATCCCCGCAGAAGTGTTGTTGTCACCGTCGCAAGTGCAGTTCTCTTTCGGTGGGGTAGAAGGAGGAGCTGGGACAGTCTCGTAGACGCCCGAAGGTGGTGGAGGCATTGTCGATGGGATAGTCGACGCGACATTGGACCCAACAAGGGCGCACGCGCCGAGGAGGAGTGATATTCGAACCATGTCGTCGATTGTTGAAAGTGATTACTAGATTCTTTCGCGATTCTCGTATGAAGACGATGTAAACTTTTTGTTTAAGCCCAGCTTATCTGTTTCTTCCAAGTCTGCAAAATGGAGGGTACTGCGCCCTTCTAACAAATAATAAGGTATAATGCACAAAGGAAGACCGGTGCAAGAAACGAATGTATGTCGACCAGCAAGATACTACCCAAGCAGCAAAGAAAGAGTAGCAAAAACGAGGCTGATAAGATCTCAAATCCTACACATCCATCTCCAACTATATACATAAGCAAACCAACTCGTCCCCCTTGCCCTCACCTTCCCAACCCGTCTGAACTCGGGCAAACACCTACAAACGCAGGCCTAAACAAACATATTCTCCTTTACCAGCGGGCCTGACCAGCGTATACCATTCCCAAAATGCGCAAAATGCCCTGGCGGCTGGGCTGTCAGTGCCTGTCACTGCAGTCCCCCGAGTACCGGGATCTCCGTTTCCCTCCGAGCCTGGGCAATTGAAGGCCTACCATTGGGAAGCCGCGCATGGAAATTGGGGGGAAAAGCAGAGATGGGACACATTGGTTAAGGACTGCGTGAAACGCAAAAGTCCGATATTGTCCGTGCGCGTGCGGGAGATCGCAGGATGTTGGCATGTCACTGTTGGGTAACGACCTTAGGCTAAACTTGATCGAGGAGTTTGTTAACATACCATTTACTCAGAACAGCTCTATGTTATAAAGTATTTGAATGTTGACTTCTTTATGCGTAATGTCTAGTTTCGAGTGCCTGATGTCTGGGGAGTGAGTCGCTCGTTTCATGGAGTATTTAAGCGGTGTGCGTGGCATGATCGGGAATGTTTCTTTCGATTTCTTCCATAGTTTCCGGCAGTTGGATTCCGAGATGTTGTTGTTAGTATGATCTCAATCTCTCGCACGGTATGTATATAGGGCAAGGGGTCTGACCTGAACGCGTGGGACCGATTCGCTCGTTTCATCGGGTATCGGGTATGTATACAAGCATCAAAGATGCGATATTTGAACTTTTAGGCAGGTTAATATGTTGTAGGACTCCGAATACTCGCACTGCATCTCTTGCGCTGACTCTGTTAATCAATTCCACCAGACTTGTGAAGATTCGAGGTCATGGCGATCGATGAGATCTGGCACAACACACCACGAGGAACACGGTGAATTGCTGAAGGACCTAAGGTAGATACACATGTATTCACACTCGACGTCTCTTTTAAGTTGATTCACGGCCCCTCAGTAATACTCATTCCCGAGGCTTTATCATACATGCCACATCTAACTTGATATCACAGGTTTGTCGAAATTATGTTGTGCTGGACTTATCGGTCGCGATACTCCAGTAAGATCGAGACTAACAACGTATGAAGACTACGATTATATCCGCTCTGACATCAAGCACATGAGAGCAAAAGTGAACCTCTCCGACCCCATCTAAAAATCCACGCCTAACCATGCAAAAATGCACTTCACCATAAGTCCAGGATTATCGATCCCTTGTCCGTCCCTAGTGACTCCATGCAAACCGAAAAACAATATTCAGGCAACTTATTAGCTCCAAAGCAAGTCCCGAACCGCAACAACGAAGATGAGAAGACTAAGAACCAAACACATAACGAGATTCCCCGTCGATACATGTATGCAAGCAAAACGTTCCCAGACAACGCTTACCCCCGATATCCATGCTATGAACCTCCTCCTAGTCGCGCATCCTAAATCCTATCAAAGACTCCATCCAAAACCAGAAAACAATTAGGAAGGACAAAATAAAAGAAAATGGTATCATAATCCGCCTTCACTCCCCACCCGCCCCCCTTTCAACTCTTCCTCCCTCTCCCTCTCTTTCTCCCTACCCCTCCAACCTTCCCAACCGTCCTAGCAACGCCCTTCCAAGCCCAAAAGCAACTCTCCCCAACACTAGGCCGATGCTCCAACTCCCTATCCAGCCTTTTTCTCTCACAATCTCTTTTAAAGATCCTGCTGCGCTCTTGCCGTTCATCTTCGTCTATTCTCTCGTCGTCTTTATCTTCGTACGCGGTGAAGTGGGATGGATGGGGTGGGGGAGGTGTAGGGGCGCGGGGGAAGTATGAGGGGTAGGATGGGTAGCGTTGGTGTGGGTATGGATGGTGATGGTGGTGGTAGGGATGTTGGTGGTAGGGATGTTGGGTTTGGTATCGGGTTTGTTGGTGAGAGGATGGGGATGATGAAGAGGGAGATGTGCTGGTGGCGGCGGTGGTGGGGTAGGGCATGAGTTGGTTCCGCGGCGTTGGGGTTGTAGGGGCGGAGTTGTTGTAGATGGGGTGGGGGATGAGTTTGTTGTCGTGGTTGTTGTCGGTGTTTGTGGGGGATGTTGATGATGACGATGAGTCTGACGGCATGACTCTTGTTCTTTTCTTTCTTTCTTCTACCCTTTTTCTAGTGGTGCTGTCTTGGCTCGGGCCGTGAGTCTGTAGGAAGACTAGATGGACGAGTTCAATCTAGTTTCACTCCTCTTTTCAAGAGCTTTGTTGGTCGGCGGTGTGTGCGATAAATTATCGACTCGACGGGAAGATAGGTAGGTAGGTGACTCAAACGTGGCCGGAAGAGAATAGCGGCCGTAACGACTATTATACCCCTAACCAACGTCCGCAGTAGACCTTGACGTTTCTTTTGGATGCTGCAGGGGAAGTTGGGTGATTGCTGCCTGACTTCTCTAGGCGCCGGCCTCTTTTTCGTGCAGATCAATAGACAGCCACCTCAGTATGTATGTATAGATATATTGCCGTACGATGGCGACTGCCCGCCCTTTGTCCAAATCAAATAAATCCAACTAAGTGACGCACAGAAAACAGAAGGTATTGGAACAGCAAGTGGAAGAAAGTCGCAGTGTAACAAAGAATACATGCCCAAGCAGTTGTATACACATGCTAACCACCCCTGGTTTCGCCGACGCAACTCCACGCGCCCACCATCACCAGGCAGACATGCAATCACCTAACCCCAATCCAGGTCACTCTAGACTACAAGTAATTGCTCAACACAGCATCACGCCCCTGTTCACAGCCTCTACTCTACGAATAGGGGGATGGTGGGTGGTGTGCAGAAGACTGGAGAAATCACATGCAAGACAAGGACAGGGCACGTGCACAGCCTCGAGTCTGCGCCACATGTTGATTTCGCATGCGTGTGGCGCGTGTCCCACTTCTGGAAGTGTATCCGCGTTTGGTGTTTGGTATGTGTACAACGTAGTTTGGCGGGACAGTAGGAGGGAGGGGGCTTGTAGATGGTATGTTATAGCTAGGCTGACTGTTGAGAGAGGTTTTCTGATATATTGATCCATTCATTTTACTTTTATGCGGATGTGTTTCCACGGGGGTGTGGGAAATCACTACAGCACTGTTCAACCCTTTCCCCGTGTGACAGAGTGATGTCTCTCTCAAGGCAGACTGTGACAACATTTCGTTTCGTAGTCTCTCTGTCCGATCATGCCGGACGCAGAAACAGAAGTCAAAACTGACATGCGATTCCCTCCTGGGGACCGACGACGTTAGCATCGGTAGGTAGTTTGGTGAGGGAAGAGTGGTGTTTGATGAGATTAGATGACTGAGAATGTGACGCATCGTACCTAGACGAGAAAGAATCCGCCATGCAACTAGTTTTCCAATCGCTGGATGGCTTTACTTCTCGTTACAATAGACAGGCTGGTCAGTTGTTGACAAAGTGGAAACGAGGCAATCAACTATTAAAAACATGCACTCGTACAGACTATTGGAATCACGTCCAAGCTCGGTACCGAACCTCATTCTCGATGATGCATCAATGCCTTGCATACAGAGTACTGATTGAGTTTGACGACGGAAGTGACCGCAGTCAGCTCAACGGATGCTGTGCTGGAGCATGTGATTGAAACCCTGTTTTGGTCTGCACTTGCTTTCGGATCAATTTAAGGTTCTGGAGTCTCACGTCGCGCGACAGGATCTGATATGTTGTTTCGCGTGTGTTTGCGAGCGAGTGTCGATCGACGATTCCCTTCTTTGGATTCCGTTTGTCTCTGGTTCCTGGGATCTGAGATTTTCCGGGACTCACATTCCTCGTCTCCGCTTTTCCCGACGAAAAAACAAGGCTGTTGGAAGGAAAGATGGAAGATGGAGCCTTGGTGTAGAGTAGGCTGTAATATGGCTCGAGGCAACTAAAGTGCAGGTTCTGTAGCTAAGTAAGCAGGCTGATATACGGCAGATTATAGATGAGATAAACGACGGGATCAACGCTGTGTAGATGGAGATTTGAAGAGTTGGGATGCAGAAGGGTGATGGAACAGTGCAGATCCCCCACCTGACACCCATGGTTGATGCGAAAATGTTTCGAGGGCGCTATGGTTACCCATTCTGCATCAAACCCCCTCGTCTTCTCCATGCACAGGATCGGACCTTTCAGTCCTTCCTCGTTCCTCGGTGGCGGGGATATATGGGCGGCGCCAATCGGAAACGGGAAGGAGACTACGCTTTTTTTTCTCTTGATTAAATGCTATCTCCGGGTAAGGCGAAGCATGCATTGCGCTACTCGACTTGCAGGCAGCTACTGCAGCGTGTACCGCATAGGTATCGCAGGGGACGGGATAGATTGCGAAAAGGCGCTTTCATGACGTGTGAGCTTTCGAGGTACGGGGAATGGGACAAGTTGTTGTTGTTCACAAAATATCAGCACCCGCAGGTTGTATTTTTCGCGGGATAACAACAATGGATTGATGTAGTAAGGGATGGCAGGATCCGTGTCCTTGTTGGGTTTTCCCGAGGGATCTGGTCTGGGGCGGCGTAGAACAACAAGCAAAGCTTCTGGATGCAATCGAAGGAAGGGTGGCGGCAAGGGTATGCACAATAGCACGTCTTGCAATCTAGCTGCGACATATGCAGCGTAGAGATAAACGTCATACAAATGCAAAGACCGCCATGGCAAGTTCATATGTACAATATGAAAACGAGCCAGACGATGGTTGGCATAGAGTCATGTTATGGTGAATAGAGGCGATGGCGATGGCAATGTGCTGAGGCTGTCGGTAGACTGCTGACAGATGCGCCTGGCGGCTCAGCTCCATCCCGTACTTGGACAGCCATAAAACCGTATCGAATGTTGGAATGGACTATTTTTATCACAACGTGCTCTCGCGGTATCTGTCCCGTATAGTAGATGGGCGCGATGCCCAGATATGTCAGTATATACGAGGTAAAAGAGAGCCATGGCAAGGTCAAGTATGATGAAGTGGAGAGAGGCTTCACGCACGCAATGCGGCAAAATGATGGTGACAGCTAACCCGGAAACGGACCAAGGCTTTGCTTTGTTTCAGCCTGCCGAAGGGTTAGACTGCAGCCGCGCGGCCGGGGTATGCGAATGGCAGCAGCACACCATGAACAGGAACAAGCACGCAGGCCAAGCAAACGGGAGCGAGGGAGACTGGATCGGATCGGACAGTGGTGTCTCGCAGTTGCATGATGAAGTGTTTCGCAGGCGATGAGAGTGGGGGAGTCAGAGGACAATTTTAGATGATACAGCGCAGGGAGGAGAGAAGTGCAAATGTCAGAGAGACAAGACAGAGAGGGAGTGGGCAGACTGAGTACGGCGTCCGTATCGAGAGTGTTGGTACTCGTCGGTACATGGCGTCGTGTTTGGTAAGATGCCATGGCCGACTGACTGTGTGTTGCCGGTACCTTGTACGACGCGTGGCCTACGTCGGATCAGCCAGCCCCCCACACGAACGGGCCTGGGTAGTGCGTACATGATGATGTTAGCAGCAGAGGCGGCGGCTGTTGATCAAAGGGTGTATTTATTATTATCGCACCACTCGCGGAGAGGCACCTCGGGGGAAAACGAGAAAGGCCGTAGAAGGAGAGAAGCAGCCGGCGTGAATGGTGGGAAGGAAACAGTGAGGAAAGATGATCTTCATTAACCCAGCCGCTCTGAGGGTTTGGAAGCACGCATTGAACTGAGACCGGACGGAGCAGATACGTATGAAGAAAGAGGCAAGCCGGTTTCGATCACCACCCACTGTGCCGCAGTCCATGTGCTACTGTGCCCATCGGTGTCGAGGAATGCACAGAGAGTGATGGGTCAAGCGGCGGTACAGGAAGGATGGCGGCTTGAGTGGTCTTGTATGCTTTAGATGGATGCATCCGTATCCGCCGGCTCCATCGGTTCCTAATCAGAACAACCCAAAAAAAAAGTGTAGAGAGTTAGTGTAGATGACGGTAAAGCGGACGCTACTGTAAGCATGGCGGCTGCCCCGACCCACGCTCGCGAAACAAAGTCCCTGCAAAAAGTCGTTGCGACGCGCAATGAGGCGCTGACCTCGAATCATAGTCCAGCCAGCCTCGAGCAGGTGAAGAAAATTCGGTGATGGACTATTGTTGCTTCCAAATTATTGTCTGAGTAAGGCTCGATAGGAGGAAGCGTTGTTGGAGTGGGCGGATGGATCACCGAGCGGCCTGCCGTAGTCATCATCATGGCCGGGTCCACCGCGCGTTTACCCAGTTAGTAGATACAGAGCCGAGTATTGCGTAGTAGGCAGTTGGGGCGTAGGCTGTAATGCGTTGTGTCGTGTTGACGATAAGAGAATGAATAGGAGGAGGGCAGGGCTGGGCGAAAGGGAGAATGCGAGGCGGGGCACGGGCCATGGCGAGAGATGATTGATTGTGTTGATGCACTCTCCTCCCCCCCCAGCGCCGCTGTGACCCTTGGCCTTGACCCTTGAACCTGGCAAAAGCTTCCAGACCTGCGCCAACCACTCATTCAGTGATATTCATTCATCCACTTCATTCCCCTGCTAGCTACACTAAAAAGTCTCTCAACGACTCCCTCCTACATACACTGACTTGGGCCTGATAAAACCGTCGTTGCTTGCTTGCAACCTTCTTGGACGCACACACTTCTTGCGGCTGCAACGTCCCCGATTCACACTTCCCCGGCCACCGCGCCTTCTTCCCTCCCACCCTCACCCTCTTCAACCCTACCAATCCCATCAACACTACTACTACTTACGCTGCTACTCCTGCTTACTTAGTCTTCTCCTCTACCCCTTGTTCCACCACTTATTCCCTCATTCGCTCGCTCGTTTGTTTGCTCCTTCTTCCCTCCTCTCCTCCGACATACCCTCCAAACAGCCTCCGCCTCCACGCCTCCGGTAGGCTCTCTTCAACATCTCAACCCTCCCGCTTGCGTCTGCCATCGCCGCTGCCTGCCTGTCTCTGGCCTCCCCTCGCACCCGCTATGCTCTCCTTCAAAAAGGCCCTCGTGGCCTCGCTCGCCGTCCTGACCCTCTTCTTCCTGTTCAAGTCCCACCACTCGGGCAACTCGCCCGCCCCCATTCGCAATGCCAACGATATGCCAAAACCTGCCATGCTCCAGCCGAAGCCCGATCCACCAAAGCCCACGCCCACCCCCGAAGCCGCAAACGATGCATTCAACACGGTCGACGTGCCCAAGAAGCCCAAGACCCAAATCAGCCTCGAAGAGCTGCACAAGAAGCCCTTGAAGCAGCAGCTCGAGTACCAGTTTCCCTACGACATCGACTCCAAATTTCCCGCCTACATTTGGCAGACGTGGAAGTACACTCCAGCTCAGGGCGAGTTCAAGGAGGAGTTCCGTGAGGCAGAGGCCAGCTGGTCCATTCACCACCCCACCTTTGTCCACGAGGTCATTACCGACAACGTCGCCGTCTACCTGATCCGTCATCTCTATGCTTCGGTGCCCCAGGTCCTCGAGGCTTACAATGCTCTTCCGCTCCCCGTCCTCAAGGCAGACTTCTTCCGCTACCTGATTCTTCTCGCCCGCGGTGGAATTTACTCCGACATTGATACATCTGCTCTCAAGAGTGCCGCTGATTGGATTCCTTCCGATGTTCCCAGCAGCTCCTACGGAATGGTTATCGGAATTGAGGCAGACCCCGACCGTCCCGACTGGGCCGATTGGTACTCGCGCCGCATTCAGTTTTGCCAGTGGACCATTCAAGCCAAGCCTGGCCACCCGGTCCTTGTAGACGTGGTTGCAAACATCACCCAAGAGACGCTCAAACGCCGCGACCAGAACAAGCTTACCAAAGACCACAAGGGCATAATCGAGTTTACTGGCCCAGCCCTGTGGACAGATAGCTTCTTCTCCTTCTTCAACAACCCCGATTATTTCGACATGTCTACCAGCAAAGGAAACATCACCTGGGAACACTTCTCGGGCATGAAGACACCCAAGAAAGTTGGAGACGTCATCATCCTGCCCATCACGAGCTTCAGTCCCGGAATCAAGCAAATGGGCGCGGGCGAGGCGGATGACCCCATGGCTTTTGTGAAACACAACTTTGAAGGTATGTAGCACCTCATTTCCGCCATTTGGCTTTCTTGCCATACTTTGTGCTTGGCTGCAGTCAATGTCACACTTTCCCATTCATGATGTTGACTTTGCTGCTAGGAACATGGAAACCCGAAAACGAACGCCACATCGGGGAGATCTTCAACTAAGCCGCAATCTCCCACCATATCGCTCGATCGAGTCACGAAACGACCATCACTTTCTGTACAATATATTGGAGACGGGATACCCATTGTTTCGAGGCCATGAGGCACAGGCAAAAGCGGAGGCGGTTCCTCTGCGCTTAGCATGCGTGCATGAGTCGTTGCATACCGTGGCGTGGTTCATACTGCCCTACAACCTTCATGTTGCTGACGAGGATTGGCTTGTGGGTCGAAGCGCAAATAAGGGTCAGCAGCATTTTTTGACGACGTGGCATCTTCCATTTCTATATTCTTCCTTCCTTTTCTCGATTTCTTTTTCCCATCAGCAGCAAAACTTCAAGCGCTGAAGTTTGATGGCAGCTGACACCTCACCACACATATACTCCCTGTGGAGGCATTTTTTCGCGGAGCCTCTGCTGGAGAGCGTATTGGGCGAATCACTCTGTGCACAACGACATAAACACTTTGTACAATGATAGAAGGGACACGGGCAAGGTGCGCGACACAAAAACGGAGCACGAAATTTCGGCAGACGGCTGGCGGAGCAGGATGCGAGGAGCATTTCTTTTCGGGGTTCTACGTTCCCCTTTTCTTTCAAGCGTTGGAGTTTGGGCTGTTCGATTGATTGATTGGTTGTTTGCTTGTGGGGTACTTGTTGGTGAAATGGAGAAGCAAAACCCCGTGTTTGGACTCGGCAGGCAACCCACAGATGGATTGAGATGGGAAGACAAAGTTGATGGGAATGCGATGAGGGAAGTGGCTGACGGTCTAGATCTATACCCATACATTATACGATTTTCGCATCATTTCCTTGTCTACACGTATCCTACATACTTCATGACTGCTGCCTGCGTGTATTCCATATCTTCAGAAAGCCTGATGACTTGCTCACAGTGACCAGTCGGCCGCGAGAAAGGGGTATTTTATATATACATGTGCAACACGGCTGTAAACTCTGCAAAGCGGCTTGTGATACTTTTTTTTCTTACCCTCAGCGTGGCGGCGTTCTGGCCACAACTGGTGGGGTGTAGTGGCGCTGAGCTGGGCTGGAGGGATGTTGTTAGAACCAGCTAGCAGGACGACGGCGGCGGAAGCTATCCACGCCTCCAAGCACCTCCAGCTCGCGGCATGACCCCTCGCCTCTCTTCAGCATCATGCACGCTCAATCGAATCACCCTGATACCCCCAGCCATCCCCCATCTTACTCGGGAAATAAGGCCAATACATACTCTGAGTCAACGTGAAAGTCTTCGCCTGGGCTTGACTCATCCATCCTGACGCCCGTCGTCTGCTGACGCACCCCCGAATACCTCCGCACCACGACCCAAAATCAGTCCACAGTCAACACCCCGCGCTGGTCCCGTTCCTTTTTCTTGAACCTCGCAACCACCCAGCGGTAGCTCTTCGCCTCAAGAGCATGCCCAAGAAGCATCAGCCCGCCTACGCCTCCATTCGTCCCACCCACAGCACATCCTCGGGCACCTCAGGCACCTCGCGCGCAAACCCCGCCGCTCCCCAGCAGTCCGTCAACGACCGACTCCAGCAGCTTCGCCGCGAACAGGCCCCTCGAACCACCGTTCAACGCCGAGATGAGATTACAGAGGTAGTTACCACCCGCACGGTGCCGCCCCATCTGCGCCGCCTCCTCCACTTAGCTGAGGTTGACGCGCCCAAACCAAAGCCAGGATTCAGATACGCCCGCAATGTTGGCGCAAACGGGCCTGGTCAGCGTCGGCCTCCAGGTCCAGCAGCTCCGTCTAGTTGGCTCAGGGCCAGCCAATATGCACCAAAGAGTCTAAGGCGCCTCGAACGAGAGGGGGCCCTGACGAGAAGACAAGGTTTCGGAAAGCTGGCCAGATGCTTTAACGACGAGCATGGGGTATGTATTTGCTTTGGGGAACGCAAAGGCGGCCATGTCAACTGACAATGGCTTCATGTAGCGCTTCCATCCTCCGAAAAGCTTGATTCATCAGTGCCTCCGAACCTTTGCCAGTCACTGGCAGGATCTCGTCGAGTACGAGCAGCACTACCTGTCCTCGCTGCCCATATCGCTCAGGGAAACCCTGCTGAGCTACCTAGCCCTGTACGGCGAAAGAGGAGACTTGGACAGCAGAACCTTCAGAATCTTATTCCAGAACGACGTAGAAACCGAAGGGAGTACTTCGGCCTGGCAAGATGTCCGATTCTTGGATTTGACTGGACTGCTGCTCGACTCCTCATACTCTCTGAAAGACTTGGAAAGATCTCTTCCATACAGCACAGGCATGGGAGGTTCCCTGGCAACTGTGGTAAGCAGCACGGCGGACCTCTCCCTGGATTCAGATTCTCCAAGGAGAAAAGGCAAGCAGAAACTTATTCCCCAAGTTGCCGAGTCATGGGAGGACGAAGCCGACGACCCTCCAGTCGCAGCACCTGCCATTGTTCTACCGCACAATACCCTTCCTACTCCTGTATTCCCACATCTTACCCATCTCTCATTAGCGCATCCAGGGTCGGCATCCTCTTGGGTTGACCTGCTTTCCATCTCACCACATCTAAAAACACTTACACATCTTAGCCTCGCCTACTGGCCGCGGCCGTCCACAACACCTAATGCGGGGACAACATCGATGGTGTCGCCCCATGGCGGGAGTGTATCTCTCGGGGGGTCGCACTTTTACTCGGACCTAGATGACGACTGGCATGAGGCGGCCAATATCCTGCGCCGTCTGAGCAAGAATACATATTGCCTGCAGTGGCTAGATCTCGAAGGATGTACTTGGCTTCCGGCGCTAACTTGGGATCCGCACCAGGGTAGCCAACAATCGCTACCTACTCACGGCACAGCCCGAGCCAACGATCCGGCCCTGACTCCGACAGGCCCCGAACAAGACTCCTCTTCTGAAGAGGATTGGCCTGGTTCTCCGTTGGCCGCTTCCTCTGGCTCTAAACGATACACACCGACCGGCCCCGACTGGACCTCCTCGTGGCGCCAAATCACTCACCTCAACCTCTCTCAGTCTTGGATCCCGGCAGACCCCGTATCTCTTCAAACGCTTCCATCTGGCGTCGTCTGTGTACAACTTATGAATTGGTTGCGTGAGCAAGAGACTCTGGCCACTTCTCCGCCTTTCCTTTCTGCCTCCAACCCTTCCTCGAAGACGAAATCAAACCGACTTAGCAGGACGGGTGATACAGCTATCACAGAAGCAGAAAAGGATGAAGAGTGGATGAGACGGAGGGAAAGATGGGAAGCCATTGTGCAGAAAGGGACGGGTCGCTCGCATAGAGAGGTAGCGGAGTGGGTTGAGCGCGAGAAAGTCGCTAGAGGCGTCGGAGCAAAAGTTCAGGCTATACGCAGAGTGTGTGGGGGGCTTTGGTGTACGATTGAGCACGGATGGGGATGAATATGTGCTTCTTTTACGTCGATAAAAGAGCAATGTGTGTGTGTGTGTGAGAGAGAGAAGAAACATATATAACATCGATGAAGTCACGCCGATGAATTGAATTGCACTGCGTAACATTGTATTTTCTGTGTCCACTTTCTTGAGTTCTACGGATACACAAACGTCCAAGATGGAAAGTGTGTAGTAACGTTATAGTAAATTGACGTCTGAATGTGCGTTGCGATATCTGCCTTGCTGTTGCTCTTCTCAGTTCCAAGTGCAATTTGCTTTTCTGCAAGAGTGGCCAGTAGGCACAGTATTTCGGGCTGCAGTCAAAAATAGTTGAGGAATCGACACGTCAACTATTCCAGTGGAAAGCATTCTTGGGACGCAATCGCCGTGGGCAGCTGGATCATCGTGTTTCGTTCTCTGTCGTGCTTGTATGGCTATCAAAGCGAGTTACATACGTATAAGATGGAAAGAAAGAAGAAAGAAAAAATAGTTCCAATCCAAGACTGAAAATGCAAGAGTTGAAGAGACATGTTACGTGACACTGATTCGTGGATTTGAAAATAGCTGAGCATCGACTGGATCCACCGACCTCATCGATTGCCATAGCCTCCAATCAACAGCAGAATGGAAATAGATTCATGTGTCAGTGTATCCGGAATTGTCATCAAGTGCTCAACAACCTTGAGAAAGATGTCATTGAAGTATCCGCGACGTCAAAGAACCCCCGATCAGCTGCACTGGATTGGCTCTCTTGCAACCTCGACCCATCATCCAACCCCACACCTACCCATTCCAACAATTCCACCGATTCCATCGCCGCACATATATAGCCGCAGGAATAGGGCTTTCATACCTGCTACTCATCACCACACTTCCGTCACATCTACTACTCCCTCACATCCACAACTCCACATCTACCTCCAAGCATCAAACAATGCGTTCCCTCATCACCGCCCTCATCGTCATAGCCATGGCCATTGGCCTGGCCACCACTGCACCTCCGCATAAATACCTATCCTCAGAGCCCTCGCTCACCTCCAACACCACCACCGCCACCACCGCCGCCACCGCCATCTCCAGACTCTTCAGCAGATCTGCGATGCTACCGTGGATCTGGTCCCCCCAGAACTCGAATACTAAACGAGGTTACGTTCCTAACAGATGCCGGTTATTCCCGTGGAGATGGACCAGGTTCAATACCATACCCCAGAACACCACCACCACTACCGCACCCCCCGAACTCCCCAGCAACGTTCTGATCCCCCCAAACATCCAACCCCCCGACAACACCACCGCGTGCAAGGACCTCCCAAAGCCTTACAGGCCTCACCCCCCGCCCTACGCGCTCTCCGAATGCATGGAGAAGTCCCAGAGGTTGGATGACCCGTGCTGGCAGTACTGGCTGGAGCAGCTGTGGTGTTTTGCAATGGATCAGTCCGAGCACCCGGGTCCTGTGGAGTTACCGCTCCCGTCGCCTCCTTCTAACATCACGATCCGGGTGAATGCGAAGCGGGAGCCGGCTGATGTGGTTGGGCCTCGGCCGCATCTTCCGCATCTCGATTCCAGTATTACCTGGGATTATATGTCGCCCTCGGGGCAGGTCGAGGAGGTAGAAGAGGCCGAGGAGGTTGAGAAGATCGAGGAGACCGAGGAGGTCGAGGAGGTCGAGGAGATCGAGGAGATCGAGGAGGTTTCGATGCCTACCTCATATCCTATTCTTCCTTAGTGAACCGGAATTTCACCATGGGGGGGGGGTTTTTTTTTTGTTTTTGAAATTTAGATCAGGAGTCGAAAACAGGAGGAAATAGGAAAAACAAGTCTGTTGAACTAGAAGCAAGCAAAGTGGACAAGGGAGAGGTATCTGCGACAGACACTTGGTGTATTGTGTGGTTTAGATTGCTGGTGGGGTTTTGATAGCTTTCTACAATTTTCTTCTTCTTCTCATTGCTTAACTTGTGTTGTGTCTCGTGGCTTAAACATGGTAGTATGCGTAACTTTCAATCTCTGCCACTGCCCTCTCGTAAAATTGTAGGAACTCACTGCGCATGCATTGATTTTTGGTGGAAACTTGCTATTCAAAATCGCAAATGTACCGATTTTGTATTAGGCTCTACCTGGAATAAGAAAGTTTTTAAACCAAAACACAATGTCCGCGCGAACAAACCCATGGTCAGCAAAACTCCTCATTCTGATCCGCAGCCCAGTCAATAGCCGCGACACAGAACGAATAAACCGCATTCCCCTTCTTATCTTCAGCCACTGCCTTCTCATCATAGAAAGCATGCAGCAGCCAAGGCATATTCCGATAATCCGGATCCGGCCACCAGAAATCCACAAGCAGCTCGAGCAAGCTCACGACAGCGACATACCCCATCACGGCACTCACATCGAAGCGCGTCCAGATAAGGTAGCAGAATATCTGGATCCACATCAATCTCGAAACGTTGACCCTGTAGTGCTTAAAGGTAACACCCGCGCAGATCGACTTCGCCAGTCCGCGTTTGAACACGTCGCGCGTCGCGGGCGTGAGTCGGTGCGCTGCCGCCGCTTCCAAGCTCGCCTTGTACTCGTTCATGTCTACATCCCGTGGCGTTTTGGAGTCGAAGAAACCGAGGAAAGCGGTCAGCGCACTGTAGTAGACGCTGAAGAACCGCGAAGGCCAGTTATCCCAGTCTTCATGGCAGATCTCGGCCCATGTCTCATTGAGATTGTGCGTGCGAACGCCAGCTCTCAATAATCGGGCCTGGTCATGTAACTGGGGGTTTTCGTGATGTTCCAGGTGGTGGTTCCAGTTCAGGCATTGCTGTTCGTGGCGGTCCAGCCATTTGCGGAAACAGTTGTCGCCGACAATGTGGGAGCATTCGAGGAGCTGGATCGCGCGGCAGTGGTCGAGCGAGTTCATGCGGAAGGGCTCGTTGCAGACTGTGCAGACGGTTTCGTCTGGTGGCTGCGGGACGACGACTTTGTGGGGGTAGAGGTGGATCTTTTGGAACAAGATTCGTTCTGTGACAGTTCTGATGTCCATTTTGGTTGGTTTGAAACTGTGGAGGTTGTTTTGCTCAGGGTAGAATGTTGAGTTGTTCTGGTGTGAGCCTTTCACTCTCTATGAGCAAAGACAAACTTTATACTATCTCACTCTTGTGTAGTGTGTTTGCATGATGCGGATTTGAAGTTTCACTGTAGCTTCCGCATGTAAAATTATTCAGCTCTGATAATTTAAGGTATAAGTGATGGTCTAAGCATAAAGCATGATGTACTTACAATGTGAATACCTCCCCTCTCCCCTCTGAAGTGAATGGATACTAAAACGCTTTATATAACATATATAGTTTGTCTGATGCAATGACTTGAAAATCCTAGCTGTGCAATATGTTGTTTGGTACAGAATTATGCTCCTCTTCAACATGAAGCCCCATTTTCTTCGAGTCCTCGAGTGTATTAGATAGACCCCAATTTCGCGTCGTCGAGGACACCAAACCTGAATTCAAAGTCGAATTGATTTGAAATATCCAGTCACCAGAATGAAAGCCGATATTAAGATCTCGACTCATTCACGTTGCGAATGTAAATTCCCTCCAAAGCCGCGATTTCCGATGAGTCGTGGAATCTATTCATTCCAACCAAGTCATCTGAGCATAATGATTCGGAAGTGAAGATGTTAAGAAATTAAAAAGGCATAAGCTGAATTCGCTAGTAGCAATGGAATATACATATGTATATATATGTAAAGCCTTGTCCCTCTGCCTATTCCCGCTTATGACAAGGCTGCCGATTGGAGCTAGTAATTTCATGTGAGGATAATAAGAATGACCCCCATATTCAACTAGACGACGAGCCGAGTGTGCTACGTTAATATGTTCTTGTAGAGAGTGACTAGACGTGTACCACGTGATGATTTGATCCGTTGTTGTATATCAGGCTTGCGTCGTATTGCATCTAGATCCTGTTGAAGTGCAAATTTCATATGTAATACCAAAATTGAATAAATTGAGAAACAACTTTCACGGAGACGGGCCCCGGTATTATACCATACTAATTTGTTACAAACAAATGAAATCCTGATAGTTCTTCTAACAAACATCAAACAGTTTAGCACAAATTTGTCTCTCCAGACCTTGACTATCAAGCATGCCTTGCTTTTACCTCATGAGATCTGTCAGTCATGGAAAATTAAGCGCAGCTATCACCAGGAATAGCTTTTCGTGACTCGGATCAATCTTAAAGGACATGGTCCTTCTCATGTTTCCGATCCCGATCAACAGCCCATTCCGTGAACTCTCCATAGTAGCGGAGCACTCCACGAAGAATCCGAAAACGCTCCACCATCCGATAGAAGAATATCAACCACAGGAAGCAAGGCAGGCGCAAGAATGGAGCGGTCAGCTTCGATCCAATAGGTCTACCAGGAAGTGGCAGAGAAGCGCCCAAACACAACAGAGGGGAAGCTGTAACCCAAGCATAGGGCCAGTCAAAGTAGAAGAAAGAAGCCCAGAGTAGTGCGTAAACCCCGGTAACGAGATAATAGGGAAGGACGTGGACGAGCTCCAGAACAATGAAATTACGGACGGCACTCATGCGCAGATTCTGTCGTAGGCGTGGTACGCCAGCATCCGTCAATCGATTCCGATTCATATCTTCCAGCATTGTCTCCCATGCATCTCCAGGCCACAGCACAGCATTAGTCTGGACTTTGAGAAACTCCCATAGCCAAGTGATCAATTCCATACTACGAGGCTCCGTGGACAGCCACTGATTGATGAGCTTTTGACGTTGGGAGATCAGATAACGTCGTCGCATATCAATGCGTTCGTCAACATGGTCAAATGATGCTAGGAGATAGTGATTGTAGTAGAGACAACGATGAGGCACGACTCGCTGCCACTTCTGAAGACATTGGTCTCCCACAATGTGGCCACATTGTGTCAACCGTATTGCACGACAGTGACCGATTTCGTCCCGGAATGGCTCTTTGCACATAAAGCAGTCTTCGTCTGGTTGGATACTGAGAATTTCGTGGGGATAGAATTCAGTTTCCGTGAAGAGGATCCGGCCGAATGTAGATAGCCGGACCTCCATTTTGGTTGAAGAGGTGATTTTTGAAGTTGAACAATGTAGATTGATAGTGTGTTAATTGTGCTCAAGAGTCACAATGAAAAGGCCAAGATATAGAGTGAGGTATTGTAAACACTTAGTCAGCTGGCCGTGAAGTTCACTGTAGTTTAATGGCACTGTTTGTGGACAAGGGGAAAACAAGAGTGAACAACGTACTGCTGCCTGCTGCTGCCCAGGCGACTGAGTACTGCACTCGATCTTAGTCGTTCGACTACTCGATACTATTCCCCCTCTTTACCTGTTCGATTTACTCTAAACTTGTTTGAACGATTTTCTAAGCGCCGCAAGTACTTCTAAAAGAAACAGTTCTTTTGTGACGTCGAATACTGCCTTTTATATGGGAAGTCAACTCCGATATTCGTATCGATGCGAAACGCATTAACTAGATACTATAATTTAGTGAGATATAGTAATGCGCATACACTCGTTCTCTATCATTTCGATCTTAAACGTTGAGTTCACGTGATCGAATGATGCACTCTAGGACCTTGGAATGCTTTTTTGAACCCGACGTCCGCGTACTGTGGTTACTCGAGGGGTACAACGTCGACGCCCATGCAATTCTCGATATCCCGGGGATCTTTCAAGGGTATTCACGTCCTAGGTTTGTTTGATGATATGATTGCATAAATCGAATTGCGACCGAGCAAACTTACATAGATACTCACTCACATCAGTAATGAGTTGTCGATATTGACATTTCGCGTTGTCGCTTTTCCGTATCCTACGTTTGAACTCCAAATAAGCTTGCGCAAAGATCAAACGCGTACCTCAAGAAGTGCAACAACAACAATGTAACTACGAAAGCGGACTACCGCGAATGCCCAGAGGCAGCGATGGTATCGCCGGGCATTACTCCCCAATAGAGTTCATTTAGATGATTGGGTTGAAGTGTCCAAGTCTATTATTTGATCATCGCATTTCCATGCGGCACAAACACTTGGTATTGAATTGACTTGAAGCGTCACGGTCCCTGGACCTAATTTGCTTCCAATAATATTATTAATGACACATTGATGTTATTACACCTACTGACCACAAGTCCTGCCGGGAGTTTCAAGGCATTGTTCTAACTGTGCTCGTGCCGCATAGAAACCAGATGATTTGATTAATGAAAACTACATACCTAGGTATGTACACCTGATTACGGCAGAATCAGGTAACAGATCCCTACGTTTATCTTTGCTATTTTTTTCGGCAGGTAGCTCTCTTTGATACCTGCGAGAGGCGGGGTATTGAACGACATGCAGCTCGGGTGACCTTCTATGCGCATGATAGATAACCTCACGAGGTGTCACTTTCTGTCACCCAATAATAGCTGTAGTGGCGAACAAGCACCTTCCAATCGATATATCCCTTGCATGAATGGCCGACTAAAAGCTTGTCCATCTATTGGCAAAGCTTGAAGAAGCTTCCGTATAGGGGAATTGAGCGCCGTTTCCAATCCCGGTCCAATCAGCCTGATTAGGCAGGTATATATTCAGATTATCGCATCATCATCCGCCTCAGCATGTATCTGGAGTGGGGATCATCTGTACTCGACATATAAGACACAGATTCCACAATTCCAAGTCCGTACCTGGACTATCGAGCTATCTGCATCATGTTGTTCTTCGGTGTTTCAACGCTCGCTATTCTTGCAGTCACTGTTGTCGCACGACCAACTAGCAATGTAGTCGTCGAGCAATTGCAAGGTCCTCCTGCGGGCTGGATAAAAGATGATGGTACCAAGGTGGACAAAGATGTCACCACGATCACGCTCCAGATCCATCTTACAAACCAAGGCATGAAGGAATTCCACGACCTTGCCATGAATGTGAGCACAATATTCGTAGAATTATACAGGTTTGCTAGAGACATGCTGGACGCTCGCTGACATTGCCGATAGATTGCGACACCTGGACACGCACAATATGGAAACCATCTTGATCAGGCTACGATATCATCCATGATTGCACCAAAGCAAGAGTCCGTTGACTTGGTGCAGACCTGGCTTGAAAGGGAACTTCCTTCTTCTGGCGCGGATGTACTCGTGAACGGAGACTATGTCACTGTTCGTGCGAGCGTAAATGCCATCGAGAAACTTCTCAAGACGGAATACAACACGTTCGGTAGGTAGCAGAGAAACATGATCACAGACCTGTGTGCTAAGATGTCACGCGCAGTGCGCACATCGAGCTCCGACAAAGCTCTCAGAACCCTCCAATACAGCCTGCCATCAAACCTCGTTGGGCACATTGACATGGTTCAGCCAACTACCTTCTTTGGCCTTCAGAAGCAGCGTTCGACGATCTTGGAGCACCATGAGCTTGCTGATGATGATGAGGTTTCCACTGAGGCTGTTCAAGCTGTGCCGGGGTGCACTGGCTCGCGCATCACCCCTACATGTCTGGCGAACCTGTACAACTTTGTATCGGCTAAGAACCAGACCGTCGGACTTCTTGGTGTGGCTGGATTTCTGGAAGAATACGCCATCAAAGCAGATATGTCCACTTTTTTGAACAATTACGCTTATTTCTCCAACAAGTCTAAGGGCTTTACATGCGCGCCTGTTAATGGTGGTACTTGCCCTAATTCGCCGGCCGGTATCGAAGCCAACTTGGATGTCCAATATGCTGGTAGTATCTCGAGCTCCGTGCCAATGACTTATTATAGTACTGCAGGACGCGGTCCATGGATTGGACCGGGAACAAACACTAACGAACCCTACCTTGAGTTCCTAAACTATCTGCTGGCATTGCCTGCTGAGTCGCTGCCCAATACACTTTCCATCTCTTACGGCGATGATGAGTCCACGATACCAGTCTCCTACGCCACGAATGCCTGCAACCTGTTCTCTCAACTCGGAGCACGAGGCGTTTCCGTTCTCGTTTCGTCCGGAGATTCCGGTGTAGGATCTTCTTGCAAGATCAATGGAAAATCTTCTTTTACCACCGCGTTCCCCGCCGCTTGCCCTTGGGTCACCACTGTTGGCGGTACCAGTGGAACTTCTCCAGAAGGCGCGTGGTCTGCGGGCGGGGGCGGTTTCTCCGAAGTTTTTGAACGTCCGAGCTATCAAAATGCCACCGTTGCAAATTGGCTTGCTACTGATACCACACACAACGCCGTGACACCCTACTTCAACGCTTCCGGTCGCGCATACCCCGATGTCTCTGCGCTGGCTGTGAACTACGTCATTGTCGCTGGCGGATCATCCACTGGTGTTTCTGGGACTTCCTGTTCTGCGCCTGCCACCGCGGGTATCATTCAATTGCTGAACAGCGGACGCATCGCGGCGGGAAAGAAAGGGTTGGGATTTTTGAATCCTTGGCTGTATGGAACAGCTAGCACGGGTTTCAATGACATCAAAACCGGAAAGATCGGGGGTTGTAGTGGGGTCATCTCAGGAGCGGGATTCAGTGCTGTGTCTGGATGGGATCCGGCGACAGGACTAGGCAGCCCCAACTATGAGGCCCTCTTGAAGTTTGCGACATCAACAGCTTAGTTGCATATATTTCAAGATATTCTGAAATAATTGAAAAACCTCGGACTTAGTGTTGATTGTGAAAAACTAGACCTCACTCTAAACTATGAATTGTTCGATAACTGTGGTTTTCACCAACTTCGATTCGCATCAGGGTGACCAGATACGGTCACGTGCTATATCACTGCAAAGCCGGAGTAAACGGGAACAATCAAATTAACAATTGGCGAGTGGCAATGAATTTGAAGGAAATAATATTTCAACTATCTAAACCACCGTCTCTCATCGGAGGCTTCGGCATATCCAGTCACTGCGGAGTCTTCCATCGGAGGTACATAGTGATGCGTAGCACTCATACTGTGCTTTGAGGAGCTCTTGGACCACGCAAACTCAGTCACCTTGCCATTCGGGTCCAGAATCTTCACAATATTCTCATGCCTATAAAACACGGCAAGATCCAGAGGAGTCCAGCCGCACTTATCTTTGGGACTCTGATCATTGACCCGCTGGCGGGCGAGTAGAAAAGCATCTACATCACCTGCGAAAGCAGCAGAATGAAGTGGCGACCATCCGTGCGGATCAGGCTTTTCGGCATCAGCCCCAGAATCCAGTAGGAGCCGCATGGCATCGAGGTTCTTCGCTTCAATTGCGCATTGCAATAAGCTGATTCCGCGATGTGTGTAATTCACATCTAGGCCGTCGTCAAGGACCTGCTTGACGCTTGCGTATTGGCCATCCCAAATGGCTCGCCAGACCGGATGTCGCGCATCGCTGGTTGAGTCAACAGAATCGAATTTTGCGCCAAAGTCCTGGAGCGCCTGCATCACGGAAGGATTGCCCCAGATGATGGAAAGTTCAACGAGCGTCTTGCCGCTGGAATCGACTATCTCGTGGGTGCATCCGTTCTCGAGGAGGAAGCGGACGGCATCAGCCTTCCCGGCGCTGGCAGCCACCATCAAGGGGGTATAGCCGGCTATGTTCTTGATTGTTCGAACATCTACATTTTTCTCCACGAGATGCCTCAAGATTGCAACGCTTCCAGATTCTGCCGCCAAATGCGCTGGTGTGTTCCCTTGTTTCCCGGATATTTCGATGTTGCAACCCAGATCGTAAGCCGTTTTCCAGAGCAGCTCGGCTGAGTCGCCTCTTCGAGCTATCTTGTGAGCAACGCGATCCATGTTTTTGTCCATCGCATGTATGTCAGCACCCTTATCTAGGAGGTACTTGAGAACATCGACGCCTTGAGATTGAACTGTACAGAGTAATGGCGTTAGCTTCTCACTCGAGAAAGCATTCACATCCGCTCCTTTGTCGACCAAAATTGTCGCGGATTGTAGATCGCACTCTTGAGCGGCGATGTGGAGTGCAGAGAATCCTTGTTTGTCGACTGCATGTATGTTTGCGCTCTGCTCTAACAACCACTTGAGAGTTGCGTATTGTTTCCCTTTCACGGCGTGGAAAATCACGGTCTGACCTTTTCCGTCGCGCGCTTCCAGGCTACTTCCTTTCTCGTGAAGTTTCTTGATCATGCTGATGTCTCCGGTGCGAGCGCTAAAGTGCAGACTCTGTATGTTTACAGTATCTTGGCGGCTGATATGCTTCCCACCTTTGAGGAGGAGGTTTATCGTGTCTTCGTTGTTGCTTTCGAGAGCGTAGTCCAGCGGAGTACGACCTTCTGCATCCTTGTCGCTTAAGCTCGCTCCCTTACGAGCGAGTTCCTCAACAACTATAGCCTGCCCAAGTTTTGCCGCCCAATGAACTAATGTCATGTCGTTATCGTCTCGATACTCATCGAATGGTGTCGACTCAATAAGATATTTTGCAGTATCTGTATGTCCGTTCTTGATTGCCATCATGATGGCTTCACCGGAAGATAAAGATGCCAATGTTTTCGTCTCATGGCTTTTCGAGTCCTGGAGAAGCTTATGAATAACGTCAGTTCTACCGGAACTTGCAGCCCATTTAAGAACGGTTGAGTACTCGTCTTTGGGATTGAGTTCCTGGCTTTCGAGATCCTGGAGGGGACTGTAACTTTTTTCCTGGCGCGTGGGAAGTATCCTGCTGAAGTTTCTCCAAAGGAAGGTCAAGAGCCTAAACGGTGCTAAAATGATACTCAAGGCCAACTTTTTCGAACGTCTTTTCGAACACGAAATTGCATAGCCTCCTAGAGCAAGGCACATAACAATCAACGAGGTGTAGAGATAGTATAACCATGAAGGATCGTTTGTGAAGAGGTCCACGTTCATGCCGAAAATTCCCTATCTCCTAATTAGTCATAGGTCGAAATCGCATCGATTGGGGCGCTTACCGCTGCAAAAACAAGAGGCAGGAAAATGAACTGAATTGTCTGTTAGCTTGTTACATTGGATTCGTGATCGTTATACACACAGTGATCCACGAAAGCCTCCGAATGCTGTCATTCTGCTCTCGCGAACGATATCCCTCATCGATGCTTATCAAATTAGTCACTCGCTGGATAAGACTATCGGTCTCGTTGATGAGTTCTGTGCATATGCGAAAGTCTAAGTTTTTGAACTGTTGTATATAGCCATTGCATATGGCCTGAGCTTCCCAAAAGTCGTCGCGTCCTTCTATCCATCTCGGATCGAGATGGATGTTCTCAATGGCTCCTAGACTCACTACCTGATTTTGGAGTACTCGGCGAAATTCCTCCCAGCGCTGAGCCGCACCGACAAGGTTTCTGATGATTTTGCGATCCGTTTCCAATCGTTGTTGGAGGACTTCGTACCTCTACAATAATCAGAATTGATTCGGTCAAACCTTGATTACTACTTACAAACGACTCCAAGAAGCGTGTCGACACTGTAAGAAGATTATTCCAGTTTGTCAAAATGAAATCAAGCTGATTCAGTAAGTAATCCAGGGGAGCAGATCTTAGCTTCGTCGAGTTCTCATAGTTCTGATAGATCAACGCATCATAAGCGTATTCTGTGGTTTCAACTCTCCGTGAGCGAAAGCGAAAAAGAAGCATATTCCAATCAGCCATGAGAAAGCTGTCTTCCCTATCACAAAATGAGCGTTCAGGCGTAATCATGAAACAAAAAAGTTACATACTGGTCTTCAGAAGAGATTGCGATCGTATCCGACGTCGCTGTGATTTTGGGCTGCCTATCCGTCGAAGGTGATGTATCCTTTAACACATAAAATCTGAGGTTATGGTGCAGTGCCCAATGTCCGCAATCATCTCCCTTAGCACATCTCTGGCACTTACACCAGCCTGCTTCAGGCTTTGTCGTCATTGTAAAGTCGTTGTAGAGGCCATATGGGAACAAAGAGTATCGAGGAAAATCGAAATGATGAAACAATGTCAACAACAGAGGGGTTGGGCACTTCGGTCCATACATAAATAGCCGGCATCCCTGATCATTTTCAGCCTCAGGAAACATTCTGGTGTAGCGGCTCAGTGTTTCCGCATTGGCAAAAGGTTTTGGGTCCTCGCCGTCCTGAACCGACACTGTAGCGAGCACATCCGCCGTAGACGGGCGCTGTGTTCGCTGCACTTTATCTGCTTGAGCATTTGGTGCGCTTTGCGCTCCATTAGACGGATAATACGGTGTTTGCTGCTGAGGAAAGGTCTGTTGAGGTACGGGTTGAGGGGGCGCTGATGGATAGTACGAGGTCGATTGCTGAGGGATCGGTGGTGCACTTCCAGTGGGACCTAAGGGATAAGGAGACGTTTGTTGCTGTGGAATCGGAGGTGCACTCCCAGCTGGACCCAAGGGATAGGGGACTGTTTGCTGCTGTGGTACGGCTTGCGGCGGCGCACTGTAATTATACGATGATCCAAGTGGTGGTTGGTATGGTTGATATTGTGGAGCGCCATATGCGTTCTGGGACGACGGTGGCAGGGCATATGGCGATGAATATACATTCTGCGATGCTGTTGATTGTGGTAATGGTTGTGGATACGAATTAGGAGGCACTGGTGGCTGTGATGATGGCTGTGGATACGGAATGGCGGGAAGTGGAGGCGGCGGTGGGGCACTTCCATTGGAAGGTTGCGCATAGGCAGGACTCTGCCACGCCGGTCGTGAAGACATGGCAGAGTTATCGCAACACTAATCTGGGCGAGAGAATAGAAATTGGGCTTTAAGCCCTCATCACAATTCGTTACGGGAGGCTCACCATTTATGTTCTTCGACCGAGGTCAGCTGGAGTTGCACGATACGAATACGAGAGACTTGTTCCAGCCCCGGTGTATCCGATGCATTGGTGGCTTGAATTTAGCGAGAGTCTAAATCTTTAAATATCTTCATTGTACTCCCATAATTTGTAAGTACGTATCATGTTCATGTAGCAGTCTACTTGAAAATGTAAGAGCAGATTGATTATGCGAAGAACATAAGTTCTCCGCGCCCCCGTAGCCTAAGCGAATGGCCTTTTGATGATGAAGTCCTAATCAATAAATAATCAATAAACACCCACCATTCAACCAACAACGGAATCTGAAAGTGAGCAGAACTAGATCAAAATACTCTACTCAGTGTGCTTTTTCCTGGGGCCGGCCAGGGGTAAATCGCGGGCTCTTCATACTTAGTGTTGCGCCGAATATAAGTGATCGCAAATCCACACGTCAACTCAAGATGCCTGCGAATGGCTTTACTTTTCCCTTTATTTACAAAGCAACCAAATTAGCTCGTGGCAGAATGTCATCAAATGGTCAACGACGCGTTTTTCTTGTTTATATTAAGAGATGGAGAGGCGCAGATACAACTATGCCCCTGACATGTTAACGACTATCAAATTGGGTAGGAATGCTAGAATGATCGCACAGAAGTACCCAACTGATTTCTGGGGACCTCAGTTTTGCCATGAATAGTGGTTGTGTGAAACTTTTGCTATAACGTACGCGACGTACACAACTTGGCTACGTGAAGACGACTCAGAACCTGCCCTTGCGAATTGGCATTTGCTTGTCACTATCATTCAGAACTAATCCGGAATCGTTGTCTCGAGGGTATATCTCTCCATCGCGTTAGGGCCGATACAAAGACTGGGAGTATGAGAGTAACAGGGACATGAGAGAACTATTAGTACCAGGTAAAAGCTCGCAAAAACAAAACCGAGACTTCTTTACCCTATAGTCACGATTCGAGACGATATTCCTGAGCTGCGAATGATGATCTCATCTCCATCAAACATTTATCAATCCATACAACTTACTGTCTGACCACTCAATTGAGGGAGTAGACGCAGTAGATATTCCAGGCTCTGATCACAGAAAATCGCCTTCGGATTTCAGGGATCCGTGAATATATACCCAGGAATGTAATTGGTGTAGAGATGATCGTCACGTGATGTGACACATCAATTATCATTCACATCACGAGAGTGTTCGCTAAATTAGGCTTAAACTGGAATTGATCGAAAGCTATCCTCTCGCAATTTCTATCTGTCTATCTTCCTCGGAACCTCCTAACAACAACTAGCCAGAAACTGGTATTCCTCTACAAAGCATTCTTCAGGGAGGTGTAAGCCGGCTTGGGCTGGTAGTTGGTGTCGAACAAGAGAGGCTTGTCGCCGCTACGCCAGCTGTCCTTGTCAGAGACACCCCAAACGGTAATGCCGACACACTTGGAAACTTGAAGGCAGGCGTTTTGGACTGTGAGGTAGTCATTGGGTGCGGCACCGGAGATGTCAAGCTCAGTGATGGCAACTTCCTTGACGTTGGCGGCGGCCAATGCCTTGAGGGCGTTGGGGACACCGGAAGCTGGGTTCCATCCACCGGGAGCAGCAAGATGGGCTTGCGAGCCGATACCGTCGATGGGAATACCCTGGGAGATCCACTTGTTGACGTGAGCGACCATACCGGTGGTGACCTTGGCGTAGTTGGCAATGTCAAGGTTGTAGTCGTTGATGTAGAGCTTAGCGTTGGGGTCAGCGGCGCGAGCTGCGCGGAATGCAATGCCGACGAAGTCCTCTCCGAGCACGCGGCTGAAGACACTGTCTCTGAGTTGACCGTTCTCTGCGAAGATCTCGTTGACTACATCCCACTGGAGGATCTTGCCCTTGTAATGGGTGACGAGGGCGGTCACGTGGTCTTGGATCACCGTCGTCAGTGTATTGCGATCGTTGATCTGGGAGACCCACGCCGGCAACTGTGAGTGCCAGAGAAGGGTGTGGCCGCGAACGTATTTTCCATTCTGGGTGGCCCAGTTGACGACGGCATCAGCGTTCGTGAACGTGAACTTTCCGCGCGTTCCTGTAAGTGTACAGTTAGTTTACATTCACATGCTTAAGGTATCAACGGATGAACTCACCCTCAGTAGCATCCCACTTCAAACTGTTCTCGTTTGTGATCTGTCCGAAGCTGTTCTTGGCGATGTTGAGCAACGGCTGATTGTTCAGGTGGTATTGGTCAATTTCGGTGCCGAAGTAAAGCTTGCCCTTAGCCTTGAACTTGGTGTGAAGTTCGCCTGCTGCTCCTGAACCGCCAGTGGGGGCAGGTTGGTTGCCTCCTCCACCCGAAGTAGTCGTAGGTGCAGGCTGACCACTGCCAGAGCCGGTGATACATTGAGAGTAGTAATCACTGGAGAAAACGTTAGAATGATATATGGGATCTACATGAAACTAGGAGATATATTGCTTACTTGATGTATGTGCAAACCGTGCCAGAAACGCAGGTTGTAGCACCAGACCATCCGATACCGCCACCTAACAACGAGTGATATCAGTGTTCTGCTCGTATTGGATGATAACTTCGAGGCATGACTTACACTGGCCGTAAAGTGGAGATTGGCCGAGCACGACAGCAGGGGCAACAGCGAGTGCAAGAATAGAGGTACGCATGATGGCAGATTCCAGTTGGACGGGAAGATGGATGATCTGAGCTGATTATGGCACAAGGCTGGAACTTTAATAATGGGGATCCCTTCCCTTTTATTTCTTGTTGTGGAGAAGCTTTGCGTAGCACGTGTTGAAGACGTGAAATGGGAGACTTCCTAAATGAGGACCAAAATGGAAGCGATTGGAGGGTAAATCCCCGGTTTTGCAAAGTAGATAGATGAAATCCCACATCTAACAAAACCCGGTTTTCACGCTTTGCCGAACTACCATTTTCGTCCCTACCCCAGGAAAAGCCTGGATGCTACCCCGGATCTTAGTGTCACCTGCTATTGTTCTCTGGAGCCTGGCCGGATACAATTTATCCATATTTGGGGCGGTTCTTGGCCTCCCGAGTCCTCTTTCGAATTATTCTCGGTGTATCTTGATAGATATTCGAGCAAAATTCCATGCCGAACCCAATCATAGAATATTGACATATGAGAATGATTGAGTTAGCTCTTCATTTGCGAACGGCCCAAGGCTAGCATATATTAACTCGCTAACAATGAATAGCCTAAAGACCCCGAAGCAGCCTTATGCCAAGCTGGCTGCACGGAAGCGAATGCTGGGTAGCTTGTTTCTAAATTGCAACAACAACTATCACAATATATTCTATCTAAACTTAGCAGAATTATGGCTTCACGATTGGAGATTTCCACGACCGCGTGGCTGAGACGGGCAAGCGGCCGTATATTGCCAAGATCATCCCCAAATTCACCGCCTAACTCGTGCTACTTCGAAGGATTGCGCTTAATCGAGAATATGCTTGATCGAGACTGCCATGCTTAAATCTTCAACAAAAGGGGCCGAGTTTTCCGACGCTGTGTTTGCAAGGATGTTGTAGTGATAATGCGCTTCAACAGTGCTATCACGCGACACTAGATGGAGCTCGGTATATGTCTACGAACCATAGAAAAGGGATGTTGTTTATCATCGGACATCGATGGAACTGACCCCGGAAAATTCTGGGAACGAAGACAGAACGTTCAATACTTGCCACACATAATGCGCTGAATGTGTCAATTATCTCAAGAAGAGCAGCCGAGGCACGCCACTGGACCTATCAGTGTAGCATGTGCTAGTGCATGTATTGTATTGTGCGAGATGGCTAGCCCAGATGATGTCTGAGACGTTATGTAGCATTCAAACGTCGTACCAATGTCCTCGTTTCCGCGGATCACCATTCTCCCATCGCAGTCAAAGACTTATCTTTTGCTACTGCTATATCTATAATATGAAGCACTAGAAGACGAAACAATTTGATCAAAAATATAAACTAATCGCAACGATGATTGATGGTAAGCTCTCAAGCCTTGCACATACAACTTCAAGATTGAATATCGTTGACAGAAGATGAGACCCCCTAGCATCTGCCCCTAACGCTTCGGCTCTGTAGCCCTCACATGATCATCACTGGCATGTGTACCTGAATCATCGTTTCGTTTAACGCTTTCTCTTTTCGCGCATTCTATTTCTGTCCTTCAATTCTCTACCACACTCCCCTAACCCACCTCTGCGGACCACTAAACGTGTTCTACACTCTTTCGTCACAGCGTCAATATAGCACTGCCGATCGTACTCACCCCCGCAACTTTTGAGATGTTCCAGCCACATCCAAGTATTGTGCTCACCGATCTTAGCATTCAACTCCGGCATCAAATCTGCACCCAGAGCCACCGACCCCATTCCACCACTTATATGCTCGAGCATCGCCCAGTCAATGTAACGGAAAGTTTTCTGGGGATGTGTTCACGCGATAAAAGCGTCGTATTCTTCCTATTGTTCTTGATTGTGTACGATCATCGAGATCAATAGAACCGGTGCATGATTTTCAAGATTCACAATGCCGACTCGGTTGGAAGTATCAATATCCTGGGCGGAGAAATAGTTTCCATTTCGCCGCACTCGGTCGAGACTCTCCAGGGAGTGAATTTAATGTCCTGATGCGACCGACTTTCAACCTCGAATTTGCCACGTGAGACCATAAGGTTACAATCTGGTCTCCACTTATATATGCTTCTATTTTCGAATGGATCTTGGTACAAAGACTTGAGATGCTGATTACTCACGTGAACGTCAATCCTTTCCTCCAGCCTTCAACGGCCAGAACCTTTCAACCCCACCCATTCCTTTCCAACTCTCAATCAGCCTCTCATATCGATCCCAACTCAAATCCATAACCTCCTCACACACCTCAGCGCTCCTTTCCACCCACCCCTCTCGATCATCCGCCACTATAATAATTACACTCCCTTCATAATTGTATTTTGCCCACGGTGCTTTCCCGTTGGCGAAGTCAACCCACAGCTGTGCATGTCGTGTAGAGATATATTTGAGCCGCTTTGTGGGATATCTGAATTGAAACGTCTTGAAGACAAAGTAGACGTCGACCCAATGATGCGGGAGTTGATAGAGAGAGTGGTTTGGAAAGGGATTTCTGACGTCGAAGATGTAGCGGTATACCTTTTTGCTTGGTTTGGAGGAGAGATGGGCTGCTAGGGCATGGGTAGGGGCTGGTTACTCTATTAGAATGTTGCTTTGTCTGGATGAAGGAGATGTCGCTGGACAGCCTATGCGAGAAAGTTTTACTTGCCGTCGAAGACGTAATCGCCATACAACCACATCGCCCTTGTCATGAACAGGTTTGGATCCATGTCCGGTGTCATGTTATACGCTTCCCTTGTGATTCTCTTACTGACCTGACCCTCAATACCGTCGAGGCCCTCTTGAGGCGTAATGTTGGCGAATCTGCCCATGGAATAGGAGCCCTATATGAAGTATACGTCAGTACCTACACACACTACATGTCTCCAATAAGATCGATATATCTGACCTCAAACCCAGTAGTCCCAAGCACAACCTCATCAACCCACTCGCACTCAGCAACCATCTCGATAGCCCGATCACAGGTACTCCCCTCTGTACCCTCTCCAAACCATTCTTCATCCCACACAGGCCACCACATAATCCCTTCATCGCCGATTTCAGCAGTGACTTGGACAATCCTCTCAACATCCGCTTCCCTCAACTTCTCCAACCCCTCCACCCCCTTCTCATGAATCCCCATCTTCGCTAAAAACCTGTCATATATTGCCTTCGCGAAATCGATAGAATGCGGTAACGTCGCAGGCCCCAGGATCCCAGACATCAAAATAACTCTCCTAAACAACGGTCCCGTCTGCGGGGGTTTCGAAAGCATATGATCACAGATCGAAAGCGCGCCTGCTGACTCCCCAAAGACCGTGACGTTGCTTGAATCACCACCGAACCCAGATACGAACCTCTGAAGCCAGAGAAGTGCATTACGCTGATCGTTTAGCCCGCGATTCGATGTTCCAGCTTCTGGTATGTAAAGAGAACCGAGCGCCCCGAGACGGTACTGGATACTTGCTGAGATTACGGGTTGTGCATCAGCGATCGATTGCTCGGTCATGAGGGCGGTGCTGTGCGCATTGTCGATGTGGCCGAGGACGAAGCCGCCGCCGTGGATGTAGACTAGGATTGGAAGTTTACGTGGAGGAGCCGCTTGGAGTGTTGATAGGGGGACATTGAGTTGGAGGATTAGACTTGTGAATTCGTTGCTTAGAGGAGGTGTAGAGATGTTGTCCTCGGGGATCGGGCCGCCGTCATGGATACGGGAGGGGAAGATTTGGGGGCATGCAGCGCTGGGGCAGGAGGTAGTCAGCAAATGGCCTCTTCGATTAAGTATGTCATGTCATGTCATTTAGCTAATATGTCAGATGTTCAGTGAGGCAGGAAAGATAATTTGTGCTTACCCCGGCTTTGTGAAGTCCCTATCAGTTTTCCCAAGGTCATTAAGCAGGACAGACTGTTTAAATCGCCCTGGTAGTGTGGCATAAGGTACGGCTTTGAATTGAACAACGTTGTTAGGCTTCCGGACACCCCTCATCGAACCTGTTTAACAACGCGAAGTTAGAACAGTTTGAGCATTTTCCCACATTATGCTCTCTTCTCTCCCGTAGTGAATGGCATGCGCTGTGAGAAGCTCTAAAATTGGAATCGAGAAAAACACGAACTGCGGGGAGATAAAATCAGTACGGATACCCAGAACTGTTGTCAAATCACCCACCCAAGTTCCGGATGTAGGAAAGTATAAGTCTCCACCCCCTCGTCCATAGTCGTCGTTCTTTTACTCATTGCAAATACTCAAATTTCCGAGGGCATCCCAGTTAGTTTAGGGGTAGAAAAGAGATTTGCGATTAATTATATGCACCACGCGTGTGTTAACCAGAAAGCAAAGTGTTTTCACCGTGAAGCGCAGAATAGATGGACATATCCCAATGCACATACATGGGTAATTATGTATAAGGACACGAGGACAGTACATACCCCTCACCTCACCCCTGCAATTCCTCATACCCCGGATCAGTGATATTCACAAGGGAGCCGAGCAAGATGTAGTTTAGGTGAGATTCATTGGGTGAAATGTGATTGATAACACTTTTGATATTCATTTTTGCTACTCCCGGAAAAAAGCAAATCTATAGATGAGCCACATTAAGAAAGCTCGACGTGATTCCCGCAAACCTGAACAAACGCACACCTTCTAAACGGGCGTCGCAAAAACCAATGCAACACCATCATCACCAGCAGTGACAACTTTCGAGCCGTCGCCTCCCTGCACAAAACCCATGATGCCACCACCCTCGCCACCACCTCGGTGTCCCTTCCACTCGCCTAACAGGCCTCGCGCGGCCGCCGCAGTTCCACCCCGAGCATCCCATCTTCGAAGGACGCCGTCGTATCCAGCAGTCGTCAACAGCCATGAACCGGCACCTTCCTTACGCAAAAATTCCACCTTAACGACAGCCTGTGGCGCTTCTTCATCTGCGTGCGCCTCTTCAATGCGTCTCCGCACGGCAAAGCGGTGTGCGGTGTCGAAGAGCGTGATGCTGCCGTCGACATTGCCGGCGGCAAGGAGGGTGAGAGGTGCGCTGGAGAAGGTAAGGGTCTCGACATTGTCGGTGCCGGCTTGAAGACTGGCTAAGATCTGACCAGATTGTCCTGCTGAGGCTGCGCCGCCCTTGACTGGTGCTTGTTTTGAGCCGCCTGATTTTGCTTTTGCGCCTTGGCCGCCAGATGAGGTAGAGGGTTGGGCGACTGAGATACGAGGAAGTCCGACAATGCGGAGTTGACCTTCGGGTCCGCCGACAGCTACGAAAGTACCTGAAGGGGCGATGGCGACAGTGTAGAGACCACCTTCAACGCGGAACCGCTCATCGAGTCCTGTGAGGCCGACCACGGCCTGTGAGTTAGAGGTGGATGTAAGACCTTGTGCTGCAGCATCGCCGAATACATCCCACACGTAGAGACTCGAGTCTTCGGACACGGTGGCTAGGAGAGTGCCGTCGCTGTTCCAAGACCCTGCTGTGCATGATTCTGTATGTGTGTAGTATGCTTGCAGAACTTGTAGTTCGCTGCCCTTGTCTGTACTAAGCTGGTACACCCACACGCTACCATCGTTGGCACCGAGCGCAACAACGTTCGGGTGTTCCGGTGAAGGGTTTGAAGCAATCCAGTTGATCTCTTCCACCTCTTGTGCCTCAGCAAGGAACTTCCATTTCGTGCCGTCCGGAACACCCTGCCACACGCGCAACTTGCCATCTAAGCCAGCGGTCGCAACGAACTGTCCCTTGGGCTCTGAGAAAACAACAGCATTGATCGAGTCGGTATGCCCATCTAGCTTCATCAAGCTTTGAATGCCTTCTCGCTCTTGTCCTTGTGTCTGCCCCTCCTGTACTGCTGATGTGTCGAATATGTAGCCCACATCGTCGCCTCCTCCTGTCGCCACGATCCCTGGGTGGACGGGATGTTGTGTTATGCAGAAGATACTGTCCTTGTGTCCGTCGAAATGTGCCATTGAGTCGTTCTGCAGCTGTATCTCCATTTGCACATCGCGCCCCGCCTCGTCTTCTTCGTCGTCAGAGTCCATGGGGACGTCACCGTCGTCAAGTATCACTTCCTCAGCCTCCTCTTCGTCCAACATCTCGTCAACCTCATGGACATCCTCGACATCGTCGTTGTGTAGCTGGTTGGGGTTTGGGACAGCCATTGTTTTGGCGCGCGTGTCGACGGTGATTGTGGGTGGGCTCTGGTGAAAAACGGATGGGAAAGGGAAGTGGAACGTAGTGGTTTCTGGAAAGAAGAAGTAGAGGTTTTGCGAGCAATATAATGCGACAGAAATCGCCTCAGGGCAGTATCCAGTGTTTTCGTTGCTTAGAAATGCAAGGCTCACTACTCATAACTTTTTTTCGCTTTAGAGACCCACGACGGAGATTCTTAGGAGGGGTAAACGCCGACGTCACATTAGTCAGCCAGGTTCATCCGCTTCTCTCACGTGATCCGTGATGTACCGTCGCCCACTGAAGTCAATAATAACAAATCAGTATATTCAATGCCCAAACCTCTCAAAAGACGTAACGAGTTTATCACTGGTAGCTCCTTATGGCTTCTCGACACGTTTCGACTCCAAAAATTCTGTCGTCGAGACATATGACATGCTCAAAGCTTCAAACACTTGTTTTTCTTTTGGAATGACTTAAATTCTTCGAAACGGATGGGCAGGAATGTAGAGACAGGTCTCGACAGGCTAATTAATGGTCGGTGATAAGTGGTCAACTAGTCGGTACGTGGTATCGCAAAAACAGCAAAGATCATATAGAGAAGAAAAATGCTCCATTCTAGCCGATGTATTAGAATTCCAAAATTTGATGGTCACACCATTTCTCTATCGGGTATGCAACCAGATCCACGCAAGATGGCGCACTTTGAAAAGCTAGACATGGCTCATGTAGATAGCATCGCGGATTCACTACGCGAAAACACCTCCTAACCACCAAGCCCTATGCCCCTGGCATTGGCAACCGCGTGCCATCATAGTCCCCTTCATCCGGCATGACTTCGTAAGACGGCTTGTCATTTTCTGAGAGCGACTCGGGATCGATGTATCGACACGTGAGGGCAAATCGCAATTTGCCAGTGTGGTCTACTGAGTGCTCATAGAACTTCTGCAGCTCAGCCCCGTGCATGACCACAATGTCGCCGTGACTAAGCGTCATCGTGATGGCATCTTTTGCGTTGCCACCGCTCTTCAGACCCAGTTCCCTGGGAATGGCCTTCAGGCGCTGAGTGTACGCTTTGCGATCGCTGGCCTCGAGGTCGCGCAGCTCTTGTTGTAACTGCAGCCGCTTGTCATACTCGGCGCATCCGGGAAGTGGCGCCTCAGAATCGTACACGCCGGCCTTGGAGACACCATTAAAGTGACGCGCTTTCATTCGGATGCGCATCGTGCCCGTAGCCCCAAGACTGAGCGTCGCAATGGTTGGTCCTAGACCAGTTTCGCCATCGTCGTGGTAGCTGATCTTTTGATCCTCCAAGTAACCAAGAGCCAGAACTTCGTTGAACTCCTTCGGTTTCCATTCATCGCGAATCATAGAGAGTGACTTGCTTGTATCTTCCTTTGACAGCAAGTACTGTGCGGCCCAGTTGAGACGGCTACGGGCGAGCGTTATAGGTGCAGCAGACTCTGTGAATGGAGACGAGGCTGTCGCTGCGATAAACTTGTATGGCATGCCGTAATTAACAACATAATGCCGGGTGAAGTGATCGTGACCCATGCTGCGACGGGCCAAGCCGATGTCATTTTCTTGTAGTAATTCAAACATGGCATCTGGTCCCTCCGGTTCCTCTACCACTGTTTTGTTGGCGATCATGTGTGTAATGAAGCCATTGACGCCCGGAATGGTGAACCTATTGATGCGGTAGTTGTCCGCAAAAGACACCGACATGTCCACTAATGGTGAATGTAGATCACGAGAGTACATGTAGGAGGTGCTCAATGGGTTGAACGGATCGTGTAGTGAAGAGGACGGGATGAGTGCATGCGGGGGTGTCTTCTCGAATGAACATTGGGGGTTTCTACACTTCCACCCAGTCCAATCTAATCGAGAATTGCACCGCCCGCAATCAGGACACACAACACCTGACCAGTGGGCACGTGAACAGTCTTCGCCCAGGATCGAGTTCCCGGTAAGCTCCGCATTCAATGATCCGAGGGGCAAATTGCTATCATCGTTGGGCCATGGAGTGTGCTGTTTCAGGAAACGAGGGTCATACATGAGAATGCCCTCCTCTGGATCCCTGAGGTCGTTGGAAGCAGGAGAGGAAAATCTCCAGAAATTCTCGCAATCTGGCTGTAGGCACATCCATCCCTGCAGATACGTCTGCTGCGAATCCCGGTTGCACTTAGGGCACACTTGAACAATGGGTGGATCCAATGTGCCAGGCTTGGCGATCTCAGCCGTGTCTTTTGGTTGCCACCATGAAGTCTTCTTCGAGTTAAGCTTCTCAAATCGGAGGCGCAGGATCTTCTTCCCTTCACTCTTCTCCCACCAGACGTTCGTGACCTTAAAGTAGTCTAGAACGCAGTATGGGTGGGGAGGTTGTATCTGAGCCTGAGGGTTGTTGTCTGCAGTAATGATGACAACAGGATTGTACTGTCTCATGTTGTTCCGAACGGAGCTCACAGTTGCCCCCTCGGTTTGATCTTTACTCATTTTCATTTGTCCCGAGTCGTCGCGCTTCATGCCTCCACCAGCACCTATGTCATAATTGCAATGTCAGCTAAATTCATTCAAACACGCTGCGGTCCATGAATGCCATGGGATAGTGCTGCCCTATAGGGCATCTCGAGGAGTTGGAGATAACTTACGGGCAATTATGACGCTTCCATCCATGTAGTCGCGCGAGTGTGAACTGTTGGCGAACATGAACGCCCTCGCAAATCCTCCAGTAGCGTAGCATCCGCCGTGATATGACCGGTAGTAGTACAAAGTCTCACAGAGCTCCATACGGGTATCCGCCCAAACTTCAGGTTGTCCGCTTGGTTCCGGTTTTATGGGATTGCGGGGTGCTAGTAGTTGTTCAGCCAGCGACTTCAGATCATCAGCTTCATCTGGCACTGTTTCTGCCGTCGATGCAACTGAGGCGGGTGGTGTCGGGTTTCCAGACAAGTATACTTTCTCCGGGATATGACACTCAAATACCGGCGTTGGAACTGGTGAGACGGCTTTGAAAGATGTCGGTGATCTATCTTCTGTCAACTGTGGTGACGCAGTTTGCTGTTGAAGGTTCTATTGAGTAAATGGGAAATTAGCTACGTTCATAGGATAATAATGAAATACATCGATAGTCAGTGGTTGATTCTCCACCTACCTGTTCAATACTCGCTTCAGTTATCGGTTCATCAAAGGGGCGATATTGAAGCGATGGGCCATCGTCTGCTTCGCCGTCGAGCGAGAGATCGTCCGGCACCGAGGAGAGGGAGGATGTGTCATCCCAGTCAATTTCATGTTGATCGAAGCTTGTATGTTGGTCCGAACGACCCCGATCATACTGAACGAAAGGCTGAACTTTAGGAGGAGACCTAGTGAGCAAATGGTTAGCCAAGTGAACTAAAGACATGGCAATGAATCGTGGTATTTCCAGCAAGCGCGGACGGCGAGTGAGTGCGCCTTGTTTTTGTGTACTTACTCAGACTCATCTTTACGGGGGCGCTTGTATGCGTGGAACGCCGCGAACACGTCGTCGTAGTTTTTGCGTTTTGCCGCTCGTGGAGGTAGCGTCCGCGTTGGGGTTGCCATAAAGCTTTGAATAACTATATATCACTGGTCAGTAAAACGACCAGACATATTTGAATGGGCGGCCAGAGTCCTCGCAATGCCACCGTGACTGGAAACTTAAGATTCAGGGTAATACATACGCTTTTGATTGCTGGTGCTCGTCCTGAGAGTGACAATCAATGAGGCCCTTTCATCTTTTTCAGCAGCACTGGATTCCGAGCCGGCTGAGGAGCGCTGCGGAGGCGTATTCCCTGTCGCTTGATGTTTGGCATTGAGGGATTTAGATCGAGGGGATTTGCGAGCCATATTGGTGGACAGTGGCTTGAGCAAGTCAGGCGATGGTAGATGTTGTGGGCGGGTTGAGGTTGAGGTTGAAGTTGAGGTACGGATACCGGTATAGAATGCCTTGCAGAAGTTAGAAGAAGAGACTCTTTATAAGCGTTGACAGAAATATATAGTAGAGGGTGTGAGCGGCGTGGGTGAAGTGAAAGTCACAAGGCAGAATGGATTGTCCTGGGTGCAACTCTGCGTGGAAAGAAAGTAAGTGAGAGCCACTGTAAACGCACAATGCGTATTACATAAGGCCCACATAACGGCCCTAACAATAGGAAGATGGGCAGAAGCGTGAAACTGCAAAGCATCTATTGAACGAAGTCATTGTCGTAATTGAAAATGGAAGCACGTGGAAAGCAAAGTCATGACCGGTTGTCGTGATTGGCTGGGAAGTATAGTGTAGCGTTTTGTGTTAGTGCTGTTGATAAAAGGACGAGATAGGGTAAGTAAATGTCAATTATTTCAATTCGTGAACAATTCATATATATGGCAGGGCCAAGGTCCCTCGTCCCGCGTACGTAGGCCTTGGATACGGCGTCGTCCATGATAGACTGAGGCCATTGAAACTCGAGAACCGCGCTAGTGCTCTCAGTGAGACCTCGGCCCATGGGATGAGCTAGACCACATCGGCCATAGCTCAGCATCTCCACGCGCTCCTCCGCTCCCCACACTTCTACGTTCAAACGGTAGTCCCCATGGTGATGACCGAGTCAACTCCGAAAGAGCTATCCGACGCAGCTATTTGAGTCGAAGCCATTCTGCAAGCCTCGCTTCGTCTTGACAGCCTTGTTTCCGTCTTTTCGCATTCGATCGCTCCAATTCTCACACGACGCGCCCATAATGCCGTTCTACGCAGCGCCGAACCACCCGAAGCTTCCCTTCGACCCACCCGACTCTATCACAGTGGGCGATTTTATGCTGGACGAAAACTATGGCCGACACCCACTTGGCTACTCGAGGCCCATGTTTACGTGCGGTATGACCGGGAAAGAATACTCGGCTCTGGAAGTACGAGAGCGTGTCGACTACCTCGCCCGAGGGCTGGCGAAGGAGCTGGGTTGGTCCCCGAACTCTGGTTCGGAATGGGACAAGACTATTGGCGTTTTCTCCGTAAACACGGTGGGTTTGCACATGCCGCAGTAGTAGCATCATCGCTAACGTGCAGACTTAGCTCGATACAGTCCCTCTGGCATGGGCCACCCACCGCCTGGGTGGCATCCAAACACCAGCAAACGCCGCTTACAGTGCCGCCGAACTTGCTTACCAACTGAAGAACTCAGGCGCGAAATGTCTCTTCACTTGCCTCCCTCTCCTTGCAACGGCAAAAGAGGCGAGCAAAGAAGCCGGAATACCCGATGACCGTATATACTTGCTGGATGTTCCCGAGGCGCTCAGTGGAGGACTGAAGAAGCCAAATGGGATGAAGACTGTGGATGACTTCATCAGCCAAGGCGCAAAGCTGGATCGTCTCGAACCTTTGAACCTGGGACCCGGGGGTGGTGCGACGAGAACAGCTTTCCTCTGCTACTCCAGTGGCACATCAGGCCTACCGGTGAGCTTCTAGCAGTGATCAGTACGAGACGTCCAGGCTGACCCATACCTTGCAGAAAGGTGTGATGATCTCTCACCGCAATGTCATTGCAAACACGCGTAAGTCTCCTTATATGCTAGCCTTGTAAGAGCGACTGTTAACATAAAGCAGTACAGATCACCGTACATGAACAGGCGGCGCGGAAAACCAGGCAACAGCCCGCTACGCAGTCCGACTATACGGAGACTGCGCTCGGTCTACTCCCAATGTCGCATATCTATTCTTTGGTGGTCATTTGCCATGCTTCGGTCTATCGCGGCGACCAAGTAGTTGTGCTACCCAAGTTTGAGTTTGCTCAAACTCTGGAGGCCGTCCAGAAATACAAAATTGCCACATTGTTCCTGGTATGTTCATTGTCCTTCAGTTTGATAGTCATCTGACATCCAAACAGGTCCCGCCCATCATCATTCTCATGACAAAGAACAAGCCACTCCTAGACAAGTACGACCTGAGCAGCGTATGGGCAATCTTCACCGGCGCAGCACCTCTCGGCGAAGAGACAGCTACTGAGCTGGTAAAGCTCTTCCCTAACTGGAGTGTCAGACAAGGCTACGGTCTCACGGAGACATGCACCGTCGTTTGCGCGACTCTCCCCGAAGATATTTGGTTCGGCTCCTCTGGACCCATCTTACCCGGCGTCGAATGCAAGATCGTGACCACCGAAGGCAAAGAAGTAACTGGCTATGACCAGCCGGGCGAGCTCCTCGTGAAATCCCCCAGCGTCGTGCTCGGCTACCTCAACAACGATAAGGCAAACGCGGAAACCTTCCAGAATGGCTACATGCACACCGGCGATGAAGCCGTGATCCGGAAATCTCCCAATGGCATTGAGCATATCTTCATCGTCGACCGCATTAAGGAGCTCATCAAGGTCAAAGGTCACCAAGTCGCTCCTGCGGAGCTGGAAGCCCACCTTCTCACCCACCCGGCCGTCAACGACTGCGCCGTTATCCAGGTCCCCGACGAGAAATCCGGCGAGGTGCCCAAGGCTTTCGTCGTAAAGTCACCTTCTGTCGGCATCGAGGAGAACAATCGCGTAGTGGCTCGTAGTATCCAAAAGCATGTCGAGGAGCACAAGGCGCGTTATAAGTGGATTACTGGCGGAATTGAGTTCATCGACGAGATCCCGAAGAGTCCGTCCGGCAAGATCCTGAGGCGGTTTTTGCGCGACAAGGAGAAGGAGACGAGGAGGAAGCAAGGAAGCAAGCTGTGAACGATGTCCTTCCCGCGTGAACACTGTTGTTTATGTAGATCGTATGCTATCTTGAATATAGGTAGACGGAAAGATGATCTTATATCTCCTGAATCTTTTTTGCTGACAGACGCGATGGCGGGAGCTAGATTAGCGTGCATCATGCAGCATCTTGATCGGCTCTGGAACAGTGACATGCAGGGCGCACGCTCAACGAGCCTACGCAGATATCTCATCGCATTGATTGATCTACACTAATCTATAACAATCTCACAGTCAGTTTATGCATTGAAACCACCAGCGCAACCTTCAACCTTCCTAATCCGGAAAGAAATCCCCGAGCCATCGAAAACAGAGATCGAGTGAAAGTCAACGGACCACCACTAGCGCGGGGTGAGCAGCCTTCCCAATTCGGCAAGTTCTCGCAAGGCCGTTGAAAGCAGCGATCGGGTGAAATTCAAAAAACGATAGAGATCTGATAGGACTCGGATAGCTGGATAGGAATCCGCCCACGGATAGCGATTGTAAATCCAACAACGCTTCTAAACGTATTTCACAACGCGATGTATTCCAGGGTGCGATGGATATCACTGTATTATTGAATTCCACAATCAGATGGCGTGCAGATAGGAATCCCTGTGCGAAAGGCATGCAAAAGAAATGCAATCGCTCGCTCCGTGCAATTGCATAGGTAATCTACACTTTGGTGGATTTATTACTCGATTAGGAAGGTTGGTCAGCTTGCATCCACGCTGTGCGCGTTCAGAGGTAGTATTGTGTAGCTGCGCTCAATGGCACCAGCACAAATCTCCGCTTTTTGGCATGTTGGTATTCCAACTTTCCTGGTGTGGCGGGAGTTTGAGGTTGATGTGTATCGAAAGCCGGGGAGCAAACATTTGACGCTGTCTATGGTTTTCTGGCGTCATGTCCCTGCAAGACTTGGTCAAGAGGTTGGAGTCAAGCTTCTTTGCTTTCTGATATTTGTGTTAGAAGACATAGCATGGGATTAGAAATGCGATAGATGTTGTGATTTCCCATGGGCGGGATCTGTTTGGGGTGGTGGGGGCATGTTCGCTGTACGGCATGTACGTGTGTGACCATGTCTTGAGGCTTTAGGCAATTCATGTTACAGCTGTACTACATCGTGTCGTGGGAACATGAGGAAGGGCCAGTGGAGGGTAAATCGACACTCGAAGCATGTGTGTCACAGCAAGCGGAGGGGATCAGCCAATATTTTAATTTGATTATTGATCAAGCCTTTCACAGTGTCCAACAGCTATCCGCGGCTCGATGTTTTGTTTTCCCAATGAAGAATGAATGGGTCCTTATGTATATCTGCCCAAGCGACAATCTTTTCCCAGTCTCTGACAACGTCCACCATTGTTAATTCTCCGTCTCACGTGTATAACCCAACAACCTCATCCTCGAAAGACTCTTTGAACTAGCGCATCAAACGCGATCCTGAGATTTCTCCTCGCTCAGTACTCCTCATCGTCACTGTCATCTCCAGTGAGATCCACCACCATAGCCATAGTCTCCTTCTCCAACTCGCGGAAGTGGTACGCGGCCTCCATCTCCTCCACAACTTCCAACAGCTCACCAGCAGTAGCTCGATCTTCCATCCTCAACTGCAAGCTCATGGCCATGCACTGATTCAACGTATCCGAGTAGCGAGGAGTAGGTCGGAGCCTGCGTCTATCGAACTCGTGGGCCTCCGGGTCGATGTTGATGGGGAGCGGCCAGCGAGGTGTCTTGGCCTCCCAGTAGAACCGCTTGATGTTGGGATCCAGTCTACGATCGAGCTGAGCACCATGACGAGACTTCATAGCCTGCTCGCGGTGGAGCTCGGGGTCCTCGATGGGAGGGAAGCCGTGGGCGAGCTCGTGGATGATGCAGCCGACGGCCCAAACGTCGCCAGCGGGAGTAGCCTCGCGTCCCTCCCAGGTCTGCTCTGGTGGCCAGAGGATGCTGGTGCCCCAGTGACCGGGCATGCGCTTGTCCTCGGGGTCGTAGAAGGTAGCGAGGCCGAAGTCGCCGATCTTGATCTTGATGTCGGAGAGGTCGGTCTTCACGCCAAAAGAAGTGACGAAGACATTCTCGAGCTTGATGTCGCGGTGGATAACGGGGTGCCAGACGGCCTGCTGCTCGGGATCGGCGCATCCGACGCCCTCGTGGAGGAAGGCAAGGGCGGAGCTCAACTGGCGGAGAATAGCCCACATGGATTCTTCAGTGAAGACGGCGTTGTTGACTTCGAAGGAGTTCTTCTGGAGATCGAAGAGGTCGCCGCCGCTGCAATGCTCGAAGAGGATGCAGTCGGTATCAGGCTGGGGCTGAGCGCCGTAGAAGCCGTACATGTGGATGATAGACTCGTGATAGGGGATCTTCCTAAGGATATTGACTTCGGCTGGAAGGTGGGGCTTGTTCTGAATCATCTTGACTGCAAGGCAAGTGCCTGGAAACCAGTTAGTATATAGACCACAACCACAGGATGCCGTCCCGAACAGAATGTTACATACCGGTAGGCTTGTGGACATAGGCGTCGACGATACCCTCAGAGCCATCTCCGAGCTCACGAACGCGAATATGATTGTAGGGAAAGTCGTGGGCAGGATTGAGATCCAAGTCCTGGACATTGTGCTCATCCGAGTCATTGCTGGAAGAGGAAGACGCCATGCGAAGCTTCTCGAAGACATCGCCGAAGGTTGTAGTGAGCAGAGGGCTTTGAAGCGGGCTCTGTATCTCGAGAGCCATGGTTGAGTCGGTAGTCGAGAGTTGCAAGTAACTTTGGACGAGTGGGCAAAAGTAAGAGATTGAGGTTAGAGTTGAGAGAGAGAGAGAGAGAGGCTGAGAGGCAAGAAGAGGGGAAGAACTGTAAGTACAATAGGAATTGTTGCGTTCTTGGCATTCACCTTCATGTTCATGTTCATGTTGAGTTCACCATCGCATTCACCTTCATCATGCTATTCACTTTCCTCTTGGCCGTGATTCGACCACCACTGACGTCTTCAGTCCCGCGCGGGGTCGGTCTGCTATTGTTGTACCACACAATAAGCTGCGATTAGCTGAGATAAATAAAGCTGTCAATAGAATTGTTTCATTGGGGAGGAATGCTCACCGCGCACCCCGCCGCTTGGTGGAGGTACTTGGTCGTCTAACAAGACCTGTCGCCTCTGACAACATTTTGACAACACCCAGGTCCCCGCCCATTGTCGGCCATTTTAAACTCACAGTAACACTCAATCGTGCATACATGTCAATATATCTCATACTGCTCAGCGGACAATATTGAATTTGTGAGGTATCTGAGGGTATATATCGGGCCCACTCCGGTTAGCGCCACCAACTAGCGTCAAATCCACACCCACGCGCTCCTCTGTTTCCACCCCCCGTCACTCGATCCCGCACCCGCATATCACAACATTTGAAGTCAACGTTGCGTCGATCGACATGTAGAACACCCCGCGAACCATCCTAGACCCGTAGATCTGAATCTTCAAACACCTATATACTAAAAAACCATGGCACACCCCCACATCCTCTACAAACTCCCCGCCACACGACGAAAATACCACGTGCGCAACCTCTCTCCCCCCACACCGCCGACCCCCGACAATGATGATACTTGCTCAATCTGCTACCGGGCCTACAACGAAAAAGACGACCCCACAGACGCAGACGAAACACCCTGTCAACCCATCCAGCTGCTCCCTTGCAAACACATCATCGGCTCCGCATGCTTCACCAAACTCCTCCAAGCAGACATGGACACGTGCCAAGTCTGCCGCAGCAAAGTCGACGTCCTGTCGAATCCTTACCCAGCGTGGCTGCAAAAATCGACATCGTGGTTCTGGTATAAATTATACTCGGATCACGCGCCTGGCCACGCGCTCAAAAATGGGAAGTTGGGCGTGTTCAATCATCTGAGTAAGAAGTTGTTCAATGAGCAGATGTCGATGCAAGAGACGGGCCAGCTTTGGTGGATGTACATGGATTCGTTATCGGCGTGGACGAGGATCGTGCTTGTTTTCGCCGTCTTCGTTAACACCACGTTTGCCATCTCGGATTGGTGTCTGGGCACGCCGTTTGTGGAGTTGGGGATTTTCCGCATAGTAGGGATGAAGGTTCCGGATTCAAGAGTTTTGACGCTGTGGGTGGATTTTCCGATTGTGGTTGGGTTGGCGCATTATAGTAATATCCGTCGTGGAGCGGGGGATCTGTCGGTTGCTGGGCATGCGCTGATGTTTATCATGGCGAGGATATTTGCGTTGTTGTTTTCGATCAAGGGGTTTGCGCTGCTTTTGGCTGCGAACTGGCTTGCGTATGGGACGTTGACGGCGCTTTTGATTTGGTATGGTTTGTGAGGATGTGGAGGGTGTCGGTATGAACGGTACATCGCATCGCATCAGATGGTAGTCTATTGATTGAATTAGTTTCGTGGACACAATCTTGCAGTCCCATGTTCTGGCTCGCAAAAGTATTCTGATGTCTATCTAATTCAGCAACAGCAAGAGTGTCGCTGCCGCTCAATGCCATCACGAAGAAGTGGGCTTGTGCTATCTAACTCATCAAACATCTGGTGGCTAGTTCGTCTGCGCTCAAGGAAGCCGATAGCATGTAGCTAGGCACTTCATTAAACCATCGCATCTCTATGCGGCACGACAGCACGTAGAAAAGGACGAAGGCGAGAAGGAGAGAAGGAGAGTTCATTGCTACACTATGTGCACTCCCATACTCTCCCCAGCCAGGGCAGTAGAGGAATCTGAGTGCAAGTACAGGCGAGAGGTACAGGTTCAGACCAATTTCGAGAAGCAGGAAAGGGACATCCGTCTTTATGTAGCCATAATCAACGTGCCAACGCCTTTTTAAGCTGTGAAGCATTGCGCTGTTGGTTTCCATGGCCGTCATCCCGGCCGGACAAGCAAATGCGCAAACCACGTTCCTATGTTCCCCCACTCAGAATGTGCTCAATCGTGTTGATATAAGCTCGAACCTGCGCAGCGCGGAAGTTCTTCCATTTCTTCTAACAAGCCCTTCCAACCTTCGCACATGCTTTCAAGCCTGAGCCATGATACTTTCGAAGTCGATTTCTTCATTCTCTGGGCCAGCAGATGGATCTTCGAAAAGCGGGGACGCAAATGAAGGTAGGAGTGTATCAATGATAACGTCCGGAGTTTGTGTCTCGACCGCTTCCTCTGTAAATGCCACACCACCGTCAACTTCGATTGCATCGCCTTTGGACGCATTCGAATACATCGTGAGGTCATCGTCATCGTTCGGCTCAACGCCATCGCGATCGCGGAACGCAGGTGTCAGCTCATGGCCATATCCCGCTCTGGCTCCACCCTGGAAAGGTGCCATGTCCATCGTGTACCGCGATTCGTGTCCCTCTGCCTGACTTTGCACGCGACGGAGAGCACGCATGTCGAACTCGCCTACAGGCGAGTCATTTCCTAGCTGCCGTGCTGTTCCGGTCCGCGGCATAGGTAGTGTGATGTTGGAACCAGAAGAGCTGGAGTCGCGGGAAGAACGAAAGGCATTTTGGAAAGCTGCCTTAAGGCCCTGTAACAAGGGCGAATTCGATATGTCGCGTACGATATAATTCGAAGATGAATGCCCTAGGCTATAGAAGCGTCGGCGGTTATGGCGAGCGGAATTAATGTTATCGATGTCGGTTTGAGTGGTTCTGAAGGTGAGAATGCTGCCGCTCTCGGAAGCTGGTCGAGAAGTTGCTGTATTGGAACCACCGTGAACGACGGTAGGCGGGAGTGATGGCGAAGGGTTGAAAGGAGGCAGTAGAGGCGAAGATGAATCGATGGTGATGCCACCTAAGATCTTTGCAGACTTGGTAGGAAGGATAGCGCTCTCAGAAGGAGTGATCGGCTTGAGTTCGTTGGCAAATGCAGCATCGAAGGAGGTATAGGTGCGAATACTGTAGTATGGGCGGCAGTTGTGACAAGCTCGAAAGTGGCATTGAATCTAACAATGTTAGAGGGTCCGCTGTCATGCAGTGAGTAAATAAGACGTACCGGGTCCGGAGCATAGGTGGTGCTAGCAGCACCGTCTGTCGTTGCCATCTGTTTACCAGCATCGGTTGACCCATAAGCCTGTGAGATAGAGGAGACGCTTTCATTCAGGCTTAGTTTGAGTTTCTTCAGGTGGTTCAACTGTGCATCAGTGTACTGTCCGCATTCGGCGGCGATGATGATGCTCTCGCTCAGGCCAATCCGCTCTAATTCCTGGCGAGTCTTGGATTTTGGTCCAACCTCTTCCAATGTTTTTTCTGGATGAATCCCCTGATATGGGGAACCAAAATCCCAATCTTGGCGACACTCGTAGAGAAATCCGATCGAAGGTACCCTGCCGCACAAAGAGCAATGGGCGTGACTGCCAGCGGAGATCCGTTCCATTGTAACATGCGTACAGCTGAAGATGGCGCGAGATCGCTTGGAACGCTTTTTTCTTTTATGAGCCTTCTTTTCTTTGGGGACATGGCTACTACCTGTACTTGCCTTCATGGCGCTCGGCATTGCTCAGACTGCGGAGTAGGGGGCGGTGTGTAGTGGCTGGTAAAGACTGGCTTGTCGATTTCTGAGGAATTTTCACCTATTAATCCATGAGAAGATCTTAACTCTGGGTACTCATATCTCGAGCGTGTCCATGATATCCAACGTATCGGGATTCGAGAGCACACGTACCTAGGCAGCAGTAAAGAGGGCCACACGGTGACGAGGGGTCCGCAAGCTATGTCATGCCTGCTTGCCGGAGCCCGTCAATGCGCAATAGGTGATTATTAGAGGAGCCTCTGGAGGACAAGGTGATGATATCAATATGTTTGAGCAGTCAAGGTTGTGTGGTCTCTGGTATGGAAGGTCCCGACGGCTTGGCGCTGGCGAGACGGCAAGCGCACTTTTGTTGTTATTTTACTGGTCCTCCTGTGTCTGCTTATATCCCCACCAAAAGGTTGAGCAATGAAGTCAAAGTAAGAGACAGACCGAATGATATCATTGAGATGTTGTGAAAATAAGCAGAGGAGGATGCATGTGGTCATACGGACGACCAACATGACTAGGTGCAGAGCACCTCAACGACAACTCATGGTGACACAAACAAGCTGCAGACAACCCCAGTCAACAGGAACCATCGTCGCATGCCAGAAACAGTTTTGGATGCAATAGTGCTCTGGTGCCGATCCTGACTGAGACAATATGACATCTTTTGTCTCGATGACATGAGCAAGGTCAACCTTCCTACTTGTTGCGACATTGCATCCGGTGTATCGCAAAACGCGCCATACAACTCACTTTCTTCTCCTATATTTCATGGATAATGTTTTCAGAATTGGCGCTGCTTAAAATGTTTTCCAGTGGCCACTGATGAGATCGCGACATTTTCGGGCTGTGTAACGCCCGCTTAACCATGTACCTACCTGGGTGGGAAATTTTAATGCGTGTAGTCGAGGTGCCCTGGTAATAGGCTGTCGCTCAAATACATACCATTCCGTCGTAAGCTTAGTATTCTAATGGGAAATTTCAATCGTTGCGATCAATGAGTTATGGCACACCATGCACGTATATCCTTGATTTTTGGCTGTCTGCGGAGTAAACCTAGCACACAGATGCTCGACCATAAGCTATGGAAACTCATGGCAGGCTGTAGAACAAGGGTGAAGTCAAGATATCTTCTAGAAACTCCTTCGGGGCGGGAAATCTGTTGTTCCGGTCGGGCGCGCAAACGAGGTGAGTTTGTCGTCGCCAGCAGAAGTGCTCTCTCCACACGACACTACACATTGACCGCGCAACCCCTCTTCGCATACAACGGAACAGTGATCATGAACGGTAACGAGCGCGGACTGCTTGACAGTCTGAAAGAGTAAGTGCTATGAGACGCGTTGAAGTCCACATTGCTGACACCATAACCCAGCTCACTCGCATCGGGCGAATATTCCGACCTCACTATCACCTGTGGCAAAGACACATACAAGGTCCACAAGCTTATCGTGTGTCAGCAATCCAAGTTCTTCAAAGGGGCCATGACATTCCCGGGTAAAGTGAGTGACCCCATGTTTGTTTGTTCATTTGTGCCAGTGGAATAACCGGGTCCAGGAAGCACAAAACAATTCGATCGATTTGTCTGATGATGAGCCTGATATCATCCGTATCCTGATGAACTATCTCTACTCTGGAAACTATGAGACTGTTCAAACTGATGAGGACATTCCTCACGCTGAATTACCATTTCATCATCAAGACGTTTCGGAGTATACCTACGATTTCCCCCATTATTGTACTACCGATTCGTGGGGAATGGGGGATGTTTGTCCCCATCACACATGCAGGAAATCCGGGGTGTGGTATGCATTTTCTGGAAAGTCTCGAATGCCGGGTGATATCTCAGGATTCACTTGTGAGCAATGCGATAGAAGTCAGAGCAAAGCAGATGATCTCTTGATTCACGCAAAGCTCTACGAAATTGCCGACAAATACGACATCCAGGGTCTCAAAGAATTGGTAACCGAAAAGTTCGAAGAGGCCTGTACACTATCCTGGAACACGAAGAGCTTTCCACTTGCTGCCCACCATGCTTTCGTCAGCACTCCCGAAAGCGACAAGGGACTTCGAGATATCATCGTGTCAACATTTTCGGCGCACATGGAGCTCCTGAAGAAGCCTGAGGTCGAGGCTTTGATGTTGGAGTTCAACGGTCTTGCCTTCGGACTGCTCAAAGAAAAGCTTCTATGAGTCTAGCCTATGGTGAGAATGGCGGGAACATGGGGTTTTGAGTCTACGAGCGGCAATTTCAACCACAGTGTGGGAGGCGGATACCTGGACCAGCGAGGCTGTGTCTTGCGCTTTTAATGGATTGCTTTAATTTCTTTCCTTTTTGTATACCCCTGCTAAAATGCTGTGGGAGTTTGGGAATTCCAGCCGGAACATCGGATCGGCCTATGATAGCTGCCACCAGACATTAGTCTGAGGCTAGCACAATGTACATAAGAAATCACAATCACACTTTCACGAACTCACGTAGTTCGATGACTCCATCGACACCCCATCTCCAACTGCTGAGAAACTGAACACAATGTGAAATCAAATCACGCAGATGTATTACGACGGGGTGCCGAAGACAGAATAAACTCTGAATGCCGTGGATCAATGCGCATGAAGATGGTTACTTGGAACAGTCGTTATTCATCGGATGCGAAACAAAGATCGGAAAGCATGGTTGTGGAGGAGAAGCTTCTGATACTATTTCTGGTATTTGGGGACACACATTGTGTGTGCATCACTAATACAAACAAGATACGTGTTATTCCCAGTGTCGAGTCTCTTAATGTGTTAAGTGTGCATCATGTGACGATATGGTAGATGAGAGCCTCGCGGGCCTTACCTTTCATGTTGGGAGAATGATATTGCTGACATGTATCATATACTGGATTTCAAGCGGCTTGCTAAAAAGATTGCGGCGAATGTCTGCCGGGAGGTCTTGAAAACCGATGATTTCGTATAGGTCTCTCGATGCTATCTATGAAACCTATTTGTTTTATACGCGGCATACATCAGGATCGCTACCCGACGGGGATTCCAGCAACATGTAATTCGACCCCTTGGTCGCTTGACCCAAAAACATCGTTCACGTGGCTGCTTTCGAGCGTCACATAGGCGTGATGTGGGTCATTGTAATTCCATATGTCCTCCGTTTTACTATATCCTGATTTGTCCGCGCTTCATTATTCATTATGTGGAGTTCACACTACATGAACGTGACGGCAGATGTAAAAGCTACCAATCCTTTGCCCTATATTAATTCCGGAGTCGCCGGTGATGATAGCCACCAAACCCTATATCGGCGTCTCTCTGTGTAGCTGACTTCTACAATTGAATCTCACATTTTTCTCATTTGCTCGTACTTGGGCCACTGCCTGCTGTATCCCGCGGCCAAGAAAAAGGTCGCTGCGATTCATCCTGCTGCGCGTCGTTTTGGATGGGGCGGAGTTCGTTTATCGGGATGGGTTCTTCGTCGCGGGGGCTGGAATGGATGACATGCTGCGGGCGAGTAGTGAGATTGAATGATTCGGCGCCGTCGTAATTCGAGAAATTGCCCGGATCATTTAGCGGCGCTGTGTACGGCTGTCGCTGCTGCTGTTGATGTGAAGCGTCGAATCGAGAGTCATTCGAGTTCGTACGATCAGTGACTGCTAGCCACCCCTTCCTTTCATCTTCCGTGCTGTTGCTTTTGGCGGTAGTGGACCGTAATTTGGAATGATCGAAGGTGTTGGTGTATTTGTAGCGAAAACGGCCGCCTCCGCACATGCGCTTGAATGACTCGCTAAGCGCCCGGTGGAGGGCACCAAGTGTGGGTATGGTGGTGCAGATGTGACCAGCTATACTAGCACAGAAGCCAGTAATTCCGGAGGGCACTACCGTATAAGTCTGATCTGATTTGGAAATTACGCCTGGAAGGGTGGGGAGACGAGCGATCGAAACGCCGATAATCCTGCACAGAAATCATTAGTTCGGAATCGCGTTGTCAGATGCAGAGCAAATCAAAGAGCAGCATACCCGATACCCATGCCGAAAAATCCCATAAGAAGTACCTTCTTTGCTTTTGGCATCTGGAGTTTCATCACTACAGGAATTGGTAGTAAGAATAGTACGATCTCGGCGATCACTTCGAAGACGACAGTGGCACGAAGAACGGCAATCCAATCAATGCACTTGGCAGTTTTCTGCGCTTCGAGATCCCAAACAGCGTGAACGGGGTTACACTGGAAGGCTGCGAGAAATATGAGAGGCACGGTGTAAAGTATTGTAAAGACTGTGAAAGCAGCAACACTTCGTCGAAGCCATTCGTGCGGGAAGATGCGGAGGTAGAGCGTTAGGATACTGAATTTCAGGAACAGTAGATTGACGGCCCAGAGAGGCGTCAAGATGTATGCTGAGGAAAATCGCACATTAGCTGTCGAACTTCAGGCGCTGATACGCTTCCCATAGATGATTGATCGGACACAGACTTACTGAAACGTGATATATCCCTGACTTGTGGGTACGTAAGGTCCCAAAGATGGTAACCCACTCCTGCTTTGGCGCCTGGAAAGTAGGAGAGTGGTTAGCGGGAGCGACATTAGATGATTATGGGACAGCTTACTGAATATCAAGATTACCGATGCTGGAACGATGAGGACCTTCGGACGTGTAAGTTGCAATCCCAATACACTGATACCCCTACTTACAACAGCGGCCATATGAAGCCAGTCATCCCACCAAAATTTGTTACCGCCTATATACCGCGATAAGAATCGTATCGAAATGGCAATAATAGAAACTACTGCTGAGACCCAGCCAGTTATTGACGATGCCGCAGATCGATTGTTGTGTGGCCGATTACACAAATTTCCCTGCAGTCTCAAGAGGGCTTGAGATCATAAGCAATAGTATATTATTGTGGCAGACTGAACATACTAAACGTCTCTTCGAGCGTGCATTTATCTAGCAGGCATGGTTGGAGAATTTCGGTGGAGTTTTGCGACGTACACTGGCACTCGACATCGACTAGGGTGCAGCCGATCGAGGGCATCTCTTGTATTAGGCAAGTGAGCTATCAGTGGTATCAGCAATGTTTATCGTAAATGAACATTTCAAAGGGATATACATACGCCGCATGGAGGGATCTCAGCCATGAGACTCAACAGTGCATCGCTACCGGCCGCATTATCTGGAAGCGACTGTGCTGCTCCCTTTGCCCCCAGCAGAGTAGCCGCTGCTATCCATATCATGAGGTTGAACCTCATGGTGCTGAAAGACCAGATCATGCAGTGGAAATTTCGCGCGATAGTTCTTGTGCGCCCGTGTTTTCGACAGAGGATGGTAGTGGGCGTCTGGTATCTTCTGCAGGACCTCCCTCCTGCTTCTGGACAGTTTCCTCCTTTTACTTCGTGGGTGACATCTTCTCCCGATATTCGACTGATTTTTGAGAGCTAGAAGAGGAGTTAGGTTGAGACGCTCAACGGCTGAGGGTGATTCATGTTAGTAGAAAGCTAGCTTGAGACGAACGATATTGCGCTTTTTTTCTTCCTCTCCAATTGTAACCAAGAATGCGGAATTAATCAACCGAAAGCCACCTTTTTTTCGCCATAAGTGTAGACATACAAGGTATCCTTGACGAGAGCCACACATCTGAATCATGCCAATCACTTAAGTACTTAGCATATATTCGCGAATGCGAGCATACCTTGATGTTCGGCCAAGGTGTGGGTTAGCGCAAGAACCGTCGTCGCACAACGGTGTTTCGGTGGATTCACCAGCCCCAAAAAATATTAACTTTAAGAGCATACAGTTTGTTCTTGATCCTACCTGGGTGGTGTTTGTGGCCAGCGGGTTGGTCCGGATGGCGCAATACTCATTAATTAGATCTCATGCTCTCAACATGCCGATAACGCTAGACCCCGCACACAACACCGCAAAGCTATTCTCGTGCAGTGGTCTAACACTCGTTCGCCTCCTGATTCAGCGAGAGATCGAGGATCCGCTATCAGGAATGAAACACTGAAAGATTCGTTGGCCCGAACTGCTTACATATGAAGGAATACTCGGAGAATCTCCCATTGTCCACCGATGGGACCCTCCACCACGAGTCATGGCGCGTTTGCTAAGATTCGGTAGTTTTCGGAGCAATGGAAGGGGGAGAACGAGCCCAAGGCTTTCTTCCTATCAGACTCTCACCCGAAGCTCGTTTCGAGCCATGTGCTTTTGAGATCGTCTCCTCAAAGCTAGTAGAGGAGCATCAGCTCGTACGCTATACCTGCCTTTTATGACTTGCCCCATTGTTCGAATTGTCACCCCACAAGCCGGCTTCCGCATCCACGATCTCGAATGATACTCGGATTGCGCCTTCGACTTTGTGAGATAATGATCACTGAAGGATCAGATCGTTCACGCGGGCTGTCATCTTATGACAATGATATATCGGAACAGTACATGCATTTTCACATCAGAATTTGCACGCGCGCCTTCCTTCATGTACAAGAAAGAAGAAGCAAAGCGAAGAATGTATAGTTATTACTTGATATAGGTCACGCCGCCGACAAGGAGGACTTCTTTGATAACTATCGGAAGTAAGAATAGTATCGCCGACTAGAGTTCCGAGCCCTGTAGCTCCGGTGTATCGGGTCTACCTGCATGTCAGGGACAAAGATCTAGGAAGCGCAATTGCGTAGCGAAAGTCTCCGTCAATTGCGACAACGTGAACCATATGGACGGACAAGATCGAACTCTCGATGCGCACGGCCTCGAATGCCCAGATTAGTTCTGGGTCATTTCCCAAGCTTGGCATGTCAGGGGAGGGTGGCGTATGCGCTACGACCGATAACCAGTGGAGTTCACTAGCAGCTTCCTCGCGATATTGCTTCGTTGATTTCGCCTCCCAAAGCTCTTTTGAAAGTAGTTGACGTTCAAGATAACGTGCCGCAAGAATGTGCCGACTTAGACGATTGATAGAATTCCGCGCCTCATGACTACGGAATTGGAATACACTAAAAACACGACGGATAACCGTCGTGGAGTCACGGAACAACTATGGCAAGAGATGATATCGTATTCGATGGCGATAAGCATAATCCATGGTATAGCTCTTGAATAGAGACGAGGGACGGCTGCTTTATGCTTTATATCACCCTGGTGTTAATAGGAGCTATCTCAGTGATATACTTTCTGAGATTCGAAACTGACATCAGCATTATCCTTGTACAAAAGCAAAATCAATAGTTTTCCGGCAGCAAGTAGCCGTTCGCAACCTTCCCGTCCGTTGGTCAAGGGTCGCCATCATGCGCTCGAAATTTTGTTCCTCACCTACCCTCAGTGAAATGTTGGTTACAAGATCGAGCAATCATTCAATCTCGACCGGAGAGAGCGTAGGCTAACTCATCAGTACCCTATACGAAGCACTAAACTTTTGTTGTCACCTTGCCGGCCTTTGTGCTTCATGATTTGAGGCCACAGCGATCGGCAGGTCCATCACACAAAAGAAGAATAAAGAGTGATGGCCCATTCTGAACTGCCCATAGATTTGGGCAGTGCATATTCATATAGCGTAGTACGTCACGTGGCACTGTACGAGCCCGCTACATAAGAGCATTGGCGTTTTGGTATTTCGTGAGCCAGAGAACTACTTCTTCATTCTAGCCTGAGTTATGGAACCCAAGCTACTAGATCATGTGCAAATCGCACATGGAGAAATAGTATCATACTTTTAAACTGCTCGTGACATCCAGGTTACAACCTCGTCGCAAACGAGCTTGTAAAAAGGCACACCTACGCACCTGAATCGGAAGGAAAATAAGCCTGGCAGCTAAGCCACAGCGCTAGTTTTCCAATCCTACTCGGGAAAGCAAGCAACATCTTGTCGTAAAAATCTCGAGAATTCTTTGACTGAGCTGCAATCTTGCTGAAAGTCTCGACGTACTCCCTCGAAGCGTCAATGTTGAAGGCACCATCGATTCCTCCGGGTCTATGATGGGACGCTACCACGATGGCTGGCTCGAGGGCTTTGAGTTCATCTAGAGCTTGGATCCATTCATTGCGCTGACTTTGTTGCGGCGACTTAGTCATCCACATGTGAACGTCGTTGTACACTACGTCGCCCGCGACCACCAGATCCAAGGCGGGCATATGCAGAAAAGTGGTGTCATCCGTGTCGGAGTGGCCGACTTCCACGGCTTGCAAAACATGCCCCTCGAGCGTAAAGGTGTTGTCAGTACCCAAAGGCTTTGCCTGCGCTTGATACGAAGAGTTTGCAATCTGATTTGGAAACATTCCTTCCCAGAAAGCGCGCAAGTCCGGTTCCCCCTGAGTTTTCATGTGATCAATGACCTTCTGCGTAGACAGAACCTCAACCGCCGGAAACCGTTCGAGGAGATAGGGGATGTTGAAGAAGTGATCACCGTGTCCGTGAGTGATGTAGATCTTGGTCAATTTTTTGTGTGGTTCCAGAGTTTCCTCGATCCAGTTGGCCAACGCAACGCCTTGATCGATAGTGTGCAAAGTATCGACGAGAACTGCCTCCGATGCACCCGATATCAGTGTAACAACTGTTGGCTGCCATAGGCCGACCGAACCATCGGGTAGATTGTGGCCTGTAGGAATGGGGGCTGCATAGTATAGGTCTGCACGAAGCTGAGAGAGCGACATGATTCAGAAATTATCTGGCTTGATTGGAATATACAATTTGATCTGAAAGTACAGCCTCAGTCGATATCATCTTGAGGATATATACGGAATCATGATCCAAGCTTTGATTACTGATCACGAGTGACAACGATGCCGACTTGCCATCAAAGACATGCCGCAACCCACAATCTACAATTTTAGTAGAAATACAGTTAGTATCAAACAGTTACTCATGGTTAATCATCAGTCACCGTGCATTGAACGAACTACATACTGGGGACGTCCGTCCAATCAGTTTGGCAAGGGTGTCGAAAAACCTAGCGACATACCCAACGACCCTCTCCCAGTCCTGAATTTGTCTGATTACCAATTTTACTAGTAAATAGTTCAAGAGATCTAGACCATCTACTGGTTGGAGGATAGTAATTAACGATTGGAGAAGTCTAGATAGCTCTAAGAAAACAAGTACAAGGACTAGTTCCAAGCAGTAATGCAACGGCCACAATCTTCCTTCAGTACAGAATAACAACCGAAAATCGCGCTGATGCGTCGTTGACGGCGTAAGTGTATAATTTGTTTCTTGTTTCGCACGTAGTCATCGCATTCCAGTGTGAGCCGAACACTCGGAGTACGAATACACCCAACGCACTTCATATGACTACTAACTCGATTGATCTTGCCAAAACTGCATGGAAAGCTGCTCATATATGACCTTACCCAGAGGGTGAGAGAACAGAAGACAGCAAACATGGATAATGAGAAGGGTTCCTGTCATGACGGAATTTCTTATTCAACTTCCCCAATTCAATATGTAAGCGTCCCAAACATTGCTAGATGAATTTTGAGAACCGACCACAAAGCAGATACACATCCATTTTAGCCTGCCTTACTATTTCCAACTACGGAAGAGTTACCCCCTCCCTCGCCACTCCTTCAAGGTCTGACTGCTGATGTAAACCCACTACCTGCGGCACCCCTTGAATGGGCACCTGCCAGCTAACCCTATTCTCAATGAATTGCTCCACTTGCGGTCGTAGCTTGGTCTCAGCTAGCGAGAAGTCATCAACCGTACCCGTCCGAAGAATAGATAATCCGGGGAATCTTGCACCCTTACGGTACATGAGAGTGCCGCACGCGGCGCAGAAATAATTAGTCATCTGGGCCTTTGCGCGTACCGTCTCCGATTGACCGAAAGTCGTAAGCTTGTTTTTTCCACGTACGTGCTTGAGATGGGTATCGACCACTGTAATGTTGGACATGTAGAAAGCAGCGCTGATTTTACGGCAGTCGGAGCAGTGGCAGACGTGGCGGTTCAGCAGACCGGGTCCTTGGATTGGCTGTTTTGATTTCATTGTTAGTATATTCTTTAATTTCGAGCAGAAGCATTTGGGCGACGGCCCGCGCGAATGAAATATGATAATTCAAAGATGTCTGGGATAGAATGATATCATGGGTGAAGTTTACTTACAAGCACCAATTGTACCGCCCCACAGAAACATGTTGCCGTGGCCTCGTCTTCAGTTGACCAGCCATCGTGGGCAAGACCAGCGACAGGGAAGTTATCCTTTTGGGGGCTAGACATCATGTGAAGAATGAAAACTTTGAGCTGATTTCAACACGCTTCGAATTTGTGGGAAAGCGACAGGCGAGTAGTCCAATTTATAAAGATGGAGGTGCGAATTGAGTTGAAGCTTACCTGATGCTACTAGACTTCTTACATAAGATCAAGATTATTAAACAGGTGGCGACGTGAAGCTGCTGCCCACTCCGCTACAGAAATATTGATGAGACTAATTTATGCGACTGCACAGCTTACCAACCTTGGTACATCATCACGCTAGAACAATGCAGAGTCAGTTGTTTGACGCGCGGAGCCGGATCCTTGGGAGATAGATGGTTAGGTACAGTTCTTACGTAAACGGACATAGTGGCGGGGTGAAAAACCCAGCCTGTCTGGGTCAAGAAGACTCTAGTATTAGATATAAGTTGAGCCTTTTTAAAACACCCACATGCAGGCTTTTTTGAAACACCAAGTTTTTTACTTCAGTGCTCACTCAGCACGTAAAACTCAATAATAGATATAAGTTGATACCCTCGACAACAACCTCTTATTAGAGACTCTGAGCCTCTAAGCTTGGAAATGTGGCTTCCAAACAAGTAATAATACACATTGGGCAAGAAATACAAAACTTGGTGAATATGCTTATCATCAGCTTCAATGAGGGGTAATGCAATCGTCGTCGGTAGCCACGAAACGATTTCTAGGCGATTTCCACACCCTAATCAGTCGACATATCTCAACACGGCCTCAATCAAGCCTTTGTCTACTTCATATTTGATAAATACTGCCATCTAAATTTTGGGTTTAATCATTTGAACTTTTGTCGAAACTTAATGCTTTGACCCTCAATGGATGTGACTCTGACGCCTCTTTCTTTCGCATCCTCCACAATGCGCAATTCTCCACAATATCTAATTTGAAATATATAAGAAGCTGCATCGTGATTTAGTTCCGTGACAGCAAATTCGGGAGAAGTGGCTGTCGTCTGACCCCCAAATACTTGTTATTGGAGCGCTCACGGCTTGTCTGTTCCCGCGGAAGTAGTGCAATACCTGTGTTCGAGGCCACGCGCTTGATCTTGATCTGTACGATGTAATGTTACATATTACGAAAAAACCTGAATATCTCATAAGTTGCTGTAGATTTGGGAAACTTATTCGTCATTAGAGCAAGCGAGGCTAGATTGAACCCGATGACCTCACAGCCTTAGCTCAACCACTAATATCGACTCGATCATCGAGACCTCCATGGAAACTACATTATCATGATTATTCTTGATTTTAATCTTCGCCACGGGAATACATTGAGTGATTACAATCATGACACGCTAGCAATCACCCAGGAAACGTTCAATCTCTCATATAAGAGCCCCATCGACGCAGCGATGAATGCTACTTCACTTCTACAGCTGTAGATGCCAATACTTCAAGTGACTGGCATACAGCCATGATTCACCATAAAAAGTTGATGGTCGTGCTAGCGAAGAGCTTGTCCGATCCCATAAGTATGGATATCCGCTCCGTGATCGTTCCAGTGCAAGCGTGAATGAAATCTTGCGCTATGATTCTGGAACTCAAATCAACCTGTTTGGCATATATACTGCAACAAGAACTCCTGATAGCCACTGACAACTAATATGCTAATAAATGCAAGTTTTGAGCGTTTTTTTATGTTTTTGCTTTCTTCGTGTCGTCCCGTAAGGAGCGCACATGCAAGCAACACGAAGTTCGGACGACTGGATATGCAACATCATTGCCAGGGTGGGTGATCGCCATGGTCTCACACTCCTAACTCCTAATTCCTGCCGTACGATTTATCGGATCGATGTTATAGATCGATCAAAATGAGCACAACAGATGGGTGCACTGCAACGGATGTCGGGAGACGATCTGTCTAGATCACGTCACATGACTATACCCCTTTCACTGTTTCCGGTCGCTTCCACCCATTTGATAATTGAAAGCTGGCGTGCCATTCACTCCCACTAACCCAGTTTAGATAAGTTCACAAACTGCGCCGTATATTCTCCCCACCCGTCCCCACTTCCCTCGACAACTTCCCCGCGTGCACACCACTGAAAAGCATCGAGAATGGAATCACAGGACAAGATTCTGCGAGCCGGCATCAAAGAGTAAGTCTATGTGAAGAATTTAACTGCAGATGAATACTCATGTTTATAGGCTGTTGGTCTCTGAAAAGTTCTCCGACGTAACAGTTCTGTGTGGAGCGGACAAGTACAAGCTCCACAAAGCCATTATGTGCACGCAAGTACCGTTCTTCGCAAGTGCAATCCGCTTTAAGAAGGAAGTAAGCTTATGTCGGCCATGCAAAGTTCTAATGGTGTATGCTGATAGATATTAGCAGGGGAAAGATGCGATCATCGAGCTTCACGGTGAAGATCCTCTTGCAGTTGCAGCTGTAGTTGATTTTGTATATAAAAGTGATTACAAGCCGCTTATGCTCGAGGACGGGGAAGATCATCGCTGGAAATTTGACCATGCTGCTTGCCAGCACCATGAAGTCGTCTGCGACCCAGACACATGTCTCTTCGAATGCTCCACGTGCTCGAAACTTGTCTGGGGTAAGCCAGAGGAAATGTCTCTGCATATCAACGTTTACCAGCTGGCCGATATGTACCAGATATCCAATCTTAAGCAGCTGGCATTTCGGAACTTCCAGAATACAGCGTCTGATTTCTGGGACACTAAAGAATTTGTCGAGGCTGTGCACTCCGTGGGTAGGAGTGATCATGACGAATTGAAAGAGGTTATTATAGCAACGGTATTGGAGCATCTGGAGTTGCTCGAGAAAGAAGACTTCGCATTAGTACTAGAAGAGTACAGTGCCTTGTCTATGCGTATCCTAAAGCGTTGCGCAAAGGAGCTAACGCACAAACGGAATGGTGCCACCTGGGATATGTGGTGTAAGTAATAGGAACCATCACGCGTTTGGAATCTTTACTGACAAATGCCTCATAGCTTGAACCTCCGCCAACGACGGAAATTCAGTAGTGCTTCTCCCTCTTCTTTTTGTTTTTTACGGTGTTGATTAGTTTTGATTATTAGCGATGTGGGTTGTAAGATATTGAATTTACCTTGTTCTTGGTATTGGAGCAGCTATAGTTGCTTGGGAAAGAAGACTTGGCATTAGTGCTATGAAATGATAGTGCTTTGCTTATGTTCATCTTAATTGTTGAGCGAAGAAGTTGAAGAAGAGGCAGGAAGGTTTTGATCTCTGGGCGAGGTGTAAGACTGTAGGTACCGAGAAAAAAAATCGCGTGTGAAGCCTCTCCTAACGACGACTTTAGAATTTTGTTTGGACTACGCGCATCTGTCCATAATATACCAATGCTTGAAATAATTTAGCAGGCGGTCATTGTTGAGATGCCAGCTGTGCGATATTCCTCTGGCATCATTTGACTTCAGCAATGGAATTCGGAGAAAAATTATTTTGTTTTGACAAATAAAGACGTCGGCTGCAGACTCTCAAATTTACCTAATCGCATTCATTCATCATCCTTGAAGTAGAATACAAAGCGGCATTGCAAAATTAACCAATCGAATCTGGCTCAATCTTTGGCTTCCTCATAAGGCATCGCATCTCCAACTCCCCGATAATCATACTTCACACCCGAATCGTCTGTCTCCAAGAAGACCGGCTTAGTTGCATCTCTCCTTCTCATTATGTACCTACCCACGAACCACTTCACCTGTTTGATCCCATGCTCAACGTGCGATCTCGTTGAGCCTTCGAAGACTTGATCAAGTTGTTCGAGTGTCAAATCTTTGGTTTCAGGGACGAAGAAGAGAATAAGAAACCAGCCGGTGGCACACCATGCTGCGTACCTGCAACAGAGTTAACATCGAAGCAAAAATTCTTGATGGCATATTCGTGGTGTACTTACCATCCAAATGCACCAGCGACACCAAATGCATGCTTGAACTTCGGCCATGTAATACTAATGAAGAAGTTCCAAAACCATAACACGGAGGTGACGATACCCATGCCCCAATCGCGATTGTACAGTGGCATACTTTCGGCGCTGTAGACGAATGGAACGGGTCCTTCTCCTGGAGAGTACGCGACTCCAAAGAGATACATACCCACTATGACTAGAACTTTCTGCTCAATCGATTCTTCGCGTTGACTGAAGGCGATCACCATAATCACTTGGAATAGAGCCATGAACGGGAAAGTGAAAAGCAGCAAGTTGCGTCGCCCAAACGAATCAATGGTCCAGATAGCCGGGATCGCAAAAAGAAAGTTGATGATGCCGAAACCCATCGAAATGAGAAGTGCGTTGCGAGGTTGGTAATTGGCATCTTGTACGAGGATAGTGTTGGAGTAGTAGGCAGTGACGTTGACACCGCAGAATTGCTGCAAGAACATGGTAATGACGGAAGCGAATAGTGCTCTCCTGTTCCTGCCTATGGTGAAGAGCTCCAGAAAAGGTTGCTGTTGTTTCATAATCTCGTCCTCGCCCTCCAGCAGATGATGTATCAAGAACAAGTCTCTACCAGCTTGAAGCTTGGTATGCCTGAGTTTACAGAGCGCCTGGAAAGCCTCTTCGTATTTCTGTTTGTTGCCCTTGCGTGCCTTCATGAGCAGCCATCGGGGCGACTCCGGAAGTGCATATACGTAAGCGACCACGAAGAGTGGGAGGATCATGGGGCTTGCAAGCATCAAGCGCCAATTCAGACTGCATCGTGACGTGAGAAGATTACCAAATTTCTCATCGCAGATGTCGGATCTTGACCCGTCACGAACTCCCGCAAGAACGACACCGGCGATGTAGCCACACATGATGCCGAAGGCGGTCCACACTAGGCTTGGTTAGCAATGCTTCTCAGAAGGTGAAGACTTGGAAGACATTTTGAGTACATACTTTGCCACATCATAACGAGGGCACCGCGAATATTAGCGGGTGCACATTCTGCAGCATAGATCGGTATAGTGGCACTGCCATAATCTTAGCATTGACGATAATGAGCAGTTGAAGGTGAACACCCACCTCTTGGGACCGATACCAAATCCAAGAAGAAACCGTGCTACAAAAAGCTGTTGCCATGTTTGAGGGAATGCTTGGCCTAGACAGGTAATCGAACTGATAAGGCATGTCAGGAAGATGACCCCGCGTCTATCTAAGAGTCGATTCAGAGGGTAGTTTAGCCAGCAGGCAAATGCGCAACACAGATAGGGCGCACTGTTCACCAAACCAAGTATTTCCGGGCTTCCATGGATATTTAAAGCTTTTTCGTAGTAGATTTGGGCTAGAGCCTGCGGGTAAGTTGATGTTGCCAAAACGATGCAGGCTGGTGTACAGGTTGAGCATACCTCCATTGACAGCGGTTTCATCCCTTCGAGTTGTCAGATTAAGCTCATCATTTAAGTCGTAACAGAAACATACCATCCTTGTACAGCAGCACCCAGGGAGCAGATCCCTACGAGAGCGTATAGTCTCCATGGCTGATTGAATTTGTCAATACGTCTGGGACTGCTCTCCAGATCTATGTATACGCGCTCGTCGTCTTTCAGAGTGAGATCATCGGGTCGCTCTCGCCCGACCGCGAAGGCTGCCTTTGACTGCGCGAGAAACGCGCCCCTCCGAATATATTTGTCGTAGTCCTCGAGGCCGCTCTCTTCGACGAATCTATCAATACTGCTGGTCATCCTCGCGTGAGACCATCCTGAGAAAGGCTGAGCGAGGCGCCGATCGGGTCGGTCTGTCTCTTGTGTTCCGTGCGATCTGTCTGAACTGATGTTCTCACGTTGGCTGTAGCGCATTTTGTTGTTTTGCGGCGTTGTAGGAGTGTATGATTTGCATAGTACTTGCCATACACCATATAGTTCAGAACACACCGGTCGGGAGGCCTGAACATTGACATAAGCCAATATTCGATCATGTCGTGCAACCAGACAGCGGGGCGCAGTTCGAAACCGCAGCAGCGATCCATTCCGTGTTGGTCAGGAGAACTATTGGAGTCGCTCGTATTCGATCGGCTGCATTGCACGTGGCTGTTAATCTTCTCTATTCCGGCTTTGCAGCCTTGCTTGTCGTATACCTCTTACACCATAATTGGCGTAAAGAATGTAATCTGGGTGTAGAGTTTTTGTTACTTCATCATTTCAAGGCTCCCGATCTCGTGTTGGTGAGCATTGAAAGTAATGCGGCGGATGAGGCGGCAGGATTCTGACCCCGGTGAGGATTGCGTTGTGTGTTGGGGTCTGCTGTTGATGCTACTCAGCCACCACATGTTCATGTTCATGTTCACGCGCATGCAAAGTCAATTAGTTATTTACAAACAGTGATGCGCGAACGAGTAGACTTTACTGCCAGTTAAAATAAGGCTGCGATGCCGACATCGATGCACACCATACAAGGCGCTACTAGATTTGTTACTGTTACCTGGTTTCCGGTGGAGGCTGGGGTAAGCGCGCCTGCGGGGAAGGGAGCCGTGAGGCGGCCGCACACCCATACAGTATGACCGCATTACCCATCGGTGCGAGACTGAAAAAACGGAAAACCGGTCTGACTTTGCCATTCCCATACATCTATCTGGCTATATTGGATTTTGACCACAACGGCTGCTGCTGTGCGTTGAGGACTTCACGGTAACACCTACCTTCTCGCCCATGTTCACTGAGACGCCCGCAGGAGTGGGGCAGCCATGGATTCCCAAGCGATGCGGGAGGAGATTGAAGACTCCCTCACACATATCGTTCCTCGCAAACCGTTCCCACAACGCATTGACGATACCATATTCCTCGAGGTGACAGAACTTCTCAGCCAGCATCCGGACAAACTGCTCAAACCATGGAGCGAAAACCCGCGCTTGTACACGTTGTTGCGCATGCTAGGCTACCAGATTGATTCCTCCGTCTTCCATACGATCGACATCACCGACTTTTGGCTTCCTCTTGCTCCCACCATCTTGGATCAACTGCCAAACTCACCCGACATCACTTCGAGAGATTGGTACGGGGCTCAACGAACTGTTCTGAGCAAACCCGAGGTACGCTGGCTGCGTTACTACACGTTCCATCCTTCAGCTGACACAGCCTGATGAAAGCTCATGAATGAAGACAAATTCCTGTCTCATTCTAACGAGCACCGATACATAAGAACCGCCAACTCGCATTTCGAGGAGATTGCAAAGATCGGAGTCGGGGGGTCAGCAGAGGTGACCCACGTACGACACAAATTGTCAGGCAAGCAGTTTGCTTGTAAGCGTATCATACGCGCAGAAAATGGTGTGTACATCGTATCATTGTGAGATCGCGCGCCACGTAGCCTCGAATGCTAACAGCGCTCGCTGAGCAGTGAAGTCTCAGCGGGACCAGCTTATCGAATTCGAACAAGAGCTAGGAGTGCTGAAGCGTATAAGCCACCGTCATACGGTGATGTTGGTCGGAAGTTTCACGGATTTCACATCTTTCTCACTCATCTTGAGTCCAGTTGCGAAAGACGTGCTCAAGTCCGTGCTTGAGCGCCAATCTCATCAAAAACCGTTACCAGGTATGCAATAATCTGTGATCTGCTCCAGCAGAGAACAACTTTCACTGACGCGATTTGTCATCCAGAGTCAGAGCTCGCTACGCTGCGTCAAGCGTTTGGATGTCTCGCTACTGCACTCGCTTATCTTCACGAACAGAAAGTGCGGCACAAGGATATCAAACCCGGCAACATTTTGTTGAGCGATGGTCGGGTATATCTTTGTGACTTCGGTATCTCCCGAGACTGGTCCAAGGATGAGAATTCTACGACGGAGGGCGACGTGATGAAATTTACACGGCGCTACTGTGCTCCCGAGGTGGTCGAACGAGATCCCAGGAACACCAAATCCGATATATGGTCACTAGGCTGCGGTAAGTCATTGCGAGTTCCTCGGAAGAGAAATCTTGCAGATATTTGCACCTTCTTTCTTGCCCCATCTATCTCACCATTCCCCGGAGAATTACCCGGAAGATCTGCTAACCCTTTTACTTAGTGTACATGGAAATGATCAGCATCATCAAGGGATACACCATCGAAGAATTAAACGATTTTTTCCTACGAAACAGCGATGGACTTAGCAGTCAAGGTCTTTGGCGCGCTCCGGAGGCGATCAGTGCCTGGCTCGTGAAGCTCAAAAGCGATAACAGTGATTCAGCAGATAATGTTGCATTGGAGTGGATTACGCCAATGATTCGATCGGATCCTGCTGAACGTCTCAAATCTGCCGGTATAGTCAGCATGATCCACAAGACATCTGCCGGTCTTCCGCGTCACGATCTGTTCATTGCTTCCTGTTGCGCACGTGTGGATAGCATTGCTCCGATAGACAGTCCCACCCTTCATGACCCCACGGGCCTTGGTATCAAAAGTGAACCTACCCCTCTTTCGACCTTTCCAAACATACGTGGGAACAGCAGCTCGCCATCACCAGACAAAAGGAGCGAGGGCTTTTTTAGCCCTCGCTTTAATAGCCATCGCTCTGATAGCCCTCGCTTTAATAGCCATCGCTCTGATAGCGATCGTGACCGAACGCCATCCCCGCACACGCAAAGCTTCAGCCAGTGCGGTAACTCGACTGTGAGCCCTCTACCTTCTGATACTGTTCAACGGTCTAGCCATAGCTACAGGCCGCATGAACGAATCTCCTCGTCTAATAGCGAGCGGACGTCAAGTATACTTCTCTCAAGCGTTCCTAGTAGCTCTACTCCAGATTCCGACACCATTACACTTCCGTCCTCGCGTAGGCAGCCTGTAGAGCCACCCGCGACTCATTATGAGTTGAAATGCGGCTGCAGATTACTTTCAAACGAAAAACACATTTTCAACTCCGCTTACTCTCAGGTTACACCAGCCCGGTTCGATCGCGACAAAAAAACAATGCAAGTTTGCTCTATGTGTGAAATTGGTGATAACAGAGTACAGATATATGAAAGCGCTGCTCAGGACCCGATGGCGCAACCAGGCTCGGTTCCAATGTTGTGGTGGGTTACCAAACGTTTGGTGATTAGTTATATCTCGGGCGATCCTGAGATGCGGCATTGCAATTCATTCTGGGTGCCGCTGGCAGATTTGAGGTTCGAGTTGACAGAAAGCACGGTGAAACTGAGCTGGTCAGACTGTAACCAAATGACTCAACGAAGCGCTGGGAATTATCAACAAGATTACGAGTGGGTCTACGATCCGAATGCGCCAAATAATGCGATAGAGATCCCTTTCAACAATACGGATGATGCACAACAATTCATCGCTGCCATTACCTTACCGTTTGACGACGATATTACCGTCACATACACGAAGCGAATCCAGATATCTGACACTTCCGAAATCGACATCTTTGATGTTGGCCGTCCCGGGGTCCGAAACTATCGCGCCGCCACACTCAAAAACAGGACCTTCTCCGGCACCATAACCTCCAAATTTTACGTTATCTGGCCAGAGATCGACCTCCGAATCGAAAACACAATCTCTCACGACCCTAACGTCGCCTACGAAATGGAAATCGACATCAATAACATCAACACCCCAACATACCTGAGCGACACCATTGGGGAACCAGCCGCCGACTACGACAGAGTCGCCCACTTCAGTAAAGCACACCAGATCAAGACAAACATGGTCGTGCGATTCCCAGTGCTTCCAAATCACCGCTTTCCCGCACCTCCTCCAGCAGCTGCCGAGATGCTGCAAAGCCTGACTGGCTGGACCCTCTCCTACTTCGCAATCGTATCGAAATTTCGTTCGAAAAACAGGCGTATAGGATCAAAGCGCTTCGGCCGCTCAGACGTCATGCTCTGGGAAAAAGAAGTCGACGACAGAGCTGCTGGCATCAAGAGGCGCGGCGCAGCCGTTACTTTCAGACTCCACGAGGATACTGGAATGATCTGGGTCAGCGGCAAAATCAACGCGTCTACTACTATCGAGTACTCTTCCGGACTGGATGCGACTGTCACCGTAGCGAACAAGTCGCAAGGAAGATTGCTGATTGTTAGTAAAATGGTGGCGTCGGAGTCTGAGAATCCGGCTGAGCAGAGACATTCGAGGGGTAGTTCGCATGTGGAGGCGGAGCTCTCCGATTTGGTGGTTACGTTCGAGAATTCGAGGTGTAAGTTTCGAAATCACTTATTTCGACCTATTATCCGTTTGCTAATATGTGCTTTACAGATCGTTTGGAGTTTGTCAAACTTGTTGAGGAGTACAGGGCTGCGGCTACAGATGCGGCACCTTCCGAGTCGATGCGTCGGGTAGGCAGTCTGGCGTCTTCGAACGATTCGTTGAGTCCGCCTATGCGTTAATTTAGATTTTTTTTTGCGAGATTTTGTCATACTTTCGGTTTCTGTTGTTGACTTCATGTTGTAGATACCCTTGTCAGTTCTCTTCGGTGTAGTTTGATTTATGTGAGGAATCAGAGTGCGTCAGTCTTTGTCGGGACTCGGGACTCGGCACTCGGGAGGACCGTTTCGATTTGTCTTATTTGTTCTCGAAAGATTTCTGAGGGTGTTATCCTAATTAAAGTAGACACTGGCGGCCCTATTCTCTTCCCTTAATGCACAGTCCATGTAATCCAGATGGGGAACAGTAATCCCCAGTGCATTTATGTGCCTTGGTAGCAAATATGTGAAGACCTAAGCTTCACTCTTAAGTTGCTCCCACCTTTTAGGTCCCGTGAGAATCCATTATGACGCATCCACTTGCAGTCATATAAAAGCTTTTACCTTAATTTGATCAGTCGAACCACTGCCCCGTCCCCGAAGGAGCCTCCCAATAGGAAGAACGGTAATCTTCGGACCTAGTCCGGCTCGCCTTATCCTTGATCTTTGACTTCGTCTTTTCGATGAGCACACCCGCGAGCGCCTGGGTAACCTCTAAATGAAGCTCCGTAAAGTCGAATAGTTTGTTCTGTAGGGTCGGGAAGATACCGACTCGCCTGATAGTATCGCAGACACGGTCGATCACAATCTCGCGCAATCCACGATCGCTCTCCAAGGTGGTAGTGTAGACGAAATCGATTGCATCATAGAAACCCTTGTTGATGATATGTTCTGTAGTTGATGCGCGGAACTTTTCGATAGCCACAGTCTTGAGGCCCTGCACATTGTATCTGTCGGCCATAGAGTAGACTTTGGCGTGGATGACGGGATCATCGAGGGAGACTACGGCTTGCCCTAAAGATACATGGTTAGAACTGAAAAATTATCTTGGTAAGTTTATATGTGGAGAACAACATACAAGAGTCTGCCTTCCCCTTTTCCTCTTCGGTCTTGATGCTTTCGAGAAAGCAATAGAACTCCTCAATCGTACCGGGAAAAGCTGCAAACTCATACACAGGTCCCCAATTATCAAAGTCCTAACTCATTAGCCAGTAGTAGCATATCATGGGTGTATCACACTCACTCGTTCCTTCCAGGGAAGATTTTGCGCAAAGTCTAGAGCTCTGGACATGCCGGCAGTGCTGATTGAAATGAGCATTTCGATGATCTTTGGTCGCAGAATTTTATCTTCGTCCCGAGTAGAATTGCCCAAGTAACCAAATACAGGAACCACGTAGAGATAGGCAGCAGGAGCCCAAGGCAGAGGGTCGGCTGGAACATGCGCAGGCTCATCGAGCTTGTAATTCAACTTGTAGAAGTACTGAATCATCAATTTGACGATTGCTGGCTCGTCTTCGGAGAGGACGATCTTGTTTTCGCTAGCCTCCTATGAAAAGGTTAGCCACAACGAGAATTTGAGACATGTATTCCGGAGAGCGTAATTAGGGAACATGATACATACCTTTCCGAATTTGACGGCTGCAGCAAAGTAGTCGCTGCGAGGGCAGATGATGGCTTTATGAACTGGAAAGACATCGTCCCCGCACACGATCGTGAAATCTGAATATTTCTCGGGGAGATATAAGCTATTTCTGTTAGTCTAAACCCATCCACAATGGCCAGATTGAGACATCATACCTTTTGATACCGCTCTCCAAAGCCTCCCGAGGATCGTGAAGCATCTCCCCGGTGGGGAAGTCCGTTGAATTTGGGGACATACTAGGACCGTTACCAAATGGGTTGTCCATGATTGAAGTGCGGAAGTCCGTTGAATTTGGGGACATACTAGGACCGTTACAAAATGGGTTGTCCATGATTGAAGTGGGGAGTCAGTCGCAATTCTGGTGAGCTGCCTCTTAAATCTCCAAAGCACGGACCTTGGTGTAACAGCTAATCCAGCCCTTAACTATCTCACCTCCAAATTTCTTGTGTTTCTTTTACCTTGGATGAGCTGCGGGATATGACTCGGTGTAAAGGTGAAGTCGAGATACTTTCCCCAGTTGTGAGGTAATATTATGAGTTCACTCTGCTATTGGAGTAAAGCAGCAGATGACGGGTCAAGATAAATGTAGTTTATGTGACCAGACATCAAGTAAGTGCACGCGACCAATCAATTATATGTTATTTCGACTGTGTGAATCATAGGTCTATTGAGGTGACTGTAGATGTTAAGCCACTGACAGACCCACCATTCGTTGATTATACGGCATGCGTCACACCGGAGGCGGAAAAAGCCGGTTTGCAGAGGTCTGGAAAAGCAGATTTCACTCAAATCTGCCAAACACATACAGCAAGAAGTACATTGCAAACATGGATTGTGATGCGGTCTCTCAACAGCATCGATGCATGTGTATAGAGTCAATTTTATACTCAACTCTCGGATGGTAGTGCGCTATAATTTTCTAGTATTAGATAGAGAGACCTGATTCTATTTCTTGTTCTTGAGAGGAGAAGCTACGTACAGGATCCTTCACTCTTTTATCCACATCAGGTGTGTCTCTATTCCTTTCATCTGACCTTAGCCCACAAACAACAAAGCTTGTCCTTGATCATTTACTGATTGTTTCCATTCAACATCTAGCCTTGCACATTCCCCAAAATCTTTCTCGGAACCTCGTGATACATGATCGTGGGTGGGTAGGTCGTACAGTGAGTTCCGTGAGGTTTCACAGTTACCGAAAGACTTTTTGGTTGCTTTATCACACGTAGATTATGCACTTTAGGTGTATTGAAAGATGTTACATTGAAAGGATTCTTATAAATCTTAAGCCAACGAAAAGAATATCCTAGAAACCTCATTTAGGCACCAGTCTAGAAGCCTCCGATTCATCATATCAAACGCCTTCGGCGCCCATGAATCGATACTACCGAATGCATAGTCCTTCCCAATTGAATGGTGCCTTTGTGAATTCATCGTCCTCTTTAATCTATGATGATATGATTCTGGTTACCAATCCTCATGCCCGGCCCTATGTCCTCGTTCCTCTATCACCCCATATGAACCCCCCTCTCCCTCTCCCTTACCTCACCTCGCTCGCGAGCGCACTCCACCTCATGCTCTGGTATTGTATAATCAACTAGAAATCCACAAATCGCAAAGCATGTCAATGCCACACGAAAGACAATCAACAAACCTTACTCTACGCGTTCACACATCTCAACCATAGCTCCTTCCCTTGTTGTGAGAGTGTGGGTATGCACGTGACCATCAGAAACACAGGCCCGAGGGTTATCAACATTCAAATGTTCAGATGTTATGACAATCAGAATGCGATCGATCGGCTATTCTCTGCGTTAATTCGTATTTGAACAATATAAGCCTCATGATTCATCATTAGATAAACACTCAATCTACCTAGGTATTCATCACATACAGATTAATTGACAGCAGAAGCAGAGGTATACTATGGCACTTACCCACACAACAAAAGCCCAAAAAACCCTAGTCACAAACACAGAAATAATATTCACGAACGACAGAAATAACACAGACAACAATCGTGATAGAAGTCACCAAGAATGACCAGAGATTCCTAGAAGGCCACCAATGTCTATGAACACTATCTGGGTCAAGAAAGAAAAGGGGGAACGGGAAGATTGTGTGGAAAGCGCAATCTCAGCCTGCAAATTCGTATTATATATGAATGGGTGGCAGGGCTACAATTGTAGGCAATCATATGTGAGATTGCATGACCTGTTTGCAATAGCGTGAGACGAAGGAATAAGGAAGGAACGAGAGATGAATTTCCGAAGGATTGGAGTGGGGAGTTCAGATGTACATTGTTACGGGGGATCAGACGAATTCATCACAAGAAGAAATTGCTTGATCGATCAACTGACAAGGAATCAAAACCAGCTATTACAGACAACGTGTTTGGAAAAAAAAAGTTATATTCAATATCTCAATTTCACATCTCCGTTGAGAGTGCGCTGTTGTTGAAGTATCATTCCATCGTCAATCAATGCCGTTTAATTTTCATCATCCACCGCACAGAAGGAAAGGAAAATCTACAAACGTGGCTTCTCCACACCAGCGGAGCTCTTCACGTCAAAGCGATCCAAGTTCATGACCTTGTCCCATGCAGCCACGAAATCCTTCTTGAACTTATCTTGAGCATCGCTCGCGGCGTACACCTCGGCAATGGCGCGGAGCTCGGGCTGGCTGCCGAAGATGAGGTCGTTGCGCGTGGCGGTCCACTTCTTCTGGCCGCTCTTGCGGTCCACACCATCGAAGAACTCGCCGTTGTTGGTCGACGCCTTCCACTCGGTGGACATGTCAAGCAAGTTGACGAAGAAGTCGTTGCTGAGCTTGCCAGGGCTGTTGGTGAAGACACCAGACGAGGAGCCATCCCAGTTTGTGTTCAGCACGCGCAGACCACCGATAAGGGCAGTGAGCTGGGGTGCGGAGAGAGTGAGGAGGTGGGCGCGGTCAACGAGGAAGGATTCCGTCTTGACGCGGTCGGTTCCAACGCCGTAGTTACGGAAGCCGTCCACGACGGGCTCAAGGTGCTCGAAGGATTGCGCATCGGTTTGCTCTTGAGTGGCATCGGTGCGACCGGGGGTGAAGGGGACGGTCACACCGGAGGCTTTCTCGAGCGCGGCGCCACCAGCAAGGACAATCAAATCGGCGAGAGAGATCTTCTTGCCGCCGGATGCAGAGCCATTGAAGTCCTTCTGCACCTTCTCGAGGGCAGAAAGAACGGTCTTGAGCTCAGAAGGGTTGTTGACCTTCCAGCTGTTCTGGGGCTCCAAGCGAATGCGGGCACCGTTGGCACCACCACGCTTGTCGCTACCACGGAACGTGGAAGCAGAGGCCCAAGCAGTCTTGATCAAAAGTGTGGAATCCACGCCGCTGGAGAGAATCTGCTTCTTCAATTCGCTGACGTCAGAATCGTTGACGATGGCGTGTTCGGGCGATGGGACAGGGTCTTCCCAGAGAAGAACCTCCTTGGGGATCTCGGGGCCCAACCAGCGGGAGCGGGGACCCATGTCACGGTGGAGAAGCTTGAACCAGGCGCGTGTGAAGGCATCGCGGAGCTCTTCGGGGTGGTCGAGCCATCGGCGAGTGATCTTCTCGTAGGCGGGGTCGAAGCGCAATGCTAGATCCGAAGTCAACATGCGGGGCTTGTGCTTCTTGCTGGAATCAAAAGCATCGGGGATGATCTCATCATCGGTCTTCGCCACCCACTGGTTGGCACCAGCAGGGCTCTTGGTGAGTTCCCACTCGTACTTGTAGAGGTATTCCAGGTACTTGTTGGTCCACTTGTTGGGCTCCGAGGTCCAGATGACTTCGAGACCCGAAGTGATGGTATCTGGGCCCTTTCCGCTACCGTGCTTGTTCTTCCATCCAAGACCCTGGGCCTCGATTCCGGCCGCCTGGGGCTCGGGTCCAACGTTGTCGGAAGGAGCAGCTCCGTGGGTCTTGCCGAAAGTGTGACCACCAGCGATCAAAGCGGCGGTTTCCTCGTCGTTCATAGCCATGCGGCCGAATGTGGTTCGAATATCGCGAGCGGAGGCTTTGGGGTCGGGGATACCATCGGGACCCTCTGGGTTCACGTAGATGAGACCCATGTGTGCAGCGGCGAGGGGCGACTCCAGGTCGCGCGAGTGGATATCGGCATGGTCATTCTTGTGCTCATCACCATCCACAACACCACCACCGCCACCAGCTGGACCCTCGCGGCCGCTTGAGTAGCGGACGTCGTTGCCCAACCATGTAGTCTCGCCACCCCAGTATACAGACTCGTCAGCCTCGTATGTGTCGGCACGTCCACCAGCGAAACCAAAAGTGGGGCAACCCATGGATTCGATAGCCACGTTGCCGGTGAGCAAGAACAGATCAGCCCAGGAGATCTTGTTGCCGTACTTGAGCTTAATGGGTAGCAGCAGGCGGCGGGCCTTGTCGAGGGAGACGTTGTCAGGCCAGCTGTTGAGGGGGGCAAAACGCTGCTGTCCGTCACCACCGCCACCGCGGCCGTCGGTGACACGGTAGGTACCGGCACTGTGCCAGGCCATGCGGACGAAGAGACCGCCGTAGTGACCGTGGTCAGCGGGCCACCACTCCTGAGAGTCGGTCATCAGGGCAGTGAGATCCTTCTTGAGAGCATCGTAGTCGAGGCTCTTGAAGGCTTGGGCGTATTCGAAGTCCTTGCCCTCTGGGTTGGTGACACCGGTGTGCTGGCGAAGGATGTTGAGCTTGAGGTCGTTTGGCCACCAGTCACGGTTGCGGGTGCCGCCGCCGCCAATGTTGGACTTCTTCACGGGGCATTCAGCTGCAGACATGGTGAGAGATGTATGCGGGTTTGCAGGAAGAAGGGTGATGGAAGTGAAGAGAGATGAGGAAGTTGAGCTCCGTCAAGGAGTGGTATATGGGGGAAAGTGAGGTGGAGAGGGGCGAGAGGTTCAAGTACCCCGCTGGCAGTTGCTGTATTGGTAAGCCCCGCAGACGATCGGCACATCTGGGCTCGACGCCATTACTGACGACCACGCCACCACGGTCACCATTCACTTGTTCATTCATGATTCATGGAGGTTCAACTTGGTCGGCCTCGTTATAGTTATTCGTCAACGTGCCGACTGTAGGTTGCTCGACGGCAACATGAACCTTGATGGCGAGCGCCTGCGTTACCCGTAGCGGACTGCGGTTAGTTCTTTCGCATTGAGCAACGCGTTATAGGCAATGAACCCGGGCATCTTCTGTGCACTACAGTCACTGGCTTGCGCATCCGCGGCGAATTTTTCGAAATAGAGAGACGCCTCCATGAAAGCAGCCTCGGAAGCTGAACATTTGAAGTCATCCATCCCAACCCGTGACAGAGGGGGGGAGAGGAGGGCGTACGTTCTTTGCCGTGCTGTACACAAATAACATTTCCGTTGGAAGCTTCGAATCGGCAGGGCGCTGATTGGCCAATGCCCCTCCCCTCCATAGCAACCGACGCTTTCTAGCGGATCCGCTCTCCCCACCATCCAACCGCTCCGGATTATGTGACCACCGCCGTCTGGACCTTCCATCTGATATCATCTTGTCCTTCACTCCGTCTTCCTTCTGACCTTTCTGTGTGGCGACATGCGCCTTTGTTCTTCCATCACGTATCGCGTCTTCGGATTGCATATGCCTGCTTTGCGCGGTTGTTCCGCAATCGCGATTGCCCCCACTTGCCCCTTTCGGTGTATCGGCTAACGACCGGCTTATATCGGTTTACGTGATTGGCTCTTCCGAGCACGTGACGGGCACGTGCTACCAATTCACTCTTACTTGCTCACCTGGCACTGGTTTGGCCTTGGAGTTAACCAGCTAGACGATGCTACTATAATTCTATGTTCCTGCGGACTTCCACATGTTCCGGATATGTAGGCTCAATTTATTGGATTATCATATATTCATTATTCTCCACACTGATTTGATTCAATGCAATACACTCATGAGAAGAAGCGATTCTTCGGCCGAGGTAACCCCAAATGGTCCCTCAACGTCGTTCCTTCATACTCACTGCGGAAGATTCCTCTCCGCTGAAGTTCAGGAATTAAGCGTTTAGTCACATTCTCCAAGCCTTCCGGTAAGAAAGGAAACGTGATAGTAAACCCATCCGCCGCTCCTTCATTGAGCCACACCTCCAACTCATCGGCCACCGTCTCAGGCGTCCCCACAAATGCCAGTCCCGCATACCCACCCAGTCTCGACGCCAATTGACGTACAGTCAACCCATCTTTCTTCGCCAGATTGATCACGCTTTCGCGACTAGTCTTGCTCGCATTCGTCTCGGGGATGTCTTCAGGCAGCAGCTCGTCCGGCTCAAACTTCGATGCATCCGTTCCCAAAGCAATCGAAAGCGAAGCAATTGCCGAATCATAATGCACAAGGCTGTCCAACTTGAGCCTCTTCTCCCTCGCATCCTCCACGGACTCCCCAACCACGATCAACGCCGCCGGCAGAATCTTCAAATGGTCCGGGTCGCGTCCCACCGCTTCAGCTCGTCCTTTGATATCCGCATACAAAACCTTCGCAGCGTCGATATCTCTTGGTGAGCAGAAGATAGCTTCAGCCGTCTCTGCAGCAAGTTGGCGGCCCGGCTCTGATTGACCAGCTTGCACGATGACTGGCCATCCTTGAACCGGCCTGGCGATATTCAAAGGCCCTCTCACACTCAACTCGTCCCCTTTATGATTCAAAACATGTATCTTATCAGGGTCGACATATACCCCGCTCTCAACATCCCTCGGGAATGCATCGTCGGCGAAACTATCCCATAGCCCCGTAACCACATCGTAAAACTCTCGAGCGCGTTTATAACGTTCTCCATGCTCGACGTGCTCTTCCCTCCCGAAATTCTTACTCGATTCTGGGTTCCCAGTTGTAACGATATTCCATGCCGCACGCCCTTCACTCAAATGATCCAAACTCGCGAACCGTCGTGCAATGTGATAGGGTTCGTCGTACGTCGTGCTCGCCGTCGCCGCTAGCCCTATTCTAGACGTAACCTGCGAGAGTGCAGAGAGCAGCGTGAACGGCTCAAAGGAGGTTACAGTGTGACTTCGCTTCAGTGCTTCAAGCGGCATATTCAGCACCCCGAGGTGGTCTGCCATGAAGAAGGCATCGAACTTCGCAGCTTCAAGCGATTGAATGAATGATATAATGTGCTTGATGTTGAAATTTGCGTCGGCGTATGCACCCGGGTAGCGCCAGGCTCCTGTATGGAGGCTCACGGGGCGCATGAAAGCTGTTAGGTGGAGTTGTTTCTTCTTTTCGGCCATTTTTCAAAGTTCTCTCGTAGCTGTTGGTTCTTTCTTCTTTCCCTCTCTCGATAATCTCTTCTCTTTATCCTCTTGGGTGGGACTGCTGGAGTGATATAAGAAGCTAGCACTTCCCTTTCTTTCGAGTCGTCGAATTACCAATCTTGCCGATTCATCATTTGTTTACTGATACGAAGTCTCCGTTATCGTTGCTCGATGACAAATTCAGAGGTGGAGAAGCAGAAAGCACGACATCTGCAAGCTACCTCGCGTCACAGCTAACATGATCACCAAATCGCGCCATTCGAGGGGCTCAGTCATCTGCCCAGGTCAGCTTGATGATACAAAGGTCGAAATAGCCGATGTATTTGACGGAAAAGAAATTGCGCACTGTACTTAATCAATACATGTGAGAGAGGTGGAGCACAACATGTCGACATCTATACCAAGAAATCAAGTGGTCTGCTCACTCACACAGATCGAAAGTCAGGCTAAGTACAACGCGATATCCCTGCAACTAAGTACGAAACACCACTTGACATTTATATGGAAGCGTCAACGTACATTGTCAATTTTAGGTAAAGATTAAGAGAACGAAGTAGAACAACAACACCACTTCATACATTTTATTGGTCCCCCAACTATTCCTACAACAACCACTTCAATTCTCTGCAACTTTCAACCCACTTCCCAGCACAAACGCCTTCTCTCCACCGGCCAACTTCACCCAAACCGTCAAAGGATCGCCGCCAACCTTCTCCTTCCTACTCCCGCCTGCATCCACCACATCTCCTGGGAGCGTAACCGGGATTTCCGCAGCACAGCTCTTATTCGCAGCAGACACACTGACGCCCGTGATACTCTTGCGGTCTGTAGCTAGAGTGTATGACAGTGAAGGCGAGCACTCGTCGCGCGTTTTCCGGGCGATGATGGCGCGGGCTACGGAGTCGTGTTTGAGAGTTATTATGGGGAAGGTTGTCCTAAGCATTCCGATATCAGCATCAAGAATATTTTGCTATATCCCCACACACTATGGGGTTCCAAGTAAATCGCGAGGGGGTGGATTCAGTGAAAACAGAAAAGAGGGAGGGAACGTACAGTCTAGTGACCTCATAAACGACAGCCTCAGTCCACGCCATCAACAAACTCCACTTCTTGTTCTTGCCCAAAAGCGTAACAGCGCTGGTATCGCTAACCCGCATATTTGCTTGGTGGAACATATACGGATCCCAGCGTAAGCCGAGGAGGTATTTAGTGTTCACGCTTCTCTCGTACTCGAGCTGCGCGTTGAAATCGCCGGTTCCGCCCGCAATCGCTTTCCACTCGTCGTTGACGCATTTCGGGAGGTCGCAGTTGTAGTAGATTGAGGAACCATATCGACCGATGATGTAAGCGCCATCGTACCCGTTTTCCTTGACGTTTGTGATGATGGGGTGGAAAGGTGATTTGCGGGACGCGACGTCCATGAGGACCGGGCGGGAGTTATCGCCGACGGCGTAGGTGATGTTGTTTTCGAGCCAGGCGCGGATTGCATCGCCGTTGTGAAGACCAGTGATTCCGGGGGGTATAAGACCGTTTGGAGAGAAGTTGTTGGAGAAGGATGGGTCGCTGAAGCCGATGCGCTTGAACCATTCTTGGTTCCAGGCGATTTCCTTGCGGACGTCGGCGAGGGTTGCGTTGGTTTCGTCTTCGTGCGTGAAGGTGTGCGAGACGTGGAGGTAGTTTCCGCGGTTGGCGGTTGCGGAGAGGTAGACGTAGAGGGGGTCGAGGTTGGAGCAGCGGGTGGACCAGGTGTAGGAGCGGAACTTTTTGTTCCAGAGGTCCTTCCCTGTGCCGATGGGTTTGATGTATTCGGGCGGTCCGTCGATTTGGTCTTCGTATTCTATACCTTCTTGTGGGTCGCAAAGCGCGGGCTCGTTGTCGTAGTCGTGCTCGACGGCTTCTTCAATGTTGCCATTACCGTTGTGGCCTAGCTCGATCATGTACGAGGAGCCTGCGGGGAGTTTGGAATTCACCTCGGCCATCCAAGTTACGTGGTCTTTGAGGTCGTTGACGCCAAAACGATACGATTTGCCAGTCTGGTAGAGCTCGGTCATGACGAAGACGTCGTCGACTTGAGTGTTGAGGTAGACACGGCGGAATCCCAGGTAGAGACCCCGGGTGAGCCAGTGGATCCAGGCGTGCGAGAGGAGAGTTGTAGAGGTTCGGTCGAGAGTGAAGGTTGTGAACCAGACTTGCTGCTCGCGTCCACTGGGGAATTTGTTGATGACGGCTGCAGTCGTTGTTGAAGTGCCACTTCCGAATTGCGCTATCTCTGTTGCGAGAGTAGTGTTCGTGATCTTTGCTGGGTATTTACTAAGGTTCGGCGTGCTCATCTGAGCTTTTCTAAATTTCATAGTTTAGTCTTCGTAATTGACAGACATGAGGAGAATTTCGCACTCAACAAGATTCGCGCTGGCGAATTCCTTCGCATTCGTGATGGCAATTGGTTGATCTGCAGTGACAGCGCCTCCAACACTTTGCACCCCATACTCCTTCTCGCTGGGCCAAGCATTGAGACGAACCAGTCTCACTGCGAATGCCTCCTGGTATCGGTACAGATCCTGCCATTGCTTGTCGCTCAGCGCCGTGTTCCAGTCATCTCCGTTAGTGTACCCCTGTGAGCTGACTGCCACAATACCTCCGAAATTTCCAGCGTCGGGTGTCGCATTCAACTGGGGAAGTCCTGAGCTCGCTACTGAAAGATCGACGACTTGGTATGGAATTCCGTAGCCCTGTAAAACGCCTGTGCCGTCGGACGCAGCAGCTGCATTGCGGGCGAGGACCAAGAGTGTGCTGTTGACAGTAACAGCAGCTTGCGCCGTGCGGACGGCTGTCGATGCCGCAAGTCCTACCCAGACAATTGTCCTGAATTGGCCTGTCATTGCAATTTTCTTTCTTATATGCCTGTGCACGCGAAAAAAATTCACCCACGAAGGCAGGACGCCACCTACATATAAATCCCCGAACCCACGTTACTCCTCAGCGTACCAGTGCGCAAATGCAATTTCCATCTCTTCATATACCGTATTGGCCAGGAATGGCATAGTTGAGCAAGCGATCAACGAAGTGTACGCGTACAGCACCGTCATCACGAGCTCGAAGTAACATCGCTCGTACACTTTAAATAGCCTGTAAGTGAAGATGTATTTGCTACCATGTCAGCGGTAGATGAGTGCACCCGGATACGAGCCTCCACCAGCACAATCGATTGGGCGGCGCAGGGAATATATACGTGTCTCCCCTGAGGTCTTGGAGAAAAACCTTGCTGTTGCTTAAATTGTATGCGGGCGTTCCTAGATGTTGAGGCCTGCGGGTGTATATACGGTCATTTAATCGTTCGGCTGGCGGGTATATGCAGCGCATTGCTTTCGGTTACGGCTTTTCCAATCAGACACTGTCGATGTGCCGTATATGGGGTTTCTTACGTCCGTGAGGAGTACGAAGTTATCAACATCATCAGATTCGGCAGCTTGGCATATCTTAACAGCATAGTTCGGCATCCAGTCGTGAAATACAGTGAAGATATGGCCTGACCCTAATTCGATATGTACTCGAGGGAGCTTTGCAGCGGCAATTGCCAGGTGGAGGATTTTCGGGGCTTATTGCGCTGTTTTTCAATGCATTAATCGAATTGTCTAGCATTCCAAGTAAAGCAAAAAACGGACGATATTGTGAATGCAGGTCATCTCTAAAATTGTTGATGTAGGTGTCGTGGCGTCGGATATGTAATGGAAAGTCGAGGTGGATATGGCCTCGGCTCGCTAACATGCGGGCCATGATTTCTCAACCAATCACAGTCTAACTCAAAGATTTTGCTGCGTTTTCCCACGAGATTTATAATTAGCACAGACTTCATCTTCTACTATGGTCATACATGTACCCTAAACGGACTGTGTTCTCATAGCATTATGAGATTACATGTATGCATAAGTTGACATTGAAATCCATCTGTCAAGAATTAAGAGATCAAAGTCACTCACGCTGAGAGGTCGTACACAGCTGATAAGTTCCTCTCTTCGTACTCACAGGCTAGAATTTGAACAGCCCAATGCTCGCATAATAAGATATGTCATAGAAAAGCGAAAGCGGAAGGTGGCTAACTTACTGTATGTCCACCATCCACGTATATGCAATAAATCATTCGCTTGACGTTCGCGAAGGTGCGCGGCAGGGGTTCCATGACGCGATCTGGGGAGCATAATGTCATGAATCGGGTCACGGCAATACCCCGCATTTTCATTCTCTCATGCCAATGGGTTAGGAGATAATACCGAGTCCGGTAATTACAACGGCGGGTAGCGGGTGGTGAAGACCAGGTAGACTAACTCATTCGCAATGATCGGGGTAATGGCGAACAGCTGATTGATGCAATTTCTTCGAGTACGCTATGAACTTGAGTTGCTTTGACCCCCTTTGTTTGCCCCTGTCGATCAACGATCTCCAAAAAAAAATCTGGAAATTTTACTGAAAGGGGACGATACTCTGAGCTCCTTTCGATCGAATGCCTCCGAAAATATCGCCTATCTCCTGTAAAACGGTCCGAGTCAGATCTGACACTTGTTTACAGAGAATGAAGTCTGCATCGTGTCTCGCAGCCCAAAACATGAGCATTGAGGAATAGATTGAACGCCTCGAACAATCCCAGTAGATCGACAATTTTCAACTTCTAGCGTCATCGGAGTAGCACCAGAAAGCGTTGGTATCTACCGAGGTCAAAGACTCTAGGTCGACATGGTCCAAGTGCTCTTAATTCTTGGAGTTGTACCTGAATGCTATAAGTAAGACCAGGGAATCCCTAGATGCAATATGGATTACAGCACTTCTCTTCGCGATACATCATCGAAGATTCTTACCACCAATACTATTCTCGCGAACTGATATCGTTTACCATATTGTGACCATGTTCTCAACACCAATTATCCTCATATCTCTTCTAGTCACAGCGACTACCATCTCCGCAACTCCAACGGGCATCCACAAACGAGCTATATCGTGCCTCAAGCCCGGCTCGACAGCGACAGCGACATGGACAGATGCCCAGGGCAAGACATGTAGATGGACCGGCACGGTAGGAAGCAACTTCGGTCCAAACAGTGGCAACGGTGGAGAGTAAGTTCTCCATTCATCCGATCATCTCTCGACCTGACTGAATGCTGACAATTCCATTAGATACAGCTGCAATGGTCGTTGCGGAGCAGGTTGCAGCGGCTTTGCGCTCGGGAATGCATATACGCAGGACTGCTTTTCGCATGATGTTTGTTCATGGTTCAATAATGCAAGTGGAGGCGCCAGGTGAGTTTTCGTTTCTTCTGGGGAATCGGGCAGTATTTAATCTTAGAACAGTGACCCTAACTGTGGCGCGGCTTACAATGCGGCGGTGGATGATACGCTGATGGGCGCAGTGAGCGGGTGTGGAGAGACTAACCCAAGTAATGCGGTGCAGGTACCCAGCAACCAGCCAACGTGCTCATAAGATGTGTCGGCAGTTTGAATGGAGCTGCGGTGATGACGCAAAATGGAATCGAGTTACTGCATGATTACATACGCTCTGGATCCACCAATTGAGTGGTGCTTAGGAGAGGACTTTCATCAAAATCCATTGCCCATCAAGAAATGCAGGCAGCAAAAACGATTCCAACAATGCAATCTGTGCTGAGCTTCTGAGGTATCATTTTGAATGGGGAGAATCTCGAACCGCTTGTCTCAATACTCATGCAATGCGCTTCGGGACGAGAATAGACCTTGATGTTTCTACTCACTAGACACCGGGATGCCGACCGTCGGCCCGCAGCTTACATTATTTACGGCAACGTGCCGATGAAGTGGGAATCGATTGGGGTACCGGAATACGAGCAATAGAACACACGTGGCGGCTCACGGGAGGCTGGCTCTGAGTGATCAATAATCGGTTGAGAATAGGTTTCAGGACACAGCGTAAAGTGATTGGTATGCGAGACTTTCTGGTACGAGCTGGGGACAGGTCAAACGACGTTGGCAACCATACTTTTGCGGGGAACATGCCGAATGCGGGGGTGAGATTATGCCTGTGTGCTCAAAACGGCTGACATCTTCCTTGCCGCTGCATGTCATCAATTGATCTTCCCCGACCGATGCGCGTGCTCGGCAACACTAACAATGAGATTCAGGTCGAGCGATAATCTTGAATTAGTGATCAAGATGTGTTGCGCGGAGGTTCAGTTGCACTTTATTCTGCACTGTCGATAGCAAGTTTTCGACACTCAAGATTCCTCCATTCTAGTCTCTAGATCACTTGCGATTCCATCTTATCAATTCAACTAAAATGGCAGTCAAAGACCGCGTGATCGTAGTTACGGGTGCAGCGTCAGGAATGGGCCTCGAGACAGCTCGACTCCTCGGTGGCCACGGAGCCATACTGTCTCTCGCGGACATCCAAAAGCAGCCCCTAGAAGCCGTAGAGCAAGAGCTCCGAGAATCCGGCGTACGCGTTCTCGCTAGCATCGTAGATGTTAGCAACCGCGAAAATGTTGAATCGTGGATTTCCAAGACCGTCCAGACGTTTGGGAAACTGGATGGCGCTGCCAATATCGCGGGAGTCTTTTCCGAACAAGGCAACATTGCGGGCGTAGCAGACATTGATGACAAGGATTGGGACTTTGTGTTCAGTGTTAACGTCAAGGGATTGCTGAATTGCTTGAGGGTACGTTGTCCTAGGTACGAAGTTGTGACGTTCCAGAAGCTTTTTCGTAGCCCAAATAGTACTTGAACATCCCTGGTTGCACTATATTAACCTTGCACCCCCATTAAAATAGGCTGAAGCACCACATATGAACGAAGGAAGCGCCATTGTGAACGCAGCGAGCATTATGGGGCTGGTAGGCACCAAAAACAACATCACATACACGGCCTCCAAGCATGCTGTAGTTGGGATGACAAGGGCTCTTGCTAGAGAGATGGGGGACAGGAACGTGAGGGTCAATTGCATTTGCCCGTAAGTTGTTCTGATAGTGATTCAGTGCTTCTATGGTACATCAATAACTAACGGACTTGACCATCATGTATAGTGGTCCTATCGATACACCTATGTGGCAGGGAGCCATCTCGAAAACTGATTGGAGTCACCTTGCACTGGGAAGATATGCAACGCCGAATGAAGTGACCCCGCTGGTGGAGTTTCTCCTGACACCAGCTTCCTCTTTCATTACTGGGGTCGCTATGCCAATCGATGGTGGGTGGTATTGTTAGTCTTCCTACATTGAATAGAGCACTCCATAGCTGTCCTTATAAACTGTTGGATAAGAGTATAGTGACTCCTTGGAATGAAATAATGATTTGTAATGCTGATGAAAATTGTGTTTGATGCTGCATACCCAAAAGAATTGACAATATCCCTCCTTTACTATACTTCTTTTGTGTGACCTCTAGTCTACTCACTGGCTCATGCATTGATCTACGTCCCAGGACTTCTTTTCGCGTTTATCGCTAGAAGAGCCTAATCTGATCCAGAATTTAACGGAGCTTTCATATACCAAGAGTGAACCAGTATAAAATGAGTGCGTACCTCAGCTTAACATGCTTCGTGCTTCGCGTTCGCCTACTTATGCGACCTGAATCCTTCCCACAAACATGACTCGAGAGCAATGGCAGGCGCGTGCGCTGACCCAAACCTTTTGAGTCAAGCATGACGGATCCCCTCTTTCAACCACCAACCGCATTGCCGGGATCAGTTACCCGACCACGGATAACACAATCGACTACACTTTAAAACATCCAGTAAACGTCAGGAGAATCCGTAGATTATCAGCATCTGAACCGCTTTTCTTCTTCAGTTCTTCTTTATTCCCGTGATCATGGAGTCCATCGATATTCCGCTGAAAGATAAGATCATCCTGATTACAGGCGGTGCATCCGGTAACAATGTCCAGGCGTCACGACGCTTGCAATTCTAACAAAAATTCAGGCATCGGGTTCTCACTTACAAAACAATCCGTGGCTCTCGGAGCCCGTGTCTTAGTATCCGATATACGATCTTCGCCGTCGTTCGATTCATTCGCGGCGTCTAATCTCTCAAATGTGCTATTCGTACAATCCGACGTAACCCGCTGGTCAGACTTTACAAAGCTTTTCGACTCATGCGAAAAGAAGTGGAGCGATGTACCGGATGCGTACGGTATTTGCGCTGGCCTTTTCGAGCCTCCTGCATCAAACTTCTGGCAGGACCCAGAGCAAGATGCAGGATACAAGCAGGTCGATGTCAATGTGGATCATCCGATTAAATTGACTCGATTGGCAATCAAGAAAAGTCTAGGAAAAGGAAAAAGAGCTAGCGTTTGTATAATTGTGGGTTTGCCATTTCTTCTCACCCATATCGTTCACATCAAGTCCAACCACATTGATTTTGGGTACACCCGATATCACGTGACCATATCTTAGTTGCCCAGGGCAACGCTGGCACTGTATGTATCTAGGTACATTAGGTATGTACTGACATTATTAGTCTTCCATCGGAGGCATCTCGAGTAACGTAGCTGCTCCTCTCTACTGCGCAACCAAACACGCCATCGTAGGGTTCGTGAAATGCATGTCCACATCGGAGGCCTTCACCGGCGTAAAGGTGACGACGATCTGTCCAGGACTAGTCGATACACCACTTCTCGATACCCAAAAAGTCGAGCAATATAGCGTCACCAAGGCGAACTCTCTTTCGCCAGATGAGGTCGCAACGCAGATGCTGAAAGTCATCCAAGAGAAAAAGTATGGTTGCGGTACGGTTCTTGAGGTCAGCAAGGCAGGCACGCGCGTTATCCCGGAATGGAACGTCGATCCACCAAGAGGGAGTGGGACTGGGTTAGAGAAAGAAGAAGTAGCGGCTGGAGCGAAGGCTATGTTGGAGCCGATTTTGAAAAAACTTGAATCTGAGAAGCGAACTTCCAAGTTATGAGATTTGTTTGATGTTAGTTGATCCAATTCATTGGGAGTGTCAGACAGGTTCCAAGCCCCAATGGACGCAGTGTGAGTGCATACACAAGTACATAAGAGTTTAGGGAGGTGTGTACTAGGCGCGCCGCGCGCAATCATGACTCGCGAGTCAGGCATTTTTGATGAATCTTAAAGCATCTCAAGCAGCTGGATCGCCAGTCTGTTAAATATAGCCCTGCCCGTCGAAATAATCTATTATTTCGTCCACGTTTATCCGTCCCTCAACGCCATTGACTTCGATACCGTAGAGCAAAATGTGGCACAATTGATTTCAAATGCTCATAGTTCCCGCGCGAGCACCTGTACCTCCTTAGGCAAAGCGTCGGGCTTGGCCCCAATAAATACCAACAACACAATAAGAAAGGTCAAGTACCCGAAGTGGACAGGCACTTCGCTGAGCAATGGCCATCAGATGATCAATTTATCGTAAGACCTAAATCCTTCTACATCTCACAAAACCTCAAGGTCTGTACATCCTTTTTCTCAAACAACACCACCGCTGGATTGACCATCATGGCGACCCAAACGTCGAAGCTGCGACGCGCACTTCCCGCCTCAATATTCCTCGCGCTAGGGGCGACGGCGGCTTATCTCATGGATATGACAACTTTCGTCTTCAAGTACGAACAGCCTAGTGCTTCTGGATTCATCTCCCATGGAAATGGAGACAAAACAGCAATCCTGCGCAGTTTCCATTGGATAAGTCCTCTCGATGAGGTATTTCGCGACGTCACAGTAGGGTTTGCGCCCACCACCCTGGGTTATGACCTAATCAGCCGATGGCAGATGTTCAGTTTTATGGTGGACATAGGCATCATGTATCAGATACATGCGTTCGAGGGATTGAGGAAAGGTGTTGGGATGCCAGTCTCTACGTAAGTTCGCACACTCGCGGGATCTTCGCTTGATACTTTGTCCCTACATGAGAATAATAAACCGGCCTTCGAGCTGACACCTGTATTTAGCCCAGCTTTCTTAGCTACTCTTGCACAAGTTGGTGGCGGAGGTATCTTCGTGCCGATATACTGGTTCCTCAACATAGTCTTCGGTGTCCCCGTAGGAAAAAGCAAAGCGAACGTAGAGGCCCGGACAATCGACATCCCCAAAGCCTGGATATACACCCTCGGAGTCCTGGTTTTCCACTACGTTCCCATTCCATACATGTTCGCTGCGCCTAGCCTGGATGAGCGACATTGGTGGACCTGGGCATGGCAACTGTACCCCGTCCGAATCACTATGCTGTACTATTTCGTTCGCGCAATTGGATCCGTGATCCCGCTTCCGCTTCCACGGTCGCAGCCAACATCGCGCAAAAACTACCAAAAGCATCTGCTGTGGATGATGAGCCCATTCATTCTGATGTCCGCTGCAGCATGGAGCTATATATTGTTCTTCTGTCCGTACCCGCTCTCCACCGTCTTTTGGGCACAACCTCTCTCAGACGCAAACGTATTCAACACCGGGACTTTCAACGAACGTATGCGCAGGACTTTGATCTTCGACCAGTGGTTCTGTTTCGGTACTATGCTTCTGTGGATATTGTGGAATGTGAAAAACCTGGGGCAGGGAGTCATCATGGCATTGCAGGGAGTTGTATTGACCGCCATAGCAGGCCCAGGGGCAGCAATGGGGATCGTGTGGTGGATCAGAGAGAGACAAGCCATGGGATGATGTCATTTCTGCATGTCTGGGAAATACGGAATGATTCCGCAAGAAGCTAGTACGAGAAGTTTGGCGTCGACTTTGGACGAAGACGATGGAAAGAAAATCCGTTCAACCAGTCTAGAATCTTCTAGTCGAGCGATGCTTGCGATTCTCGGCGGCATACACGATATGAATATTCAGGCTACTAGATACGCGTCATTCCCTGGAGGATGCAGCTGCAGATGTGATCCTAGTCATGGTAGGATGGAGCACGACGGCTGCTTATGTGAGCAGAGCGATTGGCTCGGCTGTCATCACCGATCCATCAGCGATGGGAAAGTTCAGGCTCTGCCCCTCGAATAATATCACCCTGGTCCCTTTCATAGTCAATCTTCTCCACTGTCTGTACGAGATGAAGACGTTGTAGGAATGAAGCACTCTTAGCCTCTCCGGCATTCTGTCTCCTCCATTCATTTTCCCTTTGTCTACTCCCCCATATTGGGGTCTTGTGCGAGCTATCAAGCAACACGTACCCCGCCCACTACAAAATTTGCTGCGGAGTCACCTCCGACACCGCCAAAATGGGACTTCTGGACATCCCCGTAGAGATTCTGGATGAGATCCTTGATCTCAGTTTGCCACTGGGAATCGAAGGCCTTGCACTTTCGTGCAAAGCTATCTATCAACGAGCCGCCCCACAAATTCGACAACACAATGCCTTGAGGCGCACATGGAGGTGTACGAACAACAGTCGAACAAGACGTACTGATGACACGCTCCAAATTCTTTACGATATCTTCCAGGAGCCACTAGGTGCAGACTACATCGAAGTGTTGGATCTTTGTGATGAGAGGATCCCGAACGACGGACATTACCTGACCGATAGACAATGGGGAGCAGTGGAAGAGCCACAGAGCAGGAGTATAGAGCCAAATAGTCGCAGTTCGATCAATTTTCGCGAGATTCCCATGGCTATGGGTAACCTCAAAACATTCATCGAGAAATCTTTTCAAGCCACCGCAAAACAGGTTAACATGGACGATGTCTGGAGCGATATCATGAAGACTGAATTGCATCCAGATGAGGACGACTACAAGGAATCAATATGGACGGTCGTCAGCCTCCTCAATATGCTTCCGAATATCACAACTCTGCGGCTACCGAGCTGGTGGGAAGGCCCGCAAGGAGCAGTTGGTGAAACACTTCATTCCATAGCCCAGGCAGCGAACATCACCGGTGGGCCGCCAAAATCTCTTTCTAAGCTCAAAACAATATTGCCATTCGCCGAAATTGGTTATGAATCGAAAGCGGCCCTTCAGTCTGTGTATGAATGTCTGACCCTAGGCACCATGAGGGAGTTGTATCTAGTCAGCGCAGTCGCTGTAGATGACCAATATACGGGCCAACCTTTCAAATGGATACATCCAGAACTCACTTCTTCCATCACGCGGATAGAGTTCGCAGCTAGCTGCATAGATGCCGATGGTCTCTCTCAACTCGTCGCGCACACTCCACATCTTGCTATCTTTAAATACTCTCACCAGTGCAAATGGCACGGATGCCAATATGACTGGAATGCGGGTACTTTCGTCGAAACTTTGGCCCATCACTGTGGGAATACTATCATCGAGATTGCACTCACACTGGAGGGTCTGCATGGGCATATCATCAACGGCACTTCCTCTTTCCGTTCGTTTCCCAAATTGGAAAAGCTCGAAGTCGATATAGAGCTCTTTTGCGGTCCACCTGTTGAGTCTGGTCAGCGCCAAGGACAAGATGCCTACATACCTCCTGGGGACAACCCTTGGGCCAAAGCCGACATTCCCTGTATAGGAAGCATGCTACCCGACAACATGCGTGAAGTTCAAATAAACACAGACTACGAAACACCGGATCATGATGCATTGCGAGCCTTGTTGAAGAATTTAAGGGAGCAGCGAGCGGAAAGGCTACACCATTTGGAAAGAGTGATTGTCCGTGAATACAATGGCAAAAGCGTGCAAGATCTCGTTGATCAAGCGGGTGCGACTTTGGAAACCCTCGGAGCCGGCTCGATGGGGCCTTATCTCAAGGAGAATGTTCCAGAGTGGAGGCGCAAGTTCAATGACCGAATGGTAAGAATGCTTCAAGGCAATCTTAGTACGGACTGATGGGTTTTCCCAAGTGAATTAGCGCGCACACGGAGTAATGCAAAAAGAGCATACATGACAACAAACACTCTTTGCCTTCCTACGGTATTATCGAGCTTGACAGGTTTTTGTGGTGGATAATCATGCACCTGATAGGACCTATTGGTAATTTTTTCCACGAAAGTTGTTGTAATTCAATGTACCTATTATCCATCATACACATCACTGCTCTCCAGACATTCCATTCACTCCTGTTACTGATGTGCCATTAGGAACTTTCTTTCCTTTCTTCTATTCCTCATGATGGTTCTACGTGGAAAGCCATTGATTCAGATGATTTTGTTTGTATTGCGATACCATTGCCGCATCTTTGATTGGTGACGTAAACGCGGCGATATTGCCAGGTTCGATTCACTGAAGTTTTCGCAATAGTAATAAATGCGAGCCAGCCTTAACTGTATCTCCAGGTTTCACTAATACCTTCTCGGCTGTAATGCCTTTGATTTTCACAGATTGATTCAAAGACTCCGGAGTCTTGACTGTGATCTCAAGCTTCATCGCCTCCAGAATAACAAGCTATACATAGATCAGCATCGTAGTCATCAACAGTCACAGCCCAGCATGGTTGGGTCTTCACTTACCACAGTATCTTCCTTCACGCCGTCTCCGTCCCCAACCTCCACCTTCCACACATTGGCGTCAACCGGAGCCTCTACCGCCACAACATTCTCATCTTCCAGCAACTTCTCCACTGTCCCCTCATCAACCGTCTGTTCGGCCTTCTCCCGTCGCCACTTTTCCAAACTCTCATTCTCCGCCCTCACCATCTCCTCCTGCGCCTTCATTTGTCTCTTCCGCACTTCCCTCACCTCATCCGCTGTATCCTCAAGCAACTTATTGTGCTCTCCCATATCGAAATCAATCTCTTCATACTCAAACTCATACACACCAGCCCTCCACTTCGCGAGTAGCACATCTAGCTCCGCCTCGCTAACCTGGTAATACGTCAAGATATCGAAGTCCTTGAACAGCCACGGACGCGATGCCGAAAATCCAGATTTATACCCGTAGTAATCCCAGCAAGGGACTGTGCGACCGGTCATTTGATACCCGCCAGGGGAATCGACGGGGTAGATGGACATGCAAGACCCACCCCACGAGACGGTTCCTTCGGGCGTGAAAACGCGCGAGGGATTCATTTTGGGACAGGACATGCGGTTGCGCGGGTCCACGGGGAGAGAGACGGTGTTGCCGCAGAAGAAACCCACGACTACGGTCATGAACTGGCCGGTTAGGTAGATTTGTTTTAGCTGGTCGGGGGTGAAGGCGTTGTTTTTGGCGAGGAAGGCGAGGTTGTCGGGAAGATAGGGGGCGTGTGGGCGTTGGTTGGTCATGTAGCGTTGCGTTGCTTCGGTTTGGGGAGCGGATTCGAAGGAGAGGGGGAGTTTGAAGAGGCGGGTTGGGACTTTTGTGGTTCGGAGGTCGCCGAGGGTGGATTCGAGGGTCTGTAGGTGTGTGACTAGATTGGAGCGTGGGAGGTCGATGCCGCTGTAATGTACGAGGAGCGTTGTGCAGCAGCCAACTGTGTTGATGATGTGATTTTTGATGTTTTGAGGGGTTGAGGAGGAGTTGAGTGCATTTTCAAGAGCGGTGATGCGGCAGCGGTGGTTTAGGTCAAAATTCTCGTTCCCGTACTCGACGATGAGATGATCATCACCTCCCTGGAGAAGGTTAATGATGGGTATTCGGTTGCGCGCGTATTACTTACCTGGCGATACCTGACGCGAGGAACATTGCCATCTCCCTCCTTTTCCCAGATAACAGCTTTCTCGATATCGCCATCATGGAAGTCTACATGGCAACCTTGAATCTTATCTATCTGATCGAAGCTGCTCTGATTTGTGACCGCTTGTTCGATCGAATCCAAATAGTGATTGTTGGATTTCCTTTTCTTCAGCGCGTCTTTCAGGCTTACGCGGACATATTTCAGCGTGTTCCCCGCCTTGAGCTGTCCAAGCTTCCACCATTCAGCTGTAATAACCGTAGTGCTGCTCACGAAACCTCCAAAATTTGGACCATCCATGGGGAAAATGCAAGGGTCATCTCCAGTCCAATTCAATGCTCCCACAGGATATCCATATTCAATCAAATTACTAGGATGCGCACCACCCTCACCACCATCTTTGCGAGCCCATTTCGGTACAGGTCCGATGAGGCGGATGCCGCTTCGCGAGGCGTTATGGGAAATCTTCCACCCGGTATTGTATATGTTGTCGATATCTTCAGGTAAGAAATACCCCTCGTCATGTGGACCAACCATGGCCTTAATCTCCCAATGATTCTTGTATACAGGTTGAATTCGCTCTGGAAGCGAAAGCTGAGTCGATGGTACTTCCGAGATGTCCCCAACAATCTGCAAAAGATCCCCAGGAGCAAGAGCACGACCTTGATAGCCACCGATAGCAACCAGTGGCGACGTAGCTTTGGATCCAAAATAGTCTGCGACGTTGGAGAAGCCTCCGTATACAGCAAGATACGATCGACAGCCCCCACCGGTCGTCTTCCCAATCTTCAATCTCTGGCCCGCTTCTATCTTCACTCGTGTCCACATAGGAAAGACTTCGCCATCAAGAGTAGTCTCCATAGGTGCACCGCACAGAGCTACCACAGCTGATCCCACAAAACGTAGTTCCGGTCCACTTAACGTAACCTCCAAGCCCTCTCTGCCACGCGGGTTACCAACCAGAATATTCGCGATCTGGAAAGCGAGCGGATCCATTGGCCCAGAATGGGGAATACCTTTTCCCACAGACGGCCTTCCCGGAAGATCCTGTATCAGTGTATATGCGCCTGCCGATATCACATCAATCGCATGCGGAGCATACTGGAATTCATCCAGGAAGCTTGTTTTGGTATCGCCTGCCTCAAATCTCGGGTCATGTAGGATCTCGGCAAGGAATTCGAGATTGGTAGGTGGGCCACATATTGAAGAGCCTGTGAGTACAGTTTTCAATCCAGCGATAGCTTCAGTTCGGCTGCTTGCGTGCACCATGGCTTTGGCAATAAGGGGATCTATATAATGTTAGCTATGCTTCCTGGCAAGAATGATATTACACACCATAATTTGGAGTGATTCGAGATCCAGTAAATACCCAGGTGTCGATTCGGCTTCCTTCGACTTCTTTCCACTCTACTTTCTGGAGTAAACCTGGAGACGGCGCATAGTCTTTCAACGGATTTTCAGCATATACACGAGCCTCAACCGCTGATCCCGACGGAGCCTTAGGTTGCAGAGCTTTCAGCGAACTTCCGTCAATACCACCTTTACCCGACAGCTCAGCGTCCGCTTGTTTCAACATCAACTCGACTAAATCGACCCCATAGCACAGCTCCGTGATTCCGTGTTCGACCTGCAAACGCGTATTCATTTCCAAGAAGAAGAAGTCGCCTGACTCGTCATCGACAAGATATTCGATGGTACCCGCAGATCCATATTTGATGGATTCAGCGAGGCGAACCGCCGCGTCGCCCAGCTTTTTGCGCAGCTCTGCATGCTTTTCCACAAATGGACTGGGACATTCTTCGATGACCTTTTGGTGCCTGCGCTGAATAGAGCATTCGCGCTCGCCAAAGTGTATTGCCTGTCCCTGCCCATTGCCAAATACTTGCACTTCGATATGATGACTAGCAGCATAAAAAGCCTCGAGAAAAACACCATCGTTCTTGAACAACGATTTCCCACGAGATTGCACCATTCGAAATCCGCCGCGCACCTCTTGCGCAGTGTTGGCGGTGATCAAGCCCATGCCTCCTCCGCCTCCTGTCGCCTTCAACATGACTGGAAACCCGATGTCCTCCGCCGCTTTGACAGCAGCATCTTCGTTTTCCACCAATCCTTTCGTTCCGGGAACGATGGGTACGTTGGCTGATTCTGCTAATCCTCGCGCAACATGCTTGACACCAAATGCTTCAATGGCCTCTGAATTCGGGCCTACCCAGGCGATCCCGGCTTCTTTCACGTTTTTTGCAAATTGCGCGTTCTCGCTGAGAAATCCGTAGCCTGGGATGATTGCATCTACGTTGTTTTCCTTCGCGATGCGTAGAATCTCAACTTCATCAGTATAAGCGGTGTTTCTTGATAAGGGAGCGGCATCATCTGCATCTCTGACATGCTGAGATGCGGCATCTGCTTCTGAATAGATGGCGATGGTGCGAATGTTGAGCTTTCTGGCAGTTTTGCAGATGCGGACCTGAGATGGTCATGATGTCAGTGGAGATATATGGGGGTGTGGTATCGATAAGACCCACAGCGATTTCACCTCGGTTGGCGATTAGGAGTGTTTTCAGTTTCTCCATCTCGAAACCAGAAAGCTTATTTTGAAAGAATACACTGCAGTCCTCCGATACATGAAAATGAGATCGATTACTGAAAGGAAGCTTCAAGTTATGGCTTGTTGTATACACTCAGACGCCCCACGCGCCCATCCGGACCCCGCTCGTCCCCGCCTTCTTCCGGGCTGATAGGTATCATTCTCTATCTAAAGCCACGAGAAAATCCCGCGCGTGCCAGCCAATGGCTACGTCATATCCATAGGGAACGGTCAGAGGCCCTCTATGAGCACACGTGGCGGGGATGGAATACACGTCATCTCGGGTAGTGCTTCGCGCGGAGGAATAGGCCAGGTGAGGGGGGTTGATATCATGACACTACCGCAGGATTGGAGGGAGATCTGCCTCAATCCTCTCTACCAAGCTCTCAAGTGTGAGCTGAACAACAACTTCATTGGTAAATCGAAGAATACTACGCCATGCCAGCAATCAAGCATCCCGTTAAGATCAATGTCGACCTGGGTGAAGGCTACGGAAACTTCAAGTGTGGCCCGGATGACGAACTCATCCCTCTCATTGACCATGCCAATGTCGCGTGCGGCTTCCATGCTGGGTAAGGCTTCTAGTCTGACCGTTCACTGACATCCTCTGATCACTGACAATAACAGTGACCCTTTAATCATGCAAAACACGGTGCGCGCCTGTAAAGAACACAATATTGCTGTGGGAGCCCATCCCGGGCTTCCTGATATTCAAGGCTTTGGTCGTCGCGAGATCAAGATGTCACCCGAAGAGCTCACTGCCGCTGTGCGATATCAAGTTGGTGCCCTCAAAGCGTTTCTGGATGCCGAGGGCATGGAATTGCACCACGTCAAGCCGCATGGAATACTGTACGGAATGATGTACCGGGACAGAGAAACGTGTAGAGCCGTATATGCGGGGGTGCCAAAGGGCACGACTGTGTTTGGTCTGGCAGGAACTTTACACGAAGAAGTGGCTAAAGAGATGGAGCTGCCGTTTGTCGCCGAGATGTATGGCGATGTGAAATATAATGCAGACAGAACATTGGTCATTGACCGCAAGAAAAAGTATGTCAGGCCGCCGATTCTATGTATATCATTAACATAGTATAGGCCGTGGCATCCAGACGAAACGAAAAAGCATGTACAAACACAGGTGGAAAATGCATCGGTCACCGCTGTCACAGGCGAAAATCTTCAACTGCCTATTGGCGATTACCACGTCTCGCTGTGCTGTCACTCCGATTCCCCTGGTGCAATAGATATCGTAAAAGCAGCACGCCAGATAGTAGGTACGTATGCCGAAGGCTGCATTGCGGTAATCATTCCGAGTCTGCTGTACCCATCACTTATCACTGGCCTTAGATGAATTCAACAAAAGGAACTTTTCTTAATATACGATCGAAGGCCAAGCTTTTGCGACTTTGAAACTGAGTATCGATATTTGGCTATCTGCCCTTCCTTGTTCAAGCAGTATTATTCGAGATGCAGGCAAGCAGAATCATCCAAAGCGACCAATCCGTTAATTCGGTTACCGAGAACGCAACACACCTACTGTACTTCAGATTCCATGCCTCCTATATCGTATTGCACATTGTTCATATAATTTGCACATCATGATCCTACAAGCTTACCAGTAAAAAAACGGGAATGCATATGATGCCCCAAAAAGGGGAATTTCTTCACGTCGGCGAATTCGACTCGGGGAATAATTTGGTCATGCTCATCGTCCGTCGCAATAACAAACAGATGCCAGCTACAATTCATCGTGTAGTGCTCGGTTCCGCATAAAACGGCACGTTAAGCCCCATGCGAAACCGAAGTTGTAGTGTTATGCGACAACTTTCTGTCCGGCGCCTGTCGAATGCAGCTGAAAACCATTTAAGGCTGACCCCTTGGTGTAATTACAAGTCCGATCATAGTGAACTACCACTCACTTGGCATCCCCATAGGCGAATTTCTTATGCAAAACTTATACTCAAAGGGCAAGGACTACGAAATTTGTTTAAAGTTGACCAACTGAGTGGTTGTTGTTTTGCAAAGGGGCTTGGTGTTGACGTGAGATCTTAGTTGTGTGGGGCCTCGTATGTACCTCTTGGCGGAATCTACTACATCAAAGTAGCTATTTTGTCAATGCGCCTGCTATTTGAAGCTCGCCTACAGTCTTGGTATAACGCTAGGTGGGGGCGAATTAACAATTCGAAGATCGCTTTATCCAAGATCTCAGCCTCGAATTTCTTCATATGAGAGTATAAGTATCAGTCAAACACTGCGGTATTGCATTTGGCCACACATTCACAGACAGGTCAATCACTCACTCAATCACTCAGACATTCGCTTGTTTCCAAATTACACTATATTCATACATCTCGTCTGTCGTTACTCCAACTGCCTGAAAGCTGTATCGGGTCGTCATGATCAAATATTTGACCGCGTTGCTCGCAAGCGGCAGCGTTGCCAGTAGCTCTCCACTGGCAAATACGAAAGAATACGATTATGTAATTGTCGGATCAGGTCCTGGAGGCGGGCCTTTGGCGTAGGTTAAGAGTCCGCAATATGATTTTACTCTCTAACAATCGTTTAGAGCTGGATTAGCAGAGAAAGGAGCTTCTGTATTTCTTATTGAAGCCGGCGGCGACGCTTCAATGGATATCAACCAGCTACTAGCGCCTCGGTGAGTTACTCTTCCCTGACTGACACTTGATCTTGGTGACTAACACAGAGAAGTGTTCAATTTGCCGGGGAGAATGCTCCCCATTCATGGCAGTTCTTTGTTGAGCATTTCGAGAACGATACTCAGGCTTTGCGAGATTCCAAGTATGCTTATCGCATGAGCAATGGTTCCTACTACGTTGGATTGGACCCCCCGAGCGGCGCTGAACGGTTAGCTCTCCACATTCCATGCTACTATGAAACTGGATGCTGACATTTGATTTGAAGTGAAGGTATTCTTTATCCTCGAGGTGCCACGCTCGGAGGCAGCGCACAGATCAATGCCATGAACGCTGCTTGGGCACCTGATAACGAATGGGATTATATTGCCGAACTCACAGGCGACAGTTCTTGGGGGCATGAGGAGATGCGCAAGCACTTGATAGCTCTCGAAAATGCTACTTATGTCCCCCAAGGCACTCCAGGGCATGGCCATGAGGGCTTCCTCCAGGTACGTCAGATAAAATTCATACACAGATGTTCACGATGTGCTATTCCCCGGGAGAAAAACGATTATTGACAAAATCTGGTAATATAGGTCAGCAACCCTGGAAACAATGCCGAAGTCGCATTTCCCAATGTCGCGAACTACTACAGCCAAGTGCTCCGTGAAATCGAGGGTGTTGCTCCCAACAGTACAGAAGAGTTGATTCGACTCCTGAGGCGCGACGTAAACAGGATCGACCCTGATCGCTATACACCTTCAACAGTTGCTGCTCCAGCTGCCATGAACCCTTCTACTGGTTCGCGCAGTGGTGTCGCTGAACATCTTAACAACATTGTTGCTGCGGGACATCCTCTCACTATCAGTCTGCATTCGCTGGCACAAAAAATCATCTTCGAAGAATGCGCGGAGGGGATTCCTCAAGCAGTTGGTATTGAATATCTGGAAGGCGAGGGACTTTACTCAGCTGGTGGGCAGTATGACGAGTCACAGCAGGGTGAGCTCAAGACTGTGCGTGGCAAGGAGATCATCATTTCCGCTGGCACATTCAACACGCCCCAGATATTGAAGTTGAGTGGTGTTGGTCCTCGCGAAGAGTTGGAGGAACATAACATCCCTGTTGTTGTTGACCTTCCCGCTGTTGTAAGTCTCTTCCATTCTGATAATGTTCGAAGCTTATACCTTGAAAGGGAAACTACATGCAAGACAACTACGAAGCCTCGGTCGAGATCCGTGCAGCAGAGCCCTGGCTCAATGCCACTACGCCCTGCACTGGAAGCTTCGATGCTTCGGATCCTTGTTTCCTCATGTGGCAGACCAACGGCACCGGTCCTTACGCCTCAGGATCCTATTTCCTCTACACTGCCCGCAGTAGCGTCTCATGGGACGAAGATGCAGATCTTTTCTTCCTCAGTGCGCCTACTCGCCAGAGGTCCGGCTTTTTCCCAGGCTATTCCAATGGAACCGCTCACCCGAACTACTGGACTACTTCAGGTATGTTTACGGGCTACGTGCAGGTCAAAATCGCCCCGGATATATCTTTGCTGACTTATGGAATTACCAGTTGTCAGAATGCAAACAGCCAACCCCGCAGGCACTGTGAAGCTTCGATCCAACGATCCTCGTATGACACCTCTCATCAACTTCAACTTCTTCAAAGAGAACGCCGAGACAGATCTCCAAGCCCTATCCGACTCGGTCGATCTGGTTCTCCGCAGTTTTGATAACACTGGCATTCCCTATGAGGTATTATCTCACTTTCCAATATACCATGTGATTCTTCTGACTGACTTGGCACTCAGGTTATCTATCCCAACCCCAGCATCCCCGTGGAACAGGGAATCATGGATGAGGCATTCAGTCACCACGCCACCTCGAGCTGTCGCATGGGCCCTCCAGATGCAACTGCCTCTGAAGCCTGCGTCGATACTAAGTTCAGGGTCAAGGGCACCAAGTCACTTCGTGTTGTGGATGCTAGTGTTTGGCCTCGTGTTCCGGGAGCGTTCGTTAACTTACCGACGTTTACGATGAGCATGAAGGCTGTTGATGTGATTTTCAATGGAAAGTAGTGGCCTAGCTTACCTGGGCTGCCGTCTGGTGTCCTGTAGAGCTTTTTCTTCTTCTTGCCTCGCATTTTACAAATAGATTTCTTTTACGGCTCGTTATCATGCATGGGATACTTTTTGGAAGCATTTTGTTAATATAATTTACATATAGAGATGCATACGATACGCAATCATCATACTGGTAATCTCCAACAAAATGAAACATTTTATAGCACTCAGTCTCTCGATGCTCTCCCCGCCTCTCAGTGAAAAAAGCCATAACTATCGTCCAAGAGACCTTTCGGCGAGTCAAGGGTATAATTCCTGATAATAATCAGGACTCAAAATTAACACTTGACTTAGACGAGCTCGCAAGCTCTCCATACGGCGCTCAGCCACTCCCAAAAAATCTCTGAGCTATAATTTATCATTCTCAGTTCTATCGGCACGGTTGCCTAAGAAAAAGGCACGTTCAGATTCTTCCATGTTCCCATGCGTTGTCTTCATATACTGCCTGAAAGCTCCGGACATTCCCACGACCTGACGCATGTGAGCCTCTGTTATCCTGGGTATGCATTCCGATTCAGGACGTCCTTTCGCCTTTGCAGCTTTGGAATCAGCGACCGCTAGTGCGACAGCGGTTTGGAAAGCTAAAGTTCAATCAGTCTTCGATCTGGGAGAGGGGAGGCTCGAACGCACCATTTCGTATTTCACGACCATTCCATCGCAAATTCCGAACTGCGTCGCTATCCCGAGCGTATTCTTTGGCTCGATAAGCGTAATCCATTTTTGGACCTCCGTTTTCGTGATTGCTATCCAGTTTCCCGAAGAAGGTCTCCCAAATTTGACCCTTGGCCGCGTCGTCTAAGGGATCATAGCCGATCGCGACGTGTATCCTAGACAGGAAAGCCTCGTCGAATTGGCCTATACGATTCGTGGTCAAGAATAGAATGCCTTCGAAGTAGTCCATTGCACGTAGGAATACTGATTCTGGTCAGTGAAACTCGATAGCTAGAACATGTCTAATATCTAGAGAAGTTGGTTTCTCCAATACAACCTCTCTGTCCATGATCCGCAATGATCTACCGATCCCTGTATATCCAAACGTGAAAAAAAAAAAAAAAAAAAAAAAGAAAACTGGCTCGATGAAGAGCCGGAGTGGGAAAGCATGAACTCACCAGAAACAATGCTATTGCGCTTGAGGTTGTCAGCTGATCGGCGTTCCAAATAGACGTCAGCCTCATCTAGTAGCACAATTGCATCCCAACTTGTTGCATGTTCGAAGAAACGCAAAAGGTTCAATTCCAATATCTCTGGCACGTGACCTAAATCAGCTGCAGTGATGCTTAATAATGGGCGCTTTGTGTATTCTGCAACAGATTCTAGTTCGAATTTTAGCAAATTTTCTTCTCAGCATACCTCTGGGTCAATCTGGCTCACCAGCTGTCAATGTTTTACCGGTCCCAGGTGGACCGTGCAGAAGAAAGATTTGACCCTCGCCTTTTCCGCGTATGAAATCAACGCCAAAGAGATCTTCTTGACTATCGCTCTCGGTGTAAGTTCTGGCTATGGCTTTGATGATATCCTTGTTCTCCGGTGGGCGTAAAACAAGCTCATCAATGGCACTGTGAGCGAACGTCGGTTCAGTCAAGTGATCCAAGTTGATTATGTCTATTAGCTTTAGCTAGTACACGAGACTATATATTTCATCATGGTTTACTTACCATATGTACGGTCCTTTAGGATGAAGCTAAACATGTGTGACATACAAATCAGAGCTTGATGTTCAGACAAACCATTCGCACGAAACGGGCTTATCGAGTCATATTCGCTAAACACTGGTACAATATAAGTCCCATTAAGCTCACTGGCTTCCCTGCACCGAGAGCATTCACACCTTGGGGCTCTAGCTTGATGCCCTATAGCGCCATGACCAGAAGGCGCATAAGCGCGGCGCGGTGGGCGAGGCAGTGACAGGTCGTTATCATTATCTTGATAGGTATCAGGAGTGCTTTTATCGAACGAATACCAGTATGGAGATGGGAGCGAAGTCTTCCTCAGCCGAGTCCATGGCAATGATTGATGTTCTACCACTACCCTAGCACGTCGGTACTGCAGATTTATCAATGATAATTCAGGTAGAATAGACATGATGCCTACCTTCTTCCGCTCTGAACGCAGACCACTTCCTGTGTATTCCTGGAAACTAGGCCCCTGTGTTAAGCGGAAAAACTTATTCCCTCTTTCTATTAAATGCTTTCTCAATGCACCCCCATCAAGCCTATCTTGAAAGCTAACTGGAAACAATGGCAGCGATACGATGTTACGCTCGCCATCGAATTCAGAAACATCTACAACCTTGCTGCTTCGTTTGATCACTGAACCATTGAAGATCAAATTCCAGACAGTGATGCCGTACCTTCGTGCAGAGATCGGCCCTCCACTATAGGTCAATCCACCCTCTACCTTTTCCACGACATAGGCGTTCAGCTGCCCATATTCTTGAACATAAACATCAGATCCTGGCTTCATAAGAAGCCAGAAACTTGAAAATGTTGTCGTGGGCACCTTTTGAGCCCAACGTCTCTTGACTGAGATAATCCGAACGGTCGGCTCGTCATCCAGATACTTGACTAGTAAGTCAATGTGTTGGTCGCATTCTTCGTTGTATTCGGGTGTGTGATTGGCTCTGCTCCCTTCTGTATTGTTTCTTAGGTTGAACAGCTCATCCCGATGGTGATAGAGATCATGGAAAGGAAATGGAAACTGTCCGCTCATAAGACTATCAGAATCCTCCTTCAATGATATGAAGGAAGAATACTTGACTACCGATCGGAGCGCATTGAGAAGTAGTGGAGAGTTGATACAGAGTTTCTTTGGTTTGACTGTGTCATCTTTACCGATGATTAAATTTTTGTCTGCAGACAATTTCGGTACGCCGTTCCTCCGCGAGCCAAGTTCAATAGAATTGATTTCTTCCAGTATTGGTACCGCTTTTCCGTGAGAGCTCCGTTTTTCAACTACAACTGGATGCTCATACGTTTTACTTGACAGGGCTTCAGGATGTTGTCCAAACATTCCAGGACGAAGAAAGTCGACTGTGTACTTCACGACCTTGGAATCATCGTTTGCCGAAATTTTTAGTTCCTGGGATGTCGTTTCTTCGAAGAATGAGTCAGTTTTCAGCATTGCATTCGATCCTGACATCTGTTCAGAACTTTGAGGCGGATTTGAGCTTCCTTGGGGTTTGAGCTTGATCGTAATCATGTCCCATTTTTCAATGAGCTTGTCCCAAAGCTCCGGAAGAATTATGAAATTTTCTCTTCGAAGTTCAAAATCTCCGCTTTCGATGCTCCTTTTTGCCGATTCGTCAGATCCGTAGGTGAGTTTGATGATATCTTTCATCCACTGTAAGTTTCACGTCAGTATATTGGGTGTGACTGGTTGAATTTTACGTACAATCCACTTGCGGCCCAGCTCCCAGGGAAGAGTGAATCGTTGGCCATGGTGATGAGCCAAATCTATGTACCCAGGGCCGTATTTGACTTCTTCTAGCATTTCTTTAGTGGTCCTATGCTCGGGAAATGCCAGGCTTTGGTGCGCGTTCTTCCACTGAGCGATGACAAGGCCATCGCTGTGCCTTATGATATAGTATTTTCGCGCCTCTAGAGCATCATCTACCTATAATCAGCCAATAATCTACATTCTAGCCTAATTATTTACCTGTCATTGGGTTATCCTCTTGGTCTTCGGTTTCTTCATCTGAAAATGAACCCGATTTCTCCGGTCTTCCAACTCGGAGTTGGATATCATCAGTCTCATCCTCGTCAACTCTATTCCCCTGGTCGGTGCTAGAAGACTTGTCCATCTCTGTAGTTGATTCTATTCTTAGCTCTGGTGATGCTATGCTCATTCTTTTTAAGGGAAGTGAATCGTAGTGGACATGGAAGGAGATGTCGAGAGCAATGGAGGGAACGAGCTTTAGCCAACTGTCGATGATGGCGGGGCGAAGTTGTTCATGTTCAGCTCACCGGAATTTTCCCCTCACTCGTATTCTCGTGCATTATGAACCGGTCATTGCAAATCCAGCAATTAAATCGATCCAGGATCATGCATCGAAGTTATGGATGAGGTATTTGTCATCCACCCCTCCACCAATAGTCATGCAGCGATAAAGCTACGTGGCGCCCTGTAAAGCCATGTCTGGTTCAGCTCCTATCATGCCTATGATCTAAGAATCCCACTGTACGCTTTTTCTACAGTATAATTCCTTTAAGATATTTTGTATAACACGTGAATCAAAGAAGAGGTCATTCATATGATTCCAAGCAGCGGGCCGGACGAGCAAATGAATCAAACAGAACTTTCTAGTACCTCGGGTGAAAACGCCGAGTTCGTCTCCATAGCGTTGAATCCGCAAATCTCAAGTCAGCTACAGAAACACCCCAATTCTGTCCTCCAAGATGAACCGAAGTCTGTAGCATATTTCGAGGTGTTAAGCACAATGCATAGAAGCTGACAGAATTAGTGACAATGATTTCGAGGTTGCAGCTATTGCGAAACAAGAACTGCAAGAAGTTATAAAGGAATTTGAGAAGGACGTAAGACACTCGAAAAGTCATCAATTTGTATTTTCCAACGGCGCATCAAAAACCAAGGTGATCCAAGTGCTCCAAGAGGCCGTCGGGAAGGAGATGGAAACCCTAAAATCCTCGGTGGATAGCCTGGAAGCGGAGTGGAAGGAAAGCCATGGCTTGGTGAGTGATCGAATATTTCCTTTCATCAGTGAGTGGGCTTCTTTGCGTCATTCGTGTTTGTAGTATCAGCAATCAATTCTAAGCGTTCATGCCGCATGGAGCCTCGGTGACGAAGGATAATGACGACATTTATCACCAGAAGCTATAATGTCCCTCAAGCTCACTAGTAACAAAAAAACAAAGGTTTACGATGCTTTCAAGAAGATTTGTCGTACTCTTGATGATCACAAGAGTATCTTGAAAGTGTTTCCCTCACAGAACAACTATGCATCGCCTTTGGTCGGTAGCATAACCATTATAATACAAGTACGTCATATTTCCAAGAACCTTGAGAATGACAGCTAATACACGCAGGCTGCTAAGTTGCACAGCGAAATTGCCCTCAATCTCTCCAAATCTGTAGCCGAGATATCGGAGAAGGTCGCCACCTGTTCTGTGATCATCAGCATTATTCGCACGTCGGGGACGAAGAGGAAATTAGCCAATATTTACGCACGCATGTTCCGATTCTATCGAGACACGTTGAAATGGTACCTACAGTCTAGATTTCAACGATTCAAACGCAGCTTCAACGAGAATCTGCTCAAAAGTTTTGAAGAAGCGAAGAAAGATGTCGAAGATAGTATAGTTGAACTTTATCGCGAAGCTTCGGTCGCGAATATTGCCATGGTCGCAATGATACAGCGCAAGTTCAGTGCTCTAGAGACCGAACTGTCTAGGCAAAGACAATGTTATGAGGCAAGAGATACTTTGGCAGGCAAGAGGTTGGAGAAGATGATGGAAACAACGTGGGCAAGGCTGGATCTGATCGAAAACATGATAGAGTTGGCGAGCCTCAAACATCATGTACCGAAGTTGCTTGCTGGTCGGGAGGCTATCGAGGCTTCCCCACACAACCCAACGGATCAAAACCATTGTCATGGGCTTAGCGCATTCATACTTGACGAACAAGTACCGCCAATTCTCAGCAAGCAAACCCCATGGGCCATCGAAAATGATGTCATTCACAAAATCCAGAAATGGCTCAACGAAGAGAAGGTGTCGAAAACGATGTGGATATCGAGCACTCACAGTGATAATACTGGAGTATCGAGCGCCTCCGCTGCTTTATATGCAGTAGTCGCTGCTGCATGGCAAGCTGAGACTCCAGTACTGACTGGCTTCTGCAAAAGAGTACATCCCTGCCAGCGACGCCCGGGCATGACTCCCGAGCAGGTCGGTTTAATCAGTCTGATATATAGTCTGATTCGACAACTTCTACAGTTCAACCGATCAGGTGACAATCTCATGATCGATGAGAAGGATTTGGATGCTCTGAACGGAGAAGCGTCATCGTGGGACGCTGCTATAAAGATCGTACGAGTATTATTGCAGGATACGCCTATCGTAACATTTTGTGCAATTGAGAACCTGAACAATTTGGAGTTCGGCAATGGCAGAAACTGGTGTAACCAGTTGGTAGAAGTGTTGAAAAAGCGGCAACTGGAATCAGGCTCGTCATTCAACATTCTGTTCTCTACCTCGGGACAGTCATTTGTTCTTTCTCAATATATCACGGCGAGGGAACGATATGCGGCCCCAAAAACAGCTAAAGATCCAGGAAATATCGGAAGAGGTGCATCCATCCAGCTATGAGCAGGGAAATAACAGGGTAAAAGGGCAGGCTAGATTGGTATTTATTCAATTCGGAGTACAGTTTCTCTGCGCAATATTTTGGCCTCGATCTTTGTTTCAAGGTAAGCTTGTCTGGTGGCAATTATTACCCACCTGAACTATGCTGCACCAAGCGCGAATTATTTCCCGATCTGCCTACGCGCTTCGCGCATCCAGACAGAATTTGAACTGGGTATCATCAGTGAGATTGTAAAGCCGCGAAGCGTGGGTATTGGTGTTGGCATGCTCCAAAGGCGCTGAAGGTGGAATGAGATTTGACTCCCATACTCGTCCCACTCGGTTCTCTCCAATTCAAAAATTCGATGACAGGAAATATCACGTTATCCCAAGCTATTCGAAGGAATGGCCGCGTTATGGCAACTCAGTGGGCGGTCCTGGCATCACCTTCACAGGCCTGGAATCGATCTCAGGAACGACCGCTGCACCCCCATCCGCCTCATTCACCATCGCTCCCCCAATCTCTGGAACAATCATTGCACCACCATCTACCTCACTCAACCCATTCATATTCCCAGGAATCTCGTGAGGAATCTCCACACCGGGATCTGCTTCTTTAATCGCCGTTTCTCCCGATAGCTCAGGTTTATCCTTATAACCAACGTCCTCATCCTCCGCGTTTTTGCCACGCTGTCTTCGTCTTCTCCATAGAATTGTGACGATTATGGCTCCAATTGCCAGAGCCACGCCTAATGCGACGCCGACTCCGATGCCGGTCTTGGTGGCTGTACTAAGTCCGGGTGAGGTCTCGGGACTCGATGTGGGCGGTGGCGGCGCACCACTCCCGTTTCCAGCGCCCGGTGAAGCTGATGTTGATTCGGACAGTGGAGCGTTTATACGTGAGGCTAAAGGATTTGCATACTCAGGAGGGAACAAAGCTAGGTCTCCGAAGTCCCAGAAGACCAAAATTTGACGAGCTCTTGCAATTCCAGACGACACCACCGTAGTATTTCTCTTGGAGTCTGAGTCCCAGTAGGTCGTGCCGGATTCAGTGTATGCGGTAATAACAGTTTGAGGAGTCGTAAATGTGGATTCGCAGTACCAGACGGTGTCGGTATTGCTTTGGTACTGGAACCCGCTACATATCATTTCATTTACGATTAATATATGGCCTATCTATATTTTGGGAACGGGATAGTCTTATTGTACCTCGGACAACATGCCGCTTCCCATAATGTGGTGATTCCGCGGGATGCTTCGCGTTTTGTGATTGTGGCGATAGTATTTCCTTGAGGGCAAACACCAGGACTGTACCAAGGTAGTGGGCTTGAATATGGTACGCAGTCTTCAAAATAATTTTTCTCTGTACTAATAAGTGGGATGTTTATGGTTTTGAGAAATTCATATGGCAGAGAATTCATCAAAATATGTCCTCCCGAACTGGTGTCTGGAACATAGAACCACCTCGTGTCGCAAGAGAAGGGCGGTGTGAAGATGGTAGTGAGTGGCCCCAGGTGTGTGACCAGTGCTGACATCGATTGATCATCTTCAGTCACGGTGGTTATTGAAGCCATTGCCGCTGTGACAAAACAAAAACGAAGTGCCGATAGGCTCATAGGCGCACCGAACTTCATAAACAAAACTTGCCGACACCACGATTCAGCAAGGCAACCAATTCAACGGTTGCCTTTGTCTTGGCATTATCCACAATGACAATTTTTAACTCAAAAGAGCACTGCTACGATACTTTCGACAGAGTCCGTCCCACTGATATGCGGCTACACGTACAGTTCACCCGCATATACGAGGATTAAGCACAACGCTTGACTTCTTTTAGCGCATGAGTGACGAAATGATCTCATTGCGCGTTGCAGTTTCTTAGTCATTGTAATAGTTGATTGTGATGTGAATAAAAAGCAAGGATGTATTAGGCGTATAGAGGACATATAATGTTTTATGGCGGTCCGTCAAACCGTCGTGAATGAACTCATCGTTCAGCCATCTGGCAAAGTACCGTTTCCGGGTAGTCAGTGCGCGTTAAGTCCGTATGAGGTAACCGGCCGTCATGTGCGTTAAAGCAGCGTCACGTAGTAGAAGGCCTACAAATGATTCTATCCCCTTCGACATTAACTTGAATACAAAAAAAGCATACAGGCCCCAATTAAACTATCCCTGTCTAACTCGATCTGAAAATGCACAGCAGTTAAACACCATCTTCTACCTAAGTAGGCATCTGTTCATGCCTGCGCAGCACACCGACTCAATATCAAATCACCACCAGATTACAAAGTGCCCGAAGAAGATTATCCCTCACACTTCCATTTTACCATTATCACGTTCCGGCTTCACCCACATAACAATGCCGGAGAGGAGGACTGTGAGCACAGCAAACACCCACCATGATACGATCATAGCCATGAACCCCCCTTCATATTGAACGTAGACAGGTAATGTCGCAGCTGTAACGATGTGGTACAAAACCATGAATGACAGATATATTCTGAAGAAATTCCTAGACTGCAACCAAAAAAATTGTCAGCTTTTTGTCTTTGATTCACGTTTGTGCGCGTGAGAAAGAAGATGGATTCTATCGTCGTCTTCCATGCAGCAAAGCCTCGCATGGAATAAAACAGCCGGTAAGATTTGATTTGGAAAGAAAAGACAGATGAAAAAGAGATTGGAGGAAGAACTTACGAATCCAAGTCCCAAGATTCGTCTTGTGCCTTCAGCCCCCTCCATCAGCCCAATGGCCCATACGTCGAGAACGAATAATGCCATAGCAAAAATGAACTTGACAATCTCCCCTGGAGATCGATGCTTAGAAATCTGATTCAGCACCAACATGCCGAGATGAAGAAAAAAAACAAGCATAAGGACCAGATAGATGCCCAGTCGGCGGATGACGGTGAGTGCGGTACATTTGCGCAGACTGTATCCGTGGACAATGCGACGAAACCCGCTGTGTTGGGAAGAGACTGCGGGGTCTTTCTCGAATTTAGACATATTGTGTATGGTCTGATTTCGATTCTTGGAGGATTGTTCTCGGGTGCGCGTTTATCTTGGTATTTAGTGGTGTGTACGGTTCTTTGGTTGGACGACACAAATTGTTTGTTCAGGCGAAGGGGATGAAATAAAATGGTCCAGCCAAATAAACGAGCGTGTTCTGAATGTCTGCATGGGAGACTTGGAGCGGTTCGTGTATATATACTACCAGACTTCGAACTCCAACTTCGACAATATCTCAAACAGAAGAGTCCGACTCCAGATATGTCTAGCGCGTAACAGCATAGCCGCAAAGGAGTATTTCACCGGGGCGCTAGCGAGAGCACGGAGATGGTACGCCTAGAAGACACTCGTTAGTGATTCGACGACGCTAAACACCGAGTAAACATCAAATTAAACCCACTCGAGCAAGTTCGCTCGATTCGTCAGAGAGAGAACACCGAGTAAAAAAGCCTTGCCGAATGTTCTTGTCGTATATGGAGGTCCGGGGAAGCAGCGTCCGTTGGGAATGCTTGGAATGGCAACGCGTGCAATTTCTCAATGCTGCGCCACAAATGCGTGAAATAACGGTGTATAACTAGTGATCAAATATGCTCTGCACTGTTTAATCGAACTTTCCGATTTAACTGAAGTTAAACGGAATGCCACCGAGGAGACCTAGGGCAACAGCTACATGCAGTTTAGGCATTGCTGTAGCTGCGTAGTTTGCCGATGACGAAATCTCGGATTGTGTAGAAGTAACTGGCGTCATAGTAGCCAAGTGCGCCGCCCTTGAAGAAATAGATTTCACACGATTAGCATCCAGGACAACCGCACAAGGATTACCACGCTCGGCGGATAGCGGCTTATATTCGGAACAGAGACGCTTCTCGTCCTGATTCACCTCCCCCATGGAACCGAATTGCGCACAGGTACTGTTCATGATATCGCTAAAAGTCTCTGGGTTGGGACCTATTGGCAAGCCCTTTGGGAGCTCAGGATGGTTGAAGCGAGTTTCGAAGAGTAGACAATAGGGCGTTCCTGTGTGGGTATGACAGCGGCCCTCGTCTTCCCACATCACGTACCACTGTAAGGCATACAATGTTCCAGAATATGCCGGCAGACGCCAGACCGTCGTATCTGAAGATTCAACCAGGATATATGGTGATCCATCCGCGTTCGTGAAGCTGTTGTAATCTTCCATCCTGAAGTCTGTCCCACTCCATATATCACCGCCGTGTCTTGTGTTGGTCCAATCCTCCGCCGTTGAATTTTGGTACCAGTAATGTCGCATATCCTCTGTTAGTCCTCCTGGCGCGTGGTGCTCTCGGGTACCCCATGACATGATATCCCACATGAAGCTGACCTTGGGCAGTCCGGCGATAGCTGCGCTAAAGTTCTGAAATGCGAATACAATGGGAAAGGTATCCGTGAAGTTGTATGTTGCGTTGGCTCGTGGGTAAATGACGTCGATCTCAAATGTGGGAAGAGTTTTACCAGTGGGAGTTGGTGTGGATGTGGAAGTCGTTGTTGGGGCATTGTTGATTGTCGCTGACTGGGCAATCGCCAGTGCTGCGAATTGCAGCAATAGCAAATTCATGTCGTTGCGACACGACTGAATGTATGGACTCACCCATGCGAAGCCCGGATTGACTTGTGGGGGATAGCCCTACTTAACTTACCGAGGGATCCTCCCCGCTCTCGCTACGTGCCGTACTCCCGAATTATCGAACTAGAATAATGAACCCGAAAGTATATAATAATAGCTTATCCGAAAAACATTGAAATTTTTGCAAAGCAATCAATTAAGAATGTATATAACAGCCTTGGCATGGAAAACAGCTAGCGACTCGATGTCTACATAACAGGCTCATCCTGTCCGAAGTCCACCCTCCACTCATCCCACACATGCTTTTCTAAACTTGACAACGCTAACGTCGACCCTGCTACTGAGCATGACAGCTTTTCCAGATTTGAACCAACTAAATCCTCATCTCCGATCCTGTACAGCGCAACCAAGCCCTTCTCCTTGTACTCCTCCCCAAGGACAGCGAAGTGGTGCCAATCGACGCAGAGGTCACGTGGAACCGTTTTCAGAAATGACGCGACGTCTTCAACGGTTTTTCCTATGAAGGGTGAGGTCCAATCTTTGGGGATTGGGGGTTTGGTGGCGTTCTCGAAGAAGGTCGTTCCGTCTTTTTGGATTCGACGCGGAGCTGTAGGGAAGGTATCCGAGGCGAGCCAGAACATGTAGCTATTCACGGTGCTGCCGTCGAAGGCTTTTTGGAGTATTTCGTTGAGTTCCTTGATTGAGCGTTAAATCGTCGTTATGCGAGGCTCTTTAGGGGAAAAAGCACATGACTAACCTCGTTGGAGACATCGGTGAGAACGAAAAGCGCAAAGTTAGCATCGACCCAGTCTGGCGGCGATCGCGCTCCATCTCGAGACATGACGGCAAACTCAAATTAAGGGGAACTTAGACAACACTCGAAGAACGTGTGTATAGTCTGACGGTTATAACGAATGCAGAGAAGAGTGCAATAGGACCTGACGTCATACGTCAGCCTAAACGCGATTCGAAGCCGACAACACCGTATTTTGCAGCACTGAGCCGAGATATTGAACTGAAACATAGGGATTTCCGAATTAGTATCTGCGGGGTTTTGTCTCGATGCGGGGTTACATGTGCAGGAATAGCACGGCGGAGTTGCCGCTGATGGTAAGCTGGGGGCTGTTTTCATTTGCCTTCTTTTTCCATGGTAATATGGAAATGTCAACAGAGGAAAAGCAATCGCTCAGACACAGCCCGCATGCATGCTCGTGATACCAAACAAGTAATTCAGATCGTTGAATGTTTCGGTTTGTTGCTATCGCGTTTTCTATGGTCATACTTTCATGGGCTGTTTAGAATAATACATTCACAATAGACTGTGTTTGCTAATGAGTTGATAGTTTACATTTGAGGAAAAAAATAGCATGTAGGCGCGTAAAGAAATACTCCATAAAATTCATAAGCTCAGAGAATAACCCTAGAAGGAGCATCGACATCCATGAGATGACAGCGGAAGGAGTTTGGTGCTGTCCAGGCCTCTAGTTTTTACGAACATTTGTTTCGACCTCAAGCTCACTTTAGGGCCACCTGTTGCCTGAATTCAAATATAGCATTGGATACTACGCCATGCATGAATGGTCAAGACCTGCTTTGGAGACCACCCAAAGTCGACGTTGAAAAGCCCATTACAAATAGTCTAGCTTCTGACTTCGTTGCAAATAATCCACAGCTAATCCGCTCTTTCATATCCACCTTGTACCAGTCAGTTACCAATATCATTCGTTTTCTGTAACCCAACATGAAGCTTCTTTGTATCCTTCCCTCAAGCATTCTCTGGGCAGTGCAGACGCTTGCGATGCCAGCTGATCCCGAAGGCATTGAAAGCTTCGCGCCTGTACCAGACGCCAACGCTCTTTTTAAACGTGCACCACAACACTGCGGAACGTTCAAATTCAAGTGTAAAAGTTCGGCTGGTGCCTGTAACAACGCATGCTACTATATCAACTGTGTAAATAAAGGAAGAGCTGATTTCACTTATGGCACAAGTGCTGTCGACAATCGGGTACACTCGGGATGTTGGACCACGAACAAGGAGGCCACGCTTTGTCGGACTAAACCGTTTGTTCAAAGATTCTGGGATAGGCAAGACGACGATGTGGCTCCGAAGCCCCTTTCGTGTGATGAGTTTCCTATGAATGCGTTCAGACAGGGGCCGTATCAACAGGGAACAATCAGAAACTCATTGAGATGTATCAATGCCAAAGAGAACAGTAGTATGTATTTAAATTAATCAGCGATTGGAATACTGACAAGCTATAGGTGGGGGGTCTCAATTCCTACAATTCAGAGACGCAAAGGGCGACTGGGCCAAAGGGGGCAAGCTGGCCGGGTCTCGAGATTGTGAGGGGAAAATGAAAGACGGGGATACATTCAAAGTAGACTGGATCATCGATGGCGATGATGGTATATCGAATGCTGATCAAGACAAGTAAGTTATTGGTTCGAACAAAACTCTATTCCACTCTACGTTTCGGTTTGGCTCACGCTCGGTCAGGCGAGTTCCATACTGCAAACCAAATCCCAAGTGTGACAATGACGGTCACCAGTTTCACATGAGTAAACTACAAGTAAACGACAAGGGCGTGGGAAATTTGAGCAATCCGTACAACTATGAAAACGACAATCACTATGCACTCACAGGTAAGAGTGACATCAAAGAGTATCGAGCCACCATTGAACGAAAAGAAGATTGGGCATCGATCGATGTCTTTGAAGTCGCTGGCTCTAAGAGGATTGACAAGGGCACTGCTTCTGGCGCCTTTGGAGATGGTAAGCAACTCAAAGTTGAATTGGAGAAGCTTTCACACATCTTGCGCGTATATGGAAGTGGGGGTATTGGTACAAAAGTTACATTCATATATGCAAAATCCGATGCAGACACTTTGTCTGATCTGAGTTTCTCGGATGGCGATATTGGGTGGACTACAGATGACAAGAGTCAAAAAGGAAGATGGTGTGTTTCTGAACAGTGGGGTGGAAAGGATGGGGATTCTAGGATGGAGATTATCCAGTGCAGTTTTCCGGGTCTTGCATAGAATCGGTCATTTCTCTTGTTTCGAGGAGTCTCGTATGTTGATTTTTTCTCACCTACTTTTTTTTCTTCTCATACACAGAACGCATGAAGATGTTTCACTTGCCTGGTCAGTAGGCACGAGCAAATTAGTGGATCTGGATTCAGCAGGTATAGCGTTCTTTCTCTGTAGTATTTGCGGAGCTGCTCGGTAAAATACGAATCATTTTTTCGACGACCATTCATAATCGAGAATATTTAGATAATCAGACTATGTTAAGCGTTTTAAGCTGTGCAGGTAGACATGCTATCAATACATATGATTAGTCACCGATTCCAATAGCTATTGATAGACATCAAGGCTCACGTGTAGGAGTCGTTTGCCGGGGTAATGGTGAAAAGCTAAGGCTGCTGCATACCGTTATCATGTCGAGGAAGATTTAGTAGCCTCTTAATCCAATATTTCAGGATGGAATGGTGAACGGATATGAATGAGGTGAGGTTGGGGTCACTATATTAGCCAATCGTGTGCCTAGGTAACTAGGTAACTATGTTTAATAGAAGCTGAGATATAACTGGTTAAAAGCGCGACCCCACCCTTACCTCATTTGCACCTTACCACTCTACTTCAGTAGCATTGAATTCTGAAATGTGATTCCTTTCCAAAGACTAGTCGGTAGTAACCATCAAGTTGTCACTGGAAAGAAACAATTGACAACTGTTCTCCTTATCCCCACCCGGAAGCCCTAGTATACCTGATCATTTTTCTAGATAATGCCACCAACACAAGCATTTCAACTTCCTACCTAATTAAAGACATCAAGCACCGACAGCTGTCTCCATCCCACCCATTAGAATCGAATCTGAGCCAATCTGCTGCTGATGCTCCTTCTGAAACACCTCATACTTAGCATCATGCCACTCGCTCGCAGTCACCAGTTTGCCGTTGCTATCTTTGTACTTTGCTTCATTCTCGGGCCGAAGGAAATATGCGATCGAATACCGATCTTCAGCGTTGTCGATTGGAACGACCTGATGGATGCAAGAATACAACTGATGTCCCGAAGCAAATCTGAGGGAGTCACCAACATTGATGACAGCGTGGCCGGGCTTTGGCTCAATGAACTCCCACTTATCATGATTCTGAGGCCCGGGGCGTTGAACTTGTAAGCCCCATTGTTCGGAGAACAATAGCGTTAGACTACCGATGTCGGTATGCTTTTGGTGACCAACCTCTTTGGAGGTTTTAAGGTCCCCAGGGATGTAGCGAAACATAGCAAGGGTCGAGTTTGATTTGTGGCCGTTGCGATGAGAATTCTCGAACCTTTCACCTCCTTGTAGACCAAGAGATGTCGAAAGAGCAGATAACATAGTTTTTGTGATGATGCTTGAGCCGGCGACGAAGTCATCAAAAACTTTAATATCGTGAGTGTTCTTCACAATAGAGGGCAGATTGATGCTCGACGCCTTCGAGAGTTCATCTCTGGAAACCTAGTTGTAGGTAAGACCTCAAGCAAGATTTGTAACCAGATAAGGAAGAGAGTGTCAATTACTTACTTTTAGGATCTCGTATCCATCTTTAGTCCCATCGACTACTCCAGCGTGATTCCCGACGGGCTCATATCTACGAGGATGTCAGTTACTTATGATGAGCATCTATGTGGGTGAGAGTAAAAACATACCCGTGCTCTTGGGAAGGAAGTCCAATCTCATTCTTTTCGTCATGTGATGAGTTGAAGAATCTTTTCATCAATTCCAGTAACCTTGCCTTGTCATCCAAGATTCGTCGTCCATCGATGTCTTGAAGATCGAGGTAAAAGAAGCCCTCGGTTTTGCATAGATGTAGCAGCTTATCAAGTTCTGCAGGCTCTTGAGATAGCAGCCGGGAAAAGTTAATACTCTGAAGTTTTGCTACCTGTATGGGTTTACCCTGGTAGTGTATCGGCTTGAAGCCGTTGGTTTGGATCTGAATAGCCATGCTTTGGAATACAAGGTTTGTTACTGATGAACAACCAATTGAAAAAAGGTAGGAGAGGAAATTTTCTGGCCCAAGATTCAATGTGATCTTGATAATAAGCAAAAAGCTATGAAAGTCGATAGAATTGCAGTAATACAGAGTGACGGCTTCACTCGAATATTTATACACAACTGCTTCGTATTCTCTTCAGGATGGAGGTCTACTCTTACGTCCATTGCTGGGATATAATGTCTCTCCCAACCCTTGAATTCACTACCATCGAGATCATAAAATGTTGGCCATCCGGACTTCGCTTCCTCCATGAAACATGGGTAGCTAACACATCGTGCAGTTCCTACAGGGTATTGAAGTGTCGGTGAGCATACTCTCAATTGCATGGAGTAGAGGATCAAAGCCGCGCCCTGAAACAGAAAATATGGAGTGTTCTCATTCGCGAAACTCAAGGTGAAGAGCTTACCCAGCGTTCTCGAAAGCATAGACATTTCTGAAATCACCGAGTATGTCAACCAATTTTGATTAAAAACGCCCACGTATACCAGGGCATCATGCATTGATAGAGTTTTGATTGCTAAGATTTACATCTTTCCTTCCCTCAATTCGTGGAGACCGGTCCGCGCAGCCTGTAACGAGTATAAGCATTCGGCAACATGGCGGGGTAATGCGCCAGGTGGGGGGAAGGCGGGTGATTGCATCTCGGGAAGTTAGGGTAAACCCTATTTTTTCACAAACCATAAGTCCACCTCGACTCATCTCGGTCGTGATTTGCTAGAATGATTTTGCGAAACCGGATCTCCCACAATTCAAAGGTCTGACGTGCTACCCCCTTGTCAAAGGCGCGTACATATACGGGCAAAGGCCGCGTGTTGGATGTTGGAAGTCTGGTCATCGCAATCGCCGCACCCATTGACGACGCGAAGATGCAGCATACAGTCTTCCGGACTCGTATAAAAAGGAAGTTCTTTATCCTTGGGGGCCTGATGACGTAAATCCCGCACGCTCACTCCGATGTATCGCCTATTGTCGGTGACCCGCGGGAGCTTGTTCTCTTGTCTCTTGTTTACTTTACCTACCATTCGCCGCCCTTTGTTCCCCGGGAATGAGAAAATAGCGAAAAGCCATGATGTCCGCATCTCAATCCCGAGAGAAATGTCCGTCGCAATCATTCTCATTGGATGGCGTAAATGCCCAACCACCGCCGAGTGACCTCGTCGACTTCGATTGCCCCAGAGATGTTTCTAATCCCATGAATTGGCCTTTTTCGAAAAAGGTCTCCACCAGTCTACTATACAGTTTGACAAGTCTGGGGTCAGTCTGGGCCAGTACCGCGTATGTCCCATTTCAAAATTCGATTTTCAACGTCGTGCTAAGCAAAAACAAGCTACGCGCCAGCTAATGCCAAGATATCTGAGCGGTTTGATGTCAACCCGGAGTTAGCCCTGGCCGGGACGAGCCTCTTATTGCTAGGGTATGTGTGATATGTGCCAACCCATGTTCACCTTTTGCTCACCTTCACTTACTAGGTGGGGTTTTGGCCCCCTCCTGTGGGCTCCATTATCCGAAGTTCATGGTCGAAAATGGCCCGTCTTGATACCATTCCTCATATCTACAGTCATGTCGTTTGGCACAGCTGCTGCCAAAGACATTCAGACCGTCCTCATAACTCGCTTTTTTACGGGCTTCTTTGGCTCTGCACCAATCACTTGCACTGGTGGTGTATTTGTAGATCTCTGGCATTCTACCCAACGTGGTAATGCCATTGTTGGCTACACCTTCTGCGTTTGCGGGGGACCGGTAAGTCCGCATTATTCCCGGATAAAAAAATCGCTCACAGATGCAGGCTCTCGGTCCAGTTGTTGGTGGTGCCATCGTTTACTATGGCGCAGACTGGCGGTGGACAGAATACGTAAGTTTGATCTAACGTTGCATTGTATATTATCCGAGTTGACCGGTTTGGGTGTTAGGTTACGGGCATTCTCCAAGCTGCGATATTGCTTCTTGACGTCATGCTCGTCGAAGAGTCTTACGTACCAATAATACTCTCTCGCAAAGCTGCGCGACTACGCAAATCCACGGGTAATTGGGCACTACATGCAGAATGGGAAGAGAAAGACGTCCTTTTTAAAGAGCTAGTTGTCAAGTTCGGCATCCGCCCCCTCCAAATGCTTGCAACTCCAATCTGTCTGTCAATCACGATCTATGTCTCCTTCATCTACGCAACATTCTATGCCAGCCTCGCCTCATTCCCAATCATCTTCCAAGATACGCGAGGATGGAACGAGTTCATTGGATCACTGCCATTTCTAGCTGTCTTGGTTGGCATCGCTGTCGGGGCGGGTGTGAACATTGCGAATCAGAAATACTACAACAGGAGGTATCTCGCAAACAATTCAATACCCGTCCCTGAAGCACGACTTCCACCGATGATGGTAGCTTCTTTCGTCCTCGCAGGCGGTCTGTTCGTTATGGGATGGACCTCCGATACTTCTGTTCACTGGTTCAGCACTATCGTTGGGGTATTTATGCTTGGCTTTGGCTATTATTCCATTTTCACGTCCGGAGTCAATTATCTAATTGACACATTCCAGAGATGGGGAGCCAGCGCTTTGGCAGCGAATACGTTCGCGAGGTCTGTTCTGGCTGCTGTCCTACCTTTACTTATCCCTGCCATGTACCATCGGCTTGGAAATGGCTGGGCTTTCACCGTTCTCGGGGTTTTTGCGATTTTGAATATTCCTATACCGTTCGTATTCTGGTTTTATGGTCCCAAGATCAGGAAGATGGGGAAGTATACGTCAAATCTCGGATGATGTGCAGCCTTTTCTTGCGTCTTTCCGAGACATTTGGCAAGAAAGTGAGCATCTGGTAGAGTACGGACGGTGCAAAGAAGCACGAGTCTCTGAAAGATGTATTCAGGGTGGGATAATGACACCCGCAAGACTGACAGGTTGAAGTGCTCTTGAGAGTTTCCCCGACTCGAGTTCTGTTCCATTAGAGAACTTGCTCTTACGAAGTCCCATCATACTAGGGTACCTGTCCCACTATACAAGCACACCTGAGCTATCAATAATGCTGATTGGTGTAAACGTTCCTGATCGCGAATCGCGATCAGACGCGCAGTCAAGACAAAATTTTCACTTTAGTATTTATAGTAGAGCATCAATCTAAAATGGGCTACCTTTATGCTTGCAGCTAATTTCCTACCGTATATATCGCTGATCAAACGTTGATTGTTCTACGATAAAAATTATTTTCGTGGTATCCGACCAAATGTTATTTCACCCTCATCCAGAATTTTCTTGGGTAGGCGAGAGCGAGATGTCCATGATATATATAATGCGCCAGATTGATTGATTAAGTCAGAGCAGGGGGAACTTTAGGGTGTTGAAATCGATTTTTCCTAGTTCTAGCGATCTTTCAAGATCTGGGTGACGGTAAAAACGACTCCACATATCTCCACCGGCGTTTCTCAATGTGACTCAAATATTCAGCGCATTGGACATTGAGCGGTAGCGCATAGATGGGAGACAGGACAAACCATATGTCCACAAGGACAAAAAAGCATCTTTGCCACCAATTCAATTCTACTATTCTTATGAACAAGTATAGAGCACTTGCAAACGTCCAGGAGAACACAAAGGAAGGCATGGCACGCCAAACAAGTGTGATAAGTGGAGGAAGTTCAATCCCGTGAGGTCGAAGAGTGGGAATATTCGGTTTGTCTTGGATTTCTTTTTAGCAAATCTGGAATCGTCATGCCTAATGTGACTTACTGTACTCTACCACAATCTCGGTAGCTGGGTCTGCAAAAGCTGCCTGCAGTGTAATACGGCCTTTGATGGGTGACAGTGTCTCATCCTCAATGGTGACTGCACAATGGTATCCCAGATAGATTTTTTGCGATCGTCGACTGAGCACGCGGAACATAGCTGCTTCCAGTCCAGGTGTATTCGCCCTTTCGATCCAGTTCACCACTATGCAGAGTTCCTCCGCATCTGTAAAGTGTTTCTCAATGCAGAGCGTGTAGAGGCCTTCATCAGTACGCAAGTGGATTGATTCATTATCTCTCAATTGCTGGGTATGCGAGAGGAGAATGCACCGTGTATATGGGTATGGCTCAAGCATCATGAAATGGCCCTCCCTGCCGTCGATAAGAGACATGAATCTGAGGGTAGGCCCATGCTTGATGATAGGCCTATCTATTCGCATCGGTATCCAATGATTGAGGGGAGTTTCTGCAGAGTTTTGCTTAGGACCTTGCCAAAAGAATAGGAAGAGGGGAATGCTTGGTAAGCTGAGAATGATGGTCTGGAGTTGCTCTTCCGAATTTAGGTTTATCAGGCCTTCGGACTGCATGTCCAGCGTGTTGGCAAGGATGAATAATTGATCTTCAGGTATGCTTGTGGATCGCCCTACCAACGTGTTCCATAAGCAGACAAATGTGTGCGCATAGACCTCGCTATACACGGACTCTGTTTTTTCCAGAACATCAGAGGTTGGAAAATTCGGTTCGTCTTCCTTAGCCCTCGGTACGAAAAATAGGGATCCAGACCCTAAAATTTGTTCGAACCTGTGCTTAACATTGTTAAGTCGATGCGATTCCTTGAAACGATACAGAGAATTTTTCCATTTCATAACACCCCGTGAGGACATGAATTGGCGGCACAGATAACTCTGCAGCTGAGACCATACCCGAGGACTGAGATTGTTTGGCGACAAAGTCTGTCCATCGACGATCAACTTCACAGCCTCCTTGGTGTCGCTCCACATCATCGGTGAGTCACCAAACCATAAATTATTGGTTGCGAAGATAATGCATCTTTCGTCTCCCAATTGGATCTTGCATTCTGGGGGAAGAAGTGCCTCCTGTAAAGTCCAACTGCGACGCATCCAAACACTGCAGATGATACGAGCTAAGCAATCAGGCGTATCTGGTGACGTTTGCATGAGCTCGTAATCTAGTACAAGAGTTGTACGGGCGCCAGCGTATATGGACGCCATCGAGTTGATCGATTTCTGCCTCAGGTCTGCATCCTCAGGTCTGACAGGTATACACAAGGTATCCATCCAGAAATGAGTCTGCCGTGTTATCAGCCCAAATGTCGACAGATAAGTGATGAGTACAATTACCCACCTCAGTCTCGATCAATTTCTCCAGTTGACAACTAGGCAAGGAATTGTTATGAGGATTGCCAAGACCATCGGCCCAAACATGAGAGATTGCCGTGTAGGAAGTCCTTTTCTGCCGCTTGTGGACCTTGATAGAAAAACGGGACTGGTCGCTTTTGTGAAGAGTGACCAAGGGAACGCAACCGTCGCGAATGAGCCGCACAAGATTGTCATAAGGCACCGCGACATCTTCGCAGTTGCTTCCATCGCAGGAGATATGATGTCGGGTCTCGTAATTATTAAGGTCAACATTGTACGCCACGCAGCTCAGCTCGGAGCGACACTTTTCATGGCTTTCGGGTCTTTGCGAAGACCTGGGAAGATTCGCAAGATAGCGCATCGTTTCGTCATCGTACTCAAACACCTGTGATAAGTATTTGACCTGATGGATGCACCATCCTTTAGTGCACATGTCGTCCATTATCTCATGCATCTCTGTGCTTGTAAATACGGATAGCTCCATGGTGTGTTCGTTGGCAGAAATAATGGTGAATTTTGCCAAAACAAGATCACGAAAGGCGCGGATGTGATATGCGATACGAAAATAAATAATAATGCGATTGATTGTGTTTCCCAGGCTACGAATGAACGATATTCTAACATAACGTGGTTGATAGACGTCCTCATAGTGGCGCAGGTTTCTCAGACCGGCATTGTTTCATAGGACCAGCTGCAGGGGAAAGGAGTCAACAGCAATTGGCCCCCATAATGCTGTGTGGTACCTAGCCTAATCAGTCCACACTCAGCCCCGTAGAATCTCAATCATCGCTTTTCCTGAAGCATATCATACAACAGCTTACTGCATGCTGGAACAGCGAGAGTAGCTCACGTGACTATACGAATTGGTGAAGTCTTCTTGTGGGAAATGTATGATGCAGCTGCCTATCCTCACATGGCACTATACAAGGTGGAATATGGCTTCTTCTTCTTCCGGTCCAATGAGATGCAACGCTGGGCTTTGCACTCATACTTATCATTTCCTTGTATATTTACTTGAGATCAGCACTGCTTCCTCACGGGTAGCGATTTCACTAACGAAAGCAGGCGTTTATTAATCTAGTCTATGAGTGATTGTCTGTGCAGTCCACGTATAGGTACAGTCGCGGATCAATCGCGACTAGACTGATCGCTAGACAAGTATTTATCCTCTTTGATGAGATACACACTAGCAATTGAAATGCGCATGTTTTATTAAGACTGATTTTGGTAGCTGTTTAGGAGATTATTTTTTGAGGGATTGGGGGAGACTAGATGTTGTCTGTTACTAACTAAAAGGTCGATTCTTTCATACAGCAGCCAGTACGATCGGTAGTAAACGGGAGCCCAAAGGATGAAATCAAGACCGACAGCCACTGTAAGCCGGATCACGGCAATCAGCAGTACCTTTGTAGATTTCGGTCCCCTTCGACGAGATAATCTGAAGTGAATATGAGGAGAAAGGGGCCGCCAGGTTCCCGGTAGCTAGACAGTCTTGCTAGATAACCGTTGCTGAAACGGCATTATTGATGCAAACATCCAACGGAACGCATACTTGGAGGGAAATCGGCATGTCACGCTACACACATATCCTCAGCCACTCGCCACTAAAACGTCAACAAACGTCACCACTTCTCCAGCCAAGCGACCCAAGCGCTCTCGCCCGCCGCGCCACTCCCCATTCCATTAGAATAAAGTCCATCAGATATCCAGTCCATCGGCAATGAGACTCCTAACTCACTTTTTTCGCATTCGCTAAGATTACATCATCCTAGTTGGAGCTAAACGTACGCCGCCACAAATCATAGTTAGTCCACCAGGATTGCTAGGTAGATAGGCGAGTGCGAAGTGCGAACAGCACAGCCCGGCATCTTTCAGCCCCACGCGAGAGCGAGGTTCCTCTACCGACAAATAATCGTCTCCGCATAAGACGATTCTTGAATTGGAAACAGGAAAATTGAACAATAACAAGCGAATGCGAATTAGGCCTCAAATCCAGACCATCTTGGATACAGCAAATAACCTATAAGTACAATGTGAGTTTCAATCTTTTTCTCTCTTCCAACTCTTTACAAATACTATCTTATTCCTATACCCAACCACAAATTCTTCCACAATACATGTTCCAGATTTAGTCTACTTCAACGAATAATCTGCATTTCGCATCTCGCATCTCGCACCAAAAAGCTTAGCCCTCCATCCGCCACCCACACAGCCTCCAAAGCTCCACATACCATCAACATTCACCACGACCCCTAAACAGAAATCCATAAAATATATATTCACCATGTGCCGCAGACACTACAATCCACCAAACCAAGCACACTTCCCAACCACAGATCTGCCTATCAACAACCACCTACAATCCCCAATCACTGGCCTGCCCATCAACCGTCTTCAACTACAACCACAAGCACTACCCATCAACCGCCTTCAAGCACAACCACAACCACTACCCAGAACCCGCTGCTGTGCCCCACGCACCCGCCACCCAAACTACCTCATCGACCCTCAAACCGACCGCCCGCACACAATGGCATCTCTCCTCATCATGGGCATCGGCATAGGTGCCATGAAGATCAAAGAACACCGCGAAGAGAAGAAAGCTAAGAAAGCCGCTCTTCACGGATGGAACGATCGGGGGTATTCGACTACATCTGCTTTACCGGGGCAGAAGAAGGAGAAGTTATTGGGAAGGAGGAGGAGGGGCGATGTTGTGGAGAGGAGCAGGAGCAGGAGCAGGAGCAGGAGCAGGAGCAGGAGCAGGAGCGTGAGTCGGGAGGGGGAAAGAGATGATGTGTTGGCGGGGGATGATGTTGCGCCGCCGAGTTATCATGAGGCTGTTGGGGATGAGGGAAGAGGGAGGACGGTGTGAGAGGCTATTCGAAGGTGTCGCATTGAAGCTGCGGTGGAATATGTTCGTTTCATGGGTTGCTGAAACAGTTTTAGAGAAACAATGAGAGGGGCCAGGGCGCTTTCTGCGTTTACTGTTCTGGTGTTTGGGAGATGGGAATTTATGGGCCGGAGTTCATTCATTGATCGGGTGAGGGGAGACTTTTTGGGGATGGAGGCGACAATTTTTGATGCAATTGTACATGCCAGCTTTCTTGTTTGTCATTTTCATTCCAACTATCATGAGGCCCTGCCAGTATTTCATTCGCATTAAAATCACCCTTGGTGCACCCTGTCATTCCATAGTGTCGAGATGGTTTGCTAAAATCGTTACATGTATGGAGATGGGTATAATCGCTCGTTTCCAAAGAAAGTCAGCAACTGGGTCATTTTGAAACCCGATGCAACTCCCAAAATAACAACACTGTAATCAGCGTAGCCTCCGAAGCCCCCATCAATTGAAGTTCGGCCACATATCCTGCTCCCACTCTACTGTATCAAGCCAGCACAATGGATCATTGAAATTGAAGCTGAATTCACCGAGTGTGGTATCCATGTTGAGATCCGCATTGTTGATATGTATTGGATTTAAGACGGTATCCAAGATCTTCTTCAAGAACCTTAGGCCGCGCTCGCAGCTGATGTACGCACAGCTGTTCTGTGGGATGGTTTCTGTAGCGATCTATTAGCGGCTTTGCAAGCGATGTAACCATTGTGAAGCGCTTACCTAAGCAGGCAACAAAAACGGAAAGATCTTGAATGGTCTGCGATCGTGGGAGCATAGACGCAGGAGCTCTAGTAGCACGATAGTTCTGTTCCTGATGTAGTAGCTCAAGAGCAATCACAGCAGCCGAGGGTACGCCATTTTGGTTGAGTAGTGACGCGAAATCGATCTGGAAGTCGCGGAAGATGTGTTTGTTGTTGACTAGCTGCAGGACGAATTTGAACATTGGTATCGCAATCTCAATGAGCTTGGAAGCGTCTGCGCCCAGCTTTTTAATGAGGATGCGCTGCAGCAGATATTGATGATAGTGTGCATCCATTCGTATGTATGCAAGGAACATCAGCTCGATGGGAGATCGTCGTGCATCCTGGAAGGGTCGATCGTCTTTTAGTTTAAGGAAATCGGGTAGGTTTTCGAAGCGCGCAATCGCTCTGGCTTTGATGTCTGCGGCCCGCCGATCGATTTCATCTGGCTGCATTTCAATATCCATTGATATCTCGACAATTTCTTCCGCCAGCAGCGCATCGGAAACGAAGAGGCGCTGGAATGTGGACAGATTGATGGCGCCTCGTGTGTTCCACCCGTTCTCGTCGATCCCTCGAACTATTTTCTCGTGATCCGACCCAACAGACATCAGCTGCGCGTCACTGATATCTAAAGGTACTTGGAGACGGCAGAACTTCCTGGTCAGTCTGGGAGGTCGTCCGCTATAGATGGCAGAATACTTGTCGGATTGATACACCGCTGCAAACAATCTGCACAATCAGCACTTGAAGATCACATTTCCGGTTTTGTAGGCCTACCGTTTACGCAACTCGCTAATAAAGAGGGGTGTCTTCTCATCCACCTTGATTTCCTCGTGCAAATTGCAGAAGACAAGAGCAGTAATTAGCGTGCCAGTCTTTTTCCAATTCTGATAACCTTTCATGATGCGCACAAGAGTTAGCACTTAGACGTGACGAGTGAAGACCTGATAGAATGGGATATAAACAAGGATGCTTACTCCCTTTCGTACGCAATGCACAATATATGCTTGTATTCTCATATAGCAGCCACAGATACAAATCACTGAGAATTCCAAAATCATCGCAAAAGTCCAGACACATTTGGGACGCGTTTTGTGCTCGAATGAGGGTTGCTTCACGATCTATGGGCACATCATCGTGAGAGCAGAATATGGGATCCCCGTCTAGATTTTATCAGCTTCGTCTTGGAACTGCAATGTGCTGCTCACCTGTGAGACTAGCGCAAACTAATGCCATCAAAGTCACCAAAAGGCCAACAACCTCCCACCTCAGATTCTCGCCCGTGGCTGCAAGACAGAACTCCGTAGCGGTGGTGTCTTGCCTTAAGGAACTCGTCATAGGCTTGAGAGTATTATCCCAGATCCTTTTGGACATGTATGTGAGATCAGATGTGGCGTGCGCTTCAGAGGAATTCAGCCACTTCCCCCACGTTTGACTGATTCCGGCGGTGAAGATCTTAGTCATGGGCTCGATTACTATGAGTCCCTTTGCGAAAGAAAACTGTTTAGACGTAAGCAAATAGCTAAGACTGCTTCACAGTTGAATACCTACCCACTTATCAATATATCGGAGGCATAGCGGGAAGTTTCTCAAAAGCGTCAAGCACGCAGCCCCTCGTTCTATGTCTGCCTGTGATACCATCGAATGGGCAATTTCACCATTTGAAGGCGCAATACCCACACTCAACTCATTTTCAGCTAAGATGGACGCATGGTGCATAGATGTTCCCGAGGGGTGGTAGCCTAATGCTTGAATGTGCGCGCGTGGTACCGGTTTTCTCAATTCTTCAACTGTCTGTTGACCGTATTGGATCGAAGACCATGGTTGTGCGGGAAGACTACTAGCTCGGGAGGATCTTGTTTGTTGCACTGCGTGTAGTTCAACACGACTGAATGTAGGAGTTGAAGCGGATGTAGTATCGGTACTGGAACGATTTAGAGTCAGCCCTTACCATATGATGTGTGAGAACCAAGAGGAAGATTCGGGGAGAAAAGCTGGCGTGTTCCGATCAATGAGCTAAGGCTCTGACACCAAGATACATTTCAAACGGGAAACAATCGACGCGAAAACGAAGCTCAGATCCAATGAATGAGTAAGACACCAATCTAAACGATTGCTATAACTGCACGAGGAATGGGATGAGACATAAACTCCGTACTTTACCGATCGGTTCTCCACAACCGGACTAGAAGAATCCGAAGCCTGCGGTGTAGGCAACTGGCCAGCTTTAGTCAAAGGCGCCGGATGGTACACACACTGATCCGCACGATTACGACGTTGACATCGTCCACACGTGGGCATCATGTGATCGCATCTCAGCTTGCCCTTGCGACAGGGCTCACAAGACTGCAATTTTCCATTCCGTCTGAAATTGGTGTTGAGTCGACGGTTTTGATGGCTATCGCGGAGTCGACTCGGAAATAGATTTCCAGTCTATTAAGAAAAGGATGGCATTAGCCTGGAAGGAATAGAAGGAACTACTGGCGATTAGATTACCATGTTGTTGTGTATAAGCGTTGCGATATTGTATGAGATGAGTGACCTCCGAGCCTATCCGGCTTCCGATTGGTCCGACGTGTTGCGAGATAGTACTCAATCTCAATGCATAGATCAAGGAGAGACAATTTCATGGGACAAAGAACGAAAATTCTGATGTCGAGCGAGATGGAGTTGATGCTATTGTAGAGGCAGCACCGCGAACGCCGCAGCGGAGTTCCATTTGGGGAGGGGAAATTCGGCATTCGGATGTCGCTACTACAGCCAATCATATTAGTCAGATTGGCTCTTAGCCCAGTCACTTCTTCTCGTCGAGCATCAGGCACCCGTCTCACATCCCATTAGACTGCAAAGAATCAACATTTGAATTCACGCGAGCTACCTGGGGAGCTCCCATGCTTTTTGCCATTTGAATTAACCACTATCAATGCGCATGTGCTCCCTCTGCTTCCATGATGACTTGGATATGTGCCGACCACGCATCTTCCTCACAGACTCGACAACCCCCAGAGCTTTTCACTGAAGCATGCCTTCCTAAGCACGGTCGTCGCCAACGTTGTTCTCTTCCGCCTCCGGTCCGTCAAGCTGAACATCAATGAATTTCTTGTCAGATTCTTCTTGGGGCAGATACGATCGATCGTCCCCGAACAGAATCGTGTCATCGGGATACAGCCTCCATCCATTTTTAGGCGCGTTCAACGAAACGATCTGCGTAGTGCAGTCCTTCTCGGAGTTGGAGGCCATATAACGCCAGGCTCGAGGAAGCGGAGCGTCGCGATTGTCATCAATAAGACAGAATTGCACCTATGAATGAGACCATCAGTACTGCAATAGACCTACATCCCTCGTAAAAGTGGACTAGGGACCAGAAACTCACCTCTGTAGCCTTGAAATGATCATACTTGACCAATACAGCCATGCTCCACGCCCAAACCAAGATAGTCAATACGATCCAAATAAAACAAATCACCTCAAACAGTCCACACGAGGTTCCTATCTGCTCTTCATCGTTGTCTTCATCTTCATCGCTGTCATACTCCGAGTTCGATTTCGATTCCTGAAAAGATCCGAGTCGCGCTTCCTCATCCGCATACGCGAACCTCTCGGGATCAACTTCTGGGATGCTAGGAAGTAGAGAGCTTCTAGTAGAGTGCGCAGAGTATGGAGGCGGAGGACGTCGGTAATAGCGGCTTGTTCGGCGGGCTCGTCGCGATGATGTTGGGCGGAAGTATGTTAGGAGGGATGCGCGGGGGAGGGCTTCCATGGTCTTGGAATGAAAGCTGGCTGCCGGCGGCTTTTCGGAAACGAAGTAGAGGGATACAGTATTGCTGTCAGATTAAGGCGTATTGTTATTGTTCTTGGATGCTAGCGCAATGATAAAAGACGATTGTTGCCGTATAGATGCAGCTGTAATATCGCGTGCGAATGTCAGTGTTGCGATGTGTGAGTGTGCTTGAGGAGCTTGGTTGTATGAGGGCGATGCGGACGATTCAATCGTCATTTCTTCTGGCATAAAGCATGGCTGCTGGTAACGGAAAGAGTGTTGAATTAGATAGTGATAGTTTGCGGAAAGTGGGAAATGCAGTTGGTGGAAAGGCCGGGGGCGGTGACGTTCAGGAATGCTGAGCTTTGTGTAACATCCTGAGTTCGCTGGTTCCGTCGCCTTCGGGCGGTATAGAAGGCAAGTCGATAATTGAATCAATGAATGAATTTCTGGGTGACAACTGCACAGTTCCCTTGAGTGATGCGTAGCAACGATACATTGGGATTAGATTAGTTAATATGTTGAGAGCGTAGCGGCGTTGCACCTTGTCTGTAGGAACCTCGTCATGACGTAGAAGTTAAGTCGAATGCAGTCTATCTATCTATACATACATGTCCAGCCCAAAACAATTTGAGCTCAGCAGGAAGCTAATATACAGTTCATTATCATTACCCTTTGCCTCAAACCTCGGCCTGTGCATCTTTCTTTTCATTACCCTGTGCCTTCTCATCTTTCTTGATACTGCGCCATTCGACCACAACAGCACCCACCATGCTCAAGCAGGATAATACCAGTCCCATGTAGAAGACATTTCGGATCGCCACTCTGTATCCCTCAGCAAGCATTCCAACCATGTCCTTCGAAACCAGGTGTTTGATGTTGGTCGCTCCCATCGATACGATTTGTTCGCGCGAAAGATGTAAGCCGGGGATTTTGCTAAGCTGCGTGGCCAATGAATCAGTGAATATGCTCTGCGCGATACTGATAAACAAGGCTCCACCCAGGTTCTGCACAAAGACTATGAACGATACGCCTATAGTTATATCCTTCTCGGCAAGAACGATCTGGGTAAGCAAGTTGGGTTGCTGCATCCCAAGGCCTGCGCCAAGGCCAGAAATGACCTGATAGCCGATCCACATACTGCTGCCAACATTGACTGGCCAAGTAGTGATCAAGCCTGCGCCGACAGAAGAGAAAATGGCAGAGAATATCATAGCCGGTGCAGGATATCCAAAACGCTGCACTGCGCCTCCGGCAAGCATTGTTCCGACGAACATGGCAAGAATGAAAGGCAATGTAGCGAGACCTGATTTGAGCGGAGAGAAATCCTGTAGCGCTTGGAAGAAGATCGGCACATAGTAGCTGACCACGAGCACGCTAGAATAGCATGTGATGCAGAAGAGGGCGGCTCCGATCATTGTGCGGCCTTTGAGGATGCGCATAGGTATCGTTGCAGTATCTGGCATGAGAATCTGCACGATTACAAAGGCGATTGCCAACACCGCGAAAAGTATCATGAGGAGAGTGATCCTCCAGTTCGACCACGCATAGGTGGTACCACCCCATTGGAGGCCCAGAACCAGGCATACCACAGAGGGCAAGAAGAGAGCTGTGCCCAAGGGATCCATTTGTCGTAGTTTTTGCGCGAAAGGTGTTTTGGCCGTATCTGGCTTTGGTTTGGACTGAAGCAAGAGCATGAGACAAGCAATGACCACAGCGCCGAACGGCAGATTTATATAGAAGCACCTGAATTGTGAAATGTCAGTTATTGTTTTAAAATTTAAGTGATTCTGAATTGAGTGATCCTTACCATCTCCAACTGAGGCGTTCGGTCAGAGCACCTCCTAACAACGGACCCACTACGCTGGCCACGCCGAATACCCCACCCATCAAGCCTTGGAATACGGGTCGCTTCTCGAGTGGCACGGTCTCCATTAGGACAATGATAGCTCCGTTCATGAGACCTGCGCTACCCAGGCCTGAGATGGCTCTTCCTACAATGAAGGCGGCAGACGAAGGCGCAGCTCCACAGATAGCAGAGCCGATCTCAAAAACAACTACGGCGGCGATGTAGGTTGACTTGACAGGATAAAATGTGTATAGCTTGCCCCAGAGGAGTTGGAAAGCGCAAAGCGTAAGCATGTACGAAGATGCGTACCAGCCAATTGACGAAAGAGAGTTGAACTGATCAGTGATGCGAGGCATGGCGGTTCCAAGGATGGTTTTATCCTGTCGAATCTATCAGCATTTATCGAGCGAGCGTGGAGCTGCATCTAAGGATTTTCATGCTTACCAGGGCTATCAGGAACATGGCAATGTAGAGACAAGACATGATGATCCATGTTTTGCCCGCCGATGGGTACTGGCGCACCGTAGCAGAATCATCCGATGGTAGGGAGGACCCACCGTCCATCGATGCCTTTTTGCTCATGGTGTTCTTGCAGAATTTGGTCGTAGTGATTCTGACGGAGACTGAAAAGTTGGTGTAATTGTGTTTGGGCGATAAGAGGTTGGGAGTCGGCTCGAAGTGAATAGTGCAGTAACACAGATTTACACTTCATGATGGAATCTAGCTCTCATTATGTACTCAGAGGTGATACAGCTATATCAAAACCCGAGAAACCGACTTTGCGCATCGAGTATGCAATTCACCCTCAGTCGGACATAATTGCACAAGTTGTGGTGTGAGTCGGGCCCGAGGCGGGTTTTCGGGTTTTCAGCTGCCTGTCCATCGATCGCGCCCCAGTCCCTCCCACCACAACATGGCCGGGTGTCAGGATCTCAATACGCAGAAACGATTTTTCTTCGGGCCCGTAGATTTCCATCAGTGCAGATTCGTTAGTAGTCCGTAAAGGACAGTACGAGATGGAAAACTGAGGGGTTGGAGGAAGCGCCGAGGCGCTTGCCGTGTTTTGATTGGCCAGGCATCGGTCCGTCTCATCGTCTATCGCGCGGTGCCGTCATCCCCACTATTACGGCCTTCCTCCCAGTAACCTCGACACCAATCGTACTCTGAGCTTCTTTTTGGGGGATTGGTATTTTTTTCTGTGTCGCTGCTCAATTTTAGGTATCAATTTTAGGTCATCACTTGTTCTCGCACACTCAATTGTTAAGGCCGGTCCTTCCTGCCAGATATGTCCCATCCCGTCGCGAGCGAGACTACACCTCTCATCGCAGATACAAACGCACAAGATGTTGACATTAATGTCATTTCCAGCGACTCGCGACATGATGTGCTCCTTAAAATCACGGCGACGATGTTTTCCTTCGCCATCCTCGGTATATTCACGGCTTCCACTGGAGTCATGCTTCCCCCGTTAACAAAACACTACTCCTTAACCGACATTCAAGTGAGCACGCTCTTTCTGGTAGTTCCAGTGGGATATATACTATCTGCTTCAACAAATTCACTCGTTCATTCCAACCTCGGTCAGCGCGGAGTTGCGATCATTGGGCCTCTTCTACAGGTCGCTTCAGCCGTGATTGTCGCATTGCATCCGAAGCAATTTGGCGTCATTGTCGCGGGATGGGCTATCATGTCTATGGGTGCGGGACTGATTGATGGCAGCTGGTGTGCTTTTGCCGCAGGAATGGGCGATAAAGCGAACAGAGTCAGTGGGTTCCTACACGGGAGCTACTCTGTGGGGGCCTCGGCTGGGCCTTTCATAGTGTCAGCCATGATGGCCAACGGGGTCGAATGGTGGATTTGGTACTGGATCATGGTGAGACTACACTCCGAAAGTTCATTCAAAGTGCGCTTGTCGTAGAGAGGGCTAACATGAACCACCAGACTGGAGTAGCGGTGCTTCAACTATTAATCCTGCTGATCGCATTCAGACACTCTGATGCTCACACATACCATCTAAACAGGCAGGCTTCATCTTTGTCGATCACTTCTATCCAGACAGCGAAGTTTTCTCCCAATGCTATGTTTGCATACCCCGCTCTCTGGATCTCTGCCCTCTATTTTCTCATGTACGTTGGCAACGAAACTGCGATATCGGGTTGGATCGTCTCATTCATGACGCGCGCACGCCATGCCTCGCCTTACATCTCCGGCATATCATCGTCTGGGTACTGGGGCGGAATGACATTAGGTCGTCTTGCCCTAGGCCCTGTCACAGACAGGATCGGTGCAAGGACAGGCGCGATCGTGTATCTCTGCTTTGCAATCTTGCTGCAACTCATATTCGCTCTCGTACATTCAGCCATCGCTTCAGTCGTCTTAATGACTCTGCTGGGGTTCTCTATGGGTCCTTTATTTCCCAGTGGAGTCGTGGTTCTGACGCAGCTTCTACCACATGAGATGCACGTCAATGCTGTTAGTTTTGTATCCTCGCTAGGTCAGGTCGGCGGTGCTGCCTTGCCTTTCGGTATCGGCGCTGTGGTGGATACGCTCGGGATTGGTGTGTTTCGTTGGGTCATATTGATTTTCTCGGTTGTGTCTTTAGGAATGTGGTGTTTATTTGCTGGTCTACGACCCAAGGCAGACGCAGAGGAATCGAGTGGTGATCATATTGCCGAGAGCGCTGAATCGTGAGATTTACATTGAGGCGAATTACTCGCGGGCTTGGATCTCAGGCTTTTATGTATATACAACAATATACTATATCAGAATATACTGTATACATTCGCCCTTCCCATTATTCATCTGCTGCAATGTATAATTCTCCCTCGCGTCTAGTGAATATATCAGACTTCAGTGAATGGCCAGTAGCGTCAATGTGGATCTTCGCGTAGATATTCATGCACTCCGATTGGTCCATCTCACTCACAAAGGTATATGTGGCACGATGGCATTCCAAAAACTCTGTTCGAAATACCAGAAATGGTGGAGAAAGCAGGAATCCGGTCACTTAGATCTTATGAGGGAGATTTTTGAGGGTATATATTCAAATAAATTCTAATATCATCCAATCAAATGGACCGGTAACTCAGTGGTAGAGTGTAGGACTGCAGTAACATGAAATTGCCTTCCCGAAGTCACCGGTTCGACTCCGGTTCGGTCCTTTGCTTTTTGCATTTTTGTTCGAGAAGGTGAAGTTCTGGTCATGTGACGTCTCTCTCTGCCAAGTTCAAATCCCTCAAAAATCGAATGTATGATCTCGCCTATATCAGCATCTACATTCCATAAATACTCGGAAATTTTTTAGGGCACCATTCTTTTTCTCTTCGCAGAAATATCTAGGGCATGCCCTGCATGGGACTAGGATAGACCAATCAACCCACCCACTAACCGATATTCGGCTCCTTCAAAATCCATAGAATATACAGAGATTGATTTTCCCATTCGCATTGAGGACTTGAGAGAATCTAGAAAGCAAATGCTTTTGTTGAGTTATTACTGCGCAATGCAATGCAACTAGCTACTTCCGCATCCGGACGAGGACGTTGCGAACAAGAAGGAAAGCGTTCACGTTCTAGCAGGAACGAACGCGACAATGCGCTCACGATAACTTCGAAGGCAGAGTGAAGATGAAAACACCTCCTTTGTCCAAGATTAACAACGATGGAACGAATGCGATATGCAATGCATATTCGAAGCGTGAGCGGACTAGCCTCTCCGCCGTTTGCGTATCCACCATCTGCAGCGACGCACCCCCTTGAAGCCGGGACACATGAGGAACGAGAACGACAATGATATATACTCGCGTTCGCACCCCAAAAGCAGGTTTTGTTTTGCGCAAAGAGAAATATAAAGTAATACATTGAAGATCAGATAGCCTCATACACCGTACTCGCTATAAGCCGCAAATCACGGCCACGACCGCTTTCCAACGAATCTCGAAAATGAAACTCTCAGCCCTCTCCTCCGTGGTTATTTTTCTCTCCTCGACCGTCTCCACCGTCTCCGCAAACCCCGTACAACAAGATACTACCTGCGCTCTAATCAGCAGCGGCTCCGAAGGCTGCGACTTCGACCCTTTCCACGGCCAGCGCCGCGAAACGTTGAAAAAGGGTCTCTTCATCCAACCTAACTGCGCCATCGCTTCCGGTCGGAACGCCGCTTGGTCCAAAAGGTGGGCATGGATCCAGGCTAGGGGGTGTTGGGTTACGGAGGGGGTGCTGAATGTGGGGTGTGTTGGTGAGTATATCTGATTTACTTTTTTGTTATTTTGGGGGAAGGGAGTAAAAGGCCGAATGGCTGACCGTTGTGTGTGCTTTCCAGATGTTTTGCCTACTTGTGATGGCTTGGGGAGTGATGGGTAGATGATCGATGATATGGTGAGCGATTAATGTTTCGACTGTGCTGCGGAACTGGTGGGACTGCGTCTCCGGTATCATGTTACGTAGCTTGTTTCCTGAATTTAATCTCTGAGCTTAATACTACGGCTGCGGAGCGTAAGACGTGATGTATGCGCCGGCGATGCAAACGTGGACCTTCGGACAAGGGAGTGACGTTTTATTGCTACTTCTGTAAGAGGGTATCTATCTATTTGGTGTGAATATAAGTAAAGTCGTGAACTTGGAGAGTCTATCTAAGATGTCATAGCGCAAACAAACGACGTAATCATCAAGCCCACTTGCCCAACAAGCTCATCAACGCCATGCCCAGGACCAAAGAGCCCATACCGACAGCGCTCCTGATGGGTCCAGCGTGAAGCAAGTTGCCCTGCATCCAGTCTCTGGCCAACATCTCCACGATGCCGACCCAGGCTAAGATTCCCGCACTAAGGGCATCCAATGTTCCGATGGCGATGAGGGTCGATGGGTCGTTGCCGTTGAACTGATCTAGGACGCCGATTCCGATGGCCATTCCGACAGGAGTGACCAACGCAAAGACAGAGCCCATAGTCAATTTAGACATGAAGGAAGCAGCAGAGGAAGGCAAAGCAGCGATGCAGGTTCCGAGTGCTAGACCCTCAAACATTTGGTGGAAAAGTATGACGACGAAGAGGATTTTGAAGAATGAATCTCCAGCCACGACAAGTGTGATACCAATGAGAAGCGAGTGGAATATTATACCGGCTTCCAGGACGAGAACGTTGAGCTTGTCCTCGCCGTTGCCGTGTACGTGAAGATGCTCGCCGTTTTCACTGTTAGCCGCGCTGACTGGCGTTGAGGTCTTCGACTCTGGATGCACGGCGACGGGAGCCTCAGAATCAGCTGGTGTAGATCGGCCCTGGCGACGGAGCACGATGCGCGCGCCCAGATAGTCGACCAAGAAAGAGAGGAAGAGTCCGGCAAGAAAGACGGCAGCCGTTGTGCCCTCGTACTCGAGCTCGCCAAGGCAATCATTCCCAAACATGAGAGCAGCATGTGTGAAGAGCTGAACATTATAAGCATACGTATTGTAATATAGGCTGGAAATACTTTCTCACATGAATAAAAGCGGTGGAGAGAATGACACCAGTTCCAAATTGCTTCAAGATCACGAAAAGAATGTTTTTCTGTGACATTCGCGTAAACTTGGTGAGCAGTATGGGGCTGAACACGCCGATAGCACTGGTCGCAAGAATGACGAAAAGCAGTCCAACGCGGAGGCCCTTGTTGTATTCCCGATCTGTGCGATTGCAGGATGCCACGGCACCGCCAACGCAATGTCTGTTTATGTTAGAACACCGACATAACCAAGCAAAGACATGTGAACCACTCACTCTACGCCCGCATGGAAGTGACAATTTGCCTCTCCGGTCGAAGGCTCCTCTTCGGCTGCCTCGGATTCATCGTCGGTGCAATGCCTGGGCGAAGTTAGATCGCGAAAATCTGTAAAGAGGCGCATCGATCACTTACTCGACATCGCCATGAAAATGACAGTGTTTTTCTCCGTGTGCGCCTTCGGACTCGTGATCGTGATCATGCTCCTCATGCTCGTCATGCTCGCCTTCACCAGAAGATTCACCAACAACTTCGACTTCTTCTCCATTAGCTTTCCGACAGAATCTGCCAATAGTTAGTTCACTTGAATTTCATAGTACCGCCAAGCCGGGTGCACAATATGGCGCGCATAATCTCATGCAGTGTGCTATGGAAGGAGCGGGGTGTCTTATCACTCACATCTCTGGTCCGTGTGCATGACAGCCCGTATATTGAGGCTCCATCTGCTCGGTCTTGGTGGGACCAACGATTTCGTACTCGGCAGTACCCGCCATGCAGAACCTGATTTTGTCAGTACAACGATATCGACCAATGCGCCAACAAAGGAACACTCACTGTACAGAGCCATGGGGATGGCAGTCTGTGACCGCCGTGAAAGTCTCAGTGGCAGCTTTGGTTACTGTCGTTGTGGGTGGTGGAGTCGTGGTTTGAGCGACAACCAGTGTGAGCGACACAAGCGCCATCGCAACGATGGAGGGAATTCCAGAAGAGCGCATCTTGGTGTTGGCGAGATAAATCTGACTTCCCAGTGAAAGTGAGGCCTGGATGGAAAAATAGGTCAACTCGCGACTTTTTATACCACGTCCAAAGAAGAACTTTGAAGGTATCACCAGAAAAACCACAGCGCTGGAATGAATCAGAGAAAAAAAAGTCCACGAAGTAAGTTTGTTTCGAGGTAGTAAGACGGCGTTGACGAAAGAAGCGGAAACGAGCACCTTGATGTCCTCGGGGATTCTTGTCGTTCTTGGCATATTTCGACACGGCCAGATCATCCGACATCATCCCCCATATATTTCTTTTCTCGGCGCAGGTCGAGCGGGAATATGTTTACTTTTGTGGGTTCGAATTCTTCTGCGTCTTGGAAACATGTCATTGCACTTGGAGAAGCTCTAATGTTCTTCCGCGCTCGTCTTGGCGTTTCGCCTTGGCAGTGGAATGATGAACAACAACGGGAGCATCGTCAAGTGGGTCGACGTAGTGCATTCGCCATTCTAAGCGGAAGAACTATTGCTGACACAAACGACTACCATATGGCTTGTATGTACGAACGCTATACCAAGACATAGCTGTGCGGGGCGTGGAAAGATCCAGCAAGGCTCGCTCGTCCAACACAGTACTCGGGAGCCGCCACCTTCCTCATCCTCTTCAGTCTTTTCTACGAGATCAAGTACATTTGCTCTTGGCGGTGGCTGGGAATTTGAAGCCAGAGTCAGATTGAGTCTACTTCCTGTTGGTGTGTGGTGCTGTTGGGCTACTAGAACCCGAACCCCATGTCAAGGAGTGAGAACTCTGCGCTGATCTAGCCATCCATGCACCGAGAAGACCAGTGGTGAACCTGGCGTGACCAATGGAGCATACAATCACATACGTCAAAGAGGCTTTTCCAGAAAAACTGTATCGCCCATCCCGTTGAGCCCATCGGCAGCTCTGACTAGAATCGTGCATATAAAAGACACTTCGATTCTGCACCTTGTACCTGCAGTCAGGAACTTACAAATTCCCTAGAACCTCACAAGCGTGCTATAACCTTTCTTGTCAGCCTGCTCGATCAATCAAATGGCTCCCTCATCCACCCTCGTCTCTCTCCTTTTCGCCTCTGGCGCATTAGCATCCCCAGCCCTTTACCGTCGTCAGGATGCGGTGACTGTCACCCAAACTGTGACAGGTTCCTCTCCAGGAGCTACTCCCTGGAATTTGGGCGCTGTGAACGAGTTCCCTATCCACTCCTCGTGCAACAACACCGAAGCAGCCCAAATCAAGCGAGGTCTGGATGAGACGCTCACCCTTGTCAACCATGCGCGCGATCACATCCTTCGATGGGGCAATACTTCCGATATTTACCAGAAGTATTTCGGCAATGCCAGCACTGGTGAGCCCTTGGGATGGTTCACCAAGATTGCTAGCGGAGACAAGGCAGGTGTACTGTTCCGCTGTGACAACCCCGACAAGAACTGCGAACAAGAAGGTACGTCCGAATACTATCCCTATATTCCTTCACAAGTTATTAACATCCTTTAGGTTGGGCTGGTCACTGGCGAGGCGAGAACGCCACTTCAGAGACTGTCATCTGCCCTCTTTCTTACGAGACACGCAAGTCTCTTGACGGCATGTGCGGTTTCGGCTACGACGTTGCCAACGGCGCGACCAACTTCTACTGGGCGTCCGACCTGCTCCATCGTCTCCTTCACGTCCCTAAGGTCGGCGAGGGGGTTGTTGAGCACTACGCCGGTGAATATGACGAGGTTCTTGAACTTGCCGAGAGCAACTCCGCCGAGGCTGTGCGAAACAGCGATACTCTTCAGTACTTCGCCCTTGAAGCATATGCTTACGACATTGCTCTCCCTGGCGAAGGTTGCGCTGGAAAGTTGCAGGTCTCCAGCTCTTCCTCTGCTGCCGCTGCGCCCAGCTCAGCTGCTTCGAGCGCCGCACCTGCACCTGCCAGCACAACTCCGAGCGCAACCACGGCTCAAGCCCCTTCAACTCCCGCGAGCGCACCATCGGTAAGTCAGAACATTTTCAGGGACCGCTAGAGCTCAAAACTGACATTTTACAGGAGTGTCACACCCACTCGAACGGAGTTGTTCACTGCTCTTAGATTGGCGAGGGGAGATTTGTATATGATACCACGACTTCATACCTATGAGGGGAAAAGCAACGACCTAAATAATGGAAAGGATACTACTTAGACAGACCACTCACTAATTCAATCACTTCTAATGACACGCTCACCCAAGCGGAACGGAACATCAGTTACTGCTATTTCACAAAATTCATTTTGGAATGATCGTGACGAGGTTCATATAACCTCAATCCCGAGCTGTGGTTGAAGTGTGACTTGCATACGCCGAATACCGAAATATCGGATCCTGACTATGTGCAACATGATCTGAAACAGCAGGGTGACCTGCAGCTAGTATTTCCCGCCATTTCCCTTGCACAAGATCCGACCACATGGTCAACCGTAGTAGACTTAAGTAGCCACCCGTCATCATGATTTAATTGAATAAATCAGAGCCGATCGAAAGATCACCCTCATTGCCCTCCTACCCCATCCCCAGATAACAGCACAAAATCCCTCCAAATCACCGGTGAACAACCGCCACAACCTCGCACTCATACATCAACTCCTTTGTCGCCAGCGCCGGAACTCCCAAAACCGTATCAGGAGGTCGATGCCCGTCCCCCTCTTTATCCATAAACTCCATCCACATCCTCCCCCACACCCTCGTCAGTTCCTCTTCGCTCTCGACCCCAACTCTCCCCGTATCCTTGACGATATAGTGTCGCACGAATATGATATCGCGGGGCGTGGCGTTGGCGGCGCGAAGCCCATTGAGCACATTTTCGTACGCGAGAACGACTTGCGATTCGAAGGAGGAGGGGACGGTGTGGGTTGTGGGTGAGAGACCGACTTGCCCGGCGAGGGTGATGAGATGCGAGGTCGGGAGGAGCGGGGTTATGGAGAGTTGGGAGTAGGTTGGGGGTGGGGTTGGTATTGTGGAGGGGTTGAGGGTTTGGGGTTTGTTGCTATCCGCGCTCTCGGGGGCCATTGTTACGTTGGAATCTGATGAAGATCGGAGGATTGTCTGAGACGATGAGTATGTAGAGGATATGAGATCAGTTTCACTGGTTCTTGGGAGTGCGTGTATGAGCTGATGGTGGATTTATGGTGTTTTGAAGGGGTAGTAACGCTACAGCTACCCCTCCTCTTGGCCTACAGATAGACATGCGGCGATCAAGCTACCCCATGTCGTTCTTTTTTAGCCTACCGTTTGTAATGAAATAGTCTACCTTAGCTGTATACCCTTGTCTGGCATTAGCTGTGTTGCGATAGGCAAGCTACTGGTTCATCAGAATTTGAAACTCTATTATATGATCTGTCGTTCATGATTGGACAACATCGTCTGCATGGTACCTGGTGATTTCAAGATATATGTTGTTGTAGAACAGAAAGGAGGTCGCACTTCCCGAATGAACAGATTGAAAGCCGCTCAAGTCACCGACTCCGCAAACAACGCAAACTTTCATGCTTCGCCAGCCCACTGTATGATTCTCGCCCAAACTGCAATACCATCATGTGGGCGGTTTATCTTGCTATCCAATACTTCAATCTCTTCTTCGGATTGGCCTTTGTACTTTGGTGTATCCTCCAACAATAGCTTTGACAACTCTGCGGACATCTCCGGATGACCCTGGAATGTGAGAATGGTGTTGGCCGCATTAACCAGACACTGATTGTTTTCCGCTAAAGCGACGAATCCCTTTCCAGGGACTTTTACCTCACGTTCATGGAACTGATGAATCCTCAACTCATCATTCGATGGGAAGCTACCAGAGTAGAAAGCGGAGCCCTCATGGGTCAGTGTAACAGGCGTCACGCCCACCTAAGCCGCAGTATCAGCGTATAGAGGCCGATTATCTCTAGTACACGAAATTACAAACCTCAAACTCATTCATAGAGCCAACGGTACCTCCAAAAGTAATATGAGTCAGCTGATGGCCCCAACAGACTCCAACAATTTTTTGCATTGGAGACTTGTCGACTGTCGCTCTCAAAAATTCTTGCATTTTGAGCAACCATGGGATATCCTTCGCCGCTGCGTCTGCAACGTTTCCTCCCGTGAGAACAATCAAGTCGTATTCTCCGATTTCGGGGTAAATTTGGGTCTTTATCGGGTCGAAGAAGTCGACTTGTGCATCGCGGCTGGCTGTGGTGATGTTTTCTTGGAATGCATTTTTGAAAGCCGGATCAAGCGACGAGATGCTGTTCACTAGCACTGCCGCTTTGAATATCCGTTTGGTAGTCATGGTTGGGGTCCGTAAAAATATTGATAATTGTCGATAGTGTGAAGAGTTGAGTTTATATGCGATAATGTATGTTACTCCGCGTCACTCCGAACAGATTTGCTTGCTTATCCATCAATACTCCGATGGAACACTCCGAAACATCTTGTGCAATCAATCGCCGAATATGAATGAGAAAGAATTAGAATGCAGATTCGCGTCTAAGTATCTACTCATGCTGAATATGCGTGGTGAACTGGAGATATCATGTCATTCAGGCGGTCGTGTATCATCATAATACGTGATGATGTTGTCGCTGTTGCATCTTGAAGTACCCCAACATATGATTAAAGGATTAATTCATGTCTTTACAGAAATTTGTCTCACGTCACACTGATATATTATACTCTCTGTATTGACTGTAGGGGGTGTGTATCTGTTCCAATTTCCCCAATTCAAGATTCCTAACCAGTAGCAAGGCCGTTACTAAAAACCCGAAACACAATCCTGGCACCCAATGCCGGAGCTTCACTCTCCAACAAAAGAAAACAGGAAGGGATCTCTAGACACTGTCTGTTATCCATATCGAGGCTCATACTCTATGGTAACGCGCTGGTTCTGCCTCTCAAACTTCCGAGAAAGGTAGTAATGGAGCAGTCCGAGAAGGATCTCAGGCCTACCAACCTTGATTCTTCTACGATATTCATCGATGTCGTAGTACAGAAACTTCAAGTACACCAGTTTCTGACAGTTTAAGATGTAGTCAAAATCGAAGTAGTTCAAGAAGTCTTGGATGCTCACGACTTCGCGTTCATCTTGCGGGACGTACTTGATTCCCCGTGCCGCCAACCCCACGTTATCGATGAGCATCGACCTGGTGATACTGTCGTTGTCAAAGCTCATAGACAGGTGGGTGAGATTGGGAAATTTGCGCAGGAGATTGAGGTACCCGTTTCCTTTGCTTTTGCTTTTCGTTTGATCGTACTTGTACAATCCCGTCAGCGAGATGCTAGTGACTGCGGCGTCGAACCCCTGAGGGCTGCCCTGACGGCAGAGAGTGCGCATTTTCTCAACGTCATCCGGTTCCGCGAGAACAAAAGTCTTCTTCGAAACTGGGATTCGATCATTGTCGCGCAATTCGTTTTCGGCCGCCGTACTAAACAAGGCACCTGGAGCACTGAAGCCGTGACGAGCAGGGTCCAGGTTCTTGACCATGATGAGGCTGTTGGATGGAGTGGGTGGGTTGGCGAGGGCAGGGTCTTTTGAACGCACGGTAAGATACTGAATCGGAAAGTAGGGGGAAGTAGTACGGTAAATAGAGGCGGGAAGAACATTCCCGAGAGCTTGATAGGCTCTGCAACAGAGTACTTACTATTTTGAGCGCCGGCAGTATTGGTATTAGACATGTTGGTGAGAATTCGGGTCTTTGGTGTGATTTTGGGATTGATACGTATAGAATGACTGAATGTAATCAGATCGTTCGCCGGTGTGGTGTTATGGGCTAACGGTCGGCTGACTGGATGTTAGGTAAAGTGTCTGTTGTAGTTTTAGGGATAGACTCCATAGGAGCAGTGCAAACAGTCTTTTATATGGTTCCTTAGGAGTCAAATTCAAGCACAGACCGAGAGATAGTACAGTCACTTTACAACGAGGTGTGAATCGACCTTGCGCTGCCGCTTGAATACAAGGTGAACTGATACACGGCTTGCCGACACGAGGTGACTCGAGAGTAAGCTGGGAATACAGTAATACGTCAAAAGTTGGACATATCCTCGGAATCCCGCCCAACTCACAACCCCACACGCCTTTCCAAAGATTTGTCCTGACTATTGGCATGGTACAATAGTACTGCGTCACTCTAATGAGTGACTCTGAGTTTATTTCTTATACGGACTTCTAGGGGCTCTCCTATAAAATGATATTTCGAGTTACTATCACGTTCCACTGACTGCTCGAGTGTACCCAACTATACAGCACTAGGGGTTCGCACACGTGTCGTTGTACCGCGTCAAAGCTCTTAGAACAACTTGGAAACTTTCACATTCGAAAATCCCGAACTTCGCGCAGCGTCGGCCTGGGCGAACGGGGGCACCTAGAAAAGCCCCTTGATCTCTTTGCTTTCTTGCAAGGCTGTGATCATTTATGTCATTTGCAATCAAGAAAATCCAGGGTCAGTCACTGTTGTGATCATATAGGGTGGTATATATCACAGCGGTTCCCGGATTGCCATAGAACTGTAGCTTTTCTTCAGCAAAGGGCAATATTTCCAACAGTTTTTCGAGCAGCCCCATTAGTATGCCGCTTGTTCAACGATTCTTATGCACCGCGGTCCAAAAAGAATCTTCATAGATATTCTGCCTGTGCTTTCAACTGCTTTTCATTTCAGGTAAAGTTGCTATGACTCAATCATGTCGCTGAAGCCCGTTGCACGCACACCTTCCAGGTCGCATAGAAGATATAAGCAATATTTTAAGCTTGTAGCACAAATTATATGACATCTGCCGCGGCTTAGTGCTACATGACACCCTCGCTGACAGTGCCATTACGCGCCATATTCTTCAGCTCCTTCGCAATTACGACCCCAACATCGTGCGCCGGAATCCCATGCATGATGCTGTCTTCTAAGATCTTGTTGGACTTCATTTCTTGATTGTTATGACTATGAAAACCATGCGTTGGCGAGCGAGTGAATTTGTCATATATATCCAAATTCAAGCTGCTGGTCATAAACATTTGCAGAAATACAAGAAACTTTTCTTAACATATTTGAGGTCGTGTTCGCAAAACTTTTAGAACATTTCATTGACTAGATCATTACTACAGAATACTTATGGCTTGACATCTTTCAGAGATTGCGAGTAGTTGCAAAGTACTCTCATGGTTATGGCAATTTGCGTTAGACAAATACAATATGTAGTTTCTGCAGCGATGGCGAACAATTTCTAGAAGCAACCATATTAAATACATCTCTGTGAAAGTAATTTCGAGTGAGGTTCCGACAAAGTAACTCTATGAATATAAATTTAACAGTGCAAAATATACCAGAATATCAAACTAATCTCTACAAAAGAATGTAACCGAATCTACGATCCACATATGCCTGCACTAAAGAAACGTTCAGATGATATCTCCCAATGACATACATTAGATTCAGATAGAAAGGGAACCAGTCCCATTCGAGACTTGAATCAAGGTCCTTCGCTCCTCGTGGCCGAGATCATGACGTTGTGATGCGGGACGAGCCAAATCAGTCACTCCTCTCACTGTATCACTATGATCGAAACACTGGGTCGACTTATCCTCTCGCACTCTGCTTGAAACCATAGGCGCATATGCCTCTCAAATACCTTCGATAAGTCCTCCTCCGGGGAGTTCCTTCGCATTTGCCCCACGTCCCAACACACAAACACCAGAAACTTCAATTTCGAACACTGTAACACGTTCGCCAGCCCATAGAATGCCACCACAAATTCCGGGTTGATGACTTTCATGTTGTGTATCTCCGAGCCTCTACCAGTTCGCACCATTTCCTGTCTTTCTTGCTCGTTGTTACCGCGCTGTTATTAGGCCTCCGCTGTGGATACGTAGTGCCAACTGTATGAGATTGGGACAGCGAGCTGCGGACATGAGGTCCCCGAGTGGAATAAAGTCCTGAAGGGTTCCGGTGAAAGTTTTCGATAAGTGGTATTCTAGAGCCGTGACCGCATATCGGAATTCCGGGAGGTCGTCGTTGGCGAGGAGGGTTTCAAAGTAGGAGAGTGCGCGTCCGCCATTCACGAGGATGAGTCTTGAGGCGACGTAGTTGAGCATGCCGATGCGCCAAGGTATTTTCTCCTCATCAGTACTGCATCTGTGGAATGGGTCGACGAGGGCCTCAGAAATTACATGAAAAGGGGTGACTCGTTCTTGACTTCGGGACTGGGAGATGACTCTAAGGTCCATTGCGTGTCTTGGAAATGCTCTGCGGTCCATGACTAGTGGAATTAAGTTACTATAGATGTAGTTTGGGGAAAAGGGGAAACAAACCATCGTCTGCGGGTGTGTAGAGAGCCATTTTGATGGGGTTGTGAGCCTCAATGGATTGATTGGTATAGAATGATAGAAAAAGAATATTTACAAAGGAATATGCAGAGAAGATTGAGTGAGTTTATTTTCCCAAAATTATGGTTGGATGTAATGAGAGACTCGTCAAAGTCATCTTCCTTTATACATATGCTCTCTCCCCTTGACTCAGCCATTCACATCCACCTCAGTCTCGATAATCACGTTTGTGCAAATCTCATACACCTTCCTGGCCACGCACCTTCCTGATCACACTCCCCCACCCATTGCTGCAATCAATCTGTGACCGCTTCTAGTTACGCAAAGCATGTTGATGAAGCTACCAAGGGCGAGTGACCACCCAAGTGACTCATATCAGCATCTTCGTCTACTGCAAAGGTGAAATGAACTGGCCAGCTTTTGTGATCGATTGCGTGAGAAGGGAGACTACATGCGGCAAAAGGGCAAGTTGTGATACACTTCTCATGACTGAAGTCAGCGGTGGGGCGGCACTGTCTATGTAAATGCGAAGAATAGCTGGGAGAGTATACACCTGCTACTCAACTTGGCACAATGTGGTACGGCAGAGGTTGAAGTTTAGCGTAAGCTGAAGCCACTGGGAGAAACATGCAATTTTAAATTATATGTAGCCCATAGGCGTACACTGAAGTACAGAGCACGGGTAAGTAGAAGACTGACACTAAAAAGACGGGCGGGCAAGATTACCAAACCTAGGGAAACATGTGCGTAACGTTGGCTGTGCGACACGAACTTGATAGCGTTGTTCCGGGTCTATTGATCGCGTTGTTGAAACATCTACTGAAGAAGTTTATAGATAGGGAAGGATAGCGCGAGTACCGCGAGAACGGCATATTCACCATTGCCCAATACACAACGGTAAATAGAGTAACAGGGTCTGTAAGTCTGATCTGTTTGACTTGGTAGCCAGATGCCCGATGTGTGGTTCTCATATTAGATTGCTCATGAGGCAGACAGTGAGACACGGCTTCCTGCTATCTTGGGAGCTCTCGGAACTGCAAATGGAGTCAATCGGCGGGCATTGGCTCCTCACCCGCGGTATCTAGAATAATTCGAGATTTGCAAGAAAGGCTTGAGCTAACGCTGCACTTTGCGGAAAGATTGTGTAGTTGAAGCGTAGTCGCAGAATCGGAGAGTCCAGTTGTGATTATCAGATGCTGGGACAAATTTACAGTGAGACAGGGTATTCATTGGCTCGTATCCGCACGGGAAAACGAAGAAGCCCGCGGATTGGGAGTAAAGAATATTTGTTTGTGCCACGATTACCTCGCATTGTGAAAGGTGAACAGGCAAGGTTACTCAACAAATGTAGAGCAAAAGCAACAGTAGGGGCGGCAGGGGTGTATGCAGGCTAATGTGATGAGAATGACGTCATCATAGAAAAGCCACGAAGAAGAGATTGACTCGATGGGAATTGCGTCTCTGCAGGCGTGCATTTTTTTTTTGCGGTCTGTAGATCGGAGTAGGAGTTCGGCATTGAGACGGTGTTGGCAAGTTGGCAAGTTGGAGTTGATGAAGTTGAGATGGTGCTGAGTCAGCATTGCCCGACGAGGTCATTGGCCTATCACAGGCGATTGTCAGCCTTCAGCCTCCCGGGCTGGCTCGTATTCGAGATGCGACAGCCGCTTGGATCTGCGACAGAGGCCTGATTCTTCGTTTCGGGATCCAGATGATGCCTTTCCCCATGGATTCTTTCCCGATCCCGGTCCCTCTTTTCTGTACCTTCTCCCCGCCTTTCTTTTGAACTTCCCTCTGTTCTCCCAAATAATCTCTTCATACCCTGGTCCGCGGGGCTCCTTTGTCGCGAACCATGCCCCCTTCAACCCGTGCCTCGAGGGATTCGTATGAAGGCACCGCTCTACTCTCCCCCCAACACGCCGCCGAATCCCCCACGTTATCGCCCCCGTTGTCCTTTCCGCCGCCCACGGAGAAGAGGGAGAAGCCATGGATCTTCCTCGTCGGTCTCCTGTTCTTCATGGTTGCTGTCATCGACATCGGTGACTACATGTCCGACGCCCCCAAGACGCGCGTGTTTGAGTCCAACATCTGTCTCGACTACTACAGGACAAATGACCCTTCCCAGATCGGCCCCGACGGCTACGTACCCGAAAAGCTGTGCAAGATTGATGAGGTACAACAGAAGCTGGCTATGATCTTCGGTTGGCAGGACACATTCGATGCTATTCCGGGGATGCTACTCGCTGTGCCATTCGGTGCACTGGCCGACAAATGGGGCAGGAAATGGATTTTAGCTACGTCTTTGGTGGGATTGCAGCTGAAAGCTTCTTGGGTCTTGCTCATTGGCTATTTTCAGAGCTTGCCTTTGCAGTTGACTTGGTTCTCGTCCGCCTTCTACATAATTGGGGGTGGGCCTATTGTCGCTGTCGCCGTCGCCATGACTATGGTATCGGATGTGTGCCCCCCGGATAAGCGGACCACCATCTTTCTCTACCTGACCGCTGCTGTTCTCTTGGGCGAAATGGTCTCCCCGATCATATCCTCCCGTTTGATGGAACACGGAAATTGGTTACCTCTTCTCCTGGCCCTGGGCATTCAATTCATAGGAGCCCTGGCCGCCGTCATCTGTCCTGAGACGTTGCATATGCAGGACCTTCCGGAACCTACCGACGACGACGAGACTGATAGCATCGAGCTACAGTCCAAGAAAGAGAGCTCGGGCATTAAGACCCACCTCGGTCACTTCAAAACGGCGTTTCTTTTCCTCAAGAGCGACACTACCCTCATGCTGGTCGTTCTCACTTTCCTAGGGAACCGACTTGGCCGGAACGGCATGACCTTGTTGATTAGATATGCTTCGAAGCGATATGGCTGGGAGATCAAAAAGGTGAGGACACATGCTTAGTACCCCCGCTATCCAGCTTCTAACCAACAATAGGCTGCCTATCTCGTTTCGTTTCGCGCTGCCACGAACCTCGTATCGGTGACCATCTTTATCCCTACCGTGAATTTCATACTCCTCAAATACATCCGCCTCCCACCACACTGGGCAGACATGTACCTGGCTCGGGGCTCTGTCATCCTCACAGCTGCATCCTTCTTCATCATGGCCGTGGCATTCCAGCCTGCTCTGCTCATTATCGGCCTTCTTGTCTACAATCTCGGCACTGGTTACAGCGCGGCAATGCGCTCCATCGCAATTCACGTCGTGGGCGGCCAAACCAGTCCGGATGTGGGCAAGCTGATGAGTCTGCTCGCCATCACGGAAAGTATTGGTCTTATGCTGTCTGGACCGCTCTTGAACAGCATGTTTCAGTGGGGTATGGATATGGGGTCTATGTGGCTCGGTCTGCCTTTCCTGACTGTGTCTTTCATGTTCTGCCTTGTGACATTACTTACATATCTGATACGTATCGGGAACAAAGATGTGGAATATGTGGAAGTCGCAGGCGATGAGGAGGAGGAGGATGCAGCGGTTACGAACGGAACAATGAGATCAACTTCGCCACGCGGGTTGGGTCCGCAACGCACTGCCTGAGCACTTTTGTCGGGGTGTGGAACCCTCCAAGAAAAACTCCATCGAGTAGATCAAGCGGCACTGGGACGCCTCGTTTTTCCACGCCGCGACGCTCTAGCCCTCAACACCGCCACCACACTTATGGACGAGGGCCGAATGAACATTGCCCGAGTCGAATCCGCCCGCAAGTGAATCCCGACCCGATTTCGGGTGAGCTACGTCCGCGATCGAGGCTGCTTGATGGGCAGAGATTCTCTGCGTGACTAGGCATTGAATTGAAACAAACTTGGTTGGGCCATATTAGTCTTGTTTGCTCTATCCCTTTGGGCAATGCGCGCGTACACCGGTGCCCAGTGTGGAGAGCTTGGCTGGGAAGAATCGGAGAGGGTATAGATTGACAGACTGCACTCAGATGTGCGTGTCGATGCTGTCCGCAGGTCAGTCGAGACGTTGCCTGCTTGAGGGCTCCATTACTCTTTGCCATGCGATCATCTAGCTTGTGCTCTTGCATGGCCGCTTCCTCTGACCCTACGATAACATGCCTCTCGCGCATCCTCACTATACATAATCACTTACCTAGTAACTGAGTCTGTATCTGGCTCAAAACGAATAAGCATCTTCATTTCACTTCAATGTTACTGATCTTCTATCTGCACATGAAACCCTGCTGCGTTGACACGACACATGCAGTCTTTTGCACGGCTGCATGATAACTCGATTACTAGGCAATAACGACCTGAATGCAACGGGAGGCTATGGCTTCCGCCAGATTTTCATCGTCATCGTCACGGAAGAGGCTCGGCACTTACGGAAGCTGCGACGAGGCGCGGAAGGTGCTATCAGAGGAAGCTGCAACTGCAACACTGCTATCTGGCGCCGGCTCTCAAAGCGATGTCAACTCTCCCCCTTTATCCCCGGTATGACAATTATCGTATTTGGTTGTTTTGGACCCCAGAGCATCTTGTCTACTACGCTTGATACGCCAGGTAATACCTTTTACCCACGCTACATTTAATCAACCGTGGCTAGTCTTATCAGCCGCCGCCCTCGTGATGCTTGCTCGCTCGGGGAGTGATGCAGGCAACCGGCTTCGACGATCCAAATCCACCTCGACTGTTCAGCGGCAGATAGTCACCATTCCCGAGCCCCTAGACTATCCCGCACTTGCCCAGCAGCATGCTCTAGCCGCTGCCACCACCGCCTTCGCTCGAGCACACGACAACGCGGCCATGGACCGGCTGAACATTGGCACCTCTCATCTGGATCGGACCAAGAGCACTTCTAGCCGCAAATCCATCTCCTCTCAGGGCAGTCACTTCCCCCCTCGCGGCTCGAGCTTTCGATCTACGCACAATGCGCATCGCCAGCAGACGTCGAACGTGCAGCGCCAAAGCCAGGGAGCCATGCCGATTGAGTCCTTCCCAGCATTCTACCCGACTCCTGCCGTCGAACGTCCTCACTCTGCCCAGCCGTCCATCTTGTTAAACGAGAACATGCGCCCGGGTTCGCAGCTCAACTCTCAACGACGAAGTGCCGCTTCTTCCATCACTTCTCAGCAAATCCGCAAAGCAAGATCAATGTATTATGCGAGTAGTGTTCAAACGGGATCACCCATCGCTCGTCCTCCTACCAAGTATCTCGTCAACCCTCCCCTCGCAAATATGATACCTGATCCGCTAGCGCCAGTTTCGGCAACACACAATCGCCCTCTGACTCCATTGCCTATGGCCACTTCGCGAGCCCCGCAGATACCCGTTGAAATTGCACCTGGCGAAACTATTGACAGGGCGAGAGACAAGTATCTGCAAACATTTCAGCAACGGCAAACAAAGCACAAGCCGTCTCTATTCCTGGCCCCTTTCAAGAAGAGGCAGGAAAAGACCAAATCAAAAGACAGGCCGGTATCTGCTGGTCTAGTATCCGTTTCGTCGGTCTGGAGGCAGAATCCCGGAGAAATACTGCTCGAGTCACTTGACGACTTTGGCATGCCGAAGCAGAAGAAGGAGAAAAGGTCGTTCTCTGGCTCCATCAAAAATAAGATCAAAAAGGTCTTTCGGCGTACTTCTCATTCGTCGACAGAGGCGCCTGCTCAACATGCCAATACAAGCCGGGACTATTCTAGCTATATGCCAGCCCAGCGCGAGTCTTCGTATATTCCCGAACCCAACTTTGAGATACCCAGCCCCGACGACTTGACTTTGACGCGTATGAGGTCACGTACGCCAGCACTGGAGCGCGCACCATCGCCCTTCGTCCGAGCTGTATCCCGGGGCAGCAATACGAGTGGGGGCAGCACTCGTAGTCTGCATAGCGAGCAAAATCTCACACATACATCGTCTCGTGTAACTAGCTGGAACGATTCATCAGCTAGTGGTACTCTCACACAGCGCGAAATCAAGCGTCTAACAGTAATTCATGAGGCGAAAGATAGCATTGGAAGTGATGCTGACGGCACACTCATTGCCTCCCCCAAAGAGAAGGTACTTCCCCCTCCAGCCTCCGGGGCTTTTACGCAACCAGCGCTGGTGGAAAGTCTGTTGGACACATCGTCGACCCCGGTTGACCCGAAGCGTGTTTTCTCGACCTTAATGAAAGAAATTGATGCTTCGAAGCCTTTGCCGGTTTCTACTACAACTTCCGACGGCTCGCCTAGTACAGAAAGCGATATTTTCGAATCGAGTGCGACCAAGGAGCTCCATGTTGTCGCACAGAGGGACGTGCACTCCAGTGGAAGCAGAAGCTTCCGTCCTAGCATGAGTAGCGACCAGCCTTTCCAACGGCCAGCTACTGCCAAAAGCAAATCGAGCTCCATCAGATCGTTCAGTAAGATACTCCGTTCTACGATCCGCACTGTTACGCCCAGCGAGCGTAAAGTATCCGACAAACCCGAGCGCACGGAAAGTATACGTGGGGCGGTTCGGGTCCCACGACCGAGTACGGCCACTTCTTCTGAAAGTGACGCTTCCCAGGGTATTGACCAAGTAGTCAATCTTGCTGCTATGCGTGGCAATCCACTCAGGTGAGCCACCTCTACTCCTGTTGCATTTTATGTCTTGCCATCAATTCTGTCAGACCAAAAAAACGCCGCTGTTGAAAGGGGGCTAATATCTTCGCAGTCATTCCTGTTCGCAAACAATCACGCATGAGCCCCAAACTTCGAGGCCGTCAGCGGAACAGATCCATCGACGAATCGCGAGGTCCAAAGATCGCTGGAAATCTCAATTGGATGAGCACATGCCCAATCGTACACTCTACGACGAACATCAACCTTACGAGCACTCCAAAACCATTGCACAAACTATCACCGTTACTCCCAAGTCTACTAACAGCATTCATCTGCCCATGGAAAAGGTAGGTGACTCTCAGAAATCAAGCCAGGAGCAAGTTACACCTGTCCATGCATCCCAAAAATCACCTACATCACGACAGCTCTTATCTCCCTTATCACCAAGCGTCTACTCTCGCAACACAGATGGCATGAGTATACTGCCCAACGATAGTATATTGTCTTTCGAAGAAGCCAGAGGCAGCGAGGGAGGTTCGGCTATCATTTCGCATAGTCGCTCAGTGAGAAGCTACGCAATCGGAACCCCCTCACCCCAGCGTGCCAGTGACTCGACCCATTCGAGCAGAGACTGGAAAGCTTGGCTTTCACATGAAGTTTCGGAGCTCACCGCTAGTTCCAGTGAAGATATCGCCATTAACGAAAGCTACGTTCCTTCGACTGGACACCAACGTGAACTCACACAAATTGATGACGACAGCATGACAGTAGTGAGGGCATCTATGGATATGCCGACCCCACGTCAAGACCCAATCCGTAGTGTAAACACCTCCAGTTCATTCGGAGATCGAAAGATACCTTTCAAACAAAATGACCACCCTGCTAGCGACCGTGAACCACCCGCTACTCCAGGAACAGCGAATTTACCTGCGAAAAGTCTCACACTCATTACTAAGACACTATCGCCCGTACATAGCGGAAACTCGTCAGGATCTGCTTCTCCCAGTGGCAGTACACCGAGGTCGTCCAGAATGAATGAACGGTTCCCCTTCATTGAAACCGGTCGTCGCTCTAGCAGTTTTAGTGCTAGAATGTCTCGCATCGCCGGGACCCCTCCTGATGGTAGTCCAGGGTCATCGATGAAATCCAAAGCCGGCACGCCACCATCAAGGATCTACACCGATATATCAGCCCCTGGAAGCAACAGAACAATTGTGCACGAGTCGCAATCACGACCCTCTAAGCCCGGGGAGCCTGCAAACATTTCAACAACGTGCAAGGAGAATCTGACTCCCACCTCATCCAAACTCAAATTTGGAGATCTGCCCTCAACTCCAAAGGTTCAATTTTCGCCAGCGAACATGTCGCGCCCCAGGTCTATGTTGCCGCTATCGTCTGCCACAATCAATCGGAACCCATCACCGGTCGCGAAGTATACAGTCAACCAGATGGAAACCCCCAAATCGAGCCCACTCTCCACTTTAGCCATTGATCCCCTGCGACGGCGGTTAAAGACAACATTGAGCCCTGCCTCGCCAGAGAAAGCAGTTCTTCGCCCCAAGAGCGCGTTCGATCTACGCAGCATGAAGTCCTCTGTTGTGCTCACACCTACAAAACTCAACAATCAAGTTGCTCCTACTAATATTGAGTCCAAGAACTTGGAGCCAACTAAACCTGTCGCTGATGGAGAGAAACCGAGTGGTCACAGGCGAGCCACATATCGCGTCAGTGCAATTGACAACGAGACTCTCCGCATGCTCATCGAGTCTCCCTGGGCAGTCTCCGGCGCGCCTTCGCCGCGGACCTCGCTCGATGCGACTTCGCAGGCCTTGCTTCCACGTTCCAAACGCCCGACCTTGAAGGGACCATCTGCTTTAGCTTTGAACAAGGAGCCGAGTCCTGGGGCCGAAGGGCGGATCATCGATACATTGCTTGACACTCAAGTAACGCCTCTTGACTTTGGTGGTGATGGCGGAAGAGCTACAGCAGGACAACGGATGGCGGAGAGATTTCTCAGAGAGAGAAGTGTAGGGAGAGGGAATGACTTTGAAGATAAAGGTACCAGTCCACGGGAGGGCAGCTTGAAGAGCGAGGGGCAAGGAGGGGGGAAATTGGAGAGAGAGGATACACCTGCTTTTCTTTGAATATCTTCCACTTTATTAGCGGTAATGGGGAGAATTGTGGCAAGGGATGAGTCAAAAAGGCAATCGCATTGCGTTGCAAGCGGCATTGCTTGTTTTGGAGGGTGTCGTGTCCATTTTCGTTTGTATGATTACCTTGGCGTTGCGCCTTTTCTTTGATTGTGGGATGGATGAAGCAAAATCGCTTTTCTTTTCTTGTATGGATTAGCAAAGCAACAGGATTGATGAGAACCGATATGGGGATTCAAAGAATTTTACTGGGCAGGATAGATCGGAGGGGAGGTTGTTCTGTGCTCGCTTTGGTGTCTGTCTAGTGTCAACAGCCGTAGTAACCTGTAACCCAAGCTAGTAGTATTCTGTTAATATTACGAACTTATTTTCTCGAAGTGTCTCTCGGTTCAGTTCTGATTTGTTTCTCACGTAGCATGTATTCGTAAAAGATGAGGGCACACTGAAGTGCATTGTGAGTGGATTGGAAATGCTTCACACTACATTGCCTCAGTTATGCAACGGAATCGCATTCATCAATCATTGAATCATTATTGAAACTCATGTCCTGAGTCCAAATCCTGGCGGGAGGCGTTTTTCGAAAACGGCATCAGCGTTACCAAAAACGAAAACCTCAAACGCCATTTACCACGCACGCCCAATCGCGTCATCAGCGGGAGATCAAGAAACTCGCCCACTTCAAGTATCATCCATATCTTCATCCCCGCCTCCATGGACTTCACCATCATCTTCTTCCTCGTCCTCTTCTTCCTCGTCCTCTTCTTCCTCATCCTCCTCATCCTCATCCTCATCTTCCACAACCATCTCCACGGGCCACTCAACACTCCACCCCTCTACCATCTTCACAATCCCCATCTTCACATCCTCCCCCTTGACCTCCTGCACCTGTTTCCTATCCTTCAAAAGAATTTGCACCCACGAGTTGTCGTACCAGAAACTCAGCCTTCCCACTTTCACGCTGTCCAACTTCAAGTTCTGGATCCCGTTCAACGCAAGAAGAAGAGCAGGCCAAGGGTGGTAGCGATGTTCTTTTCCCTCTTCGGTGTCCGTCCAGTAGGACGCAGGGTTATCGAGGAATTTGATTTCCCACAGACTAATGTTTTTGAGAGAGGAGGAGAGACGGTCGATTACGTGAAAGATGAGTCCAGGGTCGGCGAGGGTGAGTTTGCCGAAGTCGATGGTTGTTAGGGAGGGGAGGAAGGGGAGGAAGGGGGTTTGAGCTGGTGGGGATGAGGTGGGGGGTATGGGGTAGTTGATCATACTGGTTAGGAACCAAGTAGTTATTCCTCCTGTAGGGGTTTGGGTTAGGGTTTGTTTGTTTGTTTGTTCGGAGGATTTAGGAAGGTGGTGGGGGGAAAGTGGGTTGGCAAAGGAGAATATGTTATTGGGGCGGGACACGGGAGTCGACAAAAAAAGTGGACAATTCAGAGTTCTGGATTGGAATCCGTGGTATGGTACGATGTAACAGGACGTCGAACCCAGGTAAGGGGAAAAGGGAATTGGCAGATTGTGCAAGAAGCACTGTAGAACTTACCACCGTCGGCAAATGAATCGTTGATTCGTAGGTGTTTCAAGTTTTTGGCGTGGGACAGGAACTCGATCGCCAGGGGGATCTGGGGATCGTGGGGGTTGGATGGTGGCATATAGGAATTCAATAGACTGAGAGTCAGAAGGAGAGTTTCGAGTTTCTCAATCACTTCTTTGAATCCATCGTTCTCCTTTACCAACACAATACGTATGATTAGTAAATGAACAGCTTTTTTTTTTGCATTGTGGCTATGGAAATGGCGGGAAGGAAAATGGCACGAAGAAGGGTAAAGATGTAGCAGGTATACATACCGGTGGAACATGGAAGGCTGTATCCCTCAATCCAAGCGCACGATGACGCGTGATAACTTCGATGGAAGGGACAGTCTTGCGCGCATCGACGAGGGCTGTGAGGAGCATCATAAACACCTCAGAAGCATACTCGGCCGTCGAGCCCTCGAATACAGTCCGGATGCCGATCTCCTGGGTAAGGGTAGTAAGACCGTAGCTCCGCCATCGTGTGCCATCACGCCTTCGGCCTGAGGCTTGATAGTCGCGAATACCGAGAGTTTCGAGGTTGGGAAGGTTGCGAAATGCTTCGGCAAGCATCCTCTGATCGCTTCCTGTAGCCCTAAGGTACGTCTGATCGGCGAATGCACGTCGGAATGCTTCCTTCTCTTCGGGCTGTCGACCAGCGAGACCCATATGCGTCGAGTTCAGCTTGTCTAGACCAATGATGACATGCTTCAATCGCTGTCTCAGAGCAGCGTGCTTCGAGATGGCAACCAGAACGCTCAGGCTGCGAGTCGTGAGCATGAACTGCTTCTTGGTAAAAAACTCTTTGGCAAAGGTATCGAAGAGCGATGTCTCGAGTTTCTTGCAAGTCAGCCGGAGGGCGCCAAGGTCTGTGGTGGACAAATAGGTCGCAATCATATGGACGAGAAGCTCGAGCGGCATGCCGAGCAAAGTTGGGAGGGCCATGATTGCGATTGGGGTCGCTGCCTTGCTCCAGGAAGTGTATTTATTTATGTCTTAGGATGACAGCGAGGGAAGTGAGAGATTCGAGGTTGTTGCCTGGGTAGGTGGAGTACAGACGGGGTGTCAGCCTGGCCCACTCACTTGATTCAACCAATCAATGATAATGGGCTCACGTGACCAGGCGCCTTAGCGCGAGCTGCTGCCTAATGCCGTCTCACCTCACCCCAGCAGTCGGCCGCGCCGCCGATCGTCAACCCAAACGTCATAAGACTTCACCTCCCTCACCTTTGTTGACGTGTGAGCTATAACTCCCCGCGCGTGTTCACGTTCGTTCACACTCATCTCCATCACTCAATTGATTGTCCCCGGCCTCTCTCCATCATGCCTCCCAAGAAGAAGGCTACACAGCCACTCAATGGCTACACCCTCGCGTTGAGTGGTACTTTCCCCGGTCAGACGCAGCAAGCTTTGTACGTATATCACTCACGAAGGATGCCGCGGTGCATCGTTTTCCCCTTTTAATTGCCATCGTGACGTGTACTGACTATGTGTCTGCGCCTTCAGGCAGAGCACTATCACGTCTCTCGGTGGTGAAGTCGCCAAAAGCATAACGGCGGAGACCTCTATCTTGGTATCAACCACCGCAGATGTCAACAAAAACTCCAAGAAAGTCCAGGATGCACAGTCGGCCGACATTCCCATCGTGTCCATTGATTGGCTCAATGACAGCTCGTCCAACTCCAAGGCAATGGATACTGACAGTTATCTACTGGTTGGAGGCTCAACTGCCCAACCGCCAGCTGCCGCTGCCAACGGAAAAGGGAAGAAGCGTGCAGCCTCCACTTCAGCACCTTCACAATCTGCTGTGGCCTCCAAAGCTGCGAAATTGGATCCCGTGACTTCCGCCCCCAAACTAGAACCCAAGGTCGGCGAGGGCTCTCTCGCAAAATCTCGCGATGTAAGTATAACCTGCTTTGGTACCAATTCAGACGATTATCACATGTCGATGCATGATGTGGTGCAGCCGTTTGGTACACTCGCGATCCACTGAAGCCTTTTTAAGTCATACTGACCTGACGTCCTATTCTAGATCAATATTCCTGTTGACGAGTTTTGCCCCCTGCAAGCATCCCGCGTCTATGTGGATGACGATGGCGTCATATATGATGCCCTGCTCAACCAGACCAATGCATCGCACAATAACAATAAGTTCTACCGTGTGCAGCTTCTGCGAAATCCAAGCGACAACACCTACAAGACTTGGACACGCTGGGGTCGAGTTGGCGACCGTGGTCAGAGTGCTCTATTGGGTAGCGGCGACCTGGAAGATGCCCTCAAGCAGTATGACAAGAAGTTCAAAGACAAGAGCGGCTTATCCTGGGATAACCGCGGCGCCGACCCGAAGAAGGGCAAGTATGCATATGTTGAGCGGAGCTATGAATCAGACAGTGATGCCGAAGATGATCAGGGAGGAGCCGAAGCATCTGATCCGCAAGGACGAAGCGCATCCCCCGCCAAGTCAACTCTCGCCGCTCCAGTCCAGGATCTGATGCGGCTCATCTTTAATACCGAGTACATGTACGTGCCGAAGCATTGCAATGTTACAACCCATCTGCTCGGAATTAGCTGACGGTGAGCGCAGGAACCAAGCTATGGCTTCGCTCAACTATGATGCGAAGAAGATGCCTCTAGGAAAGCTCAGCAAGGCCACTATCAACCGTGGGTTTCAGATGCTGAAGGAGCTGGCTAACCAGCTCAACGGCGCTGCCTCGGCCGCTTCAGCGAGTGACATCGAGCACCTGTCGAACACCTACTACTCGGTCATTCCCCATGACTTCGGCCGTAACCGCCCTCCAATCATTCGAGATGCCGACACATTGAAGAGAGAACTGGATTTGCTTGACTCCTTAGGCGACATGAAAGAAGCTGCTGCACTCATGAAGAAGGAGCTCAATGGGGCAGAGAATATCAGTCTCCTCGATCGTCAATTCAAAGGCCTCGGTCTAGAGGAGATGACGGTACGTTAAATTGACTCGCGACACGCTCTATGTGCGATTTGCACATATCTCCCTGAATCATGCTGATATTTTCTTTGCGCAATCAGGTCCTTAATCGTCATGATAACGAATTCCAAGAGCTAGAATCGTACCTCAAGGTCACGAAAGGTGCGACTCACCACATGAACTATGAAGTCGTGAACATCTTCCGGATCGAGCGCAACGGCGAACTTGATAGATTCAATAAGAGCCGGTTTGCAAAGGTTAAGAGCGATCGGCGACTGCTGTGGCACGGATCTCGTGCAACCAACTTTGGTGGTATCCTAAGCCAAGGTCTTCGGATTGCGCCACCTGAGGCCCCAGTCTCCGGCTACATGTTTGGAAAAGGCATCTACTTGGCTGACATGTCCTCCAAATCAGCAGGCTATTGCTGTGCGTACAATTCTGGTGGACATGCTTTGCTTCTACTCTGCGAAGCTGAGTTGGGTCAGCCCATGTACGAGCTGACAGGAGCATCGTACTCTGCGGGCGAAGATGCTTACAAGAGCGGGAGTTGCTCTACGTGGGGTAAGGGAAGGACAGGACCTCAGGTCTGGAAAGATGCCGGCTCCGTTCACCCTTCTCTCGCCGGGATCAAGATGGTGAGTCTACTCTTCCTTGCTTACTGTCTCTTATTAGCTCATACTGATCACGATCACTGCAGCCCGACGCCAACCACAACCCAACCGACACCAATGTCTCTGGTGCCGGTCTGTATTACAACGAATATATCGCATATGATATCGCACAGGTCAAACTTCGGTACCTGTTCCGCGTCAAGATGTAACGATCGTCAGCAAGAGCTTGCTAGGCACCAAGCATTGTCTTTCGTCATTCAGCATACGGAGCATCCCGAGCAGCATCTCAAATTAGGTGCTTTTGCCTTCTTTCAATATTTCGTATTCTTCTATCATATCCTAGTCATCCTTCTCATTCCACGCAGCACATTTATCGAATAACTCGGGATGCAATGTGCACGCGGCACTATTCGAACACAATGGAGGATTCTGGGTCCAAACTAAGTCAAAAGTTATGCGGCATACCTATTTCCTTGCATTCAGTATGCATGATGCTCGTAAGGTGGACATGGTGATTTTCACCCCAGTCGGGCTAGAACAGAGGTGGGACTCGGGCTCATAAGTCTCTTGGTACGCTATTTAACCCGTATTCTGGGGTCGCGTCCCCATAATATACCTATATTGCATTTTGATTGGTTCACACGTGCTCTCCACAGTAGAAGGCAAGACTTCAGGATTGACTTGATTCTCGGACCGGCTGCCTCTGTTCGACAGGCAATGAGAGGCAGACTGTGCAATATCAGCCGTTGTTGCGACATCCTCCAGAAGTAGGTGCTATCTGCCCCCCACAATGTATGCGCATAGTTACATGGTGTTTGCCGACATGTGTCCAGAATCTGGTCCTGCGGAGCCGACATGAACAATATTCTGAGTCTCGGCATTTCCACTATGCCTAAAATCGCCAATTTGAGCCATCAGCCCACACTGTTGGGGATTTGCACATCTACCCATGTGTGTCAGGCGCCTTCTAATCCTTCTTCCGTATTTTTGTTTGGACAAATGCACGCACGGATAGCTGAACCTGATGCACTGGCAGCGGGTGGTGATGCGGGTATCGATTTTGTACAGCCACATCCGTAACAGAGTTGTGCATCAGCTCGTCTCGGACCTCGCGAGGAGTGTTCCACCGCCGTGGGTGGCGCCGCGTAGCTCACCACTGCAGCTGTCAGCGCAAAAGTATTGACTGACTAAGCGGCAAGGGCACAACGTCATCCGTACTCGTAAATGATACACACAATGTACGATGAGATAATGCGAAAGAATGGGTTTGCCCTCTCTAGTCTGACGCGGACCGTGGTGGGATAAACGAGAGTTCATATTGATTGATTTTACTCGTCTATTTATATTGGTGCTCGTTTGGGCCTGCAGCCACCGCATATCAGTACCATCTATGCCGTCTCACGTGCAGAAGTAACCCAACGCGGGTGTACCATCGTATAGGTCGAGAGTCGGAAGGTCGGGCAATGGAATCCAGTTCTCTAAGTCGTTCTTGGTAGTTGTTCTAACATTTCGAGGCTCGTGGGTCGCCTGCGGTCGAGTACCCACCCTTTCATCGACCAGGCCTACGGGAACAGCGGCTGTGATCCGACGAAGCGACCTCTCTTCACCCCACGACAAACCAACTCTTCAGCATAACGATCATGATGTTGTATACGTATCGCTCCTGTGGGTCTTCCTCAGTGTCGCCATCGAAATCGCCATGCGCCGGCAGCGGAGCCGCAATCCGTTTCGCCTCGCAGGTACCTGCGGGCTGTTGCGAAAGACTCGCCTCCGCCAAACCGCTAATGAGGCGTATAGTAGATGATGATTGCTTTTTGTCTGCAATCATTCGATCCGACACGCTGTACACAGAATCTCATTCGCCGAGAGCTGGTTTTGGCACGGACGGCAGATGTCGGTTCAGTATTTTGTTGGTTACCAGCCAGCTATCTCTTGCTTTACCGTTCCAAGCATGCTCGGCATATGCGAGTAGGCCCCCTACCTCCCACATCGTATCTTACCTCACGCGAGACTTAGAAACGAACAGTAAATTGGGCGACTGCTGTGACGGATTCTAATCGATACATTCCGGCAGATGCAGCTAGTCCATCTTACGTGGTATACGGACCGTGGTACATGGGCCATGGTACGTGCGTGTTTGGTACAGCTGTGTGGGTGAGAGGCTTGAATCAAAAGAAGGTAGTGGGGCGCGGGCACTTGATATCAAGATTAAGAGGCTCGCGGCTGTTGTTATATAAGTCCAGGTTCCAAACGTTTAACCCCTGCCCCGTTATTCGAGTTTCTCAGCAGCCGTGTTCTCGACTCCCCCTTCTTTGTAATCCTCTCTCTTCTACCTTTCTCGCCTACCCTTCAACCGTTTCCCGTCATGGCTGTCACCGACGAATCAAAGAGCGTCGAGTCAGAGGGCTACTACAGTCAGGACTCTCTTGACGACGCGGAGAAGGGCTTGCACGACAAGTCAATGGGGCAACTAGCACCACCGCTGCCGTTCGTCTACTTGGGTGATAAGAGAACAGCTATAAGGGGTATTGGGAATCACTTGTCTCCAGCATCACCGGTCCACCAAGGCATCACACCCCAAGCCAGTGTACCCGAGCTGTCACTGGCATTTCCTGCTGAGACAAAAAAGCCTACCGATGCAAGCGAGCTAGAAACCACAGTGAAGAAACCCGAACCAAAGAAGCCGCAGAAGATTAGTCGGTGGGTCTTGTTCCAGTTATGGTTCAACACTTATCGCAAGTTCTTTACCTTCGTGACGTTACTGAACTTGACGGGCATCATCCTGACAGCTCTTGGTCGATTTCGATATGCGGAGGACCACATGGGCGCATTGGTTCTGGGCAATCTTCTCTGCGCTATATTGATGCGGAACGAGCTTTGGATGAGGTTTCTCTACATGGTTGCCATCTATGGTCTGTGGGTAAGTATCTGCATGTTGGTTCAAACGTACCCGGAACACCAGACTGAGACATAACAGTGGGCCCCATTGCCAATCAAATACGCAGCAACATCCGTGCTACAGCACGTGGGGGGAATACATTCGGGCTGCGCACTCTCTGGCGCTGCATGGCTCGTCTACAAGATCGTGGAGATCATCATATACCGAGCCGTGCAGCATCCTGCAGTGATCGTCAGCGGTATCATTACGAACGTCTTCATTATCATTTCCGTTCTCAGTGCATTCCCGTGGGTTCGCAAGTACGCAAAAGTCACTCCGCTCCGCAATCTGCACAACTGACGTAGATCCTAGCACGTATCATAATGCATTCGAGAAACACCACCGGTTCATTGGGTGGCTGGGCCTTGCAGTATGTATCTACCTTGCGCACATCACCCGCGTCGCAACCAAGTACAAGTCGAACTAACAATCACCCCAGACTACATGGATGTTCGTCGTGATGGGTAACGTCTACGACATCAAAATCGGACAATGGCGCCATGACACACACGCTATGATCAGCTCGCAGGAGCTATGGTTCGCTGTTTTCATGACAATCTTCGTCTTGATCCCGTGGGTGACGCTACGCGAAGTACCTGTCGAAGTAGAGATCCCTTCGCCCAAAGTGGCGGTCCTGCGCTTCAAGCGAGGCATGCAGCAGGGACTGTTGGGCCGCATTAGTCGCACCTCCATTATGGAGTACCATGCTTTTGGCATTATTAGTGAGGGACGAAAGACGGACTGCCATTACATGATCTGTGGTGTGCAGGGCGACTTCACGAAGAACTTAGTCGCTAATCCACCCAAGACAGTGTGGACTCGCGAATTGAAGTTCGGTATGCTCCCCATCCTCATTCACACCATGATAGATGGAATACTAATCAACCAAATAGCCGGAGTCGGACACGCATCCGCCATGTTCCGCCGTGGAATCCGTATATGCACAGGTACGGGAATCGGCGCAGCACTTTCCACCTGCATCCAATCGCCCGACTGGTTCCTCATCTGGATCGGCTCCGACCAAGAACGCACCTTCGGCCCTACCATCACCGGTCTGATCCACAACAACATCGAGCCCGAGCGCATGATTCTCTGGGACTCCAAGAAGAGGGGCGGTCGTCCTGATACAATGGAGCTTCTCAGAGACACCTGGAAGCGCTGGAATGCCGAAGTCATCTTCATCACGTCGAACATGCAGGGCAACGATGAGATGATGCAGGGATGTCGCATTGAAGGGTTGCACGCTTTTGGAACACTGTGGGACTTTTAGGTATTTGCTGCCCTCCTATTCTTGTTGTAATTTTGTTATATTGGCCTGGCATTAGTGGAGTTCCAATGCATGGCGATTTACAAATGGAGTTTCGAACGTGTTGTGGGAAGTTTTGCATTCGGAATTAGAGTAGATCTCATTTTTCCTTTATTTTCTTTCCATTCTCTTGCCACCTTTTAGATTTCTTTCTTCATCATACTCACATACATATTGTTTATTTTTCAATCATATAAAAGACGTCGATTAGCGGCATTGTTTATCCATGTATATACTACCCTTTATCTACGTAGGCATTAACTCCTACAAATCTTCACGTTTCATCAATGGCTATCTCCGATGCAAGTGAACAACTTTCCAGCTCAAGCCTTCGCTTTCTACTCGGGACTATGCGCACCGGGCAAAGCATCCAACCAAGTCCCATCCCCGATGTCCTCCGTGACCGTCTTGGGCAAGCCAGCACACTTGTTCATCTCTGCGATGCTCTGCTGCTTACCTCCACAGCTACTCGCGTAACAGCTAGTGTCGAGTATGTTCTGCAATGACTCGTCTTTCCAGCCAAAAACCTATCGAAGATAATCCCTTCGCGTTAGCACGATTCGCCTCACATGCAAGATGCACCAAACACCACCTTACAGATACTTCCAGTTCCCTTGCGTACGACTAGGAATGGGAAAGGAGAAATGGAGGAAAACATACATAATCTCCATGATTCGCATAACCCGTTTTGTCCCCAAAACTCCACACAAATGGCTGCGATCCGTCTTCGGGCCAATCAGCGTCATCGTTATAGCGCGAGGTATCCCAAATGACTTCGAACATGACCTGGGATGTTCGCACGGGGTGGGTAGACGGGCAAGGGCCAGCGGACTCAAAGGTGCCGGATTCGGGGTAACTATCCAACAAGGGATCGATGTCAGTACACCCTGTTCTCTACACCCAGTATTCTCTGCCGTTCTCAACAACAAAATAAACATCGAAACTTGGGAGTTCGAAAAAAGAAAGCAGAAGAGGGCCCAAACAAACCTCATATGCGCCATATGATCCGGACTATCCAAGTTCACTCCATCCCAACAAGTCGGAAACCTCAAGCTAGTCATAATTCCATATGCGCACTTCCGGGCTGGAAACGCGACTGTCTCTCTTTCTCTGGAACCTGCGTCGTCCATGCATGTGTAGGTGAGTTGTCGGAAACGCGCGGCCTGGTCTTTGGAACGGGCGTTAACGTCTCCGATGAACATGCGGAAGCCAGGCTTGAAGGCTGAGACTTTGGACTTTTGCGCTGTGTCGTAGAGAGGGTCTTGCATGTAGTAGACTGTCATTCCGCCGGCTGTTGCACCGGCGAAACCGGCGTTTGCGAGTTGTGGGACACGTTGGTAACTGTTGTTGTGGTCAGTTCTGTCGTCAAGTTCTTTCATAGATAAAAGAGAACGAGAGATTGATGTTGGTGTGACGAATTTGTGTTACGCGGGGCTGGACTCACGTTCCATTACGTGCGCGGAAGTATAGCGTCGCGGTCCAGTAGTTTGAGAAGTCCTCCGAGAACTGGCATGTTGTGCATGTACTTTCTCCAGGCATGTCTTTCGAAGGATCCATAGTCGCGTTGAAACTGTTGCCGCCCACAATCTGGAACACGTCATTTAGTAAAGAAACGTCTTGGAGGGTTCACTGGAAGATAGTGACGTACCTGATGAACATGTGGCGAAGGGATCTGTCCGGGTGTTACGAGAGGATCAAGTCGCTCGACCACAAGCTGCGAGCATTGAAAGCGAATAAGTGCCGCTGCTGGGCCCGTCAGGGCGAGGAGGGCGGAGAGTTCGAATCTCATCTTTAGTTAGGATGGATAGATGGAGAGCTGTGACACGGTTTGCGACAAGATCCTCTGGAGGATTTCGATCCAAATACTTCGATTGTCGTGTTTGAAACGTTGGGACAAGATACCCAACGTTATGTCTTCCGCAATTCCGGTACAAAGCAAGCGATACCTCAGTGGAGAAGGTCTTCGATAAGGACACACATTGACTTGGCCTGCTTGCCAATCCGGCCCAAAGCATCTGCGACTGGTGATCAGGCTCCACTGTTTTGTTCTCGAAGGTTGAGAATTGCCAGATTCAGATTCCGAACGGGAGAATCATTGCGGGCCGTTGCAGTGATCCTGGTATGTCTTTCGAGCGCAACGAATCAGGCTTCTCGCCTAAACAGTATCCATCTATCCTTACTACCGGCAGTTTATCCTCCTCATCAATCCAAGCAATAGGTATTGTATCGAGCAGTGGGGAAATCTTGGCCATGATAGTGGGGAAGGTATATCCAGGTGGGGCTCATATTCGAGCGCAATGCTCCATGTTCAAGATTTATGGCAGTACCTGGTACCAACTTCTCATCACCAATCTTCAATTCCGAGGCGTAAAACTCGACGTACCTGGCAAATCATATTATTTTATCACATATTTCCCAGACTCCAGAAAGCGCAATACACAATCACGATGTTACCAACCCCCATATTCCTACTCACCTGCGTCTTCGCTATCACAACGCATGCATTCCCCACAAACTCAGCAGCCGTGAACGGAACAAACGGTTGCCCGACAAGCACTGAATACGCCTGTTTCGACGTTATCAATTCTTCGCTATGTCTGGGTCAGAAAGCTGTGAATGGAACTGCTGAAGAGCTTGCGGCTTGTGTAGATTATCCAGGTGGCATGAGCGATCTTCCAGGATCTTCAAAGGTGAGTACTTGCTATGGGAGATGAGAAATAGAATCCTGTGCTGATATAGTATGCTCAGTTGTGCCGATGTCCTGGGTGCCATTCTACATTCATCAATGAGGCGATTGAGAAGCTGTTCCCGCCGCCGTGTGCGTGAGTTGGAAGAAAGAAACGTACGGAGCGCATATGGGCATGATGATAGAATCAAGAAACCTATGACCACGAATACCCGAAAAAATGTGATATTAGCGGTCAGGCGCAAGGCTGTGGGTGTAATTGAAATGTACTACCGCACTACTTGCCAAATCTTCAATTACACTAGATCGACTGGAATTTCCTGGCCGCCCAAAAATTCACACTTGTATCTTATTTCCAACAAAGAAAAATGAGCTTCTTCTTCATGTCTAAGTGTTCATCTCCCCAGTTCCAACCCCGTACTTGTAATCGTGAAAAGTAGAAAAATGCACAGCGTGGCAAGGAATTTTGGAAGATGAGCGCTCTTGTATGCCCCCACCGCCGACTTTATCATTGCAAGGATCAGTTGTTCATACCCGAGTGCGAACCGTCAGGCTCGCGTTGATATTTGACTACATATGTACTCTTAAAATACCAAACGCAGGAGACTGCCCGGACGCTCAAGGCAGGGACACCAGCCATATTTTACTACTATAGCTTTGATAGATTGACTGGGTCATGAAGCAGCATTGAGCCATGGTATGTGCGCGTATCTGTACGGGCCTCAAGGGTCCACCGAAGTCACGTGACGGATAACATCAACTTACAACACATGATGCACCGGCACATAGGCCCTGTTCAAGTAAGCAGTGTGTTCCAAATATACTTCTGACTTCTAAGGTTGCGCTATGAAGAGGAAAATTCGACAAATCAACTCAGAGGCTGTTTAGAAAGAGACTCACGGCCTTCCATCTCTCGGTGGATATGGATAATTGACGTGGAAGAAGATGGCAGGTTGCTTTCTTGCAGCCCTCGTGGTTCAGAAAATCTGTGATTCAAATAGTTACGTCCACGAATACAGAGTTTTTATCGCGGTGGAGACGAGAAGAACTTCAATAGTTTTGGTGTTGAACACCAGCTAACAACTCGAATGGCTATCTGATTAAAGGGCAATTGACAGAATGAAAGCCGAAACTGCCTCCGACCGTGATATTGACATGTGTTCATATTCATTGAATAGAAAGATATGATTTACTTGTGGTAAAAATCATTATAGATTACTATCAGCTTATGCTGCAGTGACGACCGGCCACCCAGACGACAAGTCTATGTAGTTGAATCCGAACAAGAAGTCCTCGTAGTTGTATCCAATCGTCGTGTTTACTGTCATAGGTCAGTTTTAGTTTCCATAGTTTCTGTCGAGTACACTCACCATAGTGGTAATACAGAGCAATTTTGTTGTTATCCGGATTTACAATGACGCCTTGTCCGCCCGGGGCGTACACGTCGCCATGACTACCCAACACCAACGTTCCTCCATTTTCCGTGAGGCAATCCTTACCATCAGCATCTACGTATCTCCCATTTACTGTTTCAGACCTACAGACCATAATCTTATACTCTTCGCCTGGCGCAGCGAGTTGGTCGGCGGAGTTGCAGCATGCGCCCGACGAAAAGAACATGTAGTAATATTTCTTGTCGCCCACCTTCCACCAAAACAAGAAAGCGCCTTCGGTGATAGACGCAAACGTCTGCCCGACAGAGAATGTGGAGTTGTAGACTTTTTGCTGCGGTGTGGTACCGCCCCAGCTCAAGTAGTCTTTCTTAAGGTTGGTCTGGTAGACATCGTTCCACGCGGAGCCGTAGTTCATGATGGGCTCGCAATCCTTGCATTCCTTGAAGAAGTTTGCGTCGATGCGATTGTAATTGAGCGTTTCATCTCTTTTGGGGAGACCTATCGACCCGTGATCTGTCCATGTCCCAGGCATTGCATCTTTCGACGTTGCGACTCCAATGTCTGAATCCTGGCTTCCCATTCTGGAGACGCTGTAATAAGCGTAGAACTCATCTTTCTCATGAAATACGTCTGGCGCCCAAAGTTCCTGATTTTCCATAACGTCGATCTTGGAACCGTCCGGAAGCATTGCGCCTTGGTATTCCCATGGTCCAATTAGTTCAGGCGCGGTCGCGATAGCAATGTTGCCGTTCGTCGAAATGCGGAACCATGTTCCATCTGATCGTCGCACGACACTGGGATCGTGTATGAAAGTACAATTACCCAAACAGGGTTCAGGATTCGGCCACAATTCCGCCCTTCTCGCGATAGCGACGAGCGATATGAGGCCGGCGAATAAACTTGGTCCGGGCATGGCTGTGCGCTGGCGGGCTTTTGGGAGAGGGACCACGGGGCGTAGGAGGCGTAAACGGGATGCCTATCTCTGAAGGCCGTGGTCCTTCCCATTCTTAAAGGAAAAAGGTTGAAATTTGTGCCCTTAGGCCCGCCATTTTAACCCACAGTGCAGTGATGAAATGGTACGTTTCATCGTTCAGGCGATCAGACTATGTCGGGGTGCCTTTGGTGTAGGGCCAATCATCTGGGGCCAGAGACGTTGCGCTATACCTCTCTGGGCCGCGATGGACGAGTCCTACTACGATATAGTGACGGATGTCGCGAATTAATTATCCGAAGGAGTCACTATAGCATCCTTCGTTGTGAATGCGAGTCAACCTCTTCTCGTTGTTGTGCTATACCTGTCAAGGCATGCATGTAGCACTCATTCAAGGTCACATGATTTGGGACGCCTTCAAATGTTCATACATGCCCGCGTGTTCATACAACACTAGACGGGATGCAAGGTACCGCAGTGATGCTCTGCTACATCACATACACTTCCAAGATGAAGTTTTCGAGCCCAAATTGCGTGATGTCCGGAACGACCTCTCGAGAAGTAGACTATGTCGACTCTTTATGTGATGAGGAAACACCTCCAGTGCAGCAAACAATGCATCCCAGCCGCGCAAAATTTGCTTTTAATTTCCGTGTAGTGGATTTGCTATCATAATCTGGGGTATTTTAGCAGATGCTAGTTTAGGATGTGAGAACGGATCGGTGAAGAGAAGTGTAAGGTATTATAGTCTACATCTCCGTATTTATCTTTCGATGCGATCGTAGTTCCGATAGCTATTGGGTGTTGGTAAAACTTAGGACCTTGTCCGAGGACGTCTGTGCTACTGACGCTACGATATGGTTTTGACTGATGGAGCCTGTGGAGAATGGAGATGGAGTCACTATGGCAGCTACGGCCCGTGTTGAGCTTGCAGGGTGCATACTGGTAGACAAGGAAGCACTTTATCTACGTGGAGACCTTTGTACTACTGCCTGTCGTGTGGTGCTTGCAGGTTTCTCTTTGCGCAAGCGGTGTAATTTGTATGATCGGTTTCCCATGGATGCCTACTAATGCATCAGAAATCTACCCGCGAAAACTATCCCACCCGCTTTTTACGGCGTATGGCTTTGAGCGACAAGATGCTTGCCAGCATATGCTACCAATAGATAGCTTGGTCGTTCAAACTGCGATTGATCTTGCGGGATTACAAACAGCAGTGAAAGGCTCAGCGGTCAGCATCAACCATCATCTTATCATGATGCCATAGATCATCACACATCCGTCCCGCGGATAATCGGCATTTGTAAAGTGCCGTTGTCTGCCGAAACTGTAAGGTCACGTCGTGTGGCCGCAATACTTGCCAGTGTCACAGTACATTCATGCATGCCATAGCATGAGGGCGCCTGCACATTACAACAACTAGAACAGAAATTGCGGGGATGATTGAAGAAAGTAACCCGAGAAGCTCAAATACCACTCACCAAGCTCCACATATCGTCCCAACAATTGCTGGGGAAATTTCGACCCAACTGTCGCCCCATTACTCGTATAGGAATCTGTCTCCATAGTGATCGCGATTGGCTCGGCCACATCCACCTGGGAGTGGAAGATATTTGCGGGTTCGGCTTGCTCCTGTGCACTTGCTCCAAATGGGCCATTAAAGACTTCATACTCGTGGTTGATTCATCGCAAGTTCATACAGGACACGATAGCACATCCAATGTCATCGTTACACGTTCCGTTGAGTGTGGAATAGGGTTTGCAGCTGTGCGCTGTACCTGCGTCATCGCACAAAGAACAATGTGCCTGACATTACAGGAAGCCAACGATATGCCACGTTCCGTCCCGCCGGCTGGCAGCCGGGCTGTCAATCACATGCCGTACCGAGCCCCCCGCGACGCTCCACAGGCTGGTCCAGATGGAATCTGATGAAAATTCGATGCTGGTGATGCAATATCGCCGTGATCGGCATGACGCGCCTAAAGCTGCTGTGATAACTAAGCAGATGTAGCCGAAATCAACACCCGGCAGAAAATCAAAGCTTGCAAAGTCTTTGAACCCGCTACGAACATCTCGACCACGGGGAAAGTTGGCACCCTTCTGCACCGTCGTGCATCGTCAACCGTTATGAAAGAGGTCGTTCTACGTCAGCGGGTCCTCCAGCGTCGGTAGTTAACTTCGAGGATGTGATTCGTTGCATGTTTGACACGCACGCAGATGCAGTTACCATCTCAAAGATCGCGCAACCAAAATCCGTACAATTCCTGAACTCTCCACTGAGAGGGAGGAGGCACACCTGCGACTATCTCGCTTTGATCGGACAACATGATTGTCTACATAGCATCACTTTTCTAAAAAATATGTCAGATTCGGTGTTTTTTTCTTCGAACAAACAACGTTCGAATCGCGGTCCGATTACATTAGGCGCCCTGCTCTCCAATAGGAAGACTACCGTGCCTGGCTGGACACTGGGAACATGCTGCCGGCCGGTCCTGCGCCGCGTGTCGCCCCTGTCGAGTACCTGCGTGTTCGAACTTGGCACCGAGCAGATCCCTACACCCGAGTGCCCCAAAGCCGAATGGCTGTGGATCCACCCCTAGAAGAAAGCGATGCAGTCTGACGCTCGCGGACCCATTCATTCATGAAGAAATTTGCACTCCAAAGGCTGTCTACACAACTAGTCTACCATTTTTCTTACTTCGCATTGGAGAATAGACTGTTAGTTCCGTCAAACCTGCAGCATGCCTGCCTATAGTGGCCGCTCGGAACTCCTGCCTTGAGGACGCCGACCCAAAAGTCCTACTACCAGTTGGTCTGGGGCGGAAATTGCTCACGCTTGACTGGGTAGCCACACAGATCTCCATCTGGAGGCCGGCGCAGCATGGAGGACAGCCAAGGATGCATGCTGACCCAAGTATAAAGTGATTTGGTTCCCTCTTCCGTCGTTACTCCTCTTCACAGGAAACTTCCACCGTCACTTCTTTTGACATTCATTCATTTTTGGTCTTTTCTTACAGACCAGTCATTCCTTCCAGCAGTCTTTTGCTACTCACGCTCCTTGTGGCTACTTCTGAACTCAACGGAACTGTGTTCCCCTCTTTAACCAAATATACCCACACAACCAGAGATTTGATATCCTGATCAACCGTTTTCCAAAACTTCAAGATGTTGTCCAAGATCGCCACTTCCGCTCTCTTGATCGGAGCCTCTGCTGCCGCCGCTGCTCCCGCTCGTGTCTATACTACCGTGGTCGCCACTGTGACTGTAGACCCTGCCGTCGCCGCTGCCGCTGCCGCGCCCACCACCTCCAAGGTTGCTCCTCCAGCTCCTGTCGTTCCATCTGTCGTATTCTCTTCCGTGCCGGCCGTTCCCGTCGTCTCATCCGTCGTTGCGCCTGTCGTTCCCCCCGTCGTTCCCTCTGTCTTGCCCTCCAAGGTTTCCTCCAAGGTTTCCTCTGCGGTTCCCTCTGCGGTTCCTTCTGCTGTGCCCTCAGGCGCGCCAGGCACTCCCGCTCCTGTTGGCGGTGGCAGTGGTAGCATCTCAGTCACTCCCCACGATGTTTACGGTTCTTCCATTGGCGTTCTCGGCTGCCACGTGAATGTCAACCGCATTGCCTACTGGCCCACGTTCCCAGGCTGCGACAACCTTTGCAAGAAGGTCACATCCAACGGCCGCTCCGTCTACATTCTTCACATTGATCAATCCGGTGGTGCTCACGACATCTCGTATGACGCTTGGAATTATCTCAACTCCGGTTCAAGCGCCACGGAGAACCCTACTATGGGTGGTGGTATCCCCGCAACTTGGGAGGACGCGGACATGGATAACTGCAAAGACATCATCAAGACTCCCGATGGCAAGCTTCCTCTTTCTGCGGCCAACTCGATGAACACTTGGGCGGGTTGCCCTGCTGGCAGCTACGTGCACGAAAACTCTTCTCTCTGGAACGTTCTCAACCCCAATGCTTGCACTTTCGGTTACAACGAGCGCTGCACCATCGACTTGGCTGTGAGCAACCAGGCCAGCTGTCCCCACGTCCTCGGCGCAAACAACGCCCTGACCGGTGTCCCTGTCGAGAACATCCAATACGGAAAGTCAAGCAAGGTCACGGCTTTGCAATAGATGCCTATGAAAGAGTTTATCACGTCGGAGGAGTTTCTTGATTTTGGTCCCATTCTTGCTGCACATATGAACAACCTTCGTTTCTCGAGATATCATTGTCGCGACATTTTTTTTCTTGCTTCACAAGCTGTCGCGCGTTCTTCACAAAATCAAAGAAATCAATGATTTTTCCCATCCAAACATGCAAACACGAAACAATGCCACACTGTGATTGACTCAACCGCAATCCGCGTTTCTTCGTTCGGGAACTAAACCGTCATCCTGAAACACTATGGCTGACATAGACTTGACCGAATGCGCAAGAACCCCCTCTTTCTGACTAGCCCCGGCGAGCTCCTTGCGAAAAACAGCCCCAATCGTTAGCCACTCTCACCAACCGTGCGCAGCATTAGTCGACCCCGAGCAGCCATTATTGGAAGATCACCATCGGACTTTGGAATCTTACGGGATATCCAGCGTGGGCGCAGTCGCCTTTCCACTCTCTCCACCCGCGAGCGCCTTGGATTCCGGGAATTTGCGCCTCACGCGGGTCCTTCTGATGTAGGCAAATGGTGCAGTCGCATCCTCGCGGGCGACTACGCCCCAAGGTTTTTTTTGCTTGCAGGAATCAGGGGGTGGTTGACCGAGGCGGCGCTATGTGCTGTTCATCAGGCGAAGCACACTGCATTCACCGGAAGAGGATCGCAACTCCTGCGCTTTTCGTTGCTTTTTCTCGGCGAATGAGGGGGTGCGCGGACGAAGATGCGAGGTTGTAACGACACAACCAAGCCGGATCATTTGCCAAGGATATTGGGTTGAGGAGGGCATTATAGGTCAACATAGCGAATAGATGATGTGTGCGAGATCTAAAGAATCGAAATTGTGTTGTTGATGCAGGGTCGCCGCATACATTTAGTACATGCGTTTATGACTGCTAACTTATAAGTTAGGCACATATCGTAGCTAGCACATCATGTAGCTAACATTGCAGACATTGATCCAAGTATGAATGGCGCAGGTCCGAAGAGTCGCGAGTGGCCGCAATCCATGGCGCGGCACCGTTATAGGACTTCGTATCTTTCTAGTTAAGGATACGAGCAGGATGCATATCCTGCTTGTTTCGAATCTTATTGTCTTATTGTTTCACGTTTCAACTGATTCTGAAAGACAGTAGCAAAGTCACGGCGGCGACTTGAAACAAGCAAAGCAAACATGTTTCTAGCACACTGCCTGGTAGCTAGGACTAACTAGCAACGAGACTTGAAGCAGCGTCGACATCACCGCGGCATTCAAATGAACACCTTGTGACTAAGTTACGTGAATTGGTCTTCACTCGACCCTAAGGAGAATCCTAGCCAAGATTCACACATCACAATCAGATGCTTATAGAGTATAACCAACAAGATGTTCCGTTTCGATCTGTGTCTCTTCAACTGCGCGCATGGATTTCAGCAGCTGACCAAGAATCGCACTCGTCTAGATGTCTTCACCACCGATCTCCACCACCCAAAAACGACGAAGAAAACAGTGCAGCTATCAAACCGCTCTTCGAAATATGACGTTCGTCAACCCTGCGAGCCTCACATACCTTGTCATGTAGCGTAGCCCGCACGGTTCCTACCCATCATCCAGGTCTTGAACGAACGCGTCAGCAAAAGGGTCCCGTCATGCACGCAATCCACGGCTAGCAGCCATGCAGGGCACGCGGTAGTCTCTCTATCAACCCCTTGATTTCATAGCGATGACCTCAAATCTACAAGATTTAATGGTTGTTGACGTCTTTGTTGAGGATCTCGTGCTTTGCTGCGTTCTCGACATAAGGGGTTATTTCCGCGTGGGTTGTTGGTGAGGTGGGCTGGCGCACATGTTGACCCGGTTGTTGTCGGCAATCTGGAATATGGAACCTTCCGGCCCGGGTTATGGGGTTTGCGATGGGTTTGAGGGTTTATGCTATGCGCATTGTTATCGCAGTAGACGAGCAGTCCTGTTTTGATGATTTTCATGAGCGCGCGCACGATTCGATGTCATGTGAAGTATGCGGTTATTGATCTGTTGTGCGTGGGGATGGCGCTGGGATCCCCACCCGAATAGAGTGTAACGTGCGAAGCACATCATACGAACTAAATATGGCGAGATGATCGGTCAGCAAAACTCTTTCGACGATAGTTCTCATTAAGAAAAAATACAAAAATCTGACGGGAATAATCTTTAGCGATAGGCGATGCTCAGCAAATATAGACTGGCCTCTTCTTTGTAGGGGTATTGGCAGTGATGGTTTTTCGTCCGCGTAAACGTAGGATGTAGCTTAGACGTGTACGCTGAGGAGACAAAACAGTTGATCACGATCACGGAAGTGATTATGGATTGATGACACATCGCGCCATCAGTTGCGCAATATCTTGGAAAAATGCGCTTTTGGGTGATCTTGCTGACGATAATGATGCGCCCTTCGTTCACAAGGCTCGATAAGCTTTCTATTTGTGCTGAGTATTGTCTTACGGTCGCACATGGCACCGCCTTGTCAAAGAGGCTGTCTCTGGATTTACTAGACAATGGTTTTGAAGCGATATCATGCGAATTTCAAGTGCAGATAGCTGCTTCTTCTTCACGCAGTCAAGGAGTATTACTATATTATTCTTGCGTTGTAGGAACAAGTGTGCTGTTCAAAAGGTTGCCAAAAGGTACCTTCAGGTACTGTACGATAATGGTATCTATTATTTACGTACTTAGAGCATGCCGCTCGGAGCACTTTTTCCACGAGGAGCGATCCCTGGCGAGCTGATATGTCTGTGTTCCTCGGTTTGGTGCGGGGAATAAACGACGGTGGTTAGCTGAATAGCTGAGGTCGCTTCAAGGCCAAGAGCTGATCGTGTCTAATGGGCTCAAGTTGGCTGTGAAAATTGGCGAAAGGGAGATTCGGTATCGAATATAAAAAGTTCAGAGTCTTCAATGGAAAATGGAATTATGACCAAGATCTTCAAGCGATAAGGCAAAGCACCAACTTTAGCATTACAGGGCGGCGGGAATTTTTTTCTATATCATACTTTTATACACTCAAAAACATCATGGCCCAGAGTACTCCCAGCTTCACGCCCGCATGGCGACAGACTGTTACTTTGGCACAGGCTTTCGCCTACAAGACTGAAGACGTAAGTTCTCATGGAGCTTCCAAAGGGCTTCGAATGTCTTTCGCATTAACACAATACAGATCAAGAAGTTCGTGGATGATGTTGCGGACCATGCAGGCGATATCTGGGCAGCAACTGGCAATGTTGGAGATGCGATCAACCTGGCGAGAGCCGCACAGGATCTATCTGCCGCTCTATGGTATGTTTTCTCCCTAGCTCATAGGTGCGTAGCCAATTAAATGCTCACACAATTGTAGGAAGCCTGAAGTAAAAAAGGATGGGGAGGGAAAGCCAATTCCACCTCCAGAGCCAAAGGGTCCACCCCTCACTACTGTCTTGTATCCAACAGACCTGCAGGATGATCGCTTGTTGTTTGACTGGAACGGAATCAAGATTCGCTCAACCACAATCTACGACACGCTGGCTTACGTCCTCTCTGTCACTGGTTATCTTCCTCAAGAGCCACAGAATCCCGTGAGGGACTATTATCTGCCCTTAGCAGCGGTATACGCCAACTGGTGCTACAAATTGGGAGTCGAGCTCAAGGACAGCACTGGTACATTCAACTACCATATATCTTGGTTCGACAGTAAAATTGCAGCCCGACCAGGCAGAAAGGTTCTATTGGGCTCAACCATTGGGAAAAATCAACAGTTTCGCGACGATATCAAGAATGCCAGAGCTGCTGTCTTGAAAGGTCTCGGCTATACAGTGCCGCCTCCAGCGCAAGACAAAAGCCAGAATTTCGGAGGCTGTTGCGAGACCAGCTTCTTCATCTACGCAAAACAGTAAGTTGATTCTTGCATCACTGTAGTTTTGGCTCATAAGGAAACTATGAGAGAACTGGAAACTGACACAAATTGTTCTTGCGTAGGGCGGATCCGATTGAGAACTCTGCGTCGGGATTTGCTTTGTATTTGGACGACTTCACCAATCCGGAGCGTGAAACGTACAATGTGGCCAAGTGGGCTGCTCAGATCAGGAATCCATGTGCCCAGTCCTGTCAAAAACTATTTGGACAGATTGGATGGAAGGGAAACTCGACATTCAAAGCAGACGTGCATAAGAAGTCGGCATTGTCATAGTGAATATCGGTTGTTTCATCTCACCAACATTTCTGTTCGTGGCTAGAGAAATGATTTCCTAATTTCTGATAGCAATAGTGTCAATCACAATCGTGGGCCGGATAGCGATCTTTTTCTCGGTCATTTCTTCAGAAAGTCATTCGCTCGAATTCAATGCTAATATTTTTGCAACATAAAGGCGCTGCAATCTCTCCTATTACATCATGTGCTAACTTGTAGCTTTATACGGTATTGAGCCATTTGGGTTAATCTAAAAACTTGTCATGATATAATGTCACTTCGCGGTGACAATATATAGTTTTCAGTTATGCTATCTGACTATTCGAGTTGTCTATATCTGCTTAAACTCGACCAGTAACTCCAAGCCTTCAGTGCAAAAGACTAATCACAGCTGGAAAATCGTCTGCAGGCAGGCGTGGAGACGTCGTGGCTGTTGCGCATGGCTTTGGGTAAGTCTAATAATCTGTTCCCCATAATTGGTACGCGGTCGCGGACCGCACGCGGAGCTTTTGTGCAATATTGCAGACGAGGCTTAGCTTCCTGACAGCCCTGTAATCAATTGATCCTGTCAGGATGTCAGAATGTCAGAAAGCTTGGCGTTCCCAGCATAAGAATCCCTGTTCCCGTCAACATGCCAGAGACATCAGAATGATTTGTAATATTCGTCAACTCTTGAAAGTCATCGTTGGGCGGAGCTATGGTGGCCTGGAGAGGTATTATTAATGAGGCTCTGCGCATATATTAAACCTCCCGCCCAACGCTCTGTGTCTCCCAATCAATCTTCCAGGAACATTTCTCCTTCATATTAATCCTCGTTTTTTACAATCAGCCGTTACCTACACAGAATTCTTCATGTCTGTTCCTTCCGTAGTCTTTGTCCCCGGATCCTTCGCTCCCGCTTCTCTTTACTACCCGTTGGTCGAGTCCGTTGTGGCTCGCGGCATCGAAGCTCAGGCCATTAACCTTCCCACCGTCCATCTCCCCGGCGATGACAGAATTGCCCCCTCCTTATATGACGACGGAGACTTCATCGCCTCCACCATCGAAAAGCTCGCCGATAAGGGCAGGGATGTTATCGTCATCGGCCACTCCTACGGCGGCATCCCCCTTTCACAGGGCACGGTCGGTCTGAGCAAACCCACCCGTGCCGCCCAGGGAAAGCCGGGCGGTCTGTCTACTGTGGCTTATATGACTGCTTATGTTCCGATATTCAATGAGAGCTCAGCCGATATCCAAGCCGGAGGAGAATTTGAGCTTGACGTCACCATTGACGTGAGTAATCAGCCAGATTTCCCGCCGTGTTGGGGGTTCTAATTCACTTTGGTATATAGGAACAAGGCTGGATGTGGCAGAACAACAGGACACTGTCCGCCGAGTTGACATTCTCTGAGCTGACTCCTGAAGAACGTGAGCCGTACAATGACATTCTGCAGGCTCACTCTGCACGAAGCTTTGTGGACAAGGCGACCCAGCTAGGCTACAAGGATCCAGACATCAGCCTCGCCTACCTTTTTGCAGAGAAAGATGTTGTTATTCCTCCCACTGTTCAGAGGCAGATGATCGATAAGCTGAAGTCCACTGGCAAGACGGTTGATGTTACTAGCATTCCATCCGACCACGCGCCCCCCATTAGCCAGCCCGACTTGACTCTCGAGTGGGTCCTCAAGCTGGCCAACAGCTCGGTGTACTAGGCTACGGAAAGTGACTGAATATTGAACGGAGAGGTATTGCCGTCACCGCAAACACTTACTGTGTCTCGGTCATTGTACTTAAAGCGGATTGATGGGCAACTATGGTAAATGGAGTGTCGGTTGTTGTAGAATCTACTGGGAGATCTTATTGTGATATGATTCTTGCAGTAGCTTATGTACGGTTTCACATTTGTGGATATTTAGAGGAATTGAAATAAGGATAACATCGATTTCATCTCACATACGACCACAGGACCAGGAAACAGAGCTTTCCGACCGCTTAGCTATGTTTAAGCATGTTATTCAGCGATACAATCTTGCATAAGGTGAAGACTGCCTGAAGTTTCGTCTTCCGCGCAAGTCTGTTGACCACGCTCTCGGCAAGCGTGTCTGGAGATCGGAGGGGGGAGGGGTTTTTATTCGATTTTCGACCATTGGGCTTCCGCGTGCTTAATGCCGTGTTGGAATATACTGGTATACGGTCTTCTAGGGGAGGTGGCATTGCGAATCCTTCCTCTTTTTCCATTGATGTTTGGGGGGGATGTCCGCCAGAGACTACGACTTTTTAATGGTCCCGTAGAAAAATCGTCTTACTCCCCTATATATCAATCCCACCTTGTCACTTGAGCTGGGCTGACACTCACAGGTCTTTCCTTTGAGCCAAATCTCCTACTCGCATCTGTATTCATCGATCGATTTCGCCTCGTCCTCTGTTTTGTCACACCGAAAGCTCTCTTACTTGCGGAGAAATTATCACCTAGATCTTCACATATTGGGCTTAACCGTTGTTTTCCAGAAGTATGGCTGGCAGGTAATACTACTGATGTCTTCGTTTGATCACTACAGCACCGTTGATGAGATTGCAATGGCGCACGTCACGCATCACGTGACAATGCTCAATACCCCTATGTACCTACCTAGGTAGGTATATAGGTATACACACGCGCATGTATGTAACGTATTATTGAAAGTTGTCACACAGAACATATTGTGCTCAATTTACCCTGTTCACCCTTGCAATGCATGTGTCCCATCGTCCTTCGAATGCTGATTACTGAACACTAAACCAATCAAAGTGATCGAACGATGAGTAAACATGAAATAATCACCAACAACATATGATGAGTAAACCACACTTTCGACCATCCGCCTATTCCTAGATATAAGTCTAATGCACCTCGGCAGTGCTATCTTCTGCACAGTTAGAAGCGGTGCATTAGCTCAGTGAAACGTAATCTTCTTGCAACCGATGACGGTAGAGCGTGATTGGGCATTCCCCCCTAGCGGTTACACAACTTCGACAAAGTCTTACCACAGCCAATCACGGACTTACATGAAATCAAGCTCGAATCTCCTGTGCACGATCGTATTGCTGCACGACTGGCTGACAAAAAGCGAGCACGAAGTCTCTCTTTGACCTCGGGTTAGCTGCAGACAGTTTGCTAACGCATCTTTACGAAATCAATCAGCATCAATCAGCAGGGAGGCCTCTCGGCAGGAAGGTATATATAAGATGAGCTTCCAGTGTCTGAAAGTGTTTTGCATTCCCCAAGCACACAAACTCCAGCAATGGCCCAAAACACTACTACAGAGCGCTTCTTGACCGGAAATTCGAAATGGCGTCCGACATGGAAAACCCCATTCACCATGGAGCAGATGAGAAAATTCGGAGCAGGACCTGAAAATCCTCTAATGATAGGTTGGTTTTATTCTGGTTTCAACACTGTGGTATAGATCCATATATTAGCGAATACCCTGACTCCTTTTACTAGTCACGTGCATGGATCCTCGCTGTGAGCCAACGCAATTCCTTGGAGGGGACCACATATTCGGTACAGTCAAGAACGCAGGTGGAAGGGCTACTTCAGACGCCATCCGCAGTATTTTGACTCTGCGAAGCTTGAACACCGTGAGTCAAGGGGGTACTGTGGCTGTCATTCATCACACCGGTAAGTATAGGCCCTTGATAGGTCGATGGGAGTTGTTGTTTACGGTTCAGTCGCTGATACTGTCTGAAGATTGCGGGATGACGCATTTGAATGAAGAGGGCATTCATAATGACATCGAAAAGAGGACTCCGGCAGAGGCGTCGCGTGGGGGCGCGATCGACTTTGGTACTTTTGGAGCTGATGAGTTTGAAGATGTTATCAAAAAGGACGTACAGACTCTGAAAGACGAGAAGATGCTACAAGGCATGGATATTTTGGGCTTCGCGTTCATTACCGAAACTGGGGAGCTGAAGCCTGTTGTGTAGAGATACGCAGAGCTTTTGCACTATATAGTCTAGTCCTGGTCATACATTATCTCGAATCGATGTGGCAAACTAGTATGCGTTCACCAGTCTTCTCACACTCGGAGACACAACGTGAAAATGTAGTCACAAAGAAGACTAGCGGTTCAATAGACTTAGCACTGGTCGAATAGGAAGTCGCGGGTTAATACCCTGCTTCCTAGGAATATGTGGTCAAATTCATGAACTGGACTGACGCCTAATCTCAATATCTTGATTATCCTAGACCCGTATCCGCGGGAGTCGACGGCACTACTAATGCTGCATCAAGATCTATGTTTTTGAAACGGTGTATTCTCTTAGTCTGTGTCACTGCCACGATTGTCCCTAATCGCTTTTATTATTAGTTACTCTAGGATCATATTGAGTTATCACTCGAAAGCTATTTTCATTGGATTGATACAAATGCAGTCGAGCGCCGCTACCAGATGCAAATTAAATTGCTCAAATAAAGGAGTGTATTTACATAAACATGCCAAAGTCCAAGTCAGTTCCCCCATGTTCTAATGTCAAAGTCCAAATTGGTTCCTCCACGTTCTGACCCTTAACGCCCAAAACCTCGACCCTATGCTCTACAGCCCATACCACATGGCTTTTAGACGCAAATAGAAGCAACGCTGCGCGTTCCTTATTCAGGTATGCTCAAGCTACATACCTCTTAGGGTTAGGCAGCGAACAGGAGTACTTTTCGCAGGAGTAGTCGTCCCACAGGCAATAGTAGACCTGAGTCTGCCCATTAGGAAGAGTGCTCTGCCGACGCGTTTTCTGCTTTAGTTCGGTCACTGCAGATCCAAGAAGGAGGAAAATATCAGTCAGCATATGCGAAATTCTTGCACGTCTGAGCGAGGCCCTTGGTGCGCTTTTCTGGGTTCTCTCTAAGATCAAAGTGTAGATGATATGAAACATACCTTGCATCCAATTTCCAGGGAGCCAGACACGACCCCCATCAGTATTTGGGTTTAGAGAAACGCGGTAGTCGCTGCCTCTCCAACGATCTTCGTCCTTGCCGTAAAAATCGAAAGGGATCAAGCGATTATTGACTTTGTCGTTATCCCATAGATGAACCTCTCGCGTTCTCTCGACCGAGTCCTTCCACACCTCGTCGACTAGGATTCGAACGCATGCTTGGGCTGAGGAAGCCCATAGACTTCCGAGTACAAGGACGACAGGGAGCTTCATGGCGACGGAAGGTGGATTTTTGGGAGTAATGGATGTGCTCGTTGGCTGATTTCAATGTGGAGACAAGTGTTGTTCAGAATTGCAGATGCAAAAGAAGATTGAGGTGATACTTTATGAAATTTCTTTTAGGGGGGCATAGTCGAGGTCTTTATACTTTCTGATCTTCACATATTTTCAATAGACCTAGCACATCTACTAAGTGGAGGACTTCAGCCCGAGCTCACTGGTATACTGTGGCTTTGTTGTGCGGAGCCTCAGAGACCTCAAGTTCAACCACCCGTATTGGATTTACTCCGTTTAGGCGCTCGAGGCTCAGAGACCCAATAAATCCTTCAAGAAGCTCAATGTCTTAGAACCGCCACTGCACGATATGTCTACGGAGCGTAAGGATCACTCTTCCCACCGAAGAAGGTTCGAGTTCACGCTTTGGGTTACATTATTAGGCCCGCCTCGCACATGATGCAAGAAGACACTGATGCAAATACAGAAGGATGTGGCTGCAGATTAGCCTAACCGGCATAACGTCCCTCGCAATCAACGCTGATGGTAAGTCAACCAAATATACGCCGCGCGCATGAGATCCCGCATCGTTTATTGGCCACTTTCACTCAACCACTATGAACGTCCCTCGGAGACTACGGCTTACTAATTATTGAACCCTTATCCCGATTTCCAACTTATATCAGAAGAACAGATTTTAAGAGATAAAGAAGTTTCAACCCCTTTCGCATAGACAGAGAAACTATGATTCCAAAGGAAGCTATCTCATACCATGGTCACGACATTGGTTTTGGTACAATACGATTTCAACCTTTTTTATCGATGGTCACTCGACATTCGTGTTTGCAGCAGCCACGCACTCAGCCACCTTTGAGTCCTTCAATCACCTAGTGATCCTCCACTTATCCAAGGTCCTTCTCTGCATTCGCAAGTGGAACGTGATTATTTCAATAATAGAACGTTGCAATCTTGTCTGTTAACCGAGGGTTAGCAACTTCAAGGTCATTCAGTAGCTGTATTAAGTCCATGGAAATGGACTTTGATCAGGCCATCGTGCAAAAGAACGAGGGTATGTGTAACGAACGAGCTTACGCTGAAATGAACCGCCCAACTGGGCTTCACACAGTTTTTTCTCTGGAGCAATATTGAAAAAGAGAAACGAGCTAATCACTAAAATAGCCAGTGTGCAGACGCGAGGATTACTACACGAGATTGTCTAATTTCTAGAGGGTTGCTTTGTTGTTGGACATCTGCTTTGACTTAGATTACCTTGCATGACCTATCGTGTTCCAAGTTATATGAACCACCGCGACTCTCCCGAACCCAGACTTCATGAATCGTGCCGACATTAAGCTTGATTGGTCATTGTGTATAGTTTTAAACGTGCCCTGATCGTCCGTTATCACTGGCCGTATATTTGAAATTGAGATTCATAGCTTCAACGTTCGCTACAGTTCAGTCGAATTCTATCAATTAGGTCATTTCATAAGTACAGATAGCATGATGAAGAGAAGCAAATGTAGGCACGGTATGTGAAATTAGTGATCAAATTTGAAAACCTATAGTATATTAAAGCAAGAAGCACTTCGCCTGCCTATAGTAACGTAACATCGCCCACGACAGGCCGATGATCGCTAATAATCATGCCTTCGTAATTGTTGTCCATGATCTCATACTTGTCGACCGTAAATGGAAAGCCGTCTTTGGCACCCAGCCAGATAAAGTCAATCCTGCTGCCAGGCGTGCTATCTGGTTCAAAGGTCGTGTAGGTCGTCCGTAACGCACCTGATACCTTGTTAGGTTGAGCCAAGTCATACATCTCGCCTTGAAAAAACCCAGTATTGGCCAGTGTCTGGAAGGCGTCGGAGTAAGGAGAAGAGTTGAAGTCTCCGGTAAGAGAGACGGCGAGAGGACCATACGCTGCGCGCGCCTGCTGAATCCTGGTGAGGGCCACTTTGATGCCTTCTTGTCGCGCTTGCGCAGAGACATTGTCTAGATGGACGTTGGCATGAATAAACTTCTAGCCTGTACCCAAGTGTTCAAAAACGGCAGTTGTGGTGACGCGTCGGCTGCCAGCTCCCCAACCAAAAGATACCTGATCGGGCGTCGGGGACAGCCATTTGGTCTCCCATGCGATCACCCTCAATTGGTCTGTGCGATACAGAATTGGCGCGTATTCACCTTTGGTGGATCCGTCATCGCGCGCTACGCCAACATGATCCCAGTTGCCGTCAAGGTCGTTCTTGATGTCCTTGAGCTGATTATTCAAGACCTCCTGGAGACCGATGACTGTAGGAGCACCGGAAGGCGCATCATTGACAATGCTGTTGATCATGCTCACAACATGCGGTTCACGACAGCGGCTGGAGGACGCCCAGCAAAAGATATCGAACCAAGGCTTTTCTCCCGACTCACGACCGGAAGCATCATAGCGGATGTTGAAAGTAACGAGGCGAATGGGCAGGGTCGCCAGGGCCGTGTGACCGGTCAGGAAGACCGCCAAGAGAAGGGAATATAACTGCATGGTGCGATGCGCAAAGATTAAAGATGTACAGTTTGATTTATAGTTTGTAAGAACGAATGATTTGTGCGATCGAGACGGTTTAATGAATGACTGGTAACGAACGAGATCAAAGAGTGATTGCGCAAAAGTAGAGAACAGGCAAAGTTTGCGTTGGGTGTGATATTAAATAGAAACCAATCTCTCTACAGCACTGTGGACCAACATGGCAGGTGCCGAAAAATGAGCTAGATACTCTTGACCTGTCCAGGCATGCATGAATATGAACGGCGCTAAATCGGGCCGGAAGGGAGGATAATGTCTTAACGAGGACTAGAGATAACCCGACACCCAACTTGAAAATGAATCGTTCATTGATAAATAGTGGTTTCCTAATCATTCTTACTGGGGGATGAAGCGAAACTTTAAGATTGTGTATCAATGCGGTTTGAATGAGCAGAGTTGAGAGTCCGAAAGCATCCCTTGATGAAGAATCAAGCGCGTTTGCAAATACTACGGTATGAAGCCTTTGTACGGTCTTGAATAGTACGGATCCGTCCAGGAGGATGGATCTATAAGATTCCTATACATTTCAATACAGTCGATAGCTTCCATGTACATCCACCCCACGTCTTCATGTTCGTTATCCGTCTCACCGTCTTCCCAACCTTCAGCTGTAGTTGTCGTTCTGTCGCCTTTCCAATCCGTGGTCAAGATTTTGACATAAGGACCCATTATCAAGTCAGGATGATCTAAAGATCGCAGGCAATTGTCGTCCACAAATAAACAGAACTGCCATCTCGTAGGCATGGTTATCGCTGGGTGATGTGGGTCAACGTCCCAGAAGGGATCGTTGGCTGGAATATCGCTGCGCAACATCTTATGGATTTCCGCTTTTCCCCCCCACGTGTCTGGTTTCTTGAAGCGAGGTGTAAGATCATTGGCGACCCAGGCCCGGAAAGCGTCCCGAACCGTGTGCGAATCCGCGCCAGCCAATGTCTTCTCGTCCTCGATAACAATCAGCTCATAGTGAGCAGCAAGGTATGGCTGGCCTTCGTCAGATAAAGCTTCCTCGACATCACGAAGCTTTTCAATGATGCGAGCGAATGGAGCGTCACTTTCGGGTCCGTAGGCTGTGCGAAAGACAACAAAGCCCCACGGCGCCCCAGGGTGAAGGTCGGTATGATATAGGCTTTCAACTATTTCGTCGTATTCTTTGGGTCTTCTTCTTGATGTGGCTTCGGCCGAATCTTCGTGGTTGTTCATCTCGCCAAGTCTTTCTTCGACGCTGGTGGCTAGCGATCGTCCGAGATGTTCTGATAGCGCTGACTGGACTTCTTCGAGCTTTCGAGTTGTCTCCTTTATGTCTTCCCAGCTAATTGCGGACATCGCTTTAGTCTCACCAACACTCCGTGTGTATTCTACCGGATTTCCGGTTTCTGCGATATGTTCTAAGAGCAGTGCACGGACACGTTGATCGTGGGATTGACTGTCCACACGCTTAGGTGCATTTGAAGACTCTTCTAGATTTTGTTGTTCTTGGATGGCTGTATGTTCTTCGCCGGGGGAAGTCGGTATTATTCGCTGTAGCCCATCTGAGAATGTCGCGAACTTCCTTCGCACAGTAGAGTGCGGTGCACGAGGGATATGGACAATGAGCCTGCTCACCAACCACAAAGGTCGGGGCGGGCGATGCATTAGCACTTCTGTTTTAGATGCGCTATTCGTATGGTTTCATCATACATGACGCGAATTTCGTGCAATCAATGTCGTTCAGCATCAATCTGTCAGTGACACGATGAAAAGTGATGGATCGAAATCAGAAGGAGGACATGCGCTATGTTATACAATGAATGATATAGTACTTGAATGGCACTATTCTGTTTTAGCACTAGTGGTAGAGCGTGCGCCAGATCCTACACTCCTCTGGACGCCGACCTGTCAGCACAAGATTGCGCTTGCTAATTCATCCACAATTCCCTAGCAACTATCTCCCTTTGTAGACAAATTTCATTTTCCGGGCGTTGACTACGCCGCCCGCCCGTCTCACTGTGCAAAAATACTAGCTGTTCCGGGTGAATTGTGTTCAGTAAGGGGGCGGAAATGGTACAGACAGGGGTCATCTTTTGCTGTGCCTCATGAATGCCATTTCGACCTAAGTATCCCCGCCAGCCCAGTTTACGTCTACCTACGAATTCTTCTTGACACCTCCCCTTAAATCACACTATATCTCAGCTTCGACCCCACTGACTATTGCTACCATGTTTCAAGCGCTCTGGCAGCAATATTTCCCCCCTAGCCCTACGTTCACAGAAGAGAATGTCGCTCCCAGCAGCCAGCAGGGCAAGGTCTTCATCATTACTGGCGCCAACCAGGGAATCGGATTCGAGCTGGTGAAGATGCTTTACCATACAGGTGCCACTATCTACCTTGCTGGCCGCTCGCGTGAACGTGTCGAGCAAGCCATTAAAGAGGTTACCGGATCCCAGAAACCGGCCACTCCGGCCACTCTCAAGTACCTACATCTAGATCTCAACGATCTCGCCACCATCAAAGCTTCAGCTGCCGCATTTGCTTCTCAAGAGACTAGGCTAGACAAGCTCTGGAACAACGCAGGCATTGGCGGCAATCCTGAAGGCACAACGACGGCTCAAAATATCGAAGGTCACGTGGGAGTGAATTGTATTGCGCCTCTCCTCTTCACCCAAGAGCTCCTTCCTCAACTCCAGCAAGCTGCCAAAACTGCGGACCCGGGCACCGTGCGCATCATCTGGACAGGCTCCTTGATGATTGAGTCCATGGCTCCCTCGGAGGGCGTGCAGTATGAACACCTCGAAAAAGGCAAAACAACAAACTCGAACCGCGATTACGCCATGTCCAAGGTTGGTAATTGGTACCTCGCGATTGAAGCGGCCCAACGCTGGTCCAAGTACGGTATCACAAGTGTCGTACAAAACCCCGGCAATCTTCTGACAAACATATACTCCCACCAACCCAAGATTCTGATGGCTATTCTGAAGCTAGTTCTATATGCGCCCAAGATGGGCGGATACACACTTTTGTATTCAGGCTTCACATCTGACGTCGATATTGACAAGAACAATGGCGCGTACATTCGTCCTTTTGGCATTTTGGCCCCCAACGGCCGACAAGACATCTACAAGAAGATTGCCGAGGGTGCGCCGGGCAAGTTCTGGGACTGGTGCGAGAAGAAATATCAGCCTTATTTGTGAAGCAGAGTAATTGGAACATGAATAGCTGGAGGACGAGGATGGTTCCAACATATGGCAAAGCATTATGTGGGAGTTATGTCTGATGTTCGACAAGATCGTAAAAAAAGCAGGAAAAATGATTCTTCTGCGACGCTGATTACTCGTGAATGTGTCCTCAGAAAAGCATAAATATTCTCAACTCGTTAAGATGTCACATAGCATAGTTTTCCGAAACTTTGGGAAAGTGGCTGCGACCACGATAAAATTGAAAAATATGTTAGTAGCATGGGTAGGCAGTAGAAGTATTTCAGGTCTTCTGTGTAACCATTGGATAAGAGCCGAGACGGGTGGTTAGGAGCCTAATCCTTCGCCCCCCATGCATTCTCTCAGCCTCCCCACAGCTCGTACATGTACACCACACTCAAGAGAGCTGGGATAATGGATGCCAACAGTAATACCGGAGACAAGAGATCGAAGAAAGATCGTGCCCTTGAGAAGGTTAAAGGATGGACATCGAGCAGTAAAAACAAAGATAGAACTGAGGATCTGAAGCAACCATCTCTTGGCTCAGCCTCGCCTGTTACTGTTGGTTCTGGAGTCTTAACACGTCAAGGTAGTTCGAATTCCAATGTACTTTCTCCTGCATTTCCCCATCAAATATTGTCTGCGAGACTGTCAAACACAGTTTATTTTACCTCGTTGGCCACCCTGAGTATACTAATGGCCGCCCCAGATAACGCCTCCCCACAGACAATATCCCCATTGCATGTAGCATCCCAGCCGCCGACTGCAAAAGGATCTCAGACGATGCTCAGTAGAGAAGTAGACACCGATGGAATATTATTGCGCAAACTAGCCATGGGAAAACTCAAGAAAAAACATCAAGATCAGCTCCAACTCCTCGATCGCTCTGCCGAGATCACAATAGTCTTGAATGAGGCAATCATGGTAACGGAAATGAAGCGATACGAATACACAAAAACCAGATCAGCTATCCGCAGCAACGATAAAATCATCAAGCTTGGTAAAAAGGCAGAGTCCATACTAGTGTGGTTGGACAAGGTCAGGACTGTGGGAGATGTAGCTGCTAATGCCGATCCAATACATATCGGTCTACCGTGGGCCGGTATACGGCTTCTACTCATTGTGCGTTTTAAGACATATCCTGCTGCATTTATCGGTGTTAACTTGCGTAGGGATTTGTCGCAGCGAGGCAAGAGTCCACGGCGTTTTTGGTCGGCGTCGAAGCAGTATCCTACATCTCCAATCGACTAAAAGTCTATGTTGACTACTTTCATTCACTCGGCGGAAACAGCGATGCAGAGTTGAGACTCCAAGCAAGCCTTGCTGAGATGTACAGCACACTTTTCAAGTTCATTGCAAAAGCTTTAATTCGTTATGAAAGAAGCAAAACGGAAAATGCTTGGAAGGCCTTTTGGTCGGAAAACAATGTGCAAGTGTTCGAGCGTGAGTGCGAAAGAAACTCCGAGGACGTCGAACGCGATGCGGCGCAGTGTGCAAGAGAGAAGGGAGCCCACGAGCATGATTCGCTGAAGAAGCAACTAAAAGAATTCTCCGAGATTAGGAAAAGCATGGAACGGCTCGAAGTCAAGGTAGACAAGATTTGGGAGAATTTAGAGGAAGATCGCGAAGCCGCGATACTGGGGTGGATATCGCCGATCCATCATGAGGACCTTCACTACAATGCACATCACGGTATCACTGAGGGGACTGGCGATTGGATTATTCAACATCCCACTTTCTTGGACTGGGATAGGGGCATCGGCCCCAAAATTATGTATCTAGCTGGGAATGGTAAGTCTGAGCATCACGCTGCCAGAGACTTAAGTCTTAGGGTCTTTTTGACAGAGCACTCGAAGATTGCATCTGTTCGCTTCTGTCTGGATGAATTTAAACTAACTGTGCACAGTGGGGACCGGCAAAACGAAGCTCACTGCACATAGCATCCAGATCTTCAAGGACTTACTTGCTAGCGATTTCTACTTGCGCAGCCATAACTCAGTGGCATACTTTTACTTCAAAAAGGATGATCCACAGAGAGGAAATCCTTTAAATGCTTTTAGCAGCTTGTTGAAGCAGCTAGCTGTATCCAGCGGGCAGATACACAAGATAGTCGCGGAAGAATATGCCAAAAGACGCGAGACTGGCCATTTGACACTCCCAGAAGTCCACGAATTTCTGTGTACTGCAGTTCAAAGCTACGATAATACCTATCTCATCATCGATGCTTTCGACGAATGCGAAGAGAAAGAGCAATATCGGTTGATTCAGGGTCTAAAAGATATTGTTACGGCTTGTCCCCAGTGCAAAGTTTTCATCTCTAGTCGACCTTATGAGAAGATAAAATCTTTGTTGGAAGGTTGCGCACATCTCGATATAAACTCCAGCAATAACAAGGACGACATCTATATGTTCATCACAGATGAGCTAGCAAAGTGTCAGGTTAAGCGAGAGAAAGAGGGACTTCCACTCATTTCACCTGAAACGGGGTTACACATCATCGATATGCTCATGACACTGTCAGATGGAATGTAAGAATTTATATTCATTTGCTCTGGACAGTATGATTCTGATACACACTTGTAATAGGTTCCAATGGGTTCGGCTCCATCTCGATCGACTACTGGAGTTGGAAACCGACTCGGACATCCGAGAGGAGCTTAAAACCCTACCAGCAGGCCTGGAGAAGACTTACGACCAAATCTGGGCACGCATGCAAGCAATGCCCGGAAAGAGTTTTGAAAGAGCGAAGCGGGCACTTCAGTGGGCTCTATGCGCTCGGCATCCTCAAAGAGAAGACAGACTGTTAGCTGCGATATGCCGTGACAAGACTGTGTCCCCTGGGACTACTAATCTCCAGCTCAAGAGTATTTTTCGCTCATGCCCAGGACTTCTGGATACCGACGATGAACAAAATGTTATTTTCACCCATCTTTCGGTTAGGGAATATTTCGCAACGTTCCATAAAGATCTTGTGGATGACGGGGCAATGGTGACGGCATCCTTCTGTCTCCGCTTACTCTTACACGAAAGCACGTGGACCATGTCTGAAAACCCCACAGACTTCTCAGAAAATGTGGATGATGTCATTGATCTGGTCAAGTATGCCAGGGAATACTGGGCATACCATTGCCAGATTGCAGATGATATTGGGGTAAATTCTTCTGGCTGCATGAAGCTAGTCGAAGAATTCCGGGAATTGCAATCACAGTTCCTCGGGCCTGAAATGTGCTCTACGCCAAGTCAGGCATACTTTGTCTGGGCAAAAAACTATTGTTGGCCGTATCCCATCGAGATCATAAAGGAGCAGCCTGGCACAGACTCTGATTCATTTGTCAACCTCGGGCAGCAGCTACGACCAGACTCTGGCTTCGAGTGGCACAATGACACGCAGCGGCATTACGCAGTTGCCATTGCTGCTTTGTTCTTGCAGCTTGAAACCCCGGTCGCACTGCAATATGACAATCTGAAGAAGAAACTTCGCTTCCGGAAAAATGAAAGCACCCCCAAGGCTTACTGGAATATGCTGCATCTTTGTCTTACAGATGACCTGCAGAATTCCGCATCCAATCATGAAGAAACTGAGGGGGCTACCCCCAGCCATAAAAATCAATATCACCAAGCCTTGGCGTCGTTGGGCATAGTTTCCACGGAAATATTGATTGGTCGCTCAATTGATATAGAGAGAGATCAACGCATAGCTTCCATCACCCCAGAACTTGAATCCGAGATGGCGGGAATTCCGCAAGAAGAGTATGTTGAGGCCATTCGGTGGTGTCTTCAAGGCTTTGAAACCAGGGAAAATAACACCTGGAGACGTGATCTGTTTTTGAAAGTCTACCTGCCATTCTGGTATGCGTGAAAAGTTTCGCGATGAAGAAAGCGGATTGTAGGAGAATATATGGCCGAGCCTAGGTTTGGATCACGGGAATGACAAGGGGAACTAGGTTCGAGTACTAATATGGCAGCTATTAGCTGGACCTCTCGCAAGTAGCATGCGCATAAGCTTGCTGCTTAATCTATACATCGACAGCTGTGAAGTGCAAACGCTGATACATCCCTTGAGATAATCATCCCAAAGCTCTGCATTCTCATCTAATCTCAAAACTTAATCATACCAAACAGCATTCATCCCAAACCCTTTCTCTCCAATCTCCAACCTCGCCACTCTCGCCAAAAACTCCTTATGCCATCTATAGATTTCAATGCCACCCTTCTCATCATCCGTCAGCGCTAGCCATTCGTCTGTCCACGGGCACGGGCTGACAGCATTGCTGTGGCCGCCGGAAGTGGGGGTGGGATTGAGACAGATCTGGCGTTCGACGGCGCCGGAGGGAGCGATGGAGAAGGCGGCGATGTAGCCGGTGAGGTCGAAGGAGTTTGCGCGCGAGGTTGCAAAAAGGTATTTTGAGGATTGAGTGAGGAATACTACGTCGGATCGGTACATGTGAGGGTTTGGGATGTCTGTTTTTGGGATTAGCGGAGTTCCAAGTGTGAACGACAAGCACGTGACCCTCCGATTATGTCTGTGGGTGTGATCAAGTTGGGTCATTTGGCAGTCCATCATGTCCAAGATCTGCTCGTTGTCGCTTTTGCGTATACCTGGGGACTGTACAGGAAAAGATAAATGCTTACCTGGTGGGATCAACGGCCAGCATCGCTCCGTGTATATAGGAAGTTTCGTTTTCGGATCAACAACGTACTCGCAAATTCGATTCCCCGCTTCCATCAGAACATATAGAAATCGGCCGTTGGGATGGCATTCGACCCATCGCGGATGATCCTTTGCTCCTGGCGCTTCTGTGTAGCCTACTGTTTCTACCCTACCCTCATCATCAATCTTCTTGTGACACCATATTCGATTTGCCCACATGTCGGAGGAGTATAGATAGGTTTCGGTAGGGTCGAAGACCATTCCGTGTATAGCAGTCTGAGGGCAGTATTCGTAATCTTGGATGTTCTTGTCTAATGCGCCCGAAGGGGTGACGGAGAAGACGTTGCCGAATCCTGCATGATCGTAGAAGGGGTTGCAGTAGACGTTGTACGGTGGTTTGCGCGCTGGGAGGAGGAATATCGCGCGAGTTTTGGTTGAAGCATATTTTGCTTTTGCTGTATTGCGTTCAGTACATGTAATGACGAGGGGTGCAATTGGACGTACGGTCTCCCCCAATCTCAAAGCTGCCCGTATGTACAATCTCGCTGGGGCTATCTATGCGATGGGAGCTCCATTTCTTCATGCTTGCGCCGTAGACATTTTTTCTTTGGTGCTGTATAAGTCGGACAAGTCAGTAATGGGATGTGATATGTCACCTTCTACAGCCTTCAATTGCCATGCTAAAACGAAGAAAAAACACATACATCCAAAGCCATCCAGCTAATGGGCTCATCTTGAGGAATTTCAGTCTTCTTGACCAACTCAAGAGTCAATTTCTCATCGTCGAAAGCCACAGTGATGATGACGCCTGGGGGAGTCCATGTCCCTATCATGAGATGATGCTTCACCATTTTGTCGCGATATAACTACAAAAACGAAGTTCAATGAGATCCAAAGAGAAAATTGAGCACCCAGAAACTTCACAGGATCAACTCCTGGTTACGTATAGCTCTTTTGCACCCCGCCGAGGCCGTACTCCGAAGGCGGGGCATCGTGGTATGGCGGCGGATAAAGACATATCCAGCCTTCTTCCAGTAATACAGCTGCTGTGATTGGCCACCATCCCTGTCGTCTGTCGCTTAGATCCGCCTAGCATCTGCCCCGCATCCAAAAGTGTCGGCACCTGGACTACGTTGGAATGCGCCGAAGAGCAGCCAAACAGCCGTCCATCTAGCGACACTGCAATAGACAGCCGGGCCCTGGTGCCGTTGCAGATGCCGCCGTCTTTCAGAAAAGGTCATGGTCTGATGCATTCGGATCTGAGCACGGGGACGCGGTTCCCTGGGGTTGGGTTTCTATAAAGGACCTGACCCCGTCTGCCATTTCCCATACTTCACACCACTTGTACAACTTCATCCCATTTACTACTTACTCTACCTTTCATCTCAAGTCCAATCAGGCACCCAACTCTTTCAAACTTCTCCTCCACCACACTCACAATGTCTTCCGAGACCAAGCAAACGGCTCCTGAGGTCCAGAGCGGCTCAGCACCCCACCGCTTCGACCCCAACTTCACTGATGCCGTGATCAACGCCATGGGCCCCAACACCGACCCTCGCCTCCGCGTCGTCATGTCCTCCCTCATCCGCCACCTCCACGACTTCACCCGTGAAGTCGAACTCACAGTCGACGAGTGGATGGCCGGCGTCAAATTCATCAACCTCATCGGCCAAACCTCGACCCCAACCCGCAACGAAGCCCACCGCATGTCCGACGTGCTAGGCCTCGAATCCCTCGTCGACGAAATCGCCCACAAGCACGTCAACGAGTCCGGCGAAGAACCAACCTCCTCCTCCATCCTGGGCCCCTTCTGGTCCCCCAACGCCCCCTTCCGCGAACTCGGCGGCTCCATCATCCAAGACCCCGCCCCCAACGGCCAAACCACCCTCATGCACGGCGTCATCACCGACCTCGACACCAAGAAACCCATCCCCGGCGCCGTCATCGACATCTGGCAGGCCTCGGCAAACGGCCGCTACGACTTCCAGGACCCGGAAAACCAATCCCCCAACAACCTCCGCGGCAAGTTCCGCACAAACGACAAGGGAGAGTACTGGTTCTACTGCTACAAGCCTACTGCCTACTCGCTTCCTACCGATGGTGCTGCCGGTGAGCTGTTCAAGGCTCTCGATAGACACCCCATGCGTCCCGCGCACATCCATCTCATGATGACGGCTGAGGGTTACAAGCCGGTTACTACGCAAATCTACCCCCGCGACGACCCGTATGTGACCAACGACACCGTGTTTGCGGTCAAGGATGATTTGCTCATCGATTTCACGCCCAAGCAGGGCGATGAGAAGGCTACGTTGGATTTGGTGTACAATGTCAGGTTGGCGCCCAAGGATGGTAAGACGGCCGCTATGGAGGGTGTTGCGCGGCTGTAGATGAAGACAGCTTTTGATACTCAGTGGTGAAAAGTCCTTGTCTATAGAATGGACGGTCATGGGGGGTCGTTCAACACCCCGTGGAGTTTTGCTTTTGTCGATTTGTATCTATTCGACTGTCATTTGGGTTTATTGTCTTTCTACTTTAGCATAGCATTTGTTCGTATTCTTTGATGGTCATCACCTGTATATATTTCTTGAGAATGACACATTTGATCAACTTCAAAATCTCTCTTGTTCAATTGGTGATTCTTGTTCGATGGTGGACAACAATCTGATGACCAAGCAGATAAGCAAGGCTTCAGATATCAATGAACATTAATCATAGTATCCTACGAAAACGAATATAGTGCGCTGAGGTTGGACATTGATATATATACGCATGCAACGCTATGCCTTTTCTGAAAAAGAACCATCCCAATCAGCTTCAACGAGAAAAAAAAAACAAACAGAAGACAAAACGCCTCAATCTCGAACCCATATATATTTTGATATTCCCCTTCCTCATTCCACACCGAGACAAAACTACCGCTCCGCAAACTCCTTGTTAAAAGCACGTCCAATCACCATCCTCCTAACCTCACTCGTCCCCGCCCCAATCTCATACAACTTGGCGTCCCGCAAGATCCTCCCCACGGGAACCTCATTCATATACCCCATACCACCCATCAACTGCACCGCATCAGCCGCGACTTCACTCGCCCTCTCGGCGGCATACAGAATCGCGCCAGCGCAATCCTGTGTGCGGATTTCAGGGTTCTCGTGACTCTCATCCACCGCACGAGCCACTGCGTACGTAAACGCAGCACTCGCTCTATACTTGGTATACATGTCCGCGAGTTTCCCCTGGACGAGCTGGTTTGTAGCGATGGGAGCGCCGAATTGGCGGCGCTGGTGGGTGTAAGGGAGAGCAGCGTCGAGGGAGGCTTGCATGAGGCCTAGAGGACCTGCGGAGAGGACGAGGCGCTCGAGGTCGAGACCTTCCATGAGCACGCGGACGCCTTTGTTCAGCGGGCCGAGGACGTTGGAGGAGGGGACGAAGACGTTGTCGAAGGCGAGTTCGCCTGTGTTGGAGCCGCGCATGCCGAGTTTGTCGAGTTTCGAGACGATGGAGAAGCCTTTTGCGTCGGCGGTTTCGAGGATGAAGGCTGTGATGCCTTTGGAGGCGCCGTCGGGGATTGTTTTCGCGTAGACGATTATGGTGTGTGCGTCTGGGCCCTGTAGATTGGAGTGTTAGGAGAGCTCTGTGGTACCAAGGGAATAGGTAGGTGAACGTACGTTTGTGATCCACATCTTCGAGCCATTGAGGAGGTAGCCACCATCTACTTCTTTCGCAGTTGTCTTCATGCTCACGACGTCACTTCCAGCAGAGTGCTCCGACATGGCCAGCGCGCCTATTTGCTGGCCAGAGATCAGACCAGGGAGGAATTTTGCTTTTTGTTCAGGCGATCCGTTGAGCATGAGTTGATTGACGCATAGTTGCGAGTGGGCGGCATATGAAAGTGCTATGCTACCTGTTCATGGTCGTCAGTATAGAGAGATCCCAACAGCCTCAGTTATCGAACTCACCGCTCGCCCTACTCATTTCCTCCATGACTACACAATGCGCCTGGTATCCCATGGCCAGACCACCGTATTCCTCATCTGCAGTAATTCCCAGGAAACCTGCTTCTCCAAGTTTCGGCCAAATGTCATTGGGGAACTCGTTGATCTGATCCGTCTTTTGAGCGAGCTCCTGCGGTATCTCTCTTCCTGCAGTGTAGAAACATATCAGCGCATATCCGTATATCACCTGGTTCCCCTGAAGGCTCAATCAAGACTCACTCGTGAACTCCTGTACACGCTCTCTCAGCTCATCAAGATCACTCTGTGTCGGTGGCTCGAAATCCTTTGGATGTTTCGTCGACGCATACCGTCTGCCCTGCACAAACGCCGCGCGAGGAATGCCGCCGCTCCTACACACTTGTCTGGCACTGCGCGCGAAGATTCGGGGTGTAATTGAAGCCATCTTTTGGAGAAATCAAATTGTGTCTGAAACGAAAGAGTGACCTCTGTGGGGAATTCAACAAAGTTTGGCTCACACGTCTTGGAGAGTTGCATGGCAATTGACCATGCGGATCGTAGCGTGGGCCGCGGTTCGGCTAGTTGCGGGGCGCACGGGCCCTGGCTTTTCGCGGAGAAAAATTGGGGTGCGGGATACTGCCGCGACTATCCATCCCGTCTATATTGAATGCACTGACAAGATTTGTTGTCTATTTCTACGGGCAGGACAAACGTCTATTCTCGGAACGTATACACACTTGTAGGAGAAAACAGTCCGATCGACCAATCAACCTTCTCTTAACATGACATAATCCTACAATTCATCAACGCCCTTCATCGCTCTCCCATTACACTCCCCTACATCTAGCGCAACCAAGAACCTCGACACGCAATTATACGCCGCAATAGTAGCCGTCAGTTCCACAACCTGTTTATCGCTCAGAAACGCCTTCAACGCCTCCGCAATGCCATCGTCAACCTCCACTCCTACTGTCATCTGATCTGTATATCTCAACACAGCCCACTGTTCCCCTGTCAATCCTCCTCCCTCCTCCTTTCCTACCTCATCTCCCTTCTTGTGAAGTTTAGTGTCGAAGACAGTTTTCATGCCATCTCGTTCCACTCCTGCCTTTACAGCTAACGCAGCATGGATATCCCATTCATGCACTGCTTTGTTGAGCACCGCGATCCTGGAAATTGCGAGTTCTTTGAGGGTTTCTGGGACGCTGGTTTGCGTGCGAATAGCGCCGATGAAGGAGTTCCAGCCGTCGGCAACCGCCGGGTTGTGTAGGAGTGCGAGATCGAGTGGGATCAAAGGTCTTGGTGCGCGGCGGGCAGCGATACGCGAATAGATTGGTTCTGCAGCGGCGTCTGGAGGTGTGGTGGGAGCATAGGGGACGCGCATCTTGAAGAGTGTGGTTGTTGTGAAGGTGAGTCTTTGTATAGGGTTGCGAGTTCGGAGGGTAAGGAAGTGGCGTGAGTGGAGCATGCGACTCTGGTGAGTGAAATTTTTGATATTACGAAGGAGGAAGATCGGTCTTGTATGAGATTGATGGTTGTTGTAGTTGTGTTAGCTCATGCATCACGGACATGGACTCGGTAGTTTGGTGGGGATTGGATTCTTCCGGGCTGCGACGGCGGCGCTCCACAGACAAGTTCTTGGAATTTTTGCGAGGTAACTATCCATGTTTTACTTCGAAGTTGAGTTTGATACGTGATATTCGCAGTTCTATCCTCGTAGTAAAATTCCAATGCTAAGAAAAGCTGATTCCTAGACTTAGAGACGAACGTAGGGGAATTATCTGGGCAAGGAAGAGTGATTCCTAAATTTATGCGATACTGTACATTCTGATCACTACATGCGCGACCAATCTTCACAGAAATCGCAATTGCATGTAAGAACTGCGTTGAAGACACAAACGATGGTTTCCGATGCCTGTTCCGAACTCGGAACCGAGGCGGGCAGATGGCGTTGATAGTGGGGTCACCAACTACCGGCAAATGTCATCGGCGACGCGGGGGAGGCGGAAGAGAGAAACTCCAGTTGCATAAATCTGCTTTACATGACGGAGCGGAAACGCGGTTTCATTTCAGTTTCCCTTCATCTTCCGTCCTATCAATCGAATTGAAGAAGGATTCAATATCACAACACTGCAACTGATCGCCCAAAAAAGACATAGTCATCACGACAAACACGCTACAGACTTGAGAATTCACAATGGCGTCGCAAAAGGCAGTGCCGGGCATTTTGTATGTGACGATGGAGCCCAAAGAAAACCTTCCCATCACACAATTCCATGACTGGTAAGTAACATTGCATTCTCTTTAGCACCATCGTGTCTAGTCGTCTCCAATCCTCTCTTCAAGTCCACTACCCTCTACTATCGCCTTATCTTAAATCACCCTCACACGTCATTCCCAGGTACAATAACGAACATGGTCCCGGACGTCTCCGTCTCTCGTTCTGTCAAAACGGTTTTCGGTATCGCGCGAACGACCTCGAAGGCGGAAAAGGCTCCCAAGAAAAGCCAGAATGGATGGCCATCTACGACATTGAAGATATGGCATACCTGACACAGGATGTTTACACAAGGCTCCGCAAACCTCCGGTACAGAGCCAGCGAGAAAGAGATACAATGAAGAACATCCATGTAGACCGACGATTCTATGACTTCGTGGATGGTGGAGAGTGGACAGCACCAGAATATGAGAGACTCGAACAAGTGAAGAAGGAAGGAGAAGGTAATGTTATGGTTGCTGTGTATCTCAGCCTGCGAGATGGTGAGGCCAACGAGCAAGAGCTGGCAAAATGGTATCAGGAAGAGCATGTCCCATTGCTAAGCAAAGTACCCGGATGGCGAAGAACACGCCGCTTCGTAACGAGCCATCTTGATATCGCTGAAGGGAGAGAGAAGGTGTATCTAGCACTCCACGAATACGCCCCTTCCAATGGTCTAAACGGTCCAGAGTTCAAGACCGCAACAACCACACCCTGGACGGAAAAAATGTACTCCTCGGTCATCGACAGTAAAAGTCGCAGAGTCTACGACCTCTACTACACCTTCGGACCCGCCCCACGCGACCTCACTTCCCTAACCTCTCCCTCCGCCATCTCAGCCGAATCCACAGACGCCCTCACAAAGACAACTCCATCAACCTCCAACCCTACCATTGAGTCTTACATAACGACTCCCGACGGCGTCAAACTCCCTTACCACCTCTCAGGTTCATCTTCACCAACTGCTCCCCTCCTAATCCTCATCAACTCAATCCTCGTCTCCCACGAGATCTGGTCAGACTTCACTACCGCCTTCCTCGCCTCCACAAACAACAGATACCGCATCTTGCGCTACAACACGCGCGGCCGCACTACCCTCCCTTCATCCTCAACATCCGACATCACAGTCGACACCCTCGCCAGCGACGTAATCACCATCATGGACGCACTGCGCGCCAAAACCGCAGCAGTAGCGGGCGTCAGTCTAGGCGGTGCGACATCACTCAACGTCGCTCTCAAGTACCCCTCGCGCATCACCGCTTTTGTAGCATGCGACACGAATAGTGTCGCGCCAGCCGGTAACCCGAAAGCGTGGGGCGAGCGCATCGCCATGGCTGAGAAGGAAGGCGCATCCGCTCCTGTTCCTGCTTCTCAGACTGGGGAAACGGAACCGATTGTTGGGTCTGAACTTGCGGAGGTCACGGTGCGGAGGTGGTTTGTGGAAAAGAGCTATGCTTCTTCTACGCTTGCACCTAAGATTGAAGAGGTGAAGGAGATGGTGAGGACGAATTCGTTGGCAGGGTTCAAGGATAGTGTTAAAGCGTTGTATAAGTACGATTTCAGGGATGAGATGAAGGGGTTTGAGGGGAAGGGGATGTTTTTGGTGGGTGGCGGCGACGGGGTCTTGCCGAAGACTATGCGAGAGATGGCAGAAGGACTGGGCAAAGGAGTGGAGCTGAAGGTTGTGGAGGATGCGGGACATTTGCCCATGGTCGAGAAACCGGGGGAGGTTGCGGGACTCATCAAGGAGTTTTTGGAAGGTTGAAAAGCCGCAGTTTGTATAATATGATACAGTGGGTTATGAGACAAACGCGAAGTGAGTCTTGGGGTGTATACTTAGCAAGCGTTGCAATGCAATTGTAAGTGAGAAAGAATATTAAAATCTGTCATTATACCCCGTTATTACGCTTATTATGGGTATTGAATCTGCCCTTGATGAAAGACTGCGTTATGCCACGTTCCACACGTGTTTCATTGCTTCGAGTCGTCTACTCTTCATACTGACTGCGTTGATATCGTTGACCCAAATGACCCGTGCCTCGTCTGCGGCCATGAACACCCAAACCCTCTCGCTATCAAAGGGCTGCTGGGAGCTACAGTCAGCGGTTCTAGGCCTATACTGTCTTCAAAATTACATCATATCACAATATTCTTAAAAAAAATGGCAGCTAGAGGGGTATAATCATCCTTGTTCTCTCAACCCTAACTCTATTATCCTCGTCCCCTTCCCATCCCTAACACCAAGATTCCCACACGCCACCAACGACACCCCTTCAGCAATATATCAACACTCCCCCAAAACAATCCCCTTCTCCCCCCTAGCCTCTCTCCAAACATTCGTCACCCTAACAATATCCTCACACCCTTCCAACAACCACCCCCACTTCTTCGTAAACCCTTCACTTACCTCCCAACTCTCAACCCGCCACGGCTCCCCCCAAACAAGCAGCCCCTTCGCCGCACACTCATCATACCCCTCATACAGCCCCCCACATGTATCAGCGCAAAGCTCGTCTTCATCAAAGAGTTTAGCAGATCCACGTTGAAAATCTTCTCCGTGAGTGGGGTCAGCGGAGGAAGGGAAGACGGATGAAGGACACGCGCGGATCAAGTTATCTCGCATTCTCGCGCAGGGGAAACTGTCGATCCAATCAGCGTGCGGGATGGCTTTTTGTAGGGCTGTACGAGCGAAAGTTGGTGGTGGGGTTGAAGGGGGGTGGTGTGCTAGTGGGAGGTTTAGAGCGTTGCGGCATTCGAGAGGGACGGCGTTGAGGATGTTACATAGGACCTTTGTTCGCATGAGCTGTCAGTAGAAAGTTGGAGGAGGAAGTGCGGAGATGCTGGAATAAGGGGCGTGGATGTGGTGTCGGGGAATATGTACCATATTTTCGAGGATAGCGCGCATCACATTATACTGGATGAGCGTGAGGAGGTGGTGGTCTGCGGAGAGCGGGAAGTGAGCGGGGATGGTGAGGAAGGTGGAGGAACGCTCTGACGGCCATTGAGCAGGGGTAAGATATGGGATCAAAGGCGGGTAGGCTTTGTAGGTAGTGATATTTGTGAAGGCGGATGTAGCTGCTTCCTGATCTGCAAGTTAGTCATGCACGCAGTGTATTTGCGGTGAATTTAAAGCACTGAGGCTTCAAAACCTGGCACTCCAACGTTATGAAATTTGGTTCGATATGAGGCTCTTGCGATCGATGAGATCTGGCACAAGATAGAATAAAGAAAATACAGTGATATACCCAAGGGTTCAAACAAACATCGAACATTTGAATACAAGTGCAACGTGATTTCGCATGACGTTGCATGGGAATAGTATCTTGAGCTCTTTTAGATCATCAGGGAAGACTTACAAAGGCAGCGAGTAGTGTATCGGAGGTAGCATAATTTGAAGTCGATTCCTCACTGGAATTCGATGCAGTGTACTTCGACTTCTCCTCAATTTTCTTGCGGCCTGCATACGTTGATGTCAGCGATCGATCGATCAATCCAAACCTCTAAGCCCGTATGTAGAACTAAGGAAAAGAGAATCAGATGAGAAACCTACGCCATGCTCTTTGATGCAATCGATTCTGCGCTTTCCTTCTTTCCTTCGCATCAGTTGTGCCCGTCCAGTCATCTCGCGCGTCCCGAGCCTAGACGATTGCACCATGGCGGTCTCAGTTATGGGGAAACTTGCACCTAAACGGGGATAACGAGGTGTTGTTGTGGGATAAAGCTTACATCTTTCAACTGCCGTTTCCCGACTATACGAATCGGCGCTCCACCACCCATCCTCCCTTCCACGGTACTCCCTGCAAGCAGCATCTGGAACTTCGTCCAAATGTGAAGTCTGCCTTCTGCGCAGTCTTACTCATCTACAGATGGGGATGTATCAAGACGGACGAACGATCACGGACAACGAACTTCGCTAAAAGAACGAGGGTCGGAAAGAAAAGCAATAGTGATTCGGTCTTCCGCGAACAAAACAATCGCAGAAAGGAAGATTTTACGACGAGACTGTAAGAGTGCGAGGGCGTAAGTTGAAATATCTCATGCAACTTGCTTATCGTCCGAGCTTCTCTCCCTTGTCCATCGTCCCCCAGAACCATCAAGCTCAAGAAGAAACGACGCTAATGCAACTTGCTTATCCCCGTACTAACCCATTTTGCACAAGTGTACAATGAATCCAGTCCCAAATAAAGAAAACATGGTAGCGCGGCGTCGGGCCGTGCACTGCCCTCCGTTAACATCGGACATTAAATGTGCAAAACCGCAGATACGGACGTGCATTTCCTACACTACGTTAGTGGTTTGGTGGTCCGGTTTGGGTCATTGGAGGGAAGCTGGTCGTGTTAATCGTGGAAGATGCAAAAGTAGGAGGACGCTTTGGATATCTCCGTAGATTTACGTCCATGACGACGAGGCGTGTTTGAGTGAGGGATGGGATATATAAGAGAAGGTGTGGGTTGAGGAATGAGGAATCATCATCTTCAGTTCATATCAAGGCTCCTCTTCACTGCGACAGATCAGTACTTCCAACGACAGAAAAATTAATCTTTGATAACATCTATCTCCAACCGAGTTCGTCGATAAACGATTATTCAAAATGCCATCACAGCTCAAGGGAAAAGTGGACTTCAACCCTGTCAAAGACATCCCCTCGCTCGAGGGCAAGGTGATCTTCATCACAGGAGGTGAGTCTTTTCTCTCCCGCATCCCCCAACTCCCTACCTAATCTACCCTCCATACTAACTCAAACACCCCACAGGCTCCGCAGGCATAGGCGCAGAAACAGCCAGACAACTCGCCGCCCACAACCCCTCTCAGATCTACATATCAGGCCGCAACGCCTCAGCCGCCAACACACTCATCAAAGAGATACAAACCGAGCACCCCTCGGTCCCCATAACCTTTGTCCAAATCGACATGCTCTCCCTCGCGTCCGTAAAATCCGGTCTCGCAGAATCCTTCACATCGACCCGCCTCGACATCCTCGTAAACTGCGCAGGCGTAATGTGCACGACCGCAGCCCTCAGCAAAGACGGCTACGAAAACCAATTCGCAGTGAACCATCTCGCGCACGCACAGCTCACTTCGGTCTTACTACCGACGCTACTTCGTACGGCGGCACTCCCCGACGCTGACGTCCGCGTCATAACTCTCTCCTCGCTAGGGTACGGTCTTCACCCGTCAGAAGGCATCTGCTTCGACGAGCTCAACGCCGGAAGCACAATGACGCGTTTCATCTTCGGCCGCTGGATGCGCTATGGCCAGTCTAAACTCGGGAATGTGCTGTTCGCTTTCGAGCTCGCGCGGCGTCACCCTTCCATCACGTCTGTGGGCGTGCATCCGGGTGTGGTGCAGACGGGCATGAATTCGGGCCAGCCGTGGTTGAACCGCAAATTTGTCGAGTTCACGAATTGGTTGCAGGGGATCCAGTTTCTGGAACCTGAGCAGGGGGCTTGGAGTGGAGTTTGGTGCGCTGCGGCTGCGAAGAAGGAGGAGTTGAGGAACGGTGGGTTTTATGTGCCTGTGGGGTATGATGGAACGGAGGAGATGATCCGGAGGGGAAGGGATGCTGAGTTGGCGGCGAAGTTGTGGGATTGGACTGAAGGGGTTCTGGAGAAGTTTCGTTGATGGGGTTGGGTTTGGTGTTTGCTTTGTCTGGTGTTTCTCTCTTCAAATTGGGATAAGTTGGATATAGTAGCTTACAACATATGTATTATTTCCTTTGTGGTTGATTTTTCTCTTTTCGCAAATATGCTATTAGTACAATTGATCTCTCATGCATTTACATGCGCCTCGAATGACCAAGGACGGATAGGCTGAGTGCGTCATAGGTTCCTCCTATTGAAAGCCCAATAAGCCTTCCAAGGTAGTTTCCAATCCACTTTCCTCAGTCTCTGATCGAAGAGGTCGAAATCAACGGCCTGCAAGCGATCTAGCCATGATTGAGTTGCGATACTTGGCATGAAGACGCCGAATGCCCTCTCTACCTCTGCAAGTTTCCCCTCTTTTCCACTGCTGTTCTCGTCGTGGTCGTATCGGTGTTCTGCATCGGCGGCGTGTTCGAAATCGTGCCCAAGATCCCCGTCAGTGCGCAGTTTGGCCAACATTTCTCGAGCGGTGATGAGGTGGTCATTTGCCCGCGTAGCGACTGTGAAGACGGCGTCGCGCAGGCCTGGTGCCTCGGCGCCTAAACGAAAGATATCCTCCTCTTTCACGCCAGAAGATGCCATAACATCGAGAGGAAGAAGAACTGCACCTTGAGTTGAGCCGCCTGACCCTGCGATACCACCGCTTGTGCCGAGTGGTTGCGGTGGAGGGAATGCAATGAATGGGATGCCACGGAGGACAGCGGCGATTCCCATCGCTTTTCCAATATGAGAAGCAATGTGGTCTGTGGTAATGGAGGTTTGCGGGAGGGCAGAGAGGGTGAGATAGAGCGAAGTCGAATATGTGTTTTCGGAATATGTTTCTAGAGCGGCGAGGTCGGGGTACGGAGGGTTCCCTAGAGTCTGTTCGCGCGTGTTGATGATGCGATGGAACCAGATCTTGCTAAGTTTCGATCTCCCATCGGTTCGATGATGGAGATCTTCGGCAGCTTTAGACAGGAGAATAGCGACAGGCTCTTTTGGAGGAGTTCCTGCAAGCGATTTTGTGATGGTGTCGCGCCAGAACTGCATGCGCATCATGCCGACTGTGGGGGTGCTTGTTGTATCAGCCACCCGCGCCACGTCGACATTGAAAGCCCGTATAGCAAGATAAGCATCGCGCGAGGAAGGTGGAATGAATGTTTGCAGGACGTGGGACGGTGTATCGTAGGTTTTTAGGAGATTGGCACAATATGCGCGCGCCCGGGCGACCTCATCTTGTGAGGGAGAAGCGGGGTTGTTGCGATTTGGCGGGGAAGGGTGGAATTGCCGCCGAAGTGATAACTGATTGAAGCTGGTGTTGCATATGCGTCTTCGGATGTAGGATGTGGAAACGGAGATGTGTGGAGGTTGCATTATAGGCACTGCGGAGGCGTGATTACGATTTTTTATGGGAATCGTCTGGGAGCCATTGGCTGGATATTATAAGATGGAGAAAACTCTGGATAAGAAAGGGAGAAGATAGAAAAGGGAAGAAAGAATTTCAACGATATAACTGACAGTTGATGGTACATGCGAATCTGTTGGAATGAGAGGTGCAGGCAAGACAGTCAAAGCGATGCGAAGTGTGAAGTGCGCAGATGACGCTATCATTGCCCCGAAAGCCGAGACAGTTTCTTTGGGTGCGCGACGTGACAGCGCGTTCCCGCCACCAGGCGCGTCTTTGGTTTGGTCATTGATTAATTGATTGCCTCGACTCCACCACCACCACCACCACCATCACGCAACAGCGCATTCTACTTTATGGAATTGCCGCACCCAGAAGAACGCCCGCTCAAGAAGCGTAGGTTCTTTGCCGGGAATTCATCTCCCAATCCAAATCTGCCTGCCCACCCGGCATCGCCGCACCGTACCCACCCAGTAACAACTGCATCATCGCCCGCGAGCAACAATGTCGTGGAAAGATTACACAATGACTTCGATGGATTTGATGTGCAAACACTGCAGGCAGTTGTCGGTGATTTGTCACTGGAAACGTTGCACAAGCTAAAAGAAGTCAGCGAGAGCAATGTCCAGAGGGCAATCAATTTGTATTTGGACGGTTCCTGGGCCACAGCACGTCGGCCCTCCACTATCTTTGCGCCTTTATCCAAATCTTCGGTGCAGTCTCGCCGGCTACCTGTCCAGACTACCCTCTCGAGAAAACCCCTGAGGCGTAACGAATCCGAACGATCCACCGCTTCATCAGTCGATTCCAACTCGTCTGCGTCCATGGCTCCCATACTCAAAGCTATGCCCGATGATCGCTATATTGGTTCTTTTGGCGCTGCAGGATGGGCGACGAGAAATGGCAAAGGGTTGTTGGCTCCTGAGGAAAAGATCACCATCTCACGCCAATTGGCGCCGCCCAAGGCAACCGGCAAGACCCCTAAACGAGTAGCGCAGCTCAAGAAGCAAGATATCGTTGTTCGCTTCACCAACGGAAGAGGAGAAGAAGTCGGTCGCTTGGAGAATGAGTCGGCAAATTGGATATCTACTTTGATTGACCAGAATATATGTCGATTCGAAGGCAAGGTCGTTTGGGTTGACAGCCCAATCAGAACAAATGATACAATCTATCTTCAATTGCACGCATACTTCCTTCGCGATGCTTTCCATAAAAAGAAGTTCGACAAGCCAGATTCCAATCGCGAAATCAACCTCTTCGAGCACAAGGAGAGCTCTGATGAGCGGTCATTACGGCTACGCCAAGTTGGTCTGGTGAAGCTCTTCGAAGCCATCAACTTGCATCCAACCAAGGAAAACGCAACTACCGAGAAGCACAAACGGCAAGGACTGCTGCAAGCTACACAGAAAGACGAGCCGGACAAGTCCAAGCAGAAGATTCCCAACTCAACCAATGATCTACCCTCTTCGCCGCCTTCGGATGAAGCTGAAGACGGCAAAGAGCTCGAGCAGGACCAGCTCGATTCTCTTTACCGAAAAGCGCAGTCCTTCGATTTTGATACCCCCGAGATGACTCCTTGTGACACTTTTCGCCTGAGCCTTCGTAAGTACCAGCGACAGGCTCTGCATTGGATGGTTGGAAAAGAGAAGGCAGAGGCTCTCGACCACAAAGACGAGAGCATGCACCCGCTCTGGGAAGAATATGAATGGCCTTCGCAGGATGCAGACAGCAACTCTGTACCTGTAATTGAGGATCAAACCATGTTCTACGTTAATCCCTACTCTGGACAACTTTCCCTAGAGTTTCCCAGGCAAGAGCAGAATTGCCTGGGTGGTATCCTGGCCGATGAAATGGGACTAGGCAAGACTATCGAGATGCTGAGTTTGATACACACGCATCGATTGCAACCTTCGATCGATGATTCGTCAAATACTGCCAAGCAACTTCCCCGACTCTTCAAGAGCGGTGCCGAAGTAGAACCCGCCCCGTATACCACCTTGGTTATTGCGCCTATGTCGTTGCTGGCACAATGGGAAAGCGAGGCCGAGAAAGCTTCCAACGAGGGCACTTTGAAGACTACCGTCTACTACGGCTCTGAGAAAGCTGTAAATCTCCAGAAGCTTTGCAGCGCCTCCAATGGCGCGAATGCTCCAAATGTCATCATCACCAGCTATGGTACAGTTCTTTCCGAGTACAATCAGGTCGTGAAAGCAGACGGTGATCGCGGTTCGCATGGCGGCATCTTCTCTCTCAACTATTTCCGCATTATCCTCGACGAAGCGCACTTTGTTAAGAATCGGCAATCGAAAACCGCAAAGGCGTGCTACGAGCTGAGCGCACGACACCGCTGGGTCCTTACTGGAACGCCCATCGTGAACCGCCTGGAGGATCTTTTCAGTTTGGTGCGCTTTTTGAAGGTGGAGCCATGGAGCAATTTTTCTTTCTGGAAGACATTTATCACTGTGCCTTTCGAAGCTGGCGACTTCATACGCGCCCTTGACGTTGTACAGACCGTCCTTGAACCGCTGGTGATTCGTCGAACGAAAGACATGAAGACTCCCGACGGCGAAGCATTGGTTCCGCTTCCCCCTCGCACAATCGAAGTGGAGAAGGTTACGCTTTCCCAGGACGAGCGAGACGTATACGACCACATATTCATGCGAGCGAAAAGAGTGTTCAACGCCGAAGCCGATCGGGGAAGTCTTTTGAAATCGTACACCACCATCTTTGCGCAGATTTTACGGCTTCGTCAATCTTGTTGCCATCCAGTCTTGACCCGGAACGCCGATATCGTCGCCGACGAAGAAGATGCCGCGGCTGCATCCGATATTGCCAAGGGGCTGGCCGATGATATGGATTTACAAAGCCTTATCGAACGCTTCACTTCTGATAGCGAGAAAGACGTCAACCAGTTTGGAGCCAATGTTCTTAGGCAGATACAGTCTGAATCCGAAGCTGAATGCCCAATCTGCTCAGAAGAACCTATGGCAGACCAAGCAGTGACGGGATGCTGGCACTCCGCTTGCAAAGGTTGTCTCGTAGACTACATCAAACACCAACGCGACAAGAACGAAATCCCACGCTGTTTCAACTGCCGCGAACCAGTCAATGGCCGCGATATTTTCGAAGTCATTCGACACGACCGCCAGCCCATTTCCGATGACCCTGCTCTCCAGAGCACCCCAACATCTGCCACACCACCAATCTCCACCCAATCTTCTCGCATCTCCCTCCGTCGCATCGGCCTCACTGGTTCCGCAAAAACCCAAGCCCTCCTTACTCACCTCAACGCTCTACATCGCTCAGCTCCTCTCGCAAAAACTGTCGTCTTCTCTCAATTCACCTCCTTCCTCGACCTCATCCAGCCCGCCCTCGACCGCGACCATATCCCTTACCTCCGCTTCGACGGTACCATGTCACAGAAAACTCGCGCCGCTACCCTCACCGAGTTCACGAATAGCCCTAGACCTTACGTCCTCCTCCTCAGTCTTCGAGCTGGCGGTGTTGGACTGAATCTTACTTGCGCGAGTCGCGTGTTTGTCATGGATCCGTGGTGGAGTTTTGCGGTGGAGGCGCAGGCTATCGATCGTGTGCATCGGATGGGTCAGGTTGATTCGGTTAAGGTGGTACGGTTTATTGTGCAGGGTAGCATTGAGGAGAAAATGCTACGGATTCAGGAGAGGAAGAAGTTTATGTGAGTATTACCCTTATTCGTGTTCGTATTTTCATTTATCTATGAAGAGGGTCTTGCTAACGCGTTGCTACGAATAGTGCTTCAAGCTTGGGTATGATGTCGAATGAAGAGAAGCGTGTCCAGCGCATCGAGGATATCAAGGAACTGCTCAGCTAAATTCATTTTGCTTCGCGTTCAATTAGGGGTGGAGGACATGGAATAGTACAATCATCCTTGGGGCAAGAGCAGCAAAGAAGTGCAAGATCATGCGAATACGACATTCGATAAGATTTGATTGGCATCACGAAGAAAATAGAGAAGAGAGTGGAAGAAGATATCGATATGTATATCGCAACATAGACGAGCTCGTTGCTTTGCATATAGCACAGCTAGAAGCAAGGGAGCGAGGATATAACCGCAAACCAGCATGGCATGCGAACCCTCATATCTACACACATGCCCACTTCCCACCAAAACGTTAGAGAAAACAATTATTAAACAAAGCACACGTATCTCACCTTAATACCACCACCGTGAAACCAGTTTCCAAAAGAGCAGGTATGTGAACCACAAATAAAACATACAAATTGATCTCTCGCACCACCCATCACTAACCCAACTTTCCACCCAAACCCCCTTCCCCTTCCTTCCCCCCAACCTTCTCCTCCTCCAGATCTCTTCTCTGCTTCTCCCTCTCCGTCTTCCCTAAATTGACATTCCAACACCCTTTCCGAATATTCTCATACACATCGCCCGCCGTAACTCCGTCTTTCTCTTCTACCGGAGTCTCCCATTTCCCCGTTCTATCAGACTCCAGCTCGCGCGAGATAACAGGAACAGGAGAATGCGCACGGAGCACAAAGATAATAGAGTGTCTGTACTCTGTCCCTTGTCCCCCATCCTTACTCTCAGCCTCTGTTGAAGGTTGTGCGGGTGTTGGCAGGAGAGGGGAATCATGGTACGAAACAACTCTATGCCCACCGGGCGGGTACCGGCCGTTTGTGAGGAGGGATAGATGACGTCCGATTAGTACTGTTGCTTTCCCGCTTCCCATTCGTTGAATAGACGAGGAAGAGGGAGGGGGAGGAGAGGAGTGAGCGTAGAATCTCTCGATGTCGAGGAATCGTTCTCCGTTGTAGACTTCTAGCCCGGGGACATCGCCCGTGACGAGCGAGAGAAGACCGAGGTCTGAGTGCGGTTCTGATATTACTTTAATGCCGTCTTCCTGCTCATCTGACGGCGGTGATGGGATGTGCTCCGAAGGGAGCGAGGAAGCAGTGATTGGTGAAGGAGACGAGAGAGTGTAACGGAAGATCCTGATCATTGATGCCGTCTTCTCGTCTTCCGTCCGGGGCATCGAAGGTGTTGGAGGTAGGAAGTTGAGTAGCGGGCTTTTCTCCGCAGTCGGTGATGAGTTTCCTGTTTCCTCTCTTCCTAATCCTAAACTCCCCTCAACACCCCTAAGTACACCCCTCAAAACGCCCTCCCTTCCACCCAGAACAACACTCCAATACCTCTCCGCTGCATCCCTCAAAATCTCAGGTGTGCCAGAGAGTGTTCGTAACGTGATGAATTCTTTCTCGCCTTCGACGATACTCCAACCTTCTTCCGTGCCGAGGTCATGTTTCCAGACTTGCTTAGCCGAGAGAGGTTGATTGAAGAATTGTTGAGCTGCGGTATAGAGAGCAAATGTTGCTGTTTCGAGTGGGTGTGGTGAGGAAGGTGGAGGCGAAGAGTCCTGGGAAGTAGATGTTGGAGTAGAAGGGGATGGGAATGTTAGGGTTGTCCAGCCTAGATTGGCGAGGGTGTGTTTGTGCTCTGGGAGGACTAGAGGGAGTGATGTGGGAATTAGGGGGGGTCGGGGGTCATAGTATGAGATTTGTCGTGATGTGTCACTGTTTTGCTTTTTAGAGGTTGAGCGTCGGAGATGTCTTAGTTTTTTGACCAATTTAGAGAGGGAGGATGGTTTGGAATGGTTGTTTGGAGGGTTTTCAGGGCTATGTTCCGCAGACACTATTACGGCCATTTTGGGAATTCCCTGGTCTTTTGATGAAGTCGCTGTTTTTCCAGGTTCGTTTGAAAGTCGTGTTGCGGATGTGGAGGGCGTTGCGAGGAACGCTAGTGGTGGAAGGATGGGTGATGTGCGATTTTTCCAACTGTCCGTCGTTTGCTGATAAGTGTATGTTCGGAGTGTTCGATTGTATACACGATTCCAGGTCAGTATGCAATTGGAAAAAAATGATGCGGAAGACTGCAGTTTCTACGATCTTTCAAGGTGCCCAGGTGGACAAGGATGACGTCACGTGCATTGCGCCACGATTCGACACAGCCATCTTGAACTCCCCGAACGTTCACCGGACACATGTGCATTTATAATTGGCAGATTCCCATTTGAGGCGGGTTATCCAAGTAAGATTGTTACTTTGTCAATTAAACCCTCGTCCTGTTCTTGTCCCATAAGTCCCTCTCCCTCTCTTGGAACCACTGAGGTGTAATCGCCCGCACTTCCACAACTTCTTCATCCCCAACGGGTACACCGAATCTGGTACCTGGTTTCCAGGTTCCTCCCTCGGCACTGACACGCATACTGGTCATCATCTCTAGTCTGGCTAGGCCCAGGCCTACGTTCCCTATCCCCGCAATAAACTTCCCCGCAGGACGGCCTTTTTTCAAGCTCATGCTTTCATCCAGCTGCTTGATATCTGTGCCAGACTCCGGGAACGTACGAATGGGGGCGTCTGCAGTTTGGTCTCCAGACTTGGTGAGAGGTTGCAATTCCAAAGGCAGTACGCGCTTGCGAACCACGCCCGTGTGCTTTGTGCGAATAGTGAGCTCTTGGCCTACATAGCAGCCCTTTTTGAAATCAATGCCTTGTGACAGATCGATGTTGTATTCCATAGGCAGTGCAGCCTCTCTGGGAATCTCATTGGGCCCTTCGGGAATTCCGTAAACATAGCGTCTCAGATGATATTGCTGTGTATCGACAATAGGCACAGGAGGGTTCTTGAGCGACGAATGGCCTTTGAGAAGGTACCGCGTACCGAACTTGTGGCCCCGTGGGTCAACCAGAGTCGCAAGCACCTGAGCGCCTTTCACATCGTCATTGGACGATAATCCCCAGCCTGCCCATACGCTGATCTCGCTTTCCTCTATTGTCTTGATGCTTATCTTGCTTCTCAATTTGTGTCGCTTCAAATGCTTGAGAAGAGCTCCGATTTCCTCTCCATCCACCTCAATGTTGCATGCCCACTCCCCCTCTTCCACATCTAGTCCTGGGTATACCCATACAAACACATCCCACAATACCCTACCTCGTGCATCCAAAAACGCGGCGTAGAAAGGGGCGTCGCGGTTCTTTTCAACATTATTCGTTATCAGTCCCTGCAGGAACTTCGCGGCATCCGGGCCAGAGAGGGATATGAGACGGCGAGAGGGTACTGGCGCGAGCCCATGTTCTGCAATCTCAAGAGATGCAGCCGAAGCGTTCGTGGATAGCTTCCGAGGAGTGTTCCACCGATTATGCGATTCTTGTACCCACTGGCGGTCGTTTGCGATGCGTGGCATGCGATTCCGTGGCAATGGCGATTTCGATGACAATGATGTTATGCCTCGCGATGTCGCCAATCGGGTGATGCGCAATTGTCGCACGCGCCCAAGGCAAGATTCGCAGACATAACTGCTCTTTCTTGGGAGACCGATCCGTGAGATGGACGACATTGACTGTGGTTGCGGATAGTTGTTGTTGCCGAGGATGGAGAGACGAGAGGAAAAGAATGTCAGAGAGCCGGGGTTAACCGGGGTTTAGCGGCTAGGCTACCTTCGCTGAAGGGGTCTTGAGGCTACACGCCATAGAATCGAGAGAAATACAAATAAGATTTAACATATAGACCTTCAACGCTCAGAGTATTCTACGTGGGAATTGACAAGCTGTAGGCATGACCTATTCGACTTCATAATTTCATCACCATGAAAGCTTAGATCAATAAAAGTGAAAAGTTGTGTCATTCATTGAGGTTGAAAATCCCACTTCCAGCGCCATAAAATGCCCTCTCAACATATACGAATACATGCCCTACGACAAGATAGAATACAACATATTCAATGCCAAACGCCATTGCCCGTTCCGCAGAGCAGCTGAAGCACTCCTTCATTGCTAAGCTACGCTATATCTCAAATGACAGTCTTCTAATCGTCTCGCTTTGAAGTTAATCGTTTCCTCTCATCTTCATCGTCATCTTCATCATCGCTCCACTTATCATCCTCGCCGACTGCGAAGATGGTATCCCCGTCCAGGCTTTCGCGCGGAGGTACCACAGGTTTCTGAGGCCTGGGCGCTGGGAGGGGCGAAGCATCACGATTCGCCGAGTGAGGACCCTGCTGCTCATGTGAAGGAACAGTATCGTAGCCTCCGCCCTCTTCTTCGTCAAGGGAATCGCGAAGCGAAGCGATCTCGAATCCTTCATCGTCTTGTGCGATCTATTTTCATGTTAGTCACGCAGAGATCTTTATTGTTTACATATTTGACATACCTCGTCACTCATAGCGAATCTTCGGTTATTCGCTGTCGGTCTCCACATGTATGCAATGAAGCAGACGTCGGCGAAGTACACTATATTGAGCCAACCATCCAGGATGAACCATCGCGTCTGCCAGTGAGTGGGGGCGAAGTCATCATTGGAGGCTCCGGCAAAGGTGAAACTGTTGAGAAAGAAGAAACCGAAGATGACGATGATGCTAATCAGGATGCACCACCACAGCTTCTTATACATGCCAGCTTTGACATGCTGTTTGCGCTCCATAAGATCCTTCATGGTCAGGTTGAGTGAGTTCAGGGTCCAGATGTAAAAGGCTGTCAGGGTCGCAGAAAGAGGGAGAATGACCAAAAGCACCACCGGGCCAGCTTCATCCGGCTTGATGGTAAGGGAAGCAACAGCGTAGATGACACCAAAAACAAAGTGGGCGACGGCGAGCCAGCGAACCATGGTCATGTATTTGCCCAGCGTAGGCTTGACAACACCATAACCCATGCAGACGATGAGTAGCAGGAAAAAGGAGAAGGAGTTGCGGAAAGCGTTAAGCACGGCGACAACAATCATCAGCACCTTTGCGCCAACGTTGTTGCCGTGGCGGTTCTGGTAGTCGTAGAAGCCCCAAGTCATCAACATCTCCAGGACCAGGAATCCGAGGATGGCTGTGATGTAATTTTGAACAGCGAGGATGTCGGTCCTGTGCTGGAAGTATAGGAAGCCCCAGAAGATACACACTAGGAAATAGGCGATGGTTATGCCCCCGTAGAAGGGCAGCTTCGCGATTTGCGCGGCCGGGAGCTCTCCGTAGGCATTGCGGAACGTAACAATGGCCTCGTACTCGACGTCTTTAGACATGGCTGCCGTCGCAACGCAGTAGTATCCCGTCTTCAGCATGACCTTTTGGTCTTCGCCAGATGCGATGGGGTATTTGATGGGCTGGGGCTCGTTGAGGTGGATGGCAGCGGTACGGACAAAGTTCTTGGATTGGCTCTCGACATTATCGGCGAGGATCCATTCGCCCTTATGGGTGCCATTGCAGAGATTTTGCTTAATGGAATCGTCGTTGCAAATGTATTGGCGCTGTATCACTGTCAGCCTGGTCACTATCCCGAAACTGTGCGGAACTAACATCTGCGAGAGGTTTATCGGATGGCTTTCCCAGCAGCATTCCGTCTTTCCATTCCCAGATGACTACACCCACTGTCGGATCCTCCACGTCTTTGTTTTTGTCATTTTTCAGAAACTTGACGAGGATGAAGGGGTCGTCCTTTCCTCCCCATGACTTCTTGCTGTACATGCCCGAGCATTTTTGTCCATCACCTGTTGTCTACAGCGAGTCAGAGACGTTTTTGCGCAGGGAAATCTTTGCAAAGTCTGGGCTTCATACCAGAGTTACATCAATGGCCGCGACGGCTGTGATTGTCGACAGCAGAAGCAGCCCGGTGGTCCGCAGCCAGCCCTTCATGCTGCCTGGAGATGTGAAGTAGGTGTACGGGCAGTTGGGCGGAGGTTGCGGAAATCCCTAGAGGGGAAGTGGATGCGTGGATGAATGCCCAGGAATGAAAGCGGCGATGTATAGGAGCAGTTATCGACGTAATCCCATCAGACGTTGCAGTGTTCAGCGCGATGTCGTCAGTTGGTTGCGAGATAGTAGGTAGGCAGGCCAGTAGGCAAGTTAACTAAGGCCAGGCAAGGTAGACGTGGCTAAATTCCGGGCAAGCGCGCTCTCCCCCTTGGCCCGCCATGGCGTGGCGGTGCACTCTCCATCTCCGAAATCATTTGAATGCACTCATCACTCACTTCCACTTGCAACCGAGATTCACTTTCCACAACAAAATGCCAGGCAAACACGTCGACCAGGCTCTGGAACAGCCTTGTCGCCGGTGTAAGGATGTTTCAGCTGTCCTTGTCGTGCGCTCTGAGCCACTGTGCCGGTGAGGGCTTCTCATCTTTTTGTTTTTCTTTTTTTCTGATTAATTTGCCTCGCTCAGCCCAGTCTGGTGAATCATCCTCGCTAACCAACCCGCCAGGGAGTGCTTTTTCAAATATGTCCATACCAAGGCTATCAAGCGGTTAGAGTCATTCCGTGTCCGGAATGCCAATCCTAATCACCAGCGTACTTTGCTTCTGCCGCTCTCTTTTGGTGTATCCTCAGTGTCTCTCCTCCACATCCTGGACCGTCAGCTCAAGACCCAAATGAGCAAGACTGGACGCACCGGCTTTGCAATCCACGTAGTTCATATCCAAATCCCGGGTGACGAATCCATCATCACAGTAGATGAACTCTTATCAAAAGCGAAAGAGGCGTATCCCGATTTCAAGTATACGTCTCTAGCCTTGCACGATGTATTCCGCTTGACTAGCGATGCAACACTTAATGACCTCTGTCCCAAAACAAACCACAGCGAGACTGCTTCTCCCCCTGAAAAACTTGCTGCTTTGATAAACTCGCTTACATCGGCCACTGCGCGCGCTGATGTCTTGTCCACACTTAGCACGAGGCTGACTGTGGAACACGCCAAAACGAGCGGCTGTGAAGGAATCCTGTGGGGAGACACCACAACAAAACTAGCCGAAAAGACCTTGTCTGAAACCGCCAAAGGGCGAGGTTTTTCTTTGCCGTGGCAGATCTCTGACGGCGAATCTCCACATGGTGTTACCTTCAACTACCCTATGCGGGATGTACTCAAGAAAGAGCTCGTTTCGTACGTGGATCTGGTTGGGAGTCCAGTATCTGACTTGATATGTGAGCCATCCGCCATCAGGCAAGCGTCGATGAGCTCAAAGAACACGACTATCGACGACTTGATGAGCAAATATTTTGAAGAGGTCGAGACAAACTTTCCAAGTATCGTCTCCAATGTCGTTCGAACTACCGGGAAACTAGAGGCTGTGTCCGCACCTGCATCTGCGCCTCGCTGTGATCTCTGCAGCATGCCAGTTTCCGACGGTCGATTTGGGATACATGGCTGGGGAGGTGACCAGCAAGAGAGTGCAGAAAGAATCGCGATCGCAAGCGGTCCCCAGCTGTGTTATGGCTGCAGCAGATCCATTCCTCAGCCTTCTAAATGAAAATCCCTGCTCGCAAAGTTACTTTCGCAGCTTGATATTGTCATCCTAACAAGTCATGTCCTGCTTTGAAAAAAAGAAGCATCACAGAAGTGCGATCTGCAGAAGATCGTCGGTGAAGCGCCAATTCTTTGATCAGGGAGAAACAAAGACAACACCACACGGAAACATCAATTTTCCTCAATTTGATATGACCCATCCGTCTGAGCCGAGATCAACGGATGTTGCAAGCGCCGTAGGCCGAAATATCAAAACGCGTGCGTGGATAAATGTACATGTGTACTTGAATACTGTCCGATCGCTCCCTGAGCAGCGCCAACCAAACCGAGTATCGACATACACTCCCCATGGTACCTCTCAGGCCGTCGAATTTCTTGTATTTTCCTCCACCAGCTCCCTCCTGACCTCCATCAATGCTTTGCCGAGCAAATTGCTTCCGGGCCGTTGCTTGTTTTCTTTTTGGTACGACAAAGCCGCGGATTTTCCAAGCCCCAATCCCCATATTCTATCGTAAGGGGAGGCTTCAGCAATCAACGAGTTGTTTGTTGCTAATAAGAGTGGACGGAGGCGAGGTGCGTGCTCAGACACTGTAAATCTCAGCTTGTTGGCGTCGAGCACAACCTTGAACGCGTCTGAGAGTATGTTAGATTGCCGTTAGCATAAAGATGTTTAGTCAGTCGCTGATATACATCATGGCGGCAGAGTCATATAATGCATGTTTCTAAAGATTGTTCTTTGCTTCTTCTTCTTCTTTTCTTCTTTTTTCTTGGACAGGGGAGGTTCAGCTTACGTTTCTCCCACTTTTTATCGTCAAACCCACGAACTTGCCTCCCCAACCTCTTCTGAACCTTTGGATCTTCTGCCTTCATAATCTTATCAAACGCACTCGTATCTCCAAACACCTTTGCTTTCAAAACCTGGAAATACTGCTCGTTGCAGTTAAACTCTACATCGAAGTTCGGATCCTTGAATTTAGATATGTGCATCTGTGAAAGCCATCCGAGTTCATCCCCGGCTCCAAAGAATAGCGTCAGTGCTGGGGTTGTTTTATTGGCCATGTCTGCTTTCACGCTGAGAGGCGCTGGTGCTTGGGCTGCCATGCGTGGTGTAGACAAGTAGAAAGATGCTCGGGGTTGGAAGACAAAATTAAGGTATCTGGAACTGGGGTGTCTCATTGAAGATTGATAAGATGCGACATCGAATATTAAATAGACAATAGCGATTAACTACGAAGAGTCATCGAATTGAGATGATGTTCAGTAAGTACCTAGGTACACAAGGTACAGTCACAACAGTGAAAGGCAGCAGTGGGGGCCGCAAATCATTCTTACACCTGCGAGATGCCAAGTGGTGGTGGAGTTTCATGCTTCAAATCGACAACCATCTCCATCTTCGATACCACTATCACTACCACCTTTATGTTGTAATTCCACACTGTCTAGTCAGCACACAGCTCATGCTCACATAAAAATACCAAAACCCAGTCTCGCCTATCGATCTACCACCCACATAAGTAGTCCAAGCCCGGATACGGTACAGAGATCCTCGTACCCACTCTAAGCGCCGCCATCCTTGCCGCGCGCGAGGCTCAGACAACCTGTCTCATGCACGACAGAATGCATTCGAAGCACGAAGGCGGCACAGCATTTTCCCATAGCATACAATATCAAACATGGCTGCCTATCTTGCCCTCCTAGTTTCCATCCGTACTCGCAGCGATGCTGTTATTGATCTTGTTTGCGACGGTGGGTGCGGGCTTGCCTCTTCAAAATAACAGCAGCGATACTGGCACAGCGAACGCAGGGAAGAAAGTGGGCTGGGTCGAAGCGCCACAGGCGAGAGGGACTTTTGATTTATTGCTTTCTTGTTTGACGACGCTTTCATTATGTGCTTGGACCGCCTATCATCCGAACGTGTTCGTCACTAGAAACGAATGGAGAAAATTTGGGAAAAGAGCTATGTGGATGGCCATCGCGGTGCTGGCACCTGAGATAGTACTGTGGTGTGCATGGGAACAGTGGTGGGCCAGCGAGACTTTGCAAAAAGCGGTTGAGAAGTTGGGCGAAAAAGCATTCGATGGCACAGGTGGTAATATCGACAATTTAGACGACAAGAGAGAGTTGAGCTGCATTGGATGCTATGAAGGAGAAGTGCAAGGGAGATATTCGGGAGATTACGGATTACGTCGAATGTTTGAGCCCGAAGACTGTCCACCTGAACCGGAATCAGAGGTTGTTGCTCCAACAGAAGACGAACTTGAGCCTGTTTCAAAGTCCTTCAGTCTGTTACGCCCTTCGACATGGAAAAAGACGAACACGGTCGATGCCGAGGAAGCGCAAATGCCAGCGACGTGGACCAGAGAGCAAGCTTTCTTCGCTGTCTCCGGTGGCTATGCCGTAGATTCATCGGAGTTCTATCCTCTGCCATCGCTCACTTTGACACCATCCGCCCTTCACTTCCTGGCCCGACATGGAATTCTGCCCAAAATATGTCCTACGACCATATCGGACAAATCCAAATCAAACCATGTAGCCAAAGTGCTAGTGTGCCTACAGGCCGGCTGGTTTCTTTTGCAAGCTATTGCCCGGGTAGCGCAGAAGTTACCACTGACATTGCTGGAATTGCATGTATTGGCCCACGTTGGTTGTGCGTTTGCAATGTATTTGCTATGGATGGACAAGCCATATGATGTAGGCGCACCGGTGCTTGTAGAAGGGGACAATGTGAGAGATTTGGTAGCGCTCTGGGCTCTCGATGATGATTCAGTGAGTACACGCAACTCGACATCAGGAATACTAAGCTGATGCTCTTCCAGGCAGCATTCAAGAACATCAGTGAAGATGGAGCAAAGAGATACTGTGCAACCTACGGAAATATAGACATGGACCAAGTTCAAACAGCACATCAAAACGCCCGGTCCGCTTCAACCAGACATCACTACGCCCAACTAGTAAGGAACTTCGTAGACCCGTTTCTACCAAAGCAAAACAAGTCAGCCCTATCCCAGCCGAGTATTGCGACCTCTCATGAAGCCCCACCCACACAGGAGCAAGATCTGCATTTACGCCGCGCAAGGAACGCTCTAGACTACCTTTCTTCTCACTCGATCCACTTCTCCTACCTCACCAGAACCCCAACGACAGACTGCCTCAAACGCAAACCATCCATCCGGTTCCCCCTCCGCTATGTCACCCCCACCCGCGGAAACCTCATCATCGACGGCCTCCCATCTGTCACAAAATCGACGTCTCGAGAAGAATTCCTGTACACAGCTCTGAAAGCCTACACGGTGATGAGCGTTCTCTACGGATCACTGCATTTCTGCGGCTGGAACCACGGGTTCAACAGTCTAGCAGAGCGGTGGCTGTGGCGCGGAAGTGCATTCGTGATGGCTGGCGCGCCTACAGCATCGCTCATCACAGCTTGGCTGTCGAACTTTGTAATCTACCTCTATCGATATCGGAAGCGCATCTGGGGTGAAGATGTGTGGGACGGAGACGAAGATTCTGATGCTGATGATGATGAAGCCGCCGACGAACTATCTACGAAAAAGTCAAAGTCTCAACCCTTGAGCTGGTGTGCAAACGCACTGCATAAAGCTCCCTTCAGTACTACTGCCCCTACACTCCCTTCCTCTTCGTACCTGCGTCGCTTGAAGGCCACTACGCCTGGGGTAGTCGCTGGTACCGTCTCGTTCATACACTGGACTTTCTACCATGTTATCAGATTGCTCACGAACGTTGTCCTCTACGCCATGTTTTCGGTCGCACTAATGGGGTGGGTGTTGTATCTCGCCGCCAGACTATACGTATTAGTGGAGTCGTTTGCGAGTCTACGCGCCAGCGATGCTAGGGTCTATCGGATGGTCGAATGGTCGAATTATCTGCCGCATGCCGGCTAAATTATGCGGAGACTGAGGATGAAGATTTGTTTAGATTGGAAACCAAGAAGTCTGTCTATCGTATCGCGAGGGAGACGACTAGTAGACACTATACCCCGACTACAAGCGTAATTTGTACGGAACAAAGAATGGCATGATTCTGCTACTTGTGTTTGTGGATTACAGGGTGCGGAAAGGGGCTTATACATGAAGTTCGACACTCTCCCCGAAGATGTACAACCAGTCGCCATGGCCAAGATTGAGACTGGTGAATGCGCTAATTACAAATGATAAGGCTCAAAAGCAAGAGATACAAAGGGCATGTATCTACAGAGAGGAAGATATATGGGGATATCATGTTCCCATTTACAATGATCCTTCGCTGTACTGCAAATCCAAAGAAGGGGGGTGGTAAAAAGAGATGTGCAGGTACAGTAAAGAGCACTATGGGCACGCTAAAGGATGCGGAGCACAAAGGAAATACAGATTAGGGGCAACAGAAAAGAAGAGCAGTGTGAGTGTCACAGCATTCACCTGCGACTCCTCCTGGTATCATCGCGTCTGGGCTTTTGCGACTTGTGGGTCCCATGGCGGGGAAGACCCATTTCTTCATCGGGGATCCTCTCCCTTTGACCAGAATGCGCGCGAGCAGGTCTGCGGACATCGTCGTAGCGATCATCAAAGGCAGCGCGGCGTTCTTCTTCTTCGTCGGAGAAGTCCTCGTATACGGTAGCGGGCGGGACGGATTTCCTCTTAGTCCTCCTTTCGTATTCTTCATCTCGCTCCACGAGTTCGCTAGGCTTATATCTCTTGTCGAGGTGTTTCTCTAGTAAACGCACATTTTTGCCGTTACACTTGTACGCGGCATCCGCGAGATCACCCAGGACAGGGACGAGACCCATACCGAAGTCGATGGCCATGTATATGAACATGTGAATGATGGTCTGCCAGGGCAAGCCACCCTCGACATTGCACATGAGGCGGATCAAATTCAAGGACATCAGCGCTGCGGTTGCATCACCGACGACGGGCGCAATACCGACGACGGACGACCAGCCAAAGCGGATACCCATGAAGTTGAAGAGGGCAAAGTCGAGGCGATAGGCGGACTTTCTTGCTTTGGCTAGGATTTTGGCGTCGCCTTGGGGAATGTAGGTAGGAATTTGCTTCTTGACCTTCTTGAACTTTCCAGGCTTACGGGGGTGGGGAATCTCCTCATAGTAAGGGTCCTGCATGGTGTTAGCGTCAGCACCATCATGTGAGATGTTTGCGAGAACACTGGAAGACGTCAAGTGAAGAGAGAGGGTTGTGTTGTTGAAGAGAGTGTACTTACGTAGGGGCCTTCGACTTTTTTGCTCTTGTACTTGTCCATCTCCTTGGACAGCATCTTCTGGGCGGCATATTTGGCGATTGCGGTCGTCATGACGGCAGTAGTAAGATGGGGTTTGTCGCCGCTGGTGGACCTCGTACGATGTGTGTGCGAAAAAGGAGATGATGGAGGAAGTGAGGAGCAGTGAGAAAAAAAAAAAGAAATGGGTATGTACTGTGAAAACAGCAGAAATATGTACAGCGTCTCACTTTATCAGTGAATCAGCTTTCTGGTGTTTTATCGCCCGCGTGAAGTGGGCGGCTTGCTTGGATGCGCTGGACTGGCTTGGTTGGTCGATGGGCCTTGGAACTCAGCTCCCCTGAAACGAGACGGGCGCGCGTGGGCTATGTATACACTGGCAAATAGAATGGGCTATGTTCGAAAAATACAAACAAGAGGGAGCTAAAGAGCGACAAGAAGAAGAGCGAGCAGCCGCGAGAGGCATATATTAAGACATTACGTATGTTGGTAGAGAGCAGCGGTGTGGAGCGGTAGCTTCAACCTGTATCTTGCTTGTTGCTTGCTTCAAACCTTCCCCGTCCCAAAACTCTTGGGACGCTAGGACGTCATCATCTGCACCGCCACTTATGCACTAGCCACATCATGTGGCGTCGCGTCCGCCAACCACCGGCCAGTCCTTTTACCTCTCCCAATCACTCGACTGGCGACTGACAGCATTGACCTTTTCATTCGACTCCCAACGACGCGACCCCACGTGCTTCTTGCTATCACTCAATCCCTCCATTCTTTTGCGCGGCTGTGCATTCTGCCTCTACTGCTCTAGAACCTTCAACTCGTTTACCCCAACCTCACCGATTGGTTGACTCACATTCACATTACACCACCTGCTACCTAGGTACTTACTTACTTGCCTCCCGCCATCCCTCGTTCGCGCCCCACCGCCGACGCGCAACCAACAGCTGTCCCGACGCCCGTCTTCTGTCCCTAGCTGCCCACGGCATGCTCCCATACCCTCCACCCATACACAATCATGAATTCCAATCAGCAGACACTACTTGACTGGCTCGACGATCTCTGCGTGCGCTTCATCGTCAACCTGCCCCATGAGGAGCTGCAATCCGTCGAGCGCATATGTTTCCAGATCGAAGAGGCGCAATGGTACTACGAAGATTTCATCCGCCCGCTGGACCCCGCTCTGCCCTCCATGAATCTGCGCGTCTTCTCGCAGCGCATGTTCCAGCACTGCCCGCTCTTCGCTGGCTTTACCGCTGCCCACCGCGAGGGCGCATACGAGCAGTTCCTGGCCTACAAGACCCGCGTCCCCGTCCGAGGTGCCATCATGTTGAATCAGGACATGACACACGCTGTCCTCGTCAAGGGCTGGAAGAAAGGCGCCAAATGGAGTTTCCCTCGAGGGAAGATAAACAAGGATGAATCCGATTTGGACTGCGCCGTGAGAGAGGTGTACGAGGAGACAGGGTTGGACTTGCAGGAAGCTGGCCTGGTCAAACCCGAGGAACAGATGAAGAGCATCGATGTAAACATGCGCGAGCAGAGCTTGAAGCTCTATGTTTTCCGCGGTGTGCCGATGGATACCAACTTTGAGCCGCGGACAAGGAAGGAGATTTCGGTAGGCTTGAGGTAGATGGTAGAAGGAATGGGAATGGAAGGCTAACGCACAGTAGAAAATCGACTGGTACAAGCTCGGCGATCTGCCCACCCTTCGACGCAAGAACCATCCTCAAGGCAACGGCCATGACCTCAAGGATAACAGTTTTTACATGGTTACGCCTTTCATACCGCAGCTCAAGGGTTGGATCAAAGCTCAAAGACAGCTCGAGAAGCGCAACAGGAACGCCGGTGCACACTTACCACCTCCTGTTGCGGCCGGCATCACAGACACTGAGCTGGAGGGCGACTTCGGAGACACAACTGCGGACGAGGCACCGATACCTGAATACAATGCAGACGGTGCAAATTTTGCCGAGCTGGTTGCAAATCTAGGAAGAAGCAATCAAGCGAGTGACGCGTTGCCCGAAGTGCAATTCCAACAATCTGCTGCCGATCCCGCAGCAGAGCTGAAGCGATTGCTCAGCGTTGGTGGTGGCTTTCTGCCCCAAGGGCAAATGCTGGAAACGCCACCCATCGAGTCTATGATGCAGCAAACAAATCCGCTGTTTGATATGATGAGAGCAAATAACAAGTCGCAATCCAATACACTTCCAACGACCCCTTTCGATCAGATTCTGTCCGCTCCGCAGATGCCACAAAGCCCTCATGGTCAACATCATCCGCGGCCACCCCATTTCGAGCATATGCCCCCTCCGCCGCATTTTCCATTCAACCAGCACCAAGGACATCCTTTCCAAGGTCCGCAGCACCGTCCTCATATGCCTCCCCAACACAACAATGGATTTGCACCGCATCACCCACCTCAATTCTTCCCACCGCTCCAACATCAGCATGAACCATCTTTCCCGGCACACCCTTCGAACATCCCGCCATCGTTCACACAGCAACCGCCGCAGCAGCTCATGCAGAATCAAGGCCCGGCGTTCGCGGCTCCTCAGGGATTTCAAAATCAGCGTGGGCCTGCGGTCCCTCCAGCCTCGAAACTCCCCCCGCCGAAGCTCACTACGCATGCCTTAACTCTTCTAAATTCTTTCAAGCTGAGCGAGAAGCCTGCGGTCATGTCTCCTCGAAGCCCGCACGAGCAACCGGAAAGTTTCCAGGCAACCCCTACCATGGCGCAACCACCTGCTTTGCAAAGAGCTCCCGACTCTTTTATATCGTCACCTGGGTTGCAAAGTATCAATCCGTATGCGCCAAGTCCACCAGCCTTTCAATCTCCTGCTCTGGCGGACAATATTCAGCCTGCTCAACCACAACCGCGAAATGCTCACCAAACTTCGCTTCTTAGTCTTTTCCAGTCCCCTTCGCTAGCTGCAGCCACGCCGGAGCCTCCTAAGATTCACGGAGAGCCAGCGGAGCTATCCGCTTTTCCGACAACCCCGGGTCTTGCGAGAGTCAAGTCAGGTTCCCAGGCCGCTCCTCCCATGCCGAACATGAATGCGAAGCCCGTGATGAACTCAATGCCTCCACAGCCGAACAAACCGGGAAATACCTCGGCGACAGTTCGTGGCCCAGTGAACGCACCCGACTTTGAGACTGTGAAGAAGAACACGCACCAAACGTCGAATCGAACGTCTCGGGGACCCTCACCAGCGAGATCCAAAGTGGAACAGAAGGCATTTGTTCCGCAGCAGATTCTGAAGCGTGAGGGAACGCCAAAACACACCGGGATGCGCACAGACGGAGGCTCCCAGAAGAGCCCGCGTACCGTAGCGGCGCCAAATCCCACGTTCAAACCTCAAATCCTCAAGCGCCCGCAGCAATCTGGTGGTGGTGCTTCTGTCTCGATGCAGACTCCTGCCTCAAATCAAGGTCCAAATGCACAGGTACCGGACCTGCTGAGTCTCTTCAAGGCTCAGGCGCCCCCTACTGAGAAACAGCCCGCTCTACCGAGCCTACCTCTCCAAGCGACCTCACCAGCTCCTAGCACCAACGTACACGCACAGGAGCTGCTGGGTCTCTTCAAGAGCGCAAGCCCATCGCCACAGGTTCCCGCTCAAGTCTTAGCACCCCCGCAGCCACCATCTGTGACCTCCATTCGCTCCTCCTCGCAGGACCGCAGCTCAGTGCCCCCTTCTCAACAACCCACCGACCAAAAAGCGGCCCTACTCTCACTCTTTAGCAAACCTTCCCCAAAACCGGCGGCGGCATCTCCACTAAACCCTGCCGGACAACAAGTCCACCCCGGCCTCACCCAGAGCCCTGCCCCCATCTCGAACCGTAACGTCAGCATCACCTCGCCTACCATCAAAACCGCGGTCTCGGGTGTCGTGAGCCCCGTCAGTCCTCTGCCGGCAGGTACTTCGATGGACACACCCGCTCATCTAATGTCGAGGTCTAGAATCTCGTCTATTGGAGGTGAGACTTCAGCTGCGTCATTTTCGAGTGTTGTTGTATCGAGAGGGAATGGAGTGGCACCTGTTCCTGCGCCGACATCGCATCCTGCAGCGTCTGTCATGTCGATGAGCGGTTTAGGTCAGCGAAATGGCGGTCCTAGTGATGGCTTTGCTTCGGGAGGGAGTGGTAGTTTCTCTTCCGAGGGTGTCGGTTTAGGAGGTTCCACCAGCTTCGAAGGTATTACATCTGTCGCTGCTACTGGTCTTGGGAACGGCAAAGGTAAAGCAAAAGTCAATGCCGATGCGGATGCCAGGAAGAGCCCTCCTGTGGGAGATGATGGGAACAAGTCTTTCTTACTGGGCTTTTTGAACGATTTCGCGAATAAGGGGAGGTAGATTTAAACCTTTGTTCTTCTATTTAGAAGCGAGATTCGGGCGTGGTTTGTGTTATAGTTTATTAGGTTCGCTGGGCTTGTTTCTGGTTTTTTTATTTTAGGCTTGGGGTTTTTTGTTAGTCTTCTTCTTTCAAGCGCATTCAATCTTTGACTGCCTGGGTGTTTGTTTTCCCTTGGTGACTCTGATTTTCTTTTTGCCCCGTTTCTCCTCTATCGAGGCAAGTCTTGCTTGATTGTTCGGTGGGGGGGTAAATCTGCTTACAAACTTCTTCACACTGCTTCCTCTTCTGCGATTATGCTTGGATTTATATTTCAGGCTGTAAAAAGTTTATATACCGGCCAGGTTCGAGTCCTTTCTCGTTTTTTTTCGCGGAAGCAATAGCTTCAAGCTACAGAGGGAAGTTTGTGAGGAATATCATCACCTTGATCTTGCCTCTCCGGTATCTGTCTTTCGTGCGCATTCGAGCGGTTGGCTTTTGTTGATTCTCTTTTTCTCTTCTCTGCACTGTGAATATTCACCCGTTCTATATAAAGTGGTCCAATACAAGGAGAGGGAAATTTATCCTGCGACAATATTAGCGTGGATTCAATATATTAGGTGTATATAAAATTTATACATATTCATAAATGTTCATGTCGAGTTGTAGTAGTGTGTGGTGCGCGTTATTCTGACCGATAAGGGAGAAGAATCCATATCTTCCTTCCTTCCTTTCTTTCTTTGTTGTTGATGAAAGGGTAGCATAAGATGCGTGGAGAGAGCAGATGCCCAGGATTTATAGATCGAGGCGGTATATGTTGATGGGGCAAATAAGCAAGCAAACCGACAAGCAAGCGCCGTGTTGTACAGATTTTGAACGAGTCCGACATGCTGCTAAATCAATTTTATTCTACTCTTTCCCGGGGCCAGGAGACATAATTCACAGTAGTAGCACTTGCACAGACTGAGTCACAAGTCACTTCATGATCAGAACAACGACACGAGAGAAACATCAAGGTTTTGTGCAAGCAATCCCCAAGCCTTTTTATTCGCCTCCTCTCCTCGCCTCCTCACGCACACAAGAATTAGAAGTTAATTTACAAATCGCCGTCAAATCAGTCCACTAATCAAGCAGGCAAACAAGCAAGCAAGCCAAATATGTACGTTCCTCTCAGCAACCCACTCTGTAAATACTCTCTCCCTTCGCATGCCATGCAAGTAAAGACCGTGTTTCTCATCACAAGATGGGTATCAAGCTTCTCTCTCCTCCATGTATAATGATAGTCGTTAAAGTTGGTTTACATTGTGGTTTGGGTATCGTGTTGTGTATAATGATAGTCGTTAAAGTTCGTTTTTGGTGAGTAATGATAGTCGTTAAGAGTTGGCCGTTTGTTGTTATTAAAGGATAGTCGTTAGTTGGGGGTATCATCGTTTCTCTTCGTCGATCTTCTCTCATCTCCGCTCCTAGCATTTTCGCAGCCGGAAACCGAATCTCATGCTGAATTACCTCCTTTCCTCCATCTGGATTACACCAAAAAACATTACCTCAACCGTGCATAGGCGAGCGAGAAGGACAAACAGGTATCATGCAAAATAACGCAAAAACAAAAACGAAGAAGCGAGGAAAAGAGTCACTCGGGTTTATAGCATGCCCAAGCCGACACCTGCAGCGCCTAGAAGCCAGGCCTCAACACCACCCAGGCCCACCTTGGCTGCCTTGCCTGGGAACAGCTCTGGTCCGCTTGAAGTAGGTGGACGTACGCCAGTGCCTGAAGCGCTGCCCCCAGTCGTCGTTGTGCCGACGCTGTAAACAGGAGCAGAGGAAGAACCAGAAGCAGAGCCAACAGGAGCGGGAGGTGGAGGCGCGGACAGCGAAGAGCTGATTGAAGTTGTGCTGACATCTTCTGGTGGGGAAGACGAGGAAGCAGGTTCTACAGCCGAGGATACTGCATCAGATACCGGAAGCGTGGTGCGTAGGGTGCTTGTTGGGCCTTCTTCCGCAGGCCCACTAGCAGTTGGGGTGGCAGTCTCAATGACGGTGACGGGCTGTGGTGTATTGGAGTCACCGGCAGCCGTGGTACGACTCGTCACTGTTCCCTGGGATGGCGCTGCGGGCGTGTCCGTTTCCACGATTGTGGTCTCACCACCTTCAACCGCACTCTCGACCGCGGGCAGGAAGCGGGTTTGGGTCGAGGCCTGCGCGGCTTGGGTTTGAACATAGGTGGTTGGCCGGCTCGACGTTGCGCCACCCGGTCGAACAGAGCCCTGGATGGGATCGCAGGCACCTTCACCAAGGGGCTGGCCAAGCTGCTGGACGACAGTAGGTTGAGCATTGAGATAGGACACAACAGGTGGGGGAACAGATGCCGGGTCGGGGATTTCGGACTCAACCAAGATTAGCGAGGCAACAGCCGTAGGCTCGGGCAAGTCAAGTAGAGACGTCCGAGTGACACAGGCGGTGGCGATAGCTTCCACGCTGAACGCCGAGAAAGTTCGGTATACGGCATAAGTGGTGGGCCATGTTAGCTGGACGCCTTCGTAGTCCCAAGTGATGGCCTGCTCCGTGGGCGCCGGAAGTGGTGCTGTATACAAGCTCGTTCGAACCGTGCTGCCACCGGCGGTATACACGTCAAGCGTCACTGTGGGGAGGAAAGTTGTGGAGGTAATGACTTCACCGGGATATGCCAGACGAGTGGCCGTGACATCGATGCGACAGGCAGAAGGGCAATCTGCCGAGGGGAACGGGGTCGTCGTGGGCGAGATGGATTGCGTGGAGACGGAGACCGCCGTCGTCGTGAAGGTGACTGTGGAGAGGATAGTTGACACGATTGTACTGGCAGGGAGTGTCGTGGTAATGACTTGGGTGGATCCAGGGCCTGTCGTTGTCGTGGTCACTGTGCTTGCAGGAATCGTGATTGTGCTCAAGATTGTGCTCACGCTTGTCGATACTACTGTCGTCGGTACGAAAGACGTCTGCGTTGGACCAGAAACGGTCACAGGAATGCTCAAAGTGGTGGGCACCACTAATGTCGACGTGGTTGTCACGGGTGTTCCAGAAATTGTGGTGGTGCTGACGATGAGCGATGTGCTGAGAGACACCGAGGTCGAGATGGATACAGAAACCGATGTGACGGTCTGGGTAACCGGGAACTAACCACGGAGTTAGTGGAATTCAGGTAGTAGTGCGGTATGAGGGAGGAAAAGATGATGTGCTGACGTACGCTGGTAGTGGACAAGCTGATGCTAGTTGAAGTAACAGTAGTCAACGATCCGGAAATAGAAGTAGTCGTCGTGATTAATGACGTGATTCGGGATACTGAGGTCGAGATAGTAGTTTGGGTCTGCAACGGAATCATGTCAGTCAAATTTGAAGATCGCACATTGTGGACCAGCAACAGAACTCTATGAGCGTCCCGGGGGAAGATGTACGTACCACCGTTGTTGGGCGCACAGACACCTCCGTCACTGTGGTAGGCTGGGTAAATGTAGTCGAATACACGCTGGTTTGGGTGATAGTTGTCAGTGACCCAGATATGGAGGTGGTGATCGTGCGCGTTGACGTTGTGCGAGAGATTCTAGTTGAAACGGTGGTTCGAGTCTGCAGGTAAGAAAGTAAAGTCAGTCTAGTACAAAGATGGGTTTATTGTCCTCTATATGCGAATAACATGTTGAGAAACCATGTGCAAAGAGATACATACCACAGTCGTTGGGCGAACTGACACGCGCGTAGTAGTGTACGGGACGCTGGTCACAGAAGTGGTGGTAATGGTCGTCAAAGAGCCCGAAATGGATGTTGTTATTGTAGCGGTCTTCGTGGTCGGTGTGGTAATAACGACAGTCGTCGGGGTAGTCTTTGTGACTGTGTATGGGATCTTTGTCGTCTTTGTAATATACACTGGATACCATGTTGTCTTCCAGGAGGTGATGGTCTTGCTGACGGTCACAGGGTAGCTTGTAGGTACATACGAAGTGGAAATAGTCGTAGAGGTGCTGTACTTAGTTGTCGTTGTTTTTTCCGTAGTCCTCTCCGTGTGCTTCTCAGTTGTGGGAACATAGGACGTTGCTGACACTGTAGCCGTGGTGGTTGTTGTCGTGGTACCTGAACGGAAGGAACATGATTAGTCAAGTTCAATGGAAGACAATTGGTGGGTTGTGTATATATAAAAAAGCGTCAAGTCATGTACAGGTCAGACTCACATGTGGTTGTTGACACGGATGTCTGTTGAAAGTTAGCTCAAGATCAAGCGACATTGATACGCGCAAATCTTACCTCGGTTGCTGTCACTGTGGCATTCTTGTAGATGGTAGTCGTGTCCCAGAATGTAGTTGTGTTCCAAGCAGTGGAAACCGAAACGCTAGTACTAATGACAGTACTGGCAGCACAAGACGATGAGGATGTAGGAGAGCTTGATGGTGTCGGCGATGTAGGATACTGCGATGGTGTGCTTGAGGGACCAGGATAACCCGAGCCAGTGTCGTATACGGGTGGTGCCGAGCTGGAGCTGGAGCTTGAGCTTGAGCTTGAGCTCGAGGGAGGGGGCACCACCGAGTATGAGGCAGGCGGCGGCGAGGTATAGTCCTCCGGGACTGTGGCAGCGGCTAAGCCGATGATGGCCAGCAACGAGATGGAGCTGCGCATTTTGAGCGAGAGAATGCTATGCTGATTGAACGAGTGCAAAGCGGTTTGGAGCTAAGAGTCAAATATTAGTAAACAAACATGTTCAGCTACGGGTGAACATGGCAGGAAATCAAAAGAAGATATAGCTCCTCGCGGTCGTGGAACGAAGGTACAAGAAGATGTGTACGGTAGCACATCTGGAACAATGTATATGTAGAGTAATGTGACCGATTCAATAGATCAATGGTACTCACCTTCTGGCAATTTGACGAGGGACGACGGGTTGGAATCCAAGCCTGAGCAGTCACGCGAAAGCTACCTTCCTTCGTACTGAGGGCGGCGGCCAGCAGCGACTATAAAGCTACGCAGCTGTTGAAAAGCACAGGCTGCAAGATGATGAGCATGTTGAGCTGGCGGGGCTGGACTGGAAGGAGCTCGTCCCAATGATCCTGGAGACTTGCACAAGGCAAACATGGAAATGGGTCCCAATTGGGCCCATGACCGGGGGGTGAAGACATGGGCCTTGGAAGAAGGGAGCAAGACGAGGTACCGCAAGGATATCCGACAGCGGGACAGTGCTGTGGCCGCCATGGCGGCGGTGGAAGGATGAATGGATTATGGATGGGTAAGGTCTATAGCCTCACTAGCCGATTGCGGAGAATGGCATGGGCCAAAGGGAAGAGCGCCACCATTTGACAAACGAAAACCCGTGAGAGGCGAAAGCTACGAGGGCCAAGGGATCCAAGGTAGCATTCGGTTCGTAATCAGGGTGCTGGGCAGGCACGGCAGTCGGGCAACGAGCAACGGCGTGCTTACTGACTGACTTTGGGAGTGGTGGTCTGGAAACCTTTTTCGCATTCTGCGCCCATGTTGGAGCTGACATGGGGGTATATTCTCAGCACCGCATTTGGCTAGCAATATACCACGACCAGCTAGCATTACCTGCAGCCCACGATTGTCGGGTCGACGAGAGACGGGATTTGATGGCGGAAGCCACCGTTCAGATTTTCTGCACGGGGGTTAGCTTGGGGGCGGGATCCAAAGAGCCATTGGACGGATGTTCTTGAACACGCACAGGCAGAAGAGAGAATGGCTATCAGTGGGTGGCTACCACTGACTGCTACACGTCACAGCCTCTCCATCCATCAAATGAATCCATTGGCACGTTTGCAGGCGGCTGTGCACTGCTGAGGAACCCAAGGATACACCAGCCTCTGTGCCGTGGAAGGAGAGCAAAGGCACGAGCGAGTCACTGCGGGGACGGCTGAATTGGTAAGATTCCATGGATGGTGGGAGGTGAGGTGAGGTGAGGTGTAGTGTAGTGTAGCGACTAGAACGGCTCCCGTCTGGGCATGGTTCGCACGTGAGAGGCTGCCTTACTGTGCACAAGCGAGCATCTGATTGGCGCTTGGACCTGACTAATGCCACGCTACCCCCGATCGGGACTGGCTGACGGCCACAGCGGTGAACCCTCCCGACTCTCCACCCTCTTCCATCCCATGTCTCTCGAGCCACCTCTCCCCGCAGCACTCCATGTCCATGTCCATGCCTACACAATGCACGAATTCTCGCGCATCAAGCGCCACGGGCCCTACACCCATCTGTCCCCAAGCTCCCAACCATTTCTTCACTGCGCTGGATCTGCACCACCCCTCCCCAATAGCACATGTCTGCTATCCCGTCCTGCATGCAGGCGCTTCCCGGAGCGCTCCAGTAGGACGATGGCATCTTTGCACCTCTTGATCACTCATATATAGGCGTAGCAGCACACAAGTTAAACAATATTACGTCCCGACGCCCGTATGTGGCACGGTCAATAGTCATAAAGCCTGCATGGATCGGCCTTTTCTCCCACTCTGCTCCCTTCCATCATCTTCATTGGAAGAACATCGTCGTGCCGTGACACGCTGGACGCTGGTGGGCTGACATACACCCCTGCTCGGGCGTAGGCTTACCTACATTTTCGATATTCAGCTTAGGCCATCTGGTCCCTCTTGCAAGGCTGAGAGAGCATTTTGTTCTCCGATACCCCCGCCGCACACTGCCCTATCGGCTCTTGGCTGGATTGCACTGATTCTTTTTCTCTTCTCGACAGCCCGGCCGAGCATGCTCATATCGCAAAGATGAGTCCTCGAAAGCGTCAAGAGAAGGTTCCGACGCCTTACGTTCTGAATCCGACTGGTGAATTCGATGGCAACGACGGCAGGTGGTCGAGCTTTTACGTGAACATTGGGGACGGTGAAGGAACCGGACAGGGCCAAAACTTCAAGGTTCTAATCTCAACTTCATCTCCACTTACTCTCGTCCCCAACAAGGCCAGCTGGTGTAACCAAGAATGCGCTGCTAAGCGGGGTGTGCAAATCTTCGACGGCTCCCAGTCTGAAGGCTTCGATTGGCAAAAGTCTCAGAGCTGGCAAGACGCTGGTATCTATGAAGTCCCTCTTCCTCACTGGTGGGCACAGTCCCCTCTGAACGCGACATATGGCTCCGAAGCCGTGGGCCTCGGGGAGAGTTCAAAAGACAGCCTTGTCATGGCCACGCAATATGTGGCACGATATGACTTCCAAGACTTCTTCATGGGGTCTTTGGGACTATCGCAAACAGATGTCAAGACTGGTTCTGGATCTCAACCACCACTCCTGGTCAACTTGGCCGATTTCTACCAGATACCGAGCATTTCATATGCATATGGTGCCGGAGCTTCATATCGTAAGTCGCATCTGCCCATGTAAAATCGAGTGAGCCAAATCTGACTGTGGCAAAGGCAATAGCCATAAAGGAATACCTGGAAATCTTGTTCTCGGCGGCTATGACCAATCAAGATTCAATCCCAGCAAGGCTCTTGGCCTCACTATGCCGTCGGAGAAGAACAATACTCTTATCGTTGGCGTGTCATCAATGCTATACAAGCCTGATGCCAACGTCGAGTCCAACACCTTCTCCTTGACCTCGGAATCAAAAGGTTTCCAGGCCACAATCGATTCCACACTTCCTTACCTGGTACTCCCCGATAAGGTCTGCGATTCGCTCGTGGAGAGGTTCGGGTTGGAATTCGATAACAAGACTGAATTGTATACGGTCAGCTCCGAGTCCCAACAGAAGAATGAGCAGCAGAATGCCACAATCTCATTTAAAATTACCAAAGATGCACAGGACAGCAATACCTTCACGACCATCGACTTACGATACGATGCGTTTAACCTCGAGGCTAGCTATCCATTGACAAATAACTCCGACTCCACTCGATACTTTCCCATCAAGAAGTCCACCAACGGCATGTTCGTCCTTGGTCGGGCATTCCTTCAAGAGTCGTACTTGATCGTAGACTATGAGCGAACCAACTTTACAATCGCACCGGCTGTCTATTCAGACCCCATGCCCGAGCAGCAATTGATGCCAATCTGGAACAAGACGTACACACCGACGACTCTCACTCCGACTCCCATACCACAGGAATCTAGCGAAGGCCTCTCACCAGGAGCCATCGCCGGCATCGTCGTAGGGATCGTAGTAGCTTTCCTTCTCGCAGCTCTGGGCTACTTTTTGTGGTGGAGGAAACGTCGTGCCGCGCAGGCCGCGCCACCATATACAGAAAAATCACCAGAGATGAATACCGAGACCGCTGGCTCAGAAGTTAAATCGCATCGTATTTCCGAACTCGATTCAGAACCACCAAACTCTCCAAAACCTTCTTTGGGTGGTTATTACGATCGCGAGATCAAAGACATATCGCCCTTCCCTCCCATTAGCGAGATGGAGAGTCCGCCCGCGGAGTTATACAGTCCTCCACTTGTGGCAAGCACACCGCGAAGCGAGGCAGAAGGAAGCGATTACTTCATCTCAGGTACGAAGATCAGAAGACACGGCAGAGATTCTTCCGGAAACATTACGCCTGCCTCCGGTTCTGGTGTTGCGGAACTCCCGGGTGACGATGGAAAGTACCAAGTCGGTGGCCTGCACTTTGATCCCATCGCCAGCCCTAAACTTAGCCCCGCCCAAAGCAATACCAAGATTGACGAAGTCGTAGCGCGGAACGAGGCTTCGCCCGAGCGCAAGGCAAACCTAGCAGACGTCAAAGAAGAATACGAAGGAAAGGATGGCGCGCCACTCGAGCGCCGCCCATCAGCGCACCAGAGAGGTCTTAGCGACACGACAGTCCAGAGCGACGACACGGCCGTGTCTGCTATGACGCCCGACGAAATGGAACGATGGGCACTGGGCAACGACAACTCGCCAACTCGACCCTTGTCGGAATAGACACCATACTGGTCAATGTTGATGATGTGATCCACGTGGCGCATTGATCGCATCGCACCGGCGATTTGGGGGCTGAGGCGCTGAGGGGTCGGTTTTCTCCCAAGCGTCTGGCAAACTATTACCCCGATCATCAATCGCACCGGCCGGCAACCCTGGATTCGGCAGTCAGTCAGATATGGCCGTTTTCGGGCTTCTTGTTCACATGTTTTTTGCTCGTATTCCTTCTTCGCTTCGCGTCGCTCTGCTTTAGGTTTTGCTTCCGAGTCGACGGACTTTCAGGTTCCGCGGATACAAATTGGGAGGTCTCCATCTTGCTTCGTTATCATGTCTTTGTTTTTATTATCTTAACGGTTTGGGGCGGGAAGAAACGGATAGCTAGATACCCCAGGCACATCACGCTCACTTGTTTCCCTTCTTCACGAAAGCTTTGCAATCGCTACATCGATTGTCATGTACGTATGTATTCACGAATTTTAGTAATCGCAAAACCCTTTTCACCTCTCTCATAAATACAATTGTCCGTCGCCTATTCTCAATGTAGTCACGAAGCTCCGTTCAGGACGTCTATTGACCTATCCATTCTTGATTCCCTTCGTACGGTATGCCCTATTTCGCAACTCCCTTCACCTCTACTGAGTCAATACAATCCGTCAAGCGCGCACATCCTACACCGTACGCTAAGCTAAGCTAACGCTCCGTCCACCTCACCTCGCCACGCCATACCATGCCCGTCATCACCCATCCACGCACAAGCCCTTGCATCCTACACCATATCCACCCGACAACAACAATCACAATAACAGCAACTAATACAACACACTAATATCAAAAGCAGGTATCCATCTCCGGTCTCTCCCTTCGCGCTTGCTGACTGTCATTTTTTAATCGCCCTCGTGACATGTCCGGATTCTAGACTCGCCGAGGTGAGAGAGGATGGAAGTAGGTTGAGTTGAGTTAGTGAGCTTACGCTTGGCGAGTTGGACGGACGGATGGATTGATTCCTCGGTACAATTACTCTTCAAATACGTGCGTAAACGTGCAAGGAGGGAATTCTGACTTTCGCGGTCGTCTGTGCGAAGAAAAATTAATGGAGAACGGTAGTATTGGATTCATAATCAGTGCGGTCATGGAGTAACTAAGGAGTTGATGATGATGTTTTGACGGCGTCGGGGCAACTATTGAGTTATTTGTCTCAGGTCCGCTGCTCCTTCTTGCTTATTAGGGGCGGCGTAGCTTGGAGCGTTTTCAGGGGACGGTCGGGTTAACTTTTTGATGAGGTTGTATGGGGCTGCTTGGGATTGATGACGGGTTGTTTTCGACATGTTGTATTAGTTATCCCGAGGGTGGATGGAATAGTGCGACGGGATTGTACTGTCCATCATCCGTCGGCGCGGCATGTATACAGATACACGGTAAGCCTTGCCTGACTACCTCTCTTACCTACATGCTCCATCAAAGATCTATCATGCCGTCACTAACACGATCCTGGAGTCCCATTGATCACATAAACCTACAGTGGACGCTATCCATCGCCTCCAACTGCCCCACACGCACCCAACCACCTACCTTCCCTTCCCACGCTAGTCAATCTACCACCACCACCTATAAATAACAGCATAGGCTACCCAACCTCTTGAGTAGTCCCACCCCGAACAAAAAGAAAGAAACACAAAAATAAAGCGACTACCGCGATAACAGGACAACATGGCGTGACACTTCCAGCCACACGTCCGGATGGGAAGGGAATGGATCTGATTACTGGACGCCAACTAGATAGCGGGTACTTTAGCAACGAGTCGTTTTACAAGGAGGGTCCTGGTAGCATCTTTTAACGGGTACGAGGTGAGCGACATGGACACTGCACATGTATACCCGTATTTTAGGGCTCGGCTAGGCTCCTCATAAGGATGAGTGAGCAAACACGAAGAATGCGTTGATGGCCATATTCGCGGGGGGTTGGTGTTGCAGCTGATTCCGCAAAGAATCATAACAAGTGAGGTAGGTACTAGGTAGGTGGATGGTGATTGAAGTACGTACTTGCGCAATCGCTCTGCCCATGTCAAAACGTTTGTTTAAGCGCCCGCAAGCGCAGCATCGCTCGCTCACCCCTCCCATGCCATCCTATGCAGGCGGTCCGTTTTGTGCGGGATCGTCGGTGGACATGCACATGTACACTGAGAGAGAAAGAGAGTGCAGCATCCATGCATGTACTACATGATATGTAGTAAGTCTGTATGTATGTACTATAAATTGAACGCACCCACACATACACGGAGGTACAAGTAAACACACATACCCACATCTACCCTCGAAAATACGATGGAAAAATATCCATGCAGGATCAGGCCCCCGATGTAGCCACGCCAGCATTGCATTCACCAGCCCGCACCTGCATCACGGATAGATGCCTACATACACTATACTATTGCGAATCGAAGGCGGTAGGTGTGTGTTGCGCATCATGCAGAGCAGCAGCTCATATCGATTTGAGTTTTCTTGGGTCTCGGGAATCTGAGCTCCCGGGCCCAACGAAGCTTCGATTCGTGCCGTTGACTTGACGGATGCAATGCGCGTTGTTTAATGAAGAATGCGACGTTGAATGCGGCCGCGCGTGCGGGGTGGGGTCGCCGGATAGGGAAGGCGAGTATGTGCGGACGGGCGGTTTGATGGTCGAGAACATGGGGTGGAGAGCGAGAGTGGAGTCGAGGACTCGTTTAGATACTCACTGCATTGGCATGGAAGGCAAAAAGAAGGCAAACGCTCTAGGGTCCGAGAGGAAGAGTGTAGAATGAATTAGATTCGCTACCGAGTGGGTGAATGGATAAAGTAGGGGGTGAATAAGCGGTCGAGATTCGTAGGTGCTGTGGGTGGTTGGTGGTGGTGACGTTGGTGGAGGGGGCCCTATGGCCGTGCTGAAGATCGAGACTTGTTGCCTTCTTCGTATAGAATTTATGGTAATGGAGAAGAGCGCGAGAAGCTTGTGGTAATATGATGTGCCGCATTACATGGCATGAACGTCCCCGCTCGCCTGCTGCACATTGGTGCTGACATGGGAATTTAGAAGAAGTATTGACAGCGCAGGTACGAATTGAGTATAAACGGGTGGCGATGGGGGAGCCGCCGAATCTAACGACTGATCATTCGAGCATGATGATATGGCCATTGGCGCAGGTTGCATCATGAGAGCAATTCACTCATTTGTGTTTGATGGATTGGATTGATCTGGGCGCATATGTGTCGATGGGTGGGGAAGAGCGCCGGGTGGCGCCGTTTTGTTACTGTGCCGCTCTCATACAGTGAATGCATCTCATGGGTGCTGTTTCCTACGGTGCCTAGTCCAAACAACCCACTATAAACAGAATGTCCATCGTCAATGTGTGCTACGCTCATGCATATATGCATGTTCCCGTAGCGGGTACTAGAGGGCACTTCGACCACACAAGCTCACTCGGGAGACGTGACCTTTAATCACACGGGCTTTTCGGTGTGCAGCTTTTCGAGCCAGGTAGTAAGTTGGCGACCAGACCCGTGATTTGGTATACCTGCTCCCTCCAATCCTTGCAACGATACATGTTCAGAAGTAGCTCGATCGTCCTGGGGCGGCGTCGACCGGTGCCTTTCGACGATCTTGAGTGGCCATTTGATGGCGCTCCTCCATAGTGGATCCGTCACTGCATCAGAGATGGCTTTTACGACCCGATCTGCCCAACCGATAAGGTACCAGTGGCGAGTCTGTGCTGCGTACAGCCCGACAGCCCAATGCATTAGAACCACAAGAGCAGGCTGCTCTCTATCTCTAATGTTGTTGAGAAATCTGGGTGACAGATGCAGAGGCCAGTAGAAGAGGAAATGCGCTTCACGGTTGTCCTGACAAGGTCGCATAGCATGCAACAGAGTCTCACGCATTAGAGCCACGAAGGCGACAAGCTCGCGTCGATATCCTTCTTCTAGGTCGCACTCATTCTCTAGAAAATGAAGGAGGTCGGGGATTCGCTCGAGAAGGTGCGGGAATAGAGGCTGAGGTGGTGTCTCGCGGGTGTTCTCGGCCAGCATGGGAGCAAAAGGCCCTCGAATAACATATATCTGACCTGCAGATATGACAAATCCAATACCTTGAATCAATGAGAAGATATCAGCCAGATCGTCAAAGACTGATACTGTGCTTGATATTGGCAAGCCTTCACTGTCTGTCTCCGGATACATGGCATCCTGACCGCGAGACGCAAAGACGGTGATGCTCACCAGGATGGAAGTTGCAAAGAGTTGTGAAGCATTGGCCTCGGTGATTGTCCCCAGGACTTTTCGCATCCCCCTTAGCGCATGGTCTTGATGGTGGATCCCGAGTCCATGATACATGCGTTGTTCCGCAGGGTTTGTGGCTGCTAGGTGTAGAGCGGACAAGGCCAAAATTTCGTGCATCAGAAAATTATGCGTCATTGCAGCCTTTGTCCATTCGGTTTTCCACAAGCTCTTGCTCTCTTCCCTTTGAGACATCTTGTCTGCGACGACAGTGATCCAATGCTGCCTGTAAGGAATCAGCAACGCGTAAATGTAGACTTGGAGTCACACAAACATCAAATGCAAGTCCTGAATCCACAGATTAGATGGCTGGTTATCTCGCCGGTAAACGAATTTTGTGATAAACGGGAAGGAGTCGGAGCTAGTTGATGGCGAGGAACTTTCATCTGTAGCATTCAACACATAGCCGAGAGAGTTTGCTTGTGGAGAGTTTTCTTCGGAGGGTTCCTTTGCACGTTGTCAATACTTCTTGTTATTCAGTTGATGCTGAGTGAGCTGTACTGCACCTTTTTCGGTTGTGTCAGTTGGGCTTTCGACGATGACTTCCGTATGACATTGCCATCGCCACTTTGGGTCGGTATAGGAGGTGCATTTGGGTCTACCAGACTACACGAAACACCATGTCTCGCGCAATTGGAGCAGGGCCTATTCTCATCGCACTGTAATCCATGGTCAACAAAACTATTCTTGGATGTAGATCAAAACGCCCCCGGAGCATACGCAATGGTATTCTCGATGTCTTGGTAAGATTGGCTTTCGCGTGGGAATGACTGACCTTTACATGACGGGCTTTGCACTGTTTACAGCCGTTGCGAGACTTTTTATGCCCAAGACGTGGCATTGGCTACCACACCTCCGTCACAAACAATTGTGACGAATCAACGAGTTCGATGCGTTCCTTCGACACTAGGCGAACCGCGAACGGTAAGATGGGGTGTGGCCGTTGATGGAGCCGTTGGACGGGGCTGTTCGTGTGGAAAGAGAACGCGAATGCGAGCTGAAAATCAACGAAGGAGGGGAGGGCCAGCTATCTTGCAATGTGCCGGAGCCTTTGCCTGGTCACATTGGCGGAATCGGAGGAGTTGAAGCTAGGCCGTATCTGCGGCAGCCTGCGAAAAGCATTGAGGATCGACGACAAGGAAGATGAAGTAGTGGATGGATCACGATTGGGGATATCCTGGCATATCATCGTACAGACATGAGTCGATTCTGGTGCGTGGCAGCAGGGAATGTCGTTCTGGATGCCCTTCCTCGTCTCAACACGTCGCTCTCCAGTTACGCCGTGATTGAATTTTCGCGGTGATGGTTTAGTAGAGATCAGACGAAAACAATTGCGGTGGTTGTCACTGGTGTGGGGCGCCGAGGTAACTACCGTCTACTTGACCAATTGAAAGCACGCAGATTCCCGAACTAACACCGAGGACATGTGGTGGCCTATGACAGACGAGTTTGAGATAGTCACTTGCAGTAAGTTGGGTGACAGTGTACTTGGGTGCCTGCAAGCACACGGAACTCCGCAAACATCGTCTGGCGGGAATCTTTGCACGCTCGTTCGATGTCGCGATTCACATGGGGCCGTCACACAGCACCCGAGACTGCACGTTTGCTTACTTTTTCGCTCTTTGATAAGTACAGTACTTCCTACATTTCACTGCCTACATAGATATCTATCATATGTTGAGAACGACATGAGGATACTGCTTTCGTGGAGCTCTACAGTTTGAGCTGGAATCTGGGATTAGTCCTCACCCTCTCTCCGTACTTGAAGAACAACCATGTCAATGGACACATCGCGAGGCCTATAAAACCAAGTAAACTGTTTCCCCAGCCCAAACCAAGCTTCGCGTACATTGAGCGTCCGAAAAGGGGAACTAAGCATCCGACGAGAGATCGTACAGCCGTCAGCGCGGCCGCAGCTGAAGCTTCATATAGCGGATATGCATCGATAAGGTATGTTGTTATACCTAAAATTGCAGGTGTCGAGTTAGTAAAATCCATACCAGTGTGTTGGGATGGGCTTGGGAGTATCAAGTCATCGTATCGTGGGTGTCCACGGTATCGACGCTTTACCCATTGTATACGTACACATCTAAGACACAGATTAGTTTCACTAGAGCTTAAGGCGGAAGACAGGACGTGCATACCATAATAGTATTCATCCCCAGACCAAAGAAGCCGGTTCCAATGATGGGCACGATCCAATGAGTGCCCGCTTCTGCCGACCATCCATACCAGAAGAGCCCAATTGGCAAGGCAAAACCGAGGGGCAATAATGGGACGAGACGCCATTCTGCTGTCCATTTGCCGATTTCATTCCGTTTCCGATAAATACGATCAGTCCATATGCCTGCAATAACAAGGCTGATGAAGGAGCCGATGCCTGTTCCCAGATATGTCAAGCCGACACTTCCTGTACTGAACTTGTACCGTGATTGGAAAATGAGTGGGAACGTAGTGAAGAGTAGGTACATGATGCCGTACATCATTCCTTGATACAAGCTCAGGCTGGCAACGACGGGACTGAACAAGAGCATCTTCAGTGGCCGAATAATAGCTCGTGCAAAGATTCTGCCAGCGCTACGTTCCGAGTTGGCATAGATAGATCTTAGGTTATCATTTCCGGCTTCTTTTCTGAGTTTCGCTGCTTTTCGTTCCATTAAAACAACGGGGTACGTTTCGTCTTGGAGGACTACAGTGGCAATGGAACCGCATCCGGCCCCGATTGACATTGTCCAAAAGACCCATCTCCATCCCGCACTTGCTCCAAGGTAGCCTCCCGCAATTGGACCGAGTATCGGACCTAACAGTGGACCCAGGGACCACAATGCGATGACTTTACCCCGACTCGCTGGTTTGACGATATCACCAAAAGTTCCTGCTCCGATAGTGAGCGGGCAACCGCCGAACGTCCCACTCAAGAATCGGAAGACGATCAAAGCAGCTAGGGAAGGCGAAAGCGCAGCGGCAATATTGAAGACAGTGTAAAGAAAGTTGCAAACGATATACACTGGCAGCCGCCCGTACAGCTCCGAAAGTGGCCCCAGAAACAGCGGTCCGAAGAAGTAGCCCAGAACCCATGACGAAATAACGAAACTGGCTAGGGTTGAGTTGGAAGACTTGAATTCAAGCATTGCCTGATTGATGACGGGTGCCAACATGGTAGATCCAAGTGGCGTCAAGAATGCACAGTAGCAAATGACGACAATGTTCTTTGTTTTGCGAGTATTACTCCAGTTCATGGGCTTTTCGGGATCGTCTTCATTCGTCCAGTCGACCACATTGCCTAAGCTACCATCTATATCCTCGCCGTTGTTCGCGCCATTGGTCTCGTACCCACGGTTCGTTGAGTCATGCTCTAAACCGAATTCTAAAGCTGGGGTATCGCTCAGCTGAGTCTTTTCTTTCATCGCTAGATTTGGGGACCTGAGTCTTCGTTGGAAAATATGTCTATAACCAAAGTCGCGTAATCCGTGTGACGCTGTGATATGGTCGCAGTTTACTGGTTGAGGTCAGTACAGTGTGATATCGAGATCATCAAGTGCATCCAAAGATGCAATTACCTGATAGATATAATGATTGTCAAACAATTGTGATTGTTTACCAGTTAGCCCTAGCTATTTTCGAGGAATTGGCGAAAACACTATGATGTTTCCAGTACGGCAAATAAATCATGAAAGTACACAAGAGGAGGGAAGTGAGGGACAGCGATATATCTGAAGAGTTTTTAAGGGACTATGCCACCGATATGTGAATTTGGAAGTAATGAACAACGCGGTCAGACGTCCTCCGTAAACCCCATTGACACCACCCCCGCTTGAGTATAGACGAACCAACCAATCACAGCTTGCCAATTCGGTTGGATCCGGGTTAGCGTACGCGGCGTATGAATGGTCATCTGAAGTTTCACAGTGATATGGAGAATAAGGGGGTCACCCTAAGACAATTGACAGAAGTGTTTGCTTTTGGAGAACTGGATGAGAAAATGGTAACGTCCCACCGATTGCTGCAAGTCTCGTATGCACGCTATTGAGTGCGCGAGGTTCTCAAACAGGCAGTTCCGAGGCAGATTGTCTTCAGTATGCCCCATTGACGTCGCTGAGACATGTACCGACAATCGTAGTCAAACAGTTGGAGAATTCCTGATCGACATTCGAAAGAGTTCAAGAGCACATCGCGAGATTAGGGAGAGCTGGAGCATCGGTGTGTGTACGCAACAGAGTACAGACGGCATTCTCTATTACGTCATCGATCGTCTTCGCTACCTACCTACCGAACGCCCCATAATCCTCACATCAGCTTTCATCTTACACTGTCTTTAAGGAATCAGTCGTTATACACATAACATGTCACATAGATGCCCAATATACCTAACTCAGCGAGCCTACAACCCAATCTAGGCAGCAGCACATTTTCCCCTGTATAGTCACAATTGATCTCACCCCTTTGTACACGGATCGGTCGGTCCCGCCGTGCTTATTGCGCCCCCTCCTTTTCGCCTTCTTTTCTGCAATCCTGATCGTGCCCACCGCCTCTTTAGCCTTGCGATCCTTCCTCCTCCGTGCCCTTTCTTTGCATTCCCCACCACCAGGCGAGGGCGAGGGCGGGACCAAGCCATATTCTACTCGGAAAATATGCACACGTGCTGTGGACGGCGTGGTTTTGCCTCTTTCCCCCTCCTTTTCGTCGTTTATGAGGTCCTCTCGTCTGATTACTTGGTTAGTGAAGCACACAGCGCACAAATCCCCGCATCAAGCGAGGCTGAAGTCTGACGTAAACCACGACTGCAAAAAACGTTAAAGATTCTAGAACGAAATTTCGAATAAAGAAGCACGGCGGTAACAGGGAATATACAAGGAATGGAAGCCCAAGCAGTGCACATATGGGAAGGGGGTTTGCCTGTGATGTAGGAGCCCAGCGAAAGCTACGAGCCCGGTTGAGCCCTGTCCTGCGTGCCCTGAGTCCCTCCCTAGGTCCCTGGTCCTTGTCCTGGAGACGCCCTGGATACTTGGAAATCTATTCTGCCTTATGCCTTGTACGAGATATCTGTACTACACGCGTGCGCATGAGATACTGAGCACGGTACCCGGCTGCTCCACCAGAACTGCACTGCCCTGCTGAAAGACGTCTTGATGACTTTGCTCAAGCGCGCAAAGAAACCGGTCTATGTTAAGAGGTCAACATGACGTGGTTGATGAGAAGAGAGAAAAGTATAGAACAACTAAAGTGGGGCGCGTGCATTCTGATGGAGGCGTAGGTCTGCGGTCTCAGATCCAGTCAGATAGGCGCCGCCCGGGAGCAATAAGCTTAAACGCAACAAATTCGGAAGGAATGGAAGGAAAAAAGGAAGAAAGGAGGAAAATATAAGGGCGCGCTCTCAGGCATCGAGTGTGTGAGTTTTCAGTAAGGCGCCTCGCTCGGGGGGCGGAGCGGAGTGAGCAGAGCCTCAACTTAGCTGCGCAAGGTGCAAAGGACAAAGAAGATGAGAAATCAAGTTCTGGTAGAGTGGCAGTTGTAAGTCTGGTAAAAAATCTAGTAATTTTGGCTCTATGGGAAAGATTTGGGTATCTAATTACATGCAAATGAAGGCAATGCTATGGAAGGTGCAAAGTGGGTGAGGAAACACAAATGCCCGAATCCGGATGAAAACACAAAACCATAGATGAGGAAAGAACGACAACCCGCTAGTCCAAACGAAATCACGCCTCACTGTTACGCTCAGAGCCCAGCTTCATGTATAGCCTCCAACCGGTGTATCCTCACATCCGAAAACGACTACACTAATCCCAAAGTGTCAGCAATATCCTTTCAGCATGTGGTCACCAGCGTCAACTTACATCTGCCATCCAGGCATAACGTGAGCTTGACATTAGATGCCCGGCTCTATCTTTTGATGGCCTCGACTATACACCCACTGCAGCGGACGTGGTCGTTACATCTGGGACACTCAACATAAAGGGCCAAGTTGAGTGCTCCAAAATCGCAACGACAGCAGTACCAGTAGTATTCCACATCGCCGCTGGGACAACTTGAGAAGAGGATGTCACCGTTGTGAGTCATCGAGTGTTCGGGAGCGTGCGGTATAGAATCGGTGACTTCGTTCGAAAGTGAAGTGGAAGCGTTTGTTTCGGCCTGCCCCAACCATCCGTTGATCATATGGATAAGTTTCGTTGTCGGGTTTCCGTGTTTTGCCAGACCGAGAAGGGAATACTGATTTGTGGAGTACTCGTTGGTGGTCATCCCGTAGGCGTACGGGGTATCGTGGATTTGGATGGTGCAAGAGGAGCAGCGTGTGTGATAGCACTGGGTGCAATCATCAACGTAGGAAGGGTTGTTTCCGCCCTCGCCGCACTGGCAGCAATACCAATATGCCGACATGATGGTTATGATTTGCTAGAGATTGATTGTCAAGATGAGGACTGATTTAAAGATGATGATGGGAGAGGAGGAAGAATGTGTTTGCTGGCAGTGGCAGAACGAGGAGGGTTTCGGCTTGCTTTAATGTTCGTTATCAAGAAAGGGCGAAGCACCTGTTTCGAGTGAGGCAAGAACGAAAGCGTCGGGCACTTCCATTCTCAGCTGGAAGATTCCTTGCTGAGATGAAGCGTGCTGCCTCACCTGGACGCCCCGTAGCCCTCTCGAGGCAAATGTGCTATGTCCCAGCGGTCAAGAGACTTGGCCGTTTGATTGGAACAACGTAGTATCACGAGAAATAGAGCATGGCCTCTTCGGTGTGGCTTATCTCTACAAAGGACCCACTCCGTGATTACTCCTTCCATGTTCATGAGCCCAAAGTTGAAATCAAGCAAACAAACGTCGGGTCGCAATGGATTTGCCCTGTCGGGTCGACATAGCAAGTCGGTCAAAATTCCAGCTCTGACATAATGTACTGAGTGCACATGATGCGTAGCTTTGGAATGAGTGTGGCTTTGCTACTCACTTCCTGACTTCTTTGCTTAGTGCAAAACGAGGTGAATAGTCCCATAACGATATCATGGTACCGATTTCGGCCTAGCTCAAGGCAATTCGAAGCCAAGGATGAAGTGTTTGCCTTATTGCAGCCTTGCACGTGTTTCGAGGTACGCGCAACAATAAATCAGGGAAATTTCCAAAAAGTTGCCTTCTCAAGCATTTAGGCAAATGAAATTTTAAGATGCTTTATTGCAGTCTGGGATCTGGATGTCGTCCAACCATTACAAGGATACGAATGCAGGTAACGACCCGGCTCTAACTTTCCAAAACCTGCAGCTTCTGCGAGATTACGCAGTTGTTCCTGCATTCTCTTTCTCGATTCGAGCGATCCCATCCTCGGCCACATGGTTTTCATTCAGGAGACAGCCGAAACAGCCCCACGTGGTAATTCCGTTGCCACGGTCTCCGGTAGACGATGGTGTGTTGGTTACGTTACATCGGGAGCAGAGAGAATGAGTGGTCAGAAATACAAGGATTGCATATATGCCACTCAATCGACTAATGGTGCGATGTTGCCTATATCCCAATGTGTGTCTTCTAAACGAGAATTGTGTATATTGCAGAAGGAAATCTAAAGCGGTCAATCTAACTACGTCCAATGCTTTCCCCCTGAACAACCATAAACAAGAACATCATATCATATACGATATGCAAGACCAGCGGGACTGCCAGCGCCCCAGCATTAAGCTCCATCTCAAATAACTGAAGCAGGGTTAGAGTTTTCTGTGAAGACCCAACAGCCAATGAGATGGTGCTTGAAAACTACGCCGCAAACCAAATTGGCAGCCCCATAGATCTGATGGCTTGCATGCCGTTGGAAACAAGATGCTTAGCGTGTCAGCCTCGCAGCTTGTACTGTTATGATGTTAGATATTTGGGCGGTTGATTCAGGATGGTGGTACATGAGAAACTTCAGCACATAGCTCATCATCGTACCTGCTTACTTCTCCTCGACGCGGCAGCACCCATCCCTTGTATGATTGCAAGCGCAGCAAGCGGGCATCCAAATTCCTATGGGGCCATCACCGCAGCTGCCACAGAACCAGATCAACTCCCCGTCTTGTGGCTGACCTCCAATGTAGTCTACAGCAGGGTATTCAACTGGGAGCGAGTAGTCGAACATGGCAGGAAACGTCTTCGGGGGAGACTCGGGTGGACTCTGTCTTGAGACGATAGGGTTGTAACACATTTCTCTGGCCGGTAGGTGGTGTGCTAGTTTCCGGGAGACTGCCAGGTGCTTTAGAACTGTAAAAGGCTGGCCGATCAGATTCGATGGTGTAAGAGTGGTAGAAAGAGTATGAGTTGAGAAAGTAGTAAGGATTTACTACCAAAAAGTACTCGAAGATGATTGTGAGTGGAGGTGAAGCAGAGGGAAGAAGAACTTGCTGAATCGTGGTGGTTTGGATTGCTAGTCTTGCCACGACGATTTATACTTATTTCCCAGCAGAGGGCTGTCGTCCAAATGTCGGTGCGCTTCAGGTTCATGATTACATGGCAAGGTGTGAGCAAGACCCACAGTCAGTTGTGAAGCTAAGGCCATGTCTTACGACGAGAGGCACCCATGGAGAGGCTGGTCGACAGTGATAAACGGCGTGGCGTATATTCCCAGTCCCGGGGGTAAGATGTTGCGTATGGTCAAAGGCGCACCGGCCATGTCCGACAGAAGCAAGGTCTGAACATGACGACCAGTGTTTTCGTGGCATACATCTCAAGCTCAGCGGGTGCCTTAGGTCTCACCACAAAAGGTTTTGATAGAATGGGAGGTATCCCTTGTCAACGCATCATATGACAGGCGTCGGAGTCAACTGCTGCTGTGTAGTAGACAATGTGTGCAACGGGTTGGCCAGAGTTTTCCACGAAGATAAGACGTTGTTGGCAAGCGTACAGAAGGTGGGCCGTTGATAATAGAGTACCCGTCTTAGTAGGAGCTGGTCGCATAAAGAGACCCGCTACGCTACTCCGTTAGCTCGCCAGGCAAAAGTTGCCTTTTTGCCTTCTGTACCTGCAATATCCCTAGGAGAGCATGGACAGAAGCACACTACTAGATACAAATCAGAAGTCTTCTCTATGATCGTATATGACGTGAGGATTCCACATTCGAAGTTTACTAATTCTGAAGTATGCCGTCATGCATCAGTAGTAAATACTGCAGACAGCAATCCCGTTTCCCGTCGGCCGTGCAGATACGACGGCAGTCTAGAGAGTCGGCAGATTTGTATCGCGAATTAGACCCATCTCGTTTCCGGGTTGCCACCGCGAGCAGTTCGAGCCGTAATCGTCGGAAGGATCCCTGATCTAGAAGGTCGACCATCTTGATGGAGGGTAATACGACAGCAAGCCCCCGAAAATAGATAGATCAAAGACGCCGAAACAGACGGGTAGCGAGGCCAGATTACGAAGAGCAGTAAGGATTGGCTCGAGTCGTTGCGATCGTATTTTACCTACAACACGATTACGAGTTTGCAAACGAGACACTGGCTTCCTGATACCGCATTGGGTTACAATTGAATTCCTAATTCTCCACGAAAGTTCTAATTGTGTTTGCCGCGCCGTGTGGGGAAGTGCAGTGCAGTATGAGGACAGTGTTGTCGGCCTTAAGATTAATCATGGGTTACATTGATGACTGGCTTGGTAGGAATTCACGGGAGTGAATGAGATAAGCACCGATGAGCCGTGTAATTGTCCTTGATATTGTTTCAGACGGTTTGGGTCACCCCGTGGTTCGTTACGGCAGGAGGTAGTATGGGCGGCTAGCGGACAGTGAAGTGGTTCTGGGGCTAGAAATTCTTGAATGGGGCCAGAATTTCCTTCCACACATTACCGGACGCGGGATGATTGCGAGCATAGGAAGGTTGGATAAATGTTTCGGATCAAGAGTGACCAGTTGATCGGCAACCGGTGCATTTACCACAGACAAAGAAGCAGTAGTTCGGGGCCAGCATTCTGGACGGGACCCAGCCTAGATCGATACCCAATCAGTCTGGAAAACACTTTAGGCTACTACCATGTGAGAATACAGCCTAGTGAGACGCCACGAGGCTGCCATGTTGAGGCAAGAGCCTCACAGCGTGCCGGATCAAGATTCGGTCAAAAGCTGGGAGTTTGTAGTCGCTGAAGCTGAGGCGCAGCAGATGAAATCTTGCCTCAGAAAATGCCTGAAACGATCTTCGTGGTTTAACGGAAATCTCGTTCACCGCATGACGAAAGCTATCGCACTGCGAGCAGGTTGTGTGCCAACCCAAGGAAGAAACAGTGCGGATTCAGCGAATGCTATTTTGCCGAGGGAATGGCAATAGAAGCCGACTGGAAGGAATGGGAAAATCCGGAGAATAATCAGGGTTTCGTGTATAAAAAGCACTCCATCTGCAAGGCTGAAAAAAATGAGTCCGGTGAACCAATCCGTTCACTAGCTTTGGGGCGGCCATATGGTCCAAGATAACAAATCAATGGAACTCAAGTCAAGCGACTGGAACGAATTCAACGTCATTATCTCTCGGTAGATCACGGCCATGGGGCAAGGCTACAGATCGAAGCATGCGTGGTGTAGTGATGAAGATTCAGAGGTGAGATTGATGTGAAGTGCTGAAGTTGGTTGTGGGGCCTGACATGCGCACGTCCTTCCCATCCGATCTTGGCTTTTTCGATTACTAATTTGTGATTGCGCACAGGAGCAGAGCCGAATGAAACTTGGTCTATCAATAGAGTACTGGATTCCCGATGAAGAGGTTACCGAATGAATTTCCACGATATCCCTCTGTAAATACCTACCTTGGATTCAATGATGATCTCAGGACATGGCTGATATCAATGACATCAATAGATGTGACTCTTGAATGATGATTCATCATTGATTCATGTTCATGAGTGGGGTAAGGCATGCTAGAGGCTCGACACATACTTCATTCTTTTAGACACGGAAAGTATTGTGCAGGTGAATCGGCACTAGATATCTACCTAGGTAGGTATATATGTAAACATTTGAAGATGTTCGGGTTAGTGTCCAGCTAGATCACGTGTATACACGTGGGAACGAGGCTGTGAGTGGCGCATGGACTGCCAAGTCTTGTACATCCCAGCTTCCTGTCAGGCGTCATCTCTCCCTTTCTACAACAAACATCGCTCTTCCGCGACTACAACAGGCGCACCGTCAACGGCGCAAGCGCATCTTTCCACCTCTCTCTAGAGGGGGTTTGATTGCCCTTCACAGATTGAGGAACCTCGGCCACCTGTGAAACAGCGCGTTGCGCACCTATTTGCAGATACAATCGAAACCCATTGCATCCGGAATACCCGGGCGCATCGCAACGACTTCCGAGACTCGAATCTAGTTATTCTCATGCGAGGTTAATATTACATACCTGCTCATTACACTGGGAGATTTATCACGGTCGACTCACGGCCTACCGGGTTGCTCTGATAACCTCTATCACCACCATGTCATCTGTATCAGAGAAATCGACAGACAGCCCTCATCGTGAACTGGACCAAAAAGTGGGCCGGATCTTCGCTGTATTGATGCCTATACTCGAACTTGGCGCAATAGGTTTCTCGACATATGTGTTTGTCTACTTGCTGTGCATTCAATATCTTCTTGCGCCTTCATCCACGTTTCAGCGGGATGGTATATCGCAACGGAGCTCCACTGGAATCGCCCTAATCACGCTTTTCTTCATTCTTCTCGTCATATTTCTGCTTGCCTGGATGCGCCTGATCCAAACAATATGGACTAATTCTGGTGTACTCCCTGTCGGCGATCTCAGCGTCGAAAAAGGCGACGCAAGCGCAAGATATTTCGACAAGTACGCAGCATACACATGCGACTATGAAGGCCGTCCGAAATGGTGCGATAAGTGTCACAATTATAAGCCCGATCGCGCGCACCATTGTCGAGAACTCAACCGTTGCGTGCAGCGCATGGATCACTATTGTCCTTGGGCTGGCGGCATCATCAGTGAAACTTCTCACAAATACTTTATCCAGTTTGTCTTCTATGGCATGCTCTGGACCGGATACATGCTCATTCCCATGGCTTATTTCCTGGCGGAAAGAATTCGATTGGTGGGGGACAAACCGTCAACGTGGATTGCTATGGTAGCTCTGAGTGCGTTGTTTTGCATGTTCACAGGAAGCATGTTCTTCATGACGACGTGGAATGTGACAATCAACTATACGACCGTGGAGACTGTGCAACGGGGTGGTGTACAAAACATTGCCATGTTAGCAACGCGGGGCCACAGTCTTGATCGACGACACTCGCGAAGCTCTGTGCGAAGCTCGACCCGAAGAGAGGGGGACGGCCCCAATGTTTTGAGGGAGTTCATGAGAGAGGACGGTCGCGAATATGTCGTCTTTCAGACCCAGCCTTTCGTTAATCCCTGGGATCTCGGCAACGCCAAAAACATGCGGAGTATTATGGGCGATAAGGTGCTGGACTGGTTCATTCCGCTGAAAATGAGCCCCTGTTTGAAGCATGACGACCCAAGAGGGGAGTTTGGATGGTCTGTTGATATCACCCGTATGGCGCGGGACTGGGAGGCGGACAATCCGGGGCGGCGCATTCAACTGCTGAACCATGGCAGGCGGAGAGGAAGCCGCAGCACGCGGTAGAAATTTTTCGGGGTGCTGGTCCCAGTTCTAGTTTCAGCTGTGGCATTTGCAGTTCTTGCACACTCCTATAGCATTTTCCTATTCTGAGATACCCGACTTTCAGTTGGCGCTCTGCGCAGACGTATACATCATACTCAATCAGCATTTCGATTCGTATATAATATCAAGCTTATTCTAAAATGTAAAGGCATATCTCCAGTGGAGTCTTGATTCGTCAACGCGAAGGTCCAGCGAAACGAATCACCTCGCAGCCTCCTATTAAGTCCTACGTAGGGCAATCGTCGTTCGCTCAAGGGGTCTGCATCGAGAACACGTTCTTTTCTGATACGTTTATGAGATATTGCTATCGAATGTAAACAGCGATGGGCACATGTCACAAGGAGCCGGGAGAGGAGTGTCACTCAACAGGACCAGCTCCACTCTCAAAGGCTTCACCCAGCCTATACCCAGCCCTTCCTACCCCTTTGGCATTCTCAGGGCCAAAGTATCAGCATGCCCGTCCCCTTATTTCCTCCCCATACACCTATTCCCTGCCCAGCGTTTCCTACGCAACCCTACAGTAAAAACCCTTTCCCCATCCCCATCGCCACCACATCACATCAAAACCTACCCATCATGGCGTGCCCCTGCCTCAACTCCTTTACCATTCGCAGAAATACACTACACACAGTTCATACCACAGTAGCACTAGCACTCCTATCCTTCCCAACTATCACCAACAAAGTAATTAGCACGACAAAACCCGAGCCAGCAAAATGTCTACAAGCTTATCCCCAAGCAAACTTCTGTTGCCCATGTCACACCATCGCTCTGCAACGAAGCATCTTAGTTCCATTTTCAAACGACTTTTCGAGCGGTCTAGAGTCTAGACGTAGCACCCCCGTCGAACACATCAAGACCGAATCCCAAACGTAATGCGCAGTAACGTATATCCTGCATTAGTGAAAACGTCATGGCCTTTTTATCTCTCTCGCTTGGAAGATGGAAGTTTGTTTCTTGCGGTTGTTAAGGGTTAAAACAATGCAGATGCGAGGGGGGGGGTTTTTTTTGTTTTGAAACGCTGCATGCTTCGGAAAACGAGTGAAGCGTCCCAATCGCATCGCGTATCATAGAAACATTCCAAAAAGAAGGTTTCGGGCATTCGTGAATGAGAAAGACTAGACCATTGTAGAAAAATTCAAAGCTTAAATCTAGGGTTTCTACGCTTGCGAATAGACTCGTGGTCTGAAGATGTAGGCATGTCATATCTTAGTATTAGAGAGTTAGGCAATACCGGAAGGTACTTTTCCTCTCTTCTTTTCCATTGAGAGAAGTTCGATAGTGATGGCGATGATGAGACCAAGGGCTTGGTGTATGCTTGGGCGATTTCAAATATTGCTTCGCGGCAGTGAAGACACGGTTCCGTTCACCGACTGGTCTGACAAATGAAGCATTCTAGAGCTCAGCTGTACCCGCACTTTGCCTTCTCCGTTCCCAACAAAAGTACTATTGGTCGGAGATATTCAGATGGGAGAATGGTCACGCGAGCAGGATTTGTCATGGCGAGGAAGCGATCTAGTGGCGGAGAGGGCAGGCGATGTCGGTGCTGTAGGCCGGAAGACGGCGGGAAGCACAGCATATGGGCTTGACATGCGACTGTCTGAGAAGTCGAGATTCGACTAGATGCTGTATGATGCTTGTTCAGGGGATCTTGACTTTTCAATACTATGTGATTTGAGTTTGTTCAGGGTTGAGTGAGATGAGATATGCTGGAATGAGTGAAGGATGAGTGGGCTATCGGGCGTACTAGAGAATGAGGATCGTATCCTAGAGGATCTAGATGTGCTGCGTCAATCTATGAAACATTTCTTAGCGGAGAAGAAGTCTGGGTCGAGGCTACCTCGTAGACTTCGATGTGCTTTGTGACCAAAGGAAACAGTCCTCGCTCTCCCACTACTATATTGACCAGTCAGAACCATGTTGAATGTAAATGTAGTTAGCATGAATTGTATCAAGCATATACTCTATATCGCCGAAAACCTGTGTGGCAAGATTAGATATCAGTGTATCTCAACATGAGAAGGAATATGAGAGAATACAGGAAACGTGGTAAAGAAGAACTTGTTGGATCCACGTGCATGAAACAGAATGTAATAGAAATTTGTAGCAATTCCATATTCTGGGCCCTCTCATTCCTGATATTTTGGATAGGTCGAAGAAGGAATAACCTTAATAAAGACGGCATTCATGATCTGGATCAGTGCCTAGCCATAATCGGACTTGAGAGATGATCAGTATAGTTAGAATAGAGTATAATCTGCATGACAATAGACCTTATCATCAAATAAACCACATCACGTTGATAGTTCCCACCATTCAAATATTCTCTATCCCTCTATCATTCTCACAACGCACTCAACCTTCCTAAAATCCCCCTCGCCTCCTCCCTAATCCTCTCCAAGATCTCTCCCGCCCCCTCAACCTCATTAACCAACCCCACGCCCGTCCCCGCCCAAATAGCAGCCCTACCTTCCAACCCAACCCCAAACCCCTTATCCTCGCCCTCGACAGCCTCCCCAAACAACCTCCTAACCTCCTCAATCCCAACCCCCTCCACAAAATCCACATAACTTCTCACGGCCAAACTCCTCCCATCATACCCCTCAGGCCAAACACTCGGCCCCCTAAGCTCATCAAACACCACCGACCTCACCGTCGCCTTCCCACCATCCCTCGCAGCAAGCACAGCAGCCCGATACGCAGGATGCACAGCAACCTCGCTAGACCCCAGAAACCTCGTCCCCATAACCACCCCGGCCGCACCTAAACTCAGCGCAGCAGCTACCCCGCGGCCATCTACAATCCCCCCAGCCGCGAGGAGCGGGATCCCCCCTTTCCCAGCAGCCCCGAGCGCATCGCTGGCTTCAGGGACGAAACTGATAATCCCCGCGCCGCGCGCGTAGCCGTGCCCACCGGCGTCCGCGCCTTGGATGCACAACGCGTCCGGGGACGCAGAGCGCGCGACGGTCAGCGCCGACGCGACATCGCCTACCTGGATCCAGATCCGCGTAGCAGGGGACACGGCGCGGATCGCGGCAGCCCACTCCGCGTACGCGGGCAGCTCTGGGGCAGCGAAGAGCCATGCTACGGCTGGTTTTGCGGCTGCGAGGACGGGGAGGATGGAGGACAGGTCGAGGGCGAAGAGGAGGAGGCCGATTCCTATGGGGAGAGGGTCTTGTTCGGATTTGAGGGGGGAGGGTTGGTGCGTTTGGAGAATGTGTGCGGCTTGTTGGAGGTGGGATTTTATGTCTGGCGCGGAGGAGACGCCGCCGATCATGCCTAGGCCGCCGGAGAGCGTCACGGATGTTGCGAGGGAGGGTCCTGCGAAGCCTGCCATCGGGGCGTTTACTATGAGAGGGGTTTTTGTCCAGGGGAGGTAGGATTTTAGAGGAGGTGGGTTGGTGGTGATGGGGGAGGGGGATTGCTGGGGGTCGCTCATTTTGATTGCGAGGGTTTTTTGATATCTGGAGAGATGGTGCTATGTATTGGAAGAACTTCCCTCTTGATTGTTCTTTATCTTATGGTAGTGGTGTAGCTACAAATATGATGATGGCGTCAGCAGCAGGTTGAACGAAAATTGAAGTTCATGGTCTGACTAATATGTCCGTCTTTGAATAAACGTATACGCAGATCTTGAAGACTACTCAAAAAGATGTTCCAGACTGCCTTCAAAATCAACAAGAAGTCTGATAATCCACCGATGATAGGAGGGATGAGGTGTTCACCCATGCGAGCCCTTGTAGTCACGTGATCTCAATCTTCCCTCATACCAGGTTTCAACGATACATGAACGTTTTGAACAACCATATTGAATGTATGAGAGTAAATCCACGCATTCCTAACAAGGCTTTGCAACATTGTTCGATCAACCAGCTCTCAGTCACTGCTTTATTCCCCTTGGAGGGCTTAACTACACAATTACAATGAACAGCAATCGACGGGGTATTGTGACATGCGCAATAGAAACTAAGGGATGGTAGAATCATATTATCTAATTCAAGGGGTTGATCGGTGCCATCCGGATGGCCGTCATGCCAAATGTCTATTGAATTTGTTTCAGCCCCAGTTCGGATATATCGCAACCTCTCATTACATGCACAGACAGATGCAAGTAACAGGCTTACTGCCTACTATCAGCGAAGTAGAAATTGCGCACACGCATAGCTTGAATGACGTGCGCCTGTTTCAATAAAACGCAACTGGCCGACCGGATAGCAGGCCGCCACATCAAGGAAGCCAGCAAGAAGAACCTGGATCTTGCAATGCTGTTACCCACCTTTTCCATTTAAAATGGTTCCCACCTCTCCGCTCGCCCACCTACTCTAATTCGACCCCCCTGAGGTTGAGGTGAAGATTCAGATTCTAGGCGCAAGTCTCTGATCATATGCCCTCACCGGACCATGACTTGGGTAGGGTAGATGGGGCTTTCGGGCTGACATGGGCAGCACTACAGTAGTGTGAATGCACCATCAATAGCCATGTCGAGCATGAAGATTGACCCAGGGGGCGTGTATTGTCATGTCGGATGTGGCTGATCTTCGAAGATCATGCTCTTTCCCCATATTTCCAACTTTGTGCAAATGAATGTCACCCCGCGTCTGACTGCCTGTCGTATCAGGGCCGTGACAGCAGTAGCTTTTCGAATTCGCCGACATGTCGCCCATTTGCAGCTAAACAAGACGAAAAGAAAAAATAGTGTAGGGTTTAGATTGCGAAGGCGTAGAATAGCGTAAGGGGCCAAGGAAAACGGCAACACATGGACAAGCACATGCGAGACGAGCAGCTAGCTACGCCGGACATTGTACTTAAGAGACCGTTGTATGAGCCAAACTACACAATCTTTTGCACGGTCGCATGCATTCATTGTGCAGTGATTTCAAGATATCAGAGTCTGCAGAGTAAAAATTAGATGGATACTCACAAAAAATTCTTCTCTGGAATCAAGAAGCACATGACGTCAGTAGCGTCGGCGCCATCATTCCAAATGACATTGGGGAGCTTACTATATTAGTTTCGGAGATTTTAGAGCGTACCTGACTGCTCTAAGGACTGCTGCGTGATGATGTGCAGGGACTCTTCTCATCCCCCTTTTCTTCTATGGGAGTCAAGTGAGAAGGCTGGCCATTCTGTCTCTTGCACATCTGTCATTGATCAACATATGAAATTGGGCACTCCATGACCCAGAAAAGCGAGGATCTGGCGTATTGCGCTATGAATAGTCTGGATCTACAATATGTATTCGAAATCATTTGTTAATTTGCAGGGTTTAGTACAACAAGAGAATGTGAAGCAACCCGGAGTGGCTGTGTACTATTGACATATGTTGCAGAGCTGACGGTGCTTGTTTGATCTTTGTTGACAAGCCCCCTTGAGATCAGTCAGTGAAGCGGGCGTTTTGAGTAGACGTCAGCAGGTGCACCCGGCCGTTCCCGCCACATCCCTTTGTGCATTACCGACAGCTGTACTCTTTGAAGTGCTTGTTTGATTGAATTGATTGTGCTGACGAGTTGTGCTCAAGCATGATGATCCGAAGAGTGAAGCTACCAATCGTGCCATGCAGCCACTCAATAGTGCGAACAAAATCTCCCGACTAACACTTTAGCATCGAGTTTGAAGCGTATTTGGCGTAGATATGGCGGCTACGCCACTTCCTCGTCATGGCCTTGAATAGCGGGACACGCGTGCGGGTATCTCGTTGGTGGGAAACAAGAAGCAGGCAGGATTGAAACAAAAATTAGTGTGAAACAAGTCACTTGTATGTGAAACACGGATTTTGGCAGGGCCGACGGAGGATTGCCTGTCAACTCTTCCAAAAGGCGACCAGAAGAGCTATGGATCCTGCATGCAAAAGCAGACGTCAGATGACGATCGGATCACATGTGATGACCAAGATGGTGGTGGAAATCTTGATGGCTGCGATCAAGCAATTACCGGCTCCATCCAAGCTATCCAAGAGTTGCCCAAGAGCTTCGGAGAATGAGATCAGGTCCGGAGCAGGGTGATAGGGGGATGGATGTGACTAGGAGACCCAGATGAGCCTACCAATGGTAACAAGTCAAAGATGCCAACTTGCTCAGCAGCTGGCTGCAGCGCTTTCACCCCAGCTCGACTCAACGGTTTCAGAATCACCGACAAAAGTCACCTTGCATCCAGACTCTTCCATCGATCCGAGTGGACATTGTCGAGTAGACAGAGCGGAGCAACCCTTTTTGGTGCCCTGGGAGGATAAACAGGATACAAGCGCGAAGTGAACTATAATGATCCGCTGTGATGAACGTGGTTAAGACTTCTAAACACAGCGACAAACAAAATTGAAGTTTGATAAGTCGACAGAGTCCGGCGAAGTTGTTGCATTGACAGCGAAGAGCATAGCGTGTTTGGTGCCTCTCTATTCTAGGAACACATCGTTTTGATATGCAAAAAGTTTGACAACAAATAGTCCGACATAGGCGGAGCCAATGTGACGGTAAAATAGATCGATCTTGACATAGAGAACCGAGCACTTGCTATGGTCCCGTCAGTTGTTATAGTTTCGATGAACGGTAGTGTGAGGCAGACTACGAGTAGATGGCAGAGGCGGGTGATCAAGGTATCCGCTTCTTTCTTGCAGAAGTGAGACAGACCTGAACTGAGGCATTAGTATGCGCGATTCTACCGGGTGCGAGGGGAAAATTATGCGCTGGAAGGGTTTGAACGATATGGTTTCTCCGGCGGCAAATACAGCTGACGAGTGAAATCAGCGAAAGCATGCTTCTCGACCGCACCATTCCAGGCATTTTGTATACGTGGCCAGAACATTGGAAGAGGCAACAGAATGCAAGGACCCAACAGTGCATAAATCTAGACGACTTAATCCCATGACCCGAATTTGCGTGGTTCCAGAAACCTGGCGCAAGAGCTGCCGTGCACCCTCAGAAGTGCTTCTTGCTATTGTATTGGATGAAGAACGTGCGGGGGGTTGAAGAGCATAGGCTCACTGGGTCTGTGACGTCCGTACGATGGTGACGAATGGAGGGGATCGTTTGGGAAAAGAGCAGGGACTCCTCACCGACTCGAGTCCTTCCTCTTGTGTGACGAGGTATGAGAGAAACAGACTTGTACACCAGTCTTGAACCCGAGAAAGGTGTTTGTGGTCGCGCGAAGGCATATCTGCCCACTCTAGCAACGGCAATCTCCTCGGGCGCGACAGGTTCTGTCACCGCCAGGAGTTTCGCATTCGCAACTTCTGCGTACCATGAACAGATGCGTTCCGGTGGCCTGGAAATGAAGGGTGGGTCCCCATGGCATGCTGAGCATTGGAGACGTGTCTACGGAGGCGGTGACGGGCAGAGGACAGGAATGCATCCAAGGCACGGGTCGTCACGCAGCCGTGTAACTACGAGCCCAGATACTGGAGACTGGGAAGCGCTCGAGGACGTGAGGATACATGGGGTTTGGCGGAGTCATGCAGCGAGAGCGAGGGGGTCAAGATGTGATTCGCCTGGCAAGTGGGTTTGGTTTGCACTGCGCAGACAGACGGGGAAACACGACCAAAGGACACGAAATATACGTTTTGCCTGGCTTTTGAAGTGGAGTGTGCAAAGAGACTCTGAATCGGCAATTCCAAATGTCAAGACGCTGTCGAAACGGACATGGGGCGCGGAGGAGGCGGTCCAAGAGGCGAGTCGGCTGAAAGGCATTGCTCCACCCGTGACACGAAGTCGGGAACACAAAAGCCATGTTTGAAACCAAGGCCGAGGCTGCGCTGAGTACCAGATGGCGTTGGTGGCTCGCATCTTGTATGACAGCAGCAGCGTGAGCTGGAGGCCGACCGACATTACTTGGCCGGCTTCGGCTTCGCATTCGCCCTGGTCGACCCCATCCCTCAGTCCATCCATGGATGGATTTGATTGAGCGGGACAGCGCAAGTCGGAAGACGGCGCACGCGATGCGACGGGCGGGACGGCATAGCAGACGTATAGTGCGGTATGACGAAGTTGCTGCCAAATGAAAATGGAAGGAAACAGGAAGAGAAAAAAAGGAACGAGGCGCATATGACCGCACCCCGCTGGCTGTAGGCTCCCGCTGCTTGGCCGGCTGCGGCCTGCGAGTGTGTGGAGCGCATTGTTTGGAGTGACGGTGCCCTACCTTCTGCACTCTGCCATTTCCTATTTCTCGTCGAGCGATGAGGGCGATTCGGCTATAGCAGAAACGAGCATGGCATAGCAGGCGACGGGCCCAAGAATGACAGGTGCGCGTGTGGCGGGACGATGCCGATCAGGGTAATCTGGTAGGGTAACTACAGGAAACAAGACAGGCCAGGGTGGTGGCTAGCAACAGGCGCCACGGATGAGCACACGAGATGAGGAGGTGGAGGGGGAGGCAGGTGATTGGGAGAGGGGAGCAATAACGAGGCGCTGCTAAGGGACTGACAGAGGTGATGGCGTAAAGACGGCACGGGCTTGGCACCGATCTACCTGCAATAGGTATCTACTACACTGCTCCATCCGCCTCCCATAGAACCACGTCAACAGGCGAAAGGGGGGGAAAAAAGCAAACTCTGGACCGGGAATGCAAGAAAAAGAGTTCATAACGAGCACGATAATGACCACGGTGCTGGTTCTGGATGACACGGCAACGCATGAAGGAGGAGGAGGACGAGGGGCAGTTGTCAAGGTTGTCGAGCGTGCCATGTATGTATGTAGGCAGGCAGGTAGATGAGAGTGTCTATGTATGTGTATGTATGCATCTATGTACATATACACATGCATGCGTACACGGGCAACACACCTGCATACTGGAGCTGCCGTGTGACTGGCGTGATGGATCGCTCAAGGCGATCGGATGCTTTGTCTGCCTGCATAGATGGACCTGTAGATCGATACATAGCCACCCACATACATGTACGAATGCATGCAAGTAAGCAAGCAAGCCAGCCAGCAAGCAAGAGGAACCAGCCAGGAGGCACGTTGGTTTCATCGCCCTGGAGCGAGAACAACATCGGTTCCGGCACAGAGGGCCATCGGACCACGAGGATGCACTCATCTCTGGACCGAACATGTTCGAGGGTGAACACAGCTTGAGCGGTCAAGAAACGAGCCGCTTCGGGATGCCTCGACGGTTACTTGCATACGTGGACCCACGCGTCGCGGCATCATACCGTTCAAAGGGCGGTCGAGGCATTGACGACGAGGGCAAGAGGAATCAGACCATTTCAAAAGTTGACGAGAATGGGTGCAGTAGATAGATGAAGGGTCGTTATGCCTTGCCATGGCTGGCAGCGTCGACCCTCCAAGTACTCATCAATCAACATCATGATTGAAGATGTTGTGCTATACTATACCGTAGTTTGGTGTGTTGGTTGATTGGTACATACAGCCGCCACCACTACCACGACACGCAGGTAACGCGGCATCCATCTCTGTCTCCCCTCCTCTTCTCCCACAGCCTCCTTTGTTGGTGCCTGGTCCCCCATCCAAGCAAGCTGTTTGCCGTGTTTCGAGAAGCCGTTAGTCTAAACAGGCGATGGTTCAACGTTGCGGTAGGTTGACTTGGACGACAGACAGTGTTTGAAGCAGCGCAACCTTAATCGCGAAACAAATCATGGAACGGGACCAAGCCAAGCCAAGGCCAGCAAGACTAAGCTAAGGTAGGACGGACAGGAGAGGAGATGGCGGCCGATCTCGATGGGAGATCTTGCAGAAAACGAGGGGGTGGAGGATCACCAATTTCCGTATTGCCGTGCTTTCTTTTTTGCTTCTCCCTGCTTTCCACGGTGGTTGTCTGGGTTTTTCTTTGCTTGTTCCTTACGAACTTCGCCGATCCGCCCATCGGCTAGCGTGGCGGCTCATTCTCGCTCTAGACCCCGATCTGGCCTAGCGCTCTGGCCACCCCTGCTGCCAATCACAAGCCCCCGATGTTCCTTGTCTCAACCTCTCTCGCTCCCACAAGTTAATTTGTTATTTGGGACCTCTCCACCCATACCGAGCCATCCAAGCCATGTCCATTGCAATCGCCCACCAAGCCGATGCCGTTTTTGACCCGGTGTCAGACGCCTGTCAACATCACCCCCCGGCGAGTGGCATCGTCCACTCAGCAGTCTCTGCGTCTCCTCCTTGGCCCCCTCCCATACCCCATGTTACATGTGTCTGTCCATGGAGTAGCCCCCCCAACACTACCAGCAAAAACAAACAAGAAGAGCAAAAGACAACGGACATGGGACGCTTCAACCACGGCCGACGGCTGTTGATGATGGTGACTCGGAGCCTTTGCATACACGGCACCCCGATTCGCGTTGAGCAGAGTAGATATTTGCGTTATTGTTTCGCATCTCGCCGTGTTTGTCGCAGGCGTTCGTTGTTTGAAAGAGACTTTGCGCGAGTCACCCAAGCGCCTTGACGGATCCATCTCTGGCCTCAACCAGGGTCCGCTGCCCACGCTTCCTCGCTCTCTCTTTCCTCCCTCCACGGCTCGTGGGCTGCTGAGGACGAGGAGGGATACTGTAGGTACCGCTGTCGATCACCCGCGTCAGACCAGTGGGTCCTCCTCTCAACTCAATTCGTCTTTTCTCGCCCCCTTCCCCTCGCCGCTTTCTTTGCCTCGACTGTAGCTACCAAGCATCGTGACCATTCCGTCATTGCCATGTGTGTACACAGCCGTTTGCTTCCCGCCATCGCAGCGACTGCAGCAGCCACTGGGATACCTGCTTGCCCATCTTATCCATCTATATACATACAAACAGGGCGTGGTGTTGCTGCTCGTTGACGCTCTGCATCTATCCTTGTGGCACGAGGTATCATGCTAAACCGCATCGAGTAGCATGTAACTGGCCCTTGAGTTACGCTGCAAAATGAGTACATGGTCGTTGCTACTCACCTACCATCCCCAATGTTGGACCGAAACGTCAGCTTGTCGCTCCAATGGCCGTAAATGCTCTGCAGAGACATGGTAGTCCCGTGCGACGGGTGCCCGGTAGAGGCCGTGGCGTGGGCAACCATGAAGATGCCAGTGCGTCTTGAGCTGACGCCTCCGGGTGTGGCAGATGCGATGTCCGCCTGTCTCATGTTTAGCATACATGGCTAGATGGTGTTAGCACCCCTGACCAAACATCAAAGGTAATATCTGTCGACATAGTTAGTAGTCAGGTAAGAATAGACACGACAACCTCGACCGTGCAGCTTGCGTCTGAGTCGACGTGCTTCCTGTTTTGGCCTGTCCAGAAGCCACCGTCACCATCACCGCGTCTTTTGCTGGGAAAGCAGCATACCATGTACATGTCATTGTGTGGGTGTGCGCGCTTATTGTGGGGGTTTGTGCCAGCATGTCGTTCCCTGGTAGCAGCATGGATTGATTGAGCCATCATGACTTGATGCATGCACGCCCACGATGCCTTGCGGTCGAGGATGGGGATATGTGCGTAATGTGTCCACCAACAACATAACATGTGTGTATGCATCAGCCAGCATTACCCGTCTACGCGTGTATACAGCACACGCAGATGGATCAACGATTAGAGATGGTGGCTCTCCAAACACCCAGCCTATCCATCTCGCTCCCCTGCGCGTTTCTGCATCGAGTCAGCTGCAGATGATAACTAGCGGATCGGCGTTGGCGGTGCATGTCTTGCGGCGACTGGCAGTGGAGACGACATGGACCTACACACAGTCCATCCGTCAAAAGGGCTAAGCTTGCGTCTGCTCGTGCTTCGAGATTTGTACGGTGCGGCAGACTACTTTTGGTCGTGGAGGGCCCTTTGTTTCCGCTGCCAGCCATGACTATGCCGCTTGTGCATGCTTCGGAGAATAAGGCCCAAACCTTAACCCTCACCTGTCAAAGGCGCAGACGTCGTGCGTGCTCCATCCTACGTCCCTGTCGTTTTTACTGTTACCGTACTGTATACCTGCCCGCCGCCCTACTTCACTGTACTGTGCTGTAGCTGCTCGCTAGCTCTCTTCTCCGGCTCCTCCTCACCTCCCTGGCCCTGCTCCTGCTACCAAATCCAGACGTGCTAGACGTACGGCCCGTTGCAGTTCTGCTTCCGCCATCGTAACGCCTTCTTCCATACTTTCCATTGTTTTTTTTAAACCTGCTGCACGCCCACCCTTTTCTCGTGATTGTTTTCCTTTGCTTCTTCAATCATTCCACCTGCGAACTGCTGCGTGCTTGCGCCAGCTACCCTTTTCTTCTTTTCTTTTTTGCTCCCCCTCCAACCCACACACAACTACCTGAGGTGAACCTCAATCGACCTGCCTCTCCTTCTACCTCACTCTGTGTTCGTGTGAGCGTGCTTGTTGCTTGCGTGGGCACGAGCACCCCGAGTTGAATCAAGCCTCGCCAACCCACTCCTCGATCCACCCACCCAACCTGTCCGGATTGGGTTTTGCTCAGCAACAATCGCTTTCTGCGACTTGCCATTCGCAATTCCTGCTCTCCTGATCGGTTCCCGCTTCAGCTTCCGTTGTTGAGATAGACAAAGTGTTGGGCAATCCCAAAGGTAAGTCATCCCTCTCACTCGCCCAACCCTATGCCCTCACGTCATGCCCACCCACCAGCCCGGTTTGTTCGATGCAAGACATTACTGTCTAGGCATATGCTTTTCGGCTCACGGCTGTCCGTCTCCCAGTTCTGGGACCATACTGGCTCTTAACCTGCAAGAGAGTCGTCGAAGCAAATCATGACAAGCAGATTGGCTAACCACCTGGGCGTGTCAGATACACACACCAATAACCGGTCATCGAAATGGAATACCTCACGTTACAAGACCTCCCGCACCGCCATTTCTACGATCACCGTAGGTTGGCCTCACCAGAATCCCAGCACGGCGCCGAAAAGCAGCTGCCAGGACTGTCAGTGGTAGGTGATTTCCCACAATTACTGGTTCCTGCCCTTCGAGGTTCCCTGCTCCCACTCTACTCCAATACCCTCCTCTCCCCATACCTCTCTGCCTCTGCCTCTGCTCCTTGTATATTTCTTATCTGCGTCCCTCCATTTCCCATCCAGCTGTGAGCTGCTTTCTTCATCCAAAATGGGGCACGTCCCGAGAACACTTGAGCCCTCTGTCAGCGTCAGTCCTCCTGTTCTCAGTTTGCCGGTCTCGTGGGTGTTCTATCGACTACGACAACGCTCGCCACCAAATGTATGAGATGATGGATCGTCACGATGAATCCTCATTTTTTTTTTACTTGTCCCTTCCATTCCCCGCAAATCCATAGCGAGCATCACTTCCACAGCAATGAGAATCTTCATCTGCGCATCAACAAAGCTAAATTTCTGCAGCAGAACCCCCACATGAGACACTCGCCTCCATTCCAACCGGGCGAACAGCGCCCTTCCAACACATTGCCCTCTTTCTCACAGGTAAAATTTCCTCGCCTCTACATTACGAGCAGCACATCTAACATAGCAAAAAGCTCCTCCAAAATGTGCGCGAGCCATCGCCGCCGCGCACGCCGTCGCGCCAAAGAGGTTCCATGGAGAGCTCGCCCGTGTCCAGAACTCACTTCGATGACGTTTCCTGGTCCACCGAGGGGAAGCGCCGCCGTAATGATACACTCGTCGGCGACATTCATCGTCCTCAAAACGCAACCGATTTCCCTGCTTCCGCATACGACTCGCGTCGTGCAAGCACAGTGGACGCCATCAGTGCCCCCGTTCAACAACCAACTTACCCTCCAAGCGCAAACCACCACCACCGCCCAAGTTTGCCATACGCTGCTCCGCCTTCTGCAGTCATGGGAGGCCACGCCCGCCATCACTCGACTTCCGGTGTCCATCAGCCCGCTCAGTACGCTCCTCATCAGCGTCCTTCAGTCGTTGCCGCCGCGCCCTACCACCAGCAGGCCCACCCGTATGAGTACCCCGGCAGTTACTATCCTGAGCCTCATAATGTGTTTAAGCCGCAGGATCCCTACTATGGCCAGCCGCATTACGTGGGTGCTCCTCCACCTTACGAGGGAGCCGTGGCATATCACCAGCAGCCTTCACAATATAGCTACACCTTCCAACCCGCGATGAGCGTCGATCAGAATGGGTACGGCAGAAGGCGCAGGGGTAACCTCCCCAAGGAGTCCACTGCGATCCTCAAAGAATGGTTCCGTCACCACCAGGACTCACCATACCCCACCGAAGATGAGAAACTGGAGCTCTGCAGGAAGACTGGTCTCACCTTGAATCAGGTACGTCGTCATCTTGCTTTCCGGTCTAGTTTACCTCTTTTCTCCCATCCCATTACAGCTGTAGCCACCTGTCAGGTTCACGCCTTCAGCCGCTGAACCTTTCTTTGGCTTTCAGAGTACCTGTTTGGGTCATCCGAAGCCATGGTTTCACTCATTGGTACGAATGGTCCGCTAACAATCTCCCAGGTTTCTAATTGGTTCATCAATGCTCGTCGGCGTGCTCCTGGCAAGGAAGCGCAGCGCGCCGAAGCTGCCCAGCGCGCAGAGTCTCAGCAGCGTTCCGACTCAGCTACTCAACTAGGGATCAACGAGTCATGATGCTCCCCAAACCCACCATTGACTTGCGCGGTCAATCTCGTTCACTCTTGATCCACGGTGTTGACGTGCTGAGCCAACGGTTTGCCATCTGTCTGTCAATGTCAGAGCGGCCATCTATATCATCATCATTTGCCACTCGCTCATCGGGCGTTTTTCGTCATGTTCTGTACAACACACATACCCGGACTACCCTCTTTCACTAATTCCGACCCTATGGCTTTTGCATCCAATCGTTTGCAATCCCAGTTCAGCGGCTTAGAAGGCGGTTTTCGATTTTACGACTTTCTTTTTATATCCAGGCGTCAAGACCTTTTATTTTCCCAAGGTATCCACGAGGAAAATCTGATTTGCTACATTCGCTCCATTTCGTTCTTTCGCTTCTTGTCTAATGTGGTTCATCGAAGAAAAAAAAGTACACACACGCTCTCTTTGCCGGAAAGAAGGGCTCCGCCTTTCACATGTCAGTCGTGGCGACTGGCCGAGCTCGGAGGCGTGGGGTTTTGTTTTGGGCTGGGTCTTGTCACGTTACGAATTTACTTGGGGTCTTTCTTCTGATTGGATACTGGGAATACCCTTTTTGGCAAAGGATCAAAAAAGAATCATTCTATTAATAGGTTTTCTTTCCTTGCTGGCCCTGTCGCGGCCTTTTCGGCTTTTTTTTTTCTCCCTCCACCCCCTCTTGCTGCGGGTTCTTGGCTTAGCTGCCTGATTTGGAATGTTTCTGTTGTACTGTTTCTATCCTTCTCGGCTACCGTTTTTTGTTTCTCTGTATTGTGTTAAAACAGTATTTAGTTATTATAATTAATTCATGGTCGCTTGTTGAGTATCCTCTTTCTTTCTTGCTGCCTTTATTTTCCTGTGACTGAGGAGATGAAAAGGGTTTCCCGTGCTTATGTACCTTTTCTTAGTAGTCTTTATCCTGCCGTCGACGGTCATTCTTTTTGGGAGATAAGGAAGCTGTCACACCCAACGATAGTCCCTTGTCTTCTATAGTCTGTATTATTCGTCTCTCCACAGGCGAGCAGATTAGAAGGAATGATATGCATTCTACCAAATAATTACCTTTAAAAATTCCGAAAAGGAGATAAAGTCAAGGTTAGACATGATCACATCTGGCTTGTTCACCTTTCCATCTGTCTATCCCCCTCACATTTCATCTCCAAAAAGGAAAGAAAAAGATCTGCGGACAGACAGAATAATCGTGCGGCATCAGGATTCGGCCTTGCACAATATATTAAACTTTTTTTTTCCTCTCCTCTTAATTTAGTTTAGGAAAGATGGAGTTGGACTCTTGTGGGAGAAAAGGTTATACGAAATCTCTGGGCTACCTCTCTTGTTTTTTTCGAAACGGCCATGTATCTGGATTTTTGTGTGAAAACGACTAATCCCCATCGCCTTTTCCTTTTTAATGTCCCTATAAGCGTACTGTGACTTGTTATATCGATGAAGATATTCGAGGATCTTTCCTTTGTAGATTTGGTAGTTGGAGTCATAGCATTTCTGATGTAGCGGTGTAGAATCTTACGGGGTTGTGCGAACTATTTGAGATCTTGCTAGGCAAAGTTAGTTGCAGGATATCAAGTTATGTTCTCTGGTAATACCTAGGAATAGAGAGATTGCTTTATTTCCTTTTTGTTTTTGGTTAAGAGATATCAGATGTAAGGATCTGTGTTATGGTGATGAAGGTGGTGGTGGAGATGAATCTCTCGCGGCGAGTAAGCTGATTCATTCAATATGGCTATTTACTACCTACGGGACGGTTCTATAGCACAGTACCTTGGTAGGCGAATCATGAGGCTTACATTATGTACCGAAATTATAGTAAGAGTGTAGAAATCCGTGTTGATGATGCTGAGGGTTATGTAACCTACCCAAAAAGAACAGTGCTTGTTATAAGGCTTAACTTCTTGTGCTCAACTCTACTCTAATTTTATAGCTGGGCTGGTCCTCTAGAAAAAGTCAGCATATATCAATCTTCTACTAGTCCGTTTTACCGCTTTTATGCTATAGTTCAAACTGTGGGGGAAGAGTGATGGCGTCATGAATTTTACGTGGATAACGTCATCTCCCCGTCACTTCTTTTTCTATCCGTTTTTCTTATGTACGATAACGTTGGGGAATGGTGATGTGCTATACTGCTACTCGTTCTAGTCAGCCTAATAGGAGGTGTTGAGAGACTAATATGCGATAGGGTTACTTTTCAATCATCCTTTCTCTTGTTTATTTGACGAACCATATTGCTGTATAATAGCTGATGCTTCGGTGGGTGATAGAGCTATTACAATAGAGGCCGACTTTTTTTTTGACGATATGTGACATAATTAGGTAGATATATTGTATTGTTTTGGGAATGGAGGATTTTCCGAAGTGTTGTGGGCGGTTATTATCCTGTAGCACCAGAAGCTTAAATTCCTTAGTTTTTTCTGTGTCCCATAGGTAGGACTTAAATTCAGTTTAACGAGCATATTGATTCAAGACAGACAACGAATCCTTGAGAGATAGTCGAGTTTGTTAAGAAACCTTAAGATTTGACTTATAATGATAATATACCTGCATAGAAGGCGTTTTCAAAGTTGGATATGAACAGTATTTAGTGGAGAACGTCTCTTGATGGAGTTGTGACTCGGCTGTGCTGTAGATAATAACAATCTTAGGATGATAGATTGCCAATGGTATGCGAGTAGCTGTTTTTTTTTTCTTAGATGATGTTTTGCGGGACACGAACCGCATAAGACATCAGAAGATATAGGAAGCGCAAAGTAAACGGCACTGCGTTATTCTAGAATGAAAGTGCCTGAAGTAAATAGGCTACAACAGATACGGTTCAATGCTAACTCTAGAATCAAGTACTGTAGAACTAGGTTTCCATGTATAGGTGAAGAAAAGACGTCCATGATGCTACTTGCGCACGTGTCTTCCCTAGGAGTAGTGTTGTAATCTCGGAGAACAAGTGGTGCGATAATGAAATTGACGATAGTAGCATTAATTTTATTTTGCTCGACAGAGCAACAGGGTTTAGAAGATAGATTGGTGCTTTTCTTTAGAGATGAAATCTTTATCAAACATTGAGCAGACTTGGTATGTGTTCAAAAGAGCATGTTTGTTATCAATGACAATAGGATTATAGTGAAGTCTAGATTTCTTAAGCCATGGAAGGACTAGAATAGTGAGAATGCCACGATTTCGAGCTCACATTTCAGACATGGCTAGCCTTACATAATTGAACTTGATAGAAAAATGAGGACATCACGCGACTCAAGACATCTATGATAGCAGACCTTTTCTATCATCATTAATCTTTCTATAAACGTGCAGATGTAGTAGTTAGCTCTGTATATCTTCTTTATAATTATGTTGGTCTAGTCATGAGGTATAATCACTAATAAGTATTCTACCATATCAAGGAAGTATCTTAGATCTTAAAAGAAGCACTTTGAACCGAGTTGAGCGGCAATACTTTATATCATCTTATTCCGTAGTAACATGAGTAATCCCTCAACGCAAATGCGTTTCTCAATAGACATCCTACTGTCAACGCCGGACATGCACAGGAACTGAGGATCATGTTTGTCTACAATTATACGAAAGTGAGGAACAGAAGAGTCTCAAGAGACTGAATCTTAAGAATACAACCAATTTATAGTTTATTGTGCTGTTCTAGACCTATAGAAGAGCCATACGGACGCTCTAAATCAGAGCACCGCGGCTTCCTCGGCCTCCGCATCAGAAACCAGCAGGATAGCGAGAACATGTTTCCCACGCGTAACAACCACTTCTTCCGTTTCAATGGATACGTTTAACACAAGCTTTCGAGGTTTCGTTATGCCGCGTGGTACTTCTATTTCCCCAAGTGGTTTCCTCGGCCTCCGCAGTCAAGAAACCGATAGTATAGCAAACCAGGTTCTCCCACGCGGCAAGAAAAGCTTTTCCTGTTTTGAAGAAACGGTACAACACGTAACGGCAGGGACGAGGTCGCGATATTGTTTGGTACTGATATTTCCCGAAGTGGGGATGGGGATTCGTTTCCGACTTTTCTTTTTTTTGCTCTCCTCATCGTGTCTCGGGACGCGTGGACACCGGGACCGTGGGAGGTGAGCTTGAGGTGGAAAGACGGCAGTGGGAAGAGTATTCATCCAGAATCAAGTGATCCTTGTCCGGCAGTTAAAATTTTGCCTTGTTATTTTGTGGGCTAATTAGCTACGTTGTTCCAAACATGTTAATCGCGTGTATTTGGTTGTCTTGAAGTTGTGTTGGTATGTGGGTCTAACTTAGTGGACTCGATTGCTTGAATTCCCTAACCTTCTCGAATCAACGTGTTGATCACAACTTCTTCAGTTAAAGTATAGATATCATGCAAATCATATACGTGGAATAATTGACTCGAGTGCCGCGGCGCGCGGTCGTCGGGAGTAAACGACGATTGTGACGTTTTCTTTGGATGGGTCTGACAGGTGCTTAAATCTGGATCCAATGTCTTGTTTTGAATCTCCGGTCCGGCGCGTGGAAGCTGTTTCTACCACTCCTTGATAAGTGTATGTTTCGGACTCGGATTTCTCAACGTCTTCCCTGGAAAGTCTTTGCAGGGCAGAGTTGTTTCTAGATACCGAGGATCACGATGTTGAGGCAGTTTAGAATTGAAAGTAGCTTTCACAGGGCATGGAATGATTTCCGCGATTTGGTAAGCCTTTAGTGAAAATCGGGATTTGGTGGTTCTTCAATTCGAAGTTCTTCGGCTTCTATCCACCGATGCCGTAGGGCCTGCGCCACAGCCTGCGCCACATCCGAGATCTCAAACACGAATCGTTTTGACCTCCGCCGACCCAACCCTTTTACCTCCTCGAACCTTCTGATTGGAGGTTCTTGTTGGCGCATCCCTCAACAACCGTCAATCTTGATCTCTCCATCTGGGTTGATCGTAATTATCCGTGAGATTATGTCCGCCTGTCAAGATAAACCCGTCCGTCTAGAACTTCCATCAAAAGATCTGCCGGAGCGGGCTGGGGACGATCTAGCGTTTTGTCAGGCGCTCCGATGAGACGTGTAGGATCAAGCAAAAAGAGTAGTGTATACGGCATTTAGGGGTCGAGCTTTGCTGCAGAAACGCGGAAATTGGCCGCCTTTTTTTCTGAGACGGGAGAGCAAAGCAATGGCACGGGACGGGATACAGGTGGAGTTCAATGGGGACGGCGCGCTAGTTAGAGCCAGATTCGGCGAGATTTGTTTCCATTTCCACGACGTTTCGTATGTGATGTGAGACTCAGATGAGATGAGGTGTAGAAGGGTGACCTGGTTGAATAGTTAATTAGTCGATATTCCACCTCCGAGTACATGGAATTCACCCCGGTTGATAGCCAAGAGGTACTCTGATCGGGAGGCATGTGGTAGCGAGGGAACGATGGTGGAGTGATGGATGTTCAGACAACGAATGAACATTAGGATATGTCAGGATATGCTTGCCATCATAAAGGAAGCATAATGACTGCCAATAGTCTAGAAACCGAAACCGTGCATTATCTCATATGCTATTCGCATCGCATGTCAAAGAATACCGTAGAATAAAGCCCAAAACCCATTATAGTCATAGTCGTCAATAGCTCACATCCGTCATGGGACCCGTGATGCTTAATGCCCCCATTTCTTGTCCTTGGCCTTGTCCTCTAGCTTGTGACCCATGAATGCTCCTGCCATTGCGCCTAGAATTCCGTGACCTCCTAACTTGTTGCCGCCAAAGTAGCCAGCCGCTCCGCCACCGAGAGCTCCCATCAGACCACGATCACCCTCTTGTTGATTGTTGGGGTCGGTTGGGCCAAAACCTTGGGAACCGGGTGGGCCGGCACCATAGGGTTGTTGCCCCTGAGGATATTGCTCTTGGGGGTAGGCGCCTTGCTGAGGGAATTGGTTGTTGGGTGCTTGGCCCGGGTATTGTTGCTGCTGTGGCGCGCCGTAGGAACTGATGGCGAATCTCGTCAGTAAATGTTTCGAAACGGATTGCGCTGTGTTGGAACTTACCCTTGCTGGTTGTACTGATCGTGAGGCGCTGGGCTCTGGCCGTGTTGGAATCCGCCTTGCGCGGGGGGACCGTATCCAGGATATTGTTGTGATTGTTGTTGTTGATGCTGCTGATTTTGATCTCCACCGTAGTAAGATCCGCCCTGCTGAGGTGGTGGATATTGCTGTTGTTGATTGTAGCCCTGGTCGTAGCCACCTTGTTGCGGGGGTGCGCCGTAACCTTGCTGGTTCGGGGCAGGCGAGCCGTATTGGTTCGGATACTGCTGGTTGTACTGACCGTACTGGTTGTTGTAGGGGTCTGACATGGTGCAGATATGTCTAACACTCCTAAGGCAGGTGATGGATGGGTTTAGGTGTTGTCAAGGTGCAGGAAGGTCGTATAGAATGATGTCGTTGAATCGATCTGAGATGAGGGGTAGTTGCAAAGAGGGGGTAAGCGGACGAACAGTCAGTTCTTACTTATCAGGCAACTTAGATTGAATATGAGGTGGATATGACCGTATGAATAGCCACTGATGTTGAGCAGGCGGACTTCTTTATAGACTACGGCACTCGAGTTCCGTTTTGCTGACCCAACGCGATTCCGTCGTACCCGAGGGGCGAAGCCTACCTAAATCTGCGTGCGAACCTTCGAGCTGAGGTACTCAGCCACTCCACTGCAGATTCAATGTGGATGTGACCCTGCGATATGACCGGACGCGACCGACCTTTTGCTGATTTTGATGGATGTTCAATAGAGCCAGATCAATAAGGCCGAAGGGAAGAAATACGTCTTCGTGGCCTCAGCAGGCAATGCATGTTCACCTGTTTGCTTCAGGCAACGTGACTTTACCAAGGCGCACTCAGCAGTGAATTCAGTGACCACTCGGCGGTTCTGGTACACTATCGAATAACTACTGCTGTTACCACCTGCCTCGAGCCATGCACTGAGCCATGATGCCGTGGACGTGAGGTCCGCCAAGCACTGTGCCACATATTTGAATTCGTGCGGGAATAACCACCTGAACCTGGCAAGGGTAATACTCATGCGATACTATAGACGGCCAAGGTCGACTTCAGATTGAACAGGAAACATATTGTTCCGTTCTTGAGTGTCTTTGCGAAACTGTATAGACACCTACAACTGAGCTTGGCTCTGGGCGTTTGTCTTCGGTTGGGCTACGTCCGAGCCAGAAGCTGCCTCGATGCTTTTTTTCTATGCAGTTCTCATCTGTCATCTGTCTCATGAATCTGCACGTATTACACCGTCATAAACAGAGGCGCGATATTCGGCAATGATACCATTGACCAGCCCGGAATATACTACATATGTATGTACGCCATACGAGGCGCAGTCGTGGCTGGAACCCCACAATTCGACGCGCAATGCATGCATCGGACGGCCGACCGAACCTTCGGCGGTGAATTAGTGAACAGGTGCACATAACTTGGATTTGACAATGTAGTTTGCATTGTCAACACAACAACCACATCAACATGAATCTCAACAAGCGCATTCCCGCAGCAACACCCACGAGCAACTCATCCCGGCGTGACTCGAAGGCGCGAGGTGTCAAATTGCACCCCCTGTGGCGTCTTGAAAAGCCTGAAGCGGGTGTTGAAACGCAAAGAGCCCTGACTTGAGACAGCTCCCGGCTTCGTCTTCAGGGGACGCTTCACCCTCTCTGCCCATGCTTGTTCGACTCGCGCCCCGATTTTTGCTCCATATGGCCAATTAACTCGAGTCCATTCCGCTTAATTCCACCTTTTGGAGTCATGAACCGGGTTAATAGCTCCTGATTGCGCCGCGAGGGGTGCCCACACGGGACCCCTCTTCTCAAACCAACATGGGACCAACAGCGACTCACTCTTAGCGTCCTTCATGCGCTTCTTCATATGCTCTCCGCTTTCCATCTACAACCATGTAGTCACAGGCGTTCGCCCGTTCTGCTGCTTCCTTGCTGACTGCTGCCTCTGTCCTTTGTTGTGCAGCCGGGCTGCGTCACTCTGTAGTTAATCCTTCTTACATTCGTTCACCCCACTGTTCTTTTCCCTTCTCCCTTGCTTCAGCAGTCCTAGCAGGCTTGGACTGTATATCTTCGACCATAATCCCTTCGCCCAACAACATCTTGACTGGCCCTTTTAATTCAGATGAATCTTGTGGACACCCGTTGAGAGCCAGGAAGCTTGAGAGGGCTTGTCCGAACGACTCCCCAGCCACTCTCGACAACATGCCAGCAACAGGGCTTAGAAGGAGGGTCGATCCGGTCAAATATGTCGTGGTACCTAGGAAGGCAGAGGAGGCAATGGAAGAGGAGGTGCGCGTGGAGCCGGATGCAACGTCCATCGTCGAACACCTCATCCGTCGCATCGATGAGGAGCAACAGTCTCAAATCTCGGCAGTTCCATCGCTCACGGTACCATTGAACAAACGCACCTATTCATCATCTTCATCTGTAAGGAATCATCGAGCAATATGCTTTGGTAGACCGTTTAGCTAATTGTGGCAGGTTTCCAACACTCTTTCATCGGCATCTGGCACAGTTACAGTACCATCACTAAGACAAGAGGACGACGACGATGCTGCTGTAGTTGTGACTTTCACAGCGGCACCACCCGGGCGACCACCTCCAGGAGGCCACCCGCAAGGACACAAGGGCGGCATTTCGGAGTCGACACAGCATCTGTTGATTGCCGCCGGGTCAATTGGTACGATATATGAAAGAGGTTTTGAAATTCCTGTGACTGACTTGGTTAGGTGCCACCATCATCATCGTTATGACCATTCTAGGTATCCGTGCCATGAGAAAGCGCGGCATCACCTTCTTAGAAGCGCTCCAGGCAGCCCGGTACCAAATCACCCACGGGGGTCCGCCTCCACCTCCGAAGCAGCCCACGCCGACTGAGTTCTGGCCGGATGCCAAGGAGAAACAGTCCTCTGAGTATGGGTCTATTCGAAGTGAATCTGTCAAAGCTCCCCAAGCGGCTATGGCTCGTTCAGCTTCGCACAGATCACAGAAGCCTATAGCACCTCTGGATCGCAGTGACAGCTTCAACCTTGATCGTAAAGGATCACACGCGTCAATCAACGAACCCAAGTCCTTTTACCTTCAATCACCACCTCCAGCCAGGGACAATTCGCAGCGCCGCAAAGACAGTGGTAGTCAGCCGTCAAACGCGCCAAACTCCAGCGCGAACAACACGTCTAATCGCAACACCAGATCCATGTACGATGAAGAATCAGAGCTCGAATACGCTGATCCCCAACAAAACCGTGCAATGTCGCCACTGCCTCCCCCGCCTACATTCAAACAGTTCCTCTCGAACCGGCCATCGGGATCAGTGAAGCAAGGAATCGAAAACATGATGAGCAGATTCAGCTGGACCAACTCCAACGCGCCCCAAACCCCACACGAACCTTCACGCGACACCAAAACATCCCAAGTGAACCGCGACTCCTACATGACATCTCGCTCGTCCGTCCCGCGCTTCCGCACCGTCGACTCATGGGTAAACCAGCAAACCAACCGTCTTGAAGAACGAAAGCTCAAGGAGCAATTCCGCCTCACCTCCACCACCGTAACATCGCAGGATTTGGAGGAGCGCGACGTCGTCCCCGAAGTCCCCGCCGTTCCCGCCATGCCCAAGAACGTGCAAGCACTGCGAGACAGCTCCGCACAACTGAGCTCTCAACTCCCCAATAGAAGACCCGTGACTCCTCCAGGACTCCCCGGTCGCAACGTCAAACACCAGCGTCAGGATACCCGCACCACAGTCGACACCGCTCCCGTCTTCCGCCAACACCCCGGCGACGAAGTACGCTTCAGCACAAAGAGCGATGTGCCCTCTGAGATCCTCGACCGCGGCCAACGCGACGACGTCCTCAAATAAAATTAAATAACCACAAACACTTGTACACAAATCTTACAGTGTCGCTCGCATTTCTTTTCCTCTTTTAATTTCTCAATAAATGCGAACATTCATATTTACCTTTTTTCACTTTCTCCATACAGAACTTTTGTTCCGTTTTTGTGTATGTGTATGTGTCAAATGTGTCTATTGGGTTTTCCCATCTCTCCTATTTTTGGTGTGCATGGTTGACACTCTGCTCCATCTCGTCTCGCTCAGCGATCTTCCTCGATGGCTCCTTTACGGCATTTTCCAGAGCTTGGGGAAGCGAAGATTGGAATTTTAATGTATCTGTGTGGTGAATGTCGCTGGGGTGTCGGAGACAAGCTTTTTCTCTCCTCGCATTCTTGTTTGTTGATGGAGGGGGATGAGACAAGAAAATTACTCTCTTCTGATTTTGACGTTGCATGAATCATGGGGATTGGGATGGACTCCTTGTGTATATTGATTATCTGAAAATAAAACCCGGGATCATCTTTAACAAAGTCTGTGGTTCACATATGTTTTTCTGCTAGAAGTCGTGGCTGCATAAAGTGTCTGTTTGACCTGTACGTTTAAGGCAGAAAAAGGTGGAATTGATGTATACCTGGAATCTTCCAAATAATCACACAAACACAGGTCAGGATCTCGACAGTGCCAAAAGCAAGACACCCGATCTCTACACTAATAGCGAAACGGATCTGCAAATCTCGTCGCGATTCACCGCTCGTCACCACACTTGTCCATAATCATCATGCAGTACCATACCCACCACATCCCCAACGTACTATTAATCGCAAACTTTGCCATCGGACAACATGGAAGAATCTTCTTCCTGCACTAAACTCTGTTATATATATAGCCTTGGTGAAACACCACTCGTTAACAAGATTTCTGAAGCGTTCTAGAAGAAAGGAAGCAAGGAATGGTTAGGTTCCACTGTAGACTAGTCTCTTCTTTCTCCGCGGGAATGGTTGGGATGGGGATGCTGGATTACTTGGTAATGGGTGGAGGAGGGAGTGGGGGGTTTGATGTTTTGGAGGGGAGGGAGAAGAGGATTGTGGTGTGACGTGAGGGGGGTTATTGGTGGTTCTGATGTGAAGAGAGGGAGTTTCTGGTGTCGCATCTGGGATTGAAGAAGGTGAGCACTGCTTGCACAATCGTACGATCTTTAGACAGTGCACCGGCGGTTTTTGAATTGTCGATTTGGATTTTACATTTAGTGTTACATATTGTGACAGAGGTACAAGCGTACGACGATTGCTTTACATCGATTGGTTTGGCCAGGGTATATGGATGACATCGGACCTGGGCCTTCGGGACTCGGTTTCCCATCGGATCTCCAATGCTTCTGGTGGATTATCAAGGCCTCCACTTTGTTTTCCAACCAGATCTTCCTCGAGGTTCATTGCTCAAACGCTGGTTGAGCGATTTTGACACATCCTCTCGGTTCAAAGCCGGGCCAGTTTTGTCGCTTTCTTCGTTTCATAGCGCAAGGTAAATCCTTTTCTTCTCGTCTACTTCTCCTCGCTTCCGTTCTCATTGGAATCTGGCTTGCTTTCGGAGACGGTCTTGTAAGGTCTTCCAGCATAAAGCATATAGCCTTTTTCTTCCATGGTGCCGGCTTTTTCATCCTCCATACTCCTGCCTTCGCCAAATGTGCCCGTTTCCAGTTGCCCTTGCACACTTATAGGTCTGTTGCCTCGGAATCGTTTACGCATGTCGATCATGCCGCGCTTGCATTCGGCGTAGCCTTTTTGGAGTTGCTGGCATTGGGTTGGGAGTGTGTACTTGAGCGGAGGTGTGAGGCAATCGATGGGAGAATTGCGTTCGACCATGATACAGTCTGAGTTCTGTAGGCAGAAAGCCAGCGCCGCGCCTGGACTGGAAAGTTAGTGATTGGAAGGCGGACGCGCAACTATGCAGCTATGAAGGTGGGTGGAAGATGGTGATCGGGAGCGGCGGTGGCGGCTTACGGATGTCTTTACACGACTGCGGCATGGTGATTGTGTCTGTCGTAGTCTCGGCGTGATTCCTTTTGAATGCTACCGGATCATTGGAGAGAATGATGCCTATATATTGTAAAGTCAATGAACCGGCGATGCCGCTGGCGGTGGTGAAGCTCGATAGGCCGGGGATTTGCCGAGTCGCGTGAACATCTCATGCTGAATCATCGTCTCACGCATCTTCACATGAAAAGCAAGGATCGGCTTCAACGTCATTTACTAGCCCCAACATGCAGCATGGCGGGACAAAATCCTCCTTCCTCTTCTTCTTTCAATTCCCACCATCCCCCGAACTCCCAAACCCCGAGAGTATGCTTCTCCTACGGTCCTTTGCCTGTAGCTAGCTAGCTTCACCGCGCGACGCTCACTTTGAACCTGAAACTCTTGGACTGCCCGTCTCCAACTGAACCTCTCTTTCGATTCTCTATCCTCCCACGCACGAACAGAGGAACGCGCTTTGCAACGCCACCATGGCGGTTCATATCCCGTTTCTCTCGCGCCTTCACATACGCGAATACTTCGCCCTGTTGCTGTCCATTATTCTCGTTATTCTCGAATCCTTCATTGCGCTCATAACCCTCATACTGCCCACGCCCGTCATAAACTTCTGTTATCGCGTCACACGTCGCCTCTTCAACCACCTCTCATCACCCTCTTCGCGCCGAAGCAGGCAACAGAAAAAGGGTGTGTGGAGCTCCATAGCGAGCGCCTCAGACATCGGCGAGCTGTGTGAGCTGTACGGATACTATGTAGAGGAGCATGTGGTACAAACCGGCGATGGTTATCTGCTTGGACTCCATAGACTGGGATGGAGAAGGGGCGAGGAGGACGTGAGGGTGAATGCTGGCCCAAACAAAGGAGGCGTCCAGAAGAAAGTGGTCTATCTTCATCACGGCTTGCTCATGAATAGTGAAGTCTGGGTGTGCTTGACCGAGAGCCAGCGCTGCTTGCCTTTTGAACTTGTCGAGCGAGGTTACGATGTTTGGGTATGTAACCCTGGGATAACACCAGTGACCTGTGGATTCGAATGCTGCTCGCAATACATGCTAACACTCATCAGCTTGGTAACAACCGCGGTAATAAATACTCCAAGAAAAGTGTACATCATGCCCCCACATCCAATGCATTCTGGAACTTCAGCATGGATCAGTTCGCTTTCCACGACATTCCAGATTCCATTGATTACATTTTAAGCACAACTCACCAACAATCCCTGTCCTACGTCGGTTTCTCCCAAGGAACAGCACAAGCTTTTGCTACCCTGTCTATTCACCCTACTCTGAACGACAAGGTTGATGTTTTCATCGCGCTTGCGCCAGCAATGGCACCACCTGGTCTAACTTCTGGCATTGTCAATTCTCTGGTCAAAGCGACTCCGGACATACTCTTTCTGGCTTTTGGTCGTCGTGCCATCTTGGCTTCTGCAACCATGTGGCAATCTATCCTTTACCCACCCATCTTCGTTCGCTTTATCGATATTTCTCTCAAGTTCCTATTCGGTTGGACGGGCAGCAACATCACGCCGCACCAGAAGCTTGCTTCCTATCCCCATCTCTACTCGTATACCTCAACAAAGTCTGTCGTTCATTGGTTCCAAATCATACGCAATGGCGTCTTCCAGATGTACGATGACGAGGCACCAAACCCGGTCACTTCAAACCGGTCCAAGTACTACAAGGTCGCGAAGTTCCCCACCAAGAACATCAAGACACCTATCGTACTGGTCTACGGCGGTTCAGACAGTCTAGTGGATATCAACATCATGCTCAGAGAGCTACCTCGCCATACCATCGCGAAGGAGATTCCGCACTATGAGCATCTTGACTTTCTCTGGGCATCCTCGGTTGACCAGCTCGTTTTCCCACACGTATTTGAAGCATTAGAAGAGTTCGCCGGGTCCGGCAGTATGTCTATAGAACTTCGCAAAGAGAAGAGATTTCGCTCACCTGGTAGATACAAAGGTCTCCTTCCTGAATCCGGGGCCCTACCTGGTCCAGAAGGCGACGACGCAGGTGACGAGAGCTCCTCAACACCAGGTGTTTCAAGAGTGAAGAAGTATTCGCAGTCCTTACGGAAAACTGCAACTACGCCCGAACCTACCGAGAGCGTTCCCCAACCCCAGTCCCCGTCAGCTATCAAGTCAAGAATACCCTATCCGGCATCTACCTATGCGGCAGCTGTGGATCGCAACCATTCCCCGTCTCATTCAACCACTACCTTCCCGCCAGCCGCCGCCAAAGTATCGATATACACACAAGACTCGCCTTCCCAGTCTGCGATCACGGCACGGAGCTCGACATCGCGCCCCGAAGGATGGTGGTCCTCTGACGAGGTCGCGGGTACTGGACACTCTGGCCCACCTACTCCCACCGTCGGCCAGACCAGGCCAAGCCTCGATCGAGCTAACAGCTTCGATAGCCAGAAGAGCGGGAAAGTAAGTTTGTTTGATGGGCGTGGAATCAGTCTTGGTGTTGGAAAAGCTATAAGTGGCATCGTTGATGGCGAGGGCAAAGGTGAAGCTAGCGGTAGCGGGAGCGAGTTGGAGAGGCGCAAGGGCAAGAATGGGAAGAAGAAGGGGTCCAAGTAGATTTGTTATAGATTGCATGAATGGCGGATAGTAGATAAACATGTAAATTTTGGTTGACTTAGATCGCTTTTAGTATCTAAGAATAATTGTCTGATGCTTATAACGTATTCGAGGTACTGTCATGCATTTTCACTAGCATCTCTTTTGTGCTGTGTGGAGGAGGAAGTTGGATGTTATCAGGCACGTCGAGGCCATGAAAACGTGATAGATAATCTCTAGTATAGTTATAAGCTACTAATTCTAATAAGAACTTAACATACCTCGCTGTAGTACCTTTTGTTGTCAAATGCTGAATACTTGGACCTCTATGATAGGATATTAATATAGGCGTTACTGCGCGCTCGCACTTACAAGGACATGTCCAGGGGTGTGAATGAATGTATCGAGGCACCAGCCAATCACATCGCTTAGATCCCAACGCACTCACAGTGCCCTTCGAGTAATATTCAACCTCTACATCACAACCCCCAGATATTTCTCTTCACATATATCTGAGAAGAATCTAGCAGTATTTTTGAATAGTTTTAGCTCGTTGTCCTACCATTTTCTTAGAGACTCAAAGAGATATGAGGGCCAGAGTGACATATTTAGCATCTAACGACAGTGAATTATTGTATGCGTTGTCAATGCTTTGGGGATGCATCAGCTGAGTTTTTAGAACATTATTCGATATTAGTTGACGTGGATTTGAAGTTTCTGTCCCCAAACATGTTCGGAACATGTTCCGAACATGTTGCCAACCTGTTAAAGCTGCCTCGGAATTGCCCGATAAACACATGCATAACGAACGATTAACATTGATTATAGATTTCAATACATTCTAGAGCACTACAAAATAGTCTATAGATCTTCTGTGTATCAGAACATGAGGCTCGGAGTAGCTGAAGGGGTGCGCTGTGCTTCACGTGGAGAACCCCCCGCACCACCTTCTAGCATGACCGTCATGTAGCAGTATAGCTGCAAGAACTCCATATACTCACTGAATGGTGGTCTAGAGAGAGCTTTTAGGAAGCTATGTGTTAAGAAAATATGTGAATCATGTATTAAGTGCCTAAGGATTGAGTCAATTCATAGTCAAGTAATACTCGAATAATGCTCAATTATTAGGCGGATTCCAATCGGATTGCAATCTAGAGAAACAGTACCCAAATCAATCCACCGATTTACATAAGAGCTGAAGTGATTGTAACTACAACGGAATCTACAATGCGAATAGTGTCTCAAATGCTGTGCGAGTTATAGCCATGGAGCCGCCCGAAAAATCACCCACGCTGATCTGTGGTTTTTTTGGTGGTCGCCCCAGACAACGCGTTTGAATTAGCGCGTTTTGCAATCCTGATTTCCTTTCTCATCAATTGATCCTTTTACCCCTTTATCTCCTCTTCTCATTCTCCGTTCTACACGCCGTGTCATCGTGATTAGATTCCCTAACGCGTTGGCTTTTATCACTCGCTTGCTTATTTCATTCGCTTTCTTGTTCCTTTACGTTCATTTGAGGCTGTACTGGCCTGCTCGACTCCATTACCGACCTGTCTCCGACCCCTACCGCCACGCTGCGTACTAGCTTCGATGAATACCACGGCAGAAAAGTTGGCGCGAGATGACCCCAAACTCAGGCTGCCGTGTCACAAATGCCGCAGGAATAATAGAGAATGCTTTTGGCCTCCCGGCTCGTCCAAATGCTGGAGATGCATTGATCTTAAAGGCGGCTGTTCCCCAACCGTGAGACGGACGTCCTAAGCTCTCTGAACGTCGCCATGCCCTACAGAATCGAGTAGAAGCTTCGGATGACCTAAGGACTGTCATACGTTCTGTTGAATCAGTATTAGAGAATGTGAACTCTAGGGCGCCAGGGTCTACCGCAAAAATCGATCGAGGTAGATATAATGCTGTGATCTAATGCAGGACTTTGGCTAATCTTGAAAGTTCTTGAATGGGTCCATTCATCTCCTGCAATACCACAAAACATCTCTGCTGCCCCCTCTTCTACAGTACCTACGGCAATCCCATCAACTAGTCACCAACTAGAAGGCGAAGATCGGCCACCATCTGATATCCCCGGTTTCAGGGATGGCAGAAACTGTCGTTGCTGTGAGCATGACTCTGCTATGAGGAAACCTGTGCCAGAGTCGAAACTTGAGCAACTGCAAAAACTCCGAGGCAAGATGAATAAGCTCTGTGACACCTGGAAGATTTGGGGGTGGATCGATGGCGACTTCAACGAATACCTTCTGCCCTTGGAAAAGCTCTGCTGTGAAGCGATGTGTATTACAGCCCGGTCCGGCCAAGCATTTCTCGTCACTTCCTGTGCGATTCAGGCAGCATTGGATCTTTGCAGGCTCCTCGTTTCTCAGATCAATACCCAGTTGTTCACGATTGTTGAACCCAGAGAACCAACGCCGTACTATCTATCCATTCATAGACTGAGTAAGATCGTTGCATCCTATGGTCAATGGTACATCCATGTCGGGGCAGATGCCGCCAAAGATGAGGAAGATCTCTACTATTCCGAAGACTACAATTTTGAGCATGCACTGGAAGCGGCGGTTGTTCTAGGCAAAATCGACGAGTTGAAAGTACGCTATTACCCGCACTGGGTATAACAGTCACTAAGACACTTCTGTCCAACTGTACCCTCCAAATACTCTGTCACATTAGCATAATCGAAATTGGATCAATATGTACGCGTAATCATTTTTTGTAATTTCACACAAATTGGCCTGGGGTAATAAATTTAAACACATGGTCTATTATTTAAGACAATTTTTATATCTGCAGTGTCATTGCCTTTGACGACTCTCATGGAGTATCACATTCTGTTAACTTCAATTCCCGGACTATATCTCATAACTGAACATCACGTACAATTGGTCTAACGGTGTTCTCGCACGTCAGATGGGTGGTCCAGAGACTCCTCATACTCAATGACATCTAAGCCACTAGCATATGCTTAAAGACCAAATCTGGTGTTTCTGATCCCATGTCGTATCACCAGAGAGATCCAACGACTGTTAAAATCAGTAGAATAAATAGATTGGATTGAAAATTTTATGAAATGTTACAGCTACCTCTACTATCACGGCAACATGCATTGCTCGCGAAGTAGCTTGTTCGCCTCCTCAGCCCAATATCCACAAAAGGCACTGGGTGCAGTACATCATGACCGAGTGAATAATATACCGTCAAAGCGTTCTCGCTTGCCTAGGTAAATGTCATTATTCCTTCGACTTTTCGTAGCATACCGAGGAAGTCCTAGTGATTACTGATACTCGAAAGCACCCAAATACTAATCAATTCCTTGTGTTCGGGAACGCAGTCATAAATATAAGCCTATCCGACGGAGAAGCTAGACCGTTCAGGATGAAGTGAGCTAATGCCTCGCCCGAGAGGCCCAGATACGCGTCAGAGTCGTTAAGCGAGTGCGAAGCATCAGAAGTGAAGGCTTGCGCCAATCTACTCAAGCAATGTATGGTGCCCATTTTAAGACTAGTGATTACGATGCGTGCAACCTTCACCGTTGGCAATGAGTTTCGCATTCGGATATTATAGCCAGGCGTGTGATTATGTGCGCATGGATTGTAAGCTGCAGACCTGGTGTTCGGTATAAGATGCCATATAAAGACAAACCAGCGTCGCGGACGATCGATTTGCTTATGCAGCTTATCTTGTGGTACTTTTCAAGACTTTGGATTCAGAGTGTAACTCTTCCGCAATGGATGCCAAACCTCAAGCAACAGGGGCGCAGCTCCCCAAGTGGAAACTGATTACTCTCTATGCCTGGTAAGTCCTTTTGCTTCAGGCGCTATGTCATCTCCTGGCTGATCATGGGGTTCGAAAAGCATCTGCTCTGGATTGTTTCTAGCCTTCCTCGATACCTCGATCGTCGCCACCGCCCTCTTCACCATCGGTTCAGAATTTGAAGCACTCTCAGAAGTCAACTGGGTGGCACTATCCTACACTCTCGCGTACCTGGGTTGTACGGCAATTTTCGCATCTCTCTCCGATGTCTTCGGTCGCCGAAATGTCTACCTGGCAGCCTTTGTGATATTTCTTGCTGCTTCTCTTGGCTGTGGGTTCGCCCAGGACGTCAACCAGCTCATTGGATTGCGCGCGCTTCAAGGCGTTGGAGGAAGTGGGCTGTACAGCGTTGGGATGGTGATTATGCCCGAGATATCGCCCGTCAAGATGTTGAAGATGATTGGTGCGCTCATAGGAATTGTGCTTGCTATGAGTGGTGTCCTGGGCCCGTTATTGGGAGGTGTCATTACGCAGTTTACCTCCTGGAGATGGATCTTTTGGATTAATGCGCCAGTTGGGATCGTGCCGCTCGTGCTGTTTGCCATCGCCTGGCCCAACGAGAAGGAGATGGTTCCGAGAGAGAGACAAGGGATTCGCCAGATGGATTTCTTGGGCTTCTTTTTGCTCATTGCAGCCAGTGTTCCTATGGTATTCGCCTTCCAAGAAGCGGGGATCCGCGTCGTTACTAGTGCTAACGCTTGGAAATCTGCCATTTTCATTGCGCCGCTAGTTGTGAGCTTGGTATGCTGGGTCGCCTTGTATGGGTGGGAGTATACTATCTCCGTTCGTTGGGAGAACTCGATCGGTGCACTGTTTCCCTTCCGGATGGCACGAAGCCGGTCCTTTGTATCTGCCCTTGTCTCGACCATGCTACTGGGATTCACATACTTGGTCGTTATCTATGCGCTACCGATTCGCTTCCAGATCGTCAATGGACAGAGTGCACTGAACTCCGGTATTGCTCTGCTGCCTATGCTGGGATCAGTTGCCGTGGGCTCCGCTCTTACTGGGCCTATAGCGACGAGGATCAAGAACAGTATCTTCCCGATCATGTTCGCCGGCGCAGCCTTGGTACTTATTGGAGCGGCGGCATTCACAACACTGGATGCTGAACCCGATAGCAAGGCCAAAGCGTACGGGTTACAAGTTTTCATTGGACTTGGATTTGGTATGACTGTGAGCATGTCGAGTATGGTTGCTAATGTAGAGACTAGTCCTAAAGATAATGGTAAGTTGCTCAAATGTCTCTGTTGTTGTTGTTGAACTTTTGCTGACATCCATGAAGCCGCTGCTCAAGGTATGATGGCACAGGTCCGCATGTTTGGTGGCAGTATTGGTATAGCTGCTTCCACTGTTATCCTCGGCACGAAACAACGTCAACAGCTGCTCGAACCTAGAGTTATCAGCCCAGTTCAAATGGCATCGTTGCATGAAGTCATGATCCATGCCTCGCTGGAAGATGTCCGGGCCATCAGAAAAGCGTACTCCGATTCTTTCAATCAGACTTTGATGGTGTGTGCGATCTTGGCGGGGATAGCTTTGCTTCTCTCCGTCGGGTTTTGGGAGAAGAACGCTCTCGATATGAAGGAGAAGTTGAGACGACGGGAAGTCTTCGATGCTGATGAATCAAACGGGTCGGGACAAACGGAGCGAAAGGGTCCGATTACAAGTCAAGTGTAGAGACGAAGGTATTTAGAACAGGTTTTTATTAGACAGAGATTTACCAAGAGATTTTCGATTTGATGATGATATGGCGAACTGTACAGGAAGACATTGTCGCACGGGCGGTTGCGGATGCTTGACTATGTCGCGTTGGAACAAATCGCCACAAACGTACGAATAATCGTGGGTGTCTTGGGCTCGTCGCACAGTGTACTGCGCTGTTGCATGGGCCATCGCATAGGATTTTTTTTCGCATGGAATCCGTGCTGTCGCATAGGCTAAGTCGAGACCAATATCGCACTGCCAACACTCAAAATTTCACAACTCACATTACCTTGTCCCTTACCGCATCAAACTTGACCTTGGCCGGGTCCTTAGCTGTAGAATCGCCCCATTCGATCTCGTAGCCCGCGTCCCGAAGATAGACCTTCCAGTTCTCGTCCTCTTCCTGCAGGTTCGGTGGTTGCGACGGGATGAGAAACCATGCCACCAACATTCCGAGAACAGAGAATCCAGATCCTATGAGGAAAACTGCCTGGTTTCCTCGGAACGTGTCATCGCCGTAAGATGCGAGAATAGGCTTGAAGACACTGGTGCCGATAGCGGCACCGGCTTTACTGAGAGCGGCACAAAGACCAAGCATTTGCCCACGGATAGAGGTGGGGAAGAACTCGGAGGATGTTGCTACAATCGTGGCTACAACAAGTTAATCATAGAACAGCTTCAAGCACGAGCGTGAGCATACCTCCTGGACCCACTTCGCCTAGGGTCAGAAATAGTCCGTACAAGACTATGAACAAGCCAGTGTGCTTTTGAATATGTTCAAGAGCGCCTCCGATGACTGAATTGGCGAGTAGTTAGCCATGTCAAGTCAATAGGCTAACGAGGCTTCAAAAAGCCACTTCACGTAGTTTCTCAGGGACTGATGTGCGTTAAGCATAAACTCACCGAATCCAAGCGCCGCTTGTAGCCCGAAACCTAGAGCCATTGTTCGTCTTCTTCCAATTTTGTCGGAAAGATAACCCCCAATGAAACCTCCAGGGATGTAAAAACAATTGACGAGTGTGCCCCAACCATAACTTTTCACAAGACTGTCTCCGGCATTGACGCTGGCCAGAATTTGACTTGAAAAAAGGCCAAACGGATAGGCTACGTAATTGTATATGAACCATGCGAGAGCAGATCCTAGTAGCGGTCGCCAGTATCTCTTGAAGGCGAGGTGGTATGGCAAGATAGCCTTCCGTGACGAGTTCCGGCGTTCGGCCGAAGACATTGCCATGCGATATCTAAACCAGAAGATGGATACAGGTGGCTTTGCATAATTAGTGGTGCGTCTTGAAAGGGACGAGAAAGCTTACAATGATACCCAAAGCGAACGCAATTCTCCAAACATTCTCGTATTGCGACTCCTGTTGTTTGAAACAGAGCAATAAAAGAAGCGGAACCAGACCTGAGAATACCTGAATTTGCGAATATAAAGTCAGTATAATGTATCCAAACACTTTTGAGTGGGCTGTAAGCGTGCCGAAACGGTGCACCACATGATGTTTCAGCATGCTACCACATGGCATGCCCGGGGTATACGTACGAAACCGAGGGAGGCAGACACGTCGGAAACCATTGCAAAGATAAAGCCACGGTGCTGTCTTGCGCGAGCGTTGTCATCTGTTGATTCGGCTGTTCCGGCGCCAGAGACAGGGTATTCACCGCCAGCACTACCAGTAAGTGGTGTCAGTAAAATCAACGAATGCGACATAACGCACACGGACTCATACGCACCCAAAACCTGCGATTCCTCGAGAAATGGTCAACATCCAGAACATGCCTTTGTCGTTTTTCCCGTGGGAAACAGCTGTCATGATGATTCCGATTGAGAGAAACAGGGTCGTAAGAACAGCACCTGCCTTGCGACCAAGGCGATCACTGACAAAGCCGAAAGCAAGCATTCCAAGAATCTTTGTATGGTCAGTTTTTTTCCTTCTTGGTTTGGAATCTCCGTTGGAGTAAGGTGACTCAGACGTACCAGACCTATGATGAAGGCATTCGTCAGTTGCGCTTGCGTAGCTACATCCAGGCTCTCGGGGTAAATGAGAGTCAAAAGTAGCAGCAACTGGCCCATTAAAGCACTGTTATAAGCGTCTGAACCGATGGCGAGGCCAGAAAAGAGCACCATGAACCCGATAGAGGACTTCGAATAGATTATTGGTGTCTGGACTTCTTCGACATCGAACGTGACCTCTGGGGAAGGCTCGGTCTGAACTTTTGTTTCCTCATTCTTCTTGATGTCTTGTTCCGGGGTTACACCCTTCTCGTTTGCTTGAGTGACCTCCATCTCTAGCAAAGAGTGGAAGGGAATGATGCGCAAAGGTGGAATTCTTTGCCGGCGAGAGGTTCAAGCAGGTATTAAAGTGTTGAATCAGCAATATCTCCTAAGAGCCGATCTATCACCCTACTAAGCAGTTTTCAATCAAACCCCGGGCTTTTATCGCGTTTACCGTACTAGACGACATTGTTGCTTTCGCCAGTTAGTCAAGGAAACACATCGAGAGACCTGCCGCGCGAGTTCTATTGGTGGTCGGAAGCGCTTTTCCATTGATTGGTGAGTGCCACTATCTCTTGGTAAGCGCTTCTGCTATTCGGCAGTCGGATGGACTGCTTGCTCGTCGGTTACATGACTGAGTTGAGGATGGGGTTGGAGGAGGTTCCCCACTCTTGACTCGGGTTACCGTAAACATGAGAAGTTATTAGTCCGCAGTTGATCCGGGCCGCTATGACGCTAATCTATATTTCGTTAGCGGGGTGAAAGTCAAACGGGTGGTGTTTTCGAAGCCAACCCCGATGTCATTCCTCAAATCTTTTCTGAATTAGAAAAGGAAACGAAAATGAAAGAAGGCGTGCTTCCCTTTTCCCAAGGAAGAGTATCTACGCGTACGAAGAGTCGTCGAGCCGCGCATTGGCTGTTGATAGCTATTCTAGGATCGCTATTGGTGACATGGGTACGCAACCCTTCAAAAACATCAATGACATCAATTAACCACGGCGAAAGAATTACTTGGGACCGGATAATTCTCTCACTTCCTTTTCTTCGAAGAAACATGAATTCCAGAAATGCTCGATTGATACATTCCGAGCAACAGGGCTGGAATTTCTGAAAACCGCGGAACGCCCACCGTTGGAAGAGTATGTTCTGCGCAGAAACAACCTCGCGAAAGCACTTGTCGCGGATGGGATCGACGCCTTTGTCGTTGAGCCGGGTTACACGTTTAGCTACTATGCCAACGTTACACAGCCAGAATGGGAAGTTTGGGAGGTGCGGAATCATTATGATCTCTAGTTCATGTGCAATTGGCTGACATGTAATAAAGCCTGAAGAGCGACCATTCGTCATGGTGATACGGCCTCAAGAAACACCAGATGGATCCATCGTCGCCAACACAACCTTTCTCGTGCCACACTTTGAGGAAGTGCGAGCACGACTCCTCAACATGCCATTCGTAGAGGAGATCTCCACCGTCACCTACGAAGAGCACTGGAACTACTACACCACGTTATGGGAGTCTCTCATATGGGGTGAGAAACTCTCACCGAAGCTTATGGTTGATGAAGAGATGCGCGACTTCATCCAGCGTGGCTTGGGTGAGAATGGCTTCACCATTGTTGGCTTGAGTGGCGAGGTAGAGGCTGTGCGCCAGACCAAAACCGAGCGAGAAATCGGCATTCTGCGCGCAGTGAATACGGGGACGGTCGAGGCGATTCGTGCTATGCGGCAGTGCCTCTACCGTGGGGTCACTGAGAATGAAGTCGTTGAGGTGCTGGATAACACGATGCGCGCTGCAGGTACGTGATACTCGATCTCCGGTGTACAGAACATTGTGACATTTGGGAACTTTAAAACCCTAAGCACCATACTAAATTAAGCTGAGCTTCACTGATCGATTCGCTACAGGCATGGACCCCTTCTTCAACATCGTCGAGTTCGGTAAATCAGCTGCCCTACCACACGGAGGACACGACGGAACGCGAACCTTGCAACCGGGCGACTTCATTCTCATCGACGTGGGCTCACACCTTTACGGCTACAGCAGCGACGTGTGCCGCACATTCTACCCACCCTTCTTCCCAAACCCTCCACCACCAGAGTACAACCTCACCGAACATCTTGATGTTTGGCAATTGGTCCTTGATGCACAGGCGGCGTCGGTGAAAGCTATGGTGGAGAACGGCACTGCCGCTGCTGTTGATATTGCCGCCCGCACTCTGATTGAATCTGCGGGATATGGGAAGGAGTTCACGCACCGTCTAGGCCATAGTATTGGGATTAAAGCCCATGAATCGCCCTATCTTAACAAGGGAAACTTTGGCGCAATACTTCGACCGGGCATGGTGTTCACGAGCGAGCCGGGTGTTTATGTGCTGAACCATTTTGGTGTGAGACACGAAGATATTCTGGTTGTTAGGGAAGATGGGGAGGCGGAGAATATCAGCGGTGGGTTTGCTCGCAGCCCTTGGGAGCCTTGATCGTTGTCAATCAGCGTGAAGAGAATGCGTTGGAGGATGTGTAAGCGTGAAGCATATGATCAGAGCACATACCACTAAAATCCGCACTCGGTCGCCTCTGAGATTTAGCAATTTAGATGTACACAAGCAAAAGATTTCATAGATACGCTGCCTATCCGCTCACGTTCACGGAAATCGACGGTTTTGCAAGAGCTTCAAGCTCGCAGCTTTAAACAGAATCATGCGTGTCCGTGACATCTCCATTACCCCCACCTTTCCCCCATTTCCCCCACGCTCCATGGTAGAAGCTCCGACACTCTTTAGCACAACATTTACAAATCCACCATCGAACCCCCCTGCCCAAAACCTTGGAACAATGTTGACACTTCAATCCCCGATCCACGGCCCCTTCCTTCAGCTCTCTAACCGTTCTCTTCTCCCGCCTACTCAACAACTCTTCGTCGCTCAAATCATTGCAAATTTGACAGATGGATCGAGTCACCATCGGAATGCGATTGCTTGGCGGATCATTCGAGGGCCCGCCGTACCACGTGCGCCTCAAGTATTGAGGTTTGTCCGGAGCGGGTTCGCATTTGCACAGTCGTGAGACTCTGAAGGTACGTGGAACGCGCTGGACTTTTGAGAAGTAGCACGACGAGCAAAAGGGATGGCAGCTGTCAAGATGGAAGAAAGGTCGGAATTGTTTGAGGGATCTAGATTGCTCGCAGTCCTGCAGTTAGACAGTAAGTATTAGATATGGAATTCGCGTAATTTGGTGAGGAGAACTTGCTGTACAGGTTTGATTTAGACAGATCCAGCATTTCGATTTGCTGTTCGATTGGCAAGTGTACATTCTGAAGTGTAGCATGCGTTGAATATGCGCGTCTGATGGTTGAACGGCTTGACGGACTCTCTTGGACACGAGACCCAGATTCATGACGTCCACGAAGTGGAGATCTTGACTTATAAGAATCAGCATGTCATAGACGCTCAAGAAATCAGCTAGCGATGCTGGCTGACTGTCCCTGAGATCTATGTGTGCTTTATCTGTGGATGTTTCTGTAGTTTTCTTGATATGTTCTAACCGCATCTGCCCCTTGTCTACGATCCCTTGACCGGCTTTGACGGTGAAGCCCCGTGCAAACCGGACACGCGATTTGACTGATATGGGGAGACACCTGAAAATGCAGGAAAAAGGTGCGTAAACACAGCCATAAAACAGTAGAAGTGGGAAAACTTTCAAGGATTCGATGCTGCTCATTACGAGAGCTTCTCGGACGGATCGATTTTCCTCGCGCGCTTTGAGGCATATGTCTCTCGTGTCTCTGATACAGACATAGAATTTCATGACTGTGGCGATGGACAGAATGATGCTTCATATCGCGTTAGAACCGGAATCAGAATGCCACAATTCTAATGTGAGGCCTGAACATCTGCGCAGCCTTTTACTTACCAAACCGTCAGACCAAGCTGCCATTCGGTTGCATAGCTCTTACACATAGTGAACGGGTCAGTCACCGTTGCGTTGAGTCTAGCTGACGCTTCAAAAAAGCTCTCATTTACTCCTGGGGGGCGTTGAAGTTCATGTGCACCGGGACCTTTGCAGCTATCTACACTGTGAGGTGCGTAGGCTGTCTGTGCATGAGTTGCAGTAGATATGAAAACTACGATACAACCATCGATCATGGGAAAGATGAGTTTTGGAGGAACGAGAGTTAGGATCGATGGCACCCATGATAGCAAGTACCACCAAAACGCAAAATAGCCCTGTGGAATCAAGTCAGCAGAGGTCCAGATATAATACTAGTTGTAGGTATCCCGAGGCCGAAGAAACATAACAAAAACGCATGATGGGGTCATTGAGCTGGACATCGACAACTAATAAAGTAGGAATGTATTACCCAGATATACGCGAGCTTTTCGTTATCCATAATGTCATGATTATACGGACCATCTCTTTGAAGTATACCATGCGCTTTCGTAGTTTTCCAGTGTCTTTGGGCGGCGCTTGCATACTCGATGAGAGGATACACGATAGTGAGGCGCAGGATGCCTGCTAAAAAGCTAATGCCTTGTTCTAGAGAAGTTCAGTATTGCGATCGCAAATGTAGCAACGACTCCCCACCTCTGAGGAACTTCTTGGATAGCTGTGATAACATGATTGTAACGACCGATACGATCACAGAGACGCGAATTGGAGCAAAGGGACAAGATGCGACGAGACAAGGCGCTACAGACAGCACATGAGGGGACGTTATAACGGAGAGTTCTGAACTGATGTAGTCACCGGACGAGGTGTGACAGAGATTCGTTTTTCAGCCTCGCGCCTGCTGTTGGCATCAATGGGGCTGAGGCTGAGCGAATACGCAGTGTTGGATAAAGAATAGTATTGTATTTCAGGAAGTTCTCCAATTTCGCGAGGAGAGCGCGTGGAAAGGCTACAGTATGAGTGAAATGCATTGCCGCAATCCGGTGAGGGCGGTTCTGGAGTGGTGCGATTATTTGAGATTTGATTCGCTATGAAGTGGATGGGTAGGCGAACACGAGGTAGCGCCGTTACCACGTACATATGCACATGTGTACATCAGTGTGTATGGTGGACGATGCCTGAGGAGGCTGATCACGGGATGCTTCGAAGGATGCAACAAGAGAATAGCAGCTCATATCCGATTATGTCATCGGATATGTCGCTGCAATTAGGCAAATGCGACGAAACTTGTATCGGTCCTTGTTGAGTTGCATAGGCATGGAAGGCTGGTTGGTGTTTGTGGGCGAGTAGGAGATTTCCCACGATGGGTGGATTACATAATCTCATCTGACATCACCACCGACGATTCACCGTGGCAACGGCGGTTGTTTATCGATTTCGGCCAGCGCATCATCAGCCTCACGCGCTCGTTCCAGAACGCAGCACCTGCGCGCGGAGCCCACACACATTTCCGTACTCCACGGCGAATTTATAGTCTTCTCCGCATTTTCCTTCCAAGTTCCAGCCACCTAAGTTACCCGCCCTCAATCTACATACTCTATACATATGTAGTGTGTTTTAGCTGCATACCTACACTGCATCATCACTTGGCTCCTCAATTGCACTTTGACATACCTACATACGAGCTTCTCTATACCTTCTACGGCCTCGATTCACACAAGACCGCGCAACTTGCGCTTAGATTCCGGGATGGAGGCGCTGCTCTCCCTCGCTTTCGACAACATTGTCTCCAAGGACACGCAGAAGATCCGCAAAGGCTTGCGTCAAATTGAGGGCATGCTGGCACAGATATGTCTGTCTAACCCCAAATCTAAGCCCTCTACGCCTGGCCATCAGCGCAATACCTCGGCCATCAATCTCAACGAACAACAATCGACTCCAAAGAAACTGGGCCAGTTGGGCGACGACCTCGCTTTTCGCGAGTTCTTTCGGCTACAAGACGGCTTCGAATGGAATGGTAAGCAGAATAGTCATTCTCAATCGCCCGCATACTGACTAGAGTGTAGTCGCGACCCGTGTAGCTGATTGTCTGAATCGCCTGTTGGGCATGTCAAGCAGTAAGAATAAGCCTTACCAACATATACCAGATCGAAGACTGACCGACCAATAGATGGCCAGAATGACCTACTCATCCTATCATCACTCTCCAATCTACAAGGACTGCTCCTGCTACACCCTCCCTCCCGCATCATATTTGGGCGCGAAGTGTACATGAACCTCCTTCTTGACCTTCTCGACCCTTACAATTGCCCTGCCATACAATCCGCCGCTCTACTCGTCCTCGTTACCGCGCTCCTCGCTACTCCCCCGAATATTCGCACATTCGAGAACATGGACGGTCTGCTTACCGTTACGAGCTTGTTCAAGGATGAGGAGACGACACAAACAGTAAAGGTGAAGCTGCTGGAATTCGTCTACTTCTACCTCATGCCTGAGACACCCATACCATCCGCCAGCGCGCCCAATACGGCTGTCCCAAACCAATTAGCTGCCGCTTTCAAGAGGCGAGGTAGTACCGTTAGTGGCGACGACGGCGCTGGTGTGGCGAGGATCAACATTCGCTCTCAAGAGGAAAAACAACACATGCTGGCACGCTACCTGAACAACGTCGACGCTCTGGTTCAAGACCTCAATGAGAGCGCGCCGTTCACGAGCGTCGCTTGTTGAGGCAGGAGCGGAAATGTTGCACGATGATACCCCAAACTCACCACATTCTTCACTAGTACGGTCTCGAGTCCGTATCCTTTTTTTCATGCGGTTTTCTTTTGTCGGCTGACTTGTCTGTTCATCTGCCTACGTCATGCGCCCTGTGCCCTGCGACGAGTTTAGAGTTGGGCTAGGTGTGCCCTAACTGTTCTTTCCCCGGCTGAGTCCAGCGAAGGCGTTTCCAAGGCAAGGGATAATATTTCAAGCGTCACGACTGGCGTTATTTTTTGATCATGGGTATTTGGTATGGACGTGTTGACGTGTCATACAAAGCGGTCTTTTGCACGGCGTTTATTCATAGCGTGGGCGGCCATGCGCTGATAATGTATGTATATCTAGAGTTTTATGAGTATTAGCGTAGGGATGCCATGCCCTCTGGGACAGTGGACAGTCTTATATAGATCCACAACAATCAATTGTACGATAACATTTCATTTCTGCTCCGCTGTTGATGTTGTGATAACGCGTCTAGTGTGCTAGGATACACTATGGGTAGAGCGAAGTACCATTTCAATTTTCCCAGGACGATAGTCATGGTGTACCAAGGTGGATTTCTGTAGATAGTGCTGCCAACCACATGTAGCACTTCCTTTAACAGGTTAAGCTGGTACGAGATGTGGACTATATAACGGAAGCAATGAGCGGAGACCGATTCTACCGATTCCGATCTTGTTCCAAGCTCCACTAAGCACCAGGGCGCATTGACTATTCGCCGACTTTGACTTTTCTCCTTCTCCTCCAAACGAGAATATTATCGGACCATCCGGATACGGCCCGGATACGGGCGACAGTTTAGGTTTGAAACTACCTAGGTAGGTACCTTTGCCAAGATACCAAAAAGCACAAATCTGTTGGCGTCTGAACGCCAGGGGTAAACGTCATGGAATTTTCTCATCTTGACATGACGCAACCCCCAAACAAAGACAACAAGAATACATCTTTGAATTCTGGGCCGCCTTTCCCCAGAACTTCAGACGCCTTGAACTGTCGCTGCAAGAATGAGACTTCCAGGCTAGACTTTTCCCAAGAGGAACAATGGGATTTCGGCGGCGAACTACCACAAATGGCCTTGTGGGAGTGGAAGGAACCGGCAGCCGATGCCGACATGTCTTGGAATTCTCTGTTAGAGGATGCGCCGGGTCGAGCGGAAGCCATGGGCCGATCAAGTGATCGCCCAATTGTAATCCGTCCATTTGGTAAGAGTCGCGTGCTGTGAGTCGCGTGCTGTGATCTTCGCGATGCCGTTAGTGTGCTCTGCCGTCAAAGCAAGTGTGACCCAATCGGCGGAAGATGGCATGACAGTATGTGACGCACTGGGTTCATTAGTTCAATTGCGAGGCCCTAGGGATGTGGAAGTCGGCACACTTGGTGTGGTAGCTGGCTGCAAGTGGGTTCCGTCTTTGCGGCGCAAGAACAAATATTGGTCCGGAAGGGGACCAGAAATCAAGCAAGCAGTAACCTTCTTACCAGCAAGTTTGTTGCCTTTGTTTCTTGGACGCCTGCCACACTACCACCCCTTTGGTGGATCTTTTGCCATGGCTTCTGGTCTTCTCCTCTTCAGCGGCCTACTTTCTATTCTTCTTTTCTGTACGAGTAGCATACTTGCACTGTTTGTCAAGGTTGCATAGCTCTGGATTCTCTCGCTTTCTCGCCTTGAAACCTGAGCTCTTGTCTACCAATATAGCAACATCGGCGATAACCGCATTGCTTCTTCTATAGGATATACAACATGGGTGCCGGAGCTTTTGTAGAACCGCTGGTTGTGGTTTCCCTTCTCTTCGGTGGCACATTTGTAAACCGCAACACACAATACCGATTGTTCAACCGCCAGCGCACATCATCTCCCTCTCCTCGATCTCCTTCACCATCATCCGACTACCTTTCGAGCTCTAGTCACTCAAGTCCTCGCCATAGCACGTCACTTCTCGATAGCCACCACTCGACATCACTTTTAGCACACCAGGAACCGCACTGGCGGAAAAGGAAAGTCAACATCTTGGGATGGAGGAAGGAAACTGTGAGCCCAAACACGAAGAGATTTGAGGACTACTTCTTGAGTAGGCTCTTGAAGAAGTTTCCATTCTTGGTGGAGGCATGGTATTGGGCATTGATCTACTGGGTAAGTCCATTTCCAGTCTTTTGACCATTCCAGTCTTGATAGGCGACAAGGAACATGAACTAACTCAAATCTTGCAATAGGTCTACCAACTCGGGCGCGCATTCACAGCAATCACTCTTGTAGAGTCAACCGTCGACGTCGCCCGTTCTCATGCGCTCCAAATCATCCACCTCGAACAACGCCTCCACATCTTCCTAGAACTGCCAATTCAGCATTGGTTCCTCCAGCACCCCATCCTCATGCACTGGACCAACCGCATATACTCGTTCATCCACATCCCCGGCACCATTCTCTTCCTCGTATGGCTCTTCTACTATACCACCACTCTCACTCCATCCTCACTCCCCTTACCAAACAACAAACCCACACGAGAAGCAATCGGATCTCCCGCAGGCCCGAAACTATACGCCGCCCGCCGCCGCACAATGGCCGTATGTAATCTCCTCGCCTTCATCGTCTTCACTCTCTGGCCATGCATGCCTCCACGCCTGCTCTCCGATCCAAAAGTCCCGGGCACAGTCGGCAGAGAATCGCGAAGCTACGGCTTCGTCGACACAGTCCACGGCAAAGGCGGCGAAAGCAGCGTCTGGACAACAAACAAATGGTGCAACCAATACGCAGCTATGCCATCTCTACACTTCGGATACAGTCTCCTCATCGGTCTTACCATCATGTCGATCCCGCTCGCTCCGCAGCACAGCAAATCCAGCGTCCTCGCTATTCCCTTCTGCAAGACCCGTAGTTGGAGAATGCGAGTCCCGAGTTCGAGACGGATGGTCTGTTTGGCGCTCGGTGCGGCGTATCCGACAATTATCCTGCTCGCTATCATCGCGACGGCTAATCACTTCGTCTTGGATGCTGTTGCCGGTGCCATTGTCTGCGCGACGGCGTGGAATGGGAATCGTATGCTTTTGAACCTTTTGCCCGTCGAGGATTACTTTTTGTGGTGCGTGAGGATTCATAAACCGGAGAGACGGACACGGTTTGTGGATGCGCATGGTGATGAGGAGAAGAGGGAGAGGGTGTATGCTAAGGGTGGGTTCATTGTTTAAAGGGAGGGGATGAACGAAGCTGGAGAAATTTTGGTGACCTACTGTATATGTGTATATCTTAATACAAGATTATTATCTAATTAATCTGAATCCGTTCAATTCGAGGTCGCGGGACTTAAAATTTCGCTTGAATACATGGGTAAGATGATTGAATGATGATGAAATCATTAGCTAGTATTTGCTCAGGATCACAGTGCTTGAGTCCATTCTTTTACGTATTTTGAGTGTTCATTGACCAAATAGACGAAATTTCAGTCATTCGTAGGTATCTTGATGGCATCGCAGAAGATTGAATAATACCTAGGTAGGTATTGATGAAACAACCAGTTGACCATTTGAGATGGAAAGCCACGTGACCTGTGTATTCACCCCGGCCCGCTTGGCCTCTTCGCATCTTCATGATCTTAGCAATAGTCATTCTGCTAGGGGAACTTTGCGATATGACGATACTCTGATCATTGCTCCGTAAGCGTAAACCAGAGCCCACAGTTGAAGCTTCGCCCGGAGCAAGGCTCTGCCGAGATGCGCTAAATCGGACTCTGTCTTCCCCGCAGGCTATAGATTTATCCCTTCGGCTGGGAACATTGGGGGTACGCCACGCTACTGAGAACGAGGCTTTGTAGCCATCCGATCTTGCTCGATTGCAATACTATCAATCTCGGTTTTACGTTTCCAATTGCGTTGCCCGATTGTTTGATTATTTTCCATTATATTTCTCGAAGAAAAAGAGAAGAACCGCCAAAACGATTGCATCAACGAACATGGCAACATTTCAACCAGCGATCATGTCGGCGTCGCTGGGCCGTGCATGGCTTCACGACCTCGACGTCAAAATCAAAGAGGCAGGAAAACAAGGATTCAAGGGCATCGAAATCTTTTACGAGGACCTCGAATACGCAGCTAAAAAGTTCTCTGGAAACGAGAAACCCACGTCTGAAGACCTTGTTGGAGCTGCCCGACAAGTGCACGCAATGTGCCAGACATCAGGACTTGAGATCATCGGACTGCAACCATTCCTCTTCTATGATGGTTTATTGGACCGCCAGAAACACGACGAGTTGATCGAGAAGATCCATGTCTGGTTCCGCATCGTCAAAGAGTTGAAGACGGAGACAATACAGATTCCAGCGAATTTCCTCCCTGCTGATCAGCTCACGGGGGACATGGATGTCATAGTCAGTGATTTGAGACAACTAGCGGATTTGGGTCTGAAGGAAGAACCGCAAGTTCGCTTTGCCTACGAGAATCTGTGCTGGAGCACGCACATCGATACGTGGGAGAAAGCCTGGGAAGTCGTCAAACAAGTGGACCGCCCAAATTTCGGTCTGTGTCTCGACACGTTCAACATCGTAGGGCGAGTTTGGGCCGATCCCACATCGCCTGACGGAAAGACGCCGAATGCAGATGAGGATTTAAAGAATTGTATCAGCCAGCTGATTCAGCAGGTCGATTTGAAGAAGGTTTTTTACATTCAGGTCGTGGATGCAGAGCGCATGACATCGCCGCTGGTCGAAGGCCACCCTTTTCATACCCCCGGTCAGCCGGCGAGAATGAACTGGTCGAGGAACGCAAGGGCTTTTGCGTATGAAGAAGATAGAGGCGCATATCTTCCAATAGAAGGTCTCGCACGAGCAATTATTTACGATATGGGCTACAAGGGTTATATTTCCATGGAGCTATTTTCGAGAACTATGTCAGAGGAAGGGGAGCACGTACCGGGAGAACATGCGCGGCGGGGTATAGCGTCGTGGGAAAAACTTGTTGATAGACTCGGCTTGAAGTAGGGAAATAATATCATGGGAGATTTCGGGCACGCTATCGATTTTCCCTGTCAGTGCCATTATTTGAAGGGCTGCTTGACGTGTACAACATCTCAATGCTCATGAAAAGGAATAAGTCATCGCCAGAAAATGTGCTTTACGACCCAATGACGCGTAAAACAGAAACAAGTCACAAAATGTTACGTGAATTCGCAAAACACAGAATAATTTAGGCATGTATCATATCTCAAGCTCCCCGCCCTCAACCCAAGTCTTGCTCTGTCGATATAGTAAATCGTGCTTGTCACCAGCGGGCGTCCCCGCATGTCTTCGATGCCCTGGCATATCCTTCAACACCGTCACCCCCATCGTCGCCTCCTGGCAATAAGCAAGACACTTATACCCCTCAGGATAAGAATTCAGCTTCTCCAGATCCAACTTAGGCACCTGGCCCGCAATAACAGGAATAAGCTTATCCTTCTCGTACCAATGACGCACGAAGCGTGCACCCCACCGTCCATCCACCTTCTCAAAGAAAAAACAGAACCGACAATCAGCTTCTGCATCTACCTCCACTCCATCTAGATTGAATCGTTGCGTGATGGTCGCTTTCATTTTAGTGACTGCTCGTTTGCCGTCTGGGCTGATGTCTGAGGTCGTGCCGTGGCAGCGGTGCATGATGAATGCTCCTTTGTCCATGCCGGCTTTTGATCCGTTGATGAAGTCGCTGTATAGCACGCGGCCTGACCACGTCGTGTATACGTAGGCGCCTTCGTGGAATATCGATTCGAAGTTTTCCCACTCGCAGGCATCGCTGTTCGAATTTGGAGTAAGTATTTGTTTTTGGCGGATGGTGTCAAGGTGGAAAGTCTACGTACCGGTAGCATGGCCAGCCCTCTGCGAGCTCACGAAGTTTCAATCGTTCGATAACCAGGGCGTCTGGACCATTATTGCGGATCGCATTTGAGGGCCACCAATTTTCGGGGAGTGAGTGCAAGTCGGGCATGTTGTATATTTCACCCGAGTCAAAGAGGTAGGTGGTGTTGATCTCTTTTTGCTAGAAGAAATCAAAACTAAAATGAGAGGGAAATGATGTGCTTGCGTAATTTCAAAGATTTTGTGCTCGTCTTGCTTGAAAGCAATATAGGGCGTAGATCGGTCTCTGGTTTAGTTCACATAGCAAGATGGTCGTCGGGTATGGGTTTGCCCGGAGTCGTACGCTCCCCCGGTATCGCTCCGAGGCCCGCTTCAGTCTACTCCCGGGCAGCAAAGCACCACGCGTGACTTGAAATCGGAAACCAGAATGCTGTTTATGATTATCGACTACATTTTTCGGAAAGTTATAATTTCTCATTTCTATAGGAAAGATGTAAATAATAGAAAAAAAGATGATAATAGAAAAGATCGTCAGGGATTGCCATGGTTTCGCTTCTTTGACAGCATACTTATGTTAAAATGGTATTCTCATCAGATATTAGACTATTTAGAAATTGATAGCGGTACTCTCCTCCGCTGCATTCAAAAGAGTCTTCCAGGCTGCATCTGAATCAAGTCGAGCGACACGCTCCTCACCCGCCCAAAGCCTCCATTGTTCCTGGATCTGATATCCAATAACATGAGTGCCCTCCACAGTCGGCCATCCAAGTTCTTCTGCAAGCTTAATCATTCTGGTCCGTCGAGGCTTGAAGCACATATCCAGCAAAACCCCCTTCGGACTCTGCGAGAGAAAATGTCTCAGAATCGCCGCCACATTCTTCTCTGCCTCAGTTTGTGGTTCGAAATCTGGAACCGTGCCGACAATGTAGTATGGCGTATCCAGACTCGACGCTTGCTCCATGGACTTGACGTGAACGATTTTCGGAGTCGGAGTGATCTTCTGAGTATCCCTCACAAGCGCCTCTACCTCGGCGTCATCTCGATTCAACACATATATGGTGGGACAATTGAGGTGGCTGCTGAGAGCATACGCCGCTGCGCGGCTAGCTCCCCCAGCTCCTACAATCAACGCTGATGCTGGGCGATCAGAACTCGGTCGGGCGCTTTCCTCCCCCTTCTCGAGCAGACATCCCTTGATGCCACGCCAGTCTGTGTTTGTTCCGACGATTTTTCCGTCCCGGCGGTAGGTGTTGTTGCAAGCTCCGATTGTTTTCGCGAGATCGTCTAAGTCGTCTAGAAGCGGCATTATGGTGTTCTTGTATGGCATGGTTACCACGAGACCAGCCGTCGACTCTTTTCGCGCGAGCTCTGAAACTTCCTCGACGGTACCAACTTCGGTGCTGTAAAATGTCCATGGAAGGCCAAGGGACTTCGCGATCATGTTGTGCATTGGTGGGGCGATTGAGTGTTTGACGCCGATGCCCACGAGATGTAGTGTTTTTTCTTCATTGCTGTCTGAACTCATGGTGATGGTGAATGTTTTGGCGATGTGTAGTTGCCTTGAATGTAACGGAAATGTGGAGAGTTGTTATTCTGTATGTTTTGGTTCGTATTGGATAATCGAGTGCATCTTTGATGATGGCTCGGAACATCACTTAAGCGGCCGGCTGCTTTGCGGTGCTCATCAGGACCCGCGGCTTCGAAGTGGATCGTCATCCTTTTAGCTCCTAGGAGCGGGGTCTTCCCCGTGCAACAGTCATTTAGTAATTGCCGGCAATCAATTAGTCGTGAGAGTTTCTTCTGCGCATTCTTCAAATAATAGTCAGTACGCTTGAATGGTGGTTTGTCTTTCGAGTTTGGATACGCGCGAAGACGTACAGAATCGGCAACACGTGTAATTCCCTATCGTATATTCACAATTCTATAGATCTATCCTAGCATCCTCTCCTGCCCACGCCCTCCTAATGACCTCCCTGATTAGGTCTCTCTCGATAGCTCTGGGATTCCAATAAGCATTACCCACCGCGATATCTGCAGCCTTGTCGATGTCGCTTTCCTTCATACCAAACGCTTTCAAACTTCTTGGAGCATTGGTCTTAGCCAGCAGCTTGTTCAATCCCACTATCGCGTCCCCGTTGCTCTCGGGTAAAGCGTCTGCGAGCATCTTCATTGCGCCTGGAACTTTAGGCGCATTGTAGGCCAGTGCATGAGGGAGAACGATGGTATGTGTTTCCGAGTGAGGAAGATTAAAGCTGCCGCCCAGAGTGTGGCAAAGTTTGTGATGCAGAGACATGCCGACACTGCCCAGGCAGGTGCCACATAGCCATGCGCCATATTGAGCATCGGAGCGTGCTGAAACTGATGATTTATCATGAAGAAGCTCCGGTAGCGATCGTGCCAACGCTCTTATTCCCTCCTGTGCGAACAAATTTGTGATCGGGTTCCCACTCTGTGCATACAGGGCCTCTGCTGCATGCGCAATTGCATTGATACCGCTTGTAACTGACATACCAACTGGCAACGTCATAGTCAAGTCGATATCGTAGATGACCAAGCTTGGAAGAATCTTGGGGTCCGAACGAGTGGTTTTCTTCCCATCAACGGTTTCTCCCACTACGGGAGTCACCTCGCTACCCGCATATGTTGTCGGGATGACGATGTGGAAAAGACCATTCCTGACAGACACTGCTTTTCCCAAGCCGATGGTGCTTCCGCCTCCGATCGAGATCAAGCAATCTGGCTCTCTCTCCTGAGCATACTGTAATGCTTTTTCCGTGATGTGGAGTGGCGTGTGCATCGTAGCTTCGGAGAAAATGCCAACCACCTTCACATCTTCGGTCAGGGTGGCGCTCAGCGCCTCCGCTTGACTGACTTGCTCGGGGGTCGATAGAATGAGTGGCTTTGAAAGTCCGTGTTGTTTCAATTGATGTCCAGTTTTGGCTACAGAGCCACTGCCGAAGATGATGTGTGCAGGATTTGGTCGATACTCGAAGGCTTCCATGGTTGCTCGTGAGACTTTTGGTCCAAGATTCAGATATACGAATGACTTCAATTGCGATTATATCAACTGATATTTTATGCAAGTCGTCCAGCCGGATTCTCAAAATTGTGATGATATCCGCTTAAGTACTTAAGCGGACCATTTCGGCGGCTCGGAGAAGCTGCCACTCACCCCTCTCCCCACCCATAGTGGGAGAACTAGGCGTGTGGGGCGAGTCACTACGGGATGTCGCTAGCTTCAACACCACGCCACCCTCTTGAAGTGCCACCCACCCCACGCTCCCATTTGGCCTGCAATTCACGCTCTGGCACACATCTCCAACTCGTTCGCCTGCCTAGACTTTCGGGATCTACCTTTACATACATCTGCTTCCAACGCCAGCATGGTACACCAAAAACCCGACATTCCTCCCCTCAAGGACCTCACGATAGACAACATCACAGACAATGTCCACGCGATCAATTCAGGCTGCCAAGATCCAAGAACAAAGTTTTTGTTTGAGCGCCTAGTCACTCACCTCCATGACTTTGCTCGAGAGACACGTCTTAGCACTGCAGAGTGGGAAACTGCAATCGGGTTTCTCAAAGACTGTGGCAAAATAAGCAGTGACACGCGACAAGAGCTAATACTCTTGTCCGATGTCCTGGGGCTGTCTCTTCTAGTGGACTCAATCGACCATCCAAAGCCAGCTGCATCCACCGAGGGAACAGTTTTGGGGCCATTCCATGCCCACGTCAGTGAAAGCATCGCATCTGGTTCGGCCATTTCACACGACCCCGAGGGTGAACCTTTACTGGTAGTCTGTACCGTGAAAGACTCTCAAGGCCGCCCTGTCTCAAATGTCGATATTGACGTGTGGGAAACGGATTCAAAAGGATTCTATGATGTCCAATATGCTGGCCGCGAAGGGTTCGATGGACGAGCTGTTCTAAGTAGTGACGAGAACGGGGCTTTCCACTTCAAAGCAATTGTACCAGTGCCATATCCAATTCCTGATGATGGACCGGTGGGAAAGCTCCTGAAGATTCTCAAGCGCCACCAGTACCGGCCAAGTCATATGCATTTCATGTTCAGAAAGCCCGGATATGACCCACTCATAACGTTTGTTTCCCCCTCCCCTTACCTCTTTGTCTCATTCCAGGAGTCTTCTGACATCACTATAGGGCTCTGTACCTCCGAGGTGATCCATATGAGACATCCGACGCAGTGTTTGGTGTGAAAGAATCTCTTATAGTGGACTTGCAAACTGCGGCGGATTTTCCTGGCTACTCGAAAACATACGGTGTCTCTGACACAATGAAAGTTCTCAAGTACGACTTCGTGCTTGTATCGGATGCTGAAGTGACTGCACTTCGAAATCAGAAGGCGCTGGACGCTGCATCATCATTAGGATTGAAGCTGAAATTAGAGAACGGGCTTCTAGTGAGGGACGATTGATCTCGGCCAAGCGCTACAACTCGGTGCTGGCGCATTGTATATACTGGATTCGCAATGGCATTCTTATAATTTGATTCTACGAAAATGTCTCGTATCCGCGATATTACAATTACAGGTGTTGTTCTTGTTTTTTCATGAACACATTTTTGTAGTGCGTCGCGGTTGACCACACATGTCGTCTCTGTTTAGTGTCCATCTTTCAGATAATGCTACATGCCAATATTATTGCCGTCTAGACTTCACATTCTTCACCGCATGCTCAATAGCCGCCGTGTACCCAAAAGTTCCCAAGCCAATAATAACCGCCTCCGCTTTATCCGACAAAAAGCTATGATGTCTAAACTTTTCCCTCGCATGCGTATTCGTAATATGTATCTCGATAAAAGGTATATCGACTCCTAACAACGCATCCCTGATAGCAACACTCGTGTGTGTGAATGCAGCCGGGTTGATCACGATGACGTCGACATTGTTCCTCGCAGCGTGAATCCTGTCGATAATAGCGCCTTCGTAATTGGATTGATAGGTTTCAAGAACGGCGCCCAAGTCTTCAGCTTGTTTTTTGCCATTTGATTCGACGTCTGAGAGCGTTGTTGAGCCGTAGAGCTCTGGTTGTCGTGTCCCTAGTAAATTGAGATTCGGGCCGTTGATCAGGAGGATGGATTTTGTCATTGTTTGTGGTGAGGATAGAGATTCCAAATTGAGGTTTAATCGAGACTTGCTGTGTGAGGTATTGAGAGCAGTATTCCGACAAACACATTGCCGTGCATCAAGTCCGGTCCTGAGGTTAGTGCAGAGGGGAAATGGTTATCCCGGAGTATGACCTCAACCCTCTTTCGGTATAGCGTATGTTTTGGTTCAGAGATCCCGGGTAAAGGATGTACAACAGCATTTTGGACGAAAATGTATCTATAATTTATCAAGAATTTATCAAGAATTCACCATACTGCCCGAAGTCATTGTCTGAGTCTATGTTCTAATAACAAATACATGTAGCCGAACCTTTACAGGGACGGATTAGATAGTCGTCGTCGCTCTAGCTCAGCTTCCATCGCCGCACTCATAACTTCAATTGGCGCGTTTTGACCAGTCCAAAGTTCAAACTGCGCGTACGCCTGCTCTCTCAGCACATCCATACCTTTGAAGATACGCCAAGCTGGATATTTAGCTGCTACCTTCATCATTCCCGTCTCCAACGGCCGATATGCCATTTCCACGAGAACACCCGATTCCGCACCAGATAACAGAGTAGGCGGGATTTTGTCCTCTGTCAGGTCATCGGCGGGAATGCACCCTACGATGATTCGCACTGAACTACTGGCGATCTTGTGAATATCTGCCAGCTCTGTACAGATCCGCGTCGGTAAATCAGGAAAATGCGCCGCCATCTCTTCTGCTTTTGAGCGTGTGCGGTTGACAATGATGACTTCTTTCACTTTCAGCGTCCCAAGCGCATAACATGCCGCACGTGCTGCTCCACCAGCACCCAGGACAACAGCCGTAGACGATTCGATAGCTGGCAAATCGGCATTGAGGATGCAAGATCGAATACCTGACCAATCAGTGTTGTCTCCCTCCAGCGTGCGTCCGGACGATGACTCTTTTACGACAATGGTGTTGACAGCGCCAACGCTTATTGCTCGGGGCGTGATGGTGTCGACAAATTTCCCGATTCGAAGCTTGTGGGGGAATGTGACGGATGCGCCTCCGAAATTGGGTTGCCTCATCATTTTTTCGACGGTCTCGTCTACATCTTTTGTTTCGTGGATTTGGTAGTGACCTGGATACCGGATCTTTGCGAATCCGGAGTTGTGGAGTTGAGGAGAGAGGGAATGCGATATGTTATTTCCGAAAATGTAGAATTGTTTGTTCTGGTCAGACCCGGGATGCACTTGGGGTAGTTCTGACATGTTTGCAGGCGGGTTCGAATTGATAAACAAAGCTTTGACGTTGAATTGATACCATAAATACTAGAAAGGCCATTCTTGAGTATAATGTAGGCAGAGAAGACTAATACAGAAAAGCCTCTGTGGGGCACCGCTACAGGTCTTTTCCGCTTCCGACGCAGCCATAGCCTAGAAAGCTAGGACTGGATTCGCAGCTTGTTGAAACGTGCCTACGTAGTTCTTTCTGCATATTGCTGACTTACATACGTTACCGGCTGACCATTAACAGGTTGCGTGGTAATTGAAATCCCATCTCAGATGATACATCGCTTTACTCGGAAAAGCCATAAATCTGGATGAAGGCTTCTATCATCGTTTTGACTCACGAAAATTAATTCACGATGTTTTGATCCCTCTCAATGAACACTTAGAATGTTCCTGAATTATCAAGATATATTATTATAGACTACTATGCTAACTGGGTATATCTCTGAGTCATTTGCGCCCGCATCACATTCTCCGGTGCTCGACGCCCTGTGAATAATTCGAATTGCGCAATGCCTTGCTCTGGGAGCACTTGAAGTCCATGAACCGTGATCCAACCGCGACTTGAGAAAGTCCGAGCTTTTCTAATGAATTTCGTCTCGAGAGAATCGTAAGAAAGCTGCATAGTATGTTAGATGGCAGAAACATGGTCCTCAGCAAGGATCTTACCTCAATCAGTACCCCACCAGTTTGGTTCGCAAGCCATTCATCCGGAACATCCAGATCTTCGGGGCCATCTGGAGCTGCCGAACGAACACAGGATACGATGACTGTTGGTGGAGCGAAGCCTGTCGGCCATGGGCTGTGAGTGGGCGGAAGAACTCTGACATCAGCTGGACCACACATAGGGGCATCAGGGGCAGCTCCAGCTATAAGGTTATCTACGTTGTTGTGGTCGATAGAGTAAGTCTTTCCGTTGAACCTGCATGCAAGCTCCTGAGCCCTTTTCTCGGTGCGATTGCAGACGAAAACTGCCCGAATTCCAAGCCGAATCATGCTGTAGACACATGCGTGTGCCATACCACCAGCGCCAATCACGAGTGCGGTTGTGTTGGTTCTAATTGCATTCACTGGGGATAAGTGTCTGAGAGAAAGGAGACAAGTTAGTCTAGCTTCATGAAGTATAGTCCGGGAATGCCAAAATGTAAAACATTAATATACACCAAATTTTGGAGAACATACCGTCGAACACAGTTGTAGATCCCTATCCAATCGGTGTTATCACCATACAGGGCCACTGCTGGACCTGTCTCATTCCGCGCAAGTAAACCATCAAGGCCGTTCGACCTCAGAGGGATGAGAGTGTTGACCGCGCCTATAGCACGTGCAGACTGGCTCAGATGATCAAGGACTGGGATTATCTCCTGTTTGAACGGGGATGTGATGCTTGCGCCTCCGAACCTGGTGTCGTGAACTAGAGTCTTAAGGTCCTTCAACGAAGAACATTGTAATGTCGAGTATTTGTGGGGCAACTGAAAGGACTCGAATGCGCAGTTGTGCATGGCCGGGGAAAGACTAGCAAGTACATCTGCGCCTAGTATGCCGAAAAACTGGGGTTCGAACGTGTATGACGAGTATAGGGCACTCTGGCTCTCCTGTATTGTAAGAAGCCAGCTCCGATCATCTCCACCAATCTGTGCAGGGTTGCGCAGAAGTGGATGTGTGACGGGTGTCAATATTTGGTTGAGATAGCATGACTGCCGACCGTGACGGCCAGTGTTGTACGCGATGATTGGGGCATCTGTTTTTTCAGAAGATTTGGCTGAGTGGATGAACTCTCGGACACCCTGATTGTCTGCTCTCGACGTCGCTGTTTGACAAAGCCGGATGAGGTCGCACTGAGATCTCCTCATTCTTTGTAACAGGGACCATATCTGCGGACTAGACCAATAATTTGACGAAGGGGAGGTTTCCAAATAATGACCGATGATTCTGGTATGTCCTCTGGCCGAGCGAACTTGGCTAATATCCGCGTCATCGAGATGAAAGTCTACCGTTAGATAGTCTGGAGCGAGACGCAGCGCGTGTGCCACAACCTCGAGGTAAATTTCGCGGGCCAGCAAATCCTGCAGGCCTCTTTCCATAGATGATATAACGTGAATTATAATGGGAAGTTGGAAAGATCGGCGCGTGACAAAGTACTGCCGTGTTATCTGCGTTGCTATACTGTGGCTAAGACTGTTGGCTGAACACAGAGGAGCAATGTCAATGGTGAGTTCAATAGCATCTACCAGGATATCTACCCCTCTTGTTTGCTCAGCAAATTTCAAAGCCAGCTCTATAGGGAGCGACAAACAGTAAGTAAAGAATCGTCTTTCAAGGGGCACCGCAGAGAGCGAGTGTTGAGCTTTGTTGGTATAAACTCCCGGTCTATGTTCTCTGGCAGAGGAACACAGTTGCAAGAAATCTCTTTCTACGTTCTTGAGGAGGAGCGATGGCTGACCAGCTTGGTCCTTTCCATGCATTGCTATTGCGGAGTCCGAGAGGTTATAGAACTCCAGATTTGAAAGAGTTCGAAACGTTGGAGTGCTGCGATGTACAAGATCCGAGACAAAATCTTCATCGCAGGAGCCAAGGTATCTGGAAATGTCGCCTGCGTCTCGTAATATGAAAATCACCGGGTGACTTGTTGCAAAATTCCGGACAAGTTCCTGGCCAGATCCTTCGACAGACCCAGAGCCACAGATGATGACTGCGCGCTTTGGGTGTTGTGTGAGTATTGAGCGCAATAACTCAACCTCCTGACGCCTGTATTCATCGCTCCCATGCGCTGCAACATATGCTGTTCTTGTCTGACCATGTTTGGCGTGAAAGATCTTTTCTGAATCGACGAGGTTAAAACGGAGGGAAGTCGATGCGACGAGGGCCAGTGTTGATCTCCCTGTCCCTCTGATGCCGACGAGAAGGATGGAAGCGTCTGGTGAGTATGCGCAATTTGTGCGCGCAGATAAGGATGTTCGTTTATGGCCCTCGAATGTACCCTGCCTCGATACTCCCTCCATAATCACAAATTAGGCGCTCTTGCGATGAAAGTCTCATGGCTATCGAGTTACGCTGTATGCTTGCCGTCATGGGTGATCGACTATCAACTGGTGTGAGCGGGCGATAATGAAATTGCCCGGATGAGAACTTATCCGGTCGGAAAAGTGGGACTGCACAATAGAAATCAGAGCAAAACTTAGGAACGACAGATGGAATAGCACGCTGCTTGATATCGTATTGCATCAAAATACGCCTGCATCGCATACGACAGATATGAAAGCATTGATTTGACTGTTCATGTGCTTTTCTGTCTCAATCCGACGACTGGTTCTAGGAGAGGCCGAAACCTCACGCTAGGCGGTAAGTGTGGCCGAGGATGTGGAGCAGAACCTGGGGAAGTCATCCTACAGAAATCCGTCGCGGGGGCCTTCTCAGACCCTCGTAGGAAGTACATGGTAGGTATTGCAGATACAAATGGCGACTAGCAACAGAGAACAAAAACGCCTGCGGGATGAGAGCCACGTACACGGACCTGCGTCGCGAACGAAGCGGATACGCGTTTCGCAGGCTTGCAACGAGTGCCGAAAGAGAAAGGAACGATGTGATGGTGTTCACCCGCAATGTGGACCATGCAGCAGTTCGAAAAGGAGTTGCTGCTTCGATGCGCAGCCCAGGAAGCGTGGCTTACCGACTGGCTACGTTCGCGTCATCGAGATCATGCTGGGCCTCATGTTCCACGCGATTGACGGCGTCGAGGATTGCGCAACAGCTATACTACGTGGAGAGAAAAGCTTACCAACTTGGCACGGAGCCCAAACCTCGTCTTCGCTGGTCAATAGTCTGGCAGACTCATGGCGACGCAGTGAAACTTCAAAGGAGATCGAGCGGCTACTTGCCAGCGTGGATTCCGGTGACGAATATGAGCTTTCAACCCGAGAGCTATATGATAAACTGGAGGGCGCCTTCATGAATCGACTAGTCATTGATGGTGACTGCAATTCTCGCATCGAACTCATGTCGCCTCCTCATACCACATCGCCTCCCGCATACGACGCTGGGCCCAGCATGGCTCGAGATACTTCGATCGCTATCCCTATGACGCAATCGACACCAAATGCCCGGTCGTTCCAATCCCTCGAAGAGCCATTGAATCTCCCATCACATTGGTCTCACTTACTAGAGAGGTATTTCACGGACACACATTCATGGTTTCCAGTCGCAACTAAGCACGATATCCTCCGCCAGGCTTTCAGTTTAGCTGACCACAATTCCGAGACCGGAGTCCAAGACAGCTTAGTTTCAAGCGGTGATCGAGCAGCGTTGTTTGCTACACTTGCCTATGCATGTTACCGTGACACACTATCACTCCACGACACTGAAGAGCAACATAGTGATCAGTTCGATTCTTTTGAACAAGCCCAGCACGATTCGTCGTCATTCAGCCTTTCAAAGAGATTACAAGATGAGGCTATCTCTAATCTGCCGAGGAAAAAAGAGCCGGCCAGTTATGACTCTGGTCATGTTCAAGCCTTGCTGGTTCTTACCATACTTCAAATTGATCAAGGTCGTTTACCACAAGCTTGGATAACAATCGGTCAAGCAGTGTATGCCGCAGTCCTCCTCGACATCATACCTCCTCCTCGAGGGACCAGTCAGCTTACACCTGATGCGAGACAGAGGTCTCTTTTTGTTGGCATATTTGTTCTAGAGACTCTACTAGCCTATGCTCTAGGGCGGCGTCCTTACCTTCGAAGATCTGATCTTTCAGCCGTCGGCCCACTACCTATTGATGGTATGGAAGAGTGGCAAGCATGGAGACCACTGGAGCCGCAGGTCTCATCTAAAAGAACCAAAACACATGGACCTGGACGTTCTTTGAGTACTTTCAATACTTTCTTGAATTTGGCCGCGATACTTAACGACCAAGCACAAGGTCTTTCCAACGTAACAGAAACATTGAAAATGTTCGAGTATTGGAAAACAGCCCTACCACCGTCTCTCGGAAACATCTCGTCGTCTCTTGAAGCTATAGAAGCAGGTATACCACCTCAAATTGCAAATCTGGCTTTGGTTTCATTTAGTATCGATGCCGCATTGCATATTGGGACTCCATCAACACAAGAGAGGAAAACGGGCATCAATACCATATCTGATACACCCATATCCGCGCATAAAGCTTTGGAGATGATAAAGGAGTACAAAACGCTTGCCAAACCTTCTGGAACCTGTCCATTGGTATCAATATACGAATCGGTATTGAAAGGTCACATGAATAATCTGGATTTGACTCTTCCCGCGGAGAATGTCCCACAATTAGGGACATCGGTCAGCCAATATACTGGACCAACAAATATCGAAAAGGCAATAAACCATTTCCCACTATCTACACCAGCAGGTAGCTCTTCACTTCTAGCCCAGCCTGTAATGCGCAACCCCAGTGAGTTAGACTTTCAGCCATCAAAATCCATACACTAACAATGCAATTAACAAGGTGAACTAGGCATTGTGCCAACATACGAAGGTGGTCTCGAAACCCATCCGAATCTTCTCCCCGATACGAGTCTGTTTGATAGCCTTTCATTTCTCGACACAGCAGACTGGTGAGTAACCGTCACCCCCTTCAATGATCGAAATGAAAATAAATACTCAACAAACTATAGCTCTCATCAATCCGAACAGTTTCTGGCAAATCTAGGCATTTCTAACGAGATAGCCCCGTTTGATATCGAAGCTCTTTTCGCTCGATGATCCAAGACAACCCCGAATCACCCTTGCAATATCCCTAGAGTCCCAAACGAGGCTGTCTAGATGACTTCCTGGCCAGTGAAAGGCACAGAGGCCGATAAGCTAACGCCTCGTAGCCCTGGCCAGACAAACGTCCTATCTGCGCAAATGAAAAGGGCACCGCTTTGGGGCAACGTGTTGAATCGGAGTGATCTTTCACACACTCGGCAATTCAACCCTACGAAAAACGCAAAACGCAACAAAAATGCTCCTCATCATCGGTATGATGCTACTAGCGGCCACTCATATATCATCGGCCTTTCGTCTCTCCTATACCTTCACCATAAGCCTTCGGCAGCGCTGCAACATGAATAATTCATCGAACCCTCGCATCGACAGATATGCCCAAATCTTCAACTTCACCTCCCACGTCTCCAATGAGAGTTCTGCCCCGTTTAAAATTCTATTCGGCGACTCCTCATATTGAGAAGAGATGAATGGTGAAGGCTCTATGGAAGAAGACGTCCGTCATTGGGAGTTCGGCAGGATGCTCGGGTCAATGGTGGTATCAGAGGAAAGTGGATGACGATAGGGGAGGACTGAAGAATAAACTTATTCGCTCCTTCGACGGGGTCGATTATAGTGAGGAGTGGGAAGAGAAGCTCAATGAATGTGGTATGGATCGATGGGTTAGTGAGTGGGAGGGTATGGCGAACTTGGAGAACGGGGAGAGTTGTATGAGCGACGAGAGCTGGCAGGGCCGTTACAGGGTACGTTACAATTCCTCTTCGTGGACCGAGGTTTCGTCGCGCTCACGGGTTGCTTTCTAGGACCGACCGACGCTTTGACTGTGATTTGCCGTGTTGATTCGGGTGGATTCCCCGACGGCGCAGACGCAGGCGAGGGCCTACACGAACTGTGGAGAACCTTTAGTGGTGGTTTTGTATGCATTCAATGCTTCGTGTCATCCTCAACAGATTTAACAACTCAAAACTACTTGCAGATCCCTGCGCCATCAATATACCTGCAGTATCCGCACCAGTAAGGGAATCCATCCTACAGTTAGTGGGGTTTTAGATTAGCGAATGGCAGGGTTGTGGAAAGCGATGCCCCCGCCCAGTTTGTCACAAGAAATCTCTCGTGGGCTGCTATGAAGTCCTGCGTCGTTCTCACATTTCAAGGCATCAAGTTATGGTCCCAAGGACTGTTCCGAGGCCGTTTGGCCTGAAAACTTCAAGTCTTGTTCATTATCGCTTATTCGGTACCGTTGTTACAACGCCCATATCACCCGTATCCCAACAACAAACACCACTACAAACCCCAATCTCGAGTTCTTCATTCGACAATGCCATCAATGCCACGGGTCCGAGGACAACGTGGACGAGGGAACAGATCGCTGAGATCTACAACAAGCCGCTAATTGATCTTACATTCGCTGCTGTATGGGTCCATCTGTATTCGTCATGAAAGCGCAACTGATTCCAGAAGGCTTCTGTCCATCGTCGTTTCCATAATCCTGCCGCGATCCAGATGTGCACTTTAATGAACATCAAAACTGGGGGTTGCAGCGAAGACTGTAGCTACTGTGCCCAATCATCTCGGTACAACACTGGCCTCAAAGCCACCAAGATAGTGGATGTCGAATCCGTGCTAGAAGCTGCCAGAGTCGCCAAAGAGAATGGTAGCTCTCGTTTCTGTATGGGCGCTGCCTGGCGCGACATGCGTGGTCGAAAAACGAATCTCAAGAACATCAAGGAGATGGTCAAGGGTGTACGATCTCTGGGGATGGAAGCTTGCGTCACACTCGGCATGATCAATGCTGAGCAAGCAAAGGAGCTCAAAGATGCCGGTCTAACGGCCTATAACCACAACCTGGACACGTCAAGAGAGCACTATCCCAGTGTCATCACCACTCGGTCCTATGATGAACGCCTGGCTACAATCGGCAACGTTCAGAACGCTGGAATCCACGTCTGTACTGGCGGCATTCTCGGGTTAGGTGAAAAGCCCGAAGACCATGTTGGTCTCATTCACACCGTGGCAACTCTACCAGCTCATCCGGAGTCATTTCCTGTGAACGCACTTGTACCTATTAAAGGAACACCCCTTGGCGAAAGCCAGGCTATCTCATTCGACACCATCCTTCGTACCATTAGTACCGCTCGTCTTGTCTTGCCGACCACCATCATTCGCCTCGCCGCCGGTAGGCACACCATGCGCGAAGAGAAGCAAATGATGTGTTTTATGGCCGGGGCTAACGCTGTCTTCACTGGCGAGAAAATGTTGACGACTGCGTGTAATGGCTGGGAGGAAGATAAGGCAATGTTTGAAAAATGGGGATTAAGACCTATGGAGAGCCATGAAACCGTTGGAGGACAGCAGGAGCTTTCACGGGAGCAGGGGGGTGGCGTACAAAATGAGCCGGAATTTGCGTTGGGGAGTACGGAATCCCCTAGGCCGTCTCAGGCTGCAAGTGCTACGATCCTATAGGACCTTTCCTGCCTCTTTTCATATACAATTGGAAATAGTATATCGTTGGAAGCTTTTATCTTGATCGATTGTCTATAATCGTGCCCGCGCAATCACTTCTTCTTTTGATTGGCTGTGAGAATTCGTTTCAATAATTCCTGAACGCCCAGCACACCACTCCTCTATAGCGCGCAACAGCAAATCAATCTCCTCCGTCGTATTCCCTGCGTGCAAACATACCCTCACTCTCGATGTCCCTATCGGCACAGTAGGCGGTACAACAGCTCTTACCATCATTCCTCTCTCTTGTAGAAACCTAGCTAAATCTTTTGGCTCTTTCAGTTGGATAGAGAAGATTGGACTTTGGGGGCACTCGTGGGGCAATGACAAAAGCGCTCTAAAAGATGGACGTTGTACGGTGTTGAACTGGTCGAACAAATATTGGATCAGAAAGTGGAGCTTCGATGCTAATAACTCTGTTTTACCAGCCTTGAGCAGCGAGTACGAGGCTCTAATTGCGGAGAGCGTGGGATATGACATGAATGTTGAGTAAATCAGTGGACGCGCGTAGTTGATCAGATAGTGTCTCAGAATATGGGAGCCAAGAATGATTGCTATGTCTGGTCAACCCACGTCTCGAGAAGGTGTGGAAATTGGGTAGCAAGTTTACCGCCGTTACAGGCCATCGCCTTTCCGAACGTGTGAAGCCTAGCGAAGATATGGCGCTCAAGGCCAAGTTGCGAGACCAATCCTCGGCCATGAGAACCCAAGACACCTGTCGCATGTGCTTCATCGACAACTATGTAGCCTTTGCCTCTAGGCAATATTGTTTCGACTGTTTCGACGATAGATTGAAGGGGCGCCACGTCGCCATCCATGCTGTATACCGCTTCTACAGCAATGAATACATGGGCCTGCCCAGCCTGCAACCCTTTCGCGTCTCTTTCTTCCTTCAAGACTCTCTCCAAGACAGTCTTCAGATCTTGCACGCAACTATGTTTAAAAGGCACAGTCTTGGCCGCTCTCGACAGCCTCATCCCATCGTGCACACTAGCATGAATCAACTCGTCGTAAACCACAACATCGCCAATCTGCGGCACGCAAGCAAAGAATCCCGCGTTGGCATCAAACCCTGAATTGAAAAGTAGGCCCGACTCAGCTCCGTGAAACGAGGCAATCTCTTTTTCGAGATTTTCTGCGTACGTCGAGTTCCCGTCTAGCAATCTTGACCCTCCGCTTCCAATCGGTAAATCAACCCGTCGAAGCTCTTCAAGATACGTTTTCTTGAGAGCAGAATTGTTCGATAACGAGAGGAAGTCGTTGGAGGAGAAGTCGATCTTGTTGGAGTTGACCGTCAGGTTTCGCAGAGTGGAATTTTTGCGTCGACGATTGAGCAGTTTTCGTAGATTTGTTTCCAGGGGACTGTCAACATTTCCTCCGTCTTCTTTCATTTCGTAATCTTCTTTCGGGGCTGGTTGCATTCGATTCGAGGATTTGCAGATCTCGGGCAGGGGATCTATACATATCGGGCGGTGGGGCTTCGGTTAGTCTACATCGGTGTGTGCATGGGAGATGGGCTATAGTGCGCATTCAACAAATGCAACGACTGCGTGGCGGTGGGTAAATGGGTAATTTTATTACGTGATTCAAACCACGTCGCTGGAAACCGTTCCATTGGGTAAGGGGAGATCTTGATCCATCATCGCGTTCTGGGTGTTTTTCGTCGTGACATCTGTTAACGTGGTTATTCAAGCTGCCAGTGGTACACATTCTCGGCGCGCATGCTATTCGTGAATCTTGTAACCCACACACAGATACCGCGTCGGACCCGCCTCACGCTTTTGCTGTCGGCCAGTCGTTGCTGATTCGGCTATAGACGGGTGTTCAAACGCCATCAATCTTCCGCTAGCCTCTTTCCTTCTCTATGTCTCGAGTTCCCACAGCGCTGTGGAAGAACCTCATTGCGGTCCAAGTCTACGGTGCCAACACTGGGGTTGGCAAGACTGTCTTCTCAACTTTGCTAGGCTCACACTTTTCGCGAAAGATTGCGAAGACAAAATGGGATTTACGTTATATAAAGCCTGTATCCACAGGCCCAATAGATGAGGCGGATGATGGGTGAGTTGTCCTCACTTTCCAGTGTTTTACAAAGGTTGAAGATGTTTCTTTAAACTCTTCAGGATTTACTGACGAGAATACAGTTACTTTTCCAGATATACTGGGGCAAATGCTGATACGCTATTTCAATTCAAGAAAGCTGTGAGCCCCCATGTCGCTGCGAGAGACTCGGGAAGAATTGTGCGTGCAGACGTGGGATCCCTAGGCATTCAGGGTGAAAGCTAAACTCACTAGCCCAGTGACAACGACATTGTTCAAAAGCTCTACTCAAAGCTTAGTGAAATTGCGACGCGTCGTTGTTCCCAAGAAAACTCAATCGGACTTGCCATTGTCGAAACCGCCGGAGGTGTATTAAGCCCTGGCCCTTCTGGTGTGCCGCAAGCAGACCTTTTTCGGCCTCTGCGGATGCCCGTAGTCCTCGTGGGCGACCATCGACTTGGCGGTATTGCTTCAACTATCTCGGCTACGGAATCTTTGATCTTGCGCGGCTACGATATTGCCGGCGTTGTATGCTTCGATGACAAAGGGAAATACGAGAACTCGAATTATTTACGCAATTACTTTGAAGAAAGAGAGATTGCCGCCTTTGAGATCCCATGGATACCAGATTTGTCGGATTGCACCACGGAAACTGAAATTGAGAAGATGCGTGCGTACTACCTTGAGGAAAGCGACTCAGACGGACTTCATAACATCGCTGGCCAGCTTATTGATCAACATGCTACACGCTTGGAAAATCTTTCAAAAATGGCGAAGAAAACAAGCGAATCGATCTGGCATCCCTTCACACAGCATAAAAATCGCAAAAGCTCCGACGAAATCCTAGTGTTCGACTCAGCGTATGGCGATTACTTCCAAACGAAGCATACAGCCCAATCAAATGGTGGTTCGAAGGGTAATACGAACAATGCAATCCTATATCCTGCCTTTGATGGCTCCGCTTCATGGTGGACACAAGGCCTTGGTCACGGAAATCCAAAACTGGCTTTGGCAGCAGCTTATGCTGCAGGTCGATACGGACATGTTATGTTCGCTGGAGCTACCAATGAACCAGCGGTTGCCCTTGCTCAGAGACTACTCCAAGGCCTCGAAAATCCGCGCCTCGCAAGATGTTTTTATACAGATGACGGAAGCACGGCCGCAGAAGTAGGTATCAAAATGGCTTTACGTGCCTCTTGCAAACGGTACGGCTGGGACGGTTCGTCTACAGAGGTCGGTATCTTGGGCTTGAAAGGCAGTTACCATGGTGATACAATCGGTGCGATGGATGCTTCAGAGCCTTGTACCTACAACAAGAAGGTCGATTGGTATCGAGGGCGTGGTCATTGGTTCGACTTTCCGACGGTCAAAATGAGACAAGGACAGTGGATCGTTGAACCATCCGCTGGTATGGAACAAGTGTTCGGTGAAACGTCAAGGTACCGTACACTGGATGATGTTTTTGAATTTGAGAAGAGAAGGCAAAATCCCCGTTACAGAGAGTACATTACAGAACAGTTGAACACCCTTGTCAAAGAGCAGGGCAAGGCATTCGGCGCGCTTGTCATGGAGCCCATCATTTTAGGTGCAGGCGGTATGCTCTTCGTCGACCCGCTCTTTCAACGAACCTTCGTTGAAATTGTGCGCGAATACGACTTTGTCGAGAGTACAGCACATCCAAAAGACCCGAAAGCTTGGAGTGGTTTACCTGTCGTTTTTGATGAAGTTTTTACAGGACTTTATCGTCTAGGCCGCTTTAGTTCCGCTTCGTTCTTGGAAACACATCCCGATATTTCTATTCACGCCAAACTACTCACCGGTGGTCTGCTTCCTTTGAGCGCAACCCTCGCATCGGAAAGTATATTTGAAGCCTTTCTCAGCAACGAAGTAGCTGATGCTCTTCTCCACGGTCACAGCTACACTGCGCACCCTATCGGATGCCATGTAGGCAATGTGAGCCTCAAAGCCATGGAAGAATTAAGTCACAGTTATGCATGGCAAGATTATCTCAAGGATTGGCAGGGAGAGGTAGCAAGTACTTTCGATCAACCACACGTCGAAACACCGAAGAAAACAACGAAGAAGTGTATATGGAGCATGTGGAGTCAGAGAACAGCGAATGAAATCTCATATCATCCCCTTGTGGATCACGTCATTGCTATCGGCTCGGTTCTTGTTGTATCGTTGAAGGACGACCATGGAAGTGGTATGTTATTCTGCCCTTTCACCGATTCCTCAGGATCGCTGTGTTAACAAATAGGCAGGTTACACCTCAAAAGCTGCCTTAGGACTGCGCGATGCTCTTCTTCGCGACCGGATTGGGCAGAACATCCATATTCATTCGCGAGTTTTGGGTAATACGATTTACCTGATGGCGAGCATGACCTCTGCTCCAAGTGATTTAGCTACTATTGAGAGCGCTTTTATGGATCAGCTGAAGGCTATGGTAGACGGTAGTTAGTAGGGGCTCAGAACACTACTGAACGTTCGTATCTTGGTGGAAGGGGTCCCTCAGGGAAAGTAATTGTGTTGGCTGATCTAGACATGATGTGGAGCAAAGTATAGCCCACAACACTCGACAGAGGCTTAGACTAGGCTGAAGGAGACACGAGCCTTATAGTCCCATCAATTTCTCGTCGGCTTTTGAACCCTATCTAGAAAAGCATGACACACGTGTTCTTAGATAATCCGTAACACTTGGCAGACCCCAGCAAAGAACCACGCATCATAACGCAGAGGCTTACTGCGCATCACAGATTTGTATGCGATGGGCGCTGAGCTTCCGTTTCTAGCTATTTGCATGATTGGCGGCTGATTGCATTTTCCGTTCTTTCCGTTATATGGGTGCTCGCCTTTTTCATCTAATAGATTGGAATATTGCCGTACGTGCTCACCTGTATCTTGATTGAAACTAATCGCTATATTCGTAAATCACCTATCAAATAGCCCAATACTCCCGGATGACTACATTCACATCTCACCTACTCATAAGAAAGCTGGAAAGACATCCAAAAAAAAATCTTGAAATTAAGTATGAACGATTGCTTAGAAGTATAAAATCCCTATTCGAACGAAAGAAAGGAAAACACGATCGAAAGTTAAAGAAGGAAGGATAACCACATTATTTACCTACTCCACTCGAGTAGCCAGAAGGAAGTCCTACCCCGATCATGAGCTTTGAACATACATAGCTCCGAAATTTTCCGATTTGTCATTGTAAACATTGTTGCATTCTGTGCTTGCATCGGCAGCGCTGATAGCGCCAGCCTGTCCGTTGCAATTGCCCGAACTTGGCGAATTCGTAGCCGCGCAAATGTCCTTTGCTGATTGAGGAACGACCATTTCGGATTGCAAGGCATCGGGTGCCTCAATGAAGAGCGCCGCCATACCGCCAACAAGATGGAAATCGATGTGGCAATGGAAGTACCAGACACCGGGGTTGTCTGCGACGAAGCGAAGAACGAGGTAACCGTGAGGTGGAATAACAACTATTTCGAGAAATATTAGGAAATGAAGGGGAATAGATAGTGTAGGAAGCGGGATATACGTACCGTTATCACGTCTCATAGGGACTGCGTGAAGCGAAGAGTCCTTTCCATCCCAGCTCCCAGAGCCTCTGCCTGCGACTTGGAAAGTGTGGCCGTGAAGATGCATAGGGTGAGGGTATGGCTGCGGATTTTCCATGTAAATTTGCACTACTTCACCCTTCTTGAGGAATTGAGGCACTGCACCAGGACCATAAGTAGAGGCTTGAAAAGCGGCTTCGCCGGTCGTCAACGCAGTGAAAAGAGCAGGGACTTTTGGCGTAACAAAGGGCTCGTCTCCAATGGCAATTCGTGTTCCAATTCCTGGGAAGTAGGTCTGGTTCGCGACAAAGTGTACTTTGTTGGTTGGGTTTGTTAAAAGCTTGAGGCCGTCTAGCGGTACAAGGTCGAAGTCGTCCAGAACAGCATTCGGTGACCAGTTATGATCCAGAGACCTTGATGATGGGTATGAATCTCGCTTGAAGTTGAACGAACCTCCCCTGGACCTACCGATAATCGTCATACGATCGAGTGGAGGCGGAGGTCCGGTAAGCATATCGGTCGACATCTTGACAATGTATTCGGGGGCTTGCTGCGTGTCATTGTGCCCAGTAACCACAACATCATAAGTTTGGCCTGCACAGATATTGATGGAGTCCGTGTCTGTAGCCTTGACGGGTATACCGTCCACTGCGACTACGCTGAGTGTCTGTCCATCGATATGGAAAACTACATTTGACGTGTGAGTACACCGATCACGAGGAAAGATTTAGAAATTCAACTGCAATGCATGGGGCAAAACTTACAACCACATGTCAAAGCTGAAAGACTAACGATCCGCAGCAAATATCGCTTGTTTGGCTCAAAGTCGAAGTCAAGCGCTTTCGTAGATTCGTTGAAGAGGAAAGAGTTGGGTATCGGAATATGCCCATCGCGATTGTTGACGTTCATGTAGTCATCTCTGAGGAGGTAAGGAATTTGCTCGTGATACCAATCTCCCATTGAGAGATATATCTGTTTGTCGACCTTCAAGCTACTCTCCCACGCCTGGTCATGGATGACCATCTTGCCTCTCAATCCGTCTGCGTACTGACCAGCCTATAAGCTCGTTAGTTGGTGAAATCTCAAATGGAACGTTGGATCGAGATTCATACATCGTGACTGTGATACCAGTGAGTACCAGCAGGGTTGGCCTGGAAGGTGTATGTGAAAGAGCCTCCCGGCGCAATGGGACACTGCGTAACTCCAACAGGTCCATCGTATGGAGCTGTCCCAACCTGGTACATGCCATGGAAATGGAGAGAGGTCGTCTGGTTTCCGAGATTGTTCGTCGCCTTCACGACAATGGTGTCCCCCTCGTCGGCTTCGATGGTAGGAATCGGCCATTGGCCATTGATGCCGATGACCGGTCTGGAGACGCCATCAGGAGCAGCCGAGACCCAGCCAATGTTGAAGTCGTAAGTGACTGTTTTTGCCAGTGACAAGGCAGAGAAAAGCCCCGCAAGGACGAGTGACTGGAACATGGCAGGCGAAGTTATTTAAGGAAACCCCAGCAAGTGTTTGGCAATGATGATAAATAAAAGGGCAGCGAGGATGTAGAATTATATATACATTGTGTCATATGCATCTCGTATACAAGTGGCAATATCATGGTCTACCGCGCGCGCTGACCGCCGTGGAGACACGGTGATGCTTAGGCGCTCTCACAATCTGCAAATGGTATATTTGTGGATGAGGCGGCGCAAGTGCCATAGACGCCAGAGGCTTGTCTTGAAAGCGGCGCTGATCTGCCTATTCTGGGTAATTGTGGCTCGGTGTACCTAGAGCGACTAAATTAGTATAATATGCGTCTACTGCGCTGACAAGTCTCCAAAATGATCAATGAAGAAGTGATAGAATCAGGGCAGATAGTTTACAGTCTAGCGTGATGCACGTTTTTGTACAGACACCTGGTGTCTGACTTAGTGTCGTTTAGACTGACTGCTAGCTGCTCGATGCGGATCGGAAGTTGGGGAAAGCTAGGCTACATGAGACTGGTAGTGCACCTTTCCATGACGATGCGTCTTTTGATCTGCACACAAGAAGCTAACATGTCTACCAGGAACAATTGGCACGGTGCTGTGCAGCTACACTGATTTGTAGATGTTTTCCAGGGGCTACTGTAAGAACTGACAGGTTTCGCATAGTCACTGCTTACATGGTACCGTGGAACACTGACGAGACCCGCTTCACTTGTGAGCAGAAGCATGCTATCTTCATATGGAACAATGACTCAAAAGTCTTGTCCATGAGATCGACATGGTTGCCGAAACGATCTCCTTCTGGACCATCTGTGGTTCCCATGTTCGAACGCAACGAACCACCTCTACCCGTGTGCAGTGGCAGTTTTCCAAACAACCACGATGAGCAACGGGAATAAACAACCCCATATTTGGAATCATTTTGAAAACCAGTAAAAGCCTAACCCATACTTTTCGTGCGGTATAATCAAGCCTTTTGGCGTGTTGACTTACTCCAACGGCTCACCATACCCGCATAATCACGCACAGAAACTGCTAATTCGCAACTATTGACGGCGCACGGGAGTCTTCATTTCCGTCGCGCGCGCTCCGAGGACGCAGTACGTGCATCAGGTTTCCATTGCGAATACCGCGCTCGCAAGTTCTGGTTGCCAAACCTCCATGTGGAGGACAGACTACCTGGAGAACTAACGACAACACACCTGTGATAAGCTATGGCTTCGGAAAATGTTCCCGATATGCAATATAACCTGAAACGCATCTATTGCATCAGAGAATTACCATAAAATTCTCGATGTCCATATCTTCAAAAGGCAGAATAGCATTGCAGGGAAGCACAGCTGAAAACCCCCAAAATTCTGACGTACCGAATACCAGTACAAGTTCATAGCACGTTTCAGGGAATCCGCGTGCTGGTAGACTAAGTAGAACTAAAGGCTACGAACCACGATTCGATCTGATCTCACGGACAGAGGATTCTGGACCAATCACCTTAGTCTTGCATACGCTAGTTCTACCAACATGCAACGACCCGACGACACCGGACCGATACATACCTTTCTCTTTTGGTCAGCATTCACGTTTCATGTGACAGCCTAGAGCTATTGTTAAGAGTACATATGCAGCCAGCTACGCCACTACACTTGTCAGGTTGGCATCCGTTTTCTCAGCTCCTCGCTGACAGGCAGCGCCATGCCCATCGTCTGTGGCGGTGTTCCAAAGAATGTCTATTCCTGTGATGAGGATAGGATCGAAGCCTCTGAGGTAAACAGGAAAGAAAATGCCTCGGAAAAGCAGTTTGCCGTGGACTAGGTGGCAGGATAGCCATCATAGTCTTGTCCACATGTCAGTTCTCCACCCTCAAGTCCACCCTATGCCTCCGAGACTCACTGCCGCTCCGCCACAGCAAGCCTCCCATCTCAAGCTGTCAGAGGTGTGGCTCTCCGATCATCTGTTTTTGGAGAAACCTGTTTTACCTGACAGAACAGAAGACACTCGAAATAGATAATCCTGTTTTCACCACACATGCGCCGGATCTAGTGATTGCAATGCTCTCATCTTAACGGATACAACGCAACTGACTCGACCACGACGGACCAAAGGTTATTTAAATGAAAGAAATGTATTACTTTGCCAGCCTGCGTCAGCCACTTGGCTATCTATATCGACATGTCGCGCACAGCAGACTGCTCTCGCCATGTGCCTATCATGGATTTCACTTGGGAGGATTGAATCTCCGGTAGGTAGTTATCAACCTACTGACAGGCTCAGATGAACCGGAATCAACTTTATCTTATCAACTGAAGAACCGAATAAACGACGAACAAGATGAGCGAACAACCGCTGTACATCAAGCACACCATCACAAACATCACGAATGAGAAAAATAACTTTCACAGGAATCTTCATTGATTTCAAGTTCACTTCAATTCATCACACCCACCTCCAAGGTCTATACTCCCTTCCGTGCCCCTCTTCCTCCCTCCTCACCCCCTGCAAAATAATAACATCCTCCTCGCTATCCCCACTATCCCCCACCGCACTACCATCCTCATGCCGTTGATAACCACGCTGCTCATTCTGCTGCGTCTCGATCCTACCCCTCATAAGCCTCGCAACGCTAACCCTCGAGTGTTTCCGAAAGATTCGCGGTGGCGCCTCTAGATTATCGTGCACCGTAGCCCGCGGATCCCCAGTACCAGCACCGCCAGCGTCAGCGCCAGCGCCACCACCGCTCTCCCGCCAGCTTCTCACCTCGAACCCTTTCGTCTTCAGAATCCCGTTCATGTCACCAACTGGATATCCTTTCCCTTCCTCTATTTCTCGTAACCCCACGCTCCCCGCGCTCTCCCTCTCCTTGCCCCTCACTGTGAATGAAGAGCCGGATAGTATGGATCCTGACCTCGAAAACCCGTGTTTATGGCTATACTTTCTCGAACCCACTCCTCTGCTTAGTCGTATACTCTCTCCTCTACTCCCACTAGCATCGGAATCGCCGTTGCGGTTCTGGCTAGAGATGGGGCCAAAGATATTGGGGAGGAGGAAGGAGAGGAGGGGTTTGCAGCTTGGGAGACAGCCGCAGGCGATTCCGAGGCTGGATTCTAGGGCGCAGATTATGAGGAGGAGTGCGCCGTTCCCTATAGTATGGTAGGTTAGTGCATGGGATCGTGGAGTGGGAAGAGAAGGGGAATGCGGATGGGGATGGGGCAGGGCTTACAAAAGGTGTCGAAATCTGTGAGGTAGAGATGGGTGTAGTAGACTCGGGCTAGTCCTACTATGCAGATACTGTGGAGTGGAATGTTAGCTAACAGGAGAGACATCCGTGCACTGGTGGACACGGTTGAAAGTGTGTACTTACATGACACCGAAAGAGAACATGGTGATTAGAGTGAAGCGCTGCCGAAAAGATATTTTGACGTTGCTCAGTTCTTTGGCGGGCCACAGGAAGATTAGAAAGTCGCTGAGTGTGTTTTGTCCAGTGTAGAAGTAGTAAATAGCCTTTACGTTGAGGCATTTGGCCGTCTTGTAGTACTTGAAGATCTGCCAATATGTTGCTGCTGGCCTGGGTTCACGTTGTGAGTATTTTACGCGCGCGGGATGGCAAAAGATCAGCTTACGAGCATTGGAATAAGACGAGCCAAAAGCATGCAAAGCTGAGAGTTATCGTGTAAGCTAGCATAAACCAGCAAAACCATTTGCTTAGTTTGGTGGGGAAGAGTCCTGGACTATTGTTAACATTGTGGTCTAATGATTTTGGTGTGCGCGACCAGTGTATCCGTACTCAAATAAGTAAACAGAATGGAGACTTTCGTCAAGGCTGCAACAACGTTGATCATAAGCTGCGATGCCATGCCCATCTGGGCCGATTTCATGACACCCATCAGCATTTTAAGTTCGATATCCCCTAAGATTTGTGAGCGATCTGGGAGCCGATGGCGCTGCGTGATAGTACTGACACATGTGATACCCCATTTTGTATTTTTTGTCCATGGAGATGATAATCATGACATTATTTCCGATTTGACAGAGCTGCGCGAGATAGTATCAGCCATTGATGCAAATATGGTAGACAGCGAGGTTGTGGGCAGAGAAATCCAAACTTACAGCCGCCAGCAGCATTATCCAATCATCCCACCAAAGCGCTTTCACTAACCGCGTCCGACTGTAGAATCTGCAGCAGATGAAAGACACAATGACGAATGACATGACAACATTGATTCCCATGGCCAGAGGCTGTTTTGTCTCAGGATCGACAAAATTCGGCTCCGGCCAAGAGAGTATCTCCGAACTTGTCGGAAACCTCGATGTCATGTCTGCTAAAGGATGCGCCGAGAGGCAATCCCCCGAAGGTGAATTGTAAAATTGCTGCGTTTGCGGCAGTAAAACCACAGAATTGGTACAAGCTAGGACTTGAGACAAGAGGAGCGGGTAGTCTGTGCTTAAGAGTCTGCATTATAGCCATCAAGAAGATGCTTACAGATGAGGCAGGGTAGATAAAACAAGGAGCGAAACGTGATGCATCACTACGCTCAGTCTCGTGGCAAAGTACATGGTTTCCTATCACGGCAGCAGTACCGATGCGTGGCTACTTGAAAGGGCCGCGAAAGTGTTACCCATGTAGGCTACCTATCTCAGAAACGCATGCTGGACGCCTGCGTTCGCGGGGGCAGAGCCCTTAATGGCAGGAACTGTTGATAACGTGCTAGTTGTGGGTAGCCAGAGGTGCCTCTTTTTTTTTCAGGCAAGGACACATGCACCTAGTTCGGTACTTCGTTTAGCATAGTAGTGGGCATCTCGGTTTGGAGAAACTTCCATCATGCGCAAAAGTCACAGCTGTAGAAGTTGGAGGTGTCATCAAACCAATCAGCACATGCCTGACTCTTCACTAATGGTACTTATGGCCGGGATATTGCGATTATCAACAAGGAACAGGTCGATTATTACACTAGTGACAGTAGACAAGGGAGCATGGTAGTGGGATGCCAAGCATGGAGACAGTTCCTAAAGTAGCAGGACGTTTGTAGAAGATTGATAGATTTCAGCTCCTAGCTTGCTCTGTTGGAGATAGGAAGCGAAAGGCGGGGTCATCGCGTGGGTGAACGGCAAGCGGCGCGGCCCATCGTCCAGTATAACGAACTTTTCGGAATCTTTGCCCAATCGCCTTTTCGTGGGAGACGAATTTGTGAAACGGGTGGCTGGAAGAGACGAGCATGCTGCATCTAGACCATGCGGCATGGTGTTCGTGAGGTGAGGTGCCTAACCAGAATGCCGCCGACCAACGCTCATATGACCTATAGGGCATCATTGGACGTCGCCGAATTCAATGTTTGGCAGGGGATAGAATATATTGATGCCGGGTATTGCCGCAAACACGCGAGGACCAACACCAAATGAACCTCTCTATGGATTTCGTCTTATCTGTAGGATGACAGCGTAATACCCATCTCACATCGTGCGATTCGTGGTGATCCAACATAATCATCGTAGCAGGCGAGCATGTTGTCTCGCTAGTCGGGTCAATAAATCGGCATGGGAAAGAAACTGCATACCCAAAGGCGCCATGTAAATTCTCAAACAAAACGCCTCCGCGAAGCAGATAGATTAATCGTTTGCCGAACCCTGATGCTATGTCGCTCATGTCGAGTCGTTTCGTATTCTCATCTCAGGCTCCCAATTGCCCAAACTCCCGGTCGATATCCTAAAGTGCTGGCACTATGCACTACTCCTGAATACAACACTACCGCCATGTCGCCATCTGATGGTTTCTCGTGCAGCCATGACATGCAGGGCCCGGCCTAGTGCCTGTTCCGAATATCCCTTGCCATCCACCATTTCGCGTTTCAGTGTGGATAAGTTGACTTGCCAGCCAATAGGCATACGCCGTCGGAGCTCTTCTTCGACTTTGTTGACTTCGTCCATGAGCTCTTTGGAGGCTTGGCCTTCACCTTGGTTCACAGCATCCATGGTTGATGCGAGGAATAGCCGGATGGCTTCGTCTACATGTGCTTCCGTGGCGATGGGCGATAAGGAGAGCTTGGCAAGAGACTCTGTGATGCGAATGATGGCTTCAAGTTGACGCACCGTGATAGGAATCGAAGACCTCTGGTTCGCATTCATCTCCGACGCATGTACTTGTCGCCGAATGCTCACAAAATGCGAGCTTAATTTCTCCGCCGACTCAGGCGACAGGCGTGGGGCACACCGCTGTCTGCAGTAGGTCACGTAGCGCTTCATCTTCTCAATGGGTATCTCGGCCTGCACCGTTTCCTCGACACCGTGTCCACCCATTGCAATGTTCATTACGTGTTTTGCGATTCGTTCGTCTCGTCCTCGCTCATGTTCGTCGCGCACAATGAAGATCATGTCAAAACGAGACAAGATGGTGGTTTGGAAATCGATGTTCTCGCCAGGCGTCTTCATATCATCGTAGCGTCCGAAAATGGGATTGGCAGCTGCAAGGACCGACGTCCGCGAATTGAGAATGGTTGTAATTCCTGCTTTGGCGATGGAGATGGTTTGTTGTTCCATGGCTTCGTGGATAGCGACCCGGTCCTCGTCTCGCATCTTGTCAAACTCATCAATGCAGACTACACCCCCGTCGGCAAGCACCATCGCGCCTCCTTCCAGATAAAACTCCCGTGTGTTGTGGTCGCGCTGCACAGATGCAGTCAAACCGGCTGCAGACGATCCCTTTCCAGATGTATAGACGGATATTGGAGCGGCCTTCTCTACAAACTTGAGCAATTGGGATTTGGCTGTACCAGGATCACCTAGCAGTAAAACATTGATGTCTCCACGCAGCTTCATTCCATCGGGTAGGATCTTCTTGGAGCCACCCATTAACAGACACGCAATCGCTTTCTTGATATCCTTGTTGCCGTAGATGGAAGGCGCTATGCAGTTCGCAAAGACCTCGTAAATGTCAGGTCGTCGGCTCATTTCGAGAAATTCCTGTTCCTCCTCTTCTGTGAAAGTGGCATTACCCTTGGTAGTGTGATCGACATCAGCGTGGATACCTACAGCGCGGATATATGGATTACGGATAGCGACGGCTGCATTTCCAGATCGCTTGGAGCCTTTTGCCTGGTAGATTGAGAAAATGCCCATTACAGTGCAACGTGTACCGGGGACAACGCGATTCGCCAGATATCGGTCAGCCGAGACCATGATGTGACGCGGCAATTCTCCCACAGGCACCTGATCAGGAGCCTCTTGCATCTTGAGGACTTGCTGATCAATGAACTGGCAGCGTTCGTGCATGACATAGTATGGATCCAGGGGGCATTTCTCCGAGTTGTCGCCTTCTGCTCTTGCGCCGCTGCATGTTCGCGGGAGCGAGACACCTGAAAACCCTCCCGAAACAGGCAGAACCTCTTCGTGTTGGCAGTTTCGACATCGGATGGCAAGAGCTGTGGATTTTGAGGATAGAGTGGAGGCACCGATGATGATGCCAGGTATTCTGACCAAGCGCGAGACGCTGGCGGCTGTGAGATCGCGAATGGAGAGCTCGGACGCGGCCGAGTGCAAGAGCAGCTGGTGCTCTGGAAGTTTGATTGTGCGTTGTGAGGGATAGACGATGCGTTGTGTGCATATCTTGAGGGCGGCTTCGAACTAATAAGGCAGTGGTTAGGGCTAATGGAGGTAGAGATACGAGACAATGTCATGGAAGCCTACCAGGGGAATGATGTCTGCCGGGTCTTGAGAAAGCTTGTGGGCTAGCTCCTCGTCGTATGAGATGAGATGGGCAATGTCGATGTCGCAATAATATTGCTTGACCAGCACATTCTCCCGGATCTGGTCTCTGTAGATGAAGACATTGTCCAGGTGGAAGTCCATGACAAAGTCGACGAGGGCCTGCTGCACACGGGACGGGGAGCCGCCATCCTGGTGATCGTCGCCAGCCTGGGTGCCGAACAGGCTGACGGTATATGCAGACTGTCTGTCAGCCATTCCTTGGGTGTTGGCTGGTTGTGGGTATGGATTTGATTGTTTGTTTGTTTGTGGGATTGGGGGGAGGGGAGGTGGAGAAGAGAAGCGCGGGGGGGTTGATGAGGAAACAGACGCGAGATCGCGCCTTCTTTCTCCAGGGACGCGTCCCTCGCGCTTCCCTCATTAATTTTTCGGTTTCAATTAAGCGGCCTATTTGGGTCTAGCTCGGTTGTACTCTGGCAATGCCTACTACCTGCTTGAGTACTCACCCACCCGGAGACATCAATTGATTGATCACCCATGCACGGGAGAAATCATCTATAGCATATTGTAATCGTTTTCTATTCCGCTTGCAACTGATATCTGGTTAAGAATATGTCATTCTATACAAACAGCGAGCCTGAAGCTTGGTATCTGTCCTCTTATTGCATGCATATGATTCGCCAAGCACGCAGTTCACGGCTAAGTAATCATCATGTATCCTATCATTCCACGACGTCCACAGCCACTCGAACATCGAGCTTCAAGCAGCAACACAATTGCATACGTACCCGTACATCTCCTCATCGTCTTTTACCGCCGACTCTGATTCTGGTCCCTCCCAAATGTCATAGCCTCAGCCACGGCTTTGTCCGTCCGCCGCCCGTTATCCATCTATCCCTATTCCCCGTGTCCCGCTGTCCATTGATGTCTATGCCTCGTCCACCTCCGCTTCCTCCGCCGCCGTCGCCGAAATGTCCAGCTCTCCTCAGCCCTCCATCGACAGCTTCGAATTCAACTCCCCCAATCCTCCCCAATTTCCTTTCCCCCACCAGCATGACTGGACCACCCGTCCCAACTCCACCGGCGGTGGTCGCCATCCAGCCCGTCGCGGGTCGACAGCAAGCTCTATACATTCGGTCGGAGGCGCTTTGGATACCGCCTTCAAGACCAGCAGCAATCCCGGCATGGCACCGCTGACAGAGCAGAACCGCAATGCCATCTCCACCCTCTTGCAACCGCCCATCGTTCGCACCGGCATGCTGCCCCACACCGCCGCAACCGCCATGGCCAGCAGTCATCGCCCACCCTCTACCAAAGACATCCCACCCGTCACCCTCGCGAACGTCTCCCACGTCGAACCTTCTGCTTTCAATCCCTACCTTTCCCAGGTCGGGAACCTGTACGAAGCTTTCCAGCGCGCAAAGGCCGAAGCCGAAGAAGTCGCGTCCATATTGAGGAAGGATTCCACCAAGAAAGATGACCTTTCCGATATATTGGAACGTGGCATCAAAGCTGCATCGCCTGCTGCAACCCCACACTCGGCCTCCTCCTCGCCCAAACCGAAGCGACGTGTCAGCGGATCCAAGCGCACGCTTCCCCTTGTCACTCCTCTTTCAACGATACCCAACGTTTACTTCGACGAAAGTTTCCACCTCGAAAACCCACGCACCTTTGACATTGTGAGCGAACGATCCGAAGTTGTGCGACCAATTCGAACCAAAAGCGGGGACGGAATCAACGCAGACAATGCATCGGCGGAGCCCATTCAAGCGCCCGGGCGGAAAGCACTGGCAACAAACGCCATTTTGCAAGAAAAGCTGTCGTGGTACATGGATACAGTCGAGGTGCACCTGATTTCCTCCATATCTACCGCATCAACATCCTTTTTTGCTGCTTTGGGTTCTTTGCGCGAACTTCAGTCGGAAGCCTCCGAGTCGGTGACGAGGATTACAACCGTACGAGATGATTTGAAGCGCCTGGATGAACAAATGGCTGTAGGAGGTCTTAAAATCATCGAGATGAAGAAACGCCGAGAGAACATTCGTAAATTAACGGATGCTACAGACCAGCTGCGGGCTGTGGTCGTAGGTCTGTCGCATTGCGATGAAATCGTCGACAAAGGCGAACTGGATACAGGAATAGCGCGGCTGGAGGCAATGGAAAAGCTCATCTTCGGGACCCTAGATGTATCTGACCCGGCCTCGACGTCCTGGATACAGACGCGGTGCCCACCCACTCTTATCGATCTTCACAATCTGAATGCTTTGGACGGTGTGGCTGAGGGCATGCAGCAACTCAAGTTTCGCATTGGTAGAGGATTCGAGGCTCGCTTTCTCAATACCCTTCTCACGGACTTGCGTGATCATATCAAAAATGTATCAAGCCATGACACTCTGCAAAGATGGGTCACAGCTTCACAGCGTGCGCGTGGAGATCATCAACGGCTCAAGTCGATATTGCCGGCCTATCTCTCTACCAGCAACGATTTCCGGGCGAGATTGCGAGCCAGCTTGACGGGTTTGAGCAGTTCGAGCTTTACCAATCAAGCAAGTGCAACGTTCCGAGATGCAGTTGTACGAGAAATGAAAATCATTATTCGAAAATACCTCCCCAGCTCTACAGACGATGATGCCGAATCCATGACGTCTGTTTCAACCAGAAGCGGTCGAGGGTATAGTCAACAAGACAAGAACTCGATACTGGCTCGTAACTTGCGAGCAATGGACCCTGCAGATGCCGAAGAGTTCTTCACCAACATTTTCACTGACATTGGCGAGGCCATCCGACGGCTGAGCATGCAAGTAAAAGTGCTCTTGGATGTTACTAGTGGCGTGATTAGCTCCCCGCCTCTGTCCGGTGGTGGTTGGCGTTCTCCACCGAGAAGTCCTTTTATGATGCCCAGTATCGACGCAGTCGGTGCTGGTGCCAACAGCCCGTTCCCGAACGGTTTACAAGAAGAATTGATGCAAGCTTTGGACATGTCTAGCCTTCTCGGGCAGGCTGTTGATGCTGCTCAAACCCAAGTTACCAAACTGCTCAAGGTCCGTTCAGAAGCCACCACTCAGCTCCCGCTCGACCGATTTCTTCGTTACTTCCGTCTGTGTCGCATGTTTGCGGATGAATGCGAAGCAGTCTCTGGACGCTCTGGTGCTGCTTTGAAGGGCGTTGTCAACACACACATTACAGACTTCGTCTCCAGGTTTGGCGATATCGAAAAACAAGAGCTTACCACGGCCATGGACTCGGATCGATGGGAGCCGAAGCACTTTGACGGGCATGATGCAGAAGTGCTTGCCAGGATACTGGCAGGCATGACATCTGATCCAACCGAGTGGGTGCAGACGGGATCTGTCCTAGGCGAGTCGAAGGACGATTCCAACTCCAATGGTACAACGCAAACCAACGGAACTTCGACAGAGACAGAGAGGGCCAAGAACCCTGCGCCAGCCATGATTGACGAGGAAAGATACATCATCTCAAACTCATCAACGGTGGTGCTGCGTGGAATCGAGCGCTTCGAGATTCTTTTGACTGTTATGCCTAGCATGACATCGGAAGTTTCGGCGTCACTTTGCGAATATATCAAAATGTTCAACTCTCGATTGTGCCAGCTTATCCTCGGCGCGGGTGCAATGCACAGCGCTGGATTGAAAAACATCAACACTAAACATCTCGCAATAGCCTCTCAGACGCTTTCGTTCATCATTGCCATACTTCCCTACATCCGCGAGTGCGCAAGGCGTCACGCGTCGGGCAACAAGCCGGCGCTCGGGGAGTTCGACAATGTAAAGCGACTGCTTCAGGACCAACAAGTGTCGATACATGAGAAACTCATTGATATTATGAGCAATCGTGCCACAATTCACGTTCGCAATCTCAGGAAAATAGAATGGGATAGTGAATCTGAGGTGAACAAGGACGTCAGCCCTAACATGGAAACGCTCACCAAGGAAACATTCACGCTTCACAAGGTAATCAACAAGTACCTGCACGAGACCCAAGTGCGTATGATTATGGAACCCGTCTTTGAAAGTTATCGCGAGCAGATTGGCAAAGTATTCAAAGAGGCGACTGTCAAGACGGGTCCCGGAAAGCAAAGGTATGTACATGCACTCAGCAAGCCACCATGACGATGCTAAAGGAAGCAGAATTCTCCGCGACGCAAAGCTCTTTGACGCGAAGCTCGGACACATTGACGGCGCGGGCAACACTGGCGGTCACCTAATCCAGCTCGTGGAGGCCAAGGTAGTAACGACGCCCGAGCCAGGGGGGAACAAGAGTGAGGAGAAAGCGGACGAAACAGCAAAGGGCGAGAAGGGACCGGAATCTGCATGAAACAAATACGGCATGCAAGTGCACATGTCATTTCGAGCTATGCGCCAGGGCCGAAACCCTATGGCGCCAATCGCGCGAATCTGTTGGACAGAATCCCGGATCGCTCTCCCTGGCAGTTTTATGTACATATATCCAAACATGTAATGAATATTTCGAGCGCAGTCGGGCCCCGGGGAGTAGCACAGGGTGGTTCGGGAAGGGTTGGAATGGAATAGAGCATACATGCACACATTCACGCATGTACTGAATTTGTTGCTAATCGGTGACTACTGGATGGAGTATGTATATGGCGCCATTTTTTCTGATGTCGTTGTAGCACACGAGAATGGGCGCGGTGCCAAATCATGTTTTGGCAGGCGGCACCCGCGCTAGATCCGTCTCCATTCGGCCAGAGGAGGCAGCCACCACCGGCACTGCAATCTGTCCGTGATTACCAAGCAACGGTGAAAAAGGACATGTTCCAGTCTCATCTCTTTTCCATTCTCCATCATCCCTTTGGTATGTGTGTTGTGGACGGTGAAGAATGGCTGCTGTGCTACCTCGTATGTATATACGACGTCCACATCGGTCAGTGCCCTGCTTCGGGCCTAAAGCACAGTATCAACCCATACAGCACTCATCCAGGCCGCCGCCAGGGTTGCTTTCCATCCGAATCTCCATTGCAATCACCCTCGGTCAGCTCAGGGCCCCCGAGTAGGCATACAATTCTGTCCAGCACCCGTCTGACGTCTTTCGGAAACCACAGAAACCCCACGCCGACACGGTAACGTACAGAGAGACACAAGACATCCCACTCTTCTAGCATTCATCCAACCGTTGTCCGTTGGGTATCTCTTCCGAGCCAATACTTGCGTTCTCTTCCATCCCCCCGCATGGTCACCATAGAGCACAAGTGTCAGCTCCAGCTCGTGTATAGTAAGACAGCAGACGCCTGCCGTAAATCCACGGACTGGTACCTCGCTCTTTTCTAGGCCGGCCGATGCCGAAAGCCTAGTCCCTCAGTCTACCTGCCCGCAACCTCGGTGTCCAAGCGTCGTCAACTGGTGTCACCACTACGTACTGGCAGGGGTCGACGCATGACCTTGGATGTTGTACCTGACAAAATGACGGGCACTCACAGCATGCATAATGGCTCACGCACCGGAATCTATTGCGGCGATCCGAATCATGCTATGTGACGAAACACACGCAGGAAGAGACGGACCAGCTCGCGTAGGGACAATATCATCTCACCAATTGCATGTGACGACGAAACGCGGGGAACCGGTGAGGATGGTCAAGGGAAAAGCCCTGTTACGCCGTGGAATGCAGAGAGAATGAATTGGCATTGCTGCTTTCGACGAAGTACCTGGGTGACTGGGGGGGTGCTTCTAGGCATGTGCTGCTGGTTTCCAATCGAAACAATGGAATACGTGTGGATTGATTGCTGCTGCTGCGGATCGCGATTAGAATGGCTTAGCCAGTTACTGCCCTTGGTTTGGTTACCGTCTTATCACTTTGCAGCTCGGTCGTGAAAGCGCAAGGGCCTCGAGGAGCAAGTCCATCACGGTGTTTGGCAGCTACGACATGTCTGCCTCTTTTGGAATTCCATATACAAGAGGTCCTTGAAAGATGAAGTATAAGTACAAGTATCCCAAACACCCGACACTTCACTGATCCATTAACAGCAAATCTCTCAATTGCCAGCTCTTTCCCTCGGCATTCACAGCTTCCTTTTACAACTCGATTCACATACGTATCCTACAAATATGACTATCGCTCATTACATCCTCTCAAGCAATGCTGCTTATTCCAGGCATCGTACATCCATCATGAATACCCATGTTGATCTCCAAGCAACAACCCGCGATATCTCGACACCACCTGCCTCCAGCCTAGGCCAGAAAGGTGCTGACACCGAATCCAGCCGCTCTTCGTCGCCACCACATACACCTATTTCGAGTGGAGTACAGCATAACTCAGACGTGGGTCAGCGGTTCTGCGGTGGAAGCGGCGACAGCCCCAGTGGAGACCACAGCCCTCAGAGTAACGATGGATGTAGCAACAAGGGTGACAGTGAGTTGTCGGGTGTTCTTGAACTTGAGCATGCCAAATGGAAAAGACTTACCCCCATGCCAGAGAGTCCTTAACTTGATCGATGTTTGGCATTGCTCTACCGAAAAAGAGCTTTTCAGTCCATTCATCTTCTTCTCATTTCAAGGGCGAATGGCTTCTTCGCGATGATAACAACGGAAATCATGGCGGCAAATGTTTTGTTCTACAGTGGCTCCATTCTTTGGGAATGAGCTCCCGGCGGCCTTTGTTTACGCGTTTAGCATCGTTTAATTCATCTGCAATTCATCGGACATTGATCCCCGACACCGATCATGAACGCGCTTACTTGTACCTCCTTGCCTGCCTGCCTGCAATTGAGCTGTGACACAAACACAGCAAGAACGAGCCAAGGAGATGACCCTGGCACAGCCCATCCCTTTCGGCATCTATTTCCTGTCGGAATACAGTGCAATGGAGTGCGCTCGTTGGCTGACCAATCCTTCCCCAGGAAATGCTGATGATTAGCCATCCATCCGTTCAACGTGATCGATCTTTTCCAAATGCTTGCTCACTTTTGAACCACGGCATATTCATGCTGGAGACGTTGTTTACTACGTGTTGGCGGTGTTTCTCGCCATTCCTCGTGAGGCAGTTGGACATGTCGAGGTTAGTGCCCAGCACCCTTTTTCCATTACGAGGCTACTTGTCTGCGATGCCTCACATTAACAGCACGTGACTGTCAACTTAAATGACCAAACTATCGGAGTACACCAGAAGGTGTCTTATTTTTCCTCTCACTTTAGATATTCTACTGTGTCTCTCTTCGACGTCCCGGTCATCGGAAACGCGCTCATATATCCTTCAACTATCTACAAGCGAAAGTAAAAGGGAAAAGAATATGCATGCAGTGAATTAATGTTGATTGTATATAATGCAAGCAACCCTATTCGAGAAAAGAGAAGAGGAAAGCAAACGAAAGGAAAGGAATTTACCCCATCCCCGCAAATACATCCGAACTCATCAAGAAGACAACAACACTGACACCTGCAGCAACCCACACCGGCTTCAGCGAGCCCAGTATCGCAGGGGGAGCGGCAGCGCTATCCTTGTCATCGCCGCCTTCGCCGCCTCCCTCGCCGTCACCACTGCTACTCGCTCCACTTCCGCCCGCCTGTACCCTCTTGGTAAAAGACCCAGGGACGCACGCAGCTTCATCGAGCTGACCCTTGTTCCCAAACGCAACCTTGGACGCTTTGCTCCACACTTTCGCGGGGTCGACATACATGCTGGGCTCGAAATAGAACCTGCAGTTTGCGGTATCGTTCATAAACTGTGTCGCGACACCATCCTTCTCCAGCCCTTTACGGATGTTGTCTTGGAAGTTTACAGAGGCGTCCGCGGTCGCGATGGCGAAGGGTTGGGGTAAGAAGTCGAGCCAGGACTTTGCGTTAGGGTCTGTGCTGCCGTAGGCTGCGATGATATATGCGGAGACGGCCATGAGATATGATTCTTGGAGGACTAGGGAACCTTTTGTGCCGCCGACGGATTGCATGGGGCCTGATTGGGGACGGCCGCCTACAGCAAGGGTGCGGACTGTGGCTTGTTGGGACATTAGTTCTATGAAGAGGGAGCAGGTGGATGCGCAGATGCCGTCGGAGAGGATGTAGATGTCGTCTGCGCTGAAAGGGTCGGTGGTGAAGTTTGAGCGCGATCCGAAGCCTGTCATTTCTACACCCACAGAGAAGCGGTCGGAGCTTGTTGTGAAGGGGTCCGAGAGGTTGTAGCGGAGGAGGTCGGTGAAGGAGTCGTCGTTGTGCTTGTTGGGCGGGTACATGTTGGACCAGGATGTGAAAGCTTCGTTGTCCTTGTTGAGGTAAGAGTGGTAGTTGAAGGGGGAAGTATATAGTTCGCCGTTTTCGTCAGTCATTCGGGGAAGGGAGGAGATCTTCTCGCCAAAGAGTTCGGACGCTTTGTGCCCTCGGAAGCGGGACATGAGTTGCGGCTTCTTGGAGGGGAAGAATTGGAGATAGGTGTCGTAGCCCAGGAGGATCTTGCCGCCGCCGTTAGTCCGCACATCGATGATGTGTTTGGTCACTTTTTGCGACTGTGCGGCTGCGATGTAGTCTTGGACTATGGTCTGGAATTCCCGAGCAGATTCGGCGGTTTCGGTGTTGAAGGTTTGGATCACCAGCACGCCTACTTTACCTGTCCCTTCGGGTCCGTCGATGAAGACGCCGGCGAGGGGCACGTCTTCCGCCGAGTGCTGCACAACAACCTCCTTGGGGTACCCAGATGGAAGGAAGCGCCGCGTGAGCTCCGGTTCTCGCGGGTTCTGCAATTGATGGGGAATGCTATCCAAATCGGTCCTTTTCTTCTTAATACCCAGGTCGAACTTTGGAATGATGAACTCATCGTAGGCGTCCTCGCCATTTTGTATGGAGCCCCAATTGTCCGGGTCCTGGATGGAAGCGGTATTCGGGTAAGTATTGGAAGTCCCGTTCTCGAACTCAATTTTGGTGTCTTTGCCCGGGTAGAATCTTGGGTTGGCAAAATAACCATAGTTTTCAGCAGGCTGCATATAAAACATGGCATTGTACTGCGTGTCCGGATCGTGATAGGAGCTGAGCTCGCCCTCTTGGCGCAAAAACTCCAGAGGCTCCTTGCCGTCGATGGACTTGACCGCGGAACGAGCAATGTTTGCGTCAGAAGTGTGGTTGAAGTCATGAACCACGTAGACCTTGGGGACCTCTTTCCCATCCTGCGAGGCTGATATCAGTGTGATCTGTCTACTCCTCCGCCACTTGAACATCCCACCGAATGCTGCCCCGACAAAAGAAAGATGCCCGTCATGAGCCTTGACGAGCAGGGAAGAGATGTCGGTTTCAAAGTCGTATTCTCCGGCGTATTCGTTGCCCGACACTTTCTTCTCAATGTCTTCGAGACCGGCTATGATATCCACCTTTTCGTTCCAGTATCCCTTCGGTGGGTTCTTCAGAAATGACAGGGTCGATTGGAATTGCATCATCTGCTTCAACGACGTGATGCTCTGCGACGCTTCATCTTTGAATATCGGTATCGATGAAAGGCATGCATGTGCAAGCTCAGCATCGACGCTGATACTGGATGACCTGGTCGTGCCAATGAGTTCGGATATCGTCCCACATGCTACTTTAGTATCAATGGGACCAGATGCAGACTGCGTTTCTGTAGGTTGCGCATCATCTGCTAACGAACTCGTTCTCGAGGAGGAGAAACTCTGTGCTGACACGGCAGCTATCGCGGCCGAAATTATTAATGTCGACCTCATGACGACCACCTGGGATTATTATCGGGATACAGCCGAGCAGCTGGAGCGAGCGAATGGATGCCGGATGCTCGATGTGAAGGAGGACAGAAGGGATCGGCGAAGGGTGACGTGTCGGAGTATTACTATGACTTCTCTCGAATCATATCCAGCGGCGTAGGTACGGTCTTTCTTTCGTTTCCGTAACTCTATGGTGTTATGGCGACCGTTGGAAAACACGAAAGATTCTTGCAGGACGCAGCTGAGAAAGAAATGAACGAGCGAAGAAAAATCAATCAATCAATCACAACGAGAGAAAGGATGAAGACAACAGCAACAGCAGCAAAAAGTCCAACCCGGTCAGGAAAGAAGGGATCTTCAAGGCGTGCCGCGGGGAGGGGAGAAGGACTTGGTTTTAATGCCGGGAGTGTGCCGGAGCGAGCGTGCAAGCAAGCAAGCAGGCATGCACAAGTCAATAACGGACGGCAACCACCGCCAACAGTGCCAGTTGCCTGCTGTCTGGGCACAGTAAAGCAAAGGTAAGCGGTCTTTGGATTGCAGCAGCCCTGTTTCGAACGAGCAGTTGTGGCGCGGACGTTCTGGGCATCTGGTTCGCGCGCTGGGTAAATAGGAGACGGATTTGGCAGAAAGCGAGCCTCCCAATGGATCACGGCCGGGAGGCGCTTGGGCGTCGCGACAGCAATCCTTGTATCGGCTGATGTCTAATCACTGGCGGAGCTGATGGCATTGATTGATGTGCTGATGTGCATCCACCGTCGAAACGTAAGCCGTACCTGTGCCGCATTGCCCTGCCCTGTCTGGTTGGCGCCCCCATGCTGTCATGTATGTATGGGCTGGTGGAGTGTGATGGTAGTTGGAGTATCCACTGTGCAATACAAAGTTGGGATGGATGGGGTGGCGGAGGTTTCGCCCCATTGCTTTACGGTGGTTAGCCTGGCCCGTCCAGCTTACCTAATGCCCGAGCGACGTTACCTTACTACACCAACTGTCTATATGTCTGCCTGTACAACTTTTGCTTGCCGATTCTGCCGACCAATCGTCCCAACGCGATGGATGGGACAAAGTAGTACTCGAATAGTCCAAGCAAAAAAGCCAACCCCCAAACCGCCACACAAAGAACCCTTGAACCGACTCTGTGCGAACAAGCGTATGTATGTGTGTGTGCACGCACGCACAGTCACCCTACCTAACCCCATCACAGTACCAAAAAACAGAAAACCCAGACAAAAGGAACAGAAAATGCGATAAACCCCAAGACTGAACTGGGAAGTCCGGTCAAGAGTTCCTCCCAGCGCTCCCATTTCCAATTGGGGGCCAAAACTGAGTCTTGGTATCGCGATCCTATACCCTGACGCTTCCGCATACAAACATGCAAATAAACCAGTCTACAAGCCCCCTCTCACCTATGCTTTGTTTTGGAATCTTCGGAAAATCCTTCTCGCGTGCGCGCATAGCGTAGCGTTAGCGTACTAAGTTTACTTAACCTTACTACAGTACCCATACTAGATACGCGAAACAAGCTTTTTTTGGGGGAGGAGGGATTTCGGACTCCGGACATTGGAAGCCTCGTATACAACAACCAATTCATGTTCCAAGGATCCGCATTTGCATGTGCGTTGCATGTATTGCATTGACTGACTGACTGGGAACGATTTATCTCGGATGCTCTTTTTTGGTATGGGGGTTACGAGGGCGGTCTGGGAAGGATGGATCGATGGGCTAAGCTGAGATGTTGGTTGTTACCTGTTTGACTGGTTTTTGGTGAGAGTGTTGATGGGGATGGAATAGATAGATGGGGTTGGAAGATAAACAGTTCTTTCTTTATTTTTTAATTGGGGAATGCAGGATAGAGTGATACATACATGCATTTCATACATTGACAATATATATAAATATGCAGATGCAGATGCAGGTGTCGCATGCAGGTGTCGCACACACGCATGCATATACGCAGATACATGTATGCTTTGCCTGGTGTGCAGTGCCTTCTCTCACTCTTACACACACATAGACGCATAGTCTCGCGATGCTTATCCGATACTACCTAAAACGTCGACGCCACGTCTCAAGCTCTTTGGTCTTCAGCTGAAGAGGTGTTACATGATCCAAATCAAGTTGTTGCTCAGCCGATGGAATAGGAAAATGGGTGATGCTTCAAAACAAGGGCGAGATGGAGTTTGAGGAACAAAGGAGAGCTAAATGGCGTTGGCTACGTATATATGCGAGAAGATGGGGCATGGAGCACTTGTAATAATTGTTAATTCACATTCTTTCACGTATACATACACCTTTCGGTTACATATGGATCTATACATATATCATCTCTCCCCGCGACAAATGAACAGACAAAGGGCGTAACGTAAACGATCCAAGAAACCGTAAGGGAAAAATGGCATCTTTGTTTTCTTGATATATATGTACGATGAAGAGGATATGTTCGGCAAGCGTTTTCTCCCTTGATACAACACACACACAAACACACAGAGACAACAACACCCCTTGCCTCGCGGCCTCCAACCTAAACCTATCCAACCCGACTTGATTCCTCCCCCAGGGGTATCGCCACGTGAGTAAGAAAAAAAGGGAAAAAAGCCCAACAGAATGACAAAAAACATGAACAGCAACAGCAACTAAAGACAAGACAACCGGATTTGTACATGACGGATCGACAGTCGATAGCCAGCTTCACAGATACACACAGACAAACACTCATGGAAGGTAATGAAACCCTCTAGTGCTGGCGGAGCAAACCGTGCTCACGGTCGCGCTTGTGGTGCATGTGAGCGTGCGCGTGCTCGTGCCTGCGGACGTTGGACTTGGCCGACGCCGCGGGAGATCCCGCAGTGACGGTGACCTCGACTTCCTCCATGACCATGTGGTAGATGGCACCAGCGCTGGTGTACGTGGAGGTGCCCACGATCTTGGCCTTTGGCTCCTCGGCGGGGACAGCAGGCGCGTTGGTAGGGGCAGGGGCATCGAGAACATCGCTCTCCTTCTTGACACCGACGTCGGCCTCACCAGCCTTGCTGGGCTTGGGAGGAGCAATGGGGGTGTAGCCGGCCGAAGATTTGCTGGACTTGGAGCTCGAGGATGCGGCGGCGGGTGCGGCCTTGGAGCTGGAGGATGAGGGGGCTGAAGAGGAGGCCTTGGTGTTGGCGACAGTGACACCGGCGGTGGTCTGGCTCTTTGCTTCCGAAAAGGAGAGAGTTGGGACCTGGGACGCGGGTGGGGATGCGATGGTGGGTTTGGCGGTGGGAGGCTCCGACTTTCCGGGGGTCAGGGAGCTGGCCATCTCGGGTCCGTACTGGATGTCTACGTTGCCGCAGATGCCCTTAGCGGGCTTGTTGCATGAGTCGTCCTTGAGCTGCTGGGGCTCCTTGAATTCGCACTTCTTGATCTTGTCCTCCTGGACGAGCGTGGGGGCGAAGATGGGGCAGTCCTGGAGGTTACCGGACATGTTGGTGCACTGGTCGACGGCGCTCTGGAGGAATTTGTTGTCCCAGCCGTTCTGGAAGTCACCGTGGTATCCGAAGCCAGTGGGGTCACCGTTGGACCAGACGAACTGGCCGTCCTTGCCGTTGAAGTTCTGGGTAAACCAGATCGTCTCGAAAAGGAGGGTAGGGAGACGCTGGTCGTATCCCTTGGGGCAGTTGCCGGTGTTGACCATATCGGGGTAGGCGACGTGGCTCTTGTGGTCCTCGGAGGTGGTCTTGCCGTTCCAGCAGGATGGGAAGACTTGATGATGGGGTTAGAACAGGTTGGTCCATGTCACGTGCGGGCGAATGACTTACAGAGCTCAGCACGAAGGCCGTTAGGGCAGTTGGCATCGAGGTAGGCCTTGTCGGGCAGGAAGTGACGGTACGCGGTAGGCTCGTTCTTTCCTGGGGCGTAATTCATGCAGTTCATTCCCACGGCCTTTTGGGCCAGAGCGTGCTGGGTCTTGTCCTTCTCTCCCCACGATGATTTCGGGGGGTCGGGAACGACACCAGTGAAGTTTCGCAAACGGTTGTCACCGGCGATCATCTGGAAACCATCGGGGAAAGCCTTGATATTCTTGCCTTCGAGCAAGTAGTATGCGAGCATGTGAGCTGCTTGTGGGACGGGCTCAGCGGTTCCGTTCTTGTAGACGAACACAAGACCGGGTGTCCTAAACATTCATTAGAGATGCATATGATGTGGCGCATATCAAGTCTATCTTACCAGTAAGCCGACTTATCCTCGGGGACCATGCACGAAGAACAATCCGAATCCCTCAAGTCTTCAAAGGTGGTGTCCATGCCGAAGTCTGTAACATGATTAGTCTTCACGTGTCATGCATGACGAGGAAGAAGAAGACTCACTGCCGCCTCCATGGATAGCGTGGGCGTGGGACGAAATCTCGCCGAAGTTGACAATGGGATCAATGCGAGCGTATCCAGTACGCTTGCACAACATGCGCCAGAAGGCATCAGCGGGGCTCGCGAGCAAGACAGCCGCCGTAAGGCTGGTAAGAGATGCGGTCTTCATATTGTCGCGACGGTACGTCTGTGGATGAATCTGAGGTTGGCAAGATGTCGAGTCGAAGAGCGAAAAGTAACGATGGCTTGTTCAGGGGGTATATCGATATTGCGATCAAGTTGCTAGAACTCTGTTCCTCTTTCGTCTCAAACGCTGGTATAGCACAGGCAGGGCGGTGGTTTTGCACGGGAAAAGGAGTGTGATGTCTTAGCCCTCGGAGCTTCGACGTTGCAGAATGGAAACGAATGTGAGTTTGGGTTAAGGTTGCAAACGAGCAAAAAAGAATGACAGGTTCAGCGCAAAAGCATCGAAAAAAGGACGAAAGAGGATGCGAGGGAGCTGAGGGCGAGGGGCGGGCAGTAATGTATAATGCAAGTGATTGCCCAAAGTTACCCCGAGTCCGACGACGATTCGGACACAGGGGTCGTGAAAGGAACGCTTTTCTGTTTAATGGGAATATGAAACTAAGACGGGGCCAGGGGGGTGGGCAAGGAGCATGGGCTCCCTTGTCCAGGGCAGGAAATGGATCACCAGGCAGCGGCCACTAAGAACAAGCAGAGGGCGGCGATGAAACGGAACGAACAAACAGTGGCGAGGGACCGGTTAGACGGATGGTATTACTACATGCATAGGTGAGTATATTCATCAGGCTGGTGTTGGAAGTTGAGCGCAATGGAAGAAGCTGGTCCATAGCGGGCGACAGCACAAGATTGAGCATAGCCAGAAACCGTCACTGGTCCATCACACTTGATCGCCAGGCGTCGACCCACCATGGCGTAGTCGTTGGATGGTGCGCCTTCGATCGCAATCTCCTACGCTCCCGGAATACTCATCGTCGAAGCTTGGCGACTTGGTTTGAACGGCGCATCGCATTGATACACCGGCCTCTCTCCACCGTAGTGGAACTGAGACGGGTAAGAGTCAAGACGGCGTCTGCCATGGCATTCTCTTGAATCTTGGAGGCAATTCCCCCCCCATCCATCCTCGCTGCTGGGCAAAGAAGCCGAGGGCGGGTGCTGCTGCGCCCGAGTAAGAAACCGCCATGGTGTTGGTACCTGGATTCATAGCTAGTTAGCTCGTTATTTTTAACATTCCGCACTTGCAAAGTCAAACCAGGTGGGCTAATCTTACAGTGACAGCGACGGTGCAGTGCATAGCCCGGCACGCGACGAGTAGGCGCCCAGCCTCGCGCTCCCCATATCTCCCGGGAAGCGTCAGAGGACGCGGGACTGGTCTGGAGAGTAATGAGAGGAGGAGGGGTGGTGGTGAGCGAGGCGTGAGGCGTGAGGCACAGCTGTCTCGGCCATGCATCTCAGAGGCGGCCATGTTGCACCTCCATCAGCTTCTCACATTCTCGCTCCCTCATGGATACGAAGTCGACCAGCCTCCAGGGACAGACAGAGACTGAGTGAACAATAATAGGTCGCGATACTGTTACAGGACGGACAAGGGGCGGCTTGGGTTAGACCCTGACGTGCGAGTGAGTGAGGGAGCGAGTCTGCATCTCGAGCGGCGGCGGCTAACACGCAGCGTCCAGCCAATCGCTGCATTTCCGAAGGCCGTGGCCGAGGTTGCCCAGCATCATGATTCCTTCGTTGTTTGCCTTGCCCGGATTCCTTCCATCGCTTCGGACTTGTATACCTTCTACCACCTTTCGTAAGGAATTGCCCGATCCCGCGTCGCTCTCGTTTCTTTCCTTCTTTTTTCGTTTTGAATGGAGATTGCTTTTCTCTCCAGTCACCCTACTTTCCATCCTCCTTGTACACCGACATTGGTTGAGTAATCTCCATAGACTCAGCCTCATCTCATCTCATTCTACACTGGTAGCCAATCTCCATGCATTAACCTACTTTCTCTCTCTCTCTCTCTCTTTCTCTCCCTCCCTCTTTCTCTCCCTCCCTCTCAAAGAGGTAAACAAAAAGTAGGTACTCGAATACCATACACATAGCTGACCTCATCCCAAGAACGGACAACAACTTTCATCTAAAAAGCACCCCTCCCAGCTTCAAAACAAATCATAGTGACCGACACCTTTTACTCGGTGCCATACCATTTACCTTCCCCATCCAGTAAACCAAAAAACCACCCGCGACATTCTAGAATCCTTCTGGAAAGTTTACTTTAGTTGGAAAGAGAGAGAAGATGAATGTCATCTTAAAAAAAATCTTTTTAGAAACCTTGCTGATTGCTCGGACTCCAAATTTTTGTTTTAATCTTTTGTGTTTCGTCTTCTGTTCAAGGTTGCATGGGACCGGAGAGTACGATCTACATGTTTGTTCGTTTGTTTGTTCAATGCGTCCATTCATTCATTCATTCATTCATCCATCTATTCGTTGGTTGAAATGACAATTCCAACATTTTGAAAGTAGGTTGTATCATATACACATTGCGTTACCTACCTTGCGTGGGAACGACGCACAAAGAGCGCAAGGACGGTATTACCCGCACCTTGCTTTAGCTGAAAAGCTGAACACCGCGCGAAAAAAAAGATCCATCTCGTGCGACCCTCCTTCCGTCCCTCCGGTGCAAGAATCACGTCGTTGGAGAGCCGAGAGTGGTTTGCCTAATACCCAACGCATTGAGCCAGACATTCAGTCGCACACATATCCAAATCACCAACAAGCCAATCAAGAACCCGGGCGTGTGTGGGAGTGAGAGATGGCAGAACTACATGGCATCTATATGCTACAAGCTTACATACAATCTTCTATCCAAAACCGATTCCCCTCCTGTCTTACCCCGCGCGAAGCAACTCGTCATTTCTAACCAACCGTCTATCTAAACGAATAAAAAATGACCCCTCCCGCTTATTCCTTTCGTTTCGTTTCAAACAAAATGGAAGAGGTTGGGAACCAATGTCAGTACTCTATCCAAACGGAGGGTATATTCTAAGAGGGACCTGGTTTCATTGGCGTCCATCCGTTATCTGCATGCCACGTCCCCGCCTTGGTGTAATCACCTCGCGCATCTCCGCCGCTGAGATACGCAAATCTAAAATACTCTGGCTCATTGTCTGTGTGTTTTACCCAGGTAAAGGGCTTCAAGCCACCGTCCTGGTAGGCGTGGAAGCGTTCTACATCATTGACGAGCACGGAGATGCCGTCGTAGTGCCTCGGGAACGGCAGATCCCACTCAAAAGTGATGTTGGGTCTAAGCTGCGGAACGTCCATGTTGCGGTGAATAATGGGTGAAGCGATCAGGGGGAGGAGCGTGCCAACGGGAGCGTCACCGCGGAGTTCGGCTGGTGTCTGGAGGATACTGTCGAACCCCCAGCGCGCGATCCCGTTGATGAAGAGTCCGATGAGGATTCCCTGGAATAGGAGACTAGGTCTAGTTTGCATAGAGGTGCCCGCCACTAAAAGCAGGCCAAGGATATAGTGGTGAATCCTAACATTCATCTTGGGAATGGCTACGAGAGCCAAGATGACGGCAACATATAGGCCGTAGAGCGCCAGGTACCGAGGAAGACGTCCCTCCACACGGAGACACCAAGCCTGACCGATGGCAATGAAAAACAGTACCAACACTATAATGATGAGCGCTGGGATGGCTCCAGGTTGGTTTTTGATATCATGGGGAGTGAGGCGTTCGATGGGGATCTTGTCAAAAGTGTAGTTGTTCAAGGCACCCACCCAGCACCCACCTAGCCACAACAACGTCTTCTCGATTTGGGCTTCGAGGCCATGCAAAGTCCTTCTCACGAAGAACCTGTATATCGCAAACATGCAAAAGCTAGCGGGCAAGAAGCGGCCAAGGGCGATGCTAAGAATAGAGTAGTAGTCGGTCAAGTTTGGGGGATCGGAAGCGAGCGCAACGTGGAAGAATACGCCTACGAATATGGAGGAGAAGAAGACGGCCGGCGAGGAGGTAAACAGGGACAGCAGGATTGTGAAGGTGAGGGATACCCCAAGCAATGGCCAACGGAGATCACGACACTTGGTAGCGGTGCCAGCGAGGAAAGAGAATGACTTGGGGAAATACGAGTCAAAGGGAATGCTGGTGATGCGATTACGGCTCACGCTGGGGTAGTCGGTACGTTCTCCAAGGAGCGAGAGTGCACCGCATCCACCGCTGGCATCATTGATGAAGCCGGCATGAATGGCGGCGCTGCAGACGAACGAGTCGCCTCTATAATATGTATTCTCAAGTGAGTGGTCCTCGTCCGTTGGGCCGCCGATGACGAGTGGTCTGTAGTTCCATTCCCGATCTCCAACCGCGTGGGGATTCAACAGTTGTACGCGCTTGCAGTTTGCCGGACAACGAAAGGCCACGGTCCTGTTTGCAAAGGGTCGGCAACGGTCTCCATCGAGACCGCATTCGTTCCTGCTGGTCCACAACTGATCGGTGCATCGGAGGCGTACGGGAGCGCCGTGTCCTGGTATATCGGCAGCAAATGCAGAGCGATGCAGAACCAGAGCAAAACTGAGGAACCAGCAAAAGTAGAAAAAGGCCAGCAATGCTACCTTGTGTTTGTGCTTGGGAAAGCACTTCTCAACGAAGCGCAGCGGTGCGCTTTGAATGGTGGGAAAGAGCGGGCGAATGGTCCACGGACGCGGTGGTTGAGGACCTTTGACCCAGAGGGCGGTTGTCCTCCATGCTCGGCGCAAGCGGGCTGGCACGTATTTCTTCACATAATAGGAATGTGAGTGTTGTGGGTATCGCTCTTCGTCGGAAGCTTCGGAGCTGGCGATGAGGGAAACGTCGATGTCGCCCTCGGCTTCGGGGTCGTCCAAGTAGCGCAGCGGAGAGGTTTCGTTGTCGTCGTCGCGATAGACTTGCGGGGGCGGTGCGTCGTTGTCTTCAGCGTCGTCTCTAAGCGGCATGCCGATTTGTTGTATGAGGGCGGGTATGCGTGTCCTGTAGGGAAGCAAGATATGTAGGTATATGGGGACGTCGGAAGGCGGAAGGCGCGGAAAGCAGGGCGCAGTGGGCGGCGGTGGAGGGGTAACGATGGGTTGGTGACAGGAAGAACATTCAAGGGCGGAGGAGGAGATGTGAATGAAGCGAAGGAAACAATAGCGAGGGAACCGAAGTTATGGATGGCATGAGTAAGTGAGACATGAGTATGAGTACTTAGTAAGTCAATACGTCTAACACTTGTTGTACCTGCGTCGACTCGCCTAGCTTCGCAGCTCTCGTCATCACTCCCCACCATCTGACCTCCTGTTACGACCTCAACTACCTAGATACTGTACACCTCAGCGCCTCGCTCTATCCTCACGTCGAGGAGTGGTTTATGTGCATAACGGAGTATTTCTTTGGACCATCGTAGGTCTCCAGATTCGCCATCATGTTCATCATGCCAGTGCCGTCCTGTCCTCCTGGTCCCCGCTTATACACAACCTCACCAAGCATCCTCAACTGCATCGGGAAGTTGGGGTCGTTGTAGTGGTCGATGATGTCCTGCTTCTGGACTCCCGCGGCCAGATTGCACCAATCGTCGCTCATGGAAAAGGCCTCGCACTCTGCCCTCTTGGCGTCGTTCCACCAGGGGGGCAGAAAGTTGGGACGAGATGAGGCCAGGTCAAGAAACCTGTTGAATGGCTCAGACGAGTCAGGGGCGCCCCCATAGACACTGTCGGCGTCTATATCGCCCTCCAGCTTGTAGTTGTCCTCCTGTCGCATGCGATAGCAATCGACGAGCAGCTTGAAGACGTCTTGCTCGGGCCTGCCGTGTAGATAGTTGCCCTGCTTGAGGAGCGTGAAGGGGTTTGGGACGGGCTCCTGTAAGGAGCTGCTCGGTGGTGCTTGCGCCCGTTTGTTGGCATTGGACGCACACACCTTCTTGTGTTGCTTTCAGTCGAGTTTCTGGCAACTTGAAGAGCAGTACCGCGTCGTTTTGCACCGCGAACAGGTTTGGAGGCTGGTTATCCCGCGTTCCGACGGCGTCTTTTGGCACCCTGCGCAGCGTGGGGTTGAATCGGTCATGATCAATTGATGTTGGTATGAGTATCAGTAAATGGAGTGAGGAGTAGATGGGACTAAGGTTAGCGGATGTTGCACGACTACAGCACGCCAATTTATATCCGTCTCGTCCGCCACAATCCCGTGAAAAGCAAGGGGAAAAAGCAATTGAACAGCATGTACGTTGCCCAACTTGGACATGCTGTGAAACGCATTATGGGCTCAGTAGATCCTCATACAGTGCGGTTACACCGTACAGGCATAGAAGGAACACAATAACAACGCGTACGAGTCAGAGACACGGGTTGTGCTTATCGATGACGATGCTGCTGAGTCCTGACGGCTTTCCAAAACCATGTCCGCGTCGGTCGATGTATGCAGACGTTTATTATCCTTGTGTAGCTTTCAGGATGTGGAATGAATGTAGACACATGCTGTAAGTACTATACAATGAATGTTAGGGTTGACATGGCGAACAATGGTTTGTGATTGTCGTCATGATTGAAGAACCCCAGCTGCATTTCTAAGCAGCCGCCGCTAGATAGATAGGTAGATGGATCCTACAAGAATGCTATCTACATCTATTCCTTTTCCCCACACACATGCTTATCTGCTTCCCTATGTATGCATGATCGTTTATTGTAATCGAACTCATAGACAAATTCTGCAACTCTTGTACTCGTAGCGGTACTACCATTCATACATATCCGCATATTGCCGATACAGCCAATTGCTGCTACTCTAGCGCCATGGCTCACCTCTACAACGGTGACGATAACGATGCCATCAGCTTCCCCGACCCCGTCGACCTTTCCCACCACCTCTCGCGCAGCACTCGCGCTCGCCAAGCATCCGCCATCAAGGGCTTCTACAAATACTTCGCCATTCCCGGTATCTCGCAAATAGCAGGCGGCACCCCCAATCCGTCCTATTTTCCCTACGATACCCTGGAAGCCAACGTCGCACTGCCGAATCGCTTCAAACCCACACCGAACAAACCCCTCGATCCTCCCGCCGATGACCCTCCAAACTCCGCTCGCGACCATGCTCCTCCTTCCACGCGCCTGGTTGTGCCCCACGACTCGGGCATCGCCAATCCTCTCCGCACAATCGACTTGAAGACTGCCCTACAATATGGCACTGCCCAAGGCTACCCGTCCTTGTACTCTTTCATACGCCAGTTCACCCGCCAGAACCTGCACCCATTCGTACCCTACAAAGGCGGTCCCGAGGTCATTTTGACCTGTGGCGCCACCGATGGTTTCAGCAAGACAATCGAGGCCCTGTCCGAGAAGTGGGACGAAGGCCATGATCCCATTGAAGAACGCCAGGGACTTTTGGTCGAACGCTACACATATATGAACGCTATCCAGGCCGTCGCCCCGAGAGGTGTTTCCATCGTCCCTGTCGAAATAGACGACGTTGGAATGTGCGCAAAGGGCCCGGGAGGACTTGAAGATGTGCTAGAGAATTGGGACTACTCAAATGGCCGTCGTCCACATCTCATGTATACAATCACCATTGGTCAGAACCCAACGAGCGGTACACTCAGTGTCGCACGACGGACAGAGCTGTATGCCGTTTGTGTCAAGTACGACATCATCATTGTCGAGGATGATCCGTATTGGTACCTTCAATTCCCGTCCAACTCACCTAGTGCTGCTGCTACCCCCAAGCCCACCAAATCGTCCGGCTTCGAGTTCTTAGACTCCCTTATCCCGTCCTACCTCTCCGTCGATTACCAAGGCCGCGTCATCCGTCTCGATACCTTCTCCAAGACCGTAGCCCCGGGCTGCCGTTTGGGCTGGCTCACTGCGCAGCCAGCTCTGATCGAACGCATCCTCCGGTTGACGGAGACAAGCACTCAACAACCCTCTGGCTTCGTGCAGTCTATGGTTGCAGAGCTCGTCATGGGCCCACAAAGCGCCACCGACCCTGGCAAAGGCGGCGCCGCCGACGGAAGCGGCTGGAAAGTCGATGGTTGGGTGCGTTGGCTTGAAGGCCTGCGTGGCAACTACGAGCGCAGAATGACAGTCATGTGCGATACCTTGGCTCAGCACAAGCACCTTGTGAAAGCCGGACGTCGCATGTCCATGTCGGAAGTCGCGGATGACGAAGACGAGTGGGCCATTGTCGAAAAGACCAAAATCTACGACTTTGCTCGTCCCTTGGGGGGCATGTTTGTATGGGTCCGCTTCGACTTCTCATCCCACCCGCTTCGCAAGCAGGTGCCTGCTGCCCGTCTGTCCAAGGCCCTTTGGGTATTCTGGACGACGAAACCATATCTTTGCCTCGTCACTCCTGGGAGCATGTTTGCGCCTACGCAGGAAATCAGGGATTCCGACTCGTTCAATTGCTTCAGGCTTTGTTTCGCGGCTGTTGAAGAGGAGGAAATTCAGGACATCTCCGAGAGATTTGGGAAAGGCGCGCAGGATTTCTGGAAAATCAGGAAGCAGAGCACGATTGACAAGCTGTTGGAGGATGAAGACCCTTCATCATTGCAGCAGGGCGGTGATTCTGGGCTTGCGATGATGATGGGCATGTGTTGAGAGGTGAAGAATTTGTATTCGGTTTTCGTTTTTCCATTCTTTCGTCTTTTCACGCAGCTACGATTCCAGTATGACTTTACCTGGTGGAATACACATGAACATTCGAAAATATACATGATTACAGCGCTATGTAAACAGAAGTCATCTTCACTGCTTGAGATCCGCCACCCGTCATATTCCACATTACGAGCTTACCATATCGTTCCCCAACGTGCCGCACTTCAGCTGGTATATTCAACTAAATGCTGCCGAGGTCTATATGTGCCGCTTCCTCGGATTGCATTCTGCGCTTGTCAATCACTACTAACCAGTTGGAAAACGACAGTATGTCATTCCAACATCAACTCTATCTGATCGGGACTAGCTCACTGTGTCACCGCCAGGATCATCTTACGATTTTCAAAATCCGGGGAAGAACAAAAGCTATAACCTGGGCCCAGCATCTTGCATAACCGGGTTTCATCAAGTCTCTATTGCATTTGCTGCTTTGCATCTTGTAGAAAGTGCAATGTTTCTTCTCGGATCCTTCGGTATCGTTCTCGCTGCGCTTCCACTGGCAACATGCGCATCCCAGTCCTTTGATTATATCATTGTTGGAGGCGGCCCGGCTGGACTCCTCCTTGCCAATAAGCTCTCAGCGAACCCAGACATCGCCGTCGCCGTTGTCGAAGCAGGAGACGAGCAATTCGACAATCCAAATGTAACAGACACAAGCACTTATAGTCCAGGCCTTGGAACGGTAAGTCTCTCATTGCTAACCAATCTTTTGCTTTCAACTTTCTGACCGTTGCAATTTGAGATAGTAGTACATAGACTGGACCTATACGAGTGCGCCTCAGAAGTACGTGTCCAATCGCACTTTTGTGTTCAACGGTGGCAAAATGCTAGGCGGGACTACCGGGATCAATGGAATGACCTATGTACGTGCGGAAAAGGACCAAATCGATGCCTGGGAAGATTTTGGGAACGAAGGCTGGGGTTGGGACTCGCTATTCCCATATTACATCTCTTCCGAACACTTCCAACCGCCCGATGAAGAAAAAGCAGAGAATGGCGCGACGTTCGACGAGCAGCTTCACGGGTTTGAAGGCAAGGTTTCTGTAGGGTGGAGTAAGTATTTCATGAAAGACGGAGCGTTCGCTATGTTGAAGGATACAAGTGAGAATTTGGGGATTGGATGGAACAAAGACGTCAATGGTGGAAACATGCGAGGCATCACCACTTGGCCCTTCACACTGAATTCGACAACAAATATACGCCAGGATGCGGCAAGAGCTTACTACTACCCTATAGCGAAGGAGAGACCAAATCTCCACGTCTTTCTCAACACTGCTGCCACCCGCATCTTGTGGGCCAACAGTACAAGTACCCAGGATCCGCTTGTAGCAAGTGGTGTCGAGGTTTTACCAGCTTCCACCAACACGACGGGAACCCTCCACGCAACTGGCGAAGTCATACTATCAGCAGGCTCCCTCCGTTCTCCGGCCATTCTCGAGCTCTCTGGAATCGGAAATCCTTCCGTGCTCTCGACCTTGAGCATCCCTACTACACTCGACCTCCCCAGCGTTGGTGCAAACCTCCAAGATCAACCTAACATGCCAATCATCTACGCCAGCACTAGAAACTGGACTGGTTACCCCAGTTTCGCCAGCTTTCTCACAGCCTCGGATCTATTTGGCACCTCTCTTACAGATATAACTGAAGAAATTCGCGCAAATCTCACTTCATACGCTTCCCTCATCGTGGGAGACGCACCATCCAACGAAACAACCATGGAAATCGAGACTCGTCTCCTCGAGCACCAACTCGATCTCATCTTCCATCCCAACAGCACTGTTCCTCTAGCAGAACTTCTCTGGGCACCTACGGGATCTGCAATTGCATGCGTGTTCTGGAATCTCCTTCCCTTCTCGCGGGGAAATGTACATATTCGTTCTACGAATCCACTCGAACCACCTAACATCAACCCGAATTTCCTCCAACTGCCCATCGACACGATTATGCAAGTGGCTATAGCTGTGAAAGTGCGCGAGCATTTCGCTACGCCTCCGCTATCCAACTTCGTCACCACGGAATTGTCGCCTGGCCCATCAGTTGTACCCGCTGATGCTGGATGGAGGGATGAGGCATGGGGCGCTTGGATTCGACAAGTGTATAATCCGAATAATCATCCTGTCAGTACTACTGCCATGCGGAGCCGTGAGTTTGGAGGCGTGGTCGATTCTGAGGGGATGGTGTATGGGGTTGAAAATGTTAGGGTTGTTGACGCTGGTTCCCTACCTGCGCAGACGAGTGGGCATTTGACGTCGAGTGTTTATGCGTTTGCAGGGAAGATTGCGGACACGATTTTGAATGGGCAGCGTTATAGGAAGATTCAAAGAGATTTGTGATCTTCATGCAGTAAATTTACGTTGGGTTATCAGAATGTAGGTCTTTTCGACCTGGAAGTGTCTCGCGAACGAGCAAGTACTATGACAACCCGTCCATAACATCGTTTAATACATCATACCATGGTTGATAGCTGTATAACTTATAGCCAGTGATTATGGCGACATGATTCCTACTCATCATTGACGTTCAGAGAAGATTTTCGGATACACAACCCGGCAAATGTAGTATCAACACCACCCAGTCACGCAACTACCAGTCACCATTCAAAAGCGGAGACTTTCTAGCACATTCCAGAAACAATGGAAGGCTGAGAAGGTTTCTGATTCCTATGCATATGAAGATCTGTCTATTAGATTACCATTATAGATCATCCCTGCATTACATGGAATCAATATCGACAGATGCTACTTTGCGGCTAATCGACGTAGCGAATCTATTCAAGCTTTCCAACGGGGATCGCGGAATGTTTGCTTTCGGGGACTTTGTCGGAAATCTATATTTTTGGCTTGGCTCTGCGTGTGAGTACTAGGGACGCTTCCGATCTCGTATATGATGAGGGACTCGCCTAACCGGGACCATATACCGGATATCGTTATATGCATACATGAGTGTTGGATACCCAGCTTAGTTTTATGGTTATGTCGAATGGATTGACTGTAGATGCCTTGCGATAGCTGATGTTGGGTTATAGATGCCAATATGGATAAACGTGCACTTCATTCGTGTGATCGAGGGCAGGCTGGGTACTCCGCACTTGCTCCGCACTTGTAAGATTGATGCCGTTTTCTCTTTGTAAATAAAAGGGACAGGAAATTCTTTCAAGGTCTATTTGATATTCGAGTACACTCAAGCTTTAGATCTTGAATTCCTATCATTTCGCTTCACCATGAAGGCCTTCACAGCACTTTCCATCGGGCTCCTCTCGGTTGCCTCTGCGACTCCAATCGTGGAAGGTACGCTCCCTCTCTGAACAAGGAAAGAAAGCTTTACATAGCCCATCCCTAACCTGACCCCCCAGAAGCCCGAAAATTACAACGCGGCACTCCAACCCTCTCCCCCGCCACCACCGTCCAAGCAACAGTAAGCCTTTGCACGCAATACGCCTACTACGCCGAAAACGGCTACGAGGTCCTCAACAACCTCTGGGGCAAGGACTCGGCGACCTCAGGCTCGCAATGCACGTACTACGAAGGGGCGTCCGGCGACGGCATCAAGTGGAGTTCAGACTGGACATGGCAGGGCGCGCCAGACAACGTCAAGGCATATCCGTATGCCGGCAGAATACTTACCAAGGGCAATACCATCGCCAAGATCAAGCAGATGCAGACGGCCGTGGAGTGGAGTTATAACACGACTAGCAACGTGCGCGCCAACGTGGCATATGATATCTTCACCGCGGAAGACCCGAACCACGTTAACAGCAGCGGGGATTATGAGCTCATGATTTGGTATGATCTCCTCTCTTCTATATGGAAGTTGTTGAATGAGTGTCTGACATGATTGCGATACAGGCTCGGCCGTCTCGGAGGCGTATGGCCCATCTCCCAAGGCGGCGCGCCAATCGCCACCGTCACAATTGCCGGATACACGTTCGACCTGTACTTTGGCTACAACGGGTCCATGAAGGTGTACAGTTTCGTGCGGGCGGGGAATAACGACATCAAGAGCTTCAAGGCGGACGTTAAACTCTTCTTCAACTATCTGGTCACTAACCACCAGTATCCGCAGAGTACTCAGAATCTGATCGGTACGTCCCGTTTCTTCTTCCCCATTGCTTTCTTATGTTGTGGAATGAGATGCTGATAAGTTTGGGGGGGATTAGTATACCAGATAGGTTCAGAAGCCTTCACGGGGCCACCTGCTAGATTTTCCGTGCCTTCCTTCAGTGCTACGTATAGCGTCTAGGAAAGCTACTTCTCTATGGAGACGGATGTCACGGCTTTATGCTTGGTTTCTTTATAGACCGAGTTGAGTCGACTCATTAGTTTGTTCACCTTATCCATGGCCAATACCATACGTTGCCTCTCCATTCACCGTGACTATGGCTGCTCCTAGCGAATTCTTACCGGGAAATTTATTGTTCAATGCGATGATCTTGATGGAAAAGACTATTGTTTCCCCAGAACCAAGGATGCTACCGTAGTATCATTGATTGCTACCCTGATTCATGTACCTGGGTATATCCAAGCGGGTTACCGAGAGCAATGGATTCAGCCACGACTTTTAGCAATTCACACTTACTTTTCTTGCAAAACAACTCTCATGTTCCTCGCAATCCCCCTTCAAATAGCAATTCTCGCCTCTCCTCGGCGGTTCCTCGTAAATAACAGGGCGAGAAATTGGCCAAGGCAATTTTAGTGCGTTCATGCGAAACAAACCTCCATGAAGAAAACCCACCCTGGCCAATAGCAGCTAGTATGATCGGGGATATTTCAATAAATTCAATGTAGGAGACACAATATTGTCTGCCGAATAGAAAAAAGGAGAGTCGAAGATCCCGACGTCATAATTCATGCTAACGCCTGGGATCATGCTTTGATTCTATTTCCTAAATTAGATCGCGCAACATTAATGCCTCGTTGGGGCTCCTGTGTCCAGTAATTAATGGGACATGAAAAATGTAGCATCTTATTTTTTTTTTAGAAAAATTAAATCGTTTTAGTTTTACTAAACAATCTACGTAGTAGTAGCATACGTGTGTAGGTGCTCGTTGCAATACTCGTGATGTAGTTGAGTTGCTTGTACGTGTCCCACTAATTACCCGACGTAAGAGGAGGGGGATCGTTTGGATGTTCAACGGTCGTTATGCCTTTGTTGGTAACAAACTATTGTTAAAGACTAGGGTCATAGAAGTAACATTCAATACTGTATCCCCTGGAGGGAAACGAGTTAGTGATCGTTGAAGAATCGGCTCCGAAGTGGACACACCGTGCGTGCAGACTAGTATGCGTCTAATTGTATATGAGAACAGCTTGTTAAGCACATTAAGCACGTATAAATACGACAGGATTTGCTCACAAGCATTCAACAACAGCTCGTCTATCTATATATCCTCACTCCATTAATCCCTAATCTTACATTGTCCAACGAATCTCTCCCAACTCACCCCAACTCAACTCACGCAAAATGCTCTTCACAGCCTTCACCACCCTCCTCGCTGCCACGGCCGCCGTATCAGCAAGCCCCCTCACCCGTCGCACAAACACCGAAGTCGTCTGGACCAACACCGCAGGCATCGTCCGCAACGGGGACGACGTAGCCTCCATCTCCTTCACGCTCCACTCCGACACCAGCGGCAACAGCACATACTGCACCACGGGCGCCAACGCGAACCCTTCCATGGACGATCCGAAATTCTACTCCTGCGAGGCCGAGGAGTATGCGTTTCGGTATGTGGAGAGGGTTGCGTATGGCAGGTTCAAGATTGCGCTTGTGCACCAGACTTCTGCTTTGTGAGTTTTTCTCCACCCCCCTCCCCTTCTAGAACAGTAGCATTGGGTTGGTGTGTTTGCCGTTTAGTTGGAGTGGGAGCTGACCTTTTTTTTCCGTCTAGTGCTGGGTTGCAGGGGAATATGACGATTGGATGTAATGGATCGAACTCGATTGCCTGCGATCAGGTTGGCAAGGCTACGGCTACGCTTTGCTCTGATGATTCGTGTGGACAGAGTGCTGGCAATTAATGAGTTTACGATGATATGAATGATGTGGGCTTAAGTAATATATAATTTTCTCTGTTGTACCTCTTATTATGCTGAATTGATACCGTGCTGTTGCTTTCTTGCAATTCGAGCGCTCAATCACTCAATGCATCTTCACTGATTACTTTCACTAAGTGCATTATTCAGGACTTGATGGTCTAGTATCCATTTTAATAGTAGTATCAAAGCGCGGCTATTCTAGGTAAAGGTTTATTCTTAACCTGCTCGAATGTCAGCGGGCCATGCTCATCCCTGCTTCCACTGGACGTACTCCGTCCCAGTCGGTGATGGCTGCTCCTCGAAGCGCTTTTCAGCGTCCTCGTGGTAGATTGGTAGGTATAGCCGATTGTACTCTGCGAACGCGATTTCCGTACGTTCAGTTTCGGAACTGGGACATCCTGCGACTGCGTGATGTTGATTCCATTCATCGACGCAGTGCGGTCCAATGGCTTTCTTTTTATTGTATGAGATAAATCTGGAGTCCGCGACTGCGATTGCGACTCCTCGCTGCTTCTAGAGCTTGCACTAACGTCTATAGCAGGCGTACTGTTATTCTCAATCCGGGATCTCCGGCTCGCGCTTTTCCGAACCTTGCCCTCCAGATCCCGAGATACCTGCTGTTGCTGAATCGGTCGTTGCTGGCCGCCACTAGTAGTATCAGGAGCGCTGACTGTTCGATGATGCCCTACAACCACCCATTCTTTTCCCTTGATACTCGTAGAAGGCGGGGGCGACGATCCTGCCCCTTCAATCGGTATACCATTGAGAGTAAACGCATACGCATTCTCGCTCAGCATTGTGGTATGGTTTACAGCTCCGGTGTGATTGCTGACACTATTGCCAGTCCCTGAAGACGAGCTTGCAACGGCTTCGCTATCGGGTCCTGTAGATCCGCTCCGCGAGCTCCATGCGACACTTGTGGCAGGAGTAACTCCACTCAGGCGATGAGGGCGAGTAAGAGATATCGAGGAACGAGAGAAATGTGGTTTGTAGTATCCCACGTTAGCGCCTCTGTTCGTATTGGGGATATGTGGAGAAGAGCGGGATGCAGCTGGTAGACTGGGCGATGAAGGGTGCATCGCACGCCACGAGGAAGGTGGTAATGGCGCGGATAGAGGGATCGGCACGAAACCTGGTGGCAGGGCTGAGTTGTGTATGTGCGAGGGCAGGGGCAGGTGTTGGGTAGATGCTGAAGGGGCGAGAGACTGTGTTTCGAGATTTGAGGACGATGCTCGTGCTGACATGATAAATGCCGGTGGGAGAGGTGGCGGTTGCTCGTTCGATGTGAAGATACCTAACCCTGGACGGATAGGTGATGGAGCTTTGATGGTGGACGTTGGTGAAGTCGAGTTCAAGTCCAATGTGTCGATATCGGTGGTAGAGGACAGGATTGAAGGGCTGCGTAAATGTGTGGATACCGAGCCATGCGTGCGGTGCTTTTCGAGGGCCGAAGTCGGGCTAAGTGATGGTGACGGACGGCGGGAAGTACCTGGGGTCAGGTTGTTTGGTGTCGAGGGGAGCTTGTTGCTGTATTTGAACAGATGCGACTCGAAAGGACGAGGTACCGTGGCGAGCATGTAGAACAAAGTGAACGATGATATGCTGTGAGAAAGATGAGATGGGCTTGGTGTATAACGGCTGGATTTCTAACTTACAGTGCGATCGTAGAGGAAGCAACTCCGATACGATTTGCGTGGCACGTAGGGCCTGCCTCCCATCCATCGAGTCCGTTGCTCTTTGGCAAACATGTCGGCTGGCGAGCTACAATGATCATGTTCCAACCAGTGGTGAGAAGCCAGAGGATACATAGAGTCACTGCGAACCGGACGGCAACATAAGTCGTCCTTTCGATAGATGGGCGGCGTCTCTCATGTCTCCATGCTCGTTGCTTCAAAGAAAAGATTGTGTGAAGTAACACATATGCCAGAGTTGCAATGGACTGCTCTAGTCAGTTTCAAACTCAAAAGACCGACTGAAGCACTTACAGATGTCAATGTCAGAGTCTGAGATGCCAGATTGGTTGTGTCATTTGGGTCAGACACAAGCTGGAATATGGTGACACCTAAACTCATCGAAGAACTCCAGAGCAAGACATGCAGCAATGCAGTGACTGCTATCAACGTCCATTGACGTCTAGGGAGTTTAGTGTAAGTCTTGGTGACGATCACCTCGCCTTCGGGTTTCTCGGGGAGCTGGGTAGCTTCACTGCTGTGATCTGAACCTGCCATTTGGTCATTGAAATGGACCATGCATATGCCTATCTCCGACTATAATATGGTGGGCTGGCGAGCCACGAACGGCGGACAGGGTGAAGAGGAATGAGAGACAGGTACACATCATGCAACTATTCTGTTGTCAACGAGGGCACGATCATGAGAGGTAGAATCGGCAGCGCGAGACTGTGGATCGAGCTAATGCATTCCAAATCGACGCCAAGGTCAGATGTAAAGAATGTTTCGAGCAAGGGATGATGTGTGGAATGCGCCTCACTTGGTGGCTTGAGCTCCAGTTGATCTGAGATTCGCAGCATCGACCCTGCGAAACCTGCGAAACCTGCTTCGACAACTTGCATTAACTACTACATAAGATTCTGGATGTTTACACTTGTCTGAAGAAGCCTAGCATGTTTGAGGGCTTCTTCATCCAGCGCACTGCCAGTGCCACAGCAATGCCCCCTATCTATCTCCGCGAACAGCATCAATGACTTTCAAGGCCATTCTCATGATTCTGAAGTACTCTTCACAATATGTATCCCGCATTAAATGCGCGAGTTGCCCATCTCGGCTCGCAGATGCACCCAGATCGCCTATCGGCACCATAGCTGAGCGAGGGTAAAGTGTTTCGGATTTGGCCCGATGAAACCTTGGTAAAGATACTTTTCTGGTAGTATCGTGTGATCCCGGCACCATTTGCCGGAGAGGCATTTCAGCTTCCGGAAAACGGAAGACTGCGATCAGCCGAAGCCAACGAGCGTCGTCAGCCATTTGTGAGCACTTGCTCTCACTTGGCTTCCAGCATGACTTCAAAGGACGAGCAGGAGGACCAAAAGCACGATAAGGACGAAGATGAGGACTGCGATGCAGCAGCTGGACCAGCGATCTACGAAATATGATCAGAATCGCAGTAGGCGCGGGGAGAAGGGAAATGCATACCTTCGTTCTGCTTGATGACCCAACCAACCTTTTGGATGCCAGTCTGCAGTTTGCCGCCTACCCTATCGGCCACATTATCCACGTCGTCCAGCAGTTCGCCTTGTTCCTCGATCTCGCGCCCCATATCGTTGGCCTGCTGCCGTAGGTTGCCCACAGTGCGGAAGACGCCATCGAGCTGCTCGTCCTGCTCGTGCATCATTTCCATTTGTCGCTCCTGCTCAAACTGAGCGTAGCCATCTTCCTCTTCAAATGAGTCGGGGTCAGGCAGCATGTCACCATTGGCAACCCCTTTGCCCTTATTTTGAGCATCCTGCACCGTCCGCCGCAGCTCCTCGCGCATGTTGTCTACTTCCTCGCCTACATCCTTCACAAGATTGCGCCGCCGCTCCACCTCGTCTATCTCGAGGCCAAATTTATAGGGATCATGCTCAACGGCCTTGACGCTCTCAATCAAGTCCTCTAGGTCCTGGTTAAGCTCCTGCAGCGTCTGTTCAAGCTCACTGCGAGCTTCTCCGAGCTCCGGGGAATTCGCAGACGAAGCCGATGATCGGATACGGAGATAGGAAGCAAACAGCGGTCGGGAGTTGTTCAAGGCAGACAAGACATCTCTATAGCATTGCGCGGTCAGCAAGTGAGCGGGTGAGAGCTTGGGATGCGGAAAGGAGCTGTCTCACGCTTGAACTTGGAGGAAAGGGTCCTCGTTGTCGGACGATGTTATCATGCTGTTCCAGGCAGGGAAGTGGGCACGCGAAACTCCAATACCATCTAAGGGAAACGCGACGATGCTGCCTTGGAACTATTATTATGTAGCGATAAGTAGGAGTAGTCTTCAGGGCATGGCGTCAATGCCTCGTCCCCCAGATCAACGCCAACGCTTTGACCGAGGCTGGTCTAACCCAATGTGGTAGGCATCCCGATCACCAGAATTAGATCACAAAAATCATTCTACAGGGCTCATTCTGATGGAACAGATAGAACAGAATTATTCCACGCGCAGGTCAACGTGAAGGAGAGGCTCAGGAATTTTTCGCCATCTACATGAATAGGCAGACAACGAAATGGGCCCCGATACTCCGCTGCCTCTACCGACCGAATTTTCCTCGGTGGACGACTATGTAGAGTCACTACTGGCCTTTTCCACTTCCTCATGGATGCTCCAAACCTTGTGTGGAGGCGTACACATTCTGGATTTTTATACAAGATCGCCCGATCTCTATGCCACCATCTTGCCGGAATCATGGAGAAACTGGTTCAAAGTCCGGGATATCATGGACATTCTGGATCTTCTCATGAGGGAGGATCTATCCCAATTCTCTACCGATACTGAACAAGATCCTACGCCCTGGCGCAACGGACCTGCTCCCCCCGAGGATCTTTTGCGCTATATTCGAGATGTGCGGAAGCATCTGTTGAATCGTGAATTCCATGGCGAACTGCCAAACAGGAAGCCCGAGATAGCACGCCACATTGCTGTCGGCATGAAAGTCAAAAAAGTCCACGAAGTGGATAACTTTGCCCGCTACGTTGACAGACTGACTTCAGACATTGCAGCCAAGGGAAGAGATCCCATTACTCATCTAGTTGACTTTGGATCTGGTCAAAATTACCTAGGCCGTGCGCTTGCAGCGCCTCCTTTCTCCAAGCATTTGGTGGCCGTGGAGAGTAAGCCACACAACATCGAGGGGGCAAAAGACATGGATGTCAAGGCCAGACTAGCACCAAAACCAATCGTGATGAGAAACAAGAAAGAGTATCGTGCAAGCATTGGCAGGGTAAAGAAATCAAAGTTGAATCAAGCAAATGCAGCCACTGAAACAGCCTCCTCCAACGATGCTCCATCAGTAAGAGCACCTGAGACTGCGATTTCAAATGGATTCTCTAGCCAAGAGAAACCTCAAAAGCCCGACAAAGAATCTGCATCAGTTGCCACTCAAACGACAGCTGACACTAAGTGTGATGATGATGATGGATGCATTGCCATCCCCAACAGCACCGTCCCAAAGGCTGACAAAACCGTCACAACCCATCTTCAAGTCTATACCGAAGGTCATGGAAGTGTACAATACGTCGAACACATCATTAAAGATGGTGATCTAGGACCGGTCATTGATCAAGTCATTGACAGCTCCAAGGTGCCAGAATCAGACGAAGCCACATCGACCCCTCAAAAGGATGCGACCGCTGCCGTTCTGGACTCCAGCAATCTACAGGCCGTGCCAAAACCCTCTAAAGTCAATGCTATGGTCATATCATTGCATTCATGCGGAAACCTAGTTCATCATGGCCTCCGCTCCTTGCTCCTCAATCCTTCTGTTTCCGCCGTCGCGATGGTAGGCTGCTGCTATAACCTCCTCACCGAACGGCTCGGCCCACCAACTTACAAACTTCCCACATTACGCACCAATCATCCCCGTTTGGAATCCACCTCCAACGCCCACGATCCCCACGGCTTCCCTATGTCTAGCAAACTAGAAAACTACCCACTACCCTACGCCCCATCCTCCACTTCCTCCCCCAACGACATCCACGACATGCCCAAAGGCATCCGCCTAAACATCACCGCACGAATGATGGCCGTCCAAGCCCCCTACAACTGGGGCCACACAGACAGCGAACTCTTCTTCACACGACACTTTTACCGCGCCCTCCTCCAACGCATCTTTCTAGACCGCGGAGTCGTCTCCGCTCCCGCTCCTCCAACATCTGACGACGACCTCACTGCCGGCAACGGCGTGTCCGCTTCAGGCCACACTAGCAGAGTGAACTGGACACCGCCGAACGGCCGCGGTCCAGGTCTCAGTTCCTCGGGCAAACACACTCCACTCACCATCGGCACGCTGCGTAAATTCGCCTACTCTGATTTCCGCTCCTACGTCCGAGCCGCGTTGGCGAAACTCACGGCGCCGAATTCGTTTTGCGAGGTTGATCCTGCGTTTATCGCCGGGAAGATGGAGGGATTGAGCGATGAGGATATCGAGGAGTATGAAAAGAAGTATTGGGAGAAGAAGCATGAGCTTAGTGTCATGTGGGGGTTGATGGCGTTTAGTGCTGGGGTTGTTGAGGCTGTTGTGGTGGTGGATCGGTGGCTTTGGTTGAAGGAGCAAGATGAGGTTGCGGAAGCATGGGTGGAGAGTGTTTTTGAGTATGGGTTGAGTCCGAGGAATTTGGTGGTTGTTGGGGTTAAGAAATGATGTTTGCTGGACTGTGCCAGTTCGTTCGCGGACTCTGCAATTAAGAAGCCCAGAGCTTCAAGTCATGTTTTGTACCGTAAAGAAACTACATCAGTGCCCATCTAGCTGACAATCACCATTCACGACTCCCCAAGAGCGCATTCTCTGTTATCTTGCGCGGCTCGAGCTCAGGATCTGGACGCAGGAACAACTACTCACATTAGTGGTACGATCGCTCTAAGGAAACTCCTGCTTATCTGCCCACTAAGTTCTTGTATTACGCTTTTCGATAGTCGTCAAATTATGTTAAAATGTCATGGAAACTGACAGCTATGAATATTACCACCGCTCAGGATGAAGCAGAGAAAAGAAATACAGATATAAAGACAAGAATAATCACTGGAAGGAGAAGAGCTAATCCATGAAACAAGATACAATACAATTTTCCCCATCCCAACCACACATCCCACCGCTATGCAGAACCCTACAATTTCGCCCCCTCTCTCAAAGGCACATCCGCCCACGCCTCCTCAAACCCACAACTCCTAACCCAATGCCCACCACCAACCTGTACGCTATCAACCACCATCCCCGCAATCTTCCTCCACAACTCGCCCTGAATTGCAAACCCCTGCTTCCCTTCAAACGGCTTACACGCCTTCTCCCCATTCGCCAGCGCTCTAACCAATTTACAAGTATGTCCATCATCCGGCAATCGATTCACGCGCTCGAATACCTCACTCCAGCTCTCATCTCCCCTCGGGGGCGTGTAATTCTCGATATCGGAGAGGAGCAGGGGCGGACTGCCACGGGAGACGTACATGGCGAGGTCGCAGCGGACTTTCCATTCTAGCAAGCGTGTTTTTTGGGTGGCAGTGAGGAATGGGGCGTTTAGGAAGGCGGAGAAGAAGATGCTGCTGTTTACGCTGTGCATGTAGAAGAAGTCGAATTTGGGGACGTGAGGGGGGTGTTGGGCCGTGCTGGTGTAGTATACTTTGATTTCCTACGTGTTAGAGGGTTTGGGTTGGAGTGGGGGAAAGGGAGGAAAGATGTTACCTGTAGCGTTTATCATTTCTGCCGTTTTCTCTTCGAGCTGGTCGGGAGTGATGACGTATTGGCTGGCATATTGGATCATTTCTTTTGGTGCGCGCTTGAGGATTCCATCGCGGATTTTGTTGCCGTCTTTCCAGTGCGCGGAGCTGCTCAATGTTTTGTCGGCACGCATCTTCTCTAGCAGACTGACTAGACTGGGGGTCTTTTGCGGGTCTGAGCCGTTGGATTTAATGGCCTCCTCGGTGTCTATGAAGAGAGCCTTCATCCAGTCGTCGTGAACGGCTGCTTGGGCGAGCGATTCTGCGATGATGGCCGGTTGCTGGAACTCTACACCGAAACCCAGGTGAATGATCGGATGGAGGAAGCCGCCAAACATCCGAACCAGCATGTCGTCTGCCCTTTCATCCCCCTTGAAGACGTATTCGGTAACCACAGCTTCCCACCCCTTATTCTTGATCTCTTCTTTGAAGAACACCAGGTAGTCGTTATAATACCTCTCACGGCCCAGGTATGTCTTGAATCGCTCAGGATTACGCATGTCTTCTACAATGGCCGGATCAAGCGCAACCACGGGCCGCTGATACGACAAGTTGTCATCATAACCTTTCTGGATTTCGGCTGGAGATGCTTTCAGCGCGAACAGAGTGAGGAGATGATGAACAATATGGTTCTACCAGAAGAAAGGTGTGATCGTTAGCCAGATTGCACATTGCCGAAGAAAAGGAGATGAGTGTTGATAAAGGGGCGTACATGAAAGCCTTCTTGATTGAAGAAAATATGGTGTTTCTCGTGATTTTCTTGCAAGAGTTGAGAGGCTACTTTTGCGCTCTCTTCCGAGATATCTGGGACGTAGAATGCTGGCTTCTGCGCAGCTTCCAGCTTGATTGTCGACGCAGTCGCCATGTTTCTTGCAGAGTATTTCGGAAAGCGAGTAAAGTTTTCTTGAACAGGTCTGAAATGGAATGATGGCCTCGTATGTACCGCCCTGGCAGTTGTTGTTTTGGGAATCCCAGCGCGATTCGATCTCAATGAGGAAGCAGTTCTTATATAGACGGACCGAGGAATCATTTAGGCGATGCAATGCAGCTTCAACCCCCGCTTTCAAGTCCAGGGATACGATGTTGCGCGTGCATGCAATGATGGTTCACGAGGCCACGCACTAGATTCCTAAATACTAGGTAGCTTGGAAGATGACGTTGCGCGAGAGCTCCTGAAAATCCCCACATCTAGCCATCATGGATAACTAAGCCTCGCTCGGGGTTTCTGATGTGCGAAGATGGTACCATTGTACAACATTCGATGCAACGGTGAACTACCCAGTCGATGGATGCCGAGACATTTCACTGGCGGTTTTTTCGGGCTCTCTATCTCCGGATGACAAAGTTGAAGGCCAGACAGTGGCAGATTGGCAATCACGCCCTGTTTCTACCACCAAACTTGAAGGGACCACCAATCATGGATCCTCAGTGTTCTGCACACAGCTTCATGGCATTCGATTATGCTATGGAAACCATTCACACAGTGAAGTGATGGTATGGCATATGTGATTACTAAAACGCCTTGACCCAAAGGGTCCCGCCGCCGCGCAATGCTAAGATATAGTACTATGGATGCAAAAAAGAACGAACAAAAAACACAAGAAGCCATTGCTCCTCATTAGCGACTGACGAGATAAATGCTGCTCACAACCGGAACTAATTTGAATAGTTCTTGGCTTCCATCCCCTGTGGTGGCTCAGGCTTGATGAACTTGTTCCCAACGCTGCCCCAATCCGTGCTAAGAACTGTGCCACCACTCTCCTGGTAGCTCTTCATCATAGCACGCTGCTGATCCGCGCCGGCGCCTTTATACAAGGTCTTGAAGAAGCGTGAGGTCTCGTCACCTTCCGCATCGTCTCCGTCTTCGTTGAGGTTCTCATCGGCCAGCTTGTCCCAATTCTTTGCGCCTTTCTTCGACGAGGTAGGATATGCTGGGCCAGATTCAGGTTTGTTCTGTAGTACGTGGGAGGGGAGCGTGGTGGTATTGCCTGTGATAGGCTTCACCCCCTGGTCGCCTTCAAGTTTGTGCCATTTGATGCCTGGCGTGGCCTTTTTGAGAGCAATTTCAACCTTGGTAGCTTTTCCGGACAGACGTGAAGAGTCGCAATCAACTTCTGCAAACAGAGGATCGAGAGTGAATAAGAAGCTGGAGCCTGTGTCTCCAATAGGAAAGGAAACGGAGAGCGAGTCCTTTTCAATCTCGAAATCTATCTTGTCGGGATTTACGCCCTTTGCCAGGAGGGTTATGAAGACTGAATCGTTGTTCTGGTACCATTCATGCTTGATCTTGTCCGCGGGTGTAGGCACTACTGGCTTTGGCGCAACAGGCTCCGACTTCTGCTCGCCTTTGGACTTGTCGCTCGCGGCAGACTTGGTAGGTTCTGGGGCAGTCGGAAGCTCCACCTGGGGTATGTCCTCGACGGAGACTTTTCTGCGCTCATCGTCCTCTGGCAGGGCCTTGAGTTTGTTGGCGATCTTCATACCCCAGACTCCCGACGTTTTCTCCTTGTCGTCCAGCTTCTTGACTATTGACAGAATGTGATCGGCGTCTGCGTACTTCTCGGTGAAGAACAGGGCGATGGCACGGCGCAGTTGGGCATCCCTGATGAGTTCGCGGCGTGCACGCTGGTGGGCAAGAACAACGGCGATTTCGGCGTCGGCGAGGGCTTCGGGGTATCGCGAGCAGCGCTGGTAAGCGGTGGAGCGTTGAATGTAGTAAGAAACGGCCTTTGGATTGGTAGCCAGTGCTTGGGTATAGAGTTGGATGGCCTCGTCGTATTTGGCTGCGCTCAGAGCAGCTGCTCCTTTGGCTGCCTGGTCCATGACAGCAGCGGGGGTGGGGTACGTCTGCTCGAGAAGAAAGGTAAATGTGCGACAATGACAGCGGGTTCGTTTGCAGGGCAGCGATGAAGATGGACCGAGTGAGTATCAGCTGGCTTTTATAGTATAGGGAAAAAAATGGAAGAACGATAGACGGTTTGCCAACCAGGCTTCAGCAAATAATATGCGTGGTGATGATAGTATTCAGGTACCAGTGGATCAGCCCTCGGTACGACTTAGTAAGCCTAGCACGAATCATTCGCTCTTGATCAATGACGAACAGCAGCAGCAGCAGCAGCACTAAGATCCATACCAATCATGAAGCATTCGTTCGGTTGGTGTTAATATTCACCGCGAGTTTGTGTACCTCGAGTTACATATGTAACATCCAATGACACAAGGTATTGGTGTTGTGTTTGTCAAAGCAAACAACTTTCCCGCTCGGCTGCCTGTACTCAGTGTTACTCCAGGTGCTACGCTCACGTACCCGTCACAGTCAGAAACCCGAGAATAGCAATCAACGAAGGAGCCACGACGGGCTTACTATGGTAGATGGATGTGTGGATGGATCGGATCCTTCGCGCACTCTCATACTCTGCCTGCTTTAAGCTTGGGTTCTGACAGCTATTGCCTCCCACTAACTGAAGCTGTTCGCGTTCCGTCAGCGCCAGGGAACACCTCCATCACTTGGGGTCGACAGCTTGGCAGCCAACCACACCCTTTTTTTCCCCGTCTTCTACCAACAACTCATTCGTCACCTCTCTTCCACGTCAAACATGCTGCACCTCCTCCTTCTTGCCGTTGCGCCTGTCCTCGTGGGCGCAAACGGCATCGCGGAGTGGCAGCTCCCCCTTTCCAGGCACCCCGGCGGATCCAAGTGTGGCAGAGGCCGAAAAGGGCTGCATTACGGATCCGCTTTTTCCTTCTTCGTAAGATCTCCGCCTCCATCCTACATGTGTCTATCCATATACACATGCCTGCGCGTCTGAGATGGATGTACTGATCAAGATGGCAATCGCAACAGTTGAATGGCGATTGGCGCTACTACCTCTCCGACTACTTCCCGGAAAATGACCAATGCAATCGAGGAGAGTTGACTGTCCTTGACATGAGGGCTCTGGATGACATAAGCAACCGCCTCACCCCAAAACCACCTCCAGACATTGCCACCTACAAGAAGAAGAAGAAGCCCAAGACAAAGGTCAAGCCAGTCTCTCTGATGCTCACTATTCCTCTCGGAACCGAGGAAGAAGGTCCCTTGATCGTAGAACCGGATCCAGCATGGAAGCTTTTTCACGATTGGGACATGAGTGTCAAGATTGACTGGACCGAATCTAAACCTCCTGGTCGCGCACTCAACATCACGTCTATCGGAGTGCGTCAAGGATCGACGTCTTCGTCCAAGACCTCGAGGGTAAACATCAACCTGGGGACCCCCTATATAAACCTACCAGCGGACATGTACGACCTCGTCGCTTTGACCGCAAACCCCCAACGAACAGACATGGGTCGGAACAGTACGTATCATGCTTTCGAATACACATGTCAACACCGGAACCACTACATGGCGTGGTACTTTGATAACATGCCTCCCCACTTTCATAATTCATGAATGAACCCAACTGACTTGAACTCAAGTGAAGCCAGTGGAGACTGTCGAGTGTACAGCCCTCGCCCAGCTTCCCGACATAGTCTTGGATTTCGGCGGCGCGTTTGAATTGATCGTGAAGCCCGAGCAATATGTAATGAAAGTGAGCGATGCCATGGGCGGCCCGTTCAAGGGGAAATGCGTGCTGCTGGTGGCCAGAGGCGGTGACATATCTATTGGATACGCGGCCTTGCGCGGCAAGTCGCTTTGGCTGGACTGGGCAAATCTGCGGACTGGCTTTGGAAATCCTGCTCGGTGAGTCTTGGGGAGAGTAGAGCCTTGGACGCGGGTGGACAAGACGTTGGCGCTTTATACTGTATCATCATAGACTCCCAGAGATACCCAATTATTATTATTATTATGTGCTTTGCCAATGCCGGGTCCTTTCATGCCGTCCTTCTGTGCTCTAATGCCATTTGTCGCAGCTGATGTGGGGAAAGGATGTATTGGCGCTCTCGTGGCGTGGCGTAGTACGGTGCAGTGTGAGAATGCCGTGAGATTATTGGGAAAAAATGATAGGGTGTCGGAGGCTTACTACAGGATGACAGTGCAGGCGGGACTCTTTGGGTGAATATCGTGCCCTCTACCGTGTACATGCTCTATGTATAGTATGCACGTCTACTTAGTGGTCGACATGTACGAATGCCGGTAGGAGAATATGTTCAGTAGGTGCACAGCAGCCAGCTAGGGTTCTCCTCCCCCGGAGCCTAGATGCGATCATGCCAAGGCTCGGCGGGCGATCCATCAGAATCTCCGACATTTGATGTCTGTCACTTTTGGCTGTCCGGCTGTTCATCTCATCGCATCGCGAGGTCCATCACATGCTGACTCCGGTCCTACCAGAAAAGTCCAATGGTGGCCGCCATGGCTTGTACTGAGTCTGCCGCTTCATCACGACACCCCTTTCCGCTCGTCGACGCGGGCGAACGGTGGAGATGAAATGGGCTATTAAAGCCTATCAAGCGAACAACCTACCACGGCATAGATCGAGTCCCCATCCAGCAGAGTGCAACTCCTGATCGCCGGTAATTCCCCTCGCCCAAACCCTTTTTCAGGCTGCTCTCCGTGTCTCATGTTATTCCAGAGCGTTTGAATGAGGTAACGGGAGACAGGCGTGCCAGACGGCGTAGCGTCCTCTACCCGATCGACGACCACCACCACCTGGGAAGAACGTGTCGTAAGCTCGTCTCATAACGAGGCTGAGTTCCATGGCACAAGACGAGGGGGGGACGCCCACGGCAGGCCTTTGCAGCTGGAAGGTCTCAGCAGTCATTACATTGACCCCTGACCAAGCCTCGGCGGAGCGCCATCGACCTCTGAGCGGCGTACTGAGCCCTTGGCAACAGTCCGCTACAGGCTCTCAACTTGGCAAATAAGCAACACCAGCCCTTTCAGCGGGGTTGGCATTTCTTGCGTGGTCCACATGCGGACTTGGTCATTTACCAAGACTTGGTCGTGTTTCGCTCGTTCAAATACAGCGCCGCCCTGTTTGACCTTTTGCCTTTCCAAAGCTTTCGTTTTGAAGATTTGCTCCGTCATCCTTCATAGTCACTCGTTCAGACTCCATTGTTATTGTTTTCCTAGTACTTTTAATTGCACGCATTCTTCCCTTTTTTCCCCTCCTACCGTCATCAATACTTGCTACCACACAAAATGAAGAGTTTCGCCACTATTGCCGCTCTCGCGGCAGTCGTTGCCGCCAAGGGCAGCCTGACCCCCATCGAAGTCAAGGGCAACGCCTTTTGGAAAGGCACCGAGCGATTCTACGTCCGTGGAGTTGCTTACCAGCCCGGTATGTACAAGCCATCAGCGAACAACTGGAAATAATGCTGACATTCGATTCCAGGTGGTGCTGCTGATGCTAAGGACCCTCTTCTCGACCTCGAGAGCTTGAAGCGTGATGTCGACAACTTCAAGAAGCTCGGTATCAACACCATCCGTATCTACACCATCGACAACTCCAAGAACCACGATGAGGGCATGAAGATGCTTGATGATGCTGGCATCTACCTCGCTCTTGACGCCAACACCCCCAAGTACTCGCTCAACCGTGAGAACGAAGACACTCTTCGCGCGTCTTACAACGAGGAGTACCTCCGATCCGTCTTCGCCACCGTGGACGCTTTCCAGGACTACAGCAACTTGATGGTCTTCTTCTCCGGAAACGAGGTCATCAACGCCAAGAACAACTCCAACGCTGCTCCCTTCATCAAGGCCGTCACCCGTGACATGAAGCAGTACATCTCCAACCGCTCTCCCCGCACCATTCCCGTCGGCTACTCCGCCGCCGATGTTTCCGAGATCATCGAACAGCAAGCTCTCTACTTTGACTGCGGAACTGATGACGAGCGTGCCGACTTCTTCGCCTTCAACGACTACTCGTGGTGCGACTTTGAGGACAAGCTCCAGACCTTCGAGGGTGCTGGCTGGAAGACCAAGATGGAGACTTACAAGGATTTCCCCAGGCCCATCTTCCTTTCCGAGCACGGTTGCATTGAGCCCAACCGCCAGTGGGGTGAGGTTGCTGCCATTTACTCCGACAAGATGAGCTCCGTCTACTCCGGTGGTCTTGCCTACGAATACACTGTCGAGCCCAACGGTTACGGTATCGTCGATCTCAAGGATGGAAGCATCGAGACCAACGAGGACTTTGACTCGCTCAAGGAGGCATACTCCAAGGCCAAGGACCCCAGCGGTGACGGAGGCGCCAAGACTAGCGGAACTCCCTCCAAGTGCCCTCCCAAGGACAAGAACTGGGAGGTTGAGGGTACTCTTCTCCCTGCTATTCCCGCCAAGGCTGTTGCTTTCATGGACAGCGGTGCCGGCACGGCTCCTGGTCTCGATGGTAAAGGCAGCCACTTCGCTGGAACCCCATCCAAGGGCACTGCTACTCCCGGATCTGGCCAGGCTACCCGCACTCCCGACGGCCAAGCCGCCCCTGTTAACAACGGTGGCAACGGTGCCAGCGCCGCCAACAACGTTGAGATTCCCATGAAGTTCTTCGGCATGGTTGGCGCCAGTGTGCTTTTGGGCGCTGCTTTGATGTTTTAAGCTAATGGAAGGGGCTTTTGTGTAGTGTTTGGCGGAGGTGGAAAATGAAGGAGAGGTTGCGTAGCGTATCTTGTACAGGTGTGAAGGAGTTGCATATGATAATCCGATCGATATACATTTCTTATCTTTCTTGTGTTTAGATCAAACGGCGCATTGAATTTACCTTGTTCACTTTCAGCCGCATTTGCGTCGAGTTGTCACGTGTGTCTGTCTGCTTACATTGAAGATTCCAATGTTGAAGTCTAACGATGCAGCTGTATGGAGTCCGGTTGCGGGCCGTAAGCGCGCGCGGAGAATCCGTACGTCGACACTCTACCTCGAAGCATCGATACGCTCAGTAGTTCTACATACCCCACCGTCATGCTCCAAGGATGAATGCACTGTATGTACCTATCTCTGCAGTTGAGAATCATGAATCGGTCACTGATGACGACAGTTGATGGACAGGCCCAAGTGTGTCGTAGCAAATGCGACGGTTTTGCACACGTAATCAGTCTCACAATTAGCTTTGCTGTCGTTGCACCATGAGCATAGGGTGGAATCATGTAAGCGCCCTGCGTGCAGTAGGTCGTCTTCGAGATGAGCGGCATTGCGCGGAAGTGTAAAGAGTTGGGCTTGGGAGGGTCATGTACAGTATCATCCAAGACGCCGGTATCCCGCAAATCTCTCCTCCCTCATCAAGAGCGGGCTGGAAGTCAATACCCCACTCAGGTGCAGATATATTGTGTGCAAAGGATAGAGAGAGGGAGGGGATGAAGCTGGTGGGCGGCAAGTGAGAGGAGCTGACGTCCAATCGCTACCGTCCATCTCCCGTCCTGGCGCTTGTGGTATTTTTGTCTTACATCGCCAAACACTCGCCCAATCATCTTCCCCCTTCGGCCTGGATCATCTTTGCTCCCGGCATCGTTGATCATCTCCAAGCGCCCTTGCACCGCTTCCGCCATCTTCTTGCAGTACGCTCTAGAGAATCCGCATGAAAATAGCAGCAATCATGCATGGCTGGCTGACCTCCCCCAATTTCGCCCGGCTCGTAAGCTGGCCTACAAAGACACCTCTGTGCGCTTCCTGCTCCTGCTAAGCTTCCAAGCTGGAGTCCTGAAGAGACAACAATCCCATATCACATCATATCTAGTCCTCGTTCTGCTGCACTGCTTGTTGGATCCGAGCGTCTTCAACCAACTACTTGGATCATGGCTTCCCTCACCTTCTACATAGGGGCCACTGTGCTGTTTGCTCAGTCAACTTTGGCCTTCAACTGCTCGAGGCCTCCCGTCTACGTTGACATTCATAAGCGAGCGGTCCACGACTCACCTGTCTTCCAATATGGATCCTTCATCGGCGTTGGATCACCTGCCCAAAACCACAGCTTATGGCCGTCATTATCACAGAACCACACCTCTTTCGCATCACTCTCATACTGCAGTAACAGCACCTTGAAGGACTGTGATAGATCTACTGGTGGCTTCTTTCAACCTAGAGACTCCACAAGGTACGGCTACTTCTTCGTGAAATTCGTGCTTCGTCCACTGATCTTCTACCCAGTTTTTCCGAGCGGAAAGATTTCCAGACTTTTGACAACAGCAATATCACGACCAAGGGCTTCTTCGGTCAGGACACTATCCGCCTATATACGCATTACTTTGAGACCGATGGCGCCTCGCAGACGCTTCTCGAGGACTCCACCGTCAAAGTGGCCGAAAGCGGCTCTATCATCCCAAGCTCCGTGGGCATGGGCGACTCATCGACTGTGCTTCGAGACCTGGCTAGCCGCGATATGATTGCTGGCAGGACATATTCGCTCTACATTGGACAAGGCTTCGACCGTGCTGGTGGTGCTGTCAATGGAAGCAATACATTCGGAGGTTATGACTCTGGTCGCTTCACAGGCCCTGTATCAAAGTACTCCATGGACACGTCTAAACAGAATCCCATGAGCGTGCTCGTCAAAGATATTGTCCTCACCGAAACCGCCAACCCAAACAGCAACGTTTCGCTTTTCGACTCCGCCGCTTTTCCCTCTATGAAGTCTCGCCACGATAAGTTCACTGCCGAAATCACCACAGACCAATACCCTCTCTCGCTCCCCTATCAGATCACGCAAAACTTCATCTCGCGTCTCGGTGCCGTCAAGGATAACAGCTGGAACGACAACTCTCTCAAGCTCAAGAATCCATTCAATGGCACCCTATCCATCGTATTGGACGATGGTTTCACAGTCACCCTTCCCGCTGAAGTCCTTGTCAACCAGTCTAATATCACGCCCATCCAAGATCGCGAAAAGGAATCCACAGCGCCATTTTACCTCTCTGTAGCCTTTCTCACGCAAGTCTACTTGATGGCCGATTTCGAAACCCAAAACTTCTTCCTCGCTCAGGCAATCCAGAAGAACAATGCCGTCATGCCCGTTCCTTTCTGCCCAAAATCTACACCCGTCGCCTATGAACCACCTAAGCAAAACGCGTGGCTCAAGAATGGACTCATCGGTGCTGTCATTGGAGGTGTATTTGGCAGTATTGGTATCGCAATTTGTGTGTATTGCTTCGTGCGCGGATACCTGAGGAAGAGGTATGTGAAAAAGTTTGAGAAAGAGCTGGAGAAGGGTCAAAGAGAGGCCAAAATGGCGCAAATGGAGATTGAAGAAGCTCCCGAATTCGACCCTCCGCCGAAGAAGAGCTTGAAGCCAACCTTTTGGCGAAAGAAATAACCACCCGGTTGTTTTCCGTTCTCTCCTTCTTATCAAAACGACATTGTGCCGCACTGCGTGTTTCCATGGTCTCTTCTGTCATACGTTTTGTTCGTCTTCTTTTTTTTCTTCACGTATATATTATACCCAGCGGAACACATTCGCTACAATGACATGTTTCATCATTCACGGGCTAGCTGCCTGTTTAATCAATCAACAATACCACGCTTGAAAATTCATCATCTTGTTATACACCGCCATCACTATCCTTCAATATCGTAGCCTCTTGAGCAGGCAATTCATATGAAAAGAAGACAAACATAACAACATGACGAATCGGAAAACAACACCCGTTGAGAAACTCTCTTCTTCCTGATCTGGTAAATCAGTTTCTCGGCTAATATTGTGGCGGCTCTTGAATCGAAGATGCGCTGGTGGGATGAAGGGCGAAGGTGACTTGTTTCCTGATGGGGATATTGGGTCCTTGAGACTTGGGTGAGACTGACGCAGACTTCGTTGCGAACTTTCATTCTAGTTTTCTCGGTGCTAATGGCGCAGAAAAATATGAAAGTGATGGTTATCTCAATCGTATATGCTATATTTTTCAGCGGTGTGTATTGGTGCTGAACTGATGTAGGAATCTCCGTACTCAAAGAGTCCACGACACCAACCGCCATCATGGTTATCTACATAACGGTTCTTCAAAGCAAAGCGATGATGGCTGCATGGGGAAAGTCATGCATATTCTCTATGATACTTCTCGGTGGTTCCAGAATCGCATTCCTCCACCTTTCTCCCTTGCTAGGTATTCACCAGCCCACCCGTTTGTTATGTTTTCCTAACATTTTTCATCTCCATTCCACAACACCTTGTTATGACAACCACCGAGTATCCGCAGAACAACACCAGAGTGTTATGTTTACTTTGGTATCCTCATTCTCTCGTCTAAACGCTATTGCCGCGAATGCGCTGCGTCGTTCGTCGTTCGGAGAAGAAGGGCCATTGAGACTAACACGACAGGACCAAGAGAAGGACTCGAGGATTGAAGCGCAAACGAACAACTGACTCGAGCTGCGAAGAATTCCCAATCACAACAAAATTGACATGGTTGACGCCGAGTAAACGGGTTTGCGACAATCGATTCGACTTGAATATCATTCGCCGGTCCGGACGTGGACAATATATAATGACACAAATTCAATCGCGAAGCATGCCTTCCCCAGGCCTAAGTCCTAATTTAGTAGTGGCAATCTCTACAGGTTTTGGGGTGGTTATGCTAGCACTCATCATCGGCCTCGTGTGTCTGTTGATACGATCTGTGCGAAAGCATAAACGTCTCCTGGCAGACCTGGAACAAAGAGGCGTCATGCTGGCGCGATCACAAGAAGACGCGAAAACTGTTGCCATAATGAGACCGCGTACAGTTTTGAAAAAGAGCAGAATCCTACCTTTCAACTTGAAGACAGGCTGGGGCGCGCTTCCATCGGTTGAAACCGTGAACGATATCAACACACCCAGACAGTCAATATCTGCTCCTTCTTATTACGCGCCACCGAAACCAGCGGGATTCGTGGAGAAGCCGAAGAGATTATCCTGGCCTTTTTCTGCTAGGAAGCCATCGGGTAGAGCGATACGGATGCGCAAACTTCGCGTTCCAGCGCTTTCGACAGTGATTGAGAGCCCGAAGCCGTCGCCGCTGGTTCCCGTGCTTAGCGGACCGCACGATCACGATTCCACCTCTCCGAAACAGAGTCATATGCGAAGTACCTCTGATCAATCGCTGTTACAGCACCACCCAGTTTTTCGCAACGATGCGCAGCCGCTGCAAGTCGATGTCATCCAAGCGGAGCCCCTACGTCGAAGCATGACTGTTCGACCCGTCACAAAACCAGAAGTTACGACGCGCACAAACAGATCGAACTCGATTGCTGATATTCCTGTGAGGGATAAGAACGTAGCGATACCTCGCCTTCCGCGACCACAGATTCATGCTCGAACAGTGAGCATGTGTAGCCAAGGATCTGGCAACGCGCCTGAAGGTGGATTGCCCCCGCCTCCCCTACAAGTCGCACGCGTCAAAGCCGAAGACCGAAGACGCAGCCTACTGAGCCGTAGTCCAACGCGTCTGTCAATTTCGAGCTTCGAGTCGGCCGATACCTCGATCCTGACACAGTCCAGTCCAATTATACGAAACACGCATGCTGTTGCGAACAAAGTGACAAAACGAGATCCGAGAAACATTGGGATTGCAACCCCCAGATCTGTGCGTAACAAAACAGTGACTGTTCATAAGACGAATCATGCCCTTCACAACTCCATCCAGAGTAGTATCGCGAGATTTAGTTCAGCGACTTCCTCGACGCAGCCTGAAAACCAACATCCAGAGTTCCGCCATTCGCTGCACTCGGTGTCGCCCAGCAGTCAGAACCTAGAGAGAACTGGCTCGTTTGCTGCGCGAAGCCTCAGAACACCCAAACGCAAGTCGGCCACGTTTGTGACGCCTTATGGTTCTCCCGAAGACCGGCGAAAAAGATCCTCTATTTTACAGCGCGTCTCTGGAAACCAGGGTATTCCCGCTCGCCAGCTCTCGCAGGCTTCTACCCAAGCAACATCAACACGAAGCAGCAATGGTGATCCTTTCCAGTGGGATCCCACTCCTATGTCGACTGGAAAACCTTCAAACTTGAAAGGGAGTCCTCTCGCTCGAAAGGGTCATCGGCGACAACCCTGTGTTCGGATTGTTGTAGAACCAACCGTATTAGGTCCACGCAGTAGATCATCAAGTCCAGCGATTATGAAGGGTATCCAAGAAGAGTCATCTCCCATTACCACACCTGCTGAAGTCAAACTGGACATTGGATTGGGATTTACCAACAGGCGATCACTTCCACAGCCACCCAGCACTTCAATTTTTGCGCCCGATATCAAGCTTGGAACTACGTCGATTCGCGCGTCACTGACACCTAGTTCGCCCACTTTGTCAATGGCAAACTATGACCACGGTCCCATTGGATCACCTGTCCTCAGTCGAAAAGTGAACTCAGTCTCCAATAACTCTTCAAACCGCACGAGCATAGGTCCAGAGGTCTACATCCCCGCGTTCTCCAATCCATACGACAACGAATCGAATGTTCCAGACTTTGCAAACGCCCCACCAACTTTCGCATTGGCACGCGCACCATCCGAAGAAGTATTGGATATCGATACCGTCGCGGGAGCATCTTCACCATTCGAGATGCTCTTCGAGATTGACTCCTCGCCCACCAGAGCCATATCAATCGAGGAGTACGATCCGGAACACCCCCAACTCACTCTACACACACCAACTCGCAGCAATTCCAAACAGACACGAACATTCTCCTCACCCTTCTCTGTCATTATAGAGGAAACGCCAACACAGCAATCGAAGGACAGCGACACTACCAACCACGCCATTGACTCACCACCGTGCTCTCCGAAAACGATCCCGGCGTCAACACTGGAAAGCAAAGCGGCACGAGACCGATGTTCGGCTTTTGATCTACCTATCCGACAAACCGCTATTCTCGAAGACTCCGAGGCCATTGATCCAGCATTATTGAGCAATGAAGCATTTCATAGTCTAAACAGTCCTTTTGATTACAAGACCTCTCCTTCCTTCTCAGCATGGGGCCACAACAGCAAACCCGAGGCTCGTATTCCAAATAGTTCAGAAAGCGCAAAAGCCTTGATGGAGCCGCTTCTCAATGCTGCCTTCCCCTCCAGTCCCCCCATGCTGTCTCTGCCTACCTCACCATCTTCCAACGCCGTGCCAAGTCTTCTTCCTCGAGCGCCGGCGTCTCCAAGGCCAAGTCATGCTGGACTCCCTCACTCTCCACCATACTCGAGTATTGCGGAATCTTCTGCGCCCGCATTGGATTTTACCAACATGCCCACCCTTACACCAGGGCTCAATGGCCCCCGTGTTTTGCCAGCGCGGCCTCTTCGTTCGAGTATTCAAGAGCTACGGCGCATGAACTCGGACGCAGAGAAGGGAAATGGGCGTGAAGAAAGGCGCTATCGGAGATTGTGTCGGGAAGATAGTATCGGTTTGCCTGGGGAAGAAAGCTTCATGGACGGTTTAGACGAGGAAACCGAGACGTGGTCCAACGCAGATCATACCGAATTCGACGCCGAAGATTACGAGAAAGAAGAAGACGAAGAAGAGGGATCAACATGGAACGAGGAAAAAGAACGTAAGCTTGTCGGCGACCTCCTCAGCTCCGACTGGGAAGAAGCACCGGAAATGGAACAAGCTAGCCATCGACATTCTCCCCCTGCAAAAAACAATGCAGAAGACGATGATATCGATTTCACAATCATTTCAATACAGGATCACACCTCCAAGAGCCCAGCTCTCACTTCTTCCCCAGCGTCTACGGTGTACCCATCATCCCCATCAGCATCGATCCTCGCCACCACCATGCCGGCAAAGCCCACCAACCCAATAGACCGCAGCTCCTCGATCTGGGAAGACGGCGAGAAGTTCTGGACTTCTACGCCACCTTTCCACCAAGCCGCGCAAAAACCGCTGTCTAGCACTTCGCCCACGCATATCGCTAAGGAAACTAAATCCCATCCACCTCCTCCACCGCGTCTTTTCTATCTATCATCCCCATCGTCACCGCCCAGACCTAACAAGCTCAATCAAAACAACCCTCCCTCAGTAGCACCTACAGCACAATCTGCGGGAAGCAGCAAGAAACGTAGTTTTCCCACCACAACACACTCTTCTTCCCCTGCACCTCCACCTCCTAGTCATCCTACAAGCCCCACTGCAACCTCATTCCACCCCTCCAAATGCCCTCTCAACTCCCAACAAAACGTACCACACCTCATCCACGATTCCAACACCACTATCGAAGCACTGTCGACGACAACGCCGACTAGCGACGCTGGCACGAACAGAAATAGCCAAAGTCGCTACCGTAACAGGGGCAGCAGTAGCAAGAAAAGAGGGAGTATGAGTGTTCCGTTGAGTGTTGTGGATACGCCGAACGGGAGGAGTATACAGGTCTTTCCGCCGGGCAGTGCGGGGACTGTGGGGACTGTGGGGAGTTTGTATGATGCTGGAGGGTTTTTGAGGGAGTGAGCTTTTTTCGCATAGCTTCTCATTTTTACTTTCTCGACTGTCAATCTCTGTCTTTCATTTATTTTTTTCACTTGTTTCTTGGTGGGATTTGCTAGTGTTTTTATCTCCACGGTTTCTCACTTTTGGGGGTTGAATATGGTATGCTGCTGCTGCTGCTGTTCAGAGACGGCACCTTTATTCTGTGGAATGGGTTTTCTTTCAGTTTTCCTGGTAGAAATGTGGTGTTCATTAGCTTTCGTAGCTATTTACTTAATAGTCAAATTCTCTTATTGTGCATTGCTAGTGCGCTGACATTCATACATATGTAATTCTACCTGAATACCTCCGGCTTCGTGTGTAGAAGTATTCAGTCTGACGTTTATTGAAGGGTCGATTAGGGTGACAAGAGCAAAGAAAAAGAATATGAACGAAGAGACTAATATATTCACTCATTCCAGAAGCTTCGCCTTCATGTCTTCCAAAAACTCACAACGATTCCATCGGGTTTAACATCACCCAGAGATTGCTACGGCCGAAGCCCTGCGGTTCAGCCAAAACGCGACATGGATTTTGTAACCCACGGCCCAACCTCGACTTTCCCGGCAGCACCGCTACAAAGCCCTGGAAATATGGGGTTCGACTGTATAACGCAGCCATGACTAAAGTTTGTTTCAATCAGCATGGTCAAGCCATCTCCAACATCATCACGGTCCGCAAACCCGCTAAACTCATCCATTACACTTGGAGGAAGATGGTCCTTGAGCACGGGATCAGGCGTTGGCGGGTAGGAAGGGTAGAAGTAGATCTGGAAAGCGGGTGGTTCGCCATTGGAACAGACGAGTTGACTCAAGTAATCGTGAAAGAGAGACATGGGCAAGCCATCCAAGCTCTCGAGATCAACTGCCTGCCCATCCACCGTCATCCAGCCGTGTTTCGGCACCACCGTGCCCGGCTCGTCGTATCTATCCGACCTAGTCTGTAGCTCCGTCCCCACGTCTATGCGCTCTCTTCCCTCTAGACAGGCTGTCGATTCGGACGCGCGAGGATCGCCGAGTCGGAGAATGCATTCCACCACCGTTGAACCGCCCATGCCGTAGTGCTTCTCCAGCAGCACGAGACGTCGCAGCGGCTCTTTGGTAACCCGCATGCGGCGCCAACTCGCGTGTTCTCGCCTCCACGCCGCTGGGTTGAGCAGCCACGCCGAGTACCAGAACCTCTGGTGCGAAGGCACGGTAGGTGGGTTTTCGTGCGCGCCAACGGGGTAGGTTTCGTCGTCGATACCATAGATATCTACTTCCGATTCTGTTTTTTCAGGCGATGGGGTTTCTTCTGGAGGTGTCTTTGCAGGGAGTGAAGCTTCTATCATACTCGGACTGTCTTCAGTAGACGAGGGCCCGTGTGCATCCAACTTTTGCTGCCATTTTGCAGCCTCGTCTGTGTCAATGTCCCAGAGAGGCGCAAACACGTTCGGGAAGGCGGATGCTATGAGGGGATTGACCGTATATGCTGCTCCTGTCGCTTCCGGGGATGTGGATCGGAAACACAGTGCAGCCTGCAGGGCTGGGGAAGTCGTAATCAGGTTCTGTACCGATTTAGAGAGGGCTTGCGCCAGAAGGAGATCCCGGAGCGGAAGTTGGAGGAGTATGTTTTCCAGGATCTCCGTAATGGCGAAAGCGCGCGAGGTCGCGGTTGGTGCAGCCATATCGGCATGTAGTGTATAATGTTTACTGGAAACGAATATTCATTTCTTTTATGGCTAGACGTCACGATGTTGTTGCCTACATGTGTATGGTTGCCTAACCACTATGACCTTAGTAAGCGACGTAGGTACTCCCTTGTGTAACTCGTAATCAGTCGCATATTGAATGCGGCACAGTGGAATATGACTGCAAATGGTGGTTACACAGCAGGTCATGCTTTTATCAACGTCACACGTACTTGAGTTAGGCTGCCATGCAGTCAACACAAGTCCGGTGTCAATAATTGTTTGCGAAGTCCACTCCTACCTGACCGCTGTGCGAAGGCTGGTCTACGGTATCGGGGAATGGAATATATAATGAAACCATCATGTTTCGGGGTGACAGACGATATATGATGGTGGCTTCGATTTCGGATTCCGGAAACCATTTTTCTCTGTCAGTGTTGCATAACAACTGTTGCAGATTAAAAGTTGGGGTCACCGATGATGCGTGTCAGCCAATAGTCTTCATGTAGGCACATCAGTTGTGCCGTCTGTTACATCACCAACTCGATTGGCTTCAGCCAGTGGGGGCTGCAAGACCTACAGCAATGAATGAATGCAGATTATATTACCCCGGTAGTTGAGCAGCCTCCTCGTATGTCCCACCACTACTTTCGGGTGAGTTGCCGCTGCATGACTGCGGCCATGTGCAATATGGCTTTGGAGACTTGCTTTGCCTTGCCCAAATGAAGGCGGCGTAGTATAAGTGATTGGGATGACTGAGATAGATAAGCACAATCATAGCGGTTGCATAACCGACATGCATCAACTTTCAACGAAGGCTAGTGCTTGCTGTTCTGGAGGTTAAGTGTAGGTGGGGGTACGTACATGTTGTGATTATACGGACTTGGCCCGTTACAGCAACCATTCTCAGCGCGGCACGGCACACACAGCCAGTCTTTTGATACTCATTCGCCCAACTGCCGCTTTCGAGCCTGCATACATCTCTAGATAGCACGGCTGGAATCCGGCTTATGAGGGTCTATCGGTGCTGTAGAATGTACGAAGACGAATGCTTGTGTCAGCTCGGACATTGCCATTTTGCGACGACCTCGCAGCAGATCTTGACACGACACGAAGGAGGACTAAAATATTACAAGCTGAGTGATTTTTATTCGGTTTCCGACGAGAGTATTGAGAAACGTGGCAGGAAACAACCACCTGGTACAGATCGCCAGACCTCGGCCACGCACAGTTCCTGAGCCACGCTGGCTACCCAAGAGGAGATTTTTCCGCAGGCGAGACAAGAGCTATTTCCGGTTTTAGGCTGTCAGCATGTACAAACATACATAAAAGAACGGTCGTGTAGGGTACGAAAGCAGTTAACGCTAGTCTTCCCGTCAGCCAGACACCAAGTCAGCAAGAGTGATTGCATGAGCCTGCCATGACTCCAGTTCGACGAGAGAAACGCTCGCGGTGCTGCTCTGCGTTGGATTGTTGGAGACAAGATTTAACCAGCGAATAAACGATGTATGATCGGCAATTGCACGCAATCTTCGCTCCTAAATCGTGCGCAACAGCCGACGCGGAGGAATGGAAACCATGGGGGAAACCTGAAAACCAACAATCTGCCTCGCTGCCTCCAGCGTAGGGTTCGCCTGCCCTGTTATGCGGAAGCAATGTATATCACGAACGGTACATACACATGTACAACGATAGTGAGTAGGATTCGGACAGGGGTGCTCGGGGACTAAGACAAAGAGTCGTTGGGTTCTGGGCGAATCATGATATGGCAGCTTGCTATGGTCATGGCCGACTTTGGATTGGCGGCTGCTACAAACCTCGAGGATTATCAGTATACAGTCGGAGACGTTACACACCATATACGCGCGTGTGCTGCAAGATAGTCATATCCATGCCTAGCACCTCACTCCTTCCATGGACCTTCCTTATACAACAGCCAGTAGCTGTGTGCAGTGGGGAAGTAATCTACCTGTTGTGAATGCCAGATGGTTGCGGAGCAATAACGTGACTCTAGTGACGCACCCGCCCAGCAATTCACTATCGGCACTTGAAGTGATATTGCATGAGAATTTCCGCTTTGTTGGCTGCAGACGGAGTGCATTTTCTGCTGCATATCCTCGCGAGCGAAAAATATATATAAATTCCCACTTGCCCACTGGACCCTGACGTTCGAGCTTCCATCCACCATCGTCAAGTTCCCCACTCGGAATCCGAACCATGAACCGCAAACCAAACGGCAAGGCAGCCGTCAACGGCCACACCAACGGCGATGCCAACGGTCACTCCCGAACCGAGCGTGAGAAGTCTCCCCCAAAGAGGTTCGATGGAGTTCACATGGGCGCCTGGGTCGATTGGCTGCCAGCTTCGTGGAAGCCGTACATCCAGCTGGCCCGCATGAGCCCGCCGGTCCCGCTCCTCCTCATCTTCTTCCCTCATCTGTTCGGCGTGGCTCACGCTGCAGTCACCCGCCAGGCCTCTTTGGACGACATCCTCCGTGTTTCCGGCATTCTCCTCGGCGGCAGTTTCTTCTTCTCCAACGCAATCCACGGCTGGAACGATCTTGTCGACGCGCCCATTGATGCGCAAATCCCCCGAACGGCAAACAGGCCCATCCCACGAGGCGCCATCAGCCCTCGCGCGGCCTTCATCTTCACGGCAATCAACGCGCTGATCGCTCTGCTCTTCTTCCTTCCTCTGCCAGTGGATGCGATTTGCGCCTCAGTCCCTGCCATTGTCACCAACTACTACTACCCTTACTCGAAAAGGCACACTAAGATCCCCCAAGTCATACTCGGTGTCGCGCTGCAATGGGCCGTCGTCCTCGGCAGCACCGCGATGGGGGTAAGCAGCGCATGGACCGACCCATCCGTTCTGAGTCTGTTCTTTGCCTCGCTTATTTGGACCATCATCTACGACACAATCTACGGATTCCAAGACTACGAGGTTGACGTCAAGCTCGGGGTAGGAAGCACCGCGGTGCTTTTCGGAATCACCTACGGCAGACTCATTCTGTGGTTTCTGAGCGAGGTCGTAGTGGGTCTTCTATTTGCTTCGGGCTACATTGAGGGCATGTCTTGGGTGTACACCGCCATCGCCGCTGGTGGCTCGTTTGCTTCGCTTAACCTCATGATGGCTATGGTGGATGTGAGGAACCCGGAGAGCTGCTCTTGGTGGTTTGCGTATGGGTTCTGGGGCCCTGCCTTCTCCATTTCCCTTGGCCTGCTTGGCGAGTACGCGCTATAACTTACAAGGTGATTACCCGGTCGGAAGGAACCGAAGCCACTTCGTCAGAGGCGGCTCGGGGCGTGAAAGGTGGAATGGTGGGCGGGGGCAGAAGGTCCACCAAGCAGCTCCAGATATGTGTTCTTCAGATATGTGTTCAAAAACTCAGGGCTGTGTTCAATACAGATATCATGATAGTAGACCATGGAGCATGATAGAATCTCTAAGAACCATGTTTCAGCATCCATAACCATTTCCAACACGTATCCATTCCTTGATTGTAACCATGAATTTTCCCCAACGCGACAAAGAACCGCTCCAACTTGACCCACTGACAATAAGGTATTCGCTCCCTGCTAGCGTTTCCAAAGACCTCCAACAATCTATCGTTAGTCTACTAGATAGGCGGCCATGATCCGTACTAGTAATATCCTCCGCGTACCAAGCACTTAGGTGCGTGATCGATCAACGCCCTGCCAGCAATCTCCACGTCGATAATGGCGCAATGACATACAATTTGGAATTGCCCGAATCCAACAACCAAGACCGGGGCGAGCTCCGGAAAATCAAACCCCGCCACATGAAGATACTATCGTCGGAATCAGACAAGACTGGTCTGGGTGAATTAGGACGCTTCAAGGGTATCCAACGCCGTGCTTTCTATTCTTGGTTAATGAGCAGGCTGGGCTTCTCGTCACAGCTAGGTTCTTTGGGAAAAAGGTCCATAAAGTGCAGATAATGGCAATTTAGATTGTTTGCACAAGCACTGATGTGTCACAGTATGGAAAATCAAGAATAAAGTTCCAACAGAGAACAAGGCAAAATGATCTGAGCTTTGAAATGAACGTCTATTTTGCCGCGATTAGACGCGGGATAAACACGTTGAAAGCCAAGAGCCAGGGTCTAGATAATGAAACTTGAAAGCAAAATCACTTGACGCAGTGTCTTATCTACAAGCGTTCTGAACGCTATGCAGTATCTGGTAGATAACGATGTATTTGCAAATGATTGCGGCTATCGCGATCAGATAGATCTCGCAAAACACGGCAAACGAAATCACTGCTGATTAGATATTGGCAGGTACGGCCAAGTAAACCATGGACTGAGTTCATACTGTCACCGTTTTGGAGTGAAGAACAACCGCAACTTGATGTAAGACGTTCAAATGTTGGAAAGATATTTGGCACGTGACTTGTATGTTCTACAAACCTGCGGATTTCGATTAGATACTGCTTCTTATGAGAACCTGAAATTAAATTCGGACTTGAAAAATTCATAACTTGTATCTCGATTGAAACAGCGGCTATCAAGACGAACAACATGTGTACCTCAACATCCGGCATGATGAGAACGAATCATGGACGAGTGCAAGACCCGCATTCCTACATGCTCCTCAATCATCGACTGAAGCAAATCATCTAGATCCCTAGGAGGAAGAAAGAAGAAGCCATTAAAGAAAAAGCCCTACTCTCTCCTCACCCGTGTATGTAGAAGCTAAACAACATTTCTTTTCAAGCACATCTCACTTGCACAGCTATCCAACTCTCCTCACGATCCCCACGCCCGTTGCATCTTCTCCAAAACACACGCAGGTAGAATCTATCATCAAAACAATTCACGAATACCTATCCTGTTCCTCTTCCAACTCCAACTGAAGTGAAGCGTTAGGTACATTGGATCCCCCGTAGTCCTCCACTTCACACTAGTTTTTACAAAGCGAGCATCAATGCCACTGATAAGTCCTGACCACAATCCATTGAATTTCAAGTGTCACAGGGAGTTGAGGGAATCAAGTAGGAAAACTGAATACAACTACGCTAGTTTCCAGGGTAATACGGCTCGATGCAAAGAAGCGAGAGGAGAGTTGGAAAACAGCATAGGAATGGAGTCCAAGATAGAATTCGTGGTTTATGGAGATCGAGGTTGAAAAGAGGAGTTTATGTAGTTACAAGTGCACAAAAAAGCCGTGGTGCCGGAATACATACCTACTACACACATGGGCGCCGTTAAAGGGTAGAAAAGAAAGAAAACCACTCCCAGCGGGGTCAACAAGAGTGCATTGATTCGATCGCCTTGCAAATGCAAATAAACAACAGCAGCAGCAACAGACGGACAATCAAAAATCACCAAGTGCATTCCGTCACCCCAAAGTCATACAGTAATAGCCCCGTCTGCCACGCAAAGCAAAATCAACCACATGGAGTGGAGTGCAGAAGGTGTGGTGAGTCAAACATTCAGAAACGCCAGGTAAAATGCTAAGAAGAAGAAGAAAGAAGAACCGACCCCATTGTGCCATTACCCCCCTAGATCTGGGCCGAGATCGGCTTCCAGATGCGGACTTTGGCGTCGTCACCAGCGGATGCAAAGACGCGCGGGTTCGTGGGATGCCACGCGATCGAATTAACGCAACCCGAATGTGCATCCAACGTCTCAACGAGGGTCCCATTGTTTCGCCAGATATAAATACGGGAATCTAGACAGGATTGTGAGCACTCAGTAACAAGATGAAAGGAATAGATCGAGGAAGTGGGGAGTTCTCACCTTCACTGCCGCTAACGACAAAGCTCTCGTCGGCGCCGCCAAACGACGAGCGGATGACGAATTCCTTGTGCATGTGCCCATGAAACCTCTGCACGACTTTTCCAGAGTCGATTTCCATCAGCTTGACCTTGTCCGGGCTTAAGCTCACAAGCATGTGGTGCGAATCTTGGCTGATGGTAACGCTGGTAAGGTTTTGGTCGTCGTCTTCGAAACGCCACTCGCCGATCTTTTCATATGTCATGAAGTTGTATACGAAGATGCGCTGGTCCACGAGCAACACAACAAGCCGCTTGCCATCGGGGGATACAGCGAGATCATTGACGCGGTAACTGTCTTCGTGAAAGGTGTGGATTCGGTGGCCATTAAGATCCCACACACTGCAAGGGAGTTGGTTGTCTTGTGAGCCAATGACAACCAGTTGACCAGACGGCGCCCATGCGGCCGCGGTGCACGCATAGGTGAAATCACTATAACACCTAATACATACACCAGTCTGCACTAGTTAGCGGACGCGTTAACCACGATAGCATGGATGTAGTTTACACACCTTGACGTCCCAAATACGTGCCGTGCTCTCTCCACTGGGGTTCTCCTGGGAGCCGGAGGACGAGATGAGTTTCGAGTCATCGGGGCTCCAAGCTACGTGGCTAACACCGGATCCGTGATCATCCAGTCGATGAAGCACCTTATACGTAGTCGTGTCGTAGATGACAATGGTTCTGTCTCTGCTGGCCGACGCAAGCTTGCTACCATCGTGCGAGAACTTGAGATACCATACCTCATCCTTGTGATTCCTAAGCTCCATGACTGGCTTCATTGGGAATTCGTCTCGTTCGCAGCTGTGGTCAACGTAGAGCGAGGGGGAAGCAGCCGTGTTGTGGTAAAGGCAGTTTGCAATCCAGCCGGCTTTTACCTTGTCTAGCAAGGTAACCAATCTGTGCTCGGGGATCATCACGCTAGGTGATATCGATTCTGTAGACCGTCAGAGCCAAACAAACACACCGCTGGGACGAACGCAGCTTCGGCACGCAAGTGGGGAAATCTTACTGGAGAGCTCAGATAGGAGGGCAGCGCGAGACTCGCCCTCGGCGCCATCCCACAGTGCCTGCGCTCTGAGGTCTTCGGCGGACGGGCACATGATCAAGCTACAGACATTAGCAACGCTGCGAGTTTGGATACAGGGACATGAGCTGACCTAGAGAGAGTGTGCAATCTGGCGACATCTTGATGAAGAGGGGTGAGCTCCTGTCGGAGAACCATGAGAGCTTTCCCGAGATCTCTCCTTTCCAGCAATTCCAGGTATTTCTGCTGTTTGAGCCAGAAGAGCATCTCGTTTCTGTTGACGTTTTCGGCAAGCGGCAACCCTTCAGAATGATGCGGAGATGCCATGGACCTTGATTTGGACCACGACTTGTCGTATTTGCTGCTACTGCGGCCCAATTCGATGCCCCCTTCCGTGTCATAAGAGTTGCTCCCGAACAACAGCTCCTCAGCCTCTGCCCAGTCACCATTCAGAACGGCGCTTCGGAAAGCTGCCACGGTAGGTCCTTCCAGCGTATATCCACTCTCTTTCACCAAAGATCTCGCAGCGTCCTGGTAGCCCAGATCCGTCAGACTCTGGATCATGACGCGTGTAAGCTCCTCCCTGTCGTGACCTCGAAAAGTCGGAGATCTGGAGGAGCCGTTCGCTACCGAACTTCCATTGGTATACGTATGCGAGTCGCCGTTAGCGACGCTGTGCAGTGGCGATTTCTGGGCTGCCGATGAGGAGGAGGCGCCGTTGGAGAAGCTCTGGGCGGAGGAGTTTGACCGGTTTGAAACATCAGCATCATGGCGCATCGTCTCTGTTCCACGCCTCCGTTTCTTAGTAGGGCGAGAGGACCGGCCTCGTTGCAGTTGGGTATCGTCGCTCTCGGAGATGGAGTCGCTGTCGGATGCACTCAGCCTACGCTTCCCCGTGGAAGAGGACAGAGCGAGGTCTGGCGGGGGGTTGGAGGGGGGTTCGTGGGCAGAGAAGACTGGGGAATGAGAAGCTGGGGAGATCGGGATGGATGGGTGGTCGGAGGTGACTGGGGAGGGGGCGTCTCGGGCGGTTTCGTCGGCCAGGACGAATGTTGTGGGAAAGTTAGCCGCACGGGTGCGGATGGGCAGACGGAGGAGGCGGTGGTAGTGGCCGTGGGAGGTGGCTTGTCGGGGAAGTGGATGAGGGCTGATTCATCAGACAGCGGACAGGAACGAGGTAGATGGATGGAAGCTCAGAAACGGTAGAGTTGGCAGTAGCGCTGGGGGGAAGAAGGTCGGGGCGGAAGAGATGTGTGGTTGTGGAGAGTAAGTATGCAGGTAGTTTGGGTACCGAAGGTACGTGGGTAGATGGTGAGGGCTGTACGATGTCACCGGCGCGGGAGTGATGGCGGGATCGCTAGCGGCTTGGTGGCCGGCCAGGACAAGCTGCTGTGGGGACCTGGGATGAAGGAAGAAGGACCTTGACGGCGATGGCAGAGCTCAAGCAGATATGGGAGGGACATAAAGTGCATGTATCAATGTTTGTTGTTGCTGCCGCTGTACTGTACATAGACGCACCATCTGGCTGCTGGCTGCTGGGAGAGAGAGTGATGATGCACCAGCCATGCATGGACCTCGCCTTGCCTGAACGGACCTCATTGCAAGCGGCAGGATGACGACGTACCGCACGCGCTGTCGTCTATACGGTTGTACATATCCAACTATAACATCCATTTATTCAAAGCGACCGTGCTATCACTCCGGCTGAGCACTCCAGGCGGCTTTGCTGGAGACGATGCGCCAGCGCTGGCACGCGCAGTTAGACGTTCAACAACGGTGCCAAGTTTGACCACCCATGGCCCAACAAAGAAGCCAAAGCCCGCCGTTGTCAACAAAAACCTGGAATGGAGAATCAATGTATGTACTTCGCCGCTCATTGTCTCTGCTAAGCACGCATCCTTATTGCCATCTGGGAGTCTTGCAAAGGTCACAGGTGACGGAGCATCCAAGTGCGTTATCAACATTACTATTTGGGACTAGAGTTCCGATAAGCAGTTTATTAGGGAGATGCCTGTTTATTAGGGAGATGCCCATCACTGTAGGAGAAATGGCGGGGTATCTGCTTACTAAGGTGGCATCTCCCTCATAAAGTGGCATCTCCCTTATTAAATTGGCATCTCCCACGTATTTCACGTCTCCTATACTATTTTGACATCTCCCACCTATTTTAACATCTCCCACCTTAATCAACATCTCCCACCTTAATCAACATCTCCCACCTATTTTAACATCTCCCACCTTAATCAACATCTCCCACCTTAATTAACATCTCCCACCTATTTTAACATCTCCTACCTTAATCAACATCTCCCACCTTAATTAACATCTCCCACCTATTTTAACATCTCCTACCTTAATCAACATCTCCCACCTTAATCAACATCTCCCACCTTAATTAACATCTCCCACCTTAATCGACATCTCCCACGTTAATCAACATCTCCCTCCTATTTTGACATCTCCCACGTAAACTCGTTATCTCCCACATAAATGCATCTCCGCTTGCATGCAGGATACGCATTAGTTCTATCATGAGTTGCTTGTAGAAACACTATTTTATTTCGAGTTTTAGATCTACCTGCATGATTATTGACCAGGTGCACTGCATGGCGGGCGGTGCAGCAGAGATGCTCAATTTGTATAGGAGATGGTTCAACTTCGCTCTTCTCACCTAACCGTCTTGCTTTCACCTAGCACACACGGCCTCTTCAACATCTTCAACATCTTCAACGCCAGCAACCCGGATCAAAACGAGGTTCTCAATCATCTTTACCACGGTTTTATTACCATCACTACTGCCAATGCCCATTGTCGCCCGCCTCATACAATCGCTTTGGGTTTACTTCTCTGAGCCTACTTGTCATGCGCATGGCTCCTTCCATCCTCGTGCAGAACGGCTCCTGCCATTGTCGCGCAGAACGGCTGCTACTGTCAACGCGAAGCATGGCATTCCGTTTTTTTCTTTCTCTTCTACCATCCACTTGTGCTGTTTCTGTCCTTCCATCTACTTGTGTTGCGCATCATTCATTTACGCCGACAATTGTTCCGTTAAGGCTGTTGAGCACGAGAAATTCTACCACTCTGCCTACGCAGCGAACGCAACATAACGAAACCTACGCAATCCAGCAATCCAGCAATGCCAAAGATCCCCTCTCAGACAAGGCTTCAACAACCGAGGAATGAGAGCCCATACGGAGAAAATAGACCAACTTCAAACAATTCGCCTTCTCTGACTGCAGCTCTGCCACCTATTGAGCCTATCGAGCCTGTCGAGCCTGTCGAGCCTGTCGAGCCTGTCGATCCCGTTGAGCCCGTTGAGCCTGTCGAGCCCACAGCAACTAGTGGTAAGTCTGTTCATCGTGCCAACTGGTATGCATACTTACACATACATGAGGTTCGCCCACGTTGCCTACGCTTGAGCTACAACTTCTACGCTGCAAGGACTGCCTTACGTACTGCATCGACCCGCGTGACCATTATCGTGGAAAGCCTTATGCCCGATGCGCTACCTGCCGCAATAAACGATATGAGAATGATTTAAGGAACAGACTGCCACTTCCAAGCAAAAGAAAAGAGGTTATCCCAGATTCTGAGGAGTCTGAAGAAGATGTCTGCGAGCCCACAGCAACTAGTGGTAAGTCTGCTCATCATGTCAATTGGTACGCGTACCGTAGAGTTGGGCAAATAACTGGCACACTGCGCCCTAGTTACTAACGCCATACAGTTAAAAATCGTGAAAATCAACAATAACTCTACAAGTCGTGAATTACTAAAGATTGCGGTGTGCCTGTTATTTGCGTAACCTTGCGGTACTCTACGGTACCTACACATTCAGTAGTATCATCAGTATCACACCAAATAGTGGTAAGTCCGCTCATCATGTTGATAGGTACGCACGTTTACACATCCAATAGGTTCGCCTACATCTAAGACCCAGCCTATACAACAACTGCCTTCAGTATTGTATCGACCCACAGGTCCTTTAGGGTGGAAGGTCCCATCCGCCGCGATTGGAAGGTCGAAATATGAACGAATAGCCAGAGTTGAAAAAGGCAGGATGTTTTTTTGTTGTTAAAGCAGAGTAGTCAAGGGTTTAATGTTAAAGATATTCTACAGTCTCTTCCCCTCCCTAGAGTGAGTAACTGTAATCGCTTTACGTACAATAAACACGTTGAATATTCAGCTTCGTGCAGGACACTTGCGACTCTGTGGTAAAGAGTTGCAGTGTTTCACAGTCAAATTCAGTCAATACTCGTCATGTTCAGAGTGTTTGAGTTAGCCAAAAACTAATATCATTATAGTTTTCTAGCGTAAATGACGGTAACTCTTAAACATCAAAGAAAAAGCATTACTACATACTAATAGCAGTAAACATGTAGGAACACAGTGGGCTGAGCAAAGGCTATTAAAGTAAAAGCCGTTGTATAAATCTCAACAGCAGGTGTTAGCAACAGTAGTAATAGTAGTATCTGTGGTAATATTGTGCAAGTTCGTCTTTTACTAATATCACAAGGGCGGGCCCACCCTAGGATCGGCTATCGACACCTACTTAAGGCTTTGCTGTATGTCTAGATCATATTAACATGTTGTGAGAACTGTGTTAAGATGCTATTTGATACGGTATTTAAGCAGAAAGAACAGTTTATACCCTATCCTTCGGTGCGCCCTCCCGTGTAGTAGAAGTAAGATAGTTTTCTTTCATGTATATCATCAACCAATGACCAACAGTGTCTGTTGACGTAGATGACCTGAAGTAAGATATTTTTGTTGTTATCCTTTGACATTACATGTGCTCAAACCCTATGCTCAATTGATTAGAAGAAGATTTTGGGCAGGATTGCGAGAAGAAGCGTATAGTCCGATCTTCTAGCCTTTTTGAGTATCCAGATCGTTGAATTTGAAAATGAAAAGTTAATCTACCAAGGCAAAGTTTCGTCCGTCATTTAGGTGTTATGTTTTCGTCCGAAACATCAACGCCCGTTACGATTCGTCCGCTCAAACTCGCATCAGATATCAAGCCGAGTAACATAAAGTGAATGGCAAAAACCTTCTTTAGCAATCGCAAATATAGCACCAGCTCTTTGATTATCCCTCTCGAAGACTATGGAGCAGCAACTCTTCACTGTCTTTGGCGCAACGGGCCAACAAGGAGGAGCGTTACTTCAATACCTCTTCAATCATCCACGGCTCTCGAAAATTTACAGGCTCAGGGGTGTGACGAGAGATAGCAAGAAGCCGGCTGCACGAGCCCTGGTAGAGCAAGGGGTTGAGATGGTGGAGGTGAGTGTACATTCAGTTCTCATATGATCTCGTAACCGTTATGAATGCTCGCAGTTGGCGAGAATTGGGAACAATGTTGATCTTGTCTTCGATGAATCAGGCCGACATGAACGATCCTGCTTCCTTAGAAGCAGCGACTCAAGGTTCTCACATAGTCTTCGCCATGACTGACTGTACGTTCATTCCCTTTAGCCTTCAACTTATTGAAAACAAAACAAACCACCAAAGCTAACCCTTTCCCCTTCCGCTCAACAAAGTCTGGTCCGCCGGTTCAAAAGAAACCGAAATAGCTCAAGGAAAAGCCCTAGCCAACGCCGCTCTTGCAACTAAAGCTCATGCACTAATCTGGTCCTCACTCCCACGAATCGGACTCCCAAACTTTGACGGAAAAGCCGACGTGGAAGCGTACATCCGCAACCTACCCATGAAATCACTATTCTACATGCCAGGATGGTTCATGCAGAACCAGCTTTCCTTCTCCAAGCCCGTCAAACAAGCCAACGAGAATCAGCAAGGCGGCGAGACGTATATCCTGAAACCGCTGTTTCCGGGCTGCGAAGCGGATACTTTGGTGCCGTTAGTGGATAACGAGGATATTGGCAAGTACCTGCAGCCGTTTCTGGATGATCAAGACAGATATAATGGAGTTGGGCTTGTGGCGAGCTCGGAGTTCATGACGCCGAGGGATATGTGTGCTGTGTGGAGGAAAGTTACGGGGAAGGAGGTGTGGTTTGAGAACGAAGAGGAGGTAAAGAGGATTGATCGAGGAGGGGAGGACTCGTGGTATTATGGGGATGGGAGTAGGAAGGCGTTGGAGTGGACGCTTGAGCAGATGGAGGGGAAGACTACGAGTTGGGAGGATTTCGTTAAGAGGGAGGAGGGGGCTTGGTTTTAGATTGGTGGAGATGTGGGAATGGCGTTGGATTCACAGTGCTCGAATATTGATTCTGTTTTATAGTTGAACAGCAAAACCGTATGCAGGCACTTCACTCGCCAGTGGCCACACTATGTCCGATTTGCTAGTTAAATTGGATGAGTCATTTGTCTGTTATATATAAATGTACATGCAAATTTCGAAACGCAGAGTGAGAGGGGAGGTATAATGATTCGACAAAAACAAGTGATCTGACACAGAGTATAACATAAAGAAAGTGTTATTGTCGTGAATGACAAATGACGTTCCCGATGTTACCTTCGCCTGAAACGCACTATGATCCAACATGATATACAACATCAAAGCCAAAAGCTCCCCCAGAAACAAATACAAACATGGAATATGGCTCCGAAAATTCCACGTGCGCATGTAACACCAAACTTACAACACAGAATTTGGGAAGCAGATCATTTCAATCAGCTCGACCAAAACCACCCTTTGCTCCCTGTTTTCCGCCCCTCGGAATGTCCATTCACTGATGAATGGTTCTCTTCAGTGACTTGCTCACCCCGCTGCGTATGAACAGTCTCGCTACTCTCCTCTCTACCATCTACAAACCGCTTCTTGAGCACTACTCTGGTTGTGACCGTGCCATCTGGCGCAGTTGTGCGTTCAGTAGTTGTCATTGTGGACAGGATAGAGCCCGATGGAACTCGCTGTTGTGAATCGGAGGGTTTGGAATCGGTAGGGTGATGATGGATGCGGCCTAGAAGTTGTTCGTATGCATCTAGTTCAGTTTCTGGGGATTTTCGCGTAGTAGGAGCTGTAGCTGGTTTTGAAGAGAACCATGATGACGACTGCTGGGGATGAGGATGTTGGTCGGTCTCTATGTCGTCGTGCTGGTCTTCGTGGTCGTGGCCGTACTCATAACTCGGCTCTTCGGCAGCAGACGATGACAGGGGGTAAGTCATTTCTTTTGATGGAGAAGAGGGTTTCTGGTCCTCGGTTTGAGCCACCCACGCTGCAACTTCACCCCGCGCAGTCTTGGGATCGTGAAATCGGCGCGCCCACTCGTTGTATGACTGTTCTTGTTGCCGACCAAGAGAATCCGAGGGTATGAGAGGCGCACCATTCTCCGAGCGGATGAGATCTTCGAATGCATCGCGCCAGTTTATACCGGATCGTTGCAGGGACTTGTCTTCCTCCAAAGACGAAGGAGAGTACCAGGGTGAGGCAAAAATGCGGGGAACTTCGCGGGCGATAGCGCTGCCGATGTCGTCCAAGATGCCTTGGATCTGAGCTTGAACTTGCTGCGGGCTCGGCGGTGAATCCATGTTCCTAGGAGCACCGTTCTTCCTAGTACTGTCCGGCCATATGTTGTCGTCCTCAGCATCAAAGGGCCTAGGGAATCCCCAATCCCACATCCAGCCCCACTGCTGACCTTTCTCGTTTGCCACCTTTTCCATTATCCTAGATTGTGTCTGTCTCCAGTCATCGGGCGATGGTTGTTGCATTTGACCGTTTCTAGATCGCGCAGCCTCGACAATATCCCTTCGAATATCCTCAGCTTGATGATCCAGATGCATGAGCTGTTCCCCTTTCCTGATCATGGCCTGTAGGTCGCCCACTTGGTAAAGTTCGCGACCTTCTGCACGCAGGGACGCCACCTGGGCTTCAAGCTCAGCAAGACGGTGGCATTTCTGTTTGTCGGCACGACCGAAGAGACACTGCTCTCGAGCGACGTGTGCGTTGTTGTAGTTTGCGATGGTGGCAGGAAGCGTGATGACGGTGTTGAGCAATGAGGAGACCTGGGAATCCGCGAAGCGGCGAAAAGCGATGAACGGGTTGTCTTCGTTATTTTGGTGGCCGTGTGAAGGATATCGGGATGGGTCGTTGTCGTCCCTTGCTGGCATTTTGATGGCGACAAAAACGGTTGCGATGGCTAAGGTGATAATACAGCGACGTGTTGGTGGTTGAAAGGGTAATGTGGGGTGGAGCTATGGCACTTTGCTAAGATACGGGGGTGAGAGGCGACGACGCGTGGGCGCGTGGGGTAGACGATCTGGCTGGCCATCGTCGTCATATAAGCGCCCGCCAATCCATTCATGTTACCCAACCATCTCTCCTCCACTCCGACCTGTCAAAACACTGGACATGAAAAACACCATCCGTATACAGCTTCGGGGTCAAGTCGCGATATTTGCCACAACCATCTTCCTGCTTTACTTTGAACTCTATTCAATGCCGAAGCTGCAACTAATCTACGTGTTTTACCCTTTATCTTGGCTTCTCTTGGTGTTTCTGCATCCAAGATCCACCCAACATTGTCACATCCCGAATTTGAGGCGGAGCATGTCCAAAGCATTCACAGTACGAGTGATGGATCGACAGCTAAACAAACACCAAGCCGGCAAACCCTGAGGCTCTAAACAGAGCCAAGTCCGCCAAGTCCGCCTGTAAAACACCTTTCACACCTGAGAGAGCAAGATTACAGAGGAACGTGACGCATATAGTACTACGAGCGGGGGCTTGTGAGTGATAGTCTTCTTGGAAACATCATGTGTGACCAGCAAAACCGTCTCGACATTTGCCCTTGAGTCGTACAATGCATTGTCGATGCAGTTTTGAGTGCGTCATTTCTCGTGCCCAGCGATTGCAGAGCCCGAAAGAGCATCAGTGGCTGTAAACTCGAAGGGATTTCCCTGTCTTCATACAAAAGCTCGCAAGGTCTGCGGTCAAGGGACCGCTTGCCACGTAAATTCCAATATGGCAGTTTCAAAACTCTGCTCAGAGTGTGCCACACCTCGACGTACGTAGAGTGACCAAAACATATATAAATTCCCGGTGCAACCACTTCACCAGACCCAAACTCATCACACTCTCCAGTCGAACCATCATCTATCGTTGTCGCTTAACCTTCCACCAGCCCTACTCAGTCTTCAACTATCGGCTCATTGAACGTCCCATCGTCATCATGCAATTCTCCATCTTCGCAACAGTCCTCTTCGCTACCCTCGTAACCTCAGCATCGCTTCCACCACGAGCAATGCCATACACCGGGCCATGCTCACAAGACAACTGTGGCGCTTCTGGCAAGAACTGCGGTACAGCGTATCTCTGTGTGCCATGGCCTCACATGGATCCCGCATTGAGGGAAGGCTGCACATGCAGCTACGGAAAATGAGGACCACTCTGCACTGTGAGTTCTGTGATGACAGTGCCTAGTTGAGTGAATTAATTCTGACAGATTGGCACCTTAGCGTAGTAAAATCCACCTCCGAATGACGCTGAGTTTCGGTCGAGGAATTGAGGAAGGTGCAACGTGTTGTAGCCGACCCACACTATCTCTTTGTTCTTTTCCCTTCACGACTGTCCTTTGAGGCGAACGTTGATGTGTCGGCTGTTCATCTGAAACATGATTCGGTAGCTGTTCACCAAGATTTTGGAGCGAGAGGCGGCCCGCTGTTGCGACGCATCATGCATGTACATAGCGAGGACAACCACAAATGGTAAAAAAGTTCGTCGACTTTGATCGAGCGAAGACGTTGGAAGACACCCGATATACCTAGCTTAGCTATTCTCAACACAAGACCATGATCGATGAATTAGTAAACAACGCCTAACACTGTTTGATTGCCACGCAATACCATATCGCCTCCGTAATACATACGTTCCTCGACCTGTTCGTTTGTTAGCGTACGAATGCCAGCCCTGTCAATGGAGAATGGCAGTCCCTACCTCGGTAAAACGGCTATTTTACGATTGGGCAAAACGCATCTGCCTACAAGCCATGCTACGTCTGCATGGCTCTAACAGAGTTGTACTCGTCATGATAATCCAGGGGCAGTGTTATCGTAGCCACTCGTATACAATATCGGATCGTTACACAAGCGAAGAGCGGGACATGCACCGCGGAGATCGGGCATTATCAGCCTTCTATCCGTTCACCCAGTTTTCTAGAACAATATCGGGAGGCCGATCATGCTGGCTTTTTGAAGGTATCGTGAAAGCCAGTTACGCGTCGACTAGACACATGTCACATGCATTCCGTGCCTTGTCCAATTGAGTCAGTACATGTCTTGAACCCTCTGCAGACCCACCAATCATACCACCTCCACGACGGATGGAAGAATTACCAGATCTCAACCCCATAGAAGCCAAGTATAGCGAGCGAATTACTAAGGCCGATCTCGCGGCGGACCGGTTAATTGTGTACCTCTACTCCAGTACTCCTCCTGTGGCGACGAGACTCTCCATTACATCTCCCTAGAGCCTCTCTTGGCACGAACCATTTCCCCGGTTAAACATGATACCGCTAACCTGGAAGAAACGGTAGATCCGCAGATGATGTTATTTTGTTTTATTAGATGTGTCAATGCAGAGAGTATAAGTACGCCTTTTCTCGTTCCCATTCTCCAGCTGCTTTGTTGAAGGGTACCTCTTGTCTGCGGAGTTTCAGCTGTAAAAAACACCCATCAATCATTCCAAGATGCGTTTCACCGACTTCGTTGCTGCGTCCTTGACGCTTGGAGGACTGAGTGCAGCTGCACCGACTCGTTACACGTAAGTTCAATTGCTCAGAGTGGACAATCGTAGACTCTCCCGAAAGCTAATCGAATGTAAACAGAAACGAGACAGAGAGCCTTTACAAAGCCATGGAGAAGCGAGGAAGAAGCTTCATCGGAACTGCATTGACCATTCGCAATGAGACCATTGAGGAGACGATCATCCAGCAAGATTTCAACTCGTAAGTCTATTTTCGCTCCCAATACTCCAAAATCACAGTGCTAATCATAGGTCCTCAGCATTACCCCCGAGAACGCCATGAAATGGGAGTCCACCGAACCTTCCCAGGCAAACTTCACCTTTGACGGCGCCGACCAGATTGCCGCATTTGCCACAAGAAATGAGCTCCAGCTTCACTGCCATACCCTGGTGTGGCACAGCCAGCTTCCCGCGTGGGTATCTCAGGGTGGATTCGACAACGCCACCTTGATCCAGGTCATGGAGGACCACATTGCAGCTGTCGCTGGGCGTTACAAGGATGTCTGCACAAGGTGGGACGTTGTGAATGAAGGTGAGTCGTTTTCATTCTCCGGAACGATCGAGGAACTAACAGTATTGCAGCATTGAACGAGGATGGAACCTACCGTGAAAGTGTTTGGTACAACACCATTGGCGAGGCTTTCCTCCCCATTGCCTTTAGCCTTGCCGCCAAATACGCCCCCGATACCCAGTTGTTCTGTAAGTGTTCCCATTTCTCATGGCTCGAGCACGTCTCTAATAGATTCCCATAGACAATGACTACAACATCGATCTGAACGGCGCCAAGACCGACGGTGCCCGCCGCATCGTCGAACTCATTCAATCTTACGGAGTCCGCATCGACGGTGTAGGATACCAGGCTCACTTCACCCAAGAAGCTACGCCCACCGCACCAGGACCCCTTCCTGAGCAACCCGATCTTATCGAGGCCCTTGAGAAGACGGCCTCGCTCGGCGTTGAGGTTGCATACACTGAGATTGACATCCGCATGAACACCCCTGCGACTGCCGAGAAGCTTGAGGTGCAGGCCGGCATCTATGAAAGAGTCGCTGGAGCCTGCCTTGCGGTCGAGAGCTGCATCGGTATGACTGTCTGGGTAAGTCTTTCTGATTCCGTCACCCATACGTTTGGGGTTCCGAGTAGTGTTGCTAATTTCGCTGTTAGGGTATCTCCGACAAGTATTCTTGGATCCCCGAGACCTTCCCTGGTGAGGGCGCGGCCAACGTTTGGGGTGAGAGCTACGAGAAGAAGCCCGCTTACACGGGATTCTTGGCCGGCATCAACGGCGAGGCATAGATATAAGAGTGTATTGTGAGGCTGTGAGATGGTTACAATATCTGTTCTGCTGCTATATATTACTTACAATGTATATGAAATGATCTAATTGAAATGACAAGATTCTATCCAAACAATTGATAATTCTCAGGAGCCGAATATCAGGAAATTCTTGACCTCTGAACGTGAATAATGAGAATCAGCACTCTAACTCCAAATTGTCCTGTCCCTAGGTAGAACAAAGAAATGAATATGTCACTCACCTTGATCAGGAATAACGGTTCGTAGAGGTCATGAAGACGCCATAATGCCCACCCGGAGTCTACACATCCCTTTATAGAGATAGATCTCACCAACATCTGCTGTTTTGAGTTTCATCGTGTCCTTCCTCTATAGTAATAGGAAAACTATCTGAGATGTTCGTGACATGACCTAAAAACCTCAATACTCCCAGGCGTGGTTGTCTTAAGCTTTGCTGATCCAGTGATTCAACCCAGAGGTACGATTTCTGTATGCGTTGCATATTCCATTATTTGACTGGAAAAAGCACTACCTAGGTAGTCATACCTCCATCACTGATAACGGACATCAGACTCTCCACGCTCTTGCCAATATAATATCGTCCCACCTTCCAGCTTGCAGATGCAAAAGGCAAGCCTCAATCACTTTCCCACTCCCTCCCCTACGAAACCACAAGTCAAGCCCACTGCCAACCCACCCCATCACCACCTAAGTTTTCTTCCCTGAAAACCAGAAAGACAAAAAAAAAACAGTAAGTGTACAAACAGAAAAGCAAGAAAACCTGCAACAACAAACCCGAGTCATCCGGCCCGACCCAGCTTCCCAGCAAGGGTAGTCGCTCTGCATCCGCGGCTTCTGATTGGAGAGATCGGATGTGGCGGTGCCGTGGCGGTAAATGGGGAGGGAAGACTTGACGACCATTACACAACGGTTCTTGATATGACGTTTATTTTCCCCATCCCTGCTTGAAGGGGGGTGAGGTGACGCGTATTGGGCGATGAATTCTCTATTCTTGAAGCAAAAAAAGCTTTGCGTGGAAAGAGAAGAGCGGTTATTACGCAATTGTGAGAGGTCGCCTTTGCCCATGTAGGATTGATTCATAAGACACGTAAATTCTCTGAACGACGATTTCCTCGTTGGTAATAACTTATTTATGGAAAGGAAGGAGGGATCCACATTTGCAAAGGTTATGTAGCTGCGATAACAAGGGTATATCCAGGAACCTGCTTGCTTTGCGTTTGCTTTGCTCCTACCCCCAATTTGAGATTGCGCATACCGTTTTTGAATCAGATTGCGCGGGTTATAAAGGTTGCGTTTCCCACCCCTTCAACGGCTTCGAAGACTATTACACTTACACATCACATCCACTCTTACTCGCGGAACTATCGTCACCACACAAGCAAACAAACGTTATCACCATCGCCAACTCGAAACAACAACAACTACAACACCACTACCAAACACACTCGCAAACGCAACAATGGGCGGCTTCAAAACCTTGATGGTGATCCTCGTCACGCTCTTCAGTAAGTCTTCCGCCTTCCCTCCCATCCCCCACCTTGCCCTTCATCCACTGACGCACAACCCAAACAGTCCCCCCTCTGGGCGTCTTCTTCGTCGCCGGCTGCGGCATGGATCTCCTCATCAACATCCTGCTGACGATTCTGGGCTACCTCCCGGGCCACGTCCACGCCTTCTACGTCGAGTACGTGTACTACAAGCGCAAAGGCGAAGTGCGGGCCGGCGTCGTGGACGCGAAGCCTGCGCCGGGCATCTACAGCGACAAGGTGCAGCGCGGTGGGCATAGCAGTCGCGCGGTGGCTAGGAACGCGGACGCGAATGAGAATGCTGTTGCGCCTGCCACTGTTTGAGCGGTGAGGTGAACGGGGATGCCTACGGAGAGTGTGTTTCTTTTTTCTCTCTCTATCGATCGGGTGGACATGGCGGGTAATGGATGAGATTGCTACTGGTGGCTGTGGGTGGATTGCTGTAATTGTGTTATCTGGGTAGTTTTCCTGTGTATTATCAAGATGGTTTAAGGGAAAACAGGCGGTTAATGGCAGTATGTTTTGAACTGGGCTTGCTGTTTTCGATTCTCCGTGCTGCAGTGTCATATGCGATCCTTCTCTTCTTGTTTCCAATAATGTACATTTTGAATAATTGTACAAGTATGATATCCAAACCGCACAGCATGGCCGGCGATCCCCTCTAATGATACAAATCTCAATTACCCAACCGTCGCATTGAGATATCTGCGCCTTGTCCCCTATCTCTTCTTGCCTCGCGAATTCTTCTTCTTCTTGCCTCCCGCCATGGCCGCAGCCCTGGCTTTCGCACCTCCCTTCATCTTGCCATCCGCGCCCACAGCTCCGAACGCAGCCTTCTGCCTCAGATACATCCTGACAACATTCTCGACGCTGCCACGGTCGTGCTTGGGCTTGCGCATGTACGTCAGTCTCGCCCTTCTGGCTCTCTTGGTCGCCCGCTGCACCACCTCGATTCCCTCCACCAGAGGGCTGTACACCTTATACCACACCTCGACGCCCACGCGGGTCAATTGCCCACGGAGAAGTATGGCCGTGTCGATGCCGCGTCTGCGGATGTTGATGCACACGCCCGCAAAGGGTTCACCGGTACGCAGTCGCACGAGCAGGATATCGCCGACGCGCGCGCATTCGGGGTTGTTGCGGTCGAAGAGACGAGTGCGCGAGCCGTTGGGATCGAGCTTGGTGAGCTGGGTAGCGGCGACGGCGGCGATGGGGTGTGGGCACGCTTTCTTGATGGGTAGGGGTCGGGGAATTTTCGCGGTGTTGTGGTGTTCTGCAACAATAACCAATGTCAGTACAGGGAAACGAACATCTCACATCTGTGCGGATTGCGTGCAATCAATCGGCTGTGAGAGTAGAGCAATCCGACGTACCCTTCAATTTCCTCCTGAAAAAGTCGGCCGGGTTCTCCCATTGTTTTGTCTCGCCATCGCGGGTTTTGATTATCCGTATCTCTCGTCCAGCCTGGCCCTTCAATGCCACGGTAGGCTTCCCAGCTTCATTGTATAGGTGTGGATAGAGTTGCCGATGCATCTCTGTGGCGGCGAGTTTCTTCGCCTGGCTGGTTTTGGTCTGCTTCCATGTCTCCTTCACTGGTAATGTTTTCTTCGGGGTGAGAGTGTTGAGGATCGATGCACTGGCGCGCGATGCCCCAGCCCGTGCGGTTGTTGCCATTGGAGCGTGAGGACGGGTGTCTGGGGATTTTGCAGTGGTGCATGTATGTAGGTCGTCTGGGAAAACGGGCGGCATCGCGATGACTAAGCGCCCGGCTCGTATTCATCTGCATCTGCATGGGAAAGCGTGCACGGTCTCTCTTGGTTATGGAACGTCGAGAGTACATGTACTGTAGCTATCATCACTTGTTCCATGACATCACGCAAATTTGAGCATAGGAGCAATGTCTGCAATATTCGTCTTTTCTAATGATTTCGAAAACCTTTCAAGATTCCCTCCAGAACATGAATGACAAAACAGAGTGGTGGTGGGCACCCGTGAGCTGCGAAGAGAAGGAGAATATAACTTTTCAATAACGCCAGAATGCGACTTTTTGTTTCAGAAAGATCCCCTGCGCCATGCATATAAGAAAAGAGCATCATTACAAACACCTTGCTTGGACGCGGGATTGCAACTGGACATGGAAAACACCGAAACTGGGGTATACGTCCTCGCGATGCACCCTATCGCTTTCTCCTTGCGGGGTTTCGCCCTTTCGCAATTCAAACCGGAGAAGAGCGGGAATAATGGCCATCGTATGATTAGAGCTGCGTATGCAGAAAATTAAGGGCAAGGTATCGTGGGCGGCGGAAGGTTGCTCATATGCGGCCAACGCCGGTGGAAGTGGATGATGCTGGGATGCCAGGAAAGGAAAATATGCTCAAAGCCGGGCCTGGCTGAGCTGTTCGCTCAAGCCGACAACGCCATTGAAATGCGAGAGGATTTCGCCCTGGGTAGGAGAGACGATAGACGTTAGCAATTGACGACGGCTTTGGTATCGAGTTCAATCTCGCGCTGTGGTGTCTCTACCTCCTCCATCCACGTTAGGCCGTTGGCAGCCTCCTCCAAAGGAAACACTTCCTGCGCATATTCCTCCATGCCGCGGTTACCCTCCCACAGTTCAAGGGCCATTCCGGGGCAATCCTGTTCGAGATCCGGGCCAAAGTACGGCGCAGCCTTCTCTGCTAGCGTTTCTTCGAGAGCAGACAGGTGCTCACGGTAACCCACGGGAGTGGGCACGGTGATCACGATGGGGCTCCGCTTGTACTGAACCGGTCGCTTGAGGCCGTGACTAAAAGCTCTGCAGACTTCTTTGGGGGTCAGGACGGAAAAAGCGAGGGGGATGCTAAACGACTAATTAGTTTCAATCACGTAATTGCAAAGCTAAGACACGTGGTGCATGAATTTTGCGACATTGCCAAGACTTCAATGGGAGGAGGCCTAATGCGGTAGTGCCAGCGACATGCGCCTGTTCGTGGGGGAATCTTGGTGTTTTGGTGGACAAAATCAAGAATACGTGGCTGGGAGCAGATGCACTTACCGTCGGCCATTCCACTTGCGCGCGCCCTCCTTGAAAAGCTGGTAGATGGCGGGGCCAACGTCATGTTCCGAGTCGAGCCAGGGCAGTTTCTGATCGGGATGGAAAGGCGCTTTCCAGACAAAAGAGCCGTCTGGTTGATGCTCCATGCGGAACAGAGGAAAGTCGAGACCAGTGAAATTGTTGTGGTAGATGCCGCAGTAGACAAAAGTAGCCGGTAGACCAATCTGTCGAACGTACTGCTCGACGGTGAACTTTGGCGACCACATGGGAAGAGGCCTCCAGTTTTGGTCGAAGACGGAATGGTCGGGCATGCTCGAGTAGATGTAGTGTTGGATGCCGGCCTTCTTTGCAGCGTCTGCAAGGGATCTCCCGACGGCAACTTCATCTCCCCAATGCGTCGTGTTGATGAAGGCATACTGAGCACTTTTGAAGAGGTCGTCGATAAACTTCCTGTCTTCAAGGCGTCCCACATAGATGGTAACATTGGGCAGTTGAGATAGCTCCTCGGCAACCAGTCCATTCAGATCTCTCATCTGAGCGCGAACTTGCCATCCACATGCCGAGGCCACGCGGACGAAGCTGGCCGACTGGCGGCCATTGCTGTTTATTGTTACAACCGTTTTCTGCATGCGGAATCTGATGCGACGGAGCTCGCTGGACAAGTCAAGGATGGAGAGGAAGTAGGAGAAGAAGAGATTAAACGACGGTGGAAAGAGAGAAGCAAGAGTTGAAAGGGAGATAGAAAGTGACAGGAAGGAGGGCGAGAGGGAATATCAAGGGGGTGAAATCAGCAGAGGTAGATGAGGTGGTCCGGAGGTTGCATCCAGGCGTCGAGGCAAGCCAGGCAAGGTAGGTGGTGGGTGAAGCCGCGTAGCGGGGACAGTAGGGTGATATAGAGGCTACGGGACACGAGATGGTGAGAGGAGCGTGGTGCCAGGGATAGTGGCCGACGGGTAGGCGAGGGCTTAGTGGATGGAGTGGTGAAAGGTTCCGCAGTCGGGGAGGAAGGACGACTGCACGTGCTGAGCGGTGGTGTTGGTAGTGGCACAAAGGAATTTCCCAAAGTGAATGGGCCCAACAAGGGACCAGCGATTGATTAGGTGGGAAATGTTGACTGACGGACGGGCAGATAGATTGCACGTGAGGCCGGGGCCAGGGTCAACAAGGCATCAACAGGAAAAAAAAAAGTCGGCATGGGATATAGCTAGCGGACGGAGGGGGTGGATATGTGGATAACAGGTACCGCCGTGTACCTAATGGATATGTAGGCGGTATACCTAGGTACATAGATATTTGGGTACTTTGTACATAGTACGTATTGACGCAGGGCGACCAAGTCAGCAAGGTGATGTGGTGACCGGGGGGTGATATGTACAAGGCCAGCTAGCAGCAGCAGTAGTAGCAGTAGGGCATTGCTATTTTTTACTTGCTCTCTCCCTGAGCCGAGGAGCGTGTCTGGGGTAGTTTGCCATTGATGGATGGCTTCACATCGCGGCGGCGGCGGCGGTGGTGGTTGAAGCAAGCAAGCAAGCAAGCAAGCGGCGGGTAAAGGAACAGGAAACGAAACACGACGAGAGAAAGAAGAGCCGAGCCGGAGAAGCAGGAGAAACATGTTGCGGGCGCACCATCCAGGTACCGTCGAGCCTCTGCTTCTTGGGAGCACATTACCTAATGAAGACGGGGCGGAGCGAATTGGAGAGCAGCGCGTCATGGGGCTGGTGTGGTCGACGAGTGCAACTTCACAGGCAGCCATGGGGGGCGGCGGCACTGCTTCTGCGATTCTCGACCGCCGCTCGTAGCCGCAGTGCCTCATCTGACATGACACGATGATGTGTTGGAGCGAGCAATAATCATGGTGCGCGCTCCGAGGTGGATCTGAGTGCCGTAAACGATTCGCGATCGCCCAGCGCGGAGCATCGTCCATGGACCACCAGCGCCCTTTCCATTGGGCAGAGCGCTCCGCTAGGCCCCTGCTGGGAACTGCACCGCACCTTGCCCTTCCTCGTCGCATCATACTACAGCGCTGTACAGGCCCCGTTTTGCCAACCTCGATGCGCGTTAGGGAAGCATCAAAGGCGTTAGCAGCAGGGGAATGCCATTCCGGGGGGGGGTTGAGAACAAGGCGGGGCAAGCGGTGCGGGGGAGAGAGACTCGAGACAAGTCGACAAGAGGCATCCATGGACGACGGTACAGAGCAGTACGGGCAGCTTGGTGGAATTTTGTCGACAAACGGCAATTAGGAGATGGAAAATCAAACGGAACGGATAAGGCAATCAATCACTCAATCAATCAGTCGATATGTTGATATCAGCAGCCAGCCAGCCAGCCAGCCAGCCAACAGCCCTTTCCACGGTACGGGTCGCAAGGCAGGCCGGGCAGGGTCAGATGCGATGGAAGAGCGGAAACAAAGGATCAAAGGGGCATGGAAGGATTGCTTGGCCTGCAGCAGAATTGAGTAATGGGAACCGACCCCCAGATTCCACGAGGGAGTGCGAAACAAACAGAAAAGACACGATTCGTGGTGATAGGCGGGCAGGTACTGTAGCTACTCAATCAATCACCGATCAATTGCGATGCTTCTGGGTAGCAGGCTTGTCATGTGGTAACATGAATTCGATAGCTGACACGCGGTAACTGCCTAGCTATGTACATATCATGCAACAAAGACTCTTGCTGGGGGTGAGGTGATTGATTGCCAATATGTGATGAGACATGCACCTGCAATGGCGACATCGATGGATTTGGGTACCTACATCATATCACCATGGATGGCTACCTATGTATCTATCTATCTACAGATAAGTACAAACCGCTCACCTGCTGGCCATGGACGAGGCCAGCACAGCAGAAAAAAAAAAGCCCCCGCCGCCGCCTGCAGCCCAACAGCCTCTTCCATGCGGCCTCTTGATTACCCGCCGTTCCGGTATCTATGCTATTATGATAGCTATCTTGACTACATCCACCCATTCATCCTTCTTTCAGCCAATCGCCGCCTTCCAGACCTCGTCATCTCCAACCGCAACCATCTCATCCGAGTGCAAATGCGCTCCAGCGCCCTTGAGCACCTTCACGTGATCTGCCTTCCCCGCAGCCGCTGCCAGAAACAGTGGAGTGTGCCCGCTTCGGTTTCGGAGGTGGACCGAGGCTCCCTGGGACAGGAAATCGTGAAGAATCTCGACGTTCGGCCCGGTCGCCGCGAGGTGCTGCAGAGAGAGACATGCCATGTTAGCAATCATCCAACGACTCGTCATCCATCGCATATCTGTCCGACCACCCTTTCTGCCCGCCCTCGCGTGCATGACTGACTGACTGACTGAATGCATCCATCAATGCTGTTCGCTCGCTCGGCGAATATTTGATCCGATCAATCAGCGCCAAGATGCGATAAACCCAGATAAGGAGACAAGGTTGGTGCTACGCGCCAAGCCGGGCCGCGACCGACAACCTCTCTCTCCCTCTCTTATCTGAACCAAAGGCGAGCAGAAAGGATCCGATCAAACAGTCTCGTCCTACCTGTCGATGCTTTCCGTGCCCGTCTTCCCCGGGTGACCATCTCCAACAGTCTGCCTTGCTTGCTGGCTTGCTAAACCCCTTCACCGCTCCAACAAGCAGGTAGCACGACCGCCAGAGATAAGGACCATTGCTGCGGGACAGGGGCTGGCGCAGATCCTCCGCCAAATTCAAAGATAGCAGACACTTACCACGGGTGTATTGAGATTGTAGTCGGCATCATTAAGCAGCCAACGAGCTTCACCGCGGATCACCTCCTGCGTCCTGGCGAGGTCTCCATCCTGGATCGCGTATCCTAGGGCTGTCAAGCTTGACAACTCTGGCGTGAGCGCTCCGTTCGTCTTCGGGTGCTCAAAATGCGTGCGCGTTGCTTCCGTGAGCTCGCCCCGTATAGATACCGACATTTGTTTGGCCACTTCGCTGGGGGTCGCGTCGGGGAGAGCCAGCAGGTACGCCAGCTTGGTGAGGGCTGCTTCAGACGTCATGTCCATGCCAAACACCACGCCTGCCCGGCCCAAGATTGTTGCTGGCGCATACAGAGGACTCACGCTGCCGCTCAAGCACTGTGTCACGTTCACAATCACAATGCCCCTCTTGACTGCGTCTGCCAGGATACGTGTCATGGCGCCATCTGCACCTCCCGGAGCATTTCCCGCGCCAAACGTCTCCAGAACCAGCCCTCGCAGCCCTTCCAGATGTAGAACTGCATCCACCATCTCAGGCTTCATACCGGGGAAAATGCGGAGGCAGGCTACATGTGCCGTGTTCAATCTGAATTGAACCGAAAATGCCTGCATATCTCTCGACCGATGGACAAGAGGCCACGAGACATTAGTCCTCAGAGATGTGATGGTGCCCAGCGGCGGCATGTTGGGACTGTTGAAAGCAGCAAAGTCGTCTGCTGAGACCTTGGTCGTGCGGTTACCGCGGAAGAGCTTGAAGTTGAAAAACAGACAGACTTCCGGGATCATGAAATGTCCGGCCACTATCAGGGCCCCCAGCAGGTTGTCCTGCGCGTCCGTTTGCAGCTGCATCATGGGCGCCTGCGATCCCGTGAGAATGACTGGTTTGCCCAGATTATGAAACATGAAGCTTAACGCGGAGCTCGTGTACGCCAGAGAGTCGGTACCGTGAAGTACAACAAACCCATCGAACAACTGATAATTGCGATAGATGGTCCTAGCAATCTGATCCCATCCATCAGCATTGATGGAGCTGCTGTCGAGCAGTTCGTCGAACTCGAGCACACTGTATCGCACGCGGCGGTCGTATGCACTGACGGGGGTCCTCAGACTCTGGACAGCCTTTCTCGTTCCCTTGTCGTCGATTGCGATTTCAAGAGGGTCAGGATACGATCCGTCGTTGAAACACGGCCGTGGCGCCAGCCCGCTCTTCAGGAACCCTCTTGCCGGTATTAAGCCGTCTTCTGATCTTTGCATACATATCGTGCCCCCTTGATGTTGTCACAAAAGCCATAATGTTAGCAAGGAGCCGCTTTTAGTTTCTTTTCTCAAATGTGACTTGGGACCAGGCATGTGTTGAAGGCCGTACCGGTTATGACAATGAGCACACGTGACTCGGGGACCTGCAGCTCCACGAATGGGTCTGAAGACACCATTTCCACCGACGACTAACAATTACAAAATCTTCTACAATGTTTCTGCCTCCAACTCTTGATTGACGACGAGTGGGTCACTCTCTGGTAGGTGGAGTGATATCAGTGCGACGTCGGTGTTCGCTCGGATAGTGCAAAAGTAGCCAACTGACTAACGATGCTTTGCTTCAAAATGTTTCGAGAAAGTGGAGGTTTCGTCGTGTGAAGAGGCGGACGTCGTTCGGTCGCGAACTCTCATTCAAGGTCGGTGGTGGGTTTGGGTGGGTATACCGCTAGCGCACAAAGAAATCCAGACGTGACGATATCACCATTCAACCCTGGTTTTCTTTTGTCGAGATATGAGATCAGCTCATGCGTTGCAGTGAACCCAGCAAGTAAATGAACAACTATACCTGAATCGCGACTACGCCGTGGATCGGGGCCAGAATGAAGGATGAGAGAAAAAACCGCCGGATTTTCTTTGGCCTTTGCGCTTTTCCGGCCTTGATTTCCACCTCTCCTACCACCATGACCCTAAATGTAAGAAAAAAATCAAGATGGTGCTAACAAACATCGGGCCGGTGGTTCGTTCGCTGCTTGGGACCCCCCCGGAACTACCTAGGTATTCTCTGAATAACCCCATCGGACCCATAAATCTAGCAATTCCTGTTACCCCTTCAAAACTGCTCCATTACCCCTTCGAAATTGAAAAAGTTACCCCTTCAAAACTGCAGAAATCGAATTCTTATTACCCCTTCAAAACTCGAATCAGGGAAAGAGAGATTAATGGAAGAGAAAAATTTTCTTCCTCGGTGAAGAGGGAGGCGGTGAGGAAGGGAATGGAAAGCATCGGCTTATGGATTTTTTCCCATGCTTGGAAAGGAAGCTTGTTACGTCGAGTGTTCTTGGATGGGTTTGGGGGTTGATGAGGATTTGTGTAGTGCGCGCGTCTCGCGGGTGAACTCGAATCACGGGATTAGAGTTTTCTAGAGGGGCGCAGAGGTTGACGACAGGAATTGAATGATTGCTCGTTTACTGTGGTCTAGTGAATAGCTGATGTACCAGATTCTGCATTGAGAATGCTGCATGCTGACTGCATTTGAATTGTTCAATACACATTCATGGACTGCATTCTGTACTGCTAGGAACGCTTTGCTAGCCACAACGCTGCAAAAACAAACAATGCGCCTACCTAATAACGAGCATGTGATACTTACCCCAATCTTCCAAGTTACTATGAGTTCTCGTGAGCCGGGAATTATGGCAAGCGGGTGAGAACGTCATAGTGGAAGAAATCAATCTGTCCGAAGCTGCCAACGTAGCTCATCGCACACCTGCATTGTTCGCTGTGCTCTCCCTTGCGACCTGCGCATGCTTCTTTTCCAGCGCTTTTGCAGTACCCCAATTCCGCACGATCCAATCCATCACTGTATCCAGAGATCCCAATGGGAAATTTTGGGTCCAAATCGGCGTCTCCTCGACGCGAGTAGACGTGATATACGGCATCCCATCCTCAAAATCGACCCATCGCCTCAAGCCTTTGACCGCAGACGCTAGACTGTTTCCCTGCGCGGGAACCACCTCCTTGACTCTCTTCCAAAACGCCTCCTCAGCTTCCTTGACGCGGTGATCCCCCATCATACGCTCGTACTCGCCGTGCTTTGAAAACATGTTCAGCGCCTCCCCTAGTACTCGTTCGCGCGTCCACTCCTCGCCTTCGCTCTGTCCAATCTCGGGATGAGCAGGGACGTATTCCAGCACAAAACGACGAAACATGGGCCGTTTAGCCATCCGCGCGCGATCGTTGTGTTTCTCGACTCCGCTCCGATCTTCAAACACTCTCCGCGAAAAGAACCTGCCCCGCGCTACCCACTGGAAAAGCTGCTCCTCGGTCGCAAAGCCAGCGTGGTACTCCTCGATATCGAGACCAAGTATTTCCATGGCTTGATCCGGGTCGCGCGTCAGGGAGATGAGGCTTTTTTTCTTGTCGTACGGTTCAATCTCCGCGACGCGGACGTGCATGCCGCGGTCGTTGTTTGTGAGTCCGAGATGGCGGTGGTTGCTTCCGATGATCTGGAGGAGGTCCGAGTCGGATTTCAGGAAGTGCGTCCATGCGAAGAGGTCGTCGTTGGGGCATAGCTCTACATCGACTTGGACGAGCGCCGTTGGGATGGTTGGGTGTGGGATCCCGAAGGAGTGCGATGTGCCGCGCGAGATGTGGAGATGGGGTTCGCATTCGAGGAGAGTCTGAACGGATTCCCATACTTTCTGTGTTTCTTCGTGGTGGGCGCTGATTTTGGCGTCTTCGCTGGCTTTGGGGGGTGGGAAGGGGGAGGGGGAGGGGGAGGGGGAGAGGGAGAGAATACCGCAGACTAGGAAATCAATATCGCCATGATCGAGCTTGCCCGGTGCTTCGCGTGGTATAACGACGCGGGCGAAGAGGGTTTTCAACTTGGTCTGAATGTGCGAGGCAATGGTTTGATAGGTGGCTGGTGGCAGGCGTGGCACATTGATGGGCGCTTTGTGGACGGACTCCAAGTCTGCGAACGCCTGGCCACCCATGGTTGATCAATATTAAAGATACGTGGGACTGAGATGAGCTTGAAGTGCGGAGTCTGGCTGTACGGTTACATGAACGGGGTTGTTTGATAAGCAATCACGTCGTGACTGCATACAATGAACAATCAAGGGGTGCTTGGTACGGAAGAAGGTATTACTGATTCATCGTGAGTGGAATGAGCGGAATGCGAGCGAAGGCAAACGAGCGTCAAATTGACTACAGAGCGCAACAGAAGTACGATGGTTCTTCATCAGTCCTTTTCATGAAGATTCATGTTGTGGCTCAAAGACATGTGAACATTTGAATGTATCTGCCTGAGGTTGAGACGTTCATCTTAGGCTATGACGAGTTTGTGGGGACGTGGTTGGCTCGAGCGCGCCAGCAGGTAAAATAATAATCTTCCCGAGAAGCTTGGGCCCACTAAATTTTGGGTGAGAGGAGAAGTTGAGAACTCGATCGGTCCCAACAACCAACAACCACCACAACTACCAATTGATAACCTTTACCCTTACCTGTATGCCCCCGAATATAAATGTAAGTGACCAAAGAAACTCATTTCTCCACATTCCGCACGTACAGATATCATCTAACGCCATGCCTTACCTTCAGAATACCACCCAACTCGCACAAAACTCCGACAAAATGGCCGCGCCCATCAGCCCAGAGGAGACTCTGGCCAGATTCGAAGAACTCAGTGTTCTGGAGGCCGAATTCGAGGATGCTGAGCTCGAATTGAGTGAGTTCTGCCTCTGTGCATCGCACAATGCCGCGATTCGGTGCTAATCCCATCTTTTCACTCCACTCAGTCCGCAAATCCACGGCCTTGAACGAGCCGCTGTGGAAGAAGCGCGCAGAAATCGTCGCAAAGATCCCTCACTTCTGGACCCTCGTGCTCGAGCAGATTCCTGTCGAACTCGAAACCTTCATCCAGCCCACCGACTTCCAACTCTTCGCCAACAGCCTACAGACCATCGAGGTGTCGCGCTTCGAGATCGATGACCCCAAAGGCTCGCCGCGCAGCTTCTCCATCAAGTTTGGCTTCGACGACAATGAATACTTCTTCAACAAGGAGTTGGAGAAGAAGTTCTGGTACCGCAAGTCCAAGGACTGGGCCGGCCTCGTCTCAGAGCCCGTCAAGATCGTGTGGAAGAAGGGCAAGGATCTGACTGAAGGCCTGACCGATGCTGCGTACGACCTGGCACAGGCCAAGAAGACGTTGGCCAAGACATCCGGTGGCAAGAGCAAAGCAAAGGCTGAGGCCAGTCTCCCCGAGTACAAGACGCTCGCTAGCAAGATAGAAGACGACACCGAGGGCGCGCCGAGCTTCTTCACCTGGTTCGGCTTTGTGTCTAGCTACCGATGGATCAGCGCAGAGGAATCAGAGGAGGCCGACAAAGAAGAGAAGACGCGCCTGGAAAAGCTCAAGCGCGGTGAGAAGCTCGATGATGACGAGGACGAGGATGATGAGGATGACGATGCGGACTACCAGGAAACGGAGGTTTTCCCACAAGGTGACGAGTGTGCTACGCTCCTGGCCGAAGACGTCTGGCCATCTGCCCTGCGTTACTTCAAACAAGCCCACGAGGCAGACGATGAAGAGCTGTCCGAGATTGATGTCGACGACATGGATCAAGACGATTCAGATGGTGAGTTATACCGCGGGACACAAAGGCCGTCAATCCACATCAATTGCTCCAATGTGAACTTTCACTGACTTTTGAATATTAGGCGAGATCGACATCCGCGGATTAGTTAGCAAAGGTCGCACGTCAAGCACATCGCCTCCATCCAAGAAGCAGCGCAAGGCCTAAAAGGCCTACCTTTCTTCGGAACATCACCACATGATTGTCTTGACGAGCATTGGCAAGACACGGGAAAACGAGACCTCTTCTTGGTATAGAAGCGAAGACTCCACCATGCTTCGCCTCTCGAATTCCAACAACCGAGTCCTCTCCGTTTCGCGGATGTAGGCCCGACCATACCACGTCGGAACAACCCTTCTTCTTCACGCCATGCTCTCGCTCGCTCGGTATTTTGGCATTTTCACTGTTTATAGACGCTACTTCTGGACAATTTTGCAATCTAGCGTTGGAAACCCAATCTGCGGATCTTAATGGGACGGCATAGATAGCTGGATTTTCTACCAGAAACTTTTTCTTCTTTGGATAGACGACACAATACAACGATATTCACATGCAATTCACACGTTCATGCACTGTAAACCTACCTTTATTTTTCTTCGCCCCTACATATAACACCAACTGATGAGCAAGATGTACAGCAGAGGTGTGTTTTTCTACCCTACATCCACAGCAGTACCAAGTCCCCGCCCGCTGCACACATACCCTCCGCTATCCTGCTCCGACGGCCCTCCCTGCCGTCCCGTCTCGCCCCCGCCTCAGTCCACAAGTCTCTCCAAGAAACCATAGCTCTCTCCACATTCTCTTCCCCTCACTCCCGCGGCACAGCCGCAACGACCAGGAAAAGCAAAATACTAGAAAGCTTCCAGAAAAGAACTGGAGTCAAATCCAAGTAGGTATGCAAGGATATCATTGTTTTCCACCAATGGTGATGAGGGATACTAGGCCGTTTTGGACACGGAGGCGATGGGTCTGCTGGTCCGGAGAGCTTACAAGGGTTAGGTTGGATGCACTTTACCCATGGGATTTGAATTGGGGGCATCGAGATATGTGCTATGACGGTGGGATGGTGTGCTTTTTTGTTTTTTTCTTTGCTCGTTCGGGAAGAGTAAGAATATGCTGCTGGAATTTTTACAGCTTGTCGGTTTTTCGATGCGTGACTGCATGTTTGTGTTCGCGTGGAAGGGGAGATTTTCTTTCATTAGCCTGTCTATATAGAACTGTTTCTGAAAGAGATGAACATCACCAAGTTACGAGCAAATCATTCTATCTACAACAATGGTAATCTTAAAAGCCTCAATTCTCCCAACCCCCTTTCATCTTGGATTTTTGAATTCTCCATAGCACTCCCCTCATGCGAAGCGAGTGATGGGAAAAGCCACGCTTGGTCTAGGCTAATTCCTAGAAAGTTACAGGGTACGTACATATACATGCGTATGTACCCACGCTTGCCTAGCTCTTGGTGGACAAACTGGGGTTCGACAAACTCATGTTTACCATTCGTCATGTACTGGGGAGGTAGCTTAGGCTAGCTAGCTACATGACATAGCTAGCTAGCTGCGAGCTTCCAAGACCCGATGCCATGTCTTGGATCGGGGTGGAGGGACGCAGAAGGGGTAGGTTGTGGATAAAAAGGAATTGAATAAGTAGGTCTGTTTCTCCGCTTCTGTTTTCTCTTCTCTCCTTTGTGGTTCTTCGTCACTTACGATTGAGTTCGTATACCATTGTCCACGCTTACATTGGATTTGCGTCAAAGGCGGAAAGCAGTGTCACCGAAAATCAAAGAGAAGATGGCGCCTTCAGTCCCCTCACTCATGCTCATTACGGCGATGTATTCCTCTGTCGTCGTCGCTCAATTGAACAACAGTTCTTCCCTCTCTTTCGCCACGCCCTCGGGCTATAGCACTGCGAGCTTCAACGCCTCCGCTCACCCCACACCCTTCACACGAACAGACTACAGCGAAAACGCGCTCAACGAGCTCTGGAACCAAGTCGGGCCCGTCGCCACAGGCACAGTAACTACCACTTTATCCCCGACACCAGAGCCCACGTCGTACGCCAGACCAAATGCAGACCGGTTCCACGCGCTCGTTGCGTCTAGTCACCCTGAGCTTGATGGGTTGAAACTGCCCAAGGGCTTCAAATGGGGCGTGAGCAGTAGCTCGTATCAGATTGAGGGAGCGGCGAAGGATGAAGGGAAAGGTCCTAGCATCTGGGATTTGCTGTCCCATCGCGTGCCGAATCTGGTTGCAGATAATTCGACGGGGGATGTGGTTGCTAGCCACTACTACCTGTACAAGCAAGATTTTGCGAGGTTGAAAAGCTTGGGGGTTCCCGGTAAGTACTCTTTCCCGAGTGTATTTTGTCTGAGTATAAGCTTTGTCTGACTGGTCTCTTCTTCGATGTAGCATTCAGCCCGAGTTTCTCGTGGCCGAGATTCTTTCCCTTTGGCAACGGACCAGTCAATGAGGAGGCGGTTAAGCACTACGACGACGTGATTTCCGAGATGCATAAGAATGGCCTTCACCCTGCCGTCACGCTGTTTCACTGGGACACGCCACTAGCTCTGTTCAACGAGTACGGCGCCTGGACGAATCGACGGATCGTCGACGACTTCTTCCACTACGCCAAGTTTGTCATTTCGAGATACGATGAATTCGTAGACGAATGGTTCACCATCAACGAGCCGCAGTACTGCAATTGGCAGTATTCAACCTATCCGGCCGGAGAATACTTCCCCGCGCCAAATGGGGTTACAGAGGAACTCGAGTCTAGGTTCCTCTGCGGACACTTCACTTTACTTGCCCACGCCAAGGTAGCAAAGTGGTACCACGAGGAGTTCAAGGGAAAGGGACGCATCACCCTGAAGAACTCTGGCAACTACTACGAAGCCAACACGACAAGCCCAGCCGACGAAGAAGCTCGCCAGCGACAGTTCGACTTCTCCATTGGATGGTTCGGCGGACCGTGGACAGACGGAGACTATCCAGCCAGCCTCAAAGAGACACTGGGAGACATCCTGCCCGAGTTCACGCAGGAGGAGAAGGACATGATCAAGGGATCATGCGACTTCTACGCCATTGACCCATACTCCTCTTTCTCAGCGTACGAGATCGACGGAGGAGTTGAAGCATGCGCGTCCAACCGCTCCGCCCCTGGATATCCAGAATGCGCAGGCTCAAACTCTCTTTCGCCCGAAGGCTTCCCCATAGGACCAGCAGCGGACCCGACAATGGACTGGTTCTACAGCGCTCCATCGGGCGTGCGCAAGTTCCTCAAGCACATCACCACCGTGCTCTTCCCCAGCGTCCCCGACATTGTGGTATCTGAATTCGGATTCTCGGAGCCCTTTGAAGGCCAGTGGGAGAAGTTGGGACCCGCGCTGTGGGATCTCCGCAGAGCGGATTACTACCAAAACTACCTCGACAACATTTTGCTAAGTATCCACGAGGACAAGGTCAATGTGACGGGAGCGTGGGGATGGGCCATTTTCGACAACTTTGAGTGGTTTCTGGGAAGCCAGGTTCGGTTCGGGATGCAGTATGTGAATTACACTAGCTTGGAGAGGACGCCCAAGGCCAGTATGTTCCAGTTCCTTAATTGGTTCAAGGAGCATGGGGACGGGGGAAATTCGACAATGCGAATGAGGATGTAGCTGAGGATGAGCACATGAGCGAAGGATTGCGTAGAACTTGATAGATAAGAGATCGCCGTTCCAAGGCTGATTTTAGTTCCAGCTGCGTTTAAATGTTGGTGATGATCAAGTGATATACAGCGGGAGCAGTGAGGCGAAAGAAGAGAAGCATTCTGTGGCCCGCTGCTTGTGTGAAAGCCGGATCGATGTGAGAGTTATAGCTTGTATGCAAGTTGCCAGTCACATGGCAATGAAACCGAGCCTGACAACTGATACACTGAATCAATTATCCTACTTAATCGCCTCGAGATAGCAACTAGGATCCCTCTCATGAAACAAGAAACTTTTGCCTACGTCCCTCGATCACACGCGTTGATTAGCTGAGCACGTAATCTCCAAAGAAAGTCATCAACTGACAATACTGTTCTTTCGGGTTACTATCATTTAACGCTGCTTCTCATCAGCTACTACTGTACAGGAAAAGAAATTGCCTCATTTTGATGACACACAAACTTGAATAACATTGCCGCTGGCAACGCCGAAGCCATTGCAGGGACGCCACTGATGATACAAAGGAAAGTTCTCTCTTCCTTGGGACAGTGGTGAGGAGAAAAAAAGATCATGCATAGACATACGGGGAAATAAGGAAAGAAAACAAAACCTTTCAAAATCCCTGTTCACGCTTTAACACCCACTTCCGATGAGCTGAAGAGACCGGATTACTTTTTTGAACGCCAGCCAAATGAACAAGTACGGAAACGCCGGAACATTAGGGGGGAAAAGGCAGCTCACTCATCGACCAAATTTCCCAGAATAAGACTCTGAATCACAAACTCATCACAGATGAGTCTTACTTTCTTGTTTCCCACTTCACCGAATCGGATGAGCGTCTGAGGTTCAGCGGCTTCCTCATCCTTCTTTCGCTTCTTTCCCACTGCGGCAGAGCTTCGTCTCTTGATCAATGCCGGAATTGTTGCGTCGCCAAAAAGGATTGCAGCGGCATCTTCAACCCCATTGGCACCCCCATGAACATAAACCCAGTCCCATTCGCCTGTAGCAATCATATCTTGGGCTGAATGAAAATCCTTGCACAGTCCCACATCAACAGGGGCCAATGCATGCGTAAGAAACATGTACGGTTGCGTTTTGTCGATTTCCGCTTTAGACTTGCCGGTGATGAAAAGGACAGAGTCGTGTTCCAGCAAGAGCGATCGCTGTTTCAGGGTCTGTACAAAAGACGCCTCATCGGAAGTAGGGTTGTAAAGAGGCATAACGCGGGAAATGATGACGCCGGCAGGGTCCAAGTACGTTGATGCGCCGGAGGGAAGTAGGTACTTGGCGAAAGGGAGAATATAAGACGCGTTTAGAGAGTCGTTGATCCAACGGACGTGGATAGTAGGGATGTTGAGTGCGAGGGCCTGTAAATACTTTAAGCGGCGGGAATGTGCGTCTGAGATCAAAGCTACAAAACTGAGATCTTTGTGTTCTTGCTTGAGAACCAGGCCATCTATCGGCAGACCAGAGACGGTTTTGGGATCGTCTTCGAATTTGCCAGTTGTATCGAAAAGATCGTCGAAGTTCTCAATGATTCGACCCCCATTAGATGTGATCAGTTTCACAATAGAATCCTTATCAGAAGATGCTTTGGTGAGAGTAATAGCAAAAGCCATTCTAGAGAAGGCTGTGCCATTGGATCGAACAGACGAGGCGACAGAAGCGGCGCGAGCTGTGGGATCTCGTAACATAGATTGACCCATACCGCCTCGTCTACTCATAGTCGGAGTCAGTAAAGTCGAACCATGCGTTGCAACGGGCGTACTAGCTCGAAGGTCGGACACCGTGGAGGGATTTGGTGGTGAGTATTTGTACACTCTGTCGCGTAATCTACCCCAAAGTGTGGTGGTCAGATAGATATATCCCATAGGCACATTGTAATACTTTGTGGTCTCAGTCTGAGCACCGGACAGACTGTCACGTCCTTTTTCCTCTAGAACTACTGTTGCATAACCGTAGCGATCCGTAAAATGCAGCTTGTCGACGTCGTCTACGCTGATCTTATCCTTGAAGCCAACAACTACGTATGCCTGCTTCTTCATGCCGGTCTGATCGACCTTGACTTGGTCGCCAAGACGCAGGTCAAGAGCACGGACTTGGGTATGCTCAAGTGTTGTGTCGTTGCCGTCGTCATACCGAATATGCAGACTGCGTACATCGACATTCCCCAGGCATGTAGCGGGGTAAAAGTTTCTACCAGGCCAATATGCGAATACACGGTTGGGAGTGATGTGATCTCCTGAAGGGGCTTCGCCAGTGTTGGAGGTGGTCTCGATGACAACGGTTCTCATAATAACGCCTGATGGCTCCGCACGTCTGTTATCGCCTTCATTTGAATCTTTATCAACTCCATGCAGCTCCGTAACAAGCGCTCGGGGTTCAGTAATAACGTTTTCCTGGTGTGGCGATAACCCGCTCGGGGCTTGGGCCAAGAGACTCTTCCTGACAGGCTTCAAAGCACCTTTACGAAGTATCTCAGAACTGCGGCTTTTGGCGATTGCCCTTGGCCTTAGAGGCGCTTCCGATTGCCCATGGACGACTCGCTCCCGAGCTCGTGTAGCGGCCAATGCCCCTAGTTGCTCCTGTTCTCGATTTAAAGTGATGGATGCAGTGGGAGTTAAGTCTGAAGCATCCTCCTTGCCACTGGACGGGAATTGGGGGTCAAATGACAAACCACTTTCCTTGGTGGGGGTACGAAATGCCTGTCTCGCACGGTATGTAACCTTGCGCTTTTTCATGGGACGGACAGGTGACGATCTGGATGATCTAGACATGAGAACGTCGGTGCTGTCATCGGTTTCTATGAAGCTCAATTGCGGTACTTCAATATCAGCAATGTCAGTGGAGCGTTGTGTGCCGGGCTGGTTTGCTATCTCGAGTAGAGATCGAGTGACAGGTAGCTGTGATGACTGTATACTAGCAATCTCATCTGAGCTTGCCACAGAGCCTTCAGTGGGCTGTAAAGCAGATTGGTCTTCTTTTCCCGTGTGATAGAGAACCGTACTATTAGTATCGATCGTTGAACCTTCTGGCTGCGGAAAAAAGGGCGGCTGGGTATCCTCAAGTAAATCTGTCTCGGGTACAGTCGACTGGCGATGGATGCGAGACGGTGGAGCTCGTTCTCTGGCGTCCATGTCCACGTCTTGCTGAGGATGACTAGAACGAATAAGCTCTTCCTCCTCATTATGCACATCTGTTATTTCTTCTTGTTCCAATGTTTCAGGGATCTCGTCACCGTGGAATGGACCAGTGTTGGATTCGGCTATGTTTGCATCAGGTTTCACTGTGCCGTCTTCTGGTACAGCCACAGGGAGATCATCCTCATCCTCCATAACAACGTCTTCTTGGGTCGGTTGCGCGTCTCCCGTATCATAGGTGTTATCGTGATCCTCATCGTACGCATGTTCATCATAAGTTACGCTTTCCTCTTCTCCCGTTAGGAGTAAAGGGGGGCTACTCGGAACACGAGAATTTTCTAGTGGAGCTTCTTCCTCCAATTCGTCTGAAACTTGCGTACTAGGCGGCATGGGAGCGGCTGAGGATTGCGATACTTGACTTGTGTATCCAGTATGGCCAATCATCGTTGTTTGATTGATGCTGTACTGATTGACGGACGGAGTCGATGGGATGTGAAGCTCTCTGGGATGGGTTGGGACAGGTGAACCTGTTTCAGGCTCCGGCTGCGAGTCCATGACAATCTCACTTTCTTTGCTGCTCTTCACTTTTGCGACGGATTTGTGGTAAAGGATGGAAGAAGGCGTTTTAAACTGTGACGCATGCGCAAGTTGCGATGCAGGCGTGTCGGGTTGTGTCAAACTGACGATTGCATGCCCTGAGGGCGCGTGGAGTGAGTGAGAGGACGTGTTAGGCACCTCCACCCGGTTCGACACGACAGAATCTCTTTCCTCGTCTGCAATTCCACGGGTGGAAGGAATATCCTGTGACAGCTCATCTGGAGAATCTCCATCCTCAGAGTCATTAGGGCCATCATATACCCCACCGCGCAACGATGTATTTCTTGGTGGGGATGAGAGCCTGCTTGTCAGCAATGTTCGGCGTCTCCTACCACGGCGGATTGTGGGCGATGGTGCAGACACGATTGCGAGGGACTTGGCCGCTTCAGCTTCTTGTATTTGTCTCTCTCTACGTTTGTTGAAGCGGATCTCTGCTGAAGTGGGCGTATCCCAACTATCTTGACGTTCGGGAACTGATAAAACGTGTGATCGGCGCTCTTGCGATTGCTTCATAGTCTCATAATCCGCTCTGGGTTCGCTGGACGATCGGAGGGCTGGACTAGATGTCAGGATCTTGGCATTGTTCTTGATGGGACTCGACATGGCCAATGGCGGGCTTGAACGTCGCTTGAAGTTGGGAGAAGGCCGCTGAAAGACTGGATCTTCAGTAGGAACGCCCACTATAGGCGAAGTCCTGGCTTGTGTAGCATTGAAAGCCTGTGTCAAGGACATCCCTTTGTCATTGTCTGTCGTTCCAAATCCAAAGATAGCCGATGCTGAGATCGCCGTCGCTGGCGTGGTATCGATTGCAGGACTGATGATTTGGCCCTGGCTATCTCGTTTGCGGCCAGCAACTGCTGGGGTTTCGAACTTGAGCGGGCTCGTGAGTGGATCGTGAACACGGTCCTCGTGCAGGACGGTTGGGCTCGTGATGGTTGGACTGCGCTGCGACTGGCTTGAGCCTTGGATTTCGATCTCGCCAGCAGGCTCTTCGGGGGTTGCAACAGCATAGTGTGGCCCGGGAACAGCGTTGCTATGGCTTTCTACGATGCCGCTGGTGTACTGCCTGAACATCTGGCTGTCGGGCTGGGTATCGCCGGGAGCATCAGCGCCGATGGCGACGTCGAACGTGTTGAACATGTTTTTCACGACGTCGCGCTTGGCCGCAAAATCTATTGCAGTGCTGACCGGCGCTGAGTACTGCTTGGGGAGTTTTGGTTGCACATATCCCGGGTTGAGTGGGACGCGTCGAGACGGCGACGGATTAGGGTTGTCGTGCTGCTGTTGAGTATACCCCACGTCGTCGGCGGTGGTTGGCGTGTGCGATTGTGCAGTTTCGTTGAATTGGAAAAGCGACTGGCGGAATTGGTTTTTGCTTTTGCTGGAGTCGCCACCTGCGAGCAGCTGTGAAAGCTGAGACGGATCCTGACAAAAAGAAGCTTGTGTTAACACGCGTGGCTCATGGCAAGCGTGCGTGATGATCTGCAGCACCGCGGGCCGGGCGCGCGCACAGCTTCCTGCAACATGGGAATGGTACTCACATCATAGCAACCGTCGGTCAGCGCCGTATACATGAACTCACCGGACGCCATGCTGGCGCACATTCACGATACTTGCGCGCTGTCTCTAGCTCTGTCGGCTTTGTGGTGGAAGAAGTCCATGTCCTGCCGCGTTCTCGGGTCGTCCCTCTATCGCGTGTTCGCCTGATCACGTGGATCTGCAACCGACATCAACATTTGAATTGATTGGATCAATCGATACCTCTCACCTTTGATTGAGGGCTATTTGATTTACTTGACCCATATCAGAGATGCCAATACGTTATTTGATCTCCCAAGAATCAAGCAGTGAGATACATTGACTGTGATCAAGATTAGACTGTGAATACTCGCGATTCCTGTACCTTTGCTCGATCACTTCATATGCCTCTAATATTCCCACCAGAAACAACTGAGGCAATGCCAAATACTAGTAGTCATGAACGTGGAAAGCTTGATTTATCTGGTGTTTAAACAAACAAACGGAATATATACACGACACACCATACTCCAAAACACAATCTTATTTTGAATTCTTCAAAATCCTCAGCCCACCACAGCCCACCACCGCTCATCTCTTGTCGAATTCATGGCCTATCGTATCCGATATCCTTCCCGTGACCCCATCTTTAAACAAAGAAACCATAGTAGATCGATGCCGCAACCGAAGCACCAACAACACCCCATCCAGTCTGCATCACCGCCTTGTTGGTCATAGCCCGACCCATATCCCAGACCAAGTGACGTACGCCGTTCAAAGAGTGGTAGAAGAAAGGCATAGCGACGGCGAATTTGGCAGAAGCCTTTGTGAACGCCGACCATCCCGCGACAGTAGCGATGAGCGATTGAGACTCCAAATGCCAGCCAAGAGTGGGTGCAGCGAGATAAGCAAAGCCGAATACGTAGAGACCACCGCTGAGAATGATGCCGGTCAAACGGTTGAACATGGAACCGTACCAGGTGATTTGGGGTCGGTAGATGGTGAGATGCGGGGAGACGGGACGGTTGACACGCTGTTTTACGAGGATCTCCTCAGCCGAGGATTGGCTGGCGCTTTGGGAGTTTGCAAGTCTATTGGGATATTGTTAGTTGTTGTCGCTCCTCGAGATGGAACTGGCCAGTTTGGCGGCTTGTGACAGTGGCCATGATCAGAGAAAGAGAGCTCCGTACCTCCGTTGCACCATGCGCCCCGCGAAGTTTCCCCTGAACGCTGGGGCAGCAGCCCGTCGCAGGCCGAGTTGAAACACACGCATGGAGGACATGATGATCAGCCAGGATCAATTGAACGGTGGAAGAGCGGAGAGGTGGTGTGATGGTGGTGATGTCGTCGCTGTTCGTTCACGCAACCATCCTTCTGATAGCTCCCGGCTCGGCTGTTTCCTGCCATTGCCGAGAGCCAATCAGAGACGTCGGCTTAGTAAACCAGCCCACAGCGCACCCGAAAACTTCTCGCGAGCCGTCGTGGCTTTCTCTTCTTCTTTTCTTCAGGAACCTCGAAATCGCCGCAATGAGCCATTGGCTCTGATTTGCCGGAGTGACAGCCATTCCGCTGGCGTTATGTCAGTGGTACTTGGAGATGAGAGTTTTGCGATGAATTGCCCGTAGTTAATCGCCCATTCGGCCTTCTGATAGGCCTGTGGGTTTCATATCCAGGGCTACATATTTTTGCGTCTCATCTCGAGCGTGATGGAGTAACGACTGTATCTGATAGGCTGTCTCTATCTTGTCGTTGGGGTGTGTGCAAGAGTCTTCACATGCATACACGCGTTCATACAATCTGTAGCGCCTCACCTCCAACTTCAAGCGCGTTTTGATCGTCTATATTTTCATGCATCATAATGTGACAATGAAGCTACACTTGAGGATACGGCTGTACTAAAATTGTGGCAAGTAAAACGTGAAGATATGAAGAAACTTCTTCCTTGAGCTATGTGTGCAAACGATTTATCATGATTGTGACCTCGACATAGTTGGGCGCAAAACTCTTCACTCATCTCTCACTGTTATCCACACACGAGCCACTCCGCTCTCCGTAGCTCAAGCGGAAGTTATTCCTTCAACAAACCGAAATTAAAGAAGAAAAACAAGACCGCATATAACGAGCTGCAGGTGTACACAAACATGGCGCCAGCCTCATTGACTCCTGCACGTTCGTCCGACCTCGGCCTCCCACCAAATTCGTACATCTACAAAATCATATCCACAGCACCGCGCCAGGACCCTCTCTCGTATCTACAGACCGATCAACTCGCCGTCATCTCCTCGGAAGACTCACTCCATTTTCTCGATCCTGGAAGCCTCAACACTAGCGGTGTAATTCAACATGTGAACGACAAGGTCACGTGTCTAGAACGTGGCAACGACCAGGCGGGCAACATAGTTGCTACAGCGGGCAGAGATGGACTTGTCAATCTATGGGATAAGAGAAGCAGGCAAAAGACCATGAGCGTAGAAATTCGTGCGTGAGCCAAAATAATTGCGACCATTTTGAAATCGTGGCTTTTAATCACTAACACAACCAATAGCACACAAGTTAATATCCTCCATCGTCTGTTCCCACCCCACCAACTTCCTCGCGGCAGGCATAGAGAACCCACAAGATGGTCCCGATTCATCCCCCGTATACATCTACGACACCCGCAACCCAACCACCCCCCATCTATCCCTCATTGAATCCCACACCGACACCGTCACGACTCTTCAACTCCACCCTTCTCACCCGACTCTCTTGCTGTCATCTAGCACAGATGGACTCATCAACATCTTCGACACTAGCAAACCAGACGAAGACGATGCTCTGTACCAGGTCATCAACCACCGGTCCGCCGTCGCCCACGCGGGATTCATGTTTCCAAATACTGACGTGTACGCCATGGGAACTGACGAGACGTTGAGTTTCTACGCTTTGCAGAACGCGGTGGAGGAAGTGGAGGAGCCGACGCCGAAAGCGTATGGAGATGTCAGGGAGTCGTTTGGGTGTGAGTATCTGGCTCGAATGCACTGGGTGGGAAGTGAGGCTTTTGTTGCTGCGGGGAAGCACAGGTACGTTCCTTCATCTTGCCACGATTGTATGATGGAACGCTGATGATGAATGATCGATCGTTTAGCTCTGCTGAACTCACCCTCTATCCCGTGCACAAAAACACACAAGCTGGTCCTCTCGAGTATATCTGCGACCCTGAGAACACCGTTGTCCTGCCTGGCGCTCACGGGGAGGAGATTGTGCGAGATCTTTTCACCGATATTCACGTAAGTATCATTCCCTCCTCATCTCGATTCATTCACATGACGTTCCTATGCATCTTGTTCTGTCCGCATCTAATCAACGGAAATGGCCAGACACGTACAACATACACATGCGGCGAAGACGGATTCGTCCGAGCCTGGCAAGCCTCTGGCGATCAAGCAGCCATGGACCTCGACGAAAGCAAAACCAAAAACAAGAAAGACAAGCGCAAGGACAAAAAGGAGAAGCGCAAAGGCGATGACGATGGCAAAAAAGCGAGGTTTGCTCCTTACTAAGCTCCTCGTACATCACCATCAAGAAGCGAAAACGAACATGGCATAGAGGGAAGATGGGCTATAGAGTGACGTGATAGCAACTCCTGCAATACTACACATGTCCACCAATCTTAACCTAGCTCGAACTTCCTCCATTCTGTATCCCTGTCGCTATACAAAAAAAAAACTACCCCGTGACCTCCAACAACGGCCAGTTAATCCCCTTATCCTTCGCCCCCGTGTTCCCCAGGCCAGCGCAAGCATACAATCCAACAGGGTTATTCTGCGTAGCACGCATGTACTGCAGGTCCAGACACTCCTCTATATTCCAACAGAAATTAGCGTCAGCATATCCCCTCGCAATCACCCTCTTCTGAAAGAAGAAGGAAAGAGAGGAAGAAAGGGGAGGAAGGGAGGTAAACATACGAGGACTCGACCCCGCAACAGCAATCCTACCATCGCCCAACGCAATCCACTGCTGTCCCGGCGCGGTGTCGGAGCATGTGTTTGTGTAGACTGGAGCCATGTCCTTCCACGCAGCTACTCGTAGTCATTGTGATCAGCAGTTTGACTTGTACTGAAGGGAGGAGATGGGAGAGATGGTGAGGGGTGGATAGGAACGTACTCTTGGGACCGGCGTCGAGACACAAAGTCGCGTCCGATGCGACGTAGATCTTTGTGGAGTTGGCGGTGAGATGCCATTGTTGGATTGGCTTGCTGGTTAGGGTTTGTCTGGTTTTTTCGAGAAAAGCAGTGGTTAGTTCAAGGTGTAGGTAACGGGGGCTTTTCGGTGTGGATTTGAGGGACGAGAGTGGAGTGATAAGTGAGCAATAACTCTTAAATCCCTTTCGCAAATCTCTTTCAATTCTATCAACCGAAAAGACCTTCTTCTCTTTCCGTCGAAAGACTGACACGAGTAGGTGTAGAGATTGTGAATAAATGAAACTAAGAACCGCACAGCAAGATACAAGAGTAGGGAAAAGTTGAGAAACATGACATACACAACAACGAGCCCTCCATTCGCAGCCGTAGCTGCCTTGGGCACAACCACGTATTTCGTATCAACCGCAGACGTGATGTACACCTTGCGATAACCGCTCGGGATCGTAGAGGCCTGCGGGGCGGGGAGCGCGAGGGCCAGGGAAGGGATGATGAGGGAAGTGAGGAGTGTTGGGAGGATCATTTTGTTCTTTGCTTGTTGTTGTTCGGGAAAAGTTGTGAGTGTGTGGCTGTACGTAGTGGTTAGTGAGGGAGGAGGGATGCTTTTGAGGAAGGGGGTGGATGATAGCAAGGATCGTTCTAGGATATTAAAGTATATAAAAGGGGGTTTCTAGAAAGGGTAGATTTGGGTACGTGATGCTGTCTTTTCCTAAACGGGGGATTGAATATACAACCCTCCGCAGAGAAAGAAGGAGATGACCGAATAGAACTCGGATAACAGAGAAACGACGAATGAAACAAGAGTAGATCCGATGTACGAGAATTTGGCACAATACCCATATACTCCCACCATCGCGTCAGGACAAATGAAACTGTACAGCGTGGCCGATCGTAAGGGACCAGAATATCCCACACTCAACAAAAGGGTACTGATTCGTTACGGGGATATGAGAACAGCCAACCCTGGCCGTTGAAAAGGGAACCTCACACTTCTACCCCTTATAGTAAACCAACGAATTGGGTGTAAACGAACGTCATACGCGCTATCACGATACCAAGACTTCACAAAGTCAGCGACAGCTCGGTAGATGCTGTTCTCGGCGTGAAACAAGCATCTATCATCCTAGGACGCTATTCGTTCGATCATCACGAGTAAATATTGCTGTTCGACCAACATTGTCGAATGAATCTTTGTGGAATCGGGTCAAGATATGGTTGGTTGTTCAGGCTGTGTATCTGGAGTTTTTTAATCTATCAAAGTGAGTGGGGTAAAACCACAATTTGCCGAATAACGTTCTCGGACTGTTCGTAGCGACGATTTGAGCCTGCAATGAACATCTCTCACCCATACCAAGATTGCGGGGAGTGAGGAAGGATCATCGACCCCACATTTTCGAGCTGCAAGCCTCGTAGAAAGATTAGGGTTTCTGGGCGGCAGTTGATGCGAGGCAAGGATTATATCTGTACAGTTCGCCAACGTTCATCTATGCAAATACCTTACATATGGTCATCATTGAAAGTGCCGGAACAGGGTAGTGTATGATCGGCAAGGATGTGCGTCCTCTAAACACGAGTACATGGGTGGAGAGAGAGGTGGTCGATAGTATTAGGTGGTGGTATTGCGAACGGAATTATTGTATGCGACTATTATGCTCCTAAGTTTTTCTTCTTCTATTATGCTCCTTTACTCCCCTTTCTATGCTGTATGATGTAGAAGACGTTTACAGAAGAACCTCATTCCCGAACCTTTTCGCGTACATCCCCAGAGCCTTGATGGGGAAGATGAACTTGTAGTTCGGATAGGAGATCATACTGCAAACTCGTTAGCTCACACGCATTCTCTCTCGGAGAAGATAGTAGGGAAACATACCAAGACTTATTGAACACTCCTTCAATGGCTTCCTGTTTCCATTCGCCGTTGCTCTTCTGCCTTCTCATGATGAGCTTGATAGCTTTTCGGATTGGCTCTTGCTCAGGGTACTCCGCCTCCAGCAGAGCAATGATAACCCATGCGGTCTGCACGACTTGGGATTCGGGGTGCTGAGACCACACGCCCGTTTCGCAGCTCTTATATGTCTCGCCCCACCCACCGTCCTCCATCTGCCTGTCGAGGAAGAACTGGCAACCCCGCCGCACACGCTCAGAGTTCGCGTACGTCTCTCCTGCACAAGCAAGCGATTCCATACCGAAGAAGCCCGCGTAGGTGAAACAGATGCCCCAAGATCCATACCAAGATCCATCAGGACGTTGCGAAGCGCGGATGTAGTCAATGGCACGCGCCTTGAATGCTGCAATATCTGCAGTGCGGTAAGAAGGGTAGTATTTCTGAAACATGTGAAGGGCGGTTATGACGGCGGTAGTGCATTCGGGATAATCGTACTCGACCATGATACGGCCAAAGACTTCGGCGGCATTGAGCATTTCGAGAAGTTCAGAACCGCGGGTTGGTTCGTAGGAGGCACAACCACCGGACGTGTTCTGCATAGTGAGAAGGACATCTATGGCATTCTTCATACGCTCTTCGGATATAAGCTTGGGGTAATGGCCGTCGACTTTGTTTTGCAGTGTCAAGACGGCCTTTAGACCTTCAGATGTACAGTCGCTCACGGTGTATCCTTGCTTTTTCGTGCTGAATCCCCATGCTCCCTTTCGCTGCTGTCGATAGCAAGTATGTTGATTGCGGACCTCTTCTTCGATCTGCTGGTCCTCCAGGAACTCAAGGGCTTTGGTAAGCATCGGTTTCCATTTAGGATCGGTGCACAAGCCAGCAGAATCGCAGGCTTGAATCGTGAAGGAAGTATCCCAGACCTGAACACCGTCCGTGCCATTCATGAGCATTCCTTCATCTTTGACCCACATGAATGCTTGAAGCGTTTTGAGATGTTCGCGGAAGGCGTGCGAGTCAGGACCTTCCCGGATATATGTAACAACCGTATTCATAGGACCATTTACGGGACCAAGATTGGCATAATGGGTGTTGTGGTCTTCGGCTTGGATGAGCCACCAGGCATGATCTTCCGCTTTCTTCTTGAGGGAAGCGGTGCGCAGGAACGGGAACCAGATATTCGCAAGAAACCAGAAGAGTAAGATGAGAAGAGGGTTTTTGGGATGGTAGTTGTCGCAGTCAGCTATATCATTGCGATGATTGGCGAAAGTGATTGTAGAAAACGGTTGTGTGAGGAGCTCGGATCGTAGCTGGCGGGTTAGATCGTTGAGGGGATACGACCAACGACGCGAATAGATGAAACCCATAGGGAGGAATACCATTCGCATGTGGATCCACCATCGCCAGGGATGAATGGGCACCCAGTCGGGCAATAGCCTTTCGAAATTGGTCAGTCACATTCGAGGAGGGTAGACAGAATGGAAACATACCAGAGTTCGGGCGGGACAGGGTTCACGATATCCCAATCCACAACGCCCAAGACGGCCAACCAGAATTTGGTCCAATGTGGACCTTTCAACGCGCCGCCTAGTTTCCACAGCGTCTCTCTCGCCTTTCTTATCCGAGGGTCCTCTGCATCGACTCCTAGAAGTCGGAGTACTGTGTAGTTCATGGCGGTTCCAAAGACGGTGCTTTCTCCCTCGATGTGTAGCCCCCATCCGCCATCATTGGGATTCTGACGGGCGAAAAGATAATTCTTGATTTCAATGGCCTGTGGAGTCGGAATCGGTGTTTCGGTGACATACCAGGTAATGACAAGACCTGGAAGTAGAAACAAGGGACCGCCATACTCGCAGGCCCAATTTCCCGGCTCATATTGTTGCTGGGAGAAGAAGGAGAGGCCATTGGAAGCTGTATCAAGTGGGGTCTTTGGGGGCGGAAGGTCAGGTAGTCCCTGTCGGGTGAAACAAACACAGGTGTTAGTGGAGAACGTGTAGCAACACGAGAAGGGTCTTGCTCAGGGAGTGTTGATGTAGGATTGTGAGAAGGAGCCGTCACTCACCGTGTCCATTCCTAGGTGATACTTGTCGGCCGTGGACTGTGGCCACTTTGCACACTCCTCGTCTGTTTCCAGATAGTGCCAGGTATGTGTGCCGCGATCATCCTTCATACGCCACCTTGTATAATCCGTCTTCTCGTCTTGGTGGCCGAGTCTCCAGCCGCCATCCTCCTCCTCTTTTCCGTGGGCGGTCACCCCGTTCACCTTTGCGGAGGCGTGCTTGCCCATGACTGTACAGATTGCGGCTGTCGAGATTCACCCCCGGTTCCTCTCACCAAATCACTCAACTGTTGGCTCTGCCAGTCTTTTGTATGCATGCATCATGCAGCGGTCTACGCGTTTGTGCGCGTCCCTGCCAAGAGTTCCGAATTTCCCCGAACTAACCAACATTGAGATCCCCGCCGCTGTCGATCATGCACGTGCGTCTGCGCGAGGGTAGCCGGCAGCCTTGTCATTCCGAGGTTCCGACTACGAATGCGAGCGCCCTTCCTAGCACGTACGGGGTTGTGGGTCTGTCGAGTCAGTGATAATTCTCTTCACCCTTTTCGGGTATGAGATCATGATCGGACGATTCGAGGGAAAAAAAATTGGATGATGCTTAAATAGAGGGTGGCAATGTGGCGTACCCAGCTGGCTGTTTCATTGGCCCACTTGCTGGGGGTCAAGGACCAATGCACGGCACAGCGATTTGCTGATAGCAGGGCCACAATTAGAGTTCATGGCAGGAGAGTGATGGGGATACGTGATTGTTGAGAAAGTCGCGGCACATGGGAGTGTCACTGAGGTGTCGACATGTTGAGATGGCACAACTGCTTGGAAATAACAAACATGTGTATAACTAGCTAATGAAACTAGTGAAGCCATTCCCGTTGATATCCAACTCCCAAATCGGGAACCTGACTGGTCGATCTTCCAGACAACAAATACCCGGTGATAGTGATCGAAACAAATGTATATGCAATGCAACGCTAGCAGAATAGAAGACGCCTTCAGTGTACATGCGGCCAAGACCAAACAGAAAGAAAGTAGTTGTGACGGAGAGAGACGTTGAGTAAACGAAGGAGGTGTATGCCGACGCCCTTTGCAAATCGACACTGCTGAACGATGGTACACCGGTTGGGAGAAATATGAGAAATACTGCAAAGATGACCATGCCCCTCGCTCGTTTTCCTTGGGTATCATAGCTTTTGGTGGTGGTGGTGACTCTAATCGCTCAAATCTGGGTTGGCGATGAACAATCGGGTATTGCTCATGGTTGTAGTGCGCTCATCTACGCTTCCCCGTCGGTGTAAGTCGCTCTTGTCTTGGAAAGCTGGCTTCGGTAGTGCTAAAGGCATCTGCCCGGCCTCCCCAAAATTACGTTCTCCGCTACTGCCACTACCAGTTGAGAGACCGGTCTTGGTAGCAAAGTATTCGGGTTGCTGTTGTGTAGAAATGGGGGTTTCCTCCTCGATCAGATCTCCCATTTCGGGCGAGTTTTGTCCGTTTGGTGGTGTTGAACCTGACGAGTGGCGACCACCGACAGCATATGACATACGGCGCCCGGAACCGACGGAACTACGGCCGGAACCTGTCCGATGATGATATGGCCCGTTGCCTCCGCCCGTGGAGCCATTGTCTTCGCTGTCTCCTTCATCCACCTCGGAGGCACTGAGGCGCATAGGCACGCCAGAGCCCGTAGTAGCGACTGGAGCATAGAGCGAAGCCTTGGGCACGCCATGATGACGCACTTTGGATCTGACTCCAGCGGCGACGCTCGAGCTGCCCGACGAATTACGCATCGGGGTATTGTGAGGACCGCCCACGACCTCCATGGTAGCACGCATCTTGGCCTGCCGCTGCTGGGCTATCATCCTGGGGTCTTCGTATTGTGCGCGGTCACACCAGACTGTGGCCTTTTGCTTCCGCATCAGGGCGACGTAGGATGAAGGTGAGCTGCCGGAGTGGGTGGAGGAGGAGCGACGGAGAGCGCCACTGTTGGAGCGATTGGGGGTACCGTTGGTCGAGCTGGTGCTAGAGGTCGGGGTGCGGCGCAGCGAGCCCTGGTACATCTGCGGGGGGTATTGCTGATTCATGGTGGCAGCGGTGGGGGACGAGGCAGCGGGAGGGAAGACGCTGGAGCTGGTGGTTCGTGTTCTGGAGTGACCCATCTGGGCATCCAAGGAGATTTGTGAAGTACGCAGAGCGATGCCAGGAGCGCCTACGGGTTTGCGACGGACGGGGGTAGGACCATAGGCGGCCGGAGGTTGAGCCATGACAGCAGCTTGCATGCTGGTGAGACCAAGCAGGGCCAGCAAGCTCGCTTAGTGAGGTGAAGAAGAGCGGGTGGAAACTGGTGGTTGGCCGTGGAAGAGTCGGAGCAGAGGGGGGGGATGATGGGATTGGCAAACAGCCTCACGGAAACGAAGCAGGCGGGCAGCGAGTGGCTGTAGGAATAAATATGGTTGAACGGTACCGCTCAGAGGTGGTGGAGCAGGAAGTTAGTTGTAGAGACTTGGCGGCCCCGCTGCTGCGAGCGTCTGCTTGGGAGCCCCAGCAACTGCTTAGTCGGGGCAGGTTCGTTCCAGGGAGAGGTGCCGCGTCCGCTTCCGGACAGCAGGTGGTGCAAGTGCGCTGGCAGGTCTGTTATGGGATGGATTGAGGAGGGCGAGAGAGGGTGACAAGCAGGAGGAGGAATGAAAGGGAGCAAGGCAGAGGCAACCGTGCAGAAAATCGCCGTGCGCGGTGAAGCTTGAATAAATAGATGGGCGGGCGGCGTGTAGTGAGTTGATGAGTACCTGCGAACGTGCGTGGGTGCGTGAATTAGGGCGATTGGCTCAGCTCGGCGGTGGGCGCGCTTCACACGCTAGGTACGTCGACTTCCCGGGCCCTCAGCAGGTGGATTGATCTTGAATGGACCGACGGACGCCGGCTTCACGCCTGACGATATGGATCTTTGAACACACACGCACGCTCCGTCAGTTGTCATTGCCATGTATGTATGTACGTACGGCGAACAGCAGACAATTGGGGGAGGCAGCCGGTTGCAGTTGGCTCAAGACCCGGCTCGTTGCTTGCTGAGTCGAGCGCCGCCGCACAGGAAGAGCACTAAGGAAGGAAAATGGTGCATTGCAAATTGGCAGGGCGATGACTTACCGGAATCCTCTCTTCTCCTTTCGTGGCAGGAAATGAAACAAATCAAATGGTTTGGACAACGGGGCAGGCAATTCACAGCACAGCGGGAGGAGGGAGAACAGAAAAGATGGGGCAGATCAGTACATGCCACGGCACGGCACACGACAGCTGCGGCCAGTCAGATATAACCACCCAGGATAGTACCTAGCCAGCTGCGATGAACCGCAACAGCATGTAATACCACCTCAACTGATTGAGGTGTTAGGCAGGCAGGCAGGCAAGCAGGCGATGGCACCAAGAACCAAGTGAGAAATGAGAAAAAGGCTAGGAAACGGGCGCTACTAATAAAACCATCCCAAGCACAGGCCAGATCAAGAGCGAACCCAAGAACCTACCTGGCCCTGCCCCGAGGCCTGCACCAGCCAGTGCACATCCTCCCATGACGAAATCGTTCAATGCCCTCCGCTCATCATCATCACCATCCTCCCCTAATCTCTACCCCTCTCTCTTCTTCCTGGCACTGCTGGCCATCGAACAGGTTACGGCCTTGGTTACAAGCCCTGACCGCGGACCCTGGCCTTCCTCACAGCAAAACACCAGCTATTGATCTAGGGAGATAGCTAAGCTGACCCTGGTCCATCATGATCCATCTCTCTATCCGTAGCCTCATGAGGCAGGCGAATCACAATCCAGAGATGTCGGCGTGCAAAGCCGAATCTTTGCATGCTGCCTGTCTGCACCCATTACCGTCACATCCACCATCCTATTCCGACCACACCAGACTGTTCAACACCTTCGCTACCCAACTCTCCAGCAGAACAAGGTTGAGCCGCCCCTCAAGTGCACACCCGTGATTTGCTGCATCTCACAGTGACACAAGTTACAGCGCGACCTTCTTCATCCTGACATACGGATCGTCGTCGCCGCCCCTCCCTTATGCTGTCCAACAGTGTAACCTTTTGGCCCCTGGTGTCTGTCCTACCGGGTACCAAGCGTCCTTATCACGAGGCCGAGGAACACACTTGAGACTGCGAGGGCAAGATCATTTGAAAAACCTCTTCTGCATTGATCTGGTTGCAATCATGATCATCAGGTCCCAAGAACGTGCATCCACGGTATGACGCTGTTTCACCTCATCCCTATGACCTCAGGCTCGACAAACAAGAGTCGGTCCCTGGATATATCAGATGCCCCTCGTTCTTAAGTCCAACGTCTGACCCTCCGACCAGCCCTCCGACCAGGGACCTGTCCAAGGAAAATGTCAAAGGCGAACCCCTCAGTCATGTCCATGGTTACCCAGATGCCAGAGATCCAGATTTCCCATCTCCATTTCTCGTCGACTACCTTTTCGCGTTTCACACATGCACTGCACTGTATACAGGGATTGTGTGCTGGGGTCTGCTCGGATTCTAGCCGAGCTCCTGCAGTGCAGGGCGAACTGTTGCATGCTCGCATTCGTGTGTACTTTTTACTGTTCCCAGATTCACATCTAAACACGCTGACATGTGCAGAGGCTTTCCAAGTCACAACTCACCTGCGCTCGTGATATCTGCCTCAATTGACGAATTACTGTGCGGCCCAGCAACATGCACGAGTGTTTTCCCTCCTCATTGCTCGCAAGTCTACACACGCGGTGAGCTTATCCCACTAACTGATCTCCGATGATTCGTCATGCGCCATGCAGTTGAGAAGCGAAGACAAAAAGCAAAGCTGAGTCCAATCAAGCAACCGTGGAGCGTGCGTACGTGTGTGTGCTGCAAATTAAAGCAGACGCCACAGGGTCTTCCGGAGAAGGACTCCTCCCGCTTTTGTTGATCTTCACAATCTCACGTAGATCCTCATGTCCCATCCGTCTCCTGTGCGGTTGGATCTGTGCTTTCGTGATTTTCGCCCCCTTCTCTGTTATCAAAGTTCTCGTTGGGACAGATTCAGCGGGGAATGCGGGGTTCTTCCGCGCTTTACTGACCCTCTTGTCCACGGCGGCTACGCCCTTGTACGAACCAAGATTCGATCTGTGTTCCAGCCAACGTACCACAGGTTGAGTGCAGGCTGTCGAGGTTGGCAAAGTTGGGGACGGAACAGAGACGGCGCGCGCTCCATGGTGCTACTAAGGCTAAAGGCCGCTCACCATGTAACCATCTCTCCCCATCGCGATTAGGAAGCACGATCAATCGACTTGGTGGTCAGTCCGTCGATTTTTCTTTTCTATTTTTTCTCTTTGACTTTGACCACCAAAAGGGTTGGTCTAGGCGGAGGGCGGAGCCGGTGGCTACGGCCAATTGCGGTTTGCATTTCACGCGGGCATACACTGCGTATGCACTGCGCGTGCTTCTAGTTCATACGACGCCTCGTTGCGTTTTGGCAAACTGCGAGTAGTGGCACCAATCCTTCTTGGCTCATCGCGAATTTCAAGACACTAAGCAATCGCCTAGGCCGAAGCCATTGTATGGCGGAACTGCACGGCTGTCAAGCGGGGCTTGAGCCGCTGGCCAAGTTGGGTACATGGGCAATCTGCTGATTCGACAGGTATTCATGTGCGTGGTACTCGGCCGGCAGTGCGATTGGTGATATCATTCTTTTCAACATGCTGAACTTGGAGCTTCCCGATCGGGGATCAAGTGCGCTATACATGATACACTACTAAAGTACATGGTATCTGTAATGATAACGTCTCAGATCGCGACATTTGCAGCACCAGGGCAATTGCCTAAATCCCAACTACAAGGGGCCCATCAGGCTGAAGCTTAATAGACGCCAGGTATGAGTCGGTACTTGGTCTGCTCCGTGAACTTCTTCCAGTCGTTGGAATACCTCTTTTCGCAGTACTCGCTCAGCACAGGGACAGCTCTTTGCGAAAAGTCCCAGAAGAAGAAGGCTCCAACAAGAGCTCCCAACCCCCATCCGCCTCCTACAAGTGCATATCCAGCTCGCCAGAGCGTATAGCCTCCATAGTTTATATGCCTGGCAAACTGCCATAGACCCCCGGTATAAATCTTCCCTTTGTTCTTCGGATCAGCCTTGAATCGTTTACGCTGTATTTCAGCGACAAGCTCAGTCAAGATGCCGGTCACGTAGAGCGCGCCCCCCACTAGAAGCGCTGGCTGAGGAAAATCCGATTCCATAGACGCCGAGGTCGCGCGGATGAGAAAAGCGTAGGTGCTCAGACTGTTGAACACGGTATTGAAGGCGCCCACTGCCAGAGAGTTGTGCGTAGCCATGGGCTCGCCCGACAACAGCGTCACCCAAATGTTCTGCTTTACTGCACTGCCAACCGCCATCCCCAACAGCACCAGTCTGTACGGCGAAAGTTCCAGTCCATCAATCAAGGATATCCCGGTGTGTGCAGGGAGCCCAGCTGGAAGCGTGCGTATTCCTACTCGATGGAGCAATCCTGTGCCGAGGCCATGTGCGAGGATCGAGTACTGTAGAAAAGGGTCTGCAGCGCGAGCGAGGAAGAAGACGGCTTTGCCTATAAAAGTCGGGACTTGCGATTAGACAGTGCTCTACCCGACAGGATAGAATGCGCGATTACGCACCGAATGGAGTAGGTGTGTGGTCGCCTCTCGAGATCAAGTCCTTGGACTTCGATTCCTCTGATCGCGGGTCATTTGCGCGCGGATCGTTTTCAGCCATTGTTTCCAGAACTCAGTTCATGGACTGGATGTTGACTGATCAAAGGAGCGTGGTGTGGATGATGATTCTACATTGTAATGCGGGGGACTTGACGCCTTCTTAAACTCCTGCATGTTTTAGGCGGCCAGGTCTGATTGTGACGTACTCGATCCTTCCCGGACGAACAACGCGCACAGGATGACACCACTTCTATACACAGCCAGCCGTCCTCTCCTTGCGATTAGGAAGTTTATCGGAGCTCCGGTGGTTGATACGGACCGAGAGGGGATGAATCTCATCTCACGGGGGTTAGCTTACTAACTGGGTCTTGTGATGTCGTGCATTAGCGCGTACATGTCGGCGCGTAATCGATCGAGGCTTTCTTTGCGGGCGCTCGTGCGCGTGTCTGTGTGTCCTTTCACATTCTTACCTCTTTGTTGTGGTTTCCATTCTTTGTCTTTACTATTGCTTTCAGGTATCTTTGGTGATGCCAGGGTGTGGCTGACTACATGCACGAAGAGGCGGTCAAAGCACACATTTCACGACAATGCGAGCGCTCCGAAGTAAACGGGATCCGTTTCTGAGACACGAGTGAAAGGCCTTCACTTCTCGAGGCATATCATAACTTCATCTAGTTTCCATTCTTTCGTTCACCCCCTTTGCTTTGCTTGCATCTGGCGTGTTAAGTGATACCCGGCCAACTTTCACTTGCTCAAAATTATCTCGTCCGCACCTTCCTCAGCCCAGACTACAGGAACCCTGTTTTGACGACTTCACGATATACATTGCCATCTATTGCTATCTCACATCTTATCTACATATATTGGACGATTATTACGAATTCTTATGAGTCTCAACTTTTACGATATCTGCCTCCTTCTCGAGGGAATCGAGAAAATCCAAAGTGATCGAGCGCCATCAAAAAGCGCAGAAAAGGATGTGGAAGCCAGGACTGCCGTGAAGGTCTCACAATGGTTCAAGAACAGTCGAGGAACACTGGATCATCCTGGAATGAATGGAGCGGCTCTCATGTCGATTATATTTCCACATCGAAGGAAGGATCGTGTATACGGCTTACAACCTCCGCTATTGGCGAAGAAACTCATCAAACTCCTCAACTTGGACTATGGCCGAAAAGCTCTATTCGAGAGATGGTCCACCGATCCTCGCGGGGATATAGGCCACCATCTGGAAATCGCAATGAGATCGTGGAATGGGACGTTTACCACAAAGCGACAATTTCCCATCGACCGGATTGACGCTTTGTTGACCCAAATGGCAGCACAGTATCGGTTCTCGGATCCGTCAATTCGGCGACAACGCAATCAAGAAATGAATACAGACGAGGAGCTCTCGTACATCCTCAAGCGTCTGGATTCGTGGGAGTCGAAGTGGCTTGTTCGATTGCTGCTCAGAGAATATTCGACCATCACTGTTGATGAAGACCATTTTTTTAAGAATCACCACTTTCTGCTCCCGGATCTACTCAAATTCCAAAACGACTTCGACGCTGCTTTTGATACGCTGAAGGGGGACTTTGGCTGTTTCCCTTCGGTCCCGCCGATTCGACATGTCAAGTCAATGCGTACTCAGGCGGCCAGCAAACTGAAAGCTACGGTTGGTGTCAAAGTCTCCCGGCCTATGTTTCACAAAGCATGGTCTTTCAAGCACTGCTTACAGTTGGTTGGTGACCGTGCTTGGGCTGCGGAAGTCAAATATGATGGTGAATACTGCGAGATACATGTCAATTTGGATCAGGGCCACACCGAGGATGAAATCCAGATCTTTTCCAAGAATGGTAAAGATGCAACAGCTGATCGCGGAGCTTTACATGATACCATTCGCAACTCATTGCGTATAGGGGAACCAGATTGCCTTTTCCAGCGGAAATGTATCGTCCTAGGTGAAATGGTACTTTACAGTGATAGGGATCAGCGTATACTGCCATTCTCTAAGATCCGGAAACATGTCAGCCGCTCTGGAACCTTTATTGGTACCCTTCAGGATTCCGCACCTCACGCCTGGGAGCATCTGATGATTGTCTTCTTCGATGTTCTGATGGTTGATGATAAGCCAATTATACGGAAGGATCTTCAAGAGCGGCGTAATATTCTACGCACCTTGGTACGACCCATACCAGGCCGCTCCCAACGATCTCAATGGACGTTACTGGACTTCAAAACAGAACATGGGATCACTGATTTGAAGCAAGCATTTGCGCGAACTCTTGCCGAAAAACAAGAAGGGCTTGTGTTGAAACCGCTCCATACACCATACTTGCCCTTGTTCGTCGAGAATAGTTCGGGGAATCCGAATTACTTCATCAAGATGAAGAAGGATTACCTCGCGGACATGGGAGGGGAACGCGATCTTGGTGATTTCGCTGTGATTGGTGCACGCTTCGACCCTCAAGTGGCTGCTAAGTCAGACTTGAGCCCCTTACACTGGACTCATTACTATCTCGGATGTCTGAACAACGAACCTGCTGTGCAAAGGTACGGCGCGAAACCCAAGTTCAAGGTAGTGGCATGCCTGAGCCTCGACAAGTGTATTCCTAGGACCGAGTTGAAATACCTCAATACTCATGGATATTTCCGTAAGGCAGACCTAGTGAAGAATGGTAGGTCCATTGAGGCTTTCGATGTGAGCCATGGGAGGGGGTATGAGCGGCGTATGACTGTGGCATTCAAGAAACCTTTTGTTGCGGAGATTCTGGGCGGTGGATACGAGACAGTACAGAACGACACTTTCGAAATGCTCCGACATCCTCGAATCCGCAAAGTTCATCATGATCGGACGTGGGAAGACGCCGTAACAATGCTGGATCTAAAACGGATGGCCGAGGACAAGTGGGATGTTCCAGACGCAAACGCGTTGGATGGACATGCAAAAGATGTTGCTGTTCTGTCGAAGAGGTACCATCGCGAATTACATCCAGAAGACGATTTTGACTCGGAGTACGAAACCAGCCAGGAAACGACCCAGCGCACAACACAGCGCACTCAAGAATCAGAAGAGAGTCCGCGTAAAGCCATTCAAGCCGCTCAAGTTCAGAAGACGCATCACTTTGCAGACGAAGATATACCGACTTCGGATTACGAGACTGCGCCAGAAACCATTCGGGAAACCATACCACACTGCAGCCAGCAGACCACGCAAGATGATTTTGAGCTCGCGTCTTCACAATGTGTTACCCGGGGGTCGGTCGTGCCCGAGACTCAGGAGACCACAGTTACCAATCCCGTGTCTACCGTCTCATCTCAGTTCACGAGCAGCAGCACTCAAGTTGCCGGAATCCGGGCTTCGGGTGAGCTCCGTAGCATCTCCGTCCACAAGGACATCACTAAGACAGTCGAGTGCCGCATTGCTTGTCCCGTGCACTCATCGACAGGCCAAAAGCGCAACTCCGTGGATGAGCCTGTCTCTCCGCCCATGTCCAAGCGTGTGGCTAGATCAACAAGATACCCGTTGCAGCGATCCACGGGGAACAAGAAGACACTGGGGACTTTCCAGTTCGATTCTCAGGAAGGCGTGTTGAGGATGTTCGTGAATGGTGATATCAAAGTTGTGATTCACAACGAGGTTCAGGAATAGAGGTATGGTTTTGGACTTGTTGAATTCTTCTTTCAGGTTTTGTGCGATAACATACCCCCTTTTCCCTTTTTGTTGGTTGCGCTTGGGTTCATTGCGCTTTGAGCACGCTATTATTACTTTCTATCTCTTTTGTATATATCTAGCAACTCATGATTATACGTGTCAATGATGATATGTTTAGGGATGGATATATTTGAAGTTGTTCTAACCACAACATGATGATTATGTGTCACTGTGTTTTTGATCTCTATATGAAGAGTTTCGCCACGTATACCCGTGCCACGCACTCCTCCACGCTATTGGCATTGCAAAACTTTTAGGTATGGATGACTCGGTTTGTCAGATATACGAAGATGGCCGACAGGTCAAGGTGCTGGTTACAAGCCAAACGCTGAGTGCGGATAGAACAGCGCTCTTCAACGCCTTCGATAACATTGCATCGCCATTCTAATATCTCATCTCTACAGTAGGGCTCATAGCTAAGGGTGTAAACTTCAGCAGAGCGAAATACGTGATAGTAGATAGTCCCCTACCTAGAGATAGGAAATTAAAACAGTTCAAGCGCAGGGCTATCTATATGCCCTAGAAAGAGTTAGATATTTACTACTTAGCACTATGTAACGCTAAGTCAATAATCAATCTTACGCTTTTGCGCAGGCTCATCAGTTTGCAAACTCCAAAGAAGGGAATTGCCGATGCGTTCAGGGTGGATGGTGCAGAGAAGAAAGATGGATTAAGCAAGGATACCGCGGTTGAGGTGTTGATTTTGAGTTGGACTTTAAGTGTTCCTACACACAGCGATGGTTTATCACGCGGTTGAGGTATAAGGTGGCGCTGAGAAGAAGAATCGCACTGGTTTCGCTGTGAATCACAGTGAGGTGGGACATGAAAGGGGGTTTTGTATAATAGAATTTGGGAGGTGACGCTGGGAAGAGCACACCCTTAATCGTTTGAAAACGCAAAATATACCACCAATTGCACCATTGCCGCACTCTAAAATACGTAGTTCGTACATAGACTCAATGATCCACCGGTGACAGAGTATGATATTGTAATATGTGGTGACTGAAGATCTGAGGGTATATATATGATCAAGAGGGCGTGAGGTAAGAGAGAGGCCAAGACAAGATCCGTCACAAAAATCGAGAAATGGCGGACTACACCACCAGAAAAGCCATCGAGACTAACAAAACACCGCCGATAGTTCAAAAGATCTCAAAACCAAAGGTCAACCGCGCATCTAGTAAGAGCCAGGGCGAACGGAAAGCATTCCGCCATCAACCAGCAAGATGCATCCGTTCAGGAAAGAACCTGCTCTCGACGCCAGGTAAAGCACGGCTCCGGCTATATCCTTGTACAAGCATTAGTATCCCTGACGTTCCAGATAAGAGTGCTAGCATACCTCTTGTCCTCCTGTGCGTCTTGCGGGTATGTCTTGCCACGGTAAGGCGCCAACGGTTCCGAAATTCTCTGGGATATAGCCCTTCTCCAATGTAAGACTCGACTTTCAATCTAACCAAAAAATGATTTCCCGCCACTTACCTCGGTCATTTCAGTGTAAAACAAACCAGGGGCAATAGCATTGGCCCGGATAGTGTGCTTGCTGAACTCCGACGAAAGAGTCTTCATCAAGTGATTCAGAGCAGCCTTGCTAGCTACGTAGATGAAGCTAGGGGATTCGGCTCGGCTCAAACCAACAGTACTAGTAACATTGACGAATTGACTTTGTAGCAGCCCACTCTTTCCTATGCTATCAGGGTGCGTATTCCCTGCTCCTAGCAAGCTTGCAAAGGCGAGGAACGTGAAGTACGATCCGGCTATGTTAGTACTGAGGACTTGACTGGCATCTTCGAAAGGAGTCTTATCCCACAGTTCCTTTCGAAGCTCATCAAGGCCCTGCTCTGCTGGTCTGGGGGCCATACTCGTCACTTCTCCCACGATGGCTGAATTGGCGACAACAAGATTCAGAAAGGGGGTTGTTGCCTGGATTTTCGATGCTGCAGCCTGCAGAGAATCCTTTGAGGTAATGTCGCATACAACTGGAATGAGGGAACCATTTTTCTGCAAACGAATCAGCTTCAGGAGAGAAGATCAATCGTCAAAACACACCGCTTCCGCTGCCACCTCCTTCAGTTTGGACTCGCGGCGGCCAAGGATGAACACTTTGGCTGCACCGTTGATATCCAATGCATGAGCCATGGCTTTACCCAGGCCGGAGCCAGCGCCCGTGACTACAGCTACCAACCCCTTCACACCGAAAAGCTGGGTCACATCGAGTTTCGACATATTCGTTGGTATTGTGTGGATTGAACAAGGCTAATGCGGAATGGGAGAGATAGTGAGATAAGTCTGAGGACGATGACTTCGTATTTATATTTGACACTGATTAACATTAAGAACTGCGAAGTAATGCGACATGTACGTGGGATGAACAGGTTCCGTGACAGGATCGGAACGTAACGTATCACGGATCCCGGATTGTCGGACAAGAACTCTTCAGCAAATTTTTTTGAAAAATGATAAGTGAATATTGCAGTGTGTTCGTTACACGAAGCTGCATCCTAATCTGCCCTCGCTCGGTACGCTGGCTGTAGACGAGCCTACCGGCAGTTCATCCGAAAAGGCAAAATATTCCCATCGGAAATTCGCTCATTATACGCTGCTCCGTACTACTTGATAGCATCAGAAGACCAGTAATCTTTGAGAAAAGGTGTTGTGTTAGATCTCATCAATCTCTGTGGCCTCAATAAAACTAGCAGTTCGAATGCCACTACCTCTCGTAAGACTTTCAAAAATCTGGATATGTAGCGAGATAACGAAAATGACAAAGACTCGTATTGAACCAGATGCAGGGGTGAATTCAACCGGAATACACACTCATAGCCCTCCTGCAATGTATGCGGCTGCAACACGTCTAGATCCTGCGTACAGCATGCTGAAATCGTACTCGCCTCTTTCTCCACCACACATAATGCAGCTTTTTGTGACACAAGCACTAGTACTCAACGAGTGCTGGCATCATGCCGAAAGAGGCACTAGTTAAGAGAAAAGGTAAGGAACAGACAAGCTATCCGGCATCTTGTCCTTACACCGAGTTCTTAGCACGTGAAGATCCATAGCACCTGGATAGAGGACGCAACACTATTACACGGGCGACTTCTGTTAATTACATCTACTCGCGGGTGGAAAATAGTGCGCACATCAAATTTTGGCCTCACCCACCACATACAGATTAATTGGTAACTATAAAATAGCCACATCTTGCTCTGCTAACAGAGAAGAACGCCTCATGAAAAAGTTGAAGCAAATAGATTAATTATTGGTGGAGTAGGCAATCAGTGAAATCGAGCATATATCTGATGGTGTGGGGGATGCCCGGCGTTTTTGGTGCGCAGTATTTTCCAGCCACGTCACCTACCCCTGTATAATCCATCGTACAAGAAGCCAGCGTGGCTGGTTTTACTGTCGTACAGCCGTACGGCAAACAAGCTGGCTTGGTCAACCGGCAGCGCTGCTGGGTGGTAGATTTCTACCATTTTTTCCGACGTTGTGTATTGAGCTGAAGGCTGGCGTTGAGCTGGGGAGCGCCTATTCCACCGGAATGGGCGCGAGTATCGGCTATTTCTGTTCCGGTCAAATCAACACATCATACAAGCGAGAAAACTCGTACTGACACGAGTGTGCAGCTCGACTCGACTTCAAAAATCCACATGTCTTCATTTATTTTTTCTGTTGATGAGATCTCCTTCCCGTTTCTACTGTACGGTACATACGATATGCGCATCTGCATGGTCGTCACCTAGCTTATTGGATACAAAGGCGTTTGCGGACAAGATGACTGATGGACCCACCTAGGTACATACACACATATGTATGTAGGTAATGCCTGCTATTGCATTGGCGACATGCACCTGCTGCAGTGCGTGCATACACACAATCTCGCTGTGGATTCCAGACTATGGCGATCGGTGAGATCTGGCACAACGCTGTACGTACTGAAACACAGTGAATTCCCCGAGGAGACAGGCAATACACATGACACGTGAGGTCCCATGGCTGATTCAGTCATTCAAACAAATGTTAATTCGGGATAGCTACATAGTATGTAGGTAGCCAATTTCTTAGAACATACGTCAATGTTTTTACTTCAGTGCTCACTCAGCACGTAAAAATCGTTAACTACCGTAGGTAGCCAAGCCGGGTCTCTCAGCATACACCAAATTTCGTATTCATCTCCCAATCAGGTGGACACACAATAGCCTGGTCCTGATAAGAAAACGCCAAAACTCCCCCGCTACAAGGGCGCGCACACAGTGAATTGGCATTGCTTCAACTGACAATGAGAGTGTTTGTAGAGTGCTTTTGACAGATAGAACAATGCTCGGTAGTCAATTGAAATTTATCCTCACTCGTTTGTGGTCACTAGAGTTTTTCGTGGACGTCTACATTGCTATCCAGGGTATACTCGGTATCTCTTGTGCGCAATTACCTCACTTATAACTTATGAAAGGTTGTCGAGCTCACTCATCAATCAATCACCATGGACAACAAACTCAAAAACGTATCGCTGGAGAAAAGATATCCATAGCTCAGAGAAAGGCTTGCAGATAGCAGGGCTCTATCGGATGGATGCTATGCTTTAGGTTCGTGGAATCGAAGGGCGAGCAATATGGCACGAAGTATTACGCCTTCATATTCTGTCTGGGAAGTTGAGGAGAGCAAGCCGCAAACAGGGCCACTCTAATTATGTTAGATTATCACAGTGGTTTGCAGTGATGATTTTGATAAGAGGTATTAATCAATTGTGTCGTCTTCTTGTAACTCAACAACCACCATTCACTGGAGAAGTCCCCATGTTTACGGCCAACACTGACGACGACCATGTGAGGAGATTGTTGTAGCGGTGACTACTGAAAGGCGGATGGCGGATAGCGGAAGGAAGAAAACAACATAGACGATGAACTGATAATAGCAGGTGTCGGGTCATGTACATATTGCATATATGGCTGATGGAAAACACTACGCGATTGCAAACAAAAATATCGTCAAGGGCTCGAGGACAGCACATGAACGCACCCGTTAATCACGGAAATGCGATGATTGAAACTGAAATAACGCCGACTGTTTCAATGTACGTGCATACGAAATTGTTCAAACTGGGCAGGAATTTATTTTCATTAAGAGCTGTCCAAATGCAAAGACTTTTTCGCTGTTTTGAATGAAACAACTGGTACATACTCCGGTAATCTCCTCGCTGACCGGTGACGTGCGCCCTGTACCGGCATCTATCTACAAAACAATGCAGATTACAATCTAATTGGGGCAACACCAAGCTTTCGATATCTTGAAACCCGGCGATGATTTGGTTTGGAATAAACCATATGGATCATACTTTGCAGACGCTGCCCTCATTTTTGCGATATTAGCAGCCCCGTAACTTGCAAGGGGATCTTGAAAGCCTCCAGCATAATTCAAATGCTTCCATTCAAATAGGCCATCCAAACTGGCAGCGAAATCCTCGATTTCTTGGCCATATGCTTTGATTTTCTCGGTCGCTATTGTCTCCAGTTCGGCAGTTTTAACTGCCATAGTGAATAAGACCATGATGGCATTTTCTTTTATGCGTTCGAGGCCCATAATGTTCCCTCCGTTTGCTAAGCCATTTTTACCAAACGTTGTAGGAATGGCTTGAATGTTCAACTCGGCGAGGAAATCGGGATCTTCGCTTTCTACCATCCATTCATCAACCAACCGCTTGTGGAGCTCGACGACTTTGTCATATATGCGGCGGTCGTTACGAACAGTTGTTACGAACCAGATATTACTACTTGCGAGTTAGTTGTGTGCGATTGTTTGATGCATTGCACCAGCAATTTTACTTACTAATAGCCTAGGGGAAGCCCGATGCCAGTAGAAACAGTATTCATGTCCCCGGTCGTGAAGGTGTTGTTCTTTTCCGGGATGGCTAGGAAATTTCTGAAAACAGGTGGTTCTACTGCCCCTGACGTATCCTGGTAGAAGTTGACAATCGTGATATTGCCCCAATCTTTCGAATACTTAAAAGCCATGACTGTGCTGCCAGGAGGGTACTGTCCTACTTCATCTACCCATGTAATATGAGCATCGATTAGTTGTGAAGTGGCAGCTTTTTCGTATACTGCTACTCCGCCCCAAAGCTGCTCCGATTTAATGGAGTACATGTCAATTCGTGTTATTATTCCATAGTTTGAAGCAACACCTCCCTTGAGGACTAGGAAAAGGTCGCTATTCTCCAATAAATTGGCGTTCACTACTTCGCTGCGCCTACATCAGCTGACTTGTTGGAATGATGACAGGAAAGAATATAACGTACCCACTGGCAAGGACGATTTCAAAGTTTTTTACGTTATCGGTGGCAAATCCGTATTGATTTGAGAAAAACGAGTTTCCTCCACCAGTAATGTACCCTGCAATCCCAGCGGTATGGGATCGACCACCAACCACTGTATAACCAAGAGGTTGCAGTTTTTCGTATACGGAACCCCAGAGAGCTCCTGGCTGGATAGAGGTAATTTCGGTAGTTTCGTTGAATGTCGTCGAATTCATAAGGCCAAGGTCGATAGTGATGCCATTGATGATGTTGTTTGAATACGCCCATGCCATTTGGCCCCCAGAACGTATAGCAAACTCAGTCTTGGTACAGGCAGGGTGTTTGGCAAGCGTATTGACTGCTTGAACTACGTTGTATGTGGATTCAGGTTGAACAATACAGCGTGGGTGCAGTTTTGAACTAACAGACCAATACGACTCAGTTCGTTCTTGATACACAGTATCATTACTGTAGTACACATGCTGTAGTCCATATTGTTCCAAAGCCTCGCACTGGTAATCGCGTCAGTTGGAGGTTATAGATCATTAGGCCAATCTTGAGAAGGTTGAACATACACAGGTGACGGAGCTGTTTTGCCAGTTTTGGGCCTGAGTCAGGGCCACGGACAGCCCGAGGAACACAAGGTACACTGAAGCTGACATGATTAAGGCAATTTCCCAGGATATTCAGAAAGACCTGAAAGATAGAATTCAACTCTTTGATGATCAGGCAATGTACTTACATCTCCTCGAATGATTATCAATCAGAGAGCGCGCCGCGGAACGTCACTCACTCGGGGTAACAGTCTATCTGCTGGTCACGGGATATTTCGCACAGCTGTATTCCTGCTTCCGGAGCGGTTATGTTGTATGCAAGGCTATCCGAAATGTTTCTACCGGCCACCTCCGGTACGTTAATTCCTCGTATATGCGGGCGTGGTTGTTACTAGTGCGTATGTGGCCTAGCTCCCTATGCGAAGTATTCGGTATTTTCGGATATCTAAGTTATCGCACAAAGAATCACTTCAACTAACAGTGATCTGCAGTAAGCCTCACAGTAGCGAGTGGTTACATCGGGTGTACGCCTGAACATGCTACTTGACATGTAGTTACTAACTTCCTGTAGTACTGAGTTACTGTATTACTATGTGAGAAGGCACTTGGAACATCTAGAACGATGGAAGACTAGTTCTAACGTTATATGAGAGACTCAGAGGGAGAGCCCCGAGTCGTTACTTACCATTGACAATCGTTGCACTTGTGCAGAAAACGACATTGGGCAAGCGCCGAGTGACGTCATACCCAGAGCGGGGTGTAAAGCAGGGAGGAAGGAAAGCCATTCACCAGGCAGAAAATAGGAAATTGCTGGAATACCAATGACGAGTTGGTAGGGAGAATATTATCTTGTTGTACTTCTTCTTTCTGGTCCGTTCCGTTCAACATTTGAACACGCAGATCATCCAATGGTATTGCTTTGTAGAAAGCGATGATGTTGGTTGTTTTTCTGATTGACAGTGAACCATCGTATACCAAAAATACAAATTTTTTTAACTCTATCGTATTTTTATGCGGTAAGTGTTGTACAGGGTGATTCGCAGTGTTAACAAGGAGTAACGAAAGTTTGAGAAGCCGTGTAAGTTCAAAGAAAGAGTTTTAGGAACGTTGAACTGTCTCAGATCAATGTGAATGGAACAGACAACGGGAACGATAGCCCAGAAGCTTCGAATAGATATCGTGGCTGCGTGGGTACAGTTTGGTCCATTGAGTATTTACTAAGGAGTATATGTACGTCCTGAGCCCTTGGGCAGTTCACACGTGTTCTCTCCGTACTAAATTGTGCCAGATCTGATCAATCTTTATGGCCTCAATATAACAAGCAGCGCTGCTAGTGCTGTTCGAATTGACTATGCGCAGTCGTCTACTTGTTTCTCACAAAAGAAAAGAAATCGAGATTCAGAAGCTAAGCGTAGTTGACAAACTGTCTGTTGGTATGCCTCATCTGTACCTGGAACAAAGCGCAGCATATCACCGAGGAGCACAATCGAATGAGAAACTCTCTTGTTCACTAGATCAAAAGACTAGATCAATTAAAAGAGGAGGGAGAGGAAGGTGTGACAAAAGCACCGACAAGTGCGAGAGCTAGTGTGTGGTACTTAGATGCGTACGTACCTGCCATATCTGTTGCAGCGTAGCTTAGGACGAGATAGTTATCTTCTGGAAGATGAAACGTTAGGACCTTAGTCAAGTTTTCACTTGGTGTCTACAGAATCGGGAGGTGAAGAATTATATTTCTATCAGTGGAAGTGTCGAAAGACCCCAATTGCGCGATCACCAAAACGGACACATCATATAGTACAGTAACTGCAGGCTGACCCATCCCCATCTATGTATTACTGCTCAGGTCGCTACCCGCGTCCTTTGTTGGAAAGATGGGGTAGACAAATTCAAGCGATTTTTGAACGCTCATTACGAAACTGCTCGGGCGATTTAAACTGCCTCTAACAAGCCGATTAACCTGACTGCCGCTAATGGGGCGCGATCTATTCACACTGCTGGTAGTAGTCGTAGTAGGTTCTCGGGCAGCATGCTTCACGAATTATCATTTCAAGGTTGTTCACAATGGATTGAACAGGTCCCTGGATCTTAGTCAAGCGAGTTACCACTTGGAGCATCGGCTTGCTCTCATTTCGCTCGACCAACTCAGCCTCTATCAAAGCATCCTTAAATTTGCCGACGAAACGAGCAAGGATCATATCAAGGCTGTTATCCGAATCTACGAGACCATAGACAGGCTGTATATCTTCGGGAATGTTATCCCGGACGCAGGCGATCTTCTCTTCGCAGGTATTGCAAGGGTACTGCCCATGATAGCCCCGAGCGTACTCGCATGCGGATGGACCTTCCTGAAGTAGAATAATGCAGACGAGGCAGGATGGTTGATTGTAGGAAGTATTGGCGAGGAGGTGGAAAGTCCGCTTGTTGAGCGTAGGGTACTCGGGGTCGAGTTGACTCAAAGGATCGAACGAAGAGTTGACGGCAGCCTACTAGCACAGCCTTGGGAGCGGAAGGCACGACTGCATTGGAAGCGAAAAGCACGAACGGGATACCTCTCGAAGAGTATCTGGACTGCCACGAACCGTAATTGATTGGCCGGAAGTGCGATCCCTCCGGATCTGATTTTTACCATGTAGGAGAGGCACCAAAGTTGGTATCGACGTCTTCGGCATCGGATATATAGCGAAGGTGTGACGAAATGTGGAGATGCAATGAATGTGCTTTACTGGATAGCTGAAGGTCCATTGGGTCCGGTGTGGTGGTGAGAAGGAAGAGACTTTGAGCGGCAGACAGAACGAATGATTCAGGCAATCTCCATATCAATCACTCGCTCTTGGGCGGTTATGCTGTGCAGTGTGCACGGTGAAATGCCGACTCCGCCGCTTCACACCCCTGTCGCATCCTTGCCACCTGAGGAATGTTGCTGACAACTCAGAATATCACCAAATACCGACTCCGCAACCGCCTTCCCCATGCTACTTTCCCACAGTTACGACATGCATGCTGACTATCCAAAACATTACTGAGCACTGACTCCGCAACGTACCTTTGTCTGTTTCTTGGCGGTCCTACGAGATGCCTTGCTCGTGTTTAGTTTGCTGTGTATCGCCACCATGCAATGTTCGTAAGCTGAATTATCGCGGAGACATTATGCAATACAATTGCCAGGGTTCCGGGCGGATAGGACTCGCAATAACTCCGCTACCGATTTCGCCGTTTGCGGGCACACTGGAATGCAGCTCGATTTCAACACGCTCTTTGAGCATATCTATCACTATATAGTGAGCCTCAACCGCCACTGCGCAATTCTCCATCTCTCACCCAGAAAGATACGTCAAATCATCACAGTTTACTACCAACCTTACCAATCTCCGCTTATCACACTATCCTACCGCAAAAATGGTTGCTTACGAAGGGCCTTATGAGGGAAATGGAATGTTCAAGTCTTTCACAAAGACTTGGCATGCCGAGCCGTATCCCGCCATCTCTCCTACTCGGCCCGAGCTGAGCGCGGCTGGCAAAGTGGTCTTCGTTACAGGTGGCGGTAGCGGTATTGGCAAAGCTACAGCCATTGCCTTCGCGCAGGCTGGTGCTAAGGCCGTTGCTATCTTCGGACGTCGCGTTGCAGTCTTGGAGGAGGCTGCTAAGGAAATCAGCAAGGCCAACCCATCGACGACTGTAATCACTGAGAGCGCTGATATCAGTCAGCGAAAGTCGTTGGAGACGGCATTTGCTAGTGCCATCAGCAAAGCTGGGGGCGGCAAGGTCGATGTTTTTGTCAGCAACGCCGGCTCCCTTAAGCCTCTAGACACAGTTGTCGCATACGACGAGGGGAATCTGCGGGCCAGTATTGATGAGAACTTGCTGGGCTCGTACTATGTGATCCAGACGATAGCGCCCTCTTTGGCCCCCAAGGCAAAGATCTTGAACGTCAGCTCCGGCATTGGTCACATCAACCCCCTTCCCGGCCTCTGGGTGTACGCATCGCTCAAGATCGCCCTCATCAAGATGTTTGATGCCTTCCAGGCCGAGAACCCAGAACTCAGCGTTTTCAACATCCAGCCTGGAGTGGTTTCAACTGATCTCAACAAAGTTTCCATGTTCCCGGGTCAAGACGACGGTAAGCTTATCTCCCGATCATTTCCGTGTTGTCCATTTCCTTTCTTTCCGGCTAATTCATAATCTAGTGAACCTCCCTGGCCAATTCCACGTTTGGCTTGCTTCGCCCGAAGCCGAGTTCCTCAAGGGGAAGTTTGTATGGGCCAACTGGGATGTCGAGGAAATGAAGACTCACGCAAAAGAGCTCGAAGAGTCCATGCTCTTGAGGGTATATCTCGATGGCATTCCCATGTAAAGAGGCTCCAGCTTGCAGGAAGTTTATCGTTGAGTTGTAGCACGCGCACAAAGCCGGTGTCTAGAAGTTGTATCCCAGATTTTGTAGTAGAACAGCCGTAGAAAACACGTCGGGCTTATCAACGTTCCTAATGATTGTGAGACTTGCTGCCGTTCTATCGTGTTACCATGATTCTTCGAGTATCCTCCGCGGATTGTTTCAACGCAGTCCGTCCAGGGATCGAGACTTTGACGATTGAGTTTTTGTTAGAAAGTTTCGCATGACAACTCCATGAGGGAAGTAGTTACCTTCATGTAGATAAGCCCTAAGTAGCTCGATCGCAAATTCCAGTTTGACTGTAATGATCTCTCTGATTGATTGCGTATTTGACGCACGCGACGTCCCAATGAACCAGTGGAGAGGATTTGAAATATGTGATGTTGAGGTGGAAGAACCATGGTACGCTCGGACTAGATAGAAACTATCACCAGGCTTAGTAAGCGCACGTAATAGAATATATACCTAACCTCTAAGGGGTGAGAGACAAAGGGCACAGACAGAACAAACCGAGGTAGATGCGCTAGGCTGTAAATGCGCAACCCTTAGCGATAATGGTTGTTATCAACTATAATTGTGACCTAATTAGAAAAGACGTACTGGGCGAGAGCATCACTGCGATACTTGAAGGTAAAAAGTGGCAGTTGATACTGTTCATTTTGCTTCTATCCTCGTTCTATGGCAGGGCTGTCAAACGGCTTCCAGGATTGATATCGCGGGCAGGGTGGTAGGGGGCAGGATGGTAGGGGTTGATGGAAGTGGGAAGCCTTATGAGAACTCTGCTCTTTTATAGCGGAGGGCGAAGAGCGTACCATGGTTTTTCAACCTCAACACCACACATATTTCAAATCCGCACATCTCCACTGGTTCGTTGGGATGTCACGTACGTCAAATGCGCAGTTAATACGGCTGGCTGTGTAGGCTGATTCCATATGGGGGACGCATTGTTGAGGCAATCAAGAAGAACGGGAGATGACGGTCCCATGAGGCCTGGAGGAGCATGTTCATGTCCACCTGATTGCAGAGTACCTTGATATCACCTGACAGCATCAACTCTGCCCTGCTGATACAGTCGACCGAAGATGGAATGCAATGCCCAGCAACCGATCTATGCCGCTTTACGACAGCCAACACAATTGTGATGGCAGCCCATACCATAGGGGCGCAACCACGACAATCGTGGGCCAACCACAGCGGAGTCTTGGCCTCAAAAAGCAACAACACCAAGATTGAGCCCCGGAGAAAGCTGTTGAGAGCCGGTACGGCGTGTTTCAAGACAGGTAAGACGGGTGTTGGCTTCCCGTATTGTTCATTAGCACTGTGGTGGCAAGAACAGTCGCTTGCCTGCGCTAGGAAAGAAATGCGACTTCAGCATTCCGACGCTCAATGACGTATGCAAGCAGATATTATCGTCGTCTCAAATGAACATGTACATGACCGCCTCTGCGTGGCTCCGTCGCTTTTTGGGCGCAGACACGCGGCTTGGCGCTGTGAAGGTATGATGTATGAGCAGCTGCGACGGTAGCAAAGTTGGAAGAAATTCTCCAACAAAGTATAGGAATTCCAGCGTGTGAATTTCGGGTTCCCTATTACGATGCCTTGGGTGCCTGAAATTCTGCTAGATAACGCAGTTGCAAGTGTTCTTTCATTTATCTTCAACACGGTCGATCGGCAGAGATTCATAATCGCGAGACGTGGAATGAGGAATGAGAGGGACACTCCGATTGGTCCGTCGCTTATAAATGCTAGCGTTGAGGAACGTACCTCCCTTAGAATCTTCCGCAAGCTTCCCCGATCAGGCTAGAGATCTTCGCTAGCTTATGCATTCGAGGAGTGAAACAACAAGCCATTCCCGCCGTTTGTGGGCTTCCCGGTCAGACTAGTATAAAGACGGCGAGCGAGCATTTTGATACTTTGAGAATCCTCTGCACAACCCACAATCCTTCAGTACCTCAGCCATACGCCGTCGTCATGTCTCCTCAATCCGAAGAGGTGTCCCATCCGCCATTGGAGCTTCAAGTCGCTGGTCAGGACGCTGAGTCCGAAGACAAGAGCAGTGAGGACCACAAGTTGGACGTCGTAGATCGCGAGATCCACGGTCTTCGCTGGCTGGCAATCTGCATCTCTCTCTACGCCACCTGTATCCTTTACGGCCTCGATACCACCATCGTCGCCGATGTTCAGGGTTCTGTCATTGAGCAGTTCGGACACGTCGAGCAACTCGCATGGGTCGGAGCAGGATTTCCTCTGGGCTCCGTTTGTGTCGTCCTCCCCCTCGGAAATCTGTACAACTCGTTCAACATCAAATGGACCTTCATCATCACCGTGCTCCTTTTCGAAATCGGCTCAGCTATCTGTGGAGCCGCTCCATCCATGAATGCGCTCATCGTCGGTCGCGTCATCGCCGGTGTAGGAGGCAGCGGAATCTACCTTGGCTCGTTGAATTACTTCTTGGCCATGTCGGGTACAAAGGAGCGCAGCTTTTACATGGCATTGATCGGTAGCTGTTGGGGCGTCGGTGCCATTCTGGGTCCCGTCATTGGCGGAGCGTTTGCGACGTCCCCAGCCACTTGGCGATGGGCATTTTACATCAACCTGGTCATCTTTGCTCTTTCACTTCCTGCTTACATCTTCTGCCTTCCCTCGATCAATCATGGGAGAGGCATCAACTTACGCGAACGAATCGCCCGCCTCGACTTTGTCGGCTATATTCTCGGTGCCGGCACTTGGGTTGGCTTTCTCTTAGCTGTCACGATGGCAGGCGGACAATGGGAATGGAAGGACGGAAGAACCATCGCCACTTTTATCGTTTTCGGAGCCACCTTGGTCGCATACGTCCTCCAGCAGGCCTTCGCCATCTTCACCACCAAAGAGAACCGTTCTTTCCCAGTCCAGCTGTTGCGCGAACGTACCCAAGTCCTCCTTTACATCAATACCTCGGCCGGCATTACCACACTCTACATCGCCATGTTCTACATCCCCATCTATTTCCAGTTCACGAACGGAGATAGTGCTTTGCAGGCGGCTGTTCGTTTGCTACCTTTCGTCATCGTGGCCATTTCGGTTAATCTGGCATCGGGATACTTTTTGAGCGCCATCAAAATCTACATGCTGATCTACGTTATCGGCGGTGTCTTCTTGACGCTCGGTGGCTCCCTCCTTACTGCATATTTGAATCCGGACACAACACATGGAACCATCTACGGCTTGTGCATTATCACCGCAATCGGCAGCGGCCTGGCAATGTTGGCTGGTTATTCCATCGCTTCGCTCACGACAAAGCCGGAGAATGGTGGACCGGCCCTCACCATGCAGAACGTGTCACAACTCGGAGGCCAGGTCATTTCTCTCGCCATTGGAGGCCAGATTTTCCAATCCACGGCAGTTCGAAATCTGCGGTCTGTTCTTGCTGGCCAGAATTTTTCAGAGGAAGATATCCGGAGCGCTGTCTCGGGCGTCCAGAGCAGAGTGCTGGAGGAAGTTCACGGGGAATTGCGCGAAGAGGTCGTCTTGGCCCTTGTGAGCGCAATGCAGAAGGTTTTTATACTCATTCCTGTTGCAGGAGCAGTCATGCTCGTGGCTGCGCTGTGCATGAAGAGGGACAAACTCTTCAATGTAAGTGCCGTGGCCGCTGCTTAGCCTAACAGTGCCTGCAATATTCGCAACAGGCGCTGTACAACTACAAGTGGCATGCTGGGGCTTTGAAAAGCATTTGATATTTTCGGGTTGAAGGCGCACGGTCTAAGATTATTAGATGGATGATGTACTCATTAGAGAGTAGGCAGTCATGAAGGCTGCTATCTTCATACACACGTGTACATTAAATAGAAAGGTAGAACAAGATAGTAATGGAGCATCAAGTACCAGACATTCATCTAGATCACCGCTACATATATATTGCAGTTTCACAACACATACCACAAAGACTACCTGTGGATTGCCCAAGGAACTCAGGCACATGTACATATATCGACGTTATGCGATAGCACTTGCCGTTTGCTGACATCATGGATCCGAGTATCTGGAGTCATTCAAACATTTTGATCTTCTGGACCCTTATTGAAACAACGCATCCAATCGACACACGACCTTGCTTATCATAGCACTACGTAAACCCCTAGAGGATCGACTTCAGACTGAAATGGGTAATATGAGAGTATCGCAAGCGGCAATGGGAAGAGGTATCGACGTTAACGTGCTCCATAGATCATACGGTTTCTGAGAAGGGCTTGCAGTAACCGACGCACAGTATGGAGGGAGTTACTAAACAGCATCTGCGACTCCCAGTTGCAGAGGATGGCGGAAGGCAAAGGGCAATGGAAGGCAAAGGGCAATCTCACGTACAACAGCAGGGACCCGACGATGGCGGGCACCCGGTCCCTACCACGGCACTCTACTGCTGGGATTTACCGGATAGCCGGTCTAGCTAGCGAATTACTGTGACATCTCAGTGATTCGTAGTGATTCATAATGCCGTATTCGACAATGCCATCTCCCTATGCGGTCTCAGTACCTGCAGCTCTCTACACGAGGGACCTGCCTAAAAGAGGGCTGATGCGCAGGAAACAAGTGTTGTCTCTCGTGTTTTAGTCGAGTACGAGTTGGGGTACGGGTGGTGTTACACGCCGCGAAGGGTTGCAACGATCCATGAGCGAAAAAAACGAGCGGTAACCCAAAATACAAGATGGCCTTCACATAAGCTTATTGCAATAAGCCAAGGCAGGGATCGGGGAACACCCCTTAGCACTAGCCCAAATCGGAGTCTCTCGAAGGAACAATCGACAACAATTCTTGCCTACCTAGGTAGTTGGATAGATGTTACAGAGTAGACAACTCGAATGTATTGGCTACCTACAAATGCGCTAGTTGTTGGCCGCAGCGAAATAGTGCCGTATTCTGGCGTATTCTGGCAGGGAATGCTTCCAGCGTAAGCGAAGGATCGGGTCATTTTTCTTAGTTAGGCTAGATCTAATGCAGGCCATGTTCCAACAGGATTCTAGAAAAAGAGCCTCTTATGCACTATCCCAACGTCGCCGAAGCTGAAAAACAGGTGTTCAAGCATCCCAGGGGGAAACTGTTCTAGATGCCTCGTTTTTGTGTTGCTTCGCGTTCTCTGTCGTCAGCTCTGAATTGTAGTATTCAATTTGTCGACTCAAACATCAGTTGATACCTCCTTTCTTGCCACTAAGTTACTCGGGCATCACAGTCAGCACCCCACGCCTTCTGAAGGAGAATAAGCGCCGTTGTTATCATTGATCTTCATCCAACGGACCCCAAACGCCTTTTTCAAATCTCGGAGCGGAGAAAATGCTTGTCTTTTGTGGCTCACTATACTCGAAAAACTAAGACAAGGGCGATGAAGCCTAACTCCGCCCCAAGCCCACGTATTCGAACTTTGAAACGAAGGAAGGCAAACATAAAGCTCGTATTCGTCATCGATAAGCCTTCGGCCGGTGGCGAGCTTACGCATCCGGCGAGCGCATAATTCAACTCATGTCAAGCTGAATTGCAGGTACGGGATGGAATGTGGTGGCGCCACCCTTGTGTCAGACGGTGTTGGATTCTGATGCCAGCAGGCCTATAAACGCACGTGTAGGCCCCCCACCCTACCTCGTTTTCCTCGGAAACACTCGCTTAACAGCCAATCGTTGAGTAAACAGCTCGTAAAATCGCAGGGAGGGCGCGAACGGTTCGTGAAATGGACCTTCTCGGGAATCATCAACACGGATGCTCAGGCTATGCTCAGGCTACGCTCGAGACTACATCTTTTTTTTTACAACTTACTCTGTCAATCCGGAGTGAGCTTCACTCCGTCCCGTAGACTATGAAGATGATTGATAATCGTTTGAAAATATTCAAGATACATAAAGCGTCGCGAGCTACATTCTTGTGTTTGTCGTGCGCAGCTTTGCCTTTGTACATTCACTTATATATAGATTTTACCTCAACATGTCTATCAAGGCTTATGTTTCGTTCTTTGCAATCTCTGCGGCCGTGGCTCACGCCCAGACTTTCACCAACGGCACTGCTGGTACCTGCGTATGTTTTGAGTCCAAGCATTCATACCATGCGAGTTTCTGTCACTAATTACACAACCAGTGCGACACTCTGCTAGCGAACGGTCTGCAGCATGTATACACGCCCAACGACACCTTTTACCAGACACGCACCAGCTCATATTGGTCTCTGGCTGCTCAACTACACCCCAACTGTTACGTCCAGCCCACCTCAACCAGTGACGTGGTTCTCATTGTAGATACCCTTGTCAAGGACCCTGGGTGTGCAGGAACGCAGTTCGCTGTACGAGCAGGCGGTCACATGCCATGGACGAACGCGAACAATATTGACAACGGTGTCACTGTGGATTTGGGTCTCATGAACAAAACCACGTTTGATGAGACCAGCCACGTCGCATCTATTCAACCGGGATCTCGCTGGGGCGCTGTCTATCAATACCTAGAGCAATTCAACTACACTGTAGCCGGTGGCCGTGCTTTTGATGTTGGTGTTGGCGGATTTATCATGGGTGGTGGCAATACCTTTTTTGCCAACCGGTTCGGATTTGGCGTCGACAACGTCAAGAACTTCGAAGTCGTCCTTGCTAGCGGGTGAGTCATGGCTTCCAACGCAACACATTTACTTCACCAAGATGAGTAAGCTGATGCTGATACGTATGTAGTGAGGTGGTCAATGCCAACCAAGAGGAAAACAACGATCTCTTCCTTGTTCTCAAAGGAGGTGTTGGCTCGAACTACGGCATTATTACTCGAGTTGATATGTACGGCATCGAGTCCCACCAACTCTGGGGTGGTATCGCGATCCATGATAAATCGACTAGACCGCAACATCTTGAAGCCCACACCTACTGGGTAGAACACGACTCAGAATATCCTCCAGGCAGCACTGTTATGGCCTTTACCTATTCTAAGGCCTTGGGCAACATTACCGTTGTTAATTTCTACCAAGACACTGTCGGTACTGTGGCTGCCCCTGCCTTTGATAAATGGCTAGCTATTCCTCGCACGAGCGAAACTCTTAGGCTTGGCAGCCACTTCAACATGGCTTCGGAGATCGACATTCCTTACGGCTATCGGTAAGTGAAGACACGATTACTTTTGTCCATGAGTAGAGTACTAACACAGGTATAGACAGATCCTATGGACCACAACGGTTCGCAACGATATCCGGATCTACAAGAGGATTGCTGAGCTTCATGAGCAACTGCTTGAAGAATGGAAGGTTGAGGGCGGGGACCCCGACTTCAACCTCGAAGTCAATATGCAGGCGATCGCCAGATCCTTCACCGACAATGGCTTGGCCCGTGGTGGCAATATCATGGGTCTTGATCGTGTGCAGGACAACGTCACTATGGTCCTCTTTATCTTTGCCGTCAAGACTCCCGAGCTTGAAGTACGGGCAACAGAGAAGCTTAAGCTCGTCGCAGAACAGGTTGAAGGGTTTGCTTCCAGCGTTGACGGTCTTGTTGAATGGAAGCACTTGAACTACGCTGGCGGATTCCAGGACCCACTTAAAAGCTACGGCGCGGAGAACCTGGAAAAGATGAAAGCAGCCTCTGCCAAGTACGACCCCGACAGCGTCTTTCAGATGAAGTCCACTCCTGGCTTCAAAGTCTCAAAGGCTTAGTACTGCCCTGAGTCTGAACATCTGGCGCAGTCTACTGGTGTAGACCCTGAATGGAATGAGCATTCGCGAAGCAGTTAGAATTATCTTCTTGTATCGTTCACTTAGATTGCTAGACTGCGACTATAGCAGTACAATTTACCTATAGAATTTTTTCTCACCTCAGCTTACTTGCCTCTGTGACATGTACATTCGGAAAACTTGCCATTTTTTTAGTCTTGCAATCGTGGCGTTCTTAAGGGCGGGAGCGTGGTTTCAAGTTTCGAAACTTAAGTACTCGTATGACATTAATGATCGTTATTGTCTAGACCGGCAAAACCACATAACACATACCGTAAGTTCGCCCTAGTCAACACAGTAGTGGCAAAGGCTATCGGGTATAAGTCTTAGGTGATTGGGTTGGTACTTCTTTGTCAACTGAATTCTTGAGTAGCTGGAGTGCGAATGAGAAGCTAGCCAGGCTCAAATACCAATATGTAGCCTAACATGGAGCGGAGCGTCACAAAAGCCACCGATCTTACATTAGTTGTGATCAAATATTTATTTATTTTAAGTTGGAGTTAAGGTGTTCCTACACACAACGATGGTTTATAAAGATAATAAAGATAAACGAAACAGAAGATTACTTCGAAATCAATGCGACATGCCTTCACACAAGCTTGTGTAATAAGCAGGGATCGGGGGGCACCCCTTATTTTGTGATCAAATACTATGGTGATGGAGGACTACTACAGACGACTAAAAATCTGTATTAATTCAACGTGTTAGGGTGTAGTTGCGATATACATCATGCCTAGTGTTATAATTGATAGAACGGGTGGCGTCTTCCGTCTTACGACAGGGGGGAGATACAAGGATCAAATCTCATCGGAAATCTTATCACTACGATCCATCGAAAATCAATTTGTGGAGTCTGACACGAAGACCCTGCCTAGAAATACTCTAAGCTATTTATATATTAATCATTGCTACTAGAAGGCCAAATCTTTCCTACAGATCATGGGAGCACAGACTGCTATATCCCATATTGTTTAGTCGAGCGACGGGTAGCATCCGTATCTTGCGTCGTTTGGATCGTACCCGATACAATGCCAGCATGTTAACAGGTTATCTGGATCAATGCTTTTCTTGATTGAGAGCAGCCTGTCATAGTTCTTCTCTCCCCAGAAAGCTGTTGTGTGGTCGATCTCATATAAATCTGCTTCATTCGAATAGGACCCGCTGCCTGGCATTGCTGAAAGTAGCACTTTGTTCGCGTCGTGAGCCCCCTGGAATGCTCTTTGTATCTCATCAACATCAGCTTGGTTGGAAAATGGCAAGTTGGTTACAACATTCCAAATGCTGTCCCGCCAACTTGGATGGATCGAAGAGGTATCATTGGCTGACGTAACTGGGTAGTTATACGGAGTTACAGCCAGAAGCAGAAACGGCTGCCCATAATGAACCACGTTTGCATCAGTCGTGTTGCGCGTGGGATAGGTAACAAGAGCTTTAGCAGCCAAGAGCGCGTCTCGCAAGATTGTACGGTTTTCTGCGCCCTCGAACTGTGATGCGGGGACAAGTCGACCGCCGTATGCAACGGCTATTCCCACTGTTGGGCCGGCCCCCACCAAAATCTCTTTGAAAAATTTGTAGTAGCTTTCATAGTTCGTCACGGAAGCAGTAAGAGTCACCTCGCTGCCCAGGGAGGCGGAGAGTTCCTCAAAGACAGGCTCCATAGACAATTTTGCTTCCTCCAAACTTAGTCTAGGGTTGGCCAGGTTGAAACCTGAGACGTCACTGTAGCTTGCACCACCATAAACGTGACCTGACCAGCCCTCAGCTGCCCATCGACTGGCATTTTCGATGAGGATAGTGAGAAATTTGGAGATAGCCTCGGGATTTGAAGTATTCATGCTCACGGAGGCAACCTGCATACATTAGCAGTTGCTTCTTTCAACTTTGGGGACGCACTTACACGGAGAGTCATAGCTGGCAGTGCTCTGGACGTCATCTCATAGTTAACACCGAATGTGCCTCCACCGCCGCCTCGTAGCGCAAACCACATATCCTGATTCTGGCATTCGTTGGCGGTGACAACTGTCCCGTTGGGGAGTACAGTTCTAATTTGTAAGACATTGTCAACTCCCATTCCAAATGTATTGGAAATTTGACTGTGTCCTCCTCCCGAAATCCACCCACCAGCTGTCCCCACAGTGGGTGAAACTCCTCCAATAATGGTAAGATTATTGTTTTGACCAAATTCATATAGCTCGCCAAACTGCTGACCTGCGCCAAATGTGATAGCCTTTCCTTCTACAGGTTGTGCGCAGCCATCAGGAACAAAGTTATCAGTCAGCTGAAGTTCAGGTCGGATGTTGTGCGTCCATATAGCGAGGGAACCAGGTGCTGAGCTTCGCCCTTGGAAATCGTGACCCGTATTCTTAATGCTTAAGGGGGTACCAGTTGTCCGGGCAAATTCTAGACCGGCGCGGATGTCTGAAACGTTCCTCACATCAATGTAAAAGGATGGCACGCTGCCTTGATGGCAAACTTGCGTAGAAAGAAAGGATGTATTCGAAGGGTCCAGCCAATCAAGGGAGCATCCCTGAGCTGTCTTTTGACAGGTTGCCCAATTCGACTACATGGCCATTATGTCAGTAATCTCAAACCATAAATACAGTTAATTTGTGCACTTACGTTGATGTAGCCACCAAATTGGCTTGACAAGTACGTATCCTTGTGATAACCTTCTGCGACCTGTGCGCAGGCTTCTTTGTCCAGAGACTGCGAGCCTACAATGTCGTTGCCAATAGTGGTGTTGTATTGGTTAAAGCATGGCTCTGCAACGGGCACGCCAACATGTAGTCTACCATCCACTGATGCATTCAAAGCTTTCCATTGATCGGGAGTCGCCTCAGAGTGAGAAGGCCTAATGGTTATGGCTGCAAAGAACAGGTAGCCGATCTGGTGTTTTGTGAAAGCCATCATAATGACAGAAAAATGACCGATGTTGAAGACTGTACTTTTTAGTTGTTGGTTGTCAATCTTTATAGTAGTAGAGACTTGAACTTGAAAATACAGTGGCGGAGTATCCAACATGTCCTCCCCCCCACACGCATTTCAGCCCAGCCAATGGGACTCCGTCCATCATGGGCGTCAGTGCAGAATATTCGAGTGGAGGCTGACCTGTAAGCGCCTCTTTCGTATCAAGATCAGCAATTATGGTGGCGCAATTTGGAGGACAGTTGGGATCGTCAGGTTCGTATTACGGGTGGGAGCGGAGTGTCTGGCATTTCTAAGCATTATTCGAAGCGCTCTTGTACCCAATTATCAATAGAGTCGAATTTCCAAATCGCCTGTAGAATTGCCACTGCCTTGTCTCCGCGGATGTGAACCAAGTGTATCTCTGTAAGCGCGTTTTGGACTGTAATCGGCATTGAATATTCATCTGTGTCTACGATACTAAGCTCTACATATATATTGTGCTTGCGGCCGTGTAATGATAAGCTACTTACTTAAGAGTTGCCGCAATAGGTGTATTGATGCTTCAATGTAGTTAGGTAGCGATCATGTTTTGGCGACCTATAGTCCTGTGGCTTCAATATATCCAGCTGTGGCTGTGGATATTCTTGGTTACAAAGATCTAACTGGTGAGCCGAGAATCGTAAAAGAAGTGAGACGATCTTTTTCGGTGGAGCTGATGACATTGGCGGGGAGGTTGGTGCACAGGAAATGTCTTGATGGTCCTCTGCGGCGTAGTTGTCGAAAGTCTACATATGTAGGCAAGATAAGCAGCATATGTGCGCAAAGATGGCTGGTCTATACTAGCTCTAACCTTGCCCAGCAGGCATTCCTCTATTTTTGACATGGAATAGTTAGACATTGTGTGTTAGGCTACAACGGCAGATCGTTGCCAAGTTGCAGACAGGGCGTTCACTTGAAATGTAGACCGGTGCGAGTAGCCGACGCAGAAACGTGGCACCTGCGCCTAGGATGCAAGGCACATGAACACCTGCTGCATGGGTGACAATCCAGGGTCTTGGTACAATCCAGTTTGTCCCATGCGGCCAATCAAAGGTAAAATGCCAGATACGCCGCACACCAAGAAACAATACTGAGACATTGTCATGCGGCAGGGAAACTTGCTGAATAATCGCATGACAAAATGGTCCATGGTCATTACGAAACCGATGAATCATCGTTGAAGTGCGCAGTGTCCTGATCATGACCGTTAGAAAGCAAACGACTACTGGACCAGATCGTTCCCTCACTGAAAAGACAGTTTGAGGTTGGCCTCCAGGTCATTGAGAGTGATAATAAGATATTCGACTATGATAATAAGCCGCCATACCACATAAGTGATGCGACGCGAAAGGCATTATCTAAGAGTTTTCGGATTTTTCATCACGTGTTTACCAAGTCCCTTTGCCACACAATAAAGCTGTTGTAGAGTGATACGGCCAAAACCAGGCAAAAAACAAAGACATGTACCTGCGCATACAAATCCTGCACACGGAGCACGTACTCGATCCGAGAGAGTGGTCACCTGGTAGACGGAATCGGAGTTCCGATTTTGGTCATCAATATTATTTGTAATATACGTAAGTTTACAATTTGCCTGTTGCCAGGCAGCAGTCAGTCACGACGAAGTCGATGCCCATGGTTGAACTGTTGAGATGGTTGAGACGGTTGAGATGACTGTCTGAGGTTGTAGCGTGGCTCACTGAGTACTCTCTGTGGCATTTACCTGTGTTCTTTGTTTTGGAGTGTATCAGAATTGATTGGGCGGTGATTATGGCAGCATGGAGATAACAGTGGTTCTGTTATCACCCGCCTGTTTGTGCCGATATATTTGTCATATACTGTCTGTCAGAATCGCATGAATCTCTATATCGAGAGGAAACTGAAAGGCGATATAAAAATCCGATTAGTACTAATGAAGATGCGATGATTGACAAAGCATTATACCATTGGATAGTCTACATATTCAAATGTTGAATGAGTTGAACTGGAATGGGCAAGTAGTACGCGACGCTACCAAATCCAATAGCTCGCAGTCTGATCGATCGCCGATCATAACCCAAGAGTTCACACTTTATCAGTTGGTTGCTTCTTAAGCGAGCTTTACAGTAGCTCCTCGGCATATCCATATCTTTTGATAACTCATTGGGCAAGATTAGGTGTAGCTCGGGAGCTTAATCAATCTCACAACAAGGGCCACCGCGCATCAGCTCGTATCCTTGCGCCTGCTATTTTTGCCCTCGTATATAGATGGCAACGAAGCGAATTTATCTAGATATAATGCCATTCCTGTTGAGGGCATCACACACGAGCACATAAATCTCGCACCTCCCTCTGCTTGAGATAAAACAAGCTTGAGCAGGACAAATCTCCAGGACAAGATTAAATGGGAGAAAATTTCAATTGAGTAGCAGGGGGAAACATCCAGAACGTTTGCATTGACACAGTAGTATCGGAGTATCTGCAGATGCAGGCATGCATGACTTCTGTAGTATGTCATTACGACTTCGCCGTCAGAGATGGTTCGTGTTGGTTCTTCAACTACTACCTTGAGAAGCCCTCGGGGTTGGAAATAAACGAACTCGAGCTTTCGAGATACTAAAACAGCCGGTGCTATATTGAGTGTAGGGACTATCGAAATGATCTGGTCAGGGGCTTCAAGCACATTGCTTTGTCACAACTCTTTCTCATGTTACGAAGTACTTTGCCCGTCTCTCCATGTCCTAGTCTCAGTTCTACCGACTAAAAAGACTCCCCTTTGAAAGCTTTTAGTCATCACCTGTTTTTTCAGCACCGCAACTTGTGCCTCCATGCTTTTGAAGGCCTACAAATCTGCCTTCGAACTCTAGGCAGAAAAAAAACATGTTCCGTGGTTATCACGAAACTGATGCGTCACTAATTGACATGGCTGACGATTCCGTTGAATGATGAGGAGAAAAGCCTAAAGCTGTTGCCCGATGAAGGGGGCATAAAGCAAAGACCTTTCCCCCAGCTTTATCATCCATCTCCATTCCCATCAAATTGTTTTATAGAAACTTAGAGAGGGGTATCTACATATTGTACAATGCGCGGCCGATCGCGATACAAAGAGCCGGATGCAAAATTTCATATTCCTAATTAGAGATGTCTTCAGGTCACGATCGAGGCTTTCTTTTCGATCAAGGAGAGCATGGCGCTTTAACATCTAAACTCTATTAAAGGTGCAATGCAATGTTCTTTGTTGTGAGTTTGTAGGATTAAGTTACGGCGACCTCGACTATTGCATAGCAACGAGCCACATAGCTGTCATCTATATAAACAATCATACGAATGCCTTACAAATATTAAATCAAAGGTTTCTACTACAGTTTGGAAACACATATTCGCTTCTTTGTTCTTTAACTGATTATGAAATGAAACCTCGAATCGATCAATGTAACCTCCTTTCGGGGAACGCAAAACCGCAGTGAAGACCTCACACAAGTCACCTTATAGGGAAAATAAAAAATTCGATTATAAAATACCTCTAACGATATGTGAAGGTACAGTTCCACCACTACAGAATATATTAAGACCACAGAGATTGATAAGATCTGCCACAGCGCAATAAATAAGGAACACCAGCGTTGAGTTTCAATACAGTAAAAAAATTATTCTTGATACTCGACTGTCGTTATATCGATTTTGTAAGATTTTAACGCCCGATGAATGTAAGCTACGCTGTGACAAAGGCTGAGAAGCCAAGACGCTGCTCGATAGACTTCAAAGCTATCTCACGTGTACATTGCTTTGAAAACACAACTTGCTTACCAGTATGCGGAGTAACCGAGTGCTCTGAAGTGATAGCGTGTTTTCTAATCTGCCGGGTAACCGAATCCTCTGAAATCATATTGTTTTCCGATCTACCGAGTAACCGAGTGCTCTGAAATCATATCTTGCTTTCCGCTCTACCGAGTAACCGAATCAGTAGACGGGGTCACCTTGAACCCCCGCATCCCACAAGCTCTATTTGCTCTGTTTTGTAGTTGCGATGCTTACCAGGGCGCGTTAGCTTTCTTGATACCTTAGCTGAACTTCGTATCACAGCATGCAGCGTAAGCTACTGTGTAACTAATATTACGAGGGTAAAATTCCATCCACATTTAACACCCCATGTAGTAGGAACTAGGCTATGACTGAGTAAAGATGCGAAGACATCGTACGTATCCAATCACGTGTTACAAAAACAACGACAACGGATCCAATGTACGTCGGATTTTATCGTATTCCACTAAGGGCTCAAAGTGGAGAAAATCAAAGACGAGGTTTGGAGATCTGTAGTTCTTAAATGCGTGATATATACTCTACAATGCTTAGTGACCAAGCACCCCCACTCCTCCACATATTAGCCCACGCATGATGGAACGTATGATACCTATCTCCAATACTTACCTGCATGAATACTATATTTAAAGAAAATGTATTGTTAGCCTGCACATAAAAGCTACTAGTATTATCAACAGAGTTGCTTACGCTCTCGTTCACGGTAGTCATGTTGGCCTCGTAGAGCAAGCGCAGTGAACCGCTGCAGTCAAGACTATCTAATTCAAGCATACGAAACTCCGAGTAATCACACTTTGGGAAGAAGGAGAACATCCGAGATTTCAAAAGAGTAATTGCTTAAGTTTGAGATTAATCGATGTGGAATTGTTGGAATGTTTGAAGAGTGCATAGTTTAGGAGAATTGTGGTGGCTGTGACATATTCGTCACTACCACCTAGATTCGTCTGCCGAGTAAGAGTCCAAACTGATAGGCAGAACAAGAGGCCAATACTCTATTGCGCAACTGCGATGCTCACCAGTTCATGCCGATCAGGTACACAGCGAAAGGATTGCATTTTGAGCAGGTCGCCAGCAAGTTCACCTAGATGTATTGGCTGAGATAATTGGCTCTTTGTGGGTAGCTTCCGTTATGAGTATCTCCTCGAGCTACTGCGTTGAAGCATACTCACGGCACACTTTCTTCAATTCGCACAATCTACATGTCCTTCTTGTTACCGGTATTCAGCTTCTCAGTGTCACTTGTGAACCCCGGCCGAGTGGCGCCGTTGACGTCCGAAGCATGGGCCATGATCTCGCCTGAGTCGGACGAAACTAGCGCTCGTGACTATACCTAGCCACATGTCCCTTAAGGAAGACTCGGCAAGGTCGAGGTTGGACATGAATACCAATCGACTTGGGGTGTGCTCAAGCTCGTGTCCGTGTTCGATTTTGTGTTGGAATTGATGTGGAGGGGAGAGGGGTCAGCGACAAATGCGGAGTGAAGCTAGTTCCGCAACAAGGGACACGGTACGGACTGTGGACGGGGTTGGCAGAACAATGCGGAGTGAAGCTGATTCCTTCCGCGACCAGTGACAAGGTGCAGATTCCATGTATGGACGGGATCGGCATGTTAGGTTCGCAGCAGCTAACGCTCGCATACCTCGCATACCTACTATAGTACATGTACATACCCCTAGTAGGAATACGGAATATTCTGCCTTCGCTCTCTCTCCCTTGCAAAGTAGCAAGACGTTACGATGGATGATGCATCAGCTGAAAACCTACTCGTCCACCCTAGATACTACTAGGCCCAATAGCGAAGTGGAAACCGGCGGAGCAACCCACAATGTGCGACATTGAATATACCTACTTCACAAGTGGTTGCATCCTTTCTCTCTTTCGTTTTCAATACGAATATCAGCAGCCGACAATTATAAACACCATCACGTTTGCTCAACCATGGATGGCTGCATTCATCGTGTTCGACGGGAAACAGAACACCAATACGTGAATACGGGCATTTGAACGCGGAAGATTGGAACGTTAAACAACCCTGAAATTAAAAGCTCGTGTAACTGTTCATGGTAGACAATACTAGACTACTATGGTCTGCATGTTCTAATGTTGAACGGCCTTAACTGAGTGGAGGAGGAGAAAGCGCGTCTAGAAGTACAGTACAGAGGAAATGGCAATCCTACATACAGCTCGTCCCACGGATGTTGTGGAACTTCTCTAGCTTAAGCCTTTTTGGGCTTAAGGGAGCGCAATGGAGCTTGTTATAAGGTATATTTCTAATTTAATTTGGCATACTCTTTTCTGATTATTTACCAATTGTGGCCGTCAGGTAACATATTAATGTACTTAGCCGCCAAAGAAAAGAATAAACTCTAAAAACTCCAATACTAACGTGCCGGATAGGAAACACAGGCTCCGCGTGTACCCTGTCCTGTCGCACCGACAACTACAGCTTAGTAAAAGGATAAGATTTCCGATTCCGCATAACTGATGAGCGCCGGAGAATGTGAAGACATATCAGGGCGCGATATGAGAAACAGAGACCGGAAATATCGTATACAAAAGACCTCTGACGCTCTTCGTAACCAACATATCATCACGGCGCAACAAATCCAACCAAAGAATACTCAGCAAAGCAATGGCTTCAGGAAAACGCATCATACTTGTTACTGGGGCTAACACTGGCATCGGGTATGATACGGCGCTCTACCTCGCAAGAGCTGACTCCAGCAACCACGTGATTGTTAGTGCGCGAAACGAGCAAAGAGGCCTCGATGCCCTCCAAAAATTGCAAGACATGAAACCCAAAGGCAGCTTGAGTTTTCAGAAGCTGGACGTGTCATCCGATGACAGCATTTTCACTGCCGTCAAGGAAATCGAGGCCAATTTCGACAAAGTCGATGTTCTTGTCAACAATGCTGGTGTTTTTTTGGGGGGTCCCAACTCACGCGCTGCTATGCGCGAGACCTTTGAGGTCAACGTATACGGTGCCGTTATCTTAACCGACGCACTCGCTCCACTTCTCAGGAAATCCAAGGATCCTCGCATAATCAATGTGAGCTCCGGTATGGGGAGCATAGGAGCCCGTCTGGATCCATCCGACCCCTGGTATACCCAGAACGGCGAAGCATATCGTCTGTCCAAGGCGGCGCTAAACATGGCTTCCGCGAATCAGAAATTTAAATACAGGGAGGAGAAATTCAAGATCTGGTCATACTGCCCGGGGTTCGTTATTACCGACATCGTGCTGGGAGATTCGGTGCGAGGGGAAGACTCTCGGAAGAAGAGGGTGGAGGCCGGAGCTGAAAGTAGCGAAACCAGTGCTCAAGGAATCTTGGAGATTGTCGAGGGTAAGCGGGACGCAGAGATGGATTCTTTTGTTCAGCGCTACGGGAAGGTCTGGCCATGGTAACTCGCAGGAGGGCGGATGATTATGTGACTATTGGCTGACCACGGCAACTTATAAGTGATCCAGCTGATAGGCGTATATAAAATTCTTAGGTCTTTGACTCATTTCAATTTCAACAATCAATGAAATCGGTACAGTGCTTTGACACATTCGTTCCAAAACCTGACTTTCGCTACACTGCCATTTCAATTGACTCGTGGACAAAGTACACCAAGATGACACCCAACATAGCCTAGGCAAGCTAGGCAAGCGACTGGATTTCAATTTAGCCGAGGAACATCAATAGTACCGCAGGGTTCTTTTCCTAGAGCCCCTGTTATTGCTTGCGGCTCCTCAATGAATCCTAGACTTGTAAATACCATAAGGTGGTGAATATGCAGCTGAACTTGTTAAACTATTGTCTTCTAAACGTGAGGACAACAGCGCAACACCGTGGATGTTACTACGCAACGACGGTAAAGTCGAGCTTCATCTCAACCAATCAGACGCTCTGTCGCTTACTTGGCACGCTTACCCTAACTACATATGTAGCCAATTAGAGCGTTCTGATCTAGTAAGATATCTCAGCTGTACGCTCTATAGCAACGGAATATGATTCCATATGATTTGATCGCGTTTCTGAAGCATACACTTATATCCCTTAATTCATATCTCCATTTCCTATGCGCGTCTTTGCGTACTCATGATGATCTTTCTTATGCAATACGATATGGTAATCAGTTCAATAGGGCATGCTATCGTTTCTGAAAAGATCTACATCTTATTTCGCCTATGTGTTGCCGGCGCGGATACGAGTACACCCCGACTCCGTGACCCTATCCGGCAGCTGTGAGATCCATGCTGACGATTTATAAGGCTACTACTAAGCACCGAGTCCGCTTTTTCCTTACTACACCCTAGCGGTTACTTCTCAATACACCAAGTTCTCCTAATCGAGAAATCGAGAAACCAGCAGCGAATCCTACCTCTTGTTGCTTGTTTCAATGCTCGCTATCGGTAAAGATAGCAAAGGTTATAGTATACAACTTGATATGAAAAGCTGCTTAGATTTATTACAAGCTCTGGATGTTGATGACTCGCTGAGAGACCCCCCTTTTGCTGAATACTCCATTCTAGCTTTTTTTATTTCTACCAACGTCATTAAGAAACTGGCTACTGTCTTGAAGAGCTCACCCATACTCTCCGTTTTAATATTAATTAAATTACGGTGCTTTCGCACCAACAGCTACTGTGAAAATCAAATGACTAAGAGTGCGTTGTCGCTCTTAGTCGAGTTACATGGATAAGAAATCACTCGGCTTACGTATACGGTGAGGGCCAAGGTCGGAAATCTCGTGGGTAATCTGAGCCATCCACATGACAATCTGACGCTTCGGCACGGCAACATTACCACGCACTGTATTATCACGGGACTGGAGATTCCTCTGAGGATCAGTATAACACCTAACAATCACGTTTGACATCTACGGCGTGGTTGTTAGAGAATTTTCCAAAGGTTGGTGTTAGTGTTCTGGGGAAAGAAGGGGGCTGGTCTTTGAATATGTAGCCAAGCATCCAGGCCTGTGCCGTGTAACTGTTGATCCGCACAGTACATAGCCGGGTACGGCAGCGCGTTCGCAGCGACACCGCTGTACTTATGGATTCGCCTGCCATATGCAGGAAGCACGTGCTAGCAAGCGCGTCGTGATTTAAAAGGATAGCCAGACGCACCCGAAGATCTCGAATTACGGGCAGGATGCAAGTCTCGTTCAAAATGCTTTCAATTGGCACAGTGCTTCTCTTCGGCGTCAGCGTAGCAGCAGCTGGCGCCCCTACTGCGACAATCGACACAGGTCCAATAGTAGGCACAACAACATCTTTCCCGTCCTCATCAACAACAGTCAACAAATTCCTAGGTGTTCCATTTGGCACAGTACCAAAACGCTTTATGCCTGCAGAAATTCCCGAGCCGTGGACAGAACTGCGAAATACTACATCAGCTTCAGCAGCATGCATTCAGCAGTTTAGATGTAAGCTCTGTCCTCTTCTGATACTACATATACCTTGTATGGGATCGTTCTGTAACATATGCCTTGACAGACCCGGAGGATTACAGAAATCTATTCCTCAACTTGTTGAACACTCCGGCTCCAGAAGAAAGTGAGGATTGTCTAAACCTCAATGTCTACGCTCCTGCTACCCGGGCCCCTGATAATGGAAGAGCTGTTATGTTCTGGATTTTCGGTGGTGGTCTTTTCTCTGGACATGGATCGTATCCTGTGTACGATGGTTCACACTTGGCGTCATATGAAGACGTAATTGTCGTGACACCAAATTATCGTACTAACAGTGGGTTATCCCCCTTCTCCTTGACCTCTCTTGGAAGTACAATCTGATATTACATATATCAAATTGGAAAAGCCCCTCGTAACTGACAAATGTCGCGAAAAATAGTCTTTGGCTTCCCCAATGCCCCCTCCCAGAAACGCAATCTAGGCTTCATGGATCAACGTCTTGCCCTCGATTGGGTCCAACGTAACATTGCTTCCTTCGGCGGCGACCCGAAAAAAGTGACCATTTTTGGCGAGAGCGCAGGATCCTTGTCCGTAGATGCTCTCATAACCGGATACCCGGGTAATTCAACGCCTCCCTTTCGAGCAGCCATCATGCAGAGTGGACAGCTCAGCTACCATAGCACCTCCAATCCAGGTCCCCCGGGCCTCCCATACCCGGACAAACCTGCCTGGGATGGAATCATCAGGGGCTTGAACTGCACAAATAACACTATCGAGGAGTCGTTTGAATGCGTACAAAATGCTCCAGCCAGCCTCATCAAAGACATCAGCGAGAAACAGGAGCTCCTTTTTATGCCCGTCGCTGATAACGACACATTCGTCTCAGATCTCACCCCGAGACGGCGTGCCAAAAACATCGCTCGCGTACCCTTGCTGATTGGCACAAATCAGGATGAAGGAAGTCTTGTTGGTGGTCTCTTCTACACAAACCTCACCACGTACCTAAATACCACGTTTGGATCGCAGCTGACACCTAAACTACTTGCGGACATCGATCGTGTATATCCAATGGGTAGTGCACAGTTTCCAACAGTGCGTGAGGTGATATCGGCGATTGAAGGTGACACCTCGATGCTGTGTGGCACTGCGCTTGTAGCCCAGGACACTGCGACTAGTGGACTTCTAACTTGGAGATATCTTGTGAGTACACATTTCTCTCCACCCCAAGCAATTATCCATTGGTATTCACCTACTCAATTAACTAAAATAAATTAGTACAATGCAACCTTTCCATCCACCTTCTTCCTTCCAAATATTGGCGTCTGTACGTATAATCCCAGCTACAAACTGCCCCTCCGTCCCTTCTCAACCAAATCCGCTCCACCGCAAGCCTCCTTCCGCCACGCTCTACTGACTAACTCATCACCTCCCCTGATATTTAGACCACACTTCTGAGATTTCAATGGTTTTCTCCACCTATCCAATTCCCGCGCAATACGGTACTGTCAACGCCACAGCCACGCCACAACAATTTGTCCTCTCTAACCTCATGCGCGCGGCCTGGGCACGCTTCGCTAAGGATCCTACGGCAGGCCCTGGGTGGACTGCTGTAGGAAGTGGGAAAGACTACTTAGACTCGGAGCCAGATAGGGATGTTGCCGTACTTTCAAAGGAAGGTATCAGTGTGAAGAGGCAGAAGGATGTAGATGAACGGTGTGCGGTTTGGAAGGATGTTCTGAAAGGGTGAAGGAAAGAGGAGTTCAAATATTTGAAAGTTTGCTTATACTTGCACATGACTTAGCGCAACATTCTTTGGGTGTGCCCTTGGCTTTGACTGCACGTGGGATTCTTTGGGGCGGATTATGAGCTGCGATGTCAATGAATAGGTCAATACCAAGTGTTTGTGCCGCATGTAAATGCGATGATTCACTACCGTGCTTAGTCAATGAGTGGGTTAATAGTATGATTATCTCTGATCTGATAATGAATACCGTGATGTGGGTGCTTCCTGTCGCAGTATCATTAGTCTCCCACGAAACAGATAATGGCAATATTAAGTTGACCTCATGTACAAAGTTTGGGGAAATTACATCTCAGCCGTCCGCAGGCAGAGCATAGCTGCTATCTTCTAGCTAGATGCCAGTCCATCCGCGGCGATACTTATATGATTTATAGTTTATCTGCAAATTTCCAATAGAGGCTAGCCTGCAAACACAAATATCAGATGTGTGTGTATATAAATTTCTGTTATTTTCCAAGCTCGCGATCACTGTAGTAAAAGATGTTCCAAAAATTGGTGTTTCCAAAAGGCGGACCAACCTGCAAAAAAGCTCAGTGAACCACAGCACAACATCTCAATCATCCCAACAATTCAACAATGGAAATCTCATGACTGAATGCTGCCTAGAAACAGGCAAAAGATGAAAGCGCGAGGTAGGTAAGTACATCTCTCCCTTACTCTGACACCGTACTCCAGCAGATACCAGATTCACGACTCCACTGACAATCCACTCATGGCTGCCATCCACATCTACTCCTTGAACATATTCAACCGGGAGGAGGAGAGTGTGGAGTGGATGTGGAAGATGCTCTATATCGCGGATAGCAACAAGAAGGCAGAAGCCATGGCGATAGCCATAGAGTTGTCTTGGGTAATCTGATGCTCTGTACAGTGGCAGCTGTACGAGCTTCAAACTATGAACTGCAGAGTGGTAATACGTATTGTAAAGTAACCAAATAGTTTGAATATGTCGTTATGAACAACACGTGTCCATAAATCGTACGGCGGGACCCTCGCGTTCACTGAGGCCCCACCAGCGACTTTGACAACAATTTGAATCTATTACATCATCAAAATATTCATTGTGCGCAGACGTGCGCAAATAAGCATTGTCAGATTATTACGGTGAGTTCGGGAAGTGACTTTGATGAAAGTAATTGATTAATTGTGTCGTCTTGTCTTGCCCCACCCCCTTAGGGGGGCATGGGGGTATATATACTAGTATGAGCCCTTACTAAGCCCAGTGCCAGGCTTTACCCAGTGGCTGGTCTGGCCAGGGAATCACTGTGACAGCAATTCGTAGTGATTTACAGTGCTATATCTGACAGTTTTATAAGGTGGCGTGCCTTTTTCTTTCACCAATCTACTTACAAATTGACGTTTTTATTAGTCCTTCTTTGTCTACAACCAGCCTTCAGGGGTGTGGTACAATTACACCACCATTCAAACTATCGTAGGCGGGTGTACATGACACTTTGCAACCTCGCGACACCACCTCGATGCGCACATTGGGTAACGGATCGATCAAGGAAAGGGGAGTGTTGTTGGATCGCATATGATGGCATCACCGGATCGTGAGCAGGGCTTTTTGATACCGATGGTGGAATCTGACACCTGCACGCGCTCGTTCTTGCGATCGAGGTACATGGCCACCGGCAAGAGGGACATGACAGGCAGGTAACTAGACTACCTAGGTAGGTACCTATGCGATTCATGGCATTGTATGCATGCATGTATGCATGTATCTATGCAGATGCAGAACAGAAAGTCAGACGAACAGAAGTGCACACATGCACATGTAGGTACACACCCCGCCACACCCGGGCGCGTACCTACCCCAACCGTTCCCCAGAAATGCCTATCCGGGCTTAGCACCGAGGCACATCACTTGGTCAACATGGCAAACGACCTGTCCTTCTCATCCCCATCTCCATCGCCTTGCCAATAACATTCCTGAGCCTTGTTTCCTTTTGCCGCTCCCGTGCGTCCCTTCTCTCGGCACACCTCTGCCTCGGAAAAAGTCAAATCACGTACATAACCAAGGATCAATTCCTGTGCAGTCTGGGAGAAGATGCAGGTAGGCAGGCTAAGTCGGAGCGCTACATGCACAAGCACCTGCCAAGTGCAATCAAGGATACTTTGGTCATTAGGCGGCGGCGGCGGCGCCGAACCTGGGGGCAAGGTGATGGATGGTCCGAAGCAATATGTGCCTTGTGGGTTGGCGCATATTCAAGGTTGGAATGTCCCCGCCTTCAATGACTGATGCTTTAAAGGTGACCTGCAGCCTCTCTTTCTCCCGTGTAGCTTTGGTCAACCTTTCCACGGGTCGATTCGATTGGCTTTTCCTGATTCGTGCATCGTGCAGTGTTGTAACTGTGCTTGCTTGCTTGTTTCTTGTGGAAAGGGCTTCTTGGGACTTTTCGACTGCATTTCCAACGCACGAGCGAGCGAGGCATGATGCATTTGCTGTGGTGGAGTTTACTGAGTGCTGCTGTGCTTGCGCAAGAGAACGATCAAAGGGACATTTTGGATTATGTTGATCCGCTTATTGGCACCATCAATGGAGGTTCGTTTGCTAACCAGGAGATTTCCTCCCTTGATTCCCACAGCTCGAGCGCTAACAAGTTTTACAGGTCATGTTTTCGCGGGCGCTTCCCTACCATTCGGTATGCACATCTTCTCTTAATCCCATACATATGACCTACAAGGACAAAACAGGCTGACCAGGTAATCTAGGAATGGCAAAAGCCGTGGCCGACGTAGACGGCGACAATCAAGGCGGTTTCACATCGGATGATTCTCCCATCAAAGGATTCTCGCACATGCACGATTCTGGCACAGGAGGAGCCTCATCCCTAGGAAACTTCCCCATTTGGCCTCAAATCTGCCCAAACAACGACATCACCAAGTGCAAATACTCGTCGTACGAGCGACAGACTCTCCGCGAGGACGGTTCCGTAAAAGCGCATCCAGGGTACTTCGCCATAGGCTTGGACACGCAGATACACGCCGAAGTGTCTGTCAGCAACCGCTCGGCTTTGTATCGATTCACGTTCCCGGAATCGACAGCGCCGCCATCGAATGGTACGGACCCCACGTTCGCTAATTCGACAGAAGCTGCCCCACATATCCTCGTGGACCTCATTGATCTGCCGAATTCCCGCGACGTTGGCGCTGTAAAGGTTGATCCTAAGAGTGGGAGGATGACTGGTTGGGGGGTGTTCAGCCCTAGTTTCGGAGTGGGGAATTACTCGAGCTACTTTTGTGCCGATTTCTCAGGAGCCAACATCAAGGCCAGTGGGATTTGGAAACAAGGGTTTCCGGAGAATGGTACTTCGTTGGACGCCGACTCTAGAGTTGATGGAGGCGCGTGGCTGCAGTTCGAGAAGCCTGAGGAGAACCAGCAGATAATGGTCCGCGTGGGATTGTCGTTCATCAGTTCTGACCAAGCCTGTTCAAACGCCGAACGCGAGATCCCGGACCCAAAGCTATCGACTCTCGAGGAGTTGGTGAAGACTGCTCAGGACGCCTGGCGCGAGAAGCTCGAGGTTGTCAAAGTTGTTCCGGGTGGTGCTTCGGACATGTTGTTGCGTGTGTTCTGGTCCGGTATCTATCGCACCATGATTTCACCGCAAGACTACACTGGAGAGAATCCTCTGTGGGAAAGCGACGAGCCGTACTATGATAGTTATTACTGCATCTGGGACTCTTTTAGGAGCATTCACCCGTTGCTTACGTTGTTGGATCCGTATAGTCAGACGCTGATGATTAGAACTCTGCTGGATGTTTATCGGCATGAAGGGAAATTGCCGGATTGCAGGATGAGTTTCTGTAAAGGTAATGATTGGGCTCAGCTCCCGAGAACTATTTCTCTGGCGCAATTAACTGACAAGCCCCAGGCTACACACAAGGAGGTTCGAACGCAGACGTCGTACTCGTGGATTCGTACCTCAAGGGCATCGATGCAGGTATAGATTGGGATCTGGCATATGAAGCTATGCTTTCAGACGCAGAAATCGAACCACCAAATTGGGATGTCGAAGGTAATTCATCCTTTTGCTCCCCAAAGCCCCCAAAACTGACAATGATATACAGGCCGCGGCGGCCTCGCCTCCTGGAAAGAGCTCGGCTACATCCCCAAAAACGACCTCGACGGCGTGGGCAAAGGTACAAAAACGCGTTCTATCTCGCGGACCGTCGAATACGCCTACAACGACTTCGTCATCGCCACCTTCGCCCGCGATCACCAACACGACGAAGCCGCGTACCAGAAATATCTCCAACGCTCGGGAAACTGGAAAAACCTCTTCAAACCAAACCAGACGTCCTTGCTCGTCGACGGCGAAGATACAGGGTTTGTGGGGTTCTTGCAACCGAAACTTCCCGACGGCAGCTGGGACTTCCAAGATCCCATCTTCTGCAGCCCACTGCTCGATTTCACGGGGTGCTACCTCAATCCGTCTGGCGGAGAGACATACGAAGGCCCTGTATGGCTGTACACGTTCTTCGCGCCTGGCGATATGGCGACGCTGATCCAGACGCTCGGGGGCGGCGAAACCTTTGTCAAGCGCCTCGAGTTCTTCCACGATTCGGGATTATGCTACATTGGCGACGAGCAGGCTTTCCTCAAAGTCTTCTTGTATCACTACGCAGGACGGCCGGGCCTGAGCTCTAAACGCGCGCACAGCTACATCCCCGCGCTCTTCAACGACACCGTGGGAGGCATCCCCGGTAACGATGACAGCGGCGCCATGGGCTCGTTTGCTGCGCTCACCATGATGGGGATTTTTCCAAACGCAGGGCAGGATGTATATTTCATCACCCCGCCCTTTTTCGAGTCGATTTCCATCACAAACGGCGCTACGGGGAAAACAGCGACGATTCAGAACGTCAACTATGACCCAGAGTTCAAGAATATTTATATTCAGGAGGCCAAGTTGAACGGACAGGCGTATACGAAGAACTGGCTGACGCACGATTTCTTTTTGGAAGGGGGAACGTTGGAGCTGACGCTGGGACCCGAGGAAAGCGAGTGGGGGGCTAATGTTGAAGATGTGCCGCCTAGTCTGGGTCCCTTTGGAGCGAATGGTACAAGTGAGGTGGAGAGGAGGTGGTATTCGTCGGAGAAGGCGCCTGAGCCGGCGAGGATGGAGATTGGAGTGATGTAATTGTCATCTTGCTGCATTCGTTCCTTTGGTAGTCGCTGTATATACATACTGTTCCTTGCGATTGACTGAACTAAAGCAATACACTGGCTCGTCCTCCATGGTCGCACAACTAAAATGAGTAAACGCGGAACGAATCTGTCACACAAGTAAGCCGCAAGGTAGCGAACGCCAGGACCAAATTAAAAACACTGATTCCTGTAGTCTATTCCATTTTTTGAACGTCAAGCGCCACATCTGACACAGCTATGTATACCTATATCATACATATACTGCCATGGCCTGGTATATTAAAACGACGCGATCGTTGAACTGCGTTGATTCTTCCACTCTCGAAAGATTTACTTGCTTCTCTTGTAGATCTTCTTAAGGAAGGCTTCGAAAACCGACTTCTTCAAGCCGTTGGACTCGTCGATTCTGTCAATCTTGGCCTTGAGGTCAGCCACACGCTCCTCCTCCCACTGCTGGTAGAACTCCTGCAACTTTAGTTCGTGGTACAGCTCCTTGACCTTGGCTTCCTTTTCGGAATCCTTGCGTCCGTAGTTCTCCTCGAGAAGCTTGCGCTGCTCTGGGTTCACCTTCTTGAGGGCTTGGTTGATGAGCCACGAGCACTTGTTGTCCTGGATATCGGTACCGATCTTGCCGAGGACTTCGGGATCGGCAAAAGCATCGAGATAATCGTCCTGGGCCTGGAAATATTCGCCCATGGGGATCAGGATGTCCAGGCAGGTCTGCAGGTTTTCAGGGGTGGCAGCGCCAATGTAGTACAGGGCGAGGGCAACAGGAAGGTAGAAGGAATAGTAAGCCGTCTTGAAGATGACGATGAAGGTGAACTTGTCCAGGCTGAAGTTGTTGAGGTCGACGTGATCCTCGGGAGCTGTCAACAAGTCACAGCACTGACCAAGCTCTGTTTGGAAGGTGGTCTCGTGGAAGAGTTCGACCATGTCGATGTAGTTCTTGTGTTGACGGAAGTGCTTCTTCAACAGAACATAGATGGAGGCGTCCAACATGAAGGAGTCGTTGATAGCGATCATGCCGACCTTGGGAGCAAGATACCAGCAAGGAGAACCACGGCGGGTTTTGGACGAATCCATAATGTCGTCGGATACCAAGAAGAAGGCCTGGAGGAGCTCAATCATCCAGCCCAGGAGAGCAGCTTGGAAGTATTCCTCTGAAGCGGGGTCCAGACGCTTCTCCAACAGGATGGAAGCGGTGTCTACAACCGACATTCCGCGGTTACATTTTCCACCGACAGTGTTGTAGTTTAATGACTGAGGGGATTCATGTCAGCTATTGACGGATGAGAGGCACAAACAACAATAACAACAAAAACAATGGCAATCAAATCAACAACAAGACCGACGACGATTACAATGTCGAAGAAGAGTATAGGATTGTTCTCCAAGACGGGACCAAATGTACCTTGATGAACCAATCCAGAGACTGCTGGGGGAGTTTGTATTGTTTGCAGTGAGCCTCGAGGTCACCGACAATGCGGGGCCAAACACTCTCAAACTCTTGGATGGTTGTTGCGGAGGCCATGGTGGCTCGAAGAAGAATTGAAGAGCGGTTAGTAAAAGGGGGCGATTTGAAGGATTGAAGTGATCTAAAGTGTGTGATGGAGGCGCAGGGGCCGAAGAGGAAGAAAAGGGTCCAGAGCCTCTGGCACGATGAATGAGGATGATCCAAAAAAGTTCGGCAGCTAAGCACGCGAGAAGCCGCTTGTGGCAGCCTTGGCGGCCTTCTCCCGTAAACGGAAAGCTCCGAGGCATGTTTGCTGCGTTTGCGTCGCACCCCGCCGTCAGCCAGGCCAAACAGGGCAGCCAAGCTACTCTTCACGCGTCGTTAGCTCCGACTGTTTACACGCCGAACCAACATTGCACACTGCTGTCCAACTCGACGCCAAACGCCCCCGTTTTCCGCAATGAGCTCCTTGTCTCAGGCTGAAGAGGCGAGGTTGAAGGCCCAGCTCCAGGACGCTGTCGTCTCATGTACTGAGCGCTGTTTGTACCAGTCGGCCAAATGGTATGTTCCGCGCGAATCTCGATGCTGTCTTGTATAATTGGCATACTGACGAGACCGCACCCTAGGGCTGCCGAGCTGCTCAACTCGCTTCCGTCTGCAGATGACTCTGCCTCCGTCACCGACGTCGACTCTCCCGTGCCCGCTTCGTCTCCACCCCAAACTCCCAATGCCAGACCCAAAGATGCCGCCGAATTGCGCCTCGAGGCTCGCGAGACCACCAAGTACCTCCTGGCCAAAACATACTTCGACTGCCGCGAATTCGACCGATGTGCCGCTGTCTTCCTTCCCAGCAACCTTTCCAAGAGCTTCATATACACACAATCATCATCCCCTTCGGCCAAGTCGCCGCAAAATGGAAAATCGCACATAGAAACCCCCACCAAGCCCGCCGTGACGGAAGAATCGGTCCAATCACTGAGCCAGAAAGCATTGTTTCTGGCTCTCTACGCAAAATACATAGCTGGCGAGAAGCGTATGAACGAGGATAGCAAGATGCTATTGGGTCCCGAGGATGGGGGCGTTACCCCCAATCAAGAGCTCCCTGGGATATGTGCTACACTCGAAGAATGGTTCACCAACCTTCCTCAAACCGGTAGGCAGTCTCAGGGCTGGCTGGAATACCTTTACGGCATTGTACTGGCTAAAAGCAAGAATGAAAAGCTGGCCATCGAGTACCTTATTCAGAGTGTGAACCTTTACGAATACAATTGGGGTGCATGGCAGGAGTTGATTGGCCTTTTGGGAACCGTTGAAGAGGTAAAGTGCTGTTTTGCCCACAATGGAAACCACTGCTAACCACTGCATACAGCTCAACAAGGTCAGCTCGCGATTACAGCAGAACATTATGACCTTCATATTCCACGTCACCACCTCGCAAGAACTGTACCAAACAAGCGACCAATTACACACCTCACTTTCCCAGATTCTCAGTGTTTTCCCAACTTCATCGTTCCTGAAAGCCCAGCGCGCACTACTGCATTACCACACCAAAGACTTTGACGAAGCAGAAAGCATATTTTCCGAGATTCTAATCAGCGAACCGCATCGTCTGGACAATCTCGACAACTACTCCAACATCTTATACGTCATGAACTACAGAGCCAAGCTAGCCTTCTTAGCACAGCTTGCTTCCAACACGGACAAATTTCGACCAGAGACTTGCTGTGTCATAGGCAACTACTTTTCTCTCAAGTCAGAGCATGAAAAGGCCGTCGTATACTTCCGTCGTGCCCTTATTCTCGATCGAACCTTCCTCTCCGCTTGGACATTGATGGGCCATGAATTCGTTGAGATGAAGAATACCCACGCCGCCATCGACTCATACAGGCGCGCTGTGGATGTCAACCGAAAAGACTATCGCGCGTGGTACGGCTTGGGTCAGACCTATGAAGTCCTAGAGATGCATTCGTACGCTTTGTTCTATCATCAGCGCGCTGCAGCCCTCAGGCCTTATGACCCGAAACTGTGGATGGCTGTAGGACAATGTTTTGGAAAAATCGGCAAAGTCACGAGTGGCATAAGGGCCTACAAACGTGCACTGGTTGCCGGGTCTTACTACGACGCCGGAGTCGGGTCATCTTTTGGCTCGGGCGACATGTTAGCGTTGGGTGGCGGCGTCCTCGACCCAGAGGTACTGTATCAGATTGCGCTGCTTTACGAGCGGCTACATGACATGCAGGAATGTGCCGCGTACATGGAACTTGTCCTCGCACAAGAAGAAGGGCCGGACTATGACGAAGGAAACTCGGAAACAGGTGGCGGCGGCGTTGGCGTGACCGCCACAACCAGTAAAGCAAGACTGTGGCTCGCGCGATGGGAGTATATGCGTGGGATGTTTCAAAAAGCGATGGAGCTTGCCAACGAGTTGTGCCAGGATGGTGTTGAAGTCGAGGACGCGAAGGCGCTTGTGCGCGACATACGTGCAAGGATCGAGAGGGACAAACACGAGGGACGTTCGTGAAGATTTGAAGATGATAGCTTTCGAGCATGTTGGCATACTGGAGCATTTGCAGGCGCACTAGGCTATGATACCCCGATTTATAAATGAAGTTATCTTTACAAGACCACCATGAAACAGACGTACAACTGTCGAGAGCTCAGGAATGATCTCACACAGCCTTGCGTCTTCGGACAACACAACCTGTTTACCAACGCCGATACACCTTATATTATTGACTCACTTCATGCTGCTCATCCCTCTCATGCCACTTCTCAACATGACATACCTCGCACAGCCTCATATCTTACTTCTTCCCCCGAAACGAAACAAGCACCGCTCATTGGCGCGCTAACTCTAGCACCATCACACCCCCAAATCAGCCCCAACATCACGTCACACAAGTCTGCTCTTACGATTGGACAATCGAAAAGTAAGAGACTACATATCTCGGCTTGCACAAATGGCGATTGGACGTCATTCGTCTGTTAGCGTAGACATGCAGGGTCTTCATTCTCTGCATTCGTACTCCATGTCTCGACAGAGAAGGGCGTGTGACATGAAACCGCAGGATCGACGTCTTGTCAGTTCTTTGATCGTTGGTTGTTGGATGTTTCGTTTGCCTAGGTGTTCGAACAGTCTTACATGTATTTCCCCCTTGCAGTTCATGTGACCATATTGCGGCTTGCGGCGGGCCGTCGAATGTGAATGAGCATGGATGTCTGCTTGGATATCTGTCGAAGGGGCGAGGATGCGCTCAGTGAATGTGAATTGCACGCATTACAATCCTTACTGATTGGCACGCGTTAGAGTAGTCAGGGCACAGCAACGCCTGGTGATATATTAGATCATCGTAGTGAGTACAGGGAGGCATACGGAGCAGACCCCAGCATCGAGCACCACGTGAACAATTGATTCACTGCGTGTATCTTATAGCTACACAACGTAGTCTTAGCGGGAGTAAATCAGTATATAACTTCCCCTGCGCATAACCACCCCCTACACTCACTACCCCATCACCCTCGAGTGCTCTCTAACCCACCAACGCCCGGTCCAACCCATCCAACCTCCCCACAGACAACAATGCATCTCCTAACTACATCTTTCCGCCCCTTCCTCCTCCTCGCCGCCATCCTATCCCTCCTCTCCACAACCCTCGCCCAAAACCAATGCGAAGGCGACAAGTCTATCGAAGGATACTGCACGATCCTCTCCATGACCGACGTCACAGACAAGTCCTCCAAGACCCCCACCACAGCTCAATGCATGAACACGTGTCGTAGCATCCTCAGCGATGCTGGGGACTGGATTGTAGATTTTACGGGTCATCCTGAGGGCTACATCGATAAGCTCAGCCAGTCTAGTTGTAGCTTCAGTATTGGGCGGGGAGCGGGTGAGGGGTTGGATTATCGGTTCCATATGCATAATCAGGACATTGTTGATATCATTGTGAGTTGTAGCGTATGCTTCTTTCTTTGAGTTTGCTAATGTTGGATGGTAGGACGATGTGAACCGGAGATTTGGGGGACTGCATGGCGGGAACGTAGCTGCCGAGGGGACTATGGAATGTGAGGGGCATCAGGCGACTTGGTTTGTCAACTGAGACAGTCAGTGAGAAGGGGTAGTAGAGTTCGTGTTGTATGTACCCTGGATAGGATTGGGCTGTGTTGGGAATCTCTTTCCTTTTCGTCTCTGACACGCTTCGGAATCACGACTTGAATGAGAGAAAGTTTTTATTCTAGCTACGATGATGGCTATTTCCATGACTATGATCATGATCATGATCATCCGCATCCTCCAGCCTTGGCCACTCAGCCCAAAAATCATCTTCCCAGATATCTAATAACTTGTCCTCTTTCTCCTCATCACTCAGTTTATCATTACTCATCACGCGTTCCCACTTCCTCATATCCCTCCGACTCAGCAAACATTCATCGAGCATCTTCGTCATTCCCTTAACATCCAATCCCTCTCCGATAAACACGAGTTCCTGTCTTCGATCTCCCCACTTCCCCTCAAAGTCTGCCTTTATATTCGCCATGGTCTGTTCATCTGCCTGCCAATCCTCATCAGGGATCTGGCAGAACCAAGGCATTTCAGAACCGAGTGTAAGCATTGCACCTGCGGTGCTCCAGGAGCCCATTTGGAATGGGCGTGTGGCTAGCCAGAAGACGCCTTTGCTGCGGTGTAAACCACTGAAGTGACGGTCTGCCTTTTTGTTGGCGAGGATCTCAGAAGAGGAGGGTGGGGTTGAGATTGAGGAGGATGAAGATTCGGTGATTTGATCAGAGTCGTCGGCTGTGTGGCTTTTGCGATCAGAGTCTGAAGGGGCTTCGCTCATGGTTTCGTCGTCGTCGTCGTCGTCGTCGTCGTCATCTTCATCGTCGGATTCAACCTCGTCCTGGAGAAGAATAAATTTCCCTTCTAGCGCATGGTAGAGCTTCGATGGATCGAAAGGCCGCCTGGCGCGGTATACAAAACTACCAATGCCGTACCTAGATAAGTTAGCAAAGACTAGAAAATAATACCGTGTTTGATGTCATTCAAAAAACTTACTCGAGCGTCTCAGGTTTGGGCGCTACCCGCTTCTTCCCTTGCACATCCATGACGGTCATCTCATGCAAACTCCTCAACCACCCAGGACTCGCAACCGCTTCAGCAAAGTCAAATTTCCCCGTATTCAACATCTCCTTCACGTCCACTTTGGAATAACTCGCTTCCACGATCTTCGCGACGGGGTTCAAAGCCTTCACATAAGCGCGGACACGTCCAATCGTCTGCCTGTCGACAAGATCGAGCTTATTGATCACGATGATATTCGCAAACTCGATCTGATCGGCGAAGAGGTCGGAAATCGTACGTTGGTCTTCGTCGGGCACTTCGTCTTTGCCGAAGCGATCTTGCAGGAACTCTGCAGTGTCGAATTCCGAGAAGAAGCGGAAAGCGTCTACGACGGTGACCATAGTGTCAACAGTGGCGAGGGATTTCAAACCACCCAATTTTGCACTGTGATGTCACTGTCAGGCCGCTTTCTGGAGCAGGTTAAAAGGAGTTGAAAACGCACACTTTGGCAAATGTTTCTTTCTCATCCGTCTCCATCCCCTCTGCATCCACCATAGCTTCTGTCAGCTCAGCTGTGAAAGTCTCAGCGACCTGCTGGGGTTCACTGATTCCAGAGCTCTCAATGACAACATGGTCGAACTTCTGGTCGCTCCATGCTAGTCTGGCGAGTTCTACGAGAAGGTCCCCTCGTAGCGTGCAACAGATACATCCGTTCTGCATCTGTACCACCTTCTCTTTGACGAGGATCTCTGCTGCTGTGTCCCCCTTCCTGCTGGAAGGTTTTGAGCTACGGGATACCAGATTCGCGTCTATGTTGATAGACGCCATGTCGTTCACGATGACTGCAATTCGAAGGCCATGATGCGGTGATTGAAGGATGTGCCGGAGAAGAGTTGTTTTCCCGCTTCCCTTTGGCAGCGATTAGTGGCTGGAACAGGATGATATTTCGTGACATACATACCAGAAAACCAGAGAGCACAGTAACCGGTAAAGGTTTCAGTTCTTGCTTTTTCGGAGGCATTTTCCTACTAAACTCTGCTGTTCTGTTGATGATGTCGTGCAGGGACTTCAGAATGGATAATTATTGTTGAGAAATGTTTGATTTGGAGGTCTGAAAGGTCGACAAGATGAAGACAAATGAGAAAGAAACTATTGCTTAAAACAGTTCAGCAGACTGCACCATCGCACAGTGCTGATGGACTTTATTGATTAGAAAAGGACGGCTCGAGCCAATGTGAGCACCGCAATGGTGAGATCGCATCATCGCGAAAACAATGGTTCTGATTCGCTCGCTGCATTCTGCGGGGAAAGACTTTGGATATAGTTCTGCAATAAAATCTATGGGAAGGACACATAGGTACTCTCAGCTAGTGGTCGTCCTTCTTGCGATGGATTGGAGTTGCTGCTGAAAAATCAAAGCGCTAGAGATCATTCTCCCAACCAATCGATTCTGACATGGAGCCGTACTCTCTGAACTGTTAATCAAAAATCGTACGGACAAAAGTACTGAGGAATTCCTTCGCGTGTAGTGTTCTTTCGGGAATTTTATGCCCAGCGACAGACATGTTGTGTTGTGTTGTTCAATCCGTAGTTGTCCGGGCTGGAATGGAGCGAGTAGTATCCGCGCACCTATGAGATTGGAGACATATCGATACATAGTTATATCGACTAGTCAAGACTTACAAACATGTCATTGACTAGGAAAGGATCTGCTAACCTGCGACCGTATCAATAAACGTACCCACGACAGCGGCTTGACATATCAGACATGCTAACAAGTTTGAGGTCTTAACAGCGGGCGGGCGACAGAGACAACTCCGCCATCCGCGATTATTCCTCGAATAATGATTGCCACCTTTCTGAAAAGAGATGTCGCATCATCTTCCGCGTTGCTGATCTTCAAGAAAGACGGAACCAGCGGAATCGAGGTTTAAGCCCTATAAGCTTCTCGAACAAGACTCGCAGAACGCCTCGTTCATGGCATGAACGCGATGATCCTTTCATGTCGGCAATCCATGTGCTCTTATGAAGTCATGGCAATCCAACTACCGGAGACACAACGGCACACAGGTTATTAAAGGGCGATGGCATCATCCGAGTATCAAAGGCTGCATGGTCAAACCTGGGCTGCAAGGGCGTAACAATCGTTTGAAGATGGATGTCGCAGAAGTAGCAGAAATTCGCTTATACTTTCCTGAAACCACCATCAGCCCTACCATTCCGCGCTCCTCCGCACCTCTCCGCGCGAACACCTTCTGGACCACGCCAAATGTCGGTTGGCCATAACGTGAGGGTCGTGAACGGATACCTCTTGGAGAGAAAGGATGGAGAAACGTGCCGCCTGCCATTCCGCTCGAGGCGCAGCCGTCCCAAGCATTTGCCACGGAAGAGGAGGTTGCAAGGCATGGCGATATAGCCATGTTTCATGACAGCGGTGATGCCGAGCCTGAGAAGACTTTAATATCTTGATCATCGCGCGCTGTTGGCAAACCATACATCGCATCGCATCGCATCATTTTCTACTATACTCAACGTTGAAGACACCAAGTCATTGGTGATTGACTCTTGGGTATCGATCTACTTTGAAACCACCCGCCGGAAACGACACACCACAGTTCTTTTCGCCAGCCCTTTATATCGACTACCATTTTTCTATATTTCTCCTTTATTAGAAAACCGCCAATATGTGTATGTATACCTTGCCTTGGGGTGACATTGAGAGCAGATCTCCATGACATAGATCACCATTCATTCAATAAATTGTATCCAGCTTAACTAACTTTGTATCGACAGTGACCAACAGACGATCCACCATGATGATCAACCCTGGACAGGTTCCATCGTTCCGACCAGATCCTACTCCCGAAAGTGAGCCGCATTGTCGAACCAGCTCTGTTCTCACCTCCACTACCGACCACTTGCCTGGACACCACGTGGTCAAAGTCATCGGCACAGTCCACGGACTCACCACATGCGCTCGCAAAGACACCAAGACATTCCTCAAGTCTGTGGGAACCGGAAACGAAGCCAAGAGCCTGACGCACATGCTGTACACGGCGCGCGACCAAGCAATCGAGCGCATGGTCAAAGACTGCATAAGTCGCGGAGGAAACGCAATTGTCGGCATGGGCTTCGGCGAGAGCGAGATCTTGGGCTTTGCTCAAATCAGCGTGTACGGCACCGCGGTATACGTGGAGAGGGAAGGGAAATTCGACGACCATCGATACACGATGAAATGACTAGCCGACCCATTCGGCGATGCAAACACGTTGGTGGATTCGGAGTGAAGACACACAAGCATTAAAAAAACAACAACCACAATAACGGCAAAAATCACGGCGTTTAATTGGCGTTATCGTTTGCGGGAAAACGAACAGCGGAATCGTTCAAAGGAAGTCAATTTCTTCCAGCTGGTGGCTCTTCGCTTTGCCGATTATGAATTTTGAGATACCCGAAGAGTGAACCAGCAGTGCGTAATGCGTAGTCCCTTCTATTATATATTTTCTGTAGTGCGCAGGCAGAGGTTCTGTAATCATGATTTTGTTTTGATCCTTGATTTTCAGAGTTCACGCGTCAGATGGAGTTCAATTGACGCGCTCTTCTGTGTGTATATGCTGATGTTGGTGGTTTTGGTTCATTACAGGGGAGGACTCACCCGAGGATAGGGTATGCGCAGCATGCAGTGAGATGCGCAGCTACCCCATGGCAATTCTGACAGAAGGTTGCGATGTTTCGCAAGTCAAGCTCATGCATCATGCATGGTTTTAGGCAGCAGATTAACGTCTGATATGCCCTTGGCCTGAATCAGCATCTGTAATTTTCTTGTGACTGAGAGATGCAACTCACAAAAAGGATGCCATGAGGTGCATTCAGCGCAGGATCCATAGCTGGAATCCCGGCAAATATGCGAAAGGAGGGGCACCGGTCAGCATCTCTCCTTCGAACATGCAAAGGGACACTGCAGCTTGTGATAGGTCAGGGCATTGTCTTTCCAAATGACACGTTCGACCTGAAGATACAATACAACACGCACATAGAAGGTGCATACAATGAGCGACAACGTCTCCGATGACGGCGGAAGGGACCGCACTTCCTCTTCCCCGGGCGAGGTCTTGTACGCGAAAACATGCCAGACCTGCTTCTCCCTCAAGATACGATGCGACAGGACACAACGAAAAGACAAATGCGACCGGTACGCTCCATGCAATGGAAAATCCCGTGGATTGCAGTTGATAACGTATATACAGGTGCGCACGATTGGGCAAGACATGCACCCTCCGCCCCGCTCGCCGGCGCGATAACTCGGCCAAACGCGATTCGTACGACGCTCCTCCCTTCCAGACAAGACAGGCCGTGTGCTGAATGAGGGATACAGGCGCATACAGGCCCTCGAGGCTCAAGTCCAAAACCTTCTCCGCCTCCAGGATCCAACCCACAATGCTCAACAACCTCTCCCTACCGTCAGCGAAGTTGCTCCGATGCCAATCGCCCCGGCGACGGAACCCGCTACCTCCATTGATATTAATGAGAGTCGCGAGGAAGACGTTGTCGATGAAGGGATTCTCACCATCGAGCGTGCCGATGTTTTGGTCGAACTGTATAAATCGGAGATGATGGCCCATTTTCCATTCGTCATTCTGGCGCCGCAAGAGACCGCGCAAACATTGCGACACAAACCTATGCTCTTCCTGGCCATAGTTCTGGTCGCAAGTTACAATGACTTGACGGCTCAAGAGATTCTGGGAGAAAGATTCAAGCAAATGTTGGTTGATAAAGTGCTCTACGGCGGAGATACATACTTGGAGTTGTGGTATTTGCAGGGACTCATGGTGGTGGTCGCATGGGGCCATTACCACGGCCAGACGACATTCACTACACAATATCTTCAAATGGCCGTCTCCGTAGCGGTGGATATGCGACTTGACCGTAAGCCACTCCAGCGTAAGCGTGTATCCCACAACGATAAGCGCGATCCGCTGCTCAAGGGAGCCCCAGGAACGCAAACTTGGGGTCCTGAAGAGCAACGCGCAGCAGCCGGTCTTTTCTATCTTGCTTCTTCGTAGGTGCTCTGATTCTCCATCTGCAAAGTACCATCCGCTCATTCAGCCAGCGTGTCGAAACTTTTAGACAAGTTGAACGTTTTCCCATGTAGCCCGACAATCGAGGAAGGCTGCATGTCGCTGGGACGTACGGGTGAATATCGTACCGACAGAGATCTTTATCACATCATTCGCCTGCAGCGGATCATTGAGGGCATCGAAAAGATATCCAGAGAGTCCAACACTGACGCCGAGGCGCACGACGCCTACTTACGCGTTCGTTCTGAGCTCGAGGAATTCCGGATATATCTCAGTCACGACATTACAGACAACAGTATGTTACTTCTACATCCCTCCACTCCGTAAAAGTACTAAGTGTCTTTAGACTGTCTCATCATGCAGTTTCATATAGCCAAGATCTTCCTGTACCAAGTAGCTTTCTTCGAGCGCAATCTCCAACAATCTCCGCTCTTGAACCTGTCCATGCTCAGCGAAGGTCTTGAATCCTCTAGGTCATTCCTAGATATCTATCTTATGATGCCACCAAAGGCAGAAATGGTCCTGACACTTACAGAATGGGTACAACTTTCATTCGGCGTAACGCAGGCGGCTAAGTTTGCAATCGTAGCCAAGTCACCTAATGTAGAGAGGCAAACTCGCGAGTTGCGGAAAAATCTCAATATCGAGCATCTGTTCCGGCATTTACGGCTACGGATCGGCGGGTTGATCGGTAGGGGAGGGACAGGAGAGATTGCAAAAGACGTTTTCGTTCGCTGGGATACCAGGTTGAGCAAAATTCAAATCTGGTACCAGCAATTAAACAAAGCAACCCAGTATCATGAGACTTCGTCACCTCCATCAATCAGCCTTCATCCTTCAACATCTGCGACGCCGCCCTCGCATCAGCAGCCATCGTACACATCATCTATAGCATCGGCGTCACCTCAACCGTCTGCAGAAGTGCCCCTCCTGCCGACATACAGCCATCAACAACCGCATCCTTATCCAATGCAATTAATTGGCGAGCAATTTCCAGACCCTTCGACAAATATACCGGTTATGCCTTCAGACCCGTATTCGTACAGCACTGCGCCTGCGCTTACTTTTCCTGAATTCATGAGCGCCCCGGGCTGGGATGCACTATTCAGTGTTCCGATGGAGGATGTGAGCTGGATGACGGATGGCAGTTCACCTGGGGATTTGAGGTGGGAAAGTCAATATGACTCGACTTCGAATTTCTAAGTTACGCATTCGGATTGAAAAGGAAAAAATTTAGCAAATCTAACATCATGCTGAATGATTAAATCACTCTGAGACGATTATGTTCCTTCGGTCGATGCTATAGTCTGCTTCTCCGCCACCTTCGATCCTCATCATTCTCCAAACACTTTTACACCAGCAAACCACGTCTGCCTCACTTTTGCGCGAAGCAGATTCTCCGCCTCAAAAGACATGTCGACAACCACAAAATCTGCCTCCTTCCCCACCTCCAAACTCCCTACCCTCTTCTCCGCAAAACACGAATACGCCGCCCCCTGCGTCGCCGCTGTGACCGCTTGCACGATCCCGAGCTTGAAATTCTCATTCACGGGCAAATCACCTGCATGGGGCTGTCTCGCGCTCTTCCGAGTCGTGGCTATGTAGAGGTTGGGGAGCGACATGTGGGGAGCAGTCGGTGTATCAGTTCCAATAGCCAGCGTCGCGCCATGCTCTGCGAATTCACTGTATGCGAAAGCGCGCTTCACACGGTCCGGACCTAGTAGTTTTGGCCATGCGCGTAGAATTGATGGATCGGCGTGGACGGGCTGAATCGACGCTGTGATGCCTAATTTACCGAGTCGGGCGGCATCGGACGGTGCAGTGAGTTCCAGATGCTCGATTCGATGCCGTTGGCCTGGTTTCCCGTGCTTCTCGAGGACGTTGATGGCGTTGTGGACTGCTTGGTCGCCGATGGCGTGGATCGCGCATTGGAGGCCGCCGTCGATGGCTCGTTTGACGACGGGGTCGAGCATTTCTGGTGTCCAGATTGGGTCTGGCGATGCGACGTTGGTTGTGTAAGGTTCCTTCAGTGCAGCAGTACAGGCGTCCACTACACCATCAGATATGATCTTGATCCCTAGGATCCGCAAATCAGGACTGTTTGAGTTGTTGTACTGGCGAGACAGCTCAATCGCGCGGTCGACTTGTTGCAAGCGGTGCTCTTCGCCATCTCCTGGTACTATACACCAATGTGCACCGACCCTAAGCTGCAAGTTCCCGTTCGAAGCCTCTCTCAAAGCCACCAGCGCATCCCAAATGTTATCATCCATGGCCATATCTATGCACCCCGTGGTCCCGACTTCATGATACGCCGCGATCGCAGCTCTCAACGCCCCAGCCTTCTCATCAGCAGACAAAACATTGGCAAGAAAAGGCCAGATATAAAGCAAAACACAAGCTTCACTCAACAGTCCCGAAGCCCTGCCCTCTGCATCCCGCTCAATAGTCCCACCGGCCGGATCCTCCATGTCCTCGACCCCAATCTCTTTCAATGCCGCACTGTTGCACCAGCAGGAATGCAGATCCTTTGAATCGATATATATCGGCCTCGGATCCAAATCATCTAAATCTTTGGCTTTGGCTTCTCCATCCGTCACACTCTGCATCCAGCCTTTACAGAGAATCCGTTCTTTTCCTGGATTCGCTTTTGCGTAGTCGGATATGCGAGAGCGGATTTCAGCGAGGTTGGTGCAGGAGTCGAGGTTTACTTTTGCTAGGGACTGTCCGAGGGAGAGCAGATGATTGTGGCCATCGAAGAAACTGGGCAGCACGTAATTGCCCTTCAGTTCTTGTTTCGGGACATCGCTGTAGGTTTCCAACTCTTTTGCATCGGCAGCGCCAATGTATGCAATCTTGCCGTCTTTGACGAGCATGCATTCTGGTGGAGAATCGTGTGAAGTCGTAGCATCTCCTTTGAAGAACCGGCCATTTGTGAAAATCGTAGTCTTTTGCTGCCCACTCATATTTATTTCCTTCTTTTATCAATCGTCTTTTCAAATTAATCTCTTGGGTGAAGTTGGTGTTGATTTGTGGAAGAAAGGCCGGCCTTGGAGATATATAAATACAAAGGGGAGGTGAGGGGTTATCAGATCTATTAGTTAACGCCGAACTCGGTGCGTACGTAAATAGCAAGTCCCTAACGAGTCCCCGACAAATCTCCACTCGCGAACCGCGCATCCCGCGGTGTCGGAAAGTACTTGGCGGTAAATGCCATATACAATTTATTGGACAAGACTTGACGTGAACAGAATATAGCATCATGTTATATTATCGAGCTGTCTGAGTTACCGCTGACAGTTGCTCACCTTTGACGTATCCACATCATTCGGATATACGAGATATCCGCACAAATGTATGCATGCATACGTGCTGAATGAAAATTAAGAGACCATGATCCGACTCACAAAGGGAACACACGCTTGCGGCATACATGCACCAGCAAGCCCTATAGTAAGAACCCCATCAATCCCACTTCTTGAGGAACTCCTTGACACTCTCATACTCCGTTCTAATAATCTCGGCCCTCCGTTCGCTCCTGGGGACGAACTTAACCTTGAATGGCAAAGGCTCCTGAGTAAAGCCATCTTCAAAAGCATCTTCATCTAACTCGATGGCATTCCCATCGTCATCAATTGCTTGTTCGATGCGGAATCCCCATAACATGAAGGCCAGAATGATCCACTGAAGCCTCTCCGCCAACGGAATGCCTGCGCAGATACGCCTTCCCACCCCGTACCCATAGTGATCGCGATTTTTGTATTCGGGGCTCTGGGCGTAGTGCATGGCGAGCTTAGGATGAGAGAGAAATCTCGAAGGGTTGTAGACTGTTGGGTCGACATAGTGTTCCGACTGAAGGTGAAGAGATTTGGCGGGGATTATGATACGTGCGTCTATTTGATGAATTGTTAGAATGAGCGGAGTCTGGTTGAAATTTTTGACCGGCTGGGTATGTCTTTACCTTTGGGAATGAGCATGCCTTTGTACCAGGTGTCTTCTGGGGCACGGTGAGGCACTCCGAGAGGTACCCTTTTAGAACGGTTTGAGCAATTATCTCCACAGCGAAATAGATCTTGCCAGTCGAGGAAAGATCCCAATGTGGACGCGAAGGAATGCATGGACTTACACTGGACGGATTCGCTGCGCTTCTTTGGCAATGCAGTTGATGTAAGGCAGGCTGTCAAAGTCCTCCCACACAGGCACCCTACTATCCCCACAGACTCCATCGAGCTCCTGCTGTGCCTTGTCCTGATATTCGGGGTACTTCGCAAGAAACAGAATGCTAGTTTGGATCGTGATAGATGTGGTCAGCGCCGAGCCTTCAATGAAGGTGCCGCACATGTGGTTGAGCTCGTCATCGCTAAGGGTTATATCTGACTTAAGACTGCCGTCCAGAGTATTATCCAGGATGGAGTCACGTTTATCGCCCTCAGCACGACGTTTGTCAACACGCTGTCTAGCTTCTTGCCAGATCCCGTCCAAGGTCTCCCGTGCTTTTCTAGCCTTCAACGTAGCCGGGTTCCAGCTATATGGAATGAGGTCCAGGACGGGGAACTGATCCGTTGGTATGTAGCTACCCGGGCTAAGGGTTTCAGTGACCTGTAATCAGGGGTTAGCATTGTTGGACACCACGAGCCGGGATGCATTTCATACAGCTTTGTGTGCGGCGTGCGTATACTATTTATTCAAGTTAGTCATCGAGGTTCGAAAGTAGTTGATGGAACTTACAGTGTTCCAGAAATCATCAAGTGTCTTTGCTCGTTGGCCATATACCACTATACTAGCTGCAGAAGCCAAAGATCGTCCGATGTGTGCCGCGAAACGATCAGGATCTTCAAGCAAATCGTGCATGAGAGAGGCGTTTCTACCTTTGGGTCAGTGTTGAGTTATAATTTTTCGGGTGCAGGATGTCTAACTCAGCATCTCTTATTTCACGCATAGGACCGTCCAAGTTTTTCTCGGACATCATCTTTACCGTGAGCTTTCTCTGGGCTCTCCACATCGGTGTTGCGTCCATGAGTGCATAATTCAGGCCATGGAAAGTTTCAAGTGCTTGACGATCGTACACGCGATCTTTGAATAGTGCACCCTTCTGATCGATCAACTCGTGAACTGCTTGACGATCATTGAGTACGATACAGATGCTCTTTCCCAAAATGAATGAGAACACAGGACCGTACTGTTCAGCCCACTCATGAATTCTTCGTAGGAACGATTGTCAGCGGCAGAGATTGATATTTGGTGATGGACTGTGGAGTGTGTATCAAGGGAAGGAATAAAAGGAAAACTTACCTGGCGTTGAATCCGGTAGTGGGTATCTGATGTGCGTTTCCGAGGATAGGAATAGTTGGAGGACCTGGGGGAAGGAAATCTCCCCTGCGACCGAGACGCGATAGCTTGTACAGAAGAGCTATTGCACCCACCAGAAGGGTGAGATGGAGCATACTATCAAGTATGAGCGCCATGGCTAGTTGGAATGCGAGCACCCAAGTTTGTTTGTGCGTGGTGGAGTTGACAGAGTGGCGCCCTTGATTTGAGTCTATTGATAGACGCTCCCGTAGGTAGATGTTGGCCAGAGGGAGGGAGTGTGTGTTTGTGATAATTGTTGGTTTGGTGCAGCAACTTATTGAGAGACACTCGACAGGAACATGTATTAGCTATGGAACAGAAGAGCAATGTCGAGGGTGACGGAAGGTAGAGCGGCGGAGACTTTATCTTCTGGCAGAAACAACAATAGAAGGTGCGGGGCCTCATGGCAGCTGCGACAGGTGAGACCCTTGCAGTCAACTGCTGGCTTGTACTTGTGGTGAGAAACCATTTGCTGATAGGCTCTACTTGAATTCAACCGCCGTATTTGTCCCTCCACTGAACCTACCACTTGGATACGTATCCGACTTGGTTGAATTCCGTATCCAACCACGAGGCTCACACTACACTACTGTCTGCACTCGAAAGCCGTGCTTCTCAGATATGCTTTCAAATGTTACACTCAGTGAGCAAGTGAGTGATTTATATGAATGATGGTTCCGGGTAGGATACAGATAAGGGCAGTGACGGAGCAGGTTTCTTGCTCAACAACTATTACTCTCACCAGAACTAGCATGGATATAGTCTCCAGTCTGTGAGTACAAAATTTCTAGATCAGCCTCGTGCCACGTAAAAGAGCTCATGAATTGACGTAGCAGCCCAATCACGTCTGATGCGTCGAAGCGTGAGAGGGCAGTGGGAATGCACACTAAGGCAGGGCACTGTGTACGGATCATGTCAATGGCAATCCAATCGTGATAGGAAGCCCAGCAGTACTCTAAGGCCTTCGGCCACGATTGGTACCAGGGATCTTACGGATTGCTACGGGCGAGTGATAACGAGTATATTGAGAAAGGGCACCTGCATACTAGCAAAGTAGAAAAGGTATAGCCACTGGTGTGCTACTCGACATGTAGCATGCTTCCGCTATGATCTTTCACACGTGTGAAGAACGATGGCGGACGGCCTGCATGCTGCTTATGTGCTACCGACCGGAAGCATAGGCTCTTTCAGACAGCACCTCATTCGTGGAGCATCTATTGGCATAGGCGCGACAGCACCTGAAAACGTTTATCGAATGTGTCACAAATAACTCGTTGTGCGATCGATTTCTTCCTCGACATCAACCTAGTCATGCACCTCATCCGCTCTTCCGTACCGGCTGCTCTTCACCCGCCATCAATCTGTGACCCTCCTTGCCCTTTGCCGTGCGCAGATCTGTCTTCTTGCCCTTGACGGGGAAGTCGAACGGTTCGCTCTGGCCTCCCTCCAACGCCTTCCATGTACCAAAATCATGCGAGTTTGTCCACAATAACGCACCCACCCAGGGCTGAACATTCCACCCTAGCTCCAATCGAACATCCGTCCTGTTCTGTAGCTTCCCGGTGATGTCCGTGATCTGGTATTTGGGGCGCTGGTTGGAGATCTTGATGATGCCGCGGGGATATGGCGACGCAGCCTTGTCCTTTGATTTCTTGGAAGACTTTAACTTGGACTGGGTCTTAGGCGTCGGGTGGATGTAGTGGTTTTGGTTCCAAGGTGCAGCAGCGCCTGGGAGGATGGCGTCCCAGATGACAGCTTCAGATTGGGGTTCGCCGCGCTTGGTCGAGGGGTAGACGGCTTTCAAGTAGAGGAAGACTTGTTTCGTATTCCAGTTGAACAGAGAGCTGAGATCTGCGTGATTCGTCGTCAGCGGGATTCATGACTTTTGCGTCTGGCGCCTGTTCCGAGCCTCTTCCGCAAGTGGTACACATGGGATCTTGGACGTACCAGCATCCAAGTCGAACTTGATGTGAGCGTATTCTTCTTTCTTATAGCTGTAGTAGTGCGGCCGGCCGTTCACCACCTGCACGTTGTTCAATGCGATGGAGCTGGAAGGATTCTGGGGATGTATGAAGGTTGAGAGGGCGATCACCGCCGCGACGGAAAATGCTACTGTAGTGAAGAACCCGAACACATTCTGTATGCGCACTAATGCCGAGTGCATTTTGAATCCGGATACTATGTAGATACTACACAGAAGAGAAAAGCAAAGACGTGAAGTGGGTAGGTAAATGATTGGGGAAGTGCGGAGAGCATGCTAACACGTTTACTGAACCTCGAAGCTTGGACCACAATTCAGCCCTACAGCGTGGTCCAGGGTCGCCAGAGATGAGTTGGATTAGCACTTGAGCACACATCAACCAAGAGTCACCGATGCAAATACCATTGATCAGGAGCCATATAATCACTGAATTTTGTGCACAATGTTTCTAGCTTATTCTCATCGGTGTCGACATCCAACAGTTTGCCCTAAATCTCGATGCATTTGAGATAGCCAACCCATCAGTAGAACTAATCTATAGCGTGTCCCTATCAACATTCGACCAGACATTGACCAAATGACCCCGGATGATAAAATTGAAAGTGAGTTTACTGTGGCACTGCACCTCGGGGCGCTCCACGTGCTCCAGGTCCACCCCGCCCACGCCCACGTCCACGCCCGCGTCCACGACCTCCTCGCGGCGCTTCCAAGCTAGGCGGAGGCGCAACGTTGTTGTAATTCTGGGGCCTGAAACCAGGATTGTACTCTACAACTCCTTCGTTGGGATCGTTCATATCAGTAACCGTGAAACCGCCACGATTGGCCTTGCCACCACGGCCTCGTGGAGCAAAACCGTTCTGTTGACCGCGTGGTGCAAATCCCCCTCGGCCACCACGAGGCGGGCCACCGTGGATCGGGAGCTGTTGTTGCTGTTGCTGGGGGTTCGGCTGGTGTGCAGTCCCATTTTGGGCGTGTGTAGTCCCTCGTGGTGCTGGACCTGCGCCTCGCCCACCACGAGAAGCTCCATTGGTGTTTCCACCGAAAGCTCCACGGTACGATCCACGAAGTGCAGGAGGAGCACTAGCTTCAACCAGCTGGGGACCACCAGGGGCACCAACGCTACGAACAGTCAAGGGCTGTGAAACCTGCTGAGGGCGTTTAGCAGCCCCTGCGGTGGAGTAAAAGACTAATTGCTTTTCAGTCAAGTTGAGTACCGCGGTGGCCGGAACGGTAGAGCCTCTGAACGGAGAGCAGCGGTCACCCAGGGAGGTACCGCTCATGAAAGTAGTGTCGAAAACAATATCCAGTAGCAACGCACGAGCCGTGCGTGTTTTTCCAATGACGGTCCCTGACGAACCAATGGGTACCCGGCCAGAATCTTGAACATAGACGATGCGGTCACCAATAGTAAAGGTTTGGTTGCTCAAGCGCTGCTCTGCGTCTGACGGCTTCATCAAAGCCACACGAGGCACCTTGTCTATCTTCTGCGGTGCCGAGTCTTGTGTGCTTGCGAGATTGGCATCGGCCGCCTGCTCGATCATCTTGACGGCATCTGAATCGAGCTGCTCAGCATCCAGAGGCACCTTCTCAAAGCTCTTGGTTTGTAGATCTTTAAGCCATGTACCAATCTCTTTGATCTTCTCTTTAGCAACCTCTGGTGGGAAAAAATCGGTGTCTTCCCAACCATCGCCAGTTGGGTTCTTGATGATGGCAGCGATGAACTCAGGGAACTTGATCATATACTGAGCGAGCAAATCCACTGCTTTCCGGCTATATTCCCATCCGTTTTGGGATTTTCGCGAATAACCCAAGACTTTAAGCTTCTTCGCCTCGAACTTGAGGTTGAGTCCGAGATTCAATTTCAATCCACTGGAGTTGACGTTAAAGGAAGCAGTCAATTTGGATAGCGCAAGAGGTGGCATCTGAAGTTGACGGGCAACAACAAACGAGGGGAAATAAGGCGTTGCGCGTTCAGCCTTCACAGTAACGTCGCGTCCAAACTCGACCTCCGGTTTCCTTAATCTCGCCACCATGATGTTCGCACGGTTGTCGACATGGTTGATGATTTGCAGGGGTCTGCCATAGGCGTAATCTCCAAGATAAAAGGCACGGGAGCCTTCGGGGAATTCCTCTTCAATGGGCAAGGCCTCTTTCTCCAAGAAGCGTGGGTCGGGGCTGATAACATCGTCAACAATCGTCTGGGCGGCATATTCCACTTGGAGGCCCTCGATGACACCGTAATCTTTGATCATGGCTCCCTCATCGGTCTTGTTAAGACCTCTGAGCATCTCCACGTGAACAAGCGATTCGACATCACCGATCACCATTCCAAGTCGTTTGCTGTACACGCTTTCGATACGATTGGCAGTCTTCTTCCAGTTGGAGATTTCTTGTGGGCTGTGCTCTATAGCAACAGGGGCGGAAGGACCACTGGAGGGTAGCACGTAGTCAAATAGCTCATCTGAGACTTTGACAACTTTGGCTTCCTGCAGGAATGGATAACCGACATGTACTGCTTTCCCAAGCTTCAGTTTTGCCTGAGCAATGCCTGTGCGAGCTTCTGTATCTAGTAGCGTCACTACCATGCTCTCGTTTCGACTGTCCTGGTTGAAGACATTGACTCCGTGGAAGTTCAGCTTGCCGTGGAAAGGAAGTTCTTTCAAGGAAGGGAAACCCGCCAGAGAAGAAGCACCAAGTTTGACACCATCCATCAAGCCCACATAGACCTCGAGTCCTTCCATAGTAGGCAGCTCGAAGATATTTTCAATGCAGCGGCAATGGGGCAAATCCGGAAAGACTCCAGGCAGAGATGATGGATACACAAAGTCGAGATCCTTGGCGTACGTGAACTTGAGGGAAACACCAAATGAATTGCGAGCTTTTTCGTCTTCGGTAAGCAGGTGCTCCCTTGTTGCCATGGCAGAAAGAAGTCTGTCCTCCTGGATGAAGGGGATCTTCACCACCGCTTCCCACTCCATCTTCTTGCCATTCATGTCGAGCTGGAAGTCTCTCGGGTAAAAGTCGATGATAGGAGACTCCTCATTCGTCATCAAAGGGTGATAAGCCTCCGGTACAATGCTTTTACTACGATCCGGTAAAACACCCATCAACTGTTGGAAGGGTTTGAACGGCTGGCCGAGCTTGAAATCAATGTTGGCCTTCAACCCCCTCTTGACGTCTGATATCATGGGGGAATAATGGTAGCCGTAGTACCAGGGCCAAGAGGCTACTCCACGGTAGTAATAGTAAAGAACCCATTGCAGACCTTGTACGTAGTTCTCGGTCAACTTCCTGAGCTCCTCTTCGTTGTCGCGGCCCCATTCAAACTTGCTCTTGTAGTATTCGTCTTTCCAGGCGTCGAATTTTTCCTCGTATTTCTTGTCCATAGCGCTTTGGGCTTCTTCTGCTGAAATGTCGACGATCTTGGCCTTGTCGTATTTTTGAACAACCCGCGTGATTGCCTTCTGGGCCTCTTCATCATCATCGTCCTCTTCTTCATCATCCTCGGCAGCCTCCACTAATTTGGGTGGAAAGACTAGTTGAAGGTGACGATTGCCATCGTCATCTTGAATCGTCTTCCACTGTAGACGCAGGCTGTCGGCCAACTCTTGGACAAACCTGCGGTCTTCGGCCTTGAGGCTGACGGGTAGGTCGTAGGGTGACTGGGTTTTGGTATCAAAATACGTCCCAATCCAGCTTTTGATGTTGGAGAACAAGTTTTGCTGGTTGGTGGTCATGACAATCTGTCCTCGCTTTTTGGTCCGCTCCATTACGTCCTCTTTCCCTCCGCGCTTCCCCTTGAACCAAGCGGCATCCGCGTTCTCCGCCTCAAAGTGGCGGTATTCCACATGCGACAGCTCGTCCAGAAGTAGGGCCAGCCTCTCCATGTTAATAACGCCTTCCTCATTGATGTAGCCCTTTGCCTTGGGCAAAACCGTCTTGTAAACGTTGAACATGAGTGCCAAAGCGCCCTCGTTGATGTGCAAATGGGGCAGATTGGGTAAGAAATCGTTTCCAACAAAGAAAGCCATAAGAATGAAATCGTCAATAACACGCTCCATGTCGAATTCGAAGCCTAGAGCTCCGGGCTCCTCTAGCTCTTGAAACTCCAGCTCAAGGTATTCGCGTACGATGCAGAGATGCATAAGATAGAAATTCTGATGTTCAAGCTCCTTGGACTTCGCCTTGCTTTGGCGACCAAAGGTTACTTCTTCACGCAATAGTGAGAAGTGTGGGTCATGGCTAAGCAGACCCAACATGATGAGATCGGCGTCCAGGCCGTACAAGCAGTGGCGACGGTTGGGATCGTAGCCCGGCTGCGCCTTCGCCTGGCGAATGTACTCCATGACCTTGTGTTCACCCTCACCCGGGACTTCGTGGCCAGACAGGACGATTTCCACACCCTGCCAGTCCAGGTCCTCGGAGACCTTCTTGTTGATGAAGTATTTCAGTTGCTGTGTCAGCTTTGCCATGAACTCGGTGCCGGGAGTGATGCAGTTGCTATCGAACGGATCCTCCTTGGGCATCTCGACGCCCTCACGAATGGCCTTTTCACGGGCCTTCTCGTTATCGAGAGCGGTTCTAAAGCGGCGTGCACGCTGCTGATTCATCTTGGCACGCGGAGCGACACCATCGATGGCCATGAAGAACAACTGCTTCGGCTTGATCTTGCCGAATAGATGCTCAATGTAGTTGAAAATGGCAATGAACATTTTGTCTTCGGTCATACGAGCGGTAGGACCGTCGGAGTCATTGTGGGTGCAGTTGTGGATGATACCGTTCATATCAAGCTGCGGGGCAACATGTAAGTGGTATGCTTCGAAGTACGATTCTTAGCACCTACATAGAGACAGTCGAATTCGGGGATGCGGTTCTCGGCGATGAGCTGCGAGATAGCCGGATACCGCTCTGACATCCATCTGAAGAACTTGGGAACACCCATAGTGGCTGTTTAATAATGGTTGTATATCGGAAATTTGAGTTGGGCGCAGAGGTCGGGCGTCGAAGTCGGCGGCGCAACAGTAGACAGCGGGAAAGGCGTGCGTAGGGTTCTGTTCTTTGAGAGAAAGGAGTAGGGGGAGGAGAGGGGGAAAAGTAAGAGAAGCGCGCACGGCGCTGTGGGTTGCGGGCAACAAAAATGTAGGGGCGAGGTTCGCGACGCTGAGGTCTTCGAAGTGTTGTCGCTGTGGCGGCGGGCTCGTACTTAAGAAGGTAACCCATGCCAAGCCCAGGCGAACCGCAAGCAGGCATCATCGTCCAAACAGTGAATGTCTAATTGATTCAGATGTTTGACCGCTGGTTTTTTCACGTGATCCTGGGGAATGTATCTCACATGCCCAGATAGAATGCACACAGAATTAAGACATCCATGAATCATAGGTGTGCATTATTTTTTCGCATCTTCGTCCTTTGAGAGGGTAGCATTGGGATCGAGGACATCACTACAGCAGAGAGCCAATCACAGCACATGGATATCACGGGGGTGACAGCTAGCGTGTGGAGGGGGTGGTGGTTAGCTGTTCAGGTCCATGGGTCGCGTCGCGCCTGCAGCTCCACTTTCATGTTCGACATTATCGTCCACCTGCCCTCTCTCCATTCTCACCTTTCAACCTCACACAACTACCTTTTCCAATCTCGCCGCCTGGTACCGACGACGCCAACAGGCATCCATCATCAGAATGGCTGACGAGATCATGTCCAGTGCGTAGCCAACATCCGTTGCTCAACTAAACAGTGTATCGTCATATCTAACGGCAGGCAGATGCTTTCGAGAGCGTGCCCGACGAGGAGCAAATCGTGGAGAGCAAATTGATCAACGAAGAGTACAAAATATGGAAGAAGAACAGCGTGTTCCTGTATGACATGCTCTACGCGCGCGCCCTCGAATGGCCCACTCTCACCGCACAATGGTTGCCCGACAAGAAGCAGTACGTCTCTTCCCCACAACGTCACCGGCAGCCAATATGCTAACCCTACGCAGCATCGATGGCACCAACCTGAGTGTTCACCGTGCCATTCTCGGAACTCACACATCAGATCAGGCGCAAAACTACCTTCAAATTGCCCACGTCGAGATCCCCGACATGCCCACCCCCGACCTGGCCGAACTCAACGAGGAACGTGGTGAGGTCGGCGGCTATGGCAACGCGCGTCGCCCCTTTGACTTCAAGATAGCTCAGAAGATCAACCATCCTGGCGAAGTCAACAAGGCTCGCTACCAGCCCCAGAATCCAGAAATAATTGCTACCCTGACTGTCTCTGGCAAAGTTCTCATCTTCGACAGGACCAAGCACCCCATGCAGCCTAAAGATTCTGATGTCAAGTTCGAGGCCGAGCTTGTCGGTCACGAGGCCGAGGGTTTCGGCCTTGCTTGGAGTCCCTTGAAGGAAGGCCACCTCGTCACCGGCAACGAGGACAAAACAGTCCGCACTTGGGATATCAAGGGTGGCTTCTCCAAAGACAACAGGAAAATTGAGCCTACCGCTACATACACCGTTCATGACGCTACAGTCAATGATGTCCAATACCACCCCATCCTGGACTTCTTGATTGGCACTGCGTCCGATGATCTGACATGGCAATGCATCGATACACGACAACAGTCGTTCAAGAAAGCCTTGTACCGGAAAGAAGCACATCCTGATTCAGTCAACTGTCTCGCATTCCACCCTCAATTCGAAACTCTCATGGTCACAGGTTCATCAGACAAAACTGTCGCACTCTGGGATCTCCGCAATTTCGAAAGACCTTTACACACATTCCAGGGCCACAACGAAAGCGTCATGGGATTGCAATTCCACCCGCAAGAGGCCACTATACTAGCGAGCTCCAGCAACGATCGCCGGGTCCGACTTTGGGATCTGAGCATGGTCGGAGATGAACAGACCCCCGAGGCAGCTGAAGAGGGTCCGCCAGAACTGTAAGTGGCCACGACTTGTTCTGTCTGTACACATTGATGTGCTAATTTCATCCAGCCTCTTCATGCACGGCGGCTTTACGAACCGCATCTGCGATTTCGACTTCAACAAGAACGATCCTTGGGTCATGCTGGGCGCTGCCGAAGACAATCAGCTACAAATTTTCCGCCCCGCTCGCAAACTCGTGCAGCCGCTGCCGGAAAACACAAATCATGGAGAGGTTTCTGACTAGAGTTCTTACTCTCTTGAAACTTCTGCTGATTTTGATCCGTGCTCCAGGTTGAAAGACCTGTGCCCGAACCGTCACGTCCTTGTCCCGACTCACCACCGTCCGCTGCCCCAAAACAAGATCGGCCTATTCCTCCGCCCCTTACCACTCCCGTAATACCCGTAGAGTCCGAGAATGCACCAGCCAACGCATCAGCCGAGCCCTCACCTAAACCCAAGAAACGGGGTCACCGACGTACAAGCTCTTTCGCTCCACCCGCCCCGTGGCATCTAGGCACCGGGGATAAAGTGGAGAGGGTGACAACCCCTCCTCCCAACTATCCTAGCATCTAAGGTTGAGATTCCCGTCTATTGGCTTCTTCATATAAATATTCGTCCGTATTGGCATTTTGCCACGGAAAAGCAGGTGGTATTTTCAAGAGGAGCATCGGAGGGGAAATATTGGGTGGCTTTGTATACCCTTTTCACGGAGTTTTGATTCCACCGTGCACACCTGCATTCCTATATAGATTGGCAGTGTCTAATCTCACAGTAGTAAAAAAACAATTGCCTAAAACCTCAGCCCGTAGGAAGCATTTCGTCCTTTTTTCAAAGCCGGTGATCACGTAACATGAACGAAAACTTGAACTCGAACGGCAAGTGACACTGTATAACGGGATAAATGTTGTATGTTTCTCTCTCGTGATGAATGAATACAAAAACCGTGTACATGAACCAGCAAGGCACTCTCTTCGGCATTGGTGTATCACTATTTGCATTCCTTTTCCCCGTCTCTAATCGTACATACCCCTTCATATATCTACAAAGCAAAAGAACATGACACACAGAGCTTAATCACTTTTCCAACCTCTCCAAAGCCTCCCTGACAGCAACAACCGCCTCCCTAGCACTCTTCCTCTCCCTCACCCCCTCATCCTCAAGCACACCACCAACCTTCTTCCCCTTCCGACCTATAACATCTCTAACGTCAACCTCGACTCCCTTCAGCGTCTGCCTTCCCTCCTCTCTGACCCGCCTCTGCCACTCTTCCCTCGCATCCTCCCACACGCGCTGCATGCGACGCAGACTAATCGTCAGACCCAGCACAGCGACGGCGCTGGCTTCAAAGAGCGAGAGCGATGGGATTGACATGTAGAGGAGCGCTGAGAGCGCGGTCGAGGTTGTGGTTGTGGAGAGTGTGGTGATGAGGAGGCGTTGGGCGAGGGATTGGAGCGGGGGTAGAGTTGTGGAGAGGAGGGTTGTGCGGGCGGTGGAGATCAGATTCGGCCAGGGGACCTGGAGTTTGATTTCTGTGGAGAGGTTTGTTTCGTTGGTTGTGGTTGTGGAGGAGGTGGGTGTTTGAAGGGTGTGGGGTTCTGGGGTAGTGGAGGAGGATGTGGGTAAAGGTTCTGGTTGGGCTGGTGTTTCTGCCGAGACTGGGTCAAGTACGATGGCGGAGTTTTCTTGTTGGTCGAGTTGTGGCAGGGTGTCTTCTGGAAACCCGGCTTGCGACATTCTGCCTGCAAGATAAATGGCGTCCTTTTCCGTCTTGACTAGCCATCTGCGCTGTACGATTTCTTCGAGGACCATGCCGACGTCGTCGACTCTCCACCAGAGTTTCCACCATGCGAGTCGTTTCCAACTCCTGCCGTGAAAACCTTCGTCAAGACTGTCTCTCAACTCTTCGTGGCCCTTCTCTGCCCACGATTCCAGATATACTATCATCTCCGCATTTACTTGTTCTTGTGTAGTTGTTGTAGGTGCTGTGAGAATGGCCAATTGCTGGGCATCCGCGCGAGTGATATTCGCCTCGGTTTCATCAACGAGGGAGCCAATGAGGGAGCGATGTATAGGTTTGATGGGCGATATAGACTTCGTTTCCACGTTGTCGATGAGCCACTTCGAGAGCGGAGGGAGATTGCTAGCGAACCATTTACGCTCATACAAAAGAGAGTTTTGAACGGAATCACGGATCGAATCGAGTGCTTCCGTGCCCACGTCGACATTGACCGGTGTTGACAAGGCTTCCTGATCCGCCTCGACCTCTTCGGACGGTGGTGGAAGATTGACAGCTACTTTGACCAACCCTTCAGTGTTTTCGCCATTGTCTGGCCAGAAACTTCCAAACGCAATTGCACTATCCAGCCCTTCTCCGAAGATGAGCGTTTTGTGTACTGGCCACGGTACCGGTACTCCACTGTGGGAAGGATTCCGGAGCTTCGGCACCAAAATCGCCTCGTCTGGTCTCTCGGTTGTGGGTGTGAGGTTTCTTCCCGCGTCAACATTCAGCGTCGATACCAGTAGTTCCAGGTTGTATCTTCCGAGTATTCTCGATGGAATTGAAATAGTCTTGTAGAGCGGATTTGGGGCATGCATATCGTGCTCGTCGCCGAACCTTTATCCACCTAAGTCAGCAAACGTACATACTTGGGTGAAAGACAGCTCTCACCGTATCAAGACCGCAGAATCATCTCCTTCTGTGGGTTTGTTCAACTCCTTCTCCCAATCTTCTTCTTTCCCCAGTGGATCTGCAAGTAACAATCGTGCCAATCGCTGCGCCCCACCCTGACTGTTCAACCCCAGTACTATTCAGACTGTCAGAACTACACCGATGTCATCGCGAAGCTCGCAAAACCTACCAGCAACCCTCGTTACCGCCGCATCGCCCTCGACTTCTAGTCCTCTCAGTGCCAACTGCAAACGTCTGAGGTTGTTGAATTGCTCCGCATCCTTCCCTAGTTTCTGCAACGCTTCATATAGCTCTGTGTTTCTCCGGGGCACAATTGGGCGGTAGTTTATCGCGGTCGGGGAAATATGTGTAGATGCGGAGCGGACGCGGAGGCCTAACGGGCGGCGCAATTGCGTAATATTGAAGGAGCGGATGGCATGAGCATACTGTTCAATTGCGATTTCTCTGCACGACGAGGTACATCGCGGCACTAGGCCTACCCATGGAGGCATCGGGCTTGGGAATATGCTGCGGTGGAAAGTGTTGCGATGAGGTCAACTTCAAGCTCCGATCGGCTCAACGTCGGTGAATTGATCACAGATCTCGATGCTATTTTACTGTACATCGGTACCTGGCATCAAGGTTGCATTAGCAAAAGTTAATATTGACTAGTCATTGATCATGTCTAGTACTGAATCACGGTATCTGCGTGTCACCTTCCATTTTCCTGAGTCTCTAACAAAAAATTCTTGGCTAGCAGCTGCAGGCGACCATCTACACTCTCTGCTTACCACAATATATCACGATCATCACGGAGAGGGAATATGAAGCTAGGGAGATGTATGTATAATCATTCCAAAGTGTTCGAATAGTCAACTCTTAACAAGTAGAGCACTCGAACGGCCAAATTACTCCTAGTCCGTTTCATTCGTAGGTCATACCCTTCTAGTCGTTGGTCTGTAACACATCTCTCGTTGTATATATGTATGCTGATACTGTGCAGCGCATAGAGAGAGAGAGAGAGAGAGTAAGACCAATGTTGTTCAAATTGTTCCAAGTCAGACCAGATTACTACTAGGCTTTCTTGCTGCGTCCGGATCCCGAAGACCTATATTGCGTCAGTAATGAGGAGATGCAAACTACCCGCGAAAAAACTCACATGCTGATCCTCCTGGCTACTGTAGCAAGGCCTGCATCATTGTCGGCTTCCTTGCTTGCTTTCTCGAGAGCCTGCTCTCGGCTTGCTTCATGAGACTTTCGTACTTCCTCGTGGCTTGGGGGCAACCGTTCGTTCTGAAGATCCACTTTCCTAGCATCTTCGAAGCTGTGGATGGCTTGCTTGATGCCTTCGGCACCGAGCATGAGAGTACCAGCAGGAAGTCGACCGCCAGATGCCGTCTTCAGCTCAGTAACCCTCTCTGATTCTTCGCGCAACACTTGGAAGACGCGGGAAAGCCTGCCAATTGCCAAGATCTTGTTCTTGATCGCACGTCGCTTGAATTCGGTTGATTCTGGGTCCATGTTCTGTGCCAATGGTGGTGATATTGGGCCAGAGGATATAGAGCTGGGTGTCTCCTCTTCAAGTTCCTCCTTGGAGCAAGTGTTCAGGATAGCGATGAGCATATCGGTGACTATGAATGTTAGCTTCACGAATCAATAGAACGGATTTGGCTGTGTGAACTCACTCTTTTCGCCAACGAACGGAAGTGACCACGTGAAGACATCCATGAAGTTGGGTAGCCAGTAAGGGTGAGGCGTGCAGTCTGCTCCCAGTCAGTGATTGATTGTCACAAAAAGGCTTTGGTTTACTTACTGAACTGCCGAATGTTCATGACATTGTTCTCGTACTTTAGAACCGCAGCTTTGTTGTTGTATACATCGAGGTAATTGGGTGCGCTGAAGATGGTCATGACACTAGGGAATCCCGTGGTCCGCGTCTTTCGGTACATGCGATAACCAGCATCTTGGGCCTCGTGGGCTCGAATGATGGACAGTAGGTTGTTCTTTTCTAGGAACGCACATGCCGCTGGGTATGAGAAGAAATACGAGCAACCACGGACGTGGTTATGAATGAAGAAATCGTTGGTTTTCTCTTGACCGAACTCCTCGAGCGGATCGGCCCACAGGATGTCGCACATCAATCCATGGGTAGGGGGTTCCCGGAATCGATCAATCTGACCCATGTTAGCCACCGCCGCAGAATAATCAACAGACAATACGCACGCTCTTCAGGTCTTCCAAGGTGTGGAGCTCTGGGCTCAATCCACCGTGTATGCACAGGAACTGCTTGTTCATGACAGCGGCGAGTGGCAAGGAACAGAACGACTCCATGCATGCCTCGTACACAGCTTCCGAGTATTTGTGCTTGCATTCGAGCTTGAAAGTAAAGTAATCCGTCAAATGTCGGCATTCGTGGTTTCCGCGGAGAAGCCATAGCGTGTTTGGGTACCAGATCTTGAGCGACCAAAGGTAAAGGACACACTATCATTGTCAGCATTGTCCCCTCTAAGTCGCAATGGGTTCCTTACTTCTATGCTGAAGTATCCACGATCCACGTAATCTCCCAAGAAAAGATAGCGCGTCTCCGATGGGTCGCCGCCTACTTCGAATAGCTTCATGAGATCGTAGTACTGGCCGTGCACATCACCGCAGACTGTTATAGGCGCATCCATTTCCAGCAAATTGGGCTCCGCCTTCAGGACCTCGGTGCCCTTCTTGAGAATCCATAGCGCTTGCTCTTCGGTCAAACGGCCCTCGCGGTAGAAGTGTTGCTTCAGGAACTGAAGATTGGGCTTTTCGCGGTCTTGCGGCGACAGGAACTGATCTTCGGTTGGTGGGTTGAAGGCGGGCGCCTGGACGTCTAGCGGTCAGGGCTGGTTAGCTACAGTTCTCCGCAAGATTCGGTACGCAGAAACCTCTAGAATGGCTCTCTGCAACGGAAAACGGATATCTGAATACTTACCCTTGCAGACTCGCTCGAGAGTGTTCACTTGGGTACCGTCTTCCATGGTGTGTAGAGTGAAGTCGATCTCGGGAAGAGGCTTCTTCTCCTTGACAGCGCGGATAGCATTGTCAAGGTATTTGGTTTGGTCGAACCCGCTCTGTGGGGTGCTCTCCATGGTGGGCGGAATTCTTGGGTGGGATTCGCAAGTGCGGCGTAGGAGAAGGGTTTAGGTTGGAGAGAGAGAGTAGCAACGAGGGGCGAGTGGGGAGGGGAGCAAGGACCCTGCTGCGGTGGCGGCGAGAGGCGAAAGGAAGGCCGAGGCTCCCTGCGCGCGATCAAGGTGAGGATGAATAGTAACTAATGGGTGGCATACAGCTGCTTTGCAGAGGTACTGTCTCCGTGGTTGTCGTCGCGTGCTGTGGTGCTGGTTGAGAATTGTAGGGCTGAGAAAATAGGCATCGAGCTGGAGGGGATTACATGGAGCTTGGCAGACACAGCAGTCGCCCAATGAGGAAGCTGCCCACAGGAGGAGCCAGCGTCACCTGTGAATCGAAACAGAGTGTTTGCTGCCATGCGTCGTACACAAGCAAACTGCATACCTCTGAATCCGAATTGCTCAATTGCACGACCACCGCCCATCGTGCAAACCAAGGTTGCCTCCAGTATCAACAAACACCGTACAGTAGGGTCTTGAGGGGAAAGTTGGACCCTGTCGCTGTGACTGGCATACATTAGGTTGCATATTGAGCACGAGTTGGCACGGACGTGACACACTTTGGACCACCCATTGTGAATAAATTGATATTACCCGAACGGATGCAGGAGACGATGAATACATGTCCTGTGACACGGCCTGTTACATTAAGTGCATTCGTCTTCGAAACAAATCGACATTACCCGAGTGACGGTCCAGATATAGAATGATTATAGTGACACCAGAATACACCATCAAGATCTGGTCGGTTCGATTGCCTCACGTCCGCGATTTCCATGACCGTTCTCTAAGTCTCACAGAAAGTGGTAACTTGGGCTATCAGTGTTGTTCATGGCAGTTCCAGACCGATAATACTCGTCTTAATCGAGTCCTTTGGCTGATTGCCGTGTTCATCGTATGTTGCGTTGTGCCAGATTTCATCGATCTTAATGGCCCAATTGTAAGAGTAAAACTCAATCGTCACAGGGAGATTAACCACACGAGCGAAGACAAATCATGTTTGCAGTTAAATGATCCATTTTTGATTTTGGTTACATCATGAGAGAAGTGTCGATCTAGGAAAAAGAAATTCGTGCTCGCAAGCGAACCGATACCACAAGGCTTGAAAATCTGCATGCTGACCGAAGGGGGGAAGCAGCCATGCAGGGAAAAGAAGAGAAGACATGCAAGATATAAAACAGGAAAATAAGGGTATACGAGGCAGAGACCACTCGGTCTCACCCCGTATCAAACTCAGCAACTCAGCAACAACATGATGTAACGGAAACCCAATCCTCCGTATCCCTACAAGTGGGTATCCCAAGGCGATCTGAATGCTAATGAAAATCAAACTCCGGAAATGCTGAATGATCTGTCCCCCATCGAATGAAGTGGCAGACTTAGTTGAACCACTGGCCGAAGATGGAACGGCGGGCGATCTTGCCGTTGGAGCAGGTCATACCAGCCGCGAGAGGCTGGGCAACGGCGCATCCACGGTCGCAGATACCGAAGGTAGTAGAACCAATGCAGACGACACCGCCATCGTTGGTGCAAGGAGTGCAGCCGGCAGGACCAGAGCCGGTAGCTGGAGCAGAGCCAGAAGAGCCCGAGCCTGAAGAGCCCGAGCCTGAAGATGGGGAAGAGCCCGAAGATGGAGCAGAGCCAGAGTTGCTGCCACCTGAGCTTCCAGTTGGCTGAGGAGCGGCAGAGGAGGGGGCTTGGGAGCTAGCTCCAGGAGCCAGGATAGGAGCAGCTTGAGTGGGCTTGGAAGCAACAGCAGAAGACTTGAGAGTAGACTGGGGAGCATTGCCAGCGCCACCAGTAGGTCCAGCGGGAGAGTCGCCACCAGGAGAACCGAGCTTGCCTGAGCCAGCTCCGATCTTGGTCTGAGAGCCGCAGCCGGATCCCTCGATCTTGAGACCAGGAACAGCAGCGGGAGCAGTAGCGACAGCCTTGCCCGGGTTGGGGTAGAGAGCGTCTTGACCACTGCCAAGGGCGCATTCAGTAGCCGGGAGGTTGATGACGAACATGTCAGGAAGACCACCGAGGACCTCAGCAGCATCCCCATCGCCACCAGTAATGTCAAGGGGGGCGCAGTTCATATAAAATTCTCGGTTGCCTAACTCGGTGTTAATTATTCGTCCGTTTTCCAGAAATTCTCAAGAAAGACTTACCCAGTTTGTTGTTCCAAGTCCACGCAAAAGTGTACTTGCCAGTGGGAAGATCCTCAGGAAGCTTAACCTGGAAAGGAGCGTTGCCCATATCATCTTTGTCTCCAGACTTGTTGTCATTAGGAGGTCCACCGGGGCATCCACCAATTTGAGAAAAGAGAACTTTCCACTGAGTGTCCTTAGTGGGCTTGGTGTCAGTCGTAATGGAGAACTGGCAGCTGCCACCTCCGTGGGTAGCGCCACCAATAATCTTGACTTCCATGGAATCACCAGCCTTGTACTTGTTCATTTCAGTGACAGCGTATTTGCCAGAAGGCTGCTTGCAAGGGAAGTCGGCAGGCTCGAGAGGGCTCTGCATGGTGGCGGAGTTCTCCCAGTCGAAGGGAACGGGAGATCCGATCCTCATGTGGGCGGAAACGGAGGAGGCAAGAGCCAGAAGAGCAGTAGCTTGAAGGTACATCATGTTGATTGTTGAGAAAAAAGAGGGTTGTTGTTTTGGTTGTTCTAGGGCTAAGTCCAGCAAAGCGCGAAGAAGTCGAGATCAAGTTGATCAAGAGAAAAGAGTGTCTTGGTGAGAGAGTGGATAGTCTGCCGCTGGCAAGACTAGATAAATGAAGGTGAAAAGAAGGAAGATGAAATTCAAAGCCGGTGAAGTGGTGTGGAGTGAAGAAACATTCTGAGGCAGCGCAGACAGGAGCTTAAGTATTCATCTCGGCGTGGCGGTCTGGAGAAGGGGACAGGCACAGGGTGAAGGTTTGCGACCAGGGGAGCGACACATGCAGATCAGGCATGCTAGGCCAGGAGTCATTTTTCTGGCATGGAACCATATTCGCAGATCCACGGCGCTCGGCAGGGACCATTGGCTGTGCAGATGTCGTGTTTCGAAACTCCAGCCCATATGGCGCCGGATGGTCGAGGATGGGTGGTAGTCAATATGTCGGGCAGATTGCTTAGGCGAGGTTGCCGGCCGCCATTGGCCACATGCACCACCCCTCTATCGATAATGGTGAAACAGGCCCCCTGACTCTCACCACCTTCCCGCTCTCATTCGTCCTGCTCCACGCTTTCTGGTACAACTCCATGTCACCGTCCATCCGTCCATTCTCCCACAGGCACATATCCACCTCCTCTTTTCTGACGGGGACGGGAAGGCCCCCCACAGCAAACACAAACTCGACAAAGGCCCCTCGCCAATAATCCCACCGTCACCTCTTCGTCGCGTTTCGCTTTCGGCCTTGCCTCTCCGTTCCTGTCGTCTATGCCGCTGTGACGATCCACCCCCTGCGGTCCTTAGATTCATGCGATATAGGTAGTTTGCCAGTGACCACTGCCACTGCCCGCCTGGCTGGCCTCCTCTTTTCCTATTTCCAATGGTGCCTGATCTGTGTTTTGAAATCCCGGCCTTTTTGCCATCCTGTGCCTGTTTGCTCCACTCCTCGGCTGCATTCCCTCCATGCAACCGTCCTGTCGCACATCGCAATTCGCGACTCACGCCTCACCTACCCACCATCATCCAGCGCCGTCTGCCAGCGACAAGAGCCTATCGCTGAGTGGCGCCTTTCTTGGTCGTATTCAGGCCCCATACACCAACCAGGAATCAGATCGGTCGAAAATTCGGGGCAGGGCGTCGCCCGGCGCCTCCGCTCTGGTGTGGCGCAATTCCTCTCGCAGACCACACACACAGACCACACCTAGTGTAGTCCCCTCATAATATCCCGAGAGTAGGAACCTTTTCGCAGCCTCATACCTTCCTCATTGTCGCTTCACCATGCCTTTCCATGCTGGCCTTTGCTTGACGTAAAAACGCCCTGCCATGCCTCTCTGCATGTCATCGTCGAGCTACATTCTTTCCATCCTTTTCGTCTGTTCCTAATCTTGTGTCTTTCTTTCCCACCTGGGAGCAACCACGATCCTCCTTGTACTTGTGTGGGGACTATTGACCCGCTCGCCCACCTCGATCTACAATAGCCAAAGCTTCTTCCTGTAAATTGTGACATGCTTGAACACCGGCACGGTGATAGTGACTGTTTCAACAAGTCAACATGGTTGATCGCTAATCATTGGTGATGTGTCGCCACAGCTTCTATTTTCTGTGTCGTACCTCGTGCAACCCGGCAAGATGGATCATCTGTGGCCAGCAGCGTAGATTTACCGGAAGTCTGACCGCGCGAGCTCCAGGATCGAATTCTCCATATGATTTTCAGTCGCTTTGGCCAATAGCGAAGCTGTGCGTTTTGGCCTTCAAAACACCCGAAACTATCAGGACGAGGCTGTGCCTGACATTCATGCCAAGTCTTTCGGACTTGAACGAGCCAAGTCAGATCATTGGATAGCAGTCAGAGAACGATTCAAACTCGTGTGCCATCATCAAATCTCCGTTTACCTTTCCATCAAAGGTACCTGGTGACATCTGAGATGGCATTGATTGATGCAGTGTTTCCGGGAGGTGCGAAAGATTCATCTCGTATCCAGGCAGCCACCTAGTTTATGCACCCTTACTACTTCCAGGCAACGCTTCATATATCTCTTTCCTGTTGTGCATTTGAATCCCTGGGCCTGTTCGGATCAACGAGGCTTCCTGCTGTGAACTCCGTGTCTTAACGTTACGAATGGTGTTTTCTCGATGCCGACATGAATGTTTCCATCCGTTCCCACAAAGTTGCCATAACCGTAACGTGTTTCAAGGTCTTTGAGGTATCTCGCACGCTCTTTTGTGCTGTACCTCGATGTTCCGCGCATATCATGCACAGCCGTGCTTGCAGCGAAAAGCCCGATGATGGAGGCTATGCTCGTAGGAAGCCGTGGGAGAAATCGTCCGGGTCGTCGGAGGTATACGATGATTGCAACAACCATGTAAGCCAACAATATGCTGAGGGAAACTATGAACAGAGGAGATGATATGAACAGTCGCTCCTCTTTCTCAATCCGCCATGCTACGGTCGAAGAGCCGCTGGCGTTTACAAACAATTTGTGGTGATTTGCTCCTAGCCATATTGCAAACAGCCTTGAGTATGTCCGGTTCAAAGGTATCTGAACTTCTTCCAACTTGGGAAGACTCTTGGTTGGATCTAGCAGTCGACTGCTGTTAGACACGACTCTTACGAAGTAAGACATGAAGTCTGACGCAATACTGTCGTTGTGCCAGGGGTTCGTCCAAGAATAGAACATGTATCGGTTTGACTGATTGATGAGATTTATAGGATCGTTGCTGAAGTTTGCCTTCACCTCCTCGAGATCGAGATTACGTTCGATGAACCGATCATGGACTGGGCGCAGCAGTCGACCTCCCTCATCTACTCGGACTGTTCCGTGCCCTCTGACCATCTGAGGAGTGCACTGTACAAGGAATGACTGGTTGCTGGCAAGGATATGCTCTGGCGTTGTACCACAAGATCCGTTCAAACTGCGGACCCAGCCAAGAATGGCCGTGGCCCAGCAAATATCTCTTTGTGCCTGTGAGGCATTGGCACCGCCAGCGGGCTCCATATTGTATACCAACTCTGCCGCAGACGGTCCGTTGATGCATTCAGTGTCTTCCATTGTTCCTCCCGTAGACTCATCAACCATCGTTGGGTTGGGGTTGATGCGGAAATATTCAGAGCTGACACAGTCTGCTTTGATTTTACCATTCGACAATGCCACCATCAAGCGACTCATACCAAACTCGGTTTTCCTTTTGATGACACGATAGGAGCCTTGCTCAAGAGCGCTGCATTTCAACTCTGCGCCGAAAGCCCTAGTTTGAGCTTCGTACTGAACTCCTGTCGAAATGTTCGATATGTTGGGTAGTGTGTTTGATCTGAAAGGGAGATAGAAAAGTGCATCATCCGTCCATGCCGGAAGCAGAGTATTGCGAGTGTAGTTGGACTCGGCAATAAGGAATTGGTCCTGCCCTTTGCCCGCTCGATACGCCCCTGAAGGTTTTTCGAGCATAGCATTTCTCCTATTGGACGGGCTTACACTCCCATTGATAGACACAAAAGTCGCATCAAAGGGTGGTTGAAAAGACTGATGGATGCGTACTTCTGTCATCTCATGATGAAACAGGCCGGCAAAAGCCACCGCGAGTACGTTTGATAGGAGCGCCATTGAGCAGATGGCCGCCAAAATCAGGTGGCGAACTTTGAGAGATTTCCAGATAACAAGTTGAGGCGGCAGGGAACTGTAGTTCACATCAATACTTGCTTCCGCCTTAGCATTGCCCCTCCATAGCTGCTCGATTGGCTGGAGTAGACATATGTGGCGATTCAATAAAATCCACATTGGTTCAATCATCATGACAATCAAAGTAGGTATGTAGTTCTCAAGGATTTTCTGCCCGACTCTACTGTTAGATGGAAGAGAAAGCCCTAGGTATGATTAGTCTATCTACATTATCAATCGGATCACAACATACCGTTCACGCGCGCTTGAAGAAATACCGCTATCAGCGCAGCCGCTAGTATCACGAATAAGCCAACGAATGATATTGCAGCCCAAAGGCTGAATCCTTTGGGTCGAACAGGGTGATTGATATCCTTCGTGAACCCTCTCCGTTGTCCCAAGCCCATGCTGTTGCTCTTCTTACGATTTGCGACAATCTCTGTAATACTAATGGATATTGTAAGCATATGCGCGTGTAATGTTTAGGCTTGAGTGACTTACGCCACATTCTCCGGATCCTCAATGAGCCTATATGATTTGTCCCGTAATATGGTCTCTAGATCCGTGATAGTACTACAATCCAAGTCTTTGAAACTCGCAAGCAAATTCGGATTGTCAGACACGAGTGACATAAGACTGGCGATCGTACTAGGATCTGATCGTAAAGCCGTAAATCTGTTAATCGACAGGTATAAGAGGACTGAAGCGAAAACAGACACTGCGCCCAGAAAGCCTTCAACAATATAAGTGAATATCGGTTCAAGGATGAGAGCTTCAGTCATGATCCTTTCGTTGCCTTCCGTCTGTCTGGATTTGGTAGTGTCAGGCCCCAAAATTTCTACCATAGCGCGGGAAAACATGAGTTGATATGCAGTCTCATAAGAATTTTTCAGCATTCTCCAATCCAGAGAGTCTCGCAGAGGGCGCTTGTCGAGAGCCAGTGCCAAACCGCTGACTCCCCCATCGTTAATCAAGGCTGATAATTCAGAATCTAATATTTGCTCGCCATACTCGGGCAAGTCTCTCCCTGGCATAGAGAAGTCCCTTCGAACACGATACTCGATCGTATTTGAGCTCAGCTGCTGTTGGAAGCTCGTTCTGTTGAACATCTGTTCAGGCAGCGGGCGCTTTGGTGATAGTGTCGAAATCCGGAGGGGTTGCTTCGTATCTTTCTCGATTGTCGCATTCACATCCTGCATATAGTATTCCACTTCACAGAAAATTGCGGAAACGTTGTTAGGCGGATCCTCCTCTTTTACTTTGTTTTCTGAAATGCCTGCATAGAATGTGTGGGCTCGACCAGGAGGACAATAATTGATACGATAACTCGCATCACTACCGGGAGCAAACGCAGCCCACAATGCAGAGTATCTCTTCCTCTTAGTAAAGTCGCTTCCCCCTGTTCCCTCCGTCACATTACCGTCAAGACCAACCGTGAAGTTGCATCCCCAACTACTCTTGTACGTAGCCAAAGTCCCGGGCTCCAGGAAAGTAGGCTCACAGGCAAGGTCCAGACTATACAGGGTGGTAGTTGCCGTCCATTCATCTAATTCGTTGACCACTTCCAAGGAGTGTGTTGATGACGGCTCGAATGGAGCTAGTGTATAATTCGATGCCATGTATGGGGGAAGTCTTTCGTCAAGCGTTGCGATTGCGTACGTAGATTGATAGTGTGCAAGACTCAACTCCTGCGGCTGTTGAGCAGCTGGCACAAAGTCTGTTGATACATTGAACAACATTGGTCTCTCCCGGACTACAGGTCGAGTGGAAAAGATACCAGCTTGTACAGGCACGAGCCCCCATGTGACCAGGAGAAGAGCGAATGACGCCCAGAATACAGGCCAATGCCTGGATGACGGAGAGATCAGCCCCCAGGATTTGGGGAATCAAAAGATTGAGAACAAGAATGATGGCATACCTTCTCTTCATTGCTCTAAAGGGAACGAATGGTGCGAAATCGAACGGATATGTCAGCAACATGCTGTCTTTTCCAGTACTTCCGCCTTCTGTACTCAGGCGATACCATGGCTCTACTCGCTTTGCTTCGAGATCGATCCAAGCCCAAAAAATGCTGTAAATAACTGCTACGATTGTAGGGAAGTACCGGTACATAAAAGTTTTCGAAAGTGGCAGTTCGCCGATACTTGGCGCAAAGATGACGCCTTGGTTCCGGTTCGAACGATCCAGAAAAAGTTGTAGAGTTATGATGAGGGTCAGCGAAACCAAGACCACCAAGGACAATGTTAAAGGGTGGAGAGCGGGTGGTGTCCATGATTTTCTTGATCTGGACGCAGCTGCCGACTTTGGGTGTTGCGTCTTTGTATTCCGGCTATGAGAGAATATCTTGAAGGTATTCCAGGAGACTCTTTTTTTCGGTGCAGTATTATCCGTTATTAACGTTTCCTCGTATTGCGTATTTGCGGCGCGGCCCATTATCTTTTGGTACCAATGAGTAAGTGCACTGACGCAGGCGTAGTGAGGAGATTGTCGCCCGTGTTGTTGGATCCCAGATGATGTGAGATTTCCCCTTTTTGGTCAAGTGGACGTGTTGGGAGATGAAGTCCTCCTCTTCGGAATGTGACTGACTTGCGTTGCTGTTGGGAAACCGGGAAAATACAATTCTTCCTCGATTACCAGAGTTCTTTGGTTCCAGCCTCAAGACGCAAGGAAATCGGAAAAATTGACAAGAAGGCAGTTACGCCCCAACCACTGTTTTAAGAGCTTCATGCTCTTGCGGCACAGCACCTCACGACTAACCCCTGCTCAATCGTTCGCCCCAAAGTGGACTCGTCCCATTTCGCTTGAGCGGCACGCGCCTACAATCATGCTGCGGGTCCGCGAAAATCGTTCTCATCCACTCATTTAGCGCAGTACCCATCTTCGTTGTACCGCGGTTCTGGTCGTAGAGTTTGGAATTGAATTGGCCTAACGCAGATGAGAAAGGTTCTAATTCTCCGGACAAGACGACGAATAAGAACGAGGGCTTTGCCACAACGTCGAGGTGTTCGGGTAGTGATTGTCCGCATCACACCATTACTACATGGAAGGTGTGCATAGTGCTGAGCTAGAAATAGCTGCGTCGATTATCAATGGCGACAGTCTGATCAAGACTCATACCTGTTAGCATGCGCCAACTATCATAGACTGAGAGAGACCAACGCGGATTGTTTCCAACTATACCGGATATGAACAAACGGATAGTTGTCATCGTTGGTGTCCGTCTTGTTGCACATATACGTTACAGTGTGACCTAGTGAGCACTGATAACTGTAAGTACCTAGGTACAGAGTCTGATACAGCAGAGCTGTGCTCACTGATTGCGTTTGCGCAAGACAAATAAAAAATGTAGGAAGAATGTAATGTAATTGCCTCAGGATAAATGTTTTTGCGGCAACCCTCACAGTGGCGAAAAGGCCGAAACAGAAGAAGTAAGCAGTCGCCGGGAGATTGGCCACACTAGATAAGTTATACGCAATAACCCGATAAAGAAAGAATGGTAGGATTCATCATACCACAGTCAGATATAAATAACATCGATGACATAGGAGATATGTGGTGAAATTCATCTCCTTGACTGCCTTGATCTGGCGCCTTTGTTGTTAACTGTAAGAAAGAGTGCTCAACGAAACGCCCCTACTTCCATCCGCCTATTCTAGTGTCAGTGAACTCTCTACACTGATACGGTCCGTCATGGGAGACTTACCACCAAGTTCGGAAGTGTACAGTGCTCACATCGATGTTCAAATCCTTGAGATTGCTCGTGTCTAAATGGCAATCGTACGGTCTCTGGACGCCCTCAAGCTCGGCTTCATTTGGTTTGGAAGGCTCCATACCATCGAGAGGCAAGCCCATAATATCTGCGAACGTTTGTACCATCTGCCACTTTGTCATTTGATCCTCGGAGCTAAACTGTAGGGTATCGGGAAGGGTTTCAGCAGAATCCGATGCTTTCAGATAACGATCTGCAATCTCGCGACACACACGCCCAACATCAGAGGTGTTGGTTGGGTACCGCAGTGCGTAGTCGTCAACTTTGATTTTCTGCCCGTTCTCGATTTTCTGTGCGGCCCAAAGTTGGGACATAAGAACATTGACCGCGCTTTCATGAGGCTCATCACATTTTCCATAGAGAATAGGAACTCGTAGAACGATGGCTTTGTTCTTCGCTCCTGCAGACTGAGCTGCACGTAAAACAGCTTTCTCGCCATCCAATTTGGTTTGGCCGTAGACGTTTGGCGGATCTGGGGTAGAAGAAACAGCATAAGGGGCATCTCCCTTTCTGCCCGGAAAGACGTAATCAGTAGAGATATAAATGAGCACAGCACCTCGAGCAATGGTGGCTTTCGCTAAGAAACCGCTTGCATCTACGTTGATAGCTTTGGCTGCTTCTGGATCCGAGGAGCACGAGTCAGGGAAGCGGTTGGCTGCGCCTAAGAAAGCTGAGAACTATGCAAGCATGATCGAATATCGCAGCACTTACAGTGTATCACGACATCAGGTCTGTATATCGAGAAATCAGTATCAGATCAGATAATAGAGCAATGATCTGTCCTCGTACTTGACATCATCGAGAACACGCTCAATTTGTTTTTGCTCCAAAATATCCAGACTGATCACCTCTGGAGGATTAATTCGTTTCAGGGCTGTGCCGATTGCATTCCAGCCATCAATCTCAAATGCCAGTCGCACTTGTCGTCCAAGAAGACCGCTTGCTTGACATGTATATCAGTTACATGAGGATGGAAAACGAGCATACACAGGATCGCCATACCTCCGGTGACCAGAACGGTGCGCGCCATCAAAAATATTGTAATGAGTGTAAGACTGAAGGATCTTGTTTGATACAATAATAGTCGAATACTGATTGACCAGTGCTCAGATGTTGGTTGACGACATTTGAGGAAAGAGGGACGGCCCGGTATGCTTCGGCCAATCAAAGGAACCGAGAAGTTAGCGCCATCACCCCTGGTCACAGCATGCTTGGCGGGTCAGCAACAGCTTCAAGCTCCGAGTTTCAGGAAGAGCTACCAGAACACAACCAGATCATCGCCACAACTCGGACGACCATAACGATGTCTACCATCACCGAACAAGCTTCACAGAGCTCCTTCAAGTAAGCGTGCTTCATATAGCTGACAGAAGCCTCATCTAAATTTGCCCAGCCCAGTCCTTCCTCTGGACTTTAACGCGAACCAGCCAAAAACCATTCGCCTCTATCCGCTCAGCAACTACACATTCGGAACCAAGGATGGACAACCAGAAGAGGACCCTTCGGTGCTTGCGCGTCTCAAGCGTCTAGAAGAACACTACGAAAAGCATGGCATGCGACGGACGTGTGAAGGTATCCTAGTGTGCCATGAACACAACCATCCGCACATCCTTATGCTCCAGATTGCGAACGCCTTCTTCAAACTGTACGCATCTATTACCTGAATCACCACAATACAAGCGCTAATAGTGACAGCCCTGGCGACTACCTGCGGCCTGAAGATGAAGAGATTGATGGCTTCAAAGTCAGGCTGAATGAACGTTTGGCTCCGGTCGGCACGCAGTTCACAGGTGAAGGCGTTACCAATGAATGGCAGATTGGCGACACGCTTGCGCAGTGGTGGCGACCGAATTTTGAGACGTTCATGTACCCTTTCATCCCCGCACACGTCACGAGGCCGAAGGAGTGCAAAAAGCTGTACTTCATTCAGTTGCCACGGAGCAGTAAGGCAACCCCGAATCTTTGATCAAGACTATGACTGACGCTTTTTGTAGAAGTATTGAGCGTTCCCAAGAATATGAAGCTCCTAGCAGTACCTCTATTTGAGCTATACGACAATACAGCCCGCTACGGCCCTCAACTCTCAGCCATTCCTCACCTCCTTTCGCGCTACAATTTCGAGTTCGTCGATGAGAACGGTCAGGTGGTAGCGCAAACCCCGGGGGCCGGATTGACAGATGGCAGTAGGCCTCAGGTCAAGGTGCTGGCCGGTGGAGATGATGTAAAGATGGAGCAGAATGGAGATGCCGCGAGCGATCAGACTCTGTCGTAGCTGGATCCCGTTCTCTTCATACTTTTCTTTGGTCTATTTAGCATGGCATCCAGGGGCGTTTGGGAGAATAAACGAGGGGAACCGATTTTCTGTGCAGGCTTTGAAAGATATTGCGGGCTGGGAGTTCTTAGGGCATTCTAGGTACTATCTAGTCGAAGATAGCATCTCTGCTTCGCAAGCGGAAGATGGATTTGCCCACATATGAGTATATGAAGGTTCATCATTGTTTGAGAGAACTGCAATACAATGAATATCATTAACACAAGCACGGCGATGTGATCTTGAAGTTGTGGTCAGAATCATGCGTGAAGCTTTGGCATATATATATACATATGTACATATGTACCTAGGTATATACGAAGGTCTACCCTTGTCCCCCACTAGTCGCAAGCTCCGAGGTCCTACATAACAGGGAGCTCCGCCCGCCCCACCAAACCCCATCTACTGACCTCACCCATCGCAATGTGAGCTTCGTCTGCACGCCTCCATAGTCATTCGATTGCATACACGTGCTAGCGCTCGCAGAGGCATACCAAGAAAATGTTACTCCTCGGTTTGACAGGCTCTATTGCAACTGGGAAATCCACCGTCTCCGCACTCCTCTCCAAACCGCCTTACTCACTCCCCATCATTGACGCGGACCTTATCGCACGGCAAGTCGTCGAGCCCGGTACCGCAGGCTACAATGCCATAGTCAAGCACTTTCTCCCTTCGACGCCAGACTTGCTGCTTCCCGATGCCACTTCCAAAGGCCGACCGCTTAACCGTCCTGCGCTTGGTCGTCGCGTCTTTGGTTCCGGCACAGAGCGCGAGCGAGACCGCAAGATTCTGAATGGCATCGTTCACCCTGCTGTCAGACGAGAAATGTACAAACAGATGGTATGGGCGTACTTGAAGGGAAGCTGGGCCGTGGTACTGGACGTCCCGCTCCTCTTTGAAAGTGGATGGGAGAGATACTGTGGGACCATAATGGTAGTTGGGGTTACGGATCCGAAGATCCAAATCCAGAGATTGAGAGCGCGAGATGCGCATTTGACCGAAGAGGATGCGCAGAACAGGGTGCGGAGTCAAGGCGACGTGAGGGAAAAGGCAGAGAGGTGCCTAAGAAGGGGTGAAGGAAGAGGTGTAGTGGTTTGGAATGATGCAGGCAAGGAGGAGCTCGAGAAGCAGATTGCGGGAACGATGCATAAGATCAGAGGAGCGAGTCCAGCGTGGTGGAGTCTTCTGCTGTGGATCTGTCCGCCAGTTGCCGCGTTGGCGGCGAGTGTCAGTTGGTGGAGGATGAGAAAAGTGCAACTGGTATGGGAAGAGGAGAAACGAAAAGAGAAAGCAAAGTTGTAGAAGCTACGAAGGAGTCGATTAGGTAGATATCCCATGCCCAGCGCGCGTTGCAATGTTAAGTGTGCTATTGTTTACGCTTTTTTTTACAGTGCTTGGGTCAGCCGGTAGCGCAGAGGGCTTGCCAGCGCTCGAGGTTATCTGAATAACAGTATCTATGCTCACAAACGCTGCGAGCAAAGCTATGACCTCATTTGTACCACGTTCACGGTACGGGAGCTTATACCAGTCTACGATTGCTTCCGTGTTACACTCTCCGGTTCAATAAGCAATCAACCACCCGCTTGAGTCACTACCAATGACACGCCGCTGGCTCAAAGGCTACGAGGCAACATAAGTCTCGACATCATGGCTCGCTCATCCAGAGATCGTTCAAAACATGGCGAACACGACAGGAACGCAACAAATGGCTCACCACAGGCCCTATGGACATATTCACCCCCCGACTCCTCCACCGAGAGCTCAGGATCCTCTATAAAAGGTGTGAGATGGAGTCCCGAGATGCACAAGGCAATTGGAGCCGATCTCCAACAGAGCCTCAACTTTAAGAATACATTGTTAAACTTCGAGGTAGCAGACCCCATGGAGACGAAGGAAAGGAAGAAACTGAAAGAGCGAGAGGCGAAAAAGGCAAGCCGCACGAACAAGAAAAACCAGTCAAAAGGCATGGTAGTTCAATTGCCAAGAAAGTTCGACCCCCATATTATATCGAGTGACGGCGAAGATATCGCGATGATCGATTGTACAGGGGAATATGGTACCGGCATGGTTTTTGGATCGAAGACGAGATACACACCGGACATCAACTACGAACACGAGCGATTCGATATGCCGAACACTCAAATGAAAGGCCAACCAACCTCTCCTCCTAAAAACAACCACGAAAAGGACGAGTGGGACAACCATGTTACTTTCGACTTGAGGTCTCCATGGGATGTACTGTCGTCAAAGAAGGCTCCGAAGTTGTCCCCTAGAAAGTTCGGATCGCCCCGGGCCAAACAGGTCGATGAAGGTTGGGGTGCCGACATCACTGAGACCTCCCCTCCCAAAAACAACCACAAAAAGGATGATTGGGAAAGACATGTTGCTTTCGATCTGAGGTCTCCGTGGAATTCATCGTCGTCGAGGAAAGCTTCGAAGCTGTCTCCTAAGAAGTTCGAATCGCCCAAGGCCAAACAGAGCGATGAAGGTTGGGGTGCCGACATCGCTGAGACCTCTCCTACAAAGCAATGGTTCCAGCAATACATGGCCAAGAAAAATCCTACAAATCCCGTGCGGAATATATCATCTACCAAGGTGGAAGGCCCACCACCTGCATTCACAACAAATGCCAGTGTCCCCCGAGGAGGTCGTACTTTGGTCGCAACACCTCGAATCGGCTGGGGAGAATGGTCAACAACTTCAGGTTATGATCACACATCTACTACAACTACTTCAAGCCACTCAGTGCAGCGCTCACCTCGGCCAGACTCGGACTGGGGCAAGGATTTAACCACGAAGTTGGTTGGCCCCGATGATGGTTTGTTGGAAGGTCCTGTCCCGTACTCATGGCGTCGAAACATGGAAGACGAATCCATACACTCCAACGCTGGATCCAGCACCGCGCCAGCCCCTTCAGATGCTGGTCCACGGATTTCGTGGGGAGCTGGCAAAAAGCAAAGCGGACGAAACACTCTGCACGCGCGTAGTCCCAGCACTGGTTCCAACTACCGAGCACCATATGTGGAGGACGCATCTGATTCGACCGATAGAAAACACGGATCAAAGAACAAAACACCGGGATTTAAGCGTTCAGAAAACGACAGCGACAGCTCCACAACTTGGGGTCGTAAACTGAAGGGGAATCATGGTACTGTCCCAGCGAAAGAATCTTGGGATCGCAGTGGCTATTATGAGAACAACGACACGTGGTTGAACGCGACAACTTCCAAAGGAACTAGGTATCGAATGTCCGAGTATTCAACACCCACATCGTGGAGGGATGTATGACAAGAGTGGCAATGCTACGGGACTGGAACCTGCATATGTGGTTATGGCGGACAAGACGGGGCTTGGTTCGACCAGAGGACGATAGATAGATGTCAGCGCAGCCTATGAATCCACCTCATATTGCTGATATTGCCTTGACCCAAACCCAGTGTGTGTATGCATCTATCAACCACCAACAGAATGCCGGAATCTTGTGCATAGCGCACTTGCTGAGGTGCGTTCTGCTTCGACGCGGGCTTTGGGGGCGGGTTCGCGCACCCATCGCGGGGTGAAACGAGGGGTGTCGAGATAAGATGACGATAAATTGAGAACGTCAATTGCTTTGCCATGTATGCCAGCCTCCTCACCAGGCGCGCAGTACGGCAACTGGGCCAAATTGGATCCATAGACAGACGGGATCCACAGCGACAGACGTGTTTCTCCCGGACGCTATTTGTCGAATGCAGCGTGCCTGATCGCGACATGCAAACCTCCGTTCACGTTCAGCTTTCGCATCGCGAGCGCGTCCATGTGGCCTGTGTGGTGCATTGTCCAAGATTGACTGCCGTCCAATTAGTCCCCAGGCATTAATTGGGCGGGGGTGCAAAAACAAGGTTGGAGGCTGTGGGTGGGGAATAAGGACGCGATGTGCCCCCACGCAGGGAGACGCGCCAGACCAAATGGGACACGCGTGCCTTTGACATCTATAGTCCGCCGCCCTCCCCCGTTGTTTGTCATTCAAACACTACCGCAACCACCTACACCTGTTGTTGCACTTCACCACCACTATCCAGCTTCCACTCTCTGCTGCAGTCTTGCTTTTGCTGCTACTCCGCTCTTGCTACCCGCAGTGTCTCTACGACTCCACCATCTGCTTGCCGCACTGGACATTTGTTGTTGTTGTTGTTGTTCTGTCGACTAGCCGAGCATATCAACCGCCTCACCGCAACTCCAACCGCACACCACGCTTCTGCCCCACTTCCACGCTCTGTGATTGCAAAACTCGTTTTGTGAGCCCTTCAGCTTCGTGTACAGCTTTCCGAAGAGCTTCAGTGTGCAATTCGCTTTCGATCCACCATCCTTTCGTCCCGTCTTCGTAGAAACGCTTCGAAATGGCTTTGTTTACACGCCAACCCTTTGCCGAGATCGGTTCGCCGCGTCTCCAGGCACTCCACAGTGCAAAGAATAGGCAGAATGCCATCTCATCGTCCTCTGCCACTTTCACTCCTTTCAAGCCAACTTCGCCATCCTCGACTGGCAAGCGTCGCGCCTCTGATATCTTCGACGACTCTGCTGACTCGGAAAACGTGGATCCCTCTTCCTTCAACTCGCCCGCTAAAAAGTCCAAAATCTGCGATGCCGGTTACGTGAAGCCTGCAAGATTTTCTCTGATGTCCTCGCCGGTGAACAAGGCCGGTCCCACGAGCTCCTCTCCAGTGGCTTCCGTCCGCAAAGCACTATCCTCGCCAAACACTGCCCACTCCACCCCCATCAACCACAGCCGTGGCTCTCCCAAACACAAACGCGTCGGTCTCCTGTCCAAGCGTCGCACTTCTGGCTCGCCCTTCCGCCGTGTGGATCCACCATCTTTCTCTACCCAGAGCAGCCCGGCTCTTCCCTTCTCCATCGATGCGGCTTTGAGCGGTACCATTCCCAACTACACACCCAAATCGACGCAAGCCACGCCTATCACCACCCCAAGCCATACCCCAGTCGTGGATGAATCAATGCCCAAGTCCTGGTTCTTCGAGATCCACGAAGATACACAGGAGCAAGAAGCCGCAAACATGATGGAACACTCTGCCGCAGTTCTCGACATCAGCTCCGACGACGACTTTGAGACTAAACAGTTGAACGAGGACCGTGGTAAAGAGAACGTACCACCGCCTGAATTCATGCCTGCACAAGCGAACACACAGCAACAGGCCGATGGTGCCATGGAGGCTGTTGACCGAGACGTACCTGCAGAGCAGCATGTCAAGCTACCTCGTCTCCGAAAGATTGCGCAGGATGCCATGGACGAGGACCGGAAACCCCTAGGCGATCTACCCGCCACAGAGTTCTATGGGGAAGGGTGCGATGCGACCAGCTACATTACTGTCGAGGCAGGCTTGGAGAAACCTAGTGGACTATCCAAGGAGTTCGACTTCAACTGCCCAACCCCAGAGAAGAATGAAGACAAGAGCACTGCCCTACCAATGACTGCCTCTGCCAGTGTGGAAGTAGCACCCCACACAGAGGAAGGCATTGAGATCTACAATGATGAAAGCGCGGTCGCTCCTCAAGAAGCAGTTGCACCTACAGAGACTATCCTTCCCTCGGAACCCCAACATGTCATAACCGAGGCTCTTTGAGCGTTTGTTTTCTTCTTGAAGCATGTACATGAAGCGTTCACGCAAAGCGAAGTCTGGTGTCAATGTTAAGACCTGTTACTCGTATATGGTCCGGCGCTTATTTTCTTCACTTCGAATACCAATTCTCTTGTTGTGGGCTTCCGGCGGCCGGTAGGTCTCGAGGGTCAAGGGCGGCGTTTAGGTCTTCCCGTTACGGTCGAGCTTTTTTTTCTTTTTCTTTTTTTCTTAAGGTGATGCTGTAATGATGGGAAAGGGTGTTCAAAGGGTCTGATTTTATGATACCTCTTTCTTTTTGGCCGGGTCTCAATGATCAAATATACAAGTCATTATCTGGCTGTTACGCTTATACATGACGAAGCAACACATGTTGACGCCGTCCGTTTCTCCCCAGACTTGACCTTTCATGCAGTGTTGTTGTTTACCTCTGTGTGTTTGTTGTGATGCTGTACCGACCGTTCCTGCGACCACCCGTGGATTCACAACACGCGTATACGTGAGACAGCATTCCGACAGTTATATTAACTCAGTCACATCCACGGCGCCTACACAAACAGCACCGGCTAAGGATTCCCGACGGCGCAGACATGAAGTGCAGAAAAATAAGGCCAACCCCTCCTACAGCCTGATGAGTGCGTAGGTAACAAGCCTTTCACACCACCAAGTCGAAATAGGGAACTCTACTCGCTCGGTCTTTGGGGGGAATCCACCACAAGATCACTACACTCAACGTAGCTCTTTCTCACCCTCTTTTAGAAGCCCGAAGCTTAGCACAGAACACAAGTTAACATTAACCTCAACGTGAGAACCCATTTGGGGAAGTATTCGAGTGAGACTGAGGAAATAAGCCCAGAGGGAAAACAACCGAAGTCCGGAGAAGAAGAGCAGAAAGTTCGTTTCACTAGAGGGACAGGCACCAATCAGCTTGCGATCCGATCAAGCTTAACTATAATGCGGCAATCCGAGCTTCGTTTTTTGGTGGAGTGGGAAGCAACTTGCGCGCCTAGGCGGGCGCAGTCAGCATTTGGGGGCGGCGGGGCTGAGACACTCGGAGAGAGAGGGAGAAGGTCGGTGAAAGGAGAGATTGCTTGGATGGATGGATGGATATTGGGTGAGCGAGCGCTGTTCCCATGCACTGCCGCAGCATGCACATCTTTGTACGTGTAGGGAAATGCAAGGTGGCGTTGATGAGTTGAAGAAGTAGTTCGTGTTTTGCTGCGTACAACAGTAGTTGTTGATCTTTGGAGACGCAGCAGAATGGACCGACCAATAGCAACTTGTGATATCCTACAAACCCTTACCCCCAAAGCTGAGCCACAGAGAGGCGCGAAGATCAAATTGTATTTGTTAATGTTCATCGCCCGCCCCAGACCTTTTTTGTGCATCAATAAGACTGCTTTTCGTATAACGTACCCGTTGTAGGAAGCTGTTCGTTCCGCCGCATACTGCTGTGCATGTATAAGCTTCCAAAATAGCATACCGAACGAATCATGCGGTTCCACAATAACACGATGAACACTCGGAAACAGACAGACTAATTGCTCAAAGGGTAACTTCTCACTTGTTGTGGGTGATGCGCACGGGGCGTCTAAACGGCCGGCCGCTCTCTCTCCGTGTACCCTGCGGACATTGCGCGCCTGAACTGACACGAAAGAGTAGCCAAAGAAAAATAGGGAACAGACGCCGCTGGCAAAGTCCGGAGGGTGGTGAGCAGAAAAAGATGGTTCTGTATTTAATATCGTGGCATTCCAGCCCGTGCTGTTCTTGTGCTTCGTATTTTTCTTGAATTTCACATCAACAAGGATCATTTTTTGGGGTCGATTTCTGCTCTTTTCGATATAAGTCTTTTTGGTCTCTCCATTTATTTTTTTGGTTGAACCATTTACATTCGTTTGAAAATAATTCACGTTCGATACCTTTCGCCGCTGTTCCAAAATCCTTCTGTCATCACTTTTCATATCGACTTCTCTTGATACCCACGGTTCGAATATAAAAATGAGATCTTCGCTTGCTTTGTTGGCGTTGGGCGGTTTGAGTGCCGCAGCGCCGTTGGAGGTGCGCAAAGAAGGTATGTCCCCAACATCGTTTACCCTACCGAATAAACACGACAATATCTATGTATCGGCGTGCTGACTATATGTGGGAACAGCCGTATCTGCCGCCGTCTTCGACAAACTCGCCTTCTATGCGCAGTACTCCGCTGCCGCATACTGCAGAGGCAACAACGATTCCCCAAGCTCGAAGCTTGTCTGCCCGGAAAAGAACTGCGACAGGGTCGAGGCAGCAAAGACCAACACCACACTTGAGTTTGAAAAGTAAGCAGTCTTACATAGCCCTGGATTCCGAATCCAGAGGTACAACTTGGCGTGAACTTTCAAACTAACTCACAGTCTACAGCTCTGCAAAGACGGATGCCACAGGATTCGTATCCACCGACTCCACCAACAACCTGATCGTCATCTCCTTCCGGGGTTCGCAATCTTCCGAAAACTGGGCCGCAAACTTCGATTTCGGCCTTGAAGACACGTCCGTCTGCAAAAGCTGCAAAGCCCACGGCGGCTTCCTCGAATCATGGGGCGAAGTCAAGGACAAGGTCCTAAAATCCGTCAAAGACGCCCAGACCAAGAACCCAAAATACAAAGTCATCGCAACAGGCCACTCGCTCGGCGGCGCAATGGCGACGCTCGCGGCATCTTCGCTGCGCTCCAGCGGCACCACGGTCGACTTGTACACGTACGGTGCGCCCAAGGTTGGAAACGAGGAGTTCAACGAGTTCATGATCAAGACCGACAAGGGAAACACGTTCCACTCGGTTCACAACAAGGATATCGTGCCTACGCTGCCGCCCAAGATTCCCATTCTGTCGCCGTTCGAGGTCAACGAGCCCGTGTACTTCATCGAGAGTGGAAATGTGCCCGCTAAACAGGGCGATGTTTCGCTGTACAAGGCTGGAGAGGATCACGATAACTCTGGCAGCAGCATGGATGCACACGGGTGGTACTATGGAGAGATCTCGGCCTGCGAGGGTAGTGATTAGGTTCAAAATCCGGAGAGTACGTGTGTGTGGGATGTTGGGAGTGGTGAAGGTGGGACTCTGATGACTTTTTTTCTGGTACATACTTTTGTTTACATCTCTTCGCTCGGGCCGAGACCGTGTTCGAATCCGATATTTTATTGATACGGGCGAGTTCTTTCTTGCTCTATCGATGGGGTTGATACTGTTTGCTCCGAGTGATGATCATCTGCGAATTTAATGAATGAATGGTGATCTCAGGGAACCGACAACAAAAGAATACCGCACCGCCTGGACCTGAAAATTACACGGATGAACCGGAACATTGCACCCATGAACTGGTACATACTTTCCATCTGACTCTATAGCTGCTGGCCTTACCACCAACACAGACAATTCTGGTCTAAACGGTATGCATCCCTATACACCTACAAGACGGGGACGCAGATCAACGGAGGGAACCGTTCGTATTGGCTGGATAATGTCCCATCTCAAAAAGGGTGTAATATGGTCATCGTCACATCATAACTAAAAGAAGCCTATCAGATGAGCTGATAGGCATCAGTTGTTACGAAAGCGGCAGGCTGTTTACATACCACCTACAGGGGCTTCGCACATCCGGAAGCAGGATACCGCGAGGGTTGGTGAGCCGGCATTGACTGGTACACCACGATTGCAACCCATCTCCTCGAGGGCTGTTACAGTTGGCTATGGTATAGCAACTACACTAAGCTCCTGATATGTTTCCAATGTTCGGATACCCCGTATATCTCGCGTGGTCAAATAGCCGGAGAATAAGGAATGAAGTGCATGAACGCCAGCATAACATGCTGATGTGTAGTGTCTAGCGTGCCGGGTTTCATGCGAAAGACTTGTAAGGTTCGATATCGTAGACAGTAGAGGAAGAACCGCTGAGCTGGTGTTGAGCAGCACAGAATTCGATTGTTCAATGTGCTTTCCGGCAGGAGGAGTTCGCATTGAATTTGCGTGTCGAACTCAACGTACTATCTCAGCGCGTCCAAGGCTTCAACCTAACACCGTTACCGCGTGGAGTTATTCACTTACCCACTCAGTCACTCAACATAGGGAGAGATGGCAATCAGTGAAGAGGTCCGTGAAACGGATATTGTGCCGATGCTGTCATTGTGCATCCGAGTGTCGCGGAAGGTTTTGGAGGATGATGAGTGTGGATGCTTTCTGGCGAGAAACAGTGGGGAAAATTTGGCGGTGGCGTTGGAAGGTTCCGTCATGGTGCCCACAGCAACATCTCGGTTGTCATGATGCGGTTTGACGATCCACCGAGGTGTGGAGGAAGATTGCAAGGGATGGAAGGTTGCCTATTATTGATAATGAACCGAAAGGATGGATCCGGGTCGTGTGCGCGTTCTAGATGGAAAGATGGGACGTCGAATGTTACTGCAATGGGAGATTAAAATATCGAATCCAAACCGCTTGACGTGATATTGCAAGTGCTCGCATCGAGATATTGCTCCCTCATCGACCTTTGATGAAGCAATGGGACGTGCTGGGTTGAGCAAGTACCGCAACGGTCTCCTTCTCCTGACAGCACACAGCGTGTGTATCATAGGCAGAGGCAGCGTCGAAAAGGCATGGCATCGGGTACCTGCACCGCCGTAGAAGGTCGACTGGCTTGACAGAAGACGGTCAGAGGCAGGGGCTCGCGCTCCAACACCGGTAGGGCTGAAGGGTAGCTGGCTGCCAGCCTTGTCGTGTTGGATCCATCCATCGTCACAATTGACGTCGTTCTGGGGCGGCGAACAGGCGAACAGCGACCGCGGCATGCAAAATCCGCAGTTCGCCTTTTGCCCTGCATAATGCAAAAGCGGGCTGGTTCCACTCAACGGTCATACCTTGTCACTTAGACTGGAACAGGCTTAGCGATGCCGTCAGAAATGGTGATCCCTTCCGCAAGCACTCGGTGATATGACGTTGAAAGTGCACAGATGGCCAAAGGGGAGTTTTCGCAAAGATTCCCATGTCGACCATGGCGGCTCCCCAACAAATGCGTGGGTGCTTGTGGAATCCTGCCTCCGCTCGGGAGCCATTTCGCCACAAACCACCCAATGAGAAGGGCAAAGCTCTGCGCGTCCGCGTCATGTTCAACCATCGTTTGGCGGGTGCCCTGACTGTCGTCCAATTCAACAACCAAAGAAAGAGGCCACGTCGTTCCGCGCTCCCCTCGAGTGGTTGGGAGGGGATAGTGTGCAAACTCCAAGGGCGGCATGATGTCTTTGAAACATCGTCGTTTTTATGTCATCACCAGGGTCGTTACCACACAACCGAACTACTCCAACAAAACACAACCATCTGTCCTCTCGTACCCACCAAGGCCGGTAGCAATCCCAATCCACCGCTGCTTCAAGGCTACAGGCATCCAATGACGTCTCCCTCTTTTGCTGATCTCATGGGAAACTCTGAGGGCCAAATCTAAATCAAATCTAAACACCCTGTGCGCCCAAGCACGGCTCCACTGGACCCTTTTTCCACAACGCCGCATGCTTGGCTCCAGTTTGAGGCCCTCGATGCTCACGAGTCTCTTCATCCCTGCCGAATCGATGGCTTCTGATACGCTGTGAGCATGTCAGAAGTCTGCTATGACAAGTCTGGAAGGACCCTGTAGATCTCTGGCTGCATCCTCTAACTTTTCTGGGGCCGCTTGGAGTGTCCATCAGTGTCGATCGATACCGTGGAAAAGCAGAGGGGTGTTGTGCGGCTTTTTGGCTCATGGTCTTGTGGCCTATGCACGCCAGAAATCATATTTATCAGCTCTCCCCCCTCCCTTCACTTCACCATCACAACAACTTCAATCAGCTACAACCAACAACACACAAACGCTTTCCTCATTTCTCTATCTCCTTCAAAGTCTTCTTCTTCTACATACATTAGCGGCTTCACCAAAACAAACCACCCCATCACCATGTCTTCCTCCAACAGCGTCTACATCAACGAGAAGTTCTCCGAGCCCATGGCTGCTCAACACGAGTTCGCCAACAACTTCGACATGAACGACCCCACCGCCGCTATGTCGAGTTATGCTCGGTATGTACCTACCCTCATCCTCGTTGCCTACCTGAGCCCAGACTAACTCATCCTTATAGCATCATGCACGAACACACCAAGAAGCAGCTCAACAGTGCTACGAACTCCGCACGCCGTCGATCCGAAGGATCCACTTCGTCGTCAACCTCCCTCCAGACCGTGAGCTCAGCATCCTCATAGTGTCTTGATGGCACATCCATGGCGCTTTTCAACCTCGATTTCTATTCCAAAGCACATGCCTTTACTGTCGTCCGCGACGCAGCTGGAGATTCGACGAACGATTAAACTATTATTTCTTTTGGCTGGCATCCACACGCAATGCCAGCCCTTCTTTTACGAATGCGATGTCATGGAACCGGCGTTTGTACATTATTTTGTGTGGCGGAAGCGTGAGCGATTGCTCTCAGGAGGAGCCAAGCTTGGCGTTATTTAGCTACATTGTTGATCGTTTTTGTTAACGATATCCCATATGAATTCTGTTGTCGATCTACTCTTACTAGAGAGTAGTCAAAACAATCCTTCTGATCCGTGTGTTCATTTAACTTGTGCTCGTTACCACCAATCATGATCGAGTGTTTACCTCCTCATCAATAATACCATGTTGACACGCAATGAGCCTCGAAGATCACATCTTCTAACCGCCTATCTTGTATCACATCTGCGAATCTATCGTTTGACTCATTCTTACACACACTAGCGTACATGACATTGCCCACACCCAACAAGCGCAATCATCCACCGTCCACCACGTTCATTGCCCCCTTCCAAACACCACCCATCAAATTCCCTCCATGAACCCACGACACCCACACCCCTGTCTTTCTCCAAACTCACTTTCTACCACCCTCGGGCCCATCACGTCACAAAAAAACAAAACACGTCAGTATGACCGTCCCACCTCATCCACCGACTCAAAACCCAGCCTTCCCCTTGCTTCTAGCGCACCTACCCTGCCGACTCCCCACGCGAACACCCACCGCGACTGTTCCTTGACCAAACGCCGAGAGGTGCTGTGCGTAGCCGCGCCAAGGTCACGCGTTGCAACACGGCTGGCAACAGGTACACGCGGCTCAGCAACTCGTTGGTTGATGTTGCTGTCTTAGACGAGTCAATATCGGGGAATGAATGGGACATGTGTGGTATAGCACTCGATGGATTCTGTGATTTTCTTTTCTCTCGACGAAGCGATTCGAGATACCATGCTTACCTTTCTTTCTTGCATATCCACAAAAAAAGGGCGCAGCGCAAGCGCAAAGCATCATCACCCTCAGTCCCCCCCTAACTTTTTCCCATCCATATTCGTGTTTAGCTAACCCGTTTTGTCTTTCTCCGTTGTGTTTGGATTTCTTCATGCGTTTAGTTTGAGTGGAACTCGTTAGAATAGGTACCTTTGTCTTGGATATTTGGGAAAGGGTTCACATGTTCGGAGACTCTAGCCGACCAATCATGACTGAAGGGAGCGAAGAGCTTCTGCGCAGCTCCGATCCCGATCTATAAGTGGGTGGGCCTCGGAGGATGCAAATACACCGGTAGGGTACGTAGGCCTGGATTGTAGGGAAGATTTGAGTAGAGGGAAGTGGCAAGGGGAGGACGATGGGATGGGATGTTGGGTTTGCGGTGTTTACTTGGTAGGGTTGGCTTTAGACTTCCTTTTTCTTTTTCTTTTCCTTTTTTGAGATCGATTTGTCGTCTTTGATACGTTTCTTTTTTTCAAGCACCTTCATATTCTCTCTCCTTCTTCCTCTTATATCCACACTGGTCAGATAGAATCAAGAGAGACATTAGAAGACTGAAATGACTGGAACAATAAACATGATTCCAAACAACACCCGACAGCAACATAAACAATCTAAGAATGCGGAAAAGTTGCACGACCCATCCATCCATCCTGCAAGACTACGTAGACCAAGACACCAAACCGTGACCGTTCAATCGCGGGAGGTAAAGAAGAAGAAGAAAACGACATGATCCAACGACGCAATCACTGCGTAGTTACAAACAAACAAAGAAAGAATCGTTCGATCGCGATGGATGAGAGAAGGATAAATAGGTGGGTCGCTGGGTTCTCCAGAGTCCAGACCAAATGAAACTGTGGATATATGGAGCAAGCAGACCCACTAGTACATGTTCTACTCGTATACGAGAGAGAGAGAGAGATATCGATCGCTTGGTTGATGTTGAAGAGTCATGGCATGTGTCATTTCACGATGGTTTTGTCTTCTAATGTGATGATATTTTTTTCCGTGGACATGGCTATGACAAAAGAGAAAGAAAAAAAGTAAATACATGATAACGTACAAACAACGAAGAGATAGAAACTAGGTACCACGCTAGAGAGCGAAGGATATTCTGTCTAGGTGTGGATATACACCTTTTTTTTTTGGTGTGGTCTAAATCCTAGCTTTTTGGCTTTCCGATCCTCTTTTAGTACAGGGACATCTACTCTTCCTCGTCTGTGTCCTCTCCATCCTCCTCATCGTCGCTCTCATCATCTTTACGGTAAAGGAAATACTGCACAAATACAAACGCATCCAAAACCAATGTGCCGAAACTCCCGAGCAACCAGCTGAGATTCACAGCAATGTATCTTCCGTAGATGGATCTCGCCTCTCCCGGTTCGCAGTCTTTCGGGACGCTGCAGACAGGTTTGTACGCGACGATGCTCAGCACATAGGTGAGGTTACCAATGCATGCGAAAAGAAAGAAGAGCATAGAGATGCCGTCGGTGGATTTGCGGCGGTAATTGAGGAGAAGCTGTGGCACGCGGGAACCTAGATAGAGGGCTGTACAGATGTATCCGAAGATCTGGCCCCAGAGGTTGAATTGGAGAGATGAGGAAGGGGAAGATTGAGGTGGTTCGTTGGTGTCTTTAGAGCGGGTGGTCGAAAGCCACCATCCCAGCACGCCCGCTGCACAGACAAGCAAGATGGTGCCGAGATTGAAAGCGACTGTTTGCGCCGTCGACTGGGTGGGCTGTCTCCGGGATGCCTTTTTGAAACCGGGGGCTTCATCCGAGTCGGAGTCAAGCAGTGGGGTTACGGGAGAAAGATGGCGGCCGTCTATAGACAGAAAGCGTTCGCGAAAAGAGTTTTGGGAAGAGGAACGGCGCCTATCTATGTCTGCAATTGCGGGTGGGCTGTTCATGCCATCACCGCGTGGGAACGAGTGATAGCCATTCCCGTTGGCGGACGACGAGCCATTCGTGGGCTGCCGTGTGTCGGAGAGAAGTGGTGAATCTTCAGTTTCTTCGTCGCTACTATCCTCGTCGGATGTCTTGACTTCGTCCTTCAAGGTAAAGCCTTTATACCAGAAGCATTGGCTGAGTAAGACAATGTCGGCGAGCGTATAGTATACAGCTAGGATGGTCATGGTGGGTAAAACGCCCTGCAACACAGCGCCAAAGATGTTGAAGAAGTCTCCGAGAAGCCATATTATGATGAATACCACCGAAAGACCGTCTGCGGAGCTCCTTCTCCAGTTCTCAATGATTTGAGGTGAAAAGACAACTGCATGAGATTAGTCTATACTTCAGGTACGCACCAAATGAGGCACCCTGGAAATATCCTTGTGTGACATACCTATCCAGCATGCAATGGATACAGATCCGCATATTTGACTGATGGCATCTATATCAAGCCGCAATCCTTGGGATGGAGGGAACATGGCGCCGATGACGTAGTTTGTCCACTTGATGAGTCCGGTTGAGGAGTTGAAAGGCTTGGTCCAGTCGAGAGTTTACAAGTTGTGATGTGCTCTAGATGAAGTACAGAAGAGAAGGATTTGCTTGTAGCAAATACAAATGATTGATGGATTGTGCTGGACAAGCTGGAAAGTGCAGCGTGGACGCGTTCTTAGCGCAGGTCAGACAATGAAGCGCCAAAGTTGTCTATATGTGCCCCGAGCGGTGTCAAACGTCTCTCTCGAGTCAATGCGGTATCTGGGCAACAATATGGTGGTAAGGATCGTCCGGAAGGAAATGCGAAGAGAGAATGGATGGTGCCGTGTAACAACCAAGACGAGCAAATCATCCATCCCAAGTCTTGGAGGCTGAAATTTCAATGTTTGAGGTAATGCCAAGCCATCATGTCTGGGGAAGAACCATGCTTGCAGGTGGCGAGCCTAACTGCTTTTGGCTTAAATATCACATCCACCACGTTCATGGATTTGGGGGAAATCAATCTTGATTTGAATCTTGTTCACTTCATCAATCATGCCGGGCAAGTAAGTCTATGTAACAGAAAATCCAAGGCTACTGTTTGCCTACATCCCGTTGCTTTTTTTGAAAGAGTCCCAGGCTTCATTCAGCGTTGCGAACACCGCTGCACTAATCATGCGTTGCTCCGTCGTGGCAGTTTGAGAGATCTGATTTCCAGTTAGCTGCTGCAATGTACGGTGGCAGTCGGGTATTTACCTTGTCAGGGTGCACTTTTGCTATTGCCTTCATGTATATGATCTTGACCTTGTTCGGCATGACCAAGTCACCCATGTTGACCTTGTTCCACCCTGCTTCAGGCCATAACACCTTATCTAGTGACCCAAGCAGGGCACGTAAGTTGTCGGCTTTGGTGCCGCGCCACGCTGCCAGTCTTGCATCGACTTGATCCGATAATGCAAATTTCTCATCGTCAGCCTTCTCTGCAGCCACATTTGCTGCCTTGAGCCGTTTGACAGCCTCGGAATCTGCATTCGAGGAACCGCCGCCCAGAGCGGAAAGAGCAGTCGGTTTGGGGGCAGCCGGCTTTCGCACCGGAGCGCGTTTTGCTGGTGCAGGGCTGGACGTCTGGTTACCACCGCCAGCAGCTTTCTCACAACGATTGCGGCCCTGAATACTAATCGAACCTCCCACCCCGGCTTCAACTGCCTCCCTCCATACTTTGCCAGCATCAGTCCATTTCTCCATATTCTCGAGCGCCTCGGCTTTGCGCATCAGCGCCTTCCCATAGAAGTCTTTCATATCTTTGTCCCCTTCAGTCCCACCCACAGCAATCTTTTCTCCATCTCCCCTCGATACACCAATGATAGCCAAAGCAGCATCTGCGTCAACAATTGCGGCTTTGGGATCCCCGATCTTGATATTCGTGACCGCGCGGTTGCAGAGGACTATGATGGCGACCGGATGTGTTTGAGGAAGAGGCCCTAGAGCCGACGAGTAGGCTGTGTGTGCTGAGGCATAGTCTCCACGCTTGAAAGCTTCGGACCCTTTTTGTCTGTAGGAAGTGGAAGAATTCAAGGCAGAGCTTGATGCAGGTGGAATCTGGCGAGGCGGAGCTTTCGGTCTTGGCGGCGTAGCAGCGCGTACCGGGCTTTTTGGTTTTGGCGCTGATGTGGCTGATGTGGTTTGAAGAAAAGGGTTGTTGGAGCGCATAGATGTCGGTTGTCGCGAATTGGACGGAGAGGGAGCAGGTTGATCCGAAGAAAATAAATCTGGCTGGGGTTGCGGTGTCGCCTTCTTCCGTCGGGCAGGGCTGACGTATGCTTGAGCACTTTGCCCTTCCAGATCTTGACGGCTTAGTTTCGAGGCAGGACGTCTATCGGTGCTCGCAGGCTGTTGTCTCAAAGCTGGAGATTGGGATGAAGCGCGGTTTGGTAGACCAGACGGTGACTGCTCGCGGAATCCGGCTTGTTCACGTTTTGGGCGTGCAGGGAAGGGCTCTGGTTCTTGTCGGCTTCGGGTCGTTTTGGTAGGTTTGGAAGGACGCCCGCCGCCCTCCAGCATCATGGCTTCATCAGTGGCAGTAGATCCAGAAACTTTCTCCCGGGCTTTTCCTGATCCATCTCCTTGTGCGTCTCTCATCCATTTAGGAACGTTTGGATCGCCACCTTCCTGTTGGAAATCTGCGACCGCTTTCTGTACTTTCTTTTGACTAGTCTTCCAAAACGAATTAGCAGACTTCAAAAAGGTGCTGCCCAGTTCGTTCGCAATCTGCGCCACGTCTTTCTCTTGTGACTGGCCATCTGCCTTCCGCTGTCCAGACCGACTTCTTTCCTCGTCGGCACGCATCCAAGCCGGCATCGATCCACCGGCACTTGGTTCGCGGGTTCCCCGGCCTGAGGTGCCATTGCCTCGCCGTGAACGATCCGCCGGTTCATCCGGTGCCCGACGAGATCGATCGTGGCTCCGCTCTTCAGTTTTGGATTTTGCTTCCGCATGTGCCTGGTTCAACAGCCACCCCACAGCTGCCTGCACGTCGAGACCTGACTCAGTGGTTGCCAACGCAATCGCTGATCTATCTGGAGGGAATCCCATGTCAACAAGCTCAGCCACAGCTTTATCATGCGGGCTGCTGGCAGCAGGCATTGGACGCGTTTCTATTTCATAGTCGTCTTCTACCACAGGCGGTGATGGCTCAGGCTTTTTTTCAAATTCGGACACTGGCTTTCCCAATAGACCAAGTATATCATCGTTGCCATCCTCTGTAGCGCTTGGAAGTGGTGGAGCTGGTGCGGACTTCTGTGCCAGTTGACTCAATCCGAACATGTCATCGTCCTCATCGTTTACGAAAGCGTTGGAAGCAGGTGGAGCCGGCGTGTTACCACGGGAGTTTTGTGCACTGTATGCAGGGGTACTACGATTGCTGCCGACCGAAGGTGGAGGGAAGTGACTGGAAGCATCTACGGGCGCAGTAGAGTTGAAGGCTGAGAGAAGATCGTCATCTACAGGCGGCGATTTCATGGGTCGTTTGGAAGTTGTGTCTAATCCACTGAAGGGCTTGTTAATTGTGTGCGACAATGTCTGTCTCCCGGGAGGGAGGGAGGAAGAAGCCGCTGCTGGTTGAGGGGTATTCTTCCCACTGCCACTCCCCAGATTGTCCCAGGCGCTCGCATCTGTCCCATATTGAGCTTCATATTGCTTTCTCCTTTGCGCTTCCTGTAGAGCCTTCTCCTCTTGTAATTGTTTTTGCCTTTCTTGGAGGGACAGATTGCTTGTGGCAGGCTTCGAGGTATTGAGAGACACAAGACTGGCAAAGCTATCGTTGGCCGGAGTCGCTGGCTTGGAGGGAGCTTTGAAATTGCGGCTGGCTGCGGAGAGGGCACCTGCGCCTGATTGTTGTGCGGAAAGAGGCGTGGAGCGACCGGAGAGCTGCGGTGTGGGGGTTTGGCGGAAAGGAGGGAGAGCAGCTGGAGTATTTGAGGTGTATTGTGGTTGTTGTTGTTGCTGTTTGGAGGATGCAGACCAGTCAAGGCCTGCGAGATCATCCATTTCGATTCGCCTGGGTAGTGGTATCGGCTGGGAGGATCTTCTGGAAAGCTTGTTATCTCATTGACGATTGACTAGGTGTCGAGTGTGAACGGTGTGTATTGCGACTACTCCACCATCGCGTGGAGGCGCCACAGGGCACCAGCCACATATCCTGATTGGCTGACCGCTTGGCTGCTCACTCGGAATCACTCCGAGCTTCAAAAAGAAAGAGACAAATAAGATATGTGATGCTTGTGTCGCATAAGTTGGGTATTGACAGCCAGGGATATTAATTCAATGGGCATGTAATAGGCAAGTGTACATGTTGACCAAACACAAACACATGTATGCGAAATCACAGTGACGTTCGTGCATTCACTATGTTGTATTCCATGTTATCCACGGGCAGACGCACGTAGCATTCATTCAATTGAGTTGGAAAGACAGGCAATGGGATTACTAGGCTGCTACGGGCTTCATGATGCATGTATCTACACTAGACCTGCCATCGTATCCAGTACACACACGCAGAGAGATACACGGCAAAGCTTCCAACAGGGCTGGGCAAGCGACATGGCATACATTATGTATTGGGCTGTAGAGGAGATGCAGCCCCTCAGTCTGTTCGGAAGCCGAAGGCGAGTTCTCTCCACGAGTGGACGTGTGGCAGGCCTCTCCCTGTCTGACGAGATGCATGAGCAGGCGAGTCAGCACGGTCTTTCTCTGGCGGATTGGCCCGTCTTCCGCGCCATCCCCCCGAGTCAAGGCTGGAGTCATGGTCAATGGGTGGTACTCGGGCGGCGCCAAAGTATAAAAGCCCAAGTCTGTATGGCACAATCATGGCGCGAGAAAAAGATGTCGAGGGCAGAAAAGAAAGGGTCCGCGGACTAAGGAAGCAGAGGGATCGATCCAAGGCGTTCCTTTTCAACGGAGACGCTTCCATGCAGCAAGCAGCATGCATGCATCATGGATTGGCAGAGTTGTTGGACGAATGCAAATTGCAGCTTCGGCTCGTCAGTCACAGAAGCGGGCTACAGGGCGAGGGCACACTCGACACCCTGGACTCTCTGGAGCAAGGCCCACGAACGGCAGCGCGATAGGAGGTGGTGGGCAGTTGGGTCAATACGCAGTCGGCTTTCCGCCAGTCTGGATTTCCAAGAGCGTTATTGCCGAGCTAAAGGCACCCATCGCCCGTCCTCTGGCATCATCGCAGGGCCCGGTGCAGGATGGACGCGAGGCAGAAACATTGGTGGTGGTGGTGGTCGACTTGACAGTTTGGGGGTGAAACTGCATTGTTTTGGGCCTGCTGTCCTGCCGTCCTGCCGTCCTGCTGATCTCCATCTCTCTCTCTCTTTCTGCCTTTCTCTCTTTGGTGCGTCTGCTCTGGATTGAGACGGGAGTGAGTGGAATGCTGTATTGACTGTGCAACAGCGGCTCCATAGGGCGAGAGATGGTGGGGGGAGGTCTGAACCTTAAGCACGCGCCTAGCCACGTCTGGACACGACGACTCGTGAAGAGACGGCACACGGGTCTGGCTAGGTGGGTAGTTAGATTGCTATCAACTAGAATATCCAGATATCACGGCTCTTCAAGACCAAGATCAAAGGCATTGGGTAATGGCCTCGTCGAAACCTGGGGGGCTTCATCATCATGTAGATTGGCCGACCCCTTGGCCCCCCTACCCCCTAGCTACCAGCATCATACACATACTGCTCTCTTTGGTGGTGCACAAGAGGCGTGTAGCTGACCTCGGGTGCTCCATCTACATAGCTATATATGTATATACCTCTCTACGTACGACACAATATAGCCGTGGGAGAAGCCAAAGGTATGACGGCACGCAGCTTAGCTTTGTATAGTTTTTTTTTTTGCTCTCCTTCTTCCACTTTTCCTCCCTCGAAGCGTGGCTTGATAAACAACTAGCCAGCGGCGGCGGGTTGGCATTCCACGAACAACAGTACAGAGCTCTAGCTCGACGCCTAACAAACACTGGAGCGCGGCAATGCTTCTAGGGTTTGGTTCTAGGGTGACAGCTCGTCTGCAGCACACGCAAAACTGTGCATGCCACCATTTCTGCCCATGAGAATGGCATTATTGCTTGCCTGCTTGCACATTGTTGCACCCCTGGTCGTCGTCGTCTAATAGCGGCCCATCTCCCTCCTCACTACCCTCTCCCCCCCTCATCCCTGATTCTCAAAAGCCCAGCCCGCCGGCTTGCATTTCACTTTTACCTTCTGCTTCTGCACTCCCTCGTCCCTGTCTGCTCTCGACTCTGGTGCTTCTTTGGTTTTTTCCCTCTCCCTCCTCCTCTCTCCATCGACAGGGCCGCAGCACCCTCCTCGACCTGCCCCGTTCACCTAGCGTGACCCCCTCTCCCCAGCATTCACCTCAATTGAGACCCGTCCTCGACGTTGTCGATTTTTTTTTTGACAGGGTCCCCAGCGCGGCAGTCCCGAACGAACGCTCAGACACACGGTGGCCCTGCAACAGCCTGGATCGCCGCACGTCTCTTTGTTTCTTCGCTCCCCCTCCGAGTCCACCCACAACCATCAACGCCCGCCACTACCTGGTTACCTGTCTTGCTGTATACCTTCTCCCGCACTAGGCATCCAAACTTCACCATGGGTATCTTCAGTCGGAAAACCTCAAAGCCCGCCATTTCTCCCTCGGGGAGTCTGCCCAGCTTGAGCAACAGCTCTCTCAAGTCCCCCGTCCCCTCGACAGCCAATGGTCGATCCCGCATGAGCTTCCCCGAAATCCCACTTCCTAGAGCTCCCGACCCTTCGCTCGACCCTGTAGCCTACCTGCGCAGCATTTACGCCATAAGGGAACGCACTCGCCTGGTCCTCGAAAAAGCCAAGCAGAACCAGCTCAAACATTTCACCGTCGACATGTCCAAGTTCCAGGAGACTGCTGCTTACATTGTATCCATTATCAAGGTATGTATAGCTACGCGAATGGCCAAGAATCACTTCCGCGATTTTCTCAGTCAAAAAGTAAATTTGAGCCTGGCTAATAAATATCCTTTGGAATAGCGTGACTATGCTCCCGACTATGCTTCTATTCCACCCCACGGAAGGTGGCAGCACTTTGATATTGGAGGACGTCCTCGAATCGACCAGCTCATGGCATCTTGGACCTCAGGAGTCGACAACCAAGAGCGAACCCGCCGCCTCATCGATCTGTTCCTTGTCTCCGTCCTTCTCGATGCCGGCGCGGGTACTAAATGGCAATATCGCAGCAAGGAGTCGGGTAGGATCTACCGCCGAAGCGAGGGCCTTGCAGTCGCAAGCTTGGAAATGTTCAAGGCAGGTCTGTTCAGCAGCGACGAGAAGAATCCTTGCCAGGTGGATAGCGCTGGGTTGAAGAAACTGGACATGGCTGCCCTGGCCCGAGGATTGCAAGTCACAGACAGCAATCCGCTTGATGGTATGCAAGGGCGTGGCGGGCTCCTTATGCGCCTCGGCGATGCTTTGCAGAACCAGGAAATATTCGGACTCGAGGCGCGACCGGGAAACATGCTCGGTGAGTGGGAAACCTGCGGCAAAGGTTCCAATGCTAACATTTTTCCAGACTATCTGCTTTCACACCCCTCCACGCAAGCTTCCTCGGTCCCGATCATCGCAGTCCCTACCCTCTGGAACACACTCATGGATAGCCTGGCACCTATCTGGCCTTCCACCCGAACGCAAATCGATGGGATCCCTCTCGGCGATGCCTGGCCATGCTCTGTAATGCCATCACATCCTACCCATCCGTGGGAGAACATTGTTCCCTTCCACAAACTCACGCAGTGGTTGACTTACTCACTCATGGTTCCCATGACAAAACTCCTTCACGTACACTTTGCCGGTGCTCACCTCTTAACTGGTCTTCCTGAATATCGGAATGGTGGTCTACTTGTCGACATCGGTCTGATGACACTGAAGCCCGAGGAGACCAAGCGAGGATTGGCGCAGTATCAACGAAACGCGCAACTCGCAGGACAACCCAACATGGAAGTGGTTCCGCTTTTCGCCGTCGACGACGACGTCATTGTGGAATGGCGCGCGGCTACCGTTGGTTTCCTGGACGAATTGTTGGTCGAGGTCAACATTCTCCTAGGGCTGTCCGGGCCCGACAAGCTGAATCTCGCCCAAATGCTAGAGGCTGGAAGCTGGAAGGTTAGTTTATCCTCTTCTCATGCATACTGGATCGTAATTGACAATGTACAGGGAGGCCGAGAAATTGCAGAAGTGTCGCGTCCAAACACAAAGGAGCCGCCAATCATGATTTTGTCCGACGGAACTGTTTTCTAAGATACCCTTAATTCGTCCTGTTTTGTTGCCCTTTTCGGCCTGTCACTTCGACATTTCTTTCTACGTGTGTTATACCATCTGGTCGTGGTTTGTGCGTGTACGCGGTCCGCGGCACAGCGATGCCTCAAAGGTAGCTGACTGGCTCGGTCGCGGCGCCATCTATCGATGTCTCAAAATTACATTCTTCCTTGTGTATACGGATTTCTTTGCTGATTTATCCGGCCTTCTTGATACGGAATGTACACCGGCTTTCAATATTGCGAAATGCCGTCCGATAAATCCTTCTTCCTCTTAGCTTACCAAATTTCCCATCTTCTGCCATCGGCGAGGTCCGAATTCTCGATTCTTGGGGGCCGAGCGTTCAGCAGTTCGAGTTAGGGAAAAAAGTGTAGACTCTGATCAGGCTGTGGAGAGAGCAGTGGGTGATGAATGTCACGAATTCCCAACCACGCGTAGCAATTGACGTGAGGTCTAATGCGAGATGAAGCGGACAAACAAGGTAGTGATGGCTATCATCGCGACAATGATGCTTCGAGTGCCCAGGTCATCAAGCCATCTAACATGTGAACATGGTTTGATCGCAACATGCCAACGCGCGCGCCGTTGTCCAAGGACCGTGCTGGACAGGAGTGAAGATCTTAATTCAGGGGTTGGCCACGCCATGACCCGGAAGCCTTCCGCGGGGCAAGTCGCAGCTGTCAGAGCAACCGGGGGCCGGGGAAGCACGCGCGCGTTTCCGCTCGCTATCGTGCTGGAATTTCTTCCTCACGTGCACACGCTATACACCCCACACACAACGTCACTTCCCGGCCACATAGCTGTGACAGCTGCCAGAGCCTTCCCCTCGTTGACCTCCGGAGAAACCACGCATTCGTTCTTACCTTCGAATATAGCGAGCGAGCTCTTTGCATCCTTGCATACAGCTGGGAACACCATTTCTATCTTGCCCGCCCTCACCGCCGCCTCAATTGACTCAGCTCCATCAACCAGGACATCCATCCCAAGTCTTCGTCCCTGTCTCGCATCTGCTCGTACCCCCCGCCGCCTCCACGATGAATACCACGAAGCGACAAAAGCAGCGGAAGGTCCTTTTGATGGGAAAGTCTGGGGCCGGCAAATCATCCATGCGCAGCATCGTTTTCAGTAACTACGTCGCAAAAGACGTACGGCGGCTGGGCGCAACCATCGATGTCGAACACTCCAATATTAAATTCATGGGCAATCTCATGCTCAACCTCTGGGATTGCGGTGGACAGGACGGATTTGTGGAAAACTACCTGACACATCAGCGTACCCACGTATTCTCGTCAGTCGCCGTGCTGATATTCGTCTTCGACATTGAAAGCCGCGAGTTTGCTGCCGACGTTGTAAGCTACGGTGCTATAGTCCGCGCTTTGGCAGAGAACAGCCCCGGCGCAAAAGTTTTCGTTCTCGTACATAAAATGGATTTGGTACAAGCACGGTTACGTTCGCAGCTGTTCGAGGAGCGTGTCGATTACATCCGAGCTGCGAGTGAAGGTTTCAGGGATACTGTGGAGTTCTTCCCCACTAGCATCTGGGACCAAAGTCTTTACAAGGCTTGGACGCAGATTATATACTTCTTGATACCCAACGCAAGAGGAATTGAGGGTCTGCTGAGAGAGCTGGCTGAGGTGGTGGATGCGAGAGAGCTGATCTTGTATGAACGAACGACTTGCCTAATGGTCACCCACGTCACGAGGGGAGTCGAAGGGCAAAATCCCTTTACAGATCGTTTCGAACGCATATCCAGCATCCTCAAAACCCACAAGCAGAGTATGGCGTAAGTCATCCCCAGCCCCCGTCACCACACAATGTGGTACTTGGATCTCCGCTTCTTATCAAGGTCTATTGCTGATCAACCGGTCCCAAACCTCAATAGAAAACACACAGGTATCCCAGCTGGATCCTCCAACTTTGCCGAAATGCAGATCAAAACTGGTCGCTTCATGTTCTTTATCACACGACTGACAGAAAACACCAACCTCGCCGCCTCGATACCCGCTTCGGAGCAAATCTTCAACGCCGCACGTGTAAACATCATGCTCGTCCGACCTAGATTCGCCGAACTTGACATTGCAAACAAACCGCGTCCAGCCGTCCAACAAGCTTTTGCGCACTCTGCAGAAAGCGGAGCAGGACTAGTCATGCCGGGTGATGCTGATGAGGGCAAAGGCAAAGGCAAGGAGAGAGATGGAGCCTCTCGCGGTTTCGAGGCCTGACAACGCCATGGGTAGAGGCGTGAAAATCAAGAAGTGCATCATCTTTTGTTGTTCCATCTCCCAAGAGTATCGATCTCCTGGCTATTGGGTTTCCAGATACAGGAGATGGATGAGCACCGCTACTCTACGCCACGTTCAGGCCGATACCTTGTGCTTGTTATTCTTTTCCCTTTTTTTTTTCGTTTCTCCAAATATGATACCCAAAGTTTATCTAAATCAATAGCGCTACGTCTTAAATGCTTCGCTGTATCTGATCATCCGTCAAACATTTAATAAACTCGAGAACTGCGAGATTAGTTACTTCTTCCCATCCCCGCCACCGGTTACTCCGTGATTCGTAGAGAGAAGCTTGACTCCCCTCATATATGTAGGTATCTACACACGCATGCATCATCTAAACACTCGCCACGGGAAACACATGTCCGCGTTACTGTAGTAGATCAAACGGCTGGTGGAGCGTCCTCGTACAAAACACACCATTGGACGATGAGAACAGGAACGAGTACCAGATATCGAAACCGTATAAGAAGCACGTGATGATTTTTGCAAGACCTTTTTTCTCCATACTATATCTACTACTGGGTTTTTTTTTCTTTCTAGCTTTTTAGCTCTTTTTTCCCTCCTGCTAGCCTGTCTTCTTGTATTGTTTGTTCCTCCCCGCATACTTGCAATGTCAAAGAAGAATTGCTTTTTTTGTTAAGGAAAAAACAAAGCACTCAAAAGAAAGGCAAGGGGGAGAAAGGCGGTTTATAGAGAGAGGTAACATTGAATCATAAAATTCTTTTTACAAGTTTACATTAGAAGAGAAAAGCTTTGTCCGCTGTCCTACCACAGCAACTGTAAACAAGGATACACTAGAGGGGATAAGTAGAGCACGGCAAGGGAGGAGGAAAGCGAGAGAAAAAAAAAAGAATAGCAAAATATAAACAAAGATGCTCCACTTTCTCCTTTTCTGGCATCCCCGCTGGGATACGATAGGGAGGGGAGGCGTGAAGTGAAGAATGAGATTGAGGAAAGGAAATAGACAAGGAAAGGGAAGGAAAATACGGCGCATAAAAATATCCAAAGAAGCAATCTCTACAGGAGATGGTAAATTTCATACCTCTCCCTCTATGCTTTTCTCGACAAGGAAATAACCAGGCATAATTAGCCTCCCTCTTTTAGAGCAAAGCATGAGCCGTTTTGGCATCATGCAACACAGGAGTTGACCATATTGAAGCCATCGCATCAAACAATAATCGAGATGCAGCCACACGTCTATGCAACCATCCGTTATCGAGCCGTCGTTAGTTGCTCGACAACGCCAAAAAGCACTTGCTCATTGGTCCTGTATATAAGATCTTCATTTCCAAACGCCGTCTCGAGACGGTCGTTGAGCTTCCAGAACGGGCCGTGACTGCCATTGCGTGCGCCGCGTTCCTCCGATAGGGCAACCTCTGCAAGCTGCTTGACGCGGTTCGAGATTGTTTTGTGTTGTACGCGAGCCGAAGCCCAGAAATTGGCCAGCTCCTCAACGCATGACATTGATGTTTCAACCGTCTCAATCAAGTTCGGAAGAGTGGAAACCGTGCCCACTGCAGTCAGAACGTCAATCGACAACATCAACGCATATCCAGGAAAAGGCGTAGAGAACAGAAATTCAGCTGCCGTATTGGGAGGGAGGCGCTGCTGACGATTGGGAGCAGCCAGCGAATGCATCATGGAGAGGAAATGCGAAGCTGTGCGAAATACTTGGTCGATATTTCTTGTGAGTTTATCCTGCCCCAACATGTGAACACGGACATGGCGGTTGAGCCGAATGATGGCAGTGGTGTATAGTGCATGAAGCGAAATAAAAGTTCCCGCAAAACCCTCGATGATGCTGTTGTCGAGATTTGCAGGAGAGTATCGAAGATTGTCTGGTAGCATGGCGTGCCATTTGTCGAGTCGTTCATAAGTTTGAGCGTAGAATGTTTCGTACATCCGTTCATAGCCTGATTCAGGGCGACGAATAGCACGGCTAGTAAAAGTCAAAACGTCGCCCCAGATCATGGAAATCAAGGTAAGATACGCCATATAGCCCAGTGGAGGTCCCGGAGGCGAGTTGTGGCTCAGCAGATCAAAGTCGAACAACGGAGTTTCGCAGGGAGTGGATGCTTCAAACATGCTCTCCAAGCATGGGAGACGAAGGAAGGTATCCTCGATGTTGATAACACATAGGGTGCCACCACAGAACCCGTTGTAGCGCTGTTGGAAGATTAGGTCAGGGGTGGTGGTTGTCGTAAACGCAATTGAACTTACATCCATCAAAAATCCGGACCAAAAGGTGCGCCGGCAACATTCTTCCAGAGTCCCGCGATCAAATCCATAGTCCAGGTCCGATAGCGTGTCCGGAAGTTCCTTGATGCCCTCTTCTGTGTTGAGTCTCAAGGCGCTGATGGCCCGCAAACCAGCTCCACACAAATCCCATGCCTCTTGCGACTTGCCCCGCGCAAAATTGTACAAAGCTAACAACAGTCGACTTTGGCACAACTGCAAGGTGAACCTGCCAAACCGCTTCTCAACAGCATAGCTAGCAACAGCAGCAAAGCGCCTGCCAAGAGCTTGCTGTTCTAGATCTGCAGAGAAGACGGAGCCCAGAGCAAGGGCTGAGTATAGCAGCATGAGATAATCCTGGCTCTTTTCGTGATCATGTTCGACCCACGACAAGAAAGGCTGCCTAGGGAACATCCCGTAGGTAGCCCGGCCAGCATGGTCGAAGTAGAGGTCGAGAAGATGCATTGTAAGACGGGGGTCTGTCTCATAAGGGTCCTGCTCCCATTGGAGGGCCAAGTGATCCTGATGTGATCCGCGCCTGTGGTCATCCGGGTCCTGGTAAGTCGCTGAACCGCTCCAATCCGAGTCTACCGAGTGTACTGACATGTCTCGCAAAGAGGTAGCAACCGAGTTTGGACGAAAGTTTTGAGGTTTCAATGCAGCAGCATTCCAAGCTTCAGGTGCTCTAGGAAAATCACGCTGTTCGTCAAGAGCTTTTGGTTTGGTCGGGCCAGCGACTGGGCTGATGAGTTCGATCGACCGATTCTTAAATAGCACGGTCGATGACGACGGTGAAGTCTCTTCCGAAGCATTGCTCATGCCTTGGCGATTGAGCCCTCTACTTCAAAAGTCAGTATTTGTCATGGGTGTACGACCCCAACCATGCATTCAGACCAATCACACGAGCGGTCAAATCAATGCAAAACAGTCGGGCAAACACGCAAGCAACACTTGTACTCACCCTCTACAGGTTCTTTGCGATTTAGTGCATTGATGGCACTTGGGGAAAGCAGGTTCGCATTTGATCTTCTTCTCGCGGCAGGTTAGGCAGGCTTGAGCGAGCCGCTTTCGAGGTTTGCCGGCCTTCGTTATACCCCATGAGGGGTTCACAGGCTCGCCATCGATTATGGCACGACAATACGACCCATCCTCATACACATAGCATAATCCTTCCCCGGGAACCTCACGCTGGCCCACACATCTGGAGGAACGCACTGGGGCACGAGACACCCCTTCGGTGCGCCTCCTGACTGTTTTGAGCACATCCAAATGGTCGTCCTGAGGCGAGTGGCTGGATTGTGGCACTGATGATTCGGGCGGGGCGTTCAATGCCGAAGCCGTGGAAGGTGGTCGGAAAAGGGTTCCCATAGGTTCGTTATGCGTGAGGCGAACAAGGCTTCCATGGCGTGAAAAGTCTGACTGATAGGAGCCAGGCGTTGATGCCGGGGTGGGAGAGTGCGTAGACGAAGAATCTATGGCAGAAGTGTAAGGGTTGTGCCGAAAAGGAGGTGCTGGTCGAGAAGTGAAGGCTTTGCTTTCGGGAACGTCATGGCTGTAACTGTCGAAATCAAGCCGTCTCTTCAAGGTTGGGCTGGCAGATTCGTATCTCGTTGATGAGGCGTGATTTGAAAAAGCAACGTTGGGTCGTACAGACAGTTCAGCTGGCTTGTTGTCAAGCAGTTGCGGTTCCAGGAGGGTTCGCAAACTGGGCAATTGCTGTGAATGGATCTGGCTTGGATCGGCTTCTTTGGCTGGAGGACGCTGCGACACCAGTGGCCCATTTGGCTGGGACAATGGGGCAGACGCTTTCTGATGTTGGCCATAGGGAGCATATGCGTGGAGAGAGGGCGAATGGGAGGGCATGCTAGGCAGACGGTTCATATCCGTGAGCATGGTGGTTCTTGAAAGAGGAGGAGGAGGTTGGAGGTCGGCAGTCAAGGTAGGATTGGATCCACGATGCACAAGGTCGTGGACAAGAGCGATGAATCCAAGGGCGCCGGGACAAGACGAGATATAAAACAGGAGAGAGGACGGTAAGCCATGCACAAGAGCAAAGTGACGGCTGATGCAAAGTATGGCGGCAGCAGGTAGAGATCAGGGAAAAGAGGGTGGGCACATGAAGGCAGGTTGGCAGACAGACAGACGAAGGTCGAGAAGAGGCCAGCGGAGTGCAGAAGCACAGTGGCGTGCGTCTGTGTCGTGGGAGGTAGTGTAGGTAGTGGGATATCGGCTCAGATGCTGGTGCAGGAGCAAGGTTCACGGGAGCCAACAGGACGCTGAGAGCATGCAGGGCTGACGAGCGACAGACGACTATCCACCCCTCCGGTTGCTCCTTGACCTGGAGCAGACACAAGCGAAGCAGCAGGGCATGTACAATGGTCAAGGGGCTAGAAGGGGCAACATGGGGAAGAGAAAACTTACAAGACGAAGACGCAGGCGCACGGCTAGGAGCAGATTGGCGCGGGGGCTTGGCCGCAGCAGTGGTGCAGAGGGTGCAGACAGGACCCGCAAGAGACGGAAAGATTCAAGGCAATCAAAGAGGTGTTAATGGCAGGGGGCGGGTTTAATGGGAGGGGGTTTCGGCGACGAACTACTGCCAGGGACGTGGTTGTGGAGCTGTTGCTGTTTGAGAGCCGAACAAGGAGGTCGAGGGCTGACAGGGTGAATGGATGAGCCGGGGAGCGGTAGCGATAGATGAGGAGGGATGGGTGGATGGATGGATAAGTAGGTAGGTAGGAAGGTAGGTAAGAAGGAAGTACTATGCATGGACTAGGTAGGGAGGTAGGTAGAGCAAGTTAATCATCATCAGCTCGCTCCGTCGTCAGACAGGACCCACGGGGAGAGCGGATATGCCCAGCAAACGAAGTCACAGCAGTCATTCAAGTCAGTCAGTCAGTCAGTCAGGACTTGCATGGCATGGCATGGCCCGGGCAAGCCATGGCCGGGCAGGGCAGTGAGCTACCTGCCTGGCTGGGGGAGAGTGCAGCAGTTGGCGGCGGCAGATACGGAGTCGTTGGGGGGAGGAGGCATGGATCAGGCCTTCAGATCTCACTCGCAGGCGGCCAACAGCGGGCGCTCGCGAACATGCCGTTGCTGACTGGTTGCCGATCATGCATCACCGCCATTCCTCATCATCATCATCATCCTGCCTCTCGCTCTTTTCCATCCCGTTGTACCCCAGGACGGTTGCTGGCCGGCTTGCTTGCTTGCGGCAAATATCCCGTGGTTTCAGAAAATCGCCTCTGCTGGGTAGCCATGTACGTACGTACATACTTTGATTCATGTACGTCAACTAACGGCTTGCATCAGCAGAGAGACCTGGCCTCTCTGCGGCATGGCTGCAATGGCTGCAATTCTGCTCCATCGTGCTCTGCCCAACTCGGCTTCCCTCCGCTCTGCTCAATCGTCGGGTGGCCTCGAAGGACCAGAGCGCGGGAGCGGCCAATAATCTTCGCATAGATTGAGTTTCATGCACCCTCGGACCGTCCGGCAGCCTGTTCGTTTCACCGGCAGGGCACGTCTTGCAATATCCATCAAGGAGAAAACGAGCAGGATGAATCAATCAATCAATCACTCAATGGATGGATTCGATTCACCACTGGGCGAACAAGCCAGAAGCCGAACCAGGGCAGGTGCTGGCTGGTACCGCACGGTACGGAGCGGTAGTGGCTGCCGGTCTTTGGCACCACCACCACCACCACCACCCGTCATCCTTTCCATCCTCTCTCTCACCCACGTCTCCTTTCTTTCCAGCGACTCCTCGCCATCGAATATACCACATGTACATGATCGATACGACAGCCATTGATGAGCCAATAACTCGCCTGTGTGCGGCGGTACCGCTACTGTACTCGCTGTATTGCTTTGATGTATCCATCATATCCAAACTTTGGAATATATATGTACCTACCTAGCGCAATCACGTACATGGTAGACTTTTACCTGCGTCGAGCCATCTGCCGAGTACATGTCGCCGTATCTACAGGTAATCATGGCCATCCTTTTGGGTTGACTATCAATCAATGCATCCCCTTATGACATGGTTCCGCGTTGGTTTGGCCCATGGCATGCCTGCAATTGGCTGCGCCCCGAGAGCAGAATACATAGAGTACGAGACGGCCAATATCTATTCTGCTCTCGGTCCATGTACCTGTATTGTATCCTGCTGCCCTCGTCGCTTGCTTCTCCTCTGCTCAGAATCCATGTCCGCCGCAATCTACTCAGGCGGCATCTGCACTGCATCTTCGGGTCTTTTGATGCACTAGCCAGCCCACCCACCCTTCCATCATCATCATCATCATCATCACCATCATCATCATTCATTCTCTGCCATGCAGCATGGAAATCACCGCCTCGGCGACTCTAGAACGGCTCGTGGCCCGTTGGAGCTATCGACTCTGCCGCAAACCCATGTTCCCTGTGCTTTTGCTCCTCCTGCGACCGCCACGGCCGACATTCGACATTGCAGGGGGGAAGAGCCGACGATTTTGCTCCAATCAGCCTTCCGCTGCCTGCTGTTGGCCTACGTAATTCATCTAGAGACTCCACTGCATCCATCGTAGATGCAGAACATACTTCACCACACCGTCCCGAGCCCGAGCGTGTCCGGCGAGCGTAACCACCGTTGGCCTCGCACCGCAGCTTTCGACGTCCGCCGTGCCATCACAGTAGAGCCGATGCGCCTAGGGCCGACACCTAATCTACGTACATGCCATATATTAGATACATGCATACATACACACCAAGTCTGTAATGCGTACATATGTAGTATGTATGTGTAAACAAACAGTGCACATCCACATGAACCGTTGCACCAGTGAGCCGATTGCATCTAATACGGCTGTGCTGTGCTTTCGTCGGTGTGCTCCAGCTAGGCATTGGAGATGCCCGTTTTCTACTTCACTTCTTGTAACAATCTTGAAATCCCACTTCACCTGCGATTGTCTGATGTCACGTGCAGCCAATGCCAAGCATACCGTATTATGTAATCAGTGTCAACAACCTCTTTCTCGCTCGCGCCTGCCAACCGCTTCTTCTCCCCACGGTCGCTCTCTTCGCTTCGTCAGAACAAGAGAACACCCCATTAACACACCGTTCGCAGGTTCCCCAACTACATAAGCATCATAATCATCATGTCGGCCAAACCCAGCGAGGACCGCGACACGCGCGACCGAGTGCTGCAGCGCGCACCAGACACGGCGGCACCACCCGACAACGAGCAGCACGAGCAGTCGGAGGAGGACGGAGAAATCGAGGAATCCGAGCGCAGCGACTCGCCTCCTCTTCCAGTCATCAAGACCACCACCGGCGACAGGTGGAATGCGATCCCAGCCACGAGCGGCCCTGCCTTGCCTTACGACGATGAGCACCCCCCACTTCCAGCCGAGGCGCCTCCTAACGATGACGACGGTGACGGTTGGGAATACCAGTACGATGACGTTTCCGGACAATACAGCTTCTACAACAAGTTCACGGGTCAGCACCAGTGGGAGAACCCTCGTGTTGCCAAAGCCACGCCAAACTATGGATCGTACGACAGGTTTGCTAACTACTTTTGACATTTTTTCATTTTGCCTTCTTATCCTAATGTGTACCTACTGCAGATATGTGAACAGCTCTCCCGCCGCAGCTACCTTGGGCGCCCCTGGCACTTCACCCCCACCCAAACGCCCTGTTGCTGGTGGCTACAATCCAGCTATTCACGGCAACTATGATCCTAATGCGGACTATGCCAAGGAATATGAGCGTGAAACGGAGGAGGCTGCTGCTGCCGCCGCCAATCCTTATGCTGCCATCTACGGCGTTGCCCCACCTGGTAATCAGGAATATGCTACTACTGCCCACTTCAACCGCTTCAATGGCCGCTTCCAGCAGGCAGGTGTGGATCCCGAGTATCACAATGATGAGAACAAGAGTAAACGTCAGATGAATGCCTACTTCGACGTCGACTCTGCTGCCAATAGCCATGAGGGACGTAGCCTGAAGGCCGAGCGTCGCAATCAGCATCTGAACAAGAAGGACCTGAAGATGTTCCAGGACCGACGCCGCGAGAAGAAAGAGCAGAAGCGTCGTGCTCTGTTCCTAAACTAATAGCTTCTTCTGGTGGGGAGGTAAGGCAATGGGGACAGTGCTACGAGTGATGCCCAAACGATGACTAATGTGCATCGTAGAGAAGGCTCATGGTTTCTTCACCGTATGGAATGAGGCTGGGATATGGTGGCATCTCTGGTTCTAGATGGTCGGGTACTCGGTGCAGCACAGCATTGCATTTCGTGCACAGTCGGCGAAGCTGTTTCCTTCTTGTTTCTATACGGAGTTTCCGGTGTTCGGATACCCCAGGGTCTCGGGAAAGCGGGTGGAACGATTGATTGCTTTACTCTTTCTTTTCGAAATTCTCACGACTATACGAAGTCAATGCCGAAATCAGCGGCCACTTGACAGCATCCAGACGGATCTTTCGTGGACATGTCTGGAGCAATGTAATACTATCTGATTGCCTAATGAAAGAAAAATTCTCATGACCATGGCCCTCTACAAGTTGCGTGACTGTTCTGCTCCTGTCGCTTGGCCAACCATGGGCCACATGCTGCACGTCGTGGCTGCGAGGCGGTGTCGTGCATGGACAGTGCCTGCTGTAAGCCAAGGCTTCTGACAAGATGGATGCTCGTCATGAGGCGTCAATATAAGGATTGGTATTGCATATGGTGAATCTGGTTCAACCGCCTTGCGAAGGGTTTCCAGTGTTGAGCTCTTCCATCTTGGTCGTTGCCTCTTGGACACCCTTGGTACTTGCTTGTGCATCTGGACTTGTTCCACTTGCCTCTCCTTGCTCGTCGGGCTCGCCCTCCTGACCGATGCCCTTCTCCAACTCTTCCACAGCAGCAAGAAGCCAGTCCACGACGTCTCCCTTGTCGTTGATCTCGGCCTCGAAGACGGCATCGTGGCCGGCTTTGTTGATGATGGTGACATCTGCACCTAGCTCCACAAGGGCTTTGACGCTTTCCAAGTGACCATTCAAGGCAGCCCAATGCAGTGCCGTGTTCCCAGAATCATTGCATGCATTGATGAGCCCCGGGGCTTGCGGGGAGGGGGGCACGGCGGCTGTGGTCGAACCGAAAGACAGGAGTAGCTTGATGATGTCTGTATGCGGTGGTCAGCGCGACAGGCCAGGGCCAGAGCGTCAATGGACAGCATCTCATACCGGCATGACCGTTGGCGGCAGCGTAATGCAGCGCCGTGTTGTTCGTATTGGGATCAACGGCAGCGGCAATGATGGCAGGTTTGGGAGATTTGGTCGCAGTGGCCAGGCCGTCGAGGAAGGTGGCCAGCTCCGCAACCTCGTTGGCGCGTGCCAGGTAGAGTACCTCGTCGATGGAGTCTTCGTCTAGGTTTACGGACGCCATGCTTGGATTGACAGTGCCGTCACAGCTTATCACGCATCTATCATGTATGTGGTATGTAGGTGGTTGCATCTAGGTATGGCTGCCACAATGGGCCATGGCATGGCGTACCGTAGTGGCTCGAAAAAAAAACTTGGTGGGGGCGGGGTCGGTCGTCCAGGAGCCAGAGACGGGGCTACCTGCCATTGGGCTTAGCGCACTTGGGACCCAACGGCATCTTCCACTCTTCCACGCAGCCGGCCCGCATCTCTCAACGGCATCTCGCCAGCTGCATCGTGTACTACTCGTTCATGCATCCATTTCACCCGTGTCGTCTGTCCTTCTTGACATCATCATCAAACACCCCCATTAATCCGCCACTTACTACCCTGGTACCAGCGCCCTGTGCGACCGACATGTGCTGCCGATGTGTGGTCCCGCGCAATCTCGCTCAGCCATCGCAATATCCATTATATAGCCTGCGTCGACGATGCGTTATCTCGTTACCAGCTGAGGAACCTTTGGAACAACCGTTATCGAGCCAGACGTGAGACTCCAAGTTCTGCCTCATTGGCCACAGCAGATCGCAATCTTTTACGTCAGCCGCTATTGCCTCATGCCCGTGCTCGTCCATGATTCATTCGCTTGCACTCTCAAATGCCGGACAAGCTTTGTTCATTTACCACTCATCGCAAAACGACGTGTGAACCGGCACAGATTCTACATGGCATAGGAACAATCAACACCCACCCATGGTCTATCCCAACCGCTGCTCGCACTCTCAGGAAGACCCACGGACCTGGTTTTCTTATCTATTCCAGCATGACTATAACCCCTCAATTTGTCTAGAATGCCAATACAAGATTCAGTATGAAGATCATCCCGATCGCTATGACCACCATCGTATTTACACCTTCAGCCGGATGGATTTTGTATTTTTCCAGTTGGGCTGTGGATAAACCCGGCTGACACCCCTCTGCCTTTGTGTCACCACGTACTGGATGCGAACAAGTCACCACACCAACAGCCTCACCGTCACAGAGGGGCATGGTGCAGCAACGTCAAGCAAAGTGACCAAAGGCTGGTTTTGATTTCTTTCGGTAGCCTTGTCTCCAAGTGATACTTGGTCTTGTTCCATCAACGCCTACCTGGTGGGATCGTGCGTTGACGTGGGCCGTCTTCCACGGCTCATAGCCGAACCAAAACTCCAACGATTGCGCAAGACGCTGATACGGCAGATAGTTTGGGAGAGCGGTGAGGGGTCTGCAGGTACGCGATCCCGAACATCCCCCCGTCGGGACATTCGAAGATGGGAGTTCCGAATGCTGGAGTAGCGATCGGATTTATGCAAAGCCATGTCGAGTTTGCGGTCAGACCTGCACATAAGCTGCTTCTTCACCCTTGGTTCCTTCTCTCCGATTCGCTTTCCCAGCCAACGGCAAAGGTAGGCGCTTCGGTTCTGCGTCTTTGCCTCCACGAATCCTTCGTTCAATGTCCTAGCTTCTTCAACTCATTGTTGAGGCATGCCGATTCGGTTTCTTACCTTTGGGTTCGATATTAACCAATGCTGGTTATATTACCCCAACAGAGGCAGTAAACAAGCCCAGTATTACAATGAGACACAGTACCCAGTACCTTCAATATTGGCTATTTGGCATCTGCAATCATCCTTCTTGTCTCTCATATCTCCGCACGTGGCGTCCACTGCTGGCTCAGCTTGGCTGCAATCAACGCTGTCTCAAACGTCGAATATCACACCCAGTGTACCAATGTATGCATGTCCGATCCATGGAAAAGAGTATGAAATATGATACATGGACAGGGGCTAGCATCTTTCTCGAAAGCAATCTGCTAGTCGGAGAAGAGCAAGGCCAATGCCATGTTGTCTCTAGCGTACGAGAAGGAAGGAAACCCCTCAACGTATTACGATGCCTGCTTTAAAATCGCAGTAGTATCTTAGCCAGAAGAGGAGGGTGTGTGCTGAAGAACGTAAGAGCTGGAAGGAATGTCGGACTGGACTAGACATGGCACGTAGCTAACGCATCTACGAGAAGACGGTGAAGAGCATGTTCCAAAACTTTGCCATCAACAGCCATACGACAGATTAAAATTTCGAGACAAGGTTATGGCTGTTTCTACACGGTTAGGCGGTGTCGGATTCTTGACACAATGCACATGGGTAGGTATCCTTAATGGTTACTGAACATCCACTCCGGTCACCGATATAATTTCAGTATATCGAACTAGATTCTGTGCCCGCTCTCCTTTGGAGAAATCAAATTCACAATCCGGGGCTGAGCTTACTTGTCACATCGTCTATGGGTTGATTTCGGAACGATGGTTGTCCTTCGTTGGATCAAGCAAACCCTAGGAAATTTTACACCTGATGTCGACTGCGATCAACGCTGTACAAAACACAAATCTACGTTCCCGTAATATTTCATTCAGCCACAAGTTTCGTTGGAGCGAATTTCATTTTTGCTTTGTAGTACACACACCAGACCGCGGGTTTTAGCGCGCTTCGTCAACGATACACAATGACAGACCGTTTAGAGCACGAGGACTTCCAGAAGAAAATATGAATCTAGAAAACGTAATGCTTGTGCTAGGCGAGAGAACACTTGCTTCTTTATGAACATAAAGGCTGACCTCTTCTTCTCTTTGAACCCGGTTTTTCTACACCTTTCTAATTCCACCATCCAAGATGCAGTTCACCAAAGATCTCGTCACGGATGCCGTCACACGGGCCGCGCCTTTCATCAGCAACTGGCCACATCATTTCAACACTATTCACGATGCTGAGGAGTTCGTTCGAGGTAGTCTCGAACGGAGCATGTTCCGCTACGGTACAGCACCGAGTTTCCCAACCTATGTCAACGCTGAGGTCATGCGGCGAACGCACCGTCACATAGCACTGCAGGCTTACCAGGCAAAATTGTTCACACTGGATCAGTTGCCTGAATCCAAGAGAGTGCTTGCCACTGCTGTTGATGAGGGAGTCAAGCTAGCTTATGAAACTGTGAAGTGGTACCCCAGGTCCTTCGCCCACATCAACGAAGCTCGCAATTACGTGCGGTGTATCTGCAGAGGCATAGGCCTGCGGTATATACTAGTTGACGGTGTCCATCCACTGCAAGTAGCTCTGTGAGTTTGCCATCTCAATGAATAGCCCCGCGAGGATGATCGGGAGTGTGCTTATTCTGCGTGCTTTCAATCAGCTACATACACTACCACACTGCCATTCAAGCGTGGCGAGCTCGCAAATTCGATTTGGAAGAAAGCCCCTCCATGCCTGACAAGCACCGTCAAATGGAAGCCCGTGGTATGTCATTTCCTGGATTGTAATTACTCACGCTGCTCCCTATACTGACTCTACACTTGTGCTCGCAGGCCCCGCTACCCGTATACCATCTCGCGATCCCCAGTTCCCTATTTACTCCCGAGCCCGTCAGCTCGCCGCCACCGAGCAAGCCATGGCTAACCCGAACTCGAGCTCAAGCTCCCCTTGGCCGTCTGCCAACGATACCAAGGGAGACGGGGAGCTCTTGAACATGAGTCCAGTGCGCAATGACTTCGCTCAGGAAGACCTGATGAGTTTCTCCCCTGTGCAAGAACCACACTCTTCCAACGACAACAATCTGGACAGTCGCGAAATGTCTGAAGACGACCTGAGCTTTCTGGATGAGCTCGAGTTTTAGATGGCGAGTTGTTTACTTCTTCGTGTTGGGATCCGATCCCTACTCCTTTGTCGATTGCTACGAGGGAGACGAGCATGCGGACGGTCGGTTTATTGTACCAGGGCTTCTTAATACTCTGGCTTCCACTTCCTCCTCATTCTGATTTATCTTTTCTTACTACACAAAAATTCAAAAGTATGAGGTACCTTCACATTGCATGCGATTGGCTTTGCTACTCAAAAATTATCATTGGTCTTTCTTGGTTTCTTGGGTACGGTGGACTTCATGGTGGGCGACTGTATATCAAACTGTTTGGCGATGTCGATAATGATGAATGAATGATACATCTCCTGGCCAACTTTCTCTCGTCTCACATGTCAAGAAACAGCACGCGAACGCCCGCTAAACCCCAGACTCGCTTACCCAACAACCTCGGCATTGGTGCACGCGAGGAGGACCCTGCATCGAGTCCCCCGTTGCTATCTCGCAATCGTCACCCCATGGATCTGGGGAATTGGGCAGGTTCAATTCGTATGGGGCCCCGCGGTGTCCGTTGGTCCTCGGCCGACGAGTCTGGAATTGCTTCGGCTTCGCTCCGATTCTGCTCGCTGCTGCTGCTGCTGCTTACTGTATAAATCGTACCTTGGCCTTCCTGTTCAGACGCATAAGTAGATAGATGCTCGGCTTGGAACAGCTGCTGCGCCGCTCCGAATATCTACTTCAACCCTCCCACCAAATCACGACAGCGACACGTTCCTTTCTCCTCGCGTGTACCTGCTACTCTTCTTTTCGCCATCTAGACACCATTTGGTACTTACTCTATTTTGAAATACGATTAAAAATGCCTCTCTTTGATCTGAAAAAGAACCTCATCTTTGTAGGTCCTTCTCCTTCTTGCTCCGCACCCCCCTCCATGAAACGATGATGAAGGAAAGCTAACACGCGCTTCTCTCCCAGTACGGCGCATACCACCGCGAACCAGTGCGTACTCTTGCTCCTTCTTTGTGTACATGCGTGAATGGCTGGATGCTGATACCTACGCGATCGCGTCTTTCCAGACTAATGTCGCTATCCACATTGCATGCGTGCCGCTCCTTCTGGGCACCGGCTTCGTCCTGGTGAGTACATGAGCGCCCACCCGTTGCAGAGAGACAAGCGAAGACGCGCATTGGGAAGAAGAAGAAGAAGAAGAAGAAGAAGAAGAAGAAGAAGAAGAAGAAGAAGAAGAAGAAGAAGAAGAAGAAGAAGAAGAAGAAGAAGAGAGATGTGATATATATCCACTCAGAAAAAGCTGACCAGCGATGTCAAAAAACAAAGGGAACAAACACGCCATCCCTCCGAACCCCAGCTCTTCTATCAAAAGTCGGGTCCGTGACTTATTTTCTTTTTTTCTCAATTACCTTGTAGCGAAAGTGTATATAAACTGACCCTTAGTATACCCCCCACACAGGCTCCCACTCAACCTCGCCACTCTAGCCTCCATGACATACACATCGCTATACCTAGCGCTCTCGCCCAACGCCGCGGGCGCCGCCGTAGCCCCCGTCATCCTCTCAGCCGCGACGCTGGCGAACCGCCTCCCGACCCTCTTCTCGCGGACCAAGATCAATGCCGTGGCCGGCGCGGTACATGTCGTGAGTTGGATCCTGCAGTTTGTAGGGCACGGCAAGTTTGAGGGCAGGAAGCCTGCGCTCATGGATAATTTGGTGCAGGCGCTGTTTTTGGCGCCCTTGTTTGTGTGGTATGAGGTTCTTTTCAAGCTGGGGTTTTATAAGGATTTGCAGAGGGAGGTGCATGTTGGGATTGAGGAGGAGGTGAAGAAGTTGGAGAAGGGGAAGGGGAAGGGACAGTAGGGATACATAAGGCGGAGGTGAAGAAGTTAGAGAGGGAGGGGGAAAGATGGTAAGAATATGTAAGGCGGGGATGTATGTAGTTGGCGTTTGGGGTTATGATTCATGGGGTTTTTTGGAGGGAAGCATGAATGGTGAGGAGGTAGGTAGATATACATGTGGATATGCATGTGTACAGTTGGGGTGTCAAATAGCTACCCGTCGAATTAGTCTACAGCACCGACAGAAACAACGCTGACAACAATGTGTGGTTGTTTCGTAGGCGTATCTTCCTCCTTCCCAGATTCCACTGGCCCAGTATTGCCAGTTCTCACGGTACCAGCTTCCACTCCACACCGTCCATACCCTCTCGTCTTCGTAGTCGAACATCAACACTCGTCTTGGGTTTGCAAGCAGCCAGCGTAAACTTGGTCTCGTCCTTTGCAGGATGCCAGCTCACTTCCCGGCGGCCGCGCGGCGGCAGCAACTCGAACCCACTCACGAGCACCGCCGCCAAAGTCATGAGTTCCATCTGCGCAAAGAACCGTCCAGGACACATGGACGCTCCGCCGCCGAAACTACGGAACGCAGCGGGATGGACCGGCTGCGACGATGTCTTTCCTTCTCCTTCAGTCTTCAATCCGGGCTGTGAGTTTAGGAATCGTCGGGGGTTGAACGAATCCACGTCTGGACCCCAGACGGCAGGGTCGTTGTGCAGAAGACCGCCCAAGATTTGGACGACGGAGCCTTTGCGGAGGAGATATCTGTCGGCGACGACTGTATCTTCTTTTACCCATCGTCCACTTGTCATGGGTGCGCTCACACGGAGCTGCGTTGGGTTAGCGCCGTGTATGTATAGAGTAGAGAAGAAAGGTAGCAACTCACTGTTTCCCTGAAAACCGAGACGAGCAGTGGACAATGATCCTTGACCTTGGCATACGAAATGGTACCCGGCGCGATGATGGCGTTCTCGGCGACTTCCTCGCGGATCTCTGCAAGGAGCTCAGGGCGCGAGAACATGTGGTTCAACATCCAGAACATAGAGATGCCAGCATTGGTGTTGAATCCAAACGCAAGGCCGATCTCGAGACGCGCTTGATCTTCCACAGACATACCGGCGCTGACATGTAGATTTTGTCGGTTTTGGAACATGGTATGGGCCTCTTTCAAGAGGCCGTTGTCCAGATAGTTTTGGTACGCCTTCACCATTCTCGCAAGCGCTTGCGTGGCTTTGCGCGTGAACATGGAGGGTAGAGTCATAAAGTTCACGAGATTATCCTCCCAGACGAAAAAGTCCTCTATCAAAGTTGGCTCGGCGTTGAATGGATTATTAGGTCCGTAGAAGGTATCCATGGAGGCCAGCGCCACTTGTCGGGTTGCCATATGGTACAGTTCAAACTCTTGATCGTTCTTCAACCCACTGACAAAGTTGCTGAAATAATTGAGCTGTTTCCCCGTAAGGCTTTCCAGATTGCGTGCCAACAAAGGTGGGTTGATGATGCCGTGGTTCAAGTGAACGATATCGCGACCTTCGGCTCTAGCAGTAGGGTCTCTCAAGGCTTCGGCCCCCTTTTTGCTCAAGCCTATCATGAGCGGTGACACTTGGGCGACAAGATGGTCGAGATCGAGAGTTGAAGACGTTCGCTGGATTGCCGAACTAATGGCAGGTGATCCGCACACATAATTGGGGCTTCCAAGTATAGGCAGAGTGAAGAAGTCAGTTTTAGTCCTCACCCTGTGGTATGTCAGGTGAAGTCCATCGATAAGGTGTGAGACGGGCGTGTGCCTACCTGACTTGATTAAAATACAGAGGACCATTGCGCAGCAGGCCAATCAAATGGCCGATGATTGGAATCCTGGGCTGGATGACTGGTGGCTCTCTGGCATCGACTCGGATGGAACCGAAGTAGGAGATCAGGGCTACTGCACCTATGACCAGCGCAAGAACGGTGGCAAGGTCACTACTGATGATTGCCATGCTGCTAGGAACGTGCGCGTTATTCTGAGGGGCGAGCCGACAAGCTGCGATGACGCCTCCTCGGCTGAACTGCGTCGAGTAAAAAGTTGAGGAAAGAAAGTCGTAGATGGGTCCGATTGGGCGTTTATCAATTCGAAAATCACCCGCAAAATCCAACAACAACAAGACCTCACGTGCCGGCTCCGTAGACTACGGACCATACATATGTAGGTCGTGGCCCCTGGAAAGGGATTGTTGGAGCTAACGCGTGGACGGTGAGATCTCACCTTGCTGGAACGAGTTAGTACACGTGCCCTCGTAGTCCTCCTTCCCCCTCCTCAGATATAGGGTAGGAAAGGCCTGCCCTCTTGCCCTTGTGCCGAAAATCTTTCAATTGTGTTCCATCTTTTTTGTCAATGCTTACTTTGTGCTAAGTTTTTGTTGTTTGAAAACAGGATATGCTTGTGAATCAAGTCACCATCGACCGAATGGGCTACAAATGCCGATACACAGGTCAGCGTGCAACGGTAGGTACATGTGATGGATAATAACTTCGGACATCTGGTCGGGCAGAGCATAACGCAATCGTTTAAGAAGGCAACCTCGCAGATTATTACGAGATGATTATGTAGGACAGACAATATATTGAGCGCCCTCGTGCATCATATCCAACACAACTCTGCTAACTACGCCTCAATCATCATCCACTGAAGGTTTGGATACGACGCTGCGCCGTCTGTCTACCTGCACATGTGTGCTATCATTCGACATGGGGTGTTATTCATGCAAACTGCCGTGTAACACAACATTAGGACTGCGATATCTGTACCCTTATGATGAACGAAGTGCGGGGGCGTGTCACCAGCAGATGTTGGTTACCTGCCGTTTGAACATGATATATTTATCACCACGGCAGTTCTGATCCAACACGAGTGCCTGGCAACGTTTGCATTCTCTAACAATACAGCGGAAACGCATGGTTTCATTTTACAAGATGCTTTTGTGATCTATCCTCCATTTTTTTGCTCTTCTCTTACGTAGGATGGTCCTGAAGAGCAGTTCAGCAGAACAACTCCCACGCACTGCAGATCACTCTTAGGCCTTCTTAAAAACTAGAACTCGATCGTCAAAGCTCATTCTCTGTGACCAGTGCCGTCATGCTCGTCCTTAGGGTACTGGCCTAATATAGCTGCCTAGATTTCCTTTTCGACTACTCCTATGCCCGTCATCCAAGAACAATACAAGCTCAACATGAACGCGGTCAGACCATTCTTCAGGTGAATAGTAATTGACTTCGTCCTTGGGAATTTCTCAATGTGCCTGGCCGCATAAAAATACACAGAGCGCAAATCTCTCCACTTTGGCGAGCCAAATGGTAGTCTTGCTCCACTCGTTCCTTAAGCAAACCCTCATTCCCGCAAGTCTGATACTCTGCTGATAGTCAACCTACATACGAACTATCTGCTGAATTGCGCCTGTGATATTCAGTTGACAAGAATTCCTGAAGACGTCGACTGCATCAACGGCCAGAGCCATTGGAAAGCCGCACCAGAAGCTCCACATACCTCTAGTGAGACCGACGAGTGGCCGCGTCAATAATGACATCTGAACGTTCACAGAGCCCGATAGATTGAAGTAGCAAGGAATCTCCTGCTAGTAAACCTACTTTTCCCTTAGTGAAGCTCGCAATCATGAATTATGTAAGCACAAATCAATAGATCAAGCTTTCACCACGCGTCGAAACGATTGGCTGAGAAACGCGCCGCTCTCCATCCCGTCTCGCCCGTGCTCGTGAAGAGCCGTTGTCGATTGTTTTTTAAAGATCGTTTGCGTGAAGATGTAAACATTGCTTCGCGCTCTTCTTTCGCCGTCGTTTCTCTTTCCCCTTTTGTGGATTGAAGACCATTGTTCATTCATCCTGTTAATTCAATTCGTAAAAGGCATTGCTGAATTCCGCGCCTCCTTTTCTTTGCGAAGCAGCAGCACCACCACCCATCGCCATGCGTTCCTTCCCGCTCTTCGTCCTTGCCGGCACCGCCCTTGCATCCACGCCGAGCACCCTCCAGAACATCCTTAAAAACACCGACAACTCGAATAAATACATTTATCCTACCGATTTCACGCGTGGTATCATTCCGGTGGGTTCCGAGATTTTATTTGTTTAGTGGTTCGTTCGGTGAGGGTAGACGCGAAGAAAGTAGTGACATCATTTGATACTGATTGTCATGGTCTATTTTTCGGGACCAAGTAGAAACCCTTCCACAGTCATAATGATTACTGGAGAGATGTTCCCTTTTATACCGGGTTGTCGTATGGTGCCATCTCTACTGAAGCTGATGTATGGCTCATCAATGGGACGCTTTATGTGAGTTCTCGATTCCTTCTGATCAGCATTCCGCAAGTACATGTACATGCGTGAATTCATAGTTCATTGCTATTGCAAGACTGCGACGCACGGAAAAAAAAGTACTGACGTTTGAAAATGGTAGGTTGGCCACGAACAAAGTGCCCTCACAAAGGAGAGAACTTTAGAATCTCTCTACGTAAACCCGATCCTCGACACTTTGCACCGCCAAAACCCCATTACGGAATTCTCGCCCACAGCAACGAACCACGGTGTCTTTGACGCTTCGAGCGAACAAACCTTGTATTTCTTCATCGACCTCAAGACCCCCGGTCCCGAAACATGTAAGTCAAGGGCAAACCCCTTCCTGTCGGTTCCACAATCACCCCGAGATCAGCCAATATTAGATTTCTAACCGATCCCCGAAAAAAAAACAGGGCCTGCTGTATTAAAAGCCCTCGAGCCTTTGAGATCCGGGAACTGGCTGTCCACATACGATGGGGAGACCTACACGTCCAAGCCAGTGACTGTAGTCGGGACCGGCAACACGCCGCTCGACCTCGTTCAGGAAGCTAATCCCCGCGATGCCTTCTACGATGCGCCTCTTGCGCTCCTCTCCAGCTCCGCTTCTAACCTCACTTCGAATGGTAAGTTGTTCCACTCCTTCCACGTGGTCCCCGCATGGGTACCCAGCTAGCTATCAATGCAACACAACTGATTTGTTGACTTGTGTGCCCAGACTCTCCGATCGCCTCAACCGACTTTGAAGCTTCCTTTGGCGATGTGCGCAATCAGGAGTTCAACACTACACAGCTCGAGTCGCTGCGTGCGCAAATCACTGCCGCGCACGACAAGGGGATCAAAGTGAGGTACTGGAATCAGCCTTCCTACCCCATCGGCACGCGAAATGCCGTCTGGCGCACACTGTGGGACGAGGGTGCCGACTTTTTGAATGCGGATGATCTAGAGGGTGTGGCTGGGTTTTGGGAGGCCAAGGGGTAGATAGACGTGCGATATGTGCATGAGATTAGCGGTCGCTTTAACATCTCTTAGCAGATTCCACGGCGAATATACGGCGAGGTGAAGAAACCAGGGTGGAAGAGAAGAAACCGGGGTACAAGGTGTGTTTGTATATATTATTGCATTGTCGAAGACGAAAATTCTTCGACATACAGGACATCATGATAGCATCACAAGACTGAGGTTAATGTGAAAGCATTGGTTTTGTTTGTGTAGCTAATCTGGGATATAGCCCGTAAGAAATAAATCCACAGCTTAATCTCGCTCATACCCTCATACTATCCAGAAACATGTTTGCCGCCCTATGCCGTGAGGCATCACACACGTGGGTATCAAACACTAGGCCGTCAGGTGAACAGGCAGAGTAACGCCTCCATAGAATGCACCGAGACCAAGTATCCAGACGTGGAAGGAGAACCAAAACAAGAAAATACCGAAAGAAGAAAGCAAACAAGGAACGCAAATGGACATGAATCTGGTACCACGAGTAGCATCTGAGGCCCGCTTCACACCAAAAGAAGTCGCCTAGTCGCTTTGAACATAAACTCCAAATAAAGTCCCCAACCCGCGGATACAACCCACTCCAACAATCTCAGCCTTGACTATCCAAGGAGTCATGGCGATTGGAGAGGCAAGATCACTATCCGACATTCCTCAAATTTGTCAAGCGATCTCGGTTGGTGGGGAGTGGGCTCGCAGCGCGGCTTGATGGCCTAGTACGAGGGCCAACGCTTTGCGCCCTAGTACCTGCGCCCACCCCTCTTCCAGCTTTCAGCCTTGCATTCTCCTGCTCTTTGGATTCCAGCTGTTTCTTCAACATTTTGACCAGCGCCGCGCTTGAAACCTCTTTATGAGCCGCAAGCTTCTCGCCCCTCTTGTAGAAACCGTTTCCAAGCTCGGAGACTTGCTTAGGGTCCTGCTTCTTGAATGTTGTGAGCTGTTTTTTCAACTCGTCATTCTCGTCTTGCGCTTCCCTTGCAGCTGCCTGGGCCTTCTGGTACTGGTCCTTGATATACTCTAGGTCCTTTTCTGTAGAAACCTTGCTTTTTAGAGCCCGCCTTTCGCTCTCCTTGGCGTCTTCTACGACTTTTCCCAGACGCGTGATTTCTGCTGCTTTGACGTCTTCAGATTGGGTGTGCAGATCTTGAAGTTCCTTCAATTTGATCTGCATTGCCAAAATCTCATCCTTCTTGGAGCTTAGCTGTTCCCGGAGATTAGTCTCAGTTCTGGCAGCGGCCTCGAGGCGGTTTCCCGCAACCTCCCTCTCCTTTTTCAATGAAGCATAAGTCCTACTGAATTCCTCGTGACGATTCTGCTGTTGTTCCCAATGCATATGGTCTTGTTTGGAACGCTTCTCTTGCATTCGTCGCTTATCTTGTTCAATAGCGAGCTCTTTTTCGAGATGTTCGATCCTTGCTCGCATTTCGAGGGCATCCGCAGCAGTTCCAGGCATGGAGTCAGTGACGTGAGTTATCTCGTTATTGGGGTCCACAAGGTGCTGCTGAGGAGTGTAGCGCATGCGTTTGGAATGATGAGGCTGGTCGTCTTCTAGTGGGCGTTTCGCGGTTGGTGCTTGTGAGGGCGAGGACAACATAGCTTCTTGAGATAATTGTGACTGAAACTCTACCAGATCCTTGATACTACCTATAGAAGGCAATGGCCACTCGATCGATCCGGGGTCTTGTTCTCTTGAGACAAGGAACTGAGCAACCGCATGAGCTGCTTCTTGGGGATTGGGGTTATGAGTATGGATAGCTCGCCCAAGTACCGAGTCGTCCCGAAATTGGGTCAAGGTTGCTATAATGGTGTGAAGTCGCCTTTGCGGTGCAAGAGCTTTCGAGACGTAGCGTTCCACATGGCCGGTTGCTCTAGGTATTACAAGATGAAGAAGAGGAACCGTTGACCTCCCAGAACCGCTGGCCCAATTCTTCTTGCGGATCTGCTTCGCATCAAGGCTCCCATCGAGAAGAACCACGAGATCTACTGGTGGCTGTACAAGCGTATTCTCCTCACTAGACAACACAGTCACCGAAACATTGCTTGCTGGGTTTGCAGCAATGATATCAACTCCGCTCATCGGTATTCTGAGATTGACAAGTGTCCCTCGCAAAAAGCTATCGACGATGGTGAGCAGTCGCTTGTCATTCTTCTCAATCACAAGCACCATGTTGATGTCGCGATCCTTGATTGCATCCAAGAAACTCCCAAGAAACTTGAATTTCACCGAGTTGTCATAGCTCCATTTTGTTTGATGTTGCAGTTGTGTTAACGTTGTCAAGCTCGGATCGTCAGTTTGAGTGGGAGATGGCTCGTTGTAGAGAAGATCCACGTGAGTTTCAATCCACCCAAGGCGGTCAAGAACATCTTGGACCTTATCGAAGTCATGGAAGCTTTCCGGCTGATCCAAAAGCGAGTCGAGAAGTTCTATATGACTTCTGAATTCATCCTTGTAGATACCAGCCTGTCGACCTTCCATCGACAAGGGCACAATGAATTCTTGTGATTGCAATTCAAGGTCGTCGTTGAGCAAGCTCTCGCTATCATCCATGTCACTGGGCTCTTCATTGTCTACAGAAGCAGGCGCGCTTGGAAGCGTAGAAACTGGGTTGTCGTCATCATCGTCGTGTCCATTATTATGATCGTTGTTATCGTCTTTTCCGTCGTCATCATTGTCGTCTTGGGTGACACTTGGAGTTTCATCTGCAACATCATTCGGTCCCAACTCGGGTGCCGCTGGTACTACTCCAGTTTCAGCCGCGACGCTGTTGGCAATCACCACTGTGCGCAATGCTGATGGTATTGTTGGAGCAATTGGTCGTTCTGCAGGTATCGCGGAGGGGGATCGGTTGTCGTTAAGTTTCTCCAGCATACGACGTGGAGGGGGAGTAAAGGAGTGGTCTAGATTTTGCTCAGCAAGCACCTTCTTTGTCCCTTCATCGTAGCTATCCATCAGAGCGGTTGGAGATCGGGGTCGTCCCGGTACGTTTGAACTTAGTGTCCCCAAGGAGTCGAGTGGTGGATCTGGAACAGGAGATAGAGTGGTTGTAAGGTCAGCTGTCTCAGGCGTCTGTTGTGAGGAATCGTGACGCGGCTGAGGACTAAATAGAGATGGAGTGCAATCGCGCTTCTCGACCGTGGGGAAAACAGTCTGGGTCCCGTCGTTCTGGGTGCTTGAACAATTTTCGGCGGGAACAAGTTGCGCGTATTGTTCAGCGGGCCACGAGCCGATGGGACTTGCCGTGTGCCGACTTGACTGTATGCTGATGCAATTTGGTGATACCACGGGCCCTCTCGTGAGATTGATGTCTGCCTGCGCTTTAGAAGTATGAGCAGTGTTGCTGTCACTTTCGTCGTGGGTTTCGGGCTTTACAGCCGGACTAGGCTGTACTATCTCGAAGACAGAGACAGGCTTTGGACCGCCAGTATTTTTAGTAAGCGCTTCCAAACGCGAGATCGCTCTAGTGCTCCGGGGTGCGGCGTGCTGCGCGGCGCCTCCTCCTTCAACTGGTTGAGGAGCGAAATCTCTGCTTTGGTGAGAATTGTCTTCTTGGCCTGTAGACTGAGTTGTACCTTCTCCTGCGGACCGAAAAGATTCCTTCTCTGTGTGAAGCGGTTCTTCTATGGACGACGAAGGTTCTTTACCAGCTGGCTGGACAGTCTTTGCTTCTGTCGGCAACAGAATTTCCTCTTTCACTAGTTGAGCAGCCTCTGCCTCTGTCGATTCAAATGTCTCCGCGTCTGTGTGGAGCAGATTTTGTTCGTCTGATACTTGAGGAGTCTCCTCGTCGGGGTCGTGAGAAAGTCTCTTTGCTGATAGTTGAGCCTCGTTAGAAGACCGGAGCGCCGCTTCTTCCGGTCCAGGGACTTTTCCAGAATCCGTGACGTCGGCTCCTGCGGTTACAAATTCCTCTATCACTTGGATCTCGGGTTGTGATGTCGAAACAATGCGGTCCCCGTCGTCCACAATGTGTCCACCAGAGGCAGTCGAGACGGTGTGTAATGTTGATTCTACAGTCTCAAAAGTATCTGGAATCACCTTATCTTCTGGGATATGCTTTTCCTCACAAGCCTGAGGTTGAGAGTCTTCGACAAGTTGGTGTACAGCGTCAGGATCGGTTTCAGCGACGGAACGAGGTGGGTTAGACAGTGAATCGGAGAGCTCCTGCAAGTTACTGTTAGCGCTGGAGCTTGAAAATACTTCGATTGAGGGTCTTACCTGACTAGGTGTAGAAGAACTTGCTTGCTGGGTCTGGCCAGCGCCGGAAGCTTCTTGGGTGGTGGGAACGTAGCTTGCTGACCCGTCTATCTCTGTCTCGTATTTGCCCTCGTCTTCTTCGTCCTCCGAATCGCGACAATAACCAGAGTGTAGATAATCGCGTGGACCACTGTAGGTTGAGCTTTGGGAACTAGTTATGAAGTTCCCGTGTGGTAGGTTGACAGTCTGCGACGAAAATACCAAGTGTTCGTTGCGGTCAAAGCTGGATCTTAGTGGTGGAATTCGTACTTCTGGAGACGGGTGGCCAGGCTTTGGAAAGCTGGATGTTCCTGTAGACGGCTGGCTGAGGGTGGACTGCGCGCGAATTGACGGTTCGGGGGTAAAAGGTGCAGCTGCGGTTGGTTGACTACTCTCTATAACGGGTCGTTTCTGGCGTTTGAGAGGTCGAACTTTGTTGTCTTTCTTCTGCTCTTCCCATTCCTCTATTAAGGCTGCAGTTGCCCACTCTTCCTCTATCCACGATGGCTCCCAATTCTTGTTAGTTTTTGGGTCCTTGCCGTCCCACTGCACCAAAAAGAATCGTTTGCCTTTCTCGTATTTCTCCTTTTTGATCTCTTTGGCAGAATATAGCTCGGAATCGTCGGCTTGCTGCTTTCGGCGTTTGTTGCTCCTCGGGTTCGTAGAGGTCGACTTGCGCTTGCGCTTGCGAGGGGCTGCCATTACGCGGGGCTTCCGCTGACCTTGAATACAGAGCTAGTGATGGCCATGATCAGTATACGAATACAGTAAGAGCGGAGAGAAGGTAATGTGAGAACGAACAAGGTGGTAATAGAGGAAGGAAGATAGATGATGAGGCGTCTTGCTGTATGGGACTTACCCAAGTAACCCTAGTACCAGAAGTTCGCGTGTCAACACAGCCAATAACCGCGCTAGTTTTCCCGGTACGCGTCGTCCAGTCCAAGCAAGCGCTAATGTATAAGAATGCTCGCCGTGGGCGACAGGTGAGGGTGCAGATTGTATTTGGTCTTGATTGATAGGCAGGATGAGGAAGTCGTAGAGTGAATTTATACTGCAAGTGGTGTTTGAGTGAGAGCTGCTAAGAGACAGGGCTTGGTCCTGGTTTTCACGTTTCGCCGGCACGGCGCAACACGAACATGGCTATAGACTGTGTATTGTCTACTAGGCAGATTCTATGGTGAAGTCATCGCACTGACGCCGAGCAAGCTGCCTCCCCATTATGTGCATTTCACCTCGCAAAGCTGCGAGACGAATCCCTCCCTCATTTGATCATTTGAGCTCCTAGTCCAACATTATCGTACATGAAATCAACCCTTGGTCTCCGTCTTTCGTCCTGGATGCAGTGCGCTTCCAGTCCGTTTCATCCATCAGTTCCATCTACCGCCGCGTCCGCGGTACCCTCCCCTTCCACGCTGGGAACCACCACGATTGTTTGCTTGGTAGCCGCCCCGGAAACCACTTTGAGACTGCGTTGGACCGCCATACGTCCTAGGATTGTTGTAATTCATATCCCTGTTTCCGAAATTATTTTGGTTGTTGTTATATCCTTGATTCTGCTGGTAGCCTTGGTTCTGCTGGTAGCCTTGGTTCTGCTGGTAGCCTTGATTCTGGTATCCAGCGTTTTGATAGCCATGCCCCTGATAACCCTGGTTCTGGTAGCCGTTCATGTTCTGCCCACTTGAATACGCCCCGTTGAAGTTTGGCGGAGGCGGCGGTGGGGGCACTTGTCCTGGACCCATGTGGAACGGGGGCGGTGGTGGTGGTGGGACCTGATAGCCTGAATACTGCCCAGGAATAGAGGGAGGTGGGGGTGGAGGGAAATTGTTAAAAGGAGGGTAACCTTGGCTAGTTGAGCGTGAATTATCTGGATTGGGCTCGCTCCATCGCTGCTGGCTAGATTTGCGGTTTCGAGTGCTTGAAGCTTGACGGTCCTTGTCATGATCGTCATTGTCGTTCAACCTGCCGCGGCGGTTATGGCTGCTCGACGTGGGACGTCTCTGATCCGGATCGTGATCGTCATGGCGGCGGCTACGCGGCTTGAACATTGAGTCACCTCTATCTTCTTCGCGCGAGCCTCCATGTCCCCCTCGGTGATATCGCTCTCGGCTACGGGAACGTGAGCCTGAATGCTCGCTGCTCCTATCCAATGAGCTCGACAGACTACGATCACGGCTCGAGGTATACATGCGCTGCGGGGATGAAGACGATTGAGCAGCTGGGAGCTGGCTCTCGTTTTGCTGGCGTCGATGATCTTCCATCAATTTCGCCTGTTTCTCGTTCCTGTGCGCCTCCCTGGCTTCTGTGATCTTTTCTGGAACACCCTTGCCGAGCATATCCTTGCAAAACTTGATGGACCAACCGTAGCCGTTGTAGACAGTTCGAACCTCGTTGGTTTCCTTGTTTTTCTTGACCAGTTGGCCCATAGGGTCCAACCACAACTTGTACTTGTCCGTTTCGCCAGTAGGATTATCTCCCGTGGGCCGGTACTTGAGATCAATATCGTCGAAATAGTTATCAAGCAATGTGCGAATGCGATCTGACGCATGCTTTTGCTTGAAATTGGTCATGTGAATGTGATTTGGCTCGATGGGTCTACCAGGATTCTGGATCATGGGCTCCAACATGGAAGAGGCAGGGAGATGATACCAAGCAACATTGCGGGCATCGCCAAACCAAGGTTGCAGTTCGTAGTTGCGTTTCCAGGGAGGGACACCTCCTTGGGCAATTACTATGCTGCGAATAGCAACGTCACGATACGCCTTGAAGTCAGCAGCACTGATGCATTGGCTCGCTGCCAGTGAATTGATGATGGCCTTGAGTTTCTTCTCAACACGCGAGCCCTTGGTGGTTGCATACAGACCTGCCAACTCGACGAGAGTTTCCAGGTGGGGCCTCAACTCGGAGGCGAAGACAACATGGGCTGTGGCACCAGTTTGGGCACGATGAAATTTGGCTGCGTGCAGGACATCGCTAACAATCAAGAGTACATCGAGACGGTTCCTGGAAGCCTCGGAGGATTTGACGGGCTGTGCAGAGGCATCTACGACGATGGATTTGGAGAGGGAAACGAGATATTCACCCAGCGTGTCGATGCGCGCCTTGGAAGGAGCAATGTGCTTCATGATCCATTCTTTGCATGTCTACTCACCGCATTAGTCTGCTCCCTTGACAGGAAATATAAAAACGTCGCCTATAATAGATACCTGGATGTTTGCGGGGGTGTTCTGGCGCAGGACAGATGCAAGATGGTCGTAGAACTGTGTGATGGAGCTGCGCTCAATGGCAGGCAGGCCGGACTCTGCGATTTGAACGTCTCGCTGGAATTTGATCTGGGCAATCTGCAAGCTAGCCCTAGCGTGTTTGATATGATCAGAGTTCGCCATGGTTGCAGGCTTTGCTGTAGGTTTCCTACAAATACGTTAGTATTTGCCCGTACTTACTGTGGAGAGAGGAAGTGGGAGGAGACGCGCTGGTCGTGGTTTCTATTGCTACACTTTGTCGTCGTCCGTGCGCATGGTCCGTGCAGACAGTCAGAGCCGCGCTAGTGACGATTCGTGGCTGCTCAGGCGATTCATCCTGTACATATACAGATACTCGAGTGCACAGTTTGAGACTTCTTGCAAACCCCCCCGATTTCATCCGAGACTCGGTCTCATGGCCGCCAACGACGCTGTTCAGGATGAAATCATCTCAATCAATTCCATCTTTGACGAGGGTACCCTGACGCTTCTCGACGATGCAACTAGTCTGTGCACATGCAGCCTTCGACTTCCATTTCTTCCCTCGGTCACTTTGAGAGTTGAATTTCCAGTTGATTACCCTGATGCTCCCCCATCAATAATGGGCACGCAAAGTGTAGGGCAGGAAGTTGCCAAGGGCATGGGAAGCAGGGTAGTCGAAGTAGTTAGGCATGTTCTAGCTCAGGTTTTCCGCCCAGGTGAAAACTGTCTCTACGATTTGCTCGAAGAAACTCGAGAAGTGGTGGAGAAGGAGGAAGAGCGCATAAAGGATCAAGTACACGAAGAGCAGCACCAAGTGCCCGAGCATGATACTTCAGCATCAAACAACACCACTCCAGACCTAGGCCCCGAACCCCCTTGGACAGTTGCCCCGCCCATTATAGAGAAGAAGTCTGTATTCATCGCACGAGCAGCGCCTGTCACTTCACCACTTCAGGCAAAGCAATACGTTGCCCACCTTTTAGCCACTGACAAGAAAGCTGCTCGAGCAACACACAATATGACTGCGTGGCGTATAAGAGGTCCGAACGAAACGAGCTACCAGGACTGCGACGACGACGGAGAAACGGCGGCTGGCGGAAGGATGCTGCATCTAATGCAGCTCATGGATGTTTGGGATGTCATGGTCGTGGTTACGAGATGGTATGGTGGTGTGCATCTCGGGCCAGATAGATTCCGCATCATCAATACAGCTTCAAGGCAAGCATTGATACAAGGTGGATTCGCAAAAGAAGGGAAGGAAGCCGACGGGAAGAAGAAAGGGAAAAAATAGATTTTTTTTATACATCGGAGCTTATTGTTAAGTCGCTATCTCCGCCATCTATCTGAAGTTGTAGTACGATTGCATTTCGAGTTTGCGTCCTGGCCCATTGTCATGTTTGCACTTCTCGAGATAACGAACAGTTCGAAGTCACCGGACCAGCAATTCACAAATTTGTAACGTCTGGCGACTTATAAATCACTAAGATCGACTTCTCTCACGCGGCAGAACAACATGGCCTGTTCCGCATACTCAGCCAAATAATGGGCACAACACACTATATAACTTCTGATCAGACCGGCCTCGAGAAAAGTACCATCTGAATCGAGGCATCATTCACCTAGCATCGAGTCAAGCAAATCCACTTGCTTTGGCATGAGGCCATGGCGGCACAGCTAGCAAAATCCACTATTCCGCACTGAACAAAAACGACAAACAAACCCGCTCACCCACAACGAAGCCAGATAGGAAACAAAAGAAACCTCATTTCCTCATCTATTATCTTTGAATTCTTCTTCTGTCCACCTAACCCAATCGGCAAACACCCTTCCAACACATCAAATCAACAAACTCAACTCACGTGGACCTCCTTACACGCAAACCCTCCCTCAAGAATGGAAATCTTCCACAGCCTATCTTTATGCATACTCCCAAAGCACATACATGACTCTAATCATGGTAGAAAAGATAAAGTATTCACAGTATATGCCCTCATGCTACTTACTACTGCATTTCTTGTCTTACTAGCCATGAATTTTCCCCTCGTTTTCGTAGCTGCTCCTCTGCTAATTTTCACTGCAAGCAAGCAACTTAGTAGATATAATATCCATACACTACTCGTTGATCAGCATGGTTCGGGAGTCCGAGCACAATTGTCGGAGTGAATGCCCTCAGAGAAAGAGAACTGACGGATCCACATGCGAAGTACATTTCTATCCCTCGTTCACTTTATCTATCCTGACCTAAAATGAAATCTCATTTCTCTCTCTCCTTCAATTTGGATCCTGTTCTTCTTTCGTGGCGTACAACGTTCTTTTCTCGTTTCTCAGCTAGAACCATATCATTCACTTAGCAAATTAATATAACTTCACATAGCTTACATTGTGAAGCACTATACCTAATCAACTTAAATCCTATGCTAATTAGTACCTATTCAGACTACGTACATCCTCCTCCTTACTCTTCTGGGGAATGGGGGCGGAGGTTTTGAGTGGTTTTGCTTGTCATAATGGGTGACGGTGGAGTCAAAACAAGGATGGAGTAGGGGGTCGCTGAGATTCGTATTCATACGGTTATGATAGTTGAACTTCCTTCCGATCTGCAGAATTCCCGGTTTCCCAGTCGGCCTCCCGTAATTTCCGTTCTGCGTGGAGACAGACAGGCAAGAAGAGATTTCCCAATCCCGCTAATCAACCAATTTCTCATATCCAAGACCTTCCGTTCGTATTTACTCAACGCCTGCCTTTCCAGCCCGAGTCAAGGAGCTTCGTCCACAGCCAACGCATCAACAACCACATTTGTCGTGGCAACCAGAAGCTCCCTCAGAGGAACCCGAGCCTGCTTCTTATACCCGACCCTCTTCTCCATCCGCCCTCTAAACTCCTTGCGCTCATCCTCAGTAGGCCAGGCCTCCTGACGCGTATCCTTAGTAATGTACCAATGTGTAGGCTTGGGTACGTTCCTCAACTCCCCACCCGGTCTCACCTCCACAAACCCGTACGTCACGTAATCCAGGATATACCGATGCGTATGCAGCTCGCGGTGAATAGCCTCGAGGAAGAGCAAATCGGGGACGGGGACCAACCGATCGCCCTGCCAGTCCGCGTATTCTTTGCTCATCATGCCCCATTCTTTGAGCGGGATGCGGTCGGCCCATTCATCGACCTGCCAGGCGTTGTCGTCGTCGATTGCGAGCTCCATGATGTCGTAGCTGCGCACCGTCATGTCCTCTGCATCATTGTAATTGAGTTTCTTGGTTCCGGAAAGGACGGCTTCGAGTATGCATAGGGATGGCTGGGTTAAGAGCAGGTGGGAGAGGGCGCACGCACCGTTGCCTAATGTTTGCGGATGTAAAGTTAGTACTATGCAAGCATACATTTTCGATTGGGTGATTGTTGTGTGTCGTTTACGACGGTTTGTCACCCGGGGCTATACGTACCGATGACGGGGTGCGAGAAGCGCATGTCGAGCTTGACGAGGAAGAGGTGGAACAAGTGGAAGTCTTGATCGGTCCAGACCTCCCTGTCGGAAACAAAGGTCGTGCGGCGTGCCATTGTCTGGATCTCCATGAGAAGCCAGAGTTTCATAATCATTGTGTATGCGGCGCGTGGGATGCGGTGGTCCTCTGCCGCGAGGAGCATTATAATGTTGCTAACGGTGCGTTGTCGACTCAACACCATTTTGATCCAGCGTAGGCTGGGGGTGTCGCGGGCCAGGTGCGAACGTCCGTCCATGGGCCGCGCCATTGGGTCACTGATGCAGAGGTCGGGGAACATGGTCCAGCTAAAGTTGTAGGCAGCGAGAGGCGCATGATACATTGCGTTCTCGTGGATGATGGAGATGCTGTACTTGTTGAAGCGATAGTGGAATTCCTTGTCGATGGCGTACAGGTTCTCAAGCTCTCGGATGTCCAGCCGAATCGCGAACTGGAAGAAGAGATTTGGGTGTCGTAAGATTGCCTTGTAGACATTGAATGGCTCTCCTGGGGCGTTGGCTGGGTGTGACGGCAACTGTGCTCCCCATACTTTCGCTGCAACATTTCGTCGACGATTGCGATGGCGGGCGACGACATCGGGGATCTCGGGATACAGGGCGCGAGGTACATGCTGTACTGGGAAATCTGAGTCGAAATCACCAATAGGACGTTTGCCCTTGCCTTTGCCTGTTTGATCGTAAGACATCTTGACTAAAGTTGAAGATGACAATCAAGAAGGTGAGAAGGTTGAGGAGGTGGGTGAGCTTGTAGCTACTATTCTTGAGTGAAGATCAATGCTATTGTACGCCAATCAAGTGAATGAAGAAAAGTAGGGAGCTCCTGCTATTGTTGTGCTTGACCGTATGGTAGGTGAGAGGGGACAATAGTAAGCCTCGAGTCAATAAGATAACGCCAATACTGTTTGGGTGCCTGTTGAGGCTAAACAAACAAGCTCAACTTGCGGTTATTCCACTGATACGAAATCATCACAGCTTGGCCTGATATGTCTAAGCACCTTATCAGTGTCTCAACATGCTGCACCACGTGATGTCTCGATGACTGGCGATTATGTACTCGGTGCTCAACTTCATCAATTGCAACTATACGATGCGGCAGACGGTCGGATAACACGAGATGTCCAATGGCGCGTACAAAGTCAGGAGTTGCCCTTTACGGTCAGCTCTTGCTAGTTTATATTCAAAAGAACAGAAGAGATATGTAAGAGAAGGGAAAATGCAGAAATGACCGTGAGAAATGCTACCCATGCCTGTTGAAGGACAAATGCCATCTAGAATAATGCATATAAAACAGACATCCGTGAGCGCCTTAGTTGTGTGGATGAACACATGATACGCCGTCCCAATACTCAAACGCTTGTTGACCCAAAACCCCCCAATTCGCGTTTGTTACGAATGCAAGGACACCTGCAAGTTTTTATTTCCTGTTGATGAGATTCAAGAACTCTTCTCTCGTTCTGGCGGTGGATCGCATGCGGCCGAGCATGCAGCTGGTTGTAGTTGTCGCACCCGTCTTTTGGACGCCGCGCATTACCATGCAGAAGTGGCTGGATTCTACTACGACGGCGACGCCTTGCGGCTGGAGCATTTCAGACAAGGCGAGAGCGACTTGTTTAGTGAGACGTTCCTGGACTTGCAGCCGGCGCGAGAACATCTCGGCAATTCGGGCAAGCTTGGAGAGACCGATGACTCGACGGTTGGGAATGTAGCCAATGTGCATCTTGAGCATGTTAGTTGACAATGACCTGCATGGGAAGGGCGCCACCAGCAAGCATACCTTTCCAGTGAATGGTACCAGATGGTGTTCGCACAACGAGTATATTTCAATGTCTTTGACAATGACAAGTTCATCGTGGTCTTCGTGAAAAACGGCGCCATTGACAATTTCGCGCAGGTTCTCTTCATAGCCCTTGGTGAAGAAAAGTAATGCTTTTGCATACCGATCCGGGGTATCCCTCAAGCCCTCGCGGTCGGGGTCTTCGCCAATGCATTCAAGAATGGTCCGTACAGCCCCAGAGAGCTTCGCCAGGCGTTCGTCTTTTTCGTCTGGAGTCGCCTCCTTCCTCGCACGCGTACCCTTACCTTTTGACTAGGGATTAGCTCAGTTACGTTTGCTGGTCAATGTACATACTCGGCCAGCTCAAGCCATCAAAATCGATAGTAGGATGCTGGGTATACGGGCTGTGGGCGCGGCTTGTAGACAAGGGGGTCTTTGCCACGGTGCCCTCATTGTAGCCCTCTACGTCGATCTCTCCATTGATTATGCCGCCCTGTTCGCCCGATTCGCCCGTCTTCTTGTCCATGTCTCCGGCCGCAGATGATTTGGAAAAGTATCCGTTGGAACCCTCAAAGTCAACGATTTGGCGGCCGCGGTTCGAGGTCTCAATGGCAGCGTAGAGATTATCGCGCTCTTTTCTGTCGCGGTCTTCCTGGTTCAGGCGGAGAGGGGAAGAGGGACCGTTGGTCATATGGGATGGTATAGCCTTGGGCCTAAAAGGCGGCGAGTCCATGGCAAAGGTTTGTGATTGTTCCTGCGCAAGAGGCGGAAGTGGGTGGATAGATGCAGGTGTAAAACGGTTGGTCGGGTGTGGTGAGAGGAATGCGCGGTTCGTATTGTATCGTATCGTATTGTCCCGGAAGATGAATCAATCAGAGGGCGGAGAGCGGCGTCAGTGCCAAAGTGCGCAAGTGAATAGAGGGCATGGCGGAGGGAAAGGAAGTCGAGAAGGAAGCAGCAGCGGTAGACGGAAAAGAGATGTTGGAAATGGGATGACTACTACTAGGAAATCAACTAGACAGAACGAGCAACTTTTTGCCCGTTAGTGAGCAAGTCGATCACACAATTGGAGGGGTCAACTGCGCTCAGGGTTCTTTCTGCTCGCTCGCTCGTTAAACCCCGCCGCCAGGGCTGGCCGCGGTTGACGTTATCGCTCGCCCGCTTTGTTCCGGAGGCTATCGGCCCGTGACCTCGCCTGCACCTGTGAATGCTTGCTGACTTGACACTGCACCATCATCATCCATCACAACAACAACAACAGCGACTGTCCGTACCCCCCACCCCCGTACCCTCGCCCCACTGCTTGCCGAAGGTATGTATTTATTGCCGGAGCAGATCGCGAAATATACCGACGACATGCTGGCACAGGCTCTTGACGGGGGACATCAGGGCGGCATGTCGGTGCTGCAACGAGCGGCCGTCTGAAGAGGCCTGGTTACCCCGACTTCTCAGCTTCGCGCCGAACCCATCACGCAAAATGCGATGCCCACCTACACCAAATAACCGACGACTCCGTGCGCGGCGACCTTAGGGGAAGCGACGCAGAGCAAGGACAGCGCAAGAGTGTGTGTCTGGGCCATGGTGGGCTGCTGACGGGGGGGTTGTGTTCTTCAAGTCTTCTTCTACACCTTGCATGTTGCTTCCTACTTTGCAGTAGAGACATGGCCATTATTCACACTAACCTTGGACGTTACCTGATTACTCCTCTTTACCATCATCAGGACGATGGCCGCGAGCAAGCAGTTCCGGCAAGCGTACCTCTCTGCATCCGCCTTCCCCTTCAGGGCTCTCGGACCGGGTACGGTACCCCGCGTCAAGTCACTCATTCATTCATACAAACAATCAGTCGACCGGTATACACGGACATGCCGCTCTCCTCGTCGCCTTCCACCAGCTGTGCCGAACACCCTCATGCTTCAATGCGCTGCTGTTCCTGATGCCATGCCAAGTCTGCAAGTAGAATTCGGGGTTGAACTGCAGTTTTTCTTTCGGGGGGTGGTTTGCTGTTTGCTTGACTTCTAACCGTCAAATGGTCTCTGAAAAAAAGTCCGCGGTGCAACATGGCCACAAGGCTTTAAAGTCTCGACTTTGATACATTCTCTAGCTTTCTCATATTGCTGCTGCACTTTGCGGTGACAATACCGACCCATCACGCGCCTGCAATCGGCTTCCACACGACACTATGCCGGCCAAGGCAGCCCGCTGTTCTATCTACCGCGACGGCCACAGCTGATGCCTTTTTTTCATGCCGGAATATATGCTTCCAAACCACCGCCAACAACATACATGTACAGGCATGTTCATCGCCTCCACGATACCAATCGTTGCCAGCCGTGGTATCTGTTCGCGACCGGGCCACATCAGCTGCGAAGGGGCATTAATGTTTGCGTGGTTAGTTCTTTGTTGCGTGCCTTAGATTAGAATCACCCGTGAAGCCAAATATGATGCTCCGCTGGAGCGGGCTACGCGGGATCATTTAGGGCATCTGTATGGGTCAAACCACAAGGTGTAAAAGGCATGAGAAGAGGAAGGTATTTGAAGCCCTGCTCATCGTCGCCTGTGGAGGGCACGGGGCTGTGGGGATGAATGCGCAACATGGCCAAAGCCTGGTTGATAGGGACATGCATCTATCTGCATCTGCGGGCGGGACGAACCACCCTCCAGGCTCACAATGAACGGAAGTCTTGGCACGGTCGAAGGCTTGGGGGGCGGCTGCACGGCGGCGGCGAACGACAACATCAACCGCAGCCCGCTGAAACAGGTCAATGAAGACGCTGGCCGAAGCGATCAATCTACAGCAAAACGGCTACTCAATCGTTATCTACTTGCCTTGCCCTACCCGTCTCGGCTGCCTCACCGCCCGGAGCCTTGCCGCAGGTGCTGAAGTTCCTCTCGGCTAGTCTCGACACTGACTGACCGCGACCGAACGAACCAATCTTGAGTCCGCCATCTAACACCCACTTCTCATGATAGCTCTGTCTACATGGCTGGTTCGCGCAGAGCCCCAGAGTTAGATCAGCGGAGAACAGAGGAACCGTCCATTAGAGACCAAGGGGGAGATCCGCGCACCCTTGAATCGACGTCTGCTGCGTCACCGGCGCCACGCGCTGCGAGGGAGGAGTCGAAACGGAGAGTGCGCGATTTGGATAACCGTTCCTTCACAAATCACGGTAGAGGTCGATCACGCGAGAGAAGCCTTAGCAAAGAGCGAGCTCCCCCGCCCAGTCGCGAGCGTGCAAAAGAGTCCCCCCGATTGTCCAAAAGAGTCCCCAGTGGGGACAGGGCCTCAACCTCGCACAGGCACCATCACCATCACCACACCCACCACCACCATCACCGCCAGCGAGACTCGTCTCCTGCTTCCAAACGCCACCGCAGCCGTTCCCCATCTCTCCACCGAGACTCGCACAAACGTAGCAGACGGCATAGGACACCCAGTCCCGCACGCTCAAGGTCTCGCGCATCTCGTGCCGAATCTGCCGCCCGCCCATCAGAGAAAGTCTCTCCATCACAACCCCTGCGCTCCAACCGTGATCGAACCGCACGCCGCTCCACCCCCACCTCGCACCATCCTGCTTCATCATCACGTCGACGGTCGCCATCACTCGATTCGCATTACACTCACGTATCGCGTCGTGACCGAAGGCGATCTCCCACGCCAGAAGGGAAATCATACCGAGATTCATCCACAAAACGACACCACAAGCGACACCGCTTTCCATCCGAGGAAGCGAAGGACAGGAATCGAAGGCATAGTCCGCCTAGGAGGAGAGATCGCAGTCATAGCCGCCCGCGTACTGCCCGGCAGCCCCGATCTCGCTCGCCAAAGCGCAGTAGGCGTTCTCGAAGTCCCGACCGAAAACAATCCCCTCGGTCCTCGGGGCGCGAAAGGGAGTCATCATACACATCTCAATATTCTAAACAGGATAAGAACCTTACGGTCGCCCATTCTGGACGTACGAGTGGGGCGACCTCGAGAAGAAGTTCCCCCCTTCCCAGATCGGGGCACAACTCTGATACCGATCGGGATAAAACTGGAGATAGCAAAATGAGAGGTGCTTATTCCTACCAAGGTCGTGGCGGTCATCACTCCCACTCCCCACAGTATCCTTCCCAAGGGCATTCACCTTATCAAGGTGGAAGAGGCTGGAGCGGCCACCAATCACATAACAACCAAGGATCTCCTCCACATGGTTATTCACCCAACCATTCTCCGTATCACCAGGGCTATTCACCTGGTCAACAACAAAGTCACCATGCCGGACAGCGAGGTAACTTCCGCAGCAGTCAATATGGCGGATCAGAGAGGCGGCCGTCCGGTCCTGCTTTCACACCTGTAGCAGGTAGGGGCCGTGGAGCCCAACCCACACAATTTTCGAATCTTTCCTGGACACCTGCAGCCGGTACACGAGGAGGCAGACCAGCCACAGAAGCCCCACGCCACTCAACGAGCACTACCGCACCGGCGACATCCAGTACTCAAGCTACAGCTGACGTTGCCGTGGATGCTGATGAAAATCCTTTCCGGCCATCAAAAGATCTGCGCGTGGAAGATGAAAGCGCTAAAGAAGAAAAGAAGATGCCACCCCCTGATAAACCAGCTGCAACTCAGCCGGCGGCCAAGTCTGGACCTTTTGGCTTCTCCTTGAAAACCAAGAATCCTGTTCCAGCCGCTGCGAGCAAGGCAAAAGCGGCGTTAGACGAGCGTGAGCAACCCAGGCAGCCTGAAAGTGAGCGCGAATCTTTGCTCGAACCAAAAGCAAAAGATGAACCAGTACGCGACTCATCAATATATCCTCAAGAGCCCCGGCATGACAGGGATTATCGAGAATCCAATCGGGAGCGCGAGCGTGGTCGTGAATATCACGGGCGAGATCGACGCGACGAGTACTATGATGAGCGGCCTTATGATCGAGGGCCGCCCTATAGGGATCCTCATTACAGCCGCGATCGAAACCCTCGTGACCACCGTGCAGGAGAGTTTCGAGAGCGCGATCCATGGGAGAGGCATAGAGATCCTAGGGATAGAGATCCCCGTGATAGAGATCCTCACAGTAGAGATCCTCACAGTAGAGATCCTCACAGTAGAGATCCTCGCCATTTACGAGACCCTCGTGACCGCGGTTACTACGATGACAGAGAATACAGAGATCCTAGGGACATGCCGAACCCCCGAGATATACGCGGACCTCGAGACCGTAATCCACACGACTACAACGCCCCTCGCCATCCACGCGAGTACCGAAACCCTCGTGGTATGAGGGATATGGGAGAACGAGAACGAGACGACGTGATGATGCCGCGCCGTGGCGAGCCACTCCCTGACACCCGACCCAATCATCGCAAAGAGCGTCGCGAACCTTTCCATCCACACCCGCAACCGATCACAAAGACGATCAAGAAGAGACGGCCGAAAGAGCGTCCAGTTTTGAGCGCAGAATTTGCGGCTTCTGAATCAGTCTACTACCGAAAACCTGGCAATGAATCAGTCGTAGGCTCCGGCACATATGGAAAAGTCTTCAAGGGAATCCACGTATATACCAAAGACATGGTGGCTCTGAAAAAGATCAGAATGGAGGGGGAACGCGACGGTGTAAGTGCAAGCTCTTGGGCCGTCTGTATGTAATTCTTACTGACACATAACAGTTTCCAGTCACGGCAATCAGGGAAATCAAGCTGCTCCAGTCGTTGAATCACGATAGCATTGTCAAGCTGCAAGAGGTCATGGTAGAAAAGAACGACTGCTTCATGGTTTTCGAATACCTGTCCCACGACCTCACGGGTTTGTTGAATCACCCGACGTTCCGCCTTGAGCAAGGCCACAAAAAGGACCTAGCCAAGCAGCTTTTTGAAGGGCTCGACTACCTTCATAAGCGTAGTGTACTACACCGAGATATCAAAGCTGCCAACATACTAGTGAGCAATACTGGGCAATTGAAACTCGCGGATTTTGGTCTCGCCCGATTTTACGCCAAGAGGGCCAAGCTCGATTACACAAACCGAGTTATTACGATCTGGTATCGCTCACCGGAACTGTTGCTGGGTGAGACACAATACGGTCCCGCGGTTGACATTTGGTCAGCGGCATGCGTGCTTGTCGAGATCTTCACCAAGCACGCCATCTTCCCGGGAGACGGCGGTGAAATCAATCAGCTCGACAAGATCTACAACATCCTCGGGACCCCGACCGTTCAAGATTGGCCCAATATTGTCGAGATGCAATGGTTTGAGCTTCTCCGACCAACGGAGCGCCGACAGTCGACTTTTGCGGAGAAATACAAGGAGCGCGTTACGCCGGCTGCATTTGAGCTCCTCTCAGCCATGTTTCTCTACGACCCTGCTGCTCGACCGAGCGCATCAGACGTACTCGAACATCCTTACTTCACGACGGAAGAGCCGAAAGCAGTGCGCGCCGAGGCCCTCAAGGAGCTGGAGGGCGACTGGCACGAATTCGAAAGCAAGGCGCTACGGAAGGAAAAGGAGAAACAGGACAAGGAAGCAAGGAGAGCCGCGCGGGAGGGTGAGAAGAGGAGAGCGGATCCACCTTCCAACGGCGAAGAACGAGAGCCAAAGCGAGTGAGGAGCGGAGATGACATTGTTCCTTGATCCGTCGATTTGAGTTGTTTGTTTGCATTCTCTGATGGGTGCAAAGACATTGATAAAAGATTGTTTTGGACCAACATTTGAAGTTGGTTTCTTCGGCACGCCTCAGCATGCGTGTGCGTATGCATGTGTGTCTGAGCGCAAAGCTCTGCTTGAACCTCTTCCTCCCTTTCGGTAGCAACATTGGCACATTTATACATTCTTCTTTCGGACACGGACATTCTCCTCTACGCTTATATACATCAGCCTGCCAATGGAGAGTATCAAAAGATATGCCTGTAAAAGTAATTCAATTAATCAAGACTTGATTCTCAATGCGGTATCAGATATATTGGAGTTGATTGTTATTGTGTGTAGTCGGTCCTCAATATACTCTTTAATAACATAAGTCTTGCATCCTGCTTTCGATTGGCTCTTCTACTGTAATGCGATAGGAAGACCATCCCATCATTGCTGTACACATATACGTATACCTTCATGATAACCAAATCCATCATCCTACTTGGAGCTTTCCTCCATGAAAAAAGAGGGGGGCCAGCAACTCCCCTTTTGGGGAAAAAAATCGCATTTTCTATGTTGGTTGGAATACATAGACGATGGTATTGCTGCTGAAGATGGAAGTCTGCGTGTATATACACGAGGAGGAGGAGGTGGGGGAGTAGTGTGGACGTGTAACATATTTCGGGAAGGAGAAGGGAAGGGACGCAGCAAGTGTCTTTTCTCTTTCTCCAAACGCATCTTGATTTGATCGAACGTTCATTTCAGTCTTAGTGTAGATTTATCTGCGTATATGCTGCATATATACATACACCGCGATTCCACTTCGTTTTGCGTGAGATTTCGTTTGATAAGTGGGCTGGTTATAGCTCGGTGCAGGATAGGACAGATAGAGAGCTTAGACATATACACATCACAATGATACTTAGGGAACTTTGTATGGATTGAAAAGGGGAGGGAGGGAGAAGGAAAGAGAAGCATCTCTGTGTGCGGAGGGGATCCAGAAAGGATAGAGAATAGATTAAGCAAGGATATGAAGAGGATGGACAAGCACGCAGGAAGAGGGAGAAGATAGAGTGTGCACAGGCGGGGAAGTATCTCTGAGTTTGTTCAGGTAGATTATGTAGATGGTGTATATAAAGGAATAGAGATTTCTGGTAGGCCTTGGACGTGAATGAGAGGACTTTGTTGATGATTCAAGGTAGGCCAAAGGAGGAAGAGAGTGCAATGATATGAGTTACCCAAGCAGTAAACTGACACTGCGTTCAGACGCTCATGAACCTGAAGAGCTGGAGGTGGTTCACCGTGACATTTGACCCTAGAGCTGACCGGAACAAAAGTAAACGATTCATCCCCACTGCGCAAGAGTCAAGCAACAGAAAAGTGATCAACAACAACTCAAGATACAATGGCGGAACGAACATTGTATATCCACACCGGCGAACTTACTCCCGGGGAATGATATCATGGCAAAGCCAAGCCAAACCACGCAAGCAAACCCGACAGGAGTCAAGCAAGCGGGATAGCAAGCACCGCGACGTCTTCGTGCCGTGCGCAAAGAAGGGGTTGGTCACGCTTCGATGACGATCGCCACTCACCCACCCGTCCAACTAAAGAAGACCGAACTATCTCCTATTAGCGACCTTACCGCTACTTGAACAGCACTAACCCGAACCCCGATCTAATCCGCTTTTCTAACCCTTCTTTTCTTTGTTCCTTGGAAGAGCGCAGAGTTAGCTATCGAATGTGGCGGTTACCCGCGTCCCGCTTTTGGCGCGCGAAGGGGAAAAAGCGGTACGCGGGCACCACTCTTTATCTTGGACCCCCTCTCCCTTGGGCTTAGGCATGTGGACATGTGGATATGTGGAAGAAAGTGTGCCTGATGCGGACGTTGATGGTGAGCGGATTGAGGTTAAGTCGAGATTGATTCTTGCGCTAGCTCGGCAAATTGCGCGACCGCGAACCTGGATGGTGGTGGTAGTGGTGATAGTACCATGGTGGCGATATTAGAGTTTAGGATATTTGGACGTACGATTCCGGTGTGTAAGTGGTATGAGTCGGTGAGCGAAGATAAAAAAAAAAGTAGGAACATGTCAGTTGTGGGTGGGGTGGGTGGATTTGCATGACAAGATGGCATGAGAGGTGGAAAATCAGATGATTGTGTACTTTAGTTGCTTGTATGATGGGTGTTTGAACGGCCTTGTAGGGCAATGCGCTATATGCACGTTGCTTTTTTATAAATGAAGAGAGCGAGGAAAAGAAAAAGTATAGTGTGGGGCATGGGCAGCGGCAGCGATGGCGTGCATAGTCGATTGGTTCGAGGCCTGTGTTCTGGAGGTCGCTCTCTGCACTCTGCACTCTCTGAGAGTCTGGGGAGAGAGGGAAAAAGCGGCCGAATGCTCATGTGGTTGAAGCGATTCATGCGGTGATATTGCATTCGCACATGGACATCTACCGATTCATGGGATTTTTCGATTGGCAGAGGCTAGTCAAAGGGGTGCTAACTTAGTGTAGTCGCATGCACAGGAGGGTGAGCGGCCATGGACGAGCAATGCGTGGGGTTATCCAGTACGGTGGCAGCAACGCCCGATGTGATTTGTGCGGTGAGAGTGCATTAGATTGACGAAGAGTCTTGATAGATAGGCTAAACGTGCGGTCAGCGAGGCGTGCCCTGGTTGGTGGTGGCTTGCTGTCTGTTGGTTTAGGGAGTCTTGGGGGGAGTGTAAGTGAATGGCCTCAGTCGCGCTGTGCATGGTGGGTCGGCTGACAGCTGTCAATAAGCCGGTGGTGTTAGTGTCAGTATAGTGCCTTGCCCTGCGCGTGGATATTTCTATCAAAAATGCAAATGTACGCTACTGTATGTACTTGTAGAGTATCAGTGTTGCATACTTGGAATACACTTTGATGTAGAGTCGTCATGCGTGGACACGTGTGGTGTGCGCTGCACTATGTACGATGGCCATCCATGGAGCGTCATGGGCCTGAGTAGTATCCGACATGGGTCTGTAGCCAGCTCGAGAGATGCGGACGGCAAAGACGAGGAATGCGGTGCAACTGACTGACTATTTTAAGAGGGTGTGCACAGTCATGGGCAGGCAGTGTGTGTGGGAGCTGAGAGCATCGTACACGGTAGATCGGAAAGGGAGCAGAGTCAAGAGATGATAGGCCGACGATCTTCCAGCTTAATAAAATGTCCGGTCCGGCTTATCCAACGTGGAAGGCGGGGGATCCCAAAGCAGAAGAGTCCTGCCAGGAACAATCGTGACATCAGAATCGGAGTTGGTCAGATCAGTGCGCCTTCCCTGTCCGTCTGTCTGATCCTCGGCCAAAAACGCACAACGGTACCTACAAAGGCAGTTGGTGCAGGCTCCCAACTGGCTGTGCCTCTTGGGGGTTTGTTCCTGTTGGAGTCCGACGATGGCGATGGGTAGAGCTGGTATTGATGCATGATGGACTCGAGTGCAACGAGGGCGAGTCCGGTATCATGGCACCCAAAAGCACCTGGGATCGCCATGGGAAAGGAGCATCTTGCCAGGGGATTCACACAAGGAGAGAAGGCTGAGAGAAAATAAGACTGCCAGAGTCGATCCAACGGCAGCAAGCCAGCTATGTATCACACAGCACGCGCCATTCGACGTTGCGGGCTGCACGTCGGACATGGTCTCAGGCCAACAATGCCATCTGTGTTCACGTCTGTGCCACCTCCGAAGGACACAGAAGTCCGTACATGAATGCCTGAGCGCTTGGGGAAGACGTTGACGACGACGTCGATGATGATGATGGTGAAGATTACGTCCGGGCCCCTGCACGCTCAAGGCAGTTTCTCTCATACCTACCTAGAAAGGTATCTTGGGGTATGGGTTAACCGAGGGCAGCAGACCTGAGTATGTTTGTATGCAAGTGGCGACTCAAACGGTAACCAGTTGTGGGTGGTGGTGGTGGTGAGCTAGGGGCACACTGCCGGATGCTTGGCTGTCAGCCTGCCTTTCGGACTTTTTTTTTGTTTCTTGCTATGGTTGCCTCCATTCTTAATTTCTTCTTCTTCTTCTTTTTCGCCGTTGAGTGGAGAGGGTAATGTTAGAGTGCCGATCACAGCGTTGATTGCGCGATGAAGCTATCTGAGTGAGACGACCAATAGATGGGTGAAGTCTGAGTTGGGTGATGGAGGCAGCGTCAATAAATATAGTGGCGGTTTCAGCACCCGGCAGCGTGGTGTTGAAGGCACGTCTTGCACGCACATGTACATAGTATAGCTGGGAACGGGCTCATGGAGACGGGACACATGGAGTGGTACAGGTGAGTTGGACGGGGGAGACGAAGAGAAGGGTTGCATGCGTGGTGGTGGCTGGCGCGTGATTGATCGAGTCGGGTTCGCGACGCATGCACCACGAAGACAAGACGGCGATGCGAAGACTCGAGTCAAGCGGCGGTGAGTGAAGACGATGCATGGTCTCAATGGTGGCGGTTTGATGGGTTGTTTCTTCCCGCACGCATGTGTCAACTCTATCAACATTGAAGTGTTTCCAAAGTCGTTTCGACATGGAGGAATTCATTCGCGCATGGCTATACGGCTACATCATCGTCGAACCACCACCACCACCACCACGACCACGATCACGGCCATGACGGCCATGGGCAAACAGGGAAAGCGACGAGAATTGTGCACGTCAGGGTCAGGGTCCTCTCGGCTTGGGGACATGGGCAAACTCCACTTGAACTCGCCATCTCTCTGGGCAGAGGGTCCACTGTCCAGTCTACTCCCAATGCGAATAGCTGCACAGAGAATCTACGGGATCCGAGCCCGGATGTGGCGTCTCTGCCATGTCGCAGTCTCCACGCCGACCTCTTGTCTCCACAGTGCCACAAGTCATGAAGAGCGCGCTAAGCCCAGGGCGAGCTGCACGAGATTGTGAGTGGTGAGAGTCCCCTGACTGAGCGGCAGGAGAGGCACGTCGTATCGTCGTATCATGATCCAGCATGCCCGTGGTGTTGCTTGTCGCTGAGCCTGTGTGCATGGCGTCTTTTTTACTGTTCGGTGCCTTTGCAGACAGTTGCTCAGCGCCAGAAGGCTTCATTGGAGAGGGAACGACTGGATACGGCCTGCTGAAACACTGCCCATAGCCCACACCAATTGAGGCCCCCCAATGCCACCACCACCACCACCACCATCCATCGCATACGTCCGTCCGTTGGATCGCCCCGTCGCCGTCGTAGTCGTCGTTAGCAGCTCGGACTTGGTCTCAGCGAGAAATTGTCATCGGCCGCCCAGCTAGCACGTTCGTTGCCAGATTGCGACTTCGCCTGTGTACTTGAAACCTGCATCCCTCGCCCGCGTGCACGGCCAGCGTTCCGTTCAATATAGACATATAGATAGACACCCCCGGATATTGCCTCGACACCCTGCCACCCTGCCCATACCGCACTATCGCAGCATAGTAGCCAGACTACTTACCTGACCATACCGCTCCCTCCCTTGCCTGGCCTCTTTTTACCCTTACGGTCCCTACCTCTCTTCCTTTTTCTTCCCCTTCTTCTTCTTCTTCCAACGTTCATTCCGTCTGCATCCTGCCTCACACACTCCTTCCTTTTACCCTCTGCTTCTTCGCTTCCCGCCGTGCGGCTTTGGTCACGACTCATCACACGCCCGCTACTCGTCCTGTCTGGGAATCTGTCTCATTCCGCCCACGTCCTCTGCAGCCTCGCCAATCTCACACTATTGGTGCCTTACCTCTGTACGCCTCGCGTTTCATACTCTGTCCAGCCAATCCCTTCCCCCTCTCCCTCCTCATATAAACGCTCGGCTCCCCCAGGCATACACATACTTCCATATCACATATACTAACATTATCTGTTTCCTGTTTACAGCACCACTCATTACCTCTCTCTCCAAATAGAGGGAGAAGATCAAGTAATAATAAATATAAAATAAAATCACTCAGCAACAATGGCCGACGTCGCCGTTGCCAGCCAGCTTCAGCAATGGACCTTCGAGAAGCCCCAGGGCACAGAGCCTGAGCGCTCCACCAGTGCAGCATCCTCCCCAGACCTTTCGCACCGCGAGCCCGAAACGTTACGGATAGATGCCTCTGTCGCCAATGCAATCAAGGCCGTCTCCGAAATGGACGGAAACCAGTTCCAGGACAAGTACCTTTCAAGTGAAGAAGACCTCTCGCCCACGGATGGTAACAGTTCCGACTCGGAATACGACTACGACTCAGACGTCAGCATCCACGAGGTCAAATCAGCAACTTTCAAAGCCAACAGAGTCTCCATCTCGCGGTGGGACAAGGGTCTGAGCTGCGACATGGCCGTCTCCGTCTCATACAAATCTGCCGGCCGCCCAAAGGTCATCGAACTCCAGGAAAAGACGGAAAAAACCCAGAGATCGGCCTCGCTGGCCCAACTGCCCATTGCAGCCATCGAGAAGCTCCGAAAGCAGGCACAGGCACAAACCATGCGCCACCGTTCACTCCTACTCTCCTCCTCGTCATCCTCATCGGCCTCGACCACGCGCTCCAACTCGCCAGCCGTCACTGCGACATCACGCCGCACCACCATGGGCCCCAACACATTCCTGAGCAGCAGGTCTCAACTGGAGCTTTCCGAATCCACCACGTCTTTGCAATCGGCCCGCTCGTTGCGGAGTGCTTCGCCATCCGGCAGTGAATATTCGGTATCATCGCGGCCTGTCAGCAGCGCAGCCACCTTCCATGCGCCGCCCCGATCTTCAGTCTATGTGCAGCGCAACACGATGCCTTTCCCCCCACTCACGCCGGCATCGCCCGCATCGCATGCATTCCTCAACTCGGATCCGTACGAAAACTCTACAACCAACGCAGCATCGCCAATCATCAAGAACGGACCGCCGCACCGACGACTTCGTTCCATCTCGCAGAAACTTTCGCTCGCCAAGATTGCCATTACGCCATCCACGAAGAAGTGGGACTCGAGGGTGAATGCAAAGACCGGGAGCATGCCCCTGACACCAGCCACGCCGTTTACGCCCAGGACGCCCATGTCAGCGCCCATCACAACCGAGACATCGCCCATGAAGAAGATTCGCCGCAACTCGAGAATCCTTCTGTCCCGGCCACCAACACGCGGCGCGACCACGACGCCCGACCTCCCCACCATCCATAGCGTGGACCGGCCGCCCGTGCCCCAGCGATCAAAGACGCAGATGGTGGCACGTGGCGCCAACGAGCGAGCGCCCACTCTTGAACTCCCGCCATTCCCCGATGCCGACCCAACCATCAAGACACGCCGTATCCGCAAGCGCAAGAGTTTGATGGATTTACTATAAACATTCATGGCATGAAGTCTAGCATATTGCGCAGTAGCCCGAATGGGCATGTAGCATTGAAAGCGGCAAATTGTGTTTCATCCATCTACCGGAAACGCATAAACAAGGCGCACGCTTATTCTTCCCAAACACCCGGTCCGCCTCTAGGATCCACTACCCAACCAACCAAAACTGCACACAGGCACTTTACCCTGTGCGCACCTCTATCAACTCTACGCTTCTTCTGCCGCTTGGCTCGGTGTCTTTTTACCAACCATGGTTGACGCTGTTTACGGATCGAAACGGTGTTTCAAGAGCTCGCTCAAACACTGTGTTCTCTTTCTTTCTTCTTTCTTTCTCTATCTCTGTTTCTCGACGCGTGCGCATTAGCATTTGCCCCGTCTTCTGGCGTTTCTTCCTCCTCCACGGCATTTTGAGGTTACGATACCCTCTGGCGGCGTTCTTCTTCTTCTTTCACTCTCTTATGTATGTTTGACCATCTAAATTGGTACGAGTCTTTAACTTTTTTTTTCTGTTACACCTTCACTCTGCTGAGGAACGGTACATGCGGTGGTGAGCTATCAGACGAAGATGCAAAAATAGCACAACGAAATATCACGATATCTCAAACCAAAACTTGTCCTCCATCTTGACCATGTCTTCAAGTCCCTACAACCTTGCTTCATCTCAAACACATCTCTGAACTTGTCGCCCAAACAACACGTGCCCTCCCGCTAAAACACTACTACCTGACTTTTTGTAAACTACACTGTGGACCCCTCCATCTCAAACATCTTACACAAGACACTCATTCCCAGCAACGTGAGCGACCGCTACCGGTGCCGCCCCTGTCAGACTGTAACGCCGGAGCATTTGCAACCACAGATCTATCGCTCGCACAGAACCAACTACGCAAGCCACGACAACAATCCCATCGCGCAAGTACTCTTGCCTTATCTTACTCGTGAGTGCACCCGTTATTTTTAGCACGCAGGTGGCTCTTTTGACTCAACTGCACTGGAGTAGCATGTCCTCTCTCATTTTATCTCCGATAGGTATACATGGGATTCGCAGATGCTGTTGGGACGCCGTTGCTAACCGGGCGTCATGTTATCTGCTTGCTTGGTTCAGCTGGCCTCTCTACTAGAGGCTGAATGGGATAGCTCAGCGAGCAACTACGCCCATCATCAATTTTACCACCATCGTCAGCTGCTCATGCTGCATGGACTGTCTATTCAATCCAAACCCCTCGGCATCTTCTCCTTCCGTTTTGCTCGTTGGGTTGCGCTAGAAGGGGTTCTTACGAGAGAACACGACTGCGCCCGGTCATTGTCTCGGAGATATATTTTGAAAAAAAAGTAACGTACATGTGAGAGAGCATCTTGCTGACGCACACATACGAGGCACATGATCTTTCTCAAGTGCTGATGGCAATGAAACAGTAAGATCAGCAGTGGGAACCAAGTCAGCATACACACACTCATCGGATCTACCATTGATTGCGGGGGAGCGCACGAGAAGAAAAAAAGAAATGGTTATTTTTATCCCTCTCTCCATATCTTGAGCAATGCAGGAGGACACTGATTGATCCGACTAAGGCACAGTCAGCTAAGCTGACCTCGTCAGAACAATGACTTTTCGCATCGTTTGCCAAGTACATAGAAAATAATACCATGGTGGTGGAGCTTTTTCATCACGAGGGAGAAAGCAACGTCGCTGCAATCCGTTGCTGCGACTCCGAAGAATGAATTCGGACCACGGAAACAAAACGAAACGAAACAAGGCGACGGAACGAAACGGAACGGCTTGGAGATTGGATTCGAGAAGCGAACGGGAAAATCCTACTCGTGCGTAGGGTTGAGTTTGAGCACGCACCTGAATGCGGCCGCGAAGCTAGAGGTAACCGCGAACGGGGATCGTATAGTAGGCAATGCGTTTTTTTAGAGAGAGTTGCACGACACCGTGCTGTGCGGGTTTAACGCGAGTACGCGCTGTGCCGTGAGTGTCCTGATTTTCGATACTTCTCCCCCGCGTGTTGGGGATTGGGAGGGGAAATGTATTTGGAGAGCGGGTATTTGATGGAATGTTGGTGTTGAGGTGATTGTTCAGCAAGCGCCGAAAACACCAAGCAGCGGCCGTTGAAGACGTGCCGCCGACTAACCAACAGCTCCACACAAACCTCATTTCCAGAAATCCCTCTTATCATAGATGGCCCCAAGGCATTTTCTCTCAACGTCGCGATCGGAGAAAATCGAGATCCTGGCTTATTTCTGTCCTTCGTTTTCGTTTCACCTTTCTTTTCCAACAAGTACCCGGGAGACTAGTTGACTATGAAGGCAAGTCACCCCTACTACCTAATGAACACGACCCCAAGCATCACCCCAACTCGTGACCACCGGTCTACTTGTTTCGACAACAGTGGAGAGGCGAATCCGCCACCATCGAAAAGTGTCAAAAAAAAGGCGCCACCTGCATGAACAATTGTAGCTCGAGGTTCTCCAATCATAACCCGCACACCCATGTCGATATCGAAAACAATAGTTTATGTGTGTTGTGTGGCCCTGTTTAAAAAAGGGGTCCCACAACGTTCGACTCGGGGGCAACTCGTTAACCTACGTACCCTAGCTGTGAATCATTGAATTTATTTATTCACTAAACCAACCCCCATCAATTCAAACCAATACGAATTCGAATATCCATCCCGCCCCGCTCTCCACCCCCCTTTTTTTCATTCCTGCTTGTCCCGAGCCGTGCTTCTTGCTATTGCTGTTGTTGATGTGTAAATTTTTCCGGACCCCTTCAATCCCACCGCCCGCTTGTCCTAAGAAAGATCCCGCAGGGAAGACGCTAGATAAAGATATTTCCGTCATCGGCTCCGTTTAAACAAAAAGAGCCATAGCGCTAATGTTATCAAAGGGAGAGAGAAAAGCAGGGTCAACACGATGCACCGCGCAGCTGCAATGGATTTCATTGAAATGGGGGTTTCATGTATATGCAGAACCAACTACCACCACCAACAACGACCAGCGCACAGGTACGCAAAGGATATTCTAAGCGAAGTATAGTGGGGAGATGGCAAAGCCTGGCAAGGTGCGTGGAATGGTTATCCTTCCCTCCGCCACCCCCCCAGAAAAAAAAAACGGGGACGTGGGTGGCCCAACTCCTTCTTCTACTTGCTCCACTGTGATTATTCCGCGCTAGAAGGAAATTCGAAGCGGCGAAGAAGGAAGGATTTTGAACTTGTTTTTGGGGTGGGGAAAAGAGAGGGTTAGGTATCTCCTGGAAGGGACGAGGGACGAGAGAATAATAATCAAAGATTGGAGGGTTTTTGATTCTTGTCGATTGGGATTTGGAAAGGATGGGGCGGGGGCATAATTGTCCTGAGGGTAGATTGATAGGATAGCACGGGCGCAGATATGATAATTATGGGGGAGAATGTATTGGCGCTTTGTGCTTGTGCGTGGGTAAACTGTATGCTGCCTCAAGCAGTATATTTTATATGAACGAAACGTTGGTTCCGGATGAGTTGACCCACATTTGATATATAAAAGCCTGGGTGAGGCCTTTTTTTCTTTCTTGGATGCTGAATGAGAAAGTTAGAGAACGCGGCATTGCGTGTTTGACCGAGTGCGGTTCTTTAGTTATTGCCACTCCAATCAAGAAAGAATAATGTGTGTGCGTGTGTCTGTATATATTCATTCCTCGCGCATGTTTTGTTTATGCTGGAATTGAATTGTAGGCTCGAGCGTTCGTGCTTCGTAGGAATTGCCATTCTGGAGCTTAGATGCATGCACAAATATCGTCGGAGCATATTACATGATATAACGAATAGACTCATTACTGAGGCTATTCAATAGACACCTTCGATAGCTATAAATTGATAGTTATGTCGGTAATCTGTTGTGTTGATGTATGAGTATCGCAATCGAGTGATCCGGCACAGAACGACAACGACAACACTGTGGACTCGCATATAGATGTCAGGCAAAATCGTTGATCTGGCGTAGCTTGGTGAAGCATGTGCAACGCGGGTGAGCTATCTTCGTCCTGTGTCATCGGCGAATTTCGACGACTTGCTCTGGTTTTTCCATAGTTCTTGGGAAATTGAAGAGGTAGGGTATCTGAATAGCGGCGTGTTATTGAGATTCCAATCCAGTTGTTGCTTTGAATCAAAGATGACACATAAACACAGCTCCGCGCAGGGCAGTGATAGACCGGATTCGGGCTGCGTGGCACCAGGGAAAGTCTTTTTGATTGCATAAACAAGATTGAGGAGATATACGTTGATTGACCTGATCTCAGGAAGTAGACGAGATGATGGATTAGGGTGCTTTAGGTTTTAATCGCAATGAAGATCAATGACACATATTCACTGAAGCTATTCAAGAGCACCGAGTTATCTGCACACTGGGGATGTTTATTTGTGCTTTGTGCCACAGATTGATATTGCAAACCATCCCTTTAGGCCCACATCACTGCTGTCTATCATTTTTGGCTGTAGAAGGTTCGAAAGTCCTCCTAATAATCCCATATTGAACCCGCAGAAAAAAAATAACCACCGCCTTGGGGTGCAAATTCAAACATCCACTGTACAGTCAGCTGATCCCAAAACTGAGGTATGTTTCTCGCGTCCAGTTTCATCCACCCAAAGTACGTTTGCCGTGGCAGGCGCCAATGTCTAGGCTCATGCTCGCTGGCAACATAATCGATTTCAACGCACTTCACCCACGGTTGATTCCTGGCAACTCCCACCATGGCTCGCTGCGCATCGATAACGTCTTGGTCGACTAGCAAAGCAACGCGGTGTTCTCGCCTATCTGCATTCATGGGTTCGCCACCGATTTTGTCCCGGAATGCGATGCGCAGCTCATCCATGCTCAAGCCATCATATTTGCTGGCGTCGGAGCGCGCATCAAGAGTAAAAAGTGACAGCAATTGCTGTGCCAGAGGGTCTTCTTCGCGTTTGTCCAAAATCTGGCTCTTGACATCAGCGCGTATCATCTGAACGAGTGCTGTCCAATGCTCATCAGAATCTTCTCCGTAATGGGTTCGGTAGATGGTGAAACCCCATGGTAGATAGTAGAGCAAAGCGTTTGTGCTTGTCAGGCTGGTTTCTTCGGGAAGTATTTCTTCCTCGGAAACACGCGCGAGACTGTTGAGGAAATCTTCCAAGTTTTCCATGACGAGCAAGTGAATGCTCTAGGCAGTTAGTGCTCCGATGCTTTATTCTTCTGGGTGAGTTGCTAACAATGGAATAGTTGACTTATACTGTGTATGTATCGGTGCGATAATCATGAATAGTAGTACGGATAGATCACGATAATGAGCAAGCGGATAAAGACGTGTGATTGAGGGGAGATCTTCTAAACAAGATGATAATTGCAGATGATACGATGCTGCCTATATTGTGCCGTATATATGGTCAACTGATGCGCTTATTGCATGACTTTGTCTAATAGAAGAAATAGAGAGGGGGTGTTAGAAATACATTTATTCAACTCCTTTTGGGACGAGTGCCAGTTGTGGTATCGGAGAGGAAGTCCCGTGGATCGAAAGGACGTCCTAGGGACAGAAGCAGTTTAAGTAGCACTAGTGCCTTAGCACTAGTTTGCTAAGAAGTGCTCTCTAATCCCTGCTGTTCCTTCAGAAGCTTCAGTAAACGCAATTTTCGAGTATTATTTTCAAAGCCATTGCCTGTTTTTCCAGTCCCTCTATTGCTGTAACTATCGCTGGATGTACTGTGTGTAGAATTGCCCAAACTCCAACTTACAACTCAGTTCACATTCATAATGTAGAAACAAAATACTCAACGTCTTCTTACTGTTAGGTGCCCTATCTTGTTGACAGTGCTACAGCCTATTAACTATTAAGTTGCTACTACACCTCTAGATTCAATATAGATTCAAATTATTCGGATAATTATTACAGTAGTTAAGAAGTAGATCTACCTGTTGCCGGGACCAGCTAATGGAGACACGCTCCTCCGTCCAACTTGATACTCCGCAGCCAACGGCACTTTCGCTACACGATTGATTGTCCCAAGTTCAACACCACCCTCACCCCCATTCATCTCGAGCTTTGCATCCTTTTCTCCAATCCAAACCTTCGCAACACCTAGATTTGGAGGCAGCGGATCTGCCCCCACTAGGTTCTTCCGTTCATTCTCGAATTCCCCTCCCAGCTTCGCCTGCCGCGTCATGAGTAGAATGGTCGAGAATCTGTCACTGTATGACGCGCCATTCGAATAGAACGCCCACAGACCTACTAAGCAAGCGAGTAGACTGAGCGCCACAGCAGTAGTATATGGCGCGATGAGGCGCCACCGCGTGTAAACGTAGCGGTTCTGCGGCAACAGGACAGTTACATTTGTTTTCGGTGACTTCTCTGACTCTGGGCTGGTGAGATAGCGCGCGTCGCTGAAGAGGCTGAGTGTCATGTTCTCGAACAGCTGCTCCATGGCCGCGGACAAGGGGCGCGTCGAGGGGGCGGTGAGGTTCGGTCCGCCTTCCTTGTCAAAGCAGGTACTGGCGTTTGCGCCCATGCTGCAAAATTCCATCGCGCGGTAGAGACCGCTGAGCTCGACCGAGTCAACCAGATCGGTGGTCATGACGGACGTTTGAGTAACCGTTTGCTGGACTATGTCGTAGTCGCTCCATGAAGCCATTTGGCCGACGAGCAGGCGACCGAGGGCATCCAGAAGCGAGTAGTAGGCGAGGCGCGTGAGATCGCGGTGGAATGTAGAGAATTGCGAGTCTTCCGATGTGCTACTGTCCACGGTTGCGTTGGGCAAGTAGCCAACGGGGTTTGTCAACGTCCGAGCCACAACCTCTACGTCTTGCGCTCCGCCCGTGACGTTAACATGGACGGTGTAAGTGGCGTTGTGTAGCGAACAATTAATGACTGTCCACGGCTGGTCGGTATACATGGCCTGCGAATACGACTGCACACCGACCGCGAGTGACGCGGGCTCCTCACCAGGGAGTTCTCCGTATTGGCCAATGGTATTCTTGAAATCAAAGGTTCCACCTGCGCCAAACATATCGCTCATAGTAACATTATACGAGCTGACGTGATGAGTGTAGTCTGGAACCCAGGACAGATAAATGGGATTATAGTCACAGCTGCTCTCTTCCGCTTGGCCGTTTCTCGTCCCTTGCTCGGCAGATATATCACACTTCACTTCTTTTGACATCTGCTTGAAAACGGCCTTGCGAACCGTATCGTCGTATTCGGCGCAATGCAGCGCAGGAGCATAGAAATTCAAACTGTACGATGAGTTCACCGCGGGCGCAGGAAAGTCCAAGAGGGAGCCCAAGGTGGCCACCGTGTTTACGAGCTGCTGAACTCCAAAACGGGGTGCTTTGTAGAATGGTGTCGAGATTCCCTCACCCGAATCGAGAGCCATTTGAGCAAATTTCTCCATGGCGAAGTCCGGTACGGACATGGAAGTTACGCGGTTCTCCTGCTGAGGATAGGGCGACAACTCCACCGTCAATGAAGCTGGTGGAATGATTGCCGCCAGCGGGATCAACCTGTATTTGTCAGTCTATGGAGATTTGGCTAAAAAAAAGTTACAGCTCACCATGCTATTGCCGCTATCGCGAACGGAGCTGGAAATTGAGTAATAGCCCTGACATGTCGGAACTCAAGAACGTTCTTTAATACCGACGACAGTGTGTCAATGCGTGACAGCGTTGTCTCTTTTGCTCGAACGTTGTGCCAGAACAGCTGCCAGAAAACCGTTGCAACAGAAATAGCGAGGAACATTCTCACGATGAAGGCAAATGCCGTGCCAATGGCGATGTTGACTTGTTGTTCGAATGCTTCGAACTGTTAGCGTACTGCTGGACTAAACGAGCATAACTTCATCTATCGTACCTGCATCCTTGGTTGGTACGTGGTGTAGCGACAGATAGAAGAAGTGATGGCCCAGGAAGAAGGCGAATCCAGCCGCAAGTGCGGACAGCATGACGACCGGAGCCTGCCAGTGAACATTCTCGACAGCCTGTCGCTTTGTGGGAAACGAATTACTCATGTTACTTGGAGCTCCGTGCCCTTCGACTCTGGTGGACTCCAACGGCCGATACATCATCGACCGCGGTCTTGACCTTATGAATATTGAGATGTGTATGTTAGAGGAGAAGTGCGTGTTCATTCGCTCGCGCATGGCATTTGGGGGCCTTATGCAAACCCACTTGGCGTACAGGGGTGAATCGACAGATCAAGTAAGGTTCGCCGATCCTAGAATTAACTAAACCTCAGATTCGGATTCGTGTGATTTGTGTGTGATTCTTGTAAAAAAGCAATGCGTTGTTGATACGCTCGTCGCTATGTCGATATTTGTGTTGATTTTGATGTCGATTACACACGTGGATGATTCAAAGCTTAGCAGCGCGAGCGATTGTACTATGTTTGATTCATGTAAGAGTCGCTAAAAGCGATCAAGTCCTCTTACTACACGCCTGCTGCCCTATAACTTTCCCATAGTCCACCGAGCTCCATCATCAGAGTCTCAGCAGTGGTATAACCCCGTCCGCGGATCTGACGAAAGAGCGACAAAATCATATCATGGTCATGGACCTGCCATGACCTGGCACCTGCCACTCTTAGAGGAAAGAACAAAAGGATTCCCGCAACGCCTACATCTAGCATCTTAAGACTCAGACGAAATATTGCCGCAACGTGTTGCTCTACTTCATTGCGGGTCAATATGGGTGCGGGTGGTGCGCCTTCCATGGTCCATGGCGCATGATAGTCGAAAATCCCAGATAAGTAGATGCTAATCGCATGGAAGTAAAGATTCCCTATGAGAAGATCGACTTCGACGGTCTCGGTATGATCAGAAATGCAGTGAGGTGTAGCTGACCAGAGTGCAGCCATTTCACTCCATTCTTCTAAGCTCTGTCTTAGTGATAGCCCTTCAAGCGCCAATGATGCAGGGCAGTCGAACTGTTGCATAGGCAACATCTGCTCTGCACTGGTGTGACAGAAGCGTAGTACTCGGATACCCAAATCCGAGAACTTGGGAAGTATGTCGAATAAAGCTTCTTTTGGATGCCACAGCGCCCCGCCAGCCCACAGCGTTGTCAGGGCATCGGTCCAGGCTGGCTCTGTCAGAAACGTTGGTTCTGTGAACAATAAAGACCGCGTAATCTCGAAGATACGAGTATCAAAGAAGAATTTGCGCCTCTGCTTGCTATGCTCGTCCTGAAGTGTGAGGCCGGATGGGTGCTGCAAGCGAAGCATTGCACACGTCCCACCGAGGAAATGCATTAACCAATTTTCTCCCGTGTTATCACGCATCAACTGTTCCACTTATTAAACGTATGCATCAATAGAAGAGCAAGTTGAGCACATACTTCGAAGAGTCCCAATAGAAATGTCGACCACAGCGTATACGACTCACTTTGAAACTTTTGGTTGGATATCAAGCACTGAACAGAGGTAACGGACTGGCCATAAGATTCCATGGCCTTGGTAAATTTTCCGCGGGTTTGAATCTGAGCATGCTTATCTTGTGCCGCTAGGACACTATGCAAAGAAGAGATGGCAGATATTGCATGCTCCGAAGCTGGCGAGGCGCGTAGAATGGCCCGTAGATCACTCTTTTGGAACAATACATGTCCCGAGAATAGGTTCATCGGCAGGAAGCATGTAGTGAAATAGCTCAAGTCACTTTCGAACTCGCTTGAGCGAACAAGTACTTTCTGGATGTCTCCGAGAGTCGTAGCCTGGGCTTTCTGACTTACAAATACCAAAGCCGGTTTCGATTCAGGGAGATGACTTTGGCAAGGCTGGCTAGTTTTTCTACAGTGCTCGCATGGCACACCCCCTTGGCACTTGCACCTTTTGTCAGTTGCGTTCGTAATAGACAACTGCGAAGCTCGACTTACTTTGATTTTGCGCTTGGAACATGCTTTGCACCTCTTTCTTCGCGCCCTGCGTCCATCGTAAGGTCCTGCACCTGGATGCATTTGGTAGGCGATTTCAACGTCGAAGCAGTTGTCAAACCTCTGTCTCTCGTAAGATCAAAATTAGCAGGGAGCATGTATCTCTGATGAGTTTGAGTCATCCATGGCGCCTCTTTGAGGGGTTGACGTACAGGCTAGCCAATACATGCATAGCTTCATGTCAGTTTGGAAGTAATTGTCTATTCGTTATTAGTAATAACGCCGTGAACAGGGAGCAGCAAAAAAGTGGAATGTGGAGTGAGACCCAATTAGGCAGCGAATGAACGCGTCTATCCCTAATCGGACTTAGGCCCTGCCCTTGCAATGCGGGTGTTTACCTGCTTGTGATTTTTGTAGATTACATGCTGAGATCGATGCGACTCGTTGTCGTCGGGCAATTTTGTTACTGACTAGTCTTCATCACTCTACCAATTCCTTAACCACTTCTAGTAATAATTGAACGCGCAGTGGATCGTTCAGGCTGTGCAACTGTTAGCTAACGCTGCAAGGTGAAATATAAAAGCCATGGTAGTCTATGAAACGATGTTTTCACTGCACAGCTTGTTTTATTCCTCAAAAAATGTGGCACACATTTCTCCAAAGTATTAAAGTGAATATTGTTTCTAGTCCTTGTTTCTACTCTTTGAACAATGTTTTCCCTCCCTCTCACGCTCTTGCTCCCGCTCCTGGCCTTATGCCCAAGCATTTCAAACGCTCGACCATCACATCCTCGACACAAGGATGCTACTACAGGAGTTGGCTCGATGATGCTGACCGATATGAGTCGTTCAGACCCATTCGCCAAAGACGGCCGACCTCGGTCTATCATGGTGTCTAGCTTCTTCCCGGTTTCCAACTGCCTCCAGAGGACCTCGATACCATACATGCCTCCGGGAACAGGAAAATTCATAGACGAAAAATTTGGGGCCTATGGTTTACCAAACGGAACATTCAGAGAGTTCACCATCGAAGTTTGTGGAAAACTCTCTAAACACGCACAATGTCCGCCAGGGGGTTGGCCGCTCGTTCTATTTTCCGGGGCGCTCGGTACCTCGAGACATCTCTACAATATCATGTTGCAGAATGTTGCAGCCAGAGGCTACCTGGTGGTTTCAATTGACCATCCCTATGATGCCGACATCGTCGAATTTACGAATGGTACCATCATCCACGGCGTTGATATCGGTAGCGACGCTGAAATCGAGCTCGCACTAGACGCGCGTGTCAGTGACATCATCTTCGCCCAAAACCAGCTGCGTAAACGATCCGTTGCCGACAAACTCTTCCCAGGGCATCTCCAGAATGGCAGGCTACCCAAAGTAGCTGTTTTTGGGCACTCCCTAGGTGGTGCAGCTGCAGCCGCCGCAATGTCCAAATCCACTGATCTTTTGGGGGGAGCCAATCTCGATGGAACTTTCTTCGGACCAGTCGTGACAGATGGGCTCGATCGCCCTTTTATGTTGATTGGCCATGAGAACAAAACAAGGGAGACTGATCCTTCATGGGATGCGATCTGGCCTCATCTGCACGGCTGGAAAAAGCAATATGAAGTAAAAGAGACGGCACATTATAGTTTCTCGGATCTTCCCTTCGTGGCTTTTGCTAGCGGTATTCAGGATCTACTACCGGTCGAAGTTGAGGGACTTCTTGGCAGAATGAATGGAGAAAGAGTCATGAAGCTGACTACCAGTTATGTAGTGGCATTTTTGGATATGTTTCTGAAGTCAGAGGCAGAAGGAGCGTTTCAAAAGCTCGGGAAGAAATTTTCCGAGGTAGTAGAAGTAGTCTGATCATTTCGATAATACTCGGCCGTACTTAGTACTCTATGAAAGCCATATCTATTCGACATTCGAGCTTGCATGCTCTCCAGTGATCTCGTTTCATATATATCCTGTTCTATGACAGCTATAGCCTGACTACATCGGGCGTGCCTTTCACGGAGATGATTCACATATGATGTAAAAACGTAGTTTTTGAGCTACTAGTCAAGCTAATGGACAATAAATCAAAGATCTTTGAAAATTTGAAGTTCTTCGTCACCTCAGACGCTGTTCCGATGCCTTAACAATCGAGGATACATTGCACGGGGTCAGAACCGGAATATTAATATTGAACTGTTCCCCATGTATATATCGTTATCAGTGAGAGTACTTCAATCAGCATTGGCTTGACGTTTGTTATCCATGTTCTAGGCAGGGAGTGTGGATCATGTCATTCGTAAACGGAAAACGTTGCTAGGAGATAATATGGTGAAACTACTCTTCAAGGTCAGTCATCGAGTGGACTCGGTTCGAGACTGAGAGCAGACATATATGAATCTAGTTGAATAATCTCTTCATATACTTCAGGAGGAGGGTTGTGTTCATTTCCATAGCCTCCCACGTTCCTCACCAGATATTTCACTCGACAACCGTCGAAAAGATCAATCTCAAGCACATCGACAACACGATCAGGCATGTTTTCCTTCATGTTGATTACCCTCTCTGCAATTACTGCCGCTTCAACAGTGGTCCACGCTCCCTCCCGTCTGGCTAAAATCCCAGAGCGCAATGTTCTTAATGCAAGCTCCTGTTCCTCGGGACATCCTCGCGTTGCGAACTGGAACAAGACAGGGAGATGACTCAGATACAAAGCAAACTTGTTGTTAACATAGTCGCTTTCTAGATTGTGGTAGGCCCACATCTCCTCTAAAGCTTTGGTACTCTCCGTATTGAGCAGAGTGCGACCTGGGAGGTATGCCGCGAGCATGACGTCCCACATCATCTTCATATACGAAATGGCACGCCGTTGCCGCTCGTCTTTTATCTCGTGGGCTATCATCTGCTGCTGCAGAGGCTGGAATGCTCGATCCCAACTTTGCACGCCTGCCTTGAGCCTATCGACTTCGTGCTGACCCTCTACCGATCGAATGACATCTTGGATGCCACTGTTGCCGGTCGGACTCTGGCTCTTGAACCGTATAATCGTATTCATTGACCTGTTATGAAGAACTTGGTAATGATAGAATGCTTGCTCTGCACTAGCGAAGCTGGCTGGTATATCGAGATCCCATATTCCAGAGGTTAAGTGCAGCTTCGAGTGTTCGAGGCCTCCCATTTCCAGTGCCTGGTATGTAAGCATGACTAACTCATCCCGAAATTTCTTAATCATCGTTTCGGAGGCTTTCTTGTGGTTTTGCTGGGATTGCAGGAGTTTTTGGTGTTCCTCGATCATGTTCATTCCAGAAATGGCGTGACGGAGGGCACTAGACCACGAACCCCGAATATTGTCGAGTGCATAAAATATTATGGAAGAGACTATAATTGCTTCCATGCTGTCTTCGTCTCGACTGGTACTGACGATGCCGTTGATGGCTTTATTGTAATGGTGTATACTGCTTTGTTGTAGGCTGAGTCGAGCAGAGGAAGGTTGTTGATACAGTTCATACATGTTGCTTAAAGCGATCAAAGCGGACATGACAAAGGGGTATTTTTCGCTCATTTGGAACACGGTTTTGGACCATAGCTCGGAGTAGAACGGGTATGTGATAGCCGGAGCTGCTTCCACGCGGTAGTGATGCAGAGCTCGCTGGGTGCAAGCATCTAGGTCAGGAAAGGTGGGTGGTGACCGCGAGACGGTGTATATGATGAAACTTTTGCGGGTTGTTCCTGGTGGCCGAGCGTATTCGCAGCGTCTTCCGCCTTTCAGGCATCTTTTGCATTCTGGGCGAGTTTCATCACACTTGACATGACGCTGCTTGCATATTCGGCAGCCTGCTGCTGACCGTGGGCCCTGCACCTATTCCACGATTCAAAATCAGTTCGGTTCAAGCTGAGATGTTGTGAGTTGTTGTTGAAGTTTTCGTGTCGAAGAAATCTTGATTCGGGCGATAACTTACGCGAAGTCGTCTCTCTTCAGAAGGAGTAGACATGTGATCGAAATATGTGTATAACAGTGTACAGAGAAAGGGAGATAGTGCAGATAGTCAAGGCTAGTGAACAGGAGTACTCGGGTTTATTGTCCCGTTACAACTTCAGTCGATCTGGTCTTGCCTGTTTTATAGGCGAATCCTTTAACGTTTTCTGCTGGCAGAGGAGCCCATCTCGATGCCCTTAGTGAGACACCCTAAATCCTTGGCGGCGAGCGTGTTCCCATCTATGAACCCTTAACAGTGACCAACATTGAGCACGATACTCGAATAATGGTACAGTGGGGGCGGTTTTGGCTTTAACGAGAGTCCGTTACGCTACGGAGATTTTCGAGCAGGGTCAGGGAACATTCAGGCCTAAGCGGCAACTACGCTTATATGCGCCAAAAGGGATGCTCCCACCATTGAGGTATTGCCATGTGATAGAGAAGAGCAAGCAGATAATCATATGCATATATGACGTACTTGGGGCTTGTCATTCGCACACGAGCGCATGCGAGGCGTCTACCGAATGACTTCTAATGTGGAATCTCTGTAAAGTCGCAATGTCATGTTCACGGACCTTCATCCAGGAAGCTAGTGTACTGTGGCACCAGCACAGATCAAATAGTACTGACGGAATAAAGAGAGCGAGGTCTGTTCGCCGACATGGAGAGACAGGGAACAACGAGCACTACCATAAGAGACATGGATATCAGTACAGGAGAGGAAAGGCTTGGATTATATCCATGTGAGCAGATTCATTTAGAACTAAGGTATATAACAGATATTATAGGGCAGTAAGAGTTTATAGTGTATGAAACCCCAAGCTCTGATCTAGATGACAGTGGACTAGTAGGATAGTCGAGCACGTCACCAGGAGTGTGTATCGTAACATATATTGCTCCTGTATAACCGTCACTTAATATAGATCTCATTAACCTGGTCTTACAAGATTGAGGCAGGAGAAAGGCTAATTTCGGTTCTTCGACATGATCACCAGCGCCCTTTCCGTGATCGGCAGATGTGCAGAAGCGTTTTCTATGCCTCTTTATCCTGTTTTCTGGCGAGTAAACATATATGTGACTCGTTATTCAAGACCAGGTGGTGAGAAACAGCAATCCTGGGAAATTGATTAAGAATTTAATCGCATTCCTCAACTAAAAGAGGTAAGTGCGCATACAATGGCGGAACACTTGCGCCTATATCCGGTCCCAGTGTCTTGGGATGTTCTGGCAACGCAATTTGGTCGTTGAAATGGCGTTTTTGCACTACTATTCTGATGCTTCGTCATTTGGATCACGTTGAAATCACCATAATACTTGCTTGCTGTTCACTTTTGACGCTCTCATGGTCTCGTGGTTTGTTAGCCTGGGTGATGTGAGTTCAAGTGATTCAGAATTCAACCCCCCACTCTTCCCCTATGCCCATTCCGACGCCGGAAGGCAAGCTAACGGAGGGACAATCAGCTTGCCTCGTATTGGCCCATGTTATGCTAAAAGCTCGACTACGTACTCCACTCTGTGCGGACTGTTGCACGTGCAGCTGTGGGTAAAGTCGAAGTCTGTTTACTTCCTCGGTGAATATCCCGTCTATCAGCTCGCTTCAAATTTCCTTGTTCAGTGGCTATACGATATGCGGTGTTGCTCCTTCCTACCGGTGGGTGGCAGGCAGGGATTCATAGTCTTGGTGTTTTGAGACAAGAAACGTTTTCACACATATAGACAAGGTTCTTTCATAATACGATCTAGTGGAGATTCCGAGTAGCAGGCATGACAATAATTACTTAGTTAACGGCCAGCATATTCAGTAACAATTGTTCGCATAGATACGCATGGGTTCAGAGTTCACCTCAAAGTGCTAGGGATTGTGTCACACTTAACGCTACTCCAGCCTTACAAGTACGCCCAATCAGGGATGCCCATGAGGGATAGGCAAGGGAGTGCAATGTATAGCACAAAAGGGTTGTACAAATCTTTGTGCAGTGAATTGTCACTGAATCTGCTAAAAATCTTGAGTTTCGGTTACATGTGTGTAAAGATGGGCAATGGAGAAGAGATCATTATTGCGCCAATCAGAGATCATGTAGAGGTAATGATATGTTCCTATCCCAGTAATGCCTGCATCATGTACAATAGCACGTGTATATACAATACACGAGAGTTCCACCTTGTACACAATGTCTATCTTTTCGCTACCATCCTTGCCCACACGTGGATCAACGACGCTACGAGCTGTTTACGCTTTGTAGCATAGTATACGCCTTGATATGGAAAGGTGAGGCCTTGGTAAAATTGGCGAGCGCCATCCGAACTATGCGTTGAATACATCCGTGCAACTTCCAACATTGAGTCAGTCAAGTCGATTTACACCCGGTAAACTGAGTCTGAGAAATATAGCAATCACAACTCTTATTCGAGTTTCGATATGCGTTTTTCACCTATAATGATGTTCTTTTTGACTCTTTTTCCTATTAAATTATCAATGTGACGTAGAATTTTGAGTACTAGTAACATTCATTCTTCTACGGTTACCTACCAAAACTCCAGTCACTAAATCGTATACTTGATGTCACATCCAATCCTTGTAGCAGTTGGGGAGGATCATCGCCAGCCCTCAGCCTCAGCTCTTAGCGCAGCAATCTAACAAAATCTACTCTTTACGCGACCACCCAAGCTAGATCCATTGCCTAGATACTCAAGTCGTGACATTGGACCGGTCAAGAATAGACTGTGTAGTTTTGAGTAGGAGGCAGTGGGGCAGGAAGAAAATGAAATTACGACTGCCTAGACAGGAACCTGCCATTACCAATCCTACTTTCTATGCACGCAAGACCAAATACATTGATCCATACACACCTATCCTTCCTTCGCCTCCAATGTTCAAAGACTACTATCTCGTACATTTGCCTATTCTGTGAAGATATCCTAGTAAGTTTCTTCATACCGTGCCAATCAAGCACCATACACCACACATCACACAACAGAAAGTTACAAGCCCTCCCCGAATTCTTCTCACAAAAGCTTCGACCCGCAAAACCTTCCTTATTTATTCTAGCCCCATTTCAGGATCAAGCTCGCTACCTACAACAAGCAAAATCACATGTAGATAATATAGATCAATACGAGGAAGCTCAGACTGCAAAGCAGTGCATACTACACGTACCGGACCAATTTCCGACCTTAATAACCACAATCCCCCAGTACAGTTCACGTATCGATTAGGTTTACAATGCATGTAAAGTGTATTTCGGCAACGACCGCGTCGCCATGCTACCAAAAAAAGGATCAATAACGTACGATCCTACTACATCCAAATCTCATTCCGTAGAGCACTCCATACACCGGTGATCACCACGCGACCTGGAAAGACCTGTGGCCAAAGCGTATGCTCTTTCTGTACGACTCTGCATATGCACTGCCACTACAAACGTGAAATCGACACTTTCATGACCTGGTGACCACTAATCAAAATCCTCAAAACTCGAAAGTTGTTCCCCTCGCGACTAATACAGACGCAACACAGCACAGATTCGAGCTGGCAATACATATCTGGCTTAATTGCAAACCAATCTGCTCGATATCATTTTACACAAGCCAGCGTCAGTTGATTTCGAAGCCCCAGCTGGGAGCGCTCAAGCACACAATGAATAGCATGATGAGACTCTAAGAAACAACAACACTCGTGAACGCTTATTTATCAACCAATCGTCAATGCCTTCGGCCCTCCCGCCCCCTTCCTCCCCATCTCTTCCTTCAATCCACGGATTCCATCCCACGCCCCCAGCTTTAGCACCAGCCCTGTGCCTAGACCCCATGGCGGTCGATGCTGCGCTATACCCTGCTCCAACGGCCTACACCCTCGCATAAAAGGATTTCCATAGGGTGGTCGTATGAATTATGACGTTTTCAGCATTAATGGGTCGCGTGAATGTGTCTGAAGCGTGATTATGTGATGGTGGTAGCGGAGGTAGGAGATACGATTTAGCTGCGAGCTTTGGGGGAATGGCTGAGGGGTAGCGGACGGATGATGGACCGAGCTATTAGGGGGTTTACAGGGTGATGATTATCTGATACTGCTGTAGCCACTGGGTCTATTATATGATCATCGCATTTTCCATGCGCCACAAACACTTGATATTGTTGAATCACGGTAAGAGTGCCTTCGAGCTCCAGGCAGAACACACACGTTCCGTGGTTATCGCGAAAATGAATTCTGCAGGGAAAAAATAATGTCGCTACAATTCATTAAATGTGTGAATGTGGGACTCAAGCTCCCGCCTGATTTTGCATATTTGGAAAAATGTTTACTCCGGAATTACGAGAATGACTGAGTCTCGACCTCCTGTTTTGATGATCCATCTCTTCGTCCGTACTTTCTGTTCCGTGTGGACCAGTCTGGCTGGAACAAAACAAGTGGAGATGTTGTTCTCCTTTGTCTCGCTAGAATGTTCAGCTGAGAAATGGGACATGGAGAAGCAGGACGAGGAAGCACGAGGAGAAAGGGGTATCGATGTCCTCGTCTCCAGTGATTGAAGACTCCACCGCCCGCACAATCATTATCGCGATTTATACGTTAGTTATTACATTGAAAGTGCCATTTTGCACCGATTCGTCATGGGAGAGTGTCACGTTTAGAGTAGCAAGGACGTATACATGTGATGTACTGTATTATTGTGGCTAAGTGTACGTGTGTGTTTGTGAAGGAACGCCCAAAATTAGATGGAGGGATGGAGGGGGGAAAGAGAAGTAAACAGATAAGAAAGTGGAAGTGAACCAGGGTATCGCCAATCATTCGATTCGGCGAGGTGTATCCGAAGAAGAAACCTCTTCTGGTGAAGTGACACCAGCTCGGCTGCTCCGATAGGACATTTCTTGCCAAAACAAGAATGGTGTGGGCCATAATGTGAGGATGATCATAAATTCAAAACCAGGAAAAAAAAAAGGAGTCGAGGACCGTCGACGGCTTGACATGGGGCCGATTCGGCCCTAATGATCAAATTATATCCGTCTGGTGCAAGTTTCCGATGGGAAGAGCTGAAAACAAGAGGATACGAGGTGGATTGGCGGGAAGGATTTCTTCACCGGAAAAATCCCCAACTCCAAACCTTGCTGTGAGGGTTCTCTTGTCCTCCTATTCCACCCAGGAAATGCGATGTTGGCCCCCATGTCCGTCGCCCTTCCACCCCACCCCTTGCTGTTCCTACCTAACGTCCGCATGTTACTAAGCCTTCCGGTTACCCAGCTCTCATGCAAGCATGCGCGTCAACTTATCCGGGATTCACCCGCGCTAGCCACCCATGTCCACTCTGATTCTTCCAAACTTCCCCAACGAGAACGTTCTGCAATGTCCGAGTGGGCGATGGGAGATGATCGACCTAACGAGCTATTTCCTCACACTTATGCTTCCATATTTGCTCTTCGGACTGGTCTTAGCTTTCTTGCGTGTGGGAAGCTGGCGCGGATTCGATTTCGTTCCATCAACGGCCTTTTTGACGACACGGGGAGTCGATTTGGCGGGTTTTTGCTCAGTGGTAGCTCGTGATGCTTGCTTGATTTCTGTCTTGCCAAGTTCGCTGCGTGATCGAGGCTGGTCTCCTGCCTTTGCTGGTTTGGCTCTCTTTTTCGGCCTCTCCGACTCTTCTGATTCTGGTGGCAGCGCGCCATGCTCTTTGATGTAGTAAATGATGTCAAGCGCGATTTCGCTAAATTCCTGAGGTCCTCGGATGTGCGTATATGCTGGTTTGAGGACTTCCTGGTTCCGGAGGTTTGGTCCTTCCTTTGCAAGACCCGTACGCCAGCGGGCCGCAGATTCAAAGAAGACCTCACCCTCATCTATCTCGTCCGCATCTTGCTGAGGGTCCGAAGCCAGATCAAATCCAGATACGTCGCCCATTTGGTGGTTATAATATGAATCAAGCACCATATTGCAGATGTTGTGGAAGTTGAGTATGGCAGTTGCAGGATAGGCATCTGGCACTTCTAGAGCTTTCTGATTGGGTAAGAAAACCTCTCTGAAGAGAAGCAGCTCTTGAGAAGCAAAGTCTTGAGAAAGGATCAGCTTCTCACGGATACAACCTGGGATGGAAACCGCGATCTCACGGGGATCGTTCTTGGCCACGGGTAGCTCGATGACTTCGTATGCAGCAATTTTCCAATCTATGTCGACGCAAGGCTGATGCCCGTCGGCCAAGTCTTCGGGCTGGTCCTCAATGGAGTCGTCTTCGGCGGGTGGTTTTCCAGCGAGACGGTTCTGCCTACGCTTCCAGAGAGGCTCATCGTCTGAATCGTCTGAATCGTCTGAATCCCCAATTTCATCCTCAAGCATTGTTTCGTTGCCATCCTCGTTCTCGATTTGAAGTTTCTGAACCGGCCGGACAGGAGTCTTCAGCAGACCTTCATATGAATCATTCCCCCCTAAGCCATCTTGAGATGGAGCTTTCTTTTTTACTGGTGTCTCGCCTGATGTTTCTCCATCGCTACCCTCACTGACAGACCCTTGAACAGCCTCAAAGCCCTCCGTTTCATTTGATGCGTTTTGTTGGTCAGAGGATGTCGGGCGCTCCTCCGGACCGGAAGCTTTCGAACTTATTGGTGTGTCTTCAGATCCTGAATCATCATCCGTGGATGATTTCTCGTATTCTTCGTCTGACTCTATCACTGTGTATCGCTTTCTCTTCTTGACCTCTGAACCGTTTTCAGGTAAATCAGAAATCGCATGAGCAGGTGCAGGTGCTGAGAATTGGCCACGGGTAGGATATGTTGGATGTCTAGGTGCCATCATATGATTCTGTCCCATGAGAGTTGGCGTACTTGGGTACACATAAGGATTGTAACCGCGGTTCATTGCAGTGAACATGTTAGCTTGTCCAGCTGCACTGCGATTGCTAGTCGCGGCGATATTACCCTCGTTTGTCCCTCGGTCCATGTAGGCATTCAATAATTGCTGCTGATGCTGCAAAAATTGCAGATATTGTTGGCGTGATGCCATCTGCCGAATCGGTAAAGTCGAGGCAGCACGCATTTGCCCGAGAGGAGTACCAAGCGAGGAAGATGCGAAAGACTGAGTATATCCGGTGTGTGTGGCAGGAGGTTGACGGTGATGTCCGGGTCGAAATATTGGCTCTGACTGCTGCTTCTCCTGCTGCTGCTGCTGCTGCTGGATACCAGACTCACTCTGAACGTCATTGTCGGAGTGCACGGGTTTTGGCTGGACTCGCTGGGCGAATATTGGTTCCGGCTCTTCCACTTTGATCGGTGAAGTTGGCTCCAAAGGCGGTTGATGCTGCTCCTCCTGGGTGCTGGGTTGATGTGGTTCCGCTTGGGTACTGATTGGATTTTGCTCTGTTTGCGCGCTGGGTGGATGAGGTGTGACTTCGCGCCCACCGTCACCGTCACCATCGCCATCAACACCAACATCCGTTGAAAGTGTCGATACGGGGTTCTCCGCATCGGCATTTGTGCCCGTGCTCGTGTCCATGGTCCTGGTTACACGCGGGAGGGAATATCCGTCTAGATCAACAGCTACTGAGCGCGGATGAATATCGGAAAGCAGGCTGGCAGGCTGAGTAGACATGAAGCCGAAGCTCTTGTGTAGAGCTGAGGTGGCGTATATCTCCAGGGAAGAACAAGCGTCGTATCTTGATGGAAGATAACGAGCGGTGGAGAGTGGGGGAAGAGAGACAGGAAGATGTTTGCACGTGGCGGAGAGAAATAGGACACTACGCGACCGGGCGAACGGGCTTTCACTTGGTGTCTACCTGGCGTTTGTTCTATTACCTAAACACACCGGCGTGGGACGAATCATGGGGTAATATGGGGCAGTGTTGTGAAAGCCCCTCCCCAAATCTCCAGGTCAGCTTCGAGATTGGATGAGTCCAAGATATTTGATTGGATTACGACTTCACCGCAGTTTCTAAAAGAAGGGCTCGAAGAAGGATCGATCGAGCCGTACATGACTACACGGGCTGGACTGAGGTAATAGAATCAGTCGAGCAAGCGTTTGCGAATGTCTGATGCGCCAGTTGCGAGTGAGCGATGTGACGCAAATTCGTGTGTGCGGGGAGTGAATTTTTTCTTTTGCCGTTGGGTCTGCAGTGGTATTTCGTATTGCTATTCATCTTCCATTTGTTGTGATATCTCAAAAGCTATTTCGTCTTTTCAAACCATGCTCTTTATATCCTCCACCAACGTTCCCACGATGCCATCGAATAACGGCGCGAGGCTGCAATCTCGGTATTTGTCCACCAGCAACCCGTCACTCGTCTTCTCTGCACTAGTCGTTGAACCTTCTTCGCTTTGCTTCTCGATTGCGACCTTCCCCCCCACAACGGTACCTTTCGGGTAAACTGGTCGGACGCCCTCTTCTATCAACATCACAAACGCTGGGTCGATAGGCACGCTGCCTAAGAACGGTACGCCGAAGTCGTCCGCCATGACCTTCCCCCCGCCCTTGCTGAACACATAGGTGCATTCGCTACAATTCGGACACACGAAACCTGCCATGTTCTCCACAACACCAAGCACTCTGATGCCAGTCTTTTTACAGAAATTCAACTCCTTCTTGACATCGGATATGGAAATGGCTTGCGGTGTGGTAACCACGACGGCACCAGCAAGTTGACCGGGTGGAGCGGTAGGACCGGACGTGGACTTTAGAAGAGTTTCAAGCAGAGATATGTGTTCGTCGGAAGTGCCTGGGGGTGTATCTACGAGGAGGAAGTCGAGAGGCGGCCAGAGCACATCTGTGAGAAACTGGCGCACCATTGCCGTCTTTTTGGGACCGCGCCAGATGACAGCATCGCTACGATTCGCGAGGATGAATCCTAAAGACATGCATGACAAAGACCCTACATCTTTCTCCACGGTGGCGCTATTAGATGTACTGCCATTCGAGGAGCCGTTATGTGATGATGCGGAGGCAGGTAGGTTTTGCTTGTCGTGAACGGGCACAGGAATCCAACCACCGGGCGCTTGCCGCACTTTATGCTCTTCAATGCCAAAGAAACGGGGTATTGAGGGACCTGTAAGATCTATGTCGAGGACGCCGACCGAATGTCCTTGTAGTGATAGCGTGAGAGCAAGTTGGGTGGTGACGCTTGATTTGCCTACCCCTCCTTTGCCGGAGAGGACGAGCATGATCTTCTTGATGTTTTCGAGCGGCATCTTGCACGGTTCTCAGTCAGGTACAAGCGTAGCCAGGCAATTCGGGTGAGCTGAAAGGAATGTACAAGAAAGATGAACAAGCATGGTGTTTGGGGTGCAGTTTGCGTCAAGCTTTGAAATCGAAAAAAGTGGCGGGGTCTTGCGGAGATGGATCGGAGGTGCCAAAAGGGAAAGTTGTAGCGAGTGGATCCGGTTCAGGTTACCCAATAATCATCACAGCTTTCACTTCGGGTAGCACTTGATGTTTATAATAGCCAGGCAATTCCAGCAAAGTCTATTGACCGTTTGTGCGATTGCAATAATTGATGAAATCAACGAGGGCAGGAAATCATTCATTTTGAGCCCAACGTGGCCCAGGTTCGGATTCTCAGAGGGTGACGGAAAGGGCAAGAAAGCACGGGACCACAAACAGGAGACAGATCACCAAGAAGTAAAGAACGACTGATCCAGCGTGTATAATTGTATATTGAGAAGTATGGGCATCCGCCGCATTAAAGGTCCTCTAGGCTATGAACAAGGCCTAATCGCTTACAATGTAGGAAATCAATAAGTAAGAAAGACGGCCGTAATCATCCCATCGCTACTACCTCTCCATTTCTCCCAGCACCGTGTGCGTTATTCTTTCCTAGATGCCAATCTCGCCGAGCCTCGGCTGTCCTCCTTTCCAGTCATCACGCTCAAAGTACCTGAAGACTAGGTCATATCCGTCTAGGTTATGCACGATTCGATCGACGCGCCGGTAGCCTGCAATGGCTTCCATGCGCTTGCTCTTGCCTGCAGTCTTACTGACAATGTCCTCACTCGGTTTGGCTTCGAAGAGTGTAACGCTGAACCGGCCCGGTTTGAAGATGCCGACCACATGCTCGACAATATCGGCAGTCTCGCGACCAGACTGGTGTGCAGGCACGTTGGTCTCAAAGGAGGCGTAAGAGCATTGCGGCTCGGGCGTAACGTGGACAGTGAAATAATGGGTCGCACCAGACCCTTTCTTGGTTTCGTTGACAGCACCAGTGGGTGCGGGAACCACGCCATTGGCGGAGAAGCCGCAAGGGGTGAACAGGTACGAGTCGATGCGAGCTTCGGGATACTTGGAGGTAGGATAAACGTCAGCCAAGCCACAAGACTCCGAAACGACAGTTCCTAGAGTATGGCCCTCGGTGGTCAACTCCTCTGGGAAAGTCAGCGGCTCCTCGTCAGAATTGAAGCCTGAATGATCAGATGATGTCTGTTCAAAGACATCAAAGCTGTCATCAGACACAGTGGCAGCTGGGTTGAGGATGGCTGAATCTCCAATTTTGCCGTTCTTCTTCTCTTCTTCAGGAATCGAGCCGAGAGATGTAATAGCACTCTTACGAGCCTCACGAGCCTTTTGGAGATAGCGACCTTCCGCGACCGCACTCGCGTCCTCGAGATAGAACTGACGGGCATTCTTCTCGTCGAGGTCAGTCATGAGAATCTCCAAAGTCTCGTCTCCCTCTTCGTCCGTTTTCTGCTCCGGCAGCATTCGCTGAGGATGGCTCACAAACTTGGTCTCCGTCTCGGGAACCTCTCGGTCCGGAGTGGCAGGTGGAGTCAAGCTCGTGTCCGGACCAGTAATGTATAGGTACCAGTGTTCTCCATTCATTTTGCCAATCATATAGGCGCTGCCACCCTGGAATCGTTGATCGAGATAGCGAACCTCATCGCGCCAACTGCGGTGGGGTCCACGCTGCTGGTCAGGATAAAGATAGTTCTTCCTGCTGTAGAAGACACGATATGGAGTGGCAGCAGCTGCACCGCTGCTGGCGGACTGTTCCACATGGGGAAATCCCGCATCTAGAGCAGCAATTTCCAGCAGGCGAGAAATACCCCATAGCAGAGTAGTGGTGCCGCATGTTTTGAGAACAACCTTGTGTGGGAATACAAACATGCTCGACTCGGAGAGGAGGTAAGCATCGACATGCTCGGATTCGATGACAGAAAGAACTTTGCAATTCACAAGGTCCAACATTTCCTTCCACACATCAGCGGAGACGGCCTTGAGCCCGAGTGGCCCGGCACGACCCGGAAGGTCGTTAGCAGAGGAACTGAACCATACTTCAAGAAGCTTCTCGGGACCTTGGATCTGTTAGCTTGCGATTGGCATGGTGTACGGGAAACAGTGTACCTTCGAATGCGTTTGTAGAGTCGAGGTCAATAGTTGCTTCTTTGTTGATGGTCAAATGCGGCGTGCCCATAAACGAGGATGGAGACGCAGTATAGTGCGGAGGGATATCGGGGTTGACCATCTCTTGAGTACTGGGCGTGCAACTACACAGGTTCGCTAGACTCTGTTGGCTATTGCTGATTGGGGTGAGGGCAGTATCCAGATGCGTGGATAGATTGGCTGACGGCAGTGAAGCACAATCTGCCGCTCAGACAAGCAATGCGGTGCTCGCCTGAGAAGAGAAGGCCCACGAAAGGGAAAGGCTCGTGTGGGCTGGCGGCTGCCAGCTATAGTGGATGGGTGAGGTGGTAACGTCCCGTTGGGCGTTAGGGAGGTCGAGCGGAGAGGGGAATAAACGAGGCTTTGCGCCGGGAAATGTTGTCAGGCGCTGTAGTCCTCGAACGACCAGATTCCGATACCCTGGTCAGGAAGTATCGGGTCTAGCAGACGAGGATCTGCTTGTTGGGGTAATGGGGTAATGGGGGGAGAAGGGTGGAGTAGCGGGTGTTATCTGGGCCTGAGTGTGGCGGTCAGTACATGCATGCCAACATGAAGCTGCGATCAAGCTTGTTGGTGTTCCTGAAGAAGGAGTGTTGCCAGGTGGTGGTGGTGGCAGACGATGCAAGCAAGACTCACTTTGCGGGCTTGGACAGAATTCGCACGAGGTCCTCGCGACGCATAGAAAAGTTGGAGGCGGCGAGTGAGAGGGTCTGCGGGCTGTGACAGCCTAGACAGTACTGTGAATCTCAGAGAGTAAGACTGCCAGTTTGACGGTGCCAATTGAGGGGGTGTTGAAAGCGACGGGCGATCGCGTGTCACGAGTGACTGACGGTGAGAGCAAAGTGTTTGTGGGTTGGCGACAGGCGGGTCCAGAAACACGTAGGGCGCGCGCCTTTTGGCTGGCAAACTCGCAATGCCTAAACAGATGAATGGATGGGTGGACGGTGTAGTAGGTGAAGTGAAGGATGGTGAGGGCGAGGTTGCGCTGGGTAGAAATTTCTGTGGTGGGTTCCCTCCAGTTGAGCCATTTTGCCCAACCCAGCTACGTCAAGTGTGGCTGGCCCGACGCTAACGTTGGTTGCGGTGCGTGAGCCCAAGCGCGCCATATATGTACCATGTATGTAGTGTACTTCACTTGCATACAAACTCTGTACGTACATACATGACTTAACAGAACCCCCGCTGTCTATAGCACCACTGTTTAAGCCGCCGACCTTCATTTTTCTCCCCCATTATCCAATTTTCCCTTCACCCAACCTGCTTATCCCGCACGCCTACGTATGAACAAGTGAATATCGGCATCAGTGCACACCATGGATCATGCATGGCGCCATCCATCGTGGACTTCATCGACCGATGCGTGGGCCCGCCAACAGCCATGGTCCAACTTCCAACTATCACAGTTTGCTACGCCTGCCCACGGGCAACAGGAAGACCCACGAGAGCAAGCCCAGTCTCATATTGCTCCCTTTGCTATACCTGCATTCATACATCCACTCCCTCCATAGCCACCCACCTAGGTATTGCAATGACTACACCCCAGGCCGACCGCTAATGGCCCGCGGTCCGCCTACATGTATGCGCCCTGCCCACGCCCGACCCAGCATGCGCTACTGCTGCCACTGCATTCTACAGCCTCTTTTCTGCCTCTTTAATTGTCCGATCCGAGCTATATGCGCATACAGCGCAGCAATATAGCTATAGCTGTCTTCCACGGTTTTTATCCTCGCCCGCCGCTGCCATGGACAACTTGCCCACCTGGGAAGGTTCCCAGCTGTACCATGCTGATCCCCCATCCCTTGTCTGATCAAAATCCTCTCCGCTTCTTCTTCTTATTCTTCCCATGCTTTCTTGCCGTGCCCCCCAAGCTTTCCCACCATCATTCCCTTGCAAGTACATTTGTGTCGCTATATCCACTCTGCAACCTCCATGTCCATCAACGCCCGCGCCGTGGTGGATGCGTTCAACACTTTCTCGAAGCGACACCCATGCCACCAGTGGTAGTCCAAATCATCTAAAGCCGTGGGGGTCGGTAAAATGACAAGAATAGGCACAGGTAAATGACGCTTCTTCTGTTTCCTCCAATATCTGCGCCAGACCGTATTTGTTTGCCCCTCCCTACCTTGGCTCCGTGCATCTTGTCGAGATTGTACAGGTGTGTGCGTATTCCAAGGCCTCTGCGTCCGTTCCGACCATGTATTTCCTCTCTACACACAACCCATCGGCAATTGAGTCGTCGTGAGACACCAACGTAGTCTCAATCTGCTTGGTGTTATTGGATCGTGTTGCCTTCCCTTCGAAACTTATCGGATGCAGGAGCCTTGATTCAGGAGGTGGGGTGCATTGGCGTAGGGCAAGTTGGGGAGGATCGATGGGTGAGTCGCCGACGTTCGAAGCAGATGACCTCGTCATACATGACTTTTTGTTGCGTACAGGTCTTTCTGAAAGTCCGAATACAACAAATGTCCTCGACCCTCTTCGTCAAACACGATGTATCTTTTTGCATGATACACTGTCATTCTTGCGATCCAGAAAAGAGCAGCACTGCCATATCATACATCCGTCCAGGAGGCATCGGAGTGGTTCGACTGGCTGAGAAGGAGACGTAGCTACACTGTTGAACATTAGCCATTCGAAGCACGAGGTACGGATTGTCCAGTCTACCTAATCGACCTCTCTGGTGTTCTTGTTTATCCCCTAGGTCATGGAGGTCTGAAAGATCCCAGAATTCTCTTGTTGCGCACACCGTTTCCAGGACAGTCGACATCGTCCACGCTTGCGGAAAGCGAGGACCTAATACCGCGAAGACAGACCGGACACGGTAATTGAAAGAGCTGAGTGAAGATTTTGAAATTCGAATCGTCGATGTCGCAAAGTGATGGAAATGTAAGCAACCCGTTCAAATCGAGCGCAGGCAGCCACCTCCAGCGGCTGCAAGTCACAAAATCCCTCCAGACAGAGAGGAATATAGCCGATGGTGGGAAGAAAGAACAATAAAGAGGGACGGCAGATGACTGTTTGTATTTGTCAAAATCTACGACAGGTTATGCTATACGTCTCTGTTTGAGTTTGCGTGGTGTGGGGAGAGAAGAGAAGAGGAGGGAGCGAGGCTTAACACATGTATTATAGGGAAGGAGCGATTTGATATAGCGCTCTTTCCCGTACCTTGCCCCGTAGATCATGCGCTGGTCGCGCGCACGAGAAAGCCGCTTTTTGCAATGTGCATGATGCATGCTGTTCGTCGCATGGGCCCGGCTTTGCACTGATGGATTTCCGTGACAACCTCTTTGTCTGAGCGGAATAGGGCGGTTTACTGCCCGTCTCCCTTCATAATATTTATCCCAGTATCCGTGGAGAGTTCCCCATCACAGACAATGTTTGCCAGTCTCTTACACTATTCCCCCTTTTGAAGATTTGTACAAAGATTGACCACTGTCAAGCATTTGCGTTGGTGATGGCATGGTACGCATGTATCATTATAGAGAGGACGGTTGCCTTCCTAGATGAACGGGTTGCGTTGCGTGCCTGATGTTTTGGCATCCGGGTGATCCTTTGTCATTCTGTGCTTGACCCGCTCCTTTGTTGCTCTTCAGTACATATATATGTACTTTCATACACGGCAAGAACTGGCTTCATATGCGCTCATGTACAAGACTCGAATCTTCAAGCGCATCATCTTCAACTGGTGACTTCAAGGTCGGATGGCAAAAGGAATACAATGACTCATTTCGCCGTTGTACGTTTCCTCAGTTGATCCATCAATCGACAATGACCCGAAAAAAACAGCGAATAGATGTTCAAATGTTTGCACCAACCGAACATGCGCCTGCTAATGGTTCTAGATGTATTATTGCACCCTAGAAATTATTGCAGAGACGCAGAAGTGCCACTGTTACAATTTGCATTTCAAAGTTTCAAGAAAGAATGCAGACTCTGATTATTCCTTCTACCGTGGTATTTCATACTCGTCTGCTTATCGTGACCCGCAAAGTAAACCCGCTTCCTGCTTTGGAAGCGTAACCGACGGACAGAGTGCAAGGAAAAGCGGATGTGATCATCTGTGCTCCCATACTTACACATCCCTGACAGTCCCGGCTCCAGGCGTTGTCGTCCCCCTCTGCACCCCAGCTCCCTGACCGACCGACGTACCCGCATTCCTGATGTTCAGATTTCCTATTCGCTGGACAAGATTACTTCCAACCGCGTCCACTGCACCTCTGGGAGCCAAAAGACTAGGCGCTGCAGCTGCAGCTTCTTGAACTTTGAATAGCCTGATGCTTGTGTTGTTCCATACGCCGGCTGTTCCTTTACTCACGAGCATTTCGCCCGCGAAGATAAAACTCCAAAGAAGCGACTCGTACCAGCCCAGGGACAAAGGTGACCACTCGAACGAGTGAACACGGATGGGTGAGGGCTCGATGCCACGAATCTCTGTGGTGCGGATAGTATCCAAAGCCGCGGCTATGTCAGCCGAGGAACTGCCACTTGCGGGCATCTTGGGCCCAAGTTCAGAAACCAGCATGAGAATTGTATGCAGTGGCAGCTCCGGTAGCCAGCTCTCGATCTATGAGTAACGGTTAGTGTGGATGGACTTGAGGTGCTGATGGTACGTACCCATGGACTAGATGGCGTGAAGAATTCACTAGCTGCTAGCGCAGGTGTGGCAAGACTTGCCAGGCTGGTAGTACTGTTCTGGCGTGAAAAGGCGGGCTGCCCAATTGGCATTTTCCCACGTGCTTTCTCTGACATTCCTCGAAGTTGAAGAGGCACTGATTCGTCAACCGAGGAAGCAATTGAAGCGCTCCTGGAAGCTCCAGAAGGTGATAGTGGAGGAGATTGAGGACGCGGTGAGCGCTGATCATCTCCTGCGTCCGAATCATCGTCATCGCCAATAGCAAATGCGCTATTCTCCTCCGGAACATTGCTCAATGTTGGTGTACGAGACAAGGTTGGGCTCCGCAAACTGTCCACGGAGTTTTTTCGGGTAGGGTCCTCGCCACCCTCCTTTCTTAACTGATTCTGACGTTCAATCTCTTCCTGACCACTCTCCAGTGTGAAATTTCTCAAAGCTTGAAACCGCTTCCGTGATCTTACAATGGCGTAGACAAGGTTCGGGTTATCTATTAGACAATTAATGATGTGGATGATAGATCTGAGATAGGGCATGATCCATACTTCGATATTGGTGCTCGACGATGGCGTTGATTGCCTCCAACAGAGATCTAAGAAGCGTGTGATTGTTCTCATTGGCCAAAAGGAAGCTCGGTGAAGACATGGATGCAAAAAGTTGAAGCAACTTCGAACTTGGGGCGCGGCCAAGGTTCTGCACATGGGCTGCGATATTGTTGATGATGGCCAACAATGCCGGATAAATGGCATCTAGTTTTCCTTTCCTGGTTGTGAGTAGCGTGTATATTGACTAATTCAAGTAAGTATAACTTTGCGTAGATTGTATAGCGCGACTTACGGTGATGAGATAGTCAGCATAGGTGCCATGGAAATTAGGGATCCGAATGCTCGTGGGTAGCGTTTCCTGGCCCTCGAAAGTTTTGTTCAGGCTCTTCCCAAATTGAGGTTCAACGCTAAGAGTTTGTAACACAAATACACACATGCGTACAAGACCTTGTTTTGTAGGGTCGGTACGCTGATCGATCGCATAGTACAGCACCAGCACCACAAAATCGTGAGCTCGATCCGTATCTATTATGAAGGATCGAAAGCGTTTGTTACACTGAAGCGCTTCCCAGAACAGCATGATCATCTCAGGCGCCCATGTGATAGATTTGGAGCTGCCGGGGAGATATGTGGAGGTGGCTTGAAGCTGTTGATTGTTAGCACAGTCCGCGCGCATAGTTCATAGTTCACATACAGGTTGATTCAAGATTCTTGTCATTCCGTCTACCAGAAACTGGAAATCCTGGGGCCTGTGCAAACGTCCCAGGAAGTATCTGAAGGTATTGCGCGGAGCAGCCCCTGTACCAGGCTCAGGGATAGGATAGAGGACCAAGGCTAAAAGTAGTTGTAGACAGTATGTGACTAGGATCTGCTTTTGGTCCTTAAACATGACGTGATCATACGGCACTCTCCATGAAGCCGGATTGTATTTGAGAGTCTACATTATGTTAGTATCATACAGGCGAAGTTATGAGGAACCCGTACTGTGTTCAGTAATGAGCATAGAACCGACAACACAACTTGTTTATCGGAACAGCTCGCCATGTAAGTGATTGCTCTGACACCTTTGACGGGTAGGACATCTGGGGAGCGGTCAGCAGTGTAGCATACTTCCGAGGCGCTTGCTAGACGTACTGGCAGACATATACATGGACTTGCTTGCAAAAGTAAGCAATAGGCGCAGAATCTCCATTCTGTTGTTTTCATATTCTTTGGTGGAGGCAATGGGGGTGTTACAACCGACACCGCTCTGCCAAATCGCATAGGTCACTTTATCCTTCCCAGCAGGGCCCTTTGGAAGGGTGAATTCAGAGAAAAAGAGTAGGTCAATCAGCGTATCAATGATCTCCTCGGCGAGGGGTTTCGCCTTCTCGAACTCGGGCTCCTTTTCGGTAGGCGTCTGTTCTGGGTCTGCTTCATCAAAGAGCACCTCGGAACGCACATGGCCATGGCGGGTGCGCTTGAGGCGTGCAGACCAGAAGAACTTGTCCTCCCACGACTCAAGATGATCGGCCTCGTATATGAAAGGAAGAATACGGGTAAGAACACGAATGCAGTTGAGGGCGTCCCGCTCGGGAGCAAGTTCGAAGTCGGGGAAGGAAGGGTGGCTACGGAGGACGCATAGGCGGGAGGTCACGGCGAGGATGAGGGTTTCGAGGTTTGCGAGATTATTATCGCGTGTGCGACGAATGTCGGCAGGAGAAAAGAGCGAGAAGACATCTTCAGCCGACTCGGGCAGTTCCCAAAACTATGCATCGTGAGCTTCAACCACGCAACAGAGGGCGGAGGAGCTTACGCCTGTCCAGTAGCTGTCGTCGGCGGGGATCTGCTTGGGTTCCGAGAGGCGGAAGATGCCCTGCTTAAAGCTGAGTTTAGAATCGGACGCGCCCATTGGAGTGCATATCACATCAATCTACTCGTGCATCGTGCGTGCTGTATGTTTGTAGAGAAGCAGCTAAGGGCAAGGCTTGGTCTTGGTGGAGCAAACATGTGTCGACGACGTTTGGTGAGAGACTGCAAACAGCGCAAACACTCCACATCACACTTCAATCACGTGCGGTCGTGTCTCATTGGTCGCGATGACATCGTGCTGACTAAGCCTCTAACGCCTAGAATCGCCTTAACATCCTCATCACGCTTCATTGTGCCTCTCGCTCCACCGCTCATCTCTACGATCCTCATAGAATCTCCAACCACGCCCACGCGCGGCTTGCTTCAACAGTTGTCGCATCCTCTATAAACCTCCGCCTCCACCCGCGATCCGACCTCCCAGGCACGCTCCGAGTGGACCGCCGCCATGCCTCCCAAGCGCAAGGCAGCGGCTCAAACGGCGGCTGAGGCCGACGCCGAAGGTTGGGTTTCGGATGACATGGGCGCTATGAGCGACCAGGAGATGTATGATGATCTGAAGAAGAACTTTAGCATAGGGGGCAAGAAAAAGCGGGCGGCAATCCACAAAGCAGATGCTGCGTCATTTCTATTCAAACATGATAATCTGGACCAACCGTTAAAGGCTGACGCTGCTAGTCGGCCTTTGTGGGTGAACGATGATGGCAAAATAATAATGGAATCGTTCAACCCTCTTTTCGAAGAGGCCCAGGACTTTCTTATCAATATCGCCGAGCCCGTTTCGCGCGTATCTCGGATGCACGAGTACACTCTTACCCTCCACAGCTTGTTCGCCGCCGTCTCCGTCGGTCACAGTAGCAAGGAGATTATTGACAGACTGGAACGATATTCCAAGGTCTCGCTGGGTAGTAATGTAGTAGCTTTCATCAAGAAGGCCACCTCGTCGTTCGGTAAGGCAAAAATTGTGCTGAAAAAGACATTATCCTACATCGAAAGCGACGATCCAGCCATCCTTCGGCGTCTTCTCCAAGACGGAACCGTGGCATCGTGTCGCGCAGATAACACAGATGGTCTGATACAAGAGGCTGCTCCTAAGATCGGCGTCATGGCTATTCCAGGAACCAAAATGGCAGCTGGGGCCACCCAAATTGCCCAGACGGCTACTGCCGAACCGCAAGCACCGGTTGATATGATCGCATCCCTTAGGGAAGAGGATGAGGATGAGGATGTTGCCAAAGTCCATTCTTTCCAGATTAGAAGTGAAAGCCGTGAGGAGGTGATCAAACGTTGCCAGCAAATCGGGCTTCCGCTCACGGAGGAGTATGATTTCAACAATGACGAAGTCAATGCGAATCTCGACATTGATCTGAAACCTCATGCTCAGATACGATACTACCAGGAAAAGGCTCTCAGCAAAATGTTTTCCAATTCTCGTGCACGCTCTGGCATCATTGTACTTCCATGCGGTGCTGGCAAGACTTTGGTCGGTATCACCGCGGCCTGTGGTGTTAAGAAATCCGTCATTGTACTGTGCACCAGCGCCATGTCTGTGGTACAATGGCGGTCGGAATTCATCAAATGGTCCAACATCAACCCCGACGACATCGCTTGCTTCACCGCAGAGAGTAAAGCTGTATTCAAGGGCAATGCGGGTATCTTGATCACCACTTATGCTATGATTACGTCTGTGCGCAATCGCTCCTATGACTCAGAAAAGGCCATGGACTTTATCAAAGCACGAGAATGGGGGTTGTTGATCGCTGATGAGGTCCACGTTGTACCAGCTAAGATGTTCAAGCAAGTAACATACGCTGTCGCTTCGCATGCTAAACTTGGTCTGACGGCTACGTTGCTGCGAGAGGACGACAAGATTGGCGACTTGAACTTCTTAGTTGGGCCCAAACTTTATGAAGCTAATTGGCAAGAGCTTTCGGAGCAGGGACACATTGCCAAAGTGCAATGTGCCGAAGTGTGGTGCCAAATGACGCCCGAGTTTTACACGGAATGGCTAAGGTCGCCGCCGTCCTCACCCAAGAACGACATTATATCCTCCCTCAATCCCAACAAATTTCAGGCCTGCCAATTCCTTATCGAGTATCACGAAAAGCGAGGCGACAAGATTATCGTTTTCTCCGACAATGTCTTTGCATTAGAGAAGTACGCATTGAAGCTCCATAAGGCCTACATTTATGGTGGCACGCCACAGAATGAGCGAATGCGAATCCTAGAAAATTTCCAGCATAACCCCGAAGTCAACACCATCTTTCTTTCCAAGATTGGTGACACAAGTTTAGACCTTCCCGAAGCAACCTGCCTCATACAAGTATCGGCGCATTACGGATCACGACGCCAAGAAGCGCAACGACTCGGTAGAATTCTTCGAGCGAAGCGAAGGAACGATGAAGGATTCAACGCCTTTTTCTACTCGCTCGTCTCCAAAGACACGGATGAGATGGCATATGCCTCGAGGAGGCAAGCCTTCCTTGTTGATCAAGGTTATGCATTCAAAGTCATCACCCGCCTGGAGGGACTAAACCAACGAACTGATTTAGCCTTCTCGACCCCCCAGGAGCGACGAGAGCTCCTTATGGAGATATGCATTGCCAAAGATCACGAAATCGAACAAGAGAAGATTGCAGGCGATGCATTTGGCAGTAGATTTGCAAATGGGGGCAGAGCAAAGAAAGGCGGAGGTGCCAGACGAACCGCGGGTACTCTGTCAGAATTAGCTGGCGGGCAGCAAATGTCCTACATCGAATACAACAAAAGTAGGAATAGTGAGATCAAAGGCAAAGGGGTCAAGAATGCTTTCCTGCGTAAGCTCAACAGCAGTACAGCAAATGCGAAAAAGAAAGCAGGTGGTGGCTAAGCTTGTGATTGCGCTTGCTGTACCCGCGGGATATTGTTCCGCTCCCACACAAGCTGACTTTGGCGTCTGACCAGCAATCAGCCGGCAACCTATTGCTAGTGTCCGCCTCGGGCGAGGGGTGATTTTGAATTTGGTCAAGAGGCGTTTTTATTTATGGACTCTGGAATTTGGGTCGCTCATCACACTACTGCAAAGGATTGAAAAGTAGAAAAGGGCCTGCTGCATTGGGGGCGTTCATGTCACGATCTTGGTTATGGAGGAGTTTGTACGCCACCCACGTAAGCGTACAAGTTAGCTTATAGAGGTATAGACGCTGATAGGGTCGGCCAAGTTGGTCCATCACATTTTGATGAATGGAATTTTCAAATATGATTGACAGGACCGTGTCCCCGGCACCAAGAAAAGACTTTTAAAGTAGCGAATCCAGTATATAATAATCATGGTATCCGAACTTTGTCTGTCGATACGATGGTGGAGGTGTCAGCAGCGTAACATTCGTTTTCGCTGTGTTTACGAAAGTTAGCCATGTCCCCTAGTTGCAAGGCTGCTGCGACGCCATAGATGTCGGTCAGTGAGTGTATTTTGTTCGGATCATGAGCTGAGAGGCGTCGCCTCTTTGACCAACTCCCGCCCAACAAATTTTGGGGCGATCAACACGTCAACCGAAGCGATTATATTTGTAGAATCTGTACGATGCGTGATAGCGACCGGGTTAAAGATGCCCACCGTTAGAGGCAGCATATGCGTATCAGCTCTTGCCCCTCTTCGCCCGCAGTTTGCGAGCAGTTGTGTGTTGAATCTATTGGACCGGGCCCCCAGGGAAGATGTGCGTCTCGTCATCCGACAGCAATGTGCGATTGCATATGTCGAATGCTGCAGGACTGCTGTCGATCAAGGCGATAAGTTGCGAAGCCTTTTTGTAGATGGGAAAGTATATTGTATAGTCTAGATGGGATGGGAAATGCCTGACCTGTAAAGATGCAACTTTGTCAACAAGCCCAGGGCGTTGGGTGCGTTGGCGAATCCCCAAGACTATTCTCGATGCCAGCCACGCTTCGCACCACAGAGTGCCAGTAGTATACTCAGACACATGTGCATGTATAGGATTGCGTATAGCACCACACGGACGATAAGCAGAAGCATCAGTTGGAGGAGAGTGATGCTGAGCTAAAAGCTATGCATGGTCATGACAGGTCTCGGCGTCGCAGAGGGGCTGATATGACAGGGGCCTCAAATTCGGAGATTTTGCTCTAATTGCCAACCGGGATCTGCAACTAAGCAACCACCGGTGCTAATGAAAAGGAAGCAAGCAGCAGAATGCGTTACTCGGCGGATGGCTCAGTGTCCAAAAACTCATCAACGTACTGTACCGTACAAAGGATAGCGAGGGCACTGTAGATGTGCTATCAATCAACAAACCACCACTCCTGATCATGACGGGACTTTGTCCGTAGACTGTTTATGGGGGCCAAACGGTGTTGAAAGGGCCAATCACTGTTATCGGAACCTCCTCCGATCGACGGGCGATTTCCCTTGCAAGTCGACAAGCGTATACCGCAACACCACCACCTTATCCAGCTACCAATCTTCATGCGTATAGAGTGGCGGATCGGTGCTTCCGGCGATGGCATCAACCTTTGATTTGCGTGCCGACGACAACGGCAGATGGACCCATGCTCTGCGAGTCGTAAGGCCGCTTTATTGGCCGCCGCCGAATCCTACCCGGCAGGTTTTTCCCCATAAAAATCCTTCTCGTAATCAATGGCAGCCAAAGGTTTTATTCTCGACATATTCTGCCATATCGAGTGCTCCTGGCTCGTGCTGTCCACCTTTTTTGCCATTGCCAACTGGACTCGCTTGCTGTCTGTAAGCGTGCGGGCAGACATGACCAGCAGCCTTTTTGGAGCACTGCTGTTGATCCGCTGATATCGTCATTATTCCTGAACTGCATTCTAGCCATGGCCAACAGTTATCGCCCTCTCCAGCCTGCCCCCATGGAAGAGCAGCCAACCCCGCCTCCATCACAGCCCAGAGCGCCACTCGTTCAGAAACCGAAGCGGACAGTTACACTTGGGGCATGTTTGGCCTGTAGGAAATCCCTTACCCTGCACAATCGTTTGCCTATACTCACTGACGTTGTCGAAATGCGAACAGGTCGCAAGCGCAAATCAAAGGTGAATATCATCTCCACATTGTGGAGTACATATGTAGGGACTAAGTACCACAGTGCGATGGCAGCCGTCCGGTGTGTACGTGCTGTGTTCAGAAGGAAACGGCATGCGTGTATGAGCTAGGACCCAATGAAAAGCCCTCTCAGGCCATGAAAAGAAAGAACGAGGAAATGCAGGGCGAGCTCTTCAATCTTCGTCAACTCTACGACTTCCTGCGCCTTCGACCAGAGCAAGAAGCCCTCGATATCCTAAGAAAAATACGTAGCGAGCCTCCCGAATCATCCACGGCACAGCGTATTCAAGAGCTTGCAGATTTGACAAGGAAGCAGGGTGAACTGCTTGGACAACTACCATCTTCCCTAGGGTCTTCACTTGTACAGCAGTCTGAACAAGTAACTTTGCCGCCTATCCGTCTCGCTCTCGGCTCTCCCAACTCTGATCCAGACAATCTCTCATTTCCCAACATTTTTCCACTGGTCGTGGAGGGGCCCTCCTCGCAACGCCGCCGTCATGCTCTAGATGTCGATGTTTCGGCCAGGTAAGTACCAAATTAATATGCAGACGCATAAGCAAACTATAATGGTTTTGACCAACATCAGTTCAGATAGCCAGAGCTCTCTTCCTGCTTTTGCATCGCTGGGTACTGCTTTACATACTCGTGCTCTGGATCAATCTCCCGACCCTCGCTTGGACTCAATTAAGAGTTGGACGTCCGTTACCAAAGACAACCATCTTCTCAGCCTTCTCTTCTCCTCATGGCATACCTGGGAATACAGTTATTTCCATTTCTTTGACTGGGATATCTTCCTGGACGATCTATCGTGCGGTAAATCCGATTTTTGCTCTGAACTTCTTGTCAACGCAGTCCTAGCTACAGCATGCGTAAGTTCCTCTCACGAAGGAGTGTTTTCCATCGGATATATATCTGAGAACGTAGTCTGATCATGAATAGTTTCATTTGCCTTTGATCAAAGACAGATCAAAACCTTTTGGCGATAACATATTAACGGAGTTTTATCGCGAAGCGCGAAGACTATGGGAGCTCGATGAAGGCAACAACAGTCTTACCAGAATACAAAGCGCACTTTGTATATTTATGGTACTTGGAAAACATGGTCGGGATAAGGTGGGAAGCATGTTTTTGAACGAAGCTTGCCGAATTGCCCGCGACATGGGTCTTTTTCGTGTGTCTCTACCTTCTCCAGAGAAACCTGTGGATAAAAGATGGGAGAGATCAAGGGCTGTGACCGCTTGGTCGCTATTCAATTTCCAGCTGTAAGTCCAGACCTTGCTTTGGCAGTACTGTGTCTGATGCAGCCAGTGAAATGTCGTTCACGTATTCTTTTCCCCCCTTGATAACCGAGCAGCCGCCTATTGCTGTTCCATACGAAGAAATTCCAGAAAAAGAAGGTAAGAATCGACCTTTGCTCAGTGCAGACTCTTACTGATATTGGGCCAGCTTTCTTCCGCTACAGATGCACCCGCCATATTCTCATACTAGAGTGCTCCAAGATTCTGACTGAATCGGATGCATTTGTTTCTGAAGTCCCCCCAAAACCGGAGGTCATTGAGGTGCTTTACGTCAAGATGAAATCATGCTACGACGCTCAGCCATCCATCTTGGACCCGGAGAAGTTTCCATCTCCTCCCAATCTACTCGCCGCGTAAGTTAATCAGATATTTGATCTTTCTACTGTGCTAATTGATGGCAAGTCTGCAACATCATGCATCAATTGTTCGCTTGTTCCAACCGTTCATCACCCGTTCAAGTTCTGCTGAGCGGATGAAGGCTTACCGTGACCACGCTATATCCGTAACACGATCCACGATCAAAGAGATTCGCCGTCTTCTCGCACTCCACGATGTACATCATGGTTGGGAAAAGACAATAACCTTCATTCTCGACTCCCTTGTCATCGCGAGTTTCGGTACACTGGAAGAAGTTGCACTTGAGAACAACTTTCAAGTCCCCCCCGAAGGTAACGAGCCATACGAAGGTTTGCTGACATGTTTGCGGGCAATCGGCATAGTGGCAACCTATGTTTTCTACGCTCAACCTCTCTTTCGTCTTCTTACGCAATCATGCGAGAAACTTGGTATACCTCTCCCCATCGAACTTATCAGCGCACTAGACTGTTACACAAGTGAGGAGTGGACACGGAATGCAGCTGGTATGGTGAGTAGCCAATACATCGCCGACCTGCGCAAGACCGCCAATGATGTCGAGAATGCGAGAATGGATGCAATCGTGTCTCAGTGGAAAGACATGAGCCTCGAAGAAAAGACCGCAGCCACGCAATACACGTCACCTCCCTCTGATCATTGAGAACTGCGTGTAATCGAAGTTCTATGTCGCATGCTTTCAAGGGACGATGATACGCTATTTTCTACCTCTGCGATGACAGATTCGACTTCGAGTTCAATTACGCTTTGCATGATGATCAATTCTTCAGCAGACTCCTTCTTCATGTTGAGCTTAGCGGAATAGATAGCGATCTCGGTTCTCGTATATACCCACATCCAGTGCATCAGTAGACGCTGCTTTTCCAACACAATCGATGCATGTAGAACCACACAAGGAAAAGAATCATCGCATGTGACGCGTTGACACACACTCTCTTCACCCTCAAGACAGTCACGCTTTTCGGCCAAATAGAACGAAGAAAGTTCTCCACGTGAAAGCGACGTGTATCCCTATTGATCCTAAAGGCATGTCGAATAATCAAGAATCACCAGATTGCTGCTTCTGCATCACGTTCAATCTACGTTCCCCACATTTCGCATGGACCCGACTCCATGGTTCTCGATTTACGGGGAAGAATAAAGCTTCGGATCTTACCGGCGGCCCCCCCCCCCCCCCCCCCCGCCGTCTCACACACCTCATAACACACGGTGGCGAAAGCATGACCGGAGACGCCTCAGACTGGCTCGATGAAGCTTTCATTCGCCCTTTCGATTACTAGTGCTGCACACTGCACAAACACTTGCAGCCTTTTTAGGTCTAGCGGATGTGTTGATGAGTAGGGCGATGGCGAAGCTTGCCGTTTCCCAGCAATGCGCCCTGATTGTGATAGTTGACAGACAGGTGGCAGGGCGTAGGATCGATCGGGGGGTCGGGCAGCCAGATACCGCAGCCGGTGCGTTAGTTGATGGAACGCAACGAAATACACTGGATCTGCGGTCAGGTGTGCAGCGAGCCTTGGTAGTGCAACGCCTTCTTCCGTCTTTGTGTGTGGCTTTGCTAGATTAGGGCGTGCGTGCCGGACGGGAACCAGCGTTTCGAGTCGCGATTGTTATTTTGGTGGCGAAAACCAATGGGCTGTTCGGGGTGTAGGTCACGCCTCTTTGCTTTTGGCTGCTTAGCTACGGCTTCGATTGCATGGTAGACGTTTCGCGGATTTGCTTGGGGGAAGCTTATGGTAGTTTGGCGCTTCTGTAGTTGAACGTCACCACGAATAAACCTCTTGGTCACAGTATTCTATGGATTTCCGTGCGTAGAGGAGAGTCTTCAAGGGCATCTAACAATCTAGACCGATTATTAATCGACTTTTGCCTCGTCAGTTGTGGTCATCTCAAACTCTGATAAAAGTAAACATGGAGTCAACTGTATGACATGTCTGTAGTTTGATTAGCACTCGACCAAACAGAGTGTGAAATCATGAGATGTCCTCTTCACATGATTGAGGAGGTTGCTTAGATCGAGAGCCAGATCTTCGATGGCAGCAATCGCACATATTGACTGATCATCAGTTTTTCGGGTGTTTAGAACCCCTTCCCCTCTTTCTCTCTTCGAATGTTAACGGTTTGTAGCGTTCGCAGATGAATGAGTGAGGGATGGTGCCGAACTTAAACAACACCCAGGCTAATCTAGAACAACACAGATGTCACACATTATGTCCCAGTAGACATCACCAAGTCACTGAAGCGAGACGGAAAGCGTTGTGCAAACAGAAATTACTAGATTCATCAAGAGAAAATGCCAGATTACAGAGAATGCATTACACCACGACTCATCAATGCGTGAGCAACAAAAGGAAAAAACAAAAGAGATTATGTCAAACAGATGACCACTGATACCTCAATGTCCTTGCCCCCCCTTCGCCTTAAACACAAACTTGTCTGACCGGCACTTCGCTACAATTGATGTCGCTGCAAAGAGTGTTGCAGGGCGCGCTCACGGTGCCATATACGTTCGGGAATCCAGGGACTTTGAACTGCTTAGAGAAGTCCTTTGGATTGACCCCATCAAAGCGGTAGCCACCCCGGCATGCGCAGTAGTACTTCCCACCACCGGTAGTGGTACATGAGGTCGTGCCATCGCAGAAGTTCTTTGATGGGTCAGTTGGGAAGCATTGGTTGGGACAAACATCTTTCAGCGAGCTGCCAGTATATGCGCCGCCGCTACCACCGCCGTTACCCGCAGGTGGGGATCCAGAGCCAGAACCTGAGCCAGAACCGCCACCGTAAGAGGACGGGTCGGAGCTGGGAACAGGGCTGACCGGATCCGTATGGGCTACAGTGACCAGTGTCGTTGGCAAGGATGGGACAGTGAAGTCGGGATCGGAGGCGCTGGATATCGGTGGAGTAGGCTCCGTGTGAATCGGAGAGGCGGAAGATGTGGTGGAGCTTGGTTTGCCACCACCGTAGCACTTGATGGGACATTTACCTTTTCCCTTCTTTGCCTTCATCTTGCCTGTTGGTCCTGAGGGGCTTCCACTCGAACTATCGTAGGAGAGCCTATCGCCACCATTATCGCTGTAGTCTGTGTTCTGATCAAAGGGCGAGTCATACGCGTAGGGAGTAGTCTCTTCGTAAGGATACGGGTTGCCGAAAGGTTTGTAGCCAGAGGAGATGGCAGTAGGTGTGGGAACGGGCGAAGCAGCAGCGGACGAGCCTTCAGGTTTAGATGGCCACACGAACCCTCTGAAACCCTGAGAAGATGGGACACTGCCTTGGGCAAACCTGCGAAGTCTGCTTGAAGCCCATGCGCCGAATTTCCAGTCGTTTGTGGTACCGCGAGCAGTAGGAGAGTCCCAGATTTCGTCCTTGCACCATTCGGGGCATTCTTCGTCATCGACCGGAGGCTTCCAGTCAGGAACATTGCTCTTGGTTTTCTTGGCCTTCTTCTTTTTGGACTTGCCAGATTGCGGCTCATCATCCGAATCAGAATAGCTGATGTCTTCGCCCTGGTACCAGCCGTTGTCTTCGCCATCCCAATCTGAGAGATCCGGGTATTTGTTGTTCATGCCTGGGCGGAATTCGCTGGGTTTGGTTGTTGGCTCAGTAGAGGAATCTTCATCGTCCTCGTTCTCACCCTCGAGGTCTTCTTCATCGAGATCTTCATCATCACCTTCTCCCTCTAGATCTTCATCCTCATCTTCTCCTTCGAGATCTTCATCCTCATCCTCGCCCTCGTCCTCATCTCCTCCCTCGTTCTCTCCTTCAAGATCCTCATCTTCGTTCTCACCTTCATCCTCACCTTCATCCCCACCTTCATCCTCTCCTTCATCCTCACCTTCACCCTCATCTTCACCCTCACCTTCAAGGTCTTCTTCATCATCTTCTCCCTCATTCTCCCCCTCTAGATCCTCACCTTCTTCTCCCCCTTCGTTCTCGCCATTCTGTGCGTCAGTATTGCCCCCCTCGCCATCTCCTGTGCCAAGCTCATCGTCATCGTCATTAATTTCCCCATTGTCCTCTTCGGTGCCCTCATCTTCGTTCTCACCTTCTTCTCCTTCAGTGCCTTCATTCTCGCCCTCACCTTCTTCACCTTCAGTGCCCTCATCTTCGTTATCTCCCTCGCCTTCTGTCTCCTCATCGCCATTTTGAGCACCAGTGTCACCATCTTCGCTGTTACCTTGGCCGAGTTCGTCATCTGTTTCCTCGTCTCCGTTATCTTGACTCTCGCCGTTGTCATCTTCTCCGCTTTCAAGATCTTCATTATTTTCGCCTTCGCCGTCGTCTAGGGTTTCGCCGTTTTCATCCTCGACATTGCCATCTTCTTCACTTCCCTCGTCTTCGTTGGAGGGCTCTTCCGTAGAAGGGTCTTCTGTGGATGGATCTTCAGTTGATGGCTCCTCCGTTGATGGCTCCTCTGTGGATGGCTCTTCGGTCGAGGGTTCGTCCGTAGAAGGTTCTTCCGTGGAGGGCTCTTCGGTAGATGGTTCTTCTGTTGATGGCTCTTCATCGGCGAGACCATTAGCCGATCCCAGGTCAGTGTTTCCACCTTCCTGGATTGGAGGATCTTCATCGTCGGTAGCTTCAGCAGGCTGGGTTTCCCCATCTGTTGATTCGGCAGGTTGTTCTTCAGCAGACGGGCTTTCCTCGGGTGCAATTTGGTCGTTGGATTCTTCGTTGGTGCTGGTTTCATCATCGCCGCTCGCTTCGTCAGAGGCATCGAAGGCTCCGACATTGCTTTGGGCAGATTGTCCAGGAACTGATGGGCCAGGCTCAATAATAGGGGCTAATTCGGGATCGTCTGTATCTTCCTCTGGGGTAGATTCGGGAGTCTCTTCCGGTGTAGTTGTGGTGTCGTCGGCGGAACCATTGTCTAAAGAGTCACCTTCAGCTGGTGTAGTTTCAATAGGATCCTCCTCCGAGGGTGTGGTCTCGGCAGGATCTTCATCAGCCGGCGCGCTCAGAGTATCGGCCTCAGTACTTGCTTCAGCACCGAAAGTTGCGAGCGTAGTTGTCGCTGTAGGGTCTTGCGTGCTGGAAGAATCGATCACTGCCGCCCCAGATACATCTGTCGTGCCGTCCTCGGGGAGCTGGGCACGAAGTGTGCCGAAAAGCAGCACCCCTATCAAAAGGGTCTTCATAACAACGGACGTCTCAAAGCATGGACAAACGAATGGCTACTTTGTGTACACGTGAGTGAAACAATTATGAATGAATGTCTTTGGAGTCTCCAAAAATGAGTGACAAAAAGGAGAGTTGGGCTAGACATTGGTGTTAGACTTGAGACTTTCTTAATTATAGGGCGTCGCGTGAATGAATTCCTGGGGTGTTTTGATCATAACATTTCGAAGAATGTCGTACGCGACTGATTGACGTTGGAATGCGCGTGGGGAGGTGTTCTCCCTGTTCGGGTTTGGAATGCAAACGTCCATCATCACAAGAAACAGCGTACCACGACTCGCGCGTATATACTGAAAGACTGATGTTATCTCAATTCTCCACTCGTAATGCAATCATGATGGAAGGCTATCGGTGCCACGCTGTGTATGTAGATGATGTAGTCATTGAAGACTCCGTGCTTCAGTTTGCTGTCTACCCACCAGCACGGAAGCAGCACAGTTAACATGATGCGTTTCATTCCAGTCATTGTTGCTGTAGAGATCCTGTCACGCCAATGCAGCCTGGAACAGCTCAACGTACGACACAGGAAGCGACGCGCATACTGCGTCTAACAACAGTTGATCCACATTGCCCGATATGAGAAAGTGCCATGCATGATCAATGGACTCCTCGCAGATATGGGTTAATGTTGTCGTTGAGGATCTTGTACTCATGATCAACAAGTTGTGCGCTCGCCTGATTGATTGACGTACGATTCTTGATTGTCGGTGGTAGTCAACAACAACTCCGGCGGAAATGTTGTCCATGGTTTGTAAAAGCCGAATGTGATCTCCCTACGGCGCAGGATCTTGAAAAGCGCTTTTCATCATCGGGATTGTGGACCGGTTTCTAGACACAGCTTCGGAAGTTTTTGTTCTTGTTAGAATCCATTCCCTAGAGAGTCAACATCCTCCAAAGCGTTACTTTACGTAAAAGCTGAATGACGTTAGTGAAAACCTGCAAGTCTGCGGTACATTCATGGATATAGGCGAGACATTCACCTCATACATTGGCGCATGTAGGAATCGATGCATGAAGAAGGTGACTAGACAATTCGCAAGGCGCTCTCCACCACACACGGACATGGACCTGGCTTCAATAGGACAGTGGAATCTGTCTAAGATGTAGCAGTGAATTGTAGAAAGAAGATGCAGCACGTGGTAGAAGACATCCGATGGATGGTGGTCACCTTCCCAAAAGAGACGCCCCTGCCAAGCAAGACTCCACCTGCCGTTCATTAGCTGTAGATCAATCAGATCAGTCCGTTGCGTGCGTGCTCTGGAGTTTCTTCACATGACCATTAGCGCCCATCCGTGTCGGGCCATAAGAATAATGGAACAGGGTTGGAAGGCCGAGTACAAATACGCATCGATGGCTTGTGGGGACGATGAGGAGGCAGAGCGCGAATTGTCTTAGCAGCTCCCCGGAATCGACCGAACTTCTTCAAGTGTGGATTATCTTCAACTTTGCATAGGAACTGTAAGTCACCCGAGAATTTTTTCATACGAGAAACGATATTACGGGGCAACGTTGTCAACGTTTTTGTGATTTTTATTGCTTCGGCCAATCTTTGATTGCTGGTTGTCATGCAACACATACCGAACGGCGTTATTGGCTTTGGGCACACTACAATCATACCTAGGTATCCAACAGAATTTTTTTTGTTGACAATCGATAGTTGAAGATACAAGTGAACGATTTTCACTCGATTTCGGTTTCTAGAGTTCTTTTTGACTCGACCAGCCTCGTTCCCACTGCTCCAGTCGGTCACTCCTACCGTGTTGCAACATATCTGCACTCGAGATCAGCCTTCGTCACACGACTAGTCCTCATCAAACCTGAAAGATGCGGTCTTCGATTCTTCTCGGCGCGGTACTTCCGTTCGCTCAGGCCATCCGAATCATTCAATCGAACGATGACGGGTGGGCTGAGGCTAACGCGCGAACATTCTTCGATGCCTTGGACTCGGCAGGCCATGATGTTGTTTTGTCTGCTCCAGCGGAGAACCAATCCGGCACTGGTATGTCAAGTCACCTCACCCAGTAAATTGTATCTACTCTAACAGCCCACCTCAGGCTCCAGCGATGCCACCCCTACGCAAGTCGGCTCAAGTGGCTGCGAATTCTCCTCATGCCCCGGAGGAAGTCCCCCAACGGGCGCAAACGCAACCGATCCACGACTGAACTACGTAAACTCGTACCCAGTCACAAGCATCAAGAACGGCATCGACGTGACAGGTCCAAAGCTCTGGAACGGAGCCAAACCCGAACTCGCCGTCAGCGGACCCAACGTGGGCTCAAACGTCGGACCTGGCGGCCTGTTCAGTGGAACCATCGGCGCGGCGACGTACGCAGCTCACACCGCGAAGATCCCGGCCATTGCCTTCAGTGGCCGCACTGGAGACCCCGCGGCTTGGAACCAGCCTACACCAAAGTACAGCAAAGTGTATGCCGACCTCGCGTTGAACTTGACCACCACACTTATCGACTCCGGAGCCCCTTACCTCCCTGACGATGTCTTCCTCAATGTCAACTTCGGCGAAGTGTCGGACTCGACTTGCCACGATGCTAGCCAGTTCAAGTTCATCTTCACTCGCGTCAACACGGGGCTCCTGAGTGCACGGGATACAGAGTGGTGTGGAGCTACTCGTCTTCCGTGGGAAGTCGATGTCATCTATCTCAGGGGAGGCTGCTACGTGACAGTCAGTGCTGGAGACGCAAGCGACAAGTCCACAACCGATGCCGCGCGACAGAAAGTGGTGTTGGATAAGCTGAAGCCGCTCATCTCTTGCTTGTAAAGAGCTGCACAGTTATCACGTCGCCATGTTTCACGCTTTAGATAGATAGCATCAATATATATCCCTTCCGAAAATCTCGTTGCCCAAGTATGCCAGGGTGAAGACATATTCTACAACACTTGAATATTTACATGTCTCTATATATACTAAAACTTATGACCTAACCCTCTTATCCCATTCCTCAACAGAAGCATACTCCCCCCCTCCCTCAACATACCCAATAAAGCAACCCCCCCCAAAAAAACCATCGAACACAGTCAAATCAGAAGCCACACAACACACAACCGAATCTATGACTCAATCATCCCATCTCATACCCCAACTGAACCATTACCCCTTCCTCCTCCTGACCTCCAACTTACCCAATCAAGCAACTCCCACCAAAAAAAAAACAACCATCGAATACTGTAATATCAGAAGTCAACTCACAAAGCACCCGCCTTTCCCCAACAAACCAAACAAAAAGAATGCTTCGATCCACTAGAAATTCAAAATGCCTTGCGTATGTAGAATTATGAACTGCGGATAACTAGTCGTGCGGTCCGACAGTGCACTATCGCGGATTTCGTCTGCGCGCCCGAGTAACAGGGTCGAGAGGGTTGACAGGGCACCAAAATCTTGCTGCGATCGATGGATTGATAAGGGAGTGCTGGGAATTACCGGATTAGGCAGGTTGAGAGAGTGGGGAGGGGATGAGGGTGGTCGGTCTTGGGGCTATTGATGAGCTTTTGGTAGTAGTCAAGCAAGTGTTAGGGGGTCTGATTCGTGACGTTTGGGGGTCAATGATGGATATTCAAACGGTATCAATCTGTCTGGAGTTATCTATCATGGTCGTTGACCATTGTGTAGAGTGGCATTCTTTTTGGCGTTGGATGCCGTCGCCACTTTCCTTGCTTCTTTGCGGCAGTGTACTATTCTCGTCATCACCATCATCATCACTGTCATCCATCACTCAAGGAGAAATTCAACCGATCTTGTGTGAACCATATAACTTTTTTTCTTTCGATATTCAATGTTGCTGTGAAAAGCAGTATGCATGCTTGACATATATAACACGCTTGCAGTTCAATGAAAAAACTCCCCTCTCACCCATGTCTGTCTCATCTATATACATGCACAAAAAAGAGTAGAGAGAGAAAGAAGGGAAAAAAAGAAACGCTACTACTGATTTTTGTTTGACAACAGCCCCGCCCCATCCCATCGCATACATATTCAAGCGAATGCGATAACCCCGTTTATCCAACTTCCAAAGACAAAAAATGCAACTGGTGATATGCTCGCGGTAAACGCTACAACGATGCAGTCTCTGTCTGTCCCATAGAAATCAAACGCCGGGTCGACAAAAGTACAAAATCTTGTGGTGAAAAAGTGCAAAACAAAAAGAAGGGGTAAAAGAGGCTGGGTCAACTAGCCAATGAGTGGAAATGAGAAAAGGAAGAACAAAAACATCAAGGGTAAGGTGACAGTGCAAGCTTGTTGCCCGTCGGGTATGTATAAAGTGAAGCGAGAGAAGAGAAAAAGACATGCAGAAATAACGAGGTCAAGAAGGAAGCGAAACTCTCTGAGCTCTTTTTATCCAAAAAAGTTCAAGGGAGACGGCCAACGAGGTTTCGGGTGTCGCTTCATGAAGGAGATGGGGATGGCCGGCTCTACTAGATCTCGTCCTTGTTCATTTTCTTCACAGGATGTAGCAGGATTCCTGGCATGCACATTCTCTTCTCCTGCAGCGCACCATCTTCGCCAGGGCCCCCGGAGATGTATTCTTGTTCACCCCACGGCTGCTTCCTGATAGGCCAGTTCAACCATCTGCGGTATAGTGTCCGCGGGAATCGACTTGCATAGTACCAACTCCAGCCTTGGAAATTGTACTCGCGGTCATGGTTGTACGGAGAATCTGCCTGCTCCGTCCATGCGCCTTGTATGTTATCGACGGCCGCGCCGGTGATCTCGTCAACAGTGGACGCCGTGTCGAAGATGCCGGCGGTATACTCAGCAGGCCAGTCACGGTCGTTGAAAATGGGGTGAGGGGCGTAAACGGCTTTGAGACCGTGCTGCAGCGCAACGGTCGAAGGCCACATTTCAGCCTGCATGCTGTGTCCCATGAGGTTCTCTTCGTGCATCGCCTGGAGCATGCGCTTGCTGAAGCGCACCACTGTGTTGATGAAGACGCGTCGGTCAATCTCGACAAAGTCTTCATGTGTGAACCAATCGGCTTGTCCGTCTTGCGGTGTGAAGATGGGTCGCACGTCCGGGAGGTAGTTCCAGATTTTATCCTTGTACGACCAGCTCGTGTTGCGCGGATCCCACATGGGAAGGAGGGTGATGAAATCGGCTGGTTCGTTAACACCCCAGGAAAAATCGTCTTTTTCGAAGCTTGTTGGTGGGATAGGTCCTATGGGCTTCTGTGGGGGCACAGCTTTCTGGTAAGGCCGGGGGCCCCAGACGGGTGGGGGGATGAGGGAATGCGCCGATGCGTTGAGAACGTCCTTATGAGTCTGCTCTACGAAATTCTGATATGTACCGTGGATACTGGGCAGGTAGTACCTCTTGTTCCTCTCCCACAGCAGCTTCCGAGGCTGCTTGTCTGCGAAGTCGCCAATCTTTTCGAAAAAGTGATAATGGTGCCCAGTGTACCTCGCATCCGTCTCCCAGTTCCAAATGTAGTCGAATTCGGGATGAGTCAAACTGAAGTATTGCAAGCACATGAACTGTTGCCAATACACCTGCCAATCACCGACATAAGGGTACCACTTGGGGAAAATGGATTCCGACCACAGAATGGTGATGGAGCGAAGCTCTTTGGGCACGTTTTCGTTCAATACCTGCTGGTAAAGTATGGGGTTTTCGAAAATTTTGAGGTTGCGGTCTTTGACATGCACGTAAAGAAACACCTGATATTCACCTCCAGATTGCAGCGACAGTTCCGAGATCATGGCGCGAATGGCAGTGATGTCGTTCTCCTCGTATTCATAACCTGTCCAAGCTCGAATCAAAACTGCGGTGCGGTGGTGATACTTTGGCTGATCCGTGTTGCCGGAATTCACGTTACCCGTTGATGTATCTGGCGATGGCGCAAAAGCCGATGAAGCAGCTGCGGCATTTGGTAGAACAGTGCTGACCCTCTTCTGAGTTGGCGATCTTGCATCCGGCCTATACCTGTCCTTGTTGCGCTGCAGGCATTCGTTCTGAAGGTCTCCCCACTGAACCTGACTCCACTCAGGGACCTCCTCTGGTGCTTTCCAGTTCTTGACGTCTTCGGGGAATTCATCATCGCCGTAGCCATAGGGGCCGTATCGCGAATATCGATCGAAACAAACGTTGCCGTCGAGGCCGATAACTTCGTAACCACCAGCAAACTCTTTTGGAAATTCAGATGGAACACCGTAGTATGCCTGGACGTCGTCGTCGGTGCTGGTGTTCAAATCTCTCCCTCTTGGACCTTCGCAAGACACAAATTCGCCCTTCCACGCTGACCTCCATTCCTTTGTATTGTATTTGGGAAAGGGCTTGTAGGCGACTGGATTTGAGGCAGCTGATTCATCGAGTTTATCGTGACCAGCGGAGTAGGGACGCTCGTCCCTAGCTCGAATTAGTCTCACAAACTAGACAGAAGACTCAGAATCTTCTACTTACATGGGAAAGTGCTCCCACCGATTGGGATCGTATTCCTTGTTCACGTATTCATCGAAAGGCGGCCAATGTCCAATCCAGTTCGGGCGCGGCCAATTCAACTGACTCTTCATATACTCCTTCAGATCGGTGAAAACGGTGGGACCTGGTCGCTTTGCGGCAGCCTCTGGCGATTCCGTCATCCACGGGGGATTGGCCTTGGGAGAGCTTTTCGGCTTCTCTTGAGGCGCATCTTCCTGGGTCGAGTTATCAACGACATCATGGACCGGAGTGGAAGCTGGAGCGGGAACGGGAGCGGGAGCTACCACTGGATTTTGAACGGGTTCGGAAGAGGGAGCTGGAGGAGGTCGAGGAGGTTCATTTGGTATGGGATGTTGCTCTTTGCCTGAGAATGCAGGCACCCTTTCGTATACTTGGTTGGTGGTCCACGGACTCCGAGTCCATACTGTAAGGAGGAAAATGAATGTGACGAGAGCGAAAAGCGAAAACCGTTGTGGTGTTTTTGTCAACATGACTGTAGGACAGGTAAAGCTGCAAAGCGGATCGGATCTATGATTCTATGAGGTGGCTCCTGCGATTGATGGGTAGTGAGTCGCGCGATGGCGAGTGACTCTAATGTGTCGCCCAATCTGCCCGTCTATTCCATACAAGGCCGTGTATTCTGTATGCGCTCCTCGGATCGGTAAAGGCAAGTGTATAAAGGAAAGAACCGGGTCTGTCGTCGCTGGGCTCGAAAATAGAAAACCACCAAAAAAAAAGGGAAGACTGCGAATTCTTTTAATAGGCAAGAAAAGGAAAAGACAAACAGGAGGGCTAGATGACGGGGAGAGGAAAGAAGAAGGTTTGAAACCGCGCGGAAGGAAAAGAAGAGCAACCCCTGCTCGGGACTAAAAAAGCGGCCATGGCATCAGACGGGGTCTCGAGCCTTCTACTCGGGGGGGAAAGATGTGAGGCGGAGATTGGGGGTCGCGAAGCCAAACGGTCCACCTCCAAGGGTGAAACACACGGGGGCTGCCCACAGCCCACCTCATCCCAGGCAGGCACCCGCCCCAACCCCTACCTCATGTACTCTACATAGTACACACCAGCATATAGCATCAACAACACAAGCTATAACACTATACGGGAACCAGTTCGTGTGTAGCACAATAAGTGCACCCATCAATCTCACCATCCTCCCAAGTGAGAAAAAGGAAAAGAGATGAGGGCGCGCGGAATTCCCACCAGCATACATCCACATCACTACCCAAGAAAGCTTAGATTCATCAGGCGTCTCACCCAAGTCCACGCCTTCTCCGAATGTCCACCAAAACAGAGATAAACGTTGACCGTCTTTGCCCAATCCAGGTAACGGGCTCAACTCTAATGCACTACCAAGCCGGTGAACGAAGGGAAAATAACATCATCTCAGCTCCCTTCGCTGGAGTGCTTCTCCTTTGGGTGTTCTGTTCTCTCTCGGCACGCCAGACTCCCCCCCTTCCACTTCGAACGAAAACCCATACGTACTATAGTACGCTTATTCGCGCGAGTCTGATGCGATGGAAACCTATGGTCCATCTCCACTCTCGTCGGCGACCATGCTCATCGTTGAAGGCCATCTCCAGATGATGAGCGCACTCATTTCGTAACGACAGGCGTAACGCAATCCCCTCAGAGCCTACTTTGCACAATAGGCGCGAAGGACCTCGCCCCCGCCGCCGACCCACTTTTCAACCTGAGCAAGTCGTCGTCATCTTTCAGAGTACCCCGGGCGGTAAGGAAGAAACCCGCGAACAAGGTGCGCGCGCATTGCGTGCATTGATCAGTTGGTTGGTTGATGCGCGATCGTCTGGCCTTTATGAAACGGTTCGTCTGGACGTCTTTATTTTCAGTGACTGGACTGTCTCTTGGGCGTGCTAACGCCTTTGAGGATGGCTTCGGTTCTGCTGTATACGCCGAGCGATATGTGCTCTTCTTTCTTGTACAAAGGCTTTGGGTATCGTGGAGTGTATGTAGAACTAGAATCATGTTGGATTATCATGGTGGGTAGAGAATCCATGAATCATGAAGATTCTACCCATGCATGCGCTCTTACCATTGGGCAAATCTGCATATCAAAAAATAAAGACCTCCCAACTCGTGACTACATATTCAACACAAAACATTATCATTCATTCAAGACCGCAGATTGTAAAAGTGGATATACCAGTTTCCGATCACTGTTTCGTCCCCTCCAGATCACCAATCCCATCTATTCAATCAAAACTCAAGCCAAGAAGAGAGGGAAAAAAAGTGGTAGAACTCCAGCCCACCCCCACAATCATCAACAAGTGAACGCTTCTTGTCAACACACGTTAACTTGTACTTCACATGTAGCGCGTCCATCGTGTCAAGTCAAACGTGTCACATTAGCTTTGCTTCATTTTCGCTTCTTCCCCTTGTTCGCGCCCTTGGTTAGGATCAGCCGAGAAAGAAAAGAAGAAAAAAAGGACGCGTAAGAAGAAGAAAGCAGATCCAACGCCAGATCAACGCGCGTTTTAAAGAGTGGAGATGCGCGGTTTCTTCTAGGATTTTGGGGGGGGAGTTAAGGACAAGGATACATGTATGGAGACATGGTGAATCGGGAACGCGTTTGTGTGGGGTGGGGAGTATGCTCATCATCATTTCTCCAACCGTCTATTTCGGCCAAATTTCCACAGGAACAAACAATGGCGAGAAGGAAAGTGTTTTTCCATGGATTTTCATTTCCTGATTCTCTCCAACAAGTCATGTCATCGGTCCAAGACGCTCGGCGGATTCCTGTCACAAATTGATAAGCTCGGTCGACTGACAGACAGGTCTTGGTTTTCATCTTTCACACACCCAAGACATGCTAAAGACAGCCGTCTGGCATAAAGTAGTGGAACTCAAATCGGCACAAGTGAAGTGTAACAAGACTTTCTTTTAGGCGCGACTGAAGGATCTATTTGACGCCCGCACCCTGCTCTTTTTGGAAATGTTGGATCGTGGGATGGATTCTACCTAATTGTGATCCCGGGTCCGTCCCGTCCCGTCGTCTGAACTCCCGCAGAATCACGCCCGACCAGGCCTTCGCCGTGACTAGCGTGACACCATGTTACAGCAAACTCCAAACCGGCCACGGGCGTTTGAGTGAGGCCAACGCAGCAATGCACCGTTCAAAACACTTCTATTTCCATTTCTGAACAACCACTCCGCCACGTTTGAAATCCGCCATGTCTCCGAGCACCGAGCCCTTGTCGTTTAGCTCTTTGGAAGGGAATGTTGTCATGAGCGCATATGGTCGCTGGGTGCTGGCTGGACTCGCACGGTCAACGAAGCCGTATACATCGCCAATAGTGTGTGTCGTGTTGAAGCGCGATGTCAAGCGCGTGCCATCGCCCAGCCTGATCTGAAGCGTGATCGTTGGTGCCGACGAATCGATGTCTACGGTTGGTGGACCGCTTGCGCTCGCGCTTGTAGTTGTAGATGCAGCTGCGGTAGAAGCAGAGGGAGCTGCAGTGGACGCACCGCCACCGGGGGTCGGACTACCGAGGCGCTGTCCGGAACCAGAGAAGGGAGTGTATTTCTTCTTGGGCGCGACATAGTCTTCGTCTTTGTGGTGGTGTACCTCAACGTCTACCTCCTGGCCATGCTGGACATTCAAGATATGTAGAGGAGCATGGCCCGTGTTGATCATCTCAAGTGTCCGGGCATTGGCAGGGTCGGTGTAGCGGAAAAGGGGTCCATCTTCCACAGAGAAACCGTCCCGCCAGAGGTGAAGCTCGCGGCGGACACGTGGGGCAGGTTGGGATACTTGAGCGTTGGGGTCGGGAATGGCGCGGGAGGGCTCATCGTCACCACCAAGCGTCATGCCGGTGCCTTGGAAGCGTGTGGCGGTGGGCTGCTCTTCGTCGCCGCCGGGTCGAGGGGCATTTCTTGAGTTCTGTCAGCACACAACGGTTTCCGCATCATCGGAGCAAGCTTACTGTCGCGCACGCCTCAGAATGTTGTTGATAAAGTCTTGCGGATTGGATTGGTTGGGGTTTTGAACAGCCAATCCAGACTTCTCGCCTCCAGCAAAGAGGTCCTGGTTCTCGTCGTCTTGGTAATCCGAGTCGTCATCGTCTCCGTCATGAGCGTGTCCTTGTGAGCCGCCGCCAGAGGCCTGGAGATCACCCAATGTCCTCAAACCCCGCTGCGGTGGTTGCCTGCTCGCAGAGGGCTGTTGTGATGACGAGGAGGAAGCTGGCGGAGGCACATAGTCTCCAGCGAGGGTGCGACCGCCGCCGGGCTGGTGTTGCTGTTGGGGTGGCGGATTCGGCGTGGGGTTTTGGGCTTCGTCGTCGGCCATGTTAACGTCTGGTTCGGAATCGTTCTGGGGAGCAGCTTCGTCGAAGTAGAGGGATGCAGCGGTTTGGATGTCCCAGTTGCCGGCGGTAAGGAACTGTTCGGCCTGTGAAGGTTGTGTTGGTAAGAAGAAGTCAGGACGCGAGTTCCATGGGATTCTATTACCTCTGCTGGAGCTAGTCCCGTCAAGCTTGCGAGCTCAGCAATGAGGGTATCCTGATTGGCGGGCGGGGCTGCAGCCATGGTGGTAGTAACGGAGTGGGAGGGCGAAGATAATCAACTTATGCTCTAGATTGAATCTGTATCTCAGGTGCGAGGAGTTTATATTTTTCGTATGCAGCGCAGCAGTCAAGCAGTGAAGCTATGTACGTACTTTAAGAAGTGGTGGGTGGGTGTGTGGGGTTGTTTGCAGCACTTGCAGTACACGGAGGCAACAACCACCGTCCGCTCTCTGACGTCGACCGCTGCTTCTGAGCTCTGATTGGTCCGAATTCCGACGGCGGTCATCCACATTGTCTGTCTGCAAGTACCCCAGCAGAATGAAAGATGAATCGATGCGATATAGGATGGGATGCCAGTATAAGTCCAAACTGTCTCCGAGGGAATATCTTACAGAAACAGCCAGACGCTAGGTCATCTCTATGCAATTGGCAGTTTTCCTGGGGAATTGCTGGGTTCAATCCTCCTTTGTACTGTTAGAGACGAGGAATTCCACTACGGTACTTTGAAATGCTTGGTTCAACCGTGATCCCTCTCTATAATGTAGTAAGACATGTTCTTATCCTAGCTGATCTGAATCACTCCAAGTCATGTAATTCTATCAATTGACTACACAGCAAAAACACTTGACCTCGGTCTATCCCTCGACACTATCAACAGAGCTCCAAAGCTTGGCACAAACCTCCAATCCTCCACCATCACCATCACCGCAGTCTCCCATCCGCACGACCCCATCTCCCTTACGCCTCTCCCCCAAACACAACCCTCCCTTTCCTCTCTTACCCCCAGCTCGTCCACCCGGCCCAAAAAAACCTCCACAAAGCCTTGTCGACCCCGGGAAACCATGGCCTCTACCACCTCCTCCTCCGCAGCAGCACCTAGCAACAACAATGCCAACCTCGCCTCATCAGGCCTAACCATCCACTCCGACAGCGAAACCTACGACGCCCCCCAAGACCAAACCTCCGACTCCATCTCCCAACCACCATCCTCGTCCTCTTCCCCGCTCATCCTCTACAAACCCCCCACGCTCTACGGCCTCCTGCGCGGCGCCGCAATCAACCTCGTCCTACCATTCGTAAATGGTCTGATGCTCGGGTTTGGAGAGCTGGTTGCGAATGAAGTTGCGTTTCGGTTGGGGTGGTCGGGGACTAAGGTGTGTACTTTCCCCCAATTCTCCGCCTTCTGTCAAGATATGCTATAGGAAGGCGGAGGAGATATTATGTTGGAAGATTTTTGGGGTTTTTGCTGACACATGTTATTTGAATGGAATAGATATTCCCGAGTGGACGGTCCTCGCGTCGCGTCGGTCCTGGCGTAGAGATGCGTGCTGATCCTATCGAGAAGAGGCGTAGAGACGGGCGGGAGCTGGATATGTATACCGCGCTTGAGTAAGATGTCGGATGCGTATACATTAGCGTACCCCTTGCTTCTTGTGCATACGCTGGTAGGGCTTCCCCGCCCGGTGTTTGTTGAGAAATGCGACGAATATCTTACATTTGCATCGATTGATACAGGAAAGGTGGGTGGGAGTCTTGGTATATGACTCTCTTCTATTTATCAGCATTGCAGGAGACAGCATGGAAGAAAAACAAAGATGAGAGAGGCAGGGGGAGTGGGTATGAATACCAAAGAGCACTCTACTACCCATGTCGACGTGAAAACATGGATATTCAGAACCCTGGGAGCCTGTCGACTTCAAGTGTGTACATATATTTCTTGATACAAAAGAGCATTTTTCTTATTCTCGTGCGGGAGGGGAAGAAAACAGCGTAGTATATCATTTGTGAGAACAGCGTGCGTTGCGTCCTTAGCTACAGGGAGTGTACATGAATTAATTCTGAGTTGGAGTTTAGGTGATCCTACACACAGCGAAGGGTTACAATGATAAATAAACTCGCCCGGCCTCCCCCCCCCCCCAAAAAAACCGAGCGATGACCAACAATTCAATTGAGTGTATATCAATCCATCATCGTCATCATCACGAACAGCGTATATCCAATTGTATCGGCGCCACTCCAAGGCATTCTTCGGACTCTGGCTTTATGTATACTCAAAATGATTCTACTTGAGTCTTAGGTGTACGACCGGGGCTACATACAGTTAATTTGATACAGGAACACGGGGACAGATGCCCTTTTTATGCATATACTCAATGGATACACTCATCTACTACCAACACACACAGAAAGATAAAACGAAAAGCTATTTCCCTTCTTCCCCCTATACCGTACACTCCCTGCAATCTATCCCCGGCGAATATAATACAGAAAAAGCACAGATGGTCCATCCAGCACTCAACAAATAACAAACTACCTGCCTTCAAACCTTCTCTTCCTTTCAACCTCATACCGCTCAGCAGCGGCCTTGGCTTTCTCCTTCCTCTTATGTTCCGCAATCACTGCAATGTCCCTGCTATCTCCACTCATTGCCCTCCACGTGCGCTTAGCAATGAAGCTCGGTTTGTAGTTGCGCTTGACATAGTCCCATTTCTCCCCAAGCCCCTCGGGCATCCCGTCCTCGTAATCAATGTCGCGATCCATAAGTTCTTTATTCTGCGGGCTCAACCTAGTGGGCCGGGCCATGTGGGGAGGGAGTACGACACCAGGCTTGAGGGTGGCTTGGACAGCGAGCGGAGAGTTTGCAGAGGAGGAATTTTGCGAGGTGGTGAAACGCCTCTTGGAGGCGCGAGAGTTTGTGCGAGAGTTTGTGCGAGAGGAGGAAGAAGAGGTGGAAGAAGAGGTGGAGTTGGGTGCGCGGTATCTGATTTTGCCGTCGGGTCCCCTGAGGCCTTCCAGACTGATCTCGCCTTTTGCTACTCGGCTGTATATTTTGTTACTCTCGGGGGACGGGAGCTGGCGAATACGTAGAACGCGGCGGAAGGAAGGCTGCTTCAGCGCCCAACCAGTCACTCCACCCAGCGTGGAAGAGACAAGGAAGTAAAATTGGAGGGCAGCGGGTTGGAAGGCGGTGATACAGGTCATGACGACGGGCATGACAACCTGGATGTTCTTTTGCATGCTCGAAACTGTGGCGCTGTTGTTCACTCCGGTCTCGCCCCCTGCCTTTTGCAAGCAGATTAGCTTGATTGAAGTTGGGGTTAATGGGGTGGACTTAACGTACCTTGATGACGGTGTACATGATACCACCAGTCACAACTGGTAATATGTAATAAGGATCTGATATGGTAAGGTCATTGATCCAGAGCAGCGACTCCGAAGACATCCCGGGGACAGGCAAGTGAGCCATGCCATTTAGACACCTGAAGGCTCCAAAACCGAATACCATTTGAGCCACAGCAGGAGCCACATTCTTGTAAACTTCAGTGCCCACATCCTTCAGGATGGTTTGCTGCTTTAGTTTGAGAGCGTGTACTCTCTCATCGTCACCCAACCTTTTAGCCTCTTCCGTTTCTTCCAGCAGAGGTTGTAACATAGGCTTCATGGCAGCCATCTTAGCCATAGAGTCTGAGCCTCCGCGTTGGAAGCCCCAGAAGAGAATCATTCGCAGTATGAGGGCCGAGACGGCAATTGAACCTGTCCAGCCTAGATCTGTATTCAGATATGAAAGCTCAACAAGGTTTTGGAAGAAAGCTGACGATCCCCAGCCGTAATCGAGACCCAGGTCTTTCATGTTCCCCCAGTACGATATGATCTGAGTGGGATCAACGAACGGCACGTCTCCAGGGGTGGAATCGGGAGCGAGCACATCCTCGATTATCTTCGGGGCAGATTCCGGCTCGACAACGGCTGCTTTGTCGATGCCCGCGGGAGCAAGCTCTGGGGTGGATGAGGTCACGACTGGCTCGGGAGATTTTGCAACGAAGTCGGCAGGAGTTGGCGACGACGGCGTGGTTGCAACGGGGCTATGCGCTTCTGCGAATGTATTGTCTGGTTGGCTAGAGCCACCCCAAGTCCACGGCGCATACCATGATCCATAGCGGACCGACGATGTAGAGAGGCGAAGATTTGATCGAAGCGGAGTACCGGCGCGCCAGTTGGTAGCTCGGAGCGGGCTCGTGCGACCTGGCAATGTAGAGAGGGACTTGCTACGCGGAAGCGAAGAAATCTAGAAGGCGATAAGCATCAGCTTTATTATACCAGGGCTGCAATTGATGGTGTGCAGAAGTCTTGCAGAGAGAGGAGCAGGGCGCATCTAGCAACACGCTGCACGAAAAGCGAGCACCCCCTCTCAATCAACGCTGGCATTGACACTTACCTGTCTCGAAGCTCCGGATCGCATGACCGAAGGATGTCTCAAAGCCGCAGCCGAAAACTGATGGGGCCGTAGCCCTCTGTTGGGAATCATTGTAAGGCGTTACTGACACTGGCCATCGAGCCTGAGAATCTCAGAAGATGGGATCAGTGCCAAGACTTCGGCGCTTTTGCTCCGCTTCCACCTCCGCTCCGACCATCATCACGTACGACCAATGACGCTCCAGAATTCCAGGTTTTTGTTGAACCATTAATTAGAACTATCTGTTCGAGAAACTGGCATCTTCTCTCCTGGAAGAGGTTCTGTAATGCACAAATAACGCCCCAGCCAGCGTTCCCGTCCGAGTCAACACCATGACGTCCGTTCATGGGCCTCTGGTTTCGGGATGCGCCTTTTGACCTATAATAACACCTGCTGCCCATGTCCCTCGATATCTCCGCAACAATACAAAGTGTTTTAAGCCCATAAAATACAAAGTAAAACAGATGGATTCCAGAAGTCGACAAGGCAACTCCGAGCATTCGGCTGCTCCGTTTACTCGCAACAATAAGAGAAAAATGCATAAGATGATATGAAAGTAAATATAGATCCTCTTGCGATCAGGTGAGCATGGATACAACACGCCTTTCATGCACCATGCAGACAGAAAATGATTATGGTGGAGATGGCGAGATGATGCCCGACCACGCAAAGGGCCGTAGAGGTTGTATGCCATCAATGTCATCGAGGATGCATAGAGCGAATGCCACAGTGGTTCTGGGCACGTTGCGGGCGGGCATGTAGAAGTCAGGAAACGCTGCGGGATCACTAGTCCACGTAACTGTTGCCTTCGGTTGCCGCCAAAGCTTCTTCAGCTTGTCCTCCACCGCTTTCGAGCACCTCACTGAACATTTCTTGACTTCCCGAGCTCCTGAACACATCTTGCAAAGGACTGGTAGGGCCTTGGCTTTCGAAAAGCCCCGGGTCAATGGTTGGGATCGGCTGTGGCATCGACGACGAGCTGCCACCAAAATTCAGCGGTGCATTGCTCGCAAAAGTGGGCGAATTATTGAAGTAATCTTGCTGCTCGTTGGACCCGTTCTTACGAGCACCAGGTGGTTCGCCAGGTGGTGTATGTGATGGTTCGGGAGCAGGCTGTAAACTTTGCTGTTTGCCAGCATCAAGTGATTTGCGTTGTTTGAACTGGTGCGTTTTGGATCGGAATTGAGAAGGCAACTCCTCCGGATCAGAGATCCCAAGCTGTGTCATGAGCTTCTGTTGTTTTGTCGGTCGTGGTTTGCGTGTTGAGAGCGACACGTTGAGAATCGGCGGAGGGTTGGGAGCCACCGGAGCCCACTTGTGTAGCTCTTGCCGGAAGAAATTAATCTCCTTGGCCAGCAAGATTTCCGCCCCTTCCAGTTTGCGAAGGTAGAAGCGCTGTGTAGTGAGCTCTTCTGGGGTAGACAGCATGGGATTCATGTATCGCTCAACATAGCTGCGGAATTTCGCACCGTCATCGATGATGGATTCCAGAGTTTCCTCCTCCTCCGGTTGAAACGGAAGCGCGGCGATTTCGTCTTGCCAGATCATCAAATCTTCCAACTTGGGTCTGGTGGCATCTCGTGGGATCTTGATCCGATAGTCACAAATGGGGCAGGCAAATTTCTCATCCTCCTTGATTTTGCCTCGAGCAATCTTCAAGCACTTGCTGTGATACCTATAATAATTGTTAGTCATGCCGGGTATGTAGCCTAGATTGACATATACTGACCATTCGTGACAAAGCTCGCACTCTATCATTGTCCCGGCTTCAGGCTTCCGACAAATACAGAAGACGTCCCGACTGGAAGTAGAGCCGTCGATGTTCTCCTCGTCTTCCTCGGGGGAATTCGCTCGTGAGGAAGGTTCGACAGGCATTCGTGGCTGGTCCGTAAGGTCGAAGCAAGACCGGTTTCGTTCATCGACCTGCTTCATGTGTGCGTGTAGAATGTGGAGGGGCGCATTTGCTTTGCCGAACAATTTCTTGCCGCGTCGCATCCAGTCTTCGTGACGTTTTTGTTCCTTCTCGAGATCAATCGTCCCAGCGGGCTTGCTGTTGAGTGCGCTAAGGGCTTCCATAGCGTTCCTGACTTCCAGATACTTTGGACGATCTCGGAGGTTATCAGCTTTGCTGCGCTCATATAGAGACATGATAAGCTCTTGAGCATCGCGCTGCTTCTTCAGAATCGCATCGACAGCAGCAAGGGTGGCTGGCGTCACAGGTGTATGTAAAGCCTGTTTAGAGAGGGAATCAAGCTGCTGATAATGCACATTTTCGACGGACATCAGATCTTTGGCTTTGGCCTCCCAAACTTCGCCAAGGATTCTCTGCTCCTGTAGATAGTGAAGCTCAGGGTGGCTATCAGGCATGCCCAGTTCAACACTCTGTTCGATAAGCCCAATAACATCCAGTAGGGAAGATTGTTTCGATCTGAACTCTTCTGCAGATTTGACCCACTTCAATTGCTGCACGATTTTTTCGAGTGAGTCCAGTTCCGGAAGGTCCACGTTCAATGCTCTCCCCTCCTCCAGGATTTCGTCAAGCCGATTGACACTTTGTTGTGTAGTGCGATCCCGAAGTGCTGCGCGGATTTGGCTCTGGAACTCGGTAACGCTTTCGCACCTCTCGCGAAGAGCGACGATTTCAGGACTGTCAAAGCCCAGGTTGTTAGCGGTGGCCAAGAGGTTCAAGAGATTCTCGAGTTTTCGAAATTCCTTGTCTTTTTCATCTGCTTCCGCAGCAGCTGCAGGCGTCTTGTTGGCTCCTCTGCCCCGCCATCCCCCACGCTCGGCTTTGCGTCGTGCTTGCTGTTTGCGAGTTGTATAGCTCATGGCTTCCTCTGCTACTTCAGAGCATTTTTCCACGAATTCCTTCAAGTCCGCCAGACCGCTCAGCTCCCAATCGATCTTTTCGCCCTCATTCAAAAGCGAGCGCAGAGTTTTTAGCTGGGGCTTTGGGCCATCTTCAAGGACGGCATTGAGTTTCGTTTCCCAAGCTTCGGGCGTTCCAGCTTTATCAACAATCTTCTGGACAGTGGTCGACAATGTATCGTTTGACATCCGGTAGATTAGTGTGTGTTCTCCACGGGCCCCAGAATATCTATGATCCGCAGAGCTGCCTGGGCAACAATCGAACCAGCCCGCATGGCGTAAGCAAATAATCTTTTTAGTATTCGCGCAGTAGAAACGTGAAAGGTAGCCGTACGCCTTGCAAAAGCTACATATGAGCTCATCTTCATGCACATCCGTATCATCGATCGCGAACTCGATTGCGCATGCTTTGCCTGTACTGTCAATTGTGCATCCATGATCAGAAACTGCCTTGTGCTTATCGAGAAACTCTGCACGAATTTGTAGTTCCTTATCACGCATTCGTTCCAAAGCTGGAGCAAGCCACTTGGCAGTCTTGATGGTAGTATCCTTGCGCGCGGCCGCGGCGAGAAGAAGCTCGTCATGAGAGAAACAAGCCTGCCGTCGGTAATCCTGGAGACGTTGAACGCCAAGCTCGCCGAAAGGTTCCCAGTCGAATGGTGCAAAGTTGACAGCTTCATTGAAATTGAATCCATGATTGAATCCAGCGTGGTATGCCTGGGGGAATGTGATCACAAACTCGCCAGCTCGTTGGTCCAAAGCATAAACCCTTACGCCAGCCTTCTGAAGTTGTTCTGGGGTCAACAAAGTCACGAGCTGGAACAGTAGATCGGGCTGCGTCTCAAAAAGCTCCGGTACAGCATCGCGCATGGCTTGTTCAAACTTTTCGACATCTTCGGCGGGAATGCCGTACCACGTCTTGGTTGCGCCAAAGTGTTGGTAGTTGGCAGAATATGTGTAGTGATCTTCGTTGTGCCAACAGAAAGTGGAAAAGACCATACCCACATATAGCCACGGTACCGTCATGCCGGAAATGTCAGATTTGATATGGCGGAACAGACTCTCCGGATGGTAAGGTAGAATGTTCAGATTCCAAGGGTCCGTCGCATACGGGTCTCGGGGGTTTCGTTCGATAGTCGGGAACCCGCTTCCATGTGTAGTAGAGTGCACATCTGCGCCGTATTCCACTTCTACCGTCTCAGTGATTGCCTCTACAAGCCTCCAAAACTCACGCTCGACATCATCCTCTGACACCGGGCGAGCCTTGTTCGTAACAGGGTCAAAGGGCATCTTGTTGGCGAAATGGGCTTGCTTGAAGTTGAATGCGCGTTCCTGGAACTGTTTGAGTGAATATATGCTGCCTTCTTGAAACCCAAATTCTCCAGTGCCGACCAAGCACTTGGGGCAATGCCAGTCAGAGTCGGGAATACCCTTCACAGGTGGCTCCAGGCAGTAGCCATGGTAGCCTGCATCGCAGCTATCGCACAACAAGATGTTGGACGGATCGTCCTCTGTACCACAAGTCTCGCACCGATCTCCAGGGCGCTCATCAGCAGCACGCATACGCGCATTGGCTGAAGGTCGTCCGGGTGTAGATTGACGAGGCTGGGTCATGTGAGACCCGGCTACAGTAGGTGCGGCTTCTGCGATGGTCTGTCAGCATTGTCCATACAAGGAGATTGGTAGGCCCTTCGGGAACTAGTCTGCGCCTAGCACCCGGCCCAGCATGTGCCCAAAGACAACCCTGCTTTTCACGTAACCGCACATACCTTTCTTTAGACGCTTGCTGCGCCGGCCGTTCGCCGCATCCAGGTCGTCATCGACAGCAACCTCAGACTCCTGGGATAAAGTGCGCTTGAGATTGTTGAATGCCTGCCCGTTGGTCAAACTGGATCCAGGTGGCCTCAAATCTGGGGTGTTGTGGGCTGACAGCATAGGGCTGCCTCCATTTCGAAGCGGTGTAGACGTGCGCGAATCAGCCGCGTTCTGGTGGTGGTGGATGCTGCTGGGAGTATTGACGGCTGCGAACGAGCTGGGGGCCGGTGTCGAAGTTGCCGAAGGAGGTGGTTGCGCATTGACGGCAGTAAAACCCCCGCCCGCATTGACAGCCGTGAAGCCAGATGACGCCGCAGGTCGCGATTGCTCTGGCGGAGGAGTTGGCGTAGGTTCGGCCTCCATAGACGCATTCAGTGCAGCAGATGCCCTCATAGCGGGCGAATCCGTATGACCGGCTGGGGTTCCTTGGGCAGACTTCTTGATCGGCGAAGCGGCAGGAGATGGGGTGAAGGGGCCACCATTCTCGTATTCCAGCATTTGATGCACGCCCGGCTTGACAACCCTTAGATACTCTTCGTATGGGTGTAGCCACTTCTGGTACGAGTTCTTCAGAGAAGTCGATAGAGAGGACATGATCTTGCCACTGTAGCCAAGATCTCGTCCAATCTCGGCCCATTTCTTTTGCTTGCAGACACGCACAAAACCACCTCTAGTTTCAACGGCCTTCTTCAGCTTGAATAGATCTAATGGGCGCTTGTCTACGCTGGGAAAGCGGGTAAGACTGTTGCCATGTTGTTTGTGGAATTTAGATAGCTGGTCCAGATAGTTCAAGTTGGTTCGTGTACCTGTCAAGTCGGTCAGTCGTCGAAGTCATAGCGTCCAAGTATTTGTTTGCATACCTCCTTCGACCGAATTCAATTCTTGCCGGCGGGTGCGAAAGTGAAAACGCTGTTCAATGTCAGTTGGGTCACACACGTGGCGCTGCGCTGTAGAGGGCGGGCGTAGGCTTGTGCGTAGCAGGAGGGCAAGACGTTACGCACCTCTGTATCAATGGCAAAGTCTGGTTTCCAAGTATCAGGCGGGACGATCTTCACGATTCCGTACTGCTGTGCTTCGTCTCTGATTTTCTGTATATATACCAGAGGGTCCTTGAACTCTTCTGTTGTCGGCCTATACGTAGGGGCCTCCTTGAGCCCGAACATGCGGTTGGATTTGGGCGGCAGGTTGAGCGGTGGTCCTTGACCTCTACGCTCTACGGTGGTCAGGTCCAATGCCGGGGCCTTGCGAGCGCTGAAGGGAATCGCATTGGGGCCAGTCGGGGGCGCGCCGTTCACGGCTGGCGGCGCACCACCATTCATCTTCGGTTTCGGGGCGGTAGGAGTGGACGATGGTCCTCCATTGGCTCCAGTGACTCTGAAAGTGGTCATGGTGGCCCCTGGAAGTTGCCCGCTGGGGGGTATAAAGTCCACCATGGCTCGGCCGCTGCTGCACCCAGCGCTGCGCTCAGTGTCGGGCCGGGGCCTATCGGAATATTACGACGGGAATGAAAGTCCACTTCTAGATAGCGGGGGATTTTGAAGACGGATGGAAGTCGTGGTGGGTGAGGATGTGTCGATATCGATCGGCATAGGCCCTGCGACAAGGGCAGAGAGACTATATGACGGGTGGAAGGGACAGAAGGCCGTTATCGTATGCGCGTATCAAGCGATGGGATATTGCATAGGGCGTATGCAATGCACGCCTGCAGGCGCCGGGGAGCTTCGAGGTTTGGATCGGGTGCCCTGTTCGGCGGTTGGTGTAGGTCGGTGTGGAGTGTCGGTTTCGAGAGGTAGGTAGGTGAGAAAGGGCCGGATGGGCGATGAGGCGAGAGAGAAGGGCACGACCACGACTAGGCCCGGATCGTACCAGGGACTCGCTTTTATACATAGTCGAGTACCGACTGACTACATTTTCAGTTTAAGTACATATGACAGCCAGCTGATTTAGTCCTACATGGGAACATCACACCATTTGATCATGCCCGTTTTCCAATGCATTCTTTCTGCGTGAAAAACAGTCTCTTTTTGATGCCACCGCGGCGCATCGCAAAGACTGTATCAACCAGTGCATACCTAGGTACTTACCCAAAGTGCGGTTGTAATCCATGATGAAACCTACACCATGTCTTGGCCGTACATACTCAAGTATCCATGTCTGACCATGTACGTACAGTGATTCCGCACATGTGCGTTTCTCACTCCAACATGCGAACAAAGCAAATAATGGAGTAACATTCCCGGCCGCCATCATCTTTGCGCTGCCTCTGCCTGCTACGCCGCAAAGGAAGGTCGCAAGGCATCACCCGCACAATGGCCATGTATGGGTCCAAAAGAAAAAGGATTTTCACACGACAGAATTCAGGCGGTACACCTTGCCGTCACACTTGCCGCTTTGTCCAATTGTTGTCTCTTCTTACAATGCGCCGGTTCTCAGTAGCAGCGTAGCGGACGACGTTGCGAGAGGTGCGAGGTGCGCCTAACCGCCAGAGCCAATCACGCTGCCTGATTACAAAGCTAGCGCCTCTCTTGTGGGTTCCAACCAACAACGACACATGCATTGCCCATGGACTCTGGATACTCTCCTTATTTTCCCGTGTAGTAATAGAGCCCCCAGAAATGCCAGCACTCGACATCGAGAAACCCATACCGGCATTCTATTGCTGCTACCTGTTGCGATCCAAGAATCACAAATCTTACTACATTGGCAGCACGCCCAATCCCGCCCGTCGCCTCGGCCAACACAATGGTTCGAGCAAAGGGGGTGCAAAGCGTACTTCGATGCAAGGCAAGCGCCCGTGGGAGATGACGTGCATTGTTACCGGCTTTCCCTCCAAGCACGCTGCTTTGCAGTTTGAATGGGCATGGCAGAATACCCATGCAACCCGGCACATCGACCGACATGTCAGAGACGCAAGAATAGAGGAGCTGCACAAGACAAAGAAAGGGCCCGCTGCTGCCAGTGCAAACGGAAGGAGAAAGAGGCCGCCAATGAGCTTGCAGGCGAGATTGAAAAATCTGCATCACCTTCTGGGAGTCGCGAGTTTTGCGAGGTGGCCTTTGAAACTAAGGTTCTTCGCAACAGATGTGTTTGGCGCATGGGAGAAGAATACTGCAAAGATGTCCCCACGATTGAGAGATAGCGTCACTGTGCAACTGACCCCAGCGGAGCTTCCAACCCCTGCGACAGATACCGTGACTCAACTACAAAATCAATTCATGATCCCACATGTCATTAAAGCCATCTCTGTTGCATACGAGGATTGCCAGGCGTACACAGAGAAAGGCCAGGCCGTCTTTCAAGATGGGGAATCGCACTCATGCAGCATATGCAAAGGGAAACTGGAATCTACAAAGGCTCTGGCCATACTGTGCCCGGTAGAGGGCTGCCATGCTGTAACCCATATTCACTGTCAATCCGGTCGATTTCTCGCCGAAGAGCGCGATCCAGACTCGCTGATCCCAATCCAGGGCACTTGCGTTAGCTGCAAAACCCCACTGAAATGGATCGATCTCATGAAGGAACTCAGTCTACGAACAAGAGGTCAAAAAGAGATAGAAGTCATGCTCAAACCAAAACGGAGGAAGAAAGCGGGCAGTGTTTCCGAATTCGATGCTGCTGTGCAAGAGCTGAGTGAGGAAGACGAGGACCTGGACGAGACCTGGCTCGAAGACGTAGACGATGGAGACGAGCTCATCCCCGATGTACAAAGCAAAAGAAAAGAGACCGACAAGATACATTGATAGAACTTTTGTCATTCACCATTCCCTCACAAACCTTAAAGGCTCTTCCCCGCTATCTACCCTCTCCAAGACCTTGCTCGTTTCCTTCCAAATCCTGGCCTTGACCTCGTCTAAACTCGCACTCGCATCGATCTTGACAATGTCCTCCTTTTCGTCTCCCTCACCACTCTCTCCGCCAGAAATGAGTACATCAAACAGACTCCGCACCCGATCCTGCATCTCCTTCTTCTCGTACTTTTCCGTCCCAAATCCACCTCGCTTCGCTGCCGCTTCCGCTGTGATATCCAAGAAAAGACATAAATCAGGACGGGGCAAACCTACATCAGGATGTCTGCACCAGGCGAGTGGGAGGGAAGGATTGTGTTTAGCCGCGCTGTACACGCACCCAGAGTAGTAGTACCGATCGATTACCACAGTCGTGCCGGCCGCGATCAGTGATTGTATCTTAGCCCTACAAGTAACCCCATCAGCCAACCTACACAAGTGATGGGAATGATGGTGATTGCATTGCAGTAGAGGAATAAATAATAAAACACATTCTGAAACCGACTTACGCTGCCTCCCACCGATTCGCAGAGAAAAGCAGATGGATCACATGGTCCTCCTGCTCGCTTTGCCCACTCAGATACCCATTGATCATCTGCCCAATCGGCGTAGTCCTATCTAAATCATACGCAAAACTTAGCAAATTCCCATTTTCAGGCTCGCTTCCAAGCCCCGACCCAAGAGAAGAAAAAAGTCCCACAAACTGTGCAAAATTCTGCGCCTATCCAAGATCTTCCTCGTGAAAGGCCGACGTGCTCACCCACGTCTCCGCAACAGAGAGAAAACATGCACAGGAATATTTACATAGAGTAATCCACTTGAGAGTAGAGAAAAAGAAGAAGAATAAAATAGCAAAAATCATCAACGAACCAGGAAATCGCATATATTCCACCGCCGAGCCAGCTTCCCGAAGTCTGTCGACAAGGAGCTGACATTGTGTGGATTTTCCAGCCCGATCCAGTCCTTCCAAAACGATGAGTTTCCCTCGCTGCGCCGTCATAGTTGTGCAGGAAGATATTTTTTGTGTCTTTTTTTCTTTTTCGATTCCAAAGGGTCGGCGTGAAACAGTAGGATTCGCAATAACGTCCGCTGCGGTGACGTGCAGAACGATGGTGGTTGGAGCTCGGAAGTAGTCGGTCATGGTTCGTGCGGAAGTGGGCCTCCGAACAATTGCTAGCGTGCTTTTTTCCCCCACAGTGTATGTGTGGGTAGACCCAGATGTCGACTACCACAGAACCGCATGTTCATCTGTGAACCTACATTGGAAGTCAGTATATGTTGAAATTCAGTGCATGTGTATTTGATCCAGACATGTTACAGTGCGTCAACACAGCTGCATTGTGTTCCACAGATGAGATCGCGGAATGCCAAAACATGCTATCTTGTTGTATCTGTAGTATGTTATGATGTATCCAGAGAACTTACCGCGTCGGTTTATCGTTGCTCCCACTGCATAAAATCAAATACAGAAGGTTCAGGTTCAGGTGGAGGCGGGGGAGGGAGTAACTGATTAATCTGATCTCTCAGCTCCCCGTTCTTCTGTTCCAAGAGCGCGATCTTCTGGATTTTGGTATCCAATTCGGCCTGCAGGCGGTTGATTTTTACATGGGCAGCTTCTCTAACAAGCTCCCCATATTCCCTTTCTTGTTGATATTTTTCCGTCAGCTCCTGGACGGCTTCTCTCTTCTTATCGCGGTGCCTCTTCTGCGAGGCACGATTCTGGCGCTGCCGCTTGGTGCCTTCGTCCTTTGCGGGTTTGCGCCCGGGTTTTGGGAGCTCCGGAAGCTTGAATTCCTTGCTCATGGGGCCCACATTGGGGCCAGCTTGCTGCTCAACTTGCTGCTCAACTTGCTGCTCATCTTGCTGTGATAGTTGCTGTGGATAATGATGATTAGATGGTGTAGGAGCCGAATATGGGTTCAGACTTACAGGATCAATAACTAGATCCATTCCAGCATTTTTCTCCAAAAAGGAATAGAAGTCGTCTATGTCAAGTGTGTTCGTTGTGTCCTTTGTGTCCGTTGTCGCCATTGTGTCCATTGTGTAGTTTGGGTCCATTGTGAAGTTTGTATCCATTGTGTAGTTTGTTTTTGGAGTTTGGTGACAAAAGTTGAAGTTGGCTTGTGTATTGGTGAGGGTCAGTAGACACGAGAGTAGAGAATTGACATTTGGAAAATGGATAGGGCTTCTCTCTTGTTAAATAGTTTCAAGGGAGTAGTTCAACGGTAGGGTACTATCACGCATTAAGTAAAAGGACATGGACTTCCAAACCAATGGATTTTGAATGTAATGATCTGATGCTATTCAGAATGGTTTTTTTGTATTCAGCTTATTGGCCAGATCCTGAGGATACCATAAACTGGTACGCAGTGAAAGCTCTGCTAATAAGCATCATTGTGAATATGAGATCATGCCTCCTAGTCACGTTTGCTGCCTTGAGTTCTTCACTGATCGAGCCTGATCCAGACATTCCCGACAACAGTGTGGCTATGCATGCATATTCAGAGTCTGCAAAAGCTTGCAAAGGCATCAATTATGATTCGGTGGTCTGTGGCGTTGAATAATGGAAAAGATATCATGTAAAATGTGGACCAGGGCTAATTACGTTGTGGTCGAACTCGTGTTTAAGCTGGATCCCATCAACCGCCACGCCCTCACACCTACAAGAAGAACTAAGCACAAAGATTTTTTCCAATGGAAATTTGAGTTATTCCCAAACCCAAAAGGTCAATGAAAAGATTATACAGAAACTGGGCAGTAGCAAGAAGATTTCACAAAGGATTGTTGTTTTGTCAAGCACAGATTCGGGCTTTGGATACCGTGCATCTGAGCGGAACCGCAGTGTATGGGTCAACACGTTTTGTCGCATGATAATCTATCACTTCTCATTTGCCCGACCACAGACTGAAAAATGTGTTTTTCCCGACGCAACAGTAGAACAAATAGAATCGATTGTATTAAACTTCAAAGACCCTTCAGAGCGTGACTGTACAGGATACCACGGAACGTGAAAAACGATTCACCCAGCCACACAATCAGCAACCAAGTCTTCTGCCTTCTACCGTCGTAGGCCGTGGCGACTCCTTCCGCAAGCTTTGTATACGCTACAGTGAAGTTAGATATGCAATTCCAATTCGAAGAGATGTCTGGGGTGTACATCTCCGAGTCGATCAGGACGTACCGAGTGCGCTGCATACAATGTGAGTCTGGTCGCCAACATGAGATTATTGCGATTTCTTCGATGCACAAACTTAACATGGGAAGGGTCTGGAAAGTGGAGATGAGTGACGATTTGATTTCCTGGAGGATGGATACCGTTCACAAAGCACGAGGAACACAGGTACTGCCGAAAGAAAAGCGGGACTCAGGGGATGGATTCTTGATAGGCTCAAGGTGGACGAGATTTTTTTCGAATTGGGTACAAAGAAATGCATGACTTTCTTCTATTGTTTACTGTTGGTGCTACAGCTTGAGTTGTAAAATGATGCACTGCTCATGACCTTCGGGCTCGATCGAACTTTGCCGCGAGAGAGAGTTGCTGACACACCGCATCAAGATGGAGTGTTCAAAGAGTCATTGAGTCAATTTCGGGGTCGGTCGACGATCTTCTAGATCAGAGAAGAATTTGCCAGCAAATTTTCTTGTTGCCTGCTTCAATCTGACGTAGTGAGACAAAACTAGCTACGGTGGAATCCTCTACCGCGGACTTGATAGCATCCCGTTGAGAATTCGGGAATTTGCGCTTAAGCGCGAATTCAACTTTTTTGTCACACTTTCAAATGACACAAGATTGATTGATTTTCTGTAATGGTATCTCAGTATGAATATATCAATGTACAGGGGAGAATCGACGCGGTCTCCTAATGAACGGCTAACAAAAGATGGATCGTTGACATTAGACCAACATTACAGCATAAGATGACCCCAAATTCGCTCCCGGTAACAGTAGAAAGATGAGAAAAGTAGGAAAGGAAGCTAAAGCCAGGATGCATCCTCCTATGGTCAAACATCCTCCACCCTCATAATACAGTGTGATCTCATCTAACAATCCGAGACGGGGCGTTTCGCGTGGCCTTTGAAGCGCTGGCTCTTGTCGGCGGCGGCGGCGGTCTGCTCGATCTGTATCCCGATCTGGCCGTTGATTTGGTCTTGTACTCATTTCTCAGATCCGTTGTTGCCATTCTTTCGGTTAATCCCTCTTCGCCAGTGATTCCATCCTTATCGTAAGCCTTGCGTCTGATCGGGTTTCCCAGAATATCCCAAGCCCGATTGATATCCTGCGTCCGCTTCTGAGCGTCGCTCACCTGTCTCTCAGTAGCCTTGCCACCTAACTTATCGGGATGATACTTGCTGAGGAGTTTCTTTCGGATCCCGTCGATGAGCTCGGTCGTATCTTTCCTACTGACGCCAAGTGCTTTGTATGGATCGAAATCATTGTCGCCTACTTCCGAATCTTCATCCTCGTCTGAGTCGGTATCGCTATCGTCTATGGCGTATTTGCTCGCAGAGGGTTTGGTACTGAGACGTGCAGGTCTGCTTGCAGAAGGTCGGGTGCTGGGATCTGCAGATTTACTCGCAGAAGGTCGGGTGCTGGAATATGCAGATTTACTCGCAGAAGGTCGAGTGCTGGGGGCTGTGGTGTTGTGATAATATTCAATAAGCTTCGCCTTTTGCACGGGTTTCTTAGTATCGCTGCTGTAACTCTCCGACTCTGAGCCTTCATCATCTGAGTATATATTTCCCTCATCTTCGCCCTCGTCGTCGCTCCAACCTTGTTTTCGCTGTCGATTGCTCGTCTCCGAGTCGTCTTCTTCGTCGTCTGAGTAGTATTTTGTCCCCTCCCCTTCATCATCACTCCAGCTGGTCTTTGGCTTCGCTTTGATCATCTTTGCCTCATAAGACGGGGCCGCCTTGAATTCCTTCTTTTTAGGTTTAACTGCGATAGTTCCAGGGGCTTCAATGGCCTTCTGAGCGACGAACTCTTTTTTCACAACTTTGGCTGCGATGGTCTTGGGTGCTTCGATCACCTTTGGGGCCACAAACTCCTTCTTTTTGGGTATAGCTACAATGGTTTTCGGTGCTTCAATCGCCTGTTGCGCAACGAACTCTTTCTTTGTAGCCTTAGCAACAATTGTTTTGGGTGCCTCGATTGCTTTTTGTGCGACGAACTCCTTCTTCTTGGGTTTTGCCTCAATAGTCTTAGGTGCCTCAATCGCCTTCTGTGCAACAAATTCTTTCTTTTTAGGTTTCGCTTCAATTGTCTTAGGTGCCTCGATCGCTTTCTGTGCAACGAATTCTTTCTTCTTAGGCTTAGCTGCGATAGTTTTAGGTGCCTCGATTGCCTTCTGCGCAACGAACTCCTTCTTTGCGGGCTTAGGCGCGATAGTCTTTGGCACCTCAATCGCCTTTTGCGCGACAAAGTTCTTCTTCGCAGGTTTCGCTTGGATCTGCTTTGCCTCGAATTTAGTTTCTGCTTTGAAGTCCTTCTTCTCGCTTAGATCGTAGTCAGCGTGGTACTTCCTGGGATCGCCAATATCATCCGGGAAGGATTTCTGCTCTGTGTCCTTGAATAAAACGTATTCAGGATGTTTCATGAACTTCGTGAAGCGAGCCTTGCATTTGTTCCATTGTGGCGAGATCATGATAAGCTCCAGGATTCTACGTATGGATTCAAGAATCCTAAGGTATGTGTCATGGACTTGTGCATCCCGGCCGGGGTCCGGGTGTCGGTTTACATCAAAACCGAAGAAAGGTGGCGGGCCCCAGTACGCCTCCACGATGTCTACAAGAAGATTCACAGCTGCTTGTAGAGTCTCTGAGGAGGCAGCCGCGAGAGAACGTGTGGCAATAGGGTGTCGGACTTTATTCCAGAGCACTGCATCATTCTTGAAGTTTCTAGACTCGTCGGCCCATTCCGGACACTCCCAGAAGTGGTACCACTCGAAGCATTTCCATAATTCTTGCAACCGCCGAGGACTGAAAGGCATATTCGGTACTCTAAGTCGATAACTCTTCAGGCTTGGAGTATCGCTATGTACGCACTGTGTGAAAAGTAAGGTTCGGGAAGAAGGAATGACCGCAACTGATATTTATATGACTTACGGCCATAGCAGATGAAGGGAAACTTCTACCTTTCGTGGTTCACGACTTCTATGTGATTGAATCCTTCGCAGTGGTAAACCCTCGCTGATTGGAGACTATTCAATCAAACAGACACGCTGTATATATGCACACTCTATTGAAGGTCTCTGCACCCCATGACATTCTACAATCCAACAATTGACTTTTGTATGTTACTGCAAATTATGTGTCTCTTTTCAATGCTTATCTCAAATAGTGAAGATGCCTCGATGAGTGGGTTTGTCACGATACTGACGAGTGGAAGCGAACATAGCCTTTGTGAAATGCTTAGCAATTGTTCCACGTACTTGGGATCGTATATCGTAAGCTTTTGTTGGCACGATCGAAGACAACACGTTTTCGATCTTATATAAATACAGTGCCATAATATCTCGACTCCGCGAGCAGCCGCGAACAGGAAATGATCATAAGCAAGGATGACTATAAAATTACTTCGCTCATATTATTATAGTTCCTGCTGTTTTCTCATTCTGTGGCTCATAAAACGGTCTGTTCACACGTTATTCAAGCACGCTTCACGCAATCTTCATTTGGAAGCGAGAGTACGCAGTTGTTAGCCACTGTCTCCCATCATTTCATAGAATGTGCAGCCAGAGCAAGTGATGTGTCAATATGGAAGCAAAGAATTAACAACAGAGATTTATAGTCAACGTTCTCCAGCAACCAGTACAGTAATAGACCAACCCAAGTCCCCATTAGCCGAAACTAGTATACACTCAGTATGACCATAATCAGAGCACGCTCTGACTCTGGAGCCGAGATGTCAGATGCCCCACATTCGTTCATTGAACACCAGCGCGAAGACCACCATATGAGCGGATAACTTGACACTCCCCGAGCCACGTTCATATGGCGGTTCAACCATGGCGACGGCGGCGACCCTTACTCCTACTCCGATCTTCGTCTCCGCTTGCCTGGTCCTTCCCTTTATTCTTCCAATCGGTATCGTCGTCATGGTTCAAGTTCAATTCGTGATCAAACTTCTCGTGCAGAATCGTATCGATACGAAGCTGGGTTTGGTGGAGTTCTTCGGGCTTGCATCCGCCATAGATCCTAGACTTGATCACCCTAGAGATCTCATTGAACATTTCGACGAGCTGCTCCTGATCGAGTTTCTTGAGTTCCACTGTCTTCATGGAATGATTGTATTCGGTAACGTGCTCGCGGCTGTCATCGCCAAAACCATCGTCGATCAACTCGACGTCGTAACTGGTGTATACGTGTGAAGGCGGTATTTGCGAGGGATGCAATCGATAGGGCGGGATTGGTCTTCCATAGGAGTCGCGAGACATTTTTGGGTACGATGTTAGGGGCTTGTGTAGGTATCGAGTAATATGTACGCTCTTGATGTTGTATCCGTGATCTGGGGGTGGAAAAGTTCCGTAAATTGCTCTAGGTATTTATTTATATATGTACATATATGTGAGTGGGAAGGTATTGACAGTCGCATGGCTTCACCACAATTCCACGCAATGTCTTGATGCCAAAGCTCTGAATGTACGTCACTGATGACTAGCTAACGTGGTAGGTCTTGTTTGTGAAGATTTCGATCCACTGGTACTGGCCATCGACTGCCACGATGTCAAGCGACACGAGACATGCCCTAGAATACATGGAAAACGTGTGACTGTGAATGTATGGGTAGAGATTCGGGCAACTGAGAGAGATTCCGATTGTTAAATTGGACGTGCCGGCAAGATGATGTGGAATACCCTAATCTATAGCAGGACTAGTGAGTCTCATATGTTAGCAGGGTAATCATGTGAAAGCCAACATTCCAACATTGAAGGTTGAACGAGGCCCGGAAAGCCTAAGTGAGTGGTGGGATGACCAGTGAAACTCAACGAGCATACCAGAAACTTGAGGCTGCAAAGAGCGTGTTTGGAGAGTGTTATTAGCATAAAGAGCGCCTATAAAAAGGCACAGCCGGGCGTATGCATTATGTGCCTCATAAACATGCATGTGTGCATCTGTATGTGTGCAAAAAAGCATGTGACAAGACCCTGCGCAAGCATCGCGATATTTCGACCGGACTCGTTAAAATTGGATCGAAGTGATCAAACGCCAGACTGACGGAACATGAATCGCAAAATGCACAGTATAACGGTGAGAGCAGGTCTCAACGGCACGAGACCGGTGCGACAACTTTTCGGTTGACCAGAGAGTCGTTATGTTCTCCACTCACAGCCGAATGGGGAACTTACCTCGGCTGTTCCCCCGGACCCCAGACTTGGGGGATGATGATACATGCGGCACCACGAGGTGGTGTAGTTCCACCATTCCTCCGCCAACTCTCTGCTCCTGAGTTCAGTCTTTTCTAGTTGAATAGAAAGTTTGCTTACCACGATCCAGAGACTGGCCTCCCAATATGCCCTTCAACACTCAACTAACGCGTGCGCTCGGCATTAGAGGTACGTACCACATCACGACAATACCATACCATAGTCTATCACAACACTGACTGGTTTTTTGTGAACAGTACCCGTTGTCCAGGGTGGAATGCAATGGGTCGGGTACGCAGAGCTCGCGTCTGCGGTCAGTAACGCAGGTGGTCTCGGTATCCTGACTGCCCTCACTCAACCCACCCCCGAAGACCTCCGCAAAGAGATCCGTCGCTGCAGAGAGATGACCAAGTATCCCTTCGGTGTAAATCTCACTCTCCTACCCGCTCTTGTACCTCCGGACTATGCCGCATACGCACAGGTCATCATCGACGAAGGCATCAAGATCGTAGAGACGGCAGGCAACAGCCCTGGGCCAGTCATAAAGCAGCTAAAGGCTGCGGGAACCACAATCCTGCACAAGTGTACCACGATCAGGCACGCGCAGTCGGCTGTAAAGCTGGGCGTGGACTTCCTATCAATAGATGGATTTGAGTGCGCCGGACATGTTGGCGAGACCGACATCACCAACTTCATCCTGTTGAGCCGAGCGCGCCAGTCTCTCGGTGGCATACCCTTCATTGCCTCGGGCGGATTCGCAGATGGGCAGGGCTTGGCTGCTGCTCTCGCACTAGGTGCTTGCGGTATTAACATGGGAACGAGATTCATGTGTACTGTCGAGGCACCCATTCACCAGAACATCAAGAAGGCCATCGTCGACGCGCAAGAAACCGACACTGAGCTTGTACTACGAAGGTGGAAAAACACATCGCGGCTATTCTCCAACAAAGTAACCAAGGAAGCCGTGAAGATTGAAAAAGAGAGCCCCACGGGCAAATTCGAAGAAGTGGCTCCTTATGTTAGCGGCAAGCGAGGCCGTCAGGTGTTTCTCAACGGCGACAAGGACTTTGGTGTAAGTGACTACATGCACGCGCTTTTATTTGAATATTCGTCTAATGATTACATTCAGGTGTGGACTGCGGGTCAGGTCATTGGTCTGATCCACGACATTCCCTCTTGCGAAGAACTCCTCGTACGCATTGAGCGCGACGCTGTGCAAACGATGAAAGAGAACCAGAGTCTTTACATTGGCGAAGGCAATGAGCCAGTCACTTCGACTGGTACTGTCGGGAAGAACACCAACAACCCCGGTGCAGAGGTGTGGGGAGTGGGGAAAAGTAAACTCTAGATCCACTCGATGAGCTTTTGTAGTTATAACCCACACCCTATTGGTTGTTTGATCCCATGTATTTGTTTGTTCATCTCATGCTCGTATCGGGATACAGCATTTGTATAGAAGAGTGAAACGTGACTATCGCGATTGGGTACAGGATTATCACCTTCAAATATAAAACTGTCCTCCATACTGCTTCAACTGGTCTTCTACCTTCCATCACTCTTGCCTCCGGTTCCGATTGATATCTTCAATTACGACTCTTCGACTCACTCGAAAGCAAACAGCACCGCCCTCACACCATGGACTCCAAGACCTTTCTACACCAGACTGGGATCGAGATCGCCCTCCCTTCCCATCATACCCCCGAGTCCGGCTTCCTTAAACGACACACCTTCACCCTCATCTGCTTTGTGCTACTCATGGTTTCCATGTTCACCATCCTTATTCATCGAATCGACGCACTTGGTGGAAACCTCGCCACAATGTTCCCAGCCAGTTTGATGGAGACTACATGGTTCACCTCGCATCCCCAACATCCGTAGTCCCGTCCTTTCTGGAAAGGGTGGCGACGCGGTGGATAACTGTCCAGAAAATGAGTCCCCGACATGAAATGAGATATGAAAAAAGTGGACCGAGAATCTCGAAGACGGGGATGAGGAAGAAGGTGAGCTTGACAACGGAAATGAGTCAAGTTCTAGCGATTCTGTAGTGAGCCAAATCTACAAAGCCGGGAGTAAACACCTACAACGAAACCTTGGGGGGGATCAGCAGCAATGTTATCACAAACTTGAAGACCCTAATTATATTATATCTCAAAACGCAAAGGAGCTCGCTACGCTGCGCTGGAATCCCAAAACGACTATAGAGTTGTAGATTAGGGTAGCATTATTCTACGGCCAGGCTTTGCATATCCCGCTAAACAATAGTAACACTTGAATTTTGATTCCAGAATCTCATCACATATGGGAAAGTGTAAAGTAATGTCGCATGAATGATTTGAATACCCAAAAAATCAGGCCTGAAATGCCAGCATCATTCATCTTGTCTTTGCGCACCTCTCTCATAGGCGTTTGCCTGTTTTCTTGGCATTTGCATAAATAAGCGGGTGGGCCCACCATTCCTGCATTCCACCACCACCAGCCTCCCAGCATCCGGCTAAAAAGCAAAAAACATACAACAGCAGGTATTCGCTAGTGGTCACCCACCTAACTACTAATCCGCCGGTACCATGCTTAAGTACAGCTGAGCGGACGGGAAGCTCTGTTTTCATGGTCCTATGGTCGTATGTGAGATGAGATGATAAGCTCTTTAACCATATACTTGCACAGTATCAAAGGCATTGCTCCAGGATCTTGGCCCGAAACTACCTTCCTCCAATCTGTTGCCGGGGATGGGACAGCGTCGATATCATCAGCAGATTTCTGCTATCCACTGGATACCCCGAAACATACAAATTTCTAGCTGGGAAGGTTAGAGACTTTCAAATTTTTGCATGCTCTTGTTGAGAACACGTTACGCATGGGTCTGTCCTTGTACACTACGTTCTAGCGGGACGTCTTAGCATATGCCGTCATTTTTTGATCTCAATCGCAAAGTGAGACTTAATCTGGCGGGTGATGGTAGAATAGAGATATTAATGGGAGTAGAGGGGTAACTGATGGAGTGTTGACAGGATAGGATGAGAAGAGCAGCTGAATACGTTAGTCACTCAAGATTGCCTCTCCTGCGTGACGATTTTTTTTTTGCAGATTCAAAATTTTTGCTTTCTACTGCCAAGGCCAAATTCTCACCTAATGTTCACAAAAGTGGAAAATCTCTTCTGCGAGTTTTGTCTCATGGTCCTTTACGAAAACCCGCCTCTCGTCCATCAAATCAAGCCTCAATCTCTTCGCCTCATCAAGTCCAATCGGAAAGTCTCCAACGCTGTCAGTCACCCATTCGCGCAGTTCTAATGGCAATCCTGACACTCGGTCTAGCCCGTGTACCATATCCTTCCACCACTCTTTCTGCTGAGGCGGGACGATTGCAGTCGAAGGAATTCTCAGATTCGGATCGACTAAGAAGAGCGCTAGAATCTTGCGATGTCCAGGTTTCGTTTTGTCGGTCAAGGAAAATGGGCTCACGCGGTGTTGCAGGACGTTCGGAAACGTGAGTACTCGATCTTCTCGCGTGAGCACAGCACCTAATTCTTGCACTGCGCCCTCCTGGTCCATAGTACCAAAGAGGCGTTCGAGGTGTTCGAAGTCACTCTGCTCATATGGCACATCGTGAAAAGCTTCTATGCTCAGAGCTTCCCTGAATGAAAGATGTGAATCTTCGATGTTGGAATTGTCATAGTAATACAAGGCTGATGCACAGATGTATTCGTTCATTTGGCCTTCGATATGCCAACTTCCACCTTCGTAGGCTGGCTTGTCGGGAGTTAGATGAATGTTAGCAAGCTTGACGATGATCTGGAGGCCGTGCTGAGCGAAATCTTTGCGAAGATTGGTTTTAGGTATTGCCGTTAAATGCGGATATCTAGAGGTCACTGAATCCTCCCCGCACCAGCTATCAGGTTCATATGGTTCTGGCTCTGGTGGACAGAGCGTGCGGTTTTCCTTCTCCCAATCGGCGTCCAGCTCCTCTTTCTCGTCTTCACCTTCGTTCTCGCCCGGTACACGCTCGCCTTCGGGGTCCTTCCAAGGGAGTTCCTTGTCATCTAGCTGTATGCGCGTTTCTTTCCACATTCGGTGCTCCATCGATGTCAGAGTAGTGTTCCACATTGGCAGCACCTTTGCAATTATTTTCTCTAGAACCTGGTATAGACCTCTGTGTTTTCTTGGCTGAAGATTATTGATGTAGCTTGTGATCTTCACAGAGCCATCATCTTGTAGAGCAACCTCGCATGGCAGCCATTGGAATCTGGAGGAATAGAAGTGCTGCTCTGGCTCCCTGAACCTGGAACCCCAACCTCTGAGTCCGCCCCAGTGATTCACTTTTGTATGATCCTCTCTAGGCACCGGCATGATCCCACCTTTTCCGATCCACTGCTCGCAATCGTCTAGCGACACTCTGCCCTCGTCTCCTTCCCAGGAGGAGCCACCCTCGCTGAGAACATCTCCGTATGCTGGTTTCAGAATTCTTGAGCGGCCATACAGCAGTGGGAAGAGCGAGGGATGCACCAAGTCAAGAACTTTTTCGTCGGAGTTGGGATGCCAGTCTTTGTCGCTGTCAGGCACTTGCTCGAGAGGCATGACTGCTGTCCGAAGCTCCTCTTTAAGCTGAGTGGGTATGAGGGTATCGGACTTGAAAACGATGGCTTCTGCCTTGATCGCTGGTATAAACCCATTCTCCTCCTCAAATTTTGCATAATCCTTCATTTCTTCCACACACTGGGAGATTTATCAGATCCGTCGCTCCAATCAGAGCTCAAGTACATACGTAGTTGAACATTTCTTCGCTGAATTGTTTTTCTACTGGCTCATTTCGCCAACGCTCAATTGCTTCATTCTTCCATTTGTTGACAATTTCCTCGTTCATAATTTTCTGCTTCCAATTGGGCTTGTCCGTAAGTTGCCCCATCACGTCTATCATATGCCGTTCACGGAACATTAATGGAGAGGCAGCCCAATCCATGAGCGCATTCGGAATCCTCATTCGTTCAATTGTATTCTCTCCGTGGTCTTCATGATAGTGGTACTTCGTGACATCATTCAGTGGAATGGTCAATCCGAACAAAGGAAGGTGTGAAGAGTCTTTAATATCATTGGCAGTCGACATGGTGGACGTAAAAGGTTGGAATCGACTGATTAAGAAGCTCCGAGAAAGGTCTGATGAAGGATTCTTACGAGTATTATGAGCGGGCCCGACTATCTATATATGTATGCCTGTGACGAATGTTGGCATCAGCCAGGCAGGCAGCAGCAGCGTCTAGTCGGCGTAGCAATAATTATTCAGCGAATTGGGCGATGTTATGTCCTTCGCTTGTCATCATTGTGGGGTCGGTTAACGCATTTCGGTCGCTTGCATGGAGTAGTAGGCAGTGAGATGGCCTGACGCGTAGTAAGCAACCCTCCTGAAGTGACTTTCGTTTGAAAGCCCATGTCTATACTTATGTAGCCCATGTTACTCGTTCGTTATGAAATTTCTCCTTATTTTGCAACAATACCTCTCGCACATCGTTGAGGGTTGGACACCCAAGTCCTATCTCGTCATACCATAATCCGTACATGATAATTGAATTGATTGACTCGGTGCCAGATGCTCTATAACATGATCTTGTTCTTCCATTCGAATATTTCCTCAACAAAAAGGTCCGGAACCTCCCAAGCAGCAAAATGACCACCCGAGTTCATCTCCCTCCAGTGCACGATGTTTTTGTAGTACCGTTCACACCAATCCTTCGGACCATAACTCGTATCGCCCGGGAACCAACTTACGCCGACCGGCATATCAATAGTATACCCGGTTGTTATATCTTTGCACTCCCAATAGTAACGACCAGATGACGTCCCGGAATTAGAGAGCCAGTACAACATAATTGTGTCCAGCATCTCGTCTTTGCTGAATACCGTTTCTACATTCCCATCATGATGAGACCAGTCTCTAAGCTTTTCATAAATCCAGGCAGCTTGCGCGACTGGTGAGTCCGCAAGCCCATAGCCAAGAGTCTGCGGTCTCGTGGATTGTTGAAGTGAGTAACCGCAGTGTGTCTTGTCCCGAATGTGCTGAAAATGCATTGCTAGTTCCTCGCCTTTCTTATCAAGTGATGGAATTTGGATCTCTTTCTGCGCAGAATTAGCGTCCTGCTTCTCCCGGGAAGCTATTAGTAAGTAAAACTTACCCTCGGTTCGAGGAAGATGGAGTTCATATGAACGCTCTTCAATCCCTTTGGTGCTTGATGACCCAGGCTTGCAACAAGGTGGGCGCCCCAGTCGCCGCCTTGAGCGACCCATTCTTTGTCTGCATAGCCTAGTCGCTGCATCAACTCAGCCCATGCACGAGCAGTACGATGGTAATCCCATCCCGTCTCCACTGGCTTGCCGGAGAATGCATAGCCTGGGAGTGCTGGGATGATTAGATGGAAAGCGTCCTTGGAAGAGCGGCCGTGAGTTTCAGGATCCACCAGTTTGTCGATTACATGTCTAAATTCCAGAACCGAACCGGGCCAGCCATGAGTAAGTAGCAAAGGGAGAGCTTCCTCGTGCTTTGAGCGAATGTGCAGGAAATAAATCTCCACGCCATCAATGCTGGTTGTGAACTGGGGGTATGAATTAAGCAGTGCTTCACATCTTCGCCAATCATACATCTTCTGCCAATAATCGCAGAGATCTTGAATGACGGCGAGAGGAACACCCTGAGACCAATCGGTAACTATCTCCTTGTCCGGCCATCGGGTCAGGCGAAGACGTGTTTGCAAGTCATCCAGGTCGCTTTGAGGGATCGAAACCTTGAAAGGTTTGATAGAAGTAGACGTCTGCGCGGACATTGATAGTATTGTACAATTTCAGTTCGATCGAGAGATGGCTCAATTCAACAATACATGGGAGTGTTGCCGATTTATAAGTCATCCAGACATACGGAAGTCGTAGAACGCTAGGTAGGCATGAGAACTACCGCGTAGGGGATTAGACACTCCCTATTCAGTTAGCATCACGCAGAAAGGCTGCTGACAAATTTTAATTATGTCAAGCCAGTATGCGAAAATCAAGAATTTGGTATGATGTGGATATCACCCAGCAATGGTGCTGACAAATGACGAGTCTTACCAACGTCATCCAGAGAAAATCAATGCCACAATACGCAAGTATAACGGTGTATGGAGGTCGTACTAGTAAGAACCCAGTTCTCGCGGAGCCAGGTAGAGGAGTAGGGATTTGCATGGGCGCATTCAGGCTGATCTACGCTGTTTTATGGAAACAACAGAAGAAAGATACCACAACTCTAAAATAATGCCTAATAAACAAATTGCGGGTGTTTTTGTAGAATTAATGAACGGCACTACTTCTAGGCTAGCGTCACCGTCGAACCATTCAATTATTCAATGAGCAACGAGCAGACAACTTTTCAATAACGCCCGTATACATTGTTCAGTGAAACAGTTTGCATAATTTTACCAAAGAGTGAATAACGTGATCCCCATGAAGCAAATCAACAAAAGCATCCTTTTCCGTACTCGAAAACGCCAATTTGGTGTTATCCAAACAGATTTAAGAACCAGAAACACCTAATCGTCATCATCACTCTCATCACCACTATCGTCGTCATCACCGCCATCCCCTCCGACAAAAGTTCCCGGTGGAAGTACAGAAATAGGTGTAGTAGACCCATTACTTTCCACTCCAGCCAACAAAGCCCATTCCCCAAAAAGCGGACTCCTCGCCAAACTCAACACAGCATCAAAACCACCAAATCCTACATTGTGAAAGGAAAGCTCAGCCGCGGGATCGCCGGCGTTACTGACCGCCCTATCCGCAAGTCCCCATCCCATCTCCACAGTCCCTGCAGTATCCTGAGCTGTGAATCCAGTTTCACCGTTCCCAACACAGTTTTGACATAGAAACGTCCATGTCATGTGTGTATCGTTTACTGAAGTTCCCGAGGGAATATCGATGGCTCTGAATTCCCCTTGAACTACAGGCGGGTTTTCGTCCTCATCCTCGGCAACACGGAAGGTTGAGACCACTGTGTCACCATTGGGCCATGCTGCAAGGAGAAGGGGGCCTTCCATGTCATCTTGAAGAGCGATTCCTGCCCATCCTGAGCCAGAGGGGATAGGGCAACTGATCTGTCCTATGAAGTCTAGAAAATGTGATAAGTCTTTGCGTTAAGCGAAGTTCGGCAAATTTGGGGAATTTATGATTCATCACGTACCTGTACTGGGGTTTTCTGGAAGTGCAATACCAAAGGAGAATCCAGTTCTCGCCCCAAAAAACCGTTGAAAGTTGATTCCAGTGACGGGATCAGTGAATGCTTCAGTTACTTGGGAGACTGTGGGTTTGGTGAAAAATAGTAGGTAAAGGGCGACACCCAACCGATTTCTGTTCCTTGAACATATCCTGGTTGACTTGTGATATCGTTGTGAGGGATTTTTGGAAGCTGGAAGATGAAGCATTTTTAAGAATGGTTAGATGAATTGAATGAGATACTGACGCGCTCCAGACTTCTTATATATATCAATATCCGCAGAAATTTCGATCCTTGTTCATTCAGCAGATTCGCAACTTCAAACCATGAGACAACTCTTGCCAATTTCTAGCGCCGTACTCACCGAAAACAGCATACTTCATGTGAATTTAAGGCAGTAGAGCTTGTCTGGGGTAACATTATATGTTCAAGATATCTAGCTCTGACTACCAAGCTCCCGATGGCGTGCCCTCCGACACTATGACTTGCTATTTCAGCTGTACCAAGAAGTCAACTTCTGTCCTTGGAAAGCATCCTTCGCGTATCTTCCCCTGTCAAAAATAACGATAGCTCGCGTCGAATGACTAAATACTCAACTTTACAAGCGTTCCTGGTGTTTTTCGTCGTGTATGTTAACCCCACTGGTTCATCGGCGTCTGGATCGTCCTCAAATTCGTATGCATGGAGCTAAAAACCGCGTCATCGGTACAGTAACTCAGATTATCAACGAGCAGCCCTATAAACAGACCAGCGCTTGCCTGATAGCTTTAGCGTTCTTCATGCGAGCTGGCAGCCTCACGCATTTCTAACCTGAGGCACTGATACCTTGGCGTGTTGGTGTTGTAGGAGCCTGCGCGGTGCGGAAGCTCCGACATCTCACGTTGTGGGTACATTCTTGGCGCTACAGACTCTGGATACCCAAACATCGTTCCATTGAGGCTTTCAGTTAGTGTATGCAGAGGTGTCGCAAGAAGAATCTTCAACGGCCTAACGACGGGAAAAGTGGTGGAGGAAACTGTGAAAATGCGCTTCGATATCTAATGACGTGTAAACCCCATGCTTGAATCAAAAGGTACGTAGCAGAATTGATCTTCACACATCATCTCAGATACATTTTTAGCAATCTAAATAGCACCAGAAAATGCATAACAGAATAGATGTATTGAACAAGAGAAAAACAAATGACGTGAAGAGAGGAGACAAGAAAAGACAAAAGACGCAGAAAAACAAGCACACCTTCTATGGTGATCTTTGAATAGCAACAACAGCCAAACACTTCGTGAACCAGTCAGTCCTTTAATACATATCCAACTTCCACTTCAATTCTCCTACCCTATTTCCCCCAGGCGGCCCATACGGATTCCACCCTTTTCCCACGACTCCTTTCATCTTCCCCATCCTATAACCCTTCCCCTTCATTGCCCAGACCATGAATCCGGGCACGTTATGTCCTGCAAGCACTCCAACGCCGCCGCAACGCCCGATCGGCATGATCTGGTAGTCTTTGAGCTTCGGTTTGAAGTGCGCGTCCTTCAGTGCTTCGATCTTCAAGTGGGCTTCTTCAGGGGTGAGAAGGGGACGTAGCTGTAGGCCAGCTGCAGGGAACGATGAGGCTGCTTGTGAGGGATTTGTGAAGAATGGATAAGGAGGCGGAGGAATATACAGGGGAGAAAGGACTCTTGGGGGGTCATTGTCGGTGGCAGGACGGGTGCTCGATAAAGGGTTTTTTAGCTGTGAGAGCATCGTGAGACGGCGAGATAAAGATCGGTCTCTCTTGAGTGGTGTTCCCGGTGTTCGAGAAGGCGGATTTGCTGTGCTTGCTGCGCTTTTGTACAGTTTCCTGGGAGGAGCTGGGCGTGGGGCCGTTGTTGTAATCGTAGTTTGGATTTTGTATTCGTGGGCTAGCAGGTCGTTGAGGAGATTTTTGACGAGTACTGGAATGGCGTCGTAGACATCCATCGTGAAATTCATGGAACAGTTTGCGCAATCTCCAATAGCGTAGACGCGCGGGCCAATGCTGTGTCCGTAGACGCGGAGGGTTTGGTAGTCGGTGACTACGTACCCGGATTCGTCTAGCATACATCGTGGCAGGAAGCTGGTGTTGGGATATACACCGGTGGCTTGAATCAGTATGTCGGATGTGATGACTGGGCCGTTGTTGAGCACGCAGCTGAAAGTGCCGTCTTCATTTTCCACCCGTCCGATCTGACGCGTACAGTGGATGATGTCCACACCAAGTCTTTCGAGGTGTCTCTCTGCTTTAGTTCCGAATTTAGGGTCCAGTCTTGGTAAGAGGCGCGTGCCGCCAGATATAAGCGTGATTCTCTTTGGAAGGGATGGCTGACCCGATATGCTATTGAAGTCCAATTTCGACTGTGTGCAGTCCTCGCATGTACAGAACAAATCTTCACCCCCTTGTACGCAATCGCTCGATTTATTTAGGCAGGCCGATTCGCACTTGGTACGTGATCCCACCTCTTGAATTGACGCTGAATTGTAGTAAGATGCCAACTCCCCTGCTGTTTCAACGCCTGTCGGACCACCGCCAACGACGGTCACTGACCTACTTTTATCGAGGGTGTGGTGAAAAGCTTCGAGTTCCGCCAAAGTTTGCTCATGGGTTCCATGGAGTGAAAAAAGCGGAGAATGAGCAGAGGTGCCAGTAGCAAAGATCAAGGCGTGGTACGATATTACTCGAAATTCGAGGTTGCGGGAGCGAGAATTTGTTCGTTGAGAAGAGGGATGTTTGGATGGTACCACGACAGAATCTATTTTGGATGCGGAGCTCATTCGTTTTTCTCTGTGGTTTCCCGCCAGTTCCACTGTTACCTTCCTTGCACTGGTATCGATGCTCGTGGCGGACCCTTGTACGAAAGTGAAGTTGGCAGCCGCATGTCGACTGAAAGCAGGCTCGATGGGGATACATGTCTCAGCTGGCTGGATCAATCTGGCCGATACTAAAGCGCGTGGAGCGCAGATGTTCCAATAAAAGTGAGTGGATGGAGAGACCAACAAGATCCGGTAGGATGATGCGCCGTCGAAAGTGCTAAGACGTTGGATGCAATTGTCGAGAAAGGCTTGCGCGACCCCCAGACCGGCGAAGGAGCCGCCGAGCACGACAATGTTCAGCGGTTGCGAAGCCATGTGCGACTCACGCTGCCTCTCGTGATTCTACATTGGAAGATGAGTTTGGGACACTGTCTATGATCAACCTTCTGCTGCTGGAGTGATCAGGTTTCTCGATTGATCGAAATATCTATTGTTTCATCAGTGTACACATTTTTCCATCCGTATTTGGGATGGTGTTGGAGGCGTACAGTAGGTAAAGTCAAAAGCGAATGGCGCGTGGCGGTGTTGCGGTCCGATCTAATAATAATTATAATCAGCTGAGGCGGACTTGAGATTCACGATTCAGTATAAAGTTTGATTCGATTTCTATGACGACTTCCAACCATGAGAAAATAGGAATGAAGTCCTGCAAGCTTGCATTCCTAGATCAACTCGTGTGATACAATAACAGTTCCCTGCCCCTTAGGTCACACCGGAATTCCTAAGGATTGCGACACAAGAACAGTACGTCAACAATGCAAGGGCCACTTGAGAGTGCCGAATAACAATTCCGCCAGAAGTAGATGTTGCAGGTGCAGCAAATAGTAAGTACTTAAATGAGACCAATATGAAAACCGAGAAGTGTAAGATGGTCCAACCCGTAAAAGGGCGAGTAGACGGTGCTTCATCATTCCTATCAGCATTGAACTTCTCAAGTTGATTCAGTACATACCAACGGCAGGTATCTCAAGAAGAGATATGCATCGCATCAACGTCGTGATCCAAAAGGATTGTGCCGAAACTTGAGTTTACTCGGATGCAATGTGCCGGGCTTGGTGGGGGTTGTGGCGGAGGAGAGGGAGGATCGTCTCTCGACATTTGTTGTGGTACCATTGAATCTGACTTGAATCTGGAAGTTGGCGATGTAGCAGTTGTATACACCGCCAGAATCGTGTCTATAGCAGCCATGTCTTCGTCCTAGGCGATGCAGAAGTCGGGCCTCTTTAAGAGAGTGCCTAGGTATGAGAGGATCAAGAGATCACCTGATGTGTATATGACAGCCAGAATAAAAGGGGAGTGATGTTGTAGATTGATGGAGATGGCAATGCTACCGCTACATGTTTAAATACCGAGTTCCTAAGTAGGTGAGGTAAAAAAACAAAAAGGGGATGCTCCACCTGGCAAACGACGTACAAGTGGCAGAAGCAATCAGCGTCGCAACGGCCCGCCCGGGAGGACGGAAGGCGTTGACGTTTTACGGTCAGGTAATGAGAGGTGACTGGAATGGAACCCAAGCGATCTGGGAAGGGTACATACACGGCGGGGAGATAGATGTCGAAATTAGTCTCGAACATTACGTGGAGCGAGGCGTGATGTGTACACGATGGAAAGCAGGGAAGGACAAGACGCAGAGAGCCGCGGTCAACAGTAATGGATACCGGGCAGCATCCGAGGGGAATAAGAGGATGAATACACAGTCGGAATTAGGCACATGGAAAGCAACAATTGACTGACACACAGTAAGAGGCGGCGATGGATGCATTTCAAGTGGAAAAAAGGCGGTCTGCCAGATTGAGCCATTAGATGACGAGCTGACGGAAAGAGTTGCAGTGATCCGGGGGAGAGAGTGCAGGAAAAGTGGAGACGGCGGAAACATGGCATTATGGCAGGGAGAGTGGAGAGAGGATGAGAAGAAGGGATGATTGATCGATCGATGGATTGAATGTCACTGGCATCATTGTAGGAAAAAGGGCGTTGGCGGTGACGGAAGATCTATGTTTGTTTGTCTGGTATTGGGCGAGATGGGGCTGACGAGCCCGTGCAAACTCGTTGAACCCAAGTTAGCCATCGGTGAAAGACGATCGGTCCAGAACCCCGTTTCCATGATTTGGACACAGGAAGAAAGAAGACAGCTTTGGTGAAGTCATTGCTTGAGAATGTATTGTGCAGATGCAAAGGACAGTCACTAGATGGGCGTACGTGAGTGCGTCTTGATTATATAATACATGTCTACTCAGTATGATTACATAAGCATTCTCATAAGTGAGTAGGTGAGCCGCATCCGCGACCGCGACCATCCCACTCCAACAGCCACAACTCTACCGTCCGAGGCTTTATTCCTCACTCCAAAGGGTCGTAATACGTCCCCTGGATTGATTGCTTCCAGAATCCCCCCATTCTTCCCGGTCTACGTCCGTCCGTCCGAGGCTCGAGATATCCGGCTTGGAAAAGCAGAAGCACGACTAGATCAGCAATGCCTTCCGGTCTGGGGAATCAATGAAGAATATTATATCGGCTTCCTTTCCGTAAAATCGTTTTCCCTGGCTACACGGCTTTTAACCGTTCACCCACCCTCCCTTCGCCTCTCTTGCCCCTCCCGCTGGTTGCACTATCGCCGCGCATTGTCCATCCCGACGCGTCCTCACCTTAGCTTGGATACACCGACCCCACACGCCCTGTCTACATCACCCGGTACCGCTGCGCAACCACCTTCGCCTCATCCCATCTTCTCATCCACGCCACGCCGTTTGCCATGTCGTCCATCTGGAACCCTGACAACGTGCGCGATGTGGCCGAATCGGTGGGCTTGGCCTCGTTGACCGACAACGTAGTCGAAGAGCTGGCGCGCGACGTCGATTACCGCCTCGCCCAGGTGCTGGAAGAAGCTCTCAAGTTCATGCGACACAGCCGTCGAACCACTCTGAGTACCCACGACATCTCAAACGCCCTCAAAATACTCAATGTGGAGCCTCTATACGGCTACGAGTCCACTCGTCCGCTGCGGTTCGGAGAGGCTTCTCTCGGTCCTGGCCAACCACTCTACTACGTCGAAGATGAGGAAGTCGACTTCGAAAAACTCATCAACGCCCCACTTCCCAAAGTTCCCCGAGAGATCACTTTCACAGGTAAGTCATACAAGTCCCCGCACGATATCTCGCTTGCAGCAGCTTATGCATACAGCCCACTGGCTCGCCGTGGAAGGCGTACAGCCGTCAATACCGCAGAACCCAACCGCCAGCAACCACGCCGATATGTTACCCAAAGGTCCCAACGCGAACCCGCATATCGCCGCCGCCAACGGCCTGGACAATGTCAGCGTCAAGCCTTTGGTGAAGCATGTCTTGTCCAAAGAGTCCCAGGAGTTATTTGCCAAGTTGTCGAGCGCGCTCTTGGACGAAACAAATCCTGAGTGGCAGAACGCTGCCCTGGCTTCCATCCAAACCGACCCAGGTATCCATCAGCTTGTCACATACCTCCTTGCCTTCATAGCCGAGAAAGTCACCCACTGCATGAACAACATCTTCGTTTTGCGGTCTATGCTTCAGGCCACGGAAGCTCTCCTCGCCAACCCTACTATATATCTTGACCCTTACATTCCGTTCATGGTCTCTCCGGTATTGACATGTTGCACTGGGAAGCACGTGGGTCCGAGTTCACACGCAGCACCCTCCAATGCATCGTCCGAGACCTTAAATGGCAACAATCTGAATGGCCACAGATTTAGCCCTCATCAACACTTCCAAATCCGAGAGCTAGCCGCATCCCTTCTGCACAAAATTTGCAGAAATTACGCCTCATCCAACCAGAGTCTGAAAGCCCGTATAGCCCGTATATGTCTCAAGTATTTCCTAGACCCCAATAAGACATTGGGTACACATTATGGCGCATTGCAAGCCCTGCGGCTTATCACTGGGCGCGAAGGAACCATGATGCTCATCATGCCCAACTTGAGGATCTACGACGAAGTGCTCAAAGAAGCAATGGCGGATGAGTCCAAGAAGCCCGATGCTGACAGGGTTCTAGCTGAGATCCTGTACGGTCTCGACGAATTGGCACGATCAAGGATATCGACACGAGCGAATGGTGTTGTGGATCTTGTAGGCCAGCGACAAAGCCTGACGGAGAAAGTGGGCGAGGTGGTGGCTGAAAGAATAATAGCGAGCGATCGGACAGCCGTAGCCCAGGTAATCATGGAGGCCAACCTGAGGATCTAAGCAGCACACGAGGATGATGGATTGATTAACTGACTGACTGACCCTTTGATTGCACCAAAACGGCGTTGGGGAAAAGGACGATACCACTGCTCTTATCAGAAGCAAAATACGCCAGGCATGGCATATACACATAGCACTAGACTATCTATATCCCAAATCATATTGCGTTTATATGACCAAACTTGCTTTTCTATACTACGTCTGTTGCGATTTGATCTTAAGAAATAGAGCATGCATGTGCAGGCAGGTGAACATTCACCAACTTTTAGGATATGCTCAAGTGCTGGCACCTATGTACATCTCACCACTAAAAATCATTTCAACAACGTAGTAATACACAGCCTTTATGAATTAAGTAAATACTACTTCTAAGTAAGTAAAAGCTGTTTATCTTATATTATAAAGTAATAATTATCTATTGTCTACGCTGTGTTACAGCTTTATCTACTATATTTACTCACTAATATTTCTAGGCCCTGTGCGACAAGGATTGCCTTCTTTTTTGAATCTGCCCTTTGTATGTACATCCAGATGTCAGTACGTTCGTACATGCACACATGTGACGTCGCGCTGGTGGTGTTTGATTGGTGCATGCTGTGCTTAGTCATCATCGATCTGGCCAGCATTATCTCCCACTGCGCTCCCAAGTACAGCACGCCCTCTCCCAATTCCGACTTTGGCCTCCACATCCTGTCGTACTGAATACAAATCTCGACACAAATCTCTAATCACCATGTGGATTGTTAACTGGTACGAAGCATACAACCTGCTCTCACTTTGAGGCTTCTGCGCAACTGTCCGACTAATTGCCCCTCCAGGTGTAAGCCTCCAAGTACCTGATTTCCGTCTACAGCACACGACGCTGATTGCGCACAGTCTGGGATATTCTGGCCTCGCTGGGTCTGGCCAACAAACACGCGAAGCTGTTGGTACGTTGAACGCATACTATCGGGGAGTGAAGCCTTGCTGATCTAGTGCAGTTCCTCGGTCTCGACAATGCGGGAAAGACAACGCTCTTGCACATGTTGAAGAAGTAGGCCTCCACCCACTTCCCATACTGCAGCCTTGGGATACTGACCCTTCTTTTCTCAGTGATCGTGTAGCTGTTCTCCAGCCTAGTACGTCTAGCCCGTCTTGCCCCCAGCGATCTCTCTATGAACTAACCAAGCTGACACAACCCAGCTCTTCATCCCAGTATGCCTCCACCCTGCATTCCACATCCCGAGTCACGTTTTAACGTTTTGTAGCGTCGGAAGAGCTTTCTATCGGTAACGTCAAGTTCACCACCTTTGATCTTGGTGGTCACGCACAAGCCCGCCGCCTCTGGCGCGATTACTTCCCCGAAGTTTCCGGTATTGTCTTCCTCGTCGATGCGAAAGACCACGAGCGCTTCGTGGAGTCCAAGGCCGAGCTCGATGCCCTGCTTGCCATGGAAGAGTTGGCTACCACCCCCTTCGTCGTGCTCGGAAACAAGATCGATCACCCAGACGCGGTATCGGAGGATCAGCTGAGGGCCACCTTGGGCCTTTACCAGACAACAGGCAAGGGCAAAGTACCTCTCGAGGGCATTAGGCCCATTGAGGTCTTCATGTGCAGTGTGGTTATGCGACAAGGTACCTGTCTGCATCTGCATATCCTACGACAATAATACTGACACAATACACAGGCTACGGTGAGGGTATCCGATGGCTCAGCCAGTACGTCTAGGCAACTTGTGCATTGCCGAGACAATGGTCGAGCCTATGCCTTCCATCCTACGTGCGGGTTCACGCACATGCTTTCCCATGTATGTTTTGTTAGCCAATAGGTCCTCATTATCAGTAAGGAAGTTTGGGCTAGCGTGGGTCTTGGTTCTCTCCGTCACACCGGTGCTGAGGCTTTCCTCTTAAGCCCTACACAACGAAGGTTCACGAAAGACAAAACGCCATTCAATATCCATCACGGTGTCTAGGAGTATGTCGACTCTCGTTTGGGAAGTAGAATTTACATGTCAATGCCAATCAATCTGCTTTTACCGTCGTGTTACTGAGTACATGTCCTTTCCAAATAACCACTTGTTCAATTTTCCAATCCTAGTTCATTTCAAGGTGCTCACGAGTGGCTCAGATCAATCTATCAACATTATTTATTTTCACCGTACTTTCTTTTGGCTTTACTAAGAACGCTGCATACAAATAATCCCATCGGAACCCTTCACACAGCCTATCCGTTCTCATCTTCCAGCCAAACCCCGTCAATCTCTAAGTGGCAGCAACAGCCCCTCGTCTCCACTCCCCTGCTCCGTCCACTTCACCATCTTGTCAACACCCCACGTCACAGCCCCATCCACGGCTTCCAAGATCCCTGTTCCGCTCCATATACGTGGCATCGCTGGACCAGACCCATTCGGTGTGTGCAGCGGACTTTGCCCTTCCAATTCACTCCCTGTCACTACGTTGTTCTCTCTGCTGGTGGCTTCTTCGGTCTTTTTTCCGCGACCGAGACCGAGCTTCAGCATAGATGCGCTTTTGGCGTGGAGGTGGTTGCGACGGCTGCGATGGTGGTGACGCTGCGGGGGTGGGTGTGTGAGTTGGGCCTCGAGGTCATGGAAACCTGAGTCTGCTGCTGATGGTGCTGCAACTGTGGTAGAGTTGTTGAGTATATGAGGTATGTTGGGGTCGCCGTCTGCCGCGGCTGGTGAAGAAGAGGATGAGGAGGACGAGGAGGACTGAGAGGATAAATCCAGTGAAGACGACATTTTGGGCTGCTGGCTTTGCCGGTGCGATGTCGAAGGCATAGCCGCCGTGGTCGCCGTCGCTGTTGGAGAGAAGAATGCCGTGTAAGCTCTTAGGTACTCCTCACTTGAACGGGGCCTCAGCATTTCCCGGGGCGGGAGAAATGGGTTTTGAGGAGAAGATGACGATCTTTGTCGCGTTTGACTTCCTCCAGAGGTTGCTTCGGGATCGCTCGGCGAGGAAGATGATGAAGACGACGACGAGCTAGAAAAGTCGGGTGTGAAGCCAGGATCTGTGGACTTCTGCGGGTGCATGTTCAGCGATGATTGCATTCTACTACTGCCGCTTCCATCGCTCCAGTGTTGACGCTGCGCAGACTTCTCGGTTCTATCGCCGCTACCATCGCTCCAGGCTCTCCGAGGCTGTGATGTTTGTGCGTGGTCTGGTGACCAAGCTGTCGACGGCGGGCGTGCCAGTGGTGCGGAGAATGAAGGGACCCATGGACGACGAGATGAGCTGGTACTACCTTCACCATTATTTAGAGACCCCCGTTGACGAGGTGGACCAACGTCTTCATTCTCCGCACTCGCCGGATCCCATGCTCGAGCGGGATTGCCATCTCTTTCGCCATTACCTGGAAGAACCAGGTAGTTCGGTCCAACGTAGACGGTCTGCTGATTCTGCAGATTGTTCTGCTGCAGCGCTCCTCTACGTCTTAGAAGCGATGTCGAAGGTACTTCGTTCGCGGCATTCATAGCAAATTGCGTCGGTCCATGGGAATACGGTGTAGCGCTCGAAACTGCCGTGTCCGCCTTCATCGCCTCCGCCGGTGGAACGTTATGAACTCTTTGGGTCCGTAAAGGAGGATCAGAGCGATTGCACTGATCAAATGTACGCATTTCCACCGTATCAGCACCGTACCCATTCCTCTCTCCTCCGAGCGCGAGTCTAGGAAGAGAATATCTCCTTCTTTCGCGTACATCCTCCTCGTCAGTCGACGCTCCCCTCCACCATCTCCCTCTTATTCTTCTCCACCAGTACGAAGGGCCCCGAGGCCATCCCCATCTCATCCTCTTTTTATCTGCCCGATCTCCTTCTACCCTGGAAGAAGCATTCACATCTCTCCACCCCGTCGGCTGATACAAAAACGCCATAGCGCAGAGAATCAGCGTCCACATGACACCTACCCCAAGCCCGAAAAGTACAAACCCCCATAGCACGCTGGGGAATTCTGGGAACGAGGGTCCGAGACTGGATAAGCTTGATGATGAAGACGGGGAGGGTGAGAGCGAGACGGACGACGCCATACCAGTGGCCGTCCTCGCAAGAGGACCCAAATTCGAATATCTCTCTACGTATATCGGTAGCGGAAGAGGCGGATCCACCCCGTAGCCGGTTCGACGACGATGCTGGACGTACCGTAGATGGCGATGTGGAATATGTGTGTGGACGCAGTCTTCAAAGTCGTGATAGTCGTCGTCGTTGTCGTCGCAGTGATGAAGCTTATTTCGCAAAACCTCTCGCGGCGGCGATTCCGAAACTCCAGATGCAGAGACAAGAGAAGCACAAGAAGAAGAGAAAGAGCAGCGAGATAACTCCCCACCCGCCGTGTCCCCGTTCAACGCAAATTCACGCGTCCGCGAACGCTCGGTGAACAAGTTGCCCGCGGGGTTGTAATCGCTAGGAAGAAGACGTTTGGCACGACACGCAATCGCGCTGCTGCTGCTGCTCTCGCTGTTCTTGCTAGTTTCGGTGTTCCTTGTTTGCTCTGCTGCGCAATCGTCCGCAATCGCATTCGCTTTGCGACGATCCGACGAGCTGGGAAGCGTTTCCGCGACGCCCGTCGTGGTGGTCGACAAAGAAGAAGAGAAGCTGCAAGATACTCTTTGATTCGACTTAGACGAAAAGATACGCTTTCCTTCTCCTTCTTCTTCTTCCTGCGGTGGTTTTAGGATCTGCGGGTAAAAGTACGTCGGTGGGGATGCGCGGGGCAACGCTGTGTTTGCTGGTTGTTTTTGTCGGATTGGGTTGGTGTGGTGGTGGTGCGTTTGCTTGGTTTGCTGCTGCTGCTGCTGCGTTGTTGGGTCTGACGGCGACGACGACGACGCTACGACGACGGAGACGTTGGTAGACAGACTGGGATCTGCGTTCTTGGTCTTCTGGTCTGTCGACACCTTGCGGAGGATCCCGTGGGTGCAAACGGGCTTTGCAACCGGTCTCGCGTGTTCTACGGGTGTTGTCGGAGGGTGTGTGTTATGCGGGTTTGGAGTGTTGCGTTGGTGTAGGGTCGGTAGGTGCTGCATACGGTCGTGTGTGCCATGAGGTCGGTGGATAGAGAAGAGGCGGCGAAGAAGCGCGTTTACGGATGGTGGAGACCGCGGTAATGGTAGTTTCATGATTTCTTTTGTATGCCTGTTGCGGTTCTGCACCTTTTTGATCAAAAAGTCACGACTTTTCTTTTACCCTCCTTTTCATTTGAATATCTTCGATGGACGGTGCTACCTAATCAAAGTAAGTACGCAAACGCAGCAAAGTCTCGTGGTTTGTGTGTACAAAGCACTCCCCTCTAATAAAAAACTAGAGTTCAACGACGTAAAGGGAGTCCAAAAGCGAAAAAAGTCCTCTCGTCAACGATATTCAATGGAGCCAACACCATAAGCTCGTTATCTCCAGTCACCGTCGATGAATCTTCTGCCAACCTCATTCATTCATTTCCCCAGCACTTGAATTGAACACGAACCCACCAAAGAAAATGGGAGTCGGGGAATCCTCAGAAATTATTTCCTTCACTTCGGTTTTTTCGCTAAATGGCGGCGATTCAAGCGGGTGTGAACTGTTTATATATACAACGAAGCTACTGGATGCTAGAGTGACGGATGTGAACTGTTTTATATATACATATACAACGAAGCTAGCTACCCGATGCTGCGAGTGACAGACAAGAAGTCGATGTAATTCAATGGAAACGAATGAGAAACTAGGAATTGACTGGTTGTCTTTTGAAGGATCGAGGAGAAAAAAAAACATGGGGGATGGAAGTGAAGAAGGAGAGGGAAGGTGTGGAATTGAAAGGGAAAAGGAGGTTGTTGTCTGGTGAACTTTGTCTAGATATGATTCGTGGTGCGGAGGAATGAAGGATAGATGATGACTTGTGAAAAAGTACAAGGGGGGGAATTCTTTCCATTGGGGGTTTTTTGTTTTTGTTTTTGGGGAGTTGGACAGGAGGTTTTTGAATAATTCATGTGTTAACTGTGTGGCAAAAACGAGGGGTTTTTTCCACCTCAAATCGCACTCCAGATTTCGATACTGGATTTAGTGAAAATTCTGTGTCTTTCACGTACAACAAACGGTGAGGCTGTCCAATTCACCAACAAAAAACCCTTGACCCATGATTTCCTTTGTTTTAATTCATTGAGACTATTAACTTTTTTTATTTGACACGGTGACCGTGATATTACTACCCAAGACCTCAAGGCTGAAGATGCAAATGCTGCAGCGGCTACTGCTGCCAGAACGCGGGCGACACCAAAAAATGATGGCCAACAAAGCTTAACCTCCGCCGGAATCTATATGCTTCGCTCAACGCGCTCGGAAAGAGCGCATAGGGACGTGGAAAAACGACATTACGGAAAAGAAGAAGTAGATAAAAAGGAAATCTTGCTAGGAGTGGTAGACTGGAATATGTGACGTTGAAGCATGCGTGTGCAACATTGTGGCTCTGACGGCGGTGATGGTATGACCTGTACAGAAGCGGCGGTGATTTACATATGTACATTTGTGAAAACCGCGGGGAAAAAAAAAGGAAATGTGTTGATTATGTAAGTGAATGGGAAAAGGTGGCACATGATGTGTTCATCTTCTGTTGAAGTTGAGGTAGCGAGCCTGTGAATGGTAAGCTTGTGTTCCATGATATGTAGCCAGATGTGCTAGTACTTACTGCAAGGAAAATGATGATCAAATTCGATCCAATGAAAGCAGTGAAGATGCCAAAGTCCCTCCAGCGGTTGGCGAAGTCATAGCCAAGTGGTGTGTAGAATTCGTCGCCGACTTTGAACGCGCAGTATTCGCACATGTTGGTAACGTTGTTCCGAAGATAACCAGGAGCGCCATTAGCGAAGAAATCTTCCATGTAGGAACCGCACTCCTGACCGTCGGGTGCCTGGAACCTGTTGAATTCGAGCGGCGTGCACTGCACGGAGCGTTCGTGCATCTCCGTGACCACCATACCACCGATGAGCCTAGTGAAGGGATCGAGCTCGTAAAGCCACGCTCTCCAGAAACCGGGGATTTGGGGCTTGGGGATAGTGACACCGCAGAAGAGAGAGAAGACGACGATGATGAACGGATTGCAAAGCGCGGCTATGAAAGGCGATGGTGTCAAAGCGGCAACGGCCTGTCCCAAGGTCACACTGAAAATCTCGCAGACGAGGATCATCAGGAACTGGTATCCGGCGCGACTCGTTGCAGGGTTCAATCCGGGGATGTAGTAAAGGGGCAGGAAGAAGGCCACAGCACACAAAATGCTGTACGGTAGCTCTGCAACAACCATTGAGATGGCGAATGGGAGCGCTTTGTAAGCTTTCGACATCTGTTCACGGTACGCGATCATTCGAGCGACAGCATACTTGGGTTCGACTTGAGCAAGAATGAGGGCCGGTAGTACGGTGGCTTGGAATACAACGAAAACCCTGTACTGCAAAGACGTTCGCGAATCATCGAGTTGCAGATAGGCGAGACCGGCGATCAACGCCAAAATGATGTGGTTGAACAGACCTGGAAGCAAAATTACAGTCAGTTAAATTCAGGAACAGCGTTTGCTCAAATCTTCGCAGTGCCGTAGATGAGTCGATCCCCTCCCGTGAATGAAATGTACTTACGAGTAAAGCCATAATTTGGTGTCCTCCAGAAAGAGAGATTCATGCGCTTGTTTACCAACTTGATCTGATGCCACAAAGGTGTGGCATACTCCTTTTGATCTTGAGGTTCTGCGTTGCCGACTTCAGTCATTCTAGTTTCCTTGGTGCGAATGATGTCGTTCTTCACTTCAACGAACTCCTCGCTGTCGGCCCAAACATCAGCCCAGTCACGGCTTCCGAGACGAGGAGCTGAACCGGCGCCTATGGCATCCAGCATGAATTCTGCAGGATTCGCGTTGCTGGGGCAGTCGGCGCCATTCTTACGAAGGTAGTCCAACAATACGGCAGCGTCCTTGCCAATGTCACCAAAGTAGACGCATCGCCCACCCTTTTGCAAAAGCAAGAGTCTGTCGAAATTCTCAAAGAGGGCACTGTTGGGCTGATGGATTGTGCACAGAATGGCCTGGCCAGCCGCTGCGAGCTTCTTCAAGAATCGAACAATGTTGAAAGCACTCTGGGAGTCAAGACCACTGGTAGGCTCGTCAAGGAAAAGAAGCAACTCGGGCTTGGCAGCCAATTCAACGCCAATAGTGACACGTTTGCGCTGCTCGACAGCCAGTCCGCTTTCGGGATCGCCAATGATGGCGTCTGCCATGTCTTCCATTTCCAAGAGGGCAATAACTTCTTCGACATAGGCATATTTCTCGGCCTGTGGGGTCTCAAAAGGCTGTCGCAGGTCGGCACTGAAACGGAGAGCCTCGCGAACTGTCTGGGCCGGCTCGTGTACGTCCAGTTGTTCAGCGTAAGCAGTACCACGCTGAAACGCGATGCCAGGAGCTTTTCCGTCGATAAGTTTGTCGCCGCTGATGACTCCGATATTCTTACGCGCCGCGAGTACGTCCAGAAGGGTTGTTTTGCCAGCACCAGAAGCTCCCATAAGAGCTGTCAGTTGTCCTGGTTTTACATATCCGTAAATGTTGTTCAAGAGACGCAGTTCACCAGACGGAACCGGTACATCGTAACACCTGGGGGTACACGGGTCAGTATAAGCTAGAAATGCAGGGGTTGGGACTTTGTATATGCATGTCTCGGAAGGAACTTTGTTTGCCGACGTCAACACGCATGTACTCCGTGGCCGGGGTTCCTTACAAATCTTCCCAAGTCAGCACAGCCTTCGAAGTGATATTCAATCCATCACTGGCATCCGTCATTTCTTCTTTTCGGCTTCGCTTATCCTTCTTTTCGCGCAGTTTTGCATTCAGTTCAGCCAATTCCTTGTTTTCTTTCACGAAGAAGGTGACGGTTCGACCACCGGCGCCCCACATGATGAATTCGCCCAAAAATGCATTAGCGCACAGGAATGCGACGATTAGAACAACAGTGATGCCCCAGTTCAGCCAGAGGTCGCCAGTGGCGTAGGAGAAGGCGAACTGAATATAGTCCGTTCCAGAGACCTGATCTGAGCCAGCTTTGCTCCCTGGGAGCGTGCAGACCTGTGCATTGATGTCGTTGTATCCAGGACCACTGGGGATCAGATTCTGTCCTTCGCATGTCAGATCAATACGACCGAACTCATTCATCATAAGAGACGAAAAGGCGAGACCCAAGGAATTGATGTAGAAGATCCACCGAAGCCAGACTTGTTGAGTATCCCATTGGATCAGATAGCCACACGTAATGACAAAGAGGGTGATGATGGTAGCAGCTAGGCGAATGGCGACATCGAAATCAGGACACAAACAACCGATGGTACGGAAGAACAAAGTCATGGCGAGGTAACCGGTAACGATCATCAAGAAGAAGATGAAGAAGGCGCCTGCATCGCGTACTAGGTTTGTCATAAAGTAGACAAGGATGGAGAATACCAGAATTTGGACAGACGAGAAGAGGAGATCCACACCAATTTGCGCTATCCACAGGGCAGACGGTCGATGAAAGGTGAAGGCGCGGTGCTTATTGATTATTGGCCGTCCTATCATGGTGGAAGCTAGCTCGGAGAAGGCCTGGAAAGCATTGAACAGTAGGGAGATGAACAGAACACCACCACGGGTGAAGGCTCCAGCAGATGTTCTTGGGATATCAAGCCAAACAGTACCGACGATTATAGCAATAACGATGGAGGTAATCCAGGAGACCACGAGGTTGAACTTGTCTTGCCACTTGAGAATGAACTGACGCTTCGCCAAAGCCCACACCTGGAGGTAAAAGGGAATGCTGTAAACAGACTTCTTGGAAGCGTGCCTCTTGCCTTCCTTGACAGCAATTTCGAAATCATCGTACACGTGTTTCTGTTGATCCATCTGAGCGTGGTACTCAGTCATTTCGGTGTTGTTCTGAGCTGCGACTTCCGACTTCTGGAACGCTTCTGCGAGGTCCTCTGGGGTACTCGGGACATCTTTTTCACTTCTTCCGGCAGCATACTCGCGTTCGAATGGATCCGTACATCCAGTGAGGTAATCGGGTGAAGTTTGACGGGGTTTCTCGAGGAATCCAAGGCCTTCGAAATAGGCGCGGGCTGCTTTCGCGGGGCCAAAGTAGACCTGTCTGCCACTGTCAATGACCAAAACCTTGTCAAAGCAGTTGTAGATGTTCTCCGAGGCTTGGTATAGTGAGACAAAGGTGGTTGTCTTGTAAATATCCGTCAATGCTCTGAGGGATCGAGCATAATCGACGGCCGTGGAGGCGTCGAGACCACGAGTCGAATTATCCCAGCTGATAACACTTGCTCCAGTGATCATAGTCTCAGCGATGGATACACGCTTACGTTCGCCTCCAGAAACACCGCGAACGAAGGGGTTGCCGACAATGGTGTTGCGGGTGTGCTCGATATTGAACATCTTCAGCATAAGATCTATGACGCGCTCCTTGAAGTCCTGTCGAGAGAGACCGGCTGGGCGCTTTCCGGGGACCTTTGTTTCTAGGGCGAAGTCCAAGGTTTGACCGACGGTCAGCGTAGGGTGGTGGTTTTCGTCTTCCTCGCAGTAGACGGCCTCGCCTCGGTATCGCTTCTCGAAGAATTGGCTTTCGAAAGGTCCATACTTGACCGCTCCTTTGACGTCGGTGTATCCAAAACGTTGGTTCGAAGCGACTTTCAAGAAGGTAGTGCATCCGCTTCCAGGGCGGCCCAAGACCAGACACATCTCACCGGGCTTGACCACTCCCTTGAAGTCCTTGAGGATATCGAATTCGCGGCCTCCCTTGCCAAGTCCGAACAAGTTTTTGGCCGTCTCGTATACGTTGAAGAAAGATACAAAGGCATCCGGGAAGGTCTTCACATAGTTCTTCACACCACCAATACCACGGACAGTCAAGCCATCAAAGGATACACCTATTTGCTTTGATTTGATACCTGCCAACTCTTCTTCGTCACGGTTCCCCCTGAGCACGGTTTGGAGGTCGAAAGGCTCTTCGGAGGACTCATCCACGGCCTTTTCGACATCATTGGCGCCCTTTTGACTGCGGCGCGACTGGACACGGCTCAGATGGCTGGTTCTCGAAAGCTCGCGATTGAGCTCAGCGAAATCGGCCACGGCGCGAGAAACATTGACTCCACCGTCGTGACGTTTTTCGGGTGTGTGGACTGCGGTGGTGGCCTCGCCGCTGTCATCACTAGTGGTATTGGCGCTGTCACTGTCGCGCCCGACATGACCTGAGGGGTGGATGGCGGCGTAAGTCTTCTCTCCCGTCTCTTCGCGGGCTGTGGAGTTGTTGAGAGGGATGTTTGATTGATCCATGGCGGGTCTATGGAAGCGGTTTCCCGCGTGGGAGGAAGTTGAAGGAAAGCAGGACTAGTCAGTTGACAATCTTTTTCCCTTCGACTGGGGTGTTTGCCAAGGAAGGAATGGGATCAAACAAGAGGAGAAGAAGGAAGAAAAAGAAGAAATCACCGCCACGACATGAAGCAAGAAGAAGAGGGAAAAAAAGGGCAAACCGAAGGGCGCGCAGTAGATATGGGTAATTATGAGTGATGGGGCGAGTCAGGGACGGAGTTAAAAGGCGATAGGTAAAGTGTTTAGGAAGAGGCCCGCAATTTGCCTCTTGACGTTAGAAGGGCAAGAAACGCTTGTCGGTTGAGATGCGATACTTGGCGTGTTCGCAAGGGAGTGTCCGAACAAGAGCATGAGTCAGTCTCTGCTAAAAAAAATGCTGCCCAGGTACTCAGACGCTGCACTCGGACAAGTCGCATCGCACCGGCATCCGCATGTTCAACGTTCCGAGGGGTCGAGAAGGGACTGATTGGATAAGTATTGGCCAGATTCCTCATTCCCGTCATGCTCATCCAGAGCAAGTACACCAGGCACATACGCAGCCATGTACGTGTATGTCGACGCCACTCGGAACTCCCACGAGGATCATCGGCTGATGCTCGCATAACGGACCGACCTCGCTCTAGGGCCTACTCGCTCTGAGGTGCTTTCTTGTCACTTGCTGGAAGAGATGATTGAGATTGTCGACATGTCAGGGCTGCCGTCTTCAAGAGAGTGGTGGGGACCAGACAGATGGGGCATTTGCCGCTTCGGCACACATGCCTGGCCAATGCTCCGAGGGCCCCACGTCTGCCCTACGCATCTATGTATGCAATGGATGCATGCATGCAAACACACTCACACTTAGTCATTAAGTCTCCATGTTTGCGAGGCTGTTCCCTCCGAGCAGGCCAGGATCCATTGCGCGCTACCTGCCGCTCGCCAAGTGTCCTAGCAACCAACATGGACTCCTTTTCGGCTTGCATTTCTAATCATTCGCATTTCGGTCGTTGCTTGGTGCGACGCATTGCCAGCCCGGTATCCACACGTGGGATTACAGTCATATTTAGTCTCTCGCGTCCCGGTGCACCTGGGTCGTGATTAGGAAACCCGGGACAATTGTCTCTCCGATGCTGTACGAACAATACTGATGTACGAACAATATTGCTGTCACAGCTGTTTGCGTACGTCAAGTCGACGAGGCAATGTTGTCTTGTCTGTCTAGCCGTGTTTCGGCAGTTGTGTTTTAACTTTTGCCCATGCTCCCGACGCTCGGCAAAACATTCCTGAAGCAGTCAGTCTTCGACGTCTTGCTACAGTATAGCTTGTACATGCGTTGCATGATTACTATATCGTCTATGTAGCTGTCTAGGTAGGTATGTAGACAGGTAGCTACTCAAGTGGGTAAGTAGATATGTATACTAAACGAACCAACCATTACCTCCACATCCATCCGCTGATTGGCCAATTCCCCTACAGGAGATCAGCACATCTTCGTATTCACCGTACGCCGTATCCATCATCGTGTATTCGTGTCCATGCACACACACAGACGATCAACGGCCTTCAAATACCGTCCTCTTCCTCCTACTTTCGGCCGTTTTGCTATCTCGCAGCCTTGCTTGCTTGCTTACTCGACTTCAACGCCGACGCCGTTGCGTACATGTATGTAAGCTTCGTGTCCACGTATGTACAGTATCGCCTTGCCTTGACCATGCATTCATTCATTTCCTCTCTTTGAACCTCCATCGCAGCTTTCCACCAACGGCACACTCGCTTCACCCCTCATTCGGGCAACCACTTCAGCTCACAACACGAACTCCGACCGTATTATGTGACTTTGCCGATCCAAGTTCATCTACGCCCACCATGACGCACATGGCGAAGCATCAGCACACTGTGCTGCCAGAATCACCTCGCATCAGGCAGCAACCCTCAGCCCGTTTGAGCTACCCACACCGAAAGACATGCGCACGAGTACATACCGTTGTGTGAGACCTTGTAGTTGCCCGCAGTGGCGATTATCGTGGCGTACCAAGCCCGGTCTCGTGAATCAAGATTGGTTCGGCGGGGCGGCCACGCTAATCGAACCGCAGTTGCAGCCTGCGTCAATCTGTATACTCAGATCCTGGGCACAGAAACCATCACGAAGATTCTACCACACTCGCTCGTTGCGAGGCCGCTGCCGTTTCTTCCACTGCCCGTCTGTTTCACTTATATTCTCTTGCTCGCTGATCTCCCGACTTCCGCAATCGTCTCCCTGTGCCGTTGCTACATACCCATCTCCTCTACATCTTTAGACCATTGTTCTTTCTTCTCCTCCCAGCCGTCTGCCTATTCAGTACTACCACGATCCCCGCCAATATGTATCTCATTCCTCCTATCCGATTCTCCCCCTTTCAAGTCAAATCCGTCCCTTCGTCGAGCGGTCAAGACCTGCACCCCTTCTTCCAACCGCAAACATCGCCTACTTCGCCCACCTCATCAGCTCCCAATTCCGCTCAACCAACGTCGACCATACCGACCCAGCCAGAGAGACAGAACAGCACGCTGTTCCCACGACCCAGCACATCTCAATCATCCACCTAGAACTCGCCCCGAGCCTCCTATGAAACCCAAAAAAAAATATCAGCTTCCATGGTACTGAACCAACCAAAACCAAAACGATCGAACCCTTTTTTTTCTCTCCCCACGAGTTGCGGCAGGCTCTACCTTCCTTCCTTCCTTCCTTCCTTCCACTACCACGAACCCCCCGCGCACGGACGTCAGATGGAACCACGCGCGCCCTTTCCATCTTTCAGCTTATACACATGGCTGCTAATAATACTTACGCTGCAACGACATACCATGGCAAGACAGAGGGAACGGGACGCTGCAGAATAGAGAATCAACGGGTGCAACGCGCCAATGTAACCCACATGTGCATCTTTTTCTCTTGATTTTCTCTTCCGGTCCAAGATATCAGTCGAGGCGTGCATACGTGCATACGCATCTTCCCTGGCACACGGCATTACTTTCATCTAACATATGACGATTCAAGTCAGGTCATACTGAGTCACATGTTTTGCTTTCTCTCTCTGTTTTCTCTCATCGCACCTCCCTCGGTCTCCTTTCTTCTTCTTTCTCTTTTCCGGGTGGTTATGTCTTTGGCCGAACTTCGAATATTGGTATGCATAAATATCTACCTGATTGCAAAAAGAAAAGAAAAATTATAAATCAGAGCAAAACAACTTGTCCCCGCACAACACCACTTATTACCTTTTCTGTGGTATGCACAATCATCTGAACAATTACATCAAATCAACGACAATCAACAACATCGGCTACCTACCGAAAAATCCCTTAGGTTTCTAATAATAAACCCACCCTTCGTGCCTTGCTTTTTCAGCGACTTGGTTGAACCCCGCTAAGTGACCCGACTGGCTCCTTTCAGCTCACCGGTTTTGACCCAAAAGTCCATAGTGGGGGAAACGGCCTCAGCCAGTCAGCCAGCCGGGAATATTTCAGCTTTCAGGCTCCCCGTGGATGTTGCAATTGAACGTTTGGAGGATAGGATGGGAGGGCGAATACATACTCAGGTGCATACTTGTGTGTACATACCCAGGTATATATGTACTTATCCAACATTTTGAAGGGCACAGGACTAAGCTCACGTGTTGATGCAGAGAGTCCACGCATGTGTATACACATATGTGCATATATGTATGTACCACTCGATGCAACCAACAGCGCCGCTTAATCCAAACCAACTAACAATTCTCCCAAACCTCTCCCCCACTCAAAAAAAGAAGAAGTGCTCATTCACTCCATCTACAACAGCAGATAATCCCCCACCTTCCTTCCAATCCATATATACGGGAAGCCGACTAAGAAGAAGAAGGCATGAGATGCAATGAGGGTCGTCGCTACAAAGTGCTTACGGGGACCAGCGATAGATATAGTTTAGTTTAGCTAGACTGCCCGCGTAGCATCTGAAGGAGAAATGCCGACAGGCTGATTGATTGCTAGATTGAGGGCGGGACGGCGCGATTCGAGCAGTTGCGGAGAGGAGGGGCTAGTTGCTGCACATAATCATTGACAAGCAAGTGGTTGGCAAGCGAACATCTGAAGATTGCATGCAAGCGAGCGTGTTTTTTACTGGCAGCAACTGTAGGCTCGGTTTGCTGGGTTGATAGAGGGGGAGTTCAGGAGGGGGGTGATGGATAAGATAAGATGTGGTGTGGTAGCTTTGAACCTTTTTAGCGCCATCCATTATTGATGGAACGTGAGGGAAAAGCACATGTTTGTCCAAGAGGACGGGACCGGCTTCTTGACTAATTACATAATAAAAGGCAGCCAAGCACCAGGGAGGCTGGCTTGATCATGTACGTTCCATGTACTGTACTGTATGCGCAGCTGTGGGTAATCAATATGGAATGATCAATTCATCAGTGCATGCGGTGGTGATGTATGAATTGGGTCGTATGACACGAGGAAGATGCCAGTGGAGGAAACATTGACCAAAGTCTGCTGCAAAGGCAACGCTTGGAGAAGCACTTTGAGGGGAAACAAGCCGCCAAGAGCATGTCTTATCGACATCTCGAGGTTCCATTCTATCTGGCACCGGGTGGCGTTGGGGGGTGGGTGTGCCGTGTCACTGTGTGCTGACAGACTTGGCGTCTTCACGTGCATCGACTGCGGGCACACCCACCCACTCTAACCAGGCACTTTTTGCCATGTGAAAGCGTCGTCTGCAAAAAGACGAGGACACCATCTGCCCCCATCCCATCCGAATCCGCGCCCGATCGTCCAGCCAGTCCATCCATCCATCCATCCATCAGTCAGGCCCTGTTCCCAATGCACTTTCTGTCTCCAGGCCACCCTCATTCATTCACTCCCTCTCTGTGAACATGCGCAGTAAAGACTGAGCTTCTCTTTTCCCTTTTCCTTCCCGCCCTTGCTCGCTGCTTGCTTGCTTACCCGCCAGCGCGGCGCTCTCCCCCCACACCCGCCGCTCCGTTTTCCGCTGCTGCTGCTGTGTGCTCGCTCACTCGCTCGCTCGGTGCACGTCACCGCCAGAATAGTGCAGGCCCCGTAGTGCCACACGCACACTCGCACGCTCGGCGAGAGCAAACAGAGGAAGGGGAGTCAAGGAAATAAACACTCCCCAAAAAATCAATACGGTTCTGCGTATTTGAGAAGAAAAGGACAAGATGCAGCAGGAGCGACAGTCGCCTCAGTCGCAGTCGCAGACGCAGCCTCCGGCTTATACCCAACATGACCCGCGCTCTTTGAATCTGCCCTCGGTGCCAACCCACACTCTGCCATCGTTGCGCAGCCTCGACCTTCCCGATACCCAACGCCTTCAAGCCCGCGGCGCCAGCCTGGATCTGAGTCCCAAATCCGCTCCCTCCCAATGGTCCCAGCTGTCCTCTCTTCACACCTCCGCTTTCCCTCGCGTTCCCGATGGCGATGTCGGCAGCCCTATGGATACTTGCAGTGTCGCCAGTGCCAACGATGACCTCCCACGAGAGATGAGCGTCAGTGTCGATGACCCAGACGTCCGACTTGCTGCCGAGGCTTTGAGCGGCCTGGGCAATCCAGACTTTGCTCGTTCCCCTACTTCGCGCTCCATGACCCTCTCCGCCCGTCCACCCACCGTCATTCCTACCGAGCCAGAGCCCCTCCTCAATCTGCTCACGTCTGCCCATCCCTGGCTCGGCGGCAGCATCAATGGCTCCATATCCGCCTACAATACCACCAAAACCTACTCACCGCGATTTGTCAAATATGGCGCAGAGCTCATCGAACGTAATATCGGTTCGCCCGTGGTCAATACCGTATCGTCTGTAGGAAGACGGACCGGCGTGGAACAAAATCTCAGAAGGTACCTAGGCGACATACACAGACGTCCCAGCGACATCGAGCAAGGCGAGACCGAAACCGAGCGCCGCAAGAGGCAGCGCATCATGAGCCCCACCGACTCGGATGCAATGGACATTGAGGAAGGCACCACTTCCTCTCGAATACGAGGCGGTTCTCAATCCTCCTACGCCGAGTCGTTGCCCGCCTATGACGACCAGCGCTCGCCAAAGTACGAAGAGAGTGCGGCGACCGCCCAAGAGCAGAAATCCGACTCCACCCAGGATCGTCGCGTGAACTGGTCCACCCAGTTGATCATGACGACCTCGGGGCTCGGCGTCGCCCTATCCGATACATCCCTCAAATCCCTCAAGATTTGTCTTGGTCTACTTCGAAGTGCGACAAAGCACATTGACAGCGTCATGCATGCCCTCAAACTGCTTCTCGAGGAGTACGAGGCTGCGCTTCAAAACAGCCGACAATCCAACGGCTACGCCAATGAAAAGACTGCGGAAACAGAAGAGGACGAGCAGGTCCGCCGCCTGGCGACCCGCATGAAGTCCCTTTCTACCGACATCTGGAACACCCTGCAAACCGTAGTTCAACACGTGTCCCGCTATACAGGCGGCGCACTTCCACAGAATGCATCGCAAGTGGTGCGCACCCAACTGTTGTCTGTACCACAAAGATGGCAGCTCGCGAGCCGTAGCACAGCGGCCGAAGAGCAGCAGCTCCAGGGCGAAGAGGTTCGGGGCGCTAACCGCATGCTCGCCTTCGCCAAAGAGGGCCTGGACATGATGGGTCAAATCACAGCAGCCGTGGACGGTACGGTCCAGAGCGCAGAGACTTGGTTGGCCAGGATTGGACGACGCCCCGCCGAGCAGCAGCCAGAAAACGGTGAGAGTAGTTCTGCAGCCGGCGAGAAGGCGCCGCTCATGGAGATCAAGATCGGGGCTGGGGACAAGCAATAGCGGTGCCTCTTCTTCTAGTACCACTTACGAGCATGGTAAAGAAAAATACAGCAAACCCTGCTAGTAGTATGGTCAAAACAAAGACTTGTCGAACCAACCCTGGGGCATTCTCGTGTGCCTTCTCCCGTTTTTCAAAAAACATTAAATCTGAAGAACAGCGTCACGCTGGCATAGTGTATCAATCTCCTTTGTATATTGATGGAGCTTCTATTGTTCATTTACAAAATCCTCTTATTCTCCCTCTAGGTTCTTCCATCTGAATGTTTCTTTTTCATCGTTTTCGAGAAGCATGCCCTTAGTCTGGTTTTTTTTTCCTCCTCGCTCGAACCTGTTTTTCTTCATCAACACTGGTAGAATTGTCTTCTTTCCTCTTTTACCCCGTCCACATGGATATACACCTACACTCACACTTGTATGTGCGCTCGGGACATTTCTGTCCGTTGCCTTTTACTTCTTCTTTGCTAATCGGAAGGGGAGTTTCCTGGCAGATATATATATTGTCTTTGGGTTTCCTCTGTCACATAGTCTGTTCTCCTTTTCTTTCCTATCCAGTGTGCGGAATTTCAGTCATCTTCTCTCGCTGTCTCGAGAAAGGCTGGCTTCGAATAAATGGTTCGTCAGGGAAGTTCTAGCATGGCGTCTGTGTGTTTGGACTTTGATCTTGGATTTGGGGTTAATTTCCATAGTTAAAGAAGCAGGAGAAATTTCTTGTGTGGGCAATAAAATGCTAACAAATGCAATAGCCTGTCTTATAGATTTGTTATTATGGTTGTTGGTGTCGTTGATATATTGCCCTGGGATACCTAGTTGGCCAATGATGTCATGTTTGTTTACACACATCAGGTCAGGCACCTAAGAACTCCCCGATGCACGGCAGGAGTCCGAATCACAGAAACAACACATAACCCGTGGTCAGACAGATGGGTACGGGGCAGAATGATATCAGCGCCCAACCCACTCGACTACCAAAACCCGTCCATAGATCGAGCTGGCTGACCCTGATCTGACAATTCCCGATCTAATCCTGGCTGCAGACCACCCAGAACCCTTGCCCACATCTCGCTGGCGACCAGCCACATCGCGCGCTCGAGCGTTTACCCTTTCGACGATCCAAACGACGCCATACACACCCTTCGGAGATTGACGATCAACAAGCCAGTAGAGTTTGTCTCCCATGACCAGCAACAGCCAGAAAAACAGGTATTGCACAGTCGCCAGCGAGCCGCCCCGCTAAACGCTGAAAAAACAAAGAGCTACACTGCGCCACCGCTCGCAAACCGCAGCGTCTTGGGCGGAATGACGTACCATGGCAGATCGCGCCCTCGACTGCCTCATATGGTCGACTTGTCTGCCTTCGCCTGCCGTGTCAACTCACTCTCACTCCCCCCTTGTATATATATCCAAGATCCGTACCCGCATCTTGCAGATCCCTTGGTCATACACGCATAATTGGAAATTCGATCGAATCGAATAAAAGAGATCGCAATGCCGTCTACAACGCAGACACAGACACAGCAACAGACAAAGCCGAAACCAAAGCCAAAGTCGAAAACTCAGTCCACCAACGCACAAAACAAAAGTAATAACACCAAGATGAGTAGTAACCAGCAGCAACCGCCCCCGCAGCAGCAGCAGCAAATCCCCGAGCGAGATATCAAACAAAACTCGGGCGTCTCCGCCAGCATGGCGCTGCAGGCCACGCAAAAGGCCTGGGACCTGCGACAAGCAGCCAACGCAGCCGGCGACCCAGATGCTCGCGAACAAATCCTCGCCAAAGCCGTCAACAAGGAAATCGAAGCCGAGTCGTTTGGCAAAGCGGCAAAGTACACACAGAGCGGTGCGTTCCAGGGTCTAGCCGCAGGCGCAGGACTAGGCGTACAACCTGGTGTGACGATTGGGAAGTTGACGGGCGCCATTGTTGGGGGAACGGTCTCGACAATTACTGGACTGCTGGGTGGCGGCATCGGCTCCGTCTACGGGGCCATGAACGGACCTATGTGGGATCTTGGGCAGATGGCGTCGCACGGAGTTCGCGGTGTGGTCGAAGGCGCCACAGGCGATGCACTGAACTTCGGGAAAGCGACAGATTCGCAGAAGAAGGCGCTTGAGAAGATGGTGGTGCAAACTAAAGAGACGCAGGCCCCTAGCAAGGAAGAGCTCGAGCAGATGAAGGCCGATGCCCCTGATGATATGCCGCAGTCGTGGTCCCAGATGAGCAAAGATATGACTAGTTGGAGACCGTCGATGCCTGAGATGCCGAACATGCCGAATGTATCCAAGGCCGGAGCGGGATTGGGACTCGGTGGCCTGGGAGCATCGATGTGGGGTGGAGGAGGGGGAGGAGAGGAGCAGGGTCAGAGCAAACAAGGAGGCGGAAGTGGTGGTGGTGGTCAGAAGCAACAGACCAGCCAGGCACAGCAACCTCAACGTCAAACTCCCACCAACAAACCGTCTCAGCAACCAGCCAACAACAAACCCCGACAAGCACCTCCCAAACCCAAACAAGCACCTACCCCGAGCACCAACGCCTCCACGCCTAAGAAGACCACCTCATCTTCGAACAAACCTCAGTCCTCGTCGTCCACCACCGCCCCTAGACAGCAACCAGCACAATCTAAACCTAAACCAGCCGCAACAGCTCCCTCTCAAAAGTCATCGTCTTCGCCGAATAAACCAAACACCACCAGCAGCAGCAGCAGCAGCAACAACAACACATCCCCATCATCCGCCACAGAGAAGCGGAAACCTAGAAAACTGGCACCGAGAAGCAACAACAACACAAACTCTTCCACAACTGCACAGCAGCAAAAAGATGGTAGCTCACCTGGGAAAAACAACGCTTCTGCTCCTCCTCCCAAGAGAGCCCCTAGAAAGTTGGAGTCTAGGCAACGTGTTGCTGCTGCGTCGTAGATGCGTGATCTTCTTCCCTCTCTTTTCTCTCTCTCTCTCTCTTTCATTTGGGTGAGGAGAAGGAGGGAGCAAGGCGATGGGCTGGTTAGTCATTTGGATGACTTTTTAGCGGAAATTGGAATTCCTGCTTTTTTTTTTTCCGTGTCGTTGCATGCATGCATGCATGCTTGCATGTTATGTATGTATGTATGTATGTATGTTATGTATCCATGTGTGTCTATGTAATTCTCGTCCCGTTTAGTTTTGTGTGTATCTTATGAAACGGCCAAAATTCAACATTTACTTTAACATTCCTTTTCTCTTTTTCTTTTCTCTCTCTCTCTCTCTCTCTACAACAGACTTTAGTAAAAAACTCTTGTTATCTAGTGTTACTATACTTGGAATCCCCCTTTTCTCTTCCGTTGTCTTGATCTTGTATCTTCTCCCTGTCTTTCTCCTTTAAACTTCTGAACATGTAGAAAAACTTAAAAGAAGAAGAAAAAGATGTTGGAATGCTATGTCAGATAGATGTTGTTAACAATAACGTGTATATTACGCAGTATGTGTGTGTGTGTGTGTGTGTGTGTGCGAGTAAGTTAGGAATAGGAGATATAGACATGTATAGGGAATACAAAAGCAGCATCGAGTCACGAGTGAAAGGAGAGGAGAGAGGGATTTGTATTTTGTGTGTTTAGGATGTTAGAGGATTTAGTAGAAGGGGGAAGGGAGGGTGCATATAAGTAGTTTGTTAAAGGGTTGAGAAGGGGGGAGATGATATGTGAGGGAGTTTGGAATGTGCTCGTGGTCGATTGGTTTCTGTGGAAGGAATGATTGGCAAGGGTTGGCACATGAGTGTAGTAGGAGGGAAAAAACACATTGATTTTAAACGTCTCAAGAGGAACCCACGCCTTTCAGAAACTCCTCGTGCAGCTTCTTCTGCTTCTCCCATTCCTTTTTGAATTTCTTCGTCTTGCTCTTGGGTACGTCTGCGCCTTCCTTGTCCTTTGTCGGCAATCCGTCCTCGTCCCATGCACTGAACTCTCCCGTACGGAACATGTCTTTGTGGTTGATCTTGGCCTGCTCCGCCAGCTTGGCCTTCTTTTCCGCTTCTTCGCGTTCTCGCTTTTGCTTGGCTTCTAGTTTTTGGCGGGCAATGGCATCCTTTTGCTCTCGCGCTGCACGGAGCTCGGCATCGACAGGTCTCACCATTGCTGGAGCGTTCTCACGATCTTCAAGATAGACTCCAAGGTCCCAGAGATCAAGATCTCGCAATCGATCGCAGAGCGCAAGGAAGTCCTTCGCGGGCGCCTTCTTCTCAGCCAAACCCTTGACGTTTTGCTGGAAGTTGGAGAGCACCTCAGCATATGGAATAGCTGCTGCGTTTTGTTGCTGAGCGGGTTGGTCCTTGGAGAGAATCGTGGTCAATACCTCCTCTGATAGATCACCTGCTTTCGCATGTTCACGGATTTCATCGCGTTCACGCGAAACCGCGTACACGAATTCCTTGGCTTCGGATGGGATATCAATCCCAGACCACCCAATCGTAGGATCATCTGGGTTTACAGTCCCATCAAGACCAAAGATTCGTACAATTCTAGTGACCCACCGTGCCATCTCAAAGGAGAGACTATCCGATAATCCAGCTTTGTCCGCAGAGTTGTACTCGGTGATTAATCCCGACATGGCCCGCATGGCGGCGGGTGTGTCGAAAGAATCGGCTAGAGCGTTGTGAAGCTTTTGCTTCGCTGACTCGAAAGAGACTTTCATTTGCGCATCACCATCACTAGAGGCAGTGACGGGGTGCAATTCCAGATCTCGGATCTTAAGGAAGAAATTTGTGACGTATGATTCCCAGGAAGAAGCTCCTTTGCGCATGTCGTCGGTGATTTCAATGCCATCATGCCACCCACCAAGAAGGAACACAACGCGCAGCCCCCGTGCGTTCCAGTCACCACGTGCTATCGCTTCACGAATGGTCGTGAAGTTTTTGAGCGACTTGGACATTTTACTGCCTGAAATCGATAGGTGGCCCATATGCAGGAAGTAGTTGACCCACTGATGGCCGCCTTGGTTCTCCTTGGCCCAGTAAGCCTCACTTTGTGCGAGCTCGTTGTCGTGATGTGGGAAGCAGAGGTCAATGCCACCGGAATGAATGTCCATGCTTTCACCCAGCACATCACTGGCCATCACAGAGCACTCAATGTGCCATCCAGGCCGACCAGGACCCCAGGGTGAGTCCCACGCCGGCTCTCCTGGCTTACTTGACTTCCAGAGAGCGAAGTCGGCATCCGAGCGTTTCTCGGAAGATTTCTTAGTCAAGGCTCCTTCGCCATCTGCCTGCAAATCCTTGTCGTTACGGTTCCACGGCTCTAACCTAGCGTAATGGTTCTTGTCCACTTTCTCGAAAGCTGCGATATCGAAGTAGACAGAGCCATCTGAAGTGGCGTACGCAAAGCCATTTGCAATGATTTTCTCCACGTAGGCAACAATCTGTGGCCCAAACTCCGTCACTCTAGTGAGGACATCGGGGTCCATTACGTTCAACGAGTGCATATCCTCGAAGAACCTGTTTTCGTACCGTTTGGTCAAAGTGGTGAAGATGGTATGGTCACTGGCGCTGACAGATGAGCCGTATAATGAGTCCAGATAGGGAAGTAGTACGTCGTCGGCTCCGGCGTAGAAGTTATCCACATCTGCTGCAGCTTTGGAAGGAGCAAGAAGCGCTGTTGCTGCGGCGCCGGCAGTCCTGAGGTGCATCTTGATTTTGGCTTCTGTGTCGGAAGGGGCTCCAAGGCCATCCAACGCTTTACCGGCTATGACAGCTGCATACTTCTCGGTAGATTCTTTATTGAAGTCTTCGGGTTTCAATTCTTGGCTCAACAAGGGCAAATTCTTCTTGACGTAAAAATCAAACGCCTTGGCTGTGGTTCCTAGTACCTCTTGCGAGATTGTTGGGGCTTTGGCTTTGAACTGGGCCAAAAGATATTGCTGGCGGCCACGGAGAATGATCTTGTCGTCGACATCGGTGATGTTCTGCACGAACTTGAGTTTGAAGCCAAAGTATCCTGCGAGAACCCGCCGGAGGATATCAATTGTTACATAGTTCCGTGCGTGACCCAGATGAGCATCGTCGTAAACAGTTGGACCGCAGCTATACCACTTGACTAGGTTGCCTTCCCCATCCAAAGGAACAAAGTCGTTCTTGGTCCGAGTCAGCGAATTCCAGACTTTCAGCTTGGCAGGGTGAGCAGATGCTGGCGGTTGCCAGTGCGGCTGTGTACGCGCCGTAGCCAGGGTGGCCTTGAGCTTAAGGGTATGTGGTAATTGGCGAGGTGTTCTCAGAAGGTAAAAGGATCTTGGTACCAGAGTAAGTGGGGAGGGGGCAGAAAGAGTTTGGCGTGACAAAGTACAGAAGCTCAAGACCATCAAGAAGATGGTGGCTGATGAATGACCAAAGGAGCGACGTGAAGTGAACGGGAGGGGTATATGAGAGCACGAATAGGAATGAGTCAGATGGGGGTGGTGAAGCCAGGTCACGTTTTGGTGTTGCCCTACATCATCACCTGGGCATGTACGTCCAGTCGACAGTACAAATTGCGGGATTAGGACCCCTGTCGCGGAGGTCTTGGCGGTTCCCCGCGAGGCGACGACAGCTCTTTTTCCCCTCCAAAAATTTCAAGCAAGCTACTTACTTGCCTAATTACTTGTCCACGTACCATTGACTCACCGCGCATGGAGATGCCACAGTCACCCGCGCATGCGGCATCCTCTTCGCCTTTTCTCGACCCCGGCACCCACTCAGTCGCCGGAAGCTTGGGTGTTCTACAGTTGAAGCGCGATCATCTGATCCCAGCCATTCTCTCCGCATCTTCTGCCGATTCGGATTACGCCGAAGGAAAAGTAGTGAATACGCGCTTTGGATCCTACCCTCACAGTACCCTCATCAACAAGCCATGGGGCACCCAAATACTGGCGTCCGTTGTCGATACAGGTTCCCGGTCCAAGAAGAGGAAACGCGAGAAGGCAGACAATGGCGATGACAATGTCGACGCAGACAGGACGGGATTAGTCAAGGCTGCGACGGCGAGCAGTGGGTTCGCCCATCTAGTACCACCCACCCCGGAAACGTGGACTTTATGCCTTCCTCATCGAACCCAGGTGGTCTACACGCCCGACTACAGCTACATCCTGCAAAGACTCCGAGTACGACCGGGCGATCATATCATAGAAGCGGGTGCAGGGAGTGGCAGCTTCACCCACGCGGCTGTAAGAGCCGTTTACAATGGCTATCCCACAGATAATAGCCCACAAGAGGGCACCGAGAGCGCGACCAAGAAGCACAAAGGATCGACAGGGCAAGGCCGGGTGTACAGCTTCGAATACCACGCACCCAGAGCAGAAACATTGAAGGCCGAACTAGCATCACACGGCCTGGACACTCTAGTAACCGTGACCAACCGCGACGTCTACAACGACGGCTTCTGCCTCGACGACCACGCCGAACCCAACGCAGACGTCATCTTCCTCGACCTCCCCGCCCCCTGGCAAGCCCTCAAACACCTCACGCGCTCCCCTCCATCCGCCGCCGTCCTAAACTCAGTCGCCTCCGACCCTTCAACCCCCACCCAAACCCCGCAACTCTCCTCTACATCCCCCCAACAACAGCCCTCGACACCCTTCCGCTCCCCCCTCAACCCAAACCGCACAGTCAGAATATGCACCTTCTCCCCCTGCATCGAGCAAGTCACCAAAACCGTCTCGGCCCTCCGCTCCCTGGGCTGGCTCGAAATCGGCATGGCCGAAATCCAAGCCAAACGCGTCGAAGTGCGGCGCGAGCGCGTGGGCCTGCAGGAAGAAGGTCTCCGAGGCGCAAACGCAGCCGCGGCATCCGTCCAAGAAGCCGTCCAGCGCCTCCGCGACGTCGAGGGCCGCGCAAAAGTCTTCCACGGCCTGCAAAAGGAAAAACAGCAGCAAGTCATGCGCAGGGCCGAGGCCGCAAAGAGAGGCGACAAGGCGACTCTTTCGAAAGTTGCGGACGACGTCGCTGATGAGGATCTGGAGGCGGACGACGGTGGAGCAATGAAGAAGGCGAGGGTCGAGGGCTTGCCGCCGTCTAAACACGACCGCTTGGAGCGCGCGAAGAGGGATTTGGAGAGTAGGGAGCTTTTTAAGGAAGGCCGTCTTGTCCATCGCACCGAGGCTGAGATCAAGACGCATACTTCTTACCTCGTCTTTGCGGTTCTGCCTAGGGAGTGGAGTCGAGACGATGAGGTCGAGGCGCGCGCGAGGTGGAGTTAGAATTATCTTCTTCGGCTGTGTAATACATGCAAATGTAGATTTTTTTGTTGTGATTTTTTTTTTCCTTCACGTCAACTCTTTTTTTTTTTTGTTCGAGTGAGTTTTTGATGACACGGCAATCATGTCGGACACTGGTGCTTGGCTATTTGTGTTTCTTTCATGCATGGGAAATATAACATTGGTTGATGAAGTTATCCATCTTGGGAATTTCGCCTCTGGGTGGTCGTCGTCATATGAGAGTTTTCTGTCTCTCTCTCTCTCTCCAAAATGTAGACTAAGATGCACTCGTACCTAAAAAAAAAGGATCATCACTTGAGCAGTTCTACGAGGATATGCAAGATTCCAATCTGGAGAAGAAGGAAGAGAAAAAAAAAATCATGCCGAGGCAAAAGATCAACGACAATGTTTCATTCATATCCATATTTCCCAAACATTCCCCGAATAACTCCATCCCTGCAAGAATTACAACAATGTAAAGTTCCGACATTCCCTCAACAAGAAAAGAAGAGAAATAAGGGGAAGAAGAAAAAAAAGAGATACGACAAGAAAGCATCTCGGTCTACACCAGCTGCATGGCTGGACCGAAACGTTTACCAATTCATCATGTCAGGGTCATCATACCCATCTCAATAGCCAGAGCGACGGCAGCAGCTTCGGCACTAGGGGGGCCAGCGACCATACCAGGAGGAGGGAACCATTCCTCACTGTCGTGCCAGTCGTCGACTTCTTCGATCAATTCGTCGTCGGTCGGCATAAAGGTGCCAGCCATGAACTCGGCCTCCATGTCATCGTGCCAGTCCTCCATGTTCATGATGTCGCCCATCCATTCGGAATCTTCGGTGTGAGGGGCGGACATGTGGAAGCCAAACACAACGCCGCCTTCGTCTCCGAATTCGGACGACATTGAAATACGGTCGTCCGACTCCGAGTCGTCCGACTCCGAGGCCACGCGGTCCAAGTCTGCGTCGAGAAGGCGTTGGACCTTGTTCCGAATACTGATGATATCGGCCTGGTTCAGCTGGTCTGTTTCTGGGGGCGGCTCAGTGGAAGGGGTGGAAGTTTTCGGTGCAGGGGATGCGGTTTGTTCTTGAGTGGGAGTATTGCTCCGGGGCGAATCGAGGGACTGTACTGAGCCTGCGTTTGTTACGTCACTTGCGTCGTCACTTGCTAAGAATAAGTCTATGCCACCCATCAGGCTAGGTGGTGGTAGGACTTCGTCCACAATATGGCGATGGAAGCCGACTTCGGCTGCATCGTATATACAGAGCACAGTGGGTTTCTGTTCGCCGTGGAGATAAGGTGGGATGAGGCCCATCCGCCAAATAGGTTCGACGTAAACTTTCAAGTTGATGCCGTGCTTGAAAAGCTTGTAAGCATACGCGTGTCGCTCGCAGAGAAGTTCGCGCTCGCAAATGAATTGAGCATTCAACTTGTGCGTCACGGGGAATGCGCCTTGCACAATTTCGAGCGATTTCAAGGAAGAAATGCGTGTATAGGGCTCGAGAGGTGGCAGTTCTTCGAACGAATCCACCGAATGGTCACTGTGCAAATCGTGTTCGTCTATTAGCGGGAAATGAATGCGCAGGGTTTCCAGATTCGGTGGAGCCTGGGCATGCGAGGACGTCCATTGGTGTAGGAATGAACAAGGATCGATATCCAGGAATTTGAGCTGGTGGAAGTTTCTTAATCCATCACCTTTGACGGGGTTAGATCGATAAATGTCACTGCAATGTCGGCGTTGTGGGTCGTTATGGGTAAGCGATTCCAGTGAATGGGAGACAGCCGCCAATGCTTCCATTGCCTCGAGCGGTTTCAGCGTCAAATTCTGTGAGGGACCAGTAGCGCCGTTGATGTTGTACACATTTTCGCCGAGCGTGAGGTGCTTTAGGCTCTTGGGGGTGCGAAGGATACGACCGAGGCTCTTCGGATTCAAGATGCATTCGTCAAGGGTGAGTTCTGTCAACGGAGTCGGTCCGCAACCTTCCAACTCTGGAAGGTCGGAGGGGAGAATAAAGCAAGAGGCGTGCAAGCTGCGGAGAGTGGAATGGCGGAACAAGCAGTGGAAACCACCGAGACGCCAGAAATCTGTAGTTGGACCATGCGAATGTATGACGACTGAATATGGTTAAGCCGATTTGGATAGGCGAAGACATGGGTAGAAGTGAAGATGACTTACGCTTTTCTAGCTTGGACAGTCCAATGGGTTGCTGAGGGTTGGCCATGGGCGAACATGACTTGTGCAAAGCCGTACAAAATTCCTCCATGTCCTGCTCGACCCACTCGTGACCGCCATTCTCATTCCACCTGAAGTTGTCAAACGGGCTCTCGACATACCAACTCCTCAAAGCCTTCATCTTGTGCAGATAGGCGTTGAAGTGCATGCGCTCTTGCAGGGTAGCCTGGAGGCCAGCATGGTAGCTGTAGGCGATGTGCAAGTTCTGGACGCTGGCGATGCGCTCGGGGCGGGCATCAAAGGCATCGATGATGTCTCTAAGATCGTCTGTAGATAGTAGATTGATGGTGGTGTAAATGTGTTTCTCGCACTCGTTCTGCAGGAGGTGACATGTCCGGGCTAAAGAGCAGAGGGTTTCTTTTTCTTGGGCAAGATGGGCGACGATAGAGACGACGAGCTCGGCCGGTAGATGCAGAAGTGACATGACGCAGACAGGCTGGCTGGCACGGAGAGAATTGGGCAGCTACGTGAAGGGGATTCGACGATGATATGGTTGTGTAGGTAAGTAGGCAGTGAGAACGGGTGCGGGTTGAGTGGTGTTGTGTTGTGTTGCACAGCTGTTGTACCTGTGTTAGGCAGAAAGTTGAAAAGTGTGGAGCACATCTAACTATATATCGTCAATGGGGAGAGAGAGGGGAGGGGTAGCTCCAACGCCAGCTCCAGCGCGCACGGACACGACGCTAAAGTTGCATACTTGGACGCGTCTGCTACAATAATTCAGTAGCTATGATGTATACAAACTATCTACCTGAGGACCTATCCCCTCCCCCCGCAGATGAACCAGACATGCCTATAGCGGTGAACAGGATGTATGTCACCTGGCACTGTTTCATCCAAACTGTCGAATACAACAGCTCCAGCAGCGAGCGCTAGGAACCTACAGGTCGCCTCTAGCAACCACAACGCCTGAAATGCAAGCCCGATACCAAAAGAAAAACACCTAGATGCATGATGGGGTATGTGCGTGTGTATGCTCGTCATTCAAGCGCACGAATGGTGTGTGGAGCAGTATGCGTTTGCTCTTTCCAACTGTCAGTCGGTCGCTACTTGTGCCACGGCGACGATGCGTCGGTCCACGGGATATGGCTCACCTAATCAGATCGGTGCCATCTGCCCTCGTTCTCCTCGTCTCCAGCAGCGGGGGCACGAAAGGCAGGGTAAAGGCCGACACGAGGTACGTGGTGAACAAGGCGGTGCGCAGCCTGTACTGGGGATTGCGCGGGAGCTGGGTGGAATAGCGGCGGAGTTGGTTCAGTGCGTATGTAGAGAGCATCTTGGGTGCTCAAGGTATCTTGACATGTATGGGAGGTGGGGCCTCTTGGTTCGTCGAGTAGTGTACAAATATAGATGGCATGTACTTGTGTTGGTGGACCCAGGTACGTGTGTATTCGGGGCTGTACGTTGTGCTAATGCCTTTTGCGAAGGTCAGTCAATCCATATGCAGTGTTCGCAAAGAGAGCCATAAATAGTCAAAGGATGGAGAGTTGAAATGGGATAAGCATGCGCCCTGCCTGCTTTTTAGACGGTAGAACAAGTGCAGGGGGTCCACACACCTACGGGGCTGGATTCCAAGGCTACAACAAGCCCAGGCACTAATATAAGGTATAAAGTTCACTACGCTTGCGCATACGCGTGATGACGGCAATGCAAGTCGGCTTTGTATGCGGATCTCGGAGAGCAAACTGCCGGAAGGCGGGGGGTGGGAAGGAGAAGTGACTTGAGCAGCAACAGAGAGCAAATGTTTCTTGCAAAGCAATCAGCAAGAGAAAGAAAAAGGAGCCAGTATGGTACGAAGACGAATTATAGAATCGGCAAGGGAGCAGGTATTAGTGTTGTGCGATGCTTGATTATTCATTGAGCCACTTGTGGGGTACATGATTACATGTTAAAATGTCAGCCCATGGTCGTGTGAGTGGTATTCCATAATCGCGAAATAGCCGCCTCGATCACGACATGCATACATCAATTGATCTTAGATTGTCTACATACGCAAGGTTTAGACCTGCCTGTTATAGCACAGCAAACTCAACACCCATCAAAATCATTTTATAAATTAGTAGCGGGTGAGAAATGAAAATGCGGATTGTCAGGCGTGGAGAGCAATGAGCATTGATGTTGATTCTACTGACACTATTTCCACTGGTACCTACAACCATACATCCAATTTATCCCCAACAGCAAAACGACAAAAGAGCCCTACATAGCCAAGTAAATGCACACAATCAATCAAGAAAACCCAGGTTCATTCCACCACCGTCCAGCTTCACAACGAACAACAAACCCTCCCCCCTCCATCCCCCCCTCAACCTCCTCGGCCCAACTCCCCAGCATCTCCCCATAAAACCTCACCACCCTCAATCCCCTCAAGCCTTTAAGCAAGTCCAGAAAAATCCGTTCCTTCTTAGCATCCCTCCTGACCTCCCACGTCCCAGCACGCACCGCAGCCCGCCGCGGCGCCCAATCAACAACCACGCACTCGAGCCCCTCAGCGCGCGCCACAACCGCGCCAAAGAACTCCAGCCACTCGTTCCAATACGCGTACTCGAGGTCGATGATCAGGATCAGGCAGCGCAGACGCTCGAACCGTAGGCGTCCGTGGACCGCGAAGCCGATGCGCCGCCCGTTGCGCGCCCCGGGATGGTACACGCGCAGCGCGGCTGTCGAGGCGAGCATGGGCGCGAGCTCCGTGTATGCGCGCTTGCAGGTTTGCGGGAGCGACGGGAGAGCCGTTGTGTAGGGCTTGGAGGGGTCGAGGTATTCTACCGTCGGGCGCAGCGAGTCGGCGAGGAACGACGAGTGCGTGAAGGCGAGGTAGTACTCGTAGATGCGGTGCCGGAGCTCTGTGGGGAGGAGGAAGAGTGGCGATAAGTGTTGGGAGTGGAATGGGGGCATTTTTGAGGATCGTTGGTATGTAGAGAGGTTTCGTTGTTGTTGTTTTTTTATTGTTGCTGCTGCTGGTGAGAGAGGGGTTGGCGTTGTATAAGTGCGGCTACGCCGTCCCCAGGCGAGATCTTACTGCTCCACCCGACCTATCTTGTTTCCTCTGTCTTCTGCTGAGAGGGAAAAAAAAAGAAGAGAACAAAAAAAGAAGAAAGACAGTACTAAATAATGGGCTAACGAGTTTCCAGCGCGCACCTGTTCTTCTAGAGTTACCCTTCCCTTCTCAGCAGATCGTTCTTTTACAACAATCATACATGATATGATACAACAAACGCTTCTCCTCCCACAACATCAAAAGTTCCATTCCCTTCAACAACCTGCCCATTGACCTCAAACGTACCCCCTGTACACCCTTCCGCCTCAGGAAAAGGAAAAACAACCGTCCCCATAGTCCCTTCAGGGCTCGTAATTTCTATATTCCTGATGATACCTTCTGTAGCATTCCACGCGACATCAATGGCGCCTTGCGGGACAGGAAACCTCCCCTTCGCCCAAGCCAGCCCCAGCGTCAACGGAGCGACCTTCCATTCCCGATATCCCGGCGTGACGGCCTGGACTCCTAGGACATGCTCGCTCAGCTCTCCCGTTGGGCCCGCGGCCCACGCGTGGCAGAGACTGGTGCTTCGCCCGAGAGCAGGCCCGCCGGCCGCGTCCAACGTTTCCCAGAAACAGCCCGTGTAGTTTGCGTTTTGAGGGTCTGCCATGGGCGCCCATAGGGTTTTGAGGAGATGGAACGCAGTGTCGCTGTCTTTGGATTCGAGCGCCGCGCGGAGGTGGTATGCGGATGCGTAGGGGCTGATGTACGCTGCGAAGCCTGCTTCCACGGCTCCGGGGGAGAAGGCGAGAGGGCCGTTTGGAGTGGAGAGTTGATTGAGGGTGGCTAGGATGTCAGAGGCCGTGTGCTGAGGTGGATTTACACCCGAGAGAATCGCCAACGCGTTCGAGTCCTGGCCGAAGCCGTTTTGGAGGGCGTCGGAAATGTAATATGCGTTGAGCTTGTCCGACCAGAGAGTAGCAGCGATGGCTGTCCTCAAGCTATCCAGCCGCGCAATGTACGGCTCCGTGTCAACACCGGCGTCTTCTAGAAGTCCAAGGGATTCTTGCAGTGCGTATGCGTACACCATGTTGAACTTGGACACGGCGCCAACCTGCGATGCATCGTAGTAATTCCAATCCCCGCTCAGAATAACATTGCTGATATTGAACAACCCCGTCTCGGGCAGCACCTGCGAGTGCGCCCAATCCAGCATCCGCATGGTTCTAGGGGCCCAGTCGAGCGCTACTTGGATGTCGCCTGTGCGTTTGTAGAAGTTGGCCGCTGCTGTGAGAAGGTTGAACGAGTACCCGATCAAGCCAGTAATATTAGCATTGATGGGTTCCGCAAGCGGCTCTTGCTGGATCTTTGCATTGGGGACGAAGAAACCGGGAGTTAATTGGAAGGAGCCTAGGAGATCGAGCGAGCCTTTGACGTAGCTGGTGCCGTAGGTGCTGGCGAGCGACGAGATCAACGCAATGTCGAGATCGCCGGCATACGCGATGCGGTCACGCTTGGAGCCATCGACGGTCGTGTCCCTCGGATTGGTTCCCATGAGGAAATCATGGAGAAACGAGTCGTCGGTCAGCGACGCCGAATATATGTCTTCACCCGCGAGAGTTGCCGCAGAAAGATTTCGGAATATCGCTGAGTGACCAAGGGACGCGCCTAGACCGAACGATCCCGCAAAAGCCGATGTCTGCGAGAATTGCAGGACGGGAGTCTTGTTGATTGAAACCGTTATGTCGGTCATGTTGACAGTTGTCTCAACCTTATGCCACGCGCCGATGGTCATGTTGGCAGGAAGCGCTGCAGTCGCAAGTGGCGCGGCATCGTCCGAAGAACCAAAGTACGCCGCGATAGAACCACTAGAAACATCACAAGAGATATAAATCCCAGAATTGAGGGTATCAGCCAGAACGGAGAAAGCCAGCCCCTTCACCACGGGCTTAACATCAAAAGCCAACCGGTAGTGTGTCAAGCCAGCAGCTAAAGCGCCAAATAGGACTTGCGGAGCCTGACTCTCCACCAAAGCCCCTTCAGAGGAGACCTGCCAAAACGGTACAACCGAGTTCGCAGGTATATCGTTGAGCTGGACAGTTCTCGCTCCGACTTTCCAGATGCGATTGAGATCCTCGTCTGAAGTCTCAAAGGATCCCGGGAGTTGGTCAAGAGGCGTGACCGGGATTGTAGTCTTGACGCCGACGTTGCGCAAGACCAGCTCCCCCGCTGAAGACAGATTCAGCTTCTGGTACCTGAAGCCTCCTTGAACAAGTCGATTCGTGTGGTTCATAGGGCCGGTGATGTTGTATCGGTTGACTCGGTACGTATCCATGGCTGCAGCTAGAGCAAGTGGCCCGTCGCTCTACGGCAAGAATAAGCGTCTCCCAGCGGAGTCAAGAGTACTGGAAAGAACACTTACCATATAGAAGCTGTCTAGAACCGCTTTGGATTCGCTGTATGTGATCTCCAGACCAGATGTATCACCAGCCGCAGAAATCACTTGGAACGTCGGGTGACCTTCGACGTTGGCCCCGTAGTCGAGTACCACCACGCTGGGAGCTGCAGCAGAGCCTTTAAGACTGATGGTTCCATTTGATCCGAGCAGTGTCGGCAAATTGCTGCTATTCCCTTGATCCGATGAGGCGAACCGTCTCGCAAGCGGTGCTGACGGCGAACGTTGGAGAACTGTTGCTCCAACCGCTGGCGCGCAAACCAGCAAGACAGACTTGGATAACCTCATTATAGAGTACTGCTCAACCGATCCAAAGCACCAATTACAGAAAGGAGAAAAGTGGTAACGAGCGTCGGAAAATATTTCTTTGAAAAAATAAAAAGGAAAGACGAGAACAATGATGTGATGTTTTCCAGCAAACGACCGTCGTCACGATTACTTATACTTGTACAAAACAACAAAGACCAAAAACTACAACCCCCCTCCTAGATGAACGAGTAGGACATGACCCATCAACATTCCGCGTTATCCAGAGCCAAGAACACCCATTGTATGGTTACGCCGACCGTTAGCAAGCTTATCCATCCACAAGTACCCAGAGAATGATCAAAAAAAAAACTTAAACTCTCCGCCTCACCTCAATGCCTTCGCTCCTAGCTAGCTACTTCCCTAGCCACATTACGTGGCTCATGCCTACTAACTAAGTACATAACCTAAACTGACACACACTAACATACCCTTAGCACATAAATTCTCAAACACGATACGAAATACGAGCATAAATCATCCCAGACCCAAACTAACCCAACCCAAACCAAACCATGCCAAAAAGAAAAGAAAAGAAAAAAACCTAGGTATCCATGTTCCAAAGCATCTCAAAGCATCGATTCCGATCCACTTTTATTTGCCCTTTGTAATGTAAATTGTGATGGATTGTGGCTAAAGCGACAAACTAGTACATACATGAGGTACGCTTTCGTATTACTTGTTGTCGTACCCAACTGATACCCTCGTACCCACTTTAGCGTCTCCGTATCTCGTATATGCTTAGGGTACCATATAGTAGGTAAATTTGATGGAAAACGATTCAAACGGCCGCCCAGCTTGTGGAAAACCCACAAGGGGGGGGGGGGGGGGGGGGTTTCTGTTTGGGTTTATGATTCGTGAATTTGGTCTATCGCGTCATGCTATCTGACACAAAGTCTTGTAGAAAAGTTTGCTTGCTGTAATCGCGTCGCGTGTTGGATGATGGATATAAGACTTTGTTTAGGGGATTTTCAAGCGTTGCGGCAAATACCTTTTGTCGACAACTATTAAACAAACAGTAATGTATGCCCGTGGCTGTGGATGGCAAAAATCACCGTATCTCAATCAGATTTGATAAGTCGGGGGTCTGACCAGAGTCAATGGGCTAGTTTGGAAAAAAAAAGCCACTCTCATGATTGCATAAATCACAACACAGGGATGAGGGGAAGAAGATGTAAGAGATACCCAAATCAATTCAAGCAGAAAGAAACGAGAACAGAAGGATAGTCTACGCTAAAACCAGACACAGCGGAACAAAGCCCCTGCGTCTAAATTCCCCCGTTCTGACGATCATCTTCATCGACGCCATCGACCTCAGTGTCTTCCCACGTCTCCATGAAGATGCGCTCAAACTCCTGCTCGTCTTCCCCTGCGTTATTGGAATAGCCCGAGGTATTGGGCTCTTTTCCGACACTGCCTCCACTGCGCAAGAAATCCCTGAAATTGCACTGAATCTTGGTCTGACTCAGGGGCGAACATGTAGCGTTATCGTCATTGGAAGACTCCTCGCTGTCGTACGCAGCAGTGTGCCCGTCGATAGTGGGAATTTTGGGACCTTCCCCGCTGTTTTCGTTCCGAGGACTAAATGAGTATGCAACAGCCACATTCTTGGGGCTGACCGAAGCGGAGTGCCCGTTGGCGATGGGGAAATCTGTGTTCGCCAGGGGGAGTCGGGAAAACACCATACGCTTGACACTCCCCTTCTTCCGAAGTGAGCGCATCACTTTGTAACCTCCCAGGCTAGCTTCATATGCGCGTGATTTTGTATGTTTGGCCTTTTCATCAAGCTTCTTCGCCCAACTCGTCATTGAATTGGGATGGATAGCACGTGCAGTGGTATTGCCAATGCCCTGGGTGGTACCGTAGTTGCCAAGGCCATCCTCCATCCAAGTATCATCATCTTCGCCTGCGACTGCATCTGCATCTGCATTGGAAGGAAATTTATCATTGGGAGTAACCGTCAACGATGGCTGCCAACGTGGGCTTGGCGCAGGTGTGTCTGGCGCGGCTGGTCTCGATGCAATGAAGCCCCCGATTTTAGGATCGGCTATCTCGACTGCAGAGTCGCTACGTGGGATATCCTTGGAGATCGTCAAACTTCTGTGGGGCAATTGCAGGTTATGCTGCCATGTCTCTTTATCGCCATTTTTTGAAACGTTGGCTGGCTCCGGGTCGATAATGACCAGTTTGATGTTGTAGCGGCTCTCGCGTTCAAAGCGCACACCATCAGTGAAGGTCATGGACGCAATTGCAGTCAAAGTTGTTTCAGCACTGCTAGCCCTCGGGGAAGCTTCATATCTAAAAGTGCGGGAAGACAAGTCAGTACAACGTAGCTAAAAGCGCCTCAACCGGGGTCGAATGCCAAGATGGTATGCCATATGCTGTCATCCTCGTCTGGGACTTTGGAGGATACTTACAGGTTGGATAGCAACTGGTGAACGCGAGGATCTTCGCGGCTAGAGCTCTCGAGGCACAATTCTTCGGTGGTAATCACACTGGGGACAGTTGCTTTGAAGCAACGCCGAGCATGATCCCATCTGAAAGTTATTGTGTTGGAGGTTGCAGAGAATTCGACTTTGGGGTGCAGTGCGGAGAAGGTTGGGGATCCCAAATTCTGGGGTATGAATTCGGGCGTGATACAGTATTGCTCCCCCGAGCTCAGAGATATCGGCTAGAGAGAAGGGGTGCAACGTCAGTTAAGCCCAAAAAGAGATGTTAAACAGCTGGTCGAGTTCTGGGAGCGCCAGGTGGTTGCCCATCTCAAGTGGCTTCGAGACTAGTAAAAAAAACACGTACCAGGGCAGGAAACTCGACAGTGGGTGGGTGCCAATTGACTGTAGCCAAGATCTTCAGCTGGGAATCAGACACGGTGGAGCCTAGATCAGCGGAAAGAGAGTCAGTAGAGTTACATTGACTATACGAATAGTTCCTTCTGTGCCCCTAACTGCTATACAACAGGGGTTATACGTACTGATGGCGACCTGAACGTAGCATCGGGGACCATCATTCAGGTAGTAGTCGCGAGTACGAATAAAGTTGAATACCATAGATGGCAGATCCAGCGTAGCAACGAACCAAGAATCACTGGTGAGGCGATCCTGACCGCATCTGATATGTTGATACCACATATCAATCATGTCGTAGACCAGACGTCGTACATTGACCGGGACCATGCGTGAGCTACTATATGACAAATTTTCCATGGTACGCAAAGTTTCCGACACTTGAGTCATCAACGCATCATTGTGGAAATGCTCCCACATGAGCAATTCTGAAGCCTGGCGCAGGGTAATCCCTTTCCAGCAAGCCACAACATCGATATGGTTTACGGCACAATCGTCGGAGGAAAGCGGGGAACGACGAACTTGGGGGCAGTACATGTCTGCAGGATCCGACTTGAGGGAGTGGCCAGACAACTGCACGTCGATGGTCATGGAAATAGGATGAGGAGACGCTAGCCGGGGAGCAAAGCTAGAACTGAAAGTTGGATGGGCATGTACCTATCGCAGTTAATTGCACAATGTTGTGAAAGGCAAAGGGCGGCAGCTTACATGGCCAGCCAGGAGATCGCGAACACTCATGATGGCGCGTGATGTATGGTATAGTGCGTCGAAGAATACCTATCTGGCTAAGGCGTGTGATGCGTAAAGCAATAATGGAGTGGAATGCGATATTGTGCTGGACGATACGATGCGATGCAGTGTGGTGATGCCAGCGTTTTCAACAAAGATGTCGGAGACAGACATAGCCGTCACGTATGGCCCGCGACTTCTAGATTGCGTCCATGGTAGCGCGGGTCGTCAATCTGCAGGAAGGTTAGAAGGTCGATTCCAGAAAGCGCGGCAGGATGGGAGAAGGAGCATATGGGTAAGCGAATCAGTCATTACGTACCGTTCATTCTTGTTTCCTAATTTCGAAATTTGCAGGAAAGCATCTACACCGAAACCCTCGAGATTATGAATTTCAAGACTGCCTGCCCAGTATTCTATAGGCCGTCAATGAATATCACGTGAGGTGATGCAGGGAATCAGAAATACTACTTACCAGCATAGACTCTCGCCATGGGCAGGCCGATGCCGAGGCGAAGAGTAGGCGGGCGGCCTGTTAGGGTTGAAAGCGATGCTGGGTGTTCGACGGCCATGGGCTGCTTGCTAGTCGCGTTGTCGGCGGCTCCCAGAAGCTTGGGTACGCGCGCCAGATTTTGGAGCCGTTTCTCACGACGAGGGCCTTTGCTGAAGCTCCAGAGGTGAGACAGGATCTCGGTCGGTATGCCTCCACCTTGGTCGGAAATGCGAATGCTGACGTGTTGAGAGGTTTCGCAGATCAGGACCTCAATGGGCGGAGGTTTGGCATCCTTGTATTTACGCTGTTCGACAACGGCCTGAATGGAGTTACGCAACAGCTCGCCAATAATGTACTCCAGATGGCTCAGGATGTACGGGAAGGTAGCGTCGAGATGGCCCTCGACCTTGATGTCCGGTAGCTCGACATGGGAGCCGTAGGCCTGCTTGATCAACTCCTTGGTGGTCTCCCCACAGCGATCAACAACCTCCTTCGCGTTGCACTTGAGGAAGATTTCGCCCACGGTCTCGGCATTTGGATCGTGGGTGGGCTGGGCGTTGGGGAAATGCCAGGGAGAATTGAACGTCTCGGTGAGGGCCAGGTGCTGTTCAGCGATGACACGGCGCGAAATGCGGGATCGCAGCATGGTGTTCATGAACCTGTCTGTTTCGTCGGGCCTCATGAGACCGCGAATCTCCAGGACGCCAATGGCAAGACGCGGGATGACGGCAGCATGTTCCTTGAGGGTCTCGTCGAGAATCTTGCAGTAGTTTTCGCAGTCGTCGAGGGACTTGATCTCGGGGATGCGGCGGAACTTTTCGAAGGCGCGCAGGTACAGCTCGTAGACGTATGCCAGGTGCGGGTTGGCAACGACGACGTAGGGGAGGGTTTGGATATCGCGGAGGCGGTGGGCCATCCTCGTGGGGAGCTCCAGACGGCAGTAGTTGGCCGAGTCAAGCAGACGTCGTTCGGTGAGGGTGCGGCCGAAGACGGACAGCGAGCGCAGACTGATGGGCCTGGCCTCGCGCTGCACCCATCTGCGCAGAGGGTCAGTCTCTGCATGTGTACATATGCTTTGAGTATATCCGTATAGATGTGTATCTATTGGGGTGTGTAGAGTGTACTCACTCGTCCAATGCGCTCGAGGGTCGCCATGTGGGCGCAACGGCGGGGCCCTGCGAGTACGGGCGGTGCAGGAGGTTTGGAGAAGAAGGGCACAAGTGGCGGCAGCGGATTGTATGCGGCAGGAAGGGTGAGATGCCGCGCATAACTATATACAGCTGATACAGCTGGAGGAACTCAAGATTTATTTGTCGTCGTTGGGGGAATGGGTGTCGGGGTAGCAAGCACTTGAGCAAGTAAATATAAAATATGGGGAGAAGCTATGTAGCTAGGGAGCAAGTGGTGTAGGATTGTTCCAATGCTCGGTCCCCACCCCGCTACACAGTTACGTACATACGTAAGTACATCCTATGAGTACATCACACCTTGGATGCCTTTCTAATCCACCTTGCTTCATCGGTTAAGCAACAGTGTGCTTGATAAATAAATTGCATGACCCACACAGCATCGTTGCATTTGCAACACTCATGACCCGCTAGTCGATCCCTTGTTCCATCCCGGAAACCCATAAAATCAATCCACCTACCTCGATGGTAACGAGGAACTGCATGTGAGAGGTGAGTGGGTACATTCAGAGGTTGACTGCCTACCAAGCAGGCCTCAATTGCTACAGTGCCCACTCGTTGCTTCTGCTGGATTGAACAACAAAAAGAAAAATGGGTACAGCAGTCGCAATCATTCATTCGACCATGTACGAAATTGAATGAAATGCTCAAATCAGAGGGGTAAATAATCAAATGTATTCAATATTCGACGGCAGCAGGTAGGGGCCACAAAAAAAAGGTGAATTCCAAACACCCTCCGTCATAACCAAGTAACCGCCACTTTTTTTTAGCGAGCAGTGAACAAATGAATGGATCAACCCATCCATCCATCCCATCTACCAAGTATTATCCATTGCCCGCCGCCCCTCATCAACCCGCCAGCCAGTCACCCAGCTCCATTCACTTGCTCACCACCTCAAGTGTCCGGCTTGCTTGCCTGCATAATATAGTATACACACACAAACATTCTTACATACCTCTTCAATCATTCAAGCAATCCCCGCCTTGCTCTCTTCCACCACCACCACCCACGACTGTCGCACACGGACCCTTGCGCAGCCTTCACTTCCCTCCTTCCCTCCCCTCATTCACGCCGCCACCTGCTTCCCTGCTGCTGCCGCAACCTTCGTCATCACCATCTTTCTTTCCCTTCCTCCTCCCTCGCCTTCCGCCCCTCCACCTCTCTACCCTTGGCGACCGGCGCGCAACCTTTGACCTCTCCCCTCTCTACTTTCGCTCCGCTGCCGTCTCCGCCGCCATCGCTCAACCTTGGTTGCAACACATTCCGCGCAAGTCGCCATGGACCAGGTAAGCTACACCTCACCCTTACCCTCCCTCCACCCTCAACTCACCATCCCTCCTCCCTTCCTCGCCCTCGCCTACCCACCAACCAGCCAAGCTGGGTACATAACCTTCTACTCACGTAGCCCGGCTTACTGCCACATCCCCACCCATCAACCACCCCGTTCTCGCACGTGTAGAGATCCATACTGACTCCTGCCTTGTCTCGATTTCTAGCTTAGCAGCGACATGCTCGTCGACCAAGAATTCGAGGAAAAGCACAATGTGGCCATCATCACTCCCGAGTCAGACGAGGCCATGGATGACGTTGCCGATGCCGAACCCGAGCCCCGCGCCGACGACTACGAAGCATTCGTGAAGAAACACCTGCCCGAGCTGCCCGATATTGAGACGGATATAGAAGTGCATCACACCTGGGAAATCCGAGAATGGCGGACCCTCACCAGGCGGGAACATGGGCCCGTCTTCCAATGCGGCACCCATCCGTGGCGCATTCTATTCTTCCCCTATGGCAACAACGTGGATTTCGCCTCCTTCTACCTCGAGCAAGGCTTCGAGGAGAACCAGATGCCCGAGGATTGGTACGCCTGCGTTCAGTTCATGCTCGTCCTTTGGAACCCAAACGACCCCTCCATGTACATTACCCACACCGCAACCCACCGCTTCACTGCCGAGGAAGGTGATTGGGGCTTCACGCGATTTGCTGAGCTTAGGAAGCTCTTCAGCCCGCACTGGGAAGACCGGGACCGCCCCATGATCGAAAACAATGCCGCCAACGTCACCGCCTATGTGCGCGTTCTCAAAGACCCCACCGGTGTCTTGTGGCACAACTTTCTCAACTACGATTCCAAGAAAGAGACTGGCATGGTTGGCCTCAAGAACCAGGGTGCTACGTGCTATCTCAACTCTCTCCTGCAGTCCCTGTACTTCACCAGCGCATTCCGGGAGGCCGTCTATCAGATACCCACCGACAACGAGGAGTCGCGAACGAATAGTGCCTACGCTCTTCAGCGATTGTTTTACAATCTCCAGACTTCACCGTATGCCGTCTCCACCACGGAACTGACTCAATCGTTTGGTTGGGACTCGAAGCAGATTTTCGAGCAGCAAGATGTTCAAGAGCTGTCCCGAGTCCTTATGGATAGGCTCGACGAGAAGATGAAAGGTACCGATGCTGAAGGCGCGCTGGAGAAGATGTTTGTCGGAAAGATGAAAACATATATTTCTTGCATCAACGTGGATTATGAATCCTCTCGGATAGAAGACTTCTGGGACATCCAGTTGAACGTCAGCGGTAACAAGGACTTGGATGATAGTTTCAAGGACTATATTCAGGTCGAAACCATGGAGGGTGAGAACAAATACCACGCCGAAGGATTTGGGCTGCAAGACGCGAAAAAGGGTGTCATTTTCGACACATTCCCAGAGGTACTCCACCTCCAGCTGAAACGCTTCGAGTACGACATCAACCGCGACGCCATGATGAAAGTAAACGACCGTTACGAGTTTCCCGAGATTTGGGATGCCTCTCCCTACCTTTCGAATAACGCGGATCGCTCAGAGCCTTATGTCTATCATTTGCACGGTGTCCTTGTCCATAGTGGGGATTTGAACGCCGGTCATTACTACGCTTTCTTGAAGCCTTCCAAGGAAGGCCATTTCTACAAATTCGATGACGATCGCGTGACCCAGGCCACCAAGCGCGAAGCTCTCGAGGAGAACTTTGGAGGTGACTATACCCAGCCGAATGGAAATGTTGGCCAGAGGAACCCTTATACACGAACATGGTCAGCAAAGCGTTCCATGAGCGCGTACATGTTGGTATACATTCGGGAGAGCCGACTGGACAAGGTGCTCATGCCCGGAAAGGATATCATGGCGCCCAATCACCTTGCTGAGCGAGTTCTCGAGGAAAGAGTATTGATGGATCGAAAGCGAAAAGAGCGCGAAGAAGCACATTTGTACATGGACGTGACCGTGGCCTCTGAAGAAAACTTCAAGCAGCACCAAGGCTTTGACATCGTTCCTTGGAAGAACGACACCGACTCCCCGGCCAACCCCAAGGTACACCGTATATTGCGATCAACGACGGTGGCCGAGTTCAGCAAAACAGTGGCGGAGAGCCTTGGGGTTGAACCCGACATGATTCGTCCTTGGGCCATGGTCAATCGACAGAACGGGACCGTGCGACCCGACGTTCCCGTGGCTTTCCCTGATATGACAGTGGAAGAAGCGTCGAGTAAATTCGGCACCAAGACTGCGCAGTTCAGGTTATGGATCGAAAAGACGAAGAAACGCGATGCAGATGGCAACCCGGTTTTCACCGACAGGGGTTCCGACGTCAAGACTGGCCAGGGAAACCGTTCGCTGATGCTATTCCTCAAGCACTTCGACACCAAAGCACAGACTTTGTATGGTGTGGGAAACCTATATGCCGGTTACCAGGAGAAGGTCAGCGATATCAGTCCTCATATTTGCGAGTTGATGGGTTGGCCCAGCGGCACCTCGTTCAAGCTGTCCGAAGAGATCAAACAGAACATGATTGAAGCAATGAAACCTAAGAGTACACTTGCCCAGTCAGAGATCCAAGATGGTGACATTCTCACTGTCCAAAGGACGCTCCCGGACAAGGAGATAAGCCAGGTGACTGCCAATGGCGGTTGTGCTGATGCGAAGGAGTTTTACGACTACCTTCTGAACCGAATCAGCGTCGATTTTGAACCGCGAAACGGAGACGACACAGAGCTTCCCAGTTTCAGCCTAGCCCTCAGCAAAAAGATGACATACGATCAATTTTCCGCAAAGGTTGCCGAGCATCTTGGGGTGGATCCCACCCACCTGAGATTTACCACGGTTAACAACGCGGGCAAACCAAAACTGGCTGTCAAATACTCTCATCAAGGCACCCTAAGTAGCATACTGTTCTCTGGGCCCTACAATTACGCTGCCAGCACCACACAGCGGTCTGATGCTATGTTTTACGAGGTACTCGATATGTCTCTCAAAGAGATGGAGTCGAGGAAAGCCATTAAAGTCGTCTGGCTTCCAGAAGGCTTGAGCAAAGAGGTGAGTAACAGCCGGCTCATGATCAATTGACCGAAGCAGTGCTAATCCATAAGCAGGAGGTGCACACCCTGATGATACCTCGAACCGGTAGCGTTGCCGATGTTGTGGAGGCTCTTCAACAAAAGTGTAGTCTTAGCGATGATATCGTGGCGGACATGCAGGTGTATGAAGCCCACAACTGCAAATGGTTGAAGAGTCTCGGCTCCGATTTCCAGGTCATGGGCATCCCAGACTACGTCCAAGTGTATATTGCTGCATTCCCCAAGGAGGAGGAATCGACGAAGAAGGTGTCGGTATTTCATTTCGACAAAGAGCCTTCCAAGGTGCATGGTATCCCGTTCCAATTCCCACTCAAAGAAGTATGTACTGAAATCCGCCCAATACCCGAAGCCTGCTGACAAACAACCACAGGGTGAAACGTTTGGTGACACCAAGCAACGTCTCTCGGATTTCGTCAAGATAAAAGGGAAGCAGTTTGACAAGATCAAGTTCGCAGCTGTCACCAAGCCTCACTACTCGCGGCCTCAATACCTCGAGGATGGTAAGTCATTGCGCACGTGTCACAAAGATCAAGCGCTAATATGTTGTGTACAGACGACAATCTTTGGGATCTCGTTGATAACAACGATCTCAGTCTCGGCATGGATCACGCCAACAAGTCAAGGAGTTTCTGGGGCAAGTCGGATTCCATCTTCATCCGATAAGTGTCGTGTACGAATTCCTGTGTAAGTGTACAGCGATTGGTGGCGAAAGCGGAGACATCCGATTCGATTTGATTATGGCGTTCAGCGGCACAATGGGCCAAGCTCACGATTGGATGGAGTTGATTCTTTTATTTTTCCTGTGCATATATAGATGCCACCCTAGGGTGTGTTTTCTTGACGCTACAAAAAGGTTCGGGTACGGTCGTGGAACGACGGTTGGCTAGTTGAAAGCAGTGTGCATGAGGCAATCGCAGTCAGAGTCATTGAAGGAGTTGCGGCGTAGCTATTTCCAATAGAACGATATCCCAAACGCAGTCATCCACCTCTCTACTGATTTCGGGACACCCTAGGGTATCTAGAAGAGTTGCGGTCTTCGAGGTTGTGGGTAAGGCTGCTGATTGGTTCCGTGGCTGTCGGCGAAAATTCGGCCCAGTGAGTACCGGCCAGCTGTTACCTCACCTCTACAACGGGCACTTGAACCCTCATCTATTTCCCAGCCCGGTTGGCAATTGCTCTCTCTCCACGAAACGCCACGACTAGATACGAAGCTCTACGATACGATACGGTACGATACGGTACGATGCGGACATTTTTCGCCTTTGCGAGTCTTCTCGCATATTTGTCGAGCTTTGTCTACGCTACGGCTTTGACGTATAAGCTGGAAGCGCACGAGAAAGCATGCTTCTTTACAAATGTTGAGCACAAGGGGACAAAGGTTGCATTCTACTTTGCTGTGCAATCAGGTGGTTCTTTCGACATCGACTACGCCGTCACTGGTCCCAGAGAGAGAGTTGTTCTAGACGGCACCAAAGAGCGACAGGGAGACTTTGTGTTCACGGCAAACGACGAGGGTGAATACAGCTTCTGCTTCAACAACGAAATGAGTACATTTGCGGAAAAGATGGTGGACTTTGAAATCGCCGTAGGTTTCCCATGCCCTCGCACATACGTGACCAGACTAACTCACACCTTTCCCCCCCCAGGTCGAAAACGAAGTCCGCGCGCAACTCCCCTCGAAGCAGGGCGCCCACCCCGAACAGACCACCGTCCTCGAAGAATCCATGCTCAAGCTGTCCGCCCAACTCTCCACCATCTCCCGCAACCAAAAGTACTTCCGCACCCGCGAGAACCGCAACTTCAGCACGGTCAAGAGCACCGAGAAGCGGATATTGAATTTCAGCTTGATGGAGGTGGCGCTCATGGTTACGATGGCGGGTCTTCAGGTCTTTGTCGTGCGCTTCTTCTTCCAAGGCGCCCGCAAGGGTTATGTATGAGTGCTGTGTAGTTGGACGAGTTTAGCGAACATTGTCAGCGAGTTGTTTTTTTGGTTGATTGGTTGCAACAAAACCGTCGGTAACGGCGAGGAATGGGTGGATGAACGGATTACAAACCACGGGGAAAAGAGAAGAAGGGCTTTGGTGTTCGTTTTTGGCGTGGCACTAGCTGTCGTTTTCTTATTGTTCTCTCTCTCTCTCCCGGCGTATTGTATGGGCAGGATACTCAGAGGGAGCATTCTATCACACTACCCTAAGATTTCATCTATGTTTTTTTTTTGGACCCCCATCCTCCCTCAAGGTGTAGGCCCTTGCTTTGACCCCATCTCTGCAGGTAGTAGGAAGTTTGTTCGAGTCCAAGTTTCTAGTCGTCAACCTTTTCTTTCTCCTTTTTCATGTGGGGGGGGGGGAGGGGGGGAAGGGGAATTCGGCAGAATACCAATGACGAAAAAAGAAAATCATCCAAACTTTTTGTTTTTATTTCTTCTTTTTCAAAAAAGAGTGTTAGATTCACCTTGTGTGTGTGTGCAAGCAAAAAGCACTATTACTATTATTATAACTAACCTCAGCAAAGCATAAGATATATATGCTAACTATAAAGAAATTCTAAGAGGTAAAAGACAACGCAAAGGTGCTGCTTTACTGGATAGCTTTTAATATATATATATATATATATATAACAAAGTCTACTTTATGTGCAAATACTTACCTGTCTTTTTTGAGCGCATTTGACGTAGTGACGTATACGACGTCCCAACGATCCAGTGGAGAGCTTACCTGTCTGTCTTTACAAAGAAACAAAAACCTCTGTTGTTGTTGTTGTCGTTGTTGTTGCAGTCTGTCCCCAGGACAAAACTATCTAATTTAATCCTCAGGGGGGGGGATTATTGTTTTTTTTTTTTTTTTTTTTTTTTTTTTTTTTTTTTTTTAGCTAATTTTCAATTAGCAGTTGCACATAGTACACATATAAATGCATAAGTTATTTAGCTAGGGAAGCTAGGTTTAATCTTTCAATTAGTAGTGTTTAGTGTTTGTTCTAGACAGATAATCCTGTATACAGACTTTGCATTGGGCGGTAGCATCTAAGATCTAAACAGTAAGAAGAGAACAATGTGCGCCTACAAGGTAACTTATATGTCAAGAGCAAGTGTTTATTAGCGTTGCGTAGATGTATTAGCAAAATCTATATATATTTGTAAGGCGGGTGGGTTACATCTAAAGTAGGACGACAGCATAGGTTTATTTAAGAGACAGATTAGGAGAAATAAAAACAGCATTATGTGCGTGAGATGTAACTTCTGATAAAAAAAACTTAGAAAACCGCGTGAGATGTGTACTGCAGATGAATATATGGGAAGAGAAAGTATGGGGAGTTGATTTGAGGTGGAGGTTTCTATAATGAGTGGGAATAATATAAGTTTTGAGTTGATGTTGTTGTTGCTGTTGCTTTTTATTCACCTGTTATACTGGGATTCTTCTAGTTTCTGCAGAACCTAATGGCCCAGCGGCTTGTGGAGTATATCGGGCTTTGTTTATAGTTGTTCATTAAGATTCACTGCCCTGAGGAGGCTCAACCCTAAACAGTTTGTTATTAACCTACTTTGTTTGGGCTCTTATGATCAGTACGTTTACTTATTCTGAGTTGGAGTTGGGGTGATCCTACACACAGCGAAGGCTTGCAACGATAATCAACCAAAAAAACAAGCGATAACCAAAAATTAGAGTGATATGATCAGTGTTTCTTCACTCTTTTGCCCGATAATGGCCTGGTAGTCTCATGAGTAGAAATAGCTCAATATCTTCTGTATACCAAGATCAACTTCGCGTGTTTGACTGTTCAACCCAGAAGACGTTCAACGGGAAAGAGCTCACCATCAACCTACAGCCATATCGTATTCACCTCTGACTTCTGGCTTCGCCTAGGCATTTCACTCACCACCAGCCCATTCTCCCCCAGTGTATAAAGGTTCTCTCTATCTACCAAAATTGATTTCAACCTCAACAACTCAGTCGATCAAAAACAAGCACCAGAAACAAGCACGTAAGTTACATAGCTCCTGACAATACTCCATAACACCTCATCCCGAAAGCATACCTATATACACTGCCCTCTATTCCGCACAATCTATGTAGTTCCACCCGCAACCTAAGCAACTTGCCATCACTGCCTACCCTCAACTACCCAACATACACTCAAATAGACACCACCTGCACGAACACCACTCAATCTAATATCACCGCTACCGCTCTGCCACATCTTACATCCCCCTCCAATCTCACCCACTGTTTCTCAGGAATGAGTAAGCAAGGTTTCCATACCGGCTCAGGTTGTTGGTCTAAGTCCCGGACTAATATAATTCCAGATTTGTCGGGTGCCTCGACACCATAAATCCAACACAAACAAAACCCCGCGGTCACCTCGACTTACGACAACCCACTTTCCAACCGACACCCCACTCTCTCACAACACCCGTGAAGTTCGACGCCGCATCTTCAAGCATCCGGCACTAACGGCTCGCAAGCCATGGGTGACAACAATTCTGGACGAGAAATTGGATACTCTGGACCCCAGAGTATGCCATATGGTGGCATAGTCAATTCAACAACAAACAACGTATATGGCTCTTTGGGCCAGACGGTAAGTGATACATACCCATATTGCCACCCCCCGCCAGACGCACGACTGGGCTATCTCCCAGCTCGCCAAGCAACCATCCCCCGTAGCCACACAGCAGATCCGTGGAATATGCCAGGTCGCGGTGCCTCTATGGCTAGCCATGTCGGCAACAATGGTCTTTACATACCCGATGCTGTCCAGAATCTTTCAGGACCTGCGAACACCCCGAATCAAACTTCGCCGACTATCTCTGCTGCCGCAGCTGCCAACTCATTCCCTTTCCCTCCAATGCAAAAAATCCCTCCAATCCAGCTTTTCTCAGTCAGCCGCCCGGTTTCAGGATCGAAGAATGTGCGGAGTGGTAGTCCCTACATGCGAACCGCGTCTCTCGCCGCAGATGGATATGGATCTACCTCAGTGGTGGGAAGGGATGACCGTCGAAACCCGTTCATGGGAAATCCCTCCGTTCCAGAAAACAATGGAGCTGTGCCACGTCGTGGAAGCCATGATGCCCAGGTTAGCCAGAATGCGTACATCCCCACACCGTCTGGTAGTGTCGAAGCTACCAACGCAAACGCGAACAGCTCGGACGGAAGCAGCAACGTACGAGATGGATCCAAGAAAATCAGGGCTACCCAGTCTTCTACCAACCTTCGTAGATTGGAGCCTGCGACATCGTTGGGTGGTAATGTCTTCGGGACCACGGCTCCTTCCTCGCCCTCCCTCCCCACGATGACACTTCAACACCCTCTGGGCTCTGGCTCACGGGAGACACATGGCTCCGGCCCGCGATACCACCGAACTATTTCTATCAATGGAGGTGGGAAAATCGCCCACATGGCCCGCGATTTCATGTGCATGCACGACGTCGAGTACAACACTGCGGGTTCAACAAGGCTTCGCCGAAATACTTCCTCCACCACCACCCACCCAGCCGTTCCCGAGCAAAACCAAACCCGTGAGCCCAGTTCCATGGCACCACCTCCACTACCCACTCGCGTGAGTGAGCCGAAGTCCGCACGTAAAGCTGGAGAAACCGGAGAGCAGAACGAGACTCGCGAGGGCTATACGGAAGATCCGCAATCCAACGCATCTACCGAAGAAACTATTTTCCCTTCCTCCCCAGCTCCACACTACCCCGGCTACGCAAACCTAACTATCCAGCCCATCCCCATCGAAGATGCGTATGAGATCGATATGAAGATGTGCTCGAGGGACGACGATGGTGTCTTGAGGGCTCCCGAGCCAGACGTCATGACGGAGCAGGCGGCGGATTTGGAGTTTTTCTTGTCAAATGAGAATCTTGGTCCGGGTTATGATGTGACTAAGATGAAAAGGCGGTACTGGACGAAGTGAGTGATTGAGGGAGGGTCATTGCGATTTCCTTGGAGTATGGGGATTTTCTGGGCGTCAGGTAAAAAGAGTGGGGGAGTGATGGACTGGCATTAAGATTCCCCTCTCGCATGTGGATATTTTCGGCATCAAGGATGGGGGAGTGAGTGAGTGATGGATTGGCATTACGATTCCCCTCTCGCATGTGCATATTTTCGGCGTCAAGGATGGGGGGAGTATGAATTTGGTGCGAGGTCACGTTCGAGATTCGGCGCTTGGTGTGGGTGAATGAGCGTCTTTTAGGGGCATTCCCTGGGATACCCTATTGCATGCGGGTATGTGGAATCAAGCTTTTTGCAATTCAGCACGGCAGATATAGCGCCGGAACAAATCGATTCTCTTGATTCTTGGATTCAAAACCCTCCTCTTTTTCTTTCTTGGTGATGTACGGGCGACTTATTTTTCTTTTCTCCCGATATCTTCGCGTCTAGGAAATGAGTCTTAAAGGAAATTCGATTCTCACTTATATCAGGAAACTACACAGTACAAATGTCTCTGCTACACTCGTTCTTTCTAGAAAAGCATAAGCAGTAATGGAAGAAGGAGGGCTTTTTTTCTGTGTATATTTGGAACACAGTAGCAGAAGACGCATGTTTCCTTTGGAAAAAATAGTTCTGTGCCGTGCTAGCGTTTTCTATATCTTCAATCGCAAACGTGATTTAATGTGAATGTGATGTGCTCCGTTACAAGCGAGTTTTTGAACAGAAAAATGAATTATCAGCCTTTCACAAATGCACTGAACAGCAATTCTCTAATTTTCAACAACTCAGTGTATTCAGTTTATGTAAAGTGCGGGGGGGAAGAGTAGGGAACTGAACTTTTGTGATGTTTAAGTTTTTTGCGGTTGCTATTTTGTTGGGGGAAATGAGGGGTTTAAGAGTTGGGGATGCTGCAGTGTTATAGATTAGTTTTCTTGGTTGCTTGAGTAGTTGAGTCTCTGCAATATATTCCATGTTCACATGCTGTGATGAAGTCGATACTAATAGTTGCAAAGGTCTCTATCGACTCATGGAATTCAGCTTTTTCTGCTTCATGTCGTTCAAGTAGATATGAATGAAGGAACAGTAATGTGACTAATTCTTAGGCAAGTTCAAATGTTTGCTGTTGGTGTCACAACATGTTGTACATGATTGATAAGCGAGACAAATCTATGTACTTAAGTACCCACGTTGCAACTAAACAAGACCACCCACGCGTGCTCATCTCAAATCGACATTTGAGATCTGCACGTTTACATTGCCCGCTTTCGTTCATGAGATAAGAATTACATTGTCATCGATAAAAGATCTCTCCCAGGCACCCCGACCGCCTGGCCAAACCTCACCACCATGACTGCCTCGCCCCCCACTTCCCCATTTCTCCGGCTCCCACGAGAATTACGCGATGTCATTTACGACTACGCACTATACGAGCCAGACGGCCTTTACTACTGGCGAGATCCAACCACGAACATTGCAGAATTCGGACGACAGCCACATCAGCATGTACCGGCCAACGCCCTCAAATACACCTGCCACCAACTCCGACAAGAGACGCTCGGCTTAGAGTTCCACCTCAACCAGCAAATAACCTTCGTGGGATCCGTTAAACGCCCAAACGATCGTAATCAACCGCTATGTCCAGCCGTACAGTTCCTCCAGTTCATCGACCAGTGCAGCGAGGCTGCAATACAACGTTGGTTGCGTCACGTCCGCTTGCACTATGACCTCGGGCATTTCTGGGCGTCTTGGGAGACCGATTACCGCTTCGTCGATCTCCAAAAAGTCGCCGACTATTGCGAAAGCCGCCCAAATATAAATGTGTGGTGGTATACCCGTATGCTGGAATTTGTGCGAACGGGCCGAGACTGTCCTGTAGGAGTAAGCATACTCGACGCGGGGCTTGATATCATTTCCGTCTTTCGATTGGAGAAAAGGATAAAATATTTGAGGATATCTGAGGACCTGTATGCCAGTACTCCTGATTTGTTCATTGATTGGAGATGGTTTGAGGGGTGGCACGTGGAGGGGTGTTTAAGGAAAAGAAAGCTTTGCAGCTGCAATTTTCGGATCAGGTGTGAGAACTTTCGTTTGCTGCCGGAGGTGCCTGGAGATTGGGAAGAACAATTCTATAGATACCACTCGGGCTGGGGTGATAAGGAGCTCGTCAGGAAGAGGTGTGAGCTCGTTCGGGACGTTATTACTAACGGGATTTGAGGCATGGGTGTTGTTAGACAGCTGTGAACTTGATTCCTCTTTGGCTAATCGCGGGGATCTTTATAGCTGGTGTCTTTACATGGGATCTATACGTACCGACTCATAGCCCAGATCAACTTCATCCTATCATGGAATACGAATCACGCAGTTAAAGACAGTGTCTAAGATATCAATTGATGAACATCAAAATTTGGTATTGGTGGAAATGGGGTACGTTGGTGCTGTGTATGCGACACACGTATTTACGTATATCTGCAACCAAATGTAGAGCCCTTGTATCAAGCAAAAAAGTATAGGAAACGACTGGTAAGAAGAAGAAACGGCGAAGATCCGCCCCACGATGATAATCTCGAAAATCCCCCAAACTCAAACAAACTCCTTGGCCTTTTCCGCCTTCATATTCTCATCTTCTTCTTCTGCGACACCGCCCAAACCCCTACCACGACCACCGTCACCTCCCAGCATCATCTCCTCGAAACTCATGTCCGCCTCCTTCTCATCTCCTCTTTCCACACCACTCTTCACCTCCTCTTTCTTGTGTTTACTGGCCTTGGACTTGGTCGACGCCGCCATGCTGGGTTTCCTCCCAATCTGCACCTCCTCATCGCGCTCCAGCACGTCGTCCTTGTCCAGCAATCCCAGCGCGACGAGCTTCGCCCTCGCCTGCGTCTCCGGTTCGCGATCGTAGAAGAACAAGCTGATCCTGACCAAAGTAAGTTCCATAAACGACTTCAACGTCGGCATCGTAGCAGCGATGATGGCGAAATGCTGCTCGATGAGGGCCCAAAGCGCGACCCCGACATTCGTACGGAACACATCGTCTGACCTGTAGTTCCCTTGCAGAACGAGGGTTCGCACGATGGCCGCGACGGACGCGAAGATGCCCAGCCCCATGAGCACGCACATGAAGATCTTCTCGCGGCGCGGGACGTGCAGTTTGCGGATAAACGTCATGGGGATGAAGCTGAAGACGATGTCGAGGACGATCTGAAGAGTGCTGAACGCGACAATGTTACCGTTGATGACGCTCGTTTCGAAGCACTGCACTTTTGTGGCGCGGAAGATGCGGGGGTCCCAGAAGACGCTGAAGGGGCGGCACTGCGCGAATTGGAAGACTGTTTGGACAATGGCCGCGCTGATGATGATGCACATGATGGTGATGAGGAAGATGCGCCAGCGCTTGGTGTGCTTGAGGCGCAGCAGGAGCAGCGCTACGGAGAGCTTGATGAGCGTGAGCGACCAGTACCAGAAGACTTGGGAAATGAAGAGAAGGTGGAGGGAGGTACGGCGGCGGGCGAAGGAGACGAAGAGAGCTCGTCGTCCTAGACCGTAGAGCACCGAGGCGCAGATGATACCGTACTGGGTGATAGCTAGGATCTGGAGAAAGGAGGTTAGTTGTTTTGTCCACACTAGAGGGTTCTCTTGAAGCGCGTAACCAAAGCAGATGCATCTCAGGAATAGTGGTAGCAGGAATACAGGTAATCGAGATCGAATGAGAGAGAAACCTACTAATCCAGCCAAAATCGTCCAGTCATCTGCCCTCAGCGTCCACGTCGGCCGCGCTCTCGACCACAGCCTCGCCGCGATCAACGCAATGGAAAGCAACATCAATGCAGCCCCTAGCCCTAGCAGAACCGGAGCCCCATTCGTATTATCCATTCCGGACCGGAAGCGACTAGGGTTGAATCCAGGCCGCGACATGTTGAAAAAAGGCTTGTTGCCTCCCCCGAAGCCGCCAGGCATCTCGTCCACAGGCCATTTGGACGGTGAAGTATCGAAGTCCGGAATTTCGCTCAGAGACTCCATGATGCCGTTTCCTTCTCTTATAATCGAATTCTGTTCTTTCGCAGCAGAACAATTGTCGATCAAGTAAGTATTATGGTATAAAGGATATAAGATAAGACCGGTGGAGTTGGTAAGACGCGGCGTATCCCGGAAATTGATATATTAATCAGTTGACCAAGTATGGTAGCGACTGTAATCGAAGTGAAAAGTGTCGTGAAGATCGTGCAAGGTGGACCAGCCAGCCCTCGAGATTCGTAAGGTTGTGTTTCCGCTTTTCGATCGAGCCAGTCGTCAAAAGGGTAGCACGATGGCGGTTAGATCCACATGTTGCCGTGCCGTGTAATATGTACAGATGACGAAAGCGCCTCTTCCCAAAACCCCCAGGCTTCAAAAACACAAAATAAGAACTCTGTGAAGCGAGAGAAAGCGAAAAGAGATCGCAGAGAGAGAGACGAAGGAAAGGGAAGAAGACAAGTGCCAGCGAGCGAGGACGCCCCCGCTTTTTTACCCCAGGAATTGAAAGCATTAACCCGGCGAGCCATGAGGCGTTCACACGGCATTGCGGTTTTCTGGTGCGTTCTGGCTCTGGTGTTCAGAACGACAATGCGTGAAGGTGTTGCGAGGGTTTGCATAGCGTTGGCCGTGTCTCAGTACAGTTTTATATCGCAACATGTAATTCAGCCGCCCACCGGGCCAATCACCGCGCAGATATGGTACTTAACAAAAAGCGTATTAAAGATCACCAGGCCTTCCATGTCTTGTCATCTCTCGCGGATCGTCGACAGTTGTTTACCAAACACGTAGAAAAGGTCATGTGAGGTTCATCCACGCAATCACCCATCTCGTCCTCATCCCTGTCTCAGCTCAGTTTTACGTTTTGCCGAGTCGAAGAATCTCCCAAACTCCGTTGCAATTCGTAACCAACCGTCCAACCATGGATATAATTCGTCGATAGAAGGATAATACAGTCATCATAATACCAGAAGGCCGCAAAGTAAGTCGCATAGTATACTCGGCTGAAGTCTCGATGGATTTCCACTGCGCCGACGCACGCGTGCATTAAGTGACATATCTCAGCATCCACACAATCTCCCCACCAAAGAAATAATCCCGAAATATTACTCGCGCAGGATCAATTTCCAAATCGACACTATATCACCATCTAGCCACAGCAAGCGAGCAAGTCGTTGCAACCTTCATAAAATTGACATCCGTTTCTCGACTCAAGCACATCGCTACAGAACACCGGCTCGTAACAACCAGACACCCCCAAAAAAGCGTAAACACTTCATTTCAAGCCAAAGAAAATAAAAAGGAACGAAGAAGATCCGAGATGCAAAACAAAAAAAATACTGTTATAGTTGAATAATAATGGTGTACCATCTTTTTTCTATTACGAAACAGCAAACTCGCATTGTCTCAGCATGGTTTCGTTATCACAAAAAAATAAACTACTATTCATACAATGCCATCTTATCCACACTTACACACAGTAGCCGGCAAACTCATCCAGCACACTCGGCTACAGCGTACTTCAATCTTTAACTACCACATCAGCCCTCCCCCGCCAAAAGAAAGAAGAAAAAAAACCCCCCCCCCCCTTTGTCTCTTATCCGCTCCCTCACGCTTCCCTCAAAATTCGCATACCGACCTACACAAAAAACCTCATACAACCAAACCATCATGCACGCACACATACCATTCATGCACATCAACGAAATCTCTCCACACGAGCGAGGTGGGCAATGCGGGTACATAATTCCAACCTCAAATGTCATCATGCTAAGGGGGGCGTTTTAAAGCCCACATGATATATGATAAGACGGATTTTGACGCTTCACCAACACTTTGATTCGATTCGATTCGAAATTCGCATAGAATCCTAGACCTAAAAAGAAATAAATGAAAAAAAAAAGGGATATTACTAGATTTCTCTCGCCTTTTTTCACCTTCCTAAAAAGAGGGGAGGGAAAAAAGAGAGATAAGGGACAACTCCCTCGAGACAAGATGGCACTAAATCAAGTCTCGAAAGAGTGATGAGGATGAGGATAATGATGATATCTAAAGAGCTCGAGCTCGGCATAAATGATGACGCAGAAAAAAAAACCCCCCCTAGATTCTATATCCAAATAAATAAACAAAGAAATCAAGCCCTCTTCTCTCTATCCCTCTGCGTAGTAGGCCCAGCATGCAGAGCACCAGACATGAACCTCCCGACATCCCTCGCCCGCCACCTGCCCCTCGTAGCCTCGGAGCCCGCGCTCCTCCCCGTGCCGGTCCTGACGAGCGTCGGACTGCCCTCGCTAATGGTGTGCGTCAGCTCGTTGACGCCCATGCTGCTGCGACGAGCGCGCCTAGTTGCATCCTCCTCTTCCTTCTTGTGGAGGCTCTCGGAAGGAAGGAGGATGGCGCGGTCGAGGGCGTAAGGGAGGCCACGGTGGCGACCGCGGAGCATCATGGCGATGATGATGAGTTTGGAGAGGGGCTTGAACTGAGCGGAGAAGGAGGTGCTGGTGTCTGGGTAGCCGAGGCTGAGGCCGACGGTGCCGTAGGCGGAGACGATTTCAAAGAGGACGGAGAAGAGGGTGAATTTGATGTCCTTGTCGTTGCCGAGGCGCGTGCCCTCGATGATGGAGATGAAGAAGAATCCCAGGAAAACGAACCACAGATCGAACGAGAGTTGGCGGCGCAAATGAGTTCCGAGGTACGACGATTCGCCGGATCCTTCATCATCGCCAGCGTAGATGCCGAGCGACTTCTCTTCGTACACGTTCGTTTTGCGCATACTAATAGCAATGGGGAAAACGGAGATATACATCATGACCAGATAAGACACTTGGATAGCCGGATGAAGCTGCGCGAGGTCGACAACCGCAAAGCCAGCGGTACGGGTCGATGCTGCCTGGAACAGACCGTCGAGGAATTTGAATGCGGGAGGAAGGTCTTCCACCACTTTGGCGTTGATCTGGCACAATAGTTAGTAGCATTCTTGACATGATCAATGGACACACGAGAGCACGACTTACATCGAGTATGACAAAGAAGATCAAGTCAATACCGTTGAGACCCACAAGCACCCAGAAGAGCCACCAGTTGGTGCTACTAGGAAAAAGAAGCGTGAAGCAACGACGAGGGTGATCCAGCAAAAACCTCAGCTCTTCCCAAATACCACTGCGATGCGGAACGACCTTGGAAATGGTCCAGATGACGAATCGAAGCATACAAGGGAATCCTGTATTGCCGATGATGATAAGAAAGGTGCCAATTAGGAGGGGAAGGACAGCCTTTTGGAAAGAGATCATCGAGTCGGGAGTCAGTGTGAAGCCAAGATCATTGAACATGGACGCTGGCGTGAAGAAGCCCCACCACACGGGGGTCTCATTGATGGCGGTGACAACCTCCGAGTACTGCCTGCTCCTGACAACCCAAGGAAGCATGGTGATCATCCCGAAAAGGTGGAAGCCCACGTAATAACAGATGAGGATGACGAGCAGAAGCTTCAGAGAGCGATACTCAATACCGCCCAGTTCCTCCCTCTGATCTTCCGACAGGTCCACAAATGCCGAATTGCGTCCAACAGTTGGGGTCCAGCTGAGGTAAGGCATGGCATCCTCTTCCTCCCTGTCCCTCTCCTTGGATAGGAAACTGCCAAACGTTCTTGTTCTCTGTCTGCTGCGGAGAGTCATGTTCTGACTTGTGCTTTCAGCATCAGAGTTTCTTCGGCGCATGTTGTACACCGAAGGACCGACGGTGGGCCGCCTTGGTGCATCGGGGACGTCGATGGTAATGTGGTTCCTGAAAGGGTGATCATCGGCGTTTAGCCCATCAGGTGGGACCGACAGTGACCTCGATCTCTCGTGCCTGATGGGGCGCTCGCCATCCTCGTGCGCATCGCCAGGATCCGGACCGTCGCCAGCTGTTATTTGTTCTGGCACCAAGCCTCTGTCGTAATCTCTGGGGCCAGGAATGCGGAAGGTAGCCGTGTCGGAGGGGTTTCGTTGCTTCTCGACAAAAGCTATGCTCATCTCCTTGTTCTTTTGCGGGAGACGCTCCACGGGGGTTTCGACCTCATCTGCAAACGCAATGTCCCGACGGAAAGGCTGCACGGTTTCGGTCTTCTCAATGGACGGCACTTCGGGCAGCTTGCCAGAGCTGGATGCCGACGCGCTACCCTCGTTTTCCTGATCTTCGGCGACAAAGTTGCCTTCCTCATCGAGCCTCTGTCCCTGTGCGTGGCCGTTGAGTCCCCTCAAGACAACAATTTCCCGGTCACCGACCCCGTTCTCTTCCTTGCCTATATCCTGTTCCAAATCGGCCTTGGCTTCGCTCTTGGTCCGGGATCTCGTTCGCTGGCGTCGCATGTTGCGCGCATCGACGACGACTTTCTGAAATCGCTTCTCGAACCAGTACAGGCGAATGAAGACGACGACGGTGTTGATAAAGATGGGGGTGCACATGCACGTCACAATCATCATGACGATCTGTAGATTCACATGTCAGTCAGTTACCGTAGGGTGAAGACATTGTGGCGGCTGAACATACCTGTTGGTACAGGGCAAGTTTGTTGACGTCGATTGTATTCAGGCCACTCTGAGTGGCGCAACCGCTTGCAAAGTAGAGGGCATCGATATAGTCCATGTTGTCTGCACCATAGAGAATGACGGAGGTGAGTAGGGCCATGAAGATGAGGTAGAGGTAATGAATCTTGATGAAGTTGAAATGCGGTTTGAACGCGCTCCACTGCCGGGGCACCTCGACGCGGTCCCTCAGCCAAGTGAAGACAATTATCCACGGCTTGAACATTGTGTCTGCGGACCGATCCTAGTATGGTGCGAGTATGTGGCGTAGGAATCGAGTGCTTCGATACAAACAATATGTATCGGAACGGGCGGGGAGAGGGGGGTATAATAAGATATGTCGTTGAGGTATGAATGAATGAGGTACACGAAAGATAACAAAGTGTGAGTCGTCGTCGTCGTCGGTCAGATTCTCAGGGTCCGTGTGTATATCTGTCTGATAAGGACTGTACCACCCAGCGGGATGTGTATTCAGTCGGAGAAGCTTCTGTATGTATGGGAATGGCGCCGTCGAGTTACAAAGTCGAAGTAGCCAAGAGATAGAGATGGAGCATCAGCAGCATGCGCATGCAAGCCAATGTTAAAGACGGACCGACCCGGACGATGGGCTGCGTGCACAGGGGGCGGTGGATATAACAGCAAAGCGCATTGCGTAGTCTTGTATATGTGTGTGTGTGGGCAGCGAGCAAGCAAGACGGAAGAGGGTTGGTCGAAGAGAAGGGTGAATGGAAATGACGAAGGGAAACAAGAACGGGAACGATGAGCGAGCGAAGAGAGGAGAGCGAACAAGGTGGATCGGATCGGATGCTTAGTGAGTCAAGCCTCGTGCAGAGCACAGCCAACCATGGCTGGCCAGTACCACTGTGAAGATTGATCTCAGTGTCAAAGCCAGCGAGTTTGCTTTGAATTCCCTGTTCCAAGAAGAGCGCAATCCCCCGCTCTCAACCGGTATCGCGTAATCTTGGGCCTCGCCCTTTTTTCTCCTCAGCTCCTGCAGATGGGATTCGTTTGATTTTCCTAGTCGGTCGGTTGATCCATGAGGGGCCGCGAGGCGCAGCAAGCTGGCAGCGAAACCACCAAGACAGTTGGTCGACTGGGCACAATGGAAAACGGCAATGAAATGGGCGGTGACAAGATGGGAGAAGCTGAAAAAGGAGCGAGCAAGATAACAAACGTTGCTAACCCCCCGGGAAGAATTCTCCATGTATGCACGCATGCACGTCCGCACGCGCATATGCAATGACGCTCCCGCTCCCCCCCTCGTCGTCAAACGTTGAGACCCCCATGCCTCCGCCAAGCAACCCCGTCGCCAATTTCCTCGGTACGCGCGGGAACCATATAAACAAGCATTCATGTATCATTCTATCACTCAATCCTCTTGGGTTTGTAAAAAAGAACACATGCAAATGATAGGTATAGTATAGCTATGAGGACGTGTAATGACCAACCATGTAACGTAGTTGCTTCACCCTTTGATGCAATTCATTCTCATCGTCTCGCTTCGTATCGACCCTGTCCCAGGAGGCAAACAGACAACATGCAATATACACAGACGGAAAGAGATCAAATATTAGTCGCCTGGCCCCCGTCCAAGACCTCGCAAGCATCTCGCCCAGTGAATAGTGAGCAACCAGAAAATATTCACCAGAAAGATAACCCCATGCTCCCACATCCTTCTACGGTGCCACCCATGCAACGCACAATTTATTCTGTCCTTCACATTCTGCTCCTTCATCTTGTAGCCATCATCATCACGAACTTGCCCCGTTGAGCGCAGGCGATGCCGCTCCAGAGTTGGTCTTGCTCTTCGTCTTGAGCGTCAGGGGGAATGGGTAGTCATCAGGATCCTCTTCCTCACTGTGGCAACAGTTAGCATTGCTTCATCTGACCCAACATGAATGCCCTCCAGAGTCGGGGCTAGCAGGAAAATTCACTTACGGGAGCTTCCACGCTATGTAGTCCTCGGTGCTGAGGCCCTCCCTTCCTTCTTGCAGACTGGCAAAGTCTCCAGGCGTCATCAGTCCCGATCGATCGCGCGGGCTACCCGGTTCACTCAACGGCCGTGAGATTTTGGCGTCGTGAGACCCAAAGAAATCGGGCTCCTCGTCTTCCTCGTACGCGTTTGGATACGCCCGGCGAAGAGCGAGTTGGCGCGCCTTCACATACTCCATACCCATGCGCTTCCAGTCCAGCAGGTCACTAAGCCGCTCCGTTCGGTTGCGCTGGTTGATGCGTTGACGTTTGCTCTTCTTGGTGAAGTCGAACATGTAATCAACCAGCTGGTTGACTGAATCATCCACGCCCTTCATCCGTCGATCTACAATGTAGATTCCGTAGTCGGCCGCGTTCTCAATCAGCTCCTCCATGTAGCACCCGAAACCTGACAGGTTCGTGGTGATGCTGGGCACGCCCATGACAGTGCATTCGGCTGGGGTGTAGCCCCACGGTTCATAGTACGAGGCGAATACACCCATGTGGGTTCCGCGGACGAAATCATCATAGTCCAAAGGAAGTACGGGGTTAGCTGAGTTCAAAAACTCGGGGTGGAAGACGACCTTGACGCGGTCCGACGAGTGGTTGAAAAGCTGGCACCGTCGAATCTGGTTCAAGACGGGATCTTCGGCGTCGTTGACCATGTTGTGCGTCACAATGGGAGGCAAATTGCTCCTCTTCATGGCGAATAGCCGACGGCGAAGCATGATCTTGTCAGATGCAGACAGCAGGTCCTTATCGTCTGGCATGTCTTGACCATCGTTCCAAGCAATGGATCGCTCAAAGAGCTTCTTGCCCACGTTCTCCTCGATTGTCTTGATTGTATCGTGCAGCGACTTGATGACGGCCTGTCCCTTGAGCGCCTCGACTGTCAGAGATTGCGTCTGCGCAGGCAAGATGATGAAAGCGACGACCGTCACCGTAGACCCAGCACTCTTCATCTTGTGGTTGAGCCGAGCCAACGATTCGATGAACATATCCACACCCTTGTTGCGATACTCGTACCGTCCCGCAGTGAAGAAATAGAGGGTGTTCTCGGGGTCAAAGTCATTGTGGCCGTAGAAGTGACCCCGGACGAAGTCGTTGATTTTTGTCTTGGAAACCTGGTGCAGGTTCTGGAACTCGTGGGTGGCAGAGAACTTCTTGACGTTCAAACCGTTGGGCAGGACACCGTCGGGTTTCCGCTTCAGCAAATGCTCGCTCTCGTAGGCGGTGATATGTGAGACGGTGGTGAAGACATCAGCTGCGTGTGCCGCACCTCGTTCTATGCAATAACGGTGGTAGATGCCGCGCTTTCCAGCCTCGGCGTCTACGTCGAAAAATTGCAGGTTGTTGTAGAAGTCGACCGATCCGGCGCACAGGTAGCGACCGAGAAGGGTTGCGTGGGTAGTGAAGATTGTGGTCACATCGATGCGGCGCTTCTTGCACAGAGGGAGAGCGACACCGGCCAACCACTCGTGGAATTGAACAATGACGGCGCGCTTTTTCTCGTGGTACACATACTGAAAAGAAGTACAGCTATTAGCATGCTATAACCAAGCTGGGAGGAGGAATCTGGTGAGAATCGCATCTCATTATACATACCTCACCAAGGAACCATGCGACAATGTAGCCAAACACAATTGCCTCGTTTGTCTCGGAATCGCCTGGGGGAGACGGGATACCGGCAACGGACCACAGATCGCCCTTCCACTCATCCAGCCACCCGTAGCCAGTACTAGTGTCAAACAGGAGGACACGAGGAGCACCGTCTATCAGCCACCGACCGTATAGTGTCTTGATGCCTCTGTCGTTCATGGATTTGATGGTGGCAACCATGGCCTGGTCCTTTGGCTCCAATTCTTCTACCTCGACGGCGGCCGAAGCTCTGTTGAGTGGCCCCAACAACGTGTAAGCAGAGCCATATTCGGCGGTTGTAACTTGAGCTTTGGACTTGAGGACCGAGTAAATACCACCCACTGCAGCAATCAATCAGTCCATAGCCAGAAAATCCGTCTCGGAAGCAGGGAAAGTTACCTCGATTGGCGACCTCGGTAGCTACCTCAAAGAGGAGGTGGTTTGCGACATCGCGCGTGCCCTCTGCCATTGTTCAATTGGGGCTTCCGTACAGGAAGCTGGAGCTCTTGGTGAAAGCTGCGGCGATTTAGGAGAGGATGGCAATAAGCGGGAATCAGAGTGGGTAGGAGGAGAGGAAGATGGGGAGAGACAGGGTTGACGTGACCAGAATCGGGCACTAGAAAGAGGGAAGAAGAAGGAGAAGAAGAAGAAAGAGACGAGAAGAGAATGAGAAGAAGAAGGGGAATTAGCAAAAAAGCACACGCCCTCCGGTGCAGGCAGCTCGCTAGCTAGCTGATATTCTGAAATGCGTTGAAAGCCGAGGGCTGGCGGACAGGCAGGTTGACTCTCGTCCCTCTCTGGAAGCTCGGCGACGCTGCGATGGGGATGGAGGGATGAGGACTGGGGGCGAGTGGGGCTCTGCGGGAGGGATGGGCGAAAGAAAGACGAGAGAAGCGCGGAGAGAGAGAGGGTGGGTTCGGTCGGTGTGGGGACTGGTTTCTATTTTTTTGGGACTGGGGGAGGAGAAGCTGTGGTCCTGTCTTGCTCGCCCCGGGCGCGGGCTGGCTGGCGGGCGGGCTGTTGTAGCTGGCGGGGCAACGACGACTTGACCTGGCCTGGCCTGGAGAGAGAGAGGGAGAGAGGCAGATGGAGAGGGAAGCTAATCAGACAAAAAGACGACGATCAAGATGTGGACGAGTGCATCAATTGATTGCATCAATTGATGAGCAGATGGACGGGAATGGGAGAGACGGGACGGTTGGGTTGCTTGTTTGCTCTCCGCGCAAACGGCTACATTGGTACTTTTAGAAGAGCTTCCATCCCAGCTGGGCTCAACAATTACGTCACACTAGCCGCTTATGTATGTCCACATCCATGTCATGTCATCCCTCACCACCACCGTCTCTCCACACTGCTAGACTCTCGTGACATCTGCATCTCTCTCTCTTCGCTCTGTCTCCAGACATCTCTAGCCTCATCATCTCTTGTGCCCTAAACCAGCCCTGCCCCTCTTCTCCTCCAAACCAGCTTGTTAGTTTCTGCCAAAACGCCACAATCCACCCCCTCCCCTCCTTTCCCCTCTGTCTCTCTTCCGTCATCGGCCCTACAAGCCTGTACATTCTTGACGGCCCTGCACTGCACTGTACACATCTACAGTACATACTGTGTGCATGCAGTCAATTGATCAGCAAATCCGCGCGTGACCCGGACCCATCTCCAGATTCCCCCCTTCGTCTCGTTTCTCCACCCGTCTCGCCCGCTCATCCCGTCAATCATTGTCTCCATTCGTGTTGATGTTCAAAAGACCGTGACAATCACCTGCCCACACTGTCTGCGGTTTTCTTTGATGACAAACGCCACAGGCTGCAGTGGGGAGTGCTGCGCATGAATGGGTATGCAGGGCTCCATGCAAGAGCAATCAATCGACGCAATCAAATGAAAAACATATCAAGCATCTAATTTTAGTGGTTTTTTCCCTCAACGGTTTCACAGATTGGGGGTTGGGGTTTGATTGGTTTAATGATTTTGGTTGAAGTACACGTATGGATGGATGAGATGGTAGGTATCATGGGTAAACAAATGCAACAAGACGGGGAACATAGGAAAGAAGACGAGATGTAAGAAGAGAAGAAGAGAGAAAGAAAAAAGATGCAGCGATGCAATCGCATTCACCAAGCCTACCCATCCCTATCCACCACTGGCCCACCACCAGCCCCTTGTCTCCGTTGCACATCCGCCAGCAGACTGCCAGACGCAAACTGCCTATCCTCGCTCATATCCAGCATAGGTCCTTTAGCCTTGGACCCGTCCATGACGCCCCTCCCGCGCCCGACAACTGGGCGATGGTTCTGCCCGAGTCCCGCAGCAGCAAGAAGTCCGCCCCCCGTGAAGGCGTTGCGGTCATCGCCGGGAGCCCCCGAGTGGTTGTTGACCGTGTACGCAGCCAGTCCACCCTTCAGCGATCGCGTGCGCTCGTGCCCGCCAGTGCCGTACGTGCCATGAGCGTGTCCACCTCCACCCCGCGAAGTGCCAGGCCGCCCACCACGCCAGTCCGTCGAGGATGGCACTTTGATGGCTTCCTCTACCGACGTTGCGCTTTCCACGAGGGGACCTGCATTCGCCCCGGGTGCAAAGCCTTTGCCTTTGTTGCGATGCTGAGGAGGTTCGCGGTATTGAGGCGTCAGATCCACCAGAGGCCTGGGCTTTGCCCGTGTTGACACGCTGCGTTGGATGTCGCTCGACGTGCGTCGGTGGTGGGTGCTGTTTACTGACGCTCGTCGCTTTACCCCACTGTTTTCGCTGGCTGCGGCGGCGGCGGCCATGGCGTCTATGTTGCCTACGAGCGAGGGACCTTCTGTGAAGGGACCCGAGTTCTTTTGCTCCCGCTCCTGCAGTGCCTTTTGGCGCGTGGTATACGTTCGTCCCAGGAGGCCCGTGGAGGCGAATGTTTCTTCGGCTGGCGTGGACGAGCTTTCGGTGAGTGACTTGGACGGCTCGATGGGGAGAGAGGGGACATCGTTGATCAGAGCACCACTGCGTTCGAATGCTGCGGGTGGTGGCTTTTTGCTTCTGACAGACATTCTTCTGGCATGCATTGCCTTGGTGTCTGCCCGTTGCAGACCCGTATTGGGCGTAGGGGTCGCTGCTGCACCCAGATCTTTCCCGAATGAATCCATGTCAAAAAGTGGCTGGAACGAACCCAATTGGTAAAATGACCCTGCAGAGGCATTGCGATTGTGAGACGACGTTCCATTCTGCTCTAGAGCGGAAAGCGCTTTCGCGTTGGCGAGTATGCCGTTGGCCGGTTTGGTTTCGGCCGGTTTGGGTTTCTTGAGTCCCTCGCCCATGACGTGCTTGAGATGCCAGCTCCTCCATACTTGTACAGCATCCAGAAATCTAGTCGCCGTGGCAGAATCGTTGGTGGAAAAGAAGTGAACGTATCGAGACTCGTCTGAGAAGATGTTGGATTTTTGCTGACTCTTGACCGCATAGCAATGTTTCTTGGGTGGCTTGATCTTGCCCTGTTTCTTTTTGGTGGGTGTATAAATGTCGAAATCAGACAAATGGCAGATGTTTTCAAAATCCTTTGACGTCTCGTTTTTCATCAATCCTAATTGTCCATCGGGTCGAAGACTGATGTATCGCTTATTCCATTTGCCGGGCCTTGAAGAGTGATGAAGGTAGCAGCCAACCCCCTCGGGCTTTTTGTCGGGCACCTCGTTGGACACCAGATGACTGCGATCATGTCCTTGGTAGGCGGCATTGACTATCTCGAGGTCATTCTGCATGTCGCTGTCCCACGAATTCATAATGTCGCGCACGTGTTCGTACAGACGCACGGGGCGCTGAACGCCAACTTTCTGGAAATTCTCAATGAAGATATCGGTCCTCGGATTGATGGCTTCAGTCATGCAAAGTGCGGCAGACTTTAGCAAATCTTGAGCCGTTGTATCCGGTGTGACGGGCAAAAGAAACTTCTTTTTATTGCAGATGATAGTGACTCGCTATTCGACTGGTCAGTACGCGGAATACAGATGACATGTTGAGAAAACATAGGTCAGCACATACCCGATCGCCAGCGTTGACAGCGGAGATGGGGGCGTCGATCCCCAGGACAGCACCACCCCCTCCTGCTTTGATGTTTTCCATATCCCTGTCCTCTTCGATGTTCTGTTGAAGTCGAGCGCTGCTGCTAAGGATGGCGGGCGGGCTGCTGGCAGGGGATGCCAGGTGGTCATCTTTCCTACGACCGAACATGCCAAAGCCTCTGCCTGCACGCTGAGGAGATTCAGGGGAGGACTGTGCCTGGGCTCTGCGCTCAGCCTCCTCCCGCTCTTTTATTCTCTTTGCGCTCTCCACCTTTTGCAACCGCTTTCCACGCTCTTTCTCTTCTTGCTGTCGTTGGACGAGGGCAACCTCCTGAGCCTCCTTGACCGCCAAAAGACGCGCTTGCTCTTGCTGCTCCTCTTCCTCTCTGCGCTGCTGCTCCTGTCGCTCGCGCTCGGCTTGCTCGAGTTGCAATCTCTCGCGACGCTCGGCGTCCTGCTTCTCGCGCATGCGACGATGGCGCTCGGCTTCATCTTGCATTAGTTGCTTGGCCTCGTCACGAGCGGTCCGGGGCCGCGAATTCGAGTGGGGAGGGTTGGAGGCCGATGGTGGAGGATCTGCTTTCACTCGAGAGCCACTGGGAAGGCGAGGTCGCACATGGTCTGTAGGGGGCGGCGCCTGGGGAGAACTCAAGGCGCGGTAGCGGGGAGGCGCAACAGGAGTGGTAGCTGCGGAGGGCAGAGGTGGAACCTGGACAGTGGCCGAGCGAAGAGGGGGACCTTTTGGAGCGTGGGAAGTGGTGGGACGACGGTGGTAGCGTGACATGCTCCTAGCCAAGGGGGCTTGAGCAGCGGTAGACGGCGCTTCGACGGGAGGTACAGGAGGCATTGGAACGGAAGAGAGATCCTCTTGGTGTTGTTGTTGGTTCGCATATGCAGCAGCAGAAGCCGAAGTTATGGCTGGCACGGGCGGCAGTTGGCCATGGTTGGTCGGTTGGGCGTGGTTCGCCCGTCGCACACTGCGATATCGAGAGAATTTGGGCGGAGGCGTGTCCGCGGGAGCTGTCTCGGTGGCCATGTACGGGAGTATGCTGTGCGCGAATGCGGAGCGTATGTATGGCTATGTGTGTGTATATGCAGGTGGGTGCGTGCTTGATGTGTGATGCGAAGCGCGAGGCGTGACGAGCAAACTCAATATGGGTGTTTGTGGTGTGGATGGTGGTCAAAAGGAAGCAAGGGACAGGTCGGGTCCATGGCAGTCGAGGTGGTTGAGGAGGAATAAGATTGAGTGTCGCACGACATGTGGCACAGGATGGAGGAGGAGGATCGCGAAGGAAAGGATGGGCAGTTGCAGGGGCTGGCTGGCTGGTGGTGGTGGTGGGGACGAGCAAGCAGCAAGTAGGGGGTTACGACCAGTCAGGAAAAGGGTCTGCTAGACTCAGTCCCCCCTCAGATATATTGCTCTCCCCAGCATGCTCTTCGGTGGCAGATCCCGAGCCTGGCTGACCCGTCATCCGGCTTAGCATAGCATGCGGCATCTATCCAGCACACGACATCAAGTTTTGGCCGTTGATGTTTACCTGCTTATGCGCATACAGTGCATACGTACATGGACGTGGTGGAGAACAAAGGCCGGCATCTGTTCCGTTCGGTGGCTGTTCCTGCAGGAAATAGCTCCCTTCTAGCCTTCTAGTGCCCCGCATCAAACACGCTTGCTGTGTTCCGAGAGCCGCCCGCAATATCCATCATCATCATCACCATCATCTGGTAGCTTTACATCTAATTATACATACATGGTATTCAAACCTCACACTGCTACACACACTACTACTACATTACACTCGAATCCCACACACCATACTTACTTACACATGCATCCAATTCAAACTGGCAATGATTACAGAAGACTACGAGACGAGGTAGAGCTGCTGACAATGAGGCAATATGTGATTTCCTTTGTGGGTAAAAAAAAATAGTAGAAAAAAAAGGAGAGTGGTGAGTACAGAAAACACTAGAATAGCATCTGGAAGCACAGGGCCAATTTAGATAGAAAGAAGAAAGGAAAAGGGGAAGAACAAGAAGCAATGGTGATTGATGAGTGCATGTGAAGCGCAGGACAAAAGAACAAGAATATCAGAACCAGGCCAGAAACCCATGCTTGACAAAGAGCCCTTCCGAAACAAAAACTCCCCGCCTTACCCCCCGCAGAAGCAATGTCAAGAGCCCACGCAAAGCCCGCTGAGTGTGTGTGTGTGCTGGTGTGTGCCGCCCGTGTCCTGTACTTTTTTTTCGTCCCAGGCTTTTGTTTGAAAGTTGAAGTCCCCCGAACACCACCGCTGCCCGTTCCGAAGGTATCAAACAAACCGTTACCGAGAATCTCCAGTCTATTTTCTCCCATCCATTCAATGCCAAAAGCCTGCAAATGCCGCAAAGATATCTGAACCATTCTTAATACAGCGCCCCGTAGATCGATCTCGCCTGCACCGGCTTGGCCCCGAAAAAAACAAACAAACACTGTCCCATGCAAAAGTGGTCGAGCTAGATATAGGCCGAGTAAGATCGAGGTAATATGTACTTTTTTTTCTTCCCTTACGCCGGCGACTTGTTGGCCGCGTTCGAGTTGCTGCGGCGGTCGTCGTTGACAGAGAGGCCACCGAAGCCAGTCGACAGGAATGAGAAGGGGTCGTTGCGTCCATCACCTCCGTTGACAGCCCCCTGGGTTGGGTAGGGGTCGGCGGAAGAGAAGGCCGCTTCGGCAGAGCGGCTGTCAAAAGGAGTGCCGTGCATGCCTCCGTTGGGTGCGTACTGACCGCCCATGGGAGCATAAGGGCTGGCTCCGCCAATACCGGACGGCAGAGCATAAGAGCTCGGGGGTCCGGCGAACTGCTGCGCAGGGAAACCGCCGCCAGCAAAAGCACCAGCACCATATGGCCCAGCGCCAGGATTCGCGCCCATGGAAGGTGGTCCCATGCCGAAGCTAGACGGAGTGTCCATGGGAGAAGGGAAAGCAGAGTCCGCGACGACTGCAGCTCCGGCACGACTCGCGCCACAGCGGAGGCACTGTACGTTCTTGGCAAAGTTGTGGTAGCCGCATCCATTTTCGCCGCACTTCCAGTCGCCAGCACGGAAAGGAACAGCTCCGTTTCCTCCACGCATGTGACCGTGACCATGTCCACCGTGACCCATGCCATGGCCGTGGCTGTGACCGTGGCCGTGTCCCATCTGGTGTTGAGGAGGGCCCATCATGTTAGGGTGTCCGTAGCCATATCCACCACCATAAGCCATTGGGTCACCCGCCGGTGGGCCCTGCATAGCTGGGAAAGAGCAGCGGAAGCATGCAGTTCGACGTTGAAAGTTGGAAAAGCCGCATGATGGGCAGTTCCAGTCGCCCGGGCGAGGTCGATTCTTGCTGGGGGGGAATGATGTAAGAATATCGGCGGCGCGGTCAAGGACGCGGGTAGAAGAGGGTGAGACCTCGATGGCCTTCTCGTTGAGGGCACGGCCGTTCATACAGAGACTCTCGGCAGCCTACACAGGGGCGGAATGTTAACTGAGTGTCATGTGGTACTCCAACGTGGGTGACTTACCTCCTCGTGGGATGAGAATAGGGCGAAGCCTGAGCCAGTAGGCTTGTGCTGGTCAGGGGTACGTAGGGTCCAAAAGGCAATGGGCCGGCCACCAAACTGGGTGAACCAGCTCTCCAACTCGGATTGGGTGGTGTCGTGGGGAAGTCCGCTCATGTGCAAGACTTTGCTTCGCTCGGAGAGGAAGGCACGCACGTCAGCGCGGGCATCCATGGGCTTGGTGAGCACGTCGGGGTGGTCTTGGGTGGGTGTAGATTTGCGGATCAAACCTCGGAGGACGCGGGCGAGGGTGACGGTCTCTTCCATAGCCCGTCTCGGAGAGGCGGGAGCTAGAGCTTGTAGGTGGAAAGGGAGGTTGTGCTTGATGGGTGCGGAGGATTGAACGGGCTCGACCTCAAGAGCGGCACAAATGTTGGTCAAAGCACTGGAGCCGAAGGGAAGCGACTCGGGGTGGTGCGCCTGCCAGCGTTGGTATTCTGTCCGCAAATCGAAGGTGCGTGAATGCTGGAGGTAGGGGGGAAGCACAACGGCCTTGTCGCGGGCTTCACGGGGCAGCTGCACCCGCAAATCCCACGAATCGAGCGTGACGAACGCAAAGTCGAAGTTTTTTGGGATCAAGTGTTCCTGAGCAAACGCATCGAAGCGGTTGATTGCGTCACGGAAGGTCCCGGCATTGCGGACCTGGTCCCAAGTGAGAGTGGTCAAGCTCGCTGTGGGGGGAAAAACAGAATACGATCAGCGATTGCTTGGGCATACTTTTTTTTCACATAGACAGAGATGAAAACAGAAATGTGGATGGCAGTAAACAGGAGAGGAGGACAGAGGACAACGTACTGCACAAAGCGGTAATTGGCGTGTTGACAGGCTTTACAAGCACGCTTTCTCGGTGGATCTACGGTTCCAGGTCAGCGGATGCGAGGGGGTAGATGGTGATGGCTGATGGCAAGCTAGGTGCAGGGGAAGCGGTGGGTTGGTCAGCACTCACCTCTTCGCAGGTTTTGGCGTCCAGCAAAATCCAAGCCAGCTCAATGACCTCTGCCGAGTCCTTGGTCACGTATACACCATGCTCATCGCAGGTTGTGTGGGCGTGGATAACAAGATAGCGGTCGAGGCCGGGAAGGGGACTCTGGGTGGCCATGCTGGTTGTCGATGGAATGGAAGCCGGTCGGGATGGAGACGAGGCGGAAGAGCTTGGGATGGATGGATCGAGGGACGGCAAACTCGTCAATTACTATTCTCGAGTGATGTCTCGCTTTCGGCCGAACGAAAAAGGGGCAGGCGTGGACGGCGATGGATAGGAGGGCGCGATGGGATGCGGACGACGAGGTGGAGTGACGGACGGAGGAGGGGAAGTAGACGGAGCAGAGATGGAGAAGCACTGGGGAGCCAGCCAACAGAGCTACAGCAGCAGAGCACGGTAAAGGCGTGAGCGAGGGACGGAGGGGGGAGGAGATGGGATGGCAGAAGAGAGATGGATCACAGGAGGACCATATGAGAGGGAGGAAAAAAGTAAAAGAGGTCGCTCGTTATGATGGGGAGAGAGAGAGGTTCGAGTTGAGGTCCAGGAGACGGGGGCCCGTGCCAACGACGAGCCAGTCAGTCAGTGAGCTGGTAATATCTAACTAAGACGGTCCCTTGTAGGCTTTGGTGCTGGGATCTTCTGCAACGATTTTCTAGAAGAGTGAGAGAGAAAGGGAAGCAGGACGAGGGGGAGCTAAAGCCACCTTGCAGCCAATGGAGCGCGAGAGCCATGTAGTATGCGCCGAGGGAATTGCACCGTGATGCATCCATCTGTTTGTTGTCCATTCATTGACTATGATTCACCCTTTGCATGTTGACTTTCCCCTCTTCTCTACTACCTCACCCTTCCTTTCTGTTCATTGCTTGCCTCACTCAAGTTCAGATGGTTGGAATTGTGGCATTGAAGCTGTGTCGCTATTACCCTATTACCCCTATACACAGTCCAGGGCTTTATTCGCTGTATGGAGGTTGTTTTTTGGATGCCAAGGAGGGAGAGGAGAGGGGTGGTGAGAAGAAGCAGAGGGCGAAGAAGAGAAGAAAAAAAAAGGCATGGAAGTTACTGCATCAGCCACCAGCCAGCAACTTCATTGATCATCATCATCATTACCACACATGCGCCCGCCGGAACAGTCTCTCGCGTATAAACCATCCGTCTCGCGGCGCTCGTCTTGAGGTTGTTGAAACCAGCGGGCAGGCAGCGTAGAATATTCCGAAATATTATTAGCTCGGCTCACAGCTCCCGCGCGCCGACGACGGTGGTGCATCCACTGCATGGCTTGCTTGCCTGCTCTCTGGCTTGCGTGGCTCTGGCACTGGCGCTGGGCGTCTCCATGCCATCCATGTCCATTCTTCTGAAACACTTGCTTGTCCTTGACCCTTTTGCGGCTTTGTGAATGTTATGACGAGTTGATGCTTGCATTGATCCCGTCCAGCTGCACCAGCATTGGTTTATGCCCACGGCCGCTGTTGATATCCTTCTGTGCCTACCCGCGGAGCCACGCGTCCTGCCTGCATTGTCCCCGTCCATGCATCAACGACTTCGAGTGGAAGAGTCGGCCATCAGCAATGGAAATGAAAAGCACAGAGGTTCGTGCAAAAGTGCTGATTATCACTCATCGGTTAATCATCCCTCGTCTTGGAGGAGCCATGGCGAATCACACCATATATAATGGCAGTATGGTGGAGGTTGGGAGGGGAAAGGTGTCGGACGATGCCGATGACCAGAGCAAAATCAAAACCATGGTATGTATACTACGCCGAAAAAAAAAAGAATGTTGACGACTGTGGGATTCGAACCCACGCGGGCAAAGCCCATGAGAATACTGTCTCTAATGCAGAGACAAGCTTGCGCTTGAGTCACACGCCATAACCACTCGGCCAAATCGTCGGGTGTTACTTGAGATGAAAGCTCTAGTACATATGATAAAAAGCCCGCAATTAGTATGAATATACATGGGCTTTACACTGATGCAGCGGCTTCAAAATTCAACCACAGCATAAAAGTGGGGCGGCACAGATCTCAAAGTAAAGACTACTACGATAGTGGGGCAATGACTGATGTTTTTCGCTAGAGAGAGCTGGTAGCATGTAGCAACATCACGGCCTGTATGTCATTGGATTGACTGCGCATTTGACGTACGTGACGTCCCAACGAACCAGTGGAGATGTACGGATGTTAGTTTGGAAATAATGGTAGCTGTATATACCAATCTATTCAGCTACTCATCAGAGAATAATGTTCCCAGAAATCAGAGATAAGCCGGCTAACTGCTTAAGCAGTTGAGAAGAACATGTCCGATTTGTAAGGGCCCAGACATACATGTACTATGTCTATCATGGATCATCATTTTCCACAGCAACCTAAGCGCATCCGTGCTCAAATGAATAGCTGGAAACAGGAACGAAACCAAGTAGTATCATCATGTTGTGCTGCTTTCCATCCCACCCGTATAATGGGTACAAGCTGCTTAGGGCTCAGCGAATTTTGGCTACACATCAATTGAGCAAATGCATGAGCCCACTGAAAGAGCTTAGCTTACCAGGACTGCTAAGTAAATCGAAACTTGCCATGTCACCGTAGACGTCGAATATACTATTTCTAACAAAGGAAACAACAACGAATAATTTGGACAGCTTGAGCATCCTACACTAATAATAATAATATATAAGTGAATTTCCTACACAGTAGTCTTGAGACTAAGCAAAGCGGAAACCCATCACGGTCTACACCAATCTCTCGATGAAGAAACATCATTTGAAAGCAACTGACAGGCCACGGCAGCAACTTCCCCAAGACTCCATCTGGGACTGGGAAATACAGAATTGTGTATATCTGTCTGAGCTATGGCTCTATTCTTCGATCCTGTTTCAACTGCGTTTGTCGGATTTGTACGCGCTATCAATTTGCCTTGCCCCTGCCGATCTGCGGCACGTCACCTCCGATACAAAGTCTCCGTGGAGCCTTCGTTTCTCTGTGCTCACATCCAAAATGCACCTGATCTGTCTCTCTACTGCTTCAAGACCTCGAAACGTCGATCCTAGGATGAGGTGGAGTGGATGGGCGGGTGGAACACGAGCCCGCGGGACACAGCAAGCAATCGAATGAAGCTCGCGCGAATCCGAGCCAGAAAGCAGCCGTCGTTTGGTTGGTGAGCGCCGGTCGTTACCCCAACGGGCACTAGGCTTACTCGGAGCTGTCTTCTGCTTCTAAAATTGTCCTTTTACAGCAGGAGGACAGGAAGACAGGAGGACAGGCCGCCAGCCTATCATTTAGTTGAAAACGGGCGGTCGATTGAGGATACATATAGATATTTTTGGCTAGACAGGTGCTTAGTATGTGTGTTGGTACTTGGGTGGTTAGCTGTGTAGCTAAGTAGTTGATAACCCCTGAATCCACTCGACTACGGTGTACTTGGATATCGCCTCGTACATCCATATTTCGATCATCACGTACTCAACTACATGTACCGAATTTCTTTTTCTCTCCTCATTATTCAAAACCCTCCACCTTCATTACCCTCTCTTTGTGGCCGATCCTTATTGTTTTCAGTGACATAATTGTCTGGGCAGCGTCGCTTGTTTCCCCTCAAGAAGTCTTCGCCCCCCGCGATGCGGAGATAGAGGCACAGGTGAGTGAGAGTTTAAAGTCCGGGCCCTGCACCATGACAAACCCAATCAACCACCCATACATATACACATTGTCCCCTGGAGTCAGCTACTTCCCTTGATCCATTCTACATTCTACCACATGTGCACGACATTCACCCAGATTGCACTTGACCCGGCTATGCCAATCAACCCCCGCTGACCAGCCAGTGATCCCTCGCGCCGTGCATCATACATATTCACATACATACATCCATACCCACCATGGGCTTCATGAAGCTGTTCCGCCGACCAAAGAGTCCAAAAAAGAACAAAGCTCTCGCCCGCCACAACGACGCCCAGTTCCAATTCCCCTCCTACACGGGCCCCGACCAAACCCGCCGCCTCGACGACAAGATTCTGCGTCTCATCTTCCAATATGTCTGCCTGCATTGCGCCGACGAATCCCTCGAAGCGAGCGAGGAATCCGGCTATGAGGGCTGCATGAGCTGCGACATGCGCGACCTCGCCCATTGCGCCCTCACCAAACGCCAGTGGTACTCGGTCGCCGCTGGTTTACTGTAAGTTTCTCCCGCCTCCGCCCCTCGCCTTTCCTCCACAACTCCCCATCCCCCCCCCCATTCTCGCTGCCACACATCGGCTCATCGCGCGCAACGTATAGCTACAAGAGCATCCGCATCGATGCCGTCCACTACTGCGAAATCGAAGAAATCTACGCCGACCAGCGACGGCGCAAGTCCCGCAATGGCGAGGAATTGGACGCACCAGCCATGCGACTGCAGCAGCTGTGCCGTACTGTGCGCGCCAACGGCAACGTCGGATCCCGCGTGCGTTTTTTGAAGCTACCTTACATGACCCGCGAGTCCTGCAAGGCTGATTTGGCCCGCACCGTGTCTGTCTGCCCCAGCCTCGAATACGTCGATCTTCCCGAAGGTTTCTACAACGGCGACCCCGCCTGCCATACGCTGCGCCAGGAATTGCAGGCACGATGCCCCAAAATTCGCAAAATGAAATACAACGAGGGGAGCGAGCAGGCGCTAGAGACGCTGCTGCATGGCTACTGGCAAGAGCTGCGTATAGTCGACCTCAACGGCATCCAAATTGAGCCTACCACGGTGCGTCGGGCATTGGGCGTGCTTCCTTGGTTGAGCGAACTCAGCTTTTCCCACATTGCCTGGATGAACGACAGCTTCTTTCACTCAGTGCCTGGAGTCCCTGATTTTCCTGCCCTCGACACGTTGAAGCTGAATAAAATCCACGGCTTGAATGCCGATGGACTGGTTCACTACCTCTCCAACCCCGTCAACAGCGACACGCTGCGCACGTTGAGAATCAAAGACTGTTCTCGGTTACCCGTGGCGTCCCTGCATATCATCCTTCAATCGGCCAGGAACCTGACTTCTCTGGAGTTTATTGCCACCGTCTCATCGTCTCTCCCGATCGACCCTATCCCACCTATGGCCTCACGCAGCCTTGTCAAGATGAACTACGAGATTGTCGCCAATTCCACGAGTCAATCGTACTCCCCATCGACTTCCTACTATCAGTATCTTACAAACTCTCTCATGTCCAACTCGCTGCCTGCTCTCCGTCAACTGTATGTGCGCGATCCCGACTTTCCAGAATCGCTTACTCTCGCACCACCTATCCGACCGTTCGCCGACGCCCCTCCCTCGCAAGGTTTCAACCAGCCTCTCGAAGTCTTCTCCAAAGGTCTCGACGAGCTCGAGTGGATCTTCACCTCCATCATGCCCGCCGACGGATTTGGCAGGCGAGCCTCTATGGTTGGTGGGAGACCGCTCAGTAGCTACAGCGCCAACAAGGGCATGGGGCCGCAATGGGGTGGCGATGCAAGGCGGAGTGTTGTAGTACCAAACGGATTCGGCGGGTTTCTGGCCATTCCTGCGGAAAATGACCGACCACGAAGCGCGGGTAACTTGGCTCCACCAGGTGCATTTGGTCACTCGCATTCGGCGTCTTTGAGTTCATTGGGAGGTGCTCCTCGTGCTAGCTGGATGCCGGGACATCAGAAGCGATCTTCCAGAGCTGATCTATGGCGGTAGACGTCCGCTTCGATTGTTCGTTTCGTTCACTGCTTCTGGTGGCGTTCAGCTTTCCATCTGGGCAAGACATCCACGGCATTTTCTGCTCTGTGAGATAGGCACGGAACCATGTACCACCTGCCTCCATTACTTCGATGCTCCCACTTATTACCCTTATCTTTCGACTCTTCGTTCAATACCCCTTTATTTTCATTATTTCGTGTCTTGATTCTCTTCACATGTTCGGGAATTTGGCGACGGAGTCTGCTTTTGACGCACGCCTCTTTCATTTGTCTTTTGAAGGGTGGGATCTGGTCTCATTTTCGGGAGGGATATCGGCAACTGGCTGGCTGGTTCGCAACTGGACAACAAAGCAATAGGCAAAGGTTTAGATGGGATGAGCTGGGATGGCAGCGATGAATCACGGAGACAAGAGACGGTATTCGGGGGCAAATCACGCACTCGAGACTGGAGATGGCACCATGATGGTCGAAAAGTGAAGAGGCCTCTTATCTATTATCTACACCTTTTCAACATTCAACAAGTTCCCAGTAGGAAACGCGGGGACCAGATGTGGATATATTGAATTGCTGAGAACCAGATAAAAAATGAGAAAAAGAAAATAATACAGACCAACGTTGGATCGACCATGGTTCTCGCCGCTTGTTGATTGATAATAACCGATGCTCTGGGTCGAGGGCGGAAGTGGGCTTGTCTGAACAGTTCAGAGGAAATACACGACCACGCATACACAACTCGGCGCGCGTCCATCAGTGATGATTACACCAAGCATTACTCATCCCGCCTAATGGCATATGTGCAGCTAACATGTGTACATGTAAGTGAGTCGGTCATGGGTGACACGATGTGGTACAGGGCCTGTTAGGTAAGACGTCTTAGCAAGCTTACTTAGTCACGGCATACATGCATTTGCTAAGTCACCTACCATGTTGTACGGATTGGCAGACAAATCGATGACCACCACCACCTCTGATGTCTTTCTTTGTTTTTGTTTTTTTTTTGTCTCTCCCCACTCACCTAGGTGATGGTTGAGCCAATGGAACAGCGATATTCGACTCTTGATCAGCTCACCCCACACTCGGCCGGAGAAACGAGTAGAAACAAGAGGACAGTACGAACGAAATCAAGCCCACCTAGCTAGTCAGTGTAGTGTGCATATGTACCTATTGCGCAGAGTTCAAGTTTCCTCTTGCCCTTTTGTGCCTCGTCTATCCCCAGAGGGACAGAGATCGGGCCGAGATACAGCAGAGTAATCAACCAATCGAGCGGCAACCCTGCATGCATGCGTGGCTGCATGATACCATGTGTATTCACGTACTAGACATATGTAAAGCATATGTGCACATGCGTGTAGCTTTGTATGTACAGGGTAGCTTAGCGAGAGATGTATGTAGGCCCAAATCAGGCAGTTATATGAGGAGGGGGGAGAGAAGAGAGAGTTGATTTTTTCCCGCTTTGGATGTTGTAGATGGAAACCGGTCAGTCGTTCCGTTGGGATCGTGATGGGATTCTTTCGAGAGCAAACAAGGCCATGGTCGTTGGTTTGAGCAGTGGAGAAAGTCCGGGCTGGGCCAGCTAGTTTGCTATCACGGGCTACTTCATAGGGCAGTCTGGTGGGGTTTCCAGAGCCGCCTTTCTGCTTATGCACACATTACAACCCACCCGCAACCCACTCCCCATCCACTTATCAAGCCGGTTTGGGCCTTAGAACTCGCTCCATCAGCTCAGTAAGCCCACAATATCCGTCAATTGGCAAATCACACAGCCCGCAGTGACGTATTGTCCCGTAGACAAAGACATGCACGTCACAGACTCCCTCAAGCACCCCTCATTAATAACGCAGTGCTCTGGCAAGCTCCAACCTGCAGGCTTTTCTTCACCAACGACTACTTGAACCCCTCCTCCCCCCTTCTCTGCCACTTTCTGTTCAGTCTTCTCATCTCTTCTCACTTCCATATACCCCATCAGTTTCCAAGTCTTTTCCCCAATCCCACATCTTCATCCAACATGTCTACCAAGATCCCCCAAGCCGAGGAGCTCAAGGACCTCTTCAACCTCAAGGGTAAGGTCTCGGTTGTGACCGGAGCTTCCGGCCCTACCGGCATTGGTATCGAGGCCGCTCGTGGTCTTGCTGAGTTTGGCTCCGACCTCGCCATCACCTACAACTCGCGTGCCGAGGGTGCTGAGAAGAACGCCAAAGAGCTCAGCGAGAAGTACGGCGTCAAGGCCAAGGCCTACAAGTGCGCCGTCGGCGACTACGCCAACGTCGAGAAGCTCGTCCAGGACGTCATCAAGGACTTTGGCAAGATCGATGTCTTCATTGCCAACGCCGGCAAGACGGCCGACAACGGTATCCTCGACGCCACTGTTGAGCAGTGGAACGAGGTCGTCGAGACCGACTTGACCGGTACCTTCAACTGCGCCCGCGCCGTTGGCCTCCACTTCCGCGAACGCAAGACTGGCTCTCTCATCATCACTGCCTCCATGTCTGGCCACATCGCCAACTTCCCCCAGGAGCAGACCTCTTACAACGTCGCAAAGGCTGGCTGCATCCACATGGCCCGCTCCCTCGCCAACGAGTGGAGAGACTTTGCCCGTGTCAACTCCATCTCCCCCGGCTACATCGACACCGGTCTGTCCGACTTTGTGCCCCAGGACATCCAGAAGCTGTGGCACTCGATGATCCCATTGGGCCGTGGCGCTCACCCCAAGGAACTCAAGGGTGCTTTCCTCTACTTCGCCTCCGACGCCTCCACCTACACCACTGTAAGTTTTTCCCCGTGAACCTCTCGTGTTTGGCAAGAACCTGTTCTAACATTGACGCAGGGCTCGGATCTCCTCATCGACGGTGGCTACACCACCCGCTAAACGCTTCGCCTACCCTTCGCACCGCAGTCTATTGATAGTACCCCACCATGTCACGAAAAGAACTGGAGGCGCTTTGTTTTTGTATACCATAGGCTGTTGACGACATATTTTTTTTGATATAATGATCCTTGGCTTTGTAAGCTGGGAAAAATAGTTTAATGATAACGCTTCGAACAAAATGTTTTGCTCCGTTTTCCTCCTTCGTGTATCATTGTTTTCTGACTGCGACGATGATTGCTAATACATAACTCGGCTCAGTCTCGCTGACCCCAAGAGCACGAAGATATATTTGATTGATCTCATCCCACCTTGGATGCTCGCCTGCCCCGCCTCTCCTGCGCCACAATCTACCTGGGTAACGTAAACCAAGATCTCGCACGATGAACGCTAAGCTCCATTGAGAATTAGCGTTGTACCTTGTTGACATTCCAGTGTCACTGCTCAACCACCACAAGAAGTTTTCTCTCCGGTCGTCATTCTCAAAGACTATAGAAATTGGCTCCTGAACGGCCAAATCATCACCACTCTCGTTATTCATCATGACTTGCACATGCAGATCCTCTCGCACACGCATATTCACGTACCCACCCCTGTGCCCATGTACGTGCTGATTGGTATGAACATGCGTTTGCGCAATATAAAATCCCAACTGCCGAGGTCTAGAGGGAGACGGACCCGGGGATTGTGAATGCTCGGATCGGGTCCTCTGACCGGGTCAATGGTCGTGCATGGTGGGAGGGAAGAAACTACGAGCACAGCGTACAGTGGCAAGCAAGAGTCCATGAAGTCATCCGACGAAAGCAAGGGAGGGAGATAGCCAGAGCAGGCGACAGGGCAATACATCGACACAACTTCACACCGTGGATACCTCGAAACGTGCGTAGTGTTGCTAGCTGCCTTTGTGCTACATCACAGCGTTTGTATGTGAGTGAGTGGTTAGGTAAGGTAGACTGTGGTCCTTACTCATACCGTTAGCAGGCATCATCACAGCTCAGATTTAAACGTATGCGTGCGTTTGTCTTTTGGCATTTCTTGCTGCGTCTGGCTGTATAAATATGCGCTTGTGGTCAGACCCTTTCACAACGACCACCGCCTCCACCACCACGCTGACTACCACTCCCTTCGAACCTCAATCTCAGCTTCACTGCCCGCTCCCTTGCATACCACTTGCAGACCTTGCTTCTCGGCCAGCATTCACGGTGGCATGAATCTTTGGGCGCTTCTCGTCGCCTTGGTGGCTGCTGCCGCGGCTGCTGTGGCATGTCCGGGATGCGATGCTCCTCTAGCTGAGCTCGCGCGTCTCGAGCAGCAGTACAATGATTCACTCGCAGGTGTATTCGACAATATTGGCGGTTGGGGCAGCAAGGCGCCTGGCGCAAAGGATGGGGTCATCATCGCGTCCCCTTCGACCGCGGAGCCCAACTACTTTTATACATGGACTCGGGATGCGGCACTGACGATGAAGATGATTGTCGACGAGTTTCTACTCGGCCGACCATCTTTCCGTGGCCAGATCAAGCTCTATGCTCAAACTCAGGCCATTCTTCAGACGGTCAGCAACCCTTCGGGTGCCCTGGGCTCCGGACGTGGTTTGGGAGAACCGAAATTCTACAGCAACCTCACCCGATTCAATGGACCTTGGGGGAGGCCACAGCGGGACGGCCCGGCCCTTCGAGCCACTGCTCTCATCACGTACTCGCGCTGGCTTCTCAACACCAGCGTCGCTGCGGACCGCAAAGAGGCTGACAGCATCTGGGATATCATCCAGAATGATCTCAACTACGTGGCACAGTATTGGAACCAGACTGGCTTCGACCTATGGGAAGAAGTTAGTGGCAGTTCTTTCTTTGCCACGGCTGTTCAACATCGCGCTTTGGTGGAAGGGGCTGCGCTTGGTAGACAGTTAGGCAAAGATGTGTCGGCTTATGAGTCGCAGGCCCCTAATCTTCTGTGTCTTCTGCAATCGTACTGGAATGGTCGATACATCACGGCCAACACCAACACTGAAACGGGATTCAATCGGACGGGGATCGATGCGGGGACTGTGATCGGTGTTATTGCCAGTATGTTGCAGACGACCTGTTTATTAGTATGAAGTATATCGCTAACATTCGTACAGCATATGACCCCAATGCCAGCTGTGACGACAAGACATACCAGCCTTGCTCACCACGCGCCCTGATCAATCTCAAAGCATACGTAGACGCCTTCCGAGAAGTCTACGCTATCAACCGCAACGTCTCCGCCAACGGTGCCGTCGCAACAGGCCGTTACACCGAAGACGTCTACTTCGGAGGCAACCCCTGGTATCTCACGACCCTCGCCGTAGCCGAACAACTCTACGACGCCAAATCGCAATGGACCCGCAACGGCATCTCCATCACAGACACCACGCTCCCCTTCTGGCAATCCATCTACCCCTCCGCAAAACCAGGGTCCTACCCCAGCGGCGCAAACGAAACGGCCACTCTCCTCTCCGCCGTTCTCTGCGCAGCCGACAGCTACGTAGCCAAAACCCTCGAATTTGTCCCGGAGAATGGCGCCCTCGACGAACAGTTCAGCCGTGAAAACGGCACCGCCGTTTCCGCCCGCGACCTCACATGGTCCTACGCCGCCCTCGTCACGACGCGCAACGCCCGCGCCGCCGCTCTTGGAAAAACCCAACAAGTCCCCTCCTGGAACGCCCCCTCCAACCCTACCATCCCAAACACCTGTCAACGGGGCTCCACACCAGGCATCTACACCCCGGCCATCACCGCGGGCGCTCCCCCAAACACGCCAAACTGCACCGTCCTCGTCTCCTACAACCTCAACGCTACGACTTTTTTCGGCGAGAACATGTTCCTCACCGGCAACGTGTCCGAGTTGGGCAGTTTCAACGCAAACGATGCGTTGGCCGGCAGCGCCTTGGGATATACCTCTACCCGCCCGCTCTGGACCTTCGTTGTCGAGCTGCCTGAACACGTCTCGCTCTTGTACCGATACCTCCGCGTTCGGCCGGACGATAGCATTGTTGCTGAGGTGCGGAATCGCACGGTGGTGGTTCCTGGTTGTCAGGCTGGGAATGGGACTGGGACGACTGTTGGCGAGTTGACGGTTGAGGATGCGTGGGATGGGACTGAGTAGATGGATTTGATGCATCTTTTTTCTCCTTTTCCTTATTAGTGGTTGGGCTGGTTGGAGCTCACTTCCTCTTCCTCTTCTTTTTTCGGGGGAGGGGAGGGGGGGTTTGTTCGGTCTTCTTCGGGGATTTGGTTCATTAAGAGGGAACACTTAATTGACTCAACACATGAAAACTCTTCTATATAGCATATCCAACCTGCTCTTAAACTTTACTCAAACCCTGCCCCCCTCTTGCCAAGAGATCCACCTTTCCAACCCAAGATTTCCTTTTCTAGCAATAATAATACTAACTCTTGTTCGTTTTTATTCGCTTTACTGATAATGCTATGCTGTTGGAGAGGGCGTAAGTACTCCTACTAACTTACCACTTTACTATATGCTATTAAAGTAGACTAGACGTGCATTCAAAAGCATAAGGGCTCTTCTGTTTCTTCTACACTCTTCTATTTCTTTTTTAGTGCTAGGAGAGAACATATTAGATGTAATATATTTCTATTTTTATTAGAATTGTTAGAAGATTGAGAAAACAAAGTACGCTGTTTTCTCTTCTGTGTGTATAGGTATGGGCGTGTATTAGTTAGAATAAAAGACCCAAGTAGGAAAGAGCACAAAGAGAATTCAGAAGAAGAAAAAAATAAAATAAAACCTGCATTTATATAGCTAAGCTAGCAATTATGTAGGGTTTAAAAGTAAATAGGATTTTTTTTTTTTGGTTTTTTGCGAAAAGTGAGATAGTTACTTTTTCTTCTTCTTCTTCTTCCTCCTCTTCGTTTTTTTTTAGAATAGGAAAGGAGGGAGGAAGGTTATTGATTAGTTAAAATCAATTCCTTACCAATCGTACATTCACACGTCAAGGTAGTGTCGACTAAGTCCAAGAGGGAGGGGGGATTTTTCCCATATTTTCTTTATTTAGGCAAGAAAACGAACGGAATGGGAGACGGGTAAGCGGTCATACTATGGAGTTGTGAAACTGAAACTGTTTGTGTATGTATGTATGTGTGGAGAGGGAGGTGTGGTGAAACTTGATGCGATACGCGACATGGGTTTGGTTGTTTTGGTCTGGATTGTTCGGTTTGGTTTAGTGTGGTGGCATGGTGTGATGGCGGTGCGGCGGGTTTGGGCGATATTTTTCTTTTTTTGTTGCGGGAATGAGAAGGATATGGAAGAGGAATATAGGGAAGAAAAAAAATTAAAGGGATGTTGTTTATGTAGGAGGAGGTGTAGGGGGGAGCTGTGATGATGTGCGATGTTTGTTGTCTGCGGCCCAAGTGTCACCACACATTAACTTTTTAATTCTGTGGTTTTTTGAGCGTGGTTTTGGAGTTTACATATCATGAAATACATCTGAGGAGTATTTACATCTAAGAAAGTATTAAGAACGCCATACACACACAATCCCATAGTACTCCACGTAGTGACCAACTCTCAACTCTTCATCTAGCACCCAATCCACCCAAGCAAGTTCACTTAGTCCAGCCTTACCCAACAACACGCGCGCTCGTCTATACCTTCCCTTCCCGCCCCGTTGTGTCGTTCGAGATCGGGGGTGGGGCATACCCTGGTATCTATGTATCGGAGCATCAAAGTCGTTCTTAGATAATGTGGTGGCGTGACTTTGTCACAATCTACATACGTAGGGGTGGGGTGATGATGATGATGAAATGCATTGATACATCCCCTCCCGTTTTCCTTCCCTGCGCTGTGGTCACTCTTTTCTTTTCTTTTTGTTGTTTTTGAGACTGCGACTGGTGCAATAAATAGCCGAAACTAGCTCGAGTTTGGAAGGGAGAAGTTTGATGCGTTGGTGGTGTTTCGCGAGGTTTTTGTTCTACTTAGCTTGGTTTCTAGGAAGGAAGACTGGAGGTATTTGTCATTACGTTCTTTCCTTTTTTTAGACTTTTAAGATGATGAATGGTCGAAGATTTGCGATTGGATTGGTCGACTTCTTGTTCCTCTCGCGTTCGTTTAGAAATAAAAAACACTAGGTCTATCTATATCCCATGTCACCTATGCATCCATCCTTTTGCAATTTCCCCTTTTCACTTTTTGACGCTCTGCTCTGGTTCAGGTCCAGATCTTGGTTTTGGTTTCGGTCTGATCCGCCGGTCTAGTCAAACCTCAGCCCGAAACTAACAGCTAGATGTGACAGTGACAACTTCAGCCCTTTTCGGGTCGACGACTATCCACTATACATAGATACTCGGATGATATGGCGGGTTCTTCTCTCCCTCTAGTCCCCCGCATATGTCACACAAAGTATATTAATTATAGAAATTTCCACGACAGTGAGGTTTGATGAAAAGGAGATGAAAGGGACGGGAGTGTAAGTGGCGTTCATTCAACTGTACTCTAAAATAATACAAAAAGGGCTGGGCAAAGGCTTGGTTGTGTTCAAAACAGTTCGATCCTTTCTTCTTCGTCTTCATTCGTTCCTTGGCTTGTGTCGGGGAGTTTTCGAGAACGTGACTTTTTACGTGGAGCAGGTCTTCTTCTTCTTCTTCTTTTCTTGGATTTACGTTCTATTCCCACCACTTGCCATTCCCTTTATAGACGAGTTTTTATTCGAGTTGAGCGGATTCGTTTTCTGTTTGGATTTCAGAAACTATTTTTCTTTGACTTCCTTCGTTCGCACAACAACAAACGAAGAAGCATTTCGAGAATAGATCGGATCGTTTCCCAAGAGATTTTATTTTATAGATCTGTTCTTGGAAGAATTCCTGCACCATGAGATTTGTCATTGGTTTGGTGGCTGTTGCCACGGTTGCCCACGGCTTGTCGAGCCCTCGTGTCGTTGCGAGGAGGGGAGCGCCGGTTCATGCGCTCGCTGCGGTTTCTGCGGCTTCACCTGCTGCTACTGCCGCTGCTGAAGCGTAAGTACACTATAACTCTCCCTGATATTATCCTGGAGGTGGAATTTTACAATCGCTGTACACAGGCTGATCACAATATAGAACTCCTCCAGCTCCTCCAGCGCCACCCGCTGGAAACCCTCCTCCACCGCCTCCACCGGTAGATGCCGCTGCTGCTAATGGGTATGTCAATCTTCTCAAACGTTCAATTTTCTGAACAGTTTGTTAACCGATCACAGAACCGCACCTCCCCTCCCACCTCCTCCTCCCGCAGACCTCGCCGCAAATGGGTACGTCCGCCATCTAATATCAAACGCTAAAACAACGGTCTAACAAGAATCAGCACCGCACCTCCGCCACCACCACCTCCTCCAGCTGTTGATGCAGCAGCCTTGAATGGGTGAGTTTTGTCTTTTGCACTCACAGAGAGAGAAAGAGAGTAAGCAATAGTGTTCTGACTTTTAAACCTAGAACTGCACCACCTCCACCTCCCCCACCGCCGCCAATGATGGCGGTAGACGCTGCAGCTCAACCTCCTCCTCCACCTCCTCCTCCAGCAGCAAAAGCAAAAGCAGCAAAAGCATCAGCCGCAGCAGCGAGTGGGTACGTTTTTCCCATATCCTACAGACATGATTATCTCAGAATCGTTTGTGGCTAACTCATGGATACAGAGCTGCTGCACCACCACCACCACCTCCACCACCAGCCGCTGCGAACGGGTAAGACCAAACACCAACTAGTAATCTCTCGACAGCGTTGCTAACTCACCTTTCTACAGAACTGCTCCGCCACCACCTGATGCCAAAGGAAAGGGCAAGGCTAAAGCTAAAGGATCCGCCATGCCTCCTCCACCACCCGCTGCTTCTGGTGCAGCCCCACCACCACCGCCCGCTGCTCCTCCTGCTCCGCCTGCTGGTAAGTATAATCTTTACCCACACTGCCTTCGACCTCACAGGGAGAATTTGAGCTAATATTTTCGTTAGATGCTGCCGGCTCTGCGGGTTCTGGCGCCAGCTCATCGTCTGGCTCGGGCTCTGCCTCATCTTCTAGTGGAAGCTCCTCGTCTGGTGGCAGCTCGTCATCCGGCTCGAGTTCATCCTCTGACGCTCGTAAGAGACGCGTGGCTAAGACTAAGCTAAGGAAAGTCCGCTCTTGGATGAGCAAGGAATAGGGATGTATAGACGATACGCTGCACGTTTGATTCGTCGCGATGGAGACATTCAATAGACAGACGTGAGCGGAGGAGGAAGAAGAAGAAGATACACTTAAAGTGAGAGGGCGTTTTCTTTGTTGCTTGTTACGTACAATGGGCTGGCAGGTCCCAATTTGTATATTGGCTCGGGCTTGTGCGTCACTGTCGTTACGGCTGGTACATATACTTTATGAGAAACGAATGATTGGATGGATGTCTTGCAGACTCCGGATTTACACTCGATGTTTTTGGAGATTGCAACAAAGTGATTTTAACTGACTTCCGTTCCCCAACGAGTGATCAAAGAACAACAACTCCCTTTACATATGAATGTACCAACCAAACAGTACTGAAAACCATTCACAACACATCATAAGGCTCTATAATCAAGACTTCATATACCGCCCCCCGTACCCCCCCTCAGCCAAAGCAATCGCCTTCCTCGTAGCCTCATCCAAATCCTCCTTCTCCACCAACCCAAGCCGTTCATTATCCAACCCCCTCGTAACCTCCACCAACCCTGCATTCTCACCAGAAAAGAAATACCTCGTATACAGCACTCTCCCAAACGCACGTCGATCCCCAGCAAACATCTCCTGCTTCGCCTTCTCATAGCGCTCCCGCGAATTCTCCCTGGTGATAGTCCACTCCGCATCGGTGGTCTGCGTAACGCGCTGCACGGAATCCAGCATCTCGCGCTGATTGACAGCAAACGACGACACGTACGCCATGCGGTTCCGGAACGAGTCCAGCGTGGTCCTGGTATCCGCTTCGTCGTGTGGCAAAATAGGCAGGGCGAGGAGATTTGCAACTGCGCGGCCGACCTGAGGCCAAGTGGTCGTATTGATACGCTGGGTTCCGTCGTCGAAGAAGACGCATTTTTTGTCGAGCACGTCGATGCCGTACCACTCGGGTCCGCTCAGCGAATGCTCGTACCAGAACCCCGTACAGATCCCGATCCAGCTGGACACGCCTAGTTTCTCGATGGCGTTGCGGTCGTCGATTTTGCTTTGGTTCACGAACGTGTCGTTGCCGACGATGGGGTCGTTTGTATCTGTTCCGAATTCGTTGGGTAGGATCCAGGGGACGCCTGCTTTTGCTGCTGCTTCTGCGAGGGCGGTTGCTGTGCCGGGCGGTGCGGCGACTGCGAGGGTGATGATGAGCACGTCTTGATTTTTGAGGGCTTCTACTAGGGTTGAGGGGTTGGAGTAGTCGATTGTGGCGATGTGGACGCCTGGGGGCGGTGGGCCACTGGTTGCACGAGTGAGGGCTGTGATCTTGAAGGATGGGTTGGCCAGGAGGGCGGAAGTGATGTGTTTGCCTGAATTTCCGGTTGCGCCTACGATGGCGATGTTGCGGATTTGGTTGGTGTAGGTCGGTGGTTGGGTGGAGGCGTATTGTTTAGACATGGTGGGTTGGTCGAGAGGGATGGGACTGATCTATGAATTAGATTGTTTGTAATACTGCAGAGTATACTTGGAAACAGTCGTTGGATACATTGAAGCATGAACGTACCTTGGACCGAAGAATATATACTTGCAAGATGTGTGATCCTACAACGGAGGATAGACAGTAGGTAGTATCTGTATAAGAGGAGATCTTGTTCGCCGGTGTCGTTTGTTTCACCCGAGCGATTTCTTGAGCTCGAAGGTGGCCTTTTATACCAGAAATAATCATGACACCAATTGCGGCCAGAAAGCCATGATTAACTCCGGATTCAGCGCATCATGCGATGATGCATGGTCGTATTCCTAATTGATTCATCGTCCAGTCGTATGCTGATAAACGTAAACGCCATGCTACAGACCATCCAATCGATGAGTAGCGTGGGAAAGTGTTTGTGAGATTCAAAGAACTTCTTCCGCAACTGATCTGAGCTGGTGGGTTCGTTTCGGACCCGAGATTAGTTTCTTTGTGCTAAGTGGTACGAGGGACCAGATATCGTGGATTGTTTAGCGACCAGACCCGGAGATTATCTTTAACACCGTCGATGGTTTGACACAAATCCGGAATACGAAATCACGCTCAACCCTGATCGTCTATAGATCAGATCCCGATACTGTCTAGTGATGTATGATGCATATCAATCAGAAATATCAGGTCAAGTTCAGGATCCATCGCTAATGACTGAGAAAACAGAGATCCCTTTCCTAGGGCTTACGTTGGGTCGCGCCCCATTCTCGCAAGATGCTCTGCAGTTTCTTATGAATCTTCTTTCTGGCATCTTCTCTAGTCGTACCATCGTTGAGCATTTGGTCGTAATTTGTGTGTTTGTGCCTAATATGAGCGACAACAGCATACAGCACTTTCCGAGACATGGGCATCTGATTCGTCCGGCCAACGCGTCCAGAGTTCTTCCTGAACCCGTGGTTCAAAATCTTCTTCCTATCCTCTTTCGGTATATTGGGGAATTGGCTGTCTAGCTCTGCGGCAGCAGTGCGGACAAGGGCAGCATCCCGCTGTTCAGTTGCAAGACGGCGGGCCGGGAGGGTTTCATTGGCGAGAGATTGTACGTGAAAGTAAATTGATTTCGGGATGCGGATACCGATTAGTTTCTTGTTATTTTCGACGACATAAACAGGCTTTCCTGCTTCGTGGGTTAAGCGACGACAGTGGAGTGTCTTGTACTTGATGCCCTTTTTAAGGAATGCATAACCCTTTGGCATTGGAGTATTGACAGACACGGTATATTCTTGGGGAGCCATTGCCGTTCAATTGTGTATGCTTCCGATCTGTGGATTAATGATACTTTGAATAATTGCTTGATGTAAGGGCGACTAAAGTAAATGCCAGCTCAATCTATGCCCAAACGAATTCGAGGATACCGGATAAACCGTTCTTTGTATATTCTATAACACGAGTATTGAACAAAGAAAATCAAATGAAGATAAAGAAGGCGATTGAATGGGACATCATAGATGACTGCATTGTTTACAACATTGAAGTTCGGTTGAGATGACAACAAGGGAAGTGCACGTGAAAGGAGATGCGATTATGTCATCACTCATCTAAATTTAGATCGGGTAGCCACGTGCGCCCGCGTGAAATGAAATCGCGAAAACATCACAGAGGCAATCTGAGACTACACGCAATGTTGAATTTTGCTATATTGTATGTCTGCCGTGCGATTGACTGCTCGATTTTTAGTTGCGAGGTATCATCTATAACAGCACTTACCACTATGCTTACAGGATGTCATATTGATACGTGTAGCTGAGGCGATGCCGCACAGATGCGTCGATTGCCTAGCCCCCACAACAGAATTCAGATGCTGACCGCTCTGCCACATCCTTCAACCTGCGACATTTTGGATTTATTTCGCGCCTTACATCAACTTCGCTGCACTGTAGTTCCTCATTCGGTTGCGATTTCATTGACTTTACACCATCGTTTCGATACAAAGGGCTGTGCCTGCTGAGAGGTATCACAGCACTAACGCGCCGTCTTTCCCGGGCCCGAAGCGCCGACAGCTGAAGGCTACGTAATCCCAAACACAGGCCATCACGACTCAATTCTTGGATCGTGTACTTCGTGCCCTGGAAGCTTTGCAGTCCAAATCGTTTCCCCTGGCCCCTTCCGTTGGCTTTTCTTGACTATGCAGTTGATGCGAGCTGGTACTATCGTGGACGATGCTACAAGTACCAACATTGCATACCACGATAAATATGTTGTTGCCTATGATTATACCAATGTCGGTCAGTGCATATCTCGGTTGAACAGCTCTTAATAGGGGCTTATAGTTGTCTAGAAACCGACGTAGCTATAAAAGAGCTCACACACCTGCTGCATCAATTGGAATCGGCCGGCCTACACACTGAGGTTCGGAGGGGTTATGATGATTCCCTACTCATCTTCGTTCAGGCACCTCGGGAGCTTCTTGGTAACATGGTTTACCATTCTCGGTAAGTCAGCTTCCCGCCTAAAAGGAGCTATCTTTGATTTGTCCCTTCTTCTAGTGTTATGGACTGGCTCTATGGCATCACGAAGCAACATCCAGGAGGCACCAAGGACACTGTTGCCGTTGCAGACTTTGAGGCCGAGGATCTGTTGTCGACTTTTCATCTTGTTACGTGGGGAAAAGGACAAGGAGGTGCCGGTATCACGCCAGGGATGGGAAAGTGTGAGAATGTTACATCGGTCTTCCCACTGCACAATGCACAACGGAATCGCGACCTATTGATACACCTAAGCAAACGCCTCTTTCTAACTTCGAGTGACCTCGATCAGATCCGCGACATCTGGGGCTCCAAAGTGGCCTTTTACTTTGCTTTCATTCAGGCTTACTTCTTGTCTCTTGCATTTCCATGCGTGGCCGGTATCTTCGCATGGGCTTTCCTCCCGAAGTACTCCCTGGTCTTCGCACTTGTAATCGGAATGTGGTGTACGGCATTTCTGGAGTACTGGAAACTTCGAGAGATCGACCTTTCTATCCGCTGGAACGTTCGAGGAGTTAGCAAACTCAAGAAAAATCGGCCCCAATTTTTCCATGAAAAGGAGATAGTGGATGAGGCGGGTCGGAAAATACAGATTTTTCCGGCATGGAAACGCGTCGCTCGACAGCTGGCTGTCTTACCGTTTCTTGCTGTGAGCACAGCGTTCTTGGTGTCGGTTATAGGCGGGATCTTTCTCCTGGAAACGCTTATTGGTGAGGGTTACGATGGCGCATACGATTACTATCTGGTAAACCTGACATAATCGAGCTGAATAAGAGAAGCACTGACATTAACCAGGAATATGCACCTACTATCCTTCTGGCCATCGTTCTACCTTTTATCAATGGTCATTTGGAAAGCATCGCCGAGAAGTTGACGGAATATGAGAACCACAGAACGCAAGACGCGTTCGAAATGTCACTCACACAAAAGAATTTCGTCCTTCAATCGATCACCAACTATCTACCCATTCTACTGACTGCTTTCCTCTACGTCCCATTTGGGTACCAGATCATACCGCGCCTCCGAGCAGCCATACTTCCGTTGTTCGGCGTAAGGCCGAACCCAAATTTTTCATTCTCGATGGAACCCGATCGTTTGCGTAACGAAGTCATTACTCTCACGGTCACTGGCCAAGTTTCTGGTGCCCTTGAAGAATTGGCACTGCCGTGGTTCAAGAACAAAGTGAAAGAATACTATCGCGTCTACCGCACCAACCGTACATTCACAGGCTTTTCCAATGCTACTTGGGAGAAAGGCGACGACCCTGCTGAAGCTCGTTTTCTTACCCGTGTCCGCAAACAAGCCCTCCTTCCGGCTTACGATGTCCAGGAGGATTATGCAGAACTAGTGCTGCAATGGGGATATCTGTCTCTATTCAGTCCGGTATGGCCTCTGGTACCCATCGGTTTTTTTATCAACAACTGGTTCGAGTTGCGTGCCGACATCGTCAAGATCTGCTTAGAGAGCCAAAGACCGGCTCCCATACGTGGCGAGGGTATGGGCCCATGGGTTGCAAGTCTCGAGTCTCTTACCTGGCTCGGGAGTATCAGCAGTGCTGCGCTCGTACACTTATTCGGAAACGATTGGGTTTGGGGGGCTGGTCAATGGTGGAGCCTCCCAATTACAATCTTCATTTCCGAGCACATCTATCTAGGGTTCCGTGCCGGTGTACGTTGGGCTTTGCAAACCATCGGCTCGAAACACATTCGAGCAGAACGAGCCGAACGATACGCAGAAAGAAAGCGATACCTCGACGAGATGGAAGCGAGCGAGACGAAGAATGGCCACCTGAACGTGGCAGAGAGAGAACGACGAAAATCTGTCAGAATGACAGCTGCAGACATCTTCTGGACCAGACAGGCTGAAGAGGGAGCGAGCACGACTGCGGGCATTGGAATGATTCGTAAGCGCAGGAGCTCAAATCCCCAGGAAAAGGGGTCCTTTTGGAAGATGGAGTGAGGCAGAATGCACACGATGATATGTTTTCTTCGCAAGGTGCGGGCCTAGAGGGACAATGGCAGCTTCCTGATGTGTGGTTCTGGCGATCAAATAGAAGTTGCCTTACTTAGGCCCTGGTCAGTGGCATCTCAGGCGGGCTCCTTCTTTCCTACTGCGGAGGAAGGTGCCTCAGAGATATTATGAACATTTGTCGTCCCGTTCTCTCACTTCAATCATCGTACTACTTTCTCCAAACATCTTACCCTTCACCCGTCCTCTCGCTCTCTGTATCAACATAGTCATATCACATTATATCAACCATGTATCACCAGACTTCTTCTCCACCACGCTCTTTCTCCGAATCGTCATCGCAGTCTGGGCGAGGCTTCGTAACAAGAACTGATGGTCTCGACCATCACTTCCGTCAAGATGTTCGGGAGTGTAATCTGCCGCCCAGATATTCACATTCCGTGTCGATATGTCGCAGCGAGTCGTTCTTCGTGCTACCTCGCGAGGATGCCAGTATTCAAAGCCAGTACGTGCGGACAACCATCTATCCCGATTCCCGGGTCTTTACTAATGGCTAAGAATTCGACGAAAGAAGCGTACGTCAGATGGCAGCCTCAAGAAGCCTTACTGTGCTAGTTCCTCCGAGTAAGCATGATTTGCACATGCCTCCTCGTCCACGCTGCTAAGAATCCCAAGCTTTGCATCCTCACGAGCTCCTTCGGCCTACTTACCGCTAAAACCTATCGATTTGGCACGCGCAGTTCTCAAACAAGCACGCTGTGATTTTGTCCAAAAAGCAAATAAAACCCAGCTCGAGCACTTTCCGCGTATCGACCGAGACGGCTCCTTGTTACACCAGCCTCCAGCGAAGCCGAGAAAATAGAATCATCCGGGTGGGTACGAGAGTATAGTCAAGCGTCCGAGCCTACCGGGGCCTTCCCCACTGGTGCAAGTGCAGTCGCAAATGGATATCGAGAAGGAGAACCGCGGGAATAATGGTCCTCTCTATAGGTTCCAGCTAGATGGTCACGAGGATCATCGGCGGAAGGCGAAGGGCTCTACCGAAGCATCTGGAAGAGGGATGCGAAAGTCGCTTTTGCAAAAGACACTCATACAAAGCGCTTCCGAATTACTGTGACAGCAGCTCAAGCGACGCGAATTTATGTGGAGAAGCTTGGTTAGGGAAAGGTGCCACAGGATTGACAGCTGCTGATGTCCTGTTCAAACCGTTCATGAATACACGTATTTGTACCTTCTGTACAAAATAGTTCATTCAAACTTTGCTCGCTGTTGATTATCACTCTTGCTCAACCTCGCTGATGTACATGATTTACGATCGTGATTATGTATGATAAAACTGATGACCGGTCGGTTGAACATTCAATGGTCGATACGGAACGTTGATTTAGCGTCCTCGGGCAAATGTAGATCCGACGCACGGATCATGGCCTAGATCTAGAGGTGAACAACTCCTGCGGACCGATTCTGATCACCTCATTTGATCGATTTGCCGCTTGGAAGAGTGATGGGCCTATCTTCAATCGTCGTATCCAGATGAGATATCATCCCATGGATGGAAATGGAGGGCGGACGTAACGCGGAAGGGCAATTATTAACTTGCAGACTTCAAACGTCACAGCTATGCCTCCACACACTCGGACTCGCACAGGATGCTGGACTTGTCGAGAAGCTGGATACAAATGCGACGAGAAAAAGCCTCACTGTGAACGTTGCACCAGACTGAAAATCCCGTGTAAGGGCTATGCGCCCAAACTCAAGTGGCGAAATACATCGGGTCCTCCAAAAAGACCACGCAACGGCCGTAGCACATCTATTGAAGATCAATATGCGACAAGTCCAAAGTCCGTGACAAGCGTCTCCTCTGCGCCTGCGACCATGAAATCACAGAATGCCAACTCCCCGCAAGAATGGATCTACGAAGTTACACTCCCCTTAGCCTCGATGCCGAACTCGATTCCTGATCTTCCAGCTCGCGATAAACGGTTGCTACACTACTGGAATGAAAAACTTTCTTCCTTGATCTCTGTAGCAACTCGTCGAAGCTCCCCAGGGCCTTTCCGGTTGCACTTGACCTCTTTATTGTATCACCCGGGATCGCTGCGATCCACTATTCTATCCATGTCAGCAAATCATCTTGCCCTTGCTTCCAATGACAAGTCTTTGAAGATAGACGCCTATCGACACCAGCAAGATGCAATCCGTTCATTGCAGAATCTTATCCAGGCCCAGGTGGAAAGTTCCTTAGAGCCCGCTCTTGCAACCGTCCTGATGATGCAAGTGTCTGCACGGCTGTTGGGCGACGAAGGTGCCGAGCCACAGGTGGCCAACCATCTGATTGGAGCGAAAGCGATGATTTCCAAGAGGGGAGGGCTGGCTGCGTGGAGAAGTTCTCCTACTGCCCAATTTCTACTTGATCTCTTCGCCTACCACGATATTCTATCGTCAGTGTCACGTGGAGAAAGACCGCTCATTGAGCATAGCGAGGAATTCACCGCTATTGAAGGCGTCGTCGATATGCATGGCATTGCAAAGGTGTTGCGTCTTGTCGCACGGATCAGCCATATGCAGGCATCTGCCAAATCACCCGTGCCCGACAGATCCGATGATGCGCCATGTTTTTCGCGGCTACAGACCGAAGGACTTCTCATTCAAAAAGCCCTGGAGGATTTGGAATTTTCAGATGCAACTCTTAGTATCGAAAACGCAGATGATCTTTCGGATATAAGACACACGGCAGAAGCGTACCGACATGCAGCTTTCATCTACCTCTATCGGGTGTGGCTCGGTTTTGGCGCTCCGAATCCGACAACGCTTCATCATGTCCAAAAGTCCATCGCTTACATTTTAAGTGTGGACATCAGCTCCCCCCTAGTGTCTTCGCACATTTGGCCTCTGTGGACAGCGGGGTGTGAGGCTGTTGACCCGGAGCAACGGCAATATGTTCGAGAGCGCTTCTACAACATGTATCGTACTAGAATGTTCTCTGGTCTGAAAAGAATCGTGCGGGATATTGAGGAAGTATGGTCGTACAAAGATACCGAGAACCTCGTTAGTGGCCTTGACGGGATGGCCAAGGTCGATTGCATTCAAGTAATACTTAAAAGACGCGGCCGAGAAGTTGATCTTGCTTGATTGGTGATTGAGGCGCAGGAGAAAAGTCAGAACGAAATGTTACCCTCGTATACTGGAACCGGAATGTTCTGTGCAAATTTGACATCGAACTGCCCCCCGAGGCGATTCCACCTTGCTTTCGCAGTTGCAACAGAATTTTAAGTAAACGACTGGTATCTTGAACATTACTACATATCATGATGGTATATGCGCGCCTCATATTCTCAGCTTTCAATACTACACCTCCTTGTGTGTGACCGCTTCTGTCATACCCTTCTCGTCAGCTCTTGCTTGCTCCTCTGCGATCACATCCGCGGGAACACGGTCTGGTGTCGAATTGACCAACATTAGCATAGGAGGGACGGCAATGGCCATGAGACCGAACGTTACGCAACTAAAAGTGAACGGTCAGCAGCTGAACAATTGAGAGAGGCGAACGCACAACTCACAATCCAATAAGAGGACTCGTCTTGATCTGGGTGTTCATGCCGTAAGATATAGCCTGGCCGATGGCTTCAAGACACCGGAAAGCAGCACCATTACGGACGTTGGACTGCGCATCAGTCGCAAAAGACGACAAGAGCCAGTACATGTATGACTGCGAGAGAGGACCGGTGGTTTGCACAAAGAAGTAGGGCAAGAAGGACGTTGGATACAAGCTCTCATCCCAATCGATCTTCCCTGGATTATGGCTGTTAAACCGCGTCTGCATGATGATGGACCAGATGTAAACGCCAAGGTTGAGCGTGACAACAGTGAAAAGACCATATTGAGCACGGCGACGCTGGCTCACACCCTTCATGTCGAGAATGAAACCTAGTCCGAAGCAGCCAATGATACAGAAGAAGGGTGAGATAAGAGACGACAAGGCACGAGCGCGAACTGAGAAATAGGTTCCGAGATAAGTTGACCAGGTACCACTGTAGAAGAACGACCAGAGAGCCCAGAAAGCAGAGAGCAAGATGAGCTTGGAAGTCATGGTAATCTTGATGCGTTTGAACTCCTGCTTGGTAGACAAAGTCTCGGAGATGACAATACGAGTTCCATCGGATCGGACAACATGTTCGAGCGGCGAAATAAGGAAGGCAAAAGGCAAAGCCAAGCACTCGATGATTAGGAATGCGACATAAGTGTCGGGAGTGACACCGCCGGTGACGCCCTTTTCGTGGTTCTTTGAAAGATTGATCGCTCCGCCAACAAGTTGACCGAGGTTTCGCGCAACAATCCACAGCGCCAAATACTTGCCACGAGCACCGGATGGCGCTAGAGACATGATGCTTCCAGATTCAGCGACATACCAACAACCGGTTCCGATACCCGTGATGAAACCACCGAAAATTAGGTACCACTGTGTACCGAACATGGAGTTGCAGTAGTACGACGAGCCACGGATGGGGAAAGATGCAGCACCGATGACGAGCGCCCATTTGGTGCCGAGTTTATTGACGATGGGGGCACCAAAAAGACATACTACTCGTGGTTAGTGCATGTCCAATTCGTCGGGATAGTGAGTATATCTACCAATGGCCAGCATGGTGTAGTTGACAGCGGTAGCGATGTTGGAAGTCTGAGGAGTGGCCAAACCACCTCCACCAAGACCAGCGATAGCATCCGCCATTGCAGGGCCACAAAAGGCTTGAATGCTGAGAAGCATCATCTGAGTCAAGCTGTGCTGGTAGACACGCTTCCACAGTGGAGTGTTCTCTTTGTAGGCCACCATATCGACCTCGTTCTCTGCAGACTGGGGCGCGGGTGGGTTCATTGGATCATTGCTCTTGGTCCGCAACGCATCGTCGTTGCCGCCGGCATGAGTATTTGGCGGAGCCGCATCGAACTTGGACATGGCGCAAGAGGAGTAAGGAAGAAGAAGCTGAGAATCTGAGAATGCTCTGATTTTGGAAGATACCGGCACACGTCCACCTTAAATATACTGACGTTGGACCTCGGGCCCTACCTTTCTAAGACTGATGGTGTTTATCCTAAGATACGCCCATTTGTGGCGCTCTACTCTGTCATTGGCCATCCCCGCCATTTCACGTTCTCCCTGGCTTATCTGCGGGTACACAATGCCCGTCTCGGTTCCCCGGATACGGTACTGGTTGATAGGGGATTTGTGGAGGAGTATGAATACCTGAGGATGGTCCAGTGGAGCCCTGGACTCTGCGATGGACCTGGGGTACGTAGCGGGACTTGTCAATGTGGCATTGAAAGACTAAACTCCAAGAGGCAATTATAGCAGTCGAAAAGTGCGCTAGATGTGAAAAGTGGGCCTGCACATGGGGCCCTCGTTCGACATGCGTCAAAGGGAAGCTCCACGGACCGGTTGAACTGCGTCCCCAAGCAACATGGCCCAGCATTTGTCTTGTCATATCTCCAAGACCGTCATGTGCTTATCCGTTTGATCCTCAATTTGACTATTGGCTCTTGGAAACTCTTACGTTTAGCTTTTCCCCACAAACGACAGATGAAAGCTTCCCTCCCTTGTCTGGCTATACGCTAAGCTCTTCGTGGCAAAGATAGGAGTCCATTGCCAATCGCGATACCGCGCTGAGCAGTTCAGTCCGCTGCAAGCGCCGATACATATCAAGGCAGATACATAGAGTACTAGAGCCCAAAGTAACCATGACTCAACAACAGCTCCGACTCCTCGGAGGACATACTTCGAGGGAATAACCATCGTGCCACTCCGACTCCCAACAGGTGGCGTGTTGCAACCCTGATTATCTTCTAGTTGTACCTATCAGTGGAGCATCTCGGGAAACGCTACTTAAAGCTGGTGCAGACAGATAGTCAATTGATTGCAATATAGCGATTACCAACACACATCCGCCGACGACAACAAATAATCTAGAGTTTTGTATCTCGATTATTTATTGTGATAATGTCGACGACCCGCGCCAACACGAAGGTTATTGTTGTGGGTGGCGGTGGCACCATTGGCGCTTCAACGGCACTGCATCTCCTTCGTGCTGGCTACACTCCATCGAGCATCACCGTCTTGGATACGTACCCGATCCCTTCGGCGCAATCGGCCGGCAATGATTTGAATAAGATTATGGGGGTCCGTATACGGAATCCTGTGGACAAACAGTTGAGTCTCGAGGCGAGGGATATGTGGAGAAATGACGAATTGTTCAAACCTTTTTTCCACAATGTCGGACGGGTACGTCACAAGCTTATGTCAGTTGAAAGAGAGTTTAGTATACTAACTGATGAGCTAGTTGGATTGTGCGCATACTGCGAGTGGCATTAGCGAGCTGAAGAGTGCATATCAAGCACTACTCGACGCAAAAGAAGGGCTTGAGACGACGACAGAATGGCTGAATAGTGAGGATGAGATCTTGAAAGCAATGCCACTTTTGGAGCGTGATCAAATACAGGTTAGCCATCCCCGGTCCTCCGCCTATTTTCTATTAAATCTATTCGGTGGAAAAATTATGCAACATCAAAATACTGACCATATCGACAGGGCTGGAAAGCAGTTTTCAGCAAAGACGGAGGTTGGCTAGCAGCGGCAAAAGCCATCAACGCAATCGGCGAGGAATGCGAACGCAAAGGCGTGAAATTCGCTTTCGGCGGGTGAGTAAATAATTGACTTCCGCGCGAGTGCTCAGCACATCATACTCCCAATGGCCAGACTGACACATAATATCAGCGCCGGATCCTTCAAACAGCCCCTCTTCGCCGCAGACAACACGACCTGCATCGGCGTCGAAACCCTCGACGGCACAAAATACCACGCCGACAAAGTCGTCCTCGCAGCCGGAGCATGGAGTCCCACCCTCGTCGACCTCGAAGGCCAATGCATCTCAAAAGCATGGGTATACGGCCACATCCAACTCTCGCCCAGCGAAGCCGCAGAGTTCAAAGACCGCCCCGTAGTCTACAACGGCGACATCGGCTTCTTCTTCGAACCCAACGAATCCGGCATCATCAAGATCTGCGACGAGTTCCCGGGATTCACGCGGTTCAAACAACACCGCCCCTTTGGCGCGCAGGCGCCTAAACGGATTTCCGTCCCAAGGTCAGCGGCGAAACATCCCACCGACACGGTCCCGGACGTCAGTAAACAAAGCATCAAAAGGGCGATCGGGGTATTCATGCCGCGATTCAAAGACCGCGAGGTGTTTAATAGTCATCTGTGCTGGTGCACGGATACAAGTGATGCTGCGTTGTTGGTGTGCGAGCACCCGCGGTGGAAAAACTTTGTGCTCGCGACGGGGGATAGCGGGCACACGTTCAAGCTACTGCCGAATATCGGAAAACATGTGGTTGAGTTGCTCGAGGGGAGTTTGGCGGGGGATTTGAAGGAGGCGTGGAGGTGGAGGCCTGGGGGTGATGCGTTGAAGAGTCGGCGGGCGGCGCCGGCGAGGGATTTGAGTGAGGTTCCCGGATGGAGGGAGGAAGGGGTCAAAGCGAAGCTGTGAGGATCTCAGGGCGGAGTTTTGAATCGCTCGTGCGAATGTGGATAGTTGGTTATGGGTGGTTTGGGCAAGGCCTGTAGGTGTTCTTTAGTAATACAATTTTCACGGTTTAAAGATCGAAGCAACTAGATTATAAGGATCTGCATAGACGCTGGAGGGGCGAAGATCATGAATCAATGACGGGGAATCGGATATGGGCTTATATTGGAGTCGTGTTACGAATCAATTGTGGGCGTATGGAATTTTTTCAGTTCGAAGAGCATAAGGGGTCTGCCAGCACAAATTAACGAAATTGGTCCTTCCGAAAAGAGTCGCAAAATAAGTTTTTGCTGTTTACGGAGCGTAAATTCTCTATATAAATCTAAAATTGCGCAACCAAATATTCCCAAATGATGAGGTCTAGAATGTAAAAACAATTTGTCTTCAAAGGTAAGGGTTGAGAATGTAAAAAGAATTTGTCGTCAGAGGTATGGTCGTCCTCTATACAGTTGGCACCTTGATGTTAAGATCCTCAAACTTTTTGAATAGCTTCAAATCAGTCTCAAGATGCTCAATGATTTGCGCCAGTCGTTTTGGCTCCCACAAGTCACATTCACGCGCTGCCTTCAAATAATCCCTGTTCTTCTTCGACGCCCTAACCTTTACCTTATTTAAAGCCCCCTCTGCCGGTTTGAGTTTGCTCTTGATCAGGGCTTCTTTCTTCTTTGGATTGGTTTCTTTGTCTACGTCAGCCTGCGCTTGGTCTCTTGCTTTCTCAGCCGCGGCGATATCCTTAGGCGCTTGGTCGACTTCCTTCTTTAGAGCATCCCTTTTTTTCTCGAGCGGTGGCAGCTCTTTCTTCTTCTTCTGGTTCCATTGCTTCTTGTTTGTCTTCAACTCCTTCTCGCGGGCTTCTGCTTTAGTTATCGCGTCGTTGAATCGTTTTTTCAGCCCTTGACGCAGAACCGCCGTTTTCGAGCTGCTGTCTCCTTTGGTTTGCGTGGTTATCCAAGTTTTGGCATACGATGATGTAAAGTCCAGTTGCGCTTTGATATATTTCTTCCACTCTTCTTCCATTTTGACTACGTTTCCTTTTCCGTCTTTCACGTCGTCGCCAGTCACAATTTTGATGTTGGCGAGCTCGGTTGCACTGTTTTCAACGGCAGATTTAAGGCGTTTACTGACTTCTGGATGGTTGAGATACTCGAACACAGCAAGGACCTAGGTCATAATGTCAGCTTCCAGAGACAGATCGAATGCTCTGCGACGTAACATGAAATATTACGGAAACTCACTGTATGGAAAACACTGTGTAGCTCATTTGACGTCGCATCGCCTTCTAGAATGTCGTCGACGAGAACCTTGAGTTTCTTTTGGTCGATTGGGGCTGAAAATTAGGTGTATTGACTTAGTAACTGTCTCACATCGAGTTTTGGGGTTCATTTTACTTACCCTTACCCATCCAAAGCCGTTTTTTCATCTCATTGATCTGACTCTCCAACATGACAAAATCATCAATGTTTTGGTTGGATCCTAGAGCCTGAAAAAAAAGGTCATTGATAGATTCCTGGGCTGGGAGCTTGGCGTCGAATTTCTTTCTTTGGTCAACCTTCTTGTCATCCAACTTCTTATTCCACTCATTCTGGAACCATTGAGCGTCTATGTGATTTGCGATGGTGTACTTGTTTTCTACCTCTCCTCCACCCATGAGCTTTTCGAGGAACATTTTTACAGATTGAAGTTCAATGATGTGTTCGACCACAAAACCCTGGCTTTGTTTAGGGTCAACAATGGCGACCTCGTAGTCGTCGGCGCGTTTACTCTTGAAGTCGAATATTATCTTACTGTTTTTCGCAATAACGAAGAATTTCGGGTTCTCGATGTACGGTAATGATTTGATTTGCAGCTTCTTTTTCCTGTTCACGGTGGCATCATATGTTCGTGATCCTCCACGTTTCTCTAAATGCCGGTGGATGTCGAGGTATCCCCTGTTGGAAACAGGTTCGGAAAGTGTGACCTTGAAATTACCACCATTTTGACGTTTTAGGGATCGGACAGTCAAATTCGTGTCAGCATCATCCGAGGATACCAGGTCGTAATCACTCTCGCATTGAATGAGCACATCACATATATTGACTGCCGCGGTAGGGTATGGAACTTTGTAGGTGTCAGGCTTGGAACTAGAAGATGTCGAGGAAACGGATGCGCTGGACGTTACACTCGTAGGTTTAACAGTCTCTGCTGAAGAAGAATTCAAGGTGGAAGATATAGTGCTGGAAGAATCGGTTGTTCCAGACTTGGAAGTAGAAGCCTTGGAAGTAGAAGCCTTAGAGGTAGAGGTTGGCTTCGTCGTAGCGATAGTGGTGGGTCTTCTACTGGAATTTCCACGTTTATGTTCGCGCGTACGTAGCTCAACGGTAACTGGAGTAGAACTTCCTGCAGCAGATAGTACTGGATCGTGAGAATAAACGTCGATTATGCTGAAGACTGTTAGATCTTCGGTCAGAACCTTTTGCTTCTCACTAGATCACTCACGAATGCTCTCTAATAGAGGGGACTAGAGCCAAAGTACAGCCCCATAAAACGGGTAAAGTGGCTGCAAGGAAACGCATATTGAAGAATGAGACTCTATAGGGTCGAAACGAAAACCAACATCAGACAGGGTCGAGCTCCTGCAAATGAATGGTAGAATGAAAGCGAAAATGACAGGATGAATGAATATGGTAAAGACAGACAAAACGAAAATGTAACCAACAATGAGTACAAAGTAAAGACAGAATATCTGATAAGGAAACAAGCGATGATGCTCATGGTATTTGAGCAGTCTTCCAGCTTTATATGCGGTCATTTTGAAGACTACTACGCCGGTAAGCAAATAGGTACTCAAAAATGTGCTTCCTTCGCACTCAATGCTGTAAACTCCGATAATGGTGTCATCCAAGTCGAGAAATTCTTTGAGTCGAGTTGCAATAAGATGACTGAGAGTCATGATTTCCAGTCCACTAAACGATGTTATCGCTAAAAATGTCGAACAGTTATTGTAGGTGGCATGATAGGATTAGTGTTCGGCATTGGGTAGTAATAGTATAGTAATTACTATAGTAATAGCAGTATTACTAGTTCACGGAATAGTGATAGGAATAGTAATTATATAAGCCTTATGATTTCCCCCTTCCTCCGTCATTGTTGATCACGATGAGACATCTCAGACTCAAGTCTTAATCGCTGCGCGCTATTATCTCTCGATTACCCTTTTTTAGTTAAAAACCAAAGTAATGATAGTTCGGAAAGCAGCGGCGTTCACAGGCCAGAAAATGCAATTTCCGTTGAATATCAGAAGCGCAAAATATCAGGCAGGGGCATGCTAAACAGGCAAGATAATAGTTTCTAGATTGGCGATTGATAGTTTGTTCGGTGAATATTGTATGACTAGTAGGGGGCTGCAGTGAGGGATTGGTGACTGCGGTACCTAAACTAGGAGCGGCAAACGAGGAGCGGCCCGGCGTCGCTTCACTAACCGCCATCATTTGAGGCATCGAAAACCAACTCCATACGCACTTCGACTTCAACTCAAATTATTCACAAGATATTTTTCCAGTCCCATCAAGCAATTCGCTCTGAGAGATTGCAGCCAGAATTGTATGCTTCGCCGCCCTAGGCTACTCCGTCTCGAGCCTGTCATCAAGTACATACGTACTTTCCCACCCCCGACAGAGTTCATAGCGTAGAATATACACGATGTATCCAGCCTTGTCAACCATCGAAGCTGAGCTAAACGGCGGGAAGTGGGGCTTTGTTATTTTCCGTTGCGCGTACGGTGACGATGCCTCTTGGAAACGATTCTTGGGCTACCTACAAGCTAAATATCGGTATGCACTGGCTCTCGAAGGCGCAGATAGATTGTACGAGCAGCTCGACTGGACCATACAAGAAGACTCAGCTTTGGATGGTGCAGACGCGGAGGTAGTGAAGGTGTAAGTATAAATCCTTGCGAGATGCGCTCCATGGAGATCAAAACCAACTGACAATGCGAAACCAGGATATTCCAGGAATGGTTGGAGCAGCACAAAGACGACGAAAGTGTGGGTCATACACGAGCGCGTGCCTGTATCATGATTGATCAGGATGTTCTTGATGACTTGGGTTATGTTTACGAATATGCACAAGATATAGAAGAGTATGACGAGGAGGCGTTCGTTTGGGTGCATTTGATCTCGAGCGAAGATGACGAAAAGCCGACCAAAGTTGGGGTAGACTATCTCATGCCAAATGCGTATGTTAATATCAATATTGAAGGATGGGAGGCCGTGGAGAGAAAAGATGGCGAGGAGGTAGCTAAGCCTTCTTAGAGCCATTCCGCATCCCCTGAGAGTATGGCAACCCGCTCAGTCACATATGAATAAACCACCCACTGACCTGATGTCACAAAGGGATTTCATATTCACATTTTGTAATGATTGGGCCGGAAGATAGGTAGTGAAAGTATGTCATTGAGGATACGATGGATGGGAGGCTCTAGAACTCAAGGGAAGTGAGGAGGTGGCTAGGCCTTATTGAGCTCATGCGATTGACGAGACTGGGAATTCACACAGGGACTGAAAGCTGAACGCGGAATTCGAAATACAGTTGCTTTCCCTTCCGCCGAGTGGTAGGATCAGCTTGATCTAAATTTGATCATGTGTGTGACGGCGAAACCCATTTTCCCCCTATCATTATATCCAGAAACTGATTGTGGCATCAAAGTATGTTACATATGACAACGATTCGATATTTTAATTTGCGAATTCAAAAGACGAGGGATGTAAAACCTCAATATTATGAGCACATAAACGACTATAAATGCAGAGTAATTGTACTCTCACAAGCGTCGATTTGTGTAGATCACCTTCCACCACAGGAAGTCACTATGTAGTCTGGCGATTAATTCCACAAGTCAGAAAAGCGGGGATCCCAACTACTATCAACCCATGATGGTAAACAGTATTGATCATCACCGTACATTTCTCATTACGAAAAGTTTTGGATTTTAAGCAGCCAAACGCAGAGGCAGCCTGCCTTTTCTGCAAGCTGTCATGCACGCCCTCCGCATAGTGTTCAATAAAGAGAGCGAGTGCCCATGACTTCACTTCCACGACCTAGTCTGTGTCTCAGGCTAATACCATGCTTATTACTTTCTATTGCGTTCAGCAGGGGATCCTTTCCGTGGCCGGTTTTATAGGCATTAAGGGGTCCCAGTAACCTGATTGCGCGGGCACACCAAGCCCTTCTGCCCCGATTCGCGACACGCTTGTGTGTTCTTCGAGAATGGACCGAACGATTGCAATTTGTTTGTTTCATTTCCTTTTGCGACTTTACCTATTTTCAAATAGTATCTCCATAAAAATTGCTTTTGTGGACGTTAGTGACGGAGTTGTTTCACATTGACAAGAAATTAGCCACAAAACAGCCACTAAACCACACCCAGCTTCCCCACATTTTCTCCATTCGTATTCACGCAACGTAAATTTTCCGCCAGGCGACCTTGCAGATGCGCAGCCGAACTCGACTCCACTCGATATGACGAGGGGCTCACGCTTTTTCACACGCTGAAGAGCCGGATTCTGACAACTCATTTACCTATGTGGACTCGGAAACGAGGATCGTTTTGACTTTAGCCGTACCATACACACAGTCGTCCAGTGATTGTGTATACATCTTCGCCGCCAAGATCAACAAGCCTCGCCGAATCCTTGATACGATTCTTATTTCGGCATGCTCCACCATATGACCGGCTTTTGTGCATATTTTTCCGACTCGGAATGTTCTGTACCCCAGATGATCGGCAGCGTACAACCGTGTAGTTTAATCTATAGAACTGTTCTAGCGCCAACTTCTCAGCGGGAAACCATGTTTTTTGTGCTCAAGGAACGCATAACAATTTCTTTTGAGACCAGGCTGATCTCCCAATTTAGGTGCCAGTCAGGAGCCGAGGTGAATCTGAAGGCAAAAAGCAATATGAGCTAAGGTATAAGAGTAGGCACACCTGCGCTTGGAATATTCTTCACAGGCAACTACCACAACATTCATTTCACTCCAATAGTCCACCAGCCTCTCTCACCATGAAGTTCTCTATCGTCACTCTGCTTTCCGTCAGTGCTCTGGTTGCGGCCGCACCCGTCGCAGACCCAGAGCCTAGCTTGGACACACGCCAGGCTACTGAGAGCATCCACGATGCCATGGTAGCCAAGGGAAAGAAGTACTTTGGTACTTGCGCCGACCAAGGGCGTCTCAGCCAAGGCAAGAACCAGGCCATCATCAAGGCCAACTTCGGACAAGTCACACCCGAGAACTCGTACGTACACACGCCTATGTGAACACGAGTAGATTTCTAACGTCTGCCACAGTATGAAATGGGATTCCACAGAGAGCTCCAAGGGCAACTTCAACTTCGCTGGTGGAGACCAGCTCGTCAACTTTGCCACCACCAACAACAAGCTTGTGCGCGGACACACTACTGTTTGGCACTCACAGCTTCCTGGATGGGTGTCACAGATTCGTGACAAGAACACTCTCACCGATGTCATGAAGAACCACATCAACAAGCTTATGGGCCAATGGAAGGGCAAGATCTACGCCTGGGATGTCATCAACGAGATGTTTGAGGAGAATGGCAACTTCAGGGCCAGTGTCTTCTACAATGTTTTGGGAGAAGACTTTGTGAGAATTGCTTTTGAGACTGCCCGTGCTGCGGACCCGGCGGCCAAGTTGTACATCAACGACTACAAGTAAGTGTTCCATGTTACAAGTTGCGATACGTCCGCAACCTTGATCCCTCAAGCACGGAGCGTAAAAGCTAACAGGACACTCCAGCCTCGACCAAGCCAACTACGCCAAAACCCAAGGTATGGTCCGCAACGTCAAGAAGTGGATCGCTGCCGGCATTCCCATCGATGGCATTGGTTCCCAGGGTCACTTGACATCTGGCCAGGGTGCCAACGCTCCCGCCGCCATGGCCGCGCTCTGCGGCGCTGCCCCCGAGTGTGCGCTCACCGAAGTTGACATCCAGAACGCCCAGTCTGCTGACTGGACCAACGTCGTCAAGGCTTGCATGGGCCAGAAGAACTGCGTCGGTATCACTGTGTGGGGTGTTAAGGACAACGACTCTTGGAGGCCCCAAGGAAACCCTCTGTTGTTCGATTCCAACTCCAACCCCAAGGCGGCCTACACTACTGTGCTCCAGGCTATCAACTCGTCTTAAGCGCATATTATGGTGGAAGGGTTTTATATTGAGTTCATATTGTATATATTCATATTTTCAGGTAGCTGCTGTATATAGCGCATGTGTGGCAAAGCACTGTCTCTAAAGACATAAATTCATTTTTGTGCCACGTAAAAGTCAAAACAATGTGCTGCATTGATGTCTCCACTCATTTCCAATCATCACGGGGCAAATCTGGAGGCATATCAACATGGCAGTTGGCCTGAACAGATCCACCTATCATAGAAGCAACACTCTAGACCCAAATCCGGAATTTCATGCGATACGCAGGGCTTTTCGAACCAAAGAGCCGCTAATCTGGATATATCCTCAACCTGCATCCTTACTCCATGCTATACTCATTGTTCTATACCCGGTTGCGGCCCCACCTGCTCGCCTCGTTCCCGGAGGATCATGACAGACGCTTTCGGACACATTCTGCCGAAGTCTTAACTTGGCTGTTATGTTCCACATACTCTTTAGTGGGGGCCAATCTACATAAAAATTCGGGGATGCTTGGACGCGTAGTCTTCGGAGTAGTGCGCGGCAAGCTGGGAGTGAGACGAAATTGCGATCAAGAATGTTCGATGCTTCAAAACATTGTGGCTATAGAAAAAGACTTTGATTTGCATCTATCTAACGGTATCACAAACCCGGGACACTACCTGGTCGAGAGTTCTCACCGGGGACGAGTTCAACAGCATCCAATGAACCAAAAGAGTAAGAATAGAAATAATTAAAAACTTTATGAAGGCATGTCTGGATATTCCACAAGCCAGAGACGGCGACGACATCGCTTGGTTAAACTTCACTCAGCGCAAAGGGTCCCACTCAACCAACCCTCTCCACACATTGCCACCCATCTTCGTCCTTCCCATCTCCATCTCCACTATACACATTGACCCGAGGAAACTTACAATGCCTTCTCCTAAATTCCACCTCCCCATCCACACCCACCTTCGCTCCCTCCACAAACTCAGGCGCACCCCCACGCTCCACCCACTCCACAATCCTCAGCAACATGTTGTCTTCAGGCGTCGTCCCACCAGCGGTCGTCAGCCCGCCAAATTGACCCATGGAGCTCGCACCAGGCCCGTCCGTGCAGTGATACACACCACCGGTGCGGAAATAACGATAGAATTCATCGAGCTGTGCGGTGGTGGCGTTGAGCTTGGTTTGTACGGCCGCGTAGTAAGCGTCTGAGATGCCCGCGGGGATAACCATGTCAGCTGCGCCATGCCAGTGTAAGACTTTGCCTCCGCGGTCGCGGAACGCAGAGATGTCTGGGTCAAAAGCCGAGAAATTTGCACGGTCGAGATCGTGAGCATACTTGGCATCGGAAAGAGAGAGCGTGGAGATGTTCCAGGTTAGATCGTTGTAGATTATGTAGCGGTAGTATTCGGTGAGGGTTTCGCTTATGATGGAAGTGTTGAGATAACTGGAGAGGAGAAGTTCAATGCCGTGATCGAAGCCGGTGGGTAATAGGGTCGTGCCATTGTATAAGACAGGGGAGAAGAGCTTAGAGGCTGCGGAAATCTGCGTGGTAGTGAGACATGTTGACGTGGTGTTTGTTGCGCAGGATAAGGGCTTCCAATCGAGGTGGCATGCTTTCGGATCCTCAAGAATCCCATCGTTTGCGCCGTCGATCAAATCGCACTGTTTGAAAGATTCGTACTGAATGGCTGACCACTGTTCCGCACTCAGCAGAGGGTCGTCAGTCCCTAGTCGTATTTCTTGAAGTGCGGTCCCAAACAGGGCCATCAAACCTGCATAATCGAGAGCTGGGGCACCTGCGACTACACCATCGAACAGTTCTGGGTTCCTCTGAATCGTCGCCCAACCTTGCCGCCCGCCCATTGAGCATCCCATATAGTAGCTCTTTCCAAGATCCTGCTGGTAAAACTGTTTTGTGATCTCTTTCCCAACTAGAGTGCTTGCGTACACAGCTCTCCAGGAAAAATCCTCGAATACTTCAGGTTTGTTGTAGAACGCACCTGCCGAAGTACCGCTATGGCCTGCATCTATGCCAATACTGACAAAGCCATACGAAGAGGCGAATGAAAGAGTCGAGTACTGGATACCTGTTTTCCAACCACCAATGTTACATGCTGTTTTCGTATTTTAAGCGGGGACGGGAGCAGAATCACTCACATCCGGACAGACCACCTGTTCCTGTCGTCAAGACTCGCCCGCCTTCCCATCTCTCTGGAAGCCAAACCTCCACCATCGTCTCACTTTGACTGCTTGTTTCGACCCTTAGATTGAGCCTACATACCTACAAATCAATAAGATCAGCATCTTCTGTATACCCAAGAGAACTATTGTTCACCTACTCCTACAGGAATCGGATATGGACCTAACATCGCTAGTTGCTCCGCGCAGGTAGAATTTACTCCTTCCGAAAGAGGATCGAGTGTTACATTCGGGGCAATGTAGTCGGCAATGTTTACAGTGACAGGATAGTCGTTCGATTGCACCGTTTGCGACAGAGCCAAGCATCGCTCTTGGAAGTTTTTCGGTTTCAGAGAAGCTTGAGAGGTTGCAATTAATACGAAAACACTGGCTATATGTAGGAGTTGCATTATCGGCAATGTACAGACACTGTAAATCCAGTGATTGATGGGGGAGGAAAGTACAGTGATCTTGTGTATGCATACATCAGTACACCTATAAGAAATCCGATCTGCCATTGACTTGGTCAGGGCGTACTCCGCACTTCTGTTCTCGTCTCCGCAGCACGACCATCCGACTTAACACCACCACCATCAGCCAATGATCTTACAGCAACTGAATTCTTTTATTACTCATATCATGATAGCTGAAACCTATCAGGAGAAGCATTCAATGATTGAACGAATCACCGGGGATTGCAAAGCAACAGTTAGCTGAGTTGGAGCGGAATTCCGCACGCTGCTCCTTCATAGGGGCCCGTGAAAGTATTCCAGGCCGCATCTCACCCCTTTGATATGTTATGAGTATTCATACTACTGATACAATCGCTGCAAATAGCCACTGTGACTAATAAAAAGAGATTATTCCACTGTGGCTGATCCAAATGTAGACAACGCTACTTTCAGTTCAGATCAAACCACCTTAAAGTCATCGTATGCTTCGTTCTCTGCCATTTCAACATGAAGTTATGGCATTCAATCACCGCTAACACAACTTTCTCCTACCAGGATGTATGTACCTTCTGATTCCATAAGAGAGGACGATGTATGTCACACTGACCAACAGCCCGAGACCGTCTATCATATAGATGCAGAGCTTTCGAATGGGAATATAGCCCATCACAAGACACTTCAGATCTTGTCAAAATTAGAATATAATCATGGGAATCGATACTTTGAGCCCAATTACATTGGCGATTGTAGGCTTTGAAGCAAATGATACGGTAATGTATTTAGATCAGCAATTAATCATAGCAATCGTTATTTAAGCAATAAGGATCAAAATTAACTCTCTGAATTTGCTTTACAACGGAGACCGTCCATAGCTACGTCCAGATTGCAGACATTCACCAACTCAGCGAACAGCACGCTGAAGCGGGGTAATCATGTAGGTATCAAGAGGTACAACCTCATCTATCCACCTCTTCTATACCATCACACTGTGATCACAACAACCCATCCGGTATTCCAATGTCCCCAAAAGAAAAGGAAAATGCCGCCGACCAATACACTGACAGTATCCTGCCTCTGCGGCGCTGCAACGCACACCTTCGCAGTCCCTACCTCCTCCCTTCCTCTACCCTCACAACTGTGTAATTGCACGACCTCCCGACGGATCTCAGGCTCGCTACTCACCAGCTATATCAATATAACCCACGATCCAGACTCCACATCATCATCACCACAGATACTGGAACAAAGCAAACCAGACTTGTCGCGTCTAACACCATATCCAAGCTCAGATATCCTGACGAGATGGTTTTGCGCAACATGCGGAACACACATGTATCTCGAATACCTAGCAGACGGGCACTTCGAAGCTGCCACCGGCACATTAGATAATGTAGACGGTATTGTGCAGTTCGAGAGTTGTATGTGGATTGGCGATACGATAGAGGGAGGTGCCAGCCAGTTCATCACACACATCGACAGCATACCACTAAAACGATATTTACAATCACCGCGAAAAAGCCCCGAAATCCCTTTACACTGGAAAGATGCTAGCTGTACGGCGACAAACGATGTAGCTACTGAGAGGAAAAAAGGAGAAAAAGTCCGCGCCACATGCCATTGTGGAGGCGTGCAGTTCTACATCTCACCGCCTGACGCTAGATCCCAACTCGCGACTTCGCCGTATCCAGATCTCATGGTCCCGTATCATGGCGGCCCAAGCGCTGCTGCGAATCCCGAGAATCACGCATGGTGGATCGTAGGGGGTGATCGATTCCTGGCGGGGACGTGTGCGTGCTCGACGTGTCGACGGGCATCTGGGTTTGATGTCACGTTTTGGGGGTTTGTTCCTACGTCGAATATCACGTTGGATGCAGAAGGCGAGATTCCTTTCACGCGGAATGGAGGGAGATACTGGGGTGCTATGAAGTCATATCGATCATCTGAGAGGGTTACGAGGACGTTTTGTGGGAAGTGCGGTGCGAATGTGTTTTGGGATGGCGATGAGAGGCTGAGTATTGTTGATGTGGCTGTTGGATTGTTGGATGCGAAGGAGGGAGCTAGGGCGGAGGGGCTGCTTGGTTGGTGGTATGAGCGAGTGAGTTTTGAGGAAGAAGCGTTGAATAAGGAACTGATCAGAGGACTGAGTGATGGGTTGAGGGATTGGGGGAGAATGAGTGAGGAGAAGGGGAAGGCGGAAAATGATTGATCGATTGTCAGTGCATTAAAAGTTGCGTCTATATTATGGAGAGGTTTATGACCAGACGGATACCTCAGTTCAGATGCTGTCATTGCGCGTTCTTTGCCTGGTCATAGGACAGTACAGGTAGATTTGCTACTAACCAAGGACTACCAGCACCTGCGTGATTGTGTATGTATCGGTACCCTTATTCACCTTAATATACTCAACCAGAAAGTGAGATCAGATTGACACAAATTAATTGATGAATAATGAGAACAAACAGACAGTTCAAGTTCGGATATGGAAGAAGTCGAGATTTGGGATGGAGACAGTTGATATAACAGATACCAAAAGGGTTTAGCCTCTTGGCTGGCACCTCCGAGCTCCGACGCATCTAAACTTTGTAAGAGGAACAGACGACAGCAACAATTCTCCCTGCGACCACGGACAGGACCACACAACGCCGTCCATGGCTCACCCGAGACACCTCATCGCTCCGCTAAGCAGGATAGCACGTCCTTCCATTGCCCTTGCCAGACCCGAGGTACCGCGACTTATCCCCAATACGTTCCAATCGATACGATGCGCCGCAAACAAGACCCCCAAGACCCCCAAGAGGAAGAAGAAAGTCAGCAGCGTGTTCAGGCAGTATGATCTGAGAAATGCGGAACAGTTCTCGCTCGTTGATGCGATGCAGTATGTCTCTCTTTTTCTCGCTGCTTGATGTCACGTTGGGAACGTTCGGGAGAAATTCACGACGAAGTTGGGATGGAAGCTGATTGAGAAACTTGTGAATAGTTATATCCGCGCTTTCGAAGTCGGTCAGAACACATCGTCGGTGAAATACGAAATGCACGTCCGCTTCCGCACCCTCAAAAACGGCCCCGTGGTCCGCAACCGCTTACGATTGCCGCACGCCGTCAAGACGGACATGAAAATCTGCGTCATCGCGCCGCCGAACAGCAAAGCCGCCAATGAAGCTCGCGCGGCCGGCGCCATTCTCGTGGGAGAGGAAACGGTTTTTGAGCAAATACGTGAAGGGAAGATCGACTTTGATCGGTGCATCTGCCATACCGAATCGCTGCAGAAGTTGAACAAGTCTGGAATAGCGAGGATTTTGGGTCCGCGAGGATTGATGCCCAGCTCGAAGATGGGAACGGTCGTGGCGAACATTGGGTCTACGGTTCAAGACATGGTAGGTGCGAGTGAGTACAGGGAGAGGATGGCTGTGGTGAGGATGGCTGTGGGACAGTTGGGTTTCACTCCCCAGCAGATGCAGGCCAACATCAAAGCATTCATGGACTCAATCAAGAAGGATGTCGCGCAACTCAATGATCGGATAAATAAGGAGATTCACGAAGTGGTAAGCCGTTTTTTTGCTCTGCCCACCGGATACGAGTTTGTTAACATGATGGAACAGGTTCTCAGCTCCACCCACGCGCCAGGGTTCACGCTGAACGGCGAGTTCAAAGGTGCTAATTCGATAGAGCCTCAGCTTTTGGCGGGGCCCCTGTAAGATGTGTATTTAAGTGTACGAACATTGTACCATACTATTGATTTGCAACAACTTCAAAACGCCTTCGCTATGCTGGATATCGTGCTGTTCTTTTGTTTTCTTCTCAATGACCAATTCGCCCCCTTTTTTCATGTCTTGAGTGACTTGAGCACCTTGATTGCTTCGACAGACTCGTCCATATCCGCGTAGATGTTCATAATCTTCACCACACGACCTTGGCCCGAAACACCCGCATTCTTCGCCTGTTGCAACGCCGAGCTCAAATCCAGGAGAAGCGTATTCCTAACCTTGATCAAGCGCGGCGCTTGAGCCTCGACAAACGGATGATCAGCCATGCTCTTCTCCAACTGCAGCACAATCCGAAACTGCAAAGAGTGCCTCCTCAACCTCGCAATCGACACCCCAAACGTGTCCCCCTCCCCCTCACTATCCTCATCCTCATCTTCCTCTGAAGAATCCTCATCACCACTCCCCTCAACCTCCCCATTCTTCCCCACCGCACCTCCATCAACCAACAACTCCTCCTCGAGCGCCTTCAGCCTCGCATCAAACTCCACCAACCGTCTCCCCAACACAATCCCCCTCCTAACCCCGACCTTCTCCTCAACCAACTCCCCAACCTCGCCCTCCCTCCTCCCAACAACGTCCCTACACCCCTCAACCTCCTTCCTCAACCCCAACAACCCCACCCTCACCTCCTCCACCTTCTCATCCCCACCCTGCAGACTCCGTCCCAACCCCAAGAAATCCTGATAATTCCCATTCACGAGATCGAGCAGTTCGCGCGAGAGCAGCTGCGAGCGCGCGCGCAGCTCGGAGCGCAGGTCTTCGAGCGTTTGGTGCCGGTTGTGCAGCGTGGAAAGGTACGATGTCGGTGTGAAGTCGGGGGCCAGGAAGGCGGACCGCGGGAGGGGCTCCGGGTACGGGAGCGTGTCGAGGTCTGAGGTGCTTGATGTTGGGGAGGCTGGGTCTTCTTGGGTTACTGAGGGGGAGGAAGAGGAGCCGAACTAGAGCATTTTATTTTTAGCTAAGTTGCGGGATCGATTGCATGTGTGGGAGGTTGGCGATGGTGGTGGTGGTGGTGGTGGTGGGGGACGTACGTAGAAGTTACTCATGGTTGGGGTTGGAAAGGGGTTTGTAGCATTGCTGGGGATTATTATTTTGGGTTTCGGAGAGGGAATTGATTCAGGGAGCTTTTGTGTTTCTTTTTTTTTTTCGGGGGAAGATGGGGAGAGAGAGAGGGATGTGCAGTATATGGTGTTGTGTAGAAGGTATCGACAAGTGACTACATGAGAACATTCAAAGTACTATACTGTACTCGGGTGCGGTTCAGCCACCGCTGCTTATCGATAAGACACCCGATCCACCCCCGACCGACCTCGGTCAGCTTTCCCATCCCACCTTATCTCACTTCTCCTGCTCGTCGTCGAGGATTGCGCAAGAGATTGACGTGTCTCTGGTTGGTAATCGGCGCTGTTCGTCGTCATTCCATCTCCAGATACCGCCTCTTTTCCCCGGAGTGGGGGGTACGGCACGCTTGATTACTTGTGCTCCTGCTCCTGACTAATTCCCGTGTACCTACTGGTTGGTGGGTATGATAATCATGGACTAATCGTTCTCGCTCCCGCGTCGTATACTCCTCTTGCTTGTGATTGTCATTTCCCGTCCTCAAGTCCTTTTTTTGCTCGATCAGTATAGAGTCACGCTCTTCTTCTTCTTCTTCTTCTTCTTCCAAGACATAGATACTTACCTAGGTAGTTACGCTTCCTTTTTGTTTTTCAAAGCTTGACTTCTCCCAATCCGGCCGAGCCCGTCCCCTCGATTCTTCTACGTCATCCATCATCCCAACCCGCTTCTCCCAAAACCTCTCCCACGACCAAAATCGAGACGATGCCAAAGCCGGTCCCTGCGCTGCCCGAGCCCGCGCACGCCACCGTAGACTCGATGTTGAGCCGCAAATTCGGAAAGGAAGTCGCGAATTACTTTTCCGGTAGCTACTCACCTACCCCTCAATCCAACCCCGTTCCGAGCTCCTCTTCGCGCAAACAGACTCTGTTAGAGTATGAGGTTCAAGAATGTTGACGATAGATGCTAGGCTCGCCTTTGAATCGCGTGTCTTTTCTCCGGCCCGACCACGCTTTTCTCTCTTCCGCCCTCAGACACCCTAGTACGGCTTTCGTGCTGTTCAATGAGCTCGACCCGCTCGTCTCGTCGCCGCATTCCCTCGCCACTGTTTCGTACTCGGATGTGAAGCCCGTCATTGGCGAGGATCCGTTTGCTAGTAGCGAGGAAGAGGTGATCAAGGCGTACAACTCGTCGACATACCTCCCGCAAATCATCTTCTTGGGTCTTGACGAGCGCAAGGGGAAAGAAGGGTTTGTGTATAAGGAGCATTATAAAGGGCAGCCGTGGTTCGCGGTCGATGTTACACCCAAGGAGAGCGTGAAGGACGCGGCGGAGAAATTGGTCGAGGGGATGAAGGCGAAGGGGTTGGATTTTCAGAAGGGGAGGATGAATATGGATCTTGAGGCCCAGGATGGTACGTTGCATACCCACCAGTTCCTCTTTCTAACCTCTTCTCTATTTCTCTCACATAAATGCATGTGCAATATGAGAAAGAAGAGAAAGAAGTGTATAGATCGACATACTAACACACGTCTCTACAGCCGCCATCTACGCCGAAGCCCGCCACCTGCTCGACTGGAACGCTCGAAACCCCTTCTGCGCAGCCTGCGGGTACCCAACGCTCTCAATCAACGCCGGTTTCAAGCGCACCTGCCCGCCAAAGGACGTCGCGCCCTCGATCCAGAACCCCGAACGACCCCCCTGCGCAACACGGAAAGGTATCTCGAACCTCTGCTTCCCCCGCACAGATCCCACCGTCATCATGGCAGTCGTGTCCGCAGACGGCCAGCGCATCCTCCTCGGCCGCTCGAAACGCTTCCCGCCAGCTTGGTACAGCACGTTGGCCGGCTTCCTCGAGCCCGCTGAGTCCGTCGAAGAGGCCGTGCGCCGCGAGGTGTGGGAAGAGAGCGGGATTCATTTGGGTCGCGTCGTGATTCACTCCACGCAGCCGTGGCCGTACCCTGCGAATCTCATGATTGGTGCAATCGGCCAGGCGATTCCTGGTGGTGAGGAGATCCATCTGGGCCATGATGCGGAGTTGGAGGATGCGAAGTGGTATACGGCGGAAGAGGTGAGGGAGGCGCTGAGAGTTGGGACGAGTGGGTTGGGCGAGGAACCTGGGCCCGATTATAAGGAGGGCGGGTTGAGGTTGCCGCCGAAGACGGCGATTGCGAATCAGTTGATCAGTGCGGTCGTGAACGGGTTTGCGAGCGGGAGTCCTATGATATAGATAGATGGTTGTTTGGAATAGATGCATGTATAGAATGCGGGTCTTGCGTAACTTGTTTATTGTGTGTTCGGAAAATTCGTCTATGCTTTTACTAATTTTTACAATGTGAAGGTTGAAGAAGGTGATCAAGGTAGGACAATGTACTTGGTGAGATGCTGGGGTATCGAGCTGAGCAGCTTCTTCTCCTCGAGCCACTTCTTGGAGAACAGACGGTCGGCGTAGCGATACGCTCCGTCGCAGAGGAGCGTGACGACGGTGCTGCCTTTGCCCAGCTTCTCAGCCACCTCTTTAGCTGCCACAACGTTCAAGCACGAACTGGCTCCAAGATACAACCCTTCCTCATCCAAACACCTATACACCATCTCAATCGTCTTCTCGTCGCTGATGTGCAACGAGCCATCCAACAGCTCAACATCCGGCTTCAAATTATCCGTGATACGGCCTTGCCCGATCCCCTCAGTGATCGACCCGCCAGCGCGCTCGGCAAGCTTCCCTCCACTCTGGATATAAGAATGCAGCACCGACCCGGGGGGATCCGCCAGGAAACTCTTAACTCTCCCCCCACTCTTCTCCTTCAAATACCTCGTCACACCGGCCAACGACCCCCCTGTCCCCGTCGCACACGTAAATGCATCCACCTTCCCTTCCGTCTGATACCAAATCTCCGGGCCCGTCGTCTCGATATGCGCCTGCCGATTCGCCACATTATCAAACTGGTTCGTCCACACCGCGTTCTCCAACCTCTCAGCATGCCTCTTCGCCTGATGATTATAATTCATCTCGTTATCAAATGCCACCGCAGGAACCGGATACACCTCGGCGCCCAACAGTCTCAGCAAATCGATCTTGCCCTGCGATTGCGTATTGGGCATGTATATGACGAGTTTGTAGCCCTTTGAGCGGCAGACGTGGGCGAGGCCTATCCCTGTGTTTCCCGCTGTGCCTTCGATCACGGTACCGCCTGGTTTTAGGAGGCCCGCGCGTTCGGCGGCTTCGACGACGTAGAGGGCGGCGCGGTCTTTGACTGAGCCGCCGGGGTTTTGGAATTCGGCTTTGCCGAGGACGTTGCAGCCGGTTTGTTCGGAGAGGCGTTTTAGGCGGATCAATGGGGTTTTGCCGATTGCTGTGACGAGGGAGGATTTGTTAGTTATGCTGTGGGTTTGATTTGTAATTCGTGGGTGAAGTAGTAGTTGGAGTATCCATCATTTCTGTGTAGTTTGCGGGGACATGGAGACGAGAATGAAGTTGAAGCCAATTGGAAGCTTCGAAAGATAAATATAGTGACGCAGTATAAGTAAGAAGAAAGTATTGTGTCGACATACCATCGAGGAATCCCCGCTGCCCAATGCCCTGCGCTTTGGAAATGTTGATGCCGGTTTGATACGAAGCTTCCAACTGCGAGAGCGACTCAGCCCTCCTCCAGGCCGAGGCGGCAAAGCTTCGCGACGCGGTCCGGAACATTATCAAGGGCGAACGAAAATGTGTGGTGAAGTGTTTGTCAATGAGGATTCCTCGGAGCTCGCATCAGACAGACAGTTAGCACAGACCGATGTCGCAATCGCGCGCTAGTCTGCCCGCACGGCGTGGCTAAAGTGGCTGAACACGTGCTTCCGCGATCAATCCCGCTTTGCCTGTTTGGGGAAGAACAAAACAACAAACATCAACGACCCCTCCCACTCACAGTTTCTCGAAACACAGTACACAACAACGACACCAAAGCCGGAACGAAAGGGAGGACGCGCCAGTAATTCGCAACGTTTTCTGAACAGGAAAGCGAGAGAGAAATCACACAATGCCCGGCCGCGCATCCACGAGATCAACTCGCACCTCGAGTGCAACAACAGCATCAACAGCGGCAGCACCCACACGCAGATCAACTCGCGGGTCCGCCTCTGCTCGCGCCTCAACCAACGCCGTTGATATCCCAGACGAGGGTCCCGAATCCTCGCTCCGCACACAAGTCAGCCAAATCTTTGGCGATGCCCAGAACACAACTGCCACGCAGCGCAAACTGCTGACGAGTTTGAGAAAGCTGCAAGAGCGATGTTGTTTCGAGGTAGATGAAGAAAAGAAGAAGAAAAAGGGACCCCAGGAAGAAGAGTTTGACGAAGAGGAATTCAATGGGGAGGTCATGCGGTGTGTGCTCAGGATATTGAGCGTGAAGAAGGGCGAGAATGTCGGAGATCGTGTTATCCGATTCCTAGGTCTTTTTTTGAAGCATGCGTCGGATAAAGGTGAGTAAACTTCACATAATTAGACTCGGTGCTTGTTGTTTGCGGGACTGATAAATACGCTCACAGACCAAGCCATTTTCCAGACTGAAGACGAAGAGGAAGCGGCTGCGTTCAGGGAGACACCTAGTAGCCGTCTGACCTCTCACATCCTCACCACACTGATCGGCTTCTTGACAGCCAAAGACAAGGTCGTTCGGTTCCGCGCGACACAGACAGTAGCCCACATCGTTAACAACCTGGAGCAAATCGACGACGAGATATTCGACCTCATCAGACTCGGCTTCCTAAAGCGTCTGCGCGACAAGGAGTCTTCGGTGCGCGTGCAAGCAGTGCTTGGGCTGGGCCGCCTTGCCGGTAACGATGACGAAGAGAATGAAGATGAAGACAGCGATGAAGATGTTGCTGGAGGCATCTTGGAAAAGCTCATGGACATCATGATCAACGACTCGAGCGCAGAAGTACGACGCGCTGTGCTTCAAAATCTGCCTTTCTGGCCGTCAACTCTCAAATACATTCTGGAACGTGCTCGAGATATGGATCCGTCGATGAGGCGCATAGTGTACGGAAAGATTTTGCCTACGTTAGGCGATTTCCGTCACATGTCGCTTGTTGAGCGCGAGAAGTTAATCCGCTGGGGACTGAGAGATCGCGACGACATCGTTCGTAAAGCAGCTGCCCGTCTCTTCTGCGAGCGGTGGTTAGAGGACTGCGCCTCCTCCCACGATACTCGTCCCGCGGAAGAGAAGAAGCCCGGAGAGCCTGCCCCTCTTAACATTGAAGCTCTCACGGAATTGTTGGAGCGTATCGATGTCACCAACTCAGGTGTCGAGGATGGAATCGCTCACGAAGCCATGCGTGAATTCTGGGAACTGCGCCCCGACTACCGCGAATTCGTCACATTCGACCACGAGTTCTGGCAAGATCTCGACGCCCAGCAAGCATTCATCGCGCGAACTATGAACGATTATTGCAGCAATGTCGAGGACGACAGAATCAGAGACATGATTGAAGATAAGATGCCTGAAGTTACCATGTTTGCGTTTGTGGTTCTGAAACATCTCAACACTCTAATGGAACTTGTCGAGAAAGTCGCGCTCATGGACGAAGACGATCCTGAGACCGAGGAGGCTCAGGAAGATGTTGAGGAGAAGGACTTTGTCGTTCAACAATTGCTCCACATTGCTCTCACTCTGGACTATAGCGATGAAGTGGGTCGACGGCAAATGTACAACATCATGCGAGGCGCACTCGCTCGTGCTCAACTGCCCGAAGAGTGTACGAAGCTCGCTGTCGAAGTGTTACGTACATGTTGTGGCACCCGTGGCGAGGCCGATTTCTGCGCGGTCATTCTCGAAGCCATCGCTGAAGTTCGTGATACGCTTATGGACGACAATGCGACCGAGCAAGGCGAGGATGCAGAGGACTCTTTCCACTCTGCTCAGTCTGATGTCAGCGAAGATTCAGCTGTTCAAGCCGCATCGAGCAAGAAGAAGACAGTCAAGCAGCTCGATCCGGAAGAAGAGGAAGAGAAACGGATCCGTGAAGTCATGGTCTACTCCAAATGCCTGCACATCGCTCAGTGTACACTGCAGAATGTACATTGCGATCTCGAGTCAGATAACTCGCTGACTACCATCCTGAACACATTGATTATCCCTGCTGTTCGAGGTCAAGAGGCCATGATACGGGAACGTGGTGTGATCTGTCTGGGTTTGGGCGCACTCCTTAGTAAGGTATGTGATATTTCAATCTATCCCGCTACATATGGCACATCTAACGTTTTTTTTAGGATCTCGCTTTGAAGAACCTTGATTTGTTTTTCCACTGCTTCGCCAAAGGCCACGATGCCCTCAAAGAAATCGTTATCCAAGTTCTCGCCGACGTCATCATCACACATCCTTCCCTTCTCGCTCCCCCTGCCCCTGATTCAGAATCAGAAGAAGAAGAAGAATCCGCTGAGCCCAAAGAGAACCCTCTCATTAGACCCCTCACCAAAGTCCTCCTCAAATCATTCCGTTCCGACGACACCCAAATCAGTCTCATGGCCTGCACTGCATCATCCAAACTTCTCCTCCTCGGCATACTCCCACCCACGGCCACAGCAGAGGTCCTCCGCGCCTTCGCCCTCACCTACTTTGACCCAGAAACCGCGCACAACCCCGCCCTCCGACAAGCGCTCAGCTACTTCCTCCCCGTCTTTTGTCATTCGAAGCTCAAGAACGCGCTCCTCATGGCACAAATCGCAGTCCCGGTAGTTTCAAAGCTTCTCCTCATGCGCGAAGACGTCAGCGACGAGGGCGACGAAATGGTCAGCTGGCCAGTCATCACCGCACATCTCGCAGACTGGACCGATGGACGCAAGGTCGTAGGCGTAGGCGTCTCCTCCACCACCACTCCCCTCGACCCTGCTACCGCCGCCCAACAAACCCAATCTACAGAACAGCAACAGCAAGCTGAAGAACCGCATATCCACCTCGCAACTGACATTCTCGAACGTGCCCTCGCGCACGCGTGCTCCAAAGATGAACGGAAACCATTACTCACCCTCCTTGGCAAACTCTCCATTGCGTCCGCGGGACCCCCGCCGCTAGACGGCGGTGACGCCCTACGTGCGCTTCATGAACTCTCTACTGAAGCCGTCGAAGCAAAATTAGGCATGGACGCCACCCAACGAAACGCCCTCGCAAAACTCGAAGCGAATCTCGTCAAGCGCTTAGGCAATGTAGAACCCGAACCCTCCGTTCACGAAGGCGACTCCGCCGCTACTGTCACCACGGGCGCTGGCGCAGAGGAGTCGAAGAAAGGCAGTGTTGAGCCTGCGGAGACAGATGCAGACGAAGAAGAAGAGGAAGAAGAAGATACCATGATGGCAGGGGTTCAGGGAGAGGGCACCAGAATGCCGCTGGAATATGAAGAGGAGGGGGATTTGGAGGGTAGCAGCGAGGTCACGCAGACTTCTGTTGGAAGGAAGGGGAAGGGCGTTGCGGTCACTGAGAGCGATATCGTGGATGACCTGTTGGATAGTGAGATTTCGGAGTAGAATTGTTTGATAGGCGCTGGAATGGCTGTGTTTCCGGCTGGATTAGGTTGGCGTTCCTTTTTTGCGGTGTTGTTGTTATCGAGATTATATGGTTATCTCCGCATTTTGAGGCTCAGGGAGGAGGTGTTATGGTGTTTTCGTGTGGTAATGCCGGCATGTTAGACTTGGCTTTTTGATTTCCAATAATCATTTTTACTGTTGATATCGATTCTCTGTTCTTCGGGCATTGATTGCCGGTGTGCTTACTTACCTATGCTCTAAGTCGGCGATTTATTATGCCCCTCCTTGTCCTGCATGTTGTATTACAAAATGTCAGCGAAACGAAGTCAGACTTTTCCCGGCATACAAAAAGAAAAGCAAAATGTAAGCCCACCACAGAGCATTATAAAACCCCGAGATACCTGTCATTCCCCTTGTCTGGCTTTCGCTGATTCTGCGTGACCCAATAGATTTAAAATCTAACATCAAAAAGTCTGTCCCCATCCTTCTAGATATCAACTCATCTCCCTACATCACCTTCCTACATCAACTTCATATCCCTAAAGAAACAACCTCACTCTCAACATTCTTCCCCTGAACCTCCACAGTCATCTTCCCTCCGCCCCTCAAAACGTCATACTCGATGTCAATCGTCTCCCCAGGCCACAAAGTGAGATAATTCCGCGAAAACACAACCACGGCATCGCTCTCCCCTCCTTCCTCCTGCGCAACTGCTAACCGCACGAATACGGCGGGGGTTTTCGCCGTGTTCTCCAGTGTTATAGCGTTCGCGTTAGCAGCGGCAGTGATGCGTAGTGTAGCGGGAGAAAGGTCGTTCAGTGCCGTGTAGTCTGCGAAGCTGGATACTGGCGTGTGATACCACGTCGACTCATCGTAGTCTAGGATATCTTTTTTCGCGGAGATGGTGTAGGTTGTTCGGTATACGACTGTGTTGCTGTTGTTTCTGGTGGGTGTAATGGTTGGGTTGTCATCGGTGGTGGAGGGGTCTTCGAGGAGACGGAGGCGTAAGAATGCTACGTTCTCGATTTTGGATAGGATGGTGGAGAGTTTATCGCCGAGCGGTAGCTTTGCGCTGGAGTTTGGAAGTGAGGTGGTGTTGGTCAGCGAGTGGGTGATTCCTCCCACCACTTCCCCTTTTAGGTTCATGACTTCGATGTCCACTGTCCTCTTCAAATCCGGTGAAGGCACCACTAATCCTCGATCTACAACGTACACCTCGCTAGTCTCGTAGTCGTATACCAGCGTTTGCAGATCGCTAATTGCGGCTTTGACACCGTAGAACGAACCACCGGGTTGGAGGTAGAAGTCGAAGAGATTCCAGTGAAGTGATGGCCACGCGTTATTCAGCATCCAATACACCAACCCCGTAGCCGGCCGATCCGCAGAACTCCACCTAGCAGCAAACATGCCAAACTGCGCCTGCGTGGCTTCGAAATCCGCCATCTGCGCTTTCTCGAGATAATCCTCCAACGACCCGGGCGTACCGTACCTAGCCCACAACGCAGAGTTGTAGATCTCGCGCGTATAGAATGACGAAGCCTCGGTACTCATATGATATAACCCTTTATTCGGCTCCTTCCATAGATCCTCTAGATCGTTAGGTGATAGAAAGCGAGAAAGCGAGGGGAGCAGCGGCGTCCCCACCCCAGCCCCGAGTTCAGACCCAAACCCAAACGCGCCGCCGAGCTGCGTCGAAGAGGGCCAGTAGTTTGGCGGGACCCAATCGTACGGGCCTTCCATCTTCATGCCGCTGTTCCCGAGGAGCGCTGGGAACCCGCGCTGCGACGCCGACGAGATAATCGGGGTATCCCATTCATACGCCTGCAATGCATCGACGTAGATTTGGGTCGCCGTGTCGTCGGGCCAGAAATCGCTGCCGACTAGGAATCCTAGCATCGATGGGTGGGACTGCATGAGGGAGGCTTCGTGCCGCATCGACGAGTTCGCGATGCTGTAGTCCTGGGGAGTCCATGGTAGGCCGGACGCTTCGTCGTTGTAGGACCAGCCTTCCCATTTATCGCAGCATTCCCAGCCGGCGAGGATCATGAGGCCGAGCTCGTCGGCGAGGGCGTACAAGGGGGCGTGTTCTTGCTTGCCTTCGAGACGGATGGTGTTTAGGCCCATGGCCTGGACGAGTTGGAGTTGTGTTTGGAGTTTGGTCGGGGAGAAGCGGAGGAATATGTCTGATGTGTAGCCTGCGGCTAGAACTTGGAAGGGGATGTTGTTTACATTGAACAGAATGTCGTTTTGGGGGTTGAGGCTTGATGTTACTTTGCGGATGCCGAAGCGGAATGGGGGGTGTGTGGAGGAGAGTCCAGAGCCCGTCGTGAATGCTCTGCATGTCGTGTTGTAAAGGGGCTGGGAACCCCATTGTTTGGGCCACCAGATCTGCGGGCTGGGGATCTTGGTGGTGAGGATGGTTTTTTGTTGCGGCTGAGCGTCTCCTTTGAAGTTCAACGCAGTCCGTGGTCTCCCTACTTCTTGCCCTTGGGGATCATACACTATACACTCGACCTCCCCCTCGACACCCCCACCGTCACTACCCCCCCAATTCCGAACATCAACACCGAACCGAACTTGCCCATCTAGTTCCGTGTTCACGCTCACACTCTCGATCCCAATCGCCCCCGTTTGTACAATCTCCACGTCCCGCCAGACGCCAGTACCGTTATCAGGAGGATACGGATTCCAATCGACAAAGCCCAACGCAAAATCGCGATTATAGTCGGTAGGATACACCCTGATCAGCAGAACATTCTTCTCCACTTTTCCACCATGACCCGTAGCAGCGTTTCCAGCATCCCCTCCACTTCGGTCCACCAGCAAATCAGTAACATCAACCGTCACCCCCGTATACGCACCCGCCTGATCATCACCCCCCACAACCACCTCCCCATTCAAATAAACATCCGCGCGCGAGGAAATCCCATTCGTCCTGAGTTGATAAAACTTCGCTCCCCGCGTGCCATTTCCCCAACCCTCGGATCCCGCAACACTCCCCACATCGAACTCGGCGCGGTAGACCCAGGGAACCTGAAACACAGCCGTATCGACATCCTTCAGATTATCAGAGTAGAACAGCGACGTTTCGTTGTAAACCCCGTGGTCCAGTAACGCAGCCATGAGCGTCGCCTTGGAAGACCGCGTTTCGTACCATGCAGACACGTCGAGGTTCGGCGAGGACAGCGCGACAGCGTCGTTGCCGACTGCGGTGGTGGATTGGATATGCCATGATGGGATAGTCAGGATCTGCGCCTGCGCTGGCGTTGGTACGAACGGAGTCGTGCATAGCACGAGAACGGCGAGCATCATCATCATCATCATCATCATCATGGCGGTGGAGCGGAGTAGTGGGTAAACGTTGAATGCGCCATGAAACGTTATCTATCTATACAAAAAAAAAACTCACCTCCTCTTCTCCTAACGATCACAAGCAAAAAAGAAAAAGTGATACTCGTCACTCCACACACACACACATACGCACACCAATCTACATTTGAACTATCAGATTCCAACTCCGGAAGCTGGCTGGGCCGTTGATTATCTTGAGCTCGCCTAACCTCCTTGCCCTTTCACCCCCTCTTCCCAATTAACCCCCGCGTTCTCGGCACACATCATATACCTCTCTCTACAGATCCCCTACAAACTCTCTCTTCCACCTGACCTGACAATTGACATAATAAGGATCCGCCAAGATAAAGAAAATATGTTACTTTTTACCCGGGTACCTTTTTTTTTTGATAGGGGAGATGTTATTACCCCCCCCCCCCCCCTTCCTGCATTTGCATACAATGGTAGCTTTCTTTTAATCTCTTGTACTCAGCACTAAGCTTAAACAGAAGATGAATGCGGAGGGAGGTTCGATGGAGATTTTGATTGGCGTTGCTTTCCTTTTTTTATATATATTTAGACAGCCTTAGTTTAGGGGAGGTTTTTTTTTTTTTTGACGTTACACTGCATTACATGTAAATGCAATGCAATGCAGGGTGTAACATCTGCAAATGTTCTATTTTTTTTTTCCCTCGTTTGTTTCTTCGTTGTTGTAGTGGGGGTAAAACGGGGAGGAAAAGGGAGTAGAGTGGAAGTAGGGTTTAATATAGAATAGTGTTTGGGGTTTCGGGGCTTGTCGATATTCGAATTTCGGTTTTTTTAAAAAGGGGGAGAGGGAATTAAGGACAAAATGATTCTTTTACTTGTCTGGTTTTGGGGAGGATATGTGAGTGCGAGAACTAGTCTGAAGACTTTTGATTTTGGAATGATGTAGCTTTATAACTTGGAATGTATACGATAATCCCAAGCACTAGAGAGGGACATTTTATATATACCTATATTGCCAAAGAAAAAAATCAAGACACAGATACATCTTGGACTAATGTTTTTTTTTCTTTCTTTTTTTCTTTTTGCCGAGACGATTTCTTGGATCAATTACACATCATATAAATTCAATAATTCATGTACACGGTGAATAAAGGAGGAGAGGATCTTGAATAATGATGGGAAAGGAAGGAAATCAAACGATTCTATGGGTTTTCAATTCCCCAAAATCGTGAAGAAGAGGGGAAGATGGTGAGTTGAAGAGAGGTTACAATTTCCAACCGCGCTTCTTGGCGAGGAGAGTTTCTTGCCGGACAGCTAGATCTGCGATGATTTCTTCGCTTCCGCCGCCGACGACCTAAATTGAAAAAAACGGGTTGTTAGTTTTGAATTTTGGGGGAAGATGGGGGTTTTCCCCAGAGAAGAGAAAAGGGTGAGATTCCAAGAAAGATGAGGGGAAAAAAGAGAATGAAAGAGAGAAAAGAGGTGGGAGAAGAACATACCATCATCCTCAAATCGCGACTCATCTGCTCGACAACAGCGCCAGGCCCCCCTCCCTTCTGATACCCAGCGCCGCCGAAAATCTGCTGCGCCTCTCGATTCGCCATCTCCAGAAGCCTGCCACCGTGCACTTTTGCGAGCGCAATCTGGCCCGCGATATCCGGGTCCTGCCACGCGAGCGAGCTCTGCTGGATATGGTACGCAATCTGCTCGAGCCAGGCCCAATGGCTCTCGACATAGCGGCCAATGGTGGCAAGCTTGTGGCTGATGATCTGATTCGCAATCAGGGGTTTCCCAAACGTGACTCTGGCGCTCGCGTACTCGAACGACGACGAGAGGCACGTCCGCGCTTTGCGGTTACAGCCAATGGACATGATGAAGCGCTCTTTGTTGAAGTTCTTCATGATGATGGGGAAGCCGCGGTTTTCTGCGCCGAGGAGGTTGGAAACAGGTACGGCGACGTTGTCGAGCTCGACGAAGCTCGCGCCGCCGGATTTCTGGCCGCTGTTGGCGATGCGGCGGTGCGTGAGGCCTTTGCTGGACGTGGCGATCACGAGCACCGAGATTCCGGACATGCCTGGGCCGCCGGTGCGCACGGCGGTCGTCATGTGCGTTGCCCACGGCATGCCGGTGATCCATTTCTTGTAGCCGTTTACAATGTAGTGGGAGCCGTCTTCAGACTTGACGGCCGTGGTTTGGATGTTGGCGACATCGGACTACCGTCTAGAATCAGCAACCATGCCATCCATCACCCACAGTGGAGGGACAAAAAGAAGAAGAAGAAGAAGAAGGACGAAGAAAACATACACCACCACTCGGCTCCGTAACCGCCAACGCAACACTCGTCTCCCACGTAAACAACCCCGGCAACCACCTCCTCTTCTGCTCCTCAGTCCCATGCGCCACGATCGGCGGCACCCCAATCACACTCCCCCCCGTGAGCGCCGTCTGCACCCCGCCCTCGACCCGACTCGCCTCGTCCGTCATGATCATCAAGTGGAACAGATCCAGCTCCGCGACGGGGATGCCCGCGGGGCCCGGCACATGCTTGGGACGGTACGCGGCGGGCACGTCGGCGAAGGCGTAGCCCGAGCGCGCGTAGTCGAGTCGCGCTTCCCGCGGGGCTTCGCCGGCTTCCTCCCATTCCAGCATGTGAGGTTTCACCGCGGCATCGATGTAGGCGCGGATGCTGTTGCGGAGGTGCTTGTGCGATGCCGTGTAGTAGGGCGACGCGAGGGAGCTGTACCAGGATGGTTCGGCCCAAGGACCGAGGTTGCCAAAGGTTTCTTTTTGTGGTGGGTTGGGAGACATTTTTTTATCTTTTGATCAGAGATTGCTGTTCTCAAGGGGGAAGATGGAGGAGGGGGGTTGGAGGCATGGTTTTTTTTCTCAGCTCAAGGGGGGGAGCGAGGTGGTAGTTGTAGTAGCAGTAGTAGTTGTTGTTGTTGCTGATGGATGCTGATTGATTGCCCAGCCTTTTTTTTCCCCTGCTGAATTGCCGCGGCTGTTCCTCTGCGGTTTCGAGTAAGCATATGCTGAGTGAGTTCCAACATCTCCCCACACTTTTCTTCTCCACACACAAGCAACATACCCCATCATCTCCACTCCAGCATATCGTGGGGAGATCAATCCACCGTCAGAATAGAACTTTGCAGGAGACAAGTCCACGTCCCACTGTTACAAGGACCCCGAAAATCCCACGTGCGGACAAGTAACAATCTCTAACCCGACATCATTATTGCAGCTTCACAGTACTTTTTCTTCAGCGAAAAATGCTTCTATGTTTTGTGACGTGGATAGTGTTGATTTATTTTTTATCTTGATATCCGTTTCCGCTTTAGGGGAGATCAAGTAGTGCGATGTACATAACAGAATCGATGGAGATTCTACATAACCATGCCTTGTCGCCCAAGGAACTTTAGGTGTTTTCCCTATCCCAAACAGGCCCCACTTCAGTCAACCATGAAGAAGAAAAAATTAAGGTAGAAGATGCCCGAAACAAAGTAAAGGCAAAGAAAGAAGTGGGATAAAAAACCCCCAGTTCTTCGATATCATCCTTCGATGATGGGGGGAACAAATGTCTAGTTCCCGACTAAACATGTCCCCATTTCCCAGCGAGAGAGGTAGAAAAAAGTCTTTTTCACCAAACAACCACCAACAAGCTTCCTTTTTCTTCATCCATTAATCCCCCCCTCCTCCCAAGAAAATAAGAACACACCACGATTTGAATTCTCTCCGCGGAAAGAATGAAAAAGATTACCAATGTATCCCTTTGACCCTCTCCACCTCATCCGCAGGCAGCTCGCTAGCCATAGTGCGTTCCGGCAGCTCGCCCAACGCCACGCTCCTCTGCTCATAGTACGGCGACTGCTGCTGCTGCTGATGCATCCCCAAACCCATGCCCATCTCCACGCGCGTGTCCTGCGCATGCAACGAATTCGCACTGCCATCGAAACTCCTCGCACCCGTGGACCCAGCCCCGTGGATGGAGCGTTCCTGGAGTAGATAGCGGTTTTTCTGGTCTCTGCCGTAACTGCCGGCGAGTTCGGAAGGGTACGCGGTGGAGGCGGAAGGGAGTTCGGAAGCGGAAGAGGCCGAGTTGAGTTTGCGGCGCTGGGACGCGAGGGCCAGCCAGGCGCCGATGCCGATTAGAGCGGCGCCGCCTACGACTGCGCCGATTGCTATGCCGACTTTTGCGCCGGTTGCGAGGCCTTGGGGTGAGGGGTCTTGCGGGGAGGAGGGAGGGGACGATGTGTCTTCTTGTGGGGCGGAGGAAGCGATGGTGGAGGGGGCGGACGAGGTTGGTTGTGCGGCTGCGGCTGGGGGAACGGAGGAGGAGGCGCCAGCGGAGGAGGAAGGGTTAGCGGCGTTGGAGGAAGAGCTCGGGGAGTCTTGTTTCGAGGATGTTGGGGAGGGTTGCATGGAGCCTAGGACTGTGGTTGGGGCGGCGTCGAGGAAGTTCTTTGCTAGGATTACCGCGCCGATGTTCGAGTCTGGACTGCAGCAGTCTTTGTTGTTGGCGCCGCAGCACCATCTTTCCGACGTCGATGTGCCGTCGCAGGGTGTCATGTCTTTGAATCCGGATTCCTGTGGTATAGCTGTTAGCTTTGGTTGCATATTCGCGATATGGATAGCCAGTGGACTAAGTTGATTGCTGAGCAGAAAGATTGACGTACACCTTTGCCACATGTCGTCAAACAGTTCCCACTCTCCCATTCCTGCGACGTGCAGTATGATCGCCGGTAGTATATGGTCTGGTTCCCCGAGTCGCTGAAGGATTCATTCTGGCAGAGTCCATTCGGTAGACATGTATCCGCCGTATCTCCTGCCGATTTCAGTCCGCCGGCTGGGTTTTTGCGGTTCAGTGCGCAGCAGATGTTGCTGAGGGGGTCTTTTGGATCGTCGGAGCATGCTCGCCATTGCGGGTTCGTAGCTCCAGTACCGTCGGGAAGATAGCATTTTGCGTCTACCAAGCTCCCCACTAGGAGGAGCATGGCGACGATGGCTTGCATATTGGAGAAGAAAGAGTCTATCTGCTAGTGTGGTCTTGTATGGTTGTCGTATCTGATGTGAAAACAATACGGCTGTTGTTGTTCCGGAGTTGAATGATTGGATTGGCAAATGAGTGGAAGGGAGATGCGATTAAGGTAGTTGATTGGATCCAGATAGATGCGAACCGAATAATCTTTACGATGCGATTTCCAGAAATGAAAAGTAACAGTAGAAGAGAGTGAATACAGGGGAAATCCCCAGGAACCGTAGGGCAAGACTTGATGGCAACAACGAATTGAAGAAGAATGTAACAGATGTGTCGGTAGTGTCTCGAGTTCTCGCGCGAGAGGAAGAAGGAGGGCCTTAAGATACTTTTGAGGTGGGGATGAGCAAAGCCAAGGTTCATGCTAACCACTATTGATGGATAGGTCAGCACATTGTGTGTATAGCTAAGCTCTCCCTCCTATTCCCATACTACTAGAGGTTCTTGGACTTGTTGGAACAAATGTTCCGGGTTTGACTTGGGGGCCGAAACTCTTCACGGTCACGCTATTTGCAGGGGTCTCGGCTTCTGGAACCTTTCTGATTGAGTCGCTTAGTGCAGCTTCTACTAGAGCCTCATAGCGTGGTCAGGGATATTGTATTGTTCGTCTGTGCTTGCTGATGGGAATTGTCACTGTGTTAGGGGGCCTTGATGCCCTCGGGCGGCTCTGGAAATCTGGCAAGTGTCTTTTCTGACATACAAAGAGACACGCTTCGCAATTAGATGACTGTCAGCTCGGGAAGAGAACTCTCCGCGAAGGCGTGGTCAGTTGCAGCGCACCGGAATCGCGGCTATACAATGGGTGGAGTTGATAGTGGAGGCGAGAATCCACAGTCTGAACTTGGGGCAGGCTAACTTAGGCCAGCAACCTACGCGCCGGGCCATCGTATTGTCTCTTCAGCTAACAATCAGCCATGTACCAATTAGAGTTACCCACTGGGCGCAAACACCGTTAAGGTTTCGTTCCTGGGCTAGTCCGTGGGTACCTGTAACTCGCGGCGGCTATAGTACAAAGGTATGGATTTGCTTTTCTTTCCTTGGATGTAACTCGAAGATCAAGCAATGGCAACATCATAGTGATATTGCTTTCGAGTGTGTAATCATAGGACGGGCAATCGTAATCGCGCATGTCCATGTGGATTGATTGTTGGATGGTCACATGTCCTTCGTGGTGATATACACTGATTGAATAGGCTTATATTAAGGGAGTATTCACATTCTCCTTCATCTGTGTCCGCGATTCGAGGAGGGGAGATTGTAATAGTTATTTTGGGGTTGTTTTGTAGAAGAGAGTTCTCCACAGGGATACATTCTCAATAAGAATAGAAAAAGATAGACCGTAATATTCTGGGCAAACGATACCCACGTGATCGCTCGCTCGCTCGCTCATGTGTCAATTAACGCTCTCAAAAGAAAGAAAACAAGTCTATCACGTCATAACCATAACTTCGTTTCCACGCCCGATGGCAACATCAGAATCAAGCCATGAAGCTCTAGCGTAGGCGAGGAAGAACAAGCAGCACTTCAAGTGCGTGCTTTGGAAAGTGGGTGCGGCGAGGGGGAACGGCCCCTCAGGGCGGGGGAGCTTGGGCGGAGCATGGGACTTGCGGCGGCGCTCAGGGCATCGAGACTGAGCTGGCTGATGGCGTCAAGGTTGGTCTGCACATCCTCCTCGGTGAGGTCGAGCATGAGACGCAGCTCATCCGCCTTCAAGGCCTCGCCCATACCCACGGCCAGCTGTTCCTTGTTGGGGCTGTTTTCGACTGGGTAATAGTACCAGTGGTATCCTATGTCACCCAACTGATGTGGTTCCACAGCTGTGGTGATTCTGGCTATGCACCGGCGCACATCCATTCCGAAGATGCCGGAGACGTGGGGCTCGTGGCCGATGCCACCCAGGGTGGAGTTTTGTCGAGCAATGGCGCGGGGCACACGTGCATTCTTCTCGATTACAGATTCGCTGAGGCGGGTGGAGGCGCCAGCATCTTGCAGCCTCGCGCGCTTGAAGGTGGCTTTGTGCAGCTCCGTGGTTCCAACGATCATGTAGAAGGTGTCCGTCTGCTTCTCCTTGACGTGGTTGTAGATCCATTTCTGGGTATCCGGGTCATTGCAGACAAATTGGAAGGCGGCGATGGGCAGCTGGCATTCGCGCTGGATGATCTGCTCGGCCGTGACTCTCAGCAGATTGGGTTGCCTGTACACTCGGCCTAGATCAAACTTTGCACCGTACGCAGCCATGAAGCGGCCCTCTGCATCTACGGAAAAGAGGTCCTTGTAGCGGGTCTTGATGTGAGTGTCATTGAGGCTGTCGACATCTTCGTGGGCGCTGTCGGAGTAGAAGCAATCGCGATCGGGGTAGAGAGGGTGAGACAGCAGCTGGCCGACTACGACATCGTTTGCGGAGAGGGGTTTAGGAAGAAGGCCGTGAACGACCATGGTGTGTTGGATGCTGGCGGTTTATGTATGTGATGGGCTGTCAAGGTACCTGGAGGGAGGTAGAGGTGGGAGGTGGGGTTTGTCGGGCTGATATAGGAACAGCAGGCAGGCAGGAGAAAGGGGGCGAATAAGGCAAAAGCAAAAGCTTGTTGAGGAGTGATGGTCAACGTGGTTAGAGAATTGGGACCGCTGAGTCTCTGGGCTGACGGCGATGGCGCAGAAACAGCAACTCACGATATCATGACTCCAATGCTTGGACAATCCACCCCCATGAGCGAGAGAGGGTTGAGTACATGTTATATCTTAGCCACCGCTTGAATCAATGAGGTCTAGCGCTCTGTGGAGCCTCACGTTGCGCGCTGCCTCGGTGGCATTGGATGACGGACGACATCTCACGCATTGCTGTGTTCAATCAAAGACGTCCACGATGCTCTGGATGGATGGGAGAAAAGGAAAGAAATGCGCCTCGACGGGGGGCTTGACTGGAGGTGAGTGCACCGTCGGCGTGATTCTGCTCCATCAAAGAGACCGGTGGATTGATTAGTCATGACGCCAGAGGTCACGTGGTCGATACACCCTGAAAGTCCAAGTCTCGACATCTGAACACCTGAACGTCTGAACACCGGAGCCCTTTTATTACTACGACAATTGAGTCCTTCTGTACGTGTCTTCCTTCTCAGCTTTCCCGCTCCTATGGGAAGAGTCCCTCTCGCACGTACACGGACGCACTTCGCTCTTCCACAATGGGGTTTGAAACGGGCAGAAAGCTTGGCACCTCCGAGGCAAGTCTACCACAGCTCAGCCCCATGGCCGCCCCCATCTCCACCAAGTTTCACAAACAACACCACAGGTCGCATCCTCGCCGCATCCATCAAGAGGCGGGGCAGTGCCTCTTGCTCGAAACGCACCTCCATGTATGCGTACGTGTTGCCTGCGTAGTTTGGACGCATTCCCGTCCGATCGGCAATGCGCTTGGTTCCATCGTTGACGATCTCAATGAAGGCCGTTCAAGCACACCAACACTGCCCGGCAAGGCAGTATTTTGACTGCCCTCGCTCCTCTTCTCATTCATCAAAACAAGGCAAATACTACCATATGGCATCTCACTCAGCACGCACTTCGCACACCGGTCGGTGGTGGCTATTCTACATCGCTAATACCCCATCCATCCAACATCGTATCTGTACGTCCGTTGCACCGGGACTACTCTCGGACATTAAAACGTATCCAGATGCCAAATAGTATAGTGCAATCTCCAGGCCCCATTCGCTCCTCACACCAAGCGGCATGATGCGACTCGCTTCTATTCCCAGACTCCCGTTCAGGCCTCCCGCTCCGTCCACTACCCTTGCTATTAAGATTGTCACCCGTCTGCATGGAGATACAGAGGGACATGGGCTACTACCTGCATACTATATCCAACGCGGTACATATCTTAGTTATATGAACTTTTTTCGCTCCAAATTTCGCCCCAGGCCCCATGTAATTTCCCTCCCACTTTCCCCTCTTCCCCTCAACATCTGTCATTGCATCTACCCATTCCTTTCTCCCTTCCTTCTCTTGCATCGGTGCTCTGTCAAACGTGGTGCTTGCGCCTTGCGGTCTTCAAACTGGTCGTTCATCCGAGTAGAGGCTGTTTGTTGCGATTTGGTTTGCGCCGCCGCCGATCATCCGTGTTTCTTATACTACTATGGGTCAAGTAGGCCTCGCGCCGTTTCTGGTGCGCTACATCAAGCTGCTGGCTACAGCTGCCTTTGTCATACTGGTCTGGACTATCGTGGACCGCGCTGTTGAATCTCCCACACACTCAGAGCATGCTTCACGATCGCTTCAAGCGGAAAAATCACAGGCCGAACTTGCTATTCCACACGAAGAAGCATCCGAACAAGAGTCAGGACACAAGGATGCGGACGCTCCATCGTTGCCCAATGCCCCAACTCAATGGACCGATACAAACTCCACACTAGGTGTATGATTACCCTGTACTCATCATTCCTTTGTAAGGGATGTATCATCAAGAATCGCTCGACTGACCATATAATTAGTTTGGAACCATCCTCGCCGTCTCACATGCAACATCAAAGCGCAAGGCTGGGCTCCTGTGGGCTGCCAACATCACTGGCATTGACATTGAAATCCCCGACCAACCGGTTTGGTCGCAAGGAGATATAGATGCCATTCGAATGGGAAAAACCAAATGGGTGACCAAGGGAACTGCTATGGCCTGGCTCGGACACTTGAATGCACTCAGAAAGTATGTCATAGATCGCTATCAACCTTTTCCATCATGGTTCTCCCCACAGCTCAACTCCAACTTCCAGCATCTACTAACCCTTCTACCCCACAGATTCCTCGCCTCTCCCCACGAAACCGCCCTCATTCTAGAAGATGATGCTGACTGGGACATCGCCCTACGCACTTCCGAAGTGCCCCTCGCTGCCAGTGCCCTCCGCCACCTCTTCCACACCAACTCCCCCAACCACCAATACAAATACGAGCAACAACAAAATCCTCAACAACCCCAGCAACAAGCCCATCACATGCACCACCAACACCACCATCCCTCTCACCCCTCCCAATCCCGCAGCAACCTCCTGACCTCCTCCACGGACCCGCACTACTGGGGCGACACTTCAACCTGGGAGATCCTCCACCTAGGCCACTCAGACAGCGAATTCTACGACCGCGAAAATGGCGCAACCCTCGCTCGCATCCACTCCAATCCTTCCACCGCCTACCCCGACCCCTCCCTCCCAGACCCCGACCGCATCAACCCCGCCACAAAAACCCTCCTCTACAGCCTCGCAGTGCCCCTCTCCTCGCGTCTCTGGCACCGCTCCCACTGGCCCCTAGGATCCTACGCCTACGGCATCACCCGCGCAGCCGCAACGCGCATCGTGGATCTGTACTCGTCCGGCTCCACGGGCAGCGCGTCCGCCGACGCCTTCGACGTCGTGCTGCTTGAGCTCTGTCGCGATCACGGCTGGAAGTGCTGGACGCTTGAACCGGGCCTCATCGGCGAGTATTACACGCCCAGTGAGATCGCGCTGCAGAACCTCAGTGAGGAGGAGAGGCGCAGGGCTAGAGAGGAAGAGGAGATCTACGACACGTGGAATTTGAGGTGTGCGGTCCGGCAGCGCGCGCTCTGGGTTGACGAGGGTGATGAGGGCGGGAGAGCGGGCATGATCGAGAAGGTTGGACGCGGGGAGTGTCCTGTCGAGTATTAGGGGCTGGGGAAGGCGTTTCTTCTTTCTTCTCTTCTTTTTCTTCCTCCCCTCCTTTTTTGGTGGTGGTGTTGTGAGTATGATGTGATATCCCTTTCTTTTTTCTTTTTTTCTTCCTCTCCCTCTTTTTCATGATTTCCTCCCGCGGAGAGAGGGTATCCCGTTTTTCCCCTCTTTATTATCTTTCCTTCCTTCCTTTTACTTTTTCAGGATTTTTGTAGCATAGCGAGGGCGTTTTATTCCTTCCTTCCTTCCTCCTCTGTTCTTCTCTTTCGCTTCTTAAAATACCCTAGGGGTCCCCCTTTTTTACACACTTCCCTTCTACTGACCCTAAAAAGGGTCACCTACTTTCTTCAGCATGGAGGGTTGTTGTATTTTGTACGTTTTTTTTCTTTCGCCTATAAAAAATGGCGGGAAAGGGAGGGGAGGAAAGTTGTATTCAATTATACATTCACATATTTACATATATATATATATATACGTATATAGAGAAAGCAAAAATATATAACTTGAATCAGGAATGTATAAACATGTAGAATAAGAGAGTGAAAGTTTGATTACTCGTAAGAGGGAATAAGCGCTTGTGATCGTAGTAGTCTGTTTGCTCCCTAACCTTGGCGTTGACAGCAAAGAAAACAACGACTTATTAAGTAAACACTTTTCTTTTTATTACTGTCTCTTGCATTTTTGCGCAACTGTTTTAAGAGTTTGTTAAAGTGTAAAAAAACATTTGTACTCTTAATAAGGAAAAAGAAAAGGAAAAACTTGATAGAGAAGTTGCTGCAAAAGGGGAGAAGAAATCACAAAACAGAAGGACAAGTCACCTATATCAAAGTATGCCAATTCGGATGCTAAACAGAGTAAAAAAAAAACAAAGAACAAGACAAAAAAACGCCCTCGCTAATCCAAACCGCAAAAGAACGAATGCCGTCCAAGACTTTTTGAGAACCCCAATGATGCAACAAAGGATGACATGGCACTCAATCCGAATCAACAAGCATGCTCTCCTCAAGCATACTCATATCCTCAACTGGTCTGCGGCCACCCCTCCTCTTGCCCCTCCCCGCAACGCGATTCTGCTGAATCTCCCTCAAGCTACCTAAACGGCGATCCAACTCCTCGACCTCGTCATCGCTAGCAGCAGCACCACCACCCAGCATCCCATGCTTACCAACGCCATACTCGTCTGCATCCAAAACGCCCATCTCGTCGCCCTCTTCGTTGAGTTCGAGGGCGCGGGTGAGGAGGTCGGTAGCCATGGGGTCCTGGGGCGCTACAGCGAGTGCCTCGTGCAGCGTGGTGACGGCGTCCCAGCTCCTGCCGAGTTCGAGCAGCACGAGGCCTTTTGCGGAGAAGATGCCTACGTCCTTGACGCCGTGGCGGAGGACGTTTTCGAAGTTGTCGAGGGCTTCTTCGAGGGCGCCGTGCCGGCGGAGGGCGTGGCCTAGGTTCATGCGCGTCGGGAGCCAGGATTCTGCGTTTGCTTCGTTTTGCGCAGAAAGTTCGAGGGCGTGGCGGAACATGGATATAGCGTCCGGCATGCGGTCTTCGTGGTAGTATACGACGCCCATTTCGTTGAGGAGGAGCGGGTCGGTGGCGCAGAGTTCGTAGGCGGTGGTGAAGTATTCGTGGGCGAGGGAGAAGTTGTTGAGGAGGAGGTTTTGCATGCCGAGGAAGAGTTGAGGGAGGTGAGTGCCTTGGAATAGGCGGGCTGCAGTTGAGTAGGCGGAGATGGCTTGATCGTGTTCGCCTTCGGCGGCGAAGGTGTGCGCGAAACCTATCCATGCTGGACCAAAGTGTGGATCCATGACAGATGCTTTAGAGAAGTGACGGCGAGCTTCGGCGATGCGGTTGGTGGCTAGGTAGAAAATACCTATAGCAAGCCATGAACAGGGCTCTGCGGGATGTGTATCGGCAAGATCGTGGGCGAGGAGGTAGAGGGCGTGCTTCTGACCGAGTTCGTGTAATGAAGCGAGATGAAGTGGAAGGATGGCGAAATTGTATTTATCCACGGAGAGGACAGACGAGGTAAGGTGGAGGGCTTCAGTGAAGCGGCAGTGGGTAAACATGAGATCGGCTTTGGCGAGGACGATGTCTGGATTATCAGCGAGTTTGTAGTGGGTCGTGAGTTGTTCAACGGCGTCTTCAAATTCGTGAGGGCGAGAGTATTTGGAAAGGCGGGTTGTGTACAGTGTTCTTGTGAACTGAGCCGCTTCTTGGGATAGAGAAGCATTTCCAGCGACGGTTATGTCATCGAAGTTGAGAGACTCTAGGAACTTCCACTCCTCAGTGGGAGACATGAGTGAGTTAGCCATGAGGGCATCGAAGGCCTCGAAACACTGAACATCGATCTGGCAGGCCGTCTTATAGCATTCCTTTGCGCGGTCAAAGGCATTCTGTTTGGCATAGCAGAGGCCTCGTAGATAGCACATGGCGGCTTCGGATTTGAGGCTCTCGGCATCTTCCCGTTCGCGCTCTTCGCTTGTGGGTTGTCGCTCGTGGCGAGACAGATTTCGATGGTGACGTGCGCCGGCGCGCGTGGGGACATCTACATGGCGCAGCTTCTGACGATTGCTTCCTGGGGCAGATATCAGGTGTGTGGGGTTCTTGTCGCCCAATATACTCAGGGCTTCCTCGACTTTGTTGGCCTTGATAGAGCAATGGGCGGCGAGGTATCGACATTGGGGATTGCGCTGGGCGAGGTTGCCGCGATTGAGAATAGATTGGGCGCGATTATAGTTGCCCGAGCTGAAGTGAGCCTGTGCCAGCCAGAATGCGTCTTGATCGTCTCCTATGTATGGCGTCGACCGTCAACGCTTGCATGAATATGGAGGGTTCTTGCGACAGGATGCCACATACCTGTGAGGGCGAGCAGCTTGTCGGCGACGAAGATGGCCGTTTCGTATTGGTGTTTGTTTACGGCCTCCTGCCGCCACTCGCGTAGGTATTTGTCCATATCAATTATTTCGACTATGATTTTGGAGATTCGTGGTCTGTTCGGATGACGGGGTTGTGTGTTTGTCTATGTGGTGGTGACAACGGTGGTAGTTGCAGTTATGGGCGTTGTAGGCTCAAACTACCAGTTGACCATGACTTTTTCTATCCCGTGATCTCTACCGAGAAAGTAAAGTGAAAATAAGTATAACGGCAATGCGCCATATATCCATGATATAGCTACCGGGGTATCATTACAATGCGAATAAAGATGTTTATGGTGTTTATTGTTTTCTGCCGGCGAAGCGCGCCCGCCGGGACTCGGGCGCGTGGGCACGGGAAAGCGCGGGGCTCCTATGGGGATGACATAAGCAGCTCCATCACTGGATCCTAGTCATCATCATCCATCAACCATGTCCCAACATTTAAATCTTCACATTCCACTCTCCAACTCTCTTTCGACACCAACGAATTTTTCACCCCGTTCTCACCACCGCTCCGGTAATCACAGAATACACATCTCCCTCAGCTACCGCCCACCATGTCCGAACGAAAAGTCCTCTCCAAGTACTACCCTCCCGACTTCGACCCTTCCAAACTTGTCCGCCAGCGTGGTCCTAAGCAAGTCGGCCCCAAAGTCCAGACCGTCCGCCTCATGGCACCCTTCTCCATGAAGTGCACTCACTGCGGCGAGTTCATCTACAAAGGACGAAAGTTCAACGCCCGCAAGGAAACTACCGACGAAAAGTACTACAAGATCACAATCTTCCGCTTCTACATCCGATGTACGCGTTGCTCCGGCGAAATCACCTTCAAAACCGACCCCAGGAATATGGACTACGAGTGCGAAAAGGGCGCTAAGCGCAACTTCGAGCCCTGGCGGGAGGCTAAGCTGAACGAAGAGACCGAGGAGGAGCGCCTAGATCGTCTTGAGCGGGAAGAAGCAGAGCGCGACGCCATGAAGGAGCTGGAGACCAAGGTCCACGATGCGAAACAGGAGATGGCCATCGCGGATGCCTTGGATGAAATGCGATCACGAAATGCACGGAGAGAACAGGCGGCGAAGGAAGGCACCCTTAGCAACATTGAGGTTGACGATGTTGATGAGATGCGGAAGAGGCAGGACGAGGAGGATGACGAAGCTGCCCGAAAAGCGTTTGAGAGATTTGCCTTGATGCCCAACATCGAGGAAGAAGTCATCGAGGTCGAGGTTCCTGATATCCCGGTACAGGCGCCCGTGGTTACTGCGTTCGCCAAAAAGCCCAAGGAGAAAAAGGACTTTAGTGCTGCCCTAGGTTTGAAGAAGAAGCCTGTGGTCGTGGACCTGGCCCCGCCCCAGAAACCGATCCAGCCTACACAGCCTTCAGCTTTATTGGCAGGCTACGACAGCGACGACGACTGATTTCAGATCTGTTCCTCGGCACCGTCAACGTCTTGAGTTTAACAATGCCGTTTAACTCATTTCGCATCTTTTCCGGGCGGACCCCTGGTCGTCTATATCCAATTACGCGATCAACACACAAACATGTGACCGCTTTACCCTGTCATGCAGCATCCGAGGCTTTACTCCGCATCCAAGTCGGCCGGAAAAATATATTGCAATCAGAAATAGGATCCTTCAAATTGTTGCTCCTATAGGAAAAATGAGGGTACTATCCACCAGAATTTGCTGCCCGATGATGGTCTCCATATGAAGAAGGACTGTCGCTGCACGGCAGAGCATGCTTGCCTCTCTCCAACTGTCATCGCGCCTACGATCTGCAAAACAGTGATATTCAGTATGCGATTCTTAGTCCCTCTTATTGCAGGGCTCATCTCTGTCGCCCACTCAGCGCCAGTTTTACCCCCGAACATAACACCACGTGCTGATCCGTCACTTACTGGTTATTTGGGGGTGTTCTTTCTAGGAGTAGGTAGTCCAAACCCACAGATCAATTACGATAGTTCTTCATACTACCTTGTCCACTTTGAATTGATGATGCTTACTTTCCTATTCAGGACAAACCTTCTGTTTACTTTTACCTTTCCAATGGCAACAATGCTATTAGCATGAAAGCCCTGAACAGAGGGCAGCCGGTCATAGTTCCTACAAAAGGCACTCAGGGCGTTCGCGATCCCTCCATAATCTCAGGGGGAGGCGCTGAAGCTGGCAAGAAATGGTATATTATCGGAACAGATCTAAACATTGCGAAAACCACGTGGGATGCGGCGCAACGTAAAGGAAGTCGTGGCATATTCGTCTGGTAAGTCAAGCTTGTACTGTGCTCATCGTATACGTTCGAAGATGGGCAACAGGAGGGGCAAGCGGCTTAGACTAACGATCCTCCAGGGAATCCACAGACTTGATCAATTGGACCAGCGAGCGTCTGGTGACCGTCGAAGACGCAACAGCAGGCATGGTCTGGGCCCCTGCAGCTATCTGGGACGCACAGAAACAGCAATATCTAGTCCACTGGGCTTCCAAATTCTACACGTCAAGCGACACGCAGCATACCGGCTCACCATCCGCGATTCGTATCCGCTACGCTTACACAAGCGATTTCAAGACGTTCACAGCCCCGCAAGACTACATCAACAAATCCCCCACCAACATCATCGACCTCGATATCCTCTCGCTCGGCAACAACGCCTACGCGCGTTTCATGAAAGACGAATCGGCGAAGACTGTGTTCACGGAGGTGTCTAGTAACGGACTTTTCGGCACGTGGTCACGCCCGGGTGGTGCAACGACTACGATTGCGAGTGGTGTGGAGGGACCGGCGGTGTACTGGGACAACCAGGTTGATGGCAAGGCACACCTGCTGCTCGACTTCTACGGCGGCGACGGCTACAAGCCGTACGAGAGTACGGATGTTAAGAGTGGGAGATGGACTGCTAGTAGCACGAGCGGATGGCCGAAGAATTTGAGGCATGGGAGCGTGTTACCGATAACGGCAGCACAGATGAGCGCCGTTGGTGGAAAATGGCCTGCGTGAGCTGACGACCTTTCACTGGTTCATGTGCGGTGACTCATGACCGATGCCCGATTGCTATCAACTTGTTCTTGCGGGTTCTACAAACGCTCTGTCCCCGCAGGGATCGTTCACTCCAACTGTAGACTAGCGTCTCAAACGCACCACCAGTTATTATAAATGCATGGCAGCTTGTACTTTCGCCGCTGAATGTTCCACAACCACTGATATTCAACTACCAACCTCGAGATACCCAAAGTATGGACGAAGAAGTCCGAGAACTACATCGCGATCTCGCGAGCAGATACGTCCAGCATGGCTCTCGTGTTGAGCAAATGTGGCGTTCTCTCGAAAAAGGCCCACGCATCAACGTTCTGCGAGCTGGAGCTCACAACGGTGCTCTTCTGAAACATTCTCGGGATCGAAGTCTGGGCAATGTCTGGAAGATAATGCCCGAGTGGAACATTGAAGATCTCACCGCCCCCTCATCTAATCTCCTCATCGAAATGCTGAAGCACCGCGCGACAACCTCGCTGTTGGAACAATATGCTAGTGGCATCAATGGAGGCCCAGGCGATCATGCACACATCATTGAAATGATGGAGGAGAAAAATCTTCAGCACCAGAATGCTTCTCACTTCAAGGATTGTTGGACGCTGTTTGTTCACGAGAGTACATATGGAAACTCGTTTGAAATAAGCTCCGAAGGCAAACTGAACAATGCTATCGGTGGCTTCCTACCTGGAATTGAAGCTCAGGTCATTGTGCCTCAAGATATTGGCGAACTGATTCTCGAGAGACAAAGATATCTACTACTGTCTCTCATTATTGTCGTTGAGGATATTCTGAACGCTTCGTCTACCACACGTACCCAGGAAAAACGCCCAAAGCCTTCTGCAGATGCCGCAACTGCAGCTCTAGCCAGCCTCTCGTTATTATCATCGCCCAAGAAATTTGATATTTCTGATCTGGTTGATATTACCTCCGATCACAAATCGGCTCTTGAGGATCATATCACTCTGATCTCCACGGAACCAACAGTGCTGGCTTACAGGGTCAATTTTTGGTTCTTCTCACGACCGGAGATGTTGCCTGATGAGAAAGGCCGCAGTTTGACCGCTCACACAGATAAGCATATCACTGGGGCTTTCTTTGACGCCGTCCATGACACAGTCAAAACCGCCGCTACGTGGGACTACATCGCCAATCTACTCGAACTACTGAAAGACTCCTCATCCGACAAGCGATTTCGAGCCATAGTGTTGCAGGAGCTCTCAAACGTATGTCGCCTGGAGTACCTTCGTGCTCAGGCTATGTTCAAGCGCAACGTTTCAATAGGCTCAGGCGGTCTCAAATGGTTCAAGCGAATCTCCATGGTACGCTCGGACGGCATCGTGCGAATTTCCATGAAGCAAAAACCCGATTCTCTAACCTTAACCAATCCCCAACTGTATTACATGCTCCGTCTGTGCTTAGATGAGACAGACTGGCGCCAATCTGCAGAGTGGCTCCAGAAACTAGAAGATCTACATCGCGGACATCCTTCAGAGAAAGAAAAGATGACCGAGTGGGAGCACCAAGCACTAGGTGACCTTGCCATCATCGTCATATTGATACAATCCATCTCTTCGGTGGTGCAACTACCTACTGCTAGCAACAAAAAAGGGCAACTGTTCATTTCCAATTACTCAGCTCTCGACACTGAGTTTAGAGAGCTTAAAAATGGCGGGCTAGATCTCACCGACTACGCCGTCCCCATTGACAACCTCCTCGAGCCCGGCATGGCCATTAGCGCTCTCAGCGCTCTAGACAAGTACTTCCAAGAAAAGACAGGCGCAAAGCTGGGAGCTCCATACCAAGATCTGGTCAATGAATGCGTACCCAAAGTCCACGAATCCTTTGCGCAGAGAAAGATGGACGCGAACGTTGCTAGCACTGCGTACATCGTCCCGTCAGCACCGGAATCCTCCACCCCGCGGATCCAGCAGCCTAAGCAGAAGGAGAAAACACGGCCAGATGGCCCATCTATCTACGACGTCACGCCGCAATCCCCGACCGTCGTAAAGACCCTCATCAAACAGACTCCCCAGCAGACATTCAAAGTCAAGGCGTCTACACTCGCGACCTTCTCTACTCTTCTATCTAGGACGTCTGCTGCCCGTGGCTCAGTCCCTTGGGCTGCATTCACGACCGCTATGGCTGATGTAGGCTTTGCTATTCATCCTAAAATCGGGTCTATCTTTACGTTTGTCCCGCCTGAGGAGATGAGTGTTCAGCGGCCGTTGACTTTGCATCGACCTCATCATGCAGACATTGAGGGTCCATTGTTGTTGGTGTATTCGCGAAGGTTGATGCGGGTTTATGGGTGGAGTGAGGCGACGTTTATGGAAACGTAGGTGTGCATCTGATTGCGCTGGTTTGCTCTACCTTCCACGGTTATCGACCGACAAGATCACGCAAGGGTTTATAAGCTGATGTGTTTTATACACTTGGAATGGTGGAGATCATATGGGTGCTATCATATGGGTGCTAGTGCTGTGCCCCCTTTCAATTGCCTCCCCCCTTCGATGAACCAGCGTGATTCTCTGCTATAGCGAGGATAAACACAGAATTTCCAGTTTCCAGTTACTCATCGTCTTCCCCTCTTCCCCTCGAAATCAAGATCTAGGAGATGGGATAGAAAAGGGATAGTGGAGGCTGAGGGATGTGCTTGGTTTTACTCGCATGCATAGAATCACAAAGCATCCATCAAAGGCTTCCATATCTACAATGAACTCTTTTGTCCTCGACTACTTTTTATTAATTTTTTCTATCTGCCTTTCTAAGTGTAAGAAATCCTGTGACTTCTAATTAAAAAAAATTAAACCTATATCTACATTAATATTGTCTATAGCCTAGAAAGATATTGAACAAATAACAGATAAATAATATGATATCTTATTGATATACACATGCACGGTATGGGTAACGATGACTACATGTGGTCTGCATCCCAGCTTACTCATCTCGCTAGGCAGGAGTTGAAGAGGAGGCTGAAGATTCAGGGGTCGGAATCTCTGTGTAACGTCACACCACTTCCCCGCATCATTGCAAAAATAACGAGGTGAAAATTGGCAAGTTTACACCTCAAAAACACATCTCGTTTGCAATCGACGACACGCCCGCGGGGCCAGGAAGATACGCAAGCACCATCAACCAACGCCATCAATTGATCTTCACGGCACATCATGAAGCAAAGACTACAGCCACCACGAAGTCTCCTCAGTCTACCCAGAGAACTTCGCGATCAGATCTACACCTACGCTCTATACGAAGATGAGGGGATATACTACTACCGCCCACACAAATTGCAGAAGCCAATCTTCATCCGCAACTACGACAGCACACACATGGCAGTCAACCAGCTAAAGTACACATGCCATCAGCTACGCTCCGAGACTCTTAACATGGAACTCGGACTCAACCGTCTAACTTTTCTTGGGGACCCCACAATTAGTTTGGAAACAAGGAGAGTGAAAGAGGACCCAGAATCTCACTTCCTAGAATTCATCGGTCTGTGCAGTGAGAGGATGCGGCGTCGCCTTCGCTGCATCTACCTACCATACGGCCATCGAATTCGCCACTATAGATGCATCGGACCGCGCGACGTAGTGCTGTTCTGTGAAAGGTACCCCCATATCACTGTGTGGTGGCAGACTCGCTTCCTAGAAGAAGAGTTCTACAGAGTCAACAAACCTGCAGAACGGATCTTGGAGGGCGGAGCCATGCTGGCTGCTCTCCTACGAACAGGTGTGGATCTTCAGCATTTCCAAGATTCAATGTTGATTGATTTGAAGAGCGACTCGATATTGCAGTATTTGGCTAGGTGTTTGACCGGGCAGGATATGGTAGAGAGGGGCTATTATAGTAGGACTTTCAAGATGAAGGCGGGAAACTTTAGGGTGCTTCCGGCTGTGGAGGGGGACTGGGAGACGGAGTGTAGGGAGAGATGGGAGGGTTGGGTTGCGTATTGGGCTATTGAGAATAGGGTTTGGTGGATAAAGCGATATCTATGTTACGGCATTTGAGTGGTGATGATGGGGGATACTGCACAGGGTTGTACTTATCCGACATCGTTGAGCATGTCTAAATTGTATCCAATCATCGTACCATCAAGACTGTTTCGTTGTCCATCTCTCATCTGAACTCTTTTCCTCCCAGATCATAGAGACGTTCCTTCTAGTAAGTATACCGAAACCCCTCATCCTCCTGAATAACTTCCCCCCTCTCATCAGCTCCCTTATTCCTCCTCGAAAAATGCCCCCACATCCCGCCACAAAGCAAGATCAGCAAAAACTGCGTAGCAACCGCACACCACACGCCGGTCCTATAACTCGGAAACTCCTTCTGCATGAACGTCGTGCTCGCATAGATACCTCCAATCGCCGCAAAAAGCAACTGCACGCCATTCGCCACACTCCTCCTAGAATCGCTACGTACATTATTGCTCTGGAACACGATGATGGTGGGAAGATTAGCATTGCACCCGGACACTCCCAAGAAGACGCCGAAATACCGTGCGCCCGAGTTGGTGCTGTACGCCGTGATCAGCAAACCAGTGAGCGTGATACCCGCATTAAGAACCATCCACGGCATCCGCAGCCTCGAGCGATCAGCCAACCACGCACACCCCACGGTCCAAAAAATACTAAACAGATACGGCGGGGCGCACAGCAAGAATACCATGGCCGTGCTATCTACAATCGTGCCCAGTATGATCTGGATGAAATACGCGAACGCGTAGATGGGCGCCGAGCACGTCAGGAACATGAGGCCGTAGACCCAGAGTTCCCAGTTCGAGACGTGTGCGAGAAATTTCTGGCGCGTGAGCTTGTCGGGTTGCGAGTCGCCGCGGTCGCGGTCGATGCGGGTTAGGATTAGCTCGAGTTCGGATTGCGTGAAGCCTTGGTGGTTGGAGGTTGCTAGCATGGTGTCTGGGAAGCCTAGGACGAGGAAGTAGCCGGCGATTGCTATGCCGATTGTTGCGGCTCCTTCGACGCTGGGGGGTTCTATTAGTGGGTCTTTGTGGGTTCTTTGGGAAACTGATGTGTTGGGGAAGATGGATGGACTCTCCATCACAAAAAACCTCATTCCCCCCATGCTGCCGTGGTGGATGATACTGGCACCCCACTGCTCCAAAATCCCAGCATACATATCGAGGAGAGAGAAAAGGAGAAGTGAGAAAAGAGAAAAGAGAAAAAAACGTACATAAAAATCCACCGCCACCCCTCGATTCCATGCCTCCCATCCAACTTGACAATCGCCCACGCCAAAACATTCCCAAACGCACTAACAAACAAATTCACAAGATACCACCAACTCATCCTCGTCTGCACCTCAAACCGCTGATACCACGTGGCGAGCAAAAACATGCAACACGGCAAATACCCAGCCTCAAACACCCCAATCAACATCCTACACACAACAATCACCCTCCAATCCTCGGCCCAGCCCATCCCCAACATGACAGTACCCCACGCGACCGCAAGGCCATTGAGGAGGTTCCGCGGACCAATAGGCCGGAGGATAAGCGTTGTAGGGAGCTCGAAGAGGAAGTAGGTCACGAAGAATACGAGGAGGGCTATGGAGTAGCGGTTTCCGATGTCGAAGTGGAGGTCTTCGTTCATGCCTGCTACGCGGGCGTTGGAGAGGTTGACGCGGTCGAGGCCTGCGACTGAGTAGAGGAGGCCGAGGATGGGGATTAGGCGCCAATCTAGTTTGCGGAGGACTTTTGCTTCGAGGCGTTTTTGCTCTGGGGTGAGGTCGTTATAGTTGGTTTGGTGAGTGTGGGGAGGGGGTTTTGCGGGGGGGTTCTCTTCGTCTTGGTATTCTGCCTGAAGGGCTGTATGCTTTTCAGGGGGGGCTTTTAGGGCCATGGTGGATAGTTTGTGGTGGTGGGCGGTCTGTGAAGTGGTGTTGGGGGAAATGAGAGATGAGATGTTGTTGACGAGATCGGGCATCTATTTATATGAATGGGGATTGCTCTCATAACCGGTTATCGATCCTATTCCTATTCCAAGCACAAGTCTGATTGATAATTCCAATGTGTTTATCCGGGCTGCTCATCGAATCTGATTTGATTATCTCCGCAACGGAGATATTGTAAGGATACCACATGTATTCATCTTGGCGGGGGAGCTTGCGCCTGCAGGAAGACAAAGCTGCCAATCGACGAAGTGGAAATCGTGGGGTTTTTGTGGGGGAGCATACGCTTTCCCCATACGTTCAGAGCCCTACGATTAGTGTGCTGCAATGGTCGTGGTGGGCTCGGTAGAAAGATAATTGAGGTCTGGATATCTTTATCCGCGGTTTTCGTTGACGGAGCGCTAGGCTGAGCGAAGGGTGAGGGGTACGCTTGGTTTCATTCAAATAGCATTGAGTGTTCCACTTTATTTCGTATTCGCTGATAGCTGTGAAGAGGTAGGTGAGGGGATGAATTAAGCGTAGGTTTGTTTCCCGTAAACAAAAGTGCATCTGGTCCCTGACTCTCTATACGTGAGTGTAACGTTCAAGTGTACCTGAGGTCTTGTTCTGACCTTGGATAAATTGGAAGATGGATCAAGTAGAATAATCACCTTTCAATTGATTTTCATCTGTTTGTACAAGTATGACCGCGCTACATACCGTGTAGTAAGTCGATCTTGTTTGTAGTGTCAGAGGTACATTGACATGCTGCTGATACCAATCTTTAACGTTTGCGCAATGAAGTTTTGTCTTTTCCCCCGAATGTTGAAAATAATTTTTACATACACATGACTAAGCTCTAAGCAGATGGTACCTCATCTATCCAGGGTATAGACGACTGTGCTCCTGCTTTCTGGACAGTCAAAGAAGCCGCGCGGTTCGCATGCTCAATCGCAGCGCCCAAATCGAAGTTCGATCCTTGAGACATTGTCTTCCATCTGGCCACTGCAACGGTATAGGCTCCAACGAAAGTGTCGCCCGCAGCTGTGGTGTCAACAACCTTGACTTTTCTTGCTGGGACCAATTGACCGGGCTGGGATTGCTCCTGTCGTTTATCCGTTTGATAATAGACACCCTGAAGAAAAGTCAGATACATTGCAGTTTCTTTGATGGACTGATCGAACTTACTTCGCCTCCAAGCGTAATGATGACGTTCTTCACACCTCGAGCAATGAAGACGGCAGCCACTTTATCCCATGATGTTGGATTTTCGATGCCTGACATGATGGATGCCTCGGTTTCGTTGACAATAAGGTGGTTAAGACCCGAGTACGCTTCTTCTGGGAGTTGAATTGCAGGTGCAGGGTTGATGATAGTCTCCACGCCCTTGTTCCGTGCAGCTTTCATGTTGTGCACGACCTAAACTCTATATGTCAGCAACCAGTTCTTGATCTCAGGATGATGCTTCCCATCAAAACTAAAGCAGATACTCACCACATCCAAAGGCAACTCCAGCTGGAACAGGGCAACGCCCGCATCGTCATCAACTAAATCCTTGACCTCGACATCATAGTTCGCGCCAGGGCAGAACATGATTCTATTTTCTCCAGTCTTGGTTTCCACTACAATCACAGCCACCCCCGTCTTCTTCCCCTCTAATAATTTGACACCATCTGTCTTCAGTCCGTCTTTTTGCAGTTGGTCCACAAACCCCGCGCCAAATTGATCGTTTCCTACAGCGCCAACCATTCGCACTTCCACATCCGAAGCCTCACCATTGGAAGCCTGCTTCTGAGTTCTTGATAGACGAGCGCATGCTACGGCCTGGTTTGCACCTTTACCCCCAAACCCTGTGTCGAAAGACTCGGAGGTGAGGGTTTCGCCGGCAACAGGGACGCGCTGTGTGCGCGTGACTAGATCAACGTTGAGCGAGCCGATGACGGTAATGACTGCTGGTTTGGGAGACATGGCGCTTTTTCGGAAGATCGGATTGACTGCGTGATGAGTTGTCTAGTCTTCCCCTTGGTCCTGAAGGTTGTTCGTCGTCTTCGGAGAATTCACCTCGTGATCGATGGTTTGATGGTTTCTAAAGTTAGCGTAGCCATGTGGATCGGATGCACTAAACTAATTCGGATCTGGGGTTCTTAGCCGACATCGGGTCTTGGATTCCATCAATTCCACTCATGGTTTTTAAAATGTCACCACACCTGTTGAGGGACATGATAGAAGACTGGACCACTGGAATTTTCATAGAAAACCCACTGTAGTAGTCTATATGCTGAGTTGGGTCACCTTCGGCTGCAATCTGCTCGCACCCTCGCACCCTCGTTTCCGATCCCCCATTTAGAATGCTCGATATGTCAGCATGTCAGCATGGTAGTGAACTAACAAAAACGCCGCAGTCCATATAAAAGAAAGACTGGTACCCTGTCAAACGTATTTTGATGAAATGTTTCCTAGTAATACCTAATATACCACTTCTACTTCTCAAGCGGCCAAAGTAGAATAAAAAGAACACAAACCATGTCTCCTCAACTCATCTTCGGCGCAGCCACATTTGGGGCCCCGCCTCCTGCATTCGAGACCGCAGAGTCTATCAGATCTCTTCTTTCCACCCTCCAAAATCTCAATATTACCCACTTGGATACAGCAGCACGCTATCCGCCAACCAATCCCGGGAGATCCGAAGAGCTCATTGGTGAGGTTGCCGCTTCCACAGCCAACTTTCAAATTGACACAAAATGCTTGGTGAATACCGCGACGGACGGCAGCGGGGAGTTGTCTAAAGAGCGCATGAGCACGAGTGTGGAAATTAGCTTGAAGAGAATGAAGAGGGAGCAGGTTGATGTGTTGTATGCCCACCGCGCCGACCCTGCTACGTCTTTGGAAGAGCAGATCAGGAATTTCAATGGAATGATCGAGAGGGGAGTTTGTAGGGCGGTGAGTTCTTCCATCCAAATCGTCTGTTCTACTTGATCCGCGTTTTCTCTTTCGGAATTATGGTTTACATGGGCGACCAAGATACTAATCCCATCCATTATCAATGAATAGTGGGGTGTATCGAATTTCTCCCCATCGACTATGCAATCCCTTCTCAAGATCTGCGACGATAAAGGCCTCAAGAAGCCAAAATACTACCAAGGTGTATACAATTTGCTCGCTCGCTCTATGGAGACAAATCTTCTCCCTCTTTTACGTGACCACGGAATAGCTTTCGTAGGCTATGCGTAGGTTCATTCTCCCCGTTCTGCTGCGATCTCTGATATCAGTCCCCATCTCTTTCACTCAACGACCCAAACCGATTTTCTTATATTTGTCTCTAATCAGTAAAAGGTCACTCTAACACTTTCCCAGACCTCTCGCCGGTGGTTTCCTAACCGCCAATCTCACCCTCAACAACGCGCAGTCCACTCGCCTGTCGTCTGACAACCCAATTGGTCGCGCTATGGGGCCACATTTCTCCGCACCCGCCCTCAACGCAGCAATGCAAAATTTCACCACCGCTCTCACTGAGAAGGGTCTATCACCAGTTGAAGTCTCGTTGAGGTGGTTGGTTCATCACTCCCCGCTGGCCGAAGAAGACGGTATCATTCTTGGAGCGAGTAGAGAGGAGCAAATCGTCAAGAGTGCGGAGAATATCAAGAAAGGAAAGCTGAACGAGGCAGTTTTGGAGGATGTACAGAGATTATGGGAGAGTGTGGAAGAGTTACGGATTGCGAAGATCTGGGGCAATGATATGTAGGTTAGAGGGATTGAAAATCTTCGTGATTCATTGCAAAACTCGATGCAAACAGATTGATAAAGAAGGTAACATGTATGACCAATAAAACGAAACGCCAACCTATTCTATGACTCCGTGACAAACCCTCAACCCCAGTCTATTTTTGCGCCGTGAAAGAATGAGCGACCCAGTTCCGGAAATCAGATCCCAAACACCGAAATTGCAAAACATGTACATCCAGACCCCTCGAACCCCCATCGGAACAAAACAAACTCAACGCACAAATTCCGTATCACCATAATAGACCTCATCCTCCACCTCCCCACCATCAACCGCCCCATCCTCTTTGCCGCGACTCCCATCACTAGAGCAGCTAAGCTCATAAATCTCATGATCGTGGCTAGCTCGCGCCTCATCCCGGCCGAGACCCGTCAGTATCCCCACCAACGCATTTTGCACATCCCCCACCTGTTGATCAACCTGGTTCAGAAGCTGTTCAAGCCTGGTAATTCCAATCTGCATGTCGCAGCACTTCGCGTTCAGCTCATCGATGTGATGGAGACGCAGCGTAGCTTTGTTCATCGAGTCGAATAGCCTGTCTTGTAAGTCTTCGCACTGCTGGTCGCGGAGCGCAAGGTCTGTTTTCAAGATGTTTGCTTCTTCGCTAAGCTCCTCGATGTGATGGCGGTGGTGCGCAAGTTCGGTTTCCATATCGTGCATTCGGTCTTGTAACTCTTTGTAACGCGATTGATGGTCCTCGTATTGCGACTGAATATCTAGAAAATCCGAACAATACCGATTAGACCGATGACGTGCGCGCTGTAATTCCGCTTGAGATTGCTGTAGTTCCGTCTGCAATTGCGTGTTGCTTTGTTGTTCGCGGTTGACTCTTAGGACTAAGCAGCTTAGAAGCATTTTTAGGGCTATGTTGCGCTGTTGAATGCTTCTGGGATTAGTAGGCGAGCTTTCCTCGCTAGACGTTGTCGATGAGGAGGAACTGTTAGGTCTATTCTCGTGACCGAGATGATTTTGTCTTGCCGAAGAAGTAGCGCCTGTTATATAGTTCCTTAGAGTGAGGAATAATGGCAGCGAAGTCGAGAACGCATGCGCTGATTTGTTCTTAATACTGGAACAGAACCCCCGTAACGTAGACGCTATACGCCCGATGTTGGTTGCCGGTGTATGTCGGAATTTATTGGTTTGTAGATATGCAGCATGGCATAAAACGACAGTGTAATATAGTCTCGAAACCCAGGCGACGATAGGATGTTTGACGCATATGTAGCTCCACTCTTTAACCACTTTGCCCAGAATTTTGACAAAATCTTCAACTAATTTTTCCAAGGACATGTTTGGGACAGCGTGCAGAGTAATGACGATACAACAGAAGATCGCGAAGATCGCGCGATAGATTTTGTACATGGTGAGCGTAGAAGGGTACTGTTCTCAGCCTCCTCGCTAGGCAGAATAAATTATCGGGTTATCTGGATGAAATACAGGTTGAAGGGAGGGATGGTGACAGAGAGTGATTTGAACAGTGATTTTGATCGACCTTCCCCTTCCTATATATGTCTTCCCATATCTGTTTCAAGCAAACTTGGGAAGGTAAATAGTGTCTTTCCAGTCGCAGACATGTCTGACTTCTTAGGAAGCATCGCATGCTTGTCACATGCGACAGAAGTATTTTTTGTTCACGTTCAAACGAAAAATCACAGGCAATGTTTTTTCTTCATTGCGTCTGAGAAACATGTTGGCTCTGATGCAGTAGTTCATCAAACAAACAAACAATTGTTTGATTCAGGATAATAACTACAGTCTATTGAATCCTGCTAAAAAAATTGCGAAGAAGGGAAGTTTCTGTTTGTATCGAGTGGTTGTTGTGTCTCACCCACACTAAGTGTGTCTCTCATTGGTGTTATAATCCAACCTACCATGTCTTTGACAATTCATAATCAGACCATACACTTAAACAACCTTCTGAAGGGGTACAGCAGTCCTGAGCGCTCACATTTCACACTGATATAGTTATTCTCAGAATGTAGAATTGATGTCGGTTTTGTGTTCATCAGCGAATGGATTTTCTCATTAAACGCGTTACTCCTGTGCATCGCTAGCACGTATAGAGATAGAGGAAGGGAGAAATTAAAGAGATGTAGATGATGATAGTAATAGATTTATAATCTCATGAAGGTCCATATCAAATAAAGTTGAGATCGGAAATGACATACCCCAAAAACGATAAATCCCGCAAAATCGAACGAGTGGTACATGCAGTGAAATCCCGTACAGACGAGTTTGGCAACCATCAGCACAGACAATTAAATGGTTAGAAGAAACAAGGATAATGAATGGAGCTTGGGAGCAGGAGCGTCATGGTATTCTTCGGGGATGAAACATCGTGTGTTGCCCCTACCTGGAAACATAGGCCAGCGAAATCAATTATATAACTTGTATACGCTTTAATGAAATCGACGACTGCTGTTTCAACTCATTGCGCGAAAACATTAATACGCGGCTCAAGAGTTGACGGACTCAAACCTGGACTGTTGCTCGTAGTTAGTGTCTCATCTAATGATTTGTCCTGGTTATCTCACATTGATGTGCCACAATCCGGGCGTTTCTCCGAAGAGCTAACTGAATGGGAACTCGCACAACTAAACTCCCGAGAACAACAGCACAGCATGCTGATAGCGCCGTTGTCAAATAGAACGTGCGATTTATGCTGTTGGAGTAGGCCAGGAGGACGCCCTGTAAGTCGCTCTGTGGAACAACCATGCGAAAGCTAGTAGCCCCCGCTCCCATAACAGTAGCAACATCGGAGTTCTGCACATGTGTGGAGATCTGCGACTTCAGACTTGCAGAGAAGATGAGATTGCACGATGTCGAGGAAATAGCTGGTCCCAGCGCTTCCACAAATGTGAGGTAGTCAAGATCGAGGGGAAAGGTTTCTTGTGAAAATCTGCTTCCAACAACAGTAGATGCCTAAATAGAAGTCAGCTGTCTGCATAGTAAGTGATGGATTTGTGTCTATTTTATTAGTCGCTACTTGAGGGCATAAGCCAAACCTACCAGTTTGAAACCTAGTCCCGCGCCAATGCCGCCCATTATCTGGAATCCCACCCACCATCCTTTTGCACTGTCCGCTTGCAGGAACGAGTATATTCCATTGGCGGCGGATAGTAGTATCGAAGCTGTGAATGCAAGAGGAAGTATCAAGCTTGATTTCCGAGCTGTACTTTGTCAGTCGCCTCATTATCAATTTGTGTAGGTTGGGTAGTGTGAAGTATCATTACTTACCTGCAGCAACTGATAGAAAGGAGATGAACGGCAAAGGTAGTAAACCTGGTAATAGGTAAACTCCACTCAGAATAGCTGAAGCTCCTTTGACACTTTGGAAGTAGACGGGCAGATAGTAGACAGCAGCGTAGAAAACTGACATGAAGATAGCATGAAAAAGAATGGGTGCCTGTACATCTCTTCCCTGAAAATGAATCAATCCCGTATAACGTTTGCGGAAGTTCCAACATAGCCAAAGAGGGAATAGCGCCCCAGAACCACAAAACAGTCCTATAACTACAGGTGACTGCCAGGTGTAATAAACGCCACCGAACTGTAACGCCAAAAGCAGCCCTGAAATTGACAGCCAAAGTAACGCAAAACCCACAAGATCGAATATGCGATGCAGACGCGGTAACAGAGTGTAAGCTTTATCCTTTGTTCCTTGCTCTGGGATTCTGCTGAAGCCAATTACCAGGGCTATCACAGCGCTTACAGGAAGGTTGATGATATAGAAGCCTGTATGAAAGTTAAATCTAAAATCAATACACTTGAACGAAGAAGAGAATTCGTAGATCACTTACATCGCCGCCAGGTCTGATATGTCGAGAAAGCGCCTCCGACAAGTGGCCCGACTGGTATGCCAACGAGATTCACTGTGCGTTATTAGTCTCATAGAGGTCTCTCATGGTAGGAAGCCAGTGTTCAACACATACCCCAAGCCAAGAGACTTAATCTATGATTGGCTGATGTTTCTGTTAATAGCTAGTAGTTTATCTGCGGGTAAAGGGGGTCTGCACTGACGCCTTGGTCTCTTTTCGGGAGCATAGCTGCGCAAAATGACACCAGCACCACGGGAAGCTGCAGAGCTACCGAACCCGGTGATAATTCGGCCAATAATAAGCACAGTGGACGATTTTGCAGCGCCACATATGACTGATCCGATTGCGAAGATGGCTAAGAAACATAAGAAAGCCCACTGAAGCAAGATTAACGCTCTTTGAATCATATTTGTGAGGCACTCCAATATTAGTCGAAATATTCAAGACGAACCTTATTTTTGAAGTAAATGTAGATTCTTGCGAGCCATAAGGCGGATGCTGCTCTAGAAGCTCCTGGTCAGTGGATCATAAACAACCAACTAACGAGGGTAATTTACCTTCCCAAATGGTAGGCACTGCCGTACCAGCCAATATCTAGTAGGGATTTGAAATCATCGGTAATTTTTGGAATAGCCTAAAAGAGTGTTCAACAGCATACCCAAAGTGAGATACTCGTTTGCATCTAAGAGCTGGGGTGTACCGACAGTAACAATGCTATGAGAGTCAATGCTCAAGAGGAGTTGGGCGCCAACGAGGGAAATGAAAATCAAGGTAAACTCCCACCCTGACACTGAGACATTGTCGAAGTTTTCTTGTTTTTTAAAAAAAAATTGATTGGAAATTGAAGTTCTTCCCACACTTAAAACATTGCCGAAATTCTGGGAGCCCTTTGCGGTGTGTTGGTTCTTCTCGAGGTTCGCTTTTACAGATACTGATTGTGACAGAGACTGGGGTAGAGAGATTTTGACCTCCGAAGGATCTCGATCGCCGGCGACTACATCTCGTATGTCATCAAACACCTTGCAAATCGGTAGAATGTGAATGTAAGGGGACTTATCGTATGTCGCTAAGACCACACCTACCAGGATATCGTTCGCAACGACCCATGCGCCGGACGTTCCCATCTCTGTTACATGTCAGCGTACCATAGTCCTGCATTTTATTTGTGGCAATTACCGAGTGGGGGGTCGCAGAACACCTTCTTGGTTTCCCATACCCCTGATCGATCCATAATAAGGCCACTTCCACGAAGAAGCTCTCCGGATCGAACGTCGGTTTCCGAGCACATGATCGACACAAAACCTGATTCCAATTCGCTAGCAAGAGCTCTTATGGCTGTCACCGAGTTTAATCTTTTATACGAATTTCTCGCCTCTGACAGGTTATCGAGTTTTAATAATGCAAAGTCAGCTCCCTCAACTTCTCGCGCCTGACGCGTATGATTGCAGTCAGTGAGGCAGCCGATTTTAGGATAGCCCGAGAATGCTACGGAAAAAGATTCCCATATGCGATTGTACCAAGAATATCTCTTGATGTAGTGTTCTGCCGTTCGAGATTAGCCCGGGCGTGAAAAAGAAACACGTAGTACTTGCCTTTGCCCAAGATGCGGCAAGATCCGTGCTCATTCCGCCCCGTAACATCGATCTCCCATATTCCATGGGCAGTTGTGAGACCGTAAAGGCGTTCATCAACCTGAATGACACCTCCAATTGTGCATGTGACATCAACTGGGCCAGCGGCTGTCCCCACATCGAAGCTGATGCGTACTCCGCACGTTGCGCAGACTTGTTTCTCTTCTCCTGCCCCATTGTTCAGTTCTGACGCATTCGAACTTTGGTAGTGAGTTGCAACTGCCTGAGAAGAGGTTGGCATCGAGATTCGATGTGGCGGCGGAAGTGGGACCGGCGATATTTCATCCATTTGCTCCAAATTCTGATATCGATAAGACTTAGAACTTGACTGCTGGTGGAAAGATGAGAGTAGCTTCATGGAAAATTCCGTTTCAACTGGCTTCTCATTAGCTGTGGCGCTACTGTAAGCTCCTTGGACTCGTGCTTGATGCGCTCCGTCGTGCAAATCCCCTTCAGTGACCCCCCCGCGATGTTCTGGAATGAAGGTCGACGATTGACCGACGACTTTATGAAGTGGCGATGGCCCAGTAATATTGCTGGCAAATCTTGGCGCATCGAGGCTGACGTGGAAAGGGAACGGTTGAAGGTATGAGAGATCTTCTAGCGCTTTGCCCACAGCCATGGCGCAATGCTTGCTTCCGCATTTGACCCAGATCATGGGCTTTAGAGAGACTGTTTCCGATCTGTCTGGCTGCCGGCCAGCCATACAAAGTTCTAACTCTACTCTTGTCTCATCCCGATGAATGCTTTTCGGTAGCGTTGTGAGAACAGGGCGAATATCTGTAATTAGTCTCAAGCGCAACACGGTTCTCCAAGTAAGTTGAGCGGCCGAATTAGGGGCAATCCCCTGCAACTTGCCCACATACAGCCCGTTGTCTGCTAGATAGAGACTGGGAGATGTAACTGGAACATCCTTAAGTTGAAACATGTGACTAATGTTCACCTCGACCGGGCCTTCGGACGTTAATGTTCCCTCTACTGGCCGGATGCCTTGCATATTCACCTCCGGGGGATCATTGGTTTGGATTTGGGCAATCAATGGTTGAGTGATGCTTGGCTCTGCATCTGGGGGGGTTTGAGTTCTGTGTTGCGATACGGTATTGGCGGAACTCGAAGAAGGCTGGATGATGTGGCCGTTCGTTGGAGAGACTGACTTTTCGCCGCCGGCACCATTCTTACGAGCAAATAAGAAACGTCTCCAGTATGAGAACTTCTTTCTTGAATCTTCAGTGTATAGGTTATGTCCTGGGATCGCTTGCTCTGCGGCCTCTGCCCATAGAGAGTGAATGCGTGGAGAACTTTCTCGGTTCAAAGACGAATGAGTCGTTTGTGTCCACTGCTCTGGTAGCTCTGCGGAACTAGCTGTCTGCATTGATGGTGTTGTCGCGCGCGCTTGCATTGGAACATCTTCAGAATCCGCAATCGATTCTGTTGTGCTGTATTTCCCCCAGGTGCTTCCTTCTGTGAGTGTATGATTTGGCACTCCGCAGGTCGAAGTCGAGACTGAGTCATCTCCAGTGCTATTGTTGGTGGTGTTTGATTGGATCCGCTCAATCTCAGAAAAGTCTTCTGTGGAGGGCGTGTATTGTTCTGTTGACACGTCTTCCGAGTGATCATCTCGTTGTGATAGGTCTATGGATTGTGAGTCCCGTACTGACGCTTTTTGTCGCTCTTCACGGTGAATAGAGCTGTAGGCACTGTCCACCATTACGTTCCTCTGCGTTGGCGTTGTTGGGAGGCTAGAAGTTCCGACGTCAGGGGATTCATTGGTATCAAACAGTCCCGATCTGCGGGACTGCGATTCGGAAGTGACCACGGGTTCATAATGAGGCACTCTCAGTTCAGGACTTTGAAGCACCTTGAGGTGTGATAGGACTAGAGCAGGTCTTGACAATAAATTCTCCATCGATGAGCTTAGGAGTAGCTGAAGTGAAGATGTTGTGTGTGAGAAGGCGAGGGCGGATAATATCGACGCGATAAATGAGGGGTTGTGGCTGAGACCCCTCTGTCAGTATCCTAAGGCAGAAGTTAGCTCAGCCTTGTGTTATCTTTCTCGTCCAATATAATTACAAGGCAGTCTAGACTGAGAGCTGCAAAACAACACCACTCTGATCATGGAGCAAGGAACGAATATTTTCCTCGCCGACGTCGCTGCGGGTCTCGATGACGCATCTCGAGACCGAAGAAAAGAGATTCTGAGAGTATTTTGGCCAGAGAGAACTGCGCTGCACACCTTGGTCGACGAGGCTTCCTACGCCTCGTTTTTCCAGTATTTCCACCGGGAAATAAGCCAACTCCAACCCTATCGACGTTATTTCGCAGTACAGGATTTGAAGGGATTGTTCGGCATTGTGCGCATGCTGCAAATGAATCCCAAACAGTCGAAGTCCCGGATAGTTGAGCAGCTTTCTAGTCATTTCTCAAACGCCGAGCCAACAGCTCTCCACCGTTCTCTGGAGCTCTCTGTAAGACTATGGCTCACGATCAACGTCAACTCGACAACGATTGCAGTGGGGCCCACATTTCCGGATGAATCCCCTTTGGAGTGGGAACCTAATCTCTCACTACACGATTTGGTAGAGAGGCAATTCGGCCAAGGTATCCAGGCAAACGGAAAGGGTAGACGCTGGCAGATTGATGCGACCTTGACCGCTGCCTACCTGGTCAACAATTGCGGCATGAGCATTAGTTGGACGGACAGCATCTCCGATCACTTACGATTCGACCCTACAAGTCAGGTTCTGAGCATATATAGACACAAAGTATGCTTAGCCAATCATCTCGACACTCCGGAGAGCTGTCCAGTACCCAAATATGTGCTGGCTGAGATACTCGACACACTAAACGTTCTTTTGCCCTTCGGCGACTTCGCGACCAAACAACTATTGATCAAGAAAAATCAACAGCCACTCTATCGACTCGGAAGCTGTGGCCGAGCACGCAATCTCGAACTGACGCAGTACAGATACTTCCGTGAGGAGTTGGAGTATTTGATTGAAGCATTCAATCGGCCACCACGAACTTGGAAGCAGTTGGCATTAGATAAGAGGAACAAGCCGGAGTGGGCGGCATTTTGGGTCACAGTTATGGTTGCGTTTCTTACTCTTGTAAGCATTCCCTGCAGTATCATTCAGGCAGTGTATTCAGTCAAATCATACAATATTGCAGTCGCGCAGGCAAAGTAGATCATCTTAGCTTTTATGTATGAATGTTATATGCTGCTTGCTGTTATATGATTTCGTATGACTGGAACATTCATTGGGATTTTGCAAGTCATTGAGCTGAGATTACGCACGAATGCTACCTTTCTCATAGCTCATAATTAGTAGGCAGTATAATTAGAATTCTCTAATTCAAAGCTGCCCAATGTTTTTGATGGAAACACTCACAACAATTGCATAGATCAAGTTCAAATCGAAGAATCTCAATTTGAGTGAATGCTGCTGCAATGAGCTATCATACAATTATAATCACTCGTTTCTACGAGAGTCTCTTAGGTTTGAATTCATCAGTAGTGGCAGATTGTATCACGAGAATTCCCACTCTCTGCTACGCACACCATCATCTACAAAGTGTAGCAAAAATCTCCACCTTAAACATAATGGACCTTGTCCGTACCTCATCTCGCCATCGCCATCAACTGAAAAGAATAAATTCTCAGTATAATAAGTCAGCTAGCAATCAGCCACTTGTGCTCGATTCAGAGTTCAGACTCATCAATTCCCCGTCCCATAATTTTATGATCCACATTGACTTCGAGTCCATAGCTGGTAGAACTTGACCGTTTTTTTTTTTCACCTTACTTCCTCCAATTGCTGCTCAGATCCCGAACAGATCCTTCCCTAGACCCACTGCCTTGACGTCGAAGTTGACCATAGCCATGACCCCGACCTCTACCGTGAGTTTGAGAAGTAGCTCCAGATGATGTTCTAGATATTGTGCTACTGACTGAAGCGGGAGTTTCAGTACGATTGGCTTTGACCTCTGCCTCAACTCCGCACAGGAATGATTGAGGGAATCTTTTATCAGCCCCAAATTTGATATAAGACGCCATATATCGCCTCCCAAATGATTTCCAAAGTTCGTGTACTTGAGGATCTTGTGAAGGCCTTGGACAGTAGGCGTCGGTGTCCATGAACGCCTTCACGGCAGCGCGTGCACCCGCCTCGCTGATGTCGATGGATTTGCAGGCGTCGAAGTCCAAAACCCAGAGGCAAAGTATGCGTCGTTTGAAGTCTTTGGCTTTAGCCATCTCGTATGTACTTTTTCCAGGCTGCAAATTTTCTATTTGAGCACTGGTCAAAGGAATTCCGCTTGAATGCATTTCCGAAGGTGCACTGCCGATCACGAACTCGATGTCCATTGCATCTATCTTCGCTATGCAATGTAACACAGCCATCGCATCTGCCATAGCAGTAGCATATTCGACAAGGTCCAACTTCAGCTCCTCGAACTGGTCAAGATGCAAGCGAAAACTGCGGAGAGAAAAAGCTATTGTTCCTGATCCTCGTCTCCTGCGTCCAAGAAGAGGCCGAACCAAACAATCGCGGTTGGGTAGATATAATTTCGCAGATTCTTTGTCTCTAGGGCAATACCGGTCGATGAGATGATTGCGAAGGGGCTGTGGAAGTGGTAGGACGCGTTCCATGCATAGTGTATCTCGCGTCTTTTTGGGGAATTGCTCGGTGAATGGAAATTTATCCAAATTCGCATCCCAGAATTCGGCAGTCTTGTCATTCGCGAACCAAAACATTTTTGGTATCTTGACATCGATGTTGATGATCTTGTTGGCTGTGTCAAAAGCCTCTTGAACCTTGGTGTGCACAGTATAATTATTCCAAAGCTTATCCGAATTGTCGAGGAGCGGAAGTTTGTAGCAATGAATAGTTCCTGGATGCTCGAATATGATGCCAATGGAGCCTTTTCCTATCTCTCGAAATTCTGTGTCCTGACCCACAGCTGCCTGCTGGCGTTCGGCAAACGATGATGCTGTAGATATGACCGATCGTAAAGACAACATTCTCTGTAAGGCAAGATGAGAAGGAGAAGAGCCGGCCTCTTCCTCAAGCTTCTGCTCAAGAACAAGTGCTTGCTCCATTGCGATAGCCAACGAAGCGCTTCGGCTGCTTGCATCGGTGGAGAACGTGGCTTCAGAAGTATTCATTCCACGACTGCGACCTTGAGATTGGGCTGATGAGCCTCCAGGAGGGGAGCGAGATGGGAAAGACATGATAGCAGAAGATTTGGTGTTGTTAGAAAGTATGGTGGTGGTTGACGATCGTACATATCCAGCGGCGCCAAGAACAGCGCGGCACTAAGCTTATCGAGGATTTGTGGTACAGTATTAGGACCGGTCGAGGCAGCGGTGTGTTATCATGCGAGAATTAGAGATCAAATTAGATTACATAGGCGAATTCGGAAAGTGGGGCTCTGGAAATATAAAAGACGGTCTACTCATTCAATATTCTTTGTTGACAAATGACATGATTGATGAAATGACTTGTTATGTACAATATAGAGTGTGGGAGTATTTCCTAATCAACCAGCGTTCTTGCATTTGTGCATTTGGTACAAATTGCATATTTCTTCTTTCCCTCCCCGGAAGAATTGCTATTCTATGTGAGCCAGTTCCTCTTTTCTCTTCCGCTTTGCCCGTCCTTCCTCTTCTATCATCTCCACCAATTTCTCCACCAGAAAAAACTGGTCATTATCAGCATGACCTAGAATAGCTCTACTGGAGAGTAGAAATCTCTTTTTGAATGTATTCCACAAAGCATCATCAGTGGGATTACCACTTGCTGGCCTTGGATAGAAGGGGTCATTTTTGAAAAACGCCGTGCAGGCTTTCGCGATCCCTTCCTCATCTATTGAGAGTTGTTGACAACAATCAAAGTCCAGAATCCACATGCAATGATTTCCCAAGTACTCTGACTGAAAGACGGGAGATGAAGATGTAGACAGCTCCCTTCCTCGTGGGGGGGCTAGTACAAATTCAACATCATTCGCGTCAATCTGGGCTCCCCAAATCATTAACGCAAGAGCGTCAGCCATGATTTCTGCGTAAGCACCGGTATCTAAGCCCAAAGTCTCCATCTGGTCAACATGAAGGGGTACATTGCGGAGACTGAAGCGCTGGAAACGTGATGTAGTCTCTTGTTGGTGGTGGCGACGTCGTCGGCCTAAGTACGGCCGAATCAAGCATGCATCGTCATCAGCATTGCCTTTGACAAAAGCAGATAACTGAGGGTTGCCGGCGCAGAATAGATCGACAATTTTGTTGCTGATTGTTCTTGGTACTTTTGGGATCCTCTCAGTAACAAGTGCCCTGCATGCGGAGTATCCATCAGGAAATTGAGGTAAACGCGGTTGCCACCAGGCGTCGGCTGATTGGATCAGCGCGTGACATTGCGGTATCGCAAGAGGCGTTGAGGGAAGTGGACATCCAAGTGCGCTGTGGAGAATTCGGAGATGCATGTTGTAGTCGTTTGTGACTGATCGACCGGGGCCACCATCTTCACGTTTGATAGCGGTGGAGTCGTCTTCGCGAGTCCAAACACTTCCACAAAAGCCCTTTCCGATACAGCGGTATCGGGTGTTGGAGTTTGACATGTTGAATGATAAGTTCTGATATATGTGAATAGAAAGAGGGTATGGAGGAAGCTGTGGAAAATTTATATGTTAAGTTTCGATGATCAATATTCTTGCAATGGTTGGTTACCGTTGATGCTCGTAGTTGAGCTGACTAATAACCGTAACCAATAAACACACATATATTTCATATGATGTGTAACACAAAAGGCGAGAACCTTGCGAACCGCGGGACTACGAAAAAAAAATGAGCAGAGTTCATGCAAACCAATCACTATCTGACCATGTTCAATCCATTACTTTTTTCTCGCTTCCAGGCCTCGCAATCTTCGCCCAGATTTGCCTTCAGTTCGTAATTCACCGATCGCCATAGCCTCAAAATTACCTAAGGTTCGCGGTTGACTGTTGGACCAGGTGCCGTATATCAGCCAAAATTAGACTACAAGTTGCTTTAGATAATAGTGGGTGATCGGATGCAATGGTTAGTCCTGGGAGGACAAGTGACACAACGGAGTGGACCGAAGCATTGTGAGCATGACTGCAGGACTGGCAAATCACGATCGATTCATGAGTGAAATGACAGAGAAAAGGATACATCTCAAGTCGAAGATCTGTAAAGACATGAACCCAGAAAATGCCATGAAACTATATGACATTCATGAACTCGTGCATCTCACGTTACTCATCCACTTCAGCGTACAACATACCAACCCCACGCTCTTGTTTCGACGCACGCGATTTCAGAGCTCCAGAAGTAATCATTGTTCTCATCTCATCATTCTTAATTGTATCATAAAACGTGGAAAAATGCGCCGTCTACGAGTCATCTCCCCCGCCCATCGAATGCGATTCCTGTTGCGCGCACTTTGGGTGACCCCTCATGTTCTTGTCCTCGACAGTCAGTCATCTTCACATCTCTAGCTCTTCCACAACACTATGCCAGCTCTAGATGAACGGCTGCAACCATCCGCGTTAGACTTGGCAAGCATGCGTGCTGTTCTCCGATACCATGTCACTGGACACGTTATCATAGCCTGTGGCTTGGCATGCAGCACGTTTCCACTCGCGGCGTACCCACACACACTGAACCAGGAACGTGAAGAAACACGCCTAGTCGCAAACAACGCAGATCATGTCGCTTATACAACGTCACCTTGTTCCGATCACGGTGAAGAAATCTCATGGTCAAGTAATGTCATGTCATTCTCATTAATCAATACCCAAAACGCCTTGGAAACCCCGCGCTCAAACTTCAACGCGCAAATGGCGGAATCCTCCAATGTCTCCGTCGTCCGAACCAGATCGACTTTCCCACCAGTAGAACGACTGCCTGTCGTGACTCCGTTGACTCGTCCGATTCGATTGGTATGTTCGTGGAGGCGCGGCCAAGTGATTTCCCGAATTGTTAACTATTCCCAGCTCGACATCATCGCTGGTGCTGTACTTCCCGTCGACTTCCTCGTCGACGTTCAAATTACCTGTTTCATCGACTGAATATTGCGTGGGTTGAGAGTAGTAGCCATGATGTGCGAAAGGATCTTTCCAGATAGCTGCTTTTGCTCGGGATATGCCCGAGGGTTTGCTACTCGCCTGACTCCTCGTCTGCGAAGACTTCGCTTGCGATGATTTTGCCTGCGATGATTTTGCCTGGGAGGATTTTGCTTTTGAAGAGTTCGTGCGCCTACTCGCAATGATGGTTTTGAAGTTGAGGTAGCGCTTGGCGAAGACTTTCATGGCGGGGATGTTCGCGCACATGATGCCAACGTGAAGCTCGAGGATTGTCCAGTTCCAGGTCTCCCACAGATACCACGAAACATCGTACGTTTCAAAGAAAATGACGTAAGTCGAGTGAGTGCGTAGAGCGCCAAAAGCGGCCACCATGTACGCAGTCGCGAAAATGCCCACCAGGGCGATCTTTTGTCGAAGTGGGATCTGTGCTTTCCAGTAGATCCAATTTGGCAAAAGCGCAGTAATGGCATCCTGAACTGTAGAAACAATACCAGCGACAAGAAAAGCGGAGCCCTCATCGTTGCAATCGTATTCGATTCCTTTTGCGATGTTGAGGATATCTGACTGCTCCCAGTACGCAGAAATGGGCCGACACCCCAGTAACGGAGCGATGAAGAAAGCAATTGTTGATACGGCGGTGAATGCAATAGCTGCCCAAGTTGTGATTCGGAAGGCTTTTGAGGTACCTCTCGATCCTAGACGACGGAAGAAGAGGAGAATGGAAATTTTGATAAGACCTGTCCCGAGGACAAAAAGGATCTCGATTGTTAAGATGAGCTTCCTTTGGACCGTGAATAAAGTCAGGTCGACATCCCATATATGTACTCCGCTGTGATATTGGTCCGCAGCTGTATTATGTCAGCTATAGATTGGAAATCGTGTCGCGCATGATCTTACTGAAAGGAATGAGTACAGTCAATGCGATGACAATTGGCTATCAGACTGTAAGTTCAGGAAGCCATGCAAAATGGAGCAGGAAAATTACCAGAGCGGCAATCATCAGCCAGTCATCCACACCAGAATTGCGCTGTACATAGAATCGAACCCACAGCCGTCCGAAAACAAGGAAAAACGTGATCGGAGATAGAGCGTATGCGAGTCTAGACGTCACCGGTCCTCTGCCTTCTGGGTTTATATAGTTCGGGGCCGGCCACGAGGCAACGACATCGAGAGGGGGTCTGGGGCCACCAGGCATATCGATGAAAGCGATGCGATATGTTCACCAAGGTCGCCTGAACAAAGGAAATAGTAAGTATATCAAACATTCAGACATCAAGCTGGAGCAGCAGGTATATGTGTATGTTTCACCGTTTCTTATGCGCTCGTCTTGTTTATCTCGAGCAAGATTAGCGTGTGACAAGGCCACCACCTTAGACATGACTTAAACAGATGGATGGGAACCCGCATTGCGCCGACAGAGTCATGTTAACAGTAATCGCAGGATGTATTCGCACATCTTACCAATTGCGCACACTAAGCCGACGCCAGTATATGTAGCTTTGATTCCTTCTATCATGTGTATTTCCTAACAACGGTAAAACATAATCGGCCGGCACGAAGGGGGGAACCTTGAAATCATCATCAACATCCATACCTATTCGGCACAAGCCCGACATGGTTGCCATGCGCAAGAGCTTCAGCCTTGTTCAGATAGGAGTCCGAGCACCACGTTTTTCACCAGCTTTCCACAAGCACCCCGCGGACCCCCAGGCAGTTTTTGAATTGCGCAATCACGCAGGTATAATTTTACAGGACAAACCCAATTCTCAGGAACCAAGAACCAGGGACAGCCCACCTGTCAGTAGAATAGAGTTTGACCCCATCTAAACGTTTTGTCCGCTGGCGTCATCTTAGTGTCCGCTGCCATGTGCTCGTGGTGCAGCGTGCACAATAACGTTGTCACTAAGACAAGTACCAATTGCGGATCGCCATAATTTCGTGAATTCAACCTCAACACCGAGGCACAATTGTCTAGTCATGAAGATATGCTATAATCGCCCATTGATAGCACTCAAATGAGCAATCCCGTATAGAAACTCTTGGAAGACATGTTCCTTCTTCACCGTATTTTTGACAATCTCTGAGCCCTGCGCATGCGAGATGAGCGCTTCCAACAGTTTCAAAGCTGTCACGAGCGGGACAATGAGCCTAGGCCCCTCCTAGATGTGATTCTTTTGTGATGAACCAAGGCCAGTGCACGACAAAGTGACAAGAGGGACATGACAAGTGGGTCCTAATTAGCTACATATGTATCTGACAGCGGAGATTTCCGAGTCAGCTACACTGCAGTAGGCTAGCGACGACGCACACAATCCTGAAGTCCTGCAATCGTGATTCCGTATTATAGATGCGGCATTCTCCTAAGAAAACGGGCTCACATGAAAACATATAAAAGGATGTAATATGAGGAATATCGAGATGCGTTATGCGGGGAAAAGCTCAATGTGCGGCAACCCTATCCCGACCGCATCATGTCGTGCATCTACGGTCGCGACAAGCCACCAAAAACCTTTTGCCACAAAGGTCTGACTTGCATTGTAATAAAAAAGGGCTTTTGATGCTCCACATGCTAATACGCGTTTCGTATCGAGTACGCATCATTGGCTATACCCAAAAAGACATTTACGGTCATGTCACCGGTTAGGTTTCGTCACTGACTCGTTCCATCGCATCCCCTCCTGTGGCGGGAAACAGCGGCCTCGGAGATCAACACGAACACCAAAAGCTGAAGACTGGGGAAATTACAAATAGTCGAGCAAACCAAGATAATCAACACAGATAGCAGTTGAAGAGGCGGTGGAGTACAGTCTTTGTCTTGGGACGAAGAGTTGGCAAGTGAGAGGGGAAGCCCATAACTGGGAAAGTTTGAAACAAACGCCGCTCCTACGCGGCTCAGATGTTATTACCGTAAGCCGAAATCGGTAATGATGGAGAATTGTGGATCAGGACCCTGTGGTGATTTCTATAGAGTTTGCGCGCTGCCTTGATTCTTTCCTGCCGATGTCTGCCGCTTGTGGCTTGCCGTGTGCGTTGCTGGATCACCGCCCGTCCAAGGACAATTCTGCGGTCAGTGATAAGCATCGCGTGACAATGCAAGATTCATGTGATACGGTGAGTCTTACGGGCTTTTTCGCGACGCAAGCAGACTGTGAGTAGACATACGGAGATGGCCGGTTGTCGTGGATTCGTGTGCTACTGGACCACCGAGCCGACGAGAACTTCTCGTCATAGAAGCTACACGATAAACCTCCAAGACCTAAAAACCATCTCTCACTGATCTCAAAAGGCAGCCCTTGATATCAACACCTTGTCTCACCCCACAAACTCCCTTCCCGCTCATTCTCAGTTCACTGTGAGCCCATACCGCGGAGCGCCGCACCGCACCTCACGGCACATCAAACACTCCCGTCACTCACAGGACACATGCAGTCCCTGAAGCAACGGATTGTGGAGCCGGTTCCTCCTGCCGATCTCAAAGTATGCCTATCCTCCATGCTCCGCGTTGTAGTAGCCAGGCAGCCACGCGAAGTGAAGCGATGAAACATACTATCATGTACGGGCCGGCACATCCGCATTGACTGAGATGGCGAGTGAGCTTGGACAATGGAGATGCCTTTAGTCAAGAAGACCCTTTGGATATTGAGGAGTTTCAAGTTTTCTGATTGTGGGTTAGATGATGGGGGAGTAGTGCGTGTGATGCTAAACCGGCACATGATCCGTTTCTCGACCGCCTGCAAATAAGAAGATGCCTGGTGACGACGTGTTGGGTTTAGGGGAGGAGATCAAGGTCTCAACAGGGTTTCCTCCATGCAAGCCTGATGTGAACAAGATTGGGCTGTGCGGTCATCGAAGGATGCCGCTCACCAGGTCACTGACGTTGACTGCGCATTTGACGTATTGAAATATTGACGTATACAACGTCCCACCAACCAGTAGAAATGTACGGGTTTAAAGTATGCTAAGGTTAAAAAAACATAGTACGATCGTCGAACTCCTCTATAAAAGCTACAAAAGAGTTCTCACAAGGCTTCCTGCTTCCATCAACCCCTACCCACCTCACTGACGTTATGAGTATAGTTATGTAGACACAGACTTGGCACCATTCCGTCCACTGAGCCTAGACCGGCCAGATATATCGCAGCACCGTCCGTTCTTCCTCTGTTTCCCTTCAGCCATCTAGCATATAACTATTTTCTCTTCACCATACGAAACCCTCAATATCCAGTCTCCATACAACTCGTATCGTAGCATCCCGTATCCCCAACTCTCCTCTAGTCCTCCCTAAGATCTTCGAAATAAATCCTCTTCGGTAATTGCCTGCTCTTTATTACTTTCATTACTGTGTATAATCACACAATCTCTAACCTAAACACACTTTGCAACAAGTTCCGTATTCCCTGTCCCCCATACAAAATTCCCCTTCTGCTTCTCTACCCTACATAATAACCTAATCCAACAACATATTCTAGACACTGACCAGTCAACGCACAACCACACTTACTTTCAACTAGCCATTACACACACCACAGCACCTCCCCTACCAACAACGACAATCCATCCAGACTAGACTTTACTTTTCTCTCAACTATACCGTACCACATCCATCGCTTATGCATATATAGAACAGCTCTATGGATAAGATCAATCTCCTATACTTAGACTATTTGTTATGCTTAGAGAGTAGGGTAGATAAATAGAGAAAGAGAGAAAGGAGGTATAAGGAACTAAAGCAAGGCATAAAGACGCAAGAGGAGATGGAGTAATAATAGTTTCTTGAGTAGATTGTTTGAAATGTTTTAAAAGTTTTTAATTTGTTGCGTGTGCTATAAGAGAAAGTAAGGTAATTGAAGTATATAGGTATGCTGTCTACGCATTTACATGTATTAGGTGAGGTAATGATTAGAGGAACGTTGTATTCTATGCATGCGTACCTAGGTATCTATAAGAGGAGAGAAACAGGAAGAAACGTCTACACATGAGGCAATGCAAGAAAAAGAAAAAGAAAGATATGAACAAGAAAGTAGAAGACAGAAGGAACAAGATGCACAAACTCAACACGATGATATAGAAGGGGGAAACGCAGAAATGCAAGCCAAACCAAGAAATGCAATCATGCCATCAATTCATGCCACCCAGTTATCCATTCAATCAATGTCCACCCACCCCAGTTTCCCCCGCCGAGCCGCCATTCCTCGCACTCATCTCTTACCCACGCAATAGATGATACTTAGGACTCCAAAATCTCATGAACTCTCATATCGAGTCCAACCCAGAACCTCCGTCCACGCCACTCAACAGTAACACCGCCCCAAAACGCCACGAGCCAGATTGGCAGGGCGGAAATCTCTCGTCCCAACCATGCTACTGTCCATTCGCGCAGCCCGCGACGTGCGCCGTCGAGAAGACTCGGGACCGCAGGTGTTGCCTTGTCTTTCTTGCCCGTTGCAGTGTTGGAGGAATTGCTGGAAGCGAGGAGCGGCTGTGTGTCGTCTGCTGGGGGAGCAGCAGGTAAAGAAGGAGACGGAGGAGGCTGCGGGTCAGATGTAGGCGCTACCTGCTGGTGATATGCGTTCTGGGAGCGCTGGGGGAGTATGAAATCTGGCGTGTGCGCATCCAACTCTACGGTCTTTGCGCTGTGCAGGAGAAGGTATACTATGTAATCGACGGCAGCCCAGAGCGTCATGCTAGCGAGCCAGACGAGAACGAAGGACAGCCAGGTCGGAGGGATCGACAGAGTGGTGGAAGCGAAAGGGAGGGTGGTGAGTGCGTATGCGCCGTAGAGACTGCAAACGATGGCTTCGGTGCCAGGCTCGACGAAGGTCGCGGCCGTGACTGTAAACTTGCGGACGCGCAACCAGCGAAGACGGCGGTCGATGCAGGCGGATATCGAAGTGTGGGAGATGGGTTGGAAGCAGAGGTCGCCAAAGAGCATCGCGTGTTTGCCCCACTTTTCTGACTTCTTCTCGGAGGAGGAAGAAGATTGGTAGCCAGGCTTCTCGAAGGGTTGGGGTTTCTTCCACAGCGCGTCGCCTATGAGGTGATCCTCGCAAATGTTGTCGGAGAAAAAGTCGATACCAGGGGCGCGGTCGGGGTTGGTGTTGGTCACGTTGTTGAGCTGGGAGCGACGAAACATTGTGCTCTTGCCCATGACGCACGGAGCAACGGCAACAGTGTTGATGGCGTTGTAGAATTTGGCGTGGGCACTCGACATAAAGGCCTCATCCAGGCGACCTCCACCGCGCTGAAGGAGCTTGCGGAAGCGGCCTCGGGAATGATTGCGAGGGTCGGAACTGGTGCTGGCGGCGATGTTGGAAGCAATCTCGGCGTGAACTTCGCCGCCTAGAAGTTGTTCCCTTTCCTCCGAAGACAGGCTCTGGGAATCGAGATCGATGGTCAAGGGCGTCTGGTGAACGAATTTGTATTTGATGTTTCCACCGTAGCCACACAGCAGATCCACCATGCGGCCACAGACGCCCCTACCAAGCCACACGTTGCAGTCCAGTATCCATATGATGGAACCCTCGGGGGCCTCTCTATACGCGCGACTCATGTTACGAATCTTGGGGTTGGGACCGAGGGCATGGCGGTTCTTGAGTAGCAGCGGGTCTTCCTCCTCGATGGTTATGCGTGCATCAACGGCGGGGAAGTCGCGAATAAGACGCTCAAGGATAGGAAGCGCGGGATCGGAACGCGACGATACACAAAGGACGTTTGTGAGCTTTTTATTGGGGTAATCCAAACGAAAAGTGGCCTCGAGACACTCATAGAGTCGCGGTTCGAGGCCCTTGACTGGCCGAATTACGGTGACATGGGGCACCTCGTCTTCTTCCAGTTGGGTCGTACATACTGCTGGCCGCGGTGGCTTTGAGTAGTAGCGAAATCTGTACAGTGTCGATGCCCATTAGCAGTTGCGCGCAAAGAAGTGAAGAGAAAAAAGTGAGTAGGTTGGTAGTGGGGGTAAACATACAGCTGGGTGACGCCGATGGCAACCACACCCCATACTATGACGAACCAGGCAAGGCAAGCGGCCGAGATGTATGTGTGCAGCGCCGAGACATTGCGTGTCCCAGGCTCGTGGAGCGCGGCGCCACTCATACGGGGTTGGGATGTTTTGTTCGTATACAACAGAAACAACAAATTGGTGGTTGGGCGTCGGTCGAAATTCCGTGCCTCGTTACTGACTGACTGACTGACGTTGGCGCCGGAGGTTTGCGGAGTTTGCAGCCTCGTCTAATAATAAAACCACGGCCACTCTAATCAAAACCACCAACTACATAACTCGGAGCAATCACTTGGTCGAAGACGAATCGCGGATCGAGTCTTATATAGAGTGAAATGATTATTCTGGGGATATCTATCTCGGGTACGAATGCGCGTCAGATCGACTGAAAGACCAATCAAATACGCCGCCCAATGCATTTCCAATCCTACCATAACCTCCAATAACACCAAACCTATTTCCCGCTGCTCCTCCAAATCCTCCAAAATGTAAATGTGTGAAGCTAGAGAAAGAGTTCGAAGACAATTAGGAAAATAATAAAATCACCATTCCGGGATTTGTCCTGATCAGCTTTTCGGCTTCCTGCGGACCAGCCCAGCACCCAACGTATTGACCCCATTTGCCGCCGAAGCACCCCCATCCGCACCCGCCTCCGTCTTAACCTTCTTCCGTACCAGCCCTTCTCCCAGCATCGTGGGATTTTCGGCCGAACTGGAAGGGCCCACTTCGGGTTGAGCAGGCTCGTTGGGCTTCCTCTTCTTCCTCACACCCATCACAGTTACTGGCGTGACCTGGACCGCCGCTGTAATGAGCAAATCTTTTGCCTCTTTCTTGCCAATCACCGCATTGCTCCAGCTATTCACGCCTGCCAGCACGGCCACTTCTTCCTTCCAACGTCGGGTACTACGAACCGCTGCGCTTCGCGTCGCAAAGTTTTGCTGGATCAGAATCTCGTGTGCTCGATCGTAGTCCTTGGCCGAGAGGACGACGGTACCCCGTGAGTCGGCTGGCCATTTGTAGTATGGGGTATTTTCGGGGAGAGTCTTGACTGATCCGGCTCGGGAGCCGTCGATCATGGAAGACAAGTTGGAAGAGCTCGATTTGATCCTGGGGAGGATGAGCGGAATAGGACCATACTCTAGATTCACCTTCCTCCGTCGTGACCTTTTCTTCTTCTTTCTCTCTGGCGTGCTTGCGGGTGAGTTGTTGTCGGTGGCCAGAGTGTCGGTTTGTGAAAGTGACGATAGCGCTTGCGACGAGTCCTCTGTTTCGTCTTCCTCGGGGATCGAGGGTTGTGGAGGTGTGATGACGATCCATATAAAACCCACTATCCTTCCAGACGAACATTCCTGTCGGTACGCCATGAACTCCCAAAACTGATCCAGGGTCTTGACGCTCTTCCATTGTCCATTACTTCGGGAGGGGGTGGCCGCGTCCGGATTGGAGGAGTCGTTTCCACGATCTGGCAGCTCATCGTCCAACTCATCCAAGAAGCGTGCCTTGGGATCATCGGGAAAGTGGGGAACTAGGCATCGTGGGGGTGCGTTTGGATATGGCGCAATGTCGAGTAGCGGGTGGGTGGTGGCCCAGCGGCGGGGTTCGGAAGTTGAGGGAGGTGGTGGAACGTAACGGAGGGTATCGTAGTGCTCGAACCCGGGTATTACCAGGTAGCCTTTGGCAGTCGAACCAGCCGTTGGAGAGTCGCGAATCGAATCTGTAGGTGCGCTGGTCAAGCGTTCCTTCAGTGTCTTTTGATCTCTAGCCACGCCGTATTCTTGCATGATGGGGTCTAGAACCTTACACCACCATTTGACAAGGCCCCGATCATCCAGAACATGTTTGTCCTTGTTGTCGATGCTTGCTGGGAAGAGGTATTGGTTTTGAGCCCTCGCGAACAGCGATACAACAACCTTCTTGCCATACCTCTGTCGCTCCTTGGCCAGCCAAGAGACGAAGGTGCCGCATATTATCTTGAGAGGCGATCCGGCCTGCGATCGTGGGAGTTTCAAGAGAGATATATAGCCCGTCGAGTCGGCCTTGGAAACGAAGATGGTGGTGAGACTTTTTGTAGTGTAGACCAGTACCTCTATGGCGAGTATGAGAAGCTCATCGGAGGAGCCCTGGGGGGTGATGGAGGCGGCGAGAAAGTGAGATTCACAGAAGGTACGTTCGGGCTTCGCATGCGGAGGTGCGGAGAAGAGAGACGGGGATTTGGTTGGGGGCGTCGAGTAGTGGTGGAAGGTGAAGGGAACAGACTGGGGAAGCTGCTCGGCCAATGATTCGTAAAGCGATTGTTTGGGCTGAGAGGGATCAGCCATGGTGGGCGGACGACTGAGTCTATACAAAACGGAAAAAGAAAACAATGGGTGAAATAGGAGAGGAGAAAAAGAAAAGCAAACAGAGAGAGGGAGAGGCACGCCGCGTAAGTCAAATACCCGACAAGACAGAGTTCCGGGTCGCAAGTGAGGGTGAAAGTGAAGGTCAGCAGCTCCCAAAGCGGTTTAGCGCCATCTCTCGTCCCATCCAAAGTTTTGACTTGACCATCCAAACCGGCGCCATTTCCATCACCCACGCCCACCTCATCTCCCTCTCTCAGCGACGATATCTCCCTTAATAGCCTCAATGGCATCCAAACGCCCCCTCCAGTCCCTCCTGTCTACACCGTCGTGCTCCTCCCTCCGGACCGCCCAGTCCTCGCGCCAGACGCTCGTGCGGCGGACCTCCGCGTGCGCATCATTCTCAACCACCACCCCCTCCCAGTTCCCCGAACACCAGACGGAAGGCTCCAATGTGCCACGATGGCAGCAGACACCCCCGCGCATGAGGGCGCCCTTCCGCATACGCGCGCAGCCCAAGGGCCCCGTCTTCCGCGTCAACGAGGACCCCCGGAAACTCGACGATGTGTATAACCGCATGCTGGGCCAGGGCGGCGACAAGATGCTGAGTGATGAGGTGAAGTGGTTGGCCGTTACACACAAGAGCTTTGAGCACGGTGCTAGAGGCTTCAACGATCGATTGGCGTTTTTAGGTGCGTTGGACCAATTGCGTGGAGATCAACTGTGATCATCCTCAACTCCAAACCGGCCTGGAAGGATAAAAAAAATACAAGGTTTTCAACAGCAGGGTAGACCGACTAACAGTCAAAATCAGGAAAACGCATCGTCTCCCTCCAAACCTCCTTAGCGTTCCTCTCCAACCCACAGCCAGACCTCCAATGGCCGCTAGACGCCCAAAATTACCCGCTCCCAGATCGATACGGACGCACGCCGTTCTTACACTCAGCTCTGCGTGGACTACCGGGTCTCTCTGACGAAGCCAGTGTGCTCGATAAGACGCGCCTAGCCAACATTGCTGAGCGATACGGCCTCGATAAAGTAGCAAGGTGGAAGCCGAAACGGGTACGATGACCTCCATCCACAATAAATCATATCAGATGTGATCCCAGAGAATGATTTACTAACGGTGGAATATATAGACGGATGACCTCCTCGCCTCAGGTCAACACGCCGTCCTCGCTACATCGCTATACGCCGTCATCGGTGCAGTGGCCCTCGAACGCGGCGGCGCCGTCGCAAACCACGTCACCCAGCAGAAAATACTCGCACCGCTCGGCTTCGCCTTCAATGCGTCTTCATCCCCTTCGTCATGATCCCCTCCGTGTAGTCGATAGCACTTGAGAAACTGTATCAATCTAGAGTAGGGCTGGATAAGCCCCCCTTTTTTTTTCTTCCCGACGTGTATTTTACCAATCATCTGAGGGGGTCTATGCTGCTCTGTTCTATTTCACGGCGTGGCGTGGCATGTTATGTTATGTACCATATTCATCTAAATCCTAGACGGAAGGAGAAAAGGCGAAGGGGAAGAGGGCTAGGAGGGGGGTGGGGCTTCATGGAGAGAGGGAGGGAAAGGGGACGCCTATGTAAAGCAAATGTACAAATAAATCCAACGTTTGAATTACCAAACTTTATCTTCGTTGAGCTGTACCCAAGGCAAAAGGAAAAAAAAATAGAGATAATAATGTCCCACGCAGAATCATCACCATCCGAGAAAAATGTATACGCGCGTAATTTCTACAAGTCAATTGACTGGTTGTTGATTGCTTAATGTGCTGATTGAATTGACTACATACCAAATCATGCCCGAGTACGCCACCGATACCGCGAACCGCTTATAACAAATATCATCAGAATCCCTCGCCTCGCGACTAAAAAAGGAAAACGTGCAGCCGAGAAACTATCCCTACTCTAACTACGACATGGCACTCTAATCACATAAATAACAATCAAGTATCTAAGTAAAGTCTGTAGAACCCTCCCCAATTCTCATTCTCCGTCGTTCCTTGGAACCAGCCACAACAGTCTCCTTGTACCTTATACCTCTCAACACCCACCTCCATCTCTCTTCTTAGCAGATAAATCAGAGAAAGAAACAAAATTCATGACATAGTGTACCATCTCTACAGTAAACAAGTACTCATAGCAAAACCCACACCTTCTCCCTCTGCTTACTCCCCACCCTCTTAGCCACAGTCCCCAGCGTATCAGAAATAGCCTGCTTCCCCAGCTTGGGAAACTTCTTCTTCAACGCCTCAATCATGGCGATCTTGGTCAGATCCTGGCCGTCGATTGCCGCTTTGAAGGCTGCAAGTTGGTCGGGTGGAATAGTTTGCTTTGGTTTTGAAGAAGAAGAAGAGGAGGTAGAGGTGGTCGAGGAAGAGAAGCCGGGTAGGGAGGCGGAAGAGGAGGAAGGGAGGTTGAGCGTGTTCAGGAGGCCGTTTGCGGGGCGCGAGGAGAGGGGGAGACGAGGGGGGTTCATGAGGCCCGAGACTGCGGATTTGATGGTTGGTTGGCCGGGGATGGAGGGGGGTTGAGGAGGGGGGTCCGGGGCGCCCCAGTAGATGGTGGAGAAGGGGTCGATAGAGCGAGGTTGGGATTCTGGGTTGCCTGTTAGCGCGGCATTCATGAAAACTGCGGGACATGTATACATACCGAGTAAGCAGCCCATTCTGAAATCCCGGAAATCGGTGCAGATGGCGCCCGACCCGTCGTTTAGTATTGAGACGCGGTTGGCGTCTTCCCAGCAGAGACCGCTGCTGACGGGTTCTTGGTCGCCGTTCAAGAGGCGACGTTTTGTGTCTGTTGCCTCTTCGTCATCTAAGAAGCCCTCCATTTCTTCGTCCATCTCCTCATCCAAGTCCTCCTCGTCGTCAGAGTCAATGTCCTCGCCTTCCTCGGGCTCTTCCCATTCTGCCTCGGAATCGTAATCGTAGTCCAGTTCTTTCAGACCACGAGAAACTGGATTCAAGGCAACCTTCCGACTCTCAGAGAGGGTGTGCGACCTAGTGTACGTTCCAAAATATGGAGGCCGCACATCTTCTGAAAAGTGCAAGTACTTCATGGGAATCTTCTTCAGTAAGTCAAGAGGTTGGGGTTTGCCGTTGCCTCTAATCGAATCCATTGGCATGTGTGCAGAGCCATTGACGAGTCCAACGACATGCCCGATCGTCGGTATATCCATCCCGCGCCGGCGCTTGGGGAAGATGGAGCGGAAGTTCTCCACAGTCACAGGCTCCATGTCGACATCTTCCTGGGCAATCAACTTCTCCATGCGAGCTTTGGCTGCAGAAACAGCCTCCGGGTCCTCGAGAAGAGCATTCTGAGAGGCAACGGTGGTGTATGGGGGAGGTGCGAATGGCAGAAAGAAGCGCTCATAGTCTGATTTGGCATTGTTCCGGATCGCCTTCTGTGGTGATGGGGGCGCTGCGTTAGTAATGGACACTCCAGTATCGGGAGCTAATGATACGGAGCCAGTGGTAGGGACATGGAGATTATCTACCAGGGATTTGCCTGTAGAATCACCAGTGGCCTTGGGCTTGGAGAAGAAAGCGTTCAATTTCAACTGGGACTGGACAGCCATTAGCATGTGTGCTATCATGGGGAAACCAGACATGTAAACTTACACGCTCCTTTCTCTGCTTATCTTCTTCTTTCTTACGCTTCTCGTCTTCCTTCTTGCGCTTTTCCTCTTCTTTCTTTTGCTTTACATCTTCTTTCCTCTTCCTCTCCTCCTCGCGCTTCTCAGCCTTCAATTTGTCCTCGGCTTCCTTCTGCTCCTTCTTTTCGGCACGAGCTTTAGCCTTGGCCTCCTTTTCAAATCGCTCAGCCTCTTTCTCTTGTGGAGTCAGTTTCCGCTTCTTCGCCGGCGGTTGTGCGTTACTGGAAGCCGTTGGAGTGGACTGTGGCAGAGCAGGTGTGGTATTGGAAGTTGCATGTTGCTGCTGTACGGGAGATGGCGTAGCTACAGAGGAAAGAATCGATAAAGGGGTCGAAGCTGTAGATGTAGAGGGCCGGTTCGGTGTGGAAGGTTGAGCGTCGTCCTCCAATGGGCGTTTCTGAGGTGATGCAAATGGTACAGCGGGCACTGGTGCCTCCATAGTGAATAGTGTTGATTGGATTCGAATGTCACCAGACTTTTTCGAGTATGATACAGATCTGTATAACAAGTGGTGAAGGGATTGAGCGGACTTTTGGTGAAGCGTGGTTGATGGTGTGAGGTTGTGGGTGACGATGAGGGTTCAGTGCAGGGAGGTGGACGCGACTTGGGGAAGTCGCGACGACGCGAAGTTAGCGCGCACGGTCGGGGGCTTCGATTTCCTGCCGTTTGGCGCTGACTTCCCCAGTAAAAGTGCCTGATTTCCGTAACGGGACTAGCGTGACCGACCCTACCTTCCCTATATTCAGTATGAGCCGGACCGCTTGGCGCCCTTCTTCTCCCACACCTCAGTCAAGCATGCAACGGTAGTATATCAAACACCCAGGCTTCTCATATCGAAGGTACCGCTGTGAATTGATGTCATTCGTACCTTACTTCAACCAGCGGACACTAATCTCTCCCGGCTAATTATGCAGATCGAAGTTGGCTTCGACTTCCCACTGCCGCCCTTCCACTATGGAGGCTCAATTGAACGTCGACGAAATGTTGTTTGGTTTTTCTTCGTCTCAGGAGATTGATGATGAAACCGCTGATTATGATTCTGACAACATATCGGAAATGCTGTTCGACATTGACGAAGAAGAACACAACGCGATATTAACATCTACTACAACACCCATCACACACAGTGACTTACTGATGGCGGAAGAAGGTGATGAGGCGTGTGATACCAGGGTTTCGAACAGGTTTTGTTGATGATTTCCTTCCCATGTTTCATCTAACCCTCGAGCAGAATGCAGGTGATTGCACAAATAGAGTCGTTGATTGGAAAGGTGGTCCATGGCCATTCTGATAGCAACCAGCAGCTTTCCATCAGCCTGCGATCACGAGCAAACCTCACACGGAGGAATGACCGCGGTGCTGGAGGTGCGACTACCATACCGTCTCCTCGGACTATAATAATCAAATATCCGGGTAATAATGTTCAAGAAGCGTGGCGTTTCAGTAAGTTTATTCCTCTTTGTTGCCTTTTTCCCGATGACGGACGCATGAAGAGGGGTGCTAACACGTCGCAGCTGTAGTCATCCGCATCCTAGAGCTGATCCACAGCAATCTTATAGACGAAACAGTCATGACCAAACGGTAGGTGCAACCGACATGCAAGCACCTAACGGCCATTAAACACTGATCCAGAGACATGTATTACCGACATCCGGATCTGTTTATGAAACAGGCGGTGGTGGATCGATATGTGGATGATCTCGCTTGTACATTCGGCGTGTCGAGATCGCTCCTGAATGTGGTGTGTAGAACACTAACCCGCGGTCTGGTGATCAACTAACGGATAAGGTGGCCGCTGCGAAAGGGCTCATTGCGGGGAACTATGTCCTTCGACGCGGGGATGGGACTTGCGTTCAAGGGCTTTCTGAAGAGGAGGTCAGGTTTTGTGGCAACGATGAGTACCATAGCAAATGACTGATATCATACAGGGGGCATTAGTGCCAAAGCTACATGCAGAAGACATTCTGGACCTGGCCGCGGTCAGGTGGATTCTTATAATCGAAAAGGAGGTGAAGCACACTCATCGCCTTACTGGCTCAAGCCGCTCATTATCTGCACAGGCGACGTTCCGGACATTGCTCAGCTCAAGCCAGTGGAGAGCTCTTGGAGCACAGGGTCTCGTACTTACGGCCAAAGGCTACCCTGATCTGGCTTCGAGAAGTTTCCTCCGACACATTGCCGATGAAAACCCCCACATACCAACTTATGCCCTTGTTGATTTCGATCCGGATGGCATAGCTATCATGTCAACATACAAGCACGGCTCGTACCGACTGGCCCATGAGGATGTTTCACACAATCAGGGTTCCGGGCTTCGGCTGCCAGGGCTGCAGTGGCTTGGTGTTCAGAGTCACCATATCACAAACGGGCGGGCAGATAGGAAGCTTGCAGAGACGACGACGCTGGCTGACACACAAGGCCTGATGAGACTAACTGCAAGAGACCGCCAAAAGGCGCATCGAATGTTGGAGTGGGACCTGTGTGCAGAAGGAGGACTCGAAGCGAAGTGGAGGGTGGAGTTGCAAAGGATGCTGATGCTGAACATCAAGGCGGAGATGCAGATCCTAGACGAAGTCGCAGGGAACTTGGTATCGTGGTTGGGTAGCGAGCTGGAGGCAAGGAGCTCGCGGGGTGCAGGGTCCGACCAAGCTGCTGCCTCGCCGTTGAGCTCAGGCGACGAGCTACTTTTCTGAGTAACAGATAAATGGACGATGCACAGGCGCAGATTGCATGAAGATTTGCATTGGATGCTGCTACTCCGCACCCTCGCGACACACCTTCGCCGGTATAAGTGCAATGGCTATAACGACAATGGCAGTGGCCTTACGCAGCCATGCATGCCGGCGACTGAATCGAGACGACTGCACACCCTCTTGCACGGTCTGAAAGCTGATGGATGGGTGGGGTGGCGACAGGTGTTGCACATGGATGCCCGTGTGCACACAGATACGGGTACAAACAGTATCATGACGGTTGTTGAAAGAGTTGAACTGCGATCAGAATACAGTGGATGAGGGACGGCATCATCCGAGCATCAATCAGCCAGAGCCGCAAGAGAGGAGGGACGGTTGTACGCTGGCGGGCGCTGTACCGTTTGGCCAGCGGGGCAGCTTGTGTGCTGGCGATGGGTGTGGCACAGCTGGGCGATCAAATTCTCCGAGCGAAGCGAAAGGATGGTCGTCCTGGGACGACTGTCCATGTATCAATGGCCGGAGTCTATCTATTGGCTTGGTGGTGAGACGAGTGGCGAAGGCGCTAAGGCTTCACATGGCCAGCTCACAGATTGCATCCATCCGTAACCTACACGACACGACGCGACGCTCGCATAGAGGCCATGCATCGTCCTGCAGTTCAATAAACCAGCTTGCTCGCTTTGGCATCGTGAACACAATGCCCGACGCCATTACACACGCCGACTCGGCGGACCGTCCGAGCTCCCGCGTCGCCTCGATAGACGGTGGTCCGTCGTCGCTAGATGGGCTGCTACAGCTCCAGCGCGGGGGCGGCCCGCCTCCACTCGTCGTGGCCCCACCACCATCTCATCCATCAATATCGCCGCCCGCCATCACCGTCGACCATTCTTCCGCAGATGGCGCTGAGCCCGCCGCGGATGCTGATGCTGCTGCTGCTGTTGGACGACGACGCGGCCCAGCGACGTCGACAATCGCCACCCCGACCTTGCTGCCTCCGACCCTGACGCCTGCCACCACCACCAGGCAAGCCATCTCTCTCGGTGCTCTCTCCACCCTCTGGGGTCCAGATAGCACCTCCAACGCCCACATCGTCACCTCTACACAAGAATCCCCTGTGCCCGATCTCACAGCTACTAGCTCCAGCTCTGTACCCAGTACCACTACCACTCTTACCAACGTCCTGCCCCCCACTCAGTCTGCTGCTCTTCGTGCCTTGAACGCCCCAGCTTTCCAATCTTCCCTTCATCCCCCCTCTCCTCAAGCTCAAACTAAGTCCAAGCCTGCAAAATCGACCTCCAGCCGGACTACGCTCTCTAGTCAGCCTGTCGTAGTCCGGACCTATTCGGGCTCGAGGCACAAGTCCCACCACTCCACCTCATCCGCCATCCCCTCGCCACGCTACATCAACATGAACCGCCCTAGCACCAGTTCCCACCCCAATGGTAACACATCTGCGCTATCGGCTGGTCTAGCAGATGCTCGCTATCAACCTAAGCTTCCTAATGTCGAATCCTTCTCCTTCTCTGCCATCTTACGTGCCGTGGACCCGGAGATTAGAGATGCCATAGATGCCATTGCCGAGATATGTGCCCGTAGTCGGTACAGTTTGGCTGACGAGTACGATGCCCACCTACCTCCCCAAGGAGAAATCACCGAAGGAGGGGCCAGGGCCATCGAAGCTTTAACTGGTGGTAGTGGTAGTGGTCGAGCTCCGAGCAGCACTAGCAGCAGGGGCAGATTGGCACGGATCGGGCAAGGCTGGAGTACAGCGACAGCAGAACGAACGCTAGTATCGGTACCAGAAGCAAGCAGTTCCAGCGAGCGTTCTTACGCAGGGAGTCAAAAAAGCACCACTGCCGGAAAGAGAGGGAGAAGCCAGTCTGCCTATGGGAGCTTGAAGAGCGTAATCAGCGGCGGAAACGGCAAAGTCATTCTATCAAAGCCTAACAATACGAGAAGGAAAAGCACTGGAAATATCCTAACCGACATGCTCCCCGTTCCGACCACCATCGCCAAACTCGAACCTCTGTCCACAATAACATCGAAACACAACCACACGACATCCCCTTCCACACCAGCCTGGTCCATCTTCAACCCTCTACATCAAACTACACAAACACATACGCCATCCTCTCCGTCCACGCCATTCCAGCCATATCGCCCAGCCATCACCATCACCACTTCCCCCCGCGCATCCCACCATCTATCCCTAGACACTTCTTGCAGCATCAAGCAAGTCATTCCTTCGGATGAGGACACGCCACAGCCCCCAAATGAATCCGCGGATAACGACATTCACCCCCAATCCCAGATTGTAAAGCCCAGTCCACTAGTCGAACCCTCTAAGAAAGGCCATATAAGGAATACATCAGGAGGCAGCACCTTCGCGGCACTGACATCGTGGGTTCCGCTGTGGCCGGGACGAACGACAAAACCCAATCCCCCTTTTCAGCGTACGGGCCATACGGTCGAGGAACAGGACACTGATTTGTCATTGGGTGAAGTCAAAGAACGCTTGAGGGGCATGCTGAAAGGTGGATCAGAGTAGATTGGACCACTTTTTTACGTCCCTTGGGCTTGCTTTGTGTTGCGAGCGAAAGGGGGGGCCTTGCTGCTCATTTTTTGTCCTTGTGCAGATGGAAAGTTTATGATTATGACTATGACGGATACTTTTTATAATGTGTAACGATATAACGAATAACGTAACCGGCAAGTGAGCGGCGCAGGCAAGCGAGCGGCGCACCTCGTCAACTTTCTGCGACGCATCACCTCTAAACTACAATAACTTAACTAAATCTTACTTAATTGCCCTACAAAGAAGCAGATATTTACCTTACTATTCTAGCTATTAATTAAAATTAAATATAGAGTAGACAACGTGCTGCTACTATCTATAGTGTACCTAAAACTACGCTCTACTATTAACACGCTAGAATTACTGCGCAACGCAATTGCTAGCTTAAATTAAAAAAGCTTACTAAGCTAGAAGAGGAGGTAATTACTAAGTATATACTTAACCTAGATTTACGTAGATTTCCCCCCACCCTAGGTGCTGTACAAGATATAGCAGATAAGCTACTTACTAAGCGCAGCGCAGGCTAGGTTAAAGAAAAATAGCTATGCAACTTTATAAAGCGTATAAATAGCTTTATAACATAATTTAATTAACTGTATAATTGCTAGAGAGCTCTTTATAAGGACCTCTAGGCTATCTAGGCCTAGTTTAAGCTAGTAGCACGTACAAAGGCTAGGTACAGTATCTATAATAAGGATATATATAACTTTAATAAGACTAGCTTCTAAATAGGCAAGATGTTAGCTTAGCTAGTTGTTACTAGCTCTAAGAGACACTTTTAACTTAAAGCTATCTAGCTTAGCAATTGTAAGTAAGTAACTATAATTTAAAAGATTAGCGCTGCTAGATAGGCAATTCTACTTTTTATTATCTTTGCTAGCTAGCACTACCTATCCGCCTAGTATAAAGGCAACAATATACTAGGCAATTAGCTAATTAGCCTAAGCAATAATAGCTAGACTATAAATAAGCTTACTATAAAGTAGCTAAAGCACTTTATTAAGCATACAAAGAATTAAAGAGTAGAGAGGTATTAGCTTCTAATTCTTAATAGCTATAAGAGCTACTACTTAGCTAAATTTAATTAGCTCTGTAAGAAGAGCAATATTATTACTTTTTATATGCTTTTCTATTTATTGCACCTCTTTTAGCTTTTTAATATAGGCTACTTTTTGCTGTTAAAGCGTGCGTATAGTAATTAAATTAGTTACTTAATTTGCAACAGCATTAACTATATTATAAAGCTTAAGTTTTTACTTACCTTTTACGCAGCGTATAAAAAAGCAATTATAAAAGAGAATATCTGCTCTAGCTTTTAAGGCGCTAGCCTAGTTCTATATAATTTAGAAGCAGTAATAAGTAAGCTTAATATTAAGCTTTGCACGCTAACGCTACCTGCCTCTAAAGCTGCTTCTTAAAAAGCTAAAATACTAAGTAACGCGTGTAAAATAAAAGCTTAATTAACTCTAATTTATAATTGTATTTAAAGGTATAAGAGCTTGTTACCTGCTTTTATTATTGCTGCGCTTAATTTACTTTAAAAGGGCGCTAAAAAAATAGCCTATAAATTAGTACTAATGCGCAATTAATGTTAGATACATGCTAAATAGTAAGAGGTTTTATAGTAGTTTATAGTAAATCTGTTAGATATTACAGTAATGCGTAGTAATAATAAAGTTAATAATTGTGTTGTTCTTTGTCTTCTGTAAGATTAGACAGTTCTAACCTCTAGAGTAGGTAGCTAGTTGCCTTAGCTATTAGCTAATTAGAAAGAGTTAGGTACACCTAACTCTTTTCTATTAGCTAGAGCATTTTATAGTAATTTACTATAAACTACTACAAAACCTCTTACTATTTAGCATGTATCTAATACACTCTCTTAGCTTAGAACCTTATTATAAGCTAGATATACCCTTTATACTAGTTCTAGCTATAATTAAAACTAGTGCTACTTATTAGCTAGTAGAGCCTTTGTAAGTTTATCTGCAATTATCTCTATAGTAGGTTAATACTTAATAGTTATTACTTTCTTAGCGCGTTCTTACTGTAATTAGTAATTATAAATATCTATATATTATAGCTTTGTTTAAAGCTTTGCAATGTTCTTATTAATTAGGTAAATTGTTTAAATGTTGTTGCACTAGATAGGGATTAATTTATTAAGTAGTATAACTTCTAGTTTTTAAATTAGGCGTAAAAGATATATTGCCTCTTTTGCTACTTAGAAGAGCGCTAGCAGTTTAGCTTTAGTTGTTAAAGTAGTAACTATATTCTACTTGTTAGCTCTCTACGCAATAAGCTCTCTAAAAAGCTTTATTATATACTTTTATAAGCTTTTTCTATTAAGAGTGTTGTCTGCAAATAATGCGTTGCTTAATACTTTAAGGCTATTACTTCTTTTAAGTTATAGAGTAAGGTGCTTAGTTAATTATAAGTGTAGAAGAATCTTGTTAGCTGCTTAGTAATAATCTAGTAATAAGTTAACTAAGAAGCGTGCTAGCTGTAACACTATAAATGCAGTGTCTAGTTATGTTATTATTATAGTAAATAGCAGTAAACTAATCTTGCGCTAATACTTGTTTATTACTAATAGAGTAGCGAGCTCTTTATATAGTTTAAGTTTAACAGCACCTATTAGAGTATTATAACAGATGCTCTAGTTATTAATTAGTTAGCTAATCTTTTCTAGGTATGCTAATTACAATAAATAAACAAGGCGCTTTTCTTAGTTGCGCGTAACCTTTACACTAAGAAACTACTATAGGTTATCTTTTCTAGTTATAGTGTATTGCTTTTAAAGAGCTTTTATAGTAGCTTTATAGTAGCTTTTACTATAATAGTTATATGCAACAATAATGTTGTCTATATAAAAGAAGATAATAACTCTGTTTTTAATTATGCAACATAGTTTATGTAGCACTATGTAGAAACCTAGTTTTATTAAAGTAGTAGTAAACTCTTTCTGCTAAAGTAAAGAAAAGATGCAGAGGCTATAAAGCGCCTTCTTAATTTTTAAAGTTTTTTTAAGTTTGCAATACTTATATAGCATCTTTATATATACTTTTCTATCTATTAAGGCATAGACAAAGGTATTAGTAACATTCTATTGTTTAAGATTAAGGTTATATTTAGCCGCAATTGCTATTAATATGTAGAAGAACCTACTAGCAAGTGTAGCTGCATAAGTGTTCTAAGTTATTATATTTTGTTGTTAATTACTATAAACAACTAGTTAGGCCTTACACTAAAGTAAGTTGTAATTTTTATTAAGTTTATAGGTATACACCTATATGCAGTTAAAAACTTAATAGCCTACTTATTATACTAAAAAGGTATTAACTTTTATTTAAGATTTTATGTTATAATAGCTTTGCAGGTGTTCCTGCTCTGCCTTTTTAAACTTATTATGTAGTAGGTAATTTTTAAGTTTAAAAAAGCTTGTAGAAAGATTAGGTAGACTTTTAATATAGACCTTTTTTTCTTTTGCTAATTTATCTTTAAGATTAAGTGCTTTTACTTAAGTGCTAGCTATAAAGGCGGCTTTCTAAAAAATTATCTTTAATAAGGGCTAATTGTTACCTTTATTATCTAGCTTTATATCTATAAACAGCTAAGTTAATAGTACTACTAGTAGTAGCAGTAAGTTTAGCAGTGTTAGGTATACTCTAACTAGTGTCTAGGTAGCTAGCTTGTCTAGGTTTTATAGTAAGTTACTATAATTTGTAGTAACGTTCTTATAACTAGGTTAGTAGCTAAAGTTAATACTTAGTTTATTTTTATAAAAAGATTAAGTTTTAAAAAACTAGTAGGCAGGCTCTTGCAGTACTGCCTTCTTTACTTAAATAGTAATTTTTTTAGTAGTATAATAAAGAAGACTATTTTTAATATTATTTTTTTTGCTATTATAGGTTTTACGTTTATTAAATACTACATCTTTAGTACTAATAATTTTTCTTAATAATAGTATCTAGATATAATAGATGTTTAAGGATTAATACTCTACTAGGTATTTAATTTAAGCTTTTAAGTTAAGCCTTTATATTTTAAAACGTCTAAGCTAAGTGTTATTAGTTATTATAAAGACCTTACAGCTATAAGCTTTTAAGTAAGTAAGGTTTAGTTTGCAAGGGCCTAATAGTGTGCTATTCTAGCTAGTAATTTGCGTAAAAAACACTTTATAGAGTAACTTCTAGCTATTCTAATAATTTAGCGTTTAATTGTGTAGGTAGACAGTAGCGGAAACAATCTTAGGCTATTAATTTTTTAGTAATTAAGCTTTAATTTGCATAGCGCAAGCTTTCTTCTTTATTACTACTCTTAATTATTTAGCACTTTTGTTTTAGACTTAGGTGTTTAGTACACATAGCTCTAATTTAATGCTTAGTAAGTTAAAGAATTTTCTATAGGCAGTAGTTTTGCTCTAGTATAAAAAGATTTTATTATTGCTTTTAACTACCTTAACGTTAATATTAAATTGTTGTTTAAGAAAGGTAATTAGTTGTTTTAACAGTTAAAGTAGAGTAGGCTGCGTGCAATCTTTAAGATTAAAACTCTAATAAAAGCTTAAATATCTGTTAGTAGTAATTATAACGCTTTTGTTGCTAGTAATTAAGTTATCTTTAAAGTTGTAAAAGTTAATAGCTATTTGTTCTCTTAGGCCTTTAGTAATTGTTTTTAGAGTTTAGTAAATTTATTACTTTGCTTTTAACGTGCTGCACGCGTTGCAATTAATAGTATAAATACTTTAAGTAATTTATACCCTTTTAGCTTAGTGTATAAGTTGCTTAAAGGCCTTAGGTTCTAGGTAACTAAGTTAGCAATACTATATGTTACTATAGGTAGTGCTTTTTTAATAGCTGCAGCGTTGTTTTATAGTAATAAAAGCAGAGTGTTTTTTAATAGTAAGTATAATAAATTGCCTATGTTCTTTCTAGAGCACTATAAGATATAATAAGTTACTATACCTTAGTGTA